CTGCATATGTTGCTTGTATTAGGCTGTTGGCTCAAAAAAGAACCTGTTCATGCTATGGGAGTGCCATGCCATCAATGTCTTGCATAGATCCCACACTAATGAAATGTATGCCTGATAAAGCAACAAGCCAATACCCACTATAGAATCTATAGTATGAGGCCTACTGGTTGGGATACTTTGAGGGTTTTTGGATTTTGTGGCTCAGAATAGGAAATCCTGTTAGGGACAATTGCCTTTTGCAGCAGTTTGCAACAGAGTCTGGGAGACTACACTGCAAGATGACTTGTTGACAGGTGAAAAATCTGACCTGTCAATGTTATGGTTCTGTTGTTGTTTATAGACAGCTAGTTACCGAGTTTATTGCCGAGTCAATAGGAATAGTAACCTCGGTAATAGAGATTTGTATTGCCTATACAAAGCAGTAACAACCGGTAAAACCCTCGGTAATCTTTGGCAATGCAATTACCGAGACAGTGCAAAGTTGAGCTGTAATGAGGATACCAGATCCACAACGAATACAAAAGAGGGTGGGACTTTAGTCAGTGCTGCTATACAAGTATGCAGTACTGCTCTTCAACTGGGAAGAGTAAGCTAAGAATGGATTTGAGTCGGCAATGAATGGGGATTATTGCCGAGGTTTAGAGCTTTTTAGAATAGAGGATGAAGTCTGAATACAGAGGATTAGTATCCAGAGGTTGATTCCGAAGGAATGGGCTTTTTTTGGTTTTGAAGTCACACAACAGAAGTTGAATGGAAGTCTGAACAGCTAGCTTTGACTGCACAGTGACGATGGCAAGTTACAAAACCCTAATGTAGCAGCGCGAGGCTGTGCTTCAAGAGGGGCTCACTAAGGCAATTAATCCTCAGCCAGCTAATGGCTATAAGGCTTGCTTTAGTGTCAAGTGAGTTGCTGGTTAGGCTAACCACTTTAATTATAGTAATGCCACTGAGACGTGCTAGTATGGAACTAGTTGATACAGAGATCTATTGATGTTGGTAACAAGTTTACAGAAGTAGATGATGACTAAGCACCTTCTCTTACTGAACACAACTTGTGAAGCCAGTCAATGAGTTACTTAAACCTTACTAGTAGCGCGAGGACTGTACTAAGTAAGGTTTCACTGTCGCAGGTCTTAGAGCGCGTCGGTAAGAACTCGGCGAGAGTGGTTGAGTGGCTAGTATGGCTAACTTAGCACTCGGGACAAAGTAAGACTTTGAGTGGCACACAGGGTGTGTTTCGGTGAAGAGTAGATGGTGGATTGGATGATAGATTTCCTTGACCGTGCTCTGGAATGGCCTTTTATGCCATTCCCGAGGACACAGCCAATGGAGCTACACATTGAATGTTTTGCTATCCCATGAAATTCGAGATGTTCTCGCTGTAGCAAATGGTGGGTGCTTGATCGGTGTATTCTGGCGCCTAATCAGAGCCTCCAGTTGCAGGCTTGCGAGAGGGCCATAATGCAGCATTTAAATGCACGCTTGAGCCCATAGAGTGATCTCTATATTCAAGCTATAATACATGTTTATCTATCCCACAAAATGGTATGGGTGGCTTACTGGCATTAACTGAGCTCTTTTGTTGGGGCTACCCTGTGGGCACTTACAGGGCACTCTCACAGTCACAATGCAATTGTGACCGCCAGCGAGCCAGATGCGGGCGGTCACAATACGGTTGTGACTGTGCACACATACGAGTCCCGCTGTGGTCTTCTCGTTGCCGGAACATGTAACACGTAACACGTAACGTCACGCACTGTGATGGTTAGGGACGTTCCTAGGGGGCGCAAATGCCGCTTTCCTGACTGCTTCGCACTCGGAGTACACTGCCGTACAATCCACTGGCGGATTTCCAGTGGAGAGGAATTACTATATTGGGCTGGGATCTTGGCCACCTAAGCACTCATTGAGCCTTCCTCGCCCTATATACACTGTACTCCCCTGGACTTGTGTTTTATGTCATGTTAAAACATCCCTAGAACACGTTTAAAATGTCAGAAAAATTCCAGGTTGACTGAGTGAAGGTCAGCGCAGATTTTTCTGGCACAAGTAGGTTGAGCCGTGCTGACTAAGAAGTCGGCCATGCTGCTTCAAGCAGCACTGTACATTGCCAACACACATCTGCATGGACCGCAAATCATGCAGATATATCCAGAGATATATCTACAGCTCTTCCTTGGCTGCTAGACATGAGATCTGAGCAACATGCCCAGTCAAAGTTGAGGGGTCCAGGAGATCCAGCCACTGATTACCTAAAATGGACATCCTCTCAAAGAATGATTCTTCTAGGATGCAAACCTCAATGCATTGACTTCAGCTGATGCACAGGCAAAGAACAAATGCACATTAATGCAATAATATTAAATTCCTGGCTACAGAAGACGCTGGAGCTTTACGAGTGTCCAGTGACCAACTAGCTAGGGTGGCCAAGATCCCGGCCCGATATAGTACTGGGTTGCAGTGGAAAATCCAGTGGATGCCAGCGGCCCGCATGATTTGTGGGATCCAGTGGAGGGCCCAGTGGCCGTGTGAGACGAGCCAGTGGCGGGTCAAGATATCACGTGAGGGGGACGGCGGAAGACCGCTTGCTGCACCGCGGGCAAACCAGCTTTTTCGGACTCCGAAAATGCTGAGAACATGCCGTCCGCTGGGGTGGACTGTCCACGGTGGACTCTAGACTCAATACCAGTTACGGAAGGGTGCACGTGCTCGCCTTGAGAGGGCGGAGATTGAAAAGGCGAGCAGTCACCATCGGAGTTCAAAACAGCTGGTCATGAGCCTAGGTGGACTCCACGAAGCACATGACGCACAAACAAAGGTGATAAGATTAGAGTCTATTACAGAGCAAGGCTGACGAGGCGCTACATAGCATGCACAACCCGTATCAGCTGCATAGTCAATGGGACGTCGGGGCTGACAGATATTGAAGAGGAGTTGATGGAGGCCTATGGAGGCTTTTCCAGGTTTAAAGAGACCTTGATGATATGCTCGCGACATGTGATTACCTGATTGGGAAGGAGCCCCCTAAACCAGTAAGACAACACAACTGTGCATCTCATAAGTATTGGTTTGTATCATTGGTCTCAATTCTGTGTGCGCAGAGCAAATTATGTCTCATATAGATTGCACAGTATCTATAGAACTCCTATGATTTGTGCAGGCATGATACCGGGTGTACGCTAGTGTACGGTCCCACGATGTCTTGCCCATTTTGGGTACGCTTCCTAATCAGGCCTCAGGACGGGGGTGCGCGTAGGCCCGTCGCACTTCCAATGCACCTCCCAGAATTTATTATCAGGGCAGTAAGCAGCATCAATTTTTGACAGAAATATCGCAGACAGCCTACACTCCCCACTGCAGTGGACAACGGTAAGCCAGAGCTGAATAAGTTACAATTGGTTGGACTACTAGTAAGTACTGGGATCAGTATGGGATCAGTGGCAATAGTAACTAAGCGGTAACAAATATAGTATATGCCCAGCGACATCTTATCGGGCTCATTATCGGTGTCACTGTTTGGCCAGTCCAGCTCCGCGGAGTCCACCAGGGAGTCCACATGGACTAGTCCACCCCAGCGGGTCCGATGTTTTGCAGAGGTCAGATAGGACCTGGGCTACTCCCCTCAAGGTTTGGCCTCCGGACCCCTCAGATCGACCTCAAAGATCCATTTTTTGCGCACTCCGGGGTCCGGGGTCCGGGATCCTATCTTGGCCAAGGGTAGTCACGTGTAACAGTCATGTGATCTTATGTCAGGTCAATTCGTCATGCTCTTTAGCCGTGCTTGACCTCCTCCTGAAGACATTGTGTAGTTGCAACCAGATGGTAGAGTGTATTCAATTCATAGTGCAGAATTGAGTGGAGTAAGGACAAGTAGTACTACTCTATGATTCTCACTTGCATCTCGCCAAAATGTCCATGTTGGGCTTCCGAAAAAGGACCTTTCTCCATGTGGCGGCAAGCAGGTGAAGGGACCGGTCCCTCGTGTTGCCGAGGAGCATGTGTTGTCCTACAGTCGTTTGCATAATGGTTGTGGCATGCGCGCGATGAGATGTGTGTTTGGTCCTCTTTGGATTGGCCAAACAGTGACAGATCTGTCATAGATCTGTCACCAACGCGGTCGAGGGTGAACGTGCCGTGGCTGCTTAAGGATTTATTGAACTGTGCTCTCTCCTACCTAAGACCTTTTGTTTTGTATATATACGTGTTCTGCAATGCAACGTTGACGCACCTTTCGAGCAATGTGGTGGCTACTCAAATTGGTTCCAAGCATGCTGGGCCCAATCCAGACCATCCTCCACGACAAATGTCACTGATACTGCAATAACTTGTCCCGGATTTTGTCAAGAAAGAGGTCAGGTTGAGCCTGAAGAAGGGTATGCAGGTACTTAGACAAGGTCACCATGGAGGAGCGCTCATGTCTGTCCCGACGGGAGCATAAACAGGTTTAATGGCTCACCGAAGCGAGAGTGGAGAGATAGAATGCGCTGGACTGTCCGAAAAGATCATCGTGACAAGTGTGCAAGCTCCCTGTTAGGAAGACTATCTTCGTGATAGCATGCATGCGTGCATCTGCATAGTCCTTGGACAGTCATCACTGGAAGTGGCAAAAAATTGCATACTGTTACACCAATTTGGAACATATAAACAAATTGCGCCTGTTGCAAGGCCTTATAAGGCCTTACAATTGTGTGAATCAGTGCTTTCATTCCCAATCTGTTCGAAGATTGTGCGGTGTTACAGATAGGCGCGTAATCCTCATGCTGGCATTGTGAATTGCGGATCAACCTCCCTTCTACACTGTGTGGAGGTCCACAATCTCACGGCGACATTGTATCCCAAGGTAGGCAGTCAATCTGCTTGAAGTGTGCCGGGTTTCTTAACTGACCTTGCCACGCTGGTCTACCGATCCGAAAATACGTGTCTTGCTTTGAGTCTCGGTGGACTTCTTGTGGCCAGCACATCACGAGTGCACTCGAGAACACAGCGAGAACATTTATTTGTCATATCCGAGCAGTTTCTGCGTGCCTCAATTTCACCCGCAAGAATTGCCAGGGTTTGTCTGGAAGTGGGCTAGGTGTATCCAGCACAGTGGTCCCTGACAGCCTTCGCTGCACATAAAACATGCTCAGACTCATGATGCCAGCGGTCCCTCTCGCACTGCAGTGCTCGGCACAGTGAGCGTCAGCCTTGTCGCTGGCTAATGGCTAAGTGCAAGGTGAGTCAAAACATTCTTGTACATAGAGGTGTCTAGCATCATAGAACTAACAAGCGCTGATACGCTCCCATCTGGACTACACCCCGATTCGTGGGGTATCAAGCTCACGCGCGCAGTTCACCGACTTAGACATTGCTCGACATTGGCCAGCATGCTACGACTACGCTAAGAAGACTCTAGCGGAAGTCCCGTACCACGAAGGGTCCGGTGCTACGACCATGACCTCGGAAACCCCTCCTACGACCGACCGTGTCTCGAACAGGCTTGCCGAAGTTAATGCCTTGCTCGCGCCCTCCCAGTCCTGCGACGCTCGTAGAGAGTGACCCGAGGGTCCTACGAATCTCCTGCTGGTCCTCGCTTAGGCGGTGGACGGCGTTAGCCAAGTGATCGAAGGTGTCGGGCAAGCGACAATACTCCGGCAAATACAGTGGGTCGGGTTGGTAGGAGACTGGAGCCAGAGGCTCGTCAACAGCCTGTCGACGCAGGACAGACTCCTCGGACCAGGCGATGGTCGGATAGGGTGCGCCCAATGAGTCGTGAGGCAGCTTGTAGCACTGGAAGACCTCGTCAATGTAGTTCATGACCTCGATGACGTCGTTGAAGGAGTACGGCGATGGGACAGCGTTCAGGTCATTGGTGACCGCCTTGCAGTAGGACTCAAAGAGCCCACGCTGGAGAAGCCAGTGAGGATCTATCCCTGGCCGACGTAGGCGACAGAAGACCTATGAGCATCCAATGAACGCAGTTGGCCCACGACAGCCATTCGCCCCGAGTTACGGGCAGGAGACATGGCTCTACGTTGGCCTCAGCCTTGATGACTTCAATCAAGTGGTAGTAGCGGGCGACGTGAGCTTCCGCGGTTGGTTCGACGTGTAGGTTGGGCATGGTGGTGTTGGGGAAGAATCTGCAAGACAGCCTTGGTCGTATCATCGCGGTGCTATGGCTAGCCAAGTACCGCTCAGGTGGTTACCCGGAGCTAATCACGTTCAACAGGGCCCGAAGTCTTACGCCATTCTGGTGCACTCGGTGAGTGCTCGCCAGACCAATCGATAGCCGGTGTGCTGGCCTCTACGATTGGACAGTGCTCGCATTGTTCGACTTGGATCATTTTATATGCATGTGTTTTCCTGTTTGGCTAGGGAGTCGTTCTATCCTGTATATACTGCGGGGGCGAGCCCCCTTGAATACCAGATACCCTTACCCTCTCAACTTGCCTGTTCGTCGCACATCCGTCAGCAGTCAGTCCGTACGCATGAAGTCAGTCAGTACGATCGTCCGTTCGTCAGAGTTTGTCAACGCCCCGAGTGGTGTCTCTACATCTTGTCCTGCCATCGCTTGCCTCGTCTAGTCCCTCGTCTCGTCGTCAAGGCCTTGATTCGTTCGGTTCACAAACGTCGTCTACTCGTCTCAAAACATCGTCTACTCGTCTCAAAACATCCGCTGGCTCGTCGTAGAAGCAGATCGGGCCTGCGCGAAGCCTTGCCGACCTCGCTCCTTCCCCTATCAACCATCGTACCGTCTCGGTACACCCTCCTGGCCACTAGGACTCGCATACCAGTGCTCGCCCTTCGTCGGGTGTGTTGTGTGTGGCCTTTGTGGTTCTTTTGGTCACGTCAGCGCGTGGCGATGTCATCTGGCCGGCAGCTAGTGTCGGTAAGTGGCCCCGTCTATAACAGATGATTGACTCACCTCAGTCGTAGGCCAGGGATCCGTCGTGTCTTCAAGTTGACAATGAAGTACGTATTCAATCATGCACTAGGAAAGTGGTTAGGCCTCATGCACATGGTAGAGCTGTATCTGAGCTGTACGCATAATGCTGCGGGCGTGCGGTGTCACGACGGTGCATATTATATGTCACAGGGGCCTCAGTTGATTGTAGTAGTCTCCTCAGTGTACTCATTCAATTAATTTATCAATTTACATGCATGACCACGAGTCCTAAAGATGGGTCTAGACAGTGCTACCTGCGCCGGCAGATCAGACCAACATCAAACCAGTCCGGTTCAGTACGCAGGTCGCACCAAGCTTTGTTTCTTCAACGGATAACATTTGCACCTGGATGTAAGGTAGCAAATGGTTCTACATATTACAACGGTTATGCCTATTCGCAAGGGCTCTCAGCCATATAATCTATTATAATGCTATGCGATATTGCCCAACCTCTTACATTGATTTCACCTCTTCCCTTGACCTTATAAGACATTACAATTCCGCGTCAAAAGTAGTGATGGTAGGAGCAGGCATGCTGAATGTACGCAACAAGGATCGTAGCACACTACTCGAATAGGCAATGTCACAGGTCACTGTTTGGCCAGTCTAAAGAGGACCAAACACAAATCTCGTCACCCGCATGCAACAACCATTATGCAAATGACTGTAAGCCATCACCGCGATTGTGAGCAGTGAGCCCTTGCTCGGAAGTCCCGGGCCGGGAAGTTCACATGCAGTGAGGGTGGGAAGTAGCATACACATCAGAGCTGATCCGATTGTGTTGACGTGCAATAAGTGCATGGCTGGGGTGCTTATGCAACAATCCCAACCTTGCATCTCGGTTCATTCCTTTCCTGCTCCTACCATCACCATTAGTTCTGGCTCTCGGTCTCTTCTGTTCGTCTCCAGGATTAATTCCGCTGATTTATTGGGCTTTTTATCCACTGTCAAAAATGTCTCTGCGTGGTCACCCCTCAAAGCCCTTCAGTGCCGCATCCAGTGAGTCGCAAGGCCCTTCTGCAGCCACCCGAGGTGCTGCAATGGCAGCAGCAGCTTCCTCAAGCCACCCGGGCCACGGGATCCCCATGGCTGCTAATTCCAAGCAGAAAAAGGTGCATGGCACGGTGAAATGAATCAATGAATGAGCCACTGAGCACGGAGGAACAGGAGCAGGACAGCAGCACCGAGAATGATGATAAGAACCCATCCCAGTGATGAGAAGAGTGAGAAGCCTGAGAACGGATACGACAATCTGTCGAAGCCATCTACGTGAGTCAAAAGGTCTTCTGTGTGTCCCAGCAGTGCCTCTTAATGTAAATTAAACATGTTTGACCACCACACAAACACAGAGAAAGAAGGAGGAGGTCTTGATCCATGAATCAGGTGAATTCACAGAGATCATAAGCAGAAGAAAGGCCAGGACCAAGGCGGAGGTAGCGGTATGTGCAACATGTATGTTTGTATATGTACTGCCACTCATCTACCAAAATAGGCAGCTATAGATGCCTCTACCTCTGTGACACTACATCACAAGGCCAAGGCGGCGTCACAGGTGTCCAAAGGACAGGGACAGGTGACGGAGGCAGAGGTATGTGCCCCTGCAGGATGCTGAGTCCATGCCAATGCTACCTTTCAGCACGTCAACAATTCCAAGTCCACGCTTCCCTTGCAAAAGCATCGCATGCAGAGGACCCCTCAGAAGGCAAGTGTGTCAGTCGGCGATCACAATGACCCATCGCTGCTCCCGCGGGTCGATATCAAAGGGCATGAGGAAGGACGTCCAAACAGCGGTGGGACCCTGCCGTGTAAGCACCCCGGGTTTCTAGCTGTGCTGGTAATGCTGAGAATAGCACTTATCAAAACCACAGGAGTGTGACAAGTGTAACAACATAGCCATTGCACCAGAGGAGCTTGCTGTAGCGCAGGCACACCTGGATAACTACCGGCAACTGAACGCAAGAGACTGGCCCTCTGATGACATTGTGAACTGGTATACCACAGACAGGCCCAACAAAAACCCCGAGGCCACCTTAATCAACGTCTACAGCGGCCAAAAGGAATTGAAAGGGGCCTTCTATGAGCGTTACAAGTTCGAAGTTTGTCTGTTCAATCAGTACATTACCTGGTTTGGGGGTATCATGTATGAAGTTGGAAGGGTAATTCGGAACTTGCAGTGCCCCTGGAGAACCGTAGACAAATGTCCGAAGGAGTTTGATGATGGCTGCGACATCTGGGAGTATTATTCTAGGGTTAACTGGAAGGTGGGCGCTGCAGCAAACATTTGCAATGCGGCTCTGGCGTATGCGGCCAAACATTGGGAGGCGAAGTTCAACCCCTTTCTGCACATCTGGGCAGTTGCAATGTTTTTTGACCTGTATGATGTTGCGTGCTCGAGTAATTTCGACGTCAATCCATTGCTCTGCTATGATCCATTCGGTCAGTACATAACTGATGTTGTTCGACACTCCGAAGACATTGACAATGTGCTTGTCCTAGGCTTTGACTGGGACCAGTGGGCAAGGAGACATGACTACATTGACCTCTTTGGCAAGGACATGGTGAACGGTGTTAGTGACGCTGTGATACCTCAAGGGAACAATGAAGCACTTGCAAAGGCTAAGGAGGGCGCAGGGAGAAAGGCTGCAATACTGGTAAGCGCCTCCGCTGAAATGACAGGCTTTACTGACACCCTTATTTCTACAGGCAAAGCAGGCTCTACATGGAAGTATACAGAAAATCAAGGAGTGTCGTAGAAGTGTATAGTACATGTCCTTGACTCATTTACACCGCTTCAGAGGCCATTCTAGGAGAACAATAGGATAATAGCCTTACACTTCATTGTTTCCAATGAAGCAAGCTACGTTACCGAGTCATCCTAGTACAGCCACAGTACAGCCACTGTTTCAGGACTGTGATTCCCGAGGCATTACCGAGGCATGCAAGAGTCTGCATTTTCGGTACAGCCTAAGGATAGCACAGCCATTCAACACAGCTTCAGGAATGGCTCGGTAATTGTTGCACAGCCATTCCTTTCTATGCTGATACAAAACCATTATAACTCGGTAATTGATTGGTAATAACCACCATTTATCGAGCATACAATAGCTCTTGTATCAGTACTGAAAGCATCTGGTCATAATGAGTAAGAACACACTAGAAACTTGGTAATAGTCCGTTTAGTAGATACAGCCTGAGTAACAAGCACTTCTAAAGCATCAAAACATCGGTAATCAATACCTCGGTAATAAAACAATGAAAGCGCTACATTGATGTCCATTGAGTGGAATAAAGGAAAGATAAGGAGAGTAAGATAAGCACATAACAAACCTTCACTGATGCAGCCACCCGGTAAGTAAACACTTCTAATGAGTTTCTGTGCACTCTGAGGCTATCAAGCCTCTATCCCTAATAGTCAACAAGTGAACCTCGCATGGCATGCGCGCTTAATGGGTGCTTATCACACGATATAAGCTCAGTCATTACAAGCCTTCACAGTACACATCAGTAACAAATGATACAAGCATACTATACCCATCTGAAAGCCCTTCATTCAGAGCATCTATAGTGTGAATGCTATGCAAATACAGTGGCTAGTGAAGCCACAAAATGCAAAACAAAAAAACTTGCATGTGCCTCTGCATCTACAAAGGTGGGGCAACATACCTGAAAGAGCAGCAAGTAGATCACAATATACACCATAGGACACTCAGGTGCTTGAAACAGCAGGTCTCAGATGCTTGAGTGTTTATGAACATACAGTTGCACCCTTAGAGGTCATATACATGCAAGGAACCACAACCATGTCAACAGAGGCACTTGTGTGTTTTTTTTTGTGAATTGTGCCCTAAGTACTGAAGTTAGTGAGAAGGTAAGACCAGCAATAGGCTCTATAGTAAGATGGCTACAAGCCAGAATATTTTGAGGATCTTACGGATTTTATTGGCCTATAGTAGCACAGTAACAGTGCTACTAATGGCCTTGTGGTTGAATTTGAAACTCAGCCTGAACTCGGCAGGCCTGCCTTAACAGGGCAAGGAAATGGGCTTATCAGCCAATCGGCATCTCACCCTGCCGCACGGCATACGGGCGCTTAATGGGCGCTTAGTAAGCGATGTAAGCCCATTCTTAAACTAGCTTGTATGGACCCAGAAAAATGCGGAGAAATCAGTAAAATTCTCAAAGACAGAGACAATGGATGGCAAGGCTGCAATAGAGCAGGAAGGCTCTATTTTATGTGACACCTTCAATTGACTGGGGTTGCTCTTGTCCTGATGCTTACAGAAGCAATGCATCAGGCTCTAGTCACTGTCTGTGTAGCACACATACTCTCACAGATGTTAAGCATGTATCATATATGTAGTGTTTAGTCAGAGGGGCCCCAGATGAGGTCTATATGTGTGCTGTCCCTGTGTATCGCCATATGTAGTAGGAAACCTGCCCAATAAGGAAACCACAGCTGGCACTGGACAATTGGGCTTGTTATGAGCTTGTAAGATTGTGGGGAATTCTGATAATATAACAGGACACTAAACAGATACAAGTGGTTATCATAACTAGAACAGGCCAGCAGTGGACATGATAAATGAACAACAGTATGCATACTAGTGGTCAAATTGCCCAATATTGCTCATCTTTGCTGTATTAGAAGCAACTGACTGGCATGTACAAAGTCATTCCACTGCATGAGTTCACTGTCCTGATGAATCAGTGAGTATTTGGAGCCTACAGGTTATGAGCCCTGGTCAGAGGTTTTGAGCCCCTGCACCAGTACCTGGAACTTGCTACTCATTTGTAGACCCCCGAGTAACATTGCAACACCCACAGAAGCGCATTTTCACCCGCATATAGCCATCCTTTCTTTCATCCAATAGAAACAGGCAGTTAGACTTGTGCAGAGGCACATGTGCATTTTTTTGTTTTGCACTTCCCAGCCTGACCAGCCACTGTAAGTGCTCAGGAATATTACTGTATACTCTGTGAATGAAGGGCTATCAGATGGGTATACTATGTATACTATGGGCACTTACTGATTGACTCCAAAAACAGTCTACAGAGTGTGAGCGCTAGCCAGAGTGGTCAGCCAGGCAGCAGGTCACATGACAAAAGCCACCAGTTGCCGTATTGGAGTGCAACTGGAAGGCATTTCATGGACCCTCACTCCAGGACAGAGCAGCCCGCCACAGCAATTATTTGTCTCTGTTGGTGCAAGTTGCGTTGTCTGGGAGTTTGAATTTTGAAGCCCCGCTAATGGGACATCAGTATCAGTTACTTATCTCTGCTTATCTGGGGTCCAATGTGTCACGTGCACTATGGGAGCCTCCTCCCATAAAAGGAGATCAACGGCATTTCATCCCCTCCAGTCATAAGAATGATACCTTCATACCTCAGGGATTGTAACTCAAAATTATGCCCTGGCAGCCAGATCAGCTCCCAACACTGCAGCACATTCATGAGCGGACCATACCCATTCCTAACGGTACACCCGGGCTGCATATTCCCCATTGTCAACGGAAACCCGACGCCGGCCGGAGAAATGTGTCCGGAGGTTGCAAACCCACCGGCCGGCACCTGAGGTGCCCATTGTTAGCAGACTGGCCGGTCTTGTTTTGAACGGACCGGCCGATGGCAGGGAAAATCAACAAGTGTTACTGAACAATGGTCCGGAATTTAATCTATGGTTGTAAATGGACCGGCCGGAGAGTGGCAACCACATTTATAACACTCCAGCAGGATTTCATCCCTGTGTTTGGAAATGGTCCGGCCGGAATGCATCCCTATGGTTTCAAATGGTCCGGCCGAAGGTCATATACCTTTGTTTATGATGTACCGGCCGAAGGTAATATATCTAAATTAATAACACACCGGCCAGAGGTGATATACCTACATTGAGAAAGAACCGGCCGGTCATAATGTACCCACGCACAAAACAAACCGGCCGGCCATGACATAGTTTCACTACACATTGACCGGCCAGGCATAGCATGCCTATATTAGAAATGAACCGGCCGGTCATATGGAGCCTGAATATCAATTGCTCCCACCATCCTGGAAACATATTCATTGATGCACTGAGTTTTCTGGACCATAAATGCACTGGACCCAGGTTTTTTGGGCTTTGAATACATTTTTAGCATCCCCATAGATGCTCCCAATTTTCCAGGCACATGCAAACCATTCCAGAGCTTTAGAATCATCAAAATTGAGCTTTCTGGGCTGAAAATAGACCAAAACCAGCCTTTCTGGGCTGGAAATGCATCAGAACACATTTATTGAGCCTCCCAATCCACATTTACAACAGCTCTGAGCCTTATACACCAAGTCCGAGTATTTTACACAATTGCCGAGATTCCACAAAGTCCCGGCGCCGAGGATGCACCAAGTCCCGGCGCCGGGGGTGCACCAAGTTGCGGCGCCGCAGGTGCACCAAGCCTCGGCACCGCACCGTCTCGTTAAGCGCCGAGAAACATCGCTCGGCGCCGAGGGGTGCACTTGCTTCGGCGCCGAGACTTGGTGCACCTGCGGCGCCGCAACTTGGTACTACCTCGGCGCCGAGTTGTGCTAAACCTGAGGAATAATGGTGTTTCTAACAATGATCACAAAAAGATTACTGATGTTTGTTACACCAATGACCTTTTGTAGCTCATCTTATAGGGAATGTTAGGTTCATTAGGAAATCTCCTAATGACACTACAAAGGTTTGTATGTGGTTACTTATAAAAAGTGATGTTTGTGTCTCATTGTGTAGGGAATGGTCTGTTGATAAGTAAATCTTCTATTGACACTTCAAGGATTTCCAATGGTCAGGCCGGTACAGCTGCTTTTCTTGTCTGGCTGGTAAGTAAACTTACTGATGACACTACAGTATATTGTATTCAATTTGTACATTTGTAGCTCATCTTATAGGAAATGTTAGGTTCATTAGTAAATCTTCTAATGACATTACAAGGGTTTGTATGTGGTTACTTATAAAAAGTGAGGTTTATATTTCATTGTGTAGGGAATAGTCTATTTATAAGTAAATCTTCTATTGACACTTCAAGGATTTTCAATGCTTAGGCCAGTACAGCAGCTTTTCTTGTTCAGCCAGTAAGTAAGCTTATTGATAGCACTACACATATTTGTATCTCATCTTGTCGGGAACATTAGGTTGATAAGCAACTATTATGATGAGACTACAAGGATGTGTACATCTCATGCTGTTGTTATTGTACAGTAGACAGAACACTACATTACAAATGTGTAGTACTATGACAACTTCTGGCTGATCTAGCGCCCACACTAAAGTTGGTAGCACTTACAGCTTGGAAGATTAAGCTATGAGATTTGGCATATGTGCTGCTGGCTGTATTGCTGGCTGTATGAACATACATTATAGCCACTAACCTAATGTGGGCAAAGAATACTGCCATGGTGAGGAGAGTAAGAAGGGAGCAGGGACATGCACAATTAGTGATATGTCTCTGAAGTGATAAGTTGTTGCCTTTATGTACAACTTTTGTGCCAACATGTGTCCAGATGAACAAGTACATTCATCAAGTCATGTATGGATGGGTTGCTGATACATGTTTCATTTATCCTCATACATTCTGCTATGATCATGATGGCCACACCCTACATATATATCTGTATGTAGAAACCAATCCCAGATGAATATGAGACATTCTATAGAATTAACACATGTGGTCCTAGGTACATTGCTCTGCTACAGCCTACATTTGGAACTCACTGACTTTTCTGTAAATGCTAGACAGTTCAACCTTGATGCAGGGTTGTAACTATGATGTATTCTTTTGTGATAATCAACCTCTTGTTCCTACAGTGTTCCTTTGTCTTAATTTCATTATGTACTAATTAAATACAACACACTGTAGTGTCATTAGTGAGTTTACTTACCAGCCGGAACAGGAAAAGCAGCTGTACCGGCCTGACCATTGGAAATCCTTGAAGTGTCAATAGAAGATTTACTTATCAACAGACCATTCCCTACACAATGAGACACAAACATCACTTTTTATAAGTAACCACATACAAACCTTTGTAGTGTCATTAGGAGATTTCCTAATGAACCTAACATTCCCTATAAGATGAGCTAAAAAAGGTCATTGGTGTAACAAACATCAGTAATCTTTTTGTGATCATTGTTAGAAACACCATTATTCCTCAGGTTTAGCACAACTCGGCGCCGAGGTAGTACCAAGTTGCGGCGCCGAGCGATGTTTCTCGGCGCTTAACGAGACGGTGCGGCGCCGAGGCTTGGTGCACCTGCGGCGCCGCAACTTGGAGCACTTGCGGCGCCGCAACTTGGTGCACCCCCGGCGCCGGGACTTTGTGGAATCTCGGCGATTGTGCAAAACACTCGGACCTTGTGCAGAATGCTCAGACCTGTTGTAAATATGATTTAGGGAGCTAAACACATGTGCAAGAATAGCCTTTGAAGCAATTCCAGCCTGGAAAACCTGGATCTGGTCTGTTTCCAGGCTAGAAAAGCTCATTTATGGTGCTTTGAAGCATGGGCATGGTTTGTATGTACCTGATAAAATTGGGAGCATGTAAGGGAATGCTTGTCAATGTATTCCAAGCCCAAAAAACCTAGGTCCAGTGTGTTGATGGTCCAGAAACCTCAGTGCATCTTTGACAATGTGTTCTGGGATGTTTGGCACAATTATCATTCAGATTCCATATGACCGGCCGGTTCATTTCTAATGTAGGTTTGTTATGACTGTCCGGCCCATGTGTAGTGTAAGTATGTCATGCCTGGCCGGTCTGTTTTTGGTGTAGGTAGACTATGACCGGCCGGTCCTTTTGCAATGCAGGTATATGACCTCCGGCCGGTATGTTATAAATGTAGGTACATGAACTCCGGCCGGTGCATTATAAGTCAAGGAATATGAGCTCTGGGTGGTGCATTGATAATGTGAATGTATGAGCTCCGGCCGGTGCATCCATGATGTGGGTATATGAGCTCCGGCCGGTCTGTTATTAATGTGGGTATATGAGTCCCGGCCGGTCTGTTATAAATGTAGGTGCCTGATCTCTGGCCGGTCCATTTACAACCATAGATTAAAATCCGGACCATTGTTCAGTAACACTTGTTGATTTGCCCTATTGCCGGCCGGTCCGTTCAAAACAAGACCGGCCAGTCTGCTAACAATGGGCACCTCAGGTGCCGGCCGGTGGGTTTGCAACCTCCGGACACATTTCTCCGGCCGGCGTCGGGTTTCCGTTGACAACGGGGAATATGCAGCCCGGGTGTACCGTTAGGAACGTAAAAGTACACTCATTGGGCTCACTGCAGTGCTCAGTCAATGCGGACATCAACGCCAGCAATGTGGATCTGCCCCTGTCTCGTTTTTGGTGAGTGATCCGCCTATCTGGTGGTGGCCTCTTGGTGGATGCCTGTTTGAATATAAGGCTGCCGTGAACTAGGACCTTGAGTCACAGTCTCAAAGTGAAGTGTGAGACATTTGCCAAGAAGATGTGGCATGAAAATGGAGTCCACATCTGCTTCCTGTTTGCAGCCAACACAATGGATAAAGGACTAGTTGGGGGCCTGTCAGTCTCCCCTTTCATCCTTTGGCCACATGTTGATGATACACAGTGTGGATTGCAATGCCATAGGTGCACCATCTAACTTCTCAGATGCGGTCAGTGACCCTAACTGGAACTCAATGAACCTCTGGTCTGACTGGGAGAGGTGGGCCACTAATTGGTTGGGAAAGAAGCCACAGTCCGTTTTGCATGCGAGAGTAGCACAGCAGAGGGCAGACTTCGGTCAGCTCTTTGCCACCAATGAGCAGGATTGCTGAGGATTCCCCCACCTGAAGAGCTCAACAAGCTTGAAACAAAGATGTCACAAGAGTGGCAGTGCATGGTTTACCAGTTCCTCATTGGTCATCATAGTGAGTGTCAGTGTCCTGGATAGCATGCACCACTAATAAGAGACTAGCCACTGCTTCTAATGGAAAGATGGGGCATATCATGCCAAGTGCCTTGGCACATTGCCAGGGGTCCCTGTGGCTCAAAGACAGCTCATGGCCTGACTTTGTTGAATTCAATCAGCCGTCCAATATCCAGAGGTTGCAGTGCATTCTACAAGAAGCCAAGAAGCAAGGGCTGTCAAAGTGTAGTGCTGCACACACTGGGTCTCATCATGTAGAGGTTGGCGGTTTCTTGATTAATCAGCATCTGCAGAATATAGTACACAGTTGTTCCCATCTTCCAACACTTCTTGGCCACTGTGGATGTTTGTAAGAACAAGAAGTAGATGTCATGCACTGAATAGAGAAGTTTTGAGACAGTCAATTACATTGGTATGTACATTGCAGAAGAAATGGTTTCCTATAATACTGGTGCTGGTCACAATCTCAGCCACTCTATGCACTCGGTCACTTGAGTCCCATATGGCAAGCTCATGGCGTAGGACCAAATGCATGTTATTATTATAGCTACCTAGTCCTGTTGGCCTTACGTATACCAAGTTTCAAGCCTGGGCAACAGATATTCGCTCCAGGACGGCAATTGCGAGAGATGATACCCCAATTTGGCATGTGTCACGTGCCCACAATCGCCCCTTGAGCTCGTTCTCTGAGCTTCTGTGAGTCCACATTGCATCCGCACGCCCTCAGCCTCCTGCATCTCGACTGATGTTTTGCTCGCAATACCTCAAAACAGCTACATTGCCTAAACAAAGACTGAAGGAACACGGAAATGAGGAGCATGCAACATGTGCAACTGTTATATTTCTGTTGTTGTTTATAGACAGCTAGTTACCGAGTTTATTGCCGAGTCAATAGGAATAGTAACCTCGGTAATAGAGATTTGTATTGCCTATACAAAGCAGTAACAACCGGTAAAACCCTCGGTAATCTTTGGCAATGCAATTACCGAGACAGTGCAAAGTTGAGCTGTAATGAGGATACCAGATCCACAACGAATACAAAAGAGGGTGGGACTTTAGTCAGTGCTGCTATACAAGTATGCAGTACTGCTCTTCAACTGGGAAGAGTAAGCTAAGAATGGATTTGAGTCGGCAATGAATGGGGATTATTGCCGAGGTTTAGAGCTTTTTAGAATAGAGGATGAAGTCTGAATACAGAGGATTAGTATCCAGAGGTTGATTCCGAAGGAATGGGCTTTTTTTGGTTTTGAAGTCACACAACAGAAGTTGAATGGAAGTCTGAACAGCTAGCTTTGACTGCACAGTGACGATGGCAAGTTACAAAACCCTAATGTAGCAGCGCGAGGCTGTGCTTCAAGAGGGGCTCACTAAGGCAATTAATCCTCAGCCAGCTAATGGCTATAAGGCTTGCTTTAGTGTCAAGTGAGTTGCTGGTTAGGCTAACCACTTTAATTATAGTAATGCCACTGAGACGTGCTAGTATGGAACTAGTTGATACAGAGATCTATTGATGTTGGTAACAAGTTTACAGAAGTAGATGATGACTAAGCACCTTCTCTTACTGAACACAACTTGTGAAGCCAGTCAATGAGTTACTTAAACCTTACTAGTAGCGCGAGGACTGTACTAAGTAAGGTTTCACTGTCGCAGGTCTTAGAGCGCGTCGGTAAGAACTCGGCGAGAGTGGTTGAGTGGCTAGTATGGCTAACTTAGCACTCGGGACAAAGTAAGACTTTGAGTGGCACACAGGGTGTGTTTCGGTGAAGAGTAGATGGTGGATTGGATGATAGATTTCCTTGACCGTGCTCAGGAATGGCCTTTTATGCCATTACCGAGGACACAGCCAATGGAGCTACATGGAAGTATATAGAAAATCAAGGAGTGTCGTAGAAGTGTATAGTACATGTCCTTGACTCATTTACACTGCTTCAGAGGCCATTCTAGGAGAACAATAGGATCATAGCCTTACACTTCATTGTTTCCAATGAGGCAAGTTACCGAGTCATCCTAGTACAGCCACAGTACAGCCACTGTTTCAGGACTGTGATTCCCGAGGCATTACCGAGGCATGCAAGAGTCTGCATTTTCGGTGTACAGCCTAAGGATAGCACAGCCATTCCTTTCTATGCCGATACAAAACCATTATAACTCGGTAATTAATCAGTAATAACCACCGTTTACCGAGCATACAATAGCTCTTGTATCAGTACTGAAAGCATCTGGTCATAATGAGTAAGAACACACTAGAAACTTGGTAATAGTCCGTTTAGTAGATACAGCCTGAGTAACAAGCACTTCTAAAGCATCAAAACATCGGTAATCACTACCTCGGTAATAAAACAATGAAAGCGCTACATTGATGTCCATTGAGTGGAATAAAGGAAAGATAAGGAGAGTAAGATAAGCACATAACAAACCTTCACTGATGCAGCCACTCAGTAAGTAAACACTTCTAATGAGTTTCTGTGCACTCTGAGGCTATCAAGCCTCTATCCCTAACAGGTGCTTAGCCTGATCGCGTGGCCGAGTAGGTCGTCGGACTCCAATTCTGTACCCCTTGCACGAAAATATTCATCACGCTTGTGCATCTGTAGCTACAAATTTTCTGGCTTTATGAATCGATGCTCGTGATGCCCTAGCTACATACTGCACCTCAAAATATGGTATATGTCTATGAGTGAGAGCGGCCTTTGCGAAGCTTAGGTGACCGAGATCCCGGCCCGATACAGTACAGTAATACCTCATGAAGAATGGTCTGATCATTATCATACTTCATATACCTTTGTTAGCCTTTTCTGCTACTAGGAATTACAGTAATGCTAAGTTCACATGAAAGTAATCAAGCAAGTGATGATGTCTTCATGCAGGTAGAATGGGGTATAAATGTGAAAACAATGCAACAATTGAGGGAACAGGCAAGTAATCATTGATAGGTGGTAGGAGTCAGAGCAATATGCTGATTGACTTGTACAAGTGAGGTGGCCATTTCACAAACATCAAAAGGGTGAATGACGAACTGAATGGATTTAGAAGACGTCCAATGAATGTGGACAATTTTCAGCGACGTGACCCCTGCCTTCACAGTCTTCGCAGAACAGCTCTTCGGAGGCGCTTGCGCTGGATGTTACAGAGCCTCCCGAAGGCATACCATCTTTGAGAAGATCACAGGAGAAAATGTCGTGACCTGGGCGTTCGCAGATTTCACAGACGTCTTGAGAGTACTGAACCGAGTTGGCGTTGACCACTTTGCCTTCACCTGGCCCTGGGGAGTTTTGCGCAGGCGGCTCTGTGGAATTCTTGGACGACTTCTTCTGTGACCGCGCGACTTTATCTCGGAGGCGCTCCAGTTCCCGTTCAAATTCGTCCTGTACGGGCGGGGCTCAGATGGGAGATTGTTCAGTCGAGCACAACCATACCTCGCGGTAAATCTTCGATTCCACAAGCGTCTCCAATTCGCCAATCTCTTTGTTGAGCTGTAATGCACCGTCAGCCGTTGTTCGCACCTGTACGACAACGACATACATCGTGTATAGTTCGGGCACTCTTCATTTCAGCTTCTGCCAGCTTCTTGCGCAGCTGCTCTAGCTCAGCCTATGTGACGAGCTGTTTCTAAATTGACTGCGGTGAAGTACAGAGACACGTACGTCGTACTTCCGTTGTAATGCTGCAACATCGGTGGAGCCAGATGCTGTCGAGACATCAATCCCAGATATCAGAGCCTGTTCCTCTCGCATGATGCTCTGCTCCACACTCTCTTCGAGCACCTTGAGATCCTGAGATGAACAAGATTGTCAGTGCCAGTGCGTAGACACAGGTGAAATGCTCTACCTGGCGGAGTTGCTCGGTTTCGGTCAACAGGAGTTTATTCTCAGACTCAAGAACCTTGTTCCTCTGGGCTGCTGCAGAAATTTCTTTCTGCAGCTCCTGGACGATATGTCTGGGGCGAAATGTTCAGTCGTGTAGCTGACAAAGAAGACAGCTAAGCGCACTTCAGGCCAGTGATCTCTTCCCTAGCGTTCGTGAGGTCGTGCTTGGACGGTGTGACCTTACCCGAATCTCCTCCGTTCACAGTGGTATCGCGACCAACCTTCTTGCGAACGCTGTCCAGCTCTGCGGTCCGCTCCTCCACCAACGACTCGAGATCGGTGATAGCCTGATGTTTGCTGGCAAGTTCTGCATCCCGTTGATCGCATTCCGACTGCAACTGACATGGTGGCAGATATGAGACTTCGCTCGTGAATGGAATATGGACGTGGACCTACGAGGTCGATAGTGGATTTGAGTGCGCGATTCTGCTCGTATAGTTCCCCGGAGTCGCCATCAGACTGCTGAGGCTGGCTTTGCAATTCAGTGAGCTTTTGTCGGAGGGACGTAATCTCCTCGGTGAGACGAGCGCGCTCCTGGCTGGTTCGTTGTGCGATCTCAGCCACCTTCTCTGACGAATTGCTCGCTGTGAGACCCTCGAGGTCCTACGCAACAGATTCAGTACTGAGACCGCAAAAGTATAGACGACGACATACCGCAATCTCATTCCTGAGAACTTCGATTTCAGCACGGGCATTCTCGAGGGCGACTGTGTTCTCCCTTAATGCCTCCACCATCTCTTCCACCCGGTGTCTAGCGCTTTCCTCTGACTTGTTGACCTGATCCACCTGTTTCTTGCTTTCGGCCAACTCCTTACGCATGTTCTCCTCCCTCTCCTTGTAGCGCTTCACTCTCTCGCGCACTGCAGCCTCTTCACGATCGAACGTCGAATGCGCCTCCTCGAGTTGGTCTTCGAGCATGGTGATTCTCTTTTGGAGATGCTGCACTTGCTCGCGGAGGCTCTCGTTGTCGATCTCCGCGGCAGACGCTGCTTGACGCTGCGCCGTCAGTGGTGACAGAGGCTGCACCTGTGTACGAAGCTGCTCCTCCAGATTGGCAACCAAGTCTTCGAGCTCGTACCGCCGAGTGTCTGCCGCACTCAGACGCTCTTCGTACAGGGCGATGGTTTCCTGAGTAGACTATGTGAGACAGCATCACAAGCCTCGCGCAAAGACGAACCTGTCCGGCCCTCCGCAACTCGTCGACCTGGCCTCCAAGCTCCCGGCGCTCGTCCTCGAGGTCGTTGTACGCCTTCTGTACCCGAGCCTCCAGCAGGCCGATCTCGGCGTCTTTGGCACGCAAGACAGCATCGTTCTCGCTCTGAAGGCCCTCCTTCGTCTGGAGAGCCTCCTTCAGGTTCGTGACCAATGCATCCCTATCGTCGAGCTTGGACTGGATATCCCGCACTCGCGCTTCGGCATCATTCTTCGTTTTGTCGATATCCAGAGACACTTGCTGCGCAGCACGCTCCAGAGCTTCGATCGTCGAATCTCGTTCGCTGACGGTGCGTTCGGTGGTCCTGACCAGCGACTCGAGCTCCGCAATCTTACTCCCCGTCTGCTTCTGATCAACCAGGAGTACCTCGAGACGCTTGGAATTGTCCGCGGAAGACTCTGCATTCGTGCGCAACTGCTGGTTCTCATACTCCAGCGCATCCATCCTCGCCTGCATCTGATCGAGACGAAGCTGGAAGTCACCTGCTGAGCTCGAGCGCACGGACGTCGAAGAGGTGGGACGGGAAGGAGAAGCCATACGAGTACCCATGATGTCTGCCATCCTCTCCTCAATGTTCCTCTGATTCTTTTGCAGATCCATTAGTGAACCAGAATCAGCCCCACCTCCTGCGTCGTTCAAGGAGACTGAACGCGCTGCAGACGAGGGAGATGCCGGAGGCGGCATAGCGATGGCACTGGGTATACGGGGACGAGGCGTGTTCAAGGAAGGTCGAGACTTTGAGGGGGTCGTCGAGGTCGATGGGATACCCATCCCGATCCCCGAAGGACGACCACTTCCAGGCGCTTTGGGGGTATTGAAGGGGGATGAAGGGTGCGTAGGGGATGATAAATGTGTCGAGGCGAAACCGCCAATCCTTGTCGGGCTGTTGTTTCCAAATGATTTGGCAGAAGGGCTGCCGGGACCTGAGCTGCGTGAATCGAGTTGCTGCGCGGTCACGCCGACGTACTTCGATGCGCGCGATCCGGGAGTAATGATCCCCGTAGCCGACTTCGCGCCAGGTCGTACCGGAGTGGTCGTATCCATTGCACTCTGTGACAAGGAGGCTCGACCCTTACCTGTAGGACCAGGGATGCCAGGCGTCCTGCGTCCTACCGATGCGGACGGCGTTACTCGACCGTTGCCCAAAGATGGAGTGACGCGCCCACCGCCGAAAGAGTGTGAGGGGGTCCTGCGACCGTTGGCGAGGGTGCCGGACGCGGATGGAGTGATCCTGCCGGACTGCGAGACAGACGGGGTGACGCGCCCGCTACGTGAGGATGCTACGGATGACGGCCGTGATGATCCATAGCCTACGGTGGGGGCGGATAGTTTGGTGCTTGCGACAAAGACGCCGCAATTGGGGGGACAGACGAAGTACTGTTTCCTGTTCGATAGTGCATGCACGCATCAGCCATTCTGTACGCGATCGAGCAGTGCACGGACGATACAACATAAAATATGAGGGGAATGGCACCGTATCAGCACGATGACGGTTGAGAGGTAGAGGGTTCGGCAGCACGGCGATTACAGGGAGTTGCAGATAAATAGCGAAGGTGCTCACCCGTTCACAATTCCGTTATTCTTTCCTTTGCCGACGAAGCCTCCGCTCAACTCAACACCAGCCCAGTGACCAGGCTTGCCGTCGATTTCGCCCAGATATCGCAGTGTGCCTTCGAATCCCAGAGACTCGATACGGACATTGTCGCCCTCCTCGAATGTCCTGCCTGCGCGGCTGGAGCTGCGTGCGAACACATCGGACTGGCGACTGGCGGGGCGTGGCACTGAGCCCCTCGAGGCTGGCGCGGGAGTGCGAGGAGGTACGGGGCTCACAGCGGAGGAGGAAGAGGCTACGGAAGGCGACCTGCCATTTGCGGACTGACGGCCGCTCAAGGAGGACTGGGACGCGGAGGACACGGACAGAGACGCGACTGAAGCGTCGCTCGCGCGACTGGAGCGGTGCTGAGCAGGGTCGTTGGCTTTGATCGCGTCTGCGAAGGCTCTTGAGATGTATTCGTCTTCTTGGGGCTGCGGTTGCTGCTGGGTGGTTGATGCAGAACGGAACCTGCCTGGGGTGGGGATGGCGCTCTTGCCTGGCGTAGGGATGCCAGAGAAGCGGCCCTTGCCTGGGGTGGGTATGGACATTGGGCGGGGGGAGGGACCGCGGTCGTCGCGTTGAGCTGCAGATGCGCGTCGCGGGCGTCGACTGCTTGCGCTAAGCCTCCATGCGACGATCGCCCGACACGGTCCCCGGGGTCGCGGTGCCAGGGCCCTCCCGCGTCGCCCGCCGCCGCCTGCCACCCGCTGCTCGCTGTCCTGCTCGGCCTCGCACTGCTTGCACCCGTCGTGTCCCCGCGGTCCGCCACAGCCCGCTCGCGGCCATGCCTCGCATTCCCTTCCAGCTCGCCCGCCTGCTCGCCCGCCCGCCAGCACTCCCTTCCCTTCCCTCGCAGCCAGCCGTCCGCCCCATTCTCACCGCGGTCCTGCCACGCTCCGTACCCAGCCTGCTCAACACCAGTCGGACACTCGCCCGCCTGCAGCTCGCCCCGACCCTATCCGCTCCCTCTCCCGTCCTCCACGCCCTGCAGCAAGTCCGGTTCGGCTCGCGAGGAACAGAGTACCAGCCATCGCAGCGGAAGAGAAAACGCAAGCACGGTTTCCTCGCCCGCAAGAAGAGCTTGCACGGCCGGAAGATCCTGGTCCGGCGCAGAGCAAAGGGGCGCATGTACCTCACCCATTGATGTCAGGAGCTCAGGCCGGGCGTTGATCTGGGGGCCCATAGGTGCGCCTTTTGCACGCTCACATCTGCCACCCACTGAGGTATGGACATCTTCAGACAGTTCTTGACCCTTCATACAAAATGGCGTCGCAGCAGAGTATACATGGGGAGTCTCTACATACCGCAATCATCCCTGCCAGAAATAGGTGCCAGTCGAGCACCCTGGTTACAACCAATACGCACTGCCATACACCCTCTGCTATGCATCGCTATAATCGAAAACAAGATGGTGTTTTCATTCCGTGATATCAGATAGTCTGCTAGTCCTAAGGGCTCGCAGAGGAGGAAGCACAGGCACGCTACTCTTCTGCTCGGCATAACCCTGAGCAGGAGAGAGCGGGTCTCCAGGTGTAAACAGAAATCCGCGCTCAATGTCAGCGACGAGGGCAGATATAGGCGTTTGCGCGACGGTGCCGACACGCTCAGGGGCACTACGCGGGCGGTCTGGCGTCGCCGGATCGTTCGAAATCTCGACCTTGGGCACGACAGGACGGCACTGGGCCTGCTGCGGACTTGGAGGCAGAGGCACCTCGGACGGCGGCACCGTCGCGTTCTGCCGTGGACTAGGTGGTAAGGGTATCTCTGCCGGCTGAGCTGCGCTCTCGGGCACTTCCTTCCCGCGTTCATGCACGTTTTCCTTGCTTTCCCCAGCCGTCTTGTCCCGGGAAACAGAGCGCGAGTGCCCTCCGCGTTTGGCTGGTACGAACTTGTCGCTGCGCCCCTTCTGAGTCGTACTCCCATGAGACGTGCCTGCGCGGTGCGTGGACTCCGTCTTCGGGATCGGTTTCGCCCTCTCGTTCGCCTTCGTCACAGCAGGCTTGGTCAGCTTGCTCTTCTGAGCGACAGCCTTGGCCGCAGCGCCGCCGCGTGCGTCCGCCCCATGAGAAGTCTTCACAGGCCCGAGTGGTGTCGGTGCCGTGCGTTCAGCAACATCGGCTCCATGTTTCGCATCTGACGACGCCGTCGGTTGTGTTTCTGGCGGGGGCATGCGTGGCACCCGCCGCGCCCCGCCAACGACGCGCTGAGGTCTGTCCGCCGCGTCCGGTCTCGAAGGAGGCATCGCCGCCATACTCGTAGCAGGACGGATAGGCCCTGTCCTCCCGCGCCCGGCCTGGTCCTGCAGGGCATCCTCACGGCTCACGGGTGCCGCTCTCCGCGGGCCAGACGTCCCGCCTTGCGGTCGCAGCGGACCAGGATCGGGTCGACTCGCCGTCGTTGAGCTGGCAGAACGCGACGGTGCCTCCGCCGGTGTGGACTGGAAAAGTCTGTCCTCGCTGGGGTCCGTGTTGGCTCGTTGTGGACGGCTCTTGCCCTTCTCGTCTGCGGCGACAACTGGCCTGCCGCTCCTGTTCGGGACAATCGCGGGGGGAGGCATGTTCGTCCTAGCAGCTGCAGAACGCTGTGTTGACGCAGCACCAGCCCCCGAAATCTGTCTCTGCCTGGTCGCTGCTGTAGAATGGGCTGATGACCCAACAAGATCCGACGAAGACGCAGAACGTATGTGCACCCGACTCGACGGTGCAATCTGCGTAGACGATGTGCCCGAAGTGGGCTTCAAGGACGACGTGGAAGATGAAAACTGCAAGGGCGGCAGCTTGCCATCGTTGGAGCGAGTTGACTGTGCAGAGGGTGGGCGACTCTGAGGGTTGGAGTGTGTAGCAGCAATCGGTTTCGGTTTGATGTCTAGGTACTTCCTGATCGTCGGCGTGAGAGGTTGAGTGAATCTAGCGTCACGGTCGTCAACAAGCACTCCGAGAAACCAACAGCATACGCACTTATCCACCCTCGACGGCAACACAAGCTTGTACGCCTCGAATATCTTCCTCCCAATCTTCCTCACATCCGCGCTCGCATCCGTCGCCGTCGACCTGATGATGATCTCTATCTCCCGCGCCCTCGGCTCCTTCTCCAAATCGGGAGGGTTCAGGCTGTTCAAGCAGGCCATAACGCACTCCGCCGCAATGAGGCGCAGCGACGCAGACTTATCCTTCACCGATTCAGCAAAGTAAGGCAAGAGCGACGGGGAGAGAGAATGATCGATAGTGGCGAGCAAGCATTGTCGCGCACGGGACTGGAAGACTTTGTTCGGGCGGATGCACAACCCGAGGAGCGTCGGCAGGAAGAGGGGGATAAGGCCCTCGAAAGACGGGCCGAGGGTTGTTATCAATGTTGTGACGAGCTCGATAGCCGCCCCGGACAACCGAGAGCGTTCAGAGTTGACAGAGTTGTTGAGGGACCGCGATATCGGGCGCACAGACACGACGGTCTCCTGGGCCCATGTAGGGGCATTGGCCCTCACAAGGGAGGTAAATGTAAGCATCGAATGCAATATCCTATCCCATGTCTCTTCGGACTCGGGAATCGACAGTGCGTCGCGCAAGGATTCCAGCTGGTGCGCGTATGCTGCAGGAGTCTGGCACTGGCCCGCAAACAACTGTCAGCCTTGCATAGCCGGTAGACAACGACTGGCAAGTACCTTTATGAGATTCGGAGGTGGTTTGGGGGCCATAGTTGAGTGAGGTGTCGTTGATGTTGTGGTTCGTATCTGAGTCGCTGCCGAAGCACGTCCTGAAGCCTCATGTTGAACCAACCGTGGCCTCATGTTGCACGTGATCGCGTTGTGGCGAGCCGCAATAGACGCGCGCGGCGGGTCTAACTCTCAGAGATTGAAAGCGAGATACTTATCGCGCCAATACCAAGATTCACTCATCCTCCAGCTAGGACTGTGTTTGACAAAGAATATGGACGTATACCAGAGGCTTGTATCAGGACAAGGGGAGACGAACACAGCGATCCACACGGTGGATATGCACACTGCCGGCGAAGTTGGTACTAGCTCGCGTCTGATAACTTTCACTATGCTGACTAGTGCTTGCGCGTCGCACGCACGTAGCCAACGCGCATTGTTGTTTCAGGATATCCTACGCTCCATGGGCATACACTGTTACAAAAGAGGGCTTATTCGAAACAACATCTGGATCATCTACGAACTCAGTACGCGCGTGTTCAACACTAGACAGCGACACGCTGCCTCCGTCGGGAATCAAGTCGTGTTGACTGTACCATCGTAGATTGATGTGGGAGCCGAGAGGCCACGCAGACATGTATGGGGCGCTGTTGGTGCAAGCGACGGAGCTCACAGAGAGAGGACAAGCTGACATCGGGGTACTCTTCATGCACAATGGTGCGTCGATACTTGACAGAATGCTTACGGGCTTGATTACGACGTTGAGCGTACAGAAGGGTACTCAACGATGTGCGGACATGCGACGATTGCCCTGGGTCGGTTCCTGGTTGACACGCAGGACAAGTCGATCTTTCCTCTGCGCGAGCAGTTGAAGTACGATGCGGAGAGGCGTGAAACGGAGCTACGACTGCACGCACCCTGCGGTGTCGTGCACGTCACTGTGCCGACCCTTGTCGAGGACGGCAAGGTGCGCTCGGACGAGAGTCGAGCGGTGACCTTCGTCAGCGTGCCCAGCTTTGCGTCCGCGCGAGACGTGGTCGTCGACATACCGGAGGCAGAGCGCTGGGCAGCCCTGCGCGCCAAGGGTCGGACACAAGTGCGCGTGGACGTCGCGTACGGCGGGGCATTCTATGCGATCGTGGACGCCAAGGAGCTCGGATTCGACGGCATTGTCGGCCACGGACACTCGCTGCGGGAGCTAGACGAGGCGACAGCGACGGTGAAGAGGCTGGTGGCGGGCCGGAGGGGGCTGACCAGGCACCCCAGCGAGCCGGAGCTGGAGTACTTGTACGGCGTCATCGTGACTGACGACGAAGGCGCGCAAGGCGGCGTCGGTCTGTGCTTCTTTGCAGACCAGGAGGTAGACCGCTCGCCGACGGGGTCCGGGGTCAGTGCGCGCGTCGCACTGGCGGTGGCGGCGGGGCGGACGGCGCTCGGGGAGACGGCCGTGTTCCACTCGCCAGTCAGTGTCGGCGGGGACGGCTTCACGGGGACGGCCGTCGCGGGCGGGGCGTCGGGCGGGGCGGGGCGCGTGGCAGTCGGGGGGCGGGCGTGGTACACGGGGGCGCATGTGTTTGTGTGCGAGGGAGGAGACCGGCGGGTGGCGGGGTTCCTGCTTCGCGACTGCCTATGACGTACCACGGTCCTGTGCATGATGTCATGACCACACGCCGTATATAGCGTCGCGTGCGCGGTCGTCTGCCATCCACCGCGCAGTGTTCATTCTCCTTTTGTCGACGACCCACCCACTCGAGCACCCGCAAGCCATGTCGTACGCATCCGTCGCCGCTCACAACGCCCCGCCCTCCTCTCAACAGGTATTTTCACAGCATGTCTCCGCCCTGGCAGCAGCCTAACCTCATCTACCAGCCCCACCCTGACCCTGCTCTCCTCACCACCGAGCCGCCCTCGGCGGACAACATCGCGGACGACGCAATTAAAGTCAACGTCGTGGCCCCAGACTTCCGCACCAACCCTGAGACGACCACCTCCGTCTCGGGTCCACCTCCCGTCGTGGGCGGTGCCCCCAAGTCTGGGCCCCACGGTAGGAAGGGCAAGGCTAGAAAATACTTCGACGAAGCCGAAGAGGAAGGCTCCTACCTATATGCGCGCGCCAAGCAATATATCCTGCGCCCCGGTGTCGCAGGTGGTCTCCTCGGGCTCGGTGCGTTACTGTGCGCTCTCTTGCACGTCTGCCCCACTGACTGGAATCGCCTTGCATCGAACAGTGAATGTTGGTCTTATCTCCTTTGCCGGGTACTCTCTGTACACCAAGCCTTACCTCCGTCGCGACACACGCGCCATCGGTTCGGCCGCCGCCGCGACTCTCTTGCTCCTCACTGGCGAGGGCTATGCCGCCGAAAAATACCGTCAAACTCCCCGAGGCCAGGCAGAGGAGGAAAGGGCCAAGAAGGAAGGCGCGGCCCTCTACCGCTGCGCCAAGGAGCATATCCTGCGGCCTGGTACTCTGGGCGGCCTTGTTGGTGTTGGTGAGTAGCACATCTGTGCACACACGAGTCATTCTCAACGGCCGCACAGTGAACGCGGGTATTCTGGGTGCGATTGGCTACTACGCGTACACGGAGTGGGATCGCCCCCGCTGGGATAAGCGTCTTGTGTCTGCCGTTTCCGTCGGGCTACTGACGCTCTGGTCAGGCGAAGGGTTCGTGCCTCCCAATGCCTACGCTTCGTGCAGTCACTGATGCCGTTCTGCAGGTATCTCGCTGAGAAGTACCGTGAGACTCACCACTGACGACACGACCACAACTGCGGGAATGACTCTTTATGACTAGGTTTAAGCGGATGTGATGAACACGTCCCGCCCCTCCTTCACAGAACTCTGTACCATACATATCATCGATATAGTACATGTATACAACCGTGGAATCATACCTTCTTGCATCCCATGCTTGCATTCCGCGAAGGCAGATTGGCTGTGTGGGAGCGCGGGCGAGCCAATGCGAGCGAACACATTCGCCACAGACGCGGGCGGTGAATAGCCCACCTGCTATATTTGGAGATCTTGCGGTGGCCACTAGCGCCCATGACGGGAAGAGCCGAAACTCAAAATTTCTGGCCCATCTCAAGCACTCCGCGTAATCGTCCCGCTCGCTCTCGCACACGCCCTCGCGCTCGACGCCACACACCTCTCGTCGCCCCAGGCCAAAAAGCACGCACAAATCATGTCTCGATTCTTCCGACAAGCAGGCGACAGCGACAGCGACTCCGAGTCGTCCTCTGAGGAGGAGCTCATGTCCAGCGACGATGAGGGCGCACCCAAGGCACCCGCGGCTAAGCCCGCCATGTCGCGTTTCCTGCGCACCGCGGGCAGTGATTCCGACTCGTCCGATGAGGAGAAGAGCGACAGCGAGGAGGAGAGTGAGGTGAGTCAGGAAGAGGGACAGGCAGAGCAGAGGCGGAGTCGTTTCCTGCGGACGGACATCGACGACGACGCGAGTGATGAGGATGTTACGCGCGTCGTGAAGAGCGCACGGGACAAGCGGCTGGAGGAGATGGAGGCGTGCGGAAAGACCATGGACAATGCGCTGAAGATCAACGATTGGGTCGCCATCTCTAACGGTGCGTTACGGATCGCTCTGTATACGGATGCAGCGGCTCACACTCAGCAGAATTCGACAGGCTGGTACGCATGGTGCAGCGTCAGCAAAATGTGTCGGAGCCCGTCCCGCCGTTCTACATCCGGCAATTGGTCAATCTGGAGAGTGCTCTGAACACTGCGGTGGCGAAGGAGAAGGAGGCGAAGAAAAAGATGAATGCGAGCAATGCTCGTGCGCTCAACGGCATGCGGCAAAAAGTCAAAAAGGTGACGAAGGAGTTCGAAGCGGACATCAAGCGCTTCCAGACGGTCAGTTTGTTAGTACATAGTCCATGTCTTCTGCTAATTCATGCTATGCCTTGCCCGCTTTCGTTTTACTGTCCTATGTTATCTGCGCGACTCCTCACAGGACCCTGACGCGTTTGAACGAGAGTACACCGCAGTCGTCGCGCCCGAGGCTGCCCCGGCCCCAAGACCGCGGGCAAGAAGGGCTGCAGAGAGCGAAGAGGAGGGCGCCGAAGATGACGCCTTCACCACTGTTGGCAAGGGCGGCAAGGCAATGGCCTTCACGCCAGAAAGCATCTTCAAGAATCTGCAGCTTGTGCAAGAGGCTCGCGGAAAGAAGGTTTGTAGATTTTCTTTCAGCAGTCCATTGAGTCAGCCAACTGATCCTCGCCATCAGAACACCGACAGGCAAGAGCAAATCCGCGTTCTCGAGAAGTTGCTCGCTGTCGCCGTAACCTCATACCAGCGCATTCGCGTCCTTCTGACCCTCATCTCTGCACGTTTCGACTACAACTCGTCTGTCGCCACACACGTGCCTATCGATCTCTGGGTCAATGCACAGAGCGAAGTGGACCAGCTGATCGGCATCATCATGCGCGAGCCGCAGTACGTGATCCAGGAGATCACAGAGGACTACGATGAGCTCGCAGAGCGGACGCCAGAGACGGAGAAGGACGGTATCGTGCGCATCCGCGGCAGCGTCATCAGCTTTGTAGACCGTCTCGACGACGAGTTCACGAAGTCGTTGCAGAACATCGACCCGCACGGCACGGAGTACGTTGACAGACTCAAAGATGAGAAGGGCCTATACTGCACGATCTGCCGATCGCAGGCGCTTTACGAGAAGACCAACAGCGATGACCCTCTTGGTCGCGTCATAATGCGGCGGTTAGAGCACATTTACTCGAAGGTCCGTCGTCGCATATATGCTTCTGAATACCTGATTCTGACGTTCTGACTAGCCTGATGCCGTCGTTCATGCTCTCGAGTCTACTGTCGCTGCCTCGGACATCAAGCCTTCTATCGTCCTGGACGTCGAGGGCCAGACGTCGTCCCTAATTCACTCGCTGTCTATCCACCTCTACAAGTCCAGCAACTCCTTCCTCCGTACCCGTGCCATGCTCTGCCACATCTACCACTACGCCCTCCACAACGACTTCCACACTGCTCGCGACATGCTCCTCATGTCGCATCTGCAGGAATCGATCTACTCTGCCGACGTTGCCACTCAGATCCTCTACAACCGTACTGTCGTACAGCTGGGTCTCAGTGCGTTCCGATGCGGCCTGATCAAGGAGGCACAGGCGACGCTGCAGGACATCTGTGCGACACAACGGGTGAAAGAGCTCCTCGCTCAGGGCGTACACCAGCAGCGGTTCCAGGTGCTTTCACCAGAGCAGGAGAAAGCAGAGCGTCAGCGCCAGCTGCCTTTCCACATGCACATCAACACGGAGCTGCTGGAGGCTGCGTTCCTTGTGTCGAGCATGCTCGTCGAGATTCCTCTCCTGGCGAGCATCGATTCCGAGGATCAGAAGCGCAAGGCGATCTCGAAGCCGTTCCGGAGATTGCTCGACTTTGCCGACAGGCAGATCTTCACGGGCCCGCCGGAGAGCACGCGTGACCACATCATGCAGGCGAGCAAGGCATTACAGAACGGCGAGTGGGAGAAGTGCCGCGACCTCATCCAGAGCATCAAGATCTGGAGCTTGATGCCGGAGTGCAACTCTGTCAAGGAGATGCTCGCGAAGTAAGTGGATTACACCCCCACGACTGTTGCTCCGACCTAATCATACTATGCAGGCGGATACAGGAGGATGGTCTGCGGACGTATCTCTTCACATATGCGCCACACTACACGACGCTTTCACTGTCGCTGCTGTCCCGCACCTTCTCGCTCCCCCTCCGCACCGTCACTTCCATCGTATCGAAGATGATATGGTCGGAGGAACTATCTGCGTCTCTTGATCAGGCAGCCGGCGTCGTCGTCTTCCACCGGATTGAACTGTCGCGCACTCAGCAGTTGGCGCTGAGCCTGGCCGATAAGGTCAACAACATGGTGGAGCAGAACGAGAAGACACTCGATAACAAGCTCGGTCCTGCTGCTACCTGGAATGACCGTGGAGACGGCGCGAAGGGCGCAAAGGGTGGTGAGCAGGCAGCAGAGAGGCGGCGCGGCGGCGAGAGGAGGGGCGGCGGGGCGCGTGGTGGTGGGCGGGGCCGGGGAGCCCGTTTCGCGCAAGGGCTCGGCAACCAGATGACTGGTGCGCAGAGGAACCGGTAATCACTGGACGTGTTTATGTGTGTGTATACGATTTTGTTATGATTGTGCTTATTGCTTTGTTGTCTGCATGCAGTGCGAGACTGTAAAGAGCATGTCTGTCTGGTATTACAATGTATGAGTACTACTATACACATGCATTATATTTCCTCTCTCTCGATGCCTACGAGATTGACCACTCAGCGTCCAGCTCTCAATCATCGCTCTCCTCGGACGAGCCCTCTTCCTCAGATTGGTTGTCGTCCTCGCTGGACTCAGGCGCCGCCGTCCAGTCAGAGATGTCGAGTTTCTCATTCCGCACGGTTTCTGTGAAAATGGATGAGCCCGAGTGAATGGTCGTGAAAACGTGAGACGCACCACCCGCGCCGACCTCGTATCCGCACTGAGTGACGCATCTCGACAGCTCAGCCTTTTCGCCGACTTTCGTGCCCTTTCCAAGTATGCAGCCGTCGAGCTTGGCACTACAGCGAAAAAAGTTCATGTACACTCTCATACCGCATGGTAGAACGGGACTCACCCATCGGCGATGACACAGTGATCCTGGATGACGCATCCAGCGATCTTCACCATCTTGCCAATAACGCAGTGCTTGCCGACGACGGACTTCTTGATGCTCGTCCGCTCCTCGACGCGGGTGGAATGCCCGACAATCGAGTCGGGAGAGATTGTCGACTTCGGGTCGATCTTGGACCGACTCTCAGAGTCGCTGGGCAGTGCGTATGTCTGCTGCGACAGAAACTGTCCTCGCCGTGAGCGGTGATTGAGGAGAGGGGGGATAGACCTTCACTTACATGGCGATTGAGACCGAGATAGGCGTGGAGGTTGTTTGCACGCGCAGCGTAGCCCGCTTGAGCACGATGGATGACTAGACCCATTCGGAGACTAGCTGGTATCCGTGCTTCTTCGTCGTCCTCGTCTAGAAGCAAGGCCTTGGTGTGCTCTTGGGTTTGGTCGTCTGAGGGTGGGCTGTGGAGGAACGCTTCTTCGTGCGCGAGGTGTACTGGGGCCTTGCTGTGGAGCGTCGAATGCTTGAGCGCGAGCTCCTGCGTCAGTGCGTTGGTGACGGGATTGAGCACTGGGAACGAGACATGGAGGGATTAGTCAAGGGACACAACGGCATAAACGTAGGAGTTTACCTCTGCCATACTTCTCAAGCTTCGTGCGTTGGTACTGTGGCTTGCACAACCAAGGGATGAACTCCTCTCGTATTGAGTCGAAGCTGGTCTTCTCCAGCAGTGCGTCCAGCACTTGACGCCGACATGCGTACACATGAGAGTCCAGGAGGGTAGCCGACAGCTTCACCCGAGGGTACCTGTGCAGGAGCAGTGGATGAGCACGCTATCCGTGTGAGGGCCAATCAGCATACTTGGAAAGCAAACTCATCCGCAACTCCAGTCCTTCACCATTTCTGTCTGCGTCGTCGGGGGTGTCGATGTGCAAGAGCGTTTCTGAGCGCTCGTCCCACACGATCGGTGTCGGTGCCGGTGCAGGGCCCCACTCATCCGCGCTGCTACCCTTGTCCGGTTTGCGACCCTCATAGAAGCATGCTGTCGCAATGGCTCCATCATATGTAGACTCAGTTCTGAACTTGTTCAAGATCTGGGTGAGGGATAGGGAAGGCGGCGGGACGAAGTCACAAGGCAGAAGGACGAAGTCTTGCTGAATGCGATGGGCGAAATGTCTGAGGATCGTGCTCGTCCCTCCACTGAGGTCCTGTGACTCCTCGAATGTCTGGAGATCTATGTTGAGCGAAGGGAAGGACGCGGAGGAATCTGATTGAATATAATTCGAGAGCGCAGCACGATGCGATGTTGGGCAAATGAGGAGCACGTCTAGAAGGGGATGTCAGCGACAGCGGTAGATCGTGAGGCTGTGACGCGCCTTTGATGCCCGACTGTTCGATCCATACGAGCGGGTACTCGAGCATAGGTTTGTTTGCGATGGGCAGGAGAGCCTTTGGGCTGGGCTCTTCGCCATAGTTGCCGGTGAGCGGGAGGAGCCTGTGTGCCAGTGAGCAGGGCAGAGAATGAGACGTGCTGGGATGCGCACTCGTTTCCGAAGCCGGCGAGGACGACGGCGAGGAACTCTGGGGGGATGAGTTTTTGGGATGACTCGTCGAAGTCCATGGTCAAGGAGCGAGATCCCAGATCGCGGTGTCGGCGCTCGTCCAGTCGATCGTCTGTCCGCCGTCCTCCCGCCTCCGCGTCCGCTCGCCCATGCCCGACGACCACAGCCCCTCGACCACTCGCCGGGCACCCCCTCTCCCCGCGAGCCATGCCGCCCCCCGTCTCCGTCCACCAGCTCTACAGGCGTCTCGAGACTGTCGGCAAGGGTGCCTATGGCTCCGTTCACAAGGGCATCGAGATTGCCACCGGGAACGTCGTCGCACTCAAGATCATCAACCTCGACACCGAGGACGACGACGTCGGCGACATCCAGCGCGAGGTCGCCCTTCTCACACAGCTCCGTGACGCCCCAAACATCACCCACTACTACGGCTGCTTCCTCGATGGTCCCCGTGTCTGGATTGTCATGGAGTTCGCCCAGGGAGGCAGCGTCCGCACACTCATGAAGGCCTGCAAGGACGGCGTCGTTGAGGAGAAGTACGTCTCTCTCATTATCCGCGAAGTCCTCGCCGCTTTGAGTTACCTGCACAAGTCCTCCATCATCCACCGTGACCTCAAGGCCGCTAACATCCTCGTCACTGCTACTGGAAAGGTTATGCTCTGTGATTTCGGTGTATCTGCCCTCCTGGTCACGGCGTCGAGCAAGCGGAACACACTCGTCGGGACGCCCCACTGGATGGCTCCCGAAGTCGCTCAGGGTTCTGCCTATGACACAAAGGCGGATATTTGGAGCTTGGGAATTGCGATATACGAGATGGTCAAAGGCTCTGCGCCCAACTCGCACATGATGGATCAGGCGAAACTCATCCAGATGCTCCCGCGGATGAAGCCTCCGCGACTAACTGAGGGCGAAGGAAGCAAGGAGATGAGAGAGTTTGTCGCGCATTGCCTGAGGGAGTCTCCCAACGATGTAAGTGGAATCCCAATGCTCAAACTGAGCACTGCTGAAATGGTGGGACAGCGTCTCAATGCCGATGAGCTATCCAAGACGAAATGGATAAAGACCGTAGCCAAAGCCCCGGTCACGCCCCTGAAAGACCTCATCCTTCGGTATGATACATGGACGCAGGGCGGCGGGACGCGTGCCAGTATTGCGGACTCACTGCCATGGGAACAAGAAGAGCAAAGAGAGTATGTGCTGCCCAGGCGTCGTATTATCATCCACTGAGATGTGCCTCAGTTCGCTTCCCGACGTTCACGTAGAAGACCGTGACGACTGGCAATTTGACACCGTGCGCGGGCGTCCATCATTAGACGTGGGGCAACCAGATCCAGATACAAGTCTGTTCGTCGCGGACGACGACTCTTCCTCCTACCCTACCGTGAGGCCACCACCCTCAAAGGTGCCGCCAACCCTACGCATGCTCTTCGAAGATGACAGCGCCGGCACTGCCGCAGACCCCTTCCGGATACCTGGTCTGGACCAGTCCCAGACAGACTCGCTTCTCAGCTCTCTGTCTCCTGCTCGTGGTCGCAGTCCATTCAAGCCTCCCGCTCCTATAGACGTGAACGCGGAGACTCCGGATACTGCTAAGCAGTCAGACTTCAACTTTCCACCGCCGAGAACGTCGACTCCCCGCGGGAAGTCGAAACTCGCGCAGGCCTCTCGCAAGGACGACGGAGATGAACCTCTACCAGCCTTGGGGCCAGGCATCCCTCTCGGGAGCTCTTCTGGTCCGTCGAGCGCGCCAGCTCTCGATGGGGGGAGGTTGTTTAAGCCCACTTCCAATTACCGGGAAGTGCGCTCCAACCGCGGGTTCGCCGATATCGAAATCCCCGACCTCTCTGACGACTCCATCTTCGACACCCCTGCAGATCCCTCTGTCTCTACGCCGCCGATTTTTCTATCATCCTCCTCTCCAGAACGTCCATCCGATCGACCTGCCCTCAGTCGAAAGCGATCGGAAAGCAACGTGTCAAACTCCATCCCTTCGCCATTCAAGACCACCTCAGGGAAGGAGCGCACGCCTCCACCATCGGCTGGCTTCCGTTTCCCTGCAGTCCCTGGCCCGTCGACCGATGGAGGTCGCGGTGCGCCCTCTCCGCTCCCCAGCTTCGACTTGCCATCGGGTCACCGCCGGCGGTCCCCCACCCACGCGAGCATCTCGACGATTGATAGCATTTCATCGACTACGCACCAGATGACCCACTCCGTCGACACTGCGCTCTTACCCAAGCGGCTCGCCTCGCCAGGAGGCTCATTGCCCGCATTGCCGAACATGACGCGGTCACGCTCAGCGATGGGTACTGCAGAAGGAACGAGTCCGGCGACAAATGCTGAGTCAAGTGCTGAAGGGAGTGGCCTTGCGCGGAAACCAAGCCTGAATCGGCTTGCGTCCGTAGCGGTGATGGAGAGCGTGCACAGGGCGCCTACCCCTCCTACAAAGCCGTTCGCGCGAAGTCGAGAAGGGAGGGGTGGTAGCATCACTGACGGTGCACAGTTGAAAGATGTGCTGAAGGTTTGCTTTCGACATTCGTTTGACATGGTTCGATCACTAAATGCTTATTTGCACAGATTCCGACACTTACGTCCGAGCACAAGATCGGCATGCCAGACTTATTGCCTCCATCACCGTCCATGATCAACCCTCCTCGGCCTTCCCATTCCCCTAGCCCCTTCAGCTTTCCACCGTCAGATACAAGCCAGCGCAATCTCCCGCTATCCAACTCCGCCGCATCCTCATCAACAACTTCGTTGAGCTCACTCTCTTCGCAGATGAACCAGTCTTTCAGCGATGGCCGTCTCGGCACCGCAGACTCATCCACTTCCTACACGCAATCCAGCTCTCACTCGCGCTCGCTGTCACTCTCACACGGATCCTTCCCGACACTGCCGCTCCCAGCAGACCTCACCGGCCCACCATTACAGCCGCTCGACTTCGGCGGGCTAATGCAAAGCCACGAGGCGACGCACGCCGCGCTGGCGCACACCGTCGACGACCTCGCCCAGTGGCTCTCCGTCGTAGAGGTCGGGCTCGCGCACCTGCTGGACAAGGGCAATCAGAACACGATCCAGGAAGAACAGGAGCAAGATGCCACGGACGAGGACGACATCCCGCCGTCGCTCCGCCAAGTGGCGCAGGTCGCCAACGGCGGGCCCTCCTAAGCTGAAGGTTATATTATTGCATCTATGTAAATTGTCTCTCTGGATTTGCTTCTCCTATCATTCGATCGTGGTGGTACATATGCACTCCAGTGCCTGGACACTTGTATTCAATGCAGTCTGTATGCATATCACAGCAATAATCATCCACAGTCACATCCGCACCATCAACCCGTCTACAGCGTTAGATGAAGCCCTTTTGTGCGAGGTATTCGGAGATTATGCGAACGGATTCTGCGACGTCGCACTGATCCGTCCTGAGGTGAATCTCTGGGTTTTCTGGGGGCTCGTAAGGCGCGGAGACACCAGTGAACTCTACTCGCGAAATCGAAATCAAAATCAGTCGGCTTCCGGTCATTGACCAGACACTTACCTTTAATCTCTCCTGCTCGCGCCTTCTTGTACAACCCTTTGGGGTCGCGCTGCTCGGCGACCTGCAGTGGTGCATCTACGAAGACTTCAACGAAGCCCAGGCCCGCCTTCTCGTGCAACTCCCGCGCGCCTGCCCGATCTGCTCGGTATGGCGAGATGAAGGCGGTGATGGCAATGCAGCACGAGTCTGCGAAGAGCTTCGAAACCTATGATGCATTGCATGAATACCACTGAGCAGCGGGTCGAGAGGTTGTACGAGCACAAGGACGTACCTCCCCTATCCGGCGGATGTTCTCATTCCTCGACTTCTCGTCGAAGCCCAAGTCCTTGTTCAGCCCGAACCGCACATTATCGCCGTCCAGCCGGTAGGAGAACTTGCGCAGATGGAGGAGGTGCTGCTCGAGCGCACACGCGATCGTCGACTGTCAATCGCAGTGAAGACTCCAGGTCAGTCCGAGGATGCGCAATCGCGGGGCAGAAGGGTGTGACCGTACCTTCCCGCTCGCGCTCAGGCCGGTGAGCCAGACCGTCACGCCTTTCTGTTTCAACAAGTCCGCACGCTCAGGGCCGTCGACAGATCCTGTCAGGGTCATGCGTGAAGCTCGTCCAGCCGCGACGGTGCTCTGCGGGCTGCTCACCGGGGTGGAATGTGATGTTCGTGGCCATTTGACGATGCAGTGAAATGAGGTTGCTTTTAGCTTTTGCGTTTACGCAGCCCTCCTCGAACGTAGGAACGGGCGTGTACGCGGAAATTGAGCGGATAGGGATTGCGCCATGATGAGCATCGGCGACTGGGTGAGCGATGTATGCGCGGGCACGTGAACGCGAAAACACAGTTGATCGAGATGCAATCTCATCCGCCGTGTCATCTCTAACTTTTAAGTAAGTCGTCAAATTCGTTAACAACGGGAAAGGGCGCAGTGATACAGTACAGTGGTGTGAGAGCAAACAACGAGAGGTGTCACGGACAGGTTCGTACCCAGTGGAAGCGAGCAGAAAGGCAAAATGGTGGTACTCCAGAGACCGCGTGTTACATTGCCGTAGGATACCATATGAATAACGACGAAAGCGATGACACTAGACCCAAGCACAGATGAGACAGTGCGACAAACCCTGGGGAAACTACTGGTTCAGTTGGCTGCATAACCGCACCACGACCGTCTTGATCGCGTCCGTGACCTGCTCCGTGGAGAGCGGCTGGCCGACTGGTGGGCAGTGCATCGCGAGGACGGGCGTGCTCCGTGCTGGGCTGTCGCGGTCCTTCGACTTCTCCTGCTTGGACGAGGAGCGCTTCGCCTCCGCAAGCGAGCAATAGAAAGCGTAGTCGCACAGGTAGTGGCCTGCATCCATCGAAGTGTATACTCTCTGTGAGGAGTATCAGGTGGCCGTGTAAGGGCGGACAAAGAATGGACACACTTTCATCGCATCTTCCGGATCGTTCTCCAGCTCGAGCTCCTTCATGTAGAGGACCAGCCGTGCGACGTCGATCTCGGTGTGGATCTCCTCGGGGAAGTTCTCGTAGCCCTTGCTAAATCCACGATTCGGCGGGATCTCCGGACCATCGCCATGGCCCTCGACGGGCGCAGCAGACGACATGACGCCCTGCAGATGGAGTTCCATCCTCTCAATCTCGGACGCCTCCGGGGTGACGGTGGGTCCCTCCTTGGGCACAGCCGGCGCATACTGCCCCTCGCAGTCCCTCATCGCATACCCATGCTTGTGTGCGAGCTTCTCGAACCGAAGCGGGCCGCGCCCGGCGAGGGCGACGTGGAGCATAAAGTCGTAGCCGTTTTCTGGCGGGGGCGGCATCACCATTGTTGGGTCGACGATCGGCGGTAGGATGGGCGGACGAGCATGCAGCCCAGGGACGGTGGCGAGAACGCCTTGGAAGTTCATGGGGATCTGCGCGCAGGTGATGTGTATAGGCTGCGGGGTCATCTCGACGTCCTGCATCTCGTCGGTGATGATGGCGAACTCGTCGTCATCGTCGTGGATGACGGGCTGGGCCTCGGTGTAGAGGATGGCGTTGTGGAAGGGACGGACGGCGAGCCACGAGGGATTCTCATTGAAGTTGCGGAAGGGCTTGGAGGAGTGAGTGCTCGCGACGAGAAGGGCAGAAAGGGTACGAACGCACCCCAAAACCGGTGATGAGGACGCGGATCGCGTGCGGGGCGATGGGCGGGGAGTCCTGGTCCATGGGGGAGGAAGAGGAGGAGGGGTCGAGGGAAGGAAGGGCGGCAGAGAGGGTGTGCATGCTCATAACCATTGCGATCTATTCACAACCCCCGTCCCCGCCCAGCCCCGCCCATCACCCCCCGTCACGCGTCACGGCCTCGTTCCCTCCGCGTTCTCGACGACCGTCACACTCGCCTCCGTATGTACTTCAACGACTCCCGTGAGAGTCCCACTGCCAAGTGCGCGATAAGTACAGCCTATCTCATGCACGATATACCCAGCGGACGCTGTAGCGGCGTACGAGTCAGCTTGTTCTCAAAGGCCACTGACATCCGCCCGAGCTCACGAATAGGTTGAACATGGCTGGTCCTGCGCCTTCTTCGCCAAGCACCATCCCCCCACAACCGACGGCCTTGCGCGTCCTCGTGACGGGATTTGGAGTAGATCCCCACCTAATACACATGCCCTCAGTACTCACCCATTTCTCAGCCCTTTTCCACTGTCAAGGTGAACCCCTCATGGCTCGCCGTCAAGCCCCTGCACAACACCACCCTGCACACACTCGATCCCGCCGCGCGCCCCATCCACATCACCGCGCTCGAAGTCCCCGTCACCTACACTGACGTCCTCTTCCTGACCCCCCGCTTCCACGCAAGCCCCCCGGTCCTCCCGTCGCCCAGAGACCCAGCCGTCGCGCCGTATCCGCCACCTGCAGACGGCTTCGACTTCATCCTGCACGTAGGCGTTGCGGGGCCGGGACCTATGCGCGCCGAGAAGCGCGGCAGAAAGGTCGGGTACAACACGCCGGACGCGGAGGGCAGGCTCTGTGCTCCTGTCCCGACTGAGGACGGAGACGCGGTTGGGCCGAACGCTGCGCCTCCGTCTGGGGCGGGACAGGTCCGCTCCATGCTGTACGATTGGGCGCGCAGTTTCGCCGCATACCTGGACCCACCTGTGCGTGGATTCGGCAAGGGATACGAAGCCTTCCAAGACGAGCTCTTCACTGAAGTGGACTCTGATGCGTTAATTGGGTACCTGAAGGAAACTGGGTTTACGGTATGCCCCTGCCTTTGACCCCCGCACCCCACGAGAGTGACTTTTGCGATGCAACGCGTGTAGCAAATCGTACCGTCGACGGACGCGGGACTCTACCTCTGTGAGTTCATCAACTACTGCTCGCTCGCGGAAGCCAAGCGGGCCGCGTCGAAGCATGAAAGTGGAAAGGCCACGCCGACCCTGTTTCTGCATTGTCCACCGGTCGATCAGCCGTTGAGTACGGAGCAGGTCACCGAGGTATTGCGGAACGTCGTGGCTTGGGTATGCAGCCAATACGCCTCATGACAGGGCTCGCACCAGGGACTGCCGCTGCGTCAGAGGGTTTCTTGTACAACTAACAGTGTTACTTTGCTACAACAGTAGTACTGGGCACTACGTTGCCCATTCCTTCAAGTATGAAGACCATACAAAGACTCGTCTACAGATTGTAGAATGCAGCGTTAGGTGAATACCGCCGTAAGCATTTAGGAAGCCGGTGAACTTGGGGGCGGTCAGCCGCTCATGATTGACTGCAGACCCACGAGATGGTCTTCCTCAGCGCGTCCGTGCACTCCTCTGTACTCAGAGGCTCGCCAACGGGCGGGATGTGAATGAAGAGGACAGGAGTACTCTTCGTGGTAGCCTCGGTGCGCTTAGACTCGGCAAGGGAGGCGTAGTTGATGAACTCGCAGAGGTAGAGTCCCGCATCAACCGAGAGCGCGACCTGCTGTGTAGAATGGCACCCGAGTCAGCAGAGGCTTCATTAAAGGGCTAGCGAAAGAGCCATCGCACCTCCGTACCAGTCGCCTTGAGGTGCTCCGCGAGCTTCGCGCAGTCAATAGGCGTGAACAATTCGTCCGCGAGCTCCTCATAGCCCTTTCCAAAGCCGCGCTTCGGCTTTCCATCTACGCCCCCAGCCTCCTCCACAACCTCGCACAAGTTGCCCTCCGCGTCGTCCTGGTCATACCCGAACTTCCGCCCGCGCTGCTCCAGCTTGATGGGGTTTCCGCTCTTGCTCATGACGCCGACGTGCAAGATGAAGTCGTACCCGTCTGGCGGCGGCGGCGCGACCGCCATGGCTGGGTCCTTCGGCGTAGGCACGACGGGAGGCCGAGCGTGGAGTGAGGGCGCAAGGGCGAGGACGGACTGGTAGAGGGTCGGAACCTCGAGGGAGGTGATGTGGATAGGCCTGTCATCCGCGGTGCGGACGGTCGTGTTGTGGAGGGGCTTCACGGCGAGCCACGACGGGTTGACCTTGAACGAGCGGAAGGGCTACGATCCGTGTCAGACAGTTACACCCAGGACGACTGCATGTCTAGACTCACCCCGTAGCCTGTTACGAGGACGCGAAGAGCCTGAGGGTCCACATCGTGAATGGTCTCTGCCGGGACGGGCATGGTTGGCGAATACGTGCGGGTGGACCTGAACTATCAGGAGCATGCCTTTCGTATCTTTATAGCTTCATGTACGAGGCGATACGAGGAACGGACGGTCAGTGTGAAGCCGAAGAACGGCACATGATAAAGGAACGAGAGGTAGGGGAATCACTCATGTTGTGCCTCACCCGTCGACTTTGCCGCCTCATCAGTGTGCAAAATGGAAGTACGGGGATACATTAGCTCGTGGTTGCTCTGCCTATCGCACACAGGGGCAATCTGACCCGCAGACTACAGTGGTCAGCAAATTGGGGTCCCTTATCAACCGCTGGACAGGGAGCAGCTATCTATACGCGTGGTAACTTGAATGTCCCAGTCAGAAGCGAAAAAAACCCCTTGGATTGAGTGGCCATACCTTCATTCATGCACTTATTCGTTCCTTCAAGCCCACAGTTGCGTTGCTTGTATTCCTAGGTTTTGGCTATCCAGCAAACCAGTTCTTTTCATGAGGCGCATATGCGTGAGCCACCAGATGAGCCCTCGACGGGCCGTTTGTCGCGTTTGACGTGACGACCAAAGCAGTCGACTACAGGTATCGTTGGCACGACGAACGAGGCTCTGTCTTGCGGTATTGTCAATCGCACTGTCGATCACGGGTGACACATTCCTGTACTTCAAGTCTGTGCAACTCGACACTCACCTGTGAGGACTCGCACAGCTGCTTCATACTTTCAACCAGTGTCCTGTTGAATTTGTCTCACAGCACCGCGTCCAGAACTAACATGGGATGAAGAGATCGTGGCGACTTAAGGGGCCCACACATTCTGAATCGAGACTGACGCGTATCATGTGACGGACGCGTCTCTTGCCGCCCACTGCAGCCTCGGCGCCTCTGCCCGCGTCGCGCGACCGGGCGGGGACCGGCTTGCTCGCCTCCCACTCTCACCCGCGATGCCTTCCAACCAGTCCGGCACAGGTGAGCATTGATGATTCAAGGAGTACAAGTTAACTGAGCCATGTTCGGTAGTGGCGTGGTGCGCATCTCATTGTATTGCTAAGCACAATTCCACCCCGAGTCTGACATAACGGCACCAGTCCTGTCTGTTCCCGACAGGTCCCAGAGAAGGACATCAACTACCATCTCGATAACAACTGTCAGGATGCGGGAACCAGCTCTCAAAAACCCAACGCCAAGGTCCAGTCGTCTATCGCTTCACTGTTCACACCCACTGGCAAGGGCCAACATCACGACGCGCCTTCTTCCTCGCAAACTCCAAGGACCGCAAACCGAGCACATGAATCGAAGAAACGCGCCCAACCCGATGATATCTCCTTTACTCTCGAGCCCGGCCCCTCGAAGCGAACGCGATTGCAATCGGCGGCACCTCTCGCAGAAAGGCTTCGACCTCAGACGCTCGATGAGTTTGTCGGGCAGCCTCACCTCACAGGGCCTGACTCGCTTCTGATGCATCTCATGGACACTGGCTCGACCGGAAGCATGATATTTTGGGGACCTCCAGGGTAAGCTTCAATACAACATTGTTAGATACATTCTCGTGAACGAAATTGACGTCTGTCATGTCGCCTAGCTGCGGAAAGACGACATTGGCTCGCTTATTAGCGAAGCGCACGAGCGCAGTGTTCAAGGAGCTGAGCGCGACGGACTCTGGGATAGGGGAGGTGAAAGCGGTTGCGGAAGAGGCGAAACGGTTCCTCGCTCTTACGGGAAGGTACGCTTGTCGTGCTCAGATAATTTCATGGAATTACAACGAGGTCGGCAGGAGGACCATTCTATTTCTGGATGAGGTGCACCGCTTCAACAAAGCACAACAGGTTGGTGTAGGTCTTCTGCCAGTCTCACTCGAGGCTGAATCGAGCAGGATATTTTCTTGCCTTACCTGGAACACGGCCACCTACAAGTAGGTTACCCTCTGTAATTGCCTATGTTGTATAGCTCATACATGATCCCCTTAGCTCATAGGCGCAACGACTGAGAATCCGTCGTTCAAGTTGACGGGCGCATTGATCAGTCGATGCCGGTGAGTGAACGTCCGTTTGCTGCCATGTGTAGCTTGTGCAAACGTAGCGCCTCAGGGTATTCGTCTTGGAACGTCTCACGGATGAAGACATCCGCAGAATTATAACGCAAGCCGTTGAACGCGTGTCTGCCTCGACATCTGACGCCACGTCTGTCGTCGACGCCGATATGGAGGACATCCCTAGCTCCCAACCGGAAGAAGATCCTCTCCCTGAACTTCCCTCATCCCTCTCGTCAACCGCTACGGCTCCTACTGACCCCGCACCGCCCTTTCCTTCCTATCCTCAGCTCACGCCCAAACTACTCTCCTCCATTGTCTCACTGTCCGCGGGCGACGCGCGTACCGCACTGTCCCTACTTGAACTCGTCCTCACAGCGCCTCCTACATCTTCCCCGGACACCCTCCTAGACTCGCTTCGTCGGTCCGTGTCGACGTCGTACGATCGCACCGGCGAGAGCCATTACGACATGATCAGCGCACTACACAAGAGCGTGCGCGGGAGCCAGCCGAGCGCTGCGCTCTACTGGCTCGCCCGCATGCTCACCGCCGGCGAAGACCCACTGTACATCGCAAGGCGGATGGTCGTATGCGCGAGCGAGGACATTGGGCTCGCCGACGTTCACGCCCTACCGTTGGTAAGAACAAATGTTGGCTGCCACTCTCCATTGTAACCGGTTCATTCGTACCTTCCCCAGGCAATGGCCGCACTACAGGCATGTCAAGTCATAGGCATGCCCGAGTGTCGCATTAATCTCGCGCATCTTATATCCTACCTCGCCGAAGCGCCGAAGTCAACTAGGGCATACCAAGGTTACAACCGCGCAGAAGTGGCTGCCAAGTCGGATCCAACCGCCCCAATACCTTTACCTGTACGCAATGCGCCAACGAAGCTCATGAAGGAGCTCGGGTATGCAAGAGGCTACTGCTACAACCCAGACTACATGTAAGCAGTGGATCTCTCACCAAAGTGTACTCCATATTCAATCCCTTGCCAGACATCCTGTCACGAATGACTATTTACCACCTCCATTTAAAGACCAGGTCTTCCTCAAACCTGTTGGTGATACCTCTGACAAGATCTGGGATGAAGATGCTCTGCATAGGTGGGAGCTGGATGAAAACAATGGTGGGGCCTGGGAAGGGAGGGGAAGAGTAGCACAACCACAAGGCACATAGGTTCATGGACATACTGACAGCACTGTAACATGACCATTTGGATTCCACTATAATCCCCTGAGCATACTATTCCTGGATGTAACATAGACATGAGTCCTGCTTAATCTAGTCATTGCTTGCAAGTGACTGAGACCATAAGAGAAATAATAAAAGAGCAAAGAGTAAAGAGTAAAGTTGGCATGCAATCATTCCCTCCACATTCTCCCCTTGCAATTCCTTGCACCACATTGACACTTCACATACACAGCATCATCAAAGTTTCTTGCCTCCACCTACTTTTTTGTGAGCATTGAGAGCTACAACCTGATGGTAAGCTCACTCACCATGTTCTGAACCTCCTCTTCATCATCATCAGTACCATAATAAGAGAAGCACAGTTCTTCTCCTGGAGCAACATCTTTGAGGGTGAAGATGGTCAACAGTGGCTTGTCCAGGTTGGCCTCATTGATATAGACAGGGTTGATATGGCAGTTTGGGTCACAGCTATGATTCTAGATCACATCACATAATGTCAGCCAAGCATCCTCAATACACAGAAGCAGAGTAGACTTACAAGGTACCTGGTGAACTGAGAATGTATACACATCAGAAATATCCCAGGCAGATAGACAAAACAGAGACCCACATTTCCAGCATGGTAGGCATCCACACTGTACTGGGAAGACCAATCATCCTTCCCTTCCCTCAGATAGTAGAAGTCTACATCAAAAAGGTATGTGCGCCCAAACTTGTTGTAGATGCTATATGTGCAGAGAACAATCAGACCTCATATCAAAGTGCCAGGTAGAATACTCACATGCCCCGGACTTCTGCCTCAGCTTCCATTAAGTATTCCCCTGCATATATTCCCAGATAGGTATTCTTAGGGATCCTTTTTGGGCCAGCAAATACACCTGGGTCCTTTTCATGAGTTTTGAAACCGATACACTCTTCTGGACTACATACCCCATCCTTTATGTCGGGTCTTACGAATCTCGATAGCATATCTTCGCCCATGTTGCACCACCTACACAAGTCAGCCAGTCTGTGAATGCACATATACACAGTCAACATACCCGGTTGGAACAATCATCTGAACAGCCACAGAAGTCGTTACATTCAAAAATAGGGTACCCGTGTGCCTTCAATTGCCCCTTGTTCCTGCCTTCTTGGTATAAGAACCCGTCGGGGTGGTGCTCCTTCTGACGTGCTAGGCATGAGCAAGTTTTTGAGTTCGGGTCGCAGGGTCCCAGGCATCCGCAGCCCCGCAAGTTCACTATGTCTGGCTTCGGCACACCTGAACCGTGCCACATGAGGTTAGAATAGTGGAACTCGAAAGGTGGTGTGAGCTCATCGTCGATGTCGTTGACGATGCAGATGGGAGGCGCGTGAGGTTCGTCTTCAAACGTGTTCTCTATGATCGCCTGTTCGAACAGCTTGACTTGCATGTCACCTTCCTTGCGTGCCCGCGGATGTAGAGCGTTGATTTGGTCCTGTAGTTCGTGAGGAAGGTCCTTAGCCAAGACGTAATAATTAGCGAATTCCTTCATGATCCGACGATGATCCTTCTGCCAGCTGAGAGACTGGAAGCCGGCTTTCTTCGCCACGAGCTCGAGGGTGGTTGGCTGCCATTCGGGCTCGTCACTAGGACTTGCTATGCGAGGTTCAGCGAAGGTGGGATCGAACTCGTCGCTCAACTCCACAGGCCCGACGGAGGAACTATTGGTGCTTGTGGAACGACGAGAACGCGAGGCACGGCGAGAGTCTCCCGATGGCGCTGTGCTACGGGACTTGTTGCGGGGCCTCAGCTGTCGTGTGGACGGACCCGCCTCACTGCTTGCCGGTCCGTTGGATACCTGAGTCTCTCGTCAGCTATTACATACGCAACAAAACGATGTTATATACCTCAACCTCGGCAATATCCAGATAGGATGCAATTTCCTGTTCAGAGTCTTCGCCTTGCGACGGTGAGGGAGATGTGGGGGGATATCCTGACTCTTCAAACCTAGCTGCTTTGCTACGACTCCTTTGCTTGAGATGAATGATAGGAACATCTTCCTCGCTACTGTCTTGTTCTTCGACGACCGCATGGACGATTCGGCCGGAGAAGAGATTCGATTGGGGTTGATCGTGGCCGCCTTCAGTCGAGAGTTCATTCTCCGCGGAGGTTTGTTTGCCATGACTGCCGGGCGAGACCCTCGAGGGTCGCTCTGAACGCACGACCGACGTTCCAGCCATCGTCTCCGAGTCAGAAGCATGCTTCTGCGGATGCCGCACGTGCATGGATTGAAGGCTATCTAACGATCGCCTCTCTGCAACGGTTGTTGACTCGGCAGATGGCCCGGGGGAGCAAGACGCCGAAACCTCGTCAGTAGGCGGAAGATCTATGTCTGTGTGTTCATGAGTCACAATGCAGTAGTTTAGTTTGGTGGACACCCACTAGCGACATTGCTCTTCCCGACCGTGCTGATTGGGGGTGACATGGCTTCCGATTTCGTCACTTCAGAACTAGACACCGTCGGTACGGTTTGTATACCCCGCGCGTCGTCGTCGTCGTCGTCGTCGTCGTCCAAAGTCAAATCAATTACTTCAGTGCGTTCCAGCCACACGGAATTGATAACTTCCGCCAAAGAAGCACGCTCTGAAGTTTGGGGCTTCGTACGGAAAGGCGCAGGCGTCGGGCTTGTCATTGCACTTGTTGCCTGTTAAAAGGGTTTTCAGTACACACGCGAGGTTGAGAAGTGTGAAGGTAACTCACCCGGGCATTGGCTCGAGGGCCAGAAGACTCAGCTTCACTCTGGTCAGGGCCAGCTTCTTCTTGAGGAACAAGGTTGGTTTCAACAGCTATTTCATGACTCGGTGCTTCTTCCGCTGAGTCCGACATATGAGCCGAAGGTGAACGTGACTTCGAATTCGACGGTCTACTGATAGACCTTGAAGACGGGTATGCAAGTTCAAGCCCGCCAAATGAGCTCGCAGAGTCCACCTCTTCCCCGGTGCGCATGTCCTCGTGTGCAAGTGGTATCTCCCTGATCGGGCTTGACGCGGTGACCTGAGGCGAGGATGCGGCCGCTCCAGGATCGGGTGAAGCTACATCTTCCATGTGCACTTTAGACGCGACAGTGAGTTCGCGGACGCTCCCGGACGTTGACCGGCTCTTCCTGCGACTTGCATATACATCCTTGAAGAATCCGCTTGCGCCGCCGTACACAACCTTAGACGATTTGCCTATGCTCGGGGACAGTGGCGCTATCCACACGGATGGTGTTGGGTGAACAAGTGCTTTCTGGGAAATCCTCTCGGGACTCGCAGTCTGCCGTGGGTCTCCCGTCTGTCCTTGTCCAGTGCTGAGGACGGTCGTGAACGAGGGTGACTGCGTCAATCGGGCGGGTGCCTTCTCCATAGCACGAGCTGACATTACGCCGCTGCTTGGTGTAGACATGGCCTGCGTGTTTCCGTCTCGCTCGGGAGAGCTCGCAACGGGACCAGCGGCTTCGTCATGATCCTCCGTAGCAATGTGGAGCTGAGTATTGGTAGACAAAGCAAGGTCCGCATCCTCTGATGTAGGGCTCGCACTCTGAGGTACACCTGACAGAACACATCCCGTTTAGTATGGCAACAGACATTGCGACGAAATAGACTGACTCTGCATGGGTTCAACCTCAGGCTCCTCGAGCAACCCTACATCTTCGACTGCTTCCGGAGAGTCATGCGATGAAACATCTGGCTGATTACCTAGATCCAGACCCTGCATCTGTTCCTCGATGACAACATCATCGGGCTCCTCCTGAGCGTCCACAGATTCTTCGATATGTTGGATTTGCTCCTCGACCTGTAACAGATAGTATCACTATTCAGGCACTTCAAAAGAATGGTCAATATCAGCTTACCTCTGCATCCTGCCCAGAGGGGCCAGCATCATCAGCCGCAGCCCACGTTAGCTGATCTCTTGCAGCAGTAGAGATCGGTTTTTCGACCTTGGGCATCGGCAAAGGTACCGGGGCTTCCGCAGGCTCGTCGTCGTCATCATCATCGATCAGGATGGACCCGTCCGCGTCGTATTTGAGCTCGAGAGTCATTTGCGACTGAGTACCCCTCGGCGGCGGCGGAGCTTCATCCTCGGTGTCCGTGATGTTAATGACGCCGTCAGGGTCAGCGGGTGCCGAGGCGCGGGGCTGTTTCGCTGGATGTCAGAGGAATCAGAATTACTACAGGCATCGAGAGGCAGCACTGGCACTAACCTCGAGCAAGAGGAGCCTTGGGTGGTTCTGGCAGGTCACTGTCCGAAGACAATTCGATGACCTCGGTCTTAGAAGTGATCGCGGCCTTGGAAGGGACGACGGCTGACTTGCGACGCTGCTGCGTGGCTATTTTGGAATCAATCAAACGCTACGACCGAGCAAGTAAGGACAAGAGTACCTGTCAAACTACTGGCGGTACTGATGTCCGCCCGTTTTTCCACCTGCGTGAGCTTGATCTTCTTCTTTTTCCGTCTGGCCGGGAACTCTATTGAATGGAGAAAATGTGTCATGCATTGCTCATATAGAAAGAACCTCTGTAACATACCCTCTGCCGACACAGACGAATCGCTGTCCCTCCTGCCCGTCTGCGCATTCCTCGCGCCCGCTCGTGGGATGGGCACCTTGGTCAAGCCCATTGACTTCCTCTGGCTGCGACCGTCCGGGACTCGGGACGGTGCCACAGGACCCGTACTCTCGTCGGACGACGAGCTCGACGTTGCGAATAGAGACCTCTTCTTGGACTGGGCTACCGACAGCGGGGCGAGTCCAGCTTTCGACGATGACGCTACAGGTCTTGAGTAGGTGGTTTGAGATGCAGACTTAGGTCCCGGCTTGTTGATCGTGCCGACCTTTGCAGAAGAGGCAGATGCATCTATGTTCTTCTTTGGAGGTCCTTTAGGCTTGGGGGCGAAAAAATCGAATGGGTAGGAGGCCTGGGGCTTCCTCGAAGCAGGCGTGGATGCGGGCGCCTTGGGGTCCTTTGACGCGGATACTGGCCGCTTAGAATTAATCGACACATCAGACTCATCCGACACACCGCCCGACGCTGGGATGCTCGTTTTCTTTGTTGTCCAACGTGCGCCGCTGCCCCCCGCTACACCAGATCGGTCGATTTCTTTGCCCTTCGCACCACCTGCAGGCTGGGTGGCCGGGACCTCCCTCCGCGACGCATCACCCCAAGAACTGTTCTTCACCGGGAGTCGGGACTTGGCGAAAGGGGCACTGGGCGAGATGGAGGGTGGCGGTTGCATGGACGTCGCAGTCGTACGCTCGGGAGGCGCAGGGGCGGATGTCGTGGCCGGCTGTGAAATGGGCAGGTCTCTCGCTCGCTCGTACTGGAAATTGAGTGGCCTGCCCCTGGAGCGTTTCATCGCAAGCTGCTTGCGGGGGCGGTAAGCGTCCAGAGGCGACGCCGGCGGTCCTTGAGATGCAGGCGAGGGCACTGGCACTGTGACCAGCCGCGAGCGTAACTCAGCACCGTCACCCGCATACATCAGTGTATTGTCAACGCACCGGAGCCAATCTGCCCTGTTCGTTCGCCACCTCCAGTCGCCGTCGGGACCTTGGGCTTTTTCAACAGTTTGTTCCCCGCCGCTCGCTCATCCTCACTCGCAGGGACGTCCGGCTTCCTCTTCTTTCTCGGCAGCGGGGTGGGCTGCGAGGCCGGTGGGGTGGGCTCGAGTTCGTCCCGCATATCTTGCGTACTCGTGAGGTCGTCGTCTGAGAGCACAGCGGATGGCGAGGGTTCTAGAGCCACGATGGAGGCAAATACAAAGGACGAGGATTAATCACCATACACATTACGAGAGTCTTGTCGATATACACACCTGGTAGAACAGACCATTGCGGCGCTGGAGAGCCAAACCGACGGCTCGGGCCTGCAGACATCGCGAAGCCTGAAGTCGTATTATGTACGTCTCTTCCAACCGCGCGTGCTATTGGCAGCTTGACGCAGCGTTTATGTCTCGAATAGCAGCACAAGAATGACGATGCGTGAGAGAAGTATAGAGCTGCGCCTTCGGCCGGGAGCAACAGAGGCCGCTACAGCAAAACCTGCGCTATGGCCGCAGTGCGTAGCGGGTGTAGCGTGCTACAGCACGATGTGCAGCTGCCGAGGCGTCCGTCGAACGGGCCATGGTATAAGCGCTCGGAACGCGGCCACGTGCCAAACGTCACATCTCAGATCTCTCCGCGATCAGACAATGTCCTGAGGCCTGAGCGCCCGCCGCTCCGTCCATGGGCCACGGCGCTAGCGATACTTAGTACAGTACGGTCAACGTCGGACAAGCGACCAACAAGCGACCACTGTCTTACACTGGCAACTATACTCTGTTAGAGGTACCTATATACCTATATACTATATATCGCATGTGCCCAACGTGACCCGAGCGTGCGCTTGGGCAGCTGTGCACGATGCGAATAAGACAGCACGGCGATCTGCAGCACTTCCCTCGAATGCTTTCTAAATATCGCACCAGACACGCATTGTACGACGATGTGTCTGTGAGATAGGCATGTCCGCGGCGTACGGTACCGCTTCGTGAGCCTCGCAGGGACAACGTCCTGGTGCACTCAGCATGTCCGTGACATCGACCCATACAATGAAGCCCCGCGCGACAGCGGAACGCCAGTTGATACAACGTACGCGGACATGGAGTCAAGCTTGGGTAAACAGTATGATATATATACTGACATCACTCGTATATATGTATGACTCTGAGGCAGCGCGAAATTTGAATAGACGACATACATACTGATTCCGCTTTGCCTGCCTCCTATGGGTACGGTGTATTATTAGCATGATCGCAGCGTACTCGCACAGCATCACATCCGTATAAATGGGGCAGGAGACTTGAGCGACTGAACGCAGTAGAATCCTATGGCTATGGTTGTCCGATAATTGCGAATACTGGAACGTTCCGAACGGTACTTACCAGGCCGATGAGGGGATCTGGCACTTGGCGCAAACCTAAGCCTTCGGCACGCTGAGCTGCGCCGGGATGACTGTGCTACAACTACGAGCGCGATCACTGGTCAGCAAACGCGGGCACACACTGGGTTGATATCATGCAATGGCGGGCCGCTGGAGGATTGGTCAGGAATGCTTAGCATAGCGGTGTTGTCGGGGCCCTTTCATCTTGAGCTGCCCTCTGTTGAACGAGATGCTGCAGACCAACTGGTCTCAGGCACTTGCAGGAATGCCGAAGGCCCAGACACAATCGCACCGACTGGCCATTTTAGACTCTAAGCGCATGTACACTGCCCCGCAGCGGCAGGTCCGCGGGGCCAGTGTGAATCTGGGGTAGTGTTCCCACTTCCAAGCAAGCCTCCAGAACGGTTGCATCGCGCCGACAAGCTCGCGGAAGCGGTAGATACGAAGCAGGAAGCCACGGATTGGCCCTTAGTGCCTGCTGATAGCGCCAGGACGAAGGATCGATGCTTGGAGACTTGGAGTCGGTGGGAGGGATGCGCTACACGAGGAGGCGTGAGATCGCCTCGAGAAAAGGGTGATAAGGTGTGACACGGTGGACGAAGCGAAAGTAGCGAGCAGGTGGAGAGCGACGGTAGCCCTCGGTAGCCGGTGTAAGCTGTGTAGCCACGGGTGGGGGGGACAACGTGGGGGGACATTTGCAAGGCTGCGAGGCTGTATATGACCTACGTAGAGAACGTGGTGTGCAGACCGCAGGCGCGGGGTCGCGGCCGGGGATGTGTGGCTGGTGGGCGGGATCGGAGGTGGCGGGCGCACCGGAAAGAGCGGTGGCGCAAGAAGCACCGTGCCTCGGATACGCGAAGCGCGCCGTGGACATTCCACACCCCGGCTACGTCGTCGGTGGCTCGTCGCCCCTCGGATAGTGATACGCTGGCGCTGAGTGGCGAGACTCTAAAGACATGCTGCAGATGCCGAGCGGCGGGCGGAGAAGGCATGCGCACAGGATACGCGCAGGGAGGAGGCGAGGCGGGCAATCTGTGAACGAGCTAATTCGGGCGTGCGGAGGACGCCGTCGGGCGCCTGTTGGGACGGATGTCGGAAAGGGATATAACACAGCGGATGAGTGAGGCGGCACGCAGGCTCATCCCCTCTCCCCCTTGGTGTCCCCGCTCTCCAGCCTTGCGTCCATGGCCAGCATATGAACTAACCTTCTCACCCCCCTCTTCGCCTTTTCCTCCTCTCTCGCCCGTAACGACCACAGCAACGCTCTTGCCTTGTGTGCGACGCGCGGCAACAACAATAGACGGTTAGGTAAGCGCCGCCCTTTGTCCCCCTTACGCTCCTTCCTCATTGACTCAATAAAACAACAAATGCCCCTCTGGCCTCCGTAGAACATAAAGAGTAGTGCGGCCCCGTGTCTCGCTGTCTGTCTTTGCCCTCCATGTTCTTCCCCGTCGCCCGGCTGCGACTCTCCCTCGTGTCCGCTCTCCTCCTTTTCTCTTCTCTCTCTCGCGCACACGAACGGACCCTTTGTGAGTAGTACCCTGCCTCATCCGCCGCCACCCTCTGATTCTCTTGCCCAGTCACATCTTCCGTGTCGTATTGTTCAGACCCTCAGGAGATTCTGGTAGAGCAGTTCAATATCGCATACTTCCCCTCCAATAACTCCATCTCCTTCAATGTCTCCGCTGCCAGCGTGGTGAGTCCCTTTGATCAAACTGAATTGACGTCCCTAATATCCTATTAGCTCGCCGACCTAAATGTCACGGCGCAGCTATATGTCAACATCTATGGCATGCACCCCATCAATACCACCCTCAACTTTTGCAGCCTTTTCAACGGCATCCTCTGTCCCCTCCCCCAGTACAATTTCACCGGCTGGGATACCCTACAACTCCCGTCCTCCGTCGTCGGCTCCATAACCTCCCACCTCCCTGGCATCGCCTACGTCATCCCCGACCTTGAGGCCTTCGCCCAACTCACCCTCTACAAGGAGAACACCGACCAGGTTGTCGCGTGCCTGCAGACCACCGTCTCCAACGGCTGGTCGGCACGGCAGTACGCAGTGGAGTGGACTACCGCAGCCGTTACGTTCCTTGCACTCGCGTCCGCAATATGGAAGTCCATCACGGCCGACGCGCTCGCACTCGCCCCCATCCGCCTTCTCGACTTTGTCGTCCTCCTCCAGACCATCGGCGCCACCGGCTTGCTCGGCCTGAACTTCCCGTCCGTCTACACCGCGTTCACGCTTAACTTCTCGTGGATACTCGGCCTGTTCCCCCAAAGCGGGACGTCAGGCATGCAGAACTCCATCGTGCATACGCGCCGCCTCACGGGCGGTGATAGCTCGGATGCGAGTAGCGGAGACAGCACGGCATATGTGAACCGGCAGTTGAGTCCGTACAACATGCTCGCTCAGCCGGCCTCGCTTCTTGAGAGCGTACGCACACTGCCGACGCTGGATCTGCGCAACACCGCCGCTCGCTCGCTCATGAAGGTTGGCACCACCGCGGTCAACACGACGTCACGGTTGCTCAAGTCGGCCCAGGCCGATGTCGCCGTCGTCACCAACGATGACAGCTCTGACGTCCTCCAGGCAGGCGTGCCAATTTACGTCAACAGCATTGGCATCGCATCCGCAAATGCGTTCATGACGGTGTTCCTCACCGCGCTCATCTACACCGCGGCCGCGCTCGGCTTCATTGGAATTGCTTTCGCGCTTTACGTCGGGATCCAGCGCACAGCTTGGGGACAGCGGAATCTCAAGCAGTGGATTGGTCTGCGGAGCGGCTTCGTGCCGTTCGCGAAGGCATGGGGTCTCCGCGCGGTGCTCGCGGCGGTCTTCCCGCTGCTCATATTCATCTTTTACCAATGGACCCTCCATGACTCCTGGCTGTCCATCCTCCTCTCCGTCATCACCCTCGTCATCCTCATGGGCCTTGTCCTCCCACCGCTGTTCCTCGTCCTCCGGCCGTACCTCCCTCGCGTTCTCGCCCGCACGGAGAATGCTGCTGTCCCTACGTCTCTGCCGCTTGCGCCTCTCACGGCACCCTTCCGCCAAGAGCGTTTGTTCTACGTAGGTCTCATCGTGCTCACGCTCATCGTGAAGGCTATGGTGGTTGCATTCGGCCATCGCGACGGCCTTGGGCAGGCGATCGTCTTCCTTATTGTTGACGTGCTCTTCTTCCTCTCTCTGGTCATCATGAAGCCGTTCCGCACGCGTCACGCAGATATGCTCCAGGGCTACCTCGCCATCGTGCGTATGGTTTGCTCAGGGCTGCTCATCGCGTTCGTGCAGACTATCAACCTCGCGCCGATTCCCCGCGTTGTGATCGGCGTTATCACCGCGGTCATCTTCGCGGTGGCGGTGATCGTGATGTTCTTCAACACACTCGTCAACATGGGGTTGTGGAAGTTGTTCAAGTACGCTGTGTGCTGTGGGCACCGCCGGCGCGAGGGTGACCGCGCGCTCGCAAGCCACACCAGCGACTCCTCGCTCGACGACAAGGCCCACCCCGAGCGCGACGCAGAGAAGGCTCCATTGCCACACTCGCCAGGGTCGTCGCAGTACTACTTCGTCGACCGCCCGGGCAACCCGACGCCGCCGGAGACGCGGACCAACTCGCACGCACACACGCACCTCGACACGCCAGACTCCGGATCACCGCTGAGCACTAGTGTTGGTAGCGAGCGCCCGAGCGTCCTGACGAACAGCACGGGGACGACCCTGGGCGAGCTCCTGCCGCGGCGGTGGTCGTTCCAACACTCGCGACCGCCATCGGCGTCGGAGCCGTCGCCGAGCGGCGCGGGCTCGTTCCTTACCCCGAGCACGCCGAGCACACCCGCGTCGACACACCCGCCGACGTCGCAGCGGCACAGCCGACACCCGTCCGCAAGCGTAGCGACGCACTCACCAATACGGGAGCGCTACTCCGATGAGCAAGAAGCACACGCGCTATGAGCGAGGCCCATAGCCCGCCCTGCACGCTTGATGCCGTGGGGCCATAGAGAGAAATCTAGAACCCACCGACCGTCATTGCATACCATGGACGATCTGTAAGTAACCCATGTACCCCCTACACTTGCATTTGGGCCGTTGTATATTCCCTCCTCATCTTACTTAGTTGCATCTTCGCTGTGTCATGTTGATCCACACCTGCATACTCACATTCTCCGCCTGCTCTTCCCCAACCCTTTCCCATTCTCCGCACTGCACTACACTGTCTCGGGTCTAGCAATGCACACCACTACCCACATTTTAACCTCCACGGTACCCACACGCTCGTTGCATGCATAGACTACCTTACTGACAGATCTGTTCTAATGAAATGGTTTGCTTGATGATATGTAACGACTATAATGTAGCATTAGAATGTAATTATCGGATAGAGGATGTGCTGTAACAATTACTTATTGAAAGGAGTAACCGGAAATAGCCGGAAGGGGGATGCCGAGCGCGGGCGGGGAGTCTCGTCACCGACGTCCGCGAGCCCAACGCTCTTCTTCCTCGCCAGCACCATGTTGCTCTCCTCCGCCCGCGCAGCGACCGCCTCCGCTGGGCTCGGCCGGCGTGCTGCCTCCTCCCTCGCGCTCAAGTATTCCAACGCCGTCTTCAATGCCGCGCTCCACAAGTCGCCCCAGACGCTGAACAAGGTCCAGTCCGAGCTCACCGCACTCTCGTCCGCGATCAAGAGCGTCCCCGAGCTCAACGCGTTCGTCTCGAACCCAACCCTCAGCGCGAACGACCGCATCTCGGGGCTCAGCGCGCTCTACGCCGTTGCTGAGGGCCCTAAGAAGGAGCCCGTGTCGGATATCACGAAAAACCTCTTCGTGGTCCTCTCCGAGAACGGCCGTCTCGGCGAGGCGCACGGCGTTATCGAGGGCTTCAACGAGCTAGTCTCCCAGTACAAGGGCGAGCTCACCGTGACCATCACCTCCGCCGCGCCTCTGCCCAGCGACATCCAGCGCAAGCTCGAGTCCTCCCTGAAGCAGTCGCAGGCGGCGCAGAAGGCCAAGTCGGTGAAGGTGGCCAACAAGGTGCGTGGCCAACTGACCGTCTGGATTACCGCGTCTAAGTGGTCCCGCGATAGATCAACCCGGCGGTGCTAGGTGGTATCGTTGTTGACTTTGGTGACAAGACGATCGACCTCAGCGTTCAGTCCCGGGTAACACGGCTGAACAACCTCTTGCAACGTCAGTTCACGTGGCCTTCGTTTGTCTCGCTCCGTTCTCACTTATCTGCATTTTTCAGTGTCTGTTTGATTGGACGTAGAGCGGAGGAGTTAGAGAGTGGTTGTACGCGCATCTTACTATTGCATTGCCCTTGCCCCGAACAACACGGTCATCCAGCCGTTACTCCAACACCTGAACCAGAGAACACCTTCCGACCCGTCACTCAGTCGTGGCGACGACCTGATGCACTTCAAACATCCTAGCTGCCAGTGCTTATTGGCTTGCATCGATGGTAACTTGTCTTGTCAAGCACGGAAGACATTCTGTTGCGTCACACATACATCTCTGTGAGAGCCTTGCTACAGATGCAGCTCAGTGCCTTTAAACGGTTGTATCTGGACGCTGGACAGCAGGTAGTGCACAATCCATAATTCCGGTCTCGTAAATGGACAATACGGGCAGCTGACACTGGCTTCGTAACCTCTGACGGCAGCTAGGTCTGGGTATCGTTGGCAACTGAGCGGCATTCGGAGGGTACTACATTGTATGAGTGCACTCACGGAGTTGTATGTTTAGCTCGAATTGAGGGGGATCTCTGCTGTCGCCGGCGCGACTTTCGGTCAGTTAATGCGTTGTTGTCTGCGCGCCCAGGTACTCATCATGCATGTCCATTTTGAAACATACCCTAGCCGTTCTCGTCAGGGATATTCCTGACGGTGCGAAGTAGGGACCGGATAGGTACACAGGCCAGTCGCATCGTCGTTCTCTGAACTACCATGTCAGACCGGGGCTCACCGAGAACCAAGATGGAGCGCTCGGAAGTGCTCATATTGTTGAGTATGCCAGCACTTGACATGCGGTGGGAGCTTTTACTTACCTGTGTCACGCGCGCTATCAGTAGGGTCGGTGCCGAGGTTAATTGACTCCGATCCAGCAATATATAAGTACGCAGGACAATGGCCCCCGTGTTCGGCATCTCATCATGGACAATGCAGCAAGCCGCGATGTGCGGAGACAACCTCTGAATGAAGACGTACTTCGCGCTATTCTCGCGAAGGTCTGCAATGTCGTTTGCCGCGAATCCGAGTCCGCTGACTGACTGATCTGAGCAGATCCCTCGTACGGACCTCATATCTGCGTCTCTGGTCAACCGCGACTTCGCCTCTATAGCGCGGGATTTCATCTTGCGCCGATTCGTCCTGGATCTCGGTGACATTGACAAATGCAAGCTTAGGCTGGGCACCTTGCGTTCAAAGCCGAACATCGCCGGATTTGTGAAGGAACTATCCATTATAGGGGAACTTCAGACCAAACCGTGGTGGCAGTATGTGGAGAATTTCGAAGACGAGCAGGAGGTCCCACGGGTAGAGGCTCTTGAGGAGCTGCAAAAGCTCATCCAGGACGGGATTCTTACGGCAGGTTTGAGAGAAGTAACGTAAGCCAGACGCAGTTGTGGCTGAAACTGTCCGGTGACCCCTCATTTCTATAGATGGGATGCTGGCCTGGGCATGCCAGTTGCCCTGATTGAGGCCATCCAAGCGGCACACCCGGAGTGTACTTTCGTGTTGGATAAATACGCGGGTTCGCCTCTCCCCCCTATGCCCAACCTCGTTTCGATTACTGCAACCGTGCACGTTTATGGCGAACCCATACTTTGCTTTCGGCCCATCATCCTTCATTCTCCGCGGTTGCGTCACCTCCGGATCGCATCCTATCAAGACGCGGGCTGCGTTGTGCGCGGCTTTTCTCTCGACCATGTCTTTCCACGCCCATTCTTGACGTGCGACTGGACTGGGCCGCTCTGCGGTAGAGACGGTCCCTTCATCGAGGAACTTTCCCTGAAGCAGATGAGCTGGACAACTGATGGTGCTGCTCGGTCCGTCCGGGATATGTCCTGGTCGCGCTTGCGCAAGCTGCAGTTGGATCGCTGTGATGCGATCCCTCTGCTCCGAGCATCTGTACCGGCCTGCTCGATGTTTCCTTCCTTGGCAGAGTTCACGTACACAATGTGGTATGACGATGAAGGAACACGGGCCAGTGTCACGCAGGCACTTCAAGAATTCCTATCGACCGCCTCAGGACTTCAAAGTTTACGCCTGGAAGGACCCTATCCCCCTGTGGTAACCACCATCATTGCACACCACGGAGATACCTTACGATCCCTCATCCTACATGATCATGAACGCCCCAACGAACCCCAGCGAACTACCATGAAGACGTCGGACCTCCTGGCTCTGGGCGAACGTTGTAGTTCGCTACAACATCTGGGGTTTGACGTTGATCCGGGTTACAGACTTGCTCAAGAAGTAGGCGACTCTGAGGTAAGCTACACTCCATATATGCATTGAGACCATCTAATCGGATATGCGTAGGTAGAGCCCCTGGCAAACATCTTCAATTCGGACGGACGCTTCTCTGCGCTACGCATGCTCACTCTCTACACCATGTTGGGGATCACTCAATACCAAGATAGAGACACGGCGCGTGACCTCGACGCTCTCAAACAGCATGTATCGCCCATCATGGTACCCGCAATTGGCAACGCCGGTGCAGTCGAGCGTGGAACAGGGAAGCTACAGTCGATCGTTATTAACATCGGGGAGCAAGATAGAGAGATGGGCTTCGGATACCCCGCAGGTAGAGTCTTCCCTTGATGTTGGTCTGGTAGTTATTCACGAGACATGTTTACAAGGTTGGGTGCTTTGGGAACAGGATAATTGCACGAAGATGATGCTGGAAAGGGGGAATGACCCTGACGGGCAGTATGTGATCAAAGCTTCGTGGTGGTCAAGCAACTTGTCCTATGCATACTTTGCAACGGACGTCGAACCGATCAAATGGAACATCACGAATGCTAATCAATGGGTAGAGGCAGCCCACTTGAAGCCGTCTGATTTCTTCTCATATTTATCGCCGCCGCGCCAGGACAAATCTGAAAACGCAAGTGTGTTGTAGCTGTATTGACCTCGCGGATGCCACACTATGTATCGCTATCATCTTTCGGTTTACGATGTATTGCCGTCAATACGTGGCACCGTCATTGGACCAGCCACCGTGCAAGCCTCGTCAGTGGGTTCGATTTCAGGGCTAAGGATAGGTCATCTGTGGGTCGTCACCTCTACTCTGATCATACTTGAGCCTTCCACGAACAAGGAATCGGTGGACAGCAATTATGTTCGGTCTAGGGTTGACCTTCAGGAATGCGCACAGGAGACCGTCGATAGGTGGATAAACAGACGGGGAGATCGAACACGACAAGATCTCACAATAAATTACTCGAATGATACGGTTCGTATATGTGACGCTATGAGACGTGTTCTTCACAACATATCTACAAGCTGGCGTGTCGGTGAGATGACCGCGACGACCTTGCTCTGCATGTCAAGAATATCTCCACCTTCCGTGACGACCATATCATGGAGTCCGTCTGCCTCGATGTCCCCGCCTAGGAGGACTTCGACGTTAGTCGAGCCAAGGGCGATAGCATCCTCCTTTGAGATCTCCCCTCCAGCATCCAGAGCGACCTGTTACATCGGAAGGGTGGCCATCAGTGTCACAATATAACGCGCAGGGCTGGCGTTTCGCACCCATGCAACTTCAAACGGCAGGTTGCGCACATCGTACGGCTGTACTGAACCTACGCCTACTGTGACATTGTGCGCAAGCAAGACAGCGATGGAGCTCTGCTCAGTGAGGGGAAGGCCAGGCAAGCTGGTGAAGCTGCCGTCAGAACCAGCAATGGACTGGTTTGACTAGGGACTTACATTCGCCGCATCTCCCAGGCCGCAGGGAATGGCTGGGAGGGAACTTGGATGATCCCAACACCAGCCTCTGCAATCTCCTTGGCGAGCAAGTGAGCTTCCAGGGCACCAGCGATGGTCATCTTCACGGTACTGTCGTATGCCTTCTCCACCTCTTTCTTGAGTGTAATGAGTGTAGCTATGATGTCTGCGCTGTCCGTCTCAACCACCAGTGTCACGCGACCCTACATACGCACCATTCGCGTCAGCTTCCTAGGTACAAACCATTTGCTATTACGCACCTTGCCGACGCCTCTGAACCATTCTCCCGCATCGCCGTCAACAGGGTGAAGCAGCATCCTCCGCAGTGTAGCTATCTGCGTGCTAATGCTCGGAACCGCCGCAGAATAAGGCCTCACGGTAATATGCACCGCGGTGACTTCCTGAAGGATAGCGCCGGGCTCCAGTCTGTTCATGGCTCCCGTGAAGAAGGATGTGCCTAGACCGGCATAGAAGCCTCTATGGGCGGGTGCCGTGATACCCTTAGTGACACCCCCGCGATAGGCGAGCCTGCAACCCATAAGGTTCAGCAGAGGCCTTCGCAGCACAACGTATGTTTGACCTACAGAGCGTTGCGCGTGCCAAAGGTTAAGCCGTCCACAGCGCGGATGATAGCACCATCCCCACCCAGTATCGCAGGCACCTTCTGTACGAGCGGATCGAAGACGTATCCATCCATCGTCGACGGTTCTGCACCAATTTCTCCCAAGCCGAGATTAGAGCCGAAGCTAGTGAATCCTGGAGAGATAGATCCGCCTTTGACATTGACGACTTCCGCATCTGCGAGTAGGTTGGGGGTCACGCAGGAGGTGTACGCGCCCGAGCACGTAACGGTGCCGTTCTCCACGATCACGGCACCCATCTCCGCATCCTGGGCCGTGTACACCTCGCGGACGGCTCTTCCAGTACGCATGAATACCCTCTTCACGTCCGTGAAGATGACTGGGCCGGAAGAGGACTTGGCGGGCACGAGGGGAGGAAGACCCTCATACTTCACCGTGTCTGCAGCTTCCTTGTCGAAGTTCGGCACCCGTGGCGTACGCTGGAACGAGGCTGGCTTCTGTACGAAGTGCGGTGAATCCAATTGTGGTATGCCGTCGATGAATACTTGCTTCGGCGTTGCTCCGAGCGCAAGAGGATGGCTGTCCCATACAACCAAGTCTGCGGTGACGAGTCCATATATGGGCGCAACGCACGAGGACTGAACAGCTCACCAGCATCCCAGCCTTGCGTGTGGCGCGCATTAGCTCATTACGAGTGCGCAGGAAAATTGAAGACACACCTTTCCTCACATAACCGATCCTATGGTCCATTCCCATAACTTCCGCGGGTGTACTAATGATGGAGGCGATGGCCAGATTCTCAGGAAGTCCGTATACGTAGGCTAGCTGCGCCTGGTATAACAGGTACCTCGAGTCCGTCACGGGGTGGTCACTCTGAACAAACGGTAATGAAGACGATGTATACTGGGAACATCGCTTGGAAGTCACCTTCATGACCACCGGGATCCCATGTTCAGCCAAGATGCGAGGGGCGAACTCCGAGCCGCGGTATGCCTCGCGTTTGTATCTATGTCGATGTTAGTCGGCGGCCTTGCTGTAGACGGATACACTGACCGTGAATGTGTGGCGAACATAGCAATGGCAGGAGGATGGTCTGACGGAAGCGATGAAGTTGGACAGTCAGCGAGTAATGATCAGCGTACCGTAGGCCTTCTTGAGCGTGTCGGGCACCAGGTATGCTTCATGAGCATGGTGAAAGGCCGCAATCGGGAATTCAAACTCATTAGAGATCTACAAGCGCATGAGTGCGTGAGAAGCTAGTGTATGCGGAACACTGACCCTGACAAGATCATCTATGTCGACAGTCTCATAGCAGTGCACTTGGACCTGACTGCGCCTCAGGATTGACACGAAGCGACTTCACTGGAAGCAATCCCTACCTTGACTCTACCGCGCAAGACGTCGACCAGCGCTTCCCACTGGAGGTCTTCTGGGTAAGACTTGTCTTTCAAGGCGTCCCAATTACCGGCGAATGCGTCCGCGCAGTAAGCGTCCTGTGATTCTCTGATCTTCCTGGCTGTGTTGTAGCTGAATGCACCAGCATATGTGAATGCATCTGACGTGAATTGCGCGCCACTCACGCGTCTCGGAATGCCCAAATGGTGTCCATGCGAGTGTTGCCGTAGACTCTGCCTACATACTCATTGTGGTCAGCTATTCGTCGTGTAGAAAGGCAGCAGACTGACTTGGGTTCTCTCCTGTGACAGATTAGCTAGCGTCAGAGGTAGAACTGAGAGATGTTAGTCATTGTAATGACATACCGCATGCGTGCCTAGACATAGTGGATGTCAGTGCCGTCGATGTCGTGTTTGCGCATGTACTCACTTCATCTGACGCCATCTCAGAGGCCCGCTGTGATCCGGGAAGGACGAATTGATCTGGTATGGGGGCTCAAGAAGCATAGAGGTGGGAGTCCTTTCCGCGGTCTTCCTCAGCTTGATGGTGAATCCCTGGCCACCTGCGAAAGAGAAGTCAATACGTCTGCACACAGCACACACAAAGTGACATCACCAATCGCATTTGCGGAACCAGGCAAGACCAAGGCAGTGGTCACACCTCCCGCTACGGATAGTTCATATGCCGCGTCGTGCGTATTCAAAGCGTCAAGAGCGCGGAGCCAAGGGAGTATAGGTCCATGACGTGAATTGCCGTCTGATGCACCGAGAAGGTGCGGCGAGGACGAGACACCTAGATGTGAATGTAGGTCGACAATCCTAGTGTGCTAGTTTAGTCTCTTGTACACATCTCAGGGACAGTAGAGCGCACCCGGGTGTGACCCACGCCCCTTTCAAGTCCACAGTGACGACATCATCTTTGTAGTTCTTCAACTGCAAATGCCCAATATGCCCAATGCTCTCGATGATACCCTTGTTCAAGAGAATGTCCGCGTGAACGACTTCGGTCCCGTTCTCCAGCCCGGTCCATATCCTTCCATTCTTGAGCAGATACGGTTTCGTTCCGTGCACAAACCTGTCTGATACTTTGCGTTTGTGGAAGTCCGCAGGCGGTCCCGGAGCGAGACTCAGCGAGCGGCAGCGCGAGAGGGCGGTGGTAGCATGAGGAGGCAGAGGACGGAGCACGGCATAGAGTGTCGGTACCCGTGTTGACACTAGAAGCAATGCCAACAGTACAAGTACGCCAATTACAAGCCTTCTCGAGAAACGGCGTTTTGCTCTAGGCCTATCGCCAGACCGCTCAGAGAGGCTCGGTACTGGCAGGACCTTCTCCATGATCGTCCAGTGCTAGACTGCTAGTCGGTCGTCTGGAGTCAGGCAGGACGTTCAGCCGAGCGTATGTAGTCTCGCGACTTCACGTGTTGTACGCACTCTGCACGCTGGGCAGCACGTTCCCGAGTGGTGAGCGTAGGGAGCGAGTGGGAACGCCGCGGCGCAGTGTCGCGGCACGGCACCTTCACATCGCACGCGGGTTGTGCGCCGGCGACTTGCTCATTCATTCCCCCTCATGCGCATGACCGAGACCGACGCTCCTCGCTCTTATCATGACAGGGCCTCGTTTGGCTCAAAGTTGGCGAATATTCAGTCAGTCAAGTGCTGTTATACACGCTACAGACACGCAGGCCCGGAACCTATACATGGGCACCCGCCTGCGAAGCAGGTCCACTACCCATCTGAGAAGCCTATGCCACATGTACCCAGCGCTGTACTGCGCCTGTACGCATCGTCAAATATAGTTGTAAGCAAGTTACTCGAGGACGAGCGCGTCATGTCTGGCTAGTCTCGATCCAGACGTTATATCGGGGGCACGTGCACACGTCAGCGGACTTCGAAAAACTCATACCACACCCACCCCTATAACGTCTGGTGAGTTTCGTAGAGACGGGGGGGTCTCACTCGATCCCGTGACCAGACGCGTCGCGCAAGCAGCGACCGCTTTGCCTCTACCACACTCGCGTGCATACATCGCCTCCTCCAATATGCCCGTCGCCTCCAAGATTCTACAGCCGCCCGCGCTTCACTGCCGCGATTCCAAGCTCAAATTTCTCGACGCGCTAGCCATCGCCCGCGCAGCAGCTCACAAGTCTCGCGGGTACGACTCAGAGGGCACTCGGGACCGAATCAAGGAACAAGCTCTGTCGTGAGAGCCGAACCAAGGGTACGTCGCGATATCTTTCTTGAGTGAGGCATGCGCGACTGCGACGAGGTGCTCGGTAGCGGCATAGACCCATCGCTGGTTCATGCAGATTCCAATCGAATTGAGGAAGTCGAAGCCCTTCGTCGCAAGCCCGCAGGACCGGAAGTACATGGTCATCATCTTCTGGAGCTTGCAGAGATTGTGCGAACGCGAATAGCATAGCATAGCGACCGACATGAGAAGTATCTGTCAAGAGCCTGAGAGTGTCAGACAGGGTACTAATACGGACGATGCCAGGTAATAATCACAGGTTCCGGTGATTTGATTTTGTTCTCCTTCTCCTGCCTCGGCGTGAAGGATACCTTGCGCAACAATGCCCTCGTCTTCGGCGCCGCAGCAGAGACACTCGACACCATTTGCTCGAGCCTGATTCCGCAAAGCTTTTCCTCCGAGATCTCCCCCTGGGGCGCACGCATGAGAGGATCGAGCGCCTTCATCTCACGGTTCATTATGCGTGAGATAGTGTCCATCGCGAAGTTGAGCAGCACATCATGAGCGCCTTCGGTATTAATTCCAGCATCGTGTTTTCGAGGAGGCATGTGTACACGGCGCAGGAAGTCGCCCAAGTCCTCTGGTCGTCTAGTAGAGCGTGAATGCATGGGTGGGTAGTCATCCTCAGCCTCGTTTTCGGAATCACTATCGGGGTAGAATGGAGGCATAGTGAATGCTGTTATATGTACAGGCCGGCGCACGGTAAACTATATGCGCGCGGAGCGATGTATGCGCCTCTCGCGCGACGCGTCTGGTCACGGGATCGAGTGAGACCCCCCCGTCTCTACGAAACTCACCAGACGTTATAGGGGTGGGTGTGGTATGAGTTTTTCGAAGTCCGCTGACGTGTGCACGTGCCCCCGATATAACGTCTGGATCGAGACTAATGTCTGGCGACTCGCGAGTGTCTGGCGTTGGTCGCGCGACGCGTCGACACGCGGTGTGACGGCGGGATCTCAGATAGGCTCCCGATCACTTGATGCAGTCACAGGCGTGACAGACCAAGTAGGTAGGTTGAGAGCTCTGCAATGTCTTTCTTGTATTCCTTTCGGGATACTAACGCCATCCCGGGCCTCCGCAACTCGACCCACCTCAACTAGGTGCAATGGAGGATGCGAACAACGACGCACGAATGGACGTTGACGACCCTCAGCCATCCACCGCTTCCACCAGCCAGGCTCCAGTGGCACGCGCATCTTCCCTGCCGCCCGTCCTGAACATCTCAAACATAGAGGTCGGATATGTATATTCCACCCTCATGATGACACATACCAACACCCGCGGACACCATGAAGAACAACCTGACCGCATCTCGCGCATCTTCAATTTACTCAAAGACTCGAATTGCCTCGCTAAGATGCGAAGGCTACCAATCAGGCCTGTTGTTCGCGAAGAAGCTTTGCTTGTCCACAGCGAAGCCCTCTGGGAGAAGATCCTCGCAATACAATGTAGGTGCTAGCACAATGTTAATCAGATGTTGGAAGTAACTTTGTCTCATCTAGCCATGACGGAGGAAGACATAGCCGATTCCGCCGCGTATTACGACGAACTATCTCTTTATGTCCATTTGACAACTCCGTACTGTGCCAAGCTCAGTGCAGGAGGCGTCATTGAAGCCGCACTGGCCGTTGCCCGTGGCGATGTCAGGAAATCATTTGCTATTGTGCGACCACCAGGCCATCATGCAGAGCCGGATGAACATATGGGATTCTGCTTCCTGAATAACGTATCTATTGCTGCAAAAGTAGTACAATTAAGGACATCTGTCAAGAGAATTATGATTCTTGACTGGTCAGTAGTATTTCTATCGTGACGCACCGTGGGCGCTTCACACTGACCTCGTCATGGCCGCTCTTTCTGCAGGGACGTCCACCACGGTCAGTTCTTGCGATATGTTCGTCAATCTGTACTCATAATCCAGATGATGTAAGGCAACGGAACCCAACGGGCGTTCTATGACGATCCTTCCGTTCTGTACATCTCGCTACACAGGTATGAGGGTGGCTCCTTTTATCCCAATGGCCCCTTCGGCAGCATGGTATCTTGCGGTCAAGGCCCGGGGCTAGGCTAGTACGTCCTCCAGACACCTGGCGTGGCTTCTGTCTCACTGCGTGCAACAGCTCTGTCAACATCCCTTGGCCTGAGAGAGGCATGGGCGACGCAGACTATCTTCTGGCATTTCAGAAAATTGTCATGCCGATCGCACTGGAGTTTGCTCCTGAGCTGGTCATCAGTAGGTGTCTCACATTTTAGTGCACTCACCCAGCATTCAAGAGAATCCTCTCCAGTCTCAGCCGGCTTCGACGCGGCGGAGGGAGACACACTTGGCGAATGTCATGTCTCGCCGACAGGCTACGCCCACATGACGCACATGCTGTCCTCCCTAGCCAACGGCAGGCTAGTTGTTGCTCTCGAGGTAGTCCCGAATACCTTCCCCTTGTAGTTGCACTCAGCTCGCCTCACAGGGTGGCTACAATCTCGACGCAATATCTGTCTCTGCATTAGCGGTCGCCCGAGTAATATTGGGCGAGGCCCCTCCCCAGCTAGAGCCCATGGTGGCTTCCGAGGTAGCGACCGAGACCATATGGCATGTTGCCACGGAGCAGAGCAAGTACTGGAAGAACATCGATCCTAAAGCTTGCGAGCCTGTGGAAGGTCTGCCCGCCCGGTCATCTAATATGCGTGTACTCACCCACGTCTCGACACTGGACAGAGGTCGAGCCCATTACATTCTCAATACCCGGTGCGTATATACGTTCCTTCCCCAAATTGTGGTACGACTGAATGTGACGGGCAGAACTCCTCAAGGCTCACCGGCAAGACTACCTCTTCCGAACTCACAAAATGCTCGAGATTCCACTCATGACTCAAGGCCTCATCGACCGCTTTAGCAGCCAAGTAGCTTGCACGTGAGGCTTTCTGGTCTCCCTAGTAATCTCCCCTGACGACGGACAGGCCCGATATCATGGAGAACCAGGCGCTAGTAATCTTCGTCCACGAATTGTTCGTAAATCTATTCTAGCTGTCGTGATGTGCTAACACATTTTACAGCGGGAATCTACGAGTGGAACTCGACTCGGCAATGTATTGTGACGTGAACCTGGAACACTCATATATGGTACGCAGCAGTCTCCATCCTACGCTTGTGCTCAGTTTTGATCTCCCCAGTAGGTCGATTGCTCGAAACAGTTGATTACATGGGCGAGATCCGCAGGTTATGCACTGCTAGATGTCAATGTTTACGCGAAACCCTTCGTCAAGTCGAGGGTATGCCGTCCGCGCGTATCGCTTGCTATGACCACTGATGTCGACTAGGTAAAGACGCCCAACAACCCTGGAGCAGACGTCTTGACATATTTGTGGGACAACTACGTCCAGTACGTCCGAACGCAAATGAAACATCCCTCCACACTAAAGCCAGTGCCAGACTCACGGCGGCGCGTCGCGTAGTGTTGATCGGACACGGTCCGGGCTGCGAAGCCCTAATGGGACTCATGCGCCAAAGATGTAAGCCTCGGCAGCAGCTCTCTAGAGTCTGTGCGATTGCTGAACATCCAACATAGCCGTCGGTGTCATGCGGACAGTCCAAGGTGTTGTCCAGGTTGTCGGCAACCACAGTGTTCCTGTCACTCCCAGTGATCTTGCCAACCTGCGGCAATGGTACTTCAAGGTGCGTTCCCATCCGTCCAGTGTTCTTGCGCCCGCACTGAAAGTCAGACCAGAACTCCCTCGTATTTGTGCCAGAGAATCATGTGGTATTCCGCGACAAGAAGCTCATGCGCAAGCACGGTAACGTCATGGCCAGCAGTGAGTCGACAAATAGTCGCCCAATTGTATTTACCTGACCGTTCCGCAGAGGAGACGAAGCCGATCAAGCTAATGATCCAAGCCTTGCCTGTCATCGAGAACTTCGTGATACAGCACCTTGGGCCGGCTCCCAATGTCGTCAACGGCACTTCCTAGCGAATTTGGTTATTAAGAAGGGTCCTATTTATTCGTCGATGCTATCGTGCTGCTGCATCTTGGCTACGTCCTACAGTAGATCTACGACGCCTCTGCGGGGCGAGATGATACCCACTACCTTGCTGCTGAACTCCAGCGGATCCCCGCCCTGCGTGGCGATGAGGTCGCTCTCGATGTCGTCGACCTCGACGCCAAGCAACTTCTCGACGTGCACGGAGGCGAGCGCGAGTGCCTCTGCTTTGGTGATCTCTCCACCACTCTCCAGCGCAGCCTGCCAGTAAACATGGTTAGCATTCGGAGAATATGTTTACGTGCATATACTGCAACTTACCCATGATGCATCCCACCGCGTGTTGCGAGCCTGCCATGCTTCCTCGATACCAATGGCGACGGTGACATTGTTATCAATGAGAGCGGTGATGGCACTTGTCTCGGACAGAGGGAGGCCGGGCATGCTGCAACGAAGTCAGACTCACGGCGCAACGCTGATACGAACCACTGCTTACATTCTTCTTTGCTCCCAAGTACCCGGGAAGGGACGAGGGCGAGTGAGGAGCACACCGATGTCTGCCTCGCCGATCTCCTTCGCGAGCAGATGCGCTTCGCTTGCGCCTGCGAAGGTCATTTTGATCGTGCTGCCCTCCCTCTCCTCGATGTCCTTCTTCAGCTCGATGAGCGACGCCATGATATCCGCGCTCTCAACCTCCACAACGAGGGTCATCTCGCCCTTCTTCACCTTTTTGACGAGGTTGCCCAGCGGTCGTTTGACTTCCGCACGCAGGAGGGCGCGGAGAGCCGAGATCTGCGTGCTTACGCTCGGACCCGCGCCGTAGTGAATACCGATGTGCAGAGCGGCAGCGGCCTGAACGACTGCGCCCTTCTCCAGCTTGTGCTTCGCACCCGGAGAGAAAGCCGTACTCAGGCCCGAGAGGAAGCCGTACGACTCTGGCGCAACGATGGCAGTCGTGACACCCGCGCGGTACGCCAACCTAACACAATCAATGTACTAGTCAGTAACAAGCAATTGAGCATGCCAGATAGGACACCTACAGCGCATCACGGGTGCCAAACTGAAGACCGTCAACCGCGGCGGCGACAGCACTGTCACCGCCAATGATCTTCGGAATCTCGTCCGTCAGCGGGTCGAGCGCATACCCGTCGATAGTCGAGCGCTCCGCCGTGATATCTCCCAGACCAAGCGGAGAGCCATACGTGACCAGACCAGGCGCCACCGCCCCGCCCTCCAAGTTCAAGATCTCGGCGTGGTTTCCATAGAGGCTCGACGGGCACTCCACCATCGACCCAGCACACACGACCTTACCATCCGCGGTGACAACGACTCCCTCCTCGCCCTCTGCGGACGCGCGGAAGACCTCCTTGACGCTCTGGCCCTGGCGCCGATATACGCTGCTCACGTTGCGGAACACGATGAAGTTCGAGTTCGCGTGCACCGGCTCGAGCGGCGGGAGGCCCTCGTATTTGAGCGCGGCATCTGCCTCTTTGTCGAAGTTCGGCCTCTCGGGGACGTGCTGCGCGGCGGAGGGCTTCGTCACGGTATACGGGTGCTCGAGCTGGGCTATGCCGTCGATCCACACTTGCTTTGGCGTCGCACCGAGCGCAAGGGGGTGGCTGTCCCACAGGACGATGTCCGCGTCATACCCTGTGAGAGACCTCAACGACTGGGAAGTGATTGTCTCGCACGTAAAGCTTACCGGTCTTGATGAACCCAATGCGGTGATCCATGCCCATGACCGTTGCAGGCGTACTCGTCACGGAAGCCAGCGCGAGGTTCGCCGGCAGACCGTAGTGGTGTGCCTGCTGGGCCTCATACAGCAAGAAGCGAGAGTCCAAAACAGGATGGTCCGACTGGAGCTCAATCAGCGTCGTGGCTCGTCACAACAACCACGACAAACAGACCTTCATGACCACCGACAGTCCGTTTTCCGCGAGGATCCGAGGTGCGAATTCGGATCCGCGGTAAGCCTCACGCTTGTATCGCGCGTTAGACGCGAAGAGCGCGACAGCAGGCGGATGACCTGTAGTGAAGCCTACAACGTCAATAAACGATCGATTGTCCACTATCATTGTCCATACCGTAAGCCTTCTTCAGCGTGTCCGGAACGAGATACGTCTCATGCGCATGATGGAACGCAGCAATAGAGAACTTGAATTCGTTCGTGAGGCGCACCATATCGTCCAGATCAACGGTCTCATAGCAGTGGTTGTGGACCTTCACGCGTCCTCTGAGGACATCGACGAGAGCCTCCCACTGGAGATCATCCGGGAACGCGCCCAAGCCAGACCATTCGCCAGAAGTAGCCTTGGCGCAGTACTCGTCCTGAGAGACCATGATTTTACGAGCCGTTTCATAAGCCTGTCGGAATGACCAGGTCGTGTCAATACGCGTGAAACCGTATACTCGGCCTGGATGGTTCGTAAGCACAGTGGACCATCGGGAAAACTGCAAACTTACTTGGGTTCTCGCCTACAAGTAGTCACATCGATCATCAGTATCAGGACATGCAGATGGTTCTCCATAACGCATACCGCAAGCATGTCTACACAGATCATGATGTCAGTCGAAGTTTCAATTCAGGGTGTATCAGACACGCACTTCATCTGCCTCCAGCGCAAGCTGAGAGACGGATCGTACACTGTGCCATTGATCTCCCACGGGCTCTCGAGCATGAGTCCCGTGGGTGTCCTAGCGTCGGTCGGGCGCAGCTTGATGACGACACCCTGTCCGCCTGCGACCTGTCAGCAATGCCAGTGACTAAATCAAGGACCCAAAGTCTCACCTATCGCATTGGCAGACCCCGGCAACACAAGCACTGTGGTGAGACCACCAGCAATGCTTAGTTTATACGCGTCGCTGTGGGTGTTGAGGCCATCCAGAGCGCGCAACCACTGCGAGGTACTTGGTATTAGTTGATGTTGTGCACGGGTGTGACGACACGCACTGGTTGTGCCACTCCTTTGAGCGAGTTCGTGTCATCAGAACCCCGAAGCTCAGGGCTCGAGTCGACTCCCCTGAGATTATATCAATGAGCGAGGCCCACCTGGGCGACACTGGCGGGCTCACTGATGGCTATGGAGGTCGACGATACTATGCAGAGTGATGAGTTCACAGTTGTGCCGGATGAGAGATACACAGCTTACCCAGGTGACACCCAAGCACCAGCGGCGTCAATAGTGGTCAAGTCATCGTATGTCTCCAGTACGTCTTGCTCAATGTGTCCGACGCGCTTGATGAGCCCACCGTCGAGCAGCACATCCCCATGGAGGACTTCAAGCCCGTCCACTCGTCCAGTCCAGATAGACGCGTTCTGTTACGCGTCCTCAACTCGAGGTCCTGCATGCACGGTGTTTAGCGTACCTTGATGAGAGTGGGAGGCGTGCCAGCGACGAAGCGGTCCGACTGCTTGCGCAGATTGAAGTCCGGGGGCGGCCCCGGCTTGACATTGAGCAGTGTGCACTTGTCGAGAATCTCCTGAGCGTTGAGCGGGACTTCTGACGTGTGGGTTGAGCTCTGCGCGTAGAAGACGTTGGTGGTGGACTGGAGGACGGCGAGGGAGATGACTACGAGGAGCAGTCTCCACACACGGCGGCGCGGGGGCTGCACGGGGGCATCGTGGGCGGTGGTTGGGAGGCCCTTGAGCATGGTCGTGCGAGTGCAGGCGATCCCGCTCTGGGAGACGCGCGGAGGCGGAGGACACGCGGATCTCGATCCTCGATCATCCCCCGACGCGGTCACGCGCCCGGCGCCTACCTCCATGGCCTCCGCCTCCACCAGTGCCAGTCGCCCCGCCGCACCCAAGCCGCCCGTCGTCGTCCCCGGCACAGGCAACAACATCATCGTCAACCCCTGCCAGGTGAGCACACAACAGCCACGCCAGCGACGAGGCTCAGACCGAGCAGCGCGGCAACCCTGTCTTGGAAGCCGTGCGCAATGTCGGCAAGGAGTTCGGTGATATTGTCGCGGACTACCAGGTCGGGCGAACCACCGGTGTCCTCTTTCTGAGGTGTGTAGCTCACGCAGCATGTCTAACAATGCTCAATGAGCTTGCAGTCTGCGGTATCACCGCTTGCACCCAGAGTATATCCACCAACGGATTGAGCGGCTCGGCCATGCGTATACCTTGCGCGTGCTCCTCCTTATGTGTGACGTCGTGCGTTTATCGATTGTGTCACAAGTTGGCAGCATGCTTACAAGTCACAGAGTGAACACCAAGAACCAATACGAGAACTGACAAAGGTCAGTCGTGACACGCCCGTCCGCTTCGCGACCCAATCCTTGACCGCCTATGACAGACATGCCTCATCAACAACATCACTATCATGGTCGCTTGGAACGCCGAAGAGGCGGGCTACTACCTCTCGACGTACAAACAGTTCGAGAACAAGCCACCAGACCTCATCAAGGAACGAGTGGACAAGACGTACGACGCGATGCTGCGCACAGCGTTGACATCCATCAGCAAAGTGAACAAGACAGACGTCGAGACTCTCCGTACTACATTCGGGGTCAGTCTGCACTCGCGACCTCGGGAAACGCAAGCTAACACGATCCTGCAGAGTTTCGCGGACATCGCACGAGCGAGCTCCGACCAGCTCCAGAAGCTCCCCGGGGTCGGCCAGGTCAAAGCGAAGCGCATCCAAGACGCTTTCCGCAAGCCCTTCCGGAACAACGCAACAAGCAGCCTCTCAGCCCAGCTACTAGAGACCCACTTGTCCCAAGCCAGTGCAGGCAAGGGCAAGGGCAAAGAGAAGGAGTCGAGCGCGTCCAGCATTTCCATTGCCACGTCCAGCCAACCGCCTGCGCCAGCAGCACGCCCTCTGCGTGAGCCCAGTCCTGCGTGGGACATCGAATTCGACCTCGACTCGCCGCCGCCCCCAACAGCTACGCAGATGTCCAACGATACAGGCGGTCCGTCAACAAACTCCATAGCACCCTCGATAGGGGAATCGACTTCGACACGGAAGCGACCCCTCAGTCCTGTATGGGATATTGAGCTCGATTTAAACGAGTCCGACGTCGAGGAAGACGGCCCAGGGCCAAGTAAAAAGACGAGGACGGATGCGGATTTTGGGGCTCCGTTGTTCTTACAGGAGACTCTTTAGTACATCGAGATACATGTCTACCAGCAACGCGCGATGTGAGTCAGACTGGTCAATTAAATCACTGGAATGTACACCGAAGCATTACATGCGCAAGAGAGTAAACAAGACTACCGAGACTGTACGACAGGATTAACCGGACTCAGACACCGGAGCAACTACTGATGTAACAGACTGTAACAACGACGAGGAGGTATACATTTACTCATTCTAGCAAAGAAAGCATTCTAGACGCAAAGAAACTTGAAACCGATGTTAACACTGTACTACACGACGGCCTTAGGATGCGCAAAGTAATTGCGCAGATTCCTCGGCTTGCCCGTCCCAGAGCCCGAACGGAGGCTCGCGACGCGCTGATAATGCATCCTCAGCGACAACCGCTGGAGCGCCGCCTTCGCGCGCGAGCGGTCGAGGAACGCCGCGCGGGTGTCGACGATCCGCCCATGGAGGCTGTCCAGCAGCATCTTGATTTGCTCCAGGTGCGTCGGCTCCCTTTCCGCGGCGGCGCTCTTCTTCGGGGAGTCCTCGCCCTGAATGGACGGCAGCGTAAGGCCCGTCATGGCCTCCTTCTCGAGCGCGGTGTAGCCAGGGACGTCCGTCAATGCCTTGCTGAGAACGTCGATGTGGCAGCAGAGGTCCTCGTAGTAGTCCACCTTGTCCGTGTTCCCCTGGATGTCGAAGATGCCGCCGGAGCCAGCTGGCGGGGAGAGTAAGTCGACGATGGGGCCGAGAGAGGGCAGCGAGGTGTACGTCTCCTCCTTGAGCAGGAGCGCACGAGCGACATTCCGCGCAATACGGCTTGTCTGCACACATCCTCCGGATACGAAGGTAAGTATGTGGGCTTGGTTCAGGGGGGCCTGGTCCCTGGCGAACCCCACTAGGCGCGAGCGGATGGCGGCCTCCTACGACGATGTATGAGCAGAGAAACAAACCTGAATGAAGGTGGCACCTACAATCTGCAAGCCCTCGTTGGTCTCAGGGATATTTTGACCGATCGTCCCAATGGCTACCATGATGTCTCTTCCTAGTTCAGCGGACGTCGACTTGTCTAGCGCGACAACGACCAACAAGAGCACAATGCTCGGCATGTCATCACAGGGAAGAGCGCTCTCCCTGAAAGCTACAATCAGTTGGGCTGTAAAGCGAACTGCCAGAGGACTTACCTAGCAAAGGCCGTAATGACTGAGACTACGCGGTAGAGTATATGTTCCCTCTGACGAGCGTCGACCGAAGGGATGCGTCCTGCAGTGGGTCGTCGCCCGAGCTCCTCACAGGCACTCCGCTTCGCACCGAGACGGACGAGTGTATCCGCCACGAGAGCAGCAGAGAAGCCTGATTGAGAGATAGCTTGCGACACCGTGTTAATGAGATGCAAGAGACCATGATAGGCAAGTTCGGTGTACGGCCGGTCGACGACGTCGGTCACTGTTTGTGCATGGGTCATCAACGAAACGATACGGCAAGGTTAGAACAATGACATACCCAGAGCATACAGCCATGGGACGAGTGCTGCAGCATGCGAAAGCTGCAACGTCGAGAGGATACTTGAGTGTAAGAGCATACTCAATCGAGCAGCATCTGTGTACCACGGTCAGTACAGACCAGGCAGAAGGCGTTTACATAGATCAACAAACCTTCCTGACCCGCGGCATTCTGCAACATTCCGAGCAGAGGGTGCGCTTGAACGTCGGCTTCGTCAAAGGATAGCACAGGCAGACTGTCAATATCCATGCCGTCATCTCCACCAGCTGGCGTGTCGTCCCAAAAAGGCACGCCCAAGATACGGTCCCTCAGTTTTACCTTGCTCATAGCCTCCCTGAGCAGACGATTGCCAGCCAGGATATGTCCGACCTTCTGCCTGCCCTCTTCATCGAGGTCTTCTAGGGCACGCTGGCGTACGGCGCTCAGCTCCTCGTCACTCCCATCATCGCTATCGTCGTCCCAGTCAAAGCCAAGCGGCGGGCTGGACGACTGCGACTTGAACCGCCGCGAGCCCTTCTTCACCACGTCCAACGCAGCGCGCTCGTCCGCCCACGCAGGGTCCATGTCCGAGGAGTCCTCTTCGTCCATCTCGCGCTTCATGCTCGCCTTCGCCTTAGCTTTCGCCTCTTTGGAAGAAGAAGCAATGGCCGCCTCGGCAGCACGTAGAGCTTCCGCGCCTGCGCCCCGTTTGTCAGCGCGTTGCTTTTCTTTGAGAAGTGCCTCGAGAGGATCTGCTTTGCGCGATTGCTTTGCCCCCTTGCGGCTAGTGCTAACGAGGGTAGGCATTCGCCTGCTTTCTGCGACGCGTTCCGTTCCAGGGGCCTTTCGGCGAAGACCGTACCGCGATGTCCCTGAACTTGACTCGGGCAAAGTGGAAGCAGTGTTCTTGGCTATGCCGGACAATGACGCGCGGCTGCAAGTGAGAACAGTTATTCAGGATATAAAAGAACTTCTAGGCAATGGCAAAGACGTACGACTTGCCCTTGCCCTTGCCCAGCTTGTTGAACGCCGCCATGAAATCTTCTTCAGACTCGTCGCTACTAGATTCGGCGTACCCAAGCTCCTTCAACTCGACAGGGACGTTGCCAGGGCTTGATGACCCGATCGCGTACGCCCTTGCTTTGATTTCGGCAATTATCTGGGCCGTCTTCGATTCCTCGTTCAGAGCGACAGGAGTCGCTAGCAGGGATGTTGTATGCTCATCCGGTGGCGGCGCTACAGGGCGTGACATAAGGGATGTAGGCGTGGCCCGCGCGAGTGAAGAGGGTGAAGACGTGGCCATAGGGACAGGTATTGCTCCCGCTGTGTGACACGACGATGGAGAGGATAGGGTGTAAGGGAGAGGTGACGACGCCCGTGTATCAGGTTCCGACCTTGGAGTCTGTAGACCTGTCGGGATGCTAGAGAGTGGACTCTCTGGAGCATATTCGGGTATGTCGATATCCATAGGCACGTCGACCTCAGCGGAGGGGCAGACAGCAGGCTCCTCCGGCAATGGTACGGAAGGCTCAGCCTCCTTCCTCCACTGGTCGACCGCCTTTTTCACGGCTACGGGATCCTTCCTAGTGGCCTTTGGCATGGTCAATTCGTGTTCATCCGACTGACTCGAAGGAATGACCTCGTAGGCGTCAGTAACTTGAGATAGGTTCTCTGGCTGCACACCACATTGCTCCTCCGGAGGCGCAAGGCGAGCCCGTTTCCTGCTGGAGCCACTGTCGGAAGGCGACGGTAGTATGTTGCCTTTCGGCGCCAGAGGCTTCGTCACAGACGGACGCGCAGATTTCCGTGGCGAAGTTTGAATTTGAGTTGTTGATGGCGGTTGCGTCGGTACGCAGTACAGGAGCGTCGCAGTTTCTTCTCGGTCACTCTCCGCAGGGAGCGCTCTTTTACGAGAGGCCTTACTTTTTGTCGGAGAAGACATACCCATACTTTGACCCGAGTTTGTCTGCTTTGACGCCTGGGAGGGTGAGTCAACGCCGGTCTTCGCTTTGCGCGACGCGGTTGTGGCTGAGGCTGAGAGCTCCCTGGCGCTGAGAACGGTGTCAACGAGCGAGTCGTCTTGCTTCTTGCCACTAGAGCGCGTTCGCATCGCAGACGTGGTCTCTGGACCGGGTGTATGGGATGGTGGGTGACCTGAAGCTTGGATATTCTCTGGAGGGTGCGGGGTCGCACTGGTGTGGGAGCGAGACAAAGAAGAACGCGTTCTTGATGTCAGTAGGGGTGCTGGCGCCAGTTTGTTCGAACGCGGAGCCGTCAAAACGAGCCTGCTATCGCGCTGCGACGGGCCAGGAGGGGAGGAAGAAGGGGCGGATTGAGACGACTGGCGCGCAAACATGGCGTCGATGGTGAGTCGTCTGTTGTCGCGTCGAGACTCTGCGGCGGTTTTGCGAGGTTGTGTCCCCGCGCTGGGTGTCGTTCTCGGCATGGTCGCGAGCGTCGACGCGGGCGGGATGTTGGAGGTCGTCGCAAGGCGCGGGCCCGACTGGATTCCGCCGTGGATGCGCCCGTCACGCGTTACGCGCGACGCGTCCAGGACACCAGACACCTCGCTCGCGGGGTCCGAGCGCACGGAGGCGCCTGCCGGGGATGGGTCGATCGCCCAGTGGCTGCCGGACTGCTTGCCTGGGACACAGCGACGCAGCGAGCAGACGCGGGCGCACACCCTCAGCCTCGCCAGCAACACTGCTCCTAAATGACATGCATAGATATGACGGTCAACGGAAGCACATCATACACTCTGTAAGCCCATTCATCGTGAGGTCGTGAGGCACCGTCGGGCTGACTGTCTGCTTACTGGCAGTTGTCCACCCTGTTGTACCAACTGCACACCCTCTCCTTCCTCCTCTCACCAGAAATATTCGTCTACCTCCTTCGACTCATGTCTCACTTCCATTTCTCTGGACCACGAGACTTGGATCCGACCAGGTCGCTACGCTTCTGGTACATCCTCGTCATTGTGTTCAACTCGAGTGCGCTATGGAACCACGCGAAGGACGGGGCGTCGCAAGGGCGGTCGGTCGTCCTCGACTTCGTCGGAATGTGTGAGTACTGTTTGACCCTTACAGAGCTCGTTCCATATGCTCAAGCCGCATTGTTATTGGCCTCGACTGACACACCACAGCGTATGAGCCTTCTAGAGCCCACCTACTCGCGCTCGACCTCTCCATCATATTCCTCAGCATGGTCCTCACAACAATCGCATACGAAACCTCATATGCAGCAGACATGCCGCCCAATACCCCGGATCCATTGTTGCCACCGCCCATCACACCAACATCCCCACTGCCGTCCGGTGCACATGAACAGATCAAGTCGCCCTATGTTATCGACCTCCGACTCTCCACCATAATGGAACGTCTAAGGCATCCGCCTCCACTTCCTCCTCCTAGGGATGCATCCGACGGCTACTTGCTGCCGATGCCCAACACTACCAGCTGGCGATTGTCAAGCGGACTGCACATGCTGTTGCGTGCACGGCAACAGCAACGACAGCGCGCGCGGGGCGTAGCCGCTGCGGTGAGACGACCGGATGGAGATGAGGCTGGGAGGGACGAAGATGACGATGAGGACGACAATTCTGGGCAGGATGTTCCGGGCGCGTTACACACGGATCGTACTTGATATACTAATGGATTATTTCTATTGTGATGTTGACCCTCTGAGGAATGTCACAATGAAGGCATAGGTAGGAATGCCGACATCATTAACTCTTGGCAGGGCATGCATCTGTCACTACTTCCGCTTCATCTGCACATACAACACCTCTAAGATGAACGAACACTAGTACAAGGAGCAGCATGCGTACCGCTTCCCGCAGGCATGCACCGAACTTTGCGAACTCCTCTTTGCACGCGTCTTTCCTCACGTCCGTGTACGTCGCAAGGATGCATTTTCCGTACGCAGAAGCTTGCACCGAGCACGTTGTAGTCGTGTGTGTGGCAAAGCGGCGCAGAGGCGTCAGCGTCGTGGCTGCTTGACTAGTGCTCGGGTGCATATTGCGTACGAGACCTCGTTATCTTTGTATACAATGAGAAGGGTACGCGGGAGTCGGATAGACAGTTCACAGACGGTGTAGTTGGTCGCCACAATATTGTTCAAAGACTCGGAGAGGAGCGCTCGACGAGGAGACTGAGATTGGAATTTGGATCGACCCAAACGTCACCCCCACGTGCTCGAAGCGTACCGTACCCGGGCGTCTCAGGTGTCTCCTCTTCGCGTCGTGGAGGTCTCAGTCCAATTCCAAGGGGTTGTCGGATAGTTGTATCAGTGTCAAGCTCTCCCAGTCTACACTTTCGCCATATCCTGCTCTATATACCCCTCTTGGGCCGCTGCTCGACGTCACAATCCATAGTCAGCTCATCTATCAAGTGTCCGCGGAGTCCACTCATTCGACATACATAGCACAGCGGACGGAATGCCATGCTCAACATAGTGCTTCTCATTGCCTGCGTTTTGACCGCTATCTTGCTGCTCTTGTACCTGTTCTACTGGAACCGCGTGCTCGCTTTGGTCATCAGCATCGTTCTCCGCATTGCTTTCTGGAACCAAGCAGAGTCGAGCATATGGCTAGACATCGGTGTGTTACCAAAAGAAAGGCTTGAGATTCGTTCGACTTATTATCTGCTAGGTGCTGTCCAGTTCTCCGTAATAGCTGGAAGGATAGCGTTCAAGGATCTGCGCTATTACTCGAGTAACCAGACGATCCGAGTTGTCAAGGGTCAAATAAGCTGGAGGTACTGGATTCGGAAGCCTGCAGAGGAGGACCTGAGCCACGCACACGTTTTAGGAGAGGACCCGAAGCGTATGTACTCGCGAACATCCTCGTCGACGCTCCTCTGACCCATTCGGAACAGAGACCGTGCACTTGCCGCTGTCATGCCGAGTCCACTTGTCGCTCCAGGGATTCGAATGGTTCATCTACAACCGCACGGCTGCGTATGAGAACATACTGTCCCAAATGGCAGACGACGTACCGCCGACTCCTGCGCCTACCCCCGCCGTGCCGAGCATCAGCTTGGATGCACGCAGTACATTGCGCAAGATGTTCAGTAGGACATCGACTACTGCTGAGCGTGCGTCCCTAGTCTCGTTGCGTAACAAGAGGTTGACTTGTATACAGGTGGAGCAGGACCGTCCCTCTTTCTGACTTCGTCACTATACCTGAAGGCTCCAAGCCATGTCAAGCGTCTAGTCTCTTGGATAAGACTCCAGCTACCGAACTTCGACCCGAAGAATTTGCTACCCATGGGTATCGAGGTATCCAAGGGCGCTATAATCTGTGGCAACGCGTCCACTCCAAACCTGCTCGTCGCTGAGTTCAGCAAAGCCGAAGGTACATACGGGATCGTTCAGGTAAGACGCATCGACTTCCGTTTGAGCTAACGCATGCTTACAACCTACAAGGCCAGGTCCAAGTATGATCTATACAAGCAGCTGCTCAATCTCAAGTTTGAGAACACCTCCGTACACTACTTCGAGAATGCCGACTTCGATGCTCGCATGGCTGACGTCGGTCTAAGGCTTCGCGAACACATCGAGCGTTCAGGCGACATTCACATGAAGCATCCCGGCTTTCTCACTTACCTATACTACTACAAGCTGTGGACGCGCCTCAAGCTCTGGTCCGTAGAGTCAACGTCCCATGCTCGCGCTCGTTCGTTCGTGCGCCGCTTGTTCGGCCGTTCGGTACCGGTTCCTCATCCGCCTACGTCATGGGCTTGGTGGAGGGCACCTAAGGCGCCTGAAGACGAGACACCTATTGGAGCTGACTTTTCCAAGTTAGAGTATGCTATAGAACGCAAGATACTGGAGGCACCTACTCTCGAAATCCTGTATTACGCCGACGTCGTTGGTATCGTACCTGCGGAGCCCTCCCGGCCATCGACGGACTCTAGCAGCTTGGACCCGTTTGACATCGGCAACGGCGACCTTCCTCCCGAGTGGGGAATTGATTTCGTAGTCAAGGGTGGCTTTCTGCGGTACGGTCCCTGGGCAGACCGCCAGAGGTGAGGGTTTCGTCTGTGTTCATGGCGATTATATGCTCAGATCGGACGGCACATAGGGCTATACTTCAGAGTTGCTTCTTCCCTCCATCCTATCACGATGCTGAGGCTGGTATTCGTCTGAAGCCTGGAGATACGCGGACCTGGACTGGTCTGAAGGTGTTCATCGAACTACGCGACGGTGTCACGTTGCACGTACCCTTTCGTGAAGCTTCCAAGGTGAATAGGACTGCCTTATTGCGGCGATGTGTTGTTGACTCTGTTTGGTAGGACTGGCAATGGGATGGCAAGGTAGATGTGCCGGACCGACCACGCAGGAGAGAAGCGGCGTTCATTCATGTCAAGGCCGGAGACAGTTCCACCATCAGCTACATCATGCCAATGGTGGCTAGTGCAACTGGATTCCATCCGCTGTTGGAGGTGCATCTTGACACTCTGACAGTCACATCCAGCTTGAACGACATGCGTCTTCTGATAGCACAGTCATGTCGAGTGCGTCACGTCTCGTCCATACTTGTATATTACTCACAACTGCTCGCTGCCCAGGTCCGCTGTCAATTGCCCACTCCGCTGCAGTGGAATGGAGAGCGAACATGGACGTTCTCGGTCTTGCTACGGCGCACACAGCTCTTCCTGCTGAGGGACCACATCAACATGCTGACTGACCTCGGCCGGGATTGGAGCTCGGGACCACCCAGCGACTACCACCGCTTCATTCCAATGCACTACGTTGTAGAATTGGATCTGCATGACTACGAGCTGAACACATACGTGAACGACCACAACATCATCGACAAGCCTCTCATCAAGGAAGACAACGGTGCGTTCGTTGCTCTGTTTGCTCATATTCTCTAACTCATCTTTCATTATAGCGATACTCGCCTTGCACGGCATGCGCCTGAGCACTATCGTCCAGATACCTCTAGTCAAATTCCGCCCTGAGGCCACGACAGTGTCGTTTCGGCTGGAAGCACCAGACATGTCAATACGGCTGACGCTCCCCCGGTGGAACACCTACTCTCTGTACCCCACGCCTGATCGCACCAACGTCGGGCGAATCGGCTTCCTCTCCCTCGATGGATCGTATAGATACCACGCCGATGTACGCGAGTACAACGTCGACCAGCTGAAACTGGACTTTGCCGTACGTCTTCGTTCCACGAACTCATTCTCTGACTGAATGACGATCACAGGCTCGAGACATGGTCTACAAAGCGTTTGGCTGGACGATCCGGCATTTCATGATCCTGCGCGAGAACTACTTCGGGTCGTTCACCCACTTCTGTACGCTCTCAGAGTATCTCGAGAAGAAGAGAAAAGGACAATCCATCACCGATCCAACCGAATTGCAGTACCGACCGGGAAAGGTGAAAATGTAATGCATTAGCTCATCCTCAGGACCTGATGCTCTTCATCTTGGTCAGTCGAACTCGATGGAGGTTGAAGTCGGCCTATACGTCGATGGTGGCCTGCTTGTATTGCCTGCAGCCCTTCCGGGTTTCGAACAGTATAGCCTGGCTGATGCAAATGAAGCCAAGACGGAGGACCTCGGTTCATGTCTTATTCTCAATTGTCCAATCTTGCAGCTACAGTTACGGACAAACGACTACTTCATGGGTGCGAACTCAAGTCGCTCTCAATTGTTTCAGGGCCTGACAGACCCATCTCCAGAGATGTCCCTGAATGTAGATACTGTTGCAGGCCATCTTGAAGACCACTGCTCGGACCAATCTCTCTTCGGTCGTGCCAGGGAACGCGACCCGTCCCATGGTGCTATCATCCTGGATGGTAGGCATTTGCCATCGCCCATACACACCCATCTTACGCTCCAACAGAACTGGACATCACTGCGAATAGGTTGTTCGGGCTCCAGCCGAAGACCGCTACCTACGTTTGCATTTGGGAGATTCATGCGGGTTCGTTGAAGGCATCCCTTTCGGCCTATCAAGCACGGCTACTGTCAGCCGTCGGAAGCTCCTTTGGGCTGAACTTCTCTGATCCTTTCAATGCACCAGCAAAGGACTTTGCTTTGCCCGTGGACCCGGATGGTGAGCTGTAACGACTGCCTTGGCCTTTTCTACATAGACGCTGACGACTACCCCAGTAACGTTTATCAAAGTTAGCTTAGGTTCGGCTTTCTTGATCTGGCTCGCCGCCGACAGCGCCATAGAAATGGCGTTTCCGGAAGGCGTACGATTCGACAGCAATGACTTGGCTGGCAAAGCGTACATGAAAGTCATGAGCGTTCGCGTGCCGAGTGGATATCTGAAGGCTCTAAACATGACAAAGGAGCACTCGAGGGATTGGCATGACACTGCCGGTCTTACCTTCGATGTCAATATGGACGTGTACTCCGCTCCACCGGGATGGCAAGAGAAAGCGCAGGCTCAGACGTCGTTCGTGAACGAACAGGACAGTATGACTGGTCGCGCAGCTTGCCTGTATACTCTTGCGGACGCTCACTCGCCACGGCACCTATTACCTTCTGGTGAGCGACCTCCGATATTATGCATCGCTCGCCTGATACGAACACATCTAGGTCGTGGCCTGGTCGATAGCGACATATATCTGCCTCAGTTGAGAGTTCCTCACCACGATGTTCGAGACCGAGTCCGTCCTGATCGGATGCAACGATCGACGACGAATGGCTCTGGTCCATGGCGAACGCTGCCTGGATCCCTGGCGGCAGGTCAATTATCCGAATCGGAAGGAGATGAAGGACTCCCTGAGAACATGCGAGACGCACGCTTGGCGTAAGTCCCTTCACCGTGTCATGGATTCTTAAGAACCGGTATTGACGCGATGGGAGTAGTAGCTCGCGCCCACCTGGCTCTTCAAGGGATGACAAGCGGAGTACTGAGGAGGAGAGCATGCAGAGTGGTGACGAATCTGACGATGAAGACCTGACGGAGTCAGCCGAGTGGGATAGTGACGAATCGGATGAACTACATGGTAAGTTCGTCATTGCGATACAGTGAGCTGTTTATCTGAGACATCTCACATCAGTCGGCACCGAGAGGCCTATAGTTTATCAATACCGAGAGTTGATAGGTCATTACAAAGCATCATCGCTTCGTCAACCTGCATTGTGGGATTCGACGCCATACGTTCTCTCTCAAGTAAGTACTGAGTCCGACCTATCCCTCCGTACTCAATCTAGCACCCAGAAACCGCGTATTACTTGGAGGCAACATGAGGGAAAGAGCTCTCGCAAGTCACAGAGACCCGTCCATATGGAAATGCCATGCGCCATCCCACCAGAGGATCACATTGACACGACTGTCATTCGACTGTCTTGCTCGCGAGGCGTTGACATATGGGTCACTCCGCTCGTTATCCAGACCGCTCAGAGCTTGCTCCATGACTTCAGCTACAACGTGAGTAACAAGGAAAACTCTGCATACGACGTCTTGCTGAAAGCGGCAACGCAGCAATTAACTCCTGAGCTCCGTTTCGACACATTCATGGTCGAGTATGTTCGCTTCTCCACACCTGCACCAGGCTCAGGACGCAGAAGACTCGTTCTCGACGCGCAAGTCCGTAGCCTCACCGTGGCTTGTGGGGGATTCGTCGCAATTGACACCGCAGGCGATAACAATGCCAGTGATGACCATACTGCTGCAGTTGGTTGCGACCAGCCGAAGACCTGCGCTGTGTTGTATACATCACTGGACAATGGTGACCTGGGCTGGACCCACACAGTCTACTCAGATGTCGACTCGCACAGCGCCCTTACGACTTCGCTTGGACGATTATCTGTGGCCTTGTCTGACACGGGTGCGCAAGACTTGGGGCTTGGCCGCAAAGGTTCTAGTCCATCCCCTGCCGCTGTAGACGTTAAAATTGGAGCGAGCACGGCTTCGATCACCCGGCGAGAGGTTGCACTCTCCTTGGGAGCTATTGAGGCCTCGCTGGAGGATCGTGCGCTCGGCCTTGTCGAGTCATTTGTTACAGCATCACTCGAGTACGCTACAAGCGTCCTCGACACCCTACGGCAGTACCAAGCGTACGACTTGAACACCATGAATCGACTGGTGATTCACCGGGTCGTCGAGCATTCTCGCCAACGGACTATTGTCGATCCCCTGTCAACTATACAACCATCCTATCTTGTCCAGAAGGGCCTGCCAGATCAGCTACGCCGTAGCAACTGCTTCAAATTCCTGGTCTACCTACGAAGCTGTCTGCGGTCTTTTGCCACTCAAGAACGGCGTGAAGTCCTCGATATACCGACTGGCGCAAATTCGAATATCACCCTGCGAGACCTTCACTTGTTGCTCGAGGACCAAGCCTTTGGCCAGAGCACGGACGAAGATACATCGGGTCTGCCTAAGCATGCTTTCATGGAGCAGTTGTTCTACAACCCACGTACGCAAGTTCCTCGAGGTTCCAGGGGCGCATACACGATGCCTATCTCGGCATCGCTACACCTGGGGGTGATCACTGTGAACATCAATCATACTGCAGACCATGGCAGAAGCACTCTCGTACTGGGCCCTCTCAACGTGGGTGCTCGCGTTGGATCCCCGAACTTCCTGCCAGCCCCGCATCTCGTGTCTAGCAAAAGCTACAGCAACTTGGCTTCCACAGACAGGCGAGGCAGAGAGCTCCTGCATATTGCGCTGTCGTTTAGCCTACAGGACTTGGACATCACGATCATGCCACAGATGATCGGCCTTGCACAACGAATCGCCTGTCTGCCAAACACGGTCTCGAAGTCCAAACCTTCCATGGATGCTGTACAGCCGCCTGGGATGGCTAGTTCGCTGATGGCAGCCTTGCTATCTGGCTCATATATCGATGTAGCCTTCTCCATACATTCAGCATGTTTCTCAGCAGCTGCCGAACGCCTCTCCGTCGAGTTCGGTATTTCTCACCTCAAATATGCTGCCACTGCTCTCAGTAAACCTCCGTCCGGGTCACCCGCTGTCGTCGAACGTCACTATTCCATGAACCACTCGCTGTTGGTCGAGGGTACATCACTGCGCCTTCGTTCTCGAGACCGTACGGTCGCTTCCGGCGAGGGTATGGCGATGGCGTCCTTCGATGTCCGCCGCAGCAGATGCAGTGTCACCTTATTGAGGGAACCTCAACAGGGCCTTGTCGTACGAGTAGTCTCTGGCGTGGACAATGTTGGCCTGATGATCCCACGCAGCGCCCTCAACCTCTATCGCTCCGTCGACGACTGGAAAGCGGCCTACCTAGCAAGTCCCCAGGGTATCCACTCACCGTCCTCGTCACCCCCTATCCCAAACACGTCACCGAGTGGGGAAACGGAGACGACCAGGCCACCACTACGTTTATCTTTCCGAATGGCTTGCGGGAGCGCGGGAGTCACCTTACAGATCGCCCGTGGAACTTGGTTCTCTTGGGAGGTTCAGGAGACCGTCATAGATCTGGCAACACCAGAGAATCCAGGTCAGATACTTCCTATATCCTTTGGATTGCAAGCCGGGCCCCATGTGATTGGTATCTCCACTAAATCACATTCGAGAGTCACTGGCCCCTCCACCTCGCACATCCGAGTCGAGCTGCCAGTAGCTACCCTGAAAGGTCAATACTCCGACTACACCGTCCACGGCGTCTCATTGGTGGAAACATTCCATCTTACTGTCAAGCTCGCAGACTGGGACACGTTGCTTTCTGTCTACCAGAAATCCGAACAAGGGTTCAACGACTTGATCCACCTCGTACAGGAAACAAGACCGACAATCGAGCATACTTCCACAAACTCCTCTCAGCGAAGGGAGACAACGCTCGGTGGCTCCTTCCGGATGAAGGGCTTCCGTATCGGTGTCGAGGGACATTCCTCTACCGTTTTCCTGGAATGCGATGATATCAGCGGTAGTATGGAAAATCAGGCCGACCTAGGCTGGCAGATCCGGTTGACAGACTTGTCGCTGTCGCTGGCTTCGAGGGCGAGCTCTCGTTCTGCATTGGACCGTGGTCACCGTTCAGCCTTCGTGACCATTGATTTCGAAGCCAAGATGAAGGGTACCGCGTTCTCCGATAGGCACACCCTGGAAATGATTGCCACGAAGTTCCACGCCGTGATGCAGCCCACGTCCGTTGGAGAACTGAGTGACTTTGTCGATCATTTGCAGGTGCGGACATTTGGCTATTTCACTTCCTTTTTACGCTGACGATACGTTAGGCTGAGGTCCTTGTACGAGAGGCAGATCGTGCGAGCGAGTTGGCTCAATTCAAAGAGAAGACGAAGAACATCATGAGATCGTTTGACGTGAAGTCAGGAGACGCGAACGACCCGCAAACGGCATGGCTCGATCAGTATAACGTATATCTGACTATACGGCATATTGGTATCGCCTTTCCTCTGGCAGCATTCCCCGATCTTCAGATGTCCCGCTCTGGAAGTCAAGACGATGCAACCGTTGTTCGCGCATTCCTCTTCTCAATCAAGTCGGTGACCTTTGGTACGGAGCATGGAGAAAGTGGGCAGGCGACTATGAAGGGTTTCTCGTTCCAGTTCGTTTCGAGGTAGGTCTGCTGTGTTGAAAACCGAATCCCGCTCATCGCTCTTCGCGTGTAGATTCCGGCAGTCCGTTGATGCAGACTTCGGGGGCGAGAGCCACCATACTCAGAACAGGATGCTCTATCCAGAGATGACCGCTCAGGTACGCTCCGAGCGAAGCACTGGGGGTCGTCGCATACGTATCGCTGCAAACGTCAGCGGCTTCATCCTGGACCTCGATCCTTCAATCCCTTACTACGTCTTCTCCTTGGTGGACGTATATCGCCAAGGGCGAGAGCGAATGGACCAACTTGCCAGCAACATCACTTGGTCAGGCGACAAAACGAATGCGGACAAGCAGAATACCCCAACAACCGAGAGCACTCGCTACGACTCCCTACCCAGTTCGAACATGCTCCTGTCATTGAAGTTTTCCAGTGGCAAGGTCCGTATGCACAGCACATCTTTGAGCGAAACCTCCGTCAGAGGTCGAGCAGTTTCCGGCCTTTCTGATCGCTTGGAAGAGTATGGGCCGGAGATGGGAGTGGAGACCTTTGACCTACCCGTTGTCACGGTCTGGGGGGAGTACCGAGCTGGCACAAGATCGAGGAGAACGTCCATTAACAAGCAGAAGGTGGATCCGTCGGTGCTAATGTTCAAAGCGACCATTCATTCGAGCCAGAACATTTTACGCCCCACACTACTTCCCTTCGTGACCAAAATCGTCTCTCACGTCGAGAACCGCCTGCGACAATCAAGTCGACCCCTCTCTCAACTTCCACCCACGGCCGTTCAGCACATCGTCCTCGAATCGGCGACCGGGCAAGAGAGTGTTCTTGACCCTGTGGATCCTGTCCCTGGGTTGAAGATCAGTCTGTGCTTGCGCATTGACCAGTCCAGACTGGAACTCACCTGCCAACCTGACGTCAATGTCATTGCCGGACTTCATTGGGACAGTGGCGGCTTCATCGTCAACATTTCTCCTGGTTTTCGCCGAGTCAGTTTCACGGGCAGCGTTGCTGGGCTCACGGTTGCGTTGAAACATGGTTTCCTCAGTGAAGACTGCGTCAAACTCGATGCTCGTAACCTAGCCTTCAACGTCACCTTCGCCAAGACAGACGTAGGCCCGGACAAAGTAATCAGTTCCATATCCGTGGTGGTCGACACCGAGTTCTCTGGCGGCGTGCGCTTCTCCAGGTTGCAGGATGTTCTTTGTTTCAAGGCAGTATGGCTTGACCGTATTCCTGTCCTCAGCGGGCCCGTCGCAACTCCAGCGACCCCCCAACCTCATGCATCGCAGATCACCTCCCGTTCCACCTCAGCTGGCCAAGAGCTGACCACTGCTATACTACTGCGTTTCCGCAGTGTCAACCTGGATGCAGATCTCGGACAATCAATCAGCTACGTCAAACTCCGTATTGACAATATGCTTGTTCGCACCAAGCTCTGCGATGATGCATCGGAGCTGACACTCTCAATCGCGCAGTTCGCTGTGTTAGCTTCTGGGAATGTGTCTGGGCAAGTCACGGTGCCAAATTTCGAGTTCCAGACTATACGTCATGGAGAAGGCAAGAGCGATGGATTCTCAGGCGGTCGCATGCTTGATCTCACAATGCGAAGCGGCGTGTTCAATGTGGATCTGGAAAGCGAGTATCAAAAGCTAATACAGTACAGGTAAGAGGGTCCCTACTTTTCTTGTGCTTTCGCTGAGTATTCCCCAGAGCCGAACCTGTGGAAGTCAAGATCTTCGACGACTGGTCGAAGGTCTCTGAGCAGGTCCCTTCGGAGAAAAGACATGTCGACGTGGCGTTTACGGTGTCGGGGACGGAAGTGATCATCGTCATGAACGTTAGGACGATTCCCAAGTTAGTGTCTTACGCAGACAAGTTCAAGGCCACTCTCGACAGTCAGCGGGAGGGCGCAAGCAAGGAGTCGAAGGCATTCAGGATCGCAAGTTCACCGAAACCCGACAATCCGCTTTCTGCCGTCGCTAACGCCATGTTGAAGTCTACGCGCAGTCGCCTGAGGGAAGAGACAGGTGTCAACTACAAGATCGGACAACGGATGAGCCTTCGGCTGGATGTCCTCCGTCTCGTTGTCTTCCCGCGGTCCATGCGCGATTCCGAGTTGGCTCAGTTCGTGGGGCGTGACGTCCATGCTCGGCTCGATCGCATGGTCGAGGTCACTGCTCTCCCCGCCAAACGCGACCTGGAATTGTCCTTCTCATCCATGTCGACATCTCGAATCAGCCAGCTCAACCACGCCATGCTAGCGAAGGAAAACCTGGATGACTGCACACAATGGCTCCTGGCGCTCATGAAAGACGCTCCGGAGGCTACGATCTTCGGGCTTCCTTCCATGGACATACGCATGAACAGCGAGGAGAATCTCGTTGACGACAGGCGAACCCTTGCGTACGACTTCAGCAGTAGGTTCACCGTGAAGGAAGGGGCGAAGAATCGCGAAGACATCTACATCACCCTCAACATGTCGCTGTATACATGGCTGACTTCGCTTCGCAAAGCGTTCACTCGAGAAATGCAGCAGGCACAAGCGGCCGGGGACGTTCGTGGAGGACCCGCCGCTATAGTGCAGCAAGTGGCGTCGTCTCGGAAGCGGGCCGCTGAGTCTGCCGTAGCAGCGATGCGTGCAGACGAAGAACTCGACGAGCAGATAGCTGGTTCCCCCACCCAAGGACGGCCACACATAAGCAGGGCTACCACGTTGGCCGTAAGCCCTAGCAGAGCAGCTTCTCCGAAGTCGCCGAAATTCCCGATGCCTCTTAGTCCCACGTCTGCTCTGCGACTCACTTCGCCGACCAACAACGGGTTCGATCCAGCGAGCTTGGCGATGCCTCCGACGCCTGGCAAAATTGGTCTGGTTTACGAGCCTCGCGAACGACACATCGAACGTCTCACGATGAGACAGCTCGGAGAGGCTACTCCGGACGTCATGCACCCCTTCTTCATGAAGAAAGCCGGCTTCAGTCTCGAGGACTCCTTGCCGCAGTATGTCCACGAGTACGCGACGATGCCGACGGAAGAGATCATGAAGGCGCTGCTGAAGTTGTACAGCAAACAGCTAACTTCGAACCAGAAGGACGAACCTGTGGTATCTGTCTAATGCATCTATACACCGGTGGACGGACGTACCATATCGTACATTTAATGTTTATCATTATTCCATTAGTGTTTCGTAGCAAGTTTCCTAATATCAGTTTGTTGGCTTCATTCCATAGTAGCCTGCTAGTAGACCTAACTATTTCGATGAGCCTGTCCCACCCACTTTGAATACACTGAGCAAGGCGAAACAACCGTACAAGAGTCCTACAGGGTATGCTACGAGGAAGCGCTGATCCGACATGCGCAGTACGGCGACAAAGATTCCAGACGCGGCGTAGGTGCACCATAGAATTGACAGGATAGACAATACGTAGCCTAGTGATCCACTGCCGACAACATTTGTGAGACTTTTGGCACGTAGACATCACGAAGCACTTACTCGAGTGTTAGGACCACGCTCAACGCTGAGACACCAACCATGGGTAGTAAGCAGTATCCTAGGACTGACACCACCCGGTACGCGTCTATGCCACTCTCGGCCATCAGGTTGAGAAGCGTGTAGATGGATGCGGAGCCCAGGAGGCCGACTCCGTAGATGTAGCCAAACTGCGGCTTCCCGGACTACGCAACAAGAGATAGACAATGAGCAACGAGCAACGTTAGACGCTATGAGCTCACTCACGAAGAGAAGGAATGTGCCAAAGCAGAGGAAGAAGAGCAGAGGTCCTGCGAGGTCGGCGTCGTCCATGATGCGCTCATCCACGCGACTGAGCGGATTCAGGACAGTCAAAGTCTTGGCACGGATATGAGCGAAGTTGAATCCGAGCTCTACAAAGGGCCTCTAACTCAGAGTGCCAACAGTGAAGGGAGACAGACCCTCACCTTCTAGCAACGGTGGCTCGCCCTCGAAGCCACCCGTTCCGAACGCCGTCCACCAACCGCCAGCAGGTTGAATATTGCCACCGTAGCCCGATGCCATACCCTGCGAGTTTATGGTCCCTTGTGCACCGACATTTCCGTCAAGACTTGGACGGGAGCCGCTATAGAATGTGCTGCTAACGGGGCTTGGCGCGTAGAATTGGAGTGGGACTCCCTGCACGGGAGGCGCGCCTGCATAGTACTGGTTCTGCGATGAAGATGCACCGTAGGCATTGTTGCTATCCTGCCACATTTTAGCGAGGAAAGGGGGATCCGCAGGGGTGGTGAAGAGCAGAGCACTGCGCGACGAGGCGAGGGACGTGTTGGGTCGAGGTACGTGTCTCAGTGCAGCCACTGTAACCTATGGGCGTCTAGCGAACAGAGCACGGTCGTAGCGCCCGATCGGGCAACTCTCATTTTAGCTTCTAACCACTCCGACCATGGTGCGTCCCTATCCTCCCCTCTCGGTTTCCCCTGCTAACAACATCCATTTCTTCTTCTCGTATCTAGCCTCAGGTACGTTGCTTATCTTATAAGCGTCGTCGCCGACACTAAGTCTCATCCATAGAACGAGTACATCGAGGAGCACATCAAAAGGCATGGTAGGCGGTTAGACTACTACGAGCGAAAGTGCGTATGAATGTCCCTAAGATGAGAACAGCCGTTCTGACGTCTCTTGTGCTCCGCATAGGCGCAAGCGTGAGGCTCGTGCTGTCCACCGTGCATCTGCAACAGCGCAAAAGGCCTTCGGTCTGAAGGCCAAGCTGCTGCATGCAAAGCGTCATGCCGAAAAAGTGCAGCTCAAGAAGACACTCAAGGCTCACGACGAACGCAATGTCAAGCAGAAGGATCCGTCTTCTGTACCGGACGGCGCATTGCCTACGTATCTGCTCGACCGAGAAGGTCAGAAGGATGCAAAAGCGTTGTCAACCGCTATCAAGGAGAAGCGGAAAGACAAGGCCGCAAAATATGCCGTTCCATTGCCCAAAGTGCGCGGGATCGCGGAGGATGAGATGTTCAAGGTTATGCGGACAGGGAAGAGCAAGAAGAAGGCGTGGAAGCGGATGGTGACGAAGGCGACGTTCGTCGGAGAGGGGTTCACGCGGAAGCCGGTGAAGATGGAGAGATTCATCCGACCAATGGCGCTGCGGTACAAGAAGGCCAATGTCACACATCGTGCGTATTCTTTGATATACCATAACGCATTGCTGACCTTCCTGTCTTTGTTCACAGCTGATCTCAAGGCGACGTTCCAGTTGCAGATACTTGGCGTCAAGAAGAACCCGCAGTCACCAATGTACACCCAGTTAGGCGTACTCACCAAGGGTACAGTCATTGAAGTCAACGTCTCGGAGTTGGGCATGGTCACTGCTGGAGGCAAGGTGGTCTTCGGGAAATATGCCCAGGTCACAAATAACCCTGAGAACGATGGCTGTATCAATGCTGTCCTTCGTATGTCCTCATTTCTACGTTTCCTGTATCCTGTGCTCACGCTTTGCTTTAGTTGTTTGATGTCTCTATGCCCCACTGGTATACTCGTCGCTGTATTCTATCCCGCTTCACGTATTTCCTGCATTAGTTGTCCCTCGCACGCCTCAGCATCTTCACCGTATGTAGCTACCATGTCGTCTATACTATGCTCGCTCGTCTGCGTCCTTTGCGTATCCGATGGGTTCTCTGGAGTTCATATAGCATGACTGACATCAAGAGGACTGATGTGACCGTGTACTCTTGACCCGTGATAGATGCGCGAGGTTCAAGCTGATGCTTGTCCGCAGGGTTTCGTCGCCTGGCTACAAGGTCGACATCTCGATACTCCGGTTGCTCGGCAATATACATGCATAGTAAGTTTTTCTCAATAGCCGCCTCAGTACAACGCATCCCAGACACTCAAGATCCGTAGAACGCCCATGATATGGACATGAAACCCTCGAACCACTCGCCTCCACAGCTCTAACCCTCGACTACGTCAGCGACGGAGCGGCCTGTTCCTAGACGAAGACGGCGAAGATGAACCCTGGCCAGACCCGCGATCATTGGAGAGCTGCTGGAGTGGCTGAAGCGTGCGCGGCCGCTTGGGTTGGGGAGTAGGGGACAGCGGTGGGTCGTCGTCGGACGTCACTCCGGTTTCGTCCTTCGAAGATGGTTGCGCAATTCTCCTGGCACTGGGCGACGTGTCCCCGGCGTTTCCGACATTATCGGCCCTCGGTTCCTCCTCGTCCTCTCGAAGTTTCTTGAATAGCTCGGATGGGCCCTCTCTGTGAATTGCTGATGTGCTTGTCGAACAATCGGAGAACGTCATCGTAAACAGCGTGAGCGTCTGTACGATTCTCCTCGTAGGCAGTGCTGATGAGAGAAAGGAACTCAAAGATGAGATCTTTCAGCGGGGCGAAAATGACGGATATATAGTTGAGGAGCTCGGCGTTCACCAGGGTCCGTCGGGGAGCAACGTGGATGAGATGGGTTTTGGTGAGCCCCGGGGCCTGTCTGACATCCTCGAAGAGACCAATGACTAGTTTTCGAAGCCGAAGGAGTGGTTGAGTTTGTTCCACCGACATCAGGTCGTGTCGACGTTCACCCGGGCCTTCCCGCGTAAGGCATACCCACACGAGGACCCAGAGGAAACTCTCCAAATCATGTTTGAAGCTATGCACCGGGGGTTCAGGTGCGTCTTCGTCTGCGTAATATGGAGACTCTTTCAGCAGCTCTGCAGACATGAAGGGAAGAGTCCCCTGCACGATGGTAGATAACTTATGAGCAGGAAGTATAGAGCAGCGAATAACCCTCACGGTAAGTGGATCGTTGGGCAGGGCTTCGTGTGTTACTAGGAACACAACAGCATTATCGAAGTCGATCAGACCAGGGCCGCGGCTGTGTTTTTTTTCCGCGATCAATATGTCGTTGGCGTTTGGCACATTGCTGGCCTTGCACTGGGAACGGGAGAAGATGGCGTACCACGAGCTGCGAGGAGGGCTGTCCATTTGGCTATGAGAACGCTTCATGTCTTGTATCTCGACGCCCGTGGCGTCGAGGACTCAGGAGGTGGCAGTTGGTCGGTGGTAATGAGCGAGGATGCGTGATGTCCTAGAAATCGATGGACAAGGATTTTGAACACGGAAAGTACAGCTGAGTTGGGTGATCCGCGTGTTGACGCACTGACAGCCAAACTCATATTGATAGACGTTTCGCGCTTGCGCGAAGATATGTTTCCGGCCGAGGTGCCGGGCTGCCGCGCCACAGCAGCCACCGCTGCCCGCCACCGTGCACCACTGGCAGAGCTCGGGAATCCGGAGGCGCAAAGCAAAGTCTACTATACGTACATGACGCTCGGGCTGGCCATGACACCCACAAGTACCGGTTATTATCTGCTGTCCGGCTGGATACATTGCTTGTTCTCATTGCTACTGCAGCAACAACTGTGTGTCTAGACTCCTCAGTGTCACCGCCGTCACGTACAAGTCGTAGTGCTCCTGACACCTGGGTGATTTTGTCTTTTGAGAACGTGTTGTGGACGCTGTGGCGATGTGGTACAGCGGGAAGAAGTAGATGCGTGACGGACGTGCAGAGACGTGTGCAGGGACCGCGCGTGCGGGCAACTTGGACGTCGCAGGACCCGGAGAAGAGGTGTCGGTCGCGGCGGGCGGCGCGGTCACATCGTTGTGACCCAAGCGTGCGAGCAGACGCGGTGGGTGCTAGTGTGCGTGCGTGCAGGAGGACGCGCGATGGATGCGCGCGGGTGGAAGGACCATCCGGAGGTCGAAAGCTCGAACATCAGGGCACGACGTATCACAGTGGGCAACAGTTCTACGCACGGGGACTCCAGCTCAGCTCAACCAGCCAGTATTCCCACCGACACCGCTTGACAGGTAAAATTCTCCTGAGCATCCAAAAACGCGGCAAATAGAGCACGATGGCCCCGAGAGCTCATGCTCTCACTGTCAGTGTGGTCAGTTCCCGCACCCAGACCACTGTCGCCGCCGCACAGCCACACAGAGTTGGTCGACATTCCGTGGAGAGACGTAAGCAAGAGATTGAGCCGAACATAACGTCAAGCATGGGTAGTCAGTTGCGCTCAGCTATGTACTCACGAATACGTCCGCGAACACGATGGGACAGCGTGCGAGCCTTGTTGGTATAAGTTCTGCGGTACCTTGATTCGTTCTCATGCCCAGCGGACTGCTGTTCATTTAGTTGATCGCATTTGGACCGGTGAGTGTGCAGATTGTTCATGAAAGGCACATTGAAGGCACAGGTCCGGTACTTTGATCAGCGCCAAAGGTGCGATCTCACTGGGTGGGCGACTGTCACTCAGTACTCAGTACTCAGTACTTCCGAATCGCATACTAAGGCAAGTGTCTTGAGCATCAGAACAACATGACATTGACATATCCGGTCTGCTTAGAGCCTCGCAGCGTCGCACACAGCACAGGCGGCTATTCCATATTCACTTTCTGCATTCGCAGAAGCATCGCGGACTGCGAATGGAGTCATAAGGCCAGCCCACGCTGCATGTACTGCCAGGCAATGCCTGCCAAACCTTGTACAGCCTGTATACGCGCTCTTGCACAAGGACACGGGTTGAGGGGCCCCTCACAGAGACACTTCCTATCCCATCCCAGCTCGTCTGGTCCTCTAGTCTGACTAGGCAGGATGTCGCATCTGACGTGTGGTCTGTTCGTGATACGGTCAGGCGGGGAAGTCCGTCTGCCTCCGCGTTCTGTATCGGCTCGCGTGTACATAGCAGACGGTGAGCCCTTCGGTTTCATGTGTTTGGATCACTCAACAGGCTATCCGGTGCAGTGTTGGCCATGGTGACCTTGACGCAGTCGTTCGTATACCCAGGCCACACTGGCTACGATTCCGTGGACGCGAAGTATGTCTTTCCGATACCCGTGGGCGGAGCTGTCTGTGCCTTCGAGCTGCACACTTCCGATGGACATGTCGTCACGGGCAAAGTGAAGGAGGCTCGCCAGGCAAAACGCGAATTTCAGGCAGCGATCGCCGAGAACAAGCTCACCGGATTACTTGCCAAAGAAGCCTCAGATGGTATGATACTGCCTTCGACTCTTATATCAGTAGTTGAGCGTTCCGCAGTCTTTGTCATGCATGTTGGTTCAATCAAAACAGGACAATCCGTCAAAGTCATAATCTCGGTATGTTATCTTCCACTCAGACGTGTTCTCACTGATAGGGATGTTCAGTATGCTGTAGAGCTAGCTGACGACGAACTGTTGAATCAAGTACGGTTCTCGTTGCCGACGTATGTCGGCGAGCGCTACGGGACCCCGCCTTCGGGCTTACCGGTACCATCCACCGCGAAGTGGGCGAAATTCTCGGTTCACGTCGACGTTCAGATGGCGTCTCTGATTGAGAACGTCGTCTCTCCGTCCCATCGCATCAGCGTGGTGTACAACGACATCGGCCGAACAGGCTGCAGCGTGGATCTTCAGTCGTCGTTGCCTTCGTTCCTTCACAAAGAATTCATCCTGTCTATACAGGCGCGCAAAGTGGATGCACCCCGTTGCGTCGCAGAATTCTTGCCGGAGAGGCATTCTGTCGCTCTTTCCTTGACGTTGGTCCCTCGCTTCGGTGTCAGACCCATCAAGAAGCAGGAGTACATCTTCGTGATCGATAGAAGCGGGAGCATGGATGGGAGCCGGAAAATGGACTACGCCAAGGATGCGTTGTTGCTCATGCTCAAGTCTCTTCCCTCGGATAGGACATTTTTCAACATCGTGAGCTTTGGAGGCAGACATTCTTCCCTCTGGAAGAACAGCCAGCCGTATACGGCTCGTAACCTTGACGAGGCGGTGAGTTCCTTGATGTTTTTTTTTGGATGTCATGGTATCATCTAAACAAACGCCAGGTCATGCATGTCGACGCCATGTCTGCCAATATGGGAGGCACTGAACTTCTTGCAGCGATCGAAAGCGTGCTCAGCCCACGTCGCAGTCAGGGTAGCGTATTTCGGCTGTGGAAGCCTCAGGCAAGACCGAGATCCGTGTTCGTTATAACAGATGGCGAGGTACGTGAACCGAACATACTGCAGGCGGTATCTTACATTTACCGAGTCATTAGATCTGGCAACATGACCAGTTATTTCGGACCATCCGCAGAGCGGTGGCCGCAGCGGGCCCTCCTTCTGGAGGCAAATACCTGCGCTTCTTCACGCTGGGAGTTGGGCATGGAGCGTCGACGGCGCTCTGCTCAGGTATCGCAAGAGCAGGGAATGGCCTGTGTCTCATGACGACTCAAAGCGAAGACCTCGCAGGGAAATGCGCGCGACTCCTCCGAGCAAGCCAGGTGCCACCCTCCGGCAACCTCAGTAAACTCCGGGTAGATTGGGGCTACGGTGGCTTGGACTCTGGTCCCCGCAGCGGCAGCGATGATCCTAAATTGCTAAAGACCAAGACAAAAGACCCTGCAGCCCCCACCAACATATACGACGAGGCTGTAGAGCCACTGCATCTCGGCGCAGTGACCGCTTTCCAACCCCCTCCCTCATCGAATGTCCAACAAGCCCCGTATGCGGTTCCCGACTTCTATCCAGGCAACCGCTTCATTGTCTCAGCCATACTCTCACAGACGGCACATATCCCCAATCAAGTCGTACTACACGGGGAAACGCCTGATGGGGAAGCCATGGCGCTCAAAGTGGACGTTCTGCGCGTGGAGTCCCAGGTCGCAGGACCACCTCTCATCCATACCCTCGCAGCACATCGACTCGTCCAGGAGCTCGAAGATGGAAACCTTGAGTCCCAGGGCATTCGCAAGCCTGATAAGCAGAGGCTAGAGCTCGATTTTGGGATCACCAAGGCCGCGGTGATCCGGTACAGCGAAGAATTCCAAATAGCAAGCAAATTCGCGTCATTTGTGGCTGTAGAGGGCGAGGAGCCTGTTGATGATGACACTTTTGACGATGAGACCGTCGTCGATGAACTCGACGAGGAATGGAGGAAGGAATTTATCGACAAACCTTCTACGCTAACATGTGGCTTGCGCAACAATGCTGGTGAGATTCATGCATGCAGATAGTCAACATGAAGCATCGCTGACTGCTAGTCGTAGATTCTGACATCGGTTGGAGACCCAGAGGACGAAACGAACATCCCACGTCGACTAGTGAAGCGATCTCGACCTGGAGACAAGATGTGACCGACTTCACAGTGTCCCAAGAGGAGTACGGATCGCCACAAATGTTCGACCCGAGCTGTTCCGCCACGCCGGGGGAGGTGGCAGCAAACATGAATCGTGCCTATCCGTTTGACGCGTACACTGAGTCGTATCAAGAGGAGTATGGTGCAAGAAGCCCGCCAAGGGCCAGAACCACGCAAGGCTTTGGACGTGCTCAAATGCAAGTCGAAGCTTCGCGGTCTCCGTCACGGTCTGCGGTACCATACAGCCCCCCGATGCCTACACCGCAGGTTGACCCTATAACCGGCATCGCAAGGCTGCAGAAGTTCGATGGTTCCTTCGAACTCGATAACGTGTTATGCACTACCGTTTGTGCGAGTAAGGCATCTCTTGATGACCTGAAGGCGAGCATTCCCGCCTATATTCGGTCTCAAGCCAAAGGACGGCGGTTGTGGGCGACGGCGCTGGCAATGGCGTACCTCAGAATGAAGGCCGGGGATAAGGTAGACATATGGGCGGGTCTCTGGCAGAAGGGGAGGGAGTTTATCGAGCGATACTTGCGTGGCGGGACTGTCGGTTTCGACCAGCTTGTGGCGGACGCCGGTGAAACGATCACACGGTTGTGCAACGACCACCCGTAGCTGGGTAAGTACTGCATCGTGACGATGCTGCTGCGCGGACCTTCATCTTGGACTTGTAGTACGATAGCTGGGAGTGATTCCGTCTCAGTTGTACTAGTAAATGAGTCGGCGACCGCTTTAAATGGTACACTGTCCTGAGTCTGTACAATTACGAATGTCCACGTCACCATGAATGCAATCGTATGGAACGTTAGATCTTTCAATGTTTTGAGTGCCAGGCTGAGTGTGCGGCGATTCTCAATCAATTGGGTCTACTGAACGCCCCTGAGCTTTGCTTGAGCTTGATCAAGTGCGCCAGTGCCACAGGCGCGTTACGGGCGTCTACACAAACATCCTTTCCTCCTTCGACCATGTCGGCTTCAACCCCTCCACCGCAGACCACCGGCACCAGTGCCAGCCGCCATGCACTCAATGCCGTCGACAAGCAGCGTGCACAGCTGGAGAGGCTGCTCAAAGATCCGGCCAAGCCCGCCTATGTCCCCGCGCCGCCGAAGGAGAAGACCATCCGGCCTGCGCGAGAGATGATGAAGAACGTGCAGGGCTCGAGTGCCGGCGCGGGCAGTGGAGAGTTCCATGTGTACAAGGCTAGCAGACGGAGAGAGTACGAGAGGCTGAAGCTCATGGACGAGGAGTCGCAGAAGGTGCGTCGGTCTTGTGTTCGCGGCCGTAGCGTGTTCAGACGTGAATTGTTGTTCTGTGTGTTAGGAGGTAGAAGAGGCCGAGTTTGAGCGCAAGCGGAAGGAGCGCGAGGAGCAAGCACAAGCAAAGACGACCAAGAACAGGGCAAAGAGGCAGAAGAAGAAAGAGCGCGCGAAAGGCAAGGGTACGGAGAAGGAGTCAGCGGCCGCTGGCCCGTCTGCGGACGTGTCAGACGTCCCGTTGAAGAAGCGACGGCTCATCAGCGGAAAGGAACTCGTCTTCAGGAGGCCAGGCGAGGAAAGCGACGAGGAGGAAGAGGACGTCGGGCCTGTGCCTGCTGAATCGGCTGCGGACGCTGGGGACGATCCTGCCAAGGACGCAGCTCACCTACCGGTGGTCGACGCACCGCGGATCACTATCCATGAAGAAGATCCTCTGTGATCTGTTTGGCGTCATTCTTACTGCAGGGTGTCAGTCGATCTGTATGCACCATTCCTTACACCGGGTTTAACACATACTCACGAGAACTGTCCAGGGCTCCTTGCGGACTCTACATCCATAGTACGGGTTGCGCCGCTACTGTAATCGGGGACTGTTGGAAGGACGCTCGTGCGACATCAGTCCCTTGGCGACGTCACATCGTCCGTAACACGGGAGGTGATACTTGTCACGGTGCTCCTGCCTGGCCCCCGAGACCTTCATAGACAATCGATTGTTTGGCGGGAACACCCTGAATATCACGGCCGCCATGGAGACCTGGGCATACTCAGCGAAGGGTCAAATAACTCGCTCATTCCGCTCTCCGACTAGCAGCGGAATCCAAGGAGTACGTAGCGGAGTTCTTGCTAGACTAGCCATATGCTCAGAGCGAAAATGGATTTTATGATTCGAAGACGATGAGGGCGCGTCTTGTAGACTTGTCCGGCAGGTTCGTTACCAATCTGGTTCCAGTCAAATCTGCAATCGACTGTATCTGTCGTGGACCCAATCCAACCGTAATGTTCCATTCTGAACTTCACATCACATATGCATTCGGACCCTCCTTGGTATCACTGGCCCTCTGAACGCCGACACCCTATTCCCACCTATTCGCCTGGTTCCCCTTCTCCAGATACTTCCAAACCAGATGCTCCTTCACGCCCTCCGCCTTCCACGCATTCGCCTCGTCAGGCAGCCACCTCGTCCGCCCGTCACCCACGCCCCTCACGTCCGCGTCGATGCTCCCGTCATGGCTGAGGATGACCCACACGTCCGGGCGTGCGTCCAGCGCACGCACGGCCTCCAAGGTCCTGACGGCGACGTCGAAGTCGTGGTGCACGGAGACGCTGCGCGCGGGGGGCGCGAGGAACGGGGCGTCGCGCGCGCAGGCCCTGAGCGGCGCGGGGACGAGCGGCGCGAGCGCGGCGGGGAGGGGGACGTGCGGCGTGGGCCGGAGCATGGCCGCGTGGTGCGCGCTGTCGCCCGCCATGACGATCCAGGACGCGTCGGGTGAGGGCGTCGTGCGCGCGAGGCCGAGCATGTGGCCTATGCAATGCTGCGGGAGCCTCCGCAGTGTGTTTAGTAGCCGATCCGTGTCAAACGGATGAAGGGGAGACGCACGCCTGGCGCCTCGATGAGGTAGAAGCTCCCGTCGCCGAAGTAGTCGTGGCTCTTCAGGCCGGCGACGATCGGCGCGTCGTCGGCGAAGGCGATCTCGACGACTTCGCGCCCGAGGAAGTCGGATTCTGGGAGCATGGCCTCCGGGTTGAGGGGATAGCCAGGGCGGAAGGCAGCCTGTCGGGGTAATCAGTAAGTCAGGTGTAGAGTATAGTTTGATGTGGGGGTTGCTGCGCGGGAGTGGGTGGCTCACCTGGGTGCCGGCGCCCACAACGAGGGCAGTCGTAGGAGGGAAGGTTGACGGATTGCCGACGTGATCGATGTGAGGGTGACTGGCAGGACATCCAGTTCAGCGTCAGGAGGGGAGGGCCGTGCAACAGAGATATAATAATGCGAGGTATATTCACCTCCAGATAACGGCTTGGATGCTCTTCAGGTCGATCCCATTCGCGACAAGGGTTTCCGCGACGTCAGGGCCGTCAGCAATGACTACCTGTTTGCTCGCGATCCTGTCCTGCCATGACTTGGCGGCAGTGGAGACATCCTTGCGGACCCCGAGGTCAAACACGACTCTCTTGCCTGAGCGGAACATGAGCGAGTAGGACGGGCGAAGAGCGGGTGGCGTGCATACCACTGGGATGCTCGATGAGGAAAGACTTGCCCGGGCAGGTAAGCGGCTTGGACAGCTCGTCTGCGGTAGAGCCTGAGGGCGTTGAACGTCGGAGGGTACAGGTAAGGCACAGCGCGGAGCATTGCGTCGGATTACGCACCGGGGGCAGGGGAGATGAAGGGCGCAGAAGGCACCGTGATTGCGGTGAAAGAGTTGAAGATCTTCACAGAGACCGTAGCGGACGACCGGGGAAAGGTGAGCGAAGACGGTGAGACAGACATCCTGTAGCTTGTTGTTCGATAGAGCTGCGTTACTGCACTGTCGGACTGCTGCCAGTGCAGGGGGTTATATAGCCAACGGTTCGCGCTGCCGACCCCGCCGAACGCGTACCGCTGAAGCTGACTGATGTGTAGGGCAGTCTGCGTGCAACACGGAGCCAGTTGGATGGCATCATGGGCTGGGAGAACGTTGAGAGAGTTTGCGACGCTCGACGCGGTCATCATTCACAGGCGCGTCGCGCGGTCACGTGTGGCCCTGCCCGATGGGGCAATCTCGATCAACGATCGACCCACTCGACCGCGCAACTTTCTTGCAGACGGTCACACTGAGGCTGACAGTGACTCTGGTCAGTGACCACCGTCCTGCTCCCCGCCGTCGCTAGCGCTGCTGACATATCTCGCCCCCTCTCCGGCATGTCGGACTATGGCTCGGACATCGGGGACGTCGATGCGCTCGTCGCACTCGGCCAGGCCCTCGTCGAAGCCATCCTCGAGCACCAGCCCATCGCGCTGATTCACAAAATGGTCGCGGACGGCGCGCCCTTGTGGTATCAAGACCACGAAGGCACTTCGGCACTGCACGCGGCTGCCTATACGGAGAAAGAGGAGCTCATTCGATATTTGATCGACCAGGGTGCACTGTGGAACGCTGGTGAGTCTTGGTCATAATCTGCGCATGCCGTTGGCGGAGGCTTAGCTCGGTGGCGGCAGTGGACAGCTTGCACAATACTGCGGGGGATATCGTGCTCTCCATGAACAATGAGACGTGCTACAACATCATACGCGACGCTGGAATCCGCTCAGGTGCGCCACACGTTCTCCGGCCCTGCCCGTGTCTCACCCGCAACCACGCAGAACTCCTACTCACCCTTCTTTCTTCGCGCTCGCCACCCGCGACAAGCTCGCTCTCCATGGTGCTCCGAGCGACCGACACCACCGCCGCCGGTTCTCAGGCCGCCTTCCTCTCGTCCAAGCTCAAGTTCGTCAAGGACGAGAACGGCCAGGAAATCTGTCTCCTCAAAATCAGCGACGAGGAAGAGGTCGGCGTCATGATGGGCTGGGAACGCGGCATCAGTGAGTCTACTGTCTACCTCTGCAGCGAAGAATGTGAGAGCCTAAGTGCGCCAGTGCGAAGTGCAGGAAACCGTGAAGCGCTTGTGCGATGACCACGAAGACCTCGGGGAGGGATTCAAGGTCCTGAATGTCGGCTTCGGACTGGGCATCGTAAGTCCCGTTGGTGGTCTGCATGGCACGCCACTCGTTGAGACCTTGTATAGATCGACGGCTTCTTCCAGGCACTCTCGACGCCCCCATCCCTGCATGTCATCATTGAGCCACATCCAGGCGTGCTCGCACACATGCGCGATCTCGGGTGGTATGACAAGCCCAACGTCAAAATCCTGGAGGGCAAGTGGCAAGATTTCGTTGAGAGCGAGGAGCTCCTAGGCATCGGCGGCTTCGACGTTGTGTACACCGACACGTTCTCCGAGGACTACAAAGGTCAGACCTGCAACCGTCCACATCCGGCTACCCTTACTGACCAGGGCGACCACAGACCTGCATGAATTCTTCGGACACGTACCGGACCTCCTCGCAGGCCCGGAATCGCGCTTCGGTTTCTTCAACGGCCTCGGCGCGACGAGTAAGTGCACGCCCTGGCTCCCCTTGCCCCAGGTACTGATGACCTGCCGACGCTGACAGACGCGCTCTTCTACGACGTGTACACGCGTGTGTCGGACCTGCATCTGGCAGACGTGGGCATCGACATCGAGTGGACGGACGTGGACGTGTTTGAGGGCGGCGAGGACCGCTGGGGCGAGACGCGGGAGTACTTTGCGCAGAGGTTCTACAGGCTGCCGGTGGGCAAGATGCGAGCGATAGCATAGTGAGTTGGCAGTAAGTAGACAGTACGCAGCTCCGAATCTCGACTGGACAATCAAGTAATGACACTGTCTTTGAATGATGTATCATTGTTTTGAGAGCGAGCCCCCTCGATCCCACGAGCACAGCGGCTAGCTCGCCTCGCACGGAGGTCATGGAGCAGAACGGCTGCGACAATGGAGTGCTGCGGAAGGATAATTGGCGGAGAGCAACGCGGGGAGACCGGGGACGATCTCGATCGGGCAATTAAAATAGAGCACTTGGAGGACGCGATCAGTGGCGCCGCGGGCGAGTGCCAAGGCGACCAGCAGTGTGCTCAGCCACCCGCGCGCCTCCTCCCTCGACAGGCTCTCCCACCAGCAGCCATATAAGCCGGCCGCGCCCTTCCATCCCTGCAGGCAGGACCGTTGTCATTCTAACACACGCTAGCTCCAGGCTCGAGCTCCCCGTCGACCGCGTCGACCGTTCCTCCTTCAAGTTCCCCTTTCATTCACCCGCACGCACTGGCAACCTGAAGTGCACGTCGCACCCCCGCACCACCCCGCCGCGCTCTCCTGCCCAACTCAGTGACCGCCCCGTTCCCCGGCTCGCGAGACGAGACCCTACTTTCTAGTCTTCATCCCCAACTAGCAGACAGACGCCATGCCGGACTCCATCGTTCTGGTGAGCACGCTCTCGGTGTCTCGTCGGGGACTGCGATTCTGAGCTGGGGCTGCGCGCACAGAGCCTTCAAATCGACCAGCCTCCCCCGGAGCAGGTGCCCTACCAGCTCTCGAGCTACGTGAGTGCCGCTGCAGGCGTCCCGACCAGCCCTCCCTAACCCCCCGCAGATCTCCATAGAGGCCTGGCAAGCCCGCCTCCGCGCCGTCACCCGCAAAGGCTCGCGCTACATCAACCCGCGCTTTGACATCGCATGGGGCGTCATGACCTTCATGTACGTTCGTTACCCGTTCTCCTACCCTTGCACTCGCTCATACGCATGCCTGCCCTTCAGCGCCACGTTCGCCGTCCCTATCGCCATGTTCTACGTCATGCTGCGCATGCTCCCGCTCAAAGGAACACTCGATACGACCTTCGACCTCCTCCACGCCGAGGCCAATCGCGCCTGGGAGGCGCGCGGCGTCAGCTTCGCTGTCCTCATCGGGGTCATCCTCCTCATGTGGTTCCCGATGTGGCTCTTCAAGGCCTCCGTACGTCCCCGTCCTCCTTCCTCAGCCGTGCTCCTCTGATCTGGGGGTGTGTAGGGTAAGAAACAGGTGAACAGGATGCTTGAGCGGTTCGAGCAAGAGGACCGCGCCGTCCGCCCGGGCGTCGAGCTCCCGATCTACCGGATCTCGCGCCCGCGGTTCATGGGCACCTCCATCGTGCGTGACCTTCTCTCGTCTTGCCTCGCATGTCCTAAGCTCCCGTTCACCCGTAGATATTGAACATAACAGTACCCGGCGCCGCACAGCCCAGCTCCTTCGCCTTCGGAGCGCCTCTCCCACGGGTGAGCTCCCTCCCTCCCCGCTGCTGACCATCCCTCGCTCACACTGACCCACTCAACCACAGTACGTCGTCAACGGGCCTATGGACCCCTCCGCGGCCGCGTACAGCTACGGCCAGCCGAGCTACGGCCAGCCGCCGGTCACCATGCCGGGCACGCCGGTGCCGCTGTACAACCAGTTCGACGAGAAGATCCCCGCGTACTCGGCGCCCGCGCCGGGGCTGTATATGCCCGACGACGAGAAGCACGAGCGCGAGAACCGCGTATGATCGTGCACTCCTCCCGCCAGCGAAAATCGGACTGTTCCCTGTTCCCCGTTCCCTGTTCACGTTCATGTCCTTGTTCTTCCGTATCCGCTCACGAGGACCCTTACCGTGCGCGCGCGATGTATGTAGTCTGGTTGCCCGTCCATGTTCGCTCTGTTCTGTATGTAGCGTCTTCCCCTTCCCCCCACTCGCTTGCCACGTCGTCCGCTGTTCGTCACCCGCCTGGTAGCTCGGCCGTCGGTAGCGGGCGGTCCTCCGAGTCGTTGTGTAGAGCATCATCACTCCGACCTGGGCATGTGCTTCATTTGTGCAATTACAATTCTGGTGTTCGGCCGGCTATCATAGCGTTGTGTGTCGCTGTGAGGTTATAAGGAGGCTTTGGACCTACGTAGGTATACAGCCCCAGCACCTGTGTAAGCAGTGTAGGATCGCAGGACGCCGTTGGTGTGAAGCGCGAAGGGACAGTGTGAGTTCGGAGGCGGATCAACTTCCCGCCTTCGATCACTCACGCTCGATCATTCGCCAAACTTGGAACTTGTACTGAACGTCCATCTCACGGCGCGTTGTCCTAACGGGCTCGGTTGATACAAGCGTGCTCCGCCACTGTGTGTGTGTTTTGGGATGTCAATATAGGTTACGACACAGATGATCTGATCATTCAGCAGCAGATACGTCAGTGGCCTACTCAGCTCCCATAGTAGTAGACATCCGAACGAGCGGGGCAAGCGCCTCCCAGCTGCAATATGACAATCTACAGCCTCTACATCTACGACAGGTACGCATGGGCCCTCGTCAGACCTGCGTACATCCTCTCACCACCGCCCACCGACACCGCAGACACTGCAACTGCGTCTACTACCAAGACTGGCACCGCAGCAAGCGACCGCGCACCGCCGTCGAGGGCGGGCTGCTCCCCGCCGTGTCCGCCGCGGTCTACCCCAAGCTCGAAGACCCCACGCCGGACGCGGCCGGCTCGCGCTACGGCACCCCGCGCAACACGCTCACCTCCGCGACGGGCGTCGTCGTCGCGGTGAACGAGGACGCGCCGCGGACGCCGCTGCCCCCGCCGCGCGCGAACTCGCCCCCGGTCCAGCAGCAGCAGCAGCAGTCACAGCAGCAGTCGCAGTCGAGCGCGACGCTGACGTTTGACGAGGAGGCGAAGCTCGTGTATGGCGTCGTGCTCTCGCTGCGGAACCTGGTCAGGAAGCTCTCCGGGAGGTTCGTCGGTGCCTCGCGGTGCCGGATGCTGGGATGCGTGCTAATGATCGCTTGTGCACAGGGACGAGCAGTTCGTCAATTACACGACGTCGACGTACAAGCTGCACCTCTACGAGACGCTCTCGGGCTACAAGTTCGTCATACTCAGCGACCCCAAGGCAGACTCGCTGCGGTTCGTCCTCCGCCAGATCTACGCGGGGCCCTTCATCGAGTACGTCGTCCGCAATCCGCTCGTGCAGATGGACTCGAGGGAACAGGGCATCGACAACGAATTCTTCCGATTGAGCACGGACAGGATGATACGTGGCTTGACCGTCTTCGAGTGACGACGGCCCGCTGTTGTACCACTACATCTCGTTCACGCATTCGTCGCCATACGTGTCACACTGCGGATTCATCCATCCATGCGATATTGCCGTGTAAGAATAGTAGTATAGATACAAGTTGTGCGGTATCAGCAAATTAGATATGGACTCAAAGCAAAATAACGACGAGCAAACAATGCAGCTATACTGTTCATCTACGCATCATCATCGTCTAGCGCGCTCAGAGGACTTCCCAGGTCGTCTACCTCCGTGGTCTCGTCCTGCTCGACCTTCTTTTCCTCCTGCTCCACGACTCCCGATTCCGACTCTGGTTCAGGTTCCGGTTCCGGTTCCTGCTCCTGCTCCGGCCCCTGCTCCTCGCCCTGCGTCTCTAGCTTCCTCCGGACGACGTTCATGAGTGACGTCTTCATCTCCCGTTCGACCTTCTCTTCGCCCTCCTCCCCTGCGACGGCCTCATCGAGCGCAAGCTTCGTCTGCCCCAGTGCCAACATATCTTCCTCGATCGAGCCCTTCGTGATGAGCTTGACCACGTCTACGTCTCGCTTCTGTCCTATCCGGTAGGCACGATCTTGCGCCTGTCTATCGTTGTGCGGGTTGAAGTCCTGGTCGAACCTGGAAGGCATGATGCCAATGAGCGACCAGGCTTCGACGTTCTAGTCGCCACAGCACACTCACATGATGACAACGCTTGCAGCGGTCAGGTTGATGCCCATACCACCCGCTTTAGTGGAGAGCAGGAAGACCTCGATAGAATCGTCTTCAGTGAACTCGTCGACCAGCGTCTGCCGAACATCGACCGGAGTGGAGCCGGTCAAGACCAAGAACTTGAGGCCCTGAGTCTCCATGACCTTCTCGAGGATGTCGAGGATCTGCGTGAACTGCGAAAGGGATCAGCGATCAGATGCCGTAGCGGGCATCGTGGTCCACACCTGAGAGAAAATCAAGATCCGTCTCTGCTCGGCGCGGTACTGTTCGAGTAGCTTCAGTAGAATCTTGACTTTCCCCGCTTGTAGATAGCAATCGTCGGGCTGAATCCATCTTTGTGTCGACTGAGAGGATATCAGAGGCGGTTGGATGCGAAGAGGAAGACAGCACTCTACCTTATACGTCGCCATGAACGCTTGCAGCTCGGCGTCCGTCATGGCCTCCATGTCTTCCTTGACCAGCTGGAAGAGCGCGCCGCGCTTCTTGAAATCCGGCTCCTTCAGAAGTGCTCTGGTGATGGCGGAGAGCATCGTGTCCGTAAAGCGCCTGCGGAAGAGCATAGGATGCGATGCAGCCTTCCGCAGGTCCATGAGCACGTTCGCACTGTTCTCGAGGTACATCTTGTCCTTCGTTCGAGCAGTTGCGCGGGTTTTCTTCGCCTTGCCACGGCCAGTCGGCTGAGGATCTGCTTCCGCGGCGTCCGGGAGGTCATATATCGTCTTCCGTGACCGTCGAAGCGCTTCGTTGTAAAGAGTTCTCTGTAGCGGCGTCATCTCACACCACTCGATCCTCTCGGTCTTCTTCGGTAGGTCTTGGAGCACCTGATCCTTCCGTCGCCGGAGCACGAAAGGTGTCAGCATCTTCTTTGCCCTTGAAACACGTTCCTGAGCAAGAAGTGTGACCTTGGAGTCACCCTTAGTCTTGAAGACGGCGCGCAGGGAGTCAAGATCCTGAGCGAACTGCTGCGGCAGGATGAAGTTCATGAGAGACTGCAGCGACCACGAGCGTCAGATCAAGTATGACAACCGCACGGAGTACACGCACGACTAATTCCTGAAGGTTGTTCTGGAGCGGAGTACCCGTCAACAACAATCTCCATCTTGACTCATATCGAAGTAGTGTCTGGTATCGCTGCGACTGAAAGTTCTTCAGGACATGACCTTCATCGAACACACATGCCTGAAGTAACACGATCAGTATCAGTCGGTAGCTTCATGTGAGACGACCTACATCCCAGGTGATGCGACGAAAGAACTTGCGATCTTTCTCGTCGCCTTGAGCAAGGGTATAAGTTGTGATCAAGACCTCCCATCCGTCGTCCACTTTGGTTGCCATGGAATCGAGGAGCTCTTGGCGCAATGCCGGACGGTCATCCTTGGCACCGTAATAGGTGTGGAATTTAATATCGGGAGCGAAACGTTGGAACTCGCGACACCAGTTCTCCAATGTTGACGAACTGCATTATCACTACGCATCAGCATCGAAATGTAGAGGCATAACGGGATACGTACGGAACGACGACCAAATGAGGGCCCTTACGACCTTGCTCCTTCAGATGAGCCATGAAAGTGATCACTTGGATCGTCTTTCCCAGACCTAAATCAACGTCAACATCGACGCTCAGGAATTATCGGGAAAGCATCGCTTACCCATCTCGTCTGCCAGGATGCAGCTCAATTTCTTGCGGTATAGAAGGTTCAACCAGTTGACACCGATAAGCTGGTACTCCTTCAGTTGGATATCCTTGGAGATCAACGACGGCTGTGACGTGATGTAGTATGCTGGTTTGCTGTCGGCGACAGTCTGTGAGGTTAGGGCAAGAGCGCCGTCGTCGTCGGTACTGATGGATGGACTTCGTGATGAGGATGCGCCCTTGCGCCCTGCCTTCACAGAACTGCCACCAGTCCAACGCGAGATTTCCGCCTTTAGCTCGGCGCCGATTTGCTCGCAGTCCTGCAGGATGTTGTCTACCCTGCCATAGCCTTCGAAGGTGGCCTGGCAGTCTTCAAACATCCGAGGACTGATGCCCGCTGGCCCTGCCTTCTTCCTGCCTTGACCCAACTTCGCCTTCAAGTCATCCACGGAAGAGAAGGGACGAAGCTCTGTGATCTTGTTCGCCTGTTCGCTCGTACAGCCTGACACAGACATTTGACTTAGCCATGGATAATGTTCGAGACACGTCAACGATGTGCTCACCTGTCAGCTCCTGCAGCCCCTCCACGGAGGTTGCGTTGAAGTACTTGAGGACACGAAGCTCAGCGCTAGACTCATCCTTTGCACGCTTGATGCGACTAGGCTGTCCACTGTCGACAGATTCGGCCTCCGACTCGGAGTCAATGACCTTCCTCTTTAACCGTTTCGCGCGAGGTTGAGCTATTGGGGAACTGCCCGGTGTTCGAGGGGAGCCTTTGGGAGCAGCAGAACTTGAGGTCGGCGGTGTCGCGACGGCGGGCTTGCTTTCCACATGAGGACGCTGATAGATCATGGACTGTTTGCCTTTCTGTCGGACAGCAGCCCGCTGGGCCTTGGTGGCATCATCAATCTCCTTCACCCGCCCATTGGCAACGGTGGTCTTCACAGCGCGACCAGGGGCTGTTGCCGACAGTGGCTTGAAGCTTGGGTCGTTGAGTAGGCTCGTGGCCTTAGCCTCATCACCCGAAGCTTGCTGCCATGCAGCGCGTACAACGTCGGGAGGATGTGACCCGTTGACGATCTTGAAGGTGATAAACTTTGGATCCTTCTCAGGCAGCGGAGGCTCGGACGGTGGCGGCGGGGGTGGGGTAGGCATACGACGAATAATCCGTGACCTCGAGGGACCCGCGACGATGTCCTGAACATCAGGGAGCGATTCGTCGGATGACACGGACGACATGGACACGGAATCGTCAAACCGTTGCGGCTGCGCAGGACGCCGTACGTCGGGGGAGTCTGGCTTGCTTAGGAAGTCAAGCGGGTCTTCGGACTCGCCTCGATTCAACCTCTTGCGAGGACGCTCCCCATCCTCCGAATCCTCTACATCCGATCTCCGTCGTCCATTTTGACCCCATGGACGCGTGAACGACGCGTGAGACGCGTTGCTTCCGGTCACAAACCCACTGGGGGCTGAGAGGGGGTCGGCGCGAGGTGTAAATGAGCGAAAATGAGACCCCGTTTGTGTCAAGCCCGGAATGTCGTCACCGACGTTGTCGGCTTGCCATGGCGTTGAACGAAGCCGATGAGCAGAATCGTAGTGAGTGGGTGATGAGTTTGGCACTAAGACATTGCCTGTGGGGGTGGAGGTGGTCGAGAAGTACCGCGATGATGTCGTCGCGTCGCGCGACTGAGTTGGCGGCCCGTCGAGTGCGGTCTGATTACTCGACAGTGAAGAGCTGTCAGAGCGAGTAGACTGGCCCAGAGAAGCATTCTGTTTCTTCTGAACTTTCTTGAACTTGAGTTGTTCTAGGGCTGCTTTCTGGTATAACGGAAGGTGATGCGATGCATCACAGTGAGGACACGCACGACTACGACGGAAACAACATAGTACAGACCCTGTTGGCAGCCGCAACAGCCCCTGAAGACATCGCTGTGTGTAAATGCGAAGTGATGTGCGAAAAGCTGACGACCTGGCCTCCAGGGAGGGCGACCGGGGGAGGATACGATACGAGCGACAAGAACAAAACTCTAATCAGGTGGCCCGCGTCGGAGAGTCAAACAATTGTGGCTACGAGCTCGCAGTAGTCTGCATTGCGAAGCAAACTAGCGTGCCTGCGGTATGAATGTATCTATACTGTACATGACGACTACGGTCAAGTCGGTCAGCACTGGAACGACACCAACAGGTGAAGGATGTCGGGGCATCTCTCAGCAGGTACGGTCGGCAGGGCACACACGGGAGGCAAGGTCAAAGGGAAACGCTTCTGCATATATTGTGACGCGAACAGTGTATGTACATGACACATTAAGAATGGGAGAAGTGAGAAAGGTGTTTGCAGAGATGCTTCTGACTGTCTACCCCGTATGCGCAGCTTACCATGAACCAGATTACGCAGTCCATCGACGTCGGTTAAGAGCAACCGTGAGCTGGCATGAAGATAAGCGAAAGGCATACATGGCACAGCAGCATACTCACCGAAGACTGGACATTGCAGCTCCCAGCGAGGGCGGTACGCACAAGACCGATCGGCCTCGACAGTACATGGCTCTAGATGAATGAGAGCACCATCGAAGCAAGTGATACTCTCGAACGAGTGTGAATTCGCAGCAACACAGTGTCGTCATGCTGGAGCTGGCGTGTATGAGCCAGCATATTGGCGAAGTAGTTTCAGGCGACGGTTTCTGCCTAACGCGCCGTCACCGAGGATTTGACAGAGGTTACTCACATGTGCGACTGATACGCTGAGTAGGTTCGGCACGCTGAAAGTGCAGTAGAACCCGCGCCGAAAAGTGGAGCCAGGTGCACAACATCAGTCGAGCAAGCTCACTGCGAGAGAACTTCTACAATCAGTAAAACGTATCGGGGCTTGGCGCGCCACGTACCGTCTTACGACCCAACAACCGCTGGCAGAACGTTTTTAACTTGTGATGCGCTAAACGAAGGGCGGTTAACCTCGTGGACATGAGCCTCGTATTCAAGCGAGTAATTCTAGGGGGAGGCTGAATGAGTCGTGCTGCTCCTTCAGTTATGCTGTGGTCCAAGCCGGACCAGGCGCATGTTCTTCGGGTGTAACCGTGACGATATGGAACGAACCGGGTCGACAAACCCAAATCCTTGTACGATTTGCTGCGTACCGCTCATCCTCGATGATACAAGGATCCGCGGATTTTTACCTATAGTCATAACCACGTGTGATTTTGACATCGTCTTCGAGACTATGTTGATCTCACGTCTCGTTAACGAGTCTCCCTGTAACAGGAGTTAGCGTGTCGTGATAAAGAACGGGTTGAAAGACACACATCAGCGACTGGTTCATCAACTGGTCAGTAAAAACAATACATGCGTGAGATGGAAGGCAAAGGCGGGACAATGTACAAAGATGTGTGACACGGGGAGCTGAGCAACCGTCCGCGGCCGACGTGGGAGGGTGGTAAAGGGGCGGATGGTGGTTGTAAGCAAGAGGTAAAGCGCCCGCTACGCAAGCGACCACGGCGCAGTGACTCCGGATCACGTGAACAGCCTCATAGTTCCGCAGCCTTGCCGGCTGTACTCAGCTTCAAGTGGCGGGCAGCCCGGGGAAACGCAGCCCACCTCTCTCAACACCCACCACCACTTCGCTCAGCTATGGTCATGGGCATCGTCGACTTCGTCGTGCTTGCAGGCATTCTGACAGTCTCCCTCGGGGTATCACTGCTTATCACAGTGCCTTTGACGGGTGCACTGGTTCGCTTGCGAGGTAAGTAGTTACGCAATGTCGTGGTTCCGTACGAGGCTCAGCCGTTTCCGCGCAGCAAACTACAACCCGCGCGGATTGCAGCTCGATGCAGAGGGCAACATAGAGCCTCATACAGGCCCTGTGGTGACATCCTTCATCGGTATGCTGAGGCGTGTTAAGCGTATTGAGGTCAGTAGTGGGTTTGCGAACTTGTGGGCATTCCAAGCTAATTCGCTTAACAGGGCTGGGCAGGTCTTTATAAAGGGCTGAGTACGTGTGTTGCAATTTAATGCTTGACAATGTGCTTACACAATTTGCCGTAGTGCCGACGTTGTTGTTCAGCCTCGTGCTGACTATCTTCGCCGTCACTGTTCTGGACGCGAATTCGCCCAGCCGCGCTGGCAGGGTTGATCCACCCACCGCCGGTGTGCTTGGAACGCTGATGTACAGCCTTTTGTCGATGCTGGTGTCTCTGCCATCGGCCATCATAACATACCGGTACGACCGCGTCATTCATGCGTCAGAGGTACCAATATCTCATTGGATCCTGCAGGTCGATCACGACTCCCTACAAGTTGCCGTACTTCCGCCCACTCTATTCCCTCAGAATTCTTCTCACTCCGACGGAACGCAAGCGACCTTGGGTGCTCTACTCCACACCTGGTCTGCTGACGGCAGAAATGCTCCACGTCGCCTACACAGCGCTCCTCCTGTCTGGCCTTCGTTCGCTCCTATTACCACGACCTAGCTCAGAGGACAACACATTCAGCACCTTCAGGTTCGGCTTCTATCTTCTAGCGGAGATCCTGAGCACGGCCATCATTTGCCCGCTGGAGGTCATCATCACAAAACTCGCGATCCAGCGTAATCATGCTGCGCCTGAATACAATTCTGTGGAGCAGGAAGTCGAAGACGACGGTCTTGACGGCGAAGAATACACAGAGTACGCCGGCACCGAGGAAGATGTCATTGGGTCAGTCATCACTATTTCTATTTTAATACATATGACTGAACGCGCGGTATGTGATGTAGCCTACGCCACGAGAAGGACCCGTACCTTGGCTTTGTCGATTGCGCCAAGCGGATCATTGAAGAAGAAGGCTGGACCGCGCTCTACAGAGCGTGGTGGATTACGATGTTGGGTGGAATCGCAGGTGCGCTACCCACAGCAATGGCCTAAGTAAAGCCGCCTGTATTTTGCATCTGTGAGGTCTAGGTTCTCGTTCTGTAGTGTGTACAGTGTTCAATCTCACGGTATCTATTGCATGTACGACCACAAGTTCAAGTCATCGGGAACCGGTAGGCCTTTTGTTCAATGCACGGAGAGAACAAGACGCAGGTGTGATGTTGTCTTTGGGTGAGACAGCGTCTCTCGTCTGCGCCTCTTAAGACAAGGCAATGCATAAGAGCAATCTTCACGCACACAAGAGGCCAGTGTCCACGATATACGAGTCCGATCTTTGATGTCTCTACGACTGAACCAATCAGTAGCATTCGCCGCTGAACAGGATCGAATCGTTGCCGAGGCTGCTGTTACATCGACAATCGGTCTTGATCTCTCTCCTACCTGTGGTCAAGCTCAGTGCGAAGTCGAAAGGCTGAACAAAGGGATCGAAACCTTGTGCCCGTGTTGACTCGTAGAGGGACACAAGTGTATCAGGCGTTCGCTGTACATGGCTGTGCTGAGGCCCTAGGCTTGAGTGGCTCGGAGTCGAGTGTTTGATATGTCGAGGCACAGTGCGTTTTCATACTTTTTCTTGTGTCATCGTTTGACTGACCGCAAGCGCCATAGAGTCGAAGAATGTTTCAGTTCGAGCCCGAAGAGGAGCGCTGCACAAGGGGATATGACGAATTCGCAACAAGGTTCTATCTCGCCGATCGAGTTGCAGGGTGGTCAGTGTCAATGCCATCCCATATGCTGATTCACTAACGCATCTCAGACTCACGTCCCGAGGCACTCGGTACATACAGGGTTTCGAGTTGACATTTCGCGAGAAAGACTCGGACACCATGACGTGATGTCGTGTCTCAGGACCATCGATTTTGCTGCTGTATGTGGGGTCTCGAGAGAACCTTACCAGTGTACCAGTGAGCACAACTATATTACGATGTCTCGAGAACCCTTACATGCTTACAACCAATTTAGGGCAACGCGGATATCGTCTGGTAGCGATTGTTACCATATTTGTCAACGTGCGTCTCAGCCTCTGAGCGCCGCCAAGCTCACCTTCTAGATGACGATATACAGGCGATTTCTGCTGAATAACCACGCTATCAGCATGCGCAAAGCACCCCGATTACGACCAAGGTCCTCCACGCAACCCTCTCGACTCTGGTCGGCCAGGGATCCCACCTATTCATAGAACGACGTCGTATCAGGTCAGGGCCCTCAGTGTTCCTTCAACGACCCCTAGACCCTTGAAGCCCATTATTACACGGCCAGGAATCACGCAGCCTAGCCCTTCGTGCTGCTGGATAGTTCACGGCTAGTCAAACTCAAGGCCAGGGCGACAGCCATCTACTTCAGAGGGTTGACACTAGTCGCTCGACGGCGCGAGCTCCTTCGAGGGTCTGACCTGCGGTACTAGTCAACGGTGCGTAACCGCGCCATCCCCATTGGTCATTTGGCGGCTGATTGATGATCATAGACTTGGGAGGTCGCGCAGGCTTCGAGCCGTATCATCGCGAGTAGATTCACGTCAGCATGAGGAGCCTATGGCCGATTCACACCATGCTTCCTCCTATACCTCCTTCTATCCTACGCGCCAAACGACTTCCTAGCCTTGTGTTTCTGCTCCTAGAACACAAATCCACTCAGGGGGGAACTAGCTCCGTGCCAGGGTCGTGGTTGCAAACGTCATTTTCGAGCAAAGGTCGCACTCCAGGCCTGTGAGTCTTCGTAGTATGTTCCGCCTTCTGGTATGCCCTAAGAATAACTCGTCGCGCGTGTTTACCAGGCCACCGGGCACCTTGCCTGTTCGCCAGGGTGATCTTGGTGAGCGAGACGTCCTGGAGCGCGCTAGCGGCCGCGGCCGCGCCACACATCATTCGGTTGGCAACGTCATATCATACCGCAGTTTCACCAACCAAAGCGACTGTATTCTTCACGGTGCTTTCTGGACCGTACTGGATGCAATTCGGAGTAGTGGTACTTCAGTGGAAACTCCCGTCACGACCAGAAACCGCCTTATCAACAAGAAGGGGTGAACACCGTATTTTCCCTGCACAAACGCAGCTCGGGCGCTCGGTATGTGACAATACCGGCCGTAGCATCCTAGGCGCGTCTTCCCCTAGGGTGGGGACGCGATTTGACGGCGCAGACGGCGCAGAGAGTATGTTAAGACTCTCTTGGCGGTTGGTCGTCCAACTTAGGCACAAACACGGTACCATCGATCGAATACGCGCTCATACAACGTTGTCTACGTTTAAACGTTAGATCGCACTGTAGGTCCCCGAAAGACCTAAACATGCAAACTCGACGCGTGGGGCCATCATCCACACGGTGCAGCATGTTCCGGCCCCAGCTGCGATTCCGATTGCGTGGTGACTGATCGCGCAGACCTAGTGACGACTAATCCGACTTCTCCGGACCGTGGTGACCAGGAGGCGGGCGCACCCGTGCGGTACAGAGTCGCACTGGAGGTGTATAATTAGCTCAAGGACTCCATGGCGTGCTTCTCCCACCACCTCCCCGATCGACTGTGATTGGGTCTTATTCTGGCAGACCAATGTGCTTCGTTTATCTGGTCCAGGTCTCTCCAGGTCGTGCTCCATCCCTATGATCTCTTTCGCGCCCGCGAAGCCCTGTAGATCTCAAAGTTACGAATATTGCCGCTGGTCCATCCTCTATTCGTCACGCACGACTCGGACATGAACGCGGCGGAGATGTAATCCTCGGGTCGACCCGACGACAAGCACTCTGAATACGTTGTGAGTGCCGTAACGCCTGCCATATGTTCTTCTATTTTCTCAAGTCGGCTAGTTGGATGACCAGAAATGATGAGACATATTCGCTGACCGAGAGCTTGCTACGGGTGCTTGTGCTACAGGATCAAGGCAATCAGCAGCATACCTCGCGCTCAACGAGTCAATTTCCGAATTCAGAGTAGTCCCTCGGGAGCAATGGTGACGAAGCCACATGTTACGTTGGAATATGTCAAGCAGCCGACGCGCAGTCTCGCAGCACTCCAACGCCGGCATCGTAACACGTATGGCGAAGACCCGGTTCAATACACAGTGACTCAGACATGTTCAACGAAGACTACGTTCTAGGGAAAGCACTACCTGTTTCCCATTCTTATGGCATCCGTCGGCGCTTGGGTGCTGTCGCTTCACAACCACAAGAAAAGGTTGGACGAAGGAGGCAATAAGCTACCCTAGATACAAAGGCCATACCCTACTTTCTGCGCGCTTCTATCAGAGATATGTACATGTCGAGTTTGTTCGGCCTTGATGTGCCCCATTTGCCCAGAATGGATCAGGACTTGTGCACCACCGGCGAAGTGTGGCCTTCACGGAAACAACCGGCAGTATCTTGCTTCCTACCGGACCGTCGGTGGCATCGGCTCAGGGACCTTAGTGAGTTTGTCAACTGACAGTACATCGAAGTGCGTACCACGCACCGCAAGCTGTACCATACTCAGAGGAGCATGTTGTCGGGCGGCAACCGATATTGTGTTTGATCCTCTTTTCGAGGATATCCAGACGCCCGGGCGAGAGTACTTATCTGTTGTGGATTGTCTCCGGATTGCAGTGAGGCGGTCAAAGTCACTTCATTGACAGCTTTCATTGAAGTATTGAAACGACAACAGCCTCTGATGGAGTCCGTTCAACGCCTGAGTCAGCGCTCGCCGGGTACCTTGAGATCCCACGTCGGCGGGGTGGCCTGCGCCTTCCCAGTTCCTGGACAAGAAGAGGGAAGATAGCATAACATAAGAGGGCTCGGACGATCCATAATCCCATCATTGCTCCATCAGCGCCCGTCTTCGTTGAATATGCGATGATGCACGCACCCCGCGACGTCCTATGCAGATGACGATACCGCACTTGGACCCTGTATGAGATCAGTGTCTCGCTTCACTGTCCACCGCAGAAGACAGCGAAGTGATGAATGCATTTGGCCCGTTAGGAATATCTGTGCTGACTCAGCAGATGGAGGAGTTGACAGTGGTAGGCTTGCGCGACAACCGGGTTGACCCTACCTATCACGGCCCTGCGCCGGGTGGGTGGACGACCGGGCGCACTTGAGGCGCGCCTGCGGCCCGCGCCAGCGGAAGACGCTTCTGTTGACACGCCACGAACATGTGGGTGTCGGACCGCGGCGGAGGAGGGCTGGCGACAGTTCCTCGTACACGGACGTCGAGCCAAACCACGGTGACGGCTTCGCTCGCATGCAGTCGTTGCCGGATCCCCGGACGTCATTGATGCAGCGCAGCTGGAGGGCGGGCGTGACGGCGGCGGTGTGGCACTGCAGCGCACGGACACAGCACGACGATCGCCCTGCAGGAAGGATGCGAAGAACATGAACCGTATCACAGTGAGTGCGGGGCATCCCGACAAGCTCGCCCGCTGACCGAGGCCCCGTGGATAGGAAGGGACGAGAGATCCGCCCCGCGAACGGCGGCACTTGCGCCGGAAAGGCGAGGTGGCCGGCAACTCGCGGGGAGGCTCGGATTGCCTGCGTATGGTCAATCGCCACACCGGCTGGATGGGCACTGGGAGAGCTGCTGGCCTTCTTCGGTGCCTAGTCATTGAAGTCAAGGAGCATCGTGGCGGAACGCCCACTGGCATGCCAAGCAGCCAAGCGACGAAGCGGGCGATGATAGAGTTCGGGCCCATCAGCCTGTGGCTTTGTGTCGCTCCTCGATCGAGCGATTAATATTGGGCTGTCGCTTGGCTGAGTGCGCGGCGCGAGGGGTAGGCGGATCTGTGGGCGCTGGGGGATGGCCGCTGGGCGAGCACGCGCGGTGCCCTGGACCGGTGGTGGGCCATGCGGAGGGCAGCGAAGGCGAGCTAGCGAAGGCGCAGACGGGCGTGACGGCGAGGGTGTCGCGGGTCCGGGTGGGGAAAGCCGCTGGGTTGAGGAGGTGTGGGAGACGCAGCGCAGGCGAGAGGCTCCCGCGGGCAGCCACGGGCCAGGCAATATCGCGGCCTGGGAGCATCCTCAGAGAGCCAGCAGAAGCTACCCGAGCCGGGGATTCGCTATTCATGCTCGGCAGGCTTGGCGCCAACTTGGCGCCATGCAAGCTGTACCACTCCCCCGGCTCGCTCTGCCACTGCGCCCGCCCTGCGACTTCTCCAACGCGAACACTCGCGCAGAACACTCTGCTGATGCAGCCTGTCCCCACTGGCGCCTCTCACAGCTGCGTGCTCTTTTCTTCCTTGCATTCAATGTCCTGATTGGCGCCCCCGCCCCCTGTCATTCACCTCCCATCCATTGGCTCTCCGAGTCTTGCACGTCCGAGTCCGTATCTGCTTTCCGTAACCTGCCCTTCTTATGACAATGTGCATGCATGCCAAGATAAATAGAACCCGCCCTCGTCCTCGTTCCCCCATAAACGCGCCGCTCCCGCCGTCCATCCCGCTCTTGGCTGATCTCCCTGCTCCACGCGTGCTACACCAGATCGCACTAAGCCATGTCTGTTGAGCCGCAAGCCAGGAAGAAGAGGAGCGCCTCCGACGTCAGCGCAGTCAAGCAACGGACAACGCCCGAGGATGATCACCGGCGTACGCCTCATCCACAACGTGCCCTTTGCTTCCGACGCTAACTCGACTTGTTCCACAGGCAAGCGTCGCAACCGCACTACGCAGTCATGTCTCAACTGCCATACCTCCAAGCGCATGGTAGGTTCACCACAACATTGCACTGACCATTATTAAGACATTACTCGTGCTCTGCAGTGCGACCGCAAGCGCCCCTGCGGCCGGTGCACTCAACTCGGTCTGGTAAGCGATGCTAGGTAACAACATGTATACCAGGTCGCTCACATGTTCTTAGACTGGCCTCTGCGTCTATGAGGTCGATGACCCGAGCAGGAAGTGGGTGTAGCATCTTTGTCTTGCACACTCTGAGTAATCCTTATCCCAAAGGCACCCCAGCGGCGACTCTCAGGATGAGAAGTGCCGCCTCCAGAAGCGAGTAGCGGAGCTCGAGAGCGTCATACGTGAGGTAGGGGAGCCACCGCAGCTGTCTTGCGCAAATCTGACCGCTATTTCTCCAGCTGAAGAATAAACCGCACCCACGGTGGGTGGCAGGGCAAGATACCAGCGACAGAGCTCGCATGCAACAGGCTGCCACCTCGTCTCCGCCGCCGCTGACGATCAACACCGGCCCATATACCCCTCGAGGCTCGACACCGGGTGGGCCGAGTCGTTCTTCCCCGGTCCCGGAGTCGGGCGGCACTGTCACCCGCGCCCCCACCTTCTCACACAGTTCTCCCCTCATGAGCGTCGGGCCGTTGAGAGTGCCCTCCAGCCCCTCAGCCGCCGACAGCTCACCCATCGCCACTCCCTCTCCCATGTCTGTCTCGCCTCTTGACCCTCATCTTTCGTGCGGTCTCGGTCTCAACAGTGATTATGACCTCTCCTCATTATTTGCCTGCTCCGCGGAGAAGACGGGGATGGAAGAAAGCTTCTTCAGCGAGATCTGGGATCGACTCGTCCCCCCTGGTGGTAGCTGCGACTCAGCTCGACCGGGCGAACATTGCGGCTGTCTCAACGACCCCGCAACATACAACACCATCCTCGAGCTGTCACTGCGCCTCCGGAAGGCCGCCGATATTCTCGGCCGCTCCACGAACCATACCTCGGGCATATCTAATTGTATGGTTAACCAGAACATTGTCGAACTCGACAGATTCACGTCGTAAGTCTACATCCAGTCATCCCGTCTAGATCTAAATCGCCCGGGTGCAAATGCTGATTCACGAACGCTCTCGATCACAGGACTGCCCTGGGGAACATCAATGCCCCTCCGGATCCTTTCGGGTCTGGCTCCAATCAGAACCGTGCCACGATCTCGGCGCCGTCAAACACGTCTGCCACGTACAGCACGTTCGGGACTCGGCCAAATCCGAGCACTTCTGCACAGGGCGTGACCGTATCTCCCCCCCTGGTGCAGTCGCAATCCGTCAGGACGTGGGACTACAAGCCCGACTCGCCATATCTCAGTTCGCCTTGGGAGGATCCATTCATGTCATGGATGCCCCAGCGTCGCTGAGATGGCCGCGACACCTCGATGCACGGGATGACTGGCACCATGACGGCGCCGCGTGACGTCTCGGAGCGCGGGGTTGGGATTTGCGTGTATAGAGAGGATCTTCGATGGACCGTAGCCGCTTACGGCGGGCATCGAGATGTATCGTTGTATTTCGGTTACATGTGCATGTACTCACTAGAACCATGGGCCTCCTGCATTGGACGCGCGTATCGGCCACACAGTGATACATGCATTACTCAGTGTTGCGGAAGCCGGCGTCGGACGGCGTGTACACCTCTGTGCGCTGTATAAGGGTGCCTACCTGCAATGGCGTCAGCGGCGTCAGATAGAGGCCCAGAGACCCATCTAGATTGTGTCTTTGGTTCCGCGTAGCTTCGCCCAATCTCAGATATCTCCTCTTGGCCCAATCAGGCTTTGTTCGCCACCAAGTTCGACGCCAATATGTATTTCCGCGCTAGCGCGATCGCCTCCTCCGTTCCACCTTACGGAGGGACACTGGCAGACCTGGTGGCCAACGGCGCATGTCGCGATTGCAGGCTCTGCGTCGATTGCACGGCTGCATCATTGTGGTGGTGAACATGACGATAAGCCTGGTTTCAGACACCGATGCAGTACGTCGCCGACACCTTAGTCACCGCTGGTTATGCTTGCATTGTCCCCGAGGGAAATCAGATAGCAGCCTCCATAGGCCGGTACTACACCTCAACAGACCATCTGAGTGGAACGGCGTTATCGAGTGGTGCGCCCCAGGAGAGCGTCGGAGACTCTGCGGATCTCCTCCGCGCGCCATGGCTTCCCGCGCCCTCATGCACATGGATGGGCAAGGGAGAACCAGCTGGGAGGCGGTCAGGGAGAATAAGTAGCGTTGGACCCTGCTGAATTCTGCGGGAGATGCTGAGCACTGCCCCAAGCCAACGAAGCAGATCAACGGGATGTAGAACCTCAGGAGAACATCAGTCTCGAGCCGGCGTGAATCACACACCTAACGCGCGAGTTTTCGCTGTCGATGCGATAGTGTGCTCGGCGGCTACATTGTGCCTGTGGACGCGCGAACAGCGATACTACAGCGCTATCCACCGTATGCAAGCCTAACCAATTCATATTGTGGGCGATTTCCGACTGGAGCGCACAGAGTAATTGCGAGGATTAACCTTACCATTAAGCCTGCAGAGAGCGACGGGCATGCCTGACGCCCTGGCCGGCGGATCAGTCTGTACAGCATCGAGACTGACAACTTGGCACGCCGCATGAGAGACACAGCGGAGACTCTGGAGAAAACATCCTACCCGGCGGGCCGTCGGTGCGGCGTCAGTGTGTAGAGTAGTGACGAGATTGAGAGCTGGGCGCCATGGTCCATGTGCACGCCGGAGCAAAGCTAGGGACGAGAGACCGTAATTCCAACGAATATTGCCGCGCGCCTACGATGCCGCTTGTGCTTCCGTTCAGCAATCCTCTTCCCTAGCTTCCTCGAGCGAAGGCCCAGCCGCCCAGCGGCCGACCTTTGGAATTGCTCGGCATGGGCGCGGCACGGCCAAGGAGAAGGAAGGTTACGCGATCTAGAGGATTCCCATATCGGCATGCCAAGCTGCCAAGCCTTCGCGCATATGCTTGGCGGCCATTGAAGCTTGCTGCTTATTCTGGGAGTCGCGGCTGCACTGGTCGGCCCCGAACAGGCGGCCGCCGTTCATAGCCAGGCATCGTTCGCAAGCCGTGAGAGGTTGACTCTTCTCCTCTATCTAATCTATGGCTCAATCCCACCATGCACAGCCTACTACATTTCGGAACGGAAGAATACCCCACCGATCCCGCGGCTTCTCCGTAGCATGGCCATGATTGTCTGGTCGGGACTCGGAGCGGTAAGGGTCCACTCCATTCGGGATTGTAGCATGTGGGGCTTGGCCGCTACCTCACCGGACATCGACGAGATGGATTCACCGTGCTGTTTTGTGTAGGACGCGCAGCGATATATTCGCGCTCACAAGCTTCATTTTCTTGTCTGCTCTCTGGGCACTTACCGTGTAAGTGCACGGCGACTGGCGAAGCGAGGAGGCTGTGAATTTGCTTTGGCTAACAGGTTCTCAGATCAGAGAGGAAGAACGACCCTACTAGACGCAGCTGCGGTCTGAGAGCTGCAGAACGTCTGAAAAGCCGAGCCCGACTGGAAGACGAGGGCGACGTTGAACGGAACAGTGGCCGTCCGTTCGAAAGCTGCCGATGACTTCGGACGCCGTGAAGACGAGATTTGCTTGGGTAACCAGTCAGGAGACTGCCCATGACCTTGTCGCTCTCACAAAGGACCGACAAGACGTTCTCGAATACTGGCGGCGCGAGCTGCGAAGCCCCGTCGGTGTCAGCCAAGCCGCTGAGCGAGCAAAGACACGGTGGAGCACATACATACAGCGGACGCCGTACACGCTTGGCCATTGCACATCGCATCGGCGGCGACAATTGCGTGATGACCTGAATGCACTGCCCCGGAGCCTTCGACGCGGTTGGCGGCCGAGGAATTGCACTGATAGGTACACGGCACTTCCATTGTTCTTCACGTTAGCAGAACATATGATCCACGGAGTAGGCGAAGTCGCAGGACGAAATACGAACCGCGTGAGTTGTCGTCTTGGAGTGTGGTGTCAGGAGGGTGTACGCTTGACACCGCGAACCTTCCGATTATCTTGCGGCCGCCTGACGATGATAGTCAATGGCACATGCGTCAGAGCTTACTGCTATTGCTCTTCTGCACGAGAGAGGAGACACGTGCATGCAGATACGCGATAAAAGGGACCCGGAGTTGCACGACGTATTGAAGGATTGGCCTGTCATGTTTACCGCCAGGTATTGGTCGACGACGGGGATTAAGCTGTGACTATGTGTAGCAGTACTTACCGCGCAAGGCCTCCTCGCCATTCTCCTATCATACCGTGATAAAGGCCACCCGAGTGAAATTGGCGCATACGAGACACGCAGTGTGTTTCCCTAGAAGGAGAGTTCTTTCAGATGATGACCCGGCAGAAGTACACATCGAATGCAGCTGTTACACATCACTGCGATGTTGATCCACGACATTGGAGCGCGTCATTGCATCGCCCAGTCGGAGGAAGGGTAATCATTTGCGGAAATGACGATTGTGCTTGCCACGGTTTGTTAGACCAAGTCGAGATTACAGGGATCGTCGTACCGCCGGCGCGTCGTGACCATGGTCTAAAATTTCATGAGATGCTCCCGCACAATAATCTGAGCGTCAGCCCATGCGTGAGCTCTCATAGACAGCCTCTTCGCAACAGTCTGCTATGCGTTGTGTCGTACCTGGCCTTGGAACAGTGAGGCTGAGCACAATCGTCGGTGTTACGCCTACGAGAACGATGGAGACATTACTAGAACAAATTACCAAATCCGGCGGACTGCTGTTCCACGTGGTTAGTCAGCAATTCTCAGCCACCTATATAAGCGCCGCTAGTGGACTTCTTGTACCCAACAGCGTTTGTACTTACGCAGCTGCCACAGCGAACATGGCTTCACATCTGGTATGTCCCCCATTCCTACCTATCAGCGTGACTTGCTGACGCTGTGCAGGCAAACATCTTTGGTACGGAGCAGGATCGCGTCAATTGCTCCTTCTACTACAAAGTGAGTAGCTTGCTACTTCCTCCGGATTTCCCCAGGCTAACTGGTTTCTGTAAAGATCGGTGCATGCCGACACGGCGACCGCTGCTCGCGAAAGCACATCAAACCCGCGTTCTCCCAGACAATCCTTCTACCCAATGTCTACCACAACCCTGCCCACGACCCTATCTGCAAGTTGACCGAGAAGGAGCTGCAGGAAGGATTCGATGCGATTTATGAGGACCTGTACTGCGAGCTGGCGAAGTTTGGGCACCTGCTAGAGCTTCACGTGAGTACTTCATTGTGTCGACGCGTTCCTTTGCAGCTTACAGGTTGCGCCAGGTCTGCGACAACGTAGGCGACCACCTCATCGGCAACGTGTATGCTCGGTATGAGTGGGAGACGGAAGCACAGACGGCTGTGGATAACCTGAATGACCGTTGGTATGCAGGTGAGTTAAATCCCTCTATGGCATCATCTGAGTGGGTTGCTAAGAAATGCCTCTAGGCCGTCCATTGTACGCCGAGCTGTCACCCGTGACGGACTTCCGTGAAGCCTGCTGCCGTCAAAACGAGAATGGAGAGTGCAACCGTGGGGGCTTCTGCAATTTCATGCATCTCCGGCTGGCCTCAAAAGAGCTAGTGAAATCGCTTCACGCCAGTCAGAGACTGGAACGGAGGTTGCACCCTCAGCAGAACGGTGGTGGCGGAGGATGGGAACCTTCAAAGAGGGAAGGCCGCGGACGTAGTGCGTCGCCGGCCCGGAAAGGTCGCAACGACGGTGAAGACAGATGGACTCGGAAGTGAGACCAAGTCGACGTCTACGCCATGGCGCTCCATTTCTCTGCCCTCAGTGTTGTGATCCTGCTTAGTCGTACCGAGATCTTGTCCACTTGTGGCAGCAAGTAGCATGTAGGCTTCCCTCTTGTTGTTCCCGCTCTTTACTGTAATGCATTCCTTCGGCTGTACATATCTCCTTCCTGCATTGCGTCTCCGTGCGCTAGCGAGAGTCTCAATACATGAGGCGCGTAAGGTTAAGGCACATTCACAAGCGCCTGACAAGCCATTGTTGCCAAGCGGTCATCGGAACGCGGGTGCGGGACGTGTCTTCCGTTTGAGGATTGTACGAAGGCTCCTATTGAGAGCGACACGGAAAGTGTTCGGATACGCTAGCACTGCCTCTCGTTCCATCCGGAGGTTAGTGGACATTAGGTGGCACGCCGATAGATAATCGCGGCCACCCCGGAGGCACAGAAGGTTGCCGCATTGAAGTGACGCTCTCTGCCAGGGTAGCAGAGAAGTGTCAAACGAGCCATCCGAGGCATTCACCTCTTCGATCAGCTTCCAGCAGTCCCGGCCACTGGACAACGAACCTGAAAACATCTCAGCACGCATGCATGTATGTTACGAGATCCCGACAAATACCTGTCAACTAGGGGTCTCAGCAGCTTCCCAGAAAGAGACAACGAGCGCACTCGTGCGAAGGACTCAACGTAAACGACTCGCGGTGAATGGATACCTAGGATCTGCGCATATAGACCAATACTCAGATCAACGAATAGATTGGGTCAGATAATTGACTGCTAAGACGCACTTGGTTTAGTAACACTGCTAGACATAGGATGAAGCAGGTGCCGGGACCATTCAAAACGAGGACGTCCGCGAAGGATGTGCGCGCCACCAAAGGTATCAGAGTGACATGATAGATGCATGCCAGCAGAGAGCGTGTGGCAGTGACGGGGGTCGTGTAGATTGGCTGATGCACACGTCGAGCCCGGGGGATGGTCAGGATAGTGTAAGGTTCACGTAGCCTGCCCTTCAAACAGGATGCAGTACAAGTTCTGTTCAGACACCCACAATATCCTGAGATTGGAGAAGATATACGGACAGTGGAATTGTCAGGATTCGCCGCTTTGCTCAGCTCTAAGGCAGTCGCTTTCCTGGCACTGAGGGCGTCACCCTCACTAATAACGTAGGTTCGAGGTGAATAGCGGTCGAAATCAAGAGCCGATAGGAGCATCAATGCTTCGCTCGTATGCCCTCCTATCAGACGCGTTATAGAGTGTCCGGTAAGATTGTTGTGTGGAGACACTCACCAGAGCCGAGAAAGACTGCGAGGTGACAGTGCTCCGAATGACGCCTTGTGGGCCGAGGCTTTCGATGTCGCGCCAATACCACAGAAGACACGCGCCACAGGATTCCAGCAAGGCAGACACAGAGACATGAGGAAACAAGATCAAGATCCATTTGCCCTGCGTGAGTCCGACGTCGCAATCAAATTTGGGAACGGGCAGTCTTCTCCAGGAGTTGCCTCTGGCGACCACAGGCCCTTCAGAACACCTAAGAATAGGATGTCAACTCTTCAGTTGCATGGGAGCTTTGGCATGGGAAATGCATTTGCACCCACCAGCGATGAGGAATGAAGGTAAGCAGGAGCCTGAGGTCGCCTGAGAAACACGCCGGAGCTGCACGCGTCGCAGGGTGCGCGTCTTGGACGCGTCGGTCCGTCGGCGCCTATGCAACGCGGCTTTGTGCCACAACCCTCAACGAGTCGCCTGCATACGACTATCCACGCTGCTGCCGCTTTCCCTCCAAGTCTCTTGAGCTCTCAGGAAGGCAGTAGACTGGGCATTTGTTTTTTTTTGGTTGCACTGCAAGGCATCATGGCTTCAGCAGTCATTGTGGACGCTGATATGGTAGCCGCTCTCCGCGACGCGGTACGCGAGTGTGGCGACAGAGGGCTGATCAACGCGTCCAAATGGTGAGTTTTGAAGTCGTTCACATCTGGCCAATGTCGAGCTCATCCGCGCAGGGCATCTGAGCTCCTCTTGGGTGTCCCGGATAAAAAACGGCGAGCACCACCTCCGGCGAACGAAGCTATCGCGGCACCGATCACTCAACCTAGGCATCCCAACGCGCCGCCTCTACAGGCTCTTCCCGAACATGTCCGCATACAGGAGAAAGAGTGGGAAGAAGAGGACAGGGACTACATCACGACTGCCCGTGCTCTCTTTGACGGGAAGGATTTCGTGAGAGCAGTCCACTGGCTGAGGACTTGCAAGAGTGCGAAGGCGCATTTTCTGAGTGTGTATAGCCAGTATATGGTGAGTGCGTGTGCGTATCTGCTACTGTCCATTCTATATATTTTTGCAGGCTAGCGAGAAGCAAGCTCTGAGGGACTGGTACAAGCTAGACAGTAAGTGGCGCCGTTGCCCAGGCTTACAACATGGTAAGAGGATTAACCCCACAGAAACGCGACATCAACCCACGCTTCCCGTCAATACATCACTCGTTGATTTACTGGAGATGGTGAGGAATGCGACAGACCCGTTTCTGCTCTTCCTGTGCGTTCCTGTTTTACATCGTTCGTCATTCAGCAATCACATACGTTCAGAGCACATTAGAAAAGCCCTATTTCTCTGTCGGCTGAGCCGTAGGGAAGAAGCTATAGAGAGTGCTCTCCTATCCATTGCTGCATATCCTTGGAATTGGTCAACGTGGATGGTGTTGGGCGAATGCCTCGGAGACGGCGAAGAGGTGGGTCATACGAGCCTCGTGGGATGCCCGTCTGAATATGTCCACAGTTGTCATCAATGTTGCCTCTACTGCCATTGCCACCAACACATCCACTCGTACAAATGTTCCAAGTGAAGACACTGAATACTGTCCACAGCCCTACAGATAATGAACTGGGTTTGTGTGATCGACTGTTGGGAGAAGAACTCTTCCCTCGCAGTCTTTGGGTCATGTCTCTCCGCGCCGGAGTGTTGTATCACATGCACGGTGGGTCACTGTCGATGTCGGGGTGTTGGTTACGTGCTCATGATCGACTCGACTTAGATTTCAAGGAGGCCGCTGCGCAGTTCCAAAAAATCTTCGCTGTCGACCCCTATCGCATAGATGACATCGACATTTTTTCCAATATCTTATACGTGACGGAGGATCAGTCTGCGCTGTCCACAGTGGCACATGGATTCACCGTCATCGATAAGGACCGCCCGGAGATCTGCTGCCTCATTGGTGAGTGACAGCTACATGGAAGACTCATGCCCTAGTTTGACGACCCTGACAACTTAACATAACCTCAGGGAATTATTTCTCCTTGCGGAATGAACACGAGAAGGCCATCAAATACTTCAAACGTGCGACTCAGCTAGACAGAACGTATCTGTCAGCTTGGACATTGATGGGCCACGAGTATGTGGAGATGAAGAACTCGCATGCAGCCATTGAGGCGTACCGCAAAGCAGTAGGTGCGGCAAACCCATTCCAACCATCTGCCAGATCGATGACCGGCCACTAACCGCTATTGTCCATGCACCCTTGGAGGTAGATGTCACTCGGAAAGACTACCGCGCGTGGTACGGCCTAGGTCAGGCTTACGAACTGCTGAGCATGCATCAGTATGCACTCCACTATTACCAACGAGCCACAGCGCTACGGTGCGTCCCTCTTCATGCTTCCTATCCCCTATCTATCCGCCCCTTCTTCCGATATTAGTACCGCCTGTAGACTGACTAAGTTCTGATTGTACGACAGGCCATATGATGTCCGCATCTGGCAAGCACAGGGCATTTGCTATGAAGAAATGGGACGGTGAGGAGCTCAACACTAGAATGCCATTGACGTAAGACTGAAAGTGGATTACCTCCATCCGTACCATATTCTGGCAGACCGCGCGAGGCCATCGAATGTTTCAAGCGCGCGCTTATCGGGGCGGACCCGTACGAAACGACCATTCATCTGAAGCTGGCCAAGCTACATAACGATCTCGACGAGTTCGCTGAAGCTGCAAGTTACCACCGGCGGGTGGTGGATGTGTGCCGAGCCGCAAGTACGTACAATTCCCTGCTGCGCGCCTTTACGCCATTCTCGCCCCCTCCCTCAATTGCCGGCTTCTCACCGTCTGCACTTCTGTCCGGGCGCATACTGATAGCATTCTATTTCTCACCGCTGCTGAATCAGATAAACCCGTGGCCGAGTACGCCAAGTCGTCCGTTTACGTTGCGCGTTACCACATTATTCACGGCGGTGGGGACCTGGCCTTGGCAAAAGAACTCCTAGAGCCCATCGCTTCCAGCAACGCAGAAGAAGTCAGCCAGGCTACCGACCTGCTCAAGAAAGCGAGATCTGCGCAGGCCAAGATACAGATGGACGCTGCCCAAGCACAGAGTCAAGCTCAAGCTTGAGGCCAGGTTCAGCTTGGAGCAGGCTCGGGTTGTATGATCTGGGCTCGGGTCTTCTCAAGGATGTTTCTGTATTGTGGATGGATTTGGTAATTCTGAAACTCTTGTACTCTACTATACGCCTGCTGTGTAAGGCGCGGTCGGTTGTACTGGGCGTTATTACTTTCTGCAACTTTGTTTCCCGTTCGTTTGAGCGCCCAACGGCGGCCGGAGAGGATGTCACTCTATGACACTTCCATATCGGGGACACTCAGAGATCTGATCAGCCACCTGCCCTGAAGCACGCGGGCCCGGGATCTCACGGTCACGCGGTCACGAGCTTCAGTGAAGACAGCAAACGTGACAAAACAAAACAAATCGCCCAAGGGCTGAGATGTCGAAAATCCTGGCTAATTCGCATTCTCCTTCTCCTACGTCCTCTCCTGCTCAACCATCCACGCCGTTCAATGGCGAGAACGGTGGATATGCTCGGTCCAATGGTCGGGACTCTGTCTATGCTACTCCTGCACCCGAGTCTCAGACGCCAAACCTCGCATCGAGCTCGACTCTGGACATAGACCCTGTCACAATCGATGATGAGCCTACGCAGCCCGGAAGTCATCCGAAAAAGCGGTTCAGGCCATTTCCAGATGTGGAGGGTGTGACTGCTAGAACAAAGAGGAGAGCTGTGGCCAAGAGTCGGTTAGCGGACGAAGAAGATGCCATGACGCAGACAGCTACACGGTGCGTATACTTGCGCGCTGCACATTCATCACACGTCGTGACATACTCCTGCAGAGTTGCGTCTCGCCTAGCGGAGGATCATACCTCTGTTCTATACCCTGACGTGGACACACCATTCACGGACGTCCAAGATGCGATGCGCCGTCTTTTGCCGTACCACGTCTTCCAGCATCCCAAACAGGATCTGGATGTCACCATCCATCGTCCCTTGTTTCCCTCATCAAAGGGCAAAACGAAGGCCACGGAGGCGGATTACCTGCGAGAGGAAATTGCAGGTACGGTGCACTATATGTACTTTGTACGAGCACAAAAGAACTTAATTGCGTAGAAACACGATTCGCTCTGCAGTGCTGGAGGAGGCGGAGAGCACTAGAAGATCGCTTTCGACGTATTAGGATACGGGAAGGCAAGGTACGTAGAAGCACGTCCCTTTTTGCGCTGCTGATCCTGACGGTGAAACAGCATGCCTCCCCCGACGATCAAGCATACGTACTCGTACAAGCCGTACTGGAGGCAGAAGGCGCGGAGACTACCACTGTAAACACTGAACTTCGAGCTGCACGCGCTGAACTCGACAAACTCGAGCGAGAGCGACGAGCCGCAGCGCGTCCCCCTCCTCCTCCCACTACACCACGGCAAACACCTTACTATCCGCCTACTCCCTCAGCGCCCAACGCCTATACGTCGCAATATCGTGGCTATGCATACCCATACGCTACACCATACGGGGCAGCACAGTACACGCTCAGTCCTGCGTTTCAGACGACCGTCTCATACCCACCCACACCTCTGAATACCGGCGCTCAGAGGTCCGGACCGGCGTACGGGTCCGCATACTCACCTGCTACTCCGTCCAATACGTCGTCTACCGCATACTCGCACGCGACCGCTGCGACCACACCCACCCCCACTGCGGCGGCATCTGCGCCTCAGGCATACTATCGGACCCACTCGACCAGCACGACCACCACGGCGACAAATACGGCGGGGACGGTTTCTGCCATACCGGTTCAACTGCCAGTCACGCATCTGGCGGCGCTGCAGACCATTGGCTTGGATCCGGTTCCTATCACATCGCTCCCTCCTCCAGGCCAGCCACGCCCTGCGGCCATCCTCAGGTCTCAGACAGCGACGACGATGCAGATTGACATCAACGTCGCATCGCTACAACCTGCTCAGATGAACGGCCTTGCTGTGATTCTGAATATGTTGACGTCAAGGGGCGTGACCGTGGATGGCAGTACAGGCACTGCGCCGAATAGCGCCGTCGGGAGCGGCACGCCGACGTCGGTGCCTGCTGCAACAGACGCGACGACGGCGTCGTGAATGCGAGGGGCTGCGTGACGCTGTTTGTGTCTATTCTTATTGGCGTAACAGTAACCGTTCTGGTCGTTAGATGGCGTGTTGTAATGTACTCGGTAGGTAAGGAGAGGCATGGCCCGCAATATAGCATGTTCCATTGTGTACTTAAAGTTTCAGCCAGCTATACAGAAGGTGCCGCGGACGTAAGTATGGCGGCATCGGGTCTGTCGGCCAAGGCCCCGCTAATGTGCCGTACGGCGATTACCCTATTCTAGCGGAGGTGGCAAAGATTGGGCGTGAGTGTCCCGAAAAGGCAAGGTCATCCTGAGCTTTCCAGGCCGTTCTTGTCGCTGTTTACCACGTCGAGCAGCCCTCCCCGCGCATCAGGCCCCGTTGCAGAGCATCGTCGTTCACTTTGCCCTGCTCTTCGCTGTTCGCTCTCCTCAAAACGCACCTTTGCTGTCCTCTTGCCCTCGTACGTGCCTCGATGACGCTGCCGTGCCACGCGCCACCAAGTTGGGGTGAAGATTGCGCTCTGATATGGCGCTCGCTCCCAGCCACGAAGGCCCCCCAAAAGTGTAATGTGTGGCACTCTGTGTTACCCGAAGCCAGTGGATCCGGCCCACGCTGTGTATATAACAGAGGGTGGGACGCGAGGTAAGCTCTGTATAGTCTCGACGTGCAACACACTTGCCTTGCTACTCGACCTACCTGAACGTGCCTACAACCCCGTACCGCGCGTAGACTCTCACCTCCAGGACACCACGTAGCTGTTCATGTCGTCTGCCACTGAGCCCCTCGTCTTCTCCAACCTTCCTGCGGAGCTGCTGCGAGACGTATTCGAGCATGCAGCCGCCTTGGACCCAGCAACAGCGCGCACGCTGTCGCTGGTCTCGTCCGCCGTACGCCACTGGACGGAGCCCCTCCTCTACGAAACGGTGGTCCTATCTTCGTCGCGCAGCCTGCGCTCCTTCCTCGCCGCGGTCTCTAGCAAACCCGCCGGATTCGTGCGCACGCGCGTCAAGCATCTCGGCATCTTCGCGCTTGGACCGGTTCAGAGCATCGACCGCGTCCTGAACGCATGCGAGGGCGTCGATAGCCTTGCATGCGGCTTCAATCTCCCCGGGTACAAGCAGGTCCAGGGCTGCGGGGCCTTGCAAGCTCTGCAGGGTTCGCGTGAGCAGCACCTGCTCGGGCTCTCCTGCCGTGACGGGTGGGATACCACCGTCGTCGCGCCATCCGTAACGCACCTACGCATCCATGTAACATCGTTCAACTCTGGCGACACTTCGTCGCTCGCGATCGCCCCCGGGATGGGCAACCCGACCGAGTCTGGTTGGGAGCGGCTCACCAGTCTATCATCGCTCACCCACCTGGCTATCGTCTACCGCCATTCCCCGTGCACTCCTCCGAACGAAGTCTTCCCAACATTGCAGCGATTGTTGACTTTGCACGAGACCGCACCCGAAGGGACCAACCCTCCCCGGCTCGAGTTGGTTCTCGTGCAGGTGATAGGCGGGTTAGTGGCCAGCTCTGCGGCAAACGAGGCCGTAGAGGCTCTCAGCGCTGCTGTCATGAAGGCTGGAGGGCCTTCGTTGCGCATCGTCGCCGAATGCGCACCTACATCCGTAGTCCGTCAATGGGAGACTGCGGCTCGGGGCGGCCCGAGTATATGGGAAGGTGCCGAAGAAGTTGTGAAGGAGAGATTGGCTAGTGCCGCTGCGGCGGCGGCGGCGAAGAAGAAGTAACTGCGGCCCTTGCGGTGCGCTGTTGTTACCTCGTATGTACGCCACGACCCGTTGAACGTAGTTCAGGAGCATGTTACTCATCGCAATACCCCATGTTAGTCATTGCATTTCGGCCTCGTGTCTCACTAGTCTCTGGTCGCGTCACTACCTGTATGATAGTTGTTTTACTCATCTTTTCATTTGCTGCTATGCTGACCAGGGATTTGCTCTGACGTCATGCTATCAGACGTGATTCTATGAGAAGGGACTGCTACTGCCTTGTATAGAGCATGAAGCACTCCGGTATGTCTCACTATCGTAGACTTGACATGGGAGCTCAATCATGTCACATGTGCTTCGTCCGTTGTCTTTATGATTGCAGGCGTGAACCAATCCCTTAACGATGAATGACGAATACGATTGCTCTCCACTGTTCATCTTATCCATTGCGATAACAAGTGGGTCTGTCAGTGAGAATGAGATGGGCTTCATCACGTTCTCATGTGGTTGTGGATGACTTCAGCGCGCGCGCACAACGGTCATGTTCGTTGCGCGCCGTCCAACTTGTCGCCGAGGCGCCGCGACTGCCACTGCTGTTTTGGCGCCCATATGCTAGCGCTTGACTGCAGCGTAAAGAGAGCTGCCCGAACAGAGCGCCTTTGACCGATTAACCTCTTGGATTTGCACGGCATCATCAACCGGGCATAGATCGAGAAACTGAGTCATGACATCCTTTTCCAACAAGAAATACAAACGATCACTGGGCGCTGCAAGCCGGGACCACGAGGCTACTGCCCGACGATGATTGGCTTCGTCTTGCTGAAATGACTTATCGTCTCATCCGACACATCCAGGTGCGCTTGAACTAGGGCCGGTGGAGTCAAGGCAAGCCACTGATAGATGTGGTCAGAGGTCCATCACACGAGAACAGAGACACTGTACTCACCTGGTTTAGGCTGACGTCCTGGAACTTGTCCGTCTTCAGGATCTCGAGGTAATGCAGAGTCGTGTTGCCCGTATTCTCCACGTAGTGCCCTTCGACGACTCTCATGAGATGAGCAGGAAGAGTCCCGTGTGATTTGACTCACCGTAGGAAGGCGGGATATAGCCGACGTCGCCGCCCTACAAAAAGTCCTACAATGAGACATGGATCGTCTGAAAGGACGTCCCGCTTACCTGGTAATCGAACGTCCTCGCATTGGAGTTAGCTGCAAAGAGCGTGATACGCGCGTATCCCTCGCTATCGTATCATTAGCGAGGCCTCGCTGCCTGAGCAAGTCATCACTCACATGATGTAGTCCCATTCGGCTTGTGTAGGGTGCCACTCACGACACACAGGGTTCGGTCACTACCAACTGAGGGTCTGATACATGTGCTTACATGGATCTCGCGCATTGCCCCAGGCTCCAGTGTGACCTCCGCGACTGCGATCGTCTTCGCCACCTTGAAGTTCGTCGAATCCACAATCTTGACCGTGCCTCCAGGACGCTGCGTCGCGTTCATCTGCGACAGAGGGAACGAGTATGGCTCGGTGGTCTGACCTTGAGGATCGGTGGGCGCTTGGGCGTTCGACGCGGGCGGGTCTAACAGCAAAATACAGCTACAGACGGATAGGCGTTGTGCTGCTGTTAGGGAGCTCACCGCTGGGGAAGATGTACAGCTCCTGTCCGGGGATGTGGTCAAATGCAGACTGCGGCAGCTGGAAGTTCTTCGCGATCACTTCCTTTGGGATATGCGCCATCATATCGGTGAGCTGGATTATTTCCTCGGTCAACCCGGACCCCTGAGGTATGCGCTAAGAATACTCACAAGGAATGTAGAATCGTCGCTGAAGGTTCCGTTGTCGAACACCTAAGGGGGTCTGGCTGTGGTAGTGTTCAGGCTAGACTACAGAGCACTCACTAAAAGGAACTCGGTGCCAGCAGGATCATCGGCGGTCGCTTGGAGGGAGTGCGGTTGCCCAGGCGGAAAGTACCAGAGGTCTCCTTGGTTCTGCAAGGCGCCGAATCAGTCCGAGCTGCCGGTATGCCTCTGTGTAATCGGTGATACTCGCCACCGTGGCTAGATAATTCTGACCATCCGACGTGACCGTTGAGATTTGCGTGCTTCCCTGTACTGACCGTCAGTGCTGCCAACGACGAATCTTGGCACCTTGTATACATACCTTCAGCACGTAGGCCCACTACCCATCAGAGACATGTGATCAACTCTCGTTCAAGTCAGTAGGTGAAAATACATACCTCGGCCGATGTATGCCAGTGTAACTCGCTAGAAGAGGTGTGAGGTCAAGCCCATGGCTGCTGTTACTCACATACCGAATTGCCCCAGCCTCGAGACGCATGTCCACTCCGGCCATTTCTTAAGTAGACTTAGGCAGGTTTCTCTACCAATAATCCGTGTTTGTGTTGCTTACCAGTGCTGATGGGCAAATTGTTCACTATGCATACGCAAGTGAGCGTCGTATATGGGTTACAATCCTTAAATTTCTTACCATTTTGCTGGCGTGCCCATCCTCCCGTTTGCAAACGGGTATGGCTCAGGTCTAAGGGCCACTTGGCGTTAGGGCTTTCGCAGCCAGTATTAGTACGCCTCCAGCGAGTCGCGTGCAATTGCCACTTACACGTCTCCATGGTCAGTCGTAGGAGGGGCGAGGAGACTAGGGTTCTGGAGCTGTAGCGGGATGTTCTGAGGTCCAAGAATCGTCGAACCAAGTGAGCCTCGGATTGGCTGAGGGTCGATGTTCGAGTTCGGGCTCCACAGCTCGGTGTTCGGGTCGTCGCTGGCATATGGGACAGTCGGACTTGGTGAAGCTGTCGAAGAAGTCGAGGACGGAGAGCCAAGAGGTACCGAAGCCACGGAGGAGGAGAGCGCGAGCAAGCACGCGGTAGTGACGAAGATTCTGTTCAACGAAATGGGCATCCTTATGAGTTTCCGTAGAATCCGAGCTTCCGTGATAGACGAGAGACGCTGTTAAGAGAATGATTGCAGTCAAAGCTACTCCCTCCCCACTTTTTATTCGGTCTCGCTCCGTCAGCCCTAAGTCAGCCCACTGGCTGGCAATATTGTCACGGTGACTGAGCGGCAGACCATTCCAAGAGGCCCAGGTTCGCCGCCCCGGGCTTGATAGGAGCATCTGTCACTCTCTGCCTCGAGCGGCACATATAGCGCGGCGTTATTCGGGAGAGCATTTGCGTTGCAGTAAGATGGTAGCCTCGAATCTGGAGAGCCTGAGTTCCAGCCAAACTCATATTGATAGACGTTTCGCGCTCACGCGACGTTATGTTTCCGGCCGAGGTGCCGGGCTGCCGCGCCACAGCTGCCACCACGTGGCACGAGGCAGGCTGCAGCCACCGCCCGCCACCCTCCGCCACCGGTGTTCGCAGAGCTCGGGATTAGCGCAAATGAAAGGTCTAAATACAATGAACTTCGGGCTGGCGGCGACCTTTACGCTAAGTATCGTCTGCTGTGATTGACTTTGTACGGTACACATACTGCTGCAACACAAAATCATGACTCTTGGACCGCGCGAAGAAAAGACGTGCAACGACCACGCAGCAATGAGAGCAGGGACACTGATGCGGGAGCGGCGCAGACATACCAAAACATCGCGGGAGAGAAGGCTGTCGGTTGCGGCACGCAGCGGGTAGCGGGCGGCGGGCAGCGACATGGCAATCATGTCCGAATTAGTCTGCGTGTAGTAGGGGAGCAGGCACGGTAGGTACCGGTGTGCATGCGGGCAGTCAGACGCGGGCGATCGTACACACGGAGGCGAGGCAACGTCGAGCGAGACCAGGTTGAGACCATCCGGAGGTTGAAGCCGTGAATCCAGTGCACAGTGCGCAAACACAGTCAACATACCTGCGCACGCCGGTGACATCCGCCCACTTCGACCGAACCACCCTGTTTTCCACAACCAGTGCTTGACCATCCGTATCTCAAAGGGCATCCACAACAATTAGAGCCGCGGTATCTAGGCTAGGATACACAGCTCGAAGGACTCTGCGGCGATGGTGTTCGGGTCCTCGCACCTTGACCTGGACCATGGCTGCCGCGTAGCCATGCTGAGTTGACCAATGTTCCGTAAGAGACTTGGGAAACGAGCTGACTCGAGCAGAACATCGAGACATCGAGCACGGATTGAGCGCTGAGCGCGGGTAGTCAGCGACTGGGCAACGAGGATAGCACTGAGCAGTACGAACCGCGGGGCCGGGGCAGCTGTGGCGCGGCAGCCCGGCACCTCGGCCGGAAACATAACGTCGCGCGAGCGCAAAACGTCTATCAATATGAGTTTGGCTGGAACACTCGGAGGACAGGCGTAGCATTAGCACACCAGAGTACTTATTCAACGATTGCGGCATGAGGCATCTGATCAGGAAATACATGTGCATCTCAAACACGGCGTACGTTTGCGCTATGTTTTCCCTGGGCGAGCTAGGTACTGCTAGGTACAGGCAACGGATAATGGAAGGCACTTCAGCATGTCGCCGTGGAGCATATATAACTGACATACCACATGCACGCAGAGGCCATCAGAAAGTAGGGCGTTCCTGAAGGAATCGTCATCTGACGCCACAACGTGCCAAGCCATGTACTTGAAGCTCAGAAGCTTCGCCCACGCTGCTCACGATTGGCGCATACGAGAAGTGCAACCCATAACATGCCGATCCATGGCCAGTGTCACTGGTTATGCTCGGATCCAGTGTGACATGTCTGCCGTGTGTGAAACGGTGACTGGGGACCAGCTTGTGATGTCTTCTCGCTCAACATACAGGTGCGCTAACCAAGCTGGGTCATTAGCTAAAGCAATAAGTACTTTGCCAGCAGTGGTCTCGTTAGACGTGGCAGATAGCGCGGCGGCCAATGTGCGCTTGTCTTCTCGGCCGCGCGCCCCAGTCCGATGAATCGGTCAGGGCACAATGGGTCAGTTAGTCAGCAAGGACGACTTGTGATGCCGCTATGAAGGGCAGTCAACCAACGAATGACATTCAAGGTAACCAATCATGGAGACATTCGTTCAATTCCATGTTCTTGCACAGTGGCACTGCGCAGGACAGTAAGCAGTACTTGATCCCGTCCTGAACTCGCATTGTCGTCGCCGACGACATAAGTTCCGGTAGAACATGACTTGTAGGTGTGTTTGCTGATTTTGCATGACTGAGGCTCCTGATCAGGTCAAGTCGCTTACTAGGTGAAGAACTGAACCAGGACGTCCGCGTCAGCCGGCGTTACCATATATGGATACAGATGCGCCCACAGGCGTCCATATTGCCGCCCAGTTTGTTCAGCCACCCGTCTGTGCACTTGCGGACTGGCACATTTACCGGCACAATTCGTTGCCGGTCTGAGAGACCTATCACTGTTCTTATGCGTATTATCGCTTTCATAGCCAGTGCGGCACGGCGGCTCATGCTGCCTGAGAATAGCGGTTGACTTCGGGCTGAGTCCGGACCTGCCCAGCGGACGACGGCGGACGCAAACAATACGTGGGTCGGCAGACTCCCTGCCCTTCGACTTCCTGCAGATTTCCGAGGACTCGAAGATTCTCTTGGCAAAGGGAGGCACTATTCACTTCGCCCACTGGAACGTTACGAGTGGGCATCATGGCACGGTCACGGTGTGGATATATCCTGACTCGGACATGCTCATATACCTCCCCCTTTTACTCTCTGACTGGCATACCCCAGGTACGCCTGCCCAGAGGTAAGCTCAGGCTATTCTTCTCCACGGTGACTTCGCGCTTGACATGTGACACTGGAAGCTGATAGGGAATCCTGAGTAGACTACAGTGGGCCTCTCATCGAGAGACGAATGTAAAACACTCAGGTTTAGAAGCTTCGCGATACATTACTACGTTCGACGTGCCTCATGATCTCCGCCTTCGCAGCGATACCGTTGAGCACCAATTTGGAAGTTGGAGTATGCAACCTCAGGCTCTCAAGGTGCCGTGATAATCTGTCCTCGAGGACAGTGAATGTCTTCATAGTGACTGTCTCGTGTATTGATCATATTTCCCTTCCTCGTTTAGGTGGGTGCAACTACTATCTACGGCGCGGCCTCTCCTCTCGTATGTCGGGGCGCCGTCTGGTAGTACTATTCGCCGATCCGGGCTTCATTCTCAGAAGGCAATACCGTTATTCGCGCTCAGCTCGTCGAATGATCGCTCATCAAGGTGGTCAGGGTGCATTGCATCCTATCGGAAGGCTTCCCCCCGCTGTAATGGAAGGCAACCACGAGGGCCCTTGTTAGGCCGGAGCTGCCTTCACGAGCCTTATGTGACATGCGCCACAAAGGCGACTCCGAGATTGGGGCCCTTCTCGTGTTCCGCCGATACCGTGACATCGCACCGGCCTATTAGCACTAGTCGCGGTCGTAGATCACACCATTGGCCATCAAGGACGGGTTGGAGAGTCGAGACTCAAGTGGCCGATCGCAAGCAGTACTAGCTGGACCCTGAATTGTGCATCCAGAAGACGATCTCAATATTTCAATAATCATCGGCACCCCTCACCGAATAAGTGTACCTTTCGAAGCCGACCCTCAATGGCTCCGGCTGAGATTGAATGGAGTCTTCGCGTGAACTCGTTGCAAAGGAAGCTGTTTCGAAGTCCGCACTTGCTGTTGGCGTCACTTACAATGAATGAAGAGCGAGACTTACTAGGACCGCAGACATCTTCTGCGCGCGCTCCGTGGCAAATGGGGAAATTGACCAACGGCAGGAGGAATCGGCATCCAGCGACACAAGATCCTGCCATGAGGAAGCTACTGCATGCGCATTATCGAGTACAACGGCGGCGGCATTATAGTATAAAACATTAGCATAGTACATTAACGAAGTACGTCAAGCGACACAGCATTACCATAGTTACTCCAATACATAAAGACAAAGCGACGATTGCACTCGGAATGTCCAGGCCATTCCTGCTCAGATAATCAGCTGAGGCTGCCCTGTGCATCGACCTAGACAGCTGGGCCACGGTCGATCGCGCCCACACGCGTACAGGGTCCTGAGTGTCATGACTGCCAGTGTGAATCTCTGCTCCCCGCTCAGTCAACAGCAGCAGAGAGACGCTAGCTAACGCACCTGCCGTCCCAACGTCGCCACTGGGCGGGATCTTCCACGTGAGGATGTTGATGTTGGTAGCCTTCGTCAAGGCCGCCGGGATATCGCCTGATAGGGTGCGATGCGGGATAGTGGCCAGTGTCAGACCATAGCATCTGCGACGACACGTCGTCACTACGCTCGACCTTGATGTACGGTAGCTCTCCATAACCGACTTGAGCGTCGCTCATGAGGTGAGATAAGTGCGACGATGATTGCATGCCGACCCCGTCCATGGATGATGACGCATGCATACTACGATTGGTGGGTTGCTGGTACCGGACGTCATCCAGAGGGGGCCCGTGGTCGCCGTACGGTTGGCGATCGTGCGACATTGGGATCCGCTGATGTTGATCAGCTTCCCCCGATGACGAAGGTGCAGCGTCCGTATGGTCATACGTCGCCATAGCGTAAGAAGGCATGGGCCATGTTGCTTGACGATGAGCGGGCGGACCTCTTTGGGACTCCTGCTGAGCGTTCGATAGATACCCATGGTCCGAGTGCAGCGCGACAGATGACGCAGTCTGCGCCGCCTCTGGCTCTCCAGGATATACGTAAGATGAAGGGCCGGAAGATGGGTAAAAGAATCGATATGGCGGGTTGTCAGCACCGCTATCGCCGTTATACACGACGGCGGATTCCTCCGCCACTTGGCTCTCTTCCGACGTGGGTTCGAATCGCGCCATAGCCGTAGGAAGCAAGGAAGGCGGCAGGGCTTGCATGATGTCGTCACTGTACATGACATTCATCAGCTCAGGTATTCTGAGGAGCGACATAATGAAAAACACTCACAACGCTTCACGCGCAAGCTCCCATCTAGGCCTCATGCTACTGAGCATGCCCAGCAGAGAGAAGAGGTCCGAAGTGTGCTCTTCTAGCGCTGGTGGCACGGTAGAGTCATCAGCCATGGATGTACGACCCTTCTGTTCAGCATCCTTTGCGATTTGTGTCCACAAGTTGACGAGCAGGACACCGGCAAAAACAAAGGTATAATGGACAACGACAGTATGCCGTGGGAGACCCCTGAGGAGCAACACTTCCAGGATGCGCGTTCCCGCCTTCGCCGCACTGGCGCATATCGCAAGCGCTGCAAGCGACCCTTCGCTGCCCTCCTGCTGCGCGTGATCACTAGACACGTGCGCGCGTGGGATTGAGATGAACGGCTTGTAGATGGTGATCTGGACGATGTAGTATGTGAGATACAACATCGCAGATTGAGACGCGTAGACGTCGTTATCCATGTCGGGCGACCACCTCACTGCACAACGTGAGCATCCAGAGAAGAGTCCGTTGCAGATGGATGCTTACAGTGTGGAGGCAGACTCTCGATCCACTCAAGCAACGCGATGTTGAGTCGCTCGACGACCTGTTCTCTCCACCGTGGTCCCACGAGGCCCAAAGGTTGCTTGAACCTACCAATGGCGTACTACAGTTTCCTGTGTGAGCGTACAATATGTAGCCGTTTGATGGTCACTCACAAGGGTCCTTAAGACAAACGCCGATATTTGGCTCAGGCGGACCCAATAGACGAACGCTGTCATTAGCGCCGGTTTTCCGGCAGGTTGCTGGAAGGCTAAATCGGGGTCGTCGTTTTCCCAGTATTCGTCGTCGACCTCCATGGGCAAGTCCAAATCGAAGCTAAGTCACGCGTGCATTAGCACTGCGAATCCTGGGTACCGCCGCGGTAGGAAGACTGACTCTTCGTCTCTGGCACAGCACGGTCTACCAATGAGCAGACTACCTAGGCGATCAATGGCGATGAGGTGCCAGATCGTCCGTTTCCAGAGTTCCTCCTCGACAGTCGGCTTGCGGCCATACACCTTCCTGCGATGAGCGCCCACATCTTGCGCCTTGATGATACCAATGCTGATGATGGTCCACGACTCCGCATGGCCAATCGTACCGCGGAGATACATCCCCATCAGCTGCGTAAATGAGCACCCTCGTCACCCTGAGATGGTGAAAATAAGCGACTGATTACTTACGACGAATGTCTGAATCTCAAAGAGGTTAGGCGGTAAGAATAAACTGCGTCGCCGACGATGCACATCTATCAGAGGTCGTCAGATGGCTCGGCGCTAACGCAAGTGCTCGCAACGCACCCATGGCTGCGTCGACGAATTGCCTGCCCGCAAGAGCCCAAGCGCCATTGTCAGATCCATCCGGTGCAGCAGGGGCTGTCTCGTCGGGAAGGACTCGAGAATCGTCGCACCATCGGCTGGCCACTGCGAAAATGGCTAGGCATACGCCGGCATACCACACGTCGCGCTTGTACAGACCGGAGTCCCACTGTCTTTGGAATGTAGGACGGTGTAGGAGAGGAAATAGGCTGTTGTTCCGGGCGAAGTATAGCTCGATGAGGTGTTCCGCCAAATCCATTGGCGGGAAATTCGATATTATGAATGGCGGTGTCACCGAGTAGTCTGCGCCCTCAAATGATATCTCCCACTGGAAACCACTATGGTAAGTGAACGATGCTTTATTGAGTGACGAAGGACTTACAGGGAGGGAGTCCCAATAGTGGGCACGCCTGGGAGCAAAGATTCCGGTTCGCGAGCCGGGACGGGCTTGCTCGGGGGAAGAGCGGGCAGGTGAAGATGGCAAGGAAGACCCTGATAACTCGTCCATGTGCCGCTGCTTGAGTTCCCTTGCGGTACTGATGAGCTTGAACGAGCTGCTCTTCCCATGAAATCGCCACTGGCCATCAATGGGTTGCTTTGAGGCGACATTGGCTGGTCGAAGGCCGTGCAATGTCAGTTGAGTGATGCCTTGCGCGAGGCTGAGCTCAACTGCGGACTCCTCCTCCTCTGATTCCGAGAGAGACGAGGTGGACGATGGATCTTCGGTGACATATGCCATCTGCGGATCGACAAGGGGACATGATTTGCGCGGCTTGAGTTTTCGAGAACGCTTGGGCTCAGGAAAGGGCGGCGAAGACCGTTGAAAGGCTGGTCCTTGCCCACTGCCCTCTCCGGAGGGCGACCCTGGCCGAGGTATAGCTGCTGCGAGGGGGAGTAGATTATGACTGGTGAAGGCTATACCAGAGCTTTCGACACGACCAGGTGGATTTGACTGCGCGTGAGGCTGCAGTTCCGCAAAATCCGACTTCCACGAATCGCGTATGATGGGAGGGCCAATTTCAGCAGCGAAGTCGACTTCTGGGCGAAGCTGCAGGGGTATTCAGTAGACTGGACTCGAGGCCGCAGACATTCGGCTCAAGGCATAGGCCAACGGCTTCCTCTCAAACTAACGGGGCATCGCGTCGCTTTGTGGCTTCAATATGGTGCGCCCAGGGAAGCAACGAAACCCCTCCCCTCTGCCAGAGTTGAAACAGGCAGTGGAGAATCGATTCAGTTCTCTGCGTCGCAGACGCAACAGGAACGTGGTAGCCTAGATGTCGTACACAAGTCCAAACTGCGGGCGTGCAACTCACCCTTTTCAGCAATGCTTCCATCTGCTCTACGCGATCCTCTAGAGCCACGACGTATCTAGACGGACATGATGTCAGACACACAGGAAAGTAATCCAGACCACTTACGCCTTCGGCGGCCCTCGAGGCTTTGAACTTTCTCTGGGCGCGATACAGGTGTCAGTCAGCGCCCGGAAGAATCACAGGTAGCATAGGGGGAAAATGGGACGTACACATAGCTGCACACTCGGCCGCTCTGTATACAGTTCGTACAGACATTGCCGTGCATCTTCGGGCCATCGCATTTGGTTTTCCGTCTACGACAAAAGTCGCAAGCGCGATCAATCCTGCGCTTCTTGGACCTATGGTCCTCGAGGGGCGTTTCGGCCGCCGCATATGGCGTCTGCGCTGTCCGGGAGGAGACTGGTGCTGTATATTGAGTTACAAATTGGGGATGGTGGTGCAGATGGATCTCGGCGGCGTCGTTGTCGTAGGGGTCGAGTCTGAGCATAGAACTTGCGGGGCGGGTCACAGACGGGGTCAACGCGCAGGGCAGCGAGGACAGCAAAATAAGACGTAAGTGGACCGCGCGGGGAGAGCAAACGACAGACCACTCTGATCCCCGCGCCAGTCCCTCCAGACATTCCGCCGCATCTTTCCCGGCGCGCTTCCCGACCGAGCCACCTCCCTTCCCACGATTTTCGGCGCTCGCAACCCATCCACGTGACGCAAACACCATCAAATGGCAGCCGACGACCCTCCGAGCCAACCACAGGCCGGCAATTGGCACCCAGACGCAGCTCAGAACGTATCCGCGGTGGCTGATTTCTCCAATGTCCGCTGCTGACAAACGTCCCGCCGGCAGTTTACTTCCGCTTTGGGGCTAACCGCCGGCACCGCCCAGTGCATGATCGGTGGGTGTTGATTAGTCAATCGACTGATTCATCGCCAAGCCAGACCACGTGCGGGGTGTGCCCGATCGCCTCCGCACGGATCCGGAAGGTCATCTCTGCGCTAACTCGTCCTCTCACCCACCTGCTCTCAGCGGCGTAGCCATCCGTGCACCCAGACAAATGGTGCGCACATCCCACTCTGGACGATCAACGGTGTGCTGACGGCTTCACAACGCCTGCTCAGGTGACGTACGTGCGAGCGGTACTCTCGCTGCACCGCGCATGCAGTCGAAGTCAGCCATGTTCGGTCCGCTTGGCAAGAACCTACTCTTCGCGGGGGCCCCTTGACCGTCCGTCGCCACCACCCTTGCCCCGTGAGCAGCAGCGCGAGTTCGAAGAGCTCATGCGCGCTGCTCAGACCCCTTTGGCTCAGCCTACAAGAGGTGACACCGCGGTGAACGTAGAAGCTGACCTTTCTTTGCACCCGGACGCCCGCCGACCGATCCAGTCCGACTTCGATGGTGACGTTAACCCAGCAACAGGGGAACAGGGTGGACCAAAGCAGGAGCCTGCGCGCAAATGGGGGGATGAGGGGGACTGGAGTTTCAAGGGACGGGTGTCAGACTTCTAGCCTGGTATTATGACCTCTACGTTCTGTGTCCATATCTCCCTGCTCTGATCGAGAAACAACAATTCTGCACCTATTCCCCCGTGACATACGGTGTACGCAGAGCTCATGACTTCCTGTCAGTGATCGCCGTCGCAGCGCGGGATCGAACCGGATGTTGAGAACATCCTGCTAGGTACGTGATTGAGTTTCTCAGCAGGGACGTCTCTCTCGTACCGCATGATGCAGTCCTTACTAACCACGGGGTTTTCCACCCTAGAACCAACCGCCTTCGACGTGTCTGACGACACTAGACACCGCATGGAATTCGGATATAGGAGGCACGCTCTCGCTAAAGTCCGGTAGTTCTGGTCGCATGAGACACTCGATATATGACGCAGGTAGGCGAATCTATATTTATACTCGCTATCACTCAAGGATCCGTCTATCATCAAACATTGGGCGCCATTTGCAGGTGTCCGCCTCCACGGTCGAAGTGTGTTCTCACGGCATCACGATGTTCCAAAGCGAAGGTTGGTCGTCAAGCGCCAACATGCTACTATGCTCCGTCGAGTCGTGGTGAACCGGTTAGTTGTGTGCCCTATGCCGGTATAATTCTTCCGTTGACTCAAGTGGTTTGCAGTGACTGGTGAGCTATCGACCCATGTCGAGAAGGACACACCTCAGTTGAGTTGCGCCATACAGCCTGCGTGATATCCTGCTCTTCCAGTCACTGCTTACACCCCTTCGAGACAGGCAAATGTCGTCAGTGAGTCGTCATCCGTGTAAGCCCACTGAAGTACAAAACATGCGTGGATGCGTACATGTGGGTACCTTCGCACCACACATATACGGGGCTACTCGCGTAATGCTGACAGCTACAGAAGGCTTCGACAATACATGTCGTTGCAACATGTCAGGCATGCCAGGCCCTGAGCAGAACTTCGTCGCCGTTTTCCGAGGTCTGTGGTACGCGCCGTTCTTCCTCGTATTGAATGAGATCCGATCCAGAGTCCCTGACGGAGAGGTGGAACCTACTCCGACGACATGCGTACATCTCGCGCATCCGAGTCTGGACAGGCTACGATCCGTACTTCGTATGTCATCAGCCGTGGTCAATGAACCACTGGGGACCTTTGTCACCCCGTCAAAACGAAGTCAATGTCACAACGCTTCCTTTGTTACTGAGTGAAATGCGCGGTGTTCTCTCAGGCTGAGCACCCTTACAACACGATGCGGCAAGATGCGCGCCTGTCACAGTACCGTGGTGGATGATATTTATAGCTGTCGGTTCTGTTGACGCGGGTCTCCTCCTGGTCCCTGGATGTCGTTCAGTCCGAATGATAGGCATCTCCGGGGCTTTCTCCGCCCAATTTGTGTCCAAGACGTTTGCAAGGGAAGTTCGTGTTCGGCCTGGAGGTCGTCTTCAAGTTCGTCTAGATGTCCGCGATCTAGTAATACAGCCTGGGGCTTCATTGTAACGCCTAGGTCCGAGACTTGAAGCGTCATGTATCTGTACGTCTGTTATGATGTTGCATTTGTACCAAGGGTCACAAAAAGTCGAACAAACCGTGACGCTCGCGTGAATCCCCAGATTGAGTGATATCTGCGAGATCCAGATCGACGATGAAGCGAGGCGCGCTTTTTGCGCGCGCTTCAACGCTTCATCCGGTCATGGTAATATTCGACCAAAAACAGCAAGTCGATGTTACAAGTGGGCCCTTCGCGTCACAGGAGCAGGGAGCAGCTTTGAGATCTACTCGTCGGCGAGGTGAGCGACGCAGATAGTACGGTAAGCACTCCCTCAACTCGCTGCCGTGAGCATCGGGTGCGTCAGCTGTATTATTCCTCAAGAGCATGCTGACCAGTGCAGTGACTATTCTCGTCGTTAGGCAGAGATAACTATTCTTAGGGCTCGACACTAGAGCACTTCTCGTATGCTGAGGACCCTCGGTATCTATCGTCACACACGGATCTACCAGAAAGCGTGCTCAACACCATCCGCGCGACGGCGATTCTCGCATTCTGGCATCATGCTCGGGAGACAAAGCCGGACGATGTCGGTGGCTATGGAGGAAGCCAGGTGGAACAGGGTGAGTTGCGAAGCCTCAACTGAACCTCGAGTGTATGTGAACTTGATATGACATTTCGTTGGCATTAGCTCGCGGATCATATGCAATCGTTCCATAATCACTTCAAGGTCGAATGTCAGTGAGTCCGACGATGCACTCTTGCGATCTCACTGACGATCCGTCTCGTTTCAGTCGATAACATCTACAAGGTGCGTAAGTGTGCACCATATTGTGAAACGCATGTTCACCCGTGGTAAAGTTAGCAGACGGCTCCTTCAACAATAGGGGGATGTCATTGCAGATGTATCTTCGGGTATGCAGCCAACTCGCAAGACGTCAGTATACAGTCTACACTACATTCATCGATTCGCTCACCGTGTCTCCTCAGATTTGACGACGCATCACACCATTGAGGAGCGATACATCTTCCCCGTGCTCGCTGAGCGCATGCCGGAATTCCGGGACGACGAAGTACATCTCAAGGCTCATCACGGTATACACGAGGGTCAGTATCTCCTCAATATCCATTTAATCACTGGAAAGTAAGGCATACACCCTGACAGGCCTTGACAAGCTGAGTGCGCTCATTAGCAAATGGAACAAGGACCCGACGACGTTTAGTCCCACGGAAATGAGGGCTTGCCTTGACAGCTGGAGAGAAGTTCTCTTCGTGCACCTTGATCAAGAGGTATTTGGATCACATTCCGGATTGCTGACCGAAGAGATACTGATGCATTTCGTTACTCAGGTCAAGGACCTAGGCGCGGAGAATGTGAAGAGATACTGGACACTAGAGGAGCTGGATAAAATCCCGATGTAACGCGGCGCGCAACGCAAGAATGGTGGAACTTAATAGTTACAAGTATATAGAAGTCTATCTATGCATCATATGGTATGCATGCCGAGCGCACATCCAATGCATTGCATACTAGAGTCCACAAGTGCAACCGTCGCTGAATGCATCCTTTTAACAACCAGTTTGACAAGCCAATCACAGGCGAGACAGATCGATCGAGCTTACGTCATGCAAATTTTGGATCGTCTGCATGCGCTTGTACAAGCGCCCATAACCTCGACTGAGCCTGCTACTGACAGTACACTACTATCCCTGCTCGCTGCTCTACTCAGCCGGAGCCTACTGCTTGTCTACGTATTCCTTTACTGGCAGATATGGTCTCTTCGAAACGCAAACGCTCGTTTAACGCGGTCGAAGAAGCCGCGTCCTCAGCAGACGAGTTCGAGCAGTATTCCGAGGACGAAGTAGACATCTCGTCTGCACTTGTCGGCCGGAAGCCCGCGAAGGCCCAACGGCTGGAGCGTAACTCTCAGGCTTTGCAGGATGACGAAGATGACGAGGAACTGCAGGAACTCATACGCGAGTCCATCAGCAAGCGTGATATAAAAGGAGGGACAGACATCCTGAAGAAGACGAAGGGGAAGGGGAAGATGACCAAGGGTGAGGTTGGTGGGGGTAGTTTCCAGAGCATGGGTGAGTTGCATCGGTCAATCAACGAACAGATAGGCTCATATGTCTAAAACAGGATTGTACCCTTGGTTGCTGCGCTCCTTGACGTTGCAGGGCTTCCGGATACCTACACCAATCCAGCGCCTGTCTATTCCAGCTTTGCTGGCCAATCCTCCCAGGGACCTCGTTGGAATGGCGCGAACAGGTTCCGGCAAGTCGCTCGCGTACATGACCCCACTCATACAGCGACTCGGCGGCCGTCACTCTTCGACGTTCGGGGCCCGTGCCCTTATTCTATTGCCATCCCGAGAGCTGGCGCTTCAGATTCTCAAAGTAGGCAAGGAACTTGCCAGAGGCTGGCATGCCGGCGATGGTGGTCACGCAGGTGACTCAAAGACCGACGATGAGGGAAAGAAAGGACAAAGCCTCCGATGGAGTCTCATTGTGGGAGGCGAGGGCTTGGACGAGCAGTTTGAAATGATCACGGCAAACCCTGACATGTTAGTGAATTCGTCTTCCACAGATCAACGCGTCGCTAATTGGACTTTAGCATCATTGCGACCCCAGGTCGTCTGCTGCATCTTATAGTCGAGATGAACCTAGACCTCAAATCGGTGCAATATGTCGTCTTCGACGAAGCCGATAGACTTTTCGAGATGGGCTTCGAGACCGCGCTAACCGAGATTCTCCATCGCCTCCCTCCATCCCGACAAACGCTTCTCTTTTCTGCTACGCTTCCCAAGAGTCTGGTCGAGTTCGCCAAAGCCGGCCTCCAGAACCCGAAGCTCGTGCGACTAGACGCGGAGTCCAAGATTAGCCCTGACCTTAAAATGGCATTCTTCTCCGTCAAGCAAGCGGAGAAGGATGCATGTCTATTGGTCCTGCTTCGTGATGTGATCGGCGTACCTCTGGGCTCGTCGAGCTCGCAGACAGACGATGCGGATCAGGCCGCAGACAAGAAGGGCAAAGGGAAGGCGAAGGCAAAACACCACGAGCACGTCACGGCGCCTCACCAGACCCTGGTGTTTGCTGCGACGAAGCATCACGTCGAATATCTCACCAATCTGCTCACCAGCGCCGGTTACGCAGTCTCGCACATCTATGGTACCCTCGACCAAACCGCCCGTTCGCAGCAAATGGAGCAATTCCGCCGTGGATATACCAATATCCTCGTTGTTACGGACGTTGCCGCTCGTGGTATCGATATCCCAGTACTCGAGAACGTGGTGAACTACGACTTTCCGCAGGGCGCCCGAGTCTTCGTTCACCGTGTCGGACGTACCGCACGCGCGGGGCGCAAAGGCTGGGCATGGTCATTCATCACAAACGCTGAGCTTCCCTACCTTCTCGACCTCCAGCTATTCCTGGGTCGTCCCATCAAGTGCGAGGTCACGGATGCGGGAGACCAGGTGTTCACCGAGTCCCTGATTCTCGGCCCCTTCGAACGTGACGCATTGGATCAAGAAGTCGACTATGTCAAGAAACTCGATCAGGAGAACCACAACCTCACTACAATGCGCGACGTCATGCGGAAGGGGCACGGCATGTATGAGCGCAGTAAGGGCAAGGCCAGCCAGGCGAGCTACAAGCGCGCTAAAGAAATGACGAAGGAGGGCAAATGGGGCTTCGCCACCACCGATGCGGGCATCCATCCCATCTTGCTCCGAAACAAAACAGGCGGGAGCGTGTCTTCGAGACTTGCGGAGGAGGCGAAGAGAGCGGCGCTTCTCAAGGCCGTCAACTCATTTCGGCCGGCTGAGACGGTATTGGAGATCGGCGCGAGGGGCAATACGGAGACGGCAGCTTTGATGAAGCAGAGACGGAAAGCGCTCAGCAAGGCTGCTCAGCGGGCATCGCTGGCATCCACCTCGACCGCGGTGATGGCCCCGGAGGAAGATGCTGATGAGGATGACGGAGATGCGTCTGAGACAGGTGCGGACGGTGTGGAGATGGCAGACGAGGAAGAAATCGCGGTATGTACCATTCAACGTGACAGGGCGTACGCCTTGCTTACCTGCAGCGACAGGCCGTCTTCGACGCTTACCACAAGAAAGGCCATGGCAAGAATGACTTCCGCGATTCGGACTTCTTCATGTCTCATTACCAGAAAGATGCCCACACGGAGAAGGGGTACGTATATCAACTTCGCGGCCATTCGCCTGACTAACGCATCGCAGATATTCGCTTCGCGACGGAGCTACATTCGCGGAACAAGCACAGAATGTCGCTTTTGACCTCGCCGGCGATGAGGGCGCGCAAGACCGCAAGCGCCGCGAGATGCACTGGGACAAGAAGAAGAAGCGGTTCATCAAGGGCGGCGGAGAGGGCGCCGACAACGTCAAGCTCGTCCGCACGGAGAGCGGTATGAAGCTTCCTGCTTCTTACCGCAGCGGCCGGTTCGACGAGTGGAAAGCGAAGAGTCGTGTCCACCTACCAAGAGTCGGCGAGGCTGAGGTGGAGGGTCCTCGTAGAGGTCATCAGTCTGCGGGAGGCAGGAAGTTCAAGCATCACCAGGTCGCCACGCCCAAGCCTCTGGACAAGCTCAACACAGACTATGAGCGCAAAGTCAGGCAGAAGAAGAAACATGAGCAGAACGGTGGAGCTGACAATGAGAGTGGCCCTTCTTCGAGGCCACTCCCTGGTAAGAAAGGGAAGGCGCTTGGCCGGCGGAACGGAGGCAAAACCGTCGGCAAGGTCAGAAATGAGCTAAAGACGGTCGATCAGATCCGGAAAAGCCGACAGCTTATGGAGAAGAGGAAAGCTCAAAATGCCCGTCCGAGTAGGAAGAAGGGCAGACGATGAGGATGTTTGTGTAGTAATGCGTGGATACCAATCGACTGTTCTCTATCTACTGCTTCAAGCTGCATCAGAATACTCCCATTTCGTTGCGTCGCCTGCTATGATCTTTGTGTGTGGCCTATCTTCAAGCAAGTCGACACCGACACTGCGTAAGGCGTTGACACACCATTCTGGGTATCCAGTGTCGCCGAAGTAATTGGCGAAGAAAGTCTTGAGATATGTTGGGAAAGTGCCGTTCATGATCGCATCCCGTGCACCGCCCATCACTCGTGCTTGGAACACGATATTGTGTTGCGTGAGGGCTGGTAAAGCATATGTATAATGTGGATGACAGAGGACGGTGGACGACCCAACTCACCATGTGCACCTGCCGTTTCCAATGTGACAATGTGGTGTAGCATCGCTCGTGACGTCCCGCTCGTACAGGTTGGGCATGTACATGTTTCGTCGATTGGCCGCAGATCAGTAGCGTGCTTCTTTAGTCCTAAATGGGGATCACGATGGGCTAGGAAGATGGGTAGATTACCGCGATACTCACTGATATTTAGCGGACCGTTGAATGTCAAGGCCACGCCGAAGCGAGCTGTTCTCGTCGGGAACACGCAGTCTGCCTGCAACAAACAGATAGTCCGCCAGATGGTAAGGCATGAAGATCTAGAGGACCGACCATGTCAACCCCGAGTGCGACGCAGACCAGAAGATCTGCGGTACACCATCATTTACTTGGGCTTTGCTTACGAACAGTCACCATGCGTACCTTCGGCGAAGCCAATGCCCATGGAATAACGAGGCCCTAGAACGACGGTAAATTGCCATGGCAAGCTTTCGAAGTCCCGCAACTCACGGTCTTCAGGTAGCTTGTCCGCGCATTGTTTGATTCTGTCTCGACCATCAGCGTCACTGTGGGGGCGGATGAACTCGAAGGATGATTTACATTCTCCAAAACGTGTCTGGGATGCTCTCAGCCATGCAACATCGAGAAATATGGAAGTCACCGACCTTTCTCTTCTCCCCCACTGAGCCCTCCAATAGCGTATCCGGCGACTCGGTCTTTCCTCTTGACCATCTCGTCGAGACACTGATCACGCAGCTCAGGATCAATGCCCCCCTGAACGATTGCGAACAAGCTTTGGCTGTTCTTTCGACCCGAATTCTCATGGAAGTCGATACAACGGTCAAGCCACCGTATTGTTCTCCACATCGCCTCGCCCACACGCGGCCCGACCGTGAGCGTGTGCACTACAAAGTAATATCAGCGCCGTTCTCAGACTCGTGGTTACTGCTATCTTACCTACATCGTCTAGCTGCATCATAATATCGGAGCCAATGGCATGTTGAATGGATATGCTCTCTTCTGGCTTTGAGGCACATGTCGGAACGATGAACGTATGAAAAAATGAGAACTCACTCACGGTAAGCATCGTAGGTTCTCCTGTGAATGGGCTAGCAAAAAGAGCGCCTTCTTCTGTAATCTGCGTAAACTTGTTCAAGGAAACAAGTTGGAATCCGCCACTATCCTGCACACAATTGGTTCGTGAGTACTACTAGATTAGTAACATAATAACCGGCGTTTAGTGTCGTACTGTGAGCAGATTATGCCTCCATCCTTGGAATCGATGCGCTCCACCAACATCTCTGAGTATCTTGGTCCCAGGTCGTAAATTTAGATGGTAGGTGTTGTTCAGTATTAAGGTGATACCAAGTGCTTCGACTTGGTGCGCCGTCAAGCCCTTGATAGCAGCCTGAGTCGCCACGGGCATGAAAGTAGGTAGCATTGTTATGCCATCTAAGTATACTGATGAGTCTTTTTGGGATCAGAACCTGGAGACAAACTCACGTGGAAGCTTCATTCGCGATACCCTTGCTCGTGTGATTGGACATTTTGCCAGCACCTCAAACTCCATAGCAGCTGCCACGGTACTGCGCGATTCAAAGCGCAATATACACGGGATATGTCTCAAAAACTTGAGAAACCCTGTGTGCGTAGATGAGATGTTTACTGGTATGCAATGCCGAGGAGGAGCGGTCTGTGTTCGAGTCAATAAAAGGAAACTACGTCAAAGCTATTGGCTTCCCGATCCGATCTCTGTTCGATCTGGGAATATCCCGGGCCAGCACAACTCTATCACAGGCCACCCGCGAGTCAGTGCCCATCCTTGCACAGTGCTCGCAAGGCATGCAACACTGCCGCCATGCTCTACGGAATACGAGGCCGCTGAGACGTCCACCATGCATTGCGATACCTCGCTCGTTTCACTTCAAAGTCGGTCTCCTGGAAGACCTGAAGGCGAGAGACCTCGTAGCAGGTGTCACGAGGTACGCACACGCACATCGAGGTCTACGCACATACTGAGAAACACCAGGGAGGAGCAGCTCCAAGAGGAACTGAAACGACAGCCTCAGGTTGTCTATGCCGGTGTTGATCCAACCGCAAAGTATCTTCATGTCGGTCATCTCTTGCCACTGTTGTGCTTGCTACATTTCCAGCTCCGTGGACACAAGATCATCTCACTAGTATGCATTCTTCTTCACACATCGCAATCTTGTCTCATCGACAATCGTCAGATAGGCGGCGCCACCGGCCTCATTGGAGACCCTTCAGGTCGGTCAACAGAACGGCCCCTCGCTGCCGCTTCTGTCGTCGAGGACAATGTCACTTCCCTGAGCGACGCCATTCAACGCTTCTTCGCCGGAGCTATGGAATATGCTCGCAAGAGATTACCACCCTCGGAAACGCAGCTCTCACTGCCTGACGTACGCAACAACCTACACTGGTTCAAGGACATGGGCCTGCTAGAATTCCTACGAACAGTGGGAATATACCACAGAGTCAACAACATGATGGCACGAGAGAGGTGATCTGCATCCGTCCTGGGGCTTTTCTCGTACTCATGAGCCAGACAATAGTGTCCGGGCGCGCCTGTCATCTCAACAGGGCATCTCTTTCACCGAGTTCACATATCAGCTGCTTCAGTCGTATGATTTCCTGAGACTTCATAAGGATGCAGGCTGCAATATACAGCTCGGTGGCTCTGACCAATGGGGCAACATCGTCGCGGGGATTGACCTCATCAACCATGTCAACGCTGCGAGCAGCCCAGATGGGAAATCGGACAAGGGCTATGGGATAGTGACGCCACTCCTGACAACGGCCTCCGGCGAGAAGTTCGGCAAGAGTGCTGGGAACGCTGTGTCCCTCGACCCGTCCGTTACAAACGTGTTCGACTTCTATCAGGTTTGGACATGATCCTTCTTGAAACCGAGACAGACAGAGTTGATACACGCCCACAGTTCTTCCTCAGAACAACGGACGCCGATGTCGGACGCTATCTGAAGATGTTTACTCTACTGCCCATCGCTAAGATTGATGAGGTTGTCCAGAACCATGAGGTGCATGTTACGTGAAGTCCGTCCCGAGCGCCCACTGACGCTCCTGTCAGCGCGCACCTGAGCTGAGGACAGCCCAACGTCTCCTGGCGGAAGAAGTGACCGAATTGATACACGGCAGTATGTCCGTTTGGCCTGAGCGCTCGTATTTGCTATTCACATCGTCCGCAGAAGACGGAGTTCGCAAGGCAGTCGCTGCGACAGCCGTGCTTTACGGTGGCGACTTCACCTCAGTCAAGGCTTCCGACGTTGTAGAAGCCCTCACTGGATTGCCCATCTTGCACATCCTAGACGACGTCGAAGTGTTCGGTATCCCGGCCCCGAAGCTGGCAGTCCGCTGCGGCATTGCTCCATCGCACGGTATGTACACATTGGTCGAACTGCGACAGGATTTCTGACATCTGGACAATATGAAGGCGCCGCACGTCAACTTGTCGCGGCGAAAGGCCTCTATGTCAACAATCAGCCGGTGACCGACTCGCAGCTCAGATTGACCACTGCAGACTTGGTAGATAATCGACTGGTCATTTTGCGAGCAGGAAAACAGAAGCAGGCAGTGATAGCGTTGAGACAACATTAGCTGACTTGCATACTTAATAGCATTACGAGCCCCGAGACTGCCTAGTATCGACGCGGAAAAGTACTAGTTGGCCCTAATAATAGATACACACTCGACTCAGTCAAGCTTGAACATTTTGACGGGTGCGCTCGGGCGCATCAGTCTATACGGATTGCGCTGTAGAGCTTCCGTACTGCCCAATACGTCGCCAGGAATCCGATTGTTCCTACGCAGCAATTCATAAGCGCCTTCAGCACCGGGAACGTATGGACGCACCTGTGACGAGGAAGTCGAGAAGCACTAATAGGAGAAGATAGCCCATATACAACATGACACTCGAGAACGAGTCCAAGGACAGACGAGAAGCCCAGTAGAATATGCCATATGCCAGCAGCCAGAAGGCGCTGCCGCCTCCCGTGAGGAACGCACGCCAGTGCCATCTGGAAGACAGTATCAACAGGTTGACGCTGTCGCTCCAAGGGAAGAACATACCGGTACTCCTCAGCACAAAGGAGGAAGTATGTGAAGAGAATGGTGACAGTAGCTGTTGTCAGCGACACGATCCCAGCGGTCAGGGCTAAGAAGCCAAAGGCGTAGTATGCCCGCGATGCGAACAGGCTCGACATCACGAAGTACAGCTCAACAAACGCAGCACCTGCAACCCAGAAAGAAATCAGCGTTGATCCATTGACAGATGTCATCTGTGCCCTACCAAAAGGAAGGATGCCGGCCAACAATGTAGCGGCCTATCCATGTCAGCCTGTCAACATCGCCACAAGTTTGACTCCAAATTGAATGCTTACCCAGGGTTGCAAGTACCTCGGAACTTGAGGGATCTGACGTGGGATCTGATTCACTCTAACTGGATGACGGACAGCCTGTGCAAACCTTGTAAGAACCTGATAAGGCGCACCAAAAGATACGTACTCCGTGTCTCGACCCGATGAAAGAACCAACCAACGACAGAGGGGCGGAGATACCAAACCACAGCACGACGATGAGCAGCATGGTACCTTGAAGGACAGTTCAAGTCATAACTTGTTGATATTGATCATTGATACGTACCAAATGGCACAGCGCCAGAAGAGCCGGCGGAGATGAGGAACAAGTTGAGGAGGAAGACAATTGCAAATACCACACTGTAACACGATCAGTAAGTCAACGAACTCCCGTGGAAGTGCGGCTTACGCGGGAAGAACTGTGGCGGTCAGGAACGAATTCTTGCTCTTGTTCTCTCCACCTAGTGAAGTATACACTCTACTTGATATGTAACCGCCAATGCTATATGCGACGATCACTCAACATATTGTTTTGCAATGCAAAAAAGTGACACACTTACCAGCCAAACAACGTCCAACACACCATCATAACAGTCGCCAGAGAACCTCGGTTAGATGGTGATAGGAACCCCAACAGAGCAAAAACTAGCGTGGCGACGTCAGACCCATCCAAATGGGGTGTCCGGTAGACTCGTACCGAGCGTAACTCCGACCATGGCGCAGAGTTGGGCACCATTGCCGACCAGTACGGACAGGATCATCGGATTGCGTGGCCTTCGGAACACCTCGCCGTGCACCAGCTTCCAGCCCCAGTCTTCCTGTACATCTTCCTAATGATCATACTGCGCATTAACACCGGAATGTACGGCGAGCGCATGCAACCTACGCTGAGATCAATAGCATTGTATCGAGAGATCTGAGCAATTTGTCAGATGGGTCCAAAGCGAAATCATAGCGCTACTCACGTCGCGGGAGACAGTCCTGTACAGGATCATTCCGACCATCAAGCAAAGGAACACGACTATCACAATGGAGTTTATCAAACTGAACCAATGTATGCGCTAAATTGGCTCCGAGTGAGCTTCAGGTTGCGGCGGGATGTTAGAGCGCCTACTGGGTCGAAAATATGGAGATAATTGTCCCATCGGGTTGCCCAAGGGGTGTCGGATTCCTGTCAAGCCGCGTGAAGAAGCAGACAATGATGCGGAGATACGGAGGCTTGCCTTCCATGTTAAACGGTACGTATACCGAACCGCATTGTCTCCATTCTCTCGTAAGATGAGCGGCGAGTTCTGATTCGGCGTGCAGTCGCCTTGCGTATCTTGAGGGCCGCCAATACTGTTGCATACACATTAGGCAACGAGACAGTCACCAACGGTTCCGGTTACCTAGCAGGCCATACAAGGACGCCCACGATGCGATGTACACCTGGCTTCGGAGTATGGTACCTGAGGTTGACGCAATCAGTACCTGTGTACAGGTTTACGACGCGTCTCGTACTTCAGGACTATCTCGTAATGGTTGTTCAGGGCTGGTGCATCTGCCCGCTCGCCTTCGTCATCGCCCAAGTTGAATCCCATGTCATAGAAGAGGTCTCCTGTTTTGAGGTCTACCTTCGCTTCTGCAGCAGGTAGGCCATCAACTAGCCAGTTGAGCGCGTAGTCCTCCTTAATCCGGTCGTTGATGAACTTTGCATCGTCTGCGGGGACTTTTGTCCTACACATGACTTTGCATGTACCGTTGTCCTCGAGCATACGTATCTGCTACAGGTTACGGAGGCTCCGCATGGCGTATCTAGGAGAACTCACGTCATACGGCGAGTTGAATATCCTGTCTCCGAACAAGATAGACCCCAGTGATTCGGGTTCCTTGTGTGGACCGCCTTCTGGCTCGCAGAAGTGGAACCGGGTGTCATAGTAGTCATCTAGAACAAAGAGCGTTGAAGTAACGATACAACGTAAGTTGGCTGCACTCACAGTTGATCAATGACTTCTACACTCCCAGCAACGGACATGTCAGGGACAGATGCGTTTCGAGAGCAAGCTAACCGACGTACGAGTTTCGCGTTATCATGGCCCGCCAGCATGGGAGTCAGGGCGTTGACATACAGGTCCACGACCTCTCCCTCGGCATAGTCATGCGGTGCGGCTCCGGGGAGATAGAACGCATGCGCTGCGGGTGAGAGCGAGACGAGGATGCTGCCCAGCAGGCACGCGCGCGCGAACGAGCGCGCCATGCCGCAACTTGGGAAGAAGAATTGGTGGTCTGAGCGCGGACTTGCGGCGTGTTGTGCGCCGACGCCGGGGGGTTGTGCGGTGGGTGGAAGCGAGAGGAGGACGTGGGGGGCGTAGTGGTCGCAGCGCGCTCCGAGTTGGCAGAGGCGGTAGCGCTGGGTGCCACGCGAGCGATGTACAGGAATGCATGCGTCCTTCCCTACTCGGCTCGCTTTCGGGACGTAGTACCTTGCAGCGTGCAGCCGCGCGCAGCGCAGCGCTCCTCTGTCTGCGCCTTTTGTTTTGAAACGACTCACAGGGCCCTCCACCGACGCAGCCACGCTGACATAGCTCCCGTAAAATGGCTCATCGCTCGGCTGTATGCAGATCTGACAGACAGACGCGGTCATGCTCGAAACAGCCCGTTTACCAGTGCAGCAGGTGCGTTACAGTTCGTCACAATGTTTGATCCCTAGTGCGTCTCGACCTTGCCAAATATGCACTACCTTCGCTGCGAATCTGTCTCAGCCATGTTTACACTTGACTCAGTTTGCCGGCCCCTGCCCTCCTTGAGGCGCTACTCTGTTACCCCCGCACGCGTGCCATATATAAGACCCGGGATCCATCCCCCCGTGGAACCTTCATCCCGGACCCAACAGAATGGCCGCCCTTCATCCCGTCTTGCCCGAGGACATACTCTTCAACATTTTTAGCTGCCTGGAGAAACGCACGCATCTGGTCTCCGCGATGCTCGTCCGTCGTGCCTGGTATGGCGTAGCCGAACGGCTTCAGTATCTGGACATTACCCTCAAGTTCCCTCTCTTCGAGGCCGCAGGAGACAGTCAGGCCGTACGCTGCCTAACAACACTTGCGACAAGGGTCACCGCCGCCAATGCAGTCCGCCATTTGGCTGTCAGTGGTATGTTCACTGGAGACACTGTTACGCTCCTCTTCAACGCACTGAACCAAATCACGCGCCTCCTATCTCTGGAGCTCCGGGTCACTAATCGTACCCACGAAACCACATTCCAGACCTTATGGCAGGCTTCCTGCGAGTCCAGCCGTTTCCTACCTCAACTTTCTGCCATCAACACCGACGATGCCGTGGTCGCTGCCAGGGTGGCCCGAGGGCGACCGTTGTCTGTCCTTAGTCTTCCAGAGTTAATGGAGGCCGCTAGATTCGACGCGGTTGTGGATTCGCTTCGTGCCTCTACTGCGGCAGTGACGCAACTTCGCCTATACATCGACGTCCACGATATTTCCACCGCCGCGGGGATTGTCCGGACCATATGTCGGACACTTCCATCACTCAGCGTTCTCTCCTTGCAGCTGAGATTTCCGAATCCAGCGGACGTGACTTGGGATACAATCGGAGTAAGCTCCCATTTGTCATGTCCTGATATCGTTGTTTATCACCCGTGACGCAGGACCTTTTGGACGACGCAGAGTCGTCTCTCGACCGCCTCCACTCTCTCAGAGTGCTCAGCCTCGTCCTAATACCCGATCCAGTAGATCTCGCCCGTCTGTACGAAGAGAAGACCAAAGGGTTGGCCCGCAGGGTAGTCGACCGACTCCCCCAGCTACACCGGGTGGAGCTTCGCTGGCATGGGTGGATCGTCTCGGCGGATGCGTGGACACCGGTTAGCCAGAGGAATCTGCTCCGTCAGCTAGACGTCTGGTTCTACACCGAGGCTCGCCACAGGCTAGACTTTGCGCGGTACGTCTATCCATAGAGCACCTCGGGAAGCCGAAAGCCAATTCCCCTACAGTGACGCAATCTCCTGACAAGTTTCGCTTCACCATCGAATTAACCAAGCAGCGAGGTACGCTGAGGTTGCTGTCACGTCAATTGGTTATGATCAAAAGGAGTTTACCCTGACCTGTTTCAGGCTGCGCGAGAGTGGCGGTCGAAAGTCCTGAGATCTTCCTACCAAATTTTTCATGCGTCGTCACCCCTGCTATCGCTATGGCATGCATGATATGTACGGCGGCTTCGTTTTTGTCAGATGGGCTTCAGAGTTATCGAGTGCGCTATCACTTGGATAGCTTTATGCGAAGAAATACGGGTAGCATGTGGGGTGGTTCCCACATGATATCGATAGCGGGAGACGGGAGCTAGCTGGCCGCATTCACGATAGTCGCTCTGTGCTCATTTTGAATTAGAGTGACTTGCTTCATGAGTTTCCATACTGGCGGACTCAATCGAGCGCCTTTGAGGTTTGAAAGAAGCGCGTACTAGAGTCCCAGCGCTTAGATCGTCCAGGCAGATCCCACACAATGACACCGGCAATGGCCGTTGGACATCGATCCCGGTGTGATTCCCCGACCCCTTTCAGCCCCTTTCACTCTTGACCGCGACTCATCGACATCCTACCAACAGTGGCGGGCTTGCGTAGCAGTCACAGAGACACAGTATTGTTGGATCTCGATAGCTGCAGTAACGTAACACAGACCGGAGTAAGTTCATCGGACGTTCACTCCCAGTGATCGTCGAGGTCACGGTCGTTACTGACATAAGTTTTAATCCAGACGTCACAAGACTCACATCAGCTCCAGCAAGAAACGCAGCGAGACATTTCAATGGTGTTGTCGCTGTCTGGCACCCAGAAGGTGCCCGGAACACCTGCCCGTGCGCAGTCCGCGTCGACGGAGCAGAGTCCCGGGACGAACCACCTGACTGGCTTCTCCTTCTCTCACATCGGGAAAGAACCTGAATTATTAAAACGTATCAACCTTGTAGATCAGGACCAGGAACTGCAGTATCCTTCTTCGCCCTCGACCCCAGCTCTGCCAGACGAGCCCGCTGTCACCGCGGTGTCATCGCAAGCAACCTCCAGTAGTATGCCGGGGGCTTCGTCACGCCACGCAGTGCTCAAGCGCGAAGCCTCAGCTGCCGGGGCTACCTTCCGACTCAGTCCTGACACGACATTGTTCCACGACGGACCATCTACCTTTCAAGTTCCAGCCCTCCCCAAGAGCTCAACCGCTTTGGGTATCTCGGGCATGCATTACCCTGAGTTTGCTCAGCATCATCGCATTGGCACTACGAACTCGTCCCTCGCTCCCGCGAAAGAAGCCGTCGCTCCCATGCCCGCAGATACGAGTGTTGCATCATCACGACCTTCTCCCCTCAACTCCGCTGGCCCGAGCGTCCTCACCCCGTCCCAAGAAGCTCGTCGCATCATCCCTGGTACGCAGGACGCATCTCCCGCAGATCTCATCGCACGCATTTCGCAAGTCGCCGTGGAGAAGGCCGAGTGGAGCGAAATGAAAGCTCTCATGGAGCGATACCGACGGGAGCACGTCGAACTCCTCGAGAGGAACGAAGAATCCGCGCGCGCATATCAGAGGGAGCGCGAGCAAGCTTCGAAGGTCTCCGCCGTCGCCGATGCTGCGTTCACCAAGTTTGAGGCACTGCTTCATCGACAAGAAGAGCGACTTGCGGCAGAGCAACAGCAGGCCGAGTTTGCGCTCGCGGACGTCCAAAGGACTATCGCTGACCGCCATGCTGCAGAGGCCGCGGAGGAGGCTGCGCGCGCGGCAGCAGCGGAGAGAGAACGCTTCGCGCAGGCGGAGATGGACAAAGCGGCGGAAGAAGAAACTAGACGCCTCGCCGCAGAACAAGAGGCGGCGCGACTTGCCGAAGAGAGCCATAAGGCTGAGGCAGAGAGGCAGCGAGCTGAGCAGGAGAGGCGCGAGGTCGAAGAGAAGCGGAGAGCGGAAGAAGAGCAGCGGGCTGCAGAAGCCGCAGAAGACGAAGAGCGACGCAAGATCTACGAGAGAAAACTAGCGAAAGCGAAACAGATCAAGGGAGCCCAAATTGAGGCTCAGCGACTTGAGGCTAAGCAAATGCTCGAGAAGAGACCTAAGACTGCAAAGGAGGACCTCATAGCGAGACTGGAGAAGGAGAAGAGAGAAGCGACTTCTCGATCTTCCTCTGTCTCGTCGTCCAGTACGAAGCCTCCGGCGAGTGTCGGACACAGCCAGGAGACGTCGAGTCGCACCACGTCGGCGAGCAACGACACACCCGCGGCGGCTACTCAACCCCTCGCTACGTCCTTGAATGGCATCGACTGGTCTTCCCTTCCCGCCAAGCCCGCCGCTACGAAACCGTCGCGGCCTAGCAAATTACAGGTCCCGAACGGCAAGGGTAAAGAGAGCGGAAACGCTGTACCAACGCCGATCGTCAATCAACACGCACAGCTGGACGGCGTCCTCCCGTCTCCTGTGACGGCGAACAATCCGTACAAACAGCAGGTGAACGATAACTCGCAGACAAACGTACATTTGCAATCAGAGTTGCAGACGCCGAAACGCGCTATTGAGGCTGGTATCAAGCCAGAGGCCATCACCCCTCGCCTACCCCCCGGCACGCCGACGCAGGCGATGGTGAACGTCGACACCTCCGGAGTTTTGGTACACAACCAACACAGCGCTCTTAACGTGAGCGAGTTGCGAGGCCGGACCGTCAAAGCGTCGAAAGCAGTCCAACGGACAAGTCAGCCTAGCTCGAGGCACAGTTCATCGACGAAGGTAGCTCCGGCTGGCGAAGCCGAGCGACCCAGTGTCAAGCAGGAACCGGTCCCGGATATTGGCGACTTTGTCGCCCGATCTGACAATGTCCCTTCCGCGACCCAGACCACGGGCGTCGTGCAGCACTGTCACCCTGACAATGCGTCTCAGACTGGCTCTCAGGTCGGCAGAATCGCCCGCCCTCGTCCTAATATCCCCTCGTCGAAGCCAAACAATCTGGGAAACGCTCGGAAGGCAGGCCAACCCTCTTCCGCCGTTCAGAATGACGCATTACCGTCTCCTTCGCAACCCCTTGCGCAGAGACTCTCAATGCCCGGGAGACCTGATTCTTCCATAGATACCTTCGACGCCAACGAGCCAGGGGATGCGGATCCTTGGGTCAACACTCCTCAGTCTCCTGTTACGGCAGAAGAGCATATACACAGACGATTCGATGCCGTTCGCGACGAGAGAACCTTTTCACGGCCCGCTTACGACCATTACTCTCCCCAACGAGAGCTGACTCCTCCCCTTCCGGCAAGGGTAGTGTCGCGAGAACATCGTTATGATCACTACTCGCCCACTCCAGGCCGTCCACCACGTCGTGAACGCAAGCGACCGAGGCCGAATGAGACCGCTTCGGTCAACGACGACGAACCGCCTCCGCGCCGGGCCAGGATGTCTCCACATGATGACCCTCCACGACGCCGACGTGCCACGACGCCTGAGATCTACGATCAGCCTATGCAGTTACCGATTGGCGATGGACGCTGGAGCTCCGGATCCTTGCCTTCCTGGAGCTCCGACCCTCTGCCTCCTCAAGCTCAGCCGCCCGCCGATCAGCACAACCCGTACAACGCTTATGCAGGGCATCCCCCTCTGCGCGACGGCGCTCCCCCGCGCAACTACTACGACAATGCGTCGATGTATGGTGAAGCGTACCTCCCGCCGCTTCCTCAGGCCGAGTACAACTTCGAACTTGCGACGGCATCGACACAGGAACCGCTTGTCGCACGCTCCCAGACATCACAGTGGCCCACAGAACAAAATAAACCTCCCCAGCAACGTATTGCGGAGCCAGGACCCAGCCTACTCTTGCGCATCACTGACAGTCCACGCGGCACCAATGGTGGCACTCAGGCAAGATCCCGCAATCGCGGCAAAGTTGACCAATCGCCCCCGCGGCAAGGTCAGCGCAGCCGTGGTGCAGCCCCCTCTGGCAGGGGCCGTGGTAGGGGTGCCCCGACGAGAGGTGGCAGGAAGCAGGTCTCTCTTGAGTCGCGGTTGGCTAGCGGCTAAGATCTGAGCGAACGCTTGTCGTGATTGAAGTCCCATTGGTGAGGATACTATTCCGTAAGTATACGCGCAAGGAGCAACGCAACCCGTCCCAGGATCCCATCATTTTGTACCCTCCGCATCTTCAGGTACCGTCGTACAGAGTTGTCTCCGTGTCTTCTGAACTGTCTACTAGTCTGTTCGCTTCTCTCGTTTTCATGTTATGCTCTCTCCTGTCCGTCAAATGTTGTGATTATCTGGGGTAACCGTATTTTACTGAAGGGAGGCAATAAAATTCGTAGACGTCGACAGAAGTAGGTAGTCCAATTCTCGTGCACGCGTGAGCTGCATAGGGCTACATGGGACGACTGCGTGTAGAAGTGTCGGGGTCATGTATGATACACGGCAATACGGATATCACTACAACAGTGGTGCTCCTACTTTTCACGGCTCATTGGGCACCACAAATAGTTAGCTCCCTCATCTCCTGCAAGACGCCCTCGACCTGATCGGAACATGAGCAACTGCGTGGGGCTAGGCTGTAGAACCACGAGGCTCACCTGGGCATCAAGCTGACCTGCTGCGTAGTCGTCTCGAACGTTGTCCGCGAAGTACCTGTGTCTCTATGAGCCGAGAACCATGTACGAAATTCGGTGATCAGTACCTCTGGACGCCGCTCAGCTTCTCGTAGCCTTCCTCAGCGAACTTGCACTGCATCCTGATCATGGCCTCGAAGCTCGGGTCGAAGAATGGGACACGGAGGTCAAGCAATTGAGGAATCTCGGATATGAGCTGGTCGTTGAGCATGTCGAACACCTCCTTTGCATCGTCGTGCTCCTGTTGGGCCTGTGGGTAGTCATGGATCGCATGAGCATGTTTTACTACCAAAGTGTCGTAAACGTACCCTCGGCAGCTTGGTCGGATCTTCGCTCGGTTTGTTGATGAGCTTGTTCATCCTGCTGCGTGCAGAATCGTAATCAAGCATCTATGACATGCAATCAGTGAGGCTAGCCTAAGGCACGACGGAGTTGGTCGAACCTTCTTGTTACGTTTCGCGATGTGTTCGTTGACCACAGGGAAGTAAGCGTTCATCTTGCCAAGAGGCTCCATGATGGTCGTCCTGTATGGGGCATCCTAGAGGCACCATCAGCATCAACGGCAGAAGCAAGAGTCTGCAAGGAGCAATCCTCGTACCAGCTCTCGCCCGACGCCGGTGTCCAAATCATCCACCCCACGCTTGTACGCGTGTGCCGCCATCGCGCCCTCCGAGCTCTTATCCGCCGCGCCGTAGAAGACATCGATCGTGTCTGCGAGCCGCCCTTGTGCTGAGGTCATGGCTGCATCGGCAGGACTCGGTCAGCTCGACTGCGCGGCGCGCACGAGGGCCTGCGTACGCACCCCGCATAGCGTCCAGGTAACCCTTGCTTTCCTTCTGTAGCTGCTGGCATTCCTTTTCAAACCTGTCCAAGAGCACGTCTCAGACGACCTGAGACAGGAGTCAATTGAGAAGAGACGTACGCCTTGTACTTGGTCTCCTCATCAGCGAAGTCCCTGTCTACTGTGCGCTCGATCTGACCCGTCTTCTGCAGGAGCTACAGTCGGAGCATGTCAGTACCATAGCGGAGCAGTCTGCAGCAGGACTCGGATCTGATGTTGCTTCGGGGGAAGAGACGTACCGTCGTTCCTGCCCGGTTGACTGTCTTCTTGAATCTGTGCGTGCGCCTCTCGTGAGGGGGTGACCCACGTTTCAGACAGAGCCGACGCACCCTGACCAGCTCATACTCTCCTTGCAGTGTCGTGAAAGTGGTCGTGTATGGTCTTGTGTGTACGGCCAAGGTCTGTGTACGGTGCACAGCAACTGCAGTCTGAGTGAACACAGAACAGTGCGGTCCTACTGCGCAGACGCCCGGTGTCGAGTGGCGTCGGGCCGCTGGTGTTTATCACGTGATATGATGGCAGTCTCGGTGTCCAAAACGAGAATTGCTGAGGTTCGAATTCAACACACTGATCTTGTCCTGGCCTTTAGCTTCAAAACCGGCAACACAACCGCATCCAATCGACATACTAGCATTTTGCTTGACTTCAAGAAGTAAGACAGATGTGACACCAGCGAGAGGCGCCAACACACTGGAACAGGCTGGACGCATCCGGTGAACAGATCTAGGCCTGCTGTCTCGTTTGCACAAGGAAGATGGCCATGAAGCTTTGAAGTTCATATCCTCAAGATAGTCATCAACCGACCGGTACATTATGCCCCCTCCGGTCCTCATATCCTTGGCACTATATGGTAGATCAGTTATAATCTTTAGTCTAATTGCAGCAGAGTAGTCGCGCCGTGCTCCAGCTACGTGAGGTCATGGAAAAGAACTGCCGCTTATGGTTGAATAGTAGTGTGGCCTTGTATCATCATATCCGACCATGGCTTGCCAGACGACCAACTATCGTCAAGTTGCAACTGCATGCATATTGAGAATGTCAATTGTTGTCACGGTAGAACAATGCGCTCGGGTACAAAACGGTTGTCTTCCAATGCAAAGTTGCGTCTTTGAAGACAAACATTCTGACCCGTTTGGGGAGCAGACCAAACGGGGCATTGTTGTTCTCCAATTGTCCCCGGGCGTTGCAACGAGACTGATACATGCGGCTATACGGGGCGCGCTCTGCGCACCGGCGGGGTCGCAGTGTTTCAATCAGGGTCTGATGCTCGCCGAACTTGAAGGCAGACCGAGATGGATGGGCCGCCATGATGGGCGAGCTGTGGGCGAGTAGGCGGAGGTGCTGGAGGATAAACGGACGACGCGGTGAAACGGGCGCTAGGCGCTGGGGCTTGTCGCTGCGACGGCTGTTTGCCTCTTGCCATATCGGGCACAAGGGCGGGTAGGCGTGGGCGGCCTGTCTGCCATTGAAGACCTGCCATTGTCGCCCTTCTCTCCTCCTCCATCTCCCCTCCGTCGCCCTCCATGCCCCAGCTAGCCCGCGACGACCCCCGCCCCCCATCAGCCCAGAAACCATTTTCGTCGGTCGCCTACCGGCGCGGCAGTGTTCCCGAGATACACCCCACCGAGACCTCTTTCCATCTCTTCCACAGTCTCCCTCCACGCACCCCGCTCGCCCCTCTCCACTGCCAACCCACCCACGGGAGGCTCGCGGACACTGACCATCAGATGCCCGCGTCCTCACGCCCGGCTTTCCCTGGTTACGCTCTTACCGACTCAGCACAGGAATGGGAACGCGCCGCAGATCACCTGTGTTACGTTGGTCGCCCCATCCTGCCCACCCACAGTGCCCGTGATGGAGTTGAGCCCAGCTATTCATCGGCTAGAAGACGGTCAATTCCGAGCCAGTACGCCCTCTGTTTCGTTCGCCGCTGATCAATCGCCAATCATCCGTAGTTATAGCTCACACAGCGGGACTACCTCTCTCCGACACCCTTCCGCCCATAACAGGCAAACTGGCCGGCGTCCCAGCCATAGCGCCTCGTCCTCGGTGTCCTCGAGTCGACGCACATCCCTTCCCACCATCCACCTGCAACCATCCCCCCACCACGCTGCCATCCCTCCCACCGAATCTTATGTTCACCCGAATAGCGGCTTAAGCGGCTCTGACGATCTATACTCTAATTTATCTTCCTTCACGTTTGGTTCTGCACACACCGGCCGCTCCGACCACCTGGAGATGGTGAACCCCCTTGCCCCTCCGTCGGGCTCTAACAGCGCGGATCGTACGCCTCGGCCCTCCGTCTCCGGTCCGAGCTCTACTAGTACCCATGGAAGCTCTAGCCAACGCTCACGGACACCCAGGACACGGGGGAGGGAACTGGAGGATGAGGGTTCGAGAGCAGATGACGAGGACGACGAAATGGAGCAGCAGACACGAGCAAAAATGCGCGCAATGAACGACGGTACGCGAAGACCTTCGCTGCCGATGAATGTCCGCCCGTCTGGGACGTCGCGTTCGCCCCCTCGTCGTCCCTCTGTCTCGACTTCTGCTCAGCGACCGGGTGCGAGCCCCGTCGACCGAGGACGGGAGAGCACTCCCGAGACCTCGGAGGCCGAGACAGACCCTGGGGCACGCGACGAGGACGGCGACCATGACGCAGAATCGGGAGACTTCGACACCGACGTTGAGATGGATGACCGCCATGCCATCACCCCAGCCTCGAGGGACGCAGACATGTCGGACGTCGCATCGCAGCATACCTTCGGTGGCGACTATCGGGAATACGTTTACAACCCCAGCCCTATGGGACACTCAGACGACAGGATGGACGTTTCTGAGGCTGCAGAAACCGCCGACGACCTGCCAGAACTACCTATAGTTACGCAAACCGAGTACACCATCGATCCAGAGGGTAATGTGGCGGTGGTGCAAGCGCGAAGAGGCAGTATCCCGTGGATGACCTCCGAAGCACCCGAGGACGCTGCCTCCAGAGTTCGAGAAGATAGCTTGGCGACGTTGACTGGGACGCCCACAACCCTCGTAAACCCCGACAAACACGTACTGTCTGACTCGCTAGGCATACACCCCTCTCCGCAGAGCCAACAACAGCTGCAGCCATATCCAGCCCCAGAAAACGCAGCCGACCCCTTCTCCGGCTTCAATGTGAACTACATTCTAGGCACACGCCCAGACGAACATGGCGAGCGCAAGTCGTGGCACTCAGCGGGTTCCGCCTGGATGCAAGTCGACCCACATTACACACCTCCTGTACCGCTCGAAGGCGCGAGACCTTCGGCAGATTTCGAGGCATTCGATTTTCAGGGCTGGGGCGCACCCGTAACTGGGGTTTCTGGGAGGCGTCCGAGCACAGTGACTGTCAGTAGTCTCGGTGAGGACGCGTTCATGCGCCATTTGCAGCGGTACGATCCCGTGATCAGCACGCGCGCCGTGCAGTGGACGTTCAAACGGGAGGGTGCAGACAGCACGTCGCAGGACGTAGTGCCCGGGACACGCTGGGTGCAGAGCTCCGCGAGAGTAATCGCACCGGGCACGCAGGAGTTATGGCGGCAAGCGCACGTTGGGCGGTTCAAGGTAGACAAGTTACTGATGAGAGGTACGTTAGCTGAGTTTGTAGCGGTCGATCGGTACATGGTTCTGACACAAACTCTCAATAGCTGTCGACGATCCGTCAAAGCCGCCGTCGCAGCGCGTCAATGTGCGTCACATTGTCGATCCGTACTCGCAAGGGAACACGCTCGGCGGACCCATGGCGGTGGTGCATAAGCACTCGCGTGCCGCTGCGTTCTCGATATTCCGCAAGTACGACTTGTTTAATCGTCAACACTCGAAGTCGCGGAGCGGGGGCACGTCCATGCCCACGAGCTCAAGCATCTTGCTAGCAACCAAGCGAGTCCAGGAGCAGTACACCAGCACGCGCACCACCAGCCAGCTCAACTCGCATGGGCTCCTGAAGGATGGTGACAACCGGTCACGGCCGCAGACTGCAAGCAGCATGAGCACGAACGAGAGCGGCCGATCGAGCGAACCTAGCTATTCAAGCGACACCACGGGCAAGCGTTCTCCGAGCGACAAGAAGGGCAAGGGGAAAGACTTCAACTCCGATGCCACGGGCAACTCTGGCCGGACCTCGGGCACCGGAAGCCATACCGACGAGGAGTCGGTCCAGTTTGCGAAGAACTATGCCTCGTCCACATCCTCGGGCCCCTCCGCTCCCGTTTCGCCAACAGTAGCCGAAACGCATTACGCGCACTCCGTTTCGGACTCGGACTTCACGGCGGCTCGCTCGTCAGCAGGACCTTCGCATTCAAAGTTCGGGTCGCCGCCACCAACTGCGTCCTCTGAGCGCGCAGCCATTCGGGTGAACACTTGGACTATTGACGACGAAGACGAGCATATGCCACCGCGAACATCGCATGCTGAGGCGTTCGCGACGCTTGATCAGAACAGCATTGAATACTTCCGCGGCCGGACTGAACAGCGGACAGCGGACGACTCGCACTCCCGCAGTATCGCGGAGCGCTTGAGACGAAGACTGCTCGGCCAGAACCCAGTGAAGGTCATCTCACGGCCTCCCTCTGGTCCACCCACGGCTGTGCTCGATGGCAACTATACGCCGCCCTGGATGACCATGGCGCCGCGGTCCAGAGTGGAGGAGCGCGATCGGGTCATTCAAAACTTGAACGAGTCGTTCAAGGACGTCGGTTTGTTGCCTTCTTTCAAAACCAAGGGCGGCGGGAAGAGGAGAGGCCGCGGCAACGACGACAAGGTCAACATCTTCTCCCACGTCCCGCCAGACTCCCTCCACATGCTCCTCCCCCTCTGGCCTGGCGAGACGGATCCGAGTTCTACCTCCGACGAGGATCCTTCTGTGTATAACATGCCAGTCGAGGAGCGCCAGTACCTCCTGGTGTACTATGTACCTCAGCTCGAACGCGCGGAGCAGGGTAAGAAGAAGCAGGAGAACAAGAAGCGGTCGCGCTCTGGCTCTCGTTCTCAGCATCTGTCCTCAGCTTCTTCCAACCCGAAGACAATCATGCTCAGTTCCTTCTCCGTCTGCGCGCGACTCATCTCTTACCACGACCTCCTTGGTACCGGAGTGAGGATCCCTGTTGATGGGCTATCCATCACAGGCCCCATGGTCGAGGCCATCAGCGCGCTCCCGTCCGCTGCGATCCGTGAGTCGCGTCTGGAGACACCTTGTGCGATCATCGGCGTGTGCGGTGCTCGCCACAAGGGCGTCGAGTTCCTGCCCGAGGGACTGGCCAAAGTTGGCCTTGCGGTGTCGCAGCCGTCTTCTACCCCCGCTGGCGATCGCTTCATGCGTCCGCTAGAGGCAGAGGAAGAGGAGCTCATCTGGGACCTCACTCCTATCGGAAGGGCTGCGGTCGAGATGGCGTGGCTGGGCTGCCTCGCCATGACAAGCTTCGGACCCGAGACAGTGCCCGCGAAGTAACAGCCTGCGATCCGCCATCTGCATCTGTTATATCCATGTTCTACGTCATCTACGCCGCCTTACTCAAGATCTATCACGACTATTCGTTCTGCTCACCCTCTAGCATCTATCTTCGATACCCTAGGTCGTATACATAGCCCGGTATGAGTAACTTTCTACCACTGTTTCATTTAGCACCTCATGGATAACGTAGAAACTGTATGATTATACGTCTCCTTTGTGTCCTCAATTGCGCGATGCGATGTCTGTGTCTATAAATGTCTCTTAATGATCATCATTTCTCTAGCGAACACGCTTCCGTAGGTTGTATGTTGCGAGAATAGGTCGAGTGGCTGCGAATATGAGAGCAACGCCCACGAACGCTTCGGGTCCAAGTTGGTAATACAGTACACTGAGATTATACTGTACAGTAGTGAAGACGACGTTCTACGTATGGTCCAGTGACGAGACGATGAATCGATGTGATCTCATGCATTCGATGCCACATAACCTGATGCTCGCCAGACGACACCCCACATCGCCAGGAGCAACAGGCCCAAGCAAAGGAAGAGCAAACGCGCCTCCTCGCCCGCCTGGCTCCGCTCCAGCAGCAGCTCGCACATGCCCTTCTGCGTCACGTCGGGATGCCCACTGTGCCGGAGCTCACACGCCCACCTCCTCGTCCACCCGTTGTGCGACCTGCGCCAGCCCGTCCCGACGCCGATCCCGAGCAGCATCGCCGCGCTCACCATGCTGCGCCAGATCACCCCGCCGCCACCGCCACCCGAGAGGACCGCGCGCCACTCCGAGACGTACAGGTTCACGGGGAGACCGTGTATGTCGCAGAGGAGCTCGAAGGCGCCCGTCTCGAGCAGGGGCGGGAGCGGGATCGACGGTGCGTGCGCGGGGATGTAGTTGATGGTGAAGCGGGCGACGCGCGGGTTGGCGAGGGCGATGCGCGCGGCGCCGACGTGCATGGCTTCTTCGCCGTGGAACTTGACGATGGTGAGGTTGAGCGAGCGGAGGCGGGCGAGCTTCTTGACGGAGCGGGAGAATGTGTCCTGAAACATGCCCGTGAGCCCAACCCATGGCAGACTCGCAGTACAGCAGACCTACAAGGTAGAAGGAAGGTTTGCTGGTGCAGGTGAGATCTAGGTGTAACAGTTGCGGGCACGAGGAGACGATGGTGCGGAACACGCCGTTGCTGTCGTACCCGCTATGCAGCGCAAACGTGATGGTCAGCGACGTCAACGCCGTCAGGTCCGTCAGCACGCGCGAGATCGAGAGCGGTGTGAGCTCCCTCAGCTGCATTGGCTCCGGCAAGCACAACCTCTTCAGCGTCTTCGCCAACGACGTATCGCCGAGGGGGACGTGCTGCCCCCATTGCGCGCCCCACAGCACCTGTGCGTTCGCATTCGCGCCTGCGCCTTGACCCTGGCCCCGGCTGATCAGGGCGCGGAGATGATCGAGGGACCCAGTGAACTCCGTGAGATGTGGGACGGCATCGTCCTCGAGCCGCGCGAGGTCGAGGTGGTGGATGTCCGAGTGGCCGAGGAGGTGCAAACCTTCCAGAGTGGGATGCCGCTCGATAAAGTCGACGAAGGGGTGGAAGCCCATCTGCCCTGGCGGAGCGAGGTTGCCCGGGAAGACGTCGCCGACGGTGAGACGACGCAGACACGGCCAGCGTATCCTGTAGAGGGGGAAGACGTCTGAGGACTCAAAGGATGTCCCTGCGATTGCGAGAGACTCCAGGTACGGACAGCGCTGTACGAGCATGTCCCAGAGGCGGGAGAAGACGGGTGCGCTCTCTGCGGCATGCAAGTATCTCAGCTATACTAGCCATGTGCACAGTCAACGGCTTACCGCGTGAGGCGAGGTGTAGTTGGTGCGCATAGAAGCCATCCTTGAAGATCAACGAGAAGCCCTCAAGGCCGCTGAACTTGAACAGCTGCCACGGAAGACACAGTCAGGGTTGCGGATGTTCCAAACCGCGGTGACGATACGTACGTAGCTTGTGGGTCGGGGCAAGAAGCACCCAAGAGTCGTGCCGATATGTCGCAGCTGCGGGCATCTTGTACGAGACCAGTTAAACACTCAACGACCGTCCGCACACACCAACGCGCACCTGCGCTGCAGCTCCGACCACATACGGTCGTCCGGGAGCATGTCCTCCCCGTCCCATTCGAACACATGCAGGTCGTGCAGGTGCTTGGCGGCATGGGCGACTATCCGCGAGATGTCGCCCGCGACGTCCCACTCCTTCGTCTGGGGGCGAGGCCTCCGCGGGAGCTCCTTCTCAGGCCGAACGACGAGCTTGCGGACGTGTCGCGCAATGGCGGGACATCGGCCCAGCATCCGCAGCGTCGCCTCGCACTGAGCGGGGCCCTGCAGCTCGACGGCGCCATAGATCGCAGAGATGGTCTTCGCGTAGACGGCGGATGACTGCAGAACGACACATAATCAACAGCGATGTCCGCGCAGCGAGGCTCGCCTAGCCGGGCAGAGCAGAAGAATGACTTACAACGAGGCTAAGCTGGAGGACGTCAGACAGCGTGTTGAAGTAGGACGTAATCTCGAAGAGGATGTCTGCCGGCAGCGCGTTGAGGCTGAGGCTTGGCGGCGGGGCGCGCTGCCAGCTGAGAAGACGGTGGACGGGATAGAGTGCGGCGGATACATCTTGCATGTTAGCAGGTAGGACGATGGGTGTGGGTCCTGGGATGCTCGGCAGTGTGTGGGCGGTACGAGGACGGTCGGTCCATATGCTGACTGATGCGGTCGTCGTTATGTATGTAGTGTGCTACACAGGCCTACGGAGGTCTTCGGTCTGCAGCTGCGACCGCCGGAAGCCGCAGAGATGTATCAGAAGTCGACGTCTTAGGCGGGCGAGCACCACGCTGGGGCAGCTTCTTTGGCCAGGATACTGCACTACTTAAGCTGAGCGTCCACACTGGCCGCGAGGCGCTCCCACTGGCACGCATCTAGCCTACTTCGGTTGCATGATGCACGATGGCAGGCTGAGGAGCGCCTCTCAGATGCCTCTCAAACAAGCTTTGTTCGTGCGACCTTGCCCTCTCATTTGCAGGTTGCCAACAGACACAGAAGTAGGCCCCGCATCGAGGCCATGCGCAAGATCAATACTGGAACACACATTATTGCAACATCTAACCATCGTGGCACACGGAGTCCAAAAGAGATACAATCGTCTAATACCTGCAGGCGAATAATACACAGCCGCGGCAGTCATCATTATGCACGCCAAATCCAGCGCAGGGCAATGCAGTAAATTAGGACCTGACAACCGGTCAGCGTTTGCCCCGGGGCACGACGGCACGCGAGAGGGAGACTTGAAAAGACACACGCACATTTTGTAGTGTACGCTAATCTCCGGCTCGTCGTTGGTCTGGTATGCGATCGTGATGTCGAGGTCGCGCGGGTTGCGTGCGTTCGGTGCGCACCACAGATGGCCCTTGACCGGCCGTCCTTGGAATACAGTGAGCGTTTCAGGCGTGTAGAATACAGTTTGCCTGAAGGAAGTGTTTCCACGTTTAGCACTGCTAGAGCAGGAGAGAACAGATCGCGTAACTGACTTCCAGTGAGTGTATTTGGCATGCGGCCCAGTTGAGAACTTGACTTTTGTGTGGGTGCACTCGAAGGAGATGTCGAACCAGGCGAGGAAAGCGTGGGCATCTATGCAGAAGCATATAAGTATGCGGCTGATTGCCCGACGACAACGGCTCTGCTCACAGTCGTCTCGGGTCGGGTTCAGTGAGAACGGTGCTGTGAATGTCAGGTCCTCCTTCTTTGCCGTGCGCAGGTCGATGTGCTGGGGGCCATTCAATATAATGCCAGCGATAAGAGACCGCACTGCATACCTTCACAAGGCAAGGGTCTGTGACGACTGCCTTGAGATCGACTGTATCCACAAGAGGCTCCCGCAACGCGATGTCCTTGATACACGAGTAGTCAAACCCATACACGTTGTCCCAGACTGAGCAGGCGTCAGTTGGCACGACGGCTCATGAACACAATTGAGAAGTATCTTACAGTTGATCTTCTCTTCCTTGTAGTCCGCATCCTCGATCGCAGCGATGTACAGCGTCGCAGTGTCCGGGAAGATGAGCCCGTCTGATTTGAGGTAACGGTCACGTGCGAGCAGCACGGTATCGAGCATGGACTCGTAAAGCAGGAAGTAGCCCATCCATTCGGAGATGATGATGTCGAATTCTTGGATGGGTAGCGGGACGTCCTCGAGCTTGCCCTTCACGAGTGTGATCGCTGTACGAGGCAAGCGTTTGGCACGCGATCGCAGATGAGGAAACAAGCGGACTCACTGTCCTTGAAGCCGTTGGCCTCAATGATTTTAACTGCCTGATCGATGATGTTGGACATATCGATCTATGAGGGACAGAATAAGAGGTCCAGGAATGGCGCGGTCAGCGACATGATACGCACTCCGACGACGTGTTTTGCGCCTGCCTTGGCGGCGAACATGCTCAGGATCCCGGTTCCACAGCCAACATCGAGAACAGTTTTGCCCTTGAACAGGTGCGCGTTGTTGATGATCGCGTTGCGATACGATCCCGTTCGTACGCTGTCCTTCAACATCTCTTCGTGAATACCTTGCGCGCGACCCACCATCAGCATCTTATCCTAGAGTTAGACAGATACAACACGTACCGAAGTGCGCGTACGAGTCCGCATAGCTACAAACGCCAATGTTAATGTCAGTTTCCTGGGCGGCTCTGCACGGACACGACCGCAGAGCCAACGAAGGACGCGAACGAACTAGTCTCGTGAAGTCATGTTGTCCACCGGCACATCTGTCTCCATGGGGGTCGTCGACGGTCCTGCGTTTGCCATTTCTAAGGGTCGCGTTACTTTGCTAGTTCAGTGAAATACGGCTCAGACGAAGGAAGGCGAGGAGGACCGGACAGCAGGAGAGCAGACGAACACGACTGGGGCCAATCGCGCGCTTGCGCCACAAAAGAGCTCGAAAAGAAAATGCGCTCCAGAGCCACGTGCAGGCCTCGATCGAATACAGCGCGTCGGGCACGTGATCGAGACGCGCGACGCTGCGGCGGGCGCCAAACACAGGCGGCCCTTGCGGACACTGACAGAATGGCGAAGGTCGGCCGCGTCCCACAGCGGCGCAGCTCCGAAGCCCCTCCAGAGCCGCACACACTGTGACACAGCTGCGTAAGCTGCGCAGGGCAGTGCTCCGCAGACCCAGTCAAGACCCGCTGCTGCTCGGTCGGCCCAAAGCGACCCCTGTCTCCCTCTCCACCAGCCGCCATGATTGTAGACCCGAACACCACAAACATGGTCCGTTGTCCCGCCCTATATAAGCCGGTGCTTGACGTCTGACTGGTATTCTCCCCGCAATGAAGGCTACAGCGTCCAAGGACGATATGCAAGCGCCACCCTCTTACGATGAAACGATGAAGGATGCTGCCGGTAGGTGACAACTTGTTCGTGGCTATGGAATAGCAATTCACTTCTTCATACGCAGCCTCCGGGCCCTTCCTCGCTGATGGAGCGGCGAGAGCCGATCAAGTGAAGGTCCCAATCCCCCCGCCGCCATCACACCCGTTGGCGGGACCCTCACCGCGCATACCGTCCATGCCAACAACGACGGTTTACAACTATGTGAACCCCGTATCCGGCGAACATATCGTTTCTCTGCTCTCTCCGGACCACCCGCAAATGGTCTGCCTGCAGCAAGGCGGCCACGTACCGAGCACGCGCTACGGAGTCCTCGGTATGTCCGATCGGTTTTCCGAGTGGGCGAGTGTCTGCTGACTGTAGTTCAGGCATTCTTGCGGCCATCATCTGGTTCCCTCTGGGCATCGGCTGCTGCTTGCTGGACCGGCGAGTGAAGTGCTCTAGGTGTGGGCTCACTCTCGACGAGGGTCTGTGCGCATAAGCGCAGCACCGCGGGATCTCGGGATTACTTTGCCACCCTTCTTTCTTTCGTTGGTTCCTATCGGATTTCCTTCGGTTTCTGTACCGTATTGTACGTACTGTTCTCTGCTGCATTCCTTCATCGCACATGTTGGCCTCCTCATCTCATGACATCTACACCGGACTGTTGTACTTGTAGAATACGTACAGTAGACCATGCCGTCCTCAGATGCAATACACTGACGCTCCCTCCGAGTTAATCTTGACATCCTTGAACAGTTGTGCGTTGGACAGGCCCCCGCAGTGCGAACGTGTTTCCTGTTGGCGGGATGAATCTTGGATGAATCCAGGTCACCACCAGGTGCAAGGACGCGCCTGGCGTGACAAGGCGAGCATGGGCTGTGCCATGACGCGTCCAGGTGATCGCGTCCACGCATCGCGTCTGCCGCATGAAAAGTGTGCACCGGCCCCCGGGTTGTGGATCATTTATCATGATCGGTTAGCACTGCTTGATCCCGGCATGTATCGGCCTCACTGGCATGCGCTATAACGACATCCCGCCCTTTTCGCACCCGAGCCCATTCAGACATAATGCGTCGTCAAATTCATCGCTAGTACACCTGATAATGAAGACCGCCCATGGTGGTGAGCACTCAATGCCGTATCGTCCACCTGCATCTCGACGCTATTGACCATATCAGCGCGGGTGCAAGATGGGCGACGAATTCATCGCTCTTCGAACTAATCCGAATCGCCAATGACCAGCACGAATTGCTTCCTGAGCGGCCGTTTCGCGTTTCATCATCGCGGGCTAACAGTCGCGCTACCAACCAGGTGCCCTGCCGAACCACAGCCTGTCCGGCATTACTCCCGGATTAGATGGAATGGGGTCTGGTCTGATGCGCATGCCACGCTGTAACTTGGCCGTACGGCCAAGATTTCGGCGGAGGGCGTCGTATAAAGATGCGCCTGCCGCGTCAGAACTCCCCAGCTCGCAGCCTTCTTTCTTTCTTTCTTTCAGAGCTCCCAGGTACAGGTGCCGGTCGGTGAGTACCCCTTGTTCGTATGTGTGTTGCTCACACCGCTCACTACGTTCTCTACAGCCTTACTTGTACTTCTTTTTGCACTCTCTCGTTACGATTTTACGACTTTTTCAACTCTCTTCCTCTACCCAACCGACCCTTTTACGCCGTTCAATTCACGATGCGTTCTTACTCTGCCATCCCCATTGCCCTTGTCGCTGCTGCGTCCGTCGCCCCGGCCTTCGCTGCGCCCATTGTCAAGTGCGTATGGTCCTCACGTTCGATAGATTCACGCACTGACGCTCGCATCGTAGGACCACCGACATCGAGGTTCGCGAGGACTCGTTCCTTCCCACTCGGGAGGTGACCGAGTTCGAGGCGCGCTCTGTCGATGATGAGTTCGAGCTCGCTCGCCGCGACCTCCAGGAGGAGCTGTTCACTCGCTTCTTCGACGAGGAGCTTGAGGCTCGTGCGCCCCATCACGATGAGGAGCACGACGCTGAGGAGTACGGCCACCATGGTCATCACCATCACCATCACCACCCCGGCCACTACCACCACGGCGAGCACTTCGACAGCGAGGAGTACGGCCACCACGGTCACCACCACCACCACCACGATGGCGAGTTCTTCCACGACGGTGACCACTACGATCAGCGCATCCACCACCACGGCCACCACCGTCACCACCACCACCACCACCACGGCGGCGAGCACTTGGAGGGTGAGCACTACGGCCACCACCACGGTCACCACCACCACCACCACCACCACGCCGAGGACGTTGACGGTGAGGAGTTCGGTCACCACCGTCACCACCACGAGGGCGAGCACCACCACGGCCACCACCACGAGGGCGAGCACTTCCACCACGGGTACGCTCGTGCGGTTCCCGCTTCGCCGGCTCCGGAGGTCCCTGCCACTGGTGCCGCGACCCAGGACGCGGCTCCCCACGCGCACTCTGCCCAGCACGAGGCGCACGGCGCTACGGGCACGGGCGAGCACGCTCATGGACAGCACTCCGTGCACGCTGGTGCGCACAGCCAGGAGCCCCACGTTGGTACGCACGGCCAGGAGCACAACGGTGCCCACGCTCACAACGGTGCCCACGCTCACAATGGTGCCCACGCTCACAACGGTGTCCACACTGGAGCGCACGAGGGCGCCGGCGCGCACCGCACGGGTCACCGAGGTGCGCAAGAAGAGCACCGCGATGCCCACTCTGGCCGGCGCGGTCGTGGGAGCCATGGTTCTCAGAACAAGGGTCATGGTCGTCACGGCGTGGAGGGTGAGCGCACGGGTGTTCAGCACGCCGGCGCGCACCACAACCACGAGCAACACTCCGGTGTGCACCCCGCAGGTTCCCGCGAGGGGCAGCACCACGGCACTCAGCACGCTGAGGAGACTGGTGTGCAGCACCACTCTGAGCAGACCGGTGTGCAGCACCACACTCAGCAGACCGGTGCGCAGCACAACGCTGAGGGCGTGCAGCCGGCCCCTGGCACCTTGGCCCACAAGGCGCGCGAGCTCGAGCTGCTCGTCCGTTCGCTCTTCGGTGACTACGACGAGCTTGACTAAGCGGTGGATCGAGAATGCCGAGCGGTATGATGTGTTCTGTAGTAGGAAGATAGTTCATTTGTATTGTTACGACGAGAATGCGAATAGCTCTGGGCTGCGAGTCTCGCTTTTAATATCCTCGGTGTGATTTTGTGAATTTCGACAGGAGCATGAGTGATATGTCATCTAACGTCGTGAGCAGTGTACGATGAGATGCATATGTGGTTCATCGCTTTGGTGTGATGCCATGATTCTCTGGATTCGGGGGCTTACATCGCATTTGAAGCACTCACGTCGAAAGACGAATGAGCCGTCAGATGAAGGGTGGGAGGACATAGAGCAGTGTGAGCCTATTACATAGCGCTACCGTTGGAAGTCAGCGAGTGTAAGTTGTGTCTGGGCCATTGAGATTGTGATGCTGCGTTCAATCTAAGATCTTTACAGGTAAGCAACGTAGACCGACGGAGTGGTCTCGTGTGCAACGCTATGCATCCGATCGCGGTGAAACCACCCGGAGCCAACCATGACGGTGTCACTTTGTATCACTCGACAGTCGACTGCGGACACACAACCCGTGATCTATGTACACAATGCACGCCAATATCCAAAGACGCAAAGAGGGGCGTAGATACATAGATAGATAAACCCGTGATACATACTTCCGTTGCAGATACCGACCGACCGCAAGACTACACAGGCAAAGCAGCCTGACTCTTCTCTCCAGGCTGCGCCAGCGCGCGCCACCTCTGCCACCTAGGCGAGTTCTCCTCCGGGTTACGGAAGAGGAACACAGCGGACATGAAGATAGACTGATATGGCCACGCATTAGTTTCAACACGAGAAGCGAGGGTGCGTCAACGAACCGAGAATGTGAGCAACGCTAGGCAAGGAAGTATACCGACGAAATCTGCGGCGTGACGTGAGTAATAATGGACGTCGAATTGATCGGCTTCGACACTGACCAATGTCCGCACCTAGAAATGGCGCGTTAGCACTGTTCGTTAGCGACGCAATCGAAGTGAAGCTTACCAAAGCCGTTGGGTGCTCCCGGCATCGTGCCGCGCAATTGCGTGAACGCAAACAAAGTCGCGACGGGCAACACCAGGACATCGCCTCTGACACCTTTCCCGAAGAATACCGACACGATACAAGCCATGATGAACGTAATAGTAATCATCCCTGAACGAAGTCGTTAGTGAGGAAGGAAACTCGGCAAACCAGAACACTCACAGATGGCGATGACAATCAGTAGGGCATACATCCTGATCACCTGCCCTCTGGTAACGACTAAGTTCTTGATAGACACGTCATGGGCAGCTAGCCCGGATGTGTTAGTGTCGAGCTTCGCATTGAATCCGCTAGAGCGCGGCATGATGGTGTTAGATGGCGACGCCGGCGAACATACGGACAGAGAACGTACACTGCAATTCCATTGGTGGTACCGATCCCGATCGGCACGGTACTGTTGTCACTGACGGATTGCGCAAAGAACACCAGAGTGGATGTGTACCTTGGAAGTTTGTGTGAGCTGGACCGTAGGCATGAGTGGAGGAAATGCGCATGCTTACTTGTCGAAGGGATACGACTGTGCAGACCGACCGCCGTAGTAGAAGTCCGTCATGGCTACTTGGGTCCTGAACTGCGGCGAACTGACGCGGAAGTCGGGGGTGCTGCTCGCGTTATAGGCTGCATAGTCCGTCGCGTTGATGGAGAAGATCGGCGTGGGCTTCTCATTATTCGCCGTCGTCGTGCTGGAATCGCCGCGCAACAAATTCCTGTCGAAAAATTGCAGCGAAATGTCAGCAGTGGTAGCACACGTCGACCACACATTTGCTTACTGATCAAAATATATGTTGACATCCGGACAGTCCGAAGTCGACGGAGACGCTCCATCGGGGCAGGTGTAATACAGAAACCAGTCGAGTGTAATGGACTGTGAATCCGAGTCGACGGATATAAGGTTTGCGTCCAGCTTGACCTATGTCTCAAGATCTCAATTATGCACGGGAAGACTGTTCAAGTTGATGGTTGCACTAACCCAGACCGGATCTTCGACGAGGAAAGAGTCGAGGACTTGAACACCCTTGAAGGTGCCCAGGCGCAACGTCCAACCCACCGCGATGCTGGTGCACACGAGGACAAGGATGAAGACGCTAGAGACGATGATCCAGTGCCTGTCCACGAAAGCGATGACCGCTCTGATTAGATATTCCATTGATAGCTTCAATCTCGATGGCCGCTTGGGTGGAGACGACGCAGTAGGCAAGTCTGTGTCATCGTTGGGAGACACTGGCAGCTTGATGACCGAGTCGGGTGTCGTCAGGGGGGTGTCGTTGAGCCCATACGGATCGAACTGTTGGAACGCTGGCAGAGTTTGGGCCCGTTCTGCGGAGACGAGAAGAGTGTCGCTTCCTAGAGCGGGGGTCGGTGCCGTGCCAGCCCTTGCTGGATGCCTGTGCGTCAGATCGATGACGGTCGGGAATGTTACTGCCTGAGCCATATTACGCTGCCTGAGCTCAATGACGCGGATTGAAAACCTGAGTCTGGAGGAACAAACAAGTAGCCAAGAACAGTCAACGGAAATCGAAGACAAATTAAGGACTGTCCCAGTGCCACAGGCAGCAGTAGCGAAAGATCGAAGTGTGAGCGGTATAACTGGGGGTCATCCCTTATAAGCAATTTGAGAATGACGACCGACGGCTCACTAGCCTAAGCCTAGTTCAATAGTTGTTTCGTAATCTGCGGTCTCCCCTTGATTCCAGACAAGACTTTCCTGCGGTTTGACAGCGGGCGATCCGCACATCGACATCCATGTGTTTAGAGCACAGCATATGGGCTCAATTACTCACGCTTGCAGGGGCTATACACGAACGGGGCAAGGGGCGTTCAAGTCCGTGATGGTAGCATGGTCGTTGGACGGAGCATGAGAGAGCCTAAGAGCCAGACTATCACTTCACGTGCGTCGGTAGGACTCGGAGTACTCACCGTGACAGCCAGACTCCTCCCCACCATGACAGCCAGAACCTTCGATACGGATGCCTGAACGAAATGACGGGATATGAAGGTGCTGCCTGAAGCAGATCAAGCACTGAGGATAAACTGCGATGGCCTCTTGAGTCGTGACGATTTCACCTGTGGCCGCTTTCCATGATGATGATGATAGGCCCCTCATCGACAAAACACACATAGGCGGAGGACGTCGGGTCTTGACTTCTAGTGATCCGGATCTGCAGCTCCTGCCGTTCGACCTCGGCCACCCTCTAGGGTGTAGCTGGGATAGGCTTGACCCCGTCGCTACTTCATATGGTACTGGCACCTTGACGGAACCACCGACTCCGCCTCTGCGCAGTTCCAGACGCAGGGGCCGATTGTTTTGAAAACAGCTGTCAAAAGGCGCAGCCTCGTCGAGTCAACTCACGTTCAGTATGCAGTATATTATTGATGACTCACCAGCACGGTCCGGGTAAAATCCCAAGGGTCGAATCTTATATCGACCCGATGTATGTCAACTATTACAGGAGTCGACTCACTATGTACGTACCGCAAATGCATATATGGTGCGGAGTCCGCCGCCGGGCGTTCTGTGAGCAACAGATCAGTGATCGTGCCTTGACCTTACTCAGTTCGCAGAGGCAGTGGCCGGGGGGGCACTTGAACGTCGGCGGCTTTGAACGAATGTTCCCACATGCTCCGATCGATGTAATGAGCCTGCCATGGGATGATACGAACCAGTACTTAAGCGTAGGTATGCTAAGCATCTTCCTACGTGAATTTGGCGCCTCACGGAGAAGGTGAGCAGTGCTAAGCAGGGGAGGATGCCTACGAAATCTGGAATGCAACATGAGCGACGTCTGGCAGCGTAAACCGCTGCAATACCCACCGATATCGGCACCTGTAAGAATGACAATCTCAATTGGGTCTCGACCAATAGAAGGATGATGCTCACCGAAACCACTCGGTGCACCAGGCATCGTGGTCCGCAAAGAGGTGAATGCAAACAATGTCGGGACTGGCAGCACCAAGACCTCGCCTGACACCTTTGCCGAAGAACACAGACACAATACAGGCCAAGACGAAGGTGATCGTGATCATCCCTGGTAGACATGAGGTATCGTACCGCACAAGACGACGCTGAACTCACACATTGCAATGACGATGGTCAATGCATAGATCCTGATGACTTGTCCTCGGGTGACTATCAGATTCTTGATCGCAACGTCGTGCGCAAAGTCCCCGGATTCGTATATGTCAAGTTTTGCATTGAATCCACTAGATCATCGTGCAGTGTCAGAAAGATATGATTTGATTCGTGCCGCGGTCGCATACTTACACAGCAACTCCTCCTGTGTAACCGAAGCCGATGGGTATCGTGCTATTGTCGCTGACTGATTGCGCAAAAAGAACCAAGGTAGATGTATACCTAACAACGCTCGACATCAGCAGCTGGAACTGATTGCTCGATATAACATTATCATCAAACTCACCTGTCGAAGGGATATGACTGACTGGATCGACTGCCACGATAGAAGGCGGTCATGATCAGCTCGGTCCTGAACTGCGGAGAATTGTAGCGATAATCAGGATTGGTCGTATTATGATTAGCCACGTAATCCGCTGCGTTCAGAAGGAACAGGGGTCCAGGTTTCTCGTTGTCCGTAGTCGACGTTGAACTATTCCGCAACAGGTTTCTGGCATCTGATTAGCCGGCCCGGGACTAGCGTTCTTAGCCATGAAATTACTCAAGACTTACTGATCAAAGTAGATGTAGACATCAGGACAGGCCGGAGTGGACGCAGAGGCACCGTGTGGGCAGTAGCAGAAAACGATCCAGTCGATCGTGATAGACTGCTCCTCTGAGTCGACTGAAACGAGGTGCGCATCGAGTCCAACCTAAGGCTCGGCTTATCAGCTGTGGATTGAATACAGCCGAATTGACTGCACCTACCCAGAGCGACGTCTCCTGTTGTATATCCGCATCAAGGATTTGGGTAGCTCGGAAGCCACCCAGACGTAGAGACCACCCCACCGCAATGCAGATGCTGACGAGCAGCACCACAGAGACCAACAGAAATGATCAAGTGATTCACCACGAATTTCTTCACGAGGTAGTAACACCACCTGCGCGCGCGATTCGGGAATGGCTTCGATTTCGACTTCGGCTTGGGCGAGGATTTCGTGCTGGGCGAGTCTGTCTCCAGAGTAGCATTTGTTCCACCCGTCAGCAACGACGATGTGTCGCCCTGCACATTGTGATGGTCAAAAGGGATTAACGGGAGCTCGTCCAAGAAGGCACAAGACCCGTCCTTCTGCATGGCCGAGAGCGTTAGCGTATTGGCTCGCGCCAGACGTTTAGATGCTCGATCGGTCTCGGAGGCAAACGTTGTTTCTTGCGACATACTCAGACCAAGTTGGCAGCAGGACAAGGTGGAGACGCGGGAGAGAAGGAGCGATCTGGGGAAAGGCCAGAACACAGGATGTCGAGACTCAGAGAATAAGAGCACACCGAAGAAGATGAGGTATACCGACGGTCGACTGACCAGCAATTTTATAGACAAGTCTCCCAGCGGTGACTGCGTGCTAGTGGCAAAGATTGCAATGCGGCGTCTTCTGCGGTTTGACAGAAGAGACTGCCAGCTGTGGCACCAAACATCGAGACGCTTTTGCGTCGCATGCGACAACGTTCTTAGCGGAGCTGCGGCGAGTGTGTAATGATAGACTTCAAGGCAGGACATCCAGTTGAGCCACAGTATTCTCCGTAGCCCAGCGCCAAACGGAATTGTTAACGAGCGCCCTCGTATGTCCGTAGTTTCGAACCCGCCTGTACGAAGGAAACCGCAACGGCGGCAATCCCAGTGTTAAGTCAGGCATTGCGCGCGACAGAACCAGTCACTCACGCGATGATGCTTCACAGCGTATGATAGTTGACGGACACAGCTTTGCGGCCAGCAGGGTCGATGTCGCTGGCATTCTGGCGTTGTACTACGCATTGAACCTTATTCCAACCTTACCTCGCAGGTATACCTGGATTACCAGGACCTGAGTGTATATATCGCGGCCAATCGACATCCCAGTGCAAGGCGCTGCCACGGCTGTTCTTCACTCACTACGATGTGAAGGAGGAAGATGATTCATATTAGGGAAGTTGCCACCGCCCTAACCTGAAATGTTAAGAATTGGATCGTGAGGCGTGACATCATACCACATACGAGCACAGAGGAAGACATCCTTGACTGAGCAGCAGACAACGCACACCCCTATGACCATCACTCTGCCTCGTGTTTCTTCTTCCGCTTCTTCCGTGTGTCCACCGCTACGGCGGCGTCCGACTGGTCCATTGACTTTTTGCGCTTCTTTTCCTTCTGCGGTTCCAAGTCCGGTGGTCGGACCTCATCGCTGGATGAGGGCGCTTTCCCCTTCTCCCTCTTCTTCCGTTCGACCACAGAAGACGAGAAGCCCTCACAGCAGTCTGGTGTGGTCGCAGGAGCATCGCATCCTGCGTCTTTGTGTTTCCGTTTCTTCGACTTTCGCTTGGGCTGTGACTCGTCCTCGTCAAGCTGTGCCTGAGACGTTTCGCACTCCCCAGCCTCCTCCACCGCTACCTGGGTCGAGGACTGTACGAACGACATCGAGAGCTTGGACGAGCCGAGGCCGCCTCTCGGGCGGTCAGTATAGTCCTCCGCCTCAACCGTCTCCACGCGCGGCCTCGAGGCACCCAATCCGAGACCGCCCCTCGGACGATCGTCGTAGTCATCGCTAGACGGCGTCTCCGCGGCGGCAGGGGTCGAGGACTCAGACGTGCGGTTGCTCTTCGCGGCGAGCTTCTCGCGGAAGTAGTCCATGACGCTCTTGCTCGAAGTCGTCAGGTCTTGCATTTTGGGCACAGCAGAGGCGTCAGGGCCTGATGCGGGGGTATCGAGAACGGTAGAAGATGAGGAGGGATCGGGTGTATCAGTCAGAGACGGCGTGGCAACGAATGGCGACGACGAGACTCCGAGGATTTCAGCAATTGCTGTAGCAGACTTGGATGCCATTCCTTTCATTGCAATATGACGGGCGCGATGTGCACGCACACTGCGCGAAACAGCCGTCAGTAAAGGAACGAACGAGAAATAATTGCGCGTACGGGCGTGGCACAACCACCGGGGCTTTCGCGGCGGCCATAGCTTCCGCTGCTACGGTGGTCGAAACACTACTTTTGCCCGAGGAGATAGCATCTTGGTCGTCGCTGGCTTCGCGCTTGCGCCTTTTCTCTTTCTTGCTCTCCTTGGCAGCGGGCTCCTCCTCCTTCGCTCTCCCTTTCTTGTCCTTTTTCTCCTTTTTCTCCTTCTTGTCCTTCTTTTTCTTGCGTCTCTCCTCCTGACCATCCTCCGACTCGGCATCGTCGTCCCCCTGATCGTGCTTCCTCTTCTTCCTCTTCCGTGGTTTCTCCTCCTCCTCGCCGCCCTCCTCCTCTGGCTCCTGCGCACTCTCCTCAGCCTGTGCGGACGGCCGCACGAAGCCGTCAATCTTAGGGACATCCGCTGCACCCTCCTCGCCCGCATCGGCGTTCAGCCTCCGCAACAGGTTCTCAAAGTCCTTTCCCTGCTTCCATGCCGTCCCGTCCTCGTTATTCTTGTGGTCCGCGCCAATACCGAGCATGTCGAGCTTCTGGTATACGGAGATGTGATTGGTGCGCCCCTCGCCGGACACACCGAGGCCCGAGCCTGAGGCCCAGCCAAACTTTTCGAGGTATGAAGTGCCGAACTTGCTCGCATCTGCACGGGGTGAATTAGAACAGGCCCCCGGCGGCGGTGAGGCTACGCACCGTTTGCCCATGTGAGGTTTCGGGGATCTGCGCCAATGCGCTGCTTCGTTTTCCGGCCTGAAAGGCCCATCGTAGACGTGTTCTACTAGTGATGTCTTCTCCGGGTCTGAAGATGGACAACCTGAGTGTGTGTTGTCCGAGTGAGCGACAACAATGCGAAGAGTCAGTGACAGCCGTATCACCGGGCTTGCTCAGAGGTGGTGACAGTCTGCAAGATTCCATCTCACGGCGCGCAAACCGAGATCAATCATGGGCGCTCCGGGAACCCCGGGCCTTTGGCGTCAACGAGGATCCCGGCCTCACGCGCTTCAAGTGGGCGACTCCTTGAAGTACTCTTTGTTCATCAACATTACCCGCGCTACGTGCTACTACCAACTAGGATATCCGCTGTGCGATTCACAGGGCTTTTGCGCTAACGTTTACTGCTTGAACTCGGCTTGAGTCGTCTAGAAAGGAAAGACATCTGCACGGCTGTTCATTCCGAGTCGAGTCGATTGGCACCTCCGAAGCAGGTTGAACCGTGGACGTTCTGCATTCGCTCATCTTTACGACATACAATTCTAAGCTCCCCTGCGCTGCGACTGCAATATCAACTAACCCTCAAACGATACAATGCCCTCTCAGCAGAAGACCGTTTTCGAGAGTGCAGATTCCATAGGCGAAGGCGACTCGTTCCTCGTCCCGGACTTCCTTCCACCCGAGTTATCAGAACATGCCTTCCAATGTGTTCGAGATGAAGTGAAGTGGCATCGGATGGTTCATAGAGGTGAAGATATTACTTCTAGGCTTGGGTCAAGGGCCCTACTGAAGGGTGCTCAAACAGGCGGCGAGGTTCCACGATTGGTTGCAGTGCAGGGTTTCGTCCACGAAGATGGCAGGTGTGTCCAGTCACAATCATCCCATGCAGCACTAACCTGGTGTGCCCATAGTTATCCTATCTACCGCCACCCAGCAGACGAGTCTCCGCCCCTCCTCCCCTTCTCACCCACCGTAGAACTTATTCGACAGCACGTCGAAGAAACCCTCCACCACCCCGTCAACCACGTGTTGATCCAGCACTACCGCACCGGTGCCGACTACATCTCCGAGCACTCCGACAAGACGATCGACGTCGTGCGCGGGTCCAACATCGTCAACGTCAGTCTCGGCGCACGACGTGTCATGACCCTGCGCACCAAGAAGGACGCTCACCGCGCGTCCGCCGACGCGAGCGAGGGCCGCGCGTCGCAGCGCATCCCGCTCCCGCACAACTCGATGTTCGTCATGGGTCTAGAGACGAACATGCGCTGGCTGCACGGCATCCGCACGGACAAGCGGCCTGAGAAGACCAAGTCGGCGGAGGAGCGGTTCGCGAACGGGGAGCGCATCAGCCTGACGTTCCGCCACATCGGCACCTTCCTGACACTCGGGGACACGCACATCTACGGGCAGGGCGCGCGCGGGAAGACGCGAGAGGGCGCGCAGCCGGTGGTGCGCGGCGGGAGTGAGGCCCAGGCGCTGATCGACGCGTTCGGGAGAGAGAACCACTCGAGCGAGTTTGACTGGGATGCGGCTTATGGGGTTGGATCGGACGTGCTCCATTTCAGTGAACGCGCAGATGCGTTGTAACGTTCGCCGCTGTCTGAATGGACTGTGTGCAAGGTGAAGGTCGCGTGGTGAAGAGCCTTGTCACAAATGTGTGTGGCACCACGGCCGCTTGATCGTCCAACCAACAACCGGTCACTCGCAGAGCCTCCAAATCGTCGTCCGTATCCTTCCTCAAGGAACCCTCCTCAACTATGCTTGAAACTAAGGATACCGCGGTCCAAACCTACATCAGGCAGGTCTCTGTCACTTACGACAGACGTCCCTATAACCCCTCCCCGGAGGAGAATGAGATACTGAAGAATCCTGGTACGTTCTGCAAGTATCTTGGCTGCGCTATCTCATACGAACATGTCGCTCCAGGGACTGCTCACGCGAACCTTGCACCCTCCCTCGAATGCCCTCATGGCACTCAGAGCAGCGGCTGGGCGGACAAACACAGCGGGCACACCGTTCTACAGCAGCACTGCGCCTACTTCGATGCCGACGGCGATAACATCATTTGGCCGCACGACACATACCACGGGTTCCGCAACCTGGGGTTCAATATCTTCTTGACGCTGTTCTCCGTCTTCATCATACACTTCAACTTCTCCTACCCAACCTGCCCAGGCTACCTGCCGGATCCGTTCTTTCGTATCTACCTCGCGAATATACACAAAGCCAAGCATGGCAGCGACACTGGCACTTATGACAACGAAGGCCGCTTTGTCCCTCAGAAGTGGGTGTCCTCGCACCCATCTCTGCTACTGAGGAAGGAGAGCTGACCCAGACCGCCAAACAGGTTCGAGGACATGTTCGCGAAGTATGGTGATAAGGATGGGTTGACGATGTGGGACATGTGGGAGCTCATGGGCGGCCAGCGTGTCTTGTTCGACGTTTTCGGCACATTGGGTGCTTTGTTCGAATGTGAGTATCACTGACTCTATCTCCATCGGAAGCCCGGATACTTACAAGGCGCGCAGGGTTGTCCCTCTACCTCCTGCTATGGCCCGACGACGGCATCATCAGGAAGGAGGATCTGAGGCGTGTCTACGACGGGAGCATCTTCACCGAGCTATCCTTGCGGCGCTCTGGCAAAGCCAAAGCGATCTGAGTGTGGAACACGCACACTGGCACATGGAATCTCTCCGCGCATATTTCGTTCCCGTAGAGTCCACTTTTCTCCGTGCGTAATGTGTAGTGAAGCAGCGCGACGTCAGCTATCCTTCGGCCCCGATCGTAGCAACCATCGGGAGGCCAGTGTCGTGCCAGAAAAGGCAAGTGCACTCGATCCGCTGCGGGTGAGTGCGTCACGCATGCCATACGCTCGCAGGACATCGTCATTCTCCAAGCGACTGGAGCATAAAAGGGCGATGCGGCCATCCGAAAAGTTCTGTGATGCTCCCAAGACGAGTGGCACCCCTCCCGCTCACTGTATTGCGTACACTCCACACGCGCCACTCTCCCCGCGGCGACGCGACTTCCTCCTCCAAACTCTTCTCCAGAAACCGCTACCTTGTAACTGTATCCAGACCATCGCAAGTCATGCAGACCGTTATCAACAAGGTCACCGGAAACGACGCCAACAACATCAGCGGCTTCGACCACGAGAGCGTTCCCGAACTCAAGGGCAGGGTAAGCACACGCGTACTCGGTTTCCCTCGTTTTCTCTCAACAGTGTCCGTTGGTTTGTTTACAGACTGCAGTCGTGACTGGCGGTACGGTCGGCATTGGCTTCGAAGTCGCCAAGGCCCTCGCGCTCGCCGGAGCGCGCGTCCTCCTACTGTCGCGCAGAAGTGAGAACGCGGAGGAAGCCATCTCAAAGATCAAGTCCGAGGCAGACCCAACCGCGCCCATCGTCGACGTCACCTTCACGCCGTGCGACCTGGGCAGTCTAGAAAATGTCAGGCAGGTCGGGGACCGCATCCGAGAGCAAGAGGACCGACTTGACATCGTAAGCCGCCGACGAGCCAACCATGCATTGAAACCGGGTGACCGTGCTGATGATGCTACAGCTTGTCCTCGACGCCGGCGTGGGCGTGAACAAATACGACGTCTCCGCCGACGGCATCGACCGCCACTTCGCCGTGAACCACCTCGGGCACTTCTATCTCACCAACCGCGTGCTCCCGCTCATGCGGCGCACCACCGAGCTCCCCGACACACACGTCCCGCGGATCGTCGCCGTCTCCTCCGAGCTGCATCGCGCGCTCGCGACGACGGTCAAATTCGCGTCCATCGACGAGATCAATACCGACATTGGCGCGAACGGGCTGTATGCGCGCAGCAAGCTCGCGAACATCCTCTTCATCAAGTATGGGCTGGTCGAGCGCGTCCTCCGTCCGACAAATTCGCGCATCGTCGCGATCGCGACGCACCCCGGCGCGGTGCACACGACGCAACAGGACCAGTTCAAGGACACATTCGGCACCGTTATGGGAACGATGATGAAGCACCTCACCATCCCGTTCATGCGCAACCCGGAGCAAGGCAGCCTGAGCACACTCTGGGCGGCGACGAGCGAGGAAGTCGATCAGGACCCGGCGAAGTGGAACGGACACTACATCACGGATCCGGGACAGCTGAACGAGGAGAGCAGAGCCGCGCAGTCCCCGGAGTTGGGGAAGAATCTGTGGGGCCTCAGTGAACTCATTGTGAGGAAGAATTTAGGCCCCGACGCTCTGCTGCCATGGGATCAGCACATGTAAAACAGTAATGTGTGTTACCTTTGGAAGTACGGACATCTGGAGGCGGACTGGCTTGAATTGACCTGTACAATATCACATACTGTACCAAGAGGATTCTCATCATCGTCATCGGGAACGGCATCACAAAGTGTGCGTGAGGGCGTTTGAACAGACTAGTGTCGTCCAAAGTCGAGCACTTGAGAGAGAGAGAAGACGCAGCCTGCGATGATACAATGGGTGTTTCATATGCAGAGCGCTGCATAAATTTTGATGCTACAGGAAGCAAAAGTCGACAACACCTAAACAGCACAACAGCGCCACACATCCCATCGACATGCCCAACCTCACCGGCGCACAACTCGACTGCGAGGAGAGACAGGTTATGAGACCACGGACCAGACACGGACGAGGTCGTCGGTGAAGCCACCGAAGAGCGTCTGGCCGTCCGCTGACCATGCGATGGAGACACACTCGGGTGCCCGCGAGTTGGGGCTCTGGGCGAAGTCGGGGGTGAGCTCGTCAACGATCGACCTGTCACTGTGTCAGTCAATCTGTGCCGCATGGGTGGCCGGGACGATACGCACTTGCTCTCAAGGTCGAAGATCTTGATGCAAGTGGCGGTCGCCGCGCAGAGCCAGTAGCGGTTGGGCGAGAAGACGAGGGCGTTGACGATGTCGCCCGCCTCGAGCGAGTACAGGTGCTTGCCCTCGTTGAGGTCCCAAAGCATCGTGATGCCGTCCTTGCCGCCGGACGCCGCCAGCGAGCCATCGGGCGAAACAGAGATAGTGTTGATGTAGCCAGTGTGGCCGTAGTGGTTGGTCTTGAGCTTGAACTTCGAGAGCTCCCAGACCTGAGGAGGATTTCAGTACATTGTTCAGACGAAGTCGAACGAGTGGCGGAAAGAAGAACGGTCAGAGATCTTGGTGATTTTAGATAGTCTCATTGGGCGAACCCTCTGAAGTAGCAAATATATTGTAACATCACACCGAAAGGGAGGGGGAGGGGAGGGGATGAACCAGACGAAAAACAAAGGCTCACCTTAACCACCTTGTCCCAACCGCAGGAGACAATGACGGGGTTCAGGACGTTAGGGCTGAAGCGCACGCACGATACCCACTCTTGGTGGCCGTCCTCCTTGATATCGTACTTGCACTCGCCAAGCGTGTTCCAGAGCTTGATCGTCCGGTCGCGCGAGCCGGAGACGATCTGCCGGTTGTCAGCGCTGAAGCTGACAGAGAGGACATCGGAGGTGTGTCCGACGAAGCGGCGCGTCGTGAGACCGGTGTTGAGGTCCCAGAGGCGGAGTGTGTGGTCCCACGAAGAGGAGAGGGCGAACTGGCCGTCGGAGGAGATGACGACGTCCGAGACGAAGTGGTTGTGGCCGTGGAGGATGCGCTTGGGGTAACCGTACTGGTCCTCATCCCGGGTCAACTGCCAGACGATGATCGTCTTATCTGGGTGCACGGTCAGCTCACCCGGTCAACACGCACATATTGGCAGCCTGGGCGCACATACCACGGGAGGCAGTAAGGATCATGTCGGGGTTCTCCGACGACGTCGCGACGGCGGTGACCCAGCCTTTGTGGCCGGGCATAGACCCAAGATAGCGCAGGGACTCCATGGTGATATGTGCGAGAGGCTCGAGAGGGTGTCGGCGTCGGGCTCGGGCTGCTCTTCGCTGCTTGCGATATTCCTTGGTCGACCGCGAGAAGCGCGTGACAGCCACCGTGACTGGTACTATACAGTGCCGGCAGCTGCCGCATGTCCCGGCGCTTATGCTGCATGACCTCTGGCGGTGGCGCCCGCCTCGCTGCTGGCAGTGGACGACGGGACACTGCTTGCACTACACTCGGCGTAGATCCTACCACTCTTAACCCTGGTCTGGGTGCGTTATAGCTGCTCAGCGAAGATTACTGCAACAGCGCAAACTCCCTCAGGATCCAGGTATGTACTACACGTCATGCCCACCTGTTTCGACTTGCCCCTGCCTGCCGGGCACCCTTCTAAGTTATGATGCATGAAACTTTATATTTGCTACTTCAGAGAGCTCCGACTCTATGAGACGAATTTATCCACCAAGATCTCTGATTTGTTATTGCTCTGCGTTCCCGTAACATCACGCCTTGATACTGACACGTTATTTGTCCTTAGTGAGTGGCGTTGCCAACACCTCGCTTTCCGCTTGTACCTGGAGGCTCATCGTGGTATTGTGTGTGATGTGGAGTCTCGAGGTATGGGAGTGAAATTGGGAAGTAGCACTGTACGCAACCCTTGGCCACTGTATATGTCCAACGAGTCCTCACTATGTCACGAGCAACCATTCTGGCATTGCCTGTGTGTGGCGAACTCCTGTGTGGTCATGACCCGGATGGCGAGCAACATCAATACTCCTCGTCGCTGGCTCGCCTCAGTCGTTGCTGAGTACGTAGGCGCGTCGCCGCTGTCGCGTTTTCCTGTCGCGATCACGTGCATCGCTATAACGTTTGACTTGCGCGGCGAGTTGCGCCGTCAGCGCGTCAGTCCAGTACTGAGTACTGTCACTCAGCACCTTAAGCAGGCCTCAGCGCTAGCATCATCGCCTCAACATCACCTCAACAAGTCGACTATTGTGTTCACCTCAATCAGTACTGCGCTCGGCAGCATTGTGACGGCACTCAGGTCGGATCGAACACTAGTATGAAGATTCCTGTTATCAGTTAGGTCTCGCATGAACGTCGTCGGTCGCAGTCTGTTGACTTGAGCCTGTGTAGTTGATACAGATCCAGGAGTAGATGATGTCCTCGCGATGTGAGTCCATGACACGCAATCTGTCCTGATCAATCTGTCTAGATGTACTGAACCCTTCGACAGATTGCTCGCCCTCGCTTCTCCCGAACTCGATGTCCGCGCGATCATCGTCTCGTACGGTGAGATGTGTCAGCCTCGTTTTCGTCTGCTTCGCTGATATCATTGAAGGCAATACCACCTTAGAGGCTTCTCAGTGAGTGAGCCTCTACCTTCATCGCAGGCAGGCATATCACGCTAACTCCCGCAGTCTCAACATCATCAAGCTGTATCATGCTCTACTGCAGCACCTAGAGCAATATCCCGAACAGAAATCTCGTTACCCCGGGCTTGCAAACACTCATAAGGTCATTCTTGCAAAAGGATGCAGCGACCCGCTTGCAGGCGAGATCCATAGCGCAGAATACTTCCACGGCCGGTACGTCAAGGTGCTGGCTCTGCAACCCTAGCTCAGCCGCATTTCTTTTGTAGCGATGGGCTCGGAGACATAGACGAGCGCCATCCGGATCTAAATACCGAGTTGCCTACCGCAGAGCACTCTCATTTAGTGCTGACAGATCGACCTGGGGTAGAAGTGGCCTGCGAGATCATCGAGAACGAACCTTCCAGGAGTATCACCTATGTGGCCCTAGGTCCCCTCACCAACCTTGCCCGACTGCTGCGGGTGGGAGGAGATTCCGTCAGAGATCGGATCGGACGCGTTGTATGTATGGGCGGTGCCCTGGACGTTCCAGGTAACACGAACCCAGTCGCAGAATGTGGGTCATGCAGCGCCTATTCACGAAACCCGGCTGACCAGCAGCACAGTCAACTTCTTCGCCGACCCCTATGCTGTCAAAGAACTGCTCCTACCCGACGATCCGCGCTCCGGTCTCCCTCTCGAGCGCTTCCTCCTCCTTCCTCTAGACATCACGACCCCGCACGAGCTGCCCTTCCCTATCTATGCTACTCAAGTCGACCCGACTTTCGAGAACGCAACGACGCGGCCTTCCCAACCGAAAGGCAAGCCGCCACTCGTGCACTTCACCAGCTCCTTCCTCGAGCGCACGCGCGAGATCATGGTCAGTTACGGCAAGGACGCCATGGAGCTGCACGACATCGTCGCTGTCTGGTGTGCCATCGCGAACCCTCCCGTTGAGGTCGAGACGGCCGGCGCGCTGCCGAAGCTCGAGCCCGGGTGGAAGGCCTCACAGCGCAAGTTCCAGATAGAGCGGTAAGAAGGTCCTGTCTGTGTCTTCGCTGGTGTTTACCGGACCGCGCGCCCGTAGGATCGGTGAGATCACCAGGGGCATGTGCGTGGTCGACCGGCGAGAAGATCCAGGGGCGTACGCCCCCGGTGCGAACCGCGCAGAAATGCAGGCCGAACTCGAGAAGCATCACCTGCACCACTCCGGGCCGTTCGAATCCACTGCCCTCCCAGCGCAAGTTGAGGTGGAGCGTGCAAGTGACGCGCTGCCTCGGAACCTTACCACAGGTGGGGTGGCTTGCGTGTTCGAGACTCCCGGACCGGAGGTACTGCTCAAGCTTCTGCTTGAGCGGGTCTGGGGTGTAACTGGTTGACTCGCGAGTTGCTCGAACTCTGTGCGATGCGTCGTTTGCCAGAAAATGTTTTACTAATACAGTGCAGTTCCAGGGATTAGCCCATCCATGAGTGTATATGCCTCTAGGTAGGTAGCTCTCGAAATCGTAGTACAGTTCATCTCGTCGTTACACCAAGTAAATGGTGGTCGGACATGAGTCATCGTCATCGGATGACCTCCACGAACTCCTCTTCTGCCTTCTTGTCCAACTCCGAAGGCGACTTACGGCCTGCATCGCTGATGGACTCGACGTCGACGCGCTTCTCCTTGGTCGTTTGGATCTCATCAATGGTGCGCAGCCGGAAGCCACCCTTGCGAGTCTGATCAAGCACCATGCCACTACGGGAGGAAGGCAGTCAGATTAAGTCAACCTTCGAAGGGTATACCACGTACACAGCATAGACGGTCATGGCGACGTAGCCGCTGAAGGGCACCATATACGAGTGTGCGGTGTTCTTGTCGGCGATGACACCTTGCGCAGGAGGGTACCATGCCCCACCTCCGACGCCCTATACCAACGGCATCAGTGCATCTCATATCGTCCAAGTACAGGGTATACGGACCATGACGACCAAGCCGGAGCCGCGCTTCGTGTGGCGACCCAGATTCTTCGTCGCCAACGTGAAGATCACCTGCAAAAATGGTCTGAGCGGGGCCAGTGCGTAGGTGTCACAAGCGACCCACAGGATAGCAGATGGACTCGAAGAAGAACAGGATAAAGAGGCAAACGGGTCCTCCAACTCCGGGCACATAGGCTGTGAGAACAGCAAACGTGGCGCACATCACACCGTAGACAGAGAGACACAACGCTGGGTCGATGTAGTTGAGCAACACCACGCCGACGAACCGTCCAACGGTGAACGTGATCTGGCAGTACGAATAAAGTTGACTCGCAAGCGGCTTGCTGATGCCGATGTTTTTGTCGACGAAATAGTTGACCGCCATGGAAGCGACTCCAACTTGTGCACCGCTAGATCGACGTCAATAGCCACTTCGAGATGCGGAAGTACACATAAGCTGACTTACGTATAAGTCGTCTGTGCTATCCAGCCGAAGATACAGTGGTACTGCTTCCAGAATGGCTCTTCATCGCCCTTGAGCCCAGCTTGCTCCATCTCCGCCGACAGGGCGTCTTCAGAGATTTCGGGCAAGGGACAGAAGCTAAACCAAAGGTGAGCTAGCGCTTTCTGATGCAAATAGGAGCTCTCACAAGAATAGGATGTTCAGGACCAATCCGAGTCCTGCGACAGCAAGATAGACCCTTCCGACCTAGTATGAGTAGGCAGTAATGCGTGTAGTGGAGGCTATACCGCACCATTGAACAGTGGCGAGCGAAGTCGCATTTGCGCCCTGGAAGAAATACCTCGAGGCAATCATAGGCCCGGCGAAGGAGGCGACGCCCTGCCATGCTTGGCTGAAGTTGAGTCGAGCGGCAGCGTACTTAGGCGAGCCAAGAACGGTAATGTAGGAGTTGGCAGCTACCTCCAAGCAGGACAGTCCACATCCTGCGAGTGATGTCAGAGACACGTCACACCGTTGAAATCGTACTCACCGATGACGAACGTGCAGCCCACGAAGCCACCGTACTTCGCATATACAGCCGATGGCCAGAAAAAGATGGCGCCTGAATGCCAAGTCAGTGGCTTTCAATTGAGTTCGAGTAATGTATACTGACCGAGAGAGTAGAACGTTAGACCCATATGGACTCCTTTCTGATCCCAAGTGTCAACGAGGCGTCATGTGGACCATGGTGAAAACTAACCTTGTAACCATATTTCCTCATCTGTATCTCGTCAGTGAATGAAAGAGTGCAGATGCCTGGTGTACTCACGAACATGCCCGCGATGGGTGCATAGACAAGATATGCTCCCTAGACCGACTGCCAGCGTGAGGCCCAACTCAACCGTTACTGAAGGAATACGCACGAAGTACGCTACTTGCAGCATCGTACTCTGGAGCTTCGAGATACCGAATACCTGCTGGAAGTGCGCATTGAGGACATCAAGCAACTGTTGTGAGGATGGGTGAGCGACGCGTTTGCCATTGCAGATATCAGCCCAACTCACGCCATACGCGAAACCCCACGTGAAGAAGAGCGAAGTCACAAGGGCGAACGCGAAAGCCCACTCCCTGCGGGAGAGCTCGGAACCTAGAGGCAAGAAGTTCATTCGTGTTTTCGTGTCTGACAGCCATCGAGGAGCACGTACTGGTCGTCTCAGCAGGTGCCATGGCAGGCAGGCGAAGGGCTCAGAAGCACACGGCTACGAGATATATACCACGGAGATTGTGGGGCCCCATACTTGGGCGGGGTAGGTCCTGGAAGGGGATGCCATGCCGAAAAGCAGTCAGAGTGGTGAGCACCTGAGTCCGCGTGATGCCACCACACGTCGGACGCGGTACACCACGGTCCGTAGGGTCTGCCTTCCTCGCGTCTTCTTCTCGGTCGCGTTGTGTTTCCACCCTGCAGCGCGCAATGAGTGGTCTGGTGACGCTATGCTGCCGCTGCAGCGCGGGACGCAGAAACCGATCAACCAGTTCATTACGGCGGACGCCCGCACTTGGCCAGCACACATGAGTAGCTACGAGATCGCCTGCCTGATTTGGCCTGGGGTGTTTGATGGCACTCGATCTCGTGACCAGCGTATGCCGACGGTACGGTGCGCGTTTCCACAGACTCGGTCTTGTGTTTGGTGAAGATCGCTTCCGCCGCGCCCCCCACCGCGACCCCCAGTTAGCCAACATGCAGAACTCCTCAGCACAGGCACAGTCACCGGCACCAAGCCTATCATACCTTCTTGCGGTCAGCACCCGTCGGCGCATTGCCTGTATCGCGGTTCTTTGCGCGCTGACCGCGCCTGCTCGTGCTCCAGAACGTATACCCAACTGTCAAGGCTCTTCATCCTAGGGAAGGAAGAAGGAAATGGCGCCTTCGAGTGGCAAAGAAGTTTTGGGATATTCCCGCTGAACGAAAGCCAGCATACGCCGGGGTGCGTGAGGATCCCCCGAGGTTCTCGCTCGCGATGCCTGCATGGCAATTCTGAGCCATCCTTCTCAATAGGCACCAGCATCGGCAGCTTGCGAGGAGACCGACTTCGTCACGGACGACGATCCGCTTGACGATATGTCTGACGATGCCCCGGGAATCGGCATCCTTGTCCGCACTGACTACTCCAACGAGGAAGCCTGGCAGGCATTCTACGGCAAGCTCCAGGAGAGCGAGGCAGAGTTTGCGTCAGCAGAATCTCCCGAGGATGACCCAATGACTGGAGACGCGCCTCAGCCAGCAGAGGGAAGCTCAAGCTCCGGGCCTGATAACGACCGCAATGCATTGGACGAAGACGACGAGGACGAGGACGAAGAACCGCCGCAAATCTTCTTCGTTATTAACGCTCCGCCGGAAGGCCGCGCTCGATTTGCGAACATCTCCAACCTGGCAGCCCTACGACTGCTGAATGACGTGGACGTCCGTGCTGCGCCCTCGCCGCCCGCAGGCACCAAACGTATCAAGCCGCCAAACAGGCTCGTCGATCACGACGGCTGGCAGGAGATATACACCGGGAAGACAGTTTGGATATATGATGCGAAGTCGAACGTAGACCAGTGCGTGCGGCTTGTGAGTGGGCACGGAGGGCCGTACGGGACTGCGTCGTGCGTGTCCTACCCTTGAACGTCACTGTTCACCGTGGGACTGACTCGATTGCGGTTGGCTGTGCGACAGTGGGGACAGCTGGCGCGCCCGCGTGAACCATATTTGCGAGCTGCAGGTGAACCTCGCCTCAGGTGCAATGACGATCGACTTCGGTGGGATGGATAGGTGGGATTACGAGGAGCGCGTGCGGAATATGGAAGAAGCAGTGCAGCCATTGAGTTAGGTAAGTCCCATAATATGCTGACCAATGCGAGAGGATGAATTGACCGGACACAGACCGGCGTGCGCATTTACGGCGGGTGCTGTGCTGTGTCTGACGTAGGCCTGCGCAACCCGTTCAATTGGCGTCCAAGTCAACTGTCTTCAGCGAGTACGGAGCTCACGACGTCGACGTCGCGTAGAAGGCAAAAGTAGTGCCATTCCTTTGTGGCGTTTCAGATGGACGTCAACTTTGACGGTGGGACGAATGTGAATCATCCTGCCAGCATTTGAATTAAGATTAGACTAAGTACATCCATATTACAGTTCATGGTACAACAGTAACATAAAGATAGCATGCATCGACATATAAGGATAGAAATGCCAGGGCGGACGGCGACCAGAGCCACTGTCGGGCGTAATCAGGACAGTCGACAGGAAGCCGCGATCCGAGGACTTACGTGCGCCAATGTTAGATGTCGGAGGGGAAAGACTTCATTGTGGTTGCGGCAACCTGCCGCTGGACGAGCCTGCATCCTCCGGACCTGATGAAGAGCGCGTTGACCGCACGTCTGACATGCGCTGTGTAGGGTTCGATGATTCGGGGCTCGTTGCATCGTCGTCTGTAATGCCGTCTTCGTCCTCATCCTCAACAAGTCCATTGCAATCCAAGTACCCACCACAGCATTCCGACTCTGAGTAGCCGCTGTTGCTCGGCCCTGCTTGTGGGGGTCCTGGGATCCGCGCCTGCTGATGAGAATAGCTCGATGATTCGCCCGGTCCGCGAAAGAGATCGCGGTGAATGGCGTGCAGAGGCGGCAGCTCAATTCGTTGGCGGGGCGAGGGCGGCAGTCGGTGGTGCGGCTGTGGTAACGGCGAGGGTGTGAACGACGGTGTAGCAAGTGACGTGGGTGTGTGGTTCTGGATTGGGGGGAGGCGGAGACTGGAGGCCGAGGACGGCTCAGAGCCAGAGGGCGGGCCGAAGGCGACCTGCTGGAAATGGGCGATCGAGTGCGCGGCGGCGGAGAGGTTGTGCATGAGCTCGTTTGTAGCGGCGGCCTGCCGAGGGCGGTGTGAGATGCAAAGGCCATGAAGACCGCAGCAGCGCGCTGCGTAGACAGGGAACGCGCGTACCATCTCTGGGCTGGGGCTGGTCCTCTGTGCGGCGGACTGGCCAGCGGCTCTGAGTTGCGCGCCGAGGACGTCGATCCGCTCCTTGAGACGGGCGTTCTCCTCCTCCGTCTGCTTGCAGCGCTCCTCGAGATCGGCGACATAGCGTGCCTTGCGGGCGCGGTAGTCGCGCTGCTGGAGGAGGGCGCGGGAGGGCGGGATGGTCATGTCCTTTCTGCGGCCGCGGGTCATGGCGGGGGAGGAGCTCGCGGGGGGATGATGAGAGTTCCGGAGGAGGCGGACTGGAGGACAGCCGGGCGTGGACGAGCATAATATGGAGGGGGCGCCTGTCAAGTCCGTGACCGTCGTGCAACAAGATCTGGAGGCGCGTGGCGGGCGCTGGGCCACAGAGCGGTGACTCGCCCTGCCCTCGCCCGGATCCGACGACACAAGCCATCACCTCCCCGTCAAATTCCATCTGCCCATCATCCCCTTGACAGTTCCTTTCGCCCCCTACCCGTTCACACACGTCGCTACAACCCCCATTCGCCGACCAGCCAGCCCCAGCCCAGTCGCCAGGCACCCTCTCAGTCCGCGAATTCGTCCTCGCCAGCGGCGTCCGCGTCAAATTCACCGCCTCATGCGTCCAATCCCTGGCCCATCAGACATTGCGCAAATTGCTGCAAATTGGCTGATGGCGGTGATCTCGTCATCATCTTGATTCCAGACACTTTGCTTCCGCGGACTCATCACTCCGGCTGAACGGATGTCGTCTTGTTCCCTGATCACCTCGCCCTGCGCCCTGATCGTGCACATTACAACGTCAAAATAACATTTCATTACGTGCTACGCCGAGCCACGACACTCAGATCGGCCGCGAGCCACCGCAGCCACCGTCAGCCACCACGGCAGCAGCCACCGTCCTCCCGTGTCAGCCTCGTCCGCCAGCCATTAAATATGCCCACCGCGTCGTCTGGACGCAACCCTTCCATTCTCTTGCCCACACCCACATTCCTTGTCTACCCACATTCCTTCCAGCATGCGCTCTCTGACCGTGATCACCACTGTGCTCTTCCTGGCACAGCAATCCTCGGCAGCGCCTCTGCGCGCGTCCCCCCTACCTGCCTCTTACGTGGCCGATAGCGGCGCCGTCACCTCAGGTAAATCGGCAGCTCAGCCCGTCTCCGACGCTGTTCGACCGGTGCGTATTCCCTTCTTCCGACCCATCAGCTGACGGTCTATATGCATCGCCCAAGCTCGAGGCCGCCCAGCCACCGTGCAACATCGGACGCACCGATGTGGCCAACCCCGATAATATGTTCAACGGACTTCATGACGGCAAGGTTCAACCCCCGCACGCGTTGCCCCGGTCCCAGTATGCCCAGCTGCTCCAACAATGTATCTCAAACCCAAACTCCAACCACGCCGCTGATGTGCGAGATCAGGCGAGCGTCATTGCGTTAAGAGGCGCCCCTAACCCAAAGAACACACCGATGAAACGGGCGGACACAGGCTATGCTCCGTACGCTAGCTATCCGGGATATGATGCCTCGGGCGTTATCACCGCCCCAGGCGGCTCGACGTTTTCGGACGGCGGCTCCACGGACGGCACTAATGCTGACAGTTCCAGTGGTTATGTCTCGATGGAGGGCTACGATGCCTATGCAGGGTCCGAGGGGTACAGTCCATACACAACAGCGGACAGCGTATCGCCTAGCGCCTCCAACCCTTCCACTGGCTCGGACATCCAAGGGACCACAGGCGCTCCTGCTGGTACCGGGGAGAACGAGGCAGACGGTGTGACGCCCGCTCCTGCTGGCAACGGAGAAAGGCCTTCCGGCAACAACTCTGGCAACACTATCCAGACTGCCAACAGCAAGTCTGCTGCGACAGGTGCATCGGGCGCGAATAATGGCGTCAATGCCGACGGCTCCTCTGCTTCAGATTCGAGCCCGAGTTCCGGCGTCTCTGTCACTGCAACCTCTGGAAATGGGGAAGGGACTTCCGACAATGGGTCGGACGGCACGCTTGAGGACGTGAACAACGAGTCTGCTGCGACAGCTAGCTCGGGCACGGACAACGGCGCCAACAGCGACGACTCCTCTGCCGCCAACAGCGACGACTCCTCTGCCGCCAACTCGAACGCGACCTCTGGCGTCTCTGCGACGATATCCTCCGATTCCAACCAGCCACTTGACAATGGCAACGGTTCCGCTGCAAACAACGGCGACTCCGGTCCTGACTCTGGCACGCATCACGGTGTCATTGCTACGAATGGGGACGGTACCTCGGGGGATGGTAATGACTCTGCCGCGGACTCTGCTGCCAACGGCGACAATTCCTTGGAGGCTTCGGCGAGCGAAGACGGTGACGACGACTCCGAGGCGGCTCTGAACGTCACAAACGGCGGTGATACCTCAGACAACGGTGACAACAGCGACGACAACGGCGACGACTCCTCTGGTCTGACAGCCACGGGAGACGTGGCTGTCCCCTCTGTGTCTTCTGACACTGGCGATACTTCTGCGACTTCTGGCGACTCGGACACTGTGAACGATGGGTCGAGCGGCGACGACGCGGCGACGCCCGCTTCGTCTGGTGGCACCTCGACCGACGGTGTGATTGCCACAGGTAGCGTGGATGGTCCTGTTGCGTCTTCTGACGACGACACTTCTGGGATAGCCAGCGATGTGCCCGACGACGTTGACGCGACGGCAACCGCCTCGTCTGACGACTCCTCCGCCGATGGAACGACGACCGACACAGGCTCCACGGGATCTAGCGCAACCTCTAGCACAGGCGATGCTTCAGTCAGCTACGAGGGATACTCAGCGAACGGCTTTGAACGGTTCTCAGGTTTGCACTCGGGTGCTTCTACCAAAAGTCCTGGCAGCACCACCGGGACTTCTAGCGGCGACTCGAATGTTTACGATGCGGTCGAGTCCATTGGCAGCGGGGCAGGAGACCAGAGCGACAACACAGCCAGCACGTCCACCCACTCAAACGCTATCTGCATCGGCTTGATCTGCCTCGACGTCGGCCTTGGGGACGACTTGTCGGAGAGTGAGGCAGTGGCGACCGTGCCTGCTCTGGGTATTACCTCATCGTCGGACAAGTGCGACTCGAACGGCGATGTGAACCTCTGTGTGAACCTGGGCTCGTGATGCATACCGCTTTTGTAGAATGGATGAGTCTGGAGTTCTCCCTGGATAATGCATTGCCCCTGAGGAGGCCTGGACACGGACATGAAATGATTCACCGTCTGTACGGCAGAGAGTGAAGCCATTGGATATTGCGCGAACTGCAATACTATGGTATTCGACTCCTCAAGGGACTCCAAATTGAACGTTCGTTGAACATTAATGTAAATGGACTCAATAGTACCTTGGTTCCAGCGGTGCTAGGACGCCCATATGCGGCGTCACGAAGCTACTGTACAAAAGCTACCGATCCCGGTCACGCTTCATGTACCTTGCCCAGATCATGCCACCGTGACGAACCACACGCAACGCGTGTCAGTCCGCCATTCTAGGACGTCTTATCCCAGGCCACCGTCAGCTCTTGCAGCAGTTCAACGATGAGTATCATGTATGGCCCGCCTGCTATCTCCAGTCGCGTGCTCAGGAGGCGCACGCGAGCTGCTCTGTAGTACGTCCGAACCAGGATCATTTCAGAGATCAACAAATACACATCAACCAGGAGCCTCCTCATCTCATAAATCAGACACTGGCAGAGACACCTGAACAGCCCACCATCCTCGTGTTGAGTTACCGCTGTCCGGGCTCCTTCAAGTTCAGGGTTTTAGCCCCTGTGGGACCAATAATTGATGTCCGGGGCGTTTAGAAAACACGCACCCTAGGTCGTTATCTCCTGCGGTGATTCGTCGTATGTTCAGTCGGTGGTGTCAGTCTGTGTCTTCCAATTCAGCAAATTGCACTGACAGATTTAACGCGTTGAGAGGGTCCAAGCGTCTCGTTCTCGGCTTTCAATACCCATCCGGCACGGTCTTTGCCCACGCGATCGACGGACAACCTAGTGTTCAGACGACCACTTGGATGTGCCTGGTAGCTGACGCCACGAGGGATGCGTAATACCGAGGGGCCTGTCGAAACTTGAAGACGATGCTTCCCATCACTGCATACAAGGCAAGTCATCATCTGGGCCCATTCGAAGCTGCTTCGTAGGAGAGGAGCCGACATCTTTCGGAGGTTGAGTCAGCACAATATAGCGTGCATCGGGTTGAAAAGAATTACGGGGAGGACACAATACATCGTCTCCTTTGGGTTTGGGGAGAATGACTACCCCCCACTGGCAGGAAGTTGCATCTGCATCACGTCGCGAAGAGAAGCGGAAAAGAGATCCTGGCCATACCGTGTTGGACCGTAACTCCATCTGCGCTAGATGCTTCTTGAAACTTCCGTTGCACCTGATGTAGAGGAGTAGAACATCGTGCGTCATGAAACAACTATGGATTAATCGGGCACCGAGCAGCTGGGACCCAGGAGCTCACTGCGGTCATTTGCATCAGTTGCTACGCAGAATGTGGGATCGCAAAGAAGTGATGCATGTCCTGAGTGCGACCAAATCGCGGGGGTTGGAGGCCAGGGCTTGGCGGACCCAAAACCGTGGTAGTAGCACGGACTCGGACAGGACGTTGCTACGCCAGAGACAGATGGGAGGGCAGCCGTTATCGGAGCCCAACGTCTTTCGCTCAATCCGTCAATGAGTCTGTCAGGCTAAATGACTACTCGCGCGACGTTTCCGCGGCTAGTAGTAGTGTAGGACGCGAGTCTGAGTCGGCCCTTCCGGAGTTATTGCGCGGCGTCCGTAATCCTGGGTATCAATGCTGTAGAGAATAAATCATATACAGCTGCCACTTTTCAGGGCGGGGGTCATTTTCAAACAGTCGCAAGCGCGGGAATGACTACATGCGTACATTGCGGCAGTACTACTACTGACTTGACATGACCGGCGAGGTATCATAGTACTAGCCGCCCTCGACTTCATTGAAGTACCACCGTCATATTGAACTGTTGCCGCTCTGCAGCCAAGCAATTTCATCAGAATTACAGATACAGAGACGTCTTTCATATTTAACTGACAATAGCGCACTCCAGGTTGGGTAGGCTATGGGGCTCGGAGGATGTCTGAGGCTGAGGCTGCAGGCCTAGGATTGGACAGTCGATGAAGTCGCCGGTCGGAGCGCTCGCTAGATCTGAGATCACGATGATCGCCCGTAGGAGGCGCTTGCATCACGTGAGATACACGCTGGACAGTGGACACGAACGCTGTGTTTGAATTTCGCATCTTGTTTGTTTCGGTCCTTCCAGCCACCGCAAAGCCCTCAGCGCACCGCGCGCGCAGCCTCCACACACAGCCGTCGCTACTCCTGGCGGCAGTGCTCTGATTTTTGCTGCCGAAGCACCACAGACATGCTCAGCCTCCGTCTGACACAACGCCGCTAATCTCATTCGCAAAGCTCGACACCAACAACCCCCAAAATGCCTGATGACCTACCCGATGAACTCCTTTTCTCCGCCGCCTTCCCGCTTCCTTTTCGTGTTCTTAGCCTCGCGGGCTTAGGGATCCTCGGCTGGGCCGCGAATGTACACGGCTTGCATGTGGCAGGCATCGATGCTCGCTCCGTACTGGATCTGGACTCCTACGACCCACGCTATGGCCGACGCGCTTTGGGGGCGGGCGACCGTCGCGGAACGGGTTGGAAGTACTTCCAGAGCCCAGTTTCTGTCTACCGTCCCGTGTACAGCCTTTTCGTGGCGTATGCAGCATGGGTCGCCACAAACTGGCTCCTGTATAGGTACGCGACGTACGTGGATCTGGATCGCGTGGACACGTTCAAGTTCATCCCCGCCATCGCTGCCCTCGTGGTCACGATGGTCCTCGTGTCCCCGTTCAACATCTTCGAGAAGGCAGAGCGCGATAGGTTCCTGCAGTAAGTGGTCTCCGACCCGGTGTGCGCGTGCACAACTGACGTCACGCGGCTTGTGCCTCAAAAGCGCGATACACAGATGTCTATTACCCTCTCCACGTCGCGTTCACTTCACCGAAGTCGTGTTCGCCGATGTTTTCACCTCGTTTGCGAAAGTTCTCGGAGACCTCTGGCTTTCGTTCTGGATGCTTATGCCCGGGGGTAGCTTGCTTGTTCTGCCGACACAGGGAGGTCTTGCAAGTTGGATAATGCCAACGTTAATGAGGTGCGTATTGATCCCGTTACACAGCGTTATCATTCAGCTGAGTATGTTGTTGATGGCCAGTGTGCCATACGCCGTTCGCTTCAGACAATGTCTCATAGACTATAGAGCCCCGGGCAATACTAGCTCAAGGCCGCTGTACAATGCATTGAAATATGCGACATCATTCCCCGTCATCTATTTGTCTGCCGCTCAGCGCATCGTTGTCTCAGAACTGCAAGCCGTCAAAGGCGATGCCGTCGTGCATGAAGCATGGCACGGAGAGCATGCCTTGTTCCGACTCTGGTAAGGATGTCACGGAATATTCGCGTCGTCGCTTTTGACTGAAGCGTCCGCCAGGCTCTTCGCAGCAGTTGTGAACTCCTTATATTCATTCTGGTGGGACGTTACACATGACTGGGGGTTCGACCTCCTCGTTCCCCGTTCCTTCGCTTCCGAGGGCGCCCCTCGTCGGCCGCATCGGACATCCTCACCTCCACGCCCACTCGTGCTCCCTGGCCTGTACTCTCCGGTCGCAATGCTCACTCCCGGACCCGCTCCTGCCCTCTCCGACTCCTCCAAGGAATCGCTGCTTCCGCACGAGCGCGAACACCCTGGCTTACGCAGGTCACCAGCCTCATGGCATCCGTTCGGTCTGCGACCGAAGCTGCTCTTCCCATTACCCGTATACCCATTCGCCATCGTAGCCGATCTCATACTGCGGTTGACGTGGAGTGCGAAGCTGTCCAGTCATCTGCACACGTATACCGACGGCGACTTGGTCATTTTCTGCTTCGAGCTCGCGGAGGTTGTAAGAAGATGGATGTGGGTATTCATACGCGTGGAATGGGAGATCGTGAAGGAAGGAAAGGATGGGCACGTGCGCAGTCCCCCTTTGGGCCCGACACTTGGCCTCGGTGACGAAGATTACGAGATGGTCGCTGCGAATCAGAACGGTCATGACGGACCTGATGGTTAGTATTATAACAATGCTCGGTGTAGACCGGAACTATATATATGTGTGTACGCGGGTAAGCTTCGTTCGGCTGTGCCTTGAGCGCAATGTAGTTTATTAACATTCAGAGCCTGCAGATGCGACTATAATGGTATTTAATACACCGCCATACGGGAACAAAGCCACGATTAGGTGACGTGGCATCCGAAATTGAATAACGGCCGTTCCTCCGCAAGGCACGCTCACATCGTCTTCATTTTCGGACTTGATGTGGTCCGTTCAGGATGACTGAATCACATTGTACATCGGAACGGCTCGTGACGCCCAGGCTACCCACCGCAGTGCGTCCACAATGTCATTACTATTGCCATGCACATATTGCGGCCGGCCGGAACGGCGGACCAGCGCACGGGCGTGCCCACCCATGCGAACTTGTGCTATAGCCACCTTCCTCGCATGCAGAGTTCTCCTGGTGAGTGGTCTCCACGACGGCCGCCTCGGAGAATATCGTGCACTTCGACATGATGCTCTGACACAGCAAGCGGGCGCCTTCAGCGGATTTCTCCCAAGGTATCTAATCTGTCCCTTGCCTGAACACTGTGGGCGTGGATGCGGAACACCGGGTGCCCAAAAGGGAGGGGCTCTCAGCAGCATGACCAGCTAACGCGGCGGTACTCGCTATCAGATGACCAAGGAACAAGCGTCTCACCAGAGACAAGGAGCAGGCTGCAGCGCGGGGTCGCGGTCCTGACCGACGCAGACCCGACGCATCCGATGGGTGCCCAGCGGGCTGTGGGCGGACTGTTGATGCCCACACGCGTTCGTGGAATGTCGGAGCGCGACGCCGGCTGAATGTCCCCGCTGGCCTTGCCGCCGTTCGATCACCAAGCAATCAGCGAGCCAGGAAGAAGTCGGCGCGCGCTGCCCACGTGCTCTTGCCATTCCGGGCGACAGTGGCTGAGGATGTCCTCCTGCTCGTCCTCCGAGCCCACAACTGCCCAAGCGCGCCCGCCGGGCGCACGCGAAGCCTCTTTGAGCCAGTCTGGCCCGTCAGCAGGCCTGTCACCGATGACTGGTCTTCTTGGCTATACGCTCTCCCGCTCTCACCCTCTCCAATATATATAGGGCACCTGACTGCACCGAGCCTCTCATCCAATCTACCTCCCGCCCTCTCACACACCACCTAGCCCCCCAAGCTCACCCAGTACTCTATCATGAAGGTCAGTGTCCTCCCTCCCCTCTTGTTTCCTGTCATCCGATCGTGACGCCTCTCGACAGGTTTTGGCTATCCTGTACCGTGGCGGTGAGGCTGCTCAGCAAGAGCCCCGTCTGTTGGGTACCATCGAGAACCAGGTATGTAACACCCTGCTTCGCAGAAAAATATGTAACTGACAGCATCCTCAGCTCGGTATTCGCTCATGGCTCGAGTCTCAAGGCCACGAGTTCATCGTACGTAGTGTCGCTGCATTTGCGCCATTTCTCCCGAACGAATATCTCCTATAGGTATCCGACGACAAAGAAGGCCCGAACAGCGACTTCCAGAAGCACATCGTCGACGTGAGCATGATATCTCCTTCATATGATGTCGATCACTAACGCGTCGATCCCCTAGGCGGAGGTGCTGATCACCACTCCCTTCCACCCTGGGTATCTCACCCGTGACCTCGTTGAGAAGGCAAGTCTTCTGCTTCCATGTGCAGCACTAGCAGCATCTCACCTTACGGTCATCGACAGGCCAAGAACCTCAAGCTTTGTGTCACCGCTGGTGTTGGCTCCGACCACGTTGATCTGAATGCGTGTGTCGAGAAGGGCATTCAAGTCCTCGAGGTCACTGGCTCCAACGTTGTATCTGTCGCAGAGCACGTTGTCATGAGCATCCTCCTGCTTGTTCGCAACTTTGTCCCCGCGCACGAGATGATCGAACGCGGTGACTGGATGGTCTCCGAGGTTGCTCGTAACGCGTACGACCTCGAGGGCAAGGTTGTCGGCACGATCGGCTGTGGCCGCATCGGTTACCGTGTCCTCCAGCGTCTCACACCCTTCAACTGCAAGGAGCTCCTCTACTTCGACTACGCTGACCTTCCTCCTGGTATGTTTAGCCTGATTAAGTCACTCCACGTTGTGCTGAGGTCTGCATAGATGCTGCTAAGGCTATCAGTGCCCGCCGTGTTGCGGATCTCAAGGAGATGGTTGCGCAGTGCGACATCGTGACGGTCAACGCCCCTCTGCACGAGGGTACGCGTGGCCTCGTCAACGCCGACCTCCTCAAGCACTTCAAGAAGGTGAGTCAGTCGTCTCCAGTACCCTGTCAATATCTAATCACCCATGTGATCAAGGGTGCGTGGCTCGTCAACACTGCCCGTGGTGCTATCTGCGACAAAGACGCTGTCGCCGCTGCGCTGAAGTCCGGTCAAATCAACGGCTATGCTGGCGATGTCTGGAACGTGCAGCCCGCGCCGAAGGACCACCCCTGGAGGACGATGAAGAACCCGATCGGCGGCGGCAACGGCATGGTGCCCCACTACTCCGGCACGACGCTCGACGCGCAGGCACGGTACGCCGCTGGCACGAAGCAGATTATCGAGAACTACTTCAGCGACCTGCCCCAAGAGCCCGCGAACATCATTGTCGGCAAGGGCAAGTACGAGTCGAAGGCGTACGGCCAGCGGTGAGCATTGTGAAACCACGTACGCCCCTATGCGCCGCCGCCTATGCCGGGTCTTGGTTGTCGTGTAAGATACCTCTGTATTTCGTAGCGTTGTAATGAATAACCACCTCCTACTGCTCGTGATGTCCTTGGATAAATGGGTCTACGTATCATAATCAGGCCCTGTGTCCAATGTTGGCGGCACGATATTCCACCGAAGAAGTTGGGGCGCAGAGCTTCGTGAGGTGAAAACTCATTCGAGAAGGGTTCTGTCTGTCGCATCCTGCTCCTTCCGCTCTCACATGGCCTAGTTGTTCGTGTCTTCTAGACTGATTCGCACTGAAAACCCCCGCTCCGTAGACGACTCAGAGAAAAGGCTTTGGACCGGCTCTGCGAAGCTGCAGGTAATGTACTATCGGGAATGACGTTCAGTCTCGACAAGATGAGAGACTTCTCGCTGATCGACTACAGCTCCCCAACTTCGAATTGTAGTACGGGACCGCATGGTTGCTGAGGAAAGGGTCCTGGAGGATAAAAATGGCATGCTCATATCAATGGGCTGTCGCAAGCGCGGTGGTGGGGGGACCGAACCATACATCGTCCGGTAAGCATGGCTGTCAACTGCTACCGGAGTTCTCGAGCAGTGGGATATAAAGGTTGCGTTAACATGCGGTCAGTCTCAGTCACACTTGGCGGAGTTGCGCTTGTCCATCGTCGCTCACCATGTCCGTTGCAGAACGAGCACAGAAGCTACGCTCTCTCGTCCAGATGCTCGCCGACTCGGCAGAGGTCGTCATCAAGGAGTGGGAGCTCGAGGAACAGACTTCAAACATAGGATCTACTCCTGAGGTCCCCCTACCCTCACCAGTCCTTTTCGAGGCCCGTCGCATCTTCGAAGGCGCGTGCGGTATGGGAGTGGACCTGATACAAGACCCGTACTTACGCCTGTCGGTGATATCTGGGTCTTTCTTCGACTCCAGAGCGCTCCGAATTGCTGCGGAGGTGCGCGTCGCAGATGTCCTGGACCAGGCAGACCCGAAGGAGGGTATGTCTATAGGCGACATCAGTAGCCAAGTTGGAATCGCGGCACAGCATCTGAGTAGGTACTAACCGTCCCGACGCGATAGATTTGAACATACTGATACTTTACAGCCCGCATTCTTCGGTGCCTGTGCGCTATACACATCTTCGAGGAGGTCAAGGAGAACTTTTATGCCAACAATGCGACGAGCCGTGTCCTAGTCCGCAACGAAGGACTGAGATGCTGGTTGATGATTTTGTCAGTGAGAGCATTTTTCTCGGTTTGCACGTCCTAACAATGGGAGACATTAGCAACAACGAGGTCTTTACAGCAGCGGACAAATTACCCGCGGTGCTGTTGGCCGGAAAGGAGAACAGCCCATGGCAAGAAGCCTATGGAGTCTCGACAGATTTCTGGCAGTGGCTAGATGAGCAGGTCCCGGGCCCGGATGGAACGCTTGTTCCGAGGCCCGAGCGCGCCATCTGGACGGAAGGCATGTGGGGGTTTGGTCTCGAGAAGGTCCAAGCTGCCGGCGTGCTCTTCGGTGAGTCGTGCATTTCATGTGGGAGAGACTCGCACTCACCACAACCAATCTAAGACTACCCGTGGGCATCCTTGGGATCCAGCACGATCGTCGATGTGGGTGCAGGAACGCGTACGTGAATCACCGCTACGATACACTCTTAATCATACTGAGAGATGTCCATCTCAAAGGGGGAGTTAGCCTAGGGTTGGCTGAGAAGTTCCCTGACCTCCGCTTCATCCTGCAAGATCGACCATTCATCATTCGAGAAGCGGAGGAAGTATGGGCCAGCGAATTACCGGAAGCCTTAAGCACGGGTAGGGTGCGCTTCATGACGCAGGACTTCTTCGAGGGACAACCCGTTCAAGGAGCAGACGTATACATCATGCGACACATTCTGTGAGCTTTGCGTGCTCACATCCGTTGTTGTACTGACCAACGCTTCCGTATCAGCCATGACTGGTCAGATGACGAGTGTGTCAAAATCCTCACTCACCTGCGCAAAGCGATGGGCCCCAACTCAATCATACTGAACATCGACAATGTCATGCAATCCACCGCAGGGTCGAGCTTCCTGAAGGCGGCACCGCCTCCGCTGCCTCCGAACTACGGATGCGCCCATTCGCAGTCCAACCACCACGATTTGTACATGTACAGCATGTTCAACGGAGCCGAGCGCACTGTGGAACAGTTCGATGCGCTGGCAGCCCGCGCGGGGCTCAAGGTGACCAAAGTCTGGGAGTGCCGGAGCCTGTCTTCCATCACGGAGATGAGACTTGCCGACTAATGGGACGTCGTTGGTGAGAACAACGTAGTAGAGTTGCTTTGCATATGTACGTCTAGGAGCAAAGAGTGTCAGCATAGGAACAACCCTTTGTATGCACCATAGCCGCGTCATCCCGCACTTGATCTCGTAGAATTGGATCCCGTGGACGGGACAGAGACCTACTAGTGATACACTGATTAAGGCTACGTTACATTGATGAGCAATAAGTTACCCGAGCACCCATGTCCGCAAACTAGATTGCGATCAGTCTTCTTTCTTGACACCATATACCACAAGCTGTTCCTTCAAGAACTTCTCGAGCTTGATCGAATTCTTGTAGTATACCGTCCCCTCCGGATTGTATGTTCGACAATTCTCTAGAACGAGTTGAGCATCCGCCAGGAAGGCGTCCAAATTCGAATACTGGTTGGTCTCGAGCTTGTGCTCCATCGTGCTGAAGTCTGTCAGTGAAGAATGATGAACGTGGATGTCCTGTGTTCAAACAAGGCGTACATACCCATCGGCTGTTTGATGACTTCGTAGTAATCCGGAACCTCGTCAGCGTTTACAGGCTGCAGGAACGGCCAGGCATTTGAATGTTCGGACAAGCTGCTCAGAAGCTTCTCCATGAGATTGTGTTCCGCGCCCTTGCCATTTGACCGTATAGGGCTGCCGGCCAATGAGTACGTATCGATCCCAGATAGAGATGGAAACATACCCCGTCATCATAGATGGCGTCCAGCCACTTTCCCCTACAGGGATACGATGAATGAGTCATCTTTGTCAATGTAATTGAATAGACATACGCAGTCCAGGGACATCCTTTGGATCAACTGTGACTCCCTCAGGCGCACCTTCTCGGAACTGGGGCAGGCCGTCATACACGATATGGCTCCTGCTCATCTCCCTGATCTTGCTCAGAATCGCTTCTCGCTGCTGCAACATGATTTCCCGAGTGTTCAGATAATCGACCTTGTCAAGCATCGTGCACTGCATGATCGTCCCGCCTTCGTAGTCCTTAATGTATCCCGCCCAAACAGAACGATCGAGCGTGATATCCTTCGAGAAGCCTTGCTTTCGGAAGTAGCCTACTGCGTAGTTGTCTGCGTATGTGAGGAAGTGCCACATGTCGGGATAGGTGTTCCTGATATGCGCCTTGAAGTGGTCCATCAGCATGGAACCATATCCCTAGGGATCACAGGTCAGCATGAACTCCGTGAAGCAATGTGAATAGCAAGTGCACCTTGACTTGGTCAACAGACGTTGTGGCAAAGAAGGTAATCTCTGCGAAGCCTCGATGAGGGAAAGGTCTGTAACATATCCCGCCGACCACCTTGTATCCTCGCTTGATGATTGCGAGACACTTGGAGTTCGTGTCGTAGACGAGTCGAGCGATGTATTCTCGTGGCATCTTTGGGAGTTGTTTCTGAAACAGCGTCTTCAACCCTGTAAGAATGACCAAGGAGCGAGGTTGTCGATCGTTCTCCACCGCCACGACCCTGATGATGCCCTTGCGCAACTCAACGTGGGCCATTTTTTCCGGTTTAAACGTTGGCTATGCACCAGCGCATCAGCATCCCAGTATCTACGCCGCAGAATTGACTCACCGTGCCAGAAGACGGGGCAGTTGCGTCCACCGTTACACCCGTAGCAAGACGCATAAGTTGACCCTCGTCCATTCTATCTTCGACCTTCACTTTCATCTCGCCATTGGCACCGTCAGCAGGGCGCATCATATCCGCTTTCTGAGCCTCTGAGGGCGGGGCGATGGACACCGGCGCAGTGCGTGCTTGTGTCTTCTTCGCCTTCTTGTTAGAGGGTTGCTTGCCGCTACGCTTGTGTCCGGTGGCACGTGAGGTTGAACTACCCTCGACTTTGTTAGCTGTGGCCGGCGCGGGCGCGGTTTTGCGCGCGGCGAGTGGTCGCTCTTCCTCGTCATCGTCACTGCTAGAGCTCAGGGACGACTCTGAGAACGACACCCGGCGCTTCTTCGTTGGTGGTTCAAGGACATCCGCTGCGTCACTAAGAAACGAGGACGCCGGTGAGGATGGCGCTTTCTGTGGAGATGATGGGACTAAACAACGTGTCAGCGGACACAGGCCTCGCAAACGATGAACTTACCGAGGTCGTTCAGGGCGTCGGATATTGAACTTGCGGGAGACGGAGTTCGCGCAGGGAGGGTCATCTGTTGTCTGAGACTGTCGATATCATCGTCCGCGTAGTCGAAGTCAAGCAGTTTGTTAACATCCTAGTAGAGGTTCTAGGCCTCAGCAAGTGATGTATTGAGGACCCAAGCGTCCATACCTGGCGAACAATGAGTTACGACATCCTGGGGGACCCGATATGTACATTGATTACTTACCTCAAGTAGCTCATCCAGTCGGACTGCGGCGCGACCTCTCCGTGCGAACTCCTCCGCACCGATTGAAGACGGGTCCGCGCCGTGCTCCACGACGCCATGACCGCACCCACAGGTATCGAGATACTTCTCGGCACGGTCATCGTGTGCTTGCGACTCCGAGGGTGACGAGCCTTGTTGTGCACCTGAATCAAGTACGGCCTCAACGCCTGGTGGTGGTCGGAGTCCTGGACACGAGGAGCACGCGGAGCAGTTCGAGTGCCGAGCGATCTTGACAGCCAGCAACTCGTCTGAAAGCTGGGTTATCTCACGCGGAGCAGGGTATAACACTTTCATGGTCGTAAGCGAGGCACAGCAGCTTGGACGAGGGGCCCTCGACGTCGTCGGCGACAGCGGCGGCGGCAGGAGCGCAACTCGAGACCTCGGACACTCCATGCAATCAAATTCGCCCTTGCACGCCTCCAAGGGTCTGCCTCACTAACACAAAGCCACAAACCGATACATACATATATTCCACTACAGCTCGCTAGATCAGCTTGCAGCCTAGTAATATTCGTGTTGGCTGGTGCTGCTGCATGTCTTCCGACGCACTTGTCGCCGGCGCGCCGTTCGCGGTCGTTGGGCCTTGTCGCGTCGGGAGACCTCAGACACCGCTCCTTCCCGCAGCGCAAGCACTGCTGTCTACAGCTATCCCCACCTTCGACGGGGGAATCACCCAATGGACCTCAGCAGCTCAGCTAGGTAACGCCATTCGAATCTCGTATGCTAGCACGTCGCCTCAACTCCTGGTGAGCCCGGACATGAGCGAGATGCAGCTGACATCACTGAGTTTTTTGAAGCGCCTCGAGCTTCCATGCAATTAGACCGTGCGACGCCCATCTTCTTGTCCTCGACGACTAGGTCCTGGTACCGTATTATTCATCTAGATGTTCTGACAGACAGACATAGATATCCTTCATCCTCACGTCACGTATACCCGCTAGAAAAGATGATATCACCCACTCAAAATCTGTGCTGGGTCGTCGCTCTGGTCTCCGCTCTGTTCTGTCTTCCTCTGGCCCTGGCGACAGACTGGATTGACTACCCATCTAGTGGACATGCTACTATGACTCACTACACTCTCCCCGAAAACTTCATAGCCGCTTGTGGCTGTACCGCAGACAGTACGCACTACCCGACTGCTGCGATGTCACAAATGGCGTATGGCAGCAGCACCGCGTACGGGTCTGGATGTGGCCGGTGCTTTAACCTGACACTAGTGAACGCTTTTACAAGCGTTCCGCAATTCTATCCTCCGGAGGATGAGCGGAGCAGCGTTGTGGTGAAGGTGACGGACCTATGTCCGCTGGGAGGGAATGGATGGTGCTCGGCGACGACAAGCAAACCGAATGCGTAAGTAATCATACTGTGACACTGAGAGCACATCTAATGAGAAAACACAGAGGTGGCGCGTACATCAACTTTGATTTAGCATGGCCATCTAGCTCAATACCCGATAATTTCTTTCCATCCAATGTGACTCTATATGGTGAGTCTCTGCGTCGCATGAATGTAGACGTCGCTGATGTGCTGGCTATGATAGGCTTTGCTGTGAGTATGATACGCCTCCTATAAGCGTGAGCAGCTTCATAATATTTCGGATCACAGGACTTTGGCGTGTGGAACGTAAGCTACCAGGAGGTAAACTGCACACAAGATTGGGAAGGGGGCAAGAGTGCCGCTGCGCTAGGCAGTGTCCCAGAAGGTGGGAGCGTATGCTGTCCAGCGAATCCATCAGTACGTCTACCAGCCTCTACATCATGTACAAAATTGCTGATGAGTCTATCGTCGCAGGGCAATGACACTTGCCCTTCTTACTCTGATGCTAACGGCATCCCGTGAGTCCCCTCGTCTGTCTTGTCATGCCGACGCTCACGCTGATGTACTGGCCCCAGCCCTTATACCACAACTTCGTTGGCAGCGTTGACCGCTCCATCGACAACTGCTGTACACGTCTCTCTGGCATGCACGGCCATCTTGGTCCTCATATCTCATCTGCTATAGCTGGGTTTGGACGATATATTGAGGGTTTCTTGGTGATATCGGAGGTAGACAATCTATTGTTGTATTTGCTATAATAAGCTCGCGGCCGAGCCGTCCGAGCACCGATTTCATCGGTCGTTCTTCCCAGTTGTTCCCCATTTTGATATCAAGCGTGCGGTAGTTTATCTTAGGTTCAGGAGGCTGCCGCGCCGTAGATGAGGCTCAGGAATAGAAGGGGTTGCTAGTTTCGGAGAGCTTGTGTCGAATAGGCTTAAGGCCGGCGAGAACTCAATTGACAGAGGTTTTGCATGGGTTCATGTGCTCTCCTCCGACTTCTGTCTATCGGCAAGCGGAACTTTGCATGTCCTGTCGCGCGACTGTCGTGTGATGCATAGGAGAACCTCGAGTCTCCTCGATTATTGACCGAGATGAAGAAAACGAGGCCTACAGAGAAGTGACTCTGCCCGCCGACGAATGTGCGGTCGGGACTCGATCGGGCAGTGACACTACTGAAGACGCGATGGTATCCGGCGCCCGGCGCCCTGGTTGGATTTGTGGCACACGCAATCCGACCGCCAGTGCAGCAGAACTTATTTCCGTGCACCTCCGAGTCAGACATCACCAGGCCTGTACGCTCACAGCACTGCAGACTGCTCATCCTTGACGATGGCTACAACGGGAGACGCGAAACCAACCTACATCTACAAGCTTATCCCTTCCTCCGCGCCTCCGCCTGATCATCCCTTGCCGGCCGTCCTCCCAGTAAGCGAGCTCGACCAATCGTCCGGCTTCATCCACCTCTCCACCTCGAGGCAAGTCCCGAACACCCTCAAGTTCTTCTTCGCCGACGAGCTGCGCGTGCACGTTCTCCGCCTCGCGTACGACCCGCTAGAGGAGAAGAAGCTTATCCGGTGGGAGGATCCGAAGGCGGAGGTCTGCGGCCCGCGCGGCGGGGAAGGGATGTTCCCCCACCTGTACAACGGGCTGAAGCTGGGCAAGGACGAGGTGGACAGCGTCGCGACGTGGGAGAGGCGTGATGGGGAGGGATGGGAGGACGTGACTGGGCGGGAGCAGAGTTGGTTGATCTACTAGGGCGCGCGCTGACCGATAACGCGACCCTGCACGTTGGCGTAGTCGATTGACGTGCTGCTTGTACTCCGCGAACGTTGTAGGTCCATGCAGCTCGATCGTCTCAGGGGACGAAGCGTGTTCGATCGTGATCGCCGCATCACAGTCTACAGACGGTAGCCGGCTTGCTCTCGTGAGGTGTGGATCCATGTGAGAGCCGAAAGCCAGTACCGTACATTAGGCTTGTACTGCACTGCACCGCATTAGCATTGAACCCTTGGTTTCAACATGGCTTGCTCGGTGCAAATGATTGCGAGCATACGGGGAACGAATAGGTATGACATGACAACGCCGGAGAATGTATTGATGATGCAATGTCTACAGGAGGGAACGAGCGACGACTGGGTTGGAACACCAGGATAATTACTTCTCCAAGTCACGGTTTGCGGCCACCTTGCGGTAGTGAGCACGCTCACGCCGCCACTCTGCGAACCGCTCGAAGATGCGCCGGCCACCAAGGTACCAGAAGAGGGCACCCGCACCAAGGAGCGCGAAGAGAATGAACATGTATGTGAAGAAACCGGGCGCAGGTCTCGCCGCGATGTGGTCCATGTCAGTAGGCATGTCTTGGTCTACTGGCTCGGCGGTGGGCACGGCTTCTTTGTCCTCAGCGATCTCGGGCACAGCGGGGACTCCTGTTGCGTCTGTGCCAGCAGCGGTAGTCGTCTCTGGCGATGGATCGATGACCTGTAAGCAACAAGATGCGATTCGTTCATATCCGACTGTACTGCACAAATAGACGGCTGGCCGTTAAAGCTCGCCGCGAAGAGGCACCTGGTTGCCGTTCTCATCTACCGGCAGTTCGATCGGCAGCTGAAGCAAAACTCGCATTAATAACTTTGATCGGTATGCAGATGAAGGCAGACACTACCTCTCCACAGTCAGCGATCACAACGTCCTCCACGGGACGGTCGTTTCTGCCTTTTGCAACGTCCTCTGTGAGAGTTTGAGTGTTACAAGACGGATCTGGTTAGAGCAACATGGAGCATACCAATGATAGTCACGATGTCCATGCCTTCCACGATTTCGCCAAAGACGACCTGCGCAGATCGTGAGTATCGCGGAGCGCCCAAGACACCGACACTTACATGCTTGCCGTTCAACCAGCTGGTCACAGCAGTCGTAATGAACTATTGTCCATATCTGTGAGTTACCTGAGCAAACGAGACAGCGAAGTGCTCACAAATTGAGAGCCTGTCAAAGCGGAGAATTAACGAGGCACCAGAAAGTCGGCAAGAACTCAATCACCATTAGTGTCCCTGCCCGCATTAGCCATGGACAGAAGACCGGGACGGCTGTGGCGCAACTTGCTAGAAGACATTGTCTGGTGAGCACTCACGAACACGCCAATGGTCGAGGAACACGTACAAGTTCTCGTCGGGGAATCTGTCACCGTAGATAGACTGATAGAGAACAAGGTCAGACGACAGGGAGTAGGAGCAGAGTCAGCCGACGAACCTTGCCGCCGGTGCCGTCGCCCTTGGCTGGAACGCGGTTCACGCTCATTCAGCGGACACACTTCGTGTACATCACGGATATAGTAGACGTACTGAAGTCACCACCCTGAATCATGAAGTTCTTGATGACGCGGTGGAACTTGGACGCCTTGTAGCCAAAGCCCTCCGGGAGCACTGTGCCATCCTTCTTCACGCCAGTCGCGAGCGCGCGGAAGTTCTCGACTGTCTTAGGGACGGTCTGGTGAACAGGTTATCAGATGTCCGTCTAAGTCAGACGGTGAAGGATGCTCACACCACCATAGAGACCGATGACAACTAGGCGAAATTGGGGATGAGATACAGGCGGAGTCATTGCAGGTTGACCTGACACGTACTTCTGCCCAAGTCCTTGTCACCATGCTTGATGTCGAAGTAGACCTTGTTCGTGATCTTCGGCCCGTTCCCAGCAGCATCAACAGATTGGGCACAGAAGAAGGCCGCTACTGTGACTAAGAGGATAGCAAGTAGTGACCGGCGGAGAAACATGGCAGCTGGGGATAGAGAAGTAGGTGAGAGTTGCTGAGCGCGTAGCCACAGCACCGACGTGGCGGCTCGTGGCGGAAAGCGGGCAGTTGCCGGGCGTGATCACGATCGAGATCGGGCTGAATTTCTCTGCCAGTCTGCTCCAGCTTACCTCCGTTCGCGAACATCGTCCTCGCAGCCATGGACGACGGGCTCGTGCTGAATCTCGCTGTCGACGAACAGACACCTGCTGGAAAGCCCGCACCGAGAGGGAAGAAGGGAGGAAGATGGACTGACCGGTAAGTAACACTACCTCTCTGAAGCACGCTTCACCTGACGCTCGCAGGGCGACAGCAAAACGGGCCGCAAAAAGAAAAGTCAGACCGGAAGGAGAGTCGATAGCTCAGAACGTCAATTCTGAGACAAGAGAGCGACCTGCAAAGCGGCCCCGTACTTCTGCTCACGTCAATGGAGCACCAATGACTGTGTCTGCGAAGCAGCCACGGCTCGCACATTCGGACGAATATCAAGACGAAGACGAGCGCACCACAGCCAGAGCTGCTCCTCGAACACAATCACAGATTATATCCTCCCTCTTCACGTCGAACCCGAAGGTGGCGCCATCAGAGACACAAAATCATACGAGGCCCGTTGGTCGCCCGAGCAATGCCCCCCTCGCAGATTCCTCGACATTCGCCGGGCTTGGACTTGATCCACTTATTGTCACCCATCTTCAGTCCAAGATGGACATTGCGAAGCCCACTTCTATTCAGAGAGCAGCCCTTCCCGCAATCTTGAGCGAGACTATGGACGATGGTACACCGAGAGACGTCTTCATCCAATCCCAGACCGGCTCCGGCAAGACACTCTCCTTCCTCCTTCCCATTATCCAGGACCTACTTCCCCTCAGCTCCCTTTCTTACATTGACCGCTCCATTGGAACCCTCGCCATCATCATTGCCCCAACGCGTGAACTTGCGAAGCAGATCTCGGACGTCCTGGAGGTTCTTCTCAAGCTCCGCCTTAGGCCCTCAGACGACTCGCCTGACGCACCTGACGGCTTCGACTCAGCACCACGCCTCACGCGCTGGCTCGTGTCCGGCCTATTGTCCGGTGGCTCGACGCGCACTCACGAGAAGGCGCGTCTACGTAAAGGGGTGCCCATTCTTGTCTCCACGCCGGGTCGCCTCCTCGATCATCTACAGAACACCTCTTCTTTCAACGTCGGCAAGTGCCGCTGGCTCATCCTCGACGAGGCAGATCGGTTGATGGAACTTGGATTCGAGGAGACCATCCAAGGCATCCTGAGAGGCTTAGAGGGGCGTCGGAGACTTGCCGTTCAAGCTGTTCAAGAGGGGAAGAGCTCAGAAGTGGGAGGCTGGGACTGGGAGCGGCAAACGCGGACGATTTTGTGTTCTGCGACAATTCGCGAGGACGTGCAGAAGCTGGCTGGCACGACCCTGAAGAACCCCATCATCATCAAGGCCACCGAAGCCGATACAAATGTGTTCGGCTCTCGCGATGCCCGGCAAGATACCGACCTCCTTTCCGTCGCTGGGAAACCCCAGCAATTCACTCCGCCGTCACAGCTGTCTCAGAAGTACGTCGTGGTTCCTCTCAAACTGCGCCTGGTCACGCTCGTCGCGTTGCTGCGATCTCTGCTTTCGTCTCAGAGCAAGCGTGGGACGAAGATCATAGTGTTTCTGAGTTCCACGGACTCCGTTGACTTCCACTGGCATCTCCTCGGCGGCACATCCATGGGCAGTGACGGCCAGGCAGACGGTTCTGCGACTTCCGACGAAGGGGAATCCGACGGCGATGCCGACGACGCAAACCGGCCACGGAAAACTGGGGCTAACTCCGCTACGGAGGGTTTGGAAACTAGATCACCCCTCCTCCCGGATACTTCTGTCTTCCGCCTGCACGGTTCTCTTCCACTACAAACCCGACTGGCCTCGTTGCGTGGATTTTCCTCTGCTTCCTCTTCGAAGCAGACGAAAGCGAATTCACCGACGTCCTCGATTTTGCTGTGTACGTCAGTCGCCTCCCGCGGTCTTGATCTCCCTCTTGTCCGCGCCGTAGTCCAGTACGATCTGCCCACAGAGGGCGGTGCGACCGAGTACGTGCATCGAGTTGGACGGACAGCCCGTGTTGGCAAGGGCGGCGAAGCTTGGAGCATCGTCTCACCTAATGAGGTCGAATGGGTCAAGTGGGTCCAGGACAAAATGCGGGGTGACACAGAACACACTGCAGGGGAAGAGAAGAAGTCCGTCTCGTTGCAGGGCGTTCAGGCGGAAGCCATTCTGCGAGACGGTTTCGGTGGTAAGGGTATTGAATACGAAGAGAGAGCCACGGATGTTCAGCTCTCTTTTGAACGATGGGTACTCAAGGACAAACACGTAGGTCATCCATGCTCCCTGACCCTTATGGTGTGCTCATGATCTACTCGAATGCGTTTAGAACGCCGAACTCGCGCGGAAAGCCTTCCGCTCGCATGTACGTGCGTATGCCACACATCCTTCGAGCGAGAAGCACATTTTCCACATCCGTCATCTACACCTGGGGCACTTGGCTAAGGCTTTCGCGCTGCGCGACGCTCCGACTGCCGTTGCAGCTGGGTTCAAAGCTAATCCCAAACCGAAGGCAGGGAAACAACGACGCAAACCCTCTGTCGCCTCGAAACAGAGAATGCCAGACGGGGATGACGGTGTCGACGTCGCGGAAACAGAGCGACGCATGGAAAAGGTGGTTCGCGAACAGGGTCGTCTCACAAAGAAGGGCGGAAAGATGGTCAGCTCTGGTGCGGCCGAGTTCCAGATCGCTGGTGGCTACGACCTCGAAAAGCTGGCACAGGGGATGCGGACATGAATCATATGTCCATTCGTTCGTTTCATGTACTGTACGCTTGATTCCTTGACTACATACTACAGCTCTCGATTACTCTCAGGATTACTGGAATGTGCATGCTTTCGTCAACTTTCAATCACAGCGCACCCATCCGCCACAGGCTGCTTAGTCATATGTTCGAAACCTAATATGGTAATATCTAGCGGTTTTCTGAGTCGATTGTCTTCTACATTGCGCTCATCGTTCTCCTCCATCGCGTCCCCGTAGCTTTTCATATGGCTGGTCATAATACGCCCAAAGACGAAGGCCACCAGGATCCACCACCGATTACGCCAGGAGGGGCATATAGTATACAGGTGAGCCCATCAAGCGACTACGTGGCACCGCCACAACGCTTACGCGTCTCTCAGACGGTGTCTGTAGGCTGCAAAGTCTATGCTCGTCGCAAGACTCCCGACGGCGAGGAGGAGGAACGACTTGCAGAGATCCTTTCCATACGTGACAAGCCAAGTGGCACATACGGTGGCCACCCGAAGCGCGTCGTCAAGGAAGAGGAGTCTCAGGACCCTGCCGACAGACTCGAGTTTTTCGTGCACTGGGACCAGTTCAACAAACGGTTGGATGACTGGATCTCGGGCTCTCGGCTCGTTCTGAGCAGAGACCTTGAGTGGCCGCGACCCAAAGCACCCCCTTCTGCGAAGAAGTCAGCCGGAAAGAAGGCGCCGCCAGGGAAGAGCCGTGCTCAGTCTCTGCTCAAAAAGGCGGCTACGTCTAACGCTCTGTCGCATTCTAAATCCGTGAAGACTGAGCCGGAGACACTCCCTGGTACGCCGACGTTTGAAGGCGCACCTAGCCCATCCCCTGCTCTGAACGTCTCCTTGAAGCGGAAAGTCCCACATGACGAGGAGGAGGAGGACGACGATGATGCGGACCTGGACGCAGACGCGGACGGCGAGATGGATGTAGATGCTGAAGGGGAGGAGGTGCTCGATCTTGATGCTAGTGGCACACCACCGCCGCCTGCGCCCCTTGCTACGTTCAGCAAAGAGCAGGAGATAGAGAAGCTACGGACATCTGGCTCCATGACGCAGTCCATCTCAGAGATTGCACGGGTGAAGAATCTGAACCGCCTACAGATCGGGAAACACGAAGTCGACGCGTGGTACTTCAGTCCGTACCCTCGCGAATACGCTCACCTGCCGGTACTGTACCTTTGCGAATTCTGTCTATCCTGCTTTCCTAGCCAGTTCATGCTCTCTCGACATCGCAAACGGTGCACCCTGCTCCATCCGCCGGGGAACGAGATCTATCGCCACGAGGATATTTCGTTCTTCGAGCTGGATGGCAAGAAGCAGTTGGCTTGGTGCCGAAACCTGAGTTTACTGTCCAAATGTTTTCTTGACCAGTACGTGTCCTTTACCTTCGCTGATACCGCTGTGCTTACTGTCTATCAGCAAAACCCTGTACTACGATGTCACTCCTTTCCTGTACTATGTCATGGTACGTCGTGCTATCTTTGTCGACGCATCTGTGCTCATGACTATCTAGTGTCACCGAGACTCGACGGGCTGTCATATCATTGGCTATTTCTCCAAGGAGAAGGAGTCGGCGGACAATTACAATGTCGCTTGTATCCTGACGCTGCCGCAGCACCAGCGCTTCGGTTACGGCAAGCTTCTCATCGAGTTCTCCTATGAACTCAGCAAGAAGGAAGGGAAGCTCGGTAGCCCGGAGAAGCCACTCAGCGACCTGGGACTTCTGGGCTACCGCGCGTACTGGTCCGAAACGATCATCGAACTGCTACTTAATACGACGGACGATATTAGCATTGACGACATCGCACAGAAGACGGCAATCACCCATGCGGATGTCATGAATACGTGCGTTCCTAGCTGTATCCACCATCACCGTACCTGACCGCACTATCGCCGCATCTGCAGATGCACGACATTGCAACTGTTCAAGCACTACAAGGGCCAGCATGTCATCTCTATCCCCGAGGCGCTCCAGGAACGGCACAAGAAGAGGATGGAGAAGCGCAGGCGGCGCATCCATCCGGATTGTCTCCAATGGAAACCACCGGTATTTACTCGCGATCAGCTGAGATTCGGCTGGTAGACTTCCGTAGCACTGTTCGGGACCGCGGTTTGGCATTCGGACGTTCATGGGGCACACAGCGCCTTCTGTATTGTATCACATTGTACCGCTATGTAGGATTGGACAATCAGATTCTTGTTCTCGCAATTAGCCAAATGATAAATTACAGCCGACCTGACAATGCTACGAGTCCTCCCGAGAGGAGACTGCTCCCGTTGGTGCCCTCCGCCGGAGCGTCACTGGTGCATCTTCAGCACTTGACTCTTGATCAAGCATCGCGAAGGACGAGTCCCCGCTACTCGAAGCCCTAGAGGCGGGCCGGTCGGCATGGAGCGCATGTATGCCTTCGTCCATTCGCTCCTCAGATATGTTGTGCATGTGCGAGCCGAGTTCGCGTCGGGAGATTGTGGGAGAAGGTGGCTGAGAAGGTACGGGAGAAAACATGCCGACCCCGGACAGCTCCAGATTCCCTTCCTCCTCCAATGGACCGCGAAAGTACGTAGGAGGAGGGGTAGTCAAAGTCGTCTGGGTCGACGGGGGGCTTTCGGGGTGTATGACTATAGTTGGTGTGTCGGCCTCGATCGGGACGCTCCCTGTCTCACTTGTCGACGCCTTCGTGTCGTCGATGACACCAAGCGTCCGAGCGATCACGTATGATGTTACATCCTTGGAGAGTCCATGAGGGCCCGGAGGTAACGTGAAGCAACGTAAGATGGTGCATACCAATAGAGTCAGGATCACGAACGGCAGGATGGACAGGAAGGCCAGCACGCGAAACATTGATGCTGCTTTGTCGACCCAAGAGCCCGACTGATAATTCCAAAGGTATTCGACATATAGATCGCATAGCGATGCGGGTGCAGAGAGAATGGACATGATGGTATGAGGTCACGTCGCATTCGAACGAACGCGGTCATCACGTTGCGCTGTGGCTGCGGTGGCGGGAGCGCGGGACTGCGCGCTTCAAATCTTCATGACGTGCGATAGCAGGGAGCGACACAGGATAGACATGTTTATTCCGATTCTATCGATACAAGTACAGAGCGGCCTAAGGCTTCATATCCACCAGCAAATCCGACGGATGCGCAACAATATAGATCTACTGCAAGGACAGACGATAAATCATGATAGCGAGAGATGCGATAGTAAATGCGAGGTAGACCAACGAACAGTAGGAGCGCGACAATAGGAGCATATGTACACATGGGGCGGACAGCAGGTATAAAAATGTTCATGGATACATCACGTTGGAGGGGAAGACGACGCCGTCGTAACGCACCAGGATGATGGGCCGGCGCTTTGTGACTTGCGATTCTGGCGGCAGGCACCCGAGGACCTCGCCGCACCGAACCTCCACATAAGGCGAGGGCTCTGACCCGAAGAAGACGGTGACAGGATCCGTCTTGGAGAAGTTCTCCCCATAGACGGTGAGCATCTTCGACGTATGAGGGTTCGGCTTCGCGAGAGCCGCTCGCCCAGCCGTGTGGTGCTTCGGGATTTCCGCCGCTCTGTCGGGCGGGAGGTACTTCACCACTCCTGGGAAGGGAGTGACAGGCTTCGACGGGATCGGGAACGAGCCAGTCTGAGGAGCATTTTGGTTGTCGAAAAGGACGGGGGGCACGTAGAAGTTGTACCGGATTTGGTCTGTAGGAGACGATGATCAGCACATCGCTCTGAATGGAAGAGAGAAGACGACGATCCCACTCACCGGTCCCCACGATCGTCCACACGCTTGTCTCGCCGATGTCAACCTGCCAGAGGGCCCCTGACGATGCGGTCGAATCGCTCGCGGAGCCGCGACGTCCAGAGCCTGCAGAACCCGCGGAAGTTGGCCGTCGTCTCCCCTTCTGGGAGGCTGGCTTCGAGATGCCACCCGTACTCGACGATCCTCGCTTGGGCTTCTTGACTCGGCCACCGTCGTTGGTCGGGAAATCAGTCGCGTCCGGCGACGTCGGGGTGCTGCTCATGCTCCCGGAGCCGAAATAGTCCGCAGAACCGGCAGTAGACGTCGGCGTGGTGTCACCCGGCGAAGCAGGCGTTGCCGTAGGCGAGTCGCCGTCGCGCGACGCACCGCCTTGTGGAGAGTTCCATTGGCGGCCCTCGACCGGGCGGTAGGTGTTGACCTTCTCGCCCATGCACGAGAGGAAAGCGCCGCTCTGGCCAGGGGTGCCGGGCTCCGGAGCGCCGCGGCTGGGATCGTACACCTCAAACGCGATCTTGTGCAACTGCGACACGGGATCGCCACACACTTCGCTTACTGAGCAGTAGTGGTCGGCAATGCCCTTCGCGCCCTCTTGAAGACCGCCGCCAACAACAATCGTCTGGTGGTCGACTTTCCGAATAATCAGCACAGGGCTGACAACACCCGAAGTCAGACACTGTAATACGACCGTCTGATTGTAGTAGACGGGTATCTGCGACCCGTTGTTGGTAAACGGGATCGCATTCGGCGGCGGCGAGGGGTACTCGGGGAAGAGCGGCGGCGGAGGCGGCGAGTCGACTCCACCGGCGGGCTTGTTGACGTCGACAATGTACACGATAAAAGGGTCTAAATTCAGAAGATCAGCGAAGACATCAGAAATTCATTGTAAACTTGCACACCCCAACTGGCCGTCCGGGCAATGAATGACGGTGTCTGTGTCCGTACCCGCTGATCCAAGCCCATGAGCGGCGCGCCGTCAGACCCTTTGAACGAAGACCCGGAGCCCGACACGCAGAGATACTTCGTTGACACCGTCTGCGAGCGCAGACGGTGGAACAACGAGATCGTAGAGCCATGATTGATACACACTGCGACGGGCACGCATCAAAGATGAAAGGTCAGCACTTTACATAATCCCGACAACGATGCGGGACGCCAACGTACGCTCGAGATTCTTAGCGCTTTGTCTCTTCTTGCTCGGTTTGCTGATGACCTTGATCGGGCGACTGGGGAAGATCCCTATCACGCGCTCCGGCTCGTCTTCGGCGGAGGGCGCCATAATCTTAACGAGGGCTTCGACCTTTTTCTTCTTTTCGTCGACGTCAGAGATAAAGAGCTGCTTGCCAACACAGCGCCCCAGATACGTAGTCCCGCTGGGCGGGTCAGAGACGTCAAACGCTTTGCCTGTTGCGCCTGTCCACTCGATGGTCCCCTCTTGCGGCGCAGGTTCGCCGGAGATCGAGACGACCACCCGGGGAGGGCAGAGTTTGGGCTCTTCGCCCCGGCGGACGACGTCGGACCACCATGAATTACCAATCATGATCGCGGTGGGCGGGGGACAAAGGAAGCTGCGGTTGTGATGGTCAGGAACAATAGAATGCTACAGGCTCCTTGCGCTTACCGCTTTTCAGTGCCGTACGACTTTTGCGCAACCTTACTGGACATAACGATGACTGTGCGCTCGCCGAACGCTAGTCGGTTGGTCGACCGAACATACTGGTCTAGGTACGGGCTGAGGGTGCCCGGTGCCCTGTCAATGGCCATATCATAGAGGAGCTACACAAATACATACCGTATGAAAGTCTGCAAGTCGGTGGCGGCAGCAGACGACTGCTGAAGGCGCATGCGCGATAAGTCGACGCTTGGAATTCGAAGGGGGAAGTCTCCTTGAGGATTGGGCGCCAGATACTGACCCATGTCATCATATGACGGCAGCGAACCATCGGACCTGAAGCCATGCATGGCATGAGGATTGACCCCACGTAGCATATCACTCCCGGGGCCTTGGTGCAGGTGGTTGGGAAGCGAGAGAGGAGAGACGTATCGCGAATCAGTAGACATACGCCCCATGCGGTCCGGAAATTGCTGCAGCTGTGAGGGGTTGAAGCCCATGCCCATACCGGGACCGCTGCTCATGGCACCGTAGTCATTGCTGAACTCGGAGTGGTAGTTCCCTGAGCCAACACTACCAGCGCGTCTGTCGACGTCCTGGAAGACGTCGTGACCGTGAAAGTCCTTCGCCTGACCGCCGAAAGAGAAGCCAGAAGGACGGTGGAAGTTACTGACGCCGTCACCTGGCGTGAGCGACGAAGGTTTACCGTTACCGAGAGTGGAGGGGAGACCGCCCATCATGTCGTATGAGCCGGTGTTAGAGGTAGGGAACGACGACATACTGTCGGAGAAGGGGTTCTGGGAGTACATAGCGTCGTTGCCGAGGCTATAGTTGGTGGGCATGGAGGAAGAGGGCCCTGTGGTCGCGTTGAAGCGCTGGCCTGACAGAGAGCTGGAGGATGGGCCGGAGAAGATGTCGTAACCCTGGTCCGGGACGTCGAGGGCATCTACGCGATCAAGAGAGTGGGGATTCATGTGCATGGCGCCCCCAGGGGTGCCATTGGAGTGATGCGACGAGCCCAGCTCGCCACCGGACTGGAGGGAGCTGAAGGGGTGGTCGAGGTCGGGCTGGCCGTACATGCCCTGGGGGGTGCCCGAGGGGGTGAAGTCGATGGACATTTTGCGCTCGCGGGTGTAGGAGTTGCCCGCAGAGGACTTCAGGATATCTGGGCAGCTCGGTCAGTACGGCCGGACGAGGAGGAGAGGGTGGCGGGAGGGGAGTGGCGGGGACAGAGTCGCGGAGACGGCGCCGGGGCACGTTGTCGACGCGATCAGGAAATGAGAATTATTTATGCGACATACCAAAGTCTGATCGGCGATCGGGAGATGCCGAGTGGAGGGGCAGCCAGGCCGTCGACGCCATCGTCCTGATCAAGAAGCAGCGCTGGATGCTGGATCAGATGTCCGCTGGGTGTCCCCGCGGCAGATGCAGCTACTCTGATGTCCCCGTCAGCACTCGCCCGCCGCCTCCGCCGCACACTCACCTCTATTCCGTGCGGGCAACCGTCAACGTCTCCAACTCAGCGCCCGGCTATTCGTGCAGGCGGCGTTACTAAGTCCTGGCCACGCGCCCGACAAGTGTCCGCCGCGTCAAGTAGACACAACACAACAAGCTCAAGCAGGCTGCCTAACGACCGAGGCGGCAGTACAGGTGTCCGGAATCAGCTCTCCTCGTCTGCCCCTCGTATATATACATTCCCACCGGACAGTCATCGCACAGGCCCCAGGCGTGACCGTGTTGCCAACCCGACTTCAATTTCCGACGGTAATTTGTGAATGGAAGCCGTGCTGAACGGAACCTTATGCGAGTGACCTATCAATCACACCTGCCGTCCGCGACGATTCCACGACGATTCCATCGCGTCCTCTTCTTCTTCTACTCAATCTCACCTATTCCCATCAGCAGCTCAATCACCGGCCCTGCCACTCGCGGCCCCCATGTACATTTGCCCTACATCTGTCCCAATCGGCGTCCCAATCGGCGTGTTTCTCCATCCAATGGCCACGTCTCCTCCCTTCTCTTGGCTGGGCCCGACAACTTGCCCCGCTCCGAGCTTTTTGCTTGCCCACCCGATTGGTGGCCGCCCCTCAGTCTGTGGTGTCGAGTGCATTCCCTTGACGTTATCTCATCGGCGGACTTCTCCTCCAGTGTTCTGTCCTCCGCGCCTCGAACGCCCCATCCGCACATGAGCGACGGGACAAGAGACCAGGTGGTGGTTACGGGCAACCTGGAGATCGCATCGTAAATAACCGGGTCCATTTTGGGCTCGTTAGGCAACCAGACTCCAGTGATCGCCTTGCACTGGATTCACGCACCGCACTACTGACAGGTGCCATAAGGCGAAGCACGATCCGGCGTACTGACTCTCACCAGCAGGTGCCACCACTGCCCGGCCGTTGCCCAATAACCACCGCGGCGCAACGTCTGCCAGGCTTCAGCGTGGTCCCGCCTCATCCGTTCAACCGTGAGCTTGTTTCCTTCCCCTTGTCTTCGTTTGACTGATCGACATTCCGGCCGGGTGGGCCTACTTCTCCAAGCCGTTGGAACCCTGCAGAATCCACTGTCATCACATGTGCTCCAAGATGCGGCGGGAGGACATGGCCCCCTGCTGGCGTCCTGCATTCTTCGTTCCTCCGAAGTCGAAGTACGGACGAGTCGCCCTGATGTTCCCTTGGGGAACCCCCCGATGACTACACTGTGCAGGCAGGGATGAGCGTGGCGGTCCGAAGCCCATCCGACAGAGCGGATGCCATCGGTACCTTTGGCCATATGGCTCTCCCTGTTCTGTCCTCCGGCGATTTTCCAAACGTGCTTCTGAATCACCTTCCGCAGCCCTACGTCTCTTATTCTCCAGCTGCGACCAGCAGCATTACGGCTGCTTGATCTAGGGCTGAAACTTGGCTGCAACCGCACGGAAAGCTCGCGACGGCTCCCGAGATGACACATACGCATCATAGGTGTCGGGCGCTGATGGGCATCGGGATATACGCCGGCAATTATGTTATTGAATTCAATTTACCTCGGGATGTCGACTCCCTCGACGCAGCACACGCACTCATACTCGGGAACTCACCTCGACGACGCCCTTCAGGCCCGACGGCGTGCGAGGCGGATCTCGCGCCGCGACTCCTGGTGCTAACCGCATCCCGTAAGGTACGTTGTGCTCCAGGATGAACGCACTGACTGCTCCCGCTTTTCCATGCGAGCCTAGGTAAATCAACCTCGTACGGCATCGGGCATATGGCACAGGGAGATCCTGTCTTGCTATCTCTCCTTGCTCAATGTTGTCGCAGCGCCTGGATAGTCCCGACTGTGGCAGCAGCTCCCCCTGGATTGCTCTTTCTGGGACGCACCATGTGTCTACCCGACCCTCCATCCTCGAGAGAAGCACGGAGATACCGTACGTTGTTTGATGGCGCCCTCGTCAGTGGTACGCTAGACCATAGCTATCCACCGAGCACTCGACACTCGACACGGTATGGATCTTATTTCCCGGGCCCGGCATATTGTCGTGAGATTCCGGGCACCCAGAGTGCTTCCCAATAGATTCGCGCAATGGCGATATCTCTCAGTGTATGATGTCTTATTGGAATCGTAGTGAGATTCTATCGATACGTATCTTGCCCTCGGGGAACGCTCGAAGATTGGTCCCTGTAGCCCCGCGGCAGCAGACGACCAATCACGGGATGGGTTTGCGAGCCAGGGTGACAGGCCAATCCCGCAGGGGGCCTGACTTACAGTTTGAGATTACACATCTCATTTGCTTCCGCGAATCTTCGGCTGTGTGGTGCGCGGGGTTCTATCAGATACTCCTGCCAAATTAGTACCGACGCTGTGTGGAGGGATCAACGTTCATGCAGCGGGTCTTTGGCTGGTGCGCCGTTGTAGGTTTCTGTCTTGCTAGGCACGCAAAGCTTGATACGACAGATACCCCAGTGCCACCTTTCGCGATGTCAGGGAGACACCTCGTTCATGGGGCCGTGGGAGCGGGACTTGACGTATACCGTACACAAGCAATAATTGTGATAACAGCAGTGATATGTCGCGCTTTGAGCAGTTATAGACCTTACGGCAGATGATTTCATGTCACAGGAAGATCAAAACGCGGTATACGGGCCTTCAGTATGACAGCATTACAGGATGTCAGCGGCGGAGCTGGGGTGATTGGTGAGCATAGGGGAGCTAACTCCGTAAGGAAGGTATAAGTTACCTGATGTCTGCATGTCTCGTTCGAGCTGTCAAAGGTCAATGCGAAACAACGCCTTCTGGCATGCAGGAGGAGCGACGATCGTTTTGATTCATCCACATGGTTCTGAATGCGCCCTATGCCCGGTCTTCAAGATGCGACAGTGCGCCACACGTGTCGGGCCTGCGCAGCGATGGATGCGTTGCCTGAATCATCATCGCCGTCGACCACAGGCCGTCGACACAGGGAGCAATCGATTCATTCACGACCATGTGTTGTGGCGTCCGAGCGTTCCTGATAGTACTTTCAATGAGTGGGTATCTACCCGGCAGCGAGTAGGAAGCCACTTTGGCCGGCCGGCCTACTTGACTTCTCCCGAGGAGCGGGTCCGTAACTGCGAGTAAAGGTTCGCGAGTTCCTCTCGACGGGCACCGGTTGCGCTCGACCATTCCGTAATCGAATTTTCGCGGGGAGTGGATGATATCGTAGCGTTTCCTCGCGGCCACGTAACGTACTAAAGTCTCTCACAGGATCGGGAGGGGTATCAATCTGTGAACGCAGTTCAGTGAGAAGAGTGACTATCGATGCCAGGTAGTTGACAGCGTTCATGGCCTCACCAAGAACGACATGGCGGTTACGATAGAATCTGAGGGGAATAATGACGCATCTGATTATGCGCTCAGGACCCTCGCCGCTGAGCAAGGCTCGCATGAACATGGATGCCACTCGATATCCGCCGAGAGGGAAAACGCAATCAAGGATTCATAATCGGTAGCTATGGAAGAACCACCCATCCGACTGTGAACGGGCTGTTGTCCAGCGAAGGCGACGGTCGGCGTGCTGCTTCGCTCTGTGAAGGCTGCGGCAGCGTGTAGTCAGCTGTACAGGGGGCGGAGACTGCAGTCAATGGACATGACTTTACCTCGGGGCGCCACCGACTGATCCCAGAACGTCGTGCAAATGGGACATCCAAAGCCCGCCCCCTCGCCGCCCAGTCCGTACTTTTCCAGAAGACGCGCCCTTCGTTCCGCTTCAACGGAGTAACGTAAGACTGGAGTGGGAGAAGGCGTTGAGAATGCGTGTACCATGCATGAGATGCTTACCATATGCATATCTACACCAAATCCTCTGGCTTCAGGGCCAGCCTTGTCGGTGAGACGGCCGGATGGGCCTCTCGTTCAAGCTTATTTTCGCTCGGATCAAAGCCAATAGCGACCCTGGCTAAGCGTGACAACACTTGGCCGTTACAATCAGGTGCATCGCGGAATAACAGGATGATTCAGATTGAGGAGCATATAGCCAGAATTGGGCACGAACCTATGTTGCTATCCCTGATGTCAATGCCCGAATCAAGGTCGCCGGCGATTTTCCTCCTGGTAGCCTGATTCTCGAGCTACATACCGCGCCAATTGCAGACCGACGGCACTAATCCGGGCAGCCGATATACTCGGGGCTATGTCGCCGCTGTCGGCAGAACCGCACAATGCGGCGGAAGCACGTTGAATTTGTGCACCGTCACACGGAGGGTAAAGTCAATAGCGGACAAAACTCGGGCTGTGCATCGCCGGTAAATAGAAGACGAGCGAGGATCTATGCAGTCAGAAATCAGTCGCGGAGAACCATGTCATTGACAGTACCGCCAAGGAACTAGGCATACTGCTACGGGGTTCAGGTGTCAGATGAGCCGCGGTGAAAAGTCGGATAGCATTGAAAGAGAGGTTCGTCGAGGAATGCGCGTCAGCGCCAGCTGGTCATAAATGCGCTGTCCTGCGCTGTCAAGGTTGAATTTCGCCGGCGGATGATGCTCTGGACGACTTGGCGCTCGGTGACACCTCAGGATCAAGCAACCTACCTTTGTGGCGTAAAATATTCGGCAATCTCTGCTTCTCAATACAATTGCGATGAAGGGCATGGTAAAGGCCTCAACTCGGGCTTCGCGAGGACAACGCAAATCTCCGGGAGTGAGATGGTTATCTCGGCGCCGCTGCAGTGAGAAGTCGACTTTGCTGCCGACTACCACCGCTTCGATGTCGTACAGCTTGCGGGCACCCCGCTGTCCAAGAGATCCAGACTTGCGGGCACAGTGGTTTCCATTTACGATCGCCCGATGGGGCAATATGCCCTGCATGGGTCAGCTGCATCGTGACGAGTGCACGGGCCTGAAGAATCACATACCGCGTTCCATAGAGGATCTCAGAACTCAAAGCCTGAGCGTATGGTTGCAGCTTGAGGCGGGCACTGCTGTGCATCATCATAGTCCGCATGAGTCGCTGTATCCAGCGGCTGCAACTGTAGCAGGACCTCAGGCTCGGGCCAAGGAGACTGACGGTCTTGACTCGGAAAGACTACAGGAGGCTTGAGTTGATTAGTCAGTGTATTCGCTAACCAATATCGCCTGTTTCGGTCGTGACCAGACGTTAGACACCAGACAGAACTGGTCTCCGTTGCTGACTAGACCGCATGAATGTTGGGCTGGTCTATGCTAGTCTCGCATCGAGACACAACGTCTCTCTTTTAGTCTCTTCAACCTATGCCATCAATCTGAAACATACAAATCAATAGCCTACCGTGTGTCGACGTCGGAATGCCAGCACAGCAAGGGATGAGGAGAGACCGATTATCTGCTCTGTCCCGAAGGTGCCGGCCGAGTCTCAGCGGGGCTCAACGTCCGACTCGGAGCCCAAGATCAAAAGTGTGGCTGAAATTTAAACCCGGGAAATAATCACGCGAGGCTTCGCGAGCAACCCATGGGCCGGCGCCTCGTGGATACGGGCCACAGACGCCTCCAGTGTTCAGGCTGCGGGACAACCTGGTCGCTGCTACCACCGCTCTACTCGCCGTGCGACATTCTCAGCCCACAGCGACGCGCGCACAACGTCCCTCAGGAGCGCAGTCGCGCTCCAGCGAGTCGCGAAACATCCATTACTGGGCACCCCGATAGTTTCGGCCTGGTTCGATCCACCGTTGACTAGGCTAGAATTCCCTGTGAACTTTGTTCAGGCCTTTGCTGGCTGTAGAACACAGACTAAATATCCCTCCTTTCATGTCTGTGCCATCGTACAGGATGGAGGCACCTCGTCCTCGCCCACCGCCTCTACCCCTGCGAACGCACAATCTCAAGTCACCACCACCGGAGGGCCGCAGAGACTCCAACAACCCCCTTCTTTACGATGCGTCTCCCACTGTGCCCGTATCGCCCTCTCGTACAGTCTCGCCCACAAAGCTGAGGTCGCCCACTTCGCCATCGTTCCGTGCTCGCTCCAGGGCCGGAGGCCGGACCCCACCGCATAGTCGACCTCGGTCGATCACTCCTTCGCAACCGGGTCGTAATGAGCTCGAGGAGTTTGCGGAACATTGCCGGGCGTGGTGCGCAACAACTCTTCCGGATATCCCAATTGTCTCTGACCGCCATGCAGGTACTTCGAGCAGAACGACAACGCAGGGCGTGTAATGACGCAGACACTTGCTACCCTACCTCCTTCCCAACGCGCGCCTTTTGCCAGACTCCAGGCGTCTATCCGTTCTGCCTACCACGCCAGCGTCAAGGCGCGCAGGAACGCCGAGTTCAAAGCGCATCTCAGCGCAACGCATCCGGGATGTTCTCTCATGCCTCATTCTCGCGCTGACCCTCACGGGCAGTTGGCCAAGAAGGAGCGCTATGACCGCTTAGAGCGCTTCGTTGGAACATGGTGCACGACGGGTATGCCTGGCACAAAACCATTCTTTGAAGGTCTATGGGCCGTCATGAGACTACAAGTGGTTCCAGAACATCTAGGAGGAGCTGGAGGATATAGAATCGAGTGGGAAATTGATGATGCGGTCTTCAAGGAAGCAGCGTGAGTCTCTTATGCGCACATCGTTGCTGTATCTGACGTCTCCTCACCTCGGGATTTACCGCCAATGCAGCGGCAAAGATTTCATGCTGGAAGCCATCGATGTCCTCAAAGGGGTAAGTCATTGTCTTCGGCGGTAGGTGTCCCGAATATGTCTCATCGACGTTATGCCTAGGTACTGGCATTTGAAGAAGCACCCTCTGACAAGAGATCGACATCACAAAGGGATTCCGCTGCCTACTCGGCTTTTGCTCCACTGTCCACAATACATTCCCGGTCGCAATCACAACCATTCCCCGTAGATATCTCCGTGATGCCGTCTCAGAAGGGGCCCCCTATTGCGTCCACCACGCAGACGAAGCGACCTCGGCCTCGAGCTCCGAGTGATCCCTTCCTGGATACTCCTGCCCTCTCGACATCGTACTCCTCCGCGAACACAATAGCGCACCTCTCAACATCAGGTACAACACTGGCGGACGAACCGACAAGTCCGTCAACTCCCTTCGTTGAAGTAGACGACTACTTCTCGCCCACGTCCCATACTCTGGACCTGTCCGAGACTGACGGATTCATGCGCACATGGACTGCCCCCGATCTCTCGAATCCCGAATACATCTCATTACTCTCAGTATTCCCGCCCTTCATTTCCCGCAAGACAATGCCACGGTTCACTGTTCAACCAGACTCGAGCCGACTCGCCGACATAGAAGAAGGCGACGAAAGACAAGACGAGCAGAATCGTATCCGCGTCGGTACCGGGACAATGTGGGTGGGACCAAAGCCTCGCTCATCCGGCTGGAACGGCGGCTGGTGGGCACGCTTCAGGCTCTGGATACGAAGCATGTTCTGCTAGACTCTGTAGCAGAGTTGGTATATGGGACGATTAGTGGTACCGTTTAGTTGATCCTGGCCGTCTGCTCTTGCACGTGCGTCCCTCAGACAAATGACACCCACCCGTGCCCTGGACGCATCCTCGCCCGTCTTTTTTGAGCATGGACTACCGCAGGACATAGACACTGCATATCAGTCCTGCGTCTCTGCGTTGGGCTTGTTTTATCAAGTCTTCGGACAAGTACATACTGTACACCGCATATGCTCATATCCTGTATTCGCAATGTATACGAACAAGATACGTGCAGCTTCGCGCTTTCGCAGCGAGCCGTATACACCAGACATACGATCTGTTGACAATTCCCCCCTGCCTTTGAATGATTCGGTGAGTACTATCATGACGTTCGCGCTAACACTCCGGCCTCCCGAACACCTACGCGACGTTACTCTGTGAGGTCCAGGGACGCGTCGAGGCTTGCACTACTGCCCAATCGGTCTAGGGGATCTCCTGTGATATGCATTCGCTGGTGAGTCAGGCACTCGCCACCATAAATGACCATGCTGATGTGGACGTTTACCTGGCTAGAGCTTGTGGTTGTCTGATGCTCCAGCAGCTGATCGAAATGGCCACCTTACGCTCACTTCTGACTTCAACGCTACACATACAGTATTCCAAGTGGCACGGTACGTCTTTATTACTATCTGTCCACAATTGAACGCCGTATGGACTTTACTGGCTATACCGACGTACTGACAACACGATCTGGCTAGTTGGCGGGTCGTCATTATTTAAACAGGTGTGCAGTGTGATGCCAACGAATGGGATCTAGGTGTAGACGTCTGCCAGTGGTCTCTCGTCGAGAACGAGACACCCCGGCCGACCTGTACAGTCCCCTGCGTCAGCCCCTCGGCCTCAACTGGTGGATAGGCTAGGTGAATACAGTGGATGAGTCGCACAATTGACAACGGCTGGTAGTAACCTCATGAAACATCCTTCACACCTCCGACATTATTTGATCAAGTTTGCGATGATAGCGGTCCAATGGGGTCAAACGCGATGCTCAATGCAGGGCTCACGACGCCATGGCGACCATGTTAACCGCCGACGCGGTCAATCCTCTGTGTCATACCGAGTACCTCCAAGGAAATTATTGACAGATGTTCAAGACATCTAGGGATGACAGCGGCGTGCCTGTGGCATTGCTCAATGAAGCCCTGAACCTGAGGGCTATGCCGGTGTATCACGGCAGAACACTTGGGGTACCATCCGCACTAGATCCATCATGCGTACTCAAATATCTGTTCGTCACGTCAAAGACCAAACCGTACAAGGCCGGTGAGCCCTGAGTGTATTCGTCTTGAAGCGGACTCTGATGCTTTGGGTACTTTCTGTTGTCAGTATTTGTGAGTATCATCTGGCATTGTTCGCCGGCATACGTACGGCATGCCGTTCGGTACGAGCTTGTCTCAGTTGCAATCTCTCCATAGCGCAATGTAACGGTGCTGTACGGTAAAAGACAAGGGTCACGGAGCGGCAGGATACTTGGTAAGACGACGGTCACCTCGGTGATCAAGGCCAAAAGGTACGATTGAGTTCAATTGTTACGCTTCGCCCGGTTACAATGATTAATCGCATCTTCGCAAGACGCAAGAGACGAACGCCATAGATTCACTAGGCTCGGACGGACCCGGGCGAACGTACAGATCGCCGGCGGAGTTGGAGAATTGTGCATTCTCGGCCTTGGGCGAAAGCACTGTCCCGGTCTATAGCGACGTTCATCCGAGATTCTTCACCCAATTTTTGCGGTGACAGAGAGAGTGGGTCGTACGGGCGAGCAGGAGTTGCGGGATCGTGGCGGGAGCTCAGCTCCGGCATCCTCCTCCTTTACGCAAGGAAGTGCCCTTCGGACGCCACTGTGCTTCGGTCGCAGTCGTTCTCGGGAGAAAGCCCACATGCCGCAAGTAGTACGTACGCCTGTACCGTCTCAGGATCAACAGGACGTCATCACAGATGTGGTTTGGCACCGACCCGCTACAGCGGTGCTCTGGGAAGTGGGTTTCCTTTGCTGAACGACAGCCTTGTGTTGGGGCGCCGAGGCTGCACGACGAGCATGAGGCTCGCGTCACCATTAACGTCCTTACGGCACAGGACCAATCGTAATGAAATACCAATCGTGATTGATGCAATGTCAGCAGTCCTGTGACTGATGAGCCGCCGCACTGCATGTGCCTACAAGATAGCGGACACTCGTTGCTGGTCAATCTGCACCTCTTTGAACCCGTCGAAGCACGCCGCGCGGAAAGCTCCTGGCGAAGGCAGGACGCGGTCCTTTCATGACCAAACTGCTTTCCAATCTCGTGACGCGGTGTGGCTGCAATAGAAATGTCGTAACCCAGACGATCTACCCAGCCTATTCACTCGTTCTTCGAGTGGTATATGGGAGCATAGGGACAGCGATAACCAATGCATGTTCTCGATAACAGACAGCCTGGAAGAAGCTCCAGACATACGATAAGTTACGGCATGGTGCCAGCAAAGAGAACTTTGTAGGATGTGAAGTCCGGACGGAGCACGGACGGGGCGGACAAGCTTTGGGGCAAATGTCGCGTATGCGACCCGCGCATCACTACCGCCTGGCCCTGAGTACTTCCATCCTGGTCTCCGACGCACGATTTTGCGCTCGCAACCTTAAAGGATCACAACGTCAGACATACGTAAATCATAGGCTGGATGCTGGCATAGTACGAACTGTGCAGTCTCCTGTTGTAACTCCTGAATCTTCCTGTCCCTGGCTGCGAGGCTATTATGGGCAGCCTTCAACTGCCTCTCCAGCTTCCTAATCTGATCCGGTAGAGCACGCAAATCCGCGAGCTGAGCGGCGAGGTGGTCAGCCAATGACAGGGATTCCCCTTCTCCACTGGCTTGCGGTGGAGAATGCCCAGGATGGGACGACCCCAATGGTTCCCGCATGGCCGCGGAACGGTCCTGGAATGGATTCTCCTAATACTAACCGTTAGGTCTGGTCATACATCGGGCGGGAAGAACGCCTACTGGGTCGTCCTCCAAGTGCCACTGCTGGTGCGATTGGTCCCCCAGATCCCGGCCTTTGCCCTTCCACAAAGCAGGCGGATACAGAGGTGCAGTGCCGTGTCGAGGCGATATTTGCCTCTTGCCTTGTTGAGGCTCGGAGCTCCCCGGTGGTGTCAGATACCCCTGCGAAATATCACCAGGGAGTTCGGACAGTCTACGACTCGTAGATTCGCCTCCCGTCGGGCTCCCCGTTGGGGTAGAAGCCACAGGAAGTTGATCTAGAGGGGGAACACCACGTCATGAGGTCCTGACATAGTTCCGGCACTGTGGAGGTACATACTTTGTGTGAAGTCCAATTCAGCCTCAACAGCACGTTCAGACATGCCGTCAAAGACTGACTGGGAAGACCCAGGGCTTGTCTGTATACCGATATCGTATAAGGAGCCGACCTCTGAGTAGTCATATTCACTGTCTTCAAATCTGGTGCGCTTTGACGGTGAAGGGTGGCTCGCTGCATCGTCGTCATCATCGGAGTCCTCATATCGACTCACACTTCGACTGGACACGGTCTCGAGCTTTGTGGGACGAGGGGCAAACCGCGGTGACCCAGCGATTGGGCGCGCCGTAGGTATGACGGGTCTGTCGGCTACATTGGAAACATTGTGCGACCTTCCGGTCGCGGTGCTGCCCTGCGCTGATCCTGTTGTCTCCCAGCTGCTCATAATCGCAGCCAGGCGAGACTGCCGCTGAGACGGTGTATACGCACTGGATGGGGTAGCTAAATTTTGAGCACGTGGAGTTCGTGTAGGTGTGCTTGGAAAGGCTCCAGGGAGCTGACTTGTAGACGAAATTTGTGGTGAGCCGGAGCGAGGGCGTTTAGCGGATAGGGGAGAGGCCGCAATGGCAAACTCTGTATCGGCCACTGTGGGCGGAGTTCCTTGCTGTGTTGGTCTTGGGTTGCGGACTGGTGTAGGCGATGGCTCCGTCACAAATAATGTTTCCCCAGTGAGTTTGGGATCATCTCCCCAAACTGCATACATCATAAGCGGTACGTTCAGGGGAGCAATGTTATTCACTCACTGAAAAAGCTGCACGATGGTTCTTCTTTGCTCCTTGGGCATTTATAAAACTCCCTAGCTCAGGTGAGCAACACAGGATGCATTGTGGGTGATTGAAAAACCGCGCACCGATTTGGGTTGTTAGCCGTACGGCTAGTGAATTTGACTGCAAGTTCGCCGTGAGCAGGACACCTAATCTGGCCGTCGAGCCCCAGCGGGTTTGCATTCACTCTATGCATGTAAGTTACTCGCGCTGGTGTGGTCATTAGCTGAGAGCGTTTAGGTCGACGGTGAGCGATGGTCGCCAGAGAGCGTCGGTCTGCGTCGGTGGCTTGCCTGAACGGGATCATGAGGCGGGCCGGACAATGCCGAGCGGCTCAGGCGCGGGCCGCGGTCGGTGCCATTGCTCCCTCCATTGCCCAACTTCAGGCGACCTCGCTCGCGATAACACGTCCTGTTCTTGACTCCGTCTTCACTCTCTGCCAGCATGACCAGTCAACCAATCATCACGGTTGAGACCAAGCTTGTGCCTCCATCAGACCCCACACTTCCCGCGTTGGCTGTCCAAGTAACACGGCTGCTCGATTCTTACATGCTGTGGATCGGTACGACCGACGAGGCAGCTGAGGACGTGCAGAATGCGCTGCTTCAAGGGCACATTGCGAGGGATTGGGCTTGTGCAATGCCGTTGGGGAACGTGAGTCGGACGAAACACTATCCGGAGCTTGTCTGCACAGAGCGCAGAGCTGATTGACCAGACAAGTTGAACGTACCGCCGGCCGCAACCTCATTGTATCGCTCCTCGAGTTCAGATGCTGCCTTGTCGATGTCTCAACGCCTTGGTGATACACTGTCCATGCGTCTCACACTAGATGTCCGCTAACTACATGTACTGTCGCCATGCCACGGGAACGTGCCGCTCGGTTCAACTACCGCCTCATGGACAGCACGGCGCTTCAAGAAGCAGATTTTTCTATCCATTGACCTTCCCCCCGGGTTTGACTCTATGGGGCAGGGCCAGAAGCTCATTTTGGCGGTGGAAAAGGCGGTGGTTGAGACGCTGAGGGAGGTGGAACGGGCCCAGGCATGACCGAGGGTCCGTATTGTGGACTCTGGCGGGGCGCAGGCTGGTGCCTGGCTTGGGGGCGGGCACAGGCTGAGTAGCGCATGGCGGGTCGTCGTCCTTGTGTTGCAGTAGACAGAAAACGAAGATGTGCATGCGCGCGATGACCGATAATAACAATGTATATATATGGCTGATATCGATAGCGGATGCGCCAGGCAGAGGGTGTTTGGAACCGCTTGATGTCGTGCGCGGCGCGCGTTCGGCGTTCGCCCTGTAATACACGATCAGGCTCACCGTCTGCGGCCCTTGCACAGCCGACCTCGTCTCTCCCTCCGTCTGCGACGTCGTCCACAGGCTGCGAGCACAACTCAAGGCCTGCTGACTTCTTGCCAACGTGACTCTGGCCGCGACTACTTCCCACAACCCGGGTTTGTCGCTGTCATCCATATATGTCAGAGCCCGAGCTCCTTGCCTACATGACTGGCGGAAACGACGACTTCGATCTTCCTCGCTGGAGCACCCAGACTCTCCACGACAACCTGTCTTCATCTGCGCAGGCGGCCCAGTCGGCTGCACAGGCGTCCTACCTTTATGCGCAAGGGCCGCCGCAGTCGGGCGCGAATCGCCTGCCGCCCCTCCAGCAATCACCATCCGGCTCTTCCAGGCAGCCTCGCATCACCCAGCTCGTGGAGGAGGAGTATCCACTGAGTTCGCTACCTTACTCGAACCCCGCGCTGGGTCGTAGTATATCGCTCGGCCACAATTCCAGCTCGTCTTCTCGAGGCCGGCGTCACCCCATGCAGGATGATCTGGAGGGAGCATTTAACATCGATACAGATAGCGGCGCAAGGCACGTGTCGCATGGGATGCAGGCTGCGAACGCTTCTGCATATCCATCCGTGGATGACAGCGCGGGTTCTGGAGGCGCTGCTCAGTACCAGACTGCGTACTACAACAGCCCCGGTGGTCACCAGGTGAAGAGGTCGCATACCCAGCACGACTCAACCACCTCGACCCGGTCCCAACGGTCTCCAAATCGTGGTGCGCCACCATCGACAGCTTTGCTCGACCCGTACTCGCCTCAGCAGGCGCAGTACTCATCCAACAACGCCTCTTATCCGTATTCCCCGACATCCGAGCAACAGAGGGCATATGTGCCTGGTGCTTACCAGTCGCACTCGCAGACACACTCGCGATCGCAGTCTCTTGTCAAGGGAGAGGCACCTACACCGCCTGTTCCTCCTCCCTATTCCCCGCGATCCGGCGGCTCAGTCTATTCCGGCTCATACCCAATGGACACCACGAGTCCGGCACCTTCTGTGTCTCAGAGTCTCGCACCACATCGTTCGCCGCGACAAACATCAATTTCCCAGCCGGCGACGCCTCTCTCTTATGGACACCCGTCCCAGAGTCCCCAGTTCTTCGCGCAAGAGCACCAGCCCATGGCCGTGGATACTTCCCCGAAGCGCCGTGCATCGGGCCTCAGACGGGTCAGGGACCATCGCGACCTACAACCACATGTCAATGCGCATCCTGGCGGACGGCGGATGGACACCACTGGCACGTTCCTATCGGTCAGTCCTACACACTTATGTTCGCCGCAGGGTACTGAAATGGTGGCGCGCATGCATTGTAGCCGATCAAGCAACTGACGACGGGCATCGTCGAGACGTATCACATCTGCAACCCTCAGTACAGATACGAGTCGACGCATAACCCGCGTCGTGTCCTTACCAAACCGAGCAAGCCCGCGCACAATGACGGCTACGACAACGAAGACTACGATTACATCTTGTACGTGAATGACTGGTTAGGGACGGATGACGGTCACAAGTGCGTATTCGTGGCGTTGTTTCGATCCCTTTTCTGATCGCCGCGTGCAACACCTGTAGGTACCTCATTCTGGATATACTTGGTCAAGGAACCTTTGGCCAGGTAGTGAAATGCCAGAACATGAAAACGCACGAAGTCGTCGCTGTGAAGGTGGTCAAAAACAAACCCGCGTACTTCAACCAAAGTATGATGGAGGTAACGATACTGGAGCTGGTGAGTGACTTCCCGCTATCGTGGACATGGATGGTACTAACCTAGTTGTGGCGCTAGCTGAACTCCCAGTGTGATCCTCAGGACGAGCACCACATTCTCCGACTCCGTGACTCATTCATCCACAAAAGCCACCTCTGTCTCGTCTTTGAGCTGCTGTCCTCCAACCTCTACGAGCTCATCAAGCAGAACCAGTTCCAAGGTTTGAGCACTCAGCTGGTCAAAGTCTTCACCGCGCAGCTTTTGGATGCTATGACGATCTTGAAGGAGGCGCGGTTGATACATTGCGACCTGAAACCGGAGAACATTCTCCTGAAATCGTACGTCCCAGTCGTTGCTTCTTCTTGGTCGATGCTGAGCAGCTCGTCGAAGGTTGCAATCACCTCAGATCAAAGTTATCGACTTTGGTTCGGCATGTCATGAACGGCAGACGGTATATACGTACATCCAGTCCCGCTTCTACCGCTCCCCCGAAGTCTTGCTGGGAATCCCGTACACGGCGGCAATCGACATGTGGTCCTTAGGCTGCATCGCCGTCGAGCTGTTCCTAGGGTTGCCACTGTTCCCGGGAACCAGCGAGTACAACCAGATCACCAGAATAGTGGAGATGCTTGGGTAAGTCTACTGCGACGATATTGTGATGAAAACCCTGATTGCGGCGCAGGAATCCACCCCAATACATGATGGATATGGGCAAGCAGACGGGCCAGTTCTTCGATTCCTACATCGATTCCTTCGGTCAGAAGCAATACAAGCTGAAGAGCATCGAGCAATACTCGCGTGAGCACAACACGCAGGAACAACCTGGAAAGCAGTACTTCAAGGCAAATTCGCTACCGGAGATCATCCAGCAAGCGCCGATGCCTTCATTCAAATCTGGGTCTCGTCAGGCGCACGAGGTGGAAAAGGGTGAGTCTCAGCGGCGAAATGAGGCGATATCAGTACGGGTTGCTGACACTCGTATTACGCAGAGATGAACAACCGGGCTTCCTTCATAGACTTCTGTCAAGGCCTTCTGAACATGAACTCCATAGAACGATGGACGCCGCAGCAGGCAAGGATGCATCCATTCATCACCGGAGAAAAGTGGACAAAGCCGTGGACGGTGGGTCATTCTCGGATCTAGCCTGTGATGTTCCTCTGACTGAAACTTCTACCCCAGCCCACTGGTCAACCGCCTCCGCAAGTGAGTCCTCCGGCCAGCGGTGGCACCGATCCGAAGCGTCCATACGGGGGCCTCGTCCCCTCGCAGCCCAAGGGCACGAGGGCCTATCAGGATGCAGCGGCGTACAATCAACATCTTGCCCAACACCAGGCCTACACCGCACAAGCCCAGGCCGCTTCGCAAGCTGCGCAGAACGTATACCGAAATCCCTACGTCAACCCGCAGAGTGCAGCCCCCAGCGCAACTTCGTACTCGGGCGCATCGGACAATGGAACTACGAGCTCGGGCGCCAAATTTACCTCGCAGCAGTACACGCCCTCGTCGACATCTCAGTCAACCTCGCACCGCGGCCTAACGCATCAAACCTCGCACGGGCATCTCAACGTCAACACCGGTGTCTCTCAGTACGGAGGACATGGGTCGGGCGCTGGGTTCGCTTCTCAATCTCATCTTGGCCCCGCGGCGCCGTCCAACACTTATTACTCGACCACTAGGAACCGGTCCAACACCCTGAACCCCATGATTGACAACATCCCCCCTGCCCTGGCGCGGTTGCAGCACATGAATCAGGATGTCATCGGTGGGCGGAAGGCTTTGACACCTGTCTTGAAGCGGGATGATGCGATGCGCGAATGGGAGCGCCGTCAGGCCGCGGGTAAAGCAGCTGCCGCGCAGCCCTATCCCCAGTTGGAGTTCCTGCAGCAGCAGGCGGAGCTAGCCGCGGCACAAGGGCTCACACACTGGGGCCATTCGGGCCCGTCTAACCGCTACCAACACCAGCCGACGTCTAACCTTGCGCATTCATACCATCCGTCGACGTCGATGGTCGTCGACGAGGATCGGCGAGATGCGATACTCTCCAATGTTCGCAGTGCGGCGCGGACGGACGGGACCAGTAACCTATTCGGCTCGACCTCGAACGTGATCCCCAGTCCGCCACAGGCATACTCGAGCAACTCGACGACAACGGGGAACCGGTACGCCGCGACGTATCCACAGCAACAGCAGGCTCCTACCTCGCCGTTCGAGTCGGTGGAACGGCGAACCGACATCGGCTCCATGTACGTGCCGATGCAACCTGACCAGTACGGCTCGTACAACAATCAGGCTGCCGGTTCTCAACAACATGGCGCCTCCGCACGTCATGTCGCCCCTCCTGCGCAGACCGTGCCTCCGTCGTTCTACGGCGCCGGTGCTATGCCGCCTCCCAATGGCCAACAACGCAATCCGTTTGCACCCGCAGACACCCTACCCACCGCTCAGGGCCAGGCCAGTACGAAAGATGCTCGTAGGAAGAGCGGTATGGATCTCTGGACACAGTGAAGCAGCTGAGCTGTATATCCTCTCTTCACCCGTTCTTGTGTTTCCGCCTCGAAAAGCTTCTGTGTTATGTGATCTAATGTCTGCTCTCCACTGTGTCATCATGCGTCCAATCTCAGACCCTTCGCACTAGAGATCCCTCACAGGAGTTTGCCTACCAGGGTATCTGTAATCAGGAATGACTTACCAATGATCAAGGGCGCATCTGTCCATGGACTCTACTCGTGATGTAGCTTGCTGACATGCACTATGTATATTCACCCGGCCGCCATGTACCTAGCAACAGACAAATTCATCTCTCTCTATGCACTCTTCTCGAATCTCCGTGAGTCGGATGGGGATCTACAGGCCAGGGCCTCCTGTGTGACGTCGGCTCTCCTCCTGCACGCACCAAAGAGTTACAGTTGGTTGAAAATCTCCTCGACTTCCCAAGCACCGGCCCAATATCGGACCTGGCACTTGAGTCGGCCTTCCTCCTCGTAACTACCGATAAGCTTCTCCAGTGCGCGATGTCTCCTGCAGAGAACCATGTCTTGGCTACGCACACAGGTTTGTTAGCCATAGTGGGCGTGGTAAGATCCGGCCTACCTCCTCAATCGTAGAACCGGGCATAAGTCGTTGGACCCGTCTCCCACGTAGATGACGCGGTCGAAGGCAAGGTGGTGTCGCTCTAGGAAGGCCTCCAACTCCTCCCCTGTGGGATGTTATCAGTCATGGGGAATCTCGACGGAGGACGCCGCACGGTACCTTTGCACATATTGGGACTGCATCCCACTTTGCACTGGTGCTGCGGGCCGTTCGGGTCTACTCTTCGTCGGAGCTTGAGCAGGCCCGAAGGATCCCACTCTGCGGGGTTTGTGACGATTTCTTCGAAGACTGTCTCCAGTCCTTGGGCCTACGAAGCAGCTTAAGTGACACGAGTCCGCGTCAACCCATCAACCGGGGCCGACCTTGAGAATCGTCGTAATGAAGACGATGTTCGCGTTGGAAAGGCACAAGAATGTCGTCTTCGGGCTGGATTTGGCCTTCAAGTTTGTGACCCCACGGGCCATGGCGGGGTGCTAGTGCTTCGTCAGCGGATATCGGAGTACGGTATGCCGCGGTGCACGCACGAAAGGCATCTTACGCAGAGCGCCTTCGATTTGCTCTTGAGTGACCCCGCGGCCGTGCAGTTCCCGCAATGTCTGCGCACTTTCCCGGGAATATGAGATGTGAGAGGGATAATATACAAAACATCTTACACCAAGTCTGTCCATTGGATGTCCTTCTTGAGATTCTTCATTTTTCTACGCAAATCTGGTGCAAGGACCTCGAAGATCCAGCGATCAGAGTCCTGATCCGCCATAGACCTGTGTGAGGTAGATCGCGTCTTCGAGTTTTCACTCAGAGACTCTGGACATACCAGTCAAAGTCAAACACAACTAGCTGCCTCTCCACGGTGCTCGCCATCCTGGATGCCTGTCGCGGTGATGGACTCGTATTGACTTGACCGAGTCAAACTAAAGCAGACGGCGGTGTATAGGATCGAGATCTCGATCCGACGCGCTGCACGTGAGTGGGCAGCTTACCTAACGCCACGCCGCGACGCGGTCTGGCTGGCCATGCCTTCCACTCTCTGCACCGCAAAGGCCTCCTACAAAAAGCTCTCCGGCACCCTCGAACTCACAAACACCCATCTCCAATGGACGCAGGACGGAAAGAAGGCACCCTCAGTCCGTGTCGCCCATGCTGAGGCTGCGTGTTAGTTTGGCTTTGTGCTCGTACAATGAGACAATGAGTTGACAATGTTCGTGATCCCAAAGCTCTCTTTTCGAGCAAGGAGGGCGCACCCCAGGTCCGTCTGAAGGTCGGGCTCGTGCATGATGATGCAGGCCACAACTTCACCTTCACGTCACCGCAACCGACCGCGCTAGTTGAACGCGAAAAGTTCAAGAGCGAGCTCACGAACATCATCAGTCGTAACCGCAGTGGCGTCGCGACCCCTGCAAAGGCACCCGGTACTCCTGTCATCACGACACCTACGAATGCCGCCAAAGCAAAGCTACCCCAGAGCGCTTCGAAGCTGTCGCACTCGCGTGCACCGTCGGTAGACTCCAGAGCCTCGGGCACTCCGGTGGGCGGTGGCGGTGACCCGAGGAACGACTACCGATTACGAAAGAAAGTGCTACTAGGCAACCCTGAGCTCGCGGCATTACATCGCGAGCTTGTTATGGGTGGGCATATCTCGGAGAACGAATTCTGGGAAGGGCGAGAAGTACTTAGTCAATGTTCTCTCTGTTTATGCGGCCCTCTGACCGATGACATCCAGCATCTCATCCTGGCGCAAGCCGCCGCTGAAGGGCAGAAACGCGGTAAGCCAGGGCAACTCGTCGACCCTCGTCCACAAACGGTAGACGGAGAGGTCAAGATAATCATCACGCCGCAATTGGTCCACGACATCTTTGAGGAATACCCTGTCGTCGCTAAGGCCTACAGTGATAATGTTCCGAACAAGGTGCGCCCGTGTCGCTCTCCGCTGTATAGCATATTCACCGCGTAGGCAACAGCTAACGGAGGCGGAGTTCTGGAAGCGGTACTTCCAATCCAAGCTGTTCAATGCGCACCGCGCGTCGATTCGTTCGTCCGCGGCGCAGCATGTGGTCAAGGATGACCCGATCTTTGACAAGTATTTGGAAAAGGATGACGACGGTCCGTACCTTGAGTCGTAAGAAATCTGCATAGTCGTCCTGACTTGACATTCAGAGGTTGAGCCCCGTCGCTTGCGAGAAGAGGGTGTCGACATTTTCATTGATCTGGGCGCAACTTTTGTGGACCATGAAGAGGTAGCGGGACGCCTCAGTTTATTCGATGGACTATCCTCACCGTAGTTCCCTGCAGACTGGCAACATAAAGGACGTCACCATGCAACCAGGCAAGCAAAGGGCGGTGTTGCCGCTAATTCGAAAGTTCAACGAGCATTCTGGACGCTTGTTGCACACCGCGTTGTAGGGTGTTTCTATATCGCATCTGTATGCGTTGAATTGACCGCATGTCTAGGGGCGAGCCTGCCGCTAAACGTCGTAGGGTGGACGATGGCGGAGACGTAAGTGTTCAGCCGCACTAGCGGCCGCGTCTTCGCCGCCAGATGACTGACGCTGCCAAATAGCACTCTTCACAACTAGACCTTGACGACCTCCATGACAACCAAAGCTCCGCCGGTATTCTGCTAGATATGCAAGATCGACAACGATACTTTGAGAGCCGAGCGTTGGATTCGGCGTCAAACGATGCCTCTGCCGTATGCATCGTTCTATGACCTAAGTGCTCTAGCTCATGCAGGGTTGATAGGGTGTTGACCCGGCGGCTGCCCTGCAAGGGGTCAAAGACAACCTCGAGGGTTGGTCGGAGAATCTGAGACATGTACGTGTCGCACTCCTCATACATGCTGCATTAGCTCACGTTGTGATGAACCTCAGCTGCAGCTAGAGAACAAGGCCGGAGACACGGCCCTCATAACCATGACCAAGAATGTCTCCGCCCGCTTGGAGGTGAAGATGCGTAAACGTCCGTCGGATCTTGCTTTCTATCTCGGAAGAAGCTTTCTGATTCCCATTCGGTCTTCGCGCATACAGACGACATTCCAGAAGGTCTCTTCCGCCAGCTGACGACCTGCCAAACCGCCGCGAACGAGTTCTTACGGCAGTTTTGGCTCTCGATCTATCCCCCAGTCGCGGAAGGACAAATTCTCTCAACTGCGACGCCAGCTCAGAAAGCAGCCAAAGCGGCAAAAATGGTGGCATATCTCAGCAGGACGCACGAGAAGGTGGATGCCCTGGTCAGCGCCGCCAGGCAGGAAGGTATCGACCCTGCCCGTGTCCAAGTGGTGGGTCCTTCTCGCCCTTCTCGAAGTGTTGTCTGGGGAGCCTGATAAACTTTATGCAGGCCATGAAGCCTATGCTTGACGCTGTCGACAAAGCTCTCGCCTTCTGGCAGGCACGGAGCGCCAAGGAGAAGGCGCCGCGTTAAGATTGTGCTTCCTGGATTGCTCGCGGACACGCATACTGTACGTACATACTGTAGCTGCATACCGTCACGAGAGCACCATGACGATAATATCCGATCTATTTCCACTCTGAGCGTGCCCAGGCTTGTTGGGCTTCTGCGCTCACGCAAGCTCGAGTCGTACTCCACTGACAGCTGCCGATGATTGAGCTGCTCGAATATGGACGGAATTTGCCCGCGATGATGGCATCCTTCAAAGCTCCATGGCCGACTGTGGACGGGTAAGTGAGTCGTCAGTCTATCGGGCACTTTGGGGTCGTCCATAGTCGATTGCAGATGTTGGGCTTTCGCTCACCAATAACGATATCCTTTGCCTGTGACCTTCCTGGCGGCAGCCAGACCACCATGAATCCGTGGATGTCGGTTGGATATTGCGGCGCTACCCTGGTCAGTCTGGTGACCGACCTAGATTGAAATCCGAAGATTGTCTACATCCATTGCGGTTACTCCTCCCAGTCATGACCCCGTCGTCGAGTCATATTTCGGCCTCCAAGCCGGGATACCACCGTTGATAAGCTCTCCAAATCCCTGTAAGGTGGTCGAACGCTTTCTCAGTTCAAGTCGACACTGTTCATTGTAAAGCAGGTGAGAACGGAACTGTATTATTCCAAGATACTATGGGAACGATATGCGTGCGATGAATACCGATGATAAGTCCGTGATGCAGAGTATCAGTCGAAGGACGGCCCTATGTACTAATAAACGGAGGGGGCTGCTTCTGCAGCTGTGGCCCTGACGATGTGGCGCACTCAAACGTTGTGAACATCACCAGTAGATGTAGCACGATAGCGTAGCAGATGAATACTGTCCTTGTTCGACGGTTGCCGAGAATAGCCCGAGTGAGTACGAGCACCCCTCTTTCCAGAGGGTTCAGTGATTCATACGCGCGGGTGGCTTCCTGGGAGCAGGGACGGTCAGCAAACGTCCAAGTAGCAATGTCGGGGGAAACGCACTCTTCCACGGAATGCTTGGAAGGGATTCATAGCCTCCTCACTAGAAAGGATCACTCAGCGAAATGGACCACGAATTGGAGTAGACGGGAACTGACTATCTAGCGCGGTACTTGCTCATACCATCTCCTCGGCCGTTGGCGCTTGCAGGGATGGGGTCGAGTGTGGATGGGCGCACAGCCGCATCTTCTCTGTAACTCTGCATGTAGCGGACCTTCTCGTACAGCTTGAGATTATCGGCTTGAAGACTTTTGACCTGCAAGCATCATGAAGCATGAGATACACGCTGACGAACGGTCAAATGGTATCTACGGACCTCATTACGAAGCTCTGAGATGATGTTGAACTGCTTGCGCAACTCCTGTAGTACTCTTCAGTTACTGACCCATGCTCGCCGTTATGCCCAGGGACAACAAACCTCCTCCAACTCGGCATTCCGCTGTCGGAAGCGGTCGCGCTGGCTCGTCACAATCGGCAAGATAGACGTGTCCGCAGACGATCCAAATGGTATTGGCGTCGTTCTCGCTGGTGAATCCTACAGAATGTCATCAACCCCCGCCCAGCGCACCGAATGCCCGCTCAGACACTCACCGTCTTCTTCCCTAGCTCAATCCCTGCGAGCCCATCCATCGACCCGATCCGTGGACTATCGGAGCCTGCATCGCCGTTTGGTTTGCGCTGGTCCATCTGCAGCAAGTCATTCTCGAGCCTCTCGTTCAACATCCGTTGCTTCTCGAGCTCAGACTCGGTAGCAGCGAACTGGGCCTGCGCCGCCATCAAGGATGCCTCCAACTCGCCATGGAGGATCTGCCATCATACGTAATGTACATCGTCAGAAGACGTCGCGGCACATGGGCAAGCGAAACTCACTCTGAACTTGGTCAGCTCTTCCTGGATCCGCTTGTTCTTGGTCACAAGCAGGACTTCGAGCGACTTTCCAGTTTGGGCGTTCGCCTTCTCGGCGTTGGGGTTCGGAAGACGGAGGCCGAGAGCATCGCCGTGACCGTTGATCGGGATACCGTCACTGTCTTCGTCTTCCTCAAGCCCACCAAACTCAACGTACTAGGAGACGAGGTGAATACAAAATAGGTCGCAACGGTTCAAGAGTCCGCACCTTCATGATCTCGAGCTCTCGCTTGACCTCGTCGTAGTCATTGTACTGCTTGAGTTTGGCCCTGAGCTGGTCGATCTCAGCAGACTAGTGGGAATATCCGTTGAATCAGCATAGGCACTGTCGATGGTGCAGGATGTGCGTTTACCTTCTTCTGTAACTCTCGAGCACTCTCCTCAGCTTTCTTGGTCACTGTCGCCTTCGCATCTGCTGTAGCGAGCTTCTGCGCGTCCAGCGCGCGAGACAGCTGATCAGTTTCCGATTCCAGTTCAGTGACCTTCGCCTCGAACTCCTTGATCCTGTATTTGCGGGCATGTCAACTCATTGAACAACGCTAGATGCTCTCAATATGCTGACCTGTCCGCATGTTCGCTACCACTCTTGATAGCCTCGATCTCCGCACGCAAGAGTTCCTACACGCATCATTCTGCTTGGGTGAATACATCAGGTACGGCTGAACAACATACGTTTCGTCTCTCGACAGTAGCGACACGGCTGTTGGCCTGTTCGAGGTCCGCGACGACCATATCGAGTTCCGCGAGCTTCGCAACAACTTCCTGGTCTACAGATACGAGTCACGGACTGCGGACCAAGACGGACACGCATCGTACCTTGGCGCTGAGTGTGGTCGAACAACTTCGCTTGGTTGGACTCGTTTGATGTGCGGAGGTCCCTGAGCTGGCTCTTCGTCAAGGCGAGTTGTCGTTGAAGGTCCTGTTCCCTACGAGCATGTCAGCAGAGGGACGTCATGCGGATCTACTATACCGGCATACCGTTCCTCGTAGTTGCGCATCTTCTCGTCGTAGGTCGCGTTCAGCTCGTTCTCTTTCTGCGTGACCTTGTCCTGGATCATCTCCTCCATCTGGGCATACGTTGCGTGGTCAACATCCCATCCCTGCCACACTTCGGCGGACGCACCTTCTGCTCAAGCTGCTCAACGCGCATATCTGCCTTACGTTTCGCCGCTTCCAACGACGCCGCCTCGTTCAGACGCTTGCGCAGCTCGACGTTCTCGTCGCGCATTCGCTGCAAGTCGGTCTCAAGCTCGCGCGCCTCGGCAACCTTGACGGTCTGGTCCTGTTCCCACAGACAATGTAGTGATCTGCGCAGTAACGCTGAGGTATGCACGTACGACGGCCGCCTCCAACAGTGGATATGGGTCGGGTGCCTCGGCCAAGACCTTGTATACGTTGAGGAAGGCATTCTCAGCCGTCTTGGAACGTTTCGTGAGGCTGTCGATCTCGGTCTGGTAGGCTAGCACGTAAGTCAGTACCGCCTGCTAACGTGCCGCCGAACCATAGCAAGCCTACGCGCACATTTCAGCAGACCCTTGAAGGCGTTAAGCTTCTCTTCATCAGGAATCTTTTTGAAGTCTAGATAGTATGCGTAGACGAAGTCAACGCTTCGCCCTAGACGAGAGGCATACGGCGCACCCTTAGTACGGTCTGCGAGACCCTTGCGGCCTACGACGCTCTCCTTTTGATTCTCCACGAGCTCAATACCCTGTGCATCGAGAGTCTTTTGCAGCTCGGAGAGGTTGATGTCTAAGGAACAGACGGTTCATGCGATTCTTATGACACCCATTGGTTCATGAGACGTACCTCTCCATGTGGCCAGCGCGCCTGAGAAGTTCTGCTCAACTGCAGTCATAGCGTTGGCGACCAGCACCACGTCAGATAAAGTGAGATGGGATGAGACGCGTGGGGCGTATAGTACAAGTCAAGAAGGGGGACAGAGATCCACGTAGACCGGAGCGCGGGGAGGGGACGGTGGCGGGCGTATGGGTCGGCGCGTCGCCGAGGAAGGAAGGTCGTTCCCATGCGCATCTGAGATGTGCCCGCGCTTGCTTCGGAAATTGCTGGTCGCACATCGCTCTCGCTGCCACCGCACATCGTGCTCGCTCTGACCCACCCGGCCTGGCCTGCTCGCCACCATGAACGTAGTGCGCAACGCAGTGCACAATGCGCTGCGCCCTGCGCTGCGCAGTCGCCCCTACGCTACCTACGTCCCGCCAGCGTCGCTGAAGGAGGTCGGCCCTGGACAGCGACCCTGGCTCTCGAGCAGACAGCCACCTGAATCTCCCAATTTCTATACCGGCCGCGCCGAGTACTACGACTCCCTCAATGATCTGGAGACCTCCATCCAGCACACGCGTGCTGCCCTCACGTCCCTGCAGCTCCTCCCGCTCCCGGCCTTCGCTCGCGCCGCCATCCCGCCCGCACAGCACGTGTGGCAAACGAAGCAGGACATCATTCAAAGGATGAGAATGACCCTCAGTACGACGCGGTACCGCCGCCTCATCAAATTGCTCAACCAGCTGGACCAGTACCGGCGCATAGCGGACGTCGCCGGCGTGGACGTGCTCACAGAACGGATCGAAGGCGTGCTGTCGGTGTTCGAGAAGCCCAACAAGGAGGCCATCCTTGCGCACGGGAAGAAGAAGCCGGTGGCATTTGATGACTATGGGAGGACCTACACCATTGGCCGAAGGAAGACCAGTACCGCTCGTGTCTGGACTATCGCTGTGCAAAGGCCCCCAGAGGAGCCCGTCGAAGAGCAGAATGCCGATGGGCAGACTGCCGACGAGGAGGTACTGCCGCAAATGGAGTCGACTGTGGTATCAGCGATCGAGTATATACCACCGAAACCCGTCAAAGTCACTTCCACGAACATCGTCATCAATAACAGACCGCTCGTGGAGTACTTGTGAGTCGTTAACATGCAGGGCCTGTCTCTGTGTATTCATGCGCTTCATACTCCAGCCCGCAATTGGCAGACCGCGAACGGGTGATCCTCCCCTTCAAAATCGCAGGCCTCGTCGGTGCCTACAACGTCTTTTCCATTGTGCGTGGCGGTGGTTCCACTGGTCAGAGCGGCGCCATCAGTCTGGGTATTGCAAAAGCCCTCGCAGCCCATGTACCCGACGTCGAGCCGCTCCTGCAGAAAGGTATGTACCCATCGGCCGTCATTCTGGCTTTAATGGCTGGCTGACATCTACGCTCGCTAGCCAAACTTCTCCGCCGTGATCCTCGTATGGTCGAGAGGAAGAAGACGAACCGGCGCAAAGCTCGTGCGGCTGTACGTCGTCCCTGCTTTCACCGCTTGAGGAGATACTGATGTCCCTTCGCAGTACAACTGGGTCAAGCGGTGATTTACTTCACTCTGCAATTGGAGATCACACTTGCACATTGTACTGCAGTCGTTGCGATGCTTTCACGGGGTTATATACATAATGAGATATGATAATACTCCTCATCACCGCGTGCCCGGCTCGTCTGTCGTGAGGGGTATTCATATACTACCCAAGAGCTATTATGGGGCGTCGAGCACATTGAGTGGCAGTGAGTCGCTCGGGGCAATGTCATGAAGATAGCTGAAAAGTCCATTCTTCCATCTAAACTACATACACACGATACTAATACAGCGTCCGACCGAAAACCCAAGCCAACAGAACCTGCAGGAGAGTTGGTCGTCAGTCAAACATTCGAAGCAGGTGAGAACAAGATAGAGCGTCAGAATTGCAGAAGTAAAATTCGTCAAGTGGTCGAAACCATTAGACTGTTGAGCTTGATAATGTGACTTGTTGTTCATCATTGTGAAGGAACGTCGCCGTCCGTGTTCAGAGAAAGAACAGAGCGAATGACTCACCGTTCGCGGGGCGCAGTGCCAGATATTCCGTCCTTCGAAGCCGCAGTTGACCGCGTCCTAGGTTCCAGATATATACCTACCACGCGTTGCGATGAATGCCCTTGAACGACGTTGGCCTTCAGGCACGAGCTGGGTACAGTTGGGTCGGTGGTGTGGGTTTGCAACAGGGAGGCGTTGAGAGCTGGTGGGAGGCACGTCCTGGGCACGTCAATTTTTGAGGGAAAATGTGAGCGTCTGTTAAGTCTCCCACGCTGCTGGACGGGACGCGGGACGATCCGAAGACGATCGCCCCTCGTGCTAACAGGTGCTAACTCGTAAGTATGTACTCGGTACTAAGTACGCTTTCTGCGATTTACGAATCGAGTCGGGAATGAGTAGAGAGATGTATTGCAATGTAGTAGACTATATATTACTCAGACAACACATGTAAAGCGGATCATGAGCGAAAGACCACAGTGGACGACGAGAGTCATAAAGCCAAAGCATGAGGAAGGTGAAGGTAATAACATAGGCGAAAGGTCTACAAGAAGCCGACTGTCAATCCATCATTGGAAGAACAGTGTCTGGACTTCTCCTTGGGAGAAAGCAAGATTGCATGCAGGACATTTGCGTTGCCGCGTCGCTACACGGGCATCAACGCAGGATTTGCAGAACGCTGGCGTACAACCTTTCAGCCATCGCACGAACAACTGATGTAAGCAAACTCACAGTGCATACACTTGGTGATGACCGTGTTGCGCATATTCTGCCTGCAAGTAGAGCACTTGAGGATGCTCTGTGTGCCATCTGTCAATAAATGCTCTAGGACGCCGTTGTACATAGCGCACTCACCATGCACTGATCCACTTCTCTCTGCAGTTGCACTTCACGAGTGCTTGAACTTGCACTCTGATCCTGAGACGCAGCCTTGAGCTTCACGGCTTGGCGTTCTGCCTCTTTCTTAGCCTTCAAGGCCGCCTCTTCTGCCAGTTGCAGTTGTGCGCGTTCTCGTGAGGCCTGCTCAATGTGTTCTTTGTAGGTAAACGTCATCTACGCAGTTCGTCAGCGAAACAGGCATCATCATGCATCGTGGCAATGGAGATATACCTTCTCGAATGCAGACTTGGAAGCCTGTACACGAGCAGCAAGTGTTTCCATCTCAGCTCGCCGTTTTTGGTCGACGTTCGCTAGATGTGCATAGGCTGTCTTGACTCTATTCAGCTCCTTCTCCGCCGCACTCTGTGTCGACATTAAGCACTCGTTACACAGGCCGATGTTCAGAGATCACGATTCTAACATACCATCTGCGCCGAGGACTTCTTCTGTGTCTCCAACCACAAGTCCGTCGCCTTGATATGCTTTTCGCATATGCGAGACAACTGCCGCCGTTCTGATTCGCTGGCCTCCTTGTCACGTAGCGCCGCCATGTACTTGTTGTCCACCTTCGCTTTCTGTACATGCATTTAGCAGGTACACCGTATCATAGGACGGCCATACCACTCACCTCAGCAACAGTCCTGGTGAGCTTATCTTCCATAGCAGAGAGGTCGAAAACCTTGCTTTGTAAACGTTTGTCCAGTGACTCCCATGCAGATGATAGCCTATCCAGCTCGGCATAAATGGACGCCTCCGCCTGTGCCCCAGAGCAGATAAGTATCACATCATGAAACGCAATGGACGCACTTGCCTCTTGCTGTTGTGTCAATTGCAGAGTCAAGCGTTCGAACTCATGTTCCCTCTGCTGCAACCGTTCCAGCAATGACGTTACGTCTGGGGGAAGCGCAGATGTATCCCCATATACCGAACGATACTTCTCCAATTCTTTCTCAGCTGCCGCTAGACGTTCTCGGGCGTCAACTTCATGTCTGAGGTCTCCTGCGTTGTCTGATTGTTGACGTTGCGATAGTGTGACCTCTAAGGCAGCCACCCTTGCCTCGGCCGTCCTGTCATACAGCGAAGATACCGTTAGGGATGATAGAGACGCCTGTAATGTATACATACCGAAGTCTCTCTTTGATATCATCGACATATTCCTTCGACTCCTCAGAGTAACCACGCAGAATGAAGTGTAATAGATCCTCATCGCCGGTCTGAGCGGCGTGACGACTTCGGAGCCTCGTCACTTCCGACTTCAGCATCTCGATGCGTTCCTGTGATTTGATGCTGCCAGTCAGAACAATCCTCCGACGCCACTTTGTAACAACTGCGACTTACAGAGCGTGATTCGGACAAATGCTTGTACTCGTTCAGCGCCTGGCATTTAACTTGCTCCTTCTGCCTGCGCTCATGCAGTTCTGCGGCATACTGGTCCCGCGTTTCTCGAAGTCGTACATTGTCGTTGTCTCGTCTTGCCAGCATAGCTGTCAGCTCGTTGACAACATGTTCAGAAGCTGCCTGGCTAACACGTGAGCACGAACGTAAAATACACAAGTCTCTACTGACCGTAGCAGCATCCACGATTTCAGTTCGTTTCTCCTCTGCTTGCTTCAATTGCTCTTCAAGGTTTTTAACGGTCTGTTGCTCATCTTGTCGTGCATTTTCAAGACGATCACGCTCTTCCTGTAACATACGATAGTAAGGCGAGGCGACCACCACTTCTTCTGCAACGGCGCGGATCTAAGTTAGGAGTTAGCCTGAGATAGTGAACGAGAAGTAGAACTTACCTGAGCCCATAACTGGCCAACAGTGTGCCGCAAGGACTCGTTCTCTGACCGAGCCTTCGCAAGTTCTGCAGAACGGAATCTGGCAATGGCCTCCCACTCTTGCGCCGTCCCTGAACCGCCGTCCCGGTCATCAGCTGGCGGAGGCTAGAAGCACATCAGGAGGTATTCTACGATCAGAGATGTACAAAACTCCCACCAATGGACCGAAGGACTCACTGCTGGCGATGCCGAGGCCTCGGACGATGGTTCAGTCTTGACTTTGCCATTAACGGAGTGTTTATGTGAAGCAGACGCGACCTTGCTTTGCATTCGGTCCATGCGCTTCTCAGCTGCGACTAGCTGATCACGGTAAATATCCCGTTCCGCCTCCATGTCGCGTAGTCTGGTACGTGCGAGGGATAGTTCCGCTCGTAGAGATGATTCCTGTGGACACTAATGAAGACAGGTCAACTAGCATGCATGACAACTCACGTACCTCCGTCTGTGCTTTCTGCCGTGTCCGAAACTCCTCGTCTTGCATGACCCGCACCTGCGTCTGTCCACCCAGACGTACGAACGCACTTACAAGCTCTGTTGTTGCTTGCATCTTACCTCGCAGGGACTCGACATACTGCGGGTCTGCATCGTCAGATACATGGGCTGTGAGGTCGTAGAGTTCTGAACTGGCCATGTCAGTTCGTGTACTAGGTCGGGGTGCTGGAGAACATACCGTGCGGTGACACATCAACAGGGGGGAGGTCGTCAGGCTTGACTAGCATGCGGATTGTGCCAATGATCTGGGTGGCGCTCAGAACGCACTACCGGATTGAGTTGGGTTTGGCATACCTGAATCCAGCACGCCTCAAGTGCAGCCAAACCAGCCTCACAAGTACTCCGTCGTCGCTCCAGCTCTGCAACGCGAGCCTCGCTTCTCTCCCATTCGCGTGAGTAGTACTTCATTCGCCTATAGATCGCGTCTTTGCGGAACATCTACATGAGAAATACGCAGAGTCAATATTGACCTCATGACAATCTCTATATCGTAACAATACCTCCAACTGGTCACTGTCTCTAGGTTCGTCTGGATGTGATTCGACACCATTGACGAGACTCGCAGCCGGTTTCTCCTCGCTCACCGCCCGCTTCTTGGGAAGCGACTGCTCGGCGTCATCAGCGTAAGGTCGCTTCTTCGTCTCCGCCATTGCGCAAGAGGGATAGTGGCGAGCGGTGAAGCCAGGGTACGTGGTCGCGAAGGTCGAACAAGCCCAACAGAGGGCGAGCCCAGTGACAAATGGGACTTGAATTCTTCAATCTCCGACAACTGGATCGGGGAGCGCGGGGTGGCCACGTGCTATGGGACTGCTATGGGGTGTCGCGGTCTACGACGCGTCTTGTCAACGTCTTGTCGAAGCCCGGCCATGGACTCGCCCAACATCTCCGAGCTCAACTTCGAGCAGAGCGGCTCGCGTCTTCTCTCAGAGTCATCTCTTTTGCCCAGCAGCAGCTCCAGCTTATCACGTACGGGCCCAGGAGGCGACGACCTCTCCCTGTCGGAACTATCACTCTCGGAGCGTCCTCAGCCTGCGCCATCACGTCGTCCAAAGTTCAGCTTGCTAGCGCAGCCGTTACCTCAGAAAGACTCTTTGCATCAAGATGAAAGTGCGATCGCAGAAGAGGATGCCGAGACAGAAGATGCCGGGCTGGACCATACAATGACGCAAGAAGACGTAGAGAAGGCGAGGAAGTTGGCGGTTCGGACACGAGAGGAAAAACTCCAACACGATCTGTTCATTTTAAAGAAGCTCAACTCAGCCTTTGAAGTGTATAAGGAGGCGTTGAAGGAGGCGAAGTCCAGTACCGAGGTCAGTGTCGGAAGCCTGCCGTGCGATACGAGTGTCATAACTGCTTCCAGCGAGTTGCTGAGCAGCTGAAGCACACGGATGCGCTGCTAGATAAATATGTGAACATACTGTCCAAGACTGAGGATGCCGCACGTCTCATCATGGACGATCGATGGCAAGGTGCCGAGGCGGTCTGTAGCATCACTTCACAATGCGGCTTCCGCTAACTCCTGTCCAGGACGAAGACTTCCTCGAACGCGAGTACCAAGAGAAACTGGAGCGGGCTCGGCGTGAGGAGGAGGAGCGTATGCTTGCTGCAGAGCGGGAAAGAGAACGCCTTGAACGAGAAGAGCAGGAGAGAAAAGAAGCGGAAGACAGGACAAGGCTTGAGAGGGAGCGAGCCGAAGCAGCGAAGGCCGTTGGAAGGGGAAGTGGTGTACGGGGTGTCAGAGGTACGAGGGCATCCATGAGAGGGATGAAAGGTGTTGCTCGTGCTGGTGAGTATGCAACTTTAGGACCAAGAGTGATATCATTCATGACGCGATCAAGTACCCACTGCAACTGCGAGCACAAGAGGTACTCGAGGGACTACAAGTACAACCGGTCTCAGACGACCCACCACGTCTACTCGGCCAATCGGATCTACCACCCGTGGAGTTCCAGCTTCCAAGCGAAGCTGAAGTTGAGCCTCGTAAGTTGCATATTATGTTTCGGGACTGTTGTTCAGAACCGTTTTTCCATTAACTGATACTGAATGGCACTTGGTCAGGAATCGCATGAGCGTTCCCAGTGCCCTCCGATCTCTGATGATTTGATGCCTGTCGCGGTGGTTGTCGTGCAAGTGCTCTTCGGCTTTTCTCAAGGCGAAGCATACGCGGATGGGGATCACGACCCAGCCAGTGGGTTAGAGACACCCCAGCGTACGCACGCTATGTACGCCCACGGAGTTTGCGAGACTTCCTATGTGGCGCTCGGGTACCTGGCCTTGGTCAAGTCGCATGAAACTGCCCATAGGGGTCCGATCCCTTGACCGTAACCTCACATATGGCTGATAGCCTATGCGCCTACGACGCTTATACTGTGCTGGGCCCGGAACTACAGGCCTATCTCGATGTGCTAGGCACCTCCGTTGGGATTAGTGGGTAAACGCGTTTATTATGATTGACTGTGATGCTACTTCTGCGATTATGACACAAGATATCAATCTGCAAAAGAGTATTCATTCACGACTTCTTCATTGACAGTCCATTTACCAGGATCTTTTATTCATGAAACCCCGATAAATGGACGGTGGGTGGGACAGTTCTGCGCATTTGTTCGAAAGGTTTGTACTAACTCAAGCCCTTCCGGTCTACTGACTTCATCAGCATGTACTCTGAAAGTGCGTGGCTACTTGCGACGACAGAGTCGACACCGATTGACCCGTGGGCGCGCTGTCTGAGCCTGTGAGGCTGGCAATAGGCTGTCCGGGCGCGACCACGTGACCGCGGCGGCGCACCCTCCTGGATATCCTACTTAAACTCTCCCTGTTTGTAGGGCACTCCCCCATCACTGGCGCGGCCTCGGTATCCGCACCATAACCTCTGTCTGGGACTACACGATATTGCCAAGATGCACAGCCTACCACTCACCCTCGCCATCGTCTACCTCGCCTCACATTGTGTCAGAGCCGGCACCGTGTCGAAAGGAGGGGATTGCTCCGTCGCTAGCCAACGACTCAATCTGGGAACGTACCAGTTCTACTCAGAGTGTGACATTATCACCTTCTGCAACGCGACGGCGAGCAAGTGTGAGCTGAAGGGTTGCAGAAAGGACCAGTTCCCCTTCGGATACGCCGACAACGCTGACTTCCCCCCATTGTGTCCGTCGGGCATGTTCTGTCCGGACGAAGAAGATCAATGCTTGGAAGTGCTGCCAGTGAGCAGCCCGTGTCAATTCAATCGCGACGGTAGGGTGGGTTTCTTTTCTTTGCTCATTGCTGACCATCCTTGCAGATCAGTGTCAGCCCCCTCCTAATCATGCACAACTCAAGGACGTTCAAGGGTTTGGCCGGAATTCGAACGGTGCAGTATGCCTCCATAACATCTGCATGTATGCCCGTCGGTTAGACAGTCATGATACTGGCTTATATCTATGTTTAGGTGGGCAAATGCAACAACTGGCGAGGCTTGCACTGTGGAGAATACCGTCTTTGCCGTGTTCGGTAGCGACGGCCATGAATATGCTGATGTTGTTTCTCGGTATGTTCACGCGTGAGGGTGCCAAGCGACTCACTAACGACGCAGGTAGGGATAACTGTCAGATCAACTCATACTGTGACTCCAGCACCCTCTTGTGCGTAAAGACGAAGGAGTATGGTGCATCATGCACGGGTAACAAAGAGTGAGCCGTCGTCGTTGATAAGCTACCCACGTCGACTAACCATGCCTGTCAGATGCGCATCTTTCAATTGTCTGTCCGCAGGTGCATGTGGCTCGAGCACTGACACGCCCGCGCATGTCTCCAAGTGGGTGTACGGTGTTGTAGCAGCTTGCGCCCTTGGAGGTACGATCACATTCATACTCCTGCCGCAGCGGAGAATTGATCTCTCGTTCAGGTGTTGTCGGGACGTTATCGCTCTTGCTGACGTTGCACAAGAAAGAACGCGAAGAGGCGCGGAAGCAACGAATGCAATACTGGGAAGAACAGGTACATATGCCGTCATCGTTCGCAGCAAAGATTCACCACTGATATGGCGTCCTGTAGAATGCGCTGCGATCAAGTTTCCTGAGCATGCAAGAAGCGGCACACACGTCGCTCCATTCGTTCGACGGGAATACGAGGAGACTGCAGAATGGCTCATCTAAGAGGCACTCATACTACGATGACCTGCAAACACCGCCGATGCAGGGTCCCAGCAAGTCACTGAGCGGGCTGCGTTACACCGTCGTTAGCGATGATGGATACGATAGCCAGCTCCAGACACCATATGCCTCAGGGCAAGCATCGCCGTCCTGTTCTGCGCCTCGGTGAACGAGGCTCCCGGACTTCCGGCGACCACTCGTTGCGTATTTACGAACGGTTGAACATATGTTGTAGTGCTTTGCCCAGCGGAAACAGGATAGTTGCCTTGACAACGATTTGCGCACGATCATTCATTCATGCCAAAGCGATCTGGGGTTTTCTGTGAGTATGACATTCCAGCGCGACGAGGCCTCGCCACGACGCCACATGCAGGTTCCGAGTTGGAAGTGGAGCTACGCATGGGCGCCTAAATGGTCCGCAAGGTTATTCGCAGGTTATTCGCACCACCTCCATTCGGCAGCCGCAGTCTACAGCCCCGCGGCCGTCTGGCAAAGAAACGAGGTTACACGCCGCTAACACCATTCTGGGCCTCGACCACCACCTCTCAGTTCGCTTGCTCCTCCCGCTTCCAAGCGCTGTGTACCATTGTGTCGCAGCGGGCTGTGAGCCATGAGCTCAGCCTACCCTACACCTTCAAGTTCATTTCCGGATGAGGAAGACATCAGCCATGCGGGAAGATGGATGGAAGACCGTCCCGCCGAAGGCGGCAGCCCGGGGAGCAACAGGGACAAGGGGAAAGGAAAGGAGAGCGACGAGGAGACATTGCGGGTAGACACGGTGGAGGAAGCAGATGCAGAGGACAGTGAAGAGATTTACGCTGGCGCGGATGAGTACCCACCCACGAAGGAGGAGGAGGAAGAGTCCCGTCGGGTAGAAGAGGTGCGCCCATAGTCACCAATCATCCCGAGTTCGTCATGCTAACCTCAAGGCTCAATCCGACAGAACCTCCGAAAATGGGAGATCGCAGAGCGCGAACGACGGAAGGCAGCTCGCGAGTCCGCGGCATCGGGGAGCGGGATGTCCATAGTCACTGACGTCGCTCGCCGCGCGAGCCTGCTGTGGCCCAGCAGCCGAGCAAAGCAAGCATCCATGGGCGGGGTCGGTGCACATCGCAAGCTTCGCACGACCGACTCAGACTCAGTCCCGTTGGAAGACATGGACAGCAGCCCTGGACCCTCCCGGGGCGTGACCCCAGAGCCCATAGACGACCCCTTCGCAACCCCCGGTCAATCCACCCTCTCCCTCGCCCTCGACCCCCAGCTGTCCGCCGTCATGACAGCGTCAGACACGCAGGATCCATTTGAGGACGGCGAGCAGTCGCCCACTACGCCCAAAGCTGCGAAGGCCACAGGATTGCTCCCTTCAACCTCGCTTTCGAGGGCACCTCCACCGCAACCGCTCAATTTGCCGAGACCGCGGACGCCTCCGCCGCGAGCGGAGACCCCGCATACGAGTCGACCACCTGAGCCGGTCGCACCACCTGTAGTCGCTCCCACGCAACAGGCGGAGGAGCCTCAGGAAGTTCGGTGGTGGACGGAGTGGTTATGCGGGTGCAGCGAAGGTCCAGACCGCGGAGGTGACCACCAGGCAAGTCTTCTGTCCCCATCCTCTCGTCCTCTCGCTGACGCTGTGGCGATGTAGGCGGGTCGCACAAATCCATTTGAGTAGACACTACTCTCGTCCACCACTCCTTCAGCTTTGGACGCACCCATCCCTCGTTGACCCGGACTGAACTCTATAGTGTAGCCTCCTGCTCTCACGGACACATCCTGCGCTTTCGTGCGACGACATCGTGTTGTGCAACTATTTATACTTACTTGCCCGACGTCTTGACAATGACACACCCCAGAATCAGTGTCGTAATTCTCCCATGCCTAGATACCCGCCATATGTATTGTATGGATACGGATATCACTCTCCGCGTCATCCTGCCGCGTGGTGGACGACGAAGACATCTAGAGCATTGCGCCATTGATAGGTCGCTGGTAACGCGCCTGGTCGCGCGCGACGCTCCCAATGCACGTTCCACACCGTAGTGGCAGCAGGCGACCGCCTGAGCACGCTCCTAGAAGACGCATTGCCATTACTTCCCGCATCCAGGACAACAATGTACAACATCATGTACGAAGACGTCACACTCTGGGCAGAAATCGTTGTGACAGTCGGGACATCGATACCGCCCAAGCGGACTCATCCCCTCGCCCGACGAACCGGCCATCTGCTGTGGCGCATTTTTGAACGGGCGGGCACAACCATGGCAGCTTGAGCTTGGATTCGGTGTATCGTCCAGGTCCGTGCTGGAGTGAACCGCGTCAGCACAACCGTTGGCCACCGCATCACTAACTATGCCAGCAGAGGGACTTACACAGCCTGGTATGTTTTCACCGGGAACAAATGGTGATAGCTCCGCGCCAGGTGCGGCGAGCTCACGATCATGAGCCCGCATATGTCGCAGTCCGTCGGCACGTCGCACACCTTCGCGCCGCACCGCGGACACAGGAAGCCCTCGCTCTTCAGCTTCGAGTGGCAGACGCACAGGCTCGGCGGCGAGGTGTCGGGCAGGCGCGTGGGGAAGCCCATCATCATCAGGTCTGCGGGGGCGGTCGCGCCGCCGCGGGCATTAGGTGCGGTGGCACGCTGCGCGGGCGGCGGGATGAGCTCGAAGAGGAGGTCTTTGAAATGCCCCTCGTTGAGCGCGACGCCGAACTGGCCTGTGCATTGTGAAGCCCGTGTGGTTGCGGGAGAGGAGAGTGGGACGGGGCGCTCGGTTAGCGGTGGCTACGACGTGAGTACACATGCGCGCACCCACCGCCGGTCTTGTCACAGAGCTCGCGGCAGATCTTCATCTCCGCGGCGAGTGCGACGACGGAAATGCGGATTCGGTCCTTCACGCACTCTGCGAGTGTCTCGTGGATGTTCCCCGGGTCGCATGTCGTTAGTGAGCCGAAAATGATGAGGATCTCTCGGGATGAGTGGGTCGGCAGGTGACTGAGGAAGACCATGGATGAGTGACAAGCAAGGCAGTCCGCGCGACGCGTACCTCGTACTGGAACGTGCCATGTCAATCGCGTTTTGTAGACTGGGTTCGCCTGTGGGCTCTAGCTTGTGTCTTTCGCTGATGGCCTTCAAAACCTCCTGTGGGTTGCCTGGGTCCCATCGCCTGAGCTCTGCTCATTTGCACGGGGCGGGATGGACGCACCAGTCATCTCGCCCAATCGTTCTCCTATACCAGCTCGCATACCCACCACACCGATTTGTCCGAGCGGGTTCTGGTCGAACCACTCTGTGACGAACTCCCTTGCGTACTGGAGCATCAGGTCAAACCGCGTTGGCCGCATGTCACGGTCCATCATCGCTGAAGATAGGTCGAGGAGGAGAATGAGATGTCGGATGATGGTACGGCGGATAGCAGCAGCGGGCGCAAGTAGTCTGACGTACGGGCCCGTCTATTGAGTGTGTCCTTTACCACATCATCGTTCATACACACCGCCTGCGCCTTCCCCTCGCTATGAGGTCTTCGACGGCACCCTGCAGGCTACCCGCCTCGTCTTCCTGGACTGTGTCCCATGACCGCGTGTATGACGCCTCCCATGCATATGGTTGCTGTTCGCAGGGCCACAGCACGACGAGTCTGAGCTTGTGGATCAATATAGTATTCATGCGAAGGCGCACCTCCTTGGACGTTCCCTTTCCCTTTTCCTTCTTGCCCCGGTCAATGGCTTTGCCCTTGCCCTTGCCCTTGCTTTTCGCACTTGCGCCAAAGTCGTCAAAGATGTCGACGTCAGAGTCGGATTCTCCATCGTGATAGCCAGGCTCCAGGCGTCTCGGGGGCATGATGGTATGGGTGGTAGCACGCTGAGCTGGCCAGAGCGCGTTCACTTGGAACGGTCGTGTTGTGGCGCGGAGTTATTGCACAAGGAAATTAGGGAGCGCGTCGGCCACGTGCGAGATATGCGTACCGATCGATCATGCACTCCAACTCTCTGTTCTCGAATTTGAACTGCTGTAAAGGCTCAGAGCAGTCCGAGTCCTCAGCCAATGCTTCTGCCAGGTCACTATGCATAGTGTGCGCACGCGGAACCGTCTACTGCGGTTGCAGCTCTCCCCGACGGCAGGCCGCCTGCCATCTGTGGCACGAGCACTGCTCATGACCTCCACTTGCTGTCGCTCTCCCGATCCCTCGACGGCTGACGTCATGGTGCGATGCCCGTCCGCCAACGGTAGCTTACAAGCTGTCTGAAAGGGCGCATACTGGAGTGGCTCTTGCTCGCTCGCCGCAAGCACATATATATAAGCATCGTCGCTCAGACTCCAATCCACGACCCCACCATGTCCTCGCAGTCCCAGTCCAACGCCAACGGCGGCGAGCTCGAGTTCAAGGGCTACGCCATGTGTGGTACGTCTGTCGCTACGGCGCCCTGCATGCTCGCAAGCTGATGCCCCCCAGATTCGTCCAAGTGGACGGAGCTCAAGCTGACGTCGTTCCGCCCAAAGACCTTCAAGCCTGAGGACATCGAAATCGCCATCACCCACTGCGGCGTCTGCGGCTCTGACGTCCACACGCTCACGCAGGGCTGGGGTGAGTCAAAGCTGCCCCTCGTCGCTGGCCACGAGATCGCCGGGCACGTCACTCGCGTCGGCGACAAGGTCACCGAGTTCAAGGTCGGCCAGCGCGTCGGCGTCGGCGCGCAGATCGGGAGCTGCATGCAGTGCAGGGCCTGCAAAGAGGACCTCGAGAACTACTGCCCCGACCAGATCGAGACCTATGTATGCGCGCCGGCCTCATTGGCATCCGCGTAATTTCCCTTTCTGACGGCCTGCTCGTGTAGAACGCCGAGTACGATGACGGCGTCGTCACTCAAGGCGGATATTCCACCGCCATCCGTGCACATGAACGCTACGTCTTCCCGATCCCCGACGAGATCGAGTCAGCCCATGCTGCCTCTATGTTGTGTGCGGGCTTGACCGCTTACTCCCCTCTCAAGACCTACGGCTGCGGCCCGGGGAAGAAGGTCGGCATCATCGGCATTGGCGGTCTGGGACACTACGCCGTCCTCTGGGCCAAGGCGATGGGCGCTGAGGTGTACGCTTTCGCCATCGAGCCCGAGAAGTTCGACGACATCAAGCAGATGGGCGCGGACCACGTCATCGATGCGAGGCAGAAGGTAAGCACACGCTTCGTATACCAGAGAACTGCTCATGCATACTGCTCGTAGGACTTCGCAAAGCCCCTCGCGCAGACGCTCGACCTGATCGTCTCTACGGCCGACGTGGTCAACGGCTCCCTGCCCATCAACGACTACCTCTCCACCCTCTGGGTGCACGGCGTCTTCATCACCGTCGGGCTGCCCGATTCCAACAGCCCCCTCCCGTCTCTGCACCCCATGCAGGCCTTCGCCGGAAACGGGTGTCTACTTGGTGGCAGCCATGTTGGGAGCAAGAAGGAGTGCCTCGAGATGCTGGAGCTTGCGCGGACGAAGAACGTGCGGCCGTGGATCGAGACGCTGCCGATGAAGGAGGCGGGGAAGGCACTGCAGGATGTCAAGGACAACAAGGCGAGGTATCGGTACATCCTCACCCAGGACATCAACTAGGTAGATGGGCGGATGGTGTTTTGTGTTCGTGTTCTACAATCGGAAGAATTGTGTTTGCGGCCCGGTGTGCTCGTGAGTGCGAATTATGAGGAGGTGTAGGACGTGCGTGCATGGCTCCCCACGACGATTGATCAGGGAGCACTCCGCTTCCTGATTCAATCGTCAAGGCGAGACATGTAAGCACGTCGCTGTGAGTAGGTTTCCGCCGCTAAAGAGGGCTGCAGAAGGAGGCTGAGTGATTTCCAGCCGCTCTGTGGGCACGCGTTTATATACGCTCAGCAGAACAGCGTTACGCCACCGCTTTGACTGCTCACATAGGGGAACTAAGGGAAGCTGGGCCGGCTGTCACTCCGTCATTGTCTTTGGACCAAGCACGCGTGAGTGGCAGCCGTGGCGGCGCCGATGCGAAGACAATTGGCGAAACGCTTTGACCGGCTATTGCGGGACCGCTGGACGTGGGTGCATGGCAACGAGTGTGGTCCCACTGTCTTCGAGGCCGCGGGTGGCCTCAAAGCGGCGTCGTGCATCCGAGCTCCTGGGTGTGCGTGGACTCGCGCGGATGGGTCGTGCGTGTCCGGTGTCGGACTCTGCCACTCGTGGGGAGGGCCACAGGAGTTTATTGTTTGGACCGCCACCGGCATTGCTTGGTACAACAAAGTCTTAACTCATGATTATGCAAGTATTCGTTGGCAACCGAAGCGGTGCTGTGGCGCCGCTGGGTAGGGCCAGAACCGAACTTCAAGCTTCAAGTGGCACCGGTGCCATATTTGGAAGGATGACTGCCTTTTCGGGACGATCGGGCGTATGACGTTCGACGAACTGCCAGCCTCCGGCTCTTTCACGCAGTAATCGAGGTAAGCTGAACATATGTCATGCAGTTCGACATATCACAGAATCACGCAGAATACGGTGGACGTAGGTGAAGACCGTGCGGACGTCCCCTGGTGTGAAGTGTGATGGAGGGAGGGTAGGTACATAAGAGGAGGGAGTGGTTGGGTTTCGACCACCTCCGCCTGGATCCCTACTTCCATCATCTGCGAGCCCTCCCCGAGGCACCTTCTCCCGGACCCATAAGCGTTACCCTATCACTATGCCGGAGCACGTCGAGTTCAAAGGCTACGCCCTCACCGGTGAGGATCCCCCGTGCTAACCTCATCAGCACGACTTCGAGCAACTTCGACTGACTGTCTCCGCGCAGACCCCAAGAAATGGAGCGACCTCAAAGTGGCGTCCTTCCAGCCGAAGACCTTCGCCGGCGACGACGTCGAGATCGCCATCACGCACTGCGGAGTGTGCGGCTCGGACGTGCACACGCTCACGCAGGGCTGGGGCGAGTCCCACCTCCCGCTCGTCGTCGGGCACGAGATCGTCGGCAAGGTCGTCCGTGTCGGCGGGAAGGTCGCTGGGATCAAGGTGGGCGACAGGTTCGGCCGCGTCGTGTGAGGACTCCGCGCTGACCTGCGGGACGTGAAGGCGGGCGACCGCGTCGGCGTCGGAGCCAAGATCGGTAGCTGCATGGAGTGCAGAGCCTGCAAAGAAGGGCAGGAGAACTACTGCTTGAAGGGTGGAATCTCCACTTACGTGAGTGATCCCGAATCTGCGCCTACACCAGTCACGGTGTGATCTGATGCGGGGATATTTGGCAGAACTCGGAATACCCGGACGGCGTTATCTCGCAGGGCGGGTACGCGACGGCGATCCGGGCGCACCAGCAGTTCGTCTTCCCCATCCCGGACCAGATCGAGTCGCGCCACGCTGCGTCGATGATGTGTGCGGGCCTCACGGTGTTCTCGCCGCTGAAGACGTACGGCGCGGGACCAGGCAAGAAGGTCGGCGTCATTGGCATCGGCGGTCTTGGGCACTACGCACTGCTGTGGGCGAAGGCCATGGGCGCGGAAGTGTACGCGTTCACGCACGACGAGAGCAAGATGTCCGACATCAAGAAGATGGGCGCGGACGTCATCGTCAACACGGGGGAGAAGGTACATGATACTGTCTTTACTGAAATCGAGAGAAACGCTGACCTTCGCTGTTGATGCCAGGACTACCACAAAGAGCACGCCCGCTCGCTCGACCTTATCATCTCGACGCGCGATTCGTACGGGAAGGACGCCCAAGGGGTGCTCGATGAGTACCTGTCGATGCTCTACGTGCACGGCAAGTTCATCAGTGTCGGGCTGCCGGACACGGATAGCCCGTTCCCGCCGGTGCACGCGATGTCGCTGGCGATGCCAGGGTGTCTCATGGGCGGCAGCGCGGTCGGTAGCAAGAAGGAGGCGCTTGAGATGCTTGAGCTGGCGAGGAGCAAGGGCATCAAGCCCTGGGTGGAGGAGATGCCGATGAAGGAGTGCAAGAAGGCGGTGGAAGGAGTGAAGGCGAACCGCGCGCGGTACCGCTATGTGTTGATGCAGGACATCGACAACTGAGTGCGCACCGCTGTCTGTCCTTACTTGAGTCCTTGGCGTATAAACGTAGATTTGTTTCCGGGGCGGGCCAGAAGCGGCGGCGACGCCGGAGCATTGGCGAGGCGGGGAGATTGGAGATCGATCGATCATGACGCGTCGGTGGCTGCCCTCTGCCTCTCTCTGCCTCCAATCACAGTCCTCCCCCGGTCCTCCCCACAGCGCCCCACCCGCCCCACACCTTCTCACGGAGCGCTACCGGAGCCTCGCGTCTACGCACCGTCAGGTCGCGGGCAGAGGCCGCCGTGCTGTCGCGCGCCATGTGAGGACGGCCGCCGGGAACTGTGTGCGCCACCTCGTTCAACGTTAGACTCGCATGCCAGTCCTTGAGGCGCCTCACTCCTTTTCAAGCACTCCTCCTTTTGGTAATGATAAAAGCCGAAAAAGGAATCGGAGTGCGAAAAGGAGGTGAGGGCCTCTAAGGACTGGTGAGATTGGGCGCCGTTTACCCTAGGCTCGTTCCCAGCCGTTCTGGCGAGGAGAAATTCAAACTCAGTCGTGGCACTCCTCACGTTCGCCAGAACGGCTGGTCCATTTGGGCGCCCTTTACCTGAGTACCCCCGTGGGAAACGGGACTTAGAGAAATCGAGCATACCGTGCTATGAGCACTCGTGAACATTGCAAGTGCCTCACGTCGTCTGCACGGAGACAGTAGTTACAGAAATTATACGGTATCATAGTCCAAACTCAAAGTTGTCCACACGATCGGGATCAAGCGCCACGTCGCCCGGCGTATCGAGTGAGAACATGGTTTGCGGCTGAAGGTCATCCTCTTCATCGTCATCTGAGTCCTCGTCGGAACCGTCTCCTTCGCGATCTTCGCTTCGTTCTATCACCGCGCCGCTTTGCCTGTCCGCCAGCTGCTCTGACGCGCCCTCTGCGTGGCCCTCGCTGGTTGGCGCTGTATTGACCGCAACTGTTTGCGGCTCACTGGAGCTCGCGGCCGGAACAACCGTCGTGGTGGACTCGACGGTCGTGCGGATGCCTGGGTACCTCGCGCCTACAAGAGGCGTTGATCGACAGCGTGCTTGCAGCTTGGTGAACGTGTGGTTGAAGTCCTCGAGCGGCCCTTCAAGGAGTTCGAGCCCGTACGTCAGCGCGTCGGGCACAATGGGCTTGTCATCATCAATCGCGCGGCCAGGATGGAGTTCGTAAACTCGGTGGTGATGCAGGGAGCTCATTAGCACGGTGATGTCCTTCTGTATACTGGGACTCGTATGCTTTGATCCCAGCTTCGCGCCTAGGGACGCGTTCATCTGCGTGGACAGGCGGCGCAGGATGTCGATGCACGGCGATATCATGGCGAGCCATTCCCATGACCCGTTGCTCCCGTGTGCTCGGTAGATTGTCTATCACATTTGTTGGTCAGTAGTCTGCTTTTCCGTGACTGATAGCTCTCGGGAACGCCTACTTTGATCCAGAAGTTCTCATGCTCCTGCATGAGGTCGACTTCGACCCAGGCATTCGGCTTGCCGGTCGGATTGACAAGCCAATTGTTCAGGACAATTTTGCTGATACCAAAGTACGGCAGCTCGTCAGTTGTTGAGCAACAGCAAGATGAGGCTCGCAGACGTACCGCAGTTCTTCTGGCCATATGTGAGTCATGTTATGGATTAGGAATAGAACTTCCTGAGCATATTTCGTGCGTCCGGAACCACGGTAGATCAGCGCCAACGCCTTGAGGATCAAGACTATGCGACCGGAGACACCCATCTTGATTGCGTTCGTCAGCGCACGCAAAACGAGCGCGTCCCGCAGGAACAGAAGGGCGTTCTCGTACACCATGTCTCCTTGCGTCTGCAAGGATGGTATAGTGCCGGCGCGGGGCTCTGGTGGCACTGTATCGACAGGAGTGGACGCCGATTGCTCGCTTTGCTGGTGCAATCCCGGGGCAGCGGGTTGGGTACGTGGTGTCTGTGGGCACTCCGAGTCAGTCGACGCCGTGCCGCCATGCTCGGGTACACTGTTGCGAAGCGCAGCCGCACGAGCAGTACGTAGGCGGCCCACTGTGCGACTGTTTGTATAGCGATCAACGATCTCGGCTGCATGGTCTGTGAGCTCTGCCCACGACACATGCTTGACGTAGTCTTCGAGGGATTCACATGAGCTGACATGTTCTAGGCAGACGAGGACGCGGGCGTAGAGTGAGACGAAGATGAGATCCTGACAGACACGGAATGGCGGAAGGCTGGTCATGGTAATTGGTTTACGGTCCAAGACGGTGTTGTGGAATGCGAGAGAACCCGGGTTGTGATGGCTTGTAGTGTACCCGTAATGACGTTCCATGATGCCGTGCACGGTGGCCATCTTGTAGTGAAAGAATCCCGGCATGATGACGGCCCAGAGATACGAGTTGGCGAAGGAGTCGTGACCTGACCTATTCTTCATGAGTGAACGCAAGCGAGCAATGGACAACTGGTCGCCTGCAATGATCCGGACCACGTCTGCAAAGCCATCTGCACTCATGTCCTGCCCAAGCTCCGCAAGAACAGTCTTTGTGACGTCCGCATTTCCCACTATTGTTGATTCATCAATCTTCATTGAGGGCAGAGGGAAGATCTTGGTCTGGTGCAGAGGGATCCGTGTCTCGAGAAGTGGACCGAACGTATCAACGTCCTTCTTGAAGCGCGCAATGGGTTCACCGGCACCATGGGTCACTATGACATTGAGAACGGTGTGCTGGAGGATTGCTTTGAAATCGCGGCTCTCTTCGGGCGTGAAGAGCACGTCTGACACACTGAGAGGTCCGGCATTGATGATCCCTGCCATGAGGTCTGACGTCTGCATGGCGTCCTCGCTCGCTCCGAACAGCTCGAACGCCGTTGCGCATGTTCCGTTTTCCATGGTGTCCTTATTGCCGGACGCTTGCTCGGCCACGCGAAATACAATATTGATGTTATCGTACACGAATGCGACGAGACGCGATGACGCGTTTGCACGTGCAGCGCGTCGACATGCGTCTGAAAGGCGCTTGAGGATCCCTTCAATGCGCTTCTTCTTCGCAGGCTTTCCCCCACTGTCCACCGCGTTGTCTCGCCTCTCAGCTTGTAGGGCATCCAAAGCTTCTAGGATGTCATTTCCTTCCTCGTCGACAACATCCTCGGCTCGAATGTCACTCAGTTTCTCCCACATCTCGTCCTCAGAGTCGACTAGGGCAGATGCCTGCTGTATGTCGCCTTGTGGCTGGGCTCTGAGCGTGGACACTGACTGAGTCTGCAGGAGGTTGGGTACGTCTGTCGTTGGGCTCGCAGGCTGAGACTGATGAGGTGAGGGAAGTTGAGCTGTCAGATGGTCTGCGGTGGGACGCGGATGAGATGGTACGTCATTGCTATCTTCGTCGTCCGAACTGTCTGTGTCGCTGGCAGGGCCGCCCGTTGCATCGTGCGGGAGATGGTCGTCACCAAGATTCGCGGCAAGAGTGTTATAGCTGCTGCACAGTCCAAGGTGCGACAACAATTCGATCATTTGTCGTTTTGCTCCTGAGGCATATGCGTACAGTCCGAAGATGTGGCGTGCGTAGTTGTTTTTTTGGCTCCGTGCACTGAGGCAGATCAGAGCACTTGTGGTGAGGTACTGACACTAGTGTCAACATCGATGTTCCATACTAATTGCACACAGACACTTACATTCAAGTGTCGTCGCACTCCCGTGCGTGTGTTACTGCGCTTCTGTCGGGTAGAGGTACCAAACTCAGACAGGAGAACCATCATCGTGGGGCAGAGCTCGCTGAGTTCACCAGCCAGCGATTCGAGGCTGAAGTCCAAGGCGAAGTGCTCGTCAATTGCCCGCTTCTCCGTGCGCAGGAAGCCATCCTGGGAGACTGCATCACCTTCGCGGGAGACAAGTCGAGCGATGTATGCGGTGGCCCACTCGCGGAGAGTCTCTCGGCCAGTAAGGCTGTTCTCAGAGGAGACCCACATGTCCAGGATCTCTGCGACACCAGTGGTATTCCGGAACAGACCCCAGTACCTCTCCTTCCCTCGGTTGTGGCGAGCGTCCGACACGATGCGAAGCAGGTCAATGAACGGTACGTCAGCCGCCTCGAGTATTTCCAGGACTTGCTCACAAACGACCATGCGTCGTTCCGCTTCGTCTTCTGCAGCGGCTTCCTCTGCCAGGCGCGCTGCCTTGTCGCGGTCAGCCTTGTCCTTGCGCCGTCTATCCGCCGCGGTGCGCGCAGGGGACTCGGGGAGCATCGATGTGTCGGAAATGATGCGTTCACTGTGAGTGGGGGAGATTTGGTAGAGTCCTTCGAATACGGAGGGCAAGGGATGGTCATTGTGAGTGAGGATATCCGATGGCAGGTCTGTGAGTGGTGAAGAAGGCGGCAGTGAGCTGGCCCTGCGTCTGCGATTAGGTGTCATTTTAGAAGAGCGAAGGGTTAATGGACATGAGATTGAACAAGGGTCGACAGAGTGATCGACGTTGAGTTTGTGACCGTCAAGGCCCCAACGTTCGACGGGCGCCTTGAACGTGTTCACTTTTCCTCTCGATCACTGTGTCCCCTCACCTTCACACAGCACAATATGGCTCGCAGACCAGGTAAATTTGCATACAAGTTGCGCCGCACTGGCAGCAAACCTCGACCACCGCCTCGCCATCGAAAACTGGCCCCTGAAGAGGTCAAGGAGCTCGCTCAGATAATGCAGGAGCGCTTCCGCTGGGAGAGCGAGCCCCGATTCTTCCAACTTGAAGGTGTGAAAGCCCAGATTGAAGGTGTCGACACGGTCATCCAAGCCCCAACCGGGTCTGGCAAGACAGCAATTGCAGCGGGACCGCATCTCTGGCGAGGCAACGAAGGAAAGACCACAATTATGGTCTGTCCGCTGCTGGCGCTGGAGGAAGAAATGGTACGTTCCAATCTGACGACACGTTGGCACTCTGTTGTCAGAGCATATCGGACTCATTACTCTCCACAGGTCGAGACATTCAAGACTGAATTTGGCCTAACCGCGGTCGCTGTGAACGGACAGAACACACTCACGAAGAACAAGCAGATCATGGAGGTGATTGTGACTCTCACAACATCCCCATAGGTTCTGGGAACAACTAATTTGGATCTCTGTGTACCACAGGAGATCGTCCGCGGTCAGTATCACATCGTCCTGATCTCCCCTGAGATGCTTCAGTCACGCGCATTCAAGAACCGTGTGCTTCGCAACAACAAGTTCACGCGACGAGTGCTGAGCGTCTTCATTGATGAAGCACATTGTCTCTCGCACTGGGGCGCCGACTTTCGCAAGCATTATGCGAGCTTGGGAAGTGTGCGCGCATTCCTTGCTCCCGGTACTCCCATCATTGCTGTTACAGCAACGCTGACCGCACGTGTCCGTCGCGATCTTCATAACAAGCTTCACTTTCCAAAGACTGGCGGCCGGTTCATCAACGTCGGTAATGATCGACCTAACGTCTCGATTGTCGTTCGTGCCTGCGAGCATCCTCAGAACACGCTCGCTGACCTTGACTTCGTTCTGCCCGAGACGATCGAGTCAGCAAGCGACATCCCAAAGACGTACCTCTATGTCGACAACATCGAGACCGGTAACGACATCATTGACCACCTTGGAAGTATCCTCCGACAACGAAACCCTGCGCTTTACGAGCTCGGTGTCATTCGACCGTTCAATGCTACGATGTCTGCCGACTACCGGACTCATGCCATGGCAGCGTTCCGCAACAATAGTGAGTACGCTGGTGGTCAGGTGACTGCAGACAACGTCAAGATAGGGCCTGTGCGCATTCTCGTATGCACTGATGCTGCTGGCATGGTACATATTCCTCCCTTCTAGCCTCGTGGTTCAATTCTGCGATCTGACGAGTATGCCATCATGAATAGGGCTGCAACGTGCCCGACGTTGATCGTGTTGTCCAATGGAAGCTCCCAGCCACTCTGTCGAACTTCATTCAGCGCGCTGGTCGTGCGGCACGAGCACGGAATCGCACAGGTATTGCAATTCTCCTTGTAGAGCGATCTGCATACTCGATCAATCTGCAAACAAGACCAGCAGAGCAGGACGAACCAGAGCCGAAGACGAGCAAAGGCAAGCAACGAGCTCGTAAATCCCATGGGCCTCCGAAAAGTACACGCCAGAAGACACCGAAAAACTACGCCAAGAGACATGGCATCGACCGTGGAAGTAGCGCCGGCCCCAGCCATGACACGGTCCTTGACCCAGCTGACAACCCCATTGTTGACCACGAAGCTGCCGATGAAGGACTTCTGGCATTTGTACAAAGCACACAATGCCGCCGCAAGATATGGCAGGAGATGTATGAGTCTCCACTCTCGGAAGGTATGCAATCATGGCATGACATTGAGACAGTGAGTGCCATGCTGAACTGCCCATTTCAGCGGCCACCGCGTCGGCAATCGTGCCCTGCTGTGACATTTGTGATAGCTCACTGCTCAATCGCGCACGCCCACCACTACGAGAAAAGGGGCCGAAAGCTTCTAGGCCAAAAGTCGGCCTGCCAGATCCCAACGCGCAGACCGCGCTCGAGAGCTGGCGCGAGCAGAAACTTGACAATGACCATCCACATGCTGTGTTTGGAGCTACCGCAATCCTGAGTGATTCGCTCATCGAACGCCTCACATCTTCAGGGCCCAAGACGCGTCCTGCTCTTGCAACAATGCTCAAAACATGGTTATGGCGCGACCGTTACGAAGGCCAGCTGACGGACCTACTGCTGTCATTGCAGATTCAGTCAATCCCGAAGCCCAAGGCAGGCCACAGCATCGGCGGCGACACAAGCACAACGACGGGCCAAGCCCAGAGTGCCGGCTCTCGTAAACACACCACTGATGCGACCGATGACCAGCACCCACCAAAACGCGCACGCCGTTCAGTTAACAATGGGGTATGTCGCAGACAATAGCATTCATATGCACTATAGACTAACCATTCTAATTTACAGTCGTCGCAACCAAGCAGCCTACCTGCGAATGCACCTCAAGCCATTCCCTACCCAGTCCCAGCTTCATTGAGAGCTCCTGCGCCTCCATCGAGTTCGTCCCAGCACTCCCGCCTTTCCGTTCCTCCACAGCCTTATCCCGTCATGCATCAACTGCCCTCGCCACACGCGTCCATGCTACCATCGCCGTACGCACCCATGTCACCCTTGCCATACGCGTCCGCGTTACCCTCGCCGTACACGTCCGGCGCATCACCCTCACCCTATGCATCAATGACACCTTCGCCATACGCGTCCGTCCCCTCGCCATACGCGTCCGTCCCCTCGCCACACGCGTCCGTCCCCTCGCCACACGCATCCGTACCCTCGTCGCACGCGTCCGTACCCTCGCTGTACGCGTCCGAACTCTCGCCGTACGCGTCCGTACCTTCCCCATACGCGTCCATACCTTCCCCATACGCATCCGTCCCCTCGCCACACGCGTCCGTCCCCTCGCCACACGCGTCCGTCCCCTCGCCACACGCGTCCGTCCCCTCGCCATACCCGTCCGTCCCCTTGCCATACCCGTCCATATTCTCGCTGCCCGCGTCCATATCACCCTCGCCGCACGCACCCTCGCCATACTACGCACGTGTACCGTCCTCGCCGCATGCGTCCGCCGCACCACCCTTGTCGCTTGTATCCACACCGCCCCCACCATTTGCGCCCGCGCCACCATCACTATTCCGTACTGCGCTTGGTGCCAGTACTTCGCGTGTCGGGCTCTTCAGCACACAACTCACCTCCGAAAACTATCTGGCTCTTCAAGCAACCAGGGGTCGCGGACGCGGACGCGGGCGAGGGCGCAGACGTGGGCGAGGCGCAGGCAGCGGCGGAGGTGGTGACTGAAGTACTGACGGCGGGTGTCCTCGGTCCGTTGTAAGTTGACCTAGATACATGAAAGTAATCAGGAGCAGCTACGAAATTACATATGAAGCACACCCGATGGATTTTGCGGCGCTGGCGATGTTTGAGAGTTCGAGGACTGCTATTACGCTGAAGCCAGCTATGCTCGATTTCTCTAAGTCCCCGTTCCCACGGGGGTATTGGGGTAAACGTAGACTCGCATGCCAGTCCTTGAGGCGCCTCACTCCTTTTCAAGCACTCCTCCTTTTGGTAATGATAAAAGCCGAAAAAGGAATCGGAGTGCGAAAAGGAGGTGAGGGCCTCTAAGGACTGGTGAGATTGGGCGCCGTTTACCCCAATACCCCCGTGGGAACGGGGACTTAGAGAAATCGACACCTGGAGCTGGCAGAGTGATACATAAACCCTTGTCATTAGAGTACATCCGTGATACATGCACACCTGTAGTACAGTACAGGCCTGTCGAGTGGCCCCGGCGATACATTGCAGCGCCGTCCCTCATACATTACAACCAGCTGCCAAATTGGGCACTCAATGCATTACAGGCCCATCTGATATATAATCTGGCTCTCGTTGGTGCTCGTTCCCCACGTTGACAGCTCCCACTCTGATACATCATCTACTGCAAGCCGCAACGTTACTGCACCCCGCTTGTCACAGCTGTAGGTCCCTCTCTCATACATTACCGACTGAGATGCCGCGAGTCAATCGCTCCCGTTGGCGCCGTCGGACTCGAACAGTCACGAGACTGACGACCTCCTATGATACATTACCGACCGCAACATCTCAACACCCGAGCACTCCCACTCTCATACATTCAATACCTATTGCACCTGCAAGCCGTGACGACCAGACTACTAGTCGCTTGTAGGTCCTTCTGTCATACATCACTGACCGCAACGTCACCGCATCCGGCCAATCCCTCCCATCCACTCCTTGTAGGTCCCTCTGTCATATATTGCAGATGGGATATTGCTGATATGATCTGGCCAGCCGCCGCCAGCGGCGTTCGATCGGCGGCGAGTCGATCGCAAGTCGATCACTCCCGCAGCGGTTTCTAATACATCACTGACTGCAACATCACCGCATCCGGCCAATCCCTCCCATCCACTCCTTGTAGGTCCCTCTGTCATACATGGCAGATGGGATATTGCTGATACGATCTGGCCAGCGGCATTCGATGCGGCAAGTCGATCGCTCCTGCCGCGGTTTCTAATACATCACCGACGTTATCGCATTCGGCCAGTCTCCTTGTAGGTCCGTCTCTCATGTATCACAAACTAAGACGTCTCTGGCTCCGGGTCTCGACAGCTCCAGGCTCGGACCCATTTCCATGCACCTCGTGGCGTAGCCTGTCTCTGGTTCTGGTACGTTCAGAGCTTGATATATTGCAGACACGCTCTCATACATCACAGACTCAGCTGCTACTGTGCCACCGGGTATTGGTACTTGCCCCAATGACGACAGCTCGCCGTCCCCCTTGTCCAATCGAGAGCTCGCCGCCTGGCTCTGGCACGCAATAGCTCAGGCCCTGAAATTTCACCCTACAGCAGGTCGACCGCTGTCCGCTACCGCTAAGTAGATCAATTCAGGGGATGGGAAAGCAGTTCATTTGCTGCGATGTTGTGTGAGTACTCGCTTCGATCCTTGACTCATCAGCGAATTCTCATAGATTTAGATTACAGTCGGCCAATGCTCATAGATTACAGTCGGCCACTAAAATATTCGTACGTCTCATACATGACAGACCCTGCTGATTACTTTGCCACTTGCACGATGATTAGCACCACCCGCGATCAGCGGCTTCGCTTCCCGGTCCAGCATTCCTCGAGGCGGACCGCCAAGCTGTCTGCAGCAATTCTTCTGCTGCTTCGTGTGTCGGACACGGTGATAAGGTATGTCAATTGTGTTCGTCTGCTACACACAAAGGCTTGTAGTTCATCGCCGCACGTTCATTTGTATGTACCATATTGCATCAACCTTCAAATATTACAGACAGCCATTGAAGCGCTATGGATCGGAGTCAGTGATCGTGCAGTGTATAACAGTAATGGTACATGATATATAACAGCAAACACAATGGCAACGCAGGCTTGTATCTATTACAGCGGTCCAAGCACTAATATATAACAATGACTCGGGCATGCTTCGGGGTCACCACCCGTGTCACTCCGAGTGACCCAAGTGACGCGAGTGACACGTAACCCTGGAACCTCGAGCATGGGGCAACAAGATAGAAAGAAACTGGGATGCATGAATGTGTTCCTAGGCTCTAAACGAGCACATTGCAAGTTTAACGGCGCGATTACACCGCGGTTTGCCCTTGGGACATCGCACGCTTTGTCCACCTGCGGGCGCTCACGGGCGCCTAGGGCACGTTCAACCAGCAGAGCCCCGTCAATTCCTATACCCGTTTCAAAACACATTCGGACGCTTCAATACTGTCTAAGTATGCTATTGTGACATATTGTAGGGGTTTTTGTTGCTTACACCGGCCTCCCCCATGATTTTCAGACTTGGGTAGTGGCGATTTACTAGCAGGACTCAGATAGTATGATCTGTAGTACTATGTCGAAGTATGAACTCCATAGAGCACTGCTACTAGTAACGATGACATTGCATATGACGTGGTAGGCTACAACTTAGCACCTGAGTCGAGACACTCAGGTACACACTGCCAGTTTTTGGCAACTTTCGCCATCATGGCCAACCTAATGTCAGCCTGACGTCGGGCATAAGCAGTCCGGCCTTCTGCATGTTGTGGAGAGCATCCGACAGGGGATGAACTCGCATCCCAAACGGCCTCGTCTGCCTTATGCAACCACCACCACGCTTGCCAGTTCCAAAAATCGACAACTCGCCGCATCTCCTCCTCTAGAAGGTCGCATTCTTCATTGAATCGATGGGCTCGTGCGCGAGCTTGACACCACTCTATCCGGACAGCTTTGAAAGGAAGGATGAGCACCCTGCGTTCGAAAAAGACGGTCTTATACGCACCCTCGAGATCGTCCTCGTCCTCATCATCTCCCCCGCGGAAACCAGTCGTCCGCCATATCCAAGGCAGAACCCGCTTCCCCTCCGACTCCTTCTCAAGGCGCTCCTTCATCCCGCGGACATCATCAGGTCCGAGGTATCGCAGAACCTTCATCCACGCGAGACTGTCCTTGGGATCAAGAACGAGGAGCGCCTTATGCGCAGCACGATATCGGGCAGCATCAGCGTCGATCTTATCCTGTACAGTGTTGATGTACGTTCGAGAGCGGGTGTTGTACCGCTGGCCGCGTACGTCGCGGTCCTTGACGTTGTAAAGTTTGCTTCTAGCGCGGAGATGCCTCCGCATTTGTTCGAGTGCGTCATTGGCTTGCGCATACCGCAGCCGTAGCTCAATACCTTCAAGGTTAGCACTTCGTGCGACGGCGTCAGTATTGATGATGTCGGAGGGTAAGTACAGAGGTAAATCCTCCGCATTGACTGATGTGGTCGACCTGGATGCCTCTCTTGACCGCAAGAGGGCCACCGCTGGCATGTAGAGTGTTTGAAATGTTGAACTTCCGAGTTTTCAGTGTTCTTATCTTATCAGTTATGTACGGATATGGACTTATGTTCTGCGATGTCAGATTACATACGTTCTTTGATGGACTTTGCCTAGATTACGTCATGTGACTTTAGTCCGGATCATTCCATGATATTCCACGACATTCCTTGATGTTCCATGACGTTCCATATCATTCCTTGATGTCCCATCACGTCTTATATTACTCTTTGATGTTCCATCATGTCTCATATTATTCCTGATGTTCCATCACGTTTCATATATCTCTCCACATCAAACTCCGAGTTTTGGCTTACTCATGCTGCTTACCCGCTTACTCATATCCCCAAAACCTCGGACTTAGTGCTTACTGATGAACCACTGATACAGCATGTGACCTGTATCAAATGTGTATATATACTGGGCTGGTTTGCCCTGTAATGAGAACGATCCTTCGTCCTCTCCTCTGCCTGCCAGCATAGGATCTTCCCTTTGGGACTGGTCTGTTCACTCACTCTTTAGTCCTTCACTGCCACTGGGCTTACTAAGCCTAAAACCTCTTTCTTCAACAGGTTATGAGCCCTGCGCTCTGATTCTTTAATCACCTGCACCCCTCTTTGCGCGCTCCAAAGCCCAACTCTTGAAAGAGTGAGTTGGCAATTTTTGTCCTTTGTTGGACTATTTTTAAGTCGCTGCGTGACATAGTGCCGAAGGCCTTGTCTGAGCGCATCTCTAGGGCAGCCCGAAAAGGCAATTACGAAATTTATCATCCGTCTCGTCGTGAGAGAAACGACGTTGACGAAGACGACTCTAACGTCATCGCTGTACGTCATCGGCATTTGTACGGTCATCTACCCGTCCGTCGCCAGATCGACATCATCCTTGCTCCTACCCCTCGTCGCCGCCGCCAAGCCTCTGGCCGCGTAGACACATCCATTCCTCCCAAGGAGTCCTGCCGCACCTCGCCGGAGCAGCACCTCTTGTATTTGCAGAAGAAAGCGGACGTTGCCGAAGCTCTCGCCGAGACTCGCCGAGCCGAACTCGCTGCTGCTCGTGCCGCTAGCGCTGCTGCTGCCGAGACCAAGGCTTCGCTCATTGAGCGTCTTAGCGGAGAAACTCCCATCGTTCCCACGGCTCTAAAGCCTATCTTCCTGTCCGACTTCCGCAAGAAGTCAACCGCTGACAAAGTCGAGATCCTGTGCAAGCGTCTCCTTGCCGTCCAGAAGCGCCTTCAGCCCCTCTATCGCCACCGTAACCGCCTCTACGCCCGTCTTCCCTTGTTGGATAACTTGGACGATTTTGGCAGGCGTTTCAACTGGGTGCTGACGAATATCGAGGAGGAAGGAACCACGTGGTCTGCAGTCGAATTGAACGACATCTGTTCTGTCTGCGAGCTGATTGCGAAGATTTCCTTCATAAATCTTAGCCAGAATTTCGGCCGCATTATCAAGGACGTAGGGGACTTGTACAAGAACAACTACTTGTACTGGGTAGATAAGCGATTGTAGTCGCATTTTTTCTGTATATCTTCGTCCCTAGAATTTAAGCATCACACTGTGGCTTCGTCTCAAGAAGAGACATTTGACCGAGACTCAAATAGTGAAGCATCGAACGGAGTAATTCCACCGTACGATTGCACCGACCATCATCATCTCTACGACTACGAGGAGAACTTCGATTATCATTTCGACGTCGAAGAAGATCAGTGGATTAACTGCGACGACGCTAGTTGCCCACATCGCTACGATCAACCTCTAGGTCCAGTTCCAGAAGGATTTTCAACTGGAATATCGGTCGCTCCTTGGCAGGAGAATTTCCTATTTGCTAGTGAATTTTCGGAGTTACCTCCATATCCTGAACACCTAGTCCCGCTCCCTGAGTCGAGACCTCAATCTCCATTCTTCGAGGAATTACCCTTCGAAGTTTTTACCCCAGAACTACCATCCGTCTCACAAGACGAATTTATCCTCCTATCTGCAACCATGGGTGACGTCAAGCCTGACAATGTCCCCAAGCTTTCCTCAGCGTCCCAATACGCTGATTGGTCAGCCGCCATGCGCGGCTATTTGGTTTTTATCCAAGCCTGGCCCGCCGTTACTGCAACTGGCACACCCGCAGCGGACTTCGCCACTCAGAATGCCCGTGCCCAGGGTGTTCTATTTATGAGAACCGATCGCTCGATGCATCATCTGCTCGAGAAAGACACCGGTGATCTCAAGGATGCGAAGGACATGTGGAACTCGCTCAAAACCGCTTTTGGCACCCCCGACACGGCATACGTCTGGTCTCTCTTCCAGTCGTTAATCAAATCTCCGGAAATGTCTGACTCCAAGCCAATGCAGGATCAGATCAACAAGCTGGTTACCCGGCTTAAGGAGATTAGTGGTGGCGGAATTACGCTCGGTGACTCGACTCAGGCTCTTCTCCTTCTGTCGAAGCTGCCAGAGTCATACCAGTCGATGATCTCTGCGCTCCTGGCGACGCAGACCCTCAAAGATCTAAAGGTCGACTCGGTCCAGAGCAAAATTCTTGCCGAGGAATCACTTCGCCGGTCCGGTATGGGACAGTCTGCGTCTAAGACGTCCCAGGTCAAGCATAAATCCAAGGACCCCTGCGATCACTGCGGTGGGGCCCATGGTAGCGAGAATTGTTGGACCAAGTACCCGCATCTCCGCCCTCAGAATAAAGGTGGCGGAAAGGGGAAGAACAACAAGGGCAAGGGCAAGGGCAAAGGAAAGGGAAAGAACGGAGGAAATGGTCAATCTAGTTCTGGTACTTCTAACACTGCATCTGCGTCGGACTCTTCGAATGTTGTAACTGTAGAATCCTCCTCGTCGTCTGCGAATACTATGACTGCTTCTTGGTATACTGCGGCTAACACCGCGTCAGGAAGAACGACTGATTGGATTATGGATTCTGGTGCATCCAAGACGATCACCAACGACATGGCTGATTTTTGGGATTACACTCCTTACGAGGAGCCCATGGTTTTTAGCACAGCCGGCAAGAGTAAGATTGCAGCTTATGGTGAAGGCACTATCAAAGGCGTTGTGCATGTTGAAGGGAAACATATTGTGTCGACTATCACCAATGTCGCATATATCCCTGCCGCGTCTAGTCGCCTATTTTCAACTGGAGTTATTGAACGTTCAGGTTTCACCCTTGTTCAAGGTGGAGGCCGTATGGTCATTTTTGACCAACCTATTTTGCATGGTTCTGACCGAATCCGTGGTAACAAGATCATGGAGGCGCATCACACGCCCTTCAACAATCTCTATATGTTGCACATGGAAATTATGAAACCGCAATTGGCTAAGTCTGCGGACAAGTCAAATTTTCGCCTTTGGCATCAACGCTTCGGACATTCATCTGAAGAAGTTATCCGTCAACTACCCAAGCACACCAAGGGTGTGGATTCTATCGGTGACAAGGACAAGTCTCCTTGTGCAGGTTGTCAATGGGGCAAGTCTCATCGTGCTCCATTTCCCGCGTCGGACAAGAGAGCTTCAAAACCTCTTGAAATTGTTCATACCGACGAAGACGGTCCTATGCGTACCACCGCTATTGGTGGATGGCGCTACTTCATCAGCTTTCTCGACGACTACTCCGGTCTTGGCCGCGCCTATTTCCTCAAACATAAGAATGATTCGACCCAAGCGTTCGATGATTTCAAGGCATGGGCTGAGAACCAAACCAACGAGAAAATCAAAGCTGTACGCTCGGATCGAGGGGGAGAATATACCTCTGCAGAATTTACCGAACATTTGCGCAAATTTGGCATTGAACATCAGAAGACGATGCCATACTCTCCTCAACAGAATGGGAGAGCTGAGCGCTGGAATCGGACCATTGTCGAGAAGGCTATGTCTATGCTTCATCATGCTGGACTAAGCCATGGTTTCTGGCAATTGGCTGTTGACGCTGCGGTTCACATTTATAATCGGCAACCAATGCGACGCCTTAACTGGCAATGCCCCATTACTCTCTGGGATAGCACAGTCCCGGACATTTCGTATTTTAGGGTATTTGGGTGCAAGGCATATGTGCATGTGCAGAAGGAACAAAGAGCTGGGAAGCTCGACAAGAAGGCTGTCGAGATGATCTTTGTTGGCTATGAGTTAGGTTCCAAAGGGTATCGTTTCTGGAACCCGGCCACTCGAAGTATCGTTGTGTCTCGTGATGTGACCTTCGATGAAGAGACATTTCCTGCACGAAAAGATTTAGGCAATAATCCGAAATCCCTGGATAAGCCGTTTGATGAACCTCCTGAGGATGCGAACTCGGAGGATTCTGATTCTGAGGATTTACCTATTCCCGTTCCTATCCCGGAACATGAACCTGAACCTGAAGACCATCCAGAGCCAGTGGGAGACATTCCACAACCGCAACCTGATCCTGTACCTCCTCCACAACCTCAGTACGAACGTCCACGTCGTCAAGGTGCTGGACAAAATCCTAAGAGGAACAAGGACAATGCCTATGGTGACGAGCCACCTGCGAATATTGATCGTCGTACCGATGCTCAAGGCCGTCAACAATCTGAGGCTGAAACTCTCATGTTTGTGCGGATGCTAGCAGAAGCAAACCATGGCGTTCCCCAGAGTCACAGGGAAGCTATGGAGTCTCAAGACAAGGCTAAATGGCACGCATCTGAAGGTTCTGAGTACAAGTCGCTTATGGACAACAAGACTTGGGTTCTAGTTCCACGGCCTAAAAACCGAAAGGTTATCAAGTGCCGGTGGGTTTATGCGATTAAACACGATGGTCGCTACAAAGCGCGTGTTGTTGCAAAGGGATTTACCCAAGTGTGGGGTCAAGACTATACCGAGACTTTTTCTCCTGTTGCACGTTTTGAATCCGTACGCTATCTATTGGCGCATGCAGCACTTGAAGATTGGGAGATTGAGTCTATGGATGTCAAGACGGCATTCCTTAACGGTGACCTTGACGAGGAAATCTACATGGAACAGCCCGAAGGATGGGCTGTACCTGGGAAGGAGAACTGGGTCTGTCTGCTCAAGAAGGCCATTTATGGCTTGAAGCAAGCGTCTCGTCAATGGAACGCTAAGATCCACAAGTCTCTCCTCGACTTAGGGTTTAAACGGACGTATTCGGATGCCGGAATTTATGTCTTCTCTCGTGAATCTGAAGGACACACCTGCTTAATCATTTTGTATGTCGACGACTTGCTCCTCATGGGCGACTCGAAATTGTTCATCGACAACATCAAGCAGAGACTGTCTTTGGAATACCAGATGACTGATCTGGGAGCTGTCCAGCGTTTCCTTGGTCTACACATTCGTCGAGAACGTCTTGCACGTCGTATCTTCGTTGACCAGGAAGACTATATTCAGTCTGTTTTGGAGAGGTTCCAAATGTCCAACTGCAAGTCTGCAAGGACACCTCTTCCCGCTGGAGCAGTATTAGAGAAGAACACCGACATTGCATCTGAAATTTTCCGAACCCGTTACCAGAGCATTATTGGCAGCATCATGTATGCTATGCTTGGTACTCGCCCAGACATCTCGTTCGCGGTCACGCGTCTGGCGAAGTTTTCTTCAAATCCATCTAAAGAGCATATGAAGTTTGCGTACTATGTCCTGAGATATCTTCAAGGGACAAAGGAACTTGCACTTTGCTACGATGGAGGCTCAAACTCTGGTCTGATCGCCTACTCAGACTCAGACTGGGCTGAAGACCGTGATGATAGGCACTCTACATCTGGCTTTGTTTTCCTCATGGCCAATTGTGTCGTTTCTTGGGTGTCAAGACGCCAACCAACGGTATCTTTGTCTTCAACCGAAGCAGAGTATAAGGCCAGCTCCGACTGCTGTCGTCAGATGGCTTGGCTGCGTCATTTTGGAGAAGAACTGGGAGACAACATGTCTCATCCAACTCCACTTTGTCTTGACAACCAAGGCAACATTTTCCTTGCGGTGAACCCCGCTGTGGATCGCCGCACCAAGCACATAGAAATCCGGTATCACTACATTCGAGAGTTCTACGAACGTGGGGAGATGGACATCTATTTTGTCGCAAGTGAAGACCAACTTGCTGATGCCTTGACCAAGAATGTTCCCTTCAGCGGAATCGAGAAATTCAGGTCTTCGGTTGGCATGATGAGATACTCGACATCTTGAACAAGTGGGAGTGTTGAACTTCCGAGTTTTCAGTGTTCTTATCTTATCAGTTATGTACGGATATGGACTTATGTTCTGCGATGTCAGATTACATACGTTCTTTGATGGACTTTGCCTAGATTACGTCATGTGACTTTAGTCCGGATCATTCCATGATATTCCACGACATTCCTTGATGTTCCATGACGTTCCATATCATTCCTTGATGTCCCATCACGTCTTATATTACTCTTTGATGTTCCATCATGTCTCATATTATTCCTGATGTTCCATCACGTTTCATATATCTCTCCACATCAAACTCCGAGTTTTGGCTTACTCATGCTGCTTACCCGCTTACTCATATCCCCAAAACCTCGGACTTAGTGCTTACTGATGAACCACTGATACAGCATGTGACCTGTATCAAATGTGTATATATACTGGGCTGGTTTGCCCTGTAATGAGAACGATCCTTCGTCCTCTCCTCTGCCTGCCAGCATAGGATCTTCCCTTTGGGACTGGTCTGTTCACTCACTCTTTAGTCCTTCACTGCCACTGGGCTTACTAAGCCTAAAACCTCTTTCTTCAACATGAAACTCGCGCCACGCATCGATGCGAAGCTGCAAGCTACTGCGGCGCCGAATGATCGCAGCTTGCTGTAAGTCAGTAGCGGTCGAACCAAGGCTCAAAGCGTCTTTCCGAAGACGACGCCTGAGAAGGAGACATGACGTAGATGTCAGTATTAGTCCGAGTCAGACGCTCTGATCTGGCGAGGGGACTCACTGTAGCTCCTCGATTTCCAGCCCTGCAATGATGAGCACGCTGGGCGACACGTCCTCGTGCAACATGGTGGTGCTCCGGTCATCGGCTTGTGCAGCCGCATCCTCCTCTGCAAGGGCACGCCGGACAGAGGCCACTGTGACTGCTGATAACACAGTGAGCACAAGACTTTCCTTCACGACGTGCAGAGAAATACGACATACGATGGCGATGAACGGCAAAGGGGTCATACTCCGCACCATTCTCCCACTCTTCGACAAGCTGCGTCCATTCCGCTACGCGCACGGGATCCGTTTTTTCGCAGATCTCCTCGAATTGTAGGACGTGCGTGCTGCGCTCATCGACGGCATTCTTGACCTTTTCGAGAAGTGTCTTGGCTGTATTGACATTAGCCGTCACATAGGCTGATCATGCATTGAAAACGTACCCAACTGAGTGACCTTACGCCAGTTGTAATCGCCAAATGCGTCGTCGAGGACGTCACGGCGATATCCGGGCCCCATTTCTTTCGTGCTTCCGGAGAAGCCATTTACGGCAGCCCAGCCCCGCTCAACAGCCTCGCCATCCGTACGGCCCACGTGCTTCCTGTAGTTATACGAATACTGCGTTTGACAGGAGGCTTGATGCGCCGGGAGGTGGAACTTTGGAATAAGGAAAGTGATGGTTTTGCGATCGAAGTCCCACTTGGGATCGTATCGTAGCATGCGCTCCCAGAGGTTGACGCTCCATTGGCAGGCGATGTCGTATGACACGACGAGAGCCATCTTCTCGCCTTGCTGGCGCACACTACTCGCAAACAGGTAATCCATGTTCACGTATCTGGGAGGGTTGTTCAGCTTCATTGTCCGTGGTATGTAAAGAGAACGCACCGCTCGCCCTTCTGCAGATCCCCAACAGAACAGGGACGTTTCATGTCATGACGTACACACTCAACAGTCCCCACCCCACTCGCCGCAATCCCTTGGATCCCTCTCATGTTGGCTAGCTTGACAGCATCGTGATTGTTGCACGTGTTCGCGTCGTCCTTCTGCTCGACCTTCCCATGTGTCTGCAAATGCGACTTGTAAGCTCTCTCCTCAACGAAGTAGGCATAGCCATGGTTCAAGCCTGGGTCTGCGACGTCTGTAGACACTTCCTTTCGCTTGAGCCGGAAGTTAGCGTCTATCCCTAAGAACAGCCGGTAGAGCCAGCTGCCGTTTACTTAGCTCTCGGATTTTGTTTATGTTGCCGTGCGCATCGACGTACCTCTTCTCCGGAGGTGCATCCTTCCAATTCGCTGGGAGGTTTATGCCAGGATGCGGACAGGCAGGACATAGTACCGCGCAGGATCCACACGCTGTCGCGTTGACGCCCTTCGGGTCATGACCGCGACCGAAGCGTTTGAGCATCTTCAGATGCATCCACATCCGCGCCATGCGCATGAAACTCGTATATCGGTTCTGCAGCTCTATGAGTAAGCATACTTGACAAATCTTGTGCGTACCTTAACGTCCACCGTTCCCGTGTTATCGGTCAGTCTAGCCAACGTGTTGTAGAACTCGAATCCGGACACCTTTGTTTGGTTTCGCAGGAGATGAAAGAGCTCCATCAACTTGAACGTGCACGCTGTCTTCGGGTCGACTCCAGTCGCCGGGAAGAGCCGGAAACGCAGCAGCTGAATATGCTTCGCTTCAGCGTGTTCACAGCTGCAGTAGTCAAGCGCGACTTCATGGATGCCGCCGATGTCCAGGACAGTGAAATCATCACCAAACGCCCTCGAAGGATTTGCGCATCGTTCCCCAACTGCATGACCGAGTTGTATGCGCAATCCTAGGGCCTTCAGTGTTGTCTTCTGAAACCGTCGGCTGGCCCATCCCTAAGTGCCGGTCCAGGATTGTCAGCACATACAAACACTATGACTTCATAAAATTACCGTACCTCGATCCGATGAAAAGGGTCACACTGATGACGGGAAACAGTACAGTTCCGACAGAAGAGCTGGAGGTCGCAGCAGTCTTCACATCGGTACAGTGTGTCCGTGCTCAGGCATCCCGCGCAAGTCTCGTTTGCAAAGCTTCCACGGCCTTCATGCCGAATAAGCTCGGCTAACCACTCGTCGATATGTTTTGTCCACTCTTTCAGTGGATGGTCCTAGTTCAAGCTTATTAGCAACTGTTAATATGAGCACGGCATCGACATACACCTGCGGTGCGTTTCCGCCTCTTAGTCTCTTCGAGGTACTCTCCGATGTCGATGAAGTTCTCCAGCTGTAGCAACTCGAACGACTCCTCATCTGAGACATTCAGTCTCGGGTTGACTCCACCCCCTCCATCTTCACTGTAGCCAGCTGTCGATGTCCCAGGCGCGTCGTCCTGCAGTGGTTCGCTGCTTCGCTCCGTGGCCGTGATGTAAGCAGTTTGCGTCGAGATTGCCCCAGCTCGAGCCACAAAGGAGGTGTGTTGATGGCGCGTCTTCGCCCGTGAATGACTAGTGCCACGGTCGTCATCGTCGTAGAAGTGAACGCCAGCTTGCGTCCTTCTTCGTTTCTTTGCAATTCCAGACATCGGGACAAGGCGTAGAGTTGCAGTAAAGCCTTAGACGGCCAGTATTGAAAACGTCACTGGGAATACTGAAGTCTGTATAATCCGTATCATTACTAAACTACAACAGGATTCGCACGACACAACTCGCGGTGCGCCACTGCTGATTTGCACGACACGGCTCGCGCCGTCCCGTCGACATCATGAGATCCAGGGGACAAACGATCCGATGAGGATCTGCTCACCGTTTGGAAATGACGTGGCTGTGAACCAGATGCCAATAGAATACCCCCGGACTGCAACAAGAACGACTAATTGAGCGCCATGTCAACGAAATGGGGGGACGAGCTAGTACCAGTTTAGGAGCATCTTCTGATGTGCAGACGAGCGTTGCCTTCCTTGTCATCTAGATTGCAACCCAATCAGTTCGGCAGGAAGACATACTGCGCATCCAGGCTCACAGATTACCCTGGATAGCACGCGCGACACGATTGCAAGTGTATATGCGCTCGAAACACGGTGATGAATTCCTGCCTCCACGTAGCCGAGGTCAGTCAGGATGGGCCACGTAGCAGAATCACTCACAAACTGGGGGCGTTCTCGTGTACATTGTATCCGTGCCCACATGCTAGGCTGCATGTATTTCAGCAGTTGGCCCGGCGCCCGACGGTACTCAGTCGCGTGTGCGAACCCCGCGCGGCACTCCGACTTGCTGTGTTCGTCGTCTCAAACACATTAACCTAGGGGTGATAAGCGGAGGGTAATTGATTTGCAATCTACTACGACGCCGGACTGCGATGATGACGCCTTCTGCCCCTAAAAAGTTATGTTGGAACGGGTATTACAAGTATCATACTACCGATGGTGCTCGATCTGACTCAGCTGGATATCTGCCGTTTCAAGAACCCATCCTCAAGACAACGCCGCGCGAGCAATTACTGCGCCTGCTAGGTACGACTAGAGCTTCCCGCTAGGATAGAGGTCGACTTCTGTCGGCCGTATGTGTGAGTGTCAAAGACGAACAGGCACTGTAGTACCGACATACCTTCGGCGGTCGTGATAGACGGGTTGCTCGTGCAACTGCCATCTCTGGATAAATGACTACGGCCGCAGTGTCAGTACATAACGACGAGACAATACTGCAAGCCTGGATACCTATAACATGGTAGCTCTCGTTGAGGTCCTTGCATTCAAGTCGCGCGCATGCCGACTTCGAAGGACGAGCTAGTAAGGACTTCAACTGAGGACGAGCAAGCAGGGGCAGCACAAGCGGTCGAGGGAGGAGGATATAAGACTGATTAACAGAGCGCATGCTCCGACGTGGCGAGGCTGTGCGTGTGGTTCTGACCAAGCACGAGGCGCCTGGGAGGTGCACCAGATTAGGAAGCTCTAGGCGCCAGAGGGTATCATCGCCTGGCCAATAAGGTGATGAATAACGGTCAGCGCAAATTATTGCTGGGTTGTCTCGACAAGAATCAAGGCTGTAGAGGCTGCACCAGCCTAGTATGGTCCTTTTCTACAGCATATAAGTATGGATATCACGTTGGTACATCGACAGGTATGTTAAGCCTATTAGCACAACCGGCAGACCAAGTGCAGTAGAACTACTGCAGTAGTGGAGAGTCGAAACACTGCGCAGCCTGAAGGAACAGAACACCTTAGTACGATGGTTATCCAGACGTGCAATATATTTCGAGTAAGTCATCATGTATACTCCGCAATGGATACTCGGAATGTGTACTGAATACTCTACTTCAGCTCGGATGCGTTGACGGTGATAGCTCAGGTAACGTGTTGGATTCGAAGTTGGTCCTCATAGTACTTCTGTCCGTCCACCATCTACGTTTGAATTACACCTGTCCAATGCTACCGTACTATACGATTCATACATTGCCATGGGAGCAATTCGTTAATGTATGCAGCCTGGTAAGCATCACGTCCAACTCTCAGCAGCTCTACTTCCACAGCAAGACAGCAAATGATTCTACTTGCCCATTCAAGACCTATCGTACGTGCAACGTTTTCTATGGCGTCGCTCTGCTGCTCAGTGCCCGTTGACATCTCCCAACCAGCGATACGTGCTTCGAGCTCTCTAGTAGCATCGGTGATAGCAAACTCGACGTCGACACTCTGATCCATCCACTTTCCGTACCGCCTGCTTCCCTCGGTCCGATAGCGACGGTGCTGACCGGAGTTGAGTACCAGAGGGATCTCCTCATCGGTAGGCTCATCTGAGTCCTCGTCTGGGATCGGGGCAAAGAAGGCTTCTTCTGGGTCCATGGGAGGATGAGGGGAGAACAAGGGTGTCGGCAAGCTGAGGACGTATGGCATGATGTACAAGCCAAGATCCGGTATGTCCAACGACGTTGCGAGGGTACGAAATGAGGCACGCGCCGTGGCCTGAATCCATCAGGAAAAACCTCCCCTGAGAAATACTTAGTGGATACGGAAATTCTTCGTAATACGAGGAGACTGAGTAATCTCGAATGCTTACCACATCATTCATGATAATGCCTGTAATTCTCCATGTCCACGTACACCCCTGGAGAATGTCTGTAAAATTCGCAGTAATCTATGAGCACACAACTAAAACTCAAAGACGGCCACAAGCCCAGTAATCACAGATAGTGCACTGCTTTTACCAACATCTCTTTGAGCAGCTTTGATGCTCAGTTGCAGGGCTGACACAGAGCACGTTTCGAGAGGGAGAATGAGCAATATATTGGGACTATGTGATAAGTACTACAGTCTAAGAGCACGACAGGATCCCCTCGCATTCGTACCCGTATTGCCCGGTACCGGGCTATTGCTCCACTCAATCCCACTCGGTGGACTCGTTGTATCGGCGGGCGGAGGGTAGGTCATTGTCGTACCGTACGGCACGCTCACGCTCACGTGCCACATGTGCCGTCGCGGGCGTGTGGATGTATTACTAGGCGGCGGAGAGCTCGAGGCTGAGCAAGCACGTCTGCTACTTCATCGCGCGAGGTTGGGCTGCATGGATATCAGCGTGCACGTCACGACGCACAGGGCTCGGCACGGGTGGCTCGGTACGGAGGGCTCGGCGTGGGGGATGGCCATGCTGGTGGTGTGGAGAAACTCACCTGCATCGCCAGCCGTGCTGGCCATGGCATCCCTTCCACTCAGCCCGTTCTTCCGTTGCGAGTCTCCAGCAACGCTGGAGCTTATTGCGGTTGCGTACGACGTGAGTTTGAGGGGGGGGGGGGTACGACGTGTTCCCTGCGTCTTGTGAGTGGGCCTGCCTGTGTAGGGCCGCTCACCCTCCCGCCTGCTCATTGCCATGCCAATAGTCGCGGCGCACTCGTCGGCCGTGTCTGTGTGCTGGGCGTTCGCCCAGCACGCTCGCGATTGCCGTGCGTGTTGTGCGACACCTCACCGTGCCTCATGCCCGGCTGCTTGCCTGGTCACTTGTGTTCGCGTTCGTCGGCCGTGTCTGCGTGTCGGGCATCCACTCAGCGCGCTCGCGGTTGGCGTGTGCACGCTGTCGACTGGTCACTCGCCCGGTGTGCTCGCGGGGTCGGCGTGCGCGCCCAGGCCCTGCCCCACATTCCCTGTGAGCTAGCTCGCTCGCGTGCAGCGATGTTACTCACCCTGGTCGTACGCACTGCGTGGTCCTCAACTCCATGACACCGAGTCTCGGAGACACCACAACGCGGGTGACGCAGTGGCGGCAGCGATGGTGGTGAGAATAGCGCAGCGGGACGGGACACAGTGGCAGCGAGGCGGGGGAATGACGGACGCGATGCGCGGGTCGCGGAGACAGTGACAGACGCTAGTGGACAGTGATGGAGGTGACGTGCGACAGCGGCGGGGATGGTGGTAGGGCGCGGAGGGCGACAGTGCTGCATGGATTAACTCGTTGACCCACCTCGCCGGCGAGGAGGTCATGCACGCTACTTACCTGCATATGTCCGTCCTCACGTACCCCGGCGCCATCGAGTCGCCACGTCATGCTGCTTTCGCCGCCCAGAAGCCTGTCTTGCCGTCTGCTCCCGCCGAGGTAGCTCCCATGCTTGATGGCTAGCCCGTGTTGCGGCGAGGATGCGGTCTTGAAGGTGGAGAACACTGTCGGCCAGGGCGAGAAACGCGAGGAGCCCGGTCACAGCGGAGACTTAGCTGTGGGAATTTGGATGCGCAGCGCGTGCCCGAACCTCACCGTGTGCGTTGTTGAGCTGGCGGGGAAATGACGTGAGGGTCTGGTGTACAAGGGACGAGATGGGCAGGCTCGTACTGCGGGAGGGCGAGCTGGTCGTACGCACTGTGAGGTCTTGACTTGCGTTGTCGCGCAAAGTCCCTGTACCCGCACCCCCGTGGGACTCCTGTCGTATAAGGTAACTCCGACAGCGCTTGCGTCCGTCCAGCGGCGCACAAGTGCTGACCTCCTCTCAGGCTCTCTTCACTCCCTCCTCCCCAGCCTCGCCCTGCGCCGCTCGCCCGCTACTCGCACGCACAACCTCAAGGTCGTGAAGCACGGCCGCCATATGAAGTAATCGACCCATGATGGGCCGTCAGAACGTACGTGTGCGCTGCGGCCGCTTTGACATGTCAGCACGCGTCCAAAGCGACAAGCTGGCAGCACATAAAGAGCACCGACGACGCCGCAAAGGCGTCGTCAGTGCGCTCACGAAGGCCGCGGTCACAGAGTAGAGGGATGGCGAGGCCGAGAGGCCGCACAAAAGGTATGTGGCATGTACTATACGCTCTGTTGGCCTTCCCACAGCCTGACTCACCATCATATCTCCCTCCATACTCCTTCCGAGCCTCGCCCGTGTCGCTATGACATGTGGGTCTTGTCTATCCATCACCACGTCACCGCTGACCCAGCAAGCGAGCGACCACCGACCTGCCCGTTTACGTGTCTGTTGGTTTCATCGGCTCGCTTGTTCCTTTACCAGTAAGTGGCCTGCATGCTCACTCATTTGCACATATACCCGTTCACTGGCTTGTTTGCTTCACGCCAGGTTGATGCTGCTCACTCTCGGCACAAGATAACCAGGTACGAAATTTCTTTGTGCGCCTCAGAGTCCCGATCTCACGCAATGTATGCATATTATGTATGCATCACGGTCGCTGTGGCGCTACGGAATCTCAATGATAGACATCTGGTACGTGTTGAGCCGTATCTTCCAGCTGGTCTACCATTGTCTCAGTGCGTATGTACCCCGGTCCCCATTGCTCCGACGTCTGCGTGAAGCTGATGACCCACAGCTGGCATGCTACCTTGCGCGATTCAACCAACCCGAGACCGAGATAGACTACCAGCTCCCGCATTACAGAAAACGTGTCGTGCCCACGCTCACGCGGCACTTCGCCCTCGAGCGCCTGCGCGACTCAATTTTCTTCTGTTCTACGCTCGTGCGCCCGGACTAGCACGTCTTCGTGCACCTCCTCCCCTGGACGCTGCCTACATCGGCACTGGGAGCTGCGGCAAGACTGCGGGCGGCGAGGAAGAAAGCGAGGATGCGGGGCCAGTCCAGGTATGGGTCCAGTTTGGTGACTGCAAGCTGTTTGCGGATGGCATGCGCCGGCTCGTGGAGGCGTTATGCGTGGAGGGTGTGCGTGTGCGGAGCGACGAGGGGTGGGCTCCATGCGGTGATTCGCCCAGTTGGTGAGGCTTGTGTGGGCGGGGTAATTATTCGTTGGGATGCAGACCCACGGCATGCTTGCAGCTGGGCATTGTACATATGTCACTGAATGTAATGACTATCCTCTAATAAAATATGTCTGCTATATGGGTGTATTGTATGTATTGTGGATGACAGAAGTGACAAATGCAACAATGAGTGGACGGAATATGTCGGTAAAATGGGCATAGTACTCTATGAATGCTTGACAATTACTGAGTATTAGCTCGTAATTCACAATGGAAGAGGTTGGACTAGCTAATGTCACCGTATATCAAAATCGTAGGAATGCACAACATTACCTGCTATTACCGCATGTGACTCGGTATTACTGGGTATTACTGGGCATTCACAGGGGAAGTTTTTCCTGATGTCCCTGGAGGGATATCGGCTATCTGCCTCCAAAAGGGGCTCGCGTAGTGACCGATGCGGGTGGTGTACGCGACACGCTTCAGCGAGGTCCGTTTTGCACGGCCGCTGTGATACCCATATGTTCATTTCAGTATCATAGCTGATCACAGGCACGGACATGATTCCCAACCTTACAGTGCTTGCATAGTTCGCTTGCTGCTCCCGCTTTGCCGTGCGTTTCTCATCGGCAGTGAGATACTTTGGCCGACGGCCCATGCCTGACTGTTGGCAGGAGAGGAGGATCTACTAGTACTGCGACATGAGTTGCGGAAGCTATATAATCGCCCGCGGCCGGCAGAAACCGATGGCACGCGCAGGTGGAGTTTAGAAGGGGGCAAGTCAGCCGTGCGAATAGCATACTCGGGTGCACAACGTAACGAGACATCATATATTTCCTAGAATGGCTGGTGGCGAAGACGTGCAGACAATTCTTCTAGATCGCTACTTATGGCAGAATGATCCGGACATTACCCAACGCAGCAGAGTCGAGGAACGCAGCCAACGCCGCCGCGAATGTTGGATAGCGCACCTGCGCCGAATCTGGGACTCTCGTCACAAGGGGCGTTACGTTGTGCCTGCGATCAACGGATGAATAAACCACAACAGCACTGTAGGGGAAACCCACACACCATCCAACAAAAACACCCACGGCGCGCCCCCTTGTCACGGCGTAGTAGCGGGCTCCAAGCCCAGAACCCTCGGGATCGCGAGTACCTTGGCCATCATGCCCGCCATGCCCTCCGCACCTGCCGCACCCGCCTTGTCCACCGCACCCACCAGGCCCACTGTCACCGCCGTGTCCGCCGTGTCCGCCGTGTCCATGTCCGTCGTGTCCGCCGTGGCCATGTCCGCCGTGTCCGCTGGGCCCGCCACCTGACCCACACCCGCCACGTCCGCCACGCCCATAGTGCCCACTGCACTCGCCATGGCCGTCATCCATGTCATCGTCGTAGCGGTGACCATGGTCATTAACACCGCTGCGATCGTAAGATGCTGCGCTGACAGGGGAAGTCGGACGGACGTACGGTCCACCGCGAGCATGCGGACGTTGTGCGTGCGGCGTTGGACTCGGAGAGGCCGAGCGGGCCAGCACAGGCGCCAACTGAGCGACAGCTGCGGGGTCGCAAGCCGGCTGAGAAGACGTCGGCAGGGTACCTTGCTGCATGCTGGCGCCCGGTTGTACTTGGTTATCCGCGCCCCCCATATCTTCGTAATCCGAACTGACTATGAGCGGAGTACATTAGTTAAGAGGTGGAATGACGACAGAAGCCACTCACTGGTAGGCTCGGGGGGCGGAGGCCCGACCGCGTCCCACAACCGTCGATCTATACAGAGTTATGACATCGAAGCTCGCCGAACGAGAGGTAGTAGACGACACTCACCTTCGTCACGGTCGACAACTAGTTGCAGAGCAGCAATCATTTGCTGCAGCATATCGACGTTGAAGGCCGGTGTCGGATTGGGAGGGTCCCGCGCCGTGTCCTTGCCCTTGCCGACCATTGCAAGGAGAGGGAGAAATCAAGGGTACTGGGGCTGGTACGTAGATTGACCGGTGATTTATACTATCGCATCATCCACGCGATTGGCTATGTAGCGCGCCATGCGCCACGCATCCCCACGACTTGATTCAGGGAAGGCTTCGATCCGAGTGGTCGGTCTTGGGCCGGTCCTCGCTAAACACGGAGGACGCTAGTGATGAACGAGATCGAGTGGAGCGCACTCACCTGAAGCGATGCCGTAGTAGAAAGCGAGCGAGCCTTCCACATGGCAACGAATGCTTCGGCGCATCAATACTTTGCAGAGCGTCGGGGCACTTGATAATGTGAGGTGCCATGCCGACTTGCTCGGCCGCAATTTCGTCCCAAAATGTAGAAGGGCCGCCCCATGCGCAGAAAACCTGAAACGACAGGTTTCATATGTCGCAGAATAATATTATTGGCTGAATATCACATACTTTGAGGGGACAAAACCCGGAGGAGGCATGATATATCACTCCTGTGGCCGGAGTCAACGCACTCGAGGCGGTTCGAACTCAAGCTATACGCACTGTATCTCCACCTCTATGGCTCCCCAGCGCTGGACGACCGAAGAGCAATTCCAATGGCTCGTGTCTTGGGGGTCTTCGTTCCGCCAACACCGCGAGGCCGGCACTCTGTCACGTTTCTGGCCCGAGGTCGGCCGCGAGTGGTTCAAGGTCTTCCCAGAGCGGAACACCCTCTACCCAGACTTCCACGGCCCGCTCACGGAGGATGAGGCGGCTGCGTTGGATAAGGCAATAGGGAACCGTGCAAAGGTAGCACTGCACGTTTTGATGATGTCGAACGCGCCTGCTGACCTGTTATGATTATCAGCGACTGCGCAACTGGTTCAACAACAAAAATGGTCAGAAAGCACGCAGAGCGGAGTCTGCTCGTGTCGACCTAAACATCTTGAAGCCCCGAGGCCGACGGGCCTTGCAAGCCACAGAGGTTTACTCTCGCAAGTACTACAAGGATCGCGTGAAACCGCTGGTCGACGATGCCCTCAAATCCGGGGACTACGACAAAACTGCGCGACTCAACCTGATTAAGCGTCTGACACGCGAGACGTACGAGGACGAGTCTCCCGAGATCAAGGCCGAAGTTGAGGCCGAGGTACTCGCCGCGAGGCAGGAGCTTGTTGAGTCCAGTGATGAGGGAGGCGATGGCGACAACGAGGAGCGTGACACGACACCTGCGAGCTCCGTTAACGCCGTGTATCGCCAGGCGTAAGTTCCTCACGATCATATATGATCAATCATAGCTGACGTCGACGCTTTCAAGGGCGGTGGATAACTTACCTGCTATGCTGCGACAGTTGTTTGCTGAGCTGCGACGTCGCACGGGATGGTACTTCTACACGGTTGGAGCAGGGTTGAATGACGAGGGGAGGGTGTCGAGCATGGCGTAGGTCGCAGTAATTGACTGGATTAAGTGATGTACTTATGTGTTATCATGCACTTAGCTTTCACGAAGAGGGTTCCAATGCCGTCGACTTCGGCATGTCGACGCCGGACTTCAGAGGCAATTTTGTACGGCCATTCATTGAACATGTCAAAGATTTGTTGGGTGAGCATCTACAACGTTCCGGCAGACCACTGTGTGCTTACCGAAGCCCATGAACCTCAGCCATGGACGATACTGGTGAACCACTCCCTGCGGATGACGTTGTGCCGAACGTTCCAGCCGAGGACCAGCCCAACGTCAACCTCGGCGCAATCGAAGCGGGAGAAGCCATTGCACAGAACGCGCTTCCTTCAGTCAGCAGCCCGCCGTCTCCCGCTTCTGAACACGACGCGATGTTGCCTCCAGCTGGTCCCAATATAGCACCTTCGCCTCCATCCACCGGTCTGCAGCCATCGGCACCGTCTCCACCTGCTTCTCAGGAGCAAGATGCGATGCTGCCGACGGCCGTGGCCTCCAGCGCAAACACGACGACTAGCAACGCATCTGGGACGGGGGAAGTGAACGAGGATGCAGTCCAGCCCAACAACGGCTATGCTGCTGGCCCCAGCACCAGCGCGTACGTTGATGACGAGTACGATTACTCGCTCCTCAAAGACCTCCCCTACGGAGGCTTCTCCGAGTTCAATCCCGACCCGCCTCGTCTGCCTCCAACCACGTTTTCTGAGGAGTTGATGGGCTTCAGCCAACCCGCCATGATGCCTAAAGAAATGGGAGCACCGTCAGGGGTGCGCGAGCTCAACAACTCGGCGACTGCACGTTACGCGACACCCTCCACGACAGGCTCTCTCAGTCGCGATGTATTCCCTTCGCCAGGGAAGCCTATTCCGACTTGGAATATGCAGATGTACTCCTTCCCATCCCATCCTCACTCGAGTAGCCGGCTTGCCGAGTCCTTACCCAGCGTGCACGCTGATGCCCCGCTTGCGTCCTCCTCGCACGGGTTTCCTGATCCTTTGTACTCTGTATCTGCCGCTCGGCCTGCGATGTTTACACAGGCTACTCCGAGTCTGTCTGTTCAGTCAACCACTACAGCTACGCCTGCTGCTGCGACCCTGTCTGCTCAGTCCAAAGCAGCATCGCCAGGCGGCGTGCGCACTTATGACCCGTCTGCGTCCTCCTCGCAGGGTCCTCCTCATTCTTCGCCTGCCTTGTCTGCTGCCCCGCCTGCACCGTCAATGCCGGCGGCTGCGTCTGTTCAGTCATCCGCCGCTACGCCCACTGCTGCAACCCAGTCTGCTCGGCCCTCAGTAACAACGCCCGACCCGGCCCCTCCCGCTTCCGCTGACAACAATGTGCCGGCCTTGTCCACGTCGCCCAAAGCCCATGTATCCCTGCCTCCAATCCCACCGCGGGGTGCTTCAAGGTCACTGTCTGCAGCCATCGCGGGCAGCTATCTACAGCGCCACAACATCGAGCGTGGAAACCATATCACATCTCCTACGGTTCCTAGCGCTGCGTCTCGAACCGTCCCCTCGCTGCCTGCTACCCCAGCTCAGGCAGCAGGCAATGGCGCTGCTGCTCAGCCAATCATTCGGTCTGATCATGGAACGCCTTCGCACACCGGTGCTAGGCCGCCTCGCTCCTCGCCCATCGGTCCACCCGAGAGTCCTACTCCAGCCATTCCTCCACCAACGCAGACCACGATGAACAAACAAACCGAATTGAGGGACTCACCGAGTAGCGATCCAACAGCAGCCGACTCAGCACCGGCTGACGCGGCGCTGGATGTGCAGACCCAGGGTAGTGTTGCGGGAGGCCGAGGTCGTCGGGACCGCCGTGCACCAATCCAACCCGACGGTACACGCGCCGATGGGCCTACGATTCGCGCTCAAAAGAAGAGTACTGATACACAAAAGGCAACACCAGCTGGAGGTAGCCGTGGCTCCGGGTCTTCGAAGAGGAAGGCGATTGATAACTCGGCGGAGGAGCCACGGGGGTCGAAGAAACGGCGATGAGTGCCGCGCATGTTCGACGTTCGCCTGGCCTTCGTGTGTGTTATGTAGTTGCGTAGGTATTGTAACCCAGAACGTTCTTCGTAGACCAAGTTATGGCGTTGTTGATGTCTTGCGCGGGATAACCTCGAATCGGTGTGCCAGTAAGTTACCAGGCTGCTCGAGAACTCGGGCGCGCAGGGAGTCTGTTAAGGTTACAATGTCTCAGTCGCGTCCTTGTGGTACTCGACTGCTATTGATACACTACCTGTTAAGGTTACAATGTCTGTGATGTACAGAATGAGCGTCCGAGACTTGAGAAATAAGGATACACCTGGCTTACCTCAGTCGCGTCCTTGTGGTACTCGACTGAGGCAGCCCTATCCGAAACGCGTCCGTATGAGTCCGTGTCCGAGTCACGTGTCCGTGTCAACATTAGCGCGCACGTCCCGATCCCTCCTCAACACTCCCCCGGGATCGCGACGCGCATGTAAAGTAGGTGCTTTTGTAAAGTAGGTAAAGACAGAGCCTTCGTGAAAATGTCCGCTGGGTTCTCCGCACCCGGAATATGAATTATCTTCAGTTGCTTACCCCTTATCGCGTCTCGCAGCCAGTGGTACCGGATGTGCAAGTGACGCACTCGCGAGAAGTTCGCCGAGCGAGTTGCGAGGCTTTCTCCCCCAGCGCTATCCATTCGGATGACCACAGGGCGTTCCACGGGCACGTATATTTCGTCCATGAAGTTCGCGATCCAGACTCCGGTTTGCCCGGCGTGCACGGCAGCGATGTACTCGGCCTCGGTTGTCGACAAGGTGACGACTGCCTGTCGGCGCGAACTCCATGAGACTGGCCCACCTGCCATCATGACTACATGTCCATGGGTCGATCGACCGGTGTCCGGGCAGTCGCCTTGCGATGCATCCGAGTAGATTACCGGCTGGAGCCCTGCAGGGTGATTCCCATCGAACGTGATGCCGTAGTCGAGAGATCCTTTGAGGTAACGGAGGACGCGTTTGAGCGCGCGCCAGTGACTGTAGCCTGGGTTCGCCATGAAGCGACTAAGCAGTTGGACTGGGTAGGAAAGGTCCGGTCGCGTTGCCACTGCCAGATACATGACGGCGCCCAACGCTTCGCGGTACGGGATCTTCTCCATTTCGGCTCGCTGTTCTGCGGTCACCGGCTCAGCCTCTTTCGACAGCTTGCAACCCGGCTCGAGCGGCGTGCCCACGGGGTTCGCGTCCTTCATACCGAAGCGATCGAGCACGCGTTCGGCGTACGCGCGCTGGGATAGGCGCATCGTCTTCTGCTCGCGGTCCCGCTCGATCAGGACTCCGAGCATATACTTAAACTCTCCTCCCCCGCTGAGCCGGTACCGCACAGCGAGTTCCGATCGCACGTTCGCCAATCCCGTCTTCGAGTCAGCCGCCTCGCTAATGTCATCAGTGTAGGTGGCTGTGATGGCCAGTCCCTCGTCGTCGAACCTCGCGCGCACACACTCGTCGGACCGCGACCGCGAGAATCCAAGGTCCTGGTAGGTGCCGTCCAAGTCTTTCCACCAGTCGTTCCCGGCCTGCATCAGTCCGTACAAGCCCCGGTTCATCTTGCAGACGTGAGTGGGGAATTCCTTGGACGCATACCCGGCCGGCTGTTCCATATAGATGGTCTCCTCTGGAGACGCATTCAGGTAGGCTTTCTCAACGTCGTCCTGGCCCATCTCCATGTCCCGCACGACTGCTGTAGCGCATACCAGCCTCAGGGATTCGAAGCGGACGACCGAGGCGTGGGTTTCGAGATAGTCGATACCGGGGATCTGCTGGAAGCCCTTGGCGACAAGACGAGCCTTCGGCTTCCACTTGCCGTCGGCTTCACCATCACCTGCGAACTTGCGTGCATAGACCCATTTGTTGCCGATCACGTTCATGCTCGGAGTCCGCGGCACCAGTTCCCAGGCGTCGATCCTCGCCAGTCCGTCGATCTCGCCGTTCATGGAGGGGTTCCAGATTGCCGGCTCACGCTGAGCCTCCTTATACGACTCCGGCGTCTTGCCACCACGGTACCATCGGGTTCCACCATCTTGTCCAGCAGATGTTGCCGCCGTGAACATCGCCAGGTACGCGCCTTCCGGGCTACGGTCACGTCCGAACTCCACCCTCTCGCTCGCCCAGGAGTCCCCTCGGATTCGTGCGGCTTCCTCTCGTTCGTTCGATTCGCGCGACTCGAGTAGCTTCTGACTGGGGGTCGCAACCCGCGCTGACCGTCGTGGCGCCTCGACCTCTGGTATCGGTAACGCCTGTGGTGCTGCTGCTGGCTCCGCTTGCCCTATCTCCCCCACGCCCTGTGCGTCTACTTCCTGCCAGTCGCCTTCCTGAGCTGCGTCATCGACCAGCTCGGCACCGCCCTGCTTCACAACCCCGTCGTCCGTGTCCACCTCGATGGGGGCGTCCTGAGTCAAGGTTCGGTGACCTGGGCCTTCCTCGAATATGACGTTGCGGCTGCGAATAACCCGCCCGGCTGCGGGGTCCCACAGGCGATAGTTGGCGTTCTCAGTGTATCCGACTAGGATACACCGAGTCGACTTCGGGTCGAGCTTCGTCCGCGTCTCGTCAGGAACCTTCGCCCAAGCCACCGAACCGAACGCGCGCAGGTGAGCGACATTCGGTATGCGTCCGTGCCACCGCTCGTACGGGGTGTGTCCCTTCTGGCGTGCTGACGCAGTGAGGTTCTTTACATACGTCGCTGTCCTGTACGCTTCTCCCCATAGACCGACGGGTAGTCCAGCGTCGAAGAGCATGGCTCGCGCGTGATCGCCCAGAGTCCGGTGTCCTCGTTCGGCCACTCCGTCCTGCTGCGGCGTGTAAGGCGTTGTTAGCTCGTGGACGATGCCGTGTTCGCGAGTGTACGACTCCCAAAGCGCGTTCTCGAACTCCGGTCCATTGTCGGTGCGTATGCGACGTAACTTCTTCCCTGTTTGCAGTTCGGCTCTGGCGTGGTAAGCCTTGAATGCCTCGAGAGTCTCTGAAGCTTCCTTGGTCCGAAGGAGTTCGCATTCTTCGTATGAAGACGCGCCGTCGTGTATGGTCATGCCGTGGTAAGCCCCACCCATTGATGGCTCACGCGCTCGTCCCGTCAGGTCGATGTATACTCGTTCTAGGACTTCCTCCTCGACGTTTGAGGAGGTGAACGGTGCTCGAGGGTGCTTGCCTTTGATGCAATCCTCGCACTTTCCTCGCGGCATGCCTCCGACTAGCTGCATGCCAGTGACCACGCCGGACTTGGCCATCTCGATCACGGTGCGCTCGCTCGCGTTGATACGCTCCCATCTGGACTACACCCCGATTCGTGAGGTATCGAGCTCACGCGCGCAGTTCACCGACTTAGGCATTGCTCGACATTGGCCAGCATGCTACGACTACACTAAGAAGACTCTAGCGGAAGTCCCGTCCACCGAAGGGTCCAGTGTTACGACCACGACCTCGGAAACCTCCCCTACGACCGGCTGCGTCTCGAACAGGCTCGCCGACGTTAATGCCTCGCTCGCGCCCTCCCAGTTCGGCGACGCTCGTAGAGAGCGACCCGAGGATCCTACGAATCTCCTGCTGGTCCTCGCTCAGGCGGTGGACGGCGTTAGCCAAGTGATTGAAGTTGTCGGGCAAGCGGCGATACTCCGGCACATACAGTGGGTCGAGTTGGTAGGAGACCGGAGCCAGAGGCTCGTCGATAGCCTCGCGATGCAGGACGGACTCCTCGGACCAGGCGATGGTCGGATAGGGTGCGCCCAACGAGTCGTGAGGCAGCTTGTAGCGCTGGAAGATCTCGTCGAGGTAGTTCATGACCTCGACGACGTCGTTGAAGGAGTACGGCGATGGGACGGAGTTCGGGTCATCGGTGACCGCCTTGCAGTAGGACTCGAAGAGACCGCGCTGGAAAAGCTGGTGAGGATCTATCCCTGGCCGACGAAGGCGACAGAAGACCTACGAGCATCCAACGAACGCAGTTGGCCCACGACAGCCATTCGCCCCGAGATACGGGCAGGAGACGTGGCTCTACGGCGGCCTCACCCTTGATGACTTCGATCAAGCGGTAGTAGCGGGCGATGTGAGCTTCCGCGGTTGGTTCGACGCGTACGTTGGGCATGGTGGTGTTGGGGAAGAATCTGCAAGACAACCTCGGTCGTATGGTCGCGGTGCTACGGCTAGCCAAGTACCGTTCGGGCGGTTGCCCGGGGCTAATCACGTTCAACAGGGCCCGAAGTCTTACGCCATTCTGGCGCATTCTGTGTGTGCTCGCCGGGCAAGTCGATAGCCGGTGTGCTGGCCTCTACGATTGGACAGCGCTCGTATCGTTCGACTCGGATCATTTATATGCACGTGTTTTCCTGTTTGTGTAGGCGTTGTTCTATCCTGTATATACTGCGGGGCGAGCCCCCTCGAATACCAGATACCCTTACCCTCTCAACTTGTCCGTTCGTCGTACGTCCGTCAGCAGTCAGTCCGTACGCGAGAAGTCAGTCAGTACGATCGTCAGTCCGTCAGAGTTCGTCAACGCCCCGAGTGGTGTCTCTACATCTTGTCCTGCCATCGCTTGCCTCGTCTAGTCCCTCGTCTCGTCGTCAGGTCCTCGATTCGTTCGGTTCGTGACCGTGGTCTACTCGTCTCGAAGCGTCCGCTACTTTGTCGTAGAAGCAGATCGGGCCTGTGCGAAGCCTTGCCGACCTCGCTCCTTCCACTATCGACCATCGTACCATCTCGGTACACCCTCCTAGCCACTAGGTCTCGCATATCGTTGCTCGCCCTTCGTCGGGTGTGTTGTGTGTGGCCTTTGTGGTGCTTTCGGTCACATCAGCGTGCCCGAAGCGTCGGTGCCAAGTGTGAACGTCGGTTGCCTTCGCATTGGTGAGGGACGCGAATGCGCTCGCTCCGCCGGAGGTAATACTGCCTGCTGGCACAGCGTCACGCTCGAGCCGCGTCAGCACAACCTCATACAGGTTGTTGGCAGTCAGCTTTCCGACTAGCATTGGCTCCCCTCCCCCGCTTCCAACGATCCTCATCTCTCCGCTCCTGATCTGAATCTCGCCTCCATTGCCGTCAATCCGAGATAGGGAGATGAGGTTGGCTGCGAGGTCGGGGACATGGAGGGCGTTTCGGAACGTCACAATCGAGCGACGACCCTCGATCAGCATCTCTGCGTGGACGCACCCGACACCGATGATCGTGAAATCCGCTCCCCGCTTCGCGCTGCTTCCGGTGTGGGGTTTGAGTGGGAGGTATTCGGAGAAGTAAGCCCGGTCGGTGAAGTAGTGATGACTCGCACCCGAATCCAGATAAGCCCGGATTGTCCCATTGGGCGTAGCCTGGTCGGCGGGAGCAGCGCTCGCTAGTAGGACGTTATGGAAGACGTCGTAGTTGTACGTCGAGGAGCCTGCGGAGGCTGCGGCAGCAGATGGGAGTGAAACTTGGGGAGGTGATGCGGCAGACGCAGCCGTGTTCGCGGCTGGGGTGGTATTTCCTCCAGGATGCGCCAAGTCGGCAGGCGATCCCTTCTTCGGCCGCGGTTGCGACTTCCAGTGTGCGGGCTGTTGTCCCGCCATACCCCCACCCTCGCAGTAGCATCGCTCCTTGGTATGTCCTTTCCACATGCACCAATCGCATATCATGGCTGCCTTCGCTGCGGTCATGAAGGCGGACGTTTTCTGCCCAGCTATCGTGGTCGTTAGCGTATCGCCGAGTGGGTTCTGAGGTCGACCGGATTGTAACATCGCGTTGTCGTGGACCGCGAGGATTGTGAGTATGACTTCCTCGGGGTCGGTTCGGGTAAGGAGTGGTGCCGTGATGTGCTCGTACGTGTTGCCCATCGACTGACAGATGACGATGGCGAAACGCGCGTTAGTGAGCGGGGAACCGATCTCACGACACGCTTTGCGGCGGCGACGCAGTTCCTCGATGTGAGCATGAATGTCGTCTCCAGGGACGTACTTGCAAGCTCTGAGGTATTCGTCCGCGTTCTGTATCGCCAACTCGCTCCTCCTCTCCTTCACAGCCAATAGCGCGCTCCAAAACTCGTGCGCGGTCTTCCCATGAGGTTCGATCCCACAACTCTCGATGTCCATGTTAAGGGTACAGGTCGCCTTTGCCAATAGGTCATCCTTTCGCCATTTTGCGATCGCCTTCGCTTCAGTCGGCGTTGGAGTATCGGCGACTGGTATCGGGGCGGACGTGGTGCCGTCGAGGTGCTCGAGAACCCCCTTTAATTCGGCGATAGTGAGGATCTTGCTCTTCCACTGGATCCAGTTGGATCGCGTGAGGTGAAAGTTCTCGGGTAAGATGAGTACTTTCTCTTTGTCGTCGGCCATGGTGGGTATATGCGCGTTTTCGAAGGATATATGCGTGCGGGAACGTGCAAGTGCGTCGGTCTAGTCGTCAGATGGGTGGTTTTGCCCGAGTTGCGTCGTCGAATGGTACAATGGATTCGGTTAAGCGAACGAGACAGGGCTCATAACCTGTTAAGGTTACAATGTCTCAGTCGCGTCCTTGTGGTACTCGACTGCTATTGATACACTACCTGTTAAGGTTACAATGTCTGTGATGTACAGAATGAGCGTCCGAGACTTGAGAAATAAGGATACACCTGGCTTACCTCAGTCGCGTCCTTGTGGTACTCGACTGAGGCAGCCCTATCCGAAACGCGTCCGTATGAGTCCGTGTCCGAGTCACGTGTCCGTGTCAACATTAGCGCGCACGTCCCGATCCCTCCTCAACAGAGTCGTTCGATGACAGGTTGGATGAAGTCGTCTTGTGAGTCAGCTGAAGGTAGAGGAATGGTAGGGGTAGAGACAAGACAGGCGGTGAAGGCGAGGATGAAACAGGCGATGAAGGTGAGGACGTGAGGACGAGCGCTTCATGCAGAATCACAGCAAAGTGCAAAGTCCATAGCGTCTAGGCGCCTGTGCCAAATGCGGCGTGCCTGCTGCACTTGATAAGATGTGCGGCTTACAAGATCTGATACATTACAGACCGGCCTGTATGTAATGTATCACGCTCAACGTCTCGACTCTAAGTCTAAGTGCTGAACGATGGGACTCTAATACATTCACAGGCTCGTCTCTCATCTATTACTACTCGGTGCGCTGATCAACACTGCAAATTGCGCTGTCATGTATCACGGCCTCGGACGGTTCTGGTCTATTGAAGTTAAGTTGCGAACTGATGTACCGTTATGTATGCACAGACTCGTCGCTCATGTATTGCCGGTTACCATTCAGACAGTGACTTGGACCTGTTCACACGCCGATGTAGTGTAATCGTTGTCAGTAAGCAAAACTTACTAAAGCCTGATGACGTGAAGCGAACACGACTGCATGTCCTCGAGAGTGAGTGCTTAAGTACTGACGCTTGCTTCGCTGTGCTGAGTAGTGCGTCATTCAACGTGCTGTCGCTCGATAATCATACAAAGTGCTCGAGATATATAGAAGTCTGGACCAGTGGCGAGAGCGAGCTGCTGGCGGACCGTTGAGGCGCGAGCCTGATGACGTCAGCATCTTGCGCTCATCTGAGCGAGGCGTAGCCACGCGAATGTGTCCAGATTAGGCCGGGCATCTGCAAGCGGTTCGGTGTTATGTATGACAGAGCTGCTAGCGGACCGTTGAAGCGCAAGTCTGACGTCAGCATCTTGCGCTCATCTGAGCGTCGCATAGCCACGCGAATGCGTCCAAATTAGGCCGGGCTTTTGCGAGTAGCTAACGCTTATGTATAACAGGACTGTCTCTTCATCTATCGAGCCCTATTCCGGCTATGGGCAACCCAATCATTGATCCAAGTGGTATGTATTATAGGACACCTGCTATACATCACAGTGTGCTTGTGATGTATTCCGTGATGTATCGTGCAATGCATTGACAGGCCTGTACTGTACTACAGGCGTGCATGTATCACGACCGTACTGTGACTACAGTCTAGTGATGTATCAATATGACCTCTATGCCTGAAATCGAGCATAGCTGGCTTCAGCGTAATAGCAGTCCTCGAACTCTCAAACATCGCCAGCGCCGCAAAATCCATCGGGTGTGCTTCATATGTAATTTCGTAGCTGCTCCTGATTACTTTCATGTATCTAGGTCAACTTACAACGGACCGAGGACACCCGCCGTCAGTACTTCAGTCACCACCTCCGCCGCTGCCTGCGCCTCGCCCACGTCTGCGCCCTCGCCCGCGTCCGCGTCCGCGACCCCTGGTTGCTTGAAGAGCCAGATAGTTTTCGGAGGTGAGTTGTGTGCTGAAGAGCCCGACACGCGAAGTACTGGCACCAAGCGCAGTACGGAATAGTGATGGTGGCGCGGGCGCAAATGGTGGGGGCGGTGTGGATACAAGCGACAAGGGTGGTGCGGCGGACGCATGCGGCGAGGACGGTACACGTGCGTAGTATGGCGAGGGTGCGTGCGGCGAGGGTGATATGGACGCGGGCAGCGAGAATATGGACGGGTATGGCAAGGGGACGGACGGGTATGGCGAGGGGACGGACGCGTGTGGCGAGGGGACGGACGCGTGTGGCGAGGGGACGGACGCGTGTGGCGAGGGGACGGATGCGTATGGGGAAGGTATGGACGCGTATGGGGAAGGTACGGACGCGTACGGCGAGAGTTCGGACGCGTACAGCGAGGGTACGGACGCGTGCGACGAGGGTACGGATGCGTGTGGCGAGGGGACGGACGCGTGTGGCGAGGGGACGGACGCGTATGGCGAGGGGACGGACGCGTATGGCGAAGGTGTCATTGATGCATAGGGTGAGGGTGATGCGCCGGACGTGTACGGCGAGGGTAACGCGGACGCGTATGGCAAGGGTGACATGGGTGCGTACGGCGATGGTAGCATGGACGCGTGTGGCGAGGGCAGTTGATGCATGACGGGATAAGGCTGTGGAGGAACGGAAAGGCGGGAGTGCTGGGACGAACTCGATGGAGGCGCAGGAGCTCTCAATGAAGCTGGGACTGGGTAGGGAATGGCTTGAGGTGCATTCGCAGGTAGGCTGCTTGGTTGCGACGACTGTAAATTAGAATGGTTAGTCTATAGTGCATATGAATGCTATTGTCTGCGACATACCCCATTGTTAACTGAACGGCGTGCGCGTTTTGGTGGGTGCTGGTCATCGGTCGCATCAGTGGTGTGTTTACGAGAGCCGGCACTCTGGGCTTGGCCCGTCGTTGTGCTTGTGTCGCCGCCGATGCTGTGGCCTGCCTTGGGCTTCGGGATTGACTGAATCTGCAATGACAGCAGTAGGTCCGTCAGCTGGCCTTCGTAACGGTCGCGCCATAACCATGTTTTGAGCATTGTTGCAAGAGCAGGACGCGTCTTGGGCCCTGAAGATGTGAGGCGTTCGATGAGCGAATCACTCAGGATTGCGGTAGCTCCAAACACAGCATGTGGATGGTCATTGTCAAGTTTCTGCTCGCGCCAGCTCTCGAGCGCGGTCTGCGCGTTGGGATCTGGCAGGCCGACTTTTGGCCTAGAAGCTTTCGGCCCCTTTTCTCGTAGTGGTGGGCGTGCGCGATTGAGCAGTGAGCTATCACAAATGTCACAGCAGGGCACGATTGCCGACGCGGTGGCCGCTGAAATGGGCAGTTCAGCATGGCACTCACTGTCTCAATGTCATGCCATGATTGCATACCTTCCGAGAGTGGAGACTCATACATCTCCTGCCATATCTTGCGGCGGCATTGTGTGCTTTGTACAAATGCCAGAAGTCCTTCATCGGCAGCTTCGTGGTCAACAATGGGGTTGTCAGCTGGGTCAAGGACCGTGTCATGGCTGGGGCCGGCGCTACTTCCACGGTCGATGCCATGTCTCTTGGCGTAGTTTTTCGGTGTCTTCTGGCGTGTACTTTTCGGAGGCCCATGGGATTTACGAGCTCGTTGCTTGCCTTTGCTCGTCTTCGGCTCTGGTTCGTCCTGCTCTGCTGGTCTTGTTTGCAGATTGATCGAGTATGCAGATCGCTCTACAAGGAGAATTGCAATACCTGTGCGATTCCGTGCTCGTGCCGCACGACCAGCGCGCTGAATGAAGTTCGACAGAGTGGCTGGGAGCTTCCATTGGACAACACGATCAACGTCGGGCACGTTGCAGCCCTATTCATGATGGCATACTCGTCAGATCGCAGAATTGAACCACGAGGCTAGAAGGGAGGAATATGTACCATGCCAGCAGCATCAGTGCATACGAGAATGCGCACAGGCCCTATCTTGACGTTGTCTGCAGTCACCTGACCACCAGCGTACTCACTATTGTTGCGGAACGCTGCCATGGCATGAGTCCGGTAGTCGGCAGACATCGTAGCATTGAACGGTCGAATGACACCGAGCTCGTAAAGCGCAGGGTTTCGTTGTCGGAGGATACTTCCAAGGTGGTCAATGATGTCGTTACCGGTCTCGATGTTGTCGACATAGAGGTACGTCTTTGGGATGTCGCTTGCTGACTCGATCGTCTCGGGCAGAACGAAGTCAAGGTCAGCGAGCGTGTTCTGAGGATGCTCGCAGGCACGAACGACAATCGAGACGTTAGGTCGATCATTACCGACGTTGATGAACCGGCCGCCAGTCTTTGGAAAGTGAAGCTTGTTATGAAGATCGCGACGGACACGTGCGGTCAGCGTTGCTGTAACAGCAATGATGGGAGTACCGGGAGCAAGGAATGCGCGCACACTTCCCAAGCTCGCATAATGCTTGCGAAAGTCGGCGCCCCAGTGCGAGAGACAATGTGCTTCATCAATGAAGACGCTCAGCACTCGTCGCGTGAACTTGTTGTTGCGAAGCACACGGTTCTTGAATGCGCGTGACTGAAGCATCTCAGGGGAGATCAGGACGATGTGATACTGACCGCGGACGATCTCCTGTGGTACACAGAGATCCAAATTAGTTGTTCCCAGAACCTATGGGGATGTTGTGAGAGTCACAATCACCTCCATGATCTGCTTGTTCTTCGTGAGTGTGTTCTGTCCGTTCACAGCGACCGCGGTTAGGCCAAATTCAGTCTTGAATGTCTCGACCTGTGGAGAGTAATGAGTCCGATATGCTCTGACAACAGAGTGCCAACGTGTCGTCAGATTGGAACGTACCATTTCTTCCTCCAGCGCCAGCAGCGGACAGACCATAATTGTGGTCTTTCCTTCGTTGCCTCGCCAGAGATGCGGTCCCGCTGCAATTGCTGTCTTGCCAGACCCGGTTGGGGCTTGGATGACCGTGTCGACACCTTCAATCTGGGCTTTCACACCTTCAAGTTGGAAGAATCGGGGCTCGCTCTCCCAGCGGAAGCGCTCCTGCATTATCTGAGCGAGCTCCTTGACCTCTTCAGGGGCCAGTTTTCGATGGCGAGGCGGTGGTCGAGGTTTGCTGCCAGTGCGGCGCAACTTGTATGCAAATTTACCTGGTCTGCGAGCCATATTGTGCTGTGTGAAGGTGAGGGGACACAGTGATCGAGAGGAAAAGTGAACACGTTCAAGGCGCCCGTCGAACGTTGGGGCCTTGACGGTCACAAACTCAACGTCGATCACTCTGTCGACCCTTGTTCAATCTCATGTCCATTAACCCTTCGCTCTTCTAAAATGACACCTAATCGCAGACGCAGGGCCAGCTCACTGCCGCCTTCTTCACCACTCACAGACCTGCCATCGGATATCCTCACTCACAATGACCATCCCTTGCCCTCCGTATTCGAAGGACTCTACCAAATCTCCCCCACTCACAGTGAACGCATCATTTCCGACACATCGATGCTCCCCGAGTCCCCTGCGCGCACCGCGGCGGATAGACGGCGCAAGGACAAGGCTGACCGCGACAAGGCAGCGCGCCTGGCAGAGGAAGCCGCTGCAGAAGACGAAGCGGAACGACGCATGGTCGTTTGTGAGCAAGTCCTGGAAATACTCGAGGCGGCTGACGTACCGTTCATTGACCTGCTTCGCATCGTGTCGGACGCTCGCCACAACCGAGGGAAGGAGAGGTACTGGGGTCTGTTCCGGAATACCACTGGTGTCGCAGAGATCCTGGACATGTGGGTCTCCTCTGAGAACAGCCTTACTGGCCGAGAGACTCTCCGCGAGTGGGCCACCGCATACATCGCTCGACTTGTCTCCCGCGAAGGTGATGCAGTCTCCCAGGATGGCTTCCTGCGCACGGAGAAGCGGGCAATTGACGAGCACTTCGCCTTGGACTTCAGCCTCGAATCGCTGGCTGGTGAACTCAGCGAGCTCTGCCCCACGATGATGGTTCTCCTGTCTGAGTTTGGTACCTCTACCCGACAGAAGCGCAGTAACACACGCACGGGAGTGCGACGACACTTGAATGTAAGTGTCTGTGTGCAATTAGTATGGAACATCGATGTTGACACTAGTGTCAGTACCTCACCACAAGTGCTCTGATCTGCCTCAGTGCACGGAGCCAAAAAAACAACTACGCACGCCACATCTTCGGACTGTACGCATATGCCTCAGGAGCAAAACGACAAATGATCGAATTGTTGTCGCACCTTGGACTGTGCAGCAGCTATAACACTCTTGCCGCGAATCTTGGTGACGACCATCTCCCGCACGATGCAACGGGCGGCCCTGCCAGCGACACAGACAGTTCGGACGACGAAGATAGCAATGACGTACCATCTCATCCGCGTCCCACCGCAGACCATCTGACAGCTCAACTTCCCTCACCTCATCAGTCTCAGCCTGCGAGCCCAACGACAGACGTACCCAACCTCCTGCAGACTCAGTCAGTGTCCACGCTCAGAGCCCAGCCACAAGGCGACATACAGCAGGCATCTGCCCTAGTCGACTCTGAGGACGAGATGTGGGAGAAACTGAGTGACATTCGAGCCGAGGATGTTGTCGACGAGGAAGGAAATGACATCCTAGAAGCTTTGGATGCCCTACAAGCTGAGAGGCGAGACAACGCGGTGGACAGTGGGGGAAAGCCTGCGAAGAAGAAGCGCGTTGAAGGGATCCTCAAGCGCCTTTCAGACGCATGTCGACGCGCTGCACGTGCAAACGCGTCATCGCGTCTCGTCGCATTCGTGTACGATAACATCAATATTGTATTTCGCGTGGCCGAGCAAGCGTCCGGCAATAAGGACACCATGGAAAACGGAACATGCGCAACGGCGTTCGAGCTGTTCGGAGCGAGCGAGGACGCCATGCAGACGTCAGACCTCATGGCAGGGATCATCAATGCCGGACCTCTCAGTGTGTCAGACGTGCTCTTCACGCCCGAAGAGAGCCGCGATTTCAAAGCAATCCTCCAGCACACCGTTCTCAATGTCATAGTGACCCATGGTGCCGGTGAACCCATTGCGCGCTTCAAGAAGGACGTTGATACGTTCGGTCCACTTCTCGAGACACGGATCCCTCTGCACCAGACCAAGATCTTCCCTCTGCCCTCAATGAAGATTGATGAATCAACAATAGTGGGAAATGCGGACGTCACAAAGACTGTTCTTGCGGAGCTTGGGCAGGACATGAGTGCAGATGGCTTTGCAGACGTGGTCCGGATCATTGCAGGCGACCAGTTGTCCATTGCTCGCTTGCGTTCACTCATGAAGAATAGGTCAGGTCACGACTCCTTCGCCAACTCGTATCTCTGGGCCGTCATCATGCCGGGATTCTTTCACTACAAGATGGCCACCGTGCACGGCATCATGGAACGTCATTACGGGTACACTACAAGCCATCACAACCCGGGTTCTCTCGCATTCCACAACACCGTCTTGGACCGTAAACCAATTACCATGACCAGCCTTCCGCCATTCCGTGTCTGTCAGGATCTCATCTTCGTCTCACTCTACGCCCGCGTCCTCGTCTGCCTAGAACATGTCAGCTCATGTGAATCCCTCGAAGACTACGTCAAGCATGTGTCGTGGGCAGAGCTCACAGACCATGCAGCCGAGATCGTTGATCGCTATACAAACAGTCGCACAGTGGGCCGCCTACGTACTGCTCGTGCGGCTGCGCTTCGCAACAGTGTACCCGAGCATGGCGGCACGGCGTCGACTGACTCGGAGTGCCCACAGACACCACGTACCCAACCCGCTGCCCCGGGATTGCACCAGCAAAGCGAGCAATCGGCGTCCACTCCTGTCGATACAGTGCCACCAGAGCCCCGCGCCGGCACTATACCATCCTTGCAGACGCAAGGAGCAACAGCCTCAGCTAACATAACTAGTTATAATTGATTATTTAGCCATGAATAACTAGTTAACCTATGACTAATAGTCGACCTCTTGACACTTCAATCTCTCCATAATGGCTGATCCGTCCATAGTAACAAGTATCATTGAGCACTCCAGCAATAATAGTCAACATTAAGTAGTCGTACAAAGGTAGTCAGATATGGGTAGTCAACTGTACATAGTTGGATATAAGTAGTCATACTTAACTAGTCAGACATAGGTAGTCGTACTCAAGTAGTCAGACATAAGTAGTTGTACCCAAGTAGTCAGACATAAGTAGTTGTACATTAGCAGTCAAGCACAATGCGGGAATGCGGGAATGCTGAATGTGTGTGCTATCGTAGATTGTGTGTGCGAGTGACATACCAGGCTCAGGAGCGGGAACCTGTGGGGCACGAGGAGCGCGACATGATCAACCAGATGCAGGACATCACGAGTCAACTCCGGATAGTAGTGCAACGTACGCAAACCAACCTTCGGAAGAAGCAACTGAAAGTGGCTGCGAAGGATGCCTCTACGGTCAACGAGAACCTGCGTTCTAGCGATGTGGAGGAACGCGAGCTGTATGCTCGAAGGGCTGTATTGCACGATCAAGGGCAAGCTTTCATTGAACAACGCGATCGCCGAACACGGCAGTCTGTTGTCGACCGGACCGGACACCACCAAGCTGATGTCCAGCCTGTTTGTAACTTTGCTCCACCTCCACCCCCGCCCGCGCTCCCAGCACCCCCGCCGGCAACATTCCCGAGTGTACGCTGTATGAACGTGCAAGCCAAGCGGGGCGACTTCGACACGTTTTGGAGCTCTACCGACGCTCCGCTGCCACCCCCACGATTTGCAACGCCTCGTCATAGTGTCCTCCCTGAATCTGCGGGACGGTCTTCATCTCCGCTGCCGCCTTCCTCCGCTTTCCCGTCTTCGTCTCCACCGCGTTCATCGCCGGACACAAAATCCTTGCGCAAAGGGGCATTGCAACGCGTCAACGCGAACACCGGCTCCGATACCAGCTCCGGAAAGCGTCGTCGCCGTCCGTCGAGTGACCTAGACGTAGTAGTCGACCTCACGGAAGACTCCGTGCCAGACAACCAGATGCCTGCACCACGCCGGCGTCGCCGTATTCAGTCCGGCGATCTGATTGACCTTACAGAAGACATACACGATGTCTCTGGCGCGGATGTTGCTGGACCGTCCAATGCGGTAGCGCCATCCCGTTCCTCACCCGCGCAACCCTCTCGCAAGCTACAACTGGTATATATCTGGGCGTATGTTGTGGTACGTCGACTTCAGCCTGCATCGTCATCTATACTCATGCGGTTCCACAGGATGGAGCACCACCCGAGAACTTCAGCTTCGACACGAAGGCAAGGACATCCTTCGTGTCAATTTTCACTAGCCGGGGCCTCCGCTTGACCGACCAGATTGGGGTGTGGCTGAGTTGTCGGCGGGAGTGGCAGTACATGTTTGTTGATACTGTAGGTGATCTCCTGTTCTATTTGCACGAAGGTGAGATCCTCGTGTGGTCAACGTGGGGCCTACAAGAGCTCCAAATGCTTAGTGGGATTACAGGTGAGTTCTTCGTCATGTGTGCTTTTTTGTCGCACTGTGCTAACTTTGTGTAGGCTCCAGCACGATTGACGTCCCAAAGTGGCCTTCCCAGAAGAGCCTATGGCGTGCACGAGAGGCCATGGCTGGGCACTACAATCACCTGCGGCTTTCTGGGGAGCTCAACATGACGATGACGATGACCTCTGAAGTGTCGTCGTGAGGTCGAGTCGAGTGTGTTGTCGTTGTAGAAGTCATTCCTTCTTTTGCCGGTGGTGTCAAATTTGGTAGTCTCCTTGTACTCAGCTATGACTAGTCTGTTTCGTAGTCATGCATCTCATAGACCTTTTAGTCAATATCCCATAGTCGAGCAAATTTAGTCAACTGTATCCAGTCAACCGTATCTAGTTGAACGGACTTAGTCATTCAAATCTAGTCGGCCATACCTAGACATCTGAATCTAGTCGACCACATCTAGTCAACGATATCCAGTCATTTATGCCTAGTCAATTGTATCGGTTTGACCATATCTAGTCAAACATAAGTAGTCAATAGTGCCTAGTCGTGGTATCTAGTTTACTGTATCTAGACCATATCTAGTCAAACATAAGTAGTCAATAGTGCCTAGTCGTGGTATCTAGTTTACTGTATCCAGTATACTATAAGGTTACTAGTCTGACTTATAGTCATTGAATGACTAGTTATGTTTGGCTAAATAGTCAATTATAACTAGTATGTTAACTGAAGTGGCTCCAAGGAGACATGGTGTACGAGAACGCCCTTCTGTTCCTGCGGGACGCGCTCGTTTTGCGTGCGCTGACGAACGCAATCAAGATGGGTGTCTCCGGTCGCATAGTCTTGATCCTCAAGGCGTTGGCGCTGATCTACCGTGGTTCCGGACGCACGAAATATGCTCAGGAAGTTCTATTCCTAATCCATAACATGACTCACATATGGCCAGAAGAACTGCGGTACGTCTGCGAGCCTCATCTTGCTGTTGCTCAACAACTGACGAGCTGCCGTACTTTGGTATCAGCAAAATTGTCCTGAACAATTGGCTTGTCAATCCGACCGGCAAGCCGAATGCCTGGGTCGAAGTCGACCTCATGCAGGAGCATGAGAACTTCTGGATCAAAGTAGGCGTTCCCGAGAGCTATCAGTCACGGAAAAGCAGACTACTGACCAACAAATGTGATAGACAATCTACCGAGCACACGGGAGCAACGGGTCATGGGAATGGCTCGCCATGATATCGCCGTGCATCGACATCCTGCGCCGCCTGTCCACGCAGATGAACGCGTCCCTAGGCGCGAAGCTGGGATCAAAGCATACGAGTCCCAGTATACAGAAGGACATCACCGTGCTAATGAGCTCCCTGCATCACCACCGAGTTTACGAACTCCATCCTGGCCGCGCGATTGATGATGACAAGCCCATTGTGCCCGACGCGCTGACGTACGGGCTCGAACTCCTTGAAGGGCCGCTCGAGGACTTCAACCACACGTTCACCAAGCTGCAAGCACGCTGTCGATCAACGCCTCTTGTAGGCGCGAGGTACCCAGGCATCCGCACGACCGTCGAGTCCACCACGACGGTTGTTCCGGCCGCGAGCTCCAGTGAGCCGCAAACAGTTGCGGTCAATACAGCGCCAACCAGCGAGGGCCACGCAGAGGGCGCGTCAGAGCAGCTGGCGGACAGGCAAAGCGGCGCGGTGATAGAACGAAGCGAAGATCGCGAAGGAGACGGTTCCGACGAGGACTCAGATGACGATGAAGAGGATGACCTTCAGCCGCAAACCATGTTCTCACTCGATACGCCGGGCGACGTGGCGCTTGATCCCGATCGTGTGGACAACTTTGAGTTTGGACTATGATACCGTATAATTTCTGTAACTACTGTCTCCGTGCAGACGACGTGAGGCACTTGCAATGTTCACGAGTGCTCATAGCACGGTATGCTCGATTTCTCTAAGTCCCGTTTCCCACGGGGGTACTCAGGTAAAGGGCGCCCAAATGGACCAGCCGTTCTGGCGAACGTGAGGAGTGCCACGACTGAGTTTGAATTTCTCCTCGCCAGAACGGCTGGGAACGAGCCTAGTTCAACGTTCAACCCTGTTCAACCGTTTGACGCACCGGATGACGTCGCCGTGTCCTGAACAGGAAGTTCAGCGTGCTCGGCGGGCAGCCGGCGCACAGGCACAGCGTCACCACTCCCTGGTCCAACCTTCTTATCGCGCCTTATTAACCATCTTCGGTGCGTATCGTGCGCATTAATCCCGCTCACGACCACGACTCCCGCACATCGCTATCGGCACTATACACGCCCATGACATTTCTGTCCAGCCGCCGCCCGGCCACCGCCGCCGGCGCACCCCTCGACGCCACACTGAACGCGAATCCGATGGCGCAGAACGCCCTCGCCGGGGCCAGCGCGGGCTACTCCGGCACAGGCATCGCCGGAGGCAGCATGAACCCTATGGACTACGCCGCGGGAGGCGCGAACCCCATGAACTATGCAGGCGGTGCGAATGCTGCGAACCCGTATGGAGCAGGAGGAAACTATGGAGGAGGATACGGACGGCAATATGGAGGAGGTGGATACGGAGGAGGTGGATACGGAGGAGGTGGATATGGAGGAGGTGGATATGGAGGAGGAGGTGGATACGGAGGAGGCGATTATGGAGGCGCCGGATACGGGGGAAGACGAAGAAGAGCGTACTCGACAAGCTATGCGAGCGCACCCGGGGCTGTCGGTCCTGGAGGAATGGGAGGAGGTATGGGCGGAATGGGTGGAGGGGGCATGGGCGGAGGCATGGGCGGAGGCGGAATGGGTGGGGGAGGCATGGGCGGAGGCATGCCCGCCCCCATCGTTATCCAGCCTACACAGGGAGCAGGCTTCGGTGGTGCCTACCAGCCCGGCTTCGGCGCCGGGAACGCCGCCATGGGCGGGGCACAGGCGTACGGAGGCGCACTTGGCGGAACACCTTACGGGGGCGCGATGATGGGTACCCCCGCGGTCGGCGCCGGCGGGCTCCCTGGAGCAGGGATGGCGGGATACCCCATGGGCGCTGCTGGCTATGGCGCAGGCGTCCCTGGCTACGGTGCAGCTGGCTACGGCGCTGGCGGGGGCGCGTACGGCGGAGGCGGCGGGTACCCTGGGTACGCGGGGCAGTACGGCGGCATGAACCAGACGAACATCCCACCCGGGAGCACTGTGCTCATTCGCGAGCGAGCGTCGCCCCGGAGGAGACCAAGACACCGGAGGGCGAGGAGCTACGATTCGTATTGAGGGCGAACGCGCAAAGTTGCAGTCTGATCAGGCGAAGAAGGACGGATCCGGATGGAATGGATATAAAGGAAACTTGGCCGGATCTATGGACCATCTAACATACTTATACGTATCTTGCTCACCGCATACCCTACTAAAGCATACACCTAATCATGTACAAGCTATACCATACCATGCATACTATCAGTCTCGTTCAAGTTCATCAAGAACTCACTTTCGATCGCATTCGCGGCGCGCGAGTGTAGGCCGTCCTGGACAAGAACCTCGTCGTAGCTTGGAGCTAATGGGGCGCTCATCTGCCAGTGTTTCATGGTGCATACCGAGTCCCACTTCAGAACAGGTCATCAGAGCGACGCGGACCTTGTGAACGCCAAAGCTTTGAGATTCCATACCGTACAGCATCAATATACATAGCACTACAATCAACGTACAACGGATAGTCCTAGATAACGCAAAACGCGAGGTGAATACTGGTCTATGCCAAAGCACCCTGTGGATAGCGAGCATGTTCAGCGCGAGCCATTTGCGTGGAAAGCAGACCGCGTACCATTGGGTCCCAAAGAGGGAGGAGCGTCCTCTCGCCGCTCTCGTACACCTTCACGAGCTCCTTCGGTGCAAGCGCCTTCGGGACGACGACCTGGTACACGAACCTACACGCCCCGCCGCATCAGCGTCCACCACACGGCGCACACACGAAGCCGAATACGCACTGCTCGAACCACGCGTCGGTCATGAGGTAGTACCCCTTGTCGCCGCTCGCGTCGCCCCACGAGTTCTCGATCTTGTACCGGAGCGGCTTGCCCGCGGCGTCGAGGTGCACGCCCGAGATGACCATCGCGTGCGTCATCGCGGACTCGCCCGTGCGCAGCCTGTCGGCCTTGCTCATCCCGAGCTTGATGTCGAACGCGTTCTGCACGGTTCGGCTGGGTAAGCACGCGGGAGCTCTCGGGGTGCATGGGGGGCCTAGCGTACCTCGTAGTCGAAGAGGTTGAGGTCCATGATGCCGTCCTGGCGCTCGAGGAACTTGCCCACGTCGCAGCCGAAGAAGACGGGCTGGCCGGCCTTGATCAGCTTGACGACCGCGGTCTTGAGGTCGTCGATCTCCGTGTTCACGTCTGAGGGGTCAGTCGCTGTCAGGATGCGCGCGCTCGGAGAGCAAAGGTGGTTGGCGCTACGTACAGAGTACGTCACGACCACCCCACAGGTTGCCGAGCTTGTCGACCGAGTAGAGCTTGCCGAACTCATTGCGCGGGTCGTGGATGAGCGAGAAGGAGTCGGACGGCTGCAAAGTACGCCAAGAGTGAGCCGCTGCTTATCTCCCTTCCACGGACCACACGCACCGCATACTTGTCGTACGCGAACGTCTTGTAGAACTCGCTCGGCGTACCCTCCCAGTGGCCAGCCTTGCCGTCCTTGTCGTAGTAGTCCCACACGAACTTGTCGTTCGCGCGCGGCGGGACACCCAGCGTCGCGGTCATGATCGTGTACACCTCCTTCATGAGCTCCTCCTTCTTCGCGCGCAGCGTGCTCAGGACCGCCGCGTCGGAGAGCGAGGAGTCCGCGCGCAGCGACGCGTGGAGCGAGCGCAGGATCAGGGAGTGCTCCCGGAGCTTCGTCTTCAGCAGGGTGTTGAGCGGGCTGGAGGCGGAGGAGTGCTGCGACTCGGGGTAGACCGCTTGTGGGACGACGCCGTAGTTCTATGCGACGGGTAAGAGGGTGCCGGGAAGGGCGAAGTGCTGGGAACGTACCTCGAGCACGTTGACGACCATGTCCCACTGGCCACCGTCGCTGATGAGATCCTGCGAAGTATGGGAAACGATGCGTTCGTCGACGGGGAGGCCCGCGTGCTGGATCGACAACTCCAGGAAGTAGTTGCACTTGTTCAGCTTGTCGTAGAAGAACAAGTACGACTATTGAGGGACATCTGGTCAATGACATAAGACACGTAGGGCCGCTTTCCACTCGCCTGCGAGAGCTGGAAGTTGTCGACGTTCAGCTTCTTCATGACGTTGTAGCGCAAGACATTCGTCGTCGCGAACAGCCAGCACCGGCCAGACGACTTCTGGTTGGTGACGGGGCCGGTCTTGAAGTCGAGCTGGGTGTTGAAGACGTGTGCATCAGCGACCTTCGCCGTCCGGCTGAGCAGCGCGCTCTGGATCTCCGAGTTGTGCAGGACGGTGCGGGTCAGCTGGAGCTTGGGCTGCGACGAGACCTGCTCCTCCCACGAGTCGAGGTTCGCAAGCGATAGCGAGCCGTCCTCCGAGGTTGCTGCGCGGAGATGGAGAGAGGAGAGCGAGGCAGCGACGCGGTCCACCGCCGCACGCTTCTCGTCGTGCACCTCGGCGGGGGCGGGGGCGGGGGCAGGCTTGGACGGCTGGGCACCCATGCTGGCAATGTTGCGGAACAGGAGACAGCGACATGATCCCGGTCGTCAGGCTTATATATGCTCTTCGCGCGGAATGGCGTCGAGATAGCGGCAGTGCGGCAAAGTGCTCGGGACTCTCGCAGTCACGATGTCTCGAGACTCACAGACGGCCAGATAAAGCGGTGTTCCCCCATTGGCTTGTGCACCCCCGACGGAGTGCATACGCTCGATATAGGTGCCCCTGATTACGATGTGGGTATCGTCCCGCGAGGCTCGGTGCCTGGGGCACTGAGAGACCTTGAAGTTGCAGCCTGAGCTCGAGCATGACTCGAGTCCGAGGTCTATGCGACAGTGCGCGTAACGGTACGGTGTCTGGTGCGGTACGCGCGCGCGACCACAATATATTCAATATATTATTCAATATATATACTTGGCGCCATCATGGCCATGCAATGCCGTCGCAATCACCAGTCGTGCGCGCGCATGGCTAGCGCTGCTTCCGGTGCGTCAAGATTCTTCAAAGACAGCATGCAGACAAACAGGGCAGCAGAGAGTCGGATGCGGTAGTCAGCTTGCATGCATAGCCCAACCTGCAAGCTTCAAGTCGATGTGGAGGAAAGATTGATTTCTAAGCTGTGCAGCAGCCTGCTGCACGGAGACTCCGCGCGAGAGGTCAGTCGGAGCGCTGATGTCGGGCAGGACTTCTTCTATGTAGCCGCGCTCACCCACCCTCGAATCCTCGACTATTCTTCATCTGCAAGCAGCCTGACAGCGACTGTTCCACGACCAGGTGTTCAGCTGACCCAACCGTCGAGCGTGTCTCGCGATGTCCGATGGCGGGCAGCCAGACCCGGAGGAAGCAGCCCAGACACCCACTCCTGGGACGTTCGCAACAGCTCATTCTCCGACTCTAGATGAGTTGCTTTCGCCCGTGGAAGCGACAGGCCACTTCCCCATTCGCGACTCTGTCGCAGCCTCCGACGTGGCGGATGACGAGAATCGCTTCTCCACCGTTGCCCTCAGCAGCGCCCGCCAGAGCTTCGAGTCTGCACGGATATCCCTCCGTTCCGACGAGGGCAAGGAACATGACGACCGTAGGGATACAATCGCATTCAACTCGGCGGAAGCGACCACGCCGCTCGTGAAGCACGCCAAATCGCCGTCCGCGACGACCGTCCTCTCGGCGCACAATGTACCCTACATGTCTCGGCTGGACCAGGAAGAGGAGAATGGTGGAGATGAGGCAGCCTCGAAGAGGAGTAGTGCATCGAGCCAGAAGGTGCAAGAGGATTTTGCGCGCAAGCAGCGGGATCTGCAGCAGCAGGAGCGTCAAGAAGAAGAGAATTCAGTGGATTGGGGTGAGCTTGCTGTGTGTTTATCTAGTTCGCCGTCTGAGGACACGCATGGCTGTGGCAGACTTCTGGGGTAATGTTGTGTCGGGTGAGTTGATCTGCCTGCTCCCAAATTATTTGCCGTATAACCAGGGTCAAGCTGCTAGATTACCAGAAGTTCGCCTCTGAGCACCCCGAGGAGCTCGCTGCAGCCATTGGCCATGGTATCCCGAAGACCATACGGGGGATGATGTGGCAATTAATGTAGTGCGCCTTCGTTGGCGGTCTGTTACCTCTGTCCTCGCCACTCACGCGTACGCAGGACTGCATCCAAAGACTCGGAGCTTGAAAACACATATGTTCGTCTCTTGAAGGAGACGAGCCCGCACGAAAAGGCTATCACTCGAGACCTTGGAAGGTAGCATGCTCTAGCACAATGTATCATCATATATCAATCTGACACGATGCACACAGAACATTCCCGCACCATGCATTCTTCACTGACGGTCGTGGCATCGGTCAGGAGAACCTCTTCAATGTACTAAAGGCATATTCACTGTACGTCAGCAATCCCGTATCTCAGCTTACTTGGCTCATGTTCTGTAGGTACGATACGCAAGTTGGCTATTGCCAAGGGCTGCCTTTCGTAGCCGCTGTACTCCTCTTGCATGTGTGTGCGCCGCATTGTCCTCTCCTTGTTGGTCGCTCAACCCCACGCAGATGCCAGATGAGGAGGCGTTCTGTCTACTAGTCAGGCTCATGTATTCTTACGACTTGAGAGGGCATTTCTTGCCTGAGATGCCTAAACTGCAGTTGCGCCTCGTGAGTCCACCGAACGGAGCGTAGTCATCACCCTACTGAATGCTCTCCCAATTAGTTCCAGGTGACTACATCAGCTTCGTCCTCACGTCCTGTCTAATCGGTAATCAGTTCGAGAAACTCATTGAGGAAATGGCACCGGTGCTGCACTTCCATTTCTTAAGGCAGAACATCAAGTCAAGTATGTACGCATCGCAGTGGTTCTTGACGATGTTCAGCTATCGGTACGAGATGCGGCCCACTATATGCGAACTGATATCTGACTTCGCGCAGCTTCCCCATGGACGTCGTCTTCCGAATATTCGACAACGTATTCGCAAGCGGCATCGAAGCGCTCTTCTCGTTCAGCCTTGTTCTGCTATTGAGGAACGAGGAAGCACTGCTTGAGCACAAATTCGACCAGCTCGTATCATTCCTCAACGTGAAGGTTTTCGACATATACAAGGTACGTCGTCCTGCTTTGCATGAGTGCCGCCGTAACACATGCTTTCTTCAGATAGATCCACCGACTGAAGATGCCGAGTCGAACAAGGAGAAGAGGGACGCGAAATACGACGTCGATCGATTCGTGGAAGATGCGTTTGGGCTGAAAATTAGCTCGTTCATGTTGGACTCGTACGCGGAGGAGTACGAGGAACTGGTCCGGACGCGAAATCAACATGCTATAGAGATGGACGCGTTACGCAACAGCAATCGGAATCTATCCGCACAAGTGTAAGTCCCCATGTTCATCCGTAGTCTTACAGTTTGATGATATGCTGTGCAGTAAGCAAATGGAGTCCAGTCTCGCGCAGTTGAATACGGAGCACTGCGACTTGCTGGTGAGTGCCCAGCTTGGCTTGCCTTGACAGACATCTCAGCGGATGTGTCAGACTGAGCTTGTGAAAGCGCGCCTGAAACACGAAGAGCTCGAGTCCGAGCTCGTTCGGTATAAATTGCTGTACGCCACCAGTACCTCTGAAACCTTAGGTCGGTGTCTGACTGAGTGCCAGGTATGCCGAGGCCATGCATCAAAGCGAAGACGCCATGTCGTCGCATCGAATATCCCTCGCCATGAGCAAGAGAAGTAGCTCAAATGGCGGCTGACTCTCCACCCGTCCGATCGTTAGGTAATGTTCGCCATGTTTTGTACTCGCAATCATCATTCCCGTATCTTGCTGTAACACTGGAAGTCTGTACTCTGCATCTGTTAACTAAATCATATTAGACGAATTATTGGGCTGCAGATAACGCTTCCTCGCTACGTGAGATTCGGGGACAAGGTAGGTGAACTCATTTGTGTTAGCTGATATCGCCTGCAGGTTGTCGCATCGTATATGCCTTGTATACGATACACTGTGTACACGCACAGCACCTCCATGTATATCCAACGCTCAACAATAATGCAGCTGCGTCTCGGGTCCATTACAACCTCAGAGGTGCGTCCGCGCCATGTAGTAACGTACGGGCTGAGAAACCAGAGTGTCAGCAGTGGCGCAGGACGACACTGAGCATGCATACTTCACCTGCCACAGGCCAATACTCAGATGAATCGTGCCTGTACGGAAGGCTGCCATTCCTCGAGGATTACCCGGATGTCTTCATCGTGCACCTCGACGCGGTTCGGGTGCGACTGCGTGAAGGAAGCAGAGACGCTTCGCAGGGCCCTCAGTCCAGGGCCAGCCAACCGGGATCATGATACAGGATCCCCGTGGTACAAGTGGCGACGTCACTCTCCAGCTCGGCGTATCTCCGTAATGCCTTCGGCCGGACGTAGCCAGCACTCCAGTGTTGTGCATGCTTCAGAGCGGCAGACAAGAGGATGCTCTCCGTAAGCCACATCCGCGAGAAGCAGGTGTATCCACCGAAGGTATGTCCATGTACGGCCTCCAACAAAGACACGATATCGTCCAAGGATGGTCCGTTCTCGACAGGCTGGTCTGGCGCTGCAATGCGGCCGAGCCCTTTGGAGTATCCGCGCAGGTCGTCGTGGTCGTCCGAAAGAGCCACGAGTTGGCTTCCGTTTGGGAAGGGATCCTCATCGAAGTCGATGCGCAAGTACGTCCATGGATGATGCTCTGGAGGGTAAGTGCGGAAGTCGACACTGATCATCAGAAATTGATGCGTTATCTTCCCAGATATGCGAGGCGTGAAGAGCGGAGTTGTCTGGTCACAGAGGTGGAAGCTCTCCAGTGCAACTACTGGGCTAGCGCGGATAGAGGCAGAGGAGTTATGCACCGCATGTGCGAAGTCGGTAAGTAGGCATGGTTCATCCTGAGCGATGTGGAGCCGTTGGGCGAGGGAGGAATGCATGTTCCTGCTGAGTGATGCAAGGACGACGATCGATGGTGTGCTCCTTGACACCGTCAGTCCAACCTGATGTCCTCCGTGCTGCGGCTGAAATAATACGACTATTCTTATAAGCATGGAACGGCGATTTTGTCTCATCCCGCGTGACTGGCACAACAGTAATCCTACATTATCAGCGCACGCTGACCCCATGTACGGAGCATGATGCTTCGTAGCTTCTTGAGTTGATATGCCACGGACCATATGGCATGTGCATATTAAGCCAGAGTCTTCGCTCTCACCAGCTACGTTGAATGAAAACAGCATGGACCATACATCATTTCGGGGACCAAGGGACATTGCACCTAGGACATGAGGGTCCTTCGACCACCTTCAACGTGGTAAAGTATATCTGCCGCCTCTGTTGCTTGAGCGATTCAATACCATCACTAGGAGGAGTTAAGCAGGAAGACGTGCAAGCGCGTCGGGTCGAAACATGCAGGTAAGTCTAGTGTACACTCCATATGCATATAGCCCGCACGATGGATCACTACGGTGACCTTCTCTCGAACTTGTTACAACCTTCCGTATCAAACACGCATTCGCGATCCAACGACAGACTGTCATTGCAGTAATCCCTACATGTTCAACGTTCAACGGTCACTGTCAGTGGGACTGCAAGGCGAGTACGTAGAAGTTGTCCTTCACTCCGACTCACCAAATGGCGATGCTAGATGAACCCCGCCTTCGTAGAAGGAATCCACTCCTCGAGAATTATACGGACGTCTTCGTCATGCAACTTGATGCGGTCGGGATGTCGCACGGGTCGAGTTCCCATGCCTACCAAGGACTGTGTAACGGGGTCTTGATCATACAGGATCATGTATTCGGCGTACGTCCTCAGTGCCTCCGGCTTGGAAGGACCCGCAAGCCAGTGCTGCGAGTACTTCCGGGCTGTAGACAGGAGGAGGTTCTCCGTGAGCCACAGGCTGTCCCTGCAGAACCCGTTGTAACCCCTGAGCATGCGGCGATGGTGTACAACCTCGAGTAAGGACGCGATGTCATCCAGGGACGGCCCGTTCTCTACTGGCTGGTCTGCCCCTGAAAGGCGGCCGAGCCCGCGCGAATGCCCGCGCAAGCCTTCGTGATCGTCGGAAAGGCCTACGATGTGGCGTCCGCTCGGGTAGGGGTTGTTGTCGAAGTCGACACGGAAGTATGTCCACAGGAGCTGTCCTGGCCGATCGGTGCGTAGGTGTACGGTGACCATGATAAATTGATGAAGGATCTTTCCAGACGTCTGTTGGAAGAGCTGATCACTCGGATCAATGAACTGGAAGCTCTCCATGGCGAAGACGGGGCTCGCGCGGATCGAGTCGGAGGCGTTGTGGACGGCGCGCGCAAAGTCGCTCACGAGACATGGCTCGTTCAGGCCGACCCGGAGTATTGTGGCAAGCGTAGATGGCATGGGCCCGGAACAGCTGCGGGAAGAACTTGAACACGGTGCGCAGCGATGGTGGGTACTGATATGTTCAAGGCTGCAAGCACTCTTTTGAGTGGTCCTCACCCGCAAGTACTACTTGTCCCTATCTCACTATCAGTGAAAGTCTGGAACGCGCCGCAGCAGAGAAGGTCGAGAAGTAGGACGTACCCAGTAAGAAGCTAGAAACTCGAGAAGGACTTGTCTCGATATCGGTGCGGTGGTTGGGTGCGACCATCACACGGATGGGTACGAGACAAGAAATACTGTACGAACCTTAGAAGCCGGGCACGTTCGCGTTCACGTACCAAGATGTTCCACCTGCCGGTGAGTGATACATAGGGTACAGAGAGCTCCTCGACGGCTTTGATTGCGTTCTTTTGTCGGACATCCATATCTCTGCCAGTTTTGCCCATCGAATCTTCAGTGAACCTGCATGGAACCAGTGTACTTAGCTGTACATTCCTACTAAGTATTGTGCGATGTGGTCTCGATTTCTCGGTCCCCAAAGCACATCTACGATTCTACATCCTGATACTGTACATCCTACAGCTAGTACCCATGGCTGCGATCACAAACAACCACTGCATATCGGATGCTGATGATTAGTTTCAAGGTGATGTTATGTAATGGTTCGAATGCGTACCTCCGAGTCACCACTGGCAGAGTGTCGAGGGTGCTAGATGAACCCTGCCGTCACACAAGGCATCCACTCCTCGAGGATCAATCGGACATCTTCATCATGCGATTCAACGCGATTGGGACCGGCATGCGTGAAGAAAGCGGCAACGCCTCGCCAGGCGCTCACACCGATGCCTGCCAGTGTTTGCGTGATGGGGTCGTGATATAGCATCCCAGTAACACAGGCGACGGCGTCGCCTCGACGCTCGGCGTATCTCCTCAATGCCTCCGGCTTGACAAAACCCGCAAGCCAGTGCTGCGAGTACTTCAAAGCCGTAGATAGGAGGAGATTCTCGGTGAGCCAGAGACAGTTCCGGGCGAAGCAATTGTATCCACCAGGCGTACGACGATGCACGACCTCCAGCAGAGACGCAATGCCGTCCAGAGACGGACCGTTCTCGACAGGCTGGTGCAAGCCCTCAACTCGACCGATTCCATCCGACCGTCTGCGCAAGCCCTCATGATCGTCAGAGAGGGTTATCGTTTGGCATCCCTGAGGATAACGATGGGATATGTCCTCGAAGTCGATACGCAGATACGTCCACAACGGCTGACCTGATTGGTCGGTGCGTAGGTGGACGGTGATCATGATAAACTGATGAACGATGTGTCCAAACGTGGCTTTGTAGAGCCCGGTCGTTGGGTCAGAGTTCTGGAAGCTCTCCATGGCGAACACAGGGCTCGCGCGGATAGAGTCGGAGGAATTATGCACGGCATGTGCGAAGTCGATTACGAGGCATGGTTTGTCGATACCAATTTGAAGTATGCTGGCTAGGGTAGATGGCGCGTAACGGTGTTCCGTCTTGATCATGGTGACAGCGGTGGAATGATCCTTCGCCTACCCGTTTGCCCTTTATTGGTACCTGAGTGACGAATCCAGAGTGTGATGGCAGAAACTTCGTGTTGCAGAAGTCGAGAAGAACGACGGACCTCGATCTCAATCATGGAGACAGTTGGGCCCCACTGCGATCATGAGGTGAAGAAGATCTGAAATACGAAGGTAACATGCCACTCTTCCGGGCGAGTCGTACTAAGACCTGCCTCATGAGTCGATCTCTCCAAAGACTTGACACGATGAGTGCGCACCTTGTTCGGCGCCCGCTTCTGCGGTTCCCACCCATGATTGAGAGAGACAGCTTCCGTGCAGCGAGAACCAAGGGCCTTGTATGGGGATTCTAAGGTTCCACTCGTCCGAGAGGAGCATGTCGAATGTTCTCAATACACTGAAGTACACCTGGCACTCGTGTCGTCTTCATTTCCGCATCGCAGGACCTTTACGAGCACTTCGGAAGGTTTGATACTTGAACTGGTACAATCGAAGACAAGACATGCGTTACAAACGTTCCCCGTTTTCCAGGTCATGGCCCTCATGCATCTGCTGCACTCGCTGTTGCGTGTCGCCTGTCAGATTCTCCGCGGCCTCCTCTGAGTCAGGGCTGAATCCGAGAACCCGGGCGGCAAACTCAAAGATGAGCTGCTCAGCCTCCGTTGCGTTGCGCGTCAAGCCGTGATTATCCCCTTCGAAGAGGCGCAGCGTACGCGAGCCGCGCGGATCGTCGCCGTAGGCGCGATACAAGTTGTGCGAGCACCGTGGCGACAGCGTCGTGTCTCCCGTACCGTGGAGCAGCAACAACGGGCGGGGGCTGAGCTTGAGTATGCCGTCGGTGTCGGCGGTTTGTGAGGCGACCGTCACCACGCCCACGACGCGCTTCGGCTCCCTGGCCGCGACAGTGAAGCAGGGGCTGCCGCCAAATGACCATCCGACGACGACGAATCTGGACGACCCGAAGTGTCTATCCAGGTAGTCGAGCGACGCAAGGACATCGGGGGTACAGTAGGTGTTGCGAGCGGGTCGGCGGTAGTCCAGGCGGACACATGGTATCCCAAGGAGGGCCGCAAACTTATCGGCCAACGAGGGGTAGATACCTGCAATCTTCGTGAGCCTAACAATAGATACTATTTCGCTGCCGTACCTCCTGGGCCGCTCGTACCGCCACCTGCGCCGCTGATCAAAACGACCGCTGCACCATTCGCCTTCTGCGTATCGGATTCCGGAGGTGCGTGGAGGATGGCGGGAGCTGTGTGGTCGAGCGGATCGTTGACTTTGATCTCGACTTGTTGTACTAGCGGCGGACGGAGTCGTGACTTGGCCAAGTTCGCCGGGTGAAGAGGTCGAAGAGCTGATGTGCGTGCTGGGGTAGGCATTTACTGAAGATGTGGTACTTGGAAATGGTCAAAAGTGTTTCCTGCAAGATCTCTGTGTCTGTCTTGTATACGGTGTACCTTCCTGCAGGCTGCCAGTGGCTGACACCGTCAATGATGACATTGAGGAGTTGTGGAATGCGACCGTCCGTGCGGAGCAACATTGGCCCAGTGTCATGAGCCTGCAAGCTTCCGAGCAATGGTCCATTCTGTCGAGTTGACCGTGGCAGCGGCTGAGCCGATAGAGATGTAGGCAGCAGTACGCTCGAGAGTACTAGTAGTAGTAGCGCCCAGTCTGTGGGGACCGGCGCCGGCGCCTGTTCATGGAAAGACGTCACAGGCTCACACTGCAGAGGCTTGAGACAACCGCGAATCGACCGACACGACCAAGGCACCTTCCCCAGCCAGTGGGCCCTGTATGCACCCACACAACCCCTGAGGTCGACGCTCATGTGCTCCCTCTCGCATAGATGGCTTGCTCATAATCCCTGGCGAGTACTCCGGCACGAAACTCACGTTGTCCCTCGAACACCGCACACGACACACGGGCTTCGGTTACAGTCCACGGCCGCACCATCTCATGAACAACCCTCGCGTCGGCGACGCGTCAGCGGCTGGGTCGTCTACCCAACTACGCTCGCAGCGCTGTTTGGAGTCGGCTTCGTAGCGTATCATTACAACCAGCCATTCCGACATGCTACTCTTGCGGTGGTACGATGTTCGAGGGTAGCCGGTAAGCCTCGGATCTTGTCAAGCCAGACTTTAGAGGCAGCTCATAAGGACACCTGCAGAGGCTGCAATACTGAGCGCGATAGACTACAAAATCACGTTTGCCAAAAGCCACGCATCCGATGACACAAAACGAGAGGCTACCTCGCAATGTCACAAGCGCAGCGCGGAGCGAGTCCTGAAGGCCCTTCTCGCGAATGGAGGCATCTTCATCAAGCTGGGGCAGCACATTGCGTCTCTGTGAGCTTTCTGCGCTTCATGCGTCATCTGTGTGGAATGTAACAGCGACATAGCGTAGTACTCCCCGTCGAATGGACGAGCACCATGCGTCCGTTGCAAGACAAGTGTGAACCGACGCCATACGAGGATATCGAGAACTTTTTCCTGACAGATATGCATCGGCCCCTTCACCAGTACTTCGACGACTTCGATCCGGACCCAATAGGCGTAGCGAGCCTTGCCCAGGTGCACATAGCGCGGTGGAAGGAGACCGGGGACTTGGTGGCTGTTAAGGTGTGTGGTCTCACATATATACGCGGGCTATATGGCTGATAACGCGCTAGTTGCAACATCCGCATCTACAAGAGTTCGCTGAGATCGACATGGAAATGGTCGAAGTGTCTCTTGGTGAGTCCATTTTCACCTGTCAGTGGTTCTCTGCTAAGTGCATATAGGCTGGATCAAGCATTGGTTCCCTGACTTCGAGTTCACCTGGCTCGGAGAGGAGATGCGGGAAAACCTTCCCAAGGAGATGGACTTCTCACATGAAGCTCGTAATGCTATTCGTACTGTCAATGAGTTCCACGATATCCGGACATCATTGTATATCCGTGAGCGACATCAGTCAATGTTTAGGCAAATATGCTCATCGGCTCTGCAGCGAGGGTATTTACCGCGGACAAGAGAGTCCTCATCATGGAGTTCATCAAGGGAGGCCGCGTAGACGACCTCAAGTACCTGGCAGATCACAACATTGACAGGAACAAGGTCGCACTGGAGCTGGCCAGGATATTTGGGCAGATGGTTCACTTGAACGGGTGGTTCCATGCCGTGAGTTGTTCATCTTTACCTACCCATTGGTGTGGCTGACACGTCATTCCAGGATCCCCACCCAGGTAACCCACTTTTGTGAACTTCTAAACGTCTGCGGTATTGGCGCTGAACGTTCACCAGGAAACCTACTCATCCGACCGGCCCCAATTACCTCGAAGTCTCCGTACAACTTCGAAATCGTGCTGTTGGATCATGGACTGTATTTCGACCTTGACAGGGAACTTCGCATCAACTACAGCAAGTTCTGGCTCTCCCTCATTGCATCTGCTTCACCCACCGCTGCGGCAGACCGCCGGAAGTATGCTAAGCTGGTCGGTAACATTGATGACGATTTGGTGCGTCCGGTCCTTCTCCGTGCTCTACCGAAACTCACAATTCACAATCAAGTACCCCGTCTTCGAAGCTGCCCTTACTGGCAGAGCTGCTCTCGACGAGGCCTGGACTGGTACCGAGGACCCGTTGAGCGGTACGAAAGTCCGACGTGCAACCAGCATGATTGACCTCACTGCCCAGACGGAGGAAGAGATGGAGATAATCCGACTCGCAGTGGTAGAGAAGGAGGGCCTCTTGCTCTCCGTCTTCGACGTCCTGAGGAGGGTCCCGAGAAGGGTTCTGATGGTCCTGAAGCTCAACGACTTGACGCGGAGCTTGGATCGGGCTCTTGCGACGACACATTCGAATGTGCGCTCTTTCTACTCTCTGCTCTGAATATGCAGTTGTGCTCCGGACGCTGATGTACATCGCTGTAGGTTCGCGTCTTCCTTGTCAGCGCGAAGTACTGCACTCGGGCTGTCTGGGACGACACTAGGCGACAACTCATATCCCAAATGCGCGAAAGGGGCCTTATGTCGTTCGGGTTGCTCTACGATTACTTCGCGGGCTGGTGGTACGTCTCGAGCGACATGTGTGCCTGTTCACTTGATCTCAAACACCATTCTTCAGGGGTTACCAACGCATGTACAGCACCCTAGTGATCGCTGAGACCTGGATGGATCTGCAAGCATATATGGTCAAGACGAAGGCATGGCTCTGGGGCCTCTACGCCGTCGGAGGCCTGCAAGGTGCCCATAAGGCGGCCTCCGGCCTAGCATAGGTGGACTATGACATGCATAGAGAGGCGCGTATATGACAAGATGCTCTTGGTTACATTAGAACACATAGCTTAGTTGGACACAAATACATTGACAGCAATCGAAAGCAGATCTCCTGGGGCTGTGACGGATGATACGAACTACTTCTTGACTTTTTTGAATAGTGTGTCGATGGCGGACGCGTTCTGCTTCAGCTTCTCCCACTACCATGCTGTGAGCGTAAGGCGACATGCAAGGGAAGGGGATGTGTACCTCTTCTTGATTGAGTGCAATGCCTTTCTTCCCCGGGTTTTCATCGCCTTCCTGCCCATAGTATTCTCGGATATCCAAGAGCGGTTTGCCTGAGGGGGTGTGGAAATGACGGGATGATCAGCGGATGGGAGGGTCACAAGAGCGCGGACCGCAAGTGATACCTTTGAAGGCGCGTACTGTCGCGCGTCGTTTCCTCCCCAGGTCCACATACTTGTCTCCTTCATTGTTTGTCTTCACTGTGATCTCCGATTCTTCCGCGCTTTCCTCCTCCGGTGTAGTCTCTTTGAAGACAGGTTTCTGAGAGCAATGGATGGCAATCAGCCGGGTATGGTCTATGCAGGCGTAGTTGATGACGCACCTTGGCTGTCTTGGATGCGGATTTTTTCCTACTTGGCTGCTCCTCGTCATCTGAAGCTGCCTTGGACTTGCGTTTTGGAGTGGACTGAACAGGGTTAACGATGAGACGCGCTCGGTTCGGAGGGTCCTCATATATACCTTGCTTGGCTTCTTCTGCTTGAGAGGACGCTCAGGTTCGGAGTCCGACTCTTCGTCACTCACATCTACAGCCTTGCGCTTCCCCATGCCGGGTGGTAGAACGTTGGGGACGAGGAGGTGGCGCGACGCGTCAAGGCGAGCTCAGCAGACGCGTCGCGCCACCGGTCGCGTTACCGTGGGACAGTTGCCCAGAAGGGGGAAGGCCAAGGGAAAGCCCTGTGCCCCTCCGCGTAAGCACAAGACAAGTCCTGCAACATCTCCGCCGCCACTGGACGACGTTCCGTGTGCACTCGCCTCCATCGCTTCCGTTTTCGTCCAAACCCACCAAAGTTGAGCGTGCGGACCACTAGCTCTGTCCCCCGACTTAATTGTCGCGGACGATGAGGATTCTACACAAGTCGAAGAGGGCCCTGACACCCGTGAGTCCCCCGCGTGTTTGCCCATAGCAGCGGGCCGATCTAACATCGCCCTTCAGCTACCGCAGGTCGCGGAGCTCATCAGCAAGCTCCTTGACACACCCGAAGACGACCTACATGAAGTCCTCAGCCAGATCGACGCATGGCGTTGGCCGCGCTCCGATCTCAATGCGTGGATCAAGGTCCTCAACAAATTCGATGCTATTCTCGAGGATGCCATCCGAGACTACGACATCGACAAACTCCAGGCAAACGTGTTCACGCCGCTGACAAAAAAGACTGTGTGCGAGATACTCCGGTTCGAGCGACTGCTGCTCGAGAACTCGACAAACCGGAAGACATTCAATTCATACGACGTGAGTGATGTAATGGACGCGTCTTAAGCGAGGCTAACGCGCGGGAATTCTCTAGCGACTCAATAGCCTCATGTTTACGTCCGATCTGGACGTCCTCATCTTGGCTCTCAATCTGCTCTTACGCCCCGCGCAGCAGTACACCGCACAGCCTGCTGTGCTACATGCACTCAGCATCTCGACCCCTCGTCTCACCTCCCTCGCGAAAAGATGGCCTAATCTCCGCGAGTACGACATCAACCTTGTTGACCTCGTCACTGAGAAGGGTCGGCCTCAGCTCGAGGCGCTCCCGAATGAGGCGCGGGAGGTAAACTTCACTTTCTATAGGCAAGATGCCCCGTCGACGTCAAGCGCGGCTGGAAAAGACAAGGAGAAGAGCTCCGATGCGCAGCTCGCTGAGTCAGTCTTGCAGACACCGACGCGCAAGTCTGCAGGCGCCGCAACCGGCCCTGCAGCGCCCGCGTCCGGAGCCGTCAATATCCACATTGACTCGAAGACAATCGACTCCAAGGAGCCAATGGATCTCCTTGCGGATATCATAGAGACGTACTCGGTGCCTGACACTGAGAAGTTTGAACTGCTCGCCCGTATTCGCGCGGCACGGGCGGTCAACGTCTCAAATGTCGCTGAACGCGAGAAACTCGCCACGGTCCGCCTTCTGGCTACGGCCATCTTCGGGCACACCCACTCTGAGTCCCAGGCTCAGTCAAGTCTCCTCCTCTTCGAGCCTGATCTGGTCGCCCACGTCGCTGAACTCCTCCAGCTCGACCGCGGCGTGGACGTGCAAGTCCAGACTGCGGCGATCGCCGCGCTCGACGCCTTAGGTCGGTACAGGAGTAAGATCCAGGACGTACTCTCCGCCGTCAATGCTGGCGTCAACCATGGTATTCTGATGGCGCTCTTGCGAAAGACTGTGGCAGATGTTGCGCAGCCGACTTCGACGCTGCCCCAATCTTTCGTGGAAGCACTATTCTCCTTCGTGACGTTCATCGCGACGCACGCATCGGGCGGCAACATGGTGGTCGGGGCGGGTTTGATCCCCCTCCTCGTCCAAGTCATCGAGAACAAACTGCCGAACAGACTATACGTTGTCTCTAAGGCCATGCAGCTGGTAGACAACGTCTTATATGGCTTCAACAACGCCTTCCAGTTGTTCTGCAACAGTCGTGGTGTTGATGTCCTTGTGGATAGGATACAGGTGCGTCGGTGAAGGACTCTTGGCTGTTTTCAGCTCTTGACAAAACGTTGGTAGTACGAGGCAGAACTTGATCTCGCCCAGTATACTACACCGGAGCCGTCGCGGGAAGTCGTCATCTCTTATGGTACGTGTGAAGTGACTCGCACGGATTGCTGGGATCAACTCAGTTTGTACTGCAGGAAAGCTCTCCGTTGCACGCGCGGCAATACTCAAGCACACCCTGCGCTCCATGCATCGCATGATGCAGTCGTCGGGGACGTCAGAGGGCCTCCGTGGCCTTCTTGACTCCTCTCTGATGAAGTCGGTGAAGAAGATCATGGAGAACAGGAGTGTCTTTGGGCCAACTGTGCTCCCGCTTGGTATGTCGATTATGTTCGTCCAGCGATCTAAAATTTATTCGAACTGGTTCCAGCCATCAACATCATGTCGACCTTCGTCCACAATGAGCCGACGTGCTTGCCCGTTATCCAGGAAGCTGGTTTGCCAGAGGCATTCTACAGCGTCGTAGAGTCCGGCCTCGAACCCGTCATTGAGGTTTGCTTCTTGACCGATATGCCCCTGATGGCCTTTGTTCATGACGATATGCAGGTTATCCAAGCGGTCCCAAATGCCATCGGCGCACTTTGTCTCAATCAAACTGGCCAAGCTCAGCTCGCAGAACGTCCCAACATCATCCCGGGCCTGTTCAGCATTTTCACATCCGAACGTCACCAAAGGGTCCTGCAGGACAAGGAGAATGCAGTCCTAATTGGTACTGCCGTCGAGGAGCTCATTCGGCATCATCCCTCGCTCAAGCCGTCTGTCTTCACGTCGATCAAAGCTACGATGGAGAAAATCTATCAGTTGGGTAAGAACTACACCCCAGCCGACGACATCAAGCAGTGGTACATACTGTCGTCCGTGGTCCCTCCAACTCCGGCAACGGAGAGTGCTGCCGCGGCACCCATGGAAGTAGATGCCGACACGCAGTCAAACGTGGCTAGCACGTCTCAGACGACTCCTTCGAACCCTCCTGCTACTGGACCCGAGCCTACGCCGGCTAGTCAGGAAGATGCTGCCCCGAAGTCTCACGATAACATGATTGTGTCGTTCATGGACGTCCTATGCAAGGTAAGCTTTTCTCTATCGTGACAGTTTCCGGTATGCTCAATCACTCCCCAGTTTTTGGAAGGGTTCTTCCAGCATCCTCCCCACTGTCGCGAGTTTGTTGCAGATCAAGAAGCTCTGGATCGCTTCGGGAAACTGACGGCTCTCCCCTGTTTGCCTTATGACTTCGCCAACGGGTTGACGTCCGACTCATTCGTGCAAGTGATCCGGACTATGGCAGAGGGCGCTACTAGCGAGACCGTCGCTTTCCTCGTCAATATCGTACGCGAGGCCCTCGACGACACGAAGGATTTCTGGGAGAATCCGCGAGAAGAATCCCAATTCTTGCCGCTAGTCGACGTGTCTGTGACTGGTGTGTGCTAGCGATGTTCGATGAGATTACTGTTCCACTAACTCTCAATGTTAGGCGAGGACCTCGCTCGAACTAATGAACGTCTACGTCGTTTCATCACCCTGCACATTCGGACGTCCCTGCTGTCGGACATCTATGCGACTGCGGGTTACGCACACGGTCGTGCAGCTGTAGCACTTCTTCAGTCTCTGACGGGCCCTTCCGCGAAGAACATCCTCCCGGATCTCGGAGCTTTGCACAGGGCATGTATCTGGGAGAACATTGTCCTCAAGTCTGCTCTTGCTTCTCAGGGCGTTGATGCACCACCATCCTCCGATTTGTCATCTCTATCTTCGCTGCTCAACACTTCTCCTCAGACGCCCTCCGCTGGGACGCCTGCACTTCGTTCGGACGAAGCGCGCCCCACAGCGGGCAACCAGACTCCTGGTACGACTAATGGTGTGCAAGGCGAGTCATCGTCAATGTCTACGCCGAAGCCGGATTCGCAGAAGGACCACGATCCCAAGAAGCAGAACGCCCAAACTCTCAAATATCTGGCCAGTCAGATCCCTAGCTCGCTTGCGCCGTTCTTCCAAGGTCTGTACGCCAACCTGCAGCTATACGGCTTCATGGCTAACGACTTACCGATTAGCTATTGTGCGGCTATTCCAAACGCGGCGTACTGCCGATGCAGCGCACAAGCAGAAGATCCGCGAGACTGCAACCGTCGTAGCGGAAGTGATGACGCGTCATCTCGACGAGAGGCCCTCCTGTAAGGCATCCGTTTCTACGAGGATTGGGTCAAGAATTGACATCACTATTTTCAGCGGACAAGCTCTCCTTGTCAGCCTTTTATACTGTGATGCTGGGACTGGCGACTATTCTCCTGGTCGACGGTGTGTGATCATACTTTAGGTCACTTGGACCGGTAAACTCATCTACTTCCCTCCCAGAGCAAACGGACACGAAGTCCCTCTACACGGCGCTCTTGGTCGCATTTCACCGTGCTGGAGGAGTTGACGCCATCCTGAAGCTCAGTGGCTACTTCGTCAGTGACATTGAGGCGTTGACCCAGGTCAACTTGGAAGAGCGCTCAGAACAAGCTAAGCAAGAGCTGGTGCATGCTTTTGGTGGGCTGAAGGTTGCCCTGCATCTACTGCATCCCATTGTCTCTGCGAAGCCGCTGCTGGAGGCATCTCAAACTGCGATGTTGCTCTCGCCTGAGAGGAAGGAAACGGACCCCGACTACTTCGAGCCGCACAACTTCTTGGTTCAGATGAGAGTAGCAGTCATGCCGCTTCTTATCGGGCTTTGGAATGCGCAGTGGCTGGTATCCTCTCCGCTGGGTGTCACTAAATCCGCGGTGCAGATCGTCATGGAGATGTTGAATTCTGACGGAGAGGTCGCAAAGGATGGTCCCCAACCAGCCGCTGCCTCCGTCGCGACGGGTGGTCTTCTGTTTACGCAGGGAGCGGATGCGAATCGAGTCCGTCAGCTAGTGGATATGGGCTTCCCTCGTTCTGCAGCAGAGCGAGCGCTCACTAGGACGAGGAACAACGTCACTGCTGCTACTGAGTTGTTGTTGGCGCATCCCTTCCCATTCCCTCCGGATCCAGAGCCTGCGCAGCCTCCTGCAGCGCAAGTCGAAGGCGATGCGATGAACGTGGACGCCGGCAACGGAGAGCCACCTCAACCTACGGGCGAGACGTCCGAAGCAGCTGCGGAGGGTGAGCCCGACAACACAGGGCCGTCGTCACCACCTTGTAAATCGCCAGAAGAGTGGCTGCAAGAGCTAAACGAGAGTCGCGGGCCGCTCAAGAGCGTCATGGGAAAGAGAGTACTCCAGCTGGTCGATGAGCACCCTAGCCTCGTCTTCTCTGTGCAAAAGGTGTTTGTCGGTCCAAGCAATGGTTATCGGGAACAAGCCGTGCGCCTCCTCATCGACGACGTCAAATCGTTCTCCACTACTGCATATGACGTACACGAGCAGCCCATGGCCGTGCGATGCCGCCTGCTTGCCCTCGTATTGCACGATCCATCGTCGACGTTGGCGCAAATCCCGGAAGACAGAGCGAAGAGCCTCGTGGAAACATTGCTCGCACTATTATTATCGAACCCGGTCAACGCGGACGGTGGACATCCCACACTTCCCAAATGGCTAGCGGCGCACCTACTTGTGACGGAAGCTATCCTACTCGTCGGTGACGAGCCACGGAATATAACGTTGCCGAAGGAGAACGAACCCATCCCAGACGAGTCGCTCTCAGCAGGTTCGACATATCCCGAAGCTAGGACTATCCTGTTTGACTTCTGCATGCGTTTGCTTGCCGTTCCTGCTCTGCCGAAGGACGAGTTGATCTCGGCACTCAGGTTGTTCGTCCTCCTTACCCGGGAGCGCAGATTTGCGGATGACTTCGTCCGGCGCGAGGGACTGAACCTTCTCTTCCAATACCTGAAGATATCTGCTGGAACGTCCAGTGCTGCTGGCATGCAGTCTCACATCGCGATGATCCTACGACACGTCGTGGAAGATGCTCCAACTCTCCAGCATATCATGCGTCAAGAGATCAAACGATTCTTCGCTCATCCTCGAAATCGTGTCGTGGACGTGAACAGCTACGTGGTGGGCTGCAACGCCCTCGCCCTCCATGACTCATCTGTGTTCGTCCAAATGACGAAGGAGCTCTGTCAGCTGTCACAGCCCTACGGGGCAGTGAAGAGCATCAGCTTGAAAGGGGAAACCAAATCCGCGGGCGAGAGCAGTAGTGCCAACAGTGCCTCGGACATGCAGGTTGATGAGCCTTCGTCTACGCAGCAACGCAGCCCCCATACATCCGTGGAGGCCCTCGTGCATTTCTTGATTGCTGAGCTGGTGAAGTCCGTCAAAACTGAACAGCCTCCCGACCAGCCTACAACGGAAACCGTCCAACCTCGCGTATCGGAGGCTCCAGAGCAACCCTCTGAGCACCCTACCGAACATCCTTCATCGTCGACTGGTCCATCGTCCACCTCCCCTGCAGCCTCAAATGACCGTGATGATCACGTTTACTCTTGCTTCTTGATGCAATGCCTCACCGAACTCCTGTTCTCATACGAGTCGTGCAAGGTGGCTTTCCTGTCGTACTCCCCAAAGAAACGGCAACAGGCTGGCGTGAAAGAAACACCAATCAAGTATCGAACAGCTGCCATACAATTCCTCTTGTCCGATATGATGTCCTTTGGCACCATTCACCCCCAGCCTCCCGTGGAAGCCCGGAAGCGCATTCTGCTCTGCAATTGGGCAATGTCCGTCATTGTGGCCCTCTGCGTGGACACGTCGTTTACGCAAGACATCAAGGATGTGCCTGCGGAGCTTGCGTCCGTCCGCAAGTTCGTCCTAGAAGCCGTCAGTCGGGCGTTGAAGGACCTTCCTGCCTCAGAGAACGCAGAAACTCGATACAGCCGCTTACTGGCTCTGGCCGATCTGTGCTACCGGCTGCTCACGGTCAAGTTCAACACCAATTCTCGTAAGGCTCATGATGAAGTGCCTACGCATATTGCCAAGATCATGTTGGAGAAGAATTTCGTCGCGACGCTGACCAGTGCCTTGGCCGAAGTGGACCTCAACTATCCAAACATCCGTGGGGTCGTCACCGGAATACTGCGTCCACTGGAGTTCCTGTACGTCTCGATACTCCCCGCAATATACATCCCTGACCAACTTGAGCAGCTCCAAGATTGCCATCAAGATGAGCCGAGTGTCAGAGAAACCAAAGGAATCGGTAGGTGAGGCTGACGACATGGAGTCTATCATCTCGGAAGAAGACGAAGACACCGGGGAACAAGGAGATGAAGCGCCTGATCTATACCGCAACTCATCCCTGGGACTGTGAGTTCTTTCCACCCCGTGTCGAGGCCAGTGATTGATTGTTGCCGATAGCTTTGGTGGCGTGAGTATGAAAAGCTTGCGATAGGTGTACTCGCTGACTTCATACACAATTCCAGGAGATGGAGGATGTCAGCTACCAAGACGAAGACATGGATGAGGATGCTGCGGAGGACGAGGACGACGTTGAAATGGACTTCGGTGACGAGACTGGCAGCGAGGACACTTCCGATACAGATGACGATGTTGGGGATGATCTCGAGGAAGACCTAGAGAACGAAACAGGAGAATCGGAGGGTGACTGGCAGGATGAAGATGAGGAAGAGGAAGAGGAAGGGCTCATCGAGAACGAGGAGGACGACGCTGAAGAAGGCGGTGATGACGATGACGATGAAGACGAGGGTGAAGTCATGTGGCAGGTACGCACCCCGTCCTCTGCCCATTTCTGTTCACTGATGGCCTCGTAGGACATCGCAGTGGGCGAAGCTGTCGCTGACGGTGCTGCCGACGAACAGGACGACGATGAGGAAGGTGGAGGTGAGGTCATCCCATGTTCGAGTGCTCCCGGAAGTTCATGACCCAGCAGATGCCGTGCCCATCATGCATATGGACATGGATGAGGAAGCTGATGTGGGGTCTGAAGAAGACGAGTAAGTACGTCATTTTCAGTGCAGAATGTCTGGTTGACCCTATTTAGTTTCGCCGACGATTTGGATGATATCGGCCAGGGACCAGTCGGTGAAGATATCTTGGAACTTGCCACTGGTTTTGCCAACGCTCTTGGTGGAGGAGTCGGCGGCAATATGGGGCAAGCTATTCAGCCCATGTTGTGGACCGGTACTGCTATGCGCTCGGCTAACACTCGTCGTCGTCACACCGGTAAGTCTCCTGTGTACTTCCATCGCTTCCGGTGGTAATGTTTGTATCTGCTGTTCACAGACGATGATCTCGAAATCTTCGGTCAATCTCGCAACCCTGCAGTACCCGCTCCGGAGGCTGCTGTCCATCCTCTGCTTCTCGATCCAGCTTCTGCATTATCGCGTGCTTCCAACGGGCAGTCCAGGCACCTTCGTCGACTCCCGAGGGCTGGCGGACCTGGAGGTCATCCACATGATATCATGCAGACCATCGAGGAGGCTATCGGGGAAGGCGCAGTCCAACTGTTCCAGCACATCTTCTCACATGGCCGTGGAGGCGGCGGGGATACAATCCGCATTGACGTGCCATCAGGTGCATTGGGCCCATTGCAGCAGAGACATGGCCGTGGGACCATTTCGGCTTCAATTCGTTTCGAGAGAGCACCACGTTCCGGAGAGGGCCGCTCGGAGGGTCGTAACCTCGACCCTCTGTTGACCGTTCAACGATGGTTGGAGGAAGTCAAGATGCTGCATGGCAAATTCGAGCAGAGTCGACTCACCAAACTTGCGAACCACATCGTACTTGCCCTCCTTCCTGCAGCTGTTGAAGCCATGAGGAACGCCAAACTGGCCGAGGAACGAGAAGCGGCCCGCATCCGTGAAGAGCAGGCGAAGGCCGAGGCCGAGGCCGAGGCGAAGGCAAAAGAGGAGGCTGAAAAAGCCAAAGCCGAGGAGGATGAGAAGGCGCGTGCGGAGGCGGAGGCAGCCGCCCAACCGGCTGAGGGCGAAGGACGGCAGGACGAGACACCAGCAGCCCCTGTGGATGTGGATGCGGACGCTGAGATGGCCGACGCCTCAGATGCGCCAGCGCCTAGTGCGTCTGATAATACTGGCTCTGCGGTGGATTCATCTGGTCCCAGTGCCGAAGACGAGGGTCAGGCTGCGGCGACAGAAGACGGGGGTTCAACGAGCACCGCTCAGCGCGTAATCGTCTCGATCCACGGAAACCCTGTGGACATTACTGATACGGGCATCGATCCTACGTTCTTGGAGGCTCTGCCAGACGACATGCGAGAAGAGGTGCTCAACCAGCACGTCCGCGACCAGCGCGCTGCTAGGGTCGAGCGCCCGGCGGATTCGCAGATTAGCGCAGAGTTCCTGGATGCTTTGCCACCCGAGCTACGTGCCGAGATCTTGCAGCAAGAGAACATTGAACGCGCGCGACAGCGAGTGGAGAGCGCTGGTCAACGAGGCAGCGTCGCCGACGTCGATCCTGCTACCTTCATTGCCAGCCTAGATCCTCAATTGCGCCAGGCCGTCTTGATGGACTCCGATGATGTGCTGATCCAAAGCTTGCCGGCTCAAATGCTGGCCGAGGCCGGCATCAATCGCACGCACCTAGAGAACCTCCGCTCCGCACAACCTCCTGCAAGCAACCGACAACAGGTAGCATCCTCTACCCCTCACCAGGCCCAGAAGCCCCCAGCGCCGCGAGACGCCATCCAACTCCTAGAGAAGCCTGCTATCGCCGTACTGATCCGTCTTCTCTTCTTCCCTCACACACTGAAGAAGAACTTGCTATACAAAGTCCTCGTCAACCTTTGCGAGAACTCGAAGACGCGGACAGATCTGTTCAATCTGCTCCTCAACATCCTCCAGGATGGCTCCGGTGATCTGGCCGCAATTGACCGGAGTTTCGCTCAGATGTCTTTCCGCAGTTCGAAGCAACCAACTCAGCAAACACCCAAGGCGATCGGGAAGCAACGTGTGCCCTCTGACTATTTCGGAGCCCTCGCGTCACCGCAATGGCAAAACGAGATAGTCCCTGAACTTATCGTCCAGCGATGCTTGGAGGCGTTAACGTACATCGTCAGCTTCAATGAGCTGTCGTCTCTCTTCTTCCTGACGGAGCACGAGCTGCCTGTTGGTTTGCGACGCCATGCCTCGAAGAAGGGCAAGGGTAAGGAGAAGCAGGCGCCGCAGACCCACTATCCTGTGGTACTATTGCTGAGCTTGCTCGATCGACCTTCTGTTCTCAAGACGCCTTCCATCGTTGAGTCTGTTGTCACCCTTCTCGCGACCGTGACCCGCCCTCTTGCCAGTCTCAAGGACCAAGGCAAGGAGAAGACCGAGCAAACGGATGCAACCACGACTGTCTCTGCCACTGCTCCCACGTTGGAGACTCCTGCTGCGACGTCTCAGCCGGAACAATCTCAAGCTGCAGATGGTAAGCGGTGATACACTCTCTAGTTCGTATGCTCACTGAGAGAACAGTAGTACCTGCTAGCGCAGAAGCGCCGCAAGGTCAAGGTAGCAAGCCAGACGTTGCTCAAGCGAAGGAAGAGAAGACGTTACTTGCCCACCCTCCTGTCGTCCCACATACAGTGATGCGTTCTATCGTCAACATCCTTACCGCTGGCGAATGCTCGGGACGAACCTTCTCGCAGAGCCTGGCCCTTATCCAGCACTTGTCCTACGTGCCCGACGCACGGGAGGTCATCGCAAACGAACTCCGATCTCGAGCACAAGACTTCGGGCACAGTCTGTACACGGCTCTGGACGAGCTTGCCGTTGCTCTACAAGAGTCCAAGGGGGATGTCCTTGCCAGCGCAATAGCATCAAAGTTCTCGCCTGCGTCTTCGGACCAAGCGAAGCTTCTGCGCGTGTTAAAGACGATCGACTACATGTACTCGCCGAAGTCGCCAGCAGCACCCGGGACCGATGTCAGCGATGCGGATGTCGAGAAAGTGCAGGGAATCTACGAGTCGTTCAGATTCACTCCTCTTTGGCGACGCCTGGGCGATTGTCTTGCGATCACTGAGGAGAAGCCAGAGATGGAGCATATCGCCACGGTGTTACTACCGCTCATCGAATCGCTGATGGTCGTCTGCAAGTACGTCGGAGCTAAGACATCGTCCGGAGCGGCAGCGCGTATGCTGCGTGCGTCGACCTCCCCTCGATCGCCCACAACTACCCGCGAATCCATGGAGGAGTTGTTCGTTACCTTCACAGATGCTCATCGCAAAGTGCTCAACCTCATGGTGCGCAACAACCCGTCGCTGATGAGTGGTTCCTTCTCCCTCCTGGTGCACAACCCTCGTGTCCTGGACTTCGACAACAAGAGGAACTACTTCAACCAACAACTCCATCGCCGGCCGCACAGTCGCGAGCACCACGGCACTCTGCAGCTGAACGTCCGTCGCCAGAGAGTTTTCGAGGACAGCTTCCAGTATTTGCAGCGGAAGACCGGAGAGCAGATCAAGTACGGCAAGCTCAGTGTACGCTTCTACGACGAGGAGGGCGTCGACGCAGGTGGTGTCACGCGCGAATGGTTCCAGATTCTCGCTCGCCAAATGTTCGATCCCAACTACGCGCTGTTCCAGCCTTGCGCCGCGGACAGGTTGACGTACCAGCCGAACAAGAACTCATGGGTCAACCCGGAGCATCTCTCGTTCTTCAAGTTCGTCGGGCGCATTATTGGGAAAGCAATCTACGACGGCCGTCTGCTCGATGCATACTTCGCGAGGAGTCTATACAGGCAGCTCCTGGCCAAGCCAGTGGACTACAAGGATGTGGAGTGGGTCGACCCCGAGTATTACAACTCGCTCTGCTGGATCCTCGACAATGACCCGAGTGCGCTGGAGCTGACCTTCAGTGTCGAGGCCGACGAGGTGAGCGTATTGATGGACCAATCAGTAGTCTGATGGCTGACGGGTTTTTCCGCAGTTTGGAGTCATGAAGATCGTCGACCTCAAGGAGAACGGTCGGTCGATACCCGTCACGCAGGAGAATAAGCGAGAGTTTGTTCAGTTGTCCGCTCAATACCGCTTGTACTCGTCTATCAAGGACCAGATCGAGGCGTTGGTTGCAGGGTTCTACGAGATCATCCCCAAGGACCTGGTTTCGATCGTAAGTTCCCGTTTAGCTTAGAGTCATGCTGCTTGTCTCACCTGTCTTCCTCGCAGTTCAACGAGCAGGAGCTTGAGCTTCTCATCTCCGGCACTCCTGACATCGACGTTGACGAATGGCGCGCTGCGACTGAGTACAACGGGTACACGAGTTCCGATCCTGTCATCGTCTGGTGGTGGCGTGCGTTGAAGTCGTTCAACCGAGAAGAACGAGCCAAGGTCCTGAGCTTCGCTACCGGCACGTCTCGAGTCCCCCTCGGCGGCTTTACGGAGTTGCAAGGAGTGCAGGGCGTGCAGCGGTTCTCTATCCACCGAGCGTACGGTGACGCAGACCGCCTGCCGCAGGCGCATACATGTTCGTCTCTTCTAGTGTCTTTGTGCGTTCGTGAGCTGACATTTGTGGTTACGCAGGCTTCAACCAGATTGATCTTCCACAGTATTCCTCGTACGAGATGCTTCGGCAACAGCTCTTGCTGGCAATCAACGAAGGAGGCGAGGGCTTTGGATTCGCATAATATACGTTCACGCGCGCTAGTAGTACCACGAAGGACATCGCATCGTAGAAGCAGGCCATCATCATGTATTATATCACCAATCACGTACTTACACGACAAGTTCAACCGCTGTGAATAGCATTCACGTCTTGGATTACCTACGAGTGGCTGCGTAGGTGATGGATTCACTTTGTGCATGCAGAGCGTGCACGAAGTCTGGTGAACAGGACGTCGTCCCTGAGTCGTAAGGTATGCCAAGATCCACGGCATGATTGTTGCAGTGGTCACGATGCAGCAGTGCTGGGTTGTTCTCTCCCGCAGGGTGCCCTTAGACTGGGTCAGGCGAACCACAGTACAGCCCCAAACGGAAGCCGCCCACTGATGCCGAGTAAGTGAGAGGGGCAGCACGGTCATGGGATTGAGCAGGGATTGACCATCACCGGATTTCACGCGACCCGTCGAGCGTATCATGCTCCAGCGTCCCCGCACACCGCCGCTCTGTTTGCACCGGTAGCGCGAGCGTTTGTCCTGTCCCCTTGTCCTCTCCCAGTCCCGCAGAAGAAATCTCAAGTCACCATGCGCGCGTTCGTGATCAAGGAATACGCCCACCCATCGAAGATCCCCTTGAGCGACGATGTACCAGAGCCCAAGCCACAGGAGGGCGAGGTCCTCGTTGAGGTCTTCAGCGCGGGCTTGAACTACTACGACGTGAGCTACCCGCCTTCTATCCCACGTCTCGATCCAGGGCCTAACTCGCCCACGTAGATCCTGCAATCCCAGGGCAAGTACCAGTCGCAGCCGCCACGCCCATTCACGCTGGGCACCGAGTTTGCCGGGCGGATCGCAGCGGACTCGCCCATTCCGAAGGGGTGCCCGTTCAAGCCGGGCGACAGGGTCTTTGGGGCCGTGCAGGGCGCGTATGCGGACAAGCTCGCGGCCAAGTGGGGGTATCTGCTTCCGCTGCCGGCTGCGATGACATACGACCAGGGCGCAGGTACGTCTGCACCGTGAGCTTGGTGTTGGTGGGGTAGGATGTTGACAGGTGGGGGCACTGCTAGGCCTATTCATCACTTGGCCGACATCGTATGAGGCACTGGTTGGACGTGCTGAGCTTAAGGCAGGTCGGTGGCTCGGACCTTCTGTCATACTGGTCATTTGGAGCCAGATACCAACTACCCCACGTAGGTGAATGGGTGCTCGTCACAGCTGCTGCAGGTGGCGTAGGTATCGCCGCCGTACAATTGGCAAAAGGTACAGACCATTCGTGCAAGCCGCGATCCACTTGTGCTTACCGCAGACCGCAGCCCTGGGCGCGAAGGTCATCGCCGCGGCTGGGTCGCCAGAGAAGATTGACGTCGCTGTGCGCTACGGCGGCGCCGACCACGGCGTGAACTATACCCAGCCAAACTGGCAGAAGGAAGTCCTGAAGCTCACGGGTGGCAAGGGCGTAAACGTCGTTTATGACCCAGTCGGAATGATCAGAGGTCTGGAGAATCTCTCCATGTCCATTGCACCTGTATTCGACTGATGGGGGCTCTGTAGATTCTCTGAAGTGCATCGCGTGGAAAGGTAGGGCGGTGGTAGTGGGCTTCGCGGCTGGTCAGATCGAGAAGGTAATTGAGCCGCTATCTCCATCGAGAACGTACCATTGACTTTGAGGACCCTGCTAGCTGCCGCTCAACTTGGTCCTCCTCAAGAATATCTCTATTGTCGGCATTCACTGGGGTGCATACTCAAGTACGTGTCGCCGATCCGTTGTACACACCATGTACTGACGCCCACGCAGTCCATGAGCTACAGCGCATCTCGGTCGTCCACAAAGCTATCAATGAGTACGGTCTATAGCTCTTCGAATCCATGCGATGCCTGACATGCTCCTGTTAGCCTGCTTTCGTCGGGCCGCGCGAAGCCCGTCGTGTACCCCCAAGTCTTCCCTCTGGAGAGGCTATCGGACGGTCTTCAGCTCCTCGAGCAGCGCAAGACGTGGGGCAAGGTCGTCGTGCGCATGCGGGACGAGAAGTCGGGCGAGCGAGCGAAGTTGTGACCGCAAGGTACGGTCGGTGTATCTATCATGATGAGTTGTATGGAGCATGCTTGTACTATTGCTACTTGGTGTGGTCTTTGCTCCGCCGAAGATCATTGCGCAGCGTGCAGACGTGCTGCAACGTTACGGTGAAGCAATGGACTATGTTCAGTGAAGACACTGCGCGAAGAGTCTATCCAAACAGATTTGGGGTATCACTTCATCAATTAGCAAGTTGAAACCCATCGTATAGTAGGCTCCAATGAAGCAGAGCATATACACACATGCACACCCGAAACGACTAGAACCTGCCCACGCGGGCATCGCGCAGGATGCCCACGCATACATTGACCCATCCGTCCGCGCTTGGCATGCAAGCACCAAGCCACGCCATCTCAGCATCCGGAGGGGCGTGCACGCCCTGTACGAGCGCATACGCCAACGGTGGCTTTCCAGGCGGAAAGAGAAGAGGAAGGTGTGTTGCCAAGAACTTCGCCAGGGTATGTACCGTGCCTATAATAGCATACTCTCCGTGAGTGGGCTATGTCAGAAGCACGGAACGTTGTTACTTACCGTCTTCCAGCACCGGCGGCACGAGGTCTTGCAGAACGGGACCATCTGGGAGGTATATTCGGACAGGCACGCTGCGTACGCTGTACGCGCCGTCGCGGTCTGGGGCCGCGGTGGATCCAGGGTCGGCAGACGGAGGCCGAGTGTGCATGGATGCGGAGGAGGGGGGCGGTGGGGGTGATGTGGATCGTGTGGGTGTCGTGGTAGGCGTCACCTTCGCAGCGACGCGCCAGTATTCGTCGAAGTTGTCTATGACCGGCGATCAAGTTGGCGTTTCATGGGAGCGGGGATTAACGGAAGTGGACTTACGTTCTTTGATGCCCTCCCAGAGGCCGTCCTGCTCTGCCTTCCGGAGGCCGGTCATGCGCTTCGTGCTGCCCCAGCGCATGAAGTCCGCTTCTTTCAGCTGGCCCATGAATGCTTGCTTGCACGCGTCAGTGCTTGGTGAGAGCAAGAGCTTGTCTGTGGGTGGTGACGCGAGGTGAAGGACGAGACGGAGAGGCGTGATCTGGGAGGACGACGAATTGTTGCGCAACGAGGCCGTGATGGTGTGGTTGTCGTATATGAGGCCGATGGACCAATGCCTGTGCAGGAGTGAGTGGGCCGTCTGGCACGTCCAGAACACGATCGCACACGACGTTCTAGGTGCGGTAGCACTCACCACTTCAGCAGGCTGCCTTCCTCGCTCTCGAACCACCAGTCCTCCTCCTTGATCACGCGTGCGGCGGCCTCATCAAAGACGACGTCCATGAGGAAGCGTTTGATCTCGGGCACGAGCAGGGGGAGGTAGCTGACGCGCGGGGCTTGCATGTAGTAGCACTCCAAGCCGCGGTCGCTGTTCGCGGGGAGCTCCTTGGCGTCGACGCGGACCTCGAGGGGGACGGTGCCCTCCCATGTGAGGCGGCGGAAGAGGGTGGTCGAGGCGGGGGTGGAGAAGGCGGAGGGCGTATGGCGGGGCGCGTAGGTGGACATCGTCGCGGACGACCAGCAGCCGGCGCGCGAGATGGGGCGCGCACGTGGACTGCGCGTGTGCGGCGGGCGTCTGCTGACCGCGGAATTGGGTCAGAGCCTGGCCCGGCGCTTAGCGGGGCTGCCGTGCTTCTTGACGTCACGCACAGCATATTCCGCGTCGCGTCAGTGGCTCTCGCCCAACGCTTATAAGCTCCCCGCCAGCCAGGACCAGCCGCAGCGGCCTCTCTCGCCCCCCACGATGCCCTCCAACAACTCTGTCACCGATGGCCTCTTCCTCAAGGTGAGGTGCCCAGCCTGTCCTCACGGACGCTGCTTACTGACGTCCGCAGATCATCAACGTTATAGTCTACTTTCTCTTCCTGGGATCCAACATATACGCCATAGCTGGGCCCACGGACATTTACTATTCTGGCAAGGAAACATACCTCACCCCGGCACCATGGGCATTCTTGATCTGGTGTGCATTCCTGTGTTGCTCTGGCATTCCGACAGTAATAATTATCCCTTCCTAGGTCGCTCATACACCTCCTGCTCCTCGGAACTATTATCTATCAGTTCTTCGAGGGCGGAAAGAAAGTCGTCATTGATGGCATCGGATGGCGTTTTCCGCTGCTCGCAGTTCTCAACGCAGTGTACATTCACCTCTGGGCAGCGCACCAGTACATCATCGCCTTTGTATTTGCGCTCTTCGTCAGCTCCGCCGTAACGGTATGTACCGCGAGCCTTCTAACCGGACTACTCGCTGACGGCTCCTCATAGCACATCTACTACGTCGTAAAGAAGTATCATGAGCCCGCCAGCATCCCAGACGAGATCTTCGTTCACCTGCCGTTCTCGCTCTACCACGGCTGGACGACTTTGCTCGTCGTGCTCACCGCCTTCGAGGCATTCGGTGTCGACGCTACCACCACTCGCGCTGGAGTTTGGACGAAGGTCTTTGTCTTCCTGGCCCTGTATGTACCGTTCCTCCCGCACAGGACCACCTCATCACTCACAACATTATTTACAGGCTATTCCTCGAGGCTACTGCTGCGACGTACGCCTTCTCATCCCCGGAGGGCGACCTCCCGGCGAGCATTGCCATCGCCTGGTCGCTGTGGGCCATCTTCGCCCACCAGCGCTACCCTGCCTTCGTCCACTGGAGTGCACTTGCCTTCTCCATTCTCGCTCTGGTCTGGGTCGCCAAGGCTATCGTTGGCCTCTTCGTCAAGCTCCGCAGGGGTGGCCGCGGGATCTCCCTCGATGAGGAGCGTGCGTCCCTCCTTGGCAACAACTGAATGCGACGATTGTGCAACATGAGTTACGAGCTTCGCATTGTTCACGAAGTTACGCTTGCATACCGAACGTTTTGGATTCGTACGTAGCCAGGCACAGTCATATCACAAGCGTGTACTATATACACAGCATTGTTTTCATTTGTACTTGTACTCTGTCGTCTGTATCCTACTATTGATGAGGATGCATTGAAAGGTCACCATTCTCGACGTCGTTCTCGTTTACTGTATCGTCCATGACTGCGGAATCCTCGACAACAGTAAGGCAGACGTCTTCTTTGTCCACATACGGAGATCGGGCTACCTTTCCAGTGATCGGCGGATGCTGGCCCCGAATGTCTAATGATATAGCATTTACTCCCAACAGGTGAGGTCCCTGGTCCTGGTCACCCCACGGTATGTATTCACGGCGCGCGGCACGCCTTCGAACGTCTGGACGTCGCAAGAAGAGTAACACAGGAACCTTCCTGCGGGATGCTGTGAGTTACCGTTCTCTCCCCTGCTCTGCGTCCCTGATTCTCCTTTGCTCGCATGCACCTGCGTGCCAAATATGCACGGATTCGTCGCTGATTAGGCAGGCAAGTGATCGTCCCTACAATGTGGGCAGAATAATGTCGAGTTGTTCTCGCGACCGGCGACGGTCACGGAGCCTTCGGTCGCACAGTGCCAGTTGGTGGTTACCACTCCGTTTAGGCTCCGTTGCCGTAGCGCTATGCCCGTTACTTATCCGGCCCTTGCCTGGAAACCACAATGGCTAAGCCTCGTACACACATTTCAGAATGGGTCACTTACTTCAAGAATTCCGCCCAGCAGGAGGACACCCCGTTGAGGGGCAAGCTCCCTGAGCGAATATCTGTTTCCCAATGGCACACGGTGGTACCTGGTGGTACTAAGTCCCGCCCGCCCGGCGGGATGGTTACAGCCTAACACGACTGCAGGTCAGGTACAGACCGACGATCGCCTTGCCTCGGTCGATCGTGAACGGCAAATCCAAAGTGCCTCCGCCTACCGTCGTCGATCGCGTCCTTACACAGATCCCTGCACGAGAACAAATCGCCTACAGCAGCTTAGCGCGGTGTCCCCGCCAGCGAGGAGCCAGGACCGATGGAGGCGATCCTTTTGCCGCCGCTGTAATGCTCCTGTTACCATAGCGATTCACCCGCGAAGGCCTCTGACCGAGAACCATCTCAGATTTGTCTCAGATCGCCCGGACCCAGTGAGTAGGGCCCTCCAAGCGAGGGCCATATCATCGCTAAGGCAAGGACGAGGAGGATCCCCCGCCTCCCTCGACGTCCACGGTGGTTACTGGATCTTCCCTCAGTGTATTGTGCGTCCTGGCCACGCGGGACCTGGCAGGGTTACTCTAGTCTGCAGCGTCCGTGATGGATGTTTTAGTGTTTCGGGACGTGTATGCGACGAGATACCTTCAGGGTACGCACATTCTCGCCTTTGCTGAAGGATGGTCATGTCTGACTAGACTCGGGCTCGTAGCGATTGGGCTTACGGCTCTCTTCTATGACCATACATTGACGTTCGCGGATGAAGTGCGCCTGGTCTGGCTCGCCCCTCGCTCGCTTGCGAAGTATGCATTCCTTTTTAACCGGTATCTTGTATTGGCGACGCTCATTGGGGTGGCATGTGGTGAGCACTTCACCACCGCCTCAGGGTTTTCAGCTGACTTGCAGATACGATGCAGAGATGTGTGGTTTCATTGGGGACGTGTTTACGGATCTTGTGAGTGTTTCGGGCGGCTATCTATATGAGCGCGCTACTCACCGGAGGACATGCAGGAGTAAGTCTCCGTGAAGTGTGCATGGATGTCAAATGTAACGAAGCACAGGTGCAAGTACTTCCTCTTCGTGGTCTCCATGATCGCGGTCATGTCGATTGGTATCACGAATATGTTGGTGCTCCTGCGTGTAGTGATTCTGTGGGATGCACGGCCGGTATGCTCGTCTTCCCGGCTCGCTGGAAGCCTGGCTCACTCACCTGTCTCTCAGTCGGTATTGAAGCTTATGATGGTCGCATATGTCGCGAGTCTGATCGCTCAGGTGATTACCCTCATTCTCACGCTCCTGCACATCCTACGTGAGTCCTCGTCTCTGAGTCTATGGGGTCAAAGTGACTCACGAGGTGTCGATCCAGCGGGTATGGCCTGGTCTCCACTTGCGGGGATGTGTATCTCGTCCAAGAGCTCGCATATCATAGTCGCAGTGTGGGCATCGCCGGTAAGGACTGCGAATTCTTCAATGATGGCCGAGCAGCTTATGTCCCCACAGATGCTATTTGAGTTGTTTGTTTTGATCTCGACTGCACTGAATGCTGTTGATCGGCCGACGTCGGCACGGACGCCGATTGCAAGGGCGCTTTGCAGCGACGGCATCCTGTACTTTGTTGTATGTCTCCGGTCCACTTGCCAGGGCGCACACGCTGAACGCACGTTCTGACTAGGGAGTGACTACTCTCCGTGCATTGAACGTTGCTCTTGCGGGTGCGAGTCTGTCTCGACCGTCGTTCACGCTACTCGGTGTCTTGTACGTGTCAACCCATCATGATGTACCACAGTCGACTTACGTTGTTTTTATGACCAGTTTTGTGTGGGCGATGACGACCACACTCATCAACCGATCGCTGCTCCAGTTCCGCGTCCAGCGTGACCACTGGGAAGATGACATTGTGTTGGTCGAGCGGTCGACGTCGCCGAACGAGGGCAGAAGGAGCAACAACAACAGCTTGGACATCAACAAGAGCATCGAGGTCACCGAGGACAGCGTTGCGGAGGTTGACATGATGTGGGCGTCGCGGTTGGAGAGATCGTGGCGCTACAGATGAGGGGCACTGCGTGTGCTAGGATTCCATCCATGTATCTGTAATATTTACCGCTTGTAATAGAGCGTAATTCCGCGCGCAGGTTCCAGCTGTACGAAGTCCGAAAGTATGAGATTTGATTCACAATGGGAATGAGACGACGTCGCTGACGGACCTCGCCGCAGTCACGTCGATCCAATCTGATTCCTGGATGGTGATCCTGAATTTGAATCCGCCAGCGCGGCGCCAGGCAGGCCGACTCGGTGGTGGCGGTCGGTTATGGCGAAGAGGGTTCCCAAAAAGGGAATGTGCGCATCGCCACGGCGCATCAGACAGACACAGGCTGAGCGTGACGACGATGAAACTGGCAGCTGCCCGGATCAGCCCCATCATGCCGCCCTATATAAGCATGCTACCGACACCGCCTGGCCTCTTTCCGACGCCCGCGTCCCACAGTCTTCCCTCTTCCTTCCTCCGCTCTCCTTCTTTTCTTTCGTCGGAGGCTGGCCCTTCCTGCCGCTTTTCAGGACCTGGTGCACCTGAAGATACGGCTTTTGGTTTCTTTTCTTACAGCTCGTAATTCTTGGACCCCCAGAATCCTTTGAAAGGTCATCAGGATGGCTACGCTCATGGCTGAGCTTCAAAAGATCCCTGGTGGGGACTACCGTCTTCTAACGAAGGTTACATACTCTGCCTCCGAGGCGCGCGGAATGGCCGTCGAAGTCGCCTTTGCGTGGCTCTCAGCTGCGGCATGCGCAGGACTTCTCGGAGCGCTCGCAGTGCGTACACCTCGTACATCCGGAGGGAATGAAATAGCTTAAGCTGCTACCATTAGATCTCGGCGTGGAACACGCGCAAGTCTGTGAACCCACATCTGTTCGTCCGTAGTCACGTAGCTGCATATTTCGTGTCGCTACTGTGGTGCGACCTCATGCAAGGTAGGGCATACCAGTTGTCGTGTCGACGCGTAGCCTGACGTAGATCACGCAGCATTCTCGGCCATGCTGAGCGTACGATGGCTCAATGCGGGAGCCGTGACACTGGGTCAATATTGCACTTATCAGGGCTTCCTCAAGCAGTCTGCGGACGTGTCTATGGCGGTCTGGTGCGTCAAGCATGGCACTGATGTCGCACATACTCGCTGATTCGCGACATTTATAGGACTCTGATGATCGCTCTACACACATTCCTTGTCGTGTTCCTTCGCTGGAGCATGCGGCGGCGCTCCCTCTTCGTCATGCTGGGAATTGGGTGGGGATTCATACTACTCATTGTGATCATTGGCCCAGCGGGCTACAAGAGCAATCTGGGTCCTTTCTGTAGGCACATTCACGCCCACGGATGTGATGCGACTGACCACAGGCTGTACTAGATGGTATCAACGGTTACTACTGCTGGATCGCTAGCAACTACGGAAATCAACGGGTCGTGTTGGACCTCCTCTGGGTACGTTGGTCATCTTAAGCTATGACTGTATGCTCACCGGGCCGCATTTTCAGCTTTTCATGGGTGCCATTTTGAGCTTCGTACTATACGGCTTGGTCTTCCTCAACTTGCGGGGCAACGTCACAACGTCGGGGATCTATTTCCGACGTGACTCAAGGATGGTAAGGTTGGTGGATGAGGATAGTGTCGCCATCGCCAAACAAATGCTCATCTATCCGGTGAGTGACATACTGTCGACGCAGGCGATACCCTGCTCATCCCGATCGGCCACAGATCGCCTTCACTATCCTGATCTTCCCAATGGCAATTGTCCGCTTTGTGTCGTGGTCCGGAACCCCAGTGACCGACGCAGCGAGTACCTTCGGCGATACCGTGTTCCTGATGTGTGGTGAGTCGTATTGTCAGAATGTCTGAGACGCACAAGTGTCTCATAACGATGGTGTCATCAATAGGGCTCGTCGATGTCCTTCTGTTCGTGCTGACTCGGCGCGTTCTACCGGATCACAGCGTCATCCCGAAGGGCTACTCACTCCGTTTCTGGAGCAAAAAAGATAACGACGGCCCCCCGCAACGCTCCATCAGCGCTCCTCGACCTATCATTGACCTCAACGCTGACCTCGAGAAGGCTGATGACAGCGAGAAGGCCACTGAGGCGACCCTTGACGAAGCTGTCTTCAAACGCGCAGACAGCCCAGACGATTCTGAGGATGATCACAACGAAGTGACGATCCGTGTACAGAGCCAGGTCATTGACCGAATTCACTTGCAACCTGGCTACGAAGGTCTCGGTACACCGCCCGGCCTCTCGCCACAGCAATCTAGCCGCACAGCCCAGTTCTCGGGCCGCATGGAGGAGGTTCAACTCGACAGCTCTCGTGGCATACGCGTCCCAGATCAGCAAAGGGAGAACGAGTTCTTCGCCAGCGACCTGCCGCCCCTTCCCCCGTCAGCATACACTGCGTACGGCAGTCCTGCGCCAGGAAGTGCTATCCCGACAAGCGGACGATACGTCGAAACCCCGGCCAGAATTGGTACGCCTATACACAGCGCCCGTTATGCCGATGAGGCTCCCGCTACTGCTGCGTCCGCGCATACCTTGCGATACCACCAGGACGAGCACGCGTTCCCGGAGCCTCCTCGCAGCCCCAGGTATGCAACGGAAGAACCACAGTCTATACCCAGTCCGGCCCGTAGTCCCAGGTTTCAACAGGCGATTCAAATCCCCGAGCCCGATAATAACCCAAGGTTCGCCGAGGAGATCGTCCGCCACTTCGAAGAGCTCCCTGCTGCTACGCCCCTCCGAAGCGCTTTCTTCCCCGAGGAGGAACGCCGTGCGCCCAGCCCTCTTCACAGCGCCCGTGACAACTACGCCCGCGACGAGAGCCGCGTGCCTACGCCGCTGCACAGTGCCCGGACGGCACGCTACGAGCACGAGTCTGAGCGCATCCCGACTCCCGTCCAGAGCGCCCGCAACGCCTACGCCGAAGCAACGCCACCGATAACCAGTGCTGCCGCGCCCAGTTCCGAGAATCCGTACCGCGTCGACCTGTCCGCTCCGTCCCCCCGCGCCGCAACCCCCGAGGTCCGCTCCGCACAGGCCGGCTTGTCGCAGTACCGCTGCCGCAGCCCCCTGCTCAGCTCCCATGGGGGTGAACCGAGTCCGACGGACAGTAGCCTCTACACCGAGTCGGACGACGACGAGCCGTTCACCAGTGACCGTTCCGCGCGTTACCAACAGTACCTTGGCACACCCCGCAGCGCGACCTTCCCCAGCCGGAACACGCCTTCCAGCGCGCGCGAGGTCAATTTCCCGATGAGCGCGCGGCTGCCCGCTCCTAGCAGCAAGTGGCCGAGGTACTGAGCGCAGTCTATTGATACCTTCTCCATGTTTTATGAGCTGACCGATGACTATTCACGATATATTTATTGATGCACTGTGGAACGACGATACCGCGCCTCAGTATTTGTGGATGCTACGATGGCTATAATGTACTTTTAGTATCAAGTAATGGCACCGCAACACACAAATCATCTTGAGCTCGACTTTGGTTGAGCCAGCTTGCAGCGAGGTTGAGTAAGACATCGGTGAGAAGTCATTTGGTCTCTCCTGTCAATAGTAAGTTAATCCGACGCTTGATAGGTGCCGATATAGTCCATGGTTGGTACCACGCGGGTATGTAGTGGTGTGATTGAGGAGTCACCACCGCTCTTCGTTTCGCCCGGTATGTACAGTATCATGGTCCTCTCTTTCACGCACAAGCAGCGGGGACGCTATCATCGCAGAGTAAGCCTTACATGTCCCTCCTCGATTTCCGTTGGGTGCAGCACGCATGTGAAGTGACTCAATAGCGACCCTACAAAACCAATCAATCCCGACGCCAACGCGGAAGACTGACCACATACATATAGTGAACATGTCATCACAGGTCCTTTCGAATGCCATCAAAGGCGTTCAAGCCGTGTTCGCCTCCTGCTGTCTCTGTAGTAACAACAAAGGAATCGTAAGCAATGGGACCCTCATCCGCCAACAGTAATGAGAGAACTGACGACATTGAAGCCAGCCTTCTGAGCGGCACTCTCGATGCCTGGAGGAGTGGGAGCGGCTGCGGTTCTCGTACGCCCAGGTCGTGAGACGAAGGTACTACGATACCACCTTGGACGCGCAACAGAACACACAGTGTACGAATTGTGTACGAAACGGAGATCGTTGGCCTAATATTAGGCGTGATCCTCATCGCCCGCGAGCTCAGCGCTAGGGTTGCGTCTTGCGCTGCGGACAACACCGCGGCCCCTCAGTGACATTACTTACTTAAAGGGAACAACAACAACAACAACTCTCGGTGCCGCCGCTGTCCACGCCCACGCCGGAAGAACCACCACCGCTCGATCCTCCTCCTCCGGCGCCAGACGAATTGTTCGCGCTGCCCATCCCGCCGCTGCTACCGTTGTTGTCGTTGCTACCGCCATAGTTGTTGTTTCCGCCGCCACCGTAGTTGCTGTTATCACCGCCGCCGCCATAGCTGTTGTCCCCTCGATCGGCTTTCGGGTTATTGTTCCCGGAGCTGTCATTCCCGCCACCCATTGCGTCGCCCATACCGCCGCTACCGTAGTTATCGTTGCCTCCGCCGGACCCGCCTCCCATGTTGCCACCGCCCATGCCCTGGCCGCCATCCATTCCACCACCCATGTTGTTGTCGCTGCCCCCGTAACTGTTGTTGTTGTCAGAGGCGTCCATGTCGAAGGATGGTGGTGCAATATAGAGAGGATGTTAGTTGCCACAGAAGAGCTTGGAAAGTCTAGCTCAGCATCATGGGCTCTTGTACTCCGCGAGTAGACAGGCACGGCGGTCAGGAATACTGACGAGGACAGACATCATACATACCTATCAGACGCGGTGAACAAGGCACGCACTCTGTATGACAGCGAAGCACTCCGCGCCCGAACCTGTGACTGACAATACAGATTTTCGCTGAGCAAGCAAGCGTCGCACCTGGGAACGCCAGACTGCAGAGCGTACACACAACGGACAGCGATCATACTGAGCACATCCATGAGGTCATTGCTTCTTGGTCCAGTCCTGCGCGTGGCGTTTGGGAGGGAGGGGTGGACGGAATTAACCTATTATCGATACTTTATGACGTGAGAACATCTCGTCCGCGAGCCTATCCGGAACATTTGACTCCTACACAGACGTGACAGAGCATGGTGCATATTAGCGGCCTTATGGTAGTCCATCGGTTCTCCTGAAGGCTAGTCGATTATCCATGGTGCGAAGTCATAAGTATAACAGGCTGTCGAACCTGTATGAAGCTGCACCATGTGTTAGATGGCGACTCTGTGGCATCACTAGCGTGAGGAGCCGAATATTCGAGGTTCCGGGGACAAGGGACACCCCACCACATCAAGATGAAGGCGCCATCGAGAGCATGCAACAGGTCCTCTTGGGTTCACCAAGTACAGCAGCACTTAGTCGCATGAAGTGAGTACATCATCCAATATTATGCCTATATACGGGCGTCGGGAGGACATTACAAGGCATCCCAAGGGAGAGGATCACCATAGATAGCTGTCTGACCGCCTTCCAAAAGTCCAGGACACCAGTTCAACAACGGGGCAAGCTCCGGGGACGATGAATGATACGAATGAAACCGAATGAAGGGATTCCGCGAGCGCCGTTTGGAGAGAAGCATATCGTGGCATCCGTAAGTGTCAACGGTATAGGGTAGATATCCGTTCAGTCTCTGCAAGCGTTTGCAGCATAAGCAGACGACTCAAGCTGGAAGGCAAAACATTACCTCGCCCTCTTGGGCCTTGATCAACTCTTCTCCTTCCGCGTCTATGCCTATGTAGTGAAAACGTTCACGAGGCCAGCGTAGAGCTGCTCGATGGAGCTCTGTGAAGCGTCGCCTTTTGAATTCATAACCTATGACAGTTATGTGGGAGGGGTAGCGACCGGTGTATTCATGGAAGCGCGCGATAGAATACAACAGGTTTTGGAATGAATCCAGTGCGTAGTCTTCAGTCGTAGCCCGGAGCGCAGTATGCGACCGCGAACCCGACACCGACAAGCTCGGAGTGAGATCAGCAGCGAGCGCGAGCCGCATATACGACTGGGCTTCCGTGCTGGTTGAGATAGGCCGGGTTTGACCACTTCATTGACGTTAGTAACGTTGCGCAACGCACATGCAAGATCGGATACTCACCCGCTAAAGACCAGTAGTGCATGCGCATCCTGCCTCGCGAGCTCAGCCCTGTCACAGCAAGTCAGACACGTCTGCCACAGGGCTGGCGAACGCACTCACCCAGCTGCTATATGCTGGTAGAATGCAGCTACACGCCCTCCACCTCTTTGGTATGGCTCTAGAATCCACTCTTCGTCGTCTAGTCTTCGTGTCACATCTGTACCTTTCCATACTGCGTGTCCAGGGACCATGATTAAGTGGTCTATCGTCGAAAGCGCGTCATGGCGCTGTATAGTCGACAATATATCAGAAGGCGGCGAGCGGCCTGGTGGTAGCTGAAGATAGTCTGGCGAGGAAAAGTGATAGCTTAGGTTGAAGAGTAAGGACAGGACTGTGACACTCGAGAGAAGTACGAGGCCAAGGTTGGTGACCCGAGCACGCGTCAGCAGCACATCCTTAGTGCTTCTTGGATGCCGGAGGCCATGTCTTGATAGCTGGCGCTTCCGAGACGATGATATAGGGAGGGGAAGCATAGAGCGTACGCCGACGGCGGTCGTCGTGGACGGGTCGCAATGTGCAGCGTGCCCGCGCCCGGGCAGGAGGAGTCCGAGGACACAGCCGATCCGCAATCGATCCGCAGCTGAACTCGGCTGAACTGCAATCCCCATCTCGATTCAGGATACTCAATCTAGGAACGCGATCTGAGCTCAGAGTCAATATTTGTAGTGGTGCATGGGCCGTCCAAGGACCGTCACGGCGTGCCTTACGGTCGTATGTAAGTAGTGGATTTGAGTCGTGTCGCATCGCTGTAGAGCACTCGAGCTGATAACTCTTAAAGGCGTATATTGCAATTCAATCTGATCTCCGTCTGCCAAGGAGTGGGATCTTATCGCCAAAGTGGTTGTGCAGGATGTGACCACGCTCCCTCCTGACGTAGCCCAAATAGGTCGTGGCGCCAACGACCACACTCACAAATGAGGTGAGAGCAGCGGTTCTGAACTGAGACGGCCGCGAGAGTATCATCGTAAGGACGTACTGCAAGATTATGTTGTTGAGCATGTACAGCCATGACGTTGCTACAATGAATGCTTACCTTCAGCATGTCAGCGATATTCTGCAAGGAGTATTGCAGTGCAGATCTATTACAAAAAGGGAGTGAGCCATCGTGTCAGGAGAACAGGGAATAGGCAGTCGCTGACATCGCGTTTCGCCTCGGATGCGACGCCAATGCCAGTTGCAATTCCTTCAGCTGGCACAGATCGAAGGCCCAGAGTCCTATCCTAGACAGCATCATCCCTACGGTTATTAAGCATTGCAGAGCACCGTCAGGAATTATGTTGCTGACCTCCGAATAGCAGTGCCGATTTCCAGGCCGGACCGTGAGCATTTGGCAGACCGCCGCCGACGTAGAATGATATTATTACCGGAAGCAGACAAATGGCTTCCGACCTGTAGAGATTGAAAGTATAGGTCATTGGTGCTTTCACTGTCGCTGTCCAACAGGCTTACCATATACTCCAATTCCCAGCGCGCACAAGACCGAGTTTTCTCTCCAAGAACGGCATGGCCATCGTTCCAAGGAGCCCAGCTACGACGTTGAGACCTCGCATGCCGGCGATGAAAGGATCAGTGTAGGATTCGGACTTGAGGTAGCTGATCATCGTTCCGTCAAAGCTGAGGACAGTGAAGTACAGGCATGAAATGGAGACCGAGGACAGGAAGATTGGATGTTGAACAAATTCCCGCCAGTCGGATAAGCTGTCGCGGAGGTAGGATCGGGATATATTGACGAGGTGGCCCAGTACGCCAGAGGCCAACCGGCTGTGACGAACCTGTGCCTTCTTCTCAGCTTGTGCGGCCTGCAAAGAGGGAAATCGCCGATAGACGATGTCAATCCCTGGGACAAGATTCTGTCAGCCAGCTACGATGCATCGCCGCCAAAGAGGAGACATACACAGCAGCTCGAATATAATGCATCCCGCTTCCACGCCGCAGAGACAATACGCAGCGATAACGTTCGAGGTCACGCTGGTGAGCAGCGAGACGAATAGCGGCGCAAGCAGCTTGCATAGCAGATCAATGCGCCGCATGTACGTATTGATCAGAGTGAGATGCTCCGATGACCCCTGTGCGATGATCGACACCCAGTCCCTCTCAATTGCGACGGACAGCGCGACTCCGGAAAGATTCTGGATGCAACCACATATGACTATGAGGGCGAACATCGCTGCGCCCAGTGGAGTTGACCATTTACGCGTCAATTGCTCCTCCGTTCCGAGATGGTAGAACAAGACCAGGGAGCCCACGTACGCGCCGCATGCTGATACCTTGACGGCGATGATGGAAAACCGCACTATTTGTAGGTTGTTGCGGATGTCGACTTGGTGTCCAGCCCACCCTGACAGAACGACAGCAGACCCTGTGGTCAGGAAGCCGAATATAGAGGCAGGCAGCAGAGAGTTGGGGAACAGCGTAATCAGGAAGAGGTACACTGCAAATTCGGCTGTCCGCGATCCCCAGGAGCTGCAATCAAAACAACTGAGTACGCTTCCATAACACGAATGCAAAGCATTACCTTGAGAAGTGTTGAACGAGAAGCAAAATGAGTGCCTTCCGATCGAGAGGGTTGTCTGCTGTACCAGGAGTGACTTCGGCCAGGAGTTCCGTTACAGCAGGCTGGGAAGGCGCATCCGACGCAGTATTCGAAGTCTCGGGCTGCTGCTTTACTGTGCTCGGTGATGTCGTCTCCGATTCGAAAGCAGGATCAACGGCCTGAGCCGGAGACGGGTGACTGCTTTCTATACTGCGCCGCTGGTGCAACTCGAGTTCTTCGACAGGCATTATTGATACTAGCTCCATAGGTTCTGAATCGGAGTTGGGCACCTTGATCGGGAAAGAAGTGGTCATTGCCGGCTTTGTTGGAACATGTTTTCGACAGGCGCAGCAATCTATGTCCAACAGCAGGAACAGGGCGTGTGGGCCCTACTAGAGAGCCGTGTATAGTAGGGATACAGGCTGAGTTAGTCTGCGTGCAGCCTCGTCGCCGTGCAGTGGCGGCCGCGCCACAACGGGGTCAGTAGTAACACATAGGCGCTCGCAGAGGGGCCTCAGACAGTGTATGCACGCCGATGGCGGTATGTAACCGACGGCAATTCACATGCATCGTACTTGCTCGCACGCGCGTCCTACACGCCTTGGACGGAGCGTGATTGAAAATGTGGGTCAGGTGTAGGAATTATACAGAGATAGTGGCAGTCCATTTAGTATAGGTGTAAACGGAGACTGTCAGACATCCTGGACTTCCCGACATACCCAAGCTATCGAGGTTTTACCTGCCTATGTGCATAGTATATACTGCCCGACGGTTCGCTTGAAGCGGCAGAAGGAATGATAACGTCCAGCGAACAGTTACTCAGCAAGTCTTCCCGAATTCGCGCTCGATGGCCCATTTGACAGCCTCCTCGACGTCGCTCGCTTGGTGCGTAGGGGTGTGTGAAGGAGGACCCTGCTGAGGGTCATAGACTCCGGTGTGCACCAGCACGGAAGACCATCCCGCAGCATTCGCCCCCGCTATATCTGGAATCGCAATTACTTCAGGCACTCAGTGTCCCATCGCGATGCGGCTTACCTGATTCGGGGTTGTCTGATCGCATATACAAAGACGTTAGTCTGGTTGCCCATCCACGACAATGTTCATCACGAACCTCCCACCATGTACCTAGATTATCAATTTCAGCATGACCAGTGGACTTATGGATGACACGAATACTCACACATGTGGTGGCCTGTCAGCTACTGGGCCATATAGCTCGTTGAACCGGTCGTGTAGGACCTTCTTGGTGAACTGATAGGTAGCCTCCGTCGGTTTCCCAAATTGCACATACGGATACTCCGAGCCAGTCACGGCCTATGCAATTGAAGCCATCAGCAACCGTCGCGCAGCGCTCAGTAGCAAGCGATGGCACACGCCTTGTACACAGCCTGGAAAGCAATCTTGAAGCCGCCTTGGCCGAGCCGCGGTCTCTCAAAGTTGGCCTTCCACAGCAGGTCTGGATTGCAAAATATCAGCTCCGGGCGGCGACGTCCACCCGTCTGCGGCGTGCTGTCGCGTCCCGCAGCGCCACCGGAACCATACTGTCCGCCGATAATACCGCCCGACTGGCAGATGTCGCAGAGAATTTGGATGTCCAACGCCCAATTGCGCGGGTCATGGAAGACGAAGGCGGCGGCAATGGGCGTTTGCGAGAAGTCGACCTCCTGTGCGTGAACAACGCGCTCTTGGATAAGAATAGCGGGTCAACCATACGATGGGAACGAACAGACCTTTGTTGACTGCCGTTCAGACTCGGTCAGATCATGGAAGGGCCAGACCCTACAGACCGTTAGTGTCGTGCGGTCGTCTACATGCGATTGAACCTACGCAGGGTTCCATGCCAGCACGTCCAAAGTGGTATAGGCCTTGTTGAACCCGTATCTGACAAGAGTAGGATTTTAGTGTTCGACCGCAATGCCGAATCAGTCTAGATTGCACCCTTCAGCCACTTTGCGCACTTCATCATTTCTCCCACCGAGGACTAGCACGGGAAGGTTGGCATACTTGTCCACTATTGTCTTCAAAATCGTATGCGATTGGACGAATTGTTTCTCGCCAATCTAAGTTTGACGGTTTGAGCGTTGGTCCCGTCAAAAGCGACACAGTCACAAGGCTACCAACCTCGAAGCCGAGAATAGATGTAAGCTTGCTGCAACGGGCTTCTTCGGATGTCCCACCCCCGTTGGTCAGCTACATACCGTGCAACTTAATAATCAACAAAATGAGGGCGCTGCCCCATATTGCAGTGTGCCTACCAAAATGTAGGGTATCTTGCTTGCATCAATTCCATCAGCACGCTGCCGTACACGCTGCAGATGAATAGACACACCTTCCGGTCGGATTGGCCCCTTCCAGTATGGTGAGCGCACGCTTAGCGGCCGGTATCGCTTGAGAGCCGCGCAACAGAACGCCATCCTTATGGAACAAGTGTTTAGCGTGGTGCGGTCTCATGACGCAGAATGCCGTTCTATCGGACGCACGATGTCGAACGCAAAAGCTAGCGGCGGGATCGCACCCTTGAGTGGTGGCTTCGCTGGTACGGTTCTCAGTTTACATATCAAGGTCATTCTGCTTCACTGCTATTGACTTACATTGGTAGGAGCGGCACGCGTAGTGCCAGCGCGCAATAGGCTGTCTAGGCACGTTGCGAGGCGAGGGCAGGCGAGCCAATGTACGGGCCTGGACCTGAAACATGGTGGGGAGCGTAGTGACTCTTTTGGCACAGCTATTTAGAGGACACTGATGCTGGTCCACAAGATGAGTGCGGTAACTGCTCTGCAGCGGCACGCCACGGACGCAACTGCCTTTCTAAGTACCGATTCGATCGGTACGGTGTCACGTGTACACATCATCTCGGACCGAGCACTGTAAGCATCGAGAGTGCAGTTCTATTACATTTGCAAGGTCCCGAGTTGATACTGGTACTAGCACTGCTCTCTATAAAAGCTAGAAGCACTGTATAGGAGCGATGAAAGAGCGTCGGGTACTACCGTACAATGATACGAGTTGACTACAGGCCCAACAGTAGGACATATGATTAATATCCGAGGCCACTGAACGTGAGAAGCTGGACGCACACAACCACACTGGTCCACAGCGTCGCGATGTCTTGCAAGTGGCGTGGCTGTCATAAAGGTACATATCAATGCTATGGCAGACGCTGAGCGCAGATGAGACGAGCGTGACAGGAGGTCGGTCGGATCGATATGTCTGAATACGCCGGAATGCATGTGCACGGAGAGGCACGGAGGCGGTGGTAAGCCAGCCCGGCCGAAAGACTCAGCATCAGGCTGTTGTCCCTCCGCGGCTCTTCTGTCTAAAAGAAGCGGCACAGTACCGGCTCATAGAGTCAGTTATCTGTCGCCTACCGAGCGCCGGACAGCGCGTTACAGACAACCACAGGCATTGCAGCCCAAAAGAACGCTGCGTACGCTTAGTTCGCACGTGTATAGAAACATAATACATACGTCGTCTTGGCAAGGATCTGTCTGTTAAGTCAGCGCTCATGTCGACACGAGTTGGATTCGTTGCTGGAGCGACGCCTCGTCCCGAGGTGAACGTATGATGCCAAGGAGTGCCCACGGAGGATCAGTTAGGTTGGACACTGACAGTGGTCCCCTGTGGTCCCTGACATCCCCGATAGGCCCCAATTTGCAAGGCGGATATATCCTTAGCATTCGGAAGCAGACCGAGTACTGGACGGACATGAGCAACCGCCGCACGCGGGGAACATACCGATTGAGAGATATCCCTAGGGGGGCGGTACAGGAACAGCCCACATGACAGATAGGATGTACGCATCGTGGTGGGGTTGTCCAGCATCTGGACAGGGAACGTGGACAACAAGACTGCCACCGTTGCCTCCCTCGCCGCCCGGGGACGAGTGAGACTCGCCGCGGTTGTCGAGGCCATAATCCCGAGCTTGTCGCGGGGGCCACAGCCAAGATCAGTGATGGTGGTGGCCGGTGAGAGGAAGAAGGATAGTGAGAAGAAGGATCGCAATGTGGGCGGACGCAACCAGAAGCACAGGGTCCGAGTGCAGGGTTCATAGCGGATGCTTATGTCACCCGAGCCGCCCGTCCATCTCTCTTTGACCGCGTCCCTCCTCCATTCCTCTCTCTCCTGTCCGCCTGGCCACCCCGCCTGCCGTCGCCCTCCACGCCCTCCCTGGGGTCCGCCTGTCCTCCCACAACACCCTTGGACAGCCCGCTGAATCCCACTTGTCTCCGGGGCCTACTTGCCGTGCCTCGCTCTGGGGAATCTGCTGAACGACCTAGCGAGGCCGACGCCGCTATCATTCTGCATTGCCTCTGCCATCGCTCTTGATTTATGTCTTTCAGGACGCCGACAACTGTACAATCCTCGTCCGTACTTGCCTAAGTGACCATGCCCGTGGTATCGAGACCCCAGCGTACCGAAGCAATCCAGGCAAAGTATAATGTCATCGTCGACTGTAAGTCAGACGTAATGCACGGTGCACTTGCTTGACCTCATCCGCCTTCTGTAGATCCACACCTTGGTCTGCACTCTGCCGCAGCCATGGGCAACCTGGGGTTAGCCCAGTACGCACTTTCCCATGGCCAGCCAGTAAATTCTATACTGGACGGAGTGCTACCTCTGCATGCAGCGTGTTCTGGAGGCAATGATCAGGTCGTCCGGTTTCTCATTGAGAGTGGTGCAGATGTGAATGCGCCTCGGTGAGTGAACTTACTGCGTCGACGCCGGGCGAAGGTTGATTGTAGCATCCGCCCACGGCATGCAGGTTACCGCGGCGGTATACGAGCGATAAAAACCGTGATGCGTCAGCGCCGATCGTCGGTGCCTCTGGATCGACGCCCCTTCATTTCGCCTGTGCGAACGGGCACGCCCCGGTCGTGCTCACGTTGCTCATGCATGGCGCACACCCGGATCGTGCAGACAAACATGGAACCACTCCGGAGATGCTCGCACGGCAGAATGGTTGGGTGGCCTGCGCGGAGGTCTTGCGTAACTGGAGTCTGAACAAGGATCGGGACCTTCGAGAGAAGGAGGAGCTCATTCCAATGCACATCGATGACACGAGCTCCATCATTGACCTCAAACATATTTGCGCTGGGCACGAGTGCCGGGTATGCACCAGCAAGAGGTTGCGGGTCAAGCGGTCGATCGACCATGCTCTCAACATGCTGAAGCCCTCGCTCTCACAACTGCACTCTTCCAGTCTCATGGAGGGTACAGGTACCGCATTAGAGACAATCGTCGCTTCGCCATTGCTCCCGACTGACTCTGTCGGCGACGCCATACTCACATCCAGCCCTGAGGTTAGCGCTGCACCCGAGTCCTCAAGTCGTCGACCGTCGCTTCCTGACGTCTTCGACCCTGCCCAGACAATGCCGATGTCGCGCCGCTCTCACGCTGGTTCCGGGTCGAGCTCACGGAGACCTCGATCAGCAGGGAACGATGCGGAGCAGCCCACAGTTGGCCGACGCGTAAAGGGGAAGGTGTCGCTCCTCAGCATATTCAAGAAGGGCGACGCGTCTATCACTCCTGAAGCCTCACCTGGCCACGCCCCCAGTCCATACACACCATCCACCGCTTCCACTTCCGGATCCCCGGGCCCTGGTACACCCCATCGCCCCGATGTCCACGCCCCAGCATCTACAAATGACTCTCCAGCTACCTCGAGTGGGCTTCCCGAGCATGCTTCTTACTCGGAAATGACGATCCAGGGCCGACCACGAGGCCGTGTCTTCAGCGAGGGCGAAGCCACCCGTGTGCCCCCATTACCCACGGCCGTCGAGCTGCATCGCGCGCTTTCTGACGAACGGTCGAGGACCTTGTCCAGTCCCGGTTCTCCGGATAGCCACCTGCCCGACGTTTCTTCCGGCCCTCCGACAGCCCACCGGAGTCCCTCATTGAGGCCTGGCATTCTGCGCCCGCATACACGGTCCATCTCCCAGCAGTCGCAGATCGAAAGCCCACGATCTGGCTCAGTCGGCCCTCCATCGTCTCGTTCCTTACGGTTTGACTCTCCGACCGCGTCGTCCAATCCTGTAAGGCCGAATGACAATCGTCGATCGAGCCATAGTCCCGCCCGGGGTATCAAGATGGCACGGAGCGTCAGCTCGATGCGAAGCGTCAGCGGCGCGGAAGCTTCTCGATCGCCTCTGAGAACTACCATAGACCTCGCCGGGCCTTCGTTTGACGAAGAAGTCGCCGATGAACCTCGTCATGTCTTTGAGGATGACGATGAAGAGTATGGGGAGCCCATCGTTACACAAGAAGTGATCACAGAGCTCGACTCGCGCCTCAGCGCACTTCAGGTCACCGAGGATCCGAAGCGGAACTCGATGCTCTCGCAAGGATTGTTGTCCCCTTTGCCGTCGCCTTGCAAGGCGACCACAACAAACGGCTTCGACTACCCGTTTAGTATCAATGAGCCGCCGCCGGACGATGTCGAGTCCCCTACACGTCAGACCTTCCTCGAGGTGAATGGCAACGAGAATCGGATGCGCGGTGATTCCATGAGCAGCATGAGTACGAATGGGACCAGCGGCTATCTTCCTACGCCAGGTATGCAGCAGTCGCAATTGCCATCACCATGGATCAGCTCGAGCACATCGACACCGCCAGAATTTCCCTCGATGGACAATGGAGGCCGGAGGAGGATCCAGCGCACGCCGTCCTCCACGTATTCCAATGACACGGAACCAGTGTACAAGCTCAAGGGCCCCCCTAGCGCCCTTGACATCGACATCGGGACCATCTCGTCGTATGCCCAGGCAGAGGCGCTGGTTCAGCGTGCACAGCAGAGCATTTTGGAGATGCAGGATATCCAGGTTGACTACACGCCTCCAAGCGCAGGTGTCAGTGCAGGCCGCACACCGTTGAGCGCGAAGCTTGCAGCGTATGGGGAGAGTCTTGCCATTGAACGGAAGTTCCGGCAGGAGGAAGAGAAGCGCAGTAGCTCGTCGACGGTGCGGAGTCGCCGTCCTTCCGAATACAGCACACGTCCGTCGCAAGATGTTGAGAGCAGCCCCGGGTCGAAGCTTGACAGGAAGTTCAGTCTGGAGGAGAGGCCGCACAACCGCACCATCAAGCAGTCAAAAGTGAGAAGACCACACACTGCGGGGAGTACTGGTGAGTATTATATCTGGTCTCGCGTCCTCGCTTGTGGCAGGGCTGATACCAACATGATGAACCAGCTTCATCAGATATACTTGGATCACCGTCCAGGCCTGGGAGATCAATTCCATCCCCTCACCACTTTCCCGCGTCCGGGTCGCAGCACGTTGCCAGGTCGAGTTCAGATCAACGCGTCGACGACATTGCGACTTCGTACACTCCGCCGATGACTTCGTTTCTCCAAGCGGAAGTGGACATGTATGCGTCGGGGTCGAGGCCGAGGGTGCCGCGTTCGCGCACACCTGATCCCTCTTGTGATGACCCCTTGGACCGTGGCCCCACGACTGGCGTCCCCCTGTCACGTATATCTACGGCACCCGTCCAAGACGCGTACCTCAAGCCAAAGCGCGGGCTGACCAACCAGGAGCGGCAGGTCGCGCGGGCGACGAAGCTCGTGAAGATGGGCTTTTCCACCGCTGACACGCTCGCCGCCACCGGCGCCAACCGCAATCAAACCACGAACAGACATCGCGTAGGTGGGTTCAAAGGTTTCGTGCAGAGTCTCAAGGGGAAATGAGTCTTGGAGTTCCACCTGCACGTTGCGCTCCTGTAGCGCGTCCGTTCACCCATCCACCGTCATGCATCCGTTTCGCTCTCCGCTCTCACCATATGTTATCGCTCATTATCATCGCAATCCTCTCGCTCTCAGACCTGCTGCTGTTGTCTGTCTATCACTATTGCAGATGTACGAGGAGTCGTGTAGCCACTGTATTAGTATCCATCCTCGTCGGTTTCGGTTCTACGAGTTCTCGGGCTATAGCACTAAGTTACTTTGTTCGCACCTCCATGTACGCATTCATTCGCACATTTGTACCAGTTATTTTGTCGAATATACCAGAGCTTTGCTCACCGACGACATGGAGGCGATAGGGGGCCGCCTGTGGTCTGCCGTCGGCGAGGGGGCCGCGACACTCGGTCAGAGCCTGGATGGGCGCCTAGGGCGAGATAGTCGCTGATAACATATAGGCAGCCCGATCCACGCCGGAACAACCAAGTCCGCCCATACACTACGTCGACAGGTACCCTCATACAATGTCCACCGATGTAGCAGACTCGACCCCCTCTCTAGGCAGCGCCGTCGTCGTCGACGAAAGCGCGCCAGACACGCCGGCGGAATTGAAGAAGGATGGTACCGCTTCGCGCATGCGCCTCCACAAGGGCAACATCCCTACCGTGCCCCAGACGAAGGCCTGTCCGATGTGCCCTGCGAAGTTCACTCGGACAACACATCTGAGTCGTCATTTGCGTACTCGTACGTGTTCCTTGGATGTGTGTATGCGTGCTATATGCTCATCGAGGCTTCATGCAGACACCCGGGACAAATTGCATGAATGCGATGTGAGTGGCTCGTTCCTGCCTAGTCCCTCCCTCGCTCAATGCCTACAATGGCCAGAAATGCCATTCCCAGTTCACGCGGAGCGATCTCCTGACGAGGCATAAGCGCAGTTGTGGTGATCCGTGAGTACTCAGTTCTCTTTTCAAGCCCCCCATTCGCTGCCTGGCCCTTCTCCTCGGTGTCCGTCCAGGTCTCAGAGAAAGAGGTCTCTCAGTCGGATATGAGACCGAGGAGATCCGAGACAGCGTCCTCTGTCTTCAGCATGCATCGCTTCGCGTGCAATGTATCACGAAACTGTCACGAACCATGCACAACTTGCCCCGGTCTACCTTCGTGATAGGCGTCGAAGCAGAGTTGCGAAGCACGTACTGATGGATCTCCCAACAGAAACGCCAATCGTTCTCGCCGAAAGTCGTGCAAAGCATGTGCTGATTCCAAGGTGAAATGCGATCTGCAACAGCCCTGCTCCAAGTGCCAGGCGCGGGGCAGGGAGTGCGTCTACGTCTCAGGCCACTCCGTCTCTTCTGGTGCACGGGTCACCAAGGAAGAGACGAAGGTTCTCGACGCATTCGACGAGGAGCTGGCGAAAGTGCTTGCTAATCCACCCCTTGCTTCGTCATCAACCGCCCACACCCTGACGCCTGATGGCTATCTGAATCAAGTAGCGGTGCCGAGCGTAGACGCGAGCGCTATCCCTCTCCCCGCAGGTCCACAGCTTACCACGCCCTTCCCGTCCGCTACATATACATCCTCCACCGTCGACTTTGCGATCGCCAGTAGTTCCATGTTTGCTCAGATCGATAACCCGGACATCGCGCACGGCGGCACGCAGGGCGGAATCAACGACATGTTCGGCGCCGGCGAGATATTCGACGATCTCCTGGGTGGCATGTTTGCACCCAGTCAGCAGATGATGCCGCCGTCCGAGTTCAGCCACTCTGGGAAGGGTAAGGACGCTATGGGTGCATTCCCCGACTTCGGGAATAGCCAGGGCAGCGATTCGTCGTTGGCCAGCACCCCCTTCCCTGACGCTTTGTTTGATCTATCAACGATGCCATTATCGACGAGCAATCAGCACCTTTTCGACTATTTGCCTTCAGCAGGTCCCAGTACCGCGTCATCAAGCAGTCCCGGGTCGTCGGGCAGTGCGAGTTCGCCCAGTACCAAAGACGCGCAAAGCCAAAGCCTAACAGCCCACGATGGTCTCTCGCCCGCCTGTCTCCTGACATACTGTATGTCGAACGATTCACTCCATTTTACCCGCTCATTCATACTCGTTACAGTGTCGCTATTCTTCTCCGCATATCTTACCAACATGCCTATTGTACATGCGGCGACATTTGTACGCGAGGGCAGGCACCCGCTGTTGATAACTGCAATGGAGACGTGCGGCGCGCTCTATGTTAAGACCCGCGCAGCCATCGATTTCATCGACCAAAATCTCGCGAAAGCCCGAGATGAGCTAGTGGTCGAATTTGTGAGTATGCGTCGCCTCTGTACGCCAGCAGCCATTGACATGTGTTGTCAGGCAAAAGAGGCTTCGTCGCAAGAGTGGCAGCGCCAGATTGACCTCGTCCTTGCGGCGGACTTGTTCCAGACTGTGGGTCTGTTCCATCATAGCTCAGAGCAGCGCTCGTTCTCTAATGTGTACCACGGTATATTTGCTATGGTATGTCACATCATGCAGGCAACACAGGAAAATCTTGACAATCCATTGTAGATGATCCGCCTCAACGGCTTCGCCGATAAATGCATGGAGTGGAGTCCTCCGGCGGATATTAATGCCTCGAACGTTGAGCAAATATGGCGTGGGTGGGCCCGGCAAGAAACAGCCCGGAGGTTCGTTATTGTCTCAACAGATCCAGATTTCGCTCGCTGACTGAGCATCAACAGAGGCGTCGCTGTGTCATATATGCATGACTGCTGCCACTGCCTCTACTTCAACCTTCGGCCGACATACGAGACAGCCGCCTTTGACATGTATCTGCCGTGCGAGGATGCGCTTTGGACCGCATCATCGGCCGAGGAATGGTTTGCCATTCTCCGCAAACCCTCGCGTTATGGCACCATGCAGCAGCGCCTGAGTGGCCCCAGACTGCAGAGGAGCTACGCGAAGCTCGCCGCGCCGAGCGAGGCGCTCTCACCACCACCTGTCTTCAACCCATGGCAGCATCTCATCCTCATTCATGTTCTCCTCCGACAGCTATTCGAGGAGTTTATTGAAGCGCGATCACCAGAGTCCGAGGGCGGGCAGCCTGCTGCCGCCCCGGGCACCCAGCCGGAGTACATCAGCCAGGAGCGCATCTTCAGCTTCCAGGCGACGCTGCACCGGTGGCTGCAGAGCTGGCTCCAGTCGCCAGAGTCGCCGCAGTACTCAGAACTCGAGCCGCGCTTCGTCGAGCAGGCGCTGCCGTACTACTGGATCGCGCAGGTCGCCATTATGGCATACCAGGAGCGGCTGCCGCCGTTCTGCACGGGCACGGTGTACCTCGCGTCGGGCGAGGCGAAGTTCCGGCTCATGAAGAAGTGGGAGAAGCACATCCGGAATTTCCTCCGGAGGGGCGGGAAGGAGCCGACGCTGTCGTTTGCTGAGCTGGTGAACGTGCGGCTACGGAAGTGGGATCCGAATGCAGGCCACGAAGACGACCCGGTCAACTTGCTCGGGTTCTTCCCGCAGTTATAGATGCGTGGTCTCTTTACGAGTGTGTTACGATGTGATGATACGATCTATCCAGTCTTAGTGCATGTTAGTGTAGCGCCCAGGATGTCCGAGCTATATATTCATTGCGTTCTGTCCCCATTCATAGTCGTGCGTCTATTCTCGAGACGGGCAGCCAAGCAAGTTGCATATGTGCTTCAAGCTTTTGCATGCGCTATCGCACACTTGAAGGGCCGCTCCCCGCAATCATGTAATGCATCGATTCTTAGCTGCACAAGTTAGCATGACTGCAGCGGTGGGCATGGGCGGGAGAACCGTGAATAGAGACAGCATTTTAGGCAGTGATGCCGCTGACCGTCTGGCATCTGGTGTCGACCGCTGGAGTCGCCGCCGCCGCAGCGTCCGCCGGACGAACATCGGATGGGCGGGCAGTCGGGGCCGCCGGGCCGACTGCGGCGCGCGTCTCGATCGACTCTTGCGTCCGCCGTCGACTGACGTCGACTCGGACGACCTGTGTAGTTGGCGGTGTAGTGGCAAGTGCAACCTGCGACTGGCTGCCGCCTGCCTACGCACAGGCCTCAGACTCTCTACCACTGCGTCAGAAACTGGGTGCGACGCCCTCAATTCCTCAATTTGCGCTCGAACCCTCAAGCACGCCCCGCTGGTTCTCCATCCGTTCCGTTGCCGCTCCCTCGTCTGCGCCGAGAGAATCTCAAGCAATCCGAGGCCTGACGATGTGCTCGCTGCTGTGATCATCTTCACCGCCCGTCAGGCATGGACCCCAGGTGTCTCGAGTCAACATGTACAAGATACGAAAGCTCTAGGTACGTCTTCGCATAGTACGTACTGCAATCCTGTTGCGTTTCCTTCATCGTTATTGGGTCTGCGAATACTCGTATCAAACGGGCACGGATGCATCGAGTTCTTCGTGGCTCCTAGATATCGCTGCTCGTATGACCCTCATCGACTGTGGACTGTAGAGGCACACGTTTGCACCGATACCTGCATACTGCATGCACGTCGTTAGTACGTCAATGCGCCTTCTGTTACAGAATCTACGTACGCGAGGGACTATGTGCGCCTTTCTCGTCTGCGCTCTCGGCATTTCCGGCAAAGTTCACTCGCGGGCAGATTAACAGATCACGTCGTTTTTCAACGGGACACTTGTGTTAGCTGGGCGTCGTAGCATCACGGGTACGACAGGTCGAGGGGTATCAATAGACCTTGGTGCTGGGACAGGACATGTCGCAGAGCATCGTGTAGGTATGCGTTATTTTGTATTTGTCACGGCTGTGCATGACTGACTGCCAGCGCTGTGCACCTTGCCTGACAAGCAGGCGAACTTATCGACGGATGGAAGTTCTACATATGTGAGATGCAACGTATAGTGCCGCCTCTCGCCCCAATCGATGTGACATTGACATTCCCGTTCTTTCTGTTTACTGCGACTGCACGATCTGCTACTCGAACGGTCTGCTCGTACAGAAAGCATGGGGTCTATTTGCGCGTTCAAGCGGTCCTTCTTGATTATCGACGAGCATATGCAAGCCATCGCCTAGACCTATAAGCCTCAGCTCCGCGCGTTCACCAGGGTCGGTCGCACTGCATCCAAGGACACCGGTCCTCTGTGTTCGACTACCTGCGGTCCTAGCATGTCCGCTACCAGTCAACTGCCACTGACCAGACAGTCTAGTCACAGCTTCGCACTGTTGGGGATGTCCTGCCATCGGGTTTCGGTCACCCAGGATGTCGACTACCTGGATTATCGGTACTTGCACGGGCGGCGACCACTCGGAACAAGACGCTACGACTGAGTTCATGTGTCTGCATAACTGACGATGCTTCTACACGTTCCGATCAGCGCTACTCACCCCATATATACTACCGTCACATCTACTAGTTCGATTCATTCACCTCCATCCGCCGGTCGTGCCTTCTGGCAGTGCAGCAAGGAAATCCGAGTCAATAGTAATCATTACAGGTGCGAGCTGCATTCGCCGTTTGGTCACTGCTCGAGCCTCGCTGATGACCTACTGTGCCAAACCTAATAGCAGCGATGCGCTTGCCTCAGGGCCCCGACGAGAGGGATGAGCTGCAAGACGTCGCGCGTCAAGAGCGCGAACATCAGCGCATTCACGGCCCATCAGGTACGTTGCAACCATATTTTGCCGGTCTTTCGAAAACGGCAGTCTAAGGCTCCAGAGCTAATGAGGCTCTGTCATCATAGACGAGGCCCTCTTGCGCAAGCTCGCCATTCTCGCAAAGTCGATCAAGAGAAATATGCAATCACTTAGCCGGCGCGTGATCAATAATAGCAACGAAATGAACGAACATGCCTCGACGTGAGTACAAGTACAAGTGGTGTGCGAGTCATGCTGATACGGGGCATGGACTTGTAGGACGACCGCCTCCGGAGCGTCATCTCAGGATGATCCGGCTCCGCGGTTGCCCACCGAGGTCTGCGGACGGATCATTGACCACGTAGCCGCGGGACTGGGTCTCTACTACCCATCTCTGGCTGGGAATCCAAATCTCCTAGCTCTTCAATCGTGCGCACTAGTATGCAGGGACTGGTACTTTCACACCTGGTACCACCTCCATCGGCGTGTTTACCTCCGTGACCGGAACGACGTCCGCTCACTTGCCAGGACACTCCGCGAGAGACCACGCCTCCGCGGTGTTGTCCAACAGGTCGTCATCTCGGGTGTGATTCAACATCTTGGAACGTTTGCCGCCATGCTTGCCGGGAAGCTTCAGAAACTCTCGGAGATCATCATTGAGGACGCGGAGTGGACCGTCGACTCGATGAGGATGGAAGACGTTGGATATCTCGCCACATTTTACCGTGTCCGCACATTAACTATCATGAATGTCACCGTGCCGAGCATTTCCCGACTGGCCCGCCTCATCTCAGCACTCCCTGGCCTGAGAAATTTGAGGTGCCGTGGTGTCGGGTGCTCGCAGGAACACCCAATCTCTCCTGTCTCTCTCCCGCTCAACTCTGCAAGTTTGGAGGAGCTCGACGTGCGATGGGTTTCGCCCACAATTCAAGACCTCCTCGTACGAATCAGCCAGGCTTCCCGGCTACGCCGTCTCCATCTCGGAGTGGAAGGAGCCTTGAACTCATCCTCTGCACGCAGGAGAAGTCAGGCTTTATTGGATGCAAGTGCGGCCTCGGTGGAAGTCCTCTGTCTTCTAATCATTGAGCCCGGCAAGGTGTCTTCCATGGATAGTGACGCCGTTGATTTCACTACAGGCAAGTTGTACGTTCGCTTCTGGGTTATCTGATTGACCATGATCATAAGTAGAACAACACCTCAACCTGTCACGTTATGAAAGCTTGTGGCAATTGCGGATTTACCTGTTCGACCCCTTTGTTGAGTGGTCCTGGATTTCCCATATCGTCTCTCGAATTCCTTCAAGGCATCTCGCGGTCCTGTCTATTTTGTTTTGCTTCCGTCGAGATCATGCAGCCAACGACTTGAATCGGGCAGTAACGATGATGGACGAAGACGGTATCTTGGTGCGATTGGACGACATATTGCAAGCAGAGTGCTTCGCCGATATCACACCGGGTGGTATATGCCTAGCCTTCCAAAATTCTGGCAATGTCTGGGCCCGGCCTGGAGAAATGTTTGGTTCAGAGTCATCATTGCGAGAGCGGCGCAACCGGTGTGACAAGCTCATTAGACGGAAGATGCCGCGCTGTAATGGACGGGGCATATTGACGTACGTGGTACAATTGGTCCGCTGCAGTGACAAAGACAAGCTGAGTACCCTTCTTTCAAAGTATCGTATATGGTTTCGAAGAGCACGACAACTGGAGGAGCAACATGGATGAAATCCATGAAGCGACACAACACCAGAAGCCCAAAACTGGAGTAGAGGTGCAGCGAGAGGACGACGCTGAGCATGCGCCGGACACGTCAGGCTGACTGTTCTGATCTTGTACACTCGCCGGTGTTAGTGTATCGAGTCCTGTGAGTGCGCACACAAGCTGCCATACATACTGCTGTTCACCTCATTTTCTGTAGCCTCGTCGTACGCGGCGCGATTTGCGCACTTTGTTCTGACGCCGAGAGATATACGTCTGCAGCCAAGCGAGTTGCATATGTCCCAGATGTCCTTCAAGCTTCAGGCCTCAGGCCTCAGGCACCGAGGGTGCATGATGCTACTGGTAGTATCGATCCTTCCAGAGACCAGGTCCCGATCATTGACGTTCTCGAGGGGCCGCTCAACGAACCTCCTACGTTTTTGCCAAGTTTTCACTCCGGTCATCGGACAGGGTGCCGTGTAGATGAGTTATCCCTTGCTCGCTAGAGCAAGGCTCTCCCAGGTCGAAATTGTTGCTTCCGCTTTTCATCCGAGCTTGTCGCTGTTTGGTTTCTGCCTCAATGTGGAAGTCAACGGTCATGAGATTCATGTTAGCGGGTCTTGAGCTCCTCACCTGGGGCATTGTAGCAGCGATCACGCACAGCCCTCCCGCCGGCATCGAGGTCGCGCAGATCCTGGACAGATCCGTTTATTGTGTTCACAGGTGCATGTCACGGTGATGACAGAAAAGGTAAACCGGTAGCCAAGTAATGCTTCAGCCGTTCCCACTACAGTACTGTGCCGACTGAGTGATGTACGATATTGACATGCCGATATGCTACACTGTACTAAGGTCGGCCGGAAGGCCACAGTTCAAAATCAGTAAGTAATACGGCCATGGTACGGCTGCTGCCGAGGCCCGATCTGCTTACGTAAGCCGTTCTGGCAGAGTACTTGTTGCATTGCCTCGTCTGTGCTCTCCCTTAAATTAGCTTATCCCCCATGTACTCTAACACAAATGAAAAGACTTTAGTGTATCATCGGCTTTCCGATGGATTTTGGGTGTTCTGTGGATTGTCTGTCTCGGCATGTTGGAATTCTGTAAGCGCCCTAGACTCACGGTCGCACCTGCCTAAATTGGACAGGCGGCGGGCATCGGTCGCACATAAGTAGGTACTGTACAGCGATGTGCATTTCTAAACAGTGTTTCTGCGAGTCAAGCCAAATACGTTTGAAGCATCGCGCTCAATCGCCCCGGTGCGCAATGAATTAATGAATACGTCGTCCCCCGCCAAGTGTGACCGTTACCCGACGGCGCTTACCGAGTTCCGGCTCAAATTTGAGATATGGACTCCCCACAATGTATGCAAAAGCCACATACTATATCACTGCAATACAGATCAGGATTATTCTGTAGTAAGTAGAACATGAAATTAATGAGGGGAGGCACGAATCGGAACAAGACTTTCGGCCAGACTAGCTTACGTGAGCAGATCGGGCCTTGGCAACAGCGTACCATACAGTACTACGAATTTCGCTTTCCCCCTGTCGAAAATGTTGCTTTCGTACCACGTTCTCCCTGGTATGCGATGGCACAATGAATGCAATCACACAACGTTCATCAGCTCGAAAACTTGCGCGAGCAAGGTTAGCGCCGCCAGCCTTGGCGGCATTTCGAGTTGAATACTGAATGGCAATTGACAGATGCCAAGCTCAGACTTGTTCGAACTCCTTTCCGTTGTTGCGGCCTGGCAGTGGAGGACAATTGACACGCGGCCATGGTCTTCCACCGTTCAGCGCCCCCGCAGACAGCCTCATGCCTGGCGTGAGGCAACCAGAGGCCGCTTAGTAACCAGGCGGCGATGACGGACTCGGAGGTCAACAGCTGGCAGCGCATCTTCGAGGAAGCAGAGATGCATCAAGAATTCATTTTGCCGGCGTGTTACGCCCCGCCTCACCGGAGGTCGCCTTGGTGAGGTCGTCGGGTACGCTGCTTACTGCGGTTCCGCCACTGCGCCGGATGGCAAGCGGCGACGGGCCGCCCAAAAAGGAAGGAAGGCGCGTCGATGTGACACGCATGCGGACTCCAGCGGATCGCCCGTCCAATAGACGACCGTTTCGCGGCGCTATCTTCCGCCACAACACGAGGATCGCGCTAGGAGCAGACCGAGGTCTCGTCCAGGTCTCGTCCTTTCCTAAGGCAGTTTAGGAGGCTCAATAGGGTCTCTTTAGGGATGTAAGAAGACCTATGACCTGAGTGGGACCGCGATACGTATCTCGACGGCAAGGGGAGCCCGCTCGTCCTGCAATTTGCCAGGTGCGTGTGTGCATCGAGCACGCTCGACGAATTCTACGGTGCCGTCATGGTGGCGTCGGTGCTGTGTTCTGCGCGGCGACCTAATTCCCAAGACCCGGAGTTTGTTCTCCGCCTCGAGATCGGGACTCCGGCGCCATCTGGGGACCAAATCTGAGATAGGATCGCGATCAGCTGAACCCGGAGAAATGAGGCAAGGCTAACCCGATTCGGCAGGTGCTCGCGAAAGTCAAGGTCGTTTCGCGCGCGCTATATACGTCCACCACCCTCGCTGGCCGTCCTTCATTCATGCCGCCGTCCCCTCTCGCCTCATAATCCCCGTCCCTGGCTCGTCTTCACGATCATGGGTGGTCTGCCTCGCACTCGCTCCCTCCGGGACGTTGTCCTCATCCTCCTCGGTGCTACCTCAATGCATCTCGCATCAGTCTTCATGGGCTTCAACGAACCCACAGGATCTATCATCGTCAAGACTGAGGTCAGCTCACACTTTGTCGAGGATATCAACAACACAGTCGTCGCACCCCCCGCTGAAGACCGCGAGACCTCGAGGGAACGCGATGTACAGAAGGTACTCGACCCCGGCAAGGACACGGTCGACGTGTCTTTCCAGCTGCCAGAGACAACTATCCTCTCACACGCCCCTGGGTGGACCGTCTTCCAGAATATCTACATGGCGAACGGGACACTGTACATCGTTTCGTCCGAGCCCGCCTCTTCTTTCCCTCACACCCGCATGATGACCTCCACCGGCCTTGCCGCCGAGAACACGCCCGAAAACATCGCAGCGCGCGAGCCGACAGCACGCGACATGGACTTCCTCACGCCCGCTGAGGCACGGCGACGCTGGGGCGGCAACTCCGACAAAGCGGATCGGAATCGCGTTTGGTCCGTCGGTGGGAACACTGTTCTCGTCAATGAACCCCCGCAATTCCTCGATCACTATTACCACTTCTGCGCCGAACTGATGCTGGGCGTCTGGCCGTTCTGGCTCGGCACGTACAACATACAAGTAGACGCTTCTGCTCCCAGCGTAGAGGCAGCCCCGCACATTGACCGTATGATCTTCTCGCACGCTGAGGCAACCGGCTGGCGAGATAGGCCTGGCTTCAACTCGTACTTCCTGCGCGCCGCCTTCCCCTCCATCACAGTCGAAGTCGAGACTGACTGGAAGGACCGCATCGCCGCGACAGCGACGCACGGCATCCCGGAGCGGGCATGGCACTTCGACACGCTCATGCTGACCGACCGCTCTGCCGCCTTCCGGGGCGAGTCGTGTGGCAGTCGGAATCAGCGCATTGCGAGCGAGGCTGTCGAGCACATGGAGAAGCGGGGCACGCTCTCGAAGTGGTGGTGGGAGCCGCTGAGGCAGGCGGTCCTGCGCTTCGCGGGAGTGGACCAGGAGACGCTCGAGATCGGTGTGAAGGCGGACGCGGTCGCGGCGCGGAAGGATGGGGCCGAGGTCGATTGGGCTGGCTCGACGTCCCTGAGCAAGCCGCAGCCGATCGTGATTACCTACATCAACCGGCAGGGTGCCCGGAGGCACCTCATCGACGAGGACCACCAAGCGTTGGTGCAGGCCTTGACGGCGATGTGTGCGGCACACAGTTGGGAGCTTAACATCGTCCAGGCGGAGCATCTCACTCATGACGAGCAGCTGAAGCTGGTTGCGCGCACCACGGTATGTCCGAGCGCATCCATGCGTACTTTGTGGTCTAAAAATATCCTCAGGTTCTGCTCGGTGTGCACGGCAATGGGCTTACAGTAAGTATCAATCTCTTCGACTGGACCTCGGTGCTGACACCATGCTAGCATCTTATCATGATGCCCGTTACTCCCATCTCGACCGTCATCGAGATCTTCTATCCCGAAGGCTACGCGAACGACTACAAATGGACGGCACACGCTCTAGGCATGAAGCACTTCGCCATTTGGAATGACACGTGAGTCCCTCACTATTGTCGTATGCTACCACTCAAGAGCCGACATGGTCCACGTTCTAGCTATCATACATACCCCGATCAACTATGGCCGAACTATCCTGAGGGCTTCCAGGGCACCCAGATCCCAGTCTACGCACCCCTCATCGCGCGAATCATCCAGGACCGCGTCGCCGGAAGGCTACCATGACACCGATGGATGACCTTGCAGAGGGACTTCCTCGCTGGCCACGACATCGGGCATCTCATCACCTATCATCATCGAATCTTGTACGTACATTACTAGTCCCTGGATCGTCGCAACCACGTTCGTTTTGTGTTCCGTTTTGTATCGAGGATCGGACTCTGTGCGTGTGACTGCTGCTGTTTTTCTCGTGATTGTTTGTTGTTGGGAACAATGGCCTCGGTCCTAGTGCGTCCTACTAAGGCTAACTTATCGTATGAGAGGAGTTCGAGGCTACGTCTTCGTCGTGTAATCCTGGGCTTCGCGTGTAGTGTGTAGGATAATGATCACTTCTTGCCGCACTCTGAACATTGGCACGCCCACCCTTGAAGCTGGCTCAAACATTCGACATATAGCCTATAGGTAGCCGGCATTACTATGTACCAGTGGCATGGAGCGTATACGCGAAGTTTGGGCCTGTTGGAGTATGGGTGGTGCTGTGCGACACCACGACTGTACGCCCGCGTGGTCAATAGCCTCGTGTTCTCCACTCGTTGGACTATGTACGCACGGTTGCCCATGACATATATCGCTATGCCGGAGGTGACATCAACCATGAAGTCAACGCGAAGTCCCCCCTCGGTGCAAAAAACCGTGGTGCGTGCTCCATGAGCGGGGGTATAAAAGAAGCCATCTCTGAGGTCGATCGAGCAACTACACATCCTCGATCGACTCGAGCACCCACAACTGTCACGAACATCACGACTTACGACCACACAAACTATTGATACATCATGGTAAGTGTGACGAGTGTTCGCGGGTTGCACGGGGAGCTGATCTTGGTGATTCCGCTCACAGGGCGTCCTCATTTCCATATTGGTGGGCACCGTCAACGCCATCGTCGCTGTTGTTGTCGGCATCATCGAGCTCGTCTTCGGCGGCATCGCCTGGGTACGTGTCATTCCCTTCTCATCACACAATGGTTTCCTGACGTAGGGTCTACCGCCCGTGTACAGTTGGTGACAGGCATCCTCTGCTGCGGATTCTGCAGCCCAACCGCTGGCACAGGAATAGGGACAACTGGAGGGGCGGGAGCAGGATACGGGACGGGAACAGGCACGAGTAGACGGTCGGGCCTGTTTGGAGGCCTTGGGCGTAGAAGGGGTGTAGCAGGTGGCTCAGGCGGGGGACTTGGCGCAGGGACTGGCGGCATGACTGGAGGCGGCGGCATGGGAGGTGGAGGCATGACTGGAGGCGGCGGCATTGGAGGTGGAGGCATGACCGGAGGTGGTATGGGCACCGGCATGGGTACTGGTGCTGGTGTAGGTCCTACGACTGGCGGCCTGGGGTCGACCTACTAAGACAGTCTGAGTCTGAGAGGCTTCTCATGACATACCCAACACTGCGGACTTGAAACATACCAATATTGGACTGGAATAATGCATGATAATTCCACTGTGCTCTTCACAGTGTGAACGCCGCATGCCCCGACACCTGTAACTTACTTCGCTTCGTGACAAACGATCATGACTACGCCAGCAATGGTGATGCCACAGTCGTGCGGGGAGCGGTAGTTGATGGGCGTGGGTTGGGCGGTAGGGTGCAGGATTCGAATCGACAGCATACCTATAGCTACGAAGAATCCTTCTGGTTGTTGTATGACCACACGTATCCAACTCGTCTTGATGGACGTGCACCGATATGTGAGCTGTCTCCACGCCATGGACCCTACCGCGTCTCTGTGCGTCTGGACCAAGGCTAGGCATGCGGCTCGGGCATGTATGTTTCTATAAGCTATAAGGGCGTCAGCCTCGATATAGACTCCAGCATGATACAGAGCGTTATCATGACACCGAACTCACTGCAGTGGTTCTGCGTTATCATCCTTGCCCTGCTCAGGCCATCCGAGATCCCTGACTCACGCGCACGGGTGACCTTGTGATTCTGAAGAACATGCCGCGCCGATACCAACACGAAGTAAGTTCCCGAGTGCCATCCTGCAAAAGGGAATGCGCAGCTGCCGTATATATAGGCTCAACCTGCCCCAGAACCCCACCCCGAGCCCCCAAGCTTACACTCACCAAACCATCGATCCTATCGTCCGCGATGAAGACGCCGTATGCCCTCATCGCATCTCTCGCTCTTGCGGTGGCAACGCCGGCCTCTGCGGGCCCCATCGCCTACGGACTCTGCCAGACAGGTGAGGCGTATCATGATCGGCATGAACCGTACCTACACCATCGGTAATTCGCCGTCGCTGTCTACAGGATGTAACACTGTCGTTGTGGCATGCTACGCTGCCGCCGGGTTCACATTCGGAACCGTTATTGCGGCCCCGGCGGTGCCCGCCGTCATCCTGGGTTGTAACGCCGCCCTCGGTACCTGCGCCGCAACATGCGCGACTGTCGCGCTATTTGCGCCAACCCCATGAAGACTGGACGGTAAGGACTTTGCTTGGGTAGCATGGCGTCTGCAGGGAGACTAACGCCACGACTTCGCAGCTTCGCCTCCAACGACGACTGTGACGACGACGAGCGGCGGTTCAGCCGTCTGCTCTTTCCTGTGCCATGAAGTGTTCTTATATCGCTGTCCTGTATCGATGCCCGAAGCGTATGAAAGTGATATACCATTGACATTTGGGAGCTAACTGACCTGACGCACTGTACATATCCGAGACGATCTTGCTGGCACCGGTTTAGACAATGGCGTCGTGCGCTTCCCATCACGAAGGGGTGACAAAAGAAAAACAAGAAATCCAATAACCTACGACGTAGATACACGGCATATTAGAGAGCTACGAGAATAGCGCGACACTAGCGTATGGCACCCTGTCCAGGTCTATGCGGCGTGTGCGGTGGGGCTCGTCTTCTCTGTGGTGAGTTCGGCGACAGGCGCCGCGCCGAACTTCTCCATCACAGGATCCAAGCCCGTCCTCTGGTAGCTGTCGTACACGTGCCAGGATAAGAGCCAAGCGGGAGTGTGGGGGCGGGATTGTACGTACTACCAAACGCGCGCCAGCTGGCCTAGACCTGTCGACCCTACGAACGCGTTGACCTGGATGACACTCGTGAACAAAGGGTTGTAGTTGCTGCGAGGTCGTAGCTGAAACTTACCGCTGCCAGACTGTAGTTGACGGGCGTGATGACGAAGGAGTAGCGCACCCAGATGAAACCAGTCGCCGTTAGAGCTATGTAGCGTTGGGCCGGTACAGCCAAAGACCACGGAACAAGTATTATGGAGCAAGGGAAATGCGAAAGGAGTCGCGAAGTACCGAGTGGCAATGTGAGCTCTCCCGGTATACGACCCGAGCGGTACTACTACGCACCGAGGTTCTGCGACACACTCAGTTTCTCAGCGGGCCGGGAGAGATCCTTGACACCGGCAGCGACGAGGCACCACTTCATGACCGGCGCCCAGAAGAACACAGTCTTCGGGCCTGGTGTAATGCAAGCGAGGCATCATGTAGAGTCGTTCGCGGGGTAGGTGGGCGGTCTGGGTCAGCGCGGATCGTGCCGAGTCGCTTGCTGGACGCACCTGCGGGGTGGTTCATGAACGAGGAGAATTTTGACGCGCCTGCCGATGCTGCTGCTCCCGACATGGTGACGGTGTGTAGAGGGGCTGTGAGGAGGATGGAGGGGAGGATGAGCTCGATGTGGGCCGATGTTAGTCAGGCCGTCCGATGCGTGGGTCCGCTGAGAATCGACACTTTCCTTTCCCGGATGTCGGTGTGGTTGATACACGTGATGTCTTCTACACGTACACGATCGGGACCAGCGCTTCCCACATCGTGTCCTAGTCGTTGTGGCTGCCCCTTCGCCCATCCCCTTCAATCTGTTCAACCACACTCGGTCTCGCAACCACATACGCGTCATTTGAGCTGTGAGGCAGCCATGGATGCCCCAGATAACATCCCTGGCTTTCTGGACCCCCTTTTGAACCATCTCTCGTCCGCCCTTCCGCCGAGTGTATACGACGCCGTCCTCTCTCTCCTATCCTACTCAATAACCTTCTGCACGTCACTCTTCCACCTGCTCAAGGCACTTGCATTGTCCAACCCCACATCATGGGATGCACAAACCATCCTTCCGCCCCTCATTACCGTCCTCGGGGCGTACCTCGCGCTCGTGAGCTTCTACCGCACGACGGGGTGGATGATACGCACCACGTTCGCGTTCGTCAAATGGGGGACCCTCCTCTCCGTACTTGCCGCCGGCGCAGGATACTTCATGGGCAATGCGAACGCGAACGGGGGAAACGGCGTAGATGGGCAATTCCGCGGGATCGTGCCAACCTTCGGTGGCATGATCCTCGATATGCTCAATGGACAAGATCGGAACGTCGCCGGGGGTGCGCGCACGAGTCGCACATCTACCAGGTCCCGTACTCAAAGGAGGAAGGCGCCGCGGCCAAAGGCATGGGAGTCATGGGACCGGCATCAAGAATGGCAGTATAACGACAATGCGCAGAACCAGGCGGGCGACGGGGGATCGGGTGTGCAGCAGATAATGGGTCAGATTTTCGGCGCAGCAGGGCGCGTAATACGAGACGGTGGCTGGTGGGAGGCGGCCAAGAACGTCGTGGATAGCGCACTGCAGGACCCGGATGCCGACGCGGAAGGCGAGAGGGATGCTGGATCGGAGGGGCGGCGGCAGCAGCCTCCCCGGAACGCGAAGACGAAGGCACAGTCTAAGTCTAGCTCGAATTAGTCGTCGGTATACTTATATTGGTGAGCATCTACTGCACAACGTGCCGACCGCTGCTGACGACTATGACAATAGGTTATGTGTACCATGTATTCGTACTCTTGATATACAGTGTGGCATAGGCCGCATCATGACATGCTTGTACCGCTGTCTTCAGTGAGGCGCGAGTCATGCGCTACCTGGTCGAATCAGCTCGAGCGTCATAGACACTGCCACATGCATCAAGTTCACAGGGGACGCTCGTTCCACTCGTCCACCTGGACCGCGGATTCGCCTGCCATATATGTCAGGGTAAGACCAACTAACCGCCGTCGAGTGCGTACAAACTCAGCGCCGCCTGATCATGAGCAGTATTTACGAGGTACGTTGCCTTACGTTCATCTCTGACTCCAAAGGACCGGTATTTGATCCGGCTCTTTGAACCCGCGTAGACTCTGAACTCGTACTACGACGTGCATCATTTAGGGAATGTCGATCCCCCGAGCACGACTCCGCAAAGGAACCGGCCGTGGCGGCTACCCTATAAAGGTTTCCCCACGCAGCGGCGCGAGCGATAGGGCGTTTTAACGAATCACAACGACAGTCTTCGCGATGCAGGACAAAAACCCACCAGCCTCTTCTCGACGACCCAGCCAACTCTATCCGGTGTGACGGGGAACCCTCACGCCGTGTCACGGCCGCAGGGGAGTGACAAAACAGTGACAAAACATCCGATCGTGCGAACTCCGCGACCAACAGATCTGGGGTGTCAGCGCCCCTCCAGCCAATCAGTGGCCCTGGCACCGCCTGCCGAAACCCCCGATAAATTGCGGGCCTGGTTTTGGCAAGACCGCTTTCCGCTTTAACGAATGGCAAACAGGGACAAACATCGAGTGTATATGATCCTGGCTTGTCCGGTGGTACAGCTCTCACACCTCTCTCCTGACGCTCACCCGTCTCGACTGCCAGTCCCTCTCATTGCTGCCCCACCCCTATCCCCTCTACCGTCATACGCCATGGCTCTCAAGAGGAAGATGGACTTCGACGACGAGACCGTCCAGGCCCCCGTTGTAGGTACCTTCGTACCTCTATCGCAGCGCGTCATTCACGCGTCGTTTGCCACGCATATAGCGGGCTAAGCAGCAAAAGCTCATCCCTTTCCCCAACTCTGAGCCCGACAACGATGTGGCCATGACCGACGCGTCCGTGTATCAACTTGAGCCCCTCCTCATCCCTATGCAGCCCTTCCACACACGTCTCCCTTCTGATGCCAGCTACTCATCCTCGACTGCCGGTGACTCTCCGCGCATCTCCCGTGAGTATTGGTTTGTATAGCGTATGCGCGTCTGCAAACCATTGTGTTCCGTTGTCGAGCAGCTGCTTACCCGTCTTTCGACCTCTACCCAGCCGACGACAACGGCTTCAACAGCTTCGACTCTCCCGTCTCCGAAGCGTCTGGATCCGTTGGTCTTCTTCAGCCCAAGAACCCTTCCTTCACGCATCATGGGTATGACAATCACGCTTTTATACCTTACGGTGGTCTAACCGCTGTTGTTTCTTCCAGTCAAAAATGCTCTCAGATCCCGAAGCTTCGTGTTGCCTGTTCACCTGGACTCAACGGCCAAAGGACCATGTGGGCGCACTGCGAGCAATGTGGTGCGATTGAAATGGTCCACACCGACTAACACAACGTGGACTAGTCGACTTATCTGACGTTCCTCAAATCACCATCCCTTCCCACTGCCGCCGTCATCAGCATCACGTCATCAAGTCGAGACGCCTTCCCCCCTCTCCCTCATCTGACCGACCTCGTGAACCCCCTTCTCGACCTTCGACATCGTCATCTCGTCAGCGCCTGCTAGTCGCCTTCTCATCGTTGCTTCGATTTCATAGGCGACAATCTTCATTATCCTACCTATGCTGTGTCTATGCTGTGTTCTCAGGTAAGCGGTTGTTGCGCCGGTCGCCCGGTGCAACATTCGACCTCAAGGCGTTGTTATCGTCAAAACCGTCGCAAAAGGCCTCCCCACCCATTCCCCTCGACTCGTCCGCCTCGCATTCATCAATCTCGTATTTATCCTTTCGACGTTCTGTTACTGTTGTTGTTCTATTGGGAGCCTTCATCGACCATCTTGCTGTTCAAAAGGACCGTACTTCGTACATTACACACAAATTGCTCTGGCTGTCCCCAATGTCTGTTACTAGAGATATGTTCCGCGTCTGCTTCGTTTGTACAATGCAATCCATCATCCAGTGCTTTATGTTCAGTGTGTGCTTTGGTTGTAAGACAGTGCAGAACGATATTGCTGTACTGAAGTTGTAATAAGTATGTACCCGAGGTACGAGGAGACACGATGTCTCCACCACAGAGAATACCATCGGCGAGCGCTTGCCGGTGGCAGCGTTGGTGCGCTTTCTAAATTCTGCTATGCAACTCTGTTGCGGCCGCCATGCAACCGCCATGCACCCGCTTGGTCTGCGTCTTCGCTACCACTCCACCATTCAGCATCGTCGGAACCCAGGAGCCACGCAACAATATGTAAGGTTGGCCTCGCTCAGATCCATCCAACGGGAATGGCCGAGCGTTACAAAGTGTGACACAATATGGTCATTAAGTCGAAATATTATACTACATCTCATACTCGCACTGTACCGTGAAAAGAGTAACGATTTAATCTTTATTTGATGTCTCTGGTGTTGGGATAGTTCGCAGAATCTGCACGCGTAGCGAAATGGCGATGTAGTATGAATTTCTGTACTCCAGAACATATCCGGTGGCTAAGCGCCCACCGCGTACCAGTAGAGACCTGTTGCTACAATTGCACTCTCCTGCCTAATGCCCAAACGCAAGAACTCCTGGCGATTTGCGAATCTTGGAATTGCGAGGAAGAAGCCTAAGAAGGAGAGGAATCAGTCAGAGGATGGGCCGAAAGAGAATGTGAGTGCACGAATATCTGTCAGTCATATAGTGACTGACTGACACAATGAGTAGGCTGCTGCTATCACAGAGCATGCGGTCTCTCAATCGGCATCGCGCGGGGTGAACGTAGTCACTGGGATGCGATCTATATGTCAGCAAATCCGTAGACGTCTCAGTCAGTCCCCTGAACTACAGTCCGCGTCCGAGTCCAGTGTATCCGGCAATCCCCCGACCCCGGCGACTCGTCACAGCCCAGGGTCTGACCTCGACTTGGAGAGCGCGGCTCAACAACCTCGCGATGTTCCGTCAGACATCCCAGGTTTTGACGGTGCAGACATTTCCGCATTAGACCCAAATCCCGGTGTTGCGCTGTGGAAGGCGACTGCAGCACTCTTCTTCCCGCACCCAGACAACTGTGACACCGGTCATGCAGTGGCGAGCACATCAAACTCACCTGGTGCAGCTACAGCGTCAATGGCAGTTGCATCTGAGGGCTCTCCGGATGGTCTCGCTGTGTCTCATGACCTTGTTGAGAGTCCGAGACTTGGATCACCTTCTCCCATGTGTCTTGATTTCGAAGAATTCCGGGGCTGGAGCTTCGATGATCATGGCCTGGCATACCCGGAATACCCAGAACCTGATCTGGTTAGCATCCCGGATTCTATGCGTACCTCAGACTCGGACTCGGAGTCAGAGTTTGATCTGGATGACGACGTGGAGCTTTGCGCGGAGGATGAGAGGCGAGCAGACGAAGAAGCGGAATCTGACATCGATCCGGATCCCAGTGACCCTCCGATCCATGCTACCGGCACCCAGACACAAAGCCCGGAATTCCCTATTCCAGATTCTGATTCAAAGGCGCGCCAGGCTCCATCTCTGGACGCCGCGAAGGCTGCGCTTGCCGATATCACAGTCTTGCTACGCCCCCCGCGCAATGGCTATGGCTACAAAGATGCGAACCTTGACCGCATCTTGCGAGAACGCCTCGAAGGCATGCGCCGGCTTCTGTGCATCTATACGGACGCGGCATCATCAGCACAATCACAGCATGGCAAACAGACAGGTCAAACTCACTGGATCGTTGCTTCACTTCAAGTTGCAAAGGCTGAAGGTCTGGGACCATGGCATGCCCGCTGTGTGCGCAGACGGACCCAGGCCTACATCCGTGACCGTAACAATCTCCCGCGCAACCTTTATGGGACCTGGGCGCGGAGTCAGTTGGACGATGAAGATTTCCGTCAGGAGGTCTTCCTGCATCTCCAAGGGATCGGGGAATATGTCAAGGCGGAGGATCTCGTGCGTTACCTGGATCGTGCAGACGTCAAGGAGCGATGGAAGACGAAGAAGACGATATCGCTGGCGACGGCACAGCGATGGATGAAACGGCTTGGGTACCGCTGGACGCTGACACCTAAGGGTCAATATTCCGATGGGCATGAGAGGGAGGATGTGGTTGCTTACCGACAGGAGACCTTCCTGCCACGATGGAAGGAGCTCGAGCCGCATTTGCGTAACTGGCATCCTGCCGGCGAGGAAGACAGGGGGCCGCTGCCACAGAACCGCCGCACTGTTGTCTGGTTCCATGATGAGTCAGTCTTCTATGCACATGACCGTCGAAAGAGGCGTTGGGTTCACAAGACGGAAAAGGCAAAACCTTACCAGAAAGGCGAAGGAGCGTCCCTCATGGTCGCTGATTTTGTCTCGGCGGACTACGGTTGGCTACGTGCACCCAATCACTCGGCGGGCAACCCAGAGGAGGCACGGGTCTTCTTCAAGCCGGGGTCAGGGCGGGACGGATACTTCACGAACGAGGAGATCCAGGCGCAGGCTGATAAGGCAATCGACATCCTGCAGAAGCATTACCCACATGATAACCACGTTCTCGTCTTCGATAACGCGCGCACACACGTCAAGCGGGCCGAGGACGCACCATCCGCACGCAAGATGCCCAAGAACGTGCCGAAGAATGGGAAGAACTGGGGAGTGGAGGTCAGCGCGCGCGATGCGACTGGCAAGATCATTTACGGCACCGATGGGAAACCTGCAAAGACGGTCATCCAGATGGCTCCAGGGGTTTTCACGCCAAAGGGGAGCACTACCGCCGTCTCACAATCATTCTATTTTCCGGAGGGGCACGCGCATGCCGGGGTTTTCAAGGGTATGGCACAGATCCTTGAAGAGCGAGGCTACAGGAATATGTCAAAGAAGCGCGCCGAGTGCAAAGGGTTTAAATGCATGCCTGGAGCGAGAGATTGCTGCTGTCGTCGTATGCTCTTCGAGGAACCAGATTTCAAGGCAGTCCCAAGCCTAGTCGAGACGGCCTGCAGAGCTCGCGGCGTCGATGTTCTCTTCCTTCCCAAATTCCACTGCGAGCTCAATTTCATAGAGCAGTGCTGGGGACACTCAAAGCGAACTTACCGGCTGAATCCCCCATCGTCCAAGGAAGAAGACCTTCGAAACAACGTCTTGAACGCGCTCGAAAGTGTTCCGTTGGTGGCCATGCGGCGGTGAGTCTGTGCACGACACAATCATGATCAGAAGCTGATCTCCGATGCCAGATATGCCACGCGCTCCCGCCGCTTTATGGACGCGTACCACAAGGGCCTTAACGGCGCACAAGCCGCATGGGCATCGAAGAAGTATCATAGCCATCGCACCCTACCAAACACGATAATGAACGAGCTTCTTGCAGCTGACACAAACTCTCAGGTTTAATCACGGAAAAATTCCATACTGCTCTAATATTTACAAGCTCCATGATATATAATAGTGCAATGTGTCCTGGTCGTACCTAATTACAATCACGTAGCCTCGGGCGATGTCAGTACACTCTCTTGACGTTCTGGCGTATACTTACGATCAAGCCTCCTCCCGCTCAAGGCAGAGCGCCGGTGGGCGCTCTGGGTGTCACTGGATAACTCCTCGGAGTAACGCCGAGTCACACCGCGTCACCTTGGATGGATCTGAATGAGGCCAACCTTAGGACTCTGCTGTACTCGAGACGCTCACTGCGCGTCGCGTCATGTTTGTCAGATTGATACAGACGGGTCGACTGCCTCGATTCTCGACTTCGACCTTACAGGTGTGGAGAAGCCACTGACAGTGACGACGGCGATTGCCTTGGATCAGCTAACGTGGTATCCATTTGTTCAGAGAACAGTTCAAGAACTGCTATATCACCGCGGATCGACCTCTACCTCGCTTGCCCGTCGGCGAGGTATACATGTGAGCATATCTGCAGTGCGATGAAAATCAATGCATATATGCACGTTCAAAAACTGCTGATGCATTTGGTATCTATTGCTCCTTGCCGTTTGGCCAGATAGCACTTTTCAGGCAGTACGTGCCTCCGTCCACGCTGTTGGCGTGCAAGGCCTACTAGCCCGAGTCGGATTGCACTACGACTGACTTCGGGTTCAAGAATCAACTAACCAGCAGTTCAAAACCTAACAACGGCGCGCATCGGCGAGAAACTTGAAGGTGAGCCTTGTCTCATATCTCACTAGTACCCAAGTGTGAATCTTCGCACCTCGCCAATGATCGCCCTGCTCGTACATTGTGCGCTGATGTGTGAGACCGTCACTAGCTACTTATGATGCTCAGGGAAACATATAACAGGACAGCGTACCACCTTGCTTTGGAGAGCAATACCGCCGAACAGTGTGAATGGTGAGCTCTGATTGACATCCTTATCCGCTCATTCAGCCACACCCCGTTCGCAAGCTGTGTTGGAATCAGCGCGAGGCTATTGGCTCGTTTGACGATGGTCGTCTCTTTGTCACGTCATGCCAACGTGCATGACTCACGGTTCTAATTGACCTGATTCAGGGCCATACCTTCATCTCGAGCCAATTCCGTACCCCATCGCTGGTCCATTCGCAGCGGAAACATGCCATGGCTGCATACTTAGTTAGAAGACACAAATCCGCAAGGCCTACCCTCCGCGGAGATCGGCGACAGCGGATAGGAGGTGTAGCATGCATGCTCCGAGTCCGCTGTCTCGATCAACATCCGTACCGCGATCGGGGCGGCATATTCTCTGATGGACTTCCTCCCCTGGGCTTCTGCGGCTATTCGTCGCGGTTCCCTTCGCCATTCCCGCCTTGCCCCGGTGTTACTATTCGTTTGCAACAAGTTTGCAGAGGGGTTTGTCAGGGTCTGCAGCGTGGTTCTTTTTTTTTTGTGGAGCGTTGCGCCTGTGGGCGCCAGGTGTGGCAGTCGAGACGTCGACCCCAGTGACCTCGTGCAACGTGGTTCTCGCAGCCCGGCAGAATGAGATGCTCAAAAGCAACCGACTCGCGGCGAAGCCGAGCCATCGGTTCCCCGTGGGGTGGCCTCAAGGTTCCCCAGGTTGTGTCTAGCCTTGGGTTGCCTTCCAATTCTATCGCTCCGGATACCCCTTGGTCTGGCCTTCTGAAGACCGTCACAGATTATTACCGGTTGCGCGGCAGGACACACTCTGTTCGGCGTCGGAACGAGACGGAACGGAAGTTCAGTCCAGCTACGTGAACCGCACGGGCCCAAGCTTTCGTATCTGCTTCCGCCTGGTCATTCGGTCGCAACACCCCTTGCAATTTTCCACCCGACACTCCGGGCCGTCGAGATTCGGTGGCGGCGATCGCACGTCGAACAAAGTCTTGTCTGTGCGGCTTTCCGGGCGGTGTTAGACGGTCAAACCGTGCGAGGTACTAATTGACCGTATACTAAGTTACAGGACTGGTCGAGAGTATGGAGCGGCTAGTAGTATGCCTCTTTCATTGGCATTAGAGTTTGAGGACGACTGCTTTTCGCACGTCCGTCTGGGCAACATCCGGGGATGGGAAAGCTTTGGGAAAGCTAGAAGGTGTGCAGTGCTTCGAGCCACCCCCAACACCGCCGGGGTTGTTACAATTCAGTGAAGCCTCGGAACGTGATGTTACATTAACACTATTCCGTCATGCCGGGGTCGGTGATTCTCCACTTCTATGATCAACGCAGACAAATTCGCTTTCGCGGGCCCGTTCACAGAACCAAATCTCTCTAGTGTTGCGGTGCCCGTCAGAGTCCAATCTGCGTGCTGCATCGTTGCACTAGCGAGTCCACTCTCGAGCTCACCGCTGTCCACTCCAGTCCATTGCAGGACTATCGTGTCACAGTACACTTGCTGCGGCGCTTGCCGTCGCAGTATGTCGGACATGATCCATGCATTGCATCACATCAGACAATTTTACCGCAGGAGACGCGAGCAGCAAGGTGAGTCAAAATCTTGGCCGCGAACGTTCAGCTCCAAGATTTGACTATGGCCTCGTTATCTGCGCTATCTCGAGCTTCACCCAGGCCTCACCTACCCTGCAGGTTCATGTTTCCAGGGTTCATCAGAAGGAGTCCTTTTCCTGTCTGACTGCACCGATATGAAATTCCTGAGGTCGCTGAGCGCTCTTCCAGCAATTCTTAGCCGGCATATCAAACACCATATGCCGGGTGAGGTTTGGCAGATCTCTCATGGATCTCACCCCATGTCCCATGTCCCATGGGGAACTGGGGGCGCAAGCACGAAGAAGCACGATCACAGTACTATCAGGAACCTTAATCCCCCATGATTGATCGTCCAAATTTATTGCCAGAGTGTCGAGTTCACCAGGATCTAGACCGCAGGCTTTGAGACGTACAGCCCGTCGATGCCGCCGAGGAGGAGGGCATGTGGCGACGGGCAGCGTAGCGGAGCCAAGGCGGGGTGAGTAGGGAGGCCGGAATGTTTACGCGAAGTATCAGACGGCGAGGCGCGCGTCCCCTCCCCGGGCCCACATACGAGAGGCGGAGAAAGGTAGGTTGAACGAAGCATCCGAGCTGACGTCGTGCGCCGTAGGTCCGTAGCGCCTTTGTGTCGGGCCGAAGGGGCACTATGATTCTTTTGCTATCGTACGCCCGACCGCCGATGCATCATCGCAGGCGCGGCAGCCATGATGTCGGTGCAATTCGGCCTCGACAAGACGTACGGCGCAACGAAGTTCATTTCGGGCACAGCGACCGTTCGTCGGACGTCGTTGGAGGCAAGGCCCCATGCAATGAAACTGCTGATTGGGTCTTTCCTGCTAGGACGCACCCGAGGCGCCGCCGCTGATCGCGATCAATTCCAGAGGAAAAAACATCAAATGGTATCATGAAAATTGCGCGTCCGCGGGACACGGGCTCTCGCGCAGGACATGGAGGACGTCGCAGGGAGCACAGCGGCTTGTCATGGGACGGCGCAGTCTGCGAGTCGCAGATTTGTCGCAGATCAGCGTCTTCAGGACGATGACGGAATGCGAAGGTCGGATGCCCGAAGACGTCGCTGGCGCGTCCTGCCTGTTGCCTGTTGCCTGCGGCAAGCGGGCGTCAAAGGCACCGACCCGCTGTACTCACCGCTGATGCGGCGATCGATAAGAATGATGCCGCATTAGGCAACTCCTCATTCTGTCATCACCGCGCGCCCGGCACCGTCGGACCATGCCCGCACAGCCATCGGAGCTTGACATACGATGCGGGGGCGCCTGGCGTCGGCGTGTCATGGAGGCCACCCTCTGTTTCTCGGACACGAACACAGCGCCGGGGAAGGCCCTGCGAAGGCGGGCGCAGCGACGAGCAGCTGGGAGACTCAGAGGCATCGATGCGGAGGGCGGCGGGGACGGTAGCCGAGCCGGGGCCAAGCCAGGAACGGGTCCGGGGCGGGTGGGGCGGCTGCATCTGTCGCTACCCCGCCGCACCCCGCGTGTGGGGACTCCACAGCGCTTAGCGGCAACACCCTTACGCGAGCCCCTTGTGATTCGAACCCTCAATCAGACCCATCCCAGATCCAGCATCTCCCATCAACGCCGTGGAGAGCCACTCAGCCCTAACACCTCCTAACACCCTTGCGGAAATGTATATAAAGGCGCTCCCCCCACATCCGCACCTCGTGTTCTCCTTCCTCGCGACGCGTTCATTCGCTTGAACGACCTCCGAGAGCCCCAGTCACCTCCTGCTGTTGTTGTACCGTCTACTGTCCATCCTCGTGTACGACTGCAACTTCGCCCACCATGTCCATGTCCGAGAAGCCTTCGAGCAGGAAGGCCGACTCCGTTTTGAGTGGAGTCTCCAAGGAGGAGATCAAGCACTTCGACCGCGCTGCCATCGCGAACAACCCCAACGCCCGCCTTGCCAATCCCCTCGAGGGTATCCCCCAGGACCAGCTCATCGCGGACGCTGCGGCATTTGCGAAGAGCCATGACCTCGGCCATGTGACTGAGGAGTTCCAGAAGGGCGCGCTCGTTGCGCAGAACCCAACCGAGTTCGAGACATTGCCTCTCCTCACCGACGAAGACAGGAATGTCCTTCGCCGGGAGATGACCCACCGGTGGTCACATCCATTCCAGCTGTACTACCTTGTCATTCTTTGCTCAATGGCCGCCGCAGTCCAGGGTGTGAGTAGATTTTTGACAGTGGCGTAGGTGGTTCCTGACGGTGTCATTTTTATTAGATGGATGAGGCCGTCATCAACGGTGCCAACTTGTTCTTTGCTCCGCAGTTTGGTATCGGCAGCGTGGGCGACCAGAGCCGCAACCAGTGGCTGCTGGGTCTCGTCAACTCGGCTCCTTACGTATGTTGTCTCCTGATGTGTTCCATGACCTTCATATTCACGGCGGTTCACAGCTGTGCTGCGGTCTCATCGGTTGCTGGGTGTCTGCTCCGCTGAACAAGTATTTCGGCCGCCGCGGTACCATCTTTATCAGCGCCTTTGTGTCGTTCGCCACCTGCATCTGGCAGGGTGTCACTAACACCTGGTGGCACCTCTTCATCGCACGGTTCTTCCTTGGCTTCGGTATCGGACCCAAATCTGCAACGGTCCCCGTGTATGCCGCGGAGTGCGCACCGCCGGTCATCCGTGGCGCTCTCGTCATGATGTGGCAGATGTGGACCGCTTTCGGGATTATGTTCGGTTACGTGATGGACCTCTCTTTTTACCACGTTCCCGACAAGCCGGGCATCACTGGTCTCAACTGGCGTCTCATGCTTGCTAGTGTGCGTAATTCCGTATTGACTTGGTCATAGACTGTGCTGACAATTCTCCATAGGCCGGTGTCCCCGCTCTCTTCATCATGATGCAGGTGTACGCCTGCCCCGAGTCGCCGCGTTGGTTGTTGTCGAAGGGTCGATACGATCAGGCTTACACATCGCTTCTGCGCCTCCGTAACAGTCCGCTACAGGCTGCCCGCGATCTCTATTGTGAGTATGGCCCGTTTCATGTGTGTTCGACGCAATTCTGACGTATCGGTCAGACATCCATGTGCAGCTTGAGGCCGAGGCCGAGAGCTTCCAGGGCCGCAACCGCTTCCTCGAGCTCTTCACGGTCCCGCGTAACCGTCGCGCTACCCTCGCTGCCTTCATCGTCATGTTCATGCAGCAGTTCTGCGGTGTCAACGTCATTGCGTACTACTCTTCGAGCATCTTCAGCCAGGCGAGCTTCACAGACCTCCAAGCACTGATCGCCTCGTGGGGTTTCGGTATGCTCAACTGGGTCTTCGCATTCCCCGCCGTCTGGACCATCGACACCTTCGGTCGCCGCAACCTCTTGCTGACGACATTCCCGCTCATGGCCCTCTTCCTGCTCATGACCGGCTTCTCATTCTACATCCCTGAAGGCAACGGCCGTCTGGCTGTCGTGGCCCTTGGTATCTACCTGTACACGATGGCGTACTCGCCAGGAGAGGGTCCCGTGCCGTTCACCTACTCCGCCGAGGCGTTCCCGTTGTACGTCCGTGATGTCGGAATGGGCTTTGCGACTGCCGTGCTCTGGTTCTTGTGAGTTTACTCGGTTCCCTTCATATGTGTGGAGCACGTCTGACATACGCGATCTTGCAGCAACTTCGTTGTCGCGATCACCTTCCCGCGTCTACTGGGAGCGTTCACGCCGACCGGTGCATTTGGGTGGTACGCGGCGTGGAACGTGTTTGGCTTCTTTGTCATCCTGCTCTTTGTCCCCGAGACGAAGGCGCTGTCACTCGAAGAGTTGGACCAGGTGTTCTCGGTGCCGACACACCGACACGCGTCGTACCAGCTCAAGGCACTTCCGCACAACATCAAGAAGTACATCTTCCGCATGAAGATCGAGGACATGCCGCCGCTCTACAAGCACGAAGGCGCGACGCACTACACTCCTGGCGGCGCCGGCCACGCATAGGGCCGCAGCGATCGTGCATGATGTTGTACTCATAATAATCTTTTCCAAACGGGCCTGCCGGCTGTTAGGCGACTCGACCCCTGCAGCTTGGGATGGTATTTGTTGTGACATGCCTGGCTGCCGCTTGTGCTCGTCCATGCTCGTCAACATCGTATACCATGTCATCGGCATAATGAATCTTAATGTTGCTCTGTGATGTACTCTGCCACACGCTGTATTACTACTACGATATCTTCGAATCTATCTCATCTAAACCTCATCTTCTGGTGTGGGAACTCGCTTGTGCAGCCAACGTCGTAACTGTCCACCGCTCTTCTAAGGCGGTGGCTGTTGGAGGAGCTCTTGGAGCAATTCAGTCGCGTATTGTGGGGCGCGGGATTTGGTAAGAATCAGATCTCGATCGTGCAGCTCCCACTATAGTAGCGTAGTCACGTGTGCCACGGAGACCGTACTGCCTGCGGTGACCGACCAACTGCCGTCGCCGCGGTATACAGCCTCGACCTTGAATCCATGCTTCCTATGCTCTGGCCATTCATATTTCATTGACATCTTGACGACAATCCGAACTGCTACAACTGACTGGGATACACGCGGCGACTGTATCTAGCTCAGCAATCCGATCAGAACGTCAAGCCCCGATCGAACCGAACGCGAGGCACTGAGTTCTCCTAATGACCCAAACGACTTTGCTTCAGTATGAGGCACCGTGTAAGCATCCCCAAACGCTCACGCTCTACCTGAAATGACGTGTCTGCTCGTGCAGGGCCTGTGTACGCGCTGGACTGGTGCAAGACCGCCGCGCCAGGACAGCAGCACCGACCGCGGTCGTCCTTCCGCCTGGGGATCGGCTCGCTCAGAGACGACTATCAGAATCGCATCGCCATTGTAGGGCTGCAGGACGAACGCGTGCTCGTCGAGGACGACTATACGGACTACCCGGACTTCGTCACGCTCGTGGACGCGCTGCACGGGTACCCCGCGACCGCCCTGCAGTGGCAACCGAGCGCGGCCTCCAGCTATGCGTGGAGCCAGAAGGCGGCGACTTCGGAGCTGCTGGCGACTACGGGGGACGCGCTGAAGGTGTGGGAGTACACGACGGATGGGCCGCAGCAGGTGTCGAGCTATGTGGGGAGGCCGCCGACGACGAGTGGGCATAGGTTGACGCAGAAGATCGCTCTGTCGGGGGTGCGTGTGACCGTCCGTTCGGGCTCCATCGCGGAACTGACCTATGGTGGATATTACAGCAGAGCAAGGTGCAAAACAACCAGACGGGAGCACCGCTGACCAACTTTTCGTGGAACGAGAAGGCGCCGAGTCTAGTCGTCACCTCGTCCATCGACACGACGTGCACGGTGTGGAACATCGACACCTCCAGCGCGATCACGCAGCTCATCGCGCACGACCGTGAGGTCTACGACGTCGCCTGGCTGCCAGGATCGACCGACATCTTTGTGTCTGTCGGTGCGGACGGTAGTCTGCGTGCGTTCGACCTGCGCAGCCTCGAGCACTCGACGATTCTCTACGAGACACCTGCGCCGAAGAACATGCCGCCTCCATCGGCCTCGCCATCCTCGTCTGCGCGACCGCCAACGTCTCCCCTGCTCCGGATAGCGTTCAACCCCGCTGATTCGAACTACATGTCGACCTTCCATATGGACGGCACGGATATACAGATCCTCGATATGCGCAGTCCAGGTCAGCCCGTCATGGAAATGAGGGCACATCGCGGGCAAATAAACGCGTTGGGCTGGGGATCGACTACCAATCCGTTGCTCGCAACTGCAGGTGTGTCGATCGTTTGCTGTATGTGGTGCTGCTCTTGCTCACACAGTTTTCAGGTGACGATTGCCAGCTGTTGCTCTGGGACCTGAGTCCGTACACGAGCGTCCCATCGACGTCGCCACGGACCGCGAGTTCGGGTCTCAGCTCACCGCGTCCGGACGTCAAAAAGCGGATCGTGGTCGATCCCGTCATGGCATACACGGGAGCAAGCGAGATCAACAACCTGGCTTGGTCGCCGCAAATTGCGGGTATGACCATGCACTCTGGGCACTCGACCGACCCTGGCGAGTGGATTGCGGTGGCGATGGGCAAATCAATAAAGGCACTGAAGGTGTAGGGGCTCAGAGATACGGAGGATGGACTTGGTGTTGTAGCTATACATATTTGGTCTGGTATATACCGTCTGGGTGCAATGCATATAGGCACAAGTTGGCCTGCCGCGACTGCCTTGGTCGCTCTTGGGACGCGTGTACCTGGCTGATATGCGTACACAGCAAGGATTGTGCTGAAGCGATACGTCGCGTTCTGCGCCTGCTTATCTCTGGGATGGTCGTGTGCTGCGTTCGGCTCTGTGCAGACGGCGTTTCACATCATGTGAACCCCCGTGTGACGTGCGCTGACCCCGGTGTGCGTGGCAGACCGTACTCGACATCGAGGCTACCGGTCGTGCATCTCGCAATGCTCAGTAAGTCTTCAAATTGGAGCTGTATATGTAAATGCGAATTTGACGGCGGAAGGGGCAAGTGCCCGCCACATCCATTTTGGCTGCGATAAGGGTTGGATAAGGGAGCTGATAACTGCCAGTGGCGCGGACGCCGGGTGGCGCTCGTGCGCCGTGGATTTTGCTCTGCACAGGGTTTTTTTCTGGTGATGGGCCCGCATGGTGCCTTGCCAAAGTACGGAGCCAGATGTGGACCGGCGCGCCTCTATATCAACCAGCCCGCCCTCGACAGCAGCTTCTTGCACCCCGCCATAGCGTCCGGCCGCCCCTCCCTGCCTCCGCTCGTCCTACGCGCCCGCGTCGTTGCCTGCAGACATGTATGCCGACCCAGCCACCACAGACCCGGCGAGGCAAGGCGCGCCCGACGTGGTGGAGCGGAAACCCTCGCGCGCGAGCAGTTTTTCCGACAGCAAGGAGAAGCAGCACGATCCTGAAGTGCAGACCGCGCAGGAGGGCAGTCCAGACCAGGACGAGAAGCGCAAGTCGGCGTGGGACGTCGTGCGTCCGGCGTTGCGCCCTGTGATCTTGCTAGGCTTGGCCGCCGCCATCCTAGGCTGGTGGATCTGCTCTACCATCTTGAAAGACACCCGGCATAGGTGGATTGTGCAGACCTTCTGGGCATGGTTCTTCCTTATGTGAGTGAACACGCTCCGCGGCAGCATGTGCATGGAGTTGATCGACGTTCGGAAGTACCATCGCGTTCCGCTGGATCCCCAATCGCGTCTTGACCCATCCTGTGAGCGCGGTATGGATGCCGTGCGTCCAGGAGCCGTGGTACAAGCTGCCCTATCGCCTGCGGTTAACTGTCGGCTGGCTCTGCTTGCTAGGCATCGTATTTGGATCTGCCTTCGGTTTCCCACTGACAGAGGGCACGACCTACGGCGACCGTGCGATTTCGGTCCTTGGCCTATTTGTGTTTCAGCTCTGCTTCTGGCTCACGTCGGCACATCGGTCTGCAGTACCATGGTCAGTGTGCATTTGAATCATTGGCGGATCGTCGTCCTGACGTGCACTGGAGGCCTACGGTCATTGTTGGCCTTTTCATCCAGCAAGCCATTGCGATGTTCGTGCTGAAGTCGGACGCGGGCTTCAAGATCTTCCATTGGATCGCTACCGCCGCCTCTGATTTCCTGGCTCAGTCTCAGGCCGGTGCTGCGTTCTTCTTCAACGCGGATGTCGTATCCCAAGGCTTTTTCTTCGTGAACACGGTACGCATATATCCGTGACATGCCGTGACATATATGCTCAAGAGCTCCTGAGAGTAGCTCTCTGCAGTCATCTTCTTCATTGCTTTCGTGCAGATGATGTACTACCTTGGCGTCATGCAGTGGTTGATCAAGGGCTTGTGAGTGCTCAAGTAGGCGCATATATGCGTTCATCATTGACGGTACCCCAGCGCATGGGTGTTCTTCAAGCTATTGAACGTGTCAGGAGCGGAAGCAGTCATTGCCTCAGCGTCTCCGTTCGTCGGGCAGGGCGAGTCGGCGTGTCTTGTCAGGCCCTACGTCGACCTCATGACACCATCCGAGCTGCACCTCACCATGACCTCGGGCTTCTCCACCATCTCTGGCTCCGTCCTGACGGCGTACATCAACCTCGGCGTGCCTCCACAGAACCTCATCACCGCGTCGGTCATGTCCATCCCAGCGTCGATCGCCATCAGCAAGATACGCATCCCCGAGGTGGACGAGCCTGTCACACGCGGCCGCGTTGTCGTCGATCAGGGTGTGGAGAAGAACCCGCCGGCAAACGCTCTGCACGCGTTCAGCCGCGGGGCGTGGTTCGGACTCATGGTCGCCGGGCAGATCCTGTGAGTGCCTAGAGACTCATAGGTGCGCGCACGTACGCTGACCAACGCGGCCACACAAGCGCAAACGTGTTGACTGTGGTGTCCCTGGTCTCGCTCGTGAACGGGCTGCTCACATGGATCGGCAAGGGCTTCGGCATCCACGCGCTGACGCTGCAGCTCATCCTCCGCTACATCTTCTACCCCGTCACGTTCTTCGTCGGCGTGCCGCGCAACGAGATCCTCCGCGTCGCGGAGCTGCTCGCGACGAAACTTGTCGAGAACGAGTTCGTCGGGTACACCGGTGCGTCCGCCCGCGCGCCTCGCCCGCTGACTCCCCGTCCGGAGACCGATACGTGAATTCTTCGCAGACCTGAAGGCGATCATGGCGAGCGACAACCCGCTCTCGGAGCGCTCGTTCACCATCGCGTCCTACTGCCTCTGCGGCTTCGCGAACCTGTCCTCGCTCGGCATCCAGATCGGCGTGCTCAGCGCGCTCGCGCCGTCCCAGGCGAAGGTCATCGCGAAGATCGCCCCTTCCGCGATGATCTGCGGGTTCATTTCGTGCGTATCGGCTGCTTCCATGCCTGACGACGACTGATTCTATGGTGCTTTAGGACGTTGCAAGCCGCAGGTATCGCGGGCATGCTGGTTTGATGTGTACAGCGCGGACGTCTTCTGCGGCTTTGTCAGGAGTAGATGATGTGTATGTTGCGTGGGTGAGTCCATTGTACTTCAGCTGGGACTTGTGGGCGGCTTGCTGGCCGGGGTTATGTGAAACGGTGTTATTAGATACAGCCACTATTCCTGTACTCATTACACTGTTGTTGTAAGTAATGCTAATCTACACGAGGAAGAACGGCTCTGCAGTATGGCGACGGCTACGATATGTTGTCTCGATCTCTAGTGATGTAAAGGAAGCGGACATGGCGGGTAGCAAGCTAAGGTCTGTGAGAGGGACAGCGTGTCTGGTGTGCCAATAGGACGTATGAGGGCCTTCGCACTGCGCAGTGCTGTAGACGAAACGTCTCTGTATACGTTGATCAATCCGCCAGAATACACACCGCGATGCCGGATACTTCACTTACGGACCTCCGTTCCAGTGCTCTGTGTGATACCAGTCTCCCAGAAGTCATCGCTCTGCCAACAAATCAGAATCGTCCTGCGTAGCTTTTGCTGGACGTTTCGCGGTTGTTTTTCGTGTTCGCCACGACTGTGACCAATCGGGAGCATTCTGAGCCGCGGCGATGGCCTGCTGCCGTGCAGAATGTGCCTGCCAAACGAAGGCAGCGACACTCTTCACAGGCAAACGTTCACTGTTCAGCAGGGACACAACACACAACCAACCGTCTCACGCACCAGGGTGATCGCGCCAAACATAAGGGCATCCTTCCACCGGTCGTCCGTCCCGACGTTCAGCTCAGCTCTCCTCCGCTGCTTCGCTTTCCACATGGCCGTGCTCAGGCTGTTGTAGTCCGGCCGCAGCTCGTTCCCGGAGTCGCTCTCCACGTCGCCCATCCTTCGCGCCTTCCCTGTGAGCACGGAGTAGGCCGCGCTGATCGCCTGGAAGCGGGCGTGCGCTGTGTCTGGTGGGACGGCGCGGCTGATGGCGGAGTCGGGGTGGTAGATCCTTACGAGGTCATAGTCTGCCAGTGAACCATTATTCAGAACAAATCAGACGCAAGGGCATCCTGTGTACGCACACCTCGTCTTCACCTCGTCTTTCGTTGCACTGGGCGGGAGGTGGAAGATCTGGTGAGGCGTAGGGTGTGTGTTCGTCGGAAATGGGAAAGGGTTTGCACTGCTGGAAACATGCCTGGGTCCGAGAGAGCGACACGAGCGGAACGCAGACGTCCGTACGCTGCGCAGCGACTTGGGAGGCAGCATAGCACTGGCTCTGAGGGCGGAGATGTGAGAGACCAGCTCGCTGCGACCTGCAGTCGACGTCGCACAACTCGAGACCCAGAGACTCGGGCCAGACGGCTCGGCCAGATTGGGATCTGAGGGTATTCACGCGCTCACGTGCCTCATAAAGCACCGTGAATGGGAGCATGGCTCGTGCGTGAATACAGGTGAGTACTTGAGTCGCGGTACATTGTACAAGTGCAGGGGAAGGCCACAGCAAGGCCGCAGCGTCACGCGTGTCTGGCCGCTGGATTTGCCAGACATTGGCAATGCTAGTAAGTACACACTATCAACATATTATGTCGAGATTCGGCGACTGTCGCGTCAGCGCATGTCGTCGACAAAGTTGACTCTTACTCTCGAGCTTGAGCTCCGGTCAACGTTTTGGCATCGTAGGGACATACGCTAGTGGAGGGGGAGAACCACTCGTCTGCGAGCATTGCCCACTGCCCACACAATGCTAGCACTGTCATGCCCTCACGAGCCGTGCCATCAGGAACGGACGGGGTGAATGAAAGACTCCTGCACATTTTGCATCCGTAGGAAAACAGTAGCGGCACAAGAATACATACATATAATCATACAGCGACCTTCGACAGCCTTCAAGGCAAATTCGTCCAAACACACAACAACATGCAGAGTCGTACCAATACACCACCAAGCTTGAGCGCGTACAACACATCGCATGAAGTGTTTACATGATCGTACAACCGTTGTCTTTGTCTTCGAGGCGCCGAGCGATGTCGTCAACACCGAGAACAGGGCCTGCGCCAGTTGGGCGGCCATCAAGGTTGACAATGAGGACGCCAGCGTTGTCCGGGTCCAGCTCGGCCACCAGTCCTTGCCTAGTTCGAGTAAATCAACGAGGGTGCGTCGAACATGATGTGAATGTGGTTTACCTCTGCATGAGTTCTCCAATCGCGGGTTTGAGCTTAGCGACACCGTGCGGCGAATGCAAGCCTTTACCTGCATCACAGCGGGTGGCAGTGTGCGTCAGTGACTCGACGGATGGTGCACCGAACCAATTGGGAGAAGCGACGAACCAACGATGAGGTTGACCTTTGCATTTCCTCGGCCACGCGCGTCTTGGATGGCGCGCTCCGAGTAGGTGATGGCCTCCTTCACATACAGGCCATGAAGGTCGACTTCTCCCGGTGCGCTATCCTGCCACGTCGATGTCAGCCCGACTATATGCGCCCCTAGTAGCCGCATACACTCACCTCGTTGTTTTCTAAGCGCACAGACGATCGAATGGCATCAGGTCGGAACGCATGTGCAGTGTGCACCGCAGGCGCGCCGCACAGAAGGACAAAGACGGGAACATACTACTAAAGATCCACTCGCTCGCCTGCGCATTCAGACGTTCCATCTGCGCCTTGTGCGCCTTGCCTTCGTTGGACAGCTCCTTAGCACGCGCGCCGTCGCCGCTCGCGTACGCCGTGTGGCTCTCTTCGTAGCACTGCGCCATCTTCGAGCCCTCTTCTTTCGCGCGTGCGCGCAGGCTCTGGTACTCGGAGTCTTGCTGGTTCTCATAGTTCAGGTTCTACGAAACGACTCCCGATAAGTGGCGTGGACACGACGATCTGCCGACAGGCATACCTTGTGGGGCCCCGGGGGGGATGTGTGGCGAGCAGGCTGCGGCTTCGGTTGAGCGGGAGGGTATTGCGGCTGAGGCTGCGGCTGCGGTGCTTCGTACGGCTGCTGCGGCCTCGGCCGCGTTACTGGCGGACCCTGCTGGTACTGTTGGGCCGGACGTTGCTGAGGCTCGGGTTCGGGCTGGCCGCCACAAAGGCGATCCCAGAGAGAGCGCAGGAGCGTAGAGAACATCCCCATCTTGCAATCTTATCGGCAGAGTGTAGGGTCACCCAGCGATGAAGACGGTCCTTTTATGCGCAGACACGGGTAGGCACGAGAGGTAGGGGCCTCGTGCAAGCGAGTAGAGCGCCAGGAAGTCGTGCCTAGGGAGCAAGGCAAGCACCGCAAACAGCAAGTCGCCCACGAGCGCGCAGTAGGATGGCCAGATCCACGACGTGAGCTTGAACGTAAGTACAGGTAGCCCCACTAGCGGCCGACCGCACGACGCGTACGTCGTTTCTGTTAGCCCAGCGTATGTTCAGGGTCGCGATTGAAGGTACTCGGAAGAGTTGCGTTGGAGGTGTGCGACTCGCAGTCGAGGATGCCCATAGCCGCCCACTTCTGCACAGGCGCGTCACCCTTACAATCAGGCAGCTTCAGATTTGTACCACCACTGGCACCAGCTCCCCATGCGCATGGTGGACTGGTGGTACAAACCTGAAGCTGCATATATGTCAATTATGATCCCAGGGTTCCACAGGGTGCGTTTACTCAGTCACAAAGCGTGGTTACACTCTGTTTGTACAGCGTACATCTACAGGAGGACCAACACAAACCTACAGACCATACATGGACTAACAAATGATGCAGGGGGTATAGTATCTGTTGGGACATTGACTCGGAGGTATGGATGACGGGGCTATGAGAAGCTTAAGTATGCGAACCTCACCGTGTAGTGTGTATGTCTTTCCAATGCCAGGTAAGACCCTAGCCTGCTATAGAAGAAAGGAAACACACGAGTTTATCTCGTGTCTCTAACGGATAAGATGGAAACCTCGACCGGAGGGTGGATAGACGGGGGACATCGGGTCCGCATTGCAACACTCTTTCCTCTCCCCTTTGATCTGATCATACTGATGAACCAACTCGGCGTAGGTCCGTCATCGCCTGGTCATGGTGAAGTCCGGGACACGGCTATGTTACGGTCAGTACGCGTTATATTGCTCCAGACTCCGGGAACGCATACCTTATTGCCGGATGTCCCGGATGGTAAGCCGGAGGCATAGCGATCGGGACAGGACGCGGTGTGTAGGGCGGGAGCCCGCTCAACCGGTGGTCTCTGATGGAGGGTATGCTGACGGGGAGCGGCTGCGTCTGCGTAACCTGGCGAGGCAGCGATCCGTGGAGGAGGAGAACCGGCGGCTCGTAGACATCCTCCTCGAGTGGATTGAATCGCTCTCCGTTACGTCGGCGGAGCTTGGACTCTTGAGGGCTTTGCGTGCAGAGACAGCAAAAGCCAACCGCGCGTGCAAAGTCATGAAATACCATCGAGGGGCGGTCGTACGCGGTGCATGGGCGTGTGCGGCGGGGAAGGGGCGCACGACCTGGCGAGAGCGGGAGTGATATTCTTATGAGTGAACCGGCATTTATTTAGGCTTTCCCAAAGGCGGCTGTCGATCGAAATGCTTCCAACTTCTAGCGTTCGGCGCTCTGTGCCGAAACGCCTCGGGACGTGCGAGCTTCTTTGTGTTGCGAATGGAAGGCATTCGGAGAAGCGCGAGCCGCTGCATGCTGCTCATGCACACAGGTGGCCATTGGGCGCGGGCGACAACTTGGCGACAACACCCACACGCTCCGAGCGCATGGGTCTCACGACAACAGTAGTCGTCACACGGATCGCGACGTCCGGCCCCCGCTTGGCCCGCCCCCGCTCCGCAAGCCCGCACTGTAAGTACCGCGCGCCCGCCCGCCCTTTGTGCGGCATTGAAGGTGGTCATCGATCGGTCATCACTAGGCAATATTGCGTATGAAGTCACAACGGACACACTACAGCAGTACAGATCACGTAAAACCGACCCGCTAGAGCTCCTTCGAGGTTCGGTCGCTTCGACACATCATCTCATGATTTACAGCGTCTGCTAACTCCACATGCTTCCCGCACTCTCGCCAGTCGCCGAGGCCGAGGTTCACCTTGGTCCCATCTCGCCGTGACAGCGACGGGTCTGCGACTACTTATCTTGTATCCGCCTGCCCGACATGTACACGGAGAGTTATACATAGTGAGGACGGTCCGGTTCTTCTCCGGGAATAAGCAGAATGAGACTTACCTCCGGGCTGAGTGAAGAAGGGCTCTGCGCAGCACTGGAAGCTTCATACGGACCGCCCGTGGGCCCCGTCCTCGGGATCGTCGATGTCGAACCCTCGGTGCCAGTGACCGTGGGCAGCGTCAGCTGCGACATCGGCTGGGTGTCCACCACAGGGCGGGCGTACGGCCTATGGGGCACGACCGGCGGGACGTAGATGTCCTCTCGCGACAGACGGGGATCGTCCGGCTGGGGGAGGTTGTGCTCGCATATGCAGCACCAGTTGAAGGCCTGGCGCAGGGCGCGGGACATAGATGCGGGGATAGACGTGTCTTATACGGAGATCCGGCGTGCGGCCTCGAGTAGATATAAGCATCGATCGGTCGAGCGTGATCGAGGCGGGCAAGCGACAACGACGGGCCGCAATCGTCACGTATGGCCAATATGGCTGACCTGGGTACTCCGGTACGTACCGTCCCTGCATGCATGGAGGTGGTGCGTCAGAATCTCAGCTCCCCCGGATGTGGCCTGAAGTCGAGTGACCACTGACCTAATATTCGGCGTCATGACGGAACCAATCCGAGGGAAATCCCGGACTAAACTGCATGACCACTGCATGACCTGGATGACCTGGTACTTACCTTGATCGAAACCTCAGGTCTTCAGGCCTCAGTACTTGGGTAGCCATCCTGCGTTCACGCGACACTTCGCTCGCAGGTGATGATAGTCAACGGTCATCATAGAGATCAAACAAAGTGAGAATGACATGTCTCATTCACAGCAGATGTGTACGAGAGGACAGGATAAGACTAGAGACGGGAACACCTACGAAGTCCTAGAACCACTCGGCAGAGCTACAACAACAACAACCAGCGGGCATCATATCTCATATCTCCAACCCAACCAGCACGTAAGACGAGTCGACTTCGAAGGGCGGCGCGGTGACGACACTGCCACCCACGTACATCAATGAGTGAAGAAGATCGCCGAGGAACGGCGAGCTCTTCTCCAACGCAATGACTAACGCGGAGCATTGCAAGCTCTCATCCGCGAGATCTAGGAGAGCAACGATGCTACCAAAGGGGTCAACGATAGTTTGCGATTAAGTGCAATCGCGACTCACCTCTCCCTGAGATTGACGGTTGCTGCGCTCTTTCCGTCTACGTAGAGGGTCTTGGGTTTGTTGGGTAGCTCGAGCACGACACCATCAAACTCGGCACCAAGGTTCGGAGCAGAGATTGAGACGTTCTTGGCGTAAGGCATGGCAGCCAGTGCATTGCGCGGGAAGAGAGTAGAGAGGAACTCGAGAGCAGCATCGCGTTGCTTCGCGCTAATAGCTGCGACGCTGCCTTCTCCGTCCTCAGCATCGTCAGGAGTCAAGGGGGGCGTGAGGATATCAGGGACAGGGGCGCGAGCGATCTTGTTGGCGATGTCCCTCGGCGCGCTTCTAGTAGGCTGGCTGTACTCCTCCGGAGGCGGGGTGGGAGGTAGGATGATGGAACTGGCGGTGCTGTCGGTGCCGAAGGCTGAAAGCGTGGATGAGGTATCGGAAGGGGGCGAAGAAGAGAAAATCGGCGCCAGACTGTCTGTCACCCAGTCTGACGACCCTCTATCAGGAGGGCATTTTGCCTTGGGGGTGTCAAAACCGCCACTGCGGGACCGGTAAGTCGGGCGTGACAGAGAGAGGGAGTGGAAGAGGGACGTACCCCGGGCCCGCCAGAGAACGCAGTAGAGTAGTAGTACATGTTGCTGCCGGGCATCCGGCACACTGCAAGCACGCTAGGAGTCATGTCGGTGTAGAAAGCCCCATCTCCAACGGTTTGACGACCGTTGCTTCAAGAAAGCGACGGATGTCAGATAAAGTCTGATGCATTCCCGACTCGTACGTACGCGGGGCGAATACTAGATTGTTGTTTTGAAAGATTTGACATATTTGAATTCGACATGAGGTGCCAATTTGTTCGAGGAGCTACGACGATGTTAGAGCGAGAGTCCGCAGCTCGGGAAGATGCACGTACAGTGAGGATAGTGCAGTGTGTGGCGAGGTCGACGGTGTAGTCAGCAGGGGCGAGAACAAGCCTCCTCTTATGGCCCGTGTCCCCGGCCATCCCCCGACCACCGCCCCACGTGGCTGTGGCCGCGTTGCTATCTTTGGCAACGTTTCTTGAACCCTCTAGGCCGTCGGACTACCCTGACGAATGCCCAGATCGTCCTTGACACTGCAAACGCGCACGATGTGTATTTCTGTCGTTTGCTCGAGTCCTGACTTCTGCTCCCAAGGGTCCGCGAAGTCTCCTCGCGGCGCTGATACTTGACTTTGGGGCAAAGCATCGCGCCAGAATGGAAGAGACATGACACCATATGACCTGCGAATGACCCGCCCTCTCCAATCCCGATTATTTCAATAATCTCCACAGTACCCACTATCTATCCTACGCGCGGCAAGAAGTCTCAGAAAAGTTCGCGGCCCGGGGTTGGACAGGCCGCACCGCAAACACGAGTGTAGATAACAGCGACGTTGCAGTGACAGGAATGTCATTCTCCGACTTGCAGGACACGGCGAGAAGCCATAGGCCACGGCAGGTCACGGCATTGCGTTGAGGCGTTTGCAGAGAAGACAATTGAGTAGAACGATGCACTCGTCGGATGTTCAGCGCTATGACTGACGGGCTGCTTTGCTTTGAGTTTGCGCTGATGCGTGCGATGGCGAGTCCGATCCAGTGGTATCCACCCCAGGGGTAAGTGCGGAGAGCTGGCGGCTGAACAGACGACCGCCACAAAGGCTTGTGACCGAAGTGCCGCACGCATGAGAACGACATAGTCTTAGCCAGGTCATCTGCGTACTAGCATTCACTAAGTAGTCGCTGTTCACACTGATAGGGCGTTGAGACCAGCACACACAGATCAAATCGTGAGCCATACCAGATCAGCTTTGCGAGGTCCCAAATGCGACCCTAGAAATTACACGTTTCCACTGAGAAACACCACCGTCGCAGACGGTCGATCAACATCCATGCTGAGTCCGCTAGTCTCCACGCTGCGACATAAGGAGCATCTCGGTCAAGAAATCGCCCTGCCCATTGGGGTTGTCGAACGGGTCGCCGTTTCCGACTAGTATGAGGGGCCTACGAGGCGTACGTCGCGCCAGGCGATGAAAGCCCAGGGTTGGCGCGTGGAAGGCACCCAACGGACTGAGCATAGTGACTATGTCGTCGAACAGGTTGGCGTCCGGCTTCGTTGGATCTCTGTTGTGCGACCCCAGGGGCGTTGCATCGGGATATGTAGGGGGATGGTATACGACGTGGCTGCGATTGATGACGAGGGACACTGTTGGCTGCAGTCAAGATGAGCTTCCAGATGTAAGGTCTAATATTAATCTATGCATGCATACCTGCGTTGAGGCATTGGACGGGACAAGGTTTCTACAGCCCGCCAGGGGATTACGCGAGGGGCCGGTCGTGCTGACAGGTATTCTGGCACGCGATGCCATCATTGACTGAACCGACGGAGGGGCCGGAGGAAGCTGGAAGTCTAGAGGTGGAACGTTGAGGTCCAGGGGATACAGTGCGGATGAAGAGGAAGAAGCGGTGCCAGAAGCGGTGCCAAGGGAGGGCGTCGCCCGATCGGGCCCGCCACTCTCGACGGAAGGCGTGCTTCCAGTTGGGGACCTTTCATCATGGCGAAGATCTTTGGATAGGCTAATGGCCTCGAAGTGACATGCGATATTGCTGTTCGGGCTGGCTGATGAAGACGGCTTCTGCTTAGATTTAGTAGAATGCGATCTCGCCATGGAGATGGAAGGATTAGGATCTCGAATATCGGAGCGTACGCAAAGGGGTGGAAATGAAAATGAGCGAGATTCTGAAGTGTTTGAAGGATTGTTTTATCCACCTTCCGAACGTATGGACCTGGACCGCATTTCCACAGCTACTGCCTCTATCACTGAAGCTCCGGCGGTGGACCAAGCGTCCAGGGATCTTGCTCTGATACTACTGCAGCCAGGGGAGTGTCGTGCGTTCGCGTTCTCAGTAGCAAGGTTTGGATCGGTTATAAGACCCGCGAGCCAAGTGTAGATCTACAAGCCGTGAGACGTCAAGCCGTTGCAAAGGAATTAGCACGCATCATGTAGGTATTGTGAGTGGAGGATATATAGTTGTGTAGTGCATACTACGTACCTTCTCGTCATCGCCCTCGGCCCGACGCCCACTAGTCCCGGTAGGACGATTAACAGGGGTAGCTGTTGAAAGCGAAACTCGATGAGAGGAAGATGGCAGGTTGTCTAGGAGGGCTGCGTTCAGACACATTGTCAATTTGTAGGAGGAAGGGAATAAAGATCGAGGTTAAGAACGATCTCTGCGCGACTTCCATTACGGCAAGGTCACAGAGCGGCCACACCTTGTACATCGTCGATGGCAGTGACGAACAAGGGAACAAGCCAAAGTTCAGTGGTGTCAGCACGAACGCACCGGAAGACATATTATCAATATTCATAGGAAGGATCCGGCGATCATGTCTGAGCTGTTATGTCGTGGCGCCGGCGTTGACTCTGACCGAACAATGTCTGTATGCGTTGCACATCAACCCCAGCGCATACAACCGTGCAGCTTGATCCTGAGCTTACCCGCTTTGCCCGCGCGCTTCTTCGATCGTCTCTCGGATTGGAACGAATCCTCCGACAACGATGTTGTAAACGACGCACAGCACACGACCGACCGTGCAGAGCAGTCGAAAATCAACGCAGCGGCAACCTGAGGAGATGGTGGGCGTCGAGGAGAACGTTGGACTGCGTAGGCCATATTAAAAGTAATTTGGGTCTGACAGCTTTGGTCGTTCGAGTGGAGCCTGCTCCCAGTAGTCTCAGTCTGGGCCACGGACACGGCCAGCGGTGTTCCGGGTCCCGGGCGCTCCGGTGCCAATCTCAGCCACCAGCCATATCGACCGCGCAAAGCCATCCGCGCACCCACCGGCGAGCTCGACATCGACCTTCCTCAAGACGTGAGTACATTCCCGCCGTTCTGATGCTGTGGATAGAGAGAGGATGTCGTTAGGGACGCCCTGGCAGAGTATGGGGTCTCGATGCCGTCTCGTTGTGATGGATGGAGTGGACCAGCATTGGATGATCTACGACCCTTCGTCTGGACGACCTCCTGCCTCTCGCGTTTTCGGCGTTTTCGTGCTGACAGTCTCATTCCGCGTGCAGTAAACTTCTCAGCAACACACAATGGCTGACGCTGGACGCGGACGTGGTGGATTCGGGCGTGGTCGTGGTGACCGTGGACGGGGCCGTCGGGGCCCTCGTCGTGGAGGCCGTAGGGACGAGGAGAAGGAGTGGTGAGTTACCTGTATTTCTCTGAATTTTGCGCAATCGTTCAAACATTGCAAAATGCAAGGGTCCCCGTCACGAAGCTCGGTCGTCTTGTGAAGGACGGCAAGATCAAGTCCATGGAGGAGATCTACCTCTTCTCGCTCCCCGTCAAGGAGTACCAGATCGTCGACTACTTCCTCCCCAAGCTCAAGGATGAGGTCATGAAGATCATGCCTGTGCAGAAGCAGACTCGTGCCGGTCAGCGCACGCGTTTCAAGGCTTTCGTTGCGATCGGTGACTTCGAGGGCCACGTCGGTCTCGGTGTCAAGTGCGCGAAGGAAGTCGCAACTGCCATCCGGGGTGCTATCATCCTCGCCAAGCTCTCGGTCATTCCCGTCCGTCGGGGGTACTGGGGTGCTGCGCTCGGTGAGCCACACACTGTGCCCTCGAAGGTCAGCGGGAAGGTCGGATCCGTCATGTGCCGTCTCATCCCCGCACCAAGAGGTACCGGTCTCGTCGCTGCACCTGCCTCGAAGCGTCTGCTGCAGCTCGCTGGTGTCGAGGATTGCTACACGCAGTCGAAGGGCTCGACTGCGACGATGGGTAACTTCTTGAAGGCTACCTTTGCTGCCGTGCGTGTGCAGTTTCATTCGATTCCTTTCGTAAGCTTACCATCAGCACAGATCACAAAAACATACGCTTTCCTCACGCCCGACCTCTGGCGCGAGATCCCCGTCTCGAAGTACCCGTACGACGAGCACAGTGCGCATCTCCAACTTGCAGCAGGCAAGAAGGCGTACTAGATGTGTTAGGGGGAGAAGGGGATGTCTTGTTGCATGTCGCTAAAACCATCTCGTTATGTCTGTTATGCTAGACATGCCCATGCATTGTACTCTCACATCGTTTCATCTATTCTGGTGTCCGATTGGCATGCCCCGCGCTGTGCAAGGAACCTTGATGCCCTCACTGCATGTGCGATATCGCCGTGTACTGGGTTCAAGTTGAGCGTCTGAACCTGAATATTTGAATCCTGTCTGAAGCTGTGTCGTGAGATCTCGCTGTGCCGGCGCCGGGCAGTTTGTATCGCTTGGCTCAGGGGATGATCGGGGCGATCTGGTGGTGGTAGATCTCCCAAGTTACCGTCCGGCAGTAATTGAGTAAGTGAGTGGCTGCGAGCGTCGAGGCTTGGAAGTGACGCTGACCCTGGCCAGTCGATAAGCACACACTTTGCCCTTAACTAGGTTGCGATCCCACTCGTCTTCAGCTACTCTGCGTCCCTTCCAAATCGTTCAGGGGTCGTAGTCTCAATATGGGCGAAGAATTGCTGCAAGTCCGTCTACCATCCAAATTGTCTAACAGTTCACAAACTCGCCTTTAGGTTACGGATATGAGCCTCTCGTACATCGTACTGGGAGGCTTCGTAGTCATTGTGCGTAGCCTCACCTCTTCAGAGCTGCAGCGGACTTGCCGTCGCCGGTTCCTCCCTTCACTATCCAACGTCTATCTCGCCTGTGGCGGTCCCCTCACTGGTCGTGCGGGCATGCATACATTCATCAGGAATTGCAATAGAGATATTGACGTATGAAACCATTCAGTTTAGCATGGTGTCGCTTCTTGTCAAGGAAAAGGTACGCCGAGCCAGCCATCTCCAGGAGCCTCCCCTCCAGCCTGGGAGTCATTGGCTGAACTCCCTCCTTCGCCACTAGCTGTACATCAACGAGGTCGTCCTCGGGACCGCATTCGGCGTCATCATTGGGCCCTACTGCGCCAACGCTTTCGATCCGAGGTCATGGGGGAGCCATACCAATGCCATCACCCTGGAGGTTATGAGGATCGTCCTCGCCACCGGCCTGTTCGCTATTGGCGTGGAGCTGCCGCAGTCATATATGGCGGATCATGCTAAAGGGCTTCTCGTCATGGTAGTGCCTACAATGGCCTTTGGTTGGGTTGTCGTAGCAGGTGAGTATGTTGCTGAACCTGGTGGGTTGATAGCTGACGTCCTCGCGCTACCCCCGCAGCGCTCATCTATGGCTTATTCCCTACCTACACCTACATCTCGGCACTGGTTGTGGCGGCATGCTTGACACCCACGGACCCCATCATCAGTGCGGCCATAGTTGGTGAGACTTTTCGTGGCTTTGTGGCGGGTGTAAGCCTCATTCAGTGTCAGGTGGCAAGTTTGCCAAGAAGCACGTACCACCCAACTTGCGCCGGATTATTTCCGCCGAGTCTGCCGCCAACGACGGATTGGCGTATCCTTTCTTGAGCATTTCCATCTACCTGACGCTCGAGAGCTCGCGTGGAACGGCGATTGGAAAGTGGTTCCTCATAGGCTGGCTCTGTAAGTCACATACTTATACTCATTGCATTGCAATTTCCTGACCTGCGAATCGCAGATGAGGTCATCTTGGGCACTGTCCTCGGAGCCGTGCTAGGTATGCTGTTTATTGCATAATGTGTGCTTGTTCGCTCATCACTACCTCCATAGGCGTACTGTTCTGCAGGCTGATGAAGATCTCCTATCGCAAGGGATTCATCGACCGCGAATCCTATGTTGCTCAGTACCTAGCACTTGCGTTGTTCACCATTGGGATCGTGAGTACTTTGGGTAGCGATGACCTCTTAGCCGCCTTCGCTGCAGGTACGCAGGTAGTCAACTTCAGATGTCCCAACACTCACAACTTCGAACTCAGGCACTGCTATCAGCTGGGACGGGCACTTCAATGACCAGACGGAGAACGAAATGTTTTCGTCCGTCATTGACCTGCTCCTCAACTGTGCATGCTTCGTGTACATTGGTGCTTGGCTGCCTTTCGATCAGTTCAACCGGCCTGATTTGGGCGTCACACCGTGGAGGCTGGTCACGCTGTTCATCGCCATCATCTTCATCCGGCGCATCCCGCCTTTGCTTTTACTGTATAAGTGGGTGCCCGAGATTGCCAACTGGCGTGAAGCGCTCTTCTCTGGACACTTCGGTACGTCACTGGACCTGGCTGTGAGTCGTCGTTAACATATTTGGAGTGTAGGACCTGTCAGTATTTGGATGCCCTACTGGATGCACGTACTTACCCTCTGCAGATGGGCGTTGGCGCTGTCTTCGTGTCTACTCTAGCAGCCACCAGGCTACCGACGCCACACTCGCCTCCCGAGGACCAGGCGGAGCTACTGGCCGCGACCATACAGACCATTGTCTCCTTCGTCGTGCTCGGGTCTATCATCATTCGTAAGATCTCTTCATTCTAGACGTGTCGTGTCTTTCTGACGCTTTTCAGACGGACTGTCCATTCCTTTCTTCTCTTTTGGGAAGAACATGCGAACGCGCACGGTCTCTGTCACGCGTACGTGGACATCCCGCCAGAGCGCTATCCCCGACTGGCTCCTCGGCGCCCGCCGTTCGCCCGGAGAGAGCCTGGGCCTCGCATCTCTTGGTATGGATCCAGAGCAAGGGCAGGAGATCCGGATGCGCGAGACGGAGACTCGCCCGGATGGACATACGGTTTCGTGCACTGCCAGTGTTCAGTCTATGAGAGTCGAGTCTCCTGTGGACGGGCACGGTGTCTCTTCTGCGTTCGCCCGTCCGGGTATGCATCGGGAGATTTCCGTTTCGGCGAGGACAAGCCAGGTAAGCATTCACTGCATGTATGGCATGTTTGCAAGTGACGCTCAGATCATCGTCTATTCCTTAGGTAAGACTTGACCATGATCCCGCGGCGCTGCGCGAACCTGGTCTGGACTACAAAATCGAATTCAACTCGGAATTGGGCTTGCGCACACCGAGATCGGTGCGCTTCGACCAGAGCGGCGACCAGGCGTCGTTACACCAAAGCCTCACGTCCGCCTTGGATGCTTCCGATGGCGTGGAGGGTGAGCATTCGGGCACCGCAACCCCGAACAAGGTCAGGTTCGGTGAATACGACGAAGACGTCACAATGCAGGAAGAGTCTGAGCCTGCCAAGAATACGGAGGGGGTCCCGGATGAACACGAGCAGCCGACCGTCCATCACACGGTCAAGACCGTGCACTTCTTCCCCGACGCTCAATAACATATGCTTGTGACTCTTCTTGAGTCACATACACTACGTCTTGGGTACAGGGTGGGGAGAGTGACGAATTGTAGGAGGGGGGACGTGTCATCAATGGTGCATAGAATTTCGTGTATCATCGTTCTATCTTTCAAGAAAACATCCACCAAATATATGAGGCGTGTACGCTTGAATCTTCGTTTTCGCGTGTAGACCACTAGAGATCTTGAGAAGCTGGGGAAGCCTTTCCGTCGCAGTGGTCAGAATTGCCAGTGGTGGATGTGACTTGAATATTGACTGGAAGCATCGGCGATAAGTTAGGCTGGTTGTGAGGCACGTGATGCTGTACAGACCGGGTCGGTTGAGGTCAGTGAGCTGCAGACAGTGACACTTCCAAGCCATGGCTACCCGCAAGGTCGCGGACTCGACGCTTTACCATCTCAGTCCCAGGGGCTTCTGGAAGAAATTCAGTGTGTGTCTTCGCTCGCCGAGGCTGCAGTCTTGCTGATTGGACCTTGTAGGGGATGCTGTCGTGGTGAACCCTGAGATCTCCACGGGTCTCCCTCTCCCCAACGTGGTCAGATATCCGCCCCCTGGTTCGCGACCGGAGAAGTACGCTACTGCTGCGACGAAGGGTGCGTGTCATTGTGGTCTTATACGCTCTACCGGCTCTGATGGATGTTTGTCTGGCTAGCGTCGGACCCGGCTCAGAACCCGTACTGGAAACGAGATGTCCGCCGTGCCTACCCCCAGCTGTCAGTCGTGACGCAGGCTGAGCTTTCGTCCCTCCTCATCCAACACTCTCAACCACAAGCGTGAGTTCCTCTCTTGCACCGCGTCCGCAGGACATACTAACCGTGCGTGCCAGCGTCGCCGCTCCCGCAGAAGGTCAGGAGGGTGACAAGGCATCCGTTCCTGCCGAGGCTCCTGAGCCGACAGAACTGTCCGCCGCCATTGCTACGATCACCGCCTCCAACAAGGTCTACACGGAGGCCAAGCTACCTCCGAGTCTCCCGAATGCGTACAAGCGCTGGAGGCCAGAGCGAACGGAGGACGCGCCGCACGACCGAACTGCATATTTCCCCATGCTGCTCTTCAAGTAGACTGTTTGCTGTGGTGGTAGAATAGTGCAATGGATATTTGCGTGCTGTAGTTCGGTCGACGTGTATGGAAAGTGGACAGGTCCACACGAACGTTCATGACCACTTTGGTACGCTTGCCGTAAGACCGACTCGGAAGTCCGCGCGAAGCCACAGCTTGCTTGAGTGCGCTCCTACTCTTCATTCATCCATCTATCTATTGCCAGTACACCCGTACACACCCCTCATTGGCTACACCTCTTTGAACTGAGACAATTTTTATCCGCCGTGGCGTATGTCTACCACCGACTCTCAGTCTGCCGCGCCGCCTACCGCAGCCGCAGGCTCATCTGCGGCGGCACAAGCAGCAGCATTCGCGGAAGATCCTCGAGTACACTTCGACCGTACATCGGGTACATGGCATTTGGAGCAAGATGACGGGACTGAGCTTGAGTACGATGCGGCGAAGGGGGCATGGGTGTCTGCGGTGCGTACCCAACCACGGCTGTCACCGGGTGCAACAGGGACTGACAGTCTCTCGTGGTTAGCTTGACGAAGACTTGGTTAAAGCACAACAGGCCGCATATTCGGTAGCGGGGGTGGATGAGGAGGTGTGTGCTATTCTGGCCAACAAAACTCGATAGTTTCCCTGGACTCTCTACTCATGATTCGCGCAAGTCTAGACACCTGCCGCTCCCGTGCTGAAGCGCACCAAAAAACGCAAGGAACCCGAAGACTACACGTCTAGCACCGTCGGGTCTAGCACAGGCCCCGCCACCAAGCGAGGCAAGAAAGGAGATGCGAACGGACAGGCGGAGCGCAAGTCGAAGAACACCGCCGTCTACGTCACAGGCCTTCCGCCCGACACCGACGCAGACGAGCTGCACGCGCGGTTCTCGAAGTTCGGACTCATCGAGGAAGATTACGAAGGCTCGTCGAAGATCAAGCTCTACGCGCGCGACGACGGGACCTTCAGCGGAGACGCGCTCGTGGTGTACTTCAAGGAGGAATCGGTCGACCTCGCCGTCAGTCTGCTGGATGATGACGAGCTGCGAATCGGAGACCCGAACACACGGATGAGGGTAAAGCGTGCGGAGTTCTTGCACAAACATGAGGGCGAGGCGAAGGATGGAGAGGCTAAGCCGCGGAAGACGATGGCGGACAAGAAGAAGGCGACGAGGCGTATTGGCAAGATGCAAAAGTGAGTGTCATTGCCGTATGCCGTGTGATGACTAACTGACTCTGTACGTCAAGGAAACTCGGCGAATGGGACGATGAAGACGGGTTCGGGCCGTCAATCACAGAAGAGGACAAGGCCCCGCTCGTCAACAAGAGCCGAGTTGTCGTCCTCAAGTATATGTTCACGCTGCAGGAGCTCCAGGAGGATGCATCACTGCTACTCGACCTCAAAGACGATGTCCGAGAAGAGTGTTCAAGCCTTGGAGAAGTGACGAACGTGGTTTTGTATGACGTGCGTGTCTATGTGCCATGTCAGGGAAGTGACTGAAATGGGCTTGCACCTTCAGAAAGAGCCAGAAGGGGTCATGACGGTGAAGTTCCGCGACCCGCTCAGCGCACAAGCCTGCATAATCGTGAGTTCCTCTCGCTTGCAGCTCGACGACATACTGACAGGAATCAGAAAATGAACGGTCGGTTCTTCGCAGGACGGCGAATCGAAGCGTCTTTGTACGCTGGTAAGCAGCGCTACAAGCGAAGCATCGACGACCCACTCGAGGACGGTGGAGACGAGGGCGAGAAGAACCGATTGGATGACTTCGCGAATTGGCTCATGACTGAGGGAGATTGACGGTTCGGCGGCGGAAGACCTCCCTTATAATCCTCAATCTATGGTATTGTACGGTTTAGTCCAGATGTGCTAATATACATACATGAAGATTCCGTGCATTTGAAAGCGAGTAGCGTAGAAAGTGAAAGCAATATGAGTACGAACGATCCGACGGAGCCTAAGCAGGGACTACCAGCAATCGAAGTACGGTCTGGTATTGACCGTCTCCAGCCGCTGTTCACATTCATCAATGAGGGCGCCTGCAACGGAAAGGCCGAACATACCTCAACAATGACCGTGCGTGGCTTTGGACTCTCGGCAGAGTCTATCCAGTCCAAGCTCGGCTGTTCCGGCACACGATTACCCATGCTAGGCCAGCGGCCGTGTCGAGCACCGGCTGAGATGTCCAGCTGTGGCAGCGACTTTGACATCGAGACCAAATCCTCCTCTGTCATTGACGCACTGAGTACGTCCTCTGGCACCGCTGGCAGTCGCTCGGATGGCGCTGACGGCGACAGAGCGTCAGCACCTGCCCCCTCCGCTTCCGCATTCGACGGCCGCGCCGGCACAGAGCTCGACATCTCGCCCACATCGACCTCCTCGTCTTCATCTAGTGCCTCGTCCTCCACGCCGATGCGCTTGAGACCAGCCTCCACTGCATCCAGTCGTTCCATATGCTCTAGCACCGTCACCCCCGTCGTCGCAGGATGCACACGCGTGAACTTCTTCGCGAACGGTACGGGGCGCGAGACGCCAGAGTTCTCGGATGAGACGCGGCGCATGGGCGGCGGGAAGTCAGAGGAGCTATGGCTGCGAGCGTGTTTCTGCACGGGCATCGTGATGACGGATGCGTGCGGTGATTGTGGCTGCCGCCGTGGTGACGACGGCAACGCTGCTTCGGCGAGGTCGGGGAGCATCTCCTCTGTTACATCGACTTCGTCATCCCAGACCAAGACCTTCTGCCGCCGTGTCAGCTCGAGGGGCCCTACCTAGGAGTCAGCCAACATGAAGAACGGCCAGTATGCAACTGACCTTCGTCCTGTCAAGTCGCGTCAACACCAACATGGGATGCAAGCCAGGAAACGAACTAACCGCGTGTCTTAAAGCCTGCACGATGTTCCATGCCTGCCCCTTCACAACCGCCAGTTGTCGCTGCGTTATTGGTCAGACAGACATAGGGGATCAACACACGCAGGATACGGACATTGAACATCTTGGGGTGGAAGTCAGGATCCACAGCGAAGAGCTTCCGCAGTTGGTACGTCGTCTCCGTCCACCACGCCTTGGACGTCAATAATGGCAAGAAATGGTCTCTTGTCTTCTGGCTGAACGGCCGGCCAATAATGCTGACGGGCAGATACAACCACCCGTACGTATATGACCGCCACCCCTTCGGATGTTCATGAGGGAACGAGAGCGAGTTGTCAATCGCAGCAATGTGTATATGCGGTTGTCGCGTGTATGGTTGCCCGTTCGTCGACGTTGCCCGCGAGTAAGCAGGTGGCGCGCCAGGACACATCTGCGGTGTGCTCCGCCCGGAGTCCGTCCGCCGGAGCTCGGTCATTTGCGGCATCTCGAGGTTGCGGGAAGGTGCAACGTCCACTAGGGACTTTCCCTGTTCGCCGTCACAATACCTGATCATGTAGTTGTCGGCGCCGCGGTCAGTGTTGAGCATAAGGTAGTCTGTGGGACCGGTAAGCACAAGTGCAACGTAGATAATGGCTTGCTTAAGAGCACACCCAAGATGACGAGCCTGGATTCAATATTTCTACGTCAGCTCTTCTGTTGATGAGTAGACGATGAACACGAACTTTTCGAGCTCTTCCCGGAAACTATCTTGCAACGCAGGCGTCCAATGGAACGGCTCGTTGGTGCGGCTCTCCGACGCATCAAATAAATACCGCTCGTCTTCCCGGTCGTCTTCGTCATACATATCTTCCTCGTCTTGTGTCCTACCGCAGACGATCTTCAATGTCGACAAGAGCTTCTTTGACCAGCTCCCTTTCCGGTGATTTGAATCATCGAATGTGTCGGAAATGGCCCGCCCCGGCCAAGGGTGTTTTCGAAGGAAGTCGGATGCATCTAGACCCTGTGTGAGTCGTAAAGTACGTGATGCGCAGGTAAGACTTGCCTGTGAAGCCATGCAGGAAGTATTGCATACTCCCGATCTTCTCCGGTAATGGTTTGCCCTTCTTCGTAGCTTGTCGATCTAACCAGTCGTAAAAGAACGTCTACAGAGAATGAGCTGGGCGCAGACTGCAACTTATTTGAGGCACATACAGGGCTGGACAAGGAAACCAATTGCGTTCTGGGTACAATGTATAGGTCCAGCCTCTCATCTAGTAGCGATGCAGCTGCCTCAGAGATGTAACTACGGAACAGGTCAGATCACTAGACGATTCCGACGTATGAAGATACACACCTGAGATTGGGAATAAGACATGCACGACCAAATGGTATGATCCACTTGAACTGTCTATGCAGCCACTTGGTGGTCTGCTCTCAACGGCGTGAGCAAGCCTTCAAGCATACTAGGTCTAGGCGCACCTTCGGATTGAGACGTCCGTATGGCTCCTCGTCCTTGGGTTTGAAAACACTACACGAACATGAGTTCTGGCACTCGGGAAGCATCGCCTTGAACACCCTTACGCAACCGTCTGGACCTTGCCGTCAACCTTTGCCCGCGCAAAGTACGAGCCTGAAGAACCCTTCGTAATCATCTTGGGGTGAACGCCATCCGCAATGGCTTCCTTCACTGTTTGCACGAGTCTTGTGTCGTCAGCCAATCGCTACAGCGGTCTAGACCCAGGCCGTCTCACCTGTCGAAGTCTTCCCTCGTCATGGGTGGCTTATGGTCCAGCGTCTTCACCTGGAGGCGTCGTGGGTTACATGCTCGCAAAGCAGTGAAAGAATATGGAATGCACACTCACAAGTCCTGTATCAACGTCGTATGCGACCACGAGGGGCTCGAAGACGCTATGAAAGATCTCCTTTCGCGAGTTGTCCTCGACCTTCTTCTTGCGCTTGACCTTCTGAGCAATGGACTCCGTCCATCTGTTTGCCTGTGCTCAGCTCTCACGACGACTGCACACTCAAGTAGGACGGACCTCTTGAACGCGGTGTCTAGCTTGCTGAGGTCAATGTGTCCAGGCCGGCGCTGCCGTGGCGGCGCCGGGGCGGGGGAAAGACCCTCTGCGACATCCGTCTCTTCTTCGTCTTCAGCACCTTGAGAAAGCGGCTGATACTCTGAGCGGTTGGGCATGGCTTGCAAAGGGACGACGTGAAAAGCCGAAGCGTGTAGGGGGAACGGAGTGCACAGCAACCTCGCGCAGTGGCGCTTGCCAGTGGTGCACGTTGTCTGTATAAGGCAAGTTACGTATGTACTGGGATCATATCGCAGGCCGACTAACAACGCGCCCACGTGCACCCCTCAATGTACTCACCGGCGAGGCGGTACTTACCTTGTCACCGTCAGAAGGCCCTTTGTCTATACCGTAGCCAATGGCGGATCGATGAGTCAGAAGCGCGCTCGCGAGAAGAGACCTCGGGAGATGGCGGCGAAGGACTACAGTAACTGAGTAAGTACTAAGTACACCCCCGGCGTGCAACCGCGCCACCTGAAAACGATCACGTGCGCGACATACGATTGAAGTTCAAGTCGACGCGTACACATATGTAAGACGCGTTCAAGCGGACATTCACGTACCACGACTCATACTCACCTCGCCACACCTCATTCCTCTACATCCTTCACATCCTTTGCAAGCGTCTCCATGCCTGCTACTCGTCGTACTTCTCTCAGGCCAACTGGACCTGCGCCACAACCGTTGCCTCGGCTTTCGTCCGCCTCGAGGTCCCATTCCACGACACGTCAAGCTCAGCGTGACAAGGTCTTATCTGACCAGCTCATTCGATACGGGTGCCTATGGGAAGAACATGCTCATCACATCCGCACCAAAGAGAAGACGGAGGAAGGGCTCACGTCGACTCACGCGCGTGCTTCGGATCGCTGGGCCAACGACCCAGAGTTCGCGCGGGGGCGCGGTCCTGCAAGGAATTACGCAGAGGAGAAAGATGGCTATGTTGAGTACATCGAGGGGATAATAAGGGCGTATACTAAGCCCATTACGGAGATGTCAGTTGATGAGTAAGTCCGTGAACTGTCCTAAGTATCTTGGGGTCGGCACTAACAATTTGTCTCAGCCATTGCATCGTCTCCTTTGCTGCATTCAGCGCATACAATGTTATTTATTGTAACGAGCTGTGCGATGGAGATCTAGAGAGGGTTGGCAGGCTCAAACCTAACATCTCGAAGAAGCTGTACGCATCGCCCGCTCATTTGTTCGATGCATCACTCACTACCAGCTCAGTTTCCAGTGTGCTCAGGCGTATCAGAACTCTGAACCTGACTTTCTCAATCACCCTGCGCGCTCAAAACGTCCGCAGACGAGAAAGATTGAAGCAGATATCCGTGGCGTTGCTCAACTCGGAAACATCTTCAAGTATAAGACCCCTGCGATGCGCAAGCCCCGCTCTTGCATCGTCACGTTGGTTGCGACAGGACTGGAGAGCACATATTATACGATCAAACATCTCACTGCGAAAGATCCGGATGGTGTGCGGGCCCAACCGGTGACGTTTTCTGAGGACGATTTCCGACAGATCTGGGATGCTCGAGTACGAGAGTAGGGGGTCGTTTGAATGTGTCTTGCAGCCTCAGGTTGCTGTGTGTAATGTGTTCTAGTCCTGCTTTCGTGCTGTCTCGCTACGTCGTTCCTATCGAACTTGTAATATGCTATCCTCGTTTGTTCGCCTGTTGAGTATACCCCAGAGTACAAGGTACACACTGTATCGTTGCATTATGATTAAAGATCTCGTCGGACGACCACACGGTCACATGATCGCGGTGGGATAACACACGGAGTCGGACGTCCCTACACCCATCCCACTCAGGCCTCCGTACTCAGTACTCTGTGCACTGGCAGCGCTCAGCATCATTCTGCCACGCGTTACCTCCTGCGATCAACAACCAGCCGACACTTCAGTCGCTCATCATGCCTGCTACACGCCAACCCGGATCTCGTCGGGCCACTAGACCCCCAACCCGTTCTGCGCCTGTCGCGGCGCGATCTTCTGCATCGCGCTCTATGACGCGTCAAGCTGCTCAACTTGAGCGCGAGACACGCATGACGGACCTGCTCGCCCGATATGGGTGTCTGTGGGAAGAACACAGCCACTATATTCGTCTCAAAGAGAAAACCAAGGAGGGAATGTCCTCGACTTACGACCGGGCTCTGGATCGCTGGCTTAACAGTCCAGAGTTTTCGCGGTGGCGGAACATAGCGAACTATGCTGCAGAAAAGGATGGCTTCCTCGATTGGATCGACGGTTTGATTAGGTCGCGTTCCGGACCCTATACAGAGGTGTCGACTGAAGAGTGAGTTTGGGCGCGGTTTCTGTCGCTCAGCGCTGATGATACTCGCGATAGACACTGGATCGTCACATTCGCTGCTTTCGGCGTGTCGGATTTACTCCGCTGCAACGATCCGTGCATGAGGAATATGGGGTCATTGGGCAGGATTGAGTCTGCATTGTGCCCAAAACTGTACGTTCTACGAGGTGGTTCTCCTGTACGGTCTGGACTAACTGCTGGTTAGCGTCGAATGTGCCCGGAGGTATCAAGACTCTGAACCTGATTTCCTCAATCATCCCGCCTGTCCCACGACAAGGGATGCCTCTCCTCAGCACATGCTGCTGCCGAACATCGGTGACACTGCTCGACTCGGGGTCATCTTTGACTACAAGACACCTACGATGCGTCGCGCCCGCACCTGTATTGTCGTCAAGGTCTCGGTGGCGCTGGACGGCTCCGAATACACCATTAAACATCTCACCGCGACGGATCCAGATGGTGAACGCACTCAGTCGGTGTTGCTGACCGAGGATGAGTTCCAAGAAATCTGGGATGCTCGAGTGCAGGAATAGAGGAATTCTTTGGTGTTCTTTGTTGTCAATGTTCTGAGTCTCATACGCCTCTCGTTTCGATGTTGTGCTATCCATTCATACCCACCATGCTGATTCTCTGCTATATTGTGCTCCTCGTGTCTGTATCTGTTAGAGTTTGTCGCCGATGTACATTCACCGAGTCTATTGACCCTCCGAGTGAACCAAGTTAGACTGTCACTACTTCTAGAGCGTCACTGCCTCAATCATGATGCCTTGAGATCCGGTTGTCTTTCTGGTCGATACCTGGTGGGTGGTAGACTACCGTCGAACTGTTATCCTATTACGGACCGATGGAGAGGTGATATAATGACATAGTTCAAAGCAATTGTGGACGACATAGTTCAAAGCAATTATGGACGACATAGCATTAGAAGTGTAGTACCGAGAGCATATAGAAAGCAGTTCAACCAGGGATGAAAGAGAGATAGCATCGCAAGTGGCAAGACGGGTGACAGGTGCCAAGGGCATGAGGCGAAGAGGGTTGGCGCAGAGTCACCGCGGTAAACCGAGTAACCTGGACTGCAAGTGGTCGGTCAGCTATGATACACCGTATCGTGCTTGAAGCCACCCACATTCTACCAAGGCCTACCAACACCAATTGGGGTCCAACGGATGTGGCGCTGAAGGGACATGATTCGGTACAAGGTTCGCCGGAGTGGTGCCCGTGAGATGAGTAGCCAGATTGCCACCAAGCCGCATTTCATTCGTGACGATCATTGTGTGGTGGTCGATGTGAAACATCTGTAATCTCCTGACCGCCGTAGAGAATATGCCCGCTGGCTCGATTGCGCGCAATGCGCACATGTCCAGGTAAACTCCAAGGCCGCTGACGTTCTGGCGATTGTACACTGAGTATTGGGCATGATAATAGCCGTGTCGCCGAAGCTCTCTCGCAATTCTTGCATAAATAGTCGCTGTGAGGGCGCAACCGTATGAAATGCTCGTATACAGACCAGAGTTTCTCATGGACTTACAACGATTGACTCCCCAGCCATCGGGGGGTGGGTCTTGCATGATCCTCGTCGACAAATCGAAAGCAATGCCCCATTCATCTATGGGCAAGAGGAATATGAATGCCGCCGGAGGCATCGCTGACGACGGATTAGCGATCACGATCACCGTACAAGATGTACAAGAACTTACGTGCTTGCACAAGTTGGACATTTGGACCCGGCCCACCAGGAGGAGGAGGCATTTGAGGAATGCGTGGAATGCTTCAGTCCGAAGTGCGATCTGAATGTGTGCGCCCTTATGTACCCGCAGGGACACCTTTGTTCTAGAAATTTGAGTCAGATATTCCCCACACTCACTCCCGAGCCAGTCGGCTTCTAGTGGTATTTGGAACAATGGCGGGAACCCGTTAGCGACGATATGTGTTCACAGATCAGTACTCGCCGGTGAGGCGGTGCCTTGTCATGGTCAGAGGGTCCTTTGTCTATGCTGTAGCCAGGGGCGAATCGACTGTTGACGTGACTCTGGTACCTACCTTGTGCTCACTGCGAAACATGCTCAGAAGACAAGATTTGGGGTTGTCACAGCCACGGCTGCACCACATGAAGAAAACAGACCACATGGAGGCTGTGAAGCTTGTGAGGTCCGACGTCAGTTAATCTCATGCATAGGCCGGAGTACTTGGCAGGCTATAGCCGTAAGCATATGATCCTCCAGATACACGGAGCTATGATACATGCATCCAGATCGAAGGTGCCGGGCGAACAAGGACAGTTGGCTATGCCTCAATTGTACCGCTTTGTAGTATGTGCCCAAGGCAGTGAAGTATCTACGAAGCGCGCTCGCGAGAAGAGGCCTCAGTAGATGGCGGCGAAGGGCTACAGACTCAGTCGAGGGAGGACGGCATTAGCTTGGCATTAGCACACATGATTATGCGTTAGATAGGTCTCGACTTCGTAGACTGTGTCACAGTACCAAATTTTAGATGCAGGCTAGTCTCCCCAGGCAGACGTAGACAATAATTCCTACCTTCGTGCCTCAGGCCTCAGGATATGTCCAGGCCTGCCAGTGAGAGTGTTTGATCGATGGTAACCATGCAGCACGCACTGATGAGTCCATATTATGTATGATGATCTTTGTGTGCAACCGCGCCACCTGCAAAGGTCAGTCACGTGCATGATATACGTCGATTGTTGATGCGTCTTGGAGACGCGTTCATCGCCGTTCAAGAGGACATCCACGTCGTGATTGTATCGCGACTTGTACTCACCACGCCACACCTCATTCCTCTACATCCTTCACATCCTCTGCAGCGTCTCCATGCCTGCTACTCGTCGTACTTCTCTCAGGGCATCTAGACCTGCGCCACCCCCATTGCCTCGGCCTTCGTCCGCCTCGAGGTCCCATTCCACGACACGTCAAGCTCAGCGTGACAAGGTCTTGTCTGACCAGCTCATTCGATACGGGTGTCTATGGGAAGAACATGCTCATCACATCCGCACCAAAGAGAAGACGGAGGAAGGGCTTACATCGGCTCACGCGCGTGCTTCGGATCGCTGGGCCAACGACCCAGAGTTCTCGCGGGGACGCGGTCCTACGAAGAACTACGCAGAGGAGAAAGATGGCTATATTGAGTACATCGAGGGGATAATAAGGGCGCATACTAAGCCCATTATGGAGATGTCAGTTGAAGAGTAAGTCTGTGAACTGTCCTATCTTGAGATCGGTAGCACTAACAGTTTGTCTCAGCCATTGCATCGTCTCGTTTGCCGCATTCAGCGCATACAATGTTATCTTTTACAACGAGCTGTCTGGGGATCTAGAGAGGATTGGCAGGCTCAAACCTAACATCTCGAAGAATCTGTACGCACCGCGGCCCGCTCATCTACTCGATGTATCACTCACTACCAGCGCAGTTTCCAATGTGCTCAGGCGTATCAGACCTCTGAACCTGACTTTCTCAATCACCCTGCACGCTCAAAACGTCCGCAGACGAGAAAGGTTGAAGCAGAAATCCGTGGCGTCGCTCAACTCGGAAACACCTTCAAGTACAAGACCCCTGCGATGCGCAAGCCCCGCTCCTGCGTCGTCACGTTGGTCGCGACAGGACTGGAGAGCACACATTATACGATCAAACATCTCACTGCGAAAGATCCGGATGGTGTGCGGGCCCAACCGGTGACATTGTCCGAGGAAGGATTCCGTAAGATCTGGGATGCTCGAGTACGAGACTAGGGGGTCGTTTGAATGTGTCTTGCAGTCTCAGGTTGCTATGTGTAATGTGTTCTAGTCCTGCTGTCGTGCTGTCTCGCTATGGCGTCGCTATCGAACTTCTGATATGTTGTCCTCGACGTTTGTTTGCCTGCTTTGTATACCGCAGAGTACAAGCTGTATTCATTGATTGCGTTGAAGGCCTCGCTGAACCACCACACGGTCACATGATCGCGGTGGGAGGCTGTTCAACGTTCGTCGTTCACTGTTCCGAATGTATTGTTCGGAGCCCCTGCGTGTGCCATGTGGCCCTGAGTCCGAGTCGTCGACGTGTAGCCTCAAAATCGACACTACTGGTACTGCCCGTGACTCTACGTCCGCCTCCAGCTGGAATATTACTTAGGCTTGACAAGACAACCGGATGGGACCAGTTATGATCTAAACACTGTACTGCATTTCAGTGAAACGAGCTTCGAGCAACATCGCCAAGCCGCCATCCATGTCTGGGCCAGCATGTCTTAGCTTACTGTAACAAGACTGTACGGACCTTGTATTGAGATCCTAGAATGTTTGTATTTGAGGACCAGGCTGATTGAACATACTGTAACTACTCACACGTATAAGTATCCGTAATACTGTGCAAAGTGGTGCCGCATCCTCGAAAGAAGTAACGAATGACTAGAAACGTCAAAGTCAAGTCGTACCGTTGGCCCACTGTCGCTCGACCGTCTATCCCTCACGGCGATCGCGCAGGACGCCATGCACGTCTCTGAAATAACAATCACGGATATTCACGAGCGGAGGACTTGGCAGAGGGATCGGAGACGCACAACTTCTCGCCACGCAGAGGGGAGTGGTGTGGGACTATGTCCGGCGAGGCATGCACTTGGGAGCTGTGCGAGTGCGTTTGCGATGTGGGAAGCAGCTGTTGGCGCGTCCGTCCATCCGGGAGACAGGGCGCCATGAACAGCGAGCCGTCAATGAAGGGCGGGATGCTCCGCACGAAAATGTAGCCCCATAGAAGGAACGTCAGGGCTGGGACGTCGGCGCAGTCAGTCCTATGCCTCACGGACATCCTTACCGAGAAGGACTCACCTGACCAGAGAGAGCCAAGAACCTTGAAGAACGGGCTCTGCAGCACCCTCGACAGCTCGACAATCAAGAGCGCGAAGACGCCGTTCGGGAAGATCATGCCCCAGTAACCCATGTTGAATGAGATCTTCGTTCGGCGCACGGCGACGACGTGGTAGATTGAGCAGACCGCGACGACGACCCACGCAATGCCGATCGCCCACAGCGCGTACGCGCCACAGAAGCACACCGCGAAGATCATCTGGCCGGTGAGCGCGGACTGCGGGAAGTCCGCACCGACGTGCAGCGGGAGGAGCTCCGAGATGGACGTGCCGTTGATGAGCAGGGAGAAGCCGCCTTGTCCGAGCGGGCCGAGGACGATGAAGGCGGAGAGGATAAGGCCGGGGTCGGGCACGCTGTGCACGAGGAGGCGGAGAAGGTAGATCGTGATCATCATGAGCGCGAAGGCGAGGCCCATCGCGACCATGACGAAGGAGAAGGCTGTCGAGATCAACGCGAGTGTATGCGCGTGAGGCCTGAGTGCTTCCGATAGCAGACCACCGGTGGATGACGCGACGACCAGGGGGACTACTGGCAGAAGCCATACAGCTGCCATATTCGAGAGGGAATGCTCATGCCGAACGGTCCTGATGCCCTTGGTCAACTCATATCAACTGAGGTGTTGGTACTTCGTACGTACATCGTGTAGAGCATGCCGAATGCGACGAGGTAGGAGAAGGCGGAGTCGAGCCACCAGCAACCCCATAGGAAGTACAGGAATCCTTTGCCTCCGAAACCCCAGTTTTGATTCAGCGCCTAACGCTGTGCTGTGAGTCTTAGCACTGGACGGATGTACGTAGGGTACATACTAGAGCAGAGTTAATCAATGTCGCGGCGCCCATGGGGAAGCATCCAATGTAAAGACTTTGCGACGTGTGGCTAAGCATGAGCCAAAATATCTGCAAGACATTGACGATGAGTCTGAACAGCGATGCGGTGCAATATTAAGTTACCTCTGGATACATAACATATCTTAACAGAGAACACACGCATGCGAAGACAAAAATGGCAATGTTGAGGATGAACCAGACACAGCCGGCAATCCTGAGGTTGTTGTTCTCTTGTCCGTAGGGAAAGTCGTTCAACAATGCTGACACGGCTCCAGTGCCCATGACTACTGCGAACCATGCTGGCGTGAAGTGTCTGACGATGGCGAGCTGGTCAGTCTAAGTCTGTAAAAGATAATGGAACGCGTGACATACCGAATGCGGTCTGGCCACGTCTTCCACTGCTCTCGGGGAAGAAGCAGAGGCTTCGGTCCCGGATGGGACTTCTCGCAAGGCGACATCAGGGCGAGAAATGACGTTCAAGGGACTTGTCGAATACAGCAGGAAGGTGTCGGGGTGTCCGTCGGTACTGGAATGCGGCTGAACCGCGTGCGAGCGGCCTGAGCCAACTTTATACGTGCTACAGAAGGCACGCCGAGGCTGCTGGTGCAGTGACTCGGCGAGGCACGGGGAGAAAAAGACGCAGCGTGCACGGCCATTGGCATGAGCAAGAAATGGGCAAGTGCACCGTCATCGTTCGCGCCAACCCCCATTCCGAATTCGCATCGCGCGCCCGCGGTCTAGCCAATAGCCGTCCGTCGTTCTTTCCCACCTGCCATTCCGGGAGGCCCGCCACTTGCAAATCTGATGCGCCACATTCCGTCAAAGCTTGCAGAGGCTTGCAGTCAAACCACCACGGACTAGTACTCATCGTCTGCCCAGTCAAACGAGCAGTGCAGACATCCCGACGCGGAGATACACTGGACTGCCTCCTGTTCCGGGATGGCCCTCATTCGGAATTGGTGCATATGACTCGTCACTGTTCCTCACTAGTGTCGGGGCTTTACCTAGATTATTCCGAATTCGCGGGAGTTGAGATGTAGCATCTGACTTGCGGTCGCCAGCTGTCTGCTTGACGATCATCGCCAGTGAGTGTCCCTCGCTTTCATCATTCTAAGAAGTTTATGTTCGGAATCAAGCGCAGTCTGAAGCGTACACTAGAGCGAAAGCCTACGGGCGTTGATGGTGATGCCATGGGAAGAGGCTCAAGGAACGCACCGGAAGCATAACAGTAGGATGCATCTAAGAATACTGCTCAAGGACGCCTCCCCTCGGTCGCCGCACAGCAGCGGCCTCTTGCGACATGGGAGCGCAGAGTTCTGCTCTGCCATGGGCAACCACGCGAGATGAAGTGAGATAACCATGGCACTGGTCGCAGACAGAGAACGATATTACACCCAGGCGTACACGCTGAGTACACGGACCGGCTTGGAAGCTCACAGCCTCCGCTCGTAACTTTTCCGGCGCTCATAGATCGGCGTCCAAGCGCAAATATAGGACTCGTAGACGACGGGGGTTAGATCAAACGTTCAATGCCACTCCGCTTTTGAAGAAGTGAGTCATGCAGCATCGATCCATATTGGTCCTTACTCGGAGTGGTGCGCAGAGTCTGGCTATTGGTCTGACGGGAGGCCTTGCCATTGATAAAGTGTGCAAGCAACATCCACGGGCCACATCGTATAGCTGCCCAACCGAGTCTTTGCGTCTGCGAATGAGCACTCCGCTGTTAGAAGGTCGCGCTAATCCTCGGACTGTACGAGGTGGTCACCTTTGGAAGCCTCCCACAACAGAAGACATGACCAACGCTTTCGCTCCCATTGGCCCCAACCCGACCAATACCAGCTCTTCGAATGCGGAATACGAGGTCAGAAGGTATACCAGTCACAGCCGCATGTACAAGCTACGAGACCTATAAGAGGTGTGCGTCTGCACCGTTAACATCAGTCAACGACTACACAACTCACCTACCACTCTACCTCCTTTCACATCTCAATCGCAATGTCTGTGAGTATCCTCAGTCCACACTCTAGCACCACGTCGACTGACCAGCGCGGCAGGACAAGGCTACCTGTGCTAACGTCCAGGCCAACGGCGGCTCCTGCACCTACCCCGCGTGTGGCTGCGCTGAGCCCCCGAAGAGCAAGTAAGCGCACCTCGTGCGCTTGCCAGTGCATCACGTCGACTCCGGTATGTGCCCTTCATAGCGCAGAATGGAGGAAACGATAGGAGCTCATTGTCGTGTTAGTGCCCACAGGAGACTTGCTTGTGTTGAATTAGCGGGCAACCGAGTTTCGTAGATGGATTGACATACCTCGCTATAAGCAATGATGACGGTGCTTCTGTGATTATGCGTGTGTGCGAGTGGTTCACCGACGAAGCCTGACCAAGCTCTGCTGTGGAACAACGATCGGCTAATGCATCACAGAGACAGTGGTCCACCACGAGTGGTTATTCCTGGTGATGCGTCTATGTATATCTTGTCTGTCGCAAAGTTCTCAACCTGGCGCCGCGCCCCAGTTCACAGGCGATTATTGATACCCTTTCATATAAGAGTCCAAGATCGCAGGACACGCGTACAACGACACACTCATCGCTGTGAACGTCCCCACTCCAGTCGTTCCGTGAACGCCAGGGAACGCGGCGACGCACGGTGCAGCGTACTGCTCAGAGGATCCAGCGCCAGCTTTCGCGAATGGCAGCGGCATGAGATATCGACGAGGCATACTCTGAGTCTGATGGAACAGATGTTGTATTTAATGTTGTTTTTTCAGTATTGTAGTCTTTTACAAAGTACGGATAATACACGACCCTGACTCGAGATGACTGTGTCTCGACGCGACACAAAGTGACGATAGAAAGCACACTTCACGACAACTTCGCAAACCCGACCGAGTTTTGATCAAAAGAGAATGCTGAGTAGACGTTCTTCATGAAGCTGTCCCCGAGCAGCCACACGTCGGACCCAAGGCCCAAATCTTGACCCGCGAGGGCGCCGATACAGGAGCTCGACGTGGGGTCTGCGTGGCCAAGGTTGAAGCTGTGATTGATGGTCAGCAACTGCTCTGAAGATGGGTTTATTGTGTAACTCACTTATCAGGGCTGATCGTCCAAGCGTTCCCTCCCCAGCTGAAAGCGACGGTGGGTACTGAGTCGCATGGGAACTGGTAGTAGCCGTTCTGTTCGTCGAAGATGGACGCTCCAGGCACGGACTTATAGAAGGAGGCGACGGCATCCGTGGGGCCGTACATGATGGTCGTACCACTATCAATGATCTATACGCAGACTCGCATAAGGTCATGCCGTTGGAGAGTAGTGACCGTTCACTCACAGTTTGAAACCCGGAGTTGGCAGTCTTACCGTCCACCAAGGCCGTCGCGTTGGGGATCTGCCAGAACCCAGAGCCGGTTACTGGATGGTACTCAATTTGCCCACTGTATTGCGACGTGTCCGTTCCTCCCAGGTACAGCTCGGAGCCAACCTTCGAGAGCTTCATGCCGAAGACGGCGTTTTTGATGCTCCCCTGCGTTTTCGCCTGATTGACGAAGGGAGGCTGGCCCAAGCTGGCAAGTGTTTGATAACCCATACCCAGGATACCGTCGATAGGGTCTGACTCGAACTTGTCCGACAGTGTGGAGACAGCGGAGAAGTACTGGTTGTTCGACGTGATTCCCGCAACAGTGACTGTGAAGCGTCAGTGAATTGCTACGGGATCTACATTTCTGTAACCACGTACCGGTATCGGTGAAGATAGGACCCGACACAGAGGACTGATCGCCATACTGTATAGAGAAAGTGCCTGTCTTCGCTTGAGATGTCGATGACGCGGCGGCGAGGTACTTGTGCTTGGTATCACACGCAGCATCCGTGCAGTTCGAACATGGGATCCAGAGATCCGCAGAACCAGCTGAGAGCCATAATTAGCTGTTGGACGTTGCACATCATGTCATCAGCAAAGACGTACTGTCGAAGTCAATTAAAAAGTTCGTTCCAGGAGTGCCGACGGAGATGAGACCAGCCCACTCGAGGTCGTTCTTTTCGTCAATGGTAGACTCCGCTTGTCGCCTTTTGTGAGTGGCTGCACTGTCGTATGTGCGTAGCGGTCTGATGGATGCGCCCTTTTTGTGCAATGAGTACCATTATGTCGCCTTGATCTCCAGCAACTAACCTCGCTCATATTGTCGGGATCGTTTTTCTGAAGATTGATCATGTTATGACGGTGTTTGCTATGGACGAAAACTTTCAGCCAACTGCCATGCTAACGCGTCTCGGATACCTACTTGTGAGTGTAAATCGTGCTCTGGATGGCTTTTTCGTGATCGAAGACACCATCTTCTGTAGTGAGCCCGCTTCGCTTAGCGAAGGGAATGAGGGTGCCCTGCTCCCGGTCAACGGGAGTTGCAGAGCTGAGAATCGCCGCCAGGGCGACAGTAGCGACGAGTGCGGACTTGGAGAACATCCTGTCAAAGGATTGCTATAGGTGATAGCTAGACGCTTGATAGACGAGGGCCAGTTACGTTGAAGTTCGATGCCTCCCACACGGAGTTCGCGCCAGTATTTATACATTTTCGGAAGAGCAGTCAGTACGTCGGAGGCGACTGACCGAGGTGGCCTGGAACCACCCATGACGGCTATGCGGACGTGGATATGTGTGCGTACCGCCGGCCCGCTGCATGCTTCATGTATGGTATCCGTGCCCGATTGTGTTCTGGCCTGACGGGCCTCAGGCTGGCGGTATCCCATAAGCGCGCGACCTCTCCGGGAGACCCTGTGAATGAAAAACAGTGTAATCGGCCCATTGCAGACATGTGCCATACGTAACACTCAGTATGTGGAGGAGTCTTTCCACCTCACGCTGCCTACAGGGCGATGGGCGGATGGCAAATGAATTGAGATCCTGTATCAAGCCAACGGAGCGTCGTTCGACTCAACCCAGGATTGGATCAAGCTAAGTCTAGAGCGGAGAAAGCATCATGCGGTGCGGATATGGGTAGTGGGTAGCGGAAGGCTGGAAGCAGGGGCGGTTAGCGGGAAACGCGTCGCGGCCCGCGTGTAAAACCACGTCACGTGATCGCGTAATGACCCGCTCCACGCACGTACCGTCGCCGAAGCTCCGCAGACGCAATTCTATAGTGCACCAGACGCAACATATCGGATACCATAAGTCATTGTTTGGGGTACAACATCTCTGAGTACATTATCAGCACCATTCAAATCGCTGACGTCTGACTTACTCTAGTTTATTTTCTCCAACTTCGTCGCGCTGTCGTCCGGCTCCTGCGACGGCTCCTGCTCTGGGCCACCAGAGGTGCTTCCGCCATCCGCCCCCACTGCGGTAGGTTCCGGTGCGGAACCACCAGCGGATGCTCCCGCCTTACCCTCATTGCTCTTTGGTGGTGTTGGTTCGTCAGACCATGCCCAGGCCTGTGTGAAGTCACCCTTGGCGAACGCGGTCACGAAGAACGAGATTATACATGCTGGGCTGACACCATATATCAGTAACTTGCCTCGTAGACAAAGCTATATGTAGAGCCCACCTGAGGTACAGCAGCGCCGGCTGCGCGTGTCCAAAGAAATGCATGACTGACATTGTCGTCACAAGACCAACGACGTACGCCAGCAGACCAGCATGGAAGTACGGCTTGCTAAATGACATGCCTTGAGTCTTGTCCGATCTGTGGTAGTCGTAGCGCAAAGCCAGAGCGATGAACATGCCCGGGACAACGATGTCACCAAGACCGAGCATGGTAAAGCCGCGCGCAGTCGACACGGTCATAGACTTAGGCCAGAGGATCTTGATGGGAACGTCGAGGGTGGTTGCCACCTCGACCATCTGACGAACCGAACAGGATGCGCGTATGTGTTTGCGCATAACAATGGAGAGTGTGCCCACTCACCACTTCGGTCCCGAAGACCCACCAAATGTCGTAGAGGAACAGTCCAGAGAGAAGCACGCATCCTGTTTTGAATGAGTCTATCTTCAACAGGGAGAGTGCGTTGTGCGCAAACGAGAGAGCCAGAACGTCGGTGAGTAGACCAGACCTGCGTGTGGTACTCGAGCCGAAGTTGTAGATCATGGATGGAACTGCGCCGAGGGGGATGAGAAACAACGAAGGAGTGCGCAATGAAACCGAGACAAGCTCTATAAACAGTCAGGTAAGAGCCAAGCTCCAGTAAGTCAGAGATTGGGACGGACTGACCATGTTGGCCCTTGCGACAGAACAGTTGTATCTTGTCAAACCTCCGCCATTTGTCTTTCCCCAGTGCCCACCTGGCCAGTGATACAAGGGACTGAAACACGATTTAAGCACCCGAGTGGACACGATGACAGCGACGTACATACCTTTCCTACACTCCCAACGCCAGCAAAGGTGAAATACCATTGTAGAAGCCAGTTTATCCACTCCTTCCCGAAGTATTTCACCACGAGGTACAGGCTAAACAGCACCACCGACCCGATCTAACAGCAGTGCGGGCATTTAAGAACAGTGAGAGGTCTAATGGCACGCTACTCACAACAGGAAATAGATACGCGTCCTGCGACGACAAACGGTCGGGTATCTCTTCCTCCTCCTCCTCGTCTTCGTCCGTACGTGCCTCTCCCTTCTCTGGTGTATATTTCGCTTTGCGCAACTGGCAGGACGATCAACCGCCGCTCAACCTGCTTGCGGCGAAGCTCACCGTCACGGACCCATGCGACCCAGCATATATAGACAGTGTTGCCAGACTCAGGAGTCCGGCGTAGGAGGATATGAGATCCCAGTCTGTCCCGGTGGACATGGTTAAGTGAGAAGGGACGAAACAACGCGTCGCCGCGTCCTACAAACGCGCGTGTGCCACCGTTGGCCACCGCCGTGCTGGTGTGATCGAAGCCACGTGTTCGCCACGGCCACCAAAGTGGGAAGGCGGCCTGCCTTTCTTGGGTTTGCTGCCACGTCACCTTTCCTTTCGCGTCCAACGCGGCGGCAGCTTCACATTGTAGACATACCAGTAGTCATGGCTACAGAAATAGTCAAATCAAGCCTGGAAACCCGATCCACGCACGGCAATACTCTTCGACCTGCAAGTCTCCGAATCCAAGTATTCTCCCGGTAGATCTACATAGCGAGTGATCACTGTGGTTCACTACTCTCGAATGTTAGTACGCCTTGTACTTGCTGCACTCCATCTGATTTACCCGCGCCTCATCCCAGTCTAGCTTGCGGTCGATTTTATTTCTGACCGATGTTCCGAACCCTCAGGCTGCTGCAAAGTGCAAGGCAGCAGTTGACTGTGGTCATGTGCATGTACGGTGAATAGTGGCAATATCAGACATGCGGCATTATAATCCACCGAATCGCAGAGTCCACGCTGCAACTTGAATGTGAACATTTCACATTCGGCAACGGATAACCTAGCGGATGCTGTCTTCAAGTTCGTGCCGTATCCACTACAAATCGGGAGTACAAGGCTGACTTTGCATCCGCCCTCCGCAACCGATTGTTCCGCTATACTTCCATCCGTGTTGAGGTCTACGTCATGCTAACATCCGTAGTCCCCACGGCTTCCGAATCGTGGTATATAAACCGTGCAGAACTTCCCCGTCGGACAACTCATCAACGCACTTCTTCACTTCACGCATCTGTACTCACGACTTAACGAACTATGTTCCGCAAGACCGCTCTTATTACGACCATTACTCTTGCTCTGCTGAGCTGCGCTACGCCCGTCGAACGTGACAGCGCCACGGGTACTTCAATTCCGTTCGCGAAGCGCAGCGGCCTCACCACTGAGGATGGGGTGTTCAACCACGCACTTGCCATCCAGAGTACAATCAAAACACACAAGTAAGTGTCATTGCACTGCCATGAACGACCGTCTGACGTGCATCGTCAGTAAACATAGGCAGAATTTGATCAACCTGCAGCACAACGACCCTGCTAGCATGAACGAGGTATGAACGCTCATCGCTGTCTCTCTAATAGTATGCCTGACCGGCCTCAGGGTTCCGAGATCAGACCCTTGCGCACGTACAATGCGACAGTGGGCCGCCACGAGAGGCGTCAGAAGGAACCGACCACCGATGAGGATTCAGATCTCGAGTGGGCTGGGACCATATCTATCGGTACACCAGCGCAGAAGTTCCTGATTGACTTCGACAGTAAGTCAGCCTATGATTTTGGCGACCACAATGTTCACCGTAAGCATGTAGCCGGTTCCTCCGACTTATGGGTCCCGTCTTCATCTTGCACGAGCTCCGTGTGCACGTCGAAAGACAGGTACACCGCTTCGTCGTCGAGCACATCGGCGATGAAGTCGGGTAACTTCACCATCTACTACGGCGACGGGTCGACCGTGTCGGGTCCTAAATACACAGACACTGGTGAGCATCAAATTCCACTGTAATGACGCAGAGCTAACCGCCACATCAGTGTCTGTAGCGGGTATAACATCCAAGGCGCAGTATTTCTCCCCAGTCACAACGCTCTCGAGCAGTTTCGCCGGCGATCCCATCGACGGTATTCTTGGGATGGCATATCAGAAGATCTCGAACCTGGCGCAGCCCCCGTTCATTAACCAAGCGAAGACTCAGGGCAGCATCTCGAGCGCTTCGTTCGGCATGAAGCTTGCTAGCTCGGGATCGGAGCTTTACATCGGCGGCACCGATACATCGCTGTATAAGGGTGCCCCCGAATTCCACGCGGTAACGGGGTCGGGTTACTGGCAGATCTCCGGCGCGAAGACGATGGTGAACAACAAGCCCGTCAACACTGGCATCCAAACTGTACGTATCCCCCAATCTTCACATGTGCGCAACGCTCATGATCCACGCTGCAGATTATCGACAGTGGCACGACAATCATGTACGGCCCTCCGACCGCCGTGCAGGCGTTCTACAAGTCTATTCCTGGTTCATCCGTCTACGACTCGCAGAACGGATATTATCAGTTCCCCTGTAACAGCCTGCCGACCGTGGCTTTCAGTTGGGGCGGCAAGAGTTGGACGGTCAGCACCGCGAAGTGAGTAGATGGCCCATCGGTTGAGGTGATGCGTTGCTCATCGTCAAACTTTGCAGCTTCAATCTCGGAAAGGTCTCGAGCAAGTCAAGTTACTGCGTCGGTGCCCTTGCCGGCCAAAACCTCGGTCTGGGGAACAACGTTTGGCTCCTTGGCGACAGCTTCATGAAGAACGTCTACACGGTGTTCTCCTTTGACCAAAATGCCGTCGGCTTCGCCGCATTGGCATGATTGCACGTAGACGCCATTGTATTAGTTGGACTCGGATTCGGATGGTCATACGCAGATGTATCATAGCTCAGTTATCTTACACCATCACACTTAGATCATTGTACATGTCAGTTATGCAAGTCGAATGAGAGTGCAATACTGTCATAATATCAAGAGCCCCTTCGAGAGCGAGAAGTCAGGGACAGATCATTGTAGCTTGTTAGTAGCTCATGCAACGCACACGTACGCCGGGTAGGTGTAGGAGCTCACATCGGACTGTACGTTCGCACAGGTAGCCTTCGTACCGTACTCGTCAACGTCGTCGCGACGCTTCATTTGCTAAAAAGCAAATTCACACTGTCAAGATACGAACGTAGCACTTATGCAAGTTATGTCGTGAAGATAGACCATATGTACCATGGTGGAGCTCGCCACAAAGGGTGTATGTTCTCGTGATGCTTTAGGCCGGGCTTGGTAGCAGTCCGCATATGGAAGATCGCTCATCCTTCGAAGGGTGGACTCGGTAAGACTCGGTAGTGCTCATATCGACGATGCGATCTCAGTCTGCCACTATGCCAATCTTGGTCGTCATGCGCGGTATCTGGATCTTGTCTGCATCCCTCGCTGACGACTATGACGGCCCCATACGGTTATCGTAGATCGTGCACGTCAAACGTTCATGTATCACAAACACAAAGTCCTTGCCACACCGAGGAACACGCACTGGAGTCTGCAGCCTCATGCATCAACTGAAGCATGTTCATCACTGGGACAATCCTCGGCCACCACGGACTAACACCGACTCTGAGACAGATGCGAACAATCATGGGACACACATACGAATCCACTGCGCGGTCGCTCACGATGTCATGTCTTCGTAAAACATTCCGCCGACGCCAGGCCGTCCGAGGACAGCCCGGCGCCCGTGCGGCAAGAGCTAGCTAAGCGCACCTCCTGGCATCACCTCCATTCAAATATACATCGGTGGCGCTGTCTCGTTGTGCGCATCTCGTGCCATTCACTCTGATCCATGCGACGCCCCGGTCGTTGGGTAAAGCCTGCACGATTCAAACGGCGGACGCCACATGGAAGACGTTTCCCGTATTCATCGAGGGCACATCACATGCGAGCTTGGAATTGAATGGACAGCTGCGGAGTCGGCGACCACGGTGAGGAGATGAAATTGCGAAGCCGTCCACCGTACTTACTTGGCATAACGGTACCACCAACGTGCATCAACCGCCTCGAGCCGGCAAAAGACGCCTTCCGACGCCCTGTCGGCCCTGAGGCCTGAGGAGGTGAACACAGAATCGGAGCACACCCACGCAACCAGCACGCAAGTCTCCCAGCGTCGCCCTCGAGCCATGCGCAGACGTGGGATGGCCAGTTGCAGTCGGACCGAAGGCCATAGGGAGGGTGGATGTGGCGCCGCTGCGAAATCGGAGGACCGCTCGGATCTTGAATGCAGGGTTCAATGGCCCCGCCTCGAGCTAGTAGCGTGGGTGTGCGCGCACCTAATGTGGCTCGGTGGAACGGTGAACGGGTCACCCTGGGCTGAACACGACATGTCCCCATCCGTACGGAGAAGTGTAAATTAGCCGTTGGCAGACCTGGGCACACTCAGCAGTCTAGGTGAAGGACATGCACTCACATATCTACTGAGTGGGGAGCAGAGGGGCCGAGGCGCGCTATTGCGACATAGCGAATCCGACAGAGAAGTTGTGCGAGAGCGGATGCGTGCACCCTTGCTACGAGCGACCTGAAGAACCAGCAGAACCTGACAATTGGGGACGCGAACGATGCCGAAAGCGGTGTCAACACATCAGGGTCGACTTCGCGAAGGGCCCACCTTGCCAAAGGGGATAGGCCGGATTGACCACCTTTGCCCAGCGCACCGGGACGAACAACTCCGACGTGCTTCCCCGTGAACATCTAGCCTGAGATCCGTCACGAGATGGGTTGTGCCGGCGTTGAATTGGCGGCCGTCAAGACAGCGAACGCGGGGGACAATGGCAGAGAAGCGTAAACGAGGTGAATAGTCCGAAGTCCACTACGCCTGGACCATGACGCACACGACACAGCGGACCAAGGGACAACCGGCCAGGGCCAGACCTTGAGAGGAACGCCAGCTTCCGAGCTCCCAGAGTCGCACAAACAAGCACACGATGGTGGATGCTGTGGATGGGAGAGATGTGATGTGACAGAGAGAAATCAGAAGCTAGGCTAGATCGAGTTTAGGTCATCCGGCATTCGTAGCTGTTCGTACCGTAGAAGCGTAGTGCTTACGCAGCATCCCAGGTGCGGCGTCATTGCACTGAGTCCGAGCCCGAGTTCCGTGCTGTAGGATGCAGTTACAATCAGGGGTGCGGAGGAGCAAGAGGAGTGCTGCGCCGCCCATGTTCCTGCGGGTGGACAGGTCAGCCTCGAGCGAGCCCGCGAATCGAACAAGTGGATGAGATCTGTCCTTCGTGATCTCAGCCAATTTGAAGATCAAGGCACAGGTGACACACCGACGACGGCAGCGTTGGGCAAGCCGCTGACGAAGCCGCGGACTCTCGATTGAATCCCGCACATATACGGAAGGCATAAGTGCCGCAGTTTGGCCGCAGCGTTCGGGGCCGGACGTCGGCCTGCCGGAAATGGTTGTCTTCTCATTGGCCCCCCTCGTACCTGAATCGGAACGCCGACGCCAACGTGCCAATTTGATGGGAATCGAGGACACCGCCGGGAGAGGCGAGGAGAACGGCGAGCAAGTGGCGAAGGCAAGGCGAACTGCTCGACGGCAGTGGCACTGGCGAATGCCATGTCCCGCCTCGAGGCGCACAGGGCATCGCTGCTAGAAGTCCAATGTCAAGGGCTGTCAGTCACGAGAGTGAGAGCGAAGCTGAGCGGCACCATGCGTTGTCTCCAATGAGCCAGGCGCTCGGGCGGGAGGCCGAGTAGGACAGGCTGTGCAGTAATAAATGGGAACTGAGTGCATGAGCGGGCGACAAAAGAATGCGCGCAAGGCCTCGTGTACTGTTAAGTGTCAGCTTGATGTCAGTCCGAGCATGCTTCGAAAGGGTTCGCGGTAGTGTGGCGACTCGTCGGACGCCGGGTTCAATTGGTCTGCAATCGAGGCATGTGAACCGAGGCAGGGTTGGCAATGGAGGACCTCGGGATGCGTCAGCTAGCATGTGGAGCCCAAGCAAGCCGAGCGGGGTGTATGGTATGCATTGTAGGACGAGAAACAGAGGTGCAGCCGTGATTGTTTGCGGTAAAGGGATTGCCACGCTAGCGGGACGAGATGACGCGGTGATGTCCGTCTGCCGGGTGCGGCGGTGAACGATGGGTGGTATCTTGATGCGCACCGGTACCGTGTAAAACATCTGGCAAGGTCTGGGCTGCGTGAGGCATGCGCAATCTAGAGCGCGGAAGGAAAACATAGGGGCGGAGGAGTAAGCGCAGGCGCAATTGAGGCGCAAGGTGCGACGCGCGCAACGTCCGCGAGCCTCCGGCGAACCGGCGGCAGGAGTGGAAAGCATGCGCATGAGCCATCGATGGGATGGGAGTCGTCTGTGCCTAGCTGGATCCTACCCGCGAGAATAATTCCAAGAAACAGAGCGAGACCGGGAGCGGAACGCGAGGGACGCCGCCCTGTGAACCAGGCCGACGGAATGCTACGAGAGGGAAGGAGAGGCCACACGCACTTGTTTGCACACCTGTGTGTCGTGCCCAATATGGCAGGTAGTCCTCTCACGCGTGCTGCCCACCGCCACGGCGAACTCGTGCGCGCCGCCCCCGCCGCCGAGCAGCACAACGCGGGCGGGAGGCGGGGCAGGCTGCACACTGCTGCACAGGGGCCATACGAGAGCGCAGAGGCGGAATATGTTGATCGCGGGAAAACGAGCGAAAACGGACGGCAAAAGCGTATGAGCGGTTTGTGGGCCGTCTATTTGGACTCCTCTGACGCTCGGGTGCGGTCCGTCCCAGCAGCCACTAGGGCCTGCTTCCTCCAGCCTGCTCGCCGTCTTCCTCTCTTCTCCTCGCCGTCGACGACGCCCTCCAGCACAGCGTCCGAGGCCATCCCTCCGTCCTCGCCTAGCCCGCACAACCGCCCATCGGCGAGCACGGCGCGTCCGTACCGGGTCTTGGCCCGTTCCATCATTCTCATCTCAGGTGTGTTCACCCTCGCCCGCTCCCCCAGCCTCCACCAGAGCTCACCTCGTCCCCTGCCCCCAGGAGTCCTATGGAACTCCCCACATCGCCGGTGCACGGGTACAGCGAACACACTAGCCGCCCCTGGTCCCCTCACGGCCGACCGTCGCTGAACACCTCGGGTCTCCCCCACCCCTCATCCGCCCCATCTGTCGAGACCAGCCCACACCTGTCCTCGGTCTCTCACTCAGCTCACGCTTCCCCCTGGGTCCCGCATATCTCTCTCTCCGCCACTAATCACCCGCCACCACCACACATGTTGCAGCATCCCATCCCCCCGCCGCCTCATCCTGGCGATACTTCGGCGCAGCACAGCTCCGTAGCGAACATGCCCAATCACGACTGGGGAAACATGTTCTCTGCACCTCTCGATCCGTCTACATTCCACGCCCTCGCGGCATCAGGCGTCCTACCGCCCCCCAATGCCGGTATGCCTTCCAGCCTTCCTGCGCGCTCTGTACGCTCGCCGAATGAATTTTCGGCTAATGTTCGCATCCCGCCTCTCAATACGAAGGACATTGGCCGGCCTGGCGCCGGTCAAGGTTTGTCAGGGCACTGGTCGAATGCGCCATCTCCGTACTCTTCCACGCCCTCGACGTCTCAGAGAGCTTCACCACTACATTTCAGGCCAGGGTCGGGCAGCCAACCCTATGGCAAGCGCAGATCTCCCGTAAACGGTCTGCCTCAGTATGGACCCATCGCTATGCCTCCGTCGGGCTCTTCGATGGCAAACGCGCTCCCATATGACAATCACAGGACACTCGACGGCCGTGATGGCGGGCCTCACAGCCGGCGTAGCTCCCTCAGCCATCAACTCAACGGTCCCGGTCTTCCTGGCCCGAGGGATCACTACGACGTTCCGCTCGGCCCCATGAACGACGGACACCTCGATTCGTTCTCCGCGTCTTTCCCGTCCACACTTTCGTCGCTCGACTTCGGCAGCATGCACCACTCGAGTGAGCGCTCTAATCCCTCGCTCCCTCCCTCGCTCTGGATGTCCCCCGCATCAGTGCCCTCGTCCCTGTCTTCGTCCTCTCTGCACGTCACGGGCCCCTCCTACCCATCGCTCACCCAGATCACCGTCCCGCGGCATGGATCACTGTCGGACTCCCTTGGCGGCTCTACGCAGAGTCCGACCAGCCTCTCGTTCTACGGCGACTCTGCCAAGTCGTCAACACCGACGTCAGCGAGCAGTCCGAAGGCGAAGATGCTATCAGACTTGTTCGCCGACGATTTCTTCCCACGCGCATCCCCACTTGAGACCGCACGTCCGCAGAATTTCCCGTCTCCTCGCCTGTCTGGCTCGCCAGACCTGCAGGCGGCAGAGCTCGCCGCTGGAGACGCGGATCCTGAAATGCTGCAGAGGGAGGATCCGCTAGCGACCCAAGTTTGGAAGATGTACGCGCGCACGAAGGCGACGCTTCCCCACGCACAGCGGATGGAGAACATCACTTGGAGAATGATGGCGCTAGCGTTGAAGAAGAAGAAAGAGGACGAGGAGAGAATAGCGCGGGGAGAGGCGCCGCGGAACGAGGGAATTAACGTGGACGGCAGCAACGTGGACACAGGCAGGCTTCAAGAGGAGGCTGAAGAACGAGGGCGATCCATTGACAAGGGCAAGGCGCGAGTCAAGGTCGTCGGTTTTGATGGCGCCAACCAGGATGACACTGACGATAATGAGTACGTATATTGCGTCATTTTTATGACACGAGCTCACAAACGTGCTTTCATAGCGACGTTGTGCCTATGGACTGGCGAGCAATGAGCAGGTCCCGCTCCCGAGTGCCCATGGACTGGAGGCCTGCCAGTCGGTCGCGGTCACGACCGCCGATGATGGGCATCCAGTCGACCGATCAGAACGCTATCAAGTTCCCGTCTGGGCACTCTCCCAAGGGCTCTTCAATCCCGATTCCCGGCGCCTCTTCATCGCGCCCAGGTATCTCAGCGGTGCTGGAAGCTCCTGAACCTGACCTCAACCACTCGTACTCGGGTGGCAACACCTCGCCGGCGCATCCGTCCTCGCTCCCGGCGAGTGGCTTGCTGTCGCGAATGTCTGCGTCAGCTGCTGCGTCCCCGGAGCACCGTGCATTCCCGAAGCACGTGCGCAAGACGAGCTTTGACCATACCGTCGCGCGAGAAGGCATCTTCAGCGGGGTAAGTGGTCGCCATCAGGTCAATGGAAAGCCACTGTCCCCTGAATCGCTTCTTGGCTCGAAGCGCCGCGCAGAAGGGCCCCATGCAGAGAGCATGCTTCGCGGCGACCAGGTCACCGTGCTCCCACATGCGGATCGCATCGACGCACCTGAGCCTGAACTGTTCCGGCGCAATAGCCCTCCGTTCCCTGCGTCTTCGTTCAGTTTCAACTTCCCTTCCTCATATGATACCACCTATGATATGTTTGGCTCAACGAATACCCTCCCGCACCCAAATATCTCCACCTCTCTGCCGCCACTCAAGGACATCCGCTCTCCCGACCTGTCCTTCCACGATCCCCTGCGTGCGCCGATCCCTGGTGGTTTCTCACCTACCGTCGGTCCGGGTGGCGAAGGTCTGTCCGCGCCTGCGCTTGCCGCCTCCCACGCTGTGGCGGAGGGCTTCGCCCAATTAAACCCCGCCAACTTCGGTGCTATCGAAGACTCGTCTCTTGATTACAACCACCTTGCAGGCATGATGTACCCTGGCCTTGATACCGGCCTCGCCGTCGGTCCCTACACCCACGTCGATCCTCACCAGATCCTGCCTCTTGACACGGATGGCGGTTTCCAGAGCTTCCATCCTAGTCCATCGAGTGATGGCTGGGGCAATGGCGTGAACTCGAGCTCGAATGCCTCTCCGGAGCCCTACAATCATTCGAATGCGTCGACGCCGCCGTCCACAGATAATCAGGGTCAGCGCAACCAGCCGCGGAGAATCGCCTCGTCCAAGCGTGTACAGGATGCAGCACGTAGCGGTAACAGGAAGAAGTGGGTTTCCAGTTCGCTTGATAGTCGTTGGGCGTTGTTGACGTGTTTGTTAGTAGTCCTGAGGTCGGACGCAGTGGAAACGGCGAAGAGGAATCGAACCCCACTGTGTGCACCAACTGCCAGACAACGAATACCCCGTTGTGGAGGAGGGATCCTGAGGGTCAGCCGCTCTGCAACGCGTGCGGTCTATTCTTTGTGAGTATCAAACGAACGCCCATATATATGCGCCGAGCTTATCTCACCTCTTATCCAGAAACTGCATGGCGTGGTGAGGCCGTTATCGCTGAAGACAGACGTGATTAAGAAGCGGTGCGTAAACACTTTCTTAGGCAACGCCAGGAGACTCATGAGCACTCTAGGAACCGCGCTTCGGGCACGCCCCATGGCGCGTCGCGCAAGGGCTCTGCTGGGCTGCCGAAGATCAGCTCTACTGCGAGTCGCCCGCGCGCTGCGACCACGAGTTCGATGCCCACGGGCCTGCATGGCTCTCGCATGTCGCCCACGGCCCGCGTGACTGCTGGCATTGGGAACAACATGTCTATGAAGCGGCAGAGACGGACTTCCACGAGCGTGACAATGCAGACGTCGTCTGGTCGCAAGCCAGGCGATGAGGGCATTGGTGCGTAGTACTGTATCATGATGTGTTGGAAGTCGTCTCTCCGCTGTCCTCTCTTTCACCTCTGACGTCGTGTGATTGCCTACTATGCTTGTATCCTCTGCTTAGATCTTGTAGCAGTTCGCTCGAGTTCTGGATGCCTTTGGTTATCCGTCGTCTAACGTGTTCTGTTGTTACGAGGGTATGTCAACGTGTGTACGATCGCCAGTAGAGTCCATAGATTATTGTTCCAACAGAGCTCGACAACCCGGATCCTGTCTTGTGCAATCGACGAAACATGTATTGCCTAACATCGCTCTCTTGCTGTGTACATATATGCTTTGAGTTCGGCTTCACTGTATAAGTATCAGAGTACCCCTTGCCTTGATCGTTTTCACTGTCGGCCCTTGAGGAACTACAGCCGGATGCTCGACCGAGGGCCTTCTTTTGCAGAGCAATACGTGTCCGCCCATTACGATCATATATTGTTAGAGCATATGTGCATGATCGGATTGCTCTTCGAACTCGAATAACATACAACTACTGGTAGCATCACTGAATGATAAGTATGGCAACAATATGCAAGATGTATACGAGAAAACATGCACAAACGCATTACATAGGGTCAGTCATTGTCGTCGCCCCCAATCTCGGCTTGCTCCCTGCGGTGCATACCGTTACCTGAGGATGGAGACGGAGATGGACGTAATCCAGCACTCGGCGGTGGTTCGTCACCTTCCTCTATCGTCTCCTCCTCTGGCTGCCCCTTCCACTTGGCCTTCGCAGAGTCGGTGGGCTCGTCGTCCGTCGGACTCGCGCCCACGAGAGCACGTTCAAGCGCCTTCTCTCCTCTCTTCTTCAAACGAAGGTTCATCGCCGCCTGCAGCGAGTCTATGTATGACTCGTACTTGACGATCTCGGTCAAGAGGTATTGGGACTTCTTCTCCCAGTTACTGAGAGACTTTGCAGCATTAGCGGAGCGAGGCTGGTACTGAAGGACAGACATGCGTCAGAAGGCGCTCCCCAGCGGAACAAGAACGAAACATACTAGGTTGGTCATGGGCGACCTCAGCTCGTTATGCCGCTTGAGCTCTGTTTTGAGATACGCAACATGTTTCTGCAACGCCTCAAGCTGAGTCTCTTCATCGTGGTTGCTCGGCACCGTGGGAGGCATGGGCGGTTTCCATTCGTTAATGAACGTCCTATCGGCCCAAGGCGACTTGTCCGCGCGAACGGTCGCTGCCATGTCTTTCAACCGACTGCGCCCACTCCGACCGCTCCTGACACTAAAAGCATCATCCTCGTCGTGTTGGGAGAAGTTATCCTCAGACGCGGATCGCACTCGTGTGACGGGGTCCAACACGCGATTCCAGCCGTACTCCATGTTGGACACGCCGCCAATGAGGGGTTCCTTGCTCTGCCGCGCTGCCCAGTAGTTGCACGTTGAGACCCACTCGTTCACAAGCTCCTCGGTCCCGGCCTGGAAGAAGTAGACACCTCCGTTGGACAACGTGAGGACCATACAATGCGGGCGTTGGCGGTTGTATCCAGGAGGCGGCAGAGCGTGCGCGAGTGAATGGGCAAGGATCAGTGTACCCACTGGCTGTGCGTTTTCCTGCGAAGAGAAGTCAAGAACTGCGATAACGCACGGTCTGACGTACTACTCACAAGCCAATTACCGCCGCCCACGACATGCGATGCGCCGTGTGCATGTTCTCCGAAGATGAACATACTAAGCTCACCCTTCTGGATGACGACGAAGACGTCCATCCATGTCTTCGTCTTCGCCCGCTTCCCAGTAGACTCCCAGTACTGCTTGCGGCAAAGCATACCCTCCTTTGCCCAAGGCGGGCCGAGGAGAGCAAGCTCTTCGTCCGTGATGCTGACGTCAGTACCTGTGTCCTCGCTCTTCATGCTGTGGGAGTCGTCCTCCTGGGTCTCTCGGATTATGGTATGTGAGAGATTGGATGCAAAGCCCATGGCAGGGGTGAGGAAGGATGCCGTGGAAGCGTGAAGACCCTAGAGACGAGTCAGCATCGCGTTTCGCGCTCGTCAGTTCGACTCACATCAATAGAGTTGGCGAAGCTGGGTGCGGGACTCGCCCGGCCGTCGATGCTGCTGTTGCTGCTGTACGGGCTGGCGCCTGCCTGCGCGTGCAATATGGACTGCAGACCACGGATACTGCCTCGCTTGAGGTTCGCTAAGCGGTCGCCTGGTTGGCCGCGCAGGCTGCGTTGTCGCAACAACACTCCATGATGCGGGCTAAGGGAAGATGTTGAGGAACGGGCCATCAGCGTACTGCCGATAGGTTGTAGGATCTGCTGGCTCTTGACAGCGCTGTACATTTCCTGCGGAGGACACTTGAGTACCAGAACGAGCACGATAACAGAATCTGGAAGCCTCACCTTCAGCAGGTTCTCCATCTCCACCTCCCAGTTCCGGTCATGCACAAAAGTTGTAGGCGCAGGCTCGCGCTCCACCACTCTCGACTCCCGCTCACCGCCCTTCGCCTCCTGGCCCGACGCGACCGACACCTCGCTCCCATTCACTGGCCGCTGACCCGTACTCTCCGAGGCCGAACTCAGCTGCCCGCTCGACGTCCCTGCAGACGTCACCTGGTTGAACATCCCCTCCCGCGTGCCGATGCTGTTCCAGCTCGTGATACTGTCACTGCGCTTCGCGCGGCGGGCAGCGTTCGCCCCAGCGACGTCACTGTCCGAGCCAGCGCGGAAGCTCGTCCAGTCGTCGTATGAGAGGTCGCTGTTCGAGCCTTGGTTCGGCTGCAGCTGTATCTGGATGGTGGTCAGTGTGTTACGGACGAATTGGCCCTTCGACATCCGCGACGCGAGTTCGGCGACGTGGAGATCGGTGTTGAGAAGGAGGAGTGAGTACGTGACAGCATGGACGACGCCTACGATGTCATCGTAAGCTTGCACACCAGCATGGGGGAGAACGCTGTACGCACCGGCATTGCCGAAGATGCTACTAGGGTTGCACTCGAAGTACCGCCTTGCAAACTCATCGAGGATCCGGTCGACCTGTTGCGTCTCCGCCTTCAGGAACAGCTTCGCACATAGCCGCCTGCCACACAGCTCAGCGCCCCCGCATACGACCACAACACAACGACACAAGCATTCAGCTCACCTGAACGCATGGTCCAACCGCAACCCCGAGAAGTCAAAGTGGTCCATGTAGTGCCGGAGCGCCGCCTTGTTGATCGCACTCTGCCCGCCGAGCCACTCCGCGATCTTGTCCTTCGCCAGGAAGTCATCGTCCTCCGTCCAGCAGCGCTCCGCCAGCTCGCGCCCGCGCGCGTCCAAGTCCGCGCTATCCTCGGCTTGGCCCTTCACCGGCGAGCCCCGCGCGCGCGCACTGCTAGGATTGCTCAACGCGAAACGCGTGATATGGTCCCCGATGTCTGACGCGGGGACGAGCGAGGGTTCCGACGTCGACGCGGTCGAGCGGTGGTGTGCCCGGAGACGCTCCATGCCCGTCCCCGTGCCGCCCATGCCCATGCCGACGGACGCGAGCGACCCACTCCCGCTGCGCATCTGCGGCGAGCGCGGGCCATACTTCAGCGACGACGTACGAGGCGGGCCTGCGCTCGCCGAGCCCGAGCGTGCACGGACAGGCGAGCCTTGTAAGGAAGCCGTTCGAGGTGGCAGCGGTGAGGCAGTCTCCTCGCCCGACGTTGTCGCCTCTGCGGGTTGCAAGTTGAATGTGGGTGTTGGCGCTGTCGCAGGCGAGGAGGCTATCGGCCTTAGTGTTGGCCGACTAGAGGTGTCCTCCTTGTTGGCGGCGCCGTCACTCTGTGCGCGGAGTGCAGCGAGCGCGGGCCGACGGGCAGGTGTCGTCGGGTCGCGCAAGTCGAGCGTGCCTGTCCCGGTGTCTGTATCGAGCTGTGAGAGCTCACCACGGAAGTCAGAAATAATGCCGCTGAGGGTGCGCCCCCATACCTCCGGCCGACGGCCTTCGCCAGATGCACGCGCCGGCGTGGACGGCCCTGCGCCCTGAGCGGCGGCCATCACCTTCTTGAGGTCGGCGTCGCTGACGCTCATGCTGCGCCGCTTGTTCCCGCGGCTCGCCGTGCGTGCGTGCTTTGAAGCTGATGACGGCCGCTGGCGGAGGGTCGTGGTTGGGGACGGCGAGCGGGAACGGGGTGGTGGCTCGTCAATCATCACGACAGAGAGGTCGTCCGCGTCGGAGGGCGCGGAGGGAAGGCTTTTGTTGAGGCTGGACGCGTCGCTGAACACATCCGAGGGATCCGCCCGCGGTGACGCAAAGTTCTGTCGGTGCTTCGGTGGTATAGGTGGCACTGGCGGTGTAAAGGCATCCATGAGCGGCGTTGACGGGTAGGATGCGACAGATGTGGTTGACGGTGACGATGTGATTGTTCGCTGCGGTGCATGAGTGGGCGGACAACGGGTGGCCATGCAGGGCTACTCACTGCGCGTTCACGGGTGCTCGACTGGCCGAGCATTTTGCCTAGGAAAGCAGAAGTCTTTTGTCGGACGGAAGACTTTGCATTCTAGGAGACCATTGAGGGAGAGCGACAATGAAACAGTTCGAGGCACGCACCTTGGCCGGGCCCGCAGACCGCGGGCTAGTTAAGACCCAATCGGCACTCGTGTTGCCGTCGTGAGCCATGTCCATGAACGGATTGGGCTTGAACTTGCCCTTCGGAGCGGGCGTCACTTGGGGCGAAGCCGCTGGCGACGAGGTCGAGGACCGCTTGCGGGTGTTGCTCTGGTATGCATCGGTCCAGCTTGGAGTTGTCGGGGATTCCAAGGCTTTGCTGCCGTTGGGAGTTGAGCCGCGGGCCTTCGCTTTACGTAGCAGGGTGGCGAGGTCCGGACTGCTGGCCGTGCCGGGGGAACGATACATGGAACGCCGCTTGGTGTGATACTCACTGTCCGGCTCCTCGGACAGAAAGTCCGTCGACGAGGACGAGGACGGCGCCAGGGTTGGGTGGACAGAGGAAGAGGAAGGCCGTGGGCGGGGACTGACCGCGGGCGAGGGGGTGGGGGGCACAATGGTAGGCGTAGCGGGTATAGGTGGTCTGCGTGGCGATGGCGAGGAAGACGAGAAGGAGATGGATGCGTTGGATAGATCAGCACCTAAGCTGTCTACGTCGAGCCCCTCCTTGAGGACGACTGTGCCCCCGGCTCGCAGGGCTTGCTCAAAGTCTAGTTCGGTGCGGGAGACGCGTCGGGAGGCATGGAGATCGTTGTGGCCGATGGCTTGGAGGCCAGACGGGAAGGCGGAGGGCGGCGCTGGCGACCGCGGGGACGGCTGTCTGAAGAGGGACGCCAGGTTGGCAGGCCGCGTCGCGGAAGGGGGCGCGTGTGTCAAGCCCGCCCAAGCCTCGAGCACAACGCCTTCCTGCCGCCCACACGTGGCTACAAATCCTTCTCCCATCCCAGGCACCGCGACTCGACGCCGTGCTCTCCAAACCCTGCCCACACGCAGGCCAAACGTATGCTCATGTATGTGGTATCCACGCATATGGAATCCTGCACAGCAACAGATTCGCAAAACGGCCAAACATGGCACTGTGTTGCCTTCGTTCAATTCAACGTCTGCACTCGCATCGAGGAACGTTTACCCTCGCTACATATCTCTCATTCTAGATCTGTATTTTCCGAGTGCGAAGCTGTCGAACGGTATGTGCATCGGAGCAGTAGGGTCCGTTCCACCCGCCGCCAAAGTTGCCTATCCTGGTAAATCCCGACTCGGACACGCCACGGCGCCTTCAAGTGGTGAGCGTCGCAGCGTATTCTCCGCCTTGTTGCCAACGAAGCCTAGGTGTTCCTTGACCGAGGGATTCAGAGGTTGTCATTACAATGTAAGCGTGATGATGGGCCCTCCTACCGCGTTATAGACACAATCGGAACTCCTGTGCGTGCATTACTGTCCATTATGCAAGCTTCTCACCTTGTTCCCGGTCCCTCTATCTCGTCCACCCGGGAAAATCAGAGGTTTGAATGCATCATTCCTGCCAGCAATGTACACAGTTTACATCAATATTGATCACGATCCAACGCCCTTCCGCCCAATTTATTTAGACTCAAGCCGCGGTCATGGGGTCACTATGTCCAGGCTACTTGTCAGATACTACTCTGACCATCGTCTAGCAAAGAGCTCACCTGCGATTTACGCGATCGTCGAGAAGCATTTACTTGCTCTTCGGGGGCTCGGCGCAGCCGCATGCGGGGTATGTGCAGGAGCCGCCGTTGGCCTGGACGTTAGCGCAGGTAGCCTTGTCCTGTGGTGGTTCTCGTCAGCCGATGTGCCTCGATCAGCAATTACCTGGGACACTCACAGACATAGCGATTGGAATGTGAGAAGTAGGCGAGTGGTGAGTGAGGTGTGTAGTCGTTGACTGAGGACTGACAGTGCAGACGCACGCCTTTTATAGGGCTCGTAGCGGACATACACGTTGTAGAGGGAATACCATGTGTCGGTATATGGTATTCAGAGCGCCGCCATTGGTGTGTGTTCGTCCAATGAAATAAGGTGCGTTGGTCACGCCCTTCGATGCCGTGGATTTACAGAGATGGGGGCAATAGGCGGCGGGGAACTGAGCATCGACATGGTCCCGTAACAGCGATACTCTCATTCGTAGCCACCTGGTGCGGACTGTGGCCAGCAATCACTCCATACGGCGGCTTGTCTATTCCTTTCCGTTCCCACATGAGCGAGTTACACAACATAGAGTTACACAACATGTCGAACGAGGAACGTCTGACTGTCGCCTCTCGGATGCTCTGAGTGGAAAAGCCTTTGGCCCCGGCGCCGTCCGGGGCCTACGGAATTGAGTCGATTTTGCACCCACGTCCCCATTCGATCCACCGCCGCGGTTGTTCACCAGCTCCATCGCTGTGGTGCAGAGTGCGCGTGTTCACCGTGTTCTGACCTGAATGTTTTTACCGATGCTTTCATTTCAGGAAAGCCGTACAACGAGGCGGCCCCGGAGGCTCCGGTTGACCTGGAGCGTGCCATGCACTACGGCTACTCAGAGTCTAAATGGGTCTCAGAGCGGATTCTCTATGCCGCCGCCGCCAGGACGAGGCTGGATCCACTTGAAGGCAGATGGCCCATTCATGGATGTTTTCCTCGCATGGTTCGAAGCTCCATTAATGGTGGCCATGGCGCCGTTCAGGCAAGTGGCCGTGGGACGTCCGGAAATGAGCACCGACATCGCTGCCAATGCATCTCGGATTCTCGCGGATAGCGAAAGGGGCAGGTTGTCAGAAGCAAATGTGGTCCAGTGGCTCACGCACTGGCGAAGCGTTGGTCTCATTGGAGACGTGCATCGTGCAAAGTTGTAACTACGATGATCGAGCCTCCGTAGGCGTTTCTTGATGACTGTCAATATTCCCTGTACGAAAGTTGCATCTAAACTCTTATTCTTCTGTAGCTGTGATATTGTGACCGCCGACGATGCGCGGAAAGGGAATACTTACAAGTGACGTTGCACTATTTAGCTCAACTGACAACGGGGAATCAAGACGGGATCGCGCTCAGGCCTGATCATCACTCGGAACATGGTTCGTCATATCGTCATCGTTGTTCATGGCCAACTATGTAGAATCATGCTGAGTACAGCCAGATGAAGCGGCTGTGTGAGCACTGCAGAGGACACTGATCAGTTCCCGTATCATATCCCGACCATTATCTCGAAGGGTACATACCCGAAGTCTGCGCACGAAGAGCGCTTACTTGCTCTTGGGAGGCTCTGCGCAGCCGCACGCGGGGTAGGTGCACGAACCGCCGTTGGCCTGGACGTTAGCGCAGGTAGCCTTGTCCTACAGGGCTAGTAAGTCGATGTGCGCAATCGAGAAGCCAACCGTAGATACTCACAGACATTGTGATTAGAATTTGAGAAGTGGTGGTGTGGTGAGCGGGAAGTTGTGTAGTCGTTGACTGGCGATAGACAGCGCGAGTGCTCTCCTCTTATAGCGTTCGCGACACGCGGACGATGTTCTGGTTGTGACGACATGTGTCCTTGTATACGGTATTCAGGGTGTTGTCATTGGTTGGGTGTCGTCCAATGGATACAAGGGCGTTAGTCATGTTATCAGACGTGGCGGGTTGCAAAGACGGACAACGTGTATGGACACTGCCGCAGCGTGGTTCTGTGAGTTGGCTTCTTTAGACCAAAGGGCCCAGTTATCTGCCAGCAGTTATGGGAAACACAGCGACCGCGACCGCTCGATAGCAGCGCTGAGGCTTCAGTTTGAGTTACCTGTTCAAGTAATTCCCGACACTTACGGTCAGGCACCCGACGGTGCGCCATAAGTGTAGTACGTACCACCGTCAGCATGTTCGAGTGCGCTCATGACTGCTGCAGAGCGGCGGCAACACATATTACACCTGTCAAGGAGCCGTCACTGCACGAGACTCTTCGGTGCAAGGTTTGTCCTGAATGAAAACAGGCTTGCTCCTCGCCCATCCTCGAGAATGACAATTTTCAATGCTCGAAAATGGGTGGTTTCGGCTCGGAGAACATGCATCGTTAATTGACTGAGAACGGGCTCAAACCGCTCCCCTCGCGCCAGTCGGTGTGCCTTGGGTTGCTTAACGCGCGGTACCAGGGAGGTACCGTGTTGCAGACCGAGCGTTTGTTGAGACTGCTCGACAGGCGCGCTGCGGGTGCCCCGGGGAGTGCGACAGCCCTGGCGCAAACTTCATCGTCCTAAAAGGTTATCTGCCATTCACGCAGGACACTGCCCTGATGTATCAAACTCCGAGTCAGCCTCACCGTTTCTCACCGTTTCAACTTCAAGCCACCATCGCTGACCATATCAGCGTCACCGCGTGCCCGTCCAACACCACTCTGCAGACAGCAAACGTGCCCCTTGCGGATGGTGGCGTCAGCAATGTAAGACAGAGGATATCACTTGGGTGCGAGTCGGAGCGACGGCAATAACGCTGGCCTTCGTGCGCTGGCTTCGGCGGGGGATCACCGACAACTGGCTGGAAATCATCCACGGGCTTACCTGCCCAGTACCAGCCACCGCGTAGCATCGACGCAGGTCGTCCCAGCATCAATATGCCCTACCAGGCATGGGCTATCTTGGGAAATACCGCTGCTGCTGGCAGTGCAGAGCAGATGCCCCCGGAAGGACTGACTGACACGCGTCTTACGCCCGCTGCATAGACCACGCCGATTCTGAGTTCATCAGCCTCAGCCTTGTGCATCTGGGGATTGCCGTACCTATTCGAATCCGGTCCACATTTGTGCCTCAGCGCTGGCTGCGCTGGGGTCACCAAGGTGCCTCATGGATGATTTCATATACCGAGACGAAGGAGAACGACTCAGAAGCACTGGTTGACCGTCCGGCGTGAGGCCGTGAGGACCGCCCGTGCACTCAACACGTCGCGCGGAGCACTTGGGAATGCGTTCAACCTAGCCATAGCTACAGGCACGCGCTATGATCGATCGCGCGGGTGTTGCGTAGCGTGTTTGTCGCGCGCACTCAACTTCTGTGATTTATCCCTTCTTTTCCGGTGCCAGTCTGGCCACGCCGCTGGGAGCGACGGCACCGAGCGAGCCAAAATTTCGAGGGACGGAGAGGACGAAGGCCTCGAACGAGTGGAAACGCCAACGTGCTTGCTCCGCCGCGGTGCACAGCTGCGCTGTGTGTGCGGTTGCCGGGGTCTCGGTGATTGAGCGCGTCGCGGCCTTTTATGCCGTCGCGTCCAACCGTCGTTGTCCTCTGTTCTCCCTCGTTCCCTCCATCTCCGTGACCGCAGGCTCTACTTAGGCCCCCCTCCTCTCCTTACTCACGACGTCCGCTTCACGCCCACGATGTCTTTCGCTATCCTCTCCGCTGCCTTCGCCGCCACTCTTTTGGCGAACGCCGGCGTGAACGCTGAATCGCACACCATTCGTTTCGCAAACCTGTAAGTCTTCTTCCAACCTCTTGATTGGCCGGAACTGAACCTCTCCAAGGTGCGGATCAGGAACAGTGAGTGTCTGCTCTGTAGAGGTTCCCCGTCGGTTTCCTGACGCGTGCTTTAGCCTACACTGCTCGGAAATGGAGGTGTGATGTCCACTGGCCAGGACTACACGTCGGACGGGCCTTTCGTGGGCGGCATTGCGTACGTGGGCAATTTAAATATAGATTTGTCCTTACTGATGCGTGTTTGCGCTCATCTAGGTACTTGACGGGTGCTGATGGTAAGCATGTAAAGTGAGTAGTCGGAATGAGGAAACTCATCTTTATCAGGCATTACATGCGGCTACAATGGCGAGGAATGCCTCATCGTCGAGATGACCTTGGGCAACCCGACTGTGCCTGGTGGCGGTCCTTCCACCGACATCAGTGCCATTGCTCCGTACGTCGATCTCGTTTCCCATGGTGATTTCCCACTTTGACCGCGTATACTTGTTATTACAGTCACGCATTCAACGTCCAGACTTCGTTCGCGTACTATGGTACCAGCACGTGCAACAACGTTGGTGCTGACTGTAAGTCTTTTTTGACTTTGCTTGACTGTTGACCTTGGTGCTGAGACGATGTACTAAAGGTGCGAATGCGGGCTGCTCCCAAGCCTTCTACCAGCCGGATGACAACCAGGTGCAGGTTGCTTGCCAGGATGACAACGTAAGCCTGCATTGCAGTCGTGCTTACCTGGGGCTCTGACATTTTCCCTCCCGTTAATTAGGCCAACCTGCTCATCGCGTTCTGTGGTGATGCCACAACGCTCAACCCCGACGACTACGTCAACGGCGGCAACGGGTCCTCTGCGTCGCCCACCCCCTCTTCAAGCACGTCTGCAGTCCCGACCGTGACATCCTCCGTCGTGGCGTCGTCTTCGATCGATCCTGTCTCGAGCAAGCCTATCCTCCTCCCTGTGTCGTCCTCCTTTGTCTCGTCTGTTGCGGTCTCATCCGTTGACGCGTCATCATCTGTTGCGACATCTGTCGCCGTCACCTCCTCTGCTGTCTCTTCGTCCGCCGTCTCTTCTGTCGTGTCCTCTGTCGTCACGTCAGCGCCGGCTGCGTCCTCGAGCTATGTCACGTCCTCTGTGACTGTCACCCAGAGCGGAACCACCGTCGTCTCGTCTTGCCGCGTGCGCCCTACTGCCCCGGCCAGTGGTTTCCCCCTTTCTGGCTCGGCTTCTGCTTCCAGCGTTGCGACTGCTTCTGGTTCTGCTGTCACAAGCGTCGTTGTCTCATCCGGTGACGCTTCCTCGGCTGCCGTCCCGACCGTCACGGACGTTCCTTCCAGTGCATCCGTCTCTTCGGCTGCCCCGACGTCGACTGACACCGGCGACGATGGTGACGACGGCGATGACGGCGATGACGGCGATGATGGCTGCGGCGACGAGACCAGCACCGATGTCGCTCCCTCCAGCACTGCTGCTGCGTCGGCCACCTCGGCACCTGTCGCCTCGAGCTCTGCCGCCGCCAGCACGACCGATGCATCCTCGAGCGCTGTTCCGACTTCTTCGGTTGCCCCCACGGCATCCTCCAGCGCTGCGCCCAGCGCGACTTCCAGTGCAGATGACTGCGGCGCGACCGACAGTCCGGCTTACCGCCGTGAACTCCTCGAACGCGTCGCTCTTCGGAAGCGCGCTGCTGCCCCCGCGTACGACCTCGCGAAGGTCTATACCTCCCGCCGCCGCCACGCCCGGGTTGCGTACCGTAACAGCCTGGGTCTGAACGCGCACTAATCCCCCCTAGTGTGCAACTGGTGGCGGCGGTCTGTGGCTGCATGCCACCACCCATTTTTTCTCTTTTTCTCCTAATGGTTCCTCGGATCGTTTACCTTATCGGCCTCGCAAGCGAGGTTTGGATCGTGCAACTCGCCGACGTCCTAGCTAGAGACGTCGAGGCCGCGATGCCCTGGTTAGGGAGGCAATATGTGCTATATTGGGTGTACTCCCGGTGCCGCGCGTGGGTTGTTGTAAGCTGGAGGCTTGTACTCCTGCTCTGTTTATGCTTTATTGCGTCTGCGTATCTCGTTCTCGTCCTGTAGCGTTCGTAGATCGGCTGCTAATACATCATCACCTCGGACTCGTACTGAACGTCGGTGCGCGCGGTGGCAGCCACCGCTTGTGCACACAAAAATGAACGGAGATCAGAGTGAGATCGCCAAGTCCCCGCCGCCGGCCGGGGAGCTGTGCCCGCTGTGACGAGGAGTTGCCGTGACGACCCCTGCTCAACTGCGGGCCTGGGCGGCCGTGTGTGACTGTGTGACGAGGGCGCGTCAGTTGAGCCCAGTGTCTTCTTCCTCTGCAGCCCAGCGTTCTCGCATCCCCTCCGCTTCCTGCCACGACTCGTTCGCCAACGTTCCTTTCGTCCTCACCGCCATGTTCACCACGCTCCTTTCTGCGGTCATGGCCGCCGTCGCCCTTGCCGCCCAGGCGGGCGCGGAATACCACACCATTCGTTTCTACAACGCGTGAGCATATTCGTCGCATTTTAGACGCGAGATGGGATTTACTCAACGGCGGCGCTATGCATAGATGTGGCTTTGGAACCGTGAGCGGCGGCTTGTCTGAGACAGCTTGGTGGAGCGCTTACCCAGAGGTCTCTGTAGCCGACCCTTCTTGCGAATGGGGATGTCCTCTCGACTGGCGAGGACTACACGAGTGACGGGCCCTTCTCCTCTGCTATTGCGTACGTGCCTTTCTGCACGTGTTGTTGCACCCTGGCTGAGACTGTTTTTCACGCGATAGCTACCTGCAAAACGGTATGTCATACGCGTCCCAACTACCAGTCACTCCCTCTGATAACGCGCAGGCAACCAATGTGGTTATAATGGGGAGTATTGCACGCTGATGGAGATGACCATGAATAACCCCACCTGCGCTGGGTGCGGATCGTCTGCTGATCTCAGCCTCATTGACCCGTGAGTGCTGGACGTAGACATTTGCCGTTCCGCTGCTCAAACAACCTCTGTACAGGCACGCGTTCAGTTACTGGACCTCCTTCGCGTGAGTGGCCTAGGCTGTTGTATTGTAGCAGAATATTCACATTGTGCTCAGGTACTTCAATGGGTGTGAAAATACTGGTGCTAACTGTGCGCACTCATGCCTATCTACTAACAAGATACAAACCATCCTGACTCTCGCGTCACGCAGGTCCCGCGGCAGGATGCGCCGCTGCATTCTACTACTCCGATGAAACCCAGGTTCAGGTTGCTTGCCAGGCTGATAATGTTTGTCTCCGCAGTGCATGCCGGCTTAAATCTCCCTACTCATTGACCTTATCACTCGTTAGGCTGGCCTGCTTATCGCCTTCTGCGCCGATGCCACCACTCTCGATGCAAACAACCTGCCCGGCACCAATCCTTCCAGCTCCGAGGCACCCTCGACCAGCAGCACCTACGTTGCTCCGACTACCTCCTACACACCCACGTCGACCTACGTCCCCCCGACCTCGTCGGTCGTCTCCTCGTTCTCGAGCTCGGCTTCTAGCTCTTCCGCCGCGGCGTCTTCCTCTGCCTCTGCGAAGTGCCCTGCTCGCAACGCCAAGCGTTCCCTTCGCCTTAGGAAGCGTGAGGCCGCTCCGGAGCCCGAGCCCATCGTCAAGATGGCTCTGCGCCACCACGCTCGCCGTGGCAGCCACTAAGGTGCTCGCACCCCCGCTGCCGATGATGTCCCTTGGTTGTCCTAGCTGTGAAATCTTGTGTCTATCCGTCGAGCTGTCGTCCCTAGTTAACTTATGAGTGGCTGTTGACCGTCGCTATCGCTTTATATCCTTCTCCGTGCGGTGCGTTAGCTCAGTTGTTTGTATCTCCGTCCTCCCACATGCGGTGCCCTGGTATGGGCGGGAGCGAGGCTAGTCTAAAGCTTGTCTGCCCTGGCACCGCCACACAGGCATAGCTGCTATCCTCGAGTCTGCCGTGCCTGTGCGTTCCTATTTGTCTGTCCGTTTGCGCGCGCAGTGATGACTGTAACCCTCTTCTTGCCCATTATGTCGGGACCGCTGGAATCGTTATACTAGATCACCTATCGGTACCTGTCGGACCTGTGTTGTTTGAATTATACCCTTCAAGTAGTTCTTCTACGAGGTCTGTACTGCAACCCCGAGATCAAATGGGGAGCCTGAGGACATAGCTAGGCACTCAAGATCTATATAGTACACCAGTCCATGCGAATATACATGCAGCATGACAAGTACTATAACGTACACCAAGGTATACAGCATCCTCACGCGTGTACCTGCAGAATAGCATCGTCGTCAGTCCCCGACTCACTGTCATCGTCCCCGTCTCCCTCTTCAGCGGCCTCGCCTGCCGGACGCTCTGTACCCTTCATAGTTTCGCCGCCGGCGGGTGCTTCGACGACATCCCCGCCGTCTTTCGTGACCTCCACTTTGGATTCCGCCTCGTCTTCAGCGTGCTCCGCGTCCTCGGAGATGGCAGGCAAGGTCGGCTTGCCCTCCTCGTCTCCCAGCAGAACGGCGGGGCTGTCAGACTTATCCTTGACTGTGTCAGGCAAGCCGGCCTCTTCGCTGAGGAGAGGCACGCCCGAGGTGAACGACTCGTTGAGTGAGCTGACCGTCGAGAGCGCCATGTCCAGGACGGCTTCCACGCGCCTCTTGAGCTGCTCGCTCGTGCTCTCCACAGTCTGCGCAGCCGATCAGCACGCGACATAGGGGTGGGACGTGAAAGAGGATGTGTGCGTACCAGTGTGACGAGGTTGATGAGCGCGTCTGCCTCGTCGAGGCGAACAAGGAGCGCTGCCTCGTTGCTGTCTTCACCCTGCTCGTGCTCATGCTCGTCCGCGTCCTCGGGCATGTGCAGCTCGACCTCGCCGAAGTGTGCCTCGAGGAACATCGCGAGGCGGCGGATGCGCGTCACGGGCCCGCTCTCGTCCTCGATGTCCGCGTGCGGGTGTGGGTGCTCCGGGGCGTGCGAGTGCGAGTGCGAGTGCGGTTGGGTCGTCACTGGTGGAGGGTGGGTCAGCTAAGGAGCGCGGAAGGCGAGGGGCGAAGGAACTTGAACGTACACTTGACGGAGGCAGGGCTCTTGTCGATGCCGGTGACGAGGGCGAGCGTGGAATCTGCGATCATGTCGTTGCTCGCGCTGGAGTCCCATTCCAGAATCAGCTCGTTTTCTTGTGCCTGTTTGACGTCGACGGCTCCCATAACCTACAAACATCAGCTCACGTCCAATACACTGCCGAGGCGCAAGACGTACTCGGATAGTAGGCACCCCGTCCTTGTCCAAGCCCTCCTCCACCTTGCCGAACATGCCCTCCAGGTGCCACCGGACGAGGTCCCAGCCGACGTTCAGCGTCATCTTTTGTCTCTGCGTGACAATATTTGTGGAGAGACCGGTGAAGTCGCGGAGGTCTCGCGGGTCGAGAAGGGTGTAGGAGTAGTCTTTCGAAACGAGCAGACCAGAGAGCACATCCCCTGGTTGTGGCGGTTGCGCCGCCAGGTGACCAATCGCCTAGATGTTGCCATTGTGTCAGCAGGGGTACAAGGATGCAGATGCATTGGAAGTTGCATACCTTCGCGACGCGCTCGCCTCTGAATGTGAGCTCCAGCGTTTCCAAGTTCCGTGGCGTGTGGATCTTGACGTCTTCGTCTCGACTCTTGTAACGATCCGTCATCGCTGCCCGCAGACGCCCCATGGCAGTCTGTTCACCGTGTACCAGGACCTAGACATCGCCCGTCAGTGATGTTATATCACAGTGCAGACAGGTACCTCACTATGTGCTGCGCCTTGACCATCTCGATGAACTCCGAGTTCTGCGAGTAGTCAACATGGGCACTGAACGAGATCTCGTCCACAGAGAACTTGCGCGGGATCGGGTTGCCCTTGAGGGACATGATCTCGTCCGGTTCGCTTTGGATTTCCTAACGAGCACGAGTTGTAAACAAGATGTCCTCACGGGTCCTGCCAGAGCATAAAAGGAAAATACATTGATTGCGCGCCGTATAGATACAAAAGACAGGACCTGTACATGCCAGTGCGCTGCGAAGGAGAGCCACTCACCCTGGCCATCGTCCCTTCTATCGAGTATCCGGTAATGATGATGCCGTTCCTTGAATCCGGCGCCCAGAGTTCCAGCAGCTCTCGACTAGGCCCTGAGTCTGCAAATCCCGGACTTGCCAACACCACGCATGGCGGCCCTTCGGCGATTTTGCGCTCCCAACCTCGACTGTGCGGCACGTTGGAAATGTGTCTGACGAAGTGTTAGAGGTCCTGATAGTGGCAGATAAGTCAAACAACGCACTTGAAGACGAAAGGGTTGTCCCGTTTTGCGAACCGCGATCGAACGTTGTTGTTCATTGTATGAATATACGTCTGGAACACGGCCATTGATTTTCGAGCTAGACTAGACGCATAGTACACAGGGACACTGTGCAAGTCAGGGTGCTTCTTCCAGTATTCGTCCAAAATGAGCAGAAGTTCTTGTGCACGTCCCAGAGCAAATGTCGGCAGGAGAACATGACCGCCTCTTCGAATGATGTTGTGGACCAGAGTCGTAAACCTTGCCTCCTTTTCTTCTCTGCCTTCCAATGTCTGCACGCCATATGTACTCTCGATGATGAGGACGTCCGGGTGTATTGGCGGTACTTCTGCCTTCACAAGATGTCTGTCTTCTTCGCGGGAATAGTCACCAGTGTACAGAATCTTCAGGCCAGCAATATCTATGAGGAACATACAAGCACCGAGAACATGGCCGGCGTGATAAGGAGTGAAGGAAACTCCTGGACAAGGCGTGATGACTTGGTGAGCGGACACGGGGATGATGGATGCCATAGACATTGAGAGATCGAGGGGAGAGAATAAGGCGTCAGATGTCGACGAGCTACGGGATACTTCAATAAGAACTCCGAGAAGTGTATAGGGAGGTTGCGAACCTCATTCGTACGAAGTCTTGCATCATGAATTTGTGCAACGCTTTAGTGGGGTGCGTCATGTACACCTTGCCTTTACCATCTCGGAAGTTTGTCTGTCACAGACTTCAGTTCTTCCAGCTCTATACGTCGAGACACGAATGCACCCGCCTTTTCCGTGATATATGTCAAGGCCGCTGCGTGGTCCAGATGGAAGCTGCAGACACTCTTCAATAACGGAGCCGAAGAGACATGTTCGTGCACATACTGAGTAATCAGCAATACATCCACAGTACTCCAGTCAAGTTCGTCAACGAATGGTAGGGATGCAATGCCACTGTAGGCGGGGTGAACGCCTGCATCGCATACGATGGTCTTGCCTCGATACTGGAGGACGCAGCAAGACCGGCCGACCTCCTGTCCGGCACCCAGAAGTGTAATTTTGAGGGTTGGTGTGTCCGCCATGAGTCCGAGAGTCTGCGTCCGCACGAAGGTAATGAGCAAGACGCGGCAGTGGTGGGCTTGTCTGCGACCGCCCGGGGACTCGTCCACGGTCCTCCCGACCACGTGCGTTCAGCGCTCACAGGAAGGACCGATCAGATCTGTGCCCAAGATCTGCCTGAGATCCACGCACAACCGAATGGGAGTGCCCAAAGTCAGTTTTGTTTGACAGTTGACAACAAGCGTGAACAGCGCAATCGCCTGCAAAGTGGTCTCGACAATCTCTCAGATCTCAGTCGTTGCCAGTTTGACGTTGATAGGACCCTGGTGCGTGTAGACTTGGCTCAATACACTTTACGGACCACTGACTGACGCCTCCGAGATGCAGAGGCGAAACATGGCGAAGACTTCTAGACGTGGCTCTAGCACTTCGAAGTCTTTCAAGTCCCGCAATGCACACCATACAGTCGTACAACAGTCGGTTCATAAGAGACTCAAATCGCAGAGCGTGAAGAAACCTGTTTCAAAGGCGCGCTTGGAAGAGGTCACTGCGGAACTCGACAGTCAATTCGCGTCTGTACAGAGCCTATACGCTGTACGTAGATCGTCTGCCATGAGAAACCCTACTCATAGAATAGGCAGTCCCAATCGAAGGAAAAGGTCGCGTTGGCCTCCAGGCCAGGTGTTTCGGTCGAAGGCTTGGGCGACATCCTGCGAGGACTCTAGCCGAATCCGACCTTGGTCAGTATCGACCACAGACGTAGCAACGCGGGACGGCCACAAGACGGCATGCGTCACGGAGGTGCATACCAATCCATCGTTGGGCGCTGTCTCTAAATCCCCAATGCGACGATCCGTGTACTGGAAGTGACGCAACATCGAAAGGAACTCGGGATGCGGTCCAGCAAGCGTTCAACGTTCGACGTATATTGCTGCAACTAGTTGCAGATAACCTCGTTATATTGTAACCAAAGCACACGAGTACCAGTACACGTTCGTAAATGGAGAGGCAATACCCGGCGAGGAGAAAACAGTCTAGCGCTACGTTTGGGTCGTAGGGTTCTTCAGGATCTGACTACAAGTCGTACAGCTACTGGAGTTGGGTGCGCCTGAACGCTGAATTGAAGCAATAAACAGGAGCAAAGGGAATTGTAAGAAACAGAGCGGTTGAGGCTTCCAAGCCCAAGTGTCTGTTAGTAAGTCCTGCGAGTCTCGCACGCCGAGAAGGCCATACAAACCCCGGTCAGTCGTAGAGGCATTTCGAAGTCATGAAGTCGTAAGAATGATTCAGTGCATGTCCTCCCAGTTCGGCCGCGCCTGACCGATGGACAGCTTGCCCTTCTCTTTGCGCTGCCTGAGGTTCTTCACCTCGGTGTTGATGAGATCGCGTAGGCGCTCGAGATCGAGACTGCGCTCGGCACGCGAACCCATGAGCAGGTTGCGCCAGATGCCGGCGGCCGCCACGGAGTTGTCGATGGCCAGCTGCATCGGGCGGTGAAGGCGAACCATCTTCTGCATGAGATGGTCCGGGCTCGGGTATATGGCGTCCGGCCAAGCGATGCGAATGGCGAACCACCACCCTAGGGGCTGAGGACGAAAATAAGACTCGGAAAGAATCAGCTTTAGCTGGGATAGTACTCACGCGGCCGTCTGGAAGGCATCGCTCTGGGTATGTATCGTAGGTAGTGAGAGAACCGTCAGGAAGAGAGAAGCTGTTGGAGAGCAAAGAAGTCACGTCAGTACCCATTCATTCATCTCAGCCATGTCACATACCGATGAACGACCCAATGGCTCTCATCATTCCGATGCTTAGCGAGCACGATAAGCAGTCGTGGGATCCCCTCGAGCCCGAAGGGGGCCCACAGATCCCTGAGCATGGCACACGCATCGCCATGTCGTCCATTATAGACCGCGGCGCTTATAGCATCGGCCATGTTGGGCGGAACGAAGAGGCGGTCGACCCGCCCCGGAGGACTGTCCGTCATCTTGGCCCTCACATAGCGTTTGTACGTCTGCGTCGACCAGATGCTCAGCGCAACCTCGTCTACCTGCATCCCGCGCATCGTGCTGTTTACGGCGTTGTCCAGCTCAGACGTCCGCCAGACGATCGCCCAGCTCAGCAGGCGCTGGTGGACTCGCTGCCATGGCGGTGGCGAGTTACGCTCACCCGCGTAGTCTCCTGGCTGCCAGAGTTGATGGTCGGGCATGTTGCTGCCGTCCTGAGGAATGGGTGGGAGCGGAGGAGACCCGCGGCGGTCGGTGTAGCCTCCCGTGTTCCCGTCAGGTATTTCAGGCAGGCCGGACTCTGTGACAGCTGCCTGCGCGTCGCCATCATCATAGTCATCGCCGTCCTCTCGTGCAACCTCCCATGTCTTGTGCGTGGCCACTGACTGGCTGCCTGTCGGTCGCTCGCGCAGCCTATAGAACTGCTCCTCGAGGTACTGCTGGCCCGGAGAATCGGTACGGTCGTTCGGCATATATTCACTGCCCATGCCACGAGTCTGATCGTCGGTCGGCGCCAGATGGCCATGCAGATCATCCTCGTCGTCATAGACGTCCTCCTCTGGGATGGCATCATGCAGGGATCCGTCGTGATGATGCATAGACCCGGGTAGTGTGTGCAGGTTGGTCGAGGTGCGCAGCTCGGTGTCCACAGGCTGATACATGGACTCATCGCCCATCGTCGTCGCCATGTTCACCGTCTGAGTCATCGGGCTCTGGTTGTATCCACCTGCTTGCGAACCATAAGCAGGATAGCCTCGTCCGTCGGTGACGTATGATTCGCCTCGCGAAGATCGCAAACTCCGCTCAATCTTGGGTGCTAGGGTATCGAGGCGTTCGCGCATGTTTATCATGCCGTCGATGAGATCCTTAGCCCATTCGGGTGGCTCGGCGGAGGTGCCGATCTGCGTGGAACGCTTCGACGTAGGCTGAAGTTGCAGAGCAGCGGCAAGATGCACGCTAGGGTCGTGGTCGTGATAGGACTTGCGATACTGCCTTATCGACTAAATGGACGCGTCATCAGCTACGCTCACGACGGCGAAGAGTCTTGACACTCACCTCGTTGTCGTTCTTCATACCAAGCTTCTTGACCCTTGCTCGGACAGCCTTCCTGACAGCCTTCTTGACAGGTTCACCCATAGGCTGGTCTAGCGCATGCAGCAACTGGCAAAGCTCCATATCGTGGAAGTGCGAGTTCTGTACCTCGGGTTCCAAGGCTGACGGTGCCACAGTCGACAGAGCGTAGGACGTACGCGAACGTGGCTGCGGGCCCGTCAATACGTTGTCCACCATTCTCCGCTCGTCTGCGTTCAAGTCATCCGCGGGCGATATAGGTCGAGACGGGGTGGGTGTTGCTTGCGGGTCGTTGGCAACGGAGCGCTTCGACCTCGTGGGAGACATAGCAGCAGATGCTGCTGCCCGTTGCAACTCTTCGTACGCACTGCGATGGGTCGACATGGGCGCAGCCTGAGAGCGAGATGACATGGGTGCGGCCTGGGAACGAGGCGACATGGGGGCTTGCGAGCGACCTGATAACATAAACGTGTGTTCAGCTATCTTTCATCGCCTTTCGTCATTGTCGTTATCAGCATACCTCGCTGAGAAGTCGCATAATGCTCGCCGCCATTAGCCTGCGACGTGCTCTTCATAGACTTCGGGGGCTTCTGAGAGGCTTCCTGGGCTGCCCTCACCGTCCGCTTGGATAGCGCCTCTGTGACGGAGTCGGACGGCGCAAGCGAAGGGGACTTGTTCGTTTGGCGGTCGACGGGAGATGGTACTCGCTGAGTGTGGGCCTTGGACATGTTTTCCTCCAGAATAGACTCGGGCAAGGGCGGGTAGACTGTGCGGTTCGTCTTATGCGTATTTCGTGACTTGAGCGACTGCCCTTGCGAGGCAGCCGTCCGAGGTGACCAAGGTCGCTCCCCGCCACCCGTTGCTGTTCGTGTAGGCGAAAGCGCCCGCGAGGCAGACTTCGGCGACACCATCTACAAGGCGGTAAATACAGAGCTAGTGAGACAGCGTAGTGCTTACCCCGCCCATGTCGGCATTAGATGGAGACTTGTTCGAGGCTCTAGAACCGTTATGTCTCATTCGGGACGCCGTAGGGCTTGAAGGGATTTCAGCTACTGAGGCCGGAAGCGGAACCGCTGCTGCCGGCGTCATGCCAAACTCCTATTGAACCAGCAATGAGAACGTCGGCCTCAATGGACCTGCACAGCACGTGCCTGGAATGGATTTGGATGACTGCTACTCGGTGAGCCAGGGGAAAGCACGGGTGGCTTGGGTGGAGTGTTCTGGCGAGAGTCGGAAGGCATACTGCATACAACTCAATCTACTCACCTGCACGAAGCCTCCGAACCCATCACCTGTCGGGAGAGGCCCGAAGTTACCAAATGAGGAACCAAACGACTCGAACTTCGGGCCAGGAGGATCGTTAGGTCCCGGTTCGCGCTCCGGCTGAGGGAGTATTAGGTGTTCGAATAGCGTGTTATGGCGGACGTTTGCTCACAATACCAGTCGTCTGAATAGGTATCGTTCGTGTGATGTTTGATCCTTCCTGTACATCCGACCTGATGTCGTCGCCTCCTGCGTCGTCATCGAGGTCAAGATTTTCCTCCTCCTGCGGTGGTGTTTTCTGGAGCCCTTCCAGATACAACAACACTAACGCGGTGCTCTATCAGTACTGTGCCGCGCTCTCACGACCAAGTCTCTCCATACCCTTTTCATTGGAGGCTAAGGGCGTGGAATCAGTAAGATGGACGCGTTGAGGTGGAACCCCACGTACCCGGAGTATTGGATCGTAGCATGTGGCTATGAATCGTTTCCCGAGCATCCACAGTAGACATCGTGATTCAGCGCAAGTTCGACTTCGAGCAAGTTCGGGGTGAATTTGGAGTAAGGTGATGCGAGAACGGCGAGTATATAGTAGGGGAACGTGAAGGAGGTATCCGGCGGAGACAAAAGATTTATCAAGCGTTGAGAACGGAAGAAGAGTGAGGTAATGCGGGCTGGGTGGATATGAACATGGGCTGGAGTTCAACTGACCGCCTCGCGATGTCCGCATGCACATAAGCGCCGTTGACCTCTATTTGTGCACATCATCACCGACGCCGAGCTGTACAACGCCTCCCTGAGGTCCCTCGACTGCATGCGTGTACGGGTCTACTACAATGCTACACTCTCTCATTGTCATTCAACATCGTGCATAGAGCAAGCTTCTGAGGCAGGATCACTGCTATGGTCGTACTCAAGTCGTACTGTAGACCACCTTTCACGTTCACAGGCGTCCATACTAGGTACACACAGCCAATGGATCTCGGTGGACGGTGAGTACCGGTGAGTACTTCACTCAAGCATCTCTACGAGGTGAGTCCCTTCGATGCGCTGTTTCAAATCATTACATCCCCATCCCAAGCTGTCGCTGCGTGTCTGAGGCAGTTATGTCGCGCTTCCGCCTGTAGGACTGCTCTGGCTGTGACCTCTTTGAGTGGGCTCGGAAGAGGATCCTACCGGGTCGCATATGCTTCTGCATGGACTCAGTCGTGGATTAGTCTCCTCGATTGTTCCCTGCCCCGTGAGGGCATCACAGTAGGAACGATCGAGCGGGTAGTCCACTTGCGAGCTCCATTCATCTTTCGACAGCGTTTATGCATACCAAGCTGCGTATGTACTTAAAACAAAGACATGCCTCGCGACCACAGTAGAGACGTCTGCGAGTTGGCTGATCGCCCGTATGACGCTGTGTGCTACCGTCCACCGTTCACCATTGGTGGACAAGCGTCTTGGTGCAGTCATCTGAATGAACCTTTCTTTAGTGTCATCACTATTCACAGTTGTGGGTTCTGACACTGCCTACAGTGCGGCGCTGTCTGGCGCTGTATCATGTCCGTGAGACACAGCAGACCGTTCATTCTGGTTCTGAAGCAATGTCGCTATGGTCAGACGATAACTGCGTCACGACCTCAGAGACCGATGATGGAACTTGAAGCTAACTTGAAGGCCTGTGTACTGACATCTACCAGGGCGGTGTTTCAAGTTCAGTACTTAACGACAATCATCATATACACCTGGCATGCAATTTGTCAAGACACCAGAGACCAAAGAACCTCCGCGCTCCGAGTTCTCCTCGACTCCGGATCCGTGTCGCCGTGTCGTCGCGTGTGAGCGCTGTGAAGATGCGAAACACAACTGGTGAGTAGTGTGTCCTATAGAAATGCTTTGAGACTTAAGTTGCGCTATCCGCGGTTTGCGTTCCTTCTGTAGCTAGACTGCGCTCGTGCAGGTATCACTTTCATGCCCCTGATCCGAAGCTGCAGTAATTCGCAACAATGAGCTTTCTTTCGACACTGCAATTGACACAGTTGGTGTAGCCGTTGGGTCACAAAATGCGAGCTTTTGACACACGGTGATCGTTGGAGCTTGACAGATCGTACAGATGGAAGTGCTCGCCGTCTGAGAATCTACGTCGGCGTGTAAAGCCCTCGCTATGTAGATAAGGATGAACCGAAAGTATTCTCGGAGGGTAGGTCTCAAGCTACCGCCGCCAGACGTATCTCATTCTCTCGCTAGTTCATTACAGTGCGCTGCAATGGGTTGGAACTTCATCATCGATGACTCAAGCTCCTACATCAAGTATCATCCAGCAGGTTCGTGTTGCCGATGCCATAATCCTTATACGGGCCACTCAGCTGTCATCAGAGGATTCGGGCTTGGGAAACAATACATCCTTGGGCTGGGCCCCTTACTGGGAAGGCGCAGGTGGATTCCTCCATCCAGTGAATTCGGCTTACGGAACTGCGGCAAGCGGGCAGTCACTCCATGTCACGGCACTTGATGGCGCCAGCCTGTCATTTGAGTCCCATGGTGCGTCATTTTCGTCAATGCATTTACGTTAGCTCATCCAGGGACCATACGCAGGCACTGGGTTCTGTCTTTATGGGACGTCAAGCGGCACATTCGACGTGACGATAGACGACGTTTCTGCTTCCAGCCAGGTGCAAAGTGCAGATGACGTCCTTTACTGTCAAGACGATCTGCAACCGACAGTGCACTACGTGAACCTCACTGCGCACTCCGAACCAAACTCCAATCAGCAGTTGAGATTTGATTACGCCAGCGTCGCCTACGATTTCACAACAGGGTAGGTGTTGTCTTTCACGTGCTCATGAATCACTCAACTCTGCACACAGGACAACTACACCTTCGACGCTAGTATATAACGACACGGACGTATCCGCGTTTCACTACATGGGAAAGTGGAATACCACGACGATCTCTGGCGCGCCGAGCACCACTTCAGCAGCTCCATTACACAAGACGAGTAGTGATGGAGCGTCTGCGTCAATAAAATTCACCGGAGAAGCCGTCGCTGTGTATGGCTTTAGAACTTGGGGGAGCTATCTGTACAATATCGTAGGTTCATTGTCGCAGCAGACGAGTTGCGCTCAACCCCGCTTGCACTCTAGACCCTGGACGATGAACAGCATCAATACAACGGGAGTACACTTTGGGAGCTCCTGAATTCGCTCTTGTTCTTCCGAGCCGGATTATCCGCTGACACGTCCCACAACATCGAGGTCACCTACGTTGGCGACGAATCGTACTACTTCTTCTACCTGAACTCCATTACCGCGTTCAGTGCAAATGCCACGGACGATACACCGAAGCTGTCACCTTCATCCATGTGAGTCTTCACCTGTAGGGCCGGATATTTTTGGATTCAATGACGTGCTCCAGGACGTCCGGCATACAACACCATGCGGACACCCGCGCCATTATTGGAGGGGTGGTCGGCGGCGTAGGCGGCCTGCTGCTAATCATTGGTCTGGTGTCATGTCTCTGGCGTCGAAGGCCCTCACCGTATGACTCGGAGGATATCTCGCCGTTCACGAACGTGGATGCGCCATCAGAGTCTCAGTCTCATATCACTGGGACATCATCCAGCATCCTTCCACTAGCGAATGGTACGCACCGGCCACAAGGCTTCATGGGAAAACGTGCCTCCCTGGCGAACACGCCAGTCATCTCGCAGAACGCGCAGGCACAGCCAGTGGCAGCTTCATCATCAGCTGGTGGCGGAAGCCAGGCGGCGGTTCCTAGCTCGACCCCTCGATCTGGGCCCAGGACACCTACGAGCAGTAGATTTGCTTCTACACCACCAGTTGCTCAACCTGTCACTGTTGACCGGATCATCGAATTGATTGCGGAGCGGATTGACAGAAGAACATCGCCGACTCCTGACGCGGACGGAGATGCCCCTCCTCGCTACCCGGATAGCACTGTCTGACGAGTTCGCCCCCTCTATCCCTCTCTGATCACCGCGACTGCATTCACCATCGGTTACCTGTGACTGTCAATGTACCCTCCCTTAGACACGGTCCTTTTGTGCGTTCCGCTTATTCTTTTACTCTCCTGGCATTGGTCCCCTGTAATCGAACTTATAGGTGCTGTGACGCTTGCGCTAGTACACATATTGGAGACTGGTCACATATGAGGGCCACCCTACGAACACAGAAGCGACGACAAGTAGAACGCATTTGAGTTTTGACGGTGCGCACATTCCGTTATATATGATCACCAAGGTCTTCCAAGTTCTGACCGTCCCCATTCAATCTTCGTCAGAGTTTCGCATCAAGAAGAGCGTAAGCGGGAATTCAACGAATCGTTCGCAGTATCACTAGAGACGAAGAAGGTGAGGCTCAACGTGAGTTCTACTTATTCACAGGACGATTGCGTAGTGCATACCTGACGGCGGTTGAGGCATGAGTGTTGAATCCTGAAATCTCCTGCTCTGCCACACGGCTACCGGTGCTACCGGTACCGTCAACAACCTCAATGTGCAAGGATCAATCGATCACCGATCATCGGTACATGGAGGTACGCAATCATTCAGCCCGCGATCGCTCACTGTCTGGGGCAGTGTAAAACTGGTGTAACACGAGACAACCGCCGGCTTGGCTGCCTTGGACGCAAACCCACACTGAGAGTCTAGACTGACGTTACTAGACTCACCGGGCTCACGGCGGGTCAACACATCGGCAAGATATTATGATGATTCACAAGCTATCCCACTTACCACTTGTGTCGGTCACCGCATCCAGGGTCCGCAGACGGTATCATGAAGATTAGAACCTGAGTGGACAACGTCAACTAAGCTCTACTACGTCCAATGCCCCTGTGAGTACGCACATCTGTGACATCAACGCGTCTGCATTGAGGCCAATAATATCAATCGAGAGTGGAAGTTGATGGTCGTCAATGTCGGTGCCATCACGGCCCGGAGAGTAGCTTGCAACACTTTAAGTTTAAGGAGTGGTGAGTAGATAACACGTTCACCTGCTGCCCCTCTTCAGCGGTACCCCCTGCCTTTTGTTCGTGCGCTTGCACTGGCATTACCATGGGCACTGGCTGGAACTTTACGGTCGATGATTCGAGTTCATTCATTACGTACAAGCCCTTCGGTCAGTATACATAGACCATCGTGCTGTTGAATCGCAGGCTGACTTGGCTACGTGGATACAGAGGATGGCGGTTTGGGGGATCGCACCCTCGTCGGTTGGGAACCGTCTTGGTCAGGTTCTGGGGGTTTCCCAACGGCATTCGCAATCGATGCCTCCGGACAATCGCTTCACAGCACTGCCCTCGACGGGGCCAGCCTGAGCTTTCAATTCTATGGTGCGTCCTGCTCGAGGCCGTAAACAATGATGCGCAATTCACTGAGCAATCATAGGAAATGCTGTGTACCTGCATGGGTCTACCAATGGCACCCTTGACGTGACGATTGATAACAACGTCGTCTACTCTAATGGGTCTGCCATGGGCGATGGACTCCTCTACTTCGCCGAGGAACTCGCTACTCAGACGCATTACATTACAATGACCGCACACTTCACCCCCGACTCTGAGCAACTACTCCAGTTTGATTTCGCGGATGTGACCTACACATTCAGCGACGGGTGCGTAGTGCTGTTTCTTTCCGAGATGTCTCTCCCTCTGAGTGCAATCTCGAATATAGATCACAGGGTCCACCGCTCGAGGTTCCATACCCCAATACGAACACGTCTGTCTTCCAGTACACCGGGCAGTGGTCTGAAGCCTCGGCCGCTGGCGTACCAAGCCCGACTTCGACGGCGCCTCATCATATCACATCTCAGTACGGCTCATCAGTATCGATGAACTTCACTGGGGGAGAGGCCGTCGCTGTGTATGGGGTCAGAGACTGGGGTAATTGGATCTATAATGTGGTACGTATCGCGCAGTACAGTGGTAATGCTTCATCGGACTAATATGGAGTGCGTGTAGACAATGGACGGGTATAAGACGCAGTATAATGGAAGCACGCCTTGGAAGCAGGAGAGCTCGCTTCTGTTCTTCCAAGCTGGGCTTGACCCCAATCAGACACACACGATTGTCCTGACGGACGACGCCGATCAGACTTACTTCCGGTTCATGTTGAACTCTGTCTCTGTCTTCCAAGCCAATCATACTTCATCTGAACCTAGTTCGACGACGTGAGTTGCCAACCACAAGCTACATTCCCGGATAATCCTGAGTCCTTGTCTAGAACGACCGCCGGCAGTGCGACGAATTCTGTGTCCGCCGGGAGTGCTGGCACCACTAGGTCGACACATACAGGAGCCATTGCGGGAGGTGTGGTCGGCAGCATTGCCGGTTTGCTCCTCATCATCGGTTTATTCCTGTGGATGTTCCGTCGCCGAGGCTCATCCAAGTCGTCCGATGTATCGCCGTTCCCCATCCTTCCCACCGCCTCCTCGTCATCTTCAGGCTTGCGTTCCCTCAAAGTGGACTTTGCACCGACCAGCGGCACGACGTATACTGGCCCTGTAATGTCAGGGGTGTATCACAGAGACATGTCGATGGGCCAGCCGCTCACATATGCCCCTGCCACGACGTTCTCCACCAATGCAGCGAGCAGTAATGGCGCGAGTACTGCGACTGGCACTGCACATACTGAAGTGAGCCCGGTCGCAGGAGTCCCATCCTCACCATCGGAACACGCTCCGGCCGTGAGCGTGGACCGCATCATCGAGCTCATCGCACAAAGGATTGATCGTGGATTGCCCGCAGGTGCTATTGGAGACGATATCGCCCCACCACGCTATCCGGGGAGTGTCGTTCAATGATGTTTGCTGCGAGCCAATATGATGATATAGTACTAGTAGTTTCATTCACCATCTGTCTGCCTGGTGCCCTTTCAAGTTGCCCGGGGGGTACTGTCGTTTTTATGACTTCGTTCCGTAGCCTCAGACTACTGGCTTTGACTCTGGATGTATTTGTATAATATAGTGGCATTTGCCGTTGGCTATCGACGTATCTGATTGTCACTTCAATTGTCATGCATATGCATGTTGTGTCGTTCGAACAACTTGCGATATCACCTGAATTCAGCTAGGATCAAAGCGTACTCGCCATGGCCTTGCATGCATGCTCTCAACGATGTGGTGACTATACACGATTACCATAGATGCCGCTGCGCTGTGATTACCTGGCCATCAGAATATATGACAATCACGACGGCGTCCCAAGGTCTACCCTTCCTCCGTCCACGATTCGATAGTGTCATGAGACTGCTGGGAGCAGGCTGGAGTATGCAAAGAGTCGGAAATTTGTCTAGCACAGTCCGCAGAATCCGTCCTCATGCAATGTACAGTGACGCCACCCTGCATAGCCGAATCCGAGGCCCTCTCCGACGCGAGAGCGGGAACTTTCGGGATACTGCCGAGGGGCTTCATCTTGCTATCCGGCGACATACGAGCGGTATAAGTCCTCCGCTCTAAGTCGGCAGTGCGCGCAGGAGTAGCAGGACGCGCAAGCGTTCGCCCATCAACCTGAGGCTGGCTTCGAGTTCGTCGACGAGGTGTGGGACTACTGTAGCCGCCGTCGTCTCCTGTTTCTCGTTTCCCAGACTGGGGAAAAGGGTCGACATCGTTCTGCTGCAATATCAGAATGTGGCTCAAACAGACCGTGAGTAAAGCGCACAGACCTCTGGTGTCGAAACGCGACCATCGCCTTCCGCCTTAAGAGGGGATATGAAGATCCCAGGAGCAGGCGCGAACACAGGCAGGTGAGTTGGTTCTTCTAATTTCCGTTCGCCTACACAGGCCGTTCGATGGCCGTCCCCAGCGTGGGACGTGTTAGCATGGGAGAGACTCAGAGAGGGCACGATCCACGTCCCATCAGTATCTTCGAGACGTTCCTCCTCGTGGAGTGCCGGACTGCGCGCACTTGACGAAGAGCGCACATTGCCCTCTTCCAGTACTGGGGTACGCAGGATGCTTCTTGCTACGGGTCCGAACGGAGAGCTCGCCCCTGGAAGATCGACACTGCCAGCCCAGATGTCCGAGGAGGACGATCCTGACGCATGAGACTCGCCGATGCTTCCACGGTCGAATCTTTCCCACTTGAAATCGACGAAGGCAAGGTCTGCCGGTAGCATATAGTCATTCTCATCGAGAGGGTCCGAACTGCAGGGGTCCTCCGCAGGCGAGTCGAAGTAGATCCGTACTGGCCTAGGCGATGCATTTCGAACACGCTCGGGTGCGTGACCAATTGGCAGAGGGGACTTTGATGCGGTGACCTGGCCTCCTGTAGACCTGACTTTATCACATCGAGGCCGCGGGAGAGAGGTATCGGCCACCTTCAAGAGTGGTCGTAGAGCAGGTAATGTAATGGTCATGTCAAGAGGGAATGAAGAGGAGGATCCCGGGGTAGTCTCGCTGTCAAGAATACTGTCCAGCCTCGTCGCTGCAGAGCGTAACCATCCAGTAGCAAGCCGTGAATCAGGTGAACCAGCCACAGCGGTATCCATGATCTCCGCGTGTTGAGCAAGGTAAGAGAGACTGTCAGAGTAGTCACTGTGACCGAGAACATCCATCGGGTTATGCTGCGAAGCCGAGGCACCTATCCGAGGACCTGGTTGAGCGAAAGGCGCAAGCCCAGCACCGGGCAGTTCGGTCCCTTCGAGCCGGTCGGACGCCTCAAGCGCAATGTTTCGTACAGCGTCCTCTCGGCTCAAACCAACAGATCCCAGTCGAAGGTCAGCAGGCGGCACCGCACCGACAGAAGACGCAGGCCCCGGCGTAGAGAACGGCATCGGCAGGGGATCCTCGGACTCGAGGCTTTCGCCGGAGATCGACGAGAGATGAGTTGACGTTTCAAGTTGTGGAAAGACATAAGCGTCACTCGAGAAGGGATTTTGGGCCGCAGAGAAGTTACTTGCGGGGTGTCCCGGCAGTGATAGGTTTCTTGCATTTGGACGGACTGTATGCGTGGTCGAATTGTCTCCGAGAGGATTAAAGGCAAAAATAGAGTCTTCGTTGATAGGTGGCTCAACAGACATTGCACGATCCAGTGGTGCGGGTATATCGTTGCTGTCACTGCGCGCAATGGGTGTTCCGAGCCTCGCCGAAACATCACTTGATGACGACGGCAGTAGCATGCGGAGAGGGTGGTGTACGTCAAGCGTTGAGAGCGTGTTGCCAAGCCATGCGGGGATAGAGAGAGGTTTACGGGGTCGTCTGTTGCTGATCCTATAGTCCCCAGAGCTCTCCACCACGCCCATGTCCCTTGTGCTGTCATCGCCGTGCATCTTGATGACCGCGAAGTCGGCTCCGAGTCGACCTTCGTGTAGCTCGCTATATGCGTCCACGGGTGTTCTCGGCACATCGAAGTCTGCACTGGCGGACGAAGACGACGCGGCGCGACGACGCCTTCCGGAATGAGAGCTTTTGGAGCTCGCAGGCGATGTATGCAGGATATTGACAGTCTCGATCATGCGGTCGAAGCGAGAATTCAGTCCAGTCGTCTTACGCCGCTTCACCAGTAATGGCTCCGCCGACCTAAGCCCATCAACCAGGGGTATTTCAACATTGAAGCTAGCGGGACACGCATACTTACCGATTGCTGCCGGTCCGCTTGCGCGCTATAGCATCCCCCGGCACTTCATTCTGGGCCAATAGTGAAGGCATCATTACAGGACAGCAGCTGCAAGGAGCAAAAGATCAGCATGCAAGTGTGTAGATATTGTGTGCACTGTGTGGGCAGAAACGAGGTGATTGCGGTCCCCGAACAAGTCGCGCGACCGTCGCGACACGTCGCGCAAGAGTGTGTCTAGAGTCACGTGGGTCGCGTTACCCGCGCGTCGCGGGTCCACAGGACCAACATAGGACCCACGTCGACAGCTGTTCCGATTCGCCACCTTGTCACTATGCGGCATTTGCGACGATATCTTCCGAAATTGCGCGATTCGGGCAGCGCTCCTCTACCCTCTTCATGTCACAATTGGCTGTGGCAGTACAATGCACGTTTCGAGGTAAGTATTCAACCCGTTTTGGAGGGCGTATGACTGACGGATTGCGAAAGACAGTCGTGCTTCCCCTGCAGTTCGATGAGAACTATGTTTTGTCTGGCACGAACATGCGCTCGATACGACATGACCCGCAGCGGAGAAATACAATATTGTCAATTTCCCCAAGCGGTTGCCGAAGTCGACATCCGGGGGGAACTCGCGCACTAATGGCGAGTTCCGCTCCCAGGTCCGGCGTACACAGCTGCCATCCAATGTGGGGAGTGCGGTTTTCCGTTGTCGCCGAGACCTCCTCCTACCCGTTTCACGTCAGGTATAAATGAGGACGATGGCATACGAGTAAGACACAAGACCTCTCCTATCACCATGTCTACTGCTATCCTTCCAGCTTCCATCCCGAGCACGCTGCTCACGCACGACCTTGGGCAAGAGTCCCAACGCGAAATCGGGCAAAGCTCAGCTGAGACCACACTTTACTCGTATCCTCAGCCTAAATTCTCCTTTGAGCCGAGCCCTGCGGAACCCATCTTGTATCTTCCCCCTATCCTGTCTCTATTGCCGCTTGAATACAGGCAACCTCCAACGCCTCCCACAGAAAGCCCAAATCGTGGGCCGCACACCCCGCTCTCGACGGAATCGCATTTGCCGTCCATTGACGAAGCCTCGCTTGCACTTCACCATGCACTGCACAGGTTTCGCGCAGTGACACCGGACTATGCCTTGCTGCCATACCCCGAGGCGTTCAATTGGGACGAGATCGAGCTCCCGGAGGATGCCGAACACGAATGGTACTGCGTTGTCTTCAACAGCAAACGCCGTGCTGGGAGTGACGGTGGCGGTATGTTCTGTAATTTCTACTATCATGGGGCGCATGACGATCTCTGCTCGTCAGGTCTGTACTCCGCTGATCGGCTGGCACACGAAGAAGCTGTACAGAACGGAGGGGTGGGTACTACGCTTTGGAATCCGTCACAGAAACTGACTGTTGTCTAGCTGATCATGTACTGGTATGGCACGCCACACCCAAAGACAGGGATGAACCTCGCCACTTGCATCTGGCAATCGCGGAAAGACGCGATAGCTGCGAATTCCCGGCCCCATCACATCCGTGCTATGCGCCTTGCCGCCGCTTCGTACGACCATTACACCTTGAAGCGCTACTGGCTGAGCAAGGTCAAGGGCGAGCGTGGCGTTGCGGTCAGGCCATTCGAAGCAACTGACACATAACACCGAGGCGCACTTGCCTAGCGGCTTTTGGGGTAGTTCAGCTCGACTTGAGTACGTTTCCACCTGCCTTGTGACATATCACACGCGACTGACTATGGCCTACACTACCCTAGTGCCTACCAAGACAGACAATTATACCTGTTGCTTTGGTGCGCCGGTCGCGCCTCACGCGCGTACTGCAGTGACTGCGTGCATGAGCGACAGGTGCCAGTGCCACTTTCGAAAGCATGACATGCATTGTTGCCTTGGCGAACGCGCGTGCAGCTCGTCCGGGGTGGTTTGTTCGTTTGGGACAGTACTTTACGTTTGACCGTGGATCAATAGCATATACCCGTGCATCTGCGTATAACTTAGGAACAAAGAATGCCTTGCAGGAGATTGGCATTCGGCGCGTGAAGCCTGCGTGAAGTTGTCTGATCAGTCTGCTGTAGTAGCTGGCCATTGCGCAATACGGCGCCTGATGGTATAATCCGTCGACATTACTTACAACTGGCGCACGAGATTGTGGGACGTATATTATTACCAGCCTTCAAACAGCCTCTACCTCGCACTGCGACCACCGTGGCTAATAACTGTCCTGTCCTTCGTTGCCTGCCCATGCATGGAGCTCGCATGCCTCGATGTCGACTGGTTCACCGGACCGGGGCTATAAGCTCTGCACGCCTTAGTCATTATCACCTTTGAGCGGCCCGCGGCACCTTCAGTCTCGGTAGGTATGCCGCGCTGTCTAACTCAGTATCCTACACACCCGACGCCCTTATCGTTTGAATCACTTCCCTCAACTTCTGCGCACCAACGAGGCAGCGTGAAGGCCAAGTGCAGCAGCATGGGCAAGCCTGAGCATGGCGCGCCTGTAGAAGACACTCGGAGCGGTGTGGTCCTTCCCCTTCACCGAACCGCCGCTAAACGAGATGCGACGCACAGAAGTAAGATCGCAGTAGCGATCGCTGTCTTCGTCCTAGCTGTCCTCTTCGTCCCCCGAGACACTGTCGCGCGCCTCTGCAATTCTCATCATGCTCACTTCACTCACAAACACGGTGGTGTCAGACGCCCTGCCCCCTCCGGAACCCGCAACAAGGCATACATCGTCGAAGCGACGCACGGAGCTGTAGCGAGCGAGAACGAAATTTGCTCAGACGTGGGAGTGGGCATACTGAAGCAGGGAGGAAACGCAGTGGATGCCGCCGTCAGCACTACGCTATGTATAGGGGTGGTCAACATGTTCTCGTACGTATCACCGTTGTTCAAACACCCCACAATCAGCTCAGCTTGGTATAGGTCGGGCATCGGAGGAGGAGGCTTCATGACCGTGCGCATACCTCCGTCGTCACCCAATACCTCCTCGGAGGTGTATACCATCGACTTCCGCGAGATGGCGCCCGCTGCGTCGAATAATACCATGTTCGTCGAGGAACCCATGAAGGCGCTCATTGGCGGTCTCTCTGTCGGCGTACCAGGAGAGCTACGTGGCTTGGAGGAGGCGCATAGGCGATGGGGGAGCCTTCCGTGGAAGACACTCGTGCAACCCAGCGTCAGACTCGCGAGCGGTTGGAAGGTGCAGCGTGAGCTTGCCGAGAGGATTCGCATCTCAGTGAGTCACTAAGTGGATCGCTTGATACAGACCATAATATATCTTAACACCACAACAGTTCTTTAAGCCATTGATGCTGAACAACCCTGATTGGAGCGCTATCTTCGCGCCTGAGGGCCACTTACTCAAGGAAGGCGAAACCATTCGGCGCACGAATCTATCACGCACTCTGGCAGTGATTGCGGAAGAGGGTGCAGATGCGCTGTACAAGGTGCATTTGATGGCGTTCACAGAGTACTCGATCTTGACTGACCGCTTCCGCTAGGGCCCCATTGCCGACTCACTCATCAGGAAAATTCGCGCTACGGGAGGGATTATGACCCACGAAGACTTGCAGAATTATGCGGTACATGTCAGGCCTGCACTTCAAGGGACTTATCGCGGGCGGAAGGTGTATACCCAGCATGCCCCGACCTCAGGACCGGTTTTGTTGCACATGCTGAACTTGGTCGAGCATTACGAAGACCTCACAGAGGAAGGGCGGACACCGCTCAACAATCATAGACTCATAGAGGCGATGAAATGTGAGCACTTCTTCCGAACATGTCTCGTAACTCGTACTCATATGGCTCAGTCGGTTTCGCTGCTCGGTTAGTCTGACTGCGGGCTGTCAGTTGGTATGCAAGTGACGCAGAATCCCTAGGACGAGAGTGTGCGACCCTGCGTTTGTAGACGACACGAAACTTATAGACGAGATCCCGACCAAGGCATACAGCGACATCATCTTCCCCAATATCACTGATGTGAGTCTATCTCACTGTTTGGTGCTGTCTGGTCTCATTGGGACGCTTTGGTCCCAGGACAGCACACATACGCCGGAATATTATCATCCAATGTTCGACGTCGTCGAAGACCATGGAACGGTAAGGCCTGTGTGATCAAGTTTACGAAAGGGATGCTAAAAAGATCACTCAGAGCCATTCGTCTGTAGTAGACGAGGACGGCATGGCGGTCGCAGTTACATCCACAGTGAATCTTGTCTTTGGCTCGCACGTGCTTGACCCTGAGACGGGCATTATTCTTAACGACCAGGTACTTAGTCAAGCATCTTCATCTTCATCTGCGGACCGCACCTGACATCCAGATTTAGATGGACGACTTTTCTTCTCCAGGTACCCCGAACAGTTTTGGCCTCTTTCCTTCTCCATGTGAGTATACGCTGTTCCGTTCCCAATGCTTTATTCAGCCTATCACAGTCAACTATCCCGAGCCCGGGAAACGTCCGCTTTCATCTACCGTGCCGACGATCGTGGAACACGAAGACGGCACGTTCTACTTGGCCGTCGGCGGCTCTGGGGGATCGCGGATTTTCCCGGCCGTCTTCCAAGTGATCCTCAACATGGGCTGGGGTATGGACGTTAGCGCTGCAATTGAACACGGACGGCTGCATGATCAGCTGTACCCTACCATGGTTGTTGCGGATAATACACTGCCCGCAGAGACACTGGATTTCCTCCGAGCGAAGGGACACAACGTCACAGGTCGGACACGGAAGCAATTTGTCTTGTAGATGTGTTCGCTTACGCGCTGGATTTTATTTTCAGTAACGGACATCAATCGCATAGCATCTGTGGTTCAGGCAGTCGCCAGACAAGGGAACAAAGTCTTCGGTATGTTCTGGACATCCCCTTAATAACAATTATTCTGATCACATCATTCTGCGCAACCACCAGCTGCTAGTGACTCCAGGAAAAGAGGCGTCGCTTCTGGATACTGAGGTAGTCTCAAGGTCGTATAGTGGCATGGGGTGAGATCGTCACATTGGACATTCTAGTCGTCCAGTCCGGCTGACACTATTCGTTGCAGGCGGAGCGCTGCGTAACCTCGACACGGTAGCATGCCCTGAGGCTGCAGACCGTCTGTGCGCAGTATCACGTGGAGAGATACATCGTACTGGCAGAGCCGCAGATTCTCCGTGTTTGCTTGGTATAATGATGTTGCATGCAGTCCCGTTGCCTGGTGATCCCACCGGTTGTGTAATTCGAGCTTCCCGCACCTCTAATTTAGTTACACGCTGTGTGTTGTCCGACGAGGTTCGCACGGTCTGGATTTACCACTGGGGCAACCTCGGGTGTCATGCATTCATGACTGTTCCTGAGCAGACTGCAGCTTCCTCCGTTCCACGCTCCCAAGTGGGCCGTCACCGTCTACTATAAATTGGGTTGCCTTGGGGTGGTCCTGCATTCTGTCTTGTTCTCATCATTCTTGCGAAGATGCGCTTGACAGGACTCGCTGCACTACTCCCTGCCGTTTCCATCGCCGCTGCAGCTTCGGTCGGCGACAGACGAGTGGGTCACAACTTCTGTCTAGATGTCGTGTTGTTCGCTAACACGCATACTGCCACCTTCTAGTCGCTTGCAAGAGCTGCATGTAAGTGAAGCAGAATTGGTTACTGAATCGACTCGGGCATTCATGCACACTAACTTGCAGCACCCACGGCTGTGACTGGCTTCGTCACGACGTCGGGCCAAAACTTTCAACTCAATGGCGAAGTGTTCACTGTCGTCGGGTGAGTTACGGTCGGTCATTCGTACGAACGGCATGTCACTCATGCTTGCGCCTCAGTGCCAACTCGTACTGGGTTGGCTTGAGTGGTCTCAGCACGACTGAAATGAATCAGGCTTTCGCAGACATCGCTGCTGTTGGGGCAACGTCGGTCCGGACCTGGTGAGATTCAACGTCGTACTTATGATATACTCGCGCCTTACTGATTCTTGGCTAGGGGCTTCAATGACGTTACGACTCCAAGCGGCGACTACTACCAGCTCTGGACGAACGGAACTCCCACTATCAATTATGGATCTACCGGGCTGGAGAACTTTGGTGAGCCTGAGTGGGCATCTGCTGAAGTCCTCCTACAGATTAATGACTCACGTCAGACAATGTTGTCGCGGCGGCCAAGGAAAACGGTCTAAGGCTTATCGTAGCTTTGTGAGCAGATTCACCGTCTATATGCATTCATGCGACTCACCAGCTGTTTGTAGAACGAACAACTGGGCCGATTACGGCGGAATGGACGTCTATGTTAGCCAACTTACTGGCACAGACTACCACGACTACTTCTACACGGACCCTGCTATCATTGTAAGGGTTCCTTGTGACATGCGATGCGCTCGACTAACAAGATGAGCATCAAACAGGCAGCTTACAAGAATTATGTCAGCGCCTTTGTTGGGCGCTACGTTGATGAGCCCGGAATTCTGGCTTGGGAGCTTTCCAATGAGCCGAGATGCGCAGGCACGACTGGGTAAGGATACGCGTTGACGATGGATCATACCACGATGCTAACGGTCAAATCTAGGACCACTTCCGGTAATTGCACGGCGGTCACTGTGACCAATTGGATTGCGGAAATGTCAGCGTATATCAAATCCATCGACGCCAACCACCTCGTGGCGGTTGGTGATGAAGGATTCTACGCTATCGCCGGTAACTCTGACTATCCATATGGGTACGTACCACATACGTCGCTTTGCGACACTGACTGACGCCATCATTTGCGGACAGAGGAGGGGAGGGTATCGGCATCAATTTCACTGCAAACCTAGAGATACCAACCATTGACTTCGGTACTGCGCATGTGAGTCGAGTCGGCTTAAGTACAACATACAATATACTAACGATTTCTGTATGCAGCTCTACCCGGTACGTCCGTCCCAGATGCGGCTTTGCATGTATTGAGTCGCGCTGCAGATCAGTTGGGGCGAGACAACGGATCCAATCGAATGGGGTGTACAATGGATCGAGAACCATGCGGCCTCTCAGAAGGCCCAAAACAAACCGGTCATTGTCGAAGAATTCGGGATGACGACTAACATGACTGCGACCTATGAGGCCTGGTATCCAGCTATCATCAACTCGGGGCTTACGGGCGATCTCATTTGGTGAGATTCCGAGTTAAGCATGCAGGGTAATGGCAACTCATGCCCATCTAGGCAAGCTGGCTCTTACTTGTCTTCGGGACCGACGCCAAACGACGGCTATACAGTGCGTCACAGTTCTGTTGTGAAGAAAGTGGTCACTGATTCATTGAATGTAGGTCTATCCAAACAACACTGTGTACGGCATGGAGGCGACCTATGCCGCGCAATTGAAGGCGAGGAACGCAGCATGACGGGCATGCCGTCGACCGGTCAAGCCGTCCCCCAGGGAACTGCAGTCGACGTACAGTGAGGTTCAGTGTGGTTTTAAACTGTGATGTCTTCGGAATCATCATGCTGTTATCCATGCACGTAGGACCCCATGATGGTATACGCCGTCATAAGCTGTACTTGACGTAGACCAGGAAGTGGTGCCAGTGTCATTGTGTGCTACACGACGCAGCTTCCACTTTGTCATGAGGATGTTGTCTCCGACTGACTACAGTCCGCTTCGCAAGGTCATACTGACTTCTTGCAGCGCAGTATAGTATGACCAGATATCGACTCGAGTACGGCTGGTCCGTTCCCCGTTCCCATCGTTCTTCTTGTGCGTAATTTGGCCTACCATTTTCGCACCCACTCAGTGAGGACAGCGTACTGTAGGTCTCTTGTATATGCACCATGTGGATCGGAAGATCGTTTGCTACTAGTACATAATGATACCTGTCTCAATCACATGCACTAGGAAGTACTTGTTCAGTACGTGCTAAGTTACGCGCTCAGCGCAAACCATCTCCTACCTCGTTGCACGCATTCCAATTACTTGCAGCCTGCCATATTTCCGACTTGACCATGATGCACGAGCAGACATGGCGCACGGGCATCATCCAGACTTCGGCTTGATTCCGACCATCTTCTATCTCGACATACGCATTCCGAATTCGGGCGTTCTCGCCAACGGCGGGTCAGGATGGGGCGTGGGGCGTTTGGCGCATTCGGAATTGACAGGTGCAGGTACGTGTGAGGTCAATCCGAGTACCAGCCCCTGCCTATGCATATAGATCACAGGGCGGCCTTACCCAGAACACAACATCGAGTGCGGCGATAGACCCGTCTACTTCCTACCATGCTCTCTATCTGCCTCCAGAAGTCTGCCACCACTGCGCGCGCTGCTGTTCCCCGCTGCTCAGCGATCGCCCGCGGCTGCTGGAGCAAGGCCCCCGTCACTCCTGTTGCTGCAAAGCTTAGTCCTCTTGTCGCTGCGAGTCGCGCTTACTCGACGTCACGCCCTCTGTCTGCCGCTGCCACCACCTCAACGCAACCCTCTTCTGCGAACAAAGTGCCACCTGCAGAGCCATGGAGACGGCATATCAGTCCAGACGCGGCTACTCCGACCGTCTACACCTTCTTTGAGAAGGTGACGTCGACCTGGCAGTACGTTGTGGTCGACCCTCATACGTCCGAGGCGGTCATAGTAGACCCAGTGCTGGACTATGATGCAAATGCGGGCGCCATATCCACGAACACTGCTGACGGCCTCCTTGCTTTCATCGAGGCTGAGAATCTGAATGTCCGTCGCGTCCTGTGCGTACCATCGCCGTCCATGAGATCGCTATGGCTAACATCTATGCCGTGCTTCAGCGAGACGCATGCACATGCAGACCATCTCACTGCGGCCCAGTACATCAAGCAGCAACTCGGCGGTGATATTCCTGTATGTATCGGGCGGAGGATCTTACTGGTGCAGAAGACCTTTGCACCGATCTATGGCTTGGACGATCCGACCACGTTCGAGAACGCCTTCGACTGCTACTTCGATGATGACCAAGAGTTTAAACTCGGGCAGCTGTCGTGCAGTGTCCTGCACCTGCCAGGGCACACGCCGGACCACGTTGGCTACCTGATTGGTAAGGCGGTCTTCACCGGCGACTCCATCTTCAATGTATGTATTGTGTATACGTCGTGGTCTTGTCTGCTGAGCTCACACCTCTTCATCAGCCCGACGTTGGATCCGCACGAGCCGACTTTCCGGGTGGCAATGCTGAAGATCTGTATGCTGTGAGTATCGTCAATTCACCTAAGCAGGATCAGTTTGTCTCACTTGACGGGCGCACGCCTAGTCAATGCAACGACTGCTCTCGCTGCCCTCGGACTACCGCCTCTTCGTCGGGCACGACTACCCACAGAACCGCGACCAGACCTGCTGGTCGACCGTCGAGGAACAGCGACACGCGAACAAACACCTAAAGCTCGGCGCTGATAAGTCCGCATTCATCGAGTGGCGCAAGCAGCGCGACGCTGTGCTCGGTGCACCCAGGCTGCTACACCCGTCGCTGCAGGTGAACATTCGCGCGGGCAGGCTCCCCCCGGCGGATGACAAAGGCCGAGTGTTCTTCCAAATCCCGATCACGTCTTCGGTCGATCTGTGACGCGAGTGTGCTAGGTGTGATACCGTTCGTGGTGTGAGGCGCAAAAGTGCGACATAGGGGATCGTTTGAAGACGGCCGTATGCATGCTGTACTGTTGGGTGTAGCGTATAATCCGCTAATGTGACTGTACCAAAATATCTCTTCGAGATCGCGCTCGGCGTCGGCATGCTGACTTTGAAGTCTCAGAATCAAGCTGAGTACATGTTAGGCCGGCGTCCAGTACATACACCATGGCACTCAGCATTTGCTCAGCATCGATCAATGTGATGTGAGCACCGTAGCTCAACCGTAGCTTACAGTAACCGTAGCGGGGACGGGCAGCCGGTGCGGGGTAGGGCGCTTCTCGGTGCATCCGCGTTCCCATCGAGTGACTGCCATCCATGATTGAGATAGACACAGACCGTGGTGCCTGACTCAACCGGCGCACTTCGCGTACGTATAAAGCGTATCGGCAAGCGCGACAGCGTACGCAGCCTCCGTCTGGGCTTTTTTGCTACTTCACTCACGATGTTGCGGTCCGTCAGGTCGTCTTTGCGTCCGTCACGGAACGTAGGTGCGCGGTACGCAGTGAACTCGAGGGTGTTGCGCGCTGCGTACACATCGACTGCGCTTGGTGTCGAGGTACTCCCTGTTGTTCTTGTGTGCAGAGACGTTGGATTCTCATGGACCTCCCCTTCTCGATCTGATCACCTTTAGCCTTCTAAGCTCGAGATCCAACATGCTCCTCAGCTTAAACCGAAGCCAGATCCTTCGGAGCTGCGAGTGTTCGGCAAGATTGTGGTAAGACTTGTACACTGGTAAACTCGCTTGAAGTGGTTCTCAGGTATCACTTGGTAGACTGATCATATGCTGAGCGTTCCTTGGAACGTCCTCACCGGTTGGGGAACTCCTCGTATCCATCCGTGTGAGCGCATACTCAATCGAGGCGCATGTAGTATTGCTTACCTCGACCCAGTCGGCAAAGTACTGCTTGACCCACATGCAAGCGTCCTGAACTTTGCGCAGACATGTTTCGAGGGCTTCAAAGCCTATCGGACGCCGTCAGGCAAGGTCGCCCTCTTCCGGCCTGACATGAACATGAAGCGTATGCAGACGAGCGCGGGGCGCGCTACATTACCGGTCCGCCCCGCATCCCTTGTTTGAATGGTACACAACTGACCGTCGACTGCATAGCAATTCGACGGTGAGGCTATGCTTGAACTCATCAAGCAACTGGTCCGCCTGGAAAAAGACTGGGTACCGAGCAAGCCTGGGTACAGCTTGTACGTCCGGCCGCTCCTGAGTACGTCGTTGCTATCGATGAGGAGCAATATGCCGCTAATATCACTACGATAGTCGGCACAGAGGGCACCCTCGTCGTCAACCCACCCTCAGATGCCTTGCTCACAGTCATCTGCTGCCCCGTGGGCCCTTACTACCCTGAGGGCTTCAAGCCCATCGCCCTGTACGGAACGACGGAGTTCATCCGTGCTGCGCCTGGAGGCAAGCATATGCGGTTTAGATCATGGATAGTGGATGACAACTCCCGCACTGCAGGTATCGGGTCATACAAGCTTGGTGCGAACTATGTCACCGGTCTCGTTGCCGCGAAAGAGGCTGCGAAGCACGGTTGCCCGCAGAATCTATGGCTGCAGGGCCCGAACCACCTCGTCACCGAGGTTCGTATGCATTACGTGGTTCTCTTATGCGGAGTGTATTCATACGTTCCACCCCTTAGGTAGGCACCATGAATGCTATGGCGGTCTTCAAGCACCCCGACGGAAGTAAGGCTTATTGCACTACCTTTTCGAGCCAATGATTGACTTATGCTGGAATAGCTATCGAACTTGCCACCGCGCCATTGGACGGCATGATTCTCCCAGGTGTTACGCGCAACTCCGTGCTCGCCTTGGCGAGAGAGCATGCCTCGGGCAATTCCAGAATCGAGGGCCTCCCAGACAACTTTGTTGTGTCCGAGCGCGAGATTCCCATGAAGGAGGTTCAGGAAGCCGCCAAGGCGGGCGCGCTCGTGGAGTTCTTCGGAACAGGTAAGTATGAGCTAGCCGTAGGGTCGCCCTCGTACTAACCGGGATTGTCCGTGTCACTAGGTACTGCTGCAGTCATCAGCCCCGTCAATCGTATCCGTTACTTGGACGAGGACGTACATATCCCGACTGGCCCTGACGGAATGGGCCCTGTGTCGAAGTCTCTCTGGCAAAGGCTGGTGGCCATCCAGACTGGTGCCATCGAGCACTCGTGGAGCGTCGTTGTGTAGGAATGAAGGTGTTCAACGAGGTGTCCGTTGCCATGCAAGACGATGTGTAGACGTTGATGGATGTCATGTTGTGCGCTTCGGACATTTCTCCCGCGCGCGACGTATGTGAATCTGAGGATGGATGATCCGCCGTCATTGTGGTCAATGACGGGCAGGGGCTTCCCAAATCCGTACAGCTCTCGCTTCGTGGCGCTGGTCGGGCACCGCATGGTCCTCCTCCCGATGAGGCACATTCGTGTGCATATCGTTCACCGAAGCACTGGCATCCATGGCCATTGTTCTTGCATTACTCACGGATCTGAACGTGACAAAATGCTGAGTGCAGGTCAGTGACATCGCAGTGACTCAGCTGCACACACTCGACCGTGTGATGTTTGTGCTGAATACATGATTTGCCGAGAACGACGCGTCTTTCTTCGCTGAGACCGACGTATGCGGACTCCTGTTGATGGACTGCTGCAAGAAAGCAGCCGAACAGTGCGTTTCTGGCAGATCCTGAACCTCAATGAGGCAGGGGATCATCTGCGCAGACGACCGATCTAGCGCCGCCCGTTATCCTAAGGCTGCACTGCGAGGGAGAGCTGGCAAATACAAAAGTATCAGACGATGGAACTGCCAGACTGAAGCTCTCGTTTCATTGTGAGCCTGTGAACACGGTCAGAGAGCGCGGTAAGGTAGTATATATGCATCATGTGACCGCGTCCCGTCGACACTTAAGCCGAGTCCAAGAAGCCGGAGACAGATCAACCACCACCACATCCTCTCCCTTAATCCTCCCCCGCCCGCAGATACCCCAGTCATGCTCTCGTTGTTGCGCTCGCGCTCCTCTGCCGCGAAGCAGAACGAGGCAGCAGCGAAGCCTCCCGCTGACAAGCAAGAGGCGACCAGCACGCCTACCACCCCGCAAGTTGACACTGCGCAGTCACTGGATGCCGCCACCAGCCCCGCGCCTCCTACAGACAGCACAACCGCCCTAGCCCCTCCATCAGACGGCGCGTCCTCCTCTGCCCCTGGATCTACCGCAGGCAGCGCTGGTCATCAACCGCCTGCGGCCGCGAAGTCTCCTCCGCGCGCAGCGAGACGGCTCTCATGGCGGCCCTTCGCTAAAACGTCTGGCAGCAATGGGGATGCTCGTCCCGCTACCCAGCAGAATGAGAAAACCAAAGTCGACAAGCCTGCAGCCCCCGCAGCCCGTCCCCTCGTGCGCACGCGCTCGGAGAAGCAAGCGCAGGAGTCCGCGCTGCTCGTGCGCGAGCTCATCGTCGGTCCGTCGTCAAAGGCACCCACCAAGGCCAAGTCGAAAGCACACTCCAGCGCCGAGATCGAGAAGGTCAAGGCCCAACTGGCGCGACCCAAGACCGCGAGCAAGGTAATTGCGCAGCTCCGGCAGCTGTCGTCGTCAGACGAGCCGGTGGTCGTGGGCAAGGGCCTGAACGGGGAAACGCTGACCGCTCTCCCCAAGGGTCCCATCCACGCCGTCTGCCTCCCGTGCACAGACGCGGAGGCGCACGACCGCCACTTCTCCCGGCTCACGGCGGACAAGACGACAGCTTCCGAGGGTGCGCAAGGTACTGAGGATGGGAAGACGACTACAACTACGCGCTCTGTCTCGGTCCATGTCCATGCTACTTCATCAGAGGCCGAGGTCTGCAGCGTAGCAAATGCGTCCATCACCACTCTCAACACAGTCTTCTCGGAGGTCAACCTCGTCAGTCTCATCACTACGCCGGACTTGGGTCTCGGCGGGCCGCCAGATGGACCGGGAATCCTTAGTGGTGCATTACCGTCAGCGCAGACTATCATCAAAGGTGTCGAGCAGATCACGCCCCAGCTTATGGCGTTGGGGTATGCGACTGGCAAGTCGGTGTTACCCGACCATGCTGGTATGTGATTATATGTTGCAGTGTGAGTAGAGACAGGCTGATCGCGTTGTCAGGCATCTATCCACCGACCGATAGGATGTCAGTTATCACTTGTATGTCGTGTATACATCTGTCTCCAAGCAACTGGCTGACTGTATGCATAGACTGGTGGGGCTTCGAGGTGGCCATGCCTCCGCCGTCCTTGCATTACCTCGACGTATGCCGTCGTCCTGATCTTACTCCGTTCAAAAATTGACATTTCTACCCTCGTTGCTCTGCATTACAGAATGTGCCGTCCGTAGCGCACGCCGTTGTCAACTTCCTGACTGCGCTGTCTGTGGCAGAGGGCGGCGTACGCGAGATCATGCCCTTTGTGCGATACATCTCGCAGTTCATCGACACCGAGTTTAACATGATCAAGCGGGAGAACGAAGGGAAGGGAGTAGTCTGCGCTGCAACGTGGTATGTTGTGCCTTCTAATGTCCGCGATGCTTATGAACGTCATCTCCCTCCAGGATCATGCCTGTAGCCCTCGTACCTCGTCCATGGGACTTTCCACAACCTCCTCCCAAGTCTGTAGATTCAGCGAGTGAGCCTCCTACGGGCGGCGCGGATGCTGCCGATGCGCCTGCAGTTGCACCGGAGCTCGGGCCGACGTCTGTGCCTATCATGGTCACACCGAACGGCGCGTCCTCTACGGCGAATCCGCCTGAGGCCGCCCAGAACCTCCCTGAGGTCAAGGTTACCCCGCCCACGCCTCCTGCGTCGCAGACGCTGAAGAGCAGCACCGAAACGGAGCACCCCGCCGTCGCTCTCGCTGCTGCTCCTGTCGTAGAGGCTGCAGCGTCGTAAGCCTTGCAAATTGGGCGTACAGAGACTTTTCTTCGTCATTACTGTACGTCACTGGGACACTTTCGGGCACTCGGGCACTCTGGATCCTCCCACGTTTCCTATGCCATTCATATGCGGATACCCTCCACTCTCGATCATTGATAACTTCCAGTCGCTTGATACGTTAGATCGTACGTCCGTTACATTTGTTCATTTCTCGTCTCGCACGTATCTCATTCCCCTCCCGTAACGACCCATCATGACGTTCGTTCACTATCATCCCTTCCGTAGCCAGTGATACCCACATTTTGTACGAGTACAGTACAATGGCGATAGATGTCATCTCATTGCATACACTGTCTCTGACATGGCGAGAGTGGTTGTTGACGAGGCTTGCACGCGAAGCTATACACCAATCAAGATATCGTATTGTTACACGTTACTAGTCGTCGGGCGTAGCTCTTTACAGATGCACAGTACACTTCATATGCATTTCGTTCTCTCCTTGCACTACAGAGCGATCATTGTGTCTTGACGACCTGGTCAGGCTCTGCACACGATCCTCAGCGATGAAGACATGGTTGAGTCAAGGGAACGGAAACGCACCAATGTAGTCGATGATGCCGCCCTGAAGCGACTGCAACTGGTTCAAGTAGGAGGTGGGGATGGTAGCAGAGAATCCCTAAGGTGCGAGAACGGTTCAGTTCAAGACGCTCAAGCCATGTGGTGAAGGGATATGCACCTTCAGAAGCGAGCCGAAGCGATTGCCTACTTCACCGCCTGAGTATGCACGGACGTCAGAGTCCGATCTTATGCGCGATTGAGAGATACGCACCGTTGGCACCGACGTCTGCCGCGTATTTCTCAACATCTGCGTCAGAGACGTGGTCCTTGAAGACCACAATGTACTCTGTCGATGAAACACAGACATCAGCACACATCGCGCCTGACCGCAAGCTCTCCACACGCACTTCCGGAGTCGGACATATCTGAGAGGTTTCTGCGAGCGGAGGAAAGGTGTCCAGAGATGGGAGTCCTGCGCAAGATCGCAGCTGGCCTGGAGAGGTATAAGTACGGCTGGAACGCGCAGTGGCACCTCAAGGGACTATATGCACCTGCGGATTAGGAGTCGAGCCATGCTCCGATACCGTGCCGCTGACGCCACCGGCGCGTCTGCCAGCACGTGCGCGGACGCGTCGCGTTCCGGCGCTCAGACGCGTCCCACGCGGTGACGTCGAGCAGCCAATCGTCGTGGGGCGGGGCGCGCCGCCCGAGCCTGAGTCAGCCACGGCCGCGTCCAACGCCCGCAGCGGACCCGCAAGAGAAACGGTCAAAAGGTTCGAATGACGGTTGACCTGGGTTGATCACCGCTGATGTATGTTGAGATTGCCTTTCCTCAGAAACTGTCTGGTGCCTCAAATCCGAAACTATAACCCCATCATGCCCACTGTGACCCGCTCAGCAAGCGGGGCCACTGCTGCAAGGACTCGGTCGGCCGCGAAGAAGGCCGCAACGGCCAACTCGTCAGACTCGTCAAGCTCAGCAACAGAAGCGAAAGTGAAGAGTGCGAAGAGGAAGGCTGAACCAACTAGTACCGAGAAGACATCCAGGAAGAAGGCAAAATCGAAGGAAACAAGTGAGGGCGACCCCCCAGTACAGCAATCCACTACTCTCGACGCTCCAATCCTGCCATTGAAACAAGATGCTGAGGATGCACCAGCGCTGGTCCCCGCGGTGCTCACATTCTCGTTTGAGGAGGCTAAGCAATACTTAATCGGCGTGGACCGACGGTTTGAGGAAGTCTTCAGGCGAGTGAAGTGTAAGCCTTTCGAACATCTCGAAAGGGTCGATCCGTTCCGGTACGCACGCAGACAGTGATCGCTACTCGGTAACGATCATACATGGCTGACTACCCGTGTTCCAGAACCCTCGCAAACTCGATCATGTAAGTTCCAGCCGTGAAAGGGTGCTAATGGCCTCGCGACTGATCCCGATGGTATGGCAGGGGGCAACAGATCTCCTGGAAAGCTGCCAGGTCCATTACGCACAAATTCATTAGGTTGTTTGACCCGTCAATCCCAGAGGACCCTACAGATCACTCCAGGTACATCTCGATATCCCCACGAAGGCATCGTACTGAAGAATCTGGTTACAGTGCCACGTCATTCTTCCCTAGTGCCAGGCAGGTTGCCGGCACGGATATCACCACGCTCAGGAGCGCAGGCCTGAGTGGCAGGAAAGCCGAATACGGTCAGTGCCCATCATATGCAGAGAGACAGATAATTAACGCATGGCTGTACAGTGCTCGATCTGGCGTCCAGGTTCGCTGACGGTCGTCTGTCGACAGAGAAGTTGCTAGCGTCGGACGATGAAGATCTGTACGAAATGCTTACAGCTGTGCGGGGCATTGGCAGGGTATGTCACTATCCAGGATTTATTCTCGTTATGACACTGACAGTTCTTTTGCCGCTTCAGTGGACGGGTACGTGCATCATGATCACTATCTGTATGGAAAGGCACGCCTGACTGCCGTGGTTGTAGTTGATATGTTTGCAATGTTCTCCTTGCGGCGTCCAGATATCTTGCCTGTCGGTCAGTTGCGTCAGGCCATCGAATTGCTGAGCGGTCCAATGCTTAACTCTCCTCTAGGTGACCTCGGTGTACAACGCGGAGTGTTACGCTGGTTCCTGTCGCTGCATGCTCCTACCACTCATCCGCTTACCATCTCACCCGAGAAGCTCCCGAAGCCGGAGGAAGAAGCCGAGAAGAACCAAAGCAACGGAGACGTCCTTCCTGTACTCGGGGAGGACGCAGCAGGCAGCCAGAGCCAGACCCGCGCACTGACTCCCGACCTATCCTCCATCCCACCCGCGCCCTCCGCGCTCCCAGAGACACCCGTTGAGAAAGACACCACGAAGGACAACAGCCTAGCCCCCTCCGATGAGGACCGCGGTAACCCTCTCCCCCCGCCATTTACGCCGTCGATCAACAAGACACTGAACATGGCGGCGACCGCGGATGATTTTGCGCCGCCGCCCCTGCCTGAGGGACTGACAACCGGGGTACTGAAGAGTCGGCTGCAGGGCAAGAAGACGAAGTACGTCGGCTGCTGATGAACACTGTCGAAAGCCGGCTAATTAAATGTTGTGGATCCGCGTAGGGGCGTGCTGCTGACACCGAAGGAAATGGAGGAGCTCACGGCTAGCTGGCGCCCGTATCGCAGCCTCGGTGAGTGCCTAGATTGTGCAGCGTGGACGAGCCGGTAATCAAGAGCCCCGTCTTACAGGTGTGTTTTATATGTGGGCGTTGGCGGAACCGCCCAAGTAGGGTCGACTTGTATGACTTTGTGGCCCGAATGCCCTCAGAACGCTGGCGTGACGCGTCTTTGTGCTGTTGCTCTCGTGTGGCATATTTATGTGCTCGGTTGGCTAGGACGGAGTGTATCAGCAGTGCTCGCGACGTTGATGGGCAGATTTTCCTTAGGCTCGATGTGGCGTGGTTCGCTCTATCGATTCGATGCGACGTGAAGTCGAGCTTACTGGGTCCGGTTATATTCGCATCTGCTCGATGGCATACGGCAACTGGGCACCGCGCAATGAAGCGTAGCTGCATCGACGTCTTCTTGTTATGCAGCGCTACCTCGAGCGATTAACCCTCTTTCGGCGGCGATAGCGCTGGAGGATCCACACGCTGGTCGCCGCCAGAGGCCCAGAGCGCGGTTCTATCTCGCAGGCCACGTCGGCCATCCAGAGGCCTTTGCGCTGGCAGCCGTCGCTCGGCTACCAAGGCTCCGCCCCTTAAGCACAGATTGGGCTGCCATTCCGGCTGCCTTCCCTCCCAGGTCGGCGTTGCATCGGGAGAATGCCCAATTCACTCTGACGGCGATTGTGATGCATTGCAGAGGCGCCGTGCGATGTGCGATGAGAAGGTGCGCGCGAGCAGGCCCGTGGACACCGGCGCTGGCCGTCTGCCACACGCTGGCCGTCCTTCCTCGCCGTCTGTGCCTGCATATAAGGCTCGGGCCTCCCGCCGTGGCCAGTAAGCACCCGCTCCCCGCTTTACCTGCTCCCCGGCAATCTCACCCGCCGCGATCCACTCCGATGCCTCACTCAGCACTCTTCCAGCAGTGGCACGCCTCCCTCGAGGAGCAGGCTGCCCGGGCCTGCGCTGCCGCCGCCGCCCCTCCCGCCGCGGGCCCGTCCCAGGAGCGTCCTTCCAAATTCTTCCAAGAGTGGCATGCGGCGCTGGAGGAGCAGGGCCAGCTTGCTTCCCGCGCCGTCTATGGCACGCACCAAACCGTCGATGCGCCGGTTCCCGCTGCGGTGCCGACTCGCCAGCGAGAGATCAAGCGGCTTTTTCGCGTCGTCGAGAAAGAACTAGCAGCCACCCCTTGCGTCGGCGTGACGCATCCGCTCTACGCCGAATGGAAGGAGCTGCAGCAGGTTTGTGGACAGCACATGGTAGCCGGCGTCGATGCTGATGATACCCTCTAGCAATACGGGCAGCTCCAAGCGCAGTACCATAAGAGCGTGCGCATCTGTAGCACGTATCTCATACGTCAGTCCCTTTCACTTTGTTGACGTTGGTCGTGTCTTAACATGGATCTTAGGCACTATGCATATATTCCATCCGGAAGCATTCACTGGACCGGATGGTGTTCAGGCTAACACGGCCTTGACCGAAATACTAAGGGTAATTCAGACAATCACGCATCCGACGATCGTCTGACTGACCTGAATTGACAGGTCGTACGCATGATGCAGGAGGACGCAAAGCGTGTCGAGTACCTCTTGTACGATCTCCAGGACGAGATCGAGGCGTTCCCTGCGAGGGTCATGCATGTCGCAAACGCCTCGGGCAGAGCTAAGCCTCGAGGTCTATCCGGGTGGCTGAAGAAGCTCCGGGCGTCGTTGACTAGGCCTGTCAAGGCACTGCTCAAGGCCCTTGGACGGTGTTCTACCCGGCCTAATGGCCACATTCGACTCGGTAGCTCGGAGAATGGTGAGTTGAGCGACACGAGCGGGCCTGTGATCACCCAGCTGATGGCCGTTTGCTAGTCGCTTCATGCTCCGAGAAACATCATTCAGCACAGACAGCCCAATCGAGCGTGCCCTCGACAACTGCCTACCAGTGCCAATTGCTCGTCGACACCCTTTCGGATCTGATTGACGCGTCTCAGCTCATCGAGCGTGCCTGCCACGACGTGCACCAGGCTATCTACCTCGGCTCCATCGTACGTGATCTATTGAGAGATTCTGAGACGCGACCGCTGACCGGCCTTCTGTAGACCTCGTCTGCTCTCATTCGCGGCGAGTATATGAGGGCTGCCTCCCATGGCTCGGCCCAACTCTACGCACATCTCGATCTGGTTGCTCGGATGTAGCGCGCCTCTCGATCTCGCACTCGGACGCTGTTGTCGCCTGCTCTTTTCGCTTTCACAATCTTTCGTACCAGTGCCACCGCTCTTTGTCGCTAAAAGTTGCCCTTCGTGTGGCGCATAGTCAACTGTATTATACTGTCATACCCACTTGTAGAATGCATCCGATTTCATACCCGTCGAATGAGCGGCTGCCGCCGACTTTCGTTGTAGTCCGCCGACGGCGGGATTCGATCTTAGGAGCCGTCATGCCCAAGTGGGGTCGCTTCGGATCATGTGACGGCACATCATGATTCATTCGCTGCATCCGGTCCCAATCGGGTAATGGTTGCAGTTCGACAACATCGACGTCGGTGTTATTGACAAGCATAATTCGACGGCGGACGTCGGCTGCTGCTCGACATTTCGAGGTCAGTAAGGCATATGCTTATGTCAAACGCGGCGAGTCGCTGAGCATGTTTCTCTACCGTTGCCCCCATTTAGGCGTCAGTCCGATTAGCGTGCAGCTACTCACCAACTGCCGGTGAACTACGGTGACGTGCGTCATGCATCACGCCGCAGCGTGCGCTCTGCATTTCAGTGCATCCCTGGACTTCATCTGTCCAAGAAGTGTGTTGCAGAGACTCAGTGGATCATCTTTAGGCTTTCTTCTGCGAACCGGGATGTGGGCGGCCAGCGTGTCACCGCACGGCTTCGAGGCATGCCGGGCGATCTCGACACGTAGGTAACGCATCCTCGACTACGTTCGACAAGGTAGCGATCGACTCCTGACAGGTCTCGGCTGCTCTCCTCGTCGTGCCGGCCCAATAAATATTGGCCCACTCCGATCCAACCACCACCACACCTCGTCTCGCCTCTCCCGCGCCGTGCGACCCCCTCCCGCTTCCCTTGTATGCTGCGGTGTGTAGCACTCACGGGAGTCCAAAATGCCCCTCTCCTCTGAACACACGCGCGACCAGACCGAGACGTCCTGTTTTGGGTTGCTCTCCCCGCCCTCCGATCCGGGAGACGCGCCGTCTGCCCCCGAGGCCTACGCGCTCCAGCCGCAACTGAATGACATCGAAGAGCAACCCCACTCTCACGAGGAGTACTCGCCGGACGAAGGGGGTCTGACGGGCGAACTGTACGCTCCCTTCGTCCCGGCTGAGCAGGCGGGCACCTCCGCCCACGGTGCGACACCACCACACCTACTCGATCCGTATTCGTTCTCTCCCCTGTCGCCCCTTCCCTCCCTCTCTGCGCCTTCATTACCGGGCCTCCAGCCAGATGTCCCGCAGCACATCTTCCATTCGTCTACCTCTGCACCCCCGCAGGCGCTGGACCTCGCCAACGCGTCGCTTGAGATGACGTTCGCGGATAACAACTACGATGGCTACCACAATTACTCCTTCGATCCAGACGCGTCCCCCTTCATGCAGGACAAGCAACTTTTTCACACGAATGTCCTGCGCGACTTCTCTAGCTTTAGCGATCCCGCCGCGTCGTCCTCCGGGTTCCTGTCACCCTTGCCTTCCGTATCTATGCACAACCTGTCCGATTCCACCGTCTGCAGCACGGAGTCCTTCGATATACCGCAGACGGTCTCGCCCGCTGCGCTGCACCAACCCAATTTCTCTGGTGCCTATGCATCCGACGACACTTTGCTCACAAGGGGCCGTCTGTATTCTCCACGCTTTCCGGTCGAGCACAAACTCGATTTAGTCTTCGTACGATCCTACCTGCTCGGTGATGAGCTCGGCGCCGGAGGCTATGGGTTCGTCATGACGGCTCGCCACCGTACGGAGGGGAACGAGGTGGCGGTGAAGTTCATCATTAAGAGTAAGGTGCCGGACCATGCGTGGGTGGATGACGGGTACGGCGGACGAGTCCCGGCGGAGGTCATGCTCCTCGGAGGGCTAGAGCATCCGAACATTGTCAAGTGTTTCGAACTCTACGAAGACGAGACCTATTATTACATGGTGGGTAACTGACGGCGTATTATGTTGATCAACTACTGACTCGACCGCGGCAGGTGCAAGAGTTGCACGGCACTCCTTGGGTATCGAAGAAAGAGAAGAAGGCGAAACAGCCGACTGCCCCAGGCTCGCTCTGCACCCCGTCGGCTTCCTCGCCGCCGCTGCTAACTCCTTCCTTGTCCAACGACTCCATGTTCGACTCGGTACCTCCGACACCATATATGTCGTCGGACAGTCTACGTGACCTTCCTTCTATCTCGGTCTCTCTACAGAGTCCAATGTTACACGAGCAAGGATCCGCTCTTTTTGCCCCACCGCACATCCAACATCCGTCGCCATCGGCGGCTCAAGAAGTGCAGGAGAAGGCTCAGGGGGAAGACCATGCGCATGGTCTACTTCGGGGGCCGCTTCCGATGCCTCTGCCTCTGCAGGTTCGCCCGAACTTTTCAAGGCGTCCATCGTACGACCTCTTCGAGTGCATTGAACAGAGCAAGTATAAGCGCCTCTCCGAAAATCAGGCGCGATACATCTTCGCGCAGGTCGTGGAGGCGGTATATCACTTGGATAGCAAGGGCATCACGCACTGCGACATCAAGGACGAGAACCTACTCGTAGACAGCGACCTAAGGGTATGTTTCGTTTGTCTACCTGTGACACAGAAATGCGTCGCTCACATTCACATCCCACCAGGTGAAGCTCATCGACTTCGGCAGCGCTGTCTGGGTAGACGATCCGTCAGCGCCTCGGCCATACTACCACCAGTTCTACGGTACTACTGCGTATGCGTCCTCCGAGATACTGCGGAAGATGCCATACCGCGCCCCACCTGCTGAGATATGGACGCTCGGTGTGCTGCTTTCGTACCTCCTGACGGGCCATTCGCCATTCCCGACTGAGCTGGACGCGATCGAGGGACGTATCACGCTCCGCGAACTGGGCTCTGCGCGCCTCAGTCGAGCGGCGATCTCGCTCATACAGAGGTGTCTAGAGCGGGACCCTGATCGTCGTGCAGATATTGTGGAAGTGCGCGGCCATCGATGGTTGGTGGGCGCGCTCGAGCGGGGTGGACAGGATCAGTAGGCCTTGCCTCTCCCGAACTCTGTACTACATGGCTTGGCTCGACGGCATATGGTCTGACTAGTACTTCTCGTTAATCTTTGCGCCCCTTCACGCCATTCATTCCCCCCTCGTCATATGCGCCTCTTGATTCTTATCGCATCTCATCGCACGGACATTGCATATGTGCATCATCATGGTTGGCTTCATCGCATACCCTTACCCTTACGACCTGTATTTTTGGCATCTGTGGCCCGTGGCCTACCTTGTATAGCGTAGTACTGTATCGTAGCCCCCCATCGTCATGTGGACCCCGAGTTGTGGATGATAGGCCTTGACAAGTATGTCATGCCTCTCGTCAGAGACAGTTGGCGGCGTAATGGACGGAGCATCGTGAGGCCGGACGAATCGAGGGACAGACATGTTGTTAGGTTCACGTTTGTTGGGGAGCTGGATAGTGTCATGAGGCGTTCGTAGGTGGGGTGAGACGTCGCAGATTTTCAGAACAGCGCTGTGGGGCCTGATTACAGGACTTGTGGAAGATGATGGCCCCGGCGAGACTTGTCTGGACTCGCTCGAGCCTGTAAAGGTGAGGATGAGTCCTGAGAGCATGACGTTACAATTAAACTTTACCTGGAGACGGCAATAGATCCAGAGGGGAATTAGCGCAGTTCGCGTCGAGCTCGCGTTGCCCTCGCACTGGAGGCGAAACATCACCGAATAGCGGTCTTCAACCGGCCAGGTACGCCTCAAAGCCTTGGACTTGGCCAACACAACCACATCAATCCCGATGGCTCCAGGCCTAAGATAGGTAGCCTCGAGCTTCATGAGATGATCGATTCGAGTGCTGTCAGTCTAGTGACTTTGGAGGGTTACCGGGACGGTTGCCGTTGCATTAGCCTCTGAGACAGAGCCGCGTCCGTGTACTACTGAGATTTGAACTCGGGAGAGAATGCGAGTCTGTAAACTCCATACGAACGTGCAGCGGAAGTGTTATAAACGACACTTACTTACCGCAAGCAGGTAATGTCAGCTAGGAAGCGCCGGCCGGGGACCGGGGGCACCAACCAACTCGGGAAGAGCCGGCCCCGCCAGCCAATGGGAGCGGGTGCATCACAGAAAGCCCGCTCATCGTTCAGTGCGGCGACGCCGTCCGCCTCCTTACTCACCTCTTTCTCCGTGTCTTCTCACCATGTCGCTCGCTACACTCAGGGGAGCTGGTATGTTTTTATTCATTTGGCCGGTTTGGTACGGTACTTACATCGTTATTGCTGTCGCAGTCGCCAGCGCAGGTCGTCGTGCTGCCTACAGACCGGCAGTCGGTGTATACGGTGCGTTCTCTATCGTCTCCTATCTCACGAAAGGGCCTCATCATGTTCTGGGTATCATAGCCTCCGCATCTCGCAATGTACACTCGTCAGCACCAGCTGCATCACCGGAAGTTCCTACACATTCAACAAACCCTGAGGAGCCCGTCACTCACATTGCGATGCGAGGTTCCAACCAGCTGAGTCTGGAGACACCACAGAACAAAGCTGGTGAGTTCGTTGCCGCTGTCAAGTTCTTCTTTCTTGTACTAAGCGACTATTCTCGCCTCTCAGAATATGTTCTGTCGACTCTGGACAAGGTGGTGAATTGGGCACGGCAAGGCTCGATGTGGCCTATGACTTTCGGTGCGTGTACCAACTTCATTCCGGTCTGCAGGTCAACTCATGTCTTTACTTGTGAAGGTCTTGCCTGCTGTGCCGTCGAGATGATGCACATGGCTGCTGCTCGGTACGACCAGGACCGACTGGGTGTCGTCTTCCGTGCTTCTCCACGACAGTCCGACATCATGATTGTCGCGGGTACACTGACGAACAAGATGGCTCCCGCTCTGCGTAAGGTCTATGATCAGATGCCCGAACCCCGTACGTATCGTCAACCTACATCTCTGATAGCCGTTGCTGACCTTACGTCCCAGGTTGGGTAATTTCCATGGGTTCATGTGCCAATGGCGGAGGTTACTACCACTACTCCTATTCCGTCGTGCGCGGTTGCGATAGTATGTCTCCTGGTTCCGTCCATTTAAGGGGCAGTTGATTCTCATACACGTGCAGGAATTGTACCGGTCGATATCTACGTGCCTGGTTGCCCTCCAACTGCGGAAGCGCTTCTCTATGGCATGCTGCAGTTGCAGCGGAAGATGCGCCGGAACAGGAAGAGTGTTCTCTGGTAAGAATAGTTGATGACGACTTGCTTCGCTACCGATATTGACCAATTCAATTCATTTAGGTACCGGAAGTAGAACAGCCAGATAGTGGCGAGAGATCCGGCGGTGGATTGCGGGAATTTTTCTGCAGCGGACGTGGACGATGTAGAGCTTGTCGTACTGTACAATGAGCATCTATGGTAGTAGCCGGGTGTCGACTATTGACGTTGTGGTGTGATTGAGTACGATGCCATCCAAATGCCTCGGACCAGAGCCCTCATTAAGGAACGCGGGCGAGGCATGGTGCGGGGCGGTGACTGCCGGCGGTTAGGCGCGTAGAGGGCACTCAACGGTCACGCATGCCCGTTTGTGCTTCAGCTTCACCTCCAGCGACCAGATCTACGGCCGTCCAGCAGGCTGTCTCGACACCCACGCACTTCTCCGATTCTGAGTTGGCTGCTCCCAGCGTCGGCAAGAAGTCACCTGGATCTATCGCCCTTGCCGACATACTTCTGCCAGTCCTCGACTTCTCGGCGCTGGCCCCCGCTAACCTCATTGTTGCCCCCCATCTTCCTCGCTACGCTCTCTAGTTAATCTTCTCTGTTTCACTCCGATCAGGCCTCTTAAGTTCCTCTGCGACTGAGGGATGGCCACCGTATTGCAGCTTCCTCCTCCTGACACCGGTCCAGCCTTCAACGAGGTCTCAACGGGGATATCACCTGCACACGCCCATATGAATGAATACGCAAGCCGTCTTTCCATTGCGGAGTTCGACCAGCTGGGAGACACGCGATATCCCACGTTGAACCCCGCTCCCAGGCCTCTTGCGTCTGTTATGCCAATCAACAGACCTGGACGACATGCAGATGCCCCCGCACCCGTCGATGCGCAGGAAAGTTGGAGGGACTATCCGATGGGTGGAAATGCCGAGGTATGGAGAGGGGAGCAGCTTTTGCAGGAGGTCGCGGCCGGGGACCAACGTCGTGAAGATGCGGCCTCCGCTTCCAGCAAGCCATCCGCGCAGTCTCCAAACGCGGAGAGCACGCTGCAGCCATACTCTACGCCGTCTGGGAGCCCCCCGCGCATGTCAGATCGTGTTGGACGTGAGGATTCTTCTCAACGCCGTCCATCATCGCGAGGCCGCTCCGCAGAGGCCTCCCGACTTCCTGCAGAGTCAGCGCAAGCCCCAGATATGGGTCAGCGCTCGTCGGGGTTGCGCCAATCCCAGGCGCAAGACCAATACGGTTCTGCACCTCCCTCGTCGCCCCGCCATCCCGCCTTACCTTCAGCGGGCATAGGTGGACCTAGCGCTTCCGCCACATCACCAATCGTTCCTCTCGTCGCTGGTCCTTCGTTCACACCGTCTGGCATGCAAGTCCACCTCTCATCCAAACCCCGCGCATCGGCGCAATATCCGACATATATTACACCTCCCCCTGTCATGAACAACATGAACGCCACTTACACTCCGGCTCAGGCCCCCCGTGAGGAGGTCTGCGTCGAGTGTGCCATGCGTGACCAAGACATGGCCGACGTCGATGTCACCGGCCCCGGCGTATGGGAGCGGGACAGCGACGTGATGTATGAGGAGCTCCTCCACAGAGAACTGGAAGAGGAGGCTGCGGGTATTGCACCCCCGGAAAACTCCTCTCGTCCACGGGCGAGGGGGATGCCGTTGTCCGAGCAGAACCTGCGTGTCTGGCTCAGCATTGTGAGTCCCTACCCCAGGATCATCATGGCGTGGTACTAACCTCCTTTGTTTAGAACCCCAAAGAGCCCTCTTCCCGGCAACAGACGCTGGATCAATATGTCAAGTCGCAACGGACCCTACTGGAGGCCGAGGCGCTTGCGCATGCTCGTGCTATGCGCGAGGCCAAGCAGCTGGAAGAGAAAATGCGCGACACGTATTCGCAACTTCGTCGGTCGGCATACGAGTTGGGGACTACCGCACAGCTCAATGACGATGCCAGCGGCGTGCGGATCAAGCCCCCGCGCTCATCATCTGTACCTGCTGCCTCCGCCCTCGCGAAAACCGACTCACAGGGTCGCGAGGTGACCTTGCTAGAGAATGGCATGATCGTCGAGCACGTCGACGTGCGCAAGGAAGAGAAGGAGGAGCGCGACCGTCAGCGGAGGGAAGCGCGGCGCGACAGAAGCCGTGCTCGCAAGTCATCGCGTGGCTCAGCCATCGACGTTGCCTCCATATACTCCATGCCCGTTCCGGGGTCGCAGAGACTTGGGACCAACGACAGTGGGTTCTTCTCTGGCCCTAAGGGCAGCGAGTCTCGTTACTCGCAATCGTTCTCTCCGAGGCCGAGCAGTATGCTTACGACCGGAGAGCGGCCGCACATGCTGCCTCGTGCGTACTCGCAGGCGTCGTTCTCTGACATGCAAAGTATTGGATCTTCGACGTCACCGAGGCGGTCCCGGTTCTTCGGTTTCAAGAACCTCACCGCAGGGTGGAGGAGTCAGGAGAGCTTTGCGCCATCAGGTAGCATGATGGACATGCAGTGCGTTGCGTTCGTTGTTGCGAGGGTAGTCCGGTTTACTGAATGTTTGTTTCAAGCGTCGCTCTGCAACGAGAGGAGCAATACCTACAACAACATCCGCTAGCAGAGCCTGTAAGCAATACACCGACACTACGTGTTGACGACCACTGGGTGCAGGAGGAAGGCTCGTCCCGCACCGCAACGCCTGCGAATGGCTTGGAGCCGAAGAAGAAGAAGAGCGGGTTCAAGAAGATCTGGAAGATCGTGACAGGTTCCAAGAGTAGTTCCGGGCAGAAGGGTCGTCCTGAGTCGCGATCGTTGGAGAAGTCTGAGGACTTCGCTCCGCTGGCCCCCCCGCCGCCATTGTCGTACCTGGTGGACAGGGACCGTGGTCCTGGGTCCAGGCGGCACGTTTCCACTCCTTCGTTACCTACATCTGTATCCCCTAATCCTGCGTCCCCGTACCCCGCCTCCCTCATCACTGCACCTTCTAGCATCATCCCCTCGCCGACGTCCGGTAGACATCCCGCGCCGGACAAGGACAACCTCAGCGACAGCCGCAAGAATAGCGGCACTCTGGAGGACCATCATTCCCGGGCGCCCTCTGGGGATGCCTCTCCGGATCTGGACGCGCGTGGCCGCCCGGCCCAGAGTTCCTCGAGGACGCTGTCAAGTCTAGGACCGCAGACTCCACCCACGGCGCAGTCGCGCGTCTCCATCGCGATTCGGAGGGACAAGTCGCTACCTCCGTTACCAGCGGAAGCAGTTGACTTCCCTCAAGGCAGTCCCATGGCCGAAGGGCGTCCGCAGACGATGTTCACGTATGGTCATCTGCCCATGTCATTCTCGAGCGACAAGCTCCAGCCTCCACAAGCGCCATTCCGGACCTCCGACAAACGCAGGCAGTCATTCGGTGGTCTGACATCGAAGGCGATGATGCAGAGCCTTCCAGTCAAGGGAGTGTTCGGATCCACTCCCGTACCGCCCTTCCTTGCAGAAGAGCGATACAGCGAATTCGGCGCTTCGCGATTCTCGCTGAGGGATGCTGACAACTCTCGTGGGACCGGGACGCAACGCTCACGGGATATTACGGCACGAACCAAGCGACCAAGGAGTCGCTTCGGGCTGTCAGCACTCTTCGGGAAGAAGTCGTCGCACGGAAGCCAGAGTGGGGAGAATGGCCAGGACGTTTACCCCAACGGCCTCAGGACCTCGGGGTCTGACCGTGAACACCCTGTGATTGGCAACGGGAATAGCCATGCCCACACAGGCTCAACCTCGGCGCATAGTGGCAACCAGCGGATGTCCGTCGCGTCGCGAAAGAACATCGCAGAGCTAGTCGACCAGGACCCTGAGTTCGTTGCATACCGGTATCCATCGACAGATGCACGGTTCGAGGTGCGATGATCCTGCTCTAGCCCTTCCTTCACTTGTCTCTCGCATTTTGGTTCTATTGGCTCTATGGTAAAAGGAGGCCCTGCTGCCGTGTGGCGGTTGTACATGATGTCTGGTGCAGTGCTCGTTAACCTATTTCGCTCACGCTCGTTCTCGCTATGTTGTCCTGTCGGTCTAGTCGACACTGCTACTGTTTATCCTAAGCACCGCTGCTCGTCGCATCCCCTCACTGATATACGGATAACCGTTCGGACTAATTTCACCATGCCCCATCGATGATCTTGCATTTGTCTGTCACACGGACCCTATCCTAATGTCCGCATTCATAGTTCTAGCCACCTTGGCGATTGTGTATGTTAGAGTTTCGTTGCCGTTTATTTGAGTTCACACTTCAGGAGAACTTTCAGGACCCTTCAAATCCGACCACGTGATCGGCACGACGCGCGTCGGTGGCGCGAGGCAGTTTCATTCAACTTTCACTTCCCCTTGAGCAAGTTCCTCGAAACCTCAGTCGCTGTGAACCTCTCCTGGTATTTCTACGCTATCTGCAGCCCACGGGATATCTTACTCCTTGATCATATGGTTTGCTGTTTACATGCTTCATTCAGTACTAGTGCGTCGCTGCTCACTGAACGACAGGCGCCTCGAGGTCTGTCTGCGGAAGAGAAACGCGTGAAGCTTCTGGAGATCTTCCATGAGACGGTAAGTGACAATAACAGGTTGGAGTTGGCTTAAGGTCTGACGGTTGAGACACAGAAAGACTTCTTTCAGGTTTGTTACGACATCATATGCCGAGTGCATGTAACACTGAGTACCCAATTCCAACCGTAGCTCAAGGAACTCGAGAAGCTTGGTCCAAAAATGAAGGGCATAGGTATTTTCTCAGTGTTTCACATGTATTGCTGACTATATGGATTGCATATCCTTGAAGTTTCACAGTCTGTCAAAGAGGTGCTGCAAAGCCTCGTGGACGATGGCCTGGTACAGGCGGACAAGATCGGCTCATCAAACTGTGCGTCAATCTTGCTTAGCCTATTTGTATTACGACTGACTGATTGCATATGCATTCAATCCTATCTACGCCGCTCTGACTTGCCTCAATCCGCATATATCCGCATATACCCAGTCTTTTGGAGTTTTCCTTCGCAGCGAGGGGCTATGGTAACCATGGCTGCCTTGACACTTATGTCCTGTGTAGAGGACTGACGATTTATAAGATGCAAAATCGACTCAATGCAGTGAAGGGGAGCCAGGAGTCCTATCGCGCGCAATTGAAAGAGCTGCATGCCGCGATTGAGACAGAGAAGGCTGCAAGGCCCGAGAGCGTAAGCATTTTCACATCAGGATTGCTTCTCACTGTAAAATCTCTCTAGACGGAGAGAGATGCATCGCTTTCGCGCCTATCAGCTGCTCAGAAAGAGCTGCAAAAGCTGGAGGCCGAGCTCGCTCAGTACGGCGCCTGCGATCCCGTCAAAGTAGAGGAAAAGAAGCGTGCGGTAATGCTGGCGAAAGAGGCTGCCGTCCGATGGACCGGTACGCACATCCGTTGTTCCTGTCATGCAGGTCATAGCGTCGCATAACAAACAACGCTGGACTGCCTGTACATGACGCAACCTTACATTGACCTACCGAAACAGACAACTACATTCTGTTGCTCGGGCATTTCACACGGCAGAGTTGTGTGGAACCCAGCGAAATCAAGAAATACCTTGGTGTTGACGACGACTACGAGGATATATGTTGACTGCCATCAAGTGTCTGTGCTCTCTTCCCGCCGATGTCTGTCCTGTATTCTGCTGTATTTTTCTAATGTGACAGGGATGATCTTCGCTCTTTTCTCTGTGTACGTTCGGGTGACACAGACTGCTCGCCGGCTTGGAGCAGCTGCAACAGTCGGTGAGTGATACGTATTCTCCTTCATGGGTACAAGCTACTCAAGGATCTCCGGGCCTAGGGTGCCCGACACCTTGAAACTGGAACGTAACAAGTGCCTCCTTCTTTGCCTCCTTCTCGCAGCAGAAGGCGATAAAGACTCGGGGCGCCGTCGGGTAGTCCCAAATCGCTGTAGCGCCCGGGATTGCAAGCAGACCGCTGAACGCCGCATCCGCCTTGACCTCCGCTGCATGTCAGTATACGCGTCGCATTGAACGCTTGAGCTTGAGGCATGACTTTGATCTCAAAATGCTGAAGCGTTACGCTGTTGACGTTGCAGGACACAAATGCATACATTGGTATGGGTATGTGCTTCTTTCAGCGTACAGAGAATCGCACTGATATCAGCATACGAAGGTTTGCGGAGGCTATGTTGGCATTGCGTAATGTGCGATACCATTCAGTGCTACGCATATTGAATGCTCAGGCTCCGTTGCAGCGAAGCCGGGTGGAGAGTCAAGGGTGCCATCGTGTGTATCGCATGCTCAAAGTAGTACTGCGGTGGCGCTCATCGGTGCTGTCCCTTGCAGGTGTTTCAATTTTAGCTCGACTAGAAGAGAGCACTCACTCAAGTAGGACTAAGAGCAGTCGGCGTTCCTCGGGGTAACGGATCAATCGATCATGCCCGGGAGCGTCACGATCCATTTCAATGGTTTGGACTTCACCTCTGACAGCTGCAGCCAGGCTGCAGTGTAACAGGGAAGATACCCGACACAATCCCATCACAGACTAGCTCCGGGTCGGGATTCCATGAACCGCAGGTAACCGGAGATACCGCGACTGCATAGCTATAAATTAGAGCAGAGTTCTCTTAGCAATGCTACCGCACCACCACGATAGCACACTAGCAAGTCGACTTCATTTGCCAACTGTCACAGTCGGTGCCGTTTCCATACACTCTGTTTAACTATGCCGTCGTACTTGGTCACAGGAGCCAACCGAGGCCTTGGGCTTGCCATGGTCAAAGAGCTTGTACGTATGAGCCTCCCACATCTTGTGGGCCCATGACCTATACTGATACAAGCCACTATTCAGCTCAAAGACCCACAAAACGTGGTGGTGGGGACCGCACGCGATCCGGGACGATGCGAAGCGCTTGAGGCGTTGACCAAAGAGTACCCAAGCGATCGGTTCGCGAGCGTCGCCTTAAATCTCCTTGTCAAGTACACCATAGACAAAGCGGCGGAAGACACGGCTGCGCTGTTGCCAAATGGCCTGGATTACCTGGTCAATAACGCGGGGGTCTGCCATCAGAACGTCGTACCATTTGAATCCGTGTACGTACGCTGTCACGTTTGGTCAAGCATTCCGCCTGAGTTCACCATCATGCTTGAGCAGCGATATGGATGTGCTCGTGGAGGAGCTACACGTGAACACGGCGGCACCACTATATCTACTCCAGAAGTTCCTCCCGCTGATTCGCAAGGGTTCTGAGAAGAAGGTGATGCTCATATCATCGTGCCTGGGATCACTGGAGGCCGCACCTATGTTCCTTGGGTGCAGTGATAGCTATTCGCTGACGAAAGCGGGCCTCAATATGTACGTCTGTTCGTTTTGGTTGAGGCGTACAATACCTCATGTGATCTGCTTTCCGCCTAGGTTGGGACGCAAATGGGGTGCGCTTCTGAAGGAGGAGGGCGTGACAGTAGTAGTTGTCCACCCAGGTAGGGACTCGGAAATCGGATACAAGCTGCCTAGGTCTAACACCGAGTAATCCAGGATGGATTGACACCGACATGGGCAGTCATATCGAGGACTGGGTAGCGCAACATGCTCCTGAAACTCGGAAGCTGCCCCCTTCAGAGTCTGCTGAGGGGTGTCTCAAAGTCTTTCAGATAGCAAAGCTCGAGAATGCAGTTGAATACTACACATGGGATGGTACAAATTTGCCTTGGTAATCCGAGTCATCAGTATACGGACTACTTATCCGCATCGTAACCTGTATTGTAGGCGACGGTTATTGTTGAACCCAAGTCGAACGGCGAGTGCACTGCATGCAGATCGTAAGTCCGCTATGTATGATGAATATATCATGGGGCGCAGGTCGGGCTATTGACCTAGCTTCTTCGAGGACACGCATTGGATGCAATCCACAACTGTGGCTGTCACTCTCAATGACAAATACTGACCCTGAGACGGTCGTGGAACAGGCGTCGAGTGCCGGGCCGAGGCCGCGGCCTTAATCACTTTCAAAGTTTCATACTGAACGCCCGCCCTGGCGCCTAGCGCTCGCTGTCATCGACTATAGGGATCGATACCACGCCCTGGTGCTCTAGTAGCGCTCGCGACGTCTAACCTCAACGTGTCCTCAACGGTCGCGGTCACACACTGAAGTGCGCTGAGGACCTATGGTGTGCTTCCCAACTTCTGTTGAAAGCTGGGAAGTGAACGTTGGCACCAGTCACGCTAAGGTAAGTTCCTCACTTGAACTGAAGCTGTACTGGCTCAAAGAAACGATCACCCAGTTGTCCGCCATAATCTGGGCTGCCATGAACCAAGCCAGAACCATGCTGTTGCGAAAGCGGATCCGGCCGAAGAAAACCGCGGGTACCCGTCGACGCGTACTGCCCGTGCTCCCGCAGGAGATCATCGACATGATCATATGCTCGCTCACTCGAGGGGCTGACTGGTACACGCTCCGAAACTGCAGCCTGACGAGCAGGAATTGGCTTTCGATTAGCCGTGCTCAACTTTTCCACTCCATTGTACTGCATAACGAAGGCTACCTGCGGAAGGTACACACGCTCCTGGAGAAGTCCCCGCACATCGGAAACTACGTACGCAGGCTCGAACTCAACTTCGACGACGCTCGTTCTTCGCAGGCACGCATGCTTCTCAATGTCGTCTTTGAGCACCTTGGGAATGTCCGAATCCTGGCTCTTTCTGGACGCTTCCCACCTAATGGCACGTTCAGGTTGCCGCGAATGGGCTCCGTCACGACGCTCGTCCTCTATCGAATGACGTGCCCGGCGATTGATGATTTGTCCCGGCTATTGGATTCTCTACCTAACGTCAGAGTATACAAGATCGTAGCTCTCAGTATGCCAACCACGGCTACACCCAGCCAGTCCATGTCAACATCGGCCCTCGCACCCAGTGCTCACGAGTTGAACATAGAACGCTGCCACCCCATCACGTATCCCTTCTTCTTATCGTCGCCGTTGCGCATTTTGAGCATCAAAGTGGACCAAGAAGCTCAGCTACAAGGGTTCCATGATGCGTTCCGGACTAGTAATGCAGCGGAAACACTGAACACACTGCGACTCGAGGTGTGGGATCCCACGCTAGGGTGCGATGAAGGTACGTCTCACATCACCATCATCGCAGAACTACACTGATCATTTGAGAATGCCAGGCTCGTCTCAGAAGTTCAAAAGCATGCTGGGACAGTGCCCCGCACTCAAGCACGTACACTTCTGCGCGTACCAATCGATCTCATGGGTTGCTACACTACTATCGTGTGCGACCCCTGATCTTGTCACGATTCGCGTAGACGGCTTCGTGCGTCACCTGGGCGAGCTGGAATATTTGGCCCGCGTCCTAGACCACGATCGCTACCGCCGTTTGGAGAGGGTGGATACGAAGCTGTCGAACTTCTCGCTGCTCTCAAACACGGTCAGCGACGTGGATCTGAGCACGAACAGCTTTCAGCGCGTCTTTGGGTCACTGATAAAGCGAGGGAAAGTGGTGATGGGGCAAGGGCGGTAGGAGGGCGGGGACCTCGCCGAGCTTGGCAATTCTGGGTAACGAGGCTTATGTTGCATTGACAAGAGAAAGGCTGCGAGACACTGGTGTCATTGACAGTCGTACGAATATTCATGAACTCTACGAGTACTCTACGCTACTAATGTGCTCGTCTATGATCTCGGACATTGTGAACAACGCTATACATAATATAGGACCATCAAACGAGGCTTGGAACTTCGCGGTCAAACTCAATCGTCGAGGTGAAGAGCGCTGATTTGGGTCACCATGTACTGATTTTAGTGTTGCAGCGGTGCCAGCGCAAATCTCGAAAGCTGCTGCCGAAGTCTGTCGTTATTTATCCAACTTCTAGTAGGTCACGATGTGGAATGGGTCCAACAGGCCCGACAAGGCTGACTATGGCCCAACGAGGCTGACTATGGCCCAACGAGGCTGACGATGGGCCGCGACCATCAATCACTAGCAAGTGCCACTGAGGCTTCAAGCTTCAAGTTCGTGAGCCGCACGGACGCCGATACTGGCTCAAGTTCAAGTTTCGAGCGTTACTGAATACTGATAGTGTCGTATACCTCCCTCTAGAGAAGCTCTACAAGTACGCAGTGCATTGCGTTCTATGCCAGCCACCCTTCGGGCGCAGTCGGAAAGGCTGACAGCTGGGTTGACACTCGAGGCTGACGCAGTCAAGTTCGAAATCGACGACGGTGCAAGCCTCAGGCTCTCTGGGGACGCATATAAACCCGCCCAGATGCGCCTTTGCACTCCGGGCTCCTTCGTCCTCTACCTCCACCTGCGTACAGGCAAGGTTCACCCCGGCCACGGTGAAGGTAAGCCTAGCTTCCCCTTGACTATGCTCTGGTACCTATTGGCTTTACAGTAAGAATTCTCTGTCCTTCGTCGTGGTCGTTAGGTACGTACATGAACTCTGCCAGATGATTCTTCCTGTCACTGACCTCGAGCCCGCAAGACATCTTCGACTGGCCGAAGATGGGACGCACGCATCAGGTTCTCGATCGCATCACGTCCCACCGAGTGGGTCCATAGCCTATGTCAACCCCATGGCTACACGGGTCCGTGTGCTCTCATGATCATAGCGTCCGTCGGTCGCTGACTGTAGATTGCGTTCTGCTTGCAGGCCAGTTATCCGTGCCGACCCACCACACCCGGTCTGACCACACGGTGGCGACCACCCCGACCACGTTTCGCGGACGCCACCGGCGGGCCATCACCCGCCCATCTGCAATTCGTGGTCAACCACATCCCGACCCGCTCGGGGTGCGACCTCTGGGCTCAGTCGAACCAGGCGGTCACCGCGCGCCCGGGGGAAAATCCCTCTGGTGCGCACATGCGTTCTGAACCGCGCAAGCGGACGGAAGGAACGCGGCAAATCAAGTAACCCAGGACATTCGGGAGGCAAAGACTTCCCTGGAGCATCCTCGTCTGTTGGAAACCAAAGATGAGAGCTTGTTCCGCATAATCAAGGTGAGTATCTTCGTCTGGCGAGCGCGATCTGGTCGGTTGACGTGCGCGTGAAGCGAACGACCCAGGTCAAGAGAGGTCGACGCACAATCAATGGTAGCGGTTCGGACGAGCACAAGCTCGCTCGACCGTCACATATACTCGTCGACGCAAGGTTCGACGATCGTCTCACTTCACGGCCAATCAAGGCTCTGCGGTGTCACTCGGGATCGACCGTCTTCGACTGGCCGGAGATGTGTCCGCGGAACACAAACCGCGCAATATCCCACTGGTGAAATGGGTGAGTCCATTCCGTCAGAAACCCCACTCATTGTTGACCTAATCCTCTGCGCAGGTCAGTTATCCATGGCCACCAACCTCCGGCGTCCGCGCCGGAGTGCGTTCCAATTCGGATAGGCGTAACGAGGAAGGACGCAACAACACTCCCCCGAGGCTCAACGTAAGGAATCGACTTGTCGTGGAGACGGCGTCGCGTAGAGCGCCTAGAGCTTTGCTCAGGGTCGCGGATGGGCACTGGCGTAAGGGCGCGAGCCGACGGCGTACGGAGCGCAGCGATCACCGCCGCGAGCTGGAGGGGAGGGTTGCTTTTACGGAGAAAAGCAGGAAAAAATGGGGGAGACGCAGCCTCAAGCGGGGGGTTTGAGGTTGCGGTGCAATCGCCTCGCTGTGGCACCGGAGTGCTGCAGTGTGCGTAGGGAACGACTGTCCTCGACTGGCCGAGGGCGTGTCCGCGGAGATGATGTTCGCAGAGTGTCCCACAACGGGCGAGATGGGTGAGCGTCTTTCCCTGCGGCCCGCCTTGCATCGTGCTAAAACTATCTGCAGGTCAGTAATCCAAATCGAACAACCTCTAGCACTCCTGGAGGGCATCCGGACTCGGACAGGCGTGACGAGGAAGGATGCAACAGTGCTTCGCCGAAGCTCAACGTAAGGAGTCGACACAGCGTGGCGGCGACGTCAGACGGAGCGCCTGGATCAAGGATCGGTACTATGCCGCGGTAGTACGTTCCTTGGTTGAGCGTGGAAAGACGGCGCACGGAGCGCAGCGATGAGCGCCGAGAGCTGAGGGGAGGGCTGGTATCAGCAGAAAATATGGGGGACGTGGGTGGACTACGAGCACCCGTACTGGTGGCATCCGTTGCGAGGACAGCCTCGCTGACTTTGTAGGAGTTGGTTGTCGCTGAAGTTGGGTAGGATTAGTCCGGAATGTCAGTCTGCTTCTCCCTCATCGCTGTCCCGATGGCTGTAGTGGCTGCGGGGGCAATAGCGGTGGCAGCCATGACGTGTGCGGGGGTGGCGGCGGGCGTCTGTGCATGGTGCATCAGTCCGACTCCCTGCTCGAATGACGACGGCGCAGCCTCCTCACCCCCACTCAGATTCGCCACCATGTCCTCGTCCTGCTCCTCCACTCCTCCATCTTCAATCTCTAGCGTTGGGCTTGGCCAAGCAGCCTCTTTCAGCCTGTACGTTGTTGTCCAACGTCGGCCTGTCGCGATGACTGACCTCCGCTCTGTAGATGTCTTCCGAACATACAGTGTTCCAAACATTCCTCGGTGCTCTCGAGGGCGCCGGTTCCGTCCTACTCACCTGCTTTGCCGGCTACATCGTCGCGCGTCGCGGGCTGCTCGACCATTCTACTGTCAAGCAAGTATCCAAGCTCTGCACAACACTCTTCCTCCCATGTCTCCTCATCGTGCAGATGGGTCCCGAGCTAAGCGTATCCTCGCTCTCCCGGTATTGGATAATACCTCTCTGGGGCCTCATCTCGACAGCCATCGCACATCTCATCGGCTGGGCCGGCCAGCGTCTCTTGCACCTCAAGCACTGGACCATCATCGCATGCGGCCGCCCCAACTCGAACGCGCTGCCCCTGCTCTTGCTCCAGAGCCTTGAGTCCACCGGCGTGCTCTCCCAGCTCTCAGACGACGGCGACCTCAAGCGTGTTCTGAACCGCGCAAAGTCGCTTCTGCTCCTCAACGCCATCGTGCAGCAGGTGATCACGTTCCAGCTCGCGCCCTCTGTCCTCCGGTTGGACGATGGTCAGCACAAGTCCGATGCAGGCCCAGGGACGCTGCGTCCAGGACCTGGGAGGATACTGCCTGTCGCGCAGGACGAGGAGCGCGTGGGGCTCCTGGACGACTCGGAAGACCAGGAGGAAGCGGATGGAATTAATGGGCGCGGGGCACTGCAGCCTATCCAGGATATGCCTGACTACCGCTGGCCGAGACATCTCGAGTTCGCGAAGAAGCCTTTGCTAACCGTGTGGACCTACATGAGTCCGCCGCTCATAGGTGCAATCATTGCGCTCATATTCGGGGTACGTCTCCTTTCGTCTTATTCCTCGTAATCTCTGAGGCAGCTGCTGAAGTGCACTAATATTAGCTCATCCCACCCTTGAGGGAGACGTTCCTCGACGAAGATGGCACCATGTTTCCCGCGATCACACAGAGCGTGAAGAATCTCGGGGAGCTCTTGTACGCCTTTCCGCCGGCTTCTCGCCCTTCTCGCACTAACGCATACATGCACACAGCGTCGTCCTGCAGACTTTCACCGTCGGTGCAGAGCTCGCGCTCGTGCCCTCCAGCTCGCCGGGCGTCCTCCAGACAGTCTGGGTGCTCTCCATCCGCTTCCTCGTGATGCCCGCGCTCAGCGTGCTCTTCGTCTTCCTCACCGCCGGCAAGGGCTGGTACGTCGACGACAGGCTCGTCTGGTGCGTCTCTTCCCTCTCGGCGTCCGCGCGCTGCCGATACTGACGGGTGGTCCGCGCGCAGGTTCTTGCTGGTGCTGATCCCGGCAGGCCCGTCCGCGATGCTCCTCGTAAACGTGGCGGAACTGGTGGACATTGATCAAGGCCCGATCGCGGGCTGCCTGACGATTGCGTACCTGCTGTCCCCGCTGATGGCCCTCGTTTGTTCCATCGGGCTCGCGGTAGTCGACGCCAAGTCGTGATCGTTAAAGGGCGTTGTACGCCGTTGGATCCGAGTTAGGCACTGTGGCAGCTTGGTGGAAGCAATCGTTCATTGAGCATACTCAACTTATGGGGCATTGCTCTCCCGAGGTAACTTAATGACTGTATGACTGTGTCGCGTACGTCGATGTACATATACCGGACGGTCTGGGTCGTGGATGTGTTTGTTGTCGTGCTACTTCCTGTATCTTTCTCGATGGATCCTCTCTGTAATCCGATGTCTGGTGCGCTAAGAGCGAACCTTTACCCTACTTGTCCGTTGTTGTATCACAACATATTTCGCAACGAAGCAGGTATTGTCGAGTGGATCCAGGCGGACTGAAGGCACTTCGCTTTCCGTTGCGGGAGTTTACCGGCAAAGGCCGCATCTCAGATAACGATCTGTGCATGCCTCCCAGCTTAGCCGAGCGTCATACCGAATGCCAGGCTAGCTACGATCTCATAGCATGAAAAAGCACTTGGGTATCAAAACATCAGTTTCAGAATAGGGTTATGGTCGTTTCAGAGTCATATGTCTGCCCGGCAGAGCCAATCAGTCAACCATATTGTAATTTGTGCAATGTGTGCATGACTGATGGAAGAGTGTGCACCAATGTTGTTCGCGATGGAGGATCTCGTCCGTTCACGACTAAGTTAGCTTAGTTCTCTTGCGTTGCGTCGAATCATAGTACTGACTTGCGAAAAGATCATACCGACACCAGGGCACAGAATCCAAGCACAGCAAGCCAGGAACGATGATTGTGCGGGCTTGAAAGTCGCCGGCAGCGAATGTTAGCACGGTGTGCGAGCTATTAGTATCATGCATCAAGCGGCAAACAGCAGGCAATGCTTAAATGAATGTGATGGCGCTTATTGATATTATGTCTGCGACACACGTCTTCTACCAAGTTAGTAGCTTCGCATGGGCAAGTCATCATGCTTGCTTCAACGACGCGACCCAAGCCCGGGCCACCGTCACGGTGTCGCAGATACACTGTCGTTCTTGACCTTGGCTCAGGATACGTTTTAGATAGGCTGACAATCATGCAAAAATCCGGCCATACGCTCGCGTGCTAGCGGAGCGTCTTGGGAAGCATGCAACCAGCGAGCGGTCGCTGCGGGGCTACCGTGACCGGCTATTGCCTACGTGCTCTCACCTACAAGGCGCGATAAGCAGCACAGAGCCATCCGGTAAACGACCTGTACGTACGTTGTTTTCCGCCTCTTGGTGTGGAAGTCATCGCCTTATACTCAAGGAGCGATGTACATTCGTCGAATCGCACCGAGGTTGACGAGGCCTGCCAAGGCCGGTGTTGCTGAAGGCTGCCTATGGCCCCGGTGCGGCGTTAGAATCAGGAACCGACGGCCTGGAAGGTGCACAATGTGGATGAGCTCAGAAGCCTCAGTCTACTGGCACCGTGCGGATGATATGTGTGGTATGCGATCATAGGACGACAGCCGCATGCTAATCGTGTCTGCCTCACTGAGGTTCACTCCCAATCCGTTGACGTTCATCTCCATGGCTACGTCTAATGGTCTTGAACATTGGCGACGACATATGGGTCACGGGGCCTATAGGTCTGCCGTGAACGTTACAGTAATAGCCTATGGCGATGAGAATCGGAGACGTTACGTACCGGATGAATTTGACATTTACGAAGGCGAACGTTGATCATGAGTGAAGGGGCGAGCGGCTCTCCGTCTGCACGAAGGCGTGAAATGAAATGAAATTCTTTCAATGCGTATGTATTGAGTCAAAGGGTACGAAATGAACTCAATAGGACACTACGAGGGCACGTTGTTATGCTTTCTGTGAAACCTCGCGTGTATGCATGCCCTACGTGGTGCCTGAACGCATAGACCGACGAGCTTGAGGAGTAGCGAGGGTAGGATTGATCCTGACCAGTACTAGTTCTAGGATAGCGCCCGGTAAGATTCTCCGCGGTACATAGATTGATGTGAATTCGATGCAGACGTTGTGTGAAGTACCGAGGTTGCGGATTATAACTGCCACTCCGGAAGTACACGATGGACCCCACAAAGAGATGTTCTGTATCAACCAGCAGTAAGTGGAAGACAGAGGCTCCGAACAGTCTGGAAAGACAAGAGACAAGGGCGGGTTAGAGTAAGTATGGGGTCAGGTGGCGGGGAGAGGTGTGGCTGGCATCAAGACTGAGGACAACGTGTTACATACTGGGGTCGGCACCCCGCGGTAGTTCCCACGGTGGTCAGCGGGAGGGCTCGCAGGTGGGATCTAATAAGATCGCGACGACCTCCTCCTCGCTATCCGCAACGATGTCCCTATCGCCTACAACGTCGAACGAGTACGAGCCGACGACGGGAAAGCGGCGCCGGACGTCCTTCACAGTCAGCAGCCAGCGCTCAGAAATGGCGCACTCGCCTCAGGAATCTAGCTCGGGCCAGGCCATTGCACCTCCTGTCCCGCCTGGTCACATCCCCAAGCGGGGCGCGCGGGCCTGCACTGCCTGCCGCAAAGGCAAGAACAGGTGCGAGGGAGAGGTGTGTTCTGTCCATCTGTCGCACTGCCGCATCCTCGCTGACCGCTTGTGGCCCGCCCTCTCCGCCCGGCCCGGGATACGCAGTCCCCTTGTCGACGATGCCAATTGAGTGGTACTCCCTGCGTCTTCGAAAAGCCAGAAAAGAAAAATGCACAGGTCTTGTCTGGTGCTAGCACCGAGTAAGCTCACGACCATCACCTCGATCCATTTCTGACGGCGCACTGGCCGCCATCATCGTTAATCTACCAGACGTCTCTCGCGCTTGGAGGGCCAATACCTTGTACGCATCTGCATGTATAGGATTCGTGCCAGTAGGCTGAATGAAAGTTCTTGTTGTAGGTCATGCAAAGCCAAATGATTGGGATGCAGTCGTCTCTCGACCGTATTCTGTCTGCAATAATACAACAGAGCCAGGCTACTTCTGCGCTCGTGCAACAGTCTGTGTATACGAATGGTGGGCCATCCGCCATCCCGCCGATCCGCAACGGTATGGACATGTACGGCTCCCCCGGCCCTTCGGACGGGCCGCCGGTACGGCAGAACAGGTCGTTCCCGCCATTGCCCGGCTTTGCGCCGCCGGTGCGTCTTCTTCACTATCGAGGCTCTCAGTGAGGCTCAGTCGCGTCCAGCCACACAAGTACGCGACCTATGGTATTGTACCAAGTACGGCGCCATCATCAGATGACGAGTCCGAAGACACGCTACCGAGGGCCACGTTAAACGCGCCGATTGAGGCGTTGCAAGGCCTAGCGAACGCCGCCGCTGAAGCCGCTGCCGCCCCGTCCGCTTCCCCACCTCGGTGTGTCAACGCGCGTTCATGAGCCTCGGATGGACACTGATTATGCTCTTGATAGTATGAAGAAGAGAAAGAAGGCTGAGCCCACGCCGCGTAATGCCTTCCCTCACGTTGTCGAGAAGGTGTGTGCGTTAAGCTATGATGCCTTAACGGTCCCGATAGACATGTATGTGTCCAGGGCCTCGTGTCAGACAGCGAAGCAAGAGAGTTATTTCACATGTATGTGTCAACGTATCAGTGGCCGATTGCCGCGCTCAAATTCGATTCACTAGCTTCTTCTCCGGCTGCCACTACTTCATCCCTTGTTTCGACCCTACATACGATACATATGACGCCTTACAAGAACGTACGCCATGGACGTTCGATGCCATGCTTGCGATAGCCAGCAAGATCCGTAGTGGGACAGGTCCGCTCAGTTCCACGTTTTACAAGTGCTTGGAAGAGGCGCAGGGCATCGCTCGGTCTACCCTCTTCGGTCCTGTGGTGCGGAAGGAGGCGGTGCAAGGTGTGTTATACTTGTGTCCATTCAGCGATGCTTGACTGATTCGCTGGTACGTAGGTATGCTGCTTCTCGCTGCTTGGAGCACGAATGGTTGGCTACCTAGTGGACATGCTATGCGCATGGCTCTCGATCTCGGATTACATCGGGCATTGGAGAAGCTAGCCGACCCGGAAAGCTCAAAGAAGCGGACAGAAGAGGAGGAGCGCAATCTAGGTACGCGTCGGCGTCAGGTCAAATGTGTCGGGTCCCTGACTTCGTTGTCCAGTCGTATCTGCTCGCATCTGGCTTTGCCTGTACTGGTTTGATCACCAGTGCGTCGTGTTCATTTGAGTGATTCATATCCACTTATGTCTATATCTAGGATGAGTCTTGGGACGGGGCGCCCAGTGGTCTTGCGAGACGAGAGTTCTATCAAACATTGCCGCTTACTGTTCACACATCCTATGGCCTCCGTTACCGATGTTCGTCTCATATCTCAAGTGGAGTTGATCGCCCAAAAGAGTATGTGTGTTCCGGGACTTCTTTCCACAGACATATCATTGACAAGTGCCCACAGCCCAGATATACGAGACATTGTCCCCTCTCAACGGTCAAGTGAACCACAACACATTGGCGTTCATACGTCGCGCGAACATCGCCTTGGACAAGTGGTGGCAAGACTGCGATGAACTTCACCGTACGTTAGCTCCCCGCTCACACCTGATCTGCTGTCATGATAGTGTTACAGGAGCAACGATGGACGAAGACGCTTTACCGCGGAAGATTCTTGCCGGCGAGCTTCATTACGCCAAGCTGTGGCTTGTTTGCGTTGCGCTTCGTGGTACCTCCTGGGACAAAATGCCTTTCGAGCAGCGGGAGCTTGCCTTCCAGGCTAAGGATGCTGCATCCGCCTGTCTCTCGAACCTCCTCAACTCGCCTACATATAGGTGACTACTCACTGTGTTCTCTCATGCTCTGTCTGACTGGCCTGTGATGTAGGGCTGCTCTGCGGTATGCTGTGCACGATAGTCTCGTGACAGCTGCTTTCTCTGGCCTCTTCTTGCTGAAGATGGCCAACCTGTACCCAGCGGAACTGGATCTCGCAGCAATCACTATGCAAGTCGAGCAGCTGGCGGAGCTGTTGTCCGAGGTGGCCGCTGAGAGGTTTGAATGCCAGTCTAGCAGTTGTGAATAACTCGCTGACTACCTACATAGATACGCGTTGACGCTGCGCGTTATGCTCGCTAGCCTCAAACGCAAGCTTGGTCTGGGAACGGGACCGTCAGCAATGCCTGGAGGGCAGGACATGATGGCTCCGCCTGCATTTATTGACCCGGCCATCATGCCGCAACTGCAGTTCACAGTGGAAGAGCTCGGCATGTTGCCGGGCTCGCTACCAAATGACCGCGCGATGTTTAGTCCATCCGCGATACCAGTCTGGCTGCAAGAACAGGCGAGTCCTGATGTCATTCTTTGGACGTCTCTTTTGTAACGTTTGCGTATTGAACGCAGAGCTTGACGGACCTTGGGCTCCCGTCCAATGGGTCTGACGGCATGTTCCTGCAGATGGGGCGTATGAACGGCTGGATGGGTGATTTCCCCCCCATGCCGGAGGCGTGGTGACGACGTCAAAGCCGATCTGAATATGTTTTACTCACGTCTTGCAGCGCCGGGGCCCTCTAAAGTGTTTTATTGTGTATTAGGTCCCCGTCATGATACGTTCGCTCTCGTGTACATCGTGTACATCTGCTTGGTGTGTACATATTCATAGAATTCGATAATCCTCCGTTTCACTAGGGTCGTGTACGTTACGCAAGGAACATCTACGCAGGTGTTTGCTACATCGTCTATGCATGCCATCATTCCTCTTCCTCGCTCTCCTCTTGTTCCTGCAAGAACTGGTGACGTCATCAAATGTGAGTAGGTGTATTCAAATGGAGAATGAGTCGAATGTCACCTTCACGAGCGTCTGCGTCGCTTGCAAGAAATGCTGCTTGCCCTGGGGCTTTGCGCCCTTCTGGTGCCAATAAATGATGGCTTGGTCAGAGATACAGTCTTTGTTATACAACACCTGTGGTCGTCGTTAGCTGCCATATCAACCAGAGGGCGACGTGAGCAGGACCTTCAGGATCTGCTGGAACGCCTTCATGATCCGCGTATCTTCGTAACAATACACTTGTACAATGTTGATAAGGGCGACCTCGGTCTTGGGACCATTACAGAAGGGCTCAAGAATATCGGTGAAATTCTGACGAGGAATGTTCTAGGTTAAACCTGCGGCAGGAATGAGATCTGAGAATGGCTCACGGTGATCTCGCGGATTGCGAGAGCTTCGTTCTGGTCCTGACGCGCTGACCACTCGACAGACGATATGAGTCCTTGCCAGATGCACTGAATCAGCTCCGTCTCGGGGAGAGGACGCTCCTCCTGCTGGGTCTTAAGAGTAGCCACGATCTGTAACACGATCAGAATAGAGGTGAGACCATGTAATCCCTTGAACTAACCTCTTCGTGAGGAGTCTCGCGTTCCAGCATCTCCTGTAATGTCTTGATAATGCCTTCCCTCAAAGAGGCATTCTGACGTTTGGTCCACCAGTCCGCCACTTGCGCCAAACCGGCCTTGCGGAAGTGCTCATCGAGCACCTTATCCTGACGCTTGTTCTCAGGGAAGAATGCCAGCAAATCCTTGATCCCGCCACGTTTCAACGAAGCCGCGAGATGATCCATGGATTGCTCCGAGAGGTAGGCGTGGAAGACGGTTGTAACGACGTTGATAGCAACGTCTGCATAGTAAATGATGTCAGCGACGCACGCGTACAACAGTATTTGACAGACCATTCTTCACAAGATGGTCCTTGGTCAGACTCTGCAGGCACCCCGCACTTGCCAGGCCTTGGGCCATCGTGAGGGCAGTCGCGACAGCGAGTTTGTTCCGCTGGACGTCGGTCCACCTGTTGATGTACTGCAGCAGAGTAGGCAGTGATGTCTCCTCCAGAGGTCTCTGCAGATATTTGTACCTTGGTACAGTCTCAGTTGGAACTGCTGCTCGTGGCGGCATTTGACAACTCACCTCCTGATCAACTTGTTGAGTACGTCCACATACTGCTTTATGTTAGCCACCTCCACCGGCTCTTTCGCCTTGAGGACGGAGAAGGGAGAAGGCGGTGCGCCATCGTCCAGGTAGTTACCACCGGGTTGTAGCAGGCCGCCGATGAGTAGAATCTCGAAGAGAGCTTCTGCATACTTGAGATACTCGAGGGTAGAGCCGGCTTGAACAAGTTTGTTGGTTACGCCCTCAAAGTCGTTCTCGGGGACGGTCTCGAGGTGTTTGTACAGTTGGTCTCTGAAGACTAACGTTACAGTAAGGTTGGACTCCCAGATCTGAGATGGGGCGAGACGTACTCGTGGGTTCGTGTTTGGCGTGAGCTTTGACAGCACCTTTCCTTGCTCTGATACGGACCCCCTGGAGCGTAGGCTTAGGTGCAGCTGCTTGCTGAGACATCCACAGGTTTCGACACGCTCGAAAGATGTACAACGGACAGAGTGCGATGGTGCAGAGGACAGCCCGACTGATCTCCTCTCGCTCTCTCGGCACCCGCCGACAACAGATCCATCGAGATTTCCCAGTCTGGCAGTCCAGAGCAAAACATGTTCATTTTTCTTACGATGCACTACCTCAACATGCTATTATTCGCATGAACTCTGCCAATCCTCGCCGCAAACCTCTGAGAGGCACGGAGACTGGCCCAGCTCAGAAAAGGCAGTCCGCGTCGAGTAGCGCCGCAAGCGCTTGCAACTGCATAGTGAGATGCACGTGATGGTGGCTGTCGGGCCTCGGGGCGTGCGACACAAGGCAGCATCTCTTCGCTCTCGTCCCCATCGTACCTCCGCAGCCCCCCGCCGCCTCGTACCTTCACCACATCAATGCTCTCATACACGGCCTTCGTCTCGTGGACGATCCAGGGTATGCTGGTAGATGCAGCTTCAAGCGGTAGTAGGTGGTGGGGATAGATGGCAAGTGCGGGCCTCAAGGACTGACGGCCTTCAGATCTCCCTCCCTTGGTCACCCCCGAGGAACTAAAACTTCCCGGGAGGACGGGCTTTCCCCCTCAGGTGAGGCGCAGCTGCCCATAAGTCTTCTTGGAAGAGCTCGCAGGAGCACCCGAGTGCTCTTGTCCAGCCCCGAGCTGGGGCATCGGTGATACCTTGATGAACGGTACGTCTATACCTACTCACTTGCTTCGAAGATCATGCATCCTCATCACATTCCTTCTAGCCCGTAATGCTGGCTTTTAGGTGAACAGTGCTTGTGTTCTCAACGCGGCATGTTCATTGAACGTCGGGTGCGGCTATCAGTGGATAGACCGCATGTGTTTCGTCTGGCGGTATGTGAGGTGGATGAAGGAGAGAGTGGGTTATACATCGTTTCACTCGATGTATGCGCATGTAGCTGTGAGTGCATCCTTCCGTTACCCGCGCGAGCCTAATCGGCGCGCCGCACGGGAAAGGGGGGCTGTGGCTGACGCGACATTTTCACTTCCACAGACTCCCATGTCATTGCAGAAAGTATTGAATTATACACTGCGTATGAGGCGTACCGTTTTTCCTCTGCGATGCAGGCCTATCTCTTTTGTCTTGCGGTGATCTTCAATGGTCTATAGCGATATCCAAAAAAGGGAGCGGTCTCCAGTTACGTCAGCAGACCAATAAGTGAGTGCGCGGGCCGGTCCGCGAATGGCCGGCTTCGCCTCCGGCCACACCTCGACAACGCGCCAGGCGTCGACGCCGCCCACGCCCCTCGACTTTACCCGCTGCCTACCGACATCTTCCAACCTCGAGGATTCCCTTACTCCATGATATGCCCCGAAACCACAACGCAGGCCCTTCCACCCTCCGCAACCGGAACCGTGTCACAAACAAAACTCGCCTCAAGGTCATCACTGAGAGCATCGATGCAGACCCGATCGTGCTCGATGAAGATGAGGAAAAGGCCAGGGTGGTTTCCACTGCCGGTGTCGACGCTGAGGATGCAAATGTGAGTACTCTGGTCCTCGTCGGGCTCGTTGTGCGCGCCCTTGTTGTGGCTTGCTTTGTGGCAGGCTCTGATTGGCTGCTCGCGTGGGAACTCATTCCGCGGAATGCTGACTAAGCGCGCCTATTTCCCCTTATAGGAACACCACTTGCAGGCAGTGTTGTCGGCGGCGGCCACGCGGCATCAGTCCTCTGCACGGTCTACCAGAGGGACACTGGAGAAGGAGAAGCCGGCGCCAGTGGCATACATCCCCACACCCGATAGTACTGGACTGGTGGACAATTACGAAGAGCTGTACCCTCCGGAAAGATGGAAGGACCCGGCCACTTATGTCAAGTTCTCGGACACGGTGGAGGAGTCCACCCTGTTCGCACTTGCGGATGGCTTCATTTACTACATGGATGAGCGTGACAAGGAGTGGCTTGACCGGAACAATGCTGAGGCCGGCGGCGAAGGCACAAGTGCGCAGGGTGCCCTGTCCGGCACCAGTACGCGTTCGGGGAGGGCTTCCAAAGCCAAGGGCAAGGATCCTGACGTCGCTCAAGCCGTCGCCATGTCCGAAGACGAGTTCGAGCTCGTCATGGCAATCTTCGAGAAAGTGACTCATGAGAAGACAGAGTTCTTGCATCATGTCAGTCCCCTCTGCCATCTCCCAGTCCTTCGCTTGTTCATGTATCTACTGCGTAATGTAGGGACTCGAGCAGGGCACGCCCTTCCCGCCGTTCACTGACTACCAAGACACGTTCGCGGAAGAGTTGAAGCCTTCAATGTTCGCGCTATACACTGTTCCGGATTGGGTACCCACCCCAGCTCATCTTTCTCGATTGGCTCGTGCAATCTATCCACATTGGCAAGAACGACGCATGGAACGCGGGGGTCACCCCATTATACCCGTTGTCAATGTGAGTTACATACTGCAACGCTATGAGCGTCGACGTGAACTGAATATCCGGTAGCTCGATGAGATGGATACGATGAACGAGTCGTACATATGTTTCCGAAGGCGCGAGATCAAGGCGGTCAGAAAGACACGTGCGCAACAGGCGACCTACTCGGACAAGATGATGCGTCTGCAGACCGAACTCACGCAGGCGTTCGACATTGCAAGTGCGGTCCTACGACGAGAACAGCTCAGACGCGAGGCATGTATCCATAGCAACGCTGTCTGGAACAGGCGGTGCGATCTTGTCGATCTCAAGCGGAAATTCCCCAGTTTGGGCACAAAGGAGGACGAGGAACTGTTCCACGACAAGGAACGGGTGGCGAAGAAACCGAAACCAGAGAATGCGTACGTTTCTGTCCTGTTCCGCTGTTGTCGTCGCTGACGTGCTTTATAAAGTCGCATCCCGCTCAGATTGCGTACGCGCGACAACGGCGACATGCTTTCTCCTGTGGCTCATGAGGCAGCCATCAAGCCGAAAGAGCGACAGGCGCACATACAGCAACTTGTCGACCAGGATTTGGCCCGGAGGAAGGAGAAGGATCAGAAATGGGAAGATCATACCGACGTACGTGCTTTGCTGTCGGGCACGCATGGTCGGGCTTACGTTCAGATGTTGTTCACAGAACCCTTACCAACCTCCTCCTCAACCATACCCGTGCAAGCTGTTCAAGTACATCACGTCATCCCGTTCCGCGTCCCAGTCTTCGGCGAGTTCGGACGCAACGATCAAGCCGCTTGCGCGGCCACCCCGTGCAGGCCGCTTACGCTTCGGACGTGGCGGACGGATTCACTTGGATCGACGTTCATACTCGAAAGAGTCGTCCGACTCTTCCGGCTCTTCGTCGTCATCGTCGGACAGTGATGATGCGGAAGAGCAGGACCACAAGCGACGACTGGCGGAGAGATGGAGGTACGATGCCGATGATGTCCCTATGGTGGGTCCCGACGGTCCGGAAGAGAAGGATAGAGTTCTGGTCGACGACTACGACTCCAAGTAAGTGGTCGTTACCTTGCCCTTGCGCAATGCCACTTACACCTCACTAGATACCTCGTTCACCACATGACCCTCCTGACGGAGCAAGATCTAGGCAGCCTCATGACGGATCCGACCCTCGTCGTGACCTTGAGCGATGGCCGTCAGCAAACAATCACGCCGTTTAGGCCAGGCTCGCAAGGGCTGTATGGTCGCTCTATGCCACCCGCCCCGCGACAGCTCACGGCGCCCATGACACCTGCACGTCCCATCCAGTCCTTGCAGTCGTCGAGCTCTGGCATCTCGATCTCGCAGGCGGGGACGCCGGTTTCCGTAGCCACGCAGTTGAAGCCGATGGCTCCCCCCACGATCCCTCACATGCGTATCTCGTCGAATGGAGGCATCCGGGTACCGGGACTGCCAGCGATCAACATGCAGGCTCCGCTTGCTTCCCCTCCAGCCGCGTCCGCGATGGCACAGACGAACGGCAATCACGATGTCAGCGGTCACGCAGATGTGACCGAACAGCCGGCCAAGTCGCCCGCGCTGCAAAGCCCTCGTGGACAACAGCAAGGGTCGCCTGAACGTCAAGCCACCGATGCTTCCACCGCCGCCACCACCTCTCCCATGCGTGCGAAGGCCCAGCCTCCGCAAGCGATCACTATGCCCACCGTGCCTAATGGCTACCATATCCCGAATGTTAATGCCTACTCCGCCACTATGCCCAATGCCACTTACATGCATGCAAACAACCGTTCCAACGGCTTGACCCTGCAGCAAATGCAGACGATGAAGTCGGCCTATGCGTCTATGTCCCCTCCCCCCGATAACTCAATGCAGGCTAATACCGCCAATGTCCAACTCCGAACCCCGGGCTCTTACCTCGGTCACGTACACCAGAACGGCCATCCCAACTACGCTCAGCTGGCGAACGCTCGGCATATGCAGCAGTGGGCAGCGGCAGCGGTGGCCCAACAGCAGCGTCCGCCGTCTGCCAACATGGCGGAAAACAACGGCGCCGATGGCATGCCTCCGCCCGCAATGTCGCCACCGCTACCTGCCATGCCCGTACGGACGCCGTCAGCCAATGGTATGCGCACGCCGATGTCGCGAGGCATGGCTGTCCCTGGGGTCGCCCATGCGATGGGCCAACCACAGGGACGGGCATCGCCCGCGAACCCCCACATGGCTCGAATAGCGACGCCACTCACGCCGTCGCCGCATCTGCTGAACACCTCGTTAGCGGCGACCCAACCGCAAGGGTCGCCGACGAGGTCACCACAGCCACCGATGGCCTCGCCATCGATGCAGGCGCGGCAGGCAGTGGGCAGTTCTGGGGCGGGGTATTAGCAGCTTTCTGTGATTAATTGTATCGCGTACTTGTAGTTAGCTCCCGATTCCTCTTTGGTCGTCGTCTCCTCGTCTATTTCTCTTTGTCTCTATCGTCTTTCCTTGCTGTTGACCATACTTTATATAGCTAAGCTGTTTCATGAATATGTCAGTTATGTGTACGTCCGTGGTTGTGCAGCCATGCGTAAATGCAATCCCCTCTCTGTGCAATGCTACGCCCGTGTAAATGTGGTCCGCCACCTGCGCGCTATTGTTCAGCGCTGGTCGGCGCGTTACACAGATGTATGCTCTTTAAATGCAGGCATAATGTCCTCAAAAGAAAACGCATATCCAAACGTGTGCAGCTCCGCAGAGTATGCTATGCGCGCATTGACAGCTGTGCCTCAGATGCACCACTGGCACTGCCAATGTGTGGACCAAGTCTAAATACGGTGGACGGACCCCGGTCCACAGAAGGCGCATGAATAGAAAGATGATAACTTTAAACTCACTTCGGATGGTGCTTCCGCAATCCTTCCGCCCCCTTTTGAGACTGCCGTCGGATCCGGTGGGGCAATGCGCTGCCTACTGGGACTGAGCCGCGCAACCGGCCACACCAAGCTTGAACTTGAATGCATAGCTTGCGGACATAACCTGGTGTCGCTGAACCACGAGTTGCATATCTGAGTTTGCAGTTGATTTTCAGGTAGGTAGGGGCGCTGTAGATGCTGGGATGCAATGGGAGATGAGAACAAGGGAATGCGGCGAGCACAAGGCAGCAGCCCGGGCGATCGTCTCTGTGGCGGACAAAGCGTGACCGTGACGCGCAGTACAAGGGATTCACGTGCCATGACGCGCGACCGCTCGGCGCCTGTGCTGGCCCCTTCCTCCACCGCGCCGCCATAAGAACCCCACCCGCCCCCGCCTTGTCCTCGCTGTATTGAACGGAACTCTCACCTCACTCAACTCATATCTCATATACACATTCCCGCAAGGATGTCTCCCGTCTCAACAAATACGAACGGGACTGGTACGTGGACGACTGTTTCATGCGACTTGCATCAACCACTAACGAGACGCTGTCCTCCTTCCGCACATTATCTAGGCAACTCGGCACATCAGTGAGCAGAATCAGGATGCTATACTTAGTACGGAACTCATCAACTTGCAAGCAGTGACAGCGACGCCGCCCTACCGCCGTCTTTGTCGTTCAAATGTGCCGTGACCGACTCGAAAGGCCCGCGGCGGTCCATGGAGGACGCACACGCCATCGTCGTCCCCTTCGCCGGGGTCCGCGGGCAGGCCTTCTTTGCCATCTTCGACGGGCACGCTGGCAAGCAGGCTGCAGAATGGTGCGGCGCGAACTTCTCCACGGTGAGCCCGTCTCCATGCATTGCCGCCGCGCGCGGTGGCGCCGCACCCGCTCATCTCGCGTACCGTTCCCGCAGTGTTTCCTCGAGGCGATTAAGCGCGATCCGACGGCTACCATCCCTGATGCGTTCAATCAGACGTTCCACGACGTCGACGGGCACCTCTCCCAGCTCTCGGAGGAGTCGGATGGCAAGATGCATGCGGGGTGCACCGCGGTAACTGCGTTCCTGCGCCTCGAAGATGCGGATGGGAAGCAGTCCTTCCTCCCGCCACACTTTGACCCCATTGATATCGCGCTTGCGGACATGCATCTGGACGATGAGGCCAGCGACGGGGAAGCCGAGGGCGGACACGAGAAGGTTAGCAACAGAGCCCGTATCAAGCAGTTCTTCAAGCCTGCCAATCACGACCAATCCTCCCCGCCGCCGTCACAGGCGAGCTCGGCAAATACGAACGAGAAAGATAATGCATGGACATTGCCCCGCAACGCAACGGTGCGTCGGGTGCTGTATTGCGCAAATGTGGGCGACGCGCGGGGCGTGCTGTGCCGTGCCGGACGGGCGGTACGCCTGACATACGATCACAAAGGCTCGGACAAGCAGGAGGCGAAGCGGATTATGGATGCGGGAGGCTTCGTGATGAGTGGGCGCGTCAACGGTGTGCTCGCGGTGACGAGAAGTCTGGGGGACTCGTCGATGAAGGAGTTTGTTGTGGGTGCGCCATATACCACGGAGACGGAGCTGAGTGAAGAAGACGAGTTCCTGATCCTGGCTTGCGATGGGGTACGTCGTCTCTCTTTGATGCTTGTTATGACCCTAACCTCGTTCTAAAATCCGGTCAGCTTTGGGATGTTATCGATGACCAGAAGGCGTGCGAGCTTGTGCGCTCTATCGCAGACCCCAGGAGAGCTGCGGAGGAGTTGCTCGACTACGCATACAAGAATTACTCAACCGACAATGTCACGGTTCTCGTCGTCCGGCTAAGGAGCCCGCCAGAAGCAATGGGTACTGAGCAGAATGGATCGTGAGCTTGTCGGTTACCCGGAGTATGTTATCTCAATACTGTGTCTTGTTCCCTTGCTAACTATATACGTAGTAGCGCGCTCGATCTCTTCTCCGGAGGCACGAGCCCTTGTGCAGTGGTCTCGTTACTCTCGTGTATTCGCCCTTATTCCGACTCTTTTCTTTGCTGATTCAAGGATCTCGCGCGCATGCACTCGCATACGTACACAAGGACAAGTGTAGCTTATTGTATTGTAGGGGTTGTCACTAAACTCGGCGGGTACGGTACGTAGTGGCTTCGCACTGTAGTGACAGAATGGGATGGTTATATTTCGTGTCACCCTCCGTGACTGCGTTCGCTCGAAAGGGGGCCGATCTAGATCTCGGAGTCCACACGTGTCGGTGTTCGAGTTGCCTAAAACGGACGTCGAGGCTTGGATGATGTCACGACGGTGGCACGACGTCCGACACGATGCCCAGCAGTGGCCAAGGCCAGCGCATACATGCCGAACACACAGTGTAACACATCTGGGAGGCACGCGTTCGCTGTTCGCCTCCCTGCAGCACCCTGCTCGCTCGCGGCCCTCACGACTCTAACCACCAGCCTCCTCTACATTCTGTTCTGATCCGCATATACTCTGCTGCCAGGTCGTCGCCTGTTCTGCACTAACCACCGCCATGTCTAACGCCAAGGGAGGACCCTACGTGCCTGGTCCGACACCTAATTATGCACCGCAGTATGCACCTCCTGCTGGCCCTCCGCCCAGTGGCTACGGTGACCAGAAGTCGCCGTATGAGGGAGATCGGTTTCGGCCGCGGAAACGGATCAACGACCCGCTCTTCTTGATTTTCTTCCTGCTGCAGGTATGCCTTGACCTGCTAGTAGCCGTCATAACTGAACGAGGGACGGTACCGACCGGAACTAGTTTGCAGGATTCATAGCGCTTTCAGGCATCGCTCTGGGTCAATGGGTCAAGAATGGCGGTTTGGGCGGCGGTGTTGGGGGCAGCACGGGGACTGGTGTTACGCTTGACTAGTGAGCTCCTCGCACACCGTCTGTATGGTTTGCCTGCTCACGTACGCGTGCTTCCGTGCAGTCACACTGTAATCCTGTTGCTGTTCGTTACCGCTGCAGCACTCGTCCTGTCAACAATATACCTTATCCTCACGCGCTTCTTCACGCGTCTAATCATGCACATCACCCTCATCCTTGCCATTGTTTTGAACATGTATGTCTTGCGAATCACGTCTCCAGGATTGCGTCAATACTCACTGGACCTTGCAGTGGAATATGTGTGTACTATTGGACGACCCACTACTGGTGTACGTCTTCCCGCTTGGAATTCCGAAAATGTACCATGTCTTGACCCTCCATTTTTGTGTCTATAGCTGGAGCGATCATCTTCACCATCATCGCTCTCTTCTCGATCTTCGCCTACTTTGGGTACCGCGCACGTATCCCGCTCGCGTCGTTACTCCTGCAAGTAGTCATGGATGTAGCGAAGCATCACTGGAGCGTGTATACCGTCGCCTTCGTTGCGCTCATTGTTCAGGCGGCGTGGAGTGTGTAAGTCAATCTCCGGAATTCATAGAAACTTAATACTGATCCCTTCAAAGGTGGTATACATTCTCAATCATCGCCATGTGAGTCCCCGACGTAGATGTGGCTCGTAATCATCTTGCTAACAACGTACAAATGCAGCTATGCGAAGTGGACGCCAGGAAACCCTTGTACGGCCGTCTCTCTACTACATGAAGCTTACTATTCACGCATTGACTTATCCATCTTACAGCTTGCGGATCGGGCTCCTCCTGCTCTAGCAGCAAGGTCGCCGGTCTCATCTTCTACGCGACCTTCTCCTATCTCTGGACATCGCAGGTTATTGGTAACGTGGCTCTGGCCACGCTCGCTGGTGGGCCATTCGGTTGTACGTACATATTTACTCTCCATAAAATTGTGCACTGACACCCAATGCTTGAAGCATGGTACTACTTCGGCCCTCGAGAGCAGGGCACGATGGTGAATATCGTGTGCGACCTCCTCTCTGAATAACTCTGAGCAACAACGTATTTTCAGCCACGGCACCCTACTTTGTCTTCCTTTGGACGCGCCTCGACGCTCTCCCTGGGCTCTATCGCGTTCGGCTCGCTCATTGTGACCCTACTGGATGTCATCAGGCTTATCCTCAATGCTATTCGCAACAATGCCAATGAGAACGGGCATCGTGAGTTTCTATTTAGCCTGCGGGGAGTTTAGACGATTTACAATGCGATCGCAGCGGTGGAAGTATGCCTCGCGTGCTGCGCCGAGTGTATCGTTGGTTGTATCGAGGGATTGGTGCAGTACTTTAACAGGTGGGTGCGCATTTGCCTCGCTCGAGTATCGGGCTGACTCCTATGCGGCTGAAGATATGCATACATTGAGATCGGTGAGTCCATCTATGGTAGAACCCGGAAGGCAGTTTACTCAAGTATATCTCAGCGTTGTATGGCAAGCCTTATATGCAAGCCGCTCAGAGTGCGTGGCACCTCTTGCGTGACAGGGGTGTCGATGCGCTCGTCAACGATTCGCTTGTCGGCATGAGTGAGTCTCGTTCGCCGGTTCCTTCAGCTTGTGCTAAGTCCATTACTATCAGCACTCACCTGGGGCGCGTACGCGATTGGGCTGATCTGCTCGTTGTTTGCGTATCTGTACTTGCGCTGTGAGTCGGGTTCTTTCTTCCCGGGAAACGAAGTCATATTGAGCGCTGGTGAAATAGACACGCATCCCTCGTATAATGATGACGGGCAGTATACCGCACCGGTGCTCCTGTTTGCGTTCCTCATCGGCCTGCAATGCAGTACGTATACTACCTGTCATCCCACATACTCGCTGGCTGACGCAGCAAACGATAGTGATGACGCTCTCGTCAGCCATCCAAGCAGGCGTGTCGACCATGTACGTCCCTCTTACACTACGCCCTATGTCAAGTACTCATCCTGACACCGCACAGCTTCGTCGGCCTGGGCGAGGACCCACAAGTGCTAGCGTACCGCGCCCCCGCGCTCTTCAATCTCATCGCAGCGACGTATCCCCAGGTAGTGCAGGGCGTGCCGAGGGTGTAGCGCGGGCCCGGGTGTAGTCTCATGCCCATAGCTGGTGGGAGATAACCGCACAAGATTCAGACGATATTACGATAGTCAAACTGTACTGTCTAGATGTGTGCTTTGTGTATCATCACTAGTGTAGACCCATGATGGACTTGCTCAGACGTATCTCTACATCTACTGGCGTAATATCGTCTCGGAGTCGCATGCGTCGAAGCCTGTTGTGTGTCAGGGTTGAGCTTGACATGTCAAGCATGTCAAGCCTAAGTAGTATACCAGCTGGAAGCGGACGTAGAGTCATGGGCAGTACCAGTAGTGTCGATTGAGGCTACACATCGACGACTCAAACTCAGGGCTACATGGCACACGCAGGGGCTTCGAACAGTGAACGTTGACGTTGAACAGCCTCCAACTGCGTTCATGTGACTGCGTGGTCGTTCAGCGAGGCCTTCAATGCAATTAATGATACAGCGTGTAGCTTCAAGTTGTACTCTGCGGTATTCAAAACAGGCAAACAAACGAGGACAACGCATCACAAGTTCGATGGGGACGCCATAGCGAGACAGCACGACAGCAGGACTAGAAAACATTACACATAGCAACCTGAGACTGCACATTCAAACGACCCCTTAGTCTCGTACTCGAGCATCCCAGATCTTGCGGAAATCTTCCTCGGACAACGTCACCGGTTGGGCCCGCACACCATCCGGATCTTTCGCAGTGAGATGTTTGATCGTATAATGTGTGCTCTCCAGTCCTGCCGCGACCAAAATGACGATGCAGGAGCGGGGCCGGCGCATTGCAGGGGTCTTATACTTGAAGGTGTTTCCGAGTTGAGCGACGCCACGGATTTCTGCTTCAACCTTTTTCGTCTGCCGAGCTTTTGGACACGCAGGGTGATTCAGAAAGTCGGGTTCAGAGTTCTGATACACCTGAGCACACTGGAAACTACGCTGATAGTGAGTGATACATCGAACAGATGAGCGGGCGATGCGTACAGCTTCTTCGTGATGTTAGGGTTTAGCCTGCCAAGCCGCGACTCAGTCTCTAGATCCCCAGCGCCCAGCTCGTTACAATAGATAACATTGAATGCGCTGAATGCAGCAAACGAGACGATGCAATGGCTGAGACAAACTGTTAGTGCCGACCTCAAGATAGGACAGTTCACGGACTTACTCTTCAACTGACATCTCCGTAATGGGCTTGGTATACGCCCTTATTATCCCCTCGATGTACTCAACATAGCCGTCTTTCTCCTCTGCGTAATTATTGGCAGGACCGCGTCCCCGCGCGAACTCTGGGTCGTTGGCCCAGCGATCCGAAGCACGTGCGTGAGTCGATGTAAGCCCTTCCTCCGTCTTCTCTTTGGTGCGGACGTGATGAGCATGTTCTTCCCATAGACACCCGTATCGAATGAGCTGGTCAGACAAGACCTTGTCACGCTGAGCTTGACGTGTCGTGGAATGGGACCTCGAGGCGGACGAAGGCCGAGGCAATGGGGGTGGCGCAGGTCTGGATACCCTGAGAGAAGTACGACGAGCAGCAGGCATGGAGAGCTTGCAAAGGATGTGAAGAATGTAGGGGACTGAGGTGTGGCGAGGTGAGTATGAGTCGTGATAAAAGAACGACGCGAATGTCCGCTTGAACGCGTCTTATGTAGTACGCATCAACTTGAACTTCGATCGTATATCACGCACGTGACCATTTGCAGGTGGCGCGGTTGCACTTGCACTGTGCAGTGCCCGGGGGATCTGTAGCCGTTCGCCACCATCTCCCGAGGTCTCTTCTCGCGAACGCGCTTCCGACTCATCGACTAGCCACTGGCTACGGTATAGACAAAGGGCCTTCTGACCATGACAATCTGTACCGCCTCGCCGGCGAGTACTCATCTGTAACCACATTTCACCGCTAACGGGGTTCTTTGCCATTGTTCCAGATACCACTAGAAGCCGACTGCCTTGAGAGTGACTCGGAGAGTGGGGAATATCTGGCTTAGATTTCCAGAATAATGGTGTTCCTGCGGGTACATAAGGGCGGTGAAGTGCCTTGCGTATCCAAACACACGTTTAGATCGCACTCCACACATTCCTCAAATGCCTCCTCCTCCCGGTGGGCCTGGTCCAAATGTCCAAGTTGTGCAAGCACGTAAGCTCTTTAACATCTTCTACAGTGATCGTGATCACCAATCCGTCGTCAGCGATGCCTCCGGCGGCATTCATGTTCTTCATGCCCATAGATGAATGGGGCCTTACTTTCGATTTATCGACTAGGATTATGCAAGACCCACCCCCAAATGGCTGGGGAGTCAATCGTTGTAAGTTCGTGAAAATCTCTGGTCTATATACGAGCATTTCATACGCGGGTTGCTCCCCCACAGCGACCATTTATTCAAGAATAGCGAGACGCCTTCAGCGACAAGGGTTTTATCACGCCCAATACTCAGTGTACAACTGCCAGAACATCAGCGGCCTTGCCGTTTACCACTACATGTGCAATCTGCGCGTAATCGAGCCAGCGGGCATATTTTCTACGGCGGTCAGCAGATTACAGATGTTTCACATCGACCACCACACAATGATCGCCACTAATGAAGTGCGGCTTGGTGGCAATATGGCTACTCATCTCACGGGCACCACTCCGGCGAACCTTGTACCGAATCATGTCCCTTCAGCGCCACACCCGTTGGACCCCAGTTGGTGTTGGTAGGCCTTAGTAGGATGTGGGTGGCTTGCAACATACAGTGTATAATAGCTGACCGACCACTTCCAGTCCAGTTTACTCGGTTTACCGTGGTGACTCTGCGCCAACCCTCGTCGCCTCATGCTCTTGGCACCTGTCACCCGTCTTGCCACTTGCGATGCTATCTCTTTTTCATCCGTGGTTGAACTGCTCTCTCTACGCTCTCGGTACTACACTTCTAATGCTATGTCGTCCAGAATTGCTTTGAACTATGTCATTATATCACCTCTCGTTGGTCCGTAATAGGACAACAGTTCGACGGTAGTGTTCAACCCACCAGGTATCGACCAGAAAGGCAACCAGATCTCAAGGCATCATGATCGAGGCAGTGAGTCAGTGACGCTCTAGAAGTAGTGACGGTCTAACTTGGTTCACTCGGATGGTCAATAGACTCGGTGAATGTACATTGGCAACAAACTCTAACAGATACAGAGACGAGGACCACAATATAGCAGACTGCCACTGTTCTTCCCACAGACACCCATATCGGGTGAGCTGGTCCGTCAGGCGTGTCTCGCGCTCAAGTTGAGCAGCTTGACGCGTCACAGAGCACGATGCAGAAGATCGCGCCGCGACAGGCGTAGAACGGGTTGGGGGTCTAGTGGCCCGACGAGATCCGGGTTGGAGTGCAGTAGCCGGCATGATGAGCGACTGAAGTGTCGGCTGGTTGTTGGTCGCAGGAGGTGACGCGTAATAGAATGATGCTGAGCGCTGCCAGTGCACAGAGTGCTGAGTACGGAGGCCTAACTTAGGGGGATGGGTGTAGGGACGTCCGACTCCGTGTGTTACCCTTACATTCACTTGAACGTTGAACACCCTCCCACCGCGACGGTGACTGTGTGGTCGTCCGACAAGGTCTTTAACGCAACGATACAATGTGTACCTTGTACTCTGGGGTATACTCAACAGGCGAACAAACGAGGACAACACATCACAAGTTCGATGGGGACGCCATAGCGAGACAGCACAGCAGCAGGACTAGAAAACATTACACATAGCAACCTGAGACTGCACATTCAAACGACCCCCTAGTCTCGTACGCGAGCATCCCAGATCTGTCGGAAATCGTCCTCAGACAACGTCACCGGTTGGGCCCGCACACCATCCGGATCTTTCGCAGTGAGATGTTTGATCGTATAATGTGTGCTCTCCAGTCCTGTCGCGACCAACGTGACGATGCAGGAGCGGGGCTTGCGCATCGCAGAGGTCTTATACTTGAAGGTGTTTCCGAGTTGAGCAACGCCACGGATTTCTGCTTCAATCTTTCTCGTCTGCGGACGTTTTGAGCGTGCAGGGTGATTGAGAAAGTCAGGTTCAGAGTTCTGATACGCCTGAGCACACTGGAAACTGCGCTGATAGTGAGTGATACATCGGATAGATGAGCGGGCGGTGCATACAGATTCTTCGAGATGTTAGGTTTGAGCCTGCCAATCCGCTCTAGATCCCCAGACAGCTCGTTGCAAAAGATAACATTGTATGCGCTGATTGCGGCAAACGAGATGATGCAATGGCTGAGACAAACTATTAATGCTACCGACCTCAAGATAGGACGGTTCACGGACTTACTCTTCAACTGACATCTCCGTAATGGGCTTAGTACGCGCCCTTATTATCCCCTCGATGTACTCAACATAGCCGCCTTTCTCCTCTGCGTAATTTTTTGTAGGACCACGTCCCCGCGAGAACTCTGGGTCGTTGGCCCAGCGATCCGAAGCACGCGCGTGAGTCGATGTAAGCCCTTCCTCCGTCTTTTCTTTGGTGCGGATGTGATGAGCATGTTCTTCCCATAGACACCCGTATCGAATGAGCTGGTCAGACAAGACCTTGTCACGCTGAGCTTGACGTGTGGTGGAATGGGACCTCGAGGCGGACGAAGGCCGAGGCAATGGTTGTGGCGCAGGCCTGGATGCCCTGAGAGAAGTACGACGAGCAGCAGGCATGGAAACGCTTGCAGAGGATGTGAAGGATGTAGGGGAATGAGGTGTGGCGAGGTGAGTATGAGCCGTGATACAAGAACGACGTGAATCTCCGCTAACGCGTCTTATGTACTAGTAGTAGTACGCATCAACAAGTTGAACGTTGAACAGCCTCCCACCGTGATCATGTGACCGCGTGGTCGTCCAACGAGGAACCTCAGGAAGCAGCGCCGTACGGCGAGCGCTAATTGGCAGTGACATACATATGCACGTCCAATGATTAAAGATCCCACTTCTGGGCTTTCTACCGTATAATAGGTGAGTATCACGCAACAGCTTACTCGACAACGTATCATGCTTAATATCCCTGCTCGCAGTATCGTGGTGATGTCGGAAAGTACTTTCGTCGCCAGTTGTGTTCAAGTTAGTCCGATGTCAGGCTACGGGCGAACCCTATCAGCGACCAGTTCCAGCTTCTAGTAGGACATACCCGCTCAGACTCTAGAACCGTCGCTCTGCTCAGACGACCCGGGCTTGACTACGGCGGCAGTCTCACGTCCTCCGGCTATGGGTCTCTCACAGCGACATGTCGCGTAACGGTTTCGACCGACATGTAGTACCGGGTGCCTCGCTTAGCCCACTTTGAGCGTCATAGTAAGTCGGTGGTACTTGTATCGCGCGTGCTGCTTGGCTAAATGGGCCCCCTCCTCCTCCTGTCAGCAGATTGTGCAAGGAACGGGGGCCGCATGATCATAGTACTAAGGGCGCGCACTTGATGTTAAAGCAACACAAATGGCTCAATGATCTTGCCTCGCCCTCGTCCTCGCTGCCTTACTCCGGGGACAGGCTGCGCATAATCGCAGCGTAGTTGTCTTCCCTCTGCTTGGTCTTTGTGGCGAAGGCTAGGTGCTGAGCGCTGAGCGCTGAGATACGGCAAGATCCGATTGTCGATATTCCTGTGAACACGGTCAGTGTTCGGGGCGACCACAGAAGGCGTGCACAGGCTTCTGTGGCAGGGAAGCATACCGCATGGCACCTCCACGATGCACAGATAGGGTGGGCAGCCAATCGTGCTCGTATATAAATGCGTGCCATCCGATTGAGGACTGCCTTGCTACGGCTACTTCCACCCGCACACTCGAGGTATTGATTTTCATGGAATCCTTTTGTCCCGGTGACTGATTCCTTATGATAGAGACGTGACGGAGAGGATGACACACACCAATCTCTTTCCCAATGTTTGTCTGCTCCATGAATACCGCTACACCGTCGCTCATTGCTTCGTCAGACAACTCGAGTCTCTCCATCTACGCTGACGCCTCCCGCAGGCTCGCGTGTGATCCTCGCGACTACGCCATGCACCAAAGGCCACCTGGCACATGTCGATGTCCCGCAGTCGAAAGGCTGCCGAAGTCCACTGGACAAGGAGCTTCCTGTGGATGGCGCCTTGCCTCGATTCCTCTCCGATCGCGTTCCTATGGAAGTCTGCGAAAGCATCGTTGACGAAATGGACTACTGCGACTTGCCGATCGCGGCGTTGGTCAGTCGCGCTTGGTATGCCCGCTCCACCCACAACCTGTATTATGTCGTTCATATCAAATCCCGCAAATCATTCAACTCATTGGTCGAGCAATCACGCAGGTCGCCCCGCGTAAAGCAAATGCTCACGACCACGCATCAACTGCTAGTTGCCCATGAGGACCGGCGCTCACAACAGAAGCCATTTCTGGACGCTCTGCCCCTAGTCTTTTCCAACGCGCTGCCCTTACTGGAGATCCTCACGATCAACGCCGCCCTACGACCTTCTATGCACCCGACCTTCTTCCTCGCGCTCTCGCATTTCGAGCGTCTGGTAACATTGGAGTTGTATCGCGTGGAGCTGTGCAATATCACCGAACTGCGCCGGATCGTCCGCGCATTTCCACGCTTGGAAGAACTTGGTCTCGATAGCGTGACAATGATGCAAGCGTACCCTCCCAACAACGGCTCACCACATCTAGCACGACCCAGCTCGTGCCTGCAGTCCAGTATCAAGCTTCAACGCCTTCAGATTGGTGTCTCGCCTCAACCCGGTTGCGTCAGGGCCTTGCTATCCCTCGTTAACTGGTTGGTAGATTCGGAAAGCTGCGCCTCCCTCCGTGATCTGACAATGAATTCGACTCTCTGCTTGACATCTGATGAGGAATATCAAACTGTGTTCAATCAGACCGACCGACTTGTCAAAACAAGCGGTCGGTTTCTGACGTGCTTTCGGGCAGTACATCCGATCCCCCGTCCTCCATTTTTCCCTTGGCGTCAGTCGTTTCTCCAAGCTATACTACTTGCTCATCCACTGACATGAGGTTATCTTGCAGGAGGATCATCCGGCAGTCATAATCTCCTTGCCAATGTGGCCCTTCGTGAAGTGACGCTTGCATTGTACGCCATCAATGACCCTGAGGATCCCCAAGACGGTTGGCAATCGATGGCGGACAAACTTCGTGTGACGCTCTCCACAGTCCGGAGCCATCGTCTCGAGCACATCACCGTCAACTTCTGGGTTGATCTTATTCTCCCGGACCACTATCTTCGGAAAGGGTGGCTCGAACGGACCCAGAAGCAATTTACTGCAGACATGCACAGCCTGCACGAGGTCATGGCGCGGCCGTACTTCGACGCGTTGAAGAGCGTCGACGTCAGGATAGATGCAAAGTATGTCTTGCGTAGACTGCCACTCTCGAGCGAGCAGCGGATCCGCGAAACAGCCCGGGAGCTGGTCGTTCCTAGTTTCCGGAATTGGTTCGCACCGTGGCATCACCGCGGTATAGTGAACGTCTTTCATGCACACAGGCGGAAAATACAGTAGTGCCGAAGCAGTTCCCATCTCGGAGATCAGACACCTGTACGTCCCCTCAGGCTGCTCAATGGCTCTAATGAAACGCAACCGACGCCCGAGCTATCTAGGCGATATACTCGAGCCGTATTGGTTTACATGATCGGTGGTCACGTCCAGTACGTGAGTCTACATGTTACTCATGCTTGCTGTCAATTGACCTCATGTGCTTCTCTTTTTGGCAGGAAGCAACGTACCTGAAGGAATCGACGTTTCTGTCTCACAAGCATGGTACTTGCCCTCTATCACTCCGGAAACAGCGATGGAAAAGTCTCACATTCATTCGGCTCGCGAACTACACATATATGTATCAGTTATGCAGCGCGCATCCGGCTCTTGTCCAAGTTCTACCCAATCCATCAATGTTCAGTATGCACCTTGCTGAATACAAATCGCAAACACCCACTGTAAGTACGACATCCCGAGCGAGTGCCCCGCGTCTCTTACGGCTCTCGAGTTGCGCACAGGTCATTGTTTGCTTGAAGGGCTTGTGCTTGCGCGATCTGACCGCCTTATTGGCACTGGTCAACACCCAAGGAGAATTGTGCAATTGCATCCCGCGAGCCATGTCAAGTTTCTTTGCTCGTATCGACGGACCGCAGCGCTGGGTACATACTTACATGTCTCAGGTTTGTTCAGCACGTTTCGGGCACGCGCAAGGCGTGGACGGAGTACACAGGGCGTCTGGACAAAACAAATGAAACAAAATAAAATGTTCCTAGGGGGAGTCGAGCCCCCGTCTCCACGGTTTCGTATGCAAGGCAGCCACAACGTGATGATCTGACCACTAATCGATAGGAACCTTGCGAGAAGATCACATTGTGTTTGTATGACCAGCATGGGTGGACTGAATTGGACTGCGGCGGGGTGACGTTGTGGGGCGGGCGGCGGACTCGGATCTGGGCGTGCGGCAGGACCTCCTCCAGGCGAGGCGCGAGCTTCGTCGGTTCTACTTAGTTCGTCTGCTCTCCCACCTCCTCTGGAGCCCCAGATTGAGCCTCAGCCATGCGGAAGACCTCCTACGTTATCGCATTTTTCGCCGTCCTCGCCACGGTTATTCTGGTGAGCTGCCCTCGTATCTAATACGCCCGAAAGGTCCCATTAATCCCAGTAAACCTACACAGAATGGTTTCTCCATCACCCGGCCAGACTGGTTCGCCCGTTCCGCTGCACTCGGCTTGCTCTCCCGCTGATGTTGAGCGTTGAAGGCTCATCGTGAACAACCCAGAGGTCCTCCACTCGAAAGTGACCGTCCAGTATGGTCTCAACAAGCGGTGCGATAGGCAAGTGATCGTCATCCCCGGTCTCCCTGAGGGCAGCCGCCTCGCCTACACCGACTACAAGTGCCGCCCCTTCCCGAACCGCGTCGTCGACAACTGCGAGAAGGAGAACAAGACGTTCTGCATGGTATGGAGCACTGCGCACTACTTCACCGAGCTGGGCATTGGGTTCGGCGTCGTCGCGTGTCTCGCGATCCTGGTTGGCGTGAGCACCCGCTCGCGGCGGCGGAGGATTTGGAAGATGGTTGCGTGGCTGGCGGCGTTCCAAGGTGCGTAGCGACGCTGTGCCCTGTGGATGCTTTCTGATGAGGCGGATGGCCGCGGTTACAGCCATATTCCAAGTGCTAGCGTTCGCTGTCGTGACCCATCTCTACCGCCTTGCCATGTACCCGTCTTTCGAGCGGGCTCGCCCCGGTACGTTTATCATGCATGCCCTCCCGAATGGGTCAGGCTGAACGCGTTCCAGGTACTGCCTATGTCCTCAACACGCTCTCCTGGATCTTCGGTACCCTGGCGACCGTCGGCATCATCACCACCGGTATTTCCGCCAACAAGGGTCACCGCTGGGCTGCCGGCAAACGGGCATACCGTCCCATCGAGGGCTGATGTATCTGGGTATGATATCACGACGTTCACGACCACGATCATGAAAAGCCTGTCCTTTCCATCACGTCTCTTGAACTAGTGCTCCGACGCCCGGCACACTCTTACCTGCCGCGACTTCGCACATACCGCTCTCCCCGCTCTCAACCTTACTGTACTATTGCTGGAACGTCTGCTTCATCCCATATATGCCGCCTGCCCCTGACTTTCCACGTATACACGTGTTAGGCAATTCCATTATATCGTTCGTTCATAGATACAGACGTCCGTGCAGAGATGTTCGGTGCTGAATGCTGTCAGTATTCGTCCTCGGGGTAGTCCACCTGGTCGTAGAGCCGCAAGGTCTCGTTCCAGTCGCGCTTTCTCCTCCTGCGAACAGAGAAATACTTCGCCTTGCTCGCCCACCGTCCGCGCACGCGCCCTTTCTCCTTCCCTCCCGTGCGCGCGAAGTACGTCTCCGGGTCCGGCGGGAGCCCAAGAGTGTTCACCGCCAGGTCCATCACGCGCTTATGCAGCTGCTCGCGCACGGCATGCAGCTCCCAGATATGCTTCTGGCCCATGCGAAGGAGCGTCGAGAGCACCGCAAATGCGCGGAACGCCGAGACGGCGTCCTCGAGCCAGCGCAGCGCCATCCACATCGCGACGGGGACGAGCACCACGGTGAGCGGTGCGAAGGGGAACGTGAGCACCGTGGCGCTGCCCCAGACGCACAGCCCGGAGAGCAGCCCGTAGATGAGCTTGTACTGCGCGATCTCGTCCCAGGTGTCCCAGATCGGGCCGGTGCGCTTGAACCGCGAGACGGCGACGAAGGTGGTGAGGAAGACGGGCAGCCAGAGGAGCAGCCCGGGGAGCGAGATGGTGATGAGGAAGCCGAACCAGGCGAGCCGCACGATGATGCGGTAGAGGATGATATGCGTTGGGATTGGTCGGCGGATGCGGTCGTCTTTGATGCCATGGCGGGCGAGTTGGTCTTGGTAGTCCTACAGAAGGGAAGACTGAGAACCAAGTCTACAGAGTTCCACATGAGGATTACCTTGAGGTCATCAGCCAGTTGTCGGATCCTCTCGTCCTCTCGTATCGCGCCTTCGTTATTCTCCTTGCACACAGCCTCACCCTCGCTACCGCTGTGATTCTCGGATATGGGGCGATCCGAAAGCTTGAACGCTTCCAGGAACGTCCGCACAACGCGCACGTAGTCACCCAAGCTCATCGTCGTCCCTAGTGGTGCATATATGCGTGCCGCGAGCTTCGCGTTTCGGGTCATTTTCCAGGAGGGCGCGTCGAGGGTACCGAGGCTAATTTGCTGGTGCATCTTTGCTGTGAGAGAGCGAATTTCTTCGTAATTCACGGGAACGAGAAGTTCAGGATTGTCCTGTAGTGCTCGTTCAACGAGTGGCTCGTGTGGCATGGGTTGACAGTCTATCTTACCTTGGGAGTGAACCTCAGAGGCTCGTGGAACGTGACCAACACGTCTGACCGGAAGTGTTGTCGGTGCCTGCACGAACCCGTGAGCAATCATATGAATGCAACGAGCTTTCCACGTACATGTAAGTGATTGAGCACGTCTGCACGAACATCTCAAAGTCGGGATTGTGTCGATTGCGTGACAGTACATCAGAGACGAGGCGAGCAACTGGGGCGGTAGACATTCATTCAGCGTATAGCGAGCGATGAATAGCCACACTAACCTCCAGTCTTGAGCGGAGCAATAGTCGGGTGGTACCGGCTCATGCCTTCTGGGAACAAGCAAACAGCATCCCCGTACTCCAGAGCCTGAGAATTGGCAAGTCATCAAGTTGAAGGCCTACCTGAGACCGACACGAGGAAGGTTGGCAAATGTACATACCTCGATGAGGTGCTGCATGACATTTGTATTGTCCGCATCGCCACTAGGGAAGTCTTGGCGTCGCTTGATGGGTACGGTACCAGCAGACTCTATCAACCAGCTGGTGAATGTTTTCTTGCCGAATTGCGTCGACTTGGCTGTGAGACGCAGAAGGTTTCGCCTCTGTTACTGTTGAGTGCCTGTGTTGATACAGTGGAGACAGGTGCATCACCTTGTGCGGAATTGTGGTAACCAGAAGACTGGCATCTATGGTCAGCTGCTCCCGTTCTCTGTAGGTGCGGTAATGGTACTCACAGAGCATCGGTCAGAGAGTTGCTGTGGTTAGCGCATACAATGCTGCAAACGAGACTCGGTACGATGTAGGATGCGTAGTTACATTGTGACCGCGTACCATGGTTTGCCCCTAGGCGGTATTACCTGCGCATTCTCGACTACTATGGTGCCGTAGAATATCTTGAGCACAAACTTGAACAGCAGTCTGTTTGCCACGTCTGAGAACATGCACATATACATAAAGCACACCTATGACTGCACGGACCTGATGAAGAAGTACGACCATGGCGTTGGTGAGCCAGCGGGCATGCCAGTTGAGACGATATACTGATAGTAGCTCAGACTTCAAGCTTCACGACGAAACAAGGGCTCGGCCAGGCAGGGTGAGCATACAGGCAGTGGTGGCTAGAGACGTAGAGGCGTCCGCTACTGCGGGCCAATGCTTGGAGCGCACCGCTCCGAGCAACGTTCGCAGCGAGCGCGTCGCGGCTATGTCGCGGTCTCGCGGCACGCTCACGTGTTACCCCGCATCAAGGCCAAGCAAGCACCGCGCAGTACCACCCGGTGTACAATTCAGTATGTATCCCCACCCGTGGTTCGAAAGACACATGCATAGCGAGATAGATCCTCAGAAAGTACACAGGTACAAGCACAGCTAGTGAACGGTCTGCTTCATCGCTTCCCAGCGATTCCAACGCGCTTGCGTCCCTGCTTTTTGGCTGCTTGTGACAACGACAGGTAGGCGTATGGCTCCACGCCCCCCTTCTTGACATCGCCTCCAGCTTTCTGTACAGAGGGTCAGCAATGGTCAGTGAGGTAGGCTGATTAGACGTACCTTAGCCTTGAACTCTTGGCCAAGCTTAGCTTCTGTTCTCCGCTTGTTCTTCTTGCCACCGGCCGCATCAGCCTCGCCCATCTCGACATCTGCGTCAGCCTCCTCATTTTCTCTCCGCCGTTTCTTCGTGTCCTTGTTGAACTTGATACGCCCGTTCGGACCGCGCGTGAAACCGTCTGCTGATGTCAAGCTCTCCTTGTAAGCGTCGTCTGCTGCCGCGACCTCATCCGCTGCTTCCTCGTCCTCGTCAATGACCATTTTGCCACTGTCTTCATCTGTCTTGAAGCGAGCGGCATCCTGGCCCGGCTTTCGCCGCTTGCCACCTTTTGCGTCTGCTTCCAACTCAGCATGGGACTGGAGGTCAGAATGTTGAAGGCTACTCACTGGTGAGACGGGCTGCTGCACCGTGCAAGAGATCCATGGGTTCATTGTCGTCCATACGAATACGAGCCCCTCCGCTGTTGTTCTTGGATTTTTCAGACCGCGCGTTGCGAGCTGCGGGTACATCATCATCGCTATCGTCAAGCTCACTCTCGCTCCCGTATAAAACGTCCTCGAAGGCATCTCCACCAGAGGGCTTCGACGCGGGTTCCTGAGGGGCTAGATGTGAGCGCGAGCAGCAATATGTTGATGGGATTCACACACCTCCTCGTCCTCGTTATCCGCGTTCATGGCTTTCTTCCTCTTGGCCCTATCCTTCCTCTTCTTGATATTCACCAGCACTTTGCGTGCGTCCTCCTCACCCGCACAAGCGTACACATCCTCCCACCCGAATCTTCGGAGCATGCGCTCGAAAATGTGGCGGACCTTCGCCTTGAAGTGGTTCTTGTGGTCGTGCGACCAGCGGAGAAGAGCAGGGACAAGCTCCTTGAGGTGCGGGCGGAGAAGGTCGGCGGCCATTGTGTGGATCGCGAGCTTGACGAAACCGAGCACGGACTTGACAATCTCGCGGTTGGCGGAGGTGACGAAGACGAGGAGGGTAGTGAAGATATCCTTTTGCATCTGAAGGGACAGCGAATCTAATGACATTGTCAGTAACAGTAGAGCTGAGATGCTTGCATGACGTACCCTTGAACTCGAAGACGAGACGGGAAATAGCTGTGACGGTCGCACTAATCATATGCGGCGTCGCACCTGCTAGTCCGCCAGCAATCATGGTCATGTATTCGTCAAGACTAGCAGTCGCTATACCGATCGTAAGTATCGAGGTCTGCTGTCAAGCTACGCACACGTACCTTCTGGAGCACCATCCTGATCCATTCCGTCAACCGCACTCCGCTTGACTACTCCACCCTCGTTCATCTTCTTGCCCATCACAACAATCAGGTCAAATGCAACATTGCGAGCCTTCTCGGACGGCTCCTTGGTACCGAGAACCGCTTCTGGGATGACGGACAGCATGAGATGAAGATGCGCAGGTGGTATAAGTGGGACAAGACGAGTGAGCAGCTGGAATCGGTCCTACATCCACAAATTCAGCATCGACTTCAGCGGCTAAGTACATGAGAACTAACCTTCTTTGCTGCCGCAGCGAGACCATCAGCGACACCGTCCAGTTGCCGGAGCACCGCGTCAACATCTACCGTCGCCTTTTCGCCTTCCACGAGCTTCGCAAGGATCTTGTACCCGCGCTTCTGTACGCCGTTGTCTCTGCTCTCCAGCACCTCGCTCTTGAGGCAGAGGTCGAAGAGCGCGGTAGCATCCACGGAGGAAAGGTGAGGCAACACGAGCACGAGCAGGTCTTGGGTTACCGCGGTGATGTTCTCTAGGCCCTTTGCGCCCGCAGACTTACTCGTCTTCACGAGGTTCTGCTTGAACAGGTCGACAAGCTTGATGTATGCCCTAGCAATCTCCTGCAAAGTATGATGAGTCGTGTAAATTATGGCGTGCTTCGGCTGCTCCACGTACCTGCTCACCGGCGATGCCAGCCCACACACTGACGACGTCCCCGACCATGCCCTGCGAGTCTCTCCCGGCGCTGCTGAACACGTTGAAGAGCACAGCAAGCCAACTCTCGGCCTGCCCGCGCAGGAACTTCACGTTCTGCTCGGCCTCCGCTTCTGAGATCACATCAACGCGCACCGACTCCGGAAGTTTGGTGAGGTCTCCAGAGGCGATGGCGAGATTCGACTCGATCAACGTCTTGAGAGCGCGCAGAATGGCCGGCCGCAGCTCCGTCTGGTTGTACAGAAGCTGGGACAGCAGCTGGGCGAATTCTGGTGTCAGGGCCTGTTGGGATGTTACTTAGTCGCTTATACGTCACACAGGCGAGATAAGACTCTACCTTCTGCAGATCCGGGGGTCCCCAGCAGTAGCCCGGTAAGCCCTGCCAAATCTGCTCGACGAGGACGCTCCACACCTTCGCCTCCGACTTGCGGCCGGCGCTCTCTGCGGTTTGCTGTAGATCGAACATGCGCTCCGTGAGAGGTACGAAGTACGCCAGGAAATGTCCGAGAGGCGAGGGATGTGGCTGGGAGAGGAGAGGGAGTAGGAAGGCACGCGGTTCACGACCAGCTTGTCTGTGTTCTGGTAAGTCGTGAATCAACATGGTTGAGATATAGTGAAGTACCTGTCCGCTGGTTCGAGATCGAGAGGTAAAGCCTTGAGCAGAACCTCGGGACCCAGAACACGCATAGCTGTGCTCAGAGTGGCATCTGCGGCCTCCTTGTACTCGAAGGTCTTCTGTACCCTGAGGTCGCCCACCTTCGCGATAAGGGGCAGAAGGAGCTGTTCGGACGCCGTCGGTGACGTTCTGGAGCCACCGCGATACCTCAGATTATCGATGAGTGACGAGACAACCGCGAGCAACTCCAGTATCGAGCGGGCCAAGCTGAGTGCGTCGAAGGCTTTGGTCGTCTGCGCGACGATCTTGCCAATGACCGACTTCTTCTCCTGACCAGCCTTCTCCGCGAGCGCGGATTTGATAAGTGAAGGCGCGAAACACTGACCCACTTGGTTGAGGGCCTGGGCCGCCGCCTTGCGTGTCTCTGTGTCCTGGAACTCGAGCAGCGGCCATGCTGCCTTCCAGGCCTTGTTCACATCCTTCGCACTCTTCTCTGAGTCAGTCGCGTAAAGCGCAAGCATAGCGTTTCCGAGGACCGCTGCCCACACAGGTGCCAGGACAGTGTCGGTCTTGGCGGGCGAAGACGAGAGAACGGCATCGAGGATGTCCGAAAGCTGCTCTCGAATACCGCTTGATGGATCGTCGACGGCCGAACTAAGCAGATCGGAGAGTAGGGAGTACGCAGACTGTGCAAGGTAGGGGTTGCCAAGCCGCGGGAGCAGGAGGAGGGATGATGTTAGGGAGGGCAAGGACTTGCGCGCGTTCATCAGATCATATGATGATTACAGAGAACGCGGATACTCACTGCAGCAGGAAGTGTGGGGAGAACAGGGCGCAAAAATGCGAGCAGATGTATCGCAGTGTCCGGGTTGTCTGTCTCTGCTTTCTTCCCCTTGAACTTCACTGGGGCACCCGTGTTGACTTCTCCGAGAGCGGAGATGGACCAATCCGCGACTCGCTGAGCATAGGGATGTTGAAGCAATGGGGCCGGCGGATTTGCGAGGACTTCTTTGACGATCTCACAAGCCTTCTTCCGCACTTTCGGACGTGGATCGAGGGTGAGCTGCAGAATGAAATTGAAAGACTGGCGGAGGCCCTGTGACTCTAGCTGCGGACGTTCGAGGGCCTGGAAGATCGCACCGTACAGTCCGAGCTGCGATCGCAACGGCGGCGCATGGGAGACAAGAGTAGGAAACAGGGGTGATGTGAGTGATATTGTGGTGTCTAGGTGGGCCCGTATGACAGGGTGCGAGACGTGCGGGGTGACAAGGGCGAGTAAGTAGAGGATTGCAGGTAGTACATCTCCGTCGCCAAGTGGTGGTCCGGATGTAGGTGCGGCTTGCAAGGCACCCTCGATGGTAGTTAGAAGAGCGGCGAAGTAGGCGGTTGGAGACGGTTGAGTGTTCTGCTCCCGGAAGGTCGCCTCGAGAGCGTGCAGCAGGGTCGCAGGTGTCTTTTGGTGAGGTAGTGACGACGATGTGTGAGGGCGTATCTTGGCCAGCGCGGTCTCCAATGAGTCGGCCATGATGTTGGCTGATTTGCAGTGATGATATGGCTGGCGCGCCAGACGTTGTGAGGAGAGCCCGCGCCGATGCTGCACCGATGCCTGCAGCCTCGAGCGCAAGAAAATCTTGAAGTGAGATCTTGATCATGCCGCGATCGGGGTAGCTGTATCTTGGGCGCCTGCTGCAGGGTCATAATGGGCGCCAACCAAACCATCCTACTGAACTTGAACGACACGGATGCTCGCCGTCGATCCGAGTACTGGAAGTTGCAGTCAGCACACTGCACTGTCTACGACTAATGTAAACACTCTATCATTTTTCTCTTCAAAAGGGGCTACTACATGTGTCGTGGTCTACCACGCTCTATCTCCCGCTACTGGTTCTATCTATGGTCGAAGCAGGTAGCATCATGCGCACCCTTTTGTGTCACTCGATTCCCAGAACGTGGCGAATGAGGATGATAACGAGCTGCAAGGCAATCGTGAGGATGCTGAGTCTTTCGCGCTGATCCCACACGCATGCCTGGCCCAAAGTTTCGAGTCGCAATTTGGTTCGTCGTCCATCCTGAACGGTCGCATGGCTCAGTGCTCACGAGCCATTACCCGATAGTGGAGGGGGGATTGGAGGTCTATGCCTTGCCGTTGCTCTCTCAAAGCACTCGGACATACAGGTGGATCTGTATGAAGCAGCTGCACGTTTCAAGGAGATCGGTGCTGGCGTCATGATCTGGTCGCGGACGTGGGAGATACTGACTCTCCTCGGACTGGATGGCAAGTTCGCAGAAATAGCCCATGCTCCCCCTGACGGTTCCGACGGTGCGCTACAGGCTACCTCACATCACGCTGCAACTAAGTATACAAAAGGTGTAGGATTTGACTATCGCAAGTCTGACCAGCCGGAGGAAGGTCACCGCTTCTACTTCTTTGAACGTCCGTGTGAGTACAGTGATCTTCGCGCAATCTTCAGAGGATACCTGACTGTACCGACCCGCCTCAGATGGCTGCATCCGTTTTCACCGCGCGCAATTCCTCGACGTCTTCGTCGACGCGCTACCGGAAGGCGTCGATCACTTCGGCAAGCGACTGATTTCTTACTCGCAAACCTCATCGGATACGCCAGTGGAGTTGCATTTCAGCGACAACACATCCGCAGTCTGCGATGTCCTGATCGGATGTGACGGCATCAAGTCGACGATTCGCAAACAGATGCTTGAAGAGAAGGCGAGAATGGGTCAGAAAGAGTTACTGCGAAACATCAACCCGATATGGACCGGCACTACCGTTTATCGAGGCTTGATCCCAGTCGACCGCCTCAAGGCTCTGGATGGTAAGGAGCATAGGACGATCGAAACACCAATGATGGTATGGACCGTCGTGCATCCGGAAGCATCTCGCCGCTCACGGAAAATCGCAGTATTGTGGCAAACACAAGGTTGGTCACGGCCGCACAACATGAACGCCTCGGATTTCACAGTCGTTCATGACGCCTCCATAGCACGTCGTCAGCTATTCCATCTCTAAGCGTAGTATCGTCAACGTTGTGGCTTGTACATCACGTCCTGACCTTGAAGGGTCAACATACCGTGACGGCGAGCCATGGGTTGTTGACTGTACGCAAGAAGAATTACTAGATTGTTATAATGGCTGGGAACCCGAAGTCGTAGAGATGCTCAAGGTACGTGAGTACACATTCAGTCCATGCGATGGCATTGAGCTGTTCGGACAGTGTATCGAGAAGCCTACAAGATGGGGCATACATCATCTTCGTCCTCTGCCAATGTACGTATCGAACAAGGTCGCATTGCTTGGAGATGCGGTAGGTCTCTTGAGCATCATGTATAGGGCGCTCTCCAATGCAACGGTCCAGGCACACGCCATGAGTCCGCACCAGGGCGCAGGTGCAGGACATGCCATAGAGGTGCATTTCAATCCGACGCATCAACGCCCATCCCGTCTAACATACGTACGATGAGCGCAGGACGCGTTCATCCTTGCGCATCTCTTGGGACATCATTCCATTACCCTAGCAAGGCTACCACAGGCACTGCTCGCTTACGAGCACGTTCGACTGCCCCTCGCGAATCACGTCCTCCGGGGCTCCTACGAGTCGGGCAAGATGTACGAGTTCGACGGCCCCCAAGGAGATAGTCTACAGGGATTAGGCCCAGCACTGGAGAAGCAGTGGGATTGGCTCGACCAGACGACTCCGACAGGCGAAGCAGATAGAGCAGTAGAGCGGCTCGAAGATATGGTACAAAATGAGTGACAGAGGCAATGCATGTGGATCCTATGTACATACACACTGGCACGAGCGTCGGACTGTGCTCGGACTCGTCGAGATGAAGGCAATCCTTCCCAGATCCTTCCTATATTTAAGCGAAAACGCGGTGTCCCCACCGCGTCGACATTTCGGCTTCGTGATTGGCTGCAAGTGCCAAGCTCCGCATCCTGAGCAGAGCCACCGTGGCCCATCCGCGCACGTGACCGCGCAACGGGGGCCCCGAGTCGCCCGGGCGCGAGGGGCGCCCCTTACAGTAACTTCCGCTTCAAAAGCTATATATCATATGTACTACTCACCTACTTAACTTCTGAACTCTGTATCGTGAACCGTGAACGTGAACCGTGCAGTGCACAGGTGTTTGCTATCAAGTAAGTACTTAAGTGTGTAAGTTATGTACTGGAAGGCCAAGACGGTATTGTTCCAGTAATGAAATCAAATATCATCAATCCCTGGTAGTATATCGGTTAGTACACGCGCCTGTCATTGTAGTACAATGCGCGCGCGAAAGCGGGGTTCGACTCCCCGCCAGGGAGAGTTCTTTTGCCCCTATGCTTGCGGAATATCGTACTGTGCAGTAGATTGGTTTTGCCAGAAGGTCGGTAAATTGGAAACTACGCCCCTACGGGAATAGACGCTGGCCGCACTGTGTGCCTGCCCAATATGGCAAGTGCATCTTTGCCCGCTGTTTCGTAGCGAAACTCGACACCTGTGCACTTCTCCTGACATAGAGAAACTATAATTAGATGACCTCCAAAGCGCATCAAAAATATTTTGATCAGCATAGGGCCGCACTTTCCAGAGACGTCCTCGGTTTTGCAGCGCAAGTCACGAATCCCGCTGAGTCGGAATTCAGGCGTGCGAATTTCCCCCTTGTTGTGATCTATTTGCCACCTACAGAAAACACCAGCGCTTCAAGTCGCCACAACCTGACTGAACCCGGGGCGATATCAACGACTGAATGATACAGTCTCTCGCTATGGCAAGGTCTACAGCCGGCAGACCCGTATGTATATTGGCAGGGCCGGAATTTTCTCTTTGTCACTTGTGATCTGTTTGGGACGTACCGAAAACACCGGCCACAGCCCGAGTATTCGCGCGCAGCCTGCGGCAACATCAACGCGTCAACGTGCCAACCACTGAGTGACACCAGTAGTCTTTCGAATTTCACCAGTCATAAGCGGTCACAACGTTTGAACGTTCAAACGTTCACAGTCGGCGCACCCGTCGGCGCCATTCGAGTATTGAACTGTGCTTGCAAGGTTCTCAGATTCTCTTGACTGGTTTGAGCATCACCTGTTCACTCCCTGGTCACGTATGATAGCACAGCTATGACTCTGACAGGCAGCCACGACACTAGTATGACAATCGGTAGCGGAGCGCAGCGTCATGGTGTCTGTTGGTATCCATACAATGATTGTCCTACTGTGCTTTCAACTTCTCGACGAGTTCCGGAACCGCCTCGTACAAATCCGCTACAAGTCCTGCGTCGGCTACCTGGAAGATAGGAGCATCGGGGTCCTGCAATCTCCCATTAGTGACTGTCGCCGTTGCATTCATTAACCGACATACCTTGTTTATCGCCACAATCATCTTAGAATCTTTCATTCCCGCCAGGTGCTGAATGGCGCCGGATATGCCGATGGCCATGTAGAGCTCAGGCGCGACGACCTTGCCAGTTTGACCGACTTGCAACGAGTTGTCTGCGTAGCCCGCGTCGACTGCAGCTCGGGATGCACCAATCGCAGCACCAAGAATGTCTGCCAGCGGCTCGAGCGTTGCGTTGAACGTCTCGGCATTCTTCAGCGCGCGTCCGCCAGAGACGACGCGGCTCGCAACACCGAGCTCGGGACGGTCCGACTTCGTCAAGTCGGTCCTGACATGCTGTGAGGGCGGGCTGGAAACTTCAATGGGGTCGACGGACGTGTCCTCCACTTGCGAGTCCTGCTCGGGAGCCGCCGAGAAGGCAGTGGATCTCACTGTGAAGAACTTGATGGGGACTGACGGCGGCGCACGGACAGTGGCAATAGCGTTGCCTGCGTAAATGGGGCGAGTGAATGTTGTTGAGTTGTCGGAGCTATCGTGCTCCACGGATGTGATGTCGGAGACAGCAGGGAGGTCGAGCCGTGCCGCGACGCGAGGAAGGAGGGACTTCGCAGAGGAAGAGTGCGAGGATACAACATGTGTGAACGGCGCGCCAGACGAGAGAAGCTTCTCGAGGAGTGGCGACACAGTCTCAGGGATGGGTGCAGCGTACTGAGAGGATGTGCTGTGCAGAAGGGCGCTCAGACCCTTCAGCCTAGAACAGACACGCGAATCAGCTGCTACTAGATCGCGGTCCCCTATCACGCTTTATGACTTACTTCTTTGCCTTCTCTACAACACCCTTGACCTCATCTGGCCCGCCGACAACGAGGCCAGTGACCTGTCCACCTAATTGCTGCGCCGCTGTGAGAGCCGACAGGGAGCCGGAGTCAATCATCCCTGCACGGTGCTCGAGGAAGACCAGTGCGTGAGGGCCGGGAACAGTAGCGTAACGTCTGCAGAGTGGCCTGCGTGCGACGAGATAGCGGGCTCGCAGCATGGTCATGGTGGGTGCTCTGTCGTGGAAGGCCTCTGCAGAGTGATAGGGCCTGCAGTGGACCTCAGGTAGACCCTGGTAGACCTCAAGAATCAAGTGCGCGCGCTCTGAGTCTCGCCGCTCGGACGAGTGAGAGCCGCGGCGCCTACGCGCTCACGTGTCGCCGTACTGCCTCCTGCTTCACGCATTCATCTCCGCTGGGCCTTCCAGTTACACATACGCGAGCCACCTCGAACTCGTCTCCGCCGCGCTACGTGTGCTTGACAGTAACGTCGACAAGTAAAGTTGTCATGTCTACTGCCATTCTCATTGTCATTTTCAAGATCAGCGATGGGCAGTTGCTGCAATCGGCCCACGCAGCACGCTTCACATTCATTCCTTGATTCTGTGTGAACTCAATCATCTCCGTCGTGCGTGGAGATACGCCGTCAGGTATGATTGGATGCTATCTATTTTGTGCGGTTCAAGGTTTGATTCAAACTCATTTTAGATATTGTCGGAACGCCACTGTGCTCTGGATCGAAAACGAGGCAGTTCAGCACGCTGACAATCGTCTGTGAAGTGAGGTGGCTTCCTTCTTACAATAAGTTACCATGAGGCTCCTCATCGATTTATTCACAGTCTCCTTATTCAGACATTTGCCGTATTGTGTATGGCTTCCGGGGAGCTGTCGTAGCGCTGGTAAGCCAATAAGTGTAGGTAGGATGCGCTAGCCTTAGCGCGAACCGCACCTGTTCTCCCACCGTCCCCACGTATCCATGGCTGGATATGCACGAGAACCTTGTCGTTTTTTCAGCAGTCCAGGTGGTTGCAGAAGAGGCCTGGCCTGCAGATATGCACACGACAGAGCTAGCGCTTCCCGAGGTGTGTTCTAGCCACAGAGTACCCTCTCAAGTAAGGACTGATGCCAATTGCCGCAGGCCCTGACCGTTCGTCCTCTTTAGGAGGGGCGCAGCAGAATTCAGGAAGCGCAAGTGCTCCGCCTGGCGTCTGTCGCGCTTTCTGGGCAGACGGCGAGTGTAGGCACGGCTTTCAATGCCGCTATAAGCACATTCCATCTCCACAGCATGTTCATCCTCTAACGGGAGGATCTGCGCAAGGCGCGGTGCCGTCTGCGATCGAGACTCTGGCGCCATTGTTGACCGAAGGAGGCCTAGCTAGGCTGACGGAGCGCAGTACTGATGGTTTCTTCGCTACAGATCCTTCTAAGCAGTTAACACCATCTGAATTGCATAACTACCTCAAAAGATATCTATTCGACGACTACCGTTTTCGCCATGTCTTGGACATTTACAGCTTCTTGAATCTCATAGGCAATGCATCTGCGAACAATGCAAAATGGGTGAGTGGCCTGTCTCCTTCTTACGACGATGCTAACGAATGCTACCCCAGTCACCGGAAGATGGACAGGTATGCCGTTGACCGACTATGATGTTGCAACGTGTTGATAAGTGTGCGGATCAGTTGCTCCTAGCAACGCTGAGTACAGTAAGTGATCCTGTCCATCCCTTGTCCTATGACATCAGGGTATGAGCCTCATTATAGGGAAATGGTCTCCGGCGCCTCAACGACATCCTTTCATGGGACGATGTCTCAATCCGGGCAGGCAGCCAGAGAACTACCCTTTCCTTTCAGCGAGGTTACGTCCCCTTGCTACGGGTAAGAAAACTCATATCGGCCCCAGACACTGTTTAACGGCGATTGTTAGTACTTCTCATCTGAATCTGTGGCAACAAGCATCGCCAGTCATGCAGCCAAGTACGTATTCATGCAGATCTGCTCATGCACACGTGGGCTGAAAGCCGTATGCTATTAGTGCGCTGTACGCACTCATCTTGGAACACTGCTCGCTTTTCGTACAGGTCCTCCAGTCTTGCATGGAGGAAGCCATCGCTGAGAGAAGATCCTTCAAGGACCCTCACGCCCTCCCCACGAGTGGTAAAGATCCTCTTGCGAGCCAGGTAATCGCGTCCTTGGCGAAAGTCCTGTTCGAGTCAGTTGCAGGCTCTCTCGCACTATGATTATAATTGAATGAACTGTGGCAGGTTGGTTACTCGTTTCAAGAACGTTTTGGTCGAACACCCTGCACTTCGTCAACTCGTACTGAGCCTGCGTCAGTGGACCAGTTCTTGGGCCGCTGGTGTTTCATCTGCACCCCCTACGTTCGATGACCCACTCACCACAGCGTCCTCTCAAGCCCGAGATCATATCGTGCAGCACTTGAGCGGCCAAGTCGATCGGCTCGTGGCAATTGTCGAGCGCAAGACGGGCGAAGTAGAGCGCATCCAACAGCGAATGCAACAGCTGTCTCTGGCCGCCGGATCACCCGGAACTGTGAGCGAAGGCGTCCTGGCGGCCCTCGAGAATGCATACGAGGGACCTGGGAATTTTCGTCCAGAGGGTCGGCGTCATGACAACGACTTTGCTGACGTCTCTGACATCCGCATCGCACCAACGCACGACGAACTCACTTGCAGAATTCCGCCCTTCATGCCTGCCAACCTCTATGGTGCACCACATCCGTTACCATCCGATAGCATGGGGCGGCTACTAGACATCCAATTCAGGCTGCTGCGTGAGGAGCTCATGTATGTCTTGCTGATGTGCTCTGAACTTGTCGCTGAACAATGATTACGTAGGGCTCCGCTTCGCATGTCAATACAGCTCGTACTCGACGACCTCGCCTCCAACGCGCACGATACACGTCTCGCGGACCTCATCAGACGGCGCGGTGGCAAATACCGCGGCCACATCGCTGGCCAAGAAGCCGTGCTATTCAACATCTATACCAACGTCTCCTTCGCATCAATCACACCGGACCATCGTGGCCTCTCCATCGGGCTCGGCTTGGACAGTCCTCCGGGTCGCGCACGTAACGCTCAGACCAGTGCGCGCGTGGCCTTCTGGGAGAACATGGCAAGCAAACGACTCCTCCAAGGCGGTCTTGTCGCCTTGATTTGGAAGCATCGGAACGGCGAGATCGCCGTCCATCTTGGTACAATCTCCAGCCCGACGCGCGAACTCATCCAGTCGGCGTCGCAGGATCGTGTTTCCATTCGAGTTGCCTTCTTTGACGCTGAACTGGAGCTCCGCGCGATCGAGGACTTGAAGCACTCAGATCAAGACGAGGGCAGTGTGAAGCTTCTCGTTGAGGCGACAGTCTTATACGAGTCTGTCCGCCCATTCTTGGAGGCCCTGCGTGTCGAGCCGGAGCTCGTGCCGTTCAGCAACTATATTGTGCACCGTCCACCCGGTTTCCTCAACAGAACGGTCATTGCACCCCCTGCATATGCTCGTCTACCCGGCTTCTCGTTCCAGCTGTCCTCTCTCTTTTTGCCAGATGCGGGTGTAGACGACCTAAAGCTTACAGTCACGGATCAGGACTCTATAGTCGCAGCACGCCAGCTCATGAGAGAACGGAGCATCCTGGATCCTAGTCAAGCAGATGCTGTAGTGATGGCCTTAACGACTGAGTTGGCGATGATCCAAGGGTATGTGCTTGCATAACATACTCCAGAGAAGTGACTGATATGTATACCGTATATCTAGACCCCCAGGAACTGGGAAGGTGCGGGGCATCAATAGCGCCATAACCGTTTGCAGCAGCTGACATCCGCCATATAGAGTTACACCGGCCTGCAACTGTTGCGAGCCCTCATTGCGAACAGAATCGGTCCCATTCTTATGATCGCCTTCACAAACCATGCGCTGGATCACTTACTAGGATCTGTCCTCGATGCTGGAATCACGAGGAAGATCGTGAGGCTCGGCTCTCGGTCGGGCGACGAGAGGATCGCAGAGTTCTCTCTCGAGAATATGGAGAAAGTTGCCGGAAAGTCTCGCCTTGACCGTGCATTCTCTGGTCACTACAAGGAGCTGCGCGACGTCGAGGACGACATCAGGAAGTTGATGTCGGAGTTCCAGAAGAGCAAAGTTGATTCTGCAGAGATACTAGCTCACATGGCGCTTACCTCCCCAGCACACTTCGAGTTTTTCACAAATGCGCCACGATGGATTACCTTACTGTACGAGTTGGAGAACTCCGGAGACGGTCAGGGTGGCTGGCGAGTTACTGGGCGAGGCGGCCACGATGAAGACGTCGATACCTCCCTCTATGCGCACTGGCTAGCTGGCCGCGACATAGACTTCCTGGAGCGTGCTCACATCTCTTTGCTCCGCACACAGGCAGAGGTATACGGCGTAGAGAGAAGTACTGTGCCGGTCAGCAGCAATCGGTATGACTACCTGGCGTCCGCCCCGGATTCCAACCTTGAAGAGGACACGTTCGAACTCACTTCGGAGGTAGCAGCGCCTCGCGACGAAAGTCATCCAGATTCCGATGACGACGTAGAGGCTGCGCCACCGGAGGAGGCGTGGATGCACGTCGTCGTCGAAGACTCGGGGCCGGATGTTTTGGAATCGGAGTCGACGGCCAGGGACAATACAAGCCAACCCCCGGATGTCGCACAACCTCGCGCTGCCCAACCCGCGAGTCTCGATGATGCTACTAGCATACGACCGACGGATTTCCGAAATCTAGAAGACTTCTTCCTAGCATGCGGACATCCTGGCATACCCTCAGTACCGCATCACGATCGACCTCTGCATACATTGCTGGAGGAAGACTATGAAGACGTCTGGGCTTACTCCAGATCCGAACGCCAGCGATTCCATGCATTTATCGAGAAGGAGGTGCGTATGACGCTTCAAAGCACAAGGGTCATGGAGTTCGAGCGTCTCCGGCAACGTCATCGCGATGCTTCCACCAAGTATAACGAAGGAAAAGACGAAGTAAGACTTTGATTCTGCCATGGGTGTTCATTGTAGGATACGAACTGAATTCTGTATTCGTAGACCCGCAGACAGCTTCTGCGAAACGTCGACATCATCGGATGTACGACCAACGGTACGTGGAATAAAGCCGGACGTGATTGATGACGACTCAACAATTGCCGACATCTATGTTTAGGTGCTGCGAAGCTAACGTCTCTCTTGAAGGTTTGCTTTGCAATCAGTATTATTCACATTTTCGATTCGAGCGTTGACTGTCACCGTCTGCAGGGTATAGGACCACGAGTCATGTTGGTCGAGGAAGCAGGGCAAGTCCTCGAAGCGCATGTACTAGGAAGCCTTGTGCAAACTGTACAACACCTCATCCTAATCGGCGACCCACTCCAACTGCGTCCGACGTTGAACAATTTCTGTGAGTCGACATTATGGCCGCTTAACGTTACAATGGTGTCTCATCATGTCGCAGCATTGTCTGTCGATCACCGACGTGGAAATATGCTGTACAAATTCGACATGTCTCTCATGGAACGCCTGTCAAACGCGGGTCTGCCTATGTCACAAATCGATGTTCAGCGCAGAATGCGACCGGAGATCGCACACCTTGTACGGTAAGTATGATTGCGCGTCATTACGTCTGGCACTCCCACATACTAATGTGGTATCACTCTAGCACTACACTGTATCCGAAGCTCGAGGACCACAACCTCGTCAAGAAACACCCTCATGTACAAGGAATGGGGAGTGATGTCTTCTTCCTGAACCATGCGCATGCCGAGAATGGGTCGGAAGATGATTCAGTCAGCAAGTATAACGCCTATGAGGTAGATACTAATTGTATTCCGCATTTACACACGAGATTCATGATTTCACCAGGTGTCTATCATCAAGGATCTAGTCTTGTACTTGCTCAGGTAAGCAGCTCGTTTCAACTGGAATTGGCAAGTGGGCTGACGGCCAATCCTTTTATCAGGCAAGGTCCATACTCTGCCGATGGTGACATTGTCGTGCTTTGTGCATATCTTGGACAACTCGCTCGCGTCCGAGACGCCTTGGCTAGCGAGGTTGTGGTCGTGATCGATGAACGGGATCAACGAGAATTAGACGATCGTGAGGGTGAAGAGCCGGGCGAGGAGACAGGGACTGCGGTCGAACGTGTGAAGGTTACTCGAAGAGTAAGTTCCTCCCGTGTATATCAAGCATATGCACCTCATGCCGTCCAGGTTCGTCTCCGTACTGTCGACAATTTCCAGGGAGAAGAGGCGAAGGTAATCAAGTGTCAAGTTTCGGGAGCAAAATGCTGACCATAGTATCACAGATTATCATCCTCTCACTAGTAAGGAACTCTGGGGGCGCAGAGGAGGACGGGGCGGTATATGGTCATTCTTCAGCTCATCGAGCGAACATCGGCTTCCTCAAGGTAAGTTCGGATCCGTGAATTACATGCGCTCGCTTATGTAGTACGTTGCCCTTGAAGTCCAAGAATCGCACCAATGGTGAGTCATAGAGCGATGACATATACATTACCGGGTGGCTGACTTCTACTCGATGCAGTTGCACTCTCTCGCGCCCGTGAAGGTCTGTATATCCTCGGCAATGCTGCGGACCTCAAGTCGAGGAGTGAAATGTGGGACGACGTCATCTCCGAGCTTGAGAAGCGACAGTGCGTTGGTGAAGCTTTCCCTGTCCGCTGCCATCGCCACCCAGAGCGCCTGGAGCATATCTCGAAGTCCGGACAGCTTCCGCGGATCTCTCCAGACGGTGCGCACAGCCGTGTAGGTTTCAATACGTTTCCACTGAAGAGTTGTAGGGGGTTGCCTCCTTCAATGCGACGCCCGCCTTGAATGTGGCCACATTTGCCCGTACAAGGTATACTCGTAGTTTGTTGAAGTGCTCGTACGCTAATGCTACACATTGTTCAGTGTCACTCCGACGACCCCAATCATCGCGCAGTGAGCTGCGAACAGCGGTGCACTAGGTTGTGCGTCCGCGGTCACCCTTGTACGAAGCAATGCGCCATGCCTTGCGGCAGGTGCACGACCCGCGTTGAGAACGTCGAGTTACCTTGCGGTCATAGAGCAGCCTACGTTCACTGGTGAGTGATGCAACCACGCCGTTCGGCTGAATCTGAACGAATGGTACCAGCTATCAATTGGACAACTTGGCCGAAGTTACCTGCAACGTCAAGGTCACGAAACGCCTCCCTCGCTGCGAACACGAGACCACTATGGCTTGCTCCCAAGATCCCGCTGGCATAGCATGCAGGGCCGTCTGCGGCGGTGTCATGGGCTGCTGTGGACGAAATTGCAAAGCTCAATGTTCTCAGTGTCAAGACCTGAATGCGGTGACTGACGATACTCAACTAAGCATACAACGCACGAACCATGTCGACCACCCGTGCGAGAAGAGCCTGTACTGCGGACATTTGTGTGGAAAGGCCTGCTCACAGGACCACAAGTGTACTACACATTGCAAGGAGCCCTGTCGACAAGTGTGCCTGCATGCTCGTTGTCGCTCTTACTGTTCGACGCCGTGTGCTCCATGTCAGGAGCCTTGTATGTGGTATGTTGCATTCATTAGTATGAATGCATTCCTTGTCACTGACCGATACTCACCCAGGCGTTGCGCACATTATTCCTGCCAGGTGCCTTGTGGTTCGGTGAGTGTCGCTATTGTATAGCCTGTCAGTTATCAGCTGAATATTGTTGGCAGGTCTGCGCTCGACTTCCATGTGACCAGCGCTGCGAGACAGTCCTCGGCTGTGGTCATCGCTGCCCGTCAGGTAATATGCTTCTCATGAGGCTGCCTGAATTGACACTTATATATCACCCACAGTATGCGGTGAAGACTGCCAACTTCAAGTGTGTCCGTCATGCCTAGACGACGAAGCAAAGTCAGCAACTGTTGTCGATCTCATCATGGGACTCACACTGGACACGGTAAACCCTGCGAACGAAACGCTGGACGAGCTTCTCATCACGCTTCCCGGCTGCGGGCACGTCTTCACGGTTGAAACTCTGGACGGGATTTGTGCTCTGCATGAGTATTATAGGCGCGATGAAGTCACTGGGAAGTGGCTAGGACTACAGGCGCCGCCCAGTGGTTTCCTCAAGCCTCCAACCTGCCCTACATGCCGTGCAGCTATCACTGCACCTCGGTACGGCCGAGTATTCAAGCGCGCTGATCTTGACATCCTCGAGAATAACGTTGCATCCCACATGTCTCAATCGCTCGGGCACATACAGAACAACATCGACACCGTGTCAAAGGAGGACGTTGTCACCCGTTTGCGAGACGCGGCTGCAAGAGGACCTATCGGGAGGTGCTCTGTCTCTACGAAAGGCTGCCAGAAGAAGCAAGCAGCGCTGCTCAAGTCGACTCGGTACTCACCAGTACCTCGCACTGCGCTCGACCCCGCCAACACAGATCTACATGCGATTCAGGCGGGCGAAGCCCAGCAGTGGAAGAAGGCCACTCTGAAACTGCTCGGTGCTTATGATGGATGCCTTAAGGTCGCGAACACTCGCTCCGCCCATCTCCGTGCCTGGGAGTCCTCGTTCTCGTACCTTTACCAGAAAGAGATGGACGCCGCTGCTCAGGACCCCGAGCACGCGCCTAGGAACCCGCAGGAGTATGCTATGCGTGCGGCGCGTATGGGCGTCGGTCAGCCGCAGCCGCGCGCTGACAAGCGTTTCGTCGTTGAGGCAATTTGGACGACAATCACGCTGCGCCTCCTTCTCGTGGAGGTCACGATGGCATGGTCGGAAGCGCTTCAGAGGCGAGACTCGTACCCAGCGGAAAATCGGCGTGCTTGGGCGACGTACACGGCTTTCGTTCTTCGGTCATGCGCTGCAGATGTCGAGATCGCTTCAGCCATTGCGTCTCAGTCTGAGAGCCATCGCCAGGTGACGAAGAGTGCTCTCTTGGGCCTGCGCGTGGAGTTGGAACAGTTCCGCTTCAATCTGGAGACGACGAAGCAGAATGGCAAGATGGGCGAGTTGCGTGAGAAGCTGACAGAACGAGCACACGTGAAAGAGAAAGCAGCGGCTGACATTGTCAAGGCAGTCGTCGAGCAACACCGTCGCGCGCGAGCTGGGACCTCGGAAGAGGAATGGCTGACCACAAACTTCACGCACGCTGCAAGGGTCATCATCGAGGAATGGGATGCCATCGCCCGGTCTTTGCGTATGGATACCTTCTACCAACCTGTCTCACTTGAGGAGTTGACTGCGGTCGTCAAGAGCTTCGGATTTGGTAAGCCTCAGGATGTATTTAAGAGCTCACGTACTCATCATTGCCGGTGCAATGACAGCTCATGCCGGACATTACTACAAGTGTCCCAATGGACATATCTACGTGATAGCGGATGTGAGTAGTCTGTTCTAGGATTGTCAGAGAGGGATACTCACATGCGCGTTCCCAACCCAGTGTGGCGGAGCAAATCAACATTCGAGATGTCCCGAGTGCGGTGCAGGCATAGGTGGCTCCAGCCACCGCGTCGTTGGTGGCAACTCGCGAGCGGTGGAAATGGAACAGCTAGCCAGAGCGCAGGGTGCTATGGACACACCGTGGCAAGTATAAGTGGAATCGGAGGGGACCCGTTCATTGGATAGTAGAGAACATATTTTTCGGACCGTAGCGAGAGGCGGGGGATGATGAGCATACTGCGCAGAGCATGTATATCGACCTCATTTGGCACCAGCGCTGGCAATTGTGTTGTACGTACGAGCTTGACTTGCAGAAACACAATGTCACAGTATGTTCAGTATCATGGCGTTATGTGAGAGGCGTTGTGTCATGAGATAGGTTGCGATCCCGCGTGAGTTACGACTCAGACATGCAACAGTAAGCGTACAGCAGCAAAATACAACGTCGACTTGGGAGCGCTGGAGGCGGAAGCAGATCGAGAGTTGCCGCCGGCGAGACGGACTCTTCGGATTCAGAGTCTGCGGAGGCATCGATATCGACCGGGATATCATGTTACAATGTATGTGGCTGAACATGGTCAAAATTTCTGTCTCATGGCGTCTCATTGGATGAACCACTCACTCCCTCATCGATTCCCGGAGGCCGTGCCCAGTACCTTAATCGTACGTACAGGGTTGAATGGATCCGGAGTACAGAGTGTCGATGGCAAGGTGCATGACCACTCATTGAAGATCTCATCAACGCCACGGATCCAATCCTGTGTTGCCCTGGAGTCCAGTGAGGTGTCGTTCCCGGGCCAGTCAAGGTGTATTGTGTGTAACCATGTTGGCTCATTATACGCGGTACACGGTACGTTGGATACCTCGCTCAATGGCTGCCGGCGCCGTTGATGACGGCCTCGCCTGCAGAATGTTCAGGGCTGCTCAATATGAGCACTGAGCAGCCCTTATGACGGCGAGAGGAGGTTTGGGCGACTACTTCGAGCGCCTAACTGTCAACTCGGCCCATCAAGGATCTGTCTACTGAACATTAGGCGGTACAGCTTTGCACTGATGGCCTCCGGCGACCCTTCCGTTGCAATAATTCCATTTTCAACAGCTGAGGGCGCGTGGCAAGTCAATCTGAGCGTCATAGCCATCGCCGGCGAGCACATCCGACGAATGTTTCCCTCCTCCTCCCCATCGTCTGCGCGATGTTACGAGGACTGCGATCACTTCACGGTATCTGCTGGTTCTTCTTCGCCTGGTTGCAGCTTGTTTTCTCTCAATCCTTCACTCCTGCTGCAATTCCCCTAGCTGTCCGGTCTCCTTACTTTAGCACCTGGCTCAGTACGACCAACGGTACAGCCGTCACTAATGAATGGCCCCATTTCTGGTCACAGGCCAATGTGCGTCCCTGATACTTTCCTCTGTGTACTCGTTGTAACATATGTGTAGAGTCACAATAATGGCTGGGCCGGGCTGGTCAGGGTGGACAGCATTACCTACAGATGGCTGGGAGCGGCACCGGGAATGAATGCCACAACCCGCACTAGCTCACAAGTCACGCCTACGCGGACCATCTGGACGGTTAAGGCGGGTCCAATGACTCTCAATATCACCTTTCTTACCCCTATCGAGGTGTGCAACGTCTTTACACCTCATTGCCCTCTGCTGAACTGGCGCTCGCAGCCTTCGGACTGGGTCCGCCAATCCATGCCTTTCTCTTACTTGTCATTTGAGGCGGAGTCCACGGACGGAAAATCCCACGATGTACAAGTCTACTCCGATGTCAGTGCAGGTGCGTCGCGCAATCTCACTCGGCACGCGCATGTCCGGTCTGACCCTTGCGGTTCAGAATGGCTTTCCGGCAACTTGAGTGCCCTTGTGCAGTGGAATACGACGACGACCAATCAGCTCATATACCATGAAGTGGTGCTTGAGGAGTCGACCCAGTTCACCGAAGTCAGCGATCAGGCTGTAGACGGTACGCTTTACTATGCCATAGCTCAGGTGCGTCATCGGCGCTACTCAACTTGCGGTTATGCGCGCTGACCGCCTTCTCATGTCCACACAGGGCACAAGCGCGACGTATCAGACCGGCCAGGACGCCGTCGTCCGTGGTCAGTTTTCGACCAAGGGCACCCTGAAGAACTCGCAAGACACAAACTTCCGTGCCATATCGAAGTTCGTGGTCTTTACTTACATCTGGCGTGGTCAGCACTGAATGATCGTATCCTAGTGACTATCCTGTATTCGGCCTCGCCGTAGACCTCGGGAATATACAATCCACGCAGTCTCCCGTGGTTTGGTCTGTCGGCTTCGTCCGGGACCCATCGATCCAATACACAACAGGATCTGGAACCGTGCAGAATCGCAGCCCTTACTACGTCACGCAGTACTCCAGCGCGGTGGATGCTGTAAGTGGCCTTGCCGTCTGGTCCAGCGTCAGGCTTCTGACAGTGGAGCCCGGCAGATGGAGGCGTTTGTGTCTGACTACAGTGATGCTGCGTCGAGGTCAACCCAGCTGGACGACGAAATCACGAAGAATGCGACAAGCATCTCATCCGAGTATAGCGACTTGGTCTCCCTAGCAGCCCGTCAGACCTTCGGTGCGATCGACATCACCGTATCCCAAGGCACAAAATCGCAGTGGAATACTTCGGACGTGATGATCTTCATGAAGAACATGGGCACGGATAGGTCAATCCTTCAGACCCGATACATACATTGCCCCTATCTGATCATAAGATCTCCCTTAGGCGAGTCAACCCTGTTGAGGTCATGTATGCTGCATTTCCAATGTTCCTCTACGTGAACGCGTCGTACGGACGATCACTCCTGACGCCGCTGTTGGAGTTCCAAACGTCCAACATTTACACCCTCCCGTACGCAGCGTCTGACCTTGGTAGGTGTCACGATAGAGGAGTGGGACAGATGCTGATGATTGTGCGAAGGAACCTCCTACCCGATTGCAAGTGGGGAATCGTCGTCGAATTCACAGGCTCTGGAAGATACTGCTGACATGATCATCATGGCTCTCGCACATGCAAGAGCTTCTGGCGACGGGTCACTCCTTGTGCAATATGTAGGTCGTCATAGTTTCTGCGCAGCAAAAACAAGTCAACTCTGACAACCGTGCCCGTATCCAGTACGACCTGCTCAAGTCCTGGGCTGATTATCTCGTAGACAACTCGAAGACACCAGTCAATCAGTACGTGATTCGATTTGACACCGTCACTCACATCTCATCATTGAGAATCGCGCAGGGTATCCGCTGATGGACAGAATAACGCGAACATGACCAACCTGGCGATCAAGGGGATCATCGCGATCGAGGCAATGTCCCAGATATCCTCTGTGCTTCAGAACACAAGCGCCGCTAGTACTTATTCTGTGAGGCCTGTCTTTCGCCAGTTTTTTGGATGTGGACTCACGCAGACGTGCTTCCCACAGGAAATCGCATCGGCAGACTCGAGCGCATGGGAGTCGCTGGCCATGTCACAAAATGACGCGCAGGGGTTGCTGTTCACTTACGGCCTCACGAACTCTTGGGCGCTGATGTACAACCTGTATGCCGATCTCCTCCTGGGAACGAACGTCGTCAGCCAATCTGTGAGTGGTCTCTGCACCCCCCCCCCCCCCCCCCCCCCCCCCTTCCTCCCAGATACTCACACGACGCGTGTAGGTGTATGACCGTCAGAATGACTACTACAACTCGTTGATTTCGGATGGGACATGTAAGCATGTGTTTGGTCAGGGGCACGGTCAGAAGCTGATGAATTTATACACAGCGAGAACGTATGGTCTGCCCCTCGACAGTGCGGCTGCTGTTCAGGGCAGCTCAGGTTAGTACGGACCTCGCGTGTTCGACAACCTTGCTGAGATACACATATGCAGCATGGCTTTCCTTCACGGCGGCCACGGCGAACTCGAGCGTACGCGACCAGTTCATTTCGATGATCTGGAAGCGGGCCACGTACAACCAGACGGCGGGCGTCTTCCCGGCGACGTATGATGTGGACAGCGGCACTGTCACAGGTGGTACTGCAAGGTATGATTGACAGTTGAGGTGTTAAAGTAACATTCGACTTATCTGTTTCGCAGCCCGGCACAAGGGGCTATGTTTGCTCCTCTGGCTCTCAACATCGCCAACCAGACGATCTCGACATCCGGCGGCTTATCGGGGGCAGGGACCTCTGGCAGCCCATCGTCGAGTTCGAACATAGGCGCGATAGTCGGCGGCGTCGTTGGCGGTGTCGGCGGCGTTGCTCTCATCATCGCCGCTGTCTTCTTCTGGCGAAGACGAAGGGCTCGGGCGGCGCAAGTGGCGTATGAAAAGACCGCGATCGACGACTCTGCAGTGGTATCTCCCGAACCGTTCCCGTACGCCACGACGCCCTACGCGCCTCCTGCAATGGACCAGTCGCAGACAACCGATACGTTGGAACAGCCGCCGCCAATACCAGTCATGTCCACCAAGCTGCGTGAGCATCTGCGGCATATGGCACCGGTGGCTCCTGCATCGTCGGCGTCTGGCAGCGGAACGCGGACATCTGGTTCCCAGTACAGTCAAGAGCCTCCAACAACCATAGGTGGATCCACGTCTCCGTCGGCCCGCAGCGAGATTCATGGCCTCCGAGCCGAGGTCGAGAATCTGCGGAGATACATGCAGGAACTGCATGCGCAACAATTGGAGGCACCTCCGAGCTACGTTGAGGAGTAGTGGATATCGCTATGGATCACGACCAGGCTCGGCTGTAACATACACAACGGACGGACTACTACATAGTACTTTAGGCGATCTCTCCTCTCCTCGATAACTCTGCAATGTACATGCACTAAGCTAATATTACCGCGTACGATATACTGGGGCAGCCTAGCGTTGTTACCAATGCCATCATATTTAGCCCTGTGGGCCCGTCTTGTCTGTACAACGTATAGCGGTGTGTCGATCACAGCAGGAAAACAGGAGAGGCCAAGCTCGGGCAGCTTGTGCGATGTCGACGGCGGAGGAATCACATGGCGGCGTAATTACGCTCCCGTTCTCCCCGCGATGCGATCGGCGTCTATTCTAAGTAAGCCCCGCTCTCAGAGCCGTGCCTCTCGTCCAACTCTCGTCCTTCCATCCCAACACCTACAACACCTTCTGGGGAACATCATTACCATGTCTCTTCAGGGTCTCATCTCCGGCTCCGAATGTGCTGTTCCGTTTAACCCGCTCTCGCAAGTGCTGAAGCACACGGAGGGAGACCGTAGCTTGCAGCAGGTATGTCGACTTGCCGTGACAGTGCTACAGCACAGCTGAGAGAGTCGACAGGATAGAGTCGCGGGCCCATCTTCGTCCCGAGTACGAGTTTTTCGTTCTTAGCATTTGACGGAAGCTCAACCCTTGTCGCGTATAGCAGCTCCAACATCTCCCCAGTACGGCATCTGCCCCAGGAGCAGAACGGGACCTCGCGCTCGCTCGCCAGTTCTTCGACGGCAACGCCCCGCAAGCTGGTGCCAGCGCATTTGCGCTCGCGACGCAGCTTCCGCATGCCGCGCGGCCCATGGACGTAGCCATGCGATCCGGGCCTGATCTCGGCAAAGCTTGGAGCGACATTCAAGGGCGGCCGGGGTTGCAGAGCCAGACTCCGCGCAGCCAGGCCGGGCCGCAGATGAGCTCGCACTGGGCGACGGAGTTCAGTAGCAACTCGGCCATGTCGCTTCATGGTCCCGCGCAGAGTGGCAGTGTGCAGCATTCTGAATGTGCGTTGCTTGAATGTTACGCGCGCCCGTGATAGACTCACGTCCAAACAGATAATCAGTCTTCGTACATGCAGTCGAGCATGTACCGCCCTATGACGGGCTCTGGGTACATGTACGGCTCCAGCTTCAGCTCTGTCGGTACACCGCTCCAGATGTCTGACAAGGGGAAGGGGAAGGAGATTGACTTCGAGGCAGCGTTTGCTGAGGCTACTGCTTCGTTCTCCAGTCAGGCCGATAGTGGCAGGATCGTCGAGGTTGAGGATGACGTGGGCGACCTGGCAGATACTCTGCAGGATACCAATTTGGCCGAACAAGATGGCGCCCAGAGCGAGGCCGAACAGTATGCTACCGATTTTCAGCAGTGAATCTTTCTGTCTACTCCTTGTTGTCGCAGTGGGCTGACAATGGTTCCTCTCCGTAGTATGTGGGACCAATTACAGAACTCCGAGGTCCCTCCACCACAGGAGGATATGACGAAGTGGGAAGCACAATTCAACCAGTTGATGAACTCGCAGCGCGACAACGAAGAGAACTTCAGCGAGTACGGCGATTTCGCGCGGCAAGTGTGGAATGAAGACCAAAGTAATTACGATTTCACGACCAGCGAGTCGCGAGTCGAGTTCACAAATGAGGGACTGCCCATTTTGGGTCCCTACACCTTCGGTACGCCTTCCGCCGAACTTGCTTGATTAGAGTCTATTGACACGGCTGCTGGAAACAGAGAAGGACAACAGACATCTTGACCCGTCTACCTCAGGCCGGTCGCATCTGCAAGCTGCGAAAGACCTGCTAGAGCAAAACGGGTCGTTATCTGAGGTGTCGTTGCTGTTGGAGGCCGCGATACAGAAAGGCGAGTTAGGCGAAGGTGGCTATGAATCGTGGATCATGCTCGGTGAGGTGAAGAGCATGGACGAGCACGAGGACGCTGCCATGCGCGCCCTCACCGAAGGCACTCGGAGAGCAGAGGAAGCCGGTGCTGCTGGTCAAGGCATGCTGGTAAGTGTTGTTGACTATCCGTCAGCTGCGACATCGCGCTAAGTATGAACACCAGTCCCTCGCTATCTCGTACACGAACGAGTCCTTCGAGCGCGCGTCACACACGATGCTCTTGCAATGGCTGAAGGCCCGCTTCCCCGACTATCACATTTCGGAGGAAGCGTGGAAGTCCCTGAGCGGAGCGGGCTGGCACTCTCATGAGCGTGTCACTGAGGCGTTCCTCGGGTTGGCTCGCGTGCAATACAGCGGTGGCGAGATGGACCCAGATGTCCAAATAGCTCTGGGCGTCTTGTTTTACGCAAGCAGCGACTTCGACCGTGCTAAGGATTGTTTCGAAGCCGCCCTCGCGGTCCGCCCGAAGGTGTGTTCCTTTCGCCGCTCACAGAACCTTTCCGTGGCTGAACACTGTGCCAGGACTATCTGCTATGGAATAGACTGGGGTCGTCGCTCTCAAACGGCAGCAAGCCGGAAGAAGCTCTCGGTGCGTACCGAGAGGCACTCCAGTTGCGGCCTACATATACCCGTGCGATCTACAATGTCGGCGTAGCCTGTACGTGTTCCGTATCTCTTCTCGCGCGGGAGACCGCAGCGGCTCACCACCTTCCGTGCCGTTGTTCCGCAGGCCTGAACATAGGGGCGCACAAGGAAGCCGCGGAGCACATGCTGGGAGCCCTTGCGATGCAGGAGGTGTCAGGAGGTGCAAAGAGCGACCAGCTTTGGTACACGCTCCGGCGGGTGTTCCAGTCAATGGTGGGTCCTCGCGCATCGTGAGCGCCATTCTGTGACCTGATGACGTGCCGATTTAGGGCCGGCAAGACCTGGCCGACATGGCGAAGGCGACGACGGACGTGGAGGCGTTCCGCAGAGAGGGCTTTGACTTCTAGCCGTGCTTGCCTGTACGATAGCGTTCGCTGCGTGACAATGCCAGGCTTGCTCGAGACTCGGAGTCGAGAGGGACAGACGGTCAGCTGGCGCAGACCGGTGTATGCTCGCGCGGGCAGGGCAGACTGAGGCCAGGATCGATGCGCCAATGGGCGTCGCGTGATTGGACATCGATGTGACGCGACGCGACGTGACTCCGGACCGCGTCCTCGATCGCAGGGATCGGCGGGGCTCTCTCATCCGTGTTACTTATAACAGCCCCTGAGTGACCATGGCCGAGAGCTCCTGCCCGATCTCTTCAATTTTCCTCTTTCCGCCTTCCTCCCATCCGCCATGTCCGCAGGAGACGTCGAGATGTATGCGCAGGTTCTACGCCGCGTCGGCCATTTACTCACTGTTTCTCAGCCACACGCTGCCCAAGGCGACTGGGTCGAGCGATGTTAAGCTCAACAAATGGTCCAGTATCCTCACGCAGGACAAGGTGCGCTATACTTTAGTTCTGGCCGCCACATACATTCACACATCGCATCGTAGGCCAGGGGAGGTGCCCAGGCCATGCGTACGACCATCCAATTCGTGCGAGGACCTCTCACTTACTCCCGAACTCAGTTTATGCGGTCGGGTTGACGGAGGAGGACATGGACAAGCCCCAGGTATGTTGACGCGCCGATCGTCGCGGCGCACGCTCAATGTCGACCATTGTAGATTGGTATTTCGCCCATCTGGTGGGAAGGTGAGCCGCCGATCTCCCGTCAATGACGTTCGCGCCTGGTATTGACCGGAGTCGTAGGGAACCCGTGCAACTACCACTTGGTGGGTATGCCGACAACAGACAGACCCATTCATGCTGACCATCCGCATGCACCGCTAGCTCGATCTTGCCGTGAAGGTAAAGGAAGGCTGCAAACAGGAAGGCCTTGTCGGCCTCACCTTCAACACGATTGGTGTCAGGTAATTGAAATCGCCCGTTGTTTTGCACTTGTGCTAAGTTGTACAACAGCGATGCCATCACCATGGGCACTGACGGTAAGCAGCAGTAGTGACTGCATCGTCTGTATGGATCCATTTACGAGGTTCCTATCGAAGGCATGAGATATTCGTGAGTGTGCTACATGACATTTGTAGGGATACCTCTCATCGCATGGCAGGCTACCGAGTCGTGACTTGATTGCCGACTCAATCGAAGCTGTGAGTACTGTATAGTCTGAGCTGAAGAAACCCGCTCAGTGCTGTATTCCCCAGGTCACCAAAGTAAGACACAACGAGCGTTTCCCCTGTGTATGGCACTGAACTTGGTATGACAAGGCCCAATACTACGATGCAAACATTTCGGTTCCGGGGTATGTCCTCTGCACCTAATCAGCATGAGACGTACGCTCAATCTGTTGCAGATGCGACAAGAACATGCCCGCGACGGTCATGGCTGCGGCCCGCCACAACCGCCCAACGATCATTGTTTACGGCGGTACCATCCAGCACGGTGTCCGCCGCGTCGACTGCCCCGCACTCGGGCACAAAACCGGTGACGACATGAACATCTCCGACGCCTTCGAGTCGTACGGTGCGTCAGCTTTGATGGCATTGGTAGGGTCGTGTTGAAGATTCGCGATCAGGTGCGTTTGTTACTGGAAAGATCAGCGACGAGGAGCGGTTCGACGTCGTCCGTAACTCATGCCCCGGGCCCGGTGCCTGCGGTGGTATGTTCACGTACGTACCGTCGCCCATCAGTCGAGATACCCGGCTCACACGCTCGCAGCGCGAACACCATGTCGAGTGCACTCGAGGTCCTGGGCATGTCGCTCCCCTACTCGTCCAGCACGCCCGCCACATATCCCGGTGCGCATGACCCGCATCGACGCATGGCACGCGAAGTCTGACGTGCCTTCGAAACACAGAGAAGGCGCAGGAGTGCTTCCGCGCCGCGCAGTACATGAGGAAGCTGCTCGAGCTCGACCTCAAGCCGCGCGACATCCTCACCCGCGCGGCGTTCCTCAACGCCATCACCATCGTCAACGTCCTCGGCGGGTCCACCAACTCCGTGCGTACCCGCGGAACCTCCGCACTCATGCTACACGCTCACGTCGCCGAACGCAGGTCCTGCACTTCCTCGCGATGGCGCGCGCGGCGGAAGTGGAGCTCACGATCGAGGACTTCCAGGTGGTGCGCGACCGGACGCCGTACCTGTGCGACCTGAAGCCGTCGGGCAAGTACCTGATGGAGAACCTGCACCACGCGGGCGGCATCCCCTCGCTCATCAAGTACCTCCTCAAGAACACGAACCTCATCGACGGCAGCACGCTGACCGTCACGGGCAAGACGCTCGCGGAGAACGTCGCGGACGCGGCGGACCTCGACTTCGAGGCGCAGAACGTGATCCGCCCGTTGAGCAACCCGATCAAGCCGGTGAGTCGTTTCTGTGCGTGAAAGATGGGAAGGAGTGCTGACGGGGGGATGTAGACGGGTCACCTTACGATCCTCCGCGGGAACCTTGCGCCAGGAACGGCCGTCGCGAAGCTCACGGGCAAGGAGGGCCTCCGCTTCGAGGGTACCGCGAAGTGCTTCGACAGGTATAGCCTGCCTCGTAGTCGCATTGACGGAAGCTGACCCCGGCATACCTCTCAACAGTCTGCCACCCTTCTACACCGCGCTGGAGGCCGGCGAGATCAAGGAGGGCACGGTGCTCATCTTCCGCTACCAGGGTCCCAAGGGTGCACCTGGCATGCCCGAGGTCCGCTCTCCCCTCACCATCACCTCAGACACAATGCTAACTCGCACTCACAGATGCTGGGCCCTACCGGCGCACTCATGGGCGCCGGCCTCGGCGGCAAGACCGCGCTGATCACGGACGGCCGGTTCTCTGGCGCCTCGCGCGGGTTCATCATCGGGCACGTCGTGCCGGAGGCGCAGGTCGGCGGGCCGATCGCGCTCGTGCACGACGGGGACGAGATCATCATCGACGCGGCGGACCGCACGATCAGCTGGCTCGTCGACGACGCGGAGATCGCGCGCCGCAAGGCGGAGTGGGAGGCCGCGGAGCCGCTGCCGCGTGCGTTCCGCGAGAAGCGGGGCGTGCTGTACAAGTACGCGAGGGATGTTGCCCCGGCGAACGTGGGCGCGTACACGGATTGAGGTTGCGGCTGTGGTTGGGCGCGACGAAGGGCCTGTGCGAGATAGAAGGAATGAATGTCCTAGATGTATTCGTAGACGCTGCGTGCAATGCAAGAAATGTCCTCGCATGGGTATCGTATCGGGTGGGCACAAGATGGGATGGAACAGAGCACAAATACAGCATCGTTGAATCTGGCTTTACTCGGCAAGAGGGAAATATTACGCGTATGTGACCATATATCTAAGGAGGGCTGTCATCATTGGGGTATCGACGTCCACATCACAAGTCATGAGTAGGTGTCTCCTTGGGAGAGAGTGGGCGGGATGCAGACAGTCGATCTGCTTTGGCCGGCAGCGACGGCGCTGGCGACAACGTCGGGGACGGCAGCTCCTCCAATGTCGGCAACTGAGGCGCAGACCTCGTGTCGCCCGGCCTCGCCTCCCTCTCCTTCTCCTTCTCCTTTCTGCGCCCGCCCTTCTCGCTGCTCGTCCACGGCTCTGTCCTCACGTGCTTCGGGTTGCCGTTCCCGTCTGCGCGCGGGTCGTCGGGGACGACGCGCTCGCCCGGGGCGCGGAAGCCCTGGATGATGGCGGGGTCGGGCGGGAGGATGTACGCCTCGGGTTTGGGCGGGAGGATGTCGAGCTCGCGGTGGGTGCGCAGGCCGGCGGAGCGGACCTGCTGGTGGCCGCGGTAGCGGCGGTAGATGTAGATGAGGAGGCCGACGATCCAGAGGATGCCGATCGTCCCGCCGGAGACGACCCCGGAGATCATCGGTGTGAGGGCGCGTTGCCTGCTGGGACGTGAGTAGGGGGCGAGGGCGGCGGGAGTGTACTCACCCGTGCAGCGAGGCCTGCTCGGACTGCTGAGACGTCTCTGCGCCGACGACTGGGGACGCTGAGAGCAATACGGCTGGCATGCTAGCATGAAGTCTGTGAGTTTGTTCGTCGGTCAGCAACGACTTTCCCTCCGAGTTTTGGCTGCATACACACCTCGCCGAGAATGTGGGTGCCAGGGTCGTGAAAGCGTGTACGCGCTGGTTCCAAAGACGGGTGACAGTACGGAGACTGTGCTAGGTGGCGGGGATGAGGTCGCAGACGGAGGAGAAAGAGATGGAAGGGGAGCAGTGGAGGGCAAGCATGAATATTGAGGGGTGTGGAGAGTTGCACTGCGCGTTTGTGGTGCTCACGCCGGTGGTGCTTGGCACTCTGACGTCGTGACCGTGCCACCGTTCCTCGTTTTCTTTCGTCTCGACGCCCGTCTCTTCGCTCGCGATCACCCACCGTCTGGACACTCCGTCTCTGAGGCTTTCCATCATGAGGGCAAGAGCATAGCAGTCGACAATCTCGACTCTATTCTCGACTCCGCAACCGCATACGACCTCGCAGCAATGATGTCATCCGCGGGAGTTGTGTCGGATTACAAACACAAACTTAAAGACCCAGCTGCCCCAGCGCTTGCCCAGCGCAACGTCCTCTGACTGCGACGCTTTCCAGTCATGCTCTGTTAAGCTGCTGCAACTACCCTCTTAGTCGATGAAGCCAGAATTCATGGCGTGCGGAAGCAATTGGACGGCAGGATACCGTGCGTCCCCAGTCTTTTTTTTTCTTTTTAAAAAAAGAAAAGAAAAGGAAAGACTGGTCGTGCTGGTGTCTACGGTGCCGACCAAGTGCCGACCAGCACATACGCTCGATTCTGGGTGCCGCCACAGGACTGTGCAAGAGATCTTGCCGTACAACGTGGACTTCAGAGTCCAGTCAAATAGCACTGGTCAGCATGATCTGCAAGAGAGTGATCATTGACTCTATGCACGATTGGTGACGAATCGTGCCTACACGACGACAGTGATCACACGTTGTCTCCCTTAGGCATTTGGAGTCGGAGGGCGGTTATGGTTATGAAGAGTTATGAAACGCGTCACACTCGGCGATCCCGGTGAAAGAGCGAGCGCAGACTCGGCGAACATGGATCTTACGTCCAGCCGACCCGGCTGTCGTGGGCGTTGTTATGGGAGGCGATAAGTCTACATCGCCTTGCTGGCTTCTACGCTGGCGCATCCGGATTCCATTTGGTGTTGTTGCTCCCCGGACTGTAAGAAGGTGCGAGCGCTGATTCCAATACTCATTCACCGTGACCTAAGTCTGTCTTTTAACAGTTTGTTCCTTATGTACGGGGCCCTTTTGATAACTGGAGCCTGTAATCCATCATGTATGTACGTACCCTCCGAGTGATCTGTAGGCAGCGTCAATCGCTCAATGACCAACATTCAGCCACTGTCCCGCGCACGTTCTGATACATCTGTTGTTTGCGAAAGGGGGTACATGCATGGAACCACGGCCCATGATGGGACAGCTATTCTCGGAGACAAGCCGCGCATAGGGGCATAGCTACAGGGGACCGTACAACAGCCTCATCAATGATATTAGCACAGGTCAGTGGACATCGGACGCTTAAGTACTGACGACCTCTGTAGAAGCTCTCAAACCCAACCCACGAACATCCTACCACACTCTCCACAAGTGCCCATCCCCATTACCACCGACCGGTATGGCGTACCAGCCCGGCTACTCCACACCAGTGCCCCAGCAAGTGCAGGCGAACCCCCAGGTCGGCAGCGCGAGGATCACAGGGGCCTTCGAGGGCATGCAGTTCAAGATCGACAACCGTGACACCAACACGATGCTCTACTTGCGGCTGCAGCCAGGCTACGAGGTGCTCACGAAGCCGGGGACGCTCGTCTCGATGGAGGCGGGCGTGCAGGTCAAGGGCAAGATGAACTTCAGCTGGAAGAAACTCTTCACCGGCGGAGAGGTGCGTCTGGCGCACACTGCCGCCGCGAAGTACACCAGACGGGTGCTGATGAGTGGGTGCCTGCTGGTTATAGCTGACCTTCGCGCACTTCTTCGGGCCCGGAGAGGTTGTGGTGGCGCCCGAGACGTGGGGCGACATCGCACAGATCCAGATGGACGGCAGCACGTCGTGGCACTACGGGAAGCACGCGTTCCTCGCGTGCACGCCCGGCATCCAGATGTCCACCAAAGCGCAAAGCGTCGGCAAGATGCTCTGTACGTTCCCGTCTTCCCTACCCGCGTAGCTGTACTGATACCTTCGCGCAGTCTCCGGCGACGGCCTGTTCGTCGGCGAGGCGCGCGGCGCGGGGCTGCTCTTCGTGCACGGCATGGGCGCCGTGATCGCGCGCGAGCTGCAGCCGGGCGAGCAGTGGATCGTGAACAACGACCACCTCGTCGCGTGGAACTGCCAGTACGGTATGGAGAAGATCCAGGCGGGCGGGATCATCTCGACGCTCCAGAGCGACGAAGGCGCGGTGTGCCGGTTCACCGGCCCGGGCACGGTGTACATCCAGTCGAGGAGCCCGCAGCACCTCATTAACTGGATCGAGGAGCACCTCCCGCAGCGGAGCGGGTCGTCCTGAGAGTTTGAGCGTGCTGCGGGTAGATAACTCTGAGAACGTTGTCAGTCGCTGGGTGCGCGGGATGTTGGTCGACTCGCGCGACTGCATCGTCTAGGTCACACTGTACCATCAATTGCATGCAACACTTTTTCGCCAGAACGCATTGCTAGGTGTATGTGCTCGCGAGTCGCCCTCCGCCAGATGCTTTGCGCCCGCGGTCGCGCTGCAGCACATGATGATTTGCTAAGTTGGCCTGTTTGGCCTAGATGGAGGCTCGGGCTCGGATGATGCCTGAAGGCCTCAAGCTCCAAGCCCAAGACCTCCCTCCTATTAGTCTTTATACCGGGACCGTGGCGATGCGGCAGTTCATGTGTTCTGTGGCGTCACTGGCAGGCGGCGGCGCTTTAGCACTCACTGCGATCGACTCGCCACTGGCACCGCTCCCAACCCGCTCCGACTTCCCAGTCTATCCCCCTTGTTTCTACGGGCCTTCTCTTCGCTACCGATCTCTCTATCTCTCATAGTTTGCAGGTGGTGCGAAACTTGGGCGAGAACGTTTCTTCAGGTTCGTTCTCTGTGTCTATATCCGCATATACGAGTCGAGAGTCGACTGTGCCACTGTGACTACGACCGCGCGTGGCTATGGTGCCGCAGTCGTCAGGCTCTGCCACTGGCTCTGGCAGGCTTCTGCAATCAATCTGCCACACGAGCTCAATGCATGCCTAGTCTCCGTTGCTGACCAAAAAGAGTTACTCTCGTTTATGCATGCCCTCTTTCAGGCTATAACCTCTCGTCATGCTTCTCAATGAGCCTATCAAGATCGGAAGTTGCATCCTGCAATGAACGATGAGCTCAAGTGGCAGTGGTGGCCTCGACTCGGATTTGCTTTCTGAAGATCTGAACTGTACATCTGGGATGTTCCTTCAAACTTGCTTCGCGGATGGCGTCCTTCAGGTCACCAGATGACGTTGGCGCCCTCTAACCAGTCTGCCATTGACTGATCTACTAGATCACTTCAGCCGGTCGCTTATGCAATTGACACTTGCGCGCACATTCTTCTCTTCGCGGTGCTATACCATTACATGGAGCGCCGGCGTATGATCAAGAATTATCCTCGGACATGAAGAAGACCGTGCGAGCGCATGAGTACCAAATGAGTACTTATAGGGATAGGGGAACGAGTGGCACAGCTTCGAGCTTCGAGCACAGGTCGTTGACAACCGGACGCTTGGCACGTACCCGTCTTCTCCAGATATATATACTTGAAGATTCCGAGCCCAACTCACAACTTATATCTTACCAGCTTTTACAAGAATCCTCTCCTCCACGAACATCAACATGGCTGAAAAGCTCGGCGGCAGCAGCTATAGCTACTCCTTACCAACGTCCCAGCAAGTGCAGGCGAACCCCCACCTCGGCAGCGCCAAGATCGCGGGGGCCTTCGAGGGCGTGCAGTACAAGATCGACAACCGCGACAGCAACACGATGCTCTACATGCAGCTGCAGCCGAGATACGAGATGCTCACGAAGCCAGGTACGCTCGTCTCGATGGAGGCGGGTGTGCAGGTCAAGGGCAAGATGAACTTCACCTTCAAGAAGCTCTTCACCGGCGGAGAGGTGCGTCCACTGCCCGTCCACTGCCTTTCCGTACTATGCCTTGTGAGGTGCTGACGGAACGGCACTGGTCATTTCAGATGACCTTCGCGCACTTCTACGGACCCGGAGAGGTTGTGGTCGCACCCGTGACATGGGGCGACGTCGCGCAGATATCCATGGACGGTAGCACGCCATGGCGCTACGGGAAGCATGCGTTCCTCGCGTGTACGCCTGGCATACAGATGACTACAAAGGCGCAAAGCTTTGGTAAAATGCTCTGTACGCCCCCGCCCCCCGCATCCGCGCACACGGACTGACCAAGTTGGCGCGCCACCTCCGCAGTCTCCGGCAATGGCCTATTCGTGGGTGAGGCGCATGGCACCGGGATTCTCTTCGTGCACGGCATGGGCGCCGTGATCGCACGCGAGCTGCAGCCGGGCGAGCAGTGGATCGTGAACAACGACCACCTCGTCGCGTGGAACTGCAAGTATAGCATGGAGAGGATTCAGGCGGGCGGCGTCGTCTCGATGCTCCAGACCGATGAGGGCGTGGTCTGCAGGTGCACCGGTCCGGGTACGGTGTACATCCAGTCGAGGAGCCCGCAGCACCTGATAGGCTGGATCAACAACAATTTGGCGACAGGCGGGTGATCCTGAAAGGTCGAGGGCGTTGGGGGACGTTGAGTTTGGCTGTGAGGCCATCAGCTACTCGTGCAGCGACGGGGTGTTAGTCGGTTCGTGATTGCGTTCGGTAGTATGCATTGTATCCCAATTGTCATGTAGCAGTCATTCCCCAGAGGCATCGTAGTATGCTCTCGGCGCTCCATACTTTGACTACATACACTGATCCCCTCGCGGTTCCTCCTCGTCCCTTCAGCTAGAGTCCCAATCACATACTTAGTACCTGGGCAGTTTGCTGGAATGTATTGCGGTGTGCGGATACATCCTATAGTCATGATATGCCAATGTTGAGATGACCGGAATGCAAAGACTGGCTGCAGCGCACTTACCAGCGCATGGCCATACGGCGAACTCGGTGACGCTTGGACAGCCATGTGCCATTCGATGAATCTACACCGTCTCACGTCGCGTCATTCTTGTCCAATAGCGTATGCGTGAAGATGGGCGAACTATGCAGTACGTCCCGAGGATCTGTTGAGTCGGAGATCCGATTGAGCTGTTGACGTATACATGCATTTGGCAGCCCTATCGACGACGAAGCCAGTATGCGAGTAAGCTTAAGCGACAGCCAACGCTGTCTCGAAGAGCTATCCAATCATACTGGGGACGTGGCAATGACGGTGCACACATTCAGCTCACCGACTCACACAGATGCACTGCGCACCATATAATCAGCCCGAGGGGTTTGATGTTGCCCGGCACTGCACGAATCATTCTGACATCATTAGGACGTTCACAACACAGAAATCTGCCAGACCGACCACCTCACGTCACTGGTGCGCATGCGAGTCGAGATTGATTCGACATGGTCAAGATGTCTCGGTCACATTGCATAGCACGAACCACTCTTACATTACGATACTCATAGTCACTGCCCGGAGAATTGCCACACCTACCACCGCCTCACCTCACGCAAGCAGCCTCGGGACCTCCTTCGCGGCAACCTCCCTCGCCGCCCGGAGCGCATCCCAGCCCGCCTCGTCGAGCTGCGCCTTGTCCGCGCCGTACCGGAGCAGCAGCTCGACGCCCTCGACGTCGTCGTTCATCGCCGCCATGTGCAGCGCAGTCTGCCCGCCGGTGGGGTAGGTGCAGTTGACGTCCACACCACGGTCGCGCAGGAGCTCCTCGGCCTCAGCGTAGTCGCACTGGGCCATCAGGCCGAGGAAGGCCTGCTCGAGGCGCCAGGACTCGGGCTGGGACTCTTCGAAGATCTCTTCGTCCTGCGTTGCGCACACCGCAGTACATGAGCCATTAGCCATTCACACGGGGAGGAGGTCGCGCATGCGGACGGACGTACGATGATGTCGCCGAGGTCGACCCCGCCCTGCACGCCGCCCTCGTTCGTGACGCCGACGATCATCCTTCCGCGCGCGTCCAGCGCGTGCCCCCTACACAGCGGGCACTTCGCCCGGTCTCCGCCGGACTTGACGTAGTCCGTGATGCACGACCAGTGGAAGTGGTGGTTGTTCGGGCGGCCGTTGTTGCAGTAGAGCTCGACGTCGTCGATCATGTAGGAGGAGCCCTCTTCGTCCCGCGGGGCGACGTGCAGCGACTCGAAGCAGATCGCGCAGTCCTCCGGAGAGTATGCGGGTGGCGCTGGTGTAGGCAGGGGCATGCTGTAACGGGAAGGACGTGCAGGCCTTTGGTGAGAGACAGGGCCCAGGAGGACGAGAAAAAATAGAAGAACGCTACGCCACCGACGCGTCGTGTGCCGTCGTGGCGGAGCTCGAAACGTCGACTACCTTCGGACTGTGCTTGAGTGTTATCAGAGGCCGATGTGCAAGCTCAAGTGTACGTCAACGACAACACTGCTGGGTATGCTGCTCGACACAGACGAGTCCGAGTCCGAGAACCTCAGTGTGTTGTTAGATTTGCCCTAACGAAGACGTCGCCAGACGAAAGCATCTTGACGCGATCACGTGTCGGTACTATACGCCTGTCGCACGCGTAGGTCATTAGTTTCTGGATTGTCATTGATCTGCGGAATGTTCTGCATCGCATAGCCAAATTGGGATCAATGCTAGAGCATCATTTAAGCACTCAAACGAGAACTCACATCAGACAGTAGCACCGTGGAAGCACCGTAGAAGGAGTGCTTTGTGCAGAACCTATTCACCGGCATCACCTGTAATACGAAGTTATGAACTCAGCGCAATGGGGCCGCATGTTATCCGACGGCCTCGTACGCCGACGAACGGTGACGGATCGCACTTGACATAATCTCTATGCCCTTCGTTCAGGCTCTCACCGAACTGTGTATAGTGCCGCTCGGTGGCAATATTGCCAATTCAGTGCTGGGGGAGAACTTGATTTTCATACCACGAACTCACTTGCCTTCGCCATCCGGAAAGAACTGAGCAACAACTCGTACCTTTCCAGATGTCATTCTCGAAATTGAACGGGGTTACTGGTACTCCTTGACATTCAATATTCAGCAACGACAACAGGACCACTGTGCTCCGACCACAGCGGCTTACCGGCCTGAGATCAAAGTGATCAGCGATCTGCAGATCTAGATGTCTACACGCGCGTGTAGACATCATGAGCGCCTGAGGTTGTGTATGTATTGAACGGCCGTAGAGAAGCGTAGAGATCACACGAAGACTGCACCGCTCTTGGGACGGCGGATCCAAACTTACTTATGCAGCAGAGGCCCATCTCAAGAACACATTGCCGCCCTATCGAGCTATCTAGAACACGGGGGTTTTGGCCACGGTTGCGTACTACTGCACCTGGCTTCCGCAGAACCTTCCATCTCGAATGGAGAAGGGGTAAGCGCAAGGGTAAACGTATGTACGTACTCGTGCAGAGTCGGACAGACACGTACTATGTGCTGACTGGAATGCTACAGGGGAACGGCGACCGCGGGTGCCGTGCAAACACAACGCGCTCGTGCTACCCAGAGTGGGCAGTCTGGGGTGGCATGGGGACGATGCGAAGTCGAACGGAGGGCGTCGGCGCATGCGTCATGTCGCCCACCTGGGTGGCCGAGTGCATGGCGCGAGTGACGTGTGTGTTTGCGACCCCCGCCGTCCCGCCACGCCTGTCAGCATCCATGCTGACACACTCGTTCGACCCCCGTGTGGGGCCCCCTCTGGCCCTGTTCAATATATACCCGGGTATTCGCGTCCAGTATTTATTGATTATGAGGCTGGTCGTCCCACGCCTGACCACCACTTTCCGCTCAACCTCGTCCCCACTACCTCGCCGCATTTCGCACCACAGAAAAATGTCCACCGCACAGATCGAGTACGACGCCAAGGGCATGCCTTTCCGGAGGCTCGGTCCCAGTGGCCTGCGTGTCCCTGTCTTCTCTTTCGGAGGATGTGCGTAACACGCTCCCAGCTTCCGCGAGTCTGCGCTGACGTGTGCGCATCGCAGGGCTCACAATCGGCGGCACCGTCAAGGGCGATCCCGTCAAGGACATCATGAAGACGGCCTTCGAGCATGGCATCAACATGTTCGACACCGCAGAGATCTACTCGAACGGCGAGTCTGAGCGCGAAATGTCAGTCCCGAACAACCGCCTTGCAACTCTCTCCTGACAGCAACCGCTGATGTAGGGGCCGCGTCATTCGGGAGCTCGGTTGGCGACGGACGGACCTGATCATCTCCACCAAGGTCTTCTTCGGGACCAAGAAGAACGCGCCAAACGACACTGGTTTGTCGCGGAAACAGTGAGCACATATATCCATCTCTCGCGTCTGCTCGGGTCTCAACAATGCATATAGCATCATCGAGGGCACCAAGGCTTCCCTCGAGCGTCTCGGCATGGACTACGTCGACATTATCTTGGCGCACCGCCCAGATAGCAGTGGTATGTCTCCGGTAATAGGCAAGTCAAGTGCTATGCTGAATCATCGATGCAGTGCCCATGGAAGAGACTGTGCGAGCCTTCAACCACGTCATTGACCAGGGCTGGGTGCGTTGGACGTCTCGTGAGGCTTTGGATCCGGTCCTAACTTCGCATCTTCAGGCGTATTACTGGGGCACTTCGGAGTGGTCGGCGCAACAGCTCGAGGAGGCATGGCGTACGTCGCTTATTATTGCGATGGTTGTACCAGAAATTGACACACGACCCAGACGTCGCTGACAAGCTCGGTCTGGTTGGTCCCATCGCCGAGCAATGCCAGCACCAGTACGTCGTCTACCCTCCCACTTATCCATCCCCGAATCTCACCATGCACTCATAGCATGTTCCACCGCGAACGCCCCGAGAAGGAATACGCGTAAGTCCACACTGTCCACCACAAACTCCCATCGCCTCAGCCTGACCCCCCAACTCGCACGTAGACCCATCTACGCGAAGTACCAGGTCGGGACGACCGTGTGGTCCGCGCTCGCGGGCGGGCTGCTCACGGGCAAGTACAACGACGGCATCCCCGAGGGCTCGCGCTACGCGAACCAGGACACGAACGTCTTCTACCGCGAGATCCTGCAGACGATAGATGAGGGCGAGGGCAAGCGCAAGCTCAACAAGGTCAAGGAGCTCTCCGAGTTCGCCGAGAAGGGTGAGTGTATGCGCGCTGGGCCGGACGCTTGAGTCGGGGTCGCTGACATGCGTGTGCCGCGTAGAACTGGGCTGCACGGTGACGCACCTCGCGCTCGCGTGGGTCGCGGTGAACCCGAACACGAGCACGGTCATCCTCGGCGCGTCCAAGCCGGAGCAGATCGTCGATAACTTGAAGGCGATTGAGGTCATCCCGAAGCTCACGCCCGAGGTCCTCGAAAAGATTGACAAGATCCTCGACAACAAGCCGGAGCCTGAGGTGCGTACTGTCATGTTCACTGCTTATAATGACGAATGGCTGACGAAAGGGTGGCTTCTTAGTCTTCGTGGGGACGCCCGTCTCTGGACAGCTTCGGGAGGAAGTACTGAGTATTGCAGCATTGCCGTTAGATGAAGGGAGCGCAAAGTAGAACGGAGACTGTATGTAATCTGGTGTATCAAATCTCGATGGAACGCTTGAAGTCAGCGAACATCAAGTTGTGAATTCTCGGGTACCTTTTCGCATTGATTCTGTCATTCCAACTTTGGCGTACTTACCGCTGAAGCGAGGAAAAGGACGCGGTCAGGTGACCGCGTCGCTGCGCGTTCTGTGTTGCTTGGAGTCCACTCACGATGAGGCTTCTACGCATCTCCACGCACCGATTGAGTTTGGTGTTGTGTTCTGCTCGATCGGTGCGGACTCTCTGATTCGGACCGAATGTAGCTACATACACAGGTTACACCGTCGTGGCAATCTAGTGTACACGCCCTTACCCTACTGACGGACTGACTGCGCTGCACATGTCAGCAGTGAAAGGCGACGTGAAGGCAGTCGGGCTGTTGCTCTGGTATGGCGCGCACAAGGCGCGTAGCGATTCGTATGATACAACAAGTGATTCGTGTTACGCTCTATGCAATCTGACCCAGACACTCCTTGATCGCCCACATCGAATCGACCTTCTCCAGCTATCAATGAAACCATGAGCATGGAAGGGGTGTAAACGTGCGAAAAAAGTGCTCACCAACTTAGCAAACCCGTCCTCGCGCACGACCTTTGCTACCAGATCTTCGAGCTCACCACGGGAAAGATTGTAGATGGACCGAGTCTCTTCCAGGGCAGAGAGAATGTCTAAGGATGCTGATGCTGGAGGGTCCACGGTGGATGCGTTGCGAACTTGATGATCCGTCGTACTAGATAGGGCCACAGCAATCTCCTGAGCGAAAGTAGAAGTCGAGGGTCCCGCATGAGTAGGCACCGCCTGGAGGGTTTGAGCACGCATGGCCAAGTCTCCGTGGACAGGCGCAGGGTCGAGCATCGCATCGGTACTAGATCCCTGATGTAGTTGAGATGAAGCGATCGATGGCGTGGTACCGCCAGACCTTGGCCGGTTCAGAGGCTCCCTGTCCGAGCGAGACTGAGGCAGATCAGAGTAGGGCTCTCCAGAGTAGTCTGCTGCCCTAGTAGAAGATATTGCGCCAGCAGATGATGGTCGGGAGTAACGGAAATCATCGCAGGGTTGGGAGCGCTGAGACGGTGCGGGAGGCCCACCAAGCTGAGACTGTGTGTAGACGGAAGCAGGAGGCGGTGGAGCAATTTGTGAGGTCGACTCCGCGATAGCAACGTCACGATAATCCAGGGCCGGTTGAGTGTATTGTGGTGGGTGAGACTGACTCGGCATGTATGCATGCTGTAGTCGATCCGTGAGAGCAGGGAGTTTATCGCCTGCGCAAGAGATTTCCGACGAGGGTCCAAGAACATTCGAATGTATTTCGGCGTCTGAAAGCGGCCCAGGTGTGCGGTGGTATGCTGTTTGAGACATAGTAGGGCGTCTGCGCGTTGGTGTCTTGGGCGGTACTGAGCACCCTGCAGCAGCCTGTGTATGATCGGACGGAGCAGACGCGGAGATTGCCCCAAAAGCCGCCGGCATCGTCGTCGTCCTAGCTATTTGGGTGCTACGTCCAGCTGGGCCAGAGTTGGCTCTGCAGGGGCAGATGAGCTTGATGGAATCAATGAAGGCAGCTGCGTGGTCAGTTGTCTGGAAAGTCACTTGAAATCTTCTGAATGTCTTGGGAAGCCTCTCAGGTCAAAGGGCACACGTTGTGACCGAGTATATGCGTACCGGTGTGGACCCTGAGGGCACGGTGCGAGGGTGCATGTAGCGGACGCCCACAACAGTGTCTCGATAGACGGCTTTCAGGGGAAGACCGTGCACCGGCGGTGTCAAGGAGAGCACATGCATGTCCAGATCCTCCTGCATGAGAAACAATACATTTCAGACTTGCCTGAAGGAAAGTCATACAGAAGACTGAAGTGAGACGACGCACAAATACGACCTCGCGTTGGTCGACATCCATTGAGTCGTTGCTGGCGCCGAGAGCCCAAACTACGCGGGTCCTCAGAGACTCGAGCTGACCGTCGCTCATCTTCTTCGCATCTACGACAAGGCTCAGGATCGGATTCGTGAAATGTTGCCATTCTTGCTCGGCTTCAGAGCGGTCATTCGTGTTTGAACGCGAGTACTTGACTAGATTGTAGGTCGTCGTCGACGTTGTCGAGCGTGACATGACGGATCGCCCCGTGGTAGGATGAGAGTAGGTGACCACTGACTAGTACTGACTACTGAGCGCGAGTCACTGGCACTGGGGACGTGCGCCGGATACCGACGGTCGTTGATCACCTGATCGCGTCATCTCCATCTTGTTCAACTTCAACAGTTCAAGTTGTTGCGCACAGTGCACACGACGTCACATAGGCCAGACGCCGACATCGACGACTCAAAACATTGAATGCAGGTTTGTCTACTGCAGCTGCCCTGAAGGCCCAAGGCTAGCTGAGCGCTGAGGCCTGAGGTCTGAGGTCTGAGTTCCGAAGCCCTCAGCACAGCTCATTTTGTTCTAATTCTGATTATCGAGCTCAGCCATGTGAACAACCGCGTTGGACCCGGAATCCATCACTGTCAGAGTCAGTCTTGGGCCTGTCGTACTGGTTGACGGTAAGACGAAAGTCGTCGTGAAGAGTTGTGTGAGTGCTGAATCTTTCCAGAGATGCTACAGGGTCGTCGCCGGCCGGGGATAAGTACTCGTATCCGAGTCCTCTTTTCCCTCCTCGGCCGAGTCCCCTTGCGCTCCTGGCGCTCTTTACCCAACGGCAGTGCGTCTGCGCGAGGTAAATCGGTTCCATTTCTCTCGTGTTGCATACTGCAATCCTTAGTACTTCACAGTTTCCCGATTTTATCGCCGACGACCACGCAGTTTGACCCTGGTCTGACCGCCTTGATTCAACCCATGGGGAAGCTGTTGAGAAACTCATAAAAGCCACGAGAGCCATCGAACTCTGCACGGCTGGTCCGCTCCCTCTGCTATCATCCACTGGCATTGCGGCTTGATATTTCATTTTTCTATCAAGACTGACGACTGCTATTTGACGATGTTCGCTCTTTTGTACTCCTTGCTTCCCTGGACCATGATGCTCGCCTCATTGGCTGCGCCCATTGCTTATCCCGAGAGCTCAATAACAGTATGTGCATCTGATTTGCATCGTTTGTTGTTCAACGCTCATTACTCACCATCCACACGAAATTGCTCACGAAAGTATTGGCATCATGCACGCCTCCCGTGCGAGCATCGGACTACGTGGAATGAAACACATACCACAGCCTGAGAGCGGTCCCCGAAGTACGCTGTTCCCTTCAAGTACACATGTGTCGTTCGATCTCGGATTTAACAGACGTGTGTGTCGTTAGTCCTGAGTAAGGTCGCCAAAGGTCCCACTGTCAAGCTGCTGGAGGTTGAGGAAGGCCTCGAGTTATTCTGGGCGCTGGCAGACCATTTCGGGCCGGAAGGCACGTAGTCGACGGACCCGAAACATGGTTGTCTCCAGCAGCATACGCCAAAAAAGGTCTGAAGAGTTCAGAGTTGACAGGACTGAAGACTGTGAGTTTCCGTTTTCCTTACGCCTTTATATTTCCGGAGCTGATCACGGTGCAATCGAACCATCCGATCGTAGCAACGCCAGGTATTTGTACACTGGTCTGAAATGGATCCGCAATCAGCAGAAGAGACAATATGGGCTATCATTCGTCCGGCGAAGGGCAAGCATCTTAAAGAGACTACATCAGGAAAAATACCTCCGATGAATGAGCAAGAACGTCGTGTTATTCCATGATATTGTTAGTAAGAATGATCATCCGTTCTGTTCTCGTACAACCAACAATTATCCAGCCCCACTGGGTTCAACTATGAATACTCAATAATACCAGTAATTATGAGGCATTTGCTCGGCATACCTTTGTATTAACCAGCATGTTCTACAGTATACCGTGAACATTCACATCAATACAGCATCTTACTTTCGTTCACACGGAGTCACGGACTACTGAGGAGAACATTACGTGCATTGCACTGCATTCAAACGGTAGTACTAGTAGAGGCCGATCCAGTGTCCAAGATCATTACGAAAGCAATAGCTGATAAGCGGAGAGAACGATAGCAACGAGATGAGCGAACAATACCAACTGATAGCAACGCAACGAAGGAACGTTAGAAACTGATAGCAACGCGACGGAGGAACAATAGCAACCGATAGTAACAAGCTGAGAGAACGATAGTGATGAGTCGAGGAGACGATTGCGAGTGATTACGAGTGGCTACGAGTAAAGATACCTGAACGGCGAGACTAGTACTGACATTCTACTCATCTGGGATACCAGCCCAATCGATGGCTTCACCATTGTTCGCGCCCGGATGCATTGCATGCCCCGTTCTAGACAGAGATATCAGCTTGACTCGATCACGAGTGGTATGTCAAAAGCAAACGACGCACGTCGCAGCCACAAAGAGGCTGTGCATCACACGGTGGTATCGCTTGGGCCGTGCTCGCTGGAAGTCGGTGAGACGCACCAGGTGCGCGCGATAGGCAGATGAACTTGTGGCGTTGAAGTCGGTCGGTTTGATGAGGTTGAGATTGTGATCAGAAATCACCGACTCGACCTGAGGGATAGAATGAAGATGAGAAGAAACCGCGTGACGTATAGACGTACCGCTGTCATTGCCAAAGACAACATCTCCGCCGGGATCTCGAGCTCGGCGGAAGGAGCATCTTCCAACGAGGATTTGAATTCATTGCTGTTCTGCAATCCCACATGGTGATATTGCTGCTGTGTGAAGAAGGCGGCGCGCAGTGCCTCCTGGATAGCGGTGTTCTCGTATGGTGCTCGGCGATCAAAGCCGTTCTACACGAAAAATGTCAAAATCAAATTGAACCATGCACGCGCCATCTTACCGTCGCAGACCACGGGTAGATATAATTCATATCTTGCAAGAGGCTCCCGCTGCTAGGAGACGGCGAGCTGACACGAGTGACCCGGCCAAGGTCGTAAGCATAGGTGACTGGAGGCGTGACTGCTCGCTTGACTGCTGATCGAAAGAGGCTCAGACGATGAGCGACCTACGACAAAAGGCATCAAGGCATCAATACACGACAGGATAGGAAAAAGACGGTACTGACGTAGTTGGTAAGCGGCTTGGTGTAGTCATCATGCGATCCGCGTTCAAGACGATCTGCAATATCGTAGTCGTCATCATACCCTAGCATTTCAGCTGCTCGGATGAGAGCCGTCAACGCGACTGCGTCCAGCCCGGCTTTTTCCATCACCGTATGCTTGGAGGTCACGAAATTGAGGTCAGGAGCGTTGCCGATCGAGTAAGAAGAGCCGAACACCATGATACAGTCGCCGATTGCGTAGGAGTGATGGATGACCTGCTGGATCACTGAGCTTTGGGGTTTGATATCCATCGTCACGCTTTGGTGCCTACGAATCACTTTGATTCGTGTTCGCGGAAGCCAAGGGATAGTGTCTTGGTCGCTGTGATTCACCGCGCGCCCTGCCGGGGCATGGGACTTGCCCCTTGTGGTCGACGGTTGGATGGAAGGAGCCTGCACATTGTTAATATACGACAAGACATACGAATTTGAGCGTACCTCCTGCGCCAGCTTGGCCCGTTGCTTCTCCGTCAGCTGCACGATTATGGCAATTAGAGAACGCTCATAGGACCATTGCAGAATCAAGCGCACCTGTCGCGGAGCCTTAGCGGCGGCATGAACGATCTTCACGTCATCCAGTTCATCTTCACTCTCCACAGAAGATCGACCCCTACGTGCAACAGCATAGACACTTGCCTGGTCTGCGTCGACATGTTCTTGATCATCGTCCTCCTGCTCAGACTGCAGATCGACCATGTCGTCGTCGTAGTCCGTGGCTGGCGGTCCGGTATGATTCGAGCTTGCTATGCTCGACGAGCGAGATGTCCTCGATCGACGGCTAGGAGGTTGTATGAAGTTGCTGCGCTCGTGGCTTGTTTCATCAACCGCGGCCGAGTCAGATCCTGTTACAAGTGTTAATCAATATGAATCAGTGCAGTATGAACTAGCGTGCCCACCCGGTGCGTAGAAGGTAACACGCTATGATGTCCGAGTAAGTGGTAGCTGCAGTGAACCATGCCCTAGTTCGTACCTCAGCTTCGAAGTCCGTGCACGCTTCACGGCCTTCATATTCGTCCCCGTCAATCTCGGCATCCTCACTCACTCGGGACTCGTCTTCTCCATCATCGTCAAAGAGATTCTCCGCTGACTTCGTTTGGGTATGAGTTGCCTCAGGCTGAGGTGCGCGTTTTTGCAACCTTGGCGGCGGCGGCGGCAGCTGAAGGTCGTCTGAATCGGAATCGCTATTCATCTCGGGGGCCGCATAGGCTCTGCCTGCTGATGATGAGGGGATCAAGAGTATATCCACGCATTATTGAGCGTGAGCACGGCAGGCACTGGCAGGCGTACCTTTGTTGGACTTGGGAGCTTGCGAACCGGAGGAACTGCTAACCTTGGGCTTCTTTGGACGATGCTCCATGTTGCTGGTAGTCTTGCCGGTATTGGTGTTCATCGCCTTCGTCGCCGCTGAGTCTGCCCTCCTCCGCTTCCCTTGGATTACTTGCGCGCGTTCACCGTGATTGGCGTGGGTATCTCCTGCTGAATACGGAAGTTGAACGTGACCGTAAACCCGGTGTGGTCGCCAGGAGGTAGCCTACCGTTTACAGACGTCGCAGTACCACTGGAAGTCGACACGACGGTACGAGGCTTCTTGATCATACCAGCCCATGCTGTGCACGAGCCATACTTACTGACATTGACAACAGTGGGTCACAACAGATGCACACCTTTAGGAGCGGCCTGAGATGCTGCCCGTACCGGTCGACCTGCTGTAAAGAGTAGTAAGGTGAGCGTTGAATGTGGAATAGTCTCGGATACTTACACGATGTATTCACAGCTTGTTCCGAGTCATCTTCGCCCCGAGAATTGGTTGTGACACCTTGCAACATCCTCATCTTCCGTTGACCAATTTGGCGCTGACCATTGGATGACATTTCATCCATGTTGCGCACAGATATCGACTGCGACATGGCACGCCAACAAGACTCGGACGGCCTGGGAGGATAATGGTGTCAGAGCAGACACAGAGACATTTGATGTGAGTCACAGTACTAGAATAGGCGGCCGGGGAAGTATATACTCACCTAGTATGGCCCACGCTCCGACCGGCGAGACTTCAGCTTCACAATCCAATCCCACTTTGGCCAGAGCTAAGGGGAGGGGAGTATGGTGATGGTGCTTAGGCTGAGTAACGACGTACGATCCGTTCTTCGATAAGTGATTGACTGACAACTGATAGCTAAACGAAAGGGAGCAACCAGAACGCAGGATGAGGAACGTCGACTCAAGAGGTTTGCTGGCAGAGGCGTGTGATGCAGTGCACGCGTGCTCGGCAAGTGCAGTGGCTGCGTGACCAAGGCGCGTAATTCCTACCCCATTCTCACCTGAACATCGATCTAAGGCAATCGTCTCCACGGTGCAGCTCGCTGATTTCCACTCTCCCCTCCTTTGCACGTCACTCTCTGTGCCTACTGGTAAGTAATGGTCTAGCTATGCACACCGAAAGGAATCTTGATCACTGACACGTCCCATCTTCAGTCTTTTCTTGTACATAGTACTGCCTCTATCACAATGAAATACACCTGCAACGGCTGCACAGCTTCGTTCGACCAACATGGCTATTTCCTTCAACACTTACGAAAAAGTCGATTACTTGCCTGTCAGGCAGCTCTTCGAGAGCACGAAGAGTCGATGCGGCGGCCTACCCGTATGGCTGCTCATCGGCGGGCCTCACGCTCACACTCTCGAGGCCGTTCCCACTCTGCAGACGCTGAAGCCGACACAGCCGCTTCCGCCGAAGATGTTGACGTGGAGGACCCGGCTGCAGGAGATGTTGAGGTGGACGATGACCCGGTACCGTTCGAGGGTGATTTCTTCGGTGAGGCAGATGCGTATGGTGCCGACGACCTTCCGTTTGGCGCTGAACGCATGGATATGGACCCCGACTCCTATGAGCCTGCCGAGGAGTCGAGCGACGATGAAGGGTCTGACGATGAGGCGGTTGGCCGTGATATCGCTCAGCCCATCCCTGAACAGGAACGAGATGGCCGCCGCCTTGATCCGTTGCCTGCAGGCCCAATTTCCGAGCCGAATGACCAGCCAATTGCCGACGATGTCCACGATGAGGCTTCCAACCAGAACATGGCACCTGGACAGCAACTGAAGGGTGGTCCCCCCGGTGGGATAACGTCGGCACAACACGAGCAAGTCCGTGACGCACCTGTACACGTTGTCCCCTTTGGAGGGGATGCAGGAGCGCCTACACGGCCAGGTCAAGGGCCGTGCTCTGCCTACACGTCCTACGCTCATGAGGTCGATCCTGACGCGAAGAATCCATACGCACCCTTTGCGTCGCGCATAGACTGGGAGATCGCTCGATGGGCGAAGCTTCGTGGGTCGGGATCGACCGCGTTCACAGATCTGCTCGCAATTCCGGAGGTATGTCAATTCATTCAGTGTTCATAGTGCTATCACTCACTACGATGTTCAGGTCCGCGATCTACTGAAGTTGTCGTTCAAAAATAGCGAGGAGCTGAACAAGATTATTGATGAGAAGCTGCCAAACCGACGTCCAGAGTTCCGCTGTTTCGAAGCATGCGTGGGCGGCGAACGCTTCGAGATGTTCTGCCGCGATATTCTTGAATGTATCCTTGCGCTTTGGGGTGATCCTGAGCATGCGGCAATCCTCTGTATCACGCCGGAGCGCCATTATGCTGATGCTGACCAAACGTTACGGCTCTATCACGATCTCCACACGGGGAAATGGTGGTGGGCTACCCAGGTACGTCATATCTTCTATCACTTCAATACAATGCTAAGCTATCATGTAGACGCGGCTCGAAGCAGAGAAACCGGGTGCAACCATCATCCCCATCATCATCTCGTCCGACAAGACCCAACTGACTCAATTCCGGAACAAGACCGCATACCCGGTCTACCTGACCATTGGCAACCTGCCGAAGGAGATACGTCGCAAGCCCTCGCACCGCGGGCAGATACTCCTTGCGTACCTGCCAACGAGCCGCCTCGAACACATCACGAACAAGGCCGCTCGTAGGCGAACACTTGCAAACATCTTTCACGCGTGCATGTCGATGGTCGTCGAGCCTCTGCGAAAGGCTGGTATTGACGGCATCTCTATGACGAGTGGTGACGGCATAGAGCGCCGATGCCATCCCATCCTGGCCGTCTACGTCGGGGACTACCCCGAACAGGTTCTCGTAACAGGAACCTACACCGGCGACTGCCCGATCTGCCAGTGCCCTCATGACGCGCTCGGGTCTTACCCATGTACTGCAGGATATCGCGACATCGAGGCTACGTATGACGCATTCAGCAAATTCGGGACTGCCGACTACAATAAAGCGTGCGACGCTGCGGGTATCAAGCCGATCCAGCATCCATTCTGGGAACACTTACCCTACGTCAATATCTATCGTGCCATCACTCCTGATTTGCTTCACCAGCTCTATCAGGGGATCATTAAGCACGTTCTTGTCTGGATTACGAGCATAGTAGGAAAGGACGAGGTCGACGCTCGGGTTCGGCGGCTGCCGCCGAACCATAGCATCCGGATTTTCCACAAAGGGATCACCGGTCTCTCGCGTGTCACCGGTACCGAGCACAGGCAAATGGCGAAATTTCTACTTGCACTTCTTGTCGACGTGCGGATACCTGGTGGCGAGCCGGCTCGAACCGATCTCGTCGCCGCGACAAAGGCACTCCTTGACTTCATCTACATGGCTCAGTACTCGGTTCATTCAGAAACTACCCTCCTAGCACTCGAGGAATCCCTGGCCACCTTCCACTCGAAGAAGGACATCTTCGTCCGCCTCGGTGCACGTGATCATTTCGATTTCCCCAAGCTGCACGCAATGGTTCACTACGTCCGTGCGATCAGACTCTATGGTACCACAGATAACTACAACACTGAGTCTACGGAGCGCCTGCATATCGACTTTGCGAAGGAGGCCTACCGTGCCACGAATCATAAAGACGAATTCCCGCAGATGACCAAGTGGCTTGAACGGCGCGAGAAGGTACTACAACACGCTAACTATGTCGAGTGGCGTCTTCTACAAGCACAGCGCGAACATCAAGACGTTATCGCCGCACGAAAGGAGATTCGTTGGCGACCGCCGGATATGGCGTGTCCGCTTTATCACGTCATGGCGAAGTATCCTAGCCGTAAAGCGGTTCCTGTTGCGGACATCGTGTCACCGCAAGGCTATGGTGCGACATTCTTCACGGCAGCTTTTGCTCGGTTTGTGGTTGAGCTGAACAACCCCGGCCTGACACGGAACGAAGTCGAAGCGAGAGCCGTACAGATGCGAATTCCATTCACAGCTCTTCCGGTCTTCCACAAAATCAAATTCCGTAACGTCGAGCAGCACGGGAAGGAGACACTCGATTCTATTCATGCACGACCGCGACAGGTCGGACGTAACACCGAGGTACTTATCCCTGCACGGTTTGACACAGCCCTTGTATGTGTGTCTGGCGAGAGTGAGCCTGCAATGGCCCGGGAACAACATGGTCTTTCTGGTACGTGTTGCCGGTTGTTCATCTGATATGTGATTGGACTGATTATGGTCACATGTAGGTATGCGAGTGGGCCGCATTCGAGTGGTCTTCTCAATCCCAGACAGAGTAATGCCTTTTCTTTTCCCTCCGGCAATGCCACGTCGTAACGTGCCGCGTCATCTCGTCTACGTCGAGTGGCTTTCCAAATTTGCAGACGCCCCGGACCGACAATATCAAATGTACAAGATCAGATCGCTACAAGGACCTAATCAGCTAGGTTCAATCGTACCACTGTCGTTGATACAGCGTAGTGTTTATCTCAACCCGAAGTGGGGAGGTCCAGTTCCAGTACATTGGACCAGCGAGAACGTCCTGGACGAGTGTACCGTGTTTTACTTGAATCATTACCAAAGCCCACATAGCTTCTACAATTTGTATTAATATTACTCTTTCCGCACAAGAATTGATGCCAATTGTGAATTCAAAACCTGACGCGATCATTGGTGCGAACGGCCACTACATTACTTGGTACTCAGAGACGATTAGGGTTATACATGAGACTCCGCGCTAATACAGAGAATGTTGCGAATGGCTGCCAGAATGGGCACGAACTGTAAGTATTCGCAGTAATAACGTGCATCTTGTGGATGTTGCACTGTTGGTGCCAATTCTGAGGGGGGGATTTTCCTGATGTAAGGCATTCCAAGACGCCCTCAAAAAGAGTCAGGAAGCCTGCGAAGTGGTCGTTGACGATGCTGCCGAGTGCATGTATGACCTGTGGAAAAGGACCTTTGACGCAGAGATCCCGAAGGCGATGCACGAAGAAACCATCCCAGAGTACGTGTTATACGGCGAAATTGTGGAGCAGCAGTGTCAAATCTTTCGTTGGGACCTGTCTAAGTCAGTGCCACCGGTGTCTCCGTTTTACAATGTGATGGGTGTGCTACAACCAGCTGCTGCATTCAACCATCTCATTTCCCTGAAGGGAAATCTGCATGAAAGCCAGCAGCCTCGCAATGTGTTTCTTGACAGGAAGCTGGCAAAGGACTTTGCGTCGACGAAAGGCGGAGACTCAACTTATAAGGCGGAGACGAGGAGACTCACGCACTCTACTCATCCATCTTGATTGACTATCTATTGTACTTTTCTCAACTCCACATTGACTCCACACACCCCTCTGCGCACGCTACCTCGCGCACCCTCACTCGGACCAAAATTCACTCAAATCAGCCCATGTTACTCGTCGCCGCCCATAGAATCGCCCGGCTTGTTTTCGCATCGCGCAGCCCTGCTTCATGATAGACGATATCGTCCGAGCATCCTGTACATGTGCTGCACGGCAGCACACTGGTCGAGCATAGGGCATACTAGTAGCCTTACAGCGGACGCGACTCTGATCAACTGAGACGGAAATCAGAGACTCGAAAAGAAGGGAGCGATTCGTTGAGGATTGGCAGACGTACATGCGCGAGCACGTCGCGAAAGGACAACGGTCAGAACGTTCAACCAATACCATCTGCTCGAACAGACTGCACTCAATGAGCCACTTCAGTTAACATACTAGTTATAGTTATAATTGACTATTTAGCCAAACATAACTAGTCATCCAATGACTATAAGTCAGACTAGTAACCTTATAGTATACTAGATACAGTAAACTAGATACCACGACTAGGCACTATTCAGGCGTAAAGGGCGTTCCTATACATAAATATACTGTTGTTGTAGTCCAGGACTCATACATGAGTGCTGTGACTGCAGATGGCCAGCGGCAGCAAGCCTTGATGCATAACTCATACATCTGTCTGATGTATAGATTGTCCCGCGGTGTATGACTCATGCATCGCACCGCAGACGTCTGATGTATAAACCCTCCCGCGATGTATGGCTCATACATCGCCCCGGACGCCTCATGTATAAATTGTCCCGCGACTCATCCATCGCGTCTCAGCGTCCGATGTATCACCCGTCCCGCAATGTATAGCTCATACATTGCCCCGGACACCTCATGTATGAACTATCCCGCGACTCATACATCGCGTCTCGAAGTCCGATGTATCATCCGTCCCGCGACTCATACATCCCGCGATGTATCATGTATAAACCCTCCCTCTCGACTCATACATCGCGTATCGGCGTCCGATGTATCACCCGTCCCGCGATGTATAGCTCATACATCGCGTCTCGACGTCCGATGTACCACCCGTCCGACCCGCGACTCATACATCCCGCGATGTATAAACCCTCCCTATAACTTGAAGTATAAGTCTCTCGCGAGTACGCATAAGCGAGCCGGACGGGAAAGGCCGGTATGTTGAGCGCTCCGGATACTTACATAAGTCAGACAGCACACTTCCGGGTAGCGTTGGCGCCTAGCTTTGCTGGCTGCGCTTTCCTCCACCACCACCACCCTGCCACCGTTCTCCATGCTCGGCGAGCGCAGGGTCGACCTCCTTACGACGGGACACCCTCGTCCAAGCCCAGGGTCGACCTCCTTACGACGGGACACCCTCGTCCAAGCCCAGGGTCGACCTCCTTACGACGGGACACCCTCGTCCAAGCCCAGGGTCGACCTCCTTACGACGGGACACCCTCGTCCAAGCCCAGGGTCGACCTCCTTACGACGGGACACCCTCGTCCAAGCCCAGGGTCGACCTCCTTACGACTGGACACCCTCGTCCCAGCCCAGGGTCGACCTTGCGACGTCGACTTCCCTACGACGGGACACCCTCGACCCATGGCTTTGGTACGTTGATCACCATTTCTACGTCGCTGATTGCTCATTCTGATGATGCCCACCCTCCTGTCTGTAGGCCATCCTCAATCGGGGCTTTTGAGAGGGACGGATGCTCTGAGTGCGACGCGAGTCCTCGAGGTGGTCCTCGAGGGCTGTCCTTGGTGAGTGATTCGTTCCTTTGCTATTGAACATATGACTGAGGCTGCTTGTCGCTCGGATAGAGTCTATCGGCGTCCACGTGTACCTGTCGACCATTCCCAACGCTGCACGTCAACAATGCCTCAAGCTTTGCTCGATTTGCTCGGCAAGGCATGAAGTGCAGGTTCATGACTCAACATTCAAAGCCTGCAGTCTGGTGTACAAGGTATGTGTCCTGCTGTATGAAGCCTGCAGCTCGATGTATGAGGCCTGTGGGTCGACGTTCGAGGCCTGTGCAGCGCCATGTATGGGGCGTCCGGCCCTGCGCGGCGCGATGTATCAGGCCGCCGGCGCGACGTTGTAGGCCTGCGCTGCACGATGTATGAGGTATCGAGGCGCGATGTATGAGGCGTTGAGGCGCGATGTATGAGGCGTCGAGCACGATGTATGAGGCGTCGAGCGCGATGTATGAGGCGTCGAGCACGATGTATGAGGCGTCGAGCACGATGTATGAGGCGTCGAGCACGATGTATGAGGCGTCGAGCACGATGTATGAGGCCCGCGGCGTGATGTGGCGCGTTGCACGAGGCCGGGCCACGATGTTCCGCGGCTCAATGTATGGAGTCTGTGGCGCGACGTTCAAGGCTTGCGCGGCGCGATGTATGAGGCCTATGCCGCGATGTGTGAGGTCCGTGGCGTGATGTGGTGCGCTGCATGAGGCCGGGACACGATGTCCCGCGCCTCCATGTATGAAGCCTGTGGCACGATGTATGAGTCGGCTGGCGTGATGTATGGGACGGTTGGCGCAACGTTCAAGGCTTGCGCGGCGCGATGTATGAGGCCCGCGGCGTGATGCAGCGCGCTGCATGAGGCGGGGACACGATATCCCGTGGCTCGGTGTATGAAGCCTGCGGCACAATGTATGAGGCTCGGGAGCCGGTGCTTGAGGTCCGTGACACGATGTATAAGGCCCCAGGGCTCGATGTCTAAGGCCTACGTCAATGATGTATGGGTCCTGCCTGCGATGTATGACGCCTCTGACGCGATGTGTAAGAGTCTGCCGCGATGTATAAGGGTCCGTGGCTCGGTGCTGGAAGCCCCAGAGGTGATGTATGAAGCCCGCAGCATGGGATATGGCATCCATTGATGCGATGTGCAAGGCCCACGTCACGATGTCAGAGGGCTGCAACACTTTGTATATAGCCTGAAGCTTGATGTACGAAACCTCCATTGTATACTAGTCCATTAGCTATCATTACAATGCAATGTGATACAAAGTCCAGGTGCTACGTTTGTGCGTGAATAATGCCTGATATGTCTGGTCTATTCCTACAGAGTCGGATGAACTCAGGGACGTTCCTCCAAGCATGCGTACAGTAGTCATAGAGTGCACGTCGTAAGTCTGCCTGCCTGAGTGCGTATGCTCGACGACCCTGGGCATGCTCTGCCGTACGCCCTACAGCAGCATCCCAGTCTTCTTGGACCTGGTCCGTCCACCAGTCTGCCTGCCACTTGAAGAAGGCGCCGACTCGTCGCATCTCCTCATTAAGGAGATCGCATTCTTCGTCCCAGCGCATTGCGCGCGCGCGTGCTTTGCACCACTCGATGCGTACAGCTAAAGCAAGCATGTCAGTGACGGTTTTACATTCATACAGGAACAAGGTCACCTTCTTGGTCGTCCTCGTCATCGTCGTGACCTACTGTCCCGCTCGTCCGCCATATCCATGAAAGGGTCTTGCGGCCCTCGGTCTCGTGGTCAAGGCCTTGGTGCATTGCGCGGATATCGCTCCGATTGAGTGAACGGAGGGCCTTCTGCCACTGTCCGCTATCCTCGGGATCTATGGTATAGAGAGCAGCATGCGCTCGGCGATAACGCTCAGCGTCGGCGTCAATCTTTGCTTGTATTGTATCGATGTATGCGCGGGACCGGGTGTTGTAGCGTTGGCCCCTCACGTCTCGATCCTTGATGTTGAAGAGCTTCGTGCGGGCACGAAGATGACGCCGCATCTGGTCAAGAGAGTCGTTAGCCTGGGCTAGGCGCATACGTCGCTCAATGTCAAGCAAACCGGGCGCCGGCGGGACTTGAGGGTGATTGTAGACGTCAGATGGGAGGTAGAGTGCGGCGTTCTCGGCGAGGACTGCGGCTACTGAGGCTTCTGCGGCTTGGTTACGCAGTGTTGCTACACCTGGCATGTAGAGAAGCTGAATCTCTCGCCAGGCGTCGATGCGAATTTGCAGATTGTTGCGGCGGCGGATAAGGTGCGCGCGTTGATCATCCGGAGAGTGGGCACTGAGTTCGGCAGCGTCTGAACGTAGACGCCGTCTGAGGAAGTGTGTGTGTGTGTGAACGTTGCGAAAATTAAGGGCTCGAAGCGGCTCGGATCACTTACTGATGGTCCTCTAGCTCAAGTCCCGCCGTTATCAACGCGCTTGGGGAGACCTTCTCATGCAGAGGTATGAGGGTCCCGTTGGCGATGCCTGCGGACTCCTCTTCAGCGAGCTCGCGCCGAACGGCTGCAAGAGTGATAGCTGCACAACGGAATCTCATGAGTCATGTTTGATTGCAGGGCATAACGAAAGCGATACTCACGATGACGTGTGGCTACAAACGGATTAAAATCCGCTCCCTCCTCCCACGCTTCGACTTGCTGCATCCACTCCGTGACGCGCGTTCGATCAGTCACCGCGGTAAGTTCTTCGAAGATCACGGTTTGCTCCGCGCTTTCTATGACAGCGCTCTTCATGCGGTCCAAGAGCGTTCTCGCTAAATAGCAGTCAGTCATGGTAAGGGTGAGGTGGCATCATGACGCACCGAGGTGAGTGACCTTTCTCCAATTGTAATCTCCGAAGGCATCGTCGAGCACATCTCGACGAGAGCCAGGCCCCATTTCCTTCGTGCTGCCAGAAAACCCGTTGACCGCGGCCCAGCCACGTTCCACGCCCTCGCCATCGGTCCGGCCAACACCCTTGACGTAGTTGAACGAATACTTCGTCTGGCAGCTATCTTGATGGGCCGGTAAGTGGAACTTCGGGATGAGAAACGTGATGGTGCGAGCGTCGTAGTTCCATCGCGGGTCGTAACGGAGCATCCTGCTCCATAGATTGGTGCTCCATTGACATGCGATGTCGTACGAGACGACGAGACGGATCTTGTCCACTCCGGGGGTAGTGTGCTGGATGCTGCTCGCAAATAGGTAGTCCATGTTGACATACCTATATCACGATGAGTACAGGGAATCTACATCCACTACAGTCATTACTTGCCTTTCACCCTTCTGCAGGTCGCCAACGGAGCATGGGCGCTTCATGTCATGCCGAACGCACTTGACCGTTGCGACGCCACTAGCCGCCGTACCATGACTTCCCCGCATGTTCGCGAGCTTGACCGCGTCATGGTTGTTGCACGTGCTGGTGTCCTCAATGTCGTGCTTGTCGTGCTTGTCCAAATGCTCCTTGTACGCGCGTTCCTCCACAAAATAGGCGATCCCATTGTTAAAGCCGGGATCTGCTGAATCTGACGACACTTTCTTCCGTTTCAACCGGAAGTTAGCGTCTATTCCAACGAACAGACGATACAGCCAGCTAAGCTCATCGTCAGTTGCTAACTGCTCAAGATAGTTCATCCGAAGTCTCACCTTCGTTCCGGGGGAGCTGAAGCCCAGTCTGCGGGTAGGTTGATACCGGGTTGCGGGCATGCAGGACAAAGCACCGCGCAAGAGCCCGGAGCTGTCGCCTTCGCCCCGCGTGGATCATGGCCACGGGCAAATCGCTTGAGGAGCTTGAGGTGGTACCACATGCGCGCCATTCGCATGAAGCTGGTGTACCGAGACTGTGGCATTCTGTGAGGCTCCGAACAATTCTTGACGTCAACAAGACGGCGTACCTTGATTTCGCAAGTTCCTGTATTATCGGTCCGACGAGTGAGCGTGTTGTAGAACTCAAACCCGGAGACCTTCGATTGGTTATGTAGAAGGTGGTAGAACTCCATTAGGCGGAATGTGGCGGCGGTCTTCGGATCAACGCCAGTTGCTGGGACAAGCCGGGAGCGAAGCAACTGGATCGATTTGGCTTGCGCCGTTTCGCATCCGCAGTAGTCGACGGCGACCTCGTTCACGCCAGAGACGTCCAGGACGATGAAATTGTCCGCAAACGCCTTGACCGGGTTGCGGCATCGTTCTCCGGGCGGGTGGCCAAGCTGAATGCGGAAGCCTATTTTCTTCAACGTCGTCCTTCGGAAGTGCGTCCCGGACCAGCACTAACCAATGACGCAAGTTGAGTAATGTTAGATCTCATCATCGAAGAAGTGGCTCACCTGTAAGCGATGGAACGGATTGCAAAGGTGCCGCTCTATGGCACACTCCTGGCAGTACAACTGTAGGTCGTTACAGTCGTCGCACCGGTACTCCGCACGACCTTCGCTGCAGCTTGCACACGCCTCGTCAAGAAACCCACATCGCCCCTCCAAACGCAACACCTCCGCGAGCCACTCGTCGATGTGGTGCTGTCGCCAATCTTCGAGGGGATTATCCTGTACTTGGGTCAGTTTTCCTTCAGTAATGGCTACATGTCGTACTTACACTGGCCGTGCGATTCCGTGGTCTGTCTACAAACTCGAGCATGTCGTTGATGTTGTCGAAGAAGTCGTGCGGAAGCGTCTCGAATGCTTCGAGTGACTCGTCGGGGGGACCATCAGCCGCATCCCTTCGATTGGGAAGACCATTGTCGTCCACAGGGATGCTCGGAGGCACTGGGTTAGCGGCTGCAACCGCAGAGGCCCTCATCACGACAGACTGCTGCGTTGAGGCGACAGATACATGTCGGTGGGCCGGCAGGATGTAGGTGTTATTGCCTATGGTGTGGTATGTGACATCTGCGCCACGGCGGCGGCGTTTCTGTGCGGGTGGTGCCATCTGAGGACGAGGGACCAGGTGTTGTTGCTGGAGGGAAAGGCGGCATAGTCGGAAGAACACATCCCGTTGTCGGCCGACGTGGCGCGCTGGTACGATGCGTTGACATTTGTCAGCCGAAGTCCGAATGGCTAGGAATCTTTCGAACTTACAGAGGAACCGCTAGACTGATACATCGGCCTCCCGCCAAGGCTCACACATGTAAAGCTGCCGGTTGCACAGGGACCTGACAACAGCATTCCATCAGTTTCTTCGCTGATTATGGTGGACCTATATGCGCGTATCAATCTGAACGAGGGCTGTGAACATACCTGAACGTTGAATCTGGCCTCGGCAGGCGCATCGGACGAGAGATCCTAAGCATGCTGGCAAGTTAATAGGGATCAGTTTGATGAGTGTGCAGGCAACGCACTGCATTGACGCACCAAGATACGGCCCATCGTGTCCCTTGCGTGTGCCTATCACGTTTTGGAGCTGTTCGGAAGTTTTTGCGCGCGACACGCGAACCGAGTCCCGACCCAATGAGGGCGGCGGACGAAAGTAGTACTTGACTCGGCGCGTGCAATATTGTCATGCCTGGCTCATCCTATTAGCAGCTGCGATGGTCGTTGAGTACCACATGCGTACAAGATGTGGCCCGGCTGCCAAGGCGAGTCATGGCACTGGTGGACGGTTAAGGACCTAGGCAGGACTCAGCAGTGAGACAAGGTAGTGTTTAGTGGTTCTTACCTAGGCGTGCTAGGCACGACAGTTGCATCATCGGATGGGCATCGATGATGAGCAGATGAGGAGGAGAAGGGCTGGGACGATAGCGCAGAGCAGCGAGGCGTACCTTCCAAATTAGGTGTCGGGCGCTCAAAGTTCAACCATCTCTCCAACCAATCAGGGCACAGATAACGGTCAGCCTGGTGCCTAATGCCAGCTTATCCTCGTCTTAGAGCAGGTTGTGTAGGGTTTCTATGGCGCAAAAGTGTAAGAGGGTCAACAAAAGTGCTAGCTACGTCCTATTCATACATAATATTCAGAGGGACCATGACAAACACATGGGTGTCAGTAGTTGTCGAGGGACCACCGTACTGCTAGCAGCCATCGATCGTTACTCCAAGTCGTGCTACACAATGTACTCAGACTCGGTGAATGCACAAGTACCACAACAATCTTTTAGCTGACTTCGTGAACAGCTCCCGGACTTAGGCTCCTTATTAGCCACGTCGGACCTCACAGCGACTCGGAGATAATTCAGGTTGTGATTCGTGTGGCACAGCGGTCAAGTGCGCACTATTCCCTGGCGTCCGATTTGAAGCAGTAATCCCATTGTCCCCAATCTGTCGATGCAATCGCTCACTGAACTGATTGTCCTAGTTGAAGCTAGGGTACAAACACTGCCATGGCAAGGACTTGGCCAGTGAAGCCCGTTCGTACATACTTCGCCCCGACTTCGCGAGCTGTAACTCTAAGGCTAGACAACAGATGATCCTCGCGGCCCATTTAGTACCAACGTCTTGTACAACACCAGCCTGTGTTGACATATCACTCGACTCTGTGTCCTCCCAGCTCTGCAAGCGTTGCACGAGCTCTTCGTCCAACCTTCGCAACAGTGCCTCGCCTTCTGACTTGGTACTAGAGTTGAACAACGCATAGTGTTCACGCCCTTTGTCTTCCAGCAACAAGAACTGTTGCATGTTCAACGCCTGCTTGAGCTCGTCCAGCACGTAGTCTGTGTCTGAAAATAGCTCATCGTACTCCAAGAAGGGCGTGGAGTAACACGCAGGAACGACGAGCTTGTATGGCCATGTATAGAGGCCTAGACTCGGATCTGGAAGGTCCAGCGATGAATCTGGCAGGATTTGAAATGAACTGCGGGCATGCGCAACGATACCCGCGTGTATGCCTTCGATCTGCTCCGGGAAAGGAGGAATATCTCCACGATGGGACAGGTGCTCCCCATGAATCTGCGGGCGCCGCGTTGCCTTCCCACTGTAAGGCGGCGGCTTAGCGATGTAAATACGTCAGAATGCCGAAGATGGTACGGTACCGATCTGTAGCTCTGTACTTCGCCTGCTGAGATCGCTTGGCTTCGCGTTTCTCAGCGAGAGTGAGATACTTTGCCCGTCGACCCATATCCGAGGGACGACGTGCACTGGGTATCACAAGAACGGGCGATTTCGAGGGCGTGCAAGTGAGATTCGGAGTGGGGGTTTACTGCGTCGACCACGAAGTACATACAAAGCGGTACAAGGTAATATGAAAAGGGGTATCACGACACGAGGTACGAGGGACACATGACAGCAGTGGGGTAAATCAAGATGCCACTGATCCGACCTCCAGTCCAGACTACGCTACTACGCTATGATGCCAACGTGGCCTCTGTCCACTGCGCCCATAAACGACGCGAGCGCAGCGCTGAACGTGGGGTATCGTGAATACATCGCACCCGGCACGTTGAGCACCAAAGGTCCGACGATCGCCCTAGGCAGAGATGTTGTCAGTGTGCTGCTACGTAAACGCAAATGTTCCTTACCAGTCACAAAAGACGCCAATTGCTTTCCCTTTCGTGATGGAGTACCACCTTAATTTACCAGTACTGCTCCCAGGACCCACGTCCTCGGCATAGCGATCATAACCGCCGCAGTTGCCACAGCAACCGCCGCAGAGTCCAACGCCGGTGTTGCCGCTGCCGTTGCCGATAACGGGGGCCGCCGGTACACAAGACGTGCCTTGAGGACCACTAGGCACCCGCGGGGCAGGCGAAGGGGGACGTACAGGAGGTGCGAAGTCGGCCGGGCCTGCGCAGCCACTGTGCCCACCTTGCGCGACAGTTCCCGGCGCGCGGCCGCTGTGCCCGCCTTGCGCAACCGTTCCCGCTCCCGGCGTGTGGCCGCTGGGCCCGCCTGGTGCAAGAGCGCCCGCTCCCGGCGCATGGCTGCTGGGCCCGCCTTGCGTGACGGTGCCCGCTCCCGGAGGATTACCTCCACTTCCTGATGCCGGGAGGTCTGATGTCACTGTGGACAATGAGCTAGACAGGTAAAGGGCAACGGGGAATACTTACTCGGGTGGCTGGGATCGTCCACATCTCGCCACATCTGGCGTTCCGCTACAGACATCGTGAGTTAGCTGAACGAAGCAACAGCCTAGCAGAACGTACCTTCTTGCTCGGACACGAGGCGAAGTGCCTCCAATAACTGCTGCAATTGGTCCAGACTGAACCGCTGCTCGCTGTCGGGAGCAGAACGGTCAACGTTCTTGCCCTCTCTCGCCATGGTGACGACGTTGGCGCGGGGGAATAGCGGTAGCGGGTGGGGATCGAGGGGAGATGATCCCGCTGGATGGGGCCTAGGAGTCAGGACTCGGAGCTTGCTCTCTTATTCGTCGTCGAACGAGAGGCGTATCGCGTGGCAGGCAACACCCCAAAAACCATCAGATTCGCAATCTGAATATGACACCACTTACCTGGTGGCACAGGCTGCACAGGTCTTGTTCTTGGCTAGAGGGAATTCCATGCGGAACGCCCCATGAATTTGAGGGTTTGTGTATGCTTCTGATGGACGGCCCGTGGAGCCACCATGCGAGTCGCTGTGTTTCAAACAGCCGGCAGATGACGAGCAGCGCAGGAAGCAACCAGGCACGCGCGGCGCACACCCATTTTGGCTTGCGACCGACGACTAGCGCGACCATACCGGATTTGCACTTGTTGCGCTCGGCAAATCGTCAGGTTGAACGGCCGCAATTCTAGGATTAATATGAGGATATGTGGCAGCAGATTGAGTCCCTCCTCTCCGACATACAGGCTTACCTTCATGCCCGCACGCCGCTGGACGACCGATGCGGAACTTGAGTACTTGCAGACAAAGCTGGACTCCTTCCGATCGCATCAGCTCGCGCACACGCTCCATCGATTTTGGCCAGATATCTACCGCGAATGGTTCTTGAAATTCCCGGAGAGACCGAGGGTCCTTCCAAACGTCGACGGGGATTTATCAGAAGCAGAGGATAAGCAGCTGCAGGAAGCCATCATAAATCGTAAACGGGTACGTACACAGCTCTCAGAGCAGCAGACCATCTCCTGATTTTGCAGCAGAAAGTCTACAACTGGTTCAACAATCAGAACTGTCAGCAGACTCGCAAGGCGAAGGCAACGCACGTGAACTTGAGCCTTCTCAAGCCGAAGAACCGACGGAACTTGAAGGAAACCGAGGTCTACTCACGCAAGTACTACGACGAGCGGATCAAGCCTCAGGTGCAGGAGGAGTTGTCCGGGCGCGTCGTAACGAAGGAAGAGAGGCTTGGGATCATCAAGAGGGTCACGAAGGAGCTTTACGACAGAGAGGACGAGGAGATCAAGAAAGAGATTCGCGACGAAGTCGACGTCCTTCGGGCGGCAAGAGGGACTCCAGGGAAGCGAGGCGCGTCCGAAGGCACGGACGGTTCCGACGCACCAGCGGAGGCTACCGATGAGCATGCCATTCTGGCTGTGGTTTGTCAATCGTACGTACATCGATCCTGAGTTACACGTGTGAGACTGAGCTGTCCAACCATAGCGTGCTCGACGACATGCCTGCCATTTTTCGGCAGCTGTTCCTCGAGCTGCACCGTCAGACTGGCTGGTACTTCATGGTCATGGCAGCTGGTGTAGCACCCGGTTCTGATGGCGGAATTGGGAGTATGGTGTGAGTCACACTCTTCCCCGTCGGTATCGTGGTCGAACTTACAATACCACTGTAGCTTTCACCAAGAAGGGGACGACCCCGAGCACAACATCGGGAGGTTGAGCAACTTTGTGTCGCAATTCGTCCGGCCATTCGTCGAGTATGTCAAAGAAGAGATAGGTGAGTCGTCTGAGCAGGATAATATGTACATTGTTTTCTCACTTACAGTGCAGCAATTGCTCGCTCCGAAAAGCTATCGCAGCCGAGTACGAGCTCGCCTGCCCCGGCGGCTGCTCCTCAAGGTCCTGCCGCGCCTGCAACACCAGCAACATCTACCCAGGAGGCGAGTGGAGCGCCGCAGGCAACGTCCAGTGTAGAGTCGTCGGAGCAGGTCGGCTTGGAGCAGTCGCCATCCACCAGCACCGCGCCTACGACGCCCGCGGCCAGTGGTGCATCCAGCCAAAAGGAGCAGGCGGCTCCTACCGTGACGTCGCTCGCGGCTGTTGGCGCGTCGAGTCGGGAGCAACAGATCGAACCTGCATCGACATCGCCCGCGTCTGTTCGTGAGCCAAGCCGAGAGGAGCAGTCTGCTCCGGCGTCCGAGTTGTCCTCGACTGCTGTGGTTGCTCCTGACTCGGACAATACAGCCTCCTCGTTGCTGGACTCCATCCCATCTCCCCGCTTTGCTGCCGACGCACCTCTGCGCCCCGTTCAAGACCCTGTACGTTTAAACACCGTAACATCGAGCACAGGTGTGCATCAGCCTCAAACGGATGGCGCGAGCGGCCCAATGAACGCACCTGTACCAACGTCCCGCGTGTCTGGTGCGATGTCATCTGCGCCTGGTATGCTGTCTGCACCTAGCCCGTCTCTCCCCGAGTTCGTGGATGACATCGACTACTCCCTTCTCGCCTCCGAATACGCTGCAACAAACCCAGGTCCCGTCGACCTCCTCAATGCCCACCGCTTGCTGCCAATGAGTTCTCAGTGGCCAGCGAGCGGCAGCGAACAGTCCTGGACCGGCTTGAACCCCATGCCAGCGCCGCCATCGTTTTCGATGTACCAGCCCGATCTGTTGCCGATGGCGATGCCATTCTCGACGAATACCCCTCCCTCGTTCGCAAACAGCACCTTTTCATCCAACTTCCCAGCTTCTTCAGCAAATCTACCATCGTCCTCTACGACCTTCACTAATCTGACATACAACTTCCCACCGACGTTTTCCACTTGGGACCCCATCCCGCCACACCTTCAGCCGATGACATCCGGGCCACACATACCACCGCAGGGTTCAAGCTCGGCACCGGAGGCCGTACAGCGAGCCGACCGTCAGTCCTCGCTCGCTCCAAATGCGCAGCGCGCCGCCGACAAGTCTTCGGATGAGCTGGGACCTCCTATTGGAGCATCGAACGCACCCTCTGTACATTCAACCTCTCCACTGCCGCAGTCTGTGTCTGTACCATCCCCGCCCTCCGTGCTTCCCCCTCACCACATCCCACCCAGCTCGCATGCACCAAGTCCGCCTGGTGGACGCCGCGATCCGTCAGTCACGAACAATGCTTCTACAGCAGGAGCCGCGGAGGCAGCGACGACAGGAGCCGTGGAGGCAGCGCCTGCGACGACAGGAGCCGAGGAGGCAGCGTCTGCGACGGCAGGGCAGCCCGACACTCTTGCCGATGGTGATGGTGATGGTCGAGGTCGGCCCAAGCGCCGACGGCGCGCACCAGCACGTCCCGACAAGTCCCCTGTTACACCAGTTAAGAGAAAGGCTTCGCCAGCGAGCGCGGAGTCGGATGCTGCAGCAAAGAAAAGGCGACCTGCGCCGGGCAAACAAAAGGCTGCAAAGAAGTGAGTAGGCGAATACTGAAGCTCGTCACATTTCATAATATCATGTACATAAACTCTGGGTTACTACGTAGCGTACCTTCTTCTTAATGCACGAATTTGCGGGTGGTCGCTCGGGGGATCGGGTTCTATGAAACAAAGCCATAATGTATTAATGGTATAGCTACAGTGTCACCGCCAAGTAGCATAGGTGCCCGCAGCTGCGAAAGAACTGTCTGTCAAGACGCACAATCAAACGTGTGGCAGATGCTTACCGGTCAGCTCTACACCCAAGCCCGTGTCCTCCACCTCCTATGTGTCGCAACCCAAATCCAAATCGCCGGCCTTAGTGGCCCATCAGACTTCCGAGTCTACCTATCTGCGAATGATCGTAGAGCGCGACATGGCGTTCATGTCGCGCGTGGTTCAGTAGAAGCCTGACGAGGCGCAGGGCAAGCGTACGTCGGAGTCATGTGAGTATGTCGGCCACGGCTTCTTGGGGCACCGCGCAAGGCTTGCCGGCGGTGATGGGTGGGAGCGAGGGCGACTAGCAGGTGGCGCCGCGGCGCTGAAGACCCAAGCCGGTTGGGAACAACGAGCCAGAGGGGTATGGGGGGTCAGCACTCGTCCCGGCAGGGCCAGAGTGAAGCCCAATCTCCATACCAACGCACCGGTGGGCGTTGACCCAGAGCTGGGAGGCGCAGCGACGGCGACGAGGAGGGGAAGGAGGAGGAGTGGCCCAGAGGTGGGAGGCGCAGTGGTGGTGACGAGAGAGGCTCGCTGCGCATCGGCGCTGAGGGCGCGACCGCCCAGCCGGTTCCCACGGTTCGGGCGCTCGCCGCCAGCGCGCCCAGCGCAAGACCTGGCCCGTTGCCTAGCTCCTGCACCGCGCAGAGTCACTTTTCGGTAAAGGTTTTGTATGCAAGTACCTCTGAAGAGTGTCGCGCCCTCTGCAGGGCGGGAGCCTGGCGACTGAGCATGGCAGAGACAACGACCACCGTCCGCCACTGTACATCACGGGACGCCGGCGCACGGTGCACGTGGATGAGTCGTGGCCGCGCGATGTATGAGCCATACATCGCGGGACTGTTCACACATCCGGTATCGACGCCAAGCCGACGCGCGATGTATGAGTCGCGGAACTGTTTATACATTGTGTGATGTATGAATTGCGGGTCGCCGACGGTGCACGTGTATGAGTCGCAGTCGCGCGATGTATGAGCCATTGAGTCATACATCGCCGCGGGGATGGTTCATACATCCGGTGTCGACGCGCGATGTATGAGTCGTGGAACGTTTGATACATTGAGTGATGTATGAGTCGCGGGACGGCTGATATATCGGACACCGATACGCGATGTATGAGCCACGGGAGGGTTCGCCCCGGGCGATGTTAGGGCGATGTATGGGAGCATGTATGAGAGTATGTATGAGGGCTATGCTGGATGTATGAGTATGTATGAGAGCCACGGACAATGTATATGGGGCACAGAACATTTATATATGAGGCTGTAGGCCAGGGCAGTCTGTGAACTACAACATTCATGTATGGGATCTGGACTACAGTCTCAAGGGTCTATGTATGGGTCTGCCAGTGAGAGGTGCACTATTGACTACTTATGTTTGACTAGATATGGTCAAACCAATACAATTGACTAGGCATAAATGACTGGATATCGTTGACTAGATGTGGTCGACTAGATTCGGATGTCTAGGTATGGCCGACTAGATTTGAATGACTGAGTCTGTTCAACTAGATACGGTTGACTGGATACAGTTGACTAAATTTGCTCGACTATGGGATATCGACTAAAAGGTCTATGAGATGCATGACTACGAAACATAGACTAGTCATAGCTGAGTACAAGGAGACTATGAAATTTGACACCACCAGCAAAAGCGTTCAAGTTCGACTGCCCGCCGTTCATGGTCCTGATCATCGCCCTTCTTAACGACGGTACCATCATGACTTTGTCGGTTGACCGTGTCCTGCCCTCGAACCAACCCGACAACTAGGACCTCGCCAAGATCTTCGCGTACGCCGTCGCCTATGGCTTGTACCTCACCTTGTCTACGTAAGTTCGTCGTCTCGTCCTGCGTCGACTGTATGCTGACATGCTTCCGTTTATAGGATCGCCCTTGTTGCTATTTGCATCAAGACGACCTTCTTCTATGACAAGTTCGGTGTCTTGTTCGAATACGGTGCCATCCAGGCGACGAACCACAACGACCGTGTCCTGCGTTCCATTGTCTACCTCCAGGTCGCCATATGTCTGACTAGTTATGCACGACTAGTTATGTACGACTAGTTAAGTACTACTACTTATGCCCGACTAGTTGACTACGACTACTTATGTCCGACTAGTTAAGTACGACTAGTTTAGTACGACTAATTAAGTACGACTACTTATGTCCAACTATGTACAGTTGACTACCCATATCCGACTACCTTTGTATGACTACTTAGTTGTTGACTATTATTGCTGGAGTACTCAATGATCCTTGTTACTATGGACGGATCAGTCATTATGGAGAGATTGAAGTGTGAACAGGTCGACTATTAGTCATAGGTTAACTAGTTATTCATGACTAAATAATCAATTATAACTAGTTATGTTAGCTGAGGCTGTTGACTCAATTGACTCGATGTCCAGTTTCAGCACTTGAGAACACGACCACATGACTTCTTATGCGTGTTCTGTGCTTCAGGTTGAGCCTGCTGAGAACTTCCGGAGTCATTCAATGTAGGAACTGCACCGCGGTCAGACGCTCAGTCGTTGGTAACACTCGACTTATATTAGAGTTACCTGCACCGCGGTCAGACGCTGTGCAGGGCGTGAGCTACTATGGTAGGTAACGGACGGGAATGTTCTCACCTCAGTCGTTGGTAACACTCGACTGAGGGAAGAAGGGGGAGGAGAGGACGAGACGACGAACCACCCCCGGCGGTCTGTCACGTGCGGTGTGGCGGGGATCGAGGTCACGCGCCGTAACCTCAACACTCCTCCTCGGCGCAGACTCGACGAGATCCTGCTCAGGAGGGGGAACAGTATCGTACGTATAGTAGGTATCGCGCATGGAGAGGGTTTCGCTCGTATGGTGAGGTCATTTGTATCGTAATCTGTCGTTGAGAGGCGTGGTGTTTCGTCAAATGCGAACAAACGAGGGAAGAGAAAGAGAAAGAATGTGTGTCGTCGTGAAAGAACGGAGATGTCGTGAATGAATACGGGACACCAAGAACTCCTCCTCACCGTCAAGAACTCCTCCTCACCGCACAAGCTCCTCCTCGGATGGAGGACGAAGGCCCATGCGAGTGCGAAGCGTCAGGAACGGTTTGCGCTCGAGTGGCTTGGTGAACGCGTCAGCAACGTTGAGGTGTCCGGGAACGTGCTGCAAGGCGACGCGTTTGGCGGCGACTACTTCGCGGAGGTAATGCCATTTGATGTCAATGTGTTTCACACGAGCGTGGAAGGTGGAGTCCGTGGAGAGTGACATGGCACTGGTGCTGTCGACGCGCATGAGGGAGGCCACAGGCTGGGGGAACCCGATGCCGTCGAGGAGGAAGCGCAGCCAGATTGCTTCTTTGGAGGATTCGGCAGCCGCGATGTATTCGGCTTCCGTGGTGGACGTGGAGACGGTAGGTTGTTTGCGCGCCGCCCAGGACACGATCCCAGAGCCCAGGTTCCAGCAATAGCCGCCGACGGAACGGCGAGTATCGTAGCACCCGGCATGGCTCGCGTCCGCAAAACCGTTGAGGTTCGCCGCATCGGGGCCGCCGAGCTCGAGGCGGAATGTCCGCGTACCCTTCAGGTAGCGCACGACGCGCTTCGCTGCATCCCAGTGGATAAGTGAGTAGCAGTCGAGGAATTGGCTCAACTGCTGGACAGCAAGCGCAATGTCCGGACGCGTACCGATCGCCAGATACATGAGACATCCTACTAGGGAGCGGTACGGCAGACGCGCGGCCCGGTCCTTCTCCACCTGGGTCTTGGGACTGTGCTGCGTGCGAGACAGGCAAAGGCCGGCGTCCATGGGAGTGGAGATGGGGGCGCAATCCATACTGTCGAGACGGAATTCGGCGATGATCTTGTCGATGAGCGCTGTCTGCGAGAGAGCGACAGTGCGCGTCGCGCGGTTGCGATCGATCTGGATGCCTATACAGAAGCGGGCGTCGCCAAGCTCTGCGATGGCCCATTTTCGACGGAGCTCGGCTTTGAACTCCTCCTTGGCCGCAGCGGTACTGGACGTTAGCAGGAAGTCATCGACATGCACTCCGGTGAGAACAATACCACGCTCGTTCTTGCGGTAGTAGATGCAATGCTCGCATGAGAGTCGCGTGAAACCGAGTTCCAGCATATACTCGTTGAGCGTGTCGTTCCACGTACGACCGCCCTGCTTGGTTCCATAGATTCCGCGCACCAGCTCCCATACCCAGGATTCCTTACCAGGCTCCTCAAAACCCTTGGGCTGCTCCATGTAGAGGTGCTCGTCGTCAGGTAAGATGCCGTGAAGGAAGGCCGTCTTGATGTCGAGTTGCTCGATTTCCCAGTCCATGGAGGCTGCAATGTGCAGGAGCACCCGGAAGGACTCCATCCGCATTGTCGGGGAGGAGGTTCGGTTGTAGTCGAGGCCATACACCTGCTGGAAGCCCTTCGCGCACCAACGAGACTTGAACCGGACGGGCTCACCCTTCTCGTTCCGTTTCAGCCGGAAGACGGGCTTGCCCTTGAGTACGCGACGACCGGCGGGAACCTGAGAGCGCGGGATGAGCTTGTAGACACCGAGGTCCTTGATGGATTTGAGCTCGTCGGACAAGGACGCCGCCCACTCTGCTTTGAACGGGCCAGACATGGCTTCCTCCAGGGTGGCGGGATCGCCCGGGTACTCCACGTCCATGGGAATGGCATCCGACGCGGCGAGGGCCTCGAGCTGAGCGAGGATGTCGGGCTCGTCTGCCGGGGGCGGGTCATCGACGACGAAGTCCGGGGGCACCTGTGGTTCGGCGGGAGCATGCACGGCAACCACTTCAGGCACGTCGGGAGCCACCGACGCGCGTGAGGGCGCTGGCACGGCCGAGTCTGTAGCAGGACGAGGAACGTGAGCACGAATCTCGTCAACTGTACGTTGCAAGCGGGTGACGTGAGGGAGACCATCGGCCTCCGCACGACGCTGGGATGGCACGGGGATACGGGAGGATCGCCGTGGAGGTGCGGCGGGCGCAGGCAGGTCAGCCTCCGGGACAACCGGCACGGCGGCGTCAGGCGCGTGAACGATGACCGGAGGCACCATAAGGGGCGCGGCGGGTTCGAGGGGCGGTACCGGGTCGTCCGCGATGATCCCGCCGTGTGGGACGCCAGGCGCGACAGGCGCGGCAGGTACACTGGGAGCCAACGCGACGGGAGACGCTTCATGCGATTCGATGAAGGCCACATGAAAAGAGCTTACGACTTTGTGAGTGGCACGATGGTAGCAGCGGTAGGTTTTGGAGTTCAGACCATAGCCGACGAGCACGCACTCGACAGATCGCTCGTAGATCTTCGGGTTGTGCTTGTTCTGAATGAGCACGAAGGCCCTACAGCCGACTTCCCGGAGATGGGAGAGGTCGGGCTTACGACCGTACCAAGCTTCGTACGGGGTGACGCCCGGGGAGAGGGAGCGTGATGGAGTGCGTACCGTTAGATAGTTGGCGGTAAGTAAGAACTCGTCCCAGCGGTTCGCGGGAACGTTCGCTGCGAGGCGCATAGCCCGAGCGCGATCCATCAGGGTACGGTGCAGGCGCTCCACGCGACCATTGTGCGCAGACGTGTACGCTGCAGTGAGCCGGAGCGTGATACCGCGGCGTGCGAGGAAGGCCTTGAAGGTGCCAGATAGCAGTTCGCCGTTGTCGATTTGCACGGCCCCGATCTTCTCGCCAGATTCGGTCTCGACGGCGTTGGCCCAGGCCTCGAATCGCGGCTCAGCGGCGTCCTTGGACGGGACGGGGATCGTCCACGAATACGACGTGTGGTCGTCAATTATGTCTAATGAATACACATTGCCAGTCGCTGATTGAGAGTCCATCTGCCCTTGTAGGTCAACGTACACCAGCCCCAATTTCCGCTTCGCCTTTTCCCCCTCCCGCACCTTAGGAACAGCTGATCTCGTCTGCTTGCCGAGGATACAGTGTTCACATTTGTTTGGTGCAGGAGAGAGGGTGATGGGCATACCTTTGGCAGAGCGAAGGCGAGCCATGTCGTAGATTGAACGGTGATTGACATGACCCAGGCGGCGGTGCCAGGTGTCGAGGGTAGGCAGGCGAGAGGACAGGAGGGCGTGTTCGGTGGAAGGCGGAGTGCCGTTGAGCGAGTAGAGACGACGACCAGTGAGAGTACCAGACGCGACGACAGCACCACTGCGTGTCAGGATGGACACCCCCTCGTCGTCGAACATAACTCTGTAGCGAGAGACGGAGCGGCACAAAGCGGAGATGCTGATGAGACGGACCGTGGCGCGAGGCACATAGAGGACGTCGTCAAGAACCAGAGAGGCACCGCGCCCGATGCGCAACTTGACCTTGCCGACACCACAGGCATAGATGACGGATCCGTTGATGCCACGTATCCCGCGAGGCTCGATGGGACGGAGGTCGTGGAAGTCGCGCCGGTTCGGGGACAGATGCGTGGAGGCGCCCGAGTCGAAGACAAAAGGCTCAGATCCGACGGTAGACACGCGACGAGAGGCAGCGGGCAGCGGGACAACAGAGTAGGCAGAGGGGTTCACAGCGTCACGAGCATGAGATACCCAGTTGAGAGATACCTTGTCCTCAGCGGCAAGCGAGACGAGAGCCTGATACTCTTGAACGTCGGCCGGCGTCGCTACAGAGTCAGCCCAGGCCGGGGTGGAGGCGACGTTGGCCAGCTCGGCGAACTCGTCAGATTCCAAGTCAGGCTGGGCGGACGAGCGAGCGGGCGGGTCCACGCTGAGAAAGTATACCTTGCCGGTAGACGTGTCGACCACGAACGGACGACCGGAGGAGTCAACGGACGCCGACTTGGCCAGTGAAGTGGGTGCCGACGACGTAGAAGCAGCGGCAGCAGTCTCCTTGGCTTTTCCTTGGCGACCACGACGGCGCGACGCCAGGTATTCGTCGCGTTTGGCCTTGTCCTCGAGACCGCCGCCCTTGGCGAAGCAGGTGTCGATGAGGTGGCCCTTCGGATTGGGACACGCAGGGTTGGAGCACATGCGCGTGGTGCGACCGGCTTGGAAAGAGGCGGCAAGGGCGTCGGACGTACCGGGAACCGCATCGACGCCACTCATCTGTTGCTCGAAGTCCAGGCGCTTGAAGATGTCGACGGAGGTGTACGGAGCGTCGGCAGTGCTGGCCGCGAGGGACGTCCCGACCTGGGATTGCATATACTTGAGATGACCGGCCATGGCGTTCAGCATAGCGACGGTCATCATGACGTCGGCAGAGGGAAGACCGATATTGTAGATGCGGTCCACAATCTCTTGCATGCGAAGGCTGGTCACGGAGTAGCGTTCGGTTGGGACGTACCGGCAGTTGAATAACTCCTGAATCAACGTCGCCTGCGCATACGCTCCGGGTTCCTTCTCGTGGCGCAGGCATAAAGCCTTCCACACGGCCGCGAGCGAGGGTCCGCTCTTTTGTATGAAGACCTGTTCCTCCTTGTTCGTCTTCGACTCGAGGAAGGCGATGGCGACCATTTCGTTACAGTCGAAGTTGTACGCGGAGGCAGAGTCGACGGCCGGATCGGGTCGCTCGATGTAGCCGGTGAAGTACGGCCACAGGTGACACATCTTGGCACTTCGCTCGACGTACGCCTTCCACTCGAACCAGTTGCTCTTCGCGCGGTCGAGGATCTCGCCGCCGGCGTGCATGGACGAGGGAATCGCTATCGACGAGATGGTTTTCGGCTGAGGGCGAATGCTCGGAAGTTTGCCGGGCTCGGACATGATGGATGAGACGCGGCCCGGTGCTTTCGGACTCGGCTGAGGGGTCTTCGTCATTAGACGCGAGAGAAGGTGGCTATATGCGGGTAGAAACGCGCTTCTGTGGGCGTTGCGATGTTACGCGGGGGTCTGCGAACGAGTAGCTAGCTCCAGGTACTGGTGCGGGGGCTCAATACCTCCGACCAGGGCTCATAACCTGTAGGAACTGCACCGCGGTCAGACGCTCAGTCGTTGGTAACACTCGACTTATATTAGAGTTACCTGCACCGCGGTCAGACGCTGTGCAGGGCGTGAGCTACTATGGTAGGTAACGGACGGGAATGTTCTCACCTCAGTCGTTGGTAACACTCGACTGAGGGAAGAAGGGGGAGGAGAGGACGAGACGACGAACCACCCCCGGCGGTCTGTCACGTGCGGTGTGGCGGGGATCGAGGTCACGCGCCGTAACCTCAACATTCAAGAGGCAAGGCATTGAACGACTAGTCTCCGTTGCCGACCAAAGACGACAAGCTATGAACGAACCTTCAGCCCCGCCGCACATACGCTGGACTTGATTGTACATTCACTCCCACCTCAGAAAAGTAGTACATATTACAAGCTTAAGGTTGCGGAGGTATCGCTGAGCAAACATCGAGAACCAAAGAATTACAATCGATAGCAACAAAGCGTCGTTTTCATCAATCATCATCGTCTTCTGCTCACACGACTTATTGGGGATGTCATGCACCAAACAACGCGCTCGTGAGCGATATCGAAGGCGGTGACGGCCTATGGAACACGGGCGAGCTGCGCAGATAGGCATCGTCAGTCACCCACTGCCGAACATTCTGTTCCATCAAAGCCTAACACTCACCTCGACGGAACAGCTGTGGCTCGTTGTATTGGCGACCTCGGGTCCGCCGACGCAGGATACACGACACCCGGCGTGAGTAGTGGTTGGGACAAGCCGAGCGCAAGAGGGCTCAACGGAGCCGACGCAGACTCCGCGTGTCCCGACCTCATAACGCTGGCCGGCCTTGCGGAACGTCTGGAGTATGAACTTGTAGGGGGCGCTGAGGGTGAGGTAGGAGGAGGAGGCATGGGCGACCTCGAGTTCGAGCTCGAGCGAGCACTAAGCAAAAGACGGCGTATCTCTGATGAAGGCACTGTCGAGGAGGAAGACACGGGAGTTCTTGGGCTCGAGCGTGGGCTGAGCAGAAGACGATGATGCATCTCCGCTGCGCTCTCGCTCTGGCTTCGCGCGATGACACTACCCGAGCCGTTGCCGGAGCCTGCCCTCCGTGCGGGCGAGGACTTGATCGACGCGGGAACTGAAGGTCCGGTGCTCGGAGTCCGCGCGGACTGCGTGCGTGCGCGGGGGGAAGGTGCGGGTGTCGCTTGCACGGATGAGTTTGCATACTGCACGCCCTCGCGCATGCGGCTGCGCGTAGAGCGCGGGGTCGCGTTGGGCGAGGCCGAGGAATGACTCACAGTAGTAGGGCGGCTGCCGTCGTGGCTGGGGAAGTCGGGCTCTATGTAGGTCACATTCGTCAGCGGAGACGAGCCGCTCACATCGGTTTCAGCGTCTGACCCAGCATCGCCAACCGGGACTAGAATGGTAGGGGGAGGAGGTATCGCAGTTGTGGTTGGTGGTCGGGAGGAGCGTGCCGTCCATGTGGAGCGTGCCCGAGTGGGCTCAACACGGGTCGATGAAGACGTCGGAGGGCTCCTCGGTGCTGCCGCAGACGATCGCGCGGCGTGCCCAACGGGCGACTGCGCGGTTGACTGCACCCTGCGCCGAGGAGACGGGTCGTGTTCACGCTGCACCACGTTCGGGGAGGACGAAGACCTCGACACGGGCGCTTGTCGGGGGGACTGCACTGTGCTTGATACGGGCGCCGCGGTCGGAGGAGACCACACGGTCGCGGGGGCAGCTAGCGCTGCTCGGATCTCCGCGAGGCGTGAGGTAGAGCGGGCAGGTTGTGCGTGGAGTTGGGGAAGTTGCGCGGCTGATATGGACGTGCGAGCGGAACGAATGCTGGGAGTCGACACATTGCTCGGGTTTCGGGGAGGAGGTATCTGGGCACCCGCGGGAACGCCTTGCACGGGCGCAGGACGGTCAGAGGGCACTACCTTCACGCGGCCCTCCGCGAGGGCGGCGCGGTAAGCATCCAGCGCCTCGACCTTGGTCCTATATCCTTTGTAAATGGAGCCCTCGACCTTGATAACTCTCGCGGCGCATTCAGGCCTTACATGGTGATGATTGAGCGCGCTGGCCCTGACAATAACGCGGACCCCCAGATTGCGTGTCACTCACCACTCGTCGTACACTCCCGGCTCCGTGCCTACTGTCACAAGGTACGCAGCGAACTTGGGCATCTCCACGAGGGTATCGCTGGACTCCTAACGAGCCAGATGAGGGAGAGGTGACTCGCTGAGCTGAGGGCGCCGCGGATACCTTTGATCAGCCTTTTGAGTCAACACATACATCACCGTCGGTTCCGACATTCAGGATCCCGGAAATTCCGATCAGAAATTACGGGAAGCGTCGACTTACGCGGAATGATGACCTTCCGAATGTGGAAGCACGAGCCACTGTGTGGCGGGAGTGCCGTAATCATATATGTAAGGACGTTGACCGCGCACGCTACACAGCGTGGTCCTCAGGCCTCAGGCCTCAGCGTTCTCGCTCCAGTCTTCCACAGATACAGCCGCTGATCGACTCAGGGATGCATACCACACCAACATGAGCAGCGAAGGTTACGGAAGCGCACCTGTATGTATCAACTGAAGCAGCAGATTTGGAGAAACGATGTTCACAAGGTTGATTAATGAGCTTTTGAGACGCTCTGTCCACGAGCCACTGCGCCCGAAGTAGCAGGCGCATAGAGTCTAGTCAAGTCGACACTGATCGTCATTGGGCATGCCCTCCGCTCCGCCGTAATAGATCCGGAAATCCTGCAAACTGTGCACGAGAGGTTTTGCGATGACAGCACAAATTACATCGAGCATACCGGATATATGTAGAACATGAGAAGTACTGCGAAAGTGACAAATATCCACCCAAACACGCACACCCAACAGAGCACACGGCTGTCATACTGCGATGTAACCGCCACGACTCGATTGCCGCGGCCGAATAGCGGAGCATAGATGTGAGACGACGTCCTTGAACATGTACGGGACTTCCCTCCAGAAGTCGCGATGGCTGTCAAACATGGCGTCAGACGGGCGTTGCTATCACGAGTAAGGTAATGATACGCACGGTATCAAGTCTAGGCCTGTTGCGCCGTACGTAGAGTAGTTGTAGTACGCGCCCAGGGCGAAGTAGGCAACAAATGCAAGCAGCAATCTGGGAGTGCGTGAGCCGTCTTGCAACACGGTGAGGTTGCTCGTGACTCACAGAAGGAAGAAGTATCCCAGTCCTGAGCCCATATGGCTCTCACTGCTACCATCCCCTTCCTCTGCGTCGTCGTTTGGCTTGTCCGATCCCGAATCGGGAGGAGCTGCGCCAAAGCCGCAGCCAGAAGGCGCGCTCCATTCCGCCCACATGGCCGAGCCATCGTAGTCGGAGAATGTCAACCCGGTGCTTTCCGTTGCGCAAAGCAGTCTAAGATTGAATGTTTGTTCCCAGGAATCATCGCTGGAGTCGGGGTATGTTGGGCCTCTGAAGGTCAGTATGATACCCTTTGGCGCTAGCGCGAATCCGCATCAGCAGCAGCTCGCCGCCGAGCCATGGAACGCACTCACACGACAACGACGACTTCTCAACGACACTGCTCGACGTGGCCAGCGGGATGACTGCTACTACGCGGTCGTCCTCATCGTCTTTTTGGTTTAGTGTAGTCAGACATGCCCGTGTCCCTGCTGGACACTGATCGTGAGACACCACGCATATAACCATGAGCCAGGACCTCCAAGGATCGTGCAGACGAAGAGAGATGGTACGAACCTGGTCTCGCGCATCCACGTGCTCCTCAATATCCAAGTCCGCACAGAGGTTGAACTTGACGATGTCGCGCATGGTGGTGGGTGGACTCTTCCTTTCCCGCATAATCCGGTGCTCGCCCGCCAGCGGTGTAAGATCATATTGGAGGCCGTTGTCGTCGGTGAAGCGACAGTTGAACCCGTCGTCCTGCGCCGACGCGTAGCGTGTGAGGGCCAGCAGGGCCGTTGCCTGAACGTAGAAGTTCGCTGCGCGAGAGAAAAGCATGCTGTGCTTGCCAGTAGCAAGGAGAAGAACAAAGGGGAAAGGAGAGGCGAGGACCGCTGGCAGGACGACCGCGAACGCTGAGCGAGATGTGAGTTGGATGAGAGTGCCGCTGCGTGCGTGCGCCCGCTGTACGCGCCAACCCATAACCGGAAGCGGCGCCACCGCTGGGACCCGGGGAGCGCTTACGTAAGAGACGCGACACGCAGGGGACCTCGAGGACCGGGGGTGACGCGTCCACGCGACGCGTCGCCTCCCGCGCTTCCGCTTCCAGCGCCCTGTGGCGAGCACTGACCAGATCCCCAGATAATCGCCACCGCCGCCCTATATAACCTCTCCTCGACCTACCAGCTGCCCACACACCCCCGGCAAACATGGCCACCATCGACGACCTCGTTGAGCTCATCTACCACGAGAGACAAGAGCCTGGCTCGATGCTCTGCGCACAACATGCGCTCAATTCGCTTCTGCGTGAGTGGCGCGCACTTGGGACGAAATAGATGCTAATGTGTGTCTATTATTTGTATAGAGGGTGCATATGTGAGGCAAACTTCTGCAAGATGTCATGCTGCACACTGAGCACCACGATGTATCCAGTTCAGTGCACCAGACCTGTCCACAATCGCCCGAGAACTAGACGAACAGGAAGCACATTACGACGAGGACAACAATGGGCAAACCAGCACGAATATGGACGATACTGGTACGCCACAAGTCTCTGGCGTATATGCCACTGGATCATAGACGGACGCTGTAGGGTTCTTCTCGGTTCAGGTCATGGAGAGAGCCTTGCAAGTCTGGGGGCTTACGTATGTGACCTGACCTACTCGCTCTCATAACCTTTGCTGACGCCTACCCCTCTGACAGCCTTGTGAGATGGCGCAGCGAACGTCTGCGTCCATACCAACAACACCCACAGTAGGCCACTTTAGCTGACTCCCGGAATCGCGCCCTGAGCAATTGTTCAGTGCACAGATTGCGTTCGTCCTCAACCTCGAGCAACATTGGTACACTCTCAGACGATTCGGTGAGACCTCGCCAAATCCCGAACTCAATGTAGCGCACAGCGTCGGACACTGGTTCAACCTCAACTCGTTCCTCGAGAGGCCAGAGTGGATCTCCAAGACATACCTGGGCATGGTCCTGCAGCAGGCCGAATCTGACGGTCAGTTCTCTCGGATTTCACGCATTCCATCACCTAAGCAGTTGCACGGACATAGGCTACTCCGTATTCGCAGTGGTGCAACAGGATCCAGACGCGCCACTGGCAATGCCGCTTACCTCTGCTGACCACCTGGCCGCCACCATCCCAGAGAAGCCTTCCTCAGCTACCCCTGCCTCGCAAGTTGCTTCCTCTTCACATATCCCAACCGGGTTCGAGGACGAGGACATGGAATTGCAAGCAGCACTGCAAGCGTCGCTTATGCACCAACCGTACGAGTACTCCGTGCCCCCTGCGGCTCCCCGCCCCCCCTCCGCCTCTGTCCCTGCCGTGCCGAGCGGTGTGCTCGGGGCGATACGCGACTTTGGCAACACCGCAACGCCCACAACGCGTACGCCGCCGATCGTAGACGAGCCCGACGACGACGATGAAGACGACGAGGACTACGAACCAGTACCGGAGCCCGCTAACACCGACCCCGTCGCCGCAAGCACGGCACGGAACCGCGCATTCCTCGCGCGTTTCCAGCGCGAGCAGGAGGCGGCGCTGCGCGAGAGCTTCGGCGACCACGACGTCGAGGCGGAGGCGCGCCGCGCGCGTCGACGGCAGGAGGAAGAGGAGGAGGAAGAGATGCTCCGCCGCGCGATCGAGGAGAGCGAAAAGATGCACCGGCAGGCGCAGGCTCAGGGCCAAGACCAGGAAGACGTTGAGATGCACGACGCGGAAGCACCTCCTGTGATCCCGCCCCATCCGTCCGCGATGTACGGCGGGAGCAGCGGGGCCACAGTGTACGACGACGACGACGCGGAGCTCCAGGCCGCGCTGAGGGCTTCGCTCGTGGATGTTCCCGAGGGATCTCGGGCACAGGACACGCCGCCGAGCACCGCCCGCCCGCTCCCTTCCTCGACGCCGTCCGCCCCGGCGGGCCCGCCAATACAGCGCCAGCCCTCCGTCGCCAGCACGCACTCCGAGAGCGAAACTTCGGTAGCGACGGAGTCCGACTCGGAACCGCCGCCGCAGGAGCAGCTGAGCATGGAGGAGATCCGGCGGCGGAGGTTGGCACGCTTCGGTGGTTGAGTTCGTCTTGGATATACAGTACGGAGGACCGACGGGTTATGACATACAGCAGACAACGCACATGTGTACCATAGTATCGATGCACTCACAATCCACACCATTGACCCGCTTTCCCTCGACTCGACGATCCGGCGCTGTAGCTTGAAAATAGATATGGATGTATTGTATGCGAAAAAAACGAAACCTATGATACAGAGGTCTAGGTCTACTGCGAAAGCGACGACACGAGACACAGCGACTGTCCATGGACGTACACGCAAGACATGCCTCTAGCAGTCTATCCCCTGCAGCCCGCACTAGTCCGACCACACCGAAACGAAACAGCCACGAGTGCATTTCCGTATAGGCACCACACGCGACGTGCATGAGTACCGACAATGTCGCCAAGGACCCGTGTATGATCCCGACGCGGAGCATAAATACGCGAATAAGAAGATCCCTACATACTACGGACGGCGACAACGGTCCATCGGATAGTCAATGCTGCTCCGCATTCGCAGCAGCAATCTGGCCCTCCACCCACCTCATCAGCACGTCTAGCTTCTCGCTCGTGCCCACCAGCGCCCCCGAACGGAGCGCATCAAGGATGCGCTTGCCCACAGCATCTGTGCACTCCTCCGCGCGACCGAACCCGCCCAGGCAGCCCCTGCGATAGTCCGCCTCGGACAACCCTAGGATGGACGAGACGGTGCGCTCCTGTTCCGCCCCGATGTGAGGCAGGAAGGTGCGCAGCAGGACGGGGAGCGCAATGAGCATGGGCAGGTCTGCAGTGAGGTTCTCGAGCTCGTGCTCGAGTTCCGTGAGGCCCGCTGGGCTGCCAGCACGTCCGCGGCTCGATGCGACTGTAGCCTGGACAGCCTCCAGGAGCCCAGTCAGCGACTTCAAAGCCTCGTAACCTTCGTCGACTGCCTCTCGGGCTAGGCGAGTGGACTCCTTGTCAGCCGAGGGACGAGGAAGCAGGTTCAGGAGGTCGCATAGAGCATGGCAGTCGGCTGCTGCACTCGTGCCACGGCCACTGGGTGCCGCTGGCGGAGATGGCGGCCTCGAGGGAGGAAGCTTCAGGGTAAATCTGCTCGCCGGCGGCGTAGCAGGCGGAGTCAAGCGCGTCTGGGAGGCAGCCCGCCTCCCGTCCTTCGCCTTCGTCGAGGTCAAAGTCGGCGAAGCCGGCGGTGTCTGTGGCGGACTTGGTCGGTTAGAAAGCGCCACGAGTCCTCTCCAAATGAGCGAGATGAGAAGCGAGGCAAGGGAATTCTCCGCGACGGCCGAAGTGGCATAGCGACCAAGAGCGCGCGCATATACCGGTATCAGGCCCTGCATAGTCATGATGGACGAGTGGGACATGGGCGACCGCGAGCCTCTCGGAGCACTGGGTGAGTTGGGATTGGCTTCGAGGGCATCCAACAGCGGCATGAGTTCGTTCTTGATACCGGTGATGAGGGGCTCCACAACCCTCCGGACCATCGACACCAGGCCCTCGCGAATAGCCTTGAGGCCGTCGCCCCTCATGTCTGTCTCGAGGCCCAAGCCCAAGCCATCGAATGCCTCGACAATCTCGCCAGCCAGAGTAGCGAGGCCAATGGCATGAAGCTGTGTGGCATTCGGGTTCGGGTTCTGCGGCGTCGGAACGAGATTATTGAGGAACGCCGGGGATGCCAACAGCGGGAGAAGGTCACTCGACAGGTTTGACAGCAGCACAGACAGCGGTCGCTGCAACGACCGAAGCAGTGCACGATAGAGATGCGGATTGTCACGCGAAGCCTTGATCTCCCTGAGCTTCACGTCAGAAGATTGTGAGGCAGATGGAAGGCTGCGACACGTACGAGGCAATGAGGGCGCCCAGCGCACGTCCACGCCCCGGTGGAATTGGCCGCCTGCCATGAAGGATTTCGTTGGGGACTCCGGGTCCGGTGGGCTGGGCCAGGGCCTTGGAGACCGCTTCGCTGAGCTTGAGACTCAAGACGTCCATGTAAGAGCCATCCTGGGTCACAGTAGCGGATGCTACGCGCGTCGGCGGCGGGACTGGAGACGGAGACGGCTTCCGGAAAGTTGCGAGTGAGAGCTTGGAGAGCGGTCGTGCAGTCCTGTCGACACCGATCGCAGGGTCCGGGACTGGCGACATGACCGGTGAAGATGGGCGACTGGTGGGGCGGAAGAACGAAGGGGCCTTGAGTGCACCGTACATGGTGTCGGTTTATAAGCAGAGAGGATGCTTAAATACGGTATAAGAGGTAGTTATGGTGGATGTGATGTTCTTGTCTACTGGCGCGGTAGGGTATTGAGACGTGCAGTGCAGTCGGAGCAGGCGACCTGGATCCGAGGCTAGGAGAGTGCAATTATCCCATATGGAAGAGCGACGGTTGTCAGGTAGGGCTGTAGGGCAAGAGAGTGCTAAGGTGGCCTGTCTGTGTCAACGAGAAGGAAGCCCAGTGGTCCAGAGAGTATGTTGCGGATGTGGGATGTGTTGCTGCGATGCGTGGCAGGTTAGCGGTCTGAAATGAAAGACGAAGTCGCAAGCAGCACGCACCCAGGCAGCGAGGAGAGTCTCATGAATCGAAATGCGGGTGCACCGAGGAGAGGGTTGCCGAGGCAGCAGGAGGAGCGAAGGAGAGCCCTTGCGGAGGAAAACTGTCGCCGCGGTATATACTGCCCTCAACTTCCCACGCCTCTCGGGCCTTGCGCTGGATCCGCCTCTCCTTCCTTCCATCGATCCACAACCCACCGTCGTCCGCCCGGATCACTCTTCTCTGCATTCTCGCCCGCGAATACATTGTCGGCGGCGCCCAGTACCCACATCGGACATATCTGTGGCCTCGCCAAAGGCCTCACCTAGCCCCAATTGCCACTCGCTCCTCGTGCGTCCAGGTGGCCAGGGGTGCAATGTACCCATCGATGACCGCGGTAGTCATGACGCTTATGGGGACCTTCGCCAGCCTCGCCTGTCACGCAGGCGCATCCTCGGCGTACACGGGGTCGGAGCTCGTTGTTCCGGGCGCGCATATCATCAGGTATGCTTGTCTTCACTCCGCCGAGGGTACATCCCACAGTAGACAATGCTTCCCTATGTGCGGCGGCAAGACCCACTTCCACGAATGCAAGGTGTCCACGCCCACTTCCCAATCCTGGACTGGGCTCATCCCGATAGTGGCTGTTCTTTCGATTGGACGGCAGAACGAACGAACGACCGTGCTGTGACACACCCCCGTACACATCAGTGGCGACCGGCTTCGCCTGCAGAAGCTGCGACATCCGATTGCGAGCACGTTCGCGCTCTGAGCTCTGAGCAGGCGACATCCGTCAGGAATGACCGTCAGAAGTGCATGCCGCAGGTGCACACGACCCATCCGTGACGAGAACGTCTCGATTGATTGCAAATGGCCAGGGCTACAAAAACTTCGGATAGCGAACAGCAGGGTGATGATGCGAGGGATTCAGTCTTGTATCAGAGAAGACATCGTCAAAGTTCGGGGTTGCAAAAATCGCAGTCGTGAATGTCGTGAAGTCGTAAGAGGGGGCCGGAGACACAGCGCGCTGTCTGTCACTATGACGTCCATACAGTGATGGTTTGAGCGAAGCCATTCTGGTTGCTCGTTTGGTCGATGATGGCATTATAATCGACGCTGAGTTGATAGGTCGAATACACCGTGTTAAGGCCATATATGCCGATGTTGTTCGAGCTTGAGTCGACTTCAACGATCTGTGACTGGCAATCGACGCTACTGTCGCAACTTTGGCTGTAGGCCGAATAGAAACTGTAGTGACCAGCACCTAAATGTGAAGAAAATGTTCAGACCCCGTCCGCAGGCTCCAATGAACGACCTCAATACTGACCGAAGATGATGATGTTCGACGAGCCTGTTATGTACAGGCCCCAAGCGGCGTTGCCGGGCCATGAAGTGGGGTCGTTGTAATTCGTACTCGGGATGAACGGGTTTGTGGGTGCCGGGTCAGGTTGGAAGTAAGGCTAGTCATTACTCAGTATGCATACAGCGCCAGGAGCCTCGCCTACGCACCGTTTCCGTTTGGATGAAACCCATGTAATGGTTCTGAGCCTGCGCTAGCCCATACTGATACATGATATTGTGTTCGCCTGCACAGGGAAACCGGGTATCGGATCAACAATCTCGAACGAGACTCAGATAGCTTAGGGCCTACTGGCGGTTCCAACCATCCAAACCGGGCCTTGCGACTCCGAGAGTATCCCACGCGCAGACCAAAGACTGAGTTGAGTTCCGTCTACGGAGGAAGGTCGGTCAAACCGATACGTGTAGATTCATACTTACTTACTCGAGTTGTCGAGATCATGGTCAGCTAACCACACCCAAAGGCCCTACGGTATGCTAGTCAGGACACAACGGTGCGTTATGCAGGTGCGCACGAACCTCCAAGTATGCGCTTGCCCCAGATGTAATGTAGAGGCCGATGTATGCAGCGAAGCAGCTGTTGTCTGAAGGGCTGGTTCCCGAGGGGCACTGAGCGGCCTGCAAATCAGTAACATCCCCTGTGCGCAGCTGAGTTCAGAGAGACGACGAGTAAGTTCGTTTGACATACTGCCACCAAGGCTGTGAGAACAGATGGTCAGCGACGATCGTCTTCAGTAGGTGTCGATGAGTAACCAACATAATGTAAGTGTCCCAAGTTCCAGCCGCGCCCTGTTCGTCGGACGGGTCATGAACGTTCCATTCAACTACGATTGCTCCCGCAGCTATATTAGAACGAGAATCAGTTATCGCCGCTGCGGGTCCCGTTGATTGATACGCACTTGGCCCCTGAGTCGAGAATATCATGTCGGTAATCTCAGCGACACCCTCGTCTCCGGAGTTCTCGCCGACTTGCACGACGGCCTGTGGGGCGTTGTAATTCTCGAAGGAGCTCCCGTATCCCACGATCGTTGACCAGGCTTCACCGACGATGATCGTGCCCGCCGGTATCGTGATCGTCGACGACACCAAGTAGATGCCTGCATCGAAGTAGAGAATATAGCAGCCCCAGTACTGTAAAACCTTGTCATTTGTCGTGACGGGTCAGGAAGGGAAACGACTCACGTTATTAATGGCAGTCTGGATCGCAGTCGTGTCGTCCGTGGACCCATCGCCCTTCGCGCCCTGGGAGCGCAAGCTCATGAACTGGCTGGAAGAGTAAGATGCGTATTGAGGGTGCGATTTCTGGAAAATCCATCCACTGCTTGCTTCCAACACGGATGGCCTATTGATGGAGGTGATATCTCCTCGGGTGAACGTACCGCTGCTGCTGGTGCCTGAGTATACGTTCCCCTGTACCCACGTGTCCACAGTGTAACTACCACCGGCGAGCTGCGAGAATAGCTATCAGGGGCATGTCACACGAAGACTACGTGGCAACGTACGTAGGTCGTGCCGTCCGATGTACCAACCGCCGTGCCGACGTTGGTCAGAGCAATATTGTTCAGTACAAGTGACCCGTCAAGAGAGCTTGTGTCCGCCGACAACTGGATGAAGGTAGTGACATCGGTGATAGCGGCGTCAATGATGCCCTCTGATGCAGCGCCCTGAGAGCCTCCGCTGGCTGCATCGCCCACCACGACGGCAAAACCAATCTGTGAACATGTTTGAGCAAAAAGTCATGCGTCTTAGAAACTCGCGTACGTCGCAATTATTGATGGTGACGCCTATGTACACCCATCAGCATACAGCATGCATGGACTGGATGAAAGGGATTAGCTGACCTTGCCAAGTCCAGCCCCAACCCCAGATGGTTTGAACCTTTGGTTGGTTCAGGGTCATGAGACTGACGTATGCACTGACGACGTACCGCTGCGTGATAGAACGTGGCCTTCTGTCAGTCAACAATTGAGTTTGTGGACCATGTTGCTTACCTGTCTGGGCATTATTGATCGTTACGTTTCGGACCGTGAATCTATAACGAGACAATGATTTGTGTGCGAAACAAGTCATCTGCAAGACACATACTGTTGGTTCCCGACGTCCAATCCGTATTTGCCCCCGTTGAACACCAGGTCTGACATCCTACATGACGCGTATCCCCTACGTCATTTGCAGACCACGTACCTCCCATAAACCCGCCACTGGGGTCAGCAGTGAGAGTCCGTCACATATTGAGAGACTTGAGTCGTACCTGCCATCCTCCATGTAAAGACCCTCCTGGGTAGTGTCGGATGCGGTGCTCATTTCGACAACAATATTGACAAGAGATGTCGCCTGGGAAACTTGCCAATGAAGTCCAGCAACACCAGACGTGTCGGAGGTTTGCCGCAAGTCGATCACAAAGTTGCGAGTCGAGCGGTAGCTGGTGGGCATGAGCATCATAAACAGACAGGTACATTTGCAGCAATACTCACAAGTTGTCCTGGTTTACATACCACTGAGAGCCGTAGCCATTTGGAATGTAAGGGTCGGCATCTACAACGTTTTCGGTGAATAGAGCACACCATAACTCAGACCCACGAACCGATGACAGCGATTCCACTGAAGCTTGAGCTCGCCAAGAGAGTGGGAGGAACCTTGGCATCGCCGATCAAGACAGTGTAGTAGTATGCGATGATGGGCGACGAGACGACGTATGTGCTACAGTACAACGATTACATGTCAGTTATAACCACAACAGCGACTTCGCGCGAAACATACCCTTGAGGGAAGAATACCACTGCCGGAGTTGTTCTATGCGCGGGCGTCAGGTACATACATCACAACTAACACAGCGCACTAACGTCGACGAGCCGCAACCGTCCCCGCAGCGGCTTCCGTCAGAAATCGCTGCACTGACATGGTTTATCAGTATCACGTAGACCCGAGGACAGTACATTATCTTACTTGATCGCATCCGTGTCATCGGTGACGCCATCTCCCTTAGCTCCGTAGTCCTGTACGTTACGGTACACCGCGTACGATGACGAGGCGTATGGCGCGTAGCCTTGGTGTGCAATGTTCTGCAACCAGTAGGGGTCGCTAGCTGCAGCATTGCCGGAACCGAGGGGCGCAGTACACTGCGATCCAAGACCGCCGACCGACAAGACCGCCGACCCCAGCAGCGACGCTGCGGCAAGCAAGTAGTGAGGGAACATCGGGATGCCCGCGTAGACCACGCTGGTGAGAGAGTGGGTCAGCTAGAGATCCAGACAGCCTCAGGAAGGGAGACGGCAGAGAAGGACATCTTTATATATGACCGGGCTGTGCAGGCAGCACATCCGAGGACTGCTGAGATTATGGCGTGGAACGCGTTCGCTGGAAACGAAGGCTGCTGCGTACTCCAAAAGAACCCGTGATGAGACGCGGAGAAAGTGCTTGCTTGACACCACAAGGTGACAGGTAATCTTAGCCAGTACCCGTGTGATACAATGTCGGACCTATCCATCCGCGGGCAAAGTACTCGTGTGTGCCAGGGCGAAGGCGAAAGCGAAAGCGCGTCGAGCGTCCCCTGACATCGGGACACTGAATGTATATAACGCAGAAGTACGATCAGGCGTGAATGGTAATGATACCGTGGCATATCATATATGCACCCGGAGGCAGCTGTGCAAGCCATGAGAGCCGTCCCAGCCGCACCAGTGCTGGCAGTAGAAAACGCGTCTGTAGCGCTCACGTGCTGGATGCACACGCGCAGGAGTGTCTGGGAAACAAGCAAGTCGTGTCTCTCACCTGAGCGGACTTATCAAGGTGCGTTTGAATGCGACGGACCAACGACAGAGAACGCGCTAGCGAGGAATTGCCTTATTATAGGCGCATGAAGAATCAGACTGACCGATAATCAACACCGGTCTAGCTCACCCTCGTTCCTTCAGCGCGTGTAGGCCATACGGCGCGTAATCGGTCCTCCACTGTTTGGGAAGCCCTCGTCATATTGGCTACCTCAATCTCCGTTATCAGGTTTTGCTGGCAGGTCCGTTGTGCGGGGGCGTCCTCGAAGAGAATTCATATGAAATGTCTGTGGGTAAACGCTCGTCAGACAAGACAACCGTCTCGATGGAGGACAATTGCGTCGCAGAAAGCGGACACGCCCGCGGAGACGTGGCGAATTGGGGCGTACCTTAAGCATAATCCCATCGCAAAACCAATCTATCACGCAAGGTTGGGTGTACACATACCGCAAGGCAAGATCCACACCCCACATACAGTAACTTCTCGGGTAATCGAAACGACGTACAGCGGAGACCTAGCGCGTTGCGGATCCTTGCAAACACTCTCCGTGATGTGATCAGCTAGAGTTGGCAGCGATCCAATCTTGGCGTTCATAGGAAACGCCTCCGTACAAGACTTTGTCCAGGCCATGCGTACAGGCACAGTTTCCGCAAACGTCGCTAGACGCTTCCGAGCCATCGTTCCTCCGCCGGTGCTTCTATGGCGTCGTTACGACCATGAACAGATCAGATAGAAGGTGAAGCAGGACACATACAGTCGGACTTGAGCCTTATCGAGACACGTTGCACTAACTACAATGACGCGAACGATGATGACGAGTTGGATGCTCGTTGGTGCCGTCGCAGTCTGACGACATGTTCTGACACAGCTGGGAGTGTAGTACATGGGCAATAGAACCGCAATGGCTGGTTGACTGCCAGGAGTGGGAGGTGCAGCGTCAGTTGGCGTCACTCTGCAATGAAAGAAGATGGAACTCACTATTCCTGGAGGACGCGCGAATGTCAGTTGACCTTTGTCACACGGATATCCCGCGCGTCGAGAGAATTGGCTCCATATGTGATAGCAATGTTCTGAAGGAAGCCGATAGAGACCAGCTGGCGATGAATACGGTACTCGTTGGTCGGTATTGCACGCCGATCATCAAGCGAGGTGGAGGATCGCGGCGGTAAGTGCGGGATTGCCGAGATAGCGCATCGTGGCCAGTCGGAGACGATAATAGAACGACTAGCAGTTGTGTGCACACCGGCGGGTCGAGAACAACAGGCCGAATAGGGCAAGCGTAATCATCCAGACAGACCCACGGGCCTTGAGTTGCCCTAGCGTGCCGAGTTGGCGAAATGCGGCCCACGGCGTCCGAAAACAACCTGCGTGGACCAAACCGTGAGCGCTCGTGCACGAATCGTCCCCATAGCACGAAGAGAGCTTCACCTGGTCGAGACGCATGAGTAATTGTGAAGGTAGTTGCCACCGAATGAGAATAAAAAAGTGTATGAGCGACCGTCTGGTCAGGAACCCGCGCTTTCCAGACATATCGTTAATCATGCTGAATAAGGGTCACCCGTCGTGTTTCTCTTTTGTTTCAAGTCCTGTGTCTATGGAATCAATAGACCAAATGACGGCCCTTTGAATAGGAGTTCTTCCTTGAGTGGGGCGGAGCGCCAAGAGGACGTCCGACTTGTTGCGGAGTGTCACAGAGGCAACTTGAACATTGCATGCGGAAACAGGGATATGTATACGCCAAGGTTTGCGCCCGTCCAACCATGATCAGCGAATGTGGACACCCAGCAGATTGATCCCGTCTGCGCGATGAAGCAGCGTGATCATACATAGGATCCATGTCTCGGTACTCTTGGGGCGCTGGTCGAGTCACCGTTGTCGAATACACTGTGATCATATGGCAGCTCCATCGTAGATTGTAGTACACCCACCTGAGCATTGGTCGGTGTTTGTGCGTGGCGCACGCCTTGGTCCTTCTTCTGGACCTCCTTCGCCGGAACCTAGCGACGAGACAGCCTCGATTCATGGACGACGGAGATCCGGCTTCCATCGCTCACAGCTAAATCCCACGACCCAACAGGGAAATGGCCATTGAAATGGTCACTCACAGGGCCTGCTGAACATTGAAGTCGCATTGAACGCGGAGCGTCTCCTGTAACTGAAACGTGGAATGTGGCCTGTGTATTACTGAATCAGTATCCCAAATGATCATCCGCGAATGTTCTTGCAGTCATGCAAAAGTTGACATTGGTAGACAGCCGTGGCACTTACGTGAAGAAGGGAGTTCCAGGTGGGGGCTGCGTGTGATCCTCATGAATCGTTTCAAACGACTGGAGGTCACCAGACAGCAGTGTCCCTGCATATGACCTACAGTGACAGCGTGAGCACATACACACAGGAGAAGTATACACAGACATACGGAGCTGCCCCTGGGCGGTTGAACGTTCCGAAACAAACTCCCTTCGATGCCTTGCTGCGCGTACGCCTCCGTGGCTGAGATGAGCAAACGTGGGAACGGCAGAGGAAGTGACCTTTCGGCCCGCTAGGCATCGCCTGTGAATAGCGCAACACTCTTCAGACTTGCATACCTTGCTTCTTGCCAACCCCAACGCGGCCTCCCGACAGAGTCCGCATAGTGATGACCAACACGGGTGTTGGTCCAGTCAAGTCACAAATGCACAGGTGAGTGACAGTGGGCATCAACTACGTTCCTGGAGACAAACGGCCGATATCGTGAATACGAACAGATATTATCACACAGAACATCCCACATGAGGGCATCTGAGGCTTTCTGCCTAGCTTCCTCCGTCGTAAGGGAAGTGTGTGCGGTGCGCTGGTTAGATGGATACTTCTGCGCGTATAACCCAGCTCATGTTAGGTGAAGCACTCGCGTGTCGAGCCCGTACCGTTCGGGTATGTGGAACCTCAAACATACGCGACAGTGATGGGTATCTAAAGAGTGAAACGCATTCTTTGCATGCACAACCCGACAGTTGCAGTAACACGTCGAACTTACTGCATGCTCCTCCGCAGCAATTTGCCAGTGCCCTATTGGACGTCGCGATACTGCGATTTTGTCTGGGTTATTCCTAGCGACATGAAGAATCAGCGTCCCCAAACCTGTCATTGACCTCGAAGTCAAACCTACTATTTCGGAGCCCCGCAGACGCACTGTAACTCGCGAAGGGCGGGCGCGACGATGAGGCGGCTCACCTCCCGAATGATATTCACTCGTCAACGGTCGAAACATACTGGTCCGAGCCGACAGTTGTGGTCTGCAGGTTGCACCGGAAGACTATTTGCAGCGGCCGACTTGATTTCGAAATCTACGTCGCACCACCTTTTACTGCAACATAATCTGCTTCAAGTTCGCCAGCGAGCGGATTCGAGGAAGTAGATGAGAGCAGCTGCAAGACCTTCCGGAATCTCTGCTAATGCGTTGACGGTGTTGCCATAGCCTTGAGTCCTTATTGAAATATGAACATTTGGCTGTGGACGTTTGAACGTCGACGGAAGCAAAGTCGAGGTGGCGGCCAAGTGGTGGCGTCTGCGACAAGTAACGAAGCCAGCGCTAAAGTTGCCAACGCGCCGCGCGCACCACCGTCCGCGTCCGACTCGGGGTCATCCGACTCCGACTCATCGTTCTGCGAAGTGCGTCCAAAATCTTCGACCGATTTTTAATGCTGTATATGCTAACCTGGTCACGGATGTTCTAGATAATGTTAGGTTCAAGCCCCTCGTGCGTTGGTCAGAACGGCCATGGGGTAGCCATCTTGGTCCGGTCTGCTGCCAGTGGTTCGGACGCCCAGGCTAATTGGCGATGTCGACTACACCACTGGCGTATGCCTGTGCGGTCCTCAGCATGACTCACCGGCGTAACGATGTTACTAATAATCAACCACTTATTCTAGGCTTCGAGGATCCGAGTTCGGGATTGTAAAAGCGAACTCCTCAGCATCCGAGTCCGCTTCGGCGTGGCCGGCATGCGCGGAAAAAACAGTGGTCACAAATGAAATTATCCACGGACGTCGGTCAGGCGGGTGGACCAGAGCGGGACCATCTCTGACCAGGCAGGGCCGATGGTGATGCGCCGCCATGGAGCGCCTTGGGCGGGGCATCGGCCTTGACGGAGACGACGACCCTCGCCTACCCGAAACACCCCTCCCCGACGCCGGCATCCGAGTGCCACCACCAACTATGTAGGACTCGGATCTAGTGCCCGGGGCATCCAGAGAACGTTCTTGCACAGCAATGAGCCGTCCGACTGCCCCGCACCTTCTCGCCCGGACGTGCTCCTCCGAGCCAGGATATCCGTTTTCGCTCAGCATCCGCCGTCATGACCCGCGTCATACACGCTCGTCCTAAGTATTACCCTTTCCGTGGAGCGCTGCCGCCGTCGCGCTGTGCGGATCGGGCGCAGGCGAGTAGGTATAAAAGGGCAGTGCTGCATGCCACAACTTGCCAAGATTTGTCGCATTCGCAGAACTCATCCGCAAACATGCGTGGTCTTGCTCTATCGATCGCTGCTACGGCCTTGGCCGACCTTGCAGGCGCACTTCCTGCGGCCTCGAGCTCAGCTTCTGAGGCGTCCTCGTACACATCTTCATCGTCCAGTTCACCGACGTCCTCTGCAACCCCTGCTTTGGCGTCGACTGGCTTCAACTCGTCAGTTCCGCTGCCATACACGCCTTCGGGAGGACTGGATACCAACGGATCTCTCCCGGTCTACGCGCCTCTGACCGATTTCGACTATCAGTCACTTGTGCGTCTCCCCTTGCATGATTATAACCGACCTCTTATGTGGCTGTACAGAACTTGGGACTCTACCAGGAGCTCATTGAACTGGATTTATTCCAAAACGGTCTCGCCAAATTCTCTGCCGAGGACTTCCAGAACGAGGGCCTGAATGCCGATGATTTGTATCTTCTTCAGTTCATGGCTGAGCAGGAGGTTGGCCACGCTACAGCCATCGCAGACATGCTAGGACGTAAGCACTGTCGTCGCTTGTTCTGCATGTACTTACATGAGCCACGCAGCCAACAATGCATCAGTGGCATGCGAGTACTCGTACCCTTTCCAAACCGTACAGGAGTTCCTGCAATTCAGCGAGTACATCACGCGTTTCGGCGAAGCCGGCACATATGGCTTTCTCGAACACCTGAACTCGCGTGCCGCCGCACAAATCGTACTTCAGGCCATCACAACTGAGGCTCGACAGGAGATGGTCTTCAGACAATTCCAGGGCATCTTCCCTATGCCAGTACGTTTTCTTTACGTCGTCCGATCATCATCGGTCATTAAGGTTCCACTCAGTTCTGGTTCACGTCGGCCATCACGCAAAGCATGCAATGGACGCTCATGGCGCCCTACATCGTTGGCTGCCCCGACAATAATACTCGCGTCCAGTTCCAAAACTTCCCTGGTCTCAACATCACGAACAGCCCGAACGTGACGCAGCTCACAGCCAACTCCTCGGCAGCTGTATCGAGTAACGAGACAGATTGGACGACTCCGGGTCAGACGATCCATCTCGAGTGGGAGAACCCGGGAAAGTCGGTGGGTCCGAACAACTCGTACACGACCAACACCACTGCGGGCGAGCCGAAGGTAAGTCATGCTTCGTATGCTCATCGAACGATTATTGCCACCGTTGTCGTTCACGCTCTCCCCTCCTTCCCGCGGACATTGACTTCTTTCCCCACACCTACTCCACCGCCTTCTCAACCCTTCCCACCCTCTGCATACATTATATGTGATACCCATGCTGATATGTGTGACCTCGCAGTTCGTCGCGTGGATCTCGCAACTCAACGTCACGTACACCCCCCTGACGAACGTCAGCGGGAATAGTGGCCAGACGACTCAGCCCAACCTGACAATCTACAGCGAGTCGAAGTATTCGAATGGGAGCACGGCGCCGCTCATCAACGGCACCGTGTTCGTACTCGTCACGGACGACGACGTGCCCGTCACCCCCGCGAACCTCACGTTCTTGAATCAGCACGTTGTTGCTGGTCCTGCAGCCTACTTCTCGGGTTGAGAAAGTTGTTACTGAAATGGCCCGGGGTTCTTGACAGTGGACGTGTACTATACGACTGACGGAAATGATGAAGATTACATTTGTGTTACTATATCTTACGATGAACGTCCTCGATCAGGCATCATATAGATTACTGCCGATCAGTTTAGTTATAACGAAACTCCCTGACGCTAAGGCGGACAGACATGTGCATGTAGACGGTCTATATGGTTGGAGTAGAGGGCTTCGCCCGCTGTGACAATATTAATAAAAACACAGATAAATAAAGAAACAGCGAGAGCTTTGGTTATGCTTGTACCATATCACGATAACAGAACTGATAACACATAGTTTCCCAAGTAGAATACATGGGTCTATGTCAGTGAAACAAGCACGGTCGTTCGTTCTTGGTCAGTGTTGTGCACAGCGCACACTGCAGGAAGAGCTGAACTATTTAGAGCTGAACTGATCTGAGTGATCAGTAAGTACTCAGTGATGCCACTGATCAGCGCGTCTTCAATCATCACGTGCTTCACGCGCCTACGGCTCTACGTTCCGCGCCGGCCACTGGTCTTGACCTTCATACACGCGTTGTTGCGCCCCCGACGCGTTTTCTTTTCCTTCTCCCTTCCCGTCTACACCATGAAGCGCGGAGCACAACGACAGCTTACACGAGACGACGATGACATGGACGGGGATGACAGAGACGAAGATGTACGTGCCAAAGCTCCCAGTGTGCCTGAGGTGCTAACGCAGGGTTTGGTTAGGAAGAGCCGCAGCGGGGCTTGCAGAAGGCGGACACTTCCACCTTGTCGAACAGGCCGTACGTGTAACGACCCGTTGACACGAAGCGGAGGAGCTGATGGGCATTGTAGGATGAAGGGCCTTCCAAAGAGGCGATCAGTGGCCCCCGCCACAAGTGCTGCAGTACCTCCTCCTCCTGCGCCTGATGCCAAAGAGGTGTGCTGTCTTCCTTCCGTCATAGTGACTGACCTGGGCTGACTTCTTGCAGACTTCTCCGCCGCCACGGTTTCCTGGGTTTGTGGGCTTCGGCTCTGGCTCGTCTTTCACCACAACTACTTCCTCAGAAGTATGTCCACCTATCCCTCTATTTAGTCTTCTATGGCTGATGCTCTACAGAACGCAGCTTCACAGAAGTTTAGTGGCTTCTCCGGGTTCGGAGCGAAGTCCTCGAACCCCTTCTCAGCGGGCGTGGCCATCGCACCCCCAACGCCAGCAGCCGTACCGTCCTCAGGGTCTGCGTTCCCATTTGGGACATCAAGTTCTACGACAAGCTCTACTTCAGCCACTGGCAACGGGCCCGCTGTGTCTTCGTCAGCCTCACAAGCCACGAAGAACTTCGCTTCGTTCCTCGGGTCCGGTACCACCAATGGCGCCACTACGACCGGCAAGACAGAAAAGGCTGGTGGTGACGAGGATGCCCTCCTGAAAGAAGAGGTCGATTACCTTTCCCACATTCGTGGGTTGAACATGTCGCTGCTCACAACAGTCAAGACGGCTATCGAAATCGATCCGTTCGTGGACGTGGGCAGCATCCTGGAGATGTATAAGAGTTTGAGGCTCACGGAGAAGAAGAAGTTTGACGAGAAGGTCGGGGATCTCAAGGGTAGTGCCACAAAGGAAGCAGACAAGAGCATCACAACAACGAGTGCGTTTGCTCCACCGCCCTCGATGCCGAAGCCCCAGTCTATTTTTACTGGCTTCGGTCTACCTAAATCTACAAGTGACAGTGAACCTCCTCCAGTACTGGCTAAGTCGGGTGGCTTGCCGCGTGGCCCTGGCCTCTTCGAATTCGGCAAGTCCAGCTCATCCTCTTCGGCATCATCCCCGCCAGCATCTTCGTCACAACCTTTCGTATTCGGAGCAGGGTCATCCGGCTCTTCCTCGTCTGCCAAAGGTGTAGGATTCTCCTCGCTTGGTAAAGGTAGACCCTCGGAGGACAGGTCCAGCGACGCGCCTGCGTCGAGTGCTTCGCCATTCTCCTTTGCCGCTACCGCGCCAGCCGCCAACCCCTTCGGCAAACCTGCCGACAAGGACACGGGCATGGATGAGAACAAGAGCACTTTCCCATCATCCACCAGCGGTAACTCTGCTTCGGGCGGCCCCTTCAGTGGTCCGACGCCCTCCAGCTCCGGCTCAACCTTGTTCGGCGGATCCTCTACCCCGTCCGCATTCTCGACCCCGACTTCCTTTACCACGCCTGAGAAGTCATCATCCTCCGGCTTCACGTTCGATAGTACTACGCCGCCCAAATTCGCAATTAGCGGCGCGGCGCCCTCGCAGCCCAATCGGTCGAGCTTCGGTGCGTTCCCCAGGGCCGCTGCGCTGGGTAGCATAGGCAATCCGGTGGGCTTTGGCTTTGGTAGCCCACCGAAGGACTCTGACGACAGTGCTTCGTCTTCATCTTCTAACGCCCCCAAACCATTCTTATTCGGTCCACCGAAGGATAAGCCTGCTGAAGAGACCAAGACAGAGGGTGCGGCGGAGAGTAAAGGCCAGGAGGCAACCGGGGACGAGCCGCCACCGATGCTCATCACGGGTTCTATCCACGACAAAGAGGGCGAGGGCGAGGAGCATGAGACGACAACACATGAAATCAAGAGTAAGGTGTACAAGATGGTGAAGGATGAGGATGGGCAGAGCAGATGGGCAGACCAGGGTGTCGGTAAGTATGGCTCGCAGGAGGAAGTTGTGTGATCTTAACCATTTGGCTCACAGGGATGTTGCGGCTGAAGAAACACAATGAGACCGATGCACGACGAATGCTACTCAGAAATAGCAGCACAGGGAAGGTCGTCATTGTAAGTATCAGTTCATATCTAGACAATATGCCCCGCTCACTGTCCTTCTAGAACTTCCGTATCTACTCCGGCATGAACGCGAGAGCGGACAAGAACGTCGTCTCGTTCGTCGGTCACGAGGATGGCGCACAAGCAACCTACAGGATACGAACAAAAACGGAAGAGCAGGCGACCGATCTCAAGTCCGCGGTCGACCGCGAAATCGAGTTCGTCCGTGCGTAATCACCATCATCATGAACGCGCCTGCGTGATTCGTGTTGATTCTACCGACCGTTCTGTATGTAGTACACCGTGATACTTATGCACATGCACATGCCCCTGCAACGCGAGATAGACCTCCCCTGGTAGTCAGTATGGATCGTGCGTATACTAATAAATATCATGCTCTGCCTCCTGCTGAGAACGTACAGCCTACTTGATTGATATCCAGAATTACGAAAATGATTGGTTAAGTCCGAGAGGAACGGGTCACTTGTTTTTACCGAAGTGACTCTGCGCGTTGTGCCATGTCGAGTAGTGCACGAATGCCTCGCTGAGCAGCAGCTCGATTTCGTGGTCGCCCCAACCTTGGGTTGGGAGCGACTGTAGGAACATGATGATGCCCTAGGGGGATCTGTGAGGGGGCGCAACAAGCTTAGAGTTGTAGAATCTTACCTGGAAGTCCATCTCCCGCAGCTTTTTGCTCCATCTGACGAGGAATGCTGAGCAGACGTACAGATGGAACTGGGAAAAGGCATCTGCGCCTTCAGCCTGAGTGCAAGATTACCGATTAGCCCGACACAACTAGGCAAAAGGTACAATTGCTGACCAGATAAGTATCCCACATGCGGATGGTATTCTGCACGCTGATTTCGCGCATAAGCAAGCAGTTCATCCACCGGAATGCAAATTGCATGAATTCAACGTTCTCCGACACAAGATGAGCCGCCAATGGTGCTGTCGGACGATATTGTGAGATATACGTATCCCGACGTACATATGAGCGTGACATACCATCTATGCGTGCAACCAGTTCCGCCATACGCTTGACGCTTCTGTGGATACCAGGCTGTGTTGCGATGTAATTATCCTGGATTCCGTCCAAGAGACGAGATAAACACCAAAACGTGTCCGCTTCGACAGCGTTCAGGACATTGGGCGGCAGCACGGAGGGGTCAAACTCTTCAGGGTCCGAGTCTAGGGGTCCGAAGTCAGTCAAAACCACAACATGGTAGTCAAAGGACATTACCGATATAAGTAGACAAGAACACCTGGAAGAACGGCGTCGCAAGGTCATTAATGCCCTGCACGTACCCACTAGCAGGATGACGTATTGCCCAGACGTATAGAATCCGTTCTAGGCTCTGACAGAGACTCAAAAGACGGTTGGTCGGATGGGAAAGTGTAACGCACCCGTTGTGTAGCTGCTTGCATCCATAGTGGCACGCCAGGTCTCGTTCGCGGGACATCGATCTCGATTTGGTGCCATATTTGCTGGTCAAGATTTTCTCGTCCACGAGAGAAGGCAAGCTCAACGAGATTAAGATATTCTTGTCTCTTTCTGGCAAGGGTAGGTATTCGTAATGGTGCTGGAAGTGGAGAATAACCCTGCTGGTGTTCAGCGGGTATAGACTCATACGAAGGGGTGCACACTCACGAGCAGTAGTGGCCACACTATTGGCCGCAAATCATTCGGCACGCCGTTCCACGCCAGCTTGCGCAAAGTCGCCATGTTCACGTCTTCCGCCGTGATACAGTCGATGAACTTTTGTCGCCTACTTGACCGTATCGACCGCTCGCGATCCAGCTTCTCTGAGCGCAGGCTCGGGTCAATCGAGCTCGTCCGGGAGTGTGCCGGTCGTTTGTTAGGCGGTGGACGACGGTGGACGACATGCAGTGGATCTGGCCTGTCAGTGAGACCCCGCACAAGGATAGAGATCGTGCTGGGGTACCATTTACAATCTCTTGCACATCTCCTCTTACGAAACCGTCGCCTGCCCTGAGTCGTGTATGCGAGACAGCGGCAGGGTCTGCAAGCTCGGGCTCCAGCTCCCCCACAATCATCTCACCCTCAGCGTCCTCGTACACCACACCCTCCTTTGCTTTGTCCGAAGGATGCCTATCTAGACTTGACCGGTGGTCGGTGCTCTTCCTGACGATTGTCCATCCATTCTGTGGCGCTTGAACCTCCTGCTTCGACGTGTAAGAGCTGGGGTGAGAGACGTGGGTATATGAGAATGCGAGGGTAGAAGAGGAGTTGTTCAGATTTGGTCTTGGTACGGGTTTTGGAGCGGTGCTGCTGCTGGTGGACCCTTGCTTGCTGAAGCTTGAAGAACGGTTCCAGCTCGGATTGCTCGGTGCCTCTGAGTCGGAGCCGCTATCCCAGGCATCGTCCTCAGCCCAGTCAGGAATGACATACGAAGAGAACCTGTGCGAGGGGCTTATGCCAATATGGGGACGAGCGGGAGGAGGTCGCGCAGCCATCGGTCGGTACAGTGGGAGGATCTAACAGCGAAGCGCTGGCTGCGTCGATCGAGCATGGCGCCTCAGAGTCAGTGCAGACTCAATCGAGATCAGATCCACTCGCAGGCGGGATGCAAGATGTTCACTTGTATAAAATCGACAACAGACAACAGCTACACGTCGCGCAGAGCAATGACGAGGTACAGATCACATACAGTGAATACTAGATCGGAGCCATATGATACACGGCAAGGCAAGAAAAACTCGTTTGAGATGACAAGTGAAATTCACTGGACAGCCTTGTAGAAATCTTCCTCTGACCAGCCATAACGCTCCTTCAGCTTCTTGCTGAACTCCTTCAGCATCACTGGTTGCAAGGTTGGGTCAGGGTGCGCTGTCAATGTAACGTCAGCTACAGACAACATTCGAAAGAGCCTTGAACGTACGCTTGTGGAACGTAACCGGCTGTATAAAAATCATTAGCTCTGGCTTCTAAGGCAATACGAGGATTGCTCACCATATCGCGAGGGTCGGGAGGATCGAATCTCACACTAGAGCCTGCCGTGCTGGGGTCGTACGTGAAACCCATCTCGCGCATCACCTATCGCACCTTCAGCAGCGCACGCCGACAAAATGTCTCACCCAACGTACCTTCAGGAAGTGTTCCCATTTCATGGGCGCAAGGCCTTTCTTCTCATCTTCGGACGTGTTGAGTAGCTGATGCATGTAGGTCGCCGTCTTCTTGGAGAGTTTTGAGAAGAAGCTGAACTTGGCGCCTTTCTTATCTTTCTCCAATGGCTCCTCCGTCTCTTGGGTCTTGTCCCTCCTGCCAAATCGGCTCCAGTAGCCCTTCTTCTTTTCCGGGATGGGCGTGAGGTTTGCATGGTTCGCGCGCGTCTTGATCTTCTCCTTGCCACCCGCAAGGCCCTCTTCCTTCAGGTACTTGTGAGCAGACTGCGCTGTCTCAGTCCTACCCAGAGGAAGCGAGGCAGTGGATATCCCAGGCAGCGTCGTTGTCGAGCTACTGAACGACGGGGCCTTCGCAGACGCAGGCTTCTGCGCGGCAGGTTTCTTCTTAGCCTTTGAGGGAGAAGTCGGCGTAGCAGGAGTCCCGTTCGTGGCGGAGGGTGCTGGGCTAGCAGGGGCAGCTGGGGTAGATGGTGTCTCCGTCGACAGCGAAAGTTGCTCCATATTCGGTGTCGCAGGCGCCACCCCCTCCTCAGCAGTAGGCTTTCTCTTCTTTTTCTTGGGTTTCTTCTTCTTTTTCTTCTTGTCCTTCGCCGTGATGTCCTCTTCGTCTTCCACTTCCTCCACAGTAGTCTTGGTGCTTTTGGGCGCTGCAGTGTGCATGTCGGTAGCATGCCGGAGGTGAGAGGAAGACGGACGTACCAGTGCTCGGAGCTGAAGTCGATTTGGGTACCGTCATCTTAGGGGGCTGTCTTGGAGCGCCAGCCGGCCGCCCAGCGAAAGGTTGCCTGGGCTCCGTGCGAGTCGCCGTCTTCATGGCCGGGCTCGAGGAGAACATACGGCCTGATTACATGTAGAAACTCAGCGATGCGAGCAAACTGGGCGATATTAGATATGCATACCTCTCAAAGAGCCCAGGAGCTTGAGGAATGGGTTGGCCTTCCTCTCCTCCGCGAGGGCGTCGAAGTCAGAAGCCTCAGTCTTGCTATCGAAGAAGTCCGGAGTTGCCATCGCGGTATCCATAGCCTCTCGCAGCATATCCCGCATCATATCCTCCTCGTCAGTGTCGTATCCGCTCTCGTCCGACTCGTCGTCGTAGTCATCGTCGTCGTAATCGCTGTCGTCGGAGTCACTCACGTCTTCCTCAGACGAGTCTGAAACCGTCTGGAGCGAAGGCATGGAGCCGTTGCTGTCGCTGTTATCACCCATAGTGATAGCTAAAGGCACCTTCTTCTTGCCGCCCGGCCTCTTGACAAGGTTGTGCTTCGGCATGTCATCCTCGTCCGAGTCGTACGCGTTCTTGCCCTTGGGTGCCTTGACAGCATGCCATTGCGGAGTGATCTGCCTGATGTTGTCGACCTGCCACAGTGCGTCCGCGGTCTTCCCGCACACCGCGACGTAGTTCTAGATAGGAGATGAGCATACACCCGAGGGACGCGGACCAAGGCAGAACTACATACCTCGTTCACGATGCTCCACAGTTTGTCCAAGTTAGCCTTCTGGCGCGTCTTGGTGAGCGGGTTGATCGCATCCTTAAAGTTATCGTAGTAGTGGAAAGCTTGCTCCGAGAAGAGCTGCGCGTCCACCCAGTTCTCGTATTCCTCGGGCATCTGACGAGGCTCCTTTTTCCACTGCTCTCCCTCAGGCCCGCGGATAGGGGCCTCGATGAGCTCTTGGAGCTTCACAAGCACCTAAAATTATACAAACAGACGTATGAGCATGTAGGCGTTCGACATGCGGAATGGCCGAGACCCCAGATCCGAAAACTCACCGAGAGATCTCCCATGGCATCCCAAACAGCCTGAGGGAACTTCTTGGCCTCCCTCGGTGATTCAATGATGGCTTCATGTAGGATCTGTAATAAGATTTGTCGCGGAATCGGCGATTGCGGGAGACAAAGCTCGACAATGATCGAGTCAATGAAGGATTTGTGGACCGATTTGAGTTCAGTCCAGTCGAAGATGAATGATCCGGGTTCGTCTGAGGTTCCACCATCTATCTTCTTGAAGTATTGCGAGTAGTGAGCTACGAAGGCAGTCAGCATGGTGGCCCCTGTCCTCTCGACTGATACCTACGAGCTGATGTAGCTAGCAGACCGATATTGTCTTGAGCCGCTTGCGCAACGATGTTCACGATATCGTACAATATCAGGTAGCGAGTGCGCAGCTCGGGATCCTTCTGGAGCTTCATCTTCACTGATTTGTCTTCGACCCCAGCATCGGCGAAGTCACGAAGAAAGTCTCCTATGAGACACCATGCCGATGCCATCATGTAGGCATTGTGGATTCTGGTTAAGCCGCGTGGCGGCGTCAGTTGCTTAAGCGGTTTCGAGAATACCGAGTAAGTTAGCGTTACCTGGACGCGACAAATTGGGCAATTTTGTTGGGATTCCGTAGAAGTTCCGCCTGGTGCTTGTCGTTGCCTGGATCAGCGCGAGCGCGGACCTCTGCTAGGACCTTGTTTTGGAAGAGGTCCGGGTCTTGCAAGTTGCTGATTTCGTCAAGGTTGGCTGCATCGCAAGCGTTATAGTTACATACAGCAAAAGCTCAAGGTTCAGCGGTACGGACCTGCTAGTTCCGAATCTGCTATCTTCAGACATTCCTCGAGCCTGAACGGTGCTGCAACTGCTTTCTTGGACTGGGCGATCAGGTCCTCTGAATTACCCCCTGTCAACGCCAGAAGACCTGGAGTATCGCGAGCACTAACCTGCGAGTAGATCCAGCTTCTCCCGTCCACTCATCTTGCCCATGAGTATGATCTCTCCCGTTCCCTGAGCGCCATGTTTCCCGTTCCGCAGGACAAGTGCGCGCGCGGTCAGGGGCTTGTTCCCGTTCTCATCGCGTCGAACCGCATTTTTCGAGAACACCTCCTTAGGACCGGTCGGCACGAGAGCGGTAGAGGAGCTAGCCGGCGGCTTTGCCGGGGCCTTGGGCTGGGGCACGGGCATCTTCGCACAGACAGACACCAGTGCAGGGCAAAGCACTTGTATGTCGCTGCAGACAACAGACGGCGCACCCTGGGTGATAACAAATATGAGGGACGGGAAAGGAAGGCCAGGGGCAATATAGCAAGATCGCGATCACGTGCGGTCTGTATCTGGAGATTCCGCCACAGCCGAGGCTTCCTGGCGGCGACGACGCGCGTACGAGCCCGCTCCGTGTCTTCGTAGCCATCAATACATTGGCCCGGCCTGGGAGTACGTGTTACACCGTGTCCACCACCGCTGCGTCTACAGGGGCGAGCGAGGCGCAGCGAATCAAGTGCTGAGCGCTGAGCCTCGCCATCACATACCTCCGTATGACATGAAACGCTAGTGTGGCGATGCCGGGGCAGTGATCGTATATTTAAGGTCGGAGACCGGTCCTGCGCTCGTCCTGGTCGCCCTCTCGGCCAGTGACGACCTTCGTTTTCTCCTTCGCCAGGGCAGAGCCCTCCTGTTTTTCTGCTTCTTCTTTCGGTCGGTCTTGATGGCTGCTTTTAACGTTACGCGTGCGTTTCCCCTGATTTCGGCGCATGTGTGCGCAGCTGACTTCGAACGACTTCAGTTGACGATTCTTCGCCTCTCATAACTTATTCGCCTTCTAATGCGTGGACGGACACACCTGCGAACGACACCACCGCTTCGCTGTACTTCGATTCCTCTCTGCACACCACGTCCACTAAGGGTGCTACTGCATCCTTCGCATTCAACGGCACTGGTGTCTGGCTCTACGGCGGTCTCAGGTCGAACTATGGCTCCTACCAGCTTTCGGTAGACGGATCAAAGGTGGCAAGTGGTAGCGCGAAATCGACAACGACGCAGTTAAAGCATATCCTGGGCGGAACGTCTGGTCTGCGGATGGGGGAACACACGGTCTCTCTGACGAATGAGGGCGGAGGTCCTGTCGATATTGACAGTCTTGTCTTTGAGACGAAGGCCGGTACTGCTGGGTACGTGTTCTTAGATTTCACGTTGGCAGCTGTGGCAGTCAGCCAGATGCACAGCCGTTGTGGCTAGCCATCATATCAATGCATACCAGTCATGCCTCCTACTTTGGCTTGTTGTACAGGCAATCAGATGTCTTTCCATGAGCCAAGCATTGCTGTGATGGATAGGCATAGCGGGTTCTGCACTGGCTGCCTCAGAGGGCACTCTACATGCGATAGACTCTGAACTTCTCGATAGAGGCAAGGTGTTAAAGACCATCATCGACGACGCGAGTACCAATGTCAAATATGGCCCTCAGTCTAACAGCTGGAGCACTACGAACGGAACCAGTTACTACGACAAGACCTTGCAGTAAGTTGAACGCATCTGTTCTGAAGGGAATACGCCTAACTCCGCGTTCAGCTACTCCGCCACGAATGGAGCCTACGCATCGCTCTCTTTCTCCGGAAATGCTGTGGCTATCTATGGTACCGTCGATCCGACCCATGCCAACTACACAGTCACTTTGGACGGCGTCAAGTCGCAGCCGGTCAAGGCTAGTAACGTTCGCACATTCCATACGCAGGTATGTATTGGCTCGGTGGCTTGAATCAAGAGCTGACCATTACCTCGTCACAGACGCTTCTGGTATGCTTATACTGAGTGGTCGCGACCTCACTGATCTGACACCGTTCATACAGTACTTTGCTCAGGGTCTCGAGTCGAAGCAACACACTATCACGCTGACTGGGAATATGGGGACGAACTCCAGCCAGTACTTTGACCTCGACTCCTTCACTGTGTACGGTGCTGCCCCAAACGCCACCTCTAGCTCCAGCTCTAGCGGCGCACCATCCTCCACGGGTAGTACGAACCCCACGAACAACAACAACGCTTCTAACAATGGGTATGACACTCGCATTCTGGAACGTTGCCTATAATATCTGACGGTATCGCAGAACGGTTAGTGCGAACACGTCGAACGGCTCTACCTTGTCCCAGGGCTCTCTCATTGGCATTGTCGTCGGCTCCATCGCTGCTCTCTTGCTTTTGCTCCTCGGTCTCTTCTTCTACATGCGCCGGCGCCGTGCCCAGGCGAAGGTCGGGCCACGCTCGGCCAAGCCCAGCACCCCGTCTCCCGGTATCCCGATCCAGAACCCCCCAGACCTCGAGGCGGCATACGACTACGCCCTCCGCGAGAAGGAGCTCTCTCCGGAGGACCTGCGGCCGTCCATTGACATCATTGGCCGGCCGTCGGCGGACTACTACGCGCCCAAGACCGTCACGGCCAAACTGGTAGCGTTCCCCGTCAGGCCGTCGTACGACTCAGACAGGACGCTGCGCAACGAGAGGCAGCCGCAGCCACAGCCGCCACCGCGCAATGCGAGCAGGCCGGATCAGGTCCCGACGCTGGTGGTGCACAATCCGCCGCCTGAGAGTGGCCACGTACGCACTCCCTCGGATGCGTCGACGGTTGTCAACGATGAGGTGGAATTGGGACTTTCCGAGATCATCCTCAGTCCGTCGAAGTCACAACGGAGGCCGCCTCCGTCACCAAGGGTAAGTGGATGTCCTGGAGACGGAGTGGGGATCCATGCTGATTGCGTCTGCCACTGTCTATTCAGAGTCCTCGTCCAAGACCTAGCAGAGAGGAGCTGAGAGCCACTCAGGGCAGTGTTCTCTCGTACTACTACCATGATCCATAACGTGTGGGGTAACTGTTCGATTGCTGTGCGCATTTTGTTATCACTATCTGTCCAACTCTCATCTGTCATTGTCCGGGTTCCATAGGGTCTTGGTGAGGTGACACCGTACCACAGGCAGATAGGCCCGGGCGACATCAAATGTCACTCACTGTTCAAGTTCAGCGGTAACGGATGTCGTTAACGGCTCTCATGCTCCGTCCGAACGTTCTCAGTGGTCGCGGGTAACTGCACGTTATCGGACACGGTGCACAACTCGTTCCCTGGGAGGACGACCTATTTCCGTGCTGCCATGCCCCGAGTGGGAAAACGCGTGGATCGAGGTCGTTCCCTAACGTCGTAACTGCATGAGCAGTTCTTCGGCGACTCGAGAACAGGCTCGAGAATGTCTGGAACAAACTTATCTGCTAGCTGACAATTGATCATGTAGTACTTACAAGCTGGACTACTACGGTCGTCACGTGCATTGACCCTTTGTCACAGATTGTATTCAGAGACTTGTATGTAACTATTATTGGACACAATGCCGAACCGAGGGAATGTGACAATTGAAGGCTCGATCAGTGATCATGCCGAGGCACTGTCGCCAAGCGACGGTAACGGCGTCACAGGCGCATGTCACGGTGTATAATGCGGCGAGCGGGAGGGACGGCTCACACAGCTGCGTGCATTCCCTTCCTCCCCCTTTCATCGCTTCCTTCTCCTTGGTCGAGCTGAGCTCGCTGGAACCGCCGGTTCTTGTCTCGTCTTTCCGCTCACCCGAAGCAAGCCTTCCTTCTGCTCTCTCTTGAGACAGCCTTTTCCTCCGCGGCAGGACAGTGCTCTACGTCCTCTGGTTCCCGCTCTTCCAACTCCTTTCCTAGTCCCTTCTTTCAACTCAATCGCAATGGGCAACCTTATCTGGCACGAGTGGGCGCGCTATGTCTCCATCACCGCTAGTCTCTGTAAGTAGCCCTGCTCGGAGTACGCGTGGTGGCGGCTGAACCGACGCTACACAGACTCCATCTGGGCGGCCTTCTATGGCATCCTCTACCGCAAGTTCTTCTGGGATTTCATCGGTGGAACGCTGCGTGCGCCCGGAGGTCTCCAGTGAGTTCGTACCTGAACTTGGAAGCATGTTGGCTGATGCATCCGTTCACTAGGCCATCCCCTGGAATCGCCTTGTTCATCGACATCATTGTCAAGGCTCCCGTTGTCCAACTCATCACTATGTTCATGGCGATGGGGATGGTTGCGCTGGAGTTCCCAGCACCGTTCGTGAAAGGGACCTCTATACAGCGGAACTTCACGATTAAGCTCGTGATGCTCATCATGCAGGCCTTCTCTGCCATAATGTTCTATCAGGTAGTGTGGAACTCTCTGCTTGCATGTACCTCGTATGTTGACCTGCATGCCATCTCAGGGCACAAATGGAGCAATATACTCGTTAGTAGCCGCCATAGGCTACGGACGAGCTATGATGCTCGGAGAAGTAATGGAAGAAGCGAAGAATAACAAAGGAAGAGGCGGAAAGGCCTAGTACAATGCTTCTCGGACGACAGACATCCCGTCAGGCGGGCTGGTTTCCACTTGCTGCAGATCACATTCTTTTTTTCCACCCTCCTTTTGTCGTTCATTTTCTCTCTGTACACCCGACATGCACAGCTGGTCCCGGTTCTTTGGCTGGATTCTTGTCCCGCTTCCTTCCTCTGAGCTCGGTTCGCAACGAACGGTGAAGCACTCCGTATCCGTCGTTCTCAATTTTAGTCGTTTACATTTGATTCTGCTTCTTCACTCGCACTGCTGTATCCTGGATGTATCCGCTACCCACGCTTGTACTCTAGTCATAGAATGTCGACCTCCCGGTTGAACATTGGCGTCATGTGCAGGAATGGGAGTACTTAGCTGCATTGCACGGGGACTTGTGCCGGGACATTGTTGTTATGAGCGTATCGTTGCCTCAACATCATGAACGACCACCGCGTGCACAGCCCACGCCCGGGTCCTGACTGGGTTCTGCTACGCAACGATCGGTCCGACTCGAGTCCGCATCGTGGATGCTCCCTTCATTCCGTCGTGACCTCTTACTTGGAAAGCGGGCCATCTCAAAGGCCTCGAGCACTCGATCTTTTCGGTACCTCTGTTGGGCTGTCCAGCCAGTGACCCGCGTTGGATTGGACGCACACCGCGCGATACTAAGCATTGAGCGCGGCGAAAGGCGGCAATACCGTGCTTACTCCCGACTCTCTACTGCTATGTCACTGACACCCGCGGAGGTCATCGCGAAGATCCCAGAGAGCTTCGACAAGGCTCAAGCAGCGAGCGACCTCCTGTTCTTCCCGTCGACCGTGCAGAAGCACACCGAGTTTGATGTCGATGTACGTCGCTGTTCATCGGCTTCTGAGACATTTCCGCTGACCTGCCGTTGCTTTGCATGCAAAGTTTGAGATCAGGCTATGTCCTGCACTGCAGCAGAAACCCCATCTACCGACGCCTCATTTCTCGAGCACGCCCCAGTTACCTTCAGGGAAGCCCGATCCATTCGCACCTCCATACACACCAAGTCTATACCTGGGGGAGATCAAGGATGAAGAGGAAGGCACAGCGTATGTCGTCCTGGTTCGTAGAGTGTACTGTGAAGGCCTGGAGAAGGAGAGTTGATGGTACATTGGCAGTTCAACAAGTATGCAGTGATGAAGCACCACATCCTATTGGTCACGAAAGGTGTGTCTCGCCGTGGCAGACGTGCATCGCGTAGTGTCTGACGGCTCTGGTTTGTGTAGATTACCAGTCGCAGACATCCCCGTTGCTCCCACCTGATCTCGTGCAAACGTACCTGCTACTCCTAGCCGCCCAACGAGCTGGCCGACGATACTTCGCCTTCTACAACTGTGAGCATGGTCTGTTTTCATGGCACGACCGTTGAACATGCCTACTCTCAACAGGTGGTGATCTGAGCGGCGCGAGTCAGCCACATAAGCATCTGCAACTGATTCCCGTGGAGGATGATGGCCCTCCGATTGAGAGACTGACCAGAAAGACGAAGATCGATTTCCCAGGTCAGCCACTTCCCTGTGGGCGACAATAGATGAAATGATGCATGACTTCGCTGCAGACCGCCCTTTTGCTCTGGACACCCTGCCTTACGCGAACCACGTCCGAAGATTGCCTTCAAGTTTTTCCTCAGCATCGTATGATGACCTCGAGCGAGAACTCTCAAGTTCTTTCCTCTCACTGCTGGACCTTGTCGTTTCCACCGTACGGCATGATCCAGACTACCCCTCAGGTACACCATCGTACAACGTCATACTCACTCTGGAGCACATGCACGTCATCCCTAGGAAGAAGGAGAACCATACCTTGGAGGAGACGGGTGAGCAAATAAGTGTGAATTCACTTGGGTACGCTGGGATGCTCCTCGTCAAGAGCGAGCGGGAGCTGGAGGTGGTGAAGCGCGAGGGTATAGGTCGGATACTGAGGGATGTCGGCCTGCAGAGTGTGCATGAACTATTGGTCGACGAACATTCTCATGAGGCAGGGGAATTGCACTCGGCGCAATAATAGTACAAAGACGATAGTGAGGTGTCTTCTCTGCTATCATCATACCTTGTTGACGGAGGGTATTGAAGGATGTACTGTTCTGTTTGACTAGCATCCACTTTTCTGGTATCGTTCGGGTGTTGCCGCACTGGCATGGACTTGTGTCTCCATCCCTATGGACCGCCACCCACGCACCACCACACTGGAACACCCGGCAGCATACCGGTGGCCTCTGAGGAGAACGCGATGACTTCAGTTCCACAGGACCGTCAGTGTATAGCTGGTGTAGACACGGTGTGCCGAGCTAAGTGGATGCGTCTATGGATTAATACAGTGAGTGCCCAGGGCGGTCGTACGAGCTCTTGAATATGCTCTCACGACACGGTCCAGCCCTTCCAGCGTACAGGGGGTCGCTGCTGGTGAAGCTTCAAGTCGTCATGGATGAGCTCACAGTCATATCCGAATTTGCGTATCGTCCTCTGAGCCTCTTAAATGGATCCCCCATACATCATACCTATTCAACAGCTCTGATAGCGTTAAGGCGTTGCCTGCACGCGTCGTTCTGTCTGCCCACGAATGTTACTTGGCTCAGAGCCAAGCAGGGGCCTCACTCCTAAGTCGCAATCCATGGTACTCGATCGATATGGGGTTCAAACCTACATGTACACTATCTGTGCATCCCACATGCAAACTACATGGACGATGGTTGCGGCCCGAATGCATTGAGTAATAGCTATGCACCGGCCACGGCACGGAGGGTTTGGCCGAGACGTCCATTCCCTTCAGTCTAGTGATGCCGACGGGCGCCTATCTTGCCATTTGCGTAAGCGCCCGGAGAGGAACAGACTCAATTCGTGGACGCAACTGCGCTGCTTCTCCTCTCCCCGCTATCATGTCCTCCTCGTCCACAACCGCGTGTTCGCGGTCGTCCTCGCCGTCGCCGGCCACGCCAGAGTCTACCGACGTGCCAGAGCAAGTCTTCAGCACGGAAGACCTATCCGCTTGGTGCAACTCGCTTGTTATGAGCAGCTATTCGAACGGTCACGAACAGAGACAGGCCGACGCAAGCCACGCGAATGTAGCCCAGATGCTGAAGCTGGAGGATCTGCTGCAGGATGCTCTATATCAAGAGTACGTTGCTACCTACACCTATACGCACTGGCGACGTGTACCCATCGTCCTTACGCAGGATAAAGCCGGGCGCATCTGACCCGACCCTCTCGCTCGACCCTCTCACTCTATCAAAGCTTGCGCTCCCTCAAGACTATCAAAGTTCCCTTCCCTCAACACCCCTTCCTTCAACACTATCCCAGGTCCCTGCACCTGTTAAGCCTGTCCCTCCTCCACCATCACAACCACGTCCGGACCCCGCCTTAACGGCACAACGTGTAGTCTATCCACCGAAAGAGGCATGCCAGAAGTAGGTCTACCTCCGCTATCGCGAAGCGCGTCTCTGACGGTGTTATCCAGCTTGCCCATCATGATACCTAACATTCCAGAAGGCGGAACGAAATCTAGAGTTGAGACACAAGTCCGGTTGACAGTTGATCTCGCACACGCGAGCGCTTCGTCGGGCGAACCGCTCAAGTATGATAGAGTGGGGACATTCAAGTGGCTCAGGCTACCGAAGGGAACGTCAACCAAGAGGCGGACGCGTAAGGAGGGCAAAGTTGGTGCGTATCAATTATCATGGCTTTGGTCGGAGTTGACCTAGCGCCTGTAGACGCCTCACCGGAAGATACGCTATACCTCACAGCCGAGGTGACATGCGCTACGGCTCCTCATACCCGCGTAACGTGTTGCACCAGTTGCCAGGCGAGAGAGGTGCGTTGCGTTACTTGAACGGCTCGCACTTATTGACTTTGTTCACAGGCCAAAAGAGTGGCCAGGAAGATTGCGGCACGGGTGAGGCCGTCCCGTTCTGACGCTGAATCGCAGGACGAGGTCCCCTTCCTTCCTGGAAGAGGTACCCACGAAGATGTGTCGAACATTGTCCAATTTAACTGCCCGGAGGTCCTCGACTTCTCAAGTGGTTCCGTCATCCTTCCTCTGCGGATTACTTGCTACTGCAGACACCATCGCGAGAAGACGGGATTCAATGTCCACTTCGCGATGCTTGATCGTTACGGTCGGATTGTTGGCACAGGCATGACCAGGCCCATTATGATCACCGACGACCACAAGACGACCGGCGCGCAGAAGGCGGCACAGAACAACGATATGGCTCTAGGAGAGTCCTCTGACATGGGAGGCTCTGCCAAGCGCAAGAAGACGACGGCATCTGAGCGAGTGAAGAAGCGTACGAAGCCTTACGACGTTGGGCAGAGCACTGGCAGGACAGTTCGCAGAGGTAGCAGTGCAAGCGCGGATTCACCCCTTCATGCAGCTTCACCCGCGGCCACCAGGTCGTCGTCCCCGCTCCAGAGCTATGCACACAGCCCGCTCTCTGCGTTCTCGCCTGTCGAGTCTCAGGGCCCTCAGTCTCTGTTCGACTTCAACGCTCCGACTCCAGACGACGGCCCGACGTCTATCGACTCAGATGTTCCAATGGCACAGGAAGTCAGTCCCGAAGCCGTTGCCACAATCCATCCGCTCACCGGCTCCTTCCTACCTCCATCGCATGCCGATCCTCAATTGTCTGTGGATCCCACCCAGACCCTCAACATGCCGCCTCAGCCTGCTCCATTCTTCCTCTTCGCTCAGAACCCTCCGCCGCCCATGGCATCCCTCCCTGCACCCAAGATTCATCGGTTGATACCCGCCTCCGGGCCAACATTCGGTGGAATCGAGGTGACGGTGCTCGGTGCCAACTTTCACTCGTCGATGCAATTAAACCTGCTCTTCGGCGGTGTTGCATCGTCCTCCACGCAGCGGTGGAGCGACAATACTCTCGTGTGCTTGCTTCCTCCCAGAGCGGACCCAGGTATCGTCACAGTCTGGTTAGAGGGTGTGGAAAAGATCGAGGATGGCACGCCTCCGTGCATGTTCACTTACACGGATGAGACGGACAGAGCGCTGTACGTGTTCCCACGTGTACTCTTCGTTTTAAACCTGCTGACGTCTCGCATCCAGAATGGAACTCGCGCTCCAGGTCGTCGGCTTGAAGATGACAGGCAAGATCGAAGACGCCAGAAACGTTGCGATGCGTATTGTGGGCAATACCAATACTGAAGGCGCGGATGGATCCGCGGCTCCTGTCGACAGCGTGATGCAATTGTCTTCCGGTCCGGACCTTACACCTAATTTCCGAAGCCTCCTGCTCAGCCGCGCCGGGAACAACGGCGACTTCGAGCGGGTGCTCTTAGACTTCCTGTCCATCTTGGACCACAGCATCGGCAAAGCTGGATTCTCCGATATGGCTGCGATCTCTCACCCTACGCCGAGTGGGCAGACTCTCTTACACTTGGCTACTATGGCGAAGTTCCCGACGTTGGTCGAGTTCTTGGTATCCCATGGCGTCGATGTCGACGCTCGTGACAAGAACGGGTGCACCGCGTTGTATTGCGCAGCCACTGTCCGGTCTGCAGAATGTGCGCGGGTACTTCTCAGAGCTGGTGCCGACACGGAGGTCGTCGATGCCCTGGGTAAGACCCCCTCAGAGATCGCTCCTCTCGGGTTCTTCGATTTCGCGCTATCTGATGGCGATACGAGCCGTTCTGCTGACAATGACGAGGAGGAGGCTGCGTGGGGCGACGCCGAGGAGGAGTCGGATGAATCGGAGGTCAAGGGCAAGCCACGGCGCCGCTTTGGACGCAAGTCCGGATTGCGCAAGCGCCGCTCTTCGCATGCACTCGCAGAGCGAGATACGAACACTGCTACACGCGCCGGTCCTCATTCTAGCGAGTCGAAGAAGGCTATTGACGCTGGCATGCCGGACGAGAAGCAAGTAGCCTCCTTCATGGAGACGCTGCAGCGTGCGTTCGCACAGTGGCAAGCCCCACAGGGCATGATGGCGAACATGCCCGCTGCGCTGCACAACCTCCCCATCCCGCATCTGCCGAACCTGCCTGGCATCCCGGCGTGGAATGCGCTGCCCCAGGTTCCTGCGGTCTTCCCTGTCTTCGTTCCCATCCCCGCATTAGTCAATCTGTGGGGCGAGAGACGCACGGACGATAGGCAGCAGCCGGCCCGCGACAAGAAGGATGGTGCTGAGATTGAGGCGCCTCTGTCCCCTACGCAGGATTGGCGTGGTTTCTGGGAGAAGATGATGGCTCAAGCTGGCGCTACCCTCCGCCCGAATGATGGGACCATTGACGCTCCTCCGGCATACTCGCCCAGGTCCGTTGACGAGGAGCCGCCGACTCAAGTCAAGCAAGAGGTTGTTGCGTCGTCTAGCTCGGTCAAGCGCAACGCGGGTCTGACCAAGTCATCGACTCGTCATGTGGAACACCCGACGGTTGCGGTGCCGGAGCAGGAATTAGATGCGTACCTCTACAGACCTGCGCATAAGCCCTCGAGAAAGCAAAAGAAGAAACGTGAGCTTAGTCGTTTTGTCTCAGTCGGCTTGTGCTGATTTGCAGTGCCAGACGACCGGATGCTCATTCTCTTCTGGATACCAATTTTGATGAGTGAGTCGTCATTCGTTTTCCTCCAGTGCTATTCGCTGACACACTCCTCCAGTCGGTTTGATGTGGGCTTTCTTTACGTTCATACGCATGGCTTTTCACGCGACGAGAGCCGTGCTAATAATTAAGACGGGCATGAAGGTGTAGAGAAGATACAGTATGCTGCGGTTGAATCGCAATTGTTTATCTAGATGTCATGGTATGTCTGTTGGATACTACTCTGCTGTTACACACGTTTCTACCCTGAACGCGCTGAATGCGTGCGTGCCGGTGTATGTATTGTAGATGTGTTCGGACTTAATCAAACAGGTGGTGGCGTTATCAGTGCTTCTCGGAGACAAAGGGCGGGTATTATTAACGATGGAGTCATAGGTACCACCCAGGAGGAGGGCGATCGACGACCGTCCTGAATTGAAGTTCGGTACCAGGCCTGCCCTGAGAAGCCCTGAAAGTGCACGCGTGCCGAACACGCGAGTTGCGGCGTGTCAAACAGGCGGGTATATTAATCATATCAGCTCACACCGCACTCGCAGCCCGCAAGTCGCACTGAGGACCACATACCTTACCATGGCCGATAACGTCAGCGGTTACTCTCAGAGATGTTCCTATTGTCTCAACGCGGTTGACAAGACCAACCTCAAGTCTTGCAGTGGTTGCCGGTGAGTCTTGTCCTCAGGCCTCAGGTGTCATCTCATCGATCTCACAGTGGAATTGTTGTCTATCCCGCAGAATGGTCCGCTACTGCTCGCGTGCATGCCAGGAGAACGCCTGGCCAACGCACAGAGCAAGCTGCGCTACTGGCGGGGACTTCAAGGATTCTCTGGATCAACGGAGCAAGAAGCTGAATCACAGCTTCACGAAATTCCTCGACTACTATCGCCCGTTGATCTGCATGACCGCACCATCCGCATTCAATCTCGCGAACAGCTCGCCAGACAAGCTTGCTACGCATTGGTGAGCAGGTGTGGGTTACCGTGATCAGTCGCGATCTGACTGAGAGTGCATTGGTATGTCGTTGGTCACAGCATGTATGTAGTCCTCGAGCAGCAGCCCGCAGCCCAAGCTGCTCCATTCTACTTCAAGGTCAGCATTGTTGCGTAGCAGAAATCTGCTCTTCGCCCCGGATTGCTAACTACGTCCACGTAGATGGTCAGCGGTCAGATCATCTCTCGCCGAGAGATGGTCGACGTCTTCAACTCGCTGGATATGACCCAGGAGCAGATTGACGGCTGGGCGCGCGATGACCGCGGTGACCACACCGTGCATATCGTCTTCCAGTTCGCAGCCATGTGCCGCTTCCTGTGGTTCTCCCTCCACGACATCGGAGGCTACCGGTCTATGAACCCTGACATTGCGAACAAGCTCGCAAACGAATGGGCAGATGCCCTAGCTGCCGCGATGAACATTGGGTACGCAGGCCCTGGCACCAGTAGCAGATAGATGACCGGTCCTCCGCTGCTCCGAGTCTAGAATGGCAGTGCATCGCAAATCATTGGACCCGTTGCTTTCTTGCTTTCTCAAATTGTTATCGATGGTTCGTGGAACGGTTACGCTTTTGAATTACTGTATTGTAACCGACTTATAACAACATGTATCCAATCTAAATCACAGTGAACTACGTAGTAAAGCCAGTCAACCGAGCTGCGCAAGTCATTATTGATAAGAAGTACACGTCGAAGGTCCGTATGACAATGCTGCTAACAGAGACGTGTCACGTTACACCTACGAAGGAAAGCACGTCAGACTCGCTCGACACAGTGAGAGCGGAATTGAGGCGCATGTTGGTTTCACCCTCTGCGTCCGAGCTTGTCTTGGCCTCGCACGCAAGAGGGCTACTTATCCCGAGGACCATCGAAAAGGTCTGCGCCAGGACGGGCACTCGCGTGTCCGCCCCCCCTCGGGACTTACCTGAGCTCGATGCCAAACTTGACGTAGCTTGACGGATAGATTGATATCTAGCTACGGCAGCCAAGTCAGTGCAAATGATGACGCAGACCGGGCTGACCATGTCGTCGATCAATGCTTATGTGCCCTTGCAAGCGACTGATCATGTAGAGCCTGTGGATAGGATCGTCAGCTACGGCGAGGGAAGGAAGATACGCATACACACATGTGATGATTGCACGCAGGGATGCAACTCAGGCCTGAAAGGAGAGTCAACCAAGAGACGGTGAGGTGAGATGCTCACCGATGCACGGACACGCATGTGAAGTTGACTCAATGGAGCTGAAGTATGGTGAAAGGTATTGCAATCGATTCAACGGATGCCTAAGCTAGAGAGATCAGCCTCCGGGACTGATCATGACCGAGCTGACCGTGGCTACGGTTGAGAATGAAGCATGGTGACAGGTCTGGGTGGTGGCCGTCAGCAGATGGGCGAAGAGATTGATGGACATACGCGGTATGCTCCCGGATCGATTGTGAAGCCACGGAGCTTAGATTACAACAGCGTCAGTCATGACAAGTGCACCTCACTGGATCATACTCACCTGCAGAACTTGCTCATCCACATCCTAATCTTGAAATGGTCTTGATCACGGCCGGCTGGAACTCTGTGCACACCGAGTCAGCTTGGAGACAGGGCGGACACACGCACACATATAATCATGTCTGACATAGGATCCGATCCTTGAGTGAAAGCAATGCGTCAAGACGACAGGCCCACATACCTTGGATTGGGACATTGGACGCATGGCTGAGGCCACAAGGCTTCTGATTGCGACACATGCACCGCGAGTTGAGCCTAAGCTAGAGTCACATGCATGAGCATAGACATAGAACGGCAAGAGAAGACAACCAGGCCGAGAATCGAGGCAGAACCACGCAAGGCCAGGCCGGGACGTAGCGATAAGAAAACAACAGACACGCAGGTCCAAGAGGTCGTCCAAGAGGTCGTCCTCAGAGTCGAGAGCGAAAGCAATGTCCGAGTCGCCTGAGAGTCTAGAGCCGGCCGAAAGATGTCAGTCCAACAGAGCACAGCTTGCCTAGCGAATCGAACACGAGATGGATCACCGAAGCCAGAAGAGTATAAGAGCCAGTGCAGCACACAGCCAGACGGCGAGATCATGAACCAGAGCAGAGCGCTGTTGAGATCGTAGACAAAGCGGGGCCGAGGGGAGAACCAAGCCATGAGCTAGAACAGAGCCAGAGCCAGACAACCGAGCCGAGGACCGTCTTCAGTCTTCATCTTGACCTTGACCCTTAGTCTTGGAGGGAACTTGAATCTCGCGTCTTGGGGTTGAGGAAGGCGGACAGGACACGGAGCACAACCGAGCATAGAGGGCGACAACACGACAGATCGAAGAGTACGAGAGCGTCGAAGACCCAAGCGTTGAAACCACCAAGACGCGCGCAGTAGCAAAGCAGAGCACACCCAGGTACCCATGTCGAATGATCCAGAGTCGAGACAAGAGCGGCGCCACGTCGAGGTCGTCTGACAGCCGAAGGTCAGCCAAAGTGTAACATCCGTCAATGAGCACCAGCGCACCTTCTATACAGTCGAACCCGAGACCGACCGACAAAGAACAGTGGCGAGCACAACAGTCAAAGTCAGAGCGCAGTCTAGAAACCACGATGCCTAGCACCCAAGCCAGAGCACAGCAGAGTTGTGTCGAGACCGAAGCCAAGGAGTACCAGAAAGCAGAAGACCAGCTGTTGGAACAGACCAAGGAGCCTAGAAGCCAATCCCTGTGGCGTCGGCGTGTGGCGTTGGACATCCCATGCCTACGGCGGACACGACACATCTTCACAAGCAGAGAGAAGAGAGGGGGCCGGCCAAGTAGTATCAAGGTCGCATAGCTGATGGAAGTCAGGAGGGAAGGGGGATGGGGGACGGTCTGCTACGCAACCCTCCTTTTATGCTGGCTGTGCCACTCGGAGTTCAACGCCAGCCACCTGTGTCATGTGACCGCGTGGGCACCAATCAGCGAGCTGCGATGCCATCCGCGGCCCAGTTTGGAATGAGCGTCTCTGTCCACGCCGGCGAAGTCAAAGCGTGGCTTCGCGGGCACTGTCACGGACAATGGGAGGGCGTCGTCAGCGGGTCATGGCAGTACACGAGGATCTGAGACATACCTATTTCGGGTACAAGGGATGCTTCTATGGGAAGCTAGGGTGCTTTGGTGCTACGCGTTGTGCCCACCAGTTGTACATCTTGCGACAGACCGCGACAGACATCCATGTCTAGAGAACAAGCCAAGCACCGTCTATTGTCGTAGGATATATCAGAGCGTACAAATCGTTACCATCTTCAAGAATCACAATGCCAAGAGCGTCCAAGATCGTCAAAGCATTCGTTGCGTTCGTCGTCGCAGTCATCTTCCTCTGACTCAACCGCGGCTTCTATCGCAGCCCGGCTCACGGAAACCAGCACTCCTCCACCTTCGGCCAATGCGTATACACCACGCCCACACGGCCCTCGACCTCCCTGAGCCTCGGCAAGCGATACATCACCGCATCCACCGCATTACACCTTCTGCCCGAATACTCCGCGTTCCCAACATGGAACGTCGTAACGAGCCCGCCCGCCTCGCGCGCGAGCCGCGCGAGGTGCGCGTCGATCGCGTCCCAGTCGAGCACGCTGAGGTCGCCGCCCTTCACGAGCTCGATGCTAAAGTGTATCTGGGTGAGGTGCAGGGAGTGCAGCCGCGAGAGCGCCGCGGGCACCCACTCGTATGTCTTGAGCGGGACGGGGTCGGGGATGTAGAGCAGCCGTGGTTGGGAGCCGTCGATCCGGATGTGCGAGAGGTGGAGCGTGCGCAGGCGGGTGTTGTTGGAGAGGTCCACAGCTGGTGGCGTGGTGTAAGTACCCGCAACTAAATTGATCAGGGACGACTAACCGTCTCTGAACGAGAACCATCCTGGAAATGCAAGCGAGAGGTGCTGAAGGGACTGCCCGCCGGCCCTGAACAGACTAGGGACATACTTCGCATCCGAACCACCATCCCACATGAGCTCAAGGTTGCGCAGAGCAAGTCTGAACGGTCCCTTCACAAGCCACGCGACTACTTGTGGCGGGGGGCTTCTCAGGGTGAGCTCGTCAAGCTCTACCTGGCGCGGCGGCACGACTGCTGCCAAGTCCGGCGTGAAGGCCGGCAGCAACGAAGACCGCCGCCAGCGCACAGCACAGAGGGTCAGCCCGCGAAGCTCCGGGCATGCGCAGAGGACGCGCAAGAGGTCCGTGCCGTCGAAACGGACGTTCTCGATGCGGAGGTGCTTGACGAGGCGGAAGTACGTGGGGAGCTTCTCGCGCGTGTCCTCGTCCATCTCGAACATGCCCCCGCCAAAGTTCAGCGTCAGGCTCTCGATCTCGTGCAGGCGCGGCAGGACCGCGGGGAGCGTCGCGCGCTCGAGCGCGGAGTCGAGCGAGAGGTGCAGCGCGCGCACGGAGAGCGCGACGTGCGGCGAGTCCTGCAGCAGCTTTGTGAAGCGGGAGTACTCGGAGTAACCTGGGGCGTGCGTGAGGTGGACGGTGTTGAAGACGTGGTGCCGCACGATCGGGTGGAAGGCCCGGCAGGTGAGGGCACACGCGGCGAGCGTGCGGTGGTCGTTCCAGAGGTAGCCGAGAATGGACTCCCAGACATCGAGGGGCAGTTGGGGGACACCGTGGTCGATGTCCGCAGGTAAGGGCGTGACTTTAGGCTACGAGCACGTCAGCTTCTGCAGCGATCGCAAGTGGAAGAAGTGCTCACTATGCGCCAGCGTCCGCGCGGGCCATGCGCGACTCGGGCGACGATGCGTCTGAGGCGGCCGAGGACGCGAGAGAGGCGGGGACGGCGCATAAATAAGACGTAAAAGGACGTTACGGACGTTAGCAACGTTAGCACTAATACGGGATAGTCGGTTCCGCTGTGAGAGGCATCCTGGGCAGGAGCGCGTCAGGCTATAAGACGCGACGTCAGCGCGCGAGACACTGTTACTCGGTGCTGTTGCGTGCCAACGAGCGAGCAGCTGGGACGCTCATACGGCGGAGGCCGCTGGGCTATGCTCTGGGTGCTGTCGCGGGCATGATGGTGGAGGGGGCCCGAGTAGTACACAGAGCGGCGCGAGTGGGCATTCCTTGGTCTGGAGAACGGCTTCGATGCAGCCACCACCGTCACCGAGAACTCATAATAGCCTCGAGGATGGTCAGCAGAACGGAAAGAACATTGACACGGACTTTGTATGAGACCAGCGAGCGGTCCAGGAGCGGTCTATGGACGATGTATGTGTAGCGCCGGTATTCGGGTCTACCTGGTGTTGTGCATTGTGATTTCCAATCGCTCTGCAAGATCGACTGAGTCCTGTTTGTCCGGATAGATGACCGGAGGAAGTCGAAGGACCGGTGATAGCGTGAGGCGCATCTGCGAAGACAGACTTTGCGTCGATACAGAAGAACAGCACACCTGTCCAGAGGGAATAAGGCGCAGGGCCTTCCTCACAGCTCCACCGTGCTGGAATGCAGAACGAGCACGAGCTAGCTTATGCAGCTCGACACGGTGTAACAGCATTCACACGTCGCGGATTTTGCTCTCAGGTGTCCTCCAGGTCAATTCGCATTTGTTGCGGTACGGAGCAGCACGATGTGATAAATAAGACAGAAAGCAGCAGCGTTGGGAATGGCACAGCCACCGAGCGAGAAGTAGACCTGGCTTGGACCTGGCCAAGGTCGCAGGCTGTTGATGATGATGAACTCAGCATTTATTAACCGCTGCAAGCAACCATGTGCTAAGACGCGGCGGACGCCGGCCTGTACAGTAGTGGGCGTTTAAACGCGCCACCCAGGTCGTCGTCCAGTTCGGGGCTGTACTGGTAGGAGTAACGTCTGGAAAGGTAGGTAGTAATGGGTCGTTCTCGTTCTGTAGTCTATGGTAGCAACTATGTGTATGGTTCAGTTCGTCAGTCCAGGGCGCATAGATCGTAATAAATAAGCATAAGTGAGAGGTGAAAGGAAATCCTGCATACTCCGCGTTCCGCGGTCGGCTCGTCGTCTTCTCCTAGGGGCGCAAGCCGTATTTGTTCCCCTAGTGCACGAGTGGGTGTCGGAGGTGTGGGGGGTGTCGGGTTTGGGGACGGTACTTCGCCGTGCAGCTGGTACCGTCTATTCTTCGTCCTCGTCGGCCGGTCCATCCGGGTCTTCTTCTGGCTCTGAGTCGTCTCCTCCGCGGTCGTCTCCTGCGGCAGCCTCTTCGTCTTCGTTTTGCTCTGCTACTCCTCTCTCCGGGTCCTCTCCGGGTGGTTCTCCTGTCTTCGTGAACGCGCCGCTCTTCTCGATGAAGCGCGCGAGTGCGTCAATGCCGTCGTCTGTGCCGAGGATGGTTGGTAGGTCTATCGTTTCGCTGGCGGCCCGTAGGAGGTGTCTGTGCGCCTCGTAGCGTGGGCAATCTTGGAGGATGTGGCTCCTCGACTGGTATTGCGCGCCGCAGGGGCATTCGACTGGTTCTGATGGGACGTGGTGACGGTAGTACTCGCCCATGAAGCCGTGTCCGGTCCGGCACTGTAGTACCCGACCGAATACTTCACGCGGTAGCTTGGTGAAGCATTTCCGCGGCTTCGGTTTGGGTGGTAGACGGTTGGCGGTTGCGAATCGTCCTGTTGGGCGCGTTTGTTTCCACTCGTCTGTCCACGCCTTCATCGCTCGTTCCCTCGCTCTGCGAAGGGCGTTGGCGCGCGTGGACCGGTGGTTGTCCGGTTCCATTGCTGTTGCGTCTTTGGCGAGTTGGTCGGCCAGCTCGTTGCCGGTGATTCCTTTGTGGCCTGGCGTCCACGCGACGGTGACCTTGGTGGCTGGGTCGGCTTCGAGGAGCCGTAGGACGACCTCGCGGAAGATGCGTGAGTGGCCCTGTGACGGTCCGGGCCTCGCTTCGAAGATGGCTGATATGGCTGAGGTGTTGTCGGCGAAAAAGAAGATGTCGTGGATGGGGGGTGTGTTTGGCTGTTGCAGGTAGGCCTCTAGGTCCCTCGCTGCCCACGAGAGACCCGCCATCTCCGCGTCGTAGACCTCGGCACGTCGGCTCATTGGTATCCTCCTTCCGAAGAGGATGCTGTTCTGTCCGATCGCGACGTGGCTCGCGCCGACGCGCCTCTGGTTGTTCTCTGTGAGCAGAGAACCGTCAGAGTACATGGTGATGACATCTTTGCGTTTACTGAGGGTACTTAGCTTTGCGTTGTGCTCTTTCGCGGCGGCTTCTTTGGTGACCCCTTTCACCGCTGGGGTGATGGTGAGTCTGCCTTTGAAGTCCGCCGCTGTCTTCTTCCATGGGGGAACCGCGAGCGGCGTAATGCGCTCGTCCAGCGGGTCTGACCTTAGGGCCATGTTGCATAGTCGGGTGGTCGCGGGGGGCTTCCTCCGGCGTGCTGTGGTCCGCTTGTGTGTCGGTCGTGGTGGTCGTGGTGTGTTGGATTGGGTGAATTGACGCCAAGCGTCGGGGAGGCGTTGGAGGATTGGGCTGTGCGCGCTGAGCTTGTTCAGCCGGATTGCTGCCCGATCCTTGGTGAGTTCCAGGTGGTGGCGTATTGGTGATATCGCCGCCTCGATTTCCATGGCTATCGTTTGCGTCGTCCTGAATGCTGCGCATATCAGTCGTAACGCGCGTCGCTGTACCTTCTCGAGAGCGTTCTCGTGGCTCTTTTTGCCTCGCCACCATGCGGGGCACGCGTACGTCATGATCGGGCGTACGCATGCTGTGTAAAGGGTTCGTAAGTGCTCTTGTGAGAGTCCCCTTACGGTGTTGGCTAGCATGCCCAACCCGTTTACCGTTTTCTCCGCACGTCCGGCCATCTGTTTGACGTGATGGTCGAAGTTGAGCCGTCTGTCGAGGTGGACACCCAGCCACTTTGTTGTAGCGGTTGCGGTGATGGTGATGTCGGTTCCGTTGGCGCCTGGGAGGGTGATGGTCGGTGAGTCGTTGGCTGTTCGACGTCTGAGCGAGTAGTGCATCAGTTCCCTTTTGACCAGGTCGGGCGAGAGGCCGACGCTGGCCATCCAGGTGTCAACTCGGCCGTAGGCGATCTTGAGGATCCGGGTGTTGGTGTCGAGGGAGTCCGAGGAGACGTAGATTTTGCCGTCGTCCACGAACATGATGAGCTGTGTCGGTCCGGGGCTGTCGACCAGCTTCAGCTTGGCGTTGATGGCGTCGACGTGGTCCCGTGCCGCCTTCTCGAATATCTCGAGAAGTTCGGCAGCGTAGAGGATGGAGAGGATGGGTGAGACCGGTGAGCCTTGGGGGATCCCGTTCTCTACCGGTCTCATCTCTCCTCGTATCCCATCTAGACGGATTGCTGCTTCTCGTTCCGAGAGGAAGGCGGCTGTCCATCGGACCAGTTGGAGGGGGAGGCGTTTCTCACGCATCACGTTGAGGAGTCGTTGGTGGTTCACAAAGTCGAAGAAACCTTTGATGTCGAAGGTTAGAGCTGAGGTGACCTTGCCGTGGTTATGCGCCGCCTCAACGTCGTGGACGAACGTGAGTATCGCGTCGTCTGTTGAGCTCGCGGGTCGTCCTCCAAACTGGTTTGCGGGGACCAGGTTGTGTGTCGATACAAGGTAGGCGAGGCGGTTGGCAACGATGCGTTCCAGGGTTTTTCCGAGGCACTCCAGTAGCTGGATGAGCCGGTAGGCCCTGGGGTTGCTGTAGTCGGGTTTCCCTGGCTTGGGGATGGCCACCGCAATGGCCTTCCTCCACGCTTTGGGATGGTAGCCTGCGCGTAGACAGTGATTCATCAGTGCGGTGATAGTTGACTCTGCCTCAGCCCACGCCCATCGGATGACGCGGAACTGGCACTGCGAGAGCCCGGGCACTTTGTCTGCCCCCTGCTCGAAAATGGAACGTCTCACCTCGTCTGTTGTGACGTCTTCGTTTGCGAAGTCGTCTGGGTGGATCTCCTCCAGGTCGTTCTCCGGGACATCTTGCAGGGGCGGTGGTGGTTGGAACAGTTCGTCTCGTAGCGCGTTGCACTTGTCTTCGTGCATGACGGCTGGTGGTTGGTTGGCGCCTCGCGAGATGGCTGGCGACTGGTACGTTCGTACCCCCTTGCCCCACTTCGTGAAGCCCCAGATGTCGGCCGTTGTTGCTTCTTCGAGGGTCTCCGTGATCCACTTCTGGCGCGCTTTCTTGTAAAGCCGCCTGAAGTAATTGCGGGATTTCTTGATTGCCGAGTTCGTCGTGCTCGCCTGCATGCCCCACCTTTTCAGGTGGTTCAGGCTCTGCGTGCGCAAGTCGGCGGTCTTCTTCGCTGCGTCGTGGAGATCGGCGTTCCACCAAGGGCGCGCCCGGTCGCTCGGCTTCTTGACTTTCGCAGCTGACACGTTTGCGGCTTCCATTGCCGCCGTGAGGGCGTTGGCTGCGTTGTCGAGCTGGTCAGTGGTAAGCGTCGCATGGTGGTCGGACAGAGGGGTTAGATTTTGGTCGTAGTCTCCCAGTGCTGCCCGGAAGGCGTCTCTCCACTCCGCGGGGTCGGTGTCCTTGAAGTTATACCGTTCCCCCGTGAGGTTCTCGATTGGGGTGGTGCCGTAGTCGATCTCCCATCGCAGGGCGAAGTGGTTGGATCCAAAGGCGTACTCCCTATCGATCCACCAGTGTTTGGCGGTGTCGAGTTCAGTAGCCTTTGGGTTGGTGAAGGTGAGGTCGATGGTGGACCAGGTGTCGTGCGCGTGCGAGAAGAACGTTGGGGCGGCTTTTTCGTTCTTCATCGTGTATCCGTGCTGGTTTAGCCAGTCGACGGTCTGGTCAGTGGATTCCTTCGCTGGGTCCGATGTTCGCGACCAGAGGGGGTGGTGCAAGTTCCAGTCACCCGACAAGATGGTCGGGGCGTCTCTGGGGAGGGTGAGGCTCTGGATCCGCTTCGCAGCTGACCGGGAGCCTTGTTTCCGATCGTCGTTGTAGATGTTGACGACGATCGTAGGCGGGTACGGGGCCTGCGCTATCTCGAGGACCTGTATGTCGAGGTCGTTAGCGATGTCGGAGCGGAGGGTGACTGTGAAGTCCCCGCGTCTGCGCGTGTAGGCCATCACTCTCGGTCTCTTGTTGTGCGGGACCGCTGAGACGGGCAGTATCGGTGTCCAGCCTGCTCCCGCCTCAGATACTGGTCCTTGGGTGTCGTTGCCGATGTTTCCCCACCACGGCTCTGTGATGAGGATGATGTCGGCGGTGTCGGCTGAGGTCGCGGTGTTGAGGAGGGCGTGGATGACCGCATTCTGCCGGTTGGCGTTGAGTTGTAGGATCCGGACTGGTCGCGTAGCGGTGTCCTTCATAGTCCAACGGTCTCGTTGTCGTCATTGTCGGGGATCCGGTGCGGGTAGAATTCGCGTTCGATGAGCGCCACGGCTGCTACGAAGTCTTCAATGACTGTAGTGTAGACGGCGGCGCACTGCGACTCAGCTAGGTCTGGGAAGCGCTTTTGGAGCGCTTCCAGGTCTCCCTTGTGGGTTTCCTCTCTCAGTGCCTCGAAGTGGTTCGTGTTCTCCGCGGCCAGCCTTCGCTGTGCTTGGCTGGGTTGGGGTTCCTTTGGCTTCTTCGTCGTCGTAGGCTTCCTCGGTGCTGCTTCCTTCCACTCCGAGGTCGCCTTGGCTCCTCCCTTCGGTCGTGGTGTCGCCTTGGTGATGCCTCTCGCCTGGTCGCGGGCTGCGCAGTTCCGCCACGTTGCCGTGTGGGCTCCTGCGCAGTTAGCGCATTCGTACTGTTCGTGGTTGCACTCATTCATGCTGGTGTCATCGTCGACGTCCGTCCGTTCCTCGTGGCACTCCTTGCAGGCGTGGTCCCCTTCGGTGTGTGTGGTGTCCCCGCAGATGCGGCACTTCTCCGTCCCGTTACACCGTGACTTGGTGTGGCCGAACAGCCAGCACCGGCTGCACTGCATTACGGGCGGTTTGTCAGCGTAGCGTCTCACCTCTGCGAACTGTCCTGCAATCGCGAGGTTTTTGACTCGGGACACCAGGTGGTCGGCGTCCTCTTGGGACTTGAGGGCGATCACTACTGACGAGTAGGTCAGGTTGATGAGGTCGCCCCTGTGTCGCATCCACCGGGGTAAGTCGGCGGTCTCCATCTTCTCGTAGTCCGGGTTCAGGCTCCGTAGGTCGCGGTCGATTTCTTGTGGTGTTGCGATGTCACGGGTGTTGTCGTTGAACGTCCGTACCCCGTTGAGCTGGATCTTGAACCATTTCTCGTCAGGTCGGACGCGCGTCTCGCGTGTGCCGGCGAAGAAACCTACAAACCTCGGAGCGTGCGCAGCAAGCTCTCCGGCTGACTGATCAGCACGCGTGAACACAATGCAGTTGTTGTGGGCGTTGAACTTAACGTTCACCACCCTTAAGTGTCTACTCTCGTCGCTCGCCTGCAGGACCTCGTTGATATACTTTACGATCGCCACCTCGCTGGGCCGGTCTTTCGCTGACGGGCCGTCCTTGATCTCGACAATAAGTCGGGATGGGTGGTGGGCCGCCAGCGGGTTGAGCATCGGTTTGGGCGCGCGAGGTGTCGGGACAATCGGTCTTGCTGTTGCATACACCGTCTGGACGGCGGTTCTGTTGGTGGTGTTGGCGGTTGCGGTCTTCTTGGTCTTGTTGGTCTTGTTGGTGCGTGCCGTCCGGATGGTAGCTGAGTCGTCCGTCTCGGTCCAGTCTGGTGTCGTCATAGTCGGTGCGTCTTTTGCCTCGATGTGGTCGAGTCTGGTCGCGAGTCTGTCGATCGCCTTGGCGATGTTCTCGAGGATGGTTGTGTCGGCACTGGCAGGGGGCGGCGAGGTCGTCGGTTTGGGGGCTGTCACTGGCTGTGGCTCTTCCCATGACGTCAGTCTGCTCGCGATGGTCTGCGCGTCTTTCGTAACAGATGCGGGGTACTCAGCGTGCATGGAGATCTCCTTGAGGATCCCCGTTGCCCTGCTCAGTGCCTCCTCCAATAGGATCATCTTTCTTTGGATGTGGTCCGGGCTGAAGAGGTCCGAGGCGGCATTGCCTAGCATCAGGCTGTCGTTGTTCTGGTGGCCGGTTCGTGTCGGTGTTGGTGACTCTACTTGTATGCTCTCATCGTCCTTATCCTCTTCCTGCTGCGTCCGTTCTATGCCGTCCATAGGCGCAGCCGGTTTGGGTGGTCTACTTAAGGAGTTCGTTAGTCTGTCGAGTACTTTACATCCTCGACTCGGGGTCGCCGGTATAAGCGCCGGGGTCGTCTCCTTCCCCCGCGGTTTCCCATCGACCTGGTGGCCTTGGCCTTTTGGTTCAGCCTCCTGCTTTCGTGGTGGGTACGGCTGATGCCTATGGTCCCCTCCGACCCCCTCTTGGGTCTCTGAAGCTTTGGTCATACGCTATTTTTCTCTAGATTCCACCCGTGGGAATTTTCGAGACAGATGTGGTAGCGGTATGAGGAGAGTTTTAAGGTCGCAGGCTGTGGCAGGAGGGCGGACGGGGAGCGGGGGAGGGTCCGGGGTCCGGGCATGCGTAAGAATAGCACGGTCATAGGCGCCGAATACAGAGACGGCGGGGCAGGTCGACGGGCCAGACAAGGGTCGCCGCTGTGGCCCCAGCTCGCATGCCCTTCCTCCCGTCCTCTCACCAAGGGCCGTCTCCCCTCCTCCTCCAAGCACCGTCCGCCGGCCCCCTCTGACGACCACACCTGCCCGCCATGCCCCCGACGTCCCTGGGTCGCCAGCTTCGCTGCTGGCTGGTCCTCGTCCCCGCCCTCTGCGCCGCCTCCGCGCGCGCGGCAGGCTCGAACAGCGGCGGTACGAACACGAGTCTCGCCATGTGAGTGGCTTCGCTGCTCGGTGCACCGCAGCGGTGGGCTAATGGCCGTGCACGAAGGATCATATTGTATGCGATTACCGGATGTGTGTCGGCGCTCTTCTGCGTGGTTATCGTTTCCGGTGTACGTCTTCCTCTTCAACTCGATCCCCTTCGCACACCCGTTCCCCCCACGCCCACTATGAGGACGAGCGGATACAAGGTCTGGACGGGCTGTGCCGTCCCTCCTCTTTGTACGCGCATTTGGCACTCCCGCGCTTCGAAGCTGCCTCGCGTTCGGTCGAGCGCGAAGCCATGTTCTCCCGATCGGTTGCTTTTCGACCTGGCCTCTCTGATATTAGCGAAACCTTCGATTCGAAGGCTCCGAATGTGCCACTGGTACCCCAGGTATACGCCACTATCGTAGCTGCTCTGAGAGGTTTGGGAGTCCTCGATGCTGCGAGTCATGAGTGCCGCTTCGTGTACGGGCAGTACTCACGATGTACAGTCATTCCTGTCGACATAAGGAAGCTCGAGTGCATCATGTTCCACTGCATGCACAGACGCTTGGGTGATGGACGAATGAATGTTGCAGCTGAGAGGCAACTGTGATTTTGTTTCTGTTTACGTTTCTTCAAAGAATGGTGTATGGCCGTCTTTGAGCTTTTGTTCCATTGTCTCGGATGATCGGTCATTCAACTTCATCCTCAATCACCCCACAGGCTATCCGCGCGATCCGGCACCCCGAGCGATATGGGCCTCGCACAGGCGAGGGCGAGTTCGCCGGTTCATTCCCGGGCCAATCTCGTGCGCGCGGCCTGACCAGAGCGATCCTCGACACATTTCCTGTTGTCAAGTTCGGGGTGGAAACCTCGCAATCAACACAAGGACAAGGGAAGGACATGGAGATGGGTGATGTAAAGAGCTACAAGGGCGACGAGGAGCGGGACAGCGCGAGCCTCGATGACGACGACAAGTATACTCTAGAGGACGACGCCGACGGTGCACATGCGAACGCGCGCGCGCACGAACGGCGAGTCAGCTGGGCACCGCAGCCGCCGCTTGAGCGAAGAGACGAGGGACGGGAACACCCCTCGGGCGTACAAGAAGAGGACATCACGACCAACGCGCACAAGCCTGGCAGCTCAACGTCAGAAGAACCCATCGCGGGCCCGTCCTCGCCGACGCAACTCTCGCCCGACCGCGACCTCCCGCCCGTGCGCCCGCGCCCGCGTCCCGGGCGCTCGTCGACGCAGGGCCGCCCCCTGTCCGCACCGGCGGGCGAGAAGGAGAAGGACGTAGTGCCAGACGCGATCGGGACGGAGACGTGCCCAATTTGCATTCTCGACTTCGAGGAGGGCGATGACCTGCGCGTGTTGCCGTGCGAGGGGAAGCATCGCTTCCATAGAGATTGTGTGGACCAGTGGCTGTTGGAGCTGAGCAGCAGTTGCCCGATCTGTCGACAGGGTAAGTGGTCCCCCGTGCTCTACACTGCAACCAGACGTTGACGGGGATGGTCATGATGCAGACTTCCAAGCCCTCGAGACGATGATGATGGGGGGCGACTCTGCGGACGGCGACCACCTCGAGCCACCGCACCCGCACTACGCACAACGGCCGCTGTCCAGCGCCGCGGCGCGTTTCTCGCGGTATCTACGGTTTGCGCGGAGGCGGCACGGGCATCGCACGCGGGACCGGCGGGAGGGACGAGAGGACGGCAGCGGGTACGACATCACGGACCCGCCGATGCCGCTGTCGCCGGAGATGAGGTTCTGAGTCGCGTATCGCGTGCTCCTGCTGGAGGATAGGGCGACTTGGATGTAATATCCTGGTCCCGCCGTTCGCCCACTTCCTGCACCCGTCGTCTCCGGCGTTGCCGACCCCGAGCCCCGTCCGTCCCTCGTCCTTCGTTAATCTGTGGTTCGCACACCCGTCCGCCTGGTTCGTACGGTCTGCGCCGCGCTCTCTCTCGCCTCATCCTCTGTCCCCCCGCCAGGTCTGTATTATCGGTTCATTGTTGTCGTTTATGTGCTTAGGACCCGCTCCTGCGTCTGTTGTTGTCTGTAATCTAGTACGCCAGGATCCCATGTTGTAAAACACCACGCGCACGTATATATCGCGTTCCTGTTCACCTCCGTCATACGGCCCCAACCCCAGCTCAAAAGCGTATTGCCACGGCCTAGATAGACACGGAGCATGGATGCCCAGCCGACGAGGAGCCTTCCCATCGCAGCCCATCGCCCGCTCGCCCCTCTGCTCGCCGGTGCAGGCCCACGAACAGGCAAGGGAACAGCCTCCGCGCCCCTCGTGCACACGGGCGAGTGACGTGAAGAGCGGGGCCCCAGACAATCACAAGGCTAGGCCCGCCCGCGCTGCACCCACCGCTGGCGTGGGGCCTGCCGCATATGGGAGGTGCTGTCGTTCGCTGGGTGCCAACAGCCGCTCCAGCGATGACCGTGCGATGACGTTCTGGCCGCCATGGGCGACGGGATGACGCGTGCGGTGGGCTTGGTGCAGTGGATGCCAGCGCGGATGGGGGCGGCGGCGGCGGTATATAAGCGGGAGGAAAAGACGGGGGGTTAGCATCAGTCTTCCTCTCTTTCGAGTATCCCACCACCCACTCGTCTATTTCAACCACCCACTCTTCGAATCATCACCATGTCCGACACCGGCCGCCAGAGCTTCACCGACAAGGTCGGCGCTGCCGTGAAGGTTCGTTTCTGCCAGGCTTCTGTCGCTCATAGGTGCTAACGACACGGTCACGCAGCCCGACTCTGAGAAGTCGACCACCGAGCACTTCGGTGACAAGATCAAGGGCAAGTCCGACTCTGCCGCCTCGTCCGCGCAGCCCCAGGTGAGAGCAACTACAACGATCTTTGGCGTGCACTCTCGCTGAACTTATTGTGCTCCAGAGCGAGAAGTCGTACGGCCAGAAGATCGGCGACACCTTCTCCAGCAACTCCAACGAGAATGAGGTATGTCACTCAGCGCGACATGTCGGCGCACCGATATCTGACGGCCGTTGCAGCCCTCGATGACGCAGAAGGCCAAGAACGCTGTTGGCCTTGGCAACAACTGAGCGGAGCGTCTCACCTCTATGTAATCGTCATTGTATCAATAGTCTTCTGGAGGACTCGAGGAGCAGTGTAATGATGTAACGATATCAGTAGACACAAGAAACTGGTTTCGACCTACACCACATATGTGGCATGTACTTATACCAAGCTGAGCGCGTTGTATTGGAAACAAACCGACAACACTATCACTCGTGCGTGTGACGTAGCAAACATGAGAAGCAAGCATGAGAACAAAGCAACGCTAGATCTAGAAGTAGAGTCAACGGGCATATGGGAGACTCTGGCGGCTATTTCCGTAGATACCCAACAGACCGCCGAGATGCGCGAGTCCTTGTACCAGGCTGCTGAGATGTGCTACCCGCACCGAACAGGACAGCCGAGATTCGCCTGTCTTCCTTAGTGATTGAGCTGTGGGCATCGGTGGCAGGTGCGGATGGCTGACTTACCGGTGGGGACAATGAACGACTATTAGGACCAATTCACAACGACCGCCCAACCTGGTGGGGACGACGAACGACTGGAACCACTGGCAAGTGACAACGACCGCGAAACTCTTGTTGCAATACGATCTATCTCCCTGTTCACGTTGTTTTGACGCTTATCAGACATCCCAACCTGTGGTTGACGTTGAGATGTCAGCCAAACGTCGCAGTGCACAAGGGCTAAGACACTAAGACGTACAGCCTGAGGAGCGGGCCGCTTCGGCTTTGGCTCGTCAGACGAGCTGTCCTGGGAGAACAGTCGCTATAGCAGAGATCAGTAGGCCACTAGTGAGGGAAATCAGCTATGTACCTTGCGTTTAAAGACACGCCGCCTTTGCTGAGGACGGTCGGTGCCCTCAGCCTCGTCCGGCTCCGTGTCCGAGTCGTCGTCCATGTTGGCATCTTCCTCGCTGCTGCTCGGGTCGTCCGTGCCCGTCCCAGTGCTGCTCGTGACGGAGTGCTCTTGCGTGGTCTCGATCTTGGGCTTGTCGGGTACAAGTCAGTTTGATCTTCGGCCCTCGCCACATGTCCAATACTTACCTTGGGTTTTACCACAGGCAGTAGCAGCATATCATCGACCTCTTCAACTTCACTGAGGCCGAAGTCGTCATTCCCGCCGCTGACCCCAGCTTGGTATTGGGTCGGAGAGGGAGGCTCGTCGTCGCTGTTGACCTGAGCCGGGTTTTGTGTCGGAGACGGCGGCTCTTCATTCCTCTTGCTCTTTCCCGGGGTGGGCTCCGAGTCGTCGTCGTCTGCGCCGTCTTCAGAACCACTCCCAAGGCTGTTGCTGTCGCCGTGGTCGGACTCCGCGTGGAGACTGACTTGGAGAGGCTCCTCAGGCACTGATCCTAACTCAATCGCTTGAGTCACTTTCCGCCTCGCATTCCGAGAGCTCTCTGGCAGGAATATATGAGCAGAGCACATGAGATCATCGAAGGAACTTACTCGACGACTCCACCACCTGCGTGTTCTCCCTAGGACGCTTCCGAGTCTCCGCTGTGTTGCCGTTGCCTTCCCGTTCGTCTGCTTCATTACATGTCAGTGAGACAATGATAATCGTACTTGCCAACTGCCTACCCATCACGTCATCATCCTCCGAGGTGTCACTGATGATCCCCCTGCCCTTAAGCTTGGCCGCGCCCTTCCAAGCTACTGCATGTAAGCGTGTGTACCTGGGAATCAGTAGACTGGACACCTACTTGGTTGAGTACTGCTATCCGCCTTTTCTGGCTTTGTCGTCGCTGATGGTGTCTTTGCTGTGGACCTGGTTTAAGCAATGCGAGACGCGCGCGCCAATGCATGGACTTACTTGCCGGGCCTTCCTGTCTGACTTCTTGGGTTCTGGGCCATATGTTAGTATGACAAGGCGGGAAAGTGCAGGGTGCTTACTCTCTGCAGATCCTTCCGCCTTCATCTTTTCTCTCGCATTATCAGCCAGTCTTTGCGAGTGGCGCGACGGACCAGACTCTGAAGAATACATGTGAGTATCTGCTAAGCAAGCAGAAGACAATATATACGAGGTGCATTTTTGTTTGCCTCGATATCGAGCCTACCGTCATTGAGGGGACTGATGGGAGTGGCCTTGTTCTTGACCCTCTTCGCTGTTGTCTGTATGCAATTTAGTTACTGAATAGTGGGAACATCAGAGAGCCTGAACTCACTACCTTGTCCTGGGGATGCTTTGTCTCCCAGAAGCTGGCGACGGCTGCCTTCTGCATGGTGAATTGGGTTCTGTGATTGTGAGCCAGTAATGAGATATTACCTTGGTCCTCGCCTCAATGACGATTTATTCAGTGATAAATTTCAGTGTTATGTCGTCAAGCATATCGGAAGGTAGATCCTGGTGGCCACCATACACCACATTTGCTGCCTGTCTCCTCAGCCCAAGCCATCCAATTTAAATCTTGGGAGTGTGAGACAGTGTAGGACAGGTAGTAGCAGAACTCACTCGTTGGATTACAACCAAGCTTCGCACCCCATTTTTCGTATCCCAGCTTGAGGTAGGCCGCGCCGCCGTAAAAAGTAGCAATAAGCCACACGTGCAGGATGGGATTGAAGCTTCAAGTTCGATACTGTGAGCCGCATCGTTGTGAGCCCCACAACCGGCTCGAGGCAATACATGAAGCAGACAGTTGCCGCGGTCAAACTTGCCACCAGACAATGGTTGAATTTATAATCATCCCTGTGATGTACCAGTGGTTGAGCACCAAGACTGGTACAAAGCGCGGGCTCTAGCAAGCGCTGCATCATCCTCGCGGGCTGCGAAACCGAGTCTACTCCCCCGCTATTGAGACCGCCTTGATACATTGCAGACAGTGATTGAGACTTGTACACAAGGAACAGGGTAAATTCAAACAAAAACAGAATAAAGATACAACAGCACGTGGTTACAACCCACCGTCCATACAAGTATTGTGTTTGTCGGCCAGGTCATTGCGCCCCCAAACTGGTGTCGCTCCGATTTGACGGCGTCCGCGTCATGTACGACGTGGTGGGTATCGTGAGTGTGTTCTGGTCTCGGAGCGTGCGCGCCTCCCGTGCGTGTGCGTGCGCCTGCCGCACGTAGGCGTATCGTTGGAACGGATTGAGGGCTTGCAGGAATTGTACACCAATCTAGTTGCATAGCGCGCAATGAGGAAAGTACGAAGGGATTGGATGGAGGGCAAACACCCACCGGGTACGAGCGCAGCTCGTTGAAGATGTCGATCGTAAGGTCGCGGACAGTCTCAGATTGGTGAAACAGCCCGAACGAAAGCGGCAGTAGTCCATTGATATGTGGCGGCATATATGCGAGCAACTGGACGCGGCAAATCGCTCGATTTTCCTTCGATGTCCATAAGTGCAGAGTAACTCACCTGAGTGACTTGGTCATAAGTCTGTACATTCGCAGCGATGGTGCGCATAATGAACTCGGCTTCTCCGTCAGACATTTTCTTGGCGTGTCGCAGCCGCCAGAGCTGGTGAATCACGTCAACGCCTTGGATTGGGTCGGTGGCGAGCATGTTCCGGAAATCCTACGTAGGAGACACACACAGTCAATCTCTTGCGACCCTGATGAGATAGCAGAACTCACAATCTGGTACAAGGTATAGCTCTCCGTCCTCCGCCACGCATCGATCCTGGCGGTATTCAGTGCGAGTTCCCGAGAACAACTCGCCTCGTCAAGGAAGCCAATTCCTGCACCTAGCCTACGCCCTTCGGGCCGCTCGGAGTAGGCCGCCGAGGGCCATCCAATCATTGTTGAGCCCATGTTGTCCTCTTCGTACCGTGCCGTAAGTCGCACGAAACGCATCAGATATTCGGTGAACCGAGCGCGGACATGCGCCTCGCCATAGTGAGCCGTGATAGCAGCGAGGATCTGCATACGACATCAGATACGCCCACTCCAGACGAAACGGTTGTGAAATACGCACGTCTTCCACAAAAAGGTTGTCTGGGCTGCTGCTATCTGCTTTCCCAGCTGACACAAATTCCGAGCGCGGTGCAGCGCCCGCATCCCTGCTTGTCCTCACGACGTCTTCATCAAGACCCGGACCGCCTTCTCCACGGAGAGTGCCTGTGCGCATGAGCAGCTGGGTCTGCGTGGTAGGAGGGGCAGCAGGATAGTTTATGAGGATGTCGCGCGACACGACCATGCGGCCCGTGCTGACATCACAGAGGAGGTCCCAATTGCCAGATGCCTCGAAGATAGGGTTCGTTACGCCAGCGATATAACCGCCCTCACTACATCAAGCCAGCGTCAGCAGTTAGGATGGGTCGCTGGACTAGAGAACGCACATGCTCTCCCATTCCTCCCTGCTCGTCAGGTTTGCGTACGGGAAGGCGCGCTTGATGAAGCCGCGGAGGACAATGCCGCAGCCACTTCCCAGAGCACACGCGGCAAGGACGTAGGAGGCCACCTGCCCGGCAGGTCGATGATGTCCAAGGAAAATGATTCGCTTCGCTGTGATGAGCGCGTTGAAGAGGACCATGATAGGCGGTGTCGAAGCACCAGACGTGTGGAGGTGTGGATGGATTGGCCCAGTGAGTGACGCAGATGTAGAAGAGAAGGTCTGCACCAGTTGAATGAGGGAGTACTGCAAGGCAATCTTCCGAGTGAGACAGGGCAAGGAAATGTTGTAGGAGTATACGCACGTCTCCGACCTCCTCCGGAAACGTTGAGAGGGGGACCTTCACTGGCAGGCGGTGGTCATTGAAATCAACCGTTGCCGGGAAAAAGTGCGAGTCTTTTAACAGGCTCATCGCAACACTCGCCGCATTCTGGACAGTCGGCAGCTCTTCCCTGCGACCGTGCGAGGAGGAGGACGCGTCCGTGGACGCCCTGCCGCGGTACGTTACGCCATTCTGCAGACCACCCGCCGCACCAGCCACCACCTGGTCCAGCCCGCTCTCGTTGCCGACCCACACGGCGCTTCCGTCTAATGACGAGAACGACGCGTCCGTGGGTGAGTACTTTTTGTCTCCTCTCCGTATGTCATTCTCGTCACGCGGCCGCGCCTGCAGTCCGTCATCGAAGCTGTTCTGACTTCCGGTGGAGGCGCTTGCTTTATGCCCTTGGCCTTGCCGGGTGGTGAGCGAGTATGGTTGTGCGGTTGGAGGCTCGCGATCGCCGAGGGCATCCTGGATGAAGTCGTCGAACTTCTCGAGGAAGACATCCTTCCGCTCGGACGTGCGCATGATGAGCTTCTCGTACCGGCTGAGCGAAGGCGCCATAGATATGTCCATGCTATTCACAGCGTCGAAGAGTCGCGCGAGACAGTCTTGTGAAGGGTTAGCGAAATAGTCGTCCAGAGCCATCAGCAGGACGGGCTAGAGACATACTTGTCAGTTAATGTTGTGTTCTGAAGCAACGCGCATACGTGCCTTGAATATCTGGATAAATGGATGGCGCGTGCATATTGCCATCGCCTTCACGACCGCACCTCTGAGAAGGTATGTGGGGAACACTCCAAGAGGTAAGAACATACACATACCTCCGCACTGTCTTGTCCAGCTTCGTCCGCACAAGATTCAGAACGTACAACAACTCCGGTTGCTCATCCTCCACGTCCGCACCGTTCGCATCCGGGACACCGTTACGCGTAGGCTCGAGCGCGAGCACGGGGGCGATGGTGTTGAAGTGCGTCTGGTTGAGGAAGAAGATGGTCCAATCCTCTGGCTGCCTCTCCGCGCCGTCTGGCAGCATCAAATTCGCGAGGAGACTGCGGCAGGTGTTACGACATCGGTGGAATGCAACCTCGTAGCGCTACTCACCCCTCATCTGTGCCCAGCGGCTGGGGGAACTGATAGGTCAACAGCGCTCCTCGGTCAATGTCGAAGTCGGCGAGGAGGACAAAGGAGCAGTGTTGAGCATCTCCGGACATTGAGGGAGCGGTAGTTCAGACTCCAGACCACCACAAGTCGCAGGCCCTATCACGAACACCTTGAACCCCAGTCGGAAGCCTCGGTTAAGAACAGGTAAAGCAGCGTGACTGCGATTATACGCCGTCAACAAGCTCAGCACGCAAGACAGCAGGATTGCAGGAAGCGACGGGGCTGAAGCATGGGCAGGGGCAAGGGGGGAGGTGGATTGTAACCGTAACGCGACCTGAACAAGATCGCCCGCACGACACGGCAGCTAATTTAGCGCCCATAAAGATCGCGATCGCGAACAGAACAGCGGGCGTCGTTGAATAGCCACATGGGTCATAGCCAACTGTATTCAGCAAAAAGCGGTCATAGCACATAGCATCTTGCAGGGTATAGAGCGACGGTGAATTGAATGTGCGTATATATCATGAGAGGCAGAGAGAATCAGGCAATAGAAAAGTGCAATGACTGTAGTAATTAATGGGTGGGGTGGGTGCAGTGTGCAGGCAGTCCGAGGAGCGAGCGAAAGTCCGAGCGAGCATTTCAAGAGGGGTAGAGCACGCGCCACGGCGCGAGCGTGCTGGCGTATGGTCAGATAATTAGAACAGGCGGGCCGCCCGGACAGATAGCGATAATGACACACATCCACAGTCCATTCAGCTACTTACAGACCGCGCACGCAGCCATCGCTATAGACCACCGTCCAGCACGCCCCGCACGTCGTCCACCTGCCCGAGGTCCGCCAAGAAGGGACACAGGTCCGTCAGCTCGGTGTCGTGCGGGTCGTTGAACCACGATGAGACGGGCACAGCGTTGTTCGGGTGGAAGATGTACGACGCGGGAGAATTGTCGATGATGATTGTGTCAGCAATTGGGCGACCGAGCTGTGACAGATCCTGCACATAATAAAACAAACAGTGGTGAGTGGGGACGGTGCGAGACTAGACCATCCGACAAACCTTCACATAGTTACCGCGGTGGTTGTAGCAACTCTCGCGGAACAGTCGGTGCGTCACAACGCGATGGATGTCCAATTTGTCAAGAACGGGGTCGGCATACTGGAGGGAAGGTTCATTTCGGTTCTTATCCGCGCATATGTGCATCACATCACGAACCTTGCTCAGACTAGCGGTGAAGACAACAACTTCGTAGATCTCGCCCATCTTCTTGAGGAAGTTATCCACACCAGGACGCTTGATGACGTACACATTGTGCCAGTGATACTCAATCTCGACGGGCACGACGTAGTCTGCCTGCTGTATCGACTGCACGCCGAGTCAGAACGTGTGAACATGCGAAACGTCGGCGTGCGACTTACCTTGAAACTACTGTGTACTAATGTCTCGTCCAGATCCAAAACGAGACATTTGCGTCCTTGATGTTTCGGAAGTATGGGAGGCAGCAACGGTCTTGGAACTCCATCCTACATCGGAGGGAAACCAGTCAGTCCGAGCAAATAGAGTGTAGGGAGCCTGGGAACGCACTGGGCCAATTGGGATGCCCGCTCCCCCGTTCATTATTAGTCGCTCCTCCTCATCCTCAATATCATCCAACGGTCCCTGGTCCTCCAAATCCTCGTCTTCCGTAAAGCTTGTTGAGCCGTCGCTCTCGGTGCCAGACTCCCGGCCCTGGGCGTGCACCAGGTCGTGCGGGCTTTCATCCCCTGTCGACCCTGGCGGCTGCACGGCGCCCGAAGTCATCCCTTCTGTCTCGTCGGGCGGCAAGAGAGACTTGGTCGGCGTCGGCGGGATAATCACCTCCGGGTCTGCCTGCAGCTCAGACTGCGTTGGTATTGTGAGCGGCTGCAGCGTCGGGGTAGACTCATGGGCACTGAACACGTCAGGCTGAGGAGGGTGCACAGGCTGCTCGGGGGCAGCACCCGGTGTAGCTTCTCCCGTAATTTGTGGCGGGGGCGGAAGCTCCTCCGCCTCCTTGGCCGCCTGCTTCTCCTTGAGTGCGGAGGTGCTGGCGGTCGATTTTGGCTGCTGCGTGGAGGGGTAGAGCTCGTCCTGGAGGCGAGTTCGCTGGGAGGGCCCGACGCAGGGCACGAGGACGTGGAAGAGCTTGACGAAGAGCGACTGCCTCGCCCTCCTCGCCTTCGAGCGCGGGGAGTCAGGCTGATCTGCGGTCGTGGACATCGTGTGTGTACCGTCAGAGGCAGACTTAGCGTCCTTGCGCCGGATGGAGTGCGTGCGTGTGTTGAGCGTGGTATCCAGCGAGCCCTTATCCTTCTCCGGATCCTTATGTCCGTCGGCAGCATCCGTGCCAGAGCGGCTCGTCGTCGGCTGAGAGGACTGGGAGGGCGTCGGCGCGTGCGGTGGTGCCAGCATGGCGGAGGCCTGGCCCGGGCCAGTAGCACCTTCGGTGGTGGGGTGTTCTGCTGGGCCTCCAGCGGCGCCATTAGCGGCCGCGGGGGCGGCCACCCCGGGCTGGTTTTGGTCATGAGCATGGGTCGTAACAGTGTTTTGTGGTGGAGTTCCCTCTGCAGGCTGCGAACTGGCTGGCTCTCCTCCCAGTTGCTTTCCCTTAGCGCCCTGTGACCGCGTCAGTACCTGGCATACAGCGACGCCGGCAGGGAGATACTACGCACTGTAGAACCTGGATCGTCCGTCGAAGGGGGCGTTGCCATCAGAAGGAGCGCTGCAGAGGGCAGTTGGGTATGCGAGAGGGAGAGCGGAGGAGAACAACGTCGAGCCGCCTTAGGTCGGCGCGTTGCATCGTGTTTGCGTGAGAACGGCCGCCACCTTATATGGCACCTGCGCGCTCGATACTCTAATTCGGCACAACAACCACCCCCATTACACAATTCTATTGACAGGCTCCAGGTGGCCCGCGATATCATCCCCAGACACAGCACCAAACCGCAACAAACGATGTGATCACAAGAAATACAAGCAACGAACAGTGTGCACAGGCTACACGACAGGCCCGGCCATGCCGCCGTCCCCACGAGCATCCCAGCAGGGCAGATGCCGCAAAGTCGACTTGATGCTACTTATCCCAAAGAAGGATAGCGCAGGGACCGCACTCAACGGTCAATGACATCGCAATCACGTTTACAAAGGGTTGATCCATGCCATGACAGCCAGCTCAGCTACTTGAATAGGGCATCCACGACGCGTGTCTTGTGCGATTGCAAAGGCTGTGGTGGTTCTCTGGCATGCACCACAAACACCGTTGCGTACCACACGGGCGCAAAGCTTCCGTGCCGCCTCGAGGTATTGCATGAAGAACCGGAGCAAGGAGGTCGCGCGCTGGGAAGAACTTGTCTTTCGGGGTCGTGCAAGCTTGAATGCCGTATGCATGTACGGAACCAAATGCTCTGTACGAATGACTGAACGCGTCAGCAAGCTTGAATCATGGCATCCGTTCGTGAATAAGCAGATAACAGTCCGCGGAGCATCCCATCCGACCGAAGGTACATCCAGATGCGCTCCCAGAGGTGAGACGGACCCTGCGTGGATGTTTGCGTGAGCTTGTGGTGTACAGTTAACAAGATAGTACGGAGTCGAGAAGGTGAGCATGCATATTGGAGGATCGGTAGTAAGCTGGCTGTACGAGAATTTCACCGTACCCGGCATGACGGCGAGCAGAGCGATGGTATTACTGTCGCGAGGACGCAGAGACAGGCCTCTAGACCCAGGCGTATTCGTCCGCGCGGACAATAGAGAAGAGGCCCGGCGCGCGAGGCAAGGAGAGAAGGATGAGAGCAGCGGTTTGGCAGAAGTCAGAAGACGGGCGGACAGCTGAGTCAGCGACCGAGAGCTGAGGAGCGGCAGGGCGCGGCAGGCGGGAGGTGCCGCGAGCCCCCTGCGGAGTTTCAATGTCCGCCACGCGAGGATTCTTACTAATACACGCCCGCCATCTGAAAGCCTACAGCGCAGATTGCCCATGTTGGGACACGCCCCATATCAGCCTCAGCAGCCCGCCCCGCCGCCAGCTGCTGCCGCCCCGCCGCCCGCCCCGCCCACGCTCAGCCCGACAGACCCCAATGGCCTCCAGCAGCACCCGCCCCCGGGCCACCCCCAGCCACCCGGCACCTTCCAGACCCTCCGCCTCCGCGACGACCCTCCCGCCGTAACACAACCCTCGCGCGGCAGAAAGCGCAAGTCCCCGCCAAACGCGAACGCCGACCCGCCGCCCCCGCCGCCAGCCATGCCCCCGCCCGTGCCCATCCATCCCCACCCTGGCCCGCCCCCGCCAGGCATGCCCCCCCACCTCCCTCCCCCGCACGCCCTCATGCCCCCACACCCCCACCATCTCGGCGCGCCCCCGCCCCTCCCGCACGGCTACCACTACCCCCCGCCGCCCGGGGACTACTCGCCAGGCGGGATGCCGCCCCCGGGCGCGCCAGGCGGCCCACCCCTCGACGCGCAGCAGCAGCAACCCGAGCAAGATCCTCAGCAGCCGGGCTCGTCGGGGCGCCCGCTTAGCCAGAGCAAGCGTGCCGAGCAGAACCGGAAGGCCCAGCGCGCGTTCAGGGAGCGGCGAGACCAGTACGCACCCGCCTTTGTCCCCCTCTCGCGGTTCATCCTGATCTGTCCCCCAGGCACGTGAAGGCGCTCGAGTCGCGCTCGCAGCTGCTCGACGCCGCGCTCGCGTCCGCGGACGAGGCGAACCGCCGCTGGGAGGAGTGTCGCGCGCTCGTGGACAGCCTGCGCATCGAGATCAACACCCTACGCGGCCACATAAGTGCGCTGCAGGAGGAGAACGGCAAGCTACGCGACGCGCTTGGGCCGAATGCACCTGAGGCTGCGGGCGTCGCGCCATCGGTGACCATGTCTGCACCTGCCCCTGATCAGTCGGGCGGCGAGAACAGGATCAATGGCGAGCGGGACGGTAGTACGGCAACACGAGAAGGCGAGAAAGACAGATGAACAACACTTCGACGCATTTCCTTTCGACTGGGTAGTGGGTCGTATTTTAGATAACTTCTCTTGTACCAGCTGTTATAATCATCGTTTCGACGTCCTACGGTTGGCAATATGCTCATTCTTGTAGCAACGAAGGTATGCTTCCGTGTGTCGAGGTTCAAACATGCCCTCCTTGCGTCACTGACGCGTAATGCACCTACCCATAGGACTGATATGTAGCACTCGCGTCGCAACACGACCTATAGATTCTCAATGATTCATCCAGATTCCGGGGAACTATAGAAGACTATAGATGCCTGGAAGCTCATTTGTCCCAGCGCGACCGGTCAGTAGCCGCGGTTGGCGTTGGCGACTGCGTTCGAAGTGGGAGGATGGGACGCCGGTGTGAACGAAAGGCTGACCGTTGCCAATCCCCTTGCCTCATGAAGCCTACACAGGATCCACATATCACCCGGATTCTGAGTGTGAGGCATCGTAGTTCGTCGCAGTCGTGCATAGGCTACTTTTGCAGAGCATTATCCAAAGTCTCCGTCAATGAACCATACAAGCAGGAATGCACTGGTCAGTGTCGATCAAAGCGTCTTCGGCTTCTGGCCCAGAGTCCGTCCTCGACCCGTCCCAAGCACCTTTCTCCGCTGCCTGATCATGTACGTGTAGAGAATATAAAGCGCTGTCCACAAGTCCGATCGTCAGTCCCACGTTCAGACCCCCATCCCAAGCCAGGAAACACTCACACGGCCACCAGAGCAGGAACATGAAGCACCTGAAGTCGTCGTGCAGCGTCTCGAGCCAGCGCGGGGTGGAGAACGGCCAGGACAAGGGGAGGATCCAGCCGTACCAGTCGGACGAGAGGAAGGGGATCGTCGGAGGCGGGGACGGGAGCGACGCGTAGATCAGGCCTGCCTCAGAGCCCGCGCCGGTGATGTAGAGCACGTAGAAGAGCGTGTAGCGCAGCCAGAGGAGGGGCTTCGACTCGATCTCGAGCAGCGAGCAGGCGTAGAAGCTGTAGCGCACGACCTCGGTGAGCGACCAGGAGAGTACCATGCTCGCGTACAGGGGGTGCGTGCGTGCCTGGGGTGAACATTTAATCGTGGATCTCTGCTGCGTCCAGCGGCCAAGAACGCACCTGGTCGAATTGCGCGGTGATGCCCCACACCAGGTAGAGCCGGCTAGCTACCTGTGCCGCGGTCGTCCCGACCGGGCTGCGTACCCATCCCAGGAGCGCATGCACCACCTCCAAGATCGCGAAGCTCTGCACGAACGACGTCTGCGGGCCAACCGCGGCATACGTCGTGGACGCACGTCGGATGAGCGGGACGAGCGCGAGGGGCACGCTCTTCTCCAGTCGGTGGCGCGCGCTGCTCAGCCGGGGGATGATAGGGAGGTACCGCGTGAAGGCGGCGGGAAGGAAGGTAGCTTGGACATCGGGCGACGCGCCGAGCCCTGTGAGGTGGACGAGGGTGGCGACGAGGACGTAGCCCCAACCGATGGTCGAGAGGACGTTGTACGCGACAAGGTAGTACTTGACGAGCGGTGCTGGACCTACATTCGGGATTCGAAGGGTTCAAGCTCTTGCTGTGGTATCATCCAGCTAGAAAAGAAACGAACCTCGCTTCGCCGACTTTTGGTCCAGCCGCTGTGCGCCCTGTCCCTTCTCTTTGGCCTGCGACATGGCTCTTGAGACGGTCTGTATGAAGCAGAGCACAAGCGGAGGCTGAGGATCGCGGCAGCAGACACGCGTCACAGACGCGCTAGGCGTCCCTCAATCGGGCGCTAGTCAAGTCCCCCAACCTGGATGATGGATCCTTCAAGTTCAACGCGTTGTGGGAGATCATTTCGTGGCACACATACAACACACATGCATCCTCAGCTGCAGACGACAGAAGATAGGCGCGATTAGGATTTGCGCTAGGTAATAACTGCGCGGCTAGTACAACCGAACCGGCCGGATGTTGAAGTCATTCCGTTGCCAGCTGCGAGTTTCACGTGCACGTTCCAACTCGAAGTGCCGCCAGTGCTGGCGTGCTAACCTTGCTCGTGTTGTGCATGTGCGGGTGAGCGTTCATGATCCCCCGATGGTGTGCAATGAGACATTTGTATTTCTGTGAGCACACTCTATCCCACTCGTCTTGTAATGTACACATACTACCAACACGGCTCAATTGACCACGATCTCTTCCCTCATGTACAAGACTACTAATCAGTAGCGACACTAATAGAAACTCAATGTTGCACAGCTGATGCGAGATTGGTGTCGCCGCTGTTGCGTTGCCAAAGAGAGACACAAGGGCCGCAGACGGCGCTGTCTCGCGCGCGAAGGCCGGTCAAGCGAGTTCAATTTGGGAGGCACCGTGAGCGCGGCACCGTCTGTCGATGTGGTGCCCCTCCCTCCCGCAGGGCCTACGACGCGCCTAAGTACGGTGCCATAGCGAAACATACGACGCACCGTTACAGCGAAACCCGCCGCGCTGCGCGCAGGCCCGTCAATGTGGCTGAGCCGCGTCGTGCGGTCCGTGGATTGGGACGGTGCGTCATGCACACACATGTCCACACCAAACGAGAGTAACTCTTTTTGGTCAGCAACGGAGACTAGTCCACACCACATGTCGCGAAACAAACATGCTACAACAAGCGTACAAAGGGGGGCCAACATTTTCGACCTGGGAGAGCCTTGCTCTTCGAGCAAGGGATATCTAAGTCTGAATATATGCCCACCCCATTCGCGCAAAGACAGTATCATCCATTGCGACGCATGGTACTCCTAAAACGACAACGACAACATTAACGTAGCTACGGTGAATCCGGTGAATCCTTGTTATTGACACTCAATGCGAAGCCGACTCGGTTCCCCGGATAGTCGTATATCGAGTACCCTATGGGGTGCAGGGATGAGCCTAGACTCGGATCGGCAACCGTCCGAATGAATCGCGTACTCACAAGACTTCAGGAACTCGTCCCCTATTCACATGCACAGACAATCCTCGTTCACACCCGCTGCCACACAGGTAGACAAAATAGCACTCACCGATGATCGCAAGGTTGTCTGGGAAACCCTGTCCGAGTGCGAGGATGCCGCCCACACAGTCCCTGCTCCCACCAAACGGCAGGACCCTCAGTTCAGAATGTGAGATGATGCGTAGGTGGATGTGCTCACGGAGACTCAGCCGAGGTCCGGCCGAGATTGAAGTCGGCAGGGTCAACGCCGTAGGCCCGTCCGCCGAAGCTGAGAGTCACAGCGAGGGGAGTGTCGCAGGGATACGTGTAGAAGCCTGCCCCGGGGAGGATGCGTGAGCGTGCTGCCGTGACTGTCGAGGGCAATCAACTTACCTGCGCCGTACTGTGCGGCATGTTTTGAGCCTGGGATCTGCGGAGAGGGGAGAACGGCGGTCTAGACGGACAACTTCCTGCTGTCAGGGATGCGGCTTACCAGAGCGTAAAGCCGAGATGCGACGTCATCCGGGACGTAGATCAACGTCGTGCCTGTGTCAATAGCTGCTGTCAAGTTGGCAGGGACGCCTTGCCATTGATTGATTGCTAGGTACTCGAGCTCGAGAGACCAATACGTCTGTCACAGACATCAGTTAGCGTCCATCTGCATAGAGAAGGGCAGAGCAAACTCACGCGTGACACGACGGGACTCCATGTGATCGGTCCAATCGCCTTCGTAGTATCGAAGCACCCAAAGCACACCTCACCACCGACCGTCTGGTCCCTCTGCAAGTGCACCGCAAACGCACCACCCGCGACCTGCTTCGACATCATCAGATTCTCGAAGAACGTAGGCTGCTTGCTCTGCGCGATGCTCCCGAACGCCAGTCCCAGCAGGCCGTCGGACGGGGCGTCGTAGAAGTCCTCCGATTCGCTCTTCACCGCGCCGAACGCCTGCTGCGCAACGGAGAGCGAGCCGACGCTTACCAGGTCCTGCGCGAGCGTGCCGGAGACCTTGCCCGCGCCGTAGGAGACGGAGAACCGCTGGCCGAAGTTCCGGTAGGAGGTGCTGTCGTATGAACGGAAGGGGTCACCGCCGCAGGTTCGGCAGCCAGTGACGGGCACCCAGAGGTCTGCAGAGCCAGTGTCGACGTCGACGGTGAGGCCTTGGCCATGCGAGCCGAACTCGAGATTGCCGTAGTATAGGATGTCCATGCCACCGGCAACGTCGTCCGTCAATGGCATCTGCGCCGTACCAGGAAATTGCACGATCGGTTGCGGCTGATCCGTGTCGTCGTCCATCAAGGGCAAGAGGAGGAAGTGCGTATGAGACACCGCGAGAGTAGCATTTCCCGTACTATTACTTGCAGTAGTCGTGTTGGTGCTCGGGCGGGCCGTACCTGTGGCGTTGGCATTCCGGGTAGTATTAGTGACCGTCGCATTCGTACTGTTCAGAGCACCGATGAGCGGGTGAGTGAACGGCTCATATCCCTTCTCTGGATGCGCGTCAGGGTTCAAACCCATGCCAGAAAGAAATTGTTCTGCGTTCGCGTATTTCCCGAGAAGTCCGTTCAGCTCATCTACCTGTTAAATACTTGTTGAATGAGCCTGCATTCGGATATACGGTAAGATGAACGTACCGCATAGGTAGGGTCGAACACATGTGGGCCGTCGACACTGCGCTGCAGAAGGGGTCGGCCAACAGAGCGTTTGATCTTCATCACGTAGCTGCCCGTGCTGTTCGCCGTAGGAGAGACAAAGGGACTGGAGTAGCAGCTCTGGACCAGAAAGAAAAGGGTGGCCAGATGGCCTGCACAGAACCTCATCAAGAGGAGGCGAGATCAGAGTAAATGCACCGGGCAGGGAAACATGGGTCCGCTTGATCCGTCAGCTCAGTCGGCCTTAAGAGCTTGCGTAGAGATTGGGCTGACAGGAGGCTGTAGAACATGACCGCGACGAACTGGGCCTGGGCGAAGCCTGGGCTCGACATTCGGGATTGGACTGAGTTCGGAGGGTGCAATGTAGCATGGCAGCCGCCACAAGTGACAACGCACAGTGGTAGATCTGGGATCTGGGGAAATCGAGATCGGGTGATGGCTGCTACTAATAATCCCATGTCTCAGACTTCAGTCCGGCTCTTCAAGTTCCCCCGAATGCACAACAAGCCCCCGTGCTCTGAGGGCTGATATCGTATGTAAGCTGGCTGTGAGGTGCATGATCCGGCTACAAATGCGGCGCGCTACTGGCTAGCTTCCTCTCTCACTACTCCATCCTGACATGGAGCCCAAGTGGAAGAGCCTAGCCGCAGAGAAGAGGCAACGCCTCGCTGACGCGATACCGAAGGAATGGGTACCCTCGTCGATCCCTGGGCCACAGGAACTGGACGTAACAGCGTTTCCGAAACAGAGTCGTACTCTGTCCGGAAAGGAAGTAAAGATCACCGAAGTAACGGACGTGAATGCCCTGTTGAAGAAACTTGCGATGGCAGAATGGTCCGCAGTGGAGGTCACAACTGCGTTCTACAAACGTGCTATAATCGCGCATCAGCTTGTAAGACTCCATGCTTTCTGTGATTCATCTAGCCTGACAGGAGGTACAGACGAACTGCTTGACTGAGGTCTTCGTCGAGACAGCCCTTGCGCGTGCTGCTGCACTAGACCAGTACTTGAAGACTAACGGCAAGGTGATCGGACCCCTGCATGGTTTGCCAATCTCGTTGAAGGACATGTTCAATGTCAAGGGCGTCGAAACTACTGTCGGTAGGTGCCGAACGTTTCTGTTGCAATACCGAACTGAGCAATGCGACTTCAGGCTATGCTTCTTGGGTTGGCAAGTATGCTCAAGAAGATGCGGTAATCGTAGAAGCTCTCATCGAATGCGGCGCAATCCCGTATGTCAAAACAAGTGTGCCTCAGAGCGCAATGGTAATGTACAGGCAAAATGTGACGTCCTCCCTGCTGATGATGAAGTGCTACAGTGGACTGAGACGCACAACCTACTGTTCGGTCGCACGCTCAACCCATACAATCGTTCCCTCACGAGCGGTGGCTCAAGTGGCGGAGAGGGTGCATTGATTGCCCTCAAAGGCAGCGTTCTTGGTGTCGGCACCGACCTCGGAGGGTAGGTTGTGCGAGGACAATTTGGACGGACATGCTCAGAATACCTGACACACAGCTCGATCCGCATACCGGCGGTATACAATGGCATTTACGGCCTGAAGCCGTCGTACCACCGCCTACCCATCCACGGTTGCGTAGGCCCGTTGGAGGGACACGATTACATGCTCGCAGCACCCGGACCGCTGTCGAGCAGTCTCAGCGGACTGAAGACGTTCATGCAGGCTGTTCTCGGAACTCAACCATGGCTGAAGGACCCCTCCGTAGTCCCCATGGAATGGCGCGAGAGGCTGTACGCGCTCGAAGGTCATGGGAGAGGGAAGCAGTTATGCTTCGCGATCATGTGGGATGATGACATGGTCAAGCCGCACCCACCACTGCTGAGGGCGTTGCAGATGACGAAGGATGTGTTGAGAGCTGCTGGTCACAAAGGTACGCCAATATCGACTTGTGGTTCTTCGTAGTTGATCATTTTGATATGAAGTGATTGACTGGCAGCCTTTACATCACCATGACTTCGTCAGGCTTGCCGTACGTTACTTCGTACCTAGCAGTATCATTCGTCTAACATATTCACGCCACATACAGAATTCTATCTGGCGCACCGGCTCGCGCCGCGACATTCAGTCTCACGTCGCCGAGCATGGCGAGCCACTCCTCTCTGGCATGGGCCTGGACGAAGACACCTCCCCAGGATTCTTCACCGGCGACGACGCGAAGGACGCGCACGTGTACGAGCTCTGGCAGATGCAGAAGAAGCTGTTCAACATGCGCAAGGCGTACCTCGAGCACTGGCAGAAGACTGTGAACCAAACGGGCACCGGACGGCCGGTCGATGCGATCATCTGCCCTGCGTCGGCGAGTGTCGCTGCGCCTCATGGGCAGAATCAGTAGGTTTCTTATCTTTGGATGCAGGAACTACATGTGCTAAAGGAGATGAAGGTACGTGAACTATACTATGGTGTGGAACACCCTCGACTACGCTGCGGCGGTCTTCCCCGTCACGAAGGTGGATGCGCAGGTGGACGTCAAGTCACCGCCACACCATTTCCACAGCTCCATTGACAAGGTGTACTATGAAATGTGTACGTGGACATGGTCCTCACATGATACTTGAATGGCCCTGACCCGCTTGCACTCAGATGACCCCAAGGTGTTTAACGGGATGCCGGTGGGTCTTCAACTGGTCGGCAGGCCGCTCGAAGAGGAGGCTGTCCTCGCGATGACGGAGGTTGTGGTCGAAGCCCTCAAGAATGCAGGGAAGGCAAGATTGTAACGCTGTGACTTGAGCAAATGTGTTTTGTTTGATCAATCGAAAGTGGGATGTAGACGACCGACAGCAGTGAGGATACAGTACTGAACTATCTCCATCTCCGCATCTCCGTCCCTCGCAAACTTCTGGGATTCTTTCACAGCATGTCCTTTGCTGCCACTTACTTCCGGAGAGGGAGAAAGGTTCGTGTTCACTCTGTATAATCCAATGAGTACATACCGTGTTTGTTCAATTGTGACACTCAGGGTGCTATCTCGGGTGACTCGGACCTTCGTTTGATCTGCCAAAACAGCTCGCAGCGTGTTTCTATATCATCCCATGAGTCTTCAAACAATCCACTCAGATTGAAGACGTTGACGAGGGAATAGCCTGAGCCACCCAAGTGCAACCTATCGGCAACGTCGCGTCGGCATTATGACGATCGCCGTGAAGAGCCTCGGAGAATAGTTCCAATTGCCTTTCGCTCTCGGTATCCTCTCAATGTCTCATCCCTGCTGTGGAATGCTGTTATGCAAAATCGATGTATCATAGACGTCTTCAATCTCAGGGATCCAACGGCCCAAAGTCCGAGACGTTCCGGAGAGGAGGGGACGAGATCGAGATCTATAGTCCAGTAAAGGTGCAGAGATTGCATTACTAGTCCACTGATACATGACATAGTATCGAACAATTGCAGCTCACATGCGTATGCCGGAGCGACCGGAAAATGCGTTTGCTGGTCGGATGAGCCGGAGGTCGTTCTGCGCTCGCCGCCGCTCTATAGAATAGCTTCGGGCATGCTTCGGTCGTCTTGACCGTCTTGCTGACTACCTGATGTCATCGTGCATCACGAAGCGCCAGGTCGCGGGATCGTCGCGGCCAATGAGTGGGCGGGGAAGCTCCCGTCCTGGCGAGTGACAAGGAGAGGACGCTCCCGACGATGAACGAACTGTGGTCGTCGATCCCGCGTCCGGAAGTCAGGCTAGACTCCGGGTGACCCGGGAAATGACTGAATCCGAGCGGTTCGCAATCCGCCTTGAGTGTAAAACACCAGTCGGCGTAGGTTCGGGTGGTTTGCGGGACTCGGACGAGCTGCAGCACCGCTGTATAAGACGAGGGTCGGGACGCCAGGTATACCAGCACTTGCAGAACAACTCCCTGTCATCCAGCTACCAAAGCAGCTCTATACACCTTGCAACATGCCTTCGTACCTCGTCACCGGAGCTAGCAGGGGTATTGGCCTTGCGACTATAACACAGCTTGTGAGTTTGTTCCTATAGTACTGAAGCATGCAGTTGCTGACGGTCGTTCGATAGCTCCAAGACCCGAAGAACTTCGTGATCGCCGCAGTGCGCAATGCCGAGTCTGAGAGTATCAAGAAACTGGCAAGTGAATACCCCAAGGACCGGTTCGCCGTCGTAAAGCTCGACTACGCCGACTACCCCAGTATCGGCAAGGCCGCAGAGGACGCCGCCAAGATCCTGCCAAATGGACTGGATTACTTGATTAGCAACGCCGGTGTATCCTATCAGGAGAGCGCGAGCTTCGAGTCGATGTGCGGCGTTCACACATCCGTCGTTCTGAGTCCACGTCGCTGACGTCCGCGCTCTCGCATTTGTTTTGATTTGCAGCGACCTGAAGGTCTTCGAGGAGGAACTGCGCATCAACACCGTCGCGCCGATCGAGGTCGTCCGCCAATTCCTCCCCTTGGTGCGCAAGAGTGCTGTGAAGAAGGTCGTCTTCGTCAGCACCCTCAACGGTTCGCTCGACTTCGCCCCGAAGGTGGCGACACTGACGATCACCTATGCGATGGCCAAAGCGGCACTGAACATGTAAGTATCAAGTCACATCGCACATGCGCACCTCTCACACGCTGGGAACCATATAGACTTGCTCGCAAGTGGGCTGCCGTCCTGTATAAAGAGGGTATCACCACAGTCGTCCTCCACCCTGGTGAGTGTACATCCAAATCAGACTGATGGGTGAGCACACAACGCTGACGGCGCGCCAGGCTGGGTCGAGACTGAGCTGGGCCTGACCATCAAGGATTGGTGGGCGAAGGTCAACCCGGACCTCAAGCCCATCTCCGTCAAGCAGTCCGCGGGGGACGTCCTCCGCGTCATCTGGGATGCTCCACTCGAGGAGCAGATCAAGCTGTACAACCATACCGGGGCTGTGTTCCCCTGGTGAGGCATCGGTATTATTGCGCCTTGTCCTCGAAGTCCATACCTTGGCTGTATGAATGATGCAATCTCGCCGACGATGTAATTTATGTTTTGCTCTGGACACCCTGTGGGCGGTCGAGTTTGTCGAATGCCACCGATGGCGCGGTAAACCTTGGACGTTTGGGTCATCGATTTCCTGCGAGAGAACATACCGCGCATCCGACGACGCGGGTAATAAGTGGTCCTCTCGCGCAAAGTGACCAAGGGGTGAGGATGCCGTCGGCCGACGAACCACAACCGCGACCTACTCCCGTCCTGCTCGGGCATCAGCGAGAACGAGACAGACATACCGAGCAAGTTCGATACTCACATGTATGGGGCGCAGTGTGCGTGCAGACAACGGGGATTGCAATTGAGGACGATATGCATGTTCCAACAGAACAGGAATGGCTGCGGCGGCGAGTGCAAGATGAGAAGTCACAACGAGAAATCAGAACTTCATTGCGTGCTCACATTCCCTAGCAGACTCCGTCCACGAGACCAGCAGGCCTCCAACGTCTCGTTTTGTGCGAACGTCAAACTGGTCATCTACTCATTCTCCGTGGGCCACGATCCATATTGAACGGAAATTCTGTATGCCGGAGTGACCGGGATACGTCTTTCGTGTTCCGCAGGCGCCGGGCGTCGATCCGTACTGGCATCAGCTAGACATGGCTCGAGAAGTGCACAGTCAACGTTCGGGCATGGTTCGGTCGCACCAACGTGCGGTTAAGGACATCATACGCGGCCCTTTCGAATCCTCCAGAATCGTTGCTGACTGTCCTTCCTTCCTTCAGGACCTGGATAGACTCTGCCGCTGACCAATACTTTGACGAGGAGGCCCCTCTGAAACCACGACGAAGCGCCGCCGACACGCCAAGAAGTCAGAGTAACCGCCCATGAATAAATGATGCAGGTCCACGTCGCCTCCTTCATAGACGTAGGACTGAGCGTGCACCCCGAATGATTCGGTCGATGACTGAAGGAGAGGCACAATCCGCCTCTACCCAGCACTCGGCGTTGGGCTCGGGTTTACGAGATGCACTGGAGCATCACTGGCAGGGTATAAGAGCGAGGCGGACAGGACGAGGTAGGACAGCACTCGCAGAACAGCAAAACAATCCTCAACTCGAATCAGCGACCTAACGAACTAAAATCTCATAACATGCCTTCGTACCTCATCACCGGAGCCAGCCGAGGCATCGGCCTCGGAATCGCCACCAAGCTCGTGAGTCCATTCCTGACACCCCAAAGCACACAGACCTAGGAATCTCACCGCCACTCGATCATAACAGCTCCAAGACCCGAAGAACTTCGTCGTCGCCGCGGTGCGCAACCCCGCCGCGGAGAGCATCAAGAAGCTGGCGGGCGAATACCCCTCGGACCAGTTCGCCGTCGTCAAGATCGACTACGCCGACTATGCCAGCATCGGCAAGGCCGCGGAGGGCGCCGCGAAGATCCTGCCCAACGGACTGGACTACCTGATCAGCAACGCCGGCGTGTCCCTCCAGGACAACCCGAGTTTCGAGTCGATGTGCGGCGTTCACTCACCCGTCGCTCCGAGCCTCCGTCGCTGACGTCTGCGTTCTCGTTTGTGTTGTGGTTCGCAGCGACCTGAAGGTCTTCGAGGAGGAACTGCGCATCAACAGCGTCGCGCCGATCGAGGTCGTCCGCCAGTTCCTGCCGCTCGTGCGCAAGAGCACCGCGAAGAAGGTCGTCTTCCTCAGCACCATCCTCGCCTCCATCGAGTTCGCCCCGACCGTCGCCACGCTCGCGATCCCCTACGCGATGACCAAGGCCGCGCTCGACATGTCCGTATCCAGTCTCCCCCACCGCGCACCCGTACCGTTTCTCTGACACACCGCGCTCGTCAGCCTGGCCCGCAAGTGGGCTGCTGTCCTGTACAAAGAGGGGATCACCACCGTCGTCCTCCACCCTGGTAAGCACACTGCCCGAGTCATGCGCGCGCGAGCAGGGCTGACTTCGGCAGGCTGGGTCGACACGGACTTGGGCGCGGGCATCAAGGACTGGTGGGCGAAGGCCAACCCGGACCTCAAGCCCATCTCCGTCGAGCAGTCCGCGGAGGATACCCTCCGCATCATATGGGAGGCCCCGCTCGAGGAGAAGATCCAACTGCACAATCACGCTGGAGGCGTGCTGCCTTGGTAAACGGTTGTGTGCAGCGCGCTACCTTGCGGCGAGGGTGTTCACTGGGGGAGTGTCAGTTTGCCGGTGTACCTTCCTCACGCTTGAGGTCCGGCGACAAGAGGTAGACGTGTTTTGTATTAGTGATCCGTATATCACCAGTGTCAGTGTCCATGCCTAGAAGAGTATGTGTGTGTGTGCGAAACGCGGCAAGCTAGCGTTGCGATGCGGGCGTGTAGACGCGGAGCGAGTTCACCTCCCAGTACGCATTGACGAACGCTTCAGGATGATTGTCCACCACTGCAAGATCAGATCGCGTGAGCTACACCAAGCCATGCTCGGCACATGTGGGGAAGACGCACAGTCAACACACGACCCGCTGCATCCGCTTGTCGGGTACGCGTTTCCCGCCCAGTCACCCTGCACATATCTGTCAGCTCAACGACTCACCACAAAGGAGGATTCAAAAACGTACGCAGAATGTCAAGTCAAAGACAAACATATGCTCGTTGAAATGCGCTTCATAATCACACTCCCTCCCCATAGGAAAATGGGCCACGGGCGGGCCCCACGCCGGGCCCGGGCTCACTTCGCGCACCTCTGCGCCTCCCTTCACTTGATCAGGCACGCCCGAATCATCCCTAGCCCAGAACCAGCCGCGGATCCCGTCGTCCTTCGACCGCGCCATGACAAACCAGCCGCCGCGGCGCGCGTTGAGCGGCGCGCCGTACGACGTGGGTGGGCCGCCGACGCCGCAGCCCTGGTTGTAGTTCACGCGTGTGTCGCAGTTGGTGGAGAGCGTCGTGCCTGTATGCGCGCGCGAGGGTTGCGCGGGCATCACGCAGCCGGGGAGCGAGTGGAGGGACATGGTGTTGCCCACTTGGAGGTTCACGCCTAGCGGTGGGTGGGGCGTGGTGTTTACGCGGGGGTGCTGGGATGAGGAGGGCGGGAGACGTACCTTCGATGATGTCGATCTCACCGCCGGCGGGCCACGGTCCTGCCTGGCTGAGCGACCAGAAGGCGGGCCAGGTCGCGCAGCCCTCGGGCATGTGCTCGACGTCGAGGATGGTCACGGAGTCGGCGTACGCTTTGTTGGAGTGGATGCGGATGCTGTCCCGCCCGCGGGCGTTCGGCGCAACGCGGTTTGTGTGGTCTGCGCGCATGACGAACTTTGTGTCCGACGCTACGACGCGAGGTAAGGAAGAGGTCGGGTTTCAAACGACGGTGCGGACGTACCGAAGGACAGATTGGTGCGTCTGGCTGTCCACTTGTCGATGTAGTTGACGCGCCCATGCGTTGGGTCGTCGAGGCTCTCCCACATCCAGTGGTTGAAGAAGTCATTGCCTACATACTTGTCGGCGAGTGCGTAGCGGGTCCTGGGGCTGACGTTAGCTTCACCATGAAAACGAGAGACCTGTACGCACGTATGCTGGTAAGGATCATGGACGGGTCTGTACGGACCGACTGCGGCTGCAATGTAGGGTCGAACGTAGAGGAAAGCGCATAGGACGAAGAAGGAGGAGCAGGCGATGAGGAGGAGGAGCGGATAGCGCTGTCTTGGATTGGGCATGGCTATGTTCTGTGGGGGTGGGCGTCGGGCAACATAGCGGCTCAGCGCGGTGCAGTCAGGCCGTCTGTGTGTGGTGATCGCGAAAGCGACCTGCGCAGCGTCATGGCCGTCAAATTCATTTTGACTGATCGACCGCCAGTAGAACGCCGGCGCTTCATGCAGTCTCTGCGAAGGCGGCCCGGCATCCTGAGACTCTCAGAGGCTCCGAGTCAGTCTGCAGTCTGCAGCACAGCACGCTCATCATCATCATATGGGGGTCCCGCGGAACGACGGAATTGCCTCCAGACTGAACTATCACGACAGGAAGGATGCGCACAAACTCAACGGTGGGGTAAGTGTTGGCCCCAATGAACCAAGCACACGAACGCACTGAGCCAAGAACTGACTATGATAATAGCAGATCGCACTGCGCACGCTCGCCAGGAATAGCGGGCCAAGGATGCCATTGACATTGGCTTCACGGAAGGAGACACCCACGATCGAGGTTCCGCCCCAACATGCCACCCATTTATGGCCAGGGCTGTCTTGAAGCCCCGCGTACGGTGTCTCTGCGCTCTCGCGTTGCCTGCCCTCCGTGCACTTATACCCGCCGTCCGCGTGCGTCCTCCAGGCCCGCCCGCGGCCCCTGCCAACATGCGCTCCGCCCTTGCCCTCCTGGCTGCGCTCGCCTCAGTCGTCGCCGCGCAAGTCTACACCCTCGCGGACGCGTATGTCGGGAGCGAGTTCCTCGGCACCTGGACCTGGCAGACCATCGTCGACCCCACTAACGGCGACGTCAACTACGTCGACCTCGGCACCGCCGTCGCGCAGAACCTGACCTACGGTGCGCACATGCTCGCCCACCTTGTCGTCCCGAGCTACTCACGACGCGGTTATGGACACAGCTTCGCTAGACAAGTTCGTCATGCGCGCGGACAGCACGAACGTCGTCGCGAACGGCACCCGCGGCAGGAACAGTATCCGCGTCCTCTCCAACAGGGCGTACTCGGACTCGGTCGCCGTGCTGGACCTCGAGCACATGCCGCAGGGATGCGCTACCTGGCCCGCCTTCTGGTCGCTCAGCCAAACCGGGCCCTGGCCCGACGGCGGCGAGATCGACATCATCGAAGGTGCGCCCACACACCCCGAGTTGCTCTTCCCCGACTAACGCGCCCGCAGGCGTGAACCTCCAGACGGGCAACCTCATGTCCCTCCACACCTCCCCGAACTGCACCATGCCCGCGACGCGCACGATGTCCGGGGGCGTGACCTCCACGATCTGCGACGCGGACTACAACTCGAACCAGGGCTGCGGCGTCTCCGGGGCGCCGCTCTCGTACGGCGCGGACTTCAACGGCGCCGCCGGCGGCTGGTTCGCCGTCCAGCGCGGCGCGGCGACCGGCATCCGCGCGTGGTTCTGGAGCAGGCAGGACGCGGCGAGCGTCCCCCTCGCGGTGCAGTACCCCCTCGTCGCGGCCATCACGGGCGTGAGCCCCGATGCGAGCTGGGGCGAGCCGTATGCAGTGTTCCCCATGGACGCGGAGTGCAATTATGAGGAGCACTTCAATGCGCACCAGTTCGTGTTTGATCTGACGTTCTGCGTACGTGTGTTCACGGCCCTGCGTGAGGCCTCTGCTGACGATCCGTAGGGTGACTGGGCGGGGAGCGCCTACCCAACGAGTGGTTGCCCCGGGACATGCACTGATTGTACGTGTCTATCTATCTCTTTAGGCGGATCGCTCACCGTTGTTGCGCCGTCAGTGGTCAACAACCACCCCGAGGCATTCACAGAAGCGTACTGGGAAGTCAACGGCCTCTGGATCTACACGCCCTTCGGTCAGCCGACATCACCAAATCCCCCTTACCCTTCGTCGTCATAAGGTCAGAGCGTCTTGACGACTTGCGTTGCCCGCGCAGCACTGCACCGCGAAGGTCTCTTCGTGGAGACCGCTAGTCTATCTTTCCCGTCATTTCTTTGTGACTTTGATACGTGGATGCATGACATTGGATATGTAGGACCGAGCACATTGCTAATGTCACCTTTGTCGAAGTTTGCCCCGTCGGTTGCCAAGTCCATGCATACTACGCAGACTGAAGGATTGGCCACTACACGTAGATGGTCCAGGTCGATTGCTTCTGGACGCCGTGGGTAGTCTAGCAAGGCTTGGGGTCGTTGAGCAATGACTGGTCAGCCTGGAAATACTATTATACCCAGCATGGTATGATATGTAGATGTGCAAACAACTCTAGTGTTGGGACGACCAACTCGACCTTGCCTCCTCAGGCGCCTCCAGCTGTGGCGAACCCACCATGCCCTTCAGGAACTCCTCGCGTTTCCTCGACACAATCCTTGGGCCCCAACTCTGCCTGTGAATAGGCCTGTCTTCCTGCGTGTCCTCTTCACCACCGGAGTTGATGAACCGACTCAGGGCGTCCGTTACCTCGTAGCCGCACTCGAGCATCTCCTCCACCGCGAGCTTGTAACGCGTGTCGCCGAGCGAGACGCACTTGCGGATCAGCGCAACGTACACGCTGTGTGGGGGGACGTGGCCCTCGGCCTTCATCTCCTCGAGGTAGAAGAACGCGTCCTCGTAGTTCGCCTGCGTGAGGCACAGCGTGACGAGGCGCTCGTACGTGCGCTCGTCCGCGCGCACGCCCGCCGTCTTCATCTCCGTGAGCAGCCGGTCGCCGAGCTGGCGGTGCTGCGCGGCGACGCAGCCCGCAAAGAGCAGGTTGTACGTGTCCACGTCCGGCACGACGCCGAGCGAGCCCGCGGCCTTGTACGTCCCCATCGCGCGCTGCAGGTCCCCGAGCATGACGGAGGCGCGGATCACGACGTTCAGCGCGCTCGTGTCCACCGTCTTGCCCTCCTCGTGCAGCGCCTCGAGGTGGCTCCATGCCTCGTCGATCGAGTCGGAGTCGGTCGCGACCACGTCTGAGATGGGGATCGCCGTCTCGGGCAATGGTGCGATTTGGTGGCTACGCATCATGTCGAGCATCTTCAACGCGTCCTTGACCCGCGTCTGTTTGCAGAGCGCTTCGATTACAGGCGCGAAGTGGTACTCTTGCCAGATGACGCCTATCCGGCCGAGGACGCGGAAAGCGTCAAGAGCAAGTGTGGAATGGCCATGTCGACCGGCAGTGTGCAGGACTTGAATACAGAGACCCTCGTCGGGAGTGATGTTGAGTTCATGTACGACCTTTTGCCATGTCCGCAGGACACCCTCCTCCTGCCTAGGACTTCAGAAGAGTTTTGACCACAACCTCGCATGCGACGTACCCATAGTGCTTCAGCACTCGCGATGAGGCAGTCTACCCAGGCATCGGCCTCCAACCTGCGTATTGACGTTTCCTCAAAAGATTCTGCTAGGTCAACAGCAAGCCGAGGCAGACCGAGTGCACTGGCAGACTGAATGACCGCTCGTGCAGTTTTGATAGTGGGCGACAAGCCGGCAGCATGAATTTGTGCTAGACACTGCAGGGCAAGCTCCAGCTGGAGCATTGAGGTGTAACGCATCACTAGGATTTCATAGGTAACCTCGTTGGGCCTGATACCGTGGTCCTTCATTGTGTTTATGATCTTGATGAGGACCAACGATTCCGCATCCCGGCTGGCCTGTGAAGATAGTGAGCAACCTCATCAGGCGAGCGCCGTGCGCAAGTGACTTCACCTCACATGAAGCATGTCATGGAAAATCTGATGGGTGGGCTGCACTCCGACGGCGAGCATGTCCTCGAACGCAGCCTGCGCCTCCTTCGCTGCGCCGATCGCCGCGCATGCAGCCATGATGTTTGCGTACGTTGTTGCATCGGGTTCGACGCCACGCTCCTTCATAACGTTGCAGGTTTCGAAGACCTTATGCCAATTCTCCCCGTCCACGAACTGCGCGATTTGCATATTGAAGCGGGCGACGGTCGTACCTTCCACACGCCGGTAGCGGACGTCGGGACGGAATTCATAAGGTGTGGGCTTCTGGCCACCCTTGGGATTTCTCGCCTGTGCAGTAGCAGCATTCCTCTGCTGCCGTACGCCTTTCCGGATCGTCTGCATGAGGATCAGTTAAGTGACTGAATATATTGCGTGCGCACCTGTGAGGCCCGACGACGAGGCGTGTGCGCTGCATGCTTCCAGTATAGTCCGCGATGCATGACGTTGGGTTGTCTTCAGCACATGTCTGGACGAGGAGGCCAGCATGTTCGGCCAGCGGGTCACTGCACCGGCCAAGCGTTAGCGCACAACTCACTTTTCGTCCCGCGCGAACGCCCGGCTCGGCGACTGCCGAAGCGCGTTGTTACATTTTGATGTCCGCTCAATGGCGGGGCCACGCCTCGTTGCGGTCCTTCTGACTCCTTCAACGGCCGCCTACTGTCGGAGTCCGAAACACGCGTTGTCTCGAACCGCTCCCCTGCCACAGGCGCGACGCTGCGCGACCCCCCTATTACCGGTCTTCTTGGATACCCAACACCATGGTCAGTTCGATATACTTAAGGCTGGCCGCACGCGCATGCTGATGTGCTGTAGTTCTACTCAGAGGCGATTCTGTCGCGGCGGGGACCGCTTGCCAAAGTATGGCTTGCAGCACACATGGAGCGGAAGCTCTCCAAAACACAGACACTACAGACAGACATTGGGCAGTCAGTCGGTATGTGTAACGATCCGTCATATTTATTCTGTGTGGGCCTGCTTACAGGGCTCTGCAGAGGCGATCATGGGTCAGGAGGTTGAAGTCATGGCCCTCCGGCTCAGCGGACAGTTGCTGCTCGGTGTAGTGCGGATATACAGCAGGAAAGCCAAGTATCTCTTGGATGACTGCAACGAAGCATTGCTGAAGATCAAGATGGTGCGTCACAACCAACACAACCCGGCCTACGCTGCGTCTCACTCCGGGCACAGGCGTTCCGACCTGGAATTGTAGACATGACGGAGGATCAACTTGCCGTCAACCGCAATGCTATCACGCTGCAGGGCAACCAGCTCGACCTCGATGCTCTCATTCCCGACATCAACTGGGACATGGATTTTGATGACCAGATTATTCAACCCGGAGGGCAACACATTGCCAAGGCGGCCGATATCACACTGGCCACCGCCGAAGACTACCAATTTGACTTCGATGACCCAGGTTATGGGTTCGATCTAGGTCCCTCCGATGGTATCGGGTCACAGGATTACGAGCCGCTGGGAATCGACTTCGGAGAGGGCACAGTCGACGTCGAGGAAAGACGGTCAGAGGTGGAGGACGACAGCATGAGTGTTGGTGTTGGGCGAGACGCCGCGCGATCAGTTAGCGGACGGGAGTCGATGGACGCATTCTTCGGCAGACCAGGTGCGGACGTCGATCTTGCCTCGGTACGGAGCAGGGAGGCATCGGCACGACCGTTCGACGACATTGACATGGATTTCGGGGGCGATATCGACCTTGGGATTAGCTTCGACCCTATGCCCTTGCCTGCTCCTGAGCCGATGCAGGTCGACGACCAGGCGCTAACACCACAGACACCACGTCTGACGCCGTCGAGAGCTTGTGAGTGTTGCTTCTACCTATCGACCATGTGAGGTTCTAACCTGACGTTATTACAGCATCACCTCTCACGGAACCTCCACAAACTCCTCCACCAAACGTCGAGCTGACACCGAGAGTGGAACTCCCAGAAGCGGGTAAAGCGCCACGGAAAAAGAAGGAGAAGAAACAGATCATCGACACCGTGACTGAGCTCGCACAAGGCCCCGGTGCACGCGTCGGACGTGGGCGCGGAGCGGGCGTCGGTTCACAGCAAGTAGACGTGAGCGGCATCGTCACGGAGCACCATTACCTCCCCGGCTCGTCTGTTGTCATGCGCTTGCTTGAGATTCGGGAGGATCCCGTCGCACACTTCCTTCCGACTAGGACGACCCCCGCGGGTACCTTCTTTTCTGCGGCCCCTCCGGGTCTCACGCCAGAACTTGCAGAACTGTTCATACGGCCAGTGCAGATCTTCTCGGCGCCGAAGCGTCGCGGTGAGCAAGCGGAGAGGCCTCCGAGCAAGAGGGCGAGGGTTGAAGGGACTCCCGCAGCGGAGGAGGAGGTCGAGCAGGCTCGTCGGGCAAGCGTGGCACCCAGTGTTGCTCTTGGTAGTGATGTGCTCCGACGACCGAGCGTCGCACCCGGAGACCTAGAGTTCGACAATACCGGCGGTGTCGAGGACTTCCAGCTGCCCGAGTTCCAGATGGACATGGGCGCGGAGATGCTACCGGAAGCGGGCCGCGAGAAGTCTGCTGCGCCGTCGGAACTGACGCGACTATCGTCGCTGCCACCGGAAGTACCTGAGGCGGAGGGCGAGGTGTCGTACGCAGATGTAACGTGCCCAATCGCCATGTTTGACGATCGGACGTCACAACAGAGTCAGACGGAAAGTCAGGCCAGTAGTGATGATGGCAAGGGGTACAGCAAAATTACTGTCAAGGCTCTCACTGTCATCCGTAAGGAGTTACAACCCACTCCTGGACAGGAGCAAGAGAAGGTCATGAGCTTTAGACAGATGTCCCAGAAGGTATGTCTGCATACTTCATGACAATGACCAGAGCTCATGTATGTCCTGTAGGCGAGCCGTCGTGCGGCGTCCTCATTCTTCTTCGAGTTGCTGGTCCTGGGAACCCGTGACTGCGTAGAACTCTCACAGGCAGCGCCATTCGAGAACATCGAGGTGCGAGCAAAGGACAAGCTATGGGAGCGCCAGCGGCATGGATCTGTTGCACCGTCCATGGTATCAGGTCTCCGCCAATCCTCTGCCGTGCCGTCTCTGTCTGCATCACCGCGACGACAGGGCTCCGTCGCCCCTTCCATTGCATCGGCGTTTGGTCTATAGTGTAGATGCGTCCATGGACTGTTCTCTACTTTCTAACCTTATTTCTCTTGACTTCTATCGATATAATTCCTCGCTATACTCTTGCGTATCGTTATGCCGTGTTGCTACGACCTTTCACGACCTCATTTCACTTGTATCTCTCGTAGTGTCCCAGCCACAGTCGATGTCGCAGCCTGTCGTGTTTTTGTCGCTTGTTCTGCCTATCGTCATTGTATCGTTGAAACTCAGTCAGTATCTTAGGCCTATACCTGCTGTGCCTTGTGATCCAGACGTTGTGAGCCAATTGTGAGCCCTCGAACTTAGCAAACGCGTCTCCACCGTGATGCTCTAATACACGTGATCGCGACGCGTTCATGAGACGCGTCCAAGTTCAACTTGAACCTGACCGCCACCGACGCAAGACCGCACGACACCTCACGTCTGACGACGATTCCACGGCAACAACGACTCACGATAACGACACCATGTTTCCCAGAGGACCGCGGTTTCCAGCAGCCAAGAGTGAGCGGTGTCCCGCAGCTTCGTAACGTTTGAGGCTAACGCGCCATGGCTAGTACCTGAGGTCCCGGGACCCAATGCATATAATCCTCAAGGTGAAATGCATTGTTGTTTCTGATTGTACTCTATTGACGGACTCACAGATCCGGAATACGATGCATACAAACGAGGCGCATTCCTCGAGAAGACGAATCGTTTCTCCAAAGACAAACCGTCAGAAATTCCCGGTAAGGTTTCACGGGATGTGACCTCTACAAACTCTCAGATCATAGCCTAGGACCCGGTGCTTACAACGCAGATGCGCCCTTAGCAAGTGGCAAGCCTGGCGGCAGCGGCCAGAAGACGTCAAGTGCCGATCGGTACGCCGTCCTTCAACGGAAACTCGAAGACCTGGAACGCGTACATACAGAGGGTAAGAAAGCTGTAAGTTGAACAGTAACTACACCAGGAGCGAGCGTTGACACGAGACATTGGAAATAGCATGGCGCGGAAGTCGAACGGCTCAAGCTCGAACTGAACCGCGCACAAAGGTCGTCCACAGAACACTCCGAGCGCGCCGACAAGCTGAAGAAGCAGAATGACGCCCTCGAGAACAGGGCTCAAGAGCTGAAGAAGACGAGCATGACGGAGCAAAGCGAACTTCGTGAACTGCGTACAAAGCTGAAGGCAACGGAACATGAGCGCACCCAGCTCGCTGCAAAGCAGGGCGAGGCGGGCGAGACGAAGAAGGCGCTGCAAGCCGCAGAGGCGCGGAGGAAAGACGATGTCCGCGAGCGGGACAGGAAGATCGTAGAGCTTGAGAAGGCTCTCGCCAGCGAGAAGAAGAGACGTGAGCTCGTGGAGGGGAAGCTCACGGAAGTGAAGAGCAGGGTCGACGCTGAAGTTAATGATGCCCGTGCGGCAACGACTCACCTCGAGACGCAACTCGAAAGCAAGAAGGCGGAAGCACACAGTACTAAAGCTGCCCTGGACGATGCCAAGGTCCACGCTGCCGAGAGAGAAGAAGAGCTGTTGAATATGCTTGAGCAACACCGAGCCACTCTTAGCCGCGTCGCTCATGAATACGGCCAGCTCGCATCGCGCAGTGTGTCGCAAACCGCGCACTCACGCATCAAGCACGAAGCCGATGTCCTCAAACTACGCGTTCACCGGCTGGAGCGCAAGCTCGCTAATTCAGAAGGACAGGTTGTGGAGCTTGCCAACCTCATTCGGCAGACGAAGGACGAGAACAGCTTCCTTGCCACTCAGTTGCGGGAGGCACAAAAGGAAGTGCTGCGTTACGCTGGCATCCTGCGCGACACGGAGGACACTCACCTCGAAGACGCACCACTACATCCAGAGCTCGAGCAGGATGTGGAGCGCTTGGGTGCCGACCTCAGAGCAGCTGAACGGGCAAGCTTGGAGGCAATCCGTTCAGACCTCCACACTTGGACACAGCTGGACCGCCTCAGGGCGGACGCCCTCCTATTGAACGCCACCGTGCTCTTGAAGGCTGTAGACGAAGCCGACGAACAAGTCCGTCAGCGCAGCTCTGAGCTATCCGCTTCGGAAGTAAAGCGCGACGAACTGCAGAAGGCATTCGATATCATGCGTACACAGCATGCCGATACGCAAGAGCAACTCGCACGGACATCTGCTGCCTGCGATGCGGCCAAGACAGCGGAAGCCGCGCTCCGGAAGCAGCTCGAGGATATGCGTGCGGCGAACCTCGCGGAGCTCTCCACGGCCCAACAAGCATTGCAGAAGGAGAAGGACACGGTCCGCAAGTTCGCGACGACGGTGCAACAGCACCGAGCAGCGGAGGAGGCGCTACGCGCTGAGATGGATCAGTGCGTCGTGCTGGCAGACCATGTCGTAGAGGACATCACTGACATGCTCGTTTGACCCAACTGGTGCTTCGTGCCCTTGCAACTCATAGGATGTCGGCGGAGCTTGCTGAGGCAGAGCGCTACCGCGAAGCCTATGGACAGCTTGTCGAGGAGGTCGATGCACTCGTAGCACGGAACGCGTTAGCAGAGAACGAAGCGAGCCGCTTGAGCAAGTTCAACGCGGAAATTGTGGGACATAACAACCCAGCGCAGCGTATAATGTACGTGGATAGAATCAGGAGGGAATTGCATGAGACCAAGCAGGTAAGACTGCATAACGTTTGATGAGAGCGAGTTCGGCTCACAAACGACTCTCAGGAACTCCTGATACTCACACGCGACCGAGATGCGACGCAAGCTTACAACGAAGACTTGCAGCACGAACTCGACCTGTATAAGTCCGTCGCTGTTCCTCCGGAATTGAAGCCGCGGACGACAGTGACGCGGGTGGAGAGACTGCAGGTGCCCTCTGCGAGCATCGGTTTGGGTGGCTCGCAGAAAAGCTCGAGCGAGCTGAACTCTAGGAGCACTTCGACAATGGCCTCCAACAGGAAGCTTGAGCCAATGCCAGAAGTGGACTACGATACGCAGGGAGAGATGACGCTGGACGAGATCCTGTAGAGCTGTTAGGCAGTGGTCTCGGATCTACCTTTTGATTTATCTTCGGTCGTGTATATTTATGTGCCTCCTAACCGCAGAGCGATATTGAACCACCCAGGGAGCCTCAAGCAAATACTGGTGTGAGAGTGAATGTGCGCGAGATCGTCAGGTCATATAACCCAGAGTACAACATATGACGGATCAATCTAGTACAGTGTACTTTTTAAGATGTAGAGGGATTGCATCCTCGAAGCCCTTCGACTTGACCCACGCTTTTGAGAACAGCCGGCTTTGATACCGGTAGGCACCGTCACAAAGGATTGTAGCAACAGTCTTGCCTGTAGAACGTCTTATGAATGGCACTCATCCGCGATATTAACCATACATACCAGGTCCGAGCTTCTGCGCGAGCTTATATGCCGCAACGACGTTCAGTGCCGAGCTCGCACCGAGGTAAAGACCTTCGCTGTCCAGGAGGTCGTACACCATTTCTAATGAGTCCGCATCAGGAATGCTCAGTGCACCGTCCAGATCCTTGACGAATGTCCCGAGGTTGTTCGTGATTCGGCCCTGACCAATACCTGAAAAGGTGTCAAGTCAGAGGAACTTACCCGGGAGACGCGTATATACGCACCCTCGGTGATGGAGGAACCATTTCTCTCCGTCAACTTCCCGCCACTGCTCACATAGCTGTAGAGCACGCTACCCGGCGGATCCGCAAGCCAGATCTGCGTCTTCCCCCCGCTCTTCTCCTTCAAGTACTTCCCTGTCCCCGCGAGCGTACCACCCGTGCCCGTCGCGCAAATGAACGCATCCACGTTCCCGTCTGTCTGTTCCCAGATCTCCGGGCCTGTCGAGAGGTAGTGCGCCTTAGCGTTCGCGGTGTTGTCGAACTGGTCTGTCCATATGGCGTTGGGCAGGCTCTTTGCGAAGTCGCGCGCCTGGTGGTTGTAGTTCTGCGGGTTCTCGTACGCGACGGCGGGTACGGGGTAGACTTCCGCACCCAGCATGCGCAGCAGGTCGATCTTCTCTTGACTCTGGAGAATTCATGCAGTGTCAGCCAGACTACGGAGTGCCGCTGCGTATCGTCGGACTCGCCTGAGTGTTGGGCATAAAGATTACGCATTTATAGCCCCGCGATCTGCAGACATGAGCAAGTCCAATGCCAGTGTTCCCAGCCGTGCCCTCCACGACCGTTCCACCAGCTTTAAGCCTGGTAGAGGCGTTAGCTATCTGTATGTATTCACGACAAGAGGGTTCACGCACAATCCCCGTTCCTCTGCGTCCCGGACGACACCTAGTGCAGCGCGATCTTTCACGCTACCACCTGGGTTCTGGAATTCGGCCTTGCCAATGATGTTGCAGCCTGTCTTCTCCGAGAGCTTCTTGAGGCGGATCTGTTCACAGGTTTTGGGTTTACGACCCGAACGTAGAACGCCGGTACATACATAGCACCCACCAGAGGAGTGTTGCCGACGGCACCAGTGAAGCCATCGACTGCCCGGGAGGTGAACGACCTAGCCAAAGGCTTCGCCCGCAGAGCACCCAACATGGTGGTAGAGAAGAGAGGTAGAAGCAACGTGGGGACGCTCTGCGGAATAAGACCCCATGGCCGACCGGTCCTGTGAAGGCGTCATCATGAGCAAAACCCAAGAGACAGCGTCGCGTTTATGATTTCCAACGCTGACAGGACGCCGGCAATCGCGCCTCGCGATCCCGTCGAGCTGAAGTACGCAGCCGAGCTCCGAAGAACCGACGCCCTGTTACCTATGCGTGTCATGGCCGTCTTTACGGAGGGAGAAAGGCTCTTATATACGTGCAAGGATACGCGGGAACGAAAGTGCTGCGGCGACAGAACACAGGAGATCCATTAAAGTGCATGTACATAGGTATATCGTCGAGGAGGGTAAGCAAAGATGTCCTAGAGTTGAGAGAGAACAGTAGGTAGGAGCGAGGAGAAGAGACGTGTGGACCGGTGTGTCCGTCGTGCAAGCGTGCATGCGTTCGTGCGGGCCATGAGTATCAAGGTTTACCAGATTACCAGAGAGGACGGACGGGGTATCGAGCAAGTGGCAGCAGCTAAAACCCGAGACAGAAAGGTATCTTATGACTGGCGTTTCTTGACGTTTTGCGAGAGCCACTGAAGCCCCTCGAACAACCCTTCCCCAGTCGTCGCGCAACTGTGACGAGTCAGACGCGCTCAGGGGTAGAACTAGAGCATGCTACGTACCTCGGGTGAACATACCATGACCTATCGCGCATGCGGTGCAACCCCAGTTTCTCGGTCACCTCTGAAGGGGGCATGGCTACAAAGGCAATGTTTAGCTTGCGTAGTCCTATTGAGACGGGACGCGCTCATACCTCCTGGTAGATCCTGCTTGTTCGCAAACACAAGCAAGAGGCACTCTTTCATCTCCCTGTCACTCAATATCCGGTGCAACTCCTGCCTGGCTTCATCTATACGCTCCCTATCTTGACTATCCACGACGAACACGAGACCCTGCGTCCCCGTGTAGTAATGTCTCCACAGAGGCCGGATCTTATCTTGGCCACCGACATCCCAGACGTTGAATTTCACGTTCTTGTAGGTTACGGTCTCGACGTTGAAGCCAACTGTGAGGGGAGTGGCGGTTTACGGAGTGCTACATGTGTCAATGTGGGGGAACCCGTACCTGTTGGGATCGTTGTGACAGACTGGTTCAACTTGAGCTTGTAGAGAATGGCTGCGAGGAGGGCGGTCAACAGGCGACGCGTTGTCCTGGAATGGCTCGGACTCACTGGTCTTCCCGGCGGCATCGAGACCCAACATGAGCAACCTCATCTCCTTGTTCCCAAACAACCTCCCTGCGGTTCACGTCAGTCCCACGCGCTGGCGACGGCGAGCGCATCGCGTGCTTACCCAAAGCCTTCGACAGATTAGCACCCATGATGTTTGTTGAGATGAAGGAGTGTGGGACGAAGGAACGACGGGAGTGAGGTGGCCAACAGAGAAGGCGAAGGTCGCTGTGCTACGAGGTTCGCAAGAACAAATTGGGCATCCAGAGCCAAACGCCGCCACGCGACCTCGGACACTCCCACCCCTGCCACATCTCCCCCTCGACATCACCCCATCATGCCCCGGTTTCAAAATCCAGCATCACCATTATGAGCACCTATAGAGCATATGCAGTACACAATATCCTAAAGTCGAGGCATTGTACACGACCGAAAAATAAATACCATCCGTGCTATCCAGAGGGGACACCCGGCGAACTAAGCTGCGACTGATTAAACACCTTCAGCCATCCGTCGCCCATATCAGACCGGAGGGTCTCTATTCGTGCGCGGAACGCATCGGCCTCCTTGAACTGATCAACCTCCTCCGTGCTCTCCCCCGCAGGTGTATACATCGACGCAGAGATGCGCGAGCGCCGCTTGGCCGACCGCGACATCGTCCCGGACTTGCGCAGCGATCCCCCTCGCTGCAGTGCGGCATCTGCGTTGTCCTCTGACATAGCGAAAGACGTTGGCGCGTGCTCCGTGAAGTGCCTGCTGTGCCGTGACTTGTGTATCGGACGGACGATGGCAGTAGTGATGGGTGCCGCAGCCAGTGCCAGCGACAGATCGCCGCCCACCCTGGAGGGTCCTGCCTGAGAAGGGGGCTCCGGAGCTGACGGTAGAGGCGCCTTTGCGGACTTCGGGCTACGTGTCCTGTCTGCCCGTGCTCCAGCCTCTGAGCCCACACGAGCCTGCGACGTGGTCCTTGAGCTGCCAGCGTCGCTCGTGCTATGCTCTCCGTCGAGCTCGACAATGCGCTTGTTCTTCTTGCGGCGCCCCCTCGCGTGCACCGCAGCGATGTGTGGCGACGCCGCGTTGGAAGGAGGGGAGGGGTGTGATGAGGACCCTGGCTGTGGACTGGCATTCATCGGCGAGGCACCGTTCCGGACAGGGCTGCCCACTGCCACGACTGGAGGGGTATATGCGACAGATTGCGGTCGCGAAGAGGTCATCTGCTGTGGAGGTGGCGATGTCAAGTACATCTTCTCGTAGAAGCTCGGCGGTGCTCCGTCCAAAAGGACACTCTTCCCCTCCTTAGTGAAGTGGTCGAAGCACCGGATCCTGTAGCCCTCCTCGATCTCCGTGAAGGGGTTGCCTTCGATCCAGACTTCAGCGATGTTCGGCAGAGTCGCCAGTCGCCCAACTTCTGCGCTCTCCTCAAGGAGGTTGTGACGCAGATCCACTCGCTCGAGCGCGAGCAGCCTCTCGAGACCGCATATTGACTCGAGTCGGTTCTTCGAGAGATTGAGATACAGCACTTGGCCAAGCACGGTGTAGATGCCCAGCACTGAGTCGATCATGTTGTCGGACAAGTTAAGGGAGGTGAGATTATATAACGATTGAAGGCCGGGAGGAACGGAGACAAGCAAATTGGATGATAGGTCCAGGTGAGTTAGGGAGGTGAGATAGCGTAGTGGTGACGTCGGAACGAACGTAAGGGAGTTATCGGCGAGGGACAAATGTCGCAAGAATGCCCACTTCAGTGAGGGTAGTTCGGTGGGTTGCGATGGTTTCGGAGTCTGCTCCGGCGTAGGCAGTTGATCCTCAGCGTTGGGCGGAGTTTCAGCAGTGGGTGACGGATACTCCTGAAGGTTGGACGAAGGGTCTTCTAGACTAGACTGTGGGGGACTATCATCCTCATCCTCAGCGTCCTCCGGGACCGACTCGGGCAAACGAGAACCGTTATAGAACGAATGCGGGCGCGAGAGGCTCCTCGGTAGTGTCCTCGTTCGTGAGTCCTTCACCCGACCCTCCCTCCTGGCCTGGTCATCCAACACTGCACCGATGAATATGTCCGACACGTCCTCGAGTCCGCTGTTCTTGATCGTTAAGCTCCATAGACTCTCTGCCAACCGGTCCCATCCGAGCAAGGTCCTCGGGTCAATGTCCGTACACTGGAGCGTCTGCAGAGTCTTGAAGGCGTCCATAGGTAGTGCATTCTCGTTCGGGGACTCGGTGGCGAGCTCGGCAATGAGCTTCGCTTCTGGAGCATGGAGTGCGAGCGCGGGCAGCTTTGTGAAGCTGCTGTAGATGTACTTGAGCTCCGTGTCCAGACTAGGCGGTGGCGCACGGAACCAGCTTGCTCCCAGAGACAACTTCGAGACAGCGGAGAGAGACGAGCGGAAGGACATGAGGGAGAGCGCATCCGATTTGTCAGAAGCGGGGAAGATATTGATGTAATTCATGGGTCGTGACGGGCTGTCGACGCGGACGTCCAGTGACCCTACGTCTATTCCCAGTGCCTCGAGACGCATGAGGAGGTAGAAGAGATGGTGACTGTCATACGACAGGATGACGGGCTTCGCGGTGGAGGGTGCAGCAACATCGGACGCGAACCAGGTCAGCGGATTGAAGACCGAAGGTTCGGCTGCTGCAGGCTTTCCGCGCCGCCTCCGAGGAATGGCAGCGGCAGCGAGTCCCTGCTCGTGCGTCCTGATGTAGCTGGCGATGCGCCGAATGTACTCGTCGCCGGGTTCGTTCTCCATGTCTGTAGTACAGCTGTAGCGCGTCGTGCAAGGCCGGAAGCAACTGGTACGCACCGTAGAACTGGGATGAGTCTCACAGGGCGACGCCTGCCCCGCTCTGTTAGCTAGGGGCTCGCGCGTGCGGAGGGGCGGTTCTGGGCAGCTGGAGGCCTGCAGCGAGCAGGCTCGCGCGCGACTGCCCGATCGGGCAGCCATTACTCCAATGCACGCACGTGAGGACGCGTAACCTTTGGGCGCCTCAGCAATACGCTCCGCCTGCCCGCGCGTCCGGGCGGTCTTCATCTCTTCCCACTCACCACGACCATCACGATGAAGATCACCGTGAAGACTCTCCAGCAGAAGGTCTTCCAGGTACGTGCTAGCTCTGCGCTAGCAACCGATATGTCTTGCGAACGCAGAATCTCGCTCCAGATCGATGCGGAAGGCTCAGACACGGTTGTGGACCTCAAGAAGAAGATCGAGCAAATTCAAGGGCATGCTGTGGACACGCAGAAGTTGATCTACTCTGGTGAGTACGAGGTGTTATGTAGCGCAACTATGATTGAGCGAGCGCGTCGTAGGCAAGATCCTCCCGGATTCGAAGACAGTGGAAGCATGCGAGATCAAGGAGAAGGACTTCTTGGTGCTCATGGTGTCGAAGGTGAGTATCATTACGGCGCAGTTTCAGAGAGAACTAAGGACGGTACAGCCCAAGGCAGCACCCGCTGCACCTGCTGCATCGACTAGCTCTGCTGCGACGTCAAGTCCTGCTCCTGCCACACCGGCTGCTGCTCCTGCGGCACCATCCCCCGCACCCGTCCAGTCAACGCCTGCCGTTGCATCCCAACCTCCAAATGCACCTCTGCTCTCAGCCGCACAGCCTGCGCCCGCTGCTGTACCAGCCGCCGACCAGGCCTTCACAAGCTCCAACTCGTTCTTGACTGGTGATGCGCTCCAATCGACCATCAACAACATGATGGAGATGGGCTTTGAGCGGGAGCAGGTTATGCGTGCACTGCGAGCTAGCTTTAACAACCCCGACCGTGCGGTGGAATATTTGTTCAACGTATGTTTTGCTCGTTGTGTGATCTTCCGATCTATGGCTTGACGAATCATCAGGGTATCCCAGCGCACCTGGAGGCGACTGCGGCGGGTACTCCGCAGGGCGGTGCGCCGCAAGCACCAGCTGCTGGCGGCAATGCCCCCGCTGCAGCCCCGGCAGCGGCTCCCGCAGCTGCCCCCGCTGCCCCCGCCCCTGTGCCGAACCAACCGCAGAACCTATTCCAGCTTGCGCAACAGCAGCAACAGCAACAGCAACACCTTCCAGCTGCTGGTGCTGGCGTCGGTGGTGGTGCGCCCGGACTCAGCTTGGATGCGCTAGTAAACAACCCGCAAGTCCAGCAGCTGCGTGACTTGATCGCCTCGAACCCTGCCGTGGCACAACCGCTCATCCAGCAACTCGCTCAGTCGAACCCCCAACTTGCCCAGCTCTTCGCGAACAACCCTGAGGCGCTACTGCAGCTGCTGGGTGGCGAAGGTCTGGGTGGTGACTTCGGTGATGATGAGGGAGGTATCCCCCCCGGTGCGAATGTAATCCACATTACCGAGGAGGAACAGGCGGCGATTCAGCGTGTATGTATTCGATATGACTTATGTCATTGCATATACTGACAATATTTTGCTGTAGCTGGAGGCACTAGGCTTCCCTCGTCAGGCAGTCATCGAGGCATACTTCGCATGCGACAAGAACGAGGAGCTCGCAGCAAACTATCTCTTCGACAGTAATTTCGAGGATTCGTAAAATGTGTTCGCAGGGATTGATTGGAAGTAGCTCTGCAGATTGTACATGCGTGTGTATAAGTAATATTCCTACCGACTCTTCTCGCGAATTGTATCACTTCTCGAGCATTCGCCTGCCGTCTGCCTTGTATCTGCGTATCGCGGTGACATCGGCTGTGTGTATGAGGTATGCTTGAGTTGAGTGGCACTCAGAGACATCGCGGCTACGTTGATTCGATTCGAGGACTCGGAGAGGTTCCCGGGGTGCGTAAAGTCACGTGCCCGACGCGACGCGACGCTGGGCCACGGTGGCTGAACGCGTCTTGACTCTTGCAGTCGTCAACGACGAGCGCGATTAGTACGCGTACCTGATGCGCGTGTCTCTCAACTCGCGTTCAGGTTGTCGCCTTAGCATCCGCCTACTCTATGTCAGCCTCAATTCGTGCTCCTTGGCTTCATGACTACCTTCTCCAGATCGCTGAAGAAAACGGCGGCAACCTGATTTCTGTCGCGTTCGAGTCGAAAGGTCGCAGGGCTCAGTTAGTGAAGGTGTGTCTTTTACCCATATATATGAATAATGTCAGCTCATAAACATGCACAGTGGCTGACGTACCCTCAGGATGATGACAAGGAAGTCTTCATGTGGGCAATAATCTCTGACAAGGTCCATACCGTCGAAGTTCGTTTCTCTAAGGAGGCTGTGAAGTCCTTAAGGCAGTATGTAACACCATTGACTGAGTGATCAACCTGTGCTTATCTGCAAACAGGAATCCCCTGTTCTTAGGCAGGAATGTCACGGAGTATAGGACTGCCATCGTTATCATCAAAACGTTTCGTCCGTTCTGTACCCGTGTTCCGCAAGGGCGAGACAAGGGCATGTCGTTAAGTGAACACATCTGTCTTGAGGTCAATGATTTTAGCCTGTCAGGTGCATTCAATGAACCTGTATGGGGCAGTCCGAGACCTATCGGAACACAATCAGACATTCGGGAGTGGGTCCAGGGCTTACGGCAGGGTGGCGGTGCTGGGTACGTGTTGTAGTTGACTGCATACTTTCTTATTCTGACGCATCATGTAGCAATGTGCTGAAATTGCGCAAAGCAGCAAACTCAGCGGATGTAGTTGCTCCAGCAGAGAGTGTGCAAGGTGATCCCGAACGTGCACACCTTGAGGAGATACCTCCGAAACTGAACCCTAGGAAAGTGATGCTCGCTGCAAGAAAGCCTGTCCTTGCCAACCCTCCAATTGAACTGCCTGCACAGAGAACTGAGCCCACTCACGTCGAGACAAAAGACAACTCAACGGGGGTCTATTTGCGCAAATGGAAGGCATGTGTCCCTTTGATTGTCCAAAACCAAAACTCATCATAACATCCTGTGCAGTTGTTCGAAGTGAGAAAAAAATACCTACCGGTCCCCGACAATGTCCTGGAAAACCTCAGAGCATTGCCTTGTAGGTTGAGTTTTGCATTGACCTGCGCTGTAGAACCTCATCTTGTTATTCACCAAACAGTCGTAGTGAATGGTTCTGCTCTGACAGAACCTGCGAGTGCAGATGTAGCTGGAGAAACTGAAGCCTCATCGCACACTGGCACGCCTCTGCGCGAAACTCCTCGTAAGCACACATACTTTGCTTGTTGACTCCAAGTCATGAACCCAATGTCACGATATAGGGTGTAACGCGCTATTTCTCGGGGCTGAGCCAGGCACTCCTGGTTCCCGTCACTCTGAGCAAACAGAGGAACCACTGCCTAACACACCATCTCAATGGTCGCCGTCTAGTCGAGGAAGTCCACTGCGAGCGACTCCCGCAGTTCGCTCCGACACCTCATTGCCGGCATCACCAAATGCATCGCCGGATAGGAACAGCCCTAGACCAACTCCTCCGCGTGAAGGCAGTGAACTGCCTGGCCCAGCAACTGCTGAGGTTCCGACCCCTATCTCCCCTGATCCTGCCACAGCTCCTGCACCAACGTTCTCATCCTGGTCAGCTCCAACTCCTGCGCAACGACCTCGCATTACACCTTCTTCGTCTTCGCCGACAATGCCTTTGACTGCGCAAGAAGTGACTGCCTCCGCCGTCATGGAGTCTCCTTTGGCTGCCCCGCTCTCCAGTGCTCCACCTCCTGCTCTCCCCCTTCCGCTGCATAGACGTCGGGTGCCTCGCCCGGTCTGCCATTCCATCGTTCGCGATCCGAATCTGTCTGGCCCTGTTGTCGTACTTGTGCCGGACTCGGACACCTCGGCTTCGTTGTCGCAGAATCAGCCATTCTCTCAGCCGTCGCAGCAGAACACCTCTTTGCAGGAGAAGAGTCAAGACCAGAAGCAGTCCGAACGCTCGCAGCAATCACTGTCGTACGCGACTGACTCACAAGGTGATCACAGCTCGAAGTCGGACCCTAAGTCGCAGGGATCCCAGCAATCTCGACTGCGGCATGAGATCACTGCAGCCGTTGACGAGATCGTTGAAGGGCCCGTGTCTTCAGAGGCTGTTGTTGCAGAAGGGTCGAGCCAGGCCGTGGAACCCTCACAGCCTGTGGGTGCACAACCGTCTAGTCCTCCTGCGACGGTGCCGGATGATGCTCCTGATCAAGGGGCCAGTCCTCGGAAGCCTGAAGATGTGAGGGACCTCACGTCCGTCAAGCCACCACCGGTGCGGACTCGGTCGAAGGTCACCATACCGTCCCCGCAAGAGGTTCCGGATAGCGAGGACGAAACAGAGGAGGATACAGGCGATGAACATGACGAGCTAGAGTCTGCTGCTGGCACAGATATCGTCTCGCGTCGCTCAGCTCCACTCGACTCTGATGACGCGAAAACGAAGGCGATGGTAGACAAGTACACGGCCAAGCCCACCACCGAGGTGACGGCTGAGAGGGTCCGAGAACGCATAGGCCAATCCTCGTCGGCGTCCGACTTACCCGCTGGTACCCCTCAACGGAAGGAACCCTCTTCAGCCCCTCGACGTCTCAGCCGCCGCAAGGAAGATACTACCGCATCGCTCGCCCACAGCCGCAGCTCTGAATTGCCGCTGCCGCCTTCCAGCCCCGACGTCTTCATGAGTGAAGACTCTTTCCATGCGTCTCAGGCATCATTCTTGAAAAAAGCCGTGCGCCCGCGCAGAACTCTGCACAAGCAATCCACTCCTCGTGCTCCCACGACATCTGTTTGTGACACGCAACTGTCTGATACCCGAAAAGCTCCTGCGACCCGGGAAGTCGATACTGTCTCTTCTGACCGCATGCGGGTCGACATGCTACCCCCGCCATCAACTCACGATCCCGAGGCCTGGAAAGAACCTGCGTTCATGAGGAAGCCATCACCCGTGCAGGCAGACAAGCCCGTATCGAAAGCGTCCGTTGCTATTCAGGTAGACCCGCCCAAGCGCAGAAGGTCTCCCTCGCCCGCTTCAGAACCCGAGAGGCCGCCTCCGAAAAGGCGGAAGACATCTACTGTCAGTGCTACTCGTACCTCGGAATGGGCATCGCGGTATGCAAAGACCACAGATGTGATTCCGCCGCCGCGTCCGAGAGACACAAGACCTATGCTTCCTCCCGTACCGAATCGCCAGCCGATCGCAGGACCTTCCACTTCGTTCAAGCAGGTCGACCTGCCGCGCAGTTCATCAATCACGTCCTCCGTCCCTTCAATCGCCAGGAAGCGGTCTACTTCAGGGCGCTCCGCTAGTTCTGACAAGAGCACCATTGCGAAACCGGAAGTGAAGATCGTGAGGCAGCTGTCGCCTGGCGGGTCTACACCTGTCGAGATCAAGCATGTGGATTTCAGGGCTGGAACAAGACGATCATCGTTGGCTTCCATCTCGAGGACAAAAACGAGGTCCCACCCGTCTGCGGACATCACGCCCTCCAACGCACGAGGTCACCGTACTACGATGGTTGGCTATGATACAGCTCCCTCGACATCCCGCCTCGGTGACCGGAGTCGGCCAGTGGATCCTAGTCCGTCTACCATGAAGCGAGCGTCACATGTGTCGACGACGTACATGATGCCCATGGTCAAGCCGCGCTCTGCAAGACAGAACCCAACTTCCAGCTCGTCTCACAACCCCCCAAAACCGGGCGGCTCGTCATCTATGGTCAAGACAAAGGAAGGGCCGTCAGCGGCGACCGCTGCGCCCCCGCAAAAGCAACTCCTCGGTGGCTACAAGGTCAACCTTGACATGAAGCGCGAGGAGGGTGGTCCCCCACCCATGACCTGGGCTCGGCTCCAGGAGATACTCGTGAGCACTGGCAGGGCGAGATACAAGCTCAAGAAAGAGAAGGAGGTAAGGGAGGCGAAGTCGAACCAGGATCGTCGCGGCGGTGCGGGATGATTCAGACTTTACTTGTGCTCGCATCATCATTCGCTTCCAATTGCTGTATACTACATCTTGCTGTCGCCGTCGCAATCTGCTTTCCTGTACATGGCTTTATCCTTGGCACCAAGTACCTACTCAGTACATTACGAACTGTATACTTAGTTGTAGTTGACCGTCGCCAGAATCATCTATTGCGGTTTTGGGAAGTCATGTCGCGCGGCGCCACACGTGCGTTTTTTGCACGCGGCGACCCCTACCTTCGGACGGCCATTGCTCCTCAACGCCTGCGAGTTTCTGCTTGATTCCTATATATTCTGGTTCTACTCGTCGAGCCCGAGGGCATGGTGCAATTCAATTTCGATTTCAACCAAGTCTCAAAATCGCGGTTTCCGAGCACCACGGCGACTTCGGACTGCAATTGCGAGCGAACGCAACATTGGGTGGGGTCCGCGATGGTACGGAAGGGTGCAGGGGGATGCTACGGAGGGCACAGGGCAGAAAAATTAGAAAGTTACCGTGAGTTCTCGTTGTAGCTCGCGCCGTCGCTGTGCGGCTGCGTGCTTGACAGGTCGCCGACGCAGGTCGGCCACCGCAGCGCAAGGGCGTGAGGCGTACCCGCATGAACGCCCCCATGGGGTGTATAGAAGGCCTACGGAGCGCATACACGCCGTTTCGGGGTACTTGTCCCGCTCCCCGTCGTTGTAGTGCACTCCGCGCTGGTGGTGCCTCCGTCTCGGCCCCTGTACATACATCCTCAATGTACAGTAGTACACCGCGTAGCTACAGCAAAATCAATTGATACTGCTGTGCATATTCCTCTGTGATTAACCTGGGTCTGCCTGTTTGCCCACCGAGATGGTATGCAACATCGCCCGTTGCACGATGCCGCGCAAGGCAGCGCTGGACGGTTCGTAAACTGATGTGGAGGTTGTCTGAGATCTCCTGTGGGGATTTCCCCCTCTCATAATGTTGAAACACAACACGCCAGAGGAGATCCTCTGACAGAGGGACCGTGCGGGGCATGGTGGTTTGGGATAAACTCGACAAGGCGCCTAGCCGGCGATGTACAGTGATGGTGATGTATGTTGACGGCGATGCTGGCCTGAAGGTCGCGGAACAGTAGTATGAAAGGAATATATTACTCTTCAGGAGAATTTGCAAGTAGATACATGCTATATGCCGGTGGATCGAGAATGGATGTACAGGGGCCGAGACGGAGGCACCACCAGCGCGGAGTGCACTACAACGACGGGGAGCGGGACAAGTACCCCGAAACGGCGTGTATGCGCTCCGTAGGCCTTCTATACACCCCATGGGGGCATTCATGCGGGTACGCCTCACGCCCTTGCGCTGCGGTGGCCGACCTGCGTCGGCGACCTGTCAAGCACGCAGCCGCACAGCGGCGGCGCGAGCTACAACGAGAACTCACGGTAACTTTCTAGTTTTTCTGCCCTGTGCCCTCCGTAGCATCCCCCTGCACCCTTCCGTACCATCGCGGACCCCACCCTATGTTGCGTTCGCTCGCAATTGCAGTCCGAAGTCGCCGTGGTGCTCGGAAACCGCGATTTTGAGACTTGGTTGAAATCGAAATTGAGTTGCACCATGCCCTCGGGCTCGACGAGTAGAACCAGAATATATAGGAATCAAGCAGAAACTCGCAGGCGTTGAGGAGCAATGGCCGTCCGAAGGTAGAGGTCGCCGCGTGCAAAAAACGCACGTGTGGCGCCGCGCGACATGACTTCCCAAAACCGCAATAAGTAGATGATTTCGTTGATCAGCAGAGTATGTGCCCGAATCATGCATGCCCAAACCACAGGACTAGCGCCTATCAGGTTGTGGCACTGACTTCGATCCCGTCCACCTCTTCCGCCACCGCCATGTCCGAGTACTGGGTCTCGCACAAGAAGTACTTCTGCAAGTACTGCAACATCTACATCGCCGACGATGTGCCGTCGCGACGGCAGCACGAGACCGGTCTGCGCCATAAGGGCAACGTCGAGCGGTTCGTGCGCGGGCTGTACAAGGAGGGTGAGCGGCGGAAGCATGACCTCGAGGAGGAGAAGCGGGACATGGCGAGGGTCGAGCAGGTGCGCCGCGTCAACCACCCTCATTGACAATGCAAACAAAGTTGACTTGTGTGGTGGCAGGCAGCCCAAGCGGCATACGCGCGAGACGTAGGCGCAGGCCTGGTCAAACCCGGGAGCAGCAGCACGTCCGCCGCCGCACGACCCGCACCCGAAGCGACGAAGCCCGCACCCAAACAGTCGAACCCCTATGCGAACTACACCACCGCGGAGTCGCTGGGCTACACCGACCCTGACGAGGAACGCCGCACAGCCGAGGCAGAGCGGCGGCGCACGCAGGGCGTCGCGGGCGACTGGGAGGTCATCGCCGTCGTCGAGCCCTCTGCGCCTGCAGTGCAGGAGGGCGAGGCAGAGCATGCAGAAGCACCTGCTGTGCCGGAGCCCGGCCCCAGCGCGGGAGTGAAGCGAGAGGCGGGGGCGTTCCCAGAGGACGAGGACACGCGGAGGTTCAAGCTGCGTAGGCGGACGGTGGGCGTCGGCCTAGGCGAGATCTACGACCCCGGCGTGATACCGATCAAGATAAAGAAGAAGGAAGAGCTCGCTGCGGACGCTCTGCCAGATGCTGCTGTGAACCGCCAAGAGCCTGTGGCAGCAGCGTCGGCGGCGGCGGGCGGTGCGACCGCTGCGGCTGCGACGGAGAAACCGACGTGGTCTGCTAGGGGCTGGGTTCGACCAGGGGAGAGCAAGGCGAACGAGCCCGGCGCGTCACAGGTGAAACCAGCCGTGTCCTCCACCGAATCGACTGTCTCGCGAGAGCAGGTTGCGGAGGAGCAAACAGAAGCCCCTGCGGAACCTACACGTCCTGCACCCGGAGACGAACCCCCGACGACGGATGATGTCGTCAAGGTCGAGGTCAAGGTCGAGGACGCTCCTGTTAAAGTCGACGCAGACGCAACCGCGGCTCCCCCAGCGGGAGGGAGTATGTTCCGCAAGCGCAAACTTCCAGCAGGCGGTGCGGGTGGCAGGGGCAAGCGGACGTGATTTGTTCGTGTATTCCATCCCATTGAGCACCAGATAATCTGGCGACTCGCGTTCGGTCAGTCTCAGCAATGTGTTATTTCTGTTTCCACTGACGATCTGAATGTTTATGGTTTCCCAAAGTTCCAATAGGGTCTCGCAACGTGCAATGTGATCTTGCCTAGTTGGCTTCCCTACCTCACTGGCGGAGAGATGCAGACGAACAGCACGCCTGTGCGTCACTGGGTCAACCGGCACACCTGACAGATGCCCTTTGAACACCGAAGGTCTCCATCCTAAGCCCTCGAAGCAAGAACGCCCGGCTCTTCTCGAGCTGCTAGCAGCGCTACTGTCGTCTATTTCACAGCTATTCGTGTGAAGCTGTACATGCTACAGTGTACCCCTACCGCGCGTGCGGAGCGGCCGACGTTTCCACGGAAGCTACGGTATAGAACAGAGGAATAATGAGGTTAGAATATATGCGTACGAATGAAAGACAGTGCTGTCGTTCCGATGAAGCGGATGCCCATTGCAGGTGCCGGAAGCGGAGTGAAGCGATGTATGCGCGGAACGCCCGCCACCAAGCCCGACGATGCCGCCCTGCATCTGACTGGGACTGACTCGCCTCCTCCATCCACCGCGCCTCCGCAAGCAGTAGTCACTGTCCCGCGCACTCCGTATATTATATCCGGTGGTAGTCTTCGAAGATCTCAAGCCCTGGGAAGTCGGGCCATCCTGTCGACTTCGTTATCTTCCGCCGTCTACTTGCTGCACCTCGACTTATCTCTCCTTGTGCGGTCATCATGGAGGTCCTCTCTGCAACTGCCCAATCCACCACAGCATCGCCCGCAGCTCCTATTCGTAGGGACGATGGGCCCGTGCCGATGTCCTTTCCTGCGGTTCTGCGCAACTCCGGCATAGCAGACCGGTTTGCCCATCTGCATAGGAGCGATTCCAATTACGCTCGAGGATCCCCCGCAGCTTCGGCAGCCCCTAAGAAGAGCAAGCGAGATGAGAAGGAGGGCAAGCGGTGGGTGCGGCGCAAGGATAACGGTGCGTGGGCTGCCTCCCCTCCGCCATGCTGGGTCTGAGCGCATTGCCTCGTGTCGATCGCATCCGGGCCCTCCAGCCCGCTTTGCAGGTAACACGCACATCGTCCTCCCCTCCAAGCGCGACTACGCCGTCGTCGCACCGCAGAAGTCGTCTACCTTCCCCCAGCCGCTCCCCAACTATCTCACCCGTAACAATGCGATCCCGCCCACTGTCCTCCCGGGGCGCGAGCCCGCATCTGCGAACGCTGGCCGCTTCTCGATGAGCCTCAAGGGTATGCGCCGCGAGTTGCGCAAGTCGGGGCCCCGCACAGAGCAGCTTGTCCGTGAGCTGGAGAATGAGATCCTGACATGGCTGGACGGGGGCGTCATGCTTGCCCCGGACGCTGCAGCGGAGATGAGCTTCCCGGGACGGCCAGTAGACAGCGGGGAGACGGTCAAGGAGATCAGTCGCACGCCTCTCCAGCTCGTCTGGTGGATCGAGGACAACTCCTGGACGCGCTACGTCGTGCACTGCTGCGCGAGGTACCACGAGATTGTCAGCTTCAGTACGTCTATCCCTCCCTCCTCCCTTCCCAGCCACTAACCATCACCCGCACCGGCGCACAGGCAAAGACACATCCGGCCAACGCCTCACCTACCTCCTCCGCCCCAACGTCACGCGCCCAACGCACGGCGTCCCCAACGGGCTCGACACACCGCCCGCCACGGACCTCGAGTCGTCCGTGCACTCCGACTTCGACGCCGGCTCCGCGTCCGACGCGTTCTCCGACCGCCGCTCGGACTCTGGTCTCGACTCTGACGTCGAGCTCGTCTCGCGCCCAGCGGACCGTGCACTCTCCGCTATCGCAGAATCCGCCCCGGGGACGCCCGCACGCGCCCCGGCGCCCCTCCCGCCTCAGAGCGAGGACGAGTGGTCCGTCATCGGGGATGACGCGGATGCGGAGGACAGCGAGGCGGAGGGTGAGCTTGCCGCGCGCGTGGGTGAGCTTGCGCTGAGGGACGCGGAGGCTTCCCCGAGGATGCGGCAGGCGTCCTTCCGCACGCATGTGTGGGAGCGCCAGCGCCGCTCGGCGTCCTCGCCCTCGCGCTCACCGGCGAGACGACCCGCGAGGATGTACCGCGTGGAGCCACCGCGCCCAGCAGCTCCGTCGCGTCGGTCGTTCTCCGACTACCTCTTCTCGTGAACTTCAGATAGTTTCAGGACCATAATTTATGCGCTGCGTCGGTCTGTATTGCCTTTTTTTATAAAAACTAATTAAACCTGAATATGTTGTTCTGTATTGCATAGATGTGCATATACCGAGCTGTACGAGTAATCCGAATGTACATGTGTGCCTACAGAGATCTGTACGAGTCCATGGAGCCAGTGAATAGGCTGCCGCCTCTCGGCGGAGCGTGTTACATGATATACGACATAACAATACGAATGTCCTCAGCTGGTCTGAGTAAACGGGAAGGAAAAGTGAAGATCAGCCTGTGAAGACCCGCGCGATGAGGTACATCGTCGAGCCCGCGAATCGCTGGGTAGACGAGGCGGCGGTGAGTAGTAGTTCGGATGTAGCGGAGGTAACTTACGACGAGTGTGGTGATAGCGACGAATGCGAGGATGAAAGTCATGTAGGCCTTGGTCCGGCTGAGGTTATCGCTCGTGAACGTGGTCACTGGGTCGCCGCCTCCTAGGATAGCCAACAGCAAGACGGCCTGTACCAACGATATCAGTGAACAACACTAGCCAAAGCAGATGAAGCATACGCACATTTGACAACACCCAAGTCAAGAGTACCTACACCATCCCCTCGTCAGCGTGTGTATTCCCCTTCAATCGGCGAGGAGAGCCCACTCACGTTCGTCCTGACGTTGGCATAATAGTCCTTCGCTGCCTGCTCCCGCTCTGCGAGGCCGTTCCCTGGGTTAGGCTTCGTGCTCGGCCGCTTGTACTTGATGTTCTCCAGCGCCTCCTTGTAAATGTCGTCCACCGCCGCGGCGTCGACGACTTCGATGTCGACCTGCGAATTGCTGTTCTGGATGACTGCGCCGAGGTCGGACTCTACTTCCGTGTCTTGCTTGGTGCCCCAGGAGATCTATGCGGACAGAAGCTTAGTGAGCAGTGAACACGTAGAGGTTCATCCGGTTTACGCACGTCGTCGAGATTGGAGAAGGCATAGCTGACAGGGAAGGCCGGTGAGCAAGGTCGTGCGCTATGTGGCTGACAATATGGGGTTCGCTTACATGTTGAGTAAGTTGATGTACGTTGGAGACAGCAATAGGTACGGGAGAAAGCTCGTGAACAGGTGCCAGGGATCCATCGCCAGCAAGCTGGACACGAAGTACACTGAGAGTCGGTCAGTCCCCGTTTAGACAACTGCACTGACAGACCCTCACTCACCTCCGTAGGTGATGATTACGCTGAACACCATTGTTCGATAGGCCAGACCACCGCCGTCCGCGGCCTTCACAGCACACATGATGGCGCAGAAGAGCAGGTAGACCATCATTAATGCCAACAGGATAGCTGTCGTCTGGTATTTCCATTTCGATCTGCGAATTCGTGATCAATAAGGAAATGCGCACTGCATGTTGGTCACTTACGCCTTCGGCTTGTTGCCCATAGAAAACAGAAATGCCGCGACGACAATAGCACCCATTACGAACTGGACGACGGCGTTCCAGTATTTGATCCCCTCCATGCCAAACTCAGGGGCCTCCAGCGACGAGGTGAGGATGATCTAGAGACGCTCAATGCGGAGAACAGCCATACGCGCTACTACGCGACTCACAAAGAACAGGTAGAAGTTGCCCTTCGCAGTGTATGTCAGTCTATCTATGATTCTGCACATATACACGCAGCGAGCACTCACGATCGCGAACCAGGAAGCAATGAGGTTTATGACATTGTAGATCGTCTCCATGACCAGAGTGAACTTCCGCCAGACACTGTGGCCCGACCGCAAGATCTGGCCAAGATGCGCAATGGCGTACGTCGCCGCAAAGAATGAGCCATTCAGCCATCTGCGTCGCTGACTTATGAACTCTGGGAGAGCGTCGGGTACGTCTGTCTCCGCGATTGCGCTCTTGACGTACTTCAATATCCAGCTTGAGTTGGCCTTCGCTACGAGCTCGAAGCATAGGATACGCTATGTCCTATCAGCCTCTATACAGAGAGAAAGCACATGCTCACTCACATCCTCGGCAAGGTCTGCAAGAAGCAATGAGTGAATGGCTGCCATGGCGGTTACAGACAGACTTACACATATTGGATGTGAAGATGTCGGTATCTCGGCCATGCAGGACTTCTCCCTTGAAGTACGACGCAAGGGGCCCCCGACCAGTCCTCTTGTCGTTCTGCAGTGCGATGTACCTGAGAAAAATGAGAGTGTGTCGACACCGCTGTCAGCCTAGACTCACCGGTAGGCAGAGAACGCGCCAGGCTAGTAGATGGCAAAGAGCGCGATCAGCAGTGAGTGTCAGAGAGGAACGTGCTGTGACTGACCAATACACTGATGTAGCCGAACAGAGACTCAGTCGGCTTATCCAGAATGGTGGCGATCTTGTACTCAAAGTTCTGCGCCGCAACTGAAGCACGACGTGTCGGTGAGTATTTTTCTCATTTCGACCTAGCGAATACGTACCAAGTGGGTTAAGCAAAGCTGACCAGTGCTTTCCCTTGTACGTAGCAATTTCGCCACAAGCTCCAGCAACGTTGGAGTTCAGGTCGAACGCTTTCCAAAGGTGATATATGCTCTTCGGTCCCGGTCGTGTCCCGACATCCAGCAACACGCAGACATTGGGCTGTATCATCTCGCTGAACACTCGCATGAACCCGGTTCTCGTTGATGTCGACTTACCTGCAACAGCGGCGCAAATGCGTTGAAAAACCAACGGTGGCTGTTGATCTTCTTCTGATTCTTGGCCTTCATACAGAAGATGATCTGCGTGGGCACTACACCCTTGTCTGGGTACTTGAAGTGGAGGTCCGCATCCAGCCCGAAGGAGGTCGTATACTCGAAGAGATGGGCCGTTGTCTGTACGCGGTTGACTTCTTTCTGCATGTACGCGCCGGGCTGATACACGCCGAGCAGCGTCAGACAGTCCAGGACGCGAGGGTGTACCTTGGATCTTCCGTCTGCAACGATGCAAACTACGACCTGTTTTACAGCGAATCAGCTGGCAATGCTACAAGTATACGGAGATCTCGCCAACGAACCTTCTTCCAGGCGTCGGGACCCCACGTGCGGGAATTCTTCCTCGAACATAGGTGCGAGATGTTTTGCATCACACCATACAGAGTCCTACAGAAGAGAACCTCATCCTCCTGTATGTAGTTCGTAGGTAGGTCAGACCAATATTCATCCAATTGACTAGCCGACTCACGTTATACATCGTAATGACAATGAACAATTCGGTGGTCCTACCAAGCTCATTCTGTCTCAAGAAATACCCGTTTTTCTCGAAGCTGTCCGGGTCGCATGTCACTGCGGTGTAACGCGCCTGCTTCATCTCGGGCTCGACCTTCCATGGCATGATCAACTTCGGCGGGACATCCAGTTGCATTACCAGGTTTCCGTTCGTGAGCTGCACCCGTTTCTTCGTCTTGCGACGACGAACCATGCGCCCCGCGGGCACCGGCCCAAAGTGACGCGTGTCGATAGGTGTCTCGGGCTCGGTGTAGGGTGTCCTTGTTGTTGACAATGATGTCTTCTCCGGATCTGCCTGAGCTATAGTTGTTGTAGATTGCCATGGCTTGGCGTCGTATAACGTCCCGCCCTCGTACTGATACGCACGCTGACGTCCCACGTCTTGCTCCTCATCGTACGCGTGCGACCGGGAATGTCGCTGCGGTGAGTATCCGGTGTAGTGTATGCTGTCGCTCCCAACAATGTGATAGTCCTCGTCGTCCACTGCGGGCGTAGGAGACCGCGAGCGCGGCGGACGATAGGAGGGGCGCGAGTTGGTGCCGGAGGCATATGCCTCGGTGTCGTGCCGAAAGTGGTCCAGTGCACTCTGCGATTCCGTATAGCTCGTCTCCAGATCGGGCTGCTGATCCGGATACCCAGTGAGCGCGGGATAATCAGACGCCGCAGCGGAGCTATACGCTGACACGGGGCGCGAAGGGGGTTGCCAGTGAACTGTTTCCTGAGCATGGTCCTGAGCAAGCTCCCCGTCTGCTGAGTAATAAGCTGAGTGGGAGGTGTGCTGCGGTACAAGGGCTCCGTGGTTTGAGTAGTCTGAGAAGGGGTTACGCTCTTCAGTAAACTGTGCATCGTCCCATTCAAGGGGTTCGCCAGACATGATGGTTGGAAGAGCGCCATAGTCGTGACCGGTCTTGGGCACAACGTGTATGTAGTCGTCCTTTGGTTCGCCGTACGTGGCTTCAATATACGTGCCAGTAGATCCCGAGGAGATGCTGCCTCTGGTAGATGCTCTGTCCCCTCCGCTGCTATTCTCCTCGGTGGTCTCTGGAACAGGCGGAAGTGACGGGTGACGCGATGGCGAGCTCCGAGGCTGTCGCAAGGCCGGTACAGTAGCAGCGGGCTGATAATTTTGGGCGAGTTCCATTGTATAGCTGACTGAAGGGACAGTCGTACCATTCTGGCTAAGTGTGTATCGCCAGGCATCGTTGACACCGATAGAGTGTGGTTCATGTTGCTGCTGCGTGGCAGATTCGTCGTCGGAGTCATCGAGTGGGGCGTATGATAATGCTAGTCTGCGACTCATGACTATCGTATTGTCGTAACAATCTCGTCGTGAGTGTCGAGAGTGTCTACACGCGTGCTCAGCTTAAGTCATGAGAGCTACGCCGTATACTCACATATGCTTGTGCTACAGTATCTCTCGTCTCTGGTCGTGCCGGCGTTACAATGTCTTCAGGTTGAGCTGTATTTGCGATTATTGACAGAAGAGTTACTCGCAGGAAGTGAGGCCGGCCAGCATGAACAGTAGGTGAGTCCTGTTCGTTGGATAGCGGGAGGATGCGCAGTCGGAGATCGGTCGAAGTGAACCGCTACGAGTCGAACAGAGTTCAACTTGTGCGCGTCGATCACGTGGGCGCGTGTGATGCACGCGCCGGCCATACAGGAAGCAAACACGTCTACGAAGTTTACTGAGGCGTCGACAACTGCCACAATTACAGTACATAGAATACAACATAGGGTGACCCGTGAAAGGAATAAGTTACCTCAAACCCGGACCTAAACAACAGAACCTCAGTCACTTTCTCCGCTTCCTTCTAACCGATCCCTCCGCACTACTGGAAGAGTTTGGTCCACGCTTCTTGCTAGATCCAACATGAAGGTCTGATATACTCCTTGGCTTGAAGCCTTTGGAAGAACCAACCTCACCAGCATGGTGCATGGTCGCAGCGCTGGAAGAGGCGGCCTGAGCTTCCTGAATAGCCTCCTTGCTCAGACAGAAGTCGACGTGTGCGTTGAGCCCGTGGTTATCCGTAACCATAGTCTTGGCGCAAATTGGGCATGTTTGCGTGCTGAATTCTGATGCAGTTGAGCGAGCTTGACGTGAGGGAGAACGCGATCGATGGCCAGGCGAATTGCGAACGGACGCTGAAGGGCCAGTAGAGGATGCTCGAAAAGAACGAACGTTCGTGGGTCCAGAGGGAGTTGGCTTGGAGGATGATTGTGAAGGCGTCGGGGCAGGTGCCGAGTTGGGTGGTCTGAGACGATGGTCAAGGCGCCCGCCTGGTCGAGGACCACGACCCACAGAACTCGCATCATCCACTGTCACATTGTCCAGAACATGATAAACATCAAGGGGCATGTCGTGCTTTTCTTCAGCTTCGTCTTCTGCCTCGACTTCTTCGTGATATCCAGGCATCGCATCTTCGAAAGCGTGTTTGAGCTCTGTCAATTGTTCTGCGTTCATATGCTCCTTGGTAGCGATATTCCGCTTCTTCGTGGGGGATCCGCCACCGTCAGCCGCGCCGAAGAACTGCGAAGGGATGTTCATTTGATTTCTTCCTAGATACGAGCAGATCCATACCTTCATGATCCCAGCTGCCTTCTTCTCCGCCTCGGCCTTCAGGTCCTTCAGCTTCGTCACCCGCAGTCCAATCAGCCGCAGCGTCAGTGGAAGTTCGGGCACTAAGAGTTCTTTCCCTATCTGTTGATATGCTGCGATGTCAGCAGACTGAAAGGTGAAAGCAATGGATCACTGACTGCAAACAAGTCTTCTTTCTTGGTCGAAACCCATCGATCGAACGACTTCGCACGCGTGAAGACTAACGGATATCAGATTCATGACACACAACCTCTGTGTGTATCAAGATTCACGAGCGTACCTTGGTACGTGTCGAGTTTGTATTTCAGTGTGACCGTCTTCCCCGTCCATCCTCCGTTGGTCATATCACTTTCCAGCTCAGCCGCGACTTCTTCGAGTTTCTGGAATATCTTGTCCTTGTCACTGATAGATGTGAATGTACTGAGAGCGGACAAGCGATGATGAGTGCCACTTCATTCAGTATGCGGGTAGCTTACCGCTCAGCACCGATGCTCTTGCGTTCTTCCCGCGTGCCGGGCTGGACGACGTTCGAGGCAATGCCGAGGTAGGCCTGCAGCAGGAAGTGTAGACCGAATTGCTTGTCCATCAACGACAGTACTGCACGATGCATATAGATGTCTCCACATGTCTAAATGAGGTAGAACGACGAGACGTCAGTGAACAGTATCGTCCACACGCCATACCCCGGCTACATGCGCTCTCCACCCACGCACAACGGGTACACGGGGTGCGCAGGAAGTATGGCATAGGGCAATCTCACCTCGACGCCCATGGATTCCAGGAGCCGTTCGTTGACTCGGCCCACCCCCGGTACTTTCCGGATGGACAGGTCGCGCATGAAAGCCTTGATCGCACGAGAATTGAACTCAAGCTTAAACTGGCCATTCGGCTTGTTCTGTCGCGGCACGCGGTGTCACCTCACTTTCATTCAGAGAAGCGGAGCAAAGAACCTTGTCCGAGCAAATCTGTTCGCGTGTCAGGCGATGATCCTGCCAAGTTAGAAATGTGGAGTCACCTTGGCGAGCATCTAAGTGAGAGACGGTCAGATACGGTCGGCGAGGGGCGTGCAGAGCGTGTCTTACCTTGTTCGGAGCGATGCCTGCGCTGACAGTCAAGTTTGTCTCCCGATGCACCGTTTCTCTCATCTCCTGCACGCATTCCTCCTCGTCCAATTGATGCTCCTCGCAGTATGCAGTTATGCTGCAGCAGAACGGTAAAGGCAGGCACATAGGTCTCAGGGTATGCGGACCAAGGCTAGGAAATAACTCACTTCAGATAGCCTTCATCGCAACCAGCCGCACACATAGTGGGATCGTACCGCATGAAGACGTCCATAACACGCTTCGACATCTCCATATACCGATCGAAGTGTGTCTCCACGAGGATCAGCTCGGGACATAGTTTCTTGGCGATGAAGGCTGGAAGTTCATAGGTGGGCCTCGTCAGGTGCGATGCAACTGCATGGGGAGACGCACCGGACATGCCCGACCGCGCACCAAACTTCCGTGCCTCATACGAGGCAGTCGTCAGGACACCTTTGCCTACCTGAGAGGTGAAGCCGACTATGTGGTGGGAAACGGATCAAGGCTGCGTACCACTTACAGCGAAGGGTTTGCCTTTGAGACTTGGATTATCAAGTAACTCCACGTTTGCGTAGAATGCATCCATGTCTACGTGGACGATGATCTGGGTGAGGTCCCGTTGCGCTTCCAGCTTGACCAGCTGCAGAAGGCAAAGCTTCAGTCCGACGAGCAGTCCTGGCCAAGGGAAGAACACACAAGATGGTCCACCGATTGCTCCACGCTACCTGTTGTTGCACGTATGTTCATCCTCGTGCGCGACTAAGGGACAATACATACGCACGTAGATCAACGCCTTTCACGACCTCATCGCGATGTCTCAATATTCGACTTATGCGCTCCGTGAGTTCCTTGTCCTTGCGTTTCTCATTCTGCACAGGTTGGGACATCGACCTCACGACCCCCATCCTGATAATTCGAGCACTCACCTCGTAGAACTTCGATCCCTTGGAGGCCTCTGCTATAATGCGATTGATCTCCGACTGGTCCTTGGCGAGTCTGTTGAATAGCTCAATACAGAGGTATCGCCCAAACCTAACAATGACTTGCCCTGCTTTATTGACGGATGGCCCAGCAAGACGTCTGAGGAGGCTATCGGTTTGCTGCGATGGCTCCGGAGCATTCGGACCCGAGTCTGAACCAGGGGCCTTCATAGTGATGGTTGTGCACGCCGAAAGAGACTACAGGAGGAAATAGCACCACTGGACATGGAAGGGGACGTCAAGAACGGAGGATAGAGGGGAGTAGCGAGAGGTCGAGTCCCGGGATCATGGGCGTTTATGACAGTACATACACGGCTCGGACCCGGCGCGCGTTCGCGGTGGTGTGACCGTGTCCTGCTCACACGCGTCAAGCCCTTCACGCCATGCAGTCTCACGTCGAGGCGCAAGGGAGTTCTTCGCTGTTGAAATACTTGAAACAGGCGGCAAGCGTCCCATACTATGGCCCATAGCATACAGATAGCTGAACACATGCAGGATACAGCCGCGGAAAGGCGGGATATGCACTCGAATTTTGGATCCCGCGTCGAGGTCGTCGAAACCTAGAACCTAATGATACAGACTGATACACGGGACTTTCCATTAATTCCTCGACATGAGTCGAGCTCACAATGCCACCTTTGCCTTTGCCTTCAGCGCCGCATCCACGACCTCAGTCATTGCAATCACTGCCTCCTCCTCCAGTGTACGCCCGATAAGCTGCAACGCCACAGGTGCATTCTGGACGAGAGTAGGTTCATCTGAATTTGCGCCAGCAATCAGATCGGGTTTTATGCAATGTTTTGAGCGAGATGTGCTTACACCAACTGTACATTGCTTCATCGGTCTCGCTGAGGAATTGATGGGCAGGCTTCTTCGCATCCAAGCTGACGTCGACTCTCGTCACCGGGAACGTGGCAGCAGGGTAGTCCAACGCATTCAGGACCTTGGTGTAGTTGGTATAGCTATATTGATCGTCAGCATATGAATCGCAGCGACCTGCAGACCTCTTCACTTGTTCCTGCCATGCGGAGGGGCCACGAAGGGAGTGCCTGGTGAGATGATTGCATCTACGGGTCGACCAGTGCCTGTGACCTCGACCGTCTTCTGCCAGTGGTCCAGATACTCCTTCCGGAGCTCCGCCCTAGCTTTCTGGACCTGCCACAATGCATACGCGGATATCCCCGTCGGAGCGGGTCGTATGGAAGAGTCTGGTTCAACACCTTCGACAATATTCATTGTAGATATGACCGGTTCGCCAGTCTCTGTAGTAGTAACGTGGAAATCTTCGCCCGCGCCTGCCTTCCATATGGCAGACTGATCATTGTGAGGACAGTGCCACAGTGAAAGAGCTTCGCGATGACTCACAATAGCATTTCCCAGCTCGAGGTACTTAATTGGTTGCCAATCGATGACTGTGAGCTGTTTAGCTACGCGCTGGACTACATATCAACCATACCAGAACCATACCAACCTTTGTGACCAGCTGCGCGTAACGCCTCTCTTGTCATCTCTAGCGCCCTGATGATTGGCGGATGGGGCACCACAATGCCATCGTTCCACATGATAGCGAAGCAGAGCGTCGAGCCACCTCCATGTTCGGATAGGGCATACGCCTCATCATCCCACTTTTTCCTGACACAAAGCGGGTCCTTCGTCCACGGGCTCTGGCTTATCACCGCTTGCATGAATGCCTTCACACCGCTCAGGCTATTGGATAGTGGGCCGAGGACAGATGGGATGGAGTCTTGGCCAACCATCGAGTTGACGGCGCCTTCGTATGGCACACGCCCGTATGATGGCCGCAAGCTGTACAAACCATTGAAGAGTGCGGGAATGCGGATCGAGCTGGAACGAACGTTACTCAGTCATCGACGCAATGTATATCACAGCGGCACATACCCTCCGATGTCTGAACCGACGCCCAGCGGACTGCCCTTCAAGTGAATGAGGGCGCCTTCACCACCAGATGAGCCACCACAACTCAGACTCCGATTAGCAGGGTTTACAGTTCGACCGAAGACCAGATTGTAGGTTTCCCCCCACTGTAAACGTCTTGACGTTACTAGAGGCGTCAGACCAGGGTAGACCATGCGTACCATCAGGGTCTGAGGAATGTTGGTCCGCACGAACGGAACCGCCCCGCAATCATACAGAATGTCCACGAGCGTAGCGTTCTTGTCGGCATATTTGCCAATCCACGACGCATAACCTGCATTGCTGATAAGTGCGTCGCTCTTAGCACGTTCAGTGCCAGCCTACCCATCGTGGTTTCCAAGCCCTTGATGCATAGCTGATCCTTTAGCGAGATAGGAAGTCCGTGCAGCGGGCCAACAACCTTGCCCGTGGCCTTGAGATGCTCATCGAGCTCCTTGGCACGAGCCAACGCGCGTTCCACAAAGATCTCTGTCAGGCAATTGACCTGCAGACCCGTGCAATGAGCGGGGCTAGGAACAGAAATGCATGCAGCCTCATATTGCTTACAAGTTGGTGCGCGACGATCGCCCGTTTGTAGAAGGCGGTAGTCACTTCCACCGCCGACCACTCGGCGGTAGCGAGCTTGTTCAACAACACGCCGACGTCCACCGTGTTGGTAATCTCAAGCTCCTTGGCCGTGAACAGACCACATTGCTCTGGGATGGCGGTGACATCAAGTACCGTGTCCGGTGGAACGGAGATGAACCATTCCTTTGGAATGGACTCCTGCTGACGTCGCCGCTTATCGGTCACCAAGTCTCGCCAGCGTTGGGTCATTTCGAATGTAGGAGGCTGGGTTGGGACAAGGTGGGGCGTTGATTGGTGGGACTTCACAGGCGAAGCAGCTTGTGGACGAAGTCATTATATGTAGACACGATGCAGACCCAGTTGGACACTGGCAGTGGATCGATAGGCAAATATAATACAGTCCCACACGTCGAGGCCGTATCTACTCCTAGAGGCTCTACAAAGAGCACGAGACCGGGGTGCAAATGGCATCGCCTTATCGCTGAGAGCTGTGGCATCGGCGGACGTCCGTCGGGCCGAGGAGACCTGAAGCTGAGGTCCAGTTGGAGTCTGTAAGAGGTCTTGTGAGAAAGGGAGTGTATAAGCGAGTAGATACGCGAAAGGGGTGCTCAGAAAGCCATTCATGTCAGCGATACACCTCAGGGCAGAACCCTGAGGTGCAGCGAGTCGACTAAGAGGTGCCAGTTGGGTTGAAATACAACACTCGTCGTTGCAGATGAGGAGATAGTAATCAAGGACACTCACCAAGTGCCTCCACCAACCCTCGAGGCTGTTGGGGATGTTCGCGTCGACGTCAGACAAGCGAAAGCAAAGCAAAATTTCACGCATTTATTCACCGCGTTATTTGCGTCTATTTGTGGCATACAGGCATCGGGCAGATAGTCCCACGGTGGTCATCGAAGGCAGTCGACCTACTAAATACGGTTCGCTTCAAAGTTTGGCTATAAACATCTATGGCAGACTTGTCCGTGTTCAAAGTTCAACTTCCTCTTCATTGCGAGCGACAATTATATAATATATCATACATAGGGAAGGACGCATAATGATACAGCGGCTTATTGAATTGAGGGCGCCATCTCGCCGCATTGTATACTTACAGCCAGGCTGCGGGAAGCCTGCCTCGCCGCATATAAGTTGTAGTTACTGGGATGATCCTTCTGGTGGATCGAGAAGAGAAGGCCTAGTCAACAATCCTTGTCGACCTTCCGGACGACGGTGACACATGCGACGATAGAATCCCACACCTCCGCAGTGCCGGCGTCAGGGTTGGAGCTGAAGGGCGGGCGGCCAGCCCCGCGTGGTGTGTTGGAAGGTACCGCAGCGAGCGAACCTTGCTCGATGAACCTCATGGGCGTGAACGTGGTTGACACGAACAGCTTGAGGAAGCCCGCGCCGACGTCTGCTCCTCCTGCGAGGGAGAACGAAAGAGCCTCTGACTCCGTCTCGCCGATGACCATGAACGAGTTCTTGCGAAGAGGAGGGTCTTTCGAGGCCGACGGATTGGGGTGATAGACCATGTTGATGCCGTAGCCGCTAGCGTCCATGTAGGCGAGGTACGGCCAGAGGTCATAGTCGGAGTAGTTGTGCAAGACGACGGCGTAGATCGAGCTCTTCTCGTCGTCTTCGAGCTCAGCTGTTCCGTCGACGATCATGTTGCAGCTAGTGCGCTTCCAGGTGGACGCGTCCAGTCTGTACAGCTCCATGGCTACAAGATCGAGCAGCGGGTTCTCTGGGTTCTTGCGATGAAGGTGCAAATGGAACCGCGCAGCATCATCCACGATCTTGACGTCGCCACTGGTTCGCCGACTCGGAAGCCGGATGACGCGACGAGCGTTCGAAGCGATGACGGGGTCATGCCTCTCCAGGACGAGCTCCCGCTTGCGAAGCTGGACGGACACGTCTGCCTGGTAGGCAGTTTTCACGCGCAGCATGTTCAAGCCAGCCTTAGTCACTGCTTGTTCTGCGTCAGATGGGATGAGATGACGCAGGCGGAAGCGTCGACAAAGGGAGAAGAGGGATTTGCGGATATGGACGCGGAAGGGTGTGCGGTTGTTCCAGCGCGTGATGCGCGCCCACCCGTGGCGTACTGCCAGAGCTGATTTGGCAGATGACTTGCACCGCGCGAGACACCAGGTGGGAAAGACTTCGACAGCGGAGTAAAGCGCCAGAGTCGGGTTCAGAGAGCCACGATGGTTATGGTGGTGGATGCTGAACTCGGTACCCTCCATGATCCCATGAATCGCGCCAGCCTCGACGCGCACCTTCTCGTCGTCGTAGACGTCGATGGAGATGTAACGCCCGTCGGGCACGAAGGGTATGCCGTCGAAGAGGATGCGATCGGTGTGCCTGCCCAACGAGACCGCGCTCTGGTGATCGACCATGAGAGTCGAGATCTCGGTATTTAGATCGTCATAAGTGAGCTTGTGCAAGGCGACGCGCTCCTTCAGAGTCATGAGGGCATGGGTGAAGTTGCCCCCAGATTTGCCTTCACACGCGAACCATCCGGAGCCACATGCCGCCAAGACGACGTGGCTAGCGTAGCTGGAACCAGTGAAGCCGCGACTGGCGTTCTTCTGGCCTGGCTGCTTGGTCGCGCTGCGCCAAAGCCCAGAAAGGAGATCGTTCGGAGATGCCTTGACAGTGGCGGTGTAGCGAACGTGTTTCGGGCCAGCTCCTTCATAGGAGCGAAGAGGGGAGAAGCAGGTATCGAGCATGAGCGTGATATTGTCGCCCTTAGTGCGACAGAGGTCCTCGATCATGGCGTGTAGCGAGCGATCTGATATCCCCGCAACGCGACCCTCCGCTGCGCGAGTGTCATGGTCATAGGGGCACAGGACCTCCACCTCGCCAAGGCCATGCTGGTACCAGCCAGCAGGAGAGCGCACCCGGCTGCCATGGCCTGCGAAGTAGATGAGAATAGCGTCTCCCGGCTCGATGGCTGGGTTATTGATGAGATGACCCGTGAACTTCTCTTCGATCCTACGCTTCGTAGCATCAGAGTCGAGGAGGAGGCAAATCTGGTCTCGCGGGACGTGGAGGTCGCGAGTGAGCCAATGCTTGATGCTCTTCGCGTCGTCGACGCAGGACTCGAGGTTCCATATGCGCCCCGACTTGTACTTGTCGACACCGATGATGAAGGCGAAGACCCGCGTCGCCATTTGGTCACTGCCCTTTGCATAAGAGAGTGTTAGGGCTCAAGACAAAGAAACTGCTTACCTCGCGCGGAACAGTGCGCTTTTGCGAAAGAGCTCGTCGAAACTGGCTCGCTTCCGGGGAGCACAAGACCCCTTTTATTGGTCGGGAACCTGGAGTGCGTATGAGCGCAGCCAGGACCTCCCGCCAAACGTGTTTTCATTTCTGTCTGACGTAGCCCATGAGGATGCTTCACTGCCGCACGTTGAGCAAGACAAGGACCGCGCATCCCTCACCGGACAGACATCGCGCGGCTCGATAGGCCTTAATGAAACAGTATCAGCACGAATCTCACCGAGGGCGGGATCTCGTGGGCCGCGTGGGTGCTTCTTTGAAGTGGATAACGGCGAGTTCGTCCGACATACACCTCGAACGACCCACAAGAAGCTGCGAGATCAGCGGAGCGCTCAGAAAGGATACTTGGGTTGCTTACAACGTGACGTAGAGGGGCGCGGGAAGGTGCATCGCCGAGCCGGTTGCAAGTCGCCTTGGACCACCGTCGCACGCGTCGTGCACGAGGAAGTCGGTATACGGGCTGAGGGTATCCAATGTCTCGTGCGGACTGTGGTCAAGGGCACTCGTCTTCCATATTTACTAGGCTATTCTTGGTTGATCGGGGCTCCTTGGGTTAAACAGGTGCTAATGATTGTTAGACATCCGAGTCATTGCTGCGCACACCTGGCGATGTTTGCCTGACGACTCATAATCAACTGTCCCTTCCAGCGAATGTCTCGCAAGGGTAAGGTTCAGGTTGATGGGCCAACCCGAGTCCAATCTGCTTTCATGGTCAGTCAGCCTCGCTTTGTAGCTCCATAGCAGAGCAGTCGTGATCGCCGTGGTCGTTGTGTGTGGTCATCAGCGCTCAGCGCTCAGCACGCAACGTTTCTACAGGACCTTCCTTTCCAGGCAATCCTCTCAGGCCTCTCCATCACGTGCCATAAACATTGCGCGACTCCGAGTCCGCGAGGCGGCGGCGCGATCGACTCGGACGTAGATCCAAGCCTTAAGCCTCTCGCCCAGTCCTCTACTTGCTCCTAGATACTCTGCTGTCCATATTTGCACGCTCTCTTGCACCTCAGCTTGCTTGCGATCTCTGACCAATCAGCTGGGGAATAATACACCTCATAGACGGCGGATACGCGGCCAAATCATCGCCCTTGTACTACGCGGTCTTCCGGCCCCCGGGCTTCTATAGCACTTTGGTGTGCGTCACTCAAGTCTTCTGTGTCCTTACTTACTAACGATCACAGAATTTGTAGGTCGGATAAGAGCGAGACATATCCGCGTTACGTCCTGTACATCATGAACTTCGTGTGCCAACAGTGCAAGCAACCGCTTCAAGTGAGTATACTATTCAGAGGAAGGGGTTCCACATCACTGATCATCCTCAGCTCGATGAGTCGCTGGTCAACATCACGCCTTCTGCATATGACATGGTAGTCGCGTCATCACCCAGCCCACCATCGTACAGCCGCCACACAGCAGATCCCGAGAAGCTCGCCCAGCTCCCGGCTCCAGCATCCGTCAAGGCAGCATGGCAGCATGCAGCGCAGAGCCGTCCTGGGTCCCCCTCCTCTCCGTCACCTCGCGCGCAGAGACGACAGCCGCCACGCGCGCCGCTGCACCCCAATGAGTCCTTTGTGCTACTGCAAGACAGCGTCGTCCGCAATATTCCCTCGCCCCTTCCCACGAGTGCTCCATCTCCGGCGAAGAGACTGTCTTATCCACGGTCGAGGACCAGCCAGACTCCTCAAGCACCCCCTGCAAATGAGCCGGCACCCGAGGAGGTCAACCATCCGAACCCCTCGCCGCTTTCTCACCATCTGCGGTCCACACTCCGGCTGTTCAATCTGCTGTCGAGCCGGACGGACCTCGACCATCCTCTGTGCGCGGAGTGCACGAACATCCTGTTGACTACCCTCACGCGTCAGCTAGAGGAGACAAAGAAGGAACGAGATGGTTATATCGCGTTCGAGAAAGACGTGAGGAGGGAGCGAGAGCGTGAAGGAGACGGCATGAGCAAGGAGGAGGCTGAGGTGAAGATCTCAAAGCTGAAGGATGAGGAGAAGCTCGCCATTGAGAAGCTGCGGGAGGCCGAGCGAGAACGCGAGCAGCTGGCTGAAGAACTTAGGGCGCTTGAGCTCGAAGAGAAGGCTTTGGAAGAGGAGGAGGCTGAGTAAGCTTATGAGCTAGTCACGCTGATCCCCTACCTGATGCTTGTGTGCAGGTTCTGGCGTGTGCACAACGCACATCTATTGAAATCCGCAGAGCAAGCATCACAACTTGCGGCGCTCCGTGCGGCGTATGCAGCGGATTCCGCGACCCTGGAGAAGCTTGAACGCACCAATGTCTACAATGATGCGTTCTGCATAGGCCATGAAGGGGTCTTTGGCACAATCAATGGTCTGCGGTTAGGCAGGGTACCGGGCGTTCCTGTAAGCGCATGCCGTTGCTCTGTGAGGTGTGGCGCTAAATTCCTCACCAGGTCGAATGGGCGGAGATCAATGCAGCATGGGGTCAAACTCTGCTGTTGCTATATACGATTGCTCGGAAGCTCGATTTTGCATTTGAGAAGTATGTGACCCGAGTCCGTTGACCTTGGCGATCGCTCAACGTCATCTGTATAGCTATCGCCTGATCCCCATGGGATCGTTCTCCCGCATAGAGAGGACAACAGGAGACAAAGCCATCTACGAGCTATACGGATCTGGCGACCTACATCTCGGTCGTCTGTTGCACAATCGCCGGTTTGACTTTGCGATGGTCGCTTTCCTGGACTGTTTGAAGCAATTGATTGACTATGTCAAGTCGCAGGATCAACAAGTCGAGTTTCCTCATCAGTACGTATTACGCAGCTTCGCGTCATTCGGATGCTGACTGACCAATGTGTACGCCTAGGATCGTGAAGGACAAGATTGGCGAAGCTTCTGTCAAGCTGCAGTTCAGTCAGGAAGAAGCATGGACGCGTGCTCTGCGACATGTTCTGTTGGCTCTGAAGATACTGCTCAAGTGGACCACGAACGGCGCCAACGGCTGAACGGCTTGTTGACTGCCCTTTGCTCATGTACCGCTGGGCGTTTCGACTGATCGCTCAGCATCTCCGCAACGGACGACGTCAGTGTGTGCGCGTTCGTGTGCCCTTGCGGTGCCGATGGCGAGATGCCGGTCGTCCAATCTGGAGGGCCCTTGTACACTCCGACTCATTGCGGTCGAGTTATATGGAAGTCTGTAAGTATACTAGATCGCGGCTCGATACGGACTTGTATGTAATAGAAACGTCGTTCGCTGGAATACCGAGAATGCCGCGCGCGCACGCGCACTCATCTCGCTTCTCGTGTAGCCAATCTGTGCTACGATCGGATTCTTCGCAACCCTGCTCCGCGACGCTGCACGACCTCTGCCGCCTGCGGGTGCCATGCTCGACGCCAAGGAAGCTGGCAACGAAAGACGGCGTTGGTGGGAAGACGGGGCTAAGATTCGCATCTGGGGCGCGCGCGTCCGGTGTTCCGGTGCATATCCGATCGAGGGGAAATGCCCAGGCGAGCGCATTGGTCAATCTGCCTGCCTTTGTCATCATCCTCCCCGGGTGTATAACTGGGCTCGACATTCATAACGCACACTCTATCGTTGGCCGCCCTCCAGCTTCCCCTTCTGTCCGCCCCGCGCCCTCTCCTTCTCGCCCGCAATGGGTCTCCTCTCCCTCGGCACCCCTCTCGCGTGGGATGACGCCAAACGCTACGCCGATCACGTTCGGACCCACGGGATCACACAATTCCTCAGCATCTGGGATCGTCTGAAGGACAGGTGCGGGGACGAGCTGCTGTGGGGAGACGAAGTGAGTTTGGCATGTCTGCGACTAGTGTACGCGGCCGTGAATATTTTTGTTCGCATAGATCGAATATCTGGTCGTCTCCTTCGACAATGAAGGAAAGAACGCGAGGCTCTCCTTGCGGCAAACAGAAATCCTCGCAAAGCTCGCCGCAATCACCAGCGACATTGCCTCTGCTCGCGGAGAGTCGTGAGTGCTATTCTCATCCGCTCCGTTGACATACATGAAATCCGCAGACTTAGTGCTTCCGTGCCAACCTTCCACCCGGAGTATGGCCGCTTCATGCTCGAGTCCACTCCTGGATCGCCCTACTCAGGAAGTCTGTCTGACATCCTGTCCGTCGAGGATGACATGCGATGGCGGTACGTCGGGACGCAGAATCCGAGATTTTGTTCCTTACCTCTCGCCTCTAGTCGGCAGTTGGCTCGCAGGTACCTCAAACAGGACGAGATCCCATACACCTTGACGTCCTTCCCACGCCTTGGTGTCCCTGGCGTGTTCACGGACCCTTACTTTGATCCTGCCGACGCGAAGTCCAGCCACAGTTTGTTCCTTCCAGAGGAGATCACAAATCCTCATGCACGTTTCCCGTCGGTAGTGTCTCGTGCTTGGTACCGCTTTCTAGCGTTGAGTCTTTCTCAACTGTTGCAGGACGCTAACGGCAAATATTCGGCGGCGACGCGGCTCGAAGGTCGCAATAAACCTCCCGCTCTATATCGACTCGCGTACACCGCGCCCATTTGTGGACCCGACCATTCCATGGCAGCGGAACATATACGCGGAGGATCCTGGTATGGTGGCAGTCCACTTCTCTGTGTCATTTTTAGTGAGAGAAGCTGTGCCCAGAGGCGAAGCGGGGAGCCGCGCTGAATGACCACATCTACATGGATGCTATGGGCTTCGGCATGGGGTGCTGCTGCTTGCAGATCACCTTCCAGTCCTGCAATGTCAACGAAGCGAGACGGCTATACGACGCGCTAGTACCTGTTGCGCCGCTCATGGTAGGCCATTTGACCATCTTGAGTTTCCATTATCAATAATCGTCATTAGTTGGCATTGACAGCGGCAAGCCCTCTATTTCGTGGCTACATAGCGGACGTTGACTGCCGGTGGGACGTCATATCGGCTTGCGTTGACGATCGCACGGAAGAGGAGCGTGGGGTGAAGGTACGCACGCCGAGTCATGCATTGCAGGTCCGCCGATCTTTAACGGTCCCGAAGCCTCTCAAAGAGAACCGCTTCCGGATCCCCAAGTCACGCTACAGCAGCGTGAGCCTGTACCTCTCCGATCATTGGATGCACAGGCCAGAGTATAACGACATCGACGCCCCGTATGACCAGGCTATCTTCGACCGCCTGCAGAAGCATGGTAGGTGCCCTCACCTCGCTATCTTCTATATGACTGTGTGAGAAGAACTGACAGCTGTCGGTTGCCGAAGGTATCGATAGTATCCTCGCAAGACATATCTCCCACCTGTTCATCCGCGATCCCATTGTCATCTTCTCCGAGACAATCGACCAGGATGACGAGAATAGCAACGACCATTTCGAGGTGCGGTAGGTCTTGTACTCAGGATAAAATCAACCCTAACCACGCTATATGTTACCAGAACATACAATCGACGAATTGGCAAACAGTCCGTTTCAAACCTCCCCCGGTCAACTCGCCCATCGGCTGGCGCGTGGAGTTCCGCTCAATGGAGGTTCAAATGACCGACTTCGAGAACGCCGCCTTCTCGATCTTCGTCGTCCTGCTCTCTCGCGCGATCCTCGCCTTCAACCTCAACCTGTACCTTCCCATCTCCAAGGTACGTCTTCCTTACAAATTTGACGGCTCTGATAGGCCGAGCATAATTTGATGTTGTGTGTGAAAGGTCGACGAGAACATGGCCCGCGCGCAGAAGCGCGACGCCCTACACACGCAGAAGTTCTACTTCCGCAAGGACGTGTTCCCGCCGGGTGGACCGTCGCGGCCTGAGAGCCGGTGCTCGTCGTGTTCCAGCTCGGGCGCAAGCTCGCCCGCGACGTCCCCGGTGGACGGGACTCCCAGGAAGGAGAAGAAGCTGAGGAACTGCTGGCCCTCAGTGCCGCGTCCTGCGAACGGTGTGCACGCGAAGCCGGTAGAGGATGAATACGAGGAGATGTCGCTGCAAGAGATTATGTTCGGGAAGGTGAGCAGCGTGGGTATTATCCGCGGTCGGTCTCTAGTAACGAGGCGTCTTTGGGCGTGCAGGCCGATGCCTTCCCAGGTCTGTTCGGTCTTGTCTATGCGTATCTTGACACGCTAGACATGGAGGAAGAGGAGCGCGTGAAGTTGGAGCGCTACCTCGACTTGATCAAGCGGAGGACAGATGGTATGTGCCGATAGCGATTTGTATGCTGGCTGCGCATGATGAGCCACGATGATAGGAACGCTCAAGACCGCGGCAACCTGGATCCGAGAATTCGTCCGTACTCACCCAGCGTACAAGTTTGACTCGGCGGTCAGCCAGGAGATCAACTATGACCTCTTGGTTGCCGTTGACGAGATGTGAGCGGTGTTCTAAACCCTTCGAGATTACTGACACTGAACATCGCACGCGATGGCTACAGAGAACGGGGCGTGAGACACACTCCCGACTTCCTTCCTCAGGGTGCCAAGAGGTAGAGGGTCCGAAAGATCAACACATTGTATCCCTTGCATTCAGGTGTACGAATCGCATAGAGGGGGTGAACACTGTAGCTTTGTCTGTATCATTGTCTGTCGTAATGTTTTGCATTTAGTGGGTCGTAATGAAAATGGGACTGTAGCGTGGCACCTTGGAACTCGTAAGGAACTCGTAAGGAATACACAGTAGCTCGGAGACAAAGATAGCTTGTTTTTGAACATATGATATGAAGTTGAGAGGGTGCTTGTATACTATCCTCGCCCCTGGCATATGCACCGCGACTTACAAGCTCTTACAAGGTCCGCGGTTCGGTGCACGTGTTACATTATGATGAGTAGATACTAGTTGGCATTAGACTCGTAAACCAGTCACGTTAGAGAGCACGTGCTCGCTTTGGCGGAGTTTGAATGGGCGAGCACCTCTCTAACGACTGGGACAATTGGAAGGCGTTTTGGGGGGTCCCTAACGCGCTGCCGCATTTGGTACCCCGTGAGAAACGACACTTAGAGAAATCGCGCGCATTGCGCTCGCCACTATAGAGGGCGGTGGTCAATGTGTTGCAGTTGCGAGTCTCGGTGGCCGTAAGCAGCCTCAACCAAGGTATGTATTCACATCATCCTGATCCCTCTTACAACTGCTCATGCTCATTGAGCCAATTCTCCCGACTCCAGTCTCCCGCCGTCTCTTTTCTATCCGACTAGTAGTCGTCATCGGATAGCCCCTGCGAAGGAGCCATTTCTTCCGTTGCGTGACCTGCCGTTGTATTGACTGCGTCAGCGTTTGATGGCTCCGATGTGGATCCCGTCCGTTCGCTCCGGCGGTCTTGTGCAGTGTCGGGCGGTGCGGTGACCTGATCGCGTGCTGGGCCCAGAGTACATAGCGACGCTGACAAGAGGTGATGTCACGGTTCTCCTGCAGCACTTCCTGGGCCGAATCATCATCTTCAAGTTGTTGTGCTTGCTCAGCGAGCCCGCAAGCTGCAAGAAACCGGCCGCGACAATGTTTGGGACAACATCCGAGTCTTTGTCGCTGTCAATAATAGTACGTCCCAGCCGAGTCCCGTAGATGCGGTCCTCGGCAAGCGACCGTCGAAACTCCCAGATCTCGCATGTGAGGTTTGACGGTGTGTGTTTCGAGGAGAGGATCCTGACCTTTGTGCAGAGTACCAGTTGCTGCCGAGGTGTCTGGGCAGATGTATTTGAGAGCCCATTCACAGGTGAGTACCGCCTTCTCGCTTTGGTGATTCCGAGTCTCAGCTCACGCATACACAGCCACCACGGGAGCATGCTGTGACACATGCCACCTCAAAATACTCAATCAAACGCGCCCCGGGGTCACCGCGCGAGCAGCGAAGACCAAGCGCATAGTACGTGGCCTGCTTGTCTCCGTTGCATACCATAATAGCCGGCAAGCGTCGTGGCCCAACCGTCGCCCACGGCCCAGCTCGAGGCACCTCCTCCGCAAACATCGCCCATGGCTCAGGCCCAAGCACTCACCTCGCAAACGTCCAACACTGTTCCAGTCGAAGCACCCACGTCCCTACTGTCACCGGTCTCCGTCTCTCCCACCAAGGCACACTGCCACCTGAGTCCGACATCCGAGTCGACGTTCCACATGCCAGTGGTTCCCGCGACTCTCATCGATCCACCGGTGGCAAACGGCCAGCTGTATCAGACGAGGAACACTCACAGGCGGGCCCAGCCGCTGCGCGACCAGCGAAACGTGCTCGCGACGACACGCAATGCACCCGGACCGCCGAGCTCCATTCCATCGGCTCGGCATCAAGCGCGAACATACGCTCCGAGTCTGCTCAAGGTCAGTTCGCTAGCGTGTCAGGCGGAGCGTCGTACAAGTCCTTCTGGGGATCGTTCGAGTCCCTCGCGGACACCCAACTTATGGCGGTTGCCGTAGATGGTATGGCTCCTCGCGTGTTGTACCGGGGTGTTCCATTGGTCAGGCATATGTAGGATGTAACAAAGCAAGCTCAGAGACATTCAATATAGTGCTGTTTTACGTCGAGAGTCGAGCTACCCGATGCTAGGCAGTGCACCCACTGTGTCCCAGGGTGAGATGCACGCGATTTCTCTAAGTCCCAAGTCACAACTTACCATATATGGGACCCCCCCAAAAGGGCGCCCAATTGTACCAGCCGTTCTGCGAACGAGCTTGCGGAGTTCGAAAGAACGGCTGGTCACGAGCCTAAGTTGGCATGGACGGGAACGTTTCGATGGCAATGAACTTGAGGGTGCGTATTGCACTATCCCATACGCAAACCAAGAGGCAGTAGCTCACAGGTTCATCGCCAGTTGAACCGAGGCAAGCCGATGTGCAGCCATTATTGTTCTGGCTGGGCGCCGCATTCATCATAGTGCTTCACCTCCACAAGTGGTATGAACGTTAGCTTGGTAGTGGTATCTTCCCAATCGTACATACACACATTCTACATGACACAAGACTCACAACTTGCCCCTATGTCTCTTGAAGGCTTCCTGAACACCCGACCCTGCCACAATGTCGGTCATGCACCGAGCATCGATCTCTCTACCCTTAGCTGCCAGCTCCAACACTCTGTCAACCAGACCAACGGGAACGCACACGACTCCGTCTTCGTCTGCCACCACGTAGTCTCCCGGCTCGACGTGCACCGCCTCGAATGTAACCTTGAACGCATCCGAAGAGAACTGGGGTTGGATGGTGAGAGGCACATTCACCGCAGAGGGGCGCGTGAAGGGTGATTGTCCGAGGGTGGAATGGCCTCTGGCGAATACTGGAAAACCGGCACTACGGTGCTCGGCTAGATCCCTGCAGCGGCCTGAGATGACCACACCAACGGCACCTCGTGCTTGGGCACCGGCCGTCATGAGTCCTCCCCAGACAGCGTTCTTCGTTTCTGAGCGACGATGGCACCATGGTCAAAGCACAGACGCATATCGCGTCAACACCAGCATAGACACCAGTGAGCACCAAGCAATACAGAGATGAAGGAAAGCTACTGAACGAGGTGGTGCATCGATGACAATCACGGAGCCTTGAGGTGCGGTATCGACGAAGTGAGCAGGAGGGCGGGGGCTCGACTTGTCGGAAGCTGGGACCATCTGCACAGTGTATGCTGGTCCACATATCCGCATGTTTGACGCGCCAGAATGTGGTGAAAACATGTTCATATCAGGTATGAAGCCCCCGTGGGGCAGACCGATCTTGACGAGCGCGTCAGACAGCTCGCAGGTAGAGAAGTCTGCCAAGCTGGGAGAGGATGAGGACGGCATTGTACGTGCTTTGGCTATCGTAGTCAAGAGAAACTTGTGAATTATGTGCGAGGAGCAGTGGACATTGAACGGCGATGGACGTCGCAGCAGCGGACCTGCAGGTGGCTTGACGAGTCGAAGCGTCATTGTGCGAGCGTTACTGATGCGATAAGTGGCTTGTAAGTATCGCATAATGATCTCAGTATACAAAATATTCCCACAGTCATTGTTTCTGATAAGCGTCGGCAGTCCCGGTCAGCTCGGGCCATTGAGTGTGCAGTGACCTCGGACTTGCCTCACACCGCCGAGCGGGCTGCGGACCAGCGTCGGCTTGCCAGCGACCTACCGTCTCTCCGCACAACACCCGCAACACACACAACAACTGGGCTGTCCTAGGCAGCGGGATCATCTGCTTGCATGCCAGTTACTCTTGGTTCTGATTCTTCCGACGCGCCATGGTCAAATGCGTGGCGGACATCCAAGAAATATGTTCGCAAGGCGAACAAGGCTATGATGCGTTCACATCGCGTTGTTATTCCCAAGTATGACATGCCCATACGCTTGCGACCGGTATGTTTCCGATCAGCCTCCGCTGCACTGCTCTCAAACTGCACATCCAGTGGTTCCTCGTCTTTACCGCAGTCATAATGCTCATACTCGCATTTCTCGGCTTCGCGAATGCCTCACATGGCTTGCCGATCAACGCCAGGCTGCTTCATTTCTTCTGCCTATGCTTGGCAACGGGTGTCTTCTACTTCATTTTTGATGTCGAGGAGTATGTATTCAACCCTACTACTGTCTGTGAACACCGTGTAATGACATCACCACGCAGAGATGCTCGCCGAATCTGGTTCTGGCGTAGTGCGCCGTTGATATTCACCGGTGTCACCTGCTTCTTTCTTGGTGGGATCGTCAGTGAATTCGTGCAGTCATTACTTCCGGTACGTGGTACTCGTGGCGTGAGTTCCTGTATACCCATTGTATCTGGTTACTCTAGCATCAGGAGTTCCACATAGGCGACATTGCAGTGAGTTCAACGCCCATTGTGCTAGCTGAGACTCTTGACGAATTATTGCCAGGCAAACCTTCTCGGTTCTAGCCTTGGACTGTACGTTGCATATCATCTCGAACGTTACTACCGTCACAGACGAGAGGTATGCTACCTCAGTACTACAAACGTTGTGTCCACCTAAGCTCCGTACAGATATCCCGCCTCTACCAGCCTCTCCAACTCGATCCGGACCAGGAAGAGGACGACGACATCGAGATCAGCGCAACCCCCTTGCTTCCCAGCCACTTCCAGTCAGGCGCCTCGCGCAACGCGTCCAAGTCCGGGAGCACAGCCAGGACTGACGTCGGCAAGGTTCGTCTGGACAATGTCTGGGACGAGGGTGAGGAGCTCTTTGGCATCGGCGACGACACCGACGACGAGGTTCCGCAGACCGCGAAGCCCACCAGTCCAGGGGCAGCGCCCAAAATCGTGGTGACCGGATCAGAAGAGCCATCGTAGGCTGCGGGAAAACGCAGCGAGGACTTGCTTCGTGTACATCTTATGGATGAACGATCGTTGTACAAGAGATTGTTGTAGCTCTATCGTAAATTAACGCAGTGCATCTCAATTATCAACGTGGACGTCTGTGATAGTATCATATAGACGCAGTACTCCGGTCCACACAGGGGGTAACTTGTTTGTTTGTTCCCGTTCGTCTCGCTGAGGGCGACGCTCTATGTAGGCATGAAAATCATTGTTCAGGCAAACGAGACGCCCCGTAAGTGTATCTACTTCTCTTCGTCGTGTCATCTTTCTTCCTTCCCCCGTCGCGTCGCATGCCCGGGAGGTAACTTAACGGTACCGTCCTCTGCAGCGTTCACTCAACTGCTCGAAGGAGTGTCTTGATGACGACTGCATTCTAGTCCTATCTGTGTGCCTAGCTCGACAAGGTTTTTATTGGTATGTCCGACTAAGCTCATCCTCGAGAACGTCTACAGCCTCTTTGAGCTCCGCAATCTCGTCTGTACGCTTCGACACCGCCTGCTCCAGCCCGTCACAAGCCTTGTCCGAAACAACAAGCACGCGTTCGTTGACAGTCTGGTCGAGTGTTGCCTGCAAACTGAGTCAGCCCAATCAAGCCAACAGGACGCAACACAAGATCACCCACCCTTAGGTCCCTCTCCAATCCCTCACCCACTCTGTCATAATCCTGCAGCCACTTCCTCTTCGCCCGCTCGAAGCGCCCCACAGCCCACCGGACACCAGCGACAGCACCGAGCATGCCCACGCCAATTACGGTCTCCGCCTGCATCGCCATATCTATGATGCCCAACTGTCCAGCCCATCCCGCCCATGCGACGCTCGCGCCCCCGAAGACGCTGCCGCTCATGCCGATGAGCACACGCTGAGCAGTGCTTTGCAAGCGGCCGGTGGGGTAGCGGAGCTGCTGTCGCCGGGTATAGAGCGGCTGGAGGAAGGCGGCGGTGTCCATAGGGAAGGTTGGGGATAAGGAGATCTGTGAGAGTTGGTTTTGGAGGACGGGGGAGTGGAAAGCGGACGAGGACTTAAAGGATGCGGTGAATGCAGAAGCGGAGTCCACAAAAGAGCGTTGGAGGAACGCCAGTCGGCCTGCATGGAAAACGAGCTATGACACTTGTGAGTTCTAGTGCAATGCGAGCAAGGAGCACACCTACCCTATACTCGAGGTCCCTGCACCACGCCCTGTTCACAGCATCCGTAACGGTGTCTCCCACATCGTCTACCTTCCACAGTAGCTTCCACCACGTCAATCTGTCGAGGACCGTCTTGACATCTTTCCTTGACTGGTCTACCGCACGCTGGACCTCGTTTCCACCCTCTGTGCCTCCGAGCACCTCTCTTGGCGTCCGTACCCTGATCTCCTCCATCCGGGCCCGCAACGAGCTGATGCCGTCGCATACCACATTGACCTCGTCTTGAGCACGACCCAGCTCCGCATTGCATGCGGACAGAGCGTCCTGGGTGACTGCCCGGGCCGTCTCTGCATGCACCACCTCGATGGCCTTTGCCGGCGACCCCAATTGAGGAATCGTCTGCGAGATTGCCTGGGTGAGCTTTGGAACGTTGGAGCCGGCGAAGTCGTCCTGGTATCGCTGCACGGCAGAGGGGGACGACGGTGATGAGCTGAGTGCCCGAAGGCCCTGCAAAGCACGAGCCGGGTCCACGAAGAGGATCGTGAGGTCATGGCCGAATGCCGCTCGCAGACGTTCGACAAGCCTCTCGTCGCCAGACGTTGATGTCAGCACTAGGACTGCGTTCGGATGGGTGAGAGGCAAGGCTGCCTCTGAGGCGGCGGATAATACGGTATGCAGCGGAGTGGATGCGGGGTTGCAGACAATGACAGGAATATCAGCAGTGAGTAGAATTTCGGAGGAGGGTAGGCTGCCAGCTGATTTCGACGAGGAGCTGTCAAATTCCAGCAGCTTTACAGGGGCACTGAACTGTAGCAGCCATGCAGACCGTAGCTGTAGGGCAGAGTCGCCATTCGAATCCGTCGAGTATCTGCGTTGAGACGAAGTGTTTAGCCACAGCATTGTTGGGATCCAACATAACCTACTCAATTACGACGGGACCCTTCGATCCCGACTGAGCTCCCCATCGAGAGTGAACAGCTTTTCTTTGCACTTCAGACGCAAAGGGCTCTTCAAGTATCGCAGCGACCAAGTCTCGTGCCCCCGAGAATTCGTCACATCCGAACACTATAAACTTTCAGTGAACCCTGATAAAATGTCAATGAGCATCGATTACGACGCACCAGCGATACGGATCCTGTCGGCCTGCTTGGATTCCAGTGTAGGACAGAGGTCGTCATACGTTCTGCCCAGTGTACGCTCCCAGAACTCCAACGAACTCATCTCCGACGGCGCGTGCACTTTCCGAGGAAGCACATGCGGTACCAACTTCCTCGCTTTATGCAGGACAGTCATAACCCGATGTCCAGCATCATTTGCAGCAGACTTGGGTTTGAGAGCTGTGGCTGCCGCAGAAGATGCAGCCCTTTGACTGCTTGTACAGCGTTTCACGCTACCATGGCCCGGGGATTTCCAGCCAGTACGCAAGGTGCCACAGGCGTGTGCGCGAGCTATGCGGAGCGAGCATGAGCTACAGGTCGTGAAGACCGCCGGCATTGAGAACGAGAGGCATCCTGCCTCTCGGAGCGCGCGAGACGCGTCGAGCACGCGTCTGGTGTTGTCCGCCACCTCGCGCGCCCGTACATCTCTGAGTGCGAGTCCGACACAATGGCCTAATTCCTCGTTTCACTTGCTCATTCGCTCTTTTGGAGTCCCGCTTATACTGTTGTTGATAGCTAGTCTTGACCACTTACAGAGTGAATCGTGACACTCGCTACTTCCATAAAGCAATAAGGTAGCAGATGTCGACCATACCCGAGACCCATCAAACGCGATGTGCATGTATGGGGTATGGTACAATGAGATGAGCAGTGATTAAACAGAGAAAACGTAAGACAGAAAGACAGAGTGTACATCTAGGGTCCAGAAAGTCATGATGGCTGTGCTTGCATAGTGTCCGGTACTGCAACAGTATTGCGTCAGGGATGATCAACAGCTATGATGTATCCGACACTCACGTGGAGGAAGTTGTGGTCTTGTGCCTTCGTTGAAGACCCGAGATACAAGGACACCGACACCCTCAAAGACACTGAGAAGGATGCCGCACGCAACGGCTGAGCTCAATGCTGAGCGCGGCCCACCTGCACGACGATCACCATTAGCATTCATTCAATCATTATCGTCAAATCCACTGGGGCAGACCGAGAAGGGCAGAGCAGAGCATCTTGTCAAGGACGATAGGACGGCGCCTCCTGGGTCCAGTAGCTGAGACAATAACGAAAGGATGTACGTACTCCGTGCAGCAAGACATCCACCCGTCAGGAAGCCAGAGATGATCGCATTCCACATATCCTCCTTTTGCCGCCAACCCTTCACGGCGCAGTCGAATGTCGAGAACATGCCACCCCATACACCGAAGTTGCCTCCCGTTACAGGGGCCCGCGCCTTGATGACAGACATCGCGCCGACGAGACGGTCACCCTAGGCAGGGATAAAGTCAATCACCAATGCTAAGATGTATAGCCCAGCACATACCCTTGGTGAGTTCCGTGCACCCTTGATCCCATGCCAGATGGTGCCTCCTACAGCACCCATCGCAAAGGCGCTACCGAAGTCGGAGAGGATAACCCATGGGCTATGAGGTGGCATGTAGCTCAATACACTAGAGCGGTAGCATAGAACACCAAAAACTCACCAAGGGTCGCGGGTGTGATCTGCGTGGGCCATGCCGTCTTTTTGTGTATGTGGTCGCTGCTGATGACAGTGACGAGGGCGCTGCAGCAAGCGGGCTGTGGCTGAGAAATTTCGACGGCCAGGGATTGGCCGGGCATGTACGTCACGTGCGGACGCGCTGCATGTGATGGTCAAGACGCGGTGGTGGCTCGTCGCTCCGCCTTCAACTCAACCACGACGACGATCTCCACCATGCGACCCTCGCTACCCAAGTCTGCCTCGTCCTCCTCCGTCGCGCGCAAGAACTATGCCTATGTAGATGTTCCGCCTTCACCTTACCCAACGACGCGTCAGAGTATGGGCGGCTCCCAGTTGTCCAGCAGCAAGGAGAACACGCCTTTTCGGCCCAACCAGAGCAGCAAGGGTAAAGGCACCGAAGCTGACCAGGTCTTCACTTCCACTACCAGCGCGAGGAAGCGGAAGCTTTCCGACGCGTCTGGTCCAACGTCAGAGCTTCCTACGCGTGACGAACATCATGTCAAGAAACCGAGAGTGTCAGAACCTTCCGCCCCAGCAGCTGCTGAAAGGCAGCAGAACATGCGCAATCAGGAGATGCGCGTAGGTCAAGACGAGCCTGTGATCTACTGCCATCAGTGCAACCAGAAGCGTATCTTGTCCGGTCAGTCTTCAACTAAATTAGCTTTGTCATCCTTGTTGTATTCACGCTTTCACGAAGACGGCATTCAATGCACGAAGAAATCTTCGTCCTCTCGTGCCTCTGATGGGCGCTGTTCAGCCAAATACTGTCGGAAATGTCTTCACAACAGATATGACGAGGATATGAACGAGATAAAGGCACGGGGTATACCTACGCTTTCGAAGAAAGAGCGCGAACAGCATATCCTTAAAGATGGTTATGTATATGAGTATGTTGTAACATCAATACGTTGTTTCCGCGATGTTGACGGTCTGCTATAGATGTCCTCGTTGCAGGGATATCTGCAATTGCAGAATATGCAGGAAGGCAAAAGGTCTGGAGCCGACGGGGTAAGTTATCCATCTCATTCGCTGATACTCCTTCACCAAACCCCATTACAGGAAGTTCCTGCCTCAGCCCGATCTCTCATCGGAGAGGCCTGCGCCTGTGCCCGCCAAGGCAACGACCAAGGGCTCCACAGCCGCGGTGCGTCGTACCGGCACGTGCCTGAACTTTTACGCTGACGAGGGTCGCCCCAGTCGACATCACAATCCACTTCTCGTTCAAAGGCAACGGACATGAAGAAGACTGTCGCTTCTTCTGCCCCAGTACAGGAGAAGAAAGCGACAAAACCTACTCAAGCCGTCCAGAAGACTGGTGTACCGGCGCAGAAACCCCGTGCGCCCAGGGCAAAATCCGCTCCTCCGCCCAAGCCTCTTCCGAAGCCTCTGTGGACACGTATAGAGACGTCCCTGGATCAACCCGCAGGGGAAGTACGCATCTACATCCGCGAATTCGTGCAGCGGTTCTCTTCTGTGCTAGACATTGGCAAGATCAACCTTGAGGAGCTAGAAGAGGTCACCGGCACTACCGGCGAGCATGGCGCCCGCGTTGGTGAAGATGAAGAGGCCGAAGTTGAAGGCTGGGTCTCAGAGCCTTGTGTCAAGGCCATCATTCTTTCCCTCCTAACTGTCATCGCGAATGGCGTAGCCAACGATGCGATCGCCAGAGTGGCCAAAGGGCCTATCAGCGACATCCGCGGGTCCGGTGCGAATCTCAATAAGATCTGGGTGGCCCTTGCGGCACTGCGCGACGGATTGCGAAAGGTCCCGTCTTCCCCGTTCCAATATCCTGATCCCCTTCTTCCGCCGGCCTCCGTCGTCTACCGTACCACGCGCCATACCCACCAAGTAGACACCGATGTCTACGTCGGCAATTCTGCCCAGCTCGTGCCTATCGTCGCTTCTCTGATCGAGTCTGCTCTCCTTACCAAGGCTATCCGCGAGGAACTCGACCATGGCCTGGAGCAAGAGAAGACACTGTCCAAGGACGTCCGCGAGGAGGTCAACAGGAACAAGGCGCTGTACGACAAGCTAAAGTCCAAAGGGAAGGGTCCGACCAAGGCGGAGCGAGACCAGCACAAGCAGGCGCTCCAGGATATCGAGTACGCGCACCGCGTTGCGTCCTCGAACCATATCTTCCGCTACACGCCTCTAGGCCAAGACCACGAAGGCCGGGTGTACTACCTCTTGACGCCTTCAGAGGCCGAGCGAGAGGCCGCCTTGCAGCTCATCGCAGGCAAGGACTCCAAGGTCAAGATCAACCGCAGGAGAGGCGGGCTCACGGAGGAGGACCGACGCGCGATGCGCCGGTGGTCGTGGATCGTCGTCGTCTGGGGCAGGCTCCCAGATGGCGCCGCGAGGAACGAGGCTGAGGACAAGGACGACAGGGACGACGCCGGCGAGGAGCGCTGGTGGGGCTTCTACGAGCCGCAGGAGATACAGAAGATGGCGGAGTGGATCGCGATGGAGTGCGAGTTGGGCGACACGAAGCTGAAGCGGCGTGGCCGTCGCAACGGAGAGGCGAAGGCAGGCGACGACGACAACGTGCTCGAGAGGACTGCGTTCGGGAGCAGCCCGTCCACCTCCCGTGCGCCGTCGCCGATGTCGGACCTCTCATCGGACGAGGAAAGCGACGAGGAGAGTGACGAAGAGGTGGATCTCAGTGCTTATATGCGTGTCGATGCTCAGGGCAGACCGGTGCCTACCAGGAAGCAGCTACGGGAGCTGGTCAACGGTTTGCGAGAGTACGCAGAGTTGCTGCAGTGGCGTATTCGTCGCATCAGCGGGGAACCGATTGGTACGGCCGGAGTGAAGAACATTGCCACGAATGGCGCTATTCCTGCGAAGAAGTTTTACCATTAGGTCACTACCTCTGTCGGAGAGCCTTCGCACAGTGATACCTCAGGTGCTTTGTAGATTGTCGTGGTTTCATTATAATGCTGATCCTAGTGCGATGCACTGTACGATATATACGTGGTAGATCCTAATCTGGTTCATGTACAAAGCTGCCATTTATCGGTCTAATAGTACAATAGACAGTCCAATGCGAATAGTGTCAACTTGCACAGTGTCGTACAGACAAAGCCGCCAGATCATTGGGCTGTATGTTTCGCTCTATACACTTGGACAATCTCTCGGCGACCAGAGTGGCTAGCAGATGCTTACACTGTCGCATGCGCATGAGCTTGAAGCATCGCTGCAGGGGTATAGCACTCACCATGATCTGCGTTCGTGATAGCAGTACTGAATACGCAAACGCAGGACATGTACAGTAGGACGATGACTTGTTGTCGGGGGAGGGTCCCGGAAGCCCAGGGAAGACGGTGTAGTTAGCAGTCGAACCATATACCTCATATTGTATGCCGCCCCATGGTTTCTTATATTTGATGACTTTATAACATGCTGTAGACACAAGACCCCTCAGAGAATCTCGCCGACTTACCGCTCTCCCTGTCGATGAGGTCCAAGGCAGCGAGCACGAGTGTGTCTGAGAACAAGAAGCGCAGCTTCTCCAGACCATCCTCGTCAACTAGGGGTGTGTAATGAGAAAACATATCGATTTTTAATGTGTAGCATCGTGCTTACAGGTGTCGGGCCGAATAGACTCCAGCACGGTTGGTACAAGAGCGGATGTGGCCATGCCGCAGTTTGATGTCCTTGGATCCACGCGGTGTTAGTTCGATTGGAGTTGTCGATGCAAGGATACTGAAGGAATTTGTGCCACAATCCGTTGAGCGAGTCTCGACAGCGGTTCGCTGTATTCCAAGTGGTGGCGCATACGTGTGGCCGGAAGCCTACTCCCAGCGAGGACAGCCGCTGGTGGTTGGCGGTTGTTTGCTGTTGTTTAATTCCAAGGCTCTTGCCAAACAACCTCTGAGATCGCATCGGGAAGCCACACAATCCTCGATCTGACGAATTGCACCTACATCAATCTTGCACACATCTTCCGTCGGCCACTCCCACTCCCCGCAACATCGCACTAAATGGGCCTACAGTATCTGTTTGTTTTCGCACAGGCACACGAAGAGTTTCGCATACCCGAATTGCTGTCCATTGCGGAGCTGCATGGGTTCGAAGTCACATTTCCACCGCCGCCTAGTGATATCTCGAGACCCTTTATGGTTCTCGAGCTTGAGAGCGAAGTGCATGCCAGGATATTGGCACGGCGATGCATTCTCGTGAAGTAGGGTTGGCTTTTGAGCGTAAAGCCACATCGCTGAGGGAGTGCGCTCGTTTCCCAGATTTGTCTGCGAGTTCTACGGCAGAGGCAAGGCGTACGAAGAGCTTCATGAACAAACCCGGAATAACCGCGAGAAATGGTCCCAATATACTCAAGACACTTCATTCAAATTCTTCATCTCTGCCTACAACCACACGGTACCCCAGAAACGCATGAAGGACGTCGTCGAGAGCTTCCATTACATGGACTTTCAGGGTAAGATCGACATGAACAACCCAGAGATCGTCCTGGCATGCTTTGAAGAGTGTGAGCGCTATAACTGGTCTGTCGCTCATCTCTCGACTGACGCGATTTGAGCCCTCAGACCGTGACAAGCGCGGCACCACCCGCCATAAGCACGAAGGCGATGGTGACTTCGAGGAAGTATTCTTCGGAAGGTTGGTACGTCCAGCGTAATCATCGTCGATGTCACAACTTGAATTTCCCTTTGTCTGGGTTCAGCTAGAAGAGGGTACAGCTCGGCCCTTGGTCAAGACATTCGATGTGAAGAAGCGGGCTTACTACGGGAACACCAGCATGGAAGCTGAGATATCTCTGCTTATGGCAAACCAGACTCTGGTCAGTGTCTCGCCGACTGACCCCGCTGACTTAATTTGAGATAGACTTGCAGGCCGCCCCAGGGAAACTGATTTATGATCCTTTCATTGGAACAGGGAGCATGGCCTATGTCAGTGCTACTACCCTACTGTCGGAAACTGCGCTTTCCAACTGACGGCGTCATTAGACCACAGCACACTTCGGCGCCCTCGTCTTCGGCTCTGATATTGATGGTCGACAAATGCGAGGCAAAGGTGAGTCCGAGTGTCATAGATGCCCACGTGGTTGCCTAACTTGTGGTAGAGAAGCAACCAGGCATCATCCGCGCAGCGGCGCAATACGGTGTTGCACATCGCATTATTGACCTATGCACCTTCGACGTGACGCGCAATCCTTGGAGATGTGGAGAGCTGTTTGACGCCATCATCACGGATCCTCCTTGTGAGTTTAGTCACGGTACACTCGACCTCGTATTGAGTATAGACTGCTAGATGGCGTTCGTGCGGGCGCAAAGCGACTAGGAAGGAAGGCCAGGCCAGATAAAGCCCCGCGACCCAAGCCTGCAGAGCCTTTCTCCAGCAAGCGACCGTTCGTACTCCCACACAATCCCTCCGCCTGTCACTGAGCGTTCGGATGCAGAGATGACGAACCATATATACCGCCAACCATGCCCTATGAGCTGTCCTCGCTCGTCGTGGACCTTGTCCTACTAGCACGGTATCTCCTCAGGCCTCGCGGACGACTAGTGTTCTTCCTGCCAACGGTGACGGACGAGTACGAAGAACTCGACATTCAGACTATGCTCTGCGAGGGCATGGAGGTCGTCGCCAATTCGCTGCAGAACTTCGGCACTTGGGGTCGCAGGGTGCGTCTATTCCTCGCCCTTACACCGTCCGAATTGCCCAATAGTGACGGTTCCACGTCGTAGCTCATCACGATCCGCAAAATCACATCGGAGCGATATCCGCCCCCGACATTTACATCGGCGCAAGATACCCCAGACGACGGAAAGGCGCATACACCAGCCCACAAGGATTTCCGCGAGAAATACTTCCAGGGCTTCAAAAAGGCGGAAGATGAGCAATTTGGAGAAACAACTGAGACTTGACGTTCGACCTGTAGTCATGTACAGAGCGACGAAGATGTAAAAGGACTGGTGTAAGCTACGAGGACAAAGGGTAACGAAAGCGTAGAAAGCGAATACGGACGGATAAACGTATGCATATGGCGAGTAGCAGCGAGAACTAATGAGACAGCGGTATAACATGCGAGCGGATGAAAACCGAGAGAACAACTTTGAGACTTGTACGCGGAAAAGGTTGCTTAGTGGTTACGGTTGTCAATGGAACGTGCAGTCGCGGCGATCCGGAAGTTGACGGGCACAACGGTATGCCTTACAGACACAGCGTCAATATCTCAATCCCGTGAAAACCCGAGTCAGACACTCACTCATAGAACGTCTGCACATCTGCACCCTCCATGACGACGATATCTCCCTGTTCAGCGGTCAGTGTATCTCCGCAACAGAGAAGAGCGGTGACCGTACGTGTCGGAGATACAACGTGAGTGCATTCCTATCGCCTCCCTGTCCTCTCTTCTCAGTATACCTTCCAAGGAGGCGGAAGTACATGTACGCCCCCGATCCCAGCGACAAGGAGGCTATGACCGGCCCCAGGCCCCGCTCAGCATCGCTATGGAACTATACGCCATTCAACAATTGAATGCCGTCGGATCGTGCAGGAACTGAGAGAGGACGCACCGCCATCTTTTGCTTTTCCATGTACGCGGCGCTGAGGACCTCGTTGAAGTTTGCATTCATGTTCAAGGCCTCTGTCATGCGGATCCTGATGATGTCGAGGGCGTCGCGGACGGCGCTGGGTGCTCGGTCCCAAGGAACAGTATTGTCCGTCCCGCCGACGTACTGCAAACATGTGAGCATCGAAACTCAGTGATTACAGCGAGAGATAGCTTGCCTGGTATGGTTCCCCAGCTAGGATCACAGCCTCTTAGCAAGCGCACGACATAGAAGACATACAGCACGTACAGTTCTGTGAGAAGTAATTTGTCAGGAGCGTTCCTCTACCTGCAGATCTGGTCAGAACGTCGATTGTCAACGAGTATAATCAATTACATTTGTGCTGCATAGCCTGTCAGACAAAGAATACTGCACCCGTACATGACGACTCACAGCACGTAGGGGCCATCGACGGAACAACAGCTCTCCATCAGTGGCCTGCACCTGATAATCCCTGAATGCTCGGTCTGCGGATTGCTTCTCCGTCCGGGGTGCACAGATGAGGTGGATACGCCCTCTGTGGTACAACATGTGTCAAATTCGGACAAGAGTTTCTTTAGTGACGTACGTACCTATTGTGTGGGAGGATGTAGGTATGACATTGACCCCAATGGTCACCAAGCTTGCATATCCTCATGGGAAGCGAGATGATTCCTGTCGGTACGTTCATAAGCAATACTTTAATTCCGCTGCAATCAGTACCTGAGTCCGGAGCAACCACGTGGTTGGTGAAGCTGTCCGGGCCTTTCTGTGACCAGAAGTCTTTTGGGCCCCGAACGCGCCCGGAAACCCTGTACCGTTCCTGTATAGCCGACTTAGTACACTGTCCCTCTCAGACGAGGGGTGATGGATATCTACTCCGCAGTGTTTGCAGTACCAGTGCTCCCACATATACCTGCAGGTCATCAGCGCCGGCAGCAAGTCATCGCGGAGATCCCACCCTACCTGCAGGACAGACGACCACACCGCCTGCAATGCCAGCCCTTGCAGAACATCGAACTGGTCGTGATCCCATCCTCCGCTTCGGCCACCGGCGGACTGGGTCGTAGATCCTCCAAGTCTTCTGGCATGAATGATATCGGGTTGATGAAGGACTTGGCATAGGTCAGCGTCGTTGGTGCATTGCCTTGTGCGTTTCTCCAGAACCGCGAGCACGTCCGGTGCAGGCACATCCACTGCTCTGCATATATCAACGGTGATGAATGGTTGCACGCTGAGCATATGAGGCGAAGCGGGCCTTCGTCCACATATCTATATTATGGCTTGATATTAGCCAGTTTGCATCGCAAGAGGTTGGGTACGTACCCGAAATCCTCACGAGGAGCCATGTCATATGGGTCTGGCGCATTCGTGTCAGGCATATCGTAGCGTACCGATGCGCACATGTCCACTGGGGCGCATGGATCTGAAGTTGGGGATGACGATATGTTGTCTTCCTCGTCCGCGTCGATGGTATAGTGTGCGCTGGGCACAACTGGCGGCATAGAGCTTCGAGCCATCCACCACGGCGTGCCTTGCTCTTCGCACCATTGGAAGGCAAACTTATATCGTACAACACTGCCCTGAGCATTTGTCGCAGGTTGCTCCTCAGCTGAATACCAATCTCAGCTCCGCGCCGTCGGGTGATAGCAGAGTGAACTCACCCCACGCATGCGCGATACGGTAGAAGCCGAGAACGACATACGTATAGCCGTCCGCAGCAAGGTCAAATGGGAACAGGCCGTACTTGTCGTCGACGAGCAAGACTAAGGGGCGTTGCATGACGTGAGTATTCAACAGCGCTCGAACTGATTTGTCGCCTTCAAGCTGGTCGCTTGCTTGGTGAGACTTATGGACGCCTTTCTGAGTATGGATGCTCTCTGCTTTACCACCTCTGTAGCGCAAATTCAGTCATGACTGAGCGTGATAACGTGGAGCACATACCCATGAGACACGATCAAGCGGCCGTCGCGGGCAAACAGATCTCGACTGGGGTAAGGTGAGCAGTATGTTTGTCACTAGTATGTAAGCATACCTCGCAGGGAAACCGCTCAGCAGGTAACCCTTGACCATGTCTTTGAGGAAGTAGACACCGCCTTGATAGCTCCGGAACCACTCGAATGCTTCGCACACTTCTTGCCTTGACTGCAACACAACTTTGAGCATAGAAGGCGTTCAAGGAGGACAGAGCTTACCTCTGCCCATATTGCCGGCTTGACATGTAGTCGAGGTTTGGGCCAAGCAGGCTGTGCAGGGGGGTCGTACGGCTCGGCTTGCATGAGAGGTGGCGACGCTGGCCGAGGTGCTGCGAGTTCGGGACGTAGTTGTGGAATATCAGCCTCAGCCCTGCCTGCCTCCTCGATAGGCACGAGGCTTGCTAGCGAGGCTTCCACGTCGCCTCCGCTCTGCTTCTTCGAAGTGACAAGCTCCTTCAATGGAGTCTCTTCGTCGCTAGAGTCCGGCGGAACATCTTGACCATCCCTGTCATTCGCAGCCACCCAATCAACGAGAGCCGTCTTCGGGTGCTGCGCTTCGCTCTCAACCAAGGCGTTCGAGGCTGCTTCCCGGACGACAGAGTCCACGTCTGCCAGACAGCTTGGTTGACGAGGCAGGCGTGGGCAAGATGGTTTGGGAGGCTCTGTAGCCGCTCTGCGTTTCTTGCCTCGCTTTGGAAGTGGCAGCACCTCACGACCAGAGTCGTTCGAAACGCGATGCTGGGTCACGCTGGGGGCGGGATCCTCGAAGGCGGTCCGGCTTCGTTTTGGCAACTTCCCAGTCAGTAGTACCGGTTGACCTGCGTATGAGGGCGCGAGTGGGGGGTTTGTAGACGATCTCGAGGAAGCAGCCGGTGGGCCAGCCGCATCGACTGCCATTGGCATCGAATTCTGTGAGGCTATGATCAGATTTCAACACAGTATAAGATTCTACAGCGACAAGCATACCTCTTTCTCACGACCGTCGACCGTCGACTCGTTGGCAGCTTTTGTCTCCTCTCCGAGCAATACTGGCTGATCCAGCGTGAAAACGGCTATGAAACCGGCCTCTGCATTGGCTGCCACTAGCGTGTCTTCATCGCGGGGCCGCTTCTCAGGACGGCTGGGTAGGTCGTCCGCAGGACCTCTGCGAGGGCCCTTCTTTGCGTATTTTTCGGGCTTCTTTGCCGTTTTACCCCCAGCCTTAGCGGGCACGGTGGGCGAGCTCGCAGCTGGGTCAGAGGCAGGTGTGGAAGTGACGTCGGGAAGTTTGTCATCCACAGAGTCTGCACTGGCCTCGGGTGGTGCGGTGGCTTCCTCGAGCGGTGTTGTTGACGACTTCGCTCCCGAAGACTTCATTCGTGATTTCTGCTTGCGGTGCTTAGGCAGCTTCGGGAGTGGTGTAGACCGCCTAGCTAGTTGAGGGGGTGGAAGGGACGTCCGTTTGCCGAATTGCGGAGGCGGTGGGCCGAATGAATCGACATCGGACGCATCGCCCGCGCAAGCACCGTCGAAGAAGCCGCGACGACGCTGGTCGTCGTATTTGTTCATGTCTTTGGCTAATGCGGAAAGACGGTGCATGTTGGAGGCTGCTCTGCGAGGACGACAATTGGAGGGCTCTGCGACGTGGGGAACATCATCAACTGGAGGTGCTGTAGAGTCCATCATGATCGGCATCTCAGGTTCCGAGTCTGTGAGTTCGGAGAGGGACGACGGAGCCTCTTGCTCTATTTGCATAGTAGTAGTCAAATCTTGTGACTGTAGTGGCGGTACGACGGCTCCGTCGTTGTCTGACATGGAAGATTGCATCGGACTCGATGTACCGTCACTGAGCGCCTTCCTCTTGTCACCTAGAACAACCCTGTCTTCTGTTTTACGTTCGACCATCCTAGACCTGTCAAAATTCGCGGGCTGCACAGTCTCACAGGGTCCAAGGAACCCAGGTGCCTGCGCGCCGCATATATCCTGTGGCAGCCGCTTCTATGATGCGCAAATGCCATAGGGTCAGCAAGATCTCCATCATCCAGCTGCCAAAAAGCCACTCCCACCAGAGCATCTGTAACGTCATCCTCGGATATTGAGGAGCGCTCGTCTTCGCCTTCGCTAGGTTCTGCGTCATATGCGTCTTCGACGTGCGACTTGCGCGGACGCTTGTATGATCGTCTGCTTCGTTTCGGTTGTTTCTTTGGTCGAGGTACATGTGAATCCTGTTGCTCTGGCTGGGTCTGAAGTAGTTGAGCGTCGATGAGTTCTTCCGGTGGATAGTAGTAGCCACGAAACGAGCGTTCTTTCATCAAGAGCAGCTGAGCAGGCTGGTCCTTGTCCGTCGTGTCGGAGCTCTCGTATAGAGCCCAGTAGAACCGGATGAATACTTGGATATCGTCACCGGCCAGAGCGACATGCTTCGGTCGTTCTCGAACAGTTACGTCCTCCTGAGGGCACGCGGAAAACGCTGCACTGAGCCATGCTTGGACCGCAACAACCTAGAGGTGACATAAGAATATCAGCGAACCTGCGCGTCAAGGAGACTGCCATGCCAATTGCTGCGTACTAACCCCGTCCTGCTTCAACGCTTCGATAATGCTTTCGGTCCAGGGACCAAGGGCGAAACCGCCGCTGCGCGAGCGGCTACTACTTGCGGTTGAACGTATTAGAAACTGGGACGCAAAAGGTTCATCCTCCAACAGAGATCTGTCTCGGAGGTGGCGCGGAATCCTCATGCTGACGCGCAGGCCTGAGCGAAAATGATAAGCAAGGGTCTAGGATGGCAGATGGCGGCCCACGGCCACATACGTAAAGCGCTATATCTCACCCTACTAGTTCTGTGTATTAGGACTGTGCATCGCCGTGGACGAATGGTGTACTCGGAAGGTGGTCCCAGACCATCGCGTGCGCTCCGCCGGCGTTATGTTCTGAACGGAACAACGAGGGAACAATACGGACCAGCCGGTCGAGGCGCTTGTCTGATGGCCTGCGCGGCAACGACCGAGGACGTCCACTGTGCTATCCAGTCCTGCGAGAAATAACGGCATGCGCCTCGCTCGACGGTACAGATAGAATGCCCTATTCATGCAGTGTCTACGCTACGTATACTCAGATCTATTCACCGTGCGCTCAGTGCATGCTGGATCGCCTCATACACATCGGCTTCTACGCGGGCCTCCATCTTGTCCTCCTCCGAACCGTTGCCTCCGGCAACACGCTGGGCCTCCTGCAGGTTGGCACGGACAGCCTATATACAGCTTAAGCAACAGAGGGTGTTGACACAGGTCCGCAAACGTACCTCCGCGGAGAAGTCCTCCAGAGGCGCAGCCTCAACGGCGTTGATGGTGAGCATGTTGTTGGGGTGGACGGTAGCAAAACCACCAGACACTTTAGTAGCGTCAGGATGACATCAAAACTGTAGAGAGGTATGAGGACGCACCGAACCACTTTTTCGCCGCATTTCCCGGCTCCAGCACTTCGACGACACCGGCGCGAAGAGGCTCAATAGTGGGTACGTGGTTCGCGAGGATACCCATGTCACCAGTAGCGGCGGGCAGGTTCACCTGAACGACCTCCGTCGAGGTGAAGATCGCCTGTAACGTCCCACTCAACGTCAGTCACAGAGCAACCTAGAGAACACTCCGGTCTGACCTGGTGGGGCAAGACCAGCGAGAGCTTGATCTTGTCGGCCGCCTCCGCGTAGCCACGACGGCCGGTAGCGAAAGATCGGGGTGCCCTTCGGGCAGCAGAAGAGACGAGGCGGAGGGCAGACATAGCGACTTGCAGACCGTCCGCGGCGATGAGCTCGAGTGTGAGCTGGTCGCCGGACGCTGCCGGGATGTAACACGATCACATGATCCAACCGACATCATCATCCGAATATGGTAGGTCAGTTTCTTCGAATTGCACTTGTAGTAGTGGAACCGGTCACTACATAGCCGTTAGTTGGTGCCAATTGACGGCTGAAGGTCAGAAGACCCTAGTTTGCATGCCTCGATTCATCATATACGAGGTTATGATAAACCATATGCGGTAGCACAAGCCGAGAAAAGTAGGTCAAGAAAACCCAGACTCGGAGGCTGAGCTGAACAGCAAGTTGTTTTGTAATGTGATGTTGGGCAAATTGACTATTACGAATACATATGAAGGCCTGAGCCGGACGTTTACGAGCTATATGGGTTTCGGAAGGCATGTTGTCTACGATGTTCGTATATATAGATACAATGATTTGTTAAAATTCCCGCTGAACGGATTGATGCAATCAACCCTCGCGTACGACTTCCTCCACGGCCTCCTTGAAGATCTGGCAGCCCTTCGCTAGGTCTTCCTGGGTGATGTTGAGCGCCGGGATGAACCGAATTACTTCGTATGCGCTCGTTGTGAGGATGAGCATCCCCTTCTCTTGGCAGCGCTTCGCAATGCGGCTCGCGAGGCTCTTCGGGGCGGATGGTTTGACGAAGGGGTCATGGGAGCCCGTCCCGACTGGCGACGCAAATTCTACCACAACCATGAGCCCCTGCCCGCGCACGTCGAGGATACAAGGCGCAATCTTCGCGTCGTCCCGCAGAGCGTTCAGGGAAGCGAACAGCTCTTTTGACCTAGGCAGTCAGAGTGTGAGAATAGGTTGAAACGATGGAGCGTACAAGCACAGCTCACCGTGCGTTCACATTGTCCAATACTTTCTCTTCCTTCATGACGTCAATGACTTCGCATGCGGCAGCGCAAGCCACGGCGTTTCCAGCGTATGTGCCTCCCTACGGAAAGCATGACTACCCTACTTGCCCGCGTAACACGGACACACGTACCATCGAACCGGGCTTCAGCTTGTCTGTGACCTCCTTTCGGCTAATAACACCGCTAAGGGGGAAGCCGTTCGCAAGGCCCTATGCACATCGATCAGCCTGTGATCCCCAAGCCGGAGCGGCGGTCCTACCTTTGCGACACACATGATGTCCGGCCGCACGCCAGAGTACTCGATCGCAAACTGCCTGCCCGCGCGTCCGTAGCCGCACTGCACCTCATCGATGATCAACAAAATCCCATGCTTATCGCACACCTCCCGCAGGCCCTGCAAGAACTCCGTGGGTGCCGGGACGTATCCGCCCTCGCCGAGCACCGGCTCGATGAGGATCGCGGCAGTGTCCTGCGGGGCGGTCTGCTGCTTAAGCAGGAGGTCCAGTTGCGCGAGGCAGAGCGACGAGAGCTGGGAGCTGGGCGTGGAGGGGGGCAGGCCGAGCTGATGCCAATATGGGTAGGGGACGGTGAACACGCCAGGCTGCCGCACGGCTGATCAGCGGAGAGCGGGCCGGAGGAGAGAGACGTGTAATTACCATGAGGGGGTGGACACCCTCGCTGTAAATCGTCTTGCTCTTCGTGACTGCCATGGCTCCAAAGGTGCGACCATGGTAAGCACCTGTTGCAACGATTAAGAGTCGAGATCGCTCAGAAGAGAACTAGATGATTGTCCCAAAGCCTACCTTGCATTGAAATAATATTCTGACGGCCGGTTGCGGTCCTGGCGATTTTAATTGCGGCTTCGATGGCCTCCGATCCCGAGTTCCACCAAAAGAATGAGTTGAGAGATGGGTCGGGCATCAGGGGGAGGATCTTCTCTATGAGCTTAAGGTAGGGCTGATGGAACGCGATGCTGCACTGAAAAAATGGGATGTAAATTTCTGCGCAACATTGCCGTCGCCTGGTGAGCGTACCTGCATGTGTACGACCTCCATGCATTGCTTCGCTGCTGCACCGCTGACTCGTGGATGACAATGGCCTGTGATAGACCGGTGAGCGGGGTAGTTTGCGAAATAACGGCGTACTCACCGAGGTTAGTGACACCGATGCCGCAGGTAAAATCTAGCATTTTTCTGCCATCCTCCACCGTTAAGTAAGACCCCTCTCCCTTCTCCACCACTGCTTCTAACGAACGGCTCAGTCCTGCCGTAACATACTTCTGGCCGAATTGGACGGAGGAGGACGGTGTGGAACTAGTGGCCATGGTCCTATGTTGCCGTCCGCCGAGGGCAGCCGTGGAAAGCGGGCTTATAGCATCATCTTTGAGAGCGCTCTGGCGATGCCCGGCTTGTGAGCTGAGCTGGCGAGTCCGCGGCGAGTGGACTGCCTTAGTCAATGTCTTGGTGTTCTTCGGACTAGAGCGGGGAGTGGAGCGCAGTAGTAAGCAATTCATCCTGGGCAGGGAATGTCGAAATCAATGAACGAGATAGACCAGTAGTGTATAGCGTGTGCCGTGGCTTCGCGGTCACCCAGCAGGTAGGGCGCAAATGTGTATGCAGGGACCCTGAAGTGAGTCGACTTATCACAGCGGCTCAGGATGCGTGCATCGGATGGGAATCGAGGCCGTGTGGAAGGGAGCATTGTGATAGGCATGCTATGGCGTCAGCAGTACACACAAGTGACATCCTTCTGCTGCGGGGCACCAAATACGCACACAGGGAGTAATACAATGAATGAACGAATATGCCTGCACCGTCAGGTGACGGCGAGACTGAGGGGGGATGGCCGAGTTTCTGGCATCCGCCTGATACCCGAGAGACCTTTGAGTAGTTAATCACAATCGGTCTCGACACGCGGTGGGTCCTGTGGGATGATAACCCCAGACCGGAAGGACAAAGGGGACGCTGAGCGGGCCTCGGAGGCTTCTCCGAAGACCGCATATGGTGCACGCGAGCTTACTGTGGTCGTAGGAAGGCCATATGAAGACGCAGCAGAAGGGCTTGGGCGCAAGGTCCGCTCCGCGGAAGAATTCATGGGCGGGTCAAACGCTCACGCTGCATAGGAATAGAACACCTCCGAAGCACAAGAAGGCGGAAATAAGACTCACCCAATGGTATGTGCAGCGCCTGGCCGGACGCTGGGATGCGCTGGAGCGCGGGGGACGCTGCCTGCGGGGGCGCGTTGGACGGCGCGGGCAGCGGAGAGCATGGCGGTGGGGGGCCGGTGGGTGGATAGGAGGCATATTTGAGGCAGCCAGGCGATCCACTCTGGAGGACCTGAACGCGGGCTGGCTCCGACCAAGTGGTAACCGCCAGATCTGGTCACCTCTGGTCACGGGCGCTTCCGCACGTCGAGCGTCCCAGTCACGTCACTCGTCACGCGCCCGCGTCGCCGCCGGGACGCACTCGCCCTCAACGAGCTCCTCCCAGCGCCCACACCGTCCACGCCGCCCGCCCCGCCCCCGCTGCTGCTAGACCGCCGTCGCCTCCACTGCGCCCCTGGATCCACCTGTCGCTACGCAGACGCACCCCGCCACGTTCTCGCCACGTTCCCGCCGCCACAAACCGCCGTTCTAGGTGGTATGCTGCCCGTGGGGTATGGAGCATGCATTGACAAACGTCGCCGGCGCCGCTACGGTGCACCCCTGCGTCATGGGGTCGACGCTTAAGCGTCTGGTGAGTCTATTGACAGGAACAGGGCGCATGACGCAAGCAGGCAGAAGAGAAGAAACTGTATGGGCGGTGGAAGGACCCATGGTCGAGATGCTGCATTGGCAACCCTGGGCGAACCATCCACGTCTCGACATCGCCTCCGCGGGTGGAGCACAGTCATTCCCGTCTTCTCTGACCACGTCTCTCTGACCAGCTCCGTCCGCATCGGCCGCTATCCTTCTCGCGCCCGAATCGCACCCACCTCTGCTCGGTCATCCTCATCGCCAAACTCCAGTATGTCGGTCGCGTACGCCATTGTCACTTGTCACGCTGGCGTCTGCCTGCGTCTGCTCGATCTCGATAGTCCAAATAGCCGACGGTTGGCTCGGTGGACCCGCCCGAGTCGGCAAGAAAGATACAGGAACTTTCGATTGCGATAGCCGAGCACCTTGATCGCATCTCCGCACGACCGACGGGCGTTCCGTAGCCCCCGACCCGCCCTTCCGCCCGCCCAGCTCGCGAGCTCCGGCGACTTGCTGCGTTCTCCAGGCCACGCCGCTACCACACCCGTCGCGTGCATCTCGAGTGCGCCTCGCTTGCCGGGCTGGATCCTCGCTTAGTCGGCTAGCCTACCTTTCATCTCAGCTGGCCGCAAGCTGGCCGTGCCTGTTTCGCTGAACGCTCCGATGCAGACATCGACGGAGTCCAGGAGTAACCCACATGACTTTGCATTCGAAGGTTCAGGTCCGCAGAGTCCATCTGATGCTATAACTTGTACGACATTTGTCAATGCGTCTCTCTTTGCTTATTTGTTGCCCCGAGATCCCCGACTCCGCTCGCGCATGTCCAAGCAATCGACGCGACGATTGTCGGCGGCGATTCCGCGGGGCAACTCAATCGCTCGGTGAACATTGCTCGTCTCCGGATGGACTGTTACGCCACTGCGAGAGCGGCGGTCATCAGCCGGATCCGCGTCATGAGTGTAAGGTAGGTATAATCCGCTATGCAATATGTGCTATTCCTCCCGTTTACGCGGCCTGGTTGACGCGAGCTTACGTGAATTGGCTTTCTGATACACTTCTTCGTCGGACAGGCTGCGCAGTCACGGGTAGCGAAGGATGGCTCGGCCCTCACAGGCGGTGAGCGGAGGGGACTTGTTCAGGCGCGTCAGCTGCTGTTGTTCTTCTCGCCTCCGAGTGGGCTGAAAGAGGGATCGTGGCTATGCACGCTATGCATGCTGTAATGATGGCTGCATCCTCGGTTTCGACCGTGGTTCTCCGACTTTTTGCATTCTTGTCGTTTGCCGCTATGTTAACTTGTTGGCATGTCCTTCTTTGTCCTTCCGCCACTGCAGCTGATGCTGCGCTGACTGCGAGGAGTGTCCTCATGCGAGCCTTGGCAGACGTGTTTGGGTTGGGTCTTTCTAGTTCTGTGTTCATCCGCTCGCTCTCCGATCGGTCGGTAGGACTCGATCGCGTCACGTCCGGGCCCGCTACAGCCCGCTCCATCAATGGGCCTACATCCTAGTGCGTCTTGGGATCAACTTGGGATACCACGCTTAGCCCAGTCTAACCTACAATGCACATATTGCGACGACAAGGATAGCGGGATGTCGTCATGTATATATGACCGGACTGTCAGCGTGGAATACATCCATCCTGACCGATCGTGAGGTCGGACAGGTAGTGCGCTTCGTCTCCCGAGACTCCGAGAGTGACCCATGTGACGTTCGCGCCTCTATTCGATTCTGATGGAGGTCTGCTTTTGTACGATGCATTCCTACAAGGTACATTGACGCTAATTCTCCTGTACGGCGCGTGTCAGTACACGTCTTCCCTGTCGTAACGGGTGCTCGTGACCTGTGTCTGTGTGGTATTTCGAGCCGAATAGCCTTTAGCTTGCATGCGGGCTGGTGGGTATATGACTTCGTTGGACAGGTTCGTGACCAATCATGGAGCATCCAGAGCAGACTCACGCGAACAGCGGCACTACCCAATGCGGAAACGACACCACTCCTCGATCACACGCACGACGCTGCACACATTAGGCAACCCATTTACCGGAAGTAGCAAGAGACAAGACGTGTGGATAGGTATGATGTCACCTATGTCATCCCTACGCACGCCGCGCAACGCTCCTCTGCTCCTCAGAGCAATGGGCTCGTCACGTCTGAGCGACCTCTTCCCACGACGCAGCCTATATATTGCCTGCCTCAGTCGCCGGGACGACACCAACCTGCACTCGACCCTCACGACCACCGCATTTCAACCTACTCGACTTCAACTTAACCTTACGACAATGACGAACAAGACGCTCGACCCGTACACTGCAAAGGCGGAGAACGACAACCTCTCGCCGCAGGAGAAGATCGAGGGTCTCCACTCTATCGTGAAGAGCGTCAAGACCGGCATGCTCACCACGCACACCGCCTCGGGCCAACTCCACTCTCGCGCCATGGCGCCCGCTGGGCGTGAGCACTCATATGTTCGCGTATGTAACTCACCTTTGCTGATGGCCGAGACGTGTCAGCGTTCAGCCCGACGCAGGCGACGCTCGTTTTCATCGCGAACAAGGCGTCCGCGAAGTTTGACGAGATCGAGAACGACGCGCACGTGAACGTGTCGTTCTACGACGAGTCGTCGACCAACTGGGCGTCGTACGCCGGAATCGCCAAGATAACTCAGGACAGGGAGAAGATTGCCAAGCACTGGAGCTCCGCGTAAGTAGCCCGCTCAGGCACCTACCTAGGCCTACTTTCTGACGCGCATATATCCAGTACTGCTGCATGGTTTGGTGACCTCGGTGACGGGATCCACAAGGGCGACCAGCACGATCCCCGGGTCGCTTTGATCGAGGTTACCCCGGAGGAGATCAGGTATTGGTACTCGACGCGCGGTACGGTTGGCAAGGCGGTGGACGTCGCCTATAGCGCCGCGACTGGTAACACCGCCGCGCCCGGCGAGTTGAGGACGATCACCACGGCGGAGGTATGTCCTTGTGTCACGCTCAATTGGATGCGATACTGACTTTTGCGGCAGATACAACTCCTCAACGGCGTTCAATCGAAGTAAACCATTGTACCGTAGCAATCAGGATAAATTGTATTATTAGCGAGGCCTTGTTTGCGCTGCATGTTGAATGTTGGATTGTGTTGAGCTCCATGTCACGGGACTCGCAGAACATCTGCGTTGGGCTGCCGATCGAGGCCCGGGAGCAGATGGGTGTGCTGTAAGACTTGGATCTCAGATATATGGTAGACGCCCATTTACTCGGTAGACGACCAGCGCGGCGGTCAATGGAACGTTGTGCAACTTGTGCTTGTACTTACTACGGAGTCGCAGCCACCGCAACCATGAATCCTCCTCATATTCTGATTGCTCGCAACTCTCGGGGACCCAACTCTGCCAATCCGTCGGCCTCTCTGAGCTCGCCAACCGAAACGCATGCCGCCGCTGCTGGTATCTTTCGGTCGGCAGGCTCGCCGCCGTGGTACCTGGAGGAGTGCGAATCGGACGAGATGGTCTCTGCCCTGAGCCTCGACGGAGACTACGAGGACCCTATCGAAATCGACGAGACGTTCACAGAGAACAGCCGCTTCCCGGGCACGGTCAAGATCATCGTCGAGTCGACCACCTTCTGGTGAGTGCTCAGTCGCCGAGCAGTCGCGGCCGCGGTTTATCTCCATTGACGAAGGGCGCACAAAGAAGTGCTCTACTTCGCGTCCTCGTTCTTCCAGGCAGCCTTGAGCGGCGCGTGGGCCGAAACTGGGCGACCGCAGTCCACCGTCTCCTCTGTGATCACCATTTCGCAGCCGCCGAGAGTGCCCAGCAGACAGTCGCAGATGGAGAGCTCGCCCGAGATGGCGTTCGCTCCCCATGACCCTGACCTGGACCCGGAGGACCTCGATATCGACGCTGAGCCCGAACCGGACCCTAGCCCGGGTGACAAGGCGAAGGCTCGGGAGGACAGCCTCAGCAAGCTCGAGAGTACCGGTGCGTCATCCTCCGCAACGAGACCGTCAGAGGGAGACAAGGGCAAGGAGAAAGCCGTGGGTCTCAAGGAGAAGCGGCGCAGACAGGGCAAGAAGCCCGACGCCATCATCATCCTCAAAGAGGAGAAGGCGTCCACGTTCCACGACTTCCTCAAATTCGTATACCCACAGTGAGTCTCCTGTGGTGGCTAACAATCCGTCCATTCATGTCTGCTTCAGCCTCGTCTGCACGATCACGTGGAACAACGTCGAGGGTCTCATGAACATCTCGCACAAACTCCACGTTAGTTCCCTCGAGCGGGAATGTCTAAACTTCCTTCTTACGCACGCCGCGGGCCGGCCCATCAAAGCAATGCGCATCGCAGAACTGTTCGGCGAGGAAGAGCTCTACCGCGAATCCAGCCGTTTCGTGCTCGACAACCCTGGAGGATGGGGCGAAGAGGAGCTTCGTACGCTCAGCCAGGAGACGTTGCTCAAGCTCGAGAAGCGGTACGTCAACGGAGAGAGCAGTCGGCAGTAGCATACTGACAATGTCTCCCAGGAGGACATGGTTTTTGGAACGCGTACTCAAGCTAGGGCTCGTACAGGTCGCGAAAGAATACCAATGCGTACGTCTCCACTGGTCTGAACGCCGTACGCGCTATCCTCACCCCCAACCTCGTGCAGTGTGCCACATGCCCGGAACCGGCGAACTGCGCGCGCCTCCTGGAGGAGAAATGGAGGCAGGCTTACCAGGCCGTCTTCCGCTTCGGTGACCGTTACGGTTCCTTGCTTCACCAGTGGCACATGCTGACGCGCGTCGCTCGCCGCCAGGCCCTTGCCAACCATCGATGGTCTTCCGCTATCTGCGCACATTGGAAGGCGTCAGCCCTCCCTTGTCCCTGACCCACCTGAGTTGCCAGACCACTGCGAAGGCGTTCATCGCTACCCGTAAGTAGCGAGACGAGCTTGCGTGTCCGAGTCGAAGCATGCTGACTAGTGTGCGAAGTCTTTGACCGGATGTTCGCGCTAGGTCTACGAGGCGGAACTGACGCGCCACCTCTGGGGACGCGCGTCGCCGCCGTTGCAGGTGCATCCACAGGACCGCGGCGCCACTTCCTATTCTGCACGCTGAACGACCAGCACACGCACCGCAGTAAGCGTTCCCGCGACTTGCTGTCCTAAAGCAATACCCTGTTTGGACGTCGACTCCCCCGACCCGTTCCCTTCCTCTCTGCGATCGTGTTCAGCGGAATTTAGTGAATATGTATAATAATATATCTGACAGAGGAATACATATCCATAAAAGACCGGGGGTATGAGGTGTGCAATGATATATGCGTAAGATGGTAGGCAATCTGGAAGTACAAGGCGTGGAACGACAGGATGACGGGATGGGCAACGTGTAGATAAGTGGAATGAACCCGCCATACGCCCAGCATATGAACGCACAAACAACCTGAAGGGAACGACGGTCGGATAGTAATACAGAGGTCCGACGTGAGTCTACTAAGGCTTACAGAGGGGAGCCTGCTGCCCAACGACGTGGGTATGAACGGAGGCTGTGATTAGTCGAAGGAGATAGGGTGTTCGAAGACAATCGGGGCATTCTCGACGAGCCACTGTACGCAGGTGGCCTTGCCACCCATGTCAGCGAACTCGGAGACCATCTCGCGTGACCGCATGAGAGTAGCTGAGAAGCAAGTCAGGACAGGGCACTCGGATGGAAAGTCACAGAACGCACGTCCGAAGACAACGCCGAGGTTTTGGGCGTTCATGAGGTTTCTGTCGCTGCATTCGCTGACTCTATAATGCGCACTCTGTTAGTGGGTCTTACGGCTAAGCATGTTCAGTAAACGAACCTGTGTAGGTGTAGAAGGAGATGGCGAGCAGTGTAGTAGTGCTCCTTCGGAAGCTCCACGACGCAACTGATGAACGCCTCGCTTCTCATCTCAGGATCCCGGATCCCCGCAGCCGACATGAACTGCGCATGCAGCTCTTGGGTCAGCAGCGGATTGGGGAGTTGTCGCAGATACGACTTTAGCACAGATGTGACGCTACAGATGTCGTTGAACCGTTCAGTGTCGAGGAGATCGAATGTGCCATAGTCGGCGCGCTCAAACAGCTGTGTGATCGTCTTAGACTGGCCTGAACCTCCAGTCTTACGATAGATGCCCTCGAAGTCCAATGCTGTCGCGTGTCGTTGTCAGTTCTTGTACACATCGTTGTTGTATCAGTATACGTACCAAGTGCATCAACGGCTTCAACGCATTTTTCGACGATCACGGGTATCAACCGAGGTTCGTCCTTCGATTCGGACTGTATCTGTTCGATGAGATCTCTCCCGAACATCGAAGGAGCTAGTGGCTTATTAGCAGACATCGATTTTGCCTCAGACATTGGACATACGTAGTGGGGCAGGTGGGAGCGAGGGTTCATCGCGACCCTGACCCGATTGTTGGGTGCAAGGGAGATGGACGTGCTGTAGACAGCGCGTATGCACTGCGATGTTGCAGCCTACATGGAAGCTGAGCCTCTGTTTAAATAAAGCGCGAACGACCGACTTACTCGTGCAGCGGAATTGAGAACCCCACATCTTGTCACCGCAGTGGTCACAGCGAGCAACACGCAATACGCTGACTTGCTGGAATACGTGCTCCTTGCGGCCAGTGACCTTGGGGGCGTCACTCCATGTTGTCGGCGGACCGTTCTCCTTCGTTGTCTTGTGACCTGGCCATTTCAAAAACTTAGGGGCCATCTTCGTCGGCAGGGCGTGTGAGTCTCCAGACTCCGGCTTCGAGATCTTGATGAACTTCGAGGTCTCTGTCGAGCCCTCGTCGGACAGCGCGACAGTTGAAGATGTTACTGACGAGGACAGGTTCTGGATCTGCCTTGCTCTGTCGTACCCTCCGTCACCGGCACCAGCCTCCGGCTTAGCTATGGTGGAATCAAATCCAGCTGCCTCGATGCGGCGAACATACTGGGAGTTCAATTGGGCGAGTTGTTCGTTCCGAGCGTTGAGCGCAGTCGTCTCCTCCAGGTACGCATCGCGTGAAGCCCTGAGAACTGTGATCTCTCGCATAAGGGCCTCGCGTTGCTCAGTCAGCGGAACAAGCTCGGTCTGGTACTTGTTCTTGATGTTGTCAAAGCGCATAGACAACGCTCTACCTAGAGAGGCCGCGCCATCCTCACCCTCTACAGGAGTGTTGGAACTGCAAACCTTATTAACGCCTGCCTGTGTCCTGAGCATGAGCAGAAGATACGCACCTCTTGGAGGCAGAGAGTTGCTCGACCTCCGCCAGTGTCATGTCACGCTCCACCTTCAATTGCGATACTGATCTGCCGAGACTCGATAGGTTGTTGCTGAGCTCCTCTGAAAGTTGTTTCTGGGCCTCTTGACGCTTCGTCTCGCCTGAGATGGCGGAGAGTCGTGCTGCCTGGCCGGAAAGCAGGATCCGGAGCCGGGTAACTTCGGCCTCTGCATCCCGTCGAGCTTTCAGCTCCCGGTCATACTCTGTCTGAGCAACGGTCAAGCCATCCATGTATTGTTGACTGGCCCGCTATAACGCGGTGGACGAGTAAGATGCTGTATGTCTTTCGCATATGACCGACATCACTGACCTTCATGCCGTCGAGCCTGCGTTTGAAATCAGCATGGTCCACCTGTTGCTGATCGGATGCTGTCAAGAGTGTCTGCACAAGCTCGACATCCAGAGTGATTTGAGTGTTGCCAAGGTCCGTAGCAGCTGCCAACTTGTCTTGCAGCTGGGACCTCAGCGAATCGGAGAAATTCGCCTGCGGCGGCGCCTGCATCGTACCATCCTCTGAGTTGATTGTAATGCGAGTGGGCGCAAGTGCCGACGCGTTGAGATCCTCGTGGCCGAAGGTGGCCTCTAAGGACGCAGAAAACTCATCTACTGGAGATGGCCTGTCCAAGCTGGGCCTCGCGCGAGGAACAGACGGGAACCTCGACAACACATCAGTCGTCATGGACGAACTGATTGATGACAGTGACGAGCTCATAGTTCCGCCAATTCCGCCCGACATGCCGCGTTGACGTGGTCCAGGTGAAGGCCGTTTCGCAGGTGTGTCATCAACCCGAGACTCCGTTGACTCGGTAATCGTGACATCGCTCCTCGGTGTCAACAGTTGCATGGAGTCTCGTTTCGACTGAACGAGAACCTGAGGCGACGTGGCTGTGAGATCGAGTTCACGGCTACCGCTCTCCGTAACCTCCGCAAGCTGCTCGAGCTTTGTTACGTCACCACCAACGGACTTTAGCAACTCTGAGAAGTCCGAACCGCCCATCGAGATACGGATCGGGGGTAGGGCCGGAGCAATAAACGTCGCATGCGAGGTTCGTTCCACAGGTGAGGACTCCGGAGATTCAACAGTGGCGTCTTCGCTGTTAGGTCGACTGTCATCCGCTGTATCGTGACTGACACTGACGCTGCTGCCAGTGTTGAGACGGTTCAGAGCAGGGCGACCAGATCTTGCGGAAGGGGGCTCTTTGGGTGGAGGAGTCGGTGGCACGTCACGCTCTGGACGACGGTGCGCGTCCTCCGACTCGGGTTCCGTATCCGTACCGCTTTCGACGCCACGCGGGACATCTACACGGTGCGACGGCGACGTGGGCGTTGGTATGCTCGGTGGACGGGATGATACCTCCAGTGTTCCGTTCGATGGCCTAGTCTCTTGCATCGGACTCGCGCGAGCTCTGTCGTCGAAAGAGCGTTGATGCCGGATATTACTGTCGGGAAGAACGAGACTGGGAGGGCGTCGATGTTCGTGGCTACGCAGGCTTGATGTCCTCGCAGTGTACTCCGGACGATCGGCGGATTGAGGCTGGAAGGTGAGGTGGTCGGCAACTCTGCTGCTCGAACGCGATGCAGGGCTATTCAGGGTGGAACGGGAGCGAGAGGGCGCACGCGACAGCCGATCCTGCTCGGATGGGCGTTGGACATTCACGCCCGAAGAACCTGAGCGAGCTCGGCTAATCTGCGATCCCTGGTCGAGAGAATTGCGAGGGGATGAAGGCGTGGACGGGCGTGACGAGGATGCAACACGTGTGAATGCGGGGTGTTCTGGACCAGTGCTCTCTGCGAAGGGACGCTGCGAACCAAAGGCGTCTCGCAGTGGCGAAGTTGCTTGCGGGGACCCGCGCGCTGGAGAAGCCGTACCGCTGAAAGACTGAGCCAGCGCGGGATTGATAGACTGCCGTTTGTCCCGACGAGAAGTCTCTCCGTTGGGGATGTTCAAGGCACTACTCCCGCTACCGCTCGCAGCGTTCAGCGAGTAGGCGCTGGGAGTCGACCGAAGTTGCTGCTGGAACGCCGGGCGCACGCCTCCGTCAAAGCTCTTTCTTGCTTGTATATGTCTGTCAGCGCCGTCACTCCCCGGCACAGCCAGAGAATCCATCCTGGGAGTTGGCATGGATGTCAAGCGTTCGAGCGGGGGTCGTGCCAAATCGAGTGTTGCTGAGCGCACTGCGGGGGCAGGTCCATCGCCGTTGGGAGCAGTAGAAGGGCGCTTGCTGATGCTCAGGGATGCCGGTTGGGGTGCTAAACGGCTGGCAGTAGAAGGTGTCCGCTCACGAGGTTCGTCCGGTACATGGGAATTGGCTTGTTTCAAGTTCAGAGATGTCATTGAACCCCGATGGGATGCGCTACCGTTGGCTGGGGGATGAGCAGACGGAGAAGCTGTAGACGCCTCAGACGAGACGGAAGGTGATTGAACCTGCGAGGGTGACTGTGCAGCATTCGTCTACATCCGTTTGAACTTCATGAACCGGTGGTTGAGAGGACTACTCACCGAAGCCGATTGCTCTGCTTTGGCAACTAAGGGACTGTTCGCGGCGTCCGAGCTCATCAGCACGCTCGCTGCCTTCTCGCGTTCCCTTTCCCTCTCTCTTTCCTTCTCCCGTTGCCGCTGTGCATGACGCCGACTGCGGGCAACTCGTTGGTTGTGACAGTTCATACAGTAGATTCCTTGGCTTGTTTTGGCGAATACCAATTCGTCGATCCTGTTCTTGCATACCTTGCACTTGAAGCAGTGCGCATGATACGAGTCATCGCCTGTCATGATGGCTTCGTCGAGGATCGGCAGGCGACAGACATTGCAGCTGTAGGAACAATTTGCACATATTGGCGAGCCGTCAGAGAGCAGCAGTAGATTGGTGTCCGCGGTAACTTGGTTCCCGCACTTTGCGCATTTGAAGCAGTCGACATGGAAGAAAGATTGGCTATTGAGTGAATATAATTAGTGATACGGAGTCCACTAGGACGGAACACAGCGAACGCGGGCAGTCATGACGGTTCTTGACATGATCCAGCGAACCGTCATATCAAGGAATCGCGCCATAGGGGGGAGGGAAGAAGAATGGTAGAAGCACTCACCCAAAAGCCACAACCACTCCGCCATTCTCGTCTATCACCGACTTCTTGCATCCCGGACAGAAGCGGTTCTCGTTCAGAAGTGACGGGTCCGGAGGGCCCGAGCCATCACCGCCAAAGGTGGATACCATGGCAGGGCTGGCGGGCATTACTGAGATCATGTTGCAGGGCTAGAGGGGAGAGGGGCGAAGCGCAGGGAAAGCCGAGGGAATGGGGTATAAACAGGGCCCTGTTGCCAAGAGAGAGCGTGCTGCGACCTGCGCCGGATGGCTACGCTGAGCGAGACAGCTCGAGAGGATGCAAACCAAGAACAAGGAGGGGAGGAGGGGGGAGGGGGGCTTTCCGGAGCCGCTGCGCGTCGAGGGCAACGAGCAAGATGGGCGCGCCGCCCGTCGTCGGTCCATCAACACGCTCGACGACACACGTGACGCCGACCATGCGTCTGCGCACCGCCTGCGCCGTTTGCCTCTTAGGGAAGCACCGCACATTGTCGCCTGAGAAGCCCTATACTTGCAACCTCGTCATCCTTTGTGTACTGACAATCCCGGTAGATCCCATCTCAGGAATGTTGCTTTGTATGGCCACCGTTGTGATGCGCGGAGTGATTGATCGCTGCGTCGGCGCGGCCACTTCCGATTCTCTCATTGACTATCACTCAGGCTGCCGGCACACACTGACTTCGATCCATTGATTTCAGAGCAGCCGCAGTGGTCTTCCTGTTACATATCGTCGGTGCAAGTGCCCCAATTTTGACTACATAGGGGGTCGGGAACCATACTGCTCAGGAGTTCAGACTCACTCAGACTGGTGCGTCTACACGATGACTCAGGCCTAGCCGCCACTTGACAGCTTTTGTTGAATCTTGATATCATTCAGTATTCAGACATCACGTTGCGGGTTCTCATCGCATTGGAGTGCATAATGCAGTACAAGTCCTTGAACGTGCGGGTCACAGCGTGTGGATTTCTGGCAGACCAAACTTAGAAATCACTGATGGTCTTGCAACTAGGAAATGACGACCACTGCGCACTGCAAATAGTCCGTTACAGTGCTGCAAGGCTCAGAATAACGGGTTCGTTAAGCTTGCCAGAATCTTGGCCTTATGTCGAACCCTGATCGAAGTGGACGCTCTTCTTGCATGAGGGACGACGTCCCCTGCCTCCGCTTGGCCTCCGCACAAGCGTGCGCGCGCGCACTGCCGATCGATGCGGGAAGCGAAGGCAAACATGAGTTCACAGCAGGACAAAGTCGGTGACATGAGAGCAACATGACTGGAAAGACGGGCTTGTCATTGTCAATTTTGATTCAAAAGCAATTGGCATATTGCGACGTTGGAGAGCTTATCCGCGCAAAAGAAGGCAGAAGGGCAGGCCCTATCAGGACTCGAACCTGAGTTAGCGGAAGAGTTACGCAATCTCAGAATCCGCTGTGATAACCACTACACTATAGAGCCGTGGTACAACCCGTATTAAGGCAATGTTCCATAATCTCTCGCTGTAGCCTCGGAAAGGAGGAAGATTCCACGTATGGAAGGAGTTGCCGCTTTTGGGAGGGAGCTCCATGCTCAATTGGGCAAGTGCTGCTTTATTAGGCGCTGGCGTCACCCAACCGCGTCCACCATAACCACGTTACTACAGTCATTAACCCACTGGTGGGTCAGTATCGTCTGATGGGCCACCTTCCCTATTGGGTAGGAATCTGTAACGCTCGCACAACCGGTTAAGGCAAGTGGTGGCGCAACGGGTCAGAGCGTGCAACGGGCCGGACAGTTAATTAGACTGTATTGGTCTCCGAAGGCTTGCTACCCCTTCGTAGTCTACTCGGTCTGTCTTATATACATAAACGAATGTGAAGTTTTCAAGCACGCAATCCGTGCGTAAGGATCGTGTGCTGCATGGCCTGGAATCGGTGGGGAGTTTAGGATGCAACGCTTTAGGAAGGTGGACGAATAAGGAAAGTGTGGCGGTCCCCGAACCGGGCCGCTACATACGCCCTCCAGCGCCTGCGCGATCGTAGGTGCTCCTACTGCTAACTCAGTCCTTCTTCGACTTCTGCTTCCTCACCGACTCCCTCGTCTTCCCGCGGTTCTCGCGCTCGTCCTCGTCGTAGTCCTGGATCGAATCTGGGTCGAACTCCTTCTCAACATCCTTCATCGTCACATCATCGTCCCCAGCGGTCTTCTTCTCGGCGACGGTCTGCGACGTCTTCCTCAACGTCGCACCTCGTGGCAAGTTACGACCGACAAGCGACACGGAAGAGGATGAGGCCTGTGGCAACGGAGGTGGATCGAGCTGGGGAGACGGAGGACTCTCGATGTCGGAAGTATGGGCTGAGGCCGGCGGCGCGGTGCTCTCGGAGCGGGACATAGACGGTCCCGCAATAGCTTTTGGTACGTCGCGTTTCTTCGTGATCCCCCCGTCCATCACTGTTTTATGCCCTCCATGCCGTCCTCCGCCCGGGCGACCGCCCGAGCTGCCTGCAGCACCGAATAAGCTGCCGAGGCTGGCCTTCTCGCGGCTAGCCTGGTACCGTTCCGCACGCTTCCGTTCGATGAAGCTCTTCTTGCGCATGGTCTGCTCGATGAACTCGTCCGACAGGTGAGCGTACTTCTTCATGTGTCGGTCGTCGTCTTTGATACTAGGAACAGCGGGTTCCTGCGGGCTAGGAGCGAGGGCATCGAGTGGGATGGGTTTCCCGCGCACGGTAATGCTGCCCGACTTGGGCTCGTACGTCGAGAACTGATACTGGCATTCAGCATCCCGGTTCCATCCTCGTGCGAAGGAGAAGTACCCGCCCGGCACGACAAGGGTAACGCCGTCAGCGTCTCCTTCGGCGAAGCGTGCGCGGAGCTTCCGATCGAATTCGCCATATGCGCGAAGTAAGACCGGAGGGTAGGAGTACTCCACTCCTGAGGGTCCGTCGCGGAGCAGTCCGGTGAGTCCGTCTTCAAGACGCTGGAAGAACGCGTGGTCTGTGCGCGGCATGCTGTTGATTTCGGCGCTGACGTGCTTGAGTAGTCCGGCAAGGAATTCGTCGAAGGTAGCGGGGAGAGAGAGATCGAGAGGGAGGATAGGAGACGAGTCGCACTCGGACTTTCGAGTCCTGCGGCGGTTTCGTCGTCTCCTCCGGTGAGTTCTTATACCTGTAGGATTTACCCCTGTAAGGCTCAGACTGCCAATGTACACCTGCGGGTCCTCCGGGGGTTGCCCCGTACCCGCTCCGAGCTGTGTTACATCCGCGCATCCTAATAGTTCAAGGTACTCCTCGACGGCTCCTAAGTGTCGGATGGCTGTATATGGTACCCAGGTGCGGTCTCCAGATTTCCATTCCGCCTCGAACAGGGCGGTCATCCCTTCTCCCGAGTGGCTTACAATCTTCTCGATCGCCCACTCATTGTCCCGATCGTCCAGCTCAGCCACTTGGCTGTCCAGCCGGCCCGGGAACAAACGGTCGTCGTTTGGCTCGTGAACACGAAGCAACGATGAATGAAATACATCGTGGACTCCTCGCTGCTTTAGGTTACGAGATAATTCAACCTGGTAAGAGTTGTTCCTGTAGTCTCTAAGTATGGAGTAAGGTCCAATATACTTAAGGGCTAGTTTGCGAGCTAATCCTCGCGGTAAGGAGATGTTCTTTGTAGATATATATACGAGATCTCCTTCCACAAAGGGAGCCGGGCGACGCCTTCTATTAGCGTCGCGCGTCTGCTTAACTCGCGCAGCGATAATACAATCGTGAGCGGTCATAACCGCGTGCTTCATCCGCTGAGCGTAGACTCTAACTGACGGATATTCATCCTTTCCAGCATCTTCCCAGATCATGGAACGGGGCATCCGCCCTGAATTCAGGAAGAACGGGGCGTACCCTGTGCTCTCCGATCTGGCCAGATTGAGTGCAAACTCAATGCCCGGTAATCTCGAGACCCAGTCTTTCTGACTAGGTGATACGCATTGCCGAAGCATTTGCGTGATCGTTCGATTGGCGCGTTCGGTAGAACCGTCTGACTGAGGGTGGTAAGCACTGGACATATGTAATTCCACACCAACAAGATTGTGTAAGTGCTTCCAAAACTGGCTCGTGAACAGTACATCCCGATCGCTCACAATGGCTTTAGGCATACCATGTAGCTTGTAGACTTGCGAGAAGACTAACTCGGCGACTTGTTTCGCCGTGTAATTAGTCCTACTCGGAATGAGGTGCACCATCCCGGTGAGTAGATCGATTACCGTGGTAATCGCGTCGTAAGTACCGTCTCGATCCTTAGATTCGGGCATCGGTCCCACGAAGTCAATACCGATGGCTTCCCAGGGTGAGCTAGCCACTGGTAAAGGATTCAGTAGCCCATAGGGCTTCTGATTGGAGGGCTTACTGCGCTTGCACGTCATGCAGGTGTCGCAGTATGTCTGTACATCGCGTCCCATAGTCTTCCACCAGACTTGGTCCCGAAGGTAACCCAATGTTTTCATCGCCCCAAGATGGGCTAACAGCGAGTGCGCATGCCGGATAACCATTTCCCGCACGCTGCGTTTATTCAACAGTATATTCGGTACGCAAAGTCGGCTTGTGCCTTTCTCCTTTAGGTAGATCAAACCGTCGCTGACATCGAAGTTCTTGTAGTGCTTCGGATTACGCAGGATGTCAGTGAAGAACACGTCCTCATGGTAGCGATCCTTCACTTCCCGCGCAACGTTCACGCCCTCCTGCTCATAGACCATGTGGTCCAGGAGGCCGACGTGTTCTATTGGTTCCTCAAGACCGTCTGCAGGCGCTGTCTCCTCAAGTGGAGTGCCTTCTAGCTCTTCGGACACGGTTGCCCGTCCCAGGTGAGTGGCTTCTTTGTCTAACCTGGTCGTCATATCTGACCCCGTCTGATTCGACGCCGGGTTCCCGCCCTCCTGTCGTCCTGCACGAGGCCCGTGCAGGGTGACACGCCTAATTCTCTGCGCGAACTCCTTCGCAGTCTCTGGTCGCCCCGTCTCCGCGGGCGGGACTTCCTTGCGCATGCGCGGTCTACTAGCACCGCCCGGTCGCGGCACCATACTCGGCGACGCGCGACCAGCTGGCCCAGTCCGTGATGGCTGTGGCTCGGGCAGGATGCGAGACTTCTCGGGCGGCACCCGCCGTACGCGAGACTTCTCGAGCTGCGCCGACTGTACGCGCGAGCCTTCGCCGGCCTCGCCTTGCGTCCGGGAGCGCGCGACTCAGCCGCTGGTACTGCCTCCGGCATTGCCCTCGCAGGCTGGTTCGCTTTCGTAGCGCCAGTACTCGACCTCGTCCTTACCGCCATGGCCTCCAGCCCGGTGAAGACCGGCTTGGAGATATCGACCACGGCGAGTTGGGCGGCCACAGGCGCCGTCTCATCGTGCTGAGTGAACTCGGAGGGTGCCCTAACGGTACCAGGTGTGTCATTCGAGTACAGACGCGACAACGCATCTGCTAACACGTTCTCGACGCCAGGAACGTACTCAATATCGAAGTTGAACTCGGCCAACTTTTCAATCCATCGAGCTTGTCTACCAGAAAGGTTCTTCTGGTTCCAAAGGTGAGTTAACCCCTTGTGATCTGTGATCCAAGTGAATTCACACCCTTGCAAGATGTCCCGATGCCGTAGCATCGCTTCGACACCGGCAAGCATTTCGATTTCATGTACAGCATAGTTCGACTGGGCAGACGACAGCTTCGCCGAGAAGAACGCGGCGATACGTGCTTTACGCCAGTCCGCGCCCTGGCAAACGACACCGGCGATCCCGCCATGCGACCCATCAGTCACCAACCAGATGGGGTCAGCCGACGGGGAGTAGTCCAGTGGTACCCGGTGGTGCTCTCGATGAGCATGTACGAGTCGTCTAATCTCGTCAAATGCGCGCTGGTGAGTAAAGTCCCATTTGAAACTCGAGTCAGACCCAATCAGAGACGTCAGGATACCCATGGGTATCCTGATCGTTGCGATATCATCGGCGAGATATCCCACCGAACCCAGGAACCCGCGCAGGAGTTCCTTGTTCGTTGGGATCTTCCAGTTCGAGATGGAGTCCACCTTATCGGGATCCATTCGGATGCCCTCGCCGTCGACGATACGTCCTAGAATCTTCGCTTCGCTGCAGAAATACTTCTGCTTCTCGGCACTAAGGTAGAACTTCTGTTCTCTGAGTACATCAATGACTAATTTGACATGACTCAGATGCTCTTCAATCGAGTCGGAGTAAATGACGATGTCATCTAGGTAGACATCCATGAACTTGCCGATGTACGACCCGTACACATGGTTCATGAGTGATTGGTACGTCGCCACGGCATTGCAATCCCCTTGTTGTAGTACGAGGCTCACCATGTTCCCGTCAGGAGAAGCCATGGCTGTCCGGTCGACATGTGCAGGTTCAACCCTGATTTGTTCGTACGCGTCCTTTCCGTCAATCATCGACCGGTAGCGTCGACGCGATACGCGGCGCAAGATGCCTTCCATGTCCGGTAGCGGAGAAGGTACTTTCCGTGTATTCTTGTTCCGCTGACGCAGATCGATCACCGTCCGCAACCTAGGCGGTACACCGTTCTTGCCAGTACCGGGCTTCGTTAGTAACAGCATGGGTGATGTGTTACGAGCGTTAGTCATGCGCCAACGTCCTGTAATGAGGTAAGCCTGTCGCTTCTCGTTCCACAAGGGTCGTAACGCCTCAGGGCACTTGGAGGGACATCAGGAAACCGTGCACTTTCTGACGATCTGAACATCTGAGAGCACGTGCTCAGATAGCCTCAGAACACCAGGACACCTCAAATGTCACACAAATTCAGACAGCATCATTTGGCACCAGAGACTGTCAGACGGTCTCAGATTCTCAGACATGAACAATACAATAAAGCTAGACTATACATTCGTGTGAATGGTAATCTCCATACCTGTTGATATAGAACGATTCAAACGCATCTAAGCTATACGAAAAATGGAAAGTGAGAGGCATGAATGTGTCCCTAAACACTGGCATGAGATGGACGGCGCGGAAGATACTATCTAGGTGTACTATCGATGATGCCTGCTGTCCCTGAATAATCTCAGGCTGAACGACGTACATACCAGTCACATCATCTGGCTGATCTGTAACGTCAAACCAATCGATCAGTGCACATTGGTATCGCTCTCCACGGTAAGGAATGACCATGAGCCCTGTCACCCGCGCCACAGCCATGCCCTGCATTCCGGGCGTGTTTGCGTCAATGCTGACAAGTACCGTATCATAGCGGGAGTGGCCGCGGTATGACGGATTGGAGCGAATTAGTTCCCGGTGCATGCCGCGATTACCGGAAAGTTCGCTCGGCGCAGAGAACGTCGCATGCGCGGTCCGAAATACGGCGACCTTCCCAAAGAACTGGGGACACTCCGGCAGTTCTACCTCACTCGAGTTGACCTCGTCTGTGTCGCAGAGCTGATCGAAGAGGAATCGCCGGATCAACTCTAGCAAGTCGGGCTGCTGGTATTCCGCAGCAAGGTCCTCGACAGCGCGCATATAGACTGAGAAACACAAGATTACCAACGGCGAAACAAGAGATAACGTAGGTGTTGAGACACACCTTGTCGGCTTGGAAGCTCCACGATAGCCTCTGCAGATCCATCGACGTCCGCCACCTCATCCTCAGGTTCGTCAATAGCCTCCGCATCGATGTCAGCCTCCATAGTGAAAAGCCCCAAGTTCATAGCGTCCGCCAGGACATCACCGTCGAGCATTTGTCGGCTCTGGAAGATTGCCCGTGCCGCGCTGAGCTTGTCTAGCCGTTGGTTGGTACGGAGCATTTCTGACAATGGGTTGTTCCGGCTTGAGCGTCGCCATGGCTCTTTGACGGCACGAATGTGTTTCGATTCTGTAATTGATGAGCAGACGCCATTTGGGGAACCAAAGAGCCGAATGCCGGTGATGTAATGGACAAGGGCATGTTGCCGCGGGAGTGAGAACCCCTCAGGGCGTACACCAACGGTCTCGAAGATGGTACGATATCGGTGAAAGCGGCCCAAAGCCTCTTGCATGGCCGCCAGTGAGTGGTCATCATGAGCGGATCGTCGAGCCAGATAACAGAAGTCGAGGTACGCTGCAAAGCAGCGGACCACGTCGTCAGGCACGTGCCCCTCTATCGCGGGGAGGTAAACCTGTGCATCCGTCTTTACTTTGAGAAGGAATGAAATGTCTAACATCGCACGCACCTTCATCAGTGCTTTGGAGTCGTTTCCGGTCCATTGTTTGAAGTTCCGGCCTTCAGGGAACCGTCGAAGTCCAGGGAATTGAGGTGCAGCGGCGATTCTGCATATGTCGTGTATCAGTATTGTGACTGATACGGCACACTCGTACACCTTACCTTCGATCGATGTCGTCCATTCGTCGACGTGCTTCGGGCTTTGAATGTACAAGATAGAGGTACTTCTCTACCCACTCGACGAGATGATCTTTAAAAGTACCCTTGATGAGCTGATGGAGCAGGTCGGGCGTGAGAAGTTCGTAGATGTCGGCGCGGGGGAAATATGTTGTGAACGGCTTGAAAGAGCCGTCTGTGTGTGAGCATGGTATGGGAGTGATCAACGTTCGACATACAATGACATTCACATCAACTCCCCATGTGATCCAGATCAATTCGGCATCGAACGTGCCAGCGAGATGCTCAGTATGTTCGCGACAGCGTGGCTCTCCTCCACCCATGTTCAGTTTGTCTGGTGGAAGGAGACATCTAGTAACGAGTCAGCATTTGTACACAGAGGTTAAGTAAGTACAAACTTCGGGCACCATCCACTCACTATTCCGGACAGAACAACCTGTTCGGGGTAGTCCGCGATGAACGGCCCGAGATCATATATGACACGTCGGAAGTGTCCGTCAGGGCAGCGAACGACATCGTAGGTCTGCATGTAAGGCTGAAGGCTTGAGAGGATGTGCGCGAGTGACGCGTGATACAACTGCTTGCGAAACGTTCGAAACTCATCTGTCTCGGCTTCGCCTCGCGCCGCTGTAATGCTGACAATCAGCTCATGGTGAGATACTGTCAGGGAGATTGAGACATACCCTTAGGGATCGCCAAGAACGCAACCGGAATGATTGCATCCTTGTGTGCACGCCTCACCGAATTGTGTACATTACCAATAGACATATACACAGGATGAAATTCTTGCCCGCCCGTCCCAACGGACACCGTTGTCTTGTCGGCGCCAAGGATGACAGTTGTAAGCATTGATCCGTGAGTGAGAGGGTCCTGTGCGATTGTCGTCTGTCAAGACGATCGTCAGCTGCGGCTACCGAGCGAACACAAGAACCCGGCGTACTGCTTGTCTGTATGCAAATTCACCCGACATCATGTTGGAGAACCGCGTCACTCCGGGTGCGGTGTATTCTTGGTAGGGTGTCGTGTCGAACATCCCGTCAAAGCCTTCGTTTCCGATCATATTGTGAGCAACCTGTCGGACGTTACGGTTGTGCACAACGTAGTCGGCTCGCTTCCAAGAGGGCGACTCCGGAGTGACTTCACCTGTATAGCGGATGGTGAATGACTCCCACGGTGCATCGCCGTACGGAATCGCATCGATCGTAGAGTACAGCTCCTCCGCGTCTTCAAAAGGCGGCTCGCCACCACCTTGAGATACATTGTATGCTGCAACATTCCTCAGTAGCTCGTTCACGTCACCGTACGATGCCTGGATCTTTTTGAAGACCAGTTCTGCAAATTGGAACGCCGCGCGATTCTCGAAAGGGTTGTAGGAGGTGACCGGTATTCGTGGTGGAGGAGGTGTTCCTGGAGGAAGGAATGTGCCATCGCAATCGCAAGGTCGGCCTATATCAATCAGAATGAGAATTGTATCATAGCATGAGTACGTACCGTTCAAATGCGGGTGGTAATGGAAGGTGGATCGTGGCGCAATCAGACCGGGATGTCTGTGTTCGCGCGTCGTGTGGGTTCTCAATCTGCTGTGGGAGTCGAATGTTGCGTTGCAGTCGATGCACCAGAAAGAGCGTGGTCGAGGCATTATAGATGGGATAAGTAAGTTACAGATTAAGAGATGCAAGTCAGGGATGAAGTCGTGCGCGGCTAGTAGGCTACACAAACAAACTGCACACAAACCGCACACAAACAACGTTGTATGCGCACCTTTGTCCACTATACACGCGTGGCGCGTCTTCTTTGTCCTGGCTTCCTGCTTTACTATCCCATCTCCTACTGGCACTCTCCGAACGCCCAATCTCCTTCGGGTGAATCTATCTGTCCTCCAAACAGCTGCCGGATGCCCCCTTCGGTCCGGGCACGAGAGTCGAGGTCGACGGATACCGATGACGAGCTTGACGACACGCATGCCAAGGATCCTGAAACGATGCCTTCAGCAGATGAAATAGAGGACATTGAGGAGCTGCCATCTGAGAACGAAAAGCCACGCCGCTATGCGACTCGTGCGACGAACGACCCACACCCTGGCCGTACATCAGGCCTCGCCAAGAAGACACAAGCCGAAATCAGTAGGGATGCGAAGCGAAAGCGCGACGACAAGAAAGCTGAGTACCTTCGCAAGGAGGCTGAGCTAGAGCAGCGGAGGCTTGAGATGAACGAGCACATGAAGAAGCTGGCCGAGCTTGAGCGCGATCTCAAGGCAAGCCGAGGGAAGACCACCATGGAGAAGCTGCTGGAGGACGAGGAGATGTTAGAAGTGGATGCAGTTGAGGGTGAGTGATAACCTACATTACTCCAAGACTGGCTCTCACTGCTCTGTCGCACATAGACCGAGACGTCATGGCGCAAATGTCCTCCAAATCGGACGAAGGTGAAGACGCCGACGTTGAAGACCGCGAGCTACAAAGCTTCTGCAATACGGATGAGGATGCTTCATCACAATCAGCAGACGGGGCTAGTTCCGACGACAGGGTACCTACCGGCGCGAAGAGGAAGTCCAGTGGGTTGAAGGTAAGTTGGCATCATCATGATGTGTATGGAACGAACCTAATCCGTGTTCATGCCCCTTTACAGGCCCCTAAGCAGAAGAAGAAGAAGAAGACAGCCAAGGAGGTCCGGGATGGGGTGTTGGCTGATGTCGAGAAAGCGAAGAAGAAGTTGAGTGCGCCGGAGGTCGCTGAGCAGTCATCCACACGGTGCGTTCATTGAGAGATAAGATCTGATTAAGATCTGATCATACTGTTATCGCTGGCCGGACAGTCGTTCCAAGGCGACCTCCAAGTCGACGGCCAAGTCAACGCCTACCTCTACCTCTAAGTCAAAATCTACTGGTGCTGCTACAGCGAAGTCTTCGACGTCCTCTTCCAGAGCTACTTCCATTTCTGTCGAGCCAATCATGGGATTGAAGGCTGATTGGCAATCCGCCGTCTCGCGCCGTTCGCAAACCCCAGCAGCCAAGTCCCAAGCCGGTCCTTCCATGCGAGTTGGATCACCCGCGGTACCGTCATCCAGTCAGGGCACCCCCGCACCAAAGAATTCGGCTGCAGCTCATCGCGCAGCGAACGCCAAACGTACCCGGCGCACAAACTCGATCGAGTACATCGGCGGGTTCACCGATGACGATGTGACAGTCAGCCTACCTACCGCGCGACGTGGCTCCACCCAGCTCGCGCAGGTTGTTTCGAGTAGGGAACGGGATGAGAGCGAAGAGCAGGATGCAGAGCCTGAGGGGACGAAGAAGAAACGACGGGCAAAGGGCACTGTTTCGGAGGAGAAGTCGCTTGCGGTAAATTCCTTGCCTCTGTTCATCCGCCCACACTGGAAGACAGTCTATCTTCCTACGATGCTTCAACTAATTGGTGAAACCGAACACCCTTGGGTGTACGCGAGGGGCAAAACCTCCTCCAATGGCGACGACAATCTCCTTATCACCCTCGTGCAGAAACTGTTGGACTCGTTCTGGCCGAAGGAACATTACAACGTCACTGGAAGAGACAAGATATTTAAGATTGTGAGGATGATTCTTAGTCTGTGTCTGACTCTCCTGACACGAAGCATAGGCACGTCAGGCAGTGATCGACTGGCGTGGCCGCTTTGCCACGCGGATCAAGACAGCCGTCAAGCAAGAGCTCACCAAGCGGGGCTCAGCTGCAAACATCCGCGCATTCGTGGAGAGCGCGCTGTCGCGCAGCACTGGGCTGGCGTTCTGGGCGACGTACGACGCCGATGTGGGTTGACTCCAGCCTCCAGCAGATGCCCGGCGGCCTGACTAACACCTTGCATCAATCTTCGCAGACCGATACTGCAAGCGGCGCGCTACAATCCCCATACGTGCTGAAGTCATTCGCAACACATCTCGCTGCGATACAAGGCAGTCGCATCAAGCCCCACGAAACAAAGCCGGCCCGTGGTGCGCTCGCACTTGCGGCAACTGCGGTAACTGAACCTCAATCCCTTGCCGCTGTATGATTGAATCCTGATAGATAACCTACAGGTACAGTATGTCTTCGCTACGTGGAAAACAGGCGCTCTCAACAAGGCCCTGAGCTTCAGCGGCGATACCTATGGCCCTGTCACGGAGTACTGGCACACGAAGTCAGTTGCGAAGATGATCGCCCGCGGCAAGTACAATCGGTGTGTTGACTTGGCCACTCCACATATTGAGGCGTCGTGGATGCCACGCACGGTAGACGATGACGATGATATCTCTGTCTGCGATCCCGAGACCGATCCCGAGGACAACGTTCGATAGCATATGATGTACAATCCCCATGTCCCGTTTATCCTCCACATACACTACATACTGCACGACCCTTCTTCAACAGTTGGGTTGATATCTATGCTATTTCTGGTACTCATCTACTGGTAGCTGAACAATGCATTTCTGATTTCTGAAGTTTCTGAAACCGTCACTGGTGCGATCTGAGTGCTTCTGAGTACTCTGTGATCTTCTGAGTTGTCTGAACACGTCTGGAATCATCTGAAAATATATCTCTGACAGGCAAAATCCTTAATTTTTCGGCTTGTTGAGAACTGAACATATGAGTGCTACTGACGCATTCTGGACCATTCTGAAGGTCTCTGAATCCCCTGACAGGGCCCTCAGAGACTTTGCACGGAATCCTGATGGACGCCAGGAGTACACCTTATCCTCATCAATTAATGGGATGGAGTGATTGATCGCTCGCAACGGCGGCAATGGTGAGTCCATCGCATTAGTGCTGATGTCCTTCGCGTATTCACGCAACTGCGCGCGATACCGTTCCAGGTCGTCGTCGCCCATACGTGTGGCTTGCGATTCAAGTACCCGAAGACGCTTCCCCTCAATGGGTAACGACACGGCACTCCCGATCACCACCGAAGTGGGATTGAGCCCAATAGTGACGCGGTGCTGAAATAAGAAGGGAGTCCCCAATATCATATCGTAGTTGAGGATATTCATCACGTCGAAATATCGCGCTTCGCTGACGTTCTGATATTCGAGCTTAGCAACACAACCAAGATTGATCTTGGCACGAGATCCCTGTACTGCCATCTGTACAGGCAATGGTACGTCAAGCTCAAACGACTTGAGCTTTAACTGATGTACGAGTTTTGTAGATACGAAGTCCGACAGGGAGCCCGAGTCGAGCAGGGCTCTGACAGGATTCCCGTTGATTGTCACGACCACTACGGCGGGATCGGGCATAATTCTATTGAGGGCGCGTGGTTCTGCAGCATTACGCTGTAGATACTCAGGTGAGTCGTTCTTACTCACCCGTACGGCGAAGCACTCAATTGCAGCGCGGACCTCGTTCGACCGGCAACCTGCGCTCACAGGGTTGGCCGGTCGCAGCTGAAAAAACGAGTCGAGCTCGCCCTCCAGATCGCCTATGTCGAAGGAGGGAGGCCTTAGCTCACGACGTAGCGACTGTGCGTACCAGTTCGGTAAGTCAAGGTACGCGTTATCAAGGATCTTGTTAGGTATTAACAGCACGAATGCGAGGTACAGATCCTGTAGTTCGACATGATCGTCAAGCTGCTTTGTGACAAAGCGTGTCCTCCCAGGCCAGGCGTCGGCTTCTTCGTCGGGCGTAGGGATGTGCCTCGACAGCACGTCCTGTACCTCCGCAGCGAGCGCATGACCGAGAGGGATCTCAGGTATTTCACCATAATCGAGATCATTGCCGAGGAATTCATCAAGCCAAGGGAAACACCATCCGCAGATGTCGGATTCAGGATCGCGTATGTAAGTGACTGCGATCTCTCGGCTTGCTTCGTCATACACCACAGTATACTGACGCTCGGAAGTCCTGATGACCAGTAGGTTCTGATCATCCTCAGGCCTATCAGGGTACAGCTCAGAGAATACTCGATTGAGTATCCGGGCTGCATTTGACGCATACGCGTCGCCAAAGTGGTGGCCATACGAGCCCTCAAGTCTCACGGGAGGTAGATACGTTTTCTCATACTCGTCATCATAAGGGATGAGCTCATCCTCCTCCTCTGACTCGTTGTCCTCGGGGCCTTCGACCTTCGAAACCTCAACGTGTTCAACCTCGCTGTCTGCACAAGAGTAGTATACTGAAGTGCTCGAAGAGACCGACAAGACCTCGTCGTTGTCAGATAGGTATGATACCGTTTGTAACCCGGGCATCGAGTCGCCGTGACTCACGCTAGAACCACTGTCCCAGTCGTATTCATGGGAGCTCTCTGACGACGAGTAGGACCCGGCCGACTCGCTTGAGGAGTCGGATACAGTCTGGAGGCTTGGCATAGAGCCGCAGCTCGCCACTGAAGTGATTTCGTCCATATCAACGTCAATATACGCTGACATTAACGTGCCAGTGACGCCGGACTCAGAGGCCAGTTCACGCAGCTCCGCTGATGAACCCAACCCTGGGGTGATACCATAGGCGGGCACACCAGGCGGTCTACCTTTCTTCGTGGATTGTACATAGCCAAGGTTTGGGCAGTTGCGCGAGACATGCCCAATCTCATGGCAATTGAAGCAACGCCCCTCCGCGACGTGTCTCTCCTTCTCCTTATCGGAGAGCCGTGGAGAGGTAGGGCTCCTTTGCTGTACTGTGGTACGACTGACTGGCTTGCTGGTGGGGGTCACAGCAGCAGCGGAGCTGCTGCCGGTAATACGTCCTCCTCCTTTCGCATAGCCCTGGAATCTCCGGCTGTCCTTCCTGGTACGGAATCCCCGCTGGTCCCCATTACCGTTCCCGCCAGCACCCGAACCCGAGGCTGTCCTGGGTTGAGTGTTCGTATCCCCCTTACGAGGGCGCACCGACTTGAGAGCACCGGAACGAGCTCTGTGAACAACCTCGCTCAAGAGCGCGGCGTCGGTGACTTCGGACCAGGAGGATTGGAAGGGAGTTAGCTCCCTAAAGTAGAGATCTCCCTGTATACCAGGCTTGAAGCCTTTCCATAGTCTGTTAACCCTCTCGCTGGGCGAGAGAATGCCAACGAGTTGTACCGTTTCCTCAAATTCGTGAATATATTCCTGAACGGTGCGGTGGCCTTGCTCAAGGTTATCAAGTTTGTCCAGCATCCTACGACGGTAATCGTGGTCGAAGCAATGGTTGAACAGCCCCGTAAAGAACCGAGTCATTGTCCATGAATCCGGCTTATCCCCAGATACCTTGTGTATGAAGAAACGATATGCCTTCCCAGTGAGGAAGTTTGACGCTGTCGAAGCATACATCGAAGGCTTAACGTCATACCCGTCTAGGTATTCTTTCGTTTGTCTGACATATTTGTGAAATGCTTCAGCATCTTCTCGTCCATCATATATTTCAGGGTTGACCGGCTTAAGCATAGGTTTCCGTGCCCTATGCTTCTTAGTAGCACTAATGACCCTGTCCGACATCGAGTTCGAGGATTCATCATCCTTAGCCTCGGGGAGATGACCTCGAGGATCCTCGCTTTCTGAAGACGAGCTCGATGAGCTCGATGAACTGCTATCGTCTGGAGGTCCTCCACCTGGCAGGTGTGTATTCAGTACCTGTCCCAGATAACTACTAGGCTCTAGCTGGTCAGCAGGGTACATCGACCCTCGCTTTTCCTTGGCCTTAGATTTCTTCTTCTTATGAAGCTTAGCTGCACCAGTGCTCACACTGTCTTTTACGTGTTCAGTCTCAGTAGCACTAGGCTTCCTTAAATTTTCATTTAGAGCTTGTTCTACCTGAGCTACTCTAGCGACCTGGGACGCTGCGAAGCGTTCCATCGCCTTACCCATTTGGTCTAGATGGCGCTCTAGGGCCGCCATGCGCTCGTCACGCTCGTCTGAGCCATAACGCACCTGCTCCCGAGGTGCCGGAGCTTCTCCGGCCTGGGCGGCCTTCTCTTCGAGGTTACGGTAATCCCAACGTTTACCGTTGTTGAGTCCTTCGTAGACCTTCCCCGTCCGCCGGAGTTCCGCGGTGGGGTAATAACCAGAGTCCTCCGACTCGGAGGGTGTCTGACCTTCCGTAGTCTCGGTGCCCTCTGCGGTTCCGGACGCCGTGAACTGGCTAGCATCGGGGGTGCGTGCCAGCTGCTCGGCGACCCACGCGTCCTCTTCGACTTGACGAAGGTGCTGTAGCCGAGCCAACTCCTGGCGCTCGTACTCCCTGCGCATACGCTCGTGGTATTCAGCGCGCTCTTTAGGCGTCATGTTCTGCTCTGCCATGTAGACAGAGGCCAGAACTTCTTCCGATACGCTCGCCCCGCGAATTCTCCTGCGGGGGATCGGGTTCGGGCTCGCGCGCGATGCGTCGTGCGAGTGTTTTCCGTTGCGTCCAACGGGGTACCAGACTCCTCCCGAGCCTGGTTCTTGTTTGATGGGAGAGGGAGAGTTCAGAACCAGAGAAGCGCGAGCTATGCTCGGCGTCCTCTCCGGTTCGATATCTAGCGCACGTGGCGACAAGACCTCCTCCTGAGCTGCTTGGCTGCGGGAGGGATTACGCGGAGATGCGGCGCGGTCCGAAGACCCACGCGGCAGAGATCCGGGGATACTCGGAGGTGCAGTACGTTCGAACGAAGCGTACTGCAGAGATCCGGGGGCTGAGCGAATGCTCGTGAGGTCCGAGATAAATCCCGGACCGTCTGCCACAGCGGAAGATTCAGTGTTCTCTATGTGACCGGAAGGGAACTCACCGGGTACCATGTTCCCCGCCCGTCCTGCGCGAGAGCGGAAGTCGTATCGACGACGAGGTGCCATGAGTAAGCTTGATTACTCGTGGGGCTTTTCGAAGGGTGTCGGCTCTTTTGGGAGCAGACGAAGTTGCCAGAGTCGGAGGTCGAGTTGATCAGACTCGAAGATACCAGACGCGGCGACGAGAGTAAAGATAGAAGCGAGAGGGGTTGGAGTAAGAGTCGAGTGACTGTCAAAAAGTGTAACGCTCGCACAACCGGTTAAGGCAAGTGGTGGCGCAACGGGTCAGAGCGTGCAACGGGCCGGACAGTTAATTAGACTGTATTGGTCTCCGAAGGCTTGCTACCCCTTCGTAGTCTACTCGGTCTGTCTTATATACATAAACGAATGTGAAGTTTTCAAGCACGCAATCCGTGCGTAAGGATCGTGTGCTGCATGGCCTGGAATCGGTGGGGAGTTTAGGATGCAACGCTTTAGGAAGGTGGACGAATAAGGAAAGTGTGGCGGTCCCCGAACCGGGCCGCTACAGAATCCGGGCGAGAGCGCGCTTAGAAGTGGAGCAATTGTTTGCAGTTGCCCAATATAGCTCCAAAAGTTGCTGGATTGGGAAGGTGGCCCATCAGACGATACTGACCCACCGGTGGGTTAATGACTGTAATAGTAATACGAACGTATCGACCAGTAAGTTATGTGCCATACGCAGTCTGGAAATTGCAAAAGCACTCTCGCCACCTGCCATCTCACTAGGTGATGGTAAAAGCCGATGGTTTTACCATCAGTGCCTCTGTGACAGGCTGCGGTGCAGGTACACTCTGAATCAAGAGATCTTCAATTCGTGTACTCTCGCTGTGATACTAGACCTCGTCGATGAACGCGCCCGGGGTCCAATGGTCAGCGCTGTATATAATCTCCAGCATGCAGACAAGTATCTCAGACTGCCGCGACGCCAAGGGTCGACACCAGAGGGGCTGCACATGCATCCAAGCGGTGAATGCATGCCTATGGTAAATTACCATGCATGAAAACGTGCATGTACCGTATATGTCGCACGTCCGGCGATTCCGCTTGGCAAGAAACCCATTCATCAAAAGCGAAAGATCTCCGCAACAGGTAGAACACCTGTCGTATAACTCCAACGTGCGGGACGTCCACTCCTAGAGTCATTGCCACTGGAGTTAAGGCACGCGCGACGTGTGCGACATTCCATCCGTAGTGCAGCAATCAGTGCCGACGTCCGTGTTGGCTTTACCGAGAGGGTCTTCCGATAGTTCGTCGCGTGCGAGCTGCGCGAAGATATGATACGGCAAATAAGACGTGTACACGCACAACGCACCATTGTGTCATGGGTATATAACCTTGCCACCATGTCCATATCCAAGGCGATGTTTGGCGTGCTGTTCGAGCCCTACATGCAAGGTGATGAACAACAAGCAGTACGCGCCAAGGGGCCGATATGGTTGCCAGTATAACTAGGCTAGGAAAGGGCGTGTCCACATGCCTTGTACGTGATTCAGTGAATGGGGGTAATAAAGTGACAGCATTATACAAATTATATACTTCTAGGGATATGCGCAGATAGAACAGGTCAACTCGACTTCTCTGAACCAGGTGGTGGTGACGACGAAGGAGGCTCCGGCGTTGACGGTGTTTCCGCCGCCTTCGTCTCGGCTTCTATACGCTCCCGTGCGCGGACAACTTTTGATTGGATGTAATGTGACCATGCAGGTTGTGGTGGTGCCTTCTGGCCTGCTTGAGGTTTCGGTGGTGGCGGTGGAGGCGAGTTCGCTTTGAATAGATGCTCATATCGCTGATCGACACATGTGAGGCACAACGTCCGCTTCGAGAGGTATGGCACGCACCTCCAGTACTTTCTCCATCACCTCACTCTTGTTTACATTCAAGACCAAGTGCGCCTCTTCCAGCGTCATCCGGTGCTCTCGCGTCAGCTTGTCTGTTATTGACCCTGACGTAGCATTCCCGACACCTGCAGCGTCGCCACCTATTGCAGCCTGCGGTCTGTGCTTGGCATCTTTACAAATATGAGCTTTGCAGTATTGCTGCACGGACGACTGTGCGTACTTTTAATTGCTTGTCTACCCGCCGCTGCGAATGCCTTGCCGAATATCTGGGCACCTGCAATAGCAATTTGCACGATGACCTTTGGTGACGACTGGATCCCACCGTATCAGTAGCATAAGCAGCCTTGCACATCAAAGCATACCATCTATGAAACCCAATGCGTATGGTCAAGGGACGGAGAGGCGGGGTTGACAAGACGTGGTCGTGGACAGGCGGCGCGTCGCGGGATCTCGGTCCTGACGCGGACGCGAGACCTGCGGCAGCTCGCCCGAAGCGCGACTCACGTGGCTACGACTTCACAAATTTTGCCCGCGTACAACCGCGCCGGCGCGCAACACTCTGAAAGCGCAAGTCCTGGGCTGCCATTACCTCTGAACCACTCTCACTGATGACTATGTCACAAATATTGGAGACAAAGGCGAAGAAACGCAAACACGCAGTCGCCGATATCGGGCAGGAGGCCGAACCGTCCACCAAGCGACATAAGAAAGAGAAGGACAAGTCGAAGAAGAGGGACAAGGGCAAAGGACGTGCGACCGAAGAGTTTCGCGTTGTACGTGCAACAATGTACATCTCGATACCTCCTGTGTTCGCCAACAACCTTCGCTCGGGCGCCGAGGAGATGTTGGACTCACTGCTCATGAGGTGTGTTATACCATTACTTCGTGCGAGTACCTCGAATAAATGAAAAGGTTCCTGTGCGCTTGCATAGGTTCATCCCAGCTTTCCAAGGAGTAATGCTTGCGCACGATAATATGGAGTTCCTGAGCTCGACTGCGATCGTCAAAGCGGATTGTCCATTCGCGAATTGCCAAGTTGCATTCGATGCCACAGTGTGGAGCCCACAAATCGGGATGAAGCTTGGTGAGTGACATTGTATGGTCCGCGTCACGACTCTAGCAGACTTTGCTTCTAGTCGGCAAGGTCAACTTGTGCTCCCCGGACCACGTCGCTCTGCTCGTACACCGTACATTCAACGTTTCGATACCCCGGCATCACATACCAACCGACCAATGGGAGTTTGAGTACGGGCCTGCAGAAAACGACCCGGAGTTCGGTGCCGAGCCAGCACAAGACGCTATCAACGATACAAACGGCGGTGCAGCCAGCATGGACAGCGGTGGTCGATGGGTGCATAGCACCACGATGTCCAAACTTGGGGAGGAAGACGGGTTCATCGAGTTTACAGTGGTCGGGTACGTTGCGTCAACTTCGATAGCATAGCACACACTGATTTCGCGTACTAGCCTCACGATAGCAAACCAAATGCTCTCTCTCGTCGGCTCAATACAACCGGATCCGTTCTCTCCTGACCACCAGCCTGCTTTACCGACACAGACCGCATCCAGTTCCCGCGAAGTCTCTCGAGTGCTCGCTGGTCCTCTCGAGGATGATGTCGCTGTGGCTGAGCTCGATCTCGACGAAGGTCTGGGCACCGACGAAGAGGACACCTTTGGCATGCTCGGTCGACTGGGTGACGAGGCTGCGGCACGTGAGGCGGAGGAGAGGGAAAAGGAGAAACAAGCAGCGAAGCGTGAGAGGAAACGGAAGCGGAGAGAGGACGCGGGACTAGCGGACGATGCACCGGATAAGCCGTCCACAGGAAAGTCCAAGAGGAAGAAGACTTCGTAGTCATATCCAATATTTGTGCGCTGCTTCCCTCTGTTGTGTTTATCTTGTCCTGGTATCCTTGTGCACGTCAAGCACTGACCTCTCCGTCATGGTCTCATCCTCGATGCCGATCTGAAGGCAAAGGAAGACATGGACGCTCATTGCAGGTATTCTGGCGCACATGCGTAGAAAATACCTACCTTAGGAGCTCAGCTGCTCATGGACATGCAATTACCGCCGACGCATTACGTTGGGCTAACCATGAGCTTATACTTAGGAAAATATGACACTCGGCTAAATTTTTATGCTACTCCGTTCCTGTGAGTCTGTCCTCCGCAGCTTGAGCGTGTACAGGACTAACCTTATCAAGCACATAAACGTAACTCAGTGTGAGTGCAGAGTGTGCTTTAGTCGCGATGCATCGGTGTTCTTCACTTTCGAGTCTCAGACGCATGCCCATTGATCCTCGAATCTACCCACGGATCCAGAAATATGCATTCAGAGTGCTTCCTGCTCCAAGTGCCTTCCATAGCGGTGGCCGACCATTGCGCACACCGCAGTCGGACTCAACAGTGGGCGCTCGACGGTGTCTTGGTCGACCATCAAAGTGCAGACGCACGGTCCGTGAGCTGCCGCTTCAAGCTCAAGTCCCACTGTGGATGGTCGCACCCAACAGTACGCAGTCTACATCAACAACCGCGGCATTTGCGCGACATGCGCCGAACATATTATGCGCGTAGACGCTCCTTCGGCATTCATCGGGTACGCCTTCCTGAATCCTGTACGACTGACTGAATCCTATCTGTGCAGTGTACTGTCAGGACCAGGTCCGACTCATCTGTCATGGGCGAAGATACCAGCGCAATTGGGCGCAGCTGGCGCTCAACGTTCAACGCTCAACGGCTTGGCACCCTTCATCGAACAAGGTTACCTCTCACGCCGTCGGAGGCTCTGATTCTAGTCTCGTCACTAGCTACTACAGGCTCATGATGGTCCTGGGCGAACTCCATGCTTCTGTATTCCTCCGTGACCATTTGCGTCGATCCGCTCATCTACAATATTACATCACCGTGCAATCAAGGCGCGCCTCTGGGATAGTCGGCGCATCTCAAAGGCATGATCGCACTAGACTCCGCGCTCAGATGATGGGACGCTGTGCCGCAATGTGCGCCAAAATCCGTATCAAGATGGGGTCTCATCGGCGAAATGCTGTTTCTTGAGACCCCGTAGGCGATAGGCGCCGCGCAGTCTGCGGATGTTTGGCGGATGTAGAGAGTTTTAGCAGCAACTTCGGAAGTTTGCGCCACGGCTGCACCACCAATTCAGTCCTCGCCCGGATCAGTTCCTCTGCGCGACGGTCGAGTTTGACCTCCCTACTCAAACACCCTTGTAACAGGCCTTTCCAGCCGGCAATTCGGATCACTAGACATGATCAGAGATACTCACAGGGTATTTTCTCCATGTATAAGCCGGACAAGCGTCTCCCTGGTACGGTTCCCCTCTACCCTCCCCTTCCCCTTCTTTACCTTGCCGCCATTTTGCCGACAGCCCAGGGCCGGTGATGCAACAGGTCTCCGATCACTGCCGTTCACGTTCAGGCTCCCTCGACTCACCAAGTGCCGACAATGTCGACGACTATTTGTTACCACAAGCGACACGACCAGGCTTTGAAAAGAGGCCCCCGTACACGAGACGGCGACATCTCCGCTTCGCATTACTGGCACTTCTGCTCCTCGTCTCTGTAGTCCTTGTATGGATCTGGTTGTTTCTCAAGGGTCGCGTCGGCATAGCCGAGCCCATTCTGCGTGTACTAGCAAAGGAGTCTGGGCTTCCGCCGTTGTACTCCGAGTACCATCAGCTAGAGCTCAGCCTACCTCAGCACAACGTCGACGCGCAGTCATCCGATGGGCAAGGGGTGAAGTATCTGTGGGTCGCAAACCATATACGAGGTACGCGTCGTACAATGTTGCGTTCTTTATCGCCTCACCGGTGACCATGTTCTTTTAGGCAATGGCTGGGGCAATGCGATGCAAGACCTACTCCTTAATGCCTATCTGGCTTACCGGGCTAATCGGTCGTACGTGAATATCCTTCGTCTCTCTCCCTGACCAGTTGGCTGATATACTCCTAGCTTCGTCTTCAATAATTACACATGGGAAGAGGGTGTTTCAGACTACTCGCTCTACAACTTTAGACCTATCCCTTCACGGATACCTTTGACTGCATTGATCCAAGGTACGCAATACAGTCCGTCGACGTTACAACATATCAACCATCGATGTTACAGGGCCTATCGTCGGTGCTCCTTTCGCGGCACATCCCGAGAGCCCGCGAGCTGTCATGAAGGAGTTTTGGGACAAAGTCTGTCCCAACCCAACGGTCATCCGAAACGACGACGTCCTCGCTATGATGGACAACGATAAGGAATCCACAGCTTCCTCAACGCTCCAGAAATGGCTCGAGGTACTGGGTGCGATTGAAGACCCGTGTGTGGAGGTCGCACAAGATCCGCGGCAGATCTTCGACATATGGTATGTGCATTTATAAATCATGTGAGCAAGCTCATGACGTCAGGAGGCTAGGATTCTTCAGGATGCGAACCGTCTGCTGGACGAATGGCCCGCGTTCTCACAGTCGCCCGTTATGACTGAATTTGGGTGGTCGCCTCTGGTGGAGCTGGCGTTCGATATGAACCGCGAGATGATCGCGCCGACGACCGTTCTGCAACCGTACCTATCCTCGACCTCGCCTAGCGTCATGAAGAGCTCCGAGAGATACGCCAACTTGCCGGGGCTTCTGGCCGTGCATATCAGGCGCGGAGATTTCGTGCGGCACTGCAGACGGCTCACCGAGTGGCAGGCCAAGTTCATTGGCTATAATGCCTTCCCAACGTTTCCCGACAAGTTATCTGTACCTGGAGACACGCCGCCAACGACACGGGCGGAGATGTATCGACTGCATTGCTTCCCCGAAATCCAAGAGATCGTGCAGAAGATTGAGGAAGTGAGGCGTTCCGATGCTGGCCGGGGGATCGAGAACATCTACATCATGACGAACGGTCCGACGCCCTGGATAGCCGATCTTAAGCAAGCACTACTGGACTCGTTCGAGTGGAAGAGGATCACCAGCGGTAGGGACATCCTAGTGAATCATGAGCAGGAATACGTGAAGCAAGCGGTCGACATGCTCATTGGGCAGAGAGCACAGGTCTTTATTGGCAATGGGGTGCGTGGCAAGTCTCAAGTGCTAGAGCAGTACTCACGTTGCGTTGGTTGGCAGTTCTCTAGCATGACGGGACAGATATCCATGCTACGCATGGCGAACGGCTTCGCGCCGAACAGCACTCGTTTCTGGTAGAGGTATGCTGTAGAATTTTATACGCATGGTCTGAGACGGATACTGGGGACGATCGCCATGTTCACATACGTGGCCGGGTAATACTATTGTAGCATATGTACATACTAACAACGAATACGACAGACTGGATATCATGGTCTGAGATTTCCTTCGACGTAGGCAGCGAATTTGTCGGCAACGCTCTCCTCGCTCCAGTCCACCTGTCCCTTCTCGATCGTGCCCAGGGTGATGGCCTTCTTGTGTACAGTGACGAACTGTCGCTTTAGCCGCTGCAGCTCAGAGAGGGTAACATTGCGCGGAGGAAGTGTGATACGAGGTCTGAGCGTTGGGCTAAGCGCGAGTGTTATCGGTCCACCGGACAGTTGCGATGCAGCTTGTTCCGCCATGATCGCAGAGACCATGGCAGTTGCTGTGTTTTCTAGCGTTCTGAGTGCGTCCGTGGGGGCTTTCGGGACCTAAACTAGTTTTAGCAAATATCAAACGCTGTCTTCCCGACACGCTTACCGCTTGTGTGCCGGCATTGGGTGGTTTGACTGTGCCCTCCGTGACAGCCTTCCAAATGTCGTCTACTGGGACATCGTCGTCTGTCCATGGAACTGTCAATAGTGGGGAGTCCCATCTGACCATGGACGACGGTTCCTCGTAACGATGGATCAAATTATCTAATCTATGAGAACATCAGAGAGGGTAAAGGTATGTCGAAAGCCACATACATATCTGGAGGGTATTGTTTACCGTCGTCTCTTGACGCGTTCCACTCTTTGCAATCGTCTGGGGTGGCAACCACATAGACCTACTTGCCACCTGTCAAAAGCGCGGCTCTGTATCAAGGATTGATGCTGGGACTTACTGTGCAAACTCGTACTTTCATCTCCCTTGCGGCGCAGTACATCTGGTAACGGAAGCCTTTGATGTAGTTCATCGTATCGACGACGAGGATTGTATCTTGTCCCATTCTCCTCTGCATCGCAGTGAAGAGAGCCGCTCGAGCGGGTTTTTCCAGTCGGCCATCTAGGGAACCATAAGCCCAATGAAAACCCACGAGACCTTGTCGGTAGTACCGCCGTATACGCTGCGATCGATGTTCAACTCGTCATCAGAGATTATCGAGACTTTCAACCTCGGCCCCGAATAACTGGGTTCTTGCATCCGAGACTCTAGGTGTGCTTTGATCTGGTGAGCCCGTCTCGACTTTCCAGACGAAGGAAATCCAGATATGGTAATGAGGGCCATGAGAGATCGGGCTTGCTGTACCGACGATAAGTACAGTAGGTTATTACAGATGTTTTTATGATTGCGTGCTTTTCAAGCGAAGAATCGTGGTGGTCGGGCGGTCGATAGCCATGAGTCGAAAAGTGGCGCGGAAGTTGGAGACTTGCCTTTCTGATCCGATACATATGTTTGGCGCCCGAGCCACCGGTGGCACCACCTGGCACCGCTCGAACGGCTCTGTCTGTTACTGTCAACATGACAACATTGAACCTGTTACACTAGGTGGCAGCACGTTGTTGGCTTTTGCTCTCATGGCTTTGCAGTCACTTCAAGCTTGAGACACTGACTATTCCCCATTTGACCTCGTGACAAGCATTACTTAATGTTCCATGACGTGGCCATGACCGATACTACAGTATCTGATGAGGCTGAGAGTATGCCGTACAGTGTACAGTGCCGCAATGGCACCGCGACCGGTGCAGATGCTCGGGAAGACGACTCAAGACCATGTTTGTGTGGGCGTTCGGCCATCGTATCTCGCAGTGGACTGAACCTTCTACTCCATGTATACAGGTGCCAACGGTTCATTTCACTGTAAATGAGGCCGTGCGTTCATGCTATGTATGGATGCGTAGCCCGCCCGGCTCGGCGTAAGAGGGTGAGTATGCAGTTCACGAACCACCGACATGCCCTTTGGTCAGCAGTGAGCACACTTGCTTCATACACGCGGCTTGATCGGTTTGCTAAAATCGCAGGCGGATACGACAACGCCGCTTAAGCCGTAGTCGCTCCCGTAAACCCATGTGTTCGAGCGGATGCCTGGCAGGTTATGTATCTGTTCTTCTGCTTCTGATCTGATCATGGGGCGTTTCTTTAGATCCTGCGCGCAGTTCAATTCTCAAGGTTCTTGCTCAGCAAACATACCTACCCGTCGGAGTCCCGTCCAGCAAACAGATCCTTCAGATAGTCCCCGGAGTCGCAGTCAGTATGGAGCACGAGTCGTCGGTACGATTCATCGCCCGCGTGCCGTTTTTCCCGTGTCTGGGTGCATTGCGGCTTTCACGAGGCACATATGTTGTCCACTGGCACCCGCTACTTACGCGGCGCTGTTAGGAGGGCCCCGGGCCCCAGAGGGCCAAACACTTTCGTTCCTTCTCGGAGGTAGCTGACGTCCGACCTGCCACTCAACATACACAACAGTCGTGGAGTAACACAAGCTGTCTGGAACGTTGTCGATCATGCAGTAGGCAAACTGCTCGAAGCTGATTCCGCAGTTGTGAACTTCGCCCTCGGCTCCGGTGCCGACGCTAACTCGTCCATGTCAGTATGTGACTCCGAGTGCGCTAGGTGTTAGGGCGGGCCCTGGCGAGCCGTCCGACGGTTAATGAAGGCCGTTGCAAGCGCATTCGTGTCTCAACTTGGTCACTGAGGCGCATCTCAGCGTAGTGAAGCACGATGTCTCCGCAGGGTTCGCAAAGCCGAAGCCTGATATTGCCATCTGAGGTTTCCGCATAAGCGCGAAGACCTATTGCCAGGCGCAACAAGCTGACCGCAGGCCATATAACCCCCACCCGCGGTATCTGGTGCGACCCCCGCTTTTGCCCTGTTTTTTCTGATTACCCACCGACACACTACCAACAGGCGAGATGCAGGGCCGCAGTAGGATCCAAGACCTCCGCGAGCGTCGCGAGTTGCCACGACTGCTCCCTCTTCAGCAGGAGGACGTCCGCCCGCGCTCTGGCTTCAGATTCTTCTCGAGACGCTACGCCAAATGCTCCATAAGCTTACTGCTCATCTTGTGCGCTCTCGTGCTGCTCGCCCAGCTGTACTCGCCCGAGGCCATCGAGCACTTGTATGGGGACATGCGGGTATATGCGCCGACGGAGCACTCAAAGTTGCCGTCGCTCTTTGTCAAGTATAGCGAGGATGAGCAGCGTACGTCGAAGGAGAATCTCCTCCGATGGAAAGAGCAAGGCCTACAAGAACGCTACCTGCGACTACCTGCCCGGCGGCAGCGTCAGTATATCTGCACCATCACGCCGCCTCGAATTACTTACGGTTTTTTTCTGGCAGGTTCCGGCTGGGGGCCGTTCATGCAGGAGCTCATCTTAAACACCTACCTTGCGAATCGCATTGATCGCATGTACGTGACAGTGCGCTTGGTAGCCCGGGCGCCACTGATTGTCCCCCCGATATTGATAGCTTCGTATTGGATAACTTCACCTGGCATGAAGACGGGTGGATGGACTACGTGGATCATCGCCAAGGCCAATACTCTATGCCAGTTCAGATACCTGTGTCCGCTGTCATCCGAGGTATGATCTTGCTCTTTGTCGTACTCTGAGTAGTTGGACAATAGCTGACAACAAAGTTAGCGGTGACCCCTGCCGGCGTTGACCCGCAAATGATACGTGCGGTCGGGAAAGACCTATGGGACGAAGCATGCCCTCGCGGACGGATGGTGCATGGACTAGAAGCGCCACCTGTCGTCGGCAGACATCTGCAGGCTTCGATGCCCCTGAAGGAGGACGTGAGCGACTCCCGCAGCCAGTGCTTGGAGCTGTATGAATTCCCCTCTACTTCGAACGAGTGAGTCGCCTTTTTTATCCGCCGCAGACACGGTAGCGTCGGACAGAGTGACTGAAAGATCCACTAGCATGGGGAGCACGCTGCTCGACATCTGGCCAACGCTTTCGAACTCGTCCATCTTGACGCACTTCGGCTGGTCGCCGCTCGTGGAGCTGGCCTTCGACATGAACCGCGAACTGATCGCCCCCGTCACGGACCTAGAGCCCTATCTGTCTTCTTTGCCCTTCACAAACAGCTCCGACCGCTATCGACCGATCCCCGGTCTGCTTTCTCTACACGTACCGCGGGGGATCTACCAGGACTACTGCAGAGGTCTGGCCCCCGGAAGCCAGGGATTTACGGGCTTCAACGCCTTCCCATCGTTTCCCGACGTCTTCGACCCCGCGAAGCTCGCGCACCTCGGCGAGGCAGCCCGCACGGCGGTGTACCACCGTCGGTGCTATCCGATTATCCAGGAGATCGTCCGGCGCGTGGATATCGTCCGACATACCGAGGCGGGCAAGGGCCTCCGCGACGTCTACATCATGACGAACGCGCCGACGCCGTGGGTGCTCGAGTTGAAGACGGCGCTGCGGCGAATGGGCGGGTGGGCGAGCGTCAGTAGCACGAGAGACCTCGTGCTCAGTCGCGAGCAGCGGTACGTGAAGCAGGCGGTGGAAATGCTTGTGGCACAGCGGGCGCAGGTTTTCATTGGGAATGGGGTGGGTGATTCTTTGCTTGCGGACGATTGAGTGGTTCTAACTCAATACGATCAACCCATTAGTTCTCTACTATGAGCGGGCAAGTGGGCATGCTCCGGGTGGCCAATGGCTTGCTTGTTGAGTCTACGCGCCACTGGTAGGGTTCTGCGAAGAACTGCCCGTGGCGGCGGCACTGTGTAGGGTTCAGTGTGTTTATGTTGTTCTGCGTTGCTTCACACTCCTTCACTCATGTTTCCCTACTGGCGTACATTTTATCCAGTCGGTAGTATGTCAGCTAGTCGAAGCCAAATCAAAGCGAGCTTTGCATTGTCCTGTAACTCGTTCAATTGAGTCGGAGCCCGGCTTCCATATATGTGCGCTTCTTCCGTTTCGCTTGGACACAGGCTTGGACAGGCTTGGACCTGTTCGGAAGCAATTTCCCCTCGTGCCGGCGGCACAACGCTATACGCGATAACTAGCGCCACATGCGAGGTGGTCCGTGCGCATAGCCTGCGGTCTATATAAACCGTGCCTCAACAGCTCTTTCCCCATTCTTGTGCTCGGGCACGTACTGTCGCCAGTGAGGTCTATACCGAGGCACAGTCTTTTGCTGATTGCAAACTACACATCCGAACACGTCTGTTGGCTTCGGCCTCCAGCAATTTTTGGAAACCCCTTCCATCTGATGAAGACTATGGTCTGAGGATGTGTGGCGGGCGCGCGGCGGGTAGTACTGGAGTTGTACCAACATCTGCATAGCATGTATTTCGTAGTGTCTTTGCAATCAAACTGTGTACAACTGCATCTCGTGGCTTGGTTGTGAAGTGTTCATTGAGATGCAGAGCGAGCGTTGCACTCTTGGTCCCTATGTGAAAGCTGTCAGAGGCTCGTGCGGCTGAAGATGTTTCAGCAAGAATTGCGGCAGCTGTCAGACATGTGGCTCGGGTGTGGCTGGAGACGTTGGGGCTTCGCGTTCAGTTCCGCTTTCGCTTCGCGGGATGCTGGGTGGGACGCGCGGGCTTCGATGTGTGTTGTGCATTGTCTGCTGCCCCGCACTGGGCTGTGAGGCAGCTCCGGTTCATTCGTTGGTGATTTCCGCAGAGTCTAGATCAGCAAAATGGGCGCCTTCTCCAGGAACCCCGCGGGCCGTTCTCACGCGCGGCAGACGCGGTCGGCGGGATTGGCATCACAGGCATCTCTCCCCCAGAGCAACGCCGTCTATCGTTCTTCTTGCCCTCTTCGCTCCTTTCGCCCGCCCAGGGCTCGCCACCATGGCTGCTGTAGACGAACCAGTCAGGTCACAGGTGCGTCGGCGCGTCCACACTGCGTCTCGCGGCGCCGTTTTGATGCGCTACAGGACCCGACACAGGACTCGGTGGCAGCTGGCGGCGATGTCGCAGAAAGCACCGCGACCGACGCGCCGCCAGCCGACCCGCCAACCGAGGGGACTCAAGAGAATGGAACTGCGGGGGAAACCCACGCAGACGTCGCGCAGCCTGCTCTCGACCCCGTCGACCCGTCGCCCCCTTCAGATGAAATTAATGCCACCCAGGATGGTGCTTCGGCTTCACGACACTCCTTAATATGCGACGGTGTAGAGCAGGTCCCTCCCCAGCCGCCTACCTCGACTGGGCAGGAACCAGCGACGGCGACGACGGCTTCGTCCAACAACACGCACGAGACCCACACCGTACAGGCAGACGAGTCGGAGAAGGAGAAACCCACGCTGACCATAACGACGCCAAGGGGGAAGCGGCGGCGGGAAGCGCGGGAGGTGTCCGAGGGCGCACACACGGCATCGAGCACGACGGAGCGGCCGTCGACGCCACGCTCGGCGCGCACCTCGAGCAAGCGCGCGAAGACGTCCCTCCTTGCGAGAATCGTGCGGGCATGCACGTCTTGCACGCACCCGTCCGGGCGCAACCACGACATTGACCTCAGCGAGGGCGTGCGCGCGAAGGTGAGCGAGAAACAGCCGGTAAAGGACGGCGAAATGCAGCCTGGGCGAGATTCCTCCGACTCGGCGACTGGTGGGTGCTCAGCCTTCTCACTGGGTGTCCAGCTGACACTCTAAAGCACAACACACAGCGCTCACGATAGTCTCCCCTGCGCCCTCGGACGACACTGATGTGATTGTGCCGCCCACGCCCTCGCGCCTCCTCCCGCGTTCGGAGACGCATGGTGTGACAGCAGGCGCGGTGCAGCCGCCTGGTTCCACTGGACACGACCTCGTGGTAGCCAACGATCAGGGAGACGACTCTGACAGCTCGTTCACCGAAGAAGACGCCCTCAACCTAATCCACATCGACGCGGACACAGAAGAGCAGATGCTCATACAGAAGGGCGGAAACGGGATACCTATTGTTGTATGTCCTGATAGTCTGCATGTTTATATCTGTTTCCGACGCATATATGCATCCAGGACGGTATCCTGCGGCCCTTGCTTCCGCCCATAGCCCCCGAGTACATGGGGCGCAAGTGCCTTGTACTCGATCTCGACGAGACACTGGTACATAGCAGTCTGAAGGTCTGTCGCGGTGTCGGGCTGAATTGTGCTATATCTCATTAATTGCTGCGCATATAGCCTGTACCGTCACCAGACTACATCGTTCCTGTCGAGATTGAGTCCTTCTGGCACAACTTCTATGTACTCAAGCGCCCCGGGGTGGACGGTTTCATCAAGCGGATGGGAGAAATATACGAGGTGGTGGTATTCACAGCGAGTCTCAGCAAGGTGCGTCTCCTCCCCGCCGCATGTCGGTTTCTCCCGCAAATCAGCGTCCTTTGTTCATGTCCATGCCTTCCTCCTACGCGTCTGCTTCTGTGCTTTCGCTGTAACATAACAGTATGCCGATCCGGTCTTGGATAGACTTGACCCTGACCACTCAGTTGCCCACCGGCTTTTCCGTGAGAGCTGCTACAATCACCGAGGGAACTATGTCAAGGTGTGTTACCATGTCTTACGCTTTTGTCAGCTCGATTTAGCCGTGTTTCTTGTGTACAGGACCTCTCACAGCTCGGCCGCCCCATCGAAGACACGATCATCATCGACAACTCACCAGCCTCCTATATCTTCCACCCCAACAACGCGGTCCCCATCTCGTCCTGGTTCAATGACCCGCACGACACCGAGCTGACCGACCTCTGCCCGTTCCTCGCGGACCTCGGCGAGTCGGGGCACGACGTGCGGGGGATCCTCAACCCCGTCGCGTAGCCCGCCCGATGAGCGTGCCCGGCACGCGCCGCATGCGCACGTTGGCTGGCGCTGGTCGTTCCGGCCAAGTGCCAGTCGCGACATCCGTCTCCCGCGAGCTTTAGCTCCGGATACCGTTGCCTGGCCGCACATCCTTCCGACAGCACCTTCGCCGCGCGTCGGTGGGTGGTCAGGGTCAGAGGACCGGTGCCTCCTGCTGCTGCTGCGTCGCGAACGCAAAATTTTACAGCCCCCTTACTGAACAAGTCCTTCTTGCCGCACTTCACACCCATGTCATATACCCCGCAACAAGTGAGTACCCATTGTGCTGCTGGCGTCTTCAATCCCATTGACGCATGCTTGAACAGATTGCTCTCCTGGTAGAGTCGCCCACCTGGCGCATAGACGCCTTCTTCGAATCCTCACAACCACAGTCGCTTGCCTACCGCCGTTCTTTGCGCGTGTACGTTCTCGCCATCGTTCTCATGTCGCAGAGCGCGCGCTGACGTCCTCGCTCTGACACGCAGGTGCCACAGTTATTTATACGATACCCTCTTCCACGCTCGGGTTCCATGCTTGTCGTCTGTTTTGGCTACTCATGTGATGACGCACCAATACGAATACATGATGAGTTTCCATTCGGGCCTTCGTGTGCTGAGATTCGAGAACGCCACGGCGTGACTTTGCTCACGCTGCGGCAGCCTCCCCGTCCGCATGCTACTTACCTTGTTGGACAGACCTGCCGGCCGCTAGCTTCGGTCTCGCCGGGATGACACCGTGCCGCAGCTGCACGATGAGGTGCCTGAGAGCCCCTAGACATATAAATACAGGTGCCTTGCCAATCAGGCCGACGTCAGAGGCTGTCCCGTCCCCACTTCGCGGAACCTTTTCCTGGTTGAGGAAAGGATTCTTGCGTCTTACGCATGCAGCCGTGCTCGAAGATAGCGGCTTTGTCATTTCAAATCGTTACTGATATATATTCGTCAAACACAGTTGCTCTTGCTTGTTCCCCCCTCTCGATTCTCGCTTTCCCCCGGTTACACTGAGATACTCGCACAAGGCCCCCAACACGCAGGGCCAAATATCTTAAGCACATCTATCACCGTCTCTCCCGTTTTCCCTTCCCCTCCTCTACTTCATCATCCCATGGACTGAATGCAGTCTTCCGCACGCGCGGCAACGACTGGAGCCACGAGAGCCCCGGAGGTAGCAGTGTCCTGCTGGCCGCCTCCGGCCCAAGCGGCGCCGCGACGGCGTTGACATGCGAGGGCGACGACGGTATGCTCCTAAGTGACACTTCGCTCAGCGTGGGGAGACGCTCGAGGCTGGTGTTCGTCGAGCTGCCGAGCGCACGCTGGAGCGCCTCCCGCTCTGCCGGCGAGGGCGCGAACGCGCGCATGTTGATCGACGAGAAGAGCGTGTCGTTCTCGGGCGCGACGATCTGGGGCACGCTGAGCCCGGGCGGCTTCCCGACGACGGGGTCGAACGACGCGCCGCCGGACGGGGGTGCGGACTGGGGCGGGAAGAACGACGGGAGCGACTTCTTCGTGAGGCGGAAGACCTTCGCCTCCGGGTTGAGGCCCTTTCTCTCCTTCGGGTCCACAGAGTTCCAGCGACGATGAGCGATGCTCGTCTTGTCGTCTCCCTCGAGTGCGCGCACGTGCGACTTAACCTGCGGAATCGACTCCGGGTCGGAGATCGTTCGACTTGGCGCTGGCATCATCGTACGCGGGCTATCCAGAGTCTCGCTCGTCATGCGGCGCCTGACGGTCAGAGGAGGCAGGCGGATCTCGAAGGGGTCTTCCTTGTCGACGCCGTCGAACGACGGGTTTGTGATGGACGTGGGCGAGGCGGTGAACGAAGACGGGTGTTCGACGGGTGGCTGCAGGGAGCGGTGGGCACGCCAGTTAGGATCCATAACGTCGTCTGTGTCTGACTGGAAAGACCGTGACATGTCCTCCATGCTCGGGATGCTCTCGAGCGAGCTTATCAGGCTCGACGGAATGAGTGAGGTGCTCCGGGGCGAGATGGCCTCGCCGCCCTGCATACTGGCTACGGTCGGCTCGGTGTCAGTGTCGGCGAAAGGTGAGAAACGAGTCGAGATGGTCGAAGCAGAAGCCTTGTCAGCAGTGAGGAAGGGGAACTGAGGCCGCACGAATGCTTCGTTGCTGATACCCTCCGGGCGCAAACGGTCGCGGAAGTTGGAAATACCAGCGAGAGACAGTGTCATAGGCCTAGGCGAGACAGCTGAACTCCTGGGCTCTCGCGCGGGCAGAGGCTCCGTGACCTGCACAGAGGGCGTGAACACCTCCAGTCCACAAGACATGTCAGTTGGGAACGTGGGGAGCGGATCTTGCACTTGAGTTTGGCTTTGGCTGTAAGCGGTTGTGGGCGACCAGAGCGTCGCATCGTCCTCCTCAACCGTCGGCACGACGTGAAGAGGATAGAACGACCGGTCCTGCTTCCTCAGCTCCGCTTGCTCCTTTGACTTCTTGAGCCTCTCTTCTTCCTGCGCGATCTTCTCTTCGAGCTCCTTGGCACGGGAGCTCAGAGCAACAATCACGTCCTCAGCAACCTTGATCTCCTTCCGCTTCCTCTCCAGCTCCTCCGCCGCCTCGCGCTCCGCCTTCTCCCCCTCCTCCCGCGCTGTCTGCACCGCCTCCTCATCCTCCTTGATGCGCCCCTCCAGGGCCGCAATCTCCTTGTCTAGACGTTCAATACGCCTACTCGCGCTGTCGCGTGCGCTCTCAGCGACTTTGAGCCTCTTCTCCGCCTCTCGCTTCCCACTATCCGCTGCACGCTTCTTGTCCTCCAGCGTCTTCGTCTTCGTCTTGAGCTCCCCACGAGTCGCATCTTCGCTGCGCTTCCGCGCGCGGTGCTCGTCGAGCTCGCTCTGAATCGCTGCGTGCCCCTGAGCCGCCGCAGCGCGGAAGTCAGCAAGTTGGCCGCGGAGGTCGACTACGAGGTCACTCGAGTGGGCTATCTGCCGCAGAATCTCAGCGATCACGGGAGACTGGTCGAATAGCGAGGTGGAAGACGGCGAATAAGATATGCTCGGTGCGAGTTTGAGAGCATCACTAGAAGTGCACGAGGCGACTTGTGGTGATGTGTGGTTAGTCCGTGAATTGATTTCGCTGCGCGAACGATCAGCTTTCGGTGGCGTGGTCGGTGGGCGAGGCGCGTGTAGCGGTAGTGATGCAGACTTTGGCAGTGGCGGTGGTGTAGTGCTTCGCGAAGAGTTGGTTACGGTGCGATGCGTTGAGCGTTCTGTGCCTCTGAGCTTCTTGTCCGAGTCTGTAGTAGGCAAATGCAGAGAAGCCGCAGCAGCGAAAGGAAGGCCTGCGCAGGTAAATTAAATACGATCGGTGTGGTCTCGTGGCGACACGTACCGTCATAGCTTTCCAAACTATCCAGCGCCTTGAGATCCAAGATACCAGAGTTCAGACGTTCAGCGTCCTTCTGGTCAATGAGAGCACCGTGCCACCATGCTCGGATTGTGCCACCACGCCACCATCGTCCGAACGCACCGATGAACCATGAGTCGTTGGCCGTTGATTGAGCGGCATCGGGTCCCATAGTGGCACTGCCTTGCGAGCTCGGAAAGACGGCGGCGATAGTCAGGACACCAAAGCTATGGAAAACATGCTTAGGGGTGCGCAAGGAGATAGAGGCGCGGTTGATGAAATGGAAAGGTGATTGTGTGTCGTGATCTCTGCCAGGTTTATGTGCGATTGGGAGCGATCGCCGAGAACGCGAGACGTGTGTGCCGCCGTCCTTGGAGTCGGCCTCATCGTCCTGGCTGTTCTCATCGAGCCGCTTGAGGTGTAGTCGGAAAGATTGTTCCGTGAGGTAGTGTCGAAATGAATTCTCCGATGGGTTGGTGAGATAGGCTACATGACGAAACGACCACGAACGAGTCGTAAAGGTGCATGAGGCCAAGGAGAGGGGGTCCACTCGTAAGATGCCAGACGAATGTATTGAAGATAGCACACGTACCCAGGACCAGCAGCACGATCACGAATACCGTGGCGAAAAAGACCGTGCGCATATCGACCTTACGGAGGAACATGCCTACCGAGAGGTAGGGATGCCCCCCGTAGAACATCGCACTTAGCCCACCAAAGACCATGGTGAGTGCGAAAAGCAAGGGGCGCCTCCCCTCAGGGTGTACGCGGGGTTGTGTGGCTATGCCTCGAGGCGGGGCGAATGCAGGCCGTTGCGTGAATTGGGTGGCCGACACTGTTGCACGGGGACGAGCGAGCGCGTCCCCAGGCTATATGCGATGAGACAGGGTGGCGGCGACGAGAAGGACAACGGCAGAGACGGGCGTCGACGCACAAATACCCTCCAAAACTTGCCCGGCCACACCCATCACATGACCCTCCGCCCGACCCGGGGCGGTGCCCGGGGCGCGCCCCGGCTCCGAACGCAGCCGGATCACCGCCGATCTTCCTGCCACCAGAGGCCCCGCCTCGCCGTCGCACCCATCGTCCCCATCGTCGTCGTCGTCGTCGCGAGCGGCGGGCTCGTCTCTTTCAGCTCGCAGGACATCGGCTCCCCGCTCTCCAGCCGCTCCCACCATCTGACGGACCTCAGTCCATCATCTTCCATCTCCCGCGCGCCAGCAGCATGCCTTCGCGAACAACACCTGTTGCGGCTCTTGCTATCGATGTCTTCATGATGCGCAATGGCTCCATCTCGCAGTCCACGAGGCCTTTTTGCGCCCCCATAACCAGCTAGATCGACGAGTTCATTCCTCGGTCCCACATGAACTCGCGTTATCTGCGCCGGGATTGCCTTTCCCAGCCTCGACACCTAGTCTGCTTCAAAATGTGGGCCCCATACCGTAGCAGCCCTTAGGCGGAGTTACATAAGCTTGTTCATCTCCGAAACGCGCGTGTAAATCTCGACGCGCGCGACGCGTCCGACGCGTCGCGTCGCCTCAGTGTGCTCGTCTCCTACTACTACCACGAAATCCTGTATGGTAGGCATGTTCTAATAGAATGTCGTACAGCGGGAACTTGCCAGGGTCATCTCCGCCGTCTTTCACTTCATTCAGCTCCCCTGACGGCCTCGCATTCTGTCGCACCATCGCGTCGCAGTGTCTGCCATGGGATCCGCACGATTACCAACTCGAGGGCGCCTGCAAAGCATTGGACGGCCTGGATGTCTTTGCGATCACGCCTACAGGTTCAGGAAAAACAGGCTTCTTGCTGATTTACATTCTAGTGGCTCGGGCAATCGCCTATAACCGTTCACTGTGCCCGGAGCCCTTACGCGCGCGGTTCAAGGCCAACCCTTGTATGATGGTCATCTGCCCTACGAAGGCACTCGAACATGACATGGTGAGTACCTATCTTGTATCGCAGGTATATATGTGTCTGACTTCGTTGTCTCAATCGCAGGAACCCAACTTCCAGGCGGCAGGGCTGCGCACGCTGGTCATTAACGCGGACACCACAAGAGCTGCTCTCGCGCGTCGCGACGACGTATGGAAACTCGCCGCTGCGGAGCGAGATGTCATACTGCTCTCTCCGGAACAGCTCGCTACATCTGGCTTCCGCCGGCTCATGGACGACAGGACCTTCTAGTAGCAGGTACGCTGTATACTTTGAATGCGAGGACCCCGCAAACGTAAAGACCATGATCTAATGATCCATAACTTGTCATTGACTGAACGGTACGGCGTGGGAATTGAACGATCACTGCACGTACCTTCAGAGCCTCATACGCCCAACATCACCCTCGCAGGTCGCTAGCACAAACTCTCGCAAGACGACGGCGTCGCGCATGAGGGCGATTGACTGAGCAAGAGCGCGATCACCCTGAAACTCGTCAGGCTCGGACAGCGCGCTCTCCTCTCCTGCCGCGGACTGAACCGCTTGCTGCAACTCGGAGGAGCGCGAGGATGTGGCTGCGGTGAGAGGCGTCCAGCGAGTTCCGATCGGGACAGTCTTCTCCCATGGCGTTGGCTTGTCGACTGGCCCGTCCGGCGTGGGGTTCAAGTTGGATGGCAGCATCGTCTTGCGGTCACAATCTGATTGTGCATGCATCGCCCGTTCGTAACCGCGGCTGGTCGAGTAGGCGCGATAGAGTGAGAGCGCTACATCCTCTAACTCACCGAGTGATGGCAATGTCTTCTCCGCACGTTTTGCAAAGTATGTGAATAGATCAGATGTGTCCCAGTGCAGACTGGCCGAAACACAGTTAAAACACAGCAGCATTACTTATGCCAGAGGACAGTGACGTACCGGAAGCAGTCCAAAATGCGTGCATCGAGCACCGTGAATAGTGTCTCCATGCCCTCATTGTAATCGACCTTACTCAGGTTCGACGGAGGCTTGCGTCCCATTTTATTTGCGCTGTGTCCGAGTGTTGACAAATCTTTGCTCAAGGGCAGTCCCCAGTGCCGCGAAAAGATGCGTCCGAGGTCTGTCCAGCCTGGCCACTCAGCGCTCAGCCAGTACGACGACGACTACGGCTCATAATTAACGAGTTGTGATTAAATCATGCACAGATCTGAGGGCAGCCACAGGCCGACCTGCCGTAGCCACCGGCAGCTGCCGTAGCCACCGGAATGGTTCGGCCATCAGAAAATGGATAGCGTAAGGGCTGCTCCAGTATCAGAGGCGCGTTTTGAAGCAGACCCTTAGAAGACCGCCCCACTGACCGTCCAAGAGGTCTTCTTTAAGGTCTGCCTAGGGGAGACTACTCGACACCCACGTCGAGAAGCAGCGTCGCTACCTTGGCGTTGTCGAATCGGCACCGTCCGCACGATGTCATCTCGATCTGCTAGATCATGATAGTCTGCGGTTCGGCTGCTGGTACCGCATCCCGGCTTCACAGCTCAATGGGCCAGGAATACCTGCATGCATAGGCCTGTTGGTCAGGCAGATGAGTCGTGTGACTCCCTCACAGAGTACGTCTTCGCAGTCTCATGTCTATCGCACAAGGCTTCGTGATTACGTTGCGAGCTTCTAGCGGATCCCATTCCTCTTCTTCCTGGGGCGTCTCTTTACCTCAACATGCTTTGTCACTACCGTAGAGGTGGTACTTACTCCTGCTCTGCCATACACCCAAGACTTGTGAACCCAGCCGACTCGTGGTCTCTGTTACTACCCTTACCATCAGAACGATTGGAGGATCGTTCATTGTGGATTGTACGTAGGCTAGTGATCTCAGCACGAGGCAATAGCATGCCATATTGCCATCGATTGACGAGAGTGCAGGAGGTTGACTCGATGGTGTGCCAGGACCATTTGCCGTGTGCAAGGTGCGTTGTTCCAACCACGCAGATCAAATTTGCGCGGTGAGGGCCGAAGCCCTCTGTGGTCCATTACCCGAGAGAGACGATTCGCGTCAAGAGGCTGCGAGTGACTGTACGAACATCTAAGCACCCGCATTCCTCAATCACCGTGACACCCAACCATCTGCCAGCAGTGGTACCTATTTGTGGCGATGTCGTGCGGTGACTGTGCCCGTACCTATTCGATGAGGTTGCATCCATTGTCACTACACTCGCGATACAAATATGTACAGTCCTGTGAAACAAATATTCCCAAGTATTCCACCCAAAGCACATCCTGAATCCAATAAAACCATTCATTATCGCCTACTCCGAGTCTCCGCTGATTTCCATACTCTCATACGCCCTCCGAATCTTCCTCAGCTCCTCCTCCACCGCCCCCAGGTCCGCAGAGAACGCGTCCGTGATATCAGGGTCGAACAGCTCTAATGGTGAGTCCGAGTCGCTGTCGGACACATACACGTACTCGTCCTCCCCGTCGAGCACCGCGTCCTGGTACTTCATCACGAATTTCGTCTTCTGGGCGTGCAGCGTCATGTACACCCGGTAGCACGTGCGGTAGTACTTCTTCAGCGCCTCCACGTCGGGCGGGAGGGGCAGCGAGCGCGGCCGGAAGAGGGGCACGTACTTCGGCTTGGATGGTTTCGGCGGTCGCTCTTTATGTGGCGCTTCTGCCTTGACCTTAGCGGGTGGCGGACTCTCATCTTCGGACGATGTGTAAATGGGGGACTTCCGGTGCGAACGTGCATGGGATGAGCCGCGCTGCGGGTCCGCGCGCGACGTTGACGAAGACGACGAGGACGGCCGAGCGATCTCCACCTCTGAGAGACGTGACGGCTGACGAGCATGCGCGTCGCTACTCGGGCGCGTCAAGGGGCTAGCAGGCGACGCTTCCTTCTTGACCTTCACCCGAGCGATCGTAATCGGCGACGCTTCCTGCTTGACCTTCTTCGGGATGGGCGCGTCTCTCACCCTGCCGCGGCCCCGCTCCATATCGCTGTCCTTGTCCCAGCCCCGGCGGCTATCCCGATCGCTCTCCCGCTCCCGGTCTCGCTCATGCTCGCGTTCCTGCTTGACCTTCGTCTCAGCGACTCGGCGCCTCTTCTGATGCGACGCATCGCGGTCAGAGTAGTCGTCATCGTCATCTGCCACACGTTTGTGTTTCTTGAAGCTCCTCGTCGAGTTAGTGCTCGCAGCCAACTCGTGATTGCGTTCGACCTCTCGAGCTGCCTTCCGAGCAGCAAGAGTCTGGGGTGTGGCTCGATCGTCCTCCGTCTTCCGTTGCGTACCCGCCTTGGCAGTGGACCCGCTCGACACCTTCCGCTCCTGCATTGCTGGAGGGGCTATGGGCGGTGCGGGATCTGCAGCACCCGACGGAGGGGGCATAGCGCGTTTGCTCTGCCGGGCATCGACAGGGCCTGTCCTTTTCGGTGGCTGGGGAGGAACCGCAGGAGATGCTGCTCGTGGACCGGGCGTATCCTGCAGAGTCGGCGTAGGAGGGGTGTCGCTGCCGCTTGCCCGAGCCTTATAGCCCGAGCCTGGTTGCCTCCGCATGGACGGCCGTGCATCTGGGGCAGCTGAATCAACTGTTCTTTCCTTGCCCTTAGATGTGGTCGAAGGATGAACACTCTCGTCCTTCATCGGGATCGGGCCGTTCGCCTTCCTCTTCCTCGGCGCATCCGTCGTTTTAGCTTTCGTAGCCTTAGCCTCCTTGGTGATAGCACGTTTCGACTCGGGACGCGTAGAGTCGTCGGCCAACGGACGGCGTCCAACTGGAGTAGCAGGGCGGCTTTCGTCCTTGGGTTTCCTTATGTTATCCCAGGCCTTATGGTTTCGTGGCAGGTTCATGCGGTCGAAGACGGTCCTGGCATGCCTCGCTATCGTCTCCTGTTGTGCTGCCGAGAAGTTGTGCTCATATGGGCGCACTTCAGTCGTCCATAGTGGTACTTTGAGTTGCCAGACGCGGGGGCCTTCGTCGTCACTCTTCATCCCGACCTATACGAGAGCCAATTTAGTACGACTTGGCGCACACAACGTAAAACGTGCCTCTTCGAGTAGCTTAAGAAGAAATGCACGCTTCGCCTCGGTAGGCTGACCTCCTGCGATCCTTCGCAAGATGATGTCTTCCTGCGTAGATGGAATCGCGGCGAGTAAATGTATGAGACGTCCTCTCGCACCCGGGTCGGAATCCGGACCTAAGCGCGACGAAGACGCAGCAGCAGGCGAAGCCGGACGGGCCGCTTGTAAGTTTGTCGGGGTGGATGATACTCGGGGGGACGCCCCGCGAGTTGGCTGAGATGCACTTCCTGCAGAGAGGTTACGCCGGGCGGCGTCCGCCCCAACCGCCAATGGCTTCCGGAACATCGCCTGGGGGTCCCTCTTCTTCTTTGTGCCTGCTGCAGGCTTCCCGAGGTCGGGGGGCGTCTCGAGCAGGATCGTCTTACGCTCGGTACGCTGCTCCTCCGCGGCGCGAGTGCGGTCGCGTACCCTCTCTCCGACCTTCTCAAGCTCGGGGTTCACCATGAATTTCCCCGCGACGTGGCCATAGAGCTTCAGCGGGGCGTTAGGCTTGGCCGCCGACGTCTGTCGGAGGTAGAGCTCGTGGTTGGTTTCCGGCGCCGCGCTCATGGGGAAGAACGCATCGCCAACGTGAATGCCCTTCGCACCCCCGTTAGCAGGCAAACAGCAGTATACGAGGGCCACGTACCGGGTTATCCCCGAACTCAAATTCCATCCCCGTGTTGCCTCGACATGCCTCGAGAGCCTCGAGCGCCTCGGACGTCATTCGGACGAGCATTGCCTGCTTGGGCTTTGAGTATAGCACATCCCCTGGTTTGGAGAGTCCTTGTATGGACAATGTAGTCCCCTCTGGGAGAGGCATGGTTGCGCGCGTGCGTGTGGGTGTGCACTAAACCGTGTGTAGCGGTATGAAAGAGATACGTAGTCCCGTGTCGACCGCTGGTCGTCGCGACTGGTGTGTCGTTCAGCTGGTGTAGCTGGGAGTCTGATGTGAATCTGATGAGCTGTGAGGCCTCGCGGAGGGAGTGTCCTTCAACGGCGGAATGATGGTGGTGGGGAAACAAGCAGGGGATGGGTATGGCCACGGCCTGGTTGACGGGCTGCTTGCGCCACTGGCAGTGGCACAATGATCCAGATCGCGATCTGGTCGATAATTGCTTGGATCACACTCGCGGACTCCCAACTTTACCTCCGCTCCCTTATCTACCCGCTCGTTCAAGTTGGAATAACCAGCGCGGACGTAGGGGAGGTCAAAGGCAAGTGAGAAGGCCCGTTTACATAGTACCAGAAAGCCCTGGTCCGCGACAAAATGCTGCGCCAATGCATAGGCGTGTGGAGACAGCCTCAGACAGGAGGCGGTGAAACATACGAGCCAAGGACGCCGTAACTACAAGCACTGCCGAAACGGTCAACAACATGGAATGGAGGCTATTGAATCCGGTAACCAGCAACTAGCTAAAACACAATACATTCATACAATGGACCGGGTCCAAGATAGGAGACGTCTCAACAATAGATCAGCAAGCCTGCAGACCGCCTACAAAACAATAAGGGCCGCGAGAGTACCCAGGTTACATCATTAGTCACGGTTCATATCGTTCAACAAACGAAGGATGTTGATGACTGCCAGTGTTTCATCAGACATGTTCAGGATAAACTGTACTAGAGGAACTTACAGAGGTTGATGAAGCTAGACAAGTCACGATCAGCATGGAGATGTGAGTACAGAGCATTGGTACTTACTCGAGGTAGAGGCTAATCGCCGCCATGATGTATTCGTCCGGCGACAGGCGCTTTGTGATCTGGTATGTGTCGAAGACGACGTAACCACTGAAAAGCAAGCAGCCGCCACCAGCGTAGACCATGTCCATGGTGCGGCTGAAGGGGAAGAAAATTCCCACAACGCCTGTCATCACTGCAACAAAATGTAAGACGCGCCAACGCGTGAGCCGAAGGTACGGGACTCACTGAGCGCGACCAAGCCTCCGAACAACCATCCACCCATGCCAGAGAAGTCATACTGTATGACCAATCAACTTTGGGACTGGGGAAGGCCATTAACACACCAACCTTGGATTGCAGAGTGAACAGGGTCAGCCCGAGGAACACACCCACGGTAATCAACCTGTGCGCTATACTTAGTCATGCGCAGCGTCTCAGCAGCACAGTAACACTTACAAGGCCTGCACGACGACAGTGGGGTCGAAGAAGGCGACAGTGAACCCAAGAGTGAAGGCCTCGAGAAGAGTGAAGGTCGAGAGTAGAACCAGGTTGGCCGGGTGGCTATGGCGCTTCCAGAAGAGCAACCCGAGGTTGATGAGGGTACCGAACAAGGGCAGATAGAACGACCACAAACTGGATAGAGAGAAGTAAGAAGGGGCCAAAAGAGCGGGTCTGCGTCGCTCACTGTGTCTGGACCCAGAAGATGGCGTCAGGAGACTTGGAGATACCACCGGCGACGATTGTAGTCGCAACCTACCAACTCATGTCAAATTCAGCAATACCTACGTATTTGAGAGAGAGCTTACGATCTGACAGACTAGGGGAATGTGTTGTTAGCGAAAACGTCGCGTACGCGGGCAAACTGAACTCACACAAGATGGAGTAGACCTTCCTGACGAATGCATTCCTAATCTCTAGAGCACTCTCCGAGACTGTGGTACCATACTGCGGTGCTTTGTCAGAGGTATCTCTGAATGTAACCCCCGTACCAATACGCACCTTGAAATCGTCGGGAATATCATCGAATCCGGGCTGGTCGTAGATGCCACCAGGACCCGAACTCGGTCCGGCGGTCGGGCTCAAGAGGGGCTGTGTCGCCTCTTCGTCACCGGGCACCTTGGAGTACTTCTGGGGCGCACTGTACGCAGGCGGGGGCGCAGTATAATGATCTGTAGACATGGTGGTTGAGGGACAAGGCGTGACCGAAGAATGCGGAAAGCCGGGAAAGACTGGACGACGGCGGGCGCCTAGACACAGGTTGTGTCATATCTCGATCACGTGCTGGGGGATATTGGGACATATGGGCGCCTAAGCGATGCCCACAAGAGACGGGTCGCGATTCCCAGAGGATGCTTCGTCGCCATCCACGCCACCGAGCACGCTAGCGGCGTGTCAGCAATTCGCAGCACTGCATAAGCAGCTCGCAGGATATACATATAATGGCTCCCGAGCTACTCCCCGAGCAACTCGGACTAGACATGGCTGAGGTTCGCTCCGACTCGAGCTTGGACTCTGATCCCCTCCTGCCGCCAGAACACCGGGAGCGCGTACCCCCACGGCCGAATCCCCTGCCCAAGCTGCAGCTGGCTGTGGTGTACTTCATAAAGCTGATTATACCCATAGCGGGAACCCAGGCCCTACCTTATATCAATGTCATGGTTGCCGATCTCGCAAAGGCTGCGGGCGCAAAGACAGGGTACTACAGTGGGCTTGTGGTCAGTTCCAACCCGTGAGCACGCTTTCTGCGGCTGAAGCAGCCTGCACTGCCAGGGAAGCGCCCGATCTATAGCGCACCTACTGACCATCTACTCCTGGGGAAGGATATCTGGTAAATACTCGTGCGTCTACATCATAGTCTCCATTTAACGCATAGAAATACAAGATCGACATGGGCGGAAGCCTGTGGTTATAATTGGCACGGCGTTGACTGGATTCTTCACTCTGCTCTTTGGAATCTCGCGCACATTCCCTACGGTACTCTTGACGGTCTTCCTAGGTCAGTGCACTGTGCGCTCTTATTCGTATGTGTATCTGACGTTGTGACCTAGTCGGCATCTTCTCCGGCACAACCGGGGCTATACACTCGATAGTAGGAGAGCTCGTAGACCCAACAAACGAAGCGATCGCTTTCCCGCTCTACGACATCGTCTCTGCGGTTGGCTTTGCGGTTGGGTACACGACAGCCTTCTCTGTTTCTCCGTTCGTGATATGCTGACGTCTCTACGCAGACCACTCATAGGAGGCACATTCTCAGACCCTGCGACGCAGTTTGGAGGTCCATGGTTCGACACGCCCTTTTGGCGAACATACCCATATTTCCTGCCGAGCTTCATTACAGCTTCCATCGCAGCCACCGCTCTACTCCTCGCCGTCTTCGTCCTCGAGGAGGTAGGGGTGCTTGCTCCTCAATTCGGACCCACCACATTGATCTCGGACTCATAGACTCTTCCGGGAAGACGCGGCGCGCGCAAGGGCCCCATTCGCATCCATCAGGATGAAGAGAGTCCCATATCACCTGTGAGAGGACCCCGCACAGATCCTTTTGTTGACGCAAAGCCGCTGGGTGTATGGCAACTCCTCTCGATGCCCGTCATCCGCATGATCTGCGCTTCGAGCGGTGCCCTAGCCTACGTCGCGGGCAGCTTCAATACTGTGTTCGTTCTCCAGGCATACACACCCGTGGAAGACGGCGGCCTGGCACTCTCCGTACGTCCCCTCTGCACGCTTCCGGATGCCATGACTGACCCGCATGACCATGGCAGCCCTCACAAATCGGCCGCGCACTTGGCATCATGGGTACCGTCTCTATGTTCCTTAAGCTCGGCATGCCCTACCTCTTGCGGCGCTTCGGCACGCTCACCGTCTTCCGCTTCTGTATGCGCTCGTGGCCCATCACGTTTGCCTCGATGGCGATTCTCTCCATCGTGGCGAAGAAGGTGGAGGGCGTTGAGGGAGTCGTGACGGAGTGGGCCGCCGTGAGCTTCGTGCTGTTCCTCTCGCGCGTAGGGTGTTTGGCGTTCTCGTGAGTCTTGTTCATTGAGATCCAGAGAACTCTAGAGGCTGATGGGAACAAAAACGCTAGTATTATCATGATCCTGACGAAGGACCACACACCTGGCACATCTTCACTGGGGACGTCGAATGGACTGGCAGAATTTGCACAAGCACTCGCGAGCGTCTTCTCACCGGCCATCGTCAGGTAAGCCTCACCGGCCGCCGTAATTTCCGTCCTCCATTCAAAATCCCTCATATTTCCCACCAGCTCACTCTTCGCATTCTCATCTTCAAATCATATCCTTGGCGGCAACTTTTGGGTGGTCGTGACGGTTCTCATCTCCATCGGCTCTGGCTGGTTCGCAGAGCAGATGAAGCGGTATCGGGATGACTGATCTGTGGTCCGGACCTTCGCTGTACTCATTGTTGTACTCATAACCATCCTTTGGTCTTCTGTATCCTCGTAGAATGTGCTATGCATCTTTAGTTTACCTCAACTCGACATCGACATCGACGACCGACGACCAGCGGACAGCAGAGTAGCATGTGTTCATCATCATTGTCGTAAGTGTCGTGAACATTACAAACCCGTAGCATACTTTTGTCCACGCCCCTCCTCATTCAGCGGTACCTAAAGTACACGCTCAAGCAATCAATGGCCCGTCCGGCGGTACAAAGAGCGCATCGTACCCTCCCTGTTCGTACAAGTCGCGCAGATGCGTCGCGACGGGGTCGATGAGCGTCCGTAGGGCGGAGATCATCGCGCTGGCGGTCATCTGGAGGCTCCACGCGCTGACGACCTTGAGGCGGCGGTTAAAGTTCGCTTGGCTGACGTGGTACGCCATCGCCTCGTACACCTGTGGGTGCAAATGGCTTCAGCACTCGCAATCTCTCAGCAGCAAGGACTAGTGCCAACCTTGAGTGAAATGATATCCATCAAGCCAGCTGAAGAGCTTGTTAGAAGTGTTCCACCGTCGCGAAGTCAGATACGTACTCTCCCAGGGCTGTTGATAGGTGTCATCAGTATCATGACCATAGAGTTCATTTTGTAAGAGCACTGACCGTCCACGAGCCCTCAAAGTCGCCGAGAGGCTTCACGACCCTGCAGCGAATAGGGACCAAGGTGCGGTTCGCGCTGGATACCGTCATTACGATACACCACACAAGAGAAGAGCGCACTCACTTCATGAACGCGACAATCGGCCGCACAAGCGCATTGTTCGAATAACTCAGCTCGTTCGTAAAGATCGGCACCGCCGCCTTCAGGTCTCTGAACCGCAGGTCAATATCGATCACTACCTGGGGCACGTCCGAGTTCCCCGCGACCTGCTCCCGGTCCGACGGCGCGCTCAGCGGGGGCTTGGCGAGCTCGCGCTGACCGGGGATGCGCTCCGCCGTGACGGACGACGCGGCGGTGGTGATCGCGTCCGCGAGCTCGCCGAGGAACGCATTGATGGGCAGCTCCTCCGTGGGCCCCCGCGGGAACTTGATGTCGAGCACAGCATCGACTTTGCCGGAGGTGATCCAGGAGAAGGGACCGTCTTGCGTCGTCATGGCTTGCATGTGGTCGACGTTGAGGCCGTCCATCCTGAATCGTGACTGTGCTTGGTGGTCAGATTACCGACTTGCATGGAGAATGACTCTTGTGACCCACCATACGAGCCCATTGCCCGTCTTGCAGGTCTTGCTCCGTGGTACGCCCAATGCTCTGGGGACGGTGCAGGCTGAACAGACAGTTGTCGTACTGCCCTACAACGTTCTCCGCTGCAAGGAAGTCGTAGAATAGCCACTGCTTCCGGAAAGTACGGATATCGGCGCGGAAGATGGACGCAGTGAACGGACGGAAGTTGCCTGGCTGGTATACGGTGAGGAGGACGTCCTCTACTTGAAGCGATTCAAGCTCGAAGTCTCCTGGGCGTGCTTCATGCCTGAAGAGGGCAGGATCCAGTGGATGATCCGGGTCCCAGTGGACTGAACGACGGTCTGTTTTGGTTGTATAAGATGAAATGCGTATAAATGACAGAGGGAACCCTACCGAGTACACCTCGCACGCCTTTCATGACGGCGTCAACGACCAGGCCCTTACCTTGCCACCAACGCGCAAACGACAAGGTGACGTCAATCGAGTCCACACTGAGGTCGAACATAGTGTAATTGACATCCTCGTCTGCGTAGACGTGTACACCTTCGTCTTCATCTTCGTCCCCCGCAACATGGAATGAAGGATGGTTGCTGACATCATAGCCTACCGCGACTTTATGTCCGGCAGTGGACATGGCAGACTTCCTCTGTCTGGCTATCTCGGGGCCGTGAGGACCGCGGATAACGTATACGTTTTTGAACGAGATACGAGAGTCCTTCCATTTGGGAACAATAGCAGACTCGAAGATGATGGTAATTCCTGTCTCCGACGTGAGGTAGTCGCTGATTGCTCGTGCGACATATTCTGCAAATGAATCAGTGAAGCTTGGGATCGGTGTACGCTCCTACGAACCTTGCAACCTGAGACTGTTGATAGTCGCAAAGACTACTGAAAAGAATGTAGTTCTTGAAGGGCACTACGCTGAGACGAATACAATCAAGAACAGGGATTGAACTCACGTTCCGATAAATAGCCATATGGTTTGGCTCATGACAAACCAGGTTACGAACGCGGAGATGTCGTCGGCATTATACTTGCGAAAGGACCTGATGGTAAGCCATCGGAAGCGTATCCTCGCGCGCTGCCAGAAACCATTTGCGGCGTTGAGGAAGTCCTCGCGCGTTGGTCGATGATTGGGGAGTGAAAGTGCAATTCGCCGGAAGAATGGCGGATAGTTGTCATACTGATGAGGATTTGGCGGTTCCACCTTGGCACCAGGTTCGGACGAGGATGATACTCCAGCTCCCGCGGTTCCCCGCCTCTGCTCTGTCGCCTCGTTAACTCCCTTGCCCGACTGCTCCGCTCTCCGGGTAATTGTCCACGAGAAATGTCGGACGTGAAGATGTGCCTCCGAGTACTGGGAATCCAACCGAATACGGCAGTGCAGATGCGCATATTGACGGTGCTGAGCAGCGGCCGTCCTAGCAACAATTTGTTGTCGCGAGAAAAAGGCATGTATAGTGCTGTAGCGGTCGACCGCTGCAGCGGTATGTGCGCGACTAGAGTGATGAAGAAGAGCAGACCGGCATCGTTGCGTGACAGACATTGGCCCAGTCGGCGCAGAAGAGGAGGACGAGGAGCAAGAGCAAGAGGTGCTCGTGTGAGGCCTTGGACGGGTATCTTTGGAGAGCGACGGCGGCAAAACGGTCACGCCGTCTCAACGCGTCGCGCGTCCAGGACCTCCGCCACCCGCGCATGTCTTCTTCAACCTGCGTCTGTTGCGAGCCCACGGCCTGTTACGGACGAATGGCTAGGGCCTCTAAAAACTTGTACCTTCGGCATGTTCAATAACTGCATGGCGCTACGACCTGAACCTCAGTGTCAATATGGCACTCCAGTGTGCGTATCCAAGGGAAATGTATCGCTCTATCACATTCGTGGCATAGGAATGACAGCTAAAACCAAGTAAATCTGGTAACTACACGTCGATATACGGATGCTCATCGGATGCTACTAAACAACTGATCTAGGACAATACCAAGTGGACGACACGCTACGAATTGCTGCCAGTGCGGCAGTGGTAATACTCGAACCGGATCCGCAATTGTGCATGCGGGAGCTTGACTTCTAAAGGGGATAGGAAACATCTCAGCCAAGACGCGAAGGTCCAGCAATGGGGCGACCTTCCGAGTCGACCCATCTGTTGTACTGCGCCGCCCGCTTTGCCTCGGAAGCTACACCATTCAGGGGAACTGGGCCAGGCGCCGTCGCGTCGGCAGCCACGTCGCCCTGAACAACGTCAATGCGACTTGCCGACTCTGGGGCCGCAGGCGATGATACAGTAGAGTGGCTGGAGATCGTCGTTCCTACGTGAGGTTGGTCCATCACGCTCTGCGTCGACGAGAGAATACTGAGCAGATTGCTAGTGCCAGGTGTGACCGGCGCCATCGCCGTGAAAGTCTGCGTTATGCCGACGATGGTTTCGTATGCGAGGGGGTCTGATGATGCCAGTCTCAAGATGGCGTCAACGAGTTCGTGTGGTGCGACGAGGGGCGGTCCTACAGTCACGCGTACATCTGGGAGTAGGAATCGCGGAACGCCATCGGTTGTCACAGTCGAACTGTTGGCTGTGGCCACGCTGGCGGCTGGAGGAACCTGAGGCACTGGGGCCAGACCGGGGGAAACGTTACGACGAGGCGCGTCAGGTGTAGTCTGCGTTGCGTCGCCGTTGGGCTGAGGGGTGCTTGCGTCTCCAGCGTGGGTAGGTCCGACCTGAGTTGGCGAAGGGTTGGAGGTGTCCGCCACACGAGGGAACGGTTCGACCCTCACATCGAAGCTTCCAAGTTCGGCGCGGGGCGTGACCCAATGGCCGTCTGACAAGCCCAGCTGCTCGTGACGTTCCTGCGGGTAAGCAGACGTGCTCGCAACCGGAGCAACTTGCGGAACTGCAGTTGGACCCGGGGAAACGTCGCCCCCAGGCGCATCAGACATGATCTGTGCGGCGTCGCCATTTTCAGCCTCGTCATGGGCAGGGACCTGCGCAGGGATCTCGAGAGGTGGTGTGGGCGCGTCGGGGACTTCACGGGTTGCATCCCAGACGTTGACACGCGGGATTTGGGCCGGAAGTCGTGGCTCCTCCGGTGGATCTACCCTCGGAGGCTGCTGGCCGGCGTGAATGATTCCCCGTCGTGGTTCGTTCCGGCGGTTGGTTCTCATCCGCTGACGGGCAAGGTAGCGAAGGGAAACATACATGCATATCGAGACCGCTGCCAGTAGGTTTGACTGGCCTTGGGTCAGAACGGTACCTCGCCCATGGGTCTGGCTATCATTGTCGGGTAACACCGGATCCATGTTCGTCGGTGGTCGAGGGCAGGTGAACTGCACCTGCTGCAGATGTTCCAGTATTGAGAACGCAGCTGGCTCTACGAAGCCCGGTGGGTCCGTGGACGAGATGGATCGGATCACGTCTGCCTCGGACCGCAGTGCAACTCCATGATGGTCCTCGCATTCGGCGGCCGCCTCGAGTGAGCCGGCTTCGGTGAGTGAGTGGGGCGCTGCGTCGGTTTCGAGTGAGCCAGGCGAGAGGGGTGCTACGTTGGTCTGAGGCGGTGGTAGGGTACTGGACGAGGAAGAACTGGTGTCAAGCTCAGACGACGGAGGAGGCAACTCGGGTATACTGTGGGTTCTACATTAAGCAATGGCTCAGTTGATTTAGTGCACCACTCACCGATGAATTAGGAACTGTGAAATGGATCTGAAGGCCCGCGGAGGTACTACGTACTGAGCCCCTCGCAAGGCTACTGCGAGGTGGCGGCGGCCTATGCCAACGAGCCAGGGGCCATACCGCCCTGTTAAGGCACCAAGAGCTGCACAGGCAAGTATAAACATAGGCCTGAAGGCTGTCACCAAGCAGGGAGGAAGGAAGGCCTGGGGCCTGAAGGGTGTCCTAAGTAGGCGGAGGGAAGGGGGCGAGGGGAAGGTCTCTGAAGAGACGAACCAGGTACGCATTCCTTACATTTGCTGTCACCACGTCCCGTCAATGTGAAAGAACTTGTCACAGCCCAATCACTGCTCCGTAGTGTCGTGGTAGTGTGTACTACCATCCCACTGAGGCTAATGACTTACACTCAAACGCATAGGTCCCAAGACCTCCAACGAACCCAAACTTGGAGGCAAGGCTGCTGCTGGTGTGGGCGGCAGCGGCGACGATGCGCATGCCGGCCAGTCGGCACGCGGGGAACGACTCGGCGGCGGATCGCGCGCGACGCGTCGATGCGCCCCGACGCGCCCCGCACGTGCAGGCTTGTTGAATGTGATTCAACAAGTCGTGACTCACGTGTGTGGTGTGTCGAGGGCTATATAAAGCCTGTGCTCGCCCACTCGTCCTCACCCATCGTCCCCGCTCACTTCTCAGTTTCTCGCATCCCTCTCGCACCCTCACCCTCTCGCCTACCAGTCACACAAGCCATGCTTGTCACGCTCTATCTCCTGAAGGGCATCGCCGCCCTCAGGAGCATCCTGATCCTCACTGCCGGCGCCTCGGCTTCGTGGTACTCGCAGTACATCAACAGCCCGACAATTGGGCGCGGCCCGTTGATCATGGTAGTCTCCTGCATCCTGTCAGCTACTCTTATGTACGTGAATGTATTCCCGCTGGATTTGCATGGGAGCTGACGATGCTTCACTCTAGCCCTCTTCCGCCGGACGAGCCAATACTGCCGGAGTTCATTCAACTTTCTCTCTGGGGGATTCATGTGGAGGATGCGGTGTTGCCGCTGCGTTCAAGGGAGTCGGAGATGAGCCTGTCGGCCGCGATGAGCCCCTCTGGTATGTTCGACATTTCTATCTCCACCACACTGCGACTCAACTACACCCTGAGCAGAGTCCGACGCCCTTCCTACCGCGATCGACGGTTCTGCAGTTCCCAACACCAGCAGTGTGCCCATGTCTGCGGCTCCAGCGGTCGACGTACCCGAGCTTAACTGGGTGATCCCCGAGGTGCCTACCATCCGAGGGTTCAAAGCCAAGGCAACGCAGCCTGACTCCGTCACCTACTTTGGCGACTTATACACTACTCGATTCGAAGTTTATGAACACAGCCTCATCTGGAACAACGCACTCCGTTCCGCGGCATCTGAAGGCGATGTCGTACCGCCGTTGTGGCGTTATAGATTTCCCCTCATATCGTTCCGGAAGCTCTGCTTGAGCAAAGGAGAGTACCCGTATGCCGGGCATTTCCACTTCTGCCTCATCTGGGCCATGCGGGCCTCAACGTTGGTCGTCATCCTCTGGGACACGCTCCTGACACTGTTTCCTGTGCCGCGGCACGTTCTGGCTGCCTGCCGGAGCTGCAGGAACGCCCTTCGCCGTATGATCATTGCTCGCCGCCAACGCGAGTTTCGTCGGTTGCACAACAGGAGATGACGTGGTTCATCAGATCTTGCTTGTACGTATCCACTTATTCTTAGCTTCCTTGTCACTGACAAGCAAGGCTCAGGTCCGTCCTGGAGGCGGTCCGCGACGTCTCGGTGTAACCACCATCTCCTTCGGTTTTGGTCTGGTCCGTCGACACTGGTCGACATAGCATCCAACAACACTCGCGCACACGGTCCGCTGGTGACTCCTCGCTGACGCACTGGCACCGGGCTGATCCTGGTGGTCTTCCCTGACCAGTGCGATCTTGTTGGTGCCGGCTCGTGCACAGCCGTTGCTAACAGACAGCAGACTCGCTACGCAGACCTCGGCGCGCCCTACATCCTATCTCCCCAGTCTACGACTTCTTCCTCGTTATGTGGCTCACTCGTCTCGGTTTACTTCACCTCTCGCCTCGCCTCGGTCTCCATCTCGATCCTCGCCTGTTCCCACCCTCGATTTGTCCTCGCCTGGTCTCTCTTCCTCGATTCTCATCTCGTCATCTCTCGCTTCTCCTCGGACCTTATCGCGCAACGTCGACCTGCGCCCTTCATCATGTCGCCAACGCCTCTTCTCGATCAACATATGCGCAAGACTCACGGAACTACCACTCCGGCCCAAGTCTCTTAGCCTCGTCTTAATCCGATCACCACTCGCCTCTCGAGCCAATGACCCAAAATCACCTAGCCCTCTCGTTCCCGTCCTCTTACGCACCCGGCCCTCCATTCGCCTCAACTGCAAGTCACATCCACCCCTGCGTGGACACGCCTATGTGGCTTGTCTCTCGCGTTAGTCTTCCCTTGCCTGGTCCCGTCTCACCTTCGCATGCCACCTCGCAAACGCCTCGCCTCGTCTCCTCCCGCCTCGTGCCCTCCCAGATTCCTTGTGCGCTATCCCGTACAGCTCGCATCATCCTTGTCCGCTCTCATCGCTCTCGTCGCCTGTCGCACCCCAATCCGCGTTCACTGTCATCTCGTTGTGCTCATCTCATCCCTCGCCGCATGCTTTCATCATCACGCGCTCTATCCTTCAACGTCTTTCAGCTCGCATTGACCTGTCCTCGTCCGCGTCTCCGCTGTCCAGCCCGTCATGCGCTCCCCGTCACGTGCTACATCGCCAGTCTTCGTCGCCCTCCGCGCTACTCCGCCAGTCCCTTCGCATCATCGTCGCATTCGGAGGCTTCCTCGTCTTCCGCCCGCTCATTGGACTTCCAACCAACTTACTCACGTCGTCCCTTCTCACAATGGCCTCGTCTGTGCCTCCTTGGTAGTCTCTACCGCTCCCGGCTTCCATTGTCGGCCTTCGTCTTGTCTCGCCTCATGCCCCGGTCTCCTGGTCCTCAAATTCGAAACGGCCTCTTCCGATTCCGGTTAGATTTGTATCGTGTCTCCCTCTTGTGTCTTGTCCTCTGATGTTTCTTTGTGTCCGGTTCCTACTGTATCATACTGTACGAGTAGTAGTCTCCTAGGACAGGGACTGCACTCCAGCACCGGACGCGGTGTTGTAGTGCAGTTACTGCCCTTGCACGGGGACAATGGTTGTATCACTAGTATGTAGCCTTAGCCTCAAATAGTACGTCCATTGGATTTGTAGATTGGCAACGGAAGCTTGAAACCAACGGGCCTCTGTCGATCGAATGACGCGTGCAAGAACTCTTAGGCCAGTCATCGGAACTCGCGGCAGTGCGGTACGTACAATAGTATATACAGGAGCATGATGCCTATCATCCCCAAGCCCTCCGGCCCCGTCTCTTTCTGTGCTTCTCACACCAGGACGACTGCTAGACGGTTGTTATACCGACGGGTGTTTTCTATGACTGGACGTAACGTCACGGTAGACGGGAGTGTGTACTCGACAGACTGGAAAGACCAATCGAGACTACAGTAGCGCTATGAAAGTACAAGGGGAAAACGGGGGAAAGGTGGGGAAGCCTTGGAGACGTTTGAACGTTTGAACGCCTGGGGGAGGTCAGTAGTATGATACAATTATATGGTATGCTTCCAACGGGCGCTCACATCGGGTGCGTCAAAATAGTGGGGAAAAGCTTGGGGTTGGCTCAGGGTCCCTGCGACGCGATCGGACGCGTCCCCAATGTGTCACGTGATCGTGTCAAGGCCGACACTGGAAAGGCTGAACAAGTTCTGAAGAGGATCCTCCATTGACAGCACTTGAGCGCGTCTTCCACATGCACGCGTCCTTCACCGCAGATATGCGCCTCTTCGCCAGATTTTCAACGGGTGCCCTCCTGCCGCTCGACCACCATGGCCTTCGAACTGAGGATCCTCCGCGTCGGCTATGCTCTGTTAGACAAGGTACGTAGCCGTGCATCGTCCGCGAACGCTGAATGTAAAGTCCATCATCCATAGGGCTTGGTTCCTGATATCTTGATCCGCCTCGCTATACGCTGGTTATGCAGCCAGAGGATACGTGAAATCGACCATGGGTCCTTCGAAACGAACTATTCTGCGAAAATGCGCTGGATTGAAGAGGTCCGCGCGAGAGATAGCATTGCCGACCTGACAAAGAAGGCCAACGAACAGCACTACGAGGTATGCCACGAATGCATCGGTTCTCAGGGCTTATGCTCACTGTGTACTCAGGTGCCCACGAACTTCATTCTGTCCTGCCTAGGACCATACGCCAAGTATTCCAGCTGTCTATACCCAACGGGCAAGGAATCTTTAGAAGAAGCGGAAGTGCTGATGCTTGAGAGCTATTGTGTGAAAGCGCAGCTGGAGGATGGAATGGAGTTACTCGATCTCGGCTGTGGTACACATACGACTGGATGAGCGGATGTATCGGTTCAGCTGACGACACGCATCTAGGTTGGGGAAGCCTGGCGTTGTATCTCGCTCAGGTAAGCATTGCGATACGCACCTACACGACACTGAACGACCACTTTTATAGAAGTACCCAGGATCGAAAATCACCGGCCTGTCGAACTCACGTACTCAGAAAGAGTACATCGAATCCGCCGCAAGGTGGCGAGGGTTGCACAACATCAACGTGTGTACCTAGATCTGATTTGTTGCTTGAATCACACACAGAGACTCCGGGAAAATATTCCAGATCGTCACAGCTGACATCAATGACTTTGACTTCAGCGAGGGAAACCAGTGAGTACGACCCATGTGTCTACGCGCATATATGCACTTGACTGGCTCACTTGCAGGTTCGATCGCATCCTTTCCATCGAGGTAAGGACCTGGGCGTCGACCCTGTTGCTCGTCCAGTCGGCTGAAGTCGTTAATTAGATGTTCGAGCACATGAAGAACTACAAGACGCTTCTCAGCAAGATCACGTCCTGGATGCGCCCGGAAGGCCTGCTCTTCGTGCACATCTTCTGTCATCGCTCTATGCCATACCACTTCGCTGGGGATGACGGCTGGATGGCGACACATTTCTTCTCAGGTTTGCTCTGCGCCGCTTGACCCGCGTATACCATGTTGACCATCTGTAATAGGTGGGACGATGCCTTCGCACGACCTCCTGGTAAGTACACTTCCTACCGTCAGCGTCAAACAATCTCTGACTCGGGGGAACAGTTGTACTTCCAGGACGACGTCACGCTCCTGCGCAGCTGGTACGTCAATGGTCGACACTACGCTCGCACTTGTGAGGACTGGCTTGTGCGACAAGACGCAAACGCTGCCACAGCCATCCGATACCTCGAGCGCGATGCCTCAGAAAAGGGCGTCGGTGCGGAGGAAGGACGCAAGGTGTTTTATCGGTAAGTAACGGATTTGCAGTGAAGGCTGAGCCAGCCTCATCGCCTGCGATACGGATAGTTTTCGTGTATTCTATATGGCCTGCGCGGAGCTGTTCGCTATGAGAGGTGGAGAAGAGTCAGTCCACGACGAGTTATGCATGTTGGCTCAGTTCTTGCTCATGTCGTCCTGCATCAGGTACGGGGTAGGCCACTACCTGTTCAAAAAGCGGGTATGAAGATATACCACGGAGTCGACGAACGTGAGATATGCACAGGGAATTGCTGCCCTCTTCAATTGAAAGAAAGCTAAAGTTCATGATATTCATCACAATGATACAGCGTGCGGTATCCAGGTAAGCACCCTCAGGTCGACTTGGTGACGTTCCCCGTGACGCCTTGCGCGGCCCCCGTCACATTCGTCGCAGCACTCGTCACGTTCTGCGACGTCAATGGGAGCGTCGGGTCTGGCCTGCGGTTGCTGTCCAGCTCGAACAGGGCGTCGTTCTGCCACGCCTGCACCGGGCTCGGAGTCGCGAGGTTGTTAACCGTCGTACTCGGCGCCTCCGGAAGCAGCGCGTTGAGGTCCATCATAAATGAATGTCGCTTCGACTTCTGTTTCGTTGGGGGCTGCTCTGGGGCAGTGTCCATCGTGTCGGTGGTGTAGCCAGGGCCAATGGGAAGGGGCTCCGTGTCCATGGATTTGCTGTAGGTCGGTTTGGCCGCGGAAGACGTGGCTGAAGCGGAGGATTGGGTGTCCTGCAGTGCGTCCATTGGGTCGGAGGCCGCGCCGAGTGCCTCATGAAAGACGTCTGACCCCTCCATCCGTGTCGCTCCAAGTCCCTGTATGCCACCGGATACCGCTTGCATAGGCGTGGCTGCGCCCAACGGCCCACCCGCCGGTGCACTGGAGGGCTGCGCGGCGGCCTGGGCGGTCTTCATCTGGGCTGCCTTCATCGCCTGTGCCTTCTTGTTGCGCCGCACGAGGAGCTGCGGCGCGCCACCGAACAGGGGCTCGGTCATGCTGTTATTCGTCGGGTCGTAGTTGTTGATGCGGATCTGCCGCCGGAAGAAGCTCGACATGTCGACGGGGAGCGCGGCGGGGCTCTCCATGTTCGAGAGGCCCGGGACGTGCTTGTCGACGGCGGAGATCCCGGGGACATCGCTGTCCGCGTTTGTGCCGCGGTGGCCGGAGGGCCCGGACGTGGGCGCAGGCGCGAGATTGCGAATCTCGGTGGGCGCGACGAAGCCGACGGTCAGGGTGACGAGTTCGGGGATCCGAATGACCGTCGACGTCGCCAAAGGGGCGGGAGCCGCAGAGGCAGGAAGGGCTGCTGCAAGCGAGAGACAGATGATCACGGACTTGACGATCATGCTTAACCTGGGGGTCAGTCAATACGATGTGGAAGGCCCGGCGGTGTGCTTGAAGTATCCGTTGCTTGAGCTTGGTCGTTGAAGGAAGTCACCGACGAGAGTATGGCAGTATTGAAGAAAAGGGTTGCTTGCCGGCTCACAAGCTTTATACCAGAGAATGTCAGCCGGAGGCTGGCAAGAACACTCCCTCAGGAACGCGGTCGAGGCTGACAACTCGGGCCCTGCAATCATGACTGATACGCGTTACCTACCTTTGACCGTATGGACAACACTGGAGAGGCCGGTGGCCAATCTACTCTGAGTCTACCACGCACAATATGGGATTCGCTATGTATGGTACCAGCTATTTTAGCCAGTGAGCAGCGACCAGCGACGTTGTGATTCAACAGACCGTGTGATGGCGGCGCGTCAGTTTAAGCATTGTTGCAGCGTACATCAAAGCGTACAGCGGCTGTGTTGTTATTGTGGATGGCCTTGAGGAGCCTCGCATACGGAATCCGGATCATGGGTGGGAGCAAATATTGAAAGCGGATGACAGCAACGACGTGGCGCTGTTTCTCGATGTCGAGAGCTGTAAGTAGGTTTCCCTTTGAGCCGGAGTTCAGCGACAGGCCGCCGTCTGCGGCAAGCAGTACAAGACATCCCCGTTCTGGTGTACGGTGGGCGTGGTCGACGGTCGTGCAGCGGAGACAATGTGCAGCGCGGGATCACGTGGGTCGCGTCGCGTCGCGTGTGTGGCGGGCGCCAAGGGGCAGCTATTGTTTTCTTCGCGGGCAAGAACAATGGCCTGCGCTGCTGCCCACACAATGGGCCCTCCTCAAATAGTCCACCCTGGCCTCCGCAATGCCTGCCCGCCTTTCGAGGCTTCTTCTCCCCTCTCGCGCTGTCGACGACCCATAGACTCACCCTCTCGCTGTCGCCGGTCGACTCTCTGGCACCCATGTCCGCCACTCACGCCTGGAACGCTCCTCCGCCCGTTTACGACGCTCGTTCGCCCACTGGCCTCCAACCATACCTTGAGCTCCCACACCTTCTCTCTCTGACATGGCTTGCCTACCCCATCCTCTCTCTGCTCTTCGTCGCATTCCGTCTCCAGCTTTCTGCCGACTCGGCGCAGTCGAGCGCTGCCAGTGCGAAGTCAGACCTCCTCGCCGCATGCCAGGCTGCACAGAAGGCCGCCACATCTGCGGCGAGCATGCCCCGGTACCTCGCTGTCATGACCAATAACGGCATCGCGGACGCTGTGAACGATACCATGAACGCTGCACGCGAGGCACTAGTGCTCACCCTAACCGTTATGGAGGCGATCATCAATTTCATCGTCGACATGTATCGTTCCACGTTTCTGTGCTTCCTCGAGCTGGTTGTGCGTGGCGCGCTGTCTCTCTTAATCGATGCGGTTAATGAGGTGAGTCGTTGGTTGCATTGCTCTGACCAGCAGTCTCACAAGCTACCTGCGCCACGCATAGATCAATTCATTTCTATCCAGCACCTTCAGCTCAATACGCTCGTCGATCCAGAGTGACGTTGGCGGCGTGAACAGCGCTATACAGGCTATCGTGAACAAGGTCAATGGCTTGAAGGTGTTCGGTACGATTACCGCCCCGCAGCTCAGCATCCCGGCGCTGTCCTCCCTGCAGAACGTCACACTTCCCAACGACTTTGAAGAGGCTCTCGTGAAGCTTAATGACTCCCTTCCTACCTTGTCCACGCTCAAGAGCGAGCTTGATGACCTGTAAGTGCATACATTCCCTGGCGCGAATACGTCTGACAGCCCACCAGCATCGACACACCATTCGAGCTCGTCAAGAAGGAGATCAATGTTACCTTCGCCAATCTCACTTTTGACCGCGCCGTACTCCCCGTACCGCAGCAGAATGCGCTCAGCTTCTGCGACGACATGGACACATCCTGGGTGGACGACGTCGGCACGGACCTTGTCAAGGTGGCGCACATCGGAATCATCATTCTCATCGTCCTCGCTCTACTTTTGGTCGGCGCGAACTGCTTGTTCGAGTGGTACAAGTGGCGATGCTTGAAGAACCACCTGCAATACACCCGCGATGCGTGGACCTCCGACCCTACAGCGTACCATGGCGGCGTCTCGAAGTTTGGCACACCCCTGGTGGACATGAGCGACCACAATCTGCTCGTGCTCTCCGCAGATTCGCAGCATCCGCACCTCATGAAGATCGCCAACGCAATCGCGCGTCTCTTCCGCCTCTCGCCTTCGCAGTATGTCAACCTGCGCTGGTTCATGCACTACGTCTTCCATCCCCCAGCCCTCGCATGCTTCCTCATCGGGTTCTTCGGCCTGCTCTCTGTCGAGATCCAGCTGATCGCCGTCCGCCCGATCGCGGACAAGTTCGGTGACCAGGTGTCCGCAAGTGTGTCAAACACCGTAACCCTCATCGGCACGTCCATCAACGGGAGCATGTACAACCAGAGCGCAGCCTACGCAGACTCCATCAACACGCGTGTCGCGACCGCGCAGTCGTCAATCAGCGGCGGGCTCATCGGCTGGATCGACAACTCGACCGTGACGCTGAACAACACGATCAACGCGTTCTACACCGACCTGCAGAACGCGGTTAACAGCGTGTTCAACGGGACGGTCATGCAGAGCCCCGTCGACGAGTTCATCAAGTGCTTCATCGGCTCCAAAGTCGAGGACCTCGAGGAGGCGCTCACGTTCCTCCACAACAACCTCAACGTCACGCTCCCGACGGTGAACCAGAGCGTGCTCGTCCTCTCGCAGAGCGACATCAGCGAGATCACCCAGCCCGTCGCGGAGGCCGCCGTCGGCTCGGGCAACGGGAACAGCCAGGGCATCGTCGGCGACATCGTCGACGCGTACATCAAGTCACTCAAGGGGGAGCGCATCATGTTCGCCGTGTTCATGGGCCTTTGGGCTTTCGTCGTCCTCATGGCGCTCGTGATCATCTTCTGGCACTCGTATGGCAAGCGCTGGGTCGAGGCCCACAAGCGGCGCAAGTGGGAGCGGGAGCAGCGCCGTGGTGTCGAGGGCCTGATTGTACCCTTCCGTGACATGGACCCTGGTGGCGCTCAGCATACGGACCCTGAGATGCGCGACTCTGCGGTGGTCATGGACGAAAAGAAGAGTGCCGGGGAGGCTCCCCCGGGCAACTTCCTCGATCACGAGTCATCCTCGGGAGGCCAGCCTGGTCGTTTCACGCTGTGGCTCACTGCTCCTACGCGGTTCTTAACCTTGGGCAAGCGAACGATTGCCCGGGAGAATGCAGGTAAAGACGAGGAGAAGACTGCTGTCCTTGCGATGCATGACGAAGCCAGGCCAGAGCAGAACAACACCCGGTTCACGCGATGGTTCAGCACGAAACGTTCTGGGAATGCACAGACCGACTCGGCGGACGAGCCCGCGGAAGAGAAGCCGTTGACCCGCGAGCGCACCCGTCCTCCGCTCACCATCAACGTCTCCTCCGCGTCCGCTGCCGAGTCCGACCACACCACTCTCGCACGGGAGAACGACGCCCGCCCGACGTCGGCATGGTCTGTCTCGCCCGGCCCACCGCCAAAGCTTCCCTGGATGACGAAAATCCTCCCGACGAGCCGTGTTGGCCTGCCGAGCAACCCCTACCTGAAGCGCAAGTCGCAGCACGCGGTAGTCATCACTCCGCCCGGTCCCGGTCCCGCGTCCGAAGCGCAGGCCGTCATCCACATCGCCCCCATCCCCCTGCACCACGCGTTCGTGCGCCCGCCGCCCACGCCTCCCACGCAGGTCTTCCAGCCGCTCCAGCCGCCGCCGCGCTACCGTGGCCCGCGCCATCCGAGCCTCCACGTGCAGACGCAGCCCACGCCCTCGCCGCAGTACCTCCAGGCGCAGCCGCCGTCCGCGCTCGACCCCGACACCTCGACGCCTGTGACGCGGCTGCTGGCGACGAACCACGCGCGGCACTCGTCGATGGCCGTCGACCCGTTCGTGACGCCGTTCGACGACGAGCACCGCGCGGCACCCGAGCCCTCGCCCCGGACGCCGGTGATCACGAACCCGTTCGTGGACGACGACCCGTTCGTGGACAGGCGCGAGAGCAGCAGGCCGGAGGGCGGGCGCAAGCTGAAGCGCGCGACGAACCCGTTCTATGCCATGGCTCTTTGAGAGAGCATGGCTGATCTTCACTGTTCATAATCGAGCTGTAGCTCGTCTTCTCTCCCCCTTTGTTTTCTCACGACCCACATCCTTGCGGACCTCTGGACACGACTGCTCACTGACGGTTTAATCTGGCTATCGACCTGTTATCCCCTCTACGACCTATCACCACGCCCACACTGTATCCTTACCTACGCTCTGTCCAGGGAACCCGAGCACTGTAGCAAACTGTAATTACTACCGGCAGTATAGCCTAATGTTTTCATAGTAGTTGCATCCGAATGCGAATGCAGATCGTTATCACAGCGAAAGCGGATTGTGACCTCGTCTGCTCTAAGCTCGACAAGTCACAGAGAATTCATTTGCTATGTCCGACGATGAAACAGACGTGGTCTGCTCGTTGTTCGCCAAGTACAGTATACACTCAATAAGTCAGTACTATTGCGGTTTTGGGAAGTCATGTCGCGCGGCGCCACACGTGCGTTTTTTGCACGCGGCGACCTCTACCTTCGGACGGCCATTGCTCCTCAACGCCTGCGAGTTTCTGCTTGATTCCTATATATTCTGGTTCTACTCGTCGAGCCCGAGGGCATGGTGCAACTCAATTTCGATTTCAACCAAGTCTCAAAATCGCGGTTTCCGAGCACCACGGCGACTTCGGACTGCAATTGCGAGCGAACGCAACATTGGGTGGGGTCCGCGATGGTACGGAAGGGTGCAGGGGGATGCTACGGAGGGCACAGGGCAGAAAAATTAGAAAGTTACCGTGAGTTCTCGTTGTAGCTCGCGCCGTCGCTGTGCGGCTGCGTGCTTGACAGGTCGCCGACGCAGGTCGGCCACCGCAGCGCAAGGGCGTGAGGCGTACCCGCATGAACGCCCCGATGGGGTGTATAGAAGGCCTACGGAGCGCATACACGCCGTTTCGGGGTACTTCTCCCGCTCCCCGTCGTTGTAGTGCACTCCGCGCTGGTGGTGCCTCCGTCTCGGCCCCTGTACATCCATTCTCGATCCACTGGCATATAGCATGTATCTACTTGCAAATTCTCCTGAAGAGTAATATATTCCTTTCATACTACTGTTCCGCAACCTTCAGGCCAGCATCGCCGTCAACATACATCACCATCACTGTACATCGCCGGCTAGGCGCCTTGTCGAGTTCAACCCAAACCACCATGCCCCGCACGGTCCCTCTGTCAGAGGATCTCCTCTGGCGTGTTGTGTTTCAACATTATGAGAGGGGGAAATCCCCACAGGAGATCTCAGACAACCTCCACATCAGTTTACGAACCGTCCAGCGCTGCCTTGCGCGGCATCGTGCAACGGGCGATGTTGCATACCATCTCGGTGGGCAAACAGGCAGACCCAGGTTAATCACAGAGGAATATGAACAGCAGTATCAATTGATTTTGCTGTAGCTACGCGGTGTACCACTCTACATTGAGGATGGATGTACATGACACAGCGGCGGGGGCACCACCAGCGCGGAGTGCACTACAACGACGGGGAGCGGGAGAAGTACCCCGAAACGGCGTGTATGCGCTCCGTAGGCCTTCTATACACCCCATCGGGGCGTTCATGCGGGTACGCCTCACGCCCTTGCGCTGCGGTGGCCGACCTGCGTCGGCGACCTGTCAAGCACGCAGCCGCACAGCGACGGCGCGAGCTACAACGAGAACTCACGGTAACTTTCTAATTTTTCTGCCCTGTGCCCTCCGTAGCATCCCCCTGCACCCTTCCGTACCATCGCGGACCCCACCCAATGTTGCGTTCGCTCGCAATTGCAGTCCGAAGTCGCCGTGGTGCTCGGAAACCGCGATTTTGAGACTTGGTTGAAATCGAAATTGAGTTGCACCATGCCCTCGGGCTCGACGAGTAGAACCAGAATATATAGGAATCAAGCAGAAACTCGCAGGCGTTGAGGAGCAATGGCCGTCCGAAGGTAGAGGTCGCCGCGTGCAAAAAACGCACGTGTGGCGCCGCGCGACATGACTTCCCAAAACCGCAATAAGCGTGTTGATGTCTTTCGCAACACGAAACTGATTACCGACCTGGATGCTGCCTTCGCGCTTCAATTCCACTTTGACCGCCAATATACAAGATGCAATACGATATACGATAGCGAACGACTGTCAATAATTACGGCTATTACTCAGCACATCCCGGCTCTACCGCACAGGGTCCAGACCAGCACTACCCATTATCTAGCTACACCAAAAGCACACATACTATCAGGCTCCTAATACCATCCGTCCATAGTGTTCTCGCTCGTACATGTCGATAGGGGATTACAGGCTTCATCCGAATATAGACATTAGACGCTTGATCACAGAAAGTCAACACTTACTCGATCCGGAAATTCTTTAGCCGATTGTGACGAGGAGAACACTATAGGACGGCTGGCCAAACTTGTCCCCGAGGCATGCCCGGGCAGGCGCTAAACAACGCTTTCACCATGGGTCGGACGGCCAGCCACAGGTGCACCCCTACGCTAGGGTTTATTTTCCGCAATAAATCAATGTGATCGCCACATGCGTATTCTTTCCATTTTGGGTCAGGCAGTCAATATAGCTTGTGTCGTATCTTCAGAGTGTACGATCTAACTGCAGTCACTCGATGTCAACATCCGAGGCAACCTGGCCCATCCAACGCATTCGGGATCTTGTCACGACAAAATTCGACAAACGAGCGTGTCTGTTCCAGATCAAGATCGCATGTGCAATCCGACAGAGACAGAACGATGTTGTCGGGATTGCAGCAACAGGCTCAGGGAAGACATTATCATTCTGGATACCACTACTGATGGCACTCGAAGACAAGGAAGACAAGTGCATGATCGTAGTCACACCCCTGAATCTCCTCGGACAACAGAATGTTGATCTGCTCAGTAAGGCTGGGATCGGTGCAATAGCCGTCGATGGAAGCAACGCCACTAATGAGACGTTCATGGTGAGTCTGTGCCTGAAGCTTGTTGAGCATTGACGAGACTTGTATTATTCAGGACATCGCTGCGGTGAAGCACCGTGTCATAGTCATGAACCCGGAGATCCTGATGCAAGAGGGCGGCCACTGCGAGAAATTGTGGAAGATGCCTACGTTCACGTCCAGGCTGCTCTACATCGTCTTCGATGAAGGCCACTGCATACAGGAGTGGAATGCGTTCAGAGAACAATACAAGTATGTAGGAATGCTCCGTCACCTGATCCCAAACACTGTACCCTTCTATGTTGCATCAGCGACTCTTCCGGCATCTCTCCTTGTGGACGTGACCGAGCTACTACAGCTTCGCAAAGATCGTACGGAGCATATCATCCGCTCTAACGATCGCCCGGACATTGCACTTGGTGTGCAAATGATGCAACACGCGGCACATACGTTCAAAGATCTTGATTTCTTGATACCGGACAATTTCCAGGAGGGCGATGTACCGCCGCCAAAGTTCCTGGTCTTCTGCAACAGCGTCAAAGAAACTGAGGCTGCTTGTAAGTACTTACGACGTCGCCTTCCCCATCACCTTCGCCAGGAGAAGATTAAGTACTTTCATGCCTCTATGTCCCCCTTCTTCCGTGTCGATGAATACGAGAGGTTCAAGAGCGGTGATAGATATGGTCTGTGCGTCACAGATGCATTTGGCATGGTGAGTCAGTAATAGCCATTACATATACAGTTATTGACGTACTCGAAGGGGCTCGATCTGTCTGGGATCCAGCTCATCATACAGTGGAAGGTGCCGACAAGCATGAACACCTTGTGGCAGCGTTTCGGGCGCGCCGCAAGGGGACCGGGCGAATTCGCATTTGCTATCCTGATAGCAGAGAAGCAATACTTCGATGTGGAGATCAAGAAGAGGGAAGAGGCGAAGGAGAAGCGCAGGGCCAGGGAAAAGCGGAGGAAGGAAGCGAAGGCGAGCGGTCCAAAAAAGAACTCACCTCAGAAACGGCGCGCGCACGCTGGTCCCAGTGATCACCCATCTGCCGCCGGGCCCGCAGCTCTGCCGAGTTCACGGGATAACGCCATGCCTGCCCGTTCAGACTGCTCGTCGGAAGGAACAGACGATGCCGTTGAAGGCGCGAGTGCGATCGCTGTAGGGATACAGAGTGATCCTGCTTTGGAGGCTCGCGAATCCGAAGCACGCGCGGTAGCTGATGAGGAACGGCGCTCCATATACAATGAACGGGAGGAGGGACGAGTAGGCGGAGCGATAGCACGACGCAAGGACCGCCAACCGCCCCAGGCAGCCATCCTCGACCTGATCAATGCGGATGTTCGGGATATTGGCTGTCGGAGGAGGCCAGTCACTTTGGTCTATTCGAATGACAAGCGCGGTGAGTCCGATAACAGCATGCTTGATTTGTACGGTTCATTCTCACGCCTGACATCCAGCCTTCGACCACCTTGAATGCGATGAAGACTCACCAACTGGATGCTTACGGTGCGCCCCAACAACATCGATTGTATGCTGTGACTTGTGTCATCCTATCGCGTTCGAGGGACTTGCAGTCTCAGGCGCCAGACCCACTAGAGGCCTCCGAAAATCGACCATCAAGCGATACGACCTCGGTCAACAGGAGCGCGATCTTCGCAACGCGCTGCTGAAGTGGTCGGACGATGAGACGGAGAGCATCTACGGCCCAACAGTGCTCAACATCTACGCGGGAAGTTTGTTCCTCCCACTCGACATGCTAGATCGGATCGTCGACTGCGCTCACGCCGGCAAGCTATCATCACGGGAAGACTTCAAACGCGAGATTGTCTCTGCCAAGGACTGGGCAGAGAGATACATGGACAAGGTGCTCGAGATAATCCGTGGTATATACCCACAACCTGCCGACCCGGAGCCGATACCGCCGCCAGCACCTCAGGCTGGTGATCTGGCCGACAATGCTCCTCAACCAGAAGCCACGCGTCGGAAGAAGGCTCGGACGTATGTATGCAGTCGGTGTGGACAGCCCGGCCACAACAGTGCGTACTATCTTTATTCTCTTGCCGTTCTAGTCTGACAACCTGCCTTGCGCCACAACAGTGCGGAACAAGGACTGCCCGGGTCGCAACGCAGAGACAAGCACCGCCGGCGCCATACCTGTGTTGCCGCCAGCGCCGCTCGACAATGCCAGTGCAAGCCGTGCACCGCATAGTCAGCATGCTGGAGCGTTCCGGCCACATCCTTTGTCATCTGCTGGTCCATCCGGTAAGCCTTACTAGTATTGTGATGCAACACTTGTAATGGCACCGTGTTCTGATGATCTAGTATCCGTAGCACTCGGCGGATGAACTGGGACGGCATGACCGCAGCAAACGAGTACTTCTATTGGAGCCGATCAGGTAGCATCCAATGATACCGTACGTTCTGCTCGGCTTTCATACATCCAAGTCACCATGTTCACCATCTACTTCCCCCTCTGCCGTATCTTCAGCGGCGATCCCATCCTCTCCGCCGTCGGAGCGACTCCAACCCGTAACGAACATCTTGTACATCCCTGCCTCCCATGCATCGCTGATCGAGTACGCGCTCTTGCGGCCGGGGATGTGGATATGTGTCTTGCTGTCCTGCATGTACCGTGCAAGCTTCTGGAACGTCTGCTGCATCTTTGGCGGCGAATGTCGGTACGTGCGGTGATCTAACGCGAACGTGTCTTCCAGACTAATCCTGACTTTTTTGAAGACCTCGATCAGCGCGGATCCCTTGATGATGTGGTGCTTTGTATGGTTCGAGGATTGTCCGCCATATATCCGCTATGGCAAACGTAAGCTATCGCAACATGACAAGCATTGTATGCCAGTGTACCTTAATATATAGATTGTTATGCTCGACCCACCAATCAATCGCGCGGAAGTGGTGCTTTTTCCCACTGGGATTACATAAAATGTTCATCCGGATTGCACGTCTATGAAGATTGAGACGAGGTGAGTCCACAGTTATGCACAGGACAGTACAATTGGCTGACCGAAGCTGCACAGGATATACGAAATGCAGGTCATATAGGAAATGCACCATCTGTGTTGCATACTTGTGCTTGCCACAGCCCTTGAAGATGAATACCCACGGCATAAAGCAGTCTTCGACACTCCCAATATCGCCTGCATTCAGCGCCCATGTAAGCTCTTCGTACAGCAGGAAGTACCGCTCGCGCATGCGTATGTTCTCCGATTGTTGATCACGCTGGTCCGGCACGTCATAACGCGCTCTAGCAGAGCGCGCGTTGGCAACGTATTTCCTGACCAGTACGTTGGCGATCTTCTCTACGTCTTCCAGTGAAGGCGCTGACTCCGCCCATGCCTCCAGGGTCGCGAAGTTCTGTGGCCTCCGCGTCGAGATCTCCTGTCTCCAGCACTCGAGACGAGACACTGCACCGACGTGTCGGATCACTTCATGCATGCGTCGAAAGCCAGGTTTGCTGCCTATTTTCCCCGTCTCCTTTGGCCGTATCTCAGCAACCTGCTTCATTAGACTTGTCTCGTCCAGCCGAGCCTTGAGGGGATGGATGAAGATTTTCCAGATCGCATCTGCGCATGCCATCTTTAGGTGGAATAGGCCGATGACGAAGATCACCAGCTGGAATCTGCGGAAAGCTGTCGTCTCCTCACCTCGCGACTGCCGGAGACTCTGTACGCGTTCACACGTTGCAAGATCGCCGTGGACGAGTACGACGTGATCTCCCACATCGGAACGTGCGACCTGATCCTTGTCATCGGGATCCGTAGGATCGCCAATCCCTAGCTGCTTAAAGAGCGCAGCCAGAGCTTGTATGTTGCCTTGTACTGATGACTGGCTGATATCCATAGCCTCGGCGGGTACCTGATGTGATTGGACTACAGGTATTTGATCTATTGCTTCTGGATCGGCGAGCTTGCTGACGAACTGGCGGAAGTACTCGGGTCCGCAGACGAAGAGGTCATGTTGGAATTGCCATGCATTGCGGCGCTCGCGCCGGTCTAGGCCCGATGGATGAGGAGCTTGCGGATGGAGGGTGAGCAGTTTCTTCCAGTCAACATCGTCTGACTTCTCGGCGTTGACGGGATTATAGCTCGACTTTTCCCAGATCTCGTTCGAGCATTGGAGATCGGCGAGGCAAACATCGTGGTCGAGGCGAAGGAAGGTGCCCGATGTCAGGTGGAGGAGTGTATCGTGTGGCTTCTCAACCGTTGGGACAAGATGTTTCAGTTCTACGTCGAAGTTGTCGTATGCAATCATTGCAAGTAAGGTGCGCCCAATCTTCTTCATCTCTGTCGCTGCTTCCTTTGACAGATTGCTGACAGCATCGTCGATTGCAGTACGGGAAATCGAGACACCGAGACGAGAGAGGAGCTCGATGACGGCTTCTGGCGTGTTATTCGAATGAAGGTACATTGCAATAACACTCTGCACAGCGTTGGCACGTTGGTTCGAGCTCTGCGTCAAGATAGCCATGCAGAGTGCACGCTTCTATGTTGCCCAAACAGTGAGTAAGCTATCTGACTTCCAAGGGACACTGCTTACCATCTGTAGTATGCCCTGAATTTGCTCCTCCTCTGCGTCGGGATCCGTCATGCCTTCGCGGTCCTCGGGAATCTCAAAGATCGGCTCAAGACCATCCCAATACTCGTAGTCGTCATCGTCTGGCTCTCCGTCCTCTCTGCTCATGTCGACCGCTGCATCGGCATCAGCCATGACGATATCGACGTCCTCGGGCTGTCCCGACAGAAGCTCCGATGGGTCGTCGTCCATGGTGAGTAGCTCGGGAAGCTGACCCCACATCTCATCGTCGCTCAGGTCCATCATAACGGGCTCGTCCTCCCCTAGCCCATTTGCTTCCCGGCTCTGTCCTGCATCCAACGTCTCCATGGCTACCGCAACACTCATCTCCGCGCGTGCTATTGCGTTCGCCCGACTCGCTGCTGCAGCCGTGACAGTCGGATCCGGTGCGCATGTTGCTGTGCCCGCTTCCGCCGTATTGCTCGCCGCCGCGGCCCCACCTGTCTCTACAGTGTTTGTCGCCACGCTCGCCTCTGGCTCCGACGGTTTGCGCTTACGACGCTTGGCATGGCGCCGCTGTGGCTTGCGCCGTTTTGCCAGAGCGGGATCGGCGGTGAGTAGCGTGTCGAGAACATCACACACACGGGGTGCTAATGTGGTGAATTTCTGCAGGATCTTGGTGAGATCAAAGTCCTCAAGGCTCGCCTGCGTTGTCTTCCGCGCGTTGAAGTGTAGCCCAGCTTCTCTCTTCGAAATGGTCGCGACTTCGTCCGCGTACATCGCCTTCGCGAGGCGATGTATAGCGTCTAGCGCAGAGCCACGCACGTGCCGGTTCTCCTTGAAGCTGTCCAGGACGCTGTCGATGTTCACTGCAAGAGCTTGTACAGCTTCGTGGCTAGCGATGACGGTGTCGTTGCTCCTCAGAAGCGACACGATGAACTGGGGTATGGTGACCTGTATCAGCGCGAGATTATCCAACACAGCAAGTAGCTGTTCAGCTGTTAGAGGTAGCATATCAAGTCCGAAGTTGCGAGATTAATTTGAAAGAGACTGTGTACTATTTTGGCCGCGGTGTTACCACAGGTGCATAGGCATACCATGTCCAAGTTGTCCAAATCCGGTCGAGTATGCGGAGCTTACGTACTCCAATTCTAATATCGAGTGGCTGAGAAAATAAACCCTAGCGTAGGGGTGCACCTGTGGCTGGCCGTCCGACCCATGGTGAAAGCGTTGTTTAGCGCCTGCCCGGGCATGCCTCGGGGACAAGTTTGGCCAGCCGTCCTATAGTGTTCTCCTCGTCACAATCGGCTAAAGAATTTCCGGATCGAGTAAGTGTTGACTTTCTGTGATCAAGCGTCTAATGTCTATATTCGGATGAAGCCTGTAATCCCCTATCGACATGTACGAGCGAGAACACTATGGACGGATGGTATTAGGAGCCTGACATACTATATAATCCAACCAAGAAGACTCCTGCGCAGTCAGCTCGCGCCCGGCGCTTACCAGCAGAGCTCGCCGATGCCGCGCTTGAGGTGGGGCATGGCGGCCTTGTGCTGGCTGATCGCGAGGACGATGAAGACGTGCCAGATCGCGTGCGAGCCGCCGCCGATGCGGTCGAGCACGTGGGAGTACGCCCAGCGCGAGGAGAGGTAGCACTCGGGGAAGTGCGTCGCGTAGAAGACGAGCCCCGCGACGTACGAGAGCAGTGACGGCGTCACCGGGCCTGCGTGGAGTGGGTCAGTGTGAATGGGAGAGGGGAGAGGGGGACGCACGGATGAAGGCGGACATCTCCGAGGCGGAGTGGAGGTAGGCGAGGGTGGCGAGAGGCGCGACGCTCGTGAAGGCGAGAGCGAGGAAGAACGCGATGCGGAAGTTCTGGGCGCAATGGAGTCGGTCAGATCGCGAAAGCAAGAATGCGTCACCAGCGTACCCTGTACTCGTACTGGTTGAACCAGTCCATGAACGGCAAGATGCTCCCCGATATGCCCATAACCAGGCACAACGAGAGGAAGATATCGTGGGTCGTGGTTTCGCACTGGAACCCATAGTGCGCGACCGTACCGACGGATGCACTGATCAACCTACACCCATTCGTGAGCCAATAACTCAACACTTAAAACGTCTTGCCATACCAGCCAATGCCGACATAGTCGATCCGCGCGCACAGCTCCATCCCCTTGGGATGCGCGCAGCCCGCCATCGTGTGCCAGAGGGCGCTCGTGAAGAGGCAGAGCAGAGCGAAGGCGGTGAATGCGAGCATCGGCGTGTCGGGTTCGGACGCGGTGGACGAGAATGGGGAGAAGGGGAAGAGCGCGACGAGCCATGCTACAAAGGGTATCAAATGCGTGTGGATATTCACTGGAAGCGTCGTGAGCACTGTGTTGAGGCTTTGAGTATGTGCGCAACGTACGAGTTTCATTGTGCAATGCGAACAGGGACAGCAGGAGCCGGGGCCATTCTGATAGAGGGATGAAACTGGCGCGCATACAATGAGCCTTTCGTAGTAGACCCGACCATCTTGAAGACTCACCGGTAGCCATGCTTAACAAACGGGTTGTTACGCCACTGGTAAGGCAGATCGGCGTACTGTATAAGGCGTGATCCATTGAGCGACTGCTTTGCCGCGCGCGCAATCTCGCAGGCTATCCGCTCTCCCTCCCGTATGTCGGAAGAGAGCTCGGCGACAAAGTCCGAGGACGCAACCTTGTCGTACATGCCGGACAGCGCGCTGGTGGGCGAGAGCAGCGAGAGGTCTAGGCGGTGCGGGAACTCTATGGAGGACAGGTGGGCTTGGAGCGACTGCAGGTGGTCGGAGAGCGTGTTCACATAGTCGAGCGGGCGGTGGAAGTCGATGTCCGAGATGCGCGCGCGGACGTCGTCGAGCCGGGCGCGCATGTCGGAGAAGTCGAGGTCCGGGAGGCGCGCGCGCATGTCCGGCATGTCTGGGATGCGTGCGCGCATGTCGTCGAACCGGGGTACGTCGGGCATGTGCGTCCGAACGTTGTCAAGGGTGATGTCGGGCAGGTGCGAGTAGACGTCGTTCCGGATCGCGCGGAGGAGCTCGAGCCCGTCGAGGGCCCACGCGCGCGCCTCGTCGACGGTCATCTCGCCCCTTGTCTTGAGCGACTCGGGCGAGACGGGCGACTCGAACTGGGAGAGGCGCGCTTCGAGCTCGGCGAGGTAGGAGAGGACGTGGTGGCGCAGGGAGGCGAGCGACGGGGACAGGGAGGTATTGGGGAGGTCGAGGGCTTCTACGGAGTAGGGCAAGGACTGGCAGAGGGAACGAGTGATGTAGGATCCAGCCTGGTTTGTGGAGAATCGACGGGTCGGGGTGCGGCGACGGCGTACTTCAGTCATGGTTTCGGTGACCGTGGCCATGGGTAGACGTCTGTTTCCTGCAGGCATTGGGCCTGTGTGCTCTATGCGTCTATAGGGTGGGGAGGGTGAAGGCCGAGTAAGTCCATCGTCCCACAATAGACAAGGCCGGGTGGCTGTGGTGCCCGAAGCGGAGCCGCCTTTTGCACCACATCCCACCGGGCTGCACCGTGACAAAACACTGCTGCTCACCTATGTGCCCCCTGTGCAGGCGGTCGCGGCGCCGAGCTGGAGAGTGGAGGAGGAGGAGGGGGAGGAGGAGGAGGAGGGGGAGGAGGAGGAGGAGGGGGAGGCGGCTGGGGCTGAGTGAGACGGTCGCCCCGATCGAGATCCGAGATTTATTGCGGGGAGCTGCCATATGCGGTAACCCTGTCTTCGCTGTCGCTCTTCGCCTGCTTGCTGCGTTACAAATCCTTGCAGGCTTGGCTGCCTATATACATTGCTCACTTGCTGGGACTCGCCAGACCATCTCTCGAACGCCCACCTTGCCCGCCGCTCGCTACGCAGAACGGCTGCCCTACTGGCCTCGAACGAGTTCATGCTCTCCGGGTCCTCGCACTGGCTGGTGGTTGGTCTGGGCAATCTTCCTTATCCTGGAACGCGTCACAGGTGATACCGAGGCAGGAGGCATCCGTGGCGAGCCAGGTGCTGACCATGTCTCCACAGCATCGGACACTTGGTACTTGACAGTCTTGCCTCTCGGTTAGGCGTGTCCTTCACGGCGGACGCATCAATCAAAGGCTTCAGAGCGACCAGGTACAATGCTCACATCGACTCTAATGATGTGACGATCACGCTCTACAAGCCGAGTAAGTCTGACGCGTTTGTGATGGGTTCACCGCAATACTGACGCAATGTTTGCAGAGGCTCTCATGAACATCTCCGGCTCACCTGTGGCATATGCTCTGAAGACACTCTCCATTCAACCCGCAAACATGATTGTCGTCCACGACTCACTAGATCACAAGCCCATGAAGCTCTCGCCCAAGTTCGGAGGGTCTGCTAGTGGGCAGAACGGCGTGCGCAGCATAATCGCCGCCCTCGGCGGCACGAAGGACTTCCACCGTCTACGGATAGGCATCGGGCGCGACCAGTCCGACCCCGTAGACTACGTCATGGGGCGACTATCCTCCACCGAGCGCGCCTTCTGGCAGCACGGCGAGGGTACGGACGCAGTGTGGTCTGCGTTGTTGAAGATCATGGCTACACCTCACTAGTGTCTATCTGCATCACACTACAGCAGCAAGCATACATATGTACATGTGAGTGCGACCCCCGGCTAGCTCTATTTCCCTATCACAATTCCCATGTCTGCAGGCAGTAGTAATGATGCCGAACATAGTAACTTACGGCCGCGTTGTCATATTTACGGCCTGCAACCCCTCCGAGCCTTCGACGTCGAAATGCTATCGCCCTTCCACCACGCACAACCGGCATCAGAGTGTCCATATCCAGGGCTTGGTCCTTCTATCTCGCCTCACCGTGGTAAATAGGCATCAATAACGCGGTCACGCGCGCATGTGCTACCATCCTGATGCCGTATGCGGCCCCCGCCCAGCGCGATTCTTCCGCGCGTGCATACATAAGGCTCGGCCGTGAAGCCCGCGCGAGCCCTCTCGGGGCCCCCTTCTCTAGGCCCGCAACACACTAAGGCGCGATGGCTGTGCTCCGGAGGTCCTTCGTCGTGCTAAGTGCTGCTTCTCTGCTTGGCCTGGTGCGCGCGCAGCCCTCGCCCGTCGTCCAGGAGCGTATCTCTGCGGCGATCGCGTCGGCCGCGGCGGATCCGGGCAGTGTGGACTATACGTCGCTGGTCAATGTCTTCATAGGCACGGACAACTATGGGGATGTCTGGTATGCATAGTCGCGTGTTTCGTGAATCAAATGCGATGCTTAAGCCGCGATGTAGCCCGGGTGCTTCTGTCCCATTTGGCATGGTATGTATGACTGTGGTCGCCTCCGGTGGTACTGACCTAGAGTTGCACGCGTACACAGGCCAAATTCTCGACAGACTTGACGGGATATGCGCCTGCTGGTCAGCACTTTATTCCATGCCTGCCCTTCCTTCGCACTCATGAAAACCGCCAGGCTACGTCGCTGACCCGACGCAGATGATCCGCGGGCTCAGCCCAATGCACGACAGCGGCACCGGGTCCTCCTCGGGCACCTACGGCAACTTCGAGATCATGCCTCTCCTCTGCCCAGACGGCTTCGAGACGTGCACCGTGCGCCTCGACGACCGCCTGCGCTACCGCAAGAACAACACCGACGTAAACACCATCCCCTACTCGCACTGAGCAGACTTGACATCCGCCTTCCACAGGAAGCCTACCCCGGATACTTCGCGCAGACCCTGGACAACGACATCAAGATGGAGGCGACGTCGACGCGCCGTGCGGGTCTGGAGCGCTTCACGTTCCCGGACGGCTCGAAGCCGTACTTCACGCTCGACCTCGCGAACGACCTCCCGCAGTCCTTCGCTGGCGGGTCGTTAGATATTGACCCTGAGAAGGGCCGCATCACTATGGGAGGCCTCTGGGGCTCGAGGCACGTACGGGTCATTTTTGCGCGGCTGAGCGGATCTGACGGGGGTTGTTTCAGTTTCGGACCGGGTGCTTTCCACTACCAGGCGTTTGCGTGTTACGACCTTCTCAACGGCGGCACGCAGAAGCTCGACGAATACGGGGTCTGGACAGGCGAGACGTGAGCACCTACTCAGTCCACCCCTTGCGCGGGCGCTGACACGGAGGCCGCGCAGCTTCGGCCTCGATTTCTGGGGAGACGCCAAGGGTCTCTGGCAGACGAACCTGAACCTCTCCGTCGACCTCATCGGGGACGTCTACCAGTCCGGGGCACTGTTCTCGTACGCGGGCGAGCCCTCGGAGATCACCATCCGCGTCGGCATCTCGTTCGTGTCTGCGGAGCAGGCATGCAGCAACGCGGAGACGGAGGTCGGCGGCGCGGCGTTCGAGGAGATCGAGGCGGCGTCGAAGGCGCTGTGGAACGAGCGCCTGAGCACGATTACGATCGACTTTGCGAACACGGAGCCGAATGTGACGGAGTTGCTGTACTCGTCGTGGTACCGCTCGAACCTGACGCCTGTGAGTACGAGGTCTTTGAGTTCACCGTCTCTGCGTCTTATTCAAGCGTTGCAGAATAATGCCACGCACGAGACCCAAGGACCATATGCCAATACGACGCATTACTACTTCGACTCCCTCTATTGCAGGTACGTAGCGTCTCCGTTCGAATCATGAAAGTAGAGTCACTCATTCTTGGCTGATCATACAGTTGGGACACCTTCCGCACGTTCTATCCGCTCATGGCTCTCCACTCACCCGTGCACTACGCACAAATTGTCGACAACTACATTGATGGGTACCTCAAGCAGGGCTGGATGCCAGAGTGCAGAGCCAACAATCTGCCTGGTTGGACTCAAGGAGGTAAGTTTCACGTTGGAGTGGAACGAAAGCACCCCTTCATTTGTCGATCTGCACCGCAGGTTCGAGTGGCGACGTCATCGTCGGGCATTTCGCCATGCTCTACCACAACGAGGCGGAAGAACTCGGTGTTGACCTGGAGCAGCTTTACGCTGCCATGGGGCAGGACTCGACGCTGAACCCTCCGGAGTGGAACATCTGGGGTCGTCAGAGTAACGTATACAAGTGCGTCTTCTCCGGTGACGTGTGGCAATCGTGTGCTTTCTGACATGGAACTAGTCAATATGGCTACGTGCCTTTTGCCGGCCTCGATACTAAGAGCACAGGTCGTATGACCAGAGAGGGTAGTCGAACACTGGAGGTGACAATGCTCTTCATCTATGGCATCGCCCGAGCTGAATGCAGAACTCAGTATGCTTACGAGGATTTCGCTATCCGGCAAGTCGCGCTGCTCCTGAACAAAACCGAGGATGTCGAGGTGTACACGAACAAGTCCTACGTACGCCTTGTGTTGTCGGGTATGCTGAACCACCTGTGACGTTGACTGTGATGCAGTTCTACCAGAACGTCTTTGATCCGACGGTTACCAGCGACGGCTTTACGGGTGAGCCTGACTGCACATGTATCTTATGAATCTGGCTGACCGCACATCGCGAGCAGGTTTCTCCCAAAAACGCTACTCGAACGGGACGTTCTATTACACAGACCCCATCGACTGCTCGCCTGTCGACCCGAACCCGAACCGTGAATGTTCATTGCAAGATGATAACATTGTTGGCTTCTACGAATCGTCGTCCTGGGAGTACAGCTTGTGAGTACTATCATCAATTTATCGCAAGTCTGCTGCTGAGATGAGTTGCAAAGCTTTGCACCTCACGACATGGCGTCTGTTGTCAAGATGATGGGAGGCAACGTATGTCTGTCCCCGTACCTCAGCGAGCGCGCGATTGACGCAGCATATCATCCAGGACACGTTCATTGCACGTCTGGATCATTTCTTCAATGTCAGTGCAGAAGATCGGTCAGCACCATACAAGGTATACTCACGACTCATTGGTAGGCGAGCTACTTTAACGTAGGGAACGAGCCGTCGTTCAACGTGGGTCATGGACCATCTCTTAAACCCTCCACGAACGGCTGACTGGTCTACTGCAGACCCCAATCGACTACTTGTATGCCAACGCACCGACGAGGAGCGTCGATCATGTCCATGATGTGGTGTTCAGCTACTTTGACATCAGTAAGTCTTGCGAGGTTTTGAGCTGAGTACATACAGGCTGAGACGTCGGGATCATAGCCCCTGCTGGGCTGCCTGGGAACGATGATCAAGCTGCGATGGCAACTGTGTTGGTTTGGCACTTGCTCGGCCTCTACCCTGGTATAGACCCTCTTACTCTCGCCGCGTGTTCGTTGGCTCACCACTGTCATAGTGCCGGGCTCCTCGGAAATACTCGTCGTATCGCCCTTCCTACCCACATACACAATCCACAACCGCTACCTCAACGTCAGCACGACCGTTACGGTGAAGGGCTTCGACCCGGCATCCGTCCAGCAGTACATTCCCGAGGGTGTTGCGGCTTATGTCCAAAATGTTACGATTAATGGCGTCACTTCGCCTTCACGGTGCCATTTCGACTTCTACGACATCTTCCGCACGGGCGGCGAGCTGATTATTGAGGTCACGGCGGACAAGGACTCCGTCAACGACTGCGGTGCATCTCTGCCCAAGTCGCTGTCCACCGGCGGGTTCGATACGGTCCGCTAGCCAGAAATAGGTACGATAATGTCCTGGATATTATGGTTAAATACCCATATCCAACACAGCGACAGGTTATAGCAGCGAGACGAGCAGGGTAGCTAAGAGCCAAGATAGATGGGCAGTAGACATACATCGTAGAAATGAATACAGATGAAGGGGCGTGTTACAGTCCCGGGTACCGTCGTCGTCGTGAGACATCGTGAATGTATCGTTCAGATAAGCTAGGAAGTGGATGGCCCCGGTTTGGAAGGGTTGGTTGGAGGGTGAATCAACACAAGGCCAGGGTTCGTTTCGTCAGGCTTAACTTCAATGTGATGACTGCAACGCTTCGTAAGTATTGGCCAATGATGCGCAGACAGGCAACTTACTCCTGCATTGCACCGATGATAGCAAGCTTCAAGACGGGTATCTTCCCCTTCGAATGGTTCCCGCGACCAGTGATAATACGTAGTTCCGGTACGCCGGTGACCATTGCGTCGTACAATGCCTGTTCGACCCGTGCTACCGCCTCGGGGACCTTGAGGCGGTGAACATCGATAGTCTGGGGCTCAGGGGTGAAGTTATGGGCTGTATCTACTCATGAGTATGTGCATGTAACTGAAGGATAAGACACACACACCTTTGAAATAACGCCTTTCAGCCTTCGCATGTAGCTGCTTTGCCTCCTGCTCCACTCGGTCGCGCTCGATCTTCAGTCGAAAGGCCTTCCAGTAGTCCGTCCCTTGCTGTGCAGCAAAGTACTCCCTCCGCAATCGATCCCGGTTGGCTTCCAAGGCCTGAGCCTCCTCACGCAGCTTGTCCGCCTTGTTGATCAGAGCACCACGCGACTTCTCAGTCACGACGCTGGGTGCTTCCGACGGCCCGACCGATGCATCGTCCGCGACCACTTGCTCGTACTCCGGCGGAGGGCCACGCGACGACGCTGCCCTTTCTGTCCTGGCGGCATCGTAGTCAACTTCAGGTGTACTGGGGATCATGGGCATCGAGTCAACAGGAGGCATAACCGCTGGACTCGGCACAGCGTCCGCGAGCTCCGGTGTCACCAGCGAATGTCGCATGGGGATCGGGATTGGTGGCTGGTCGGCGAATTCGATGGGTGTCATCGTTGGTGTGCGTTGTCCAGCGCTGTCTCCCACTTCAATGATCGTTACAGGGGGCAGCTGCTCGCCTCGCGGAGTGCTTGGTCTCTCGACAGGCGTGGTCAGCCCGGAATAGTTGCGTGGAGGCGGCGAAAAGGCAGCACCGGCATGTCTGCCGCTACCCTCGCTGGATGTTGTGAGGCCGCCAGAGGCTACCGAGGACGCGCGGCGGGTGAAGCTGGTGTACTCGATGCCAGGGGTATCGGGAATGACTGGTAGCGAGACATACTCGAGTTCTGACGGCGTACGTACACGCGGTGGGAGCATCCGAGGCGGCACTTGTGACCCACTGGCGCGACTCGGGACACTTGAGGCTTCTGAGCCACGAGCAGGACTGACGACGCTCGAGACCTCCGAGCGTGGTGAGGGACTGACCAAGCTTGATGCTTCGGAAAATTCTGAGAAGGAACCAGGCAGAGGCGTAGTGGTAGGTCGCCTGGCGGGTGTTGGCGGAGGTCGAGTACGCGTCTGAGATAGTGGTTGCGAGCGGGAAATGAGGATAGATGGCGGGCTGCGACCCGTCCCAGAGGAGACCGTCGTAGAGGACGACCCTGCAGGTAGATGGGAGAACTGAACGCGAGAGGAGGAGCGTGCCTGTGAAGATGGCTTGAGAGAAGAGGGCAGTGCGCGACGGACCCGTCGGTACAGCCGTCGAAAGCGTTTATCCTCCGCGACATCCCATCCTACGTCTGATAGCAGCATCCCCATGCCCGTCCATATGATGACGAGTACGAGCCTTGTGACATTGGTGGTGAGAAGCAGGTCGACAATGAGGCGGAAGCCGAAAGCGATGTAAGGGTCGAGAGAGTATGGGGTTTTGGAGAGGAAGTGGTGGAGAACGGCACCCTCCCAGAGACCGACGAGCGAGCCATTGACCCTGTGGTTATGATGCGTTATCTTGTCAATTGTTGCGCGCAGAACGAGGCCGACGCCGATGGCGTAGAGGTTGTCCATTGATCATGCCCGGAGCGCGGCGCGTAGGGAGAGGTCACTGTCGTGGTACGTGATAGAGTCGTGCATGAGCGTCTACAGCTCGCTCACAGGCTTGCCCGAAATGGGCACTTGCTATTGTCCTGCCCAACATAAGAGTAACCTTGCGTTATACAGCCTGCCCGTCTTCCCTCCCTCGAGCCATCATACTGTACACCATACCACATTCCGGATAGTCCGTCTTCGTACAAATCGCGTCTACCAGGCCCGATCCTCATGCAAAGTCCAGCACCTCCACCTGGCCGTGTCTGTCCCCGATGGCTATCCGCCCCGCTGTGTCCTCGAATGCCGTGGACACGATGGCATACTTCCGTTGGATGATCTCGCTCATGTCGCACCGACGTGAGTAGAAGGGCTTTTCCGAATACTGCACGTCGTTCCCAAGGTACGTCGCTTTGGGTTGTTCCCCTTTGCCTGTGCCTTCGGAAGACATAGGCGCGACAACCGACCGCGCAGTGACATGGAAACCGAGCAGACAACGTGCAGGGTACGACGATTGCCGCGAGTTGATATGCCTGGTTTGGATGCAGAACCCTTTGCCACTGGAACTGGCGTGCAGCTTCCGGCAGGACGGTGGTACGGGGATGGCGTTGACACGCCTACATCTCGCGAAAGGGAGCAAGCTCGACGGCAGCGAAGCCTCCTCGGCTGACGACTGCGCGAATTTGTTGGATCCGGGAAGCAGATCGAATTGGACGATCATTTCGATACCGTCTTCCCTGCATCGCAAAAGGACAGTCACAGGTGTGGATGGCCAGTCGTTCATATCCTCTTGTTCAGTTCCAGCGTTGCGATGGATGATTATAGCCTCGATAGCGGTCGGGCTCAGTTGGAATAGCAACTGTGGCTGCCCACTCCAAGCGGTACGTCTGCCTCTCCAGACGGGTGCGTATATGAATTGCATACAGTTCTCGCGCACGACAACCATGTATCGGTTGACGATCTTGACTGCACGAATCTCGCCGATCTGCGCCTACGACGGTCTTAGGTGAAGTGGATTAGGAACATGTCGGAAGACGTACCAATGGATGCGACGAGTGAAGGCTGACAGCCTCAATGGGCCCTTGATAATACCAAATCGTGGGTGCGTTTCCTAATACAACGTAGCTCCCATGCATAGTATGCAAGGGGTACGCCATCCCTCGGACGCTGCGTAGCCTCGATATCTCCAGGAACTGCCCGTGGAATTTGTCAAGAGAAAGCGCGACGACCACCGCGGGATCATTCCTGCGCTACAGTCAGCCGCCGTCTCCGGAGCGAAACGCAAGACTCACTGTGCTGGAGAACCAGTCAAGTATGCGAGGGTACCCTCCGCTTCACTGTCTTCGTTGATGACCAACTGTTCGACCTGCAGTGGCGACACATAGTCCGCAATGCGGTACGCGCCCGAGCCGTCGAATGGAACCTCCCAGCAAGTAATGATCCTTCCAACGACCGTGACGAGGAACTGGCCGCTGCACCCAGGCAAGAACGCGATGTGGCTCACGGTCGACTTGTGAGACTCGAGTGTCTCCTCAGGTAGATATTGGTCCGCGCTGAATGAGAGCGTGTGTCGGGCCGTTGGATTCGCAGAACACCAGTTGTCATGGAATTTGGCGGCGTGCACGGCACGCGCCTCGAGCTGCTCCGCTGACAGCATCTTCAAGTCTGTACCCCCCGCGGGTATGGGAAGCCCTCTGTCGAGGATGTGTCGCTTGATCGCGTTATGCCACACCCAACGCAGCTTCGAGAGGGTGAACAACCGTTTCGACGTCTAGCAGGAACAGTTAAACAGTTGAACGCATGCCATGACGCGTTATACTCACCTGCCTCATGATCAGAACATCCCTCACTTCTACGAAGCTGATGATCAACAGCAGAATGTCGTCCGAGAGCATCTGCAAGGTTGTGGCCTGGTGGCTCTGTGCGAACGCGTTCAGGCAGCCTATGTACGGTTGTCTTCGCGCCCTCGATGGGAATTGCATGGTGCGGGTCGGGCTGTACATCGCTTTGGACGACGCACAGACGGTGTTGGGTGATGGTGGGAGAGACAGAGAAGGGATTCGGCGGCTTGCGACCCGGAAGCGATTTAATGAAAGGAGAACAAGGTAATGGCCGCATTTGGATGTACGGACGCTAGCCACATGTTCGCGATGTTCGATCACGTGTGATGATTTAACCTTCCTGTCACGGTGATCGTGGCGCGCGACGCGATGTCTCTCTCCTCCTCCTCCTTCTGTATCGTAGCGGCGCAAACACCATCCCCAACTAGCAGGTGCCACGCAGTTCCAGCCAGCGCAGGCTCGCGCAGATTCCTCCTCCGCGTAGCTCGCCGCAGCCCCGCGCAGGTGCGATTTTCACTGGGGTACAGGCGCGCCACGCAGTTCCGAGTTAGCGCAGGCTCGCGCATGTTCCCCTTTCGCGCGCAGTTCGCCGAAGCCCCGGACAGCTGCGATTTCACTGGGCTGCCAAAGTGGTACCACAGTACATATAGTGTGTCTTCGAAACCGGCGCTGGAAGCCTCCCACTGATACCAAACACTTTGGTGCTAGTGAAAACCGGAGACGCTGGGCTGCTTCCAGCATTGCCCCGCTCACCGCGATAGGCATCGTGGCCAGAACGGCCCTCTTCGACGCGGCTGGACTCTCCGATTGGTTGGATCAGCCTTTTCCGAGGATTGGAGCACTGGTCTCCCGGCCCCCGCTGCGGCGGGCTATACTGTATTGCACGGCGAACAAAACCAAACGCGCTTCGATCAAACTCTATGCGATCCGCTGCATATATAGAGGCAATGCTTGAGGCTTGAGCTAAGACTCGCGCTCTCCTCCCCGTTACGTCGGACTGGGTTCCACTTCTCATTGCTGCTCCCAAGCACTTCGTCCTATCATGGCATCAGCCGGACAATGGATGTGGCTCGCGAGAACGTCTGTGCAGAACGGAGTGGATGAAGCCCACGACTTGTACCAGATATACCTCTCCATGGTTGCTCCTCAGAAAAAAGTGCAGATTTACAAGGTAGCCACCTGTCCTTGACATGTCATTTCTGGAATCTGCACCAATCTGACATATCACACAGCAATCAACGCACAGACTGGTGCTACTGGCTGAAGCATTTGCTCTGTGTTGTCTACAATCGTGCTCTATGGAGGTGGTAGTGCATACACCTAAGTGGGGTCAATTCAAGATATCTCAGGACGAGCTGAGCTTAGAGTTTCATAATCTGATCCAGTAAGATATAGATCATAGCTGTTGTGCTTATGCTAATGTTCTCATCAAATCAGATGGTACAAGGAAGTCAGCAAATGCCTTAGTGACTGGGCTGCCTGGGACCCTATATTTGTCTTAACCCAATGGAAACAAGTGAGACAGAAGATACAGAAAGAACAGGATGACTGTCCTGTGCTCATGAAGTCTCTGGTAAGAATTGTACATGTACTTTCATTTTTCTGACTTTCATAATTGCCCATGCAGCAAGAGTGCATGTTTCCAGATAATGCTACCAGAGGCATCTTCACGAAGCCAACACTGGATGAGACTCTGGCTGCAGTTACAGAAGTAATTTCTTCCAAGGAGCACTTGCAGACACTCTTCAAAGCAAGGCAACAGGATGCCATCTCCATCATAGACCTTTTGGATGGGGTATGTAGGATTATTGTTGTATGCACTTCATTCAAGTCCTGAATTTGATCCAGTTGATGAACATTGTTGAAGATAAAAGCAGGCTCCACACTAGGTTGTTCCATACCTTGCGCAAGATGTGTGGAGAGCTTGGCAAGTTACCAACTGTGTATTACTTGCCAAAGCCTGAGGGAGGTCCACTACCCTCTCAGCCACTGAAGGACAATCCAGAAGGAGGGACCACTGGCAGGCTCCACCACCACCACCTTACAAGCACTCACCCATCAATCTTGTCAATCTCACGACACATGCAGATCATTCATGATAGAGCAATGGAAACACGCTCTCGCAACACGGGTGTTGATGGTCATCAAGAGGACTTGGTCATTGTTGGGGAGCATCCCATGGCATCTGGTGGTTTTGCAGATGTGTGGCTAGGCAGATATATGAAGCAACAGGTAGCAGTGAAAGCTTTCCGTGTCTATGGACATGCTAACCTGGAAGCTGTTGAGAAGTTATGTTGTCTCAACACCATGACTGGATTTTCATGCTCATATATACCCATAGACCTTCTGTAGAGAAGCTGTTCTATGGAGAAGGCTGTCTCATCCCAACATCACACCATTCATTGGCATTGATGAGAAGAATTTCCCCTTCTCTGCTGTATGCAAATGGATGCCCAATGGTAACATTGCAGCATACCTCAAGGATTCCCCAGGAGCCAACAGACCAGAGCTGGTAATTGACAACTTACTGTGAAGCACCCATTGTTCAGTCAGCATTACACCCACAGCTTGTTGATATTGCTCAAGGACTAGAATACCTACACTCACGTGGTGTGTTGCATGGCGATATTAAGGGCGTAGGTATCATTCCCCAAGGATGATATCCTGCATGGAGTCTGAACATTGTTCTAGGCCAATATCCTGATAGACGAAAGGCTCCACGCATGCCTCGCCGATTTCGGTCTATCGGCAGTCACCTATGATCCCAATACCGTGAACGCTATCTCCACATCATCCAGTGTCAACGGCTCCATCCGGTGGATGGCACCGGAGCTCCTGAACCCGGAGGAAGCAGGGCTAGAACATGCGAGACCGTCTGCGGAAAGCGACATATACTCCCTCGCTATGGTCATGTGGGAGGTGGGTCTCGCTGAGCCCGAGTGCGCATTATGCAGTGCAGAATTACTGAGTACTTCTTGGGCCAGGTATACACCGGTCGAATTCCGTTCTACAATCTTACGCGTGACGCGACGGTAGTCTTCCGCGTTATCCTTGGCATCCGTCCTGAACGACCCACAGCTGCGACCTCGCTGGGGTTGTCAGACGACATATGGAACCTGATGGAGCACGGTTGGTGCCCGCAATGGCAGCGTCGTCCGCGAATCAAGCACGTATTGGAGATTTTACGGGAAAGCTTACAGCGCTATGGGCTGTTCGGCACGCAACCGCAGGCTTGGCCTCTTCCCGACCACGGCTCCGTGCATTCCAGCCAGTCTGATTCTCCTGTCAACGACCAGAGTATCGGTCTACCAGGTAATCAATGACTTTCGATTGTTTCAATTGTCACTTACCGGCGGACATAGATTTCACTCAACCGCGATCTGGGGAAGTTGACAGCGTGTACCGGCCAAGCTTCGCTGACACGGCTCCCGTGCTAGCCAACCATCCGGGAAACGAGGATCCTTCCAACTATGCGGAGACAATCGACACAAAGAGAGGTCTACTATCCTTCGGTTTTGATACACCTACGCCCGGAACGGTCTGGGACTCCGTTGCTGATGAACAAGCTTGGGTATGAGTATATGAGTCGTTATGTCGACTGCACTGTATGCGTATTGCGTCAATACGTATGTCTCACTCGCCTCCATGATTTATCAAGCGACCAGCAATATTGTAAAGCCGTCTGGAAAAGCCGTCTGCTCCCCCACTTTGTATGTTCGCACTCGAGGACGGCGACGGAGAGGTTTCTAGACCAAAATGAGTCGACCCAGGCTCGAACTGAGGACCTTCTGTGTGTAAGACAGATGCGATGACCAACTACGCCATCGACCCATATTGATGGGCGCTCCCGTTTGCTGATCGATGGGCAGGGGCGCGCAGCAAGGAAAAGCTTCGTATTGGCAGAGTAGTACGAGCTATCTAGGACGTACAGCATACAATATCAGTCCATGTGAAATACAAGAAAAGAACACATCACGACACGACGCAGACCAAGGATCAAATCAACTTAGCTTCTCTTTTTGCGGTTTGCAGCTGTGCCAGCCTCTGGTTACGAGGGGTCTGTGTGGCACCTTGCGCGCTGCCCTTCTTATTGGAAGTGGCGGCGGGAGCTGCAGGTGCCGCTGTCATTTGAGATAGGGAGATGCGAGTCTCATCAGAAGCGAAGCCAGGGATTCGAATGTTGTGGTTGCGTTCTAGAGGGAACGTCAATGCCAGTCGCAGTAAGGCGCTTCATTGCTGACCTAGATGTAATTGCAGATCCTTCACCTCCAACGTATCACCGCCTCGATGCTTCGTCAGACGGCAAGCGAAATTCGTAACGGAGTCAATGAACTCGTCCGCAATGTCAAGTAGGAGCTGTGTACATGTCAGTGCACGCCTGTTTGACCAGTATGGGACTTACATCCTCGACTTCGGGTTCAATCTTCACACTGGGATCTATACTCGACACCAGATCCTGAATTGTTCTCCGCATACTCTGATCGCCAGGAGTGTTCTTACGGCGCGTCCGATTGTCGTCCGTGCTCAGAAGAGTAGCATCATCAGACGGTTTCGTCAATTGCGCCGGCGTGCCTTGTGGACGATCAGCACGTCGACTCTGAAGCGAGACAACGACGACGGACCTGATATCCTGCCTCCTGCTATACCTCCTGTCAGAGTAGGCCGGCCTTGCTGAGAGATTTGCCATTGAACCGGACCAGGATTCGTAACAGTCGGCGTGCTACTGATAGGATAGGAATCCGTGCTGGGGTTGGCATTCAGGAAGGGTGTAGGTGCGCTTCGAAATGCTGGGTTGGTAGGCATAGGTGCTGCGACCTACGTTGCATGTGAGAGGCAGGTCGTAATCGTAGAGATGTCTCAGACGTACAGGCGCAGGCGCAGGTGCAGGTGCGGGTGCAGGGGTAGAGGCACTCCCCGACGCTCCAGACTTATGTTTGTCCGCGTACTCTTTGAGCTTGGTCATGTTCACTTCAGCATTATCTCAATACCAAGACATTCAGACCACACACCTGCAAGATCTGGGCTTGAGTGAGCTTGCCATGTTTCGCAAGTTCGCTCAGCTGGCTCATGTTCTGGATCAGGAGTTGAGCGATCTTGTCGCTCGGTAGCGGGTCGCCCGTCTGTGTCTTGTATGCATTTCCCAATGCAGTTATAATGTTGGCAGTGTTTGATGAGGAGGACGGTGTCGGTGTCGAGGACGGTGTCGACATCGTGGTTGACAATGCAAGGACTCAACACCGCGTCTGAGACTCAGCTGCTTGAGTGGCGGTCAGCTGTTTGTGGCCAAAGCTTTGAGGGTACACGTGGTTGTAGTCTGGCGTTAGAAACGTAATCTCAAGGGGTCGGTGGCGTAGTTGGTTATCGCATCTGTCTAACACACAGAAGGTCCTCAGTTCGAACCTGGGCCGACTCATTTTTTGGGCTGTGCCAAGTCTGTGCGTTTGGCGAAACCGCACATACATTGAGCTCAATTGGATACTTATAAGTGCACGAGGGTTCCGTCAAACAGCGACCAAGGACGCGACGGAAACGTGTCTTCATTTGGTGTCTGCAAAGGCATCAGATTTGAGGGTGAGAGCGTTCTCAGATTATATACACTGGCGGCCGAATACATCGCATACGCGGTACGTCTGACAATCCAAACGGAGTGAGTGTCCGTGTCGATAGTCCGGCCTAAAGGTTCATTTGTGGGTCGACGTCCATCATGTCTTCTTTCACTAGCCTGCGTCTGCCCTTATCCCATCGTTGCAGATATAACTCGCACCTCTCCCTGAATACCTGCAGTCCATCTAAAAAGCCTTTGGGCAGGAGATCCTTCCGTTGATCCCAAGGCTTGATGTCAACCAAATCGCACCGATCCAAGCACACCAGTATTACTCCAAAGCTGTAAGCGTCCGCCAGTCGTGGGTCCTGGCACTCGCCGCGCAGGACCTCCGGGGCGGAGAAAGGTCGAGTGCCTGGGTGTATCTGTTCTATTTGCCTCGATTGTGTGGGTGGAGGGGTAGGTGGTACGGGAGAGTAAGGCGACTTCGGCGCGAAGCGCGACGTCACCGGCGGGCGCGGGGGCGCCGGCGCGGCTGGACGCTGGGACATATCCTCGTACGGCGACGCAAAGACGGAGTCCGCCGCGACGGAGCGGCCGAAGTCGAGCAGCTTGACCGTGTCAGAAGAGTAGGTCACTTGCACGTTGAGGAGAGAGAGGTCGCCGTGGCTCAGGCCGAAAGTGTGCAGGTGCGTCAGTCCATCCAGCAGTTGGTTGTGGTAGTCAATTTTCTGGCTTCGGGTCAGCTCCGGCCGCACCTTGACTACATCCCACAGCGTCCGCCCCTCGATGCACTCGAGCACCATCCCGACGTTCTCGAGGCAGCCGAGGAACGCGGCTATGTTGCGATGCCGCGACACCGTGGTGTACACGCGCAGTTCAGCGAGGAACTGTGTCATGACGTCGTTGGCGTTCGACTGCATCTCGCCGTTGATCTCAAGCTGTACGACGTTTGGCTTTTTCACCACGCATTTGAACAGCTCAGACGCAGATCCAGCCGCGAAGGGTGCCATGTTGTGGGTGGGGTTTGGTGGAGCAGAGTATGTGGTAGGCGTCGGGAAGGAGAAGATGGTGAGGGGATTATTGGGCGGGACGAAAGTCGTGCCAGATGCTGGAGGAGAACGCGCCGCCGCAGTCTCCGTAGCATGGGTGCTAAACGGATACGAGCGGAATGGTGTATGGTGGTGGTCTGTCGCAATCGGCTCTTCCGCTGGAGGTGTACTGACATGTTCCTCCTCGTCCTCCAATTCAACTGCAAAACACTGATACAGTTCTCGTACGATAGCTTAGACGGTAAGTGTACGTACCCATCCACCAGTTCTTTTTCGAGGTGAGCGTGACTCGCTTCACTTGCCTGGACTTGGAGGCCATGATGCGTTTACAACGTAGTACTTCAACGCTGCTGTTATGTGCCTGAAGGTGGCCAAGACGGAGATGCGATGTCCGCAGCGGGTTGGGAGAACCCGAGTGAGGTAAAGTGGTGGCAGGACATGATGCTTGGGCGTTTATACGCGCTCATGTGGTCTTGTCCAGAAAGGGAAATTCCCGACGCGCCTGACACTGACAGGGCGAATCGAGCTGCTCGGATGATACTCAGTACCAGGATACTACCGCGGTCCGCGACCGGCGACCACGTCTGACCGCTTCCGAAAGGTAGGTCACGCTTGTTTCAGTATCTAGAGCACTGGCTGACAAGCTTCGATCATCGTGGACCAGGCAGAATATAAGCCATGTACCATTGACGGAAGTAATTCGTATCGTCGAGTAACCCACTATTGTACAGATGCGAGGAATATAGTATACGTGCTACAATACAAGATATCACAAGCGAGTCGCTACAAACCGGTACCGTCCAGAAAACCCCCGCTCATAGCACGCTCTTCTGCCACGCCGCCGGGCACCCGTCAGCGACGGCGAGGTATCCCATGAGGTCGCTCGTCAAGAACTCGCTCGGCCACTCCTTGCGGATCTGCGCCTTCAAGTACTTCGCAACGATATCGAGGTTCTTCTCGCTGACCGCCGGGCCCTTCTGCGTGGGCGCGATCTCGTCAATCAGGGTGTCGACGTACTCCGCCGTGACGGCCTGGCCGTTGTCCGACATGCGCACGGCGTACTTGACCCACTGCCAGAGCTGCACGCGCGTGATCTCCGCCGTCGCGGCGTCCTCCATGAGGTAGTTCAGCGGGATGCAGCCGTTGCCGCCGAGCCATGCCGCGCTGTAGGAGAGCGCGGTCGCGACGTTCTCGCGCACACCAATGGAGGTGATCTGACCCGGCACCTTGGAGTTCAGCAGATCGGCAGCAGCGATCTTGACGTCCTCCCTGCGAACGTGGTACTGCAAAACAAGTCAGCGAGATGCAAACGTCAGAGTGCCGCTGTACCAACCTGGTTGGGACCCAGCATGTGCTCGTTAAAGATATCGATGGCAATCTTGTTGATGAGAGGGTGGGCAATCCATGTGCCGTCGTGGCCGGCAGTGACCTCGCGCAGCTTGTCGTTGCGAACCTTAGTCATAGCAACCTCGTTTGCCTGAGGATCGTTTTTGATGGGGATCTGCGCGGACATACCGCCCATCGCAGCGACTCGTCGCCTGCAGACGTTGGTCAGACAAATCAGATAATTTCGATGAGTTCAACGTACTTGTGGCAAGTCTGGATGAGCAGGCGCACGTAGGAGTCCATGAAGTGCACTTCCATGGTGACATCCTTGCGGTCAGGGAGAACCGCGCCCCTGTCTGCCCTGCGCTTCTTGATGAAGCTGAAGATATAATCCCAACTATACCACGCGTCAGCACCTGCACATAATTGGCCACGAGCGCTGGCAACTCACCGGCCGCAGTTGAGACCTGAGGAGTGCGTCCTGAGCTCGAAGAGGATTTCCTCCATTTGGAAGGCAGCGGGGAGCGTCTCGATGAGAACGGTACCACGAATGGTGCCGAGCGGAATCCTGATGTAAGACTGCGAGAAGTTAAAGACGTCATTCCAGAGACGCGCTTCGAGGTAGTGTTCCATCTTGGGAAGGTAGAAATATGGTCCCGATCCACGCGCGACGAGCTCCTTTGCGTTGTGGAAGAAGTAGAGACCAAAGTCGAAGAGCGAACCGGACATGGGTGCGTTGTCGATGGTTACGCGAGGCTCGTCCAGGTGCCAGCCACGCGGTCTACACCGATCGCGTCAATGCATGCGACGCGCTTGTGGCAACAATACTACGTACCGGACGATGAGGACGGCCGGCTTCTCGCTCAGCTTGTACTGCTTCCCGCCCTGCTCGAAGTCGATCTTGCGCCTGATCGCGTCACGGAGGCTGATCTGGCCGTTGACCATGTTGGAGAATGTGGGAGAGTTCGCATCTGGGTGGGTACGGCGTGAGCTAGTGCCGCCGGCGCGACCTAAATAGCACGCACCTTCGAGGTCAGCCATGAACGTCTTCGCACCGCTGTTCAGGGCGTTGATGACCATCTTGCGGTCGGTGGGGCCCGTGATCTCGACGCGACGGTCCTCGAGGCCGGGCGCGGGGTGCGCGCAGAGCCATGAGGGGTCGGCGCGGATGTGGGCGGTCTCAGGCGGGAAGTCGAGGGGCTGGCCTGCGTCGAGGCGCTGCTGGGCGGCCTCGCGGGCGACGAGGAGGCTCTGGCGGGTGGACTCGAAGGTCCTGTGGAGGGCAGCGAGGAACTTGAGAGCGTCCTCGGTGAGGATCTCTGCCTGTGCCTGCTGGGCTACGGTGGTGTGGATCTGTACGCCGGCGACCATGGTGGTAAGCTGGGAGATGTGTGTTTGTGGGTGAGAGAGAGAAGGCGGGGAGTGGTGGTGGTGTGGAGGATGGGCATGGCTGGGATGTATATGTAGGTGGTCGGCACTCCGTGCTATCCCATGCGCGGAGGGTGCACGTCATGTCTTCCGCCCATTTCACGTGGGGGGCGGACCCCGGGGGCGTCTTCCCTTTCCGTGCGTCCCCCGGAGTCCCGCCGCCTTCGCCCCTCCAGCCTTCCGTTCCGCGCGCCAACGTGCGTCGTCCTCGGCGAGTGCGTACCCGGGCAGGCGGGCGGGGTTGCGCGCGGACGGAGGGCTGATTCCGTGCCCAGCCACACACCTCGGCTTCAACTTCGGACTCTCGCGGGGATCTGCGCCTCGCCGCTAGGCTCCTTTCGTCCACTGCATGATCCTCCCGCTCTTCGCACTCACGAGAGCACCGAGGGGCCTCGCTCTTCCTTGTGGCACCCACCACGGGGCCACTCCGTTCGCCAAACGGCCTCAGCATCAGGATAAACGAGCATCCATACACCGGCCTCTCTAACTATACATCATAGCCAAGGCTACCCCACAGCCCGGATCCTATCCGACGCGGGGTCGAGCTACTCTGCTTTCTCCTTCCGTTCCGACGGAACCGGCTCAGACTCTGTTCAGTTACCGGACGCGAACGCACGTCGGCCATCAGCGAATCGAACAGCAGGAGACGGCCGACACCCACCTGTGCCTGTAGCCAGCTCCTTCGCCACCCGCTCGCCCACCTTGATAACGCGCCTACACGCCATCTGCCACACCCCGCAGCTCACCGAGCCCGTAGGCGCGAACGGGAATGCCAGCCACCAGGTGAGGGGCCCGAACCACCCTGGCGGAAGATAGAACACGGCGGATTTCCGGTACCACCAGCCGACGAAGAACTGGAGGCCTGCCGTCAGGAACCAGACGGCGGTGTTGAATTTGAGCGAGAAGGATGACCTCGCTGAGGACAGTTCGCTATCTGCCGAGGGGACATAAAGCCGATGGTGAGAACACGAAGCGGGGGCATTGGTAACAGACTCTTCGAGGACCACGCATCCCTGCCGGCGCCGGAGTGAATGGCAGGCAGCTGAAAGAGGCGTGGTGCTCGGGGATATTACCAACGCAAGGGAGACACTCACTGAGCTTCTCTAGGTCTGCCAGCCCCTTGTCCACGCCCCGCCTCAGCTTTGCCCACTTCGCAAACTGGTCCTGCGCACTCGTCTGCAGCAGCTCCTTCTTCGCTACAAGTATCTCCGACTTGAGTTTTCGTTGGCGCGTCACTGCGCTCGAGTAGAATATCCGCAGATATATCGCATAAGCCTGTCGTCCGTGCGCCGCATTGTATCAGGACACGTCACATTCACAGCCATTCGGGCCTCCTACGCACGAATTCAAGTAATACAGACTTGCCGATCCACGAGATCAGCTCTGTTACAAAGACAAGGGCGAAGATGGTGATTATGAGAGACATGGCGGGCGTTGGAGGGCGTAGCCTCGAGGATGGATGCGGACAGCAAGTGCGCTGCAAGTCAGGTCTGGCGCATTCGTGGCTCGCCTCGGGCTGCCGTGTCGCGTCACCATATTGCGTGCACGTGGTGGTGTCCCTGTTTGGCGCTGTTAGGATCGAAGGCTATTGGCCTCTTCCGTTTCTGGTATCGCACTTGATACTCAACTCCCGGCGAATTCTGCCTGTGGCTGCTACCTTCAATCTGGCTCCCGGGGACGCCTCTTTGAATCTCCTGCTCGGAATCATCACTTCTGTAGTCAGGTTACGAGCAGTGCGAAACGATGCGCCTGAACTTGCTGCCAATGCACTGTCCGCACTGGGCAGCATAGCACGCCGAGATTGTCGCCATTCCCGTCCTTCGCCCACATAGGTGAGGCTATCCAAGACAGTAGATGAGCGATGAAAGTGGACAGATAATTCCGCGCTTTCCGCGCTTCTGCGTGTCTGTCTCTCCTGACGTAACTTTGTCTGACGGGATGACGCCCGACGGTACCGGTACTGGCCGTCTTGCGCACTCCCCCGGCTGCCTCACTTCATCGACTCGCTAGCGATGTTATTCGCTCAGGCACGCCGTGAGTTGGTCGTAGCATTGAGCTCACGTGCTCTTCAAGGGTAGTGCACGCTGTGTGCACACATCAGCATGGGCGACAACCAACAATTGACGAGAACAGTGCGGTCGCATGCATGTCAAAGTACGAGCCGATATCTCTTACCTGTTGATGCGGCCCGGTGCGAGCGTTGACTTTCACCACACAGAAGCGTATAGAGGGGCAGTGCGGCGTCAGATCCCGGTGGCCGCTGGACGGAACCTTTTAGCTCGACTGGAAGCTCCGCCTCACTACTTACTTCCCTGCACCTCGTCTTCTTTCTTATCGTGCAGTGTTCGACTGCAACACGACGCACTTGCCTCTCTCACCCCATCTTTGATTGCAACATCATACAGACATGGATCCCCTCCTTAATAACCGGATGCGCATCTGGAGCACGTTCCAAGCCTACCTTCGAAGGTGCGTCTCCAAAAGCCAAATCCGCATAATGAATGGCTGATGTACGGGATACGTCTCATTAGTGCCCCATCTACGTCGTCAGACACTCTCAGCGACGAGTCATGGTCTGAAGACGACCGCTCTCAACCCGACTCCGGGGAGACAGACACGACAACGCCCGTCGAAGAAAACGCACCGGCTCCACAAGCGGACACCAAACCAGAGCCAGTCGATCCACCAGCATCCGACAGTCTCCCAGAACCATCGTTGCCTCGCTATCTCGTGTACCCCGTCTACACGGTGCCTACCACGACAAGCCCTGCTACCCAGACGGGACTCTGCCTCCCCAAAACAGAGGAAATCCTCGTTACCAGCACTTACGAACAGATACCCCTCGAGACACCGATCGCATCGTCCCCACCCAACGACACCACCCCGCGCACCTTCACCGTTCACGCGCACCCCTGGTACGACGCAGTCGTCCCACCCGAACCAGCGGCCATCGGTCCCAAAACGATCATCATCAAAATCAGAGTCATCCTCTTCATCCTCGGCATCTTCGTTTACATCGCCCTCCGGGTCCTTTGTGCGGCCTTTCGACGCGTGAGGCGGGCGTGGCGGAGGCGTCACGAGGCCTACGAGGATCACGTTGCGGAGGATCACGGCCGTGACGTTGGGCGAGATGCGGGTTTGCAGCCTATGCTCAATCCGCATCTGAACCGTTGGTGACGGGGGAAAGCACTGCATGTGGAAACAGAGCAAAACATGTCCAGTCGTATAGCGAGGATGGCGGGCCGAGGCGTTGTATGCGGCCGACCCGGAGACTTGCCGAAGCGCTGTCCTCGGTTGAGTCGTTCTTGTGCACCTCAAGCATGCATGACAAGAGACGTTGTTAGCAGCTGCAGGGCACAATCAATCTGGGTTGTGGAGGTCTTGCCGAAAGGGAAAGGGTACTCAGGTGACATGGAACCATGGACTCGGATGCGGTACAATGACATTTGTACGCGGGCACCTTGTATATCCCGATGCTTGTACCGCTATACAGGATACCCTATATATTGCGTGGTTGCCTGAATTCAGTCACTCACCTGCGCTCTATACCCCAGTGCTACTCGTATAGGCAGCGCCGTTGCACGCAGATTAATCGAGGCTGGTCTGCCTGACGAAGCTTGTGGTTTCCTCATACAATTCCACGGGTCGGACGACAGTCACGCTCGGAATCATCGAGGGCCTTGTATGAAGCGCAATCGACATACGCTCGCACATTTCACCTCACAGGCACCCGCAGCACGATGAAGATGATACAGTGTCATGGTGCATGCCAATAATTCAGCCATAGGCCAATAGCGGAGGAGTACATGGTGCGAAAGCGGATGCGTGGTGATGTAGTCGACTTGCAGAACTCCTCTCCCTCCCCACGAGCGAGGCCCAACATGGGGCAAACGAGACGGAAGCTGGCTTAGATGTTGAGCTTCGTGCGCCTCCAGTGACGGCGCTTGGCGTTGTACTAATTGCACATTTGAGATTATGCTTGAGGGAGATTTGGGTCAACACGCACCTGAATTTTGGTGTCCGTCTTGAGGCGGAACCACTGGGGAATGGGCCTGGAGGGGACGTCAGACGGAGCAAGCCCACAGGTACGCCGACACTACTCACCGGTTCTGGCGGCCAGCCTTCGCGAGGATGCGCTTCGTGCGGAAAGTCTTTTGGGAAGGCTGCAAGTCAAGCAGAGGGTCAGTCTACGCCTCCTGGGCACAGCGGAACGGACTACGCACCATCGTTCTGGATGTCGGGGGCGGCGTGGACGGAGGTGGAGAGGGATGAAAAATAAGGTTAGCGACGGCGTGCCCTGTACAGTTCTGACTAAGCTCCGCATAAGGCAGCTCATCAATCCCGTTCGCTCGGTGCGAGTTCCCACGGGTGCTATATTGCCGCGCCACTTATTAGGCCGATGGCGCCCACTGGCAAGGACCACGTCGGCCTCGCCACAGCGCGACGTTGCACCCAACCCTCCTCAGCGACGCGTATCCGACATGAGACTCACACTCGTCGCTTTCTTCTTTGCTGCGCTCTTTGGCCTGCTCGTCTCGGCCGACGCGCCGGAGCCTCCAAGTGATCTCGAGATCCAGACGACGTACATGCCCGCGGAGTGCCCGGTCAAGGCGACCAATGGCGACATCCTGAAGGTCCACTATGTGAGTATTCGGAAGTCATTGTAAGGTGTGCCGTAGTTTGAGACAGTCGCCTCAGACTGGGAAGCTCTTCTCGAACGGCAACAAGTTCGACTCGAGGTAAGATTGCACAGCCTACTTGAGTGTTACCTCGCGAACGCTACGTGTCCGCTAGCTATGACCGCAACAAGCCGTTCTCTGTGACTCGTGAGTGCCGGTCGTATGTCTGAAAGTGACGCAGCTTGACCTGATCTCTCGCAGTCGGCAGGGGCCAGGTCATCAAGGGCTGGGAGCTTGGTCTCCAAGGGATGTGCGAAGGGGAGCGGCGTACGCTCACCATTCCCCCGCATCTTGCCTACGGTGAGTGCGCCGCAAGTTCTCATTTGGACCCCATCTTACGGTTCGCTGTCCAGGAAACCGCGCCATGGGCTCAGCGATCCCGGCCAACTCAGCGCTCGATTTCGACGTCGAGCTCATGGAGTTGGATGCTCGGGGCAAACGCGACGAGTTGTAGACAGTCCCCGTTGATGTCAGCAATCATATGCGACAATGCAACGCTACACCGGTGTTCCTCAAAATTCTCGACACATGAGAACCAGATGGAAGCAAGGTACATACTCTGTATGTGTAAGTGCAAAGGTATTCGGTCTGTACCTAGTTTCTGAGGCAAACCGTTGATATGGCAAATGCGACCGACTCTTTGACGACAGACTTGGATTGACCTAAGGGCTCCAGCGGCGCGCAGACCTTTTGTGTTAACAAACGGTTGATATCCAATGACCATTCCAGAGAGATACAAATCTAGGCTAAGTCCGCTGAGAGATGGACACAGATACCGGACTCCGTGCAAGGGCAGAAACTGCACTACAACACCGCGTCCGGTGCTGGAGTGCAGTCCCTGTTCTTAGGAGACTACTAATCGTACAGTATGCTACAGTAGGACCCGGACACGAGGAGACATCGGAGGACAAGACACGAGGGAGACACGATACAAATCTAACCGGAAGAAGAGGCTGTTCCGAATTTGAGGACCAGGAGACCGGGGAACGAGGCAAGACAAGGCGGTTGTCGACAATGGGTGCCGGGAGCGGTACAGAGACCGCCGATAGGTCGACACATCGAGCGGACGAGGCAGAGACAAGGCCGTTGCGAGAGAAGGGATGAGGTGATTGGTGGACGTCGTGAGTGAGTTGGCTGGAAGTCCAATGAGCGGGCAGAAGACGGGAACCGAATGCGACTTGACGATGCGAAGGTGGCTGGCTGAGTAGCGCGGAGGGCGACGAAGACTGGCGAGGTAGCACGCGACGGGGAACGCATAGCGGGCTGGGCAGCGGAAACGCGGACGAGGACAGGATGATGCAAGCTGGAAGACGTTGAGGGATAGAGCGCGTGACGATGAAAGCATGCGGCGAGGGCGGAGCAAAGCGCAGTGAGATGACAGTGAACGCGGATCGGGATGCGACAGGCGACGAGAGCGACGAGCGTGGGCAAGAATGATGCGAGCTGCACGGGATAGCGCACGAGGAATCCGGGAGGGCACGAGGCGAGACGAGACGAGACGAGGCGTTTGCGAGGTGGCATGTGAAGGTGAGGCGAAACCGTGCAAGGGAGATGAGACTTGAGCGAGAGGGACGCCAAACAGGCGTGTCCACGCAGGGGTGGATGAGACTTGCAGTTGAGGCGAATGGAGGGCCGGGTGCGTAAGAGGACGGGAACGAGAGGGCTAGGTGATTTTGGGTCATTGGCTCGAGAGGCGAGTGGTGAGGACTTGGGCCGGAGTGGTAGTTCCGTGAGTCTTGCGCATATGTTGATCGAGGAGAGGTGTTGGCGACATGATGAAGGGCGCAGGTCGACGTTGCGCGATAAGGTCCGAGGAGAAGCGAGAGATGACGAGATGAGAATCGAGGAAGAGAGACCAGGCGAGGACAAATCGAGGGTGGGAACAGGCGAGGATCGAGATGGAGACCGAGGCGAGGCGAGAGGTGAAGTAAACCGAGACGAGTGAGCCACATAACGAGGAAGAAGTCGTAGACTGGGGACATAGGATGTAGGGCGCGCCGAGGTCTGCGTAGCGAGTCTGCTGTCTGTTAGCAACGGCTGTGCACGAGCCGGCACCAACAAGATCGCACTGGTCAGGGAAGACCACCAGGATCAGCCCGGTGCCAGTGCGTCAGCGAGGAGTCGCCAGAGGACCGTGTGCGCGAGTGTCGTTGGATGCGATGTCGACGAGTGTCGACGGACCAGACCAAAACCGAAGGAGATGGTGGTTACACCGAGACGTCGCGGACCGCCTCCAGGACGGACCTGAGCCTTGCTCGTCAGTGACAAGGAAGCTAAGAATAAGTGGATACGTACAAGCAAGATCTGATGAACCACGTCATCTCCTGTTGTGCAACCGACGATACTCGCGCTGGCGGCGAGCAATGATCATACGCGGGGGGCGCAGCGCATTCCTGCAGATCCGCCAGGCATCTAGGACGGACTGCAGCACGGGCAACAGTGACACCTGGAACATGTTGAAGAGGATGTACGCCAGCGCTACGGCCCGCGTGGCCAAGATGAGGCGGGAGTGGGCATGTCCGGCAGACGAGTACTTTCCTTTCTTCAGGCAGAGCTTCCGGAAGGCCAGGGAAGGGTATTGATATCGCCAAATGGGCGGTACGGCAGCGTCGTCAGATACCGTGGGAGGGAGTGAGGCGTCCGATTCGATGCTGGATACATGCTCGTTGAACCTTGTGACGTAGTCGGAGAGGTAGGTAACGAAGACAGGCTCTGCTGCCTTGGCTTTGAACACTCGGATGGTGGGAGCCTCGGGGGTCGTCCAGTCGAGCTCGGGCACATCGACTACTGGAGCCGCAGACATCGCAACACCGCTCGCACTGGAGACTACAGAATCATCGACCTCCATAGGAAGGATGCCGGACTCTGCTTGGAGTGCAGTTGAGTCGGGGTGCAGTAGAGGTGAAAACGTCGAACACACCAGATGGGCTCACCGCGGCCAAAAAGCCGACGTCCGAGTCTGTCGGAAGCAACTGGGATGCCGCATCCTCCATGTGAATCCCCCAAAGAGCGAAATCAACTGACGGGGACTCCACAAGTTCGATGAACTCGGGCAGTGCTGGCTCGTCCTTTGGGATAGGGCTAGAGCGAAGCATTATCAGCTCCCATGCAAGCCCATCGAGAAAACGCCACATACATCAGAGGAGCCGATAGGATGCAGGCGAGCGTCATTATCAACGGTCCAGGCCCAATTGTCGGGCTGTCGATGTACTGCGAGTACCACGAGGCAGAGGCGCCGGCACTGAGGATCAGGATGCTCCTGAGGGCGGCGATGCCCTTCAGGAGATAGAGCGTGACAAGCATGGCTTGTGTGACTGGTAGGCGAGGGGGCGAGGATACAAGAGGGATGCGAGAAACTGAGGAGTGAGCGGGGACGATGGGTGAGGACGAGTGGGCGGGCACAGGCTTTATATAGCCCTCGACGCGCCGCACACCGCCGCACACGTGAGTGACGACTTGTTGAATGCGATTCAACAAGCTTGCACGTGCGAGACGCGTCGGTGCGCATCGACGTGTCGCGCGCGATCCGCCGCCGAGTAGTTCCCCGCCGTCTGATTGGCCGGCATACACGACGGACACGCGCATCGACGCCGCCGTCCGCACCTGCGGCAACAGCGTTGACTCTACTGGAGGTGGCGAGGCCTATGCATTTGTCGTGAATCATGAGCTTCAGTGGGATGGTAGTACACACCACCGCGATGATATAAAGGGAGCACCATGTTTGTGACGTTTTCTTTCACATTGACCGTGGGCCGTCATGACAGCAAGGAATATAAGGAATGCGCACCTGGTTCGTCTCTTCGGACACCCCCCCGCCCCCTCCCTCCACCCACTCAGGACACCCTTCAGGCCTTGTGCCTTCCTTCCTCCCTGCTCGACGACAGTATCCGGCCCCATGTTCCTACTTGCCGGTGCAGCTCTCTGGGCCCTGAGAAGGCGGTATGGCTCCCAGCTCGTTGGCATAGGCCGTCGTCACCTCACGGCAGCCCTGCAAGGGGCTCAGTATCTACCTCTTCGGGGCTACAGATTTATTCTACGGAACCTGATTCATCGGTAAGTGTTGCGTTGAATCAACGGAATCGTTCATTTGACACGAGACCCACAGTACACCCGAATTGCCTCCTCCGTCGCCCGAGGATGGCACAGATCCTTCGCCGGTATCGGATACCCCACCACCTCCGCAAATCGACGCGGAAGCTCGCTTACTCGCTCAACCTGACTCGCTGGAGACTGATGCAGAATCCATCTTGCTCGCTCAACCCAACTCCCTTGCGACCGGCGCAGGACCGCTCTTGCTCGCTGAAGCCAACGAATCGCTCGAGGTGGCCGAACCTGAGCCTGACCATGACGTCTCGCCGCGATCCGAGGAGGACGTGATCCCATCTGTCTCTGAGTCGTCCACGGATCTGTTGGGGTTCCCAGAACCAGCTGTGCTCTTGACGATGGAGCGTCTACCGCAGACGCAGTTCGCCTATCCGCGACAATTGACGGACACTGTGGGGCCAGCTTTACCCGACAACCATGGCCCACTGGCAGGCACCACCGCCGTTACGACCTGGGTGCAGTCGGAGCAACTCAGGCTGACGGTCGTTGTATGCATCCTGGGATTCCTCGCCTACCGTGCCCATCAGCGGACGACTCGGAGAACTGAGACGCCAAACCTCAGACTCACCAATCCACGGGTCGGGCCTGACGGCCAGCAGCCTCAGACACAGAGCGCAGCTGATCTAGAGTCGCCAGCCCCCGCCTCTCAGAACCTAGTATGCCCAAACTTTTGGGACGCACCTGGAACAGTCACGGATTTCGATACATTCCGCTACAGCTTCGAATATCCTGACCGCAAGGGCAAGTCTAAGAGCTCGACTTCAGAGGATTCCTCGGCTCTCGTTGAAAAGACGGCCGTCGCGGTCCCGCAGCACAGTGGCAATGCCCACGATGCCACGCCAGACATCCCAATCACCGTGACACCCACAGGGATCTCCACTGCATCTTCCGGTTCGACGCCAAGCCTACCGGTACCTACTGCCACCACGGCGTCAGCCGGACCGGGCTTGATGCCACCTGCCGGGACTGCTCCCGCCCCGCAACTCCCAGTTCCTATGCGCGAGACCGCCGACACACCCGCCGCCGAATTTGAAGAGCTCGCCAATAGGCTCTGCAGGATGGAGCAGTCAGATCCGAGCAGATACAGGTGGCTCAAAAGCTTCATACCAGACAGCGATCTGAGAGCTGTCGCCCCCGGTGACGAACCTGTAGGCGGGGCCGCTGAGGATGCTGACACTAATGCCGCCATATTCGAAGAGCTCCGAGTCGTCACGATGCTCCGCAGGATGGAGAGCTCGCCTCTTTGGAGATGGAGGTACAGGGTACTCAGGGGTTTGATTGCCCGCCCAGGCAGTGACATGAGCACCAGAGCTCGCGACCTCGACGAACTCGCAGGCACCAGCACCTCGTCGCGCGACGCGGCCCCACTGGCAGGTGGCGACACATCGACTAGTATGGATGGACTGGCGCCGCCTGGAAACACAGGGCCTGACTCGGAGGAGGAGGCCACGGAGCAGGTGGTGGCAATGACTCCGGGGTACGACCGCTGGGTGGATTCTGAAGGTCACCCTGTCGCTGGGCCGTCACGATGGGGCTGACTTGCCATGCTTGGAGCCGTTCCCGCTCAGGCTGGACCGGAAACACTGGACACCACTAGGTACTGTATGGGATTGAATTCCATGAGTTCACTTCGTATATGTAGCAGCCTTACGTTCGCTTTTGTCTTTGGACTTGGATGTGTGTACTTCGTGGAACATCGGCGATGATCCACGAGGCTACGCGATGTATATGTACAGCGTGATTACGTGATTACTACCGAGCCGGGCGCTGCTTCAACTGCAGATTGAGAACGACTCTGTACTTATGTACATGGTCATTGAGGCAGCGTGTGGATGATGCGCTTGAACTCGCATGTACACTGGCAGTGCGCGCAGCTCAGAATCAGAGACTGAGTGACATCGTGTATGTCGCGTGCGATGCGCCATGGTCTACAGGGTTGTCTCTCTGTGTACGTATCTTGTCATAGTTTGACTTCAGTGGGAAATAAACCCACGCCGACCGTGTCACAAGAAGGATACTTATAAATTGAAGTCTTACTTCTTTGGAGTGTACGAAGGGGACAATATTGAACATTCTACCAAGGGTTACAAATCTAGGCCGAGTCCATTCGGATGGGAGAAGGTCTAAGGGAATGATGAGACCAGGGCTATGCAACGCAAACCGTCTCCATGCAATGGCAGAAACTGCACTACAACACCGCGTCCGGTGCTGGAGTGCAGTCCCTGTCCTCAGGAGACTACTGATCGTACAGTATGCTACAGTAGGAACCGGACACGAGGAGACATCGGAGGACAAGACACAAGAGGGAGACACGATACAAATCTAACCGGAGGAAGAGGCTGTTCCGAATTTGAGGACCAGGAGACCGGGGAACGAGGCAAGACAAGGCGGTTGTCGACAATGGAAGCCGGGAGCGGTAGAGATCACCGAGGAGGCAGAGACGAGGCCGTTGCGAGAGAAGGGACGACGTGATCGGTGGACGACGTGAGTAAGTTGGTTGGAAGTCCGATGAGCGGGCAGAAGACGGGGAAGCCTCCGAATGCGACGGCGATGCGAGGGGACTGGCTGAGTAGCGCGGAGGCGACGAAGACTGGCGAGGTAGCACGCGACGGGGAGCGCATAGCGGGCTGGGCAGCGGAAACGCGGACGAGGACAGGATGATGCAAGCTGGAAGACGTTGAGGGATAGAGCGCGTGACGATGAAAGCATGCGGCGAGGGCGGAGCAAAGCGCAGTGAGATGACAGTGAACGCGGATCGGGATGCGACAGGCGACGAGAGCGACGAGCGTAGACGAGGATGATGCGAGCTGCACGGGATAGCACACGAGGAATCCGGGAGGGCACGAGGCGAGACGAGACGAGGCGTTTGCGAGATGGCATGCGAAGGTGAGGCGGGACCAGGCAAGGGAGATGAGACTAAAGCGAGAGACAAGCCAGATAGGCGTGTCCACGCAGGGGTGGATGAGACTTGCAGTTGAGGCGAGTAGAAGGGCCGGGGACAGGAGCGAGAGGGTTCGGATCATTGGCTCGAGAGGCGAGTGGTGATCGGATTGAGGCGAGGCTGAGAGACGGGCCGGAGATCGAGACGAGGCTCGGCGACATGATGAAGGGCGCAGGTCGACGTTGCGCGATGAGGTCCCAGGAGAAACGATACCGAGATGAGAATCGAAAAAGGGAAGAGACCAGGCGGGGACAAATCGAGGATGGGAACAGGCGACTCGGAGAATGGAGATGGAGACCAAGGCGAGGCGAGAGGTGGAATAAACCGAGACGAGTGGGCCACATAACGAGAAAGAAGTCGTAGACTGGGGAGATAGGACGCGCCGGGGTCCGCGGAGGCGAGTCTGCTGTCTGTTAGCAACGGCTGTGCACGAGCCGGTACCAACAAGATCGCACTGGTCGGGGAAGACCACCAGGATCAGCCCGGTGCCAGTGCGTCAGCGAGGAGTCGCCAGAGGACCGTGTGCGCGAGTGTCGTTGGATGCTATGTCGACGAGTGTCGACGGACCAGACCAAAACCGAAGGAGATGGTGGTTACACCGAGACATCGCAGATCGCCTCCAGGACGGACCTGAGGCTTGCTTGTAAGCGACAAGGAAGCTATGAAGAAAGTGAATACGTACAGGCGAGATCTGATGAACCACTGCGTTATCTCCTGTTGTGCAACCGACGATACTCGCGCTGGCGGCGAGTAGTGATCATACGTGGGGGGCGACGCGCGTTTCTGTAGATCCGCCAGGCTTCCAGAATAAGCTGCGGTATAGGCAGCAGTACTTGCAAGGTGTCGAGGACACCGTACATCAGCGTCACGACACGCATAGCCAGGATGAAGCTAAAATGGATATTTCCAACGTATGGATACTCTCCTTTGCTCAGGCAGAGCTTCCGGAATGATAGGAGGGGAAATCTATACCGCCACAACGGCGGTACGACATCGCCTTCAGATGCCGCGGAACGGAGTGCGTTGTCCCAGTTGAGGTTGTGTTCATAAGCGTCGAATCGAGTAATAAATATGTCGCCAAAGTAGGTGACGGAGTCTGGCTGCGTTGCCTCAGGCTTGGCCTTGAACACTCCGAGTCGGATGGTAGGCACCTCGGGGGTCACCCAGTCAATCTCGGGTACGTCGACCGCTGGAGCCGTAGACATTGGCACACTGCTGGTGTTGGGAACTGCAGAACCGTCGATCGCGGTAGGAAGGGCGTCGGACTCTGCTCAGGGTGTAGTTGAGTCGCAGTGTGGTGGAGATAGAAATATCGAACATACCAGAGGGGCCCATCGCGGCCGCAAGGCTCATCTCCGAGTCCTTTGAAAGCAGCGGCAATACCGCGTCCTCCATATGAATCCCCCAGAGAGCGGAATCAGCTGGCGGAGATTCCAAAAGTTGAATGAACTCCGGCAGTGCTGGCTCGTCCGGCGGGATAGGGCTAGAGTGAAACATCGTCAGCTCCCATGCAAGCCCAGCGGGAATACGTTCACGTACATCAAAGGAGCTGACAGGATGCAGGCGAGTGTCATGATCAACGGGCCGGGCCCAATTGTCGGGCTGTCGATGTACTGCGAGTACCACGAGGCCGAGGCGCCGGCAGTGAGGATCAGGATGCTCCTGAGGGCGGCGATGCCCTTCAGGAGATAGAGCGTGACAAGCATGGCTTGTGTGACTGGTAGGCGAGGGGGCGAGGATACAAGAGGGATGCGAGAAACTGAGGAGTGAGCGGGGACGATAGGTGAGTACGAGTGGGCGGGCACAGGCTTTATATAGCCCTCGACGCGCCGCACACCGCCGCACACGTGAGTGACGACTTGTTGAATGCGATTCAACAAGCTTGCACGTGCGAGACGCGTCGGTGCGCATCGACGTGTCGCGCGCGATCCGCCGCCGAGTAGTTCCCCGCCGTCTGATTGGCCGGCATACACGACGAGCACGCGCATTGACGCCGCCGTCCGCACCGGTAGCAACAACATTGCCTCGACACGAGGTACCGAGGCCTATGTATTCCGGTTATCATGACCAGGATGCATAGTAGGCTTCGGTAACCTAGCTTCAGTGGGATGGTAGTATACACCACCGCGAAGCTATGGAGCAATATGGTTGTGACATTTTCTTTCACATTGACCGTGAGCCGTGATGACAGCAAGGAATATAAGGAATGCGCACCTGGTTCGTCTCTTCGGACACCCCTCCCTCGCCCCCTCCCTCCACCCACTCAGGACACCCTTCAGGCCTCGTCCCTTCCTCCCTGCTCGGCGACAGCATCCGATCCCATGTTCTTGCTTGCCGGTGCAGCTCTCTGGGCCCTGAGAAGGCGGTATGGCTCCCAGCTTGTTGGCATAGGCCGCCGTCACCTCACGGCAGCCCTGCGAGGGGCTCAGTATCTACCTCTTCGAGGCTACAGATTTATTCTACGGAACCTGATTCATCGGTAAGTGTTGCATTTAATCAACGGAATCGTTCATCTGACACAAGACCCACAGTACACCCGAATTGCCTCCTCCGTCGCCCGAGGATGGCACAGATCCTTCATCGTCAAATACCCCACTGCCTCCTCAGAGCAACACCGAACCTCTCTTTCCCGCTCAAGACAACTTGCTTGAGACCGGCGCAGCACCCCTTTCACTCACTCAAGCCGACTCGTTCGAGGCAGCGTTCGAGGCAGCCGAACCCGAGGACCATGAAGTCGCACTGCGATCCGAGGCACCCACGGATCAGTCGAGCTTCCTAGGGCCAGCCATGCTCTTGACATCGGAGCCGCCGCAGACGCAGTTCACCCGTCCTGGACGAATGTCGAGCCAGATCCATGGCCCTCCTACCACCGTTGCAACCCGGGTGCGGCCAGAGCTATGGATGACCTTCTTATGCATCCTAGTCGGATTCCTGATCTACCTTGCCCGTCGGCGAGTGAGATCGGTGACAGCGGACCACCCGATCGAACCACCGAGCGTAGATCCACCAGAGGAGCCGCCACTTCCAGCCGAAATCCCGCGTGCCAACTTCTGGGACGCGCCGGGAACCTTCACGAACTTCGACCGCGTATACGGCTTTGCATTGCATGAAGCTACGAGCTCGACTCCAGGTGAACATCCGGTCCCTGTTGAGCACGCGAACGACGTGACCCAGGAAGTCCCCGACACGCCCGCACCACCTCTCGAGATCCCTGCGCAGCTCCCTGTCCACAACGAGGCTGCAAATGGCGACGCTGCTCAGACCATGCCTGATGCGCCTGGTGACGACGTTTCCCCGGGTCCAACTGCAGTTCCGCAAGTTGCTCCGGCCGCTAGCATGGTCCCGACCGACCTTTCGACGGTTACCATGGAGCCCATTCCGCGATACCTACGCGTTACTGCAGCGCCGCCCCTCGTCTCGCCAGATGTCATTGATATGATGACCAGGCTAGCGCAGGTGGACCGGAGCGCATACGAGACCGTCCTGGACTTCGCACGCTGGACACTCGCATTGACCGCACCTGTTGCACCTGGCGGTCTCTTGGGCACTCCGCCATCGACGCAGAACGTAGCCGCTACGGTTGCCGCCACAGGGGGTAACCAACCTCCAGCAGGGGATGCCATCCACAGCGGGGCCGATTTGTCGTCTACAGCGCCAGTTGCAGAGTCGGCGAGTCCCAGTGTTGAAGTTCAAGACGACTCAGTGGTCGCAGACGCGGTGGCCCCTGTTTCGGCTCCCCTGAACAGTGTAATTCTCGAGCCGGCGCGGGCGGCACAATACAACAGATGGGTCGACTCGGATGGTCGCCCCATCGCTGGGCCGTCGCGTTTGGGCTGAGACGCAATATTATTTGACATCGCTTCGTAGTTTTGTAGCATTCACGTCTGGACATGTACTGTTTCGATTGTTAGCTCTTACATCATCCCGCCCGAAGTCTACTTATAGCGATACCATTTCCGCAGATTTGAATGTCATGATAACTCAGTGTTCGAAGTCACAGGAGGGTCTGAAGAACGCAGGCGAGCGTCGTGATCAACGGACCCGGCCCAATTGTGGGATTTTGGGGTGAATGTACTGCGAGTACCAGTATGAGAGGGCGCCAGCGGTGAGGACGAGTATTCAGAGCGGCGAAACCCCAGCCCTCAAGAGACAGAGCGGGACGAACATGACTCGGGAGAGAGAGGGCGAGGTTGCGCAAGTGGTGGCTCGATGCAAGGACTCCCGTAGGTGCCGGTGGGGACGAGAGGCATACGTCCGCCGCGTCGTGCGCGATCTACCTGTTTAGTCTGTTTCCCGCGTTCTGATTGGTCGGTGACTGGAGTCTTGATGCCTCAACGACGGTATTGACTCTGAGTCCTATCTCTCGAGACACAGAGAGCTACACAAGCATGCATGAGCACCGTATGCAAGAGAATGCAAATTGTTCTGTCAACTTCGAGCTGTGATCGTCATAACTTAGCCAGCCGCCGCTATCTACATAGTTGAGCGCGCGCGGCCGCCCAAACGAGCCCCTCGATGCCCACTGCAACCTCACACAAAATGATTCCTAAAGGTTGCTTCTGACGAAGTTTTATTGAACATTGTACCGAGGGTTACAAATCTATGTAGGTCAAGTCTGATGATACGAAGAAAATGTGATCATGACTACGTCATACAAAACGTCTCCGTGCAAGGGCAGAAACTGCACTACAACACCGCGTCCGGCGCTGGAGTGCAATCACTGTCCTAAGGAGATTCTATTGTACAGTATGCTACAGTAGGAACCGGTCACAGAGACGTCGGAGGACAAGACTCAAGAGGCAGACACAGTACAAATCTAACCGGAAGAAGAAACCGTTCCCAACTTGATGACCAGGAAACCGGGGCACGAAGCGAGACAAGGCAATTGTCGACGATGGATGCCGGGAGCGGTACATAGACCGATAGGTCGACACATCGAGCGGAGGAGGCAGAGACGAGAAGGAACGAGGTGAGCATTGGACGCCGCGAGTAAGTTGGTTGACAGTCCAACGAGTGGGCGGCAGGCGGAAAAGCGGATGCGACGACGACGCGGAGGTGACCGGCCAGGTAGCACAAGGAAGGCGACGAAGACCGGTGAGATAGAGCAAGAAGGGCGAGGGGGAACGCATGACGGGCTGGACAGCGGAAACACGGACGAGACAGTGCAGGAAGACGTCGAGAGAGAGAGCGGGCGATGACGAGGGATGCGACGAGGGATAAGATGAGCAGAATGAAGCACAGCGAGATGACAACGGACGCGAATTGGGATGCGATGGGCGACGGCAGCGACGGGCGTGAACACGACCGGTGGGAGCTGGGCGGGATAGCAATCAGTGAATCAAGGGGCGCATGGGGCGCAACAAGACGAGATGAGGCGTGTGGAAGGGGGAATGCGAAGGTGAGGCGACTTCTAGCAAGAGGTATGAGACTTGGACGAGCGGGAAGCCATATAGGCGTGTCCATGCAGACGGAGATCCAGGCAGGGGAGACTTGCAGTTGAGGCGAATGCGTACATGATAAGGCGAGGGTCGTTGGCTCGCGAGGTGATTCTCGATCGGATTGAGACGAAGCTGAGACGAGATTGAGAAACGTGTGCTGGAGTGGTAGTTCCGCGAGTCTTGTGCATATCTTGACGCAGACGAGGCGTAGGCGAGATGATGTTTGAGGCAGGTCAACGTTGCGCGATGAGGTCCCAGGAGATGCGAAAGATGACGAGATGAGCCTGAAATATGACCGAGGAAAGGAAGAGACCGGGCTGGGATAAATCGAGTGTTGGAACAGGTGAAGATGAAGACGGAGACCGGGGCGAGGGGAGGCGAGGCGAGATGACAAGTGGGAGTAAACCGAGACAAGGTACCCATACATGAACGAGGAAGTGACTGTAGACCGGGAGGTGGATAGGGTTGATAGGGTGTGGGAGGCACAGGGTACTGCGGAGGCGGGCCTCTGCTGTTCACTGGCAGCGGCTGTGCACAGGCCGACACCAGCAGGGCTGGGCCAATGACCGGGATCGACCCGGTGCATCAGCAAGGAACTACCGGAGGACCGAGTGCGCGGTGTCGTTCGATGCGATGTCGACGACGGACCAGACCAAAACCGGAGGAGATAGAGGTGCACCAAAGCATCGCAGTAACGTATCCAGTACGAATCTAAGACCAGATGGTTAGCAACTTGCAGTTAGTTATCGCCGAGATACGCACCTGCGAAGATCGATATATCACTGTCATCTCCTGCTACGTGCCTAACGATACTCGGGTTGACGACGAGTAACGACCCATTGGACCGGGCGACGTACGTCTCCAAGAAGGCGCCAGGCTTGTCCAATCAGCCCCGGGATGGGAGCCAACGAACGCACCACACGGATGATCGTAATCGCCAGCAGGTAAAACCGGACGCAAAGGACGATCAACGAGACAAAGTATCCGCCATACCATAGTGTCTTCTTCGTCCTGCAACGTTTCTTGTAATCCAGCGTTTCGTATCGCCATGCGGGTCGGACGTCATTGTCAGACCCGACAGTGGGTGCTGGACGCGATGGGCCCAATCTAGCCACCGTGCGAGTAGCAGGGTCCCACGCAATCTCCGTGAAGTAGAAGTTCCAAACGACGAAGTCGGGCTGCATCCCCACGGCCTTTGGCTCTCGAATTGTCGGGCTTTCGGGAATTGCCCAGTTGAGCTCAGGAATGTCAACGAACGTCATGATGGGGGACGTGGGCGCGTCGTCTTGAGGGGGAGCATCATCAGGCTCGGTGACCGAAGGCGTGCTGGTAGTATAGATATCCGATACTGCTGTCACAACATGAGATTTCTATGCTGGAACGCGACAAAGATTGAACATACCTATTTGAGAATCTGCGATATCCGAGTGTGCCTGCCAGAAAGCTGCGTCGACTGGCATATCTTCCGAAGGCTCCGTAGGAGACGGTTCCTCAAGCGCAATAGAGCTGGAGCGAGGGGCGTTCAATTCTCATGCGAGACAAATGAGCTATCAAACCACGTACCTTGATGGAGTGGAGAAGACATAGGCGAGCGTCAGGATCAACGGGCCCGGTCCGATTGTCGGGCTGTCGATGTGCTGCGAATACCACGAGACGGAGGCACCGGCAGTGAGGATGAAAATGCTCTTGAGGGCGGCGAGACCCTTCAAGAAGTAGAGCGTGACGAGCATGGCTCGTGAGAGGAATACAAAAGGGCGGTGGGTTACGCGAGTAGTGCGAGTAACTGAGGGACGAGAGGGAACAGTAGGTGAGGACGGACGGGCGGGCACAGGCCATATATAGCCCTCGCGCGCCGCACACGTGAGCGACGACTTGTTGAATGCGATTCAACAAGCCTACACGTGCGAGGCGCGTCGGCGCGCAACGCGCCATCCGCCGCGCGGACGATCCATGCGTCGGTCGCAGCGGCAGGCACCCGCATCGTTGCCGCCGCGCCGACAGCGATGTCTCAAGCTCCTCGAGCACGTTGCTAGGAGCTGCCCACCTAAGACCTTATTGTCTGCCCGTGCCAATTTGTGTAGAGATGGCGGTTTGGGATCGAGCACATTATGCCTGTGACGCGTGGTTCTTCACAGTGATGAGCTAGCATGACAGCACGGAAGATGAGACTGACGCACCTGGTTCAATCTGCTCTCAAACACCCTCCCGCCTCCCGTCCGAGACCACACCGCGACCCGTCGCTGCAGACCCCATGTTCATCTTCCTTCGTGCAGCCGTAAATACACTGACAAGGCTATCAAACCCTCGAGTGGCCGGCACAGGCCACCGGAACTTGGGGGTAGTTCTGCAAGCTGCCCATCGCCTGTCTGCGAGGGCCATCGCGATGGTTTGGAACCGACAGTAAGTTTGTCCAATCACCGACAATGACAAGAGGCCTGATACCGGCGTTGCAGCGTGCTCCGGCTACCTGCCGTCCCTGCCACCGTGCAAACGCTTGCTCCTCAGGCGCCCAATCCTACAGTAACGCCTCCTGCCGAGGGTGAGAGGGACCTGCTAGGTTACGATGAACCTGGAGCACAGTCAGCGGGGCCTCCGCCGGCAGAACGAGAGATCCCACCGACACCTTCACCCCTTCATTCCTCCTCCGCCCTTCATCCCTTCACTCAAGGACCATATGCGGAACCTCTGGAGTTGGTGGCTACCGACGCAGGCAACAACATGGCCTGCGGTGCAGCCTTTCGTCAGCTGCATGGCTCGACGCCCCGCGCGATCCATCTTATGGGGGAAATGCTCCCTGCTGTGATCGCATTGGTTATAGTCTGGATTGGCTTGCGCCAACGACTCAGAGCAGGGAGGGACGCACCTATACCCCGATTTCTACTTCTCCCTTTCCCTGACGAAGTTGAAGCCCCGGACATCGCGCTGGGGCCGCCTCCACGGCAGCAGCGCGTTCGCCGCAATGTGCCATTACGAGTAGACCTCGATCGTAATGGCAGCGGTGATGCGGACCGGACGCCTCATCTTGCCGGGATTCCATCCGCTTCCCCGCAGGAACCTCACGAGCAGCTGGGCTTGTCCGATGGCCACTGGGTCACGCCCCACGCCGAACTCGGAAGCTTCGATGTGAGGGTCGAACCGTTCCCTCGTGTGGCGGACACCTCCAACCCCTCGCCAACTCAGGTCGGTTCTACCCATGCTGGAGACGCAATCGCCCCTCAGCCCAGCGGCGACGCCACGCAGACTACACCTGACGCGCCTCGCCGTGACGTTTCCCCCGGTCTGGCCCCAGTGCCTCAGGTTGCTCCGGCTGCCAGCGTGGCCACAGCCAACAGTTCGGCTGTGACAACCGATGGCGTTCCGCGACTCCTACTCCCAGATGTACGCGTGACTGTAGGACCGCCCCTCGTCGCACCACACGAACTCGTTGACGCCATCTTCAGACTGGCAAAATCAGACCCCCTCGCATACGAAACCATCGCGGGCATAACGCAGAGTTTCACGGCGATGGCGCCGGTCACACCTGGCACTAGCAATCTGCTCAGTATTCCCTCGTCGACACAGAGCGTGATGAACCAACCTCACGTAGGAACAACCATTCCCAACCACTCTACTGTATCATCACCTACAGCCCCAGAGTCGGCAAGTCGCAGTGATGTTGTTCAGGCCGATGCGCCGGCTGCGGACGCGACGGCACCTGGCCCAGTTCCCCTGAATGGCGTAGCTTCCAAGGCAAAGCGGGCGGCGCAGTACAATAGATGGGCCGACTCGGAAGGTCGCCCTATTGCTGGACCTTCGCGTCTTGGCTGAGATGCTTCTTGTCCGGCCTTTAGAGAGTTCAAGCTCCCGCATGCAGGATTGCAGGTCCGGTTCGAGCATTACAACTGCCGCACTGGCAGCAATTGGTAGCGTGATGTCCGCTATGATATTGTCCTAGATCAGTTGTTTAGTAGCATCCATATGTCGACGTGTAGTTACCAGTTTTACTTGGTTTTAGCTGTCATTCCTGTTCCACGAATGTAATAGAGCGATACCTTTCCCTTGGATACACAACTGGAGAGCCATATTGACAATGGTGTTGACGCCGTAGCGCCATGCCGTTATTGGACAGGACGAAGGCCCAACTCAGTGTAACGCTCGGAAGCCGGCCTGGTCATTCGTTGCAGCAAAATCTGCAGATGCGGCTGCGCCACCGCTTGGGTGCGTGTCTGTAATAGGCAACCCAGTCAGTTCCATACCCATTCAAAGCTCGATTCGACGCTACAAGTACTTCGAGCAGCTATGTATACAAAGTACGCTTATGTGAATGGCTTCCTGGGCAAAGCTCTGCATCGACAGTTTTTCTCGCCTGCATAAGTGACAGAATGGTGTAAGATGGTCCATGGATGTCGGGATACAACACAGTGAATAGCATGTATGGTGGCCGCTGTACAGTACAGTCAACAACAGGAGTGAGTTCCAACAAGCCCTCACTTCGCAGGCCCGCCCTGAGACTTGAGCTTCTCGTCCACAAGCTGCTGGAACTCCTCCCTCAAGATCGCCTCCCTGCGCTCGCGCTCCTCTTGTTGGAGCTTCAAGATGCCCCGCTTCTCCTCCGCGCTGATGACCTGGTTCTCCTTGCGCATACGCACCGCGTTCATGCGCCGGTGGCGGCTCCCGCTCATGACGTACCCCACCGACTCGAACGCCGTGATCTCGTCCGACTCCAACCCGATCTCACCACGCCGCGGGATGCGCATGTCCGTGCCGTCCTTCAGGAACGCGGCCATGGCGCTGCCCTCGCCGCGCAGCAGCGCACCACCGTACTGTCGCTCGTCCACTTTGCTGCGCGAGTTGTTGAGCCTCTGAGGGAGCTGCGGCCCAACTTCGTCGTCTTCGTCCTCGCCCTCGTCTTCCTCGTCGTCCATGGCAGGCTGCGACGCGGGGCGAGCTGGAGGTGGCATGGAAGGAGGGGCCTTGGGCGGGCTAGCGCTGCCTTGCGCAGCCGCCACCACGCCCGTGGGCGCCGATTTCTCGACCCACTCGTCGTCTTCCGCCTCCGTTGTGGGCGGGCGCTGCTCCGGGCTCTTCGTCCGAGTATCGCTACGATGACGATCCTTCCGGCGCCGGCGTTCCCTCTCGTCCTCGGAATCTTGCTCATCGCTGCGGCGATGCGAGCGCGAGCGGTGCCGTCGGTGTTCTCGTGGACGCTCATGTTCGCGTTCTTTCTTCTCTTTCCGCGACTTCTTGCGTTCCTTCCGTCTGCGACGGTGCTCCTCCTCAGAGTCCGTGTCTGTGTCGGAGTCAGGCTCGTGGCGTCGCTTGTGCGACTTTTTGCGGTGTTTCGAGTCGCGTTCCGCGGAACTGTAAAGGAATAAGTCGGCTACTCGCAGAACCAGCATAAATGAGGCGCTACATACAGATCACGCGCAGGTGCTTTTGGCGAGGGCGGCCAAATGCTCAGCGTGTTGCTCTCGCGTTGCTGTCGTCGACTGCGCAGAACGGTATTCAGCGACTGCGGCGACCCTCGCACAATTATCCGACGAACCTCTCCATATAATCCGCGCCTCCGCCCGCAAACCTCCCCATACCCCCTCCCCTCGGGTACATGTTCTCCTGCTGCCTCCACGGCGCAGGCGCACTGCCTTCCCTCGGCGGCGACGGCCTCCTATACTCGCTATACTCAGGACTCCTCCTCCTCGGCCTGTCCCTCTCCTTCTCCCTCTCGCCGCGCTCCTCCCTCTCGCGATCCCGCTCCTTGTCGACACTCCTCGACCGAGCCCGCTTGGGGGGTGCACGTCCCTCCCCGCCGCTGCTCGCCTCGTCGAAGTAGTCGTCCGCCCGTGCGCGACCGCGCTCCGCCCGCTTGCCCGCCTCGCTGTCGCGACGCCTGTCGCGGTCGCGGTCGTCGTCCCTGTGATCTCGTCTGTCGTGGCGGTCTTTGTCTCTGCTGAGGTGTGGCGGAGGAGATCGACGGCGGGGGGCACGCGGAGACGGGGAGCGTCGGCGGTCGCGCGTTTGTGCGTAGACGTCTTTTGGCGGGTCCTGGGGCACGAGGCCCATGCGCGACGGGTGTATCGTAGCCATATTAGCTTAAGTCAAGCAAGTAGATAACAGCGGTTGTCTCAGTTGAGAGTGTAGAGGGCTTGTTCTGTACCAGTGTCGAAGCGTGAAAGATGCAGTGAAGCAGCCACAGGCGGCTCAACGAGCGCCTATGCAGCAGTAAGTATCGTAGAAAGCGTGGGAATCCAGGCGTCGGGCGCCTCGAGTCTCGAGACACAGACAGATCTTGGACAGATCCCTCGAAACATATGTAACATTGACCACTTGCGGTTGCTACCAATGCATGCTACTCACCTGTGACTGGGAGTATGCTCTAGCTTCTGTGGTCTGACAATGCTGGATCTCACAAGGGTATACCATGTGCAAATGACGAGTGCCTTGACCACCCGGATCCACAGCCTCCCGTCCTCTTCCTGCGTCTAACGGGCTCCACAAAAGCACCAGGATTCGGGCGCGACCCCAACGTTGCCCGGGAGACTCCCACTGGAGAACCCATCTCAGTTAGACAAATAGACTTTTCAGTGCTTCCACGCACTCGTCTCCCATGGGAACATCGGATGGACCCATACAGGCATTCGTACATCCTTCTTACCGACCGAGAGTGCGGTGACGAACAATTGCCGAGACCGTGTTACATGGATTCTAATTGCGCTTGGGTATAGGATCAAGTCTACTTATTTACATTCTTTGATGGCTACAGTTTCGTATTCGTGATGCGACTTGGCTATGACGAGCTGTGGGGTCCGAGGCAGCGTGTGTTGCTCAACAACCCAATGGTGCTCGGAGACAAGCGAATGACGTTACGTTGTACAGTAGTGGGGACACCTTAAAGACTATACAATATGTCACAGGCGACAAATATCCACAGCGAAAGATCGCAGATCATATACACAGATGGACAAGTCCAGGGACCAGACCAGGACCGGCGCCGACGGACCGTCAGAAATGACGTATGCGTGACATGCGCTCAGACCTTCACGACGTTGACCTCGCAACCCTGGGTCAGCGCGCGACTGTATACGCAGAACTGCGGGCCCCATCAGCACGTTTGAAAATCACCAATTTGACAAAGGGCAACTCACATCGTGCGCAGCGGCGATGATGTCGTCGTCGTCAATGCCCTCGACACCGACCTCGACGCGGAGGCCAAGGCCCTCGAGGTCAGGGTTCTCGGGGTGCCCGAGGAAGACCTTCGTGTGCACCTTCGCCTTCTCCGCGAGCTCCTTCTTGCCCGCTCTTGCGGCCATGAGCTGTAGCGATCCGAGGAAGCAGGCTATAGGTGGCAACTGAGCATCGAGCTCCGAAGTGCTATTCGTCGGGACACTCACTGGCGTAGCCCATTCCGAAGAGTTGCTCGGGATTCATGCCTTCACCCTTCCCGCCGGCAACTTTGGGCATGTCCATGTTGAACTCGAGGGGCGAGTCACCGAAGGACTTGACGACACCGCCTATCCGGCCGGAGCCTTCAGCGGTGGACCTCGCGAAGTACTGCAGAAAAGACGTCAATACGATTTGAAGGCCGCGATTCATTGCGCTGCACGTACAACATGGTCCTTCAGCGTGAGGATGCCTCGCGCGTGTGGCGATGGATTGCTCGCGCGCGGCGAGAGACGGACACCCCGGCCAACGAAGTGGCGAGGGGTGTAGCGGGTGGTGAGGGGACGAACGACAGCGGTGGTCGGGCGCATGGTGGTGAAGTATGGGTTTGGGTTGTTGCGATAACGAGGATGAACGATATTAGTTGGACTATCGTGAGATTAGAATGCCGGCGTCTATAGGCAAGAACGTATACGGTCGTGAGAGGTCGTAAGAAGTGTGGGTGCGTCGGTGTAAGCGAAGAAGTTGGTTTCGTGGACAGAAAAGCTGATGGGGAGCATGGTCGGGGAGGCTGGTGCCTTTTATCTGAGGGCGGCCTGGCTGACGCGTGCGCGAAGAGAACACACCGCTGGCGCGCTGATGCTGGGCCGAGAAAACAACCTCATCCTTACGAGGGCCATGACCTGGACGGTGACGCACAGATTGGAGCGCAACACAGACCGCACAGCCAATCAGCACCGGCCAGTCGTCGCGAAAGCTTCCAGGCTACAACCTCTTGGCGGCGACCCGACGATCATATCGGGGAAGTCACGCCTGGGTCACGCCTTGTGACTGGCGCGCTCCCCAATCGGGCAAGAAGGCGTCCGTGCGCGCCACAACGCAACCAAGAAGAGGGCGCGGCACCCCCTGCCTGGCACAGCCTGGCACCACTGTGGTGCTCGGGGCCGCATGTACCCACCACACACCGGCTTGCATATCGTTCAGCCCCGCCACATCCCAGGAATACGGTGGCTGACACGACCAATACACCGTTGCGTCGCTTCCCGCCGCGAATGCCGCAGTAGTGAGGGACTAGGTTCGATACCGCTAGAGACCCGGGCCCGCCGATACAGATTCTACGCCTTCGAGACTTTCACAACGACGCCCTTGCTCAACGCGCGACTGTACGGGCATGCCTGCGGAAATGGGTCAACCATGCACCGTTCCAGCTATCAGCGATGAGCGCATACCTCATGCCCAGCCTTGATGAGCTCCTCATCCACCCCCTCAACCTGGATCGCAACCTCGAGCCCAAATCCTTCCATCTCCTTCGGCTCCCCAACGTGCACCTGCGTGTGCACCACCGCGTTCTTCGCCATTTCCGCTTTGCCTAGCTTGCCTGCCACGAGCTGCATCGCGCTCAGAAAACAGGCTACACCGGACCCTATTCAGTACTGCACTCATACGGAAGCGTCATTCATGTCCGCACCAGCATATCCCATTGCAAAAAGCATTTCGGGGTTCTGCCCATCGCCTTTACCCCCGAGCGATTTAGGCATTGCGAGGCGCAGATCGAGTCCGTGGTCGTCATCGGACTTGACTTGTCCATTCCTGCCCTGGCCCCGCGCAGTAGCGTGGGCGGTGTACTGCCAGCGTTGAAATGCATCAAGCCATGGTACAATTCTTTGAAATACACTGGGGCTACCTTGTGATCCTTGAGCGTGATGAGCGTGCGCTTGTGGTAACGAAGGGCATGCCCCCGGGCTCCATGGGCAAGGACAGGCCGCGCGCTCGCGAGTGAAAGAGGGTTGAACATCGTCAATGGCATTGAGCAAGGCGGCAGAGAAAGAGGCGGTGCAAGAGCTGCATGGCGCCGACGTGCTTATATGCGGGGGCTGCAGCTGTGTGAGCCCATGACGCTGCATGGTTGACAGTCGGTGAGCTAGGAGCGCCTGCCCACGATCGAAGACATATTATTATCCCAATTTGGGGGACCCGCGTTGTCAATGCGCGACTGTGAACCACACGACGAACTCGACAAGCATGTCGATCTGATAGCGGCCGAAATATCAGGGACGAGTAAACGTAGTCCACACAACGTGCTTACCTGACCACAAACACGCGTAGCAGCGACTCACCAGGCATCGAACACAGGCACAAAGCCAGACAGCACCGCAGCCATCACACAGCACAAGAGAATATGATACATTTTGTACACACCATCAACAACACACAAGCAGCGCCCACATACACGCGCTCAGAACCCGCTCGCCGTCACCCTCAGCTGCTCCAGCTTCTTCAGCACCTCGCCCACCGTCCGGTCCAGCTCGCCCGCAATCGCGCTTTGCTTGCTCGCCGGCAGCCGCGCGAACGCCTCGCACAGGTCCCCGTCCACGACCGCCTTCACGGGCGCGTAGTACCCGCGCCACGTGAGGTGGTCGCGCCCGACGAGGCTCAGCTGCTCCGTGCGCATGTGCTGCTCCAGCGTCGAGATGAAGTCCACGTCCTCCTTCGACACGAACGGCACCAGGATCCCGATCGTCCCGTGCAGGCCCGTGTACAGCAGCACCTCGCGCCCGCCCGCGACGAGCGACGCCTTGTTGATCGACATCACGATGTCGCCCACGTGGAAGTGCGCGAGCATCTTCGTCTTGTGCGGCGCGCCCGCGAGGAGGCCCTTTTCGTGCAGGATGCCTGCGCCTGTCGGGTCGTCGTCGACCTGGTCGGAGACCTTGGGGTCCAGCCGGTTGACGAAGACGTTGCCGAAGCGATCGCCGCCGACTACCGTGTTGTAATCCACCATGGCCATCGACGTGACCCACCGCGGCTGCGTGTCGTCCGCGAACACGAGCAGTCGGTTCTCTGGCGGCTTGTACACGGCGTAGAACACGGACTCCTGCATATCTCCGACGAGGATGCGCGAGCCTTGCGTGCTTAATGACACAATCGCAGACGCGAAGCTCTGGGTGATAGCGTTAGATAGAGCGCGGAACGTTCGGTAGCATGCAACTCACTTTGTTCTCCACCTTCCGGAGGAGCTTCTTTTTGCCCATATCGTACAGCCGAAGGGCCTTGCCGACACCAGCGACAAGCCTTCCTTGGAAGGCCATCACAGCAAGAGGGACGTCATTGGTATCTGTCTGAGAGAAAGGTCAATCTCTCGCCCTGAACCCTGACTGCCTCAGAACAAATACCTTGTGCAACAGCTCCAGATTTGTGCCGTCCTCGGTGAACCGGTATGTTCGAATCCACCCAGTCGTGCACGATCGTGGCGCAATGAACGTGTCTTGGGCAGTCCCAACCACGAGATGCAGCTCGCCGCCATTTGCTGCGAAGGGTACAACTGCGATCGAGAACGCAGACTCATTTTCGTCGAGGGGGAGAACATTGACGGTCTTCGCCTGTAAACCATTGAGCGTCTGTGCGTTGAGCAAGCGAGAAATAATACTTACGTCGACAGGGTTAATAATGCGGATACATGACGCCCATGTCCCTGCGGGAGCCTTCGGGCGACCGAATACTTCTGGTGGCAAGTTGGCCATCTCATCGTCAACCATCTTCCCCTGTTCGCGCTGAACTCTCGTGAATACTGCATCAAAGAACGGACGAAGGAGAGTACCTACCAGTTCCTGCATCGCCTTAGCTGAGGCCGCATCACTCCTCACCCTGTGGTCACCCTCAATCAAGTAGAACAGCCCGTTCGTCGGGTGCGGAATGAATTTACGAGGAGTGTACGATAGCGGGATAGCATCTTGCTTGAGCTTCGTGCCGAGCTTCGGAATTTGGAAGATCCTGAGTTGTAAGTTCAGAGTCAGTTCAGATTCATACGATGCGTCATGAGAACCAGAAGAAAGCTCAGTAGGAACAATTGGTTATGAACTTTAAAACTTTCGGCATGCGCCCGAAGGCGCTTTCCGATCCCTTGGACTCATCTTCGCAAAAGAAGCCTCAAGAACCGTCCACTCACCGAAGCACGCTCCCCGAAATGCCGATAAGACCCTCCGGACACAGCTCCGCAGAGAAGCTCCATGCGTAATCAAGGTTCTCAAAGATCAGCGGGGTGAAGTGCATAAGGTTCTGGTACGTGTAGTTCAGCCACGACCGCGACGACAACGCGAGGATGCCGGGGTTGCGCTGAATGAGTACGCGTATAAGGCGGATCGGGCGTGTGCCGAGGAACCGCGTCCGTGTGTCCGTGAGCTGCCCGTTGATGGGGTCGAGGACCGTCCGCAGGAGCACGCCGTTCTGCAGGCCGATGTTAACGAAAGTCGTGGGTTGCATCTTGTTGATACCGGCGTCGAGCATGTCGGCGATGCAGATAGCGGAAGGAGGCGCGGTCAAGGCTTGCAGACTGATCGTCTCCAGAGTGCTCTCCGGGTCGAGCGAGATGATCCGTACCGTTTGATCTTCGCAACCTACAGCCTGAAAGTCCACTGATTGTCAGTGTTTTTGCAGGTACAAGAAGGCCGCTCGACATACTAGGTACGGTGTTCGTTGCCGCCCCTCAGGCACTTCGGCAATACTCAGTGCAAGCACTGTGCTGCCCATGGCCTTGCGGTCCTGGTACTCGTTGAGCTGCCCATCCAGATCCAACTCGAAGTAGACCAGCTCTGCTGAGCTGAGCGCCACAACGACTTGACGCTTATTTGTCGTCGCAGCGACGATAGTCTTGCCCGAGGGTACGCGCCACTCGTTCACGCGCTTGTCGCTGAGGACATGTCGGATACCGTGAGGGTGCACCTGCAAGAGGGCATCGTATCCGATCTGTTGGACTGCGAGTGTCGGTGCGGAGGACAGGAAGCCGGTGTCTTGAACTTCTTCGATGGTCTCCCCTATGCAGAGCACGAGAGTACCGTTGACGAAGGACAGAATGATGTATGAATCGTAGGGGTCTAGAGTACTCATAAGAAACATGCATCGAGTAGACGAAGCCCAGACGCGTACCGTCTTCTTTCACTTTCGTGGTCCAAACCGCATTCGGGATACCAGGCAAGTCCGAGCTGACGACCTCCTCCACCTCGAGACCATGTCTCAACACACGGAACGTACTGCGCGCCCCCCGCCCACATGCAGCGAAAATCTGGGGAGTGTCCGAGTTCGGCAGCAGGTTCATGACTTTCGAATCGAGAATGGGGCAGAGTGACTCCATCTCGTCAACCATGATCAGATTGTCGAGAGGGCGAGGTCGGAAGTAGGCGAGGGGAAGAGCGGACGAGGGGTCGGCCATGCCGTAGGAGGGGTAGGAAGCGGATGAAAATTCTGGTTCGTTGTCATCGTCGCCGAGCTTCTGGAACTGGTAGAGGTAGCTGTAGAATACAGCCGTGTCAGTCGCACACCAAGGGATACAATGACATAATGTCACGCAACTGGTTGCCAAACTCCGACGCAACGAACAGGAACCCAGACTTGAGGATGCATAGGCTCGAAGCGACCGGGACAGTATCAAAATACTTGATCTTCACGGCTTTGACATCCTGGTCCTCGTGGTCGATTGTGACTTTGTACAGGTCACCCTCTTCGCTCTGCAGCAGGAAAAAGAATGCACCCTGTCGCCCGACACTCAGCAAACGATTACAAACGATGTGTCGTACTTTCATACCTTCATCTTGTGCATGACAGCCGCGGTAATGATGAGCCCCCGGTTGCGATCTGAAAGGGGATGTTGTCGTCGCGGTATGGGCACACGATGCTGGGGCGCATCCATATGTCGGTAAATAATATGGTCTTCGCAGCACACCAACACACCAGAGGGCCCATCATAGCGGTCTGACGAGGCCAGTTGGCCGCCAGGAACCTGAACGAGCAGGTTCGCTCTTGGATCCGTCGGCTCGCTCCATTTCCGCACAACGTGGTTGAGACCAAGGTCAAGCTCGTAGTACGTCAACAACTGTCAGACTACCGGCTCAGTGCAAGGACCTCTGGTATATTGCATATCACTGACCTTCTCTGCATTGTTGAAGGCCTCTCCTGTGGGGTCTTGGTCGGATTCTGAGTAATCGACCTCCAATGCAGCGAACATCGGATTATCGAAGCCAACGTCGAGTCCGACGATGTGATGGATGATAGAGTTGTTCTTGTGAGCTTCGAGCGGCGAGGAGATGGTCAAGTTTGCAGCGGCGTCACGGTTCAGGATGTACACGAGCTTCGCCTTCTCGACGGCGGAGATCATGACACTGCGTCCCTTTGGGTCAGTAGCCAAGTACTGGCCCGGAACGATCCTCCGTGCTCCAGACTTGCCATAGGTTTCCTGATGAACCTTGGTGAAGCTACTTGTTTTCGGGTCGTAGTCCAGGATCACGATGCGGCCGGAGTCGGAGCCTAGGATTATGTAGTCTGAGAGAAAGTAGTGAATACCAAGAAGCATCGGAAGATACGTACAAGCCCTCACCCTTCGTACCGCCAGTCAGACGGAAAGCCGCGAGCGAACGAATGGACCCGAATACGTCGGTTGCAATGACGGTCGAGACCTTCCCGCTTTGGACATCCGGACGCAAGAGCTCCAGACGCGTTCCACGGGAAACGACGATTTCTTGTTGTCTTGAGCCCGAGAAGTTGCCCGCCGCAGCATGTGTGATGGCCGTAGGCGGTTGGAGAGTCAAATTATACAGATGCATGGCAAAAGCGTATCAGGAACGAGCGGCAAGGGGGACTTCGCTGCCGCCTGTTTTCAGCTTCAAGCGAGGCTGTTGCACCTAGCGGGGAGGAGGCAGGCGCGGAGGAGGTGAGGGTCGTGCGGCTCGCCGTCGACGATGGTGGCGAAAGCTTCCTTCAGTCGAGCGTCCGTGCGTATCCGCGTCTAGGGTCGGTAATGGTCACGTGGATGCGCGCGACGCGTCGCGGCTGCTCGAGTAGAGCGCGTCTCGCCATTATTCGCAGCCACCATCTCCCTCCCGCAAACATACCGCTCCTCGTCCGCGCCCTCCTCGGGCTGCGCCGACACCATTGCTCTCATCCGGCTTTCGCATGCTCTCACTCTGTTGGGCACCACCCGCCTCCCACAAGCCTGAATATGAGACCCACGCGCGTACTGTGCGTGGCAGAAAAGCCTTCAATTGCCAAATCAATCACGCAGATTCTTTCTGGGGGAAGGTTCACGACAGTACGGGACGCTTCTTGTATCTGTGTGCCCTCGCACTGATCACCGTTGAACAGCGGCAAAGCGGGAATACATACATCAGGAACTACGACTTCGACTATCCTCAGGCGAATGCCGCCTTTACAGTCACAGCTGTATCCGGACACATGTTGGAGCACGATTTCAGCTTCCAGTACTCTAAATGGACATCTTGCGACCCATTCGAGCTGTTTGAGGCACCCATCATCGCGGAAGTCAGGAAAGATGCTACGACCATCGCACAGAACCTCAAGAACGAAGCCCGCAAAGCACACCAAATCATGATCTGGACCGACTGTGACCGAGAAGGGGAGCATATTGGTTGGGAGATTGTCAAAGAATGCAGAAAGGCTAAGCCAAACGTCACCGTGACGCGAGCGCGGTTCAGTGCAATTATACCGCAGTGAGTGTTTTACGTCGCAACGGATCATCGCGCACTCAGCACGTTGCGCGATCAGGCAAATCCACAATGCAGCGCAGAATCCCATTGCGCTTGACATGGCCCAAGTGAACGCTGTGGAAGCACGTATACTACTCGACTTGAGGATTGGTGCCGCCATGTCCCGGTTACAGACGCTCAACCTTCAGCGGCGCTTCGAGGACTATGACCTAACGGAAGGGGTCATCTCGTATGGTATGTGACTGTATTTCTTTACTTCCTCGCCTCCTTAACTACTGTTCAGGACCGTGTCAATTCCCAACTCTGGGGTTTGTCGTGTCTCGGTACAACCAAGTGAAAGCTTTCAGGCCGGAGACGTTCTGGTACATCTTCCTATCTGTCTCACGACAGAATTCCGAAGGCGAGGATGAAGAAACTGTGTTCACATGGCGTCGAGGGCATCTTTTTGACTTCGACGTGGCTATGGCAATCTACGAGCACGTCCTTGACTCACCTGTGGCACGTGTAACTGAAGTAAAGAGCAAGGACACTAAAAAATGGTTCATCGCGTCCTATATTGTTCCTGCTCGTGAATGAAGCTAATTGCATGCGTAGGAAGCCTTTGCCCTTGACTACGGTAGACCTGCAGAAGGCGGGATCTCGATTGCTCCGCATGAGCCCCAAGAAAGTACTCGACGTGAGTTCTTGCTACAAGGCCTAAGATCCTCCCGATGCTAACGCCCGTGTTAGATTGCCGAGAAGCTCTACCAACAAGGTTTCCTGTCGTACCCTCGTACAGAGACCGACCGTTTCGACGCGCAATTCGATTTCATGACGCTCATCGAGAAGCAGACAGTAGACCCGGCATGGGGTGACTTTGCCACCAGGTATAGCATCGTGCATGATATGTTGCTGATCTTGTATCTCATGGTTTGCAGACTTCAGAACGGCGGCTTCAACCGACCACGGCAGGGCAGAAAAGATGACAAGGCGCACCCGCCTATTCATCCGACCGCTCACGCTGGTAACCTAGTCGGCGACGAGAAGAAAGTGTACGAATACATTACGCGTCGGTTTCTTGCGTGTTGTTCCATGGACGCCCTGGGTTGGGAGACTACAGTCGAGCTCCTCTACGGAGATGAGGAGTTCTATGCAACCGGTATGTCAGTGATTATCCGCGTTGCATTGACTTACCGTCTCTTCTCGAACAGGCCTGAGGGTGCGGGAAAGGAACTACCTCGATGTCTTCATCTACGACAAATGGTCCGACAAGGAGCTGCCTCACTTTGAGAGAGATGAAGAGTTCGCTCCTGCGGTCTGTCTCTTGAAGGACGGGCAGACAACCAAACCTCATCTTCTAACTGAGGCTGACCTCGTTACGTTGATGGATAAGAATGGCATTGGTAAGTTGAGTCTTTCCCACTGTGGAAGCTAGTCATTGACGACTGGGGTCTCCTAGGCACCGATGCCACTATCGCTCAACACATTGAGACCATCGTCAAGCGCAATTACGTGCATGAGAAAATGCAAGGGTCGATAAAGTATCTCATTCCCTCCGCGCTTGGTATCGGTTTGGTCGAAGGCTATGACTCGATTGGGTTCGAGCGAAGTCTCAGCAGACCACAGCTGCGTCGCGAGGTCAGTATGGTCGGCTAACCTGCCAAAGCGTCTAATGCCCCTTTCTGCCTACAGACCGAGCGACGTATGCTCAATATATGCGAGGGAACCATGACCAAGAACGACATGCTGGTGCAAAGTATCGAGCAGTACAAGGAAATGTACATGAGGGCACGAGCCGAGTTTGAGAGGCTTGCAACAGTACGTCATTTCTGATCTGATGATATCCTACGAGACGCATACATGCATCTCTACAGTGCGTGCATGACCGACTACGAGAAGGCGTCAACCTAGACGACGTTGGTGGTCCCGACGATGCCGGTGGAGGCGGCGGTGGCGGCGGTGGAAGAGGCGGGCGCCGAGGGCGAGGCGCAAGAGGAGGGCGCGGCGGCAGGGGCGGCAGAGGTGGCGGAGCCAATCCCGGCGACAGCAGCAGCGACGGTGGCAGCGATGGCGGTGGCGGTGGCGGTGGAAATGGCGCTCGTGGTGCTGCGAGAGGGCGAGGCACTCGCGGTGGTTCCCGGGCAGCGTCTACTGCGGCGAGGGTACCAACATCTCGGAGGGGACGAGGAGGGCGGGGCGGTGGTGCGGCTGCGGCGCCCGCTCCTGGTGCCACTATCGATGTGGACGGCTCTGACTCTGACCAATGTGAGTGTGCTTCCACATGAATCATTTCTCAGTAGCACACTGATGATTGTCCAGACTGGGATGATCCCCCTGCGGCGCCCCAACCAGCACTTCCACCCCCCGCCCCGGCGCCGAAGCCACCCTCATCGCGTGGCAGTCGTAGTACAACGGTCAAGGCACCAGAGACATCTTCCCTCGCAGCTCCCACATGCGAATGCGGGGATGTCGCCGTAGAGCGCACAGTGAAGGCCGAAACCGCCAACAAAGGCCGGCTCTTCTGGACCTGCCCCAATAACCGCAGATGCGACTTCTTCGAATGGGCAGATGGGCCGTCGAACTCGAACGCAGGTGCATCGCACTCTACGGGCGCATCACGGACCGCCTCGATCCCTACCAAGCGATCGGTTGGTAACCGGGACGCAGACCGGAAACGCTGCCTCTGTGAGCTTTCGGCCGTGCTGAAGGAGACGAAGAACGGCGCGAACAAGGGTAGAAAGTACTGGTCATGTCCGAACGAGTCGGCGAAGGCCCGATGCAAGTTCTTCGAGTGGGCGACGGACGAGGAGGTGGCGGAGGCGGAGGCTGCAAGACCGCGATACAAGACCTTCGAAAACCGTAATGAAAGCAGAAGTAATAACAACTACGGAGGCGCAGGATCTGGAGAGTGCTTCAAGGTGCGAGAGTTAACCACCGTTGCAAGTTCCATCACTGATTGTTGTCTGTTTGTAGTGTGGTCAGGAAGGTCATTGGGCAAATGGTGAGTACAATCTTATTATATCAGCGATGCACAGTACTAAAATACGAAAAGCTTGCCCAAACGGTGACGGCTTCAAGTCGTCGTCCCGTACCGCGTCGACAAGCAGCAGAAGAGGAAGAGGAGGAGGGAGCCTTCGACGAACCGGGTCGGGTCGAAGAGGAACGAAGCGGGGCAAGAAGAGCGACTCGTTCGCCACGGACGATTGGTAACGTTTCCGAGGTATACAACCCTTGTTTTTGTGCTGTAACTGTACTCTAGTAGTCACATTGTTCTTGCTCTCGTCGCTGTTTCATCGTATTATTATCACACTACGGAACTCTCCACTCGCTCACGGATCCAGCTAATGTACTACACCAAGCATGACTCACATGATATCTACATGAGCAACAGCACTCAGCTCTCCCCGCGCTTGATCAACCTCGCTGCGCCCTCCGTCCCCGCGATCCTCTCTAGCCTCAACCAGTCATACTTCGAGTAGAGTACCTTGCACATCACGTCCGCGGCCTCGACGCCATCGTCGAGGAATGGGTAGCTCAGAAACTCGGTGTAGAACTGCGCGTGTTCGGGCGGGCCGTAGAAGACGAGATTGCGGATGCCGCGGAGCTTGTACCGCCGGAAGAAGTGGAAACGCTCGCTGACGAGCAGGAAGGCTTTCTTGCCGTTGAAGAAGGCTTGACGCGCGCGAGAGATGTCTTGGTTCGTCGAGTATCTGCGGGTGAGGATGGTCAGTTGTTTGAGTGCAGCGTGGGGGGAGTGGATACGTACTCGGAGAGGACGGTGAAAGTGACGCCCAGGTTCTTCCGGAAGTGGTTCTGTACCCGGATGAAGTCGAACGAGGACGGGATAAAGATGACGGTGTTCGAGCTTTGCACCGCTGATTTGAGAATGGCCGGCAGGAGCTGCGCCGTGAAATACTGGAAGCGCTTATCTAGCTCGTCTTTGGGGTTGGTACAATCGAATTGCACGAAATTCTGCAAAACATATCAGCCAGTGCCTCTACGCAGTGATTGTGGATCACGTACTTGCTCGATGCCTTCTGGCACTTCCACGGGTTTCCAGAGTCTCTCTGTCCGGACCTTGCCCGCGACGTTATTCAAGGAGCCATTGAACAGGGCCCGCGTCTCGGGCGTTTCATACGCAGTCAACAATATGGTCTGGCGGAGGTACGCAGCGCTATGGATCTTCAGTATGGGCCCGCGATTCCAAGGAACCGAGCGACTTACTGCCCATCGAGATACCAAGGCTTGATGCGAGAAAAGTCGACGTCGTGTGACTCTTTCGGCATTTGGTTGAGGCGCGAGAAGACGAACTGCAGACCCTCGTTAGACAACGTGCATAATGCGCCTCGATGTGAGACGTACCTGAACATGGTCCCAGTTCTGCATAGTGAGCGCGTCCAACTGGTCGACGATGACCATTTCGATTGAGGACAGGAAGTCAGCGCTCCTGAGACACGCAAATGCGTTAGAACTCGCAGGCAAGGTCTAGTCTTCGTCGACGTACTTTTCCTTCTCTATCGACATCCTCAAACCTAGCGGACTCGCGATGATCAAATCGCACCCATAGAAATCCGCAAACAGCTTCACGCTCTTCCTCGTCATCTTCACCCCCATCCTGAACGCATCGTCGATGTTCCCCTTGAACATTTCAACATGATCTCTGGGATACGTCCCTGGCTCTGCGTTCGCAAGCTTGTCCACGGCGCCCTGTGGCAGACCGTACTCCGTGCTGAAACGCGAGCGGTTCTCCACCTGATATGTAGGCGAGGGCGTGTGTGCGGTGAGCGCAGTGATCCAGCGCTGCGCGAAGGACCGGAAGGGGAGGAGGATGAGCACGGAGGGCCGGGTGAAGCCTTGGTCTTGGACGTCTTCGGGTGCGGGTGTGCCCGCCTTTGATGCGTGCGCGAGGCGTTCGTTGTTCTTGAGCACCCGGCGGCGCTTTCTGCGGGGGTCGTCAGAACATTATGAGATAGATGGCCACCGACGCTCACTTTGTGATGTGGTTTAGAGCGTGCAGCGTGATGGCTTCGCGCATGCTTTGGTGCATGTCGAGAGAAGTCCGAGTAATGTAGAGATCTCGCTGGGTCGATAGCATGGAGAGCAGATCATTTTGCAACTCGACGACCTCTGCGCAGACACGGTATAAGAAAGAGAGGAAATATATGCAGTCCTGCAACCTACCTCGCGGAAGCTTGGCTTGCCGGTCCAAGAGTGGCTGCTTCACCTTGTCCAAGATCTGTTTGCCACGATCGTATCAATATGCATCCGTGTATGCGCGGAAGTAATGACGCACAGCAGTTCCGTCACTTGTTGTTGGCTTCGCGGCGCCGTCGACGTCGGGGAACGACGTAATAACAGGGCCTAATCTGCCGTGCTTGTCTCTATGCGTAGCCCAGGACTTATGGTCTACCGCATTCCGGACGGTTTCTGTTGTAAGTGTAGACTTGGCACCGAAGTGTGATTCGTATAGGTCATCGACGTTGTCTGCTGCTGTGTGAGATGAATACGTGGCCACAGAAAGCCGGACGCACGTAACGAATCCCCTTCAGCCTCCTCCGGCACTTCCTCGCCCTTTTCGTGCTCGCCCTCCTTCGAAGCTGGCTCTGGGCTTTGTGTAGTGGACGCCGAGGTCTTTTCTGCCTCTCCTGGGCCGCCAGAGGCGTCCGAGAACGAGATCGCACGACGCTTGTTCAGTCTTTCGCTCGGTTTCCCCACCACATCCTCGAATGGGTGCTTTCGTTTCCCGACTTTAGTGGCAGAGACATTAAGCAGTGTGAGAAGCTTGGTGGTCACTGTGCTGGCTTCATCAATAGCCATGGTAGCTACGAATAGTCCAGCTTGGTGAGCCTGACTTCAAGTTCTAGCCACATGCGAGCTTACCGTGGATAGTCTCGTGGTAGCTCTCTCGCGGATCGCCCTATGTTCCAGCTCACTCTTTTTTTCAGACAGACAGATATCGCTAAAAGATGATGAAGTGTCGCGGGACCGGCGAAGAGTTGCCAGTGGACTTCAGCAAGTTGTGTGTGCAGAGGCGCCCACTGCAAAACTGTGGCTGCAAACTCCCATCTCGATCGTGACCTCCGATTGCCGACGTTCTTCCGCATACCATCTGGAAAACCCTTGGATGTATGCTGCAGTTTACCCTCAACGGGTCGGTGGCGTAGTTGGTTATCGCATCTGTCTAACACACAGAAGGTCCTCAGTTCGAACCTGGGCCGACTCAGCCTTTTGCCTATCCTCTTAAAGATGAATTGACATTCCAAGTTGGCGATGATGTCGACTCGGATGTACGTAGTAGACGGGCCACATATAATGTAAGACCTTTGCAAAGGGAGCGCAGTTGTATCAGGCGCTGCATTGGCGTCGAAATTTTGGCTCTTATGCTGCTCTCAAGTGTCCATCGTGTCATTTTGTTACGCGCTCCCTGTAAGCAACAGCTTTGCAGATTTCTCTGCACTAATATTATTCAAGTTCGGACTGTATCTTGCATCAGACGACATCTACGACCGATGAGGCCTTGAGGGATTCAGTGTATCCGTGATGTGATTTGACGACACGTAAAGTAGTCTAATCAAGATGCTGCGACAGGCGATGCTAGTCCATGATGTCCGACAAAAAAGAAGGCAATATGCTATGCTTGATATGTATAGTATCCGTCCCAATCCGCTTCAACAAAGTCCAACAAATCAAAACATGAGAGCAACGAGCACCATGAACAGCAACCCGAACGTATTCACGCCGAACCCGACGGTCTGTACGGCTGAGCTCGATTTCGAGCTCCCCGTTGTCTGCGACCCCGAAGCCGAGGACGTCGAGTTTTGCTTGGCGATGGCAGACGACGGGAGGGCAACGTTCGCCCTGGTCGGCTGCGTCTCGATTCTACCGCTGCCGACCATGATCTGCACGCCCACGGACGGGACGCCGTTGACGACGACGAACAACACTGCGGGGGACTCTGTCAGTCATACCCCAGCAGAATCGGCAGGTAGCTGGTACGTACGCGCAGGCCCAGGAGCGAGAACGGCCGCGTTCGGCGGAAGCTGGCTGACGTGCAGAGTGGCGGAACCGTCCGAATTACCCGTATACGTCGACTCGAGCTGGACGTACCGCTGGCCCATGTTCTACGCTCGCGTCAGCCCTCCTCTCCTTCGCTCACCCACCGCCCCAGAGACTACTCACCATCGTATGCGTCGAGAAGCCCGTCCGAATCACGATCACGGTCGTGCTCTCCACCGCACTCACATTGCCGCCGAGGTCCTGCGCCGAGAGAGACACGTTGAAGTACGGCCCACCGTACGAGAGCTGGCTCGGCAGGCCCTGCGGCTCTGGCCGGCGCTCGTTGTAGTAGAGCGGGTAGAACTTCTCGACGCGGTACTCCGTCTTGTACGGAACGTCCGCCGCGACGTTGTAGTCCGCGTTGGGGTTCGAGCCGGCGACCATCACGGATCCTGTCGCGTGACCGTGTTAATGGGTGGCTAGGGTACAATGGAGTACATAGCAGACGTACCGTCAGGGAGGAGGGTTGCACTGGAGTGGTACATGCGTGGGATGGTGGACTCGGAGAGCCCCTCTCGAGACCACTTCTGCCCCGCTCTCGCCGAAGGGTCATAGATAATCGGGTTGAGGACGGGGTGGTCAGCAAACGACTGGTCAATAGCCCATGTGACGTTTCCGTAGCCCGCGACGCCTGTACAGCCCCGTCAGCGTTGTGTTGGCTTACAGGGAACAGTCTCATTACCGGTGCCCGCGCCGTTCAGGCAGAGAAGCTTCCCGTTCGGCAGGTAGATGAGGTTGCCCATGGACCGGACCTCGGGCAACGGGTCGTCCTCGACGTAGTTGGTCGAAACGTCGGGGGTAATCGTCACGCACGAGTCCGACGCGGGGTATTGCGCGATGTCCCAGGTCGTAACCCATCTAAAAGAAGCCACACTGTCAACGGAAGCTGGCCATGAGCGCATATATCCACTCACTGATCAGACTGGATGTTCGACCCTCCACAGAACAAGATGGTCGCCGTGTAATTATTCGCCGGGGTCAGCGGCAGCATCGCGGTACCCGCGCTGGCCGGGTACACCCTCACGGCATGGGGCATCGCACTGATCTGCGTCTCCGTGCGCGTCCTGTGGTTCAAAATGGCCGTGCCCCAGTTCGACTGCATGAGCAGATTGCCTGAGGGGAGCAGCCATGTGAGCGGGTAAAGGTTCGCGGGGAGCGTGTTCACGAGCAGGGGCGAGGTCGTAAGCCCGACTGCGGGATTGTACGGGAAGAACTCGTAGGTGGGGTTCGTCTGTCCGGCGTCGTTCACGAAGCCTCCATAGTCGCAGCCGCCAATCTGCACAGGGTGAGTAAGACGGCGGAAACTGGTGGCTGAAGTAGACGCACAATGATGATCGAGCCGTCCTCTAGTGTCTCCCTGCGGATCTCAGTCAACTTTTAAGAACCAGGGAGGACACATGCGGCTTACAGAGAAGGGTACCACCTCCGGGTTGTCATAGGCGTGTCCATGACCCAATCGCACGCTTCATCGTCACAGGGATTAAGCAGACTGCAGACCATACACGTCAAACACGTCAACTTTGCCGTTGCGAGGCATCGACATACCGAACACTGAAATTTTGTTGGAAAACGTTGGTAAGTGGTCACTGAAGCAACTGATTCCCTACGTACGAATGACCGCCATCGGGATCGTCGTACGGCAGACCGCCTGTTTGGCTGTCGGCCGCCAGACCGCCGTAAGTGACCGCCTGGTTTCCACCGACGTTGACCCATGTGCCGTTGCCCAGTACGCTACCTCCCTATGAGCGTCATACACATCAGTCAAGAGCCGCGGGTCACAGATGCCAGACGCACGGCACAAAAGGAGTTGGTGACAACGTCCATAGGCCGCCCGTGGTTTTCGCTCACGGAATACTCTAGAAGCGCGTATGAATGCGCGTGAGAAATGGGCCATGAACATGGATACATACCCGCTGCCCATGCCGGGTGACCATTAATCTGTGTAGGGTTGCGCTCGGTCTTGTCGACGATATATACCTTGTCTTGTGTACCGAGGAACATCTGAACGCATGCGCTTAATGTCTGAGAGCCGGTAGAAACCGCGAAGACATACCTGCTGTGCACTTGCAATACTATCGCCGACGATCTGGAAATGACCGAGGGGGGCGTCCGACACCAAGGGCTGTCCTGGTGTTGAAGCGGACACACCATGTGCGAGCGCGGCGGTAACGACGGAAATCCACGCGTACATGGTCACCAAGTGAGGGTGGTGTCAATAGAATCGACCGGAGAACGAAGGGGTATACGAGGCGAAGTCTTGCCGGAGGACCGGGGGGCGGTGGCAGGGGCAGGAAACACCGACGAGGGAGGCCAGTGGGGGCGGCCAAGCTTTATGTGCGGCCATGGTGCACGTTCGGGCGCAGGAGACGGCCGGCACCATCTTCGATCGGGCAGCTGTCACCTCTGCCGGATCGAGGACGAACAAGTCGTTCGCGCATAGGCCCCGCTCCTCGCAGCCTACGACGCCGGGCGCGACTGGCTGTAGCCTGTCCCTAATCGCAAAGGTTACATTGGCGTGGTCTGCGCGAGCGTGGCAATCATCACTTCCAGCGCGCCGCTAGAACCCTCTGTGTGGTTCAAGTGCATGAGCGCAGGTGTGGCTTGTTGAACAGCTTGGTTTAGCGGGAGGCCCATAAATAGCACGAACTAGGGAGCTGTGCGGCCATAGACAGAGAAGGTAGTAAGGCTGACCAGCGAGCAGAAGTGCCACTGCCAGCAGTGGCGGCCGAGGGCCGAATGCTTGTTCGCCCTCTGCTCGCATGGTCTTCGAGGGTGTTTGATATCCATGAGTCGGCGATGAGGAAAGCGCAGTTTTGGACATCACAAGTTGAGTCATGTAGAGCTATCTTTAGCGGGAAGCATTGCCGTGTTAATACTTTTCTCTGCAATCAGCCAGCCGTCTTCGGTGCATCCTTCAGCGTCCCAGCGCTTGCTGTTTCGATCGAGCTGGCATGCATTGACGATTGTGCGTGGTGGCCCACGGCGATATGCCCGCCTTGTACCAATTCGTACTGGGCTTTGCCTCCGCCTCGGAGAGAACCTCTTTAGTGTACCACTTGACGACGCTCAGGCTCCGCGGCCGCCTCCTGGGATTCCATGCTTTGTGCCGTGTTTCGGGCTAAGCACAAGTAGCAGAGATAGTGTGCCATGAGCCTTGATGAGATGCAGAACCAGACCCACGAGTGCCGCCTGTCAAGGACTTGAAGGAGTTGTGCGCGGTGGCAACGTTACCGAGGCGGGGGTGCATGTGATTTTGACGCACAAGACCTTCCCTATTCGGCAGAGCACCTTCCGCATCCGTCGGCGTCAGTCGTTTGCTCTCTTGAGCCTCCCTCTTTTCGCTCGGCTTTCGTGTGGTGGCCAAGTTATGGCCTCTGTACGTATTGGCGCACTGCCATATGACTTAATTGCACGTGCGTACTACAAGTGTGTCAGCGCCGCCCTCGCCACCGCCGCATTATTGCAGTGATGCCTCGCCATCAGCGAGACCAGTGTTGAGCGGTTGCTACCTCTGACTAGACTTCTGCTGAAAACTGGCAACATGTGTACCTAGAGGTGAGAATTACACTGAAAAGGCGCTTCTGTCTGAATGCCGCGTTTTCTGAAGGCTCAGACGACCCATCAACGACGTCACCAATCAGTCGCCATAGCATGATGACAGTCTACAGAAGGCCCAGCACAGTGGCAGCGGCTGAACGCGGTGCAGTGCAGTAGCTGCAGCTACACGACAACGCCACCATCGGAGGCATAACGTTGGTGAGTGGCAACTAGTGACCATTAGATCCCAGTTGGCTCCGAGGGAACTGCGGCACTGTTCGCACTACCGCCGAATGGGCCGCTGTTCTGCCTCGAGTCCATCAAATAGCCCAAAGCTCAGATGGCGACAAATCTGCCAGTTCTTCCGGCAAACCTCAGAGATTTGAGATGGCTGCGATGATTGTGGGAACAAACGCTGGTGAGTCTGTTAATGGGGTGACGTCTCGATCTTGGTTTCCTCCTTCCCCTTCGCTCAGATCTTTGAATATTCCCTTGCGAGATTGACTTGCTATGAACTTAGGACCGCATGCGTTGGCGTAACTCTCCACAAGCTCTCGCAACGAAGTCAGTCTTGCTCTTCTGCTGGCATCTGCCCTCGTTGTCAATGTCGACATTTCCCTGTGCGGAGTGCTTCCTACTATCCGACCACCTCTCCCATTCTTCCTGTCTCGTCACTACGCGGACGCTTCTCATGATTCTGACCATCAACCCATCCAATTCTCTAGTCTGTATTACATATATAACTCCGTACTCGCCCCAGCCCTGGGCTTTCTTAGCATTTCGTCCTGCGTGCACCGCGACGCCGTTCCTTTTTTCCACTCCTAATAGACACATTCTTCGGCTGGTGACAAATTTTGGTATAGTGAAATATCTTTCTGTCGAAATATCAATTACGTGCATACTATGGCCCGAACTGTCGGTGAATATGCACGGACCTTAATTCAGTAGGCCTCCGAGTCGCGAGTCTGGTGATCATAAACCGTCGGCATTATCACCGCGCATTCAGAGATGAGCTTGAGATCAATTGCGCGTAGTATAACATTTCAGTCTTGATGATGATGAATAGATCGTCGTTCGGACTGGCATATAGTACACTGCCGTCGAGCTTCCTCTCTACAAAACTGCTGCTGATAAAGTTGTGATCGCGAGCAAAATGAGTCGGCCCAGGCTCGAACTGAGGACCTTCTGTGTGTTAGACAGATGCGATAACCAACTACGCCACCAACCCATAGAAGGAGGAGGCAGCGTGCAGTTGCGCTGGTCAGAGACTTTTTCCCGAAAAGTGCATAGCGCGCTCGAGAGCCCGCGGCGTGGCCCCGGCCCGTGGGTGCCGGTGTGGCTCCGCACGTGACCGCGTTTAGCCACGGCGCGTAACGCGTAACAGCGCCTAACGCGCATTCAAGAGCCTTTCCTTTGTCCGCGACTCGCTCCCTTCACCTTTCATCGCACCCAACATCACCACCAGCCCGAGACGACAGAAAACGTTCTTCTAGTACTTGCTCGTCTACATCGTAACACTCGATCAACATGACCGAATCCACTATTCGCCCATTGAAGAGGACAAGAGTGGCAGGCGAGAGCTCGTTGAATACGGCACAGTTAGTGGCACACTCAGAGACGACAAATCTCTCGACACAAACCTCTAACTCGAGCAATGCTCACACAAAATCTATGCTTGTTGCGGTCCCACTGGACATCATTCATGAGGTAAGCCCGTTTCAGGGCTCCAGTTGAAAGTCTGTCGAGTGGCAACACTCACAACTGCGTAGATCTTCGGGTACCTCGATTCTATTGATCTGCTCAACCTCGCGCGCACGAATAAGCAATTGCGCGACTTCCTGATGTCACGAAAGAAGACAAAGGCTATGTGGCGCGTAGCGAGACAAAACCTGAACATCGAAGGGCTGCCAGACTGTCCAATATATATGAGCGAACCGGCTTACGCGAACATTACATTCGGTCACTACTGCCATGTAAGCTATCTCCCATTGATTTTAGGCCTTGATGTTGCTTACCACCGGCGCACGCCTCGATAGAAATGCTTGCGACTTGGCTTGCATGAGGTTGTCTGGGAATTCTCCGCCAGGTACTGTGCGGAGTGTCTCAAGTCACACGAAGTGTATGTTCAGCCTTTCATTTATGGATATCTCCTGACCATCACAATAGGACTTGGCCCGAGATGTACACAGACATCTACTTCACCCGCGTCCTCGGAGATAGAAGCCAGTTCAAGTGGACACACTACCTCGTCTGTGTAAGTCAGACATGTATTTCTGATATGATCCCAGCTGTAGCTCACTACATGCAGTATTCTCCGGACGGAACAAGGAAGCTGTATCCGTGTTCAGCGCGCGAGAAACTCGTCCGGGAAATCACAGAGCGAACTGAAGACGAAGACGCCATGGATGCGTATCTTGTAGATACACGAGATCTCGTCGAAACGATACAATCAGTAAGTAAAACATCCTTGTCATCGATGCGCTGTACACTCAGATCAATTCAGCAAGCAAGAGAATACCATGACTGGTATAAGAGTACGCTGTCCAAGCGGTTACAAAAGTGAGTGTTTTTGCGTTTGGGTAACATCGATTTCTCAATATTTCTCTAGTATTGTTGCAAAGCTCCGTGAGGAAGGGTGGGGTGCCGACTTGAACAAGATGTCGGAAGAGGACTTCGCCCCATTGCGGAGCTACCCCAATGTTACTATCCTGAAACCCCTGACGAACGACGGTGCGTGTCTTCTCTACATCCCGCCGGCCGTTTGGCTGACCTGTTCATAGAATGGCACGACATACGAGGCCACATAATCGCCGGGCTCGAACAATACAGGGAGGCGCGCATCCGTAGAGAACGCCCTGCGATCCTTCGCGCGCGCCTGAGTGACCTGCGCCGGGTCGTTTGCGAGCTGCAACTCGGCACTCGAGGGTATCGTACGCCCGAAACTGAGTACGGCCCACAGTTCGCAGACATTGCTTTGATGCCCGAGTTCCGCGCGCTAGTGGAAGCATCAATCGACGTCGAAATCAAGAGGAGCACCTTCCGAGGAGTATGCTCACAGCTTCCCGCACTCTTCGCACGGTTCAACACCAACAGGCCAGCGATACTCGCCGGCATGTTTTCTCAGCGGATCGGCCGTCCGACAAGTCCCACGGGTTGCACGAAGATCCTCGACCTGGCGATAGCGTGGTTCCATTGCGACGGCTGCAAGAGGTACCTGCACAGCCCCGGTGTATTCGCGCACCAGTGCCAGCGGCCGCACTACCGCGATACGGAGCGCGAGGAATTCGACGATCCATATGTATACGACGTAGCGGTTGCCTCGACGTTCCATGCCTGGTCGACAACGAAACTCAGGCCTGTTCTTGAGGAGGACCTCGGGGCGCTGCGATCGCTCATTGCATCATGCGGACTCGACCCGGATAGGGCCACGGCAAAGGACATGGATGCGCACGATGCGCGCGTCACATGCAATGAGATACCGGTGCCTTGGGCGCGCAAAAGCGAAGGGAGGCTCGTCATGACTTGGCGTAGGGCGGTGAGTTCCTCTCTGATGTACTGCTCGCATTGCGAACACCTCTGATGCGCTCTTCTGCAGGTCCTCTCGTTGGATATGGTGCGCGGCTGCCAGACGGTCAACTGGCGGTGCATCCGGGCCGCCGACAAACGTCGTGCTGTGCTTCTCGAGGAGAGGGCACTCCAGGCAGGACGAAAGCAGCCGGAGTACAAGTCGTTCCTGCAATGCGCGCTGTGCGACGAACCGTGGTGGCTCGTGCATGGTTCACACAGCAACTCCTTTCTCATGTCGGACCATCTGCGCACAAAGTACGTGTTTGCACAAGGACTGATTTGGAGTCGTTGGCTGGACGTTGACATATAATCTCTGCCAGACATGGTGTGCAAGTCGAGATCCTATATTCGATTCGCAACTACATGTACACGCACCCTGATGGGACGCCCGAGACGCCTGAAGTGTGGCTCCCGTTCCTGTAACTTAAATAGATGAAGGCGAACTTGGGTCAGGGATAGACCCTGATGTATAATCTATCATCAGTATTGCACGGACCATCACTTAGGAAGTAAACTGTACCTCTCGAATGTAGTAGACGGCCCTCAGTTGAACGTTGCGGTCTTGATGGTAGAACATCGCCCGTGCAAACTATCTGCGTTGGACATGTGTGCAACCTGGGCCCGAGCTCTGGACTCCGCGTACGATTCAATGGTCAATCTCTCGGACCCTGCGACTTCATATAATTGAACTCAAGTTGTTCACTGGCAGTTCCAACTTGTGACGCAGCGACTTCCGTCATACGCTCCTAATACTTCAAACCGTCCTCGAACTTCGATACCTTGTCTGCCGCCGCACCGGAATCAGCCTACTGTCTCGTAAATTGCAGGACGACAGCCGATCGGGCAACGTCCACAACTCACAATCAGCGGCCGTGTAGCGTCCGACGAAGCTCCACGGCGGCGTGCCTGGCAGCAGTGGTCCCTCGGTGCCTATCCTCCTCCCAAAAAAGCAGAATTCAATGAACGCGCAGGCACCGTTCCTGGCGTCCAGCCATCCGTCCGAGTTGTCCGGGATCGATCGAGCTCGAGGGGCATCGACGTTTTCGGAGCGGCCGCTCTGGGGTTCATGGGCGCTTCCCAGTGCGATGATTCGAATCTGGTGGATCGCGATCCCAGTGGGCGCGCAAGTACGCGTGTGGCTGCCGCTCAACCGCGCGTGTCGTACATAGCTGTCTCGAGGGTGGACGGGAGCGGAATGATAATGAAAGCGATGACGCGGGTGAGATACGCGTGTGACTGGCAGTCTGAGTGACGGCATCGCGCACAGGGCGTATTGTCCCGTGCTGTGGGATCCGGGACGCGCTGCACGCTGCTGTCAGCAGGCTCCGGAACCTGCGGTTGTTGTAAGATAGCTGTAAGCCAGCTTAGTGAAGATTGCGACGGTGGCTTCGCGTGAGTTATACTGGTAGTAGCTCCCCAGGCACCCCGTGTAGTTAATGATTAGTAGCGGCGGGCGACCGGAGGCGGCGTGTATCACAGAAGGAAAGTGTGGTGTGGTTGTTGAATGGGGCCGGAGTGCTACGGTGAATGCTCGCTTTTACTTGTGCATCCCCATCCGGTCAATCGGCCATGGGCTGCTGCGAGGGCAGACCCTGAGTGAAGGAGGATTCGCGTAGAGGGCGAGCGTCATGTGAAGATATCGAGGAGGGAGCACTTGATTGCAAGAACTCGTAATGCTGGACTTCGGTCCGGCTGTTGACATTGAGCACGCCCAAAGCGTATGTTGACAAAATATCGTCAATACCCGGCGCCCCACATCACCACTCCGCACCAGTTTCGCAGCGCTCGCGCAGGTCAAATGTTCGTGCTTAGTCATGTAGACGTTACCGTGAGCAGCTAGAATAGCACTGCTTGCGCCGGATACAACCTGTGGCTTCATTCTCCGGTCTGTTCTGCGGTCCATCGCGGAGAATACACGTAGCGCTGCACGTAGGCGGCGCAACGATGTGGCACGACGGTGTCAGGCGAGGTTTCCTGGGCGTGTTTGCCAGTGAGTAACGCTCCGAGAACAGCTGTCATTCGTGTCCAGCGCCCCGATCACACAGCCATTGCACGACTACACCGCGAGCCCTGTGCGCGCAGTGTGCACACAAAACTTCGAATAATGACCGCGCCCCGATCGATCGTCAATTGTCTCCGGCAGCGGTGGGCGGCGGTCCCAGCCCTGGCAGGAGTGTGATTGTCGCATTGTGCTTCGCAAAGGTTCGATCGCTCGAGGGTTGTCCATACTACGATCGAAGCCGCCGTCCCGGACGACAGTGCAAGTCTACGCCGACCCGATGCAAGGGCCAAGGGCAACGAGTCCCAGGCGGGTTAGCGACGCGGATTGCATGAGCATGTCTGCAGACGGGGTTGTCATGCGACAGAGCTGCGAGAAGTGGGCCTAAGGCTAGGCATTCCTCGTCCATGAGCGCAAGAGCTTTTCTGGACCGTGTAGTGATGATTGACCGTCCTGGGCGACGGTGTAGTCTTGTCCCGTCAGCGCTGCGAAGGGCGAACGATCTCTCCACTCGCCCACCCACTTGGCTCGTCCTCACGTCCTGGGAACGTGAGTGCGATCAACGAAACGACAGGGAGCCGCTCGAAAGAAACGGACCTCTGACATCATCGTCCTCAAGTCCTCACACGCGCGACTGAATCCCGTTCGTGTCGGAATCTCGGAGGATAGACACGCCGACCAGCGGCCACCTTCACGGTCTTGCTCCTCGTTCCACAAGTTCGAAGTTCGTGCCTTCCAGTCACGAAGCACGAAGCACGTAGAACCGTTCGATAATGCGCAGAGCAGCGCATGACGCAGTGCGGTCCGCAGCACAGCAACACCGGGATCGCCTAGGGAACCATCCACGCACATCGACGTCAGTCACTCGCGACTCGCGCGGGTCCAGGTCGGCCGATACGGCGGGCGTTCCGTACGTACGAGTACGGCAGAGGCCGCTCTGATGGCTCAGCCTGATTGCAGTGAGTGATGGGCGGATGCGTCGCACGACGGTGGAGTTGCCCAAGAACAAGACCGATATTGCGAACAAGGCAAGTGCGGTCTGACGAGCGCCTTGTGCGCTCCAACACCAGAAAATTGGGCACCACGCGCGCGTGTGTGCTCTGTAACAGGAGGTGTCGTAGAATGTCAGGGATGGCGGGCAACAGGCTGTGCGTGATGTCGGCGGAGTGGTGAAGGTTATGCACAGAGATGGGCCGCTGGGAACGTCCCATGGAGGGGACGAGACGGAGAGGCAGTAGTAGGGTTATGTACGCGGCGTCGAGAATGGGGCAGAAGACTCGGCTAGCGCGGAGTCAGGCTCGCAGGAGAAGCAGGCTGGAGACCGGGATCGGCGGGAGGGCGGGCGGTGATTGGCTGGGCGACGTCATGGTGGGGCAGGCGGGCCCGATCTGGGCTGGGGGACGCCGGGGCGGCGGGCGGCGGTGGCAGAGGGTGGGATCCGGGGCGGGGGCGGACCCCGGCTGGATACTTGACCCACCGCCCGCGCACTGGTTCGGCCGCTGTACCTGTGCCACCGACCCCGCACCACCATCGCCACCTGGGGACGACTCACGAGCGGCCGTGCGCGGAGCAAGAACCGGACCCCACTGTCCTTGCTACGAACCACCACCTCCTCCACCGTATACAAGACGAACATTCTCTGGCACACGCCCGCCCACATGCAGCCTCCCTTGCAGCACCGCCAGCACGAGCCGTCCACGGAGGACGGTCATCTGCTTGCCTACGCGCCTGCGACTTCTGCGGGCGCACGACCACCGCTACGGACGTCGGCGTCAGACCCCGAGTCGGGGCTCACGATACCCTTTGAGCAGCTCTCGCTGCACGACCAGGACCAGCTGCGCCGGCGCCAGCACCAGGACAAGCAGATTGTACAACAGACGATGCACGCGCCCAGCAACCCGTCCGTGGGGCCGGAGAGGGAGACGCAGTACGTGGACGAAGGCATGATGCGACTGGGGGACGCGAAGGGGAAGGCCCCGGATCATGGCTATGGTGAGTGTCCATTCATGCTGTCAGCGGTCGTGTTTCGGTGCACACGGTGCCCTCCATGCTGCACACCGTCGCCAGCAGCGCTGCGGGGGCGTGCGGACACGCCACACGTCGGCGCCTAGGTAGCGAGTATGTAAGAGCGCGACGTGGACCGCGGTCTAGACAATGGAAGGCGGGATGGAAGTGCGCTTGCTCGTTGGCGGGCGATCGGTGATGGGCATCGGTCGACGCCGCGGAGTTGTGCGACGGCGGGCGAGTCCCCGATCAGCCGTCATCGATGCCGCACACCGGGTCCGTGCGCCGTCGCTCGCGGTCGTCGCGTAGCACGGAGCGCCGTCGCGTGCTTCTGCCGCCGCAGCACGCGTGACGTTACGTGTGCCGGCGCGGCCTGCGGGCTGCCCGCCCCCGCCGCTGCTGGCGTCGTTGCGTGCAGCGGCGGCGGGGACGTGGACGTTGGCAGCGAGAAGACACGGGAGGCGCCGAGGAGGCTAAACGGCAATCTGGGAGGCGATTGCACTGGCAGGCGGACGTCGCCGGGCGGCTGGGGCCACGAGGCGGGTGGGCGGAGGGTGTGACGGTGATGAGGGCATCGCTGGCTGTGGCTGGTCACGGATCCGGCGCGGGCATCCTTACTTACGCATCTCGCCTTTCTCGCTTTTCTTTCTCGAGCCATGAGCAAGTCGTGCTGATGCGCCCCCTCCTCCTCTCCTCCCCCCTCCGTCCCCAGCTCCAGCTGCCCCGTCCCGTCCACGACTTGCATCGAGGACTACGACGCCCGCCGGCCCCAAACCTCAGCGACCAGACCTCCCCCACCGCAACTCGTCCTTCAAGCGTCACGCCTCCTTCGACTCTCCCCGCGAGGTGCCCCTCCCATACATGCCCAACTCCCACATGCACCACCTCTCCTACTCCCAGACCCAGCAGCACGACGTTCCACCCTACCCTCACGTAATGGCCGATGGCGTCGAGGTCGCCGCCCAGGCATCTCCGCCACTGTTCATCGCCTACGACTATGACCGCCCGTCGCCTGCCGCGGCAGCCGGCCCCCTACTATCCGCGCCCGATCACCATGCGTCGACCTCTGCGTCTTCGTCGTCTAGCGACAGCGGCCCAAGTACGTCATCCTTGTCATCATCGCAATCCCCAATGTCCGTTGTCGACATATCCATGGACACCGGTGGCGGCCCGTCCACTGCGAGCAGTACCAACCCATACTTCTCCAGTGCCGTGCTCGGGTCCGCGCCACCGTCGTCGTTCCTGCAAACGCAACGGCCACATGCCGTGGGGGGTGGAAAGTCGGCGCAGGTGAGCCCCGTCCCGCCGTTTTCCCGCCCGTTCTCGACACCCGACGCCTCGGCTGCGATGCCGCCGCCCCCGTCGCAGATACATTCCCCGCGGCCTCTTCACGCCGCTGGCATGCCCGACCGTAGCTCGACGGTGAGCCTCCCGCTGCCCGCGCATACCCCGTACCATACCCTGCCGAGCGCAGAGGCCAGCGTCGCGGAGGCCGCCACATCATCGTCCAACGCATCAAGATCGTCGCTTCCGAGTCAGGACCACTCCTCCTCATCGTCCAGATCGGCCGTGTCTCTCCCGACACCCTCCTCGTCCTACTCTCCGCCCACCTCTATGACAGATGCCCCGCGCCTCTCCACGCGCCCGCGCCATTCTGACCCTTACGACTCCGCCGTCGAATCGCCTATGAGTCGGCTACTCGAGCGTGCCTACGCCGCCTCGTCGGCGTCGTCGTCTGGGTCCGGCTCCGGCTTCTTGGAGCGTGGCCGCATGGACCCGCCTGCGCCGCGGATCAGCCCTGGGAATCTGCCACCGCCTGCGCCGCCACAGGTGCTGACGCCGCCGCCGCCGCCATTGAGTGAGGAGGGCAGGGGTCATCGCCCGCACGAGCCGTTCTTGTCGCATGAGCTGCCAGCGAATGATGCGTGGATTGCTGTGGAGACGTTGCAGAGGGAGTATAGGCTGTTGGTAAGCTTGCCGGGATTCAGACGCGATGCGATGTGAGTGTCTGTGGTGGATTGGGTCATGCGGGTGAACTGATTCTATGGTGTCCTTCTTTCCTTCGTTGCGCTGTCTAGCACCTTGTCAACGCGGAAACGAAGGATATTGCACGTCGTGGCGGATTCATGGGAGCCCAACGGCGGTGCGTACGCTTTCTTACCCGGGAGACCCCGTCCTCATCTCGTCTTGCTCGCTATGGTCTCGTACAGGTCACTTCGAGCGCCGCATATCGTTCGGGTACGACGCCGACCTCGGGCAGGTCCGCGCTGAGTTCGACGGCGAGTTCCTCCGCGTCATCATCCCGCGACGACAGATCCCTGCCAACTTCTGGAGTCACTGAGGCGCGTCACCGTCCCAGTCACAGTACGCCTGCGGCCAAGAGCCTTCCGTATATCACGTCACGCCCTCGTTCATGAATTTTTTGCAGTATACCGGCCGCGTGTGGCTGTAATGACTCGTACTTTATTCGATCCGCTCTGTCTCTCTCACCCTCCCTTCGGCATCGGCATCAGCCATCGAACGTTCGTGTGGTCGATGGATGCTCTTATCGCGGATTGGCCGTCATCAACATCGACCATCAGCGGATGACCCGTGCGTCGATTGCCGGGTGGGCCATGCGTTGAACGCGCTGGAGGCGTGCTCCCATCTGTCCCTCATACATTCCTGCCATCGCTCTCATCGCCATCGACTCATCAGCATCGACAACGGTGGGCGGCAGACATGTGGTGCGGCCTTCGAGGGCACTCGGACGAGCACTCCACTTCGCCCGCATCGACATCGATACAGGCCGTTTTGGTCGCGCCAGCATCCGGCCGGCGACGTCAATGGTGCTCCTCTCATCCCCGTGTTTCCCTGTCCCGCCCATATCTGTCCGTCTCTCCTGTCTGACCGCCGTCTCACTCTTAACCTCAAACCTGTCAATACCAGTCTCAGTCTTGACTCAAGTCGCTTCCACAGTCGCTCGGCCTATCCGAACCATCATCGTCTCTATCACGCTATCACTATCTCACTCTATCAGGACTGCTCTCCCGCTAAGAAGCCGCCTCTTACTCCTCTCGTGCCAACCGTACCTGTCTGTCTCCCACTCACCTCACCTCGCTACTGCTACTACACACTGCATTATACTACTCGATATACCGCGGAGGTGCATCCATATATCACTACGGGGTTTAACGACTATACGCCTATACATATACAGCCCCACGGCAGGCATTACAGCTACAGCGTACAAGTTACGACGTACGGGTACGACGCGGAGGCGCCATGGACCAATCGAATCGGAATCGGAATGGACTGCTATACCATCTATCATCTGTGTCGACAGAGCGACGGCCTGCCTACCGCGGGTTGACCGCCGCCGAACTCCTCTCCCCACCCCCTACCCACACACGCACTGCGGACTGCGGGATGCACACCGCGATGCGAAGGCTGTCGTCGATCCGTGGGCACAGGGGTTCGACGTGACGCGTACGGTGCATGTCGTATCTCGCGCGACGTCCTTCCAGCCAGCACTTCTTGGCGCCGCCGGGGGATCGCAGGCTTCGCACTTCGCGAATCGCAGCACGCTCGGATGCTCGGACGCTCAGCTGTCCTCCGGTCGCTCCACACCACGCGTTCAAGTTGTGCAGCGCGCCGTGTGCTGGAACGCATGTTCTGTACGTAAGGTTAATGCGTTTGTTAGTTAATAATGGTGTGCTGCGTCACTGAGACCTAGGAATTGGATTGCTGCTACGAACTCGCGCGTAATGTGTGCGCGCCCTGGTGTATTATATATCTCGACTGACTCGAATGTGTAATGATTGCTTGCTCGTCCCTGTGCATGGCTGTTCTCTGTATGATAATACTCAACTAAAGCATTGCGTAACTCCATGCCTCCTCCGGATGGCCAATGTACTTTGTATGTAGTCCGATTCACCTCGTCACACACTCTACATACCTGACGGCCAGAGTATCGTTATGACCTTTGCTAGACATGTGCTCGTATGCCTTGATCGCCGCATAATGCATATCTTAGACTGTCTTCTCGCTTAGAGGACCATGCAGTTGGGTTGTGCCCCGCGCGCGGAGCGCACAACTACTTGGCTTGACAGCATAGTCATACCCGGATGCTCCTCCATACCCAAGTACTCAAAGCTTGATCCGGTGGTTTGGGTGGTCATCCGGCGTCCGTATCATCATGCGCACTGCACACACGCTCGGAAAGAACTTGAACACGTTGCGGACTGTATTGCACTCCGATTAGTACGTCGCTCGGCCACGATGTATCAGCATGCTCGGTGCGGATCACGTATCATACTACACGTACCGCGCATGTGCAAGGCGATGTTTATTCGAGTTGTCTCGTCCGACCGGGTCTGCTGGGTGCGTCGATGGAGATAGTCAGTGCTCTCTGCTGACTCTCCCCGGGCGGCGTAGCCACATGCACCTACTACTAGATTGCTGCGTCGGTTACGTACTCACTACTCAGCGGGCGGCGGTGTCTTCCCCGGAGAAAACGAGCTGCTGACCGTCGGCCGTGGGGATGCTCTAACATACATGAGTAAGCGTGGAAGACCCTGCGAGCTTGTACTATAGAGTGTCGAGCAGCATGCTCACTGCCAGCAGACTCGGACTCGCGCTCCCGAAATGTCGTCCGGCGGGAAGACACAGGAGAAATTATATCGATGTCCTTGGTCGACTTTGGGGGTACGCGCTACAGACCATAGGCTGAAGCTATGGATCAAGCTTCAAGGCTCGAGTGAGCATACGAGTGCTTTACTTGACAGGAATGGCTCATCGGCAGAAGATATACAAGCAGTGACACGGTCACGTGACCGGATTTAGTACACTCACGACGCGTCAAGGGGAGAGGTTTCACGGTAATTGTCAATAATACTGTGTGCATCTAACGCATAAATTTAATGCGTCTAGTGAAGGATTCCCTCGATCCTACGCTTATACTCATGCACAAGACCAGCGTCCGGCCAGAATTGTGACGGTGTACATCCCAGATCGTTGTCAAGACTTGACCATGAGGCTAGGCATTGTTGTTAGCTTCAGCCTGAGTATGATACTAGGTGTAAATGCCTTACTGTGTGCTCATGACACAGCAAGGTCGCACAGTTGACATGTGTGACCAATCTCTTCTAGTGCCTAGATGCAACATCTTCAGCAAGAGAAAATCCTTGTGACAAACGATCGCCTTGGTAAGTTCCTCTCTGTACCTCGTAATAGTAGCTCGTAATACACTTGGACACAGTGGCCGAGCTTCTATTGATTCAAAAAGAAGGCATAATCACCGCAAGGCCGACATCTACAACAGATCTGCGGGCTTGAACATGGAGTGTGACAAGTTCGCTTCTTCGATGTTTGAATGAGTTAAAGCGTCATGTAATGGAATTCTTGGGCACGCAATACTGCTAGGTCTATCTCGCCGCTTTGCTCCAGTGAATCAAGAGATGCAAATCGTCTCCCCACGTACTACAGCGCGCTGGTACGCTGTCGCGATCATCTTCGCACAGAACCATATGGACAGGTATCAAGCGGCGGATGATACCAATACAGTCCGAACTGATATTGTATGCATGCCTCCGCGGACACCGTTGCGGGACGCCTAGCAGTGATCAAGCACATGCGAGAACGGGACGGGTAGACGGGTAGAGCCTTACAAAAGTGCAGAGGGCGACAGTGATGCACCGCGCTCTCCGACGCTGTAACCCAACTCAGTATTCGGATGGCCCAACAACTCACCTCGCTCCGGCGCGTCGGCGTCGTCGCTATATGCGCTCTTGCTGTAGCCGCCGCTCCGCGGGTACGCAGTCAACGATCATTCTTATAACACGCAAAGAAACTAATCGTCGGCGCAGGCAACACCGACGAGCCAGTGGAACTGCCCCACAGCGTACACCAGCACGTTCACACAAACGCTGTCCATCATCGCACCGACGACGACGGGGCCCTTCGAGACGACAACGGGAACGGCTACAGGCTGGTTGTGGCCCTGGGTCACTGCGACGGAGACGATCACGGACGCAGAGGGCGACGTGTATGCGGACGTGTTCACGTACTCGAACTACGACGACTTCCCGCCGTACCCATCCGATTGCAGCTAGTGCGTATCTCGTACTTTTCTGTCGGGCTCAGAGTGTTAACTGACCGAGCGCTGGACTGCTGTTAGCTGGCAGCAAGCGTAATGCAGACCGGACTTGGAAGATGGGGCCATGGCGCGTTGTCGGGGGCCGGGGCCTGTCGAAGGCCACTGGCAGCCTGAGAGTCTGTAGCTTGCAATATTGTATGGACATTCAATGAGTATGAGAAATTGGTGCCCCAGACACGAGCGATATATATACAGCACTACCAGTGAATGAAGGCCGCAGTGCAGCGACAATGACAGTAGGACCGCGATGCGCGGACTTATGGCTGGCAAGAGTCGGACGCAAGACGGCGGGCCATGTCGCTTCGGCGCTTCCAGTTGACTGGGCGGGCAGCCAGCGGGCAGCCACAGGAGACTCGCTCGCTCATAGCCACCATGACCGGCACACCTCAGACCCTCTGCTTCGACGAAGCGAGATCCAAGCAAGCCATGTTCCAGGACTGCGTTTATAACAAAATGTAATACTGCCGGGCCACCGCGGCGCGGGAATCGAGCCATGCCAAAGGCAATGCCTTCCTTACACAATCAATACCACCGACGGCTAACACGCGCCAACTGGAGCGTGTCCGAACCGTCAATGGTACAGACTGCACAGGCATCACAGGATTTCTACCTACGAAGACAGGAGCGGAAGTATGTGAACAGGTAAGATGGGTCGGCACATGCGCGATGAGGAGATACAGGTGGGGGACGGTGACCAGAGACGCAGACATGGAGACCGAGAACCATTATAGCCTCCCGCAGCCTCTCGGCACAGGGGCGGCGCCACACGCAGCCTCTCGGCACGAGGGCGAGCGGACAGCAGCCTTTCGGCGCTGCCGCAACAAGGAACCCGAACCACGAACCACGAACCACAAACCACGAACACCAAACACGAACCACGGACCAAGAACCACGAACCAAATACCACGAACCGCAAAGCACACTCACCTTTACCTGCATGGCAGACGGTGAGCATGGAATGACAGAGCACATGGGTACTCACCACGATAGCGCGACGAGGGTGGGGGGCGGGGAAGAGGATAGAGCCATATATCATGAACTAGACGAGGCGAACCTCGCGTGTAATCATCTGCACGGTATACGGTGAGCATGGCCTGCCTGTATGAAGAGTCACCCACCGTGCTGAGCGAAGACTGCAGCTTCAGATCTTCAGAGCTAGAGGAGGGGAGGAGAGGTGGAGGAGATGATGGTAGGAGGGGAAGGTGTGGTAACGGTTCGTACGCTTCTCGTGCTCCTTATATAGCCCAGCGAGGATGTCAGCCCGGCTGGGTTGCGATTCTGACCGCGAGCGACGTTCCGTGTCAGCTCACTGGTGTCAGCCTCCCGCCAGCCTCCGCCACCGCCGCGACCTGCAACGCGGTCATGTGAATCTGTATTAGAAGGAGGTTACGGTCAGTAGATGGGCAATACGTCCATCGTAAAGTTGGCACGCTAGCGCCTACTTTCACTCGATATTAAGGTCAGCAAAGCCCGCATACACGCGGGTGAGGACGCAATAGTAGCACTGTACGGACCACACTAATATCAGACCGGGTTTTCAAGGAGACTTTGAGCTCCAAGGCTCGTGAGGTAGAACACAAGCGTATATCGCTTGTGTGGACAGTGTGGTACCGCGATGCTGTGAGGGTGATAAGACAACCGCGTTCGCACGACATGATTTGGATTGCCCACTCACCTGCGTACGCGACGAGCTTCTTGGCTCGGTCACTTACGTTGTTCTAACGAAGGACGTGATCTACGATGTTCTTAGCTTTCATTTTATGTAGAGTCGTCACCGCATGCGACAGGCCGTCGGACGAACACGTGGTTCATGCGAGGAAATGCAAGATGTGGGATCGAGCGTTGCCGTTTGGCTGCCGTCATAGAAGCCTCAGCCAATCCGATGCATATCATGGGCTACTCAGGAATGGGGTGCCATACACGCTGCAGTCGAGAAATCGTATCAAAGTACCCGTTGCGTAACGTCCCACGAGTGCGGCTTCGTGGGGCGAGCGAAATATGCCATCAGCTACTGTGAGCATCATACTGTACGTTGGAGAGCAGGAGCTCGCCTCATTTGGTACCCAATCCGAGCCACACAAATCTGCTGTCAGTGTTTGTGAGGGACAGTGCCTGATATGGAGTGGAATAGCTCATATCGAAGGTTTCCTCTACCTGCTCGGTTTATCGTTGAGACGATTCACGGGTACGCCTGGGTCAGATGGAGGCGTCTCGCCAGTGCTGCCTCCGCCGAGCTTCTTCGCTGCGTCCTCGTAAACTTTCGCTCCGCGTCCCCACTCCTTAGCACGCTCCCCCCAATCGTCGCGCACACCCCATATATGCGCCTCATCCAGACGGGGAGCCTCCGGGCGACCATCAGGAAGCGCCGACGCACCTTCATTCGAGGCCTCCGCGACGAAGTCGCTGGACGGCGAGGTGCTCCGGGGGCGTTCCCAGTGCGATGTATTGTGGCTCCGAGAGCTGAGAGGTTCGTGAGCACTGGAGCGCTCCCACTTGCGCGAGGTGGCAGGGAGCGGTGTCCAGCGCTCCTCTCGAGCGTAGCTCTCGCTCGTCATCTCGAGGAGACGGGAGAGGGCGCGCTTGAAGGCGAACTGCTCGTCCTTGCCTGTCGACCGCAATATGAGCGTCGAACGCATGACAGGTTGAGGACCAGAGACGCACCAGAGAATATAGAGAGCGTGTCAAGCGCGAGGGCGGACGTAGGCGCCTTGGGAGCCTCCGCCATGTTCGGCGCATCGTATGAGGACACGTTGGGTCTGTATATGTCCTGCGTCTCCGCCACTGCCTCAGCCATCATGACGTCAACGTCTTGCTGTTGATGGCCGTTACTTTCGTAAGAGCCGTCGTCCAGCGCGGGAGTGGGAGCGTCAGGGAAGAACAACCCTTCGGGCCTCATTTCCGCGAGGCAGACGATCCTGCAGCGCGCTTCGTACAATGCGTCGATGAGAGAGATGAAGCGCCGTGCTTGGTTCTTAGCTGAGAGCTTGAGGACAGGGAGATCGGTGACGGCGATGGTGTGGTACGTGGATGCTAGGGTGATGTAATCTGCTGGGCCGAGCGACTACGAGATTGTTAGTGAGTGGAGAACGTCAGAACGTCCGGCTTGCCTCCTCGCATAACTGCGCGAACGTGAACTTGCACACGCCCCCTGCCGACCATGGAACGTGTATTCGCCGGCCGAATACTATAAGATTCGCTTGCTCGTGCTCTGTCCGGTGTCGTTAAGATACAGATCATTGCACACATCTGAAGACATACCGGACTCGGGTCCAGCGAACGACATTACCTTATTCTCAAACTCCTCCTCCTGCCCAGGCAAATACCAACTTGCACCCTGGCCTTCGGACCTACTCGCCCTATCGACGCGCCAGTCCTTCTCCGAGCGCATGAGCACCACCGGGCACCTCGCCTTCAGTGCCTCCACAAACGGCTCCAGCCTTTCCCTCTGCACGCCATTCTTGTAGAGGTCGTCCGGCACCTTGTTCGAGTTGCCGACGACCACGCCGCCCATGCGCCAGAACCACGAGAGCACATCGGCGAGGAGCGTCGCGCTCGATACATCCAGCAGCTGTATCTCGTCGAAAACGAGGAGCCAGTGGCGCAGGATAAGGCGTTGCGCGACGACGAACGCTATGGGCGGCTGGAGGCTAGGCGCAGAGGCCCCGAATCGGGTCGCCTTGCGAACCCACCGCGCCGGCAGCTTCCCCGTGTCGAGCATCTCTCGCCAGCGGTCTCTTAGTGAACGCGTCCAGGGTGCGCTTTCAGAGGTCGACTCAGACGCGGATGGTTCGGCGGCGTGTACGCCCGCCATGCGGGCCCTTGTTTCCTCCCAGACTGCGCGGTACACCTCGAGCACGAGCTCGCTGTAGTGCTTGCGTGCCTTGAAAGGAGTGGGCAGGGCGGCGTACCAGAGGTCGATCAGGAAACTCTTGCCCGAACCTGGAGGGCCGGTAACGAGAAGACCCTAATCCTACGTTAGGAGTTCACCGAGGAGGACCAGGAGACATACCTTCGGGGTCGTCAGAGCCGCAATCTCTTCCGCATGCGTGCGGATGCGAATGAGAGCGCCCTGCTCAGCAGGCGTGTCTGCCCCCGTCACTGAATCCGGGGAGTCTGTAGGAGCCCACCATGGTTGTCTATCCTCTCTGGAATCCTCATTGTGCAGGTAACGTAGAGCCAACGCAGGCGGAGCATATCCGTCGAGCTCTCTCTGTAGCCTCCTGAGCTTCACAGTGTATCTGAGCCGTTTATGTCCCAAAATCAACGGACGATCGTTTGCGCACCTGTGCAATAAGCCGAACTTGTTCTTCGTCATATTGAATCCGGCCTATGGCAACTAGGCCTCTGTATCGTTCTAGCAGATCAAGCTGCTGGGGTAAGCCGGATACTTCTTTCTCAGCGAAGCCTGTGGTATTTGTGGTGTGATGCCGCACGGATCCAGCAACTAGTGGTGCTATCGAGACCGCGACGACAGGATAGCGAAGTCGGTACAGAGAGAGTAAGACACCATATGCCCGGCTCGGGTCTCGACTACTCAGACGGCGAGCGCACAGAGGCATGAGTTCAAGGAAAGTGGAAGCTGAAGTGCATAGATCGAAGCATGTACTAGTACTTATGTGACATTGACAGTTCAGTCAGCCAATCGTTCCGACCGCCGTGCGAGGATGCAGTGGACGTCCGGGTGGCGAGCTGTGATGCCTACAGGCCTCAGAGGTTATGCTAGCGCATCCATCACCATGGGTCGGTGGCGTAGTTGGTTATCGCATCTGTCTAACACACAGAAGGTCCTCAGTTCGAACCTGGGCCGACTCATCTTTTTGGACTCATCCACAGCTAGCTAACGGATTTTAGGCCGACTCAGTGGCACCCCAATATCTGCTCGATGCTGCTATGATTACATGACTGTATTGTAGCACTACAACGCTCATACGATCAAACTGTGTCCGATGTTTAGAGTACGTATGCCTCACTAGCGCAACTCGTATGTAGATGGAGGCCGAGTTTGGATACTAAATGCAACTGCGATCTGTTTACTCGACTGGGATCCACACTGCAGGGGTCTCCGGTATGCCATCGGGGTGCGTATAGATGTATTTCCCACTCTCGAATGTCCGTACAATCAGGGGTATGCCGTGGCTAGCGATGAAATTGTCAGCTACTATGCATCAACTGACTTAGCAGGATGCGCTTACTGGTTCCTGAGATGTTTCAAGACGAGATCACGGTCGCCGTGCGAGCTTGTTTGAGACCACCAAGACTCGTCGCACACCGCGCATTGCAGAAACATCTGGTTCACTTCTTCGTCCAGAGTGGCCTCGCGCGCCTTCTTCTCGATCGGAAGCGCACGGCGCTTGTCGTCATCGGAGACGCGCTCCCATCCGACTGTTTCGCATTCACGCAGGGCTGGCAGTGAGAGGACCTGTCGAGGTACGTATCAGCGGGACGAGCGTGTGGATACAGGACGAAGGAAGGAGCTTACCGCCCTACGCCAATTCATGACGAGCTTCTTGTCGCTCCTGCGTCTCCAGGACGGTGGGGTGGTACAGGTCAACCGCACATCGAGGCTATCCAGCTGCGCCGCGGTGGCCGTATCAGGGTCGAGGCCGCACGCAACGATGAGAGACTGCAGAACCGTATAATAGACGCTTGCCGGCTATTATGGTATGCAACGGAGACTAGCAGAACCGCGAGATCCTCGTCGATGATCGGACGAAGGTCTGTCTCCGACCACGCATGGAACCTCGAGACCTTCGCGACATCGTACACATATCGGTCTTTGAAGTCCTTGGGATCTGTGTCATGAACATACTGCCGCTGGCACCGGTGAGCAAACACGCCAGGGACCCGTAGATATGTCTTGCACGTCTCGCAGTGGAACCATGCGACCGCGAGATCGAGGACGTCCGTGTCCACAGCACTAACATCCGGCGCCCACCGTCCAAGCCGCTGCGCGAGCATACTCGCGAGTATCCCTCTCCTCTTGGCATCGAACTGCTCGGTAAGAGTGGGGAGCTGAGAGCATGCGCGCTGGAAGTCCCTTCCTTGCATCTCGACGTCGCTCGGTGCCTCCACAAGCGCACGGATCTCGGGCATCAGAGCGATGTCCGAGAACTTTGGCCCATACTCTTGCTCTACGGTGCGGAACCTTCGATCGCCAAGCGCGTATTTGTGGACGACCTGGTGGAGGTCGAAGAGGCGCGTGTGGATGAGCGCAGGTCGTTCTCTGCGTAGCCGCGCCTCTCTATAATTCTGCATTTCTGCGGTAAAGTAGTCGCGGATTTGTTCCCATTCTGATGCACGGTGAGCATGGCGCCCGAAGTACTAGATCATTGTGCCAGATCGGGACGCACCATGATCACTGAGAACATTAGGCAGCAGGATAATAGGATCACTCCGTAGAAATGCGAATTTTCCCTTTGACATCTCATCCAAATCTATACCCCAGCCTTCCCCGCGGAGCCTGGCAATGATACTGGAGGACTGGATCAGCACAAGTCAGAGCGCATCAAGTGTTCACTCACTCCTGTAGCCTCTTCTCTAGGAATTGCTTGTACCACTTGATACACGCTTTCGCATGCTATGTCTGAGGTGAGCTCGTTGCACATTGGCCCCATACGGATATCAACATACCTGGGCGACGAGCTTAGAGTGACTTTGCATGTCCCTTGTATATACATCGAGAGCATGTGGGTCGTCACGTAACTCTAGCACTTTCTGCGCGAACTGTTCGCATGCTGTTTTTTGATATAGTTTATGACTTCTCGAATACTGGTTTCATGCAGTCAATCAGCTCGGATATCATCATGATACATGCGTGACATACGCAGACCACGGACGATCGCCAGTCAACGCCAGAGTCCTTTCCGAGGGTACGCTCGAAGTAGCTTCTGGTAGGTGACACATGCCAGATGCTGTCGCAAGTATTGAACATGTCATGGTCCAGTAAAGAGAGATGTGACGTACACGTCTCTGCTGGATTGGCAATCACAACAGTACCTAGTTTTGAATTCCCAGGCGACATCGGCGCGCGAACTAGATTTGAAGCAGATCTGCTGACGTGCGGTTACATTCAGAGCAATTATCCCCGGAGAAACACATACGTGACAGTATGGATTGAAAGCGAGGTTCGCATATGCGGGCTCACTCATATACGCCGGACAGTCTGGTAGCCCTTTGATGTTCCGCCTTGCCGTCCGCCACACAATCTCCGACCTTCTCCTCGACAACAGCTGGCCACGTAAAGTCTTGTTCGTCCGTGATAGGCGGAGAAGATCAATGGGGTAGAGGTGGCGGAAAATCTACAAGCCATGAGTATTACCGCCACCCGACGATCAAAGCTGGATGTAGTACCTCATGGATGATGTCTAGCGGCATCCTAAGGAGTACGCAGTGCGCGTTGACCGTATTAGAGGAATGCACGTTTACGATTGGACAGGCCTCCTCATGGGGTGTGATTGATTGGCTCGCTGCGCCTGTCGAACAAAAGCTCGACGAGGTCTGCAAGTTCAATTCACGTGCAGTCTCGGACATGGTGGCCTGAAATGACAAGGTCAATAGCTGTCTAGCACAGTCCCAGTGTAAACGAGAGGGTGGCGGTGGTTACTCACTGTGTCAATGGACGGAAGATAAAAGGTCTCAAGGCCGTTCTGTTTGACGCGGCGCGTTTGGTGCGTGCTGTGTGGTGGCCAAGTGGTGGCCGCGCGCGACGCGTTCAACTTAAACTTACATGTCTTCAACGCGGCCACGTGACTTGCCACAAACCGCGTAGACTGTGGCTGCAATGACCCAGATACTAGGGTATGCAGCGCAGCACACAGTACTTGCATCTACGCTCAGTACATAAAGCCTTTACACCCAAAGTTCTTCATTGCAACAAAAACACACAACAGTAGTCCTACATTTCGTAGAAAGTTTCAGGAACTTCGCGTTCCGCCGGTTCCCTTAGTGCAACCTCACGCGCTTTCTGCGAGCCCGGCACTTGTCAGCGCCGGAGACGCGTGCTCATTTGACCGTCTTACAGCCGCACAGCATGCTAGTACATTCGAAATATGTGTTACAATTTACAAAGGAGCCACTGAGCACTATGCGACATACTCAGACGATGCTTAGTCGCATCTCCGACTAGCGGATGGGAGCCATACTTCGGGGGTCACCGGTTTATCGTCAGGGTGATTCCACATGTACTTGCCACTTGAGTGGATGACCTCAAGTGGTATTACGTGGCTAGCGAGAACATCCTTTCAGCCGCTGAATATTCAGGAACATTGTCGAGGAAACACGTACTTCACGCTCTGAGGCAAATGGTCCGCCACAAGGAAGGGGTCACCATGCGACCCTGTGACGAGCGACAACGGTTCGTCGCATAGTGTACGTAGGAAGGACTTTTAGTATTTGGATTTCTTCCGTGTGGCCTGACGTGCCCTCTGTTCAAGAGGAAGAATGCGGCGCTTGTCGGCATCCGAAACGCGTACCCATTTGACTGTGTCGCAGTCTCGTATTATATGGAGCGACAGCACCTAGGAGGCGTGTCAGATGTTGGATCATGTGCAGTTACGTAGACGGGTAACTCACTGCCCTACGCCAATTCATGACGAGTTTTCCGTTGGTCTTGCTTGCATGAGGCACGGGTATTTCGTTGCAGGTAACTCGCGCATCGAGTGCGTCCATCTCCTGCGCGGTTGCTCTCTCCGGGTTGAGACCACATGCCAAAATCAGGGACCGCAAAGCGACAAGATCTTTCTCAAGGATCGGGCGGAGGTTTGTTGTCGACCATGCATGGAACGTTGAAGCCTTCGCTACGTCATATACGTACGGGTCCTCGAAGTCCTCGCGGTCGCTCTCGCCGTAGCATGGTCGCTGACAGCGGTGCGCGAATACGTCGGGGCTGCGCAGGTAGGTCTTGCATCGGTCGCAATGAAACCATGCGACCGCAAGATCGAGGATGTTTGCGGTCGCAGAGTCTCCCTGTCGTCCGAGCCACCGTGCAAGCATTTTTGCGAGATCGAAGATGTTCGGATTCGCAGCACTCTCTTGTGGCCCTAGCCGCTGCACAAGCATGTCCTCGAGCATTCTTTTCCTGATCGCGTCGAATCGCTGGGAGATCGCGGGGAGATGCGAACACGCGCGGCGGAAGTCGCTCTTCTTTACCTCGACATCATTTGGTGCCTCGACCAGAGAACGGAACTCGGGCATCAGGGCAATGTCCGAGAAGTTGAGCATGCGAAACCCCTTCTTGCCAAGTTCTATTCTGTAGATGACTCTGCGGAGGTCGAGGAGGCGCGTATGAATGATCCCCGCTCGTTCTTTTCGGAGGCGCGCCTCCCTATATTGTTCCATGTTCGCGTTGATTTCGCCCCGGATATCTTGCCACTCTGATGGTGGGCGGGTCAGTTATGAGCTCAATGAGAGATCGACGAATAGTATACCATAATCAGTTAGGCATTTGGGGAGCATGACGTTGGGACAGCTCCGCAGAAGAGCGAAATTATCTTTCGACATGTTGGTTATGTCAGTGGACCAGCCTTCTTTTCGGAGCCTGTTGATGATACTAGACGATGCTTTAGAGACTAGATGCACTGCGGAAGCGAAGACCCCTCACTCTCGTAAACGGTCATCTAGGAACCTTTGATACCATCTGTAGCACACTCTTGCGCGCTGCATGGGTATGTAGTAAGAGATCACCGCGTAACTGTTATGATGTGAGTCTATCTCACCATGTGAATAGTGTCGACATAATCTTGTACATCGACCAAGTAAGCATCAAGGACGTCAGGCTTGCGGTCAAGTAGCAATAGGATACGCCAAGCGAGATCTTGACATCCTCCCTTCTGATAGAGTCTATTTCGCCCGTCCGGTGATACCTGCGTAGGACGGTTATTCACGGGATGTCATTCATAAACATCCCAAACATACACATAGCAGGTAGAGACCCCAATTCAAGTTGAGGGTGTTTTGGAATATTCGTTCAAAGTATGCTTCTGCTTCCGGCTCAGTCCAGATACTGCGACGCACTTTGAGAGGGATCCGAAGGAGAGAAAGACAGCATACGTACACTTTGTTCGAATTCAGGCACCGATCGCAGTACCTGGCTGCGAACTCCCAGACTACAGTATGCGCGCCAGGTTGATCACAGTTCTAATTGAGTAACGGTGAGGACATGGTGCAAGAATAAGAAAAACGGATGGCCACTCACATGGCAATATGGATCGAAGGCGAGGTTTGCGTATGCAGGCTCGCTCAAGTACGTAGGACAATCCGGCAGTCCTTGGATATTTCGCCGTGATGCGCGCCACATCAACTTCGCCTTTCTTCTTGACATCAAAAGATCACGCAAGGACTTGCTCGTGCGCGCCAGGTTGAGCAGATCCAGCGGGTGGAGGTGCATAAAGATCTATCAGCCACTGGTTGTGAGTTCGACGTCCATAGGCAACCTGTACGATGAAGCCCACGAACCTCGTGGAGGATATCAAGCGGTAGTCTAGATACAGCATGACCGCAAGTTAACGCGGTCCAGGGAGTGGAAGTGTTGTTTAGCGAAGTCTCATCGAGGTGCGCCACTGGCGGTCCGCCCCGCCGAGCATCCTCGCTCGACGTCCTCAATCTCTTCGGACTCCGTACAGCAGCATGCATGTCGGTTCGGTACTAGAGTAAGAGAGAGATAGGGAGTTCCAAGTGTAGAGTTCGAACTGATCGCTGGTGGTGGGTGGGGGGGAAGCCGGGGGTAGGAGTTGTGGACAAAGGAAAGGCTATTAAAAGGCGCGCGCGACGCGTCCAACGCGCTGTACGCGATCACGTGCAGAGCCACACTGAAACATCAGACGCCCAAACATGTACGCACTGTACCGTGGAAGACCGTACCTGGCTAGTGCACTTAGCAGCACTATGCAGTCGACATCTCGCTATTCAGTCGCATATTCATACTTACAGTATCTGACTTCTGTTGCGAATCGAACACAACTATCCCATCGTGTCAGCCACTTCATTGCCGCCCCCCAGGACCAGTCTAACCTACAACCAAACACGGTACAGAGTCAGCCTCCGATACGCGAAATGGACAACGCTCTACAGCTTTGCCTTGATGGCATTGCTATGAATCAGGTCCTCGAGGTCCCGGAACTTGTAGTACAGCTTGAGAGACTCTGGGTTCGCGACCGTGCCGCTCGGCTTGAGAGTAGACCCAGACACGATCTGCTTCACGGCGATTTCTATCTTCTTTCCGTTCACCGTATACTGCAAGTAAAGGACGGAGGTATCAGAGATAAGCGGCGAGAGACCGACAGAAGACGACTCACAGGGATCTCATCGACTTCAAATATGTGCGCCGGGACGTGCCTCGGGCTGAGCGCAGTCCGGATCGCGGCGCGGATGCGGTTCACCAGTGTCTCGTCGAACGGATGGTCCGGGCGCAGCTTGAGGAACAGCAGCACACGCTCGTCCTTGTCCTGGGGACGCCGCTGGCCAACGCACAGCGAATCGTCGACGGCGTCGGAGAAGTCCTCGAGCACGGAGTAGATCTCGGCTGAACCGAAGCGGACGCCGCTGGGATTCAAGACTCCGTCACTATTCACGGCGGAATATTGTCAGACGACGTGAAAGGCGAGTGAACGAATTGAACGAACCTTCGCCCGAGGATCATCAACCCCTGGGTCTTCGGGTTCTTGACGATGAAGTCACCCTGGTGCCAAACGCCTACCGAACTATCAGCGCCAATATTCTCGGTGTAGTCGCACTGGCACATACCAGGATATGTGGTGAAGTAAGCCTTCCTGACCCTCTCCCCGGAGTCATCGCCCCAAAAGCCGAGCGGCAGAGACGGGTGCGGTCGGGTGCAGACGAGCTCGCCAGGGGCACCCGTGTCCTCGATGTTCTTGCCGTCCGAGTCGAAGATCTCGACTTTCATGCCGAGCAGCTTGCCCTGGATCTCTGCAAGACCGTGGTTCAGTCTGAGTCCCCGGGAGGATGCAGGGAAGACATACCGCCTGCATAGACCGGCGATGATGCGACGCCTCCTACGACTGTGTCCAGGCCCGTGAGCGTCTCCTGTAAGGATACTCGCGTTCGAGCGACTTACATCCACCGCAGATGTCCGTGCCGCCCGATACGGACAGGAGATGGACATTCGGGTTGAACGCCTGTTGGGTCCACTCGAACATCGGTGGGGTCAACACAGATCCTGTGGAAGAGATGACTCGTAGCGCAGCGAACGACGCCAGTTTCGCTGTTGTCTATCTCAGCATAATACGAGACATCGGGTAGTGGAGGGCACGTACATGGTTCTATTCCCTGCCCCTGCACTTCGCTCAGGAAGCGTGGGCTCGTACCAAACACTGAGACACTGCAGAATCCATAAGATTCCACGGGGCTTACTGACACGAACGCGGATTCCCACTCACCTTTCGCGGCTGAGGAACCGCAGGAAGTCGCGCACGTCGGGATAGAAGGGCGAGCCGTCGAATAATACGATGCGTGCGCCGCATGCAAGACCTTGCAGCATGTATGGCCACATCATCCACCCCGTCTGTGGGCTTATGTGAAGCTAGATCATACAGCAGATAAGGCAGAAAATGTACCGTCGTGAATTGGAAGTACGTGTCGTCAGTATTCAGACCAAGTGAGAGACGGAGTTCCTTCTTGGTTTGCAGCAGAACACCCTGGTGTCACGTCAAGTGAGCTGTCGTGGTGTACATCGTGGTGCAGTACTAACCCCGGCTGTATGGATGATGCACTTCGGCGGCCCAGTTGTTCCGGACGAGTACAAGATATATAGCGGATGGTTGAACGGCAGTTGCTCGAACACCAGGGGACCATTATCGCCTGTAGCCAGGAAAGCGGACATAGTGACGCTGTGTTTATGTGAGTTGTCTGCTCTTCACCGAAGACCAGTCGGGACCAGAAGGCCTCACCTTTTCGGAATCTTCCCCAGCTGCGCGGCCGACAGTTCTTTGACACTGGCCACGCTCGGAAGCAGAATGACGCCCTGCAATCCGTGCGTTGCGAGAGCTTTCGCAACCTCCGATACTTTGGGGACCATGTCGAAGGTTTTACCGGTCCAAGCCACCTCTGACTCGGAGAATATGACCTTTGGCTTAATTTGTTGGTAGCGATCCAGAATACCCTAGCAGAGTGTAGACATAAGGTCCGGTCTGAATAGAGGGTTGGGAAGCGACATACCTGGGTGCCCATGTCAGGTGCTGTACTGGAGAATATGGCACCTATGGATGCAGTCGCTAACGCGATCACGACCGCATCTATGCTGTTGGTAACAATCGCTATATGGTGTCAGCGATGCTAGTGTCAGTAGGACGCGGGACTACAGTTCATACCAGCAACTCTGTCGCCCTTCGTGACACCGTTTGCTCGCATCGCGGCAGCTAGTTTCCTGACCATTTCTCTAAGCTGGCGGTAAGTGTAGTGTTGCACAGCGCCCGACTCTCTTGCAGCAATGCATGCACCACCATCGTCACTTCGATGCAGCAAGTTCTCGGCATAGTTCAGCCTGGCACCAGGGAACCATGTTGGGAGCTCCTTTATTCGCCCTTCTTCCACTATCTGGTATCGCACTTGAGGAGCTTGATCAAAGGACAGCATACGATCGCAAACTGACCTTGTTCGGAGGGACAGAGGATATAATGCCAATAAATTCCCAAACGTCCATCCAGAACTCGTAGTTCTCGACAGAGTATTTATGCAGCTCATGGAAGTCTTCTGCTCGCAAGAGGTGAGCGGTGGAGTCGCAACACGACGATCACGTACTCAAATTCAATCCATGCTTGCGATTGACCTCACGCCGGAAGACCTCCAGGGAGGTGTATGAAGGTCTAGGTGGGCTCCAGATCAGTTTAGACTGTGCAAAGTGTCCGTCCATGGCGTCTGTAGACGGTCGAGTTCAGCGCGGTGTACACGAGTTCACGACACGCTCTGGCGGGGTGTCTCAGAAGTGCGCGGGCGGTCAGGATTAATGTCGCACGAAGAAGAGAAGGCGAGCATAAGCCGCAGTGCCATCTCTGTGCTGTCGGGTGCCCGGGATGGCCGCCATGATCACCTGGACATTGGACGTGGACATGGCCGTGACGCTGCTGCAGAGGCGCGGCGGCAACGTCCGAAGGCACGCAATGGTCGCCCGGAAAGGCAGCCAGCGCCTAACGCACGGGCAGCGCGTCCTGCCAGGCGTACCGCATCGTCAGGCTCTCCTCCACAACCAGCACTCCCGCAACGCTCCCCGCACGTTCCTTTCACCGCCTTGCACGCTGCTGCCTGGCCAGGCACTCTAAAAGCCACCCATCCCTGCGGCGCCTTGATTATCTTCCAAGCCGACCGCCATGAATGGCAACCACGTCAATGGAGACGCGACGTTGTCCAAGCAGCCTACCTATGAACGAATACAAATCATCAACGACGAGAAGCAATTTACGTGCGTGGCTACACTCGCTCGTGCTGTGGTCGCTGTTTATTGACCCCTCGACAGGCCAGAGTTGACACACCAGGTCGAGCGGTGGGGCCTGCAGAATGCCGGCTTCGACTACGACATTGTCGCTGTGTTTGGATCACAGTCTACTGGCAAAAGTATGCATCAGCCCTGACACCATCTATGCTTCTATCATTGACACTCTGCGAAATGTCTGCAGGTACACTGTTAAACCGCCTATTCGGCACTAACTTTGACGTCATGGACGAGACGAAGCGGCAGCAGACCACGAAGGGTACGCGACGATCTCAGAGTCTCGTTTGGTCCAGGTATTGACTCGCAATAGGTATATGGATATGCAAAGGGAAGGCTATGAACGTCATGGTTATGGACGTGGAGGGTACAGATGGGCGGGAGCGAGGAGAGGACCAGGTACGTCCGGTCGTCCCCTGCCCTCAGGACTGCCCTAATCTCTGCGCAGGACTTTGAGAGGAAGTCGGCTCTGTTCTCGCTTGCATCATCCGAGGTGCTCCTCGTCAACCTGTGGGAACATCAAGTCGGCCTGTACCAGGGTGCCAATATGGGGTTGCTCAAGACCGTCTTTGAAGTGAATCTTGGGCTGTTTGGCAAGAAGACTGCGGATGGGTGCGTTCATGCCTGATATTCAGAGCACTTCGGTCTAACGGGGTGGACACGTAGTCGCAACCAACGGACACTTCTGCTGTTCATCATTCGGGACCATATCGGCACGACCCCCCTAGCAAACTTGCAGGCCACGCTCACGGCCGACATGCAGAAGATCTGGGAGTCTCTGTCCAAGCCACCAGAGCTGCAAGATCGCCAGCTCTCCGACTACTTCGACCTCTCGTTCGCCGCGCTCCCGCACAAGGTGCTTGAGGCACAACGGTTCGAGACCGAGGTGGCGGAGCTTAGGAAGCGGTTCGTAGACAAGTCAAGGGAGGACTTCGTATTCAAGCCTGCCTACCACAAGCGCATTCCTGCTGATGGTGTTGCGTTCTACATGGAGGGCATCTGGGTATGCTGCTCAGTTGTCGTTTTCACTCAAATATTGAGCGCTGACACGTATGCTCTGACAGGAACAAGTCCAGAGCAATAAAGACCTGGATCTCCCAACCCAGCAGGAGCTGCTGGCCCAGTTCCGTTGCGACGAGATTTCCAGCGCAGCACTGGCGGAGTTCGCCGAACAGGCGAAGCCTCAGCGGAGACCGATCGAATCGGGCAAGGTTGTAGAGGGTCTCGGTGGTATGATGCAGAATTGGCGCACCGCTGCTCTGAGTACGTTCTCTCGTGTCAGACTCGAGCAGATTAGTGACGCGTTCTTGTCCAGCACGCTACGACCGCGACGCCTCGCGGTATCACCAAGGCGTGTACAAGCGCAAGCGTGCTGACCTCGTCAGCGTGCTCGACTCGACGATTTCGCCGCTCTTCCTCGGGCAGCTGAAGAACCTGCACAAGGCATGTCTCGTCCAGTTCAAGGATGAGATGCACCAGGGCATGCGCGGCGAGGGCTACAACTTCGCGGACGTTGTCGTGAAGGCGCGGGAGCGCTGCGAGAAGCGCTTCCTGGACGGCGCGAAGGAGGCGATTGTCGAGGGCACGGACTGGACGTATGAAGAGGAGTACGGGCTGTTGCAGCAGGAGGTCGGGAGCGTCGCGAACCAGTGCAGGAAAGACGAGACGAAGAAGATGGTCAACACGATTGAGGTAGGGTGGACGTTACTAGGTGATGGATCGTTTTCTGACTTTGCGGACGCGATCGCAGCGGAACTTCAAGAAGCAGATCTCGGAACCTGTCGAGCTGGCCCTCAACTTACCGGATCACGACATGTGGGACAAGGTGCTCAAGGCGTTCCGCGACAACCTCACCAAGGCCGAGTCGTCGTACCTCACCAGAGCGAAGAGTTCGTTGTTTTCCGTGCATTCCAGACATGCCAGCTCATGTTTCCTGTAGGCTTCGACTGCACAGATGAGGAGAACGAGACTGCGCTTGCGTCCCTGCGGAAGCGGGCGTGGCTCGCATTCCGGGCGAAGATCGACGAGCAGACGACTGATGCGGCGTTCCTCACCAAGCTGCGCACGTACTTCGAGGAGCGCTTCCGATACGACGAGAACAATGTCCCGCGTGTCTGGAGGCCCGGAGATGATATCGACGGTGCCTTCAAGAAGGCGCGAGACCAGGTATGTCTCATCCTGTGCCTATCCACACACCCCACTCATGTACATACACCCAGACCCTCGAGCTCGTCCCCCTCTACGCCAGGATCCACCCCGTCGACCCCTCGCTAGAGTACACGCTCCCCTCCGAGACTTCGGACTCGCTCACAGAGGCGGCGGACGACTTCGACTTCCCGGCGACGCTCGTGATCTTCACGGAGACGAAGATCCTGGACATCATGGCGCGCTTCCGGCGGGACGCGGACGCGTACTACGTCGAGGCAAAGCGGAGCACAGTCTCGAGCGTCGCGCAGATCCCGTACTGGATGTATGGCGTGCTCGTCGTGCTCGGCTGGAACGAGGCGATGGTCGTCCTGTTCAACCCGATGTACTTTGCGATGCTGGCGTTGTTGCTTGGGTTTACGTGAGTATCGGAGGTCGCACTCTGTTTGAACGTGGTGCTGATAGTAGTATTATAGGTACATAAGCATTCAGCTTGGATTGATCGGGCCGATGTTGCAAGTGAGTAAGACCGTTGGAGGCGAGGTCAGTATCATCTATCTGGGATGTCTCAATGCACAGCAGGCGCTGATTCTCCTCACAGGTCCACCGCCAAGTCGACAGGCGTCTCCGCGAACACTTCTCGCAGCAAGTGATCACCCAACCCGTGCGCGCGCAACGCATGGAGGGCGATGAGGCCGAGCGGGAGCTCCGGCGGAGGAAGGCAGAGCCGATGTAGGCCCGCGTGTGGTACGTCTCTCACGAACATTTCCTTATATCGGATGGGATACCTATTCTTGTAATTATTGTCTCGCGCTTGCCTGAGTATTTACGAAGAGGCTTTTGCATCATGAGAACACTGTCGCTGTGAGAGTGAGATCATCATTGCAAACAGGCGTTAGGTATGCTACAGAATACGAAGGATATGCACGGCTACAGGGATTGGACAAAGATAGCGAAACACCAAGCAGAACGAGACGAAGTCATCCGGTCATGCCGAGGTTAGCCTGAGTTTGCACGCCAGAGCCTAGCACTCTGCCATGTCGATCTTCCAGCTTGAAGTAGAAGGTGAATACTACGTCCGGGTCATCTCCATAAGCATAGACGATCCCGATGTGCGTGGAAACGTCTGCATCGTACACGAACGCAGCTCGTCAGCACGTGTGGCCACTTATATGATCGCGAGTTTGAGGTACTAGCTCAGTAGCTGCGTGGTGTTAAGCGCGGCGTTGAATTCCCAGTTAGGAAGGAATGGGTATGAGTACGCAGCAGCCTGAGCCGCAGTGAGCGCTAAGTGAGCGCGGTGTTCGACTGTTGTTCGCGATCTTCGAGGTTGATTCACTACTATCGGGTTCGGACCCAACAAACGTTGCCCTAGCCTCGTCTGATTCCAGCGGCATTTACTCATTTCTGCGAAATGGCTAAGAAGAACAAGGGCCAGGAGCCTACCGCTACTTTGCAATCCGTCACGAATAGGGACATCCTCCAGCGACTCAACTTCCTCTACCAAGCGAGCGCGTATCTCAACACTATTGCGCCGCACGCAGCCACCACCAAGCCAGAGGGGAAAAGGGCTACAAATCATGCCGCCAGGGAAGAGCTACGTAGGAAGAAGAGGCATCCGGCTACGACGTCGGACCTGTCGCGCAACTATGTCGCGTCGATGAAAGCGATTAGTCAGAAGGCTACGGTCAAGATGTACGTTACCCTTGCCATTGCCTTAGCTTCGCTTTTGACGATGTGCACCGGGAGGACAGGGATCCAACCATCAAACGAACAATTTGCCAGAAGTGCAATACGGTACTAATACCTGGAGTTACGGAGGAAGTACGAGTACGAGGTATTTCCCTCCGTTATCTCCCTCTGCGTAATGCTCAACCACAGAGCTTGTTAGGATCTCGAATACACGGCAATCTCGTAACATACGCATGCACTGCCTGCGGCTTCGTACGCCGGATCCCTGCGCATCCGATCCTTGACCCAGACGCTCCCCCGGAACCCTCAGCTTCCGGGACCACACCCGCTGTTCGCACGGCAGACGTCACAGGATATGAGCCTGAGGCGATGGACGTCGACGTTGCCCAGCCCTCGACCTCTGCTGCGGGCTCAAAGCAAGAGACGAAGAAGGCGGAGAGGCCGAAGCGGCGTCGGAGGAAAGGACCTCAGCCCCGGCTCCCTCCTCTGTTCCAGAGGAAGGGCCATGTCGTCTTCAGAGGGAATGCGAGACTCGAGTCTGACGATGCAGTATGAGCCCCATGTGCTGCCGAAGAAACAGTTGCAACCCGAGTGTCCATCACACGACATCTCAATCACAAACCTTTCGTTGGGCAGGAAGCTTTTATAGCCTGTGTCTAGCTGTGCTCAGGCCTTGGGCAGCCAAACCCAGTGATTGTCGCATCCCGATGATTGGTGAAGACCACTGCGAACATTGATTGGCGTGTGTTATGTGACGTGTGTACTGTATTGTACGTGTGTTGTAGTATACGACCAGAGGACAAGTGTCCAGACGTCCAGGAACAGACGAACATATGTAAGTTTTGTACAATAGGATTATGCGCTTTACCAGGTACTGTCTTTGGCATGTCAAATGTTCCAGTCAATGAAACCGATTTCATCGAACAGTTGCCTCTCGACGGGGATGGGTTGCAGCTCCATGTCGCTGTCGGGGTGCCAATAAATATCGCCATCATCCAACGTCGGATTCTCGATCCCATGCCTGCGAAGCAGAATGGGCAACGAACGATCAGAGAGCACGAATCTAACACGGGACACGATGCCTACTCACTGCTGTTTTACGTGCGCTGTCACCGAGTCCTGCTGCGAGATCAGCGACCACACGCTCACCCGGGCAATATCGCAGTAGCCGCAGCGCCACTCGATGTGTCCAGAACGATGCACTTTCAATTGGGTCCTGCGCTTGTCCTCACGATCCTTCACTGCTGCTTTCTCCTTGTCCGTGGCCATCCTCCACTCGACGGGGTTGAAGCTGAAGTATCGACCAGATGTGGGTTGTACGTACTTGATCTGCGCAACACTCAGACATCTGAACGTCCTCGCAGACTACATGCGGACTCACCGCTCGTCGCCACGACATGACCTTGGCCCCTGCCAGAGACGTTTCGGAAGCATACAAGACTCTGAGGTCGGCGTCGTCCATGTCCTTCTGGGTAGTGACCTTCGGGTCCCGGCCACACCTCTCTATGATGGTGCGGACGTGGTCCAAGCAGGGTGCCGCGATGATCCTCGCCGCGCTCCATGGCATTCTATAGCGGCTTAGCTCAATGACGGCTTCGAAATAATCGCCGTGCTTGGCCTGTATCTCCGGCATGTCGAGGAACGGCGAGAGGCACTCATGCGCGAGTATCTCCGGGTGCAGCATGTACCGCTTGCACTCCTTGCACTGGAAAAGTGTAGCGGCGAGGTCCAGCGCGTCCACGCCACCGCCCACCTCGACGACACCCAATATCGCCCGGAGCTCCGCCATGCACTCACGCTGCCACCGCTCCTCGAACTCACACAGCCTAGGCATGAGTGCATCGAAAGTTGCCTGGTCCACGACATCTTCGTTCGGCGCCTCGACGAGCGGACGGAAATCCGGCATCATCGCGAGGTCCTGGAACTTGGGCTTGCACTCGTCCTTCGCGGTGCGCTTCGGCGGCGCAGTGCGCGCGGCAGTGACAGCGGACTTCAGCGCCATGAGGCGTCTCCGGATGAGCGTACGACGCTCGCGGCGGAGGCGGGCCTCCTTGATCTCTTGCATGTGCTGGACGACCTCGTCCTGAATCTTCGCCCATGCTGCAACAAGTCACGAGTGAGGTAAAGACTGAGTGGGATGAGGTAACGAGCAAACCTCGTTCAGTGAGTACTTTTGATGGTCGAACTTGGGCATGCTCGCTGAGCGGACGGTACTCGAAGTCTGCGATGCAATCAAGCTCCTCCCCCCACCCGAGATCACGCAGCTTCGCCACAATACTGTGTAGACTGCATCAACGGAGTGACTATATGCGCGAGAAATCGGTACTGACGTAGTGAGACGCTGCTCCCGAATATCTTGCAGCTCCGCCGACCTGTTTGAGACCCGCTTTCTGTCCCAGGCGCGACATAGAACAGAGTGCTATGGAGCCGCCGGTCAGCAGCAGCATCAGGCAGGAATCACTGTTGAGATATCGCACCTTGTAAATCTCCTCGATGCGCGTTTTCTCTTGCGTCACGATTCCGGTCCATTTGGCGTTGTCTTCGCGGGTGCTCTCCCAGAGTACCTTCAATCTGTCCAGTTCCCGGCAATGGTAGACCTCTTGTCTATTCAGAAAGACCTACATAGTTATGAATTTTAGTCAGAGGAAGGATATGAGGGCGGTGGGTCCCACCTTGTTGAGAGCGCCTTCAAACCTGAGCGACATTGCCCAACTGTATTTGAATTCGAAGTATATAGCTTTGGCTGATATAGTACTAGCGCATATATCAGCATGATCACGATACACACGAATCGGGGAACATTTACAGTGTCTTCACACAAGGAGGGCAGTACCGCGTGCCAAACTCCCAAAGGATGGTCTGAACGTTGGGTTTCAGACAGTTCTGCAACGGGCCGCTCAACTGAGCAATGCGCGAGATAGTACAGCAGCATATACGCACATGACAATAGGGAAAGAAAGCGAGGTTGGCATATGCGGGTTCGCTCAGGCGCGGGGGGCAGTCCGGTAGACCCTCGACATTTACCCGAGCAGCCTTCCACATAGTCGCAGAGTTGCGACTCAAGAGGAATGCACGGAAAGGCTTGGTGGTGCGCGCGAGGTTGAGCAAGTCGCGAGGCTCCAGGTGGCAGAAGATCTACCGCGAATGAGGTGAGCACGAGACAAGGTGCGCGTAACCTCGTACCTCCAGCAGAATGTCGAGAGGCATAGTGGGCATATCTTTGAGACCACCTCTTTTGCCTCGCAGGTTCCTACGCCCGCCTTCCTTCTTCGGAGGGGCGTCGCCTGGATTGACATCGACTCCTAGGGCGATCTTCTTCCTCGGCATCGTGCTGGAGAGGGAGTGGCAATGCAGAGAAGAAAGTGTGCAGGGTACTAGATGGTGGAGGTAGAAAGTAAAGTCAAGGCCATCCGCTGCGCTGCGCTGTGACTATAAGTAGTGGTTGCCAACGGGACATCGGATCCATGTCCATTCGACCTCAATTCAACCCTACGCCGGCCCCTCTCGGCATGTTCCGGGTCTTGTTCGTCGCGTCTCGCCACAGCTGGCCAGTGGATTCCAGCAGCCACCGTCGTCTTGTGATCAGCCGCCTATCAGTAGCCCAGACTGTCGAACCTGGTCAGACGAAGAACGTAATTGCACCGAGCGTTGCCAATCAGGACCGCCATGCCGCCACAAGTGCACGTATGTACGAAATCAGCACAGCCACCGACGCCTTCGCGAAGAATGTTCCCTGGGTCTCAGTGAACTCGACTCTACCACGAGGCTTGTGGCAGAGGTCGGGGTTTGATTTTCGTATCAGGTTGCAGGTCGTGACTCGTGAGCTACTGTTGTTTAACGTCCGGGGAAGGTGCGTAATAATCATTGTATGGAGAGATATCGCTACACGAGAGTCGACAGACAGAGACTCGGAGAAAGACAAGTCGGGATGACCTACGACGAACGATACAGGTGCTAAAACTACAGGACTGCTGCATGAACAAGTCGTGATAACTACGGGACGGAGAGTGTTTCACAGGGAATGTCTCAATTCTGGCCCCTTCGCGGGGCTTATGAAGGTATGAAGATATCCACATCGCTGAAAACTTGTGACAGCTTTGCTCAAGGAGGCGAGGAACGTTCAGCCCAACCGAGATGGTCCGGCAATAGGCCTGCCCTCCGCGTCGACCCAACGCGCGTACACGGCCGCACGACGATCCGCCTCGATTTTGTTGAGCAACAGAGGCGCATGGCGGAACTCCGTCTCCCACACGATCTCTTCCCTCATGGTATCCCTGACGGTGGTCGTGACGTCGCCCATGCTTGGCAGGTCGCGCGGCTGGAACAACTGCTCCGTTCGACGATCTCTGGGGACGTACTGGCGTCGCACGGGAGTACAAACCTTGCCGCCTCTGGCTGGGCGCTGCGACCGACGGATTGCAGGGCGTCCACGCTCGATTGACTGGGAGCCAACGTCTTCACCATCATCGACGGGCACAACAATCTCGTCTGAGCTACGCTCCGCAGGCTCCGGTTCGGCATTGGTCTCCTCAACGACTGAGGCAGTTGGCTGCAATGACTCGGCCGGGCCGGAAGTAGATTGGCCTTGCTTCCATTTCTTGAGTTCCTTCAGAGCGTCCATGGACTCAGTCAGATGACCAAACGTCTGGAAGATCTCTCCCTGCCTCAGGTGAGCATATACCAAATTTTTGAAATCGTAAAAGCACGCACCAAGCTCATCTTGCCGAATACGGGCTGAGAGGTCCGGGCGTTCCTCTTCCGACGTTTTTCCTCAAGGCTGTTGAGCCACTCCTGGATCTCCTCCTTGGTGCCGCTCCCGAAAGGCATAGTGCCCGCCGCGACGCCCTCCTTGAACCGGTCGGACATGTAGCTTACGGCAGTCATGTCGAGGCCATGCTTCTGTGCACGTCGCGAGCGCTCGCGACGTTCCTGGTCCTCGTCGCCCCGAGGGACACGCGAACGGAAGTTCGTGGCGTCTCGCGAAGCGAAAGCCCGTCGACCTTTGGAGCCTTGACCAGCGGCTTGCTTCCCCTTGCCACTCGATGTTGCCCGAGTACCATTCTCCTTGTCATCGCCACCGACAATATTTGCGGAGTACGCCTTGGCGCGGGCAACACGGTCACCACGAAGGGTAGCGGTAATGGCGTCGCGCCTAGCCTTCAGTGCCTCCAGTTCCGCGGTCCGTTTGGACAATTCCTCTGTGGTAGGAATGTCGGTCCCCGTCGCGCTCTGTCCGGAAGCTGAGTCGCTCGAATCGAAGAGACCCAACGCAGCCGCGCTCTGGATCACCTGCCGATACAGCGGATCGGTCGGTAGCTCGAGCGGGCGAGGAAAGTCAGCCGGGGGGCAGGCGAACGGCGGCGAGGCAGTGGCCGACTGTGCGGCACCAGCGTCCTGAGCCGAAGAAGGGTTGAGTGGCTCGTCAGGGAAGGGATTCCAGGTGAAAATGGGAGAGCGTTCGAGTTCGTCTAGCGCACGCTCCATGTTGTCGACCTCTGCCTCGAGGCGCTCCACGGTTTCCATCCCCTCGTTCAGCTCCATGGCCATCTTGCGAATCCAGGCTGGTTGCGAAGGATCCATTGGGTCGTCTGGCTGAATGTCCCCCGAGTTGATCAAGATGTATGGGGTAGGGATCGACTCAGCCTCGTCCAAGATGGCTTGAGCGGTACGAATGACGTCGGACAAACGTCTCTGGCCCTTGTCGCGGGGGCGGGGACGGGAGCGGGGGCGGGGGCGGGGGCGGGGGCGGGGACGAGGTGTATTGTCCGCGATTGGCCTAGGCTCTGGGTGCGCATCGTCGCTGCTGTTGGACCCATCTCCCTGGCAAGCGTCAGGTTTATCTTCCCTCTCCGTTCCTTGTGTATTCTGACGTTGAGCGAGCAGTCTTGCGAGGAGAACCTCCAGCAGGTTCTTCACTGCCGGTCGCAAGCTGAGAAAACAACAATAGAAGATGTACGCGAGCACGAGGGTGATTGGCCACGGGGGCATCACATTTGAGGCCGAATACGTGTTGTTCCGGTTCGAAGGATGCTGACGATAAAAACTGTAGGCACCATGGTTCACTTCATCCTCGCCGACTCTGGTCAGTGTTGGAGGAAGCATGTTTGGCTGCGGAGGTTGATCGACCGGAGTGATAAGCGACGGGATCGGTTCTGGCTCCGTTGGAGGCACTAGCGTCACCGGAAGCTCCGGGGATTGTTGCTCGGAGAAGGATGCATAGCCTGGATCTTCCGAGTCAGATACCAGTGTCGTCGGGGTTGTTGAGGGCTCTGTCTCGGCCTGCATGAAGGGCGTCGGATCAAGCGTAGAAGCCGCGACCTCGGACGGTAGTTCCAGTACTCTGCGGGCCCTTTGTCAGGAATCTAGCCGTCGAGAATGATTTGGCACTCACCGATGATCCCAGATATGTCGAATAGAGGCTGCGATGGCCATCCCGAGGTATTGTGCCCTTCGCAGGGCAACGTTCCATCGGTGAACCCCATCGTGCAACATCAAGTCCATGTAAAGTTCCGCCAGGGCCCTGGCAGCACCCAATAGGATAACATACGGCATCGCGAGTCAACCGGAGGAGAGAGCGAGTGGGTAGAGAGCGCGCCGACACTGTGGCCAGCGGGCAGCGGGGAGAAAGTGGGGTGTCCGAGTGCAAAACGAACCAGGTGGGGTGCTTTTGTATGCCCCGCTGTCATACTGACTGTTCACTGTGAAGAGACGTATCACGAACGGCCTGTTTCCGATGGCAGTCGCTGGTGCCCGCCGTTCCATTGCCTTTCAATTCGCCGAACACAACGCTTTAAGCGTGTCCATGTCGACAGGTTTCAAATGCCACTTTCGGTGTATGCGGGAGGCGGCGGCGCCGACAACAATGGTCGACGCGAGTGCTCGCCGCCCACCGTTCACCTCGATTAGCCAATCAGGATGCGGGGAACGACTCGGCGGCGGATCGCGCGCGACGCGTCAACGGCGACTCACCGCGCCCCCGTCGCGTCTAGCACGTGCGGGCTTGTTGAATCGCATTCAACAAGTCCCTCACGTGTGCTGTGTGTCGAGGGCTATAAAAAGCCTGTGCCCGCCCGTACATCCTCACCCGCCGTCCCCGCTCGCTCCTCAGTTACTCGCACTACTCCCCCACGCATCATCCACCTCTCGTCCATCAGTTTCACGAGCCATGCTCGTCGCGCTCTATCTCTCACGGGGCCTAGCCGCCCTCAAGAGCATCTTCGTCCTCACCGCTGGCGCCTCTACCTCATGGTACTCGCAGTACCTCGACAGCCCAACGATTGGACCCGGCCCATTAATCATGACGCTTGCCTACGTGCTCTGGACACCTGTGCCGTACGTGACCTTATTCTTCCTGTCTTCGCACATCGGTTCAATGACGAGTTCGACTGCAGCTCCGTGGCAGTGCCCGATGAACATCTTGAGGAACTAAGCCAGCTTTTGGAGTCTCCGACACTGGACCTCGTCCTTTTCCACACGCTCGCCCTAGAGCCTGAGCCAACTAGTACGTAAATTCCTGTCTCACCAAACCGTGAGTCTCACTGCTTTGCAACAGAGTCCAGTGCCCTTCCTTCCGCTCGCGTTACTCCTCCAGTTCCCGAGTCCACCAGTCTTCCTCTCCAACACGACAGTACCTCCACATCTCAGCCCCCCGTGATCGTCGAGGTGCCTGAGCTCGACTGGACGACCCCGGGGGCTGCAACCCTTCGACCGTCCAAGGTTGAGGAAGGGTGGCCTGATGTCATCTTCTACGACCTCTGGGTTACGATCGTCGTATGGGCCCCTCTCAACAGCACTTTCTGGCAGCCTCTACCTGGTCCTATCATCCCTGACGATGTTGTACCCATGCGGCAATACCAAGCTCCTGAATTGCTCTTCGACAAGATATGCAGGACCAAAGGACCGCACGACGAGGATTTCCGATCGAGCAAGGATCTCAGCATCCTGGCTATCCGCGCCCTGGTGCTGCTCGTATCAATGGCGTGCGTCCTGGTGCCGCTTGCACCCATCCCCCGCCTTATTTTACAGGCTTGGCGAGTCTGTAGACGTCGACGCTAATCGCACGGCATCGACAATCGTCATTCACACAACAGGAGTTCGGAGTGGTCCGTCGGTCTTCCCTTGTACGCCTTATGCCCATTGACGCTGCTGCTACTGCTGACGAGTCATGTTCAGTGATGTCCTGGAGGCATCATTGCCGACGCATTGGCGGATCGCCACTCCTTCGGTTTTGGTCTGGTCAGTCGACGATCGTCGACAACGTATCTGACGATACTCGCCCTACGGTCCCCCGGCGGTGCTTTGATGATCCCCAGGTTGATCCTGGGGGCATCATGCATTGTCTGCATCATCCATCGGCGTCGGCTTGTGCACGGTCGACAATGGTGTGAACAGGCAGGCAGCCGCCTTCGCCTTCGCGGGACCTGATGTCACATCCTATCCACGCCTCGGTTCCGGTCTCTCATCCTCGATTTGTCCCAACCTCGCCTCTGTATACTCCTTCTGGCTGATCCTGTCTCCTTACCTTATCGACTCTATCCGGCCCACCTTCGATTTGTCACTACCTGGCCTTCAGTCTCCGTCTGGTCTTCCCTAGCCTCGGTCTCCATCTCCCTTTCTCGTCTCCAACCCGCCTCGCCTCGATTCTTATTTCCAGTATCCATCACGCCATTGCATCGCCTCGCCTCGGACCTCGCCTTCAAGTCTCATCACACCATCTTGGTACCGTCTCTGCCTGCGCCCTTGCATGATCCATGTCTCGTCTCAACCTCATCCGAGGAACCTGATCTACGCCTTTCCTTATGACGCCTCCTCGCCGCATCGTCTCCTCTCACCTCGGCTCCTCTTCTCATCGCTTAGCCTTTACACGGAGGCCGATCAGCCTGTCACCGTGGCTTGCACCTATCTGGTGACACCAGTAAGTTCTCTCTCCGACTTTGCCGGTGTCGCTGCATTGCCTCTTACCATCACTTTCTTCTAGCGCTTCCATTCGTCTCCTGCCTCTGTTTGCGTCACCCATACTCGCATCAACTTCACTTCGCCTCACCCGCCCCTCTCGCCTTTGTCTAATTAGGGCACGCTCTCCCACCTGCCTTCCGCTGCCCCGCCTTGCTCTCGGTCTTTCTCAACGCCGCCTTGTCATCTTCTCGTTACCGCGTCATGCCTGGCTACTGTCATCGCGATCACCGCTCTTCTCAAGTCGTTGAAGCCGCTCTGCGCCGTCTCTCAAACCCGCTCATCTTGTTTTGCATCTCGTCATTGTTCGATTTTCCGTCTACAACGCCTCGTCTACGTTCTGCTCCATGTCCACTATGCTGTCTCTCGCTTGCCCTCAACCCATCATCCCCTCTCGTACGCCCCCTCGCCTCATGGCTTTATCTTCGCTTCGTCGATACGACTGCTCGCCTCACGACTGTCTCACGGCCGTCACCGCATACTCCTCCACCCGCGTCCTGCCGCTGGCTCCTCAAGCAACACCGCCTCGACACGTACGCCTTGGACTGGGCTCCCGACCCATGCCTCGATCCCTTGGTTTCATTTCTCGTCTTCGCCTCTTCTCGTTCATGTCCACCCTTCACGATATGTCAACGCCTCGGTTCCTGTTCCCTAGTCTATGGTCTCCCTCTCCTCCTTCATTTTCTCCGCTGGATGGATTTGTACGAAGCCCACTCCTCGATGTCTCCCTTTCATGTATCTTCAGATCTGGACTGTGTACCCTACTGAACTCTACGTAGTCTCACTGTCACCTGAGGACAGGGATTGCACTCCGGCACCGGACGCGGTGTTGCAGTGCAGTTCCTGCCCTTGCACGGGACAGATATCCTTATCGTATAGCATCGGTCTTCCTGTATCTAGTACTTGACTTGTATCGAACGATCAATGTACAATTAGTGGCTCATGGGATATTTGTCCAAGTTCGTCATTTCTATCATGCAAGTGATCTTTGTTTGAGATGCGAATATTCGAGTGGCTGTACTACTACGACTGCCTAAAATGGGGGTGCACCTGGCTGAATGGCTGTGCCTGTGAGCGGTCCGCCAAACAAGCATCAACTGACCTGTATACGTGGCAGTCGACGTGTTCCGACGTTCTTCACGACCACCACGTACGTCCTGCGCCCGACCGCAGTCAGCTCGGCTCTACAAAAACTCGCCTCTCCTTTCATCTTTCTCCTCCACGTAACGTCTACGTATTACGCCTCCGCCATGAAGAGAGCAGCAGACACCGAACTCGCGCTCCCCTCCTCGCCCGCGGAATCGTCTACCTCCCCAGTACCCTCCTCATCAGAACCGCCACGCAAGCGCTCCCGCTCCGAGACCAGTCCCGACGAGCGCAAGGAAGCCCGCGCACACCGTAACCGTATCGCGGCCCAGAATTCGCGCGACAGGCGGAAAGCACAGTTCTCTCATCTCGAGCAGCGGGTAGCCGAGCTCGAGGAAGAGAACAGGCAGCTGCGTGCTGGGATGGGCCTTATGGGCCTCAGGCAGTCGGAGGACGACAAAGTGAAAGAACAGCGAGAAAGAGATAGAGCAAGGGATCGGGAGAACGAGGAGCTGAGGGCGAGGATTAAGACGCTTGAGACGGGCTGGGACGCCGTCGTCAAAGCGCTGGCCGCCTCCGGGCTGCCCCTCAGCGTCCCCAGCGCACCTGCGCCCTCCGCGAGCTCCTCTACTCCCCCTAACCCCCCTCCAGCCGACTCATCGTCGTCGGACGCACCTATGACCACCACATTTCCGGTCCTAGTCCCCCCATCACCTACCTCCGTATACCCTATCTCCCCTGCCCCGACCGACCCGAGCACACCCCTCGACATGTTTGACGACTTTGCCCCCACTTGCCACCTAGCACGGGTGGTTAGCACCGATGCCCCTCGTTTATCATCGGTGCCCCTGCAGCGGGTGGGCCAGAGCCGTCAGACACCAACCTCCTCCAACTCACGCTCGGGCTCGACACCGCCCTTCCTCCGTTCCACCTCCTCCCTCTCCGCGCTGGCCAAGAGCAGCCCCCTTCCGCTGTGGATGAGGTGGCTATGGAAAACCTCCTCCGCGAGATCCTTGCGCCCTCTCCCGTCACCGCGCCGGCGGCGCTGCCCGCTGGTCCTGTTCCTATCACCGGCGCCCTCCCCGACGCGCCCGCGCCAGAACACGAAGGGCCTGCCGCATTCGCGACGCAAGCCCCCGCCTCGGCCGCGGAGGCGGTGAGCGCGGTGGCTGTCGACTGGGATGGACAGGCGGAGATGCAGAGATTGTTGGGCATGCTCCCTGGTGCCCTGCCTGACGTGGGGGCGTTCCCGTCCGCGCTCGACCTCGATGTCGACTTTGGCATCGGCGAGTGGGACATGGGCGGCGCGGTTACCCAGGAAGTCGGCGTGTGTTAGGCACGCGGCTCCCTCCCATTTCCTTCCGTCAGTCACATCTCTTGGATAACGCATCTTTGGGTCTCGCGTCTATTTATCGGACCAGTCGCAGTACACTATCTCTCTGTTTTGTTTTCGTTCGATTTCTCTCCGTTCGATTTTTTGCCGTTACTTCGCTCCTGCGCCGGTTCTCCTGCCTCCTTTCCTTCTGCAGTACGTAGCTAGTCCGGCCCGTGGTCGCGTTGCTCGCAGCAGTCTCCCTCCTGCTTCCTGTGTAGTTCTCCCCTCTTGGGTTGACGAACTGCCTGTGTTGTGGGTGGTGAGCGCGCGTGTGCGTGTCTGTTGGGTGTAGGTTAGATGTCGCTCTGTAGTCGGTGTAGTTTGGTTTGGTCGGTCGGTCAATGCAGCGTCGTTGCGATGAATCTTCTGTGTGCATAACGAACGAACACATTGATCTGCTGCCAAGCGTGTGCATGCGTGCTCAGCAGCGCTGGACTTCGTCATCTGAGCATCAGACATTGTCATCCCGCTCACCGCAGGCTGCAGGCACGTCATTGGGCGCGTATGTCTTACAGTGGCAGACTTGCGCCCACCGCATGCCACACCAGCGCTGGCCAGTGACCTGCAGGGACGTTATCGAGAAATATTGGGAACACGCATGTCTCGGACAGGTGCAGGAACGATCACACTAACCCTGATGCATTGAATGACAGACAGGCCAGTGGCCAAGAGGACCTAAGTGACAACACGGACAACGAGAGCATCAGGAAGCCACGCCGCCTTCACGTACACACAACAAGAACACCTGCGGGTTCTCGCGCCCATTACGCCTTAAAGACGCAGGGGGAGGGCGCGTTTTGACCACACGCGGGAGAAGCGCGTCAGTCCTCCTGCATGTCCGTGTCCTTCGCGACGAAGGAATCCTCGCCCTCATCGTCGTCGGCGTCCTCCGGCTTCAGCCCGGCCTTCTCGAGAGCAGCCGCAGAGGTGTAGTCGACGCGTACACCACGCGTACGACGCGTGCCAATAATCACGGAGGGGTCGATCTCCTCCAGGTCGTCCTCCTGTACGCGATTACACACGCGTCAGCGCCCAAAAACGCGAAAACGACACGCGGAGAGCCTACATCGTCTTCGTCTATCTCGTCCTCCTCTTCTTCCTCCTCTTCGTCGTCCTCATCGTCGTCCGCTACGTCCTTCTGGACAAACTTGCCCTTGCCCTTGTCGGCAGGGGACGCGGCGGGATTCTGCGCGTCTGCAAACGCGCCAGTGGCGGATCTACGCAGGACAGGTTTGGTTAGCAGCGCGCGTGGCGAAAGGGATGTGCAACTGATAACACACGTTGCGGATGTGGCTTCGGTGGACATTGTGTTTCGGAGCGTAATTGAGGGTGCAGGTGTGCGGCAGAGTGAAACGGCGCAGCGGGCGGGCGGGCTGGAGGTGGTCGCGGTGAAAGACGCGTTCTGGCCTCGGGCCACGGGATTGCGCGCAGAACGGGCGGCGCACGTGGCCTGTTGGGCCGAGGGCGCGCCGTGAGCGCGCCGCCGACGAGACCGGGAGCGCCCGTGGTCGTGGTGGGCAGACAAACCGGCCCAAAAGGGGTGGCGTAGACCGCGCAACCGGCTAGCGTTGTGCGCGGTTTGCGAGTCTGCGGGCTGGTGTGTGCAGCGTCGCACCAGCAGACGGCGGACATGAGATAATAAATGGGCGGCCGGGTCGCGCGGGCTCGGCTACGCACAACGAGGATCGCAGGGCTTAGGTAAGCAGCGAGGCATGATCTCAGAGCGGATTGTGGCAGGACGCCCTGCTGCCGCCGCCTCCTACCATGGCACGCGGGGGCATCACTCCCTTTCCTCTTGACCCTCCCCGTCCGTCCACCTCCACACCCAACGCCAGCACCAGCGCAGACCAGCCAGCCAGCCCGACATCCACCGCACGCCCCCCGTCCTTCTCTCTCCCCCAGCCCGTCCAGCGGCTCCTCGACTTCGGCGTAGGCACCCCAGACCGCGACCGGGACATGGTCCCGACGCGCTCCAAGAGCCTGGCGACACCCCGCACCCCCGCAGAGCAGCCCCCGCTCCTCACCGTCAAGCTCTCCGGGCCCTCCTTCCTCGACACCATTATCCGCGACACTGTCACCAAGGATCCGCTCTACATTGTCGAGACTTCGCGCGAGATGACCCACGTCTATCGCCTTGACGCGAGCCGCCGCGAGGCAGGCAAGGCCGCGTCGATCCAATGGCCCCAGACCGTCTCGCAGTCCAGCAAGGGCAAGGGCCGCTCCGGGAAGAGCATCCAGATGAGCAATGGTAGCTGGAGGGATGCCGAGGACTTCCTCAAGGTCGGGGCGCTGGGCAATCTTGCGTGTGTATCTCTATCCGTGTCTGCACACTGTCCGTACTCACATCGCGCAGGAGCAGGAAGTTCAGTCTCCCCCACTATCCCCACACACTCAAGTGGAAGCTTATCCCGGGCGATTGCTACGTGGTGAGTATTGTCATATGCTCGCTCAGCGCGCGCGTCCGCGCTGCACCCGACCTTCCCGCCTAAGCCACTTCCGCGTTTCCCAAATACTCGTCGACGATGTCGCATGCGGATCGATCAGCGATAGCTGATGACACCTGTCATTCGCACACCACGGGCGGGCGAAGCATACCCAGGCGGTACCGCTTTCAGCATCGCTTCGGGGCTACCTGCGCAATCTCCTTGTACTGGCAATGTGCAAGTCAGAGCAGGAATGGCACACAGACATCCGGGGTTTCATGCCAGCCAGCTGCGACACCGCAGCGCCGAAACCCCCTCCCATGTCATAGGGCTTCTAACGTCAGCGCCGGCGAGGTTGCTCGTCCAGAAGCAGCGCCCATAAGGACGCCCGTCTTCTGGCCGTATGGTATCCTAGTGACTGGCAGGCATGCTTGTGAGAACAGACATGTCTTATACTTCAGTGTGCCTTGGTCAAACTTGTGTGGGGTCATACTTGTCTACGGTATACTGACCGTGATTGCAGTGCGGAACCTCCGGCCTTAAGGGACCAGTCGCTGTGCTGGATGCGGCGACATTGTCTGCACCACCACGTCTCCGCATTTATCAAACCCTCACCACGCCAGACCTCGCACGAAATCAGCAGAACCATGCCGGCATCCCGTTCCTGCTGTTGGACTACCTCGTTGTCACATCTCTCCTCCTCACAACCACTACCCAAGAGTGGCTAGACCGCCCCGCGGACGCACACCTTCCGGGTAGCAGCTCGCGCGCAGTCAAGAAATGGCTCGCCCTTATCCACCCGGACCGGATCGACGAGTCGCAGAAAGACAAGGAGAAAGAGAAGGAGCGAGACAAGGAGGATAGGGAGGGCAGTAGCCCCGGTGGGACGCTGGGCCCGGGGAGCAGCATCGATGGCTCGACGCCGGTGACACCGTCGAGCAGCCGAGGAGCGCGGGTCTGGGAGGCCCACATGTCGTGGTCGTCGGGAAGCGGGTCCGGTGGCAGCGAGACCGTCATCTCCCCGTCAACGCCGGGGACATCACTCTCATCGCATTCGGCGCACCACCTCCCTCCGCGGTATTCGGGCTCGCATCTTATTGGGATGCATAGCATGGACCATAGCCAGACGCAGTTCGCGTACGGGCCGGATATGAGTAGGAGCTTCCAGGAGTCGAACGTGCAACCCCCGCAACGACGCTTCCAGGTGACGAATCCCGAGCCAGCGCCAGATTACGAGTACGACAGTGCGCCGGAGTCGTATCCCCAGCCTCAGCAACACGTCGCCGCGCCCGCTGCTGGTATACCTCTGGATGCGTCTCCACGCCCATCGACTTCGTCTCATCCGTATGCGTACGACTCCGACCCGCGTCCATCCACAGGGTCATCTTTGTCCTCCTTGAACGCCACCGCCCCGACTCCCACCGCTGCTAATCCTGGGCCTGTGCCTACTGGCAGCGTACGACGACCGCCACGACAGTTGCCGCGACCGCCCGTCCTACAAGACCCGTACACGTACCACCAGCAGCAGCAAAATAGTCTCGGTCTCAGCCAACTGCACGACCGCCAACGAGTAGCGTCCACCCCGCCTTCATTCAACCCTGGCCTTCCTTTGCAGATCCCTCCATACATGAACTCGCTCGCACAGGGCACCAGTTCCCCCTTCACTCCCGCCCACCCCTCCGCCCGCAGTCTCGCTCGCCGAAGTCTCGGCGGCCGGCCAATCCCACCGCCACCCCCGCCGCCCTCAGACACGCTCCCGCTGCCGCTCCCGCCGAAGCTGGCTGCGGAGTATGCGAACACGTCTGGTGCGGGTCCGTCCAACGCGGGCGGCACGCTCGCCGGCCAGATGCGCGGGATGGCGATATCGCCGCCGCCGCAGCAGCAGCAGGCGTACTACCCGTCGAGCGCGTACGGGTCGCCGCCGCCGGATACGGGCAGCCATGTGGATGCGGGACGGGTGCGCGCGTCGTTTGCGCATGTGTCGAGGGAGGCGGAGAGGGAGAGCGTGTATGAGATGCCGCCGCCTGCGTATGATGCGATCGACTTTGGGCTGAGGCTGCCCGGGCAGGCGCAACGAAGGGGGCAATAGTCGTGGATGGCTCCATGATTATGCACCCCGGTCAATATGGGCTGGTCGTGGATGACACGAGACACGATCCAGCCCAACCCGCTGCCCTGGCTCAGGCGCAGGGATCTCATGCGGCCTCCTGGCTGACTCGCAAGATTAATTCCTCGATAATTGGTTTTCCTCTCCCCTCCCGTCCAAGACTCGCGCTCGACAGTACACAACAAGTTATCGCATGCTACCCGGCCCATGTGCATACCCTCCATGCCTGATGCATCTCTCGAATAATCTAGGGTCAGGGAACCCGCACTCGCTTCCATCTATATCTCGCTCTCGGTCTGCATTTGCCCGCTCGCCTTGGCCCGCTCTGTATCAATACGCGCCTTCCGCACCGGATCCTTGTCTTCTAATTCTCCCTCGCCCTCGGTTCTGGTCCCGTTTTACTGCTCTGCATCAGTGCCCGCCATATCACACTCTGCTTGTCATTATCGTTGCCGCCTCCTAGCAGGTTCTGTCGCATCACCTCCGCCATCCCGGTTGAGGTCAGCATTCGCGTTCGTTTGTATTTTCTTACTACCCCCACGTGCGGTTAGCTATTCACTTCGCTCCTTAAGCCACTGTCTATCCTTTATGTTCACCTCATCCGTTTTATACGGTACGTGCGTCCACCGTCGGCGGTCAGCGCGCTGGTCGTCGATGTGCGCGCCCTTCCTGTCCTTTCTCCCACTCGCCAAGTGCCCCCTCGTGCAATGCGGATCTCGACGGATATGTCGAGGCTCAGCACCAAAATCTCTCTTGCCCTCTTCGAGTCCCCTCATGATCTCATCGTCCCGCCACCATCTCTGATCATTAAAGCGGATTTCTCTCAGGTCTTTTCGGTACCATACATAAACTGCTGTGCGCTTGCTATTGTACATTTTAGGTGTAATGTCAGTTGAGGTGGCGAATGTATATGTTTGTTCTCGATTTCGGAGACTCCGTCCCGGTCACTTCGAGCGTGCGTCGGTACATACTTGCCAAAAGACTGTATCCTCACATGAGGATCCTGGATCGTCCTCGACTTGCATTATGACGTGGCGCGATGGACGGTCTTGCGAATTGCACTGTGATTGACTTTGGAGCCATCATCCATGTCTAAGTACGTACTATACATGCCTGCATTTGACATTTTACGTCGAAGTCATTCCCGGATCAGAGTTTATTGAGCCCACGTGTCCACACACAGAACGTATATATATACAGAGGCCCTAGGTCCATCACCTTGGCCCACTCCATCACCCGCTTCGCAAATCTGTGTTCAAATCAACATCCAAGTGAGGACGATCATGGTTGTACTCATGGCTGACATGGGGAGTCAGTCATCACAATGTCTGCAGACTCCGAGTCTGAACTTCCTGAGTGAGTCCATCCATTCTGTGCGGTTTGTACTCAGGCTTGACACGGCAAGTCAGAGTAGTTCGCATTGTCGGCGGTTACAAACTCGATTATGACGAGCTTGAAGAACGGTTTGCCATGAAGGCGCTGAGGAACTTGACTGGGAGCCAATCAAGAACGAGGAAGAGAATATGGGCTATTATCTCAGGGTACTCTCACTCTGGTACCGCAGCCTTCCGACGGAGCAGAGGGTTGCTCCCTTCAGCTGTGAGAGACAACCCTTTGTGAATAATATGGGTGGTTATTGATGACTGATCAATGCCCTTGCCTCACAGGGCTTGTGCCTCCCATCAGGCCCTGCATCATCACCGCTCACAGAAAATATCACAACTGCAGAGGACAGATGCATTATGGAGCACGAAGCTCAGCAACACTTCAGGAATGCCTTCATTCAGAGGGCCAATGAGGCTGCAGGCAGGGTGGTGTTCACTGCTGCCCGCATGGAATACTTCAGCTACCTCTACGAAGATTTGGGACTCCCTCCTGGGAGGTGAGTGGTGGCAAGCATTAATTTAACATATACCAAGGTTGATGGTGTTGGCATAGGTGCTATGCTCCATGGATGGGTGATTTAGACTAGCTGGCTGATGCCTATCTTTGCTCAATGTTGTGGCCCATGTATATATGTGTATTGCATTGTATCATTGATGCATGTGTGCTGTGGCAATGGAATGTTCTTGATTCATTCAGAAGGGGCCCAGCCTTGGAAGCATCTGTTGCCATGCAAATCATGGGGAGAAGCAAATTGGCAGCAAATGCAGAGCAAATGAACAGTGTACTGATCCTCATTCAAGCCCCTGATCAATGATTTTGACTGTGGGTGGACAGATCTGGACAAATGCAATTATAGAAGTTCCCCACAAGGTACACATTGTGGACCATACATCAGATGAGGGCAAGGTCAAAATGTGCGATAAATACATAAAATTGCGAGAGGGTACAGAGACATGTGTGTGATGAGACATCGTGATGTCCATGAAATGCATTCCACATAGCCATGCGTGAAGGATCGCGGGGGTTGGAATGCAATGTGCTAGCGTTATGATGAGCGCACGCGCCATTCCTTTGGTGGAATTGCTGTACACATTCAATCAGCCTTTCCCGTTCCCTTACGGATATGAATGAGCAATACGTACACTGCAGTCTGCGCGCGGTCGGGATCATGAAGAAGATGAGGAGGACGATGCCGACGGCGAGGCACACGACGGACATCACATAGTACCCGTCCTGCTGGACGTCACAAGTCCCGCCGAGCGCTGTGCATGCGGCCTTCTCCGATTTTGTGATACAGCTTGCGGGCGTCGCCAGCTCTGCGGAGGATGTCAACTCCATTAGACGGTATGGAAGTGATAGGACATACGATCGAGGGTACTGCTGGGCGCGGACACGCTGCAGGTTGCGACGGTGAAGACGTCGACAGCTAATAACGTCAACGTCAGACTGGACTATGATGCAGCAAAGCAGAACTATGGCGCACCCTTCAGAACGAAATACCTTGGCCATAGGAGACCTAGGTTGTTGAAGGTCGCGAACAACTGCAGAACCGTAAGCAAGGTATCCGGATAAAGTCAGTTCGGAGCACATACCGTCATGTACGTTCCTCCGGCGACTGGGTCCGATATCCGTGTGTGGAACGCGGTCATACCTCCAAACTGGATCGTCCTGCACAACGTCAGCGCCTCGCATGACTTCCACTAGACACGCGCTATCCACTCACATAACGAACGAGCTCGCAATGCTCTGCACGATAATGAACACATACCAGGCAATTGGGAGCGGGGGATGGGGGAACCAGTACACGGTCAGCGTCGACAGGAGCACGAGCGCAAACGCGGGCCAGTACATATGCATCCACGCGCGGAGCGGCCGCTCGCCTTTGGACCACCGGCCCGCGAGCCAGCCGCCGCAGATCTGGAAGGGGAAGCTGATGAGGACGGTGAGGGAGAGGTCCTCCTTGCTGAAACCCTTCTCGACCATCTTGAGCGTGGACACGGCGGAGTCGGCTTGGAAGCCGATCTTTGCGACGAGCAGGAGGATGAGCAGCGTCTGGACGTCTGGGGAGCGGTGAGCGGTGAGCGGGAGCTGAAGGAGGGTAAGGACGTACGTCGGAACTTCATGATCTCCCACATCTTGACGTAGATCGCTTTGAGGCTCATGTCACCTTCTTCCACAACGTCTTTCTGCCGATGAATGAATGTGAGTTATTCTGACGCACAACCAATCACTGAAGAGCGCATACCTCCTTCTCGAACAGCAGCCAGAGCGTGAGCGCATATGACAGCATTGCGCAGAACATGCAGTAAGCTCCGAGTGTCAACCGCGGGATGCCGTGTTTCGCGCTGTATTGACATGCGGGTATGAGATGCCGTTTCTGAATTCCGCAGCGAATGAGATGACTGAAGACGCACGCAAATGTTTCGCTATTGAGCGCAAGGAATCCAGTATACGACAGGAGTGAGCCTGTGCTCAGCCCTATAGTCTGGCAGGTTGGGATGTACGATTTGTGTCGTTCGGATAGCAGTGTGAGGGCCCAGCCTAGCGTTGAACGACCAGGCCGTCAGCAAGGGATGCTCTAGAGCTGCTGGTGAGACGCACCATCAACCGCGATGTCTACGTGCAACGTGAGTCGCTAGTAGATGGATAGGTAGGATGAACAGACCTTGAGTTGCGACCGCCATTATGAGGAATGTGAAAGCAGCAGTTAGAGTGTACAAGTAGTCAACAGCCTGCAAGTCGTCTCAGAAACTTGCGCCTATGCATTTCGACAGAACGCACATTGTCCACCATGTGATCTCCATAAAATGATAGTATAAGCATTATAGTGCCAGATAGTAGTTGTAGAGGCATGAGCCATGATTTCCGGCGACCGATGGAAGGGAAATAGAGAGCATCGACGAGGGGTGACCAAAGTAGCTTGAGGGAATAAGGATATACGGAGAGTGAGAAGGTCGCCAGTTGGGAGTAAGTCAGCCGGCTTCGTAGGAGGAAGGGCAGTGAGCCTGTTACGAGGCCTAACTATTCAGAACGGGTCAGACGTGGCATCTCGCGATGACGGGTTTGTTCACACTCACTGGTACACCCTGACTGAGGACTGGCGGCACGTAGGCGAGTGTTAGCACGTACAACAGAAGCCTGGCCCATACACGCACATAGACATGTTAGTAGAATCATGCCCTTCTTCTCCTTCCACGTTGCGGGCCGGTCCTTGAGCACAGGCTTGACATTCTCCTCGTCGATATCAAGCTCCTCATAGAGGGTCTCGCTGCTGCTTTCTGAGTCTTCTCGTGCGCGGGGGGACAGCAGGCTGAGTTCGACCTCGGCATCGTCGAGAGGAGCAATTCGCATGGTGTAGGGTACAGAAAGGAGGTGTATTCTCGAGAATGATGCCGTCTGCGCCCCCACAGATGCGGTGTCTCAGCCAGTCGCCCGACGCCGGGACGCACAGCTCTCGTCGCCAAGCCGAGTTTCATCAATCACTCCTAGCCGCGGTCCCGTGACCGCGTTTATTCGTGTTCTACACCGCAGCGGCGCAGGGCGTAGTTTGCTCTTGAAGTACGCGTTGAACGTCTGGTGAGTGCCTGGAAACTCTCCTTCAGAAATATGATCACTAGATGTAGCTGAAATACGCATTCATCGCACCGACGGATGCAGTAAGACGCGCGTGGCTTAATCAGGCAGGTCGCCTGTGGGCGCCTATTCGATGACACAGTACCACAGGCTCGGGTCTGTACCGAACTCTGACCGTCACGGCGACTTTGGCTTGACTGTGCATTCGACCATCTTGCCTGTTGACTTTGTTAGTCTGCTGCGACCTCGGACGACACATACCTGCTCGCGGTGACTCGGAACAGCGCACATCGGTCTCGACGAAGTACATGGGTGTCTACAAGTGCTCTGGGTTGCTTGCATGTCGTCTCTGAAGAGCCCCGAGGTGGATGCCGCCAGTGAAGACCCGTTCGATTTGCAACGACTAGCTGAAGAACTAGTGACAAGGGAGCAGAGGTCGACACCTCACGCGCAAGATGCAGGCGAAGAGATCACCAAGGCAGAACGAGATCTGCCGGTCTACGTTCCGTTGTCCCACAGCAATCCCTGCTTGTCGGCGAAAGACTTCAGTGTGGAGGAATTCCTTCTTTCGCGATCCTATACTTCGCTCCCCGACCTGCGTTCGGAACTTCGAGATTACCTGGCTACACTGAAAGAAGAGCTGGTGAAGCTCATCAACGATGATTACGAGGCCTTCATCAGCCTCAGCACGGACCTGAGAGGGGAGGGCGCGAGATTGGAAAGGTTGAAAGCACCGTTATCAGACATAAAATCTCATGTACTTGTACGTCGAGTGTTACAATAAACGACTGCGCTCTTAGTGATGGCGAGTTAGGAAGCCCGACAAGTACTGCAAGTAGTCCAGGAGGACGTCCAGCTGAAGCTGAGCAAACGGTCAACTCTGCGCGAGGAGAAGGTTATATGCGCGTAATTCTCGCGATACCGTCAGAAACTCATGAATGATCACAGGCCTTTCTACACTTACTGCTCAAGATATCGGAATCCATTACACGGCTAGAGTCTCTCCTGCTCATAGCCTCCCCCACCGATACCGACAGCGCGGGTACCGACAGAGTGAAGGCACCTTCCCGGTATGATGATAATCCCGAGGACAGGTACGCATGTCGTCCTGCTGAGCAGGATCGCCGATATTTTAACCCAGGGTTCCGCGACCAGGACGAGAGCCAACCGTGCTAAACATCTCTCACGAGTGGCAGCGGAGTATACGCAGCTTCTCTACCACGCTGCTAAAGCACGCACAGATAGTAGTGCTTTTGTTGACGAATCACAATGGGTGTGTGTCCTCCCTTCCTCTGCCACCCTCTGGCACGCTTCCTCGGCGTGCCATCGACTGACATGTCTTCGCTTAGCGCATAGACCGAATCAAGTCTACGCTGTCCTCCGACCTTGACCACCTCTTCGCCAGTACACTGACCTCGCTCACGTCCGGCAGCAAAGAAGGTCGAGAGAGCAAGACAGGCGAACTGGACAAGGCGAAGTGGATCGCAGATGTGACCGAATGTCTCCGCACGTATGATGTCCTCGGGCTCTGGCGCGACGCAGAGGACGTCCTTCGCCGTGAGATCGTCAGGGACTTCGTGAAGAAGGTGAGCTACATTTCTACCTTCCATGACCACCTCTTCGACTGACAACATGCCGCCAGAGCATCCACCCCGGCGCGCTCGCTTCCCCACACTCCCCCATCCTCCCACATACCCCTCTCCCACCAAAAAACAGCGCAGCGCCACAACCGTCCGGCGCCGTCCCGCGCACGCCGTACACGCCCTTCACCGCGTTCGCATCGAAGCAGAACCCATTCGAGTTCAGCACGCAGCAAGCGGGCGCCCAAGCGCACATCCTCGACGACCGGGAGGGCCCGCTCGCAGGCCTGTACAACGCCGTGCTGCGCTTCGTCGACAGGGATCTGAGGCGGCTGATGGAGATTGCAGAGAGGGTGTGCGTGAAGTCTGGGTCGAGGGCAGGTGCGGCGAAGACGAACGGAAGCGCCGAGAGCGGGGATGAGCAGGGAGGGTTTGAGATCATGGCTAACGTGGTATGGGCGGAGATTGGGCGAGCGGTTTTGGACGAGCTGGGCGGCGTCGTGTTTGCTGCTGGAAAGCCGGATGACTTCCGCAAGGTATGCTAGCGTGAAGCGACTTGTTCAGCGGACAACGAGACTAATGCGGCCCCCAGCATCATGAGACGACGCAGGCGTTCATCCGCTCGCTAGAGTTCCTCGCGCCGTCGGTGCACGCCATCGAAGTCATGCGCACACACCCCGTGTACGTGCAGTTCGAGCGGCGCTGGCAGCTGCCTGTGTACTTCCAGTTGCGGTGGAAGGAGATCGTGTCCAAATTGGAGGAGGCACTTACGGTAACCCGCTTGGAGCGGTCGCGGAACAGAGGTAGGGCGAAGCGCATGCATGGCGACAGTACTCTCACTTACCGTTGACCGTGTCTCAACAGCGGTCAAGCCGTTTGTGACGACGCAGGCGGCTGCTGTGTGGGATGCCATCAGTACCTGCTGGGGCGCACCCGTCTATATCCCGGAGCTCAATCACCGCTTCTGGAAGTTCACACTACAGGTATGCCTCATCGCTCGCTATCCATTCATCGCTGATGCCTCCCCTCAGCTTCTAAGTCGATACAAGACATGGCTACAGAGCAGCCTCCCCGTGTTCGAAGCTACGGCTAAGGTCGCAGCAGCGGTTGCGGCTGAAAAACTTGGCTCGGTTGGTAGCACATCTGATTCTGCGTAAGCATGTATCCTGACCCTGTCGGTGTGACAGACACCCGGCTCTCCTGCGTCGCTTTCGCGCGCCGCAACGCCGAACTTACCCACAGAAGCTGCGTCTCCGGAGGCGGCTGCAGCCGACGAGCAGTCGTTGCACCAATTCTCCACAGCTGTCATCGACATCCGAGCGATGAAGTCACAGGTATTGAAAATCTGGCGCGGAGAGCTGTGTATCATGTTGCCTGAAGTCGACAGCGGCGAAAGTGATCCAAGTCCAGAAGGTAGCTCTTCATACAGACATAACGAAACGCACGACTGAATCTTCTTGCAGACGCCCTTAGACAGGCCCTCTCCGGTCTAACGTCTCTAATACCCTCACTTTCTGGCCAGATCATCACTATCCTCTCCCGCCGCGCTTGTGAGGCGCTGCTGTCAATGCGGTCCATACCCTCGCAGTTCAGGGCTATGTCGTCGAGTAGACGTACCCCCACAGAACCTAGCTATTTTGTCTCGCTCATCTTCAAACCCGTCAAGACGTTCTTTGCAGTCGAAGGCCCGGAGGGAGCCGGCGGACCGCTCAAGGATGAGTTCATGCAGGCGTATGTGGAGGAGATCTTCGAGATCGTTGCGCAAAGGTTGGTCACCACCTGAAAGAACGCAAAGAACATTGATACGACGACTGCACAGATATATCCATTTCCTGTCTGCGATGCGGAAGACCGAGGAATCGCTGCGTCGGCTCAAGAAAGGCAAGAAGTCGGCGTTTTCGCTGTTTGGCGGGTCGACAGCCAAGGACGACGACGGGCGAGCAGACGAAGAGAAGATTCGGGCTCAGATGATGCTTGACGTAGCAGCATTCGGTCTAGACGCAGAATCGCTCGGTGTCGCCGTGCAACACAGCGAAACTTTCAAGGTATTGGAAGAGATGGCCGGTGCTAGCTTCACTGATGGTACGCCGTCATTATCCTCGTCCGAACTATCAGCTTCACAGATGTCAATTTCAGAGACATGAGTAGATCCAAGCGTCGACTGTCACTAATACTTTTGCATGGAATATACATGGACGCTAATGTACGGCTATATTATCCTGGTGAGTAGGTGGTAAGCATGACTGGTGGTATAGTGCTCCGGTCCGTGATACAATTATTGAAACGCCTGTCCGATCGTCCTGCTCTGCCGCGGAGGAAGTCTTGTTGTCGACAAGCCACTCCTTGCATGTCTGACACCTCCCCTGAGACGGCCTCCAACCCCGTAATCGCTCCTGCGTGAACTCCTCTACGTTCGTGAATAGATCGCGCCCCACAAGGTGCTTGGTGATTATGAGCATATCCCCGTCGGAGCGATAGGACTCCAGCATTCCCGTGAAGAGTGTGCGGAACTCGGCGTAGAGGGTGGGCTTGGACACAGAATTTTGTGACGCAGTCGTGAGCAACCTCTTGAACAGACGTGGGAGTGACAAGCCCTTCGCAGAGCTGATGGACATCAAGGCGGTGAATGCGCTTTGCATCGATTTGCGTAGAGAGGATAGGGTGGCCTGCTGCAGCTCGTACTGCTTGGTGCGATCCGTGTCCGCATCGGTAGCATCGGGCGCTGCTCCCATACAGCAGGCCGCCACACGCTGTACGGTATCGATCTGGCTCTTCAGGAGATGGTACCAGATATCCTCCAGAGGGACGTCCTGGGAAGACTGGGAGTGCTCCAAACACATCGCGACAGCTCGCTGTCCCACTGCGTCGAGGGCAGCGAGGACTTCCTGAACACTCTCTTCTGACGCGGAGTCGTACTGCACCAAGGTGTCTGCGAGACGTGCTGAGAGCTGATTCTCGAAAGATTCCGCCTTCGAGAGGGCCACTAAGGGGACGCCTTGGTGATCCAGTACCCAGACCACGGCATCGTAAATTGCATGCTCCTCGCATATCCTGGCCGCATCTTCTGTATCCAGCAGTTCCGCCGGGAGGTAACATAGAGCAGCGATCACCCCGGCAGGGTCCAAGCGACAGTGTAATGTCAGATACGTGCGGCGCAGATCGGAGGGAATGTGAGGGGATGGACCGCCCTTGCGTACCGCGACTCCGTCATCGTCGCCTTCCTGTGGGGGCCCGAGTAGGAACTTTAGATAAGCGAACTTGGCGGAATCCGGATGGTCCTGAAGGCGGTTCATCGCGGTCTCATGCAGACTGGGAATGTGGGTATCGAGTAGAGCAGCTGTTTGCACTACTCCGCGCTCCAGCAATAGAGACAAGCAGTCGGTAACAGTCGTCAGTATTTCCGGAGGAAGTGTGCCCTTGTGAAGGCGCTTCACCAAGGTCAAGACGTCGTCTAGAGAGCCGAGGACCTCCGGGGTTGATAAGTTACGGTCATGAATATAAGTTAGAAGTAAAGGAGGCCACTTGCGCTCCTGGCGGTACCATGAACGCAAGATGCGGTAGAATCCGGCCTTCTCGAAGAGGGCGATGATACGGTTGGTCTCGTGAGGAGTGTAGTCGGACAGAAGATGTTCTGCTGCCAGCTGCCGATCTTCTTGCGTACTGCGGTCAGGATCCTCGGCCAAGCCGATGACGATACTGTGTAGAGTTGTCGGAGGCATCTGCAGGAACTGGGGATACTTCGGCACGTTCCTCGCGATGAAGATGTTGACGAAGGTCACAGCATCCTGTGTAAGATCCCCAGACGACGCGATTTCCAGCAAGATCTTGACCATGAGCAGGCGTGTGGCGCCTCGCGGACTGTCGCGGTCACTGAGGTACCCGTCCTCGAATGCCAGATCGAGGGTGTGTAGGAACGCCTCCGGGTCAAAGCGAAGCAGGAGCCGGGCGTACGGATAGGTGGGCTCGACACCATTCTCTTCATCGGCCGTGAGCACCAGTTTCCCGCCTTCTCCCTGTGGCCACACACGCGATTGACCTGACATCAAGAAACGATAAACGATGTGCCTTGCCTGGTCGGCCTCCTCCGAGGGTAGGGGTTCTGCGGAAGGGTACGCGAGGCCAGCGAGGATATTGCCCAGGTACGGATAGACCTTGTATGCGTTCAGCACGACAGGCTCTATCGCGTCGTCATCGGTATATGGTCCAAAGGTCAACCCCTCCTCACGCGCTCTTCGATACTGTTGTACTTGTCTGATGAGATCGAGTAGCACAACTAGTGGGGCCTCATAATCCCTCATGGCCCTCGTGAAGACGTAGAGCAATGCATCGTAGAGGCCGTGTCGTTGGCATAGGGTGATGGCTTGGTTGACATCAAGGCATTCCGGGTCAATATGCCAAATCAACCTCTCGACAAGGTCTGGTCGACCGTCCTCGTCGTGAACCGCGATAAGTCGCTGGGTGATACGAGGAGGCACGTAGTGCAGGTTTCCGTCGATGATGAAAGGCTCCAACTGAGACAAGAAGATGCGCGTGATGCGCGTGTCGTCGTAATACTGGAAGAGATCCTCGTAGAGGAAGTCGTAGTCGTCGAGCGCCATGCATGCACGGATGCAAACCTTGACCAGGCCTTCGAATAGCGAAGTTTGATCGACGCCGCGCCCGTCCAGGCCAGCAAGTGTACCGTCCGTCAAACGGTCCTCCGAGAATGCGTAACGAGCAGACGCGACCATGAGCTCGTGCATCTTCTCGCCGACGACCTTCTGGAGCTGCTCTGGAGGCTCTGGGAGACCATTCCGATTTCCCAGCGATTGGCCTACGTAGTACGCGCGTGTGAGCTCGATGGCGCTCAAAAAGTCGCCCCTCTGAACGAAAGAGAGTATTCGATCTGCCCATGTCAATAGGGTGCCGACCTGAACGTCATGTTGACCCTTTGAAAGATGTATGAGTCAAGCACTCGGGATTCACGTTTGTATATCACGCACCAAGGTGAAGATCTTGCCCTTATACACTCTGACACTATGCGATACCTCCATTACTGCGTCAGGATACGAAACACTGCTGTTGATCGTATGTCCCAATATCGGGGAGACCAATGATCTGGCGTCGAAGGAAGCTTGTTCTACGAGCTTGCGCGAACGGACGTCATATACTTCCAATGCATCAACAGTGAGGACGACAACTTGCTAAAGACGGAACACGTCTGTTAGTACGTGAGCCACGACAGGCACGACATAAAGCGGACGGGCTCACATTGACGTTCAGCCATTGCAGCGCCAAGACATCACCGCCGGCTGTCCAGTGACCGCCTTCTTCGAAGGTGACTCTCCCGACTTCTGTCATGGTCACCTTGCCTGTTCTCGCATTACGCACCTGCTGTGGGACCTTCGTTTCCGAGACCCGCAGCATGTACAAGGTGTCTGCCCAGGAATAGACCAGTACTGGTGTTGTCGACGAGTGGATACCATTACCATGAGCCTGGTCCTTCTTGCTTGTCAACTCAGCCGCTGCGTCACCTCCTGGTACCACGCTTGGGTACCAAGCAAGAGTACCTTTGAACCGCGATCGAGATGTGGTATCCTCGTTCTCGCGGTGACGTCGGTACCACGTCCTCGGTGAAGGCTTCAAGCCGACGATCACCAGCTTGATCGGTGTGAGAAGCGCGATGAGGTTGTATTGATCTGTGGGATGTGATGCTGTGCCAAGTGGGAGGGGAGCCATGGCAAGAAGTGAGTTGCCCTTGCGGGGCTTTCGACGGCGGAAGTGATGTGCTCCGTTACGACCAGATGGACCAGGTCCAAGGCCGTCTTCCGGGTACTTGCCCAGCAGACGAAGTGTGTCCGACGCGTCCATGAAGAATACCTTTCCCAAGCTGTGATAGAACGAGAGGCCGCTGTCGTCCGCAGAGACTATTGCGGTATGCCTTCCAGCAACGAAACCTATGCTGACGATTCTTGAACCTGTCAAGTGGCCTTCCTGTCGTCCCGCGGCTACTTCTGCCAGAGTAGTGGGTGGAACAGAACGCGCAGGAGTCTTCGGACTATTCAGGTCGAACAGCTGTATGTGGCCATTGGTATGCCCCGTGGCTACGAACGTATGGTCGAATGATAAAGCTACCGCTGTGACGGGCCCAACTGTCTTGTCTGCTCTCAAGCATGAACATGGAGTTTATGACAAAAACTTGAGCATACTGACCTTCTGCACCGCAGATACATTTCAAGTTCTGCTTGAAGTCAAAGACCACCACTTTCCCTGTGTCCGTCCCAACGCAAATGAGTCCATTCGCGGCCATGACAGTGGGCGAGCCAATATTCTCGGTGCCCAGCAAAGACGCGACCTTCTGGGATTGTGTCGTGAAGAGGAAGTCGCCGATGGTCTTCAACTGCGTCCACCTGAAGACCTCGCGCGTCTCGGAGGTCGCGTTGCTCTTGCCATTCACTCCATTAGCAGCAATATGGGTCGCGGAAGACGATCTTGACAGCGCGGAGAAGTGCGATGGGCTCTCCGAGGCGCCCTCAGGTGCATGGGAGAACAGCGTACCCACGCTCGCCGATGAAGGCACTCGAGACGCCTGTGGTGTAGTCGAGCGAAGCCGGGATATGGTGGGATGGAGGAAGGGCCGCGAGAGCTTGCTTGGAGTACCCCTGCCATTGCTTGTGGGGAGCTTTGTGGGCGAGGCTGCACCAGGCATGTTTATTGGCGGCGAGGGCGGGGTCGAAGGAGTCTCGTCTGAGAGAGGTCCAGCTGGCTGAGTGCAACGTTGAGCCAGAAAACCGCAGGACTCATAGACACAACTCACTCTAGCCTCGTCCTCCATCAGAGACGCGAGATGCTCCTTCTCCTCGACGTCGTGCACGAGCGATCGCTCTACCTCGCGTTCGTCTAGCTCGTCCTCCTCATGGTCTGGTCCCAGCACATCCCGTAGCTGTTGTCGATAACCACCGGAAGTACCAGCATCCACGCCACTGTACACAAAGCCCTCTTCTTCTTCTTCGTCGTCGTCCCCGCCGTCATGCGCGTGGCCATTCGAGCCTTCCTCTGTGTCGCTCATGAGTTCCTCCAGACGCGCCGAGTAGTCTCCCGGGTGGTCGTCTTGCACCTCCCCATCCTCCACGTCCGAGAAGTCGAGCTCGTCGTGCTGTCGTGTCCCATTCATGAAGCGTCGGACGTTGGCAGGAGCGCGCCGAGAGGGTACGGGTGTGTGCAGCACGGAGGCGCAGTCCGGTGCTCTGGCTGTGACGAGTGCAAGCGACCCGAACTCTCGGTACATGACCATTTACGGAAATATATCCTAAATTTAGTTTCCCTTTGGGGAGATAGGGCTTGGAAAGTGGTCCACAAATTCATCCCGCCCCGGCGTCGTGACTTCGAATATTCCTATCTCCTTGCCTTTGTGTGAGGCTGCCCCCGCTGCCCCCCTTTCATCCCAGTGCGCTGCCGCGACGTGCATTAGCATGGCCAACGCTGCAGTCATGGGCCCGCCACCATCCCCGAAGGAACCTCGCCGCTCGGGAAGACGCTCCGTGCCCTCTGGGTCGACCAGCAAGTCCCCCGCTGGATCGCCCGTCGCCGACCCCGCCCCGAAGCCAAAAGAGAACGGACAACGACCACCACCTCCGGCATTCAACAACTCAAACAAGACCAAGCGTAGCAAACAGGAAGAACACGACGATGTCCTGGAGGAGCGGAAGAACGGGACCAACGGCAACGGCAATGCGCGCGCAAGGCGGAAGGGCAAGGACAAAGACAGGAACCTCGTACCTTTGGACAACATAGAGCACATTGTCGGCGAAGACGAGCATGGGGACGCGCTTTTGGAGGAGGGGCTGCTGGATCCTGAGGCCGAAGATGAGGAGGGGGGTATCACACGCTGTATCTGCGGTGCGTTCTACGCGTCACCCCATGTCTATCCCGACGCTGACATCTTCGAGAAGGCGATGAGGACGGACAAGGCGGCTTCATGGCTCAGTGCGAAATGTGCGAGGCGTGGCAACATGGCAAGTGTATGGGCTTCGGGGAGGAGGCTGATCTCCCTGAGCACTACTACTGCGAGCAATGCCGACCCGATCTTTATGTTGACCTTCTGAGGTGTGTATCTATTCAAACGACACGCCCTGGCCACTCAGTGGCCGTACGCTTGCAGGAGACATGCCAAACGGGCTCGCCAGGCGTCAAATCACTCGCTGCACACTGTCGGCGGGCATGGTTCTCGCACGTCGCGCTCACGATCTCCAGTGGCACACTTGAAACCGACGAAACGGCGGAACACGATGAACAGCCGCGACGCTGCGTACGAAGAAAGCTTTCAGGCGCTGCTCGAGGCTACGGCAGCTGAGGCCGCCGCGAAGGAAAAGGAGGCCCTCGCCACAGCGAACGCTCCCAATGGAGTAGACGCCGAAGTCAATGGTCACGATGAGTTGGAGGCAGACGATGTAGCTGTGAGTAGCCGGCGGAAACGGAAGCGATCAGACGACGATGGGTGAGTAGTATCTGTCTTGATTCTCGCCATTCCTCAACGGTGTGTTCATTGTGCAGAGTAACGACCAAGCGGGCGCGGTCCGCGTCTATCTCGTCCGATCGCACGGCGGTGGCGAGCGTGAAGATGGCCCGGGAACCCACACCCTCGGTCAACAATGCGAAGAGCAATGTAGCACCCGTTTCGACGAACAAGACGGGCTCGCGCAACAGACGGGGAGGAGGTCGCAAGTCGCAGGCGCAGGACCTTGTCTCGGTCGACGGGGAGGAAGGTCCGTACTCCCGCGGACAGTGTGACGTAGTGCACGTGACTGATGATCACCCATTTCAGTAGCCGCCCCGTCCTCACGTAGCAGACAACCCAACAGTCGCGCCAAAGGTACCGCAAAGCTGCTACGCACATCTTCTTGACACTGACATGATATCGCGATAGCCACCACGGGGAACGAACCAGGCAGTCGAAGGGCGTATGCCAACAGCGCCAATAGCGCCGGAGCTTCCGGCTCGCACGTCAACAGCGCAGCTGCCTCGCGTGCATACCATCACTCGCATGCGTACGCTGTGTCTCAGCAGCCACTTTTCACTTCATGGGGCCTCCCCGACTACCTCGCTCACCTCGAACCCATGCTACCCACGGACGTACCTCAGCCATTGGAGGTGCGCGGATCCGGTATCGACTCGACCGGTAGAGAGTCTCTAGAACGCAATACGGAGCGAGGCGTGAAAGTGAAGTGGCCAGGGAAACGCATGAGCGTTAGCGACATGAACAAGCGGGTCCGAGCTTTGGTGGAGTGGGTCGGGAGGGAGCAGGCGAGTGCGCTTGAGCGGGGTAGACGACGAGAGGCGGTCGAGAAGGCCTTGCGAGAGGTTCGGCAGACGAACGGAGACAGTCACTCGGGGCCGGACGAGAATCTCCGTCCCTCCATGCAAAATGGGGATCCGATGGCGACCGATGGACCCGTCATCGAGTCTCCCTTGCAGGAGAAATCCTCCACTTTCCTCGACACATCTTCGATGTCGCATTTTCTGACATCATCTGACTCTGCGTCGACGATGAAAGTGATGGAGGAGCTCATGGAGGAGTTGATCAATTTCCAAGAACGGTTTGGGCCGGGCGCGAAGGTGAAAGAACGGGAACGGAGAAACGTTTCGTCATGACCGTCCATGTGCTTGCTACGATTCATTGCTTCTGCTCCGTTTCGCTCTTACCTTACTCCTGGCTGTCGATGTTGGATACGTACTCATTTATTGTGTATTGCTGCTGTCGCGTTGTTACACTACTGTTGTATACTTATCTCTAATGCTCTGAACCGATGATCAGTTCTGGCATGCCACGATCCTTTGGCGAGACAGTCTCACGCGTACCATTGTCTCGGATGTTGCTCGAGCAGGCGTACGGACCGATTGGCTTTTACCCATCGCAGCTGGGATTGGGCTCATAGAGCCTCAATAAGTTGTTGGCGCCTGTAGGTCCAGGTGAGTCATTTCCACGTTTTCGCGCAAGACAACCCCACATCGCTGCAACATCGCTGCGATACAAAGTCATCGTCTGGTCGTGGACAACAATCTTGGACTGGACAACTAGCGTGTAGGGTGACACTTCAGCTTCAGCTTCCGCCCCCCGCAATGCCGGCCAAGTCGTCGCTCGCATCCGCGATCGAGTACTGCTCGGACGCGCCAGAACCGATCTCCTACCCGCGGCTCGCAGAGCACCATCTGCTCCCATCGAAAAGGCCGGACTACCTCAGGCTAATCCTCACGTCCAAGGTCTACGAGATCGTGAAGGAGACGCCCCTGGTTTACAGCACCAACCTCAGCGCACGGTTCGGGAACCAGATATGGCTGAAGCGCGAGGACCTGCAGGAGGTGTTCAGTTTCAAGATCCGGGGCGCGTACAACTTCATGGCGAGCCTGACGGAGGAGGAGCGGTGGAAGGGTGTCATTACATGCAGTGCGGGTTAGTGTGCGTACTCGGGCAGTTGCTGCTGGACTTGTGTTGACCCCATAGATCGTCGCTGCAGGTAATCATGCACAGGGCGTCGCGCTCTCTGGCTCAAAATTGGGGGTACCTTGTACCATCGTCATGCCGAAAGGGACACCATCCATCAAGGTCCGTAATGTCTCACGTCTGGGCGCGAAGGTCGTGCTGTACGGAGACGATTTCGACGAGGCGAAGGCGGAGTGCGCTCGGCTAGCTTTAGCCTATGGTCTCATCTTTGTCCCACCATACGACGATCCTCTTGTCATCGCAGGGCAGGGCACGATCGGTGCGGAGATCCTCAAACAAGTTCCAGACTCGGAGAGCCTCGATGCCATCTTCGCGGCTGTCGGCGGAGGCGGACTGGTGTCTGGGATTGGCGCATACGTGAAGCGTATCGGCTCTCCTAACACGAAGATCATCGGCGCGGAGACATACGATGGCGACGCCATGGACCGAAGTATCAAGGTCGGCTCGAGAGTCACGCTCGACGAAGTCGGTCCATTCAGCGACGGTACGGCTGTCAAGATCGTCGGGGCGGAGCCTTTCAGGCTTTGCCAGGAGGTGCTGGATAGCATTGAACTGGTCACTAACGATGAGCTCTGTGCTGCTATCAAGGACATCTTCGAAGGTAAATCCTACGCTGTCGCAGACTTGCTTGAGACTGATGAAAGTATATCAGAGACACGATCTATCACTGAGCCCGCCGGGGCACTGGGTCTCGCTGCTCTCAAGGCGCACATCTCACGGAATCAGTTAATCGGTGCAGGGAAGAAGTTTGTCGCTGTCGTCAGCGGCGCCAACATGAACTTTGACCGCCTACGCTTCGTCTCTGAGCGTGCCGAGCTCGGTGAAGGTCGGGAAGCACTGCTGAGCGTGGAGATACCAGAGAAGCCTGGCAGGTGAGCAGCACGAGTGGATGTGCAGTGAACGCTGACTGGATGCACCGCACAGCTTCGTCAATTTACACAGCGTCATCCACCCACGCGCCACGACGGAGTTCATCTACCGTTACAACAATCCCGAGCGAGCGCAAATCTTCCTCTCGTTCAAGCTCGAAAGCCAAAATCGTGCACAGGAAGTCGCGGACGTACTCAGCACCCTCGAGAAACAAGACATGAAAGGCTTCGACATCAGCGACGATGAGCTGGCCAAGACACACGCACGATACATGATTGGTGGTTGCTCGAATGTCTCTAATGAACGACTGTTCCGCTTCGGTAAGCCTGCTGTCCTATCGCCTGTGAGGCATTCGTCAGTCTGACACACTGGCGTAGAATTCCCGGAAAGGCCCGCTGCCCTTCGCAAATTCTTGCTCGGTCTACATTCAGGGTGGAACATCTCGCTATTCCACTACCGGAATCACGGCGCAGGTATGGAACTTGTAGTCGTACTGTGTCTACAGGTGTTCACTTCGTATTTAGATCTCGGCAAAGTCTTGGCTGGCATACAGGTCCCTACAGAAGACGCAGCGCAATTTGATGACTTCCTCAAGAAGCTCGGATATCCGTATGTCGAGGAGACGGGAAACGAAGTGTACAAAAGATACCTCAGAGGATAGAGCGCAAGATGCCCATGTAGAATAGAATGCCGTGAACTTTGCTGTACTCTGCCTTACATCACTCTCGCAATGATACCGCTGCGAATTTTGGGCCCCGCGTGTCACTATGCGTCCAGCAAATCCGTAGCGCATTCACACAGAGAGAGGAAACAACGATGTTGTTTCTGCCTGACGATGCCGCATCCTTGATGGCGGCTGTGCGCAAGCTCGGTTACTTCCCTTCATATGATCTCAGCCTCTGAGACACACCAGCAAAGGGATAGTTGCATCGCTCTAGCATTACAGTGGGTGGACAGCAGAATGATAAAGAGGACAGTGGGAAGAGGGTACCAATCTAGATGTGTGTTAAGGTGGACAGCGTGGCGTGACTGTACCAGTGTGGCTCACCGCAGTCTACGCTTCTGCTGTTCCTTCAGTGGTGCGACTCAGGCTTCGCACTGAGGAACATATTGTCCACAATCACGTAGGTGGTGAAGGCGACTACTGCCACGCCAAACCCGGGAAAGAGGTTGCTGAACATCGCGCGTCTGGAGAATACCGGGTGCTTCCTCCAGGCTTCCCGCTTGGCCCAGGGGTCCCGGAAAACGGGCGGTGTTGGTGGAGGGTTGGCCATCTGTGTCCAGGGGCCTAAGTTTCAGAACACAAAGCGAGAACAAGGCGCACGGAAGCGCACCTGAGCTGACGGGGCTGGCTGGATATGGGACAGAGGGAGCGAGCAGCTTCGGCCACCAGCGCGCGAGTTTAGGGCAGGCTATCTGTCACTTCAACTTTGGAGCCCTGATCCGGGAGTATTCAAGCGCAGAGGTGGGCACTTCTCTCGCCCCCATTTCCCTCTCCTCTCCCCCTCATCAGAGTCTCCTCCTGCTCGTCGTGCCATATCCGCTCAACCATGTCCGGCGACATCGTCATGTCTTCCGACGATGAGAAGCCTCTTGGCCTCAAGTCCGCCCCGCGCGCCCAGAACGGCCAGAACGGCCACGTCGCGTCCAACGGCAACGGACGAACAGTGGACGAGTCTTCCATGAGCGAGGACGATGATATGCCTCTTGTGGGTCCATAACTCAACTTCTGCGCACCGCAGCATGACTGAGGTGATATCCGTGGCGCGTCTTACCACGCTCAGTCCCAGGCCTCCCGCGTCAAGTCCGAGCCCATGACCCCAGTGCGCGCACTCAAGCGCAAGAAAGCTCAGTCTACTAACACCTCTAGTGATGAGGAAGCCCCACTCGCGTCTACGCCAGCCAAGCGCGCTACTTCAGGCGCCGTCCGTATGAACGGCGCGCTACAGGCAACTACCACGACGAAGCCCAACGGCAAGGCGACCATGAAGGAGAGCACGTCTGGCGAGGACTCTGACGACGTGCCTATCACCAAGGGTAAGCGCGCCACCAACGGGAACGGCGCGGCCAAGCCGCCCAAGAAGAAGGTGAAGCAGGAGGAGGACTCTGACTACGACAAGCCCATCGGACGGAAGGCGCCACCGCGCATGAAGCGGAAGATGAAGAAAGAGGAGAGTGATGCTGATGATGAAAGCCCCTCAGACGACGATAAACCACTGAAGAAGGCACCTGCGAAGAAGGCCGCGACGAAGAGGGTGAAGAAGGAGGAAGCTGACTCCGAGCCACCAGCGCCGAAGAAGAGAGGAAAGGCAAAGGAAGAGGCAGCGAATGGCAGTCCGCAGAAGGGCAAGAAGAAGAAGGAGGAGGAGGAAGCGGAGATCTACCGCTGGTGGGAAGGGCAGGAGTTCCATGGCGAGGATGCTAGCGTGAAGTGGCACACTCTGGAACACAACGGCGTTTACTTCCCGCCACCGTACGAGCCCCTGCCATCGCATGTCAAGATGAAATACAAGGGTACGCGTAGTGGCTATCTGAAAGACTCCTTACTAAAATCATATGTTTTTCCTCAGGCAAGCCAGTCGACCTCCCACCGGAGGCAGAAGAGGTCGCAGGCTTCTACGCAGCCCTCATCGAGTCTGATCATACGAAGGATGCCACTTTCAACAGAAACTTCTTCGACGACTTCAAAGGGATTTTGAAGAAGCATCCTCCAGTTCGTCCTCGCCGTCCTTGCAGTGATCGCGCATACTAATCCCCCTGTACAGCGTGATGGAACCAAGATCACTGATCTCAGTCTCTGCGACTTCCGTCCTATGTATGAACACTTCGAGTCGGAGAAGGCGAAGAAGAAAGCGTTGTCACCTGCTGAGAAGAAGGAGTTGAAGGCAGCTAAGGACGCGCTGGAGGCCCCCTTCATGCATTGTACCATAGACGGTAGGAAGGAGAAGGTCGGGAACTTCAGAGTGGAGCCCCCAGGCTTGTACCGTGGCCGTGGTGAGCATCCCAAGAAGGGCACGTTGAAGGTAGCGTCTTGTGTCTGCGTGTGTCGGCGGGTGTTGATGCGATTTGGACGCCGTCCAGAAACGCGTCCGACCCGAGGACGTCACGATTAACATCGTCGAGGGAGTGCCCATCCCCAAGCCGAATGTTCGAGGTAAATGGAAGGATGTCCAGCACGATAATACCGTGACCTGGCTGGCGACATGGACGGAAAACGTGAACGGCAACCATAAGTACGTCTTCTTGGCGCCCGGCAGCGCTCTCAAGGGCCAGAGCGACATGGCCAAGTTTGAGAAGGCTAGGGAGTTGAAGGTGTGTTCGGTAGTCGATGTTGGAACGCATCTTGTTCAGACCACACGCTGTAGAATCACGTCGACCGGATCCGCTTGGACTACAACACCGAGCTGCGGAGTAGAGTCATGGCCGACCGTCAGCGTGCTACTGCGATGTACTTCATCGATCGACTGGCCCTTCGTGCGGGAAACGAGAAGGGCGAGGATGAGGCCGATACAGTCGGCTGCTGTTCGCTCCGGTGCGAACATGTTACGCTGCAACCCCCCGACCAACTCATCTTCGACTTCTTGGGTAAAGACTCGATTCGCTACTACAACCAAGTGACCGTCGATATCCAAGTCTTCAAGAACATTAAGATCTTCAAGGACAACAAGGACGATGAGGATCAGCTTTTCGATCGTGTCGATGTAGGTTTCGCTTGTAGTTTGAACATTCCGACTTCGTACTGACGAATGCTTCCAGACCGCTAAGCTCAACAAACACCTGCAATCGAACATGAAGGGCCTCACGGCCAAAGTGTTCCGTACCTATAACGCGTCCATTACGTTCCAGGAGCAGTTGGATCAGGGCACGCCAGAGAATGGGACCGTACAGGAGAAGTTGAACGCGTACAACCACGCCAACCGCATGGTTGCTATTCTCTGTAACCATCAACGTGCCGTGCCCAAGTCTCACGAACAGTCCATGGGTAAAATGCGGGACAAGGTATGTTGCGACTCGACTGCCACGACGATTTCGGTGGCTGATCTATGGTGTAGTTGCGCGGTTTGAAGTATGAGCGGATGAAGCTTCGCCATGCCCTCTTCAATATCGACCCCAAGTACAAGAAGAAAAAATTGTACGCTGAGGACGAGTCTGACCTCGACGACGATGTCATCGCCGAGCACGAGGAGCGCCTGAAGGAGAGAGACTTGGAGAAGGTGGAGAAGAAGTTCGTCAAGGATAACGAGAAGTTGGCCGAGGAGGGCAAGGAGCGCCTCGAAGACTCCGTGCTGAAGCAGCGACGCAAGGACGTCGAGGAGGAGTACAAGCGACTTGCGAAGGAGCGTGGAACGGGCAAAGCGACGTTGAAGAGGGACCGGTCGACGGATAAGATAGAGGAGGCTATCGCTAAGTTGGACGACAGGATCAAGACGTTCAAGCTGCAGATGGAGGATCGAGAGGCCGGCAAGGAGGTCGCACTGAGTACGAGTAAGATCAACTACCTAGACCCGAGGTATGCGTTATGTTTCGCGTCAGTCTCCCGCCGTTTCTGACCGTATTGCCAGAATCACAACTGCATGGTGCAAGACGCACAACGTCCCCATAGAGAAGCTGTTCTCGAAGACACTTTTGACGAAGTGTATGTGTCTTCCACGCTTGTGTCTCTGAGTACGCATGTTGATCATATTATTAGTCCCCTGGGCTATGGAGGTCGAAGGACAGTGGAAGTTCTGAGCATCATCATCGCATACCGCATCGCACATCGCACATCGCATTGTCTATCAGCATATCTGGCTTGAAGGTGGTATTATTATGGGCGTACCAGACAGATCGCGCAAATGGCTTGCTCACTTCCAGGGCATGGCCTCCCCTCAGTTTTTATATGCGCATCATCGAACGGACAGCGTCCCTCCCTGCATTATTACACCCTGCATACCTCGCAATCGGACACTGTATCTGCTATCATTGATAATTATTGTCTGCGCTGTGATAGCTAGGGGTCCTGTTGCTCTAGAATAAAATGTATTTCTTGCAGATCCTTGTGTTGGAAACAGAACATGCGAAGTGGTCGAGGTGAACGTGTTTTTCAGTTGGGGATCCGAAGTACACGTCCTCACGTGGGCGTGGCACGGCTATATTCAGTGTGCTGCAGCGTCACCGCCGCGGCACCACCACCTTCTCTCCCTCCCCAAGATATGAGCTCGAGAGTAAACGATACACGCCCGTCGTGGGCCTCCAGGACGACCTTCGAAGGCCTGGGCGTTGAGTCGGGAGAAGAAAGCGAGGAGGAGGTACTCGGGTCGCCCTCGCCGGCACCAGACAGGTATGGGTCTAATACGGTGTCTGTGGGAATATTGACGCGACCAGCCCAATGCGCAGTGGGTCAGAATCTGCTACGAAGCCCTCCAAGTCTGCAATCAAGAAGGCTAAGGAGCAGGCGAGACTGCAGCGCAAGGTGGCCGCGCGCGCAGCGTCAAAGGCGCGAGCCACGTCCCAGTCGCCCGCGCTCCTCCCCTCGCCAGACGCACGAGAGTCGTCAGAGGAGGCTCCGGAGATTGCATCCCGGTCAGCGGCGGAACCTATAGCTGCACCGACCCGCAATGCCGTGGCTGCGAGGCCGGTACCAGAGCACCTTCCAGAGTTGGTGGCAGACAAGCCAGCAAAGCCAGCTAACGGGGACGCTGGCACCGTACATGAGGAGGTATCACCACCCGAGGAGACAGTCTTCGTGTCCAGTGACAAGGCTGAGCCATCGACTGTGTCAGAACCGCCATCAGGTTCTCCTGCGCCAGTGCCCGACCCCAACTTGTCCCCGCCGGCCGCGGAGACGAAGCGACGAGAGGAGCCACCGGCGAGTGAAAGCAAGCCTGCCAACGGAAATGCAAGCCAACAGCAGGAGAATACCCAGGATGGCGAGAAGGCGAAGAAACGGCAGAGTATCTTGACGCGAACGTTGTGGACCTTCATCATGATTGGGGGTTTCTTGAGTGCGTATGCTCCCTCTGTATGCGTGTTGTTCCTGATGACTTCTTGTCAGCACTGTTGCTTATGGGCCATGCATACATGATTCTGCTCGTTATGCTATGCCAGACCCTCGTGTACCGGGAGGTGACATCGCTGTTCTCACTGAAGAGGAAAGATTCGGACGAGGGTAGGGGGCGGGATCCATGGAGCAAGACCCTCAACTGGTACTTCTTCGTGATCACCAACTACTTCCTCTACGGCGAAAGTATCATCTACTACTTCAAGGTAAGCAACAGATGGCCCATGGTCGTAATACGTCTTGTTCATCGCCGCTATAGCATGTCGTGTTTGCGGATGCGCAGTTCACCATGTTCGCGACGAACCACCGGATGATCAGCTTCTCGCTGTACACTCTCGGCTTCGTCGGCTTCGTCATGTCGCTGAAGCGTGGCTACCTCAAGCAGCAATTCGGTCTCTTCTGCTGGGTGCACATGACACTTATGATGATCGTCGTCTCGAGCCATTTCATCGTCGACAACATCCTCGAGGGCATGATCTGGTTCTGGGTGCCCGCGTCGCTCGTCATCTGCAACGATGTCTTCGCCTACATTTGGGGCATGACGCTCGGGCGGACGCCGCTGATCAAGCTCTCACCCAAGAAGACCGTGGAGGGCTTCGTGGGCGCGTTCTTCAGCACGGTCGTGTTTGGCGTGGTGTGGGCGACGTACTTCATGCGCTTCAACTACATGATCTGCCCGGTGCACGACCTGGGCGTGAGCGCGTTTGAGACGATACGCTGTGACCCTAATCCCGTGTTCGTGTGGAGGGAGTGGGTCATCCCTACGCCTGCGCGGGCCCTGTTGTCGACTGCGGTGCGTGTATTCGTTCTCTCAGGGCTATATCGCCGTGTACTGATGCCTGAGCAGACCGGTCACGAGTTTGCCACCATTGCGTACGCACCGTACCAATTCCACGTATTCGTGCTCGCCTGCTTCGCGTCGCTCGTCGCGCCCTTCGGCGGGTTCTTCGCCTCCGGCTTCAAGCGCGCCTTCAACATCAAGGACTTCGGCCACAGCATCCCCGGGCACGGCGGCATGACGGACCGCATGGACTGCCAGTGCGTGCTCGCCCTTCCGGCTTATCGTGCCTCCCAGAGCTGACTCCCGCGCGCGCAGGTTCCTCATGGGCGTCTTCACTTACGTCTACTACAGCAGCCTCATCCGCCAGCACCACGTCTCCATCGGCTCGATACTGCAGATGATCGTCAGCGGGCTGACGCCGGAGCAGCAGCTCGAGCTCATGGCCGACCTGAAGCGCTACCTCGAGGGCCAGGGCATCGCGGTCAACATCTGAAGCTCTCGCTTTGAGCCCCTTTTGGGCCGCTAGCGCCGCCCCACCCCGGGGATATGGCGATGCCAAAAACCTGTCAGCGACAGGGATGAATCGATGACTTGCACGACGCATGTGTTGTTATCTCTCTGCTACGTCCATGCAATCGCTCGCGGACCCTCGACTCGACGTACAGTACTCCCACCTACGTATACTGATATGGTTACACCGTTAGCAGATAATATGAGTGCTATGATTGGTTCATCTTGTCATGTCGGGCCGTTCATCAAGTCTTCGACTGACCTCGACTTTGCCTCGATCATACGAACCGCTTTAGAAGCAAGTGAGGATAACGGATGGAAGACCTTTGCATCTTTGCATGAGCAATCAAAATGAAGGTATGACGGCACGACGGCCACGCGCGCTCGAGTAGGGTTTAGCCAAAGCGCTGCTTGCAGGTCATTGCGCAACGCAGATGTGCTCGGTCGGCATATGGTTCATTCTGCGAAATCATAATGTTGGCATACATAATACATGCATGTGTGAACCCATTGGACAAGCATCGGCAGCGACAATCAGAGGGCAGGAGATAAGGTCCAGAGAGGGGGAAGATTTTTATGACCTGGGCTTCTCCTGCAGAGGCAATCAGTGAGTCATCGGGGCCCGAGAAGCGATGGACGAACCTTCTTCTCCTTCCAGAGAGCGAGCAGGCCGACGCCAGAGACCTTAACGATCTTGAAGCGGACACCAGGAATATCACCCTTGGCCTTTCCGCGGCGACCGAAGCCAGAGATGAGGACCTCGTCGTTGTCGTCGACGAAGTTCAAGCAACCGTCGTTCTAGCATGGAGATTAGCGAATTTAGAGAAAGAGACGCGAAGGTGATCCGCGCTCGCGGGGACGAGTCGGACCATGACGCGCAGTGAGAGAGAGTACTCACCGGGACGAACGCAGTCACCTTCTTACCGTTCTTGATCAGCTGTACACGGACACACTTCCGGATAGCTGAGTTGGGCTGCTTGGCCTCAACGCCAATCTTCTCGAGGACGATGCCCTTGGCATGCGACGACCCTCCCGTGGGCGAGGTCTTGTAGATGTTGCCGAGTGCCCGCTTTTTGTAGGCCTTGTCCGCCTATATGATCGCGGCCAAACGCGCAGCGCACAGAGGTGAGATCTCAGCATAATCCACAGAAATGCAGGCGGCGTACCCAGCGGTTTTCACGGCGGTCGTTGCGCAGCTTGCGCGCGGCTTGCAATCCGCGAGGTTTGTTGGCTGGAGCAGACGGTCAGCATGGCGGACAGAACGGGGAGGAGGACGGGGAGGCGACGTACAGCCCATGTCTTGAGGATGCGGTCGTCGATGCTAGAGGGAAGGGGATCCTGTGGCGGAGATCGAATGCGGCGATCAAAACTGTAGCAGTACCACGCTCTTTTCCCAGCACGTGACACGTGCTGCGACGCGTCCGCCGCGCTGGCCGATCGGACCGCGATCGGGTGGCAGTGGCTGAGTGGCGCCGAGTCAGTGAGCTGGACGGAAGTGACTCGGCTGGGTCCAGCGAGCGTGTCACGGTACATCCACCTCCCTCGGGCACACGGAACAGCGTCCCAGCCATGGGAACGCGAAGTGTCGCAGACATTCTCACCCTCTATCTCCAGCATGGGTGGAGGAGTCACTCGAGGGCCTCCTCTACTACGACCTAACCACCATGTCTCAAGTGAAGTACTACCACCACGGCCGCTTCCGCGTAGCCGGCGGCGTCCTGCCCGACGCATTCACTGCCTATCGTACGTACGGCGACCCAAAGAACCCTTGCATCGTCTTTCCGACTTGCTATGGTGGACGCCTGGACAGTACGTTCGATGTTCATCCCCTGCACACCGGGAAGAATGATCATTCATTGCAGATCGTGGCCTGCTAGGCCAGGATTACATGATTGCCTCGGAGACGGAGCACCATGTAAGTAGCCTCGACTGCCATGCTCACGGTATACAAACCGTTCGACTGATCAATGGCCATTATAGGCCCTAGATCCTGCTAAGTACTACATAGTCACTCTGGCATTATTCTCCAATGGCGAGGTATGGTGCAACTTGCTCTCCTCGGCACTCTCGGCAACGCTGTTGACCGAACCTATCTAGTCCTCTTCCCCGTCAAACACGGTGAGAACTACGGCCGTGGAGATACACGACACGAGCATACGAATTGATCTCATATTCCCTTAGGCCCCTCCGTACAACGGCCCCTACTTCCCGGCCATCTCCTATGGCGATAACATGTGGGTGACCATCCATTGTGAAGAACTGACGCGCTCGTTGACGTCGTTCGAAGTCGTGCTCAGTATACCGTCCTCACGAAGGTTCTGGGTGTACAGAAGGTCCACTGCGTCATTGGGTTCTCCATGGGTGGCCAGCAGGTATGGTTGTACATGGCTCGGTAGTAAACAGCGGGCATTCACACCTTGTCATCAGTCATACCACTGGGCAGCCATGTACCCGGACTACGTCGAGAAGTACGCGATTTCCTCCCCGTGCATCGAACTAGATATTAACAATCACACCGTCCAGATTCATAGCTATCTGTGGCTCCGCCCGAACGAGCCCTCACAACAAATGGTATCTCCGGCACATCCTACGAGTACGACTCCTGCGCTCACACACATCCCAGCTTCCTTGAAGGCCCCAAAGCCGCTCTCGTAGCCTCCAAAGACTTCGACAACGGGCACTACAAGGCGCACCCCGATATCGGCGTCCGCGCCTTCGGGCGCGCCTACAGCGCGTGGGCCTATGGGCAGACCGTACGCCCCTCCCCCCTCCACATCAGACTTAGGTAGTGACAGATAGATCCGCATTGCAGTGGTTCCGCCAGCACGGCTACCTCCACGACGGAAAGTACGCCTCGCTCGAGGACTTCCTCCGCGCGGAGTGGGAGGGCGGCTTCCTCGAGTGGGACGCGAACGACCTCCTCACGCTCCTGCACACCTGGCAAGACGGCGACATCACCGAGTCCGTCGGCGGAGGCGTGGAGCTCGCGGACTGCCTCGCAGGGTTGAAGCCGCGGGGTCTGATTATGCCATGCAAGACGGACTTGTACTTCCCGGTGAGTGGGCCTGGTCGTGGGCGTACTGATGGGGGTTGGACGGCTCAGGCTGATGTTGTATGTGGGTGTAGCCGGAGGACAGCGAGAACGAGGTTGCGCTCATGAAGAACGGCTCAAGGCTTGTCGTGATCGACTCGGTATGGGGTCATATGGGTGTGTACTTTGACCTACCTATCGGATTGAGCTGACGGGAGCTCTCTTCAGCTGGAGGAGGCTCGAATGACAAGGACACCAGGTTCCTCGATGAGCAGATAGCGAAGTTCCTCGCAGAAGCGTGAACAACCCATGCCATGCCATGTCGAGGTGCGTGGAGATATGGCGGCATATGACACCCATGTGCCACAATGTACTTGTATCGATCCATGCTTTTCCCTGTGCCATTGCAATCAGTATTCATCGGCACGCGATAAGGCGTGAGCACAAGTCGAGCACAAGTTAGACCAATCCTCCTCGCGTATGCTACACATTGATACACATGGACCTACTCATTACACATCGCCGCCAATCCAGAATCGCTAACGCTACATAGTATTCGCTTTGTCATACAACCCAGCAGCCTAGAAATAAGAGCCTTCTCCCGCATAGCTTCGGCCCGACTGTGGACTCGTTATGTCTGCTGGCTCGGAAGTGGCAGGTTCCTCCCCAACAGCTCGGGTGGCCAGCTCGAGCTCCTCTGTCTGCCGCCTGATGTAGGCGACAGAGCCCGGACCGAAGGCGGGAGTAGGTTTGGCGAAGGGCTTGACAGTCACAGCAAGCCGTCCCGCCGGGATCGAAGCCTGCAGGTCCGACTGTGGAGGGACTGGCTGGAAGGCCACCTATCCAACGCCTGATCAGCACCACGCTCGCTTGCCTTACACCCCCGACTCACCGTATCGTTCATATTTTTGTATCCCTTCAGAAACACACTCACACTCTCGAGCTCCTGCACGACCTTCTCCTTTCTCCGCTCACGCATATCCTTCTCCCTATCCGAGCTCATGACATTCGCGCCGCCCCTGAGGTCCTCCAGCTCCTTCTTCGCCCACGCGAGGAACGCGACGGCCTCGCCCGCCTTCGCCGTATCTCCGTTCTCGCCTGCGTCGACGCCGAGCCACTTGTGCGCGAGCGCGGCGTGGAAGGCGGCCTCCTCCGCGAGGTACCGCCGCAGCTCCGGCGCGACCTCCTCCCCGCCCTCGTCGCGCACCGCGCCCTCGCTCCGGTCCTTGGAGAACGCGGACTTGAGCTTGGACTTGGTGGACGAGGCGGGCCGGTAGTCGCCCGGCGTCTTGGCGAGCGAGCGCGCGGAGGCGTAGAGGGCGGCGCATTCGAGGTGCAGCTTGGAGATGAGCATGGGGGAGGGGTGTGATTTGGGGAGGGGAGGACCCGGTGTGATTGTGCTGTCGAAAGCGGCCCGCGACAGCAGCTTGCGGATCGCGAGGGTCTGCGCGTCGGCCAGCGCCATCCTGGATGTAGGTCAGCTTGTGGACCGCGGCATGGACAGCCTGACTTACTTGCTGAGCCCGATTACTACTTCTCGCGTCAGATCAGGCGGGCGAAGACATGTCATTCCCGCAGCGGCGACGCGATCTCGCTCGCGCTCCCACTCTTGGATGCAGTCCTTGGCGATATACTCGAAGACGCCAGACGCTTTGCACAGCAATGTGACCGCGAATTGCAGCTTCTCGTCCTTTGCCTTACGCTCGGCATCGGAGATCGCGCGTTCCCGCTCATACGCACCGAGCGAGTGCACGACGGTGCGGGACAGGTTGGAGAGGGCGAACGCGTAGGTCAAGAGGGTGAAGATGACCTCGGTGGATAATGTCGGGATGGAGAGGCGTGGCGAGTTGTGGAAGAGGGACGACGAGAGTGTCGTCCGCCAGCTGAAAACTAAGGAGTTGTATCGGAGACAGTGCAGGTCGTAGAGGTGGGGTTACGCACTCGGCTCAGTCTTGAGTACGAGTTCGCCTTCCTGTACGCAAATCACGATGCCATACAGCTGAGGCAGATAGTCATCCAGGACCTGCGATGCCATATGAGCCTCCATTGGGACGATTCGACAGGACAGATGCACCTTGACCAGCTTCAAGTAGTCCTTACCTCCATCGTCCGCCCGCTTACTCTCCTTGAGCGCGGCTCTCAGGTTGGCACGAGCCTCGGTGGCTTCCGCGATCTCAGTAGTATACGAACCTGTCTTGTCGTCGCATACTCCTGCAAAGAATATTGCACCCGTAGTGGGTAGCTCGTAGAGAAACGTCGTCATGGGTGGTGGCAAGACGTGCGATGTCCGCGCCGAGCGCACTGACATATGATTGCCACAGTTACTTACCTCCGATTGAATGGGCACTATAGCAGTGCTAGTGATGTTGTAAGTAGCGTTACAAAGCGCTCTGTCGCTGGCGTTGTATTCGTTGTTATTCAGCTATCACCTTGAGCTTACTAGCACGCACGAAGCTCGCTGCTGAATGCCGCTGCTTCTCCCACCGATGCACCGAAGTTATGTCAAGATGGCCGCCTGCATGATCAGATATTTCCCCGCAGCGTCACGGCTTCCGGCGGGCGAAGGGCAGCGCAAAGGGTATAAAGGCATGAGGCAAGTTCAATCTACTCAGCTGTCCTCGCCGACCCATCGACTGTGACCCAAATGCCAGAAAGCGTCTGCAACGTATGTGATTTGCCGTACGATGTGCTGTTCGAACTCTTTCGCTACATGTCTGCGGTGGATGCCACCGCCCTGCTCAGTACGTGCAGGGACGCCCGGAAACACATCCAGGATGCATCGATCTGGCAGCGATTCTGCAGTCGGTATGGCCTGCGAAGCGTAGTCAACTTCGGTGGACTGTCCTTCTACGCAGTCTACACGCAGCTGCTGCATCCATATGGCCCCCTTCTCGGCCTTTGGGCAGGCGACTACCCATACCGAGGAAACATCATCGACTTTCGGCTCATCCCCGGCGACGACCACGAACAAGGAGGCATCATCGGTGAAGTCTGGCGGTTTCCGCAGGAGCCCACCCGCTATCCTGTTTCACCGAGCTACGTTCGCGCTCTGAAGATTGGTTTCGATGGGCCCTTCGTACCTTCTCCCACCGCAAAAGCAGCGCAATCACCGTCTCCGCACAATGTCTCGCCCAAAGCGCGCGTGTGTTGCAGCGTTCTGCCACCGGTCGACCATGCGCACTGGCATTCGACATACCTTGAGGTCGTTCCCCCCAGTAGCTATGGCTACTTATTGCAAGGCTATCGCCGACCCTACCCCCACCCCGACTTTCCTCCGCAGGACGCGTCGTGGTACGACTCACAGCGTGGCCTTCCTCGTCTGAATCCATCGATCCCTGTCCTCGTCGATCAGCGCGAGCTTGTTCGGATCTATCCCGCCGTTCGCCTCCCCATTATCTTCGCATCTACGACACCGCACCTGAAGCCTGCAGCAATTTCAATACACTGCTCGGGTGGCGATGACCGATGTACGCAGATGTACCAGCCAGCACTACCGTTCGATGATCTATCGACCGCTCCGCCGCGTTACTACCCTCTCATTCGAGACATCCGCTCGGGTATTGACCCGAGGGACGTAGGGTGGAAATTCGAGTCCCTAGAGGGACTTTGGCTTGGGGCCATGGGTCGTTATGGGACGGAGGTGCTGCACTTGACCTGGCATCGAGAGCAGGAGGAGTTACGTGCGATCAAAATCACTGGGGACGCGAACGTACCAAGGGGCGCCCATTCCTGGACGTTGCACACATCCCACGACCCACTTTCTCCGCCGACTCCCATGCCAGCAGGGTGGACAAGCGAGCTGCCTGGTGGATGCCTCATGTACACAGGCATCGGTACGATCAGCGAGCGCGGATATCCGTGAGTTTTTGATCCCTCTCCTTCCTGGCTTTCTTCTGACATTCCTTTGGGTCAACAGGTTCGGTGTTCCTGTTCCACTCAGCATCGCCATCGTCAACACGGACGAAATCCGCATTTTCTGGGATCAAATCAACGACACGCGCATCTACATGCGCTACAAGGACCGCGAAAATGTCGCTGGACAATGAGCTCGACGGATTGTCTTTCTGAAATCTTCACGGTACATACCAGCATACCTGAGCCTCGCCTACCGATATTAAGTACTCTGATATACCGCGGGCCGATCATGTCTACCGACTGCACCCGGCTGATGTCTCTGGAAGATAGTAGACATGGAATCTCGCGATTCGTCTGTGCATTAGGTAGAGTGTACATCTATGAAAGGTACTGTAGCTACCGGCTATGTTACAAGCGAGCCACGACTTCGCAAGGAGGGGCTATTATCACATCTCTGGAATTACATTTCAATCCGCACAGCAGAATTCAGTGCAGCTCTCGCGCGGGAGCTGTCGACGCGAAGGGGGCAATTGATGTGTGTGGGAGGACGACACCGAAAGAACGACGAATGCGACCAAGCGATAACTTATGTTGTACGGTGCGAAAGGTGAAGCGGCGAGCGCTCCGTGCGAATGCAATGTGCGAACCAACGATGTGAGAACTGCATGCGGTATGGTACAGTATGCGGGCATAAGCAAGAAAGAAGATCTAGAGCATGCGCTACAAATCCTCGGATACATAGGTAGTAGATCAAAGTCCAAGCGTACGTCATCTTCGTCCCAGAAACCCAAATGCGCTTCTTGAACCGAAGCTGAGATTCGTGCCAGTGCTGGCTGGTGGCGGCCCAGAGTTTCCCTGCTGTTCCGCGGCGGAGCGGGAGCCTGTATGTGAGAGTGCCTCGTCCGCAGTCCGTGGACGACCGCTAGTCGTTGCCGTCCTCGCACCCTCTGGCAGATCAGGTCGTGATATCGACGGTGCTGTAGGGCTTCCCAACGGCGTAGTAGTGGCGGAACCCGGTCCAGTCAGGGGGAGACCCATGAGTTTCTGCATGATGTACGGGCGGTGCATCGTCCCTTGCGAGTTACTATGTGAATGTGTCGGGCGTGTCGTTGACACGGCGGCGAATTGCTCGTCGGGAGTCGGGAGTGGCGGATGTGGCGGACGATGCGACCCGCTCAAGCGGAATGCACTCGTGCGACGGGACTCGCTGATGGGCGAGACGGATGACTGGATGGAATGCCGGAAGTGAATATCGGAGACGGTCATAGGGATAGAGTCGGAAGGAGAAGGGAGCTCGCCCAATGGGTCACCTGCGCCGGAAGTAGTATGCGGTTCATCTGGAGGTACGATGAGAGGTGGCGGGAGAGGGACGGGTTGGAGGGAGATGTCAGGGCTTAGCGAGGGTCTACTCTCCGTCGGCCCTCCAGCTATGGTCATGGACAACGCCATCGACCCTCGGTGGTCTGTCGGAAGTGGTGGGGCCTGCTGCGAACTGCTCTCGTGTCGTGACTTCGCCGAGCTTCGTGTCGACCGCTTAGACTGCGTTGACGAAGACTGGCGTAGCGACCGCGAGCGCGACGAACTCGAAGAGCTCGACGAGAAGTCCATGAAAGACAGAAACGTCGAAGGTCTTGATGGACCCGCTTCCGCATTACCCCCGTCGACGCTTCCTCGGGCAAGCGCCTGCCTGAGCGACTGCGGTAGGGAGACCCCACCAGTGCTGACATACCTCTCCATGCGACGTTCGGAGCGAGGCTGTGACTGCGCAGCAAACTCGACTCTGAGAGGCGTTGCGTTGTCCTCGGCCTCTAGATCAGACGTCGGCATGTACATCTCGTTGAGGAGATCACTGCTTCCTCGCCCGTGCATCTCCCGAGGTCCTCTGGGTCGGGCGTTCCGCGGCGACGTAGATGACCGCATGCGGGAGAGGGTGTCAGGAGGCGTGGTTGACGGCGCCCCGCGGGGAATGGCGGATGTCTGCGAGACAAGTGATGAAGGCTCGGGAGTGTAGGGGAAGGGACTTGTGGGGTTCCGCAGAGGCACCGCAGACAACTCTGGCAGCTCAATGGAGAAACTGCCATCCGACTTCTGCGAGACATGGCGCGTCCGCTGGGCTGAGTGACCCTGCGTGCCGACTTCGGATCCACCGTAGTAGTCGTGATGCCCGTCCTCCTCCTTCTCCCTAGGCATGATTGGACGACCAATCTGCAGGATGCCTGGGGTGTGACGCGGTGGCATGCTGTCTCGCCAGTTTGTATCCTTCTCCCGGACAAAGTGCGTGTCTTGGGGTGCTGTGCTTCCCGCCCGAGGAGAGAACCAGCGTGGCCAGTTCCGCTGCCAGTAGCTCACCCGCGGGTTGACCAGGAAACTCTCCTTCCGTCGTGCCCTTCTCCGTCTCCAGTAAATCGCGGTCAGAATGAAGGCAATCAAAATCAGGACACCCAGCACAACACCGACAGCAATGGCCGCAACGGCGCCATGTGATAGATGACTGCTACTGGTCGATGTGCTGTGTAGTTGTTCAGTAAATATACATCAAGGCCTATAGCGGCAAGCGCCAGACATGAGTAGGAAAGCTCACTTGGGCACCGTCGTGTTCCCAGCCATCGTCACGTTCATACCGCCAGCCAGAATGACCAGGTCTGCAGTTAGATCGTTTCCTCCTCCGTCCGCGCCTGCATTAACGATCTCCAAGGAGTGCGGTATCGCGGGGTCGAGGTCGGCGATATAGAACAATACAACAGGGGACGCGGCCGTGAACGAGGCTCGTGCAGACAATGTAGGGTACAGGTGGTCGTCAAGCGTAACGTTGTACGTGCCCGACGAGGGCGACGTGAGCCCCGACAGCGACAAAGCGGTCCCTGCGGGGATGGAGAAAAGAAATTGGGTCAGCGACTCTGGCCCGGTCTAAATATTGACGGCAACGTCGTGTGAAGGGAAGGAATGGGAAAAGATTCGAAGGCCACGAGTTCTGCCCTTCACTACCCACAAGGTGGGCATTTACGGAAGCGTCAGGGAAAGTGGATATGACAGCAGAAACCGGACATCACGCTCGGCGCACACTCGCCCTTTGACTCACGATCGGCGCTGAAAAATACGCGGCTCTTGTCACGCTACGGGGGTAGCGGCGAAGCGAGCGGCAGACATTGCGGCGAGGCGCGAGCAAGCTAGGAGTCTGATCAAGGTCGCGCGACCATGATTGTTACACAGTACACGGGCTGTGCGCGGGACAACGCCAAGCTATACCACCGACTGGTCGGAAATATCATAGGGGTAGACGCTCGAAGGCGGCCCGCAGAGCGGGGAAGGCAGGTGCGGACGGGGAAGCTCACCATTGAAATCGACTCGCGCACTGTCTCCGACGTTCGTGCTCGTATGGAAGGCTGCTCCAGGGAAATCAGGGAGAAGGCCGGCGGAGTACGACCACTGCCCACGGTACGAGACCGCACCATCTGGTAAGGAGGTGGTTGTGGGCGCTTCTGATGCTGATGTCGAAGAGGCTGAGGGTGCGGGCGGGCTGGGAAAGAACAAGTCAACAACTCTGCAACACATTCAAAGCGGAAGAGCGAGGATGGTTAGGAGCCCGAGCTGGCCCGCGGATTGCGTAGAATATGAGGCTCAGAAAGCAAGAGACAAATGGCTTGAACCGATGAGAACCGAGATGCGCAATGAGACTGGAGAAGCGACGACTCGCATGGCTCGCCTTGAAGCAGTCGAATGACGCGTATACCGAACACTCGAAGGAAATTGAGTGCTCAAGCAGAGTCAGTGTCTCCGGTGCGCAGGCTGCGTGGACCTGCGAGGAGTTGCGACTGTGAATCGTCCAGGATGCACATGGTGTAAATTCGTCAGGGCCAACTCGCATGAGAGCTTCGATCGCACAAGCCTGAAACATCTTCAATGCCCGATCCGGTTTCGTGCACTTACCCGTCTCCGTCCATGAATAACACAAAGCTATCAAACGCGACAACCGCGTCCAAGTCGGTGACATCGTTGCTGTCTGTTGCCCCCGCATTATGCACCGTCAGGACGATCTCGTGCAGTTCATCTGATAGATTGGAGAACGAGGCCAAGACATCATTGGCAGCAGTATCCACAGACGCCGGCGAGGATATGCGAGAGAAGAAGTTTGTGGTCGCATTCCCGTCCAGGGAGATAGTATACGTGAGCGCGCTCGAGCTATTTGCGGTGATGGTACCAAACACGTTGATCGCGGTGCCTGGGAAGGGTAAGTCAGCAGTTTGACCGGGTGCAGAAACGAGCGAATAGCAACGAATGGCCGACAAAGCATAACCACAGATCGCCCATCTTAAGCCAACTTGACTGATAGATGAGAGCCACTGACAGCTGCTATCGGACGCCAGTGTTGATACTAGACACTCGAGCGCTCCGGTCGGCAGCAGTCGAGGAGCAGACCGCATACAGCCAGGAATGACCCTCTTACGCGATATGCAGGCCTCCCGCGAGGCTGAGACCGGCTAAGAAGACTCGCAAAGGGAAGGCAGGAATGTGAGAAGAGTCACACGAGCACTCACCGTTCCACCGTATTGCCACCTGAGCCCCGTCACACGCAGTAACGTGCAGACTCGTACCACTCCCGAGGTTGCTCACCACCGAGCTGGACGACGAGTTCGAGCCTGAAGAGAAGCCTGAGCCAGTGTAGTATGGATTCCAGCCTGCGGTGACGTTGGGTTCGCCGAGGGTGTCACCGAATGGTGCGTATGCGATTGTGGGGGAGTTGTCGTCGACTATGATCGAGACCAAAGTATTTGCCATGCATGTAGAAGAATATCAACGCGATCTGCTGATCGCGAGCCCAGCCAGGGAGACCGTCACCAAGGAGCTACCGGGGCTGGAGGGGGGCCAGCGTCGACCGCTCGAGGAGGGTCGCGAAGAGGTCGCCGAGGGCGGAGGAAGGAAGAGACGGAGAGACGATGTGGTCGTGAGTTACGAAGCTAAAATGGATGGCCCACAGGGCCGGGTCGCGGAAGAGCAAGCGTCAGTTGCCAGCGGCGGGAAGAGCACGGCCCAGACGAGAAGCCTCCAGCCAAATACCGCTGTAGCGCTGTTCCCACGTGATCGCGACACGACACGCGTGATCGTGCTGCCCAGAGACTTGCTGCTGCACTACTTACGCGTCGCACGGATCCCCACTGCTTATGTATCTACCGCACCCACACCCGGAGAAATGTCTGCACACGACAGCTTTCCCCATACGGCCCCCGACGCACGCATGCTCCTCTGCCTTCCACTAGGCCACGTTTAGGGCACACCGTGACCGGCCCTCTTCGGCATCAGGGCTGTGTCAAACGGACGTTTCAAGACCCCTATAGCCCTAGACTGCGCACCGGTGAGCCGGATGATGCATGTAACGCCTGCACCGTGGCAGGCTGGTGGCTGCATCTTTCCTTGGTCAAAAGGCTAGCCACCTATCCACTTGCACTCCACGCACTCTGCAACGGACGAACCAAGTACACAAGGTTACGCCAGCGTAGCAAACACTCACATGGCAGATCGCGCTAGTGCTGACAGGCGTCAGGATTCGGTGGGGGCCTCCGGGTCCGCTTCATCCTGGACCATTGCAGCGCGTTGAATGGAACGAGTGAGTGTCTCGTTCATGCAGCTAATGTTACACAGAGATGGCAACATGTCAGGGTGCAAATGAAGGAAGTATGTATCGATCCATCGATCGTACCTCCCACACCGTACCTCGTAGGGGCGCTCGTCAACGCCGATCCAACTTGTAGGCGAGACCACCCCTGACCACCCGGACGTCTCACATCATTGTGCCCCACCGAGCCCACCACTTGCAGTACGAATGGAGAAAAGAACAGCATGTCCGAGAAGTCGCACACTGGCACCGGCGCGTATGACGTTTGTACGTCCGGAGGTAGTCGACTGATACCAAGGAATTAAAAACATGGCCGTAGCATCGCAAGAACGCCACACCGAGGACCGAGGACCATCGATGCCCACGGGTGATGCGGTGCATCCTCTAGACATCACCCGTGGCAGCCCCGTTACTGAGCGGCAATGTGGATGTGTCTCGAGACACTACAGAGAGGGACAAAGCGTCTAACCTCATCAACCGTTACCTGCTTAGACCTCCCGTCGATCACAACTTGACCATATGGGCTGGTAAAAGCAGTCGGTGCGTACATCTCCCGGTAGAGCGTCTCTGTGCCATCCAGACTGATCCGTCAGTGCGACTCAAGAAAGCCCAAGCATCATCTACTAACCCGCTGATGCCGTCTGGGACCGCGAACCTCTGCATAAGGGCGTTGAATATATATTTACAGGAACACAGGTCCTGAAGATGTCTGCACCATCAATACGCCAACGACGGAGCTTGCGAGCGATCATCTGGTCCGTGAAGATGGCCTCCATAATCCGGTATCGGTTCTCGGGTGGCCAATTAATCCAATAGGAGGTACTCTGGCTACTCGCTATCCAAGCAATGACTGTTAATAAAACTCGTTTTCGCATAGTATCTAGTGCACCTCACGCAGATAGGAAGTGGCGTACCATGGTAAACGATGGACGTGACGCGTTACTGCACCAATGAAAGTAGGCTGGGATGGCCGACAGCATACCCCGTTTCATCGTTAGGACACTTCACTGCCAGGTGGGACCTGGTATGTAGACTAAGTATGTGTCCGAGCGGCATCATCGTCCTATTGCCTACATGTCGTGCCTGTCTATCTTTGATGACGTCTCTTCGTATACTCGGTAGATAGTCTCACCGCAATGTCTGACTTGTTGTGGCTGCCGAGTTCCGCGTACACTTGGAAATACCTGCCAAAGTAGGTCCGTAACTTAGCACTGTAGCGAAAAATACATTCGCCAAATGTGCTAGGTTGGTTTGACGTAGAGCATGCATGGTTACTTGCATGGTGGCTATTGGATTTCTATCTGAGACCGAGTGAACTCACCGACCGGTATGTCATCTACAATCAAGCTTGTGGACAAAAAGGATTTGTTCTGCCCTTGATGCAATATTCGTCTGCTCAGTGCTCAACAATACAATCAATCTATATCAAGGTTTCTCTGAGGCACACAGACCGGCATGAGCTGCAACGGTGCCGTAGCCGACTCGTCAGTACCGCATGCAGTAGCACGTCGAGGTGTGGTAAAGCAGCTGATGGATTGGCGGCTCGAAGGCAATCGTCGGCGAGATCTTGCACAGATCCAAATCTCGCTGATGCGCCCTTGGCCAGATCGCCGATTCATTTGCGTTCCCAGTGGTGGCTGCAACGGCGGCCTCTATTACTCTCAGGCTCTCCCTCCAGCCACTTCTCTGGGTTACTCCTCGTTTCTGCAGATATCTGGTCGCTTTTGTAGCACACGTTGAGTGATTGATCTGGTGTTCAGCTGCCTGCTCAAAAGACGCCACGTCAAATTGCTCAAATCACCAGGGACGACGAAGACGCTCTGCGGGGCCCATCTGTCATCGCGCGCACAGCCCGAGCACACCTCGAGCACCGTTGGCGCCGCCTGTCTTCGACCTCGACTCTGCACCCCCGGCCTCCCGGCATCGAAACCAGGACCCGAGGCCGAATCCCCCAATCAATTCAAGCAACTGACAACTTGAAGGATGGCATCCTCGTTCCGCCGCAGGCGCATCGTCTGGGCTATCATCCTGCTCACCGCTGGCGTGTTCTTCTACGTAAGCACCTCAGGCAACGCCTCCTTCCTCTCCCTCCCCGCGTCTCTCAAAGACATTGGCTTCTCCCCGTCGTCCTCGCGCGCCGGACAGGTCGCGCTCGCGAAGCTCAAGGACATCGCCGGCAAGAAGCAGGTCCCTGAGATCCAGGGCCTCCTCTACTTCGTCTCGCAGCACCCGGACCGCACACTCAACGAGAATGAGGGCGAGATTGAGGTGGAGGGGAAAGGGCTCGTGAAGGTGGACCCCGAGACGGCGATCGACCTCGACGTCTATGCTCCGGACGGACACCGCAATTGGGACGCGCATTTGAAAGTGCTGAAGGAGGACTACCCCGTTATCGTGTTCAGCAAGACGTTCTGCCCGTGCGTCGCAGCTGTCCTCGGTGAGACCGACCGTCATTGGACTGACGTTCCGTTTCATGCACAGCTACTCGCAGCGTGCCAAAGCACTTCTGCAGACGTATGAACTAGACCCACCGCCATTCATCGTGGAGCTCAATACCCGGAGAGACGGGCCCATGATCCAAAACATCTTGAAAAGGTTGACTGGGCGGCGTACTGTGCCAAATGTCCTCGTTCACGTAAGGCTATTGGCCATTGACTTGTTTGTCTCAGCTGACTCGTATTGCACCAAGGGTCAATCACTGGGTGGCTCCGATGATATCCAGGCGCTACACGACCAGCATAAACTGAAGGGTATTCTCGAGGATGCTGGACTGGAGGTCAATGGGTTGTGGGCGGGTCTGCAGGTCCATGAGGAATAGGTATGTAGGCAGAGGTCTTGCTTGAGACGAATGGGCTGACACTTGTTCAGTCTTAGGTTGCGTGCTTGTAAAACACCAGTGTATGTCTACATGCTGTACCATAACATATCCCTGCTCTTGGAGCGTATAGACGCAGAGAGATAGCAGCGCGAACATGACACTCGGCGAGGCGCGCCTCCACCACTGCAGGTTTGCCATTTCGCGTATGCTCTAAGGTATCATAGCCCGTCGGCGAACAATGTTTCATGCACAAGCGCTACCCCCACGTTACGTTTGGCTTTCGACCCTCGATGCACTAAGGGCCCGCATCATACGGAGGCAAACCCCACTCCTCCGGGACGAATTCCTCGAGGCTCTTCAGGGTCTGCTCGGGCTGTTCGACGTCCAGCGTCGGCCCCGCGTCGCCAAGCGCCAGGAGGTTCGCGTCTGGGACCCACACAACTATATGTGCAACCCATCAGGCTACCGGCTACGAAATGCAACACAGCCCGCCACGGGGGCGGCGACGCACCGTTCATGCCCGCGCGTTTGCCAGCCTGCACACCCGGGATCGCATCCTCGAACACGAGGCCCTTCGCGCGCTCCCGCCTGTGCGCCTCGCCAAGGCTCCGCTCCCCCACCTCGCCCTCGCCGACGCTGCGCCCGAGCATCTTCTCCGCGGCGACGAGGAAGACGTCCGGGTGGGGCTTGCCGCGGCCGGGGCGGACGAGCCCGTCGTCCGCGCACACGACGCGCCCCTCGAAGGACCCGAAGAGCGCGTCCATGAGGTGCGCACTCTTCTGCTCGTAGTTGCGCCGCTGCGAGCCCGTCGCGACCGCGATCGGCACGCTGTGCCGGCGCAGGTGCTGCACGAGCTTGAGCACGCCTGGGAGCGGCTGCACGGTCGGCCAGAGCGCGTCTTGCCCGATGCGCCGCTGTTCGATGTAGACGTCGATGGTGAAGTCGGAGGGGAGGTCGGGGAAGAAGGAGAGGAGGTGCGCGGCGGCTTCGCGCTCGGCTGGGGGGAAGGAGTTCGTTGGGTGCGCTCGGGACGGGTGCGGAAGGACGTACGTTTGCCCATGAGCCCGGCTTTGATGTCCCAGGTCATCTCCTTGCCATACTTTGCGAGGATGTTATCTGCCGTGGAGGAACATTGAATCCCGCCGAAGTCGCTCACTCAGGTCTAGTCCGGCTTACTTGTGACCTCTGTATACACCCTCTCCGAGTCGATGAGCAGTCCTGTATCACGGAGCGGAGCCATGAGTCCGGGTGGACGATCGACAGTACTAGGCCCATTACTAGCAGCCAGGGCCTAGTAGCGCGGAACTAGAACGGCTCACCATCCACGTCGAAGATGACATACTCGATCTTCGGTCTCTGAACCATCGTCTTCCGCAGACTCTGACTTTGTTACCCTTGCGCGTACACTAGCGAGAGGGGGTTGTCCTGCTTGACTGTCTTAAGGTAAGGTTGGTGCTAGCGATGTATCCGGCCGTAGATCCCTGGCGCGAGTCATCGATCTGTCCGAGTCTGGCGCGGCATGTGAACATGAGGGGGAGGATCAAAGTCTACACATTAGACATCGCCCTCACTCCATGTACGCACGGAGTTTGCGACTGCGCTCGGAGTTGTACTTCTTCTATATGACATCCACATGGTCAACATATAGTACGCATATAGTCGAGTAGCGAACGAATGGCAAGAAACGACGAGGTCAATATTTGCGACTAAGCGCTCCCAGTCACAACCCTCCTCGACGTTCGAACGTTCTCTAGCGCACGCCAAATCCCACCCAACAAAAATCCCAAAAATCGTTGCCGCTCGTCATTGGGGCCATGCATGGAGAAAGTCTATGTGATGAGAGTGTAAAATAATAGTATGCATGCAGCAGATGCCAGATACTATGTAGTATGGTAGAAGATGCGAAGCAGCAGCTAGTTGTACACCCGGCTATAAACACCAAGTATATATGTGAGCACATCGTTGTCGTGCGTCACCGACGACGCACGTAACATCCAAGCCGAACGCCATCCCAAGTGCAGCGCCGGGGCACGCAGAAGCGCGATGGGTGGGCGACCGTGACTGTAAACAAGAAAGGATGATGGGGGATAGTCCGAGTATGTGTACAAGTCAAGTCCGTCTGCGTCTCCGTCATAAGCAAGCAGGCATCCTGTTCCAAGCCGGATGCGGCGCGCGAGGCCCCGAGGCTCAGTGCAGTTTCTTCTGCTTCTTCCGCGCGCCGTACACCTCCGCGCCCGCGGCGGTGAGCATCCGCTGGAGCTCGCCCTTCTTCTTGAGGTACCGGATCTCCTCGAGCGTGCCGAGCGGGCGCCCGCCGACGAGGAGGATGGGGAGCTCCGACTTGCCCGTCAGCCGGAAGAGCAGCGGCGCGAGGACGGACTCGTCCACGCGCTGGTCGACCTCGACGATTGTGGGTGCGGGCCGGAGGTAGAGGTCGTTGAGTATTTGCTTGAGCTCGCGGGATACGGGGGAGTAGAACTGTTGGAAGAGTGTTAAATTACGTAGGGAGCAGTGGCAGGCCAAGAGCAGTCGATGGATATGCATGATCACCGGAGCCGTCAGTTCCGACGGCACTTCCGAGACGTGGATGATATGAATATGTGCCTGTTACTCTGCGATCCCAGGACGGCTGCCAACAAGGCGCTGTTCGCATGTCAGTCCGTCGACGGTGTGGAAGACCCCAATCCAGAGACATGTCCAGTAGCACATATGCCGATAGAGTGTGCCGGGTATAGATGCGATAACACACAGACACGGAGCAGCCTCGGGAAGTAACATGCGTGCCTTTGCAGGTGCCTCAACCTTGCTCTGCGATATGCAGAGACGACCGAGGCACCTGTCAGACCGTGGGTGGCGGGGCTGACAAGGCGCATCTCGTTGGGCATTGACCCGTGATGCGTGCACAGTCGCCGACGAGACGTTTTATCAGGTAGATGGACAATGCATACGTGGGCGATGCGATGAATACGGAGCAGCCTGCTCGCCGTCGAGGGCAAGCAGGGGAATCACAAACCAGGTACAGCCCAGAACGAGACACGCCACAAGGAGGCCGGGGCCAATGGGGTTAAGATGCCTGGAGGGAAGCTCACCTTTGAGTAGAGCATAACTGGATGCTGTGCCCACACGTCCTTTACTACCGCGTCAACCTCCTCTGCTGCATGCGCTGCCATGGTGTCGAAGTCGAGCACGAGCTGTGGGTCGATCGGCTGGGAGGGATCGACGGTGCCGGGGATCACGTTCTGTGGGAGGCTCGCGATGAAACTCGATACCGCGGCGAGCTCCTGCGACGCGTTCAGCTGGACCTGCGGCCGGCCGGGCGTGCTCTCGTTATTGCTCCATGGGTGTTTGTGTCGCAGCGCGGCTAGCCGGAACGCATCCGGGGACAGGTGCGCGTGTGCATGGCTGTCGGAGTCGAACGCGGCGGGTATGGACGATAGCGACGGCTGTGCGACGAGGAGGATGTAGACGGAGAGGACGACGAGGACGAAGAGGGCGAGGAATGTCGTGCGGTACCAGTATGCTCTGGGTTTGCGGGCGGCGAGGGACGAGAGGGCGGCGAAGGAGACGGCGGCGGGGGTGAAGGGCGGGGACTCGAGGACGGGGCTGGGGAGGGAGCTGGGGTCGCCGTACATGGTGGGGCCGGGGAAGCGGTTGGACTGTGTGCGGCGGTGGACCATTGTAGTTAAATAAACGATGGGGCGCAAGTGCAGCCTGTGGAAGACAAAGGAGCGACGGTGGCAGCGTGCAGAGACGGTCAGCAATCTACGCGGCCCAGCCGGCCTCTTGTTTTCTATACACCCGGCGGCTCCCCTCCCGCGCCATCCTCTCCGCCACGTGCCTCAATATCGGCCTTCCTCTCATTGTCCTTTGCGGTCTTGTTCTTTCCGCATCGTATCAGCCTTCTTCGTCCAACGCTCGGCACTCCTATTCGCTTGCTCAAGTAGAGACTGTCACCACCGTGGAAGAGTCTCGTTCTGCAATCCATTGGAGCACTCTCTACTCGATCGATACGACGCCATACCCATGCCAGCACACAACTCGGAGCGATTGCCTGCCATCATAAAATACACTGTCCTTGTGGGCGTCACGCCGGTTCCGAAGCGCGAATACGGCGAGTCGTCTGCCCCTTAAACCTTTGGACTTCGTGCCGCAACTCGCGATCGGACTTACATGTGCAATACCACTTGAGCTTTACGTTATCGAATGCTTCCAGCATGACGAATAGTGTCTACACAACTTTATCTCACCGAGATTCGCGTCGAGCGGATCATCCCTGCGTCTGGGACTCCCAATGGGATGAGACTCTAGCTTGTTGCAGTGAGAGCCGCCATGGGCTCAATCGGGAGCGAGTCCCCCATACACCACCTCACACGTATCTTTCCCCTGGTGGGTTTCATCGTGCGGGTCGCTCACTACTATCTCAGTTCCGCTAATCTTGTCGCAGCTCTGCTCCCCCAGTCAACGTGTTGTCCACATCTCCGTTTATACCGAAGCTTCTGCTGTGGAGTAGGCTACCGAATACGTTGCCTGTCACCAGGTCAAAGTTTGATGTGCATTGAATCGAATGAAGGTCGCCGCCTTCGCTATGCGGGGCATTGAGCACGCTGCAGCGCTGCTCCAATGCACTCATTCACCGCACGTTGGTCCCGTCAGCCCTCCGAAGGATTCTTGCAACATCGATCAGCGGAACTGCATTCGTACACTGAGCTTCGCTCGTGAATTTGCAAATGTGTGACGTAGCAGGTTTCGTAGACCATCGTCAGTGGTAAGTACACTGTTATATTAGGTCGCTCCCGGATATAAGGCGGCCTAGACGCGACTGCTTATTTGACTTTTTCTGCACTTTGACTTTACACTCATGCAGGCCGCTCCAGCCGAACTACTCTTCTACACGCTACACTTTGACCTCGCGCTGGATGAGGCTTTTCCAGGTTGTCGGCTCCCGACCCAACAGCCAGCGCGTCACGTTGACGTTCCCCGGGATGCCACTACACCAGCTCGAGTGAGCCTCATCTATCTTTGGCCCGAAACCAGCAGACACCCACCGTTTGTCATAATAGAATAGCATCCTGTCAAGCGCATCCTTCTCATAGTCGCTCGACACCTTCACATGCGCCATCGCCTTCTCCAGCGCAACCTTCTCGATCCTGATGTCCTTCCCCAGGCGCGCGGCGAGCTCGCGCGCGACGTCCTCGGTGGTGCAGTTCTCCCCGACGAGCTCGTACCGCGCGCGGTTATGCGGCGCGGGGTCGAGGATGACCTTCGCCGCGATCTCCGCCAAGTCCTCGAGGTCGAGGAAGCCTTGGAGGGTCTTGGGCGAGTAGCCGGCGGGGATAACGGAGGACTCGAGCGTCGCCGCGAGGTTGATGTTTTGCATGAAGGATGTGGGCTGTGATGCGGTGAGTCGTGGGCCACGCTCTGACTAGCCTGTGAGAGCACCTCCAGTATGGTGTAGTTCATCCCCGACTCGATCAGGTACTCCTCGACGCTGAACGTGCAGATTAGCGCCAGCGTGCACAGAATCCACGGAACGCAGCGAACAACTCACTCCCTCTTTACTTGATGGTTCAGTAGCTTCGTCAAGATCGGATGGAGCACACTGCAATACACGAAATGGTGCACGCCCGCGGCCCGCGCGGCGTCGATCAGCGCGATGCCCATCGCGGTCTCGTTCGGGTGGAACGCAGGCGCGTTGTGGAACACGACGTCGACGTCCGCGACCGCAGGCGGGAGCGTGCTCGCCTCGAGGAAGTCTCCGAGCGCGAAGTTCTCTGGGGCCCACGAGAGCTGCGGGTGCGCCGCGGTGAGCTTCTGGATCGCGGACTCGGACCGCACGAAGAGGCGCAGGTCGGGCGCGGAGATGGAGGGGGAGTTGAGGAGGGCTTTGAGGACGTAGCCGGAGGTCCGGCCTGATGCGCCAGTGATGAGGACCTTCATTGTGGAGACTGCTGTCGTGTAAGTGGATGGCTTCTGGTCTACAAATGGGAATGCGTACTTATGTTATGTGTCGGAGTGTTCGAGATGTCGGCCAACAGTACCGTGTTGAGCGCGGAGAATAGCAAGAACACTGCCACTCAACTGCTACTTATACCATTGGATCAGCTGGAAGTTCTAGTCTTGACCGTAGCTGGCCTTTGTCAGCTCTTAAGCTTTAGCTCTAACAGACGTCATTTTGTTGGAGAAGTCCGGCAGGGGCCCCACTTTGCCCGACCTGCCAGTCTGCCACTGTATGCGAGCGTGCCGTAGCCTGTAAGTGTATGTCGGAGGTCGCACACAGGCGACCCTGAGCCCTGCCGCAGTTGTGACAATCGTCCCCGCCTGTGCAAGCAAAGCATACCAGAAGAGCAGCACTGCGATCGACAGATGAGCGCGACGGACACGTCCCCAAGTAGTGTCCAACGCGATGATAATGATCCAGCAGTGCACCGACAGTGTAATCGTACAATCCTTGATCCAAAGGAAACAGGCCAGCTACCAGCGACAAGAAACACAGAGTGGGCAGGAACGGACAGCCCTGCTCTAATGACAGGACATCCCCTTGGAGTCTGTGGCGGCGGCGAGGGCGGCGTTGATGTCGAAGTGCGAGCCGAAGACGAAGTGACCGGTGGCGGCGCCCACAACGACAGCGAGGATGAGGTAGGCCTGCAAGACAAGCGTCAGAGTCCACACACAACCAGACCAGAACGGCGAGCGAGACATACGTTGTAGGTCATGAAGACCAACATCAGGAAGAAGGACAAGAAGACCTGCGCGCCGTACAGCACGGCCCGGCTGACGCGAGGCAAGAGCGGAAGGGGAGTCCTGCGCCGCGACGGACCGACCATCAGCATCCCAAGCACACACCGGCCCACATTGACAAGCGAGTCGCACTCACCCGACCTTCCTCAGCGCACGCTCGCCGCCGAGCAGGCCCGCCGCCTCGGAGTCGCTATCGGGCGTCGCGCGCCCGCTCCGGATGCGCGCCTTGCCCTTGCCCTCCGCGACGAGCCTGCGCGCGATCAGGCGGTCGACGTCGCGCGCGGCGACGCGGAGCCACTCGTAGAGCACGCCGAGCGCGACGATGACGAAGAACGACGCGACGAAGCCCGCGGTGCTCCGGATGTGCCACCAGTCGAACACGACGCAGGTGTCCTCGATCTGCGTGTTCCAGATCATGTTCATGCTGCACATCTTGCCCATGTCCATACCCCCGTCGCCGTGGTCCATCCCGCCATGTCCGCCGTGGTCGCCGTGGTTCATCTTGATTGAGATAGTACAGGTGGATGTGCTGGGTGCTAAAGGAGAGGGGACGGCGCGGCCGTTATATGTGCGGGGTGAAGGAAAGAGAGGTGAGAGAAGATAGAGACAAGTTGCTATATGCAGCTGCGGAAGTCGGCGTCGCACGGGCGCTTAATGCCTCACATCGCTCAGCCGTCTCATCCAGAGAAGGCCAGGCGCGGAAGACTTGCTAATACACAGCGTCTCACTGGCCGAGCGTACTGTCACTCGAGTCGCCGCAGTGCCTTGCATGGGAAAGCGCACTCAATTGCAATAAGGTGTACAACAGTAGGGTCCGTCCGAGCCAGCATCACGGTTCACCATCATGCAGCCCTCATTTCCGCATCCTCGTCCTTCTTCGCGAGGTCGTGTTTCACCAGCAGCGCGTCAATCTCTGCGGGCTTGTATATCTTCGCCTTGGGCCGCTTATCCGCGTCCAGCGTCAGCGTAGCAAACTCCACTGTAATTCGAAAGGGCGCATTAGTGCCGTCCGCGAGCGATCACACGCCCGGGGGTGCCAATGGCGACGTTGGGAGACGCGAAAGACACGCACGCTTCTCGCTTCCCAGCGTAGTGCTGTCCATGGTCTTGCTCATCGTCCGGAGGACGAGCCCGACCGCCTCGTCGATGCCGATGTCGTCTTTGTACTCCTGCTTGAGCAGGCTCTGCGCGGTGCCGTTGTTGGCGCCGATGCACGTCGCCTTCCAGCCGGAGTAGTTCCCTGATGGGTCCGAGTGGTAGAGCTGGAACTGGTAGTGCGGGTCGTAGCCGGCGTAGAGAATGGATACACCGAACGGACGCAGACCTACGTATTACTCGAATGAGCTGCGAATGGAGAAGACGACGTGGCGACGCACCTCCGTATTGGGTGTACCCCTGCTTGAGATCACATAGTCTTTGCACGAGAAGCTCAACCGGGATATCATCGTTGTAGTTGAACAAGTGGCCTTGTGCTGTTTGTCGTGAATAATTGACGAGTGAGTTTGCGTCTGCAGTGAGACCCGCGACACCCGAGATAACATTCCTACGAAAGGCAAGCGCATGAGAGGATGCACCGCGCGGGGATAGATGGACGCACGAGTTGAGCAGGAAGATCTTCTCTCCGCTACCTCCGTAGCCCCCTTCCTTCGAGCCGCTCATGTCCAGCAGCTTCCCTGTTACCTTCTTCTCCGCTGCAAGGACGACGCCGTCTTTTGCAAGCACACCAAGGACTGTACCCGCATGTGAGATTGCCTCCATGGCATACTCGACTAAAGATTGAAGATGAGTTGGGTCATGTGGAGGAATCGGTTCGCCTCACTTTGATATAGTCGCCCTATCGAAACGTTGAAAATCAGTTACATGTGCGCGCAGGAGATGCTCCAAGCTCACCTTCGGGCGAGAAGATCGTGGTACGACCTGAAGCATTGCGTCTACCGTTAGCTAGATGGCTTCACGGTGTGGATGCAACGTACTGTCATAACGTCTGGCCTAGAACAATTACAGTCAGCTTACCACAAAGCTAAATCATGACATTCGCTCACCATGGTGCACGATTCGTGGAGGGAAGAAGGAGGGAGTGGTATGGGCTTGAGTGGGTTGACGCGTCTGCCTTACGCGTCGTGCACTCGCGAATCGCGATCCTGTCGGACTTTGCCGACGCGCGTCTCGCTTGACGCGTCGAAGACCTCGAAGCCTGGCACCAGGTCTGCACTGGCACGCAGAGGACGACCCTCTGCTCACCTTCTCTCCAGACCTCGGCACACGACGCTAGTTATCAGTGTCTCAGACGAGACGTATACTCGTCCCGTCTTCACGTCAACTGGGTGCCATCATCAATATTCTACACCTATGCCATGCTACAGGCCTCCAGTCAATCTATTCAGCTCGCCCATGACAATCTTCATCTGCTCCTCCGTGCTCTGCTCCATGGACACTGTGATTACGCCTTCTTCCTCTTCCGGGCTCTCCAGCGTCGCCAGCTGGCTGTCTACCATGTTCGCCTTCATGTAATGCCCCTTCCTCTTCGTGATGCGATCCAGCAGCATATCCCGCTCGCCCTTCATGTACACGAAGTACGTCGGCATGCACTCTGGCGGCGGTGGCGGCTCGAGCTCGTGCATAGGCTCGGGGAGGTTTGGCCTGAGGTTCCCCCGCAGGATCTCCCGATAATAATTCCGGAGCGCAGAACACGTCATGATCGCTCCCGTGCGCCGTCGCGGGGCGTCGGGCGGGGTCTCCTGCTTCGCGGACGACGGGACGTAGACCCCCTTGGTCTCGTGCAGCTGTGGTTTGCCTTTGTGGCTCTCTTCGGCGGCGATGTGCTCCGCGGTCGTGCGCAGGAGGGCGAGCCATGGCTCGCGATCCGCGTCGGTGAGAGGCTGGCCGTTCGACATCTTGTCGATGTTCGCTTGCGGATGTAGCTCGTCCCCCTCGATGTAGGGCAGCTGCAGCTCCTCGCAGAGTGCTTTCGCAAGGGTGGTCTTCCCCGTCGCTGCAACTCCCTGGATCGTGTCGACTGGTGCTCAGCCTAGGTAAGGCCATTGGCCACGATCGTACGCACCATGACTACGATGAGAATGGGCTTGTCGTGGCCTGCGGGGGCCGATGTCTCGTTGGACGCCATGCTGAGCATAGATCGCCTGGGTGAGTTGGTGGGATATGTGTGCCCGTGTCCGGTGTTTTCTCGCCTGGCTCTGCGGGGGAGCGACCGGCGTCCCGGGCCGGTGCCCTATGTCGTCACCTGTCCGCGCCGTCTTTCGGAGAAGAACGAGTGTGGCGTTGAGTCCCCAGAACGGACAGACTGTAGAACTGAGCAGTTCGCCTTGAAGAGCGGATATAAATGATCTGCTATAAATCCGAGGGTCTCATTCAGTATGTATGTTGCAGACAAAAACATGACGAACGCTGACACTGATGATCGCCACAGAACTCACGACTGACAGTGATGGTATGTAGTGCCAATTCTTGTCATACTAAGTTGGTACTGTGATTTCATTGCTCGACACACGAGGTGGTACTCTTTCCGCATATCAAGCATCTTCCACATTCCAAGCCAGGGAATGCAGCGGCTGACGGCGGGCTGACATGGTCAGAAACCAAATGCAAGCCGAGATTGCGGGGCTGGCAGGCTCGGAGGGGTATATAAAGCCGCACGAGAACAGGGTTTGCACATTTCTCTCTTGCTCTCTACTCTCATTTTGTCCTCGAAAACGGCTCACCTCTTTAGAAACGGGCTATACTACTGTATCTGTACCCAGCAGGTACTTGTTCCATCCATGCTTGAAGCTTATCATGTTTCATACCTCGGGCGACAATTGCGACGGGCAAGCCCAGCACAGGAAGTGACGCAGGTGCGACAGATGACAGCCCCCCAACAACGACATGGTGCGTGTCCCGAAGTTTAGTGGAAGCGGCTGACATCGCGATGCGGTTGGGGCAGTCAGAGACATAACGCCGGCCTCCTTCCCGGGGGCTGACATGCTGGCTCACTACATAATCCCGTCATGAGTACGTCCACGAACCATTGTCCTCTTCTCTCTCGCCCTCACCTTCTCCGCCCCTTCCGCCATTACATCGCCGCGTACTCACTGGATCTTCCACAGGTGAAGGTAAGTGGTCTCGTCGTGGTTCGTGGTTCGTGGTTCGGCTCCTCTCCTGTCCATCTACCCATCGCGCCTGTCATCTCTCCTACCTGTCCTCTCTCCATCGCTCATGTAGTGTTCCGGCTTCCGGTTTGGGTTTGGGTTTCTTTTGTTGCGGCGGCGCCGAGAGGCTGCCCTGTCCGCTCGCCCTCGTGCCGAGAGGCTGCGTGTGGCTTCGCCCCTGTGCCGAGAGGCTGCGGGAGGCTATCTGGTTTCTGAGTCTCGGGTCCGTCCCCTACCTGTACCTCCTCCTCACCCATGTGTTGACCCTCCTACCTGTCCACCCACCTCCGCTCCTGTCTTCGTAGGTAGAAATCCTGTGATGCCTCTGCAGTCTGTACTGCTGTCGGGTCGAACGGACCTCAGTTGAGGTGCGTTCGTCGGCGGCAGTACAACTCGAAGGGGAAGTACGTGTGTCGTAGAGTTAGTCCTGGACAATTCAAATGCAGTACACCCTGAGCCATGCAAGTCAATAGGATTTGAATCCAATCCTAGGCAAGACCCTCTTCATTGCTGCTAAGCATCCGTAGCAATGTTCGTTATGCAGTCCATGATTAAGCAGATTCTAGGTTATCCCCACCAACATAGTCCGAGACACATCTATAAGCCCAGCGCCGCTTTCAGCTTTGGGTAGTTCGGGGTGCCCAACCCCGTCACCTGGAGTACGCAAGTAAGGTCAGCGTGGACTCTCGAAGCTTCAACACTGTCTACGTACCGGGTCCCATCCAGCCGAGGCGTTGAACCCCGTAGTGAAGTCCGAGCAGGCGTAGTTATTCCCAACTGTGATATCGTTCAGCGCCGATATTCCCGTCGAGTACAACCACGGGTTCAAAAACCCCAGCGGCGAGCGGCCCGCCGCGAGGAGCTCGTCGTTCAGCAGCGAGATCACACTCGCGAAGAGCGGCGCCGCGGCGCTCGTCCCGCTCCCCGGCGTCTCCTCGCCCGCGTTGATGTACGCGAAGTGCGATGCATACGCCGCGACGTCCGGGTACGCGCGCCCGGTTGAGTTGAACAGGCCCGCGTTGGTGTCGCCGAGGTAGTCGAGGTACTGCGAGTGGTGTCGCCGAGGTAGTCGAGGTACTGCGAGACGGCGGCGTCTTGGTAGGCGGGCCGCGCGAAGTAGTTGGAGAAGCCACCGCTGGAGAAATTGACGGCTTGCTCGGGGATGAGATACGTTCCGCCCACGGAGGTGAGGCTGTCGAGTCCTCAGGCTCAGTGGCTCGCTATCTTCGCAGGCGCACTCACTAGGGGCATCCAGATGGGAATGTCGGGATGAACGTCGTGCATGTCTCCTCCGGCCAGTGCAGACCAGACACACCACCGTCACCAGAGATCCAGATTACGGAGATGCCGCGCGCCCCCAAGGCTGCAAGGGCGCTGCACAATTTGCTTGCCACGACCGAATCAGGGACAAGTAGATATATGCGTGAGTTGGTGCGTACTTTGAGAGTTTCTCGGAAACGTTGTCTTCGTCGTCTCCGTAGCTCGTTGTAATCACCTGTGGAGGCGATGGAAGCCCCAGAATATAGGTGGCCGTGTCGAGGATGACCTCTGCGAACTTGTCGCTCGTGGGATTATCGTCATTGCCGGCAGTGATGAAAGTTACGGGCACGTCCGTTGCGATCCCCATAGTATACTGGACGTCGAGGTTCTGTGCCATATATTGACCATGTCAGGGATAGCATGATCTGATGGAGTCATGGCAAATTATGCGCACCGCTTTCATGCCTGCATCTTCAGCCTCTTGAGGATCCGTGCCGTTGTCCAGCGAGACAAGCGTCCATGCCGTCGCAGGATCCATGTCAGGACGATATTCAGTCAAGAATGCCTTTAAGTACACAGCATCAGTGCGATGCATCTGACAGACATGCGCGCATCTTCAGGGCAGCACTTACTTTGAGATCCGCCTCTTGCGGCCAGTCTTCGACGAGTCCCGATACAATCAGACCATTCCCGTGGCTCGTCGCGGGTGTAGCAGGGATGCCATACAACCACTGCAGGCACGTGGGGGTGACGAGACTGATGTTGCACGGGCCTGTATCGGCATTCTCAACTGGAGTTGAGGAAAAGGACGTTTGCAGGGCAGGCACATGTCCATACGCGTTCGGGAACCTGAATCATGGACTTCGCTATTAAAATATTATCAATTCGATGTGATAGGAAGGGAGTGAACGTACGATACAGTAGGGTGTATGAGGTCAATGTGGTCTGCGAAATCCAAAGGAATCGAGTAGGCGAGCCTGCGCACCGTCTGCTTGCCAGTCGCCTAGTGGGTGAAGACAGAGAAGTTCGCGTCTAACAAATCGTTGGCCGTGCTAACAGGTATCTGCACGGAGAGCCAGTCGCCAGCTCCAGAAATGTTCCTCGCTTGTAATCCGTTCTCGCTGAGCCAGGTATTCACGGCCGAGGTGCTCTCCGCTGCCGGTGCCATGTACGCCCCAACCTGCGAAGCGCGTCCAACGTCAATGAAGCCATGCGCGAGACGTCCGAGTCGGGACTGGGCGTACTTGTTCCTTGCTAAGATACGCGCCATAGTTCGCGCTGAAGGGCGTGCTGACATCGTACAGCGCATCTATAAGTCCAGTATAGTTGTTTTGAACGAGCGAAATACGAAGAGAAAGGACGGTGTCAGGAGATGCGGGCCCCACAAGCGTGAACCCAACGGAGGGCTCGCGCGCGATTCCTGCACCTGCATGGCCCGCCGCATAGGCTTTCCCAGAGTGAGTGACGGCAATAGCATCCCAAGCAGGCCAATCAGGAGGCTCGATGCGAGCATCGTCGAGCCGCGAAGGGTACGAACTCTATGAGAAGGTTTGTGAGACTCGAACTAGCAATGGGATCGAGGTTGTGAGAACGTACTAGAACTGCAATGGCGATCGACTTCTTATACGACAGGATCCTCTGATGGGAAGACACGATTAGTTCGGGATTCTTGTGGCACAGAAGACCCGCTTACTTGACGCACATCACCTGCACATCACTGCAACGGACAGATGGGAATCTAGCTCCGAGGCCGCAGCAGATATTGGGACAACCTCAAAGTTGCTCTCATGCAATTAATGGTGCATAGCATGAGCATGATAATCCCACAGCAAGGTCGAGTCGGAGTCGTGACCATCCCCGCTTTCTGTTATCCAACTTGGTGATCAAGGGACCTTGCCTAATAGTTCCGGCGGGATACACTGAGACTGGACGATGACTGGACCGCTAAACTCCAGTAGAACTATGCAGTGCATGACGCAGTTGATGCGCGACGGTCGACTTCAGCAGTGTGGGATGCATCGGTCGGCGACTCGGGCACCGGGCTTCGCGGTCACATGAGAAGACAATACACGTTGGCCCCAGGTCGGCCCTACGCGTTTGTTTCCAGTGCGGCTGCGTCTCAAGTCGACGTTGTGGCTGTCTGGCTGCCGCCAATCACGGTTGACAGCCACCATCCCAGAGAACGGACAGAAACAGTGTACATCCTGGCAGGATGAGGTTATCGGTCGCATCAAGCATGATCAACTTGCACCTACTGGTGCATTGCTACAGCCTCTTGGCCGCATCGCAGAAGATGCAGAGGCGAGTATCGTGGCTGGTGGGAGGCTGACGCCTGATACGTCAGTGGCGGTCAGAACCCTGAGGCAGCCCCGTCCGCCGGGCTGACACCCTCGGTCGGGTATATAAGGGTCTCGCAAACGTACAGACCCACCAGCACTTCTTTCCTTCCTACCCTCATCCTCCCCCTACTCTGGTGGTCTCTCCCAGCGGCGCTGGACTATTACAAGGTGAGTAGCTGTCTAGAACACGGCACCATGCTTACCATGTACCTGGCAGGCGAAGGTAAGTGGTTTCTGGTTTGGGTTCGGTTGTTGCGGCAGTGCCGAGAGGCTGCTGTCCGCTCGCCCCTGTGCCGAAAGGCTGCGGGAGGCTATCGTGTGTGTTCTCGCCCCCGCATGTACCTTCTCATCGCGCCTGTCTTCGCCTTCCTACCTGTCCACCCACCTCCGCGCCTGTACTCCGTGTTGTACTGACTTTTTACAGGCTCATTTTTCGGAAGGTATTTTCCATTCTCTCTTGTGGTCGGCGTCCTTCGTGTGTTTCCTTCTCCTGTTCCCTCGAGTACGCACGTCCATGTTCCGTAGTACCACATGCCTGTGATGCCTCTGCAGTCTGTACCATTGCCGGCTCGGACACGCTCCAGTTGGCGCGTTTCCGCCTTCAGTGGTACAGATTGTTGGCCAAGACAAGGGCAGATGTCAGTAGGTTAGCTTGTCTGCAATAGTGATCCTGGTTCACTTACTGTTCAACGTGGCTGGGAAACTGGCATGCGGGCCGCCGTCCAATACGGCTGTGACTGAAGTCGTGTGGGGTGTTCAAGGTGAATGAGAGTGCAATGCAGCACACATATGTCCCAGACAGAGTAAATAGCGACGTCTAAGTCGAGAGATGTTCGCGGTAGAGTCATGGACGGTGGTCGTTGACCCCAATCTGGCTCCGACGCGGTGGCGGAAGCTAGATAAGATTAGATGGCACGATCGCCTCGATCACGATTGGCCGCTCTTGTAAATTTCAGAATCCTCGCACTCTCCTGCAGGCCATCAGCCAGGCCGCCCATCCACCGATCTCTGGATTCAATCATTAGGCCCCCAACACATATTGTGCACGAAGATCTATACGCCTAGTTGAATGCAATAAAATGACTTCATCCGCACATCACCATCGGCCGACTCTCAAGCAGGTCGGTATATTACAAGCATGTCTGGCGCAGCTCTGGGTTAATCTTGCCTTGCACCCGTAGCAAAACAAAACATTCAAGTCTAAACATGCCACAAAAGGATCCCTAAAAGAGGCCGCAAAAGGTGCGTTGCTTAGCTGTAGGATCGCATCAGCGCCCTCACGGTGATAGTACTTCAGGCAGGACCACTAGGCAGTCACCAAAATCCACGCCAGCGTCCAATGTTGCCGCACATACACGGCTGAACCGGCGAAATAACTCGAAACAAACGCAGATCAAGAAGCGACAGGAGCTCATCTCTGCGACCCGCATCTTCAGCGGAGTCGATGGTGCTCCCCGCATCGTTGCAGTCGTCCCTCTGACAGACGATGCACCAGCGCAAAATGTCGCCGTAACACTAGCACGGTCATTGGACCCGTCCGCAGAGGGTCCATCAAATGGAGGAGCGTGGAAGCTCAGGTATGTCCCGTTCTATCCTGCATGTGAACATTCACAAACGCCTACTGTAGAGCAGACCGCTTCAAGACCTCTCTTCAATTCGTCCCCCTCCCATACAAGCAGCTCTACTCCACTCTTGATGCTTGCAAAGCAGCCGACTACGTCGTCTTCGTCCTCTCCTCAACCGTCGAGGTCGACGGCTGGGGCGACACCCTCCTGCGCACGCTCCAAGCCCAAGGTCTCCCCGAAGTCGTCACAGTCGTCACCTCCTCCGAAGGCCCGATGGAGCCCAAGGAGAAGTCGGGCATCATGAAGAGCCTGCTGAGCTTCATCCAGTACTTCGTGCCGAGCCAGAGCAGGGTGTACGATATGCACACGGGCTCGGACGCCCTCAATGCGGTGCGCACGCTGTGCGAGGGACGGCCGAGCGACGTCAAGTGGAGGGAGGGGAGGCCGTGGGTCGTCGGTGAGCAGGTGCGGTGGGAGGATGGGGTGTTGAGCGTGACGGGCGTGGTCAGGGGTGCGCCGCTGTCTGCGAACAGGCTGGTGCACCTGCCGAACTATGGGGACTTCCAAATTACCAAGGTACGCCAGATCCCACTCGTCGCCCATACATGCTCACGAAAGACGCGTACGTAGATCATGTCTGCGCCTCTTCCGCGTCGCTCGAAAGGTTCCGTTGAGGAGGTAATGGAAATTGAGCCGACACTCCTCGCCGAGCCGGACGCATCCTCAGCCGACTCGCTCGTCTCAAGCAACGACCCCGACGACATGTCGAATGAGCAAACTTGGCCGACGGAGGAAGAGATGCGCGGAGCGCCCAACGGCGCCGCCGCCGACAGCATCCCCGACGCGAAGACCGGGACGACCCCCAAGCACGTACGCAAAGTGCCGAAGGGCATGAGCGAGTACCAGGCTGCATGGATCATCGACGAGAGCGAGGATGAGGGAGAGGACGAGGATGGCGAGCACGCGCAGGACGGCGAGCGGGAGGGAGACGAGGAAATGCAGGAGATGGAAGAAGAGGAAGAGGAAATGGTCGAGCTGCCTGATCAGGAGATGGAGACCGAGAGCCGAAGGAGCGTTGCCTTCCAGGACCTGGATATGGAGGAGGAAGACCGACAGTATGTGCCCCCTCGTTCCACACCGCTCAGAGCTCTGACAATTCACTGCGCAGGTTGCGGAAGTGGCGCGAGCGCAACCGTGAACAGGAGGAGAAGGATGACATCGCCTTCCCCGATGAGATCGACACGCCGCTGGATGACCCTGCGCGGACGCGCTTCCAGCGATACCGTGGCCTGCGGTCATTCCGTACAAGTCCGTGGGATCCGTACGAGAACCTGCCTCGCGACTACGCGCGGATCTTCCAGTTCGAGGACTACAAGCGGACTGAAAGAGCGGTGCGGAAGAGGGCGGAGGAGGATGGTTCTGGTATTGAGGTACGTTTTCTTGCTCGAGGCACTAGGTCAACATTGACGATCATCGGAATTAGCCTGGCACACGGGTTACGATTTACGTGAAGGACGTCTCGCAAGACGCAGCCAACCCAAGCTCAGCAGCGCCTTTCATCCTCTTCGGACTGATGCAGCACGAGCACAAGAAGACCGTCCTGAACTTCGCCGTGCAGCGCAACACGGAGTACGACGGGTCCGTGCGGTCAAAGGACCCGCTCGTCCTCTGTGTCGGCCCGCGCAGGCTGCACGTGAACCCAATTTATAGTCAGCACACGCGCGGAGGCGGCAAGGGCGCGAACAACGCGCACAAGTTCGAGCGGTACCTCAGGCATGGTGTCACGAACGTGGCGACGACGTATGGACCTGTTGTGTTTGGCCAGCAGCCTTGCTACTTGCTCCGGGAGACGGAGGACCCTCAGGGTAAGTCCTCTTTTAGATGGTAGATGGCGAATGCTGACGGCTGGTGTACATGAAGCTCCCGAATTGGTGGCTATGGGCAGCTTTATGAACCCCGATACGACGCGTGTCATCGCTAAGCGTATCATCCTCACTGGACATCCCTTCAAAGTGCACAAGAAGACCGCGACCGTGCGGTATATGTTCTTCAACTCAGGTATGTATCTCTGTAGAGCAATACCCGAGCTCCTGGAGCTGACTCGATATCACAGACGACATCAACTACTTCAAGCCCATCCAGCTCTACACCAAATACGGGCGAACAGGACATATCAAGGAGTCACTGGGTACGCACGGCTACTTCAAGGCCCACTTCGACGGTTCGATCAACCAGATGGACACGGTCTGCATGTCGTTGTACAAGCGTGTATATCCGAAGTGGACCGAGCCCTGGAAGGAACCCATGGCATCCTCATCTTCGGACGCGATGGAAGAATGAGAGAATGTATCGTCAGCTGTTGTATCCCGTGTTGGATGTATCCTGGATAGATGTATTTTGAAGTTCAATCATTTTGATTTCTGAGACGCGGTCATCATGCCTTCCAATCCGCTCCTATTAGCATTCCAAGCACTAGAGTAGTTGAATCTACGACGGCGGAAGCGTCTCCCGCCTGAGGCCGAAGCTCACGAAGCGCTTGAAATCCTGGAACACCTCCCGCTTCGCCGCCCCGTCCTTCGGCGGTGTTTCCGTCCCTGTCGGCGTGCCCGCCCCCGGAGGGGATGCGAGGGCGGCCAGTATGCCCTCGCTTGCACCGGCAAGTCCAACACGGTTGTTGGCAGGATTGTTAGCATTGCTCGACTGACCAGGGTCCATATCGAGTGATGTCAGGAAGGACGTGCTCTCGAGGTCGCTCTTTGTGCTGGTGATCGTCAGGAAAGAGTCGAGGATATCATTTTCCTCAGTCTTCGCCGTGCCTCTCAGGTCCAGGATCTAGTGGAGTCACACTTCAGCGTGAATCCATTCAGATGCATGAAGGCGCGCACCTTCTGGAAGTTCGTGAAGGACGAGTCCCCAATGAGCAGCGTGTAGTTGAGGATGAATCCTTCAGCGGGATCCTGGATAGCGTGTCAACTAATTGCTAGGCTGTGACAAAGGTAAACATACGATAGGGGTAACGACAACCTTGAGCAGCGCTTCCAAGCGCGTGGTCAACTTCGTAACACTTCGGGTATAGCTAACAGAGCCATGAGTAAGCCGTTATCAAGGATCAGATTCGTAGCATACTTTGTTGTGGATAGATCTTCGCCAGGTATCCTGAGTAAGGCGGTCTTGAGAGCTTGCAAGTCGATCAGCAGCTGCTCCGCTCCGATCTCCTTGAGCGGTCGACTCTTCACTAGTGCGTTGGTGAACTTAGCAAGAACCACGCTAATGGAAGAGTCAGCCTGCGATTGCCGGACATCCCATCGTCGGACGACATACCTGGCCGTCTTGTCCATGAGATTTCGTAGATATTTCTTCTGCTCAATGAGAGGCTTGACGGTGTCGACGACTTGCTCGACGGCCCGCACGAGGTCGTCGACATACGGAGATTGCCCACTGACAGACTTCTGGGTAGCCCATGCAGTGCGCGATATAATAAAGCATGCGGGATCGCAAGCCGCCTCAAGCTCTCTGAGGATGACCTGTATCGCTGCCGAGATGGCACTGCGACAGTATGTAAGCAGAGGCATATCATGCTCATAGCGTTATTCTGTACCTCACGAAGAGGTCGCACTCGTCTTGTAATGAGATCCTCTCCTTGAATGATTCGTCCGTCTTCGCGCGGATGTTCTCTTCCAGCTGCCGACGTGTCATCCTCCTTAAGCCAGACCCACAGGGTGCACACGGATGCTTACCTCAAGGGCCGTGGCATGACAATAATCTGCAGTGTTGATCAAAGTGCATGCTGTTCTCACTTCGCTCATGTCCACCCGGCTATCTGTCGATTTACGCGCCATCACTGGAGGCCTGACCGAGCAGCGTCAGCGACATGCTTCATGCGGATTCCGAGTGAGACGGACCTCTTCATACTTGCCAGTAACACATCCTCTAGCACCGGACGACAGATCAATGATTCGACAAACGCGACAGAACATGAAGTGCTTACCTGCGTAGATCCTTAGCCACCTCTTGTGTAGAGAGCATAAGTCGTAAAGCGGCTGGCCCGTGAACAGGCTCGAAAGCTGGTCCAAAGTCTGGCGGTAGTAGTAGAACATCTCCGTCGAGGATGGAAGGACTAGCACCGGTGGTGCGGAGTCGTCTATGGAGGTCCTCGTCGATGCTGCTTCAAGAGACGAGCGTGACTTGGAGCCTCTATATTGCGAAAGCATGTCTGACAACGCCCTTCGGCCGTGTGAGACAATAAGATATCGGTGGTGGAGTAGGTACATACTTGTCCTGCGCTTCGATGTACACGCCCATGTGAGGCTCGTAGGCAGATGAGATCGACTTCAAGGGCCGTGAGGCTCCCGCTGGCTGGGTTGTTTTCAAGATTTCCGGTACCTGGCGTCTGATACATGAGACGAGTTCGTAGCCAATTGCGTGAAACGCACTGATGTAGCGTATTTCCGCGCGATATATGCTTCGAATTCCATTGTCTCTTGGAGAGTGTCTAGCAGCTGCTTCACGGACAGCTTTGCGCCTGCCTTCGATAGCAGTACTGTCATGTCATCCCTAGGAGGTATGGGCACACATTTCGCTGGACCACAGATATGGCAGCCGCGCACCTAGTAATCTCAATGAACTTGGCACAGAGGAACCACCCGACTCTCCATTCAGCGGGGAAAACCCGTCCCTGTTCAGTATCGTGAGTCTGAAGCAGGCGCTTGAACCATGCAAAGCGACGCGACAAGTTGTCGAGCTGTCCGGCTTCGTCTGTAGCACGGAATATGCGACGATACTCTTTGAGCTCTAGCGCGACATATCGCTCAATGAATTGTGTCCGGACTTCGGGGCCGAGCACATCGACGACGAGGCACGCATCTGCTATCACAGAAGGCTTGATAGGCTTGCCCGGATCCTGCATGTAGCTGGTGTGGCGTACAGATTGCCGGTCAGTGTATTTATGCCTTTACAAAGGGCGGGACTGACAACTTCTCCCAGTCCGCATCTATTTTCTGCCGAACTTCATTCTGGATTTCTTGGATGCGTCGCCAAAGTTGCGAGATTCGCTGGATGGAAGTGAACGGCTTGAAGGACGCGCCGATCTGCTTGACTGCCTTTACTTCCTCTGAGCCGTTGCCCTGTTAACTGTACACATATATGAGACTTACGCCTAATGTCTGGACTATCTCATGATACTTCCTGTCTCTCACTTGGTCTTCGAGCTGGCTCAGCGCGTTTACTGAGGAGGCGAAAGGGGACAAATGAATATACGAGAAAGGATACAAACGTCGTAGGCATACCCAGCATCTGCAGTCGTTTGAGAGTAGTCATGCTTTGTATGAGATTCTTCTTCGCCAAATCCAGGACCTGTATCTCCTTGGTGATATTCCGCACAACAGCTTCCGACTCGGTCGCCTTCTCCCGAATGCGAGACATCTGCCCCATGAGATCCTACATCCAGTGGAACGCCTGCATCAGGCTGAAGTCGAGGCTAATTGCACTGCACAAGAACTCACCGAAATCATCTCCTGCAATAGCTGCATCCTACTCGGGTCATGGTCTCGCCTCAGTTCCTCCTTCAACACGTCAATCTCCTTCTGAAGCTCCCGTTCTTGTTGAGCAAGCTGTGTTTGAATGGCTTCAAGCCGTGCAAGAGATGCCTCTGGTGCAGCAAATATTGGCAACCTGACGCATCGCATAGCTAGTATCGAGTACGTACCATCGGGGAAGTAGTCATTCAGAACGCTCACAGGATTGAAGTCGTTTGTCAATTTGTCTAGGGGGTCTGTGTCCTGGCCACGGCCTATGTTGAGGATCTGCTCAATTGAAAAAATGATCTCCGGTGGTAGTCTGTCATCGCGGACTGGGGTGTACGACGACTGGGTAAAGTGGTTCATGTCGAATCATCGACGCATAGACAACTTCAGGAATACCAAGAATTGTGTGTGGGTCCGTTGGATGATGGGTGGAAGACGCAAGGTAGACACGCCAGTCGACGTCCAGGGTCTGAGCACGCTGTGACGCGTTCTCGAGTGCTAAACGAGCAGAGTCAGCAGACGCCCAGGCTGTATACATGGTTGCCAAGTATGGTAGTCCCGCCTCTGTTTGCTCGGACCAAATAGAGGCGCATGTACCGAAAAGGAAACGCCGTTGATTTCTCTAGCTGTCACTGCCCAGAAGGCAGCATGTCGCATTCTGATTCACCTGCAGTGCCCGGACCTTCTCAAACCCCGGACATCTCAGTGCACAACTCTCAAGCATACACGCAGCGCAACTTATCCACCAGTGCAGCAGATCATAGTCGCGGGCAGCCAGCCTCAAATCATGCTTCGGCGGCGAGCACCACGCAAGCTCAGCCTAACCAGAGTCCGATGCTGGGCCAGGCCAGCCAGAACCAATACGGATACTACTATACCCAGGGACAAGCTTCTTCATCTCAAAGCACGCCCTACGCGTATTACCATATGCCTTCGGCTGCGTGGGGAAATGCATGGCCCTCCTACGGCGCACCAAGTGCTTACTATCCATACGCCCAGCCTCCAACCATGTCGCAACCAGCAACGATACAACATGCTCATGCCACATCAGACGCAATAAGCGAAACCGTGAAAGGGCCATCTGTAGCACCTTCACCATCACCACCACCGCGTCTGCATAAACACTGGGACGGTGTTATACGCGCCTTTTTGACCGACGCCGGTCTCACACAAGCACTACGAGGATTCGATTCCGACATGATTGTCATGAACCCAGACTGCCAACGAAAGAGGATACCGAAGGCCCTTGACGACCTAGTCGAGAGGATTTTGGTACGCCGTTCTGTCTCTCCTTTAGTTAGGGCCAGTGACGTCTTCTGACTGCCTTGTGTACAGGCACTGAAGGATCACCAATCAGACACATCGGCCGATGGCGATGCTAAAGCAGCCTCCGAACAGACGTCGTTAGAAGATAGGAAGCTTCAGTATTTGCACCTTGTGCGCGGCGCTGAACCTAAGTCACAAACCTCAGTGAGCGCGCTTCTGCGCCTCTCTGTACACTGGTACCAGCTAAGTACTTCATTCATAGATAAACAAAGACATATCCAGATTTTTGGCCCGTAACCGCGCTCGCAATGATGCGTCTAATCGCCAGGAGTTCCTGCGGTCCCTCGCGGAGAAACGCCGTGGTCTTCAGCAGATTGCTGATGATACTGGACCGACCTTGACACCCCCTTCGTGCGCTCGTACCGATGCGAAAACGCAAGACCGAGACGTACAAATGAAATATGACATAGCGAAGAACGAAGACGGGCCACTGCGCAAGACCCTGATGCATCGTGAGAAATCACCGGCCACAAATGCGGGTAAAGGGGGCCCAGAGATTAGCTATATCAGTGCGAGCCGGTTCCCCGGACTAGGTGGACGATTGCAGAATGTCGAATCGCACCTCGCTGTCCGCTACGGTAAGTCAAGTGCCGGCTACCCTGTTTTCCCTAATTGAATGCCACCTGCGCATAGTCCCATCTCCGCCGAAATGCCTATTGGATCGTATCAAGTTCCTCGAGGACCACATCGTGCAGCTGGAGAAAGAGTACCCGCCATGGGCTGCTCTGCACTTTAACCAACCTAGACGCGGTGTACGTCCGACTGACTGTGATCGTGTGGCTTCACTAATTTATCACTAATTCAGTGGCCACCCCCGCCTCGACCGACTCCGATTATTGTTCCTTCACACCTCACATCAACCGCTTCGCATGAGACTCGCTCAGGCTCTCAGCAGGAGCAGCACCCCCAGGCCCCGGAAGCCGTCGCAATGTCGGTGACTGCGTCTGGGAGCGACTCCGAACCAACCTCTGCCAAGGGCAAAGGAAAGTCTGGTCGGACTAAGTCTAGTCTTCATCGCGCAGTGATGGAGAAGCTGGAAGTCCAAAAAGCCATGCACGACCTTGCTGGCCCCAGCGACGGAGGGTGAATAAGACGTGTGTCCTCTCCGTGCATGCCTTTCCCGTGCCTCAATCTCATATATTCAGTAGAGGGTACTAGATTACATGTCTTGTGTTGCGCAGTGTTGGTCCGCGGCAAGCTTTCCATCCAACGGGTTCTGTAAGAGTATGCCGGAGGGGTTTCAACCCTCTCGGATTCCCATCGGCGCTCTCGGACGCGACCCACTACTTTTGAAGCTCCATCACGATGCCTTGCCCCCTCCCTTCTATCAAACTCCCTACCGGGCCTGTAAGGCCATCCTGGCTACATTTCCCGTCGACCGCTAGATAGCCAGGATGTCAGCCGTACACCTGGTCATGAGTCCCGTTTCCGTTGCGTCCTCTTCCGTCGTTCATTTACTCCGGCTGTTCGCGCCTGCCCGGAAGTATACAAATGATACCCCTCGTGTCTCAGGGGTGGTACTTATTGTCATCTAACAAACATCCAAGGACTCGCTCATGGACCCTGCGAACTCCGGGATTCAAAAGCACATATCAGCATCAGCTGTCGGCCTAGACGCCTTCTTGGACCACAGGCAAACCACAGGGATGGTTTATCGCCACAACGCAATCCGTGGCCCTCAGGGCGTCTACCACTTTTCTTCTAGCAGGCGCGTCCAAGTGATCCTGAACAGAGCCCGACGATGGCGTCCTCGTACGTGAAAATGCGGCTCTGGTGTCTGCTAGGCTTTGTACAGCTAAACATCATTTTAGTGCAGTAACAGCCTCGCGTATGACGGTATCGGCGGCTATTGCGAACCGTCAAATAAGCTCCAATGAACTTCAACCTTGTTGTACACGATACATCCCACTATTTCCATTCGGACGCGAAACTGAACATGTGCAGGTACGCCAAGTAGCTCGGCAAACGGAACTGTCATCCAATTCACCGATCGTGTGCCGCTTCGTCTTAGTGGACACGCCCGTCGATGTAACAACTCTGCGCCCTCGTGAAGGTGGAATAGCCGTGTATACAAGAGCCGTCATCGGAATGGCTTGTCGGCCTCGCACGCTTGACACTCAACTGCCGCGCCTTGACTCGGCCTTATTACTCACTGGGTCAACACGCTCCGTCGAGGCACCGATCGTCAGCCTAGCACGGTGCCGAGTTGAGTTCTTCCTTATATTGGACTCGGAATCCTGGCCTTAGCACCTCCTTTTAATAGGTGAGTTTGTCAATGGTGGATCCAATAGGTCACGTCATCTGTGTATTGACATGAGTAGTTTCCCGCAAGGCCGACTCCACAGCCTGAGGCATTGTTTTGCGAACGCAATCGGTTAGCGTGTGGTATACTTCGTCCGAAACCATCCACCCCACTGACATATGTTGTCACGCAGGGCCGCTTATTGAATTCTGCCATCTCTATCGCAAGTCGTGGACATCCCATTCAGTTACGCCATAAATAGGGACTGAGAATGGTAGGTCCTTTAGGTCCCCGTGCCGACCGTATCTACGCTCGCTCCTCGGTTCTTGCGCAATTTCTGTACAATGCTGGGCTTGCTTGGGTGGACATGTCTCTGGTTGGTCAGCTGTATGTTATTACGGAACATTCGTCGCCGAACCATGGCATCCGACGTACTGGATCAGCTCCCTGGCCCGCCTGTAGGCTCGTTGTGGACAGGTAAGACCTTCTCTCGAGTTCATCGGTCTCTGCGTAACGGAGCCACCGTAGGAAACATGCACCAATTCTTTGATCGCCGAGGTCTAGAATTTCATGCGCAACTCGCTCAAGATTATGGTTCAGTAGTCAAGATAAACGGGCCGTTCTGGGTAAGGAGCATAGTCCTCCTTAATGCGGTTACATATGCTTAATGAGTGGCATCGTTGACAGCGGAGCATGCTCTACCTTTTCGACCCCAAGGCACTCCATAACATCATCATCAAGCAACAAGCAATTTTCGAGGAAGGGAGGAATTTCATTGAGTGCACCACCATCTACCATCCGTGAGGTCGCTAGGTGTTAATGATGTAACTACGTCGAAGTGCGAATCTGCTGGTGTTCGGTCCTGGACTCCTAGCTACCATTGGTGTGTTAGCATCATCTGTGTACTTGACTATTTCTGTTGCTCAGTCAATGGCAATTAGGCGAACAGCATCGAAGGCAGAGGAAAATGTTGAATCCGTTGTTCAGTATGGCTCAAATGCGCCGCATCCTTCCGATATTCTACACGGCTTCACATACAGTCAGCCGCTGCACAAGCTCATGCCACTTCGCCAGCTGACTCACTTCTGAATATAGCTATGTAATGCCCTGAGCTCACGGCTCAAAGATGGATCGAGAGAGATTGATCTCCTTGAATGGATGAGCCGCGTCTCGCTTGAGCTGATTGGACAAGGTGGCTTAGGTTACAACTTCGATGCGTTCGCAGAAGACGTCAAGAACGAATACGCAGAGGCTTTGAAGCAAGTCTTGTAAGCCATGCCTCGTCTCATGCCGGTGGCAAGATTTAACCGGTTTCACACCGTAGTGCTGCGCTCCAGAATGTCTTCATTTTCCGTCCGCTACTACCATATCTCACTGCATTCGGGCCACCTTGGCTTCGACGTCGGCTCGCGGAGTGGGTCCCATATGCACCGTTCCAACGAGTCAAGACCCTGATCGATACCATGGCCGTGCATTCTGAGGCGATATTCATTCAAAAGATGTCAGCGATGCGTGAAGACGCCGGCGCTGGAGAGAAAGAGGACATCATGAGTGTACTTGGTATGTATGATCTAAAAACAACTGGACGTCGACTTAACCTCATTATCTGTAGTCAAGGAGAACAATGTAGCTTCCGACGAGGACAAATTACCAGATGGAGACATAATCGCGCAGTTGACGTGCGTGTCAGACCAGCTCCTGAGGCGATTGTGGTGTACTGAGATTCTCTCCAGGACGATGACTCTTGCCGCCACGGATACAACTGCTAATTCTATATGTCGTGTCTTGCACCTTCTAGCTCAGCATCCCGAAGCGCAGCAAAGGCTCCGTGAGGAAATTGTTGAAGCGCGGCAGGGTATTGATCTGCCTTATGACGACCTCAACCAATTGCCCTACCTGGACGCTGTATTGCGAGAGACCCTGCGGCTGTGAGTGAATCTTGCATACATACGCACTGCAGAGGCAAGACCATCTGACCTCACCTTTAGCTACCCTCCAGCAACTCTACTCTCCCGCGAGTGAGCCGCCTCTGTGAATCGCAGTTAGCACTTCATCAATGACCTGAACCACAGGGCGTTGGAGGACACGGTTCTACCTCTATCGCAGCCTATTCGCTGCCCCGACGGGCGCTTCATGCACGAGCTTCCCATCGCCAAGGGTACGGAAATAATAATGGGTGTCCTCGGCTCGAATACGAACAAGGAACTCTGGGGCGAGGATGCTCTCGAGTGGAAGCCTGACAGATGGCTCTCCCCCCTACCAGATGCTTTGATGGAAGCACCTATCCCAGGTGTCTACAACAAATCGTGAGCGGTGATCCGATTGAATCTTTCCATTGGTATTGACCATCAACGAGGATGTCGTTCTTGGGAGGGAAAAGGGCATGCATGTATGTCTACAGCGGCGGAAGTTGCCTAATTCACTGACGCGTTTGTAGCGGATTCAAGTTCGCCGAAACGGAGATAAGTAAGCTGTAGATCTATCATCTATTCGCAACCCGAGTTGACCGCAAAACTTCATAGAGGCCGTGTTATCGGTGTTGATCCCTCAATTCGCCCTCGATGTCACCGATAAACCCATAATGTGGAACGTCGCAACCGTCACTTACCCTACAGTTGGCTGGGAGAGTGACAAGCCGGAGCTCCCACTATTTGTCACGCCCCTCAATGATGGCTCTCAGGGCTCTCGCTAGCATCCCAATTGTTGTTGTTGTTGTTGTAGTTGATGTTGATTCCATTTAGTGTCGCTGAGGGCAACGCCCTATATAGACATAGAACATGAGTATCTATCCTACGTAGACCTTCGTCGACCTCGTTTCGCTGCGCATGTCCGTAGCATCCCAATACTGTCCGCGCGGCTACTATATTGCGATGATGTGCAACACTGCCCCACACACTGCGTACATTGTCTATCACTTGTGCTTTTGATACTGTACGTCCTACAATTTCAACTCCATCGATCTCGTAACGGTGTCACTGGTGGACGCGGCCCCTTACCGCGAAGATACTGTGTGACGTCCCATGGGACATATATGCGCCAGCAGCACTCTCATACCGGTCGAGTGAAGTCGCGTATTACCACCAAATGCACAGCGGATAATACAGCGAGGCCGGATACAAACGGCCGGATATTGCATAGTTGTAATACATAGCGGTACACAAGTCTGAGACGCAGACAGTCATTCCAGCTCAGGTATCTTCTTCAGTACGTCTATCAGAAATTTCCTATATAACCGTCCAACAATCCCCACGCACACGCGCATACACACGCGCGCGGAGGCACTCAAAACGCCGTCGTCGAGTCGACCTCGATCGTGGGCACGATCGACGCGATGAACTTGAGGAAGACGACGAGGTAAAAGTCGACGCGCATGCCCTCGATGTCCTCCTCGCCCGCGGGCGACGTCGGCACGTCCTTGCCCGTCCCGCTCGTCCGGCGGAAGAGCCACTTCTTCTGCTTGTCCTTGCCCGTGGTCGGCGAGACCGCGCCCGCGCCGAACGCCTTGCGCTGCTCCTCGAGCACGCCCTGGTTCATGCGCTCGATGACCTTCTTCATCACGCTCGCGTGCTTGCATGGGTGCACGGAGGCTGCTTGGAGCGATGCGCTGTGCGGGAAGGCCTCGATGGTCACGGTCTTGAAAGCGTGATCGGCGGAGACATCTTGGAAGATCTGCGATGGTGTGAGGGGTGTCCGGTTCTGTCGTAATGCTATCAATAGTCAGTAGCAGGGAGGTATAGCGGCAGGCGCACCTCGTCGTAACCGATTAGCCAGATACGGGGTGTCTGGTAGTATTTGTCGTATGTGATCATGACGTCGTAAGTCCGCACTTGCAGCAGGTTGCCCTTCGCCACCTCGACCTCGCTGGTGCTGCAGTTAACTAACCACGCACCACAGCAAGTCAACGTCCGCTTACCCGGCCTCGATGACACCTGATGATGGCACAGCAACCTTCGGCGCAGCCGTCGCCTCATCATCCCCCGCCTCGAGATCCTCCTCCTCCATATCAGGGATTTCGTCCATATCCGGGATCTCGCCCACCGCGCCCGCGCCGCCCTGGAGAGACATCCTGCCGACCTGGTCCGCGACGTCGTCCGCGGAGGGCTCGTCCACGTCGGGGATCTCGTCGATGTTGCCCGCGTTCGCGGCGGAGTCGACCGTGGACACCCTGCCCGCGTGCGTCTCGACCCACTCGTCCGCCTCGTTGCCCGTCGCGCTGAGGTCGCCGAAGGAGAGGAGCCGCTCCGCGTCCTCGTCTGCGTCCGTGTACGCGAGCGCGGTGGCGCGCCGCAGGCAAGGCACGCCGCGCGTGAGGAGGTACTGCTTATCGGCGGGGAGGTAGTCGCGTGCCTTCGACGCGTCGCCCTTCTCCCTGCGCGCGGATTTGTGGGATCAGTGGGTGCGTCACGGGTGATGACAAGGGCGGAGGCGCACTGACCATGACCACACGGGGAACTTGTATGTCAGGAAGTCGCCGGCGGCAACGAACTCCTCTTGAAGAATGGAGACAGTGGTATGAGCGCGTCGCCCGCGCTGTGTGACAAGCCCGCGCACCTGGATTTATCCGGCCATGCTCCTTGAATTTGCTCTCCTTGAGGACCTGCCAGCGATGTGAGTGGGCCACATCTCGCACGAGAGCAGTGAATGTGGCGTACGGGGCTAAGGTAGTCTCGCACTGCCCAGTATTGTTGCTAGGAGACGTGTCAGTCTTCGCAAGGTTCGCGCAGATTGCAAATGCCCACTTGTATCGCGTGCATTTCGTCTGACTAGAAGAATTCGTGGATGGTGGAGGGCAACCTGCAGCCGGGCGGAGAGCGCATGTCTCTACGCGCTGTATGCAATCGATCAAGCACGTGAGCCCATTTGTGGCAACCTCGGTACGCCGTTCTCAAGCCTCGCGGACACAGACGTGGGAGTGAGGACTGCCGGCAGACGAGCACAGTGGACGGTGTACACGGGATGGAATGGATGATGCAGTGCGGGGTAGATTGCAGTGTAGATACGAAGACTAAATCCCAACAAATCCGAGAAGAGACAGTGGTCACGAACGGTACCGGTCATGCAGCGGCCTCCACCCCGCCTGCACTCGCCTTTTTGGACTTCCTCTCCTTCTTCTCCTTCTGCCTGCCCTCCGATGCGCCCTCTGTCGCTGCTGGAGGGTCGAATGCCACTGACTTCGCCTTCTTAGACTTCTTCTCCTTCTTGTGCTTCCCCTCTCCATCCGCATCTGCCTCGCCGTGAGCTCCTCCGTCGTCGGAGGCGTCCGCTTTCCGCTTCTTCGAGGTTCGCTCCTCCGACGCACCTGCGCCCTCCTTGGCTTTCTTCTCCTTTTTCCTCCTCCCCTCGCTGGCCTCCAACCTGTTCGCCGCCTCTATGTCTGTCACACCATTCACCTCTGCGCTCTCCACCTCCTTCCCCTTCTTGCTCTTCTTCGACTTCTTTCCCTCACCATCCTTCGCCTCCTCCGGTTGCGCCTCGCCCTCCTTCTGTTTGTGCTTTTTGTCTTTCTTCTTCGAGTCCGACGACGGTGCCGCGACCTCCTGCGCTGACAAGGACGTCGCCTCAGCGACAGGTGCGGCCTCGGACCTGGCTGCCTTATTTTTCTCCTTCTTTTCCTTCTTCTTCTTCGGGGACTCCTTCGCGTCGGCAATTTCCTCGGTCGAGGGACCTGCCTGTGCAGCGGGCGTGCTCGCGAACTCTGCGTCCTTGGCCTTCTTGGCCTTTTTCTTCTTCAGTTCCTCCGCACCCTTGCTGTCCTGATATATAGCACATCATTAGTCCAACCTGTAACACGATTTGACTCGTCCTATCTACGCACCTTGACCTCCTCTACCGCCTCTGCCTTCCTCTTCTTGTCCTTCTTCCCACCATCCTTCGCCTCGATTTGAACGTCGTTTGCATCAGCCTTCGGAGCCGGGGACGAAGCGGGAACTGGAGTGGCGATAGGCGACATCCGCACGGGCGTGCCCAAAGGAGTACCGTTAGCACCAGTTGCCTCATAGCGCACATATCCCCCGGGTCGGCCGGCGCCCCAGGAGCTGCCGTTGCGTCCCCGTTGCTGATACGTACCCTGAGACTGTCGCCCGTCCGTGTACCCGTTGCCGTTCCCTCGGGAGCCGCCTTGTTGTTGCTGCTGGAGGCGCGTGGGGTTAGGCAGAGGTAGGATCGAGCGAGGGTGCGGACATACGCCTTTGGGGCCTTTGTACAGGCCCTTTTGGTATTTTTCTGCCTCGCTCACGCAGGATGTGTGCGACTTGTATTCGGCAGGCCCGTTGAAGACTTTGCTGCAGTCAAGGCAGGTGACAGATGCATAGCACTTTGCGTAATGCTTGTCAAGCTTGGGCTTGGTCATGACATCGCTGCAAGCTATATGTAACGTGAATGTGAGCTCGTGGAAGTCAGATCGGACGGAATCGTCCTGACCATCGCATCTGCGCGGAACACAATGTTAGACGTGAACTAAGTTCGCAGGAACAAACACCTACTGAAATGACACCATTTCGGAAGATACAAGCCAAGGCCGAGACGTAAAGTGCGGTGAGCGAGGGTGGAATGTTTTCGCAGCCACCAGACGGCGTGCGGGTACAGTAGGTAACACAGGCGCCCATGAAGAAAAATAGCTGCACGTGAATGCGCGTCCAGGAGCCACGAGGCTGAGTGATGAGATCGGAGATTGCGCGCAGACAGCAGACGCTCGCGGAACTGCACGGCTGCCGGGTAGTCCACGGAGGCGCTCGTTGTTCGGTCTCGAGCCCTCTCGTTCGCATTGCTGGGTCGTTCGGACGGTCGAGTGGCAGCCGGGGCATCTCGAGGCGCTGCCAGAACAACATCGTCAATATTGCTTTGAATGCTATACAAGACCGGGCATTGGTGTACATCTGTTTGCATGCGCCTGAAGCAAGACAGCAATGCGGGGATCCGCGGAATAAGCAGCATCCCATTGGCTAGACTACGAGCACGTGATGGCTGTAAGCATGGTTATGGTAATCAACCGCCCACTCGCGAGGCGCCGGCGGGAGGATATCTGAGGGCAGGCGTCGGTCGCCTCCTCACCACTCAACGCACATCCACCAGCATGTCCTTCGGCGCACTCAGAGCGTCCCTCCGCAAGGCCCCCCTCAACGCCGTGCGCCCCGCTCGCGCGGTCCGCTCGGCGGGCATTCGTCGGTACACCACCGAGGTCCCCAAGCCTGAGGCTCCGAAGAAGAGCAACACCGCGCTCTATGCCGGCCTCGGTGTAGCTGCCGTCGGTGGTATTGCATTCTACGTGTACACGAGCAGCTCGGACACCGCGAAGGAGGCGGGCACCCTTGCGAAGTCCGGCGCGCAGGCGGCGAAGGTTGCGGCGAACTTCGTCCCCACGAAGGAGGACTATGAAAAGGTCCGTTGCCTGGGAAATCGTCAGCCTGTTCGATGATCTCACGAATATATCAAGGTTTACAAGCGCATCGCTGAGATCCTTGACGAGGCTGGTGACAAGGGCTATGACGGTGCGTGTGTATATCCGAATCTCCCACCCGCATACTCATCGAACTGCAGATGGCTCGTACGGCCCCGTCCTCGTCCGTCTCGCATGGCACGCTTCCGGCACCTACGACAAGGAGTCTGGGACCGGCGGCAGGTAAGCCACGACAGCACACCCGATTATGCCCGCTCTAACACCCCGCCCACAGCAACTACGCAACCATGCGTTTCGAGCCCGAGGCGCTGCACGGCGCGAACGCCGGCCTGCACATAGCCCGCGGGATCATGGAGGGCATCAAGCAGGAATTCCCCTGGATTTCCTACGGTGACCTCTGGACCCTCGGCGGTGTCTGCGCCATCCAGGAGATGGGCGGCCCCAAGATCCCCTGGCGCCCCGGCCGCATTGACGGCTTCACGCACCAGGCGACGCCCGATGGCCGTCTGCCTGACGGTGCGCAAGGTGCTCAGCACCTGAGGAACGTGAGTGGCCTCGGTTATCCTTTTGGGATAGGATAGCTGATGCACGCCGACGCAGATCTTCTACCGCATGGGCTTCAACGACCAAGAGATCGTCGCGCTCTCCGGCGCGCACGCCCTCGGTCGCTGCCACCGCGACCGCTCGGGCTTCGAGGGCCCCTGGACGTTCTCGCCCGTGACGGTCTCGAACGAGTACTACCGCCTCCTCCTCGATGAGAAGTGGATTTGGCGTAAGTGGGACGGCCCGAAGCAGCTCCAGGACAAGTCGACCAAGTCGCTTATGATGCTCCCGTGCGTACCTTGGTGTCAGCCGCGCTACAGGTCTAGTGGGCTGATGGGGTTTGCGTTGCAGGTCGGACTACGCGTTGGTCCAGGACAAGAGCTTCAAGAAGTACGTCAACACGTATGCGAAGGATCAGGACAAGTGGTTTGAGGAGTGCGTCTGGCCTTGTCATCCGTTGCGTCTTGCTCTGCTGACGTCGCCTGCTCGCGTTACAGCTTCTCCAAGGTCATCTCCACCCTCTTTGAGCTCGGTGTTCCCCGCGCACAGTTCGTCGCTTCTGACCCCTGGGTCATGGGTGGCGAGGAGTAGACGGGTCATCACCGTCCTGAATGTTGATGTGGGGTGACGTTGCTGGAAGGTACGCTTGCTAGACCTAGAGGTTGTTTGCTGGACCTAGACCTAGATGCGATGCTAGAGCTAGAGCTAGAGCTAGAGTTGGGTAGAGGTATCTTTATAACCATATAGCTAGCGGTGGCGGTCGAGGATCTGTCTCGTAGTACTTGTCGTTCGCTGGGTGTTATGATCAGTGCTTATGTTCTTCAGCGTCGAGCAACCCGAGTGCCGCAGCAAGAGCGCGAGACCAGAATTAACAGACGGGAGGACAGCGAGCGCATCGCTACGGCGCAGCGAGAGAGGCCATGGGGGTCAGAAGCACTCCCGCGCAGCCAAGCCTCCGCTTTTACAGCCCGCCGTCGCACACTTCGCCCCGTCCCCACGCCCACTGAATTGCTCGCATAAGCCGCGACTGATCGCAGAGGCGGTGAGGCGTGCCCCATGACCCCCGCGTGCGGCGAGAATAGCTGGGCTGTGCGGCCGGCTCTCAGGCCTCAGGCCTCAGGCCTCAGGGGTTGTCAGGCAGCGAAGGGCGGTGGCGGCCGTACAGTGGGAGGCGGAGGTCAGGTGGGCGGGGTTGTTGAGGTGGGTTGCTGGCCAGTGGGAAGCTGCGAGTTAGCTTCGAGGAAGCGGTGTACAGTACGTTCGCGTCGGTGCAGACGGGCCTGTAGATGTTGTCGCCGTTCGTCGTTGCGATGTGGAGGCAGACATTACTTACTATTGTATGCGCGATCGGACTGTGTCCGCGAAGCAGTAGAATGTGGCGAGCTCTACGAATCTGCTGCTCTACGGAGCATACCAAGCATAGTGTGCGGGGGAAACGCTCGATGGTTCCAAGGCAGCGGTACCTTCTTTGGGCGAAACGGGTGTTAGGCCACTCCGAAGGTGCGTATCGGCTGACCAGTTACATAACGAGAGCTGAGCTGGCTGATTTCTCCGCCCGACATGAAATGCAATGTCCGCCTATGTAGTCCCGTCAGCAAAGAGAAAAGCAACTGAACCACAATACCGGAAGTGGTGCGTCTCTCCAGGTGCGACGATCGAGGGCTGCCATTACTAGGTGGTTGATGAACAGGTTGAGTTGTCACTGTGAGACCCGAGATCGCATTAATGCTGCAGGAATAAGAGTAGTGAAATAGACCATGTATACTGTCTACTCCGAAGAGATGGCACTTGCCAAAGCAGCTCTATGGCCCGTAAATGGACTCATCCAATGCCATTGCGGCCAGCCAGCCGAGAGGAACAACTCACCAAGAACGACGGGGCGTGGCTCTGGCTAGCTGCGATAATTGAATCCAAGACCCGTGTTGGTGAGTACAGTATAGAAAGGTCAATGCTCTAACAACCTTTATGATAGACGGGTCCGAGTGGCAGTGACGCCACTCGAGTCGAAGACTCGGCGGAGGTGGAGGCGAACGGCCCGCCACCGAGATCTGAGTTGTAAGATCTCAATCGAGATCAGGCCTAGGGCCACCGCACTCCGCCGCGACCGTCCTCTTGAGAGCCTTTGAGTCATTCCTTCCAGGCCTGGGGAACCAACGTCAAGAATAACGGTAGAGAAGGGTTACTGTATTTACCAACAATTCCTGAACTGATTGGTTGAGCGTTCTGGAAATACTTATTGCCAATCTACAGTACTGTACTATCATAGTACATGGCGAAAATACATCGGTACGAACTCAGGTGACGGGATTCCGTATGACATTGATGATGAAGGAGATATTATGTGCATCGCCCTATACGCACATCCAATGACAGCGTTCTTTACTGAATCGGACCTTTCTTGTGTATGGACGGCGGGCCTATCGACCATGACAGGTCCGTGCATTCAATGATGAGATCCTGGCAAGCATCGTCCTCGAGCTGGATTGCAATCGAGTCTCCTGGCAGACAGTGCTCCTGAGGTACGGCGCAGAAGAAGTCGACCGGACATCTCGGCTCGACGACGTCATGTCTACGTAACAACATCCCGGTGAGCTTACGGGGGAAATTTCCATGTGTAAACGGTGAGACTTACTCTGTCTGCACATGCCGCACCGCATCGTCCTGCATCTGTAAATTGTTAAGGTGAATAGGGCAATGATTGCAGCTCCAGGCTTTGAGTAGCTCGGCAGGGAACCGCTTCCTGCGAACGGCCTCGGACACTTCCCCACTCAGGATTGAGATTCTGAGCGGCTCGGCTGAACGCCTGTAATCGGCGTGTACATTCCAGCAATGATGGATCTACAAGAGAAGTTATAAGCTACCCATCACTTGAACGAGCCGACAATGACGTTTATACTCACAACGCGGCGCCACGGCATAGCTATGCATTCCGCCATGCAATGCTCGTATCGGCAGAAGAAGTATCGATCGAGTGCGTCGAGGTCTTCAGGTCGTGTCGCCTGAGGATCAAGCCCTAGAGCAATCGCAAGGTTCTGGCAGATTGCATGACCGATACGATCCCATTTGAATAGTCTCAGCCCGTAGTGGAACTGCTCGGGGTCTTGCAGTTGCAACCAGAAGCGCCCTCCGTAGCCGCGGCGATCTTCAGCTTCGGAATAGGAGAGCTGCTCCAGAACGTCCGTGAGAGAGCAGAATAGGTCATCCCTGCGCATATAGAAGGCCGAACTGGCCAAAGCGAGATGATCATCTGTCACGACCATCTGATTTGCCGTTCCTCGGGTAAGGTTGATTGCTTCCCCCATAGTCCGCAGCAAAACGTCCTTGACATTGGCGTAGTATGTTGATATGAATTGCGGGAGATCACGCGCGGCTTCGTCGCAGCGCAACCTGTCGAGCGGGATGTCGGGCTTGTCATATATGAGGGAACGGAAGGCCGGCATCATAGAGATCATCTTGAGCGGGGGGAGGCGAAGCCACTCAATGGGATGTAGCGTCCTCTTGTAGTCATCATAGGTATCCTTGATGAGAAGCATGCGCTGCGAGATCACATGTTGGTCCACCGGCCAACTGCATCGCCAATCCAGCAAGCAAGGCTCCAGGGCAGGCTTCATTCGCTCCCAAGCTGTGGGCAGTGGTCAACAAGGACGGTCCAGCGTCGACAATCCGAAAACTTACCGTAGTCGGTGATGTCATGTTTGTAGAATTCACTCAGATACTGGAAGATACCATCATCCAGAGAGCGATTTAGGTCCTCAATATCTCTGACGAACCAATAACCCAAGTCTTCACATCGTTGTAAAACTCTGGGACGGGGTGTATTGAGTATATTCACGTCAGAGACATACCACACTCACTGCTTGTATCGTCTGTTATACAGTGCTTCTAGTTCCTTGGCCGCCTTTCGACGAGCGTCAAACCAGTCTCTAGCCTCTTGTGCATGCTGGCGGCAGAGCACCTCAGGGTCACGAGTACATGATACACCTGCAAAGTAACGAACCTGTGTCCTCGCTCTCACATACAGGATCCGCCCTGCTTTGAATTCTTCATAATTCTTGACACGACGTCTCCCTGCCCGGATATCTCTCTTGTAACGATTACAGGTCGCTAGCATCTCAACGACATCATCTTTCCAGTATCGCCTCTCCGTTGAACCTTGATCTGTAATCAATCAGATACGTCGTGAGAATGACATCTGTATACACTCAACTGTAGGTGTAAATGACGAGTTCCAGGAGCTGATCGTCGACTTTTGAGATTAACGTCGCGACGCTACTGGACGGTACGAGTCTATTACCGGGCATTCAAAAGACTGAGTGCATTTTACGCGGGGCATCAAGAAACTACGTACCCGTCACTTCGACACCTCTTACACCATTTGCGCAGTAAGGCGAAATCAAAATCCTCCACTCCGTTCGTCCATGATCCGCATTGCTAACAAGGTGTGTTAGTATAGTGGCACGGTCAGCCTACCTCACCACAAGACTCACACTGCATCTCCAGTCACGAAGAAAGCTCCTCACCCAGAAAACCTGCGGGACATGCGGCGGACATTCTGGGATTATAGCGGACTCGGAAGCTGTCTTCCAGATGCGACAACCTTGAGATGAGTGCAGTAACGTCGCACGGAATGCTCGATTAGTCTGCACGATGTGTGTGAGGTCGAAGGGATCAAGTCTTTCTAGGATCTGTCCAGCATATCAGTGGCACGTATTCGGCAATGAGTTCCGAGTTCCTTCATAGTGGTGACTTACGCATAACAGGACATCCAGAGGCAGAGTCGTCAGAAAGGCACCTCTGGTCCTCATCTGGGAAGTGTTCGCAGCCTCCTCTCTGTTCTGCGTCTCGCTCGTCCGAGCGCGCTTCTTGTACGGGCTACCGCTGTTCTCGCTCGAATCCATGACTCGGATTCGCTCGAAGTGAGCAGCGCTGGATGGCCGCACGTACGGGCAGAGCTGCGCAGTCGTACCCTGACGGCGCGAAGGGGCTTTGTTTCTTTGTCGCCAAGTACACGAGGTCAAAACACCATGCTGAGACAACGACGGGTGACGACACTTACGTCCGTTATGTCAAGGTACCACGTCTTGAACCACGCTTGACCGTGACGAAACACGTCGTTCGGAGACCGAGCTGCTGAACGAGTGGCGTTGTGAGCTGGGCGAGGACGCGAAAGGCTATTGATTGCTAGCGGCGATGACAATAAATGAACAAGGGGAACAATGCAAGCCTCGTGTGCAACGTGTGCAGCGGCAACATGTGGTCGGCAACCCTCCCGTTTTGTGGACAATGCAGTCCCAGTTAGCGGGCCACACTGGCACTTGCAGCTTGAAGGTTATGCTGATGCTGTCAGAGCCGTGAATCGCCCATAACGAGTACCGCGAGCTCTAGTTGTCATACTTACCATTGTTGAGCTTGAGTTTGACTTGAGTGCGATTTCTGGTGTAGCACCGTGACCGGAGTCTGGCTGCATGGAGCCCCGGCACTGTGACGCTAGAAAATCAGCACATCGACAGGTCCAGCCAACACAGTGGTAGTGGATCAAATAATGCGAGTCAATTGTCATAAAACTATGGGAGACTGGTACAGTACATCCTGGGACGTTGCCGAGAGTTGAGCGATGCAATAGAATACGGATTGCGGTTTGTGTGATAGTGTGTGTGACGAGGAATGCGGGTGTGAACGATATGCGATGAGTGTGAGCCTTGATCCAAATCCCCATCGTAGAACATCCTGTGAGGAAAACATGAGTGACCGACCGCCCTCCTCCGGAATCAGTGCTCTTGCAGCTGCGACAGGAAGGTGAGCCACGCCTTCTTATCGATGACGCCCTCGTCTGTAGCAGGTTAGATCCGGTGCGACGCGAATGACTGACTATACTTACAATACCCGTCGGCATCGATGACGACAATATAGCGAGCACCGAGCTTGACGAAGAACTGTTGAACGAGCTCCAGAGGCGAGTTGGATTGAACCGTCAGCGGTGCCTGATCCATGTACGGGGAGAAGTCGAAAGGATCGACAACGCCCATGGTGGATCCGGCTTCCAACGATGACATCGAAGACGTCATCGCGCCGCCGTGCCCGTAAAGGCCAGAGTTTGAGAACTTGACCGGTTGATCTGCTTCATCGGCGGCGATGCCTGCGCGAAGATAATAAGGATTAGTTAAAAAGGCAAACAAAGAACCAAGGGACGTACTCAGAGCGTGCTCCAACTCGCTAGCTCCTATGTAACCAACCATGCGCAGCCCGCCATCGTCGCTCCTCACGATCGGGAAACCACCGTCGGAATTCCCTGTCACGATGAGCCCTTGCAGCTGGTCCCTCAAGCTCTTAACTGTGTTCTCTCGGTCAACACGAATGACGTCGACGTCGCGGTCGGTCTAGCGCCCATGAGCCATGATCGTGCAAATCACGCTACAAAGACTTACGACGTCGTCAATCTGCAGCTTTGCCCACACGTACTCATGTTTTGCATCCAAGTACGGCAGCTCTGAGAGGCTACTTCAAGGTCAGCATGGTGGAGAGATCATCGGATCGGTGGAAACGCACTCAATGCACAGATCATAGATACCCTTGGGCTCAAGGGCATCTGCCACCGTCTTCGCTACCAGAACCGAGAACATGACGGGAACAGCATAGGTCAGTGTGTCCGTCAGCTCGAACATGATGACCGCTAGTGACACGGTCGTACGCTATACGTGTCAGTGAGCTAGGCATACACCACCTAATGCGGTCGCAACGTACCGTCACACCTGACAAACTTGCAGCAGCTCCAACCATGGCGTACAATCCCGGGATGACACAGTTAAGATCGCCCTTGCAGCTTGCGAATATTGCGCTATCCGGACGCGAGAACTGCCACCACTGCACGAGGATACCCAGAATACGGCCAGCACATGCTCCGACAGCGAGTGACGGAACGAAGATACCCGCGGGGACCTTAATCCCGAACGTGATGATGGTGAGCGCGCCCTTGATGACCAGCGCAACGAAGATGGATTGGATGACAGCCATGGCCTGCTCTGGAGGGTTCAGAACGCATAGTCCTAGGTGGGTGTTCGTGCTGCCGGTGCGGCACTCCGCGAAGAGGTTGTACACAAGCTCAGTGCCCCCCATCCGGGTGTAAGGGTTCACGAACGAGAGGACAGTGGTGGCGAGGGTCACCAGGAAGACTTCCGCGACGGGGTGTGTCTTGAGCCACGTAGCGTTGCGGACATCGCGACTCCAGCGGAAGTTCAGCCTTGAGAACCATGCACCATAGACACCCTGAATAGAATGCAACGTAAGAGGCGAGCAATTGACGATTCTGACTGCTGAAACATACACCGAATACACCGAGCATAAGGAAGAAGACCAGCTCATATGCATGCCAGTCCTGCGAAATTCATATCAGCTACAGCGCGTCATACACCAGTCATGATCCCACCTTGTCGTAGGTGACCTGGAACAACACAAGCTTGCCGCTGCCGAAGGGGTCGAGAAACTTGAGCGTCATCGCAGCCACCATGGCGCAGAAGAAACTGGAGGGCCCAATCAGAACGGCGAGTGCCAAACAGGGCCATCTTCGCGCACCTTCTCCACATAACCTTCGCCGGGAAGAAATACGAAACTTCTTCCAAGCTAAACAGGACACCGCCGATGGGAGCACCGAAGGCTACAGCTACTCCTGCAGCACACGCAGCACTGAGAATCTCCCGCCGTTTGCCTGAGGCGTCTATTCAGCAAGCGCTACCCATCGCCGACGTCGTACACACCTTCGTTGGTCTCATATTTGCTGAAGAACCGACTGACGATGTTGCCGATGCAAGAGGCGATGTGCACGAAGGGGCCCTCCTTACCTGTGTCCACGCAGACCTGGTCAGAGTCTATGCGAGCGCAAGCGCGTACTGACGTACCGAGAGAAAGACCGGACGCGACGGAGAGCGCCAGGCCGATTGACTTCGTGAATAGAGTCCTGGCACCAAGATAGCCGTGTATGACAAAGCCTGTGAAGCCTGTCAGCGTGGAGCACGTTCGTACGTACGCCAGTGGGTCTTACCCGACAGGATCGTCTTGATCTCTGGGATCCCGCTGCCTGCAGCCTATGAACAGACGGGATTCGTGAGCGCTCAACTCGGGTTACACTGATCAGAAGGGAAGCGATGGGCCACAGTCGGGGATGCTGCGAGCCAAATGGACGTTCGGTCTACATACGTAGTACATAACCTTGCGTTTCGGCTCCCCGGCGGGAACAGCTGCAGCTTTCTGGTCTTCGTCGGCATCTGCGAAGTCTGGCGCAAGTACTCCGGAGTCCTTCCGTGTGATGAACGAATTCGACGAAGTGAGGTGAATGGTCAGCAACGCCGACAACACTGCCCAGGTTAGCTACACCACCACAGTCAGTTCATACCGCGATGCTTCGAATTTGATTTTGACCTACCGCAATGACTGCATAGGCAATGTATTGGGACATCTCGGCTTTGAGCCCCATCCATTCACCGTTCTTCTCAATCAGATCCCCGAAGACGCTGGCCCACGAGCGCCACGCATCGCAGTCCTCCTCCACATTGAGCGTGAGGAACAATGGCGCCGGCGTACTGAATAGTGTGTCGTCCTCTACCCTACAACAAAACCGCTTGGCCTTCGTCCAAGCGCCCCGACAGTACCCCTCCTTGATGTCGAACAGCCACTGTTCGCCCCGTACGACGCTGAACGCGACAATTGCCGTCAAGAAGCCTACAATAGTAACGATGATCCATCCTATGCTCCTGTCCAGCTGACGTATAATGCGCCCTCGCTTCGACTTGCGCTTCCGGATACGTGCCTGGCGCGCTTGGTCCTTGATCGCATCGTGCAACCAGTCGATGGACGTGAAGGATGAGTACCACACTCGGATTCCATTCGTCTTGACGTCCGCATTACCGTCCGGAGAATCAGCCTCGCTCTCGGGAGGTTTATCATACGCGGAGATCGGGCGCTGGCCGGCGAAGTAGGAATCCTTGTACGAGAACGCGGAGCGGGGGGAGACGGGGGTAGACTCGGAGTACAAGGGTATACGTATCTTGGGTATGGTGCTCAATCCTCGACGAGCCGCGAAGCTCGATTTGGCCTTGGCCCTGCTATAAGCAGTGACGGTTCCATACGAAGTCGCGCGAATTGGACCAGGTGGACGCAAGGCAGACGTCTCACCCAACTCGGAAGCTTCGTTCCCAATGCGGAGCAGCCGCTGACGACGCCAGGCAGGGTCGGAGGGTGCACCGTGAGGGCCGACGGGAACCCCCTCTTCGTTCGTGGCCGACAATGCAGCAGCGGAGCTCACCCGAGTGGGCATCGCGGGTAGCTAGTCGGGGGCGATGAACATCGCTACACAGGAAGACGTGCGCACACGACTTACTGAACGACGGCCTGCCTTCCGGGGATTGTAGAGTCGTAGTGGTCGGGAGCGAGCTTGTTGTGTGGGCCGTCAGAGTCGTTGTGAGTGGGTGCGACGAAGGAAGGCGGAGGGTCGGCCGAAGCGACTCAAACGAGGTTCCGTCCGCATCCAGCACCGTCGCGACCGTCCCCCCGAGCGTGTCTCGTGGCCACCATCTAATCTTATCTTGTCAGGTTAGATGCTTAACTTACCGGGTCTTGCCGCACATTATGTAATCTTCCAATAAGGGAACGTGCTGTAGCGCCTCATAGGCGCCTGGCTTGCCTGCATCCTCGCCGTTCACCACACCTCACCTCGCAAAAATGGCCAACACGGGTCTCGGAGTGCCCGTCAAGCTGCTACATGAGTCTCTGGGACACATCATCACGGTTGAGCTGAAGACTGGGCAGCTCTACAGAGGAAAACTCGCTGAGGGTGCGTTCTGTTGATCCTCAGACAGCCTATCCGCGATGTTGACCATGGATCTGTCCATCGTGCAGCCGAGGACAACCTCAATATCTCCTTGAAGGATATCACGGTCACAGGACGCGATGGCCGTGTATCACAACTAGACCAGGTATACATCAGGGGAAGTATGGTCCGATTCTTCATCGTGCCGGACATGTTGCAAAACGCGCCTATGTGAGTGTGCATACCGTATCAGCGCGACAGTAGCCTGACTTAGTGATGTCAGGTTCAAGAGAGTGGGTCCGAACGCGATGAGGGGGAGAGGTATCGGTACGGCGCGTGGAAGGGCCACGATCATGCGGGGTGCGTTTACTTTATGTATATATTTGTGTCCGCTACTGACATCACCTCTTTCAAACAGCAAATGGTGAGGTTCTACACGACCTCGATGGATCCCTTACTGACCAATTGTGCAATTTTAGCTCGTCGTGGTCGCGGTGTCCCTGCTGCTCGTGGAATCAGGCGATGAGGTGGTGTACTCGATGCTCGGCACGTTTGTCTCGCGCAAAATTTTGTTCCATAGCTGTCTCAGTATGTCTCTTTTGCTTTTCAATCACATGTACAAGATGAGCCATCGATGAAGTGCTTCGCGAGGAAAGCAGCACGCTCGTCGCCTTGAGAGACTGCAAGGGCTTGTTCCGGGCAAACGTCAGAATGGGTCGCGAAGTAGAGAAGACTTGGCCACTGGGCATCGCTCTCGAACTGACGTCGTTCTCATTGCCTACCAATGTAGCAATTGGACATTGGCGAACAGCGGCTTAGTGGCTATTTACATTCATCGTTACGGACGGAACACTGGCAATCTCCCTCTCATGATCATTCGTGCCGCCCAGATTCGTCACCCATGCTATTGTTAAAGCAAGAAAGTGCCATTCATCCTCGGACCGCGAACGACGGGGTGATTCGTCGAATCCTCAGAGGAGGAGGGGCAGAAGGTCACAGTATAGTCCGCGGCGAGGCTTGAGTCGCACTCCCAGAGGGCCGTGCCGCTGCTCTCGTCGTACGCATAGCAGTACGAGTTCGGGCAGTTATCCTCTGTGGTATTTGTGTTCAGCGGATGCCGTTCAGAGCGACTAAGCAACAAGGACCCACTGAAGTACGAATAGTATTGCACCCCGGAAGACGGGCACGTGGCGGGGGTGTCATAGTCGCCGCTGCAGCAGTTCGGCGAGTTGGCTACAAACGGACCATGGTAAGCGGCGTGTGCCGCATGTACTCAACAAGAAAGCTTACTTTGGTCTCCATCCAGATTGGCCTCGCAAGCACTCTTGCAGCCTACGGGAAAGCCGGTCGAATCGTACGGCCCGATCAGCGCAGAGGGGCCTACACCGCCAGTCAGGCAAGCACAGCACTATAATACTAGTCTAATGTATCGATAAATGCTTACAGTCGGGTCCAAGGTCAACCGGGCAGTCGGCGACGCTACAGTTGACGTTGTTGGTGATGCTCACCGGGAGGTTATACCCATCGACGAGTGAGACTATCGAGACACGCGCAGTCAGTCAACGTAACAATGATGTTAGTAGTTGCATGCATACCGTCATAATAGTCCGGGTCGCCCGTCGAGCCACCTAGGGTGAACTCGGCCAGAGTAGCAGGTGGCACGCCCTGTCAGTGCCGCTGGCGTGAGGATGGTCGCCATGGTGGCATATCCAGCGGAGTACTCACCGTTCCTCCGTCCGTGCTGCATTCGAGACCCCCGTTGCACCCGCCGTCTGCACATTGCGTCGCAGGGTTGCTGACGGTAAAATCACAGTCGCGACGGCCCTAGCATCCACACGTCAGCGCCACGCCGAACGCTTGAACCACGGAATTGATTTGCCCATATGCGACCTGCCGTCCAGTCGTCGGGCACGGAGAAGGAGACAGAGGTGTACTCTTCCGCTTCCCATCTGGCACGACTGTGGTCAGCGCAAAAACCAGGAGAAAGCCAAATAATATTACCCCGTCGCATAGTCCGGGGTGGAGTTTCCTGTGCCAGTGTATATCTACGGAAGGTTGAGGTCTGAGGTCAGAGGGGACTTTGGCATCGAGGTCAGTCACTGTGTACGCACAGCGGGCCTGTGATGCAGGTCCCAGGTCAGTTCATGGGACGAAAACAGCTAGTCATGAAGGACCAACCAGATCGTGAACGGGCAGGCGTTATAGACAACAAAAGTTCTGTCCGCAGCGACGCCAGCCGCGAGCACAAGGGCGATATGATTCGAGGCCTTCATCGTTGAGGAGGGTTTGACGAGGGGTGCGGCAGATCCTGGGCCAGCATATATCGCAGGGTCAGTATTTATATCCACGGAGGGGTCGTACAAGGCCTCATGCGACGGGGAAGCACACGGAGAGGGAGTATCGGTTACTGTCAGCTGTTCCATTGCGTTGGGCCCATACGACGGCCGGATGACTGCGCATATGTTGGGGAGGCGCGATGCTGCCATGTGAATTAACGAATGAAAGACCGCACGGTGGAAGGGGCCAGAACCGAGCTGTGATATACGCGTTGTCGTGCGGGTCCGCGAGCCTGAGCCGATGTGACGGTGACGGCGTAGCGAACTTAAAGTGAGATTCTGACGAATGCAGCTCCCAGTGAGTCAGGAGGAACGTAGATAAAGAGCGAATGTAATACCTCTTCGTACCAACATTTGTCATGTCGGACTGCCACTCTGTCGAATAGTCTCCCAGAATGCCTCAAAGTTGTTCCCACTGAACAGGGGCGTGTGGAGTCTCATGCAGACATTAAGGTTTGGCCGTCTCATGTCGCTCGCGCAGTCTAGACTTGAGCGAGGACGGACTACATAGTTGATCGTTCTGAGCAGTGCCTACTGCATGCGGTACACATATCTATCGTCGAACACCGTGGTCAAAGTCTCAGCACTCTAAACAAGCACGGACGTACCAACGAGATGTTCATGAGATGTCAAGTTAAAGATGCCGCCGCCCCAAACATGGCGTCGGCCAGGTGAGCAAGTCAGGAGGGAAGAGAAGAATCCTGACAGAAAGAGGGCGCACTGCCGCAAAAGGACGTGTTCGCGAACTGTCAACGGTCCCGCAGCCCTGGAACTGTGAGAGACACGGTGATCATGATGGTGTTCACATACCCCTCAGATCCTACTGTCGCTCGCTCCCAGGGGCGTGATTACAATTCTAGAACCATGTGTCGCATCGACTATTACATCGCGAACCAATAAGGAAGCTGTATCGACGTATGCAGGGCTGCTGTAGAAATCTCATGATACGCGGCGCTAGACAACAAATACCATTAGACACACCTTGGAAAGAATATTCACTGCCAATTCTGTGCATCGCCGTAGAGGTTGCGTCCGACAGGAAGTCATGTTGTCTGTGAGAATGCCTTGTGACGGATTTTGACCGATGCAATTGAACCTAGTTCAAGTCCTGTCGTGACAGACAACCCGCTGAATGCTGGGAGTCTAAGCGTATGGTACTGACAAGTAGGCTCCGGATAGCGCCACTGAGCCTGACGTGACTGCCGGCAAACTGATTTGTTATTCGTCGATATTTGATCAGACTGCGTGCAGCCCTACATAGAATCATCCCAGGACGTCCAAGGCAAGATTACTGGGACGTACCATATGTGCCCTCACTGGCGGTCTGGGCGTAAGTAGTTTGATATATATACGCTTCTGACAATGAGGCACAAGTACACTTACCCAATATGAACTGTGCGTGACCTTTCGTTGTATCGATCATGGCTTCCCTGCGTGCAGATAGACAATTCCAACCGGACAGTCCGACACCACATCCATCCCACGTTTGCGAGTGCTATGAATAGGCTACCTAGCACACGGTGTTCAGCAGGATGTGATCGTCAGCATAGTACTCCAAGTTACCCTCGCAGTTGCGACAATGCCTCAATCCGAGGGCACTGATGCGATGCCACCAGCTATGGAGTAAGAGAGGTCTGCCAGACGCATGTCGGCATAGAAGACCAGAGTAGTAGTACTGGGAACTTGCGTTGGACAACAGTGAGAGGACTACGGTGTGAGCATGCGGAACGATATAAGCTTCTGTTGCATGGCATACGTACCACTTCTATCCAGAAAACGGTCCGTCTTGTCAGATACCGACTCTTGGATGCACCGCCGGAGGCTGTACCAAGATCGAGGGTTGTGATGTTGAATGTATATCACTAAGCACGATGTCAGCGCGTAGCAAGCCATGTACTCACCCCAGTCCCGAGTGGTTTGCCTTCTCATGCAAAGCCTTCAGTTGTAGCGGCGTTGGCAGTACCACCGCCATCTGAGCCTCTGGACAGAGTGGATTTGACATGAAAGCTCGACGCCGCAACGGCGCGGTCCCGGCCCGCGTCGGAGAGTGATAGCGATCAGACAGGCCTTCGTCAGTAAAATGCTACAAAACGAGACCTTGGCTCATGGACCAGCAATTTTGAACCAGGAAATCGTCACCGCAGGCTGTAGCCATCGCGGCCCGGGCCTGTCAGTGCGCTCTGTTCAAGTTGTTAATCAAACGTGGCATGCCCGCGGTCGTTCCCTCGGCTTGCAGCAAAGGGACGCTTCTCCGTCACCATAAAAATCATGCCAACGTGAGAGAGAGAGAGAAACACCTCATAAGTTAGACGGATGGGAGCGCAACGACCTTCAAGCTCAAGTTGGGAGGACAGTCGACTTACATACACTTGCCGGTTTGATCCGGGTGGCGCGAGCTCACGGTATTTGGCGAGAGCGCCGCACTAAGCGCTGGTAAGTGTAGTTCCTAAACTCCAAACCACGACCATTGAGGACGTGGTCAAGCTCAAGTCTGCACTGATGCTCAGAGTTTATATGCACCTGTTGAAGAATTCTGACTAGAGGGGCTTCACTGTTCGACTGTTCACCAAATAGCAAGTCATTGTCACCCAGCCTCCTCAACCGGCGGGCCGGACGACCACCAGTGTTTCGGTTAGTGGGTCATACTTGCACGAACCTACGGGTGGCTAAATCGACACACAGGGGGAAACTGTGCGGTCGTATGATCACTCATAATTGCCTGCTCGTACAGGACAAGCAGTGAGCGACACGGTGACTCCGACGACTACTGAGGCGCATCCAGGCTGGCAGGCACCATGTCTGAACCTACTCAGCATCCTACACCAGCTGCTCCCGGAACTCCGGAGTACCTTGCATCAATAATTTCAAATATACATGCTGCATACCCAACGTTACCTGTTGACCCGGTTGTTCTGCAATCTCTTCTGCTCGGCCTCATCGCCCGCGTCCAGAAGCCTTTGGCCTCATCCGTGGACGCTGCTGTACAAACCACGGGACTCGTAAGCATACCTGCTTCCGATCAATGTATCAAGTACCCAAGTACATGTGCAAATATTGTCTTACGGACAAGAGAGGAAGATGTTGCAGTCTTACTGCACATCGTTAGTCTGGTGAGTTTCGTCATTGAAAAATACCGCGCTTCCAGAAAACTACATGTACTATGAGAGCTATTCTCTGACCTTCTGAGTACGTCATCAGCATGTTCAAGCTGCACTTATTGTGGGGCTGTGACCTCGCCTGGTGTCTGCTGCATGCCGGTATCAATGCCTCCGTTAACGTGAGTAGTGTAATCAAATTGCTGACGTATACCACTCTACAGACGCTTACGTCTGTGTTCGGTCTGTCGACGCACAAGTACAAGGTCGCTTCCAAGGCAGATTCCTCTCGCACTCACGGAGGCCATTCTCGTCAACCATCTCACGACGTCTCCTCATCACCAGACGCGTTCCTCCGTAGCCTGTTCTTTCGTCGACCAGTGTCTACAGAATCCAAACGGCTCAGTACCGACTTGACTCCTCGCCTGGGCACTCGTCCCCTCAGGTCCTCAGTACATGCTCATCGCCGTTCTTCCTCTCAGACACCACGCCCGTCACCACTGCGGCTCTCGAGATCCATCGACACATCATACACCGAGGAGAATCTGGATTACTTCGTCGATAACATGTCTATGGCATCCTCAAGACGACCCCTCCTCATGGCGTCTACGACTACACCGACTTCCACGCTGCGATCTCGTCGCGCAGTCCCACGTGCAGAACCTCTTCCTCTCGGTTTATCTTTGACTGGGTTGACATCGCCCGAAGAGCTCGGCTCGCCATCTACATCTTTTGGCAGTGGAAGGGGTGGACTAGATTCCAGGGTCGCATCCGGCGGGATGGAGGAGCACGACGTACGCCCCTCTCTCCTGCTGTCGAAAGCTGTTGTCGTCTCCGGTCTAGAGCACGCCGGATTGCAGGCGCAAAGGGCGCTGAGTCAAGTGCTTGCTCAGAGGAAACTCGCGCTAGATGAAGACGGGAGTACATGGAACCTGCCTGACGATTTTCTGATGGTCTACGTATGCAAGACAGACCCGTTCGAGCGCCCACCGCTTCTCAGAGGACTTGTGAGTTCACTTTTCTCATTCCTATTAGTCTGATATCAACGTATTCGCAACGCTACTGCAGCTCGACAAGTTTGCGATCAGTGCGGACATCACGATAACACCTTCCGCACGGCAAGCATACGCAGCATACCGCGGAACACCTCTCTCGACCCCACATGGGTCTCCGTACCCTGCCGTTCAATCTCTCCCCTCTCACATTGATAATATGCCCGCAGCACTACTGCGGACTCCTACTTCCCGCTCTGCGCCTCTACCGTCTGTTCTGTCCCCATCTCAGTCCCATCACTCTACGGCTGCTCCCGTCGTGTCCGCGGCCGATCTCGCAATGCTACGTGCACTTGCCTGTCCCATGCTTTCGGCCGAAGTTCCCTCCTACACGAGCATCCGTCCCTCATTGTCTGCGTACATCCGTGACCTCTTCGCAGCTACGCGGCACCACCCAGTTCTCGACGGCACGTCGGTGACACACCAGGCTTACTCAGATGCAGAGGCACTTGCGCGTGCCTTCCGCGTCCTCGCCGGTGACTCTCTCGGTACCGAGCTCGTACAAGTCGCCGTGGAGTTGGAGCAGGAGAGTTCTGCCACCGAACGCAGCGGGAGCACGAATGCGGAGAGCGCTGAAGGAGCCGGCGCATGGGAGAAGGAAGTCATGGGGATGGACTGGGCTGCACCGCAAGGCGTCCCACGGCCGAGTTTCGAACGACATGTTGACGAGGCCACCCCGCTGAATGCCGACCTCTCGTACGCATCGGATGACGGCCAGCCGGCCATGACCCCAACTCTCGGCGCACCGACTCCCGCACCGACCAAGCCGCCGGAGGTTTGGGACGTCTCCGAGGTCGACATCGCGAGGATCTTCCCCCGGGTGGTCTCGCATCGGCTTCGCGTGCGCGACGGCCCCGACCATGAAATACTGGGCAGCGTGATGTATCCGGCAGTGGACACCCCGCGAGTTTCCAATGCTAAGCAACCCGAAGAGGAGCCGGCTTGGGAGCGGAGAACAGTCAAGGACGTCCTTGTGGAGATCCTTGCTGACGTTTGACGCATCAGAACTCGATAATCCCGCACATAGGGACCAACTGCCCCACACACGGTGTGTGTTTGCATCCGGTGCCTAGCCATTCATACTGCGGGTGCTGTACGCAGATATGCAGCAGAGATCGCGGTACCTCGATCGGACCAACTGGAACTGGGCTAATGCACGACCGACTAGGGCCGAGCTATCGATGCCCAGATAGTGCAGAACACAATCACCTTACCCAAGTTACCAGATATCCCCTTGGCTTCGCCCGCAGCTCACACCTACTCTATACGCCCTCTTACATAGTCCATTGATGACAGTTGTCTGTTTGGTACAGCATATACCGTACAAGAGATACACCGAGACTCGTGATGTTCGTGAAACTCGTCTACTCTCTAGAGACCGACAGCAGACAACAACTTCGTGAAGTCGGGGGTACCCCAGCCAGTGACCTGCCGCAACAGTCAGACAACCGTCCAGAAACGGCCCAACGGAGGCTACTCACCGGGTCCCAGCCAGTAGCGGTGTCGAATCCAGTAGTGTAGTCGGAGCAAGCATAGTTGTTGCCCTGCGTGATGTCATTGAATGCAGATGAAGCAGTCGAGTACAGTAGCGGGTTCAGCCAGCCAAGCGTAGACTTGCCGGCCGAAAGGAGCTGGTCATTCAACAGCGCGACGATGCTAGCGAATGTCGGAGATGCACAGCTGGTCCCGCTGACGCCGTAGGCCGTCCCATCGATGACGACCTCAAAGTCCGCTGCGTAGGTCGCAACGTCGGGGTAGCCACGGCCGGATGCGTTGTACAGCCCCTGGTTGGTACTGCCGATGCCTGAGAGGTAGGTGGAGACAGCATCGGTCTGGAAGTCGGCCGTCGGCCAGTAGTTGGAGAAGCCTCCGCCCGAGAAGTTCACGGCAGTCTCCGGGACATTGATCGTACCACCAACGGAGGTGACGCTGCGCAGGTGCAGGGGTGAGCTCGTATACACGCATGTGGATATGATTTGCTCACTAAGGGCAACCAGAGGGGAACGTCGGCACAAAGGTTGTGCAGGACGAGTCCCAATGCCCGCCGGACACACCACCGTCACCTGACGCGAAGAGTATCGAGACACCCCGGGCACCCAACTGTGCGTACAGGTCGCACAGGTTGCTGTCGAACGCAATCCGTAAGCCCCACTGCTGTGTCTCAGAAGAAGACGCAAACATACTACGCAAGGTTCTGGGAGATAGTACTTTCGTCGAGGCCGTAGCTGGTCGTAATCACCTGAGGAGGCGCCGTCTGGTTCAACAAGTAATTGGCTGTATCGATGAGGACGTTCGCCAACTCGTCGCCCGAATTAACATCGCCGCCGACGGTGATAAAGGTCACCGGCACATTCGTGGCGATACCGACAGTGTACTGGATGTCAAGGCTCTGGAGAGCAAGTATCCATCAGAGACCGATCAGGACTGTTAAACAAGTCAAGTGTGACTGACCGCTTCATCACCGGCGTCGCCACTGCTCTGTGGGTCCTCACCGCCATCCAACGAAACGATAGTGAACCCCGTGCTGGAGTTTACGTCAGGTCGGTACTGTTCCAAAAACGTCTGTCGCAGAAGTATGATCAGCATCCCGCGCATCATCTATGTACGAAGACCGTCACTGACCGTCAGGTCGCTGTACTCTGCATACTCATCAACGTAGCCGGTGACTCCGAGCTGACCAGACGAGCTCGTGGCTGGAGCCGTCGGGATGCTGTACAGAGACTGTAAACATGACGGGGTTATGTAGGTGCCGTTGACGAGGCAGTTATCCGCGCGCTTGGAGTCCGTCTCAGAACGCTTAGACGGCGTGATGGCGTTCACAACCGGCTTCTTGCCGAACGGATCCGGGAATCTGGAATACATCGTCAGACTCAGCTTCGCACCAGAAGCAGGTGTGGGGGCACGAACGTGATGGTAGGGTGCACCAGATCCAGATGCCCGACGAGATCAGTAGGGATGGAGTACTCGAGCGTACGGATGATCTGCTTGCTAGTGCTGCTCTGCGTGTAGACCGAGAAGTTGGTTCCGAACAATTCATTGGCCTGGCTGACAGGGACGTTGATAGCGAGCCAGTCTCCCGTTGCGGTAAGGGAAGTCGACTGCAAGTTGTTCTCGCTCAACCACGTGTTGACGGCCGAAACAGTCTCCTGCTTCGGGGCCACGAATGCTTCGACCTGGTCGTGTGACGTTAACAAACATCGTAGTGAGCGAGTGGGTAACAGGCTTGCCTCTTCCTTGGTGAGGTGCTCGCCGTAGTGCGCACTCGAAGGGTTGCTGACGTCGTAAAGGGCATCAATCAACCCCGCAGTGTTGCTCCGCACGAGGGCCAAACGCAGGGCCAGCGTCGTCTCATCGGCAGCAGGTCCAACGAGGGAGAAGCCACGAGGGACGCTCTGTCGAGACTCGTGCAGCTGCAGGTCCCTGCGCACCGGCTTGCCGAGCGCGAGGGCAATGAGTGAAGTGACCACCAGGAGACGAGAGACCATCTTCGCTTGTGCCTACGGACCCGTGAACCTCTCCAGCTAGGGTGCCGAGAGCTGCAGGACGTCGTCGTCATGAAGCTGTTTTATAGCTCGCCGTCGCGGGCGTAGGCCAAGAGGAACGGTGTGGACATGATGTAGATATGCGGCAAACGGGGACCGCATACAGAAATGCTTGGACAGCATCCCGAGTGCAAACGCAGAGGCTTGACGTGGTCGCATGGGTTGCGCATGGGCATGATAACCTCGTTCAGCTCGAAAAATGCTTCTGCCGGCTTCGTCGAGACAGCGTGCTCGAGGGGACGGAGCTTCTAGCGCGGGGCTCCATGCGACACGATGACGATAACCATCATTTCTTCCATATATGAACGTCATTGAGGCTGCCGTCGAGGCGGATCTCCCACTTTATGTCGGCGGTTGGCTGTGCTTGAGAGACTTGGGTGTCCGGTCGGGCAGGAGACGAGGTGTGGGGGCAGAGCATCATCGCTCGAGTCACTGCGATCTCATTTACATGATGCTGTGGCTAGCAATATAAGGGAGTCATGGTAAGCGATGTATTCGTGCAACCCAAGAGTCAATGAAAGCTCACACGTCTTCATCCGCAATCCCGATGGATGAGTCACGACATCCTATGGCCAGCGGCCTACGCACCAGCCAAGCACCAGGTGTCTCCCACACAAGCGAGGTTGCTCTCATGATGCACGCTCCGCAACAGCTGTGATCACTGAGCCAGCTGCGATAGTGAGATACGATCATCCCGCGGTTACTGATGCGACAATGCGATTTAATGGCGACTACAAGGCGATTATCTGCAAGTCCTCTTCAGTGTCTAAAAGGGCAGATAAGTAGAGCGACTCGGACGACGGTTAAACGAACTCGGCGCCCAAGCTTCAAGCTTCAGTGTCCATGGTACTCGTAGTACTGTCCGTCGTAACTTATTCAAAGTCGGGGAGAGCAATTCCAATAGTACAGCATGTTGTCGCACCGCCCCGTCATCTTTGAAGCGCGCTACGCCGCGATATAATCATGCACCTTGTGCAGACTGTGCTGGTTCAGTTCTACGGTACCACTAGCCCGCATATCCGGCATGCATATGCTCAACGGTGAATGCTCCACCCTGCTTCGACTCGAGAAGCAAACCGATAGGCGTAAGATGTCCGTAGGCCACCAGATGCACACGAGAGGACCAACGGGCGCGACCACCTTCCATCGAATGCCCGACAGCTCCGTCCACGGCGAGTGAGACGTCGACACCTCGAATTGGTATCACCACACGGGAGATGGGACGGGCATGTGTCGAGCCAAGTTGAAGGAGTCCAAGGGCGAGGGTGGTACTGTCCTGCCGAACTAGGCCCACTTAGAGAGCACGTACACCTCGTGCCTTCGCTCCCATACTGGAGACCTTCGTCTCCTGTGCCCCCAATATCGCAAATCATGATAGCGAACGCACCTGTGACTCCTTACCCAACCGACCTCTGCGTGGGTGGGCCCATGGATGAAAGCGAACACACTCCAAAGGCGTTGAGTGCATGTATCCAACCGTTTCATCGCTTCTGAGTGCTATGATCACGCGCAGAAAAGACAGAGATACCCAAAAGATATCTAGCAAGGCTCGCAGTCTGAGTCTAGATTCTGAAGCTGGAGGAGGCGGAGAACAGACAGCACCGTCAGCACTGGCGGAGGAGGGGCCTCCGAGCTGGTAAACAAACAGGCGCTCTTCCGCCGGCCCGGAGGGAGAGCCCGAGTAGGCCGGATCTCCTCCTCGAGGCTCGCCGAGTCTGGCTCGAGTCCTCCTCCTTGACGATGACCGTCAGTGCAAGATGTTTCTCAGTCTTTGTCGAATGCAGATATGAAGATATGGGCATATGACTGGTGGTTCATCTTAGCTCTATGAAACGCCGCCGCAGGCACGTACGGAGACCTTTTCGCCCGCGTCGCAATAGTACTGGGTGTCATGCTGATTCTACCGGGCAGCTGCACCGCAAACCCATCGATTGTGACTTCGTCCATGCTATTAGCCGCCATTGGGAAAAGGTGAGTAAGTCATGCCGGTTGAACATGTACTGTAGCTACGTCATAGTGTCATGTTCCGTTCGGCGTCGAGGCATCAGTGATTCAGTCGAGTCTGTCGCGGTAACTTGTATTCTCGTGCAAAGGCAGCACTAGGGCTTAGCGATGTATTGATGATTCGGATGAATCCACCGTATGTATCCCCGGATATATTGAAGTATTCAAGCCTACACGCTCTTACACCAATGGTGAGCTCGCTCGTCTCCAAATACGTAGGTGTTTGATCTCATCGGATCAATACAGCTACAAAGATAAGGGTCACAACCCTTCGTGCTGCTATACATCGAATAATTCACTTCAGTGACCAGTGGACCAACCCTATCGACGTCCGTCAGATAGTTCTGGATGACCGCAAAACGAACACCCCCACGTGACCGCGTCGCAGGTCGCGGCGGTGGCAGAGGCTGGCGGGAGGCTGTCATGGGGCTGACATAGGCTAACACGGAACGTCGCCCGCGGTCAGAATCGCAACCCAGCTGAGCTGACATCCTCGCTGGGCTATATAAGGAGCACGAGAAGCGTACGAACCGTTACCACACCTTCCCCTCCTACCACCATCTCCTCCGCCTCTCCTCCCTTTCTCCCTTCCTCCGGCTCCTAAGCTGCAGTCTTCACTTAGCACGGTGAGCGGCTCTTCATACAGGCAGGCCATGCTCACCGTATACCGTGCAGATGATTACAAGCGAGGTTTGCCTCGTCTCATGTGGCTCTATCCTCTTCCGCCCTCGTCGCGCTATCGTGAGTACCCGTCTGCTCCGTTATTCCAAGCTCACCGCGTTATTACAAGCTCACCGTCTGCCATGCAGGTAAAGGTGAGTGTGGTTTGTGGTTTGTGTTTCGTGGTTCATGTTTCGTGGTTCGTGGTTCGTGGTTCGGGTTTCCTTGTTGCGGCGGCGCCGAAAGGCTGCTGTCCGCTCGCCCTCGTGCCGAGAGGCTGCGTGTGGCGTCGCCCCTGTGCCGAGAGGCTGCGGGAGGCTATAATGGTGCTCGGTCTTCATGTCTGCGTCTCCGGTCACCGTCCCCCACCTGTATCTCCTCATCGCGCATGTGCCGACCCATCATACCTGTTCACATACCTCCGCTCCTGTCTTCGTAGGTAGAACCTGTGATGCCTGTGCAGTCTGTACCATTGATGGTTCGGACACCCTCCAGTTGGCGCGTGTCAGCCATCGGTGGTATAGATTGTGTAAGGAAGGCACTGACTTTGGCATGGCTTGATTTCCGCGAGGCGGCGGAAGTAATACATTCTGGTTTTAAAGGCAGTCCTGAAACATGGCTTTCTTGGGTGTCGGTTCGTCGAAGCAGAGGATCTGAGCTGTGTCGGTCATGGTGGCTATGAGCGAGCGATGTCCTGCGGCTGGCGCATGTTGGCGGGTGGTTGCCAGTTGCCAGTTGGCGGCCCGCCCGGTCAGCTGCAAGCGCCGAAGCGACATGGCCCGCCCGACGTCGCGGTCCTACTGTCACGGTCACTGCACTGCGGTCTTCATTCACTCATAGTGCTGTACATCGCTCGTGCATGGGGCGCCGCAGCTAGAACCCTTCTACTTGCCAGTGCAATCATCTGCAACCCTCAACGGACGCAATAATTCACGATCCTTTAAATGGCTCATTCGTCCAGAGCCTCGACTAGCCAGAGAGGTGTGCAAATCCTCTACCGTTGGAGTCGTGTTGCAAAGACACACGCAGAAGCCCTGCTCTGTTCTAAACTGCGTTTCAACAACTTCCAGTCTCTACGGCCGTCATGAGCCGCAAATTGACGTCGTCGTGTCGGCCGAATGTCGGCCTTTCGAGCTCCTGGCGTACAGCGCCGATCGTTGGCTTAGGGCTAGCAGCTTACCAAAACACATTGTTCAATCGTGGTGGGTCTTACTGTATGCTGTGCACTGGACGATAGATAACTGATACAATGCAGGCGAATGTATGCCTCATACGTTGCGGTCGGCTTCCAACATGACATGTATGTGCACCTTGTCTCATGACCTCGACCCATGCGACATCTGACTGGTAAATGTAGAACGCGACGTTCATGCCGTATGCCGTCGGTCCGCCAGTCATTCAAGTCGCTATTTATCCCCGACGTCGCAGAGCTTTGTGTCCGCCTGAGTGTGCGCTGCCTCCCTAGAAGAGCACGATGGTGGACCCAGTGGTACGGTTCCTTTTAGCTGCAGTTGCCTGCTGGATTCCTGTACGCGTTGCAGCCTGGAATTCGACGTACTACAACCCTGTCATCCCCGGCTTCCACCCAGATCCCAGTTGCATCTTCGTCCCCGAGCAAGATAACACGTTCTTCTGCGCGTCAAGTAGCTTCAACGCGTTTCCCGGCGTCCCGATACACGCAAGCAAAGACATAGTCAACTGGCGACTTGTCAGCAATGCGCTCAATCGTCCCGAACAGCTGCCGACTCTCGCCATCACGAACAAGTCCACCAGCGGCATATGGGCAGCCACGATCCGCTACCGCGAAGGCACGTTCTACGTCCTCACAACGCTCGTCTTCGACGACCAGCCGGAGGCGAATAGCTCCCGCTGGGACAATATGATCTTCACCTCCACAGACCCGTACTCGTCTGCGTCCTGGTCGCAGCCCGTGCACTTCAACTTCACCGGCTACGACACCTCGCCATTCTGGGACTCCGATGGCACTGTCTATGTCACAGGCTCGCATCCCTGGGAGGTCACACCCGGGATCACGCAAACGACACTCGACCTCACCACGGGTGAGGTCGGCGCAACGTACCAGTACATTTGGAACGGCACGGGCGGAGAAGCGCCCGAGGGCCCGCACATCTACTGGCGCGACGGGTACTACTACCTCATGATTGCGGAGGGCGGTACGGGCCTGACCCACATGGAGACGATCGCGCGGGCGCGCGACATTGGCGGGCCGTACGAGTCGAACCCGGCGAACCCCATCCTGACGAACGCGAACACGAGCGAGTACTTCCAGACGGTCGGCCACGCGGACTTGTTCCGGGACGCGGAGGGGAACTGGTGGGGCGTCGCGTTGTCAACACGGTCGGGGCCCGAGTATACGGTGTTCCCTATGGGCCGCGAAACGGTGCTGTACCCGGTGACGTGGGAGGAGGGAGAGTGGCCTGTGCTGCAGCCTGTGCGCGGAGAGATGAGTGGGTGGCAGTTGCCCCCGACGAACTTTGACGTTCCTGGCGAAGGGTATGTCGTTTGATGATTGTTGTGCTGTTCGTTTTGGCTGACGCATCCCAGACCGTTTGCTGAGGAGCCAGACTATCTGACTTTCTCGCCTGGTTCGACCCTGCCGATTCATCTCGTACACTGGCGGCTACCGATTAACACCTCGTATGCCATCTCACCGTCTGGCTATCCAAATACGCTCCGCCTGCTTCCGTCGCAGCTTAACCTAACTGCATACGATGGGAATTACGCTGGCCCCGAAGGGCAGACTCTAATTGCGCGCAGGCAGATGGATACACTGTTTACATACGGCGTGAATATGAACTTCTCCCCGACAGTCGAGGAGGAGGAAGCAGGCGTTACGGTCTTCCTAACACAGGTACGCTCAGCGCTAGTCGAAGGTTGGCCATGCGCCAAGAATACTTATTCTGTATCTCGCGCAGAATCACCACATCGATCTCGGTCTGGTGCTACTGCCCTACACGAACACGAGCACGAATACGACAGCACTCACCCCATGCTTCCGCTTCCGCTCTGAATCCTACATCGCCGTCCCGCCCACGACGGTGACGCCCGTACCGAGCGCGTGGCTTAACCGGACGCTCCACTGGGAGATCAAGGCATTCAATCTCACACATTACAGCTTCGCGGCGGGCCCCGCAGATGCGCGCTCGCAGATGCAGACATTCGGCTATGGGCTTGCGGCCGATGTCAGCTGGGGCTTCACTGGTGCGTCGACGGCGTTCGTTTGGGCTTATTAGGATGTGCGCTGATGTGATCTACCACTGCAGGGACGTTGATTGGCATATACACAACGACTAACGGCGGCGAGGGCACTGCGCCAGCGTACTTCTCGGAATGGACGTATGTCGGACAGGGACAGTACCGCGACTGAGTCAATTTGGACTGAAGTCGTGGCTCTGCGTCGTGTGAGACACTCCTCGCCCTGATTGATATCTTGTGCCTTCGTGCAGTTCTACATCTTTGACAAAGTCGGGTCGTAGTCCGCGTCGATGTTCGGCCCTGTCCCCTTCATCGCTCCTTCAACTTTTCTTCAACTTTTCTTCACACTTAGTTGTGGTGGGCACGTCTCGTCATCAATCATTGCTCATTCGAATACAATCAGAAGGTGGTCGACCGTCCCAGTTCATTCTAGGTTTGCGACCTGGTGTGTCTTCGTCGCATCGATCTGTCAAGTCGAGGCCGAAACTCCATCGTGTGATGAGCGCCTACCAGTATCATTCACCAGCGGCGTCATCCAGGGGCTTTGGACCCTCGAACTCGAGGTTACAACATGCACTCCGATCGATCGTTGAACGCGCTGTGATCTCCAGCGGAATGCTCAATCACCCTGCTCTGACTACGGTGCGAAGTGCTTTTTTTGACATGGGCTATACGGCGTATATACTGACTGACAGATGTCGATGATTATTGACAGTTGGTCCGCAGCTGTCGGAACTGTAAACCCAATTATCGGACAGTCCGATGTAGAACATAGTGATGACTCTCATCATGCATGCTCTTGGTATTCCCCTTAACAGTGCAAAGGCAGCATCGAGTGGTCAACCACCGGAATGCGCCGGAAAATTATACAATGGTGAAGTATCGCTCGCCGCTTGCTCAGAACCTACTGCTAATGAGGATTGTGGAATGTATTCGGTGTTCGGACCTCTGTTGAGTATCGTGCAGATTGACATAGCTTGAAGAGACAAATTGTACATACATCAAGATCCAAAGGTGAGAGCATGTTCAGCGTCACGACAGTGAGGCTGTTGTTTTCATCACCGATGTGATCATTCAAGGAAGTGCTATCTGTTGGCGGCCAGATGTGTACAGCACCATCTATCATGGTAGAGGAAGGACGTCGGTTATAAGTGGTACGCGTCCATGTGAACCCTGTTATATCTGCCCCTCGTTCCATCCAGGCTGCGTGCAGACTCAATTATGGCATTGTTAACTGCGAATGATGTAAATTCGTTGATCGCAAGCCAATACCTTTCGGGTGAGTACAAAGTCTTGACAAGATCGATGTAGGAGTTCTTGGCCTGACTGTATACTTGCTGTCCAGGAGCCGCAGTCACACTTACACTGTACGACCACATCCTCATCATAGGGGAAATTGCACTAGTATGGCGACACAAGCGGTCCGCCCTTTCCGTCATTGTCATCCTTGACCTATATGCAAGACTTGGTAGTATGCTGTTCATAGCCTACGGTATGTCACTGAGTGCTCTTGGTCCTTTTTGATCTCCGTCCCTCATGACAGTCGCAGTGAACAGCGGGCTTTCCGCTAATATAACCACTCAAGTACGTCCCGTGTCCGAGCTGAAGGATAATGCTGACAGTTGCGGCAACAGATGTCAGTACCTGTGACCACGTCTCGGCGAATTGCTGCACTGACTCTGCACCTAGATGCCGAGTGTTTAATGACTATGCTGTCACGTATGGATTACTGAGCATGTGTTCGGTTCCATGTGTGTCTCATTCCGTCAACGCCTACCGTGATGTACTACTACTGACCGTTCACAGTTGCACTGACGCTTCGCATCTACAAACTATGGGACAACAGAAAGATGATGACATACGTGGTGATATGTGGATTCGCGGTGATCAATGCAGTTGCAATCGCATTCTCAATTGTCACAAATATTCAAACCTCTCGTAAGATTCAGAGCTACATATCCTACAAAGGTATCAGCAATACTAAACTGGTCATAGCCAAGGTGCAATACAACAGTTCATTTCGAATGTGCACTCTTCCGGATAAGCCCGTGTTTTTTATTGGTGCTTACGCGGGATCGGTGAGCTATATAAATCTTATCATGGAGCTTAGCCCGCTGAATCTAGGATAAGCTAGCATCCCATGTCTACGTGCTCGTGTTAGTATTGATTCATGCCCTGAGCAATCCTCGCAGAAGTGATGCCGAGCTGTTTCATAATCTATACCGCGACGGCATTCTAACATTGTTGGTACGTGGATGAGTATTTCTCACTGCCATATCCTTGACGCATTTCACATTGCTTGTGCTAGATGTTCATTGGTGAGTCTGATAATGCCAAGAGTCATGATCATGACAGCCAATCTTGAGCAGCACTGGAGCTTGCACGACTTATACCGGCAATTGTCGGAGGAGTTTGTATTCATCGCCCCGTACCACGCACAAACAGCTAAATCATTCTTGTCAGGCTGCGCAGATACTGCTTACGCCTTTGTGAGTAGTGGCCACATATATTCAATCTGTAACTGAGTGTTATGTTGCAGGATAACATGGGCCATTGACGGTGTCATGAGCTTCCGTCTGTACCTGACATTGACGGAGATCGAGAGCAACAGTCGCAAAGGGCAGTGGGTTCGAAGAACAGTGAACGTGACACACCAACATGAAGTACTTGTTTTCCAGGAAGTAGAGATGGAGCTCATATAACGCGCAATGCAAGTTGACTCAGCGTGGAAATATCACTGTCAAGTGAAACGGTCGATGAACGTTTGATTTATTGACACCGTGTTCTACTTACAGTTACATATCCACGCCCGAAGAATCCCAGTGGCGCGTGCAAGGCGCGTGAGTGCATTGTAACTTAAGCCAGATGCCGTCATTACAGAACGCCGAATGTGAGTAGCACGTCTGCTACCATTAATTCAACCATTCACCCTGGATTGACAGCTCACTTCCAGCAAATGTATGCGAACACTATTCACGGGCTGTATGGCCGACGGCTAGCTCAGGGATCGACAGATGAGTAGATACAACCTCGGTGACCCGGCCTATGCCTTTCCCAGACTACATGGCAGACACCTCCCGCCTTCATCCGTAGTGACTTTTTTTGATTGCGGCACGGAAGGACACATTGATTGGGCCCTGACACTATCATGCATGGTGACTCGACCGCTCACATCCAGAATATGAAGACGGACACTTATGTGACCGCGTGACATGTGCGTCACATAACCGCATCGTGGTATGTTTCCAGCGACAGTGGCATAGTTATGAACCTTCATGCCCTTCGACAGTACCATCCCGGTTTGACTCGAGTACTAGAATTTGATGTGACAACGGAGTATGGTTACCAGCTTTGGTCAGTACTTGACTCAATGTTCCCTCGGATGTTTCCGACTCGCGAGACTCAAGCATCCGTGCATATGATCGGCCCCGGCATGCACTGGCGAGTACAGGTACGCGGCCTCGAGGCTCTCGACTAATTCTCATGGTACCCTGCTTCACCGAGACTTCGCATAATCTGTAGCTCCATTTTTCTCCGTCTATTATAAAGCTGCAGCTATGGCAACCCCCCTCGGAGACAAGCTATGACTGTTAACCCCACAATTTTACTGAACAACTCTCAAAGGTACGAACATCCGTTCACATTGCAGGATGACTGGGAGCGTGCGCGTTACGTTCCCCATGACCCAATGACACACCACGTCCCGCGGACGCTCGTGGAGTATCGTATGTGTGCACTCAGCGCTGCCATACGAGACAAGCCGGAATGGTACAACAAGTTCCGCAATGAAGCGATCCGGGCGAATTGGAAGGAAGAAATCCAGGAACAGCAGGAAGTCTTAATCCACCGAAGTCAGCAGCTCACCGATAATATGGTGCGTGCAGTGTCCTGCATTGTGATATAGCATTGCTTGATATTTGCCCAGATCAACTACATTTTTGAGGAATTGGAGGCATATGTTTCCCTCCGCGACCCGGATACCGGGATTCAGGTGAGTCAACATTTATCAGGACAAAAATGCGCATGCCTGAACGCGCGATGTTAGCCCGGACCGTACGAGCGGATCTGGCAGTCTGACGAACTCATTTCTGCATCTCTCAGAGCTGGTTTGATCTCCGCCGTTGCACCTCTAGAGTCTGTGCCGGACTCCGAGCAAGATTGGCATCCTGGCTCTGACGGGAAGGTACTCGACCTTGTCCATCCGTCCCTCTACCCCGTCATCTACGGGCGTACTATCTCCAACACGACTAGGCAGCCGCTCAAGCCACGGCCGTCTGATATCAACAAGATGTTCATTTCTGACCACTTTCAGTGGCTACCCTCGGACTTCGACGTTCCTAAGGACGGCACCGTCACGCTTGCGTCGCCCTACATCAACAACATACACCCGGATCGACATAGGCCTCTCATGGACGTCATCCCGAGGATCCTCGAGAAGGCTGTTCCGATGTTCGAATGGGTGTTGTCCGAGCTCGAGAGGAAGCGTCCGCTACCGACGCGGATGGACTACCAAGGGAACAGCATCCCCAGATGCATATGGCCCAAGGAGGTATACACGGTGGCTGCCAGTGCTTCGCCATATGTCTATGCTTATCTATGTGCCAGAGAGAGCCTCGGCCAGATGACAACACTATGCACTGGTTCTACGCGAAGCACGACTCTTTGACCAGCGTCGAACTCAACCCCTTCAATGCCTACTATGACAAGATTGCAGACGCCGCGTACGAACGCTGGATAGCGATCAAGGGCGAGGATACCGATGAGATATTCCAGGAGCCGGAACGTCCGTCCTTTCCGGAGAGGAACTACATCAGCCGATGCAGAGAGTATTGGCTGGACTCGCTGCCGCACATCTGGCCGGACAGCAAGCCCACGTACGACGGCGAGCTCGCCGATGTCAAGAAGACCGTCAGCTTACGAGGCAGGCAACTTCAGGTGATTGTGAAACTGGCGAACATCGTATTGACACCGGAGAAGCCGGTATACGAAGGCGGGACGTGGCATGTCGAAGGTTCGACTACCGGAGAATTGGGTGACCCGAGACTGACTTGTGTATTGCATACAGGGATGGACAACGAGGCTATCGTGTCAACTTTCATATACGTGCGTGCCTCCATTTTATTTGCGATACTTGGATATCTGATGTGCTTGTAGTACTACGCCTGTGAGAACATCACCGAGTCCACGCTGTCCTTCCGCACTGCGACGCACGAGCCGGAGTACCACGCCCAGTACGACTACTACTGTATGAAGTATCTCTACGGCATCAAAAAGCAAGTCCCTATTCGACCTGCCCTTGCTTCGCAGACTGACCCACCACAGCGACGAACCTTGCGTACAAGTAGTCGGTCGAGCTGTCACGAAACAGCATCGATGCCTCGCCTTCCCGAACCTCTACCAGCATCTAGTTTCGCCCTTCCGCCTCAAAGACGGGACGAAATCGGGCCACCGCAAGATCCTCGTCTTGTTCCTCGTCGACCCCAACGTCCGGGTTCCCTCCGCATCGGACGTCGGACCGCAGCAAGCAGCGTGGATCCGTTCTGCACTGGAGAGCACTCAGCTGTGGCAACGGCTGCCCACTGAACTCCAGGATATCATATGGGAGCAGGTAGACGCCGTGTCCGACGAGGAGGCGAAGAAGTATAGAGAGGAGCTCATGAAGGAGCGGACGGCATTCGTGCACACGGTGGATGGACAGAGATTCGGGCATCCGTTTAGTCTATGGTATGTCACTCTCGTTTCATGCGAAGGCCGCTGTCTGATGCTAGCCGCATCACTAGCGAGCATTGATGATAGTAGAGATCCGCCGATTGAATTGAATAGGGTACGGGAAGCAAGCTGACTGCGTGCGCGTGGTTGTATAGTATGACCAGGAAGGTGTAACCACGCATTTGGTCTTGTTCAAGAGCATTCTTCCGGGGAACTTTCCGCGACCTTGTCAGCTTACACCGATTTATCCCGTCTCAGAAGAATAGGCCTGTCAACAACGTCGTTACGCGTAACTGGGTTCGATGAGCGACTTGAATGCAGTGCCACGTGACCGCGTCGCGGTTGGACGCGGCAGTGGCGGCGAGGCTGACACGGAACGTTGGTCGCGGTCAGATCCCTAATGAGACCATGGCCAATAGGTTGGCACCGTCGTTGGGGGTATATAAGGCCCACGAGCAGAGACTGACCCCTCATTCTCCCTTCCCTCCTACCACCACTTCCTCCGCCTCCCGTCCCTTCTCCGGGCTCGAGGCTGTCGTCTTCGGCCAACATAGTGAGTTACCCTCCATCGAGACCTCACTGTATGCTCACCGTCTGACATACAGATGAAGGTGAGTGACCTTGGTTCCGTCTCGGTTGGTGGTTCGCGGCTCGGCTCCCCTATGTCCACCCACTCATCGCGCCTGTCCTCCCCTTCCACCTGTCCACGCACCATCGCCCATGTACTGTCTCGGTTTCCGGTTCGGGTTCGGGTTCTTGTTGCGGCAGCGCCGAAAGGCTGCTGTCCGCTCGCCCTCGCGCCGAGAGGCTGCGTGTGGCGTCGCCCCCGTGCCGAGAGGCTGCGGGAGGCTATCGGGTCTGTGTCTCGGGTCACCGTCCCCCACCTGTATCTCCTCCTCACTCATGTCGACCCATGCTGCCTGTCCATATACCCCCGCTCCTGTATTCGTAGGTAGAAATCTTGTGATGCCTGTGCAGTCTGTACCATTGACGGGTCGGGCACGCTCCAGTCGGCGCGTGTCAGCCGTCGGAGGTACAGACCGCGAGCACGCTGTAGATTACTGGGGTTCACTCACGGATTGCTGATACATATCCTTGCGAGCGAGCATGCATCTTGTGGAATAATCATGAGCTACATAGAGTGCCACGAGCTGCAAGGATCCATACCAAGGCTGAAGCAGAATCTAGTAGTAGTATGGCAGACTCTTGCAGGCGAGCGGCCCTTCGGACAGGGACGAGACTGTTGGACATTCATTAGTATGCGAGTACTACTGTCCTATCGGTATCATACAAGACAACTACTATAGTGGTGGTCTAGAAGTCTATGGCGAGTCGTGAGTCGTGAGTTTACGTTGCCACGTCGTGTGAGTAGCCTCCTGAGCGCTTCTACGTCCACTTCGTCCCCTTCTTTTCGACGAGGAAATGTCTCCCGATACAAGTGACCCCGGAACCAAGGATCATCACGACCTGCATCTCGTCAGTCCGCGAATGACGCGCCGCTGCATACTGAGACTTACCGCGCTGAACACGATAGGCTTGGGCCAGTGCAGAATGGTGCCGTGCCCGAGGAGTGCTCCATCGATGGGCGACCCAGTCAGCATGGCTAGCGAGGTAAAGCAGTAGCCAAGGCCCATCTGGATTCTGCGAAGCGAAGCATTGAGAACGCAGACGAAAGAGGTGAACAGGCAAAGACATACCCAAGCTCTTCAGGTCTACTTGCCAGCACGGCGAACACGCTCGGGACAAGGGCAATGTCTACGAGACCCAGGCTTAGCACAACGGACGAGCACGAAAGCAAGGAGCTGTCACGCACATCCGCCCGAGAAGAACCCGTACAAGATCGAGAAGATGATGACAGCGGCGGTGTTTGTCACGCCGAACATGACGAACACGAGCACACCCATTGTTAGGGAGACGGGGATCACGACGTTGAGGGTTCCGAAATAGTCGGCGAGTACATTTGGGATGATCCGCCCTGGGACGGAGGCGGCATTCAGGATGGCGATCTGAGGACGCGTTATTCAATTTGTACCGTCGTTCGCTACGACAGCATTTGACACTGCGTACCGTATAGAAAGCCAGGGTACTGGAGAGCCCATGCAGATTGAGCCAGAGCTGCAGGTAGAAGTCTGTCGGAGGACCGATGAGATTCGACGGCATAGAGACTCGTTCGGACACTCACAGGGCATGAACAATCCCCAGTACACAAGGAACACTCTGCAGTGTCATCAGCGTCCATGTCGCCTGACTATATGCGTCAAAATGACTCACCCGAAGACCGTGAACACGAATGACGGGTCCGTCAACGACCCCAATATGTCCGGCTTCGGCTGCTCCGCCCTCTCCTTCGCCCCAGGCACCCGCGTCCGCATCAAGAGCTGAGCGATCACCAGCAGGCCGAAGGACAAGAACCCCGACGCGCGCACGCCCCATGCGAAGCCTACCGCGTCGGCGCCGCTGATCAGGCGATTCAGCATGATGGGGAAGATGATGCCGCCACACCCGGAGCCGGTGACGACGAGACCGAGCGCCATGCTCCGCCGCTTCTTCCAGTAATGGCCCTGGAGCGAGAGAGCGGGCACGAGCATGAACCCGCCGCCGACGCCCATGCCGATGCCTTGTGCGAGGAGGAGTTGGTAGTATTTCGTTGGGTCTGCTAGGGAGAGCATGAAGAGGCTGGTCGCATGATGTCAGTAGCTGGTGAAACTTGTAGAACTAGTCGTACGCACCAGAAGAGATACAGTATGCTCCCGAAGAGGAGTTCCGAGTGGAAGTAGCCGGCGTCGAAGAGTCGCCCGGCGGGGAAGCCCACCAGGAAGATGAGGCAAAGCTGCAGAGAGCCGATCCAGCTGATGTTGGACGACGTAGAGGTACCTGCGAGCACGTAGTAGTCTTGGAAGACTCCGAATGAGCTCGCATACCCGAACGTGCAGAACGATATGAACGCCCTACGTGTTCATGAGCAAGGCAGACGCTAGAGCAATAGGAACGTACGCACCCGCCAATGGTGGCACACCATGCTTGCATCCCGCCATCGGGTATGTGATCCAGAGACTGCGAGACGTCCGCCTCAACATCGGGCTTCTCTTTCGGTAGCGACTTTGCAGAGTCGAGTTGGTCAAGCTGGACGGAATTCGTCGTGGTATGGTCTTCCAAAGACCCAGTAGAGGCCATTGCGGCGGGATTCATAATATTACAGTGAGGAATCCCGCATGGTGGTCCTTAAGAACGCAATGGCAAGCGGGCGAAATGCGTCGCCACAACGTTCCGCGGATGGGCCTGGTCCAGCGACCGGCAGCCCGCGCTGCTGTAGCGGAACGCCAATCGTGCCGCCGGAGAGATGGTTCGGAGGTATTCCGCACAGCCTGGCGGGACATTGAAGGCGACGGAAGACATATGGGCGGAAAGCGTCGAGCGAGGCCCGGAACAGCAAGGTCGGGGACCGCTGGAGATCTATCTGTCGTGGGATATTTACGGTGCCGCTCCGGGTCGTCGTTGCCTCGGAGAGTCGACCTTGAATAATAGTTGACAGGCCTCCTCCTGGTCTTCGGTCGTCGCAAGGTGCACAAGCCGCTTCAAAGCTCGTCAATAGCATGGTGAGAGAGAGAGTCAGAGGTACTCGCCCATTCAACCCGGCGCAAGGTGCGCCTCGACCGGCAGCTGCCGGGCCGCGATCGCGATCGAGGTCTGCTCGAGCGGAATCCAGCCTTCCCGCGTCGCCAGCCACACGGGCAGCCCGTCCGCAATCCGTGCGGACTCGGAGGGCCTTCTTGCCTCGGACTCCTCTACGTCTCCTAGACCAGGCGAGCCGTTCTAGGCTGGACGCCTCGGACCCCCGCCCTCAAGGCTTCAGACTTCAGTGGTCCGAGCAAGTTCCCGGGCCCTTGGCAATCACGGACATGCACCATGTACGTGACGCCCTGGCAGACTTGCTATGTACTAGTCGTGGCACACAAACGGCATTAAGGGGACGCAAGCTTGGTAGGTCCACATAGCCTCTGCTCAAGAGATGGAAAAGATACTGTATGTCTAGCAGAGGCGGTGTAGCGTAGCGTCCTGTTCGCGCTGATTCAGGTGTAGTCGCAAAAGCAAGACATACGAATTACCGAGGATCCACGACGTCGACGCGGAATGCCGAACATCGATATCACACATACAAGTAGAATCAGCTTGATATCCTTCAAAGCCTCGTAACAGACCAAAGCAGCATCCGGTAGGTAGCAATCTCAGGCAACTCCACGCGCTTAGCTTCATTCGCCCACTTCACCGCGTCCATCTGCATCAGCTCCCGCGCCTCTTTCAGAGCTACCTGGACCTTCACCTTGCCCTTCGCGAACACATTTCCGTCCCACAGCCCTCTCCAACTCTCCGGCGAGTGGCAGAACATCTGCTGCCCATTGCGCATCGCGGAGCGCTCCGTCCACAGGCCTTTCTCGGGCAGCCCAGCGTGCATGCCGAAGATCATGGATCCGGGCACGGGCGAGAGCAGCCCTGCGAGCTTGCGCGCGAGCTCGAGCTGCTTCTCCTCGGTGAACAGGTGGAAGAACGAGGAGGCGTGGATCACGGAGACGTGCCCGTTCAGCGGCGTGAGTGTCTTCAGGGAGGCGAGCGCAGGTGCCGGCGTGGCGGGCGGCGAGTCGAGAACCGGGCCACTCTCGAAGAAGGCTGATTCGAAGGCATCGCCACCAAGAAAGTGGGCAGGAAATTCGTTTGCGGTAGTCTTGAAGAGCTTGTGACCGAGGTCCCAGTACTCTGTCAATGGACTCGGTCAAGTTCTATGTTTGCTTAGTCATACGAACAAGCCTACCCGGGTGCAAATCCGACCCAATGGCGTTCTCAGTGGGAAAGCCGTCGGCCACAGCCTTCCTGACGTCAACTCCGACTAGGCAGCCAAGAGCGTCAATGATGCATATGTCCGATAGCGTAGTAGATGAGGCGGGCATACGTACAGCAACATCCTATATCGAGCAGGATAGCGCCCTCGCGCTCCTTCCCCAGCTTGATAGCTTGTTCGTACGCAGGGATACGGCTTGCTACGAGCCTTAAGCCATTTGCACCGGTCAGCACGTAACACACGACGGATCCGTACGTGAGCAACGCACTTCGTGAAGGCAAACGCCCTGATGCAAGTGTACGGTGTGACCTGTGTTAGTCGAATTCATCAGTATGCTCCGGAGGTAGTAGCCAGAAAACGCGATACTTGCCTTCAGAGCGTCCGCCTGGACACTCATTATGTGCTGCTTCAGTTCTTCCTCATCCGTGATCCCCGTCTGAGCAGTGAAGAACGCGAGTTCTTCCGGATGAAGATAGTAGAGCTTCTCGTAGAAGGCACGGTCTGCCGGTATGCTATCTGCGGACATACTTGTCAATGTTCTTGTAGCTTCGCTTCAGTGAAAGCCGGGAGGAATGATATCGCCCCTCCATCTCCCCCCGTCGCACCTTTTAAGTGCGCACAGGAGCGCCGCTCGCACATCATCCCTTACTGTGTGTGGTCGGCAGGATCCCCAGGCCCGGGAGTGCGGGCGTAGCATGCCAAGATGTAAGCCGCCGTGACGGTGCGCGGGGCATTCTCCCTCGGCACTGTCGATCATTGGCCGTGGGCCGGTGACGCTGGCTGACTGTGCAAGAGGTCGTCCTCAGGCCTATGCTATTTGTGGAAGCCCGAGACGGCCTGGAGAATCTGTGTGGATAGGTGATGCACTGTTTCGAGAATCGGTCGTGATCGAGCTTCGTCCGTTGATACAGCGGGTCGGGGACGGTATTACTGTATACCGACGAGCTGGACGACACGCAAGGCTTTAGGCAAGCTTGGTGCATACAAGAGCTTACCACAGGCATAATCATCATACTTGATGCACTCGTTGGAAATCATGACCTCAAGATTCTGCACTCTGGATTGCGAGCTGGCAGCGAGGCACCTTGAATTCAAGCAAGGTGCAGGAGACACGGCTCACAGCCCGAGTACTGTCAGCAATCGTGCATAGTCCGGTGTCCCCAACCCCGTCACCTACATGATGGTACCCAACATTAGCCACGAGCGCGCGATGCGTGACGACGACGTACCGGATCCCACCCTACCGCCGTCTCGAAACCAGTCGTAAAGTTAGAACACGCGAAGTTGTTCCCCGTTGTGATATCCGTCAGCCCCTGCCAGCCCTCCGCGTACAACCACGGGTTCAGCCACCCGAGGGCCGGGCGCCCCGCCGCCAATAGCGCGTCATTCACGAGCGCGACCACGCTTGCGAACGTCGGGCTCGCGCAGCTCGTCCCGCTGACGGGTATGACAGCGCCTTCCACGACGATGGCGAAGTCCACCGCGTATGCGGCTACGTCTGGGAAGCCCCGCCCCGACGCGTTGTACAGCCCGGCATCGGTTGGCTCGGATCCATAGGAGGCGAGGTAGTTTGGAACGGTGAGAGACTGGAAAGAAGGCCGTGCCCAGTAGTTGGAGAATCCACCACCAGAGAAGTTGACAGCCGTCTGGGGAATGTCGACCGTACCACCGACGGAAGTGACGCTGTCCAGAGGCACTCGTTATAGGTTGATCGATGATAGGAAGAGGACCAGTGGGCTTACTATGGACACCCGGATGGGAAGGTCGGTAAGAACGTTGTACACCCATCGGCGGGATAGTGGCCTCCAGAGACACCACCGTCTCCAGACGCGAACAGGATCGATACACCCCGGGCGCCAAGCTGCGCGTATGTATTGCAGAGGTTACTGCAAGATGAAAGTCAGTGAGAGACCCAAATATGCCGCAACAGACCATCCACGTACTACGCCAGTTTCTCGGAGACCGTGTATTCATCGATACCATAGCTCGTTGTCATGACTTGGGGCGGATCCTCGAGTCCGATCATGTAAATTGCCGTGTCGAGGAGCGCGTCGGTGAAGTCTGTTACGTCTGAACCTCCACCAACAGAGATGAACGTCACGGGTGCATCTGTGGCGAGACCGACAGTATATTGGATATCCAGATTCTGTGATATTTGCATCAGATCGTCGAGTCAGTCGGCCAAGGCGAGAGGTCAAGCGTACCGCCTCTATTCCCGCACTTCCGTTCTGCGGGTCAATACCCCCGTCAAGAGTGACGAGGTTGTACGTCGTGGAAGGCGACATATCCGGGCGGGCATCCTCCAGGAAAGTCTGACAGCAATGCTTTGTTCAGCAGCCCGTCTGGGGACAGAGGATAGTGCAGACCGACCATCAAGTCTGCACGTTGCGGCCACTGCCCAACATATCCGGCGACAGCTATCGCAGATCCATGCGTAGCGGGTGTAGTCGGCAGGCTGTACAGAGACTGAAGGCACGCCGGCGTGATGCCAGAAGTATTCGCGCAAGGTCCCGCAGTATCGTTCAAAATTGACCGCCGTTCCGGAACCTGTGGGAATCCTACTAGCGGCGGAGTGCCGTTTGGGTCCGGGAACCTGCACATGAAATAATTATGCATACATGTGTACTGTCATCCAACACACGATTTTAGAGTATTGCTTACGAGATAGTGGGATGAACAAAGTCAAGGTGTCCCAACAGGTCCGTCGGGATCGAGTACGAGAGCGTCCGGATGGTCTGTTTCTGGGTACCAGCGTGTGTGAAGACGGAGTACTGAGCACCCAGGAGGTCATTCGCCTTGCTGACAGGCACCTGAATCGAAAGCCAATCGCCTGCGGGAGATATGACATTGCTAGAGATGTCATTGTCATTCAGCCAGGTCTTCACCGCTGTGACACTTTCAGCCGTGGGCGCGACGAAAGCTTCGACCTACGGATAACGTCAGATCCGCAAGTCAATGAGTCTAGTCTTACCTCTTCCTTGCTGAGATGGTTACCGTAGTTCGCGTTTTCCGGCGTGCTGACGTCGTACAAAGCGTCCACCAACCCAGCGGGATCGCTCTGCACCAAAGCCAGCCGAAGGCTCAACAAGGCATCTGGCGAAGCTGGGCTTGTATATGCATAACCGCTCGGTGCGTTAGCGCGAGACTCGTGTACTTGCAGATCCCGCGCAAACGGTTTGGCGAACACTGGTAGTAAGACCAGTAAGGGCACCAGGACGAAGGAGAGCATGGTGCTGATCCTTAGGGTGCTTCGAGGGGTACTGGTGGACGACTGTGTTGTCTATCTGCAGTTGTTATATAAGTGCACAGGACATGCTCTAAGACGCCCTATCGTGGATGAGAACTCACCAGATGGATGCATCCCACGAAGAAGTTATTTGTGTCTGGCGAAGGTGTTTTGTGCACGGTACCGATTCTGTCATTTACAGGTATGACGTCCGGTTGAGGTGAGCAACGCGGCTCTCTGCTGTAGAAATGTACGAAAAGCATGAGCAGGAATCGTGCAGGAACTGAGCGGACTCACGGAGTAGTATGTATGCGTCAGCGACACATGGCGGCCGGTCTTACCCCTCGAAGTTCTTGAGAACATAGCACACCGAGGTGAAGATAAGCGAGTGAATCACGGGGCATATTGTGTTATTTCTGTCAGGAATGCAACCTGAGCTGACATTCAAGTCGCAAGCAAGGGTACTAAGTACTAGTACTATGCCAACACACATAGCGCGTACTCGGACAACGACCCGGCGGTCACCGAGACGGGCGCGCGACATTGGCTGCCCTGAAGTCGACACGATCACGTGCGGTATGTTCGCGTGCACTCGTAGTTCGTCGATTCGAACTTGGCTGATACAGTCCCACCTAATGATCAGCATTGTCCATGGCTATCTGTGAGCATAGTTTTACACGAGAAGCACCTCCAGTCCGTCACAAAAGAGTCCGAAGCCCCAGAAAGTATTATAAGCCCAATATCGCCTTCAGCTTGGCATAGTTCGGCGTGCCCAGTCCGGTCACCTACAGCGTACCCGTTAGTCCGAGATGTACGGCGGTGCACTCAAGAGACATACAGCATCCCAACCCGTCGTGGCATTGAAGCCTGTGGTGAAGTCCGAGCAGGCATAGTTGTTCCCAACCGTAATATCACTCAGCGCTGATGCAGCCGATGAATACAGCCACGGGTTCAAGAAACCTAACACTGGCCGGCCGGCTGCGATGAGTTCGTCGTTGAGCAGTGAGATAACGCTCGCAAAAGTAGGGCTCGAGCAACTGGTTCCGTCCACACCGGTTTCGAAGCCATCGATGATGATATCGAAGGCGACGGAGTACGCTGCGACGTCAGGGAATGCACGTCCGCTCGGGTTGTACAGCCCCGCATTGGTGTCGCCAAGATATGCCAGATACTCGGAGACCGCAGCTTCTTGGTAAAATGGTCGGTCGAAGAACGTCGAGAACCCTCCACTAGAGAAGTAGACGGCCTCTTCGGGGATATTGACTGTTCCGCCGACCGAAGTGAGACTGCGGCGATTCAACTTCAGCAGGTCGTACAGTGACGTGAGACAAACGGGTGACTTACTATGGGCAGCCGGAGGGGAATGTCGGCAAGAACGTCGTACACTCTTGGAAGTGCAAACCAGAGACCCCGCCGTCGCCGGAGGCAAACAAAACTGAGACGCCACGCGCGCTCAATCCTGCGTAGATGGCACACAGAGAGCTGCATGCAATCAAACCAACGGGTCAGTCATCATCAGACATCTGCTACGCATAGGGAGTTGATGCACACATTGCCAGAGTCTGAGAGATGTACTCTTCGTCGTCGCCATAGCTCGTAGTCATCACCTGCGGAGGAAATGGCAGTGCAAGCACGTATAATGCCGTATCGAGTAGCGTCTGTGCGAACTCGTCATCCGTGGGATCGTCATTTGCACCGACAGAGATGAACGTGACAGGCACGTCCGTAGCAAGACCGATTGTGTATTGCGTGTCAAGGTTCTGTACAACATGAATCCTGTCAATCATGCGACACCGACGTCACTAAGAAGCAACACACCGATTCGAGTCCTGCATCATATTGACCCTGTGGATCCGAGCCATTGTCAAGCGTTATGAGCGTCCAACTCGTAGCAGAATCGATATCCGGGCGATATTCGGCCAAAAAAGCCTAGTGCACGAAGTTAGATTTCCTCATAGCAACATGCATACTTGAGCTACACATACGGAGAGATCCGCCTCTGATGGCCATTGCTCGACGTAACCTGTCACAGCCAAGACATTATCCTTACTCGTTGCAGGAGTCGTCGGGATGCTATACAACCACTGCAGACATGCTGGAGTGATTGAGTTGACGTCACACGGACCCGTGTGGCCATCCCGAGTGCCAGTGAGGCCGGACGAGGAGAAATTCGTGATAGGCATGTAACCGTACGGGTTCGGGAACCTGCCATTCAGAACATTCAGTCTATGTCCATGCAGTGGTTCGAGAGGAGACGCACGATACCGTGGGGTGCACCAAAGCAAGGTGATCCGTTAGGTCGGTAGGGATAGAATAGGCAAGTGTTCGCACAGCCTGCTTCCCCGACGCAGAGTGGGTGAAGATGGAAAAGTCCGCGCCGAGCAAGTCATTGGCCGTGCTGACGGGCATCGGAACCGAGAGCCAGTCGCCAGCCGCAGATATGACTTTTGATTGCAGTCCGTTCTCGCTCAGCCACGCATTGACGGCAGAAATACTCTCAATTGTCGGCGCCATGTACGTTTGTACCTGAGGGACGTGCAGAATATAAGATGGTGTGACAAATGCACGAGTGATAAATACTACTCACGCCCTCCTTACTGAGCCATTCGCCATAGTTTGCGCTCGAAGGCATGCTGACGTCGTATAAGGCGTCGATGAGCCCGTCATAGTCACTCTGGGTGAGGGCAAGGCGGAAAGTGAGGACGGTATCAGGGTTGGCTGGTCCCGTGAGCGTATACCCCGACGGGGGGCTCGGTCGCGACTCCTGCACTTGCATGCTACGCCGCGCGGGGTTTCCCGAGGAGAGTGCAGGCAACAGCAAGCCAAGCAGCAGAGACAAGGAGAGCATCTTAGAAGCTGTCGTACGCTCAGAGTCAGGGAGCGCGAGGCCGTATGAGACGCGGGATGACGGCCCATTTATACCGAACTAGACTGGGCACCGAAGGAAGCAAGCGATACTGCTGGCGAACGTTCAGCGTTCCCTCTGCCGGAGAAATCGATCAGCAAGCTAGGCCCAAGCCGGACCACGAAAGCAGGGGCCAATGGATAGATCGAAGTGTGCAGGTCGATGAGTACATCAGTAAGCGACCTTCGGCGTCGACGAACGTAATGGTGCCAATCAAGCTGACACTGGTACTAGTGTCAATCAAACGATAGAGGTAGCGCAATGTATACTGTACAAGGCGCATTGAGTAGGCTGGTCACGAGCCTACACATTGAGCAAGGATTAGGCTTATCGGATCCGGATCCGAGGCTGTGGCACTGGCAGAAACGGAGTGAACGAGCCTTGTGGGATGGACAGCGGGAGCCATTACTTGATGTGGTATTGTCGAACAGTACGCTTCTGCCTACGGCTTTGCCTCGATCACCAAAACTTACATTTGCAAAGGACGGACATCCGCACCCGTCCTGGGTTCTGCCCTGGGTCCGTGATGGTTAAAGTCTGGAGCCTCCCGCACAACGCACGCCTCTCCAACGAATTGTCGTCCTCAAGCCAGGAAGACAGTAAACATGGTGAACATCGCATGTATCATGACCGATCGGGGGTCATATTGCACTCACCATAAGACAGTAGGATTTGTGACAGCTCAGGACTTCTCATGCCTCGGCCCTCGATGTCGGACGCCGAATGTAATCAGAGGGAATACATGCATATGGTTACCCAATCGCGGTCACATGAGAAAGATAAACAGTCCTGTCCACGAAACTAGACGCGCTTATCAGTCGAAGAAGACAGCTCTTGGGACAGCGGGCTGTGCTCACCTGAGTCATGAGGCCTTCTCCTTCCTCGATGGGTACGCAGGTAATGCTAGAAACACCAAAGAACTACGATGTTCAGTGGCCGTGTCGGCACCTTGCTGGAAATGAATGAAAGCTTGATCCTCGCGCCCCGCTGAAGGTCTTCGTCTACACGGCGGCGAAGGAGCCCCATTATCTATGCAAGATCGGGAAATATGATAACGTTAGCAGCCTAGAGGGATCTCTCATTGTGGGTCAATCTCGTACTGCTCGTGTGCCAGGGCGGTCTTCATGTGCAAGGTGATATTGGGGTTCGAGCAAACACGACAACATCCTATCCATCCTCAACACAGCTCCGAGTTTGGATAGGTCAGATGCTTGTAAAATGAGAGTAGAGCGGGATAACATACGCAGCCATGTCCACATCGGTACTTCCGATTCAACTTCTGTATATGTTTATGCGGGACCAACATATAACCAGCGTCGTGATACTTGTGGTCCGGGAAACAGGAGGTTTGGTTCACGCTAGTATGCCTCGAGTCTGCCTGTACGTCGACCGGGGACCTTGAGATGACCTACCGCATACCAATTTCAGACTGTGACTCGCGTGCGTCTTCGCCGCCCAGTCTTGATGGGCAGCTCAGATAGCCATAGGGAGATGAGTAGCTGACGCGTTTGAGGCGGTCATCCCGAGACACTGGTACCAAGTCGCCGAAGGAGGTTGGCACGCCTATCTGTCCAGTAGCGTCTCGCCGCAGGCGAGGCTATCCGCGGCATATGCGGTCCGTCATTGATCACCCTGGCAGATCTTCTTAGTTCGTACACCGGATTGAATGCAACATCGGGGCTCTACTGGTAACTTACATGGTGGTCAATGCTGGCACGTCGAGCACCCGGGACGTTGATTCTGCACAGTACGCAGGTATATGATTAATATCGCCCAACGCCTTTGTACAACGATGTGCTACGTACCACCCTCCTCCTGCCCAAGTTTCGTCCAGCTCACCGCCAGGAGCTCGGGACTGCAGTCACTGCACATCCATTAGCTACGACATTGCCGCATGCCGCGAACTGATGTAATCTCCTGTCTCTGCTCTTCAGAACGTAGGGTCAAGCCTAGAGAGAAGGCAAGATCATATGAATACACACTCGGTTCTTCAATCTGAATGGAGAGAGGACTCGAGGGCCAGGGAATGGGCCGGGCGTGATCATGGTGATGCGGCGCCGTCGCGCGATGTCGCATGTCACGGTGTGACTGTCACAACGTACGCAGCCTGCAGTGGGTTGACGTTCAAGTTGCGGGAGTCTCTCACTTGCTCTCACTCAGCTTCGATGCCAATATAGACACTAGTAACCATGACCTCTCACTGCTCACTTGCGCCGTCATCACAGACTTGGCACGAACGGAATACAGTATCCCAACGTCTCCACTGTGCTCTAATTGTCCTCATTATCAAAGTTGCGGAGCCGGTTTCTAGCTCTAGTCGCATGCATATACTTCCTCTCCGCATTTGGAAGCCATGTCTGGAGTCTACGGTGGTCATGCTGTTCACCTTTTCACCGGAACCTGCAAGCTGCCGCGGCCACGATGTCTAGGTTGACTGAATCCGAGTCAGCAAGACCGACAACACGGCGAACGTACAGGTCGTAGTAAGTACCAGGGTCGATCGTACATATATCGACTGTCAGTGTTTTTAACATACTCTGTGATGCGTAAACTACTGATCGTACAGGACTGGCATCGCCGAGCCCTCATAGTGGTTGTTTCGTTGAATTAGCATTACTGTCAACAATCACGGTCGCTGCTACTGATGTGGCGGTCTATACCACCGACGGCTGATACGCACCGACTGGAGCATGTCAGACCCGTCAATGGTACAGACTGCACAGGCATCACAGGATTTCTACCTACGAAGACAGGAGCGGAGGTATGTGGACAGGAAACATGGGTCGACACATGAGTGAGGAGGAGATACAGGTGGGGGACGGTGACCCGAGACACAGACCCGATAGCCTCCCGCAGCCTCTCGGCACGGGGGCGACGCCACACGCAGCCTCTCGGCGCGAGGGCGAGCGGATAGCAGCCTTTCGGCGCTGCCGCAACAAGAACCCGAACCCAGACCGGAAACCGAAACAGTACATGGGCGATGGTGCGTGGACAGATGGAAGGGGAGGACAGGCGCGATGAGTGGGTGGACATAGGGGAGCCGAGCCGCAAACCACCAACCGAGACGGAACAAAGGTCACTCACCTTCATCTGCATGACAGACGGTGAGCATACAGTGAGGTCTCGATGGAGAGTAACTCACTATGTTGGCCGAAGACGACAGCCTCGAGAGTCGAGCCCAGGGAAGGGACGAGAGGCGGAGGAAATGGTGGTAGGAGGGAAAGGAGAGATGACGGAACAGTCTCTGCTCGTGAGTCTTATATACCCCCGCGACTGTGCCAGCCCATTGGCCACGGTCTGATTAGGATTCTGACCGCGACCAACGTTCCGTGTCAGCCTCGCCGCCACCGCCGCGTCCAACCGCGACGCGGTCACGTGGCATGCTCACCGAGTCCGAATATTGCGAGAACGTCTGAACGACTGGGACATACGTCCCGGGGACGCGTCCCGGGGACGCTCTGCGGGACGTCCCGCGGGACGCTGTCACACTGACTGATTTGAGTAACAGGGGCTACTATTTCAGGAAGTCCTCCAATAACTTATGTACTCCCCGTTTCCGTGTACAACGATCGTTGTGTATTGAGTAATTACACCATCTAATCTAGCCTCACGGTTTCAAAACAATGGGTGTCGTTCAAGGTAACTAAATACAAGAGCCTATGAGTAGTGCCTGTGGTATGCTTACATAATCATCTCCGTCACGTAGCGCGCCACTATGCCTGGCCTCCGTGACGCCTTCGTAAATCTCAGTCAGTAAGTGACTAAGTCAGTCGATATGTATATCTAGACACCTAGCTGACCGGTGAATTGTCTTTCTGGCCCTCAATAATGACAATGTCAAAGCTGGTCAAAGTGGGAGGTAAAGCGATGATGGTGGCCGGCCACTCACGGTGCTGTGACTGACTGTGACGTCTCGCGTCTCGCGTCCCTCGTCCCCGGGACGAATGTCCCCGTGGTTCCGACTTTCTGCGTGCTTCACTGGGGAAGGTAGGGCAGATCAGCTGGCAGAGTTTAATGCGCTCAATAGGTCTCGTGGACAGATCAAATCGTAAAATGTCTTCACCGTAGCGCGCCGCTCTGCCAGAGCAATCGTAGGTTGGAATCCGAGGCAACGAATGTGACGTTGCAGTACTAGTCCGGTCGGTCGTGGGATACGTGGGACTAACCACGAGCACTGGCCTACGTAAGAGGGCGGGCGAAGACGCAACGGCTGCCACAGGTACCCCACGCGGGACTCTGAGCAAGGTAAAGCACGCACCCGGGGTGGTCGAGAGGATGCAAAGAGGCGACCCGTGGCCGTGCCCAGTGTATAGCGGTGGGCTCGCGAGAAAGTGGTCCGTAGCCTGAGAACCTCGAAGTAAAAGAACTTGAAATCTTCGCGAAGAGTCATGACTTACTTCGCAACAAAGGTTTCAATGCTCGCACTGTACCAGGTGCACCAGCAGTACCGCTCAACGTGAATTGACGCTTTCCAAACGGTGGCAAACAGGGATGCAGGCGTCCGCTGTTCACCCTGCGGGTACATAGCGCGTCGCAGCCTGTCTCTCATGCCAGATGAACACCTCGGTGCTTCTTCGACTCCAAAGTGGGTATGATAACGGCCTGACGATCAGCGTGCCCATTTAAAGAGGTCAACCGAAGCATACTCTAAGCTTTGCTCTCCGCGACGACGGCCAGGCGCGCGCTTATCGCCCATAAAACAAGCTGACTCGCACGCACGGATGCATCCGCGTCATCGGAGCCTGTACATCAATATCATTCTACGAATTCAATTAGCATGCGCAGTGGACTTTGCTCGCAGAGACACGGTGCGTGGGTGTTTTGCGAGGACTCACTTGAAGCTGGCCTTTGTATATGGGAACGCGCGGTGCAATGTCTCCTCGAGGATTGGCTTCCATACAGAGTGCGTCACCCGGCGCCTCGAGGGATCAATGTGATGTTCTTTCGTATGTAGACATGGCTAGACCTATGTGCTTCCGCCGGCAGTGAACCCAATCCACACAATACAAGTGGAGATGAGCTCTGGGCTCCGGTCGAGATCCCTGCCACATATGTGCACCACATACACTAAGGAGGCAGGCACATCACTTCGCGGCGGCCAGCGATCGCCAGAAATAGTACCGATAGCAGCGGTTCGAAGAAGCGTAGCGAGCAGTCGGTGGAGCACGCAATGGGAAGAGGGAAGAGGAAGCGAGGCGAGTGCTGCATCGTAAATGGCGAAGCACGCGCACATGCATGCAGAAACGCTCTGCGCGATGTTCGCGGCTTCTACCGGCGCCCAGGCATAGCAAGAATGCGGGATGCAGTATGCCGGTGGAGCGAGCGTGAGCGCGTCGCAATGTCCATGGGCCCGTCGAGGATATCATTGCGGCGGCGAAGACGAGAACGTCGGGTGGAACGCTGGGACGTGCTGCGGAGGAAGCGTCGCCGCCGCCGTGAACTCACTGCAGTGCAGAGCACCGCGGCACGCTGCACCGCAACGAGAAGCCGAGACATGGAAGCGATACCGACCTGCTATCACGGAAACGACGTCGCAGCTGCATAACGAGGGTGGAACCACAGCGTTTCCGCATCAGGCATAGACACAGACGATATCAAATACGGTCTGGGCACTGCGTCTGCGAGAGCTGGCGGGGTATTCGCGGCGATGCAGCCAACACAGCGATCCGTCATATAGGCACCAGGGCGCTGCAGGACTCGCAGGGACAAGCCAGAAAGCCAAAATGGCCCTCGCCGCCTTTGCATCTCGCGTGTCCGCTCGACATGGCATATCGATGGTGTGCGGAAGCGGCGGAGGCAATATTGCGGTGGACCGAGGTATCGCACCTAGTAACGCCGGCGAGGTGGTATATCTGCGACAGGCTTCGGATGGACGTTACGGTTATGTCACCGTGTCTGATGTGTGCTTGTTGCTGTGAGGCTCCCACCCGCGGGCCTTGTTTTGCACTCGGTGCGTGAGGTGTTGACCCGAGGTGACACCGAAAGATGCAGGTCATAACGAGATGTACATCAGAGTGGATTCACTTACGAGCGGACTGCAACGCACATGTTGAGCGGACATCTGCGCGTCCAGAGGTTCTTAATTTTTCGCGGTAGAGGCGTGGGTCTGTACGCGCTCCGGGAAGGCTCGCTACGCGCTAGGGAACCTGCGAAGGGGCGGTGGCGGAGGCGCCTGGTGGATCGACTGTCTCCGGGGCCGGTGCACTGAATTGCGAAGCTGGTGGGCTGGCCGTATGCGGCGCAGATGCACGGCCAAGGGCTTTGTGGCGTCCCGCTAGAACTCGAGGAAGTCAAGGAGCAGAGAGATCCGCGCGTGGCTGGCCCAGAGGTGGCCGCAGAGAATGAGTGTTCGGCACGGATGTCAGTCGCGCCCGGCGCATCTTTCGGCGGCGTAGCGTCCATGCGGAGACGAACGTAACGAACGTGTGCGCGGTCAAGGGGCGGGGCCTGGCGCGACTGGCGATAAGAGGGGATAAGATTGGGATAACGTGAGGCAAATGAAGCTAAGGTGGAACGTAGCTGGCTGATCGAGACCGGCGCAGGAACGAGGATGTTGCCAGCGCGATGGGGAACATCGCTGCCGGACGCGCGAGGAGGAAGCGGACGCCGGTACGCATGGGCGATCGATGGCGAGATCTGGCGAAACATGCACCGTGGCCCGTCGAGGCCCTCGCTGACGTCGGTGGCAGACGGCAGCGAGACAAAAGCGAGCGAGGCGCAGTATCTGAGCCGGAAAGTAGGTTCGTGAGAGGCAGCAGAAGAATTGAGTCAGACATGCAGAACTTGCGGTAACTGAAAGTGAAAGGGAGACCGACAGCGGGAGGGCCGGATGCACGTGGCGCGGAGGATCGATGTGCGGGGCGCCCGGGTCGGGGTCCGACGGAGCGGCGGCCAGATTGGGAGTGGAGAGGGACCGTGGCGGGCAGCCGGAGCGCGAAAGAAAGAAAATACTTATACAGCGGTCGAGGCTGTTTTCGGCTGAACACCCATCCGACTCGGCGCACCCTTTGCGGATTTCTCCAACTCTATCCGCTGCCTCCTCCTGGTGCTCTCTGAGCCCGCGCAGCTCGCAGCTGCTTCCACTCCCCCGGTCTCGCCCAAACTCTGTCACGGCCCCGATCTGTCTTCCTCTTCCTCCGCCAACTCGTCTAATTAGCTGCCCGCCATGTCCTTCGTCCTCACAAGGCCCCCGTCTCCCCGCCCGGACATGCACCCCCACCCGGACGAGGACTCCCTCATCACCGCCCTCAACTCCGCCTTCCAGTCCCTCACCGCACCCACCCACGACTACGACCCCGCCATGCCCCACCGCGACAAGAAGGACAAGGACGGCCCCTACCTCGACATCGTCGTCACCTCCGACACCCTCGTCCTCCGCGGCACCGGCGTCGACGTCGACCCCGCCCTCCTCAGCGGCCATGTCGTCCTCCACCTCACCGAGCCCACTTCCATCAAGGAGATTACCCTCCAGTTCAGGGGCAAGGCCCGCCTCCCTGTGTCCTCCGCCGAACCGTGAGTCTTCCCTCTTCTTGGGACCCTCTTCTTGGCACAAACGGCTTCGAACGTCCGCTGTCCATGGCCCGACGTACGTCGGTTACGCTGCACGAGACGCGTCTGGGCAGCGCAATCATCGTGCGCGGTGCGAGGGTGCGGGTGGCCACTGTAGCGCTGCACTGTGCGGGCCGTATAACGCGCTTGGCCCGAGGTGGTACATCCACCGTCTGTTTCGTCCACCCGTCCCCTAACCTCCATCGTTTCGTCTTCCCGCCTCTGCGAGGATAGACGCGGCGTAAGTTGAATGCATTCGGATAGGTGGTGTGCATTACCGAATGCTGGAGTCCCCCTCGGGTCACACGACGCGCGATCTGCGCGGCGTGCCTGCCTGAGCGCGTTGCGGCCCGCGACTGTTTGACAGCACTTGCATCCGCGCTGCCCATCTTTCGCCGCTCTGTCGCTGCAGCTGATGCACGGCGCCATATGCTGCGCTATTCAGTATGGGCATCGAGGTCGAGGAGGGGATAGGGCGGCGAACACGCGGGTGGCGGATCCAACGGTCGAGCTGCGTCATACACACGCGCTTCCCACAATGGGCGCCTCAGTCGCGTCGCCGTCGCGTACGGCGCGCCATTCGAGCACAGGAGGCCTGCTGCCGTGTTGCCTGGACGAGCCTGAGTTGGGCATGACAGTGCATATCATTGGTCATATCGAAGCGGAGGTTGTTGGACGTCCATTTCATTTACTGCGCTGCTCAGCCATGACCAGCCTGGCTATCGAAGCCCGCCGCGTTGGACGTGTTACTCACGAGGAGCACCTATGCGTGCATCGCGATGCCTGGGTCCAAATATATGGACACCGGAACAGGCATTGCGGACATAACTTTAACTTCTTATGAGAACATGCACGGATGGCGTTCTCTTACTTTTCATGCAGCTCAATCTGGAGCACGTCTTGTCTCACGTCCGGGTTCATATTCACATAGAGCACCTGCTGACTTTGTACCTCCCGCAGATTGTCATTGAGTTCCTCTTCCCTTACGTACCTCGTCTGCAACCACGAGTGGTCCTTCCTCGAGGGCAACCGCTCACATGCCCATACACTCAAGGCGGGGCGCCACCTCTTCCCCTTCCAGTTGCAAATTGGGGGCTCGCTTCCCTCGTCGATTGCGACCAGCGCTCTGGGCGGTGCGTCTGTGCACTACAAGCTGCGCGCTACCGCGGTCCGCCCCGGCTTCGCCATCACGCACCGCGACCTGACCACAATGTGCCCCATCACGATCCTGCGCGGGTTTGGATCCGAGGCGCTCGAGTACCAGCAGACGCTCGAGATCGAGAACACCTGGCCCGAGAAGCTGATGTACAGTATTATGATCCCGCACAAGGCGTGGGCTGCGGGCGAGAAGGTCATTGCGGTGGTCAAGTTCTCGCCCCTCGTCAAGGGTGCACGGGTTTTGAATGTGACGACGACGGTCAACGAGACGATCAAGCTCTACACCCGCTCGGGCATACAGGAGAGTACGAGAGTGATCTCGAGCACGAGGCACGACATCGTGAATGGGCAGGCGATTTGCGTCGACGAGCAGCACCATCGGTACCGGATACCGCTCCTCCACGGTAGCAACCATGCGACGCATCGACACACCGCGTCATTACCAGCGACGCCTGCGAATGGGCTGGCGCATCATCAAGAGGCGCCGAACGGTGTCGGTAATGGCTACTTCCCGCCACCTTCACATCCGCCATCACCCCAGCGCCATACGACTGAACTGACCCCACTCACGACCACGACTACGAACTCGTCGCAGTCCTCAGGGCATGGGACCACACTGCATACGACGGCGTCCGCGCCCACGCAGCAGTCTTCATCTAGCTCGAGTAGCGAGAACCTCCCTCAGACCCCGCCACAGCCGCCAATTTCGGCATTGATCGGCCCGCAAGAGGCCGAGTTCATGGAACCCTCCGTGGACGTGGTCACGACGCTGAACATAACCGTGCCCATGCACGCAACGCCGAGCCACTCACTAGAGGTGCGTAACCCTAGCTGTGTAACCCTAGCATCTGACCCTAACCCCGCTGCAGCCTATCCAGGTCACGCACCGGATACGATGGTCCATCCTCATCGGCAACCTCGACGGACACACCTCCGAGCTGCGGTGCTCATTACCGCTACATGTCCTCGACAACCGGCTATACGAAGAGGCACGAGCAGCGACATTACATACACGACGCATCCTGCTCGGGCCTCAAGACATCGAGGGCGGTGTAGCAATCGGCACGCATGGCGAGGACAACACGGAGGAGGACATGGATCTGCCTTCCTACCCGTCGCACGTCCGCGACCGTGTCGCGAACGCGTATCTCCCGGACGCGGCCGCTCTGCGTGTCGTCAATCCTTGGGTGATGCAGGGCGTCTCACCAACGATCGGGCCGCCGCGGTCTGAGGGCTCGTCCGGCCTCCAGAGCCCTGCGGCATACGAGACGTGGCAAGTCGCGCACTCTGCCAACGCGAACAATCAGAGTGCGCATAGGCACCTACCGCAGGAGCCACCACCCGGTGCGGCACCGCTGGAGTGGGTGAACACGGAGCTGCTCCTCAGTCTGAGCCAAGAGGCGCCCGAAGCGCCCGTGCACGTACCTCCTCCGCCTCCCGCAAACCCTTCGCCTCCGACACGCACTCCCCCAGAATCAGCGCACTCACCAGGAGGAAGCCGCTCGCATTCGCGTTTCCCGAGCCGACGGCAGAGTCGAGCGAACAGCCGCGCAGCGAGCCCGGAGCGAGGTGCGGCGTCGGTCACACCAGGCGGTAGCGTGCACGCGGGCGAGACGTTCGTGCACAGCGGGAGCCACGCGTCGCGGAACATGCATTCGCTCTTCAACATCGCGATGAAGCCGTTCACGAGCCTGTCGAATACGTTCTCGCTCAGCTCTCGTAACCCCAGTCATTCGAACCTCCACGCACATGGCCATGGCCACCACACCACATCATCGCCGCACACACCTGGAGGGGGCCCGATGGGGAGCGGCGTGCCGAGCGCGAGCGCGAGCTCGGTCAACCTCGCAAGCATGGCGCACCACCCGCATACGCCGCAGCCGATGACGACACCGGAGCAGCTGCACTACGCATTCACGGAAGTGCCGGACTACGACATGGCGAGCCGAGGCTTCCTCGGTGGCGGGATTACGCCTCTATCGAGTCTGCAGGGCCTCCCTAGCTATGACGATGCGGCGCGGGAGCGGAACCTCAGCCAAACGGAGAGGAGCTTCAGCGACACCGACCTGGCGGGGATGTTTGCTGCGGCTCAGCGCCAGGGACGGACGGCGGTACCGAGGATGACGTCGAGGACTGCTGCGAGCACTCCGCCGCCGCCGTCATGATTCGTTCACTGGGTTATTTGTGTCTCCTCATGATTTGGTATGTTCACTCGACCTTGTTGGCTCCCCACTCTTTCAGCATCACGCATATACTGTACAACACGCAAGCCCCTATAGACCTAGACATGATGATCGCAAGGATGATATGACGGATGGACAGCGTAGTACTACTAATGCCCTAAATAGAGTTCACTCTCCCCTCTCACAATGAATGTTGTTGTCTGTTGTTTTTACAGACGTATCCTGCTCCACATTCACATTGGTGTGACTCAGTTGCGTATCTTATGAGTAAGCTAAGGCTGTACACACAGCGGTCGTTCAGTGTTTCACCTGGCATCGACTTCAAGTACGTATACACAAACGGTACATCCAGGATAGCAACAAACATACCACTTGCAAAGTCCTTTCGCTGCTGACTCGCATATGTAGGCAGTACCAGCAATATTCGGGTTCGATGACTCGTGAGCGCGTGAGCGACTTGACTACAGTGCCACGTGACCGCGTCGCGGTTGGACGCGCCGCCGACGCGGCGGTGGCGGCGAGGCTGACAGTGCCTGACACGGAACGTTGGTCGCGGTCAGAATCCTAATCAGACCGTGGCCAATGGGCTGGCACAGTCGCGGGGGGTATATAAGACTCACGAGCAGAGACTGTTCCGTCATCTCTCCTTCCCCTCCTACCACCATTTCCTCCGCCTCTCGTCCCTTCCCTGGGCTCGACTCTCGAGGCTGTCGTCTTCGGCCAACATAGTGAGTTACTCTCCATCGAGACCTCACTGTATGCTCACCGTCTGTCATGCAGATGAAGGTGAGTGGCCTTTGTTCCGTCTCGGTTGGTGGTTTGCGGCTCGGCTCCCCTATGTCCACCCACTCATCGCGCCTGTCCTCCCCTTCCATCTGTCCACGCACCATCGCCCATGTACTGTTTCGGTTTCCGGTTTGGGTTTGGGTTCTTGTTGCGGCAGCGCCGAAAGGCTGCTGTCCGCTCGCCCTCGCGCCGAGAGGCTGCGTGTGGCGTCGCCCCTGTGCCGAGAGGCTGCGGGAGGCTATCGGGTCTGTGTCTCGGGTCACCGTCCCCCACCTGTATCTCCTCCTCACTCATGTCGACCCATGTTTCCTGTCCACATACCTCCGCTCCTGTCTTCGTAGGTAGAAATCCTGTGATGCCTGTGCAGTCTGTACCATCGATGGGTCGGACATGCTCCAGTGGGCGCATGTCAGCCGTCGGTGGTATAGACCACCACAGCAGTAGTACATCAGTAGTAGTATGGGCCGGGAGCGCTTGGTAGGATGTAGACGCGCTGCCGTGACGTAGACGCGTTCACTTCCTCAGGCTAGAGCGCGTCGAGGTTTCTCGTCCCTCGCCATCTACCATTCGTCCTGACGACCATTGAAGTGCAGTATTTCCTCGGATATGACACCTGTCACCAGCATTGCATGCCCCGTCTGAGTCTTCGCTCCGCGCTCAGCGTTGTCCGCCGATCCGGGGCCTGAACGGCCCTGAAGCCTGCTCGCCCTTGCATCGTCACGGTCTGACTCAGAGATGCCAGTACTCAGTACTCAGTGAGTGCCGCCGTGGTTCCAGTAAACCCGAGTCAAACGTCAGGGTCTCGACCATGCGCGTCGACCCCTGGCAAAAGATTGGAGAAGTCCACACAGATACGTATGTACGTCTGCGTGCGAGCCATATCTCACAGTGTGTGGTGTGGAGCCTGTGGCAGGCGCGGTCACATGAATTCGAGCTGGTCGTCAGATTGTCGTCGCTGCGGTCCATCGAGAGACTGTGAAGGTTCAGGTATCGCGCATATACCGTATGCGCTGGTGGACAGTGGACACAACAACCTAGAAGACGGTGCACTCGCTACGACTGGACGTACGCCATGATCTCCGCCTCTGTTGCCGCCGCTAACACGAGCAGTCTGCGCACTACCCTACGAGTCGATACAAGCTTGACTTCGATATCTGTACACAGCAAGCGAATAGTACGTTTTTTTTTTTTTGTTTTTTTTGCGGAGGGCTGCTCAGCTACAACGAGGCGCCTCCGGACAGAGGGGGCACGCTCGTTTCCTCCGGGGAAAATGCGGCTGCGCACGAACTCCTGTTGCGAGAGAACAGTGTGGGACTCGGCCGTCATCGCGCGCCGACAGGTAGTGCACTTAGAGAATCGGGGGTCGACGCGCTCCGGCCCATACCCACTAAAAACCCCATCGCCTCGCACGCGAGGCGCGAGACGGCTGTGTCCGTCGAGCCATGCCCTGTGATTTGGTTCATTCTTTGTCTGTTGATCGCTCGGGCATGGCTCACGCTTGTTTGTCGAAGGCTTGTGTCCTTGAGGTTCGGCTTGGATGGATCTGCGATGACGGTCAGAGCAAGTCGACCGAGGCGTAATGTGAATACTCACTTCGCATCCTCGCCAGGGGCGCCGCTCAGTTGATAATTTTATGGAACGGCGCCCCTATTTCGTACCGAGGTTGTTCGGCCCGTTGTAGTCTTCGTGTGAGTACACCCGTCGCGGATCGCTGGGACCCTTGACGTTGGACATGGCCTGCGCTCAAGGTCAGTCATTGTCACGTAACTCAGCGACAACGAACACTCACATAAGCCATGCCTTCTCACCCGTACGCGACGATCGAATAGCCTCGTGGTCCGCCCCATGACGGAGTCGAACCAGTCATCAGCGGAACGGTCCCCATAGAGGGCCGCGCACCATGTCATCTACGGAGTGGCACGAAAGCGCACTCAGCATCCGTGGTGAACGGCCACACTACAGCTGCTTCCGACTACTCTGCGGCAAGAGTAGCCGGGCCCGGACGACACCTAGGCTGGACGGTTCCCTCGTCGATCGTGCAACGTACGGGTGGCCCCTTTTACGAGGTGGATGAGTGATCGCCGCGTGCTATGATCCTCAACTGTAATATTGTCTTGCAGTGGTCGCGTGGATTGAGGTGTGTATCTGCGGAGCGAGGTGAGTGGCCATGATGACTCGACGATGGCGCCGCGGACTTACGTTGTTCTTGAGAGACCTTACACCTCTCGCTCATAAGCAAGGATGGGTCTAGTCCCAGCGTCAACGCGATTGTGGCGCAACGGAAGGTGTGGCGTCAAGGTGGGCGTGGCCTAACATGAGACCCAGGTCGCCGTCGGGGAAGAAAGGAGCACAAAAAGGCAGCCCTGGTGAGCGCGACACTCGGATGCAATTGAGAGAGGCACGTACATCTAGCCACCATGACACCGTGCCACCTGCGGTGTAGCCGCATAGAGGCCATACGTTGACGCAGGACGACGTCACAAATCCCTGTGCCCCGTCTTGTGCGGGACATGGGGGACGGGGAGACCGAGTGGCGGTCGAAGGTCAAGAGGGATGGGGGACGAAGTGGCACCCTGGCCGGCCTTATATCATGCGGGTCTGTGGGTCCATGTTTGGTCGCAACCAAACAACCATTGTCGGCCATTTCGACTCAGCCTTTTGTTCTCTCGATTTGGACCGCCTTGTGCCACTCGTTCTTATCGATCGGCAAAGGCTGATAGAAGCACGTACGGCGTGGTGGGCAGTGCGCGCCATCATCATGGGTTCTGCGAGCCTGGCGACGCCTTGTATAGCTTTAATCAGAAGGACAACATGGTGGAGACCTTGTCCTAGGCTCCATCGTATACACAAAACGTACATTCAGGATAGAAACAAACATACAACAGCGTGGTCGTCCTTCAAGCACGCAAAAGGGATGTCCTAGTGTGACTTTGCGTCCATACGAAGCTCGTGTCAATGGTAGCAAGCCACAGCTCCTACAGACCGACCGCAGTCTTGAGCTTGGCGAAGTCCGGAGTGCCCAAGCCAGTTACCTGTACGACTAGATGAGCTGTGTTAATATCCAATGTGCCAACCAAACTCACACAGTAGTCGCGTTGAACCCGGTCGTCCAGTTCGAGCAGGCATAGTTGTCGCCCTCGGTGATATGAGTCAAGCGGTCTGTCCCAGCCGCGAGCTAGGGACATCCCTATACGGGAGCGCTCGGAGGCGGGCATTCGTCCACGGCGTGAAGCAAGACTCACTGTTATGCCCATGACGCCTCTCCAACTTCAGGAGCCCGAGCACATGTATGATCGACATGAGTCACTTTTCTATACTTCGCTCTCTCGTGGGTATCATGTTGTCTGAGCGCGACGAATTGCCACCAGCAATTTTCTGTCGTTTCATGTGGCCATATCTACCATAGCTAGAGAATCTCGGGTACGTTCAGCATTCATCCATGACTGTGTGTATGCCTACTCACCCGAGCCTTTAACCGACTAGGCAGCAAGGAATCGCGGTGACATGTCTGTCTCTCAAGTAGTAAGTTATCGAGCGACTGATACATACGTTGACTTGGATTCCCATTGGGTAGATCTGTCGGCAGCAATGCTCAGAGCGGTGACAGCACTGGCATGGAGAAAGGTGACCATGTTTGTTGACTCGGGATGTAAGTAGGTGTTTGTGCAAACTTCAGACTGTTGATCATGGCGCTGCCACGATTCACGAGCCAGTGACAACACGTGACCGCGTCGCGGGTGGCGAAAAATACGCGTTGCCGCGTGCGTAGCTGTCCTCCGCCCCAACCTGGCTCGTGCAACACTTGCAGTCCCTCCCACCAGGCTAGCTCAGTTCGCCTCAGTCATCATCCAACGGTGCTTCTTGAAGTTGCAACGCACCTCACAACGGCTGTAGCTAGCATTGCGCAGTAGGCTGTCACTAGTACGTTCGGCAAAGTGACATGTTAGACAGCTGTGATCTTCCGTCTGACCCGCCTTCTCAGAGTCAGTAGCGCGTGTTGACTGATCCTATGACGAGGTAACCATGCCGAAATTGATTCACACCTGGGTTTTATATATATAACGCATTGCCCTCGCAGTGCTGCTACGCTATTCCCAACCTGACCCCGAGTTGAAGCGAGCACGTTCTGAGACTATTACACTCCTTTCTCAGAGATGCTTTCCTCGTTCTTAGTGCTCGGGTTAATACTGCCCGGTCTATCCAGCGGCATGTCTACGCGTCGAAGCCTGCAGGTCCACGAGACCCGGGGCGACCCACCTTCAGGTTTCACGTTCACCGGGGCTGCCGCGCCCAACACTGTCCTTACCCTTCGTTTCGCACTCAAACAGAGCAACTCTAGCGGCATCATCGATGCATTGTACGACGTCAGCACTCCCTCGAGTGATAATTACGGCATGTATCTCAGCAAAGAAGCGGTACGAGCGTTGGCGTTTCTTACTGAGAACCCTCGAACTCATCCCACGCACTTCCGCAGGTACAAGCATACATGGCACCGACGAACAAGACCTCCACAGCGGTCAATGCGTGGCTGAGCGAGAACGATCTGCAGGCTACAAGCCTTTCTGGCGCTGGCGACTGGCTTTCGGTACAGATGCTTGTCAGCACGGCGAACGACCTCTTGGGCGCAAACTTCTCCGTGTTCACGAACTCCGCGACGGGCCAGCAGGCTATCCGGACGCTCAACTACTCGATCCCATCGGACCTCACGGACCATCTCGACTTGGTGCACCCTACCGTATCGTGAGACCCTGCGCAAGTCTTCCTTCACAGCCGGGGCACTAACCGTGCGGCACGATGGAACGTAGGTTTCCGAACAGCGTCGCTTCCGCACCTGTCATAGAGTTCTTGCCATCGCAGCTCACGAAACGCGACGACACCGGTCCTTGCAACGTGAGCCTGATCACGCCTGAGTGTCTCCAGTGGCTCTACGAGATCCCGACAACACCTGCGAGCCATGGAATCGAGCTAGCTGTCCCAGGATATTCTAACGAGTGGCCACAAGAAGCATACTTGAAGGTGCGTCACGGTATACTAAATGCATATGCATATAGGTAGCTGAGAGATTGATCTGTTGAAAGACGTTCTTGGAGCGATATCGCCCAGACATCGATGCTGACACAACATGGGACTTGGTTACGCTCGACGGAGGCTCCGACCCGCAGGGATCCAACAGCACGAGCGTAGAAGGGGTATGTTGAGCAGTGGATTCGATGGAGCGGTGTCGTTTACTAACTTAATTATGTATCACGCAGAACCTCGACATGCAGTGGACGATTGGCTTGGCGACGAATGTTACTGTCAGGCTTATCTCCGTTAGCAACATAAGCATCCCCACGGGCGACGAGTTCGCAGAGTCGCTAATCGACACGGCGTCGTACATGCTTGACCTGGACGACCCGCCGCAAGTCATGTCGACGAGCTACGGCGTTAATGAGTCTCAAGTTTCCGAGAAACTCGCACTGTGCGTGAATCTCCGTTTGCGAAGCGACTGAATGAAACTCTGACGCATCTCACCGCAGATCACTGTGCAACTCATACGCAGCCCTTGGAGCGCGTGGAGTCTCCGTGCTGTTCGGTTCTGGTGACGGGGGCGTCGCAGGTATACAGTACCCTGATGAGGACTGCACCACGTTCAACCCGACTTTCCCCTCCGGGTGCCCCTAGTAAGTCTCACGGTAACCCCCCCCCCCCCGAAGCATCACCATTGATCTGAAACCTTCAGCCTCACGTCGGTCGGCGGGACCTACCTTGTCCCCGAGGCCGCCGCTAAATTCTCCAGCGGAGGCTTCTCCAATGTATTCGAGCGCCCCTCTTACCAGGAGTCTGCCGTCTCGAGCTATGTCGACTTCCTCGGCTCCACCAACCAGGGCCTCTACAACGCGAGCGGCCGCGCGTTCCCTGATGTCGCCGCGTACTCTGTCGCGTTTGACGTCATCTACGGCGGCGCTGAGGGACCTATCAACGGGACGAGCTGCGCGACCCCGACGTTCGCGAACATCATCTCGCTGCTGAACGACGAGCTTGTCGCGGCGGGTCGCCCGGTGCTGGGCTTCCTCAACCCGTGGCTATACTCGACGGGCGTGGATGCCCTGACGGACATCACTGTCGGCGATAACTATGCGTGCTCGGGCTTCACTACAGGGTTCAATGCTACCGTGGGCTGGGATGCGGTATGTCACGGCCTTGAGGCAGAAGGGTTACCGCGAACTAACGTGTATGTTTAGGTGACGGGACTGGGAAGTCCCAACTACCCAAAGCTGAAGGCAGCACTGGGTTTGTAGTCGCACATGAATTATAGCCGCCGAGATACACTGCGGTACCGGATTTGTTCGCTATCGGACAGCGGTGTCTGTGTCACGACGACGATTTGGCCTCGAACCTGTGAGAGGAGCCGAAGTACTCTCCCAGTACTCATATCGAAGCTATAATCCTGGTGTCCATACCCTCACAATGTACCCTCAAGATTGCTATCATTTACCACCTGCAGCCCGAACTTTGGACAACGCTACATAGACATTAGTGTCCGCTTGTCCATGGCATGTCGTAACGGTGTCACGGTGAATTCTGATCTTGAACTCACTCGGACGCCCTATGCAACGCATTGCGCGTCGCAGCACAGCGTGAGCTGTCGAAGTCCGATCAGTTGACGCTGCGACCTAGCTACTAGTAGACAAATTTTCCGATGACTTCATGGCCCCATCGTTATTATCCACTTTCTCGAGTCTTCAGGATGCTCATCCCCATATTCTCGGCTTACTTACCGGAATGTTCACGGCCCATGTTTGTGATGTCCAGTGGGGGGAGGGCGTATGTCAGAACAGTGTTCGATATAACCAAATAACATATCGGGGCTATATATGGTGAAGCCCGATCAGCGTCCGAGGTGACCACAATGGCATCTACAGTATGGCAGCGGTATCGAAGAATTACACATAAACTAGTCTATTATACGTTGTCTCGTACCGACTGAACTGGCTACGCTAATACTAGTGTATTAGTACTTACACACTGGGGATAGGCAACCCCCCTTCGCTGGACGGCCAGCGTCTATTTGTGCCGGGATCACGGCCGTGTAATCTGGTGACATCTAAACGAGCGATAGTGCAATATCTCATCTTATCGTTGTCGTGCCGATCACACAGAACGCGATATCGTAGATAGGCATGGTACATAGTGCTAGGAGGTATCGGTGTGCAGCGGGAAAGAGCGTAAACTGTAGTAAATGAGTGCTGGATGTATGATACATGTATATTGTGAATTACAGAGGTCAGTCTGTACATGCAAAGTGGGTCTCAGAGATTCGGGAGGTGTAGCGCAAACGTTGGTCCGCCCGAGCCAAGCTCGTCGGGGTAGAGCTCGACTGCATCGACGTCGGCGAGCTGCTCGTCTGCAGCAAGCGTAACGCGGCTGTCTCGTCCTCCGGCGGTGTCCACGTCAGGACTTACCGAGTGCGAACCTTGTGTGCCCGCGCGGCGCGAGTCGTTAGGCACGTTCCCTTGCAGTGACTGGCTAGATAGGGTGCGTGGGCGCCGGGAGCGTGAGCGTGAGTGCAGCGACGGTGCTGGCGGCGCGGAAGGGGGCATTGGAGAGCGGGGGCCAGGGCAGCTGCGACGTCATTGCCGCACGAGAATCTGACTCAGTGATGGTGGTAATGCGGCTCGGGTCGATGTAGTATGGGTGCGGTAGCCACGCTGCGATGAGCGGGGGACGTGGTGAGGGTGTCGGAAGAGTAGTAGAGCTTGAGACCGCCACTGCCGTGGCGGTAAGGGTCTACTAGTAGGGGTATCAGCACATTTCATTCGAGCTTGCCGTCCGAGTCAACCTTCTCGTTGTCTCCGGCGTACTCGACATCTTCCTCGTTCTCCTCGTCGACACTGACGTCCATATTGACGTCCCGCGACGCGCGCTGCTTCCGCTTCAGGCCGGGCACAAATCCCGCAGTGACACGATCACCGCTCGGAGCCATCAGGCATCCGAGTCCGCAGCGACCTCGAACGTACGCACCTTGTCGATGAGCTTGAGCTCCTGGAAATGGCATGCAACAGTCTTGACAAACACGTCCACTGGCTTGCACTCCTTATCCTCTATCCTGGGCCTGCCCTTCACCTTCGTCTTGCCTGGCCTCACTGCTCACCGGCTTCCTCAGTAGTCTTCTCCTGCTCAGCCTCACTGATCAGTGCACTCAGTATCGCAGCTGTCGGTTTCATCTTGGTCCGGCGGGCCTTCCGATGTGGGAATAGTTGAGTTTGCGGAGGGACTCGCGGGCGGACACGCGCGACATTGCGCCAGACAAGTTGCGGCCACGACGGCACTGGACTTGTACTCAGAGTGCAGTGTGTCTGGAAAGCCGGTCCTAGGAACAGGGCTCTTGTGGAGGATGGCCGGCAGTGAGTACTGTACCGACGCCGTAGCGCACCGACTCGAAAGTCCCTGTCAATGCAGCGGCAACACAGTTCACAACTTCAGTGATAACATGACTCACCATGTTGTTGCCAGCTATAGCCTGGATTCCTCGTCTCCCCGTCGGAAGGAAATTGCCCGCCTTATACTTCAAACGCAGACGTCTAGTAGCAGACTGCATCCAGCATCCCAGGGACATGGCACGTACAGCCGCGGCGCTTGTGCGATGTATCGCTTATGTAAGCTGTACCGTGACGTTCAGACGCAAGAAACTCACCAGCTCGCACCTGACGGTTATGAGAGAAGCTGGAAAACAAGTCATGTATTCATTCTCAAGGTGTCCCGACTACATTGGATAGCCATTGTTGAACATACTGACAGGGGACATGCACACCGCAGCCACATCCCGCACGGGCGCTTGATCTGCACGCCGCGAAAACCAGCACCTTCTGTGTGGTCTCGTAACGACAACCTCTCGCCCATCCAACGTTCGGGATGACCGTTTTCAGACCCGACGAGTCGAGCCTTCGTTGCCGAATCTTCACAGCTCTTCATTTAATGCACGATCTCAGCATGCATACAGCGAGATCAGTTACTTCTCGACACACAACAAAAAATCGGCAACCAACGTTTTGCTTAGAATCCTTATCGTAAACGCACTGTGTACAAGATCTACGAATAAAGCCGCTGTTGCAGACCACAGTTTTCGATACCGTTGGCTGCTCACTGTGGCGCCTGATACGAAGACGATCGCTGGACTATCTGCAAGAGATTATATGGCATCTCGGCACGATGGCCAGCTACCATCAATCGTGTCCGCTTCCGTCCTCGAGCGCTTGGCCGCGCGCTAAAGCCATTTGGCGGGGGCGTTGCCTATCCCCATACACACGTCACGATGTGGTTAGAACACAGACCTCGTTCGCGGCTGCATAGTGCCATGCCATCGGCTAGGCGGAGTCTGTTAGCTAGGCCAGATGGGTACGTAGATCGATGCGCTGAGGTTGCAGAAGTGGACAAATCAGTAATGCTGAGAAGACGTAGCATAACGAATTACATAGCTCTTTCGACTGAGAGCGGTCTCGGGCTTGCGCATCAGCAGATCGTATCATGGTTGGGACTGATTAGTTTCAGGTCTGGCGCCAGCTTCCTGGATTGTTTTCATTGCTGCGCCACCATTGAAGTGAGTTCCCAATGGAACCGTCCTGGGTTCCACAGCGACGGTCGGACATGTAATCCCTGTCAACTTCGTTACTTCGTAAGCCCGCATCATTGTTTTCAGAGTATGGCCAACGCTCACACATCTGAATCATCGCCCCCGTGGCGTTCGTAGAAGCCCGCATACAGCGCAGTAATGGGCCAAAACATCTAGGAGATCATATACCGCAGCCTGGTCACTATGCGACTCGTTCGCACGAGTGTTCGACCACTCACCCCGTACCACCATGTGCGGAGTCATAGGGAGGCACACGCGGTAGGGTATTGGACGTTGATCCGCGTGTACGCCATGTCTCTGTTAGGAAGCGTCCCGGTATCATTGACCCGACGCCTTTTGCAGCAGAGCATGAGATGTTACGGAAGGGCGGATCAGTTCAATTTAACTTCCGTGTGGTTGTAACTATGAGGGGACGGAAGCACGTACCATGAGTAGCGTCGGACCCAAACCGATATCGACGTGGAAGTCAACCTGCATGTGGCCTGCAACGAGGGTATTATGCTCGTATCATCTCGACAGCATTAGACACAAACGAAACGCCGTCGCCCACGAGTGCAGACAGACGGGTCACAATTAGCGTGCGAGCACAGACCGTCGCCTCTAATGAGGCTTCATACGATCCTTTGCGTCCCAGCATTGTCCGAGCAATATTCACGCTCTGAGTAAGATCTGCGGATTAAACAACAATCACTACAGTTAAGACATATACGAGATAAATACCAACAACCGTCGTCTATTGCAGATACTCATATTCCACCATACACCAGGGGAACGCCTGATACCGGAGATCAGGCCTTGTAAAGCGTATCTAAGAATGCTGTGGCCAAGTGGCCGACCATCGTCGAGCCGACAGGGCTCCCACTTCCGATACCTGTTAAGCACCGTCAGCACCCCCCTTCCAAGTCCATCCAGCATCCACTCACCGTAGAGCCTGACCATCGTCCCCTGCCCACTCGGTGACAGCTGTGCCTCCCTCACCGCATCCTTCAGGTCCGCGATGAACTGGTCCACCACGGGCACCGTCAGGCGCGTCACGGCGATGTGCAACGCGGCGGGCCCGCTGAGCGCATTCAGGTGCCAGCCTTTCTTTGCCATCTTGTCGCCGACCTCGAGCACGCTCACGCCCTCCGCCTTGCCTTTGCGCGCCGATGCGAACGCGACGACGGACGCGCGCGGCTCGCCGAGGATACGCAGCTCTGGAATCTCGGCACGGATGCGCGAGGCGATCGTGCGTGCGGCGGACACGATGGACTTGCAGGAGTCGAGGTATCCCCTGATGGGACGTTGTTAGCCCGGAGGTCAGCTTTACGATATGCGATGTGCACGTACTGGCGTCCCATGTAGTGCATGGCTGCCCAGGATCCTGCGATGAGAGCGCCTGGTCTGATCATTCAAATGAGCACTGTCGTCTTCTGTGATAGACACCGCTGTAGGACGCTCACCTTGACCCCGCGATGCTCGGGCTAGCGTATACACCGCCGACCCAATCCGGATTGACATAATACTGGTGCTTCCGTAGCTCCGCATCGCGGTACATGATCACCGAGCTGCCCTTCGGCGCGAACCCATACTGTGCACACATGCGTCAATGGATGACGGCAGCTTGTAGGCGTCGTACAACGTACCTTGTGCGTGTCACAACTAATGCTCGTCACTCCGCGAACGCGGAAGTCGAAGGGCGCGAACGGCCCGAGCCCCGCTTCCTCAATGAACGGCACGATGAACGAGCCAAGGCAGCAGTCAACGTGCAGGCCGATGTTGTGCTTGGCTGCGAGATTGCCGAGTGCGACGATATCGTCCGCGTTGCCATCTGGGAAGTTTATTGCAGACCCGACGAGCTACATGACAAGCCAGGGTGAGCAGGGTTGAGAGTTAACGGTAGAGAGTATGCGGCTGACCATGATAGTGTTCGCGTTGCTAGTCCAGAATCAGTGACCGCCTTTCTGTCAGTGACGCGGGAACTCACATGGCACGCTTGACACGTTTCAGGTTGACCTGCCTTGTCTCGGGGTCAACAGGGATAGTGTGGACCTTGATTCCAAGATATGCCCCGCCCTTGTCAAATGCTGCATGAGCTGTCGCTGGGACAACCCTATCAACCCTCGACGTCAGCATCTCTCTCCGCTCGACGGAAGCACCACGCACATCTCCGGCTCACGAATGCCCTTGACTGCTCTCGCCCAGTCGCGGTACGTCTTGCACGCCATGACGATGCTCTCTGTACCACCGCTCGTCGTCGTACCTGCACCTGTTGGGTTGTTGTACATCGCCAGACACATAGCAACTACCTCTGCCTCCATTTTTCGTACCGCAGGGAAGACATCCGGGTGGAGTGGGTTGGAGAGTGCGTAACGTTCAATCGCAGCCAGTATGACGCGCGTCAGCTCTTCGCCGCCGTCTACACGCAGCGAACAAGCGCATACAGTCAACCCGGGACTTCGCAGAGTAATTGCAGCTGTACGCACGATACACCGCTCCCGATACCTTCCCCTCCCGCCAGTCTGCGTGCTCTCCGGGAGCCTCGTGATCCATGGCCTCCATCTCCGTCACTATCCACTCTGGCGACTGTCCAGTCATCGGCAGGGCGAGATGTCGGTGCACAGAGGGGCCCTCGGGAACCATGCCCTTCTCGAGGTCTAGAGTCGCCTTGCCGAGCTCTGCGGAGACCCTCTTGCGCATGGAAGGAAGGCGGAGCGCGAGTAGAAGGGCTTCCTGAAGTGTAGAAAGTTAGGTACCGCATGCATAGCATTCGAGCGAACAGGAGCGAATGGGCAGGATTAGATGTAATGGTCCAGCTCATCCTTCCCCCATAAATGCCCCACCAGCATTTCTCGCCGGCGAAGGATGTGCGCGTTTAATGATAGTCAAAGATCGTCGGCAACAAAAGCAGCGGAATCCACGAGTCTCTCTATGATATTTCCCACCACATTTACGCCAGCTACTCACCTGAGATATCCATTTCCAAAAGTCAACGACCGTCTCGGTGACTCCTCGCGCCCGCAGATGACGAAAGACCTTCAGGGTACGAGTGACGACGAGGTAGACGACAATGGCATCCTTGAGCAGTTCGTACGCGCTGCTGTTGACTACAGCAGACAGTCTGGTGCGTCGGGCTACGGGTCCAGGCATCTCCGAAGGTTAGACTGGTCGACGAGTAGGTGAGGGAATGTGGACAAGATGCGTGTGCGTGGACATTATTTCGTCGGGGGCGCAGCGGCGAGGGTGGGCCCAATTGGGCCGATCGGGCATCCTGTGATTTCTCATTTCCCTCCTCCCCGTGGTCGCGCGCGCGCCTGGCGTCCGCCGCGCACTTTGATTCTTTCCGTCATCCCTGACTTGACTGCAGCTTTATGAATATAGCCTACGTGCCCAGCGTCACTCCCGGGTGTCGCGAGGACCTAGCGTAGGGTGGAACCCGAATGAAAGGTTACATACCGAGGTGTGGATTGGCGTGGACCGCTGGTTGACAGTCCAGAATCCGAGTCGAGGTGTCGAGAGTGTTCGGACGTGATTCGGATCCGGTACGTAGTAAGTACATCTCCCATTGCTGCATACAATGCTCGGTACGATACACTGTACTTATGCTAAGATCTCTGGAACAGCCCAGGTGTCTTTGGCGACCCGCGCAGCATATCGGGCTACCTCCAAACCCGGTTTCAAGCGTTCGAATGAGCATCGCTGATCGGCATTGAGCCATGTTACGCGTACGTGCTTACCTTGTGCGTTCTCTGAGAGGGTCTCGCCCATTTAGTCTTCGGAGGCTCAGAGCAGCCGCATGCTGGGTAGATGCAGGAGCCGCCGTTGCCTTGACGTTTGCACAGGTCCGCGTCGTAAAAACCCTTTACGAATTTCTGTCGAGCCGCGAGGATGCATCCAGACATTGCGCTCGTAGATGATATGTGAGTAGTCATGGACCAGGGATCGAGTGCGCTCTCGAGCTGCTCTTATACACCCACAGAGCATGCGCATCGATCACCCCAGCGAGTCTCGGATCGCTGAGGGCAACTATAGTTGTGACTCAACCCAACTTCGCCATGGGGTGCCAACCGTCCAATGACTGCGATTGAGTCCCCGACATTACCGGCGAGAAACACCTACCAAGCTACATTGAGCCTGCGTATTCTTTGTGTTCTCTATTACCCATTGTAGATCTCCCTGTTCGGCGTTTTGACACGGGCGACATCTGATTCGTCCAAAGTCTAATAAGTGACCAATGAGGCCTGAAGAAATCAGGCATCATGACGTTCTCTTCTTCAGAACAGCAAACGCTATTGCCTTCAGCAGACGATGTTTTGCTTTCTTTAACTCTTGACAGCGCAGATGTCCATTTCCAGACGGCTACCATGGCATTCATAGTTCTGGTTCGGGAAGTACGTTCTGTTGCACGTGTGTTATTTATGCTGACGTGCTCCTTGTAACAGTAACAATAAGTGCGAATACCACTGACGGTCTGAACCACTAACGGCTGACACACCCCGACTGGAGCGTGTCTGAACCGTCAATGGTACAGACTGCACAGGCATCACAGGGTTTCTAACTACGAAGACAGGAGCGGAGGTATGTGGACAGGAAGGAGGGTCGACACATGGGTGATGAGGAGATACAGGTGAGGACCGTGACCCGAGACAGAGGTGGAGACCGAGAACCATTATAGCCTCCCGCAGCCTCTCGGCACAGGGGCGACACCACACGCAGCCTCTCGGCACGAGGGTGAGCGGACAACAGCCTTTCGGCGCCGCAAAAAAAGAAACTGAACCCAGACCACCAAACCCAGACCAGAAACCGAGATCAAACGAAACCCACTCACCACTACCTGTGTGGTATACGTTTCTAGACGATGGTGAGGTACTCGCCGCCAGACCCAATACCAAGCGCTTCAGCATTGACTGAATGGGAATGGAGGCATACAGTGAGTGTGGGCGAGACAGTACAGAGATACTCACTACAATGTTGAACATTGACGTAGCCTAAGAGACGGACTTGCAAGGGAGAGCGGCGGGGCGATGAAGGTAGGAGGGATGAGTGAGGTGGCGATTCTATGTCCCCCCGAGGCCTTCATATACGCTAGCGAGTGTGTCAGCCCGGGCGACGCTGCTGGATGGGATTCTGACTGCGACTGACGTTCCGTTGTCAGCCTCCAGCCCAGGACGCGATCACGTGATGTCATTGACAGGCCGTTCATACGCGTTCGACTTGAACTTCGTCGTGGTTTAGGACAGCCTACCATACAGAGCGATTCTGTCTCTGCCTCTCGTAAACCACATAGGTTTTCTCCATACAATGTCACTGTGCTTCACCACCAACGGAGCCACCGAATGAGATTGACGGCGAAGTCTCATTTGTGTAAAACGAAGTCAGCCAGTACAGGGAATTCATTACATGTGTATGTGCGAGTTATTTTCTATACATTCTGGGTGCTGTGAGGCCTGAACACAAAACCGTCGAGCTTGCGACGCCGGTGAGCATGAAGTGAAACTACGCACTTTCCATATATGAACCGGTCAGACAAGGCTAAACGCCGGACGGTCGTTCGTATCGACTGGCAGTTGAACTTGTAGGCGACCACCTCCAGCATGGCACGTCTTACGGCCTCTCCTTACTCTCACCTGAACGATTGATTCTGTATGCCTTCGTTGTTATGTCTGCCTCCATGTCAACTCCATGTCGTCGAAGATCTCCTCGGTCGTGCAGGAATTTTTTTCAAGGGTTGCACATACGGAGACAAGAAATCTCCAGAACGCTTCAGGTGATGTGTGACTCTTGAACTCCCTGTGTTGACGGTTACCATCTGAAATCACTGGATTTTGCCTTCGAAATCGACTGCCGGTGTCTCATGCGTAACGGCCATTGGTTGAAACTGCTTGTGCTATGCTCATGTTCTCGTGCTCTGCATGAATGGACGAACCTTGGGCCAACGGAGGGGTTGTCTGGGTCTATCGATCTGCTCCGGGTGCCCATTGCCAGCGGTTCTACATGGAAGAAGCACCTCCCACACTGCCTACTAGTGATCGTGTTGATGCGCTTCTCCCGCCCTATAGGCTATTGGGTCGGGCGGCCTGCAAGTCCACGTACACGGTGGGCTGCGCACGCGTTGATCTCGTCGCTTCCGAGTCCTTCTCCGGGCTGGTCGACTCGTTCCGTGAACGCATGCACACTCAGCGCTCTCGTCTATAAGTATGGCCAGCACAGGTCCTCAAGCAGTCCAAACCCCGTTCACTTCGACTCTCGAGCATTCCGGCGCGTACGAGCGTCTTATTCCGTTCCTTTCAAATATTGTGTTATGCTATCTCGCTTCTTAGTGGCCGCCGCGGTCACGGCGGCGGCTCTCGGTACTCCTGCCCACCGAAGTCTCCAAGTCCACGAGAAGAGGGACAACGCCCCTAATGGTTATAGCCTGACGGAGCCCGCATCTTCTGATACTGTGCTTAATCTGCGTCTGGCTCTCGTGCCAAACGATACCACAGGTCTCATCGATGCACTGTACGATGTCAGCACACCATCAAGTGTGAAGTACGGTCAGTACCTCTCCAAGGAAGAGGTGAGTTCATGTCCGCTCTTTGTCTGTTTCGCGACTCACGAGTGACGTAGGTGGAAGTATACACTTCTCCCAAGGAGGAGAGCGTCTCGGCTGTGAGCCAGTGGCTGAGCGAGAACGGCTTGAACGCGACGACTACCTCTCCAAGCGGACAATGGATGGCGATTCAATTGCCTGTCAGCCAGGCAAATGATCTCCTTGGCGCGAACTACTCTAAGTTCACGCACGAAGTGACTGGAGTGCAAGTTGTTCGTACTCTCACGTACTCAATCCCCCCTGAATTGGCCGACCATGTCGAGGTGATCCACCCGACTGTAACGTACGTCTGCGTCTCATTCATTGCTTGTCCAAGCTGTTCTGAACACAAGTGCAGGTTCCCGAATCCGTATGGAAGCGGAGCTGTGATGCAGGTCTCACACAGGTCCGCGCACGCTCGCGAGTTTCGCCACGAGAAGCACTCTCGCAGGATACATAAGCGAGACTCGAACTCTACAATGTCGTCGCCCTGCAACATCTCGGCTATCACCCCGGAGTGCTTGCAATACCTGTACAACATCCCGACGACGCCAGCCACCAACCAGTTCAACCAACTGTACATCTTCGGATACGACCGCGACTGGCCTCAGAGGGCTGATTTGACTGTCAGTACTGATGCTTACGTTGCGACCGGAACCCGTGTTGATAATGCAGTATAGCAATTCTTGGAGAAGTACCGTCCTGACATGAATTCGTCCGCCACGTGGAGCCTGCAAATGTCGGACAATGGAACAGACCCTCAGAACAGCAGCATTCCTCAGAGCGAAACTGTATGTATTTCATGAAGCGTCTCAATGAATTTTACGCTGACCATACCTCTGTAGACCCTGGATACTGAATACGCCATGAGTTTGGCAACGGACGTGGCGACGACGTTCGTGTCTGTCGGCGACATCCCAGAGACGGCGGACGACTTCCTCGACTACCTTCTGGACGGCGCATATTACATGCTCAATCTCACGGATGTGCCTCAGACGGTGACGACAAGCTATGGGCTCGACGAGAACTTGGTTTCCGAGAAGCTTGCGACGTACATGTAGCCAGCTAAATGGTCCACAGGCGTCGCTGACACATCATAACCAGGACCATATGCAACGCTTATGCCGCTCTGGGAGCTCGCGGAGTGTCTCTGCTATTCCCGAGTGGGGACGGTGGTGTCTCCGGACTGCATTACCCTATGATCGCGGGCGAGATGTGCACTACTTTTGTTCCTACGTTCCCGTCCACGTGCCCCTAGTAAGTGTCAAATATCGTCGTTCAAAGTGCTGAATCACTCAGGAACATCCAGTGTCACGTCTGTGGGAGGCACATACAATGTCCCAGAAGTAGCCGCCACGCTCTCCGGGGGTGGATTCTCCAACCTCTTCACCGCCCCGGACTACCAGTCCAACGCCACCTCCACCTACGTGTCCGCCCTGGGAAGCACCAACTCCGGCTTGTACAACGGAACCGGTCGTGGCTTCCCCGACGTAGCCGCGCAGGCGATGTACTACACCATCATCCACAATGGCGAGGAATCGCTGGTCAACGGCACGAGCGCGTCGTCCCCCGTCTTCGCGTCAATCATTTCGCTGTTGAATGACCAGCTGCTCTCCGCCGGGAAGCCGCCCTTAGGCTTCTTGAACCCGTTCTTGTACTCGACGGGCTCGTCAGGGCTCACGGATATCACCTCTGGAAACAACTATGCGTGTTCGAACTACACGACCGGTTTCAATGCCGCTATCGGTTGGGACCCTGTAGGTTTCATGCCTCATTTTGTGGGTTCCGATGCTGATTGTACGTACAGGTTACTGGGCTTGGGTCCCCGGACTTCGACCGTCTCAAGACACTCGTTGGCTTGTGAGCGGAACGAGCTCTACGCAACCCTTATATACCGTCCTTGAATGATGTCAGCCGTTCATCCGTTCGCTCTAACTAACCTCCTTGCATTTCTACTGTCTTTACTCTGCTATGCATGTTCTGCGTGCCCTCCGTGGCTAACTTATGACCGTAAGTTGTCACCTACGTACAAGAGCCGCTCCGCATGCTACTTGGTACGGTAAAGTGACTGACTTTGCATCAGCATGACGACTGTGGTGAGCATGGTCGAGTTACTCTTTCACTTGCTCTCTTACTGACGTCGACGCAGTAACCACTTCTGAACCAATGGCTCTGATAGCGAGGGCTTCTCCAACTACTCCCCCATGCCGGACTACCAAGCCCCTGCGGTCTCGTCCTACCTCGAGCTCCTTGGCCTGAACAACATCATCGGGTTGTACAACGCCTCGGGGTGGGACTTCCTCGACGGCGCCGCGTCGGCGGTGCACTTCGAGGTCGGCGTGGACGGCGTGGCTCAGCAGCTCGACGGCGCGAGCACGGTGTCACCGATGCTTTGCGAGTATTGCGTCCACGTACGTGGCGCTGTTGAATGATGAGCAAGTCGCCGCTTAGGTTCTTGAGCCCATGGCTGCCTTGACGGGCATCACCGCAGGCAACAACAGAGCCTGTTACGAACAGTACCGGCTTTGACGCTACAGCCGGTTTGGATCCCGTACGTACCTTGGCGTTAATTGCCTTGTTGAGAGCATTGATCGTATATTGGCGTGTTAGGTTACCGGCAACTACTAGTGCACGGAGTCGAGCTGCATTCGGGCTGTCACTCCGTCAGTGACTGGTTGAGATTACCACGAGTCGAGTAATGGCGGGCCACCAACACTGCATGACTGCATGACTGTAGACGTTTCATCTCATGGCATTCGTTGTAGCCTGCCATCGTCCTGACAAACTTCACCCAAGTATTCAAGTCACATCGTCTGTGGTATACATTCAGTAGCACCGACTACAGCAGCCATACAAACACCACCCACATACTCAAGACACGCGTACACTTCAGTCCATCCATCTCAAATTACCCATAAATACTCCTGTGTTCCCGCGTCGTCGGAGAGCCTCAGCGCTAACGCTTCCCCTCGCCCTCCTCAAATGGGTTCTCCACATACTCGAGCTCGTCCTCACTCTGCTGGCGTTGCATCGCCCCCGCGCCCGTGCCTGAGGTCGATTGCGGCATCAGGAGCGACACGGGGCGTTTCGGAAGCAGTCCGAGTTTCGCTGTCAACGCCACGGGCCTGTCAGCACACGTTTCCTCTTAACAGGTGGTCCGGGAGTGCACGCTCCAGGTACAGGCACGCGTGGACAGATGGACGTGCGGCGCGAAGAGAAATACAAGGCTTACCTGCGTCGATAGGGCTCCCGCCAGAAGTCGGCGGCGGCCGGGGGACCTCGCCTGAGGGACGGGGCGAGGACATAGATTTCCTGCCTGTCGGCGGCGGAGTGGATGGTGGAGATGCTGCAGACATCCCTCCAAGTTAACGTTCCCGCCATGGCGTTGATGAGGGAGGTAAAGCGGACTCACAGCCGGAGCCGAGGTCATAACCCCGGATGTCAGGGCTCGGAAGGTACTGCTGGCTGTTCAGCGCGATTGGCGGCGCCTGCACGTCGCTCGGGGTATTGGGGTAGCCAGAGCCGTAGTATTGCTGGGTGACAGCCTCCGAAGCGGTGTGTCGGTCGACGTTTGAAGGTGAAACAGGACCCCTTTGATAGGGCTGGTTCGTTGAAGGCTGGCCCGACCTACATAGGCACGGATCAATCACGGTGTTAGACGAACGAGATGCCCCAGACACACTTCTGGTTGTATTGCTCGTTCAACTCCGTAATCTTCGCTTTTGCTTTCGTGACGATCGAGCTGAAAGTTCGTTTTCCGCCTGGAAACCGCAATGCGTCTCAGCCGTCGTAGCGCAGGCGATCGGAGTGCTGGTTAGAATGTGCGAGACGCGCATATACTCCAGTCAGTCTACACGCGAAATTTGAGACTCACTCTCAGCCATCCGACCAAGCGTTTCCTGGAACTCCTGGAAGTCACCACGTTCGCTCCCCGTTACATACTGCTGCTGCTGCTGCTGCACGCCGTGTGGGGCCTGTTGCCTTGCCTGGTAAGGCACGTCGTCCCTCCGAGGCCAAGATTGGCCTGATGCGTGTCGCGGCTGCTGCTGGTCCTCCAGAGCGAGTTGCCGAGCAAGTTGTTCATCGAGTGCGAGATCGTGCTCTTGCTGCCGTCGAGCATACTTCAGCAATAGAAGGCCGCGCAGGGAGATTGGCACGCACAGGTTGTTCTTGGGTTGCAGACGATACGTAGTTCGGATCGCTCATCCCCAGCAGTACATCGATCGCGCGGTCCTGATCGTAGTCGACGGACTCGAGCACCGACTGACTATATGCGCGCATTTGGGACAACTGGGCTCAGAACGTCGCTAAGAGCGATCACGGAAGGTCACGCACAGGATAACGGCATCGAAGTCCGGGAACATCGCACGCAGCAACGCGACTTGTGGGTGCTCGTTCTCCGTCTCCGTGGGTGCTTCAGGACCATGCTCGGCCGACGCTGGTACCGACTCTTCCGTCCATGAATCGAGGCGAGGCGGCAGCGCGGGAGTCTCTTCCTCCTCAAGAATGTTGGCACTCGGATTGTGAGCGGTATCTACGGTCGTTGCCTGGGTATCTGGTAGGATGTTTCGCCCGTGAGCACGGTTGCGACGCTGGGATCGAATGAAGACACAGTACCATGCGTAGCTGGAGGCTTCTGGGAGGTCGCGTCGCCTGACATGGTGATAGAATAAAGTAGAGTGAGGGATGCAGCGCGAGAGGGGTCTGTCTGAAATAGATGATGGTGGTGTACTGCGCGGCAGTTCGCGCTGCGCAACGCAGCACGCAGACTCGACTCCCGTCACAGTGTCATGACGCCGCACGCGCGGCGCGCATGCAAGTAAGTAGATGATCTATTCTTTACTGACTACCTTACTAATTTACTAACCGGATTACTGAGTAGATAAGCAGGTCGCTGATTGTGCTACTTACGACGGCATTCGACATGGGTTTGGACGACTCGGACGTCGCGGTCTGCTGAGGTCCCATTGACTTTTACCGGAGTGCGGCATATTTTCCGAGGCCTGAGGCCTGAGGCTCTATACTACATGCAACTGACCGGGAAAACAGAATGGTGCAGTGTCCATCGACATCGACTAGGATCCGGACCATAGCTACAATTACAATACACGGTGGGCGGAAGGACCACTGGCAGAGATCACTACCAAGCTCGCTGTTAGTACCACCCAAGGCCTTCATGGTGACCGAGCTGTTCGCACCGTGAAGAATGTCGGAAAGCAATATCATCAAATTGGCACCTACTCGTAAGCATAGAAGATATTTCAGCATCGCGGTACTGACCGATGCAACTCTCGACAAGAGGACAAGCTTCCCACGCACGAAGCCCGAATAGCTAGCTGGAACTGCATCATCGCAAAGGTTCAGCGGGACCTGTATCCGAGTCTTGTATCTCCGCTATACAGAGGTTAGGCGTTTGATGATATCTGGTGTGTCCCTAGACCGCCCTTCTCTCCTCACAGAAAGAAGGTCGTGTTTAGAATCTGCCTAGGGGAGACTAGTGTGTCCCCGGGTCAGACGCATGGGCCCACATGTAAGTGCAGCTGTGCGTGTCTCACCTTCACTGTCAAGCATGAATAGACTGTTACCTTCATATGCACCAAGAGTACCAAGAACGGAAAGCCCAACTGACCGCCGCGTCTGCTACGCAGTCTCCAATGCTGCGCGGGCGCGCGGCGCAGCTGCTGAACTAGCTGTCACGGCGGACTCGCTGCGAGCGCATGTGCGGATCAGAACACCACAGTCCTACAGTATTAGGAAACGTTGAGAACCGATCGCAGCCGCATCAATGTATGCGGACCTGGCCAATTTGGATGACACTGACGTGGACGGACTCACTCACCGGTTCATTGGCATGAGTGATCTGGGGGACCTGAGCGACGAGCATGCGTTACGAAACGTCTCTGTTGTCATAGTGCCGTAGAAAGATAACCGTTATGACGTGAGTACCGAGGTTGAGCATAGTGACATGATAGTGCTCGCAACGACACTGTGGGGTGCATGCTGGAAAGGCGCAGGCCAGAGTCGAAAAACGCGACATGTCACGCTGTGACCGACCGCGTCGGAGACGCGTCGCGAGTCCGAGTCCGAGGTCGTCGACCATGATTTTCACTTCTTCAGAATCCTCCTGGCATGTTACTTCATTACAATAGTCTATCTGCTGTCAGCTCTACCGCTATGCGTTCCTCTTTCTGCACTACCCTGTTCAACTATGTCGCCCAGGCGGGCCAGTCTAGCCTAGTATCCCTATACCGAGAATCTGGTCTCTGTCATCGGGGGGGGGGGGGGGGGGGTTCAAGATCCCAGTAGATGCGCTACAGTAAGATATTGAATTGTTCTCAGTAGCAAGCATCTCACCACCAATTAATTCATCCGCGGTGGTCGTGACTCCCCACGCGGTGCCTTGGGGCCCGCTGCTTTACTCTACACCTCTTTGGACAGTGACAATGCGCCTTCGCGGCGAGACGCGGCTCTACCAATTCTTTTGGTTCCGGGCGGCCTGCACGCAGTGAACTGGTAGGTAAGGTACACGACGGCGCAGACAAGTTCAGGCACGTTCCAGTTCTCTGTCTTACGGAGCCTCTCCCTGTGTTGTCCCGTGCATCCCCTCTGCACTGGCGATAAGGCTGCCACAGGCACATGAGCCTTCTTGTGGGCTGCTTCATGCAAATACAACACTAGGCATGCGGGCCTGGTAGTCGACAAGACACATTGGCTTCTTGACAAGTGACTAGTGAAGCCTGACACGAGCTTCAATGGCCATGTCTCACCCATATCGGATATCACGTTAGGTCATGTTTACTCAATGTGACGAACGGGATCTCGGTCGGCGGGCATGGCAACGCTATATCTGGTAGGACACCTGTGGTTTATGCTCAACAAGCCTATTGAGCCTCATGCTTCGAATCTGGTATAGACGACTGTATGTATTCCACGCGACCGCTCGTCCTCCTTTCCGCGTCACCAGCCAATTGACACCACGCAGGGTACACCTACATTTGGTGGTTTCCAGTCAAGATTGAAGTTGCGACGCGATGCCGCCGCAGTCGTTGCTCAGGGTCATCGCTGCTTCGATCGGGGAAGACGCCAGGCCCCCCGATTTGGCAAGGCGTGTCGTTGTAGTGAGTGTTCCTATTTCGCGCATCCTTATTCTTTGCGGGCCCGTCGCCAGCGACCTCGGGCACTATTTGATGCGCCCGTTCCGAATTGCTGCACCTTCGAAGGCGGCCCTGAACAACGAGGCGCGTTAATTGAATTCCCGCTCCTTCGCGGAAGCAAATTTTAGCTGTTTCAGGAAAGTTCTTCGGCGATGGGACCCATAATCACCTACACTGGAACACGCTAACGTATTACAGATTCCTCCACGTCGTCCCCGTACCTCTTGCTATTGTATTCTGCTACGCGGTCGCGATGGCCTGGACAACGGACTTGACATGTGTCGTGGCTTGGTCGTGGCTGTGAGATGTGACCTCAGTTGGCCTCCTCATCTATAAGAAGCATAGACATCATGATGCTCCATCATACTCCTTAAAGCACGCCGGCCTCTGCGATCCTTTGCTCCCCTCACTCTTCCATGGGACCATGACTCTCAGGAGATACCTCAGCAACCTCGTATCGCCAATATCGCCTCGTCGCCCTCGCACAGCGTCCATTCAATCACCAAACAGCGTACGATCCCCCTTGGAGGACCTTCGGGACTTCTGGAAGGCAGCTTTTGAGGAGTCACTGGAGCAGGGCGAGGAGTTCAGGGCGGCGGCCCTCGCACGCATTCAAGCGCAGCGAGGACTGCTCTCTGACGCAGAGGTGTGGGACCTGCAAACCATGAACGATGGGTACGTTGACGTTATATATGATACCTCGATACCGAGTCTCATGTCTCCTCAGGCTTGTGGTCGAGCGGAACGACCTCTCCGACTTTGCCCAGAGCCCAGAGAGGCTGAGCTTCGAGATCGTTTCAAGAGCATCCCGTTACAAGTCTCGCGCACAGTCACTGTACTCGGAAGTGAGGGTGAGCAGCGATTCGGCATCGCGCTGGGAGTCCCCCTGACACTATCGATGCAGGAGGTCGTCCGGCGCTCACAGGCCAGTATCGAGGGCGCTCAAGCGCGAGCTTCGGAATGCAAGCGTGCGGAGCAACGAGGGGCGGTCACCAGGCATGCGGGCGTTTCTGACAACTGCCAACGTACGTCCAGCCCCCATTTCACCCAGGAACGGATGCTCAGACCTTCGGTGCTTGATAGGTAGAAGCGCGGCTATATATAGTGGTTCACACCAATCCGCCAGGGACCACGGGACGGAACTCTGCGACTCGCCGCCGGCATACGATTCCTGCTCGTCTTCGTCCTGGTACAGTCGTTCGCCCCCTGCCTCTTCCGACAGATACGAGGCTATAACTGGCTTCGTCTCGAAGACACACCGGTCAGCATGGGACGCCGCCGATGAAAATCTGAACCTTGGTGCGCTGCGATTCGTGACGTTGTCACCGTTGAGCATTAACCTGACGACCGTGACATTGTGTCCAGGTATCCGACAGGCTTCCTCGGGTCCTGGCACCAACGACACCATCCTTCCGAGCTTCGAGACGCAAGCCGTTGACGTGGGCCAATGGGCTGCAGACGTCGGCAGACGCGTGGAGGTTGCGGCCAAGAGACGCGGCCTCGGTGCTTGCAAACGGCGCTCAACTCAATCAGACATTTCGGAACAGTCAGAGTTCTCTCCCGGTCCACCCACACCGCATTCTTCCCCGCAGTCCTCGCCTCCTTCGGCGGATCTGTCCGCATCCCCTGCATTCCTCAAAAGACTCGATGATGCGCTTAAGGGTGTCAACATATCCGTGGCAGGTGAGCATCCCCCCTGAAAAGTGCCAATTCAATTCCTCATTGATCCGTTCATTGTGTACAGATCCCGAGGTGGAGGGCTTTGAGAATCACAGCCAGGAGTTTATCGCGGCGTCGTTCATGATGCATCGAACATCTCCCACACGCGTTCTTGGATATGGCAAGACGCACATGCTTCGCGGCCCCAGAAGTCCCATCCGGGCGACCCAGTCACAGCTCAACCCTGTCCTTCCCCTTCCGTTCCGACCTGTGCCTGACCTTCGCCGTGCTGCGAGCCAGCCTCAGTTACAGATGCGGGGCCCGCGTGAACGACTCCCAGTGCTTTTCACACAGGAGGACATGGACACGCTCCGAATTATGACGAGCAACCTCAGGTCGCCGATCAGTCCACGGACAGATGAAGATGAAGACGAAGACTATGGAGAGTGCGAAGACTTGTTCTCTGACGATTGCACAGTGGAGACGGCATCTGTCGTCGTGCAACCCTACGGGCATTCTCGAGCCAACACCGTAGACCGACCCATCGTTTGTTCTCCGGAGCTCTTTCCCTTCAAGACACCAACCTCGACTAGGTTCGAGGGCGTTAGGCATTAACGGGACTCTGGTATTGGATTGTGGTTTTCATCCTCACTCGCTTGACATGACACATTAGCTTTTATCTCGCTCTCACGTCGCGCTCTTTACGCTCTGCTCACGAAACATGCACTACTCTCTTGACCACCCGGACCTACTGTATTCACAAACCACAAATCCTAGCTGTAACATCCCGTATTAGACATCTGTATTCTTAACAGCGTCTTGACCTGATACCACGCTTGCCGTGCGACAGACGCAATCTGTATAATCCTTGATCTGGGCGTGTCCCTCGTAATCTATCGCTAGTCTCCCTCGGTCATACATCAGGAACCTCACATCTGCTTCTGTCAATGCATGTCGATGCGTGCGGTCCTCGACTCCCACCGTGCATACTTTAGTTGCCGGTGGAGATGCAAAAGAGGATATTGATTGGCAGCCTTCCATTAAGTTATCTTATGACAGTGCAGGATCACAAGTCGACGTATCGGTGTACGAAGTGCGATGCGACAGCCGGCGCCGCGGAGACGGTTCCTCCGGCCGAGAACTCATTCGCTTGGCTAATCATGAGCAGTCCGACTGCAAAGGACATGCGTAAGCAATTCAAAGCAGGATTTCGAGGAGGTGGACGTATGGACGTACCAATGAGTCCGAAGAGACCCATTATGCTCCCGAAGACCTCCACGACGAGGATTTTCACGAACAGGTCTGGGTCGGCTGCATCGGCGAGCGCGGCGGTCGAGCCTGTGATCCCCACGCAGACGCCACACAGGAGATTGCACGCGCCAACTGTGAGTCCCCCCCAGAACAGAGCATAGCCTACAGATGGGCCACGGACGTTCAGGGTTAGCCAAAGGCTGTGTACGTGCCTGCCACCATACCTGTGAAGTAGTTCTCTCGGGTATAGAGCTCCGTCTCGGGAACGTTCGTGATCTTCGAAGAGTAGACGATGCCAATGATCTAGGAGGAGTGAGGGGAGCGAACAGGATCATGTTGCGAGTCAACGTACGACACCGTAGATGGCCACGACCTCGCAGAAAATGATACTAGACGCAGGTCAGACAAATGCACATTTCCATGCGCACTTCCATAGGCATGAAGCTACACACCTGATCAGGTTCTTGGTTCCGATCCGGGGTGCTCGAACACCTCCGCCGAGGATGGATGACCCGGTAATGAAGATACCCCTGCAGAGCAAGGTGAACGCGGGCGCGGATTGTAAGACACGATGGACGTACCATCCAGCGCCCAGCACGCTCAAACCAATGCAAAGACCGATTCCGGTCGCCGCCCAAGCATACGGGCTTGTCTCTTCCAAGAAACGACCAACATTGAAGGCCTCGCCGGAACCTGAGCGGCACGGTGTCGTTCAGTACCGCACATGTTACAGTGCCAATACGCGTACTCACCGGTAAAGAGAAGATAGAGGCCTATCACTACGACCAGAAAGGTCGGCAAACCGTAAGTGTAGTATGAAGTGAGCACGCCCATCGTGGCGGGCAGCGTTCAAGGAGTGGTGATCGCTGTTCGCGCCGGCGGTGACGAGTGCACTGGCAGGGCACGTGCACGTAGGCAGTCCGGCGCTCGTCCCCGCCACAAGCGGGACTCGCGACCGCGGGCGACGCGCTTTCACACTCGGACCAATGTAACCATGTACCATCTTCTGAAGGGGTTCTACGAATATTTCACCAGGTTTGTCGTGCATGCTGGGCGCGCATATAACGCGACTGATATCCCTCAGAAAGGAAGAGTTCTCCGTGATCATTCTTGGACTCGACGGCGCTGGCAAGACAGTACGCGCAAACACCTCATTAGATCAGAGGGATTCTCCTAACAATTGTCAGACATTACTAGAGAAGATCAAGACGCTATACAATGACACTCCAGGGCTTGCTCCGGACAAAATTGCGCCAACAGTCGGTCAGAACAGTACGTAGACTCTTCTCAGACGTCGGTACTGTATCTGACGTTGGCAGTGCAGTGGGCAAGATAACACTGCCATCTACGATTCTTCAGTTCTGGGACTTGGGTGGTCAAAGGGGGATCCGATCTATATGGCATCGTTACTACGACGACTGTCATGCGGTGGTCTTCGTCCTGGACGCACAGGACCGCGAGAGGCTAGGTGAAGGATGGGAAGTGTTCGGTATGTAACTCCTGTCGTCCGCCCACGCTTTCTGTGCGCTCATGCTGAGAAAGGATCCTAAGACAACGTCCTGTCGGACCCTAAGATCCTCGGCGTTCCACTGCTCCTGCTCGCGAACAAGCAGGACAGTCCACACAGCCTCTCCGTAGAGGAGATCCGAAATGACTACGAGGAATGGTACCGCAGCAAACAGGATGCGGCCCGCCGGAGGTATGGAGATGAAGTTGAGCTAGAGCACCGCAGAGACCGGATGGCCAGTCTCGATGTCATGGGTATATCCGCATTGGAGGGGTAAGCGTTAGTCGCATGCATTGCTGGTCATCTAGTCAATGCCAGTTTAGGACCGGTGTTCAAGCAGCGGTAGATTGGCTATTCATACGGGTGCAGAATAGCCGTCGGAGGCGAGTAATGTTTCGCCTGTTGTATTCGGGTGATCTAACACGGTGTACAGGGATGAGCAAAACGATGGCAGATAGCTACTGGTGTCATTGATTGGCCCTCGTCACTATCCACTGCCATTTTCAGGTCCTGCACTACGTATGATGGATATCACTCCTTTAATCGCTACCACATTGTCAAACGGAGCCTCCGGACGAGAACTGTGATCTCGCCGCATGATGGAATGAGTTGCTGCGCAGGTGCCTATTCTTCGATCGCGGCACGCCTCCTCATACGAGTCTCAGAATCCTCTGCTCGCGAGTACGGAGGATGTCTCTTGTTGAGCGAGAGGCTGGTTGCATCCGCCAACTGAACCTGAGGAGCTTTCCCTCAGCCTAGTACCACTGGCGAGAAAGCATTCCACCGGACGTGCCGTGTCAAGTGTACAGCAAAGTGACTAGTGCCCCCTATTCTATTTATGAGAAGAGGACGAGGAGGGGGTGAATAGAATATCGCCTCATCACCTATTGGCCTCAATGTCGATTGAGCGTCCGAAAAGTCGCCGTGCGATCAAACTGAACGCAGTTACTGTGTAGGCGCCTACGACGTGACCTCGACACGCCATCTCATCCTCAGTGCTGAGCTCACACTGCTCACGAAAGACACGGGTCGGCCTCAATCCAAATTCTCAACGGATTCACCAGCTTATGGGTGTGCATGTCGCGTGAACGAGCGGCCGAGTATCACCATGCCGGCTCCCCGCACGAACGGGACGAAGAATACGAGCGAATCAAGTCAGCTGCTGTCGGCTTCCGTGGCTCTCTCGTTCCCAGCTAACACGCTGTTGCTGTTGTAGGAAGTATGAAGACTTTACGACAATAGGTGCGGACTCTGACGTCACAGTCGCCGGTGGTCACTGAAACGGAGGCATGTTCGTAGACTGGATACAGGATGCGATCGTCGAGCGGAATCGACGCCTCCGGACTTCACGCAAGCTGCACTCTTCGTACATTGGCCATGGCAGGAGATGGGAGGTCGCATGGGCGTGGACATGGTCGAAATTTTCTATCTTTGCGGATGCTGCGCAGAGCTGGTTCGTGGTCAGCCTAGTCGGTGAGTCGTGCTTTACATGCGTTCGACGGTGCCTGGAGAGTCGGACTGGCAAGATGGATGGAGAAGAAGGATTCGGCATGCTTCAATGACCCAGCAATTGAAGGCACCGTAGTTTGCGGATCGTTCGTCGCGTTCTGCTAAAGCATGACTGCGCGAAGCTGTCCTCCCTACTTCGGTATACATATTCTGGCAGCTGGCTTAAGACAGATGATGTCTCTTCGTCACGGCGAACAAGTGCGATGGGTGGTCTTCGTTCTGCATATCTTGCTGCGCTGGTCCCGTTGCATACCATCTATCTGACACTAGCACACCCTTGCAGGCGTATGTATCGGCGTAAACGCTGCACTCATATCCATCGTAACTGCCTGGTTGTCCGACCTCAAGATGGGCTACTGCCACGACGGGTGGTGGCTGAATAGGCAGTTCTGCTGCTGGGAAATAGAAAACGACGACGCCGGTTGTGATTCTTGGCACAGATGGAGTACTGTGCTGCCCGTGCGGTGGACCATCTACGTGATCTTCGCTGTGAGCATCACACCATGCAATCCCGTTGACTCACTCCAACGCGCCTTCGCAGGCAACGTTCTGCTTCACCGCCGCTCACCTCGTCCGGTCGATCGCAAAGTATGCAGCAGGCTCGGGTATCTCAGAAATCAAGTGCATCCTCGGTGGATTCATCATGAAGGGGTATCTGGGCGTCGGGACATTTTTCGTCAAGAGCATCACGCTGGTGTGTAACGCTCCCTCTAGCCGTCCGACCCTTATTAACCAGCTTTAGCCTCTAGTCATTGCTTCCGGGCTGTCAGTCGGTAAGGAGGGCCCCTCTGTACATGTCGCGTGCTGTATAGGGTACCTCGTTGCCAGCCTGTTCAGGCGCTATCATCTGAGTCAAGGTGAGAACACTACCATTCCTATATGTGACGTGTATTGACCTGTTGTAGGCAAGATGAGGGAAGTATTGACCGCGTCGAGTGCGGCTGGAGTCGCGGTTGCGTTCGGTTCCCCGATTGGAGGGGTGCTCTTCTCGATTGAAGTAGGTATATGATAGATACCTCTAGGTCCATGACGCTAAAAGGGCGACACGCAGGAAATGAGCAGCGTCTTCAGTATCAAGACGATGTGGAGAAGCTTCTTCTGTGCCCTCATGGCAACTGTTACATTATCAGTAAGTTACGAAGTAAGCACACTCGCGCTCCCGTCCTCTTGCTCAAAGTGATCTGCACAGGCTATGAATCCTTATCGCAGCGGGAAGCTGGTACTGTTCCAGGTCACTTATGATCGTGACTGGCACTTCTTCGAGATCATTTTCTTTGTCATTCTGGGGATCTTCGGCGTAAGTCTTGAGTGGCGGTTTCATCCTCCTCGCTGCTCACAGATAACAGGGCCTCTACGGAGCCTTTGTGGTCAAGTTCAACCTGCAAGTGGCCGCTTTCCGACGGAAGCATCTGAGCAGTTTTCCCGTCTCCGAAGCCGTCATCCTAGCAACTATCACGGCCATGGTCGGGTATTTCAACCGCTTCGTTCGGATCGACATGACAGAAAGCATGTCCATCCTTTTCCGCGAATGTCAAGGGGTGGAAGGCGACTACGATAACATTTGCCAGTAGGTTGTTCTAGTGCTGTTTCACGTGAACCGCCCTGATGGGCTATCTCAGGACATCAGAACAGTGGCCGATGGTCAACTCGCTGTTCCTCGCGACGATCCTCCGTATGGGACTTGTGGTCGTCTCGTATGGTTGCAAGGTCCCGGCTGGAATCTTCGTGCCCTCCATGGCGATCGGCGCTACATTCGGGCGTATGGTTGGGATCATGGTCAAGGCCCTTTACAGGTATGTTTGAAGAGGATCGCGCGTTTGTTTTGAGACTTACACCGCTGGTCGCAGGGCTTATCCGGAGTCCAGCATGTTCGCCGTCTGTCAGCTCGACGTACAATGTATCACGCCCGGAACATACGCATTCCTCGGGGCTGCTGCTGCGCTGAGGTGAGATCACCCGGGTTAATCCGGACGTTCCAAATGCTGACGGACCGCGCAGTGGCATCATGAGGTTGACAATAATGGTTGTTGTCATCATGTTCGAGCTGACCGGTGCGCTGACGTATATCTTGCCGACGATGGTATGCGGTCATTCCAGTCAGCACCTGACATGCTCTAATGACGCTTTGCAGATCGTTTTACTTGTGACGAAGGCTGTCGGTGACTTCCTTGGAACGACCGGCATCGCAGATGAGATGATTCGTTTTAATGGCTATCCATTCCTTGAGAGGGATGATGAAGCATATGATGTGCCTGGTACGCGTCGCATCGCCGTAGCTTCAGTCGCAGGTACTGACGACGAACAGTCTCGAGAGTGATGAAGACAGAACTGCATACCATACCTGCGTCTGGTATCTGTATCCGCGACGTCGGTGAGTAGACCTTTCATTGTCGCTGTAGAATATGTACTCACTGTGTGCAGAGGAGCGACTCAAGACCAGCGATGTGAAGGGTTTCCCTGTGGTCTCCGCCGACGGGACGAACACGCTCATAGGCTACATTGACCGCGCGGAGTTACGATACGTGCTTGGTATGCGTCACGTGTTTCCCATCTATCCCTTAAAGGCTCACCGTCCTACAGACAAAGCACGTCGAGTGCAAAACATATCCTCCGCTACGCCGTGTTCGTTCGCATCTGACCAGGACGACCACGATCAGATCGAGTTTCAAGTTGACTTCCCAGGCATGCCAACAGGCCCTGCTCTCGGAATCGATGAGGATATATCTATGGAGATATTGGAGACGACCGCTACTCCCGGGGTATTGAAATTCTGGCCTTGGGTCAATCAGGTTTGTGCCTTGTGTTGTATCGATGAACATGTAACTTACTAGTCTCCCTAGACTCCGTTCACTGTTTCGCCACAACTCCCATTGGAGATTGCTATGCAGATGTTCAAGCGAATGGGGTGAGTATTCCGTTCCTTTGGCATCCGCTCTCTACTTACAGGAGCCGTCAGGCCGCGAGTTATTCTAGTCGAAGACCGTGGAGAGCTACTCGGACTGGTCACCGTGAAAGACGTCCTCCTGTTCACCCTAGCAGAACATAGCCAGACGAAGTCACCATGGGGCGAGGCCGAGTTCGAGGGCATCCTCGAAGAGGTATGGACATGGACAACTGACCGGTTCTACGCGTTTATTTCTTACTGTCGCGCGCTCGTGAGACGGTAGCTAACTTATCTTTTCCTACATTATGTTCTGGGATGCGTACAATACATGTTAGTCTTCTGCACCGCCTGGCTTTGCGGCCATATACAGTGAGATGCACTGATTCAAAGAGGAACACGAGCCATGGTAGGAGTGACGGATAGCATCAACGGGATGATGTTGGAGGAGTCGAGAAAAAGGGGCGGCCCCATATCAGGATGGAGGTCAAGCATCGGCGCGCGGAGCACCCTCGATTGTGGTGATTTGGATAGTGTCTCCTTCCGTACTGTCGTGTGGCAGCTGCTGTAGTAACGGGTAGGTGTCAGCCTGTGTCCAAAGGGGAAGGATACCACTTACCAGGTTAATCTCGTTCTCCACTGCACCAGACTCGGCGAAGGGGTTAGGGACGAGCATGCTAGCTATGCGTTCGTGCTCCATGCCAGTTGGCTGCTCCTCGCCGTTGTACGGTCCTGCACCAGCTTCTGGTTCCATGAAAATGGAGTCGACCTCTTCGTCTGACAAGTGCATGTCTTCTGTGGCGATGACTCGCTCCTGGAAGGGATCCACAAATCCTGCGGAGTCCAGACTGACCAACGAGGCCAAATGATCGGCTGTTCATGTCGTAGCATCAACATAGACCGGCATAAGAGACCAGGCTGTATTATGAGTTACGTACCGACCGAAGTGTTGTCGTCGAAGGGCGTGCCTGCCGCATCTTCGCCAGTCACTGAGCCTATAAACCGAAAGGATGAGAAATGAAGGGAGCGGAGCTGTAGAAAATGACGATTACCTGAACTCAAGCTGAGCGTAATCTCGGACGCAGATCTCTCCGAAGACACAGGCAGTGTCGTGTTTCTCATCCTCCGCGATACCAAGCGGCTGCGTGCATGCTTGGCGCAGCTCTGTGCGTACATTGCATGTCATCAGCGACAATGCATTCAACCGGAATGATCAATAAATGATCAAGTTACGCACTATTATGGCGTCCTTCAGCAGAAGGGACTCCCGTTTGTACTGCAAGATCTCGTGCCGCTGCTTCAAGCGGATGAGCATACCGTCCCCAATCTGGACTCTAGTGATCACAAGCCTACGTCCATCCGTAATTAGTGGTCCCGACGGTCAATGGATTAAGTCACGGTGGAGACTGACTCGTCGTAATGATCGCGCAAACCGTCGTACGTCTCTTGTTTCGTCATGGCCTTGACATGTGTATTCTCGAGCAGGGTCAATGTCACTTTCTGAGCCTCGTCGCCTTGGCGCAATGCGGCCGACGTCAGGAGCCGTCCAGCGGCGATATTCACGATGCCAATAGTTGCTATGGACGTGGCCATTTGAGTACTGTGGTAGAGAAATGAGAGCCGTTGACCAATGGGGACGGTTATCAGATGAGGGAGATAGGGAATGTTAGTATGAACGAGGAGGGGGAATCGCTGCCTCAATATATGGCTGCAGCTGCACAAGAGGCCACAGAATCAACACACTTAGGTTACAAGACCGCATGGAATATGATCGAGTGCGCCCTGGAGACGGGAGGTTTGATGACAGCTTCGGTCACTGGCGTAATTTTGTGATGATCTCTGTTAGTCATTGCAACAAGAGTCTGATAGTCACTCACACTGCTTTGCAGGCTTTTGAGGAAACTGGAACTGCCTTAAGTATGCATTCCTTGTTTTTAGCGTACGGCATGCTCTCACCAGACAAACCTCGGCGTCATTGAATTTTGAGGGCCTGAGCTTGAGCAGAACACGAGGGGCATACATTGATGCACTGGCCGGAACCTTGGAACAATGTAATTGCGAGCTGTGTTTCAGTGCACACAAGAACGATGAGAGGGCGACGGAGTGTCATGTACTCAAACAGATTCCGAAGACAAACGTTCGCAGGCACACGGGCGTCAAGGTCTGAAGAGCGCTTGCTGCTATGCTGGGATGTAGCAAGGTACGCAGACAGGGACAACGGAACAACACAACGGGTATACCTATAACAACCACTTTACTACGATCGCAGGACAATGGGTCACCTAAGGGGGGCGGGGGTAGGTACCGCAGGCAGTCCACGCAAGACATACGACGTGGTCCGAAGCAGGTGTCCGAAGCCCCGGAAGCCTCGTTGTAGCAGAGTCTCCTTCTCCTTCCGTGAGACAAGGCGCTGGCGGCACTGCCACCGGGGAAGCTCGCTCTCGACGGCCGCAAAGCGCCTTACGGCTTGGTCGATGGTTAGCCGTTCCTGGGGGTCGCTCATGGTCATGCCTGCGACCAGCTCGTACATGAACCTTAGCCCGGAATACTTCTACGCATAAGTCAGCAACAGGTTACAAGATATATAAAGGGGGAACACCTACCACAAGGAACTCAAGGAGAATACAGGATCCAAGGTAGTATACATCAGCGGCGAATGGATCACCGAGTTTGACGTGGCCGTTGCCCTGACGTTCCGGGACGCTCTTGTCGCCACCCAGGACTGGTAACTCTAGCGGAGGCTCGTCATTGGGGTTGTATCTTCTGGACAAACCGAAGTCGACGTAGTAGTACTTCGTTGGACGCTCAGTCCGAGTGTACGGCGTCGCCCATTTGCGGTAGTCTCGCGTCTTCCTAGCATCTGACGGGTGGGCTAGCGTCGGACCGTAGAGCGGCAGTGGACCCAACCTGATATTGAAGGGAGAAATATCGCTACAGCAAATGTGTCGTTAGTTTTGCGTAACAGGTACAGGGCTTTGACTTACGAATGAGCGATGCGATTCTCGTGCATGAATTGCAGGCCCTGAGGTTCGAGCTGGAGGTGAGACGCTGTGACAGTTGGCGTTGAGCTTACCTCCAATGCCTGGCGGAAGAATTCTACTGCCTCGCCGATTGTTTGGAATCGTGGTTCGTTGTAGGTCTGCAGAAACGGCATGACGATGATAGAGACCGCCTCCTCCTTCGGATCCTGCAACACCTCAATGGTCGGCACACAATGGTTGCGTGTATCCGACTTCAGAGGTTCTGAACAGAGCGTCTTGGCAATCTCCACTTCGTGCGGATGTATAGAACTGTCTATGCTCTTGAGCATGACGACAGTCCCGTCTGAGATGCGTGTCGCGTCAAGAACATTATGATGCTAATGTTAGTTAGTGTCAGCGATGCGAATCAAACAATATGAATGCGCACGATGAGAATTTGTCCGTCCTCGCACATAAGACTCCATATGTCTGTTCCCTTCCAGGATGGTATCCAGTCCGGCCTGTATCTCGGACGGAGCGTGTATCCACGCTCCTCAAGCCATGGTTGCCTATCGCGCCAAATGCATTCGGCCGAGCTGAGCTGTCCTGATACCCAGCGCGTCCTAGTGGTAATTGCAGCCTTTGCAGGTGCTTTTCCGCGGTTGTGGTCCAGGCCGGAGGACTCTTGCATCGTTCAGTGCGCTGAAGAGGTCGAAGCTGATGGAGGCGCATAGGGACAAGCACGACATTTATAGTCGCTGCAGCCCGACGTAGACAATAGCAACATAGGGCCTCCTGGGTGTGAGCACTGAGCACGCTTGGCGAATAAGACAATTGACAGTCACAGTCTAAGTGGCACTACGTAGGCAAGCTGAGGAGGAGGAGGCTGAGGAGGAGGAGGGTCCGGTCACACAGGCGCTCGGCGGCATCCTGAACGTTCTGTAAGTTATTATAACGGCCCACCACCAACCACGACCAGGGGGCAACCAAGCGCCGAAGGCGCGGCCGCAACCCTAGTGGTGGTGGTCTGAAATCGGTGTACGGGGTCCTGATATGAGCTTTTCAAGCGTGAAGCTACCATATTACCTGCTGCATGTCGTGGACGCAATATCTGGGTGCGGTATTCTTTGGATGTCTTTGGCAGAGCTGTATCAATCACTGGATACCACTCTTATGGTGATCACTCAGTTGTATGCATTGCTTGTCGAATATAAACCCTCTCTCGAGGAGGCGCTTAAGTGCAATCGATCGTACTCCGTATATAGTAGCAGCCACTTGCAGACTTGATTCATCGTGGGTTGTGTGCACGCATGGCGAGTGAATAGATTGCGGTGCGTACGTATGAGTGACGGTTTCGCGGTAAAATACTTATAGGAAAGTCGTAGCTCCGCGGCGATTGACTTACTCTGAAGACTTACTTTCGCGCGACTTAGACTTAGTGTGATTGGCGCCCGGCCGACGTGCCCGAGGCGGCCTTGCCAAATCGGGATGAACATCGCACTTGCCGGGACCACTGCGCCAGACGGTTTCCCCTTTATTCTCTGTGATGCATGACATTTCTGCATTGAATTGATACACTTTCAACTTATGTCATAATATCTGTCCCTTTCGATACCATGAGAACCGCGGGCTCAAGGCCATGGCTCTCCTACTGAAGATCCCGGGCCATTCGTCTCGTCAATAAGGGGGGCTATGGAGTATGAAAAGGCATTTCACAGCTCCGAGTCTATAATATGATGATCGGGCTTCCGGGGTTCGTGCTATCCATGTCATGCAATGGACAGCCGCAGTGCGCGTAGACAAAGTTGCCACAACTGGCTGATGATTCCGCATTAGGCAATTGATCAGCCGCCGAAGCGGACTTTGGCATTCTAGGTGAGCAGACAACGGGTGTGTCTCACTGCAAACTATATACAGTATTAGTGACTAGACAAGAAATATATGCATGATTGTAGAGACCAAGTGCACGAAACGGCATGAATTTATGTCCAAAGGGTACGGTTCACGTGTCAACTAAGTGGTAAGTCTTACGCGACAACTAAGTTCTCACTGTAAGTATTTTTCCGCGATAACGACCGTCATAGTCGTACGTGTATAGTTAGAGCTCTCCGCCGCACGACGACAATGGACATCCCTCCGGATCTCTCTACTCCTCATACAATCTCTATCCCCGGAGGTCCTACCCTCGAGACTGAGTGGGACGAGAGAAAGCAGAGACACATGGTCTCCTGCGATCTATGCGGGAAAAGGATTGCATTGACTAATGCAAATATTGAGCACGTACCATCGGTGTCCACCCAAAGTTTGCCGTATCAGGACACAATAGGTGAGTTGCTGAATAAATCACGGCGAACTACTAGCACGTACTGACATGCTCCTAGGGAACGACATGTTCACCGTCCTTGATGTGCCAACTTGGCTCACAATCGAGAAGAAGGCCGGCTCGGATGTCGTACCTTGTTTGATCTGTGGGAGTAAAGAGGCGGTTAAGAACATGCGGAATCACATCGGACGCCATATCTTGTATTCAATGCGAGGGATAGACGAAAACGTACCGTATGTCGCAAAGGTGAATTCATTATTTGAGGATGAATGTTCGCAATAACTAACCTGCCGACTTTGCAATCAGCTCGGCGTCGAGCCTTGCGGCTTTTGTGGAATGGATGGGTGTGTTGTTCAGCTAACCAAAAAGAACAACAGTGTTTCAGTTGCTTGCAGCTGTCCATACCACTACACGTCGATGAGCTACGGCGCAGCCAAGACAGTAAGCAAGGCCACTCCGTGTACAAATGTGCCGATCTACTGTCCTTTGTGCCCGATTGGTCCGTCAGGGCAGCCGCGCACTATCTGGAAGTACAACGTGCTATTCCATCTTGCGAAGGAGCATTGTACCGACAACGACGAGTTACCTCCTATCCCGCTGCAGCTGGCAATCGACATGCACATATCGATCGAGGAGGAGAGCTTGATGCGAGTCGCAAAAGATGTCACGGAGGACTGGCGGAAGCAGCATGCCATTCCGGGGAGCGACGAGATAGAGGAATATCGCGAAGAGTTGAAGGCGAGTCAGACAAAGGGTAAAAAGCGTTTGCGATCGCAGTCAACAGCTGTAGTCGAACGAGGAGGACCTAAGCCGCGCCAACGCTAGGATCGCCTGCATGTACTTACTCGTAGTGGACTGTTATCTAATCTAGCGTCTTATCGGACTGGTGGTGGTCTCTCAGGTGTTCGGGGGCCAGCGCTAAACTTTTTAGACTTGCGGGCCAGAATCCCCCGAATGGATGCCCCTCGACCACGACTACCACTGCGATGATTTTAATCGGCCCTGATATTCCCCAGCATATTTTCTTGCTTGCAGCTGGCACTGCAGGGCAACGACTGCAACACCTCGCCTGCCAAGTCGACTCGGACTGCCTGCAAAGTCTTTTTGTCCTGTTTGTTGTCGGAGGTCACCGGAGCTATGCTGAGTAGGCCGCAGCGGGCCCTAGCTAGCTTGCGCCCACAATACGAGCGACCAGTCCAACAATAGCCTGTGCAACACCACGGACTGCCAGATGGTTTCCGCCGACAAAAGCGGGTGAGTTCGCCTTGCACGCGAGTCAATTGAGTGAGTGCGACAGGCACAATCGAGTATTGTTCAGCGGACATGATCCGTGTCAGTAGCACGACGGATGAGAGAACAGAAACTCAGCGGCATCTTGGGGGGGGGGGATGACCGCGGCACGGGTACTTCTAGCGCGAGCGACAACGGTGGCCTCAGGAATGCGGTTACATGTTACACCACGGTGACTCACGCTACAAGCCAGAATGGAAGCTTTTGTTATCAGGTACAGACAAGTACCAAAGATACTACGAAGACGGGGGAATATCCTGGTACGTTTATCCTGTCGCAGGGTTTCTTCGGGGCACCAACACCAACTCCAGTTCTTCAGCGATATACCTGCCATTACAGACACCACATGACGGTCGGACTCGGACGAATTTCTCGCAACATCAAAGAGTATTGCCTCTCGGACCACCCGTTCGAGGACAGGATCGGATGCCATCTGAGCCATTAACGCAGGACTTTTGGAACCACTGCGTGCGCATTCTCGACGTACGACGCGATCCAGTGGGTCCAGAGATGTCAGCAATTGGCATGCCTCTCCTCAAGGGCGATGATGTCCCGGAGTTATGAAGGTCGGAGAGGCTGTCGCCTTCATGAAACAGGCAATCGAGGTACAGAGTGCGCACATTGACGTTTTGTCAATGCACTTACTAACCATTCTCTAGGTATTTCACTTTGAACTAGAGGCAGAAGCTTACTTTGTTCGATAGGGAGACCATGATCCTGAATGTCATCGTGGACGTTATTACGCCAACGTACTTGAAGGAACTGTGGCAACACCGATCAGCACGCTACACGCGCGACCTCTCTGGAGTTGCAAAACACGTCATACGCACGGAACGACCAGTGGACCACTTCTACATCGACTTCGAACTATCGCGCAAGCACAACGCTGCGAACAGACCACCGATAGAACTGCCAATTCGCGGCGGAGAAAAGTGCCTCGGAGTTGCAAGGCGACGCTTATCATGAACCCCGTGAGCGGTTCAAGACCGATCCGCCTCTATGGTTTCGTTGTCGGTTTTGTGACGGATTTATCCTGGCATGATCGATTTTGCTGTGTGCTCCGGTCTCAGAGCGTTAGAATGTCGATTTTTACTTGACTATGACACGCTGGGCAAGCTACAACCAATGACAGGGGGTGTGCGCGTAGGGATTGCAGGCAGACAGAGGAGGATCAGACGGTTGAAGCCGGTTTGTACGGCTAGTTCTTCTGTGCGCAATCGTATCTGACTACTCACTACTACTAGAGTCACTAGGCGCCTTCGTGGATGCGACCTGGATGTCGATGGTACCGCTAGCCAATCTCAAAAGTCATGTCATCGCGTGCGAGTCGGGTCTAAGTATATGGACCCGATGTCATTGTGCATAGCGTGAATGCTACGTAAGCTTGCTTCTCTCAAATTATATTCCGCCTTGGTCAACTACAATACATCTTATTTTCGTAGGTACCCCGGAGCACCGCGTGTCGGCAATCTCGACAGATGGCAACGCAACGGAGTGCCCTTCAGTAGTCGCACACAAGGGCCACCCGAATCTGAAGGGTGCTGATATGGGAAGGGGGTGGCCACAAAAGCCGTTAGACTGACCTCAGAATGCGCCTTCTTGAGCCTTCAATTACGTGGTGACGCATGATGGATACCACCGGCGGATAACATGGTTCGTATCCGGTCGACCATGTCTCCTCCATGACATGCTTGAAGCACTTGTTGTTCTCGCCCCACGTCAATGATTCAATTTGGCGCACTTCGCTAGCAACAACATCTGATCATATCCGTCCGCCCTTGGCCGCGGCCTATCGCAACGCGGTACATATTACCATGCGCATCGGCGACCGAATGGTGACGGTTCTTCTGCGTGTTGCACAATAATCGCCCTCACTGCTGCATATCAACAGCGGATATTCACGGTCAATTGCATGAAAGCATGTACTGCGAAGTGCAGAAAAGTGACTAAAGCAAGACAGCAAAGCAAAGATGAGCTGGGTATCTGAGTAATGACTGTGTGATGAGGTACGGTTCAGGAAGCGGGAGGTGTAGGGACTGCAGGTAAACGAAGCAACACGTAAGCCGTTGTCCGGATGATGTGTCCGATGCCCCTGAAGCCCCGGAGTATAGGGCCCTCCTTGCGCGAGACCAGCCGCTGACGACGTTTCCACCAGGGAAGCTTGCGCTGGATGACCGCAAAGCGCTTCGCGGCTTCGTCAGCAGTCGGTCGCTTCTGGGGATCGTCTGCAACCATTGCCGTCACCAGCTCGTCCGCGAATTCGAGTCCCTTGAACTTCTACGCCAGGGTTAACACACGACAAGCAGACAAAAAAGGACCACTACCTTGAGGAACTCCTCTCGAAACCGATTTCCAAGATAGTATACGTCGGTCGCAAACGGGTCGCTTGCTTTGTCGTAGCCATCGCCTTGAAACTCCGGCACGGTCTTGTCGCCCCCCATTATTGGCAGTTCGAGGGGGTGTTCTACCTCTGGGCTATATTTCCTAGAAAGGCCGAAGTCGATGAAGTAATACCTCGTCGGGTGTTCAGTACGTGTGTATGGCTTTACCCTCCCGCTGTAGTCTCGAGTCATGTGTGCATCGGTAGGGTGGTACAGCTTCGGGTACAACGGTGAAGGATCCATCATGACATTGAGCGATGAAATGTCGCTTTTGGGCAATGTGGTGAGCATGTGCTCTAGAGCGTGCACGGCGGCCCATACCGGTGTGCGACTCGATTTTGATGCATAAATTGTAAGCCCTGTGACAACAGTCAACACGACAACCGACAGCGGACAGCGCAATGCTGACCTCCAACGCTTGGCGAAAGAACTCCACCGCCTCGCCGACCGTACCGAACTTCGGCTTGTTGTAGGTCTTCAGAAAGGGCATGACGATGAGGCAAATGTTGTGGTCAATCGGATCTTGTAACACCTCGATGACCTGCACGCAGTGATTGCGCGGATCCGACTTCAACGGTTCCTCGCAGAACATCCGGGCTATCTCGACTTCGTACGGGTGCACAGAAATTTCAATCATCTTGAGTGTGACAAGAGCTCCGTCCGAGACACGGGTCGCATCAAGGATATGAGGATTCTAAGACGCGTCAGTTCGTAGCAGTATCCGAATCGTCCAACACGGCGTACGCTGAGCATGCGTCCATCCTCGCAGAACAGAGGTAACTTGGTTGTTCCTTCCCACGATGGCTTCCAGTCCGGCCTGTATCTAGGACGAAGCATATATCCACGCTCCTGTAGCCAAGGCTGGCGGTCCCGCCAGAATATCTCGTTCTCAGTGAGCTGCCCAAGAGCCTGAGCACGAGCCAGTGCGGACTGAGATGTGGGATTGTGAGCCATTAAGCTGTCGTAAGGTACGCTGGCCTGTTCACCACAGGATCGGGCCTAATTTTTGAGTGAGAAGGGTGGCGTACGATCGACGTTCATACTCGAAGTACGAAGCAGTGTGAACAATAACAACCAGTGGCAAGAGAAGCATCTGGCAAGGCGCGGTAGGGCACAGAAACTGCAGACGCCCAGCCTTCAGTGTCGCCATCAATATGACCGGCGCTCCGAGCGGTACCGCCGCATCGGTATGTACCGAGATGTACCAACCCACAATTGTGGCCTCAGGCCTAAGGCCTAAGTACTTAGTCGCACACAAGGGCTCCTCCCGAACCACTTATTGTTCTCGCCGCACGTCAATTTGAATCATGCGCACTTTGCCAGCGACAACATCTGATATTTGTCCGCCCTGGGTCGCGGCGCGTACTAACCATCGTATCAGGCAGAACAGAGGCTGCGGTCTACCCCGTCGACGGTGGGTATTAGGTCTGGGTCGTCTTGCACCATATCCGTCACCAACCAATGTACCCGGAGAGACTTTTGATGTGACAGCGCATATGGACTCAGGGACACGCACATCCGAGTCGACTCGGAGCAACTCGAATTGTCCGCGCGTATGAAGATGTTACCCCCATCAGATTAGCTATGATCATGCGCAAGGTATAGTGCAGATGAGCATTACTGTGAGAGAGGTAGAAGGGGAAGAGTCGTCGCAGCGGCCACTGGGTTGTGAGAAAGCTGTGATGTCGCGCCTTTCCGAATTTGTGGTGCGGTGCTGCACTGCTCAGATCTTGATCTTGAGATCCGGGGCAGTTGCCAAATCAGGCCGCCTGCTGAGTCAGCGGACGCTTACGCCTCGACTCCTCCTCTCTTCACTGCTCTCCACCATCTGCTCGCTGTCTTTCACGACGACCACGACCCTTTCCTCACGACCACGACCATTCCTTCGTTCGTCTATCCTCCTGCTCCTGCAATTGTGGCGACCCTCGCTTCCAATGCGATGTACTACCCGCAACAGTCCCCGGGCATTGCCCACAAGCTCCCCGCACATCAGCATCCTCCCGTTCACGATCAGTCGCCCTGGGTGCGTCAACCGCACCACCCTGTGTTAGGGCCTCCTGGTCATGGACAACCACCAACGTCCCCGGCCTACCCCCTCTTCACCAATGGCGCGCTCGGCGCTATGCAGCACCATCCTCACGCGCATATGCCGGGTCCGCTCGCTCACCACCACCACTCTCATCAGAATTCGCTCTCGCACACGCATTTCCCTTCACCACCAAATGGAAACGGTATACCTGGACATTTGTTGGCGCAGACTGGTTCTCCGGGGAGCGCGGCGGCACCGCAGATGACCGTCCACTGGCAACAGCAGCTGCTAAAGTGCGAGGTGAGCAGTCCCTCTCAGTCCAGTCTGCAACGAGCTATGCACTCTGCCATTGTTTGACGTTTCTGTCCGGCTCCTTTGTCCGTGACTTCTCGGACGTTGGGAATGCAAGAGCATCAGCTCCTGATGAGACAAGTCGAGCAGAAGTGAAACATCCATCTCGTGCGTGTGCTCGGGGTCGTTCTGATACTCGATCTGCGTCCTGGCAGAGCTTCGTTTGCGGGCGGAACTGTTTTCTTATCTTGCATAAGGACTAACTCTATGATAGATGAGTCGGGCCTCGCGTTCACCCCACCATCGAGCGCGCGCCAGCGCTATGGCTTCTCGTACTGTGCAGAAGGCTGCGATTCCCATCACAAATCCCAATGCCGTCAAAGTAGTAGCCACCAATGGCCACTCAAAGGATAGTGATGATGCATCGGCCGCATCTCCGTCCACGACTTCTGCGAGCGCTGCATCGCCGGCCGCCTCTAATGCAACCGCTAACGGGGCCGACCATCCGACAGCCACCGTGGCCCCCGTCGCAGAAGCATCCCGTCCAACTGCACCGAAGCCCAAGGGTAACACCTGGAGTTCGTTGGACATGGGCGGGGTAAACATCAAGAGCATACCGCGGACATCGGGTCTTTTCTCTTTTACCTTTCTCATCAATCTCTACTTGAACCACAACTCGTTGTCGAACATCCCTCCGGAGATCGCGAAGCTGCGGCACCTCGAGCTGCTGGACCTGTCGGGGAACAACTTGGTCAACGTACCACCGGAGCTTGGCATGCTCACGTCGTTGAAGGAGCTGTATCTGTTCGATAACCACCTGACGACCCTGCCAGCGGAGCTTGGCTCACTACATCAACTCCAGACCCTCGGGATCGAGGGAAACCCGCTGGATGCGTCGTTGAAGCAGATCGTACAGAAGGACGGCACGCCCGCGCTGATCTCATATCTCCGCGACTCCGGTCCGACCACCTCGCCTCCACCAGAACGACAATGGTTGGAGCTTGTCAGCTCAGCGGAGCGGGAAGCGTACCAGACGGACCCGAATGTGGAGACGGTGTCTGCGCTGTGCTACAACATCCTCTGCGATCGGTTCGCGACAGAACGGATCTACGGGTACACCCCGTCGTGGGCGCTGCAGTGGGATTACCGGAAAGAGTTGATCCTTGCGGAGATCCTATCACACAACGCAGACTTCCTGTGTCTGCAGGAGGTGGATATTGCGAACTTCGAGGAGTACTTCACGCCAAACTTGGCGGAGCGGGACTATGAGGGTGTCTTCTGGCCAAAGTCGCGGTACAAGACGATGAGTGAGGCGGATAGGAGGCTTGTTGATGGGTGTGCAACCTTCTTCAAGGCGTCGAAGTGCGTATAAACTTTGTTCGATCTGGATCTCCTCTGACTGTAGGGTCAGGTACACGCTCGTTGAGAAGCACCTCGTTGAGTTCAGTGCGGTGGCTATGCAACGATCTGACTTCAAGAAGACGGACGACATGTTCAATCGTGTGTTGGGCAAGGATCACATCGCGGTCGTCTGTCTACTCGAGAACAAGCACACTGGGACCCGCTTCATCGTCGCGAACGCGCACATCCACTGGGACCCGAACTTCCGCGATGTCAAGCTCGTGCAAGTCGCACTCCTTGTCGAGGAGCTGGAGAAGATGGCGAGCGGCTTCGCCAAGTACCCGCCGCGTCTACCCCCCACTCCCTCATCAGCCGGTGGCAGCGCGAACGGCTCCGCAGCAGGAGAACTCAATGGGTCGTCGCGACCGCCGCCTGTCTACTCTGATGGGACGAAGATCCCGCTCATCATCTGTGGTGACTTCAACTCGTTGCCAGTCAGTGGCGTGTACGAGTTTCTGTCGAACGGGACAGTATCACGCGACCATGCGGACTTCATGGGCCACACGTACGGCAAGTACACGTCGGAAGGTTTGCGGCATCGGTTGGGTACGAAGAGCGCGTACGCGTCGACGGGTGAGCATCCGATAACGAACTACACGCCGAGCTTCCAGGGCCCGCTCGACTACATCTGGTACTCGACGGCCAACCTGTCTGTCAACGCTGTCCTCGGCGAGGTGGACAATTCGTACTTGCAGAAGGTCGTCGGGTTCCCGAACGCGCACTTCCCGTCAGAGTGAGTATTCAATCTAGTGATCTGTAGATTGCATGTTGATCCGCGCCCCGCAGCCACTTGTGCATTGTCTCCGAGTTCCGCGTGCGTCCTCCGAAAGAGCCACAACCTGCTCGTCCTCCGCCTGTATTCCCGGAGTCGTCAAGGGCACACGCATAGAGGGTATCATGGCATCACCACATACCCCCCTCGCACACCCCACCTCCACATTCCTTCATCTTCCCTGCATATACTTCTGTTTTGTAAATATGCCGCAGGGCGTACACTTCCTTCTCGTGTGATAAGTCGCCCCTTCAGTTTAAGATAATGTTCATTACTGTTCTTGTCATTTGCATCCTCTTTGTCTTCCTGAGTTTCGCGCATTCCTCGTCTTGGTCGTCTGTCCGAACCCACGCCCGTTCTGTCTCTGCTTTGCTTTCTGGTCCTGGTCCGTGTCATGTCGCGTTGAACACCCTGCAAACTGTAGCATGTGCGTGTACGTCTTGTCCTATACTATATAAACTTTCTTCAAGCCTCCGCCTCTCGTCCGAGCCCGCGCTCCGAGGCCTGTGTCTCGCGCACGCTGGTGTCGTATGAGCGTGAGTGACGCCCGAATCAGATAAAGGCAGGAGAGCGCGTAGGCGCCCAGTACCGTACGATTCGAGATTTCAGACATGGTGCAATGGCGTAGGCCCGTACAAAAGCCATGCCTGCTCCTCGCTGCCTCTCCCTATTCCTGCATCCGCCATGGCTGTTTACCAAGCGACTGCGTCTGCCCCCGTGAACATTGCGTGCATCAAGTGAGCTGCTCTGCGTAGACAGGGGTTCTGTGCGTTACTGACCGGCGCGCGGATAGGTACTGGGGCAAGCGGGACACGAAGCTCATATTGCCCACGAACTCATCCCTCTCGGTCACGCTTGACCAGGACCATCTGCGCTCGACGACGACCTCGAGGGCGGACTCCTCGTTTGAAAAGGATAGGCTGTGGTTGAATGGCGTCGAGGAGGAGATCAAGGAGGGCGGGCGACTGGCGACGTGCATCCGGGAGTTGAAGCGGCTGCGGAAAGAGGTTGAGGAGAAGGACTCTAGTCTTCCGAAGGTGCGTACATACGGGCTTCTGGTCTACAGTGAGGTAGTGAACGGTGGTTGCTGTCTAGCTGTCCTCGTATGCCGTCCATATCTCATCAAGGAACAACTTCCCCACCGCAGCGGGCCTCGCTTCCTCTGCTTCAGGCTTCGCAGCACTCGTCGCCTCGCTCGCTGCCCTCTACCAACTCCCTGCTTCTCCCTCCCAACTCTCCCTCATCGCGCGTCAAGGTTCCGGCTCTGCATGTCGCTCGCTCTTCGGTGGCTTCGTCGCTTGGGAGATGGGCTCCAAGTCCGATGGCTCCGACTCTCTCGCCGTCGAGATCGCACCACGGGAGCACTGGCCAGACATCCACGCTCTCATCTGCGTCGTCTCGGACGACAAGAAGGGCACGTCGTCCACCTCGGGCATGCAGCGCACGGTGGAGACGTCGACGCTCCTGCAGCACCGCATCAAGTACGTCGTGCCCGAGCGCATGAAAGCAATCAGCGCCGCCATCCGCGCGCGCGACTTCGAGGCGTTCGCGCGGATCACGATGCAGGACTCGAACCAGTTCCATGCCGTCGCGCTCGACACGGACCCGCCGATCTTCTACATGAACGACGTCTCGCGCGCGATCATCGCGCTCATCGTCGAGTACAACCGTGTCTCCGTTGCGGCGGGCGGGAAACTCAAGGCGGCGTACACCTACGACGCGGGCCCGAACGCGGTTATCTACGCGCCGAAGGAGAATTTGAAGGAGATCGTTGAGTTGATCCTGAACTACTTCCCCCAGGCGGAGCCGTTCAAGGATCCCTTTGGGCTCTTCGGTGCTGGTGCGCAGGGCAAGCTCGTGGAGGGCTTCAACGCGGCGGTGGCGAAGCCGTTCGGTGTCGGCGCTGTGAAGAACCTCATCCACACGAGGGTCGGCGACGGCCCCAGGGTGCTGGCCCCGGAGGAGGCGTTGCTGGGGCCGGATGGTCTGCCGAAGGCGTAGCGTGTTTCTGTATTCTAGATGCTCTGGGGGCTGCTCTCACTCAGGTGGATATATCATCATTGTATTCTTGCTTTCCGTTCATGAACTGTCAGCCTGCTCATGAGCTGAGCTGGTTCGCTTCAAAACCTCCATGAACCCTGGACGCGGCTCGATGACGTCATTGCGTACTGAACATCAACTGCAGCATCCCAGATTGTGTTTGAAAAGGCAAGTCTTTCTATGTCACGGGGGCACATCGTGAAGGACATACACGCTGTGAAGAGCGGGTCCGCCATATAAAGTGTCGACCGCGCAGACAACCCACCATGCTCCCCTTCTCCCTTCCCCTCGTTGTTCGTCCCTTCGCTGCCCGTGTAGCTCTCGCCTCTCGTGTCCAGTTCCGTACCAAGATGACGCTACCGAAGCCAAACACTCAGCCACCCAAATGTGCCTTGGTCATCCACAATCTCCCGAAAGTTGCCGCTGAGAGCAACAAGTTCAGGAGAGTTCTGTTCACCGGGAGACATAGTCAGGTAGTCCAAGAAGTGTCATTCCGGCCGCATATAGTGAGCTAATCCGCCCGCCAGCTGGTTATCATGACCGTGCCCGTCGGCGGAGAGATTGGCGAGGTATGGAGACTCTTGCGAGTGCCTTTGACACGAAGCTGCATGTCATTTGCGCGCATCAGGAGACGCATACGGTAGATCAGCACCTCTACTTCGTGTCTGGGACTGCGCAAGTCATCACGGATGGCAAGAAGGTGAGTACCAAAGGTCCGCGATTGGGCGATAGACTGACTCGCCTCGGCAGAAGGAAGACATAGCTACAGGCGACCACGTCATTATCCCTGCTGGAACGCTGCACAATGTGAGTACTACATGGCTATCTGTCTCGGCATGGATAGTCACCTTTCGCTGTTTCCTAGTTCGTGAACACAGGACCAACGCCGCTCATCGTGACTACTGTACGTCACTCCTCGTTGACCCGTACGCTGATCTCACCAGGGCAAGCGAGTAGGTTTATGCTCCCGCTGAGCACAAAGCGAACACTGTCCACGACACTTTGGAACAAGGCGAGAAGCTGGAGGACGAGGGCAAGGATGACCCTCCCAAGTGGGCCAAGGAGTAACTGCGAATCACGAAGTCGGGCTCAACAATGGGGGCATGTAAGATATCACGAGGCGAGGCGTCTATATGGCAACGCAATGGAAAGGGTCATTCACCGCAGACCGTGATACGGCTGCAAAGACACCGCTGACCACGTCGCCGAGGGTACCACAGGGTCACTGCTGGGCCTGCTTCCTCCGTACCTGGCGGTGATAGGACATGTCTCGAAGTCCGTCTCCGTGGGATGTGAACGTACGCGTTTTACAGCATGGCTATACGATCAGGGGCGTACATGGCAAATAAGAGCGATGCTGTTACAAGCTTCGACGAGAACGCATGACGTATCGAGAATGTATGCACTCCTGCCATCCTATGTCACGCAGTCCATTGGAAATCGTGACCAAACGAACCTCGGTCATTGGACCACGGCCTCCGTGCTCCGCGAAGACTGCGCCAGCTTCGCGGCAGGGTACCCACCGCATCGGGCGCCGTAATAGCGCGTCGAGATCTATAAGAGGTGGGCTTGAGCACCGGCGATCTGCAGTCCTCGACTACACAACTCACTCACCTGCTCAACTTTCTAAACCAACTCTCGATCAACATGTCTGTGAGTACCCTCCAAGGAATGCAATGGTCAAGGCAGTCGCTGACAGGGATTACAGGACAAGGCTACCTGCGCGAACGTTCAGGCCAACGGTGGCTCCTGCACCTACCCCGCCTGCGGCTGCGCCGAGCCCCCCAAGAGCAAGTAAGCGCGCTCTTGTCGCCGTCTCTTGTCGTGCTCCGCAGGTATGTCGTCTGCACCCCAGGTCAAGTGAGAGAGGCTGACGCGGTTGGTGGAAGTGGCTGGTCATCGACAGATGGCCTCTCGGCTGGGTTGGATGGATCTCGTCTGACTCGCGGGTGTAGTCGGTCTGTTGATGTTGTAGTCAAACGTCGCTCGCGGAACGTATAGAGGGCTTGCATCGTATGTTTTTTGGTGTGATGAAAGCCGTGCTACAAGATCAGTAAGGGCATACGCCGACATCACAACTCACAGCTTGCCGCGGCGGTCTCACTGGCGTAGCAGCTTTGCAGGGAAGTAAAGCGGCTAGGATGGACTGGCAGTCACGGCGAATCTGGCACCCAATTGGAGCAGTGAAGTCGGGTTTCAAGTGTTATTCAGCACGACAGCAATGGTACACAGTGACAGCGGGCATCCAGCGAGATCCGCGCGAAGCCCTGCAGGTGGCTGTCCGCCCGTGTTGCGTCATGTTTGGCTGTGTGGGTCCGCGCGACTCGGCGTCCACGCGGACCGACGCCCGATCAGCGTTCTGATTGGCCTTCGGCTTCTGGGCGCACATTGACATCACGGGATCTGTGCGCCAACTCCGACTCCGCTGTGCGCGGCGACGACGCGGACGGTGCGGCGTGCTTGTTGACAATGTCTGTGCTTGTACGCTTATTGTGTCCTTGTGGGTGCGCGATGTATCGATGGTTGGGTGCGGGGGCATCGATGGTGTTGAGAGTGCGGGGATGTGGCGTGTTGTGATCGACTTTCGTGGTGGCATGCGGTCGGGTGTTTCGCCGTTCATAAGGAACTCGTGCATTGTAGCTTGTGCCGTTATACAGTCGTAGTATGTCGACATAAGTCACCCTAGATTACGATTGCATTCTTTCCACAGGTGCGTCTCGCCAACAAATTGCACCTCGTCGGTGGCAGCCACTGGGGCGATGCTTCCCGGAAGGCTCCCGACGACTAAGAAGGTATGCTAAAGCACGTCGATCATCGTAAATGGTCGCGAAGGTCAGACTTGAGTGAGAGCATGAAAGGACACTAGGGCCTCACGAGGTAAGACGTGTGTATATCGCGACCCAGCACGTTCTGCAGTCGACACACCCGACGCCACATCATGACTGCGCAGGCCTCTTCGCTGTCTGGACCTTCTTCTTGACTTTCGGACAGTGACTTGCAAAATGTAGACCGCCACAATAGGAGCAATCCCTGATCTTGAAATTCGGGTGGTTCTCCAGCTCGGGGCAGTCATAGACCCAATGCGGCTGCTTGCACAACATGCACGGATACGGGGGCGCCCGGGTCGCGCGTACGAGACACGCGCGTGCGGCATGCTGTAGGCTCCCGCAGATGTAGCATCGCCGATGCGCGAGGAAGACGTGGCCGTTCGCATCGGCGGGTTTCCCGCCGGTACAATCGACGGCCCAGTGGTCTGGGCTATCGCATTTCTGGCATGGGCTCGGTGGCTTGGTCGTCTTCCGTTGGGGACAGTTGTTGACGTGGTGGAATCCCTTGCAGACTAGACAGGTTACAGTGGTGAGATTCTTAGCCTCCGGGCAGTCGCGGACGTGGTGATGGCCTCTACAGCGGAAACACTTCACTCGTGGCGGACTTGTCTGTTTTTCAGGCGTTGCACCCGACTCCAAGGACGATGGTGGAGTGGGCAAAGAGCCAATGAGTGTGGACGGGTAAAACTTTGGGTCGTACCCGGGCTGCGAAGGAACCTGCGTCGTAGAACCCAATCTGTCTTCCAGCCCCCACAGTAGCTCGATGGTGAGAGCCAGCCGAACGTCTCGGAGCGTGATGCTAGAACGAGGCTTCAGCGCCTGAGATCCGGCTACATCGCTTGGGACCGTGGCAAGCGGTGTATACGTCGTGAATATGACTTTGGGCCCTTCGCAGGTGACAGTATACTTCGCGTCAGTCTTGGACACCAGAGCATGGACCAAATTGTCAGAATACTCAAAGTGGGACATGAATAGCAATACACACCGATTCTCGATGGCAGGCGCTCAGCACCTCCATCACAAACTTGCTCACCAGTACCTCGTGCTTGAACGATCCCACCTTCGTCAGAACGTTCTGGCTGCCGTTGCGGTGATGCTTGGTATTGACATGCCATCCTCGACTGTATAACGGGTCCAGATACATCTGGATCAGCTCGTCGGTGAGAATCTCCCGCGATTCAGATAGTACATCCGGAAGGGGCGGGAGCGCGTCCGTTACTGTGAACGACCGTGGATCCCTCTCGCCTCCTGATTGACTGGACGAGGACTCTCCGAGTAGACCTGACGCTAAGGATTCTACCAGTCGGGCGTCCTTGCGGTTGAGGGGTGGTGCCCTCGTGCGCGGTGGAGGATCAAGATGGGAGGAGGGAGGAGGAGTAGCAGGAGGCTCGGGAACAGCACCGTCCTGCTGGCGATCGAGCACATCCGACAGAATCTTCTCAATCTCTTCCGTGAATTCCTGTTCGACAAGTCAGTTGTGCATCTCTTTGTTGTCATCCAGGGACGCACGCACCTTTTCAACATCCTGTATCTTCGCCGTCGTGCGTCCCCCTAGCCTAGGCCCCTCCATGTATGCAGAGCTATGATCATTGCCCTCCCGCTTGGTTTGACCGGTTTGGAAGTTGAGTTTGCCTGAGTCGTCCGAGTTCGTCGAGTATGCAGAGTACTGGCCCAAGAACGGCCGGGACAGCACGGTCGCCCTGTTCAGCGAAGCCTTGTTCCGGAGCGCATATCGGGTGCGTATCAATTTTTGCACACAGTCTTTGCGAGCATACTGCATCTACAGTACAGCACAGCAGGCGAGAGGATAGTTTCACAAGAGGTACGTCGAGGACTCGAAGGCTACAAGCGCATGCGTTACGGTTGAGGGTTGCCTCACTGAGCTACAGTATTCGTGGGAAATGTCCATACAGATTTACTTACAGCTGCTGACTGCCCGGCTGCCCGGTCCGTGCTCCGACTCCCCCACTTGCTCTCATCGAGGTTCCGCGCCTGGCCAGGAATCCCGTGGAATGGCTCACTTGGTACTTAGCCTCACCAGCTGCGTCCTTTTTTATTACTGCTATTGCAGATAGCTGCACAACAATAATAGTCTACTCGGTAGCCACGCATACCCCCCATATCGCAACATCAACGTTCTGCACTTCCCGCCGACGGACTACCATTTGCTTCTCAAGGAAGTGTCTTCTGCGGATCCTCATTGGCAATTGACGCGCTCCTATACGATGCCTCGTGTGATATGCAAATGGACCAACCAGAGCCTACACATTGCTTCAGCACAGCGGCCAATAGCATGGCGGATATGACGAAGGGTATCTTCGCCTCGTCAGATGTTCTGTGAGCAGAGACAGTATATAGTATGAGCTCGTTGCGGCTCTCAAACCTCTGTCCACGACTACACACCTCACTCATCAAATTAATATGTCTGTGGGTACAATCCATATCATTCGCAGGGATGAATGAATACTGACTGGCGGGGTATAGGACAAGACTACCTGCGCTAACGTCCAGGCCAACGGCGGCTCCTGCACCTACCCGGCGTGCGGCTGCGCTGAGCCCCCCAAGAGCAAGTAATTGCTCTCCGCTCATCTCCGCTCTGTCTACAGGTGCGATCATTCACTGCCCTTAGCTTTTGCGACGACTTACCGTGTCACGACAGCATCGAAAACCATCATGATGGAGCGTCCGGTCGATCGAGGTTGCGAAGCCTTGATTAAGGCCTGTATAGATGCTGTAGGCGACATTGAGCTTCTGGAATACCAAAATGTGTTGCAATTCTGCGTCCTTGTCTTGAACAGTGACTGTCTAGAGGTCCAGGAACAACGTGGCATGACTTGAAGCTTGAAGTCGAAGACTCTCTTCAGCCACCGACGCGGTAATCATGTGCAAGAGTGCAAGCGCCCGAGAGGGCACGGGCCATACGCGTCGCGCGAGCTTGCCCCGGGCCGTCGCTGTCGCAAACGTTTAACGCATGCGCATGCAAAGCTCGACTACACTTCCTCTGCAGCTGCTACGATCCTCATGCGTGCCTACTAACGCTTCTATCACTCTCAGCTCACATTGAGGCCGTGTTTCCCGAAAGAAGTTCACCCAGCAAAGCTGCTCTCGATGTATGGACATCATTCTGAAGAGACAGTCGCTCTCGCGGCACAGGCATCTACGTTGCGATTTCTTAGTTGTTCTCTTGAGTCGGAGAGGAGTGGCATGATGGTGGACAGTAAGCTCCCTGCTGCTATGTTCATGCTACAATATTGAGTTCGCTCACTATACACCAAGCGCACCTCCCATCACGCACTCTGAGTCGAGCGGCCATGGATCCCACACCTCACCTGCGTTCTACCGCAATGGTACGGGCTGTCCATTCATCGTATCAAGTCGTATCCCATTGGGCGCTACGCACGCATCCTGACTGATGATACTAACATGCTATAGGTATTGGTGGTTGTGCCTCCATCACGGCGAAAACCCTGTTCTACACTCCGAGTGCCGTGAGTGTCGCAACTAGTCTCTGGCCGTGATGCAAAGTTGAAACGAGACCGATGCCCCATGTGATCACGCCCTTCATGCCTTCTCCCGACTACTCTAGAAATGCTCGGGGAAGTGAGTGGGTCGGGTCGCACCATCTCTGCCCCTCATACACTCGGGCTGCTACGCAATTCTATTGTATACGAGACCTTGCTGTACAGCATTACGGGCTACCTCGATGTGGGGCTTAGGAGAACGCTGAAGAACGACACTCGGCGGCTACGACTGCGACCGATGACGTGTGCGATTCCCTATCAATGACCCAACCGGAAGACTGAAGACCTCATAAAACCCAGGTCTCGCTACACTCAATGGCACCGCACTCATAGCATCTTCATCACTTGCCTACGTCTGCTCACCTCGCAATGTCTCGTTCATCCGGTGCTCTTAACACCGTCGCGCTCTTCGGAGCGACCGGCATGCTCGGAAGCGCATTCCTCGACGCGTTTCTGGAGGATGTCGTCGAAGGTTACAAGCCCAAGGTGCTGGCCTTCATGCGCCCCGGCAAGGATCTCAGCGAGAAGTACAAGCAGCACCCGCAAGTGCAGGTCGTACGGTGCGATTATCCCAAAGGGGGATACGACCTCGTAGAGAAGTTGCGCGGCGTGGATGCGCTAGTCAGTGTGCTCAATGTAGGCGGATACAAGTCGCACTATCCTCTTCTCGACGCAGCGATAAAGGCTGGTGAGTCTGTGAACTGTATAACATTGTTTGACGTGTTACAGGCACGCTCACAGTTTCATTTCTGTTTCTGTTGCTTAGGTGTCAAGCGTTTCTACCCCTCAGAGTATGGTCACCACCAGCATTACCGCGCGCCGGGTGACCCAGGGGCTCGTATCCTTCCCGTACGTGGCGAACAAAACGCTGTCAACTGAGCTCACATGAACTATTCTCCCGTAGCTGTGGAATGAGAAGGAGTGCTTCATAGAGCACCTCAAGCTGCATCCCGACGTGCTCGCTGGCAAGATTGAATATACACTCATCGGCGCGGGTGACATATGGGATCAGGTACGACTCAACACCGTCCACACCGCGCCTTACTAACATCAACAACTGAGCTCAGCCGAGCGAGCCGTTCTGGTGCCCCTGGGACCAAGACCTCGACACGTACGACTTCCCTGTGGTCGGCGACGGCGACGCCCTCGCCGACTGGTCGTCCCGCAAGGACGTCGCGCGCTACGTCGTCGCGACACTCGCCAAGCCCGCCATCTCCGCCAACGCCGTCCTCAACTTCCCGAGCGAGACCATCTCGCAGAACGCCATGGTTGAGCTCCTGCGCAAGTACGCGGGCGCGAAGGGCCGCACGGTCACCGTGCGCTACTTCTCGGCGGATGATGCGCATAGGTTTGCTGCGGACGCGAGCGCGGCGCCGCCGGAGATCGCGAAAAGCACCAATATCCCGGTCGATTTTTATTTCGTGGTGAAGTACCTACAGGGCTCGGGGACGTTCCGACGCACGCCGTGGGAGTGCCACTGGGACCTGTTCCCGGAGGTAAAGAGGACGACGTTTGAGGACTACTTGAAAGAGAGGTTTGGGCAGTAAGTTATAACGGGATAAGTTATAACGGGATGGTGTATTGTCACTGCGGCATGAGCGTGGAATGAAGGAGGTTGTGCGTTGTTCTCAGTATCTGTGACTCCTGCACGGTGTGGTTGACTGAGGTGCTGACCAGCTATGCCGGAATCGAAGGTCAGACGAGATACAGTCGACCCGGCGCTGTGAGCTACCATACGACGTCGTCGGCCCTCGCGATTACGGCAAAGGAACAAAGCATTTTCCATGAATATATCGGCAGCCTTGTAGCTGCGCGTGTTCTCATATCAGCGCCCTTGAGTTCGATGCCGTCTTTGTGTACGAGCACAGACATGTGGGGCACCTTCACGGCAACTATTGTTTGTCGATGTCGGGAGTCGGTATTGTCACGGTGTTATCGGTGCAAGCGCCCGTACGATGTGGGAATTGATGCGGCCATGTCAAAAAGGCCTAACACGGTGGTCTATTGTCTGTCAACGACAAGGAGGAGGAGGATCGGATGAAGTTAGCCGCCGTTACTACCTCGTCAACGTGAGCGTAAGCTGGGCGTGAGGCCAGTAGGGAAGGCATGATATTCGTGAGCTTGGTCAAGCACTGAGTTCAACTTCACGGTCAGGTCCCAAATCTCACGAGCAGATGACATGTATTCAGTAATGCTCACATATCTCCACATAAAGATACACGGCGTAGCAGATGGGGGTCTTCGTGACAAAGAAGGCCGCGTAACATTTCCCGTATAGACTGAAGAAGATCGATAGAAAGGAATAGCGATATCGTAGTGTGGACAATGTATCAGAGATGTAGAGGTCATGATGAGGGAGTTGGTACAGCAGGCAATCGCTTCGAAATGAACCGCGCTGTACGGAAGAGGTGACGCGTGCCACGCACTGCACTCAACAAGATATTCTCGCCTTTACGCACTAGCCTCGACCGAAGCTTCCACGACCACATGCGACGAGATATCTCGTCGAACCGAGTCTCCACCTCCGCAATGGTTGGCCGCTTCTCTGGATCGTCTTGTACCATGTCGGCCACAAGTTTTTCCATGAACCCAAACCCGTGATATCTCTGCAGACCGAGGCGCGTCAGCAATTACAGGGTACCGCGATGATAATGAGTGTAAATGGACTTACATTCAGAAAGGTGCTACGTATGAGATTGCCAAGGTAGTAGATGTCGGTACGGAAGGGATCAGATGGCACATCGTAGCCGTCGTCTTGAAATTCTGGTACGCTCTTGTCACCACCAAGAATTGGGAGTTCTCGTGGTGGACAGTCGGCAGGATCGTACTTGCGCGACAAGCCGAAGTCGATGTAGAAATAATTGACAGGTCGCTCGGTGCGGCTGTAGTGCTTCGCTCTGCCGGAGAAGTCGCGGTTGAATATTGGCATCCGGGGATGCCATAACTTTTCCGAATACATCGGTGTCGCGTCCATCATGACGTTCAATATCGATATGTCGCTAGTAGATGAGGTGAGTCTGACCGACTCCGTATTCGACTGAAAATGGTGTCGCACCGATGAGCAACGTGATGATCATGTATGAAGCGTAGCCCCTAGAGGATTAAATGGTTTAGAGATGTGCTGAAGCGAAGCCCATGCACTCACTTCAATAGCCTGTTGAATGAAGGCAACCACTTCTCCAAAAGTCAAGAACTTAGGCTCTCTGAACGGCTTGAGGAGAGGCATCACAAGTATCAATTTGTGAGGTTCGATGGGATCCTGCAAGACGTCGAGGATGCGCACGCAGCGGTTGCGCAGATCCTGCGCCAATGGTTCGGACGACAGGAACTGCGCGATTTCTACCTCATACGGATGGACGATGGTATCAACCACCTTTAGAGTCACCAGTAGACCGTCAGACTCCCGGGTAGCATCTAAGACTGTATCCATCTAACAAGAGCGTGAAGCGGACTATGTATAACACGTCAGAGATGAACGTACCAATGTGCTCTGACCATCTTCGCAAAGCATATAGGGTCTGCCTGATTCTAACCATGAAGGCTTCCAGTCTGGTCTGTATCGTGGGCGAAGCAAATACCCGCGCTCCTGCAGCCATGGCTGTCGGTCACGCCAGAAGTATTCGTGCTTTGCAAGACCGCCGCGCCGCGACGGAACGGCCGCCGCCCGTGTCTCACTTGCAGCGTCGATCGTCGATGATTGTGTTGCCATGCTCAGAGCTGGGTGATGAGACGGTACTGCAACATGGCGGAGGGCACACAGACAGTGTCGCACGACGGTCTATTGTTTGTTCAATTAGGCCGTCGTTGTCAAGTCCTGTGGGCGTCAAGTGCAGAGAGCGCCCTCCCGATTTGCACCCGATCGGGCGTCTGCTAAGTAATGTCCGGATTGTGTCTCCTCCCACCATGGTCACCGTCCGGCTTACAACATCTCTGCCTTGTCTGCTTCGTACTCAAAGTAACACGCGGAGGCAAAATTTATCACTTCTCTGCTTTGTGATCCATTTTTCAGCTACACCGCTCAGCAGTATCGGGTGTACTCGAACTTTATCGTCCCGGAACCAGGGGAGTAGAACAATAGCCTTGCGATAACTCACGGTGTCTATCCTTGTCTATCCTGATTTGAGGTGATAGAAGGCGTACCGTTCCACTACTCTGGTGACCCCGTTGGCCAGTCACAAGGCTTGTCTCGCTCAGCCTGGTACGCATCATTTTGCATGACGTGATGGTTGGATGGGCGACATGTCGCTCCTAGAGAATTTGAAGGCACAGTATCTAGGATACTCACCGCAATTAGCAGGTGTTGTCCTCCACAGCCTCAGGTGCGGTTTATATAATATGCTCTCGTTCCCTGACTTCAGTCATAGACTTTGCTTCCGCTCTCGTTCGCACTAAACGAGATGGCTCTTACCATCGACCTTGCTTCCGTCGACAATGTCAACCTGCTCAGCCTCGACACTGATACCCCCGGCAAGTCTCTATGGTTCATATTATTTAGACTGCCCGCTTCCGCCAAGGCTGGAGCCATGCTGAAAGAAGGTGATAAGGCCCAAGCTGTGACCCTTACACTACTCGAAAAGACGCGGCCCTTCATGGAGAAAGACCTTCACGATCGTTTGCACGAGAAATACGACTGGTACGCTGCCTAGAGCTGCATTTCGTATTCTATGTCTGACATGATGATAGGCTCAGAGAGCGCAGACTGCAGATGAAGCCTGGGTTTCTCAAGCGGGCTACGCAATGGGAGAAAATTGCCGCTTACAGAGAGGATTCAGTTGAATTGAGCGGAGTCACTGTGGTATGCAGTATTCGTATCACTGTGAATGTTGTCTTAATCGTTGACGGGTGGGACGTCAGGTTTCATCAGAGCGTGCACGGAGCCTGTATATGTGGAAGAAGAAATCGCAGAAGTCTGCTCCGGAATCTAGTGTCTTGTCTGTATCCAACTCAGGTACGACTCGCACATATTCTCGACTTGTCTCAATATACTGACTGTTTCTATTCTCCTCGTCAGATCACGCTGGCGTGGATGAGGTTGAGTCCATTCTTTCATACGCCGATTCAACTGCGCCTGGAGACGGCGAAAGTGTAAACGGCAATGCCAATTGTACGTCGTTAAGTATTTGCACTGTGTCATATACCTCACCGATGCTCAACGTTTCTCATCACCAGCTAATCCCATAGATATTGTGCCGGATGGTGCAGGCCAGCCACCGCAGTATGGCATCTGCGAAGTGGACCCGCAGGGATGCCTCAACACTGATAGCGCTTCCGTCATTTCGCCAATCGAACTACATAATATGCTCACACACGGAGTGTCCCCTGTGTCTGGGTTCCCCATACATAATAGACCCTCTGGCGATGACCCGTTCGCGGATGACAATAAAGCAAGCGCATCGTCGACTTTCTTATGAACTGTCATCTGCTAGGTACCAGAGGTGTGTGTCTCACGCCCTTTGATGAGGTCAATGTAATGACAATATATGGACAGCGCTGAAGGCTTCAAGGGCCCATCGACCACGTCTAGCAGGGCTCAGGTGGGAGGACATATCGGAAATTCACCACTGGCGCGCGGGCGCGCTGAGTACGAACTACTCGCATAATGTTCCTATATCGCATAATAAGAATCACCCTGACCACGTCCTACTTCCTTTCCATCATGTTGTCTCCACGAGTAACATACTAGGAGCATGTAACCGTTATATGTACAGCACACATCGTCTGCCTGCTACAAGGACAGGCATGACGGAAGACATCTCCCTGCCGGTGGGATACTCCAATCTGTTGTCAGTACTACTTCTCATTCATTCTAGTGAAACGCCCAACAGACGTACGCAGCCAATACGCAGCACTAGGAACTTACAGTCAGTATGCATACAGCTTTGAACACAGACGAATGTATTCTCCACTAGCAGGGTATATCGACAGCATACGAGCAATGATAGCGTAGAGCGTAAACAATGGGTCTGAGCGACACTAGCAGATCACAGAGAGGGTATTGGTATGGGAGACCGCCGTTTGGCGACTAACTTCGCTGTGCGGAAGAAGTGTACCATACTGAGCATCGCACGCTCGAAGGCAGTCTTGTCTTTGTACACTAATCTCGCTCGGAGCTTCCACCACGAAAGCTTGCGGGATAACTCAATGAACCGCGTTTCAACTTCCGTGATAGTCCGGCGCTTCTGCGGATCGCTCTGCACCATGTCGGCTACAAGCTGCTCCATGATCTCGAGGCCGCGGTATGCCTGGAGATGATCCGAGTTAGGATAGTATGTCATACAGCGCAGTGTGGGTATTCGGAAACCCACTTTCAAGAAGGTTGTCCGCATGAGATTCCCGAGGTAGTAGATGTCGGTGCGGAAAGGGTCTGCGGGCACGTCGTAACCATCGTCTTGAAACTCTGGGACGGTCCTGTCACCACCAAATACTGGCAACTCTTGCGGAGGGCCATCCGCTGGGTTGTACTTGCGGGACAGCCCAAAGTCAATATAGAAGTACCTCGGGGCGCGCTCGGCCCTGCGACTACAGTGGCTCGACAGTCCGGAGAAGTCACGAGTGAAACTTGGCACTAGAGGGTGCCAAAGCTTCTTCGTGTACATCGGGGTGGCGTCCATCATGACATTCATGTTCGAGATATCACTGGTTTGAAGACAGTGAATTATACGGTGTAGAGTTATAGATGTTTTCGCACCGATGGGCAACATGGTGGTCATGCATGAAGTGCAGTCCCTTTGGTACTGATTGTCATGGACGTCTATGAAGTTGAGGCTCATTACGTACCTCGATCGCCTGCTTGAGGAACGCGACAGACTCTCCAGTCGTCAGGAACCCCGGCGCGTCAAACATCTTGAGGAAGGGCATGACCATAATTGACTTCTTTGAATCAAATGGATCCTGCAGCACCTCGAGGATGTGCACGCAATGATTCCTAGGATCCTGAAGTAATGGCTCAGATGAAAGGAACTGTCCGATCTCGACCTCCAAGGGATGAGCGACAGTGTCGATAGCCTTCAGCGTCACCAGCGTACCATCAGGCCGGGTGGCGTCTAGAATAGTGTCTACCTGGTGAACGAGTGAGGCGCGACTACGACGACTATCTGAAGGTGGACCGTACCAACGTGCTTTGACTATCTTCGCATTCTTCGCAGTCCTTGCCCGTACCCAGCCAAGAAGGCTTCCAGTCTGGTGCGTAACGCGGGCGCAACGAGTATCCACGCTCCCGAAGCCATGGCTGTCAATCGCGCCAGAAGTACTCGTAGTAGAAGAGCATCTGATGGAGTGCACAGCTCTGCGAGCGGCGTACAAGGCGTCGCGAGCCTGGTCACTGGGATGCCTGGTTCCATTCAACTTCGTCTTTCGATGCCATATTTGTGTACAACTACTGATAAACGCTCCGACTTCGGTTGCCACGCACCACATCTCAGCTCGAGCCAGGGACAATGGAGGACGTGTCAAGTAACGGGTCATCGCGCGAAACTTGAGAGGGATGTGTCTTTGAGTCATGTTCCGTACATTGGCAGCCGGTGAGTCATAAGAAATGGTACGAAGGAGGCCCGATCTGTTCACCACACGACAATGATACCGTGCATCTTATACGGCGACGCGGCAGCTCTATTCAATCCGCGACATAGACATCCTCCAGTAGCCTAAACCAACATCGGCAGCCTGAGCAAAAGTCAACAACAGCGTAAAGGGTATCGTAAGTACATTCGACTGAGCAAATAGATCATAAAGGTGGAGTCGGAACAGGAGGCAGCCGCTTCACGAGGTATTTCACTGTCCGGAAAACATGCGCTGTGCCGTAGATAGCCCGCTCGAGCATGATCTCGTCCTTCCTCACCAGCCGCGACCGTAGCTTCCGCTTCGTAAGCCCGCGGAAAGCTTCGTCAAATCGCATCTCGACTTCTGCGATGGACGGCCGCTTTGCCGGATCGCTCTGCAACATGTCGGCAACGAGCGGGTGCATAAATTCGAAGCCGCGGTAGTACTGTCGGCCGAGCAATGAGCGTGAGGAGAAACAAAAGGGTGCTGGACGACGAAGGGCGACGTACCGCTACGAACTTCGTCCGCATGAGGTTGCCGAGGTAGTAGATGTCGGTATGGAAAGGATTTGCGGGCTTGTCATACCCGCGTCCCTGGAACTCCGGGACGGACTTGTCGCCACCAAGGATAGGCAGCTCTTCTGGAGAAGTGTTGTCCGGATCGTACTTGCGCGAGAGACCAAAATCGATGTAGTAGTACTTTGGCGGTCGCTCGGTACGAGTGTAGTACTTCGCTTTCCCGGAGTAGTCGTACTTGTCAGCCGGAGAGCGGGGGTGCCACATGTCAGGGTACATGGCAGCCGCGTCCATCATGACGTTCCGTTTGGATATGTCACTGATAAGAGGTAAGTATTCGTGGAACTGTGTATGGCTGCGAATTTATGGGTCGCACCGATGCGCTACATTGTTCTCATGCATGACACGTAGACCCTAAACATAAAGACGTCCCTCAGCGTGAAAACCACACATTGTATCGAGTAGAAAACGCACTTCAATCAATTGTTTGAAACATGCGACGGCCTCCCCAAATGTGAGGAATTCTGGATTGTCGAACGCCCTCAGGTAAGGCATAACTATAAGAGAGATACTCTGTTCCATTGGATCGGGCAGGACCTCCAGAATGCGTACGCAGTGGCTGCGTGGGTCGGACGTAATCTGGTCGGACGAGAGGAATTGGCCGATCTCCAGCTCAAATGGGTGGATCTCGACGTCCAACTTCTTCATGAGTACAATCGAGCCATCGGATATTCGTGTGGCGTCCATGACGAAGGGAACCTGCCCGCGATATGAGATAGGGTGGTAGACCTGATCGACGACTGCGAACGTACCATTGCCCAGAGGCTATCTTCGCGGAATCTAAAGCCACTGGGAGTTGGCTTCCAACCTGGCCTATACCGTGGGCGTAGCATATAGCCATGCTCTTGAAGCCATGGCTGCCGGTCACACCAATAGAGCTCGTCCAACAACAAGGCATCCCACGGTTTGTCTGACTGAGGAGGCGGCTCTGCGGACATCGAGGGCAACTTGACGACGCAGACAACAAGCGAGGAAGATGTCGCAGATACTAGTACTTAAACGGAGAGAAAAGCGTGGGCCATGAGGTGACCAGTAGATCCAAGGGCGCACCGACCCCGCGCGACAGAGTTGGGCTCTATTCTGGGCTCTATTGTTCCAGCCATCAATGCGATGCACCGTGGGCGCTCGTGGTGGCCCGGCGTCTTAGTGAGCGCTCATTTTGGTTCCGCGGGCCGTCGCCAGTCACAGTGACGGCGTCACTGCCAGCTGCTACGAACGTGACGGTAACTGACTCTAAACCAGGTATATAATACAGTACTTACCTCCTTCTCCAACGCGGTCATGTAACTCATGTTGTGTCGCTAATCCCGGTTAGCTCTACTCTCAAAGCAGCCAACCGTCGACTTCAACCGCCGCAGTCACCCGGCTATCGCCAGTGACCATTGTCGCAAGTAGCTCCGACTCCCGAGTTCACAATGGGCTGCTAGGCACAAGCATATTGTACGTGTCAGTGATGGAGCGCTCCTTCATGACATGGATACAAGGATGGACTTATGGGGCTAGGATTCACTTTTGTTCTTTCGGTTCTCATCAGGTTCGCGCGATGAGTCGCAAAACACCGTTACGGCCAGAAGGCTTCCGGGATCAGTCATTAGGTAAAGGGACATGCATGTAGACCAGAAATGTTGTTGTTGCGACGCAAGGTGCGTCATTTACTAAGTGTGTACAACTTCGCCTGGTTTCTAAGGGCATGCCATTTGGCATCCCGGCCTAGCCCGTGATCTCTTCAGCTCGCACCGCCTCCAGCCAGCACCATTGAAATACAACAAGGATAGTGTACCGTCGTCCGTCCCTTCTCCGTTCTTCCAACCCGTCTAAGCATGCCATCGAATTCTAAATATCCTATCTGTGACATCGTCGCAGGCGTCCCGGACGCAACAGTCAAGATCGGCGGGCCGATCATGCTGCTCATCAAAGTCGCTGGTACAGTTGTACCCTCCATCGTTCTGCGCCAGGGCGACAAAGCTCAGGCGTTGACGTTGACGCTTCTCGAGGAGACCAAGGACATCATGGACCCATCCTCACATAACCTCCTCCAACGCCAATATGAGACGTGAGTTTCTGTATTGACGTAGAATGGTTTACAGAGGGCTAACACTGGCATGCTAGGCTCGTCGGTATGAGGCGCAACATTAAGGGTGGAAATGTGCTGCAATTCAGGCACTACTACAGGATCTACCAGTTTCGGGCCGATGCGGTTGATTTGAGTGATCAAACAGTGGTAAAATTGAACTTATTATATGATCCATACACAACTTAACACCACTGCAAAAGACATCTTCGCAGTACGCGCGGTGCGCGCAAATGTGGGAGGAGAAGGGTATCACCGAATATACTCGGTATACGCTGCGAAGGAAGTCCTCGACGGTCTCAAGTAAGCAACCCTTACGTTGTCCGCATTGAGTACATACCAAAGCTATCGTGCCATTCTAACTGCTTCATTTTGCATGTAGAACTCACATTTGTGACCGTGAAAGAAGATCCCATCGCGCAGCCGGCACCCGAGGCACCCTCGTCGGGTGAGCGCTCCCCCACCAACGCGCGTATGCAGTCACTCAATGATGTTCGTTTTCCAGCCCAGCAAGATACTGCTGACCCAGAGTCACGGTCAGCGGACGTTACAGAGCAACGAGACCAACAAGACACAAAGCAGAAGACCCGTACGCACAATGCTGCATCTGCCAGTGGGACGAACCCCTTCGTCTACCCCGGTGAAGACGCTGCCGCCGATGGAGACAGCCAGTCTAACGCTGAGAGCAGTTACGAGCTGACGGATTCCATATCTCTGTCGGAATCTGACTTGACATCCGATTGCGACCAGTCAGCAGACGACGTGTCGTGATTGGAGAGCTAGAGGTCCGTCCTGTCAGTGTATAGTGCACGGGTCCGTGCTGACTGCCCTCCAATCAGCTCACCTAGGATGCTTCCGAGGCATGTCTGGAAGGCTGCCATGAGTAACTTGAACAGAGCCCCCCGACGTGGTGATACTGAGACACCGGCACGCGGGTCGTGTTCGCAAAGTTCATTTCCCTTTCTGTTGTGAAGAGTAGATCCAGCGTAGTCTGATGCACACAGTCGTTACCCGCCGGCGCGTTGTCAAACGTATGTCCGAAGCTCATGCCTGATTCATGAATCGCAGGTCATTGATCTACTAAGTGAAGCGGTGCTTCCGAGCCTGTGTACCGCCCGCCCTGCCCAAACAACCATGACAATGGGCATTTTATACTCAAGTTAATCATCGGTATCCCGAAGGCGACTACGACGAAAGTGGACACCCTTTGGAAAATACACCGCACCCGATGTTGTTCTTGTATTGATGGCTTGTTGACAACAGTGGGTGCGCATCGGCGCTACCACAACTACCATGCCAAGATAGGCAGGACTACGTCGGCACTGCTCGACTCTGGCACTTGCTCTCACTGAAGGATATTCACTTCCTTACCTCAAGTGGACTGGCCTTTCGGAAACTTCGGAATACGTTATACTACAAATGGCTTTCGTGAAGGGGCCGGAACACACATTCATGAAGCCTGAAGGGTCCTATTCCGTCTTGACACTTCTGGCACCCATGAAGCTGCAGCGTTTTATGAACTCACACCGAGAGTAGCTCGCGCCGCTACTTCGAATGACTAGCATTGCTGCAGAAAATATACCTCGCCTCATGCTAAACAATAGTGAGACAACATACTACCACGCCAGTAGGGGACAGTCCCGGGGTCCGACGACCGCAAACTTGAAGCCTGTTCTCCGAGTCCCTGTTCTATCCTTGCGACATGCAGTGTACGGTGTGCAGATTCATCACGTCTTGTACTGGCACATTTGGTACCGCGTTGGTCAGAGCGCGTGGTCTCGGGTCTTTGTCATACTGGTACCTGAGCATCAATGCGACAGGCTAGAAGTTCCCTTGCTCCGAGAGTCCGCGCCCGGGCACTACCAAACGGATTCAGGCACAAGCCCTTCCGCACCTGTGCAATCGCGCAGTAGCCCTGAGACACGGTACCGAAGATGCCGGCATTTATGTCACGCCCCGTCTCGATAACATGGCCTGGAAATGGAAGAACACCCCGATGGAGCGTACCTCCGAGTCGGTGCTCGCGCACAAGGTCGTTGCGAAGGTCATTGGTCAGGGCGCTGATTCGAGAACATAGGAAGCCCCGCGCCGTAAGTAGACACGCGCGGACTATTGTGCGTACCTCTGCCGTAATGGGTGCTTATCAGCTCGGGCATGGTAGCCTATGGTACATTGGTAGCTCACATCCGATTAACAGCTGTATGCCTCTCTGACGTGGCTGACTTGTTGTCCTCAGCGTACGTTACCGCGGACAGCGTCTATTTCTTCCTGACCCACGTAAGTAGTACGACTGTAACTCACGGCGCGATGGAGCTCAGGCTTTGTTTTGGAGACCCCTACATATGATTGTCGAGATATCAAACAATGGTGAAGACAGTCGGTTGTAAGCCACGGGTTTGCATGATGAGAACATCGAGCCATTGACACAACGAGGTACCGTGGAGTTAGAGCTTTCCCAGTGATATCTTCATCGGGCGCGAGCTCACGAGGATTCTCCAAATCGCTTCTGCTACGAGCTTCGGGCTCTGCTGCGGGGCCTGTGCGGGACAGAGGCCTATCAGTGCATCTGCGTAGCACAGAAGGTTCTGAACACTCACCATGTGCCCTGTCTTGGGGAGAATCGTGATGGATTCCATGTCTCTGCCCTGGTCGCGATTGCATAGCATCGCCTGAATGGCTTTCGACCTAGAAACGGTCAGATTTATCAATCTTGACGACGGGAGCCAGTGCCACTCACGCAACCGACTGTGTCTCTCCCAAAATAATGTGAACAGGCACCGACGAGCAGAGCCCGGAGTCGCTTTAACGCGTCTTGGCCTTCTCCAAGGTCCGCATAAGCGACTCCTTCATTGTGCCTCGGGAAGGATAATACAACGCCGCCTGACGTATGTGTCGGGGGCGCTGGCGAAAGGCCGTATCTCTTGAAGAGCGGTCAGAATGGCGTCCGATACAAGGCAAAGACAGCATCTGAGTGCGTACCACGTAAAGGTCCAACACCCGAGCGTCCCAATCCTTCCAGACACCCCTGGTCCCAAAGTAGGCCCGCGCCTCATCACGGCCTGACCAGGCATCGCGCCGTCGCAGACCTGACTGGCTGAGACTCTCGTTGAGGGCACGCACTTCTGCAGTAATGGCTATATCAGGGTGGACCATCCATGGCTCTATCATTATGATCGAAGAGACTGGTACGTCCTTGGGAGAAGGAGGGTATGTGGACAACAAAGCCCTGCGGAAACAGTGAAGATGAGGCCACGTTGCGATACGGACGGCGTTCTGCACGTACACTCCAGTTGCCCCAGCAGAATGACCAACCAACACAAGTCTCGAGTCCGAAGGATTTTGCAGGAGCTCGGACCTCATCAGCGCAAGAATCACGCTGCCATAAGCGCGGCAGGCTGTTGAACAACGTCAGAAGCCACGGAGAGGAAAATGCGAGGATGGAATGCATGCACTAACAGACCCGACCCGATCGTAACGCTGATGTTGGTATGCTTCGATTCAGTGAGGCGCTTTCTCCATGGTCTGGGGAGTCGAATGTCCAGATTGCAGTAATATTGGGGCCGCTCTCGTCGGCCAATGCTTGCGAAAAAAGATGCGAGATGACGGGTTCCCAAGTCTCCTTGTCTGGCGGACGTATGGTACGCAATGAGCTGTGAGAATGGAATCGTATCCGCCAGGGGAACGACTCACGATAACCTAAGGCATGCGCCAAAACCAAGGTGCATGCATTCGTGGGGTGTGCGCGGATCCCTGACGTCGGCGGGAAGGCGGCGGGAAGAGCTTGCAGGGGGGTATAACGCTTGGCAAGTGTGACGAAAGGCTCGCCTACGTGGCACAGGTCTACCACATGCGTTTCGATGCAGAAGTCAGGCATGGCTCCTGGTGTACATGAGTAAGTATGAGCAGCACAGGAGATGTTCTGCGCTAGCACTGACACTGACAGGGTCCCTATCTTCGAGAATCGACTTCGGCCTCCGAGGACCGCCGCGTGATGTCGATGAGGAGGCGGCCGCGTGTATTATATAGCAGACCTTAGCTTGAAGTCGAGATTGTTCCGCGTGCTTGTGTGCAACTTCGGTGGTACATAGCCTTCGCGTGACAGAGAGCCAGCATCACAGATGCACTGCATCAGTAACTTACGTGGCATGCTAAGGATGAATCATATCATCCGGGTACCACATTCGGGCTGGGCGAAGTTGCAAAGTACGACATTGGGCGCCCGTGTGGATGGGTCGATCCTTGCCAGCTTGAAGTACTTCAGGCTATCATGGGGTCTTGCGTCGGGACAGTTATGCAGGCGTGACGATGGTGGGAGAGCTTTTGCCAGTGTATAAGCCCGATGTTCATCTTGAGTTGACGATTTGTTGACGGCAGTGGGCGCCCATCAGCGCTTCTCACTATCCCACGCCACACAACATTTGCCTAAAAGGGTATGTACACCGCTGACCGCGTCATTAACGCTGCTTGTTTCTTGGCACTCAAGTACCCAAGTACTCAACTGAAGGCGCGCAGCCCACTCGCTTTCTTCGAGTGATTCTAGATATCCGAGACACTTGGCAGAGGGTGCTAATACGCTCAAGCTCCTCCATAGGTGTCCGGAACGCCTGTAGCGGTGGCAGATTCATAAGCGCGTGCGGGCAATCATGAGCACGACGGATGAACCGCCCACGGTCCCGCTCCGGTATCACATTGCCGGAGGCTCAGAACACAGCGGGAAGTATGTGGCAGAGAACATCCTTGAAGACAACCCACTCGACCAGACCAGTCGTTGGAGTGGCGCCTACCAGTCGCCGAATGTGAAGCAATGGATGCTCCTGCGTTTGCAAGACGTCGCTGTACTTAGTTGAGTCATCCTGGTAGTATACGCGGTTGTTACTGAAACTTAGACTCCAGAAAGTATCACCTTTGGGAAGGTGCGTCTCGTTCTATACAGTGTGTCACATTGCTGTCCTGCCGATATCTGATCTTAACCTCATAGTTTCACAAACGTACGTGATGGCTCAAGTGCAATGGCAAGTTCAGACTGACGAGTATCTCTCCAGCACATCCGTGCAACATGAAGGAATTCAAGGTCTATGTCGGCATGTCTGAAGACAATATGACGGAAGTGAGTATTGAGTTCGGCAGCAATCCACAGCATCAGAGCTTCATCTCACGGCAGGTACTGCATGCGGGACTAAGGAACGACTCGGGGAAGGAAACCTTCTCTATCCGGCATTCAAATAACGCTGGGGTCTGTTTCCCTACTCGATATGTGAAGGTCATGCCCCTCTCGTAAGTACAGTCGGACTTCTCTTCGAGGCCAAGGGTCCGGCTGACCGTTATCAGTGCCCATGGTCAAAGTTTTCATACCTCGATATGGCATATCGCATTGGCAGGTATCACTGACTCAGCGTTCGTTGAGCGGGTCAGAGAACAACACAACGAAGTGAGTCCCCAGTTACACTTAGAGTGCGCCGACACCTCAACAGCTGAGCCCTATGAAGTACCGCGAGGCCTCTGTGCTGCGCTATGTGCTCAAGCACCTGCGCCAACGACGCTTCTTAACACCATTCGCGGACATCCTTTCCCGCTCGAGTCTCCAGTTCGAACATCCGACTATCTCTACCATGTACGACAGCCTCGTCCTCAAGGGAGATTGGGCTGATGCCGAAGAATGTATCCGGAAAGCCTCCTCTGCTGGAATGTTCGACGGCTACCGGTTTTCGTGCCAGCCTCAAGCACGGTGGACGCGATTGCATGGGGCAGATGCTGACGGAGACGTTCCTCGTAGAAGGGGCGGACATGCGATGTGCATGGATGAACAGAATGGACTGATCTACCTCTTGGGAGGGTGGGACGGCCTGCAGAACCTCGACGATCTCTGGGTATATGACGTGCGCAAAGATACTTGGCGAATGCTCAGCATGGCGACGTCCAGAGAGAAGAACGGACCTGGCCCGAGGGCCTGTCACAAAATGGTCTTCGATCCGAAAACGGGGGCTATCTACGTCCTCGGAAGGCTTGGAGAAGGAGATGCGCTGGACCATTCCGACGCGAGAGGTGACACTAGCTCTACAGCAAATGCGGCTGCTTCGTCAACAAGCCCCTCGGGTCGACCGTCGAGTGGTGTAGCGGCGTCTGCAGAAACGACCAGGCAAGGCAATGTTACTCCGCTCCCGTGGACGGCCTACTGTTCTGAGTTCTATCGCTACCATACACGAGGACTTGATGAAGAGAAGTGGGATCTCCTCTCGTTTGATACATCGGTAAGTAATCCATGTTACATGCAACCCGTACAAAACTCATAGTGTCGTTACAGACATCCGGCGGGCCACCCCTCATCTTTGATCACCAGATGGTCTTGGACTGCGAGGCACAAATCATCTACGTATCTGGGGGACGTGTCGCTGACGGAGACTGGGAGCTCACCAAGTACTCAGGCCTGTACGCCTATGATATCCGGACGGGCTCGTGGCAACTATTGCAGTGAGTCTTATTCCTCTCATCTGTGACTCGACGGTTTTCCAAAACGATGGGTCAACAGGACCTGCGATGCGAATGGCCCGAACACGGCAATTACAGCACGTTTTGGTAAGGAGACCTTGGTTGATTCGCCTCTTCTTTGGATTGAACATGTTATCAGGCCATTCGATGGTGCTAGAGCCGGAAACTCGCACTCTCTTGATATTCGGTGGCCAGCGAGACGAAAGGTATCTCTCGGACATGTTCGCCTACCACATACCCACTGGCACAGTCACGGAGCTGTTCCCGAACTTCACCACTGCCGGTGGGCCTGATGCATGCTTCACGCAACGAGCCGTAATCGATCCTGAGCTGCGGGAGATCTACCTGTAAGCAGAGCCGTGGCCTGTGCACCCAGATTCGAGTTCCACTGACGTCGAATCGGCAGGTTCTGTGGACTGACTCGTGGCCAGCATGGCTCGCTAACGGTCCTCGAGACCGAGTCGCCGTACTGGATCTATCGCTACGAACGTCCAGACCGCCCAGGGACATGGACCACGATTCTGCCGACCGACGCGTCTCATTCGACGGAGACAGAGACGGGCAGCCCACAGCCGCGCTACGCCCATCAAGTGGTCTATGACGCGAGCAGTAAGATTGTCTACATGCACGGAGGAAACTCTGGCATCATCAAGGATGATGGAAGCGGCGGATTGCATGCTGAGGCTGAGAGCGGTCGAGGGCGGTCGGTGTTGGATGGCCAAGATGCCAGCAAGGAGCATCGCTTGGATGACTTCTGGAAGATGACGCTCGAGAGGCAAGTATGGAGTGGTTCATTGCTGATACCAAGTCTCACTGAGTTGCAGGCCTCCGATAGAGGATATCGTGCGGAGAGCGATATACGAGATCCGTCAACAGCAGTGAGTCCGACACGTATACGTCGCTCACTACCTGCCGCATGGCCTTACAATCCTGAAACAGGTTCCGGGAGCTGTGCGAAGACGCCCCAGCGATCAAGGCACTCGGCTTTCTGCAAGCAGAGGTATCGTCAGTGGTGAATCATGACAATGCAGAGGAAGCCGAGGTATTCAGGGTCCTTCTGTCGCACCTCCTTTCCCTGCCACCTGGTGGGACATCGTCCACGCCTAGCACGAGCGAGGCCAAGGACGAAGACAAAGACACACCCATGCGCTCGCCCGAAAGCACACCTCTTCCCAGCCAAGACGAAGAGATGACGGACTCGGCGCAAGCGGAGACGCAGACCACGAAACGAGTTCCGGTCACGTATGATCAAGATCCACTGGAAGAGACCATACAGAGTGGCTCCCAGCCCACGCCAGCACGGTTCAAGCAGCGCACCGAAGTCTATGAGCGACTGCTCGTGTTTGTCAACGCAGATGCGAAGCAGCCTGACAGGAGCCTTGTGGACCTGATCAACACGGATGGAGTAGAATAAGCACCGAATCGATAAACGGACAGCGATTGGAACCGGTCGGAAGAAATTTTGCTACAGTAGACAGCAAATGTATCGTTACAACGTCGTGGTATACTTCGCGCGAGTCTTGACGGGCAGCACTTCACTCGTCAAGATTGATTGCGCGACCGAACTTAGCGTACAAGACGACCTTGAGCTCCTTCATGGTCTTTTCGCACTCCTCTGCGCGATTCGTGAGCGTAGAGAACTGTTTGTCCACTTGCGCTTGGTCTCGTTCCAGCTGTTTCATAGCGCGGCGATGTGGAAGGTGTAGGAAAGCTTCGCCGACCTTGTACCTAGACAAACAATGTATCATGAGGTTGAATAGGCATCGGCAATGCTCTGACACGTACAGGACTGGCTGATCCTCGTCTGAAAGCTCGAGTTCCATCGCCAGATCGTCGAGGGCCTCTTTGTCTTGCTGCAAGATACACGGTCTCAATATGTGCGCACATACCTCAGGGTTGTGAGTGTAGTGACCTTCAACTCCTCCATCTGAGCCTCAATCCCTCGCAAACGCGTGTTCATCTTCGAGAACGTGTTGATACGTTGCTGGTCCTCTGTTCAGTCAAGATCAGTTTTGACTCCGTAAAGTCAAGTCAAAGATGCGCACCCCAGGTGACCTCGACATTGTCATTATTCTCGTCTTCTTGAGGTAGCTTATAGAGTTTGTGTCAGATAAAATAAAACCTTGAGTGCAAGAAGACAGACCATGCGCATGTTAGGCAGCTCGACCAGTCTACGAGGCGAGACTTGGTCTCCAAGCCGCGCGGGCTCAGGCGATCGCAGAGGCGCCCGCTTCAGCGCTTGCATCCGGCCGTTGCCGGCTTGACCGGAGTCGCCTTCTCGAGTCTGGCATCCACGGAACACATCCACGCCCTGCCGCCTCAAGACTCTCGCCGTCGCCCACCGCATCAATGGTAAGTGTTCCTATGCTGCTGGCCTGCATGCTGGACGTCTCGTGCAGCGAAGACTGTGCGTTCACGGGCTGGATGGTGTCTCTGGCCTGCAGATGTACTGCGAGCTCCAAGCGCCCTAGCGAAGACAGAATGCTCACTCGAATTTCGTTGTTTCGTAGGCCTCTATCGAGCTCGCTGCAACTTACGCAGCCCTTATCCTCGCCGACGATGGCGTTGAGATCACTGTGAGTGTACGCGGAAACTACGATACGTCGCAGGCGCTAACCCTTGTAGTCTGATAAAATTGTCGCTCTGACATCTGCGGCGGGTGTCGAGCTCGAGCCCATCTGGGCTTCCCTCCTCGCAAAGGCGCTTGAGGGCAAGAATGTGAAGGAGCTCCTCTCGAATGTTGGCTCAGGTGGCGGTGCACCTGCTGTTGGTGCACCAGCAGCGGCTGCAGGTGCTGCCGCGGAGGCACCGAAGGAGGAGGAGAAGAAGGAGGAGGAGAAGGAGGAGTCAGACGACGACATGGTACGTGGATTATGGATTCTACGCGACCGCTTATTGACCCGTCTTCCAGGGCTTCGGTCTCTTCGACTAGTGTCTTCTCTTGCATTCTCATCATCATCTGTACACCTCGTCATGCTGTAATGACACGTATCCGACCATCCACAGGCGGAGTCTCAATGCTTCTGTCAGCGGAACATCTTCAGAGTTATGTGCGTTGGACAAATACTCCGTGTCTATGGTACCCCCCTGTCTCCACGACCGTCAGTATTGAATGGCGCTCAGCCAAACTGAGTAGGATGTATGTGCTGTTTGCGGCCTCTTCGGTTGACATTCTCCAGGTTAGAGATCTGCTAACGAGGGCGCATGACATCGACCTTCTGGTAAAACTGTGTTCTTGAGTTGTTCATTTGCTGATGTCTTCGCTTGATCTGTGGTAGGGAACAACAATGCGCTTGAATCGCGATGGGCACCCACATGACTTCTAATGTTGCCTGCGTAGCTATCATAGCATCACGCCTACGCGCTACCTGCTTGACGGTGTCGTTGACGAACCCCAATTGTGCACTGAAACAAGGAATGGCCGTGATATGAGGGAGTCAAAAGGGGCAGCTCTTGACAAGCAGCAGCAGCGCGCCGCAAGGCATCGGGATAGCTGTCGCTGTTGGCGCTGTCATGTCACCATCATCGCCTTTTCGTTGGATTTTCAAGACGCAGCAATGTTGTCGTGCGTGTCCGTAAAGGTTTCACGATGACATGGGCACTAGGCCGCCCACTCCAACAACGGTCCTATGATCTGTCTCAGGGTAGTCACTCTCTGGCCCCGTAGTGCGTCGTCGTGGTGCCTTCAGACTCAGCATTGCATACTCTGATGAGTCAGGTCGTAGGCCCTGAGAAATTCACATCTCTCAAAGTACTGTCTGACAGATGGCGTCCTTGAGACGCTCTTCGGGCAGCAATTGACACCAAGAGGGCGCCGTCTGTCACCAAACGTCGCTATTTGCAAGTCCCGCCGATTGTCCCACACAGGCTACGGCCAGATCAATGGTATGGTCACTGCAGTCACACCCGAACTCTCATATATGCGTTTCGAAGGAGATTGACACCGTGTCCCAACCGTGTCCCTTCACGTCATGTCACAAGTTACATACGTGGAACTGGTCGATCTGTACGAGCAAAAGTAAGTGTCGGCGATGATGTCCTCGATGTGCGTACTATGCTCACAGTTCGCCGAAAGCTATCAGTACAATTGCGCCCAGGCGGCAATAATCGGTGGGTGACTCGGAGCGACCTCGTGGCTCCTGTACACCGTCCTGACCTTGGAATTAGCTGTCCTCATGTATGAATACGCCATTACGTTGCGAGACGAGGTCAGTTTGGTATGGAGAAGCAAGGCGACGTCAACGGTTATCTTCTATCTCAACCGCCTGGTCATGATCGGCTTGGTGGTGGCGTACATGCTAGATATGTTCACGTGGACGACGGACGTAGTGAGTGACAGTCTTCTCTGTCTCGGCGTTTCTGACAGGGACGGCGAAAAAGGGGTAATATGGCCCCGTTGTTCAAAGCAGGACACGAGGATCTGACTCGCACGCTACAGCTGCCGGAGCGTGTCTCTGTTGTACATCGCTTTAGAACTCGTAACATACGCGGAGTGGGCAGGTCAGTACGTTCTCTTTTGTTTGCATCTCGGGGTTTACATGACCGTGCGCAGTCCTATCGGCATTGCGCGTCTACGTTGTCAATACCAGTAGCTGGGTAGCCACAGCGGCGACCTTGGCTTTCGCTCTAGTTCCGGTGGCATACAATATCGTGAGTAGCGAGAGTGACCCATGGATCTAGAACGAGTCGCTCATTATGTGCAATAGTTTGCTAGCACTCAACTAACGTTCACGGCGATCCAGGTCATACCGGGACTGGCGGTATGCGACGAGGTGGCCAAATATTCAGTCTCAACTGCGCGCAAGTAAGTGACAGATCCACGGCTGAGTGTCATTACTCACGCATAGCGCTGTATACAAGAGGTGAATAACTGCTAAAACACTTGCATCATTGTGACGTGACTTACAACCTCAGGTGTGCTGACTGCACGAGTATTCGCCATCACATCCGAACTGGTGGTAATCTCTGTGACAATTTGGAAAACCTACGATCGCGCGCTTGGGTTCAGCCATCAGGGGTTGGGGTCAAGCCAGACTCTTGTAGGAGTTCTGCTGAGAGATGGTCAGTTTTTTCAACGCTTGTATCAAGCGTCGTGGCTCAGTCTCTTGACTCTCTTCCATTCTGAAGGGACAATATACTTCATGTACGTATTGTTCTACCGCACGGGAGGTGAACTAAAACTTCGCGTAGAGTTCTACTATGCATCAATCTCCTTCAGTTAATCATGGATTATGTCGCCGTGCGTCAGGGCCACAAGTCAAGTTCAGTGTATAATTGACGAGCATCGTTTCTGATCACAGAAAATCGACTTAGGCGCACTATTCATAGTCCCGTCAGTCCGCTTGCCCACGCTCTACGTCATGCATCTGACGGTCTAATAGTGCTATGTCCATCCTCATCTCCCGCTTTCTACTGGATATTCGCGAAACCGGGTTACGCGGAAAAACAGACACGAAGTTCACCACTGGCACCAGCACGGGCGATTCGGAGCACTGGCAGTCAGTGTTATTCACGACGAGAATAGGCTTCTGCACAAGACGGACTGAACTGGAATCCGGACGACGCGGTCGGAGCAGCCAGAACGCTGCAAGCGAAGCCAAAGTACGGTAGGTCGACGCAGAAGGTGACGTATGACGACTCGATGGGTGACATACACGATGACATGACAGTGGACAGTCTTCGAAACCCCTTACTTAGATGTTACGCTTTGTCCGGCTGTCTGCACCGCGTCCAGTGAAAATCCGCATCAATACTCGGTTTCACCTGTAGAATGCATAATGAACAAGAGTGCTCCTGCTCAGCGACCCTGCTGATAAGCACAAGACAGAAACATCACGGGTACGGCATGTAAAATGGCAGCGCTGGATATTTGACAGCTGTCGTATTGGTTGGCGTTCCACAGGAATTCTTGATACGAGGGCAGGCTCGGGTCATTGATAGTATATAGTACATTGAGAACGCGCAACACCCACCGGCTCCTCTGGTACCAGAGCTACGTGCAATGCCACACATAGCACCCGCCACCCATCATGGTCACCCGGGGCAACCACTTTGTAAAGCTGGGCACCCATGACCAGTGCAAGGGATGCGATTGTCCTCGCTCTGACCAGTGACTGGACGCGTCTGTGGCGACCGCTCGGGGAAGCCCGTGTCAGCCACGATGAGATCTTCGGCGCTCCGGTGGGAGGCTTCGCTGGCCGCAGCGGTCTGATCTGGGGCTGGTACAGTTTCCTGAGTCCTTCACTCCCCTTTCCAGTGTTTCCAGTCATTGATCTCGCTGGTTCGCGCTTTGATGCTATGCATGCACCGACCTCAATTCTCTGCGGACTGCCAGTTGCTAGACAACGCCGATGTCCTGTAACAGCACGTGTCAAGCGCGTATCATGACATCTCACTACTAGGTCGCGGGTGCCGCGAGCGACTCGGACAGGAACATGGTACGTTGGTGTATTTCCGGCCTAAGTTTGTTTTAGCTGAAATCCGTCTCAGAAAGCTCACGGGACAGTTCCTATGTTGTGCAGGTTTATACATATGACACTCAGAACACCGTTTTACATAGGTCAGTTCATTACTGAACGACAGCGCGCGCTGTTTGTGCTTGGGCATACTGCCAGTACTGGACCTGTCATGTATCTTCAATGACGGCAGTCTTTCTACCCTGAAATCGGATCCTGGAATCCAGAGCGAATGTTTGTGAGGGCCCCAAACTGTAATGATGTGGGATCCTACTTCACGAGCAATCCACGGAACACGAGTCTTGCCACTCATGTGATACCGGACGAAGGTGTCAGTCCAGTTTGCTCAGTGCTCGTTGCCTTGCTCGGACGAATGACCAAAGCTGAACAGCCTCTGCGCATCGCATGTCACTTGTGTGTATCATTCAACTCACGTCCCTACCTCGCACCTAAACTTACACTGCGACTCATGTCAGGTTGCCAAGGAGCTACAGCGGTGCATACATATAAGCCCACTGGTATTCATCGCTGCGGACAATAGCTCACGCCACGCAGTTCCACCATGAAAGGCGTCCTATCAGTGTTCCTCCTTTTCTTCTGTGCTGGCGCACTCTCACTCCCACATGATGAACATGCGATTGCCATGGTGAGTGCCTCGCTCGGCCGCGGCCGCGGAGTCCATTCTGCCATAACTAACTAAACTTCTCTAGAAAGGTCGAGAGTCGACCTCCGATACATCCCTTGAGCCGGGCAGACCAAAGTTCTTCGACACGTACTGTATGTGATCTCTTTCGACATGCTCTCAGAAAACGATGTCTGACGTATTCATTTCCCACCTTGTAGTCAAAGAATAGAGCCCGTGACTGTCAAGTGCGGATAGAGGATCGGGGCTCCTAGACGATGCGACGCCTTCATCCCCACATGGCTGTATTGAATCGCCCCGATGAAACTTAGTGTGTAGCAAACCAAAGCATTCTTGTACTGCTGTCACTTCGCAATAGGACCTCCTAATGCATATTGCACGACAGACACTCGGCGATCTGATGTGTTGTTTCCTGCCTCCTCAGTACACCATTCGCAAAGTGGACCAGTATGCTCTCGCCAGCCATCTCCAGGCGTGGCTTCGGGTTCATGGTACAGAGTTGCTGAGATTTTGCGCATCGGATCCCAGGATCTGCACAGTTCGCATCTGAGCTTTTGCGTTTTCACCCGTGAGAATACTACAGTACAACGTACGACGGGCAACCAAGGACGTCGGTGATTCATGATTCACATATGCACTGCACTGCACAGTTGCAAGTTACGCTACGCGACATTGGACGACTTAACCAACTCGACGTATCGTACCCATGTTCTGGATCATCCTGATCTTTGTCAGTCAACATCGTCTTACGTTCTGCTGCCACGCCTGGTTCCAGTATTCAGGGTGCGAAATAGGCTACCCACGGAGCATCAAGATCGTACACATGCATAAAGCGCAAGAAGCATGAGCACATACGAGAACTTCCTCTAAAAACAGGTCTATAAAATAGAGAACCTCCTCTATAGAGAAGGGGATGCGTCAGCGAGAATGAACCAACGAGCCCCGTAACCGTACATACCCTCAAGTAAGACCCTTTCAACTGTAGAACTGGCACGATGATAATGAAGAGCCCTGTCACAATCGCTGCTTCCACGCCGAAAGTCTGCAGCGCCCCACTTTTCTCCGCCCACGGGACTTGGAAATAGGCCACCGAGAACCCTCCCATAGTGCGTGCGAAGTTAATCAGGGCCGCGATCTCACCCTGTCATAGCCATGCGAATGCGAATCAGCTCGGCGAGTGAATACAGAATCTCTATCTCACCTGTCGGGTTGGGAAGCAATCATTGCAGTAGGCGTCTAAATGCAATACGTAAGCAGAAGCAAGAAGCTTCTCAGAACGAAGACTCACAGACTGCCACGGTGCAGATCATGTTCGACACCATGGCGATTCCCCATCCCATGACCAATGCACCGATACTGAGTGTTTCTTGCAAAGCAGCACCTAGCACCACGAAGCCACAGATATACAGGGGGACAGCGATATAAATGGTCCTGAAAGATGCTCAGTAGCTGCAACGACTGACAGCTCAAGCGGAGTCAATTACACACCAAAGTCGCATTTCAGCCTCAAATACACCCTTATTGCGTCTGACGCAGAAATTCATAACCCAATCGTTGAAGTATCGACCTAGAAGCTCGCCGAGTAAGACACCGACCTGGATGGGACGCACACATCAACGACTCATCAGGGCCGTATTGCAACAGAGCACCTTGAACTCACTATCGGGGTCCCATACGTCCCTGCGATTGCAATTTCGCTGAAGCCGTAGCCATTCGGAGGAGGTAGACCGAGAAAGACTACCATGGTCGTCTGACAAGGTATATGCTAGGATCAGCGGACAGAGTTGAGTTCCGCATTCAAGGACGCACATTCAGTCCGACGCTGGAAAAGCCGAATGCCAATCCCTGGAAGTCGACATTCAATATAGTGAGGGACAGACATGTGCAGTCAAGAAAAGACCTACCTCGAACAATAGGATCCCCAGTAAGTGCGGCCTCCATATGAGATCTGCGCAGGCCAGTACAGCGTCACGCCAGCTTGCACGATAACGCGCCATCTTGAGACCTGTGACGCCGACTAGAGTCTCTAGCCTGTACCGCAGGCGTGACTTTGGGCGCCGGATTGGGGTTGGGTTCCGCAGTGTACGGTCGTACATTCTGCGAGAAGACCAGTCAGCACTTTGTATTTTCATGGCAGACTGCATCATGCACGTACGTCTCTTCGCCAAACACCGCAATAAAGAACACAACGATAGCGCCATAGATCGAGCCTATTCCATACGCCCAGCGCCAGCTGTCATCATGTCACAGTGAGCAGAGTCACGTATATGCTCAACAATGCTCACCTCGTACGCGCACATAGGAACCCGAAAAGGAACGGCGACAGGAACGGTGAAACGAGGAATCCCATGGTCCAGATATTCAGCTGAATGCAACGTGAGTCAACCGAACCTAGCGAACGACTGACTATGCCTACCTTCCGCGCCTGCAGGTGGAACGGGTACATGTCGGTCACAGTGTACAAGCCCTGTTACGACAATACTATGTAAGATATCCTTCCCGACATCCCAGGAGGTGACTTACAGCTGCTTGTGGACATGTTCTGAGTGGCCGTAGAGCGTCAGTAATCATTGATCCTTTTAAAGGCATGTGGACAAACCCAAAAAATGCCGTCAAACAGCGCATCGCTGTACGAACGGCGTCTGAGCGTCGTGGCGAGTTCAGAATAATGACTCATTTACCAGTGAAGGTCGCCAAGTTCGGGGAAAATGTGCATCCTAACAAGAAGCCAAGGGCTAGTACCTAATGTGGGATCGATCAGCTCAGGCTGAGCTGTTGGATGATCTTTCCACCACAAGAGCTCAATACGGACCTGAGACCAGAAAAGCACTGGCAATCGACCAAAGCGACGAATGAGCATCACGGCGAATACGCATCCCCATGCTGAACGAGACAGCGTTAGGTGATTGTAAAAGGTATAGCGGCTGCAACATACCAAGTAGAAAGATGCTCCAGCTTCATAGTCGTATGCGTCACTGATTAGGTCTGATCGCTAGTGCACACATAAGGTAACTCACTTAGACGTCAAGTTATTGATCTCTCCTGTCGTAGAGTCGTATTGCCGAGCAAGTCCGTAGATAGCCGCCACGCCTATAATATCATCAGAACGATTGGAATAGGGTGTGAAATAGAGCAGGTGCAACTCACCGATCCCCGAGTCGAAATCCGGTACAATAGCTGCCAAAGTGATGACAAACAGTTGCATGCTCTTGCGGGCAGTGCTCCACTTGAACATGATTAGTGAATGTATGTGTGCAAGAAATGGAGCACGATACACATTCTGAGGATCTTCCGGATCGTTTGTTGGTTGTGGCCAAAGGACTACGGTACCGTCCTCTGACAGCTTGAGCTTCTTCGCAATCTCGTCACCGAACTCCAATCTTGCTTCCCTGTTCAACGCAGTCAAGCGTCAGCATGGAACGTACAGGGAAACAGTCTGCAAGGCTTGCTTTGGGTCGACCACAAGGCGTCCAGCATTGCGCTCGTGATAAGAGAAGAGCTCGAACATATCGGCATCGGACACAGGGCGCTTGTAGGAGGCTGTCTCAAGCTTCGACTCGTCAGCTTTCTCGTCGAGAAATGCTGTTGGTGATTCGGGATTAAAAGTGGTGCTGCGGGCGGGGAGAGGGAAAGCCATGTTGAAGGCTACGAGGGGAAACCGTCGCGGATTTCGGGGGCGACGCACGTCTCGGGTGCGCTTTAAATCCGTGGACGAGTGATACGCAGGCCAAGGGAACTTCACGATCTGGTGTTCTTCTACAAGCCTGTCACTTTCCCATATGGTTAGACTAAAACCCAGCTCCGTGTAAATAGGCTGTGTTGTGCGTCAGAAGGCCCAACGATCGTCTACGTGCAACACACCTTCTTTGACGGGCTGACAAGCGACATGAGTGATCACAAGATTTCGGGGCCGCAGGATATATTCACTACCGACTATGTAGGCATCATCTGGCCAGTCTGTCGCGATACGTAGGTCCGCGGGACCATGGGTAATCAGAACTTGTCTCCGCATGTCGGTGAGGCGTGGGTGTAGGGAAACCAGGAAGGACAAGTCAGAATCACGTGGGACGGGTGAGCCAATGACCTCTCAGGCGTCATCGACATCATGGGATGCGAATGAGAGCCTATGAGAGTGCTAGCTCTAGCCTCTGTTCACAATTGGATTGCAGCGTCCATCTGTCCAGATATCCAAATAGTTCATACCCGATAATTCCCGTTTCGCAAGCACAACCCACCTGCGAATAGCAACGGACTTACATCACAACGGTGTCGTCCACGTTTGCACTAAGTACCTTCACCTCGGTAGTAGTGGTTTGATTCCATATCGAGCGATTTGTTCACTAGCCAACCAAAGTGCGGCTTGCGACATCGTACTATTGCCTGGGTGCTGTAACGTAAGTCTGAGATCGGGAAACTACCTTCCGGCCAGCCTTGACTTGAAGTTAATGACGGATGACTGTCAGGGATCGTAAAAGTCCTGGCGTCATGCACATCGAAATGAGCAACTCGTACGAGTATACAAATCGCTGCGTCGGGAGTGCATACCACTAGTGCGTTCTGTCGAGGAACATATCGCGTTCAGCTATATTCGACTTGTTATGATACTGCCGTGCTTACCTCCGTGTCCCCATGGATTGAACTTGAAGGCGGGCGCCGTGATACAGGACTAACCAAGGCGGCAGTCAGTATTGAATACTGTCTTGAGTGCGCCTGCCTAGATGACGGCGACACGCTCAGACACGATAGTCTTCTATCCGTGGGCGCATCAGACGCGAGGGTCCTACATGAGGGTCCAATTTGACCTTCGAAGCGTCAAATGGCACGCTTTACCCCAGAGCGACTCGAATCGTCAGCGCACTACTAGCACAGCGCGTCCGGCGGGAGTATCGGGTAGACCTGGAGAATGAGGCGCCTCGAAACGCTGGCCCTGGACCTTCTCGGGCTGGCAGCTCCATCTCGATGTCTCCCACTCATTACATTCGAGTTCCCGAGAGGCGAAAGTCAACAATGTCAGCTCTGACATTCAGCGCTGAGGAGTTAGTGCAGCTTGCCATGTTCAATGTGCACCGTCGCGATGATCAGCTACACCGTTGACAGGTAATATTTCGCGAGCCTTCGTCCTAGTGTCGCGGGTTCGCAATAAGAAATGTCGCCGGATGGAATCATCCCAGCTCATAGCGCGTCGAGCAAATGCTTACATACCTGCCCCATTCGCGAAGGACCATCGTACGGCGCTCTCGCTGCCCTTCCCCCATGGGCTTGTGCGGGCCGAAGGCGCATGGTACACTAGGCCCGCGCGAGCCATACGGCTATGAATAGAGAGAGTGGCTTGGAATGGTAAGCACACGCGAAACCTCTGAAAGGTGTTCGTCGAATATCCACCACTCGGTAGTCTGCATCGATGCACAGTAGTAGTCGGAAGATACGCGTCGCCCGACCGTCTACGTGAATAGCTCAGTGTTGCAGTAGATATAAAGATGGTCGGCAGGTTTCGGCAGTGAGCGAGGGGGGCAGGCCTGGGCGGAAGGTCCAACACCGCGGACTGGGACATAGATGGAGGTTGAATAACCATTGACAAAGATATCGACCTCACGCACCAGCAGCCATCCCATCAAAATACCGCGAGCCTCTCCTAACCCAGTTAATGAATCCCATGGCCCGATGGCTCGAGCTACTAAGCTAGCACTTCAGGCCTTCAGATTGTGCAGTGCTCCGACTCGGAGGCTCATGCGATCTGTCGACGCACGGCAGCAGCCCGTCGCTGTAAATCGAATTGTATCCACCATGCTATCAGAATTTCTGAGATCAAGTTCCGCGGTTTCGAGAGAGCGTAGTTCAGTTTGTTCGAGTGGTGATGGACTAATGTACTATGTATGTAGTATGTGGGGGGGCTTGGTGGCACTGGCCTGTGTGACATCGGACTTGTCGCCCGGGGCCCCTATACCTAGTCACGTGACATGTCGCTGCCAGTGAGCGCTTGGCACTTGCCACTGAACCGTGTGTCACGGCGGCCCGCACTGGCTATGTGCGCTGCCTTGCTCACGATCGTCGGGGCTTCACTGGTACTGCAGTCACGACTGTTACTCTAAGCGAAGCGAGGCACGAGCGTCGCGTAGAAGTGAGTCTACGCACGCAGGAGGAGATTTAGGCGCGCATCGCTCTCCTCTGCGCGCCCACTCGGACGACCGCTCTCGAAGGCCCCGCCGCCGCTGCGCGCTTTCGAATAGCTCTCGTTTTCTTCCACTAGACTACAACACTTGTAGCTTACAAGAATGAGACTATGGTACAACCTTGGCTCCGGGTCATCAATCACAACGGCTGCAAAGAGCCGGATTATGTGAGCAGCGACACACCCTCTTCCCGCAGCACACGCCGCAACAAACTCAATGTTCATTTCTTTGGCTCGACGTGTCCACCCTGCGGCCCCGCAGGGGCAACGGAACGCAGGGCTGCGGTATACCCGCCCGCCCTCGCGGCTCAGCCGTTGCCCCTCAGGTCCAGGCAAACTCTTCGAGTCGGGCAGCCCTGCGGGCTGTGCCCCACACCGCTAATCATTCCCCGCTCTCGCTCTCGCAAACGACATCTTAAGCTCATTGGGAAATAATGAGGCTGGTGTGTCTCCTCACGTGTCACTACAAACCGTGACTGTAGTATCCACCAAGCCACTCATCGCATCCTAGTACATAGAAACAGTCCTATGATGCAAGACGAGGTTATATATTATAAAATAACATGTCATAGCACTAGATCTCCGTGAATCAATAGCAAGAAACCGTCACAGGGATCGATGCTGCCTGGCATGCAGGTACGAGCGCGCGATTACCGACGACTCGGTGCTTGCCAACCTTCCAGCCAGCTCTTCATCGCGGCTAAACCTTGCTGCTGCACGGCGGCAACCGTCGAGTCTGCTTCTCCGTTCGCTATGATCAAATCCGAGCAATGGAAACCGTCGCCCACTGCGATGGGCTGCATGTCAGTGCTCTGGAAATTCGTACCATCCGCGGAGACGGTTGCACCACGCCATGGATCATCTATAGGTCAGAGTAGTTCGAATTAACGCTCCGTAGAATTGTGATGCGGAGTTAATGACGCACTCTCTCCGTTAGCGAAGAAGAGGCGATCGGCCTGCATGAACCACCCGCCATACGCCTGGTTGGTCTCATTCGCACTCGGCGTTGGCGGCGCGCTGAACGCCTCCGGGAACATCAGCATACATTGGCGCTACGATGTAGTTAATTATTGAGTTCACTCGTGGCCGCAGAAGCAGATACACTCACTTCCCAATATCCCGGTCCAATGAGACGAGACACGACGGTGGGCACATCCGCGGGTGCGCCATCCTGCCAGAAGCCCATCTCGTTACACCTGTAAACTTCATAGTCAAATGATGCCACACCGACCACACAGACGCACCTACACAATCCAATTCCAAGAACGCGCGGCATTGTCGACTGCGATGGTCGTGTACAAGCTCGAGTTCGGGTTGTATGTTCCCGCGCAACTCCTATCCCATTCAATTAGTGGCTGTTAGCAACCTATTGGGGATAGCACGTCGTTCACTCACTCGATGTCTTCGTCACCACACACTAAGAATTGCATGCTTCAGCTTTTCCCATGTAAAATCATTGAATCGAAGACACTTACACTCAGGCAAATATGTCGTAGTCCAGTAGTCTGCCCAGGTATTCAGGGCATGATCGAGTCCCCAGCCGCTTTCAGGTGCGGTCTCATTGTCTTTGACCTCTAGCGCGTCGCAGAACTCGTAGAATCGTGGGTCCGTGAGATTGGGAGACACATCGAGGCTCTGCCAGTCCCACATTGGATTCTGCACTAGTGACTGAGTCAGCAATTGAGTTGAGTAGGGACGTGTGGAACCTACAGGCACTGGCGAAGTCATCAAGGTTTGTGAGGTTCATGTTGAACATTGTCTTAATCTCGTCAATGGCCGTGTAGTTGGTCGAGTCAAACACGGAATCGATATGCGCAATGACAGCTTGGACATCGGCGGAACAGTTCTGCGGCATGTGTTGGCGGATGACATCAAAGTAATCCCAGAAATCGCTAGTATAGGGACGGCATCAGAAGCTCGGCATAGGATAAAGCTCCAGGACGTACACAATGCTCTCCACGACGGCTGAGGAGGCCCAGGCGGCGTAGAATGCATCCGGTTTGCTACCCCGTAGACACGTTCTTAGAAACATGTACAATGGCAAAGGGAAACGCCTTACTTCACTTTCGTGAAGGCGGTCAATGCCCCCGCGTAGCTACCACCAATCAGGATCCACGGTGCGTCGTCAGGCGTGACTTGATCTCCACCGGGCATGGGTAGCTTCACGTTGTAGGCGAAGTACTCCAAGTCGTTGACCGCCTGTTCGATGGTATGGTACTTCAAGCTCTCGACGGAGAGGTTGTTGTATGGATTCGAAAGGCCATAATAGCGGTGTTCGATAACGATGGTCGCTCCATTGAGCTCTTGAGCGACCATTCCGTTGACGGTCCTATTTGTCAGGTAACCAGTGTACCCTGTGATATGTTCGGTCAACGACAATGCGGGAGTATGACCAATGTGGTTGAGCAGACCGTCAGCATTACCCTCTCCGGGCGTAAGTAGTATGATGGGGCCCCCTAACGACATCGTCAACTTGCGAAGGCAGCCGCACACTGTATATGGCACCTACCGCTTTCATAATAGTCCCAGGTATGCCAGTACCTCTGCTTGAACGTCCCAAGGCTCGGGTTCGTGTGGTCGATTAGCTGGTCAAAGTAGTACGTCGTATTTAGAGGCGGAAGTTCGGTACCGTTGCGATCCACGAGCGGGGCATCCAGTGGGTGATCAACCTTGCTAACGAGTGGCCATGCCCTGTTCAGTGGAGCCACGGCACTTGTTCCTACGACGAGCAACGTAAGGACAGTGGCGACGCCGGTGCCGAAACTTGAAGGAAAGAACATGACTGGCGACGAACAGGGACTGGCCGTCGAAGGAGGCGATTCCGAGGGGTCAGCGCATGGTGTAGGCCTTCTTATAACCCCAGATGTGGCCAGATGTGACCGAAGAGGGCGGGAACAAACCACACTAGGCGGCGATCTTCGTAACGATCGCCGTCGTTACCACACTGCATACGCCTGGCATACGCGCCTGAAACACTCTGAACCCCGCGTATCACCGCGGGCAAACCAGGTTTTTCGGCCTCCGAAGATTGCTCACAACATCGGTCCCTTATGGGAACCTATTCGGAGAGCTTGACTGACTCCGAAAATGCCCCCACATTATTCATGTTCGTAGCATGTTCGCCGAAAACACGCGTTTTCGGCCTCCGAACATGCTGAAACGCATCATGTTCGGAGCATGTTCTGACAACATTCGGAGTCCGAATAGGTTCCCATGGGGGACCGATGTTAATAGCAATCTTCGGAGTCCGCAAAACCTGGTTTGCCCGCGGTGTATACCGCACTGATGGAGTGGCGCGAACGCCGCTGCCCTTAGTGCAAGGACCTCGCAAGCTCGAGGTGACTCGCGATCGGTGAAGCTGATGGTCCACTCGGAAACAAGGTCTCCGGCCGTACATGGATCGGTCCAGCTGCCAAGTGAGCGGGCGCCTACGCGTCTGTGGCTGCGCCGCTGTAAACCAGTGCAAACCACGTTTGCACTGCAGCTGTATCATGTGCAGCGCGATGCGATAGACGAGTCTGACGACGCGCCACACGCTTTCCAACTCTTCCCTGTCAAACGACTGTCCAGCCTCATCGCATCCGATTTGGAGCCTGGGCGGCTGGAACACCGTACACATGGATCACCCCAAGATCAGCCTAATACCTGCGCAGGTCCGTGTTTCCCCGGTCTCGGGTACTCAAGCTACGAAGACTCGAAGAACGGCGCCGTGACCGCTAGTCCAAGGAGTACTCGCTGCTCGGACGGGGGTTATTACTATATCCATCGAGATGCATTCTGCACTTACACACAAACACCCAGGTCGCATCATCAAATGCTGCATCTCCCCCTCACAAAAACATGTATACGATCGAGCCGTGATCAGCGTTTACTCTTCTTGGCCCGGCCATGCGAATCCGATCCGGTTGCTTCGCGTGTTCTTTTGTTGCCTTTCCCACTGGATGACGCAAGCTTCATGGCCTCCTTTGTCGCTCGTGTCTGTTCGATTGCACCTCGCAGGATTCTCTGCTCGCCAACGCGAACAATAATCGCGTGTTTCTTGTGTAGCGAAAGGCTGTGACCATTCGCAGGATCAAGGAGCTTTTCGTCCTCCTAGTACATGTGAGCGAGCATTCCCAAGTCGTCAAGGCTTGTTGGAATATACCTCAAGCGTGCTCGGATACTTCTGCATGCGTTTTGTCAGAGTCTTCTCAATGATGTCAAGTACATTGAGGTCGACTTTTGCTTTCGGAAGCTTGCCCTTCCTGTTCGCCTTCTCCCACTCGTCAGAGGTCATTAGGAGGAGACGCACAAAGGACAAAAGATCTTCCGGAAGCCCGGAGCCTGATGCGATGACGAACGTGCTGCACGGTGCATAAGATTAATATTGATATGTTGGTAGCACAGAAGGTGGAGGTTACAGTAAACACTCAACTCATCGTCGGCGTTTTCGAGCCACCAATTGACACGTTCAGCCAGAGAAGCGGACTTGTCATCGGTTGCGGCCGCAACTGCCAAGTCGCCCGGGATCTCGACGATGTCTGCAGGATTGCCAAGACCACCGAAGGATTCCGGCATGGGAACGAGGTCGACATGTCCATACCTGCGAAGTAGTTCGGAGTTCGGTGGATCCCCATAGGTATTCCACTGACACATCGCGTTGAGTTGCTGGAAGGCGAAGACAGCCTGACGCTTACAATCTGCTCCCCAGTTTTGATGAATTTCGTGGTAATCATACGTAGGTCTATGGGTTCGTAGTACAACTTCGCCTGAACGGGGTTCAGCGCAGATGCTGTCACATGATCCAAATGGCTTACATTCTCTGACCCATACCGTGCATTGAGCATGTCCGCCATCGGCACCATTGCGACGTTGGTAGAATCCTCAGAATCCTCGTCGGCCTCGTCGTCCGAGCCAACATCCAATGTGTCGTCCGCTTGCGCCTCGACATCGTCGACTAGATCGGTGACGTTTTGATCTGCGCTGTCTACGTCCATGGCATCGGCGTCGGCACCGCCATCTGCAGCTGCACCGTCGTGCTCCTCTTCACCGGACCACGGTTCGACGCAAAAGCTACGCGACAGGATGCGACTACCCATAATATGGTAGCGCTCTAGCGAACAATGATGCTGGTAGGCACCTTCGGGAAATAGGTCGGGTCGGCTCTAGGGATATGTTCTCAACAATGACAGTACTGCGGTATGATATAGACTTACCTTTATCGCGGGAGCGACCTTCTCTCTGTAATCTGCTTCAGCTTCCTCCTTGCCGATTTTGTCTGGGGCGCCAGGAACCCAGGTTGTGAGCGCGCTAGAGATGACAGACGTTGCTCAGGACGAACCTACCACAGAAGTCCCTGATAGCTCCTTCAAATCCTCATCAGACCAGAACATCGGCGTGTCAAATGCCGATGGAAGGGAAGCTGCCATGAAGAAGTCAGCAAAGCCGACACGCGACTGACAGTGTGATTCCCAGCTCACAAAGATAGGTAGACCACTTCGAGGTGTTGCCCTGTGCTTCCTCCCACATCATACAGAGAATGAGGCCTGTCCAGCCCTCGTCCAATCTGAATTTCTTCCATGCCTCCCTACCGAACCGAGAAGGAAGAGAGGATGTACGCATGGACAGAGTCAGGTCGCGTGGTATCGTAAAGAGGATGTGGCCTTGCTACACCATTCCGCGTCAGCAAGATCACTTGAAAGGTGGTATGTTTGACGTACAGGTATGTCCTTCAGAGCAATGGCGCCGCGGCCGCAACCTGGAAATTCTTCAAAGCCCATTGACGATGTGTCCACGCTTCCACCTATGGACTTGAACCACTGAATCAGGTCATCGGAGGACATGTTTTCGTGTATCAAGGGCAGCAGCCAGCGGCTCAATCCCGATGGCACTAGCAAGTTTAATGCTCCAGTCTGAGAGTTTCAGGAGAAGATCACTCTGCGGCGCGCCTTGACGCGTGTCTCGTGACGGCAGACGCGTACAAGCGCCCAGCGCGTCGGAATTCACATGTTCTCGCTTCCACCGCCACCAGGTCCGCCTGCCCGTCTTCGAAACCAACAAATCGGATAGGCCAGACTCGGGGATATGGTTACGTTCCAGAGCTTGCGTAGCGAGAAGGAGATCCTCGAGAAGCTTTACCGCGACGAGCTTGACACAGTGCTCAATCTGCAAGAGCTTCTGTACGACCATGTCATACCTGACATGGTCTCTGAGCTCGGCATTGATGAGCGCGGTCAACGGAACCTTGAAGAATGGGCCGCAGACATTCGTGAGTCCAAGACATGATGGTGGTATGTTTGCTAACGTACAGGGACAAGCCTCTATATTTCGCGTTCTGAAGGTAACAACCTGCCTTGCGAATGTCGCTCTGCGTCAGCTGACATCTTCACAGCGTCATAAATTCGTCGCCTCGTTTGCTCTCGAAAACATGCGGCAGATAATGTTTGACCGCCTTCACCCATATTCTCGGCCACGAATAGAACCGACGCCATTCTTACGCTGTCTCCCACTCACCTCGGTCGATCCCTTCGGCCGACCTGTCATCATCGTGAAGCCAAAAGAGCTGCAATTCTCGTCACCTCAGCTTCCGTTCATCCTTCGCACATGTATGGAAGGCTTGCGCGTCCGCTTTCAGCAGCTCAACTCCAAGCGCGATGTCAAGGAACCTCCTGTCCTCCAGTATATCGCCTTACTCGACATGGAAGGAACGACATTTGTCAGTCCTGTGCGTTCACAAATCCGTCAGCATACCAGGAGTCTAGTATGCTGACATGTCATAGGGTTGGATGGAAGTCATATCAACATTCATGCAACAAGTTTTGCCCTCGTTTCCTGGTATGCTCGCGGCGGGTAAGTGTCCCTCCCTGCCACCCGTACCTGCAGCGTCTCCGCCATATGATAACTCCTCCGACTGATGGATCGCATCACACAGTCTTTGTGCTAAATTACACATGGTCCTTTTCCGGTGCATGGAATTTCGCCAAGCATGTGTCTTCATCGCCGGCATCGTGTCACCCTATTTCTGACTATGTTTATCAGACGGCTCCTGCCCCAGAGAGCACTCTCACGCGTGTTCTTCCCCAGCCATGAGGAACTCCTAGACTATTTGACACCAGAATGTGTCCCGTCCGGTGAGCACCTACGATTTTCTGCTGACTGGAAGCTCATCTTCTGCGTGGAGACTTCGGTGGCCTCTTGCCTCCGTCCGCACAGCTAGAGGATCTCGTGGGGACTCTGCTCAAGGATTCAGATGCAGCTCGACCCGAAGGCTATGCTGACGCCGACGCTGGCTGCTCACGCAAATGCGTATGCACCCCATTTGATTTGCAGACCACAGGCCCCAGTGGCCCTGCGGCGGAGGACTGCCCATCGCGCCCAACTCCGCAACATAGCCCTTATTACGGATATCCAGTTCTACATGATACTCCGGGCCCCATTCCGACTCTACGACACGGCCGCCGGCGCAAGAGGGACCTTCTGCGCACGTTGGCTTCGCTCTTCTGGGCGCGCTGGCACAGACACCTTTTAGCTGCCCTGGCCGCCGTGGCATTCATCGCGATCCTCCGCATGTCACGTAGAACACGACTTCTTTTTGGGGTGCGCGGGAACACCGCGACTTTGCAGACGAAGCTTCGTAGGTTAATTGAGAGTAGCCCAGGCCATTAGGTGTTCGACCGGCCGTCGCTCATGCTCGCCGACACGGACTATGCCGAGGCCTCGGCTTCAGGCTGTGTAGGCTCTTGCATCTGGTCTTCTCACATTCATCGAGGTAGAAGGACTTCATGATCCGCATTCATTAATTGTCTAGCTATGGAACCAATCCGCTCAATATATTGCTTCGGTCGCCCTACAGTTCGTTCGTAACTATTTCAATTTGTACAACCAGTTTCATCTGTGTATCGCGATCTATTCGCTAGTGTCCGACCAGAGTGCTAGACCCACCCTCGATGCTGGGAAGGCATGTCATGTCCCGCGCGATCTGTGCCTTCTCCATCGGCGTCTGCCACCCGACTAGGATCCCACTCATGTCAGAACCTCTACCACTCCGTTCATATACCCTGATGGGGTGAAGAAAGATCCCTTCTAGGTAGTATCATTTGAACAAGCACCCAAGGCCGCGTACTCCGACGAAATTGGGAAAAGACCCCGAGTAGGAGACTCTGATCGGCCAGCGGTGGCCGACTATACCCATGATCTACTGTGGGTCGCGATTTGCGGCCTATGCACGCTTGAAGTCGACGTAAAACTAGCACGCCACAGCAGAGAGCCGGCTGCTACCACCGTTTCGACGATGCGTTGATGCACGGTCCACGGATGTGACGCGCTGCAGCCCGATGCCGGCAGCCCTGCCAAAATCTCTCCGAGGAGTCCGTGCCAGTTAAGGCGGGCAGGTACCACGCGAATGTCCGTACAAGCTCCTGTCTGCGTGGGCGCAGCGAAGCGAAGCTTGGGGGCACTGTCCATCTCGCTTCTAGGCGTTTAAGATTCCATTCCGATGAGGGGGCGGCGGTGGCGTGTCATCCGACATTCGATCTCCGTCGATCCATTTACATCGCCTGGGCCTGCGCGGGGTTGGGAGGCACTTCTGTCAGCTCGCAGGGGTAGAAACAAGACGCCGCAGGACATACGTAAGGCTGTTTCACTAGCAAATGACGAAGATTGCTGATCGCTGCAAAGCGGCTGACCTCTGATCAGTAAAACACTTAGACATATGTTATTATAACGTGCGCATTCGATACAAACACCGCTGATGGCTCTATGTATAGACGGGCGTGTTGATACAATACTGTTGCACGAAGACCGGGTATGAATCCTAGCATGATTTACAGGAAGTACTCAGGCAGCTGGAACAGCGGGACACCGTCAGGACCATCAAGTCATCTCAGAGGAAGGAGCGACGTACCTTGCCACCTGCATTTTGGGCCGCTTGTTGGCTGGGCCCGTCCCGCTCATTCTCCGGCGCTGCCAGGAAGACATTGAAGTACATTGATTCTCCTGGTCCCACTTCCAATATACTCGCCGAATTGCCGCATCGATAGCAGTAGTTTGGCGCGGACCATACCGTAGACAGGTGTTTATCGAACAACGATGAGTACCCTTCCATGCAGAGCTGATGCGCGCGCAAAATGTGTGACATGTTGTTGGTCTCCAAGAATTTGTAAACGACGCCCGAGCCAAATGTATACCCGGCACCGCTGTTGCGACATGGAGAATAAGTCATGCTGATTCGCTAGAGTGCATCAGAACGTACCGAGGGGATATTGCAAAATCCTCCTTTTCCGGGTCCGGGTCCGACCAAACTAGGTCTGCCATTGGGCCTTCATGGGGAATCTCTGGGCCATGATGAGGCGCAAGTAGGATGACTGACCCGAAAGCACTGACCTCGGAATCTGTCCACGACCTTTATTTGGTCGATGGAATGTATGGACGGTGACAGACCTGCGCAGTCGCAAACTCAAAATCGATGAGCAAACCTTACTAACACGGTACTGACCGCCATGAACGCAAAATATTCGATCATCAATGACCACCGAGAGCGTCAGGAAGTCAAACATGTCCGTGAAGTACGTCCATACGTGGGACGACCCATACTTGCGCACGCATTCGGTGTAGAAGCCGTAAGTCTAGCGAGAGCTCATGAATGCAGGAATCACACGACTGCAACTTCACTGACTTGCGTAACAGCCCGGGACTCGTGATTGCCTCGAATCAGTTGGACGCGGTCGGGATATCGTAGCTTGAGACACGTGAGGAGGGATATCGTCTCGACGCTGAAGAGTCCTCGATCGACATAGTCGCCTCGTGGGAGCATTAAGTCGAATCCGCGCGTTATAACTAGCGAGAACGTACCGAGAAAGAGGTAGTTCGTGTGCGGTGCAAAGCCGCCTATCCGAAAGATCTCAATGAGGTCATAGAACTGGCTTGAGTGTGAGTTAGACCTGGCTTACTGGCAGGACGCGTTGACTCACCCATGGATGTCCCCGACCACTGTGACAGGCGCACTAACGTGCACGACGTTGGACTCCCTCATAAGCACCTCCTTTGTCTTTTCGCATATTTCTCGCAGCAGTGCCTCGTGCAGAAGTTGTTTCCGTAGTAGTTGCTCAATACAAGCGTCGAGATCGAAAGGCGCCATGAATCTGGATGACTGTGTGTTCTCGACTGGTAAGCGCCCCGGCCCAGCGGCTCGCGAGAAGGTGTTTGTGCCTGCTTGCGCTGTATTTCCTTTCTCAGACACCTCCTCCTCCACTCCGCTGGCGTTCTCGGGCGGCCCGTGTTCTTGCCAGCCTAATGGCGGCTCACTGGGTGGATCTTCAGTTCCTCCGTCTCTGTGGATTGCATTCTGACTTCTGATCCTCATCATGCCTTTGATAGCTTTCGACCTCAATTACTTGCTCACAGCGTTCAGCCGGAGGCATTTGTTACGACAACCGTTGATGACGGAGGACCTTAAAAATTTATGGTGGCCGTTGGACATGTTTCGGTGCCATATGACCAAGGAAAAGCAATTTTGTAGCACGGCATGGCACTTGAACGACGCCCACATATCCAGGTGAGCGGTTCGCAATTGCAAACGTCTCCGTGCACTAGCAGACCACCCAAACAATCTCGCAAGGATATCTTGCTCGAGTCCGAGACGCTCTGACTGTACGCCTTAGACGCCGGCCGGGGCCAGAGTGTAACAAGTCATTCTGGGACCCTCTTATGCTAGCGTGGCTTCCCCGCAGCGTCTTCTTCGACTTCTGTCTTAGCTTCTGCAGAGGAGATCGAGCGCGGCAGCCCAGCAGCACTTTCTTGGCCCATCCGTCACCAGGCATCTTTCCAAATATGGTGCCGGTACGCCCTCATGATGATCGAATGCCTCAGGTTGACTAAACCCTGGCGCTGACACGAAATATAGACAGGTAGCCTCGCAATACGAAAACAATTTGGGGTGGCATTGCATCCGTTACCTGCGCAAGAAGTCTTCCACCGATCGGGGGACACTCGAGTCGCAGGTCAAGCGGCTGGAGACTTGGGGGTGCTCACTCAGGTTCCATCATCACTCGTCCCCTTAACTTCCTCCGCGGTCATCCATGGGCTGAAATTCACCGGAACGCCAACGCGTACCTGTCGGGTGTGTGAAAACGATGGCGCTCGTCTGCTTAGGCTAGCTCGTCGAAGCTCGCGAGCATAGGCAATTGGGGCCGGGCGCGGTCCCGCTCTGCGGGAGGAAGTTAGGATGCCTTGGGTCCGTCAATCCTCACATGGCATGGAACAAGACTCCTGAGTCGGCGAGCAAGTCACCACCCGGTTACGTAACAGCGATAATACCGCACGATCTGATCCCTCCATCTCACGACTGCATTATTCGCCTCCATTTAGAGAGATTGCATCGGTACAAGACAGAAGTTCTGCCGCGGGGCAAGTCGCGAGCCCGTTTCTTTCGGTATCGCTGCATCTTCGAACCGGCATACGCGGAGCGTCGCGGAAAGCCCACATGGGATACTTGAACTTGAGCCTTGGACGCCCCCGATGGTAGTGTTTGAATGATGGTCATTGGAGTCTGGGCACCGCTTCCCGCAGCTAAGGTTTCCTTCTCGTGCTCCAGCCGTTTCATTGGAGGTGTTTTGACACGGTATCTTGATCCCGCTCAAGGCGGACAGATCCGCGAACCGAGTATAGCTATACATCATAGGCCGATTTGCACGGGGAATACAGCAGGTCAACTACCGTCGAAGGATGCTAGCTGGTGGCTTTGAAACCCGGCGTTCAACGCTTCGATTGATCCTACGACATCTCGATGCATGGCACCACCGGTACGTGCATGTATGCTCTGAACCGAACATGGGAAGGCCGCGCGGGTAGGTGACTTCGCTGCAAACCGGTGATGGACACAATGGATATTACAGACTGTCATTTTTCCTGAGCGCGTCGCTATATAAAGGGACTGAAGGCGGGTCGACAGCGAGATAGATCACCTTTTCCTCATCTGTCTAACATGGATCCCTATAACTACCAATCAACACAGCCCGGAGGCCAGCAGGCCAACTACCGGCACTCCTTGTCGTCTACGACTGCCCCGCCATATCAGCCCTCTCACGGAGGCTACCCAGCAGCTCCGCAACCTGTCGCGTACCCCCATCCGTCTACCCCATACGCGGTGTACCCGCAGGCAACCGGCAGCCAAATGGCAATGGCTCAAGCAGGTGATCCTCGTAGTGGATACGGTGGTACGTCCGCTCCCTCGAACTCTTTGTACTCATCACTCTAACAGGCGATCAGGACAAGCCCTACGAGAATTGCCGTTCACGACTGGGCACCAGGCAGGCATGCAGCCGCAACTCCAGGCACACGGCGCATATGCAAATATGCATCCGTCAGCAGGGGCGCAGTACGCTCATCCGTACGCGGCAGCGGGAGCGCAGGCAGGGTATCACCACGGCTCAGCGCACCAGGCAGTCCCCACGGAGACAAGGTACATCCCCACTCCCGCGCAAACCATGCAATCCTACCAGACGCTGCCTTCGCGCGGCTCCGCGCTCGCCCCACCGAAGTCCTCCCCCTCCCCGGGCGTCGAGCGGTACGCGTGCGATAAGTGCGACCGCACGTTCTCGCGGCCACACGACCGCAAGCGGCACCACGAGAGCCAACACCTCCAGACCTCCCATAGTTGCCAATACTGTCGGAAGGAGTTCAGCCGCGCGGATTCGCTGAAGCGGCACCTCGACAATGGGTGCGACAAGATGCCTGTCTCTTGATCGGCGCGCCGCACGTCCGGCAACTTAGTTGCTCGACCAGGTCTGCTCGACTCGTATATGTACACTGTATCCTATCTTAGCATAAAGACGACATGTATTGCTGCTCCGTTGCCTATTGTATCTTGGACACTCACTCGACCGCTGTCTGTATCACCGCGACTGCACCAACTGTACTCTCCGCTGCCGAATAGATCTCCTGGGCTACGCAAGGCATCCCGATTCAATCACTGATTGGAGTGAGCAGCACCGCGTGAAAGTACGCGCCGGTCGTTCCCCAACTATACTCGGTGTTACACCCGGATGGCAAGAGCTGTAGGACGGGCCGTGTCATCAGGATGGGGGGCTTTTCGGATCTGTTGCTCGTCGCTGTCAACCGTGGCTGGGGGTGAGCAGTTCGCCGTTTGACCGTTTCACAGAGGGGCCTAACCCCGCAGAATGGCTGACCATGACAGGCACCCCCGCTGAGCGTACGCTGCGGGTACGACGTCAGCTGTGCGACGTCCGTCGCCGTGGTTCTGTCGAGCCTGAAACCGGTCATCTGAGATGGACGTAGAAAGTACGTAGCCCGATGGAATCGCCGATTGATATAGACACCATGTGCTGAAGAGCGGTAAAATGGGCCTCGTGCGACTCATCCCAAGAAGCACGGCACAGGGAACAGATCACAGACTGCGAGAGGCAACTGTCGGGGTCAGGAAGGTCACGCTGTTTGACAAGTCCTGGCAACACTCGCTCGATACTGCAATGCACACACCACATATGCCTTCGAGCTCATCAGAGTCTATCGCGAACATCCGCTATGATAGACGTCGTGCACCGCTGAAGCCCGCGGACGAGGCGAAGAACTCCCCTGACAGGCTTCTGCCCCTAGCAGGTTTCTTCGTCCTCGCTCCGCTGATACATAACACGAGAGCGAGGACCTCGGGCCTGTTGCACCTGATCACCGGTATGTCCCGAGGGGATACAAAGGAGATATGCTGCAGGACGGCGAACCCGAGTACTAGTAAACATGGGGTAAGCTCACCGAGTGGGAGACTTCGTCATGCACTGACTATGCAAGTACAAAGAACCCCATACCCATTCGACGGGCACATAGAGCTGTATACAGTAGCTCTGTACCGTACCCGTCCAGGGGTGCCATGGTGAAGTTGCCGCGGCACGTCCGTGCAAATCGCGACATGTAACCTTTCTCGTACGCTTTCCCATCAACCCGCAACCAGTCAGACTGCACGTCAAGATTGAATGGGTATAGATAGTCCGAGGAGGCGAGGTGAACATACGGACCACATGCACGGTGGTATTGCCGGTCATCTAGATGCGACGCAATTTGCCAAGTGTCAATACACTCCTGTAAACCATCGTGTGGAGGTTGCTATAATGCGGACGTAGATTTGCCATTGTAGTACTGGCATTGCGGAGCTGCATCATATGCAGTCGCCTGATGTCGCATTGCAGCCGTGTGTTGAGTAATCCCTGGTGAGAACAGCGGAGGACGATTAACGATACCATGTTCGCAGGATTGTTGAGGTGAGCCGCATGATACGCTGGGGACCTAATGGTGGAACACGTATCAGAGACGCTAAACGGTACCACAAACAAACGATGTTCCTCTGCCCGAGCGCTCCGAATCTACAACGCACATGGATCGCACTGGGTGCCGGGCTCGACGACAGGGCAGATTCCCGCGCACATTGTACGTCACGTCCAGGGCGACGCAAATAGCCCTTGCCTCTACTGACGCAACCTAACAGGGCGTCCTATGAGCTTCTGTCCTCGGGGCCCCGCGGGACATACGTCGGTGCGAGGGGCGACCAGATTACGGGATCCCTTCTCACAGCGCGTACGTCCGACTTGACGTGCCCCGAAACGGCAAGACGCTCTGGGCAAAGTGGCCCAGTGGATGCGAGGCCCCATGACTGACGACGACAGTCGAGTCCTTGCGTCCTGCTCGCCTCCCGCTGCCATATTGTCGCGTGAGAAAGTCCTAACCTGGCCGCCGGCATCTCCCTTGTATGGTTTTGGGATCTACGACGCCGTTGATCTCGGGCGTCCTGATGCGCACTGGCTAAAGCCTGCGTGTCCCCACACTTCGTAAAACATTCCATTGAAGAGCCTATGCATAGACCAGACGTACTCAGCAACGGCCTGTACATGCGAACAGTGTCCACATCGATCCTAGCAACTGGAGGCCCTCATTTGTCGTCCTCCTCATCTCCACTATCCTGGTCGCTTCCCTGCTGCTGTAGCCCTTCAATTTCGACACCTTCGGCCTGATTGGCGTCGCCAGCCTCGTCGGCCTCGTCGTCCCCGCGCTTCTTTCTCATTTTCTCGATGACCTTGTCGGCGCGATTAAAGATGCCGGCCGTGGGTGCACCGCACGCCGCGCATTTGGGTGTCTTCGCAAAGCGCTTGATGGCGCAGGCCGAACAGAAATAGTGCCCGCAGCGCGTCACGACCGGGTCAGTGTACGCCTTTCGACAGATGAGACATGCAAAGGGAATGTCTTCGTCGTCGGAGTCGCTATCTGAGACGTCCTCGACTTGTCGTTTCGGGTCAGCAGCGAGCTTGTCGAGTTGCCAGCCGGCGAGATCTGCGACACATTCAGAACAGGTCCATGGGCATACGGAGGGATACTCACAGGTCCCACGGTCATGCAAAAACTTGCACGTATCACCATAGCCGCAGTAGCCCGTCTCTGCGCAACTAACTGTCAGACACTAGATTCACGCGCAAGATAGGCTTAACGCACCTTTATAATCCTTACACACGTCCGGCTGATAGTCGATGATCGTCACAGTGCGGATCGTGCTCCCCGACGCCCTCTGCGGGCCTACGCGCATCGCCTTCGGAACGTCCTGGTTCTTCTTGATGTGGTTCGCATATGCCTTCTGTCCCCTGTACATCCCGTCGTCGGGCATGTCCTCCTCCTCGTCGCCCTTATCCTTCCGCTGTCGCTTCGCGAGGATCTCCGCCGCTTCGTCGCCCTGGAGGATCTCCAGCGCAGCGTTCATATGCGACCCCGCGGAAGTCCACTTCACGTCCGGCCCCTCCTTCTCGGGCTCTTCATCGCCGTACTCGTCTTGTTGCCGCTGGGATGCAGTCCGCTTCGTTCCTGCACTGAGGAGGTTCGCCGTTGTTTTCCGCGAGGGCAGCACAACCTCTGATTTGGAAGACGAGGGCACAGGAACAGTCAGCGCGGTCGCTGGAGGTGAGGCAGACCGTTTGCGAGTGGTTGTCGGCCGGCCCTTTTTCCTGAAGAACGGTACAGTAACCTGGGGCGTCGAGGCCATGATGTTTCTGAGAGTTTGCTACTGTTCGTCGCGATCGCGAGAGAGGTAAGTGGTAGTTACAAGGAGAGTAGTGTGGCGGCGGCGGCGTACCCCGCACCTGCCTTTCTTGGACATTATATTGAACACCTGCGTGGCTGAGTCAGCGACTTAGTGAGCCACGGACGCGACCCTCGGTGCCTCCGAGTCCAACCTCCGATCGTGACACTACTCCTGACTCGCGATGTCTGAAAACACGTCCGCCCTGTGGGCGACTACTGTCTACTGGTCTCCGACAGTCCGCAGAATCTCGTGCACGGTTTTGGACAGACCAGGCTGACTACCGCCCGGTGTTCGGCGTTCCTCGACAGCATATTTACTCCCATGTCTGCTCATTCTCGACGTGGAAGCCTCAGAAGCGAAGCCTGCCACGAGATTTGTATAGGCGATCATCTATGCTGCCTGTGACTTTGGCCTCGCAGCATCCGGATGCTCCACGCTCAAGCTTCGGATCCCAGCTACTGAGGCCCAGGTCCACGCGAGAAGACGCCGGTGGTAGCATACGAGATGGAAAGAATATCCGCCGAGGGGCCTTGAGCGGCCTTTACCACGGCGGACAGGGAGACGTGATGTATTGGTGATTGCACTGAGGTCGCACGGCTTCCCTGACCTATGATGATTCAGCGAGCAGCTCTTAACGCTTTCACTGGACCTGAAGGACGATGAGTCACTCTCATCGAAGCTTTCCACATGGACATGGTTCTGGTGGGCTGTGTGCAAGGGCTGCGCGGCCCTGGACCTGCATACGTCCAGACACTTTGAACCTCGGTGAGTTGTCGCACTCCGATACGAGGCCACACAGCACGTTCATGCTCACATGCAGATCCTTGCTGGGAGCCCAATGCGCCCTGCAATCGGGACGGCACCGGGACCACGGAGATAGCGATCTCATAGCTTCCCCGTGTCTGCACGATCGTCTTTCCGCGTTGTCCCGTTCCCTTTCCCTTGGTATCCGGCGAATGTGCTCACTCGTGACGTTCACGAGCCAGCCCTCTCTGCATCGAGGCGCTCTTCTACTCAAGAGGTCACTCGTTCAACGGCCGACTCAGTGAGTCATAAATACTGTTTTATACATCGTGCCGTTGATAACGCGCGTCCCCGTGGTGCCTCCAGATCGCACTTTTAAGCGCGCCGGCGGGAATGCGTAACGGGCTTGCAGCCATGTTCTTGGTGGCGGCGATTTTACGCTACTTTTCTGCATCGTCATGAGATGTTGCGTTGCGTCAACTGACGGCGAGATGCTCTCACTTTCCCTCCCTGACCACTTTGTCAAAGTCGACACTGCAACTGGCCAACTCCTTCGAGTTGCAGAGATAAGCATTGGAAGCTGCAATTCAAATACAATACGCTTCTTGACTGTTTTTGCACCGATCATGTGGTGAGTCAATGACCAGCCTCAGATTCAATAGTATCTCGTGGCTCGTGGGTCACACTCAGTAAACGCTATCTTCCTACAGGTCGTTCACGAATCTGCTTCGATACAGATGCCAGCAACGTGTCTTCTAGCGGCAAAGATAGGCGAGTCGAGGCGGCCACTGTGTTGCACGACGCTCCTTCTCGGTAACAAGGTGTATTCTTGCGTCCCAGTCATGTCCCCCCTGATCCGCACTTTTATATATGGCTGTTCACTGCCTTTTGCAGTTCGATGTTTGACATTTTTCACAGGTGGTTTGCTATGGTCCGTTGACCTCGTGCACGGCCGGGTAGACACGGCCACATTGGAGCCGGGTCCATCTGCGGTTCATGCGGCGAGGGACGCCACCGGTGTGTTAGCACTTGGCGGGTTCCTGATTCGGACTTGGGCAATCGATCTTTCCATTTTGATCTAAGCGAATCGATCCGGACTCGTCCATCTGGAAAGCTCGATTTCTACTTTACGTAGCATCGTAGTCTCACCTGTGGCGATGTGCTCGTACATACGAACGTAGATGCGACTGTGGGCAATGGTGGTAGCCGCAGCGAAATTTGGATGAAAGAAGCACGAAGACACGAACTATCGATGGCATTGACACTGACAGGGGCCCGGCGCGGTGTCGGGGTTCGAGGGCGTCTGCAGCCGGACCGATTGATCTTAGTCACCCATTGGCGAGCCCGCCATTTGCCCCACCGGCCGCAACTAATTATCCTCAAATCGCCACGGCTTTGCTCCTGCTGCCATCTGCCCTGCCCAAACTCTGCCCGCCTGCGCCCCCGCCAGCCTCGGGGGTGGACCCACACGTCGTCCACACAAGAATCACACAGCAAGCTCGTAGCCTGACATTCGACACCACAAGAAGCAATGGCGCCATCTCACCTCCAGGGTCTGAACATCGTCCAGCCCTCGCCGCCCCCAACACCATACTTGTCCGACGCGGATCTCCTCTCGCTCCCGTTACCCGATTTGAACGCGCAGCTCGAGCTGTGGACCAACCTTAACTTCCAGTCTGACGAGCCCCTCGTGCACGTTGACAGGTCGAGGCTCCACGAATCCAAGCACAAGCACGCCTCGGACGATTATGATCGCTACAACGATCAGGACGAGGAGACGCAGGTGCGGGCTGGCATTGCAGAGACGACCGCACACGAGAACGTAGTAAACCCGACCGTTCTGCCGCCCTCGGGCGTCGCCCACCACGGACATGCGAACCCACCAGGCGTCGGCGTCCCAGCTGGGATGCAGATGCCGCTCGACATCTCGAGCATCCTCGCGAGCTTTGGCATCGACCCCTTCCTCGCGCCGGCCGTCCAGCAATCTGCCAACCAGTCGCCGAGCGCAAATTCCATCGCGCAGCTTCTAGCCATGCAGGCGACCACCTTCCTCCCCCCACAGCTGAACCCTCAGGCCTCGGCACCTCCCGTCCAGCCTGTGCAGCCCACTCCCGTCCAGCCGGCCAAGCAGCTCCAGACGCAGGCACAGACGCAGCGGCAGCACCAGCAGCCCCAGTCGCCTCCGACGCCTGCCCCTGCCCCGAAGCGCGCCCGCACTGCTCGTGCATCCGTCTCTTCGGCCGATACACCTGCACCCGAGAGCCCGGAGTCGGACGAAAAGCAGTTCGGCACCCCGCTGAACGCTGGCGAGGACAAGCGACGGCGCAACACCGCTGCGTCCGCGCGGTTCCGGTTGAAGAAGAAGGAGAGGGAGGCCGCGCTGGAGCGCAAGGCGAAGGAGCTCGAGGTGCGGGTAGGAGAGCTGGAGAAGGAATGCGAGGCGCTCCGTAGGGAGAACGGCTGGTTGAAGGGTCTCGTCGTCGGTGTGACCGGCGCGGGTGCCGTGCAGCAGCAGCAACAGGCTACTGGTGTTACGGGCGCAAAGAGGACTAGAGAAGAAAGCGAGGGTTTCGGGGAGCAGAGCGTTGCAACTGCGTAAACTGTGTGTCTTGTTAGTGCCGTGTGCTTTTCGCGTGATTTATTGCCGTCTCATTCTACTGGCCCTTATTTCAGAAGTATTCCGTAGTCGGTTCCGTGATCCTTGCGAGCCCGTGTATACAAGCTGCATCCGTGAGGGCGTCTCCATATGTCACGTACGCGTACGATCCATATGGGCACCCTATCTCTCTGTCCAACATGTATCCCGTAGTTGAGTTGTCCATGTCAAATGCTAAAAGTCGCTTCTTCCACCTTATGGGTCCGTGTGTATGAGCGCTCTCGAAGCTTGTCCCAGTGGCATCCATCGATGGGGAGCTGATCGCGCGTCGCTGCAGACACGATGAACCCCGCCGATACCAGCGTCCCAATACGTCATCGGCGCGCGATGCTTGTCAACGAGTCTCGAGCGATGATCTGTAAGATCTCCAACATGCCGAACGTCAATGGAGATATTGTCCTAAAGAGCGGCCTGATGAACGATCGATGACCGCTCGGAGGCCGCTGAGTTGTGTCCGTCGATACATCGGGTCGTAGTATCAATGTCGCAATTTAATTTCGAATGCAGAACACGCGGCAAGTCATAGACGCACATATACATAAGCCTACATAGGACACGAGCGGGTCTGCGGAGTAGATGTTGAACTTCGAAGGAAAGTGTGCAGCTGTATCAGGGTACGGTACGTATTCCATACGTGCACTCGAAATGTGAAGTGGTTTCACACAGAGTGACCCACCACCTGTTTGTATAATGACATCCAGGGGCAACAAAGACCGCCACAAATTGACTTGGCTGCCCACCAACAGCCTGAGACAGGCCGGGCCACAAAGCAGCTATATAAGGCAAGTTCCTACTATGGACGCGTCGTGGCGCCTTAGTTTACGATCGCGATATATTGTTCAATTCGTGCATCCTATCTAGAGGCCCAGTGACCTTTCTAATTATGGCATCACAGAGTGGATCTCTCAATAACGAGATCGGGAAGTGCGTCAATGATGCCTGGATACGAGCAGTTCGGCACGGAGCCTGCCCAGTAGTACACCGCCCGGCGTACTTATACACAACAACACATAATCATTCATGATTCCAACCGGACTCCACGTGCCTGTGAGCAAATGAATGTGAAACAAGGGCGCACATAGTGACTGTGAGATCGATCGTGGAGAAATCGTCCGGGTCCCTTGCCGCGGGGGCGGCACAAGGAATTCAGTGAGCAGCGCATGCAGCGCTGTCCAGCTCAGTACTTACTGAGTCGCTCGGGATCCGAGGGGCTAACCCGCATAAACCGTGACAAGACTGGCTTGGACTGGGCAGTTTCAAATACATCCTATGATATTTACGTCAGGTCTCCGGGATCTAGGAGGCCGGCGTACCAGGGCGTACCTAGCTGGAGTGACATATGAGTTACTCGAGATTCAGATTAGCATTGGCGACGAGATCTGGCCCCAGTTTGGTGTATGTACATACGGAGGTGTTAATGAATTCGCGGGATGATGATGATGAGACGATTTATAAACCGATCTCAGTCTCAGTCTGGCAAGAAATGTGCAAGGCCGCAGCAAGGATGCGGCAACCGCCGGTCCACGTTATCGTGGGCACTTCACTAGCACAACTACATCGGAACATGTATAGTGGAGCGGGGATCGACTTCAGTGACTTCCATAGAGTGTGGATCAGTATTCAAGCATGCTTACTTCGGAGTTGTTGTCTAGCGCGCGGGCGTTTTGGTAGACTTCGTCGACTTCAGTCTTAAACTGAGGTGTGCTGAGCCATCTATGCTGTATATCAGTAGTATAGCATCTCAGTAAAGCTGATACGGTATCGCGAACTGCGAGTCTCTGCTACCAGAGCAGCGGGTGGAACAAACTCGAGGGAACAAATCCGGGAGCCCGAGGGACGCTTGACCACGTGACGTGCTACTCACTTAAGCAGTGCAACGGATAGCTTGCAACGACCCATAACCCGCCTTCCTTTTCTACCCCCGTTCAGCCGGCATATGGTATGTGAGATGCTTTAAGTCGAATGAGTATGTGACTGACAGGATACAGCGCTGACAACGGCTCTCTTGCGCAACCCATGCTTCGGGAGAACGGTGTCGCTGCCGGCCATGACGTACCCGCGAACATAGCGGACCCTTGGACAGAGACATCGTTCAGTTCGGCCGTAAAGGTCAAGGAGACACGCCCTGCGGTGCGGCGGCGTGGGTCGGACGGCGCGACGTGGAGGAACCGGGGCGATCACGAGCCAAGCTATGCCGCGCATTCGAGAGCCCGCACCTTGGACACCGACGTAGCCAGGCCCGCGCACTCGCATCCCCTCGCGTCTCCAAGCAGTATCAGAGGCGTCAGAGAGATCGTTGCTGGCTTTCTATCCGCTCATGATACCCGTCCCCACATGAAACGCGTCCTGAGCGACGCCGAGCTTCCGCCAGGCGACGAGGACGGGACGCCAGACGACTCCAACGGTCAGGCGGCAGAGTCGAGGTCTAGAGAGGAGGAGAGGGTAATGATCATGCATGAGGTACGCCGAAAGCGCTTTCTGTAAACAAGTCATTAAGCTCCTGCACCTATCAGGTCCTCTCGAACGACTCTCTTGCTGGTGTTGCTGTGAAATACGGCGTGTCGCTTCCCGACCTTCGCCGGTGGAATCAGCTATGGCCGTCAGACCCTATACATTTGCGCAAAATACTCTATATTCCCCTAGAAAAAGCACGGCATGCGAAACATTTCCGGTTGACCTCCGTAGAGGTAGAGGACGGCGCCGTTCAGCGGCACTTAGAGTCGCTTCCAGCTGAGACCGCCGGAGAAACGGCAGATGCCAATAGCCCCGACAAGGCCGACGCCCGGGAGCCTCTGATCGTTGTTCGTGTTCCTGCATCGCAGCTGTCTTTCTTCCCTCCTCCATCTACTCCACTATCAACGAGAGGTTCGCAGACTACCTCCCATAATTCCCGCTCGCGACCGACGCTCTCTCCTTCGTTCACGGAGTCACCCACCGGCACTTCACCCCTGTCATCACCTCCTAGCGCGCCATACACGTCTCTTGGATTTTCCTTCAACAGCCCTCCTCATGGTCGAAGTCTTGGTGGGCTGTTTACTTCGGCGAGGAATACGTTCGTCGAACGACTGTCGCTCGACTCGAACAGTGCGACGACGTCAGCACCAAGCGATGACCAAGACTTGGGCCACGAGCTGGAGGACGTTAGCGCGGTTGCTGCTGGGAGAGGGCGGCCGCGCGGGGTCGACTCACATGGTCGATACGAGCCGTACACGCGCAATCGAGGCCACATCACCGGCGGGGAGCCCTTCGCAAAAGATGAAGCGCTTGAGATGGACCCCTTGCTGACTACTCGTTCCCATGTTGGGGACAAAGGACGCACGCCAGACGTCCTTGTAACAGATCCCTCTCCGCCAGGTGGCGCCACGGGAGCACAGAGCAAAGCGGCTCCGTATGATATCCCTGATTCCATCTTGACGTCGCCTACGGTGCGGACAGCCCAACTAGAGCCGTCCCCTGTCATGCACCTTCCCCCTATACGGAAGAAAACGACGCCATCAGGAGGATAAGCGATTCGCGAGACTGACCGGAGACAGGTGGTCCCTTTCGTCTCGGGGGAAACCACACATGATTGGCTCCGCCTTCGGCGAATAATCCTGTGTTCTATTGCGCGCCAGACATACTCCGCGCACCCACGGAGCCCGCCGCCTCTTGGGTCCGACGTTGCTCATCGTTGTTGCGTTGGCTACGGGCGACAAAGATGGAAGTGGCATTGCGGATGGCGGGCGTGGGGTCGAGCATGACCGTCGGTGACGGATTCCTCCTGCGAATAGGCTCCTCCAGACTATGGAAGCTTGCCACATGATGACAGAAGAAGGCTATAGCGAATACTGGCAGAAGCTCTCTGGCCTGTCTCGCGTACCAGGCCCCCATGATGTCGCCACACGAGACAAGAAGACCGGCGGACTAATCTCTGCGTATGGTACTTCTCGAAGGCTCTCCATTCTTGTCCTTACTGGTGTTTCAAAATAGAGTCTCGTCTTCCCTTATCTGCCGGATGCGTGAAGCCAGTTACGCCGGGTGTTTCCAGCAGTGATGAAGAGCTTGCGTCGTGCTTATCCCCAGAACGTGGTCTTCCATCCTGTGTCGTGTTACCTCACAGAAGAACACGCTACCTTCGTGGTCAGTTGCTTGGACAAAGGGGCGAGAAGGGGGATCGAGCGCCTTAGACACCGAAGGCTGACTGTTGACCTGACCGCAGGACGTGAGGCGAGGACCCTGCTCGTATTTTATTGGCCCCAGGACAGTACGCGCTCTAGCTGCCGTGCCGCGATAACCCAGACCAAGGTTCTCGGCTCTCAAAGCTTGGTCACGCCTTAGAGTCTGTCACGAAGGTGGGGGGAAATTGGCTGTCGTTCGACTAGCCTGGCGTCACTTCAGGCTACTCTGCATGCCTATACAGACAGATTGGTTACGCGTAGTTCAAGCTCCCGACTGGCTGCCACAACGTGTCCATGCGTATCTTTTACACGCGCGATGTTCGCTCACTTCGCCGACAAACCTTCGTGACACAACGTCGACCAGGCCACGTTAGCTTTGAATTCTGAACTGCGCTTCCTGGCTTCCGGAGAATTTCTTTGACTTGTGAGTCTGGACCCGAGTCTAGCTATTGGATCCGCAGCTGATCACACTGTGCAATAGTTGTCTTCCTTGGCTGGTCCAGAACGTTTCCTGCCTTGCTTTGCCTAGCCTAGGACGCTGTCAATGCGACCGCCGTCGCCGAGAGAGGCTTACGCATAGCCAACCAGTCGCGCATGCCCTGACATCCGGCAGGCTTTACCTTCGATCGACTCAACACAACGAATCGGCGACGTCGCATATATAAGTGGTACGCGAATGTAGAGAAGCAAGTGTATAGAAGCATGCTGTTCAAGTCGCGCGCTGGACTCGTACCGCCTGTCCGATGACTTACGGTACGTCACTTTGACCACTCTCCAGAAGCTGCAATATGACTTGGCGGTAGTGGCCCATCGGCGGTGGCTTCTGCGCCCGGCAAGTATGAGACAGCAACATTTTCGAATCTATTCAACTGACCGAAAGGGCTGAGTTGACCCCAGCTTATCCCATGACGACGCTCCCCGCATCTACATCGAATTGCGAGTCAAGGGTCCATTTTCACAACAGATTATCCCCGCGAGATTCACAGGCTCATTCAGGTGTGCGAGCAGCGAAATCATCAGCCATCGCGCCGCTAATAACAGCTGAAAGTCCTCGCACTGTACAGTACCGCGTTGATCTAATTCCTCCGCCTTCACAAGGGGCGGAGGGGTCTAGGCCCGCTGCCCTTCTGGCCAATCCACGGTGATCATGAAATGATATTCCGCTAGCGCTTTCCAGGTATGCGGTCTGGAACGCAGCGCTGATGGTCATGTCCGGGGAATCCCCTTACCGAAATGCCTTGCCATACTCGCGACAATCCAGGTAAGCCAAATCAGCCCCACTTGATGCGTCCTCATAATCAGGATGTCGCCACAGTGTTCCCTGCGGTATTGTTCATTTCGCAGGCTTCAATCCGTGAGGCAGTGAGCAAGAAACCTTTCGGAGGTACGGCTCGAGCTTGACGGCCACATGGAAATTTCAGTAAGTACGATCGGTTTCGACTTATGAAGGCGGCTATGAAGGCGGCTACGTCGTATGTAAGTCCGCCTGCACGGGCCGGTGATATGAGTAGGTCCGGGCGCAATAATGACAAAGGGCGTCCAGTGAAGACTGGTACAATAGCGAGCACAGTGCTTAAGCGCGACAATCCTAGCGATGTGTATCACCAGTGGACTACCCCAAAGATACACCTTCGCTGATGCACCTGGCTCCATTGCAACTCGTTCTCACACGTCACAACGGGGAATGCAGGCTCTCCAATCTGCCTGCGTAAGGGTGCGTAGATCACGCAAAGCGCGCACCTCGCCTCACTCATAGTCTCCCTTTTTAGCTAGATCGTGTCCATGCTGGTGGCCTGACTGTTCAGCACGTCACATCGCGGTCTCTCGGCGAAGGGTACTCACCGCCGCGTACGGTGGTCTTGAGGACTGACAGATTGATATCTTTGACTTTTAGGCTTCTCATATCACTCGCCGGCCGATGTGTGGGAGTAAAGTTTAGCTTTACCGCAGCACATCCATTTTCTTCCTCCAAAGCCGTCCTTACCCCTCGGACTTACCGCAGCAGCGTGCTCCAGTTCAGTGAGCCGGAATATTGCATTAAAATCGTACGTCGACCGTGACCATTCAATTCCGATGATTGAAGGTGCTTCTGGCCTGAGAGTGTACATCCGAATATGTCATAGCAAACAAAGTTCGTACCCACGTCGATTCTATGGAACCGCGCGTTGTAATCGAGTCTCAGACTCCTACCGCATCGCCGTTCTGCACGTACCCAGGCACTTGCAAAGACAGGCATCGAGCCTGGCCCGAGCGCCGAAGATCATGACAGAATCCGAGAGCGGAAGGGGCAGCATATAGATGTGCATCTGATAATTCCTGGATGCTAGTCCCTTTCTACGTGACAAAGGTTCGCTGAGGCCTTTCCTTTCCTGTACATATGAGATGATCCGGATCTCACTCCACTCAATAGCGTTCAAGTCCCTTCTCATAAATTGCTTCCGTGCCGCTTTCGGAGCGCTGATGTAACCGGGGCATCGCCGATACGTTGCTGTCAAGCGTTGCTGCGTTAAAGTTCGGCGACAGAGCATCCTTGAACGCTTCGGGCGCTTGGCAGATACTTCATTGTAGTTCATACCATACAGTCGGCAGACTAGCTGCGCGCCCTGTTGGTCTCGCCAGGCCCGTGGCGATGTCCAGACGTCATCGCCTCTCAAATAGTCTGGCGTTCCTAACACGACATTCACTGCTTTTGCTATCTGACAAGGGGAGTGCTTTACGCGTGCCTTTCAAATTCATATGTGCGTCCTGACTTCCATGCCGCCATCGACAGATTACACTAACGCCATAGCGCTCGCATTGAGGGTGAATGTCGTTGCCAGCGCATACGGTGGCCGCGTTAAAAACTGAATATGTCATTCCGCGACCGCACTGGATGAAAATGCGATTGCCAATAAACCCAATTTCAAGTTAGCAAGCAACTTGAAGGTCATCGAAGGTCATCTATGTGTTCTGTCATTACCATCGATCATTTATGCACGGCTAACGGTCGTCGCCCTGACATCCATTTACCAGTCGCGGAGGTCTTCCTCGCTGTTCGCGGGATCACTTCCATAAGCGACACCATGTGCGGCCCGATCCGTGGCTTTCGTCAACCCCGCTCATCGTCGCATCCCCCGACGCTAGTCAGGCCCATCCTGAACTGCCGGGGCGGGCGGGTCTATGTGGTATCGCCGATACCGCCCCAGCCGGGGAGCGATGTCGGCTGGATGGTAGATTGTTCAGGAGCCCGGGCAGTGATTGGCTTTCCGAGAAAGACCCGGGGCACCATCATCGAAAGGAAGCTGGTGAGATCGCTACATACTTCCTGATGTGATGTTAAGTCCTAGGATGGTCTCACAGAGTTTCTTCCCTAGCCATCTCTCGCAGCAACGTACTGGGCGCGTCGTACTGCCAGTGGGCTGCATGGGTCAAGCATGAACGAAACCACGTATGGAGAACATATCAACATCCCTTTGAGACGTCGAGGGGAAGACTCTGGCACTTTTGAGTCAATGTCTGCTTGTGTGCCTGGTTCACTGCGAGCGCGAACGTATCGGAGAACCCAGGGCGGTACGATCCCGATACTGTGCGCTCTCGCAAAACGTCGCTAATGTTAATACTATGATCAACTTAGTTTAGCACCGTGGCAGTACGACGCACGTTCCATGAAGGGATGACTTCGCTCGGGCTTCCAAGCCGCGCGATAGACGACCGAAGGCTTCTATAGCGTGCAGGAGCCTGAGCGCGAGATTCTCCACGATTCTCCTGCCAGTGCGCACGGACGGGTGCGGTGACTCGCCGAGGCGGCGATGTGAAAATACAAATCTTTGCTATTCATGATCACTCTGCGGTGCGTCGAAGTGATGCGAGTATAGTCGGCGGCCCTCGAACATATGATGGTCGAGAACAAACCATTTGTATGATCGTGCTCAGCGAAGTCGCTCACGGGAGAAGGGCTGACCGTGGAGGGATGGCATAGTACGTAAAGGATGCGCGGTCGAAGCTAGAGTAGGTTCATCGTCGGTGTCACCCTGTGAAGCGCGATACTGAGAGAAGAGTTAACCGCACGGCGGTTAGTAGTCAATTACATTTGCAGTGGAAGCGCTGCTTGTACATCTACATATACCAGGTAAGAGGGAACCAACTAGGGCCGAGACAGCAGTAGCAATGCATGCAAAACGACGTAAGACGATCAGGCGGACGAAAGCAGTGAATATGTAAGTACGGTTGTACAAGGTATGGAGTACAGGATGGTCCTGACGCTGTCCGATTATTGGTTTGGTAGGTATCGATACATTTTAGGGGACGTTTCGGAAGGAGCTGATGGCTTGTGCATCGACGGGGCTGCGATTTGGCGGTGGTAGGGCTTGCAAGTAGTCCAGAGGTGCGAGGCGCCTCGCTGAGTGTGGATCGACTATGTGTGTGATAGGGGGCAACCCGGACATCGTGCTGCTCGTGGATGAAGTCGAAGAGGAGCGCACGTCGTAACGGCTATCGAGGGAAGGGGAGGGTTGGCTGAGAGGGGCTGGCCGCGCTATCGTCGTACGCGGTCGCTCGGCGTGGCTACCCGCTCGACCGGTGTTGCGGGACGATCTGCGGGTGTTGCTGGTTCGCGCGCACACGTATCTTCCTGAGGGAACATTGACGTCTCGGAGCTTCAGTATGTCATCTACCGTCCTGAGCTGATCGACGGTGTCTTGGGTATAGTAGGCATCTGTCCAGAGATGAAATCAGTAGCTTCGTCATGTTAGGAAACACACACACTGAGGTGCCACTTCCGAGTATTCCCATCCGGTTCATGGACAACAACAGAGTAAGTTTGCTTGATCAACTGAGCGGATCTGCAAGAAGAGGGGTGAGGTCAGCGAAACGGTCCCACACACGGCCGAGGTCCAGGCGAACAACGAACGGTGGCTTACCCCATGAGATTGTTCCGCAAGTGTACCGAAGATCGGCTGTTGCTCTCCTTTTCGTAGTATAAAAGGAAATCCTGCAGCGAAAGCGGGCGACGCGTCAGGGATCTGTATGGCAGCTCACACGGCGTGCCCGAGATACACTCACGTCACGCGCGCGCGAGGGCCCCCAGCTGCGGCCCTCTGTGAAGCGTTGAATCTCCTGCCCGGTGCACTCGAGAGGGTTGCTGCTCCGCTCCTCCCAGACGTAGATGCAGCCGCTCGCGAGCGACAGTCTGTCTTCGTCGTCGAGCCGGCGGTGGACCATCGGCAGGATGCCGAGCGAGACGGCGTGGAGGACCAGTTCTGCATCGTGCACGGACCGGATGCGGAGGCTGGTGCAGGTCGGGGACTGTGCCGGCATGGCAGGGTACAGGTATAGCGGGAGGGGGGATTGGAGTGGCGAGGGGGTGGCTCTAATAGTATCCCGGCGAGCCATAACAGATCAGGACGACTTGGCTCCAAGCTAATTACCTATAGCGCGACACACATGATTGGGTTTGCGGCGGAACCTGACTAACCCTGGAAAAGGAGACATATCGAAGGCCGATGTCAAACTGGGTAAGAGAGGAATATGGGTCCCGCTCATCACCCCGGCGCCCTGTTCGACGCGCTACTACAGTCTACGGATAGCGCTTCGCCTACATCGCTCCCAAATCTCCGTCTATGTACTAGGAGACGATGACCGGCTTGACGGATATGACGGTCACGGGTGTAGTGACGCGCGGCGAGGGAGCACACCAGCAGCCAGCCTCGTTATTTCCGAGTGAGCTTGGGATGTCAATTGCGAGAGAGCGAGAGAAGGGAATGAGCGAGGGTGTGGGGCGCAGCCCGCAGGGCTGCCCGACTCGAAGAGTGTGCCTGGACCTGAGGGGCAACGGGTGAGCCGCGAGGGCGGGTGGGTTGACACCGCAGCCCTGCGTATCCGTTGCCTCTGCTGGGCCGCAGGGTAGACACGTCAAGCCAAAGAAATGCACACATTGAGTTTGTCGTGGCGTGTGCTGCGTGAAGAGGGTGTGGAGGGTGGGGAAAACGAGAGCTATTCGAAGCGCGTAGCGGCCGCGGGGCCTTCGAGAGCGGTCGTCCGAGTGGGCGCGCAGAGGAGAGCGATGCGCGCCTAAATCTCCTCCTGCGTGCGTAGACTCACTTCTACGCGACGCTCGTGCCTCGCTTCGCTTAGAGTCACATCTATGTACTAGGAGACGATGACCGGCTTGACGGATATGACGGTCACGGGTGTAGTGACGCGCGGCGAGGGAGCACACCAGCAGCCAGCCTCGTTATTTCCGAGTGAGCTTGGGATGTCAATTGCGAGAGAGCGAGAGAAGGGAATGAGCGAGGGTGTGGGGCGCAGCCCGCAGGGCTGCCCGACTCGAAGAGTGTGCCTGGACCTGAGGGGCAACGGGTGAGCCGCGATACCCAATATGAAGACGTCGAGTGCGGCGGCGCGTTGCGGCGAAGCCGTTACACCCAGTCCAGAAGCCGACGACCCTCGTCGTATGTGCTGTGCTCAGTGTGGCGCTCAAACTCACTAACACTGTGCCCCTCTCCGTATTTGAGGGGCCACTTGTGCTGGCTTTTCCAAGTTGCCCCTTGTCGGGCTGCCGGGCATGCGGCGTGCCCCCAACCTTGGAACCGGGACCTGTCCTCGACGTGTGGGCGACGGTACTGTCGTCCACGGTCCGGGCCCCCTGGGATCTCGGTACTGGGTGATCGCCTCCGACACCCCTGTGCATTGCCACTGTGCTGCCCAGAGCGTCTGTTGGTGGTGACGACCACACTTAGTACTTGTGAGATGGGTGGACTGCACCCCACGGCCCAAGGGTTCCGGTTCGCAGAGACCCACCGGATGGGTGCCGCAACTGAGCGAACATCGCTCCGAGCATCGGCCTACCAATGCTCTCCCTGAGATAGTGCTCGCGCCCGTCATCGGTGGCGGTGAGCGAGCTTCAGCAGTCGGGTGGTAGGTATAACATCGCACTCACGAAGAACGACTTGATGCAGCGGCTCAGCGTTGAGCGTGCGCTGAGCGCCGGAATGTGTTTGCAATGTTTGCGTGATGCGTGCTGCATCTAGCGTGTATGCATGTATGCGTGTATGCGTGCTGCGTCCAGCCTGACTGCGTGTGATGCGTGACACGAGCTAGTACGCTCGTGCCGACACGAGCCAGAGTAAGTGTGTTGCGTGTTGCATGCTGCGTCCAGCCTGGCTGCGTGTGCAGTGTATGACACGAGCTAGTTAGGCTCATGCCGACACGAGCCAGTGTAAGCATGTTGCGTGCTGCGTCCAGCCTGGCTGCGTGTGCAGTGTATGACATGAGCTAGTAGGCTCATGCCGACACGAGCCAGTGTAAGCGTGTTGCGTGTTGCATGCTGCGTCCAGCCTGGCTGCGTGTGCAGTGTATGACATGAGCTAGTTAGGCTCGTGCCGACACGAGCCAGTGTAAGCACCGTGCTGCGTCCAGCGTGAGCGTACTCGGCAGGGCGGTGCCGCCAGCAGCGACCGGTACGCAAAATTGGGCATAGATGGAGTCTGACTAGTCTGACGGCCCAAACGGACCACCGCTGGTTGCTCGGCTGGGCACTCCCGTCGAACGAGCTTCAGGCTCACGAAACAGAAACCGTACAACTCACTGAGAGATGCGCAGTGCATGGTACGCAGCCTGCTCTGATGTCTCGGACTGTGAGTTACAGCAGATGTATTCTGCTGTGTTGGCTGTCCTCGAGCTCCACGCGTTCGTGCGCAGTACAATCGTCTGGTCGTTGCTCACATGATCTCAGGCTTCGCAGCCGTTGGGATTGATGAGCGAAGGTTGTACCATAGTCTCTTGTAAGCTACAAGTGTCGTAGCCTAGTGGAAGAAAACGAGAGCTATTCGAAGCGCGTAGCGGCCGCGGGGCCTTCGAGAGCGGTCGTCCGAGTGGGCGCGCAGAGGAGAGCGATGCGCGCCTAAATCTCCTCCTGCGTGCGTAGACTCACTTCTACGCGACGCTCGTGCCTCGCTTCGCTTAGAGTCACACTTATTATTCCCACCACATCGCCGGTTCCTTGGCTAATTATCTTGGCTATTCCTAGCTTAATTTCCCCGCCTCGGCGCCGATTTATCCAGGCGCCCGCCTAAGGTTATCTGTCGGAGCTTCAATTCCGCCCTGCCGCGCCCGGCGGGTGGCTGCGCGCACGTCGACTCAGCACCCGCTACATCAGTACGTACACGTACACAAGTATAGCAAGTTCAGCTCGGGCTACTGCGTGGCAAGGCCCAGCCTCGTCTGCGTGCGGAGTTCACAATGCGAATATTCTCATATGCTGCGTTCCCTGGGACTTGTCAACTATGCCCTCTAGAAGGAAGCTACGACGTATATCTGGTTTCCAGACATCTGCAGCGTACGTCTGGGAAGAACGAGCTGCGGTCAGCTGCACTTCGTCAGTCGTCACCTGAGTATCGCCACGATATGTTCCGAGCCTAGACCTGAACGATGTACGTCCTTGGCGGCTTATCCATTGTCGTCTTCGCGCGTCAAACCGAGATAAACTACCTCCATGTGTGTAGGATCATCAGAACGCTGGCTCTTTGGTATCAAGATATACTCCGCCCATGTATGTTGCCAGGCCTCATGTCCCTATGCACCATTCCATATAGAAGACTATACTATTGAGATGCTGAAAGAGACACAACCTTCAACCACGCAGGCCCATTCAGGTCGGAATGTATTGTTACAGGGCAGCAAGAACGGCCCGCCGATCGTCTGCATGTCATCGCTCCCGGTGCGTAGCTCATGCTTTCGGCTTCAACATTGATCCTGATGCAGGGCATGGCACCCGTCACAAATCCTCAAAACTAAGGTGTGTATTTCGACATAATAGACGCTTGCAGCCTATCGTGGTTTGCAACGGAGACTAGTGTCTCGAGCCAATCGTCCGGAACGGCGCCTTAGATCCCGAGCAGGACGGAGGCAAATCTGCTCGTAATACTAGCTCGTCAGAGCATCTGCGGCCAGCATCGCTTAGCCACTCATTCCAACGCAATTGTCTTTTGCAGAAAGGGCCGACTCCTTGAAACATGGCCAGACTCAATTGCTCCCCTGAGGAGTGCGGGACTCCCATGATTACACGGCAGGCACATCTGGCATGCTGCTCGAAGAGGCGCGTCTATGTTGCCGACGTCGTCGCATGCGAACCCGCCTCGCAGAACTTGTACTCGTCGATTCTCAAGAACATTCCTCTGAACATAATGCCGCCGACTGCCTTGCGTCCGCTCCCCGACTGCGCTGCTGTACAGGCATATTCACTTCCCTGACAGCTGATAAGCATCCCATTGTAGAGTCATCGGACACGATGTTAGCCGGAACAAACGAATCGAAAGGTCGTCCACGACGATGACAGCAGAATGAATTAACCGAACAGAATGAGATAAGGCCTTCCTCCCTTCCTCTGACGACTACTCACTGCCTACCAACTGCTAATCTGGGTCAGCATGCGACTTGCGGTACCGCTGATCGGCGACGGACCGATTTGCGCAAACCAGGGTGGTACACCAAACTCCACGACACTCCACGTACTGATTTTCCTCCCCAGGAATGTAATACCAATTACTTCGAGGATCGCCCGGAACGTCTTTGTGGCATAATCATGCTCACTCCGAACACGTTCCGTCATCCTTCTCCTCACCTCCTTGGACAAACTATGCGGCATCGATGATCCGGGCCCCTGGACGGGAAGTGATCACACCACCACAAAGGTGCGTTGCGTGGTCATACGGCACGCAAATGAGGCTAGCTTTGATTTTCGATGGGCCGAAAGCGTCGTGCGGACCTTTGTGGCTCTCGCGGTCGGAGACGCCCTTTTTTCGAGGATGGAAGTGCATTTCCTCTCTACGCCGTGCACCGCTCCGTATCTCAAGCCTATCTGTCCCTTTCGATTGGCCAGTTAATGATTCTCTCACAACGTTCGTCACGACAGACGAAAGGCGCAGCGATTGCCTGAGCAGGAGAGTTGCCCCGACGCTACTTTAGACTGATCAGCCACTGCAGCAGGTGGCAGCTGTATTGATGATCGGGCGCTGTTGTCCCCTGGGTACCGTCCCCACCAAAAGCTGCAGTCCGACTGACCGTTTAATTTGCCTTAGCGAGGTTTCTCCCTCGCTGTTCATGAAGCTCTGCGCTCTTCCAGCTGTATTCAGTATCCAGCTTCTCGACACACCACATGCGCCCGACACGACAACCCGGCATAGCAATGACCTCGGTGCGAGTACCGTCACGGTGGCAATGCCAGCCGGACGTGAGACGGAGCGCGGTCGGAGACAGTGAGCAGGACTCCGAACCCGTATGTGTATGACTGTTCCTGATACATCTTACAAACTCTTATGATGGCACGAATTCATTATTGTCACGGAGTCTAACTTTAATCAAGAACAGACGGGACGAATAGTCGTCGTCCCGCAGCGTCACGAGTCGCAGTCCATCAGACCACGGCCTTCCCTCTCTTCACTTCAGGGAGCCTTGTCGACTTTTCGGGACGTCGACATGAAGAGCATGAAGTAGGGACGAAGTCGCATCGCAGGCTCATTCTAGTCCCCATTTGGCTACTGAACCGCGTCAGCAGGTCACCATTCTTGATTGATATCTTCAGTTATTTCCGCGGTCGAAGCCAGCTGCCAGCTGGAGGACCCGGGGTTTATCTAATCATAATCACGGAGGCCTCTCGTAGCAGTCGTCGTTACGTCTACGAAGCAGCTGCCAGCTTGCGCGGTGGAGGTTGGCGGCCGTTGCGCCGGAAAGCTGTCGTGCCTGGCATCGAAGGCGGGTGGCTGAAAAGCCTGAGGATCGATCAACAGAAGTCTAACGGCATGAGTCATAATCATGAAGACGCACAATAGCACGGGGCCGGGGGCAAATTCACATGGGCTCGGCCGTCAATTGACGGTAGCCTGATGTGTACGGCAGCACTCGCACGAAGCTATCTAAGATGCCCACTGTGCGCCATTTGCCATTGAACCGCCTCGCCTCGGTCGTCAGGAGCAGTGATTACTCAGACTACAGCTGCGAAAATGCGAAGTCGGCTAGGACGAGGTGGTGCTGCTTGTCATTCAGTGCGCTTTGAGCGGTCGGACGATCCCACTTTGTGGGAGATCGAACCCGTGGGTTTGGTAGCTTCTGCCGAAAAACATCGAATGCTAGCACCGTCGACTATAAACAGATGTGCGTACGTCAACGAATATGGACGTGAGAGCCTGCGGAACAACGAACCGACGTCGGGTGCTATGCATCGCCGGTTCTGTCTGTTACGGACTGCGTCAGCACTCTCACAGATCACCTAGATGCAACGCCAACACCCTGCCTGACCATAGCTAGCAGCTGAGGCGACGCTGCGTTGGCCAATGATGAGGAGTAGCCGTGTGGGCAAGTCAACAAAAGCGGCTTAGGGTATCACAGGCGACTATACATGCACTGTACCTGATAGATTGCTAAAACACACAACTCGTGCCTACGTCTCGTCCGACACATCAGAAGCCCTTGTTGTGCCCGCCCTTCTCGTAGAATGCCTCTATCCTCGTCACAATTGAGTCAAGGCCAGCGAGCCACTTCTTGAGCTCTTCGTTCAATTTGTCGGTCGGAACCGCAGGGCCTCCCGCAGGATCCGAGGCCAATTTAGTGTAGAAGTCCGCACGATAGGGGCACGCCTTCATTGCAACCTGTCGCAGATCATTCAATCAGCCATGACAACGACGTAAACGGTGGCAGCGGGTAACGCACCGCGAAGACGCCCTTGACCAAGAAGTTGTGGAACTTCTTCAGGGTCACGTCGTAAGACTTGGTGAAAGCGACCGAGAGTTCCTCGGAAGCGTTGGCCTGTACATTCTGCAGGGCCTTGCATGTGAAGCCAAGGCCACGCAGCAACCACATCAGGCCTTCCGTGGCCGTGCGTTTCTTCTCGCCCTTCTCGTTCTCTACTAATTGTTCCAGAGTGGCGGACTGCTCGGGGTTGGCTTCATACCTGGCGCGAACTTTCTACAGTGCAGATCTGAATCGCATGACAGATCGCCACGCAGACCATCGAATAGTACTTACGGCGATGTTACCCTTGAGGTCGCTCTGCACAGCGGTGAAAGCGGCCGATCCCAAGAGATCTGCAGCGCGTGAGACTATGTTGCATTTTGTAGATATAATATGACATACCAAAGAGTTTGACCACACCGTCTGCGGCCTGCAGGAACTCAAGAGTGTCGACGCCAGCGTCGGTCACAGTAACGTCTGCAAATGACTGAGGCCGAGGTGAGCTTCTGCACTGACGACTTCTTTGTTGTCATTGTACCTTAACGGTCTCCAGATACGGCGCCATAACGTCTGTCGTGTCCTCGGAAGCAGTGGAATGAAACGAAAGCAAGTAGCGTGCGTGGCAGGAGGCAGGGCACCGTGCAGGCTGTGGCGGGTGCTAACAGCCACCCGTGATCAGATTGATCTGGCGATGTTAGTAATCTTATCTAACATGTTTTCACCAGCCACAACGCTTTCGGTTCTTTCGCCTCACACTGCGGTGGGTGAGTAAATATACTAGTGTGGTCTAGGATGAACAGGGGTAACATAATGTACAACTAGTCCGCAGGTCATCTGCTTGCTTAATTGCATCCTCGTCCGTGGAATTAGTGCGTTCTCATGCTAAAGGTGGATCCCCGCGCACGCTGATCAGTTCATCTCAGAATTCGTTAAACTTGGCCTCATGCCGCACGCCGACTCTGCCCTCGTGCCATCCGGTGTGGACAAGGCTGCCTTCTGGACCCACGTACACGAGCAGTTATCCTACCTATTGGACGGGCAGAGAAACTGGGTGAGCGTTCTTAGCTTCCCAGCTCACCAATCGGGCCAAAGTCTCACTCCTAGCGTCTTCAATCTCCAGGTGACCAACCTAGCGAATGCTGCCTCTCTGATTTATAATTCGCTCGCTGCGTTTGAGCCCCACTTCGGATCAGGAGAGAGAGCGGTGAACTGGTGCGGTGCGTGTCCGTCCCCCACAAGACAAGCCGCCGTTCATATGTTATCGATGGCACGTTGCGCGATAAACACTCATTTGCCTTCCGCCCACAGGTTTCTACATGGAGTCCAACCTCTTTCCATCTCCACAAATATTTCGGGCTCAAACTGGCGCAAACAAGGAGCATGAAGTCCCCGATCGATTGCTGCTCGGCCCATTTTGCGGAAAACCCGCTTGTCAATTCATTGACACCGCGCCCGGCAAGGCTCGCGGAGTCTGCGCTGATGCGTACATCGCCGGAAAGACCGTCTTGGTGGCCGATGTGGACGCATATCCTGGTCACATTGCATGCGACGGAGAAACGAAGAGCGAAATTGTATGCCCGCTCGTCCTTCGAAAAGACGGCGGCGAGGCTGCCTTGGGCGTACTTGACCTAGACTGTCTGGTGCTCGGTGGTTTCACGTCAGAAGACCAGCAAGGTCTCGAAAGAATCGCTCAGCTGGTATTGGATTCTTGCGACTGGTGACAGCCGCGAGACGAACAACAATTATGTATTGATATTGAATCGATATATTTCATACTTACGTATTGAAACCCCTACATCCCGCGACTACACACCCCGCCCATTGTGTGAGATCCGAAGATAAATCGATTGTGCACAAGAACTGGGTGGAGCAGGCACACATGCTTGCACTCACACAACAGTATCCTTACTACGCTACAGCAATGGCGATGACTACGTACTTTTACGACCCTCCGGATTCTTGCCATGCCAAGAACTCTTCGTGCAGCTTCTTCTGGGCTGCCCATTCCTTCTGCACCTTTTTTGATGCGTTCTTGCTCAACTCCTTGCCGTCACCGTCCGTGAGCGGCAGCCCGTTCTCGTCCCAGTTCCCGTATGTTCCTTCGCGAACGTGTGGAGGCTTGAACATGTCCCGTGGAGCCACGCGCCCCTTCTCGAGCTTCTGTAGTCGCTTCTGCCGTTCTGCTTCCACTGCCGCAGCTTTCTTTCCAGCCTTTGCCTCAGCCTGCGCACGTTTCTCTTCGCGCGCTCTGATCAGGTCGGCGGGCGGAACTAGCTTGACGAGAGCCTTGCCGTCTGTATGAAGCCGGCGTCAGTATTGATAGCAGATAGCGCGATGACGCGTCGCAATCTGTGCGTACCGTCCTGGTCGTCCAAGGCAACCCCAAGCGGGACCAGATCGACGTCCCGCAGTTTATCCGATAGCACGAGAATGTCCTTTAGAGCCGTGTCGCCCCTCGCAATGGCTAGCCTTCTCACTCCATCACGGAACGTCGACAACGTGCGAAGGTACGGCATGAGAATCTCTTCGCGCTGCAATCAAACCGGGCGTTCGGTGAGCTGACGTCCCAGCTAAGGTACGACCATCTGAGGGGCACGTACATTTACGCTTCCTTCTCCCGCGTCTCGCTCTTGCCCCCAACCGATCTCCGACGTCTCTCCTTCGCCTAGGCCAAACATGCGGAGCATCTTGCCGACCCAGCCCGTGACTCGCACGACGACGCTGACCTCAAGGTCCTTCCCGCGAGAGTTAATGTACACGTTCGTGCGAGATACGAGTTCCCGAAGCACGTTCAGTGCCTCCGGCGTGTTAAACGAATCGCAGAGGGCAGCTCGGAACGCATCTTGGCTGGAATGGAGACTGTACGGGGGATCTAGTCACGGATCAAATACACAGTGATAGGACACCTGGTGCGAACCTGTTCGTCAACTCGTGCTCTGCGTCGCCGAACCTATTCTTGCCGTCCAGTCGGGCACCCTCCGCGTCTGCTTGGGTGACAAGGGCTTTCACGAGGGTGAAGAAATTCTAGGAGGAGACGTGAATGACGCATAGCCGCAAGAATCCCACAAGGCAAACGTACGTTGAACGTCGCTTCGATGGTCCGAACCTCGCCTGTCATCAACGCCTCTGAGAAGTCGACTCTCGCATTCCAGAGCTGAGTCAGGAATGCAATCCGGAGCTGTCGCGCGGTGTACTTCTGAAGGATTTCCTGCACGCGAGCTCAGCGAGGCCCGCTACTCACAGCGCCATCAGGGACTTACATCAATTGTAATGAAGTTCTTCAGCGACTTGCTCATCTTGAGGCCTTCGATGTGCAAGTGACCTGTGTGGATGAAGTAATTTACCCACGCGGGACAATTGTGGTAGGCCTGGGGCGGGGCTAGTCAGGAACGGGCTCGACGGCGGAAATAACCTTCGCATTGTGTACCTCAGACTGCGCCATCTCATTATCATGATGTGGAAAGGCGAGATCGATTCCGCCGGAGTGGATATCCATGTTATCCCCAAGGATCGCTGACGCCATGACCGAGCACTCAATGTGCCACCCGGGGCGTCCAGGCCCCCATGGAGATGGCCAAGAAGGCTCGCCAGGTTTCGATGCCTTCCACAGCGCGAAATCGGCCGGCGAGCGCTTGCCTGTCGTTGCTGTCAGCGCACCTATTCAAAGTGTCCGATAAGGTCCCTGTTCAGTCCGAGCAGACCAGCATTGAATAGGTATGCGCATCACCTTCACCCTCTTCTAGCAACTCCCGGTTACCCTTGCTCCAGGGCTCGAGCTTGGCGTAGTAATGTCCGTCCGCCTTGTCGAATGCCCGGGTGTCGAAGTACACGCTACCGTCGACCACGTAGCCGTAGCCGTTCTTCACGATGCCTTCAACGAACGAAGCAATCTCCGGTACAAACTCCGTCACGCGAGTGAGAGTGTCGGGATCTCGTACACGCAGCCGGCGCATGTCGTTGAAGAATTGGTCCTCCCAGTATGCAGCGAGGGATCGAAAGATGGAGTGATCTGTCACGGAACTGCCATGCTTCGGCACGGTTATGCAGGTAGTACGACCGGCTAGGGCTGACATACCTGCTTGTCCAGCGAAATGGCAATAATATCGTGGGCTTCGTCAATCAGAGTGTGTGCGAGCTGCTGCGAGGAATCCCCCGCCCGCAGGGATTCTTCCGCCACTAGAAGTGCCGCATACGTCCGATGCTGTCCAGTGAATGAGGGTACTGCGCATGTCGGGAACATTCAGGATGCACGTACTGCTGCGGAAAAGTGCATCTCGAACTTCTCGTCTCTCTTCAGGCCCTCCTGCTTCCACGCCTTGTCCTGGAACCGCGTCACAAGCTGCGGCCACGCCTCCTTCTCCTTGCCTTTGCCCGGCCTATCCGTATCCGACAAGCCCTTGCTCACTTTTGACTGCACATAGTCCGTCCACGCCGTCTCCAGCTGGGTGACTAGATCCCGCGAGAGTGCTGTGGTTTCGGAGCGGAACTTGTTGACCAAGTACGATTGACGAGCTCGGAGGATGATCTGTAACGGACGGTGAATGAGTCCCTCGGCTTCCTGCAGAGCAGCCATCCTCACTTTGTCGTCGATGTCCGTGATGTTCATGACGAAGTGCACATCATAACCGAAGTAGTCGGTCATGATACGCCTCAGCACGTCCTGGGTCACGTAGTTCCTGACCACGATCTACAGCGAGCCAACCTCCTGTGGATCACGATGCTCACCTAGCGTGTCCCATATGTGACGCGTCGTAGACGGTCGGCCCGCAGTTGTACCACTTCACATGTCGCCCGTTGATCGCGACAAACTCTGTCTATGAATACAATCAGCATCCGGCAGGGTTTGATCGACAGTGTATACGGACTTTTGACTTCGTGAGCGAGTTATAGATCTTCAAGACAGGTTCATCCTCCTTGCGTTTCGGAAGAGACCAGGGTGGCTGCTGGGCCGCCATCGAGGTGCAGGATCTGAGAGATCTCGAGGAAAATGATGCCGAGTATAGTACAGATGAAGCCAAAGATGAGCGGCGGAGCAGAGAGATAGCCCTCGAGTGCATCCACAGCCGCCTCGGAGGTCTTGCTATTCAGCCACTGCCACTCGTGTGTGACTCGGTCCGACTGGTTCCCAGCCTCGAGTTTGCTAGTCACGCGCCTCCCGGACCTTGAGATAGTAGCTCTTCGTAGCAAATGGACCGATAGGGCTTGGTCGACGAGAGCCAGGCAGGGGGGAACGACGACGAGAGGACCAGGCCAGCCCGCGAGAGCGCGTTTGTCAGAAGCGCCCGCAGGACGGATTGCCACCGGCTCCCAATATGGTAAACCGCACGTCGGGTCGTTTCAACAGACTCGAACTCAATCACGGCATACGACAACATGCTACGACTGCTGTCAGTTAGACAGCGGCCGTGGAGAACCTTCGTTTCTAGCGCGCTACGCTATCCCGTTCGTCGATTTTTCGCACTCGTCAGTGATCCTCGGAGGCCCTACAAGTCGAAGATGCCAACATCCGTCAAACCAGACGTGTCTGCGCCCCCTCATCCCACTCTTCGCAATCAACACGCCCCTAATTGCGGCAGTCTAGCCGCCAGACCCTCAAAGCACCCCACTGCCATTTAACGAAGCTCGATTACTGCATAGAACAGTCGAACCGATGAGCCACATGTTGTGGGTGGCGTCGACGGTGAGTAAGTATGAGATCAGCTCAATGGTCCTCGCCACCCAAGTCAATGGTGGGGCGGCCTACTCTCCACCATGATCGGCGACGAATACAACGGCTGGAGCGACGAGATCGCGATTCTGTGTACAGTCATACCCCGGCAGTCCAAGCGACTCGGAGCGCAGAGGCGCCTGTATGATGTTATGGTGGAGCGACCCCCAGATCCCACTGTTTCGCCCAGACACGGCCGTACAGCGGAGCGATCGGTACATTAGGTGGTTCCAGAGCGACTCGCCACACCCTACACGTTGTACGTCGGCGAGAACCAGAGACGGGGGAGCGCCACAACGCTGGGCAATTTCGTCAGAAATATCCAACGCGCCGACGGCTATGGAGAACAGGGCGGCCTGCGGCGCGAGAGTGTGGCTCTCATCACGCCCTAACACGTTACATGGTATAGACGAGTACGGAAGGGGGTGCCCAGAGGTGATGTGCGGCCTCGACATATAATGCCGAGGCAGGTCTGCCCAGAAAGCAGCGCCACACCGCTTAGTCCGCGGGAAGGCGTAGGGGAAGCACACGGTAAGCTGTGCGGGTCTGCAGAGGCAGACGACCAGGACGCAGATGCGGGAGCGTCTGTTGAGAGTCGAGGCATGTGTGCGAGGTCCCCTTGACGTGTCCTCCGTCCAGCCTCGCACCTCGGTGCTTATCCAGGTCACTGGAATTGGGCAAGGCCGGCGCGGCACTCCCAGCTAGCAAGCCATCGGCCGGAGTATTAGAAGGCCTGCTGTCGCAATCACGTACGCACTTACCTCGCCGCTGCGACATCAGCGTCCGGCGTGCACTCGTCGGTAGGTCATCCGCAAGGTCCCCATTCATCTAGTGGCGACATGAACTCACGACAGGCTTCTAGAAGATAAATGAAGGCAGAAGTACGCGAACAGGCGGTGGCCGTGTGGATGCAGCGTCCCGAAATTGCATTGCAGAAGAGAATGCGGCCTAAGAGCGACCTATTTCAGGCAGGACATTGTATAAGCTCGGGAGCGTGCAGGGCACGCACTCGCGTTGGAAAACCCCACGAAGACGGAAGGGTACTAACGGCGAAATAGTGAAAGGCGAGGGTGCACATCAGGCCAGGCTTCACTTAGCCCTTGTGCACCGAAGCCTGAGAAAAAATGCGATGGGCTGATAGCGACGCTCTAGCACAGTCCGGGTTTCTTTGCCGATGCCTGCGAGCGCCCCAGTGGTACCAGGCCGATGGGAGTTGCCGTTATGACCCTAGCGATGATTCGTGGAAGAAATATGAATAAGTCACTCTTGACTTGCAAACACACCTTTTAGGTTACTCACCGAGGGCTAACAGCCGCCAGCACCTAGCTATAGCCTATAGGCGTAGCGCGCCTTGCACGTCAAACATAGGCTTGCTTGATGCTGAACTTTAGTTCGAGCATGGTGCCGCGTTGGTCGCGTTTCAAAGCAATAACGCGGGCAAAGCCGGTTTGAAAATATTTGGCCAAGCCAGGCCGTCGGTCTTCTTCATATTTCCTTATGTGTGCTCGGCTAGAGGTCGAGGGTAATTTATCGTGCTGGACGCCGATTTTCTCGCATTGCTTCCCGGGAATTTGCGAGGAATCACGAATTGGCTACCAGCTGCAGGAGGCCGCGCCTATGCATCACCTGCGGTGTGTACGGGGAGTCAACGCTCACCGGGGGGCGTTCATCAGCTAGTGATGATAAAATACTGACTTTTGTGCACGGGCGGCTGTGCCCTTCCTTAGACGAAAGCGCACTGCGACTGCGAGCAAGTCACGGCCGAGGCTTGTGCAGATGCGGCGCCGCGCAAAAGTCGGAGCTCCCAGAATGGCAGCTACTTCGGGCCAGCGTGCCTTGGGACCACGTGACAGCGTCGATCCTATTGTGTTTGATCTGTGGCTGGAGTTCCCAGTGAGATGCGCTGGCGTATGTAAGTCCTCCGTGGATCAGACACCCACCTCTTCGCCGCATCGCTGCAGCATGGCCCCTCGCAGAGGATGCGCACAAGAGCCCTGCACCCCGGCGGCGCTGCGAACATCGCACAGCGCGCGCAAACCACAGAGTGAGATCGACTGTAGATGCGGACACGGATGCGGATGCGGATGCGGTCATGAGTGATCGGAAGGGCCATGTCAAGAGCCTCAAGGCTGCCCGATTCCAGATCTGAGGATGGGGCAACTGAATCTCCCTCTCGAGCCAACAGGCATGGAAATTTGGTCCGACGAAGACGTCCTCCACTTCATACAGTCGTCGACCATCACAAGCATGTCCGTGAAGGGACCCTATAGGCCCAGTTGCACGTAATCTCGTTGCGGGGGCTGTCTGCGCGAGCTCCGGGTGATTTCATAGTCGGATTGACGCATCGCTGCTGCGCTTCTCATGCACGTCTTTCGTACATCGGCTGCAGTCAAGACCCTTCTGAACGACAGCACCGCGCCGTTCTCTGCGGGCCTAAGCCGTACCATCTTCGCCCGCTGCGTCAGCAGACCGAGCTTCGAGATAAGTCAGCGAGGACTGTGCGGCGCGACGATGACACTGGAAGCGCATACCGGGCATTGACAACGAGGTCGCTCATACTGCACGGACTGCGCCCGGGGCGACGTTCATACATGACAGAGGTAGGACAAAGGGCGCAGCAGCTGGCATTATGCCTCCGCGGTGGCGTACTTGGTTACACACCGAGCGCGTGTGCTTGGCGCGCGGGGTTCGCACAATCCATCACCCGCAACTCCGGGACGCTTGGATCAGGATCGAAATGACGGGCAGCCTGTCGGCGTTGCGCCGGAAGCACATCCACGACTCGATCTCGGAATCGTCGGGGGCACGTCGCATCGCGCATACGTGTGCCTCACTGACGCTGGCCGCCCTGACGAGCAACGCCATTGCCTCTCTCCTGGTCCAGCCTTCTCCACGATCCCCGTTCGCACGCGAAGTTGCGCAGAAGCCCCCGTGATTGGCCCAGCTAGCTATATTCGTTAGCCTCCTACTCTTGCCGACCGCAGGTGGAGGTACTCACAGTCTCACGCCATGCCGCACCCCGGAACTGCGATAGGCGATTAGCATCAACTCGTCTGGGTACCGGTCAAGAGGGCCTCTCCAGACAGAGCGATGCATAACAGACTCGCCCATTGGCCGACAGGTTGGCTCACATGTAGTCATGTTCGAGTAATGGCTGTCAGCGAACCAGGAACGATAGCGCTTCCCTCGCTTCCGTCGTATGTTCGGCTCCATGCCTGCCGTCTACATGCAATCAAATACTACCCTCAGCGGTCCATGAACTAGGGTCGTGTCGTCTCTTGGTGATCCTTTTCCACAACAGGTATGGTGGCACATGTTTGGCTCGACTGGTGTTACCATCATACCTTCTTAGGGACACACGCCGGGCCAGTGCTTCTGCTCCGGCCTCGCTTCTCAGCTCATCCGTTCCTTCTTAAAGCTTCGCCGCGACGCGCTCCATCCTTCATAACCTGATCCTCCCTATCCACGCCACGCCACAGATGCAGTCCCGCGCTAGCCCGCAGAGTCCAACCTGCCTCAACGTCCGCGTCAAGACGACTGAGGAGGCCCACCTCGTCCTGCACAAGGTGGCGCTGAACCACCTCCCCATGATCCACAATCGCCTGCTCGAGGACGAGCGGTGGTCGGTCAGGGAGGGCTCCGTCTTCGTCTGGGAGGAGCGCAAGGAGAGAGACAACCACAACAGCGTGAGTACGCCGTCTACGTGATTTCGTATTCACGCACCCTAGTGCAGCTCTCTGACATCACGCCCCTCGTTCCCCGTCTTCTAGTCTGCGATAAGTCGCTGGACCGATGGAAGAAGATGGGGGCCCTCCCGGGTGAAGGACGTAGGTCTTCTTTCCGAATGGGGCAGATAGGCTCTCACCGCCGGAACAGGAGTTTTTGATCTACCATGAACACCTGCCAGATGTGCCGGACAATATGGACCCAGCCGAGAGGGAGGAGTTGTATGTTCTATCCTCTGACCATCACGTCCTCTTGACTTACAACGCTTCCTCCCCGTCCTCGTCCGTCGCGGACACTTGCATTGATGCAGCATTGCTTCGCGGCTGATAAAGCAAACGTATTCCGCATGGGTTCAGCTCGTCGGCGGTCGCAAAAAATGGCACCTTGGTGAGTTCATCCGAGCGTTGTCGCGCGACGTTCACCAATGCGTTCCTCGTCCAGTGGCATACTACTCCCAAAGGACCGACAAAACGCTGCCCCGGATCCTCAGCATCCCCGACTTCGCTCTCTGTCGCGGCACATATACCCCGGACAGATACACCAGCGCACGCGCGCCCAGGACCCGCCCGCGCAGCAACTCCAACCAGAGCGAGGAGAACGACGACGACAGCAGCGACGACTCAGATCGCTCTGATGAGCCCCAACCCGCGCCTCCGCAGGTCCCCGTAGCGGGCCCCTCACATACCAGCACCCTTGTCTTCGATCCTCAAAGCTTCCTGGTGTCCCCCGTCGACCGCGATCCTCTGCGCGCTGCCCCCGCACCAGCCGTCCAGTGCAATACTAGCGCGACCGTAACGGTCCCCGCACCTGGCTCCACAGCAGTGGCCGGCCCGAGCGCGGTGCCTCCCTCCGCCCGCCCCCAGACGCCTTCCGAGCGCAGCGAAGGCGGGGAGTACGCGCTCGCGCCGCTCGTGTATGACAGGATGTCACCCTATCCGCCGCGTCACCCTGTCGATTCCGTCGCGCTCCGGTCGCTGGACGTGCGCGTTCGGATCCTTTGAGGTCGGAATAGATTGAGGTTGGGTGAAGTGTGGCGCAAGGGCAAGGCCCGCTGGCGCGGTGCATTACATTGTTTCCATCGACGGACGAGTGCTCTCGGCGACGTTCCCTATATTGTACATTGTACGCAGCCCGGAATTGTATGTGCTACTTACTACTGTATCCCTGTCTATGTACTACTTGTTCACTGCTCTCCAGTACACCAAATGCACGGGCCGCGGCAGCTCGCAATCAGACCTCAGGGTCGGTGGCTGCGTGCAGGGGCGCAAATGACGACACAGACCCGCAGGGTACGCCGGCAGGCAGCAACATGGGGGAAGCAGTGCGGCTCGGGGAGACGAGCCAATAACGCGCCGACCGGGCAGGTCGCGGACGACGATGCGCTTCGTTCCCAGGGCTGCCAGATAGCGGTCAGAGCGCAGGCGCGCACATCACATTGCGTACGGCATGGGCCTCGACCATAACTGGTCCCATCACGAAGGCTCCCCCACCTGGGCGAGTACCTGCCCGTAAATGGGCACCGCACGCAACCGCCCAGCTAGCCCACGCGAGGGCCTCCGCGCCCGGATCTTCGTCGACGCTCGCCCTGGTCGCGCGCACTGCATAAGCTCAGCCACCGAGCAATGCCCGCGGCGACTAGGGCCGGCGAGCGAGACGTCTGTCTCTCTCCCGTATGGCACGGATACCTCGGCATCGCGTGCTGCGACGCGGACTACCCCCGCACACGCGTGCGCGCGACCGCCAGAGCTACCATCGACATACATTCGCCATCCGCGCGTCTCGTGCGCGACTCGGACGCGCTACCCCATACATACAAGGCTCGGGAGGCTGCGCGTCGCGCAGATGAGAAGGCGGGAGGGCCGCGCGCGCGGCTCCCCGCACCTATTCTTGACGCGCCCGAGCCCCGGGCGCAAATCTGCCCGTCAGAGCGCGAAGCCTGCTGGGGCCCCGCTCTGGCGAATGCGAATGCGCGCGCACGGGCTCGCGCCGGGAAGTGCATTCTGCTTCCGGGTGCTTCCCGGCGTGTAGCGTACCCACACCCTCTTCGCGCGCACGCGAGCCTCACCTACCCTTCCTGTAGCACGATCGCCGGGCCTGGCCCCTCGCGCGCGGATGCTCCCAGCCCCTGGGTAGCGTGGGCATCTGACCGCCGTGCTGCTGTGGAATGCACCCATGACCTGCGCCGGAGGGCCTCAATCAAGCGTGGTGTATGAGGGTCTGGACTCACCGGCTTGGATGGCTGAATAGCGACACGGCTGCTGACCAGCGAGAGGCTGAGGCTTGCTCCTCGCTTGGACGCTTGCGCTTGGATGCCTGAGAGAATCCGTATTCTATCTAGCCCAGCGCTGGTGCCGAACGCAGTCGATGAAATCTGAGGGCCCTTCTGCGGGGTGCGTTCTGCCCTCGGAAGAGGCCTGCTGGCGAGGCTAGTTGTCTGACATAACCGTCGCCCGCCCGAGCGTGTCACTAGTCCACTGTGGTGGCCGCCAGTCCGAGTGGCCAGAGCCCGGTCCGAGATGGCAGGCGCGCACCCGGAGACTGGCAGCGAGAGGCAGCGCGCTGACAAATCCGCCTGGATCGCCTGGTTGTCCGTTATCGCCATAATCGGAGTTGCGCCCTGCTTTTATCGATCGGTCGGCGATGCTGCACTTGCCGTTGGCGGAAGCATAAATGTACACACTCGCTAAGCGCGCATTTCGAGAATTAAACGCGACGTCGCGCTCGGTAGTCGAGGCGCATTTGTCCTGCAATTATATGAACATGAATGCTTCCGGTGACCTACTACGCGCGCGAGCCGCTGTGCGTGAGGGGGACATTGACTGGCCGAATCAGCGCGATATGTTGGCATTTGGAGACGCAGTAGCCGGTAGCCCTCAGATATGCGGCTGGCATGTGCATCTGCGGAAGAGGGTGAGCATCAAGCAGGGACCGGGGATCAGGTGGAACGCGATCGTAGGCGGCGAGATTGTCCCGCGCGCACTGGGGCGTCGAGAACGCACCCCGGAACACGTTGCGTGGTCGCGAAGGAGGTGCGTTCTGCAGAGAGCCGCGGGAATGGCCCGTCGTCATTGTGTGGTCAATTTTGGGCCAATTTGTCTCGCGATGCCTCCCGCGCGACGATCACAGCTCCTTCGACGCGGAAGCAAATGCAGCGTGTCGATGAAGGTATGCGACAGACCCCTCGTGCAGTATGAGACAGATCTATCGCGCGGTATGAGACAGACCTATGTGCGCTCCAGAGACTTGGGCCACGGTGATTGATGCGTAGATGCCAAAGGGGCCGTTCGACGGCGACACGCCCTCGCGGAAAGGGAGCGGTGGTCGTCGGCTCGCGGGAGACGGTTGAGGAGGCGATCAACGGTGCGAAGCGAGCCCCGGGCGTGGACGAGCTGTTGCTGGGGACTTAGCCTCAGCTTAGGCTGGGGTGGTCGTCGGCGCACATGGCGAGGATCGCGCGACGGAGGGCCGCCGCGGCGGGGTGCTGACGGCACGGGGGTGGCCGGGGACGGGGTGGCGCGGGGGCGGGGGCGATCAGATCTCGATGGTGGGAGAGTATCCGATTCCCCGGGATGGCCTGCGATGGTTTGGCTTGCACGCGCCACTCACACAGGCCGAGCTCGCATGCAATCAATTCGCTCCTGCGCAGAAGCCCTTCCCCACCTGATCCTATATAACCATTTCCCCCGATCCTCTCCTCCCCTCCCTTCCCACCGCCCGTGTCCCCGCACGCGCCCTACCCCCGCCTCCTCCCCCCTCCCCCGCCCCCCGCGTCGACCGCCATGGCCCAGCAGAAGCAGAAGCCCACCCTCGAGGGCGTCCACATCCGCTCCGCAGACGACGCCCACAAGGTCTTCCACGCCGTCATGCAGAACAAGCTGCAGCCCATCACAAAGCGCCTCGACGCGGAGGAGCGCGCCGCCCTCAAGGCAGGCGACGTCTACGTCTGGGCACGCCAGAGCCTCGCCGGCGACGCTTACAGCCCCCACATGGAGCGCTTCACCGAAGGCAAGTCCTGGACAGCCTCGCGTGTCCGAGATGTGCGTCGTAACGTAACGCGGATCCCCTCGCACCCACGCTCATCTCGTCGACAGGACTTCCTCATTTACTACGAGATCCCGGAGAAGACGAAGGGACGGGGAGGTGCCGCACAGAGAGCCGAGTATGTCCCTTCTAGCCGCCCGCGCGCGTTTTGCCCATACGTTTACTAGGTCCTCAGAAAACCGCGTCGTCCGCCAGGGCGAACACGACCAGTTCATCAAGCAGACCTACTCCGTCTACTGCAACGATCCCGCCGACGCGCAACCATCACCAGAAGGGAGGCCTAAAGAACCAAAGAAGTGGCATCTTAGTGCGTCCCCCGTTCACCCTGCGTCCGTATCGCACCCAAACGACGTTTGTCCAGACGCGTACTTCACAAAACTAACGGAAGGCCAGCTGAAAACGATTGACGACATCGAAGAACTGCGCGAGCTTGTGGTCCCGGAGGGTATGTTCAGGAGCGCGCGGACAAGCAAAACCGGGAAGAAGGGCGAGTCGTCCCGGACGACCAGCAGCACGAAACGTCAGTACGCGCCCTTCCCCTCGCGCTCGCAACCACCACAGCCTTCGACAAGCTCCCAGCCTTCGCAAGCGTCCACAAGTACGCTCCCGCCGCCTCCGCCAGCGCCCGTTCAACCAATCGCACACGAACCACAGCCAGGGCCCTCGACGTCCGCAGGCTACCAATACACGGCCGACCTGCAGCACTACCAGCACCAGCCGCAACAATACCCGCAACATCAAGCATACCCGTCCGCCGAGCAATATCAGCAAGCCGCGCAATACCAGCAGCCCGTCGGTTGGCCGGGCCCCGTCGCCGTACCTCCGCCCATACCCTCCGACCGAGCGCCGCAGTACTCAATCCCCGCCGAGCTGCAGCCTCCGGTGAGTGGCCACGCCTATGACCCCTTCAACCCTCCTTATCCGCCGACGGCGCTCTAGCTGCCTGCCGTACCTTTCCCCGTGCTCCCCGCGCCCGCGGGCCCGCCGCTCCCGCCCATCGACACGCTCACGATGATCCCGAACCCCGACGACGACCCCTCCGGCCCCGCGCTCCCCGACGCTATCGACGAATACACCCCCGCGCCGATCCCGCCCGGCATGGCCTTCCTCTCCCCGGTCGCCTCCTCGCACTCGCACGTCCACTCCGAGCCGAACTACGTCTACTCCGCCAACCCGCCGTCCCCCGCGCTCAGCCGCCACAGCACGCACTCGATGTCCCCCGCGCTCTCCGACCGCTCGAGCTCGGGCTCGTGGGGCTCGCCCTCGCAGGCGCGCTCCATCGGCCTCGCCGCGAGCCCGTCCCCGTCCTCCGGCTTCTCTCGCCAGTCCTCGCCGCTCTTTGGGGCGGACGGCTTCCCGCTCACCGACGCAGGCTTCCCGTACATGCCCGCGCCGAACCTCGACGACGTGCTCGGCCAGCGCGCCGCGCTGGGACCAGCAAGAGTCGATTTGGCACCGCTTAGCTCGCTCAGGAGCCACCCGTACCGACGCTGCCCCGCGGACGACCGCGCACTGCGGCTGCTCGGGCCCGGCGCGCGTTGACGGCGGGACGGTGCAACGCAAAATCCGCACACAGACTCTTTCTGCACTCGCACACACACATGCTTCACGGACATGGACGCTCTGCTCTTTTGCACACGCACACGCCCCGCATCGCACACAGAGTACTGAAATACACCCATATCCTCCGTGCACACATCATATATTGTCTTTCATACTCTTCTTCTGGGTCTTGGTCTTGATACTTGTAGCCGATCTGTATTATTATTATTGGCATCCCTTCATCTCTGCATCACAACGTCCCCGGCTTTACTGACATCCCGTACTCGCACGATTGATACCGCATTGTACTACTACATTCTCGATGGAGGCTTTTGGGCAGCTGGTAAACTCAGGCCCCGGCCGACCGTTCCTGGCAGCGTGTATCGCGGATGCTTTTGCGCGTCCGTGAATCCTGATCGTCAGCATTTGTACCCGCTCGCGACAGAACCCAGTCAGTCCCCTGCCTTGGCCCTCCCAGGGTCATTCCGGCGAGCCGTCCCGACACTCGGGTCTGTGCCCGCTGAGTCCGGCCCCTATGCAGGTGTCAGTGCACACCATGCGTATCTGCTCCCGGCAGGCGGGGGACACCAGCCTGACAAGGCAAGTCGCGTCCTGTATACGCTCGGGCTGCTCGAGCGAACTGATCCCGCTCTTCTCCCGCCCTGCCCAGGTCTCTGGCAGGTCCCCCGAGCACGCGTGCTCGAGCTCGCTCGGCACCGACTCCCCCGCATGACTGGGCTGCATTCTGGGGCGAGCACGCCGTGACGTGCGCACCCCAGGCGCTGCGCTGCGCGCGCCGCCACGGTGCTCTGCGCTCGTACATAATCTGTATGTACGCGCTGACCACTCGCGCCGCGCCGCGCCCGCCCGCGTCGCGAGGCGTCCGGCTCGCGTCTTCTTTGGGCGTAGCGTAGCACGGCGCGTGACGCTGCCAGTGTGTCGCGGCCATGGGGCCTTTAGATTGGGGCGTACTGATCGGAAAAAGCACGGATATGAAGATGTACCCGCCATGATTGGCTATGCGCCGCATCTAGGGGCGAGCGTTGGCGTGCCAGCGTCCTGCGAGATAGCGTTGGCAGAAATCGCGATTGCACGGAGCGTAAACCTTACCGTCTATTCTGTGGCCTTCCCGCCGATGGTGTGGCATTTGGCGGAGTATGGCTGTGGTCGCGCTTGAACCGTCCGCGTTGCGTATTGCTCACATCAAATGTGCCGCCGGGATCGAATCGATGGGCGGAGATAACTCGCTCATGCGGACGAGGGAAGGCGTTCCTGAGGTTCCAGTGTGGCGGTAACCACGCTATTCGTGAACTGAATTGGACATGCCGCAGAATTCAAATCCTGACCTGCCGATGCCGCAAAGCCTCTAGAGGGAGAAGTCAAAGGGCGTTCAATGGGTTTACGTAACCGTGTGGGCGTTCGCGCAGATGCTCCAGCTCGAGCTGGCTGCCTCCCGACGCGTTGTTTTCATAACCGCTGAGTTTCGAAGCGTACAACGTGATGCGTAGGTTTTCGATCGATGGCCTGCTCGAGAGCCGCGAACACCGACGAGTACGGCAGCCAGACGGCAGCACTACGCGCAGCGGCGCATGGTCTGGCGGTAGGGCTGGTATGGTTTCGGTGACGGGCCAGCCATTCAGTTGTGGAACTGTCGGCGGAAAAGCATGGATTGCGCCATGTCTGGGCCCTTGACTAATGCTTGCGAGCGCGACAGCACTGGCAGCTGGGAGTCGTAGCGAGGACCCCGACTAGCCAGTGCTGAAACTCGATAGCTGGAGCTTGCGATTTCTATCAGTGCGTTCTTGGCCAATTAGCGTGCGCAATGCGGAGATAGAGACGCAGGCGTACCTTGGGCGTACCTGCCAGTGGGCGAAGTTGCGCGCCGGAACATGCATCGGGTGACGACCTAGCGCATCGACGCTACCGCCCAAATAGGCCCCGCAGACGGAGTTGCCATTACGTGCGGGCTGCGGGATCTCATCTAGGATGTGCGTCTGATAGCTCGCGGTACACCTTGTTTTTGATGAGCACGAACGGGCCAGGGAGGCGCGGGTTTGAGCTGGGAGAGCGCGGGCAGCTCGGGGCGGGAGGGACGTCCGGGCCGCACGTGGCACGAAGGACCGTGGTTGCCATATTGGGGTGATGGCTTCGGGTGTGGCACGGAGTCCGCATTGTTCACGCTCCTTGTCCTCGACGGCCATCGCGAGGCCAGTTGTCGCCAATTCTACTCTGGGTATATTGCAGACCCCATCTGTGCGAGGCACGCGCACAAGCTATCGCCGCAAGTGGGAAAGTTCAACTCTATTCGGCCGCACAGTCGCTCGCAGGCGCGCAACCTCAGGTTCGTCATACTACCGTGCCATCAGCTCTGGCACACCGCCTGATGCGCGACGGTCCCATGGGCAGGCTAACGAACTCCGCAGGACGCGCCCACCATCGCTAGCCCACTGCGATGTCCGACGCGTGCGGGCTGGTGCGTCTCCTGAGACCCGCGCCTCAGACAGACCACTCGAGCCTCCCTCCCGAACTCTGGATTGATATCTTCCGATATGCAACGTACGTCCCGCGCATCCGAGGTCTCAGCCCCGGAGATCCGTTCGAACCGCAACGTCCCTCCAATTATGCATGGGGAGTGAACACCCCTGTCTCGTCACTCGCGACAAAGCGCAACGTTGTCCTCGTCTGCCGGGCCTGGTACTGCCTCGCCACGGAGCTTTTGTACGAACATGTTGTCATCAGCAGCCGCAGGCGCGCCTTTCTGCTCCTCCGGACACTTCACCACAGCGATCGCATGGTCCGAAGGATGCAGGCGCGCGGCGAGATCACCGAGGGCCTCGCACGATGGGTCCGACATGTTGAGATTCACGACTGTGCCCGCACGTCGAAGTCGCTTCATTTCTGGTCAGCAGTCGCAGCCATCCTCTCACTCTTGCCAAACCTACACGTGCTCAGCGGTATTTGGGAGCGACCGCTGGCCAAGAACCTCCTCGAGGTGTTCTCGAGGTACCTCACGAGTTCCATTCAGGGTCTGTATTGGGACGAAGGCCTCATTCCAGAGGGCGAGCCCTCTCTGTTGTCTTCGGCGTTCCTTCCGAAGTACCAATCACTTCGTGTGCTCGACATCAGGAAGCTGAGACTCGAGGATCCGGACACCTTCCCGGCAGACACTGCATCTAGCATCTCGCTACCCTCGGTCGTAGACCTGCTCCTGCCAACATGCCCAGCCGTGCTCGGGTTCGCACGCAAGCTCGAGCTGCCACGTCTCCGCAGACTCGTTCTGGACGCAGCGAATCTACGCCGTAATAGCTCCTCGTACGTCAGCTCTTCGCTGAACAAGCTCCTTGCGGCGCATGGGCCGAAGATCACTACCCTCGAGCTGCTCCCGATGACATCTCTTTCATACCAAGCCTCCCCAATTAGCATCACCACGTTCCTGCAGCCCGACGTCTGCCCCATGCTCGAGACGTTCGTCTTCGACTGCCGCGAGAAGCTACTCAACGCACGCTCCCCACCACCGTCATCCGTCTCCTCGACTCCCGCTCTCCCAGCCTCCAGCACGCGCCCACCCTCCTTCTCCGCACCACCCACGCCCTCGCGGAACGCGCCCGAGCCCGAGCTACACACGCCCAACCGCACTCTCCGCCGCATCGGCATCCGCGGGATGGGCATCTCGCGCCTGTACCCGAACCGGCCGAGCCACGCGCAAGAGCACTTACACTCGCTCCTGCGGCACCGCGCGCTCTTCCCCGTGCTCGAGACCGTGCGCACGGTCGGCTTCCTCGTCGACGCGTGCACGGATCAGTTCGCACGCGACATCTTCATCTGGTGGACGGAGAAGTTCGAGGAGCAGGGGCTCGACATGCAGGACGGCGAGGGCGTCGTGTGGCTATACACCGATCCTGCGGACGGTAAGCAGGAGATCGTTGCGCAGGACGAGATTGTCGCAGAGGATCACGCGAGCCTGGTGCACAAGAGCGATGCGGAGGAGGTAAAGTCCGCGAAGGCGTGAGCATCGGGCATGCTTGGGAATGAGGAAGGAAGTCTAGGTAAGTCAAAGAATGCATCCTATCGTATTGTAAACATGAATTCGGGTCGCCATGTATCATTTCCACCGCACATCAACGGACGATACCACGCATAGCTGCACAACTCTCCTTCAATTCGACACACGCTATGTACTGCAATCATCTTTCTCGCTCGCTACGCTACTTTCCAGACCACCATCAATGCATCACAATACACCCGGATTGAGATAGTGATTATACTGTCCCTGCACGGAGAAGCTGGAGAAAGCGAGCGCGTGAGGAATGCATAAGCGGAAGCAGCGCCGTCTTCCATCTGTCAGCACACATTAGAGCACAAGAAGCTGTCACCGCTTCGGATACCACAAGAGTCGCTGTAGCGAAAGGGCACGGTGATGTACTTCACACCCCACATCTTGCCCCGGATTGCGCACACGACGCAATGCATTGACTTCCGAGATGCTACATTACAAGATGATGACATTCTGTGTATGGTGTGTATATGGACGATGGGGACGCGCGGCGGGATTCCTATGCAATGATTTTCTGATCGTGTCAGTATATAGAACAGCAGATGTAGCCATGCGAACTATTATGATGGGGGAGGACGGGGGACAAAGATAGACGATGACCGCGAGACATGACAAGGCACAAGTAAGACAGGACGTGAGAGACATGGCGTTCAGAGATGGTCGATGAAGGAAGGTCCGCAGCAAGGTGACATGACGGGGCAGAACCCAGAAGCCCTCCGGGTCTTGGAGAAAGGGGTACGACCCGAGGAATTGGCTACCATTCGAATTCCCTGTCATAAGGTTTGAGATACCGATTCGAACACGCGCGAAGCACACTCAACGTCACTTACCCTGTGCACTTCGCGAAGAGGTAGTCCTTCCCGTTGATGTGGATCATCCCGTCCTTGAGGATGCACTTCCACTTGTTTTTCACACGCGCAACCTGATATGCGAAAACACGCGTCATCCTCCAGATCCACACATCCACGAGATGAGATGCAAACCTTGTCATATGTGCAGAATACGATGTCTTGTTCCGCCGAGCTTCCCGTCTCGTTCACTTCTTCGTTGTCTGAGTCAGAATCATCGAGGTCGCTATTGATCGCCTCATCGTTGTCCGCCTGCGAAGTGCTTTGCAAAGGCTGTGGAAGTGATGGATGCAAGGCACGCGGCGCATAGCCCTGGCTGGGCGGTGGAGACGGCGATTCCGAAGACGATGAGGATGGACCGTCAAGCTGAGGGATCTTGGGAAGTGCCGACGGCCCATCGACCTGCGGTATGCGCGCCTGTGGTGGCTGCTGATGCTGAGCTGTAGGCGGGTACCTCGCCGTTGGGGGCGGGGGAGGGTGCGTGGGGTACGCCATACCATTCGGTGGGCGCGCGCCCGGAATTTGCGGACCCGGTAGTGGGGGCATCGCGTACGGGGAAGGGTGGGCCATGCCCTGACTCAGCATGTAGCGCGTATCGACCGGTTCAGCTTTGACCTGGGCACCGGCTGGCGGCAGTGGAACATGCGAATGTTGATACACACTCGGCGGAGGCGCATACGGGTTGGGGACGCCCGGCGTATGAGGATGCGTGTGCATGGGGTGCGGAGGGTAGGCCGGATGCGTTGGATGCGAATTGGTCGCAGGTGCAGGTGCAGCCTGGTTGTCGAATTCGGCGACATGGGAGGCGATGACCTTCTTCTCCCATCTCTGAAAGACGCATATAGCGAGGGTAGTAGAAAGAAGAGAAGACACTCACGTCCTGAAGGTCGTGAAGGACATCCTCGGACACGCCGTACTCGTCAAATTCGGGCTTAATGCTCGAGATCACGTCGTCGATGACGGCGCGATAGATGGAGGGCTCACGAGAGGCGGACGTTACTCACACTGCATGCGACATGAGACGTACGTGGTGAGCAGCTCACCACTATTTTATTCGACATGGCTCAACGTCAACGCGCTGCTGCTCCCGGGACCGTCGACAACAACGAACTCGAAGGGCGGCGTGGCGTGGTGGAGGTGGGAGGTGAGGGAGGTGCATTTATACAAGGTTGCGATAGGTGGAAGGGTTCAGACTCCGCCCCAATGCTGGTCTCCTGACCTGATTCCCACGCACGGACCACCTGCCAACCGCATCGAGGGCAGTGTGGCTGCGACAAGGCTGCGATGAGGATGCTCCATGGAGCGGTAGGTCAGCGGTGGACTTGCTCCTCGCGAAGTGCTCATAGCCAGGGGCACTTCACCAACTTTATCAAAACGTTGCTCTCATGCGGTAACGTAGTGAGACGTGAACCCACTGACGTAGCAAAGCCTTGCATGCATAAAGGCACTCAGTAAGTGGCACTGACTCGCCACTCCAACCGCCCTGTACAGTGTATACCACCGAAGTTCCGTCTAAACTACCAGCAAGAATTCGCAGAAAGTGAGCATTGAAGTACACAGCAGTGTCCCGAACTCGACGTGCTGACATAGTTCTATACTATCTAGACATGCCTCTGTTCCATCACTCCAGCCCTGAGCCACAGCCGGCCCCGGCCCAGACGCAAGAGCCTCAGCGTAGTCGGAGCATGTTCTCGCGTCGCGGGAACAGCCCGGATGCCGTATCTTCTGTGAACGGTTCCACGGCCGGTACCACTGGTACCAAGTCTAGTGGTGGCTTCTTCAGTCGCCGCCGTTCATCATCGTCTGAGAACCTCGACGACATCAAGAACGAGCCGTCTGTCGTCACAGCACGCCAGAGGGTGACTGACGCGGAGGCCGCTGAACGCGATGCCGACAGAGCTCTCTTGCAAGCTCGCGCTGCTGTGCGCAGTGCCCGGGAGCAGGTCAAGATTCTAGAGCAGGAGGTTCTTGAGGAGTAAGTCATCGATCTCTTGGCTGTTCTTGCGGAGTGGCATTTGTCGTTCTAGCTGCGCGGTTACCGAGTCGCTTCTTGACTGCGCCACTCCGCATAGTTGGCCCAGACTCATTCGAGTGAGAAGTGGGATGCTGACATAGCCATTTACAGAGCCAGGCGTGCGAAGGCCAAACAGGCCGAGGCCAAGTCGATTGGCAAGGGCGCGAAGGCTCTCGGGAGGCACGGCTGAGCCCGTGCGACGATTGCGATTCTACGTTGCTCATGACCATCGACGATTGTATACCCACGAATTGATTTCGGCTTGTAGCTCGGCTGACCAATCCACCGCCGACATCCACTGATACGCACTACTCTACGCATATCCTGCAATGCCGGTGTCCCTTTCTCCTCGCCCGTTGTCTGTGTATTTATACCCGTGCTTGCGGGATTATCGGCGCGGACTCCTCAGAATATAATGGTGATTTACACAAGATTTACATTATCTTGTCTTGCGGGAGGCCCAGAACAAGCCGGTAACGCGGGACACGTGAGCGCGTAACGGAGTCAATGGACACGCCACTGGAGCGCGTCTCGGATGTTTTAGCGGGCTCCCTACTACTGCAGAGCAGTCATCGCCAGTGCGCCCCAGATGTGATCGCTCCCTCTCCCTCTCTTGCCCTACACTATCCGACTTGCATACACGACAGAGTCACCTGTCTCCTCCGCCATCTCACCGTAACATTGCCTCTCTTTTTTCTCCCCAAGGATGGCTCCTCACAGGGTCATCCTTGTCCAGGATATCTTGCTCGAAATCTTCGACCACCTCCTGTTACCACCGTCGACAAGCTTTGGCGACCAGAGAGATCGTCCCGCCCTGTTCAACACGGCGTTGGCGTGCAAGCGGTTTTTGGATCCTGCATTGACAATTTTGTGGCGGAGCATAGATGATACCATTCCCCTCTTGGCCCTCTTCTCGTCTTTACAGGCGGTACCCCTCCAAGAAAACGAGCGGCGGAGTTCATACTCATATCATGCCACAGCCTACGTGAGTTACATATTTTTTCGGGGCAGTGGGATGGATCCAGGATCCCGAGAGTGCAAATGGGAGTTGACTTCAATTGAGAGATCGACGCGCTTCAGATGGCGGCTGACATCGGGGCATCCGACGCGTTGCAACTGTATGACGGTCTTTGCGTCCGGTTATGTCAGTGATGATCGCTGACAGATGCTTTGTGGCGGCGATGCTCCGCCATGCCCAGGGCGTGTCCCTCGCTCTTGAGTCCAGATTAAGTATTCTCCGCCTCGATCCTTGCATTTCGAATCGGCTGACGAGCGTTCGCCAGCATCTGCTTCGAGTTATGTTCGTTTTGTTTCAGTCTGGTTCTTACCACGTAATCATCAGGTGTGGTTTCAGGTGTGGTGCTACATGGAATCTTGCGAGCCAGTTGCACAAGTTTCATTGAAGAACATCACGATGAGAGGATCCTGGATTCATCCCATTCGCTCAACGCCTCCGATTCGCCCCGGTATAGCCTAATATGACTCCTGATTTCTAGATGTTTACAGGCGACTTGCACGACTTCGAATGGAGAAGATTCCGATTCTATGCTGGTCGTGTCCGTGCGATCACCAACGCAGGGCGGTTGAACATCAGCCCGTCGGTCTTCCGTGAGCTCCTTCGTGTGAATGGTGACCGTCCATGGATTCCTACGCTGGAGGAGTTTCGCGGTAACATCCCACTCGTGCACGCAACACCCAACCACTATGACATCGACGATACGGAACTGCTGTCGGTTGTATCCCCCTCCCTCCGCCGTCTCGATATCAGGCTGCACGACACTACCGGACGGCTGCAGCCTCCCTTCCCCGTCGACGATGTCCCACAAATTCTCCTAGAGAAGCTAGGCCCGAGACTCCCGCGTCTCGAGAAAGTGCGCATACTCTGCCAGGGTATCGGCCCGCATCTTCCTACGTCCCGCGTGCTGTCTTTCGCGTCGATGTCTGCCTTCACGGGGCTCACTACGGTCGATGTTCTGCGGTGTCGGTCATCATGCACTCCGGACCTCCTCCATCACCTCGCAAGCCTGCACACCCTGGTCAATCTTTCCGCTGAGATCGGCGCGAACGATGGAAGCGCCGCGGATGCGGTCCACGGGTTCCGCTCGCTCCGCAGGCTACACGTCAAGGGACGTGTAGACAGACTCCTCGAGCTCATTGCGACCGTCGAGTCGCCTCACCTCCGTGCTATCCGCGTGCAACAGGTGCAAGACGACGTCGGCCCAGACTTCGAGGAAGCATGGTGTGGAATGATCGACACGATCGCCTCTCGCTTCGACGGCTCCTTGCGCGAGGTCAATTTCGCGACCGCGTTCCAGTTCGGCGAATCGATGCAGTATGGCCACAGCGAGATGCGGCTTCTGCGCGTCGTGCGGTCGTTGCTCGCGCTGCGAGACCTCGAGAGCGTCATGTTCTCCTGGCACATCGAGCGCACGCGTATCGACATGCGCGACGAGGACGTGCTCGAGCTAGCTAGCGCGTGGCGAAAGCTCAAGACGCTCGAGCTGCACTTCGAGAACAGCTGGCAGCTCCCGGTGGAGACACTCATTCACTGGGCGCAGCTGTGTCCAAATCTCACCCGCCTTATCCTGCCTAACCTCATGGACCGCGAACATTCGACCATCGAGTCGTTCCCGGCGACGTCGCATGCGCTGCGCTACATCCACTTCGGGCACGCTCCCCGTCCAGAACGCACAGCGAGGATACTCGATAGGCTGTTTCCCAACCTGGACACGACACATAATCAACCGGATGGAAGATTACTTGGATGGACGCAGGTTCTGCAATTTCTTGCGCAGTTTCAGCAGGAGCGAAGGGCTGCCGGCTCGTCTTAGACCGCGGAATCATGCCGCCTCTACCGGAATGGCGAATATCGGCCTTGATCTCAATCCCCTGGTATGCCGGTCGTATACGATGTTAGGGACGTAGGCTTACTGAGAAACAGCCCAGAGTTCTTGATGCTCCTTGCAGTTACATCATTACTTCCCCGTTCCATATGCCCCTCGTTAATTTTCTTGATTAAACGATGTCGTTGCCATCTAAACCCGCAATGAAGAGTTATGATTAGACTTACGTTCGGTGCAGTCATGCCGACAGCTACAGCTTCTCCGGAGCTAACTTCTTCAGGTTCTCAATACCTCCCTCTTCCAGTCGCATACCCATCCACTCCGACATAGCCGTCGCGCTCAGTTTCTTCTCGTAAAAGTCAATTGAAGGTTGGTTCCACTGACAGATGCGATGTCAGTTTTCAGCTGAGATAACAAATTTGACGCAACACACCTTGAGCACGGACCAGTCCAGGCGCGCGCAGTTCTACATAATGTATCATGGCGAGTTAGTGCTCGATGATCTATGTAACAGTGGACTTGAGTGTCTACCTTCTCCTGCGCAACCTTAGCCAGCTCTGCAAAGAACGCTTTCCCTACTCCCTTCCCGCGGTATGATTCATCGACAAACAGATCCTCTAGCTGTATCACGAATTAACGTGCCGTTTGCGACTATTTATGGCCGATGACCTACATAGAGACCAGGCCTGCCGGTCCATGTCGAGTAATTGAAGAAGTACATTGCCATTCCGATTGCGTTTCCCGGAGACTCTGGTGTCCCTGCGAATGCAAGAAGTGTGTGTGCATAGGGAGTCTCAAACAGATTTTTGCGCAACTATTGGGTTTCCCGCGCTGAGTCACGGTCCTGCAGGATACCAACCACTGGGTCACTCACGAGTTCCGGGGTGGCTTTCACTGAGTCTAGTGCCTTTTCATATATTGCCTGGAAGAATATAGTGCGATGAGGCTCAAGGTCTAGCCATCGGTGGCACGTTCTCTTACGAGGTCAATGACCAGCTGCAGGATGCTGTTCTGTCCAAGAATGAGGTCGTGCTTCACACTATTCAAGATGATGACACTTACCACGTCTTCAACCGTTGCCTTCCTGATAAAGTAGGACATTGCTCAACACAGCGGAATGAAAACTAGTGGACGAGAGTGACTGGAGAAGGCTCGAGAATTATATACTGTAGTAAACCGGCAGCGGCGGGCCGCCCTGAGCCGAGTCATTTTGTGTGACCGATTGAGAGATTCAGAAGTCTCACAGAGCGGTGTCCCACACGCTACAATCCCCCACACAAAAAGTTGAAGATATTCCAGATGATATTCGAAACCTGAGAGGAGTGTCACGACTCCCGAAATGACTAGTACTGGCAGCGAACATCCAGCGTACAACGCGAACTAGCAGGCTTGCCAAATCGAGAAGCGTCCCATCACGGTATCGGATGTTGCCGAACACGCCTCAGGAGGGTCAGCGCACCGCGGCCGGCGCGCAAACGACCAGCTCTCGACATCCACTGTATCTTCCTCACTGCGCAGGTCCTGCCCTCATGAAGGCCATAGCTGTATGCGCGTTCCTTGCAGGGCTGACGGGGGCCGTTGATGTCTACTTGCATCCAGCGAGCGCGACCGCCTCCAGCCTTAGTGCATTGAAAGCAGATGCCGCGCTCTCGCGTCATCTGGGACTCGAGTATCATGCGGCCCTTGGAGATGACATCGAGATGAATGAGGCCCTGGGGAGGCAAGAGCCATTCGTAGGGAAGGGTCCTGGAAGTGCATTGCTCGTTGGTGTCAACGAGGAAGACGCCGCAGGTACGTTGTCAGAGTCGTCTTGACATGAAGTCCTGCGTTGACAATTTCCCTAGCTGCCATTCCTGCATCCTATGAGAAGTCATTCTCTCTGTCGTCTGGAACCTACACAGCATCACTCTCGACGCTCATTCCTACATTCCTCGACCGCGCTCACCATACCTATTCTCACATATACGCACCCGAAACGCTACCTGAGAAGACTCCCCGCATAATCGACATCTTCTCCGCCCCTTCTTCCGCGTCACAAACCTTCCTGTCGCAGATGACCACTCTTGTCAACTTCGCGGAGTCTGATGACGTCCCTACCGACAAGTTCGCCGCCGTCCTTCTTTCGGGCCTCTCCGAACTGGCTGCGGAACACGGTCGCGAAAGCGAGCAATACAAGCTTGCTGCAGAAACCATTCGGGGTTTCCTTTCCAGCGTGACCGAGAAGCGTGACCTCAAGCTCGCGGTCATCACATTCCCTTCGTCGGTAACCCACGTCAACAGGCAGGTGAGCTCCACGCTCCAGCCACCGCAGACGCCTTTCCCGCCTCCCAAGCCTGGCCCTGCCGAGCCCATCAACGCAATCGCGACATGCTACTCTACGGCCGAGGCATGTGGTAACTCAACGAGCTCGTGCAGCGGCCACGGTCAATGCGTGCAGGCAAGCAAGCAGGGCCACACGTGCTATGTCTGCGCCTGCTCTGCAACGAAAGATACGAAGGGACACACGGAAAACTGGGCTGGAAATTCTTGTGAGCGCAAGGATGTCAGCGGGTGAGTGAGCCATGTCCATCCAGCGGAGCGCGCCGCTCATGTACCGTTGTCAGGCCGTTTGTGTTGCTTTCGGGGACAGTCATTGCCCTCGTTTTGCTTGTTGGTGGCTCGATCGCGCTGCTCACTGCCATTGGCGAGCAGGAGCTGCCGAGCACGCTGACAGGTGGTGTTGTACCCTCGAGAAAGGATTAGTCGCAGTAACTCGCAATCTTACTTATTCGCCCGTCTCTTGAACAAGTCTGTCAGAACCCACTCGGACGGCAGTAACATATCGTTTCATGCGGAACTTCTCGCTGCGCTAGGACGCCCGCCCAGCAACAGCGATCGACGACATCCGGTCGTTTCAACTCGTTAGCGACTTCTCATTCGGGAGGACACCCAGCTGCATAGCCGGGTGAACCTATTCAAATTGTGATGGATTGCTGTGATACCAGCACGGACCACACTGCGTGAAACATCTCGCCGCGCCGTGACGGGTGCGTGGGGTGTCGCTGTTTCTAATCGTCCGACCATGGTAGTTAATGCTCGTGTTTACAGGTCATTCCTGTTAAGAATATCTGCGCCGGTTCCAATGAGGTGTAGACCTGTGTCCCAGTGTTCAGTGCTGTGCCACTGTTAGTACTCGTTGTGCACTACACTGGCACAGACTGGCACTACGTAAGTATGGCACGACGTAGATCACGGAACAATCGTCGGTCACAGCCACACAGGCGCTCAAGCTGATGTTCACCGGTTGAGTCTTGCTTGCGTTGCCGGCGCTCAGGGACTACATACCGGTACAGTGCTTCATGTTGCCATACAACAGCTGCTAACCGACGTCATGTTGTCAGCCAGCTCTTCTTGGCTATGTTACGCAGTCTTGTCGTAATCACCGCCCATCCGTAATCGGCCATTGACGAAGAAGATTGATGGCCGGGCGGACTCGATTCTCAGGCGGGCCCCTGACCTTGTATATAAAGATGAACGCTGTGACCGTGTGGACAAGCCTTGCTCGTCTCCTTCTTCCACTTGTTCATCTGTGTTCCATGGCTGCGATTATGCGGACAAGCGCTATCCTACTATTAGCATTGTTCGTGGTGGGCACAGATGCCCTCTCCCGACCGAGGCATAGACCTATTGGACGGAGCTATGTCAAGAGGACCGAGGTTCAGCGCAATGGTCCGCTCGTCGATCTCAACGGGACCGAGTTACCACCTCTCAATACTACATATTTCTTCGATCAGTTGATTGACCACGATAACCCAAGCCTGGGGACGTTCAAACAGCGGTACTGGCATACATGGGAGTTCTATGAAACTGGTGAGCAATACCAGAACGCGTTTTGTGTCGTTGCTTAGTAGCCAAGCGCAGGCGGGCCGATTATCCTGACTACGCCTGGAGAGGGGAATGCTGAAGGTATGCGTTCGTGCGATTTCTGAGTACTGTTGTGCTAAGGTACTCTCTCACAGGATCTGAAGATTTTCTGGTGAACTCTACGATAGACGGCATGATCGCTCAGGAGCTAAGCGGGGCAACGATCGTATTGGAGCACCGATACTATGGCTTGTCAAATCCATACAACAACCTGTCTGTCGCGAGTCTCCAATACCATACGATACAACAAGCAATAGACGACCTCGCGTACTTCGCGTACAATGTCAAACTGCCTATGCCTGGGGGCGACAATGTCACGCCGGACGTGGCGCCGTGGATTCTCATCGGGGGAAGCTACGCCGGCGCACTTACGAGCTTTACAAAAGTCAAGTTAGGGTTTCACTCTCCTCCTCTCAGGGATCACAAATGCTGATGATTCCTTCGGCTGTAGCAAACCTGACGTGTTCTACGCTGCATGGTCCTCTTCGGGGGTCGTCGAGAGTATTGTGTATGTCGTTTTGAGCGTATGTATCCCTCTTGCTGACAAGGATATCAGCAACTACTGGGGGTATTTCGACATTATCCGGAAGCATATGCCACAGAACTGCTCGTCCGACGTACAGGCTGTGATTGGGCACATCGATGATGTCTTCACGTCCGGAAACGATACTGCCATCACTGTGATCAAGGATCTTTTCAACATGAGCCTTACGCATCTTGACGACTTTGCTAGTGCACGTAAGTTTCTATCTGACATCATTTGGCGTATCGAAGAGTGACACGCGCCGATAACTGTACAGTGCAAAATCCAATTTGGGAATGGCAAGGCCTCCAGCCGTCATCTGACCTTTCGGACTCGCTGTTCTTCCCCTTCTGCGACGCACTAGAAGTGAAGGATAACCAAACTGCACCGCCCGAAGGCTGGGGGCTTGAAAATGCGCTGAACGCGTGGGCAGGATTCTGGCAAGAGACATACTATCCTTACTGTGAGCACATCCGTCCAAAACGTCCAGACATCACACCGGACCAACTAACCATGTGTTTCGTTCAGTCTGCGGCGATGAGGATGCTGAGTGAGCCCTGATTGTCGGTGATCCGCAGAAATGGTGTTGTCTGACGTTTATTACAGAACATGTTTCGGAACATACAATGCAAGCTCGGCGTACTACACCGACCTTGCTGTCAACAATGCTGATCGCTCGTGGAATTGGATCGTGTATGTTCATTACTGCCCGATCATCATCCGTTAACAAACGTGTGGACTGATAACACTTGGCATGCAGCTGTAATCAAATGGGCTTCAACCAGGATGGGGCTCCTGATGGTGTGCCTACCATTGTGTCTCGCTTGATCCAGCCTGACTACTGGGAGGTAAGTCATACAGTTCTGTGGTAGTCCTTCTGGCAAGACCTAACTAACCACACAACACACTCCCAGCGCCAATGCGTGCTCATGTTCCCAGAAGCATTCAGCTCCCCGCCGACACCGAGGGTGAACGAGACAAATGCTGCATACCAGGGCTGGTTTGTAAAGTCTGATCGGCTGTTCTTCGCGAACGGAGAGAGTGAGTGTCAGTTTGGTCTCTGCATATCACACCCCTTACTCGTACGGTACGCTGCACAGGGGACCCTTGGCGTGATGTGACCATCTCTGCTGACGGGACGGACTTCAAGAGCACCAGCACGCAGCCCATTGTGATGGGCGATGGCTTCCACTGCTCGGACATGTTTGCCCCGAACGGGGAGGTTGACTCGACGATTGCTGCCGTTCAAGCGCAGGGCTTGGCCACAATGAAGTCTTGGCTGGAGACATGGGAGCCGCCAACTCGTCGATAGCCATGATCTCAGAGTCGTTATGGATGTATCTGACATTAACAACAGCATAAGCAGTAGCCTCACTCGGGACGTTTTGGGCCATTTGTACGAGTTTAATACAATACTCGGTAGATTCACAGGGACTGGGACGTCTGTATCCTTCACGTACTTATTTACCTTCAGAATCATGCTTCGTATCAGACGCTCTCAGAGAAGAACAAAGAGTGATATGTATTCGGCAGAACTACGCTATCATACTAGTGGATGCCTTCCCGCAGGCTTTTCAGTGATTCTAAATGCATGCGCGGGCCTTGAATTGTATGGTTAAGGAATGTTTATCTGCAGTGCGCCTCCGTAGCTCCACTCAAAATCCATGGACACTACCTTGCGGAGTTCAAATGATGCCGCGCTGCCGTGGTGGCACAACGTTACCGTCGCGTAAGACACTCAGGCTGGCTGTGCGAATGTGTCTGTATATTTTCAAGCATAGATATCTCACTGACTCGCATGTTCCATGGGCGAGGCTTGTCTGCTGTCATTGTCGAGCTAGACCGCTGCGAGACGGCTTCGTCGAGCGAATATGCTACGAGGTAGCGTCGTCGCGTGGACTCGGACTCGCATGCTAGTATGAGACGGCTTCGTCAAACGAGCACACTCTGAGCACACTACACGACGGAAGTACGCTACAAGACGGTATCATCGCTCGAAGCGACTCGTCACGTAGAAACGTCATCACTCAGAGGAGGCATTACATAGAAGTGGCATCGCGCACAGGCGGCATGGGGGCGGGTCTCCAGGGTAGCGCGTAGGTCAAGGGTATATGGCATAGTTTGCATGCAGGTCCGGGCGGTGCACTTGGCACGGCAAACCCAGAGCCCAGAACCGTACGGCAGTGTTATCACATAGTTTCGTTGAGCAGGCTTCTGTGTTGTCGAGGGGGCACTAACCAACGCCCCTCTGTCGACACCATCGACGGGTTAAGCGCCGTCTTCTGACCATCCCGGCGCCCATCCACTCAATATCCCCACAATTCCCGCTTGTTTTCGTGCGAATACGGCGCAGAGCACAGTCAGGGTGCGACGCGCGGGCGCGACGGTAAGATCCAAATCTCGTCGGAGGCTCAAACTCAACTTTACGGACGTGTTTTGTACCTAGAAGGGGGGGTCCTACCCCCCTTCTAAATGAGCTGTTTAGAAGAGAGGTGTACTGATCCGAAGCAACGGTACTCACGAGATGCCGACTTGCCGCAGACATTTACAGTGCGAATTTAGGATAGAACGCGCTGTAAACCTCTGCGGGAAGGCATCCAGTTGCGGCTTTGAATCGGGCTCCACTGTACGGTCACATGCAGTCTACCCAAGTACGCTTCACCCTTGCGCTCTTCCTCTTCGCTCGCCAGATCTATTTGTATGCGTCCACCGTGCGCCATCCCAAGATGACTTACGGATCCTACTAAGTACTCTTCTGCGTTCAAGCTCGCCTTGCCACGTGGCGAAGGAAGGATTGTCTTGTCTACAGAGTCATAGGGCCGCTGGTTGCATCGACCCAGATTGACCCCAGTTCCCACAAACCCGGGCTTGGGTCACGATCATCATGGTGTTTCAATTTCTGAGCGTCCGGACTTTCTGAGCTTCAGCTTCAGGACATTGCCTGCGAACGTAGGGATCCAATGAATCAATCCCGACAATGCTACAATGTAGTATGACAATGTAGTATGTAACTTCTACAACATGTTGGACTACATCCCATGACATCCCGCGACCGAAGCGCGTGAGTAGCTCTATGCGGATTACACATAATACATACAGACATTTGCGCTTCTCCTAGCCTCCTGCCGCGCGCTGCAAGCAGCTGCGGAACGAAGGGACGCCCAGGCGCGGATTCTACACCGTCAGATCCGAGCCTGTCACCAAGAAAAGCCATAAAGAGAGGATAAATAACTCGTGTCGCGCGGAGACCGATATTGTTGAGATTGAAATCTATGGGGCGTTGACGTGTGCACCACCGGGGGGCGCGGTCGTTGCGTGAGGACGTGAGGACGTGTCTTATGTCCACGTCCACGTCATGCCGTGGAGACGGCCCAAGGACTCCGATGCGAGCTGCGAAAACGCGGAAGGGCTGAAGTCGAGGTTAGTGACGGCGCAGCCGACGCAGCGGTCGGTGACAGTGACAGTGACCGAGTTGCCGTTGTCTAGATGAGCAGTATGCCGTGAGCCTGTGCTGTGTGCATCCACAAGAATGAGGGGACGTACAGTTGGCCGTGATCTGCTTGTTGCAGACGGGGTTGTTGCTAGGGTTGATACCGTTGTATCCACTGCCATACGTCGGGTTAATGACTGCAATATTACAACGGAACAATGAGAATACTAACGGGTAGTTGTCGAAGAGATCTTCGGACACTGCCACAATGTAGTCGCTGTCGACGTTGTTAACACCGCAGGCACCCAGGCCGGTCTGGTAGAAAGTACCTAGGTGGTATAGTGATGATCAGCCCTCATTGCTCACGACACCCGACATGTGAAACCTTACCATCACCAGTCTGAGTACCAGATAACCAAGAGGGGTCTGAGCTGGAGGCATCGGACGTCACAGTGGTGGAAGCAGTCAACGTCTCAGGGCTGGAGCCGGAGGTGGCGTTGGTAGCACGGGGAACGGCCATTGCTAGGGCAGACACGGCGAGGGCGAGAGCAACGACAGCCCTAGTGAAGAACATAGTGAATGTCAGAGGAGAGTGAGCGGAACGGCGAAAAAGTGCGGTGCGAGAGGTGTCTAGGACAAGAGGACGAGGGAGCCTGAGGACCGGGCAGAGACAGGTAGGTCTTTTATAGTCAGGAGGGGGCCAGACTTGAGCCGGCTAGAGGTGGCTTTGACCGAGACAAGGGAAGACGGCATAAGCAACAGCATGCTAGCTGTGGACGTAACAACCGGAGGACAGGTGTATGTCAGGCGCGAGAGGCAATTTTGAATTTTTCGGGGGTTCTTTCTCCTCGCAAGTAATTGCCCGACCGGTATGCGCAGTCTCCACCAGCCGAGGTGGCGTTGTCTAAGTGATAGCCTTGTACTGCCTTCAGGCTTCAGGATTCGCTCCTAAGTCGCGAGGCGCACGATGTTTGAATCACAAGCGCCCAAAATCGCCGAACACGAGCGGGCATAATGCGGGATGACAGCACGGGCGACGCCTTTTCCCCAACGACGAACGACGTCAGACGGTCGGTGAGCACTTCGACGATGGACTGAATGGAGTATTGAGTGGGCAAAGGCGCAATACTTCCCATATGCACGGCAGTAGACGTAAACCAACCGCCAATCAGGTTACCAACGAACGGTGCGAAGGTTTGTAAGCTTTTGGGTTCGACCGAGGAACAAGTCAATTCGCACAGAGGCCAGAGCGGTTCGTCTCAATTCTGGTGCAATTGTCAGCACCGTAGCAAGTGTCGAGTCCAAAACAAAACTCGTCCGCGTGTTCTCCACGACATACCGAGACGGCCAGGAGAGTTCCTTGTCCGGTCCTGATGCATGTGGAAACAGTCACAGCCCTTTCAGCGATGACCGCTCTGCAGATGTCCGCAGCTGGGTGTCCGTGGACGCTGCGCGCGCGTGCATCGCTGGGGCCCGGGGCGCTCAACGGACGGCGAAGGCGTTCTACGCGCTGTACATCGCCCCGGAGCGACTCTCGAGCGTGATGTGGTTGCTGCCATGTTCGGTGCAGGAATCAAACGTACCGCATGATGTGGCACGATGTCATTGAGAGAGAAAAGTGTTCCGTGGAGCCCGCCAGTAACGAACGCGAGGTCGCCACCATACACCTGGACTGCTACACCGGGTATTTGTCCCTCGTAGGCAGATGCTAAGGAAGACCTCTTTGAGTGAGGGAGAGGACAGTCTTCTAAGGACCGGGTATGAGAAAATCCCAGCACATTGACACTGCCCCACGGCTTACCAAAGGATTTCGCCCACCGTTCGTCACGAGCATACGTGGAGCTCATGCCCAGCAACTCAACTCAACTTGAATGAACATTTCCCCAACGGATCTGAGTCGAGGCCTCTGAGGAACCGCGCAGGTGGAATGGATTGAAGCCATCGGGTGCATAGAGCCCATACCCTAGAATGAAAGATGCAGGCACCAACGAGTCCCACCAACCAGTCGATCTCGAGAAGCAACCGTTCATTTCATAGAGAGCAAACAGCGAACGTGCGATGTTCGAGCGTTGGAGGAAAGCTGCCCTCCCCAGGCCGGGCAGACGACGCAGGGATGGACGGAGAATGCCGAGAGCGCTCGTTCAAGCGCCCGCATCTCGGACATAACAGTGATAGTCCTCCCTCCCTTCGGGAGGAGTCGGGGATTCCGGTCTGCGGGTCGCGAGCATCAAGTCGTTCACTTGCATAGGCAACAAATCAACGGGTCTTTACCCTCAAAAGCTACCTGGGGACAAGGATTGAGTTCGAGCGACGCGCTGCGCCTGCGGTCAACGGAGTTCTGAACATGTGCATCAACAGGGGTGGCGTGGTCAGTGACCATGTCGTACTGCCCTAACCACCGGTACTGCCAGTGCTTGCTTGAGTACCGTGCCGAGTTCAGACGTTCGAACAAGTGACGCCAATGCTGCATCTGCCAGTGCGCAGTAGTATCAGTGGGTGTCAACTGTGGGTGTCAATTGTGGCTAGACAGCGGTCGCAACGGTATTGACCTCAGGCTGTTATGCATCTGGTATACCCCAGTGAGGCTGTGGCTCCCGAACCCACACTGCCCGGCAGGATGAGCACAGCACTGTTGCATGCATACACGCGCAGTATGTCCGAGTCGTCAGCGCGTTCAAGCGGATACTCCTTCGACTAGGCAGTTGATCCTCGAAGGTTGTGTTTCCACAATGGACAGCACAGCGGCTGCCGAATGTCAAAGATGCGGCACATGGACGCGATTGCGAGGGCTTCCAATGCCCCGTGAAACTTTCGCGCATTTTGTTGTCCCGCACGTCTAGCATCCCCGTCCGCAGGCGCTTGTGTCCGCGCGATAGCAAGGTTCTTTGCCCTGCATACTGGCGTCCTAGCGGAGCGCATCATCGCCAGAGGCATCTGCGAGGGCACCTAAAATGAGTACAGTGTAGCGAGCGAGAAGAGGGGACAGTGAGTGTTGGATCCATGGCTGACTGGGCAGAGACACTCATGGCAGATATAATATCGAGGCGGGCTGAGGCTGGTGTCGACACTCGATCTCTTTGGCTGCGCTCTGCAGATTCGCTGCGCGTCCTTTTGGGCGCGCGCGTTCCGATATGCCTCTGCTCATCGGGAGATTTCAGGTCCGGAGCCATTCGGCCTGTAAAAGCGACTACGTGAGCTGAGCAAAAGCCTCATTACATTTCGCGCTCTATACATCGCCCGCCAGGCGACGAAGCCGCCGCGGGAGAGAGTAGCCCTGTATGAGCTCGCGCTCAACGGTTACCTGGCAATCATTAACGTTGTTAACCCTTCCGTGCTGTTCCTTCCACTTCGGTGCAAACTTTCCATTCGGATGCACGGGTGGCTTGCTGGTACCTGTGTAGTATACCGCCGTGCGCACCACCCGATGCTCTGCATTGCTCCGGCGTCCGGGCATAGCATACGTCCAGTTTCAACAGGTACGCAAACGGAACAGAACCGGCACCCCTAACGAAATCCTTCAATATCACAGACTGCTTGTCTCAATGTCGACTCACAAACAAAATGATGGATACAAGCTACGAGAGTCTCCTGTCGTACATCGTACATTGCGCTCGCCAACGACACCGGAACCGCAACTTCGAGCGACGTCGACGACTATGATTCCTTCGTTCAACGAGGCGGACATCGCTGCGCTCGATCTGCTACCGCACCTACCTCCGAGGACGAGCGTCCAGCCCGCGGATCATGACCTCTTCGAGGTCTCTTCGAGTTCCATCAACACTGCAAATACAAAATCTGCCAATGACATCCCTCTGGTGAGCCATCATTATTTGCAATCGTTACGGAGTATGTACTCACCGATACGGTGGATTGTCGACCATAACCTCAGCACGGTCGGGTTGAGGTAAACATTGCTACTGCATCGCCGGGCCCGGGAATGGATGATTCGGATAAGGAGAACCGGCCAGTCTTCCTGTTCGGTCATTTCCTCGTCAAGCAGAAGGGAGACATCGCGACCACGCCGGTCCATATCCAAGAGCCTGACCACCTGAGGGAGCGGAGGAAAGAGAGGAAGGAGTTTGCTGAGCGGCGGGACTTTGTACAAGACACGGAGCCTCCCGTTGAATCCACCTCACTAACGAGTGTATCAGTCGAAGCGACTTCTCCCGGGACCACCCCGCTCATTTCCAGAACAGACGACGTCGTATCGACGCACACAGAGCAGGGACACTTCTCGCTCGATACACCACGGATGTCAGTGCGGCTGGACGATCTCACGGACGTCCTGGGTTTCCACGTGCTGGATGAAGAGAGCTCATAGTGGTCGAAGATCGGATGGCGGGGATCCTCGATGGATGAGAGGGAGGACAATGGTATCCTTGTATAACTGTCTTCCGGAGCATGGGGCCCAGTTGGCTTGAGCGAATCGGAGGAGGAAACGTTCCTTGCGATCCATCAATGGTATCCATGTACTTATTGCACATGTCGTGTCCATTATATAGGTCAATCAATCTGTCTCTTTGATCAGGAACTGGACAGTCATCACATTGCAGCAACGCACCAAAGTGGCTTCAGTCTGGGGTAGTCACACGATGACGTCAAACGCAGGGTACAATCTTTTCTGCATGTCGCCCGAATAGCAACACTCGCGGTCACCTTCCGTCATCTCTCACCCGTGCATCACCTTCGCGGACATCGTACCGCGCGCGACGGTCCGTATCCGCTGTCTGTAGTCATGACACCCATTAGCGTGGTTGCCCAGATGTTCGATGAAGGCATTGACAGCTTTAGTTGGGACGTGATGGAGTCGGGGAGAATAAACGTACGGTGTCGGTTGACGAGGCGGTGCCATGGAACCGAGGCCCGGGTGGGGGTGACGCGTGCAGGGGACTGATCAAAAGTGGCATTCCTTTGGTGTGTCGCACAGTCTTCCTTGGCACCTAATGCGCTCGTTATATGGTCGCCTTTCCTGCCACAATTGAATTATACGGTACGACTGGGGACTAGTGGAACCGTGGAGTAGCGAACCACACGCTCATCGAGTGTGGGTGAAGCATAAACGCCATCGGTCTCGGATGCTTGGGAATGTGCTGATGACGCACGGCGTTTCGAATAGGGTGTCAAAAACTCGGTATAACCTGTAAGACGTCGTAAGTGGCCAGTAAATAATCTCGAACAGCTACGCACTCGGAATGAATCCAACCCGATCAGAACCAAGCGGCTGGTACACTTCCTCATATACGGCGTGCGGTCCTAGTCACGACGCTAATCAGTTGGATACACCACCGAACCGCTATGTCACGCCGGATAGCGCACAAGGATATTATCTCACCACACTCTATGCGTTTGCGCTGAAGGCCAAGGCAGGTTTCAAACCACGGCGTATGTGCGACTAGAGTGACTGCACCCCTCCAGCTGACTAGAAGCAGAGCAACAGGCTCTATCCAGCGACAGACGCTGGCCTGCTGGAAGACATCGACACACAACGCATGACATTATCACATCAGCGAGCCACCGCTCGCTCTCGACGTATTGAAGCCTGTCGCCCCAATGTTTTCCAGCGATCTCTGCTGCTCGATACGTCAACTGGAGCAGCACCGACGTGAAGTGGGCACGAGGGCCCGAAGGAAAAGACATATACCCTGGATCGATTGCATTGCAAGCTGAGCCAGTGTCGACCAGCGTAGTACATACCGCATCGCGCCGCCAAAGGGGCGCGTCAAGAGTCGCGGGGACGCCAGAACCAGAAGATCGGTAAGGGAGCGTTCAACAATATTGCGGCCGTCATACTGGGTTTTATCAGGGAACCGTGTTGAACACTGCGATTCGTCTAGTCAGGACCCACTTTCCACACCAAATCCAGATACCTCATCTGCATGTGCGCAATACACAGAAGACAGGACGCAACCAGGACGCAACGCAGTACTGCATTCAGGTTGACCGTCTGATGCTTGTTGGTAAGCAACTGAACTGTCGAGCTGCCTCAGGCTGTATGAGCCCTATCTGCGCAAGGCTGAGACCAAAAAATGGGCATGCAGAGATCGTCCCTTTAGAGCAAAGACAGTGTCATCGCCGCGCGATGATGAGAGAAGGAGAGGGAGAAGACACATGATGAGCGCTTGAGCATTGAGGACGATAAACCTGTACAATGCATATGTCACATGACCCATAAACTCGGGGGCCTCATGGCATATTATTATCGCGTTGCGCGCCGATGCGCGGATGGGCTTCGTCCACTCGCGCCTTGTCTTGCTCTCACACACCCAGCCATGTCTGGAAGCAACGCAAGGACGCCTCCGCCTCCGTATACCAATGACAATGCAGAAGAGTTGAAGAAATGCTTCGCAACGCTTTTGAATGACCAGCAGGAGATACAGAAACTATTCAAGTCCGTCGCCGGCCAACTCGAGACAACACCGCAAATCGGCGAGCATCACCCTCTCACCGAGGAGTGGAATACGTTGCGTCATGTGAGCTGCGTTGGGAAGCCTAGATGATTGCGAGACACTCAAGAGGCCGTGTTTTCTAGAGACACCGGAGAGTGTACCGTGATTCCCAACACAACGCCTCGCAATGCGCGAGTTTCCTCCACAGTACGTCTCGACCACTATCTTGGCATGCAACTCATAATTTAACCACCACAAAGACTATGTCGAGGTGGTCATCCCGCTTTCACAGTCCAAGATGCCCATCCGGGAGAAGAAGGTCATGGTCACGCGGTTCCTTGAGGTACGAGTGTGTATTCGTATTTTGGCAACGTCGCGCTAACGTACAGATAGGCTATCGCGATACACCAAGAGAACGCGAAGAAGTCCGCAGACAAGTTCAGCGAACTCGGCAAGGGTGTCGAGACCTTCCAGCTCAAGATCGCTGCCGCGCTTCGGGGCCAGGCGGAATCGCAGGGCTTCTTCACGAAGGTTTGGTCGGGGCTCGAGGAGTGAGAGTCTACGCCGTGTTCTCGCTTTATACGCAACGTACTGAGGCAGTTGCAGACTCTGCATGTCGATCTGGCAAGCACTGTACAAGCTCCTGACACAGCTGGTCAAGACGTTCCAACGCCTCCTCTCCGGCATCAACTCCGTGCACTTCTCCCTCGGGCCCCTCCGCACTGATATTCGCTTCCACCCATGTACGTCCTTGCACGAGCATGTCAGGTCTTGACTAACTGCATCACTGCATACATAGACTCGGAGGTCCAGGATGAGCTCAGAATGGGTCCGCGGAGTACCGTATCGCAGGTCAAAGACGACTGCCGCGAGTTGACGGAGAAGCTCACAGCGTTCGAGGAAGCCTGGGAGATCGTCAAGCTCTCGTGTGCCGATCTCCTCATCAACCTCGCCATGGCGAGGTCCATGACGGTCTGTGATCGTTAGATATGAGTATCCACTTCGAAAACTGACATGTATGTGCAGGCGGTGCCCGCCGCGTTCGACTCCAACGTGCGGAGCGCGCAGCGAGTATACTCGCCCCTCGTCGAGTGCATGCGCGCCTACTCGCAGAACCGATCGCCAGAACTCTAATAAGTTGCTCGAGCCCAGACAGGCCGACACGCTCGTTTCCGACTCCGCATTATGAGACTCACCTGCCCTGGACGACTCCCACTGTAACGCCTTTAATGATGACCCAGTAACGGTCGAGCGGGTCTGCGACCTGCTGTATTATGTATGTACGTCCCACTGTTTCTTGGAACCCTGAATGTATGCCTTCCGGATGTTGTCTGTATACGTTCCAGTCCGGCCTCCGTAACGCTGCCTTACCTTCTGCGTCACGTGCCCATGACAAACTGGGCGTCGTTGGTATAGCGTTGTTGTTGTTTTCGACTCACCGAACGCTGACGAATGCAGAGCGATACCTCTCTACGAGCTACGTGCAGGTATGTCATCCGCCAGTAGCTCTGACATTGCTAACATGCAGGTGAGATTACCCGAGAGCCACTCACGCTCAGTTCGGTGTGACAGAACCAGCTTCATTTACACCGCGCTCTCTCACAGCGAGTGAGATACTACGAATCTGAATACATGTGTGACTTACAATTAGACCCTAGTAAGTAAGTAATCCTGGCTCCGTAATAATCTACCAGCTTGACGATGAAACTCCTAGCCAACTCCGCTTTGTCCCAGCCTCCCAGGACCGCTGCCCAAATCCGGCGATCTATGGCTCGAAATTGCTTTGTTCTACAGCTAGGCCAGTTCGCGAAATGCCGAGCGTCCGGCCACAGTCACGAGCAGAGGTCAGCTCTTCTCGCGTTCCTCGATCTTGCACTTTCATTTCTCCCATCGCGATGAACCCCAACGCTCCCTCTTTCGTTCCTCATGCCCGTCTACGAGAATCTGTTACGCCTAGAGCACGTCCCCTTTCGATCTCAAAACCAAAAGCAAAACCGGCACGACCCAATGGTACCGCCACGCTGTACAACCCACCGGAGACCTTGCTCCAGCCCACGATACCAAGGCTCAACTCAGCGACGGTAGAGGCTCGGCAGCGCCTGCTGCAAAGCCTACTCTCCACGCGCTCCGAGAGCGTCACGCCACGCCCGACGCCTCCCTCCGCTTTAGCACATGTACCGCCTACCCGGCCACATTTAGCACCCATGGCAACACCTGCACCGGAGCCACCTCCAACACCGTTCAACGAACCTCCACCTGCACTACTGGCGCTCTTCAGCGCTATCCAGGATGCAAGGGCCACCGCACCTCCGAGCACGCCCACGCCCGTACCCGCCTCCTCCGCCTCCTCCGCCCAGTTGCTCTCGGCCCTCGCGCGAGTCGAGACGCGACTCTCGCAGATGATCGCGCAACGGCTTGAAGGGGAGGCACAGGCCCGGCGGGGCACGCCTGTGTGGGAAGTGCACCTCTTCGAGTCGTCGCGCTGGTGGAAGGTCCACGCTGAGCTTCTTCGGCTCTCGCATGATGTGTACGAAGACCCGTCAGACGAGATGAGAAGCGTGTTCGAGCGGTGCGTCGATTCTTGTGTCGTGTGCAATGCGTTGACTGTGCTATGGGTGGTGTGGGGACGGCGGGGGTGACGTGCATGAATACTGACTGATATTTTGGTAGCAGGCTTACCTGGCAGTTGTGCATGAACATGCCTGGCGAGGCGGGGGAGAAAACCAGGTCCGAACTTGAGAAGTCCACTTGAGATGGTTGTTCGTCGCCTGTCGTGTGCTTGTAGATATCTTGTATACGTATGATCCTTCCATCCACCCCATTACTGACGCGCAAGGGCCAGATCGTCGTCGTTATCTACTCACCAGCTGTTATCCGTCCACGAGTTGCTTTGCATCCTGTGTTTCATTATTCGTCCTCTTATTCTGTCTCGCTCTGTCGCCGCTCTGCTCGATGTCGCTAGTATAGTTATGACTGATACGTCTCTTACTTACGCTCACGACCCTTGATGCAATCGCGATGACTTGTTACGCTTTGCGGTTATAATAGTACTTGCTACAAATTCAGTCGAGACGCCAACGTATTCAACCATGCAGTGTTGCATCGGTGAGGTGGTGGCAAACAGGTGGCGGCAAACGGGATGTACTCGCCTGCTGTTAATACATCGCTGCGCATTATCTCGAAAGGCGGGGACTCTTGTGCAGTGGTCGGGTACGACAACCTGCCTTCCGATCGGGTGCAAAGACGTCGAGGCACCCACAGTACAGTACTGCATAAGGAATGCAGACCAAATAACGCGTACACAACGCGTCGCCAGCCACCCAATAGACGCGGGGACTCGGAGTGTGCTGCTGTACCACTGCATATTTTTCGATCGCTCCGTTCAGGATACAAGGCACTAGTTGGTATCTCAGCCATTTTTCAAGCCTGTAAAGCGCAGGACTGAACCTTGAGGCTAGACATAGACACAGCAATCTGCCATGCCGTTGGGCACCGCGCTGCAATGAGATGTATGAGCATGCCTAAGAGTTTCACATGTTTGGATCTCAGCCCTTTCGTGAGGACATGCGATCGAGGTGTGAAATACGTCGAGCATCTGCGGAAGGCTGTAAGGTAATACGAGCCTCGCCTAGGGCAGTGCGGCGGTAGCACAGCATAGGCTGGAGGATCATGGAGGTAGAGTCGAAGTCGCTCGGCACTCTGCGAGTGGCCACCTTTGGCGCCCGAGTACAAAGGGCTCAGCCACGCGCGGTTCGCTTTCTCTCTTCGCTCATTATCATCGACGTCCCCTCCTCCCGGCGTTGATCTCCTTCACAACGCTCACAAGCCTTCGCTATCCCGACATCAATAGCACCGCATCTCGTGTCTACAGACATGGATACCAATTACCAAGCTATCGTCGCGAACACGGAAATGGTGGACGCCGCTGCCAATGGATGCATACTAGACTCCTACGACGCTGCCATCCTCGAGTTCGTCGACGAGGCATACATCAGAGAGTTCTCTCTCCTGCCGCACCTCTTCGAGATGAATGCTGGGCCTCCACAACCCGATGCCTACGAGGCCGTGTCTCCGGTTGCTATAAGCACACAAACACATACGACCGAGAGCGACAGCAGCAGTCTGGTAAGCCATTGACTCGCATTCGTAGATGAATGTGTACTTACTTGTCTGTATAAGCTGTCCCTCCGGGACAACTCCACTGGTTTGGGCCTCAACTCCACCGTCTCCTTGTCTCGCATGGACGATCGCGGCGATGCCGACTGTGCCGCCGCCCTGTCAACATACGACTTTCTCGGCATCGATCCTCCAGTTCATGCGCCCACACGCACTACGATCCCCCTCCCCGGGTTCGCAGAATGGAAGGGGGAGGACGAGGAGTTCACCATGTGGTGGGATCTCCTACGAGAGATGGAGGCGGCCGACGAACCTGCCCCGGTGGCAGACATGCTCCTCGATGAGTCTGTGCTCGAATGCACTCTGCTGTTCGCCCCATCGGAGGGCGCCGAGTCACTCGACGGAGGACTTGAGGGTATCCTGAGCGGCGTGGGCCTTCGCGGGCTGGAGATATGATCGTCGAGAATCAGACGGCAGAGCGGTGATGGAGGTAGCAACGGTTGAGACGAGGGTCACTGTCTGTACGGAACTGCAATATCTATGGTCGGATCACTTGGGCAGACGCAGAGACGGGGGGGCGTGTATTGCCTTGATTTCACGACATTAATTCATGTACTTGTTCTTTGTGTCGCGTGCAAGCGAATGGCCTAGTAATTATAACACTGATCAGTAAGTAAGTGAGTCAACCATACAACTGACCGGCGTGGCTTCAGCCTCGAGGCAGGTGCACGGGACGACAAAGGCATGGTAATGGTACCGCTCTCACGGCATATTGCGAGCGCCCGAACACAAAGGACCATCCGGAGTCGCGTCTCTCTTCTGTCGTCGCACTCACCTGTGCATCCCCATCGCCTATCCCCCGTCGTCGTATCGCGCACGATTGAAATGCATCCGCCGTCGGCAGTCATGACACTCGACTCCGAGATTGCTGAACCTGCCGCTTCAATTATGCAGCCCAACGCCACGCAAAGCATGGGCTCCCTTCAGCCCTCCGACGCGACGTCGCGGCGGAATGTCTATAAGAAACCAGTTCCGAGGTATCCTCCAGGGATACCTATTCACAATGCCGCGCAAAGCACGGGATTTCCTCAGCCATCCAACGCGACGTCACAGCAGGCGGCCGGACAGAAGGAAGTCCCTCGGTATCCTCCAGGGATACCAATTCGCCACGTCATGCGGGGCATGGGCTCCCTGCAGCCCTCCGATGCGATGTCGCGACAGGAGGCAGAGAAGAAGCCGATTCCAAGGTATCCTCCGGGGATACCCATCCCCGCTAATCGCCGCGGACATCATCGCCAGGAATCAATGAAGTTCTCATCTGCGAACTCTTGGAGTTCAAAAACAGTTACGACGGAAAACAACCATGCGGGCAAGGTAAGCTATTGGTAGATTCAATCGTAACTGAATTTGTACTCACCAATACTATCGCAGCGTGTTCCCTTGTCCGTTGACACACACAACTTCTCCGATGGTGCATTCATTGCCAGGAGTTCAGCTCCGGCAGAACCGTCTTTCCATACTGGTACTATTCTGAATTCAGTATGGGTCGATACTCCACGCGTCGGGCTGCAGCATACGACGCACACGACGACCGGCCTTCTCGAGCCTTTCAGGAACGGAGGCGACATCCTCAACCCTGCGTGGGTCAACAACCCGTGCGTAGGTCAGGGCCAGGTAGCCGGCGCGCACGCGCACCTACTCGAGGCCTTCAGACTCGATCCTACCCGCGACCCAGCATACGCAGGAGGCCTGTGCAGGTGGGGCGACAGAGCAGCGCCACGAGGCGTGCCTCCCAAGTCCCCGATCTACGAGTACGGTCAATCGGACGAATATGACTGGGCTGTCGCAGTCAGTACGTACGACCACCTTCACCTCGAAGACACGCGGTTCGCAATGGACTTCTTGGATATGTGGAAGTACGAGTCGGAGGTCTTCAGAGAGTTGAACGAAAAGTGGGTCCGAGAGGCGCTGGTCGCGGACGAACGGCCGGAGGAAGAACCCATATTGCTCAAGGAAATTCACTTCGACGGGAGCACGGGGTTGCTCCTGGCCATGGCAGGCGATGCTACGGCGGACGGACGTTCCGGAGGCACGTCGTCCAGTGAATTCCCATCGTTGCCGGTCCTGGACGACATCATTCCGGGGCTTGTCGGCTTGGGCGAGACGTTCGAGGAGGAGCGACGAGGCTGAACTCGACAATGTTGGTCGACAAGGAGTGGAGAGAAGGGAGCTGTTGAGGGAGTGTTGCGAGATAGAGATTGAAGAAGGATGGCGATCGCGTTTTAGGGGCTGAAGGTGCCTCGTGTCGGACTGTCTTGTACTTGGGCTGTTATTGTCTGTACCATTTCTCGGCAACACAATTCTCCGCATTGGTATCGTTGGATAATGGCTGAGTTGTCGAGCACGACAACAACTACACTGCGACTGTGCACCTGCGTGAACATCGGGCATGTTCTTTCAGAATGAATGCTACGCACCTACGTCCCTCGCTACGTACGAGTGGTGCTGAGATCCGGTGGACAGCAAATCAACTCAGTACGTTGTTTCTCCCGTGTAGTACGTCTTATTACCTTGAACTAACTTGCATTCGTCGGTTGCCTGATCACTGTCGATCCTGGATAACGCGACTGAGCTGTTGTCTGAGAGCACCTGCAAGCCATATTCCGCCATCAGCCTGTGAACACAGTGCATCCATCAGCGTAGTATTGACCTACTCAGAGGACCGGAATGTCCATCCACGCCAGGCTGTCCATAGGCCCGCCCACGACTGGAGCCACAAACGCGTAAGCGCCCGATGTAAGAGGTCGCCACCATGGTTGAACTCGATCTGTATGTACACTCTTGTTGTTATCTCCCCACGATAAATCCTGTCCTGCAGTACAAGGAATCAACACACGCCCTGGCCAACTTGACAATCCGCCATCAGCTAACGATGCACATAGCATACTTACAATCACTCACCAGACGCAACGCGGGCGCGAGCCTCAGGCCACGAATACGGCGGTGAGTCAACCATCTGTCATACTGCCTTCAGCCACCGGATCGCAACATGGCAGCATAAACATGGGCAGCAAGGAGACGCCTATGAAGCCCTACGACATTGAAGACGTCGTTCGGGGAACCAACGCCACTCCGCCCGGTGTGTCCACGGCCCAAGTGTCGATTCCCTGATGCCCCGCACGTGCCGGCCTATGATATGATGCGCTTCGTTATCTCGTCAGAGATGGTTGAAGAGTCAACGCCAGCATCACTGTCGCCGCGGCACTCAGACCCTCGCACCCGGTGAAGGTCGATAGGGCTACCAATTCACGATCGTTGACTAGGATGGGAGGTCTACGGCGATGGTGTTCGTCTGCAAAACACAATGCAAGATACGGAAAGTAGAATCGCCCAGTAAGTGATTGTCTGTGAAATCGTAGTTGGCTTTCTGCTTACCTGATGCATCTTCGTCGATCATACAACCAGACTACGTTAGCTGTGCTCTATGCGACCGCATCTGGATGGCCCAATAAAGCTCCAGCAGGGCTGGAGAGCATCGCTTGATGCGCCACGCCGACTCAGTTTGCGACAGGTCCGACGGTGCCACACCTGTATACGGTCATGCGGATACTATCAGGAGAACCCCTAAGGGCTCTCTGCACAACATTGTCAGTGCTTCGCGCACGACCATGATACGACAAGATTACTTACGACACTTCCAGAACCACCAACGCACGCCTTCTGGGATCGCATGTGTGTCGTCCGAGTCAAATGGATCCACAGACACGGCTTGCAGCCGCAGGGGCCCGAGGCTGACCTGCTGGCCACCCCGCCCATACCAGCGAGTACATGCGAGCACGGTGCGAGAACCGTCGATGCGATAGGGCGAAGGACAAATGTCGGTCCGTTGCGCGTATGCGACTGGATCGACTGTCCTATCTGCACGCTTCTAGGAAGGCCGACCGGATAGTAATGTAATGAACTTCTTTTCCAATGCCTTTCCTTGGAGGACATTGTCCAACGACGAATTCAAAGGTGCATCGCCAAGGAGGTCCTGTGGACCAGAAGGCGGCCTCAGACGCTCGAAGCGGAACGTGTCGAGCGTCGCTGGCTGACGGAGAGGTTCAGTCGATTTTACTGCTCGTCCCGCTGATTTGAGCCACATCAATGGGACTGATGCAGAATCCGGCCGATGTGACGGTAGCAACGACACCTCGGATCCAGCCGCCCGCGCCTCTGCGAGTGGATGGACTCCATCTGCGGATAGGCCGAGTCCACATCTACACAGCGTGCGACTGCCGTGCGACGCCCACCAAAAGGGCCACGTTAGCCACGGCCGCAGCGCAAGAAGCGGAAGTTGGGGAAGTTGAGGGAGGAATTCTATGCTGGTGCCGCCATGTTGATATAGGAGCCATGACTGGCGGCTGCGCTGCACAATTCGGTCAGGACCTGCTTTCGACCTCCCACATATATATCTCACCTGCACGTATAGGGAAGACAGCAAACAGAACGTAGCACTGCGCAAAAACTGTCATTCGATCAGTCTTCAGTGACTACGAAGCCGTCGTGAGGAGCAACGGCGAGACAAGCCGTATCGGGGTGAGTGCGAGAACGAGCTCTTGGGTGATGTGAGATCCACGACATTGATCATCCCTGGAGCAAAGGCAGCGGCGTCGCTGCACGGTCGACATGAGAGACGATGAGGAGAGACGATGAAGGCGATGTGTCGCAGATTTGGCCTGATTGACTCATGGGAGGGTGTAAAAACGCTGTATCAGTGCGCCAATTGCTGATTCGTCAATAGCGTGGCATACTGTTACTGATACGACGCCAATTGTGGCTGAAGCGCCAACAGTGACGGCCAGCTGGCATGAGCTCGAGGTGGGGTACTTCAGTCGAACAACCACACGATATACAGTCCTAGTTTCTACATACTGTCAGGAGGCTCAACGAAGTCGTGACAGGTGTGCTGAACAGTTTGTACCAGCGGCGCGCAACTTGAACGTTCCGACAGCGGAACCCGCTGGTGGCTGTGACCCGCTCCGGCTGGATACGGAAGGCGAGCCAAACAACGCGTACACAACGCGTAGCATCAACCTAGCGTCGCACGTCGATCGGTCTTATCACCCTCAAGACAACAGTGCGCTTCTGAAGACCCACTCTCTGTGTACAATATTATATTGGCACTGAAATTTGAATACGAGCCAGTGGGATCAACAGTCCATGAGCATAACATCCATGTCACTTTCTGCAGCTCAGTACTACTAATGTGTATGTTCACTGATACCTAGTCTTCCAGTCGAAACGCAGTTCGGACCTCCCGTCTGAGACGCAGTCCGTGATCCCGTTATCGTTTCCGTCAGTGGAGGGTCCATGCAGCTTCGTTAACGATGAGCAACATCGACTTCAGGATTTTTGCCTGGGCCCAAGAACAAAACTGCTACAACCGCCTAATAGAATGCATGGGAAGATGGGAAGCCGTACCGCGGACGATTTGATCGTGGCACGATCTGGCACGATGGATCGGACCAAATCAGAGTGACATGCGCGCTTCCTGACCGTACTACGAAGGTCAAAGTTCACCTCTCCGGATCCATGGTCAGAGCCCGGAGTGCCAAGGAGATGTATCGCGGTGACGATTGGATAGGATGTCCGTTTGAGAAGACAAGCGAAATATATGTGTTGTGCTGCTCGGAGCATGGGGAGCTTGCCAGCACCGCCGGCACATTGACCAAACATGCGAATACTATAGCCCAGGCTGCCGGCGTGTCGACATCACAAAGCGGTAGAGTACAGTGTTGGCCCCATTGGCAGCTGTGGTGATCAGGTTGCTCTGAATCACACCCAGGCAGGTCGGTAGCAATTTTACATCCACTCTATATTATGCTAAGTCCCGATTCCGTTGCCGTTGTATCTGTTCACCTCCCATCATAGCTTGGCTGCAGGTCCTGCCTTACCGTAGGCCCATTCGCTAATGAGGACACCCCCAATTGCGGTTGTATCCGGGAAGCCCATCGGCGCGTCGGCCGATCGCTCTCTCTCCATGCTCGGGTGCGTGGCTCCGTACTGCGTCAGAATGTCCAAGATCTCCGCCCGGGTATACCAGCGTACGTCTGAACAACCTCAACACCACCTCGTCACTAGGATGTTCGAGGTGTGCTCACCTTCCAGCTCGTTGTCTAGATCTGTTCTCGTCGGCTGGGAGGAGTCAGCGGTGGCGTAAAGACCGGCCATTAACGTAGCTGGGTACGGCTATCGTGGGTCCATCGAAGTCAGCAAGCAGTATATGCCGATATGAACAACGAACCCATGGTTGAGAGGAGTGATACTGCACGTCCCGCACTTCGATACCAGCCTCCTCCCACGTTTCGCGCTTGACCGCATCTTCAAGCGACTCTCCTGGCTCTATAAATCCGGACAAAACAGACCAGAACTTGGGTGGGAATCGTTTCTGTGCGTTTGCAGACACGTATGTGAGTCATAGGGGTAAATCATGCCGATGTTGTCACCCGTAGGTCTCACATTGCGTCCTAGCAAGAGCTTCTCTCTATGCGGGTCGACGATGGCTGTGATGACCACCATGTCTGTCCTCGGGTGGCAAAAATTATGCAGTCCCTGCCTGTGATGTCTGTCTTAACTGAGCAGTACTACGAAGGACACGTCAGATACGTACGCTGTGAGGCATGGTGTCTCCCTCTTCGCTTTCTGGACCCAGGGAAGAAGACTTGTGCAAGTACGCTTCCATCCCGCCCACTGTGAATATGCCGGAGAGCCGCAGGACGGACAATACTGGAGGCAGAATCCCGTCAGATAGAAGCAACGCTGAATGACGCCTGTGATTCACCTTGTTGCGCGCATTCCAATCGTGCATGGAACGTGCCATCGCGAAAATGTTTGCGTCTGCATAGTTGAGCGCACCCATCGCCGACCGAGGGTCCACGAAAGTCAGCTTCGCTCCATTTTTTGCTGCGTGGGAGCACTGCAGGGCCTCGTACAGTTTATCGGCATTTTCGTCGGTGACGTCGAGGGAGAAATACGCCGATCCTTCGATATTTTCGAACACGCTTGTAAGACCGGAGGCTCCCTTCGCCGTGAAATCCGACGAAGGCAATGCGCGCCTCCCGCCGGAGGGGGGCTCCTGCAGTCCGAGGAAGACGATGGGAAGCCCGCGCAAGCGCGCACCCTCTAAGGCGACGGCCTCGCTCGCTGCGACCTCGCCAACAGTCTGCCCTTGTCCGAAGAACGCCTCATGTCCTAGAAGGGGTCGCACGTCGTCCGTGGACAGCCGAGCGAGCGCCGGTGCGCTGGACCCGCGCTCAGTCAGGAGGAGTGGCCGTCCGTCATTGAAGACGAGCCATCGAGTCTCTGGTGACGGTAAGATGTTGTTCAGGAACGATTGTTGCTGGCGCAGCCATGACAGACGGTTCAGGGACTGTCCCCCAAAGAAGTTACTATGACTTTGTATCCCAACGTGTCTGTCAGAGCGTCAGGGTGTGAGGGGTTGTAGGTACTCACCTCCGGGCATGTCTGGGTAGGGTGTGAATCATCGCAGGAGCATTCAAGTTGCTGCTGGCACTAGTAGCAGAACGCATCGGCAGCGACAAGTACCTAGGTTTCAAATGTGTTAGTTGTACACTCATTGTTTTACCCGTGTACTCGTTATACGAGTCTAGGAATCGGATGTGGTCAAGAACAACCCTGGACGCGCCCACAAGCGCGAGAACATCTAAATATATAGGGCCAGCGGCGGGCAGCTGGTTCTCGCCGATCACGATCAAGTCAATACTGACGTATATATATCCAGGAAAGTATGCTGACTTCCCGGGTGCAAATGATTGCGCCGTCCGCGTTCTCAGGCTGACCTGCTATGCCGACACACCCAATGCAGGCTCTCACTTTCAAGAACATAGCGTACACATGGTCCAAACATGGGCATACTTATTCTACAACCATCTAATGATATACTGATGTTTCATAACAAGGACGCGATACAATCCGTTTACATTGCGTTCTATCCACCACCAGCTCCAATTCAAAGTCTCGTCTGACCCTGATGTCCTGGCTGAGGCCCCGCACGGCCGTACGCCCACTCGCTGATGAGTACCCCCGCGATTGCAGTGACCGGAGGGACCCTGAACGGTACTTCAGATGGTGCCTCCGCCCTCGCCTTCTTCGTTTCCTCGTCCGTCACAGCGTCGCCTGCGAGGGCATTAGCGTTGTTGCGACTCACGGCGGGGCCCTTATCCTCCTGCGCGGCAGCCAGCTTGCGATGGTCGCTGCGAGTGATGTTTGTGCCTTCCGCATGGCTCAGCACGTCGAGGACCTCCTGGCGGGTGTACCACTTTGCGTCTATAGGTAGGGAGTGAGCCAGGTGTTGACAATGCTCAAGTTCGTGGTGTGACTTACCGTCCAACTCGTTGTCCAAATCTGTCCGCAGCAGCGCGGACGAATCCGCCGTCGCGTAGAACCCGACCATGAGGTTTGCAGGGTAGGGCTGCGCAGCGCCGTCAGCTGAGCTACGACATTACAGTGCACGAGCCAAACGCACCCACGGCTGCGTAGAGTGGTACTGCACGTTCCAAACGCGCACGCCAGCCTCCTCCCAGATCTCACGCTTGACAGCGTCCTCGAACGACTCGCCTGGCTCGATGAAGCCGGCGAGGGCCGAGTAGAACTTGCCTGGCCATTTTTTCTGCCGCGCGTGTAGTGAGCTAGGAGGCCCGCATGCGGCGCAGGCGTGCACTCACGTTCCTGCCGAGCAAGAGCTTGTCCCCCGACTCGTCCACAATGGCCATGATGACGACAGCGTCCGTTCTCGGGTGCGCGAAATTATGCAGGCCCTTCCTGGAACGAGACGAAATCAATACGATCCGGCGTTCGACCGAGGCACCGATCACGTACGCAGTCTGGCACGGCTCCTTCCCCGCGTTCTCGGCCCACGGAAGGAGGGATGTGCAGGTTAGCTTCCAGCCAGCCCAAAGCGAGTACACGGGCGATCCGCACGACGGACAGAACTGCGGATCATGTCAGAGCTTCGCTTACGGCAGTGCCTAGAAGAAGCCAACCTTGTTGCGTGCATTCCAGTCGACCATGCTCCTGGCCTCCGCGAAGACAGCGGCCTCGAACGCGTCCAAGCCATTCATCGCCACCCGCGGCTCAGAGAACGCCAATCCCGCCCCGGACTTTGCGGCCTCCGTGTTCTGAAACACGCCGTCCAGGAGTTGCTGCGGGACCTTGCTGACGTCGAGCGCGAACACGGGGGTGCCCTTGATGTTCGCGACGACCCGTCCGGGCTCTGAGCTCTTCGCGCTGAAGTCGGACGACGGCAGCGCGTCGGCTTCGCCCGTCTGCGGCTCGTGGAGGCCCAGAAAGACGATGGGGGGCCCGTGGAAGCGGGCTGCCTCGAGGACGGCTACATCAGCCGGCGCAACCTCGCTCTCGAGGCGGCCTTGCGCAAAGAAGGGCTCCGCGCCCAGGAGCGACCTGACGTCCGCAGTGGTTAACCGAGCGAGGGGTCGCTTGTCCGCCGTGACGGTGTGCTGTACGAGGAGAGGCTGTCCGTCCTTGAGCACGATCCATCTTGTTGCGGCAGACAGCGCGACTGCGTTCAGGAATGCGTGCGAGGTCCGCAGCCACGATAGGCGGTTCAGGGGCGATCCGCCCATCCAGTTGACAGAGCTGTGGTCCATGAAAACGTGCAGGAAGGTTCAGTGATGGCCTGCTCACAATTCAGGCATCTGCTTCTCTGTTGATACGACGCCTGGGTTGGTGGACGGTGCGGACAACGAGAGGTCGGCGGTGCATGCCGTCTGGGATGGCGTTCAAGTCACGAATCAAATGTTCTCACCGTTCACCATGGCTTACTCACCCGCCCTCCAAACTCAATGCGGCCGCACTCATCAACACGCCTCCTCCGTCCACACTCCAGGCGTCTCGTTTGGTCAGGAGATACCCAGCTAAGGACCGCGCTGCGTATATACCACATACACCGGATTCTCTGCCACCGAGTCCTCGCTGCTGCTGCGTGTAACAACTTCTTTGTCAACTGGTCCCCAATGGCGATCCGACACTCGTCCTGCACTTGATGGTGGCGAGCAATTACGAACAAATCCTATCTGGCGCGTCCTGGTCCTATCCCATCTTACGGAACGCGGCACTCGTCGGACTGGGCGACGTGCGAACGTTGGCGCACACGAACAGCATGCTGGACACGCTGCGGTGGTGCAGATGCGGCAGCTGGTGTTCTCGCCCTGAAACATTGACCGCATCTACCGTATGTACCTAGAGTTAAGCTTCTTCTGTGTGTTATGACTCTGGCTTGGGAACGGTTGCTGGAGGGAACTGCGCTGATCTCCCGGTCGCTTGCTTGAGCTTGTAACAGGAGATTTGCCGCCGTCACACGCCCGAGTCAATGGCCCCAGACTCGTCGTCGCCCGCATTGTCCGCCACATGCAGGCCGTGTCGCCCGGCCGCCAGGATAGCAAGCCCATTCACCCGCCTGCCACGTTGGTGCGCGAGGTGAGTCGGCGCGTGCCACGAGCTATTTTCTGCCCGCGCGTCCGCCTTTGGACATCCCTTTGTGGGCGACACCTGCCATTTCCATATGCTGCCAGCTGGCTGCCAGGCTTGCTGCCCGCGTTCCATCTGCCTCGGTCTTTGCGCCACGGTTCTTTCGGAGTATGTAAGTGCTGCCCGCATCCCGAGTTCTTTCACCTTTCCTTTTCGGGCAGCACAACGCGTCTTCGACCCCGTCTCGGTACGGCAATCTCTATGTGCCCTCCGTGGCCGGTATCCCGTCGTGCAGGGGTCTCCTGCCGCAAGTAGCAGTCATGCGATCTCCGAGATGCAGCGGAACTCAAAGCCTCGTCTTATATAAACCGCAACCTTGTTCCCCGGGAGGCCTCCATTAATGAGCCCCTCACGACTGTCGTACGTTCCGTCCCCGGGTTCACACCGCCGCGGTCGTCTGATACAGTACGCTATGCAGATGCCTTCCGACTCCCGTCCGCGTCCCTGCCGCCCGACCAGTACTCCGTCATCGACGCCGCCATGCCGCTATCTCACGCCAGCACAAGCCATCGCTGAGGCATGGAAGAGAGAGACACCAGAGGCCCAACGCCAATGGCGGCTCGCAGACGTGCGCGCGAAGCAGCAGTACATGTCGCCGACGAGATGGACGACGACAAAACCACCAGTGGGGGTGAAGCTGTGAGGGCACCGACACGAAACCGTATATTTATTGCGCTACTCCGGGGTCCACGTCGAGAGTGGACAGGCTTGCACGCTTTGCGGCGCCATGGACGATGGGACTGTAATAATTCGCTATTCGCTGTGCCATAGGTTATTTTATCGACGGACTTGCATTCTGCGCGCGCGGTGTCTGGCGTCGGTGGTTCGCGGTGCGCGGCCACGGTGCGGCGGGGTTGAGACGAGACGCGCGCCATCTTATCTTATCGCGAAGCACAGAGGCGAGACATTTCGCATCGCACGGCTGTGATTGGCCAGTCGCCTAAATGTCGCGGTCTTCCCAACTGCAGCGTTCCTCCCGCCACCCTCCGAGTCAGACCCTGTACGACCTGCTGCCCGTCCTTCAACCCTCTCTCCTCCTGACCGCCAGTCACAGCTGAGAGTCTCAAAATGTCGAAGGCCCTCATTGACTTGACCGCAGGGACTGCGGGCGGCGTCGCACAGGTGGGCAACGTGCTAGAGCAGTGCGTCGTGTAAGGAGACTCAGGTGTGGGATGTAGGTACTCGTAGGCCAGCCGTTTGACATTGTCAAAGTGGTGCGCAGTTGTGATTTTTTTTTTTGAATGCAAACACTGGATTGACATCGCCTTCTTCTATAGCGCATGCAAACGGCCCCGAAGGGCACGTACAGCGGCATGCTGCACTGCGCCGGAGGAATCCTGAAGAACGAGGGCCCCCTCGCGTTCTACAAGGTGCGTCGATCCTCTGATATACCACTTCCCAGCGATAATCAAACAAACCCCCGGCTGCAGGGCACCCTCACACCGCTCCTAGGCATCGGTGTCTGCGTCTCGATCCAGTTCGGCGCACTCGAGTACTCGAAGCGCTTCTTCGCGCGGCGGAACCTCGAGGAGGGCAAGGGCGGGCCCACGGGGTTCATGCTCACGGGCCCGCAGCTCGTGGCCTCGGGCATCTTTGCGGGGGTCGCGAACGGCGTGGTGTCGGGCCCGGTCGAGCACATCCGTATACGTGCGTATTTTTTTGCCTTCCAGCTAGTTCCATATTGCTTGACCTCTCCGTGGAAAGTGTGCACACGCGGAGTGCGCAGGACTTGAAATCCTCTCTAGCAAACGAATCATACACGGAGACATTGGCCCGGCGGACGCACAGGAACTCTTTAGTCCTCTTAGGGTCTTCTGGTTCAAAGTTCTCCATGGGCGGTGGTCAGCTGAAATTTGCTGCGGTTTAATGGGCATGGGATGCAACATCCCTGCCCGCCGAGTTTCTTAAGTGGTGGCGTGCCCGCCAGCCACGACACTAACTCTCCGCCCTGTCTCCACCGTCGCCATTGATGCCTGTCGCGCCACCTGAGCGACAGAGCACCTGTGTGTCCGCTGCGCACCGTCATCGGAATTCACCCGCAGTAGGAGGCATCGAGGGCGAGCCAGACAGAGGATTGTGGCTGAGGTTGACTGGCAGAGCGTGCAGATCACCTCAACACAACGCCGGGCAACAGCCCGGCTCCCCTCCGCCCGTGCACTTCTTTCTGGGAGGGGTCTAGCGATATGGACTTGGCTGTCACACTCCCGCTACCATGTAATGACACTTCATTGGTCTCCCGTAGGCTTGCAGACTCAGTCCGCGACCAACCCGACGTACAGCGGCCCCTGGGACGCGATCAGGAAAATCTACTCCGCGCACGGCGTCGCGGGGATCTACAAGGGCCAGGTGGTTACGCTCTGGCGCGAGTCGCTCGGCTACGGCATCTACTTCCTCGCCTACGAAAAGCTCATGCAGTACGAGATCACGCGCAAGGGCATCCGGCGGGACCAGGTCAACCCCGCAAAGGCCGTGCTGTTCGGGGCCGCTGCTGGTTATGCGGTGCGTGTTCACCCTGTGTTGCGGAACGAGCAGAGAATGATAGGCGGCGGTAGCTCTGGGCGATCATATACCCTATAGACATGATCAAGTCCCGCATGCAGACGGACGGGTTCTCCCCCGCGGACGGTCAAAAATACAAGTCGGCGCTGCATTGTGTGCGGACAATCTGGCGGACGGAGGGCATTGGCGCGTTCACGCGCGGGCTGGGGCCTACCCTTATCCGGTGCGTGTCTTTCTCTCTCGCACTTGAAAACGCTCATGCCGGTCGTTCGCAGGTCACCCTTCGCAAACGGCGCGACGTTCCTCGGATTCGAGCTCGCGATGCGCTTGCTCTCCGGTCACGAAGAGGTCCCATAGACAGTACCATACTATCTACCCACTATGAATCTGACGCGCTTTGAAGTTCTTGGGTTGTCATATAGCATAACGTATCTTATTAGATCTGCTCTGTCCATGGACATGTCCGTACACCTGGTATACCTAGGACGGATTAATCGTTGTAGAACGGTGTTTCAACGCACTGCACAATGGGGCTTCTTGGCCCTCTCTTCGCCGCGATGATATATACTGTCGAAGCCATTGGCTCAGTGCCAAGTGATCTCGGGCGCAATCCGAGTGACGTATTGCGGAACAGCGCAGCGTGTATGCATCCTTTGAAATCGAAGTCAGTTGCAGAAAACGCCTCCAAGAATCAAGGCGCGTCAGGAAAGGCCATTTGTTGTTCGCAACCACATGGCACGCTCATATTCCAGAAAGAATATGCAGAATAACAGATACAGATGGGTGTGTAAGTACAATACAGCATGATATAGCGTGGACAGGCAGAGCGGATTAGGGAACAAGTAGAGGTCACGACATGTCTTCGTCCGAGTCCGAGATATACTCTTTACTTTTGCTGTATGCAGACAATTTCAATCAGTTATCGGTGTTGACTCAGGGTATAACTTGCGACGTACATCTGCTTCTTTCGCGGAGCTCCTGTGGGCTCTTCCTCGTCCTCATCATCCCGAACGACGCGTTTCTTGGACGTCCGCTGGGGATGCGTCAGTCACACACATAACACATCACTACAGGGTGGGTCCTCACCTTCTTAGCAGGCTTCTCGTCTTCGTCACCGCTGAAGAGCGCCTCCTCCTCTCCTTCCTCAACACCGCTGGACTTTTTGAGCTTCCCAGTCCTCCGTTTCTTGCGCGGTTCCGCCGGCGGTGCCTCGTCGCCGCTGCCGCCCTCAGGACGCACGCGACGGTTGGCTTTCTTGGCGGCTTTCCGTTCGCGCTCTTCGTCGCTCTCCATTTTGATGTCCCGCGACCATTCAAGGGCCTGCTCACGCGCCTTCCGTCGCTCCTCAGCAAGCTCCTCGGCTTCCCGTCTGAGCTCCTCCACGCGTGCGCGCTGGAACGTTCTATGAGCACGACAATTGGCGGAATCAATGGAATGGCAGACTCACCTCGAGTGCCTCTTGCTGCTCGCGCTCTCGCTGCCGCTTCTGCCGCGCAGCATCGAGCTTCGCTTGCGCCTCGGTCTCGTGTTGCCGTTGCGTTGCGAGGTGCTCGTCACACCGTCGCAGCATGCTGTCACCGTACTTCCGACGCTGGTCAGCCATATCACGACTGTAGGGTACTACTGGCGACTTGTCGGCAGCAAGAGATGCGAATAACCTATGCCAGGATGGATGAGCATACACATATGAATCTAAACATGTGATCGTACTTCTGAGCATGTGTTGCCTGCTGAATTGCCAATTCCAGGTCCTTGAGTGAACGTTTTGTCGGTGCTATCGACAAGAGCATCTCTGCTGCCTTCTGCTGAATCATGGCGATGTTGTAGAGAATTGCCTTGTCTTGCGGATTGAGGTGGTAGGCCTGCGGAGTGTAAGCTTTCAATAAGCGATCATAGATTGACCGGTGAGTCCCTCACCTTTTGAGCGTATTGCAGTGCGGTATTCATGACGGCGAATGACTGATCCCGGGTTGCCTTGGCGTAGTACGATCTACATAGGCACAACAGGGCGGCAACGTTCTGACCGCTGTAGTATCGCCTTGATGCTGCTTCATACTGACGAAAGGAGTCAGCTCACGATGATTCAGGGAGAAAGATATGCACTCACGCTCTCAATGGCACGGTCGAACTCATCGCGCGCGTAGTAGCAATGTCCCATATTGATGTACACACTACCGTCGTTCAAGGACTCCCGCACTTTCGCAAAAACGTCTAACGCCTCTCGCGCGTTCTGGAACCGTTTCATGCCTTCGTCATGAGCCAGGGGACCTAGAGCGCCCCCCAGGGTGCCCAATGCATCCTCCGCGATGACAATAGCCAGACCCTGCGCGGCTACTGCAAGCGTAGAATCCTTGCTCAGCGCCTTCTGATAGAAATCGGCGGCCCGTTGGAATCCGCGCCTCCGCTCCTCGACTCCTTTCGGCGACGCATCGCGACTTTCTCGGGCTTGGTGATACTGGATCCAGGCTGCTGCGCATAGTGAGTACAGGTCGTGCCTGTCGTGGTCCTTGAGGGTGGCAAAGACAAACTCCTTGGCGGGTCTGGGGAGGTTGGACTGGACGAGGAAGTAGGTGTAGTATGCACGGAGGTTGAGGTTGTTCGGTTCTGAAGCGAGAACTTGCTTGAGAAGCTCGTGAGCATCGTTGGGTTTGTTCAGATCCGCCAGCATCTGAGCTTGCCGTATCTTCGCTGCACGACGCATGTAAGGAGGTGCAAGCAATGAGCGGTCACATTACTGACCATCGACGTATTCCGCATGTCTGTCCAAGAGCTTCTCGTATGCGTCTCTAGCCATCGACTCTTCGCCTTGCTCCTCGTACGTCCGTGCGAGATTGTACAAAGTTGTGGTTGACAAGCCGTCCGCTGTGCTTGAGTCCAGAGATGACGCCTGGGTGATCGCGGTCTCAAACATCGAACGTGCCGCGTCGTAGTGTCCATCAAGGTACTCCAGGACCGCTACATTGTTGACGAGCCTGGGATTTGATTGCTTTGTCGCTTGACTTATTCGCCACGCCTCCTTCAATGCACGTCGCATCCGCTCGCCATTGTCATTCTGCCATAGGCGCGCGATCTCTACGTGCATATCTATGTCTTCCGCGATTCTCCTGGACGACCGGCCTGTATGATGCGGTTGGTTACCATTTGTCGCATGCGCGACAGCGTCGGGCAAGCCAAAAGTCTTGCTGACTTGGTCGTAGAGTTCTCTTGCCTTGCCCTTCTCAGTGAAGTCGATGCCGGGGATAGGGTTCGCCCAGAGTGAGGCGAGCATCACCATTGCCTCTGGTGAGCGTTGGCGTGAAGTCTGCGCCTGCTGCAGGTAAGAGTCCAAGGTATTTACCGCAGTGGCAAGCTCGCCTGCCGGACAGCTCTCAGTGCATAAAAATCAACAATTGGAGCTCACGAACCATTCTTGATCTGCAACTGCGCCAGGCCAATGTTGGCCATGAGGTTGAGTGGCTGTCCATACTTTGCTTGATTGAAGAACCTCTTGGCGGCAGCCTGATTGCCCATCGCATGGGAGACACGGCCAGCGCGGATATATCCGTCTGTCAGAACAGTTTTGATGTCCGTGAACTGGATCGTACGCTCGGCCAGTTTCAAAGCCTATGGAGGTGTCACTTCTGCACGTCGGGGAACCCCGCGGTTGAACTCACCATTTTGTGCTGCCCCTTCAGAAGGATCAATTCACACAGCGCGTTGGCAGCAGCAGAGTTCCTTTGGTTGGCCTTGAAGGCGCGCTCGATGTAGCGAGTACCAGCAAGTAACCCGGTTTTCCGCTCCTCCTGTGTCTGGGTCTCATCCTTGCTTGCATTTAGAGCCTCTAAGCCAAGAAGTAGCGAAGCGGCGCCTCCATTAGGATTCTAAGTCGATTAGATCACTACAAACACACTCAAAGAGTGCATCTAATCTCACCACTTCCAGGCTACGTTGCCAAGCTGCTTTCGCTTTAGCCTTGTGATCCATGGACCATAGGCAGAGCCCGATACCAATACGGGGATCAGGTTGGCAGTTGGGACTCAGTCGCAAAACGGTCTGAAATAGCTTGAGGGCCTGGGGGAAATCGCGTTGCGTGTAGAGAACCTTCGCCTTCCCAATGAGAGCGACGATGTTGTTCCCATTCGCATCTTGGCTCAGTACGCTATTGAACGACCGCAACGCGTCATCCATCGCGCGCATTCCCATCTGCATGACACCTTGACCCTACGCCTCAATATCTCTCGACTGCACACTGGCTATACAGTTACGCACCGCGAGTGAGCATAGAGAGGGTGTTACCCAACCTCCCTGACTCCGTGGCAATCTTTTCTCCCTGATTGAATATTTGTGCGGCGTCCCTGTAGTACTCCTCCCTTGTCCGTTCTGACCTCATAATATCCTCTCCTGATAAGTTGAGGTTCAGAGTTTGTCTTCAGTCTCCCGAGCATAGGACGATTGACGTACGTGCGTCGTAGAGAATCAGCTTCGGTGCGGACGTGGCGCGTGTCATTTGGATATTCGCCAGCAGGGAATACAGGGGGGCAGAAGATGCCTCTGAGCCACTTGCCTCGAGAGCTATAGACCGCTGAGTTCGGACGTACAACTCCTTGGATTAAGTATACACGCACCATCCTTACCCGCCTGAGCGATCCTCTCCGCTGCATCCAGCCACCCTCTACGCCAATATTCCACTGCAAGACGCGTCCATATGGATACCTTGCATTGTCCCTCTGCCAGAAGTTCAAGCAGGTCCGAGGGATCTGGGTCCAGTTTGTCGAGCTCGACAGTGATGACTTCATGTTGGCCCAGTTCAATGTCTATGGTACGGCCGGGCGCCGGAGGCGATGGCGAGCGAGAGGTGTCGCCGTTCATGTCGCAGGGCTGCCGTCAGAAGAGCTTTCAGGAGATAATGTCGAAAGGTCCTCTGACAATATCAAGGCCGCAAACCCAGATTGCCAGACACGAGCTAAGTCTGAGGTTGGCGGCAGAGTCGGTGGATTCAATGGGCAAGTTGAGATGGCCCTTGGCTGAAGCTCAATGCAAGTGAATATGCAGATGCAGCGGCGGGTAGATCAAGGACTCACGAGTGCGTGGACAGCAGCTGTATTCCCAATGACCGAGCAGCAGACAGACTTGAGACGGACAGTAACAGTTGGTACACACTGGCGGAACGACGCGTAGAGACGGATTTCACGCGCTACCTCCCGATTTGGAAATAACCGCAAATACGCGTGTTTGTTGAGCTTTGGCGGGTCGTCGCCGGACATCTCGTCGCCGTCGTCGCCGTCGTCGAGAGCCATTCCGTCTCTTCATGCTCGTCGTCACGCATTCTGTGATCTGTGGGTCTGACTGGAACTAGCGACTATCTCAACGCTGTCGACTCGGACTAACTCAACCGACGCGTCTTCCGCCACCGACGACAACTCGTCCACACTCGCATCCGAGACGTCCCGCGACAGCTATCTCGCCTGGAGCTCGTAGGATATGACTGTAACGCATCGTAAGAGACAGTATCAGCCAGAAGAAATCCAAAGTATGTTCTTTCTCGGTCCAGTTCGTCGTATAGAACATCGCACTATTTCTCACGCGCATCCTTACGTAAATCTACCCTATAGCCGTCAATGAACCTGGTCTTCAGATCCAGTGTGATGGATGCGCTCGGGATTTAACCCATTCGATTCGCATGAAATGCGCAGACCCAGTCTGTGAGGTCGGAGACGGTGTCGATATCTGCCCGGCATGTTTCTGCAGCGGGAAAGAATTCGGGCAACACAAACGGTGGCACGCGTACCGGGTGGTGGTAAGCACGCTCGGCCGCCACAATCTCAGCGTAACGCCTGACAACCGTCGATGTCTCCAGGAACTACATTCCTACCCAATATTTTTGGAAGACTGGGGAGCAGATGAGTCAGTGCTTTTTTCGGCCGTTATGGAACGTCTTGTATTAACAAAGACTTGTCTGAAGGGAGCTCTTGCTCTTGGAGGGGATTGCATTGCAAGGGCTCGGCAATTGGCAAGCAATAGCCGAACATGTGGGCACGCGGGGGAAGGAGGAAGTGCAAGAGCACTATCAATCCGTCTATATAGACTCGCCCGATTGGCCCCTTCCTGTGCGCCTCTTTCTCACTGGTCGTACCCCTGCATCCTCACTTCCCCTCGCAGCGCATGGACCGCCACTTCGACGTCGACCCTGCCGAGTTCCAGGAGCGCAAGCGCCGCAGGATCTCTACCATGAACACCAACCCCCCACCCGCACCGAAAGTCGCGCCGACTTCCGCCCCCAGCGTCCACGAAGTCGCCACGTTCTTGCCCGGTCGGCTCGAGTTCGAACATGAGCTCGACAACGAAGCCGAGGACCTGGTGAAGGATCTCGAGTTTGGTGTATGTCTGCAATGGGACGGTGACCAGATACCGGAAGACGAGAACGACCTCGACGTCAAGGCTCGAGCTAAATGGGAGGAGGAGCTGAAAGCGAAGGATACGCCCGCTGGAAAGCATCTGCCCAACGGCGCCGCCAACGGTCTCTTCAACGGCCACATTGCGAACGGCAGCAGCCCATCGAGAGAATCTCGAGGCCGGTCAGAGGACACGTCGAAGGCAGACGGCAACGCAGATGAGGCCGAGGTAGAGGAGCAGACGCAACCACCGCCCATTGAGACGCCCGATTCCCTCGGCTTCAAGCTCTCACTGATCGAGTCGTACAACCAGCGCATCGACAAGCGGCTCGAGAACAAGGCATTCATGTTTGACAGGGGACTGCTCAACTACAAGCAGATGCAGGCTGCCGAGAAGAAGCGACCAAAGGAGGAGAAAGACATCGTCCATCGATTGCGTCCCTTCGCTCGATTGCAGACAGCCCAAGACTTCGAGGAGTTCTGCGCTGACATTCTCTGTATGTAGCCTCCACAATCTTCCGACTCGTCTTTGGCTAATTTATACACGGCTAGATGAGTCTTTGTTGAGGAAGCGGATTACAGAACTGCAGCACTACCGCAGAATGGGACTGACAACCGTGGCGGACATAGACAAGTACGAAGCGGATGCGGCCAAGAGGGTAAGTGTCCCACGCGTGGTCTGTTTCATTACCGCCACTGATCTCGCCGACAGACGCAGGCGAAGACGAGTCTTTCCCGGGACTATTATCCGGAACGTCTACCCCAGCTACGCGCTCCGGGTGGGCGGCAGTCGTCCGTCTCCGACGTGCGCACAGAACGTGGGAAGAGCCACGAGCGCGAGTCAACGCCCAACAAGCCAGGCGGATCGGCTCATGGCGCCTCCGGTACCGGTCCACCCGGGCGGAAGATGCGTATGTCGCTCACTTTCAGCTGCCTGGATCTGTCTGTTCTGACCGACCTCGTCTTCTCTGCAGCTGCACCCCTCAATCTCGCGAACAGCCCACTCTTGCACCTGCTCACGCCAGAAGAGCAGACGCTCTGTTCCCAGTTGCGTATCCTCCCGAAACCTTACCTCGTCATCAAGGAGACCCTAGTCCGCGAGTACGCACGGCGCGGAGGGAAGCTGCGTCGGCGCGAAGCACGCGACCTTGTCAAGATCGATGTCAACAAGACGAGTCGCGTGTGGGACTTCCTCGTCCAGGCTGGTTTCTTGCGCGTAGGACCTGTCGACCCGGGCCCGTCCGTACATGGGCAAGACAACAGTCGCCCATCAGCGACGCCGTCCCTCAGTGCTTCGCCGAGCAAGGAATCGCAGATGCAATCCTCCCCCAGACCACTGCCATTCACGACCACGCCTCTTGGTTCCTTCTCATCCGCTGCTGGTCCTTCTGGTAGTTGAGTGTTGCGTTGCTCGCATGGACCGATGACATCATTGTACTGTATCGCTGTATTTGTGCGCTTCGTATACCCATCCCTGCATATGTAAATTACTACAACGCAATGCATTAGACTGTCCGTTGGCCGCTTGTCGATGATCGGTTTTGCGAATTTGTGAAAACCAGTCCTTCGAATCATTGCGCCAACAGGTCTTCTACAATGCGAGAATCGATCGGTATGTTGGCGTTGTGTAGGTAATCGTCGTTCCTGCAATGCTTGGTTAATCTTACAAATGCATTTCAATACCTCGACAGACTCACCAAAACTGGTAGAGGATTTGCGCACGGGAACGCGTGAGCAGCAAGTCGTCGAAGACACTCAACGGAACCTACCTTCGAATAATGTCGGCTACCAGAGTCGCATCTACGTACATGTTCAGCCTCATGTGCTCCTATATGTTAACGACCACTCACAGGATGGTGACGATCCGCTGGCCCTCCTTCCACCTCATCTTCTTCGCGAGCTTCACGCACGCCACGAGGTTGCACGCGCTGCTCGAGCCGAGGAACAACCCGTCGTGCTGCACGAGGTAGCGGGCCATGCTGACGGCCTCTGCGTCTGTTATCCGAAATACGTCCCCGATGATGGGGAGCGCGAGCTCGAAGTTTTTTGTCAAACGGTTGATCCCTCTGCATTAGTTCGGTTAGATGTGAGGTTATTCCGAGGTAAGGCGAAAGTCGCACATTCCCTCGACGACTGTGTCGACTTGGTGACGCCGCTTCGTGCCTTCGGCCTCCCTGCGGTCGAACATCACGCCATGCTTGATCTGCGCGGCGGAAGATGTTCAGAACATGAGCATCGGTCAAGCTTAGTAAGGAGCGGTGAACGGAACATACCTTGTTGTATAGCCCGCTGCCTTCGGGGTCCGCGAGGACGACCAGGACGTCCTCATTGATCGACTTCAGGAATTGCCCGGTGCCTGCAATTGTGCCACCAGTGCCTATATGGCTGTGTGTTTGCGCATCTAACGGAACCATGAACGGATCAAACATACCTGCGCCAGACACAAACGCGTCTATGTTGCCATTGGCCTGCCTCCAGATCTCGGGGCCCGTAGCGTCGAAGTGTGCCTCGTAATTGCTCCTGTTCTGCTCGTTGATGTTCCAGTGGGCTTATATTAGACAAATACCCTTCTGAAAATGCGCGACGAATTGACCTCGAATTGATCGGCGAAAAAGCCTCGAGGCTTGACGCGTAATTCTTCCTCTTGTTTGGGCGACATCAAGGCCTCCTCCTCACCCAGCGCGTCTGTGGCAGCTGTCGAAACAATCACAGACGAGCTGGCTGTGGGCAGCAAGTGACCACGCGGCACATGGAGGCTAGGGGAGGGCCCGTCATCGAGCCCGAATGCTTTGGCGCGGTCGCGAGCAAGGTTCTACGATCTTGGGTGAGACTTGACAACTCCACGCATACAGCTCATCGCCTGGGAGCTCACCACAAACTGGAGTTGTGAATGAAGACGTGAGCGGGCTGTTACATATAGGAAAGCTAGGTGATTACCTGCTTCTTGTCAACGATGCTCGCGGGTCGTACACGCTCTACTTGGGCGCCGAGGGCAAGTAACGCCTGTACCTTCTCCTGTGCAACATCGTCGGGCATAATTATAGCTGAATACAAAGGACCAAGTGTCAGCAGTCGCTCTCCTTGAGTGCTAAATCTGCGTACTTGCTTCGTAACCTCTTAGTAGTAACCCTGCGCCGTCAATACCTCGGTACTGACGACAAGAGATATCCGCACCTAGCCTTTGCAACCGTAGCTATAGAGATCCCAGTCGAGCCAACTGTGCCCTCGAAGATTCGGGAACCTGTATGCGGATGCAAGAGCCCTTGACGTTCTGCATCGTCGATCACTGCCCGAGAACGCTTGGTTCAATGCGAAATTGTCATGGCATACACATATACCCACTTCGCAGTGCAACACGGTCTTTGACACTTCCTCCTGGGTTGAGGAACTTGGAGAGCACACGTGAAGGCGCGAGTCGCGTGAAGTATCCGCGAACGTACCAACCTCTGCCTTCCCCAAAATCTCCACGCCGAGAGCATCACTCAGGGAGTTTATTCGCACCAGTGGTGTGTTTCCTGACTCCGTGTTAGCGCCACACTGCGCCTCGTTGAGAATCAACATACCGACAAGTCCTGTCACCCCATTGATGACCTCGTCGCTTCTGAGCTCAATCGGACGTGCTTCGAATTGCTTGGAAATGCGCTCCCTCTTCCGTTCTTGATACCACAGAGCGAAAGAGGTTGAGGTCAGTGATAGGGAGAAGCCGATGATGATTCCGTAGAAGATGTGTCGAGCAGTCGAGCGTGGAGGTAGATGTAGCCAAGAGGGCAGCTTAGATGCTACCCAAGTCAGAACCATATCCCGAGCACCTGAGAATAAAAATAGCCAGCCGTGCCAGATATTGTACTATGCTTCGTAGCAGATTCAGATTGTACTTTGCGACGAGGCGATGGTTGGCCGTCCTTGCAAGTGAGTAGTAGAAAGACAAGATATATTCAGGTTCGAGTCGCGTTCAAAGTCGCGAGACGACGTCATGGACATGAGCAGCCATTGGCTAGACATGGGGTTAGGGTTAGGAGGACGCGGGGACAAAAATGAAGGCCCGCCCAGCCCGAGGGCCGAAGCGGGACAGGAAAATATTGAGACGGTGCATGAGCCGAAGCCCATACAAACCGCAAAACCCCCCTGAGGACATGGTCGCCGTGCTATGAGAGGCCCCTACGGCCAACGCTCCTGGGACGTGAAGGAGAACGTTCCATCAAGGTAAGTATGAGGTGTTCAGATGTCTCGCGCTCCCTCTTATACTCTGCCGGCGCCGCGCACGGACCATCCCTCGATTTGCAGTCACATGCACGCGTCCGGGAGCGTCTGTGCGGTGATTGTCCGTGCCACCGCCGCGTCTCGCCGTCGAGAAGACCGGAATGTCCCTCACTCTCTATCGCAGCATATGCACTCGCGCTGGAGCTTCCCGATGTCCACATCGTCAGATGGTAGCATATCACCACTCTGGTCCAGGGATTGCGTGACCTGCTGAGGCAGCCATGTCGGGCGCGACTGATAAACAACCCCCTGGCAGTTCGTCTCCTCGATCCCGACCTCCAGGCCCTTCCTCCGAGGCAGCGTCAGAACCTTCATCTATATGGCGGAATTTGACCCGATCAAGAAGACGTTCTTGTCTTCGCCTAAATATGCTGTCGTAGGCGCGTCGAAGGACGAATCGAAGTTTGGCACGAAGGTGAGCGGTCTGCCGAAGCGCGCCTGCATCCAGACTGACTGTGGTCGCTCAGGTCCTCCGATGGTATCTCGCACGGGACAAAGACGTTACTCCTGTTCATCCTGTATGTACCAAAGCGATCGTAACACGTCGGATTGACCTCTGAATGTCACATAGAAGGAGGACGAGCTTGCGGGTGTAGCCGCTCTCCGGACGCTGGCTGACCTTCCGGACCCAACGCACACCTCCGTCAGCATTATCACCAATGCAAAGGTGAGTGATAGTCCCGTGCATTATGATCGCAGTCGCACTCATCCTCATTTCAAAGATTACCCTTGGCCTCCTCGAGCAAGCCAAGAACCTCAACATTCCAGCCGTATGGCTCCAGCCAGGGGCCGAGAACGAGGAAGTCGTCTCGTACATCAAGGAGAACGGTCTCGAAGGCAAGGCTATCTACGGCGGGCCGTGTGTCTTGGTGGAGGGCGATGGTATCCTCAAGAGCTTGCTCTGAGTGACGGCAGGGGCAGTATTGCGCTACTAGATGTGTACGTTCAGTTCCGGAAGTCCAGACCTAAACATGTATGGCTAGTCATGTGTGCTCACTAGAGCTAGAATCGAAGTGTCGTCATCGTCCACACAGCTCGACACTCGACGTGCGTACACGCATCTGACTACATCCCCCGATGTCGTCGCATGAAGGCCCCACGGTTATGCCTGTGCATTCTACAAGACGACAATTCTCGTGGAGACTCATCCACAGCTCGTCTCGAAGTTGACGCCGTTTCGGACTCTCGGGCGGCTGAAGCTCAGCATTGGCTCTCAAGGCAAACGCATAACTTGGACCTCGGCCATCTCGTCCTGCCTACCGTGTATGGCTTGCATTGTGCCTCTTATGAGCGTCTCTCTCGCGTCCGATTTTGGAGTGCATTGTTTCCACCGGGCCGCCGCGGACGATCGCTTTATGCTCCATCTATGAAAACCCTGGGTATTTGGCATCGGCCTTCGAGTCTTCCCTTCATCTGCCGGCGGTGGACGGACGCCCTGCGACGCTGACACTGACAGAAATGGCTCGTTTCGGCTGGCTGAAGTCACTTGCATTAGCACGTAGACCCCCGGTTTGCGTTGCGGTGATGAACAGAGCCGTGAAGCTTTGAAGTCCTGCCGAATGGACTGCTCGACTGTACGTCGCGATGTTGGACTCCTTTCGGCGGCTAACCGACGAGGATCGACGTGCTCGCTACAGCGGGTGTGTTGGAGGATGAACAGAGTCAAGCGGCCGCCGGAGCTAATGCCGTTATGCGCTCGCCCTGGCCTGTCGCTGGTCACCGTGGCCAGCCGTAGCTACGGCAGCCCGCTGGGGAATCTGGACGTTACTCAGACGGTCCATCCACACTGCCGATAGTTATTGCGCCGCCACGCTCGGGTTCTCGGCAGCATCGGTGTCCGGTGCAGCGTTGTCGTGTCGCACACAGGGCGCATGGGGGGTGCGGCCGATGTCGGAGGATCGCGAATACGCTTGATGGCTTCCTGGTGTGTACCGTGTACACACATCCTAGCCGGCGCTGTGGCCTCGGTGTATAGCTCTGAGCCAGCCAGTCCGGGATGACCGATCCGCTGAAACTCGATTGACATGGCCCATGGGGCTTGTGGCTCCATGCACGTCTCTGACGCACCGCTACACTGGGTGGGTGTTGAGATCAACGACATCACCGAACAGGAGAAGCGGCGTATCATCACATACCGAATGTGTGGTGTCATTGCGCTGAAAGACTGGTCAGCTGGCATGGAGCTGATGGGTTCAATGGGCTTGAAACTATTGACCACGAAGGTACCGGAGGCACTCCGCCGCCGACCGCCCCTTGAAATGCCTCTTGAAGGCATCTGCACGGCTGAACGTCTTCTTACAAGCTGGGCATATATATATACCCTTGATGCTTCGCCTCGGTGGACTTTCGTGGTCCTCTGGTGGTGTTCCACAGTGGGTGAATTAGCCTCGTTCGTTGGCCATATAAACTGATGCTGGTGTGTCACAGTGAGGTTGGCACGGATGATCATTGAAAGCATCGACAACACTGACGATCCAGCATGGAGCCGATGGGTCGGACGCATTTCCCGTCGGACAAGCGACCCAAAGAGACGAGGAACAGGGCATGCTACGATATATCGATCGTGAGTGGGTATCCGATTATAGACAAGATGAGCATCCACTTACTATGGCCGCGATTCTGTCTGCGTGCACTGTCTGTATGCGTCTCCAATGAAGCCGTTAAGTGCGATTCCGCAGACCAGCCAATTATATGCTGTGTCATGCCACTCTCCGTCGAGCAGCAGGTAGGGTAGGTTCCTTGATCCAGACGCTGAAATTTAATGACGATGGGTGCAAACTGCATCGCGGCATTGTGAGTTCGCATCCAGTAACGATCGGTTGCAAACAGTATCGCTGACCATTCTTGGGTTGCTGTTCACTGTCGTAACTGGATGGGTACTCAGAGATTTCGCGGACAACCCTCCGAAGAGTCTCTGCGATGGGAGTGTGAGAACCATACCAGGAGAACAAGTACAACTACATACCGGCGCGTGTTCACCTGTCCATGACGTCGCATTGTCGGTATTGGAGGTGCGTGTCCATGCCATTGCGTCGGGCATTCTGATGCGAGGAAGTTGACAGATGCTATAGTTCGGGCCCGGCCTGCTGTCGCGCGAAATGTCGACGCAATGTCGGTGAGAAGTACGAAGGTGAGTGGCGAGATATATCGTCGAGGAGCTGGGGAATGGGGGAAGAGGTGCGACCGATGGTGCTCTTTTATGTCCGACGCAAACTAGCCACTCGCAGAGTGCCGGGCCACTCGGCCTCTGCTTCCATTATTCTCGAACACACGCCGCTCCGGCTCTTAAACCTCCCATTGTGCAACTCTGCCACTCATTCGCTTTTCGAAGGAAGCTTCTATGGGGAAATGGCGCTCTCTCTTATCACTTGACCCACTGTGTTTCGGTTGGGCGACGCTGGCCGCGCCCCGACCGTTCCGGCGGCATGATGGGCGACGTAGTGTTCAATTCGATGGCATCGGCTCTGAAACGGGTCAAAACGTTTATCCACCACCACACGCAAGACGGGGACGATGCACTGCGGCGCGACTAACTACGGCGCGACCGACTCGGAAGCGCGACGCTATATTGTGGTACGCGTTGTGTACGCGTTGTTTGGCTCGCCTTCCGTATCCAGCCGGAGCGGGTCACAGCCACCAGCGGGTTCCGCTGTCGGAACGTTCAAGTTGCGCGCCGCTGGTACAAACTGTTCAGCACACCTGTCACGACTTCGTTGAGCCTCCTGACAGTATGTAGAAACTAGGACTGTATATCGTGTGGTTTTTCGACTGAAGTACCCCACCTCGAGCTCATGCCAGCTGGCCGTCACTGTTGACGCTTCAGCCACAATTGGCGTCGTATCAGTAACAGTATGCCACGCTATTGACGAATCAGCAATTGGCGCACTGATACAGCGTTTTTACACCCTCCCATGAGTCAATCAGGCCAAATCTGCGACACATCGCCTTCATCGTCTCTCCTCATCGTCTCTCATGTCGACCGTGCAGCGACGCCGCTGCCTTTGCTCCAGGGATGATCAACGTCGTGGATCTCACATCACCCAAGAGCTCGTTCTCGCACTCACCCCGATACGGCTTGTCTCGCCGTTGCTCCTCACGACGTCTTCCGATAGTCACTGAAGACTGATCGAATGGCAATTTTTGGGCAGTGCAACGTTCTGTTCGCTGTCTTCCCTATACGTGCAGGTGAGATATACATGTGGGAGGTCGAAAGCAGGTCCTGACCGAACTGTGTGTAGCACAGCCGCCAGTCATGGCTCCTGGATCAACATGGCGACAACAGCGTGGAATCCCTCCTTCAGATTCCCCAACTCCCGCTCCTTGCGCCGCGGCCGTTGCTAAATGTGGCCCTCTTGGTGGGCCTCGCGCGGCACTCACACGCTGTGTCGACGTGGACTCGGCCTGTCCGCAGATGGAGCAGTCCATCCACTCGCAGTAAAATCGACTGAACCTCTCCGCCCGCCAGCGACGCTCGACACGGTTCCACTTCGAGCGTCAGTGGCTGCCTTCTGGTCCACAGGACCTCCTTGGCGATGCGCATTTGAAATCGCCGCTTGATAGTGTCCTCGAAGGTCAAGGGAAAAGAAGATCGTTGCATCAGTAGTAGGGCGCCCTTCCTAGAAGTGTACAGAAAGGACAGTCGATTCAGTCGCAACGGACCGGCATCTGTCCTCCGCCCTATCGCATCGACGGTTCTCGCACCGTGCTCGCATGCACTCGCTGGTGTGGGCGGGGTGGCCGACAGGTCTCAGGGCTGTAAGCCGTGTCTGTGGATCCATCTGACTCGGACGATACACACGCAATCCCAGAAGGCGTCGTTGGTGGTTTGAGAAGAGTCGTGAGTAACACTATCATATCATGACCGTGCGCAAAACACTGACAATGTTGTGCAGAGCGCCTTGAGGGGTGTCCCTGATGGTACCTGCAAGGCTGTATACAGGCGTGGCGCCATCGAACCTGTCGCAGACCGAGTGGGCGTAGCGCATCAAGCGGCGCCCTCCAGCCTCGCTGAAGCGTAGTTTTCTGGGGCCATAAAGATGCGATCGCAAAGAGCAGGGCTTATGTGATCTGGTCGTATGATCGACGAAGACGCATCGGGTAAGCAGAAAGCCAGCTACGGTCTGACACACAATTACTTACTGAGCAATCCTACTTGTCGTATCTTCTTTTATGGGTTGCAGAAGAACACCATCGCCGTAGACCTCCCATGCCTGGTCAACGATCGTGATTTGGTTGCCCTATCGACCTTCACCGGGTGCCACGAGATAATGAAGTGCATCTGCTTTCAGTGCAGCACGTGCAGGGTATAAGGGAATCAACACTTGGATCGCGGACACACCGGGCGGAGTGGCGTTGGTTCCCCCAACGGCGTGTTCAATGTCGTAGGGCTTCATCAGCGTTCCATTGCTGCTCATGTATATGCTGCCACTGTGCGGTCCGGTGTTTGAAGACAGGATAACAGATAGTTGAACAAAGGCCACATTCGTGGTACTGAGGCTCGCGCCCGTGTCGCGTCTGGTGAGTGATTGTAACTACGTTGTGTGCATCGCTAGCTGATGGTGGGCTGTCAAGTTGACCGGGGCTTGTGTTGCTTCCTTGTATTGTAAGACAGGATTTGTCGTGGGGGACAACAACAAGAGTGTACATACAGATCGAGTTCAAGCCCGGTGGCGATCTCTTACATCCGGCGCTTACGCGGTTGTGGCTCCAGTCGCGGGCCTGTGAACAGCCTGGAGTGGACGGACGTTCGGGTCCTCTGAGTAGGTCAATACTACGATGGTGGATGCACTGCGTTCACAGGCTGATAGCGGAACATGGCTTGCAGGTGCTCACCGACAATAGCTCAGTCGCGTTCTCCGGGTGATGGACACTGTTCAGGCAACGAACGAACGCACGTTGTTTCAAGTTAGTAAGACGTGCTACATGGTAGTCAACAACCTACTGAGTTGATATGCTGTCCAGCAGATATCAGCACCACTCCTACGTAGCGAGGGACGTAGGTGCGTAGCGTTAATTCTGACAGAACATGTCCGGTATTCACGTTGGTGCACAGCCGCAGTGTAGATGCTGTCGTGCTGGACAATTTAAACATCATCCAACGACATCTATGCGGAGAATTGTGTTGCCAAGCAACGGTAAAGACAATAAGAATCTAAGTACAAGACAGTTCGACACGCGGCACCATCAGCCCCTAACACGCGATCGCCATTTCTTCTTCGATCTCTATCTCGCAACACTCCCTCCTCAACAGCTCCCGTCTCTTCGCTCCTTGTCGACCAACATTGTTGGGTTCACTGCCGTCGCTCCTCCTCGAACGCCTGACCCAAGCCGACAAGCCCCGGAACGATGTCGTCCAGGACCGGCAACGATGGCAGTCCACCGGACGACGTGTCCCCAGAACCTCCGTCCAACGTGGTGTCGTCCGCCATGGCCAGGAGCAACCCCGTGCTCCCATCGAAGTGAACCTCCTTGAGCAATATGGGTTCTTCCTCCGGCCGTTCGTCCGCGACCAGCGCCTCTCGGACCCACTTTTCGTTCAACTCTCTGAAGACCTCCGACTCGTACTTCCACATATCCAAGAAGTCCACCGCGAACCGCGTGTCTTCGAGTTGAAGGTGGTCGTACGTACTGGCTGCGACAGCCCAGTCGTACTCGTCCGATTGACCGTACTCGTAGATCGGGGACTTGGGAGGCACGCCTCGTGGCGCCGCTCTGTCGCCCCACCTGCGCAGGCCTCCTGCGTATGCTGGGTCGCGGGTAGGATCGAGTCTGAAGGCCTCGAGTTGGTGCCCGTGGGCGCCGGCTACTTGGCCCTGACCCACGCGCGCGTTTTCGACCCACGCAGGGTTGAGGATGTCGCCTCCGTTCCTGAAAGGCTCGAGAAGGTGGTTCGTCGTGTGCATCGTGTGCTGCAGGCCGACGCGTGGCGTATTGATCCATACGGGGTTCAAGATAGTACCAGCGTGGACCGCTGGCTCAGCCAGAGCTTGCCCTCTGGCAGCGAATGCAGCATCGGAGAGGTTGCGTATGTCGATGGACAAGGGAACACGCTGCAGTAGCACTGGTGAGTACAAATCTAGTTACGATTAAGATTACCAATGGCTTACTTTGCCCGCATGGTTGTCTTGCGTCGTAATTGGATTTGAACTCCAAGAGTTCGCAGATGAGAACTTGGTTGATTCCTGGCGATGATGTCCGCGGCGATTAGCGGGGATGGGTATCCCCGGAGGATACCTTGGAATCGGCTTCTTCTCTGCCTCCTGTCGCGACATCGCATCGGAGGGCTGCAGGGAGCCCATGCCCCGCGTGACGTGGCTAATTGGTATCCCTGGAGGATACCGAGGGACTTCCTTCTGTCCGGCCGCCTGCTGTGACGTCGCGTTGGATGGCTGAAGGGATCCCGTGCTTTGCGCGGCATTGTGAATAGGTATCCCTGGGGGATACCTCGGAACTGGTTTCTTAAAGACCTTCCGCCGTGACGTCGCGTCGGAGGGCTGAAGGGAGCCCATGCTCTGCGTAGCGTTGGGCTGCGTAATCGAAGCGGCGGGTTCAGCAATCTCGGAGTCGAGTGTCATGACTGCCGACGGCGGATGCATTTCAATCGTGCGCGATACGACGACGGGAGATAGGCGATGGGGATGCACAGGTGAGTGCGACGACAGAAGAGAGACGCGACTCCGGATGGTCCTTTGTGTTCGGGCGCTCGCAATATGCCGTGAGAGCGGTACCATTACCATGCCTTTGTCGTCCCGTGCACCTGCCTCGAGGCTGGAGTCACGCCGGTCAGTTGTATGGTCGACTCACTTACTTACTGATCAGTGTTATAATTACTAGGCCATTCGCTTGCACACGACACAAAGAACAAGCACATGAATTTATGTCGTGAAATCGAGGCAATACACTACCCCCCCCCCCCAATCTCTGCGTCTGCCCAAGTGATCCGTCCATAGATATTGCAGTTCCGTACAGACAGTGACCCTCGTCTACACCGTTGCTACCTCCATCACCGCTCTGCCGTCTGATTCTCGACGATCATATCTCTAGCCCGCGAAGGCCCACGCCGCTCAGGATACCCTCAAGTCCTCCGTCGAGTGACTCGGCGCCCTCCGATCGGGCGAACAGCAGAGTGCATTCGAGCACAGACTCATCGAGGAGCATGTCTGCCACCGGGGCAGGTTCGTCGGCCGCCTCCATCTCTCGTAGGAGATCCCACCACATGGTGAACTCCTCGTCCTCCCCCTTCCATTCTGCGAACCCGGGCAGGGGGATCGTAATGCGTGCGGGCGCGTGAACCGGAGGATCAATGTTGAGATAATTGTAGGTGGACTTGTCGACATCGCCTACATTGTCCTCGTTGGGCACATTGACAGTAACATTAAAGTCCAATCCAGCGGAGTTGTCCTGGAGCGACAGCTGATGATAGCAGGTAAGTACATATCCCGTTACGATTGCGAGTCACTGTTGGCTTACCAGACTGCTGCTGTCGCTCTCGGTCGTAACGGGTTGTGTGCTTATAGCAACCGGAGACGCGGCCTCGTAGGCATCGGGTCGTGGAGGCCCGGCATTCATCTCGAAGAGGTGCGGCAGGAGAGAGAACTCTCTGATGTATGCCTCGTCGACGAACTCGAGGATGGCAGCGTCGTAGGAGTCTAGCATGCATCCATTGGCAGTGGCGTCCACCATCTCCATGTACGCGACGATAGCTTGGTAATTGGTGGCCATGTCTGTAGACACGAGTTGCGGTGTTATTGATGTCGGGATAGCGAAGGCTTGTGAGCGTTGTGAAGGAGATCAAAGCCGGGGAGGGGACGTCGATGATAATGAATGAAGAGAGAAAAGGAACCGCGCGTGGCTCCGTCCTTTGTACTCGGGCGCCAAAAGTGGCCACTCGCAGAGTGCCGAGCGACTTGGACTCTTAACTTACCTCCATGATCCTCTAGCCTGTGCTGTGCTACCGCCGCACTGCCCTAGGCGAGGCTCGTATTGCCTTACAGCCTTCCGCAGATGCTCAACGTATTTCACGCTTCGACTGCACGTCCTCACGAAAGGGCTGAGGTCTAAACATGTGGAATTCTTAGGCAATTGCACAGCACATAAGTACATCCCATCGCAGCGCGGTGCCCAACGCCATGGCAGATTGCTGTGTCTATGTCTAGCCTCAAGGTGCAGTCCTGCGCTTTACAGGCTTGAAGAATGTGCGAGACACCAATTAGTACCTTGTATCCTCAAAGGAGCGATCGAAATCATATGCAGGAGGTACATGAGCACACTCCCCGCGTCTATTGGGTGGTCGGCGACGCGTTGTGTACGCGTTATTTGGTCTGCCTTCCTTATGCAGCACCATGCTGTGGCTGCCTCGACGTCTCTGGTCTCGCTCGTCCACAGCCGAGGGCAGGTTGTCGTACCCGACCACTGCACAAGAGTCCCTGACGTTCGATACAATGCGCAGCGACGTATCGACAGCAGGCGAGTACATCCCGTTTGCCGCCACCTGTTTGCCGCCACCTCACCGATACATATAGCAGCAACACTGCATGGTTGATTACGTTGGCGTCTCGACTAGATTTGTAGCAAGTACTATTACGACCGCAAAGCGTAAGAAGTCATCGCGATTGCATCCAGGGTCGTGAGCGTAAATGAGGGACGTATCAGTCATAACTATACTAGCGACATTGAGCAGAGCGACGACAGAGCGAGACAGAATAAGAGGGCGAATAATGAAACACAGGATGCAAAGCAACGCATGGATGGATAACAGCTGGTGAGTAGATAACGACGACGATCTGGCCCTTGCGCGTCAGTAATGGGGTGGGTGAAAGGGTCATACGTCTACAAGATACTTACAAGCACACGACAGGCGACGAACAACCATCTCAGGTGGACTTCTCAAATTCGGACCTAGCTTTCTCCCCTGCCTCGCCAGGCATGTTCATGCAGAACTGCCAGGTAAGCCTGCTGCCAAACTATCAGTCAGTATTCATGCACGTCACCCCCACCCGATCCCACTCCACCCATAGGCCGCCCCAATCAACACATCCCACACGTCACAAGGATGGACGCACCGCTCGAACACGCTTCTTATCTCGTCCGACGGGTCTTCATACACATCATGCGAGAGCCGAAGCAGCTCAGCGTGCACCTTCCACCAGCGCGACGACTCGAAGAGGTGCACCTCCCACGCAGGCGTGCCCCGCCGGGCCTGTGCCTCCCCTTCAAGCCGTTGCGCGATCATCTGCGTGAGTCGCACCTCGACTCGCGCGAGGGCCGCGAGCAACTGGGCTGAGGAGGCGGGTGCGTGAGTGGGCGCACTCGGAGGCGCGGTGGCCTGTGCGATATGCATCGCGCTGAAGAGCGCCAGTAGTGCAGGTGGAGGTTCGTTGAACGGTCTCAGAGGTGGCTCCGGTGCGGGTGTTGCCAGGGGTGTTAAATGTGGCCGGGTAGGCGGTACATGTGCTAATGCGGGGGGACGCGTCGGGCGTGGCGTGACGCTCTCGGAACGCGTGGAGAGTAAGCTTTGCAGCAGGCGCTGCTGAGCCTCTGCCGTCGCTGAGTTGAGCCTTGGTATCGTGGGCTGGAGTAAGGTCTCCGGTGGGTTGTACAGCGTGGCGGTACCATTAGGTCGTGTCGGTTCTGCTGCTCGTTTTGAGATCGGAAGGGGACGTGCTCTAGGCGTAACAGATTCTCGTAGACGAGCGTGAGGAATGAAGGAGGGAGCGTTGGGGTTCATCGTGATAGGAGAAACGAAAGTGCACGATCGAGGAACGCGAGAAGAGCTGACCTCCGTGGTCGCGACTGTGGCCGGACGCTCGGCATTTCGCGAACTGGCCTAGCTGTAGAACAAAGCAATTTCGAGCCATAGATCGCCGGATTTGGGCAACGGAGGCTGGGACAAAGCGGAGTTGGCTAGGAGTTTCATCGTCAAGCTTGTAGATTATTACGGAGCCAGGATTACTTACTTACTAGGGTCTAATTGTAAGTCACACATGTATTCAGATTCGTAGTATCTCACTCGCTGTGAGAGAGCGCGGTGTAAATGAAGCTGGTTCTGTCACACCGAACTGAGCGTGAGTGGCTCTCGGGTAATCTCACCTGCATGTTAGCAATGTCAGAGCTACTGGCGGATGACATACCTGCACGTAGTTCGTAGAGAGGTATCGCTCTGCATTCGTCAGCGTTCGGTGAGTCGAAAACAACAACAACGCTATACCAACGACGCCCAGTTTGTCATGGGCACGTGACACAGAAGGTAAGGCAGCGTTACGGAGGCCGGACTGGAACGTATACAGACAACATCCGGAAGGCATACATTCAGGGTTCCAAGAAACAGTGGGACGTACATACATAATACAGCAGGTCGCAGACCCGCTCGACCGTTACTGGGTCATCATCAAAGGCGTTACAGTGGGAGTCGTCCAGGGCAGGTGAGTCTCATAATGCGGAGTCGGAAACGAGTTAGAGTTCTGGCGATCGGTTCTGCGAGTAGGCGCGCATGCACTCGACGAGGGGCGAGTATACTCGCTGCGCGCTCCGCACGTTGGAGTCGAACGCGGCGGGCACCGCCTGCACATACATGTCAGTTTTCGAAGTGGATACTCACATCTAACGATCACAGACCGTCATGGACCTCGCCATGGCGAGGTTGATGAGGAGATCGGCACACGAGAGCTTGACGATCTCCCAGGCTTCCTCGAACGCTGTGAGCTTCTCCGTCAATTCGCGGCAGTCGTCTTTGACCTGCGATACGGTACTCCGCGGACCCATTCTGAGCTCATCCTGGACCTCCGAGTCTATGTATGCAGTGATGCAGTTAGTCAAGACCTGACATGCTCGTGCAAGGACGTACATGGGTGGAAGCGAATATCAGTGCGGAGGGGCCCGAGGGAGAAGTGCACGGAGTTGATGCCGGAGAGGAGGCGTTGGAACGTCTTGACCAGCTGTGTCAGGAGCTTGTACAGTGCTTGCCAGATCGACATGCAGAGTCTGCAACTGCCTCAGTGCGTTGCGTATAAAGCGAGAATACGGCGTAGACTCTCACTCCTCGAGCCCCGACCAAACCTTCGTGAAGAAGCCCTGCGATTCCGCCTGGCCCCGAAGCGCAGCAGCGATCTTGAGCTGGAAAGTCTCGACACCCTTGCCGAGTTCGCTGAACTTGTCTGCGGACTTCTTCGCGTTCTCTTGGTGTATCGCGATAGCCTATCTGTACGTTAGCGCGACGTTGCCAAAATACGAGTACACACTCGTACCTCAAGGAACCGCGTGACCATGACCTTCTTCTCCCGGATGGGCATTTTGGACTGTGAAAGCGGGATGACCACCTCGACATAGTCTTTGTGGTGGTTAAATTATGAGTTGCATGCCAAGATAGTGGTCGAGACGTACTGTGAAGGAAACTCGCGCATTGCGAGGCGTTGTGTTGGGAATCACGGTACACTCTCCGGTGTCTCTAGAAAACACGGCCTCTTGAGTGTCTCGCAATCATCTAGGCTTCCCAACGCAGCTCACCTGACGCAACGTATTCCACTCCTCGGTGAGAGGGTGATGCTCGCCGATTTGCGGTGTTGTCTCGAGTTGGCCGGCGACGGACTTGAATAGTTTCTGTATCTCCTGCTGGTCATTCAAAAGCGTTGCGAAGCATTTCTTCAACTCTTCTGCATTGTCATTAGTGTACGGAGGCGGAGGCGTCCTTGCGTTGCTTCCAGACATGGCTGGGTGTGTGAGAGCAAGACAAGGCGCAAGCGGACGAAGCCCATCCGCGCAACGCGATAATATGCCATGAGGCCCGAGCCTACGGGTCATGTGACATATGCATTGTCAGTAGTAAGTACAGCTCGTTTATCGCCCTCATCATGCCCGAACTGTCTTCTCCTTCTCTCATCAAGGGGCGATCCCCGCATTGCCCACTTTTCGTCTCAGCCTTGTGCAGATAGGGCTCATACAGGCAGCTCGACAGTGCAGTTACCGCCAACAAGCATCTGACAGACGGTCAACCTGAATGCACTGGCAGTACTGCGTTGCGCCCTGTCTTCTGTGTATTGCGCACATGCAGGTGAGATATCCAGATTTGGTGTGGAAAGTGGGTGCTGACTAGACGAATCGCAGTGTTCAGTTATGGCTCCCTGATAAAACCCAGCCTGACGGCAATGATGGCTCACCAGAGGGATGTCATTATCTTCGGTCGTTTCGATTATTGAACTCGCAGTGTTGATGGAACTCGAAGAGACCTCGAAGAGGTCATGATCCGCGGGCTGAACGCTCGTCGTCGAAGGTAGGTTCGGTAGCAGATCGAGGACAGCGATGTCCGCCTCATTGATGTACTCCAACTTGAAGATGAAGGAATTATAGTCGTCGACGTCGCTCGAAGTTGCGGTTCCGGTGTCGTTGGCGAGCGCCATGTACGACAGGAGACTCTCGTAGCTTGTATCCATCATTGTGTTTGTGAGTTGACCATCAGACAAGCAGTCTGTGATCAAGTTGAAGGATTATGTTATGGGTGCCAGTGAATGTCGGGAGGGCTCGTGTCGGGGTCCGATGCGTGGCGTGTCGATTCAAATGGAGTTCAAGATAGTACCAGCGTAGATTTGGTAAGTTGCTTGTTCCCTTTACTTACTGCACATCTCTGATAGATTGACTGTTGATTTGCAGACATCATAGAGGACAACGACGCAGATGTGATACGAAATCAACGGGATCCGCTGTCAACATCTTCCCTCGATGCGCCTGCCCAAGTCGACTGCGCCCCGGAACTTCGCAGCGCACAGCTGACGGTGTCCCCCAACATGACAGTTGCAACCCCCGTCAACTGCTTCCAATGTTTAATCGCCACTAATTACGTGCTCTGCACATCCAGCATGCGAAGGTCCAGGGCATCTGTAATGCTATCCCGTTTTGCCGACATCCATGGATATGCTGCCCTCCCCTCCGTCGTCGCCTACTGGGGTGGACAGCAAGGTGCGTCTGGAGCAGTCCCCTCGATGGGTGCGCCCGCTGTCGAGGTGGGTTCGACCGTAGGCCCCGTCTCTTGCACGGGCTCCCACCACTCGGCAAACTCCTCCGCCTCCTTCTTCCATTCCCCAAGGCTATCGAGCTCGGCCAGAGCAATCGTCGCGAGTGCGGTGCGCTTGATCAATCCGGGCCCGGGGAAGTGGGTTGAGGACGGCTGTGCCGTCCAGTTCTCCTTGTCGGAAAAGTCCATTTCCGGGCTCGGCGACGCGGTAGCGGCTCTCATCTCAGCCTTGTCAAACAACACCATATTCGTGAGTACACACTTCGTAACGTTTGAAAATGATGATGACTCACTAGATTGGCATCGTTGTTCTCGGTCGTTTCGGGGTTTGTTCTCTCAGAGTCCATGGAACTCGAACAAAGCTCGAAGAGGTCATAATCCGTGGGTGGGACGTTCATCGTCGAGGAAAGGTGGGGTAGGAGACCGAGGGAATCTATGTCCGCTTCATTTATATACTCCAAGACGAAGCAATCGTAGTCACCGGCGTCCTTCGAGGTCGTGGAATGCGTGACGTTGTTGATCGCCATGTACGACAGGAAAGTCTCGTAGCTTGCTTCCATAACTATTGTTGCGAGTCGACAATAAGGCGAGGAGAGTCTGACTTTATTGAGATAGGGTGAGCAACGTCAGGGGTAGACGGATGTACAAAGACAGAAGAGAACGCGGTTCGTGGCCCCAGTTAATATCCTTTCTGTTCGGGCGCCAAAAGGCTGCCCTCGCAGCGTGCCGAACACCCTTGTCCTCTACCACCATGACCCTCGAGTGGATGCGGGGTTCCCCCATCGTGTGTACATTTCCGCTGTGCAGCGTGCAGAGTGTGCATATATTCCGGAAATGGCGAGGACGCGTACTACTACCGCTGCGTCGGTGGTCAGGCCGCTGCCCAGCTCGCAGTGGCCACGGGCCTTCCAATGTAAATGCAGCCCATCTGTCCACGACCCAGCAACCTCGGAGCGGAAAATCTAGTAGAGCATGACTGGCTTATAATTGCCCACAATTGGATGACAGGCGCAAGCAGAGGACTCTGTTCATGTCGCACAACCACCCAGTACTTCCGCGACTGCTAGCCTCGCCGCCCATGGCCAGTTTACTCATGCCCACGTTCCCTCAGCCTTCAGCCCGGCGTGATTCCCCTTGCAACTATCTACCTCTGAGCCCTCATGTATGCTAAAACTATGAAACGGTCTCCTACTAGTAGGTACTTCTGCGCCCAGCAGCCTTCAAGTTGCCGCTGCCCTCGGGGCGCGCGGCGAGGATGACGGTGGCGGTGGCACGACGCGTTATGTACGCGTTGTTTGGCATCCCTTCCGTATTCAGCAGGTGAAGACGTTCGCGTCCGCGACCTTGTTGCCTCTGCTCCGTCTCAGAGCGGAGCATACAAGGAGTTTTCCCTTAACGGGTTGCAACAATAACATATACGCCCGTGACACTCTTCTCATCCCCATATTTTGTAGTCTGCGTCAGTCCTTGTGTAAAGGTTGAGCGAAACTCGGGTGTAATGATTGAATGGCTACACGTGTGAGTGAAGACAGGCAGCCCCCGACTCAAATATGGTACGCTACGTTTCGGCAATATACAAAACATCTACGCCTCAATCCCCCCAATCTAACCCCAACAACCCCTCCCGACCGCCTCTCACCACCGCCTCCACCGCCTCCGCGAGCCCCCGCAGCGCCTGCTTGTCCTCTTCATCCTGCACCGCCGCCCCTCCCATCCCTCCCACCCCTGACCCGCCCTCGTGCGGATCGGCAACGCCGAGGGCGCGCTCAAGCGCGGCCTCGCGCGCGGGCCCGCGGAGGGCGTCGATGCGCCTGAGGAGCACGGGGAGTTGGGGGTGCGTGGATAGCGTGCGGCGGATGGTGGGGGAGGTTGCTGTGGGTGCGGTCAGTGGTGTAAATTGGGGAGGGAAGGTGGAGGGAAGGCAGCGAAGGGGGATGAGGGGCGGGAACAGAAAGACGGTCGAGCGAGGAGTTCGCGGCGGTGTGCGCTGTTGGTTCACATTAAACCAGCAGTGTGCACGGTCATGAACAGTTAAAGGCTGTACCGGTAGGTCGGGACATACGAAGGAGTACGCGACGAGTTATCGAACGTTTGTACAGTCGCGTACCACGTTTGGCTGCGCCCTAGCTATGCGACACTGCCTGGTACTAGATGCATGACATGACTGTCCAATGACGGTCGAGTAAGATTTGAAAGATCGTGGACAAAAGGAAGACTCATAGTCTGAGCTTTCAGCCACCAACACACGGACACGTTGCTGAGAGCGCAGGTACCAAGATGACTGAGTATAGGAAGATCGATGCAGCTTACCTATTGCTTCGTATTGGTGCAGCTGTAGCGGTTTTGGGTCATCGCGCTTGAGCGGGTCGGGGTACGCGGACTCTTCGGGGACGTAGGGCCATTTCAGCGATGTGAGTGGTCGCAAGGGCACCAAGGGGACATCGACGTCCACGTTTGCGTCCGACGGCGTACCCACCGAGGCAGGTTGATCCGCGCCGAGGCTGCCTGCCTGACTCGGTTGCTGGCCAAGGCCGACAACAAATGGGCCCGCGCCCTGGGCGTGTTGTTCCCCGCTGTCATGAGAGGGAGGCTGAGGCTGAGCCCGACACGAGGATGCTGTTGTGGTTCGCGAGCCGAAGGACAAAGATATGATTAATTGGATATGGGCCAAGGCGGTACGCGGGCGAGCGCGTACCTTTGTGCGCCTTGTAGCACGCGATCGAGCAGCTGGGGGCGCGCCGTCTTCAGTTGGGCAGCGTCGGAACAGGCGGGGGCGGCGTACTAGACGATGCTGCACTGTGCGCAGGCGTACTTGGACTCGGCCGCGCTGCAGATCTGGCAGGGGGCGCGCTTTTGCGGGGGCATAGCGGGTGGAGACGGCGTGAACTGGGCAGGGGCTACTAATATTACTGTACTTGGCAGGACAAGGACAACAGAGGCTATGCACGCATGCCAGGCACCGGAGGCGAATGTGGGACGCAACGACCAGGAATGAAATACAGAATAAAATGCACAGAATATTGGGCGCAGGGAGGAGCGAGTGCGGCGGGTGAGGCGGAGTGGGAGGAGGCGTCGAGGAGCGGAAGGCCAAAAATGGCAGGGAGGAGCTGCCGTTAGGCACCGCCGTGGTGACAGAAGCGCCCGGGTGATCGAAGCGTGGGCGCCTATGGGCCGCTGCGGGAGAGGAGGTCGTCTCCACGGTTTATATCCCAACTCACCCCTCTTCGGCACCCACTCCTTCTCCTCCTCCTTCTGTCTCCCATCTCACTCCTTCCTCAACATGGTTCTCGCGGCCGCCTGGATACCGCTTTCCCTCGCAGCGCTCGCCCTCGCCGACCCAATCCATGTCCCATTAGCCAGAAGAACCACCGGCCGACGTGCGAAGGACGTCAGCCGGTACCCCGCGGCCGGCGACTTTGTCAGGAGCAAGTATGGCTTTGAAACCATGGCAAGCAAGCTTAGGAAGAGAGGCGAGACTGTGGGCATGCAGCTCACCAACCAGGTGAGCGTCATTCTCCCTCCCATGTATGTCGGTCGTCGGGGCGCTCTGCGATCCACCTTGGCGGTATGTGGACGTCAACAGCACGTCGGACCCACTACAATTCTACGCTCTGCGTCACGCCGGGTCTGCTCGGCTTAGAGCGACCCAACCTATTCAATCGCACGCGCACTCTCGCGAAGACGTCTTTGTCGGTCACTATAGCCAGAGAGCTTGCTCTGCACGCGCATTACCCCAACGACACACACGCGAGTGCTGCGGGACGAATGTCGGCGCCTCCTTCCAGCGCGCTGTGGTCAGGAGCTCCATGCCTCTCGGACAATATCTCCCCAGGTGCCTCCATTGTCTGGACACACCCCGGTTTCCTTCGGGGATCGCTGGACGCACACTTGCGTATCCTACACGCCCGATCCCTTGCGCACGCGGACTGCGCACTCGGGCGCAAGACATACATATTTTGGGCGTGCGAGTGCTGTCAGGAATAGTAGGCTCTCTGGGCGCTGGATGCAGTGCGGTTATGATATCGTCTAGCACCAGCGATGCATGCGCAGCATCTCTGTGGGCCTTGTTGTGCGTCACGCATGCAACACGAGTGAGCAGCAGTGCTGCGCACTGTACAGCGTCGTGTCTCTTATGTCGACAGGGCGTGCGCGTGGCTAGCCAAGTGTGGTAGTGTCTATGCTTGGCCTGTCATGCGTGACTCTCGCTTCCCAGGAGCATTCCACTGGACCTTGCGGGGGTCCGGGTGCTCTGTAGGTTGGGACCCGAGGGGTTTGTAGGCAGAACGTGCCCCTCAGGTCAGCACACGACGTGGGCCGTAGCCTGCTTGCCCCTCATTTCCTGTATATGCAAATACTGCATCGTCTTCTTGGACGGGCCGTCTAGTCGTTGGTCAGTCAGTATTGTGGTATTTTTTAGCCAGGTCCGAGCATTCCCGTCCCCGTCGGATTGGGCGCCAGGCCGGCGTCGTGCATTATGTTGTTCAGGCGCGCAAATCTGCCAGCATTGCACACGGCATATCCGAGAAAATCAACCTTGAGTGCTTGCAGCCCGACGCCCCATCCTGCAGTATGCTTTGCGCGACTGATTTAACTGACCCATTCTCCCCCAGGATTATGACTCTTCATACATTGGAACGATCTCCGTCGGCACCCCGTCTCAATCTTTCCCAATGATTATGGACACGGGTTCGTCCGACCTCTGGCTCGCCTCCAGCAGCTGCTCTGGTTGCCCCTCCGACACGCCGGAGTTCACCTCGTCCTCCTCATCCAGCTTCAAGTCAAACTCCTCATCTACATCGTCCAGCGGGCACGGCGGCGGCTCGAACGGCGAAGTCTCGATCACGTACGGCTCCGGCGATGTGCAGGGCTCGCTCGGCACGGATACTGTCTCGCTCGCGGGGCAGACGGTGAGCTCGCAGACGTTCCTCGTCGTCGACACCGTCTCGACAAATCTCCTCGACGGGAACGTCACAGGAATCATGGGGCTCGCGTTCCAGAGCCTCGCCGCGACGGGCGCGGTGCCGTTCTGGCAGGCGCTTATCTCGCAGGGCTCGCTGAGCAACCCCGAGTTCGCGTTCTACCTCACACGCTTCGTGGACGACGAGTCTGCGGAGACAGAGGAGCCTGGAGGAACGTTCACGATTGGCGGTGTCAACGGATCGCTGTATTCGGGCGACATCACGTATTACGACCTCACGGACAGCACCAGCCCGACATACTGGACGCTCACGATCTCGGGCATCACGGTGGACGGCCACTCGGTCTCCCTGGGCAGCTCGGCTGCGAACGCGGCGATTGATACGGGCACCACACTCATTGGTGGCCCCAGTGACGCTGTCGCTGCGATCTACGACCAGATCGAGGGCGCGGAAGCCCTGACCGGGCAGTACAGCGGCTACTATGCCTTCCGTACGTGGCCTCCTTTTTACACTTATCCTACCACTAACATCCACCGCAGCGTGCTCGACCAAACCGAACGTCACGATTGCGTTCGGCGGGCAAGCGTGGCCGATCAACGCGGCGGACATGAACCTCGGCGCGGTGAACACCGCGGGGACGTACTGCCTCGGCGGCGTGTTTGTGCTCTCGGAGGGGTCGAACGTGCCGAGCGACTCGAACAGCCTGACGTGGGTCGTCGGCGACACCTTCCTCAAGAACGTCTACTCCGTCTTCCGCGCGAGCCCCGCCGCGGTCGGCTTCGCGGCGCTCTCCACGAACGCGGGCGGCTCTGGCTCAGGTGCGTCTCGCTTTGTTCCTCAGCAGCTGTGGGGTGACCTGACCTGGTAGCTTCGGCTTCTTCTGTTCCTGCAACGATTTCGGGGTCTGGTTCGGGTTCGGGTTCTGCGACCGCGTCGGGATCTGCTGTGTCTGGGCATTCGACCGCTTCAGCGAACGGCTCGTCGGGAGGCTCCTCAAGCAGCTCAAGCAGCTCAAGCAACTCGTCGAACGCCGCCGCGCTGATCAAGCCGACGAACGGCCCCGCGCTCGCTGCCGGCCTTGCGATCACGCTCCTTACGAGTGTGTTCTCCGGCGTGATGGTCCTCGCGTGACCTGGCCCTGCAAGTTCGCGGCTGCTAGAAGGAGGGAGGGGGATGCCTCCGTAATTGGGGGAAGTGGACGGATAATTGACGTGCTTATGTGTTTGCTGAACGATTGAACCCGAACTGTATGTGCTTTCTGCTTGGTTTAACTTGGTTGGTGGGAACCACCGGAATGCTGTCTCTCGCTGTATATATCACGCTTGCTTGCATATCATACATACATGCTGCTATTCGCGCAGAGGGTGTTCCAAGTTTCTGGCTCGACATCATCGCATCTTCGTCTGATAAGTCTCGGAGTCTGCCTGCATTTGAGTAGCGGCGAGAGTCGGAGCTCTCAGCTCATCAACAGACGGCTGAAAAGTGAGCAAATGGGAATTGACGAGGAGCGTCGCTGCGCGGTCGACGTGAGTGGCGATGAGGACTGAGTATTACTGAGTACCGAGTACTGACTGACAGGCGTCGGTCAATGACCGACAATGGTCCGACGGGCCGGGGTCACGTGCATCAATGTTGATGCTTTGTTCCCGTTTTGGACAACTACTTCAACGTTGCCACCAGCCAGTCAGACGGTTCCGCCGCGCGCATTGTCCGCCAAAACAAGCAGTGTGAGAAATCGTGGCCAAGAAACCAAACATGCGCAAAGTTCAACCCTCGATCCCTGACCCCTGGCTGCCTGGGCTCTCCCAATGTTTCATTGACCGCTCCACTCCTCAGTGTCCTCGCGCATTCTTCGCCCTCTACTTTTCCTCCGCCATGCAAGAACAAGATTCCGGCGTCAAGGGGCCAGTAAATGCCTTTACTTCGGCGCCAGCTGGGCCGAACGCGCGGGCTAGAACCCCCAACCGAGGTGCCAGAAGCACCGGTGAGTTGATTCGCCTCATATTGAGGTCCTTTGCAGATGCGTCCTGACACGATTCTAGGCAACTTACCGGTCAAGATAACCCCTACTCATCCCAGCACACACGACACTCTCTACCGAAGCGACGGCATCAGCAGGAATAGGCACCACACGTGGGTCTTGAAGCACTTCCGCGACAAGATCGTGTGGAATGTCGATCCGGAGAAGTTCGTTAAGGCAGTCTGGGACTTCACGTTTGACGATATACCGAGGGTCCCCTTCCCTGGACCCGGAAGACCTAGTCGCGTCCCTCCCTCGTACAAACTGCAGGCAACCTCACTACAGCAATACGTCTTTGACTCGAGGGAGCGGCCGTCGTACGGACCACTATCGGAGTTGGCCAACTCACTTCTAAGACAGATATACGGTTCCAAAAGCACAACCGGCCGTATCCCCCGAAAGTTCCCCGCACAATACATGGTACGCGACCGGAATTACGACGACGACAGCCATACGAAAGAGATGCTCGATCTCAGCTTCAGCACGGCGAACCCGGACGGCGGACAGCGGCCGCGATGGGACTTCGAGGCCGCCTTTGTGGAGGTCAAGAGGACGAGACTCGCCCCCCCGCCGATTCCGTCGCAATTGGCGACGATCAGCGAGCAAGATGAGGGAGTTGCGCAGGCAGGCAAACGCAAGCGACCATCGGCGGAGGAGGTGGGCGATCTACCCAAGGCGAAGCGATCGCACCCTCCTGCCGCGCAGGATCAGTCGGCAGGACCCCAGGACGGCCGTCCAAACGACAAAGAGGGGGGGTCTGATGCCGCGGAAGAAGTCGCCGCGCAGCCTGAGGAGGCCGAAGTGTCGAATAATGTAGGGCAAGCGGTGCGCTACATGAACGACATCATGTCTGCCAACGTCCGGTCATTCGGGATCGGCTGGTTGGTTGAGGATGAACACATGCGTCTGCTATACGGCGATCGCATGGGTGTTGTCATAACGAAGAAGTTCCGATTTCTCCACGAAGATCAGCGTCTCTTCGCGCTTTGCATTGGGGCTATGGGACGTGCGAGCGTCCACGGGATGGGGATCTTCCCCGACCTGCATTTTCCAGCGAACGAGCAGGAGGAGGCGAGCATGAACACCTACGAGGGCGCCCAACTGCGCATGACCGCGAGGCGGCCTGACGTGCCGAATTCAGAAGAGTTCCAATTTGACGTTGATGTTGAAGCGGGGCGAATCTATACGGAGTTCGGCGTGCTAGGTCGGGGTACAAGTGTCATCCCGATCAGAGCCACGCCGGATACAGACACATCGAAAGACCCAGCTTTCAAAGACATGGGGCTCGTAGCCAAGATTTCGTGGCCGCACGCACTACGCCGGGCGGAAGATTCGCTAATCACCGCTGTTCGTAGAGAGCTGCGCGCAAAGAAGCCAGCCTATCTACGGCACGTCGTCGAGCTGAAGTGTTCTGTGACACGTACGCTCGACGAAATAAATCTTCCCCGACTTGCGATGGGCCTCCGGCCCGATGAGACTGACGAACGCGTCTGTCGCACGCTCATCCTCGCCCGGTACCAACGACTCGAAGAGATCGGCTCTGTCGAACGCTTCAAGATAGTGTATATCGACGTTGTTCGAGGTATGTACATCGTCTGTGTTGCTGCGTCGAATCCGATTGACAATCACTACAGCTCATCACTGGGTGTGGACGACATCGGGCATTCTCCACCGCGACATCAGTACGAACAACATCATGTGGTACCTCGTCGGAGACACGATATATGGCGTCCTCTGCGATTGGGACTTAGCGGAGAAGAACGTTCACGGCCGCATTCCATCGAACCGCACACACGCCGAGGATGAGGGCGACTCTAAGTCCAGCAGGTCGCCTTCTCCGACAGCCAGCCAGGAGACCGACGGCACAGCCGCGTCTCCGAAGTCTGACACAGCCGCGTCTTCGAAGTCTGGCGCAGCCGCGCCTTCGGAGTCCGATAAAGACGCTAAGTCGCAAGATTCACCGAAGCGACCCAGGTACCGCACCGGCACAGGTCCTTTCATGGCTCTGGATCTCCTGCGCCCTCAAGCACCTCCATTCCATTTGTATCGCCACGACCTCGAATCTTTCTTCTACGTGCTCGTCTACGTCTGCGCTGTCTATGACTGGATGCAGAAGAAGTTCGGTCATTTGATCGCCTGGGAGTGCGAGACGTTGGTGGAGATTGGCAACAACAAGAGACTCTTCCTCGATGATTTCAGCCTCTACAATCCGATGTTTGCCAACTGCGATCCAGCATTCATGCCCCTCGTAGCCCAGAACGGCTGGGTACGGGCCCTCTACAAGCATTTTGGCACGGTCGAATATCATGGAGCCTCAATTAGACGGATCCAGATGAACGCGGAGCTGGGAGATGAACTGGATGTCGACGAGATTGAGAGGTACGAGGGGCTGAGGGACAGCGAAATCACTTACGCGAAGTTCATGCAAATCCTGGGTGCGCCTGAGGATATTCCGATCGACGATGCGCTCTAGGTCGGTTGACGTTGGTCTGCTCTCAATACCGAGCCTGATCCACAGCCACCCAGATAGAATCCACTTAGTATAGAATTCCTAGAGCGAGTAATACGATACTGTGAAATGACTGCGATGTACATTTGTTCAAATCCTGATGGTTAGCGATCCAATAACGTAGTCGAAGGTACTGAGGTGCGAGCCCATTGTGCTCTTTACACGCCGTTGGAAGACGTCGTAGATTTTGCACGAATGGAGGTCAAGGATTTCAATACAGTATGTAGCATGCCGCACATCACCTCGCTAGAACGGCTGCTCCGCACCACCAAGTTGATAGTCGCTTGTTCGCGAACTTGCCTGCGATCAAGTCGCGATTGCATTGTGCAAACCCACTGGTGACAGAAATACTCAAGCGCAGTCTCGAGAGGCACATGGGTCGCGTGAGCGCAGCAAACGATTCAGGCTTAAAACAGTATTTGCAACGGTAATAAAGTGATGGCGGATATAATAGCGACGATCGGTATGCAGAGGACAGTAGACGATGACGACGATGAGCGTGGCTATGCCCAGCGCGAGCGAGCTCAGTAACAGTAGACCAGCAACGGACGGTTCAACCGTCCCACAGAGCTCGAAACGTGCTAACGAAGCCGATTAAGGCGTGAGAGGAGGAACGCAGTCCGTGCGGTACTCAGCACTCGCTGCTCTCGTCGGGGAAGCCCGCGGCGGAGCGGATTGCGTCGAGGAGGATGTCCTCGTAGTCGCTGCCCGCCTCCCACATCGCGAAGCCACGGACGTTGTTGTCCGCGATGAAGCTGCCCTTCGCCCCGAACGAGGGCGCGTCGTCGAATGAGACCATCACCTGAGAGGTCTCGTTGTACACATACGGCTGTGTGTCGGCAGCAGTTAGTCTGTGGCTTCTATGGCGCTGGCGGCGGAAGGACTCACCGTCTGACTGCACCCGTCGACGATGTAGTGGATGCCGTCGGCGGCGGAGCCGTTCGCGTTCAGGAAGCCCGCGTCGATGAGGCCCCAGAGGTCGAACACGCCCGAGGGGCCAGTGACGACGCCGCAGACATCCGTGTTGGTGGCGTTGTCCCAAGCATCGCCGAGCGGCTGCTCCGACGCGTTGAATGCAGGGTATGCGTTGAGCGCACCGTCCGTCGCGAGCGCCGCAACGGGGTCTACGAAGTACGAGTGTCCGTAGCCCGCGACGCCGAGGACGATCTGGTGCGCGGGCATGCCTGCGGCGGTCCACGCGGCGACCGCGCTGACCGCGCTGCCAACCGCAGCCGTGGCGTTCGCGCAGGTGTCGTTGAGCGGCGCGTTCGGGCCCACGGTGGTGTCCCAGCTGCCGTGCACGTCGTAGTTCATCACGTTCACCCAGTCGAGCACGGCGGCGAAGTCGGAGACGTTGCTGAGGGAGCTCCCGTTCGCGCCAACCCAGGGCGTGACAGGCACAGAGGCGGTCACGATGAAGTTAGGCGCGGCCCTCGCGCGGAAGGCCTGCAGGAACGCGAGGTAGTTGGCGGTGTCGTTCTCGGAGACGGCGTTGCAGCCGATGCCCTGCTTGCCGGGGTATTCCCAGCTGCGTAGATCGTCAGGAAACGTCGTGGCAACGCCAATGTGGCACGTACTCAAAGTCAATTCCATCCAGACCGTACTGGTCCGCAAAGCCAACAATCGCCTCGACGAAATTGGTGATGTTGTCCTGCGTTGCCATGTTCTCCGAGAACGCGGTAGAACCTCCCCAGCCGCCGATAGATACCATAGCTTTCACGTCCTGTGAGAGGTCATTATTCAAGGAACGGCACCCGCGGATAAACGTGCAACACTTACATTACCTTGAGCCGTGTACACAAACTGCGGCAGAAGTTCGGCATCGGAACCATTGAGGGAGACGTTTGCTGTTGGCAGCGTCGTACTACGAAATCATCCTGTCAGCAAGGCAGAAGACAACATGTAGGCCAGTATTGTTGGAATGGCCAACGAAGAGAATAAACGTAGCATCCCTTCACACACGGAACTCTCCTCGACGCGAAGCTTCATACAAGGCAGTACAGTTGACCAGTACACTGGGGACCATGAACAGGGAGGCCCAAAGAACCACACCATAGCCTCCGCTCTTACGGGTCCACATAACGCATCCGCTACGTAACGCCATCGAAGCTCTCTTTCCACGAAATGCACGACTGAAAACGAGGCAGACCACTCACGCGAAGGAATAGATGAGGTGGGTATACTTGTCCCAGCTCACGTTGTTCAGCGTGAAGTCCTCTGAGTGCCATCCGGTATACCACGCTGCCGCGACCATGTCGACGGTCGAGTTTGCAGAATCAGTTGAGGCATCCCGAGCGGTGAAATGGGAACCTGTTGCATGGGCAGCAGGAAGGGCGAGCAAGCCCAGAGAGAGGAATGACAGCATGGTCGTCGCCGTAAAGGAATGGACGGGGAACAACAGGGAGGCTCGAGGAATCAAACACGACGTAAGAAATGCGGTCGCAGGCGAAGAGTCGGAACGTATCCTCGTCTACGACCGTTTATATACGCGGTCAAGCACGTGCGGGAGTGCCGCACTGCCGGCTCACAGCCAGCATAAGTACAGACCACCGCGGTCATGCTGTTTCAAGTCGACCATTGCTGCATTCTGCAGATAAAATCGGTGTTATTCAGTTGCCATTAGATCGTACAGTGTAGGGAACACACGTTCATATCGACTTGGAGCACTCATTCGGCGAACGATGATAGTAACTAATTTCGAGAGGCTTTTTGGGCATTTCTCGTAGCGGTGGCTGGAAGAGGTGCGTCAGCGTTTTGGCGCGGCTCGTCGATCATTGCCACCACGTGGATGTGGAACTGAACCATGCCCAGTCGCGTCCACCGTACCCGCGGCACAGCCTTCCACGATGCACACCCTCTCATCGTATCCTCTCTGACAACGTCGCACATCGTTTTCCAACGAGTCTTCCCCCAGGCCGCACCGCCAGACTCAGCATAGCACGGACGGCCCCCTACGACGTGCGACGAGCTGCGATCACCTCGGTCGTCAACTTGAACGCCCCGGGCCCGCGAGCGCAGGGAAAATGTTTCGGGAAAGGGTGCACTACTTACTGCGGCCGCAATGTTGCTCACAGTCGTTGTGAGTTCAGGACGGGGTTGCGGTCGTGGGCTCTTCGCCAGATTGGGAGAAGCAACGGTAGATGTACGGTGCCAGGCAAAGATCAACTTCTGCACAGCGGCGCGGCGAGGCTCGTGGAAGGTGGAGAGCAAGTCGGTCTGGTGGCGCCCCATGTAGGCTTCTTTCCCGGCGAGCGGTTGGACACGACGTTCGAGATGGACGCGACGCTGAGTCGGATGAGGATGATCTCACTGTACGTTCCGACATACTCACTGTATCGTCCTTGCACTCTTCTGTTCGTATCGCGCCTGTGATTTGTACTTAGTCGAGTGCAGTGCGCGTTGTATAGAGACACGGCAAGCTTTCCGTCCGTCCGTCAGAAAGCCAAGTGTGGCCGGGAGTCTTGGGTGTTTCGCAGCCACAGTCAAGCCACAATCTGAATTGAAAAGCCACTCCGTTAGTAAACCAATACACCGCCATACAAAGGGTGAGACACACTGACTTGTATCGGGGGAAATCTGCAACCCAACGTCGTCTATGCTGCCCTTCATCCACCCTTCATCCATCCCTTCATGTCGTCCATGCAGCGGCACCTTGTGCTCGTTCAGTCAGTCGATTCCAAGGAACCTTGCATCGTTCCCGCCCGGCCTGCTGTCCACTGACGACTGAGTCCGTCTCGCTGTCGTCTGCAACCTCAGCCATGGGTAGCTATGCAACGATCCGAGCGGCAACATCCCAATATTGTGCCCCTTTATGAATACAGGTGAGAACACCAGACATACGAAACTGAGAACCAATCCTGAATAGAACCCTCGCAGTCATCCGTCACGGCCGGCGGATGAGGCCCAGCATGATGGCAACCCCGAGAAACCCTTTCCTCCCCTCCTTGCGGCCTCCAGGCTTCGTCGCCGCCCGCTCTGCCGCATTTGCAGACGAGCCCTGACCAGCCGCTGCACCTCGTCCCGCGGTCGACGCACACCCGTCCTGCTCGCAGATCGAGCAATCAATCCAATCGCACGGCCGCTGGGCGGTGGAGGCATTCGTCGACGAGAGCGATGCTCTGCTGTTCCTCTCATCTGACTCTTCGTATTGAGGGATATGAACGCTTGCTCCCTTCGTCTTGGTGGCTCCATGGGAGCCATTCTGACGTCGCAAGCGTGTTCGCCTTCTCGAACGCGCCTTGCCCTCTTTGTGCGACGCGGTCAGGCTAGCGCTGTCCTTCGTGACAGGGCTCTCATATTGCGGCGGCAGCGCCTCTGCGGATCGGTTGTCCACCGAAGCCGGACAGAAGGGGCAATCGATCCAGTCGCATTTGCGCAGGGGACCGTCACTCGTCTTCAGCGCGAGCGGATCGACTACGCTGACGTCATACTCCTGGTCGATGACCGAGGAATTGTAGGCGCTGGGTGGCGTGTCTAGCAAGCCAGCGTCGTGGCCAAGACTACAAGCCGTCTCAAAGGATACGTCCGAGCCTTCGGACGCGGACTCGTAGCTTGTCAACTGCGAGATCTGGATATTGCGTGAGTATATCTGCTATATAACCGCATATACGAAGTGCTCACGATGTTGTCTTGGCCAGTCCGAAGGTATTCACCGCCGAACAGAGCGCTCTTTTCAAAAACCCTGCCGAAACCCATGGGTTCGGTGTCGCAAGATTGCAGTAGAAGAGGTGCCCGGCTGGCAAAACCGTCCATCTGTCGGTACACACGAAGAGGTGAGCACGAAGCGAAACACGGTTCTACACAGTCACTTACCTGGCGGCTGCCATGGACCGTTTTTTGTTTCGTACTGATCAGAGATACCCGACCTTCCCGAAGCTCCCAGTCCTGGTCGACGATGGCGGATATGTTGGCCCTGTCGACCTTTACAGGGCGCCTGGGTCGGGGCGCCGCGAAGATGAGCGGCTCGGCGATGGTGATGCTAGGGTTCCGCAGCTCCTCCACCATCTCGAAAGCCGTCATGAATCGCATCATGTCGTAGTCTGGGACGCGTCGCGGACGCGTCAGCTGGAGCGGACGCGCTTTGAACGCGCTGGGGTGAGTGGCGTTGCCACCGACAGCGATGCGTTGAGCCTCATCGGCCTCCGCGAATGTCTCCGGACTGCTGTCGTATGCGTCGGAGTACTCTGGGCTCTGGGTCACAGGCGGGATAGCGACCGGTTGCACGGACGCCACATTCCCAGAGTTCACGACTGCGTTCCCCTTCGCGTCGCGTTTGGTGAGTGAAAGCAGGTACGACGCACGCATCATACGCTGATTTGTTGGTTACAGGTGAGGTGTAGTGTATGAAGTGTTTCGTGCCGCGGGGCGGGAGCCGTCGTGGGGGGCAAGAACAAGAGTGGATGGGTCGAGTTCGAGCTGGGTGGCGACTTCTTATGCTGGGCGCTTACGCGAGTGTGGCTCCAGTCGCGCACGGGCCGGTGGCCAGTTCAGCGGAGGAGGACCACCGGGCCCGTGCGTGCAGTTTGGTCTACCATATTGCGATGGTAGGTTGACGCAGGTCAGAAGAATATGACATACTGAGATATTTGTACAGGTTTATGCAGACCAAATTAGTACGCGAAGCCACGACCGTACACGATGAAGATATACAAGGGAAATGCGGATGTGTTCTATAGGCGGATCTGCTCATCGCAGCCATCGACAACCATTCGCGAATGACCCGTCACCCACACACGGTCCGCTACGTCCTCCAGTCCTACGCAGATCTGTCGGACCCGTAGTCCCATCCGTCCTCGTCCTCTTCGCTAGAGAAGGTCTGTAGGTTGGGGAGCACACTGTCCAGCTTCGCTGCATCTGACCAGTCTGTCGATGACCACAGGTCCATCGCGTCTTCGCTCATGAAGTGATGCCCCTCGCTGCAGACGCCACCAATGGGCAGTAGTAATATCTCAGGCATGTTCAAACGAACATCCGATGCATCCGCGCTGCACTGATTGCTAGGGGTGGTGCTAATAGCCAGGTGCTGCGTGTTATTGCTTGCCTGCACTTCAGGTGAGTACAAATCCCATTACGGAGGTCATAGGCCATCGGTCTCACAGGGTTATCCGCCTCTGTGATGTGCTCTGTGCTTAGGAAGAAACTCACTGCATAATCGTCGTCATCTTCAAGAGACATCGCCGCCATTCGCGGGGCGAGGGGGGAAACTTCTGTGGCAGATATTTCTGTGGCGGATTTCATCTCTGAATGTGGGTGATATAAACGAGTTGCGTTTGACTATGCTAGAGGAAGACGATGACCGGTGAGACTACTCCTCTCAAGCTATAGCTATAACGAACGTACTTAGATTGATTTTTGCAGCAACGGCTTGAACGTGTCTTGTCGCTGATGAAAGCAGGAAGGATAGTGGTATGTCGCATCGCCGTTGAGCTTTCATATGAGTGCTCACGTGAGTGAGTAGCTGTTATACGGGACTCGCCGTCGTCTTGGACAACCCAGGTACATCTGAGCACACAAACGCAGAGAACAGCAGAAACGGGTTACACCGATTGTTCGGGCACGTTACAGACAATCACTACAATTACACCATCGTACCCAATCCAATCCAATCGCCGATGCAAGACTTCACGAGTCCTTCGTACACAATTCGCCCGCCCACTTCCCTCCATCATCTCTACCTCCATCTCTACTACTTCGTAACGCACGCCTCCTCAGCAAATGACCTCGGACCATTCCTCCCGAGTGTCGTCGACCAACTCGATCAGCTCCTCCATCGCCGATTGCTCTTTGGCTTGGTCGCCCAACCCGACCATTCCGGGGATAATGTCGTCCAAGAGCGGCGACGTCGGCGACATCGATACATCATTGGAAGGCGAGCCCCCTGCTCCCTCCTCGCTGCGTTCCTCCGACAGGAAGAGCAGGCTTGGCATCTCGTCCAGGTGTTGCTCCATGAGCAGCTCAGGCTCCCCCTCGAAGACACCTTCCGTCGCCCTCGCCTGCCGGCCCCACTCATCCTTCCACATCCCGAACAACTCCGAGTCCTTCTGCCATTGGGAGAAGAAGTCCCGCGCATGCTTTCCCTCCTCAATATTGAGGGAGTCGTACGTGCTGAGCGCCACGGCCCAGTCGTAGTCGTCCGACTGGCCGTAGTCGTACTTGGGCGACGTCGGAATGACGATGCGTGTGCCCATGGTAGGGCGGATATGCTTGCTGAGACCAGGCCATGCCTGGTCCGCGAGCTTGGTCCTGAAGGGCTCGAGGTCTGCGCGGCCGCCCGAGACCTGTCCGAGGCCGACGCGGGAGGTATCCACCCAGGTAGGGTTCAGGACGGCTCCCCTGGGGACCCGGAATGGCTCAAGTGCCTTCGTATCTGTGCGCTCGACGTGTCCCAAGCCAACGCGGGGGGTGTTCACCCATATAGGGTTCAGAATGGCACCTCCGGGGAAGGGCGGTGGAACCACGCGAACATCAGTCGCTAGGGTATCACGGCCCTGTTGCTGCAGGGGAGCCTGCTATTGTACAATACTCGTGAGTACACATTCATATACGATTGAGATCGACAGGTTGACTTACCGCCTGGGAATGGTTGCTCTTGGTCGTATACGTCTGTGTGCTCCAGGAGCTTGTCGATGAATCCCTGGAATGTTGAGATGCGTAGGTTTGAATACGCGCAAGAGGGAATGGGATCCCAGGTGGGTGATCAAGACGTTGGTAGGCGGAATCTTGCATACGCGCAAGCGGAATTGGAATTCCTGGTGGATGTTTAAGTCGTCGGTAAACGTTGCCTCGCATGCGGGCGAGAGGAATAGGGATTCCCGGGGGATGAGCAAGATATCGACTGTTGGACGCCTGTTTTGACGACGGGACGGTGGAAGAGTGCGAGATGTCCGTACTCGCGACGGTGGCGGTGGCGTTGTGAGTGGGTACAGACTCGCCGTGGAATGTGGTGGTTTGATGATCAGAATTCATGGTTGTGATTGTAGGATAGCGATACGAAGTCCAGTGCGTAGTAAATTGCGCGCACGGTGCTGAGGGCAGGGCAACGGGGAGGGACAGTGTCGAGTACGAGAGTACGACGACGGAAGCAAACGCGCCTGTGGCTCTGTCCTTTGTGTTCGGGCGTCTAACTGATCGCGATATGCCGGGAGGCCTGTACTATGCCCTTATCGTCCTCTCTGATCCCACGATCGTCGTTCCGGTAAGTTGTCAGCCCAAATACCATCTACGCATGTCATACAGCTTGATATTTGTAGCTTACACAGTACATGCAAGCTGCAAGCAGCGTGGTCTCTAAATTATCAACACCGTACCAAGTCTCCCGACCCCATGATCAAGTGCGACGGCTTGTGGAACGCAACTGTTCATTTCTCTAAATGGCTGTACAGCCTGGAGAATCTCGTACATTTGCACAGTACATTTTCATCCGTACGTGTGTTAGGAGCATGATTGTCCACGGCGATTTCAAGGGTACGTACTGATTTTCAGCGGGGATCGCATAGCATCGCCTCCATGATCCATCCCGTGATCATAACTTCGCCCTAAATTCTAATAGCAGGAATATTGCACGATTGGCAGCAGCACGCCGACGAGGTGCATAATTCCACCGTACATGAGCCCGTCGAAGTTGATATGATCACTCAAAGCCAGATCGCATGCCGCAGTCCGCCGTGAGTGATATCCTCCCTTCCGTGCCATGCACTTGTTCATTGTCGACAGGCTCGTTCAACCGGTCGACTCGGGCTCGAATAATCTGGTGAGCCACTACTGCAAGCACGTCCCAGAACATCAAATTACTCTGACAGGCTGATGTGCGTCTTCTGTTTATTTCTTGTTTCAATGTCAATAAGTGGAGGTTTGGCTGGTCTTCCTGTGAATGTTTGGCTTGCCATGACTAGCCTGCACGCCCTCACTTAACCGCTTCCAATGTTCGTTCTCTCAACTTTCATATCACACGTAAACAAACCTCTTTCTGACCCAGGTCTATTCAGATTTCTCGCTATCTTCTTGCCATGATTGGCATCCGATAGAATTAAATCAAGAGCTCGCTCGGACATCACGACGGAGTCTATGGACGGACTTGCAGTTGCACCCGTGCCAACGCATGATAGCATGGCACAGCTCTTCCTTCGTCTTTTGTGCCTCCGATCTATCTCTGTATTCATTAGCATCCCTCAATCTATCAGTTATGTTTTCATCTCAAGGACGTCGACGTAGACGCGGGCGAATGTGTGTGATCAACTCGGATCAAGAGTTTGAAGACTGGTGTCGCAAAGTCGTGGAATGTTCTCGTTCGGTTGAACGTCAATGATGCGCACCGCTGCGTGCTGTTTATGTTCAGTTCGGAGAGCGCACGGTATACTGTAATCTAGTCTCCGTTGCCGACCATAAAAAGTGCGTTTATGAGGTAGATGTAATCCTGAGTTGCCGCCTCTTCGTCTGCAACGCGCTGACGGCTCTGAGTCTGAGCGGCCCGGGTAGTGTCCGCTTGCACAAGCGCCGCCGATGTCGTTCAAGTCCCAAGAAAGCGCCGTTACAGCTCCCTCTTTCGACGCGCACTTGACGCGATACGCCGGACATCCATGTGCATCCTACGTCTGAGACTGGCCTTCTCTGACTCGGGAATGCCACACACCATGCCATACGTCGTGCTCGGGGGGAACGCAAAGCTATCACCGGTACACAGGCCTAGGATGCTTGCACTGCTTGTCACGATTGGCAGCCAAGTTCTGCCAGCGAAGAGTCATCGCCACGGGCCGCATGGACTGACTGCGCATGGAGGCGCACTGTGTAAGTTACTTAACTGTTCATTCGCACCTCGGCACCGCCCAAGTAGATCGACTTGCTTCCTTTGTACACGGCCCCCGCTACCGCTCGGAGGCAGTGCCTGTTCCCATATGGTCACGGTCGAGAAGACCTAGGTCCCGGACAGGTCAGGCCAGGTCATTTCCCAGACTCGAGGCGGCGGCTAACTGCTTCAAGTCGTCTCAAGGCTACGCGACCTGCAGATTCGGATGCTAGCTTGATGCCGCAAAGGAAGATCGACCCGCTAACTGACACAACCCATCCAACGCTGTTACCTCGGTGAGACTCCAGCGATAAGATTGCAGCGGACTCACTGCCATATTTAGCGTACCATCGAAGACATGCTATGCGCCCGCTGTCTGACATGGCGCGTTACGACAAGGTTCCATAGTGGAGAGCGCCCAGGTGTGTGAGGCTGTGTGGTCTGGTTTGATCCACGCTAACCCTCGAGCCTTCATCAAGGCTGAAGCGCTTTCAGCGAGTCTGGCAAGGCCGACACGAGACCGTTCAAGAGGTGCCCATCGAGGGTTGGGCATAGCCGGGAGCCTGGGTACGATGATGCCCACTTCATGGATGTTCGCACAGCGCCGGTGAAGTTCATCCCAGCGTTTGTAGAGTCCGATCATACGAAGGCACCGAGCGCGGGGAAGTTCCTGGATCGAGATCCCTGAACCCTTGTACACTGGTTGACTAGTATACTGCGGTAAGTCATGTGCAGACTGCGAACAACGTACTAGATGATACTAAGTACGTCTGCTGCGGGTAGTATGATGAACGGCGTTGACTATCCGCACGTACCATGCGTATGTGCTCGCTTCTTGACATGCGCGATCCTCGTTGCACGTCCTGCCAAACGCCGTCTAGGTTTGTTCTCTGTCCAGGAATACAGTCAATTCAATGGCGATTTGTAAAACGAGGCCGCTCACGAACCTGAAGGTCCGTTATTATTGGCGTCTCGGACGACAACGAATACTGTGAACGGGTAAGAACCACGCCACGAGGCTTAGACTCGATTCGTTCGAGCTTCGTAGAAGCACCCAGTTCATCCGCCGACTTGTACCCGACCTGGGGTAAAACAATGTCAGGTACGCCTTGTTCTTCCTACCTTGACCCTGCGTTCGCGGCGTCAACCGACGGTCCGTGCTGCCCAGACAAGGTGTCATATCGATAATTGAGCTCGCGCACAGTGTGTGGGGCGAACCAGAGCGGTCACGTATTCCAGGTTGCACAGGGTTCTGATGCACACTGTGGCTCAAGTCTCAAGCTGACGGTTACCTCCCGCCAGCGGTGATCCCTTTATCGAACATGTCAGCACCCGCGCGCGGCAAATTGAAGGGACAGGACAAGAACCAATATCGCGGCGAAGCACCAGGAGAACAGGAGGGCTTCGCCTTCGAATTTGAGGACATCAGTATGGGCGCGCGCTTCGTCTTCCCCGCCTTGGTTTCGCTGACACCGAACTCTGCAGGCTCTGCGTGCTGGAGGAGTCGAAGGGCAGCCCGTGCACGGTGCGAGGACCCCGGCACGCTTTTTTGTAGTCTGATCTTCACGCAGACGGCGATGGATGACCGTCCAGCACATGACGGCCACCCTATCAGTCACCCAGGCTGTCTGCCCTTCGCCCGAGACTCCGTCACGGCCGTCTCCAGAATGGTAGATGCCGTCTTTCTTGCTGCACAGGGTACTGATGTTGTGCTGATAAGTACCGGAGGGCTCCTTGGTCTTTACGTGGATCTTTTGTCAAGCACCCGGTCTGCCGATGGCGGTAGAAGTCCTCTCGTCCACCGCCGCACGTTGAAGAACCTCAGGCTGCACAGGCTGCGCTAATAGCCGCTTCAAATTCAAATGCCCGTGTTGCCGTCTCGACGCAAGGCTACTACTTACTCGAGGTACCGGAACTGTCCTCCTGCCAGCGGTCCATCATACCGGCTATCCGTGCACACGTTGGAGGGACCCTGCTGAAGGCTCGTGTCTTTCGGGAGGACACGGAAACCTGACGGGGGATTCGATTCTGGCGTTGGACGTGATTTCGGAACCTTGCCTTCACAGTGGCTATCCAAACGTGTTTGTTTTGCTAGTCTTCGCATCGAGCGTGATCACCGCGGCTTACGACAGAGATGGAAAGTTCACTCGACCTCGCGGGTCCTAATGCGTACCGTTCGGGCGGACTTGACTTCAGCGTCGTAAAACTCAGTCGCTTTTGGCCATGCGATTTGCATAGCATTCTGCGAATCGGAGTCAGTCAAAGGTGAGTGCTCTCCTAACACCCGCACGATTTGGAAATCTGTAGCCGGTCCCACAGGAGCTCCTTGGAAGACAAACGGACAAATGAGTGTATTTGGAGCAAGCGCTTGGAATATCCCGAACATCAAATGACCCACCAAAATTAGAGGGCGGAACGGTTCGCTCATGCCCAACTTGAAGGCTCGACGCGTTCTGAATGTACTCCACCAAGTCCATACTCCCAAATGACCAGCAAACCAAGCTCTCAATCGCCGGAAGGTCCCACATCTCACACTCAACATGCTATCTAGCCGGTGAGCTACCCCACGACGACCACAGGTTTACATGGGTTGGGCTGTACCACCGGCTTCATACGGGCAATACGTCGCTGCTCGCAGAGCTGCAGCAATTTTAGGTGAGTTGACAGCCTGCGCTGCTCTGTCGTTCAGTCTTGCTCACACCGGTGTCAGAAAACATCAAGTGAATGGGCGATGAAGCCTCGTAATAGCAATAGTATCGCGACCAGTTGCAGATTTTCGGAGTTCTTGCTGTGCGGCTACGCGCACGGAATCCTCGTGAGTTGCAATGGGGCATCGCTGATTCAGACTGACAACGCCAAGACAACGCCGCAATGTTCGGATACTTACACAATCCACCAAGTGTTTGTCATGGAACTACGAAGATACGGCCGATCGATCGGCGTCTCCGCTATCAATGGGAACCCCGCATTGCAATCTATCACGTCGGTACATTTGTAGACCGTTGCATTGACACCCGATCACGGATGAGTCGATACGCAGGAAATGCACTTCATCACAGCGACGTTCGGCCCAGCCAGTTGAAGTTGAATGCCCACGCTATGCTCATTGAGGATAGATGGCATCAAGTCCGTGGTGAGGGCCCACCCATCCACATAGAATGGAACGAATCGTGCGAGCCCGTGAAGGTGGGCACTCCCACTGCTCTATACATGCGACACTGAGTTACCAACCAGCTAAAACCAGGCGGAACAAGGTTCGAGCACACGAGTCCGATCGTGTAACAGAGGCATACTCCACAACACAGCGTCAGCTGGCCGTATCACGACCTTCCCTGCGTCCCGTCTCGTCGCCGTTCCTGGCCCGGAGGCTGCTGCGCAGCACCCGCGGCGGCTTCGGAGGACAAGCGCTGGGCTCTCGACTCGGAGCGCAACTTGACTGGCAGTGGAAGGTTCCTCGACGGCCCCGGTGCCTGGCCCGCCGATCGCTGCCCCGTCTTCGATCGCACGCGTCCGTCTAATTGTGAATCTCCACCGAGTGCGGTCCCGCTGCGCACCGCGCCACGGAACCTGCGGACTCGGAGGGAAATCGCAGATCCGCAGTCGCCACGCACGGGCGCTCCGGGCCCTGATCCGCTCGCGGTGGCTGGTCCTGTCAACCTCGAAGCTGGGGGTGGCTGGCGCACTGCAGCGACGATGCGGGATCGCCGTCTGGGACCGGGGCCGTGATGTGCGCTCCTGGGAAGGTGATGGTCGAGAGATGCAGTGAGTGTGCTAGTGCGCGCGACGGCCGCCCTGCAAGCCTGTCAAGAGATGGAGACCGGGACATGGATGTGCATGCGGTTACGAGATTCCTGTACTTACGTTGCGTACGAAACGCAGGGCGCATCCGCCGCGCAGTGTCATGGTTGGAGGGTACGCTCGCGTGCGCGAAGGCCGAGTGAGTAGAATGTATGGCACAGCGCCTCTACTGGTTGCATCTCAGGCGTATCGGGAGGTAACCACAGATGAACATCTCGATCTCCCACTGGGAATGACGCAGACAAGGATTCACTCAGCAGTGCACGTCTGAAGCTCAATCATGTGGGCCAGGGAGTGGAATACCATGGACATCTTCTGTCTCGCTGCCTGTGTCATTGTAGAATGGTGCCACCGCGTTTCAAAGGGCCACGCTGCTGACGGAGTCGCGCACTCGGCACAACGGCGGAGGTTGCAGCATGACCACGACGACTTGTGTGCATTTGGAATGGCACGTCCGGCAGGTGTCGGGTTCTCATTCCACAGCCGGAGTGCGCACTGCGAGTTCTGTGCTCTCTCGTCGTTCGCCGCCGACTGGGGTGGGCTCGCGACGGGGCTCTGCGACGCGAGCTCTGCTTCGTCCGCGGAGAACACGACGAGTACAGCACGAATTCGGAACCTGTGCGCACTGGCAATTGCAGCCACCCGGTGGGGCTGCCCACTTCGTCTGAGTCAGATCATGGTCCATGATCCATGTTTGTGAGACGGTGAAACAAGGCGTACCACAGATCACTAACGCAGGCTTTCCCCATTTGCACCGATCGCCTGCGAGGACAGGTAGCGCATTACGTAGACGACGCACAGATGACCCGTGGAAAACTTTGAGAATACGCTATCATTTGGGCACACGACTACGCGAAGTCGGTCCACCGGTGCGGACGCTAGCTCTCCACAAGGAGATCGCCTCTCGCATCTTCGCCGTCCCCATACCACAGAACAGAACTTAGCGCAGGGAAGCCAGTATGTTGAGTAGCACGAACACCGCGACAGACATGATGCCATCGCTGTCGCGTGCGCAAGATCATGATGCGCCGAGGGCGAACAACCCCAAATCGGGCGGACCCAGAGCCCGCGTCGGCGTACTCGCCTCCCGAATAGGCAACCGGGCCAGGGAGATCGTGCTTCGCAGGCGTAGCGGAGCGTGCGGGTGGGCCTGGCGCGAAGCGACGGCTGCACGGGCGCTGATGGTGAACGGGATCGGTGGTAGAGAAGCATGTTCGCGGAAGAGGCGATCGCCAGCGGGCGTAGGGCCATCAGTCGACGCCTGTGTGTGGTTCGAAGTGTCCTCTGGGTTTCTGCGCTCGTGGAGGTTCGTGCTTGCTCTGTGTTTGCGGACGGCGTCGCGGGGAAGCCGTGTCGCTGATGCAAGGTGGCTTCCGTGGCCTGAGAAGCGTCCGCGAAGATCAGTGTTGGGTGGGCATTACGACATGGCAGCATTGAAGGAACGGAACTAGAATGGAACTGTCAAAGACAAGTCAGTCGTGTTCCTTTCCGCCGTTCACTTCGGAGGTGCCATCGAGCCAACAGCGACCACGATGCGTTGAGTATTAAGCGTTCTCCGATGGCAGGCGGTGGGACAAAGGACGCCTGTGCATTGGATATCCACGGTGGTCTGCAGATGGAGAGATCGTTGTTGTACGCTCGCTGTCGCGCTGCCCCTTCGCGCGTTCCGTGGACGCCCCCGGCTGGCGAGATGGCAGAGGCGATAGGACCACGAGGATAGGGCAGAGGCGCATTATCTGAATTGGCTGCTTCGGAGGCGGGCTGGAAAGAGCAAGGGATGCCCCTGTGGGCGGGCTCCGGCGGCAGCTGGGCAGCGGGGGTCGGCCGGCACGTCGCTGGCATCGATGGTGCGCACGAGGGTCGCATCACGGCCGCGCGCCCCTGTCTGGATATGGGCTGGCCGCGCTGCACGGTCCCCGTCGACGCGCGCGTGAGGATTCGGTCGCGGTGGTGTGCGGGGCGGGCCGCGGAGGGCGCACGGAGACGCCGGGAGGAAGAAAGGATGCCGGGGCCGCTTGTGCTTGGGAGGGACGATCTCCGATTCAAGCCCGCGGCAAGTGCCCTCGCTGGCCGGAATAGGCAGGCGCGGCACCGTCGGTCGCTGGCTGTGCGGGGGGCGGGGGCGGTGGCGGCGGTGGCGGGTGGCGGGTGGCGGGTGGCGGTCGGGCGAGTATCGGTGGCCCGCGCCAGCACTGTCCCGCATGAGAGCGAGTGCGCGCTGCTCGCACGGACTGCTCGCTGGCTGCTGCCGCCTGCTACCGCCAAGTGCGGCGGGTGTTCGGGTATGATTGGCCGCTGTGAGAGGGACGGGGGAGGCTCATATGACCATCACGGCACGCGTCACTCTTTGGGCAAGCAGTGCAGGGGGCGCCTACACGCTCTTGTCGCGACGAGCCGGGATTATGGGTTCCGCGCTCTCGCCAGAGATTTGATACAAGTACGGGTGGATCGTCCCCCGCCGGCTCCGTTCGCCTTGTTCTTTGCCTTTGGCTCTCCGTCTGCTCTCCTCCTCCAGGCGGCCGTCTCTGTCCCGTGCGACGCACCCGGCTCTGCTCGCCGCCTCGAGTCACCCTGGACACGCCACATTCGACCGTGTATCTTCTTTCGGGCCCCCTCCTTCTCACTTTCTCAGCCTTCTCCGTGCCCGCCTTTGCCCTTTCGCATATTCTACTCTATTTTTGTAATGGCCGAGAAGCGGGCGCCCAGTTCCACCCCGGGGCCGAGCACCACCCTCCAGCGAGGTCCGTCCTCCGTGCTATTTCGGAGCCGCCCTCTCATGTCGCCCGTCTGCCACAGGTAAAGCATGTCTCCGCTGTCGGAAACGCAAGATGGTCTGTCCCCCGCCCCTCCCTCCCCACGTGCCACTGACGCCCCAGCAGCGCTGCGACGGCGCGAAGCCCGCATGCCAACAATGCGTCCGCGCGAAGAAATCCGACGCCTGCGAATACGACGACGGCAAGGGCAAGACCCGCACCCAGCTCATGCGCGAGCACATCGCTCGCCTCGAGCTCAGGATCAAGGAGTTGGAGGGTCTCGAGCACTCGTCTCCGTCCGTGACGCTGTTCGATCCCCACTCACAGGGCCCGTACTACTCTGGCTCGTCGTCTTCCTCTAGCCATGGCTCTCCGGGCACCTACAGCCTTCCCACTTCGGCGTCCCCGACGCCGTTCCAACCAGGTGAGCCGTGCATTTCCTCGCGCCACTGGTCGCTCGCTGACATGCGCGCGCGCTAGACGTCGAGTCGAGTTGGGAGACACAATGGGAGAACATGGCTGTGCGTGTGTGATCCTATCCCATTCCTCGCGTCCCTAATGTTCTGCTCCAGGACTTTGCGGCACCAGTCAGCGAACCGTACAACCCCTCAGAGGAGCCACCACTCGAGCTTGCGCAGATGCTGTAAGTGGGATCACATCTCCTGCGATCCGGTCCTTATACCCCGCGGCACGCAGCTTGGAGATCTTCCTTCCCCACAGGCACCAGTGTGGCCTTGACCTCCACCCTGATCGCCTCAGAGAATCTCTGACTCTTCCCTCATCAGAGCGCCGGCATCCAGTCCTAATGAACGCGATCTACCTCTGGGCGTGCTACCTCTCGCGGCCAGGATCTCTCAGCGAACATGAGCCCCATTACTTGTCGCGTGCGCTGTCGGCCATGACCGACGCGATCCAGTATCCGTCGAAAGTGATCGATGTCATCCGGGCGTCCTGCATCCTGTCTGTGTACTACCTCTCGAACGGCCGCCTGTTCGAGGGCAGCTACCACTCAACAGTAGCATCCTCGCTCGCGGTGCAGTTCGGGCTGCACCAGATCGGCGTGGACGAGCGCACGCCGCAGTCGGGCGCGGACGACTTGGACTCGACGTTCAGACTTGAGCCTGCGAGGGACACGATTGAGCGCGGAGAGCGGATACTGACGTTCTGGCAAGTGTACAACCTCGACCGGTGCTGGTCCGTGGCGCTCCAGCGGCCGTCGACCATCCCGGACAGCGACCACCCCTGGACGTGCATCAGCACCCCGTGGCCGCAGAGTATGGACGAGTATGCATGTGTATGTCACGACGCGTAACTTATGCCCCGTAGGACTAGCGTATTAATGCGGCTTAATTTGGTTAGGGAGACATCGACCTCGGCAGCGCGAGCCCGACCGTGCAGAGCTTCTTCATGCACCAAGGCCAGACGTCCAACATGGTCAGCGGATTCTCGACTGGCGCTCTCCGCGCCAAGGCGTCCGCGCTCTTCGAGGCTGCCAACCGTCTGTCGGCAAGCTGGAGTACGCGTACGTCTCGTTCTCCTCGGGTCTGCGCTACTGCTCATCGCTCGTGCCGCAGCAGTGCCCTCCTCGAACGCGTTCATGGACAACTTCCGCGTGCTCGAGCATACGATCACGCGCTTCGCGTCGACGCTGCTGCCCCTGCACCAGCTCGGCGCGGCGCTGCCTGAGGACAAGTACACCCTCATCATGGTCCACAGCCTGGCGCACGCCGCGATGATCCGGCTGCAATTCCCGTTCATGGACAACGACGCGATCTCGCGCGAGAAGTGTCTGCGCTCCGCGCGCGGGATGATCCTCGTGTCCAAGCACATCGCCGACATGGACTTCGAGTTCCTGGACCCCCTGATCGGTGTACGTCACATCGTCCTTCTCTTTCAATGCCCGTGGGTTCCCCGCTGATAACCGCGCGCTCGTATCTGTCAGCCCTGCTGGTCTTCGGCGGCGAAGGTGCTCGAGTCAGAGCTGATCCGCCTGCAGTCGCTGTGGCCGCCGATGAACTCGCTCGAGATCCAGGGCGAACTGGGCGCGGTCCTCTTCATCATGACGAAGCTCAGCACGCGGTTCCCGCTCCTCAGTGAGATCCCCTCCTTCCGTCGCGGCCGTAGTTGCGTGACTCATCGCCAGTGGTGGAATTGTAGGCTACCAGGCCGCGAAAATCCAAAACTTCCTGGAATCAAAATAGGTGTTTCCGTCTGACCGGACCCTTTCTCCGTCTACGACTAACTGTGATTGGTCTCCCCACGCGCGCGCGGCCCACGGACGGCCCCCCGTTTAAGCTACGTTATTTTACGTTCTTGACGAACTTTCACGCTCCCTCGGACAGCCTTTGCCATTTGCTTTATGCGTTTCTTCACGCGCGAGCTCGGGGAGCTCACCTGACACTCCTTACGAACTGTCGAACTTCACCTTCACGCCACTCGGACACTTCTCGGACACGGACTCGCTTGGGCTGTTGTCGCGGACTATACCAACGGACTACTTGATATCGGACTAAGCTATGGACTTCTTGCCACGGACTATATAGTAATACGGACACGGACACGGACATGCACTGTACTTTTATTCAACGTCGCATAGCGTAGGTAGTGCAGAATATTCAAGGGACTACTGTAGAACTAGACGATACTATTACTTGGACCTAAGGGCCGTGTTTTTTGTCTGGTCTAATATCTAGTACACCGAAAGCAAAGGAATTCATACTCAATCCTTTCCATTTGGTCTGCCCCGGTTTGCCCAGCGTGTCCCGATCATCGAGCTCATGATGTACGCTGACGAAGATAAACATCCAAATATTCAAGCGCAACCGGTGCGCAATCAATCTGGAACACCGGTGTCCCACCCTCGGTCTCGGTGCGATTCAGACTGAACAAGACGATCGATGGTAAATTCATTTATCATGTAAGTAATGAGTGAGCGTGTTCCGACTCAGATATATGACAGAAGCTGCTAGTTTCTGAGCCTCCGAACGGTCGGGCATGATCAATTTCTCTAGCTGTTCTAGCTGTATCTACGCGACGCGGAGAACGTCTCGGATGAGCGACGTCACGGATCAAAGTCCCTAGCTTCCACGCCAGCTTCGCGGTGGTACAAACAATCGGCGATCACTAACGTCGTGGGAGGCCAGCGTCGATCGCTTTGTGCTGGCTTACAATGTGCGAGCTCAGCGGGCAGCAATTCTGAATTGCGCGAAAAGTGGGGGAGTACAGTACATATAGCGGTGCTACGTCTCGCTGGCCTTTGAGTCTGGTGTACTGAGGGATGCTATGGCAGGTTCGTCAGACCGGCCATGTCCTCGAACCATTCCACCACGGCAGCAACTTTCCGCACGGAGGCGTCACTGAACCCTAGCCTGAGGTCCGGCCGGAAACGAGTATCGCCTTGCATGAGAGGCATGGTGCGGTAACAGATCTCTAACCGAGACTTGACGTTGGCGGAGGCAGTGAGTGTCACCGGGGCCGCATTGCCAGGACCCTTCTCGGTGTCAGTATTCGTATTGGACTCGCCGCCTCCCCAGGCCGCGAGCACGTCTGTGCACATGGAGCATGTCCGCCTCAGTCATTTGCATACAGCGAGCGCACGGATGAAACTCACCCTCGAGGAGGACGATGTCGCCGCGTTTGACACTAGAAGCTGTCACCGCTGGGTCTGCACCGCCCCAGGTCTCGGCGGTTTCTCTCCACGCTGTGAGCTTGCAGACGCAGCCATCCTCGTCTCCCAGGATGAGCTTGAGGAGATACACTTCCTTGCCAGCCTCTGGACCTTTCTTGATACGGATGGTGTCCGGGCCTTCGACTTCAAGCACCGCTACTAAGAGCGAGACTTTCCGAGATCCCTTTCGTCCAGCTGCACCAGCCCGTTGCATTTCTGCCTGTGCGTAGGCCGCTAGCTGGGATAGGCCCGTCAAAGTATGGATGCTGAAATGGAATGAGGGGAATCGGCCAACGGAGGATGCGTCCGAGTATTCGTATGAGCCAGAACCCTGTGTCTCCTGCGTCTCGAGCATTGAGCGGACCCGCGACATGCTGTCCGTAGGTCGCAGAAATGTATGAGCCAATCTCGACGCATTCTGCGTCTCGGCATTTGTGGGGGGCCATGTTATGGCAGTTATCTCATCTCCTAAGGTTTCGGTCAGGTCAGAAGTACAAGATTATGATGCACCCATTGGAGCATACCTGGAAGAGCGTCGGCATCAGTCTTCAGTCCTTCCGCGACGTCCATCACACTTAGAAAATGACTTTCTTCGACATCTTCTTGGAATATGATATTCGCATATAACGCAGATATCCTTCTACTCGCAGCCTCAATGGTTGCTGCAGGTAGGGTGACGTCCTGTTGGCTGGCGGGTACTAAGGATATTGTCTGCCATTGATACTCTGTTTTATCTTCATTGATGTCCTTTGCTGGCGGGGCTCCTAGAAATACCCTGTACGACTTCATCCCAGCCGAAAGGATTCACATTAACTGGAACAAGCATAATCAGCAACTTGTATGGTGACTCCAATTCTGGTTTCATGGGATTGTTCAGATCAAATTGCGGAATTCAAGCATCCCGGTTCGCAAGCCTTTCCAATCGCAGAGATACCGCGAGGTTCCACGAGGATACCACGCCATATATACAGACGTGGACGGAGCCATATCAAAGTCCGACAAGTACGCACCAGTCTGGCCAGAATACGCTGTGAAAGCGATTTCACGACTATCTTCACTGAGTGAACATTGAGTCAAGCTCCCGTTGTAACAAGAGAGATGTAGACCTCAGGCTGGGATGAGCCACTCCGCAATATCACGATGAGTCGTCTGGGGTTGGACAATAATCTCGCCACAAGACCCTCCTCGCGTGCGAGGGGTAAGTTGTGTCGAACCTAAGTTGCACAATGAGAGCCTGAGTGGCGGCGCCGTTGGAGTCTTGGACCAGGATACACCGCGGGCAAACCAGGTTTTTCGGGCTCCGAAAATGCTAATAACATCGGTCCTCCATGGGAACCTTTTCGGAGAGCTTGACTGACTCCGAAAATGCTCCTACATTTCTCATGTTCGTAGCATGTTCGCCGAAAACACGCATGTTCGGCCTCCGAACATGCCGAAATCGGCTGAAACGCATCATGTTCGCAGCATGTTCTGACAATATTCGGAGTCCGTAAAGGTTCCCAGGCGGGACCGATGTTCGTAGGGGTTTTCGGAGTTCGAACAACCTGGTTTGCCCGCGGTGATAGGTACTGTTCGTCGCACGTGATCCTGGCGCGTACTGATGCGCGTTGCTTCGAGCGCGTCTGTCCGGATCCTCTGCCACGGCGGGCGGATAATACATCACTGTTGCTCACCGACGACCACGAAGACTACTTTGTCGTCTTGATCCCGAGAGTCCGCGTTTATCTGGCACCGCAGAAACGGAGGACTGGGAGGACTCTCAGCTCGACCGTCACCGTTGTGAGACGGGCTTGCGACTGGATGTACGCGGGCGAGATTCGTCTTGATTCGGTGAGTAAGCACCCTTGCTCGAATCACATTCAGTACAGCTCAGATATCGTCATTTGCATTGTGTTTCCAGGGCTGGTGTCACTTTGAATATACACCGCTATGTCTCGCAGTGTAGACGACCTGAGGCCGGGTGCAATGGACATACCGGGTGCCGCTCACGCGCAGGAGCTGGCCGACCAGCTGCAGATCATCGTAGGATCCCCGGAGCAATTGGACGACAACAGCTTGCGGTCCCGGCAAGTGCGCAGTCCTCCTTCACTTGACATTCCTCCAAGACCTAGTTTTCTACGCAACACGTCAACTGCGACGCTACCACCTACCCGCGGCTCGGGCACGCACTCGCGGATCCACAGCCTCAACTCGGGTGCGGGCCTAGTATCCTCTCGGAATCGCACCCAAGCACGAGAATGGAGCGTCTTTGGCGAACTGTACGACGCAGAGGACTGGCGGAGGACCTCTGCCTCTCACAATACGATTCGAGCAAGGCGTCATAAGAACCGGTATCCTAACAACACGTCGAAATCTTGCCCGCCTTCGCGAGATCAAGGCTTTCCTGGCGATACTGTTCAGTCCCCGATGGATGATCCAAACCTTCCGGATCCTTTAGCAGAAAGTTCGGAAGAAGAGTCGCTTCTACAGGGCAGAGACTTGCGACCGAATCGTCCTTCCGTGAACGATATCTCTCACTCCCCAAATGGCTCTAGGTGGCGATGGCCATCCCTTCCGACACCGCCTACTCTGTCACCTTTGCAACGCAACATACTTAAGTGTTGCGTGGCTTATTTCGTGGCATCTCTCTTCACGTTTTCGCCATATCTGTCAGGCTTTATAGCGGACCTTACGAATTATGGCCGCGGCGAGTCCTTTCCGGCACCCTCTGGTCATATGGTCGCTACAGTGTGCGTCGCATCGCCCGTATATGCGCTGGACAATCTGACGTTGTCTGCTCTGACCCTACAGTGCCGTGTATTACAACCCGGCGAAGACGCTTGGCGGTATGCTCGAGGCGGATATGTACTGCCTGGCGGGGCTTCTCTTCGCGGCATTCGTCTCACTGAGCAGCATGACGATGTTCTGGTTTTTTGAGGTCAGGGCTGGCTGGGAATGGCTCGCAGACGCCCTTATTATACTGTGGATCGGCATCGGGATGTCGTTGGTCGCTTGGATGAAGCTGTGGATGGCCAAGCCGACCTTTAACACAGGTCTGTACGCCTTTATTTGCTGTGCCTCCGCTCTCAACAAGCCTCCTCTCAGCGTGTAGTATGACCACCATTATTCTTTTCGTCGTGTGAGTTCTCCGGCAGCTATCCATGCGACGGGCGAGGTCTAATGCTCCCTCAAGAGTGGTCAAGGAAGGCGGCATTCAGACCCTCCTCCAAGTGTCCTTCATCATCCTCTGCGGCACAACCGTCGCAAACCTTGTCTGCATACTCCTCTGGCCTCAACGCGCCACCAAGAACCTCCAGGATGCCATGACCAAAACGCTGCAATCTTTCTCCACACTGTTGGAGATGCTCACGGACACGTTCCTCCTTGAAGACTCGCTCCGGAACCTCACGAGCGACAAGCTGCAGAAGGCCGCGCAGAGCCACCAGGCGAGCTTCACGAGCCTCAAAAAGCACTTCGAGGAGGCGCAGTCGGAGTGGCTCTTCGGCGGGCCGAAGAAGCCGCGCGGCGACAAGACGGGCAGCCTGCACGAGAGCTCTGGCCAGGCGTACCAGGATGCGATCGATTGTCTGAACCGGCTGGGTCAGCATCTAAATGGCTTGCGAAGCGGTACTACGCTCCAGTACGAGCTGATCAGGGCGGAGAAGGACGGGAAACTTGTGCTGAAGAACCATCATCCTAGTACGCCTAGTGGTACAGTGCCGGATTCGGAATCGTCTGCGACAGTTCGGGAGGACGACGACGCTGCCATGTTGCAGGCCGCTGCTGCCATGTTCGGCGATCTCATCGACGACCTCGGTCCTCCGCTGAAGGCGCTGTCGGTACGTTCTCGGCCGTACTTCCCTGTCACTTAAGCGTACTGACAGGGAACTGTACCAGACAGCGTGCATAACTACACTCAAGCGGCTGAAGGACGGGTTCACCAAGCGTGCAGACCCCGTGAATCGTATCACCTCCGCAGAGTTTCAGCAGCTCGCGGACGCCGTGCGGAGGGCTCTTTTTACATTCGAGAGCACCTCCAACCATGCTGTGGTACGACTGTATAGACGTCAGCAGAATATGCCTGGCACCCAGTCTCGAGACTCGTACGGCTCGGTGCTTGACGAGAACCACGTGCTGACTGGGAACGACGGGGAGAGTGTGTTCTTGGTGTACTTGTGAGCGCATTGTAATCAGCTGACCGATGGACATCTACTGACAACGACCCGCGGCAGCTTCATCTTCACACTGCAAGAATTTTCGAAGGAGCTTATTGCGCTTGTCGACGCGCTGGAACGCCTATATGCTGCAGAACACGAACGGGCGAGTCCACGGATGAGTTGGAAGTGGCTGCGAGACGCTGTCAGTATCTCGGGTCCGCGCAGTCATGCCCGAAACAAGCGCAACGAGAGGAGCCTCAGCAAGCGATTCTGTGCGTTCATCACTCAACTCTGGTCATCATCGCTCTCACATCCGCGCAGCTGTGTACTTCAACCCGGGACCCCTCCGTGACCCTATAGCGTTCCCGAAGATCAGGCCACATGCACCGAACACGATGCAGACCCCCGCGCGGTCACACTTGACATATATCGGCAGGTTGAAACAATCGCTGTGGGCCATCGGGGCTCGGATGAAGGAGCCTGATATCAAATACGCGTTCAAGACTGGAATGGCTACGGCGATGCTTGCTGCGCCTGCCTTCTTTGACTCCACTCGACCGGTGTTCATGCACTACCGTGGGGAATGGGCCTTGATCTCGGTAGCTTGTTCCCTCTTAGTGAAGCTCGTTGCCATACTCACTGTATACGTGCTAGTTCTTTGTCGTCATTTCCCCGACCATTGGAGCAGTAAGTCCACATCTCAGGTGATCCCCGCGACATGATGTGCTCATAGTCTCAAGACCAATTTCATGGGCATTCATCGAGTATTAGGTACACTGTGAGTGTACACCCACGTGTCTTCGGTTGATAGCATAGTTGACGCGATTCGTACACTTAGTCTCGGGGCAGCGATTGCAGCTGGAATCTGGACGCTCTTCCCAGAAAACCCATACGCTCTCTCGATCTTCGGATTCTTCTTCTCTATCCCCTGCTTCTACTACATCGTCGCAAAGCCACAGTATGCGACGTCGTCTAGGTTTGTGCTGCTGACGTACAACTTGACGTGCTTGTACTGGTATGGTCCATCTTGAAGTTCCTCGTCGCTGTGCCTTGCTTATGTCCTCTAGCTACAACCTGCGACGGAAAGACATCGATGTTCTCAACATCGCTTACCATCGAGCAGTGGCGGTGACGGTTGGGGTCATATGGGCAGCGATCGTATCGCGCTACTGGTGGCCTACAGAAGCACGACGCGCCCTCAGTAAAGCTCTCGGAGAGTGAGTAGCCCAGCACGCATACCCTTCACCTACTGTATGCTGACGTCTGTCGATCAGGTTCTGTCTGAACATGGGATGGCTATACACGCGCTTGGTCGCTTTTAACTCCTTCGCCGATGCTGAGTTGCGAGCTATGGAGGAGGATGCCGACGCTGATGACGAGGAGTCATCGCCCTTTGTGCCCCGGTCACGGAATGCACATCTCACCAACTCCATTCATGATTTCATGGCGATGTAAGCACGATGCTGCTGTATGCTACACGGATCTAACTGTCTGTCCGCAGGGAGCTACATCTGCAGATCAAGCTGATCGAGATCCAGGGCTTGTTAGCTCAGACGCAACACGAGCCTCGGTGGAAGGGCCCTTTCCCGGTCGCTTTGTATCGGTCGATCTTGACCAGCCTGCAGAAGATATTGGATCAGTTGCATAGCATGCGATGTGTTACGGCGCGGGAGGAATGGTGAGTAGTATCGTGAATTGTCGCCGAGCATGATCTGAAGACTCATGCAGGCATACGGTACATGGCTCAACAACATGATGATGATATGACTACTAACGTTCTGAACCACAGACTGTTCGTCGCGACTTCATTGTACCCGTCAATAGAGAGAGGCGCGAGATGGTCGGGAACATCATTCTCTACTTTTCAACTTTATCTGCTGCATTCGCGTTGAAGTCACCACTTCCTCCGTACCTACCACCGGCTGAGGACGCACGGATGCGTCTGGCAAGTCCCTCCCCGTCGTGTGCTCAGCAAGGCGAACTGACGGTATCAACAGGTGGACGCAATCAGGAAGCTCGACGTCGTTCGCAGTCGAGACGTACGAGGGTCGAGACAGCTCCTCTTCTTCGCCTACGCACTTACCATGAAAGGCGTCATACAAGAGCTCAACTTCCTCGGACACACCCTTCAAGACGTCTTCGGTGTCATAGGACAGACTCGGGAAGAGTTCGAGGCATTATTCAATGTGACAGATACGCCCAATAACGTCTAACGTGTCCACCGCACTGCGTTTATTCCCAGTCCTCGTCGGACGATACTTACGATGCATTCTTGTTCATACCGTTCTCAGTCATGTAACTAATAGCACACGGATATAGATAGAATAGACTCCAGTGCAGATTGAGTTACGCGCTTGATAGGATGGGTCACTGCAGAACCATTCGCGTACACTTCACGGCTGTGTATCAATACAAAACAGATGTTACGACGTCTTAGTCCTTTTCTTTCTCCTCCCGCCCGAGCCCGACTGCTCGTCCCCCTGCATTCTCGCCAGCAACGACGTCCGGGGCGTCGGACTACTCTGCCCATTACCCGCGCCCGAAGCTTTCGCTGCGCCCTTGATGCTGAAGCCCACCACCGGGTTCTTGCCCGAATCTTGCTTGCCCTGGCGTGGCTGGGTCATTGACACTGGTGCCGAGTCCACGCGACGCTTCCCAGTTTCTGCTCCGCGATCTCCGGCCGGGCTCCCTTTCGAGGGTGCTGCCATGCGGCTGAGCAGCGACGGGGAGTCGTCGATGCCGCCCCCCTTCTTCGCGCGCTTCGCAGCCCGGGGCTCGTCCTCCTGAACTATCGCGACGTGCCCGTTGCGCGCGGCCGCACCTGCGATGGCGAGTCCTGCTAGAGGGCGCGTTTGGGATGTTGATGCACGCTGCTGGGCCGTCCGCGACGTCGATGGTGTTGATGGTGGCGCCCCGTTCGTCGGCATGCTCGTCGTTGGACGAGGCGGGAGACCCGCAGGCTTATCTTCATGCTTGCGCTTGACGTTCATGATGCGCCGCTCCGCCTTGGGCGAGGTGCCGCCGGGGCTGGTGCTGGTGTTGACGCTGCTACTCGTACCTTGTGGGACGTTAGTAGTCGCGGGTGCTGCCGGGGGCGGCGCGGGCACGGGGGGCCTGCTAGCAGGCTGGAGAGACTGCTCAAAGAGAAGAGAGAAACGTGTCGGAGACAAGCGGCTAAAACGAAAGACGGCCCATTGCGAACCCTGATGACACTCTGGATGTCCTGCTCGTTGTCCACCTTCGCGTCTTGGTCTTGCGCGGCGAGTAGCTTCTGGATGCTCTGGAGGGAGCTCTGTAGTGCTGGAGGCAGTGCCCACTTGTACTCGGTGTGATGCTGCAACGTTTAGCCGTTTGGTGAGACCGTGGCTTGTAGACGAGATACTCACGCGGAGACAGATCTTGAGAAAGATGTGACAGGCTTTCCAAGGCCGTTGCTCGGAAGTGAACTGCGTTTCTGAGAAAACCTGACAGAGGTGTTCAGTGCAACAATGGTCGGCATAGGCATCGTCCACACCTGTAGGTATACAAGACACAAATCGGGTGTTTGCCTGCGCAAAGCCGCATCCTCTTGCGGGGGCATACTTGCACCTTCGAGAGGGCTGGCTTCACAAGCATCGAGAATGTCGCCGACACTGGATATCACGAACGCTCGTGCGTCCTCAGTGAGTCCAAGCAGAGTGGCTTTCGCAGCAAGTTGGGAGGTAAAGTGGAAGCGTAGCAGATGTGAGGGATGCGCCACGCGCTTCTGGACGGCGATGTATGAAGCAAGCTCCAGGTAGTACCGAGAATCAGTCAGCGGCGATTGTGCGTCAGAGGGCAAGAGGTCAGCCTTGAGAGACGCTTTGGCCTTCTCCAGGACGGCGTCAAGTAGTTGTTTGCCGCGTGGCGAGCTGGGCTTGAAGGATGGCAACGACAACAGTATGTCCTTCACAATGATGTCTATATCTGTCGGAGCCAGTTTGTCGACCGCCTGCAGTATGTCTTTCAGCTTGTGCATACGCGCAGTGAGAACGCCACACATACCCTCAATAATCCGCTGACAAGGGTCTCTTCTGCTGCGCTACCGGGGGTACTTGTATGCCGTTCTACGGCACGCTTCGCTTCACCTGTCATGAATGCTAACACCAGCGAGCGTAGTCGTGTTCGGATGGCTTGCTCCTCTTCGTCCAGGGGTTCATCAGGCGGCACAATCTGATCACACAGGACACCTAGCGTGACAGCAGGGTCCATGTCGAGGTGTTCGGAGAGCATGCGCTTGACGACTGAGACTTCGTCTGGTTCATCTGATGCACGGGGGATGTGTCAGCTACGAGCCACCGTAAGGCTAGAAAGTCAAAGGCACGACATTGCGAGACGTGGCGACGACAGACAGCAATTTATCGGTGGACGAGACTCACCACTCTGTAGCAGTTGTACCAGCACGTCCGCATTCCTCTTCACCCACTTTGGCTGTTCCTTCGACACGTCTGCAATTGCTCTGTACCCGCATATTCGGACCTGACAAGGGTTATAACGTCCAATCCGCTCTAGTATGAACCCTGGATGAGCATACCTTTGTCACCTGGTCTTCACAGAGGTCATACACCGCGTTGATGGCATCGTCTTCAAGGTCAGGAAACTCCTTGATAAAGATCTTGAAGTTCTGAGCCACGATGATCTTGAGCTTGGAATGGGGAGAATGTGCTAAGTCAATGAGTCGTTTCAAGGCCTCTTTTCTCTACCGGACAATGGATGAGACGACGCAGAGCAAGCTATGTAGTGACCATGACATACGTGAGCCGTCTTTGGTGGTGACCGAAAGGCTTTGCGGAGGATGTCGTTGATCTCCTTCTCCTGTTCGTCGAGGCTTCTACCTTCCATGGTCGAGTAGGTCAATATGCGAGAGGCAACCAGGACGTGCTCTGTGGACGCCACACTCGGACTCTACCACACTCCAAATACGCACAAATAAGCGCCATTCACTCACCAGCCTTCATGCACGTGCACAACCTCAACTCGAGTCTCGCTCTCATCAACCCTTACTATTAGTACCTTTGAGACTTTGCAGCTGGTACTCGGCAGGGATAACTCATGGCATCTCATGCACAGATATCACAGTCCGGGGTCCGCAAGAGCTCAGGAGGTGGTGTCTATCAGCGTCCGCAGCATACAATCTTCGTTATGCGTAGTGAGTACAATGCAACAAACGTAGCTACTAAATGTCCTATTCGATCATCAATCCCTGTGAAGCCTACCGCGTCAGTGTGGCCACATGTGCGGGATGATTCTTCGCTTACGAGCGAGTTCAGCACGATCCATACGTCGGCGCCGGCCCATCCGGTTCGAGCGAGTCCCAGAGCACTTCGAGGCCGTCCTTCGCCGCGTCTCCCCAAGGGGCAAGGATGTACTCGCCCAGGTACGTAAGCGAGCGATTGACAGCCTTGATTATAGGCCTGAGGAGCTTATCTCGATATGCCTGTATCATAGCTAGCTCTTCTCCTGGTGAGCCCGCAATGCATGTCTCGAGCCACACGAGCGCGTCGAAACTTTCCACGAACGAATGGACTAATTGGTGTCGCATTCGCAGGTCGTCCTCCATGATCGTACGGATCGTCTTTTGATGGAGGGCCCCTTGCCACCATCTCAAAAAGGAGCTTCCCATGCGAAACGGCTGTATTGGTGCCTCGTGTCGCTGTGCGCGGATGCTGGCGTCGAGGTTGAGTAGGTCATTGAATAGCCGGCGTTGTATGACGACTCTTTGCGCAACGACGCGGCGTGGATCATCCGCGAATTTAGGATCCACTTTGACGTTTGCGGAGATGAGCTCCTTGGCCACGGGAGGAAGGGTGTCGAACGTCTCGCCCGCGAGCGCGTATTCCGCGAGGGTGTATATCTGGTCGACACAGGGATTGATGTTCCCGAAGCGTCCCATGATGAACGGGGGATGACTGGGGAGCGACGCGATGACTTGCTGTATCCTGGCCTCTCCATGGCCGCTTTTATAGCTGACCGCATCGCGATGAGTGGCCCGCTATGGTAGGGGCGTCCACGGGTGACCGGCCCCGCGAGCCACTCAGCTAACCAATTTTGTTGGCTATCCAGGTTCAGGTGGCATTGTCCGCTTGATGCGGCTCACTTGAGTCATTGGCGTGGCATGGCTCTGGTTTGAAGTCAGTTTTCTGTGACGCAAGTCCGAAAATGCACCATCCTTGCTGGACTTCAAATCAACGTAAGTAGCAACTAATCAACGGGATGACCAGATGGTAGAAGATGAGCCTCAAATGCCTTTACGCCCCAGCTGTGGCTCTCCTTCCCAATCATGGCTACACGCTCGCCCATCACATTCAACTTATACTTGTTACAACTCAACGGCGATGGGGCGTTCAGAACCCTGGATGAACCCAGCTCATATCCAAGTCATGCACTCCGCTGACGATGGTCGCCCCCTCCTGACGCGATGTGTTCCCTGTGCACGCCTCATATCCGCTCAGCTCAGTGCGCCCTCTTTTCGGCTTCCTTGGGCGATTGATCCTGCACATTCAGTGGCATCCTCTTATGTACGTCAATCACTACGATTTTCGGAAATCTAGTAACTGGTCCGTGAGCTTCTGCGATAGGTGTGAATGAGCCCCTCGTGCATACTTCCCAATACACCAACACACTAGGCTGAAATGTCAACATCATTCCCTACTGTGCAGAGGTATGAATGGTCACTCGCATCTCGAGGGGTTTGTCAGCTTCATTGAATCATTGGTTGCCACGACATGATACTTGAGAGGGACGTGCGTGCCGTCGAGGATACATACCAAGATTAACGTCCCAACAATCATGTACGGTGAAGCCTTGAAGCCCTGATGCTAGTCTACTAACTTCGAAAGTCCATGGGAAAACTGCTGTAGGGGAGATGAACTGCGGCGGATGAACGAATGTACACTATCATAGGAAGGTCCTCAATTTTCAATTGATGTTGATCACAACTCACCCCGACCGCTCGCCAGGCCATGGCTATTGCTGGCTTACTTACTGGCAGCAATGTCAATCTCATTGGGTCGGATGCAGGGTGGTACTGGGGTGGTACCAACTGTGAACGTACGACGTTAATGCATCAACATCCGCTTGGCCGCTGGCAGGAAGCCCGGACACGGTCGTCGCAAGTCTCGGGGGTCTATCGCTGGCTTTATTTCCACATTGATCTAGTCTTCGCCGTGGTGCAATCTGCGCCACCTGAAGTCGCCTCGAGAGATTCAATGAGGGGTCGATGTGTCGACAAGTAGTAAGTACTGTACTTAAGTACTGGTTCAAGTTGGGGCTGCGGCGCTATGCGGCAGCCGACGGATCTAGGCAAGATCCGGATCTGAGCGCCAGTGGCTCGGAAGCGCTGGACGAGGTAAACTCTAATTGGAACTTGGCGATACTTGCCTCCGAGTCAGCTCCCCCTGTGCCCGTACGACGAATTGTCCACATACTCGACGACCTCCTTCGCAAGGGGATCCCATGTCATATCTACCGAGGTCAACTGTGCCATACACATTCAGGTTTATGTAAGCTCCTTGACGTCCGAGTTGCCTGGACTTGCGGAGGCTCCGGGTGCGAGAATTCGCAGTGTTCCAAGGATCTCATCGTTTCAGCAGAATCTTCCTTTCATATTCGCGAGCTACATCTCATAGTACATGACGTCCAGATACTTCTGAGAAGGCACTACATCAGCTTCGAGTCTGACGGAACGACAGTGTGCTGAGAACCTACTACTATAGGCCTTGCCCCCCGTTTGCAATGTGCATCCGTCGATATATATGATCAATTTCCAACGCGGTGCATGATAGGGTTAGAGAGCATGTGGAGGAGCCATTCATCCAGCAGCCGCCCATTCTCCCTGAATTGCCTGAACTTCAGGTCCAGCCGCTCCGTGGTGCAATAGACCACGTCTTGGATGCTTGCATTGCTCCTGAGAGCGTCGAGGAACCTCGTAGAGCCGCCGTCACCACCGATCTGGTTGACACAGAATCGAACAGCGGTCGGCTCGTAACCCGCGTTGACCAGACGTTGTCGACATTCCTGGATGGCTCCCTCGAAGGTCGGGTCGTCGTCGTGGTCCGGACAGCCGTCGGTGATAACGCAAATCAAAAGGGGCCGTTCAAGAAGGCGGCGGCTGTGGATCTGACTACCTAGGATATCGTAGACCAATGGCTTTAGGATGTGATTGCGTAAAGTGGCGCCTAGTGCTGTCCCGCCGTTTGGTTCCATTCTGTTGAGTACGTTGAGCACATTGGCGGCGGGAATGTTGTCCTGTGCCTGTAGAAGCGCATTGATGAACCGCAGATCGACGCCGTATGGATGGGGCAACGCGCGCGTCGTGATACTGGCAATGCGGGCCACGGCATCGCGTAGAAGATCCCAGCGACTGGGCTCGTCCAGTGTCATCGAGCCACTGTCATCGCAATATATGACCGGGCGATACAAGCTCAGGCGTATAAGTCGCTCGACATTCTGCCTTGTGATGGGGAACGAGCGGCCGTCGTCTTGGAGTCTCGACGCATTTCCCTCGACCGTCTTGACGAACGCATCGTCCTCTTTGAAGAACTTCTGCAAGTGCGATTCTGCGACGTATTCTGCGATGACTTCATGTGCTTCCTGTACATCCAATGCCTGACATGCACACGTTCCTCAGCAACACATACAAGATACCAAGGGCGCTCTAGATCAGAGAAAGATGTCCTCACCGGTGCGGTAGTGACCAAGGATACATCCAGTGCAGACATCCGCTCCAATAGTAGCACCCGAGTAGTGGACGGAAAGTCTTGCTCATCCATAATCGACTCGGACTCCAGGCCATTCGCGCCCTTTACAACCGGCACTGCGATCCCGTTACCATCGTTCAAGTCGGCATCCTTGCGGCGTCGTATCAGCTCCCATGAATAAGGTGCAGAAAACAATATATGTACCTTGTCAGCGTAGGAAATTGCCGAAGTATTGTCCTGGATCGGAGTTGGATGAGTCGTATCAGGCTCCGATACATACTCCACGTCAGCATCTCGTTGAGTATCCTTCTCCGAGAGGTCCGCGGGCAATATGTCGGGACTCGAAGGCAGGAAATACGCGATAACGATCCCCACGACACCACATAGTGCAGCAATGATGAATCCCCATCTGTGTGCAAGCTCTAGTTAGATCTGATGCATGTTTAGACGAACTCAATACTGACTGCTTGCGAAGGTTATCGTCGATGGTCGCGAAGGCGTGAATGCCGGCTATGGCACCTGCGGTACCGAAGGCTGCGGTGACGCCGTAGAAGGATCCTCTATAAGTGACTCGTTAAAACGGGTTTCATCATGAGAGGTCTGCGATGAAAGTTTACCTCACGTTCGAAGGGTATGATCTAAGACGACTTGTCAGTTCAGTCTGGCATGAGATGCATGCATGATCGACTGACTCAGAGGCGATGAGGCTAAGTAGATTTCCGGGGCCCTACGTATTTCTCAATGAGCACGTCAATGTCTTGTCGTTGTCAAGACTCACTAGGTTTCCCATGAAGAGCATAAGAGCATAGCTGCGGAATTTTCAGTCCAGATGTCATGGCCAGAGATGAATTGCACATACAGAACAACGAGTAGAGGAGTAACGTTGAGGAGGCGGTCGTACGCGCAACCGATAATGAGAGCTGTGATCATAATCAGCCGTGGCATTCACAATGGTGATACAGCCGCCTACGGCAGCCGCCGCGGGAGGCAAGCGACTTACCGAAGATCACATAACCGACGAATGAGACGAGGATCTGTTTGTGATACCGGACGTTCAATCGAAGTGTTTAGACAGAACAACCACGAGACTCACCAAGTTGCGCCTCCCGATAGTATCGCAGACCATGGCGCCCGCTAAGCTTCCACTCAGAGCGAACACGACCAGAAGCAGTCTGTATCCTGCCGTGCGCCATATGTCTCCGTCCACTAGGGTCAACAGTATACCCCCGGAAAAGACGAGTTTGGGGTATACGACCTTACGTTGAAGCGTCACGATCATCGTAGGTCGGATACTCAAACTACACACTCACAAAATCGTACACAAACCTACATCAATGATTAATGAGAGCGTTATTGACGAGAGCAGGTGTGAGCACTTACCAAAGGCAAGCCGTGCGCACCATCGCGACCCAGTGTTGCTTAGCCTCCGAAGAGTACATAGACAGATCTGCCAAAGTCGACGCCATCAGATCACACTGATGAATCGGCGAGGTCCTGGGCCAGCAGGCACATACACTTCATCGCGCGACTCCTCAACCTACATCGAGATCGTTATCTATACTGAGGTACGAGCGATCATGACGGCACTCACCGTCTCGACGTAGTACGTGGAGTGCTGTAACATATTGCTGCGAGCGGGATGACAATCCCTATTCCGATGCAAACCGGCCAGACGGTGTCGAGGTGTCCGGGCTGTGCCGCGGCCAACACGATAACGAATACGATGGTAGCCAGCATACCTCCAGCCTGCATCTGACATCAGAGAAGCTCGTTGGCATGGAGGGTATACGTACATTGAACACAAAGTTGGTCATCATCACGAATGCTAGATTGGTACCATGGTCAACGAAACGCAGATCATGTAAGGAAAAGGTCGGATTACCTCTCCCACTGTGAGCTGTCTTCTCGTTGATAATGTCAAAAGCGGTTGTTGATGCTGTAGGGTACGTGCCACCGATGCCCTGAGAACGTTCAATACCAAGTCGACAGCATGATCAGGGAAGGTTCGTACCACACCCACGATGCCACGAGCAATAGTGCCAAACCACATCAAACCCGATGTGTTTCCTTGCACACCACGGGAAGCCGTACACAGCACGGAACCTAGGACGACTAGAGCCATCGAAACATACAATGCGAATATTTGGCCTATGCTATCGCAGAGCATTCCAAATGCGACTTGTCCAATGAATTGACCTTGTCCAGTATGCAAAAAATGAAGATGAAGGTATCGGAGCTTGCGTGTCAAGACGTACCCACAAGGAGTCCATCCCACAAGTGTAGTAGAATCTTTGTGTTGTAGCCTGGCATGTACAGTGTTTCGTACACGACCTACAGCCATGATAGGTCAGGTTAGTAATCGTGTTCATTAACCGAAGTATACGCACATCAACCATGATTAAGATATTGAAGATGTCTAGACGACGCATGCGGCCCCATCGAGATCGTCAGGCTATGTATGACTGGGTTCTGCGTAGGAGAGCTTACATGCGACGGACAGCATGGTGAGGGCGACCATGGCAGAGGTCTTCTGCGAGCACGCCGTGACATCCTCTCCTTGCCTGAGAGGGTGGCCAACGGCGGGCTCACTGAAGACGACGGGATGTCCGTCTGTTGTGTCGACAACGTCTTGGGGTGGATGGGGCGACATGGTTGAGCGACAAACACGTACGGCGCTGGCTCGAGGTGTGCATATCCTTAAGTATGTCCTGTCTCCGTGAACACTCTGCGCGTGTCATGCTTGAATTCGAACATTCGCAGAGAAGATTAGCGAGGAGCATCCAGTGACACGAGGACATACGTACGGCAGGCATCATCGCAAAAAGGGGATACTGACATCCTACGAATGGCAATGTTGCGTGAGGTGAGCTATATTCTGGTAGGGTCCTTGGTCATATTGCCTATGGAAGACGTCCATCCAACCACAATCGTGACCACGTTTCACGCTTCCGATGGGTTTGGCGTCTCCGTTATCGCAGAATAGGATGTGCTGAAGTGACCGATGCGCAAATAAAGCAAGAATGTTACCTTGTAGTATCCGCCATCGCTGTCCTCGTGGGGGGAGGATGCTGCCTTGGGGTTGGCTTGGGCAGGATCGGCTTTTGCCCGTGAAGAAGTAGTATGCACTTGTCGCTGTATCCCAACGAACTGATCCACGTGCGCACCATTGTAAGCCATATTCGCGTTCGTTAGATTGATGGTAGAAACACGCGGCTGCACGAATCGAAGGTGCATTGAAGGGGGAAACAGATCCGGAGAATCTAGTCGTCGTAGCAGCCCAAGTCGACGCTTGAACTCTTTGGGGCTCAGTGACGTCTGTGCCGCCGCGTTATGTTTCCTGTTTCTGCTGCACTAATGTCATGTCGTCAGTTTATTGAGGTTCAAACACGAAGATGATCAATGTTATGTAGAGAGTGCTCACGAGTATACGATTCGGGATAGACTCGAAGTTGAATTTTTGCGATGCACACACCGCGATCGGCGATAAGCGATGTTGATCGACGGTACCCGGTGGCAAGTACTGGCAGTGAGGAGAGCCGCACCGTCCGCGCGTCAGCCCACCTCCAGTGTCAGCGGACCGTGTTTACTCAGGCACTGCCCTTCTGTACTAATCCGAGCCCATGATTGTCCAACTCTTCGCCTTAGCCCTCGCCCTCTTCCTTCCGCTCGCCCACATCTACCGCCAGCGCCGCCAAGCAGCCGCCTCCACCAAACCGACTTCCGACAGCGAGAAGAGCGAACCGAATTCCGTCATGCAGCCGCCCCGCGACGACCTCACGTCCCCGAAGGATGCCCCGATTACACTGGAGGAGCTCAGGAAGTACGATGGCTCGGACTCGTCGAGGCCTATCTACGTCGCGATCAAGGGTGCGTCCGCCTCGCGTTAGCTCTCGATTGCTCTTCATCGCGGAATATGTGCGTTGCATAGGCACGGTCTTCGACGTGACGCGCAAGGCGGACACGTATGGGCCGGGGAAGAGCTACAACCTGTTCGCAGGGAAGGACGCCTCGAAGGCCCTCGGGATGTCGAGTCTGAAGGAGGAGGACGCGGTGTCGGACTATAGCGCACTGTCGGAGGCGGACTTGAAGACTCTGAATGACTGGCACGACTTCTTCTCGTACGTCAGGATCTCGCCATGGGTTCGTGCCGACTTACATACGACTTGCCCTCGGCACGCAGGAAACGATACAACGTCGTCGGCAAGGTCTCCGACCTCCCGCCCATGGCGAATGGCGGAGGACAAGCAAACCTTTGACGCCTACTCGGTTCATTTCACATCCACCATCTGCGTTATCGTCTATGCAACCCATTGTGCAACAGCAATTTTCCCGCGCGTTAGTTTCAACCATGATGAAGGGTTCGTCTTGCTTGGTATGTAGAATTTATTGATACTCAGTGGTCGCATCTTCTATAGTAAAGGAGCATGGTTTTCTTATGGAAGGTGCCAAACGGCTTGCCTGATTGGGACTCACCGCGGGACTCACCGCCTTGCTCACGCCTATACCGTTTTCCCTGCATCCCCGTCTGTTAGCGCGCGCATCCCCGTCGTCCGCACTGGGCGCTCATGTCCGCGATCTGAGCAATGCTCTTTGCACTCGCGCCTAGCCGGGACCGTCGTCGCGGAAGCAGCTGCGAAGGCACCTGTGATGAAATGACGAGTGGCACGGTGGTTCCATGGCTGGCTGGGCAGAGACGCGCGGTATGTTACTACGCGCGGTATGTAACATACCGGGCGCGCTTCTGATGTTCACTGGCACGGCAGATATAATCGCGAGGCGGGAGGAGAGGATAGGCGAGGGCTGGCGTTGATACTCTAGATCTCTTCTCGCTGCGCTGGCCAGCTCTGCTACATGTCCTCCCCGCGTGCCTCTGCTCATTGGGATGTCGTGGATATGGAGCTATGCCGGTGACTGCGGGCTTCAGTGTGCTTGGGAGAGGCTCTGAATCGCCCGGGCGAGAGGAGCCGGGTATGAGCTCGAACTCCAAAGGTCGCCTGGCGGTCATGGGTGTCAATGTTGAAGCTTCTGTGTTGTTGCTTTCGCTTTGATGCATAATCTCTTGCGAAGGCACGGGTAGCCTGCTAGTGCGTTCGAAAGGGTGAGGTGACTAATGCCTGAAAGAACATTGGTACTCAGTACGTGCTCAATTTAATGTGCCCCACGCAACGAACTTGGGCCTATCTTGGGACAGTATCTTCCTTGGCATTCGTCCTTCTGCTCTGATGCGTCATGCGTGTCCACCTGCACGACCCTCCTTGTAACCATACCAGATAGGGAACCCGACATCGGCCGACGTTTTCGTCTCTCCCGCGCGTTCCCATCACGCGCCAAAACGCATCTTTCGTGCGCATTTGCGGACGAGTCTTCAAAAAGTTCGCGCCAAGGAATATTGCCTGTCCTGGTAAGGTTCTGCTATATGGAGTTCAAAGCCGGTCCGGCGGTAACAACGACAGCTGGACGTTCATTTCGTGGTGTCTTGGACTACGGACCGTTCAGGGGATGATGGAGTCTCCACCGCTGCTCGCCAACATCCTAGGATTGCAGCAAACCTCGGCCTCCCAGCATCCGTGCGAGTGCTAGGTTATCGCTCCAGCGATATTTCCCGCTATTTCTTCTGCCGCATGCTCTGACTTCTACTTATGTGCCAAACGCACCCCGGCCTTGTATTGGCAGAAGGACGTCCATTTTAGCAGACGAAGCTTACGGTACGTCACCAGCTACCTCGCGAAGCCATCCGTTGATCACGCTCCCTACAGGAACGCCGCACATAACCATGTCGGCCACCCGCATTCCCAGATTCGACTCGCGCCGTGTGGACTTAGAAGACTGGTCGGGCAAACGTCCATCGCGAAGCCAGCGGATGCGCCGTAAGGCCATACGGTTGGATGATAGTTGAGGTGTTTCTCCGTCACGGTCTTTTTGTGGTTCGGTGGTCTGACCCAGGTGGGGCTCCTTGGATCGTCGCCGCTGTACAGTAGTGGTTCAACATTCAGGAGGGGCCTGTGTCTTGAGCTTGAGCTTGAGCACCAGCTGCTCTCCGAACGGAGAAGATGTGCGCCCAGACGGCTTAGTCTCCAGAGCCTCATCTGGACTGTATCGCAATTCAGCCTCCCGGATGCCTGCGTCTGGCATACGAGTTGACGTTGGCGTGTGGTCGTGATCCTATCAGGTAAGCCTGATTGATTAGCCCCGTCCGCACCCACATTGACTCGTCCACTGCCTCTTCCCCCGCCGCGCCGCTGCTCAGCATCTTTGCAATAGTGGCCCGGACTGTCGACGCACGAATCTCCATCGTCAACGAGGCGGTCCCGTGTGCGCCCGGGAAGGCTAGGGCGACGCCACGAAGGGGTGCGTAGGCGTCGCACACACGTTGTGTTCGATACGCTGGCCTGGGAGGCACGCGAACGGACGGGAGCCGTCATACCTGTCACGTACGTCAGAGACGTACCTCCGCAACTCCGCGACGACCGGCGGGCGTCCCGCGGATGTCCTCCGTACGTACGGAGGCCCGGAACATTCCCCGGATTTGTCTCCAAGATGGACATTCAGGTCCGTTTGCGGGGTATAGCGTGGTGTGGTTGAATTAGGATCTCTGTCGGGACGACGTTAGCCAGCATGCGCATATGATCAGACCACACAGCTCGCCGCGGAAGAAGAGGTCGGAAGACTTTGCCGGAGGTGCGTTATGTGGCACCACGAGCTTGAGGTTGGCTAACATCTGGCATGCAGTGGGCTGACGATTGAACGAGGACTGGGCTGATGTAGGTTGTGGTTTATACAGAATTCGGATGGTACGCGCCTTTCGAGTCACGGTGTGGCTGATACGCGTGGTCGATATGCCAACGGGCTGGCATGCTCGCCTCGAGAATAACGATCGAATGCCGGCCGCAAGACGATCGCGCTTGGCAGGACGAGCCGATGTCTATGAGCATACTTTGAGCATACTGGACGAGCCGACTACTCGATTTGCCAGCCCACCCACGGTGCGTGACCTAACTGACTCGATGACACTTCATCCGCGACTCACCCGCGCTTCGGAGCCGCACTAGTACTGCCCGCGGGATCCTAGTGTACTAGTGTCCCAAATACGGTTGAGCGCAGGACTTCATTAGATGAAAGTCATCAATGGGATCGCACAGCTGCTAGTGCCAAGGGGCGAGCTCTGCACCGACTCGGTCGCGTTCTCGGGCCTCCAGTGTTCTGTTCGTCAAGCATTGCGTGCGCGAACAGACTACCCCCATGGCCGCGCACTATCTAGATAGGTGGCGTCGTTGTGGCTGTAGAGTGCATAGCGGATCAAAGCTAGGACCTGGTACTGCCCCTCCGACGAAGCCGAATCTGCAATCGGTGAGCGTCTTGCGAGTGGTCAATTGCATATCCGCCAGGATGCTGAGAAACGCGTCCGCGCGCATGCAGACCGCAGCACAAGTGGTGCTCTGTCCCCAGGCGCTGCTAGGATGACTACACTAAATAGCACCGCATTCTTGCGATCGGAGGCCGGAATGTTCTTCCAATCTGCGGGCGCATGATAGGATTGGGAACCTACGTAGTCGAGGATTATACTTGTTGTGTGGTTGTTTGGAAAAACTGCGTCTTGACAAGCATGATGTCCGCAACCATCCTCATGGAGGCCGACAATGGGAGGTCTCGCACGCTGGGCCTGGCACTCTCCCGTGAGGCTTCCCGTTACTCAATTGCGCGCGTCCGATGAGGTCACTATGCAAGCGTAGGATGCCCAGCCTGTACCGAGTATGTCATTGAGCATGTAGTTACTGTACATGCGCAACACGCAGCACGCGTTGCTTTGCCTGCAAAGCTGCAGGGCCGACGAGTGGCAGGTCGCTTTGACTCTTGAGAAGGACTCGGACGCGTGCGGACACCGGGCACGCGGCGCGCGAGCGGCGCCACCCCGAGTCGGTTAGCGCTGGGGAAGCGCCAGGGATATTAGGCGGACCACGTTCCCATCCACGTTCCCTCCCAGCGAGCAGTCACCACGACTCAAAGCTGACGCGTACCCGCCCGTCGCCTCAAAAGCCCTCGCCGTCGTCCGCGACTGCACGCTCTTCCTCCGCAACCACCACCACCACCCGCAGCGTTCTGCCTAGCCTCGCCCTCGGGCATCGCTCCCCGCACTCCCATCTCTGACCCCGCACCACGATTCCCCCTCCGGTAGCAGCCGCAGCATTGGATCTACTGCCAGCGCGAATATACATACCTCGTCATGGACGCACTCAAATCCCTCGTGCAGCCCCTCGTCGGCGGCGGCGGAGGCTCCGTCATTGACGGCATGAAGCTCGTCGTCCTCGGTGGCACCGTCGAGACCGCGCGACGGATGGCAAGCTCTGGCTGGTGCGTCCTCTCACCCGCCTTCTTATACGCCACGTATCGCTGACGACTCGTGTCTTCCGTGCATCTGCAGGTCACATTTCATAAACTGTGAGTGTCGCCTCGGCCGGTCTTCTGGGCGTATAGAGTCTTTCATACCCGGGTTCATATCCGGGTTGTGTTCGTGGCGTTCGAAGTGTGGCGTCGAAAGTGTGGCTGGAAGGATTGAGGACAGGTCTTGTGAAGTGTGAAGTGCGGCCCAGAGTTCAGTGAAGTGTCGTCGTAGCCACGTTCCTATCGCTCGCCCTTTGACCCGAAGTAGAGCTTCTCGCTGACACATCCACCCACAGCCTTCTTCCTGACAGCCCACTTCTCCGAAGAGGACTACCCGTACGATTGGCTGATGCTCTGGCTCTCGCGCCGGCCAGAATGGCAGCGGTCGCGCGAGTTTGAGACGACGACGCGGACGACGAGCCACGGTTGGGGCTCGGGTGTCGCGGACAACTCGTTCGGCGATGAGGAGGAGGAAAGCGAAGACGCGCCCGGCCGCGTCAAGACGCGCGTCGTCTTCCAGCCTACGACGAACACGACCCACACGATCTATTACAAGGGCCACTGGCTCCGTGTCAAGCGTGGACGCAAGCACGATACGGGCTGCGACATGCTCTCTGTCTCCGTCGTCGCGCGGAACAACTCGATCTTGAAGCAGCTCGTGCTCCAGGCGAAGAAGGAGTACGAGGCGGAGGCAGTCCACCGCATACAGATCTACTTCGCGGACTCGCACGGGTGCTGGCGCTGGACGGACTCGCGGCATAAGCGGCCGATGTCGTCCATTGTGCTGAACCAGGGTGTCAAGGAGATGCTTCTCGCAGACACGAAGGACTTCCTGAAGTCCGAGAAGGTGCGTCTGCCAGTCGCGTGGTGCCATAGACCAGGGTCCTGACGTGCGTGGCGCAGTGGTACGCTGACCGCGGTATCCCGTTCCGACGCGGGTACCTGTTGTACGGTGTGCCCGGCTCTGGGAAGAGCTCACTCATCCATGCGATCGCAGGAGAGCTGATGCTGGACATCTACGTCGTGTCCTTGTCTTCGTCCTGGATCAATGACAGCACACTCACGACGCTGATGGGCCGCGTCCCGGCGCGGTGCATAGTATTGCTCGAAGACCTCGATGCGGCCTTCACGCGAAGCACATCACGAGATGACGCGTCTACAGGTAACCCTGAGGGAGAGAAGAGTACGACGACAGAGCCAGAAACACACACCCGTCACAGTAGCCGGCGGCATAAGGAGCAGCTGTCGGACATCAACACGCTTTCGCTGAGTGGTCTGCTGAATGCCCTCGACGGTGTCGCCGCCTCCGAAGGGCGTATATTGTTCGCGTAAGTAGATACACGCACTCACCTTACACGTGGCTGATGAACCTCTGCAGCACCACTAACCACCTGGAACGCCTCGACCCTGCGCTCTCGCGGCCGGGTCGCATGGATGTCTGGGTTGAGTTCAAGAACGCGTCGAAGTGGCAGGCTGAGCTGCTCTTCCGCAACTTCTTCCCGTCGACGGACGAGGACGACGTTGTGATCGAGGGCGAGCTTGAGGATATTGAGTTGCCTATGCCACCTTCCCCTTCAGCGCAGTCGTCTTCGGGCTTCTCGTCGCTGTTCTCGTCGGGCTCGATGCCATCGACTCCGGTGACTTCTTCAGCGTCGATATCCACGCCGCCGACGCCCGAGGGCAAGGCCACCGGCAAGGCGAGGACGCCGTCCATCGATAATAGTCTGAGGAATCAGGCGTACCTGCCACCACCCGTCGACGATGATATTGCGCAACACTCGGCGAAGCCCCTCGACGGTAAGACGCTGGCAAAGCTGGCCAAGACATTCGCGGATGCGATCCCGGACGAGGAATTCAGCGTAGCCGCGCTGCAGGGCTGTGAGTACCCGTTTGGCGTTGACTGATTGCCATTTTGCTCGTGTGTGCTGCCGCTGGCGCGTGCGCGTGCGGTGTCTCGTTCTCCTCGTACGTGGGCGCGTGTGCGTGGCTCCCACGACGCTGGTGCGTTGCGGTCGAATTAGGAAAGAGAGCTGACTGGCTTGCTTGGCGCCTGTGCGTCGCGACTGCAGATCTGCTGAAGAACAAGTCGCGTCCAGAGTCGGCGGCGACGGAGGCGGCGGCGTGGGTGGTGAGCGAGCGGGAGATGAGGGAGCGGTTGAGGAAGGAGCGCGAGGCGAGGGAGCTCAAGGAAAAGCTCGAGGTGGGCACACATCGATTATCTGATCCTCTTGCCTTATTGGGCACAACGCTGACCAACGCCCCATGTGCCCTATCAGCGCGAGAAACGGCGCAAGGAGCTCCTCGTCAAGGAGAAGAAGGAGGCCGAGCTCAAGAAGAAGGAAGAGGAAGAGGTCCAGCGTCGCCTCATAGAGGAGAAGATTCGCGCAGAAGAGCGCGCGCGTCTCGAAGCGGAGAAGCTCCTCGCAGAGGCGGTGGCGGAGGAGGACGCTGACAAGGAGAACGACTCCCCTGCGGACGACGCCGACGCGAACGGCAGCGAGGATGACAAGGACGAGGCAACGCACGAGGAGCCCTCGTCCCCCGTGGAGGTCCCCACGTCCATGGAGGGCACGCAGATCTGGGTCACGGTCGACTCGAACGGGACGCACGCGCAGGCTTCAGATTGACTAGAAGCTTGCCGTGTGGACTTCCCTCTGGAGACGAAGACCATTTCTGTCGAGGCCACGGACACTCATGATACGGACAGTCGTGATATCGCCGCATCCGCGCAGGTTTCTTACTCTCCATTGCAGCTGGCCGCGCCGTTCCCGACCTACCCGGAGACGGCGCACGCCCGCGCCTCCACCGCGGCCCTCGCGCGGAGGCACGCGGGCGGGTACGCACTGCTGCATCCTCTGTTTCAGTATTGCCTGCTTCATCTGTACCTATTCCTGCACGTCGCTCTGCTCGGGGGAGGTCCATGTGTCTGGTGGCGCGGCGGGCGGTAAGCCTGTCGTCCGCGACGGATCTCCCGTGCACGTTTCGCGCCCCTCCCCCATCTGTGTCTCGCAATTGCATCAGTTGTCGCCAGCAGCCGCTGGACCCGTCTCGCCTGTCGTGCCCCTACAGTACATACAGTAGCTCTTTGCATGTACCTACTTGCTCGTCGTAGAACGCCGATTTGCATTTGACTCTGGACTGTCCGGTGCCTGCTTCTGGAGACTCGGCCCCTGTCATGGTAGGTTCTTCCCACCGCCAGGGTCTGGCCGACGCGTCGCGCGGTGCTGTACAGTATGTCCGGTCCGGCGATGGCACTGTTCACTGTTCAGGCGTGCCACCTCAGTGGCCACGTCCAGCGGATGGCTGTTCCAGGCGCGAGCCGCAAGCGGGAGGAGCTGGCGGTGGCGGCTGCGCCTGGCCCCCCAGCGTGCCGGAGACGCCGACGTGATGCTCCACACTGCGCCGCGCAGAAAGGCGCCCGGCATAGCGCGCGTCGTGGGCTTCCGGATTAGGCGAAACTATTTTGGCGTGTTTGTTCGTGGACAGGTCCGGTCGCATCAGGCGCAACGCCTTTTCGCACATCACGCTCGTTTGTCGCGGTCCTCGACTCCCCGGACGCCCTCCTCCTCCTCCGCCTTTAGTCTCATTTCCGCTCTTTTTCTCCTCTCTTCGACCACCCCCCGCAGTCACCATGGGTTGCGTTCAATCGTCTGGCATCGACGATGAGGCCAAGGCCCGTCAGTGTCTCCATCATGCTTATTCACCTACACGCCTGTACTCAGCCGCTCCTCCACAGGCAATGACGAGATTGAGAGCCAACTCAAGCGGGACAGGATGATGGCGAAGAATGAGATTAAAATGCTGCTGTTGGGTGCTGGAGAGTCTGGCAAGGTGCGTCGCCACGCAGGCCCCTGAACGTAGTGGCAGCACTCACCCGCCCCTGCAGTCCACGGTGCTCAAGCAGATGAAACTCATCCATCACGGTGGCTACAACGAACAAGAGCGGGACTCTTACAAGGAGATCATCTTCTCCAACACCATCCAGTCCATGCGGTACGTCACCACTGTTACCCCTCACTTGTTGAACCTTGCACGACGGAATCTGATATTGATTGTCCCGCTCAGCGCTATTCTTGAGGCCCTCCCCGTACTAAACATCCAGCTGTCGCCTCAGAGCGACGCGCGGAGAGCGGTCGTCTTGTCGTTGCCCATGCAGATTGAAGGCGAGATGCTTCCGCCAGACGTCGCGGACGCTGTTCGTGGGCTCTGGAGGGATCCTGGTGTCAAGGATGCAGTTCGCCGGTCACGGGAGTTCCAGCTGAACGACTCCGCTGTCTACTATTTCAACTCCATGGACCGCATGTCAGCACCAGGCTATCTCCCTACCGACCAGGATATCCTTCGCTCTCGTGTCAAGACAACTGGTATCACGGAGACGACGTTCAAGGTCGGCGAGCTCACATACAAACTCTTCGATGTCGGTGGCCAGCGGTCAGAACGGAAAAAGTGGATCCACTGTTTCGAGAACGTGACTGCCCTGGTGTTCCTGGTCTCGCTCAGCGAGTATGACCAGATGCTGTACGAGGACGAGAGCGTCGTATGTGTCGTTCTATACCCGTGATCGGGTACATACTAATCACTGCCACAGAACCGCATGCAAGAAGCTCTCACACTCTTCGACTCGATTTGCAATTCTAGGTGGTTCGTCAAGACCTCCATCGTAAGCAGTACATTCACCAGTGCGCGGGCCCTGCGACTAATCGCTCTTGTCGCAACAGATCTTGTTCTTGAACAAGATCGACTTGTTCGCGGAGAAGCTCCCGCGGTCACCACTAGGCGACTATTTCCCCGACTACAACGGCGGCGATAACTATGATGCCGCCTGCGACTACCTGCTGCACCGCTTCGTGTCGCTCAATCAAAGCGCGGCGACGAAACAGATCTACGCGCACTACACATGTGCGACAGACACACAGCAGATCAAATGTGAGTAGTCCCAGGGCTGTACCGGCGCGGCCGCTGACATGTGCCCCTCTCCACCCAGTCGTCCTGAGCGCCATCCAGGATATCCTCCTGCAAATTCATTTGCGGGAGTGCGGTCTGCTGTAGGGGCCGCTTAGAGGCACTCACATCGGGTCTGCCGTCGGGGTTTCTGGAAGCTTAATTAACCTGCATTATCTACTGTCTTATTGTCTCCTCTTGTCTCTGGCATCATCCACTGTCGTCCGCCGCGCCCGGGCTCTCCTGTCCCCTATCACTACCACTCGGAGTCTCTGTCCGTCTCTGTCTCTCATACGCTTGATGTCCTTCATGTCCATGTCGCTCTTTTGTGGCTGTATACGTGCGCTCGCCACTCCTGGATCCAGGCTCTTTCATGCTACCCTTCGCAGAGGTGTTCGTACAGATTGTTTTTCTTACTATTCTGTTAGCTGTAGTTATGTCCGGTCCCGCGCGCGCGAGCGTTCGGCCGCTTACTTCGAGTCTTCATATATGAACACCTTAGTCTATATACCTTTCCGATAATATTGATCTCGTCCCCCGGATCCGCGCTGTGCAGGCGACGCTCCTGTCTTGTCAAGCGCGACTTCCCGTCGCCGCCAAGGTGAGTGCATGCGGTACAGGGACAGGAACTGACAGGAACAGGCTCGATCTGGAGGTGCCTTCGGCAGCTCCAGTCTCATCTACGGCTATCGTCACGGTGCTTGGGTGTTCCACCGATGGTCGCTCCCGCTCTATCACCAGGCCTAAGGTGTTTCTCTGATGGACAACTGTGAGTTCGTGTTGATTACTATGCTGTATTACTATTAATTGCGCAATAGGTATGCGAGGTTCTGCTTGTCTTCTTAGGATTCTACGTTGTGCCAGTGATGAAACGATGATGGCGCAGGTCGGGTTCGCAGCAGCGATAGGAGACATAATCCAGGGGACGAGCCGCCCTGACAGTGTAACACCGCGCATACTACTGTGGAGGATGCCCCGAGACAATACTTTGAGCGTCCTACACATCTCACTCCCATTGCCAATGAACAGTTGGATGCAGCCGATGAGCTGGTACTGGTAATGCTTGTGACTTTTCCACGGAGCGCACGCATTCGATGCTAATGACAATTTCACGGCGCCATTGGTGGCCGATGAGTCAACTTACTGTCTCGCATTCTTCTCAGCAGAACGCAGCGACTACTGTCAATCACGCCCATGGGATCTTTTACAGAGCGCGTTTTCCTACATTTCCGGATGAGTCTGCCACGACGCTGCCACCTGCTCCCCACGAGGCTTACCCCGACAGGCAGCCTGGGTAACTGCTTTGCTTTGCTTGTTCTTACTCGTTCACTCACCGAAACTCTGACAGTTCCGGGAGAAGAAGATGCCAAAGCTGCGAGAAGGGCCCAACGTGGCATGACAATGTGTTCGAGCGAAGTTCTGCCTCCAATAACATGACGAGCGCCGCTGTCAAAAATAGGGCTCATTCCCTCGACTCGGTTCGGGGTATGAGAAGGCTCGTTGCTGCTTGCGTCTACGCTCTCGTCCTCGTTCCACAGCTGCTGGTCGCTAAGCTTCTATGCGAACATTCGACGTGACTCTCGGTGAGTTTCCGGACACAAGCAGGATACACTTAAGGACGCAGAGATGATATTTTGCAGTTTGCCGTCTCTCTTCTGCGCGATGTCAGATCCACTTCAGCGCGACAGAGATTCAGAAAACGGCGCGTGCGCTGCTCACGAGCCCGCCGTCGACCGTCGCAATGCTAGCGATGGAGTTACGGCGGGCTCCCAGCTGCCCTCCGCCGCCGTCACTATCGCCATGCTTTCCGCATCCTGTAAGTAACCAAGACAGTAGGTATGGGTGTGTTGACTCTGAACTCACAGCCTTGGACGCACACCTTGTTCAGACTACTTCAACGTGCTCATTATCATCGACGTGCGTACATTGCATGCGTGTGCCAGTGATCGCGCAAATCGATTCCTGAGTGTCACTTCATAGGTCATTTTGGTAATGATATACGAGAACGATTCCGGCAGGGTGGATCTCATTCGGAACTGGGACGCGTTACTCGTTGGTACGCTCACCATCCATGGCATCGCTATCTCGACTTATGTCTCATATCCGACCCAGGTCAAATCATTGGCCAGATCATCTTCGGAGTATTGTGTGATCATGTTGGACGGAAGGCCTCGCTATATGCCTCGGCCGCTGTACTGCTCGCAGGAGCAGTGCTATGTACGGCTGCCAGCGGTGTCCATGGCATATCAGGATTGTTATGGTTCATGACGATTGCACGAGGGATAATAGGCGTGGTATGATATCATCACGAGCTTGCTTTCAGCTCTGCATTGACACCTCTTAGGGCATCGGCGGTTCTTCCTGCACCGCATCCATCATTGCCTTCGAGACCACGAATGACAGGAAGGACGGAAGGAACCGAGGTAGTACCATCTGCTTAGCCTGCGAAATCTGCATCGACTGATGACTGCACCGTCCCAGCTTTCATACTGAAGACAAATGTTGTGTTTAGTGTGCGTATGACGCCGATGTGCAGGAGAAGAAACTCCTGACATCTCTCATAAGGCTGGAGCTCCGACGGCGACAATCGTCTTCCTCATTGTGCTGTCTGCGGCACAGCCGGGTCATCTAAGGACTGTCTGGCCAGTGTGCATTGGGATAGGGATTGTACTTCCGTTAGCTGCAATATGCTACAACACCCTAGGAGTCATGTCGAGACGGTGAGCCTGATTCTTGTTGCGCGTTTATGCATCGACATAACGAATAATGCAGACTTGCTAGGTATACGTCCCGTGTGGTAGAGTGTATGTCTGAGCCAACTGCAACACGATGTTGCGCGCTGATAGTCGTTCCAGCAGATTTGTCAGTGTATGCATTGGAATTCCGGCGACACTGGACAACAATGGCCCATGCATGCTGCCTGTGGTATGATTCTTCACCAGATGTAGCTTCTCTGACTCACTTGCCTCGTCGCGAAGGTTCATATATGGTTTTGTAAGTATTGTTTTCGACACTGTTCGCGGTGTTATCGGAAGTGACACTCCACAATCAGGTCGCATTTCCGAAGATCGTCTTCTCTGCGCTGATTCTCTATACTTTCGTTGACGGTGATCTATGGAGGACGGCTGGCTCAGAGCTTCTCCTCGGCGTATTCGCTCTCGGTGGAAGCGTCGTAGGTGCAATATTTTGCCATTCATACGGGAGGCGGAACACGGTGAGTCTTCTCCATGTGTCCGGCTACAGCTGTTCGAAGTTCTGAAATCGATCAGATCCTCCTATCATTCATTTATTACGACGTCTTTGGTAAGTCGATTACCCGACTCTCTCGGTCTGTGGGCTGACTGTGTTCGACACGACCCAACCATAGCCTTGATTATTGGATGCGCTTACAACCGCCTTCTGAGCATTGTCCCTCTGCTGGTCGTTTTGTACGTGTGTCTTAGACCTTGGGCTGTACAGTACACTCAAGATCTTGGCAGCTACGCTCTGATGCTCTTCATGGGCAATGTAGTGAGTCGCACACCTGATGCACTTGATGTAGGTATTAATTGGGATCTAGGGTCCCGGTAACCTCATGAGTCTCATCGCTTCCGAGTTAGTTGACCCCACATGCGTCTGCACGTTACTGAAAGCTGACATTGTATGTCCAAAGATCGTATCCACAGAACGTCAGGTAGAGTGCACTTGTGATCATGTTCGGAGACTGCTCTTATATTTCATCACAAGGGGGTCGTTCTACGGCATCACAGCTGCCTTCGGTACTGCAGGTGCCATTGCCGGCATCCACGCCTTCAATGCCATCGACGAGAACCTGCGCAAGCAGTGGGTGTTGAGATCGTCAGCGTTCAATGGTTTCATCTAACATCTCCATACAGGTGGGGCTTCGTTATCACAGCGATATGTGGCATCGTCGGCGTTATTGTTGCCTACTTCCTTCCTTCAGCATCGGCGGTGATGTGCACGAACCCGTCAGAGGAGGAAGCGACGCGAGAAGTTGACACAGCAGCAACGTGTCGTGTCCGGAGCCAGCACGAAGGCCAGGCGACACAAGGAGACAACGGCGGTACGGGGGATGCCGCTCGAGATCGTGGTTCAGTTGTCTCCTATGTTGACAAGGTGATATCCCATCTTTCCCTTTACGCACACGGGCACTGATATGGCGCTGCAAGGACGCCGAGTTCGCCGCCGACGATGACTTCGTGCCTTTCGCACATGGTATGAGTCACTCGCTGGGTCCCGACAGACCTGATCCATTCGGGATGCCTGGCGCGTTCGACATGCCCCATTTATTCCATGAGAGGGTATATCAATTGCTACTGGTCCCTTTGATACAGTTCTCACCACGACTTTGGTCACAGGATTCCGCGTCAGCGCCAGCTACTGTGCCGTGCCCTTCGCTTGAAACACGGCGGGGTGTAAGCTCAGACGCCAGAGCGCGCGTTATCCAGACCAACCGAGTGTTACTACTGCAAAGGATGTCTGCCGATGAGGCCCTGATTTTTTTACCGACCCAGTCGAGCGTAGTAGCTGAGGTGGTAAGTGTAGTCTCACGCGGCAGTGACAGCCCATATGTGCATAGCTGACCGATATCCTAGGCTCCAACTGCACGTCAAGTGCAAGAAGTCATATCCGAGTGTATAATTTCCTCTGAGCTTGAAGCGAACTTTTCGGACAACCAGGTCTTCCTCGAGGCGGTAACGGAACGTGCCACCAATCTGGCGCCGGATGACCCGCATACGTTCCCTATCACCGAAGAGAACGTCAGGCGGATCACCTGGCTGAGCATGTATCAGCCAATCATATATTGCGACGACAGCTCGTCCATGGCCGGTGAACGCTGGCGTCTACAGCGCGACCTGGTCAACCGCATCGCCAGCATTGTGACGCAGGTCGTGCCGGAAACCTATGGTGTTTGGCTCCGTTTCATCAACTCACGATCAGCATGGGACAATCTGACGCCGTCCCGTGTTCTCGACGCGGTCGACACAGTGAACCCCAACGGTGCTACACCGTTGGGCACAACTTTACGGAATCGCATCCTGCAGCCGCTGGTATACGACGTCCTGGCTCAGCGTCCCCGCCTGGAACGCCCGCTGTTGATCTGCGTTGTCACGGATGGTTGTCCCACCGACGGCTTGGCATTCGAGAGGGCCATCGTAGAGTGTCGCACGTTCTTGAAAAACGCGCGTTGCCAATCGACTGAAGTCCGCTTTTGCGTCAATCAAGTTGGCGACGATCCCTCCTCAACGGACTTTTTGAACAGCCTCAGAGGTAATCCAGAAATACAAGACGTTGTCTACTGCACGACAGGGAGGCTGGATGAGCAATTCGGAGAGCTGAAGGCGAAAGAGAGGAAACTGAAAGAGTGGCTTCTGAAGACGCTGTCCGATTCGATCATGCAGAACCGCAAGTGATAATGCATACTGTAGGGCATGGGGGTGTACTCGCGCACAGTATGTCATGAGACTGCCATTCCCTGTCAGCTCGTCATCGCTGACCACCGTCTTGTCCTAGAGTTCTGACATGAAGGCGAATAGAACGGCAATGTGGTATAGCATACATGTAGTGGTATGGGTCGATTTCACGGCGGTCGCATGTACAATGTACCTCACTAGAACTTGATGAAGGTGTCTGACAATCGAAAGCTTAGTCTGTAGAATACGCGGTGTAAATGTTGAACAGACTGTCAAACCATTTTCATACCTCGTCGGCGCTGCCGACCGAGATATAGTGCAGAATGAACGTTTGAACATGCGCATACATTCGCAGAGAAGATGCTATGGAAGGGAGAACTGTAGTTGCTCGCCAAGGAGCCTCCGCAAGTCCACTGGCAAGCAACTCGGACGTCGAAGGAGCTTAAACCTGAATGTGTATGACACAGTTGACCTCGGCAGATATGACATGGGATCCCCCTGCGAAGGAGGTCCTCGAGTATGTGGACAATTCGTCGTACGGGCACAGGGGGAGCTGACTCGGAGGTACTTAAGTAAGTAGAGTTTACCTCGTCCAGCGCTTCCGAGCCACTGGCGCTCAGATCCGGATCTTGCCTAGATCTGTCGGCTGCCGCATAGCGCCACAGCTCCTTGAACTTGAACCAGTAAGTACAGTACTTACTACTTGTCGACACATCGACCCCTCATTGAATCTCTCGAGGCGACTTCAGGAGGCGCAGATTGCACCACGGCGAACACTAGATCGATGTGGAAATAAAGCCAGCGATAGACCCGCGAGACTTGCGACAACCATGTCCGGGCTTCCTGCCAGCGGCCAAGCGGATGTTGACGCATTATGATTGACGTCGTACGTTCACAGTTGGCACCACCCCAGTACCACCCTGCATCCGACCCAATGAGATTGACATTGCTGCCAGTAAGTAAGCCAGCAATAGCTATGGCCTGGCGAGCGGTCGAGGTGAGTTGTGATCAACATCATTGGAAAATTGAGGACCTTCCTACACGCATACCTCATGTATTTGTCTTCGCCTTCATTGTGGGATATCACTATGTAACTCCTCGCACGAGGCAGCCGAAGGGTGTAGACCATAACCCACGGTCTGGCTGTGCAAACGTGAGTCCAAGGCGCCGAGACGGGGCGAATCACGACGGTTTAAAATGCGGCTTCATAGTGTGGTCGAGGTGTCCTGCAGCTTGCGATATGCCTCAGGGACCTGTCAGGCCGTAAGTATCATTTCCGACAGCAGTTACCGTTTGGTTGCATACTGACCTCTTTCCGCAAGTCACGCCTCAACCCATGTCCTCGTATCATCATCACCGCTCCTCGAATCCCCCACGTTTCAGTTCCCGAGAGGATGGGTACTTAAGAGGCGAAGGTACTGGCACCCCCTTGACTTAGGAGCCGCTTCGCTCAAACATCCTCGATGCCGCATCCCAGTCCTCAATCAACAAACCCAGTCGTCGCACCCGCCGTCCATAGACTGGACGTAGATGTTCGCGCAGCGGGCGAGAGCGTGCCGGCGCGCTCTGGTATGGCTTACTTGGTTGTCGCACTGGCCTCGCTGTCGGCTGGATGTAAGTTGTGAACTACTCCCGTACTGCGACACTGGCCTGACAAGCACCTCACTCAGTCTACTTCAATGTCCTGATCATGATTGAGGTGCGAATGTCGAATACTATACGCTCGGCACACCCGGGACGGCTGACGCTGTGTTCTTGTAGGTCATCTTAGACATATTGTACAGTACAGAATACGACAAGGAGATCCTCATGCGATTGTGGGATGGGTTCTTCGTCGGTATGTTCCTTGGCTCCCTCATATCGCCGTCATGAGTATCTGAGATTGTATGAACAGGACAATTAATCGGCCAAATCTTCTTCGGGATTCTCTATGACTACATCGGACAGAAGATCGCATCCTGCGCCTCGGTGGCTATGGTTATGGTAGGCTCAGTTCTCTTTACGGCCGCCTGCGGCGTCTCCGGAAGCACAGAGGGTCTGCTCTGGGTCGCCAAAGTTGCGCAAGGGATAACAGGCGTGGTACAGTATTTTTGTCGGCGCTCTTATAAGCCTCATCTTTATTGATGCCTTCAGGGTATCGGTGGTATATACTCAGTAGCATCCACAATTGCTGCAGACGTGTTCAGCAACAGCACTATCAACCGTGGACGAGGTGAGAAGTTCCTCGTCTCGTAGCTTGCGTTTGTTGACGGAACTTCGAATGTAGCATTCGTACTGATAACCAACGGAGTATTCAGTGTACGTTTGCCATACACATGGAGAATTCATACTAATTTTCGTGGTTTTCGATGAAGGCTGCTGGTCCCCTCGTGACTGTGATTCTCCTTATTGCGCTCTCTGCAGCGCAACCAGGACGTCTAGAAACTGTTTGGCCTGCATGCGTCGGAGTCGGCATCATTATCCCACTTGCAGCCCTCTTTTTCGCTACATGCTGGACCATGTCAAGTCAGTGAGTGCAATCCTAGTAGGCGTGAAGAAGGAATCATAATGACGATTTGTTATAGGCTCAATGGCGTTACAATGCGAGGTATGTCCAGCAATCTGAAATATATGCCACTAGCTGCTGATTGTCAACAGCTTCGTCAGATCGGCCTGCGTACTCCGCAGAACTTGAACTCAAGCAACACTGGATCGCAATGGCTCGCACGAGCTCCCTTTGGTAGGTTGCCTCACTTGCGCCTTTCGTATTCCGTCGCTTACTATAAATACGTATTCACAGGTTCGTATATGCTTTTGTACGCACGAAAACCATATGTATCACCATCACAACTGTGACCATGCACCCAGATCGCGTATCCCAAGATCGTCTTCTCCGAGGCCATCATCTTCAGGGTCGTCAACGGGAACCTCTGGAGGACAGTCGGCCTGGAGCTACTATTGTCCTTGATCACATTCGGGGGAAGCTTGGCCGGTGCATTCCTGTGCGACTCCTTCGGTCGACGCAAGACGGCGGGTCTTGTCACATTTCGGTGCTTAGCGCTTGTATTGACGGATTGGCATCTGAACAGATTCTGCTAGCTCTTAACGGCTTTGTGCTCGCTGGTAAGTAACGTCGACCTTCGACTCGGCTACGGAAACAATCCAGCTCATGCATGTGCACAGCGTTGATCACTGGCAGTGCCTACGACCGTCTCACCAACATTGTTCCTCTGCTCGTGATCTTGTATGTGACCAAGGCCATTGCCACCGATATTATGTCAACTCGACTTCACACAGCTATGCTCTGACGCTTTTCATGGGAAATATAGTGAGTGCCATGAGTGCTCGTTATTCGGATTGATGAATGACTATTGTTTAGGGACCTGGTAACCTCCTGAGTCTCGTCACAGCCGAGTGAGTTTTGTCATGCGATGGGTATAAAAACAGAAATTGAGACTACAAACCGAAGATCATTCCCTCCTAGTGTTAGGTACAGTGTCGACGCAGACTGTTTCGCAAACGTTCCTGACATCCCGCGACCAGGGCTTCATTCTACGGGGTCACAGCAGCCTTCGGGACGGCCGGTGCAATCTCTGGAATCCATGCTTTCAAGACCATCGATGAGAACCTCGGCACTCAGTCAGTGTCAACGCTGACTGAGTTATGTGCGCTGTGTATTGACAGTTCAGCGCAGATGGGCCTTCATCGTCACTGGTATATGTGGCATCGTTGGCGTCTTCCTGGCGTACCTTCTGCCTCAGGATGTGATGCCAACAAGTATACCGGAGAAGCCGGAGAAAGATCAGCTCCCAGTACGGAGCGCGATTCAAGAGCCAGCTCCATCTCCGCCTCCTCTTAACAGACAAGAGAATGTTGCTCGTGCCCCGACAGACACTCAAGTTGTTCAAGCCGGTACCGGCCGTGCGAGGGATCAGAGCCCGACTATAATTGATATTGTGAGTCTTCTGCATCTCCTCATTCGCAAATGCAGGCTGAGTCGTCGGTAAAAGAATGACCCCGTCCAGAGAAAATACAAGCTCGTGCTTGCAAGCGACCCACAAACGCCGCGGGATAGATCACGCAGTCCGCAGGGCTCGCGCAAACCCACCAGTGACATGCGTGGTCCCCGCAGCAAAGAAATATCGCCCAGTGCGCACGGCTCGCGTAACGCGCATGGTCCGCGCAACGTGCATGGTCCACCGCACGACTTGCCTCCCGCCGGTGGCCCGCACCGCATGCCTAGTTCATCTAACGTTAGGGTATGTGGTTTGCTGACTAGGCTGAAGCTGTGCTCACCTCAGCATTTGATAGACTGTCGAGCAAGACCCGGATGTTACACTCACCAGACGACCCCGTGCAGTTACAACATATGTACGGCCTCTCTCGACGGCGCCTCCTAAACCGGAGACTCCTCATGGTGACGCTCCGAAGCAACGCGTCGAAAGGGCTGTACTGGTTCGTAGTGAAGAAGCAATCCACATTGATCAGCCGCTGCGAATCCCGGGGGTTCCTTCGAGTTCCGATCCCGCGCCTCAGCCTGAAGGTCCGCCTTCCACTGGCAATGTGCCGCAGGTCGCATCTCCGCCCACACTGCCAGAACCGCAGGCAGACACACGTTCGCGTGTCAGCTCCCGTGCATCGCCAACCAAACGGATATCGCCATCTCCAAGTCAATCTTTGACTGTCGAAGAGTCTGTGGGAGCTATCGCGCCAGAGCGTCCTCTGACGGACAAGGTGAGTAAACTGGGTCGCACTTTGCGACCACCGCTACCATTCTTCCTCATGTGCTGATCAAGTGAATACCAGGCTCCCGACGCACATGAGGCGCAAGAGGTCATAACTCAATATGTCGCAGAAACAGGACTGCAGAAATTCTTCCAGGAGGGCGACGCATTCGTTCAAGCAGTCGTGGAAAATGCTGCGAAACTGGAGGACGACGGGGAGTCCTTTCCCGTGACGCGGGACAACGTCGAGCGACTCATTCGGCTCAGTCTGTATCATCCAGTCATCTACTGTGATGATAGCGGATCCATGCAATTGGATACGCCGAGTCGTTGGGACCTCCAACGCGACGCCGTGCGTCGCATCGCCGGTATCACGACCCGCGCTGTACCGCAGCAATACGGCGTAAGCCTCCGATTCATCAACACTCAAACGGCGAACAAAAACAATATTCCCGCCGCAGACGTGCTTACTGCCATCCAGGTAGTGCGGCCCTCGGGCGGGACAGCGTTAGGCAGGAACTTGCAGAAGTCTATCCTCAATCCGTTGGTCCACAGCCCCCTACGTAACGGCGAGCTTCTCGAACGCCCCCTCCTGATTTGCGTGATTACCGACGGGTCTCCGAGCTCGACGGACAACCCAACTTTCGAGGAGGCTATCAAGGAATGTCGACAGTGTCTTGTGAACGCTGGCTATGAGCCGACCGCCGTCCGGTTCTGCTTGAATCAAATCGGTGGCGACGAGAGCTCCGCGAGATTTCTCGAAAGCCTCAGAAGAAATACGGACATCCAAGACGTCGTATTCTGTACCACGGAGCGGCTCGACGTGAAGTTCAAGGAGTTCAAGGAGAACGGGAAGCTGCTGGACGAATGGTTGCTCAGGATGCTGTCTGAGCCGATCATGTTCCGAGCAAAGGAGCAAACCTGATCGCAGGACGCAATCATTGAGCCTGGCGTACTAGGACCGCAGTGCTGGCTTGCTGCAGGTCCAAGGTGACTTGCGTAGATTTGTCACTATACTAAGAGTATTTAGACGGCGGTCCGACTGCCATAACTCGTCGACACTGCCGGCAACATAGAGAGGCTCGTTGCCCCTATTGATATAGCTATTGTATTGGCCTGACTATGATGTTTATGGTCCATAGAGTTGGTTACAAGACACTGTCGTTGTTGCCGCCGTGTCGTTTGTATGATACTGACTGTTGATAGGTGTGCCATTTTATCATGTACTGTATGTCTAGAGACGGCTGCAGCGGGACGGCGCCCACAACAAGCGCCCACTATATTGAGTTTCGAAAGCAAGCGGACGTGCACGGGTTGACCAACTCGGGGCTGTTGTCTTCATCCCTGCTCGTTCTCTCGCCCAAGCCACCTAAACTGTGTCAAACGCGTGCAGCTTCTTCGTAGGCTGCCGTGCCATCAAGCTTCGCGCGCACTACGATACTACAACACGTCTTGTGGAACGTGAACGCGTTAGGTGCACTACTGCGAGAGACCAGGAGTCACTCATCAATACCCAAGATCAGGAGGTTCCTTCAGGTATGGTAGCAACTGAATGGCTTGTGCTTGTAGTCGTGTCGACTCACTTTGATGACCGCGAAGTTGTACGACGCTACGTGACCGACAGTCCATGGCTCGTCATCTCCGAACGGATAGCGGCTCTCTGCCCCGGCGAATAGACAGCCTCATCGCCAACAAGGCCCCCATCTTCACGGACATCGAAGATGAGCTGCGCGACATCAAGCGCGTTCACTCGCAGGGTCAGGAGGAGGATCTCAAGATGGCGTTGAGCCGGATGATTAGCAGGGTGGAGGACCTCGTACGCCGTCTCACGATGCTTAGGTTTCACTAGCTGCGCTTACATGCTGCATTGCCTGCGCCCGTGCAGACATTCATGCTCAAGGAAGCGTACAAGGCGCAGACCGACCTCCAGACGGAGCTCACGCTGGCCAAGTCCAACCTCCAGCTTGCCCTCGCGAACAATGAGATGCTCGAGGATGCTCTCAAGCGGGAAGGTCACGTCAAGGACGTCGGCTGGCGACGGGCAAGCGCGCGCGAGAGGGAGCTGCAAGCAGAGGAAGATCGGCGGCGGAGCATGGACAGCATCGCATCCAGCGATACCGCACTGTCCCCTGTGGTCTCCCCGCCATCCCCTGCCATCCCACCATCTTCCAGACCGTCGTCCCCCAAGCAGCCCAACGTCTCAACCGCTACGTCGCCATTGCCGTCATCTGAGGGCCGATTCTTCAGGTTCCGCTTCGGTGCTGGCAGCGCGTCGACCAACTCCTTCCCGTCTTCACCGCGGCTTGCCGGGCCCAGCGGCCATTCGCCTCTGACGAACGGTACGGCGCACGCATCACATCTGACGTCTGCTTCATTGCCATCCCTGGTGGCTGTGCCAGATCGGCAACAGGAGATCGACGAGCTGACTGCTGAGCTCAAGCGCGAGCGCGATGCGCGTCAGGCGGCTGTCGCACAGAAGGAGGCTGTGGAGTCAGAGCTGGAGTCGCTCTCGCAAGCCCTCTTCGAAGAGGTGAGCCCGCACTTGCATATTCGACCGTAGCGTGCTGACCCCTTCGCCCAGGCAAACAGGATGGTGTCGACGGAACGTCGGAAGCTGGCAGAGACGGTGGACGAGCTGAAGGAACTGCAGGCAGAGCGTGAGGCGCTGCGTAACGCGCTGCGCCTGGTCGAGTCTCAAAACCGCGCCTCGCAGTACTCAACGCCGGCGGGCTCGCCGAAACCTAGCCACGCGCACAAGCTGTCCGCGTCCTCCGCGCGTGCGATCAAATCCTTGCCACCAACGAGGCCAAGCTCGCCAGAAGGGGAGGAGGACCCGACCTCTGCTAGTACGATCATCACGTCGTACCAGCACAGACCGCCGCCTATTACCATCGTCGACCCGGCCTCGCCTGCACCTCCGTCGAGTCCGTCCGCTGAGTCGAGTGACGATGATAGTCGGGATACGACCCTTGTCGCACCGCCATCGTCCCTATCAGTCGGGCCATCGCCGTCGTTGTCATCGTCATCGTCACCCTCACCCTCCCCGAAACCATCACCGATGTCAGACAAGTCGGAGGGCAGTGATTATGCGTTTCCCATCCGGATGCATCCGCTCGACTACCTGCCGGGTGAGCCGTCCCCATGGGCGGACGCCACATCGCTATACAGGACGACGACCGGGTCATGAACCTCGCATCATCACCTATGCTATGTCTCCCTCCTATCGCATCGGGTTTTATGGACGCATTCTCGCCGTGCTCTGCCGTTCTCTCGCTCGCCTGCACAATGCCTGCACAATGCCATCGCGTTCCTGTTCCCGTTCTCGCCACAACTGTAGCTATATAAACACCTCCGAGGGCCAGTCTGCGGGAGTCGGACGGTCGCGTCGTTTCGAGGCTCACATGGATTATATACATTGACATCTATCATACTGGTTGCATAATGCACCCAAGACTACATAGACAGGGACAAGTCAACGGGGCGCAACGGTGTCATAGGGTGTCATAAGATATTGCCGAAGCAGAGCGAGCACGCGCGTAAAAGCAGGGTTGGGGCAGCAGATCTCTTCGACACCATGAAAAATGATACAGTGAAGGTACACGGCGAGAATGTAATGAATATATGGTCGATGGACATTCGAGCGAGAGAGCGAGGGGGACCCGAGGTGGAGTATCCCTTGTAGATTCAGACCGTAGCGAGCAGAGCGATGGACATTCCTCGTCCGTCGCGCCTGTGCCGGGGCGGGATGGGAATACACCGACTCCTTTTCTTCGACCGTCACGGAGGGAGAATCGCTTGACTCTGAGATTCGGCCTTCCTATGCCGCCTCGGACATGGTGACGTCTGCTAATACAGACTCGTCCATGGCCAGGTCGGCAGGTGCGTCCGCCTCTGCGTCGACGTCTCCAGACTCCGCCTTCACGTCTATAGGCGCAGTGTCTGCTTTCGCCTCCTGGTCGTCGACTTCCATGGCGCCCTCGCTGGCCTCCTCCGCCATGAGCTTGTCCTCCTTGCCGTTCGCCGTCGCGCCGGCATCTGCCGCATCGGGGGCTTTGGCAGCGGGGCTCGTGCCATTCGTCGTGGCTTTGGCGCTCTCGCCAGCCGCGGCGGCGCCGTTGGGCTTGGGCTTGTTCTCGTTGAGGATGTCATGCCACTTGTCGACGAGGGTCTTCGCGCGGTCCTTGAAGTGGAATTCGTCGTCGCGCGGCACCTTATCCTTGGGCAGCGCGTTGATGTGACGCATCACCTTGCCAATTTTCGAGAACTAGGCGAGGCGGTCAACGATATTGCCAAATGGAGGAAAAATATTGGCCCGGAACGTTCCCGCGGGCTTCCGGGGGGGCGCGGCAGTAGGCCCCCAGCAGGGTTTTGGCGATTGGGGAGGAAAAGACGGACGAGTACTCACTGTCAAGTACTGGATGGACATATTCTGGTAGTTCTCCACCGTCGAGAAGAGCTGGTCTAGTGCGGGCATGTCCTGAGGGCTGGGTATGAGTGGCGTTCCGAGTACGGTATCAAAATGAGAACGCACCTCGTCCTTGGGCAACGCCTTGGCGTTGAGGAAGGCCTTTTGCAACTTATGTCTCCATTCTCGCACCTTGGAGGCCTCAGGATCAGCCGCCAGTGCAGCTGCGAAGGCGGGAGGCAAGCCGATTCAGTCGATGACCCAGCGATAGCCCAAGACCTAACCGCGATAACGCGCACTCACAGTCTTCGCCCTCCTCACCGTCCTTTCCCTCCTTACTCTCCTTGCCCTCCTTTTCACGTTTCGCCTTCTTCGTGGGCGGTGGCGATGCCTGCTTGCTGGGCCCGGCGTTCTCATCCTCCGCCTCCGCGCCGCCCTCGTCCTCCGACTCGACCAGAGCCTTTGACTTGTGCCCGTTCTTCTTCGCCTTCGTGCTCGGGGCCTTCTTCTTGGTCGCGGGCTCCGCAGAGCCTTTCTTCGGCGTCTTTGGCTTGGCCTTGCTCTTCGCCGGTGTCGCCTCAGAGTCGCGCTTCCGCTTTTTGGCCTTAGGCTTGGGCTCCTCCTCGTCATCGTCGCCCGCCTCCTCCTCGCCGTCGCTCTCCAGCTGGTCGATCTCTGCATTGGCCTCCTCCTCGGCCGCTGCGTCACGCATCGCCTCGCGCTCCTTCTCCCATTCCGTGGGATCCAGCGCGATGCGGTAGCCCTGCAGCAGATCAGCGGATTTCTTGTACGGCTCGTTGATGTAGGCCTGGATCTCGTGCGGCTGGAGCTTGGAGATGTCTCGTGGGACGATCCAGCCGCTGGGGGAGGGCGCAAAATGGTCAGCCAGCGCGCTCCGGGCGCAGCGAAGACAGAACACGCACTAGTCGCCAGCAGGGAAGAATCGCACGCAGAACCAGGTGCCCTTTTTCGATTTGGCGTTGGGCCGCTCGCCCTGCACGGTCCCGGGCACGGTTTCCGGGTCGACAATCTACGCGTCGGAAAGACCATGACGAGCAGCAGATAAGCGTGATCAGCCGCGAATGCGTCGAGATGAACGTCAGCGAGCCCTGCAAACGCGTGAAAGGAGTACGGGGGACGCACCATGCCAGGCCATGGGGGGTAACCGCGGATCTTGGCGAGGACGACGTCGCGGAACTGGTAGGAGGTGTCCTTGGTCTCCTTGGCCTGAGCCTTGTTTCCCTTTTTCGACATGGTGTGCAGCGAGGAGAGACGCGACGGAGACGGCGAAGGCGTAGCGCGCGCGGGTGGGTGGTGGTCAAGAGGTGAAGTTGGCCTCGGCAATTCCCGGCCGTCCCGTGCGCCCTTTAGGCCCGTGCGCTCGAAGTTGAAGTCCCCCGCTTAGAGTTTTAACTCAGATATATTCGCGCCGGCGCAGCGTCGGTGCTACCAAGGTGCTACCTACGAGCAAGAACACCGTCAGGGCGATTCAACCCAGACGACAAGGCACGTTACAGCTCGTCCCGCACAAGAAAAAACTCCGATACAGCAACCTCTCGTAACGACGATGGCGGCCGACGCGCGAAATGAAAGCAAAACATCAGGACGTCCTCGCGAATGTCGGAGAATGTCGGGTCAGATGTCTTTGTTCAGTACTTCTCCGTGCCATGCGGCTGAGCGCGAGGATCGACATCAGCCTGGGATCGCGGATAGGTGAGAGTCAGCACGCCATATCGGACAGCAGCGATGACAACAATACCATCACAGAGCAGGTACAGGAAGCGCGACGAAGGCGTAACTCGCCATCTTCAAGCTCGTTCAAGCTGATTCTTCCAGCGTGTAGTCAGATGAGGGCGACATAATCGAATTAACACAAGAGCGCATAGATCAGCGTAACAAGCACTCACAGCGGATAGAACGGGTCGACCTGGTCCAATGCCGACCACAGGGAGCAGGCGAACACGCCAGTTTGCCCGAGTGAGGAGTGGCTTCCACGAGTATAGAGGGCACATCAAATCGAGGGCTCATCGACACCTGCAAGTGTTGTTCGTCAAAGCATTATACTCAACGAAGTGTGCACAAACCGTATTCAAGAAGTAGAAGAAACACAAGCCATGCTGCCTGCCTGAAGTCTGTATGCTTCCGCGGTGAACGTGCAATGGGAAGTGCGTGCATTATGGTTGCAGTCTTGCGATACGAATGCGTTGCGGTAAATGGACAACCTTGCCATGCAAGCAAGAGACACAATGATCGCACGAGCGTGTCCGGCTGGATTGTGCCGCTGACGGTAGCGGATTGACTGACGAGCGGTTACCTGTTGGTGTCGATAGTGCTCTTGGTTCGCTGTTCCGTGTATCACTTCGATGGTCAACGAGGCTGTCATAAACGAGTCAGGTAATGCAGAAAGAGGATTCAGAGGACAATCGCTTACCCACAGTGAGATTCGTTCGTTCGGCCAAAAGACTGGTAGGTGCATTAGTGTAAGCGATTGGCTTTGCGCTGGTTGCCCTATCGTCAGCATCGAGGTGGGCTAGTCAGTGCAACGGAAGACCCAGTCTACACCGTAGGTTATGGGTCGAGTTAGCGTAGCTGCAGCAACTTGAAGTTGGAGGCGATGGGCGCAGTGCAAGATATCCGTGCTCCGCTCAGTGCTTCGGGTTTCCTTGAATCGACTCATTCGGTGTCGGGCAAAGCGTTCACGTCGTCCATGGGCATTACAGACTGTTGGTACTGCATAGAGGGACAGACGAAGCACCACGTCGTGGTGGATGTGGCCCGAGGCACTCAGGCAGCCGCCTGCGACTGGCCACCAATTGGGGACAAGTCACGCAGTGACCGAGGGTGACAGGGCGTGACGAGCCGTAGATGCATGTGATAAAGTGTTGCCCCTGCAGAGTGGCTGAGGCTGCTCTCAGTGTTCGCCGACTTCTACGCTACCATCGAAACGTTGCTTGTACAAGGGTTGGTAGTGTAGTCGGTAATACTATGCAGGTTTTTGTGTTGTACTAAATAGTGAGCGCTGTCACCGTCAAGATGCCGAAGATCGCACGTGCACCCACGGCCGGTGGCTCAATGGATACCTCCTCCTCCTCCTCCTCCTCCTCCTCCTACGACCATGTCTGACCCCCTCACGTATGGCCCGCGAGACTCGGCATACTCCCCCGTCGTAGTTATATCCACCACGCCGCCCACGCACGACCCGCCGCCGCCGTACCCGTCCCAGGAGCGACGCACACGAACACCACGCACAGGCCGACGACGTCGCACACTCGAACAGGCATCAGAGAACGCTACGAGTCTTACTATTTCGAGCGGCGGGGCCGAGCACGACGCCTTTCCGCCCACCATCCACCAACAGTTCGAGTCCGACGACCAGGACGCGGATGTCACAGAAACCACCCCGCTTCTGGTGCCCTCAGGCTCCTCGCCGCGCATACCAGCGCGAGTCCCGCCTGGCGTCATGGGGAGGCAACGCACACTGTCGCTGACGAGCACTATCAGGTCAACGACGTCCATTGCGCCGTCACTCGCACAGACAGTCCTCTCTGCCTTCAATCCCGAGCGTGACTGCGACATAGACGCGGACTGCGACGACCGACGCGACTCCAGCGACTCCGCAGACAGCAGTCCCCTCGATTCGCCCACGCTGCGGCAGAACGGTCCTCTTGACGATCAGCAGCGCGCCTTCGTCGCGGAACTCATTGGCCAACGCGTCGACAGACGGCGGGATACTTCCTTGTTCGCGCGATGGCGGCGGTACTACAGACCCCTGGGCAAACGCGCCTACTATGCCTCTCTCTTTCATCTACTCGTCATCAACTTTCCTTACGCCCTCCTCGCATGGCTCTATCTATTTGTCTTCACCGTTGTGCGTACAATCCATCTGCTCGTGTGCCACGCGTACTGACCGCCCTGTAGGCAGGGACGACCACACTCATGGCCCTCCCCCTCGGTGCCGTTCTCTGCTTCATAGATCTTATCGGCGCGCGCACGCTTTCGCGGGGCGAAGTGCGTCCCTCCCCGTCATTTGACTGTCTAATTCATCTGATATGACGACACCGCAGATCGCGCTGCAAATGACCTTCCACGGGCCGCTCGCACATTCGCGTCCAACCCCACCGCTCCCCATCTTCGTGCGCACGCGCCCGCCGACGGTCGCAGAGCTGGAGCAGGGGCTCGGTCCCGTGCCCGAAAAGTCCTTCTACCGCAACGCCTACGCGATGGTCTGTCCCCGTTCGCTTCTCCGAGTCTTCTCGCGCCGTGTTGACGGTCATCTGAACCTTCGCTTGTGTGCAGTTCACGGACGCGACGTCGTACCAGGCCCTCTTCTACTTCCTCGTGATCAAGCCTGGGATTACCGTCCTTATCTTCCTCCTCCTTATCGTCCTCGTCCCCCTCTCGTTCGTTCTCGTCCTGCCCGCGCCCGCCACGTTGAGGCTCGCGCGCCGGCTTGGCATATGGCAGGCTAATATCGCCGTCGAGGGTTTGTGTCTTGCTATGCGGTAGGCATGCTCGGTGCTTGCGATCTAGTTTGGGATGGTGTGGCATCAGGTGCTATCTTACTGTATCATTACTGTGAGTACGAGTCTCCTCTGTGTTCCAACTTTGACAATGCTGATTGCTCGCATAGTGTTTACATAGCCTAAGCCGCGGTACAGCCGCCTTGTACATGATAAGCAACATGGTAGTATAGAAGATGCGCGTGCAGGACTGCTGAAGCCGACAGCCAAAACCCGGGATGTGAAATGGCCTCGGTACGTATGCCTAGTAGGCGCTCCCCTGCGCCGGCAGCCCGTGCGGGAAGAACTGCTTGAAGAGGTCTGGGTAGTGCCGCTCCGCGACGTCTGGGTGGCTCCTACATAATGGACACGTCCTCGTTTGTAAGACTGCGGGGCATGAGGAACAGGGGAAATCTCACTTGACACGCCCGATCAGGTTGACTTGTCCGGTGGGTAATAGGCCGTACTCTGTGTAGTTGACCGCTAGTACAGGCGAAGCGTCAGTCAGCAAGTTCCTCGTCCAATACGCTCGCGCCACTTACAATCTGTCGCGCCGACTTCGCCGCGCTGCTCTTTCAGCTGCAGGATCTCAGGGCTGACTAATTGCACCGGTGAGCTCTCACATGCGTTCAGATGATTCGTGGGTTGACGTACACTCCAGCTTGATGTCCTTGACGGTGATGCGCTGGGCGATGTTTTGGAAGAAGGGGATGGAGTAGCGCGGAGTTGAGCCCTTGGGCGGCGAGAGTACGCGGTGGGATGTCGCGCGTGCGAGGCCTTGGGTGACGGTCTCGAGCGCTGTGATTGCGATACATGGTGAGTGTGGAGGCACTAGCGCAAGAGGGTGTTCACTGACCCTTTCCGATGTTCACGACGAAGGTCCCTGGGATCGGCGGTGCGTCGATCCACGCGCCAGACAAGTTCTGCACCTGCAAGCCTGGGTGCGGGGACGCTTGCAGGAGCTAACACCGATCGTCTCAGCGTTCCTGGTGCACCACCCAGCGTGAATAATTGGACAGTTACGTACGAAAGTCAAGAAACCTCCGTCAAAGTGCGGCCCGACGCCCTGGTTGGACTCGAGGTCGTCCAGCGGCGGGTACTTGACGACCTTCGCGCGGTGCGGCGTCGGCCCGTCGGGCTCGTAGAAGCCCTTCATGATCTCCTTGGGCAGCCCGAAAGCCTCCGCGAGCAGGCCGATGAACTCGTAGCTCAGCTTCTCGACTTGCGCGAGGTACCGCAGGAAAGTCTCTTTGAAGCCCGGGAGCAGTTCTTCGTCTGGCCACTGCAAGCACCTCGGTGTCAGCCGTCTGCCCGGGGAACGACGAATGGGCGAGCAAACCACACCTGCGAAGGCCCCCAGAGCCGGAGGTACTCCGGCTCGCCGGGCTTCCACCTCGCCTCGTACGGGGTGGCGAAGTCGTACTGCTCGCGCTGGTCCGTCCTCCCCTTCGTGATCTCCGCGCCGAGCTTCGAATACCCGAGGAAGTGCTCCGAGTTCGCCATTAGGAGCTTGTCCTTCGCCGCCTGTGGCAGGTCGAACAGGCGCGGCGCGTAGTCGACCACCGCGTCGATGTCCGCACGCGCGACGGGCGGGTTGGAGAGGTAGAGGAAGCCAACGTTTATCAGGGCGTGCCGGAGTTGCGCGAGGAATTCGGGTTTGCGATCGGGAGAGGTTGTTAGCGACCAGTCGAGGATGGGGACGCTCGAGAAGTTGGAGGCCATTTTGAGGTTGTCAACGCCGGTGAGACGATGCGGGGTGACTCGGAGTGTGGCCCGGAGGTCGAGGATCGCCTGAGCACGGGGTTTTATACGGAGTGAGAACTGGATAATACCATGACTGCGTTCACCGGAGTGCCGATGACGCGATCTGACCCAGAGCTGCAGCGGCCCGATAGCAATATTAATGCTACCGGCGCTCACGATAGGAGTGAGTGGGAACCGTAGAGTACACGTATACCGGAGTGCGTATACGTATGTACTGTACGCGAAACGCGAGATTGCGTCCAGTTGCTGCACGTCTGTGGTTCATATGACTCGTAACAATACCGTCGGGATTCGCTCGTCGTCTATGTGCTCCAATCCAGGAGGCGTCCTATAGAGCGTGCACAGACAGTGAGTTGTGTGATTGGGTCTTCCGGCGGTGAAGAAGTGGACTGAATGCAACCTCTTGTACATTTCAGACCACAGGTGAGATCTTGAGAGTTGAGTTGACCTTCCGTTCGGTAGGTGCGTTCGGGGAGAGTAGGCTACTTCGCATGCGCATGCGGACTTCTAGTAAGTACAGCGCTCTGAATATATGCCCATCTGACACCATTTTCGTCATCCGGTCATACTACCATAGTAGTACAACTCAACGGAATACATGTGATGTCATAGTACAAGAGCTCCCCGCCTCAATATGCCTCGATCCCGGAGAGAAGATAGAACCTCGACCCAGAGAAGAGAGAAGTCCGTCTCGGTCCTTAGTATGCCTTCGCAGTCGCCGTTAGCAACCGAACACTTCAAAGGACAAGGACGCGTCTACTGTCCAAGATGAAGATATCAAAAAGTGACGTGTTTCCGGGTCCCACTTGTCACTCCGGGCGGGGCAGACACCAGCTGTTGCCACAGCCGCTATCTGCCACCGTCATCCGGGCACTCGAGGTCTTCCGGGCTTTGTCGTACTGTTGCACGGGTGCGCTCAGGCTCCGCGCTGCTACACCTCATCTCGTCTACAGCTAGGGCAGTTCGGGGAGTCTTGCGTTTCGTTTGGCCCACCGTGGGCACGTGTTGTTGGAGGGAGCGGTCGGCATTGAAACGCGCGGCGGGCACGTCTGCAGAGAGTAAGTATCACTGCAACGGACACGATTGGCACTTACCGACTCTCCTCTTCTCTTTGTTCTTGCTTTGTCCCTTGTGTCCTTCGCGAGCGCGCTTGTAAGTCTTACAAACGTATCGGTCCGTGTCGTTCAACATGCGCGCGCTATGGGGTAGGCTTGACGCAGTCACCATCCACCAGGTAATGTGCGCATTCCCATACGGATGCAGCGGGCACTTCGCGTTCTCGTGCGCATTATCGCCAGGGTTGCCCACTTCGGAAGCATGGCATGGCACACGTTAAGCTTGGGAGATCCTAGATGAGTACGCGGCACAGCTATGGGCTTGACGTCGGGGTATATGTGAATAGAACAAACCATCTTCTTGCTGCTCAAGAGGACAGTTTAAGCATTTGCGGCGAATGGGTAGGATGTCATGTACCTACAGCCAACCTATCGCCAGTAGAGCGAAGGTTGTGTACGTTCACCACGTTCTCTCAGTCTGATGTCGTGTTCGTTTAGGATTCTACGCGCAAGTTCCAATAAATTATGAGTGACGACTGGCAAGTGAGAATGTGATCGTACTCACTTCAAAAGCTGTGAAGGCTGAAAACAGGCTCGCAGATGTTACAAGTCTTAATAGTACGGCACACACACTTCGTTACATGAGCACACTGATTCTGCGAAACAGATGTCCCCCTCATACGACACGATTATGACCACGAATTCGCCACCAGGGACAGGATGTTTTCATTGCTGCATCCACCGGGTATACACCGAGTTGAGCTGAGGAGGGATGTAGGGGAAACGAGTGCGACCGAGCAGAGCAAGTGGGATAGGGTGCTAGGCTACATGTGTCAAAGATCCATCTGTGATTCGACTAAGCAAAACCAACCAAGGAAAACGAGGGGGAAATGATGGAGGAGGGGGAGGGAATGAAGTGTCGTACGCGGGCGTCCGTTGAAGCACCGCCCTCGTCGTGAGCGCATCCTTTAGGGTCGTGAAAGAGGAAGAAATCCGCAACCACACGCCAAGGCGGCAGGCAGAGGCAGATGGACGTTTAGACGTAAACCTGAACAGGGAAGAGCGGTCAGGAGACGGCGGCAGAAGGCGACTGTGGGCGCCCGTGGTCGCCCGCATGCGCACAGTGCACGCCAGTTTGCGCGGGACCCGGGAGCAGAGCCAGGTCACTGGATGCGCCCCCACCGGCAGTGATCGCGCGCGGCGTCGCCCGTCAATCACCCCAGCTCTGCGAGATCTTGCCAACGTCCGTGATCTCTATACGGAAGTCCGGCGCCGCCGTCTCTCCTTCTGTATCGGTAGGCGAACCACCTATTGGTGGATGTGGCGTCGACTCTGCCGCGTCGTCTGCCTCCTGCCCGTCCTCACGCACAACACCATTCCCTTCCTTGTCATGCTCACGACCATTCCCCTCCGTTGCCATTGGCGACGCAGCGTCGCTGTTCGCCTCCCCATTCCCATCCCATACCTTCTGCTCCTGCTGACCTTGCCTCGCGGCGCTACCATCGTCGCCAAAGCGGCTGTACCTTCCCCGAGTCACACTCCTTCCACGTCGTGTCCAGATGCCGTTGCCAGGCGCGCCGCGCACGAGGCGGACGTTGAGCACCGGGCGGCAACCATACTCGGGGTCTGCCTCGGGCGGGAGGTAGGAGGCGTCGCCGGGCTGGAGGGACGACGTCGAGCGGCTGGTAGGTATTGACGGGGAGACAGAGGGCTCGCGCGGGGGCGAGTAGGACACACGGCGCTGCGTTGCAGGCTCGAGGTGCGCGGAGGCCGAGCGCGAGCGCGTCGCGGAGCCAGAGGGGTCGTGCAGGGGCCGGTTGTGGAGGTTGAAAGGGAGGGGCGTGTTCACGTTCACCATCTTTCTGTGGAGGGTCGTGTGCACGCGGTGTCGGCGGCGGTGAGTCTGTAAACGAGGTAGGGAGCTGGGGAGGACGCACCCTTCTTTGGCGCGGACAATGGGGCCCAAACGGGCGTTAAGCTGCTGCTGGTCGACGACATACGGTTCCCTGCCACTGCACAAAGGGATGAGTACCAACTGTGCGCGAGTACTGCGCCCGTGGACGACTTACGGGGAAGGCTCATCGGAGGTCGGCGGAATTAGGTGGGTACGTTCGTCGAGGCTTTCGCGTCCCTGTTGCCATACGACCCCTCCGTGATGAGCAGCACATCACTCGAGACACACGGTGAGTACTCACTGGGCTAGATGACCGGCTGCGACGGAGGCAGCAGGCAAAGACGGAGGCGAGGCAGGACGCGGCGGCCATGGCGCAGGCAGAGGCTCGACGGCGGCACAGGCAGGATTTGTACGACGCCCTCCCCGGCGGGGCGCCCGCTTGGCGCCCGCTCGGTGATCCGTACACACGTGTCCAGATCGCCTCCGGTTCCCACGCTTTGTCGCCCTTGTCATGCTCAATTTCAATGCACTGCCCTTCAATTTATCCCCACCGCACTCTCGTCGTAAGGCCGGACATGCACAGCAACATTGCGTTTGTTATTTGTGACAGACGAAGATCGAGGGACAAAGGTCTGAGCGCACCGCAATTCATGACAAGATAAGCCACTAACCCGATTAGTCTTTGTCTGCAGCCATGAGGCTATGGTACCACCGTCACTGCGTTCTCGCTGGCAGAATGTGACGTCAATGTATTTGTTGCGGGAGCAAACCTATGCCACTATGTTGAAATTTGGGCTAGCACTGGTGGGTCCGGTTTGGTATGACATTTTACTGCGCCTCCCTGGTACATACTAGTGTCTAGACCAACCTTGCAGGTCTCGGACGCATCTCACTGATCTCGGTGTGATCCTCGCATAGATCAGGGGGTATTTTGTCGCTGCTCAGTAATCTCGAGCAGGCGCGCAAGACTCGAAGCAGCCAGCGGACGATAACCTGCGCGGACATCCGGACATCACCCCTCACGCCGCCGGTATTCAGTCTTCACTCAGCCATACCCAGAAAACGCTCAGCGTGTCCTTAACGAGCCGGCAGGGAGCCCAGACAAATCCATGCAACTATAACTAACAGGCCATCGCAGCCGGTCAGCTAGATGACTTGACAACTCAATCTGGCGACGCAAAGTCTGCGCACAAGATGGCAGACCCCAGGCGTCCACGCTTACCGGGACATAGCCAGAAGAGTACATTGTCGTCAAAAGTTCTTGCGTCGAGGTCGTCATACACGTCGCACAGCGTTAGTACTATTAGTATGTCTTCCTCTTGTCCAGCCGTCTCGACCGATCCTACCCTCTTACAGGTCAGTGCTTATTGGCAAGTTGTCTGCCCATGACAGTCGATCAGGGGTTCGCAGAAACCTCTGCAACCTCAGAAATATGATGTGCAGTATGATACCCATCGACTGTCGACATTCTGTATTTGCTACAGCAGTATGTGGTCCTCAATACAACGGGCCAACATGCCGCAGAATACCGTGATAAAGCCTCATTTGATGCCCAATATCTTCTTCAGACCATCTGGACCCACCCCGCTCCCGGCAAAGTCATCGAACGACCCGTCCGATACCCGTATGATATGATCCGTGATGAACTGTGCACCCTCCTTCGCACAATCCGCTGGGTGCTTGAAGGCACACTCCGTCTCCAGCACCGCCCACCCCTCGTATCCATACTTCGCCAGCCTCGTGAAGATGCCCTTGAAGTCGACCTGCCCGTCGCCCAGCGCGCGAAAGTGCCCCGCGCGGTCGACCCAGTCTGTGTACCCGCCGTACACGCCCTGCCGCCCGTCCGGAACGAACTCCGCGTCCTTCACGTGCACGACCTTGATGCGGTCGTGGTAGATGTCAATGAACGCGAGGTAGTCGAGCTGCTGCAGCAAGAAATGCGACGGGTCGTAGAGGATGTTCGCGCGCGGGTGGTCGTTGACGTGCTTGAGGAACCGCTCAAACGTCACCCCGTCATGTAGGTCCTCACCCGGGTGGATCTCGTAGCACACATCCACGCCCGCCTCGTCGAACGCGTCGAGGATCGGGAGCCACCGCTTGCCCAGCTCCGCGAACGCCGTGTCCACGAGCCCCGCGGGGCGCTGTGGCCACGGATAGAAATACGGCCACGCCAGTGCGCCCGAGAACGTCGCGTGCGCCTTCAGTCCAAGCCTCCTCGACGCCTTCGCCGCGTCGAAGAGCACACGGCGCGCCCACTCCTCGCGCGCGGCGGTGTCCCCGCGGAACTGCGCAGGCGCGAACCCGTCGAAGAGGACGTCGTACGCGGGGTGCACCGCGATGAGTTGCCCCGCGAGATGCGTCGACAGTTCGGAGATCTCGACGCCGTGCTCCGCGACTGTCGCCTTGAGCGCGTCGCAGTACGCCTGGTCCTCTGCAGCGCGGTGGATGTCGATCAGCCGCGGGTCGACGGGAACTTGCAGTGCCTTGATCCCGAGGGAGGCCGCCCAGGCTGCGAGGCCCTCGAGGGTGTTGTACGGGGGAACGTCACTGAGGTATTGGATGAGGTGGATGGACGGGCCCTTGATCGTGGTTAGCTTGGCCATGATGTCTGTGTATGTGAGTCAAATCGCCGCCGCTGAGCCTGTATCCAGTGAAGACCCCCACTGGTATCCCGGTGAAACGGTTGAGTTCGCTGGTGCAGCTTGGTAAAGCACTGACGTCAGCAGGAGTATATTCGGAGCTCTGTGAATTGTGAGGGCAGCTTCCAGGCGAGATAAAGACGGGTCTTTTCTCATGATATCATGCGATAGGAGTTCGAGATGACGATGCAACTTGAAGCTATAGTAGATCGGCAGACCCTGCCTGACGCTGAACTTGACAATCTATACAATCAGTAGCCCATTTGAGTCAGCAACGTGCAGGAGGAGCTTCGACCCTGCCGAGCAAGATATTCAACAGTACACGGCCGTGGCAACCTACTCATTATACAAGGGTCCACGAAGTTAAAGGTGGTGGCGGATTGGGCGGTGAGTAGCCTCGTGTCTGTTGCGTCATGTCATAGCATACGGCGACTAAGTAAATCCGAGATCCCGCCCAGAGTTCAATGTGCCTCTGCGAGGTACGACACAGATTCCAGATCGACGTAAAACACGATTAAAACGTGCTGCAAGCCGAACGCTGTTTTGATCGATTTGCTGGGGTTTCGAATTGCCTCCGTTGTTACGCGCGCCTCGCTGGGAAGGCATGCACTACGGTTCGAGCGTTCCTCAGAACAGAAAAGGTCAAATTTGACGTGGCTATTTTCGAATGCCATACATACTTTGGATCAGCCCCTGTCATTACCGGGTCCAGGGAACGAAGTAAATATAAGTACGCACTCTGTGCAGCCACACGCATCTTGTAGTATGATCATCCGCCTTCGGTGCCAATTGTTCCCCGCACCACCACGTAGTGATCGACCGCCTCCTCCAGATCATCGGCGCTCGGTGTCTCTCGCAAAGTGTGTATATTATAGTTCCCGAAATGTCGATTCCAACATACCAGATCATCGGGCCGATCCCTCGAGGCGGTAGCTTATTCGGACATAGCGGCGGCGTCGGCTGCTAACCACGGAGGTTGTTGTTGCGCTCGCCGATTATAGTAGCCGGTAGTCGCTGCAAGAGCTCTGGTCGAGGGAGAGCGGATGGCTGGTGCGCAGGGCAAGCCTGCCTTGGTATTCTACCGCTACTTACACACAATAAGTACATGGCTGGCTGTGACATCTGCTCATCAGCTGGTCGACTATTCAGTACGTCTTCGACGCACCTGACCTACATCATCCAGCCAACGTCCCATGACGCACTTACCTATAGAGAACAGTCAGACGATGTCATCCAATGATCCAGCGGCCCGCCCAACTCCTATCCGTACGACGTCTGCTACATGTGCAGCCCAACGAAGACGCGAACTGTGACGTACGGTGGAGCCAAGCCTGCACGCTGCGCTCACGCGGAACCGAAGGCTGGACCTTGTTTGCCTTTAGCCTCTCTTTACTCAATGGTAATATCTGGCCCATCGAGTGCAGACCGCACTTGACGCGGACGTTCAGATGACATGCCAATGCCACGGCCGGATCCTACCATCTTCTCCCGCGCCCCGACCTTCGTTGCGCAGCCTTCATCATTGTCTATACTGCGAAGTCGTCGTCAGAGGTTTATGTGGTAGAGGACTTGCGAGTTCTGAAGTTCCCTGTCGACGGTGTAATGTTGGTCCGTCGACAGATTTAGACAACACCGCGCAAGAGGGGTCATACGATGAGCAATACTGAATAGCATTCATCAGGTGCAACAGTCCGAGCACTGCGTGAGTACTGTTCATGTTGGGAGCTATAGCGCGTGAGGCTGTGGCAGACGGCTACACGGGTACCTCCCCTAGAGGAAAAGCGCAGAATGACGCGGAACATCAGCACTGAAAGAAGGGTCCACGGCGGCCACGTCCTGCTTCCATCGTCAGCTGCGTACCTGCACGATCAGGATCGTCTGTGGACAGCATAGGGAACAACCGACCGTGTAGCCAGACCACGTCCCAAACGAGTGTTCACTGCCACCACGTCCGAGTTTATTTCCTCCGGGAGGGTACGGCGGGAAGCGTTGGCACTGGCCTGGTGCATGCCCTGCTTCTCGAGTCTATCAGGCCAGGCAGCTTCCTGAAAGTGGATCGAAAGTCCAAAAGAAGCAAACGTCATCGGACCGCGAGAACGATTGGAGCACGATGTCGGGCCCGATGTGCGGATGTCCCAGGGCAGAGGGATGATCGCAGACTTGTCTGTCTGTAAAGGCGCCACTGGTGCATGCCCAGAGGCCAAGGCTCCCGATGCGCCCAGATCGCTCAGCGCAAGTGCTGCCTGCACAGTTGTCCCCGCATGGGCCTTGTACGTCCCGCGACTCTGGAGACAAACGTGAACGAGGCGCGCTGCGAGGGCGCCCTTGAGGCAAGAAACTCGAGTTCGCCAATGGCCTTCGGCGTGCATTCACACGGAATGACACCATCCTCTCTTTCTCGTGCCGTCATTGAACTGCTCGATTGAATGTCCAAGAGTCGCGGTGATGCACGCGTCTGCCCGTCGTGTGAAGCGGGTTCCAGTCGTTCACGCAAGACACCTATCGGGACGAATGCATGACAGAGAGTGAGGTCCTGAACAACAGAGATGAGCTCGGGGATTCTCACCATTGCACGTGCCAAACGAGTGCACCAACGTGCACCGTACAGGCCAGCGAGGCCACAGATGAAAACGCGAACGCGGATCCGGTGAGATCAGCGGGCGCAGAGGCTCGGCGAAACCAAGATGAAATCATTATAGACACGTCTGCACCTGCCTTTCAAGGCGAAACGGAGCACCCGGATCGTAATAAGCCTTCCGCATTCTCGGTTACGTATGCGCGCTATGAACGGGAGAACAAGCAAATTGAGTTGGCACGAGTCCAAGGCGTCGCAGCTGCTGCAGGGCCGCTGGCCCTCAAGATTTGCCTAAGGGCCTCAGGCGGGCTCGCCCCTGTCAATGTTCGTGCCCTCTCGGGGGCCGCCATAGACCTGGACATTGGGACACTGAATGCACTAGCATACGAGGTGGTAGAGAGCAAGAGCAGCCGAACGGTACGTTCGGACGGACGTACCGTCGCTACACGTACCCCTTACGTGTACGTGTAGCGTTAGAACCTTCGGAGAAGCCCACCTTGATACATGTCTGTGAGAAGCGTGCCGTGATTTGGCTGAGGAAGACTGACTGAAGGGAGCGTTCCAGCGCGTGATAAGTACGAGATCCGGGCAGGTGGGCCACAGACGACGGCAATCCGCTGCGACGGGCGACTTTGATTGCTGGGTCGATGCGGGCATTAATGGGGATGGCCGCGCACCGGCACTAGGGCGGATGACTGGCCGTAGCTTACCGGGGTCCACATCCGACAATTACCCCGTCGGCCGTATAAGGCATGAATTTAGACGTAGGGTTCTTGACTTCGACACCTCGAGGTTTCCCTCCGGAAAGGAACGGTGAGCGATCCGCGATAGCAAAACGGGCAGCTGAAAATAGGGTTTTAGGATGTTTAGCGAGCAGGTCTTCTGGATGAACAATTTAGTACGCAGCATGTCTGCAGACTGTGTTGGAGCGTGTCGCTCAAATAGGTTTATCGCTGGTACCGACGGGTAGAACCACCCCACGCATACGTCGTGACTGTCGGACGCCGTGACAGAACCCCTGTTGAGTAAACCAGTTGCTCGATTATGAGTACTGACACATACGGGGCTGATGGGTACTGACCAATGTACAGATACGCTGTCTTGCGCGATACGGCTGACGTTGAAGATGCGTTCCGAGACTCGCCGACATTACTCACGAACAACGGCTCATTTCGTAAGAAGAACAACAGCGGACTGCCACACGTCGCGGTGCACGTTCGACGGAGTCGACCCTTGCGCATGATGCGTAACATACACGAACATGCGCGCAGCAGAGAATCGCGTTCCTATGCAACGTTGACCTGCGCACACGGCAATCGTTCAGTAGAGAATGAGTAGGAGGAAGAGAAGACGGACGGCGGTACCGTTCTAGCGTAACGTTGGGACCTAGGACGCGAGGCGCGTGCGATTTGCCAGCAGGTCTTTAGGCAATCGGAAGACCAGCCCCTTTAGCCGACGAGTCGGATACGAGGTACGTTCGTGCGTGGCCCCCCTGAGACGGTGCGCATCGGCGAGTGGCGGCGCGGGTTCGACCGCCCACGCAAACGCTGTTGGCAGCCCTGCACAACGCTCTCCCGACGACGACTGAATGGCGCGTGGGCGCAGCGGGGAGCCGTGGCTGCGCACGATCGCGACTGCGCCCACCCGCACCCGCCACACCCTGGGCGTCGCTGATCATAGCACCTCGCAGTGTGCGGAGATGACACTTCGTGCCTCCCCACGGCCCCAGCCGCGCGTGATCCGGGCCACTGATTGCATCGATCTGTATGTGCCAGGTCAGCGGTTGAGTAAAGAGACTCGCTCTGTTGTGGTCGGTAGATACGATACGGCCTCGACGATCAGGGGACTGGCTGTGCAATCGGACCCTCCTTCCGCGCCGGACCCTCCGTTCTACTTCGTCCGCAGAACATTTGGGGACGTGAACGAGTGTGCGGCTCTGGTCCGGGGTGTTGGGCTCGCCGCGGCCGACGCGCCCGTGCGCGTCCCGCACTGGGCGTAGAACACGGGGAGGCGCCCAGCTCGCATCGGTGGGCTCTCACCAATCGGGCCGCGCCCATACGGGTCGGCGCGCAGCACAGGGGCCAGTGAAGGATTCGTGTCTTCTGACGAGAGCGCAACGAGTTCTTGCCCCAGATCTGTGATGTTGAGGGATACGTCTCAGAGCTGCTGCAGTCGGCTCATGGCTCCAGCGCCCGCTGCTGAACCTGCCTCATCCAGGACAGCCGGCATCGTCGCAGGGAGATAAGGAGCGAAGGCTCGCGCGAAACGAACGTTTGGCATACTGGAAGAGGGTGAAGGTCGGCCTATCGTTCCACATCCCGCAAGCTACTCCGGGCGGAAGGAGCGAGCTCGAGGTCCGAGGGCTTATATGGCAGCGCAGACCCGACGGGGTGGAGCCAGCAGAGATAGCGGCGAACCGCGTTCGCATTGTCGTCCGGAGTAGGGCGACAATGGTCGGCAGTGGCCAGAATTTGCATGTGGGACTGGACGTGCCCAGCGTTGCTGTTTGGGCTACGAAGCGCACATGATAGAGCCCAAGAAACGCCCTGGAATGGAGAACAGTGAGAGCCAGCAAACTATTGTCTGTCACAGCGGACTTGCAATGTAGAGGCTGTGTTGCGCCTTGACCGCGCACCTGAGGTAGAGAGCATATCCTGCCACTGCCGGCGTGGAAGTGTTTGATGCGTACGTGAGGGATCAAATAAAATGAGTAGACGTCCGTAATGGCTTCAGGAACGCGCGGCAAGGTTGGGCGGCGCATCAGCTCAACTGCGTTACATGACAGAGGGTCGAATCTGAGGAGCTTCCTGTTGCGGTTCCTGGGAGCCTAGGCCGAAGTTGGATATGTTATGGCCGCTCAGAAGCAGCGGCTGTTCCAATATCAACGTGATTGATCCGGGCGCGAAGACGTCCGATGGCCTTCTCGATTAGCTGGATATGTCTGGATCGCACTGACAAAAGTCTGGAAGGGGACTGCTGGCCGTGCCGATGCTGGCAGAGGGAGACGCGAGGAAGGGGGGCGTCCGGAGCGGTAGGCAGGAGAGCGCCATCCAGTGGGAAAGAGCGGGCACGGTCGCTCAGCTGGCGGACGGCGAAGCACGGAAATAAGGTCGGCCAGGGCAGTTATGGTAGCGTTCTCCCAGGGCGCGTGTGATGAGGAGAGGTTGCTGGAGAGGTGTCTCGTGGCGTCATGCACGAGGGCTGCGTGTGAGCGCGAGCTGCTGCAGGATCCTCGAGTCGTCGCAGGCTGGCAGGAGCGAAATAAGCTAATAGACGAGTAGCTGATCGAGCGATTGACTGTGCGAACGAACGGGGCGGTGTGCGCGCGGGAACGGGGAGGGCGCACGGTGGTCGCAAATGGCAAGAAAACAGACGCAGTCTTCGCGGGACGCGGTCTTCGCGATGCCGCGGTGGCCTCGAGTGAGCACCTCGAGCCTCGACGCGGCGGCCCAGCCACCGCCGCGTGACGGGGATGGGTGACCAGTGTGACGGAGCGAACAAGGTTTGAAAGCCGACGTGACGGGACGGGGCGCCTGTGCGCTGATCGCAGGAATCTCGGCGGGAGCCGCTGGACCGCCCGTTCGGGAGGTTCCCACAACATATGCTGCTGACAAAGACGCGCCAAATAAGCGTGAACGCCAGAGCCTCGCGGATTTACTTTGCACTTTCCGTCTCCGTCGCACCGCCCGCCCGTCGCCGTCCCCATCCGGCGCGGCTCTCTCGACAACGCTCTCCTGCGCGCCGCTGTGGGTGTATGTCCACGCACGTCGCGGCCTGCACCGCTTTCTGATCACGGCCTCCAGTCAGATCCACGTCTGGCCCGTCGACCGCTGTTGCGAACAATCAGCCCATAACGAGGTACATGCCGTCCCACAATCTGGCTCGTCGTCGCGTCTGACCGTCCGTATCACTGCCAGTCACCGCCAGGTTGGCCCCAGGACGACCCTATTTCGGTCGATCACGACATGCAGGTGCAGCTGGCGCAGTGACGGAGGCCCCACGCTCGCGCCCTTAGATAGGAACTGTATTCGTGCCTAGGTTTGGATGGTGCCAATCCGGTCCAAGCGCAGGTAAGTTCCGAGTCCGAAGGTTACAGGGAATCCCGCGAAGAGACCTCCACGAACTCCTTCTGCCCAAATCCGGACGCACACCATTCCTTCTGCGGATTTGTCACCGAGTGGAAATTTTCCAGACTCTCGGCTTCTAGCAGATCACATCTGCGCGTCTCTCTGAACTCTTTAGCCGTGGGCCCCATGGACGCCCTGGCTTCGTCGGGTTCTCGCGTGGCTTTCATATCTATACACTGCCTTTAGCTGTCCCTCCATGCGCCCCTTGTTCCAACTCCCGCTCGCCAACTCTCCACTTACGCGTCCTTGTCCCCAGACATGGTTGCCAGCTCAAACGGCGAAGTCTACGCCCCCTACACACGCGTCCCGGTCGTCGAGGAGGGCTTCCAGTCGAGTGAGGATGGCTCCGAGCTCCACTCCCCCGTCTACGATGGCTCGTACACACCAGAAGGTGCGTTCGCCGCCCTCCCTCCGCGCATCCGTCTTTTCACGCGTCTGTCCACACAGAACTCCCCTACCAGCTCGGGCGCATGATGCCATACGCGTCCGACGCGCAAATGTACATGCACAGCTGGGACAACGCGCACTACGACGGCCCCGACTATGCCGCCCAGGTGCGCGAGCACCACATGCTCCAAGGCCTACACATCCCCAGCCCATCGCTCGATCCCGATCTCCACCACTCCTTCACGAACGATCTTGCCCTGCACGACCCGACCATGCTCGGGTTCGAAACCCCCGGCACGCGTTTCCATCCGCACGCTCTGACGTCGACAACGGACTACACGTTCGGACTCCCTCAGAGTCGGTTGCCTGACCCACAGTACCACACGCCACACGATGTCCTCCATGATCCGCCCGCCGGCTATTCCTCGCATCATCAAGTATCGATGCCGGCTTCTAACCAAACATCCCAAACGACGGTGGCGCAACCACCAAAGTCGACTTCGCCGAGCGCCACGATGACAGCAGGGCGACCGCCGCGACGGGAAGCCTCAAACGTCGTTATCGCATGTCGGCAATGGTGAGTGGGACTTGTTATCGTTGTCGAACACGACAGCTGACGCGAACATCCCAGTCGCGCTCGTAAGATTCGCTGCGACTCGACGAGACCGGTGTGCCACAACTGCACACGGCGCAACAACGAGTGCGAGTACGACGCCGTTCCCAAGCGCAGAGGCCCGGACAAGCGTCCAGGCACTAGGCAGCGGTCCTGCAAAAAGCGTTCGTCAGACTCCGCGCCGCCCCTAAAGAAGAAGCGCAAGACCGAGGACGACGGTCCCGACCCCATCATCGGTCGTATCAAGCAAGACCCCGCCGAGGTCGAATCCAAAGCCCATGCTCTGTCCTTCGGCTCAATACACGAGAGCAGCTCCACCTCACACTCGTCCTCCTCCCCTCTCGACATCCACGAGCACTCCCGCCACTATGCTCCCGACATGACCTACCCTCGAGTGAGTACCTAGTCACGTTCGGTCGCAGTCACGAGCGTCAACGATGTTCATACAGTCCTCTTAGGACGGTCTGTCGGCGAACTCCCGGCACCATCCTGACTCGCTGGCGTACGCGACTCGGTCCCCCGATACCAAATTGTTTTCGCGAAACGGGGACATTAACGGCGGGCGCCGCCACCATGACGACGACTACTCGAAAGCTACATTCATCCCTCTCTCCCCCTCGGTCGAATACACGCGCAAGACCTGGTGGGACACTCTCCTGCGCGAGCATCAGTACGTGCCGCCGCTCGCTCCGTAGCTCGTCCCCGTATTAAGTGCGCGCCCGCCCGTAGACTGAACGACATCCTGAGTGACCTCAATTTCCTGTATGTATCACTATGCCCTCCGTACGATACCAACGGCCACTGAATTATGTCCCCGCCTAGCCTTACTTCTAGTAGTTACTGGCTCTCGTTTATTCATCTTCCGACGTTCTTTCGTGACCTGCAAGACCCTGCGCAACGCGTGCGCATGCAGCCCGCCTTCATCATGGCCGCCCTCGCAATGGCCACCCTCATGAAATCGAGTGAAATTGAGCACGGCGCGGTGGGAAGGTCTCGCGCTATCATGTACAGGGACGAGGCGCAGTCACTACTGGAGAGTGCTTGCAGCCAACAACTGGTCGACTATACCCTCGCCGAGGCTGCATTGGTGCGTTTTCTCGAAGTTCAATTTTTGCCGAGTGGCTCACTGTGCGCATCCTAGCTCCTGGCGCTCTTCGAGACGTCCTGCCACCCGCAGTACAACACGGAGAGAGCGAGCTGCTCGTTGCAGTTCCTCGACCGCATCGTCGGCGTGCTCTCCCTCACATTCATCGACCGGCACGACGCCGACGTGTCCATATTTTCCTCCCGCTCAGCGCCTGTCGTGTACATGCCCGACAACTACCGCCCGCCGAAGAAATGCTGCTGCGTCGCCTCGCCGCAGAGCATCCCGGGCGGCGGCGAGGGCTACCACCCCTACTCGCAGATCATCCCGCCCTGGAACCCCAGCTGGTCCGAGGCGGAGATCCGCAAGGAGGAGTGCCGCAGGCTGTGCTGGGTCGCGCTCGCCCTCGTCGCCAACCACACGCTGCAATGCTCTGCCTTCCACGTCGAGCCCATGCGATTCTTCCTGTCAGACCCGGCGAATGTGCGTGTCCTTCTCTGATGCGCGATCCTTCAATCTGTCAGTGTGTGTCTGTTTCTCATGCTAAATCTTCGTGCAGTTCGCGCTGCTGTTCCCGGGCGAGGCCTACGAACGTGCCCTGGGCCACGAACAGCTCTACGGGCAGTCGCCGAAGGACTCCGTCTGGGCTGTGTACTGTCGGAGCATGCTGCTGTGGAGCAGCAGCATCCGCCCGCCTGATGACCGTTGGTCATCCGAGCACCGAACAAGGTTCACTCTGGACATCCTCGCCGAGACGCACGTCGTGCAGTCGGCGCTCGACATGCACCAATGCAGTGTGGACAGTACGCTGCTGGACGTGTGTAGGGAGTTTCTCTACAAGTATGTCTACCGGTTGTCCTTCGCCGCTCCACCGCTGACCTCATGCAGCACGCAGCTCACTGCCACGTATGAATTGCGGCGGTGAGTCCGTCTTCGATTTGTCATCAGCGTACCTGGCTCATCGTCTTAGCAGGCTACAGGACGTCGATAGCGCGGCTGCGTTCGACCGCCGACAGGCAGAAGAGTGGCGTGAGTACCGTTGGAATCGGCTATTCAGGGGCGGGGTTCTCATTGCTGACGCACATTGCAATAGTGTACTATCAGGAGCAGATAGCGAAAGGCGTCAAGGCGGCTGTGCTTCAGCTGGGTGAGGCTCCTGGACACCTATTGTCGAGGCGCCCATTCCAGGTGAACTGGATAGCCACGCAAGTCATGATCTGTCTGTCGCTCTGGAACTACGACCGCTCGCTCGTGCACGCGCTGGAGCTGGCGAAGTCGTTCCTCATCCCGCTCGACGTGCTCAACGCCCTGTGGCCTTCGACAGGTACGCCCCGCCGCTTTCTTAATCCGACTTATCAGCCGGAACAATACTGACGGTGGTCCGGATTTAGTGCAACGGGCACGGCGGGACGAGCTCCGCCAGCGCCTTGAGGAGGCGTGTGTTTCGGCGCGTCTGCCACCTCCCCTCCCGGCCGAGCTCACACTGCCGCCAATTCTGCGAGCATGATAGGCTGGTCCACGCTTCGTGCCTTCCTTCTCTCCATTCATCGATATGCGCGCGTTGCGTTCACTTCCATTCGTTACTTACTCATACACGGCAGTCTGTATATCTCTTACTACGTGGTTTCCCCATTTGGAAGCGCTGTCCCCTAGTCTCGTCCACTTCTCTGTAGCCTACGTACTGTATCGGGTCTCCTCCTCTATTCATCTTCATAGCCGGTATAATCTGCTCTCGGGCTCATACATACGACTTCGGGTTATTTGGCTCCCCCTAGTTTGCTGGTGTACATGCAGGTGCTTGCTTGTCGTCGTCGTCTGGTTCTGGCTGCGTCAGTATCATGTCATTCAGCATTGCCAATCCATCTTCATAGAGATTGCTACCTTGTGCTCCGCGCAGATGGAAGTGACAATTCATTCCCGAGGAGGGGGATCCGACTTTACAATACTCCGGTGAAATGTAGAGTGTATCTTGATGCACAACAATAACGGTGGCCTGGTATGGAACTCCCTTTGCGCGCAAACCTTCGCAGCGTTGCTATGGAAGTCTTGTGTCCAACAGCCTTGTTGTTCAAACGTTCACCGTGCATGTTCAAGATAGGGGAGTAGATATCGTGCCCGCGGCCGACAAGAGCTTATCGGAGACTGCGCCTCTACTATCGGGATGAGGCGATGCCCTTACGACAAACGCACAGGCGTTGTACGTGAGCTGTCACGCAGCGCGGGCGGCAGCTACGTCTTCCTCTCGTAACAAGAACAGGCCGTCTCCCAGCATGTGTTGATTGCGTTCGCGATTGAGAATAAGCTATTTCAAACCTGCCAGCAGTGCCCAGCGCGGCGAGTGATGCTCCGTATGCGTCTTGCATAGGCCCGGAAATAGTGTCGCGGGCGTGCGTGCGAGTGTACCGATCGTCGATTGGCCGATCGCAGCGTAAAGATAATTCTGCAGGTGAAGTGCAGTCCGGCGATTTGGCCTGCCCTGGTGTACACAGCACAGGCGCATGCCACGTCGGTCGCTGGCAGGGTGCATCCCCGGAGATGAGTGTTTAAGTTGTTCAGTGGCGCTCACCAGTGTGGACACTACTACATGTGGAAGCGAAGATACTGGGAAACAGGGCTGTTCAATCTGATCAGGTACTTGTGGTACTACATGTGTGATATGGCTTTCATCTATCAGCCAGAACCAGCAAGCAGCTCTAGCCACAGGTATGCATGCATTTCAGCACCCGCAGCGAGTGATCTAAGATTGAAATGGCATAGTCCCTGCATTATAGGTACGGTATGCAAATACCTTCACCGACAGTGGCGGCCCGGGGCGCTAATGCGCTCGTAGTCTCCTATCGGAATCGTCAGGATTTAAGTTGCTCAGAGCCACGGCATCGAAGAGGTGTTTCGTCGCTCACCGACACGTAATAGCATGGCAGAACGTACGGATGTAGATGCGGCGTCGGTCAAGATCGTCCTGTAGATCTCATCGGTAGCTGTGATCGACGGCCCCGACGGAAGCTTTTCTCGCACCGCCACCTGTTCGATCGCCAGCGCCACCCAGCGGCGGGTTTCAGTTCGATGGCGTACCAGGCGTCGAATGCGATGTCTTGAGATGGTCGAGGGTATTGTCCTACGTATCATCAATAGTGCATTTTGCTCGGACAATATCAAAGACCCTCAGGTCCGTGATTTAGTACAACTTGGGGCAGCTTAGTACTAGTATTCCGCCGGCTCGCCCTGGCATAGAAGAGAGGTTCTTCCTTGCAGCCTAGTACCGTCGCAGCGCTAACACCATAGTACGCGGGTGGAGGTCACTGCAGTGTACAGGCTGCTACGTCCATGTCTACTACTACAACATACGACCAGTGGCAACAACAGAGTATTTTAACTCTAGCATTTGGGTTAAAGACGCCGTAGGGAGTCTTACAGGTGTGAAGGGTGGTCAGTACATACCTAAAGGCAGGATTGCGCGCCACTCGAGTGCAACCATATATTCCGAGATGGCAGTTTGCGGATGCGGAGGAAGACGACACTAGGGTGAACCTTGCAGAGAACAGACTGGCCGCAGCGGGTCCCCTGAAAACGGAAAACCCTCACATCAGTGAAGGGCGGACGTCCTTTCCAAAAGGTGTGCCGTCCTAGTGGCATCCATGCAGCGCTCCAATTGCCGACATTCACCTATTCGAGTTAACATCCAATAATATATCTCAAGAGGACCCAGCGGCGACAGGCGGTATCAACGGCAACAGCACGATTGCACTCGCATATCAAGTTAGGCACTGGCAGTATGTACTGTGCACGCATAAATCCAGGTTGTTTCGGGGCCGGAGAGCAAGGTCAGAGCTGTGACACGGCGGCGGGGCTTTCGTGCGATCAAATAGCGACGCTGCCTCTCCCTTCGAGTTGTCGATCTGTTTTGAATGGCGCATCTCGTCAGTCAGTCGATCATCGGAGGGCGCATGAGCCCACATCACCTGAGCAACACGTCGTAAGCACGGTCAGTATCATCTTCCTTCACAATTATGCGACGCTCGGCGTCTCGACTCCGCTTATCTTGCAACAGCTTGATACAGCATTTCTTGATACCGCGGCATCACAGAGAAATGGAATATCAAGCCTACCAGCTCTCAGCCTTCGTCTTCGCGAAGGTAGACACACATCGGCGAGCCGCGTGCTACTAGACTGTCCTACATAAAGCCGCGCGGCGTAGGATAAGCGACTCATCAGCTCTTCTGGACCGATATCAAGTGAGCATATCCATGGCCTACCACTGTGCCGTCGCTATAAGGGGACTTGCGAACAACGTTGGTCATAAAGTTGGATGCGTGTCCCGCCGCCTGACAAACATAGACGTTGCGTGTGCTTTGTCAATATTTATATGATTAAGTAGCGTCGGACCTCGGGAGAAGTGCGGTTCTCTAGGGTGGACTCGGGAGGCAAACTCAGCACAAGACGCCACCTTGCAAATCAAGCATTGTCACCCTCGTACTGAGGTGCGGAGATCTCGCTTCGTCTGCGCGGTGCGTGAGACGGATTACGCCGACATTACCAAGCGGCTCGGAGCGGAATTCGAGGCGTACCATATTATATTCGCGCCGTCGTTGGGCCGTGGCTGCGGTGCTCGATTACACCGCATCATCATGCATTTAATTCAGATTGCTTTAGAGAGATACAGTTGAGTATCGTACCCACTCACAACGCATTTCCGGGAAAGACGACTCCTTAGAGAGCTGTGATGAATCCGAGGAGTAGTCAGTCCAACATCTAGCAGGCGATATGCCACTTACTACATTCTCTTTTCGACCAGCTTCTTGCTCGAGAACTCAGGAAGCATTGCTAGAGTGTGAATATCGCGACACGGCCAATAAACACGGAGTCGGAGAAGCAAGAGAGGAAAGGCAGTGCACACACCTCGACTAGACATCGAAGCTGGAGCTCAAAGAAGACTCCCGCCGCCGGGTGAGTATCAGCAACACCCATTTCGCCCGCAGCCAGTTCTTTCTCCGCCTTCCTTTCGTATCGCACCGCCGGAGCATAGCGCAGAAACACCTCACCCCTGGCCCCTCCTTCACCGCGACAATGAGGGCCCCTGATAAGGTACACCAAGTGAGAAACCAGGAGGAGCTGGAACACGACTGAATTGTCACGCACCGCTGCATCCATACATCCACCCTCTTCTGCACCCGTTCATTATCACCGTCCCAGGACTCCCCGGCGTCGGCTCGGGGGCACATCCTTAACGGTGGTGGTCTCGGGAGGGAGCACGTCCGTAGATGGGAACGAAATGTATGGACTAGCGTAACGGATTCGGAGCTCACGCGATTCGCTGCGCGTAGTCTGATCACGCAGGATATCATGGCTCCCCAGGCGGGGCCGAAGGCATAATAAGAAACCAGAGTAGCCCGAAACCATCCACCCCGATGGTGTACAGATTTTTCCGGATCTGTTCAACGCATAAAATGATCCAGATACACGGGATGTCAGCACGCTGAAGACAAAAACCTTTGGAAAGGCGGATGCTCGCATCCAGGCCGCGTCCGTGGAGTACTTTGCTTGTAGTAATTGGCTCGCGCGAGGGAGAGTCCCTCCAACGACACGATCCTACTCACGGGCAAACATCAAACCGTTCTGGCGACCGTCCGCCCAAATGACGAGCTCGCGAACGACGGGGTACCGCAAGAATTTTACCATTCAGGGCATACCCTTCTCGGTAGAAGCGATCTGCAGAAGAGGGGCTACGAGCGACTGAATACCAAATCCTCCCCCAGGCTCAGGCTGCCGGGCGAGCCGAGCAGCGCGAAGTCCCAGAGGTTCGTGCTTGGCGGATCCAGAGGGAACCCCCTGCCCCGAATCGGACACGTATGCGCAGGGTGAAGGTGGCCCCGCACGCCTCGAGCGTGCGAGAACTCAGTGGATGGAGGATGGAGAAGGGTTCTGCGTCCGGGTCGAGCGACGAGAATAGCTTGCAGCTGGACTCCGAGTCTGCCAGTGCGCTCCTCCGAGTCAACGTTCTCCCTGTGGCACCTTCGCGCGCGGCGGCATGATACGGGCGAACACTGGTGGGGACCCGTCAAGCAAGCTGTGGCAGATACAGAAGCACGGGATCCCACCGACATTGATACCGTTCGGCATTCGTACACGCCCTTCATCTCAGGCTCCAAAGCCTTCGGCGCGCGCCGCCCGGCCTTGCGCCAGTTCATCGCGCTGTTGCGCACACGAGGCACGCCGGTACCGTCCGCGGCGGCATACACCCTGCTGGTGACAGGGTACACCGACTAAGTACTACCTGGGCATTGGCCGCCTCGAGGTCCCCGTAGTACGCAGCGCCACGATTGAATGTACTAAGACATCCACTGATTGTCTACTGAAGACACTGATTCGGTGACGGCGAGGTATTGCCGGACAAAGGCGTTCGCCGGCCACGAGGCTACGCACCATCGGCACGGGATACGAGCTGGCGTTCGTTCGAGCTTGCCCATAGACTTGCACCGGCGGGTTGTTGGTGCTACCTATGTCCGATGTGCGATTCTAGAATAGTGGATGTGCGATTAGAACCATCGTCACAAAGAGGTCATAGCCATGACATTGATTACGCATATACGCACTGTAGTCACATTGACCGGATGTCTTCCATGCTGCAACCTATTCAGGCAGGATGAATGCTTCCGAAGCAACAATGTCAAAACCAGTCCCAGACTGAGCGTGACAAGATTCTACCAACAAGGTGGTTCCAAAATCAGGCCAACAGGAAGGAGAAGACAGTCCAGGGTGCACTTCTGCTTCGGGCCTCGCAATCCGCGATCATCCCTGGCCTGTTCAAATGGCTCAAAACGGGTGATCGTCTCAGTCGCGGGGGTCGTCACGGTCAGGCGGACTGCCTAAGGATGTCCTGTCGTGCTGAACAAGGCCGCGGGGCACACGGACGCAACATGGACGCGTCTTCTGACTTTTCCTGCCGCAGCCTAAGTAGGTGCATCGCATTGTCAGAAGCTTGAAATCTTCAATTGCTGAATTGGGCTTATGTCCGATCGCGGGATGCGCTCCGGACGGATCCCAGACACAATGTGCTAGCCTAGCGAGTCTGGCCGCCTGTCGGGCCTCGGGACAAACGTGGTTAGTCCAGGGTTCGCGGACATAATCAATGAATGCCATGAAGACGAACCTCGGGGTCGGAACAGCAACTTCTGGGCGACCGCAGATGGGCCCCCAAAGGGCGCCAGGGCCGCAGTTGGCAGAAGGTAGGGAACCGCTACATACTTATGGAGAACCCTGAGGCAGCCGCCCCGCGAATGCCAGTGCCAGTGCGTCTGCATGAGCGCACGTGTGATTCTACTGTGCTGTAGACACGCGTAGGACGCGTCAAGTTGAGACTACTACCGGTACTACTTAGATGTGCGCGACCTTCGCATGCGCTCATACCCCAGTAAGTAATTAGCAGCGCGAGGCGTTGTCATGCCTCGTTAACGCTGCTTCTGCAAGGTTGAGTCTCAAAATTCAGATGTTGATGGGCCTGGCAGACGCAGCTTCTCGCTGAGACCCTGACGCCATGCCTAAAACGAACCGATCCTCGAATCGAACGCAACATCCACCGCGCAGCCCACCCGGCGGGAAACATCGCGCTTCTGATGCGGCGCGCGCGAAGCCCGGACTGCGGGGGCGGGGTGGGGACGCGCGCCAAGTCGCGCAGTGACGGAGACTGACGACCGCGCGCAAGCCACAGACGCGAATCTTCGATCCGAAGGGCAGCGCATCATATCGCCGCCGTCGGTGCCCGCGTGCCTGGCGCGGCGGCTGGTGCGCCCGCCTGCCTTTTCCGGCGCCGCGTTTACGTCCACAGACCGTCATCCGCGACACACCCCGCGATCGCACCCGCGTACGCGCGCAGAGGGCGGCGACCTAGAAAAAGCGGGCGGAAAATGCGCGCGCAATATATCAGATCTCCAGAGCTACTTAGCTCGAGCTTGGAGCTCCGAGTCCGGGGCGATCGCACGCTCTGAGTCGGAAGGCTTGATGCCGGGGGGCCGCGGCGTACTAAAGTATGTCTGGTTCGCGGCAGCCTGCAGCGCGACGAGGTGATGAGCGGGCAACGCAAGCTAACGTTGCCGGGTACCCCTAGGGGCACCACCTGAGACGCGACGTCGACGCGACGCGGGGCAGAGTTGGCCCGCCGTCGTCGAGTCGCGCAGTGGCTCGATCACTGCAAGTCCGCGAGGTGCGCGGGTGTCGCGTCCGACGTCGTGCCGATGCTAATTGGTGGCCTCCTGCAGATCCGAGTCGGGCGCACGGCAATTTGTACGCGGGACCGCACTGTGCGTACTTACCGTACAGCGGCGTTTCATGTGCAGAGAATGGGAAGGCGACGTACGCTAGATTGTGATGTAGTGATGCGGAGTACTTACTGCGTCAGAGTATGATGGCACATGCGACTTCGACCAAGACCGACGGCAGGTGGACGACAGGTCTGACTCTATGCGTGATATGTATGTCTGTCTAGACGAACAAGCCGGACTGTATTACCATGAGAGAGTATGGACAGCTATGCATACATTTTGAGTCTACGTACATGTACAGGAGCTCGAGGTAAGGGTGCACTATGGGACATTAAGTATGTACAGCGGAGCACAATGCAGGCAGACAGGACACGCGTACGCATACGCAAAATTAGCAGCAATAGGTGGGGATTAGGTTGACTCTAGGATACTGTATATGTCGTTGTGGGGTCGGGGTCGGCGGGGGTACACTGCGACCCTACTATACGAACAGCAGGTGGGACAAGATGCTTGCTGATGGTGGCGGCGAGCGGTGGGGGGCCCGTGGGTGCGCAGCACCGTCGGCGGAGGGTCGCCGGCCAGGAGGCATATTAGAGGTTGTACTTTGCGATGTGTCGCATGATGATCAGGGAGGCGAGGAGCTCTGCGAAACACGAAGACAGCGGGTCAGGCGGTGCTCGTAATCTCCGACGCGTCGGAAGGGAGGCGGGAGGGGACGAGACGTACCGCCTACGATGTTCGAGTAGGACTCCTCGACGGTGAGGACGCAGCCCGAGGAGCCGGCGTACTTGGGCTCGTCGGGCGACTTGAGGCAATACGACGCGACGTGGTAGTTGCTCGCGTTTGTGCACTAAGGGAGAGGAGTGCGCGTCAGGGAAGACCAACTATACAGGGTAGCTAGGGACTCACACTCCACTCCTCATCGCCCTTGCTTTGGTGGGACCAGCGGTACTCCTGCCCGTCGGACGCCCGGAACTTCCTGCCCTTTTGGCTACACACAACGTCACGCGTGAGACACCAAGGACGCGGCTGCAAGAGACAAAGGACGCACCCGCCAGATCCCCCGGCCTTGGTCAAGTACTGATTCATATTCACGCTCTCGCCGTTCCCGATCTTGACGGTGCCGAGCGCGCGGTTCGCGCCAAAGTCGAGGCACGCGAGGGGCGCGCTGAACGCGTTCGGGCGGGAGGAGAGGTCGTAGATCATGTACGCGGTGTGGGACACGTCGCGGAGGGTGCAGCGGAGGCTGAGGCGCATGCGGTTGTAGAGGTCGACGAACTCGGAGCCGGTGAGCTCGCCGGTCTGGTCCTCGAGGAAGAAGGGGAGGCCGCAGGAGGTCATGGTGGACAGGAAGCGAAGGGCTCAAAAACAGGCAAGCACGAACGAAGGGAAGAGCGAGGGGAACGGGCTCCGGCGAGCGGGGGGGAGCGCGGGGGACTAAACGAGTGTGGCGGGGCGAGCCGGGAGGAAGAACGCTGGACAAAGGCCTCCCGGGGCGGGCGGGGGTGGCGGTGGCGAGAAGAGGAAGGAGAGCAGTGGCGGGGCATGGTGCGCGGGCAGCGACTTATATTCACGCTCCGAGTCCGAGTCGCCTCAGCCGTGCTAGCGCCCGCCCCCGCCCCAGTCCGGCCACGCTATTCCTTTTCGGGCCAATCGCGTCCGCCGTCCCCGGCTCGGCGCTCATCTCATCCCCGCCGGCCACCAAACACGGACGCCATCTCTCGCCCCAGCCCATCGTAGATCCTGTTCTGCGCTCCCCGCCCGCCTCCCGCCGCCGCCCGCCGCCGTCCCCGACGCTCCTCGCCGTCCGCGCCCCGTGCCGCCCCATGCCGACCCCCGACACATGAGGCTGATCCCGAGGCCCTCGCTTGGCAACGCGCGACCTCGTCTCCGCCCGCTGAAACGGCCATGCAGCAGCCCCGTCGCAAATACCGCGCCTCCACCCGACGCCGTGCAGCCTCGGCGTGCCTGGTCTTCAGGGCTCGCGCGTCGGCTCGCGAGGCGCGTCCGATTCATTGCGCCTTGTTACTCTGTGGGTCCACGCGCCTGCGCGGTCGCCGCGTCGCAGGCGCGGCCCTGAGCCCTGCGTCACAGTGCGTGGCGACTGTCGCCACCGGCCGTGCGGCATGCCCGTTTCGTCGCCGTGCCCTCGCCCCGCTGCGGCGCGCGCGTTGCTGGGGCCTTCTCGCCATGCGCCCATACTTACGTCTGTTGAACGTCGACGCCGGGGATCGCGTCTAGCGCAGTTACCGATTGAACACCGGAGGGTGTCCGCTGCGAGGGCCCATTTGTATATCCTGGGCTTCGAAATTCGAACACGCCGGTATCGGTGCAACAGCTGTCCCTAAGACTCGACACCGAAACATGTCGTGTTACGTCGTACGTAACTTTGTACTTACGTTCCACGATTCACGAACGTGCCTATTCGAGCATGCGCGTGCATGCCTCATGTCAGGGCCAGTGTCCCAAGCCATTTCGTCAAGTCAACTGCGTACCAAAAATATTGTCATCGACGCGCATTGCCAGATTCGCGTCGGTATGTAACCGAGCCAGCCAGCAGCGCTGATCCGTTCGCCGTCGCCCTAAACACCGACGGTGACCGCCTGCGGCCCCAAGCACAGTGCTGTCAGATTAGCGTGCGCGACTCCAGGCCCCTGCTTCGAACCTGTGTTGCAGTGAGATCGGCTCGAAATGAGGAACATTGATGCAGATGATGTCACTGGCATGGACCTCCGAGCGCGAGCTGCTCGTCCACGTCGCCACAAAAATGCAACCAGGATGCTGGACCCCGGTACTGGACGCGACGCGTACGTACGAATTACTATGTATGCAGGTACTTATTTTTGGCGTATTCGTCTGGCAGTGCGACCACTGTGGGCCTTCGCCGCGCAGCACTCTTGACAAAATGTCGTTGACGCAGACCTGTCATTGTCAGGCCTATGGCTCCGACGAGCACGGTGTGTCTCGTAAGCACCCCGCCTGTGCGAGGGCCTGAAGCGTCCGACGGTCCCCAGAGTTGAGATCTGCAAGTTCATGGTCAGCCCGTCAGACGAATCACGAATCACGATCCATCGGCGATTCATGCGCACGCGAGACCGGTCATCACCGAGTCCTACCAAGCCAGCCCATCACCGTTACCGTGCACCCCTCCCTCACCCCTCCTCGCAACCATTACCAAGCCGGAGGGCGTTGCAACTACACGGCCAACGAAACGATCGTAGGCAGCTTGCGAGCGCCGACGAGCACAGTCAGCTTACGAGCTCGACTAACATCTGCCCGATCGCTGCGTGTGAGTCGAGTGAGTTGGGGCGCCCGTGATCCGAGCATGTTCGCAGCCCGCGATCGTATCGCAAACCGGGCAGTGCAAGCCGATCTCAAGCAGTCTTCCGCGCTGCCTACGAATCGATCCACCTGCCCTTTTGGGTGACACCTCGTGACCAAATGCCCGAGCCAAGTGAGCTGACACGAACTCAAGGTTCTTTTTTTTTTTTTTTGGATGGCTTTAAGACCTAGGCAACTGACAATTGGTCAGCCCCTTCGGTCTAGCTAGCGGGTGAGCTACGCTCACATTCGCCTCCAGGGAAAAATGCTATTTACGCACGACGGTTCTCCCGTCAGTGTGGGGCTCTTATCCTGGGTCTACGTCTATTCCGCAGACCTCTGGATCAATACCCACTAAAACCCTCGGTATTTTAGTCCAGTCAGGTGGAAGGCCTTGTTCGTCTCCGATTGTCTTAGACCATGTGCCCAGGACTACTTGACTCATCGTCGCTAGGGCCCCGAATTTCCTATTTGTCGCCACTAGGTCCTGTTGTAGCCTCCTGTTCATTGTTAGGTACCATTTCTGTATTATTTGCCTGGTGGTATGCGTCCATCGGTCATCGTCCTCGTGACCTATCACTCTTTCGCACCGTAGTTTCCATATTAGGTATGCGGCTTCTGACACTATGATCCGCCATAGTCTCTTCCTTGATTCGCGCCTCTTCTTACCCTTCCTTAATGCATATCGTCCTAGTCCTATGGCTAGGATGTCCTCTATATGCGGCTGTGTCCACTTCAGTCTCGTTCTCTTCCATAGGTTCTTGGTAAGCATCCATACTTCTCTTCTACCCGGGGCGGTGCATTCAGTGAGTATGTGTTCTAGGGATTCTAGGGTTCCGCAGGTCGGGCAGTTCGCTCGCTCTTCGTAGCCGGGTATGTGTGTCCAGAAGGATCCTATGCGGAGGGCGTCGTGTGTGCCTTTCCATAGGAAGTCAACGACTTTTCTATGTATGTCCTTTTGTCTTATGCTCTTCCATAACATTGCCTCAGTGACGTGTGTGTCGGCTTCGCACATGTGGAGTCGTTCTAGGGTCTTTTTCACGCGTCTGGATGTTCTTTCACGCGTTTGCTCTCTTTGGTTCTCTCGTATGCCTTGGTATGCTCGGGCTTGTGTGAGTGTTCCTATCTTGGCTCCTGATAGGTCGAACGATATGTTGATCTCTGGATGGATTTGTTCCGTCTGTCCGGTGCTGTAGGCTGCTTTCTGTAGGTCGTGGCCGGTATTTCTAATCTCGTATTGTTCTCTCTCTGCTGCTTTGCTTATTTTGGTCGGGGCGCATCTTTGTCTAAGTTTATTGACTAGTGTCTTTAGGAAGGGGGTACCGGATATGCCGATCCATCCCTTGTCTTCCCACTTGGACAGTCGTTCTGTCAGGTCGCGGCTAAGCGTGTCTTTGCTGGATATTATGTGTAGTGGTACGTCCATTGGTGTGTCGTTTATCGCTCGTATGGCGGCCACTATTTCACCTCGAGGGTGTTGTGATTCCTCTACCTCGTCTGCTGGGCGGACGGCTGTGCTTCTTCTTACGTTCGATGGGTAGTAGACGAAGCCTTGGCTAGGTGGCATGGCCTTCGTTCTTTGGGGTCTATCTACTTTCGCTAGTGGACCGAGGATGTATGCCGTGACCGCTTCGTCCTCGACGACTCTTCCTCTGCGGGGTCTTATTGCCGGTGGCTCTTCGTGGATGATGGGGTCAACGAATACCCTGATAGCCTCTTGGATTGGTCCTCTGGTTGTAAGTGATGGGTCGAAGGTGATCTCGCCTGACTGGGATTCCTCTCTTGATTCTTCGTTCTGTTTCTTACGTCTGCGTGTTAGGGAGAGGCCGTCTGGTGTGGGGTTTATTCCAGGGTTCCACTTCGGTTGTACTTGGTCGAGTAGCTCCTTCGCTGACTTGCAGCATTGTATTGGGTGCTTACATCCTGACAGTTTGTCTTGTCTACATTCGTCACAGTCGCATCCCGGGACGAAGTCGTTGGATTGGGCCAACGCGCGCGTTAGACATGGTCTCTTTGTGAGGGGAAGAAGGTCGGCGACATAGGTGACTTCGTGGTTGTTCCTCAAGCAGTCGCTGATCTTTGTGTTGTTTCATCAGGAAAAACACTTCTAACTTCAGCAGTCTTGAATGAAGAACACCTGATCTTATTCAATCTCTCACAACTTGTGCTCCTCAATTAAGTGCACCATGTGCATGAAGACTGCTGAAGTTAACTATAGTACCTTTGAGAAATTTGTCTTGTCCCCAAGTTGGAAGATATGCAACTTTAGTTCTACAGATTAAGACACATAAGTACACATTAGTTGGCAAATGACCTCTTAACTGTAAAATATGCATGATGAGATGTCAGATTGCTCAATATGAAGACTTCACCAAGATTTCACCTGACAAGTTAACACATACTATATTTGGCAACAGTAATGGGGTACAAATAAAGATTATTTGTTTTTCCCTGTGATTATGAGTATATTACCCTACTTACAACAGATGTTGTGGTCAAAGTCATATTGTCAAGGATTTGGACATATTTGACCTGTTAAGGTTGAGAGACAGCAAAAGAACACTTAAGCATGCAAAGTGAGACAAGAAGCCTGCCCTTGAGCAAATTATGAGTCTACACAAGGTCTGCAAGGCAACAGATAGTGCCAAGAAGAAATGAGGCCAGTCTGAGAGCCCAGGGATGCACAGGGGCTGGGCTAACAGGGGGCAGCAATTGCAGATTTCTCTAAGTCCAGAAAGATAGTCAATATAGGTTATTGTAGAGGGGAACAAGCACAGGGACCTATGGTGTAGTGGTCGCAAGTTTGTGCTGAGAGTGTGGGAAATTAGTTTAGCAGGTCAGGGGTTCAATTCTGGGAAATGGCAGATTATTTTGGGCGACATTTTTGCATCTGGGATGCCTGTTATGACAGCATATGCACAAACACAGCAGAATCATGAGAGAAGTCACCCCAGTAATGATGAAAAAACATCATTCTTGCTTGGAATGAGTGTTTACTTTGGTTACTTAATGGAACTTAAGTAAGACAAAATAAGAAATCGACTTACCTTAAGGCTCTTGTGGCACATAGTGACACATAATGTCACTTTTGGCTCTCCACAAGACCACTTAAGACACGAACGTTTTTCCTGATGTTAGTCGGCGTAGTCTTTTGTTTGCTCCGATGTGGTACCATATTGGTAGGGCTCCCTTGGTGTCCTTGTCTAGTTTGACCGCTGCCAGGCTTACATTGTGTTTCTTCGCTGTTGACAGCATCTTTCTTAGGTACTTCGGGAGGGGTGATCCGCTGTGTAGGGCTGGTTTCCAGCTTTGTAGGAACATATTTATCTGTGCGTTTGTCCTTATCGCGCCTGCTTCTTTCTTAGCGTTTATGTTTATTAGGATGTCTACCGCATAGGCCCATCTTGGTCTATCGTCCGTTAGTGTGAGGTATCGTTTTGTCCACATCAGTTCTATGGCCTCGTTCCTTACTGTTATGTCTAGCAGGCCGATCCCACCTTCCTCGATTGGTTTTCTTAGTGTTGCTGTTGCGATTGGGGGTGTCTTTGTATCGCCCCAGATGAAGGATCTTATCATTTTATTCAGGGTCTCCTCGACTTGCTTCGGCATACCTTGTACCACCGTTAGATATTGTGACATTCCACCTGGTCCCATCTGTACTATATGTTTCTTTCCGGTGAGTGATGGTCGGCACTTCTCCCATCTTGCTAAGAATTTCTCGATTTTGATCAGTGTTGGCGTCCATATCGCTGCATCGTCAACGCCGTTGCCTATCCACGCTCCTAGTATGCGTACCGCCTCGCCTTCTGCCGCTATCCTGACATTGTCCGGTATTCTGTCGTCGTCGCTAGCTGGGTCTATTCTTCTGGAGGTACGCATGGCTTGTCTGTACTCTTCGCTACCTACCGGGATGACTTCGGTTTTGTCTCCGTTGAACCTGGCTCCGGATGCAAGACACCAGCTGCCTAGTATGTTCCATAGGTCACTCCATTTATCTTTCATACATAGGAATGTTGACGTGTCATCTGCGAACAATGTCGCTATCAGTTTTTCTGCGGTTCCTGGTATGTTGAATCCTCTTAGTTGTGATCGTCGTAGGATGCACGCTAACGGTTCTATTGCAAGGTCAAATAGTAGACAGGATAGGGGATCTCCTTGCCTTACTCCTCGTATTACACGGAACACTGAGCTTTTCTCGCCGTTTAGGATGACTGTCGTTGTCGCATCTCTGTATAGCGCTTGTATTCTCCTGATCATTGCTGGTGGGATGCCAAAGGCTTCTAGGACTTTCCACAGGTAGTCGTGTTTTATTCTGTCGTACGCTTTTTCTTGATCAAGTGCGATTATTACTCCGTTCTCTTCCATTGCTTCGGCGTAATCGACCATTACTTTACACATCTGGGTTTGGTCTGAGATGTTCCTACCTGGTATGAACCCTGCTTGGTCTCTGTGGATTAGCTTAGGTGCTATCTGTCCTATTCTCGTGGCGAGTATTCTTGTGTATACTTTGTAGTCGGTGTTCAGTAGTGTTATTGGCCTGTAGTTGGCTATGTTACGTTTATCTTTCTTCTTATATATTGGACACATCCATCCTTCTGCAAATCCTGTTGTCGGGCATGTTCCGTATTTGTTTATATCTTCGTATAGTATTCTTAGGAGCTTTAGACAGTTGAATCTGTGTTCTGACTTGGATGTGCTTCGTTCCCATCGTTCGTGGAGGGATGACCATAGCTCATATGGTATGCCGTCTAGCCCTGCTGCTTTGCCGCCTCCTGCCTTTCTAATCGCAACTAGGATCTCGTCTTCTGTTATCGCCTTTAGCATGGTCTCTGCGCTTTGTTCGTCGACCTCTTCTGTGATTGCTTCGATCGTTTGTCGTATCCTCTTATCTCTGTCTATTAATTCGATCTGACTTTCGTCTGGGTCTTGTTGTAGGTTTTCGTGGTAGTCTCTCGCGATCTCGGCCATGTTCTTTGATTTGGTTTCATACTGGGGCGGCTCTGAGCCTGGGACATGTAGTGAGTAGAGAAGGTCTCTTGGTGTTCTTTCTTTGTTGATCGCTGACCAGTATTTACTAGGGCATTCCGCGTTTAGTATGTATCTTACTGTTGTGGAGGCCTGTATCTCCCCGTGTCTCTTACGTTCTAAATTGTGCAGCTTGTCTTTTAGGATCCCCGTTTCTCGTTGCGCCTCATTGTTGTTCGTGAAGTCTTGCTTTGCGCTTATACGTTCGATCTGTCCTTGAATGTTTCTAATCGCTGCGACTAATTTGGGGACTTTCTTTCGTAGACGTTCTCTGGCTGCCTTCGTCAATCGCTGTTTAAGTTCTTTGAAGATAACTTGTGGGTTCGCGGTTTCGGTCCTATTGTTGAGTGTTCTTTCTGCTTCTTTCAGCTTCTGTTCTCCTATCTGTATTGCCTCTTCGATGAAGACGCTATCGTTCATCAGGTGTAGGGGCATACACCATCTACCCTTGCCTATGTATGGTGCTTTGGCTGATGTTAGCTCCGTTGTTACTAGGCAATGGTCTGTGGGGACTCCTGTGCACGTTATTTCCCAGTTCAGTGATCGTGACAAGGTGTCCTTGTTCGCGTATATTCTATCTAGTCTCGAGCTAGACGTTCCTCCTTTCTGGGGGTACGTGTATTGTTTTGTGTTTGGTTCTGATGTTCTCCAGCCATCGTATACTCCAGTTCTCGATAGGAGGTCCTTCAGGCTTTGCACTGCTGTCTGGGGGTCTTCTCTGGTCGGGAGGCGGTCTATCGCATCTTCTACAATGTTGAAATCGCCTAGGACTAGGTCCAGTTTCGGGATTTCTCTTGACGTTGTTTTCTCAAGTAGTTCCTGCCAGAATTGGGCGTTGTTGCTTGCGTTGTTAGGTGCATATACGTTAAGCATGGTGAGTTGCTTATCGCCGTGCCATTTCATCTTGAGGAGGATTGCCCTCCCTGGGATGATCTCGGTTGTTTCGATGTTCTTTGTGTCAACGAGCTCTCTGTTTACTGCAAATGCTACGCCTTGTGATCCAGTTGCGTTATCTGATGCGCTATTATGTAGTTTAATTCTTCTGCCGTATGCGTCATGTATTTCTTGGCATAGTTCGTCGTTGAGGTGTGTTTCTTGGACTGCTAGGATTCCTATCCGTTTCTCCCTCATTATTTGATTTATTGCGCTCCATTTAGGGTTCCCTCTTCCTACATCAGGAAAAACACTTCTAACTTCAGCAGTCTTGAATGAAGAGCACCTAATCTTATTCAATCTTTCATAACTTGTGTTCCTCAATTAAGTGCACTATGTGCATGAAGACCGCTGAAGTAAACTATAGCACCTTTGAGAAATTTGTCTTGTCCCCAAGTTGGAGGATATGCAACTTCAGTACTACAGATTAAGATGCATAAGTACACATTAGTTGGCAAATGACCTCTTAACTAATAAATATGCATGATGAGATGTCAGATTGCTCAATGTGGTCAAAGTCATATTGTCAAGGATTTGGACATATTTGGCCTGTTAAGGGTGAAAGACAGAAAAAGAACATTTAAGCATACAAAGTGAAACAAGAAGCCTGGCCTTGAGCAAATTGTGAGTCTACACAAGGTCTGCAAGGCAACAGATAGTGCCAAGAAGAAATGAGGCCAGTCTGAGAGCCCAGGGATGCACAGGGGCTGGGCTAACAGGGGGCAGCAATTGCAGATTTCTCTAAGTCCAGAAAGATAGTCAATATAGGTTATTGTGCAAGGGAACAAGCACAGGGACCTATGGTGTAGTGGTCAGAAGTTTGTACTGAGAGTGTGAGAAATTAGTGTAGCAGGTCAGGGGTTCAATTCTGGGAAATGGCAGATTATTTTGGGCAACATTTTTGCATCTGGGATGCCTGTTATGACAGCATACGCACAAACACAGCAGAATTATGAGAGAAGTTACCCCAGTAAGGATGAAAAAACATTATTCTTGCTTGGAATGAGTGTTTACTTTGGTTACTTAATGGAACTTAATTAAGACAAATGAAGAAATCGACTTACCTTAAGCACTTGTGGCACATAATGACACTTGATGACACTTATTGCTCTCCACAAGACCACTTAAGACAGAATGTTTTTTCCTGATGTAATTGGCTTCCTCGGCCACATATGTTCAGTGTTCCTATGTTCAAGGCAGCTTTGGTGTGGCGTCCTTTCAGCTTTCTAGGTGAGGGTTGGCCTTGGTTTATTACTGGTTCTCTGCCTTGATCATGTCTAGTTACCCGGCCGCTGTCGTCCAGGTTTTGCTGGGGTCTAGCGGTCGCCCTGTCTCCTGATTCCGTCCGCGGGTCATGGATGGGCCTGCGGGCAGGGGACGTAGGTCCTTCTACCCGTGGTCGGAGAGATATGCCGTTTGCCAGTGGTACGTCCGTTGGGTTTTGGATGTTATTTATGTTCGCCGTTGCTCTACGGAGGCCCCGCTACAACGATTGCGGGCTCCGGACGCCGCTCCTGGGCATCTCAGGTGACATGCACTTGTATTCCGCTGTGCGGTGTGCTTCGCCATACTAAGGCTGGGCAAGTCTAGAAGTGCCCGCGCTAGGTGTGGAGAAAAGGTCCCCAGTCATCGCAGCTTTCCTGTCCCTTTACGGTCAGTAGATTTGGGCCGCGAACGTCCTGGGTTCCTCAGGTTAGTCTGTTCCTTCCATATGGTCATTTATTGCACATCGTTTCTTAGGGCCGTCTCTGTGTGTTTATGTCTATTCGCTTATCCGTTTCGCAGGGGGGCGGACGACTGTTACTATGGTGGTTCATGTTGTTCCTGATGTGTACGTTCACTCGACTCTGGTTACGGGGTCTACTACTACTTCAACCGAGTCGTCCTTCCTTTACCGGGAGCCGCTGTGCCACCCTCTCGCGTTGTTGCTCTGTCCTCGGCCTCTGCCTCTCTGGAAGTCCTGCTGACTCTGTCCATACCCGTATCCTCGTCCGCGTCCAGCCGTTATCATGCCTCCGCGACTGTTGGATCTTCCTCGACTCGAGGTTCCACGTTGCGCTTGGGCCTGCCTTCGTTCCTCCTCCTCCTTCTCGGAGTGGGGCCCGTTCCAGCCTGGCGTCTTGGGGAGGTCGCACATGCCGATGTTGTGGTCGGCGGAGTGACAGAGCTTACATAGGAATAGCTCCTCGCATAGGGTTGCGGTACATCCTCCATCGCGGTTAAACGGTTGGTTTCTAACCGTTTCTTTGAAGGTTGCCCAGTCTTCTGCGTTGGTCGTGGGTGATTCGCAGTAGAGGACGTAGAGTGGGCTCGACGCCTTCTTGTTGGTCGATCCGGGTAGCTTCCTTCGCATGACGTGTACGTGTATCGAGTCGAGTATTCTCTTGAAGGCGTCGCGGGTAGGGGTATTGCCCCACTTGCCCGTTGGCCCGCTCTTCTTGTCTCTGCGGATGATATTGATAGTGGCCGAGTACAAGGGGTTCTTCTGGAATCCGTTACAGAAGATCGCGCGTGCGATGGAGGCTTTCGTCGTGAGGAAGGCTTCTGGGCGTCCGAACGTGCCCATATATTCGGGGGCGACCGGTTCGACGACGTTGAAGTATACGGTTAGGTACTTCGTCGACGCCCATCCGTCTCGTATCATACGTTCTTTCTGCGCGCGGGTGAGGTTACGTACGAGGAAGTTGTATGGTGCGACGTTTATCCCGGGTTCTGCGTTGTCCAGTGGCTGTGGTGCGAGTATGTCTGGTTCTGGGACTCCGTACCTGACCTTGAGCAGATCTTCGAGTAGGAGGAAGCGCAGCCAGTGTTCGGGATCCTTGTCCAGCGCTCCATGCTCGGCGTATTGGACGAGGAGGCAGTGACCTTCGTTGGCCATCCACTGGTTCGCCTGCTGTGGGCGCTGCCCTGCGTATTTGTCGAGGTGCGTGTTGCCTTGGATCCTTCGCCAGTTACCCGGCGGTTTGGGGGTGAAGTCCTCTTCTTCCCAACTGACGTCGTGTGGAAGTTGACCGAAGTCTTCATCGTCCTCGTCCTCCTGTTCTTCGCTGGAGGCGTATGAACCGCTTGCCGCGCTTGTCGGTCGCTGGAACCGTTGGCTGCTAAGGTTGTATAGTAGGTTGGCTTGGTTGACATGGGGCGCGTTCAGCTCGTCTCCTTCGTCGTCGATGCTCATCGCGTCGTCGTCGTCTTCTCGGGGTTGTTGTTCGCGGGAGGGATGATTCGTGACGTATGACAGTACCGATGATGCTCGTGAGTTCGTCTGTCGTTCGCTCTCCTTGGTGATGTTCGTTACTTCAACCTTTGGTTCGTCACGGCGACTTCTTCGTGGGATGGCTGTTCCCGGTTGGGTCTTGGTGTCAAGGATACGCGTCGTGATCTGGGGAGTCTATTTGCTTTTTGTGTTAGGTATGTAGGTTGTACATGTTTGGGCACGTCTCACCAATGACTTCTGAGGGTTCGCCATCCCTAACCGTCCCTGGAGACCGTTCAGGAACTCCTCTGGTGCACGGCTTGTACGTCCGCTTTCCTTTGTTAGCCATTTCATAGGCGTCGCGGCTTCCTTCGCCTTATTCGGGGTTTTGGGGACCCCTTGACGTGACCCGGTCGTCATGCGAGCTGCGCGGCGTCTCGGAGTGGGAGAGGGGGTAGCGTCTCGGTTCGGTTCCTTCGTGGTAGGGATGGCCGGGAGTGGTTTGACGCTGCGGATGAGGTCGTCTATGGATGGGGCATCGAAGCTCTCGTCACTCATGTACGGGTCGATGAGCTTTCCGCCTTGGCTTTGCTGGGTGTTACGGCTGGAGGGTTGCCAGAAGCGGAATTCGCGGAACGAGTGCTGGTTCCACTCTTCGCCAGGCTTTGTCGTGTCCCATTCCGAGCTGGGGTGGCAGAAGGAGGGGCGGTTAGCCTCTGCGATCGCGGCGTGCATGGCGTCGAGGTTTCTTTGACTCTCGCTACGTTGGCCGTGGTTGTGTTCGTTTACCGCGATCTCTGGCTGTCGGGGAGGAGGGATAGCGTTTATGTGGAGCGCTCCTGGTGCCTCTTGGACTCGAGTCACTGGCTGGGGGAGAGATCCTTCTCCTCCGTCATCGGCTAGGTCCTCTGTCGTGGCGCGTCGTCTCTTACGTTTGCCGCTAACCTGACGGTCCGTCTCGGACGTGGCCGTTGGCGTTATCATCAGAGTCGTGGACAGCGTCTTGAGCTGTCCTTCCTCTCCTTGGGTCGGAGGTGTGCCGCGTCCGAGGTCGGCCAGCTTCTTCCTCTTGTCCGCTGCTTTCTTCTTCTTCCTTGCCGCCTTGCTCATGGCCGTGATCCACTCCCCTTCTTTTTCGGACGCTCCTTGGCCAGCTTGAGAGTCTGCCGTGCCGTCTCCGGCTTCTCCGTTGTTGCCGGGTTGTCCATTGGTGATGACCTGGACTGTCTCGGAGGGTTGGGCTGATGGGTTTCAGTCTTTAGTTGATATGATATTCGGTTTGTATTATTCGCGGCTCACCGTTCTGCTGGCCGTGCATTGGTGGCGGCGTCGAGGGTCTGCCTGCGGTGACGTCTGCGAAGGAGCGGTCCTCTGGGGTGTTACGGCCTCCGCCTATGTTCCACGGGTTTGTTGAACTTCCGAGTTTTCAGTGTTCTTATCTTATCAGTTATGTACGGATATGGACTTATGTTCTGCGATGTCAGATTACATACATTCTTTGATGGACTTTGCCTAGATTATGTCATGTGACTTTAGTCCGGATCATTCCATGATATTCCACGACATTCCTTGATGTTCCATGACGTTCCATATCATTCCTTGATGTCCCATCACGTCTTATATTACTCTTTGATGTTCCATCATGTCTCATATTATTCCTGATGTTCCATCACGTTTCATATGTCTCTCCACATCAAACTCCGAGTTTTGGCTTACTCATGCTGCTTACCAGCTTACTCATATCCCCAAAACCTCGGACTTAGTGCTTACTGATGAACCACTGATACAGCATGTGACCTGTATCAAATGTGTATATATACTGGGCTGGTTTGCCCTGTAATGATAACGATCCTTCGTCCTCTCCTCTGCCTGCCAGCATAGTATCTTCCCTTTGGGACTGGTCTGTTCACTCACTCTTTAGTCCTTCACTGCCACTGGGCTTACTAAGCCTAAAACCTCTTTCTTCAACAGGTTATGAGCCCTGCGCTCTGATTCTTTAATCACCTGCACCCCTCTTTGCGCGCTCCAAAGCCCAACTCTTGAAAGAGTGAGTTGGCAATTTTTGTCCTTTGTTGGACTATTTTTAAGTCGCTGCGTGACATAGTGCCGAAGGCCTTGTCTGAGCGCATCTCTAGGGCAGCCCGAAAAGGCAATTACGAAATTTATCATCCGTCTCGTCGTGAGAGAAACGACGTTGACGAAGACGACTCTAACGTCATCGCCGTACGTCATCGGCATTTGTACGGTCATCTACCCGTCCGTCGCCAGATCGACATCATCCTCGCTCCTACCCCTCGTCGCCGCCGCCAAGCCTCTGGCCGCGTAGACACGTCCATTCCTCCCAAGGAGTCCTGCCGCACCTCGCCGGAGCAGCACCTCTTGTATTTGCAGAAGAAAGCGGACGTTGCCGAAGCTCTCGCCGAGACTCGCCGAGCCGAACTCGCTGCTGCTCGTGCCGCTAGTGCCGCTGCTGCCGAGACCAAGGCTTCGCTCATTGAGCGTCTTAGCGGAGAAACTCCCATCGTTCCCACAGCTCTAAAGCCTATCTTCCTGTCCGACTCCCGCAAGAAGTCAACCGCTGACAAAGTCGAGATCCTGTGCAAGCGTCTCCTTGCTGTCCAGAAGCGCCTTCAGCCCCTCTATCGCCACCGTAACCGCCTTTACGCCCGTCTTCCCTTGTTGGATAACTTGGACGATTTTGGCAGGCGTTTCAACTGGGTGCTGACGAATATCGAGGAGGAAGGAACCACGTGGTCTGCAGTCGAATTGAACGACATCTGTTCTGTCTGCGAGCTGATTGCGAAGATTTCCTTCATAAATCTTAGCCAGAATTTCGGCCGCATTATCAAGGACGTAGGGGACTTGTACAAGAACAACTACTTGTACTGGGTAGATAAGCGATTGTAGTCGCATTTTTTCTGTATATCTTCGTCCCTGGAATTTAAGCATCACACTGTGGCTTCGTCTCAAGAAGAGACATTTGACCGAGACTCAAATAGTGAAGCATCAGACGGAGTAATTCCACTTTACGATTGCACCGACCATCATCATCTCTACGACTACGAGGAGAACTTCGATTATCATTTCTGCGACGACGCTAGTTGCCCACATCGCTACGATCAACCTCTAGGTCCAGTTCCAGAAGGATTTTCAACTGGAATATCGGTCGCTCCTTGGCAGGAGAATTTCCTATTTGCTAGTGAATTTTCGGAGTTACCTCCATATCCTGAACACCTAGTCCCGCTCCCTGAGTCGAGACCTCAATCTCCATTCTTCGAGGAATTACCCTTCGAAGTTTTTACCCCAGAACTACCATCCGTCTCACAAGACGAATTTATCCTCCTATCCGCAACCATGGGTGACGTCAAGCCTGACAATGTCCCCAAGCTTTCCTCAGCGTCCCAATACGCTGATTGGTCAGCCGCCATGCGCGGCTATTTGGTTTTTATCCAAGCCTGGCCCGCCGTTACTGCAACTGGCACACCCGCAGCAGACTTCGCCACTCAGAATGCCCGTGCCCAGGGTGTTCTATTTATGAGAACCGATCGCTCGATGCATCATCTGCTCGAGAAAGACACCGGTGATCTCAAGGATGCGAAGGACATGTGGAACTCGCTCAAAACCGCTTTTGGCACCCCCGACACGGCATACGTCTGGTCTCTCTTCCAGTCGTTAATCAAATCTCCGGAAATGTCTGACTCCAAGCCAATGCAGGATCAGATCAACAAGCTGGTTACCCGGCTCAAGGAGATTAGTGGTGGTGGAATTACGCTCGGTGACTCGACTCAGGCTCTTCTCCTTCTGTCGAAGCTGCCAGAGTCATACCAGTCAATGATCTCTGCGCTCTTGGCGACGCAGACCCTCAAAGATCTAAAGGTCGACTCGGTCCAGAGCAAAATTCTCGCCGAGGAATCACTTCGCCGGTCCGGTATGGGACAGTCTGCGTCTAAGACGTCCCAGGTCAAGCATAAATCCAAGGACCCCTGCGATCACTGCGGTGGGGCCCATGGTAGCGAGAATTGTTGGACCAAGTACCCGCATCTCCGCCCTCAGAATAAAGGTCATCAGGAAAAATGTTCCTTACTTCAGAGGTCTTAAATAAGAACCATGCGATCTTAAGCGACCTCTGGTAACTTGTGCACCTTAAACGAGTGCAGTATGCACCTGAAGACCGCTGAAGGAAAATGAAGTACCTTTGAGATTTGCGCCTTGTTTTCAAGACTCGAGCCATGCAGCTTCAGTGCTCTACATTAAGACCCCTGGAGTACGTGTAAGCTAGCTAATGACTACCAAAGTGTTTGATACGCGTAGTGAGAGGTCCAATTGTTCAATAAGAACTTTGAAGCGCAATCCAGTACAGTATGAGTCGTCCATTCCTCTGGTAGATGCTCAGGAGAATCTCCCACTGATCCGGGGAACTTGGGAATCAGTTGGCAAGACTGCCGTATCATGCTGAGAGGTATTATCTCTCCTTGGGGATGTCCGTTGGCCCTGAGAGCGGGTTTGTTGACCGCGTACATCATATGGACTGGGTCGGCTGTACGTGCGAGCTTGGAGTACCATTCCACATACGCTAGTGGCCCTTGATCTGGCCAGGACGCAGGCGCAGGCAAGGCAACGCTGGTCCGCGGATCATGTATGCGCTGCGGGAGTCTGAAGATGACCTTGACTCGTCCTATTCTTGTTCCTGAGCGACATGCGTCTTTGAGTAAACAGATATTCATTTGAACGCGAGTCGGTGACATACCTTGGAGGCCAGTCGTCTCTGCATCACTCTCCTGCAGGATGACTGCTGTATCAAAACGGGCAGGCTGTTTGGCGCATGCTGGACGCGCCTTCACCACGTCGGTCTCGTTCTTGTCGTCAGTCAATGGCTGGGGAGCGAACTTGAATCCGTGGAAAACGTCGACGCGATTGAACGGCAAGTTGGACGACGCGGTCTGAAGCTCAGTCGGAGTGAGGCGTCGACCGAGTTTGAGGGTATAGATATGCTGGAGGAGTGCGTGTGTAAAACCGGGTGCATTGTGACGTTCTTCGACGAGCTTGATGGACTGGAGCGGTACGCTTGGATTCTTTGGCAGCTTGATCTGGGTGTGGCGCTTGGTCGAAAGGTCCGGGTCTTCAGACGCAAAGGCAGCGTCCTCGTCCGGATCCTCGTCGATCTGTAGCTTCCTGCGAATGGTAGAGCTGAGCATGATCATCTTCTCCTGGCGTGCTAGCCATCGGACCATCTGAGGACGCGCGTCGCGATGGTTCGACGCCCTCCAGCCGTTCTTGGCATAGTCGATATGAAGACGTTCGAAGGCTTCCGTGTTGTAGTTGTCTGTTGCGCCAAGCAACCGGATTGATTCGACGTAGTGGAGGAGGGAGTGGAACTTCGGGATCTTCATGTGTTCGCGCACGCCAAGATTGACCAGAGCTTGTTTGTTCTTGTGATAGATTTTGAGGGCGTCTTCCATGTACTGGAGGGTGGAGTCATCGTGGGTGGTGTATTGCGCGAGATAGATGAAGTCGAGTAGAGATCTGAACGCGAGCATGACGTTCTGAGGAATCTTGCCGACCAAGCATCCCAGCAGGATGCGTGCGATCTGCTTGGACTCCATACCGGATACTTGGGACAGAGAAGTGATCCCGTTAGCAAAGTGACGAGTCCCGAATGCGGGGGGAAGGGTGCGAATTCGACGGTCCAGTTCGTTCTCGTCGATGAGGTCGCTGCACCACTCGACGATGTGCTTCAACACGCCTTGGTAGAGCTGGTGGAGAATGTCGGGCGTGATGCACGAGTGGATGTCGGTGAAGGGGAGATCGCTCCAGAAAGGGCGTATGACGTATCCGGAGACGTCAAGACTGGTACACGCCCTCGCGTACGTTGCTGAGTTGGTGTTTCCGCCACTTTTCTTCCTTGCAAGGCGTAGAACGTCCAGAGTCCAAAGCGCGCTCCTTGGCACTCCTGGGGAAGCAGCGTCGAGATCAGCCTCGGGTAGTCGGCACTTGGGGCACGTTCCGTACTTCGTGCAGGTAACAAGGCACTGCTCGGGAAAGTCTGCAACATACGTGGCGAGGATGGGGTGGACTCTGCGGACGGCGCCGTCGCCTCCGGTCACGTCGATCCCGTTCTTGCCGGCCTCGATCAAAGGTTCGAGGATGACGCGAACGGACGAGTGGAATAGTTGCTGCATGAGGGCACGCTGCTTGCGCTGCGTGATTCCATCAGAACTGACCTTGTCGACAGACAGGTAACCAATAAGGATGCAGGCGTGTTCGGAAGGTTTGCGGCGAAGGGCGCGAGGGATGTTGCCTAGAGTCATGTACACTGGATACGCGGCCTTGCTCCCGGAGAACCGCGTCAACTGAGTCTTGTCTGTTGCAATTATCACCGGGGCCACTGCTGCACCCACTGGTAAGAGACTCTGAGTGGAACGTCAAGGCCGGATACACTGGAAAAATATTGACAAACTCACCTGAATGGCATGCCACCACCGCCCTGTCCACATCTCATGGTAGATGCGGCTGGTGCGAGACGCGTCAGTGAATATGCGGCGCGGTCGGTAGACTATACGGTCAGCGTGCTCGGGGTTACCGAGGAGGGTTCGTATGGCCTCGATGATGTCGCGGTACTGGACAAGATGCTTCTCGTTTGGCCGGTCCTTGAACGTTAGCCAACGCTCTTTCCACTCCGCGCGTTCTGGAAGAGAGTCGACTCGTTGAAGAAGTGTGTATGAATTGTGATAGGAAAGGCCGAGTCTGTCCCGGAACTGCGGTGGCTTGAATCAAGGAGCCGAAGGGAAGAGAAAGAAGTATACGCACACCGGGAATCTCAAGAACTTTGTCAATGGAAGTTTGCGTGAGGCCCTCTTGGATGGCCCACGACGCAAATTTCCAATCCATCTCTGAGTCGAAAGGATCCCAGGGATTGTCATCACCGGCATGTTCCAAGTCTCTATCTGCACAGATGCGTTACAAGAATCCATTGATCTACCGCGTCGTACTCACCTTCATCCTCTGCAGTTTCTGTACGCCTCTTTTTGGCACTTCCGCCCCTGCTCCACACGTCACCCGCGTCTTCAACCATGCGGAGCACTCTCGCCGCTTCTTCATCCACCTCCTCAACTCGTGTGTCTTCATCGTCATCCAGCGCAATTGCAGTCCTTCTCAGTGGCCTAGATGAAGGACCGGCCTCCGCGTTGTTTTCACCTGCAGCCGCTGGTTGAGGGGCTGAGATACCGATGAAGTCAAAGACAGAGCCCAGGTCATCGTCTTCCTGGTCAGGAACATTGCGCCCCGGGCTCGTGGAACGTCGGCTTGCCAAGACGCTAGAGGAAGCACCGCTGCCAGTACTGCAAGTTGGAATAGTGAGAAAGCTGACGGACCAATTGCAGACCTTAACGTACCTATCGAAACCAGGTTCACTGTACCCGGATATTTCGACGTCGTCTCCATCCTCTTCAGAGTCCGAATCCGAGTCGTCGAAATCAAAGACCTGTTTCAGCTTTCCCTTCTTGTACCAGGCGCATTTTCGGCTTGTTGACTGGTGCGAGGTAAGGCCTTGTACGGTTTTGAATATGTGGTTGCATGCGGCGCAAGTGGTCCCGAGGATGTCTTCTAAAGACCTCTTTACCATCTCTATAAAAGCTATGAGTATTGATAACCAGTAGCGGCACGCAAAACTCACTGTTGTCGCGGAAGCGGAAGGTTGTATACTGCGCGCGACGCCCGTCGTGTTCGACTCTGTCGGACTCCTCGGCTCTCCTGTTCTTGTCAGGTGATCGCAGGCAAGTTCACTCCTCCATCTTCCTCGGGACGGTACTCTCCTCTTGATTTCACCTCTACCTCCTCCACCACCGGACATTGTATCATATCCATCACCCCTAATGCTTTATATTATCAGTGCAAGATTTTTACACACAATTATGAGTATTCTGTAACTAGCAGTGGCACACAGGACTCGCCGAAAGTCAAGGAGGGCTCTATGACGCCCTTCGTGCGATGGTGTCCGTCTTTTCCGCCCTTACGTACCTAATGTCAGGTGATTGCGGGCTTCCATTCATCGCTATTTCCGCGCTCGGACCGCACGCACTTCTTTCTCTCTCCTCCACCACCGACTGCTTTCGCGTGAAGTTCGTGAAGTTCTTTGTTCAAAGTGAGTACTGCCTCTTGTCCCTTTCCTTTTGGGGCATGACACCGCTCGGTGGCGTTTGATTACCAATCGTGGGGCATACCCCGTGCCGCCGCGGCGCTCCACGTGTGGGTGGTTGCCCAACGATTTAAACAAAGGGGGCAGTGGCCGGCCGTAGTATCGCCTCTCCCAGGCAACTCCCAGGCTGCATTAAGTATATAGCGCGTGTCAGGACCCTGGTCTTCGCTCGAGTCACTCTCCAGAAGCTGTCCCGCGGTCGCTCCGTCCCTCACCCCCCATGTCTTACGTGCACATCCCCATCGATCTGTGTTCCTCCAAGGATCCCGACTCTTGCACTCACCTGCATCGCCAGCTCGCTCGGGAAGATACTTCCTCAACCCTCGACGGTGCAATTGTTGTCACCGACCATCGCGACCCTTCGCCCGGTAAGTCCCCATAGATCCCGCCCATCGCCCACGTACCACTGACGATGTCTACACAGTTAATTATTCAGACCCCCCGAGCTCTGAGTCCGGCGGCACGCACAGTCCAAACGTTTCGAGCCCTGCTTCCAGCGAGCTCGAACTCCCGGACATAGCTGTTGAGATCAATCTCAAGCAGCATATCTTTGGGCACCTCCTCAACGATCCTCGCTGGCCTAACATCTGTGGGGTTGACAAGGTAAGTGTGCAAGACTACGGGTATTGCCGGTCGCTAAGTATTGCGTAGACCGTTGAAGCTAGTTTAAACGATTGGATCGCTCTCTATCTCCACATTCAATCCGATCCGTACCCATACAAGCTTTTCAGGTGAGTATGGCACGTCAGCCAGGGCACGGATGCTAACATAATGAAACGATAGTTTCACGTACGACCCCGAAAAACACACTATTCACATGTCTTCTGCGAGCGAAATTCACCAGGTCTATGTCCAAGCAGCGGATGAGATTGCCTGTGAGACAACACAGGCAGGGGTCGTGACGATGGCGCAATTTGAGCCTATGGTCATGGTGAACAATGCTTACTCCTTAAAGGGGCCGACACCTGATTCTGACGACCCTCGTTGGGGAACGACATTCGCAATGTCGGTCTCCCGGAAGGAGGACGAGAAGAAGAAGAAGAGAGAAGCCACAGCGCTGGCCAGGGAGGAGGCGAAGGCGGCAGATAAGGCGGCAAAGGCGACAGGGGAGTCGAAGAAAGGCAAGAAATCCTCCGAGTCGGCCAAGGGCAAGAGAAAGCGCCAGGATGCGCAGCCCGACGGTCGTGCCACCGACACTGAGCCTGACGACTCTCACGCCGCGGCCGACCACGCCGGAAGCTCTGGTGCCTCGGGATCCAAATCGTCCGCTGTTGTTCCGTCCTCGCCGCAGCGTTCCCGAGCTAAAGCCAAATCGTCCCAACCTGTCGCGCCTCCGCAGCAGCCTCTCAATCACATCCCCGACAACGCCATCTGTGTCTCCTTTCCTTCATTGGACATACCCAAGCTTCTCGTTGCTTTGGGCGAGATTGGCAAAAGCGAGGATGCGACCTCCATGACGTTCAGCGTAAGTATACCGTGACGTTCATACCTGTTCAAAGTGACAACACTCATGGCCCTTCTAGATGATGGAGTACATGAACGCCGACCACCCTGACGGCCAATATCCCCTGATCGTCTTTGTGAAGATCGAGGAGGAGAAGGTGTACGGTTCTCCAAAGTACAAGGATTACCTCAGGAACCTTCGTTCAGACGAGGTGCGGCTGGACGAAAAGGATTGGGCACAATCTTGGATCGACGTCTACAACAAGCTGTACATCAGGCGGGACCCTGCGATTACGATTGTCCGCGGCGACGACCTGGGTGCACCAGGCGAGAATTGGCTCACTCCCACGTACACAATCAACAATCACATCTTCATGCACCGTCACCGTTCTTGGCTTCTGTGCGCCGATCTCAATATGCCTGAGGATAGGCTGTTGGTGGAAGAATTGGGAGCGCTCGGTGGAGTGACTACGGCCGACTGGGAGATGAAAAAGATTGCGATTGTACGTGCTCGTGGTTCTATGCACCGCACTCCACTGATACACAACGTACCAGCCGGTCTTCGCCTCCAAGCCAGGGCCGGAGCACGTCAAACTCGACGCTTACAATACCTTCAGTAAACGTTGGGATGTGCGAATGCAGAACACCACGGAACGTGTCTTTAACGGGTGCGTCCGCGCCATCCAAAAGGCCAGTGCTGCAGATCAGGATCAATTCATGTCGAAGTACCAAATCAGCCTGGACGATCTCATACACTTTGCAACACGAATAGAACAAGCTGAACAGGGAGAGAAGCCACCGGGACGGCCTTCGCTGGACGACGCGATGGGTAAAATGCGTAAAGTGGGCAAATTTGGGGCTCCTGAGACAGCCCAAGGCCGCCTCAGGACCTTTGTCTATGACCTCGCGTCCAAGCATGAGCTGGAGGCGCCGCGGGGGAAGACCCCACAAGGGCCGCTGCCCATTACTGGTCGCGAAACCCTCCCCAATGCCGTCAATGCGCGCAACTACTTCAATGCGTGGGTGGCGAATCAGAGGGCTGCCAAACGTGCTCGGACGGGCGAAGCGGGCAAAGCGGGCAAAGCGGGCGAAGCGGGCGAAGAGTAAGTTGTTGGTGAATGCCTGTTGGCGTTTCGCCACCGTTTGCCAGCAGGGTTGTACTTGTACCACTATTCACATGTCGCTTCTGTACATATCGCTTTCATATCATTTTTCGTACGTGCATCGTGGACATCGCCCTTTCTTGTTGCGCTCACTGTATGCATCTCGCTCTGACTACGCTATCTTGTGCTCTCGTACCCTCGGTATTGTCGTATCTCGCAGTCGTCCTATCTTGCAGTCGTTCGTAGTGCCTTCGCTCGTGTAGGGTATTGTTTAGGTATCGTCATTTGTACATTCTACCCGCCACGCAGGCTATATACAATCTTTGATGAAGCTATTACGCGTTTTAAGCATATGCAGACCTTGGAGAAGGCAAAACGCCGTGCGCTTTCCACCCTCCCTACCCTCCTAGCGCAGGTGCCGTGCCGGACCGCAGCGCGGCCCGCCGGGAGGGGGTGGCGTGGTTTTTTCCCCGATGCGCAACGCGTTGCGCATCGGGGAAAAAACCACGCCACCCCCTCCCGGCGGGCCGCGCTGCGGTCCGATCGTCCCGCGCAGCTCAGGCCTTTCGCTTCAAGGCCTGCGTTCATCTGGGGCATTCAAATCCCAACTTCCACACTCTTCAATATTTACTCAACCAGGAAGGTAGGCCTGCCTACCATGGCACTGATAATGACATATCTGACTAGCACCATGAACAGACAGGAATGCAGTTGAATATTGCCGAGATTATGGAACTAACCGGGATCCTGGCGTCCGTTCCGACGTCGACTTTGAGTCCCAATATGCAGTCACTATTAATGCGACTGCAACGTGGTAGAGTTTATTGCTTTCAATGCTCCGAATACACTTGAACCTCTATATGTCTTTGTAGAACTCACAGAAACAGAGACCGTCACACCTTCTGGACCACTGTCTTCGACATCGCAAGGTGAGTGTCTTCTGCTGAAGCATCAGTCTAAAACGTTCTGATACCTGGTTCCCGCCCTTCATAGTTCCTGACAGCTCACAAGTCCAGCCGAGCCGAAAGAGCACTCGGAAGCGTTCCGAGGCTACGCCTCCTGGACCACTGTATTTGACATCACAAGGTGAGTGTTTTCTGCTGAAGCATCAGTCTCAAACGTTCTGATATCAGTTTCCCGCTCTTCATAGTTCCTGGCATCTCACAAGTCCAGCCGAGCGGAAAGAGCACTCAGAAGCGTTCCGAGGCTCGGCGGAAGCTGGCTCAGACGCAATATGACCCTGCGTCAAGACCTGCTCGAGTGAAGCAGGCTGCTCAGCCTGCACCAGCTCGTTACCCCCTTCCGGCGCCCTGTCCCCGAAATGGAACACAGTACGTTGCACCTCAGAATCAGCCGGCTGCTGCTTGGGAATTGGCATCACAGCCACATGAGGCTAGGAGCACCACGATCAACATTTTCTTGCAAACGCTCACAGCGTACGACTTGCAGCACGATATCAGCCGATGTGGGGGTGTTCTGCTATCAGCGCATCAAGCATCATACGGCGGAGGGAGCGAGACCCTGTCTGAGATTGCCCAGAGGTGCATCCGTACGGCAAACTCGACTGCAGTCTTCCACCTCCACTTTATCGTTGCGCTCATGACACTCAGCTTCAAGTGTGCAAGGTGAGGGTATACTCACGGTTCACTGTACCTATTTATTGACATATCCTGATATCTAGTCTGTCTAACTGGAAAGAATCCGTCAACCTCGCTGCCCTACACAGAGAACACCTGAGCCAAGATGCCAACTCACCATCTGTGCGAACTCTGCAGTACTGGTACGCCGGTGGTAGCAAGCTCATATCGCTTGCCGCAGGAGGTGAGATTCTAGTAGCGGCGACCGTGACGAGAGACTGATGATGTGCTGACGACTTCAAGGATCATTCTACATGCTGCTCTGGCTGGCCTACACTGATCTACGAACGCCATTCATTGAGGCAGACGGCAATATAGCGTACGATCTCGCAAATATACTTCGTAACCCGAATAGCGGTGAGTGTACAGACTTTTGTTGTTCCATATAGTACTGAACATTGCCAATCACAGAGAGCTCTGCAGGACGACTTGTCCAGAGCACCATCATACCAACGCTGGCGTTTCTCAGCCAACAATGCCCCGTCAAACTCGGTGAATTTTTCTCGACGAATTTGCTCTCAGAGCTGGCGATCTCTGCAGAGACCCTGTGCAGCGATCTGAGCACATCTGATCGTCTCTTCGACGCTCTGCCCTCAAAGTATGTTTCGGTGCATGACTCAGATACTCAATGCTGACATAAGAGAATGCAGTTCATTCCGAGCTCTTCCTCGCTCTTCCCTTGCCTGGGCCGCTTTTCAGTCACTAGAGCAGCCAGCGTTCAAGTTGACAGTGCCTCTCCTGACGACGCAGGTCACATGCGTCACTTCACTGTTTGACCCTCAGCAAGCCACCAATCGACAGTGTGTAGCGTCGTCGGACAGACAGAAGAACTCGAGATGGACGGAAATTCAAAGAGAATTCGCTAAGGACGCAGTAGAACCGTCAACTGTCGACGGGTTAAGGAGGCTGGTAAGTTGCATCCTATGTACCGCAGGGGTCGTTCTAACAGCCCTGATTCTGTAGTTACGGGAAGCGTATGTCAATGGCGTACGCGTAGGGCCTGGATACATACGCATCAACCCTGGCCTCTACGAGTAGGAGACACAATACTCAGGAGTTCGGGGAGGCTGACGATTGTTCCAATAGCGACGTACTCACCGTACACTCTTGCCACGGGGACATTGTTGCCAGCATATGCAAGTCTATGGAGCAAAGCATGCGAGATCGTCTCATCGATCGCTTGGCCGATTGTTTTGAGCCCGACGCTCTGAAGGTAATTGATACCGCTCAGGAGCGCGGTGACCATGTCTTCCAGGCACTTCATTTCTCCTGGTACAACCGTCATTGCACGACTGTAAGTGCTCTATAAATCTTGGATCTTCCTCAATGACAGTTCACATACGTCTGTAGGGACACGACGCTCCGACTGACGTACCTCCTATGAACTTGAAGAGGACTGGTGGTTTGAAGACAAACTACCATCAAATGATACCGTACCCCTCCAAGGACATGGCGAACTCGACGAACGTCTCAATCTACCAGTCCGTGAAGAAAATCCTAGGTCCAGTGTTCGAGTGGCTGGATATGAAGGTGAATGAATTGCCTCGTTTGTATCTCCCACAGAGAATTTGATGCCCTTATTAGTTCAAGGCGATGATCCCGGATGTATACGAGCGACTAGACGCATACGCGTCTATACTGCCTGGCAACAACCAGGCAGTCTCTGCGCCGTTTCTGGGCTTGGTCATCAACCTCAATGTCTCAACTGCGGCTCACAGGGATAGCAAGGATGACAGCATGTGCTTAGTCCTCGCGATCGGTGATTTTGAAGGCGGAGAACTAGTCCTCTATGAACCTGGTTTGACCATTCCTTTGCGTAACGGCGACTTTGTTGTATTCCCTTCTTGTGATCTGACTCACTTCAACCTACACTTCAAGGGTCGTAGAGCCTCTATTGTACTCCATACTGACCGGGAAATGGCCAAATGGCACAATGGGCGCAACGGATGGTCTAGTAACCGTAATTTTATTTGACGTACTCTCCGACCTATTTTCCCTACAATTGTTCTTCTGTAACCCTACTGGTCCATTCATGATGTTCGCAGCAGTCGTCACAAGCTGATAATGGCTTGGACTTGCTCAACGGCCTCGATGGGACTTTGCTGATTAAGCTGCGCGTGTCCCAAGTTGCTTCTATCACTGCGAAGAGGGAGGCCGCGGAACTTCGATAAGCTCGGCGGCCTTCGGGTTCAACACATCTCCGCCCTCCTAGCGTACGCTTGGCACACTCTCAGTCTTGTACACCCATCTGCCCTGCGTTGTTGCTGTTGAAAATGGCCTCACGCACCCGCTCAGCCGCTCGCCAGGAGGCCCCTGGCACCAGTAACAGCGCTCGCGCGAACACAGGCGCCACGCAGATGAACCGTGCGAATGCTGCGGAGGACAGGGGAGCTCCCTCCGACAGTGATGTTCCCGATGAGGACCTCTCTGACGCTGCCTTACACAAGAGAATCGCTGAGCTGACCAAGATGGCCGAGTTGAAGCGCAAGAGGAAGGCAACGACAAAAGCCTCGCTGGCCAAAGAACAGCGCGTGGAAAGTAAGTCGTGTATTTGTTGCAATCGAGGACTCTGATAATGTTGCATGATAGAGATCCGTAAGAGGAAGTTAGAGGCCATGGACGCTGAGCAGCGTGACACCAGCGAAGAGCCCCCCAAGCCCAAGAAGAAGAAGAAGGCTAAAAAAGCTGAAGACGACGACGTGCTTGAAGGTACGAAGAACAATGAAGGCCGATCTGACGAGGGGAGTGGCCGTGACGATGTCCAGGAGCCGATGGACGTGGAGGTCGTTGAAGAGGAGGAGGACACGACTGTCCTATCTAAGGAGAGGAGCAGAGGAAAGAAGAGCACTACGTCGGCTGTAGAGCCGTCCCAGCGTGCGTGCTACATACGCGTTCAGGAACTGACACTGAGTGCGTTCTGTAGCTCAACCCAAGCCCAAGCCCAAGCCCAAGCCCGCCTTCAAAGGGCGAAAGCAGAACTTGGATCAGGACGAAGCCGCTTTTGTCCAGATGCTCGGTGAGGGGATAGCCTTATGTATCCGTAAATGCCAATGGCATATTGTGATCCTTACAACGGTGTAGGGCACGACACTGCGCCGAAGGGCAAAGGGCAGGTCAAGACCAAGGCTGTTCAGTTGACTGAGGAACATAGCGACGACACAGGTGCGCAGCCTGCTCAGAAAACAAAGAAGAATTCGCAGCCCGCTTCTTCAAGTTCGGCGGACGCGACCAAGAAACCGGTGTCCACTGTGTCGACTCGGACAACATCTTCACCTCCCAAGGTACGGTTAGAGCCCTATGTGTTGATACCTCCATGGGTACTGTCATACACCGTTTGTTGCAGCCCATTCTCACATTGCCCTCTGTGTAGCCTCGACCTACCACGAGCACGTCTCCAGTCTCCAAGAAGGCTCAAGACAAGGATGCTGGGAAGGTGAAAGCTTCGGTGACCACGGCCAAGAAGGACATGCGTCCTAGCGGCAGCAGCAACAAGAAGCGCGACACCGAAGACTCTGACGGTACGGAAAGCGGTGAAGACGATGATGGAAGCAACGGCGACGATGAGGACGAGGAAGAGGGAGAGGAAGATGACGAGGACGAGGACGAGGACAAGGACGAGGACAAGGACGAGGACGAGGACGAGGACGGGGACGAGGACAAGGATGGTGACGAGTTTGTTGATGACGGAGTAGAGGTACGTGGTTTATCCTTTCGAACGCTGTCCCCACTGACTGTGTAGACCGTGGCGGAGTCGAAGAGCACTGGGAAGCAACGGGCGAAGAGGCGTAGGCGCCAGACACGCGCCAAGGTGACACAGCTCCCCAGGGACATCAAGGCCCTCGTCTCTGCGGCGCAGAACTGCCTCCGTCTGCGCATTGCTCTCAAGAACGCTTGGACGTCTGAGCCATCAGTCAGCAGCGGCCGTCTTCCTGAGAGGGACGACCTCATCAAGAGCAGTCTGCAGGACGCCTATGAACTGGGCAGGGCAGGGGGGCTTGACAAGTCCATAAGGACCGCCTTCCAAGTGCTGAAGGGGAACAAGGGGAACAAGGACACTAAGGAGACTGACAAGCTGCGCAAGAATGTCTACACAGTGGTGAGCGTTTGTTTCTGTCTGTCATGAAGAGTCGCGAGTGCCTGACTTCCATTAGGTCTGGGCGGCCGCAGCGCAGTTCCGAAACGAGCTGAAGAGGAAGGCCAAAACTGTTACCTCTCAGATGTACGAGCTCGACAGCCTGTCTTCTCAGCAGAAGAGGAACCTGGCGACATGGTTGATCACCACTCACCCGACGACCGTCGTTGGTGGCTTGCGTAACATCCCTAACTTTGTCTTCGGTGGCATGACGATTGCCTTAGATGCGCGCAAGCATTTTGATGCCGAGGTGAGAGTGCGAGTTCATTGCAGAGTACACCTTAATGATCTGGGTGACAGAAGAGCGACTTTAAGCGCGGGGAGGTGTTCCTCCACCCGGCTATTTCAGAGCTGATTTACCAGCACTGGGGCCTTGGAGCTCGAGCGGACGCGAACCTGCATGCGGCCACGGAAGAGTTCAGCGAGGTGCCGAACAACCTGATCGCTGTGGTGTGCAACGCTGTGAGTCCAGACCGTCATTCGCATGGCTATCAGAGCTCAATCCACAATGGGGTCTCACGGATTCGTGACGCACAGATCGAGTCCGCCCTCATGGAGTTTGCCAAGCCAGGTGCAAAGAACTTCTTCACGAACAAGCAGTATGCTGCCAAGTACGTTCATCACATATGTCAGAACATCGAGGCTTATCTTCTTACAGATGGGACGGCATCATGGCAATCTTGGAGTTCATGGAGGCTCAGTACAATCCGTCCTACATGAATATGAAGCGTATCGTGTGGAAGTCCATCATGTAAGCTGTGTGCAGTTGCTTTGCAATCAATCCCTCAATGCACTGACTATCTCAGATCGCGGCTCGAAGACACGGACGATGTGGACGAGGTGGGCGTGCATACCGGTTTCCTCGACGCGGCCCTTGAGGAGCAAGATATCGTGGTTTTGGGAGGGAGCAATGCAACGCCGCATGGCTCGCCTGCTGGAAAGCCTTCGAGCGCAAGGAAGGCTCCTACTGCCTCGGCAACCAAGCCATCCAGTTCGTCGAGCCCTGAGAAAGGCGGTCAGGAGGGCGACGACAACGTCATCAGTAGAGAGGGCCCTTCTGTGCGCAGCAGCCACAATTCCCAGGCAGATGATGACGTGGCTGCAGAGGACGTCAGCGAGAAGGACGGAAGTGGGGAAGATGAGATCGAGCACGACGAGGTAGACGAGAGGGAGGACAGAGCCGGGGATGCTAAGGAACGTGAAGGTACGCATGTCCGTCATCTCATCACAGAGGATGATCCATAATCTAGTGTCAAATTTCATCATGACAAGGCGCGGCTCGTGAGGACCAAACAGGGACAGTCTGATAGAGGACTCCTGGCTACGTTGTCATGGTCTATGCTTCAAGGTAAGTTGAGCAAGGACTTGATTGTAACCGGTGGTCTGAGCTCAGTTATGGTCTGCCCCATCTAGATACCCATACCGGCCATGACGTTGCTGAGTCGCTGAACTCTGGGGAAGAATCGTGTGTTGCGCATGTTCGATGTACGATAGTGTGCCGTCTCTCGCTCTCCATCTCGCTCTGTCTCCTGCTCTCCTTCGCCATTGTCTCTGAAGTCACGTCACACATATTAACATCGTCTACGGTTGTCGGTCTACGGTTGTCGGGCGGCAGAGCTGCTTCATTGCTATGCGTTTCCAGTCGTGTATTATCAATAGTATGAATGGACGGCAGTTTATTGTGCATGATGCTGAAGAGCACCAAGGAAGCCAAAGACACCACGCATTGAAGTGCAATTAAGAGAAAAAAGAACACAATGTTTGAGTGCTTAATTAGAAGGAACGAAGTAGCAATAGTGAAAGGGGGCAGAACAATAAGGGTACTTTTTTGTTCTCATTTAAGTAAACGTGTACTTAAGTAAGACAAAATAAGAAATCGACTTACCTTAAGGCTCTTGTGGCACATAGTGACACATAATGTCACTTTTGGCTCTCCACAAGACCACTGAAGACACGAACGTTTTTCCTGATGGTGGCGGAAAGGGGAAGAACAACAAGGGCAAGGGCAAGGGCAAAGGAAAGGGAAAGAGCGGAGGAAATGGTCAATCTAGTTCTGGTACTTCTAACACTGCATCTGCGTCGGACTCTTCGAATGTTGTAACTGTAGAATCCTCCTCGTCGTCTGCGAATACTATGACTGCTTCTTGGTATACTGCGGCTAACACCGCGTCAGGAAGAACGACTGATTGGATTATGGATTCTGGTGCATCCAAGACGATCACCAATGACATGGCTGATTTTTGGGATTACACTCCTTACGAGGAGCCCATGATTTTTAGCACAGCCGGCAAGAGTAAGATTGCAGCTTACGGTGAAGGCACTATCAAAGGTGTTGTGCATGTTGAAGGGAAACATATTGTGTCGACTATCACCAATGTCGCATATATCCCTGCCGCGTCTAGTCGCCTATTTTCAACTGGAGTTATTGAACGTTCAGGTTTCACCCTTGTTCAAGGTGGAGGCCGTATGGTCATTTTCGACCAACCTATTTTGCATGGTTCTGACCGAATCCGTGGTAACAAGATCATGGAGGCGCATCACACACCCTTCAACAATCTCTATATGTTGCACATGGAAATTATGAAACCGCAATTGGCTAAGTCTGCGGACAAGTCAAATTTTCGCCTTTGGCATCAACGCTTCGGACATTCGTCTGAAGAAGTTATCCGTCAACTACCCAAGCACACCAAGGGTGTGGATTCTATCGGTGACAAGGACAAGTCTCCTTGTGCAGGTTGTCAATGGGGCAAGTCTCATCGTGCTCCATTTCCCGCGTCGGACAAGAGAGCTTCAAAACCTCTTGAAATTGTTCATACCGACGAAGATGGTCCTATGCGTACCACCGCTATTGGTGGATGGCGCTACTTCATCAGCTTTCTCGACGACTACTCCGGTCTTGGCCGCGCCTATTTCCTCAAACATAAGAATGATTCGACCCAAGCGTTCGATGACTTCAAGGCATGGGCTGAGAACCAGACTGACGAGAAAATCAAAGCTGTACGCTCGGATCGAGGGGGAGAATATACCTCTGCAGAATTTACCGAACATTTGCGCAAATTTGGCATTGAACATCAGAAGACGATGCCATACTCTCCTCAACAGAATGGGAGAGCTGAGCGCTGGAATCGGACCATTGTCGAGAAGGCTATGTCTATGCTTCATCATGCTGGACTAAGCCATGGTTTCTGGCAATTAGCTGTTGACGCTGCGGTTCACATTTATAATCGGCAACCAATGCGACACCTTAACTGGCAATGCCCCATTACCCTCTGGGATAGCACAGTCCCGGACATTTCGTATTTTAGGGTATTTGGGTGCAAGGCATATGTGCATGTGCAGAAGGAACAAAGAGCTGGGAAGCTCGACAAGAAGGCTGTCGAGATGATCTTTGTTGGCTATGAGTTAGGTTCCAAAGGGTATCGTTTCTGGAACCCGGCCACTCGAAGTATCGTTGTGTCTCGTGATGTGACCTTCGATGAAGAGACATTTCCTGCACGTAAAGATTTAGGCAATAATCCGAAATCCCTGGATAAGCCGTTTGATGAACCTCCTGAGGATGCGAACTCGGAGGATTCTGATTCTGAGGATTTACCTATTCCCGTTCCTATCCCGGAACATGAACCTGAACCTGAAGATCATCCAGAGCCAGTGGGAGACATTCCACAACCGCAACCTGATCCTGTACCTCCTCCGCAACCTCAGTACGAACGTCCACGTCGTCAAGGTGCTGGACAAAATCCTAAGAGGAACAAGGACAATGCCTATGGTGACGAGCCACCTGCGAATATTGATCGTCGTACCGATGCTCAAGGCCGTCAACAATCTGAGGCTGAAACTCTCATGTTTGTGCGGATGCTAGCAGAAGCAAACCATGGCGTTCCCCAGAGTCACAGGGAAGCTATGGAGTCTCAAGACAAGGCTAAATGGCACGCATCTGAAGGTTCTGAATACAAGTCACTTATGGACAACAAGACTTGGGTTCTAGTTCCACGGCCTAAAAACCGAAAGGTTATCAAGTGCCGGTGGGTTTATGCGATTAAACACGATGGTCGCTACAAAGCGCGTGTTGTTGCAAAGGGATTTACCCAAGTGTGGGGTCAAGACTATACCGAGACTTTTTCTCCTGTTGCACGGTTTGAATCCGTACACTATCTATTGGCGCATGCAGCACTTGAAGATTGGGAGATTGAGTCTATGGATGTCAAGACGGCATTCCTTAACGGTGACCTTGACGAGGAAATCTACATGGAACAGCCCGAAGGATGGGCTGTACCTGGGAAGGAGAACTGGGTCTGTCTGCTCAAGAAGGCCATTTATGGCTTGAAGCAAGCGTCTCGTCAATGGAACGCTAAGATCCACAAGTCTCTCCTCGACTTAGGGTTTAAACGGACGTATTTGGATGCCGGAATTTATGTCTTCTCTCGTGAATCTGAAGGACACACCTGCTTAATCATTTTGTATGTCGACGACTTGCTCCTCATGGGCGACTCGAAACTGTTCATCGACAACATCAAACAGAGACTGTCTTTGGAATACCGAATGACTGATCTGGGAGCTGTCCAGCGTTTCCTTGGTCTACACATTCGTCGAGAACGTCTTGCACGTCGTATCTTCGTTGACCAGGAAGACTATATTCAGTCTGTTTTGGAGAGGTTCCAAATGTCCAACTGCAAGTCTGCAAGGACACCTCTTCCCGCTGGAGCAGTATTAGAGAAGAACACCGACACTGCATCTGAAATTTTCCGAACCCGTTACCAGAGCATCATTGGCAGCATCATGTATGCTATGCTTGGTACTCGCCCAGACATCTCGTTCGCGGTCACGCGTCTGGCGAAGTTTTCTTCAAATCCGTCTAAAGAGCATATGAAGTTTGCGTACTATGTCCTGAGATATCTTCAAGGGACAAAGGAACTTGCACTTTGCTACGATGGAGGCTCAAACTCTGGTCTGATCGCCTACTCAGACTCAGACTGGGCTGAAGACCGTGATGATAGGCACTCTACATCTGGCTTTGTTTTCCTCATGGCCAATTGTGTCGTTTCTTGGGTGTCAAGACGCCAACCAACGGTATCTTTGTCTTCAACCGAAGCAGAGTATAAGGCCAGCTCCGACTGCTGTCGTCAGATGGCTTGGCTGCGTCATTTTGGAGAAGAACTGGGAGACAACATGTCTCATCCAACTCCACTTTGTCTTGACAACCAAGGCAACATTTTCCTTGCGGTGAACCCTGCCGTGGATCGCCGCACCAAGCACATAGAAATCCGGTATCACTACATTCGAGAGTTCTACGAACGTGGGGAGATGGACATCTATTTTGTCGCAAGTGAAGACCAACTTGCTGATGCCTTGACCAAGAATGTTCCCTTCAGCGGAATCGAGAAATTCAGGTCTTCGGTTGGCATGATGAGATACTCGACATCTTGAACAAGTGGGAGTGTTGAACTTCCGAGTTTTCAGTGTTCTTATCTTATCAGTTATGTACGGATATGGACTTATGTTCTGCGATGTCAGATTACATACATTCTTTGATGGACTTTGCCTAGATTATGTCATGTGACTTTAGTCCGGATCATTCCATGATATTCCACGACATTCCTTGATGTTCCATGACGTTCCATATCATTCCTTGATGTCCCATCACGTCTTATATTACTCTTTGATGTTCCATCATGTCTCATATTATTCCTGATGTTCCATCACGTTTCATATGTCTCTCCACATCAAACTCCGAGTTTTGGCTTACTCATGCTGCTTACCAGCTTACTCATATCCCCAAAACCTCGGACTTAGTGCTTACTGATGAACCACTGATACAGCATGTGACCTGTATCAAATGTGTATATATACTGGGCTGGTTTGCCCTGTAATGATAACGATCCTTCGTCCTCTCCTCTGCCTGCCAGCATAGGATCTTCCCTTTGGGACTGGTCTGTTCACTCACTCTTTAGTCCTTCACTGCCACTGGGCTTACTAAGCCTAAAACCTCTTTCTTCAACAGGGTTCGTGTTGGACATGTTCTCGGGGAGGAGTGTCTGCTCGTCGTTGGTCTGTATCATCCGGTGGTTCTCGGCGTTCGTCACTGTTGGTGGCCCTTCAGTGACTTTCGACGCTGAGATCTTAGAGGAGGCGTTCATTTCGTTAAGCTGTGTGTACGCGTAGACGTGCAGTGCTGACGAACTAGGGTAAGGTTCCAGGACTATATCGCTCCTGTTTAGTGTTCGTGCGGTGGCGTTTTCGCGCTCGCATCGCATTTTCGGCTGGCCTATTCGGTTGGTTTATCGACCGTCAATTCTCGTGTGAGGGGAGGGGAAGGTCCATTGTCAGCTTTGTTTCTATTTTTCCCCTGCCTCGTATGGGTTGGTTGTCTAGCTATTGTTTGTATCTCGTATGTCTGTCATTTGTGTCTCTTCCGCATAGTGGTTGACATTTTACTTCCTCTGCTGGTTGTTTGTTTTGGTCTTTTAGCTTTGTAGTCGTGTCTGTGACCGAGATGCCGAGGCGGGCGCTCGGCTTCTTTGTTTCCTGTGGCTGCGGATCAGGCGTTGTCGGCGCGGGCGTTTATCACCTCTGGGGCGATTGGATGCCTATTGGTGAGTTATTTTGGGGTAGTCTGTCTGTATTTGTGTCGTCTCATTGTCTGATCGCTCGGCCATCTCGGGCTTGGTGTTCATTTTGGTTTCCTATGTTGGTGTCGCTTTGTGGCGTTGCGTTGTGGCGTCGCATTGTGGCGTCGCGTTGTTGCGTCTCATTGTATGATTACTCGGTCATCTCGGTCTCGGTATCCGAGTTATATTCCCAGTGCTATATTTATCTCGTGTTCGTTATCCGTGCAATCCTTCTCGAATATGTATCTTTCACGTCCTCTCCGTCTTCGCATTCAAATTCGTATGGGTTTTCGGTGTCGTTTGTGAAGGCTGGGATGTTTCGGAAGGAGTGGTGTGGTGGAGGGTGACTCGGTAGGTCGAGATAGTGGCGTTGGTGCGTGTAGCCTTCCAGGCCATCTAGCCGGGCCCATGGGATTGGTACACGAAGGTTGCATGGTGGCATGGCACCTGCGATCGCGAATGTGACCCAGTGACGCCGCAGGTCGGTTATTGCCGACAGCTTCCCGGCTCCTTGCGAGCTGGTGCTTATGACAATGTGGCTTCCCTTTCCGAGTTGTTCTGTCGGTCTCTCGTCTACCGTCCAGGTAAGTCCCCTTCCGCCTCCGAGGGTTGGGTGGGTTAATATCGTTATTGGGATTTCAGGATATGTCCCGAGTGGGAGCGTGAGGGTCGGCGTAGGAGTGTATGGGGTGGGTTTTGTTTGTCGTATCCGGTGCGCCTGCTTTCTTTGTTTTGTCTGTTTGTTGTTGATTTGGGGGGCAGGGCAATGTGGTCGTTTGGGTACGTTGCTCTGGCTGGGCATGTCTGTCGTTACTGCTTCATCTGAGGTACGTTTTATCGTTTTAGTTGGCTGAGCGCTTTATACACTAAGGTTACGTCTGTTTCGGTTTTTAGGGGATTCCTCTTACGTTCATTGGACTAATCGCTTTATTGTATGTTCTCCCTTATGTGGCCCATAAGGGGGAGGAGGAGGAGGACGTCTATCCGGTTCCCTATTCGGGTGGGGTGGCGGTGTGTGTGTGTTATCATACTTTTCGTAGATGTGGTCTCTTTTTGGCAGGTGGCAATTTCTGACGACGGGCTATGCAGTTCATGGTTGTGGCTGAAACTCTAAATAGGCGCCATCACTAACTTTGTAGTTCGTCGTTCTTGTGTTTTATATGACATGAGGTTGTGTTGATTTCTGTGGGCGTGTACTTTGTGTTCTGTCCTGTCTGCCAATTGTTCTGATTTTGGGGTCTGACGCTCGTTCGCTGAACAGCGTCTTGGGGTGAGGTGGTGTTCATGTCTATCGTGCCTCCTTTGAGGGATCGTATCCTCCTTCGAGGGATCGTGTCCTCATTCTTTCGAGGTCGTCTGGTTGGACTTCTAATGTGTTTCATTAGAGTCTACTGACTCGCGTCAGTCCGATTTCTCGGGTTTAGAGTCTCCTCTGAGGCCCTCGCGGGCGGGGTGGCTTATAGCCGTAGGTACCCCTATCATCGAGATATCATTTCTCCTGATTCTTTGCGCATGTTGGTTTCATCCCGAAGGACTACTCACACCCCGGACCACGAGAAGGTCTGCGCTGGACTCGTCATAGACGTAGCCCTCCCGGGGCCGAACTCAAGGTTCCTCAGGCTGTGAGGTCATATATCGCTCCGTTTTGGTATATTGCAATCCTGATTGGCATATACACCAGCATAAATGTATAATAGATGCCCAGTGTGCACACCAGAGCATGGTGCCGACCGTTGGGTGCGGGCCCAACAGCACGATATGTCTAAGTTCGTAAGTCCCTATAGTCTACTTGACGGCCCCGTCATATATATACAGGTATGTTGAGCAACCTATATCGGTCCCATGGCGAGGCGGTAATAGCGCTGGGCGAGTAGCTTAGTGTCTCAAGTTCGACTCCTGCTGTTGTTGCATTTTTTCGCCGTATGCCTGAGTCAGCCAACCTAATTTTCGTTCTTTGCTCTATATGACTCAGCCTCACGTGCATAGATCTATCCAGCAACATAGCCGAGCTTGCAGTCTGCTTGCAGTCTGGCGCGTCGTCCGAGTGCACTCAGGTCACTGCTTGGCGCGGGGGCGCCCAGAATTGCTCAGCCCGCAAGCCGGCTGTCACGCCGATAGTATACCCGGGCCGTGTGGGCTCACGAGCCGCACCACAATCCGACTGCTCTCCCTTGGCCGGCAGTGTACTTACTTATTGCGCGTGTATCGTCGAAATTTCAATCTGGAACCTCCCCCGCCGCCCCCTGGCCTGGGCCCCGCGAGATTGGCGCTGGGAGATGCCTCCACGAAGCGTTGACGCAGTGTGCGCCGCGAGTCGCGACCGATCTTCGGCCGCTCAGCGAACTGCGCGATGCTGAGATCCCTGTCAGCGGGAAGCATGCGGCGCGCGGTTCGAAGTGGGCAATGGGGACCGTGCGCTCGGAAGCTCGTTCGGAGGGTGTCTGCAGCCCTGACAGGGTCATTGATGAGTCAGTGGCTGTTGGCGTTGCACAGGGCGAACTGTGTCATTGACAAACGCAAAACACAAGGACGCTGCCTGTGCGAGTTGAACGTTGAACGTTGAATGTTGAAGGACTACCAAAGCCAGGCGCGGACCAGAAGGACTGCACGCATCATGACGCTCTGCGAGAAGCAGAAGTAGCAGGCTTCGAGGTCCTGTCGGACTTACCGCTTGATTTCTGCACACATCCGGCCAACGTCCGGCACTGCTCAGCGCACAGTGGGCCAAGCGCCAGCAGGAACACAAAGGATTCGGGCTTCGATGAGAAGGCACGTACGTAACCTGCGCGACGGAATGGACGTCGACGCGAGGGCGTCGTCCGCAAGCGTCCGTTTGTTGTTCTGCCCATCACAGAGGGGAGCTTCCCTGTCCGCGGTTCCGAGATCGAGAAGTGTGTTGCAATTCAATCATAATTCAATCGTCAGAGCGTAGCGGGTGCCTGGAGCCTAGACGACGGAGCAGTCGGAAAGCCCGATACGACATACGGCCCATCCGTTCGGAGGCAAGGTGGATGAGGAGCGAAAGGAGAGGCCGAAAGGAGATGGCAGATGGGCCGGCGATCACCAGTACATAGTCCAGAACCTAGAGCAGATGTTCGCCTTGAGAAGGAGAATGTGTGTAAAGCTGCTTCTGACTGACGAAAGGCATTCTGCGCGAGCGCATCTTACAGCATAGCATAGTAGAACATCACACCACGCACCCGAACCGACCAAATCCCCGTTCCACAAGGACTGACGAATTGAAGCACCGTCGACCGTCAATCCCGACCCCACGACGCGCCCGGCCGGTCCCTCCGCGCGTTATCCTCCCACCGTCGCCGATCCCGCTCCCTATCACGTTCCCTCTCCCGCTCGCCATAGTCGCCCACAGGCCTCCTCGCAGGCGGCGTCCTCGACCGACTCCCCGACCCCCTGCCATACCTCCCGCGCTCCCTGCCCTCGTCCTTGTCGCGCCGGTACGGCGAGCGGGACCTCGAGCGCGCACGATCCCTACTGCGGTAGTCCTCGTCCTTGTCATCCGGCGTGCGTGAGCGGCCATGCTTGTGCCGCTCGACGCGCTTCTTCTCCTTCCGCAGGCGTTTCTCCTCCTTCTCACGTCTGCGCTCCTCTTTGCGCCGCCGTTTCTCTTCTTTCTCCAGCTCCCGTGGGGGCGAGGGCGGTGCTGCGTCATCTGGCTTGGGCGCGACCCCGATTGCGTTGGCACCCGTGCCTGGGGCGCCGGAGTTGCTTGCTTTCGGGCCTCCTGCGAATCCCCTGGACGCGCGGTGGTTAGTCGATGCCGATGGAGGGCGAGAGCAAGCGGGACGTACAGTGCCGCAGCAAGAGCCTCTGCCTCTGCTTCCTTGACCTTCCTTATTTCCTCAGCTCGGTCGGCTTCCGACTGCTTGAGGTCGCGGTTGTACCAGTGGATGTCCTTGTTCTTCTGCCACCGCCCTGTCGGTGCGTTCACGCTATGGCCTAGGTAGTTCTATGTCGGCAATACATGGCACGAAAATATGTCAGTGAGCTTGTTCAAGGGGTGGCGAGCTCAGGTGCGCACTTCTCTGTCCTTGTCTGCTGAAACGTCGGCCCACTTGAACTCAGCTTGGCCTCCTCGCGTGCCGCCTCTTACAGGCTCGAACATAGCGGTCAGGGGGCTTCTGGGTAGATTGGGTGACTTGTGTGTGAAGACTGTATAGTGGAAGCAGAGAGTACAGCGTGGGCGTCGTGGTGGTTGGGTGGCGGAAGGCCTGAAGCCGCAACAGGCGCCGGCGGGGCCGGCCGATCGTCCCAAACACGGGAAATGCCGCCCCGTCCCTCCCCAGATCGCCGTCCACTGCCACCGATAGCCACCGATTCAGCCCGGCACTGGCAGGGCTAGATGCTATGACTGGAAGTCCTACTTAACTGCGCGACGTGCACAGCTCGGGTCTCCCCGCAGCACGCCAATACCACCTCGCCGTACAAGCCACACGCAGTCCATTCAATGATTGACTCGACACTGCCCCCGTGGCCCGTGCCTGGAGTTTTGGACCACACAACAGATGGTTTCATAGTGATACCCGACGAAGCTGCTATGATATATCATTATGTGGGATCCCTAGCCTCCTCCGAGTCGATCATGGCGGATCGCACAGCTTTGCGCGTTTACTCTGGATCCGCAATGGTATATAGCGTGACGAAAATGCCGATCCTCGAAGCATGCAGTGGAGATCATCTATGAAGTCTCTGTTCAAGGTTCTCAGGAAGAAGGGAGGTTCGAAGGGCGAGTCAGTGTTGGCCAAGCAACAGGATCGAGGAGAGGTACGCCCCGAACCGTTACTACCGATCGGTCGAATATGCTCAGCATGACCTGCAGCCTGAGGCGATCACAGCAGCAAGCACCGTCGATGCTGACGGTCCGATTCTGCTCCCTCCTTCTACAAGCAAAGGGTCACTACTAGTAGTCCCGCCAGTCAGGGTGCACTTGGTGCACTCGGACGCATCCTCAGCGAAGTCCGACGCGAAGACACCGCCGGCGGCGGAAGAGGCGGAAAAGTGGGCGCCACGAACATTCGATCTTCGCGACATGCTGATTCCATTGTCCCAGAGCACAGACACTCGTCAAGCTTGATACGAGGTGAGTTCCGCATTACCAAGTCCATGTCTACACGGCCTGACCCGGAGTACAAGGGGTGCCGAATCACGCATATGGGCTTTGGTCATCGGGATCAACAACTACCCTATCGCCCCTCTGAATGGCTGCGTTGCCGATGCCCGGGCAATGGCGAACTTCCTGAGCAACAGCCTGCACGTCCCAGCCTCGCAAATGGTCACCCTGTTTGACGAAGAAGCATCGCGTGAGAACATCCTCTCCACGTTCAAGCAGCATTTCATCGAGAACGGCGCGATCACGAAGGGCGATGGCATCGTGTTCTTCTTTGCTGGTCATGGCACACAAGAGTATGCGCCGGATGATTGGGGTTTGGACGGCGACATCGTCGAGTGCATTTGTCCGCAGGACTTGGACTTCGTCGAGGTGCATGGAATCCCGAGCACGACGCTCAACGGTCTCTTCCGGGAACTGGCGCACATCAAAGGGGACAACATCGTGCGTGTTGAGTCCTCCTGAGCTCATGTCACATTGCTCATCTTTTGATACGTAGACCGCCATCTTCGACTGCTGCCATTCCGGCAAGATCACGCGAGAGCAGCGGGGATTGCGTTTCATGGCCCCTCCGCGAGACTTCAAAGCCACCATCCCACCAACGACGGACGACGACGCGCGCAAGTGGTGGCCAGGGCGTCAGGGCGACGTCAGGGCGGCGACGAACACCGTCGCCGCGAGCTTCCGGTACAGCGCGATGAAGTCGCACGTGTTGTTGAGCGCGTGTCGCGCGGAGGAGGAGGCGATGGAGCGGATCCTCGAGAGCACGAAGGAGGTGCGCGGGTTCTTCACGAGCACGCTCCTGGACGTCCTCGCCGAGCACGAGGGCACGACCGCCGGTCTCACGTACGCGTATCTCTTCGACGAGCTCATCCCGCCGAAGCCGTTCCAACACCCGCAGTGCCTCGGGAAGCACAAGAACCGCCTTCTGTGGAACACGACGATCAAGATCGTGGACGGGTTCCGAATCGCGGTGAGGGAAGGTGCTGTCGTCGTGCCTGCTGGACGGATCCATGGTATCGCGCCTGGGACGACGTTCTCCGTGCAGGCACACGACGCGAAGGATAGGAGTCTCGGCACGCTTGTCATCGTGGAACTCAAAGACCTCGAATGCATATGTAGGTCCGAAGGCACGCCCTTCGACATCGTCACCGGAGCCCGCGCAGTGATCAAGGACTGGAACAACGAGGACCTCACGCTCAACACATTCATCCACCACGCCGTCACCGGAAAGCACCTCGCGCTCAACAAGGGGACGATCCCGACGGAGCTCAAGGACCGCATACCTGCCGTGGCCGACCCCGAACAAGCAGACCTGAGCATCGTGCCGCAAGCCTCGTCGAGCATCGTGACCGTGGAGCGGGGCGACCCCTTGATGCACGAGTTTGCCCGCCAGATCATCGCGGATCTGGACAAGAGTCTCGTCCAGTACCTTCTCACCGCCGCGCTCCACTTCAACTTCCACTTGTACCGCCAGCCGAACCCGCTCAACCTGTTCACGACGGTGCACGTTGAGCTCCTCATGCTGCGCGAGGAGAGCGCGGGCGTGAAGCGCTTCTTGCCGGTTGATGAGACGAGGAACTACTTCGGTGGCGAGCACCGCGTGCCGGCGTACAAGGCACACGGGCCGGCGGTGGTCCAGGAGGCGGTCCTCACGGAGTTTGAGCCGTTCTATGGTCTGAAAGTCGTGAATGACTCGGACTATGACTTATTCCCTTATCTATTCTACTTCGATCCTAGCGACTACAGCATTGAGGTACGGAGCCATTTTGATCAGCTGGCCTGTCGCTCACACCTCGTTTCGCAGCCGTGGTACGAACCCGAGGCCGCAACCATATTACCCCCTCTCCGCGCGCACAATCACCTCAAGGTCGGCTACGGTGCCCGCCAGGCCGGGCACAACAGCATCAAGCTGTCGCTCCCGCCCGGGAAAGACCTCGACACGGGCTTCCTCAGGATGTTCGTGTCGACGTCGTATGTGGACATGCGCATCGTGCGCCAGAGTGCGTACGGAGGGTTTCGCGCAGCGAGGCTGCAGAAGGCCGTCGAGCAGCGCGAGTTGTGGAGCGCATGGACTTACCTCATAACATGCAAGAGTTCGGGTGCCCTGTGAGTTATCTTATGGGTTGAGCAGGGCTGATGCGATCGCGAGGGACAGTAGAATCCACCCTAGGGTCAGACTGTTGAAACTGATATCGTATCACGTCTGAATTGGGGTTTGCTGTTATTTTGTATCATGTAATGTTATGTGTATGCTATGTGCATGTCTACTTCTTGCATACAGGAGTTCAACTACAGTAAGCTCCAACACCAGCAGGGCCCGAGACTGAGGCATACACACTGCCAAGTATAGGTTCGCCACACATGACTGCGGCGGTGTGTCCTCGCGCTCATGCGTCTCAATCGGGTTGCGTTCATGCGCGGTGAATAGACAGGAGCCAGGCTGTTGCCCACACATAAGTACCCGGAAGACTGCAATGGTTCTTGTGGATGTAGAGCACTTGCCCATCCCCCAAATCTCTACGCCGCAGACGGGATGTGCACGCGCAGGCGACTTTTCATAGACACCGTAGCCAAGTGGTTACGGCGACAGATTCGAATATCGGTTCCTGGAACCCCTTATCTGTTACTCTTGTAGTGCGTAGGTTCGAATCCTGCCGGTGTCGCGTTTTGATGCGGGAGGCGAGACATCGATTGTTTCTGTTCACACGTAGCGCCACAAGGCGTGGCGGTCGATAGAAAATCCAAAAAAGGCAATGTCAGCGCTGGTGCCATGTGAGCGCCTGCGGGCGTCAGCGGCTCTCTACCCAACCTGACCACGACGTTTTGCCACTGTTTGGAATCTGGATGCTTCCCTCGTGCTCTAGCTGTTACGGGCCCGCCAACGGTAACGCGTCACGCGTCCTTCAACCTCGCATCCACTGAGACGACAGACGACCGTCCTTGCGCGTGGGGCTGTGGGCTGGTCTGAAGACAGCCTTGAGGGCTGGGGATGAAGCTCTCGTGTGTTTGTCGAATACAAGGCACGCTGAAACTAGATACATATGAGAATCAGATCGACGCAGCCCAGTGTGTTGACGCTTCATATCCGAATCTACATGTAAGCGTTACATTGTCCCGCGCATTGGCGTCACTGACGAGGCCAATCCTTGGACAGTTCTGTGCTCACGTCCCGCATCGGTGCGCCTGGGCTCACAAACACCGCAGATTCTGCGCGCCCGTCCATACACGGCGATCCTACCTTCGCACGCTGTATTCTAGTCTAATGACAGTGAGAGAACATATAGTACGTTTTCATATCGTTTCTCACGCGCGCGACGGTCTCACGGAAGCCTTGTGGCATTTCTGTCAGGTTGGTGCTGCCTATGAAGGCAAAACGCATACACAGCTGTCATGGCGCTTCGCGCTTTGAAGTCGGAGCACTCTATTCGACGCTCTCTGGACCTTTGCTTCTCATGTTCATGCGAACACAGTTCCGGTTCATTCGGTTCTTGTCAATTCCCGAGCTCTAATAATTGCTCGGCCGTGTTCTTTTCCTATTCTCGGCCTCGAGAATCACGATGCCGTATCGTCCAGAGCGCACTTGTCTGTTGGAGCTGGTCTGTCTGTGTGAAAGGTTCAGGCCTTCGTGCTATCGTGCACATAGTTGGACTAGCACACACGACCAATTTCCGTGTCGAGGATACGCTCAGTGATCGTGGTACACACGCCAGCATATAAGCGGGGGGGGGGGGGTTCGGATACTCACAGTACGCCCAATCATCCTACTTTTCACCCTCACGCTAGACTCGTTCGCAAACTACGATGGCCCGTCCTCCCAAGCCTAAGCCGCCTCACAAGATGATGATCGCCTTGAACAGCTTGCGCAACACGACGATATCCGTAGCCGACAACAAGTTCTACTACGAGGTGGTCACGCGGTACTGGCACCCGAACACAACGAGGATCATCAAACACGACTTCGAAACGCGCGAGTTGGAGCCGCTTGCAGAGATTGAAGGGATCAGAACCAAAGAGCCAAGGGTCCGTTTTGTCAATGGGGAAAAGAATGAGTGGATGTCTGCGGCCGATTTCGTGAAACTCGACCAAGATAAAGTGTGCGTACTGTCTCCATGGCGCTTAGACAGACATTGACGTGGATCCGGATGTCTTAGTGGAGGAACATTCTCCACAGATGCCGGCGTCGATTTCCGTTGGAAGATCCATAAGGGTCAACTTCAGGTGCGAGTGAATTCTGAAAGTGCTCTATCGGCCGACGATTGACCTCGTCCCTATAGCTCATTCGCGCAGATGATGCAGAAGAGAAACCTCTGGTCACATTCCACCCTCATAGGAGACACTTCTGGGTCTTCCGCATGTCCAAACACGCGTATCTGGAGATCAAACCAGAACCAGAGGTCATCGAGGCCCTGGACAGACTCGTTGGTGAGCAGCACGGATAAAGTCTTACCGACATAACGTCCGGTGTGTGCTGACCGTTGCCCACAGTCAGCTACCTGCTCGTCGAAAGGCAGCGAAGGAACAAGTCGATCAAAGTCGTCCGATATGTCTCTTGAATCTCACGTCTTTCTTTCTGCCGTCCGTCAGCTGTATATCACTATCGGGTCGAGCTCTCCAATCCAGTCATTGCAAAACATCACTTTCCAATCGCTCTACTTTCCTCCCGCGCGTGCTAGCTTTCATCGAGCCCCATGACAGTCGGCGTGTGCCTATCCGACCCCTTCAAGACGGCGCGGCGCTCTGGTGGTTGGTGTCGAGCGGGACAATATATTTTCCGAGGCGGCCGTAGACTAGCGACGCGTCATCTGCACCTGGTGAGCGCAGTGTCGTTTCGAGTGACCCCTGAGCAACAGCGCCCCCTCGAGATATAAAGGAGCGCACGACGAGGAGGGGAGGCAAAGTCGCGATTCAACTCGTGAACAGCTCCATTCGCAATGGCCTCCAACTTTTCTAGCATTCCCATCCTCGACTACGCTTTGACTGCCGACCCCGAGCGCAGGGGGGAGTTCATCTCCCAGCTACGCCATGCTCTCATCAACGTCGGCTTCCTCTACCTCGCTAATTCTCCGGTGCCGCGCGAGGACATCGATGCGGTGATCGACTACACGCCGCGTCTCTTCGACATCCCTCAGGAGGCGAAGGACAAGATCCGCATGGCGAACTCGGAGCATTTCTACGGCTACTCTAGGCTCGGTGCTGAGTTCACCAAGGGGAAGTCTGACCAGCGCGAACAGTTCGACTTTGGTACCGAGTGCGATAGCGTCTGGAAGTCTGGCGACCCGGATTACATGCGGCTCTGGGGCCCTGCTCAGGTACGTTCACTCGATCACCGTCTCTTTTGGACCATCTCTTGACGATGGCGCAGTGGCCCCAGGAAGAGCTGCTGCCCGGCTTCAAAGCGACGATGTTACGTTACCTCGCTGGCGTCGAGAAACTGAGCTACGAGTTCATCAACCTGCTTGCGGAGGCGCTTGGACTCCCGGCGGACGCGCTGAAGGCCTTCTACGAGACAGAGATGCCAGTTCAACACTGGGCCAAGGTGGTGAAATACCCTGCTTTGGACAATCTCTCCTCGGACCAAGGCGTCGGCCCTCACTTTGACGCTGGGTTCCTGACATTCGTGCGTCTCTCCATGACTGACAGCGATCCTCTGGGCTGACCAACGTATATCTCAGTTGCTTCAAGCGTCTCCGCACGCGGGGCTCCAGGTGCAGAATCTTTCGGGCGAATGGATCAACGCGCCGCCTATCCCCGGAACGTTCGTGGTCAACATTGGTAAAGGTGCGTACAAGGCTGTAGTGTGTCAGTTGTGTATACAGGCTAAGTCCTGGTCGTTCAGCTCTGGAGACAGTCACCCAGGGGTTGGCCCGCGCGACGTCCCACCGCGTGCTCTCCCCTCCGAAGGGATCCACCCCTCGTTACTCTATTCCTTTCTTCCAGAACATATCACTACGCGTCTCCGTCAAGGACATTACCCTGCAGCGTATGTTTAAGCTGCTTAATGTGCGGGTCTACAATAGACTGACCACCGCGATAGTGAACGAAGAAATCGTCAAACTGAAGGAGCAGCGCGCTGAGGCTGGCAACCCCGATTGTAAGTGACGATAGTGTCCGACTGCGTCGACTAACGCAACTTGTGACGATGACTAGCCGTCAACTACGCCGAGTATGGCCAGCTGCCTACTGGACAGGTCAACTTGATTGGACGCATCAAGTGAGTGGCTAATGTCTGATCTGCGACGATGCGTCCCATTACTGACAGGGTCCCGCATAGGAGCCATCCCGATGTTGCGCAGCGTCACTACCCTGAATTGTTCAAACAGTTCTTCCCGCAGGGCCTGCCGATGCAGGGGAAGGCGTACTAAGCACCGAGGCGGATTCTCTCTTCTCTGGGTCAAGGAATGTTGAGGCGGAGAGCTCTTGTGTTACGGCATTGCATGCATTCCTTGCTACCGTTGAGTTGTATTATAGCTGTATAAATCTTATGTATGACGAGAATGTCAGATGGGGTGCACATATTGAGAGCGCTGTACTTGAAGTCGTATGCCAGCGTCACGCGGAGTAACCTACTCTTCACAAGCGCATCCCGATATTTTGAAACAGAAGGTTGAGGCGACCGTCACTTGTGGTCTGCAATGTACTATTCAAACCACTTCTTTACCGCCGCAAGACCCAATCACACAACTCACCGTCACTGTGACGCGCTTCACCTGACGCCTCTTGGATTGGAGACTGGGAGAACGTGGTGAAGGCACACAGGAGCGGTGCTGCTGGCGATGTAGGTACATGTCATCCTACCTATCCACCGCAGACGCTTAACCCTGTCCTCTTGAGCAGCAAGAAGCTGATCCATTCTGTTTACCTTTACCCTGAAGTCAAGCCCATAGCTGTGCTACTTACTCATTTAGAATCTCCCGGGCTTAAAGTGTGCCATGCCATGCTTCCGGAGTGGGTGATACTAGGCGGCGCCGGCGATAATGCGTACGAGAAGGTGAAGTACTCGCTGCATACGTATGGGACTGCGCACATCGCCTGGTGGATGACTATTACCCAAAGCATTGGCAAGGCAAAACAGACAAGTTGTGGTTCTGTCAGGTTGCACTCGAGACGTCATCAAGTGGTACGTCGATGACTCTCTATCTCGCTTTTCCACCACTGGCCACTCATTAGCGCCACTCGGAAACGGAGGTAAGTTAATGCAATGTGCACACCTTGACAGTCAAATCAAGCCCCTCATCCACCCCAACCTCAGGCTCGTATCCTAGCAGCCTCTTGGCCTTCTCCGATGTGAAATACATCGTGCTTGTCGCGAATGTCACCGCATAAGGTGTCAGCGGCGGTGGGTCTGCGCCCCTCAGCCACGCAACCCACCCCATCACGTACGCCAACACAAATGCAACTAGTCTTGGTATCACCACCGGTTTCCTCTTCGTTCGTTTCGCTTCCTCCTCCGGGAAAGCCTCGTCGAGCCTACCCCATAGCGCGCGCATGAAGTCCCAGAAGAGTCGCGGGTCGTTGTTCGTGATGAAGAAGACCTCGCCCGCGACGGCGGGGTCGGGAAGCTTGTCGCAGGCAAGCACGAGCGCGTGTGCTACGTTGGAGACGTATGTCTTGTCGCCGAGGTTCGTATTGGATCCCATTTGGACGTGCGTCGTGCCCTTCTTCCAGGTGTCGTACGCGCCGACGATCAGCTCCTGATCGCCCACACTGTATACTTCGACCTCAGCGATCTATTCTTACATGCAGGTCATCATGCATCATGGCCAGTCCTTACCCGAAGATTCCTGTAGGCCGGATGACAACCGTCGCTAGCCCGTCCCTCCCATTTGCCCCCAACACAGCCTGCTCTGCGAGTATTCTGGATGCTGTATACGGCGACATCAGCTTCGTCGCATACGGCAGGCTCTCGTCCCCATTGACGATATCGTGCCCGTCAAAAACAACGCCCGACGAGCTGTGGTACACGAGCTTGCGCACGCCCGCCTCGACGGCGGCGGCGATAACATTCTGCGTGCCGAGGACGTTGACCTGGTGGAAGATTTCTGGGTTCCGCTGGTAATTGACGGAGAGCGGGGATAGCGTATGAATGATGCAGGTCGCGCCTGACTGGCCATGCGTGAAGAGCAGTCATAAGTCGGAAACAGGGAAGATGACAATTGAATTGCTGACATTCTGGATGGCACTTGCGACGTCCTCTTTGTTCCGAATATCGCCAGAGTAGAAGGCCACGTCGACGTGTCGTTGCGTGCTATCTAGCACGGAAACGTCGTCCCCGCGCGCAGTCATCCGCTGGACGACGTGTCTGCCGACGAATACATCCCCGCCGATGACCAGGTATACATCACGTCCGGCTGCCATAAGCTACGATGCCCAAGAGAAGAGTTGCAGCGATTGTCGTGTCGACCACGACCAGTGAAGTATGCTGCCCTGCCGAAGGAGTGCAGTATGATCCAGTATCAACGTTCTTCAGATCGTGCGAAGCAAGAGGTTGTAGACCATGCCTTGCTATATAACATCGCTTAGTTTGAGGCAATGACAATCCCAGTCTCACATCGCACAGGCGGCCTACTACGCCGCCGCTAAGACGCTTCCAGCTAGCTTCAGCTGCGTGCAATATACAGTTTTATACTGTATCCACGACACCATCACAGGCTCCGATGGTGACCGTGATGAGAATCCTGTCAAAGTGTCACATCAATCAGTTGACGAACATGCATGTAGTGTAAGTCCAAGGATGACGCACTCTTACTGCAAGTCAAGGCTCCTAGCTATTGCGTACGTAGGTCGCACAATATCTACAAGTTGATGCGGACGTTCGGAGCTCATAATGAAGGTCGATGCAGCACCTTGAGTGAACTCGTACATGTTGACAGAACGTTCACTGGGTGCCGGTAAGTTAGTATAATGTTTACGTCATCAGTATGCTCACAAGTATACCACTCGTGTTCACAGTGGGCGAGGCAAAGACGAGGCGGACAATTCGAATCCACACAGGCCTTGCCATAGGCTTCACCATACCCATGAGACACAAGAGATCGTATTGGTATTGGCAGTGACCTTCCGAACATCCGCGAGAGAGTGCTTCCTCATGTAGAAGACGGCCCAGCAGTGGGTCCCGAATGCTCATCACAAGCACCCCTCACCATCGCTCTTGCCAGGTCCTCCGTCCCCACATCCACCTCCGCGCCCGAGCCAATCGGGTACACATCCCGCACGAGCGCCCGCCATTCTGCCCAGTCATCGACAATGCGGTCCTGGACGTGCCCAAGCAGCACGCTCACCGTCCGCTCGTCCTCGAGGTACAACCGCAGGCGCCCAACGGCTGCGCGCAGCTCCGTCGCGCACGCCCCATTGAACGTGGTGAAGAGCGCATTGACGGCAGTCGGCGTTGCCCAGGGCATGCTTTGGACGGTTTGCGTGCTGGACGGGGGCTCGCTTGAAACAGAGGAGGTCCCTAGTGGTTTGGCGGAAAGGCGGTGAGCGTGGACGCGGTCTGTCCACGAGCGGAGGGGAGCTGTGACTGGATTGGCACAAGATGCGATGACGGCCTCGCAGGCGATCTTCAGCTCTTGGTCGAGAGCCTACGGTGGCGGACATTAGCACTTCTCGTCATGTCCAGGGGAACAGCAACGCACTCGTCTGACATCGTTCATGTTCTCATCGCTTGGCATACCCAACGACGTGAGCAACGCATTCGGGAAGGGAAGCAACGAGGTCGTCCTTCCTAGCATTGACGCCAGTGTGTCTACCGCAATGCAAATCCTAGTCAACTTGTGCGACTGAGCCTCGGATGGGTTCGACGGTACCTGTTACCCCCGAGAGATCGATCCCCCTGTCCGGGTTTTTGTTTTCGAGATCCAAATTCTGTGTCATCTCCTTGAGGATAAGGAGGTGCCGCACGAGGAATAGTTGTCCATCAAGCGTCGACTGTGCCTTCGACTTGAGCGTCTCCGCCGCGCTCACGAGCGACTGTCGACAGAGGTTGACTGCCTCACGAGCAATGTCGTCGAAGATCGCCGACTAGAAAGGGAGAGCATCATCAACACTAGGTTCAGTAAAATGCCCATTGAGAGCTACCTTCACGAAGTCGTGCAACTGAGAGAGAACCCAGACAGTCTTGCGCAGCGTTGGGTACCACGTATCTTGTTTATCGAGCGACTTGAGCTGGAACAGCTGGCTCACACTTTCCTTCTCCTTGATCTCAAACCCTGTCACAGGCTTCCTAGCAGCTATGACGCTGCCTCAGCAATCGCCCAACGCACACGCAAACCTACCAAACAGCACTCACAAACAAGCTTCTGCGGGTAATCCAAATCCTGCGCCTTCGGCACATAATACCGAATATCGCTCTGGATCACCGACTGCGCCTTGAAGAACAGCCTCGTCTGCGCGTCCTGCAGAACCATCTGCAGCAGGTACCCGACATGCAGTGCGCGCAAGCCCCGTTTGCCCGGCCGCCGGGCGTTGCTACCCAGGTCGAGGTTCAGCTCGTCAACGTAGTCGTCGTTGTCGTCGTCGTCGATCGCGGGCACGTCAAGGACCATGAGGGCTTGCAGGACGGTGCAAACTTCGCACAGCGCGGTGAGGCGGGGCTCGTGCAGGATGCGCGGGCGGAGATCGTCGTAGAGGTAGTCGCAGAGACTCTCTAGATAGGCACTGTGATCGAATCCTCGGTGAACACGATAGAAGTGCCACTGGCGAAAGAACGTACTAGAGCTGATCTTCGCCCGAGTTGAAGAAAGCACGGAAGAGATCGAACTCGTCGGTACAAAGTTGCTTCAAATAACTACATCCAGTCCTTGTCTAGCCATACGTCAGCTACACGTCGTGGCCAGAGCAGAAAGAAGCGCACCAGTTCGACGAGCTCTGTCCTCGTAGGATCCAAGCCCTTGATCTCCTCGAGCAGCCTGTTCACTAGCAGACCCTTTCTAGCAGTGAAGTACGCGCTGTGACATTCCGACAGCAGAGATGAGAGCTCGTCAGGGTGCGCACTGGCCCGCCGCTCCAGCTCCGCAAGGAGAGGCGCAAGTTGTGCTGAGACAGTGTAGAACCGCGTGTACAGCAAGTGCATCTGCGCCGTCGCAGAGACGTCCTTCTCGGACATGCGTTTCGTGACGTCGACAGTGAGTGCTTTGAGTGAGCCAACGAAAAACATCTTGATGAGCGTCATGGCTCGTGTCATGCATTGCTGGAAGCGAAGCAAATAGATCTCGGCTTCGCGGAAGTGTCGCTGCTGCTATGTCAGATATTGTGATGAACGAAGTAGCAGTTTACTGACGTGCGCTTTCAGGTATTCGATGCAGACGTCCACCCGCTCAACCATGTAGAGGAACTCCGTTTGCAAGACTAACGAGTCGCCCGGAGAGTTTAGCATTCGAGTAGCGTGTTCTAGCTCTTGGAAGTAACCGATCCGCTCATCGATAGCGTCAGTTATGCTGAGCAAGTGGTCCTGGTATCGTAATTCTGAATCAGTATAAATCATCCAATAGCTCGGAAAACGCGACGCACCCGCTCTTCGAGCAGCTGTTCACAAGCCCCTTTCAGGCTCTTTCCACCCTCCTCCACTAATCTCCACTCATTCAGCATCCCATCCACCGCCGAGTCAATCTCGTCGATGCGCTGTATCAGCCGGTCGCACGTATCGAGATGCTCCGACACGCTCTCTAGATGCGCCCGGTAGTGCGCCTCCTGGCTGTGGGCTACCGAGCGGTCGATGAGCGCGAACCAGTCATAGAACTGCTGCGGTGTCTGTATCGGTTGCTTCGGGTGCAGTGCGTGTGCAGCTGTCGCGCTCCGGGGGAACGCAGAACTGGGTGTGCTAGGACGGGAGCCGACGCCGAGCCTGTTGCGCAAGACGGGTGTGGACGGTCGGGACGACGAGCCCGGCTCATCTACGGCAAACTTGGCTTGTGGTCATTCAGACATAGCGAACAGATCACGACGGCAGAATGTACCTTGAGAGGTAGAGCAGCCTTCTCCGAGGCAGCCTTGATGAGGTTCACGCTCCTCGCCTCAACTTCTCCGAGCGGGGCTTTCGTTTCCCATTCCTCCATGCTTATAACAGGCTTTGCATGAGGTGTCAAGGTTCCGGGAGCGCCAGGACGTTTGGTGGATGCCATTGCTTAACTCGCAGACTTCAGGCGTACATTGAGAAGAGTACCGAGTCGAAAGCCGTAGAGCCGCAGCACGATGCACTCGTCGTATGCCCAGGATCCGGAGTATTCAGTCGACCGCAAATGAAAGAGAAGAGATGCTCCTGGGGCCAGCGGGCAGAGGTTGGGTAGAGTAACAGGTGATATGCAAGTAGCAGAGGTGGCGAGCTGCCCAAGTTGGAAGCACCTCGCAAACACGAGGATACTGAGCGTTTCCAAATCCGGCCTTGATGTGGCCTTCCTTCTCTCCACGCGTGAGGCCGTTCTCATCACCTCGCCGTCGTCGCCAGTTGCTGCCTCTAGTTTATCTCGTCAGATTGTTGCTAAATCCTCGATACAAAGTGAACTCAATGCATTGAATGGTAACGGCGACGCAACCTGCCATCGCGCGACGTTGGCTAGCACTCGCAATTTCATACTCAAGTTTACACCACTGCACATGAACAGAAACCCCTTGAAACCGCTATTCTGCAGATACTATGCGAAGCTCTTGCTTCTGCATGCGGCGGACGTCACAACCTCCTTGACTAGGATGCCATGGGATCACCACGTACGGGTAAGAAAGCTTGCACTACGCCTGTTTCTGTCATTATCAATGCACTCTTCACGTTGCAGTTATGCCAGGACCCTCCTCCGCATTGTCTTCTCCCCCTGCTTGGTCATGGGTTGTAATTGGGATGTAACGAGCTTTCCGCTGAGCCAATGCATAGGTCATTATTACGTTTCTTTTGAGGAATCGATCCGCCGGTACTGTTGCCATTGGCACTGTTGCACCGCGGTCCACGACCTTGGGTCGGCTACGTTATGCCCAGGTTGAACCAGGCTTAGGCTATGCCCGTCTTGTCTTTCGCGGGTCTTTCCAAGGTCTTTCGCCGTCACGGACTCACTGGCACGGTCGTGGCAAACTGTTCATCGTTACGGTTGCCATGTCTTTGTCTCGTCGTAACCATTCGTTGCGCCAAGTGCCCTTACAGTGTACTACCGTTCCTTTACCCAGGTGATTGAGACTTGCCTCCCGTGGGCCCGCGTCTTGAATGAGATGGGCGCTGTTTTCGGTACTTCGTAGAGCATTGTCGAGAGCACTGGGCTGAATATTTTCTGGACGCTGTGCTCGTTCGTTCTGTACCCAGAGCTAGAATAGTTGCGGAGGCGGAGCGTCACGCAGAACCGCTCCTTTACCCAGCGTGACATCACGTCAACTCGCGGAGGAGTGTGAGTCACAGTTACCGAAGTCAGAAGGAGACTGCGCGGTCCAGTCACGCATTGTCACTGTCAGCCACCCTTGTTGCTCAACGACATTTATCTACGACGCTCTTCCTCCTTCACCATAGACTTGGAATTTTTGGTGCAACAAAAATACTCACCAGCATCGTCTTCGATTTTTATGTGGACGCATAAGGGAGTGTAGTAGTCACTGTATCACTCCCGAATCGTGGCTTCGCCCGAAATGGTATGTTTCGGAAGTGTCATATTTTCCGGGAAGCACATAGTCGTGCGGTCCCCATGAAAAAATTACCGTAGCTCAGGCCATACTCTGGGATAGCTCAGCTTAATTTACAGAATTTTGGCTCAAGGACGAACTGCGCTGGGTGCACATGGGTAAAGGAACCACCGTGGGTAAAGGAACGGTAGTACACTGTAAGCCTCTTTAAGCCCATCAGGATTCGAGCTTCCTGCCGGGGCCAATCCTGGGCCAATCAGTTCACAACCAATCTGCCTATCCCAAGCCTATCCCGGCTTGATCCCACTGACACACGGGTCTCGCGGACCCGACGACCGCGCTGTTCGATGTTCCTGCCGGCGTCGCGCAAGCCTCGCGGGTGTCCCTGATATGATCTGACCCGAGATTCAGACGAGCCGCAATTAAGTTATGCTACAGCCAAGGCCAGGCCAAGGCCCATCATGACAATCGTTCTGGGTGCCGCCAAGCCAGCCCGACCGGTATATAAAGCGGCGGTGAGCAGCAACAATCCCTCATTCCCGCCTTTACACTCATTTCTTCCCAGTCTTGAGGACTCCCTTCTTTTCAGCTATTCCGAGCAGCTAGTCTGTCCTTCACGCCCCGCATCCTTGCTTGTCTAGCCCCCGTATCCTCGCCTTCGTCTGTTACCGCAATGGCTCGGCTTTCGTTCATCGCCCTTATCGCCTGTGTCGTGGCTTTCGTCGGTGTCCAGGCGGCGCCTGTGCCGAGCGATGTTGGCATTTACATCAGACACGGCAAAGGCAAGAGTGCCAAGAGTGCCTCGGCCAGTGCTACGGCCAGCTCTGCAGCGTCCACTGCCAGTGCTGCATCCAGCGCTGCAGCGTCCAATTCCACCGCCAGCACCTCGGGTGGCTCTGCTTTCGTTGCAGGCTCGTTCCAGGCACAGGAGTACGTCTCATGCTTGATTTAACAACTCAGTCATCGAGTACTTACGTGGTTGCCCCCTACCCAGCTACGCCGCCTTCCAGATCTCCAGCGGTACCGGCGGTGACGCCGAGGCTGAGGCTAACGCTGTCTTCGTTGGTAAGTGATTTGCTTCTCTGACAAGCTTCAGGACGCTCATGACTTCATTGATAGACCCCTTCGCTAACGTTGACCTTTCTACCGTTGATGATGCCACCGTCGAGACCATGACCACCATGCGTGAGGCAGCGGAGAGTGCGGAGACGGATGATTTCAACCCGCAGATCGCTGCTGCCTCAGGTGACGCAGGTAGGCATCAACTTTACATGGCGCGACGATACACGCTGACACACTTACGTCTATTAGCCGATGCCCTTCAGGTCGGCAAGATCAAGAACAAGGTGCTCAAGCTCACCGGCGAGGTTCAGGTGTTGAACATCAAGGTACGGCGCTTTGCGTTGAATAAAGCTCCTCATCGCTCATGCTCCGCTCAGATCGCAAAGGCCCAAGCCACTGGCGATGATACGTCGGACCTAGAGAGCAGTCTTGCGGCCGAGCAGTACGTACTATGCCTTGTTGCACGACTCGCACGGTCTGACCGTCTTGTAGGAAGAAGCTTTCGACCAACATTGCCACCGACCAGGACAGCGCTGGAAAGACGTCGCAGGGCGTTGCGTAAATGTCCGAAGTCGTTTGGCGATTTCTTCCTCTGTTTTACACTTTGGTTTGTGTTTGACATCCGCTCGGAATACATTTGGATTTGGGATGGGATTTGGTTCAACGGTGTGATTAAGTTCAGCGACCGGGCGTCATTGACACAAACCGATGCTTCGACAACAAGCTGCAGGCGTGAAGTTACAAGTACGGTAACATACAAGTGGACGTGGATGAGCCATCACATAGTTGCACCGAGACCCAGCTTAGTCTTCTTCATCTTCGCCGTCAGCGGCGCGTCCAAACCACCCGACAACCCGATCCTCTCTCCTTCTGCCCAACCCATCGCCGCCAGCATGCGGAATCCAACGTTAGACTGGCCAATCTTGGGTGCAGCCTGCAGGCATAACTGGATTAGAATGGATTCTGCCCGATCCGAGCGGCCTACATACCTTGCCAACTTCCTCTCCCTCCCGATGTTTGGCAAGTGAAACGCCCCCCTTAGCCTTGCCCTTCCCGGGTACGCCCCAAGTACTATCCTTGTTCGTCTTTGTAATCCGTCTGATCTTCTTCTCGTTGATCCCAATCCCGCTCTTGGACGTCTTGATGAGCGTGGTGTACCGGCCCACCCCATGCCCTTTGCTCTGGCTCTTTAAGTTGAACGCTTCGGCCAGGTCATGTATCTTCTTCCGCGTCTCCTTGTCACACGGCGGGAGAGCCATGGCGCTCTTGCTACCGATGTCCGCGAGGAAATGCCGGATCTGCGTCTCAAGCGACGCGAAGTCGACGACGCGGTTCTCCACCTCCATGTACTCTTCGAGCCTGGCGGCGGCGAGCATTGCCTTTCTGCCTTTCTTGCCGCCTTTGTGCTGCGCGAGCGGGTCGGCGGCGGCTGCGATCATGGCTTCTCTCCGCTTGCGCTTGTTCTCCGCTTTCTTCTGGCGGTCCTTCTCCCACTGGTCGTTGAGCTCTGAAGGGATATGTTTGTCTTTTCTTCGGGCTAAGGGAGGGTCAGGATCATTATACCGCATTGCTCTAGGAGAGCCAGGTCGTGGCTCACGGGCTGGTGTCATCATGTCGGCGAACACATCGTCGGAGAACTCGCCGTCCTCGATAGATTGGAACAGCTTCTTCCTCGCCTTCCTATCTCCGTTCGACAATAGGTGAGCGTTTGCATCGAGCATCTCCTGTGACGTGCCTCAGTCAGTCATGTCCGAGTTCGGGCACTACCGACATACCTGTATCTCAGCGATGAAGTCCTCGTCCTTGTCTGCCCAAGCCACGTTGATCTCCATGTCTTCGTCGCTGGAGTCATACTCCTGTCGTGCCTTGCCCTTCCCCTTGCTCCGGCCATTGTCTCTGGCGCGCATCCTCGCCAGTCTCGCCTGAAATCCGGCTCTTGGCGTATCTTCCTCGTCAGACGATTCGTCGTCCTTGTCGTCGTCCTCGGTTTCTTCGCCTTCCTCCGACCCATATCCGGCATCCTCTCCAATCAAGGCTCTCGCCTCAGCTCGGAGCGCTTTCTCTAGTTCGCTGTCCTCGTCCTCCTCCCTCTCCTCATCGCTCCCTATTGAACTTCCCCCGAGGTTCCTTGCCTCCTGGTCATCCTCCTCCCGCATCCGCTCTCCATCCCTGATGTCATCCACGGTGACATGTCTCGATCCCTCCGCGCTCATACTCTTCACGAAGCTCTTCATCGCGTCCACCGAGATATCCGCGTCCGCATCCAGGCCAATCGCCCCCACGCCATTCGACAGCTCCTCGACCTCGTCGTCGCTCGACTCGCCGAAGTTTACGTCCGAGTCGCCGCGGCGCTGCTCGGCCTCACGCGGATCGCGCTCCCGCCCCTCGCGCTGCGCCTGCGCCTCTGAGGCAAGCGCGCCGAACGCGCCGAAGCGCCGGGGCGTGCGCCGCCGCGCCTTCTTGGAGCGCTGGAGAAGGGAGCGGGGGCCACCCACGGGGAACAATTTCCGCGTCTGCTTCTTGCGGGTGTTGCTCTCGAAAGAGAAGGAGATGGTTTCGAAGGACGGGGGCTCGAGGAGCTCGGTAGTTTGCGGTGTCGCGGGAGCTTCTTGTGGGTTCTCGGAGACAGACGGCTCCTCTGGTGGTACTGGGTCCTCCGGGACACTAGCAAGAGGGCGAGCAGCAGGGTGATTGGCCTCGTGGCTCTCGAAGAGCTGGCGGCCGGTGAGAATAGATGTCGTTGTGATGCTCTCTACCGTCTGTGCCACTGGTGCCGGCGTCGTCGCTCGGCTCAGGCTGACGCGGGGATGAGGCGCGACGTATACGATGATTTCGTCGTCCTCTCCGAGCACACCCTCCATACGATCTGTAGTCGCGAAGGGTGTCGGTCGCATTGCCACTGGTGCAGGTGTAGTATCGACGTAGAAGCCCGTGAAGGTCTCCTGTGTCATCTTAGCCTCGATCGAGGCAGTAGTGTGCGTTTCGTCGCTCGTCATCGTAGCTGCGATGGCGTCTACTTCTGCTTGCAACTTGCCTACGTCGGCAAAGTCGATCTCTTCTAGATTTCCCTCCTCGCCGGATGCATGATCGGGAGACTCATGTCGACCTCCGCTGAATATTCGCGACACCTGATCTGCAGTTGGTACGTGGCTCTTCTCATCATCAGCTGTCGACCCAGTCAGCGAAATGATCAAAAACCATGAGCAGGCGATGTCGACTGACCTACTGGTTCCACAATAGGTTGCAGGATCTCTTCATCCTGTTGGAATAGTGTGGCAGTATGTACAGACCGCACGAATACGATAGGCCTCAGCAGCGGCCTGTCTTCGTTGAGTAGTCTGGAGAGCGGTACGCCCGCCCGCAGCTTGGAATTCTGTTGGCCTCCGCTCGGACGTCCACGTCCACGAGCGGAATCTGTGGGCTCGCCTCGCCCACGGCCTCTAAATGAGCCCCTTCCACGAGGGCTGTCGGTTCCTCCAGGAGCAGGACTGTCCCGGCCTGAGCCAGGATAGGAACCACGACCTCGTCCCCGGCCTCTGGGATGCCCATTGTATGTGAGGTCTATGAAGGGATTAATCAGCCCTGCTCCTGAATTTGGTCCCCTGCGATGATATAGGATGGGGGACTACGCCAGACGATACATACGTTCTGGCCAAACCTGCACGGGGAAGTCGAGGTCATCTATGTAGGGAGCACCGCCCCTGCCTCCGCGACCTCGACCTCTCCCTGCACCTCCTCCTCTATATCCACCTCGTCCTTGGGATGATTGGCCGCGCGGTGAACCCCTCGAGCCTCCTCGCCCCCGATGGTTGCCTCTAGCCATGGATTAAAGATACACAAGATGTAAGAATCGACAAGAGAGAGAAAGTGATACAAGATCCAAGAATACAGATTCTAGTTTCCAAAATCCAGAAAGAGCGGCGGTTCGTACTGATGAGACGGATATGAAAGACTTCGCTCAGTTCGTTGACTCGCAGTGGTCGGCACCCGGGAGTGACAAACAGACGCCCGTGAACGCCTCGGGATGTCAGCAGTTTCCAAATGCGGATGTGGGCGCTCCCTGACGACATGCAGCAGCGGCCACGGTACCTCACTACTTCGACACGTACACATTGCCTCACTGCCATGAACTTTCAGTCCAACGACCAATACATACATGACAGAGTTAACCTCGCTCGATTGGTGAGAAGGCTCGAGAAAAGCATCGCTGCCGAGGACTGGGACGCGGCACAGCTGCCACCGCGCGCGACATGGATCAAGACTCAGCAAACACTGCAGGTGCGTCGATTGTAATGGGTATACGCGTGGCCAACCTTTGACTCAATATTTATACAGAAATTGAAGTACGCGCGGAAGCTGCTGGATAGCGTCGAACTACATGAGCACGACCAGTATGTCCGAGCTGCATTTGGTGGAAAGAGCCTAACATAAGCCTTCGCCAGAGACGCATTCCGGAGGTACGAAGAACTCCGCGCAACTCTTGCGCGCCTGCATAATGCCGTAAAGGAGGTAGACCAACGGGTCGCACCATCCCCAACACGTCCGCCGCCAATATTGCCGACTCTTCCGCTACCCAAGACCGCAAAGCCAGCCCCCGTGCCATCCATACGCATCTCCGAGGAAGAGAAACACCCGCAGGACGGCGCGCCTTCAGCCAACGATCTCCTGCTTTCTCCCTCAGACACACTGCTGGATTCCGCACCCGTCAGTGCCACCCTCCTCCCCGCAGATCCACCCTCCCCCGCCGCACCCGCCACGACGCCCACCCCCGCATTCCTGCAGAACTCGTCCGCGCTCCAGGAGGAGCTCTCCGCCCAGCTCGCCCAGATGGCGACTCAGCTGAAGCGGAACGCGCAGCACTTCTCTAACACCCTCGAGAAGGACAAGGCGCTCGTGCAGGAGACGCAGGAGAAGCTTGAGCGCAACCACGACGTCATGAGCAGGGAGCGCGTCCGCGTGCGGGACCACCACTCGAAGAGCTGGGGGACGACGTGGCTGGTGATGCTGAGCATGGTGGTCGCACTCGTTGGCTTCATACTCACGTTCTTCGTGATTCGCTTGACTTGAGGTGCAGCTCTTAGGGATCATCTGGACTAGTGGTGCGTGTAGTATTCTGTGTACATTTGTTGCAGGTCATGGATACATGGACACTGGTATGCTGTCGACAAAGGCAGGACAGAGCCCACCGATCGTTCCTAGTGTTGCTAGGATGTCACCACATTCGAGCAAGCTATGATCTCCTCCACCGACGGGAACGCGCGTTGCGCTGAAACCTTTATGGTTCTGCCCTCTCATATGGACCCGAATGGCAATATGCTGATGCTTTCGTGAGTCCACATCGAGAGAGATGTACACTCGCCGAGAGATGATTGCGTAGCTCTCGCACCGTCCCTGACATTCAGAATCAGGGTCTACTGATCGCACCATCTTCGCGTTCAACGTTCAGCCCTTACCTGGCTCTCGCACCAGAGTCGCAGTGCTAATGCAGAACTGTGGTATGTATCTGATCATACAAGTAAGTAGCGATGTCGTTGGTACAAGTGCGTCATATCCTATCCTATCCATACATGCATGTGTTTGCAGCGTCATACCAGTACAAGGTGGGTGTGTCCAATCGTGCGATCATGATGTCCGTGAGGATCGTCGTATGGTACGGTATACGGAATGGGTACGTGCTCTTGATCATTGTATGTGGTAGCGTCGCCGCACCCGTGTAAGCCATGGCATGTTGTCCGTGAGGCCCCTGATGTTCTGCTCAGGTACTCTCGTAAGGTCTGAGCGCGGATCGCTGGGCTTCCGGTCCGGCGGCGCAAGCGCATACGATATCTAAAGCACCCCGTACGACGACCATCCTGATCAGCATGCGTCACACCTCGATATGTAGGACGATGCACGGACCCGCAGATCGGTCGTCATATGTATGGCGACGACCCTGCCCACCGACTCCTTCGTATTCGGGCCCATGACGAAATGCACCTCGTCGCCCAGCTGTTCGCACCGTCAGTGTCACGGTCCGCAATTAGCACTGCGCCGATCGGATATCTGCATGCAGGTGAAGCGCGTACTCTGTATCTTGTGTGGGCATCGAAGTCGGCGGCCATAGTGAGGGTGTCCTGAGAGCAGCGGACCGTTGTTGGCTGCCCGCACCTAGCTGCGCATGGCCTATACACGTCCCCAGGCTGGCGTGCTCCAACGTCATTTCTGCGCCCCGCAGCCTCGTTTGAACATTGCGGGGTGGAGAAAGGGCCTAGCCGGAGTTCGGCGCCTCAGATGGGACCCAAGTTGCGCCGATTGCTCGCGCCCCGTCCCGCTCATGATCATCCTTTGACGAGAAAGGTCATCTCTTGAAGTTGAACCAGCATGCTCAATTGCTTGTCGGGGAGCTTCAGAATGTGCAGGGAAACGACTCGTATAACCAGTTCCTATCCATCGAGCGCCGTACCATCGAAGCACAGGGTAAGTTACGTCCATACGCAATACGATCTATAGCTATTTGACGACGCAAATCTAGTCTTCGGAGCATCAGCAGGAACACGGACCAACCGGAAGGGGCATATCAGCACACCACAAACGTCGCGTAGTACGAGTATGTGCCCTACAACTCTCCTGTGTGTTTTTGATGTTCCCGCGTACAACTTGAGTAATAAGTACGCACAGGTCCGAATCGCGCCCTCCTCTGCAGCCGGACCACGCAGTTACTCAAACTCTGTCAAAGCATCCGACTTGGATTCAGCTTCTTGGGGCTACTACGGATATCGCTTAGGGCAAGAAAACAAGCAATTGCCAATGCGTACCTGCAGGGGCCCTTGATAGACCCGTCGAAGAGCTGCCCTCGGGTATCTAACAACCACCCAGCGGTTCGACTTCGCGCCTCGAAGCAACACGACCAATCGCCTACCCCACGTTGGACGCGGAACTTGTGAGGGCCTTGCAAGATGGGCGGTAAGCAGCACTGCCTGTCCCGAGAATCCGACATTGCTGCCTCTACTTATCAAGCGCCCCATAGCTCTCAGAGGCATACGGTCCGTTGTACGCTGCCATGCCGTAAGTTGGTAGTTCGCTGTCGATCGGGCCTACCGGAACAGTGACCGACACCTTGGTCCTGCATACACACACGGACCGGTATCGACAGACGCGGACGCAGTGTCACGTAAATGAGTGCATAGGCATGGACCCGGGGCGAGCGGGTGAGTAATGATCGGACATGATCGGGAAGAACGGCGATGCTCACCTTGTAGTACGAGCAGGTTCTCCTGCAGACTACTAGTCGCGCAGACAGGCCCCTCGAATCAAAGTTTCGCCCTTCGTTGTCGTATTAGCGTCGGACGGTTGACCGGGATTCTACGCTGTTGTCAAGCGATAGCAGTCCTGCGGACGGTCAACACATCGCATGAATAGGATCTCACCGAAATGAATTGCCTTCCATACGACCGAGAAGCAAGGCGTCAGGTACAGAAAGCGATCGTGTTTTCAAGACCAATGGCCCCTTTACGTGAGCGACGAGGGCGTAGAAGCATCGCACCCGAAAACTCGCGCTGTGGGCGCCGCTGCCCGGGAGTTAGTCCACGCTGCTTGGGGACTTATCGCCAATACGCGATGGTTGGAGAAGATAGAGCAAGCCCCCTGGTTCCAACCAATGAGTCGGTAATCATTATGCATGGACGAACCCAGCGTGCGAGGGCATGGTCAAGACAATCTAGTGCGTGGGCTACGCGACGTCGCTCAGCGCACACGAATGATGTCTCAGCAGTGGGTAGAGCTGAGTCTCGAGACTGCGACAGCAAGATAATTTGGCCAATAAGCAGGTCGTCATTACGAGGATGGCGAGGGTGTGCTCGAGGAGACTTCGCACGCAACTCACGATGATTTAGTATTGTTTCTCTCTGCCGTGTCCACACTGCCGGCGGAACCGCACGTCACCTTCAACGCTTCCCATCGACCGTGGCGATGTGGGAGCGTACTTACCTGATTGAACACACGCAGACCGAGTGGGCGGCGGCGCACAACGCTAGCACCAGCTGAGCAACCGAGTGTTCGGGTTTTGGGGTACCCCCGTAGCGCGAAAGGAGTCATCAGACGGCAGGCGGTTGCGAAGGGGTGGTCAGGCCACACTCAAGATATACGGAAAGCATTCTTAGGGGTCGGAACCGCAGAAATCCCTCGGTGCATACCGCGCGACGAGGGATAGATCTCACGAATCCCTGGGCCTAGATTGACAGCAGCCCACTCCTGTCGCTCCAGGACGTCTGTGCCACCCAGCTGACCCGCAAGCCCAAGATAATCCCCAAGCCGCTGCATACAGATATCAGCGATTCTGGGCCGATCGCAGGGGAGAACGACGCACTGCGGAGCTGTGTAACACAGACTGCCGTCACTTGACAGCCTCCGTGGGCGCCCACAGACCGAGCGATACATCCAGCCCGAAGTCAATACCGCTTCCCCCGCGCGCCGCGGCGCCAGGAGTGTATGTGTGGGAAGACGCGAAGGAGCCAGGGCGACGCGTCTGCACACCACCCGCGTTCGAGTGCTTCTGCGGAGGCTCTGGGCCAGTGGGACTCGAGGGGGTGGGGCGGCTTCGATTTTCTGTCCAGACAAGGCACGCTTCTGCGGCTTCTCGACGAGAATCACAGCCCAGCATCGTCTTGGTCGCGCGGACAGGCTCGCACGGGCCAGGCTGTGTGGCCAAAACGAGATGAGAGATATGTATGTTGGACGTAAGCGCGACGCAGACGCAGACGTCCAGTCCGGTCATGGGTGCGTACACACGTGATAAATGATAGGACATACTGACACGATGACCTGCGCGAGTAGCGAATGCACCCCCGGCCTCAGGATTGCACGGCGGTTACCTGCTCTGAATAGTCCTGCAAAGCGCCTCTAGCAAGAGTCCTAGTCATGGACGGTGTTCCGCGGGATGTCGGGTACAGGCCTGGTTGCGGCGCCTCTGACTGTCCAGTCCGCGTCAGCACGCTAGAAGCCTCATTGAATACTACCTACACGAAGCCGCCGGGCCTGCAGAGGCTAGGTATGTAGTCGTATTGAACTCGCCCTAGCAGTCGCCCACCTAGGTGCGCCTAGGATCCAAACAGGCGCCGCCGGAACGCCGAGACGTTACTGGATGTCGATCGGGTTCGCTCTAGGGTTAATGTGATTCTCGAAGTTGGCCCATGGGGTATCAGAATACGCAGGAAGCAGGCCGGAGCGATCGTTCGTGGCGGACTCGTCGGGAGCGGTGCTGTATCCACAAACATGCGGATCACAGAAGGCGTTGTGAATGCTAATGTGACTGTGACCGTTGGAAGGGCGTGTTCGACACAGGCTCGATCGTTAGGTCAGTAGAGGCCGCGTAGCTGTGGTACGCGGTGCATGATGTTAGCAACGCAATCTACTTCGGCGAAACTTAGGGTAGATGGGACGCACCGTAGCCGTTCGGTTGTTTCGTATAAACGCAGTGTTTGCCCCGCTGTGCGTGGACAATGGTGTTGAGATGATGGTCGTCCTGAGACCGGAGCCTGCGAACATGCGTCTTCAGTTGCGGTGCCGAATGACGATACAGTACGTACGTTGAGGCGTTCTGGCTATTGGGCGGAGCGCATCGATGAGCACATTTCAGAGGAACGAGCTACTTACTAGCCAGGTAACCTGCGGGAGGCAAGCGAACAGTGCTGCGCCAGTTCTGCCATGACGAAGCGAGGTGTCCCATCGCCGAAGTCAGGGAGTTCATCCTGGACCCGAGTACCCGCATCAACGGCCATGGAGAGAGGGACGTCTGCCATTCGCCCGCCTAGCTCAAATGCCTAAATGAACGCGGCAGGTGTACAGATGCCTTCAAAGTTACGTCGAACCCGCGGGATTCCCGGATATCTGCAGCCTGCTTCCTGCCCAGTCAGGAAGTTGCCTGATTGCCAATCGCTTGCTGTAAGTGCATACAGCAGCGGGCGAACTAGCACAGGACGCACCTAAGTTATGGGGTTCGGGAAGTCAATTTTGCGTATCAACGCCGGAGGCCGCGCCCAACCTGCATCACAGATAAGTAGAGGGAATGAGCTGTTCGCCGTCATCAACCCTATTTGCTTGTAGCACCCTTACCTATCAAGCTTCAGGCCCTGCCTTGGAGAGGCGGTCCGGCCTACTGTCTCCGCGAGATAACCAATGGCGAGTCTCCCGCACCTCTTCTCTGCAACCGACATGGGCTCGGATGCGCTTCGACTTCTGCGCAGCGATCTCCCATCGGCACTGGACCGCTGAGTCGGATGCGTTGTGTTCAGGTGCCCCACTCGACTCCATGGGACGCAGTACGATGCCCGCTTGCAGAACGGACCTGTGCGCGAGGCGTTTTCGCCGGTAAGTTATGTTACAGTAGTACGTGCTTACCGAACCTCCAAGTCCCCGGATCTTGGGTGGAACGACCAACGTCAATGGCGCTGCGAGCGGAAGTGGACACCGGAGAGACATTCTGTTCGTACAGCGAACCGCGGAAAGAGCACAGACTGCCCTGTGACGCACACCGAGATACTCGGCTGAGGGATTGCGAATATCCTGATGAGAGGCAGTTCCTGGACCTAATCTGTGCACCTCCACCGTCATACGTATGGTACGTGGCTCAGATCGGGAGCTATGAATAGCGGCCTCGTATCATAAGAGGCTCCTCGGCGTACGCTAGGGTCATACGCGTGTTGCGCGGGCGTGTCCAAAGCGGGATAGGCAGCCGCTTGCCTCCCCAGACGTCTGCATCGGAAAAATGTCATTTGTCATTTGTGATAACACACGGCGTTGGACGTACGCTCAGGAGTGGGGATACCCGAGTAAGATGCACGTAAGGATATGATCCGAGGCTCAAGGGTGTCATACTCCGAGTAGAGGACTGCTGTATGCTGGTCAGGCGGATTGATTCTGCAGACGTTTCGTCCGCTGATATCCAGGTCGGGATGTTTGCGTCATGCTGACAAGGATCACTGCAACGAGCGAGCGTCCCGCGCGATGTCAGCGGTATGTTTGGGATGCGTAGATACAGCATGTCGGACCCGTGTTGCTAGGAGTGTTGATTTTTGGACCATCAGGCAAACGCGTGTTGCTGCATAGGGATCCGGAATTCCTAGGAGACGTGCGCCCGTTGCTACACAGCAATACCGGAGCGTCGGCCACAATCATCCACCCGCTCGCCTTTTCGGTCAACCGTCGTCATCGATGCGTGCATTTCCGCAGGACGTTCTGCAGCCGCAGAGATAAACAGAGAGATACGCGCCTCGTCGCTGGGTCTCCTCGTACATGTAGGTATGACGATCGTCCAGGAAACTGCTGCCTGATCCTTGACGAGAGCCGCGGCCCATTGGACGATTCGCCGGGACGCAGGACCAGGAACTCGTTGTGGCACGAGGCGACTCGCGCCCTGTCAGGTCACCAGGTGACTGTGCTAGCGGCTCATTGAAAATAAACTCCAGGCGCGAGGCGTTGTTGAGGCGGTTGGCAAGATATACGTATGTTGTACTCGCATAAGGTGTCAAAAACAAAGTCGCTGACAAGGTGGACAGCACCGAACAAATGCAAGTACTCACTGTCGCCCTCTGTAGCCGGCGTGACCGTCACAGGCCGGAGAGATAGTGACGGACGCCCCGGGGCAGCGGATCATTGCAACCGCCGAGTTTTTCCCACAATTTTGGGTTTCGGTGGCGGAGGTCTGGACCGAGGCTGGTTGTCCGCTGCCATGATCGAGCCATCATTCCCGCGCCGCGATGGTTTTGGGGTACGGAAGAAAACAAGACATCGTCCGGCCGACGCCGGGGGGGCGCACAGACCCACAGGGGCCTTGTGTATTGTTTCTGAGCGAGAGGGGCATACAAGAGGGGTGTGTCAGACCACTGAAGCATCGATAGGGCGGCCATTCCGAGTCGAGACGGGACGGTCTGTTGATGTTTAATAAAGCGACGTCAGTGCGGGGATGGGCGCTCTCCCGGCGGGAAGTCGCGGGAACATTCACGTGCTGGGCGTTCCGGGTGGTGATTGGCTGGAGGCCCGTCGTCAGCACTGACGCCACACCGAACGGCCTGGGGACCGGCGGCCTAGACCGGGAGAAATCTGGGGTTGCGGAGGCCGGAAAAGGAATATTCGTACGTAACGGTATGCGCATATTTGGGCACCGCACGGGCGGGAAATAGATGGGCGTAACCGTCTGCACATCTCTTACGACCTCCACGACCTCCTACGGACGACCACGACCGCCCCGGCCGCGACGACCTCAAGACCCCACGGCGGCAGCGAGCGCCCCTCGAAGCGCGTCTTCTACGCAGACTTCGCGTGTTGACCTCGTGCATCACGTACGCATCGACTTCGGACCCAGCGAACCACGAGCTATCCCTCTTTGGCTATGAGTAGCTATATCGCCCCGTCGTCTGCCGGGCCCTCCCCTCCCCCTCCGCGCTATCGCCAGCATACAGAGACCGCGCGAGTTTGGAGAGCACGGTCCGTGAGCTCGGGCACGAGTGGTCAGATGCGTCGGCCTGGACGGAGAAGCGGGGAGAGGGCCCGGGGGCTGGAAGGCAGCTCGTCAAAGGCACAGGAAGGCTCGCGGAGGGTTCGCACCGGCCATGTCAAGGCTGGCTATCGGGAAGATCAGCCGTGCCCGCCTGTCTCATATAACGGTCACGGTCACCCCTCGTCTTCGCGCCCTGCGTCCTTTTCCGGAGCGCGGTCAGACCAACGGGCAGCGTCGCAGGCAGACGCACACAACGAGGCTCAGACACGCCCGGCCGTCCGCACCTCGGGTAGTCTGCGCACGCACACTCACGTCCAGGCCCATCACGCCCACGCTCCCCACGCACCTGCCGAGCGTAATCCCAGTGTCCGGCGACTGACACGTTTGGGCCCTGCACAAGTACCCGCAGTCCTTCACATTACCCCCGCCGCCCCCTCGTCTCCCCGCCCGTACCTCCCTCCCTTCCCCCGCACGCCTACCCGGCCGCCTCGCTCCGCCCCAGCCGACCGAAATAGGTTCGGCGTCCAGCTCTCACACTCGCCGTCCGTCTCTTCTCTTTCCAGTACTGGCATCCCCGTTACCGGACTGGGGCCCGCCTTCGAGGAGCCGTGTACGCCGTCACCCTCCCCACGCTTGCAACAGGCGCGTTCCTACAGGTTAGTCTCCGTGTCTGCTTCTGGATTTTCGCGCGTGCGCGGTTATGTGCTCATTCCTGCGAATTACACCAACCTTATCCACCGCGCGAGTACCTTCTGTGCGTGGCTTGGGTAACCAGTCTTTTGGACCGGACGCGTCAATGTGCTTTGACACATACGATGCGAAGCGCCTTCGGCCAATTTGGCGTAGGCTTCCACAGCTCCAGCGTTCTCTTCCCTTACCCGCGCTTCGCCTCTGACCGCCGCGTGCTTGCCCCATGCCTTCATTCACTTCACTTCATATATACCCTCCCCCAGGGTCGTGATGTATCCCTCTCCTAGTTCATGCGTGCTAACTATCTCTACCACAGAGCGACGCCACCACCTTCACCCACGTACCTCATTGCGCGTAGCATCGCAGTTCAACGGGCACGCCCAACTCTCGCCATGTCCATGCAGATCCACGCCCCCGCTCCCATCATGTCGACCTCTTCACGGTCACTATCGCCACCGCCTGCGTCGCTGGCTGGGCCCAGCGCTCGTGGTCGTTCCCAGTCGAGAAAACCGGTCTCGCGCTCAAGACCGGGTAGCCCTCTCACGCAAGCGGCGCAACTGCAACCACCACAACGTCCACCCCTAATGGCACGACCATCAAGCCGCTCTGAACGCCTCCTTCGAGATACGCTCCGCCGTGCCGAGGAGCACGACCGCATGCTCACCGTCAACCCGCTCCCGAGCCCGAAGCTGTCTGGGGTGTCGTTACCAGGCTCACCGTTTCTCGCGCCCACGGGCACCATGCTCCTCAACGGCAGCCCTCCGGTGAGTGCGCATGGGAGTCGGCGCCACAGCCGCAAGAACACTGCGTCCTCGGTAGCGAGCATCTCATGCGACCTCTGCGATCTCCACTTCGACAGCATCGGCGCCTCCGTCGCTGAGCAGGACGCGGATGACGAGGAAGACGAAGCCCAGCGCTGGTCCGTGCACACCGGCACCTCCGCATCCTCGTCATCCTCCGGGCATGGGCATGTACACACGTACTTCCAGGCCGCGCCTACGCCACCAGGCCTGACCCGGACCCGGAGCATCACGCAGAGTAGCCGGGCGGGTGCCGGCGACCGCGCACACTCGGACTCGGTCGCCCAGGTCACGTATGGGACCCCGAGCTCGCCTTCTCCCGCACGCGCGCACTTGCAGCGCTCGGCCCCTTCGGCACCGCATGTCGGCCGAGCGGCCCAGGCGCAGAGGACGTCGCCCGAGCGCGCGCCGGCGGTTACGCCGCACGATGCGGTGTTGAGGAATAAGCTCGAGGGCGTGTTGAGGGGCGCGAAGGAGCAGGGGAGGAGGGAGAAGAGTACCGAGAGGCGGTATCGGGCGGACCCGGGGAGTAGTAGTGGGAGTGGAAACTCGATGGCGAGCAGCAGGAACCTCAGCGCGGAAAGCGACCTGTTTTTCGGCGCGAATGGCGAGGTGAGTACACGGCCTGTCGTATGTCGGTTGAAGCGACGAGTGCTGATGATCGTCCGTTATTCAGTCGAGTGTCACTTCGCTCTCATCGGCGGAGTCGAAGACGAGCCCGACGGCTACCGCGCATAGCCGTGGCAGCTTCTCGTCTCACCGGCCGCAGATGCTGCACCTGCAGTCCCGCTCTCCTGTGCATTCGCCGTCGACGCCGTCAAGGCAGCTCAGTGGCCTCAGCTCACCGCCGAGCTCGGCGAACGGCTTGAGTCCGCTCACGCCGCCGCCCACGCCACCGTTCAACGCGCGCACGGCAGCCGAGCAGTGCCGCGCAATGGATGGCTACGTTTCATTCGCGACCATCGAGGGACTGGGTATCCCCGAGGGCGCGGTAGACGAGGATATGGATGACGATGACGAGAGTAGGAGTAGGTGGTGGCGGTGGTTGATGATGAAGAAAAGCAGGAGCAGGAGCGAGAGCGTGGGCAGCGTCGGCGTCGGCGTCGCATCTTGAAGGTCCGCCGTCGTTGCCAGTTGTCGGTCGGGTGGCCGGACGATGCTGCGTTCGACGGCGCGCTGGGAGCGACTCCGCACATCGTCGCTCTACACGGCCGGCCCTGACTCTGTGCCCTCTATGCTCGACCTCTCGTTCTCGCTGCTTCATCCATGTGTTCGTATGTCTTTGCAACTCATCACTTCAATGTCTTGTCTCCCCGCATCCGCATCTGCACCTGTCTGCCCACCTTGCACCGCGCATCATCCATGACCCCATATCATCTCATCCGCACACACCCCAACATTCTCAATACATCCCGCATCCGCATCAACTGCAACACACCCCGAGGCCAAGGTCCTGGCCACTCATCGATATTCCCTACCGAGACCATGTGCCCTCGTTGCCCTTCAGGCCGCGAGAGCCTGGGCTAGGCACTATATCTGCCGACTCCACTCCAGCACGCACCAAAACCGCCTCAGCTTGCACGAGCTTTTGACGACCACGCTTCGCGCGACGGTCGACGTTTACGTTTGCATGACCTAACACGACGACTACGGATCAGCATCAAGCGTTCCTGTAAAACATTGTGTAGACTCCGATTCCTTTTATGACCTTGCTGCTGAGACGGCGCGGTGCCTCGTCGGAATTCGGTTGGAAGAGATATGCGGGTTTGTACTGTTGGTCCTCGAGACCGTCTTTGGGATGAGTGTGTCAGTTAGTACTAATTTTGTCTGTCTGTCTGGAGGAACATTGTAACGTTTTATCATCGGCATTGTCATTACAGTAGGTCAGCAATATACATCGGCGCGCTGCGTCGCATTATGAAACTAAACTGGGTGTGTGCTTCGCATGAGGTGGAATATGTCATCGGAGGCGACGCTAGTCTCGTTTGGAGGAATGCGGGTGACCCGGCACAGGGACGGCTCTGGATATTATCGTAGAGCTTGGTTGACGAGCGGCTCTATGCGTAAGCAGTGTGTTTGACAGAACTCTGCTGTTATAGCGGTACCGGCGGTGCTGCCTGCGAGGAACTACTAGTACTGATCAAGAAGTAGGGTCCGTTCATGATACATTCACCGTCACGGTAGCTAGCACGCTGCGGTGTTGCTGCATATCGGTCCTAGCACGGTGATGCCTCACGGTAGCTGGTCGAATGCTCAGGTGCGCGCTACCAAGACTTCACAAGCTTCACGATGAGAGTAAACCGGTCTCCACACTCACGACGGACGCGTCAGCTGCATCACCGTGCTGCTGCTCCTCGGAACGACACGGATGGCGAAGTGTGTCTCTGAAGCATCGGCGGAAGGCCAGAAGGCCAGCAAGACGAGCCATCCGCCGGCCGAGAACGTCCCAGTCGACCTTCGCGCTGTTCCCTGTACTGAATTGAGTTTGTCCGACGAGCGAATCGCACTGGTGAAATGAGCTGGGATGCCGTAAAGCAGTGACGCAGGACGTCCGATCCAGTTCATACGATCTCATGAGAAGCAGCCTGCACAGTGTTTAATGCGGGATGGTCACCGCCGTTGGGCAGCGAAGTTTCACGCACTTCGTGGGAGAGGGCGAGGACTCTATTCGCAGAAGCTCAGGTGAGTAGTGACGTCGCGGAACACATGGCCTACCGCCTTCCAGTGTCTTCACGGTGGAGCGCTTTTCTTCGAATAATAATCGGCTGTCGGGCAGAACGATCTTCGTTCTGCACTATGGGTAGCTACCGCAGCGATCGCGACAAGACCAATAGCATTGAGGCAGGATGATCGCCACCGTTCTGATAATTACCGGCGGCGATAATATCCAGCCGCCTGTGCGAGTCGTACGTTCCATTTCATCGATTCGATAGACTCGAAGGAACCTGGAATGGTTGGTCGATAGGCGATAAACTGTCGTAGGTCAGTCGCCCCCTTCTGGTCCTAGTCTATATCCACCCACGGTAAGAACACTCACAGGTTGAAGGCCAACCGCCTCACCTGACCCACGACAATCTCGGGCGCTGGTGATTGTCTACCGACAGAAATCCGCCTGCCTCTGAGGTGTAAGTCCCTTGGGCCCAGTTGCATTGCGAACGTTCATATCCTCTCCGAAGATGCCAGACACAATCCCAGCGATGTCGATCAGATTGCAAGCCACTGGCACGAGTACGAAGGAAGGCCCGTCTTACAGCACCCGACGTATCGAAGTGAGTGCCCTAACGACTCGTTCGTTCTGTTCTCGACTTTCGACCTGCTCGAACTGAAGCATTGTAGACAGTTGTTCAGTATCGCAGCTCGGACTACAAAAGACCGCGACTTACCGAACTGATAATCAAATGTGGGCAGGGTCGTAGTACTACAAGTCCAGTGGCCCGAGCGATCACCCTGACGAGGTGAAGTTCCCGCTCAGCACGTATGTCACAGGGAAGACGCGTAGCAACACGCACGACAAGCTGATCATCCTGCATGAGTGTGTGTAGAGAAGCTGAGTGCTCTCTTTTCGTACTGTTCTACGAGACCCTATCCCCGCGTAACATGCTGATGTTGCTACAGGCCACTAAGTCGTTTGCCTCCTAGTGGTCAGCTTCTGGTGATGTGAACCCGGTCCAGTCTTCTCTCCTCTTCATGAATACATAGGTCATGACCCTAGGTGAGCCTCTGCATAGTCTGAACGTCCACGGTCTATTCCGGTGGAAGGCCTTGAATGAAATCGGCAAAAGCGTAAGCCACATGAGATTTAGCGCTGTCGACACCCCGCCCAGCGCGTGCACGTAGAAAGACTGTAGCCAACAAGAACGCCGCCGAGACACCACAGTTACAGCATCTGCCGTCCAAAGTATTCAGTAAACCCTCTCAGCAACATCTTCGATGGGCCCCTCCAGACACGGCTGCGGGCCGTCGGCGGTGAGCCAGAATGCCTTGAATGGCATCTCCTTTGGCGGCGTGCAAGTTATCACGACACGAGCGCCAGAGTCGACGGACTGCCGGAGATACGCCCCCAGTTCTTGCGTCAGGCCCTCCAGGCAGGTGTCGTACTTCGCCATGCTCGTCGCGAGATCCTCCCTACTCTCGCCCACGCTGCCGAACTCGACGCACTCGAGCATCAGCCGGATGAGCACGTGTGGGTTCAGACGGTGCAAGGTCGCGATGGCCTCGTCCCAGAGTTGCCACTGTATTTGCACAGCTGTGAGGTCGTCGCCGAGCGAGCCCTGGGCGAGGTCGCAGAACATGATGCGCAGTTCGCGGACTTCAGGCGAGAACTTGCTGGACAGAACCCCCAATGCGCCCTCTTTGCGCAGGATGCTGGCCACGCGGAGCTGCACAACTGATAGTCTCTTGAGCTTCGTGAAATCAAGAAGGGAAGCTACCACGAGTCGAGTTATGTCAGTGACCATAGTTTCTTGTCAAAGGTCTCGCACTTACGTGCACGTCTCATCGTACTTTCCGACTCCGTGATAGTTATATCTTGCAGGTCGAGCTTGACCATCCCCGTGAAGTCGTCCAGGAACTCCTGGAACATACGCCGTCCCTCAAACCACACTGTCTGCAGCACGAGCGTCCGGATGCGCGGTGAAAGGGTGCGTACACTCGCTCTTGCCTTCGGCGGCATCGCAAGGTAGAGTCGAAGCCAATCATACCAAGGGTTCCCTTCTAGACCGCGCGGGATGCCCGTCGCCCAGATCACATTGAACAAGTGCAGCGTCTCAGCCCTAAACAACTCCGGGAGCAAGGGCGGCAGCTTGTCGTCGAGCCAGCGCGCCTGCGTTGCAGCGTCGGCCTCCGCGTGGAAGGACGCGGTCCGGCCGAGGTTCACGATGCTGAGGAGGCGCAGCGGGTGCGCGGTGTACGGCGCGGTGAGGTTCGCAAGCGTGTCGCAGTCCTGCTCGCAATGCAGGTGCACCTGGGCGTTCCGGAAAACGTGCACGCGCGTGCAGCTGAACCAGGCGTGGCAGGTCAGGCTGCACGCTTCTAGGGCGGCGCGGTCGTTCCATAGATGGTCGATGGCGCGATCCCACACCTCGAGTGGTAAACGCGGAGGCAACATGGCGAGCCTCAAGGCTAAGTCGCCCATTGTGTGGGTCGGTCAGCATGTTGGCAGACACAGAGCGATTTAAGCATTTATGACTCACATGAAGGTTGTTTGGGATCAACAGACTAGGCTGGAGGCGACGCTGGAGAAGAATAGCGGAACTCAGTAGGTCGGCTATGAAAGCGGTTGTGAGTACAAGTCAGTCTGCGAAGGGGATTACTCAACGAGGAAGCTGATCAACGGCCTGAGTCGATGCACCACACCTGGACAGTCTGCTCGGGGACAATGAAATCGCTGAGGGCGACCGAGTGACAGACGGTAAGGCGAAAGACAGGCTCAAGGAGAGAAACTTGAAGCCTTCTCGGATTGCATTCATGACCACCGTTCTCGTTATATCTGTACCGTGGGCGTCTGATAGCACCAACATCGTGTCAGTCCGAAGCGAAATGGACAAAGGACTGCAAGTGGACAAAGGAGACTCACAACTCGTGACAAAGGCATGTCTGAACACATGTCGATCGAACGTAAGACCGCGAGGACGCACGTCGTACAAGAGAGGCAATGGATTCAACAGTACTAGAGACTGCGAATATTGTAGTATGTCTACATCAACACATTATTGGCTATGATACTGCGCACGTCCCCCAACCTACATCATGAGCTCGTTGATTTCGTGTCGTGAAAGCAGAAGAAAGTCTAGTCGACGTCCATCTCAGAAGGCCCCTGCGACTCCTTCGGAGCCTCGCCCTCCTGCGGAGGCTGCTGAGCATTCGGAGTCTCCGTGCCGCTCTTCGGAGTCTCCGTGCCCGAGGGGGTCTCCGTCTTTGGCGGCTTGGGCTTGGGCCGCGTAAGGATGGGCGTCGCGAAGTAGATAATCTCGTCCTTCCTCTTGAGGACGTCCGCGGCGGTGAGGACGGGGTCGACGTCCTTGGGGCGCTCGGACTGGCGCGCGATCTGGTCCTCGAGCCACTGCTGGATCGTCGCGCACTTCTCGACGACGGCTTGCCTGTCCTTGTCGTCGATGTGCGCGTACTTCTCGTCCGCGGACGTCGCCTCGGACATGTACCGGTTGATCGTCTCGCGAAGCTGGCTCACCACCGCCGACCGCTGCTCCGTTTCCTTGTACCGGCCCGTGATCGGGTCGCCGAGCTTCTTGAGCGCGTCGAGCCGCTCGACGTACGCGGACTTGGTCGCGTCCTCACCCTCCTCGCTGTAGAGCCAGTCCTCTGCATCCTGGAGAGCCTTGAGGAGCGTCTCCTTCTCCTGCGCCTTGACGTAGGCGACATAGCGCTCGTCCAGACGACCACGCATGTCGTAGACGTACTCCTCCAGAGCGTTTTTGCGGTCCTGTAGGTAATGTATCAGCATCCTCCCACGAGCCGCACACATGTCAGCATGCATACCTCAGTGTCCATAACAAGCTTGTCAGCCGCGTACATCTCGGCCTCCTGCTCCTTGAACTTCTCGACGACAGAGGGGTCCAGGGAAGTCGAGCCCCAGACGAAGGGAACGTCGATCTTCTTGGAGACCTTCTTCTTCTTCGGCTGCTGCTCTGCGCCCTCGGCGTCGACCTGCATCGGCTCGTCCGTCTCCTCAACGACCTCGAGGTACGCTTGCTCGAAGGAGATGACGCCGTGCAGGTTCAGACGCGTGCGCACGCGGACGGTCGAGTGGTCGCCGTTCTCGTTCGGGCTGACGTTCTTCGCGGTGAACTTCGCGATCCAGGGGTTGATCCCGCCGGGGAGGCCCGCGGGGTCCGCGTACGCGACCTCGATCTCGAACGGCTGCTTGCGGTAGAACGTGAGCGCCTTCGTCGAGGGGATGATGTTGCCCTTGGGGAAGACGAGCAGCTCCGTCTCGTCGTTGGGCTCCTCCGGCTGGTGCTCCCAGTGGAACTTGATCGGGTACGGCGAGATGTCGTGCATCGAGAAGTCGCGCACGCGGAAGATCGGCGAGAGCATCGCGCACGCGAACGTCGCGCCGCGTGCCGCCGCCTCGTCCTGGTTCAGCGTCGTCGACAACACCTTGCCCTCGAACACGGACTGGATCTTCGCCCGCACCGCGGGGATGCGCGTGCCCCCGCCGACGAGCTCGATCGTGTCGATCTGCTCGAGCAGCAGGCCGGATTCCGTGAGCGCCTGCTGGATGGGGCCCGGGATGCGCTCGAGCACGCTCTCGATGAGCTTCTCGTACTCCTCGCGCGTCAGGCGTGACGTCGCGTCGATGTCGTTCATGATCGATTCCACGTTGAGCGGCGCCTCTGCGTTCGCGGAGAGCACCTTCTTGACCTTTTCGCACCCGGCGGCGAGGCGGAAGGTCGCCTTCGGGCTCGAGAGTACGTCAATCTTGTACTTCTCCTTGAACTCCTCGGCGAAGTGCCGAACGAGGGCGTGGTCGATGTCGCGCCCACCTGCGTTACGTTCGTACGCGGTCGCCTTCACGTCGAGCCGGCCCTTTGAGAACGCGACGACGGAGCAAGAGGTAGAAGAGTGACCGACATCGACGAAGACGACGTGGCGGGGGTTTTCGGGCTCGGGCAAGTCGGATTTCGTGATACCGTAGCCCAGAGCGACGGCAGTCGTGTCGTTTATAAGACGAAGGGGGTTGAGTCCAGCGATCTGCGCTGCGTCGAGCAATGCACGCCGCTGGATATCAGTGAACCAGCCAGGGACGGTGATGACAATGTCGGAGACACCGGTCTTGAGCTCACTTGCCGCAATGTCGCGCAGCTTGCCCAGGTACATGGCGGTGAGTTGCGTGATGGAGAATTGCCGTTGCTCGCCCAGGTAGTTGACCTATAGAGAACGCTTAGTCTCTCACTCTGGCTGACATTGGGCTTTCAAGTTTCGGCAGAGACTTCCAGTAGCAGCCAGCCCTCGCTGGATCGACTGGCGAAACTCCTGGAAGCCTCTGCCAGAACTCTTCACATTGCGCTCCAACTCACCTGGAAGCCAACAGTACCATTCACGTCTACGAACGTAGCATTGTGGAAGTTCTTCTCGACTTCGTGGACCTCAGGATCGTTGAGTGTCCGACCGATGAGCCGCTTAAGGCCACCGACGGTGTTGCGGAAGTTGGAGGTCTCTAGCGTTTTTGCAGCCTCTCCGATCGAGCGCTGCTTGGGGCCAAAGGAAACGAGTGATCTGGGATGGGCGAATGTCAGCACATTGTTTTGAACGTGGTGAAATGGTCAATGTACGGCGTGGCACGATTCGAGACTTCATTCACGATGATATCGATTCCGCGGTGTCTTGCAACACCAATCTAGGAAATTGAGTAAGTGTGCGACCTGAGATAGCAACTGAGCAGCGTGCATACCTTGCTGTGCAATGTACCGAAATCTACGCCGACGACGGCCATGGTGGAGGTAGGGAAAGAGAGCGAAAGGGAGTCGTAACGCGTATGATCGCAAGCCCTGGTGGAGGGCACGCTTTTACGCGCCCAAAAATGCGAGCGGGGCGGGGGCGCCTGTGGGGGTTCGCCTGCCTTCCAGGCGGTTCGGCCCTCTTTCCACCTCCTTCCACGCTCATTTGGCAGGCGGGCAGGCCCAGGCGTGCATCGATATCGCACATCTCCTCGAGGCGCAGGCCACCGCACAACTCGTCTTCAAGCTGCGCATCAACTCTCCCCATTCATTTCTCTGCCTTCCACCATAGCCCATGTCCGGGGTCTCGTAGCATGTATCTTATCGCGATGTTGTTACATGTTCAAATTGCGCAAGTACATGCCGCAGATCAGAATCTTGCTACAATCCATACGTACATACGTACACACAATATATTCACGCCGTTCTAACGACCTCTTCGCGTTACACAGATCTACGGATGCAAGCTCCAAGACAGTCGACCCGACTGCTGGAAGCTGCACTCCCCGGCTCGTACGACGGCCGCGACAACAGACAGTCCGTTGGTTGATCATCCCCTGCTCACCTACTGGCAGAGCCGCACAGGACCTCACGGCAACGTGGACCATGAGTTGCGTGAAGTCTTGAGAAGTCTGAGACCACCGAGTTCTTGCGTGCGCAACGCATGTATACCTCTATCTAAGTTATCGATATTTACAATCTTCTTTTCTGCGTCCCAAGCATACCCCCAAGAAGCGCAATCATCAGCGCACCGTCCTAGACCTGCCCACTGGGTCCGACCGGTCCACTCGTGCTGGCCTGCGTCTCAATGGGCTTCATCGCAGGGAAGAGCAGCACCTCCTTGATATCTGATGACAAATCACAGCGTGAGTCACATCTAAGAGAAGACAGAGAACAACGCACTCTGTGAGTCAGTCAAGAACATGATCAAGCGGTCAATACCAATGCCCCATCCACCAGTGGGCGGCAGACCATGCTCGAGACTAACGAAAGATCAGCGGTAGTCCATCAACTGGCAGGAGACACGTACGCGTCAACGAAGGTCTCATCGATGCCTTGAGCCTCGTCATCACCCTGCTCCTTTTGTCTCACCTGGAGATCAACGTCAGTCATCTGCAACAGAGTCCAGCTTCTGAGTGCTCACCTGCTCCTCGAAGCGCAGGCGCTGCTCGAACGGATCGTTCAACTCGGTGTACGCGTTGCAGAACTCCTTGCCGCACATGAAGCCCTCGAAACGCTCGCACAGGCCGGGCCGCGAACGGTGCCACTTAGCCAGTGGTGACATGACCTGTGGGTGGCCGACTGAGACAGGATCAGTACACCGTAGTCACATAAAACGAAGGACGCCTACCAATGAAAGCGGGGGAAATGCAGAGGGGCTCGATAAACTCGCCGACCAACTTGTCAAGCAGCCGCGCGTTTGTTCGGGGTTCGCTGCAGTCAACATTGTGCTATCGCACGATCAGAAAAACAACTGTGCGGGCCATTGGCGCAACGCACCTTCACACACAGCTCACGTAGGAACTTGTTGGTCTCGTCCGTGTGCAGCGTGTCGCCAGGCGGGAACTTGACGCTCAGCTTCTCCTCCAACGTCTCGATCATGTCGTACCGCTTCCACGGCCGCTTGAACTCGAGCTCGTACACCTTGTCGCTGTCCTTGCCCTCGGGGTGGTACTTGAGCGTCGTCTGGCCGCCAGTGAGGGACTTGACCATGCCCTCGATCAGGCTCTCCGTCAGATCCATGATGTCGTACATGTCCGCGTACGCCATGTAGAACTCGCAGATCGTGAACTCGGGGTTGTGCGTCAGGTCGATGCCCTCGTTGCGGAACACGCGCCCGATCTCGTACACTCGGTCGAGCCCGCCGACAACGAGCTGCTTCAGGTAGAGCTCGGGCGCGATGCGCAGGTACAGGTCGAGGGCGAGGTCGTTGTGGTGTGTGACGAACGGCTTCGCCGTCGCGCCGCCCGCGATCATGCTCATCATTGGCGTCTCGACCTCGAGGAAGCCAAGCGCGTCGAAGAAGCGGCGGATGTAGTTGATGATCTTGCTCCGCGCCAGGAAGATGCGTCGCGTGTCCTGCGACAGGATCAGGTCCAGGTAACGCTTCCGGTACCGCGTCTCCTGGTCCTTCAGCCCAAAGTGCTCGGACGGCAGCTGGTGGAGGTTCGGCGCGAGCAGGATCATCTCCTGCGGCGCGATCGAGAGCTCGCCCTTCTTCGTGCGGACGGGCGTGCCGATGACACCGACGATGTCTCCACGCTTGAAGTTGTCGTGGACCGACGCGAAGGCCTCGGGGTCCTTCGCATCTCTGTTGACGAATGAGCCCGAGTACGTGTTTACGTGATCAATGAGTCTTACTGCTTGCTAGCCATGATCTGTACCTTCAGACCTTCACCGTGCAGGTCATAGAAGCGGAGACTCTGGCCTGACGCGCGGCAATTGTGGATACGGCCCGCGAGGCATTCAACAACGCCTGCCAGCCTCTCGCCGGACTTTATCTTGTCCTCCGGCCCGTACTTCTCGATGTAGTGCGGGATCGATATTGAGACCTCGAACTTGTGAGGGTACGGGTTGGGCGACTGGGTCTCCCGTAGCTTTTGGATGTGACGTGATCGTAGCTCAAAGTATTGCTACCAAGGTTATAAATCAGTATGTGAATCGGGTGCGCAGTAGTAGCAAGTGAATAAGCACAAATACTGGTAGCCCTTCCGAATCGTAGATCGCACAATGATTAGGCCGCGGGTCATCACCTCAACGCGTAGCATGCAATGGATGCTGTTGGGTCGTCACCCGCGCGCGTATTGGAATTCAAGGGCGTGTCGCGTGCTGAGATGACATCAAGTAATGGTACTTGCCACCGCTCGAGAAGTAAGCGGGACGCGTCTCGAAGGGAAGATCAATGACAGTGCGAAAGTCTGCATAGCTTGGCAGCGCGAGGCATTCCGACCGTGTTCGCCCGGACAGCAGCGACTAGGTACTGCACGCGGAACGAATAAAAGCTCGTCCGCGTCCAAGCGTGCACTAGGCCCCTGCTGCCGGCTGAGGGGGGAAAGAGGCGGGCTGTGAATCACAAGAAGTGAAGACCCGTGAGGTCATCCAGGTAAGGGCCTATCGATATGGAAACAGTCGTAAGCCCCTTCTGGACTCCACCCTTCCAACGTTCGTGAAGTGACGTTGCCTCGAATGGTCCGTATCTGGTCCCCCACCTTGCTTGAAGGACTTTGGACACTCACATTCGGGTTCAAATCATCATCATTCGGGCCAGCTGCCTTTGCAGCAGGCTTCGCGGGTGCAGCAGCAGCCTTTTCGGCCTTCTTAGCATCCTTCTCGCGCTGCTTTTCTCGCCGCTTCAGTTCCCTGTACACATCTAGATTGGTCAAGTCCCGCAGAAGGCGTGATATGAAGTTCAGACACACGTCTTGGAGATCATCTCCCCCGTCACCGGGTCCTTGTGCGTCCCACTCGCAGTATTTTCAGTAGCCATTCTGCGAATATACGGTGTTCTGCTGAGTGCTGTGCGGTGGAGGAAGGGGCGTGCAGGTAATCTGCAGAAGATCAGTCTGTGCATCCAGCACTTTTTGGGCGCATTCACACCGAGTCACGTCTCCTGGAGTGGAGGAGATGTTTACGTAATAAACGCGATCGAAAATGCAGGGGTTCTGTCAGCGAGATCTCGGATTTGTCGGAGTCTGAATCTTCAAACGCCGTCCGGACAGCACCTCCGCGTAGGGCGTCTAATGCCGCACTGCTCGAGTGAGCAGCCTCAGACTCATACTTGGTCCACTCGCCTCCAACGCTGCAACACCTCGCACCGGTACCGCCATCATGTCCTCCGCCGATGAGTACTCCGACGACGACGCTGGCTACTACGACGAGGACGACGATGAGATGCTCGTTGACGACGATGGTGAGTACAGCACCGTTACCGCGCATCCTAGGATGCTGATAAAGCCGCCCCAGGTTCGGCCTCTGAGATGGAGCTCGACCCCATGAACGACTTTCACGAAGGCTCTTCGAGACGGAAGATCTACGAGATAGACTACGAGAGCCTCTCTCAAGCCGATGTTGAGAGGCAAATGAAGAGCGAGGTAGAGTACATCACCAGCATATTCGGTGTCACTGTAAGTGTCTATCGTCTGTATCCCCAGTCGGCGTTGACACATTGATATCTCAGGTGGATGTGGCATCCCTGCTGCTACGACACTTCGACTGGAACAAGGAGAAGCTCATAGAGAAGTACATGGACAATGCTACAACAGTGTCTGTTGCCGCGGGTATCACGCCTCCGGAGAAGGCGCCGAAGCGACCCGCTGCCTCCGGTGGGCGTTTGCACTCATCCTCTGAGCTATCGAGAGAGAGCCTAATAGGACCCCGCCGTTCTTCGCGGCGTGTCGCCTCTGCAGCCACCAAGTCTAGCAAGTCCAAGTTGCTCGAACGCGCCACTCCGCCAAGGCAGGACGAGCCATTCGTCTGTCCGATCTGCTTCGACGACACACAAACGGAGTTCATGTCGCTGGTCTGTGATCACAAGTACTGCAAGGGTTGCTGGGGAGCATACATCGAGAGTAAGGTCAAGACTGAAGCGGAAAGCTGGATCAGTTGCATGGCGGAAGACTGCGACGTTGTCGCCACCGACACATTTGTCCAGCAAGTTCTGGGAGAAGACAAGGGAACCTGGGGGCGCTTCCAAGAGCTGCTCGTACGACACTACGTTTCTCACAGGCCGGAGCTCAAGTACTGCCCGTACCCATCGTGCACCTATACCGTGTCTTGTTCTATCAGCAGAGCTTCCCTGGCGACCCAAGTTCCTATTGTGACCTGTGGCAACGGGGCGACACACAAGTTCTGCTTTGGCTGCAACGTCGACAGCGACCATCGACCAGTGATCTGTCCCGTCGCGAAGATGTGGCTACAGAAGTGCCACGACGATAGTGAGACCGCCAACTGGATCAAGAGCAACACGAAGGAATGCAGCAAGTGTCAGAGCACGATAGAGAAGAACGGAGGGTGCAAGTAAGTCTACTGGACACTCGCCATGGTATCTCACTTACTCGTCGTAAGCCATATGACCTGTAAGAAATGCAAGTACGAGTTCTGCTGGGTCTGCATGGGTAAGCCTTTGCTGTTCCACTCACACGACCACATTGGCTTGACTGTATTATAGGCCCGTGGTCGGAGCATGGTACCTCTTGGTACAACTGCAACCGGTATGATGAGAAGGCCAGTAAGGATGCTCGCGATGCGCAGTCCCGGAGCCGGGCTTCTCTCGAACGTTACCTCCATGTACGTACTCGTGTATATACCACGTGTGGATACATCATGACATTGTCATACAGTATTACAACCGGTGGGCCAACCACGAGCAATCGAAGAAGCTGTCGGTCGAGCTTTACGCAAAGACGGAGAAGAAGATGGAGGAGATGCAGATTACGTCAGAGCTGTCTTGGATCGAGGTCCAGTTCATGAAGAAGGCCGTCGACGAGGTCATCAAGTGTCGCACGACACTGATGTGGACCTATGCCATGGCATACTACCTGGAGTTCGGTAACGAGAAGGAGCTGTTCGAGGATAATCAGCGGTATGTAGGCCTTTGGCAAGGTACCCTATGTTCGAGACTCATCTGGTCTCGTAGTGACCTCGAACGCGCCGTGGAGGATCTGTCCGAGCTCATCGAGTCACCGCTCGACCCCGAAGTGATCAAGACCCTTCGCCAGAAAGTGACTGACCGCACGGTACGTAACAGACACCCCATTCCATCATCCGATGATTGACCGCTGTTGTACATAGGTCTACGTCACCAAGCGTAACGAAATTGTGCTCGAGGACACGGCGCGAGGCTTCCTAGAGGGGCGGTGGACATGGAACTCTCCTGTCGCGGGCCTGGACTGATTTCCCATTCTTCTTAAGCATCATCTCCCCCAATCCCATTGTACACCGGTGCTTTCTCTCATCGCTATCTCTACCGGCCTGACCGCATTATAGTCAATCTCCTGCAACTGTCCCTCGACTCATCTCCCCATCTCGCGGCGCCCGGCTCGCCCGCGTCTGTCCTAATGGCTCGCTTGTAAATCCATTGTATCTATGGACTTCTGTACAGCATGTACCAAGTGTATAAGAGTGGTTATACCGGATCATGGATACTCTACTAGGGATCGTGTGCCGAAGCTGTGGGCGTCCAGTCGTGATGCCCGGCGATGAGTTGAGTATATAGATCGCCCGTGGGCTTAGCAGGTGTGCACGATGAGATCGAATCATGTACATAGTGAGTGCACTGACAGATTCCTTGTCGACTTCCTTGTCTGATGCACATGGTTCGACAGTACCCCCGATCTGGTTAGTAGTCTCTCGCAGGTGGGATCGCGATGACCTTCATCTCGATCGCTTCATCATTGTGCTCCACATCTGGGATCGTCTCTGACGTCTTCGTCTTCAACTGGTCTTCAACGTCTTCGTCCTTGTCTTCGGGATGGTCGAACAGTGGTCCGCCGAGATTGCCCGTCATGCGCGAAAATCGCACATCGCACATCTCTCAAAGACACCCCTCCCCCTCCCCCTCCTCCTGACTGGTTGGAGAGCTTGGGTGCGAAAGTGATTTGGCGCAGATTCAACAAGAACCGAGAGGCAAATACTGTCGACGGTAGCGCAAGCGCAATGAAACTCAAGAAAGGAAAGCACTCACGCGATCGTAAAGCCAAACATTCCGCTCGCCGCCTGAGTGGAAGCACCCTGTGAGCGACGTGGAGAGGAGCTGATGATATAAGTTACGATGGAGTAGTTGTACGCTGGCAGAACAGCGGTGAGTGCGTTGAACAGTGACGTTACGCTGGAGAGACGGGCCTTACGCTTGAATGATTTCGGGACCATGATACCCACAGAAAATACATGACCCTGGTAAGACGGTTCATGAGAATTGGCTCGTAGCTTAATAATCATTGACGAGTACTGGACGCACCACCTCGAATGAGACAGATCATGGGAAGGATCTTGATAACGAGACATTGTGCCCTGAGTTCGGTGCCAAGCAACGAAGAGCACGATGCAGTTGAGTAGAACACCATTCGCAGCATCGGCTGCGTTGAATGTCGAGAAGGACAGCCATGGGGACTACTGGCATACTTAGTATCTTACTCAACCTACTCACGTCTGAGCCTGAGCAGGTTTCCTTGCTGAGCACATAATATGTGCCACTCACTTATGTAGGATTTGGGAACCGCAGTGAGAACTCACGGCGTAATCAAGAAATGGCGGCAACGGCTGCTTGCTGAGAGCGCAAGCATCATACTACTGCATGATCAGCGAGCTTACATCTTACACTGAGGTAGAGGAGAGATGCTTGCAGCATAGCGAAGAGTGCACTGGCAGCGGCTCCGAATATATTCTGACTCCAGACATAGTCTAGTTGCTGGGGCAGAATCGAGCAGAGCTCGAAGAGGTACAGACTCCGGATAGACATCGAGAGTTATTCGAGGAATTTGCGGTCAATGTTAGAATGTAGCCACATACCGTGTGCAGCTGCCAATGAGGAACCTGCCTGAACAGAGATCCACGACACCTCGGTAATTTGAACCTGTCAAGCATACGAAATACGGTTCCGAATGTCGACGAATTCAATGGATGCTTGTTTAGCAAAACTTGAGCAGGCTTTTGAGCGGACACAATAGTCAATAATCGCGATTGACTCGGAAGGTCTCCGCCGACAAGCGAGCGTCCGCGACGAGCAAGTAGGCTTGAACATAGACACTTGTCAGTGGTTGACAACGGCGGCGGTATGGGTTCCATCTAATAGGTTTAGCCTCTGGACCCTAGAAGCATGGTTCATCGGCTGCTCGCGCTCCGTACTCAGCGGAACCTATTCTTCAATTTCAGTAAAAACAGATGATAAATTGAAATGAAGATTCTTCCATACCATACATCAACATTTGCATTCCGTTCCAGTGGCGGGCAGCGGCCACCGAGCAGCTCCTCAGGCAAGCTCGTGTGCAGTACGTGTAATTTCGATACACGGTCTGACATCGTCGCCAACTGGGTCGAATTCAAGTTGAACGCCCGGTACGGGCTTTCGTACGATCCTGATCTTCCACACGTGACGTTGAGCAGATTCAATCGGGTCAATATATAGCTTGCCACTGGCGCTCGCAGCGCGCATGAATATTCAAACAGGCTGTTGCGCAAGACGCATTGGATAGTCCATGTCGTCAGTCAAATAGGTAGTGGTGTAGCTACCTTGATTGGCCGTAGGATTTGACCGCCTGAAGCCTGGGTTCCGGCCTACCAGTGATTGATACACTGGCAAAATGTGAACGATTTGGAAACAGGGCGCTCGACAGGGAGTATTGTCCGACGGATCTGTAGCTAGAAGTCTACTCAATAGCTATTGCTGTCGCATGTCATAGGACGTAAGTATCGAGCTCAGATATAACTGTACAACTTGACGATGTTCAACGCACTGTCGAATGACAGAACTGAATCATGACGCCGGATCTCCTGAAAGTAACTCCATGGTTCCCGTCAGCGCCGGCGGCTTTTCATAAAGGCAGGCCCGCGGGTGCCTGAGTCGAACATCGGCTATGCGGGTCCAGATCTGGGCAGAGATGTTTTACCGACGGGGCAGATCTCGCATCTGCGCTGTCCAAGCGCTGTCCACTTGTTACTCGAGCGCTGAGCGCTGAGATCCCCGCCGTCGTCCTCTTCCCTGTGCGCAGCGCGCAGCTCTCCCTATGTGTTGACCTCCTCCATCCCTGGCCGCACCTGATGCGTCTCACCACGGTCTGCGTCGCAGTCGGCTTCTTGCTCGTCAGACGCGCACTTAGAATCGGCGCGCTTCCGGTATTTCAAGCTGAAAGAGTATGATCGCAATTCGGTACAGCGGAGTCCCGTCTGACATTCACTTCTGTGTCTCCTGCAGGCCCCTGGACATGCTGGACAAATTGCGGTAAGTCCTGCTGTCCATGAATCTGATGGCAGGAATCCTTACGGAAAACAACAAGGAGTCACTCTGCCGTGACGCGCCTTCGCGAAACGCGCTGCCGTGGATGGGAGAGGGTGAGGTATCAGACTTGCCACAGCACCGGGGAGGTGAGTAAGATCACTCACTGCACTGTGGCGTCTAACTGGCCGGGAAACTCAATTATCATTCTTTACTTAGGCTCGCCATCTCCGTCATGGCATCCATGGTTTTCCCGTTCCCCCGAGGCACCCCAGGTGGTCTTGCCGCGCCCTCCTCCTCCTCCGTTCTCGTTACGGGTCAACATCGGTCGCAGACGAGCCCATATCGCTCCGCGTATGTCGTCTCCGTAATGTTGCACCACACCTGATGCGAATGGTCTTGCCCGTTGTCAGGATCTGAGTCCTGGACCGCTGTGCAAATAGCTACTCCGATCGCTGCTGGGCTGACTGTGGCTGCGCTGGCTACTGTGCTCTTCTGCTGCTACCGCCATCGGCACCGTCGCCCTACCTCGTCCGGCCCCGCCGGTATGCCCCGCCGCCCGAAAGGGCCACCCAATCCATATCCAGGCTTGGTGCGCGCCCGTCTCAACGCCCCATCCTTCTTGTATGGGCTCCTGCCTGGTACTCAGTCTGTGCGCTCGCGCGACGGTCTGCGGGATCCGAACTGGCAGATCGACGAGGGCGACGAGGAAGGTGAGTCGCTACGCATGAACGGACATGCGCACCAGCCTTCCGCGTCATCCTCGACGTCCGTCCCTCTATCTGTCGCCACGTCGCCGTACTTCAACCCACAGATCGAAGAGGAGGACGAGGCGGAGGAGCAGGACCACGGCTATTTCCCTGCTCCGATGCACGGCCGTAGTACATCGGCGAGCGACAGCGCGCTCCTCCTGCGACCCGAGCGCAAGAACCACTCAAAATCCCTCTGGGACCGCCTTGTCAAGTACACGGATGGATTGAGGAAGAGCCCGAGCTACCGATCCGGGCGTGTCCGTCCACTCGGAGCCGTTCAGCGCTCCTCGCGGAATCTCGACGATGTTCCGGGGGAAATGCTACCGCCTTCCTCGAAGAGTGTCCCAGGCTGGAGTGCATCATCCCGGTCTTTGGCACGGCCTGGCATGGTTGCACCCTCCACCACGACCCTTCCCCCTCCCCCCGCGCGGACGTATTCTGCGGACCATGATGCATACGACGCACACGACGCCTTGGCCAGGGCGGTTGAGCCGGACGAGAGTGTTTTGCTGATCTCGAAGCTACCTGGTCAAGATTTTTTCATTGATGACGCCACGACGGAACACTCGGCTCCCCTTCGTTGACGGACCCTGCCTTTACGTCTTACCTTGACGCGCCCGGATGTCCTGACGCGCTGGACGGATATCCGCGAAGCATCTCCGCGTCCTCGCGCCTCGGGGGCATCTCAACCGTGAGCACTTTGCTTGGTCGTCCGTAGCGGGAAGCCAGCTCAAAAGAGGAAGGGGGGTTCGTGGCGCAACGACCTCGTCTTGGTGCCCCTTTTGTACCTGTCGGGGTCCGAGGGTTCGTCTGTCCGCCATGACGTACGGACTGCTGTGGGCTGCAGAACTTCTGTTCGTGTCCACTGCCCGCGGAAAGGCATAGGGCTACCTTGACGTGCATCAAATCGGGTTCCTGCTACATTGACACGTTTGGAGTGCATTAGATACAACTTCCTTTACGGCGGATCTTTCCTTTCTTGGCTCGGACATTACGACAATTGGACTATTTAGTGGACGGAAAGGCATCGAGTATCTCCCATCTCACGACATCGCTATTGAGCACACGTTTTGTACTATTGCCCTTGTACTAGTCTAAGGTATCAATCACTTATTTCTTCCTGTGTATTTCTGCCGATTGTCTGGACTCCCTCTCATTCGAGAACCTCTAGCAGAATCAGCTCGCTGAGACACTGGCGGTACGTTGTCCAATTCAGGGCCTTCTGTTGTCTCCACATTCAATACTCACAGGTCTATGTATAAGCGTGCGAGCCGCCGTCCGTACTCGGTCTGTTGAGATGCCGCCGAAAGTCGAGGTTTTCTTATAGCTCACCTATTGTGTTGCGTGTCCGTGCCTTACGTATACGTATACTGACATCGTATAAACGCAGTACTTAACAGATTGTAGGCTTTGTGTGGGTGCCCGCAAGCCGCACTCTAGTAAGGACGGACGCTCCTTCGGTATCCGACAAAAACTGTGGAGTCAGAGACACAATTTCTCAGGCAAGACGGGAACAACCATGTTTTCTACGTATTACTTAGTACAGAGCTCCCGTCGAGTTGGTATTCTTTCCCGACCGCGCTGCAACTCAACGTCAACTCTTGCATCGGGCCCGTGCAACTTCTCATTGCTTTCATTTGCAGATGTTTTGTTGACACCGGCGCGAGTCGCCACCGAGAGTTATCGCAATCAAAACAGTTCAAACCCGGTTCCCTCAACTGCGACCAACGTTGCACTAGAGATTCGAGAACCTCAGAAGCCGCGGTCTGCATCTCCGGTTGCATCTGTCAGTGGTGCGTCGCTTCGTCAGATTGCGATCCGGTTGTTTTCATTGTCGAGGCACAGAAATGGTATCGAGTAGCATCGAGGTCCAGTCAGTGGTAAGTACTATGATTTCTCTTCGCATCATTGTCAGCGCTCGATATCCTCTGTCCTCTAGAGCGACGCAGCCGCCTCCTTTTGTGCATATTCGCCTGCTACCTCGGGACTCGATTAATGCCCTTAGTGCATTCGGGAAGCGGTCCCGATGTCAATTCGCGGATGACTGCGTGCATCAGAGCATCGCCATTGACACGTGCACGCGCGATTGACAATGACAGAACTTTGCGATTGCTCGGCGAACGAGGGCCCGGGGTGCATCCCTAGGCTGTGCAGGAGCATCGCCAGCAATGACTGCGGTGGACTCCAGGAAATGACTCTCAGCATTGTCTCCCGGCCCTCCGAGTCGAACATCTCCGAGTCCGGGTCAGCAAAGAGACTGGCGTGCGACCACCGGTATCATCAACGTGTCGTGGCCGCGGTGCTGGGATGCCGCAGTCCAGACACCACTACCTCTTCTGATACTAGGGGAGCGACTACCAACACAAGGCTCCACAGTTATGGCCACGGTCAAACTGCATCAACAGTGTGGTTTGCCCGTGATGATTTCCCTGTTAAGGATGGTAGAGGCGATGTGCAGCATGAGTTGGCTCGCCCCCATCGCATCTGTCAGAGATTATCTCCTTCGACGTCACGCGTCAAGATGGTGCTTCATTTTCTCTGGGTGCGCTGAGGGACATCTTCGCTCGCTGTAGTACGGGGCTGTCTGTCGGGACTCAGGTAGGTCGCCGTATTGTCATTCGGACTTGTCCCAATGAGTCGGTCACGGGTGGTAATGCTACTGGGAAGCTACGGCATCGTCGCTGGCTTTATACCCAAGGCATAGTGCGCACGTCTATTCGTTAGAAGTGCTGCGAAGAGCTGTATTTGCTCCATACCGCAAGTTCATTAGTCTGTTACAGAGGACCGCAATACGAGGCCAACACAGCAATCGAAACGCAACTTCGAGGTTCACAGACGCTTGTGTGGCCGCGACACGTCTTACAATTGACAGGTGTAAGTCCTCCCACTCAATTGTATTACTCGGCCAGAATCTGATCATCATGATCTCGATTCTCGAGAATGGAGCTGTGTGGTACAGCAGGACTTCGGAACGAGCGTATAGGACTCGGAGCGTATCCTCTAACGGGCGCAAAATCCGGTCAATACGATCCCCACGTCGCTACGTGATTACCCACCAGATGACGCAGACCTCGCAACCGTTCTGAGGAAACCTTCGACGCAGAGCTGTTACGCGTGCACACGAGTCTCAAAGGAGATCCCCTGCGAGTCATTTACGAAACGCATCTCGCTTACCGGTAGCTGCTCTTCCCGGATGGGCCAACGTCGCGACCGCATTCGCCGCACAGAAATTGAGGAAGGGGGTCTTCTGCCGCGCGAGATCCCCCGCACACTCGATCAAGTCTCCATTAAAAGGAAGGCAGGATGCCGAATCGAAGCCTACCGGTAACCGTCGGGAATTGTCCTTCCCGGAAGGAAGACGTGCCCCGGGTCTCCATCAATATTGCATTCTCCGTAGGCGATCGAGGACGGAGAAGGTCCTCCGCTCCCCGTCCCGCCCGGCGCCTATGTGCATGTAGGCGGGCGCTGCCGCCGGGTGTACGGGATGCGCGCTGAATCAGTCGGGCAAAATGCGTTCTGGAGCTATGATTGCTGGCGCTGCGGCGATGTACAGATGTGGGATGGGAGGATCTCCTTGGTTGGAGCGGCGTATGTACTATACTATAATGAGAACAGTGGAATGTACATACGTGTTATCGCACCGCTCGACGGTGACAAGGGAAGGCTTCGATTGGCTGCGAGCGCAGGTCTAGGAGAGATGGCCGCGCCATTCAGGTATTTGTATGATGCCCAGGTAGCTTAGCTACTAGCTAGCTGATGAGCTCGCAGCTTTTGAGATGATAGCCCGCATGTGTTGCGCACCTCTCGCTAGGTCCCTCGTGGGATTGCATAGCTATGTACTTGCAGCGGCGTAGCTCTGAGCGTGGTAAAACTCACATAGTGATGAGCTCAGCTCCTCCACGGAGAAGGCACGTAGACTCCATCCTGCAGGCTAAGTAGATCGCCGAGCCCGGAGAGGGGAGCTGGGCTTCGCGAACTTCGAAGCCACCGAAAAGTAGCAGGGAGGAGCGCGTCTCTTCGTGAATTCCAATATGGGCGTAGGCCTGTGGAGTTAGGATCTAGCACTGCAACAGTGGTGGGTCATCGGGGCTAAGCGGTGAAGAGATGGCGGCGGCGTAGAGGCTTCCGCTGCGAGGCATTGGAGGAGGTAGGGCACATTCAACGGGGTCGGGCTATAGTTAACCGGTTACCTCTGCCCACGACCACTGACGGCTCAAAGAACGTCGTCGATGGAAGAAGTCAGAAGGGCTCCCGCTTCCTCCCGTTTTCGGTGGAACCGGTTCGGGGAGGAAGCTCTGCCGTAGGTGACGTTACCTAGAGAGCGGTCGGACGGCTGAGGGTGCCTGCCAATTGTCAATCTGCACAGTTGGATAACCAGTCTTGTGAAGGATGCATACACGGACGAGACGCGGTCAGCAGCGGTGTACTTCATGACGCGTAGTATTTAGCCGGTACCTCTCTCCGTCACCAGACGAAGCGTTGCAGTTCTGCGCCTTCCCGACCGTATCCGGGGATGCAGAGCTGACGCAGAGACCGGTACCGGTGTCTGCTATAACCTAGGCACCGCTGAGCGCATCCTCCGCAGGTTCCGAGAACGGATGCTTCGCTCACCGTGCTGCTCCACCGCCGCAAGACATCCGAGTTTGGGACCTGCTGTTCACAAGTCTACAGACCCGAGAGCGACTCTGAGCTGTCGTTGTCGAACAGCGCGATGAGTGAGGATATGTGTGTGGCGGGCTTGGCGAATGCGGGGAAGGGCGGGGAAGTGGGGAGTGATCGCGGCGGGGTCAGGAGGCGGGGACAGGTGATTACCCCGCACTGTGTTAGCGCGTCAACACCAAGCCAATCCGTGGGCTATGCCGTTTCGGTCGCCTGGCTCGCATCTCTCCAGAGCCTTCCGCCCTGGCTCGCGCAGCCCTCTCTATCTCTCTATATAACACTCACCGCCATGTCCGATAACTCACACACTCCCCGTAAGCATCCCCATCCCCACCACCGCGCCCCCACTGACCCGCTCGATGGTCGTCTTCAACCTCATCCACGCACCCCCAGTTACGAGGTTCGAGTCCGACAAGCCCGAGTCGCGCACCTTCGCGCGCCAGCACGAGCTCCCGCGTCTCCCTATCCCGTCGCTCGAGGACACATGCCGCCGGTACCTGACCGCGCTCGAGGGCCTCCAGGATCCAAAGGAGCACGCGAAGACGAAGGTCGCGGTCGAGGACTTCCTCAGGAACGATGGGCCGAGGTGGCAGGAACGGCTTCTGAAGTACGCTGAGGACAAGGCCAGGTGAGCGTGCGACGATGACGAGCGAGAAGAGTCCGCGGCATCGCTGACTGAATTGACTCTATTTCTGAAGCTACATCGAGGAGTTCTGGTGAGCATCCGACTCGACTCTATGGCCGCTGTCGCCGCGCTTCTCTACACGTGCACTGACGACTTTGTTTCCCCAGGTACGAGTCGTACCTCTCCCACTCGGACCCAGTCGTGCTTGCCCTCAACCCATTCTTCGTCCTCGAGTGAGTGTCTTCTTCTCATCATTGCTGCGTCGTCTTCGTCGTTGTGGTTGTGGAGGTCGTTGTGCATAGACGCCCACGGGGCGCTGCGCAATGCCCGCACTTCGACCGACGTCGTCGAATAGTGCTTCGAGCAGATCCATTGGTTTCCCAGATTCATGCGCGTCGACAATCACTGACGTTGTGACCACAGGAATGACCCAACACCAGACCGAGGGTCGCAGCTCCCTCGCGCAGCCTCTCTCATTCTCTCCTCTCTTGGCTTCATCCATGACCTGCGGGCGGGAATGCTGGAGCCCGATGCCGTCCGGGGGACACCGCTTGACATGGACCAGTACACAAGACTCTTCGGTACCGCTCGGATACCCACCGATGTGTGTACTCCATCAGTCATCGCTGTGACAATCAGATCTGACCAAGTCGCTCACAGAGAGGATGCCGGATGGAGATCCACACGGACTCGCGGCATATCGTCGTACTAAGGCGCGGCCAATTCTGTACGTATCCTTGGCCGATGCCTACGAGCAAATCTGACCACGCCCCCTAGACTGGTTTGACGTTCTCGATGCAGAGAACCGACCCGTCCTAACAGAACAGGAGATCCACCGCAACCTCCAGGCCATCGTCAGGGATGCTGAGGAGCTACCAGTTCACGAGGTGTGCATATATCGCGCATATATCGAGCCATCTGCGTTGTTAAACCATGCTATCACTTCTTCAGGTTGCCCGGAATTCCATCGGTGTGCTTTCAACCGAGAACCGCAAGGTGTGGTCGAGCTTGCGGGACGCGCTCTCCAACAACCACAACAACGAGTCTTGCCTGCAAATCATCGACAATGCGTTGTTTATAGTTTGTCTCGATGACGCAACGCCCGACAACCTCGCCGAACTGTGCAACAACTTCCTCTGCGGAACGTACAACCTGAAGGGTGGCGTGCAGGTCGGGACTTGCACAAACCGGTGGTACGACAAGGTGTGTACAAACCTATCAACGCTATGTTGCCAAATTGACAATCACGTTCATCAGCTGCAAATCATCGTCTGCGCAGACGGCTCCGCCGGCATCAACTTCGAGCACACGGGAGTTGACGGACACACCGTCCTCCGCTTTGCCGCCGACATCTTCACCGAGGGCCTCATGCTGCTCGCGCGCTCCATCAACCCTTCCGCGCCGACACTCTTCCACGCGCCGCTCTCGCCGTACGCCAAGTCATACAAGCCTCCGCGCAACGCGCCCGCGCACGCCGCCGCGAAGCGGACCCCGCCGACCTACGTGATCGACACGGTGCCCAAGAAGCTCGAGTGGACGCTGTACCCCGAGCTCCGCGCGGCGATCCGGTTTGCGGAGACGCATCTGAGCGACTTGATCTGCCAGAATGATTGCCAGGCGTTGGAGTTCAAGGGATATGGGAAGAATTTCATCACGAGCCATGGGTTTAGCCCGGATGCGTTTGTGCAGATGGCGTTCCAGGCGGCGTACTATGGGTTATATGGTAAGCCTCCATTGCGTTGGGTACGACACAAGGGGCGGTGCTGATACACCTGTCCAATGACAGGTAGGATTGAATGCACTTACGAACCCGCCATGACGAAGCACTTCTTGCACGGCCGCACAGAAGCGATCCGCACCGTACAACCGCAGACGGTCAGCTTCGTCAAGGTAAGGCCCACGCCGTACCACACGCCCGCGCCGCCTAACCATATACCAGACCTTCTTCTCCGAAGCGCCTCTCGCGCAGAAGATCACCGCCCTCCGGAACGCCTGCCTGGGGCACGTCAAGCTCACGAAAGAGTGCAGCCAAGGATTCGGGCAGGACCGGCACCTCTATGCGCTCTACTGCCTCATCCAGCGCGACCGCGAGGCCGCCGCGGAGGCGGAGCCGCCGCTGTCGCCCGGGGGCAGCACGACGTCGAGCTCGAGCAGCGGCGCGGATAAGCCGCCCCTGCCCGCGATCTTCGGGGATGCGGGGTGGCGGGCGCTGGGCACGAGTATCCTGTCGACGTCGAACTGCGGGAACCCTGCGTTGAGGTTGTTTGGGTTCGGCCCCGTCGCGGCGGATGGGTACGGGATTGGGTACATCATCAAGGACGAGGGCATCTCTGTGTAAGTGGGGTGTGACTGCTGGGTCTGTGCGACGCTGATGGCTGGCATGTGGATAGATGTGCGTCTTCGAAGCATTTGCAGACCCGGAGGTTCTTGGACACCCTCGAGGGCTACCTTCTCGATATCAAGCGGATGCTCATCCAGCAGCATGTGTCTGCCAACCCGAAGCCGGAGCCCTTCGTGGACCACGCTGGCATCCTGCGCGACTCCAAGACTGGACGGCCGATCAACGGCCAGGCCCACGGCGGGTACAGTGAATACGACGATGGCTTGATGCGTATGTGTTCACTCTGCGTTGTCGCTGGTGATAGTGCTGATGAGACATTGAACTCGCAGCGGGCTACTCGTTCTTCGACAGCGGCGATGTCGAGATGCTCGGCCGGCGCAAGCGCATGCCGTCGTACTACAACACCGGCAAGATCATCCCGCTTGCGGAGTACAGCTGAGCGGCTCTGGTGTAGGCTCGGATGCGTGTGGCGGTATCTTATGCTGTGCTACTATTGTACGTGTATCATCAGCGTCTTGCATAACTAGGTGTATGTTCCGAGGTAGTGTTGGCAGTATATCTAACGGTATTTGTAGGCTTTAAGTGCTGTAGTGTTATACCATTCATGTTGTACTAGTAGACGTGTATCGAATTCGGCTATCTGGTTGACTTACGTGCGCGCGGGGGATCAGAGAGCTTGCGCATTGCCCGAGCCTGGGGTATGCAAAGTAGGTGAGATTGTTGTATCATTTATATTGCTAGTGCAACCGCAGCTCTACATAGCAGGACACAGTTTTGGATTGAATCACAGCCGTCCACCGCACGCCCAACCATATCTCGCTTTATTATCAAGTCATGCATACCCTGGGTCACTCCGCAAGTAGAATGAGTCATCCTGCTTGTGGGACCGACTCGACGGGAACGCATACGAGCGCACTGGCGATGAAGCTGCCTGCTTCTCGGGGTCGCAGTTGGAAGGTCGTTTGTCTGCAGCAGCAGTCGCAGCGGTGGGGTCACCAATGCCGGCGCGAGTGCCCCAACCAGTCTATGAGATGCGATCAGAAATGCCCAGCCCACAGATTTGTGTCGTCTGGGAATTGACTCACCTTGTGGAGCGTAAAGAGGGCGTAGATCTTCATGATTGAGAAGTAGTAGCCGAAGACGATGAACGCAGGGACGTAGATGACGTCTTGGGGGCGGTAGTAGAGATGAGGGAGGAGCTTCATCGTTCTTGTCGCGAGGAGCCAGACAAGGTAGCTGACGATAACATTCCACGGTGGGAGGTGGTAGCCGCCCTCGAGAACGGGGATTGTTCCCTTGTACATCACGTAGATGACGAGCGCGGGCCCTGCAAGGAGCGTGAACGGGTTGAAGAGCTTGTCCACCTGTGGATACGGTGACGTCAAAAGAGGGCTGCACGAATATAGGAAAGACTGCGACACACCATTGTGTATGCAACGTAAGGATGCGCAGTCCAGACGTGCCTCTCCGTGAATAGCGAGCGCATATCTGACCTCCAAGTATTACGCGTCCATCGTAGGACCTGCTTCAAGAACCTCCAATCCGGCTTCATCGTGCTCAGCAGCTCCGCCTCCTTGCAGCACTGCACGTACGTCGCCCAGCCATGGCTGACCATCCAGCGCGTGAGGAACTTGTCGTCGCCCGAGTTGAGCTGGTACTTGCCGAGCCAGTAGTCGTGCGTGAAGCCGTGCAGGAACTCGGGGTCCTTCAGGATGACGGTGCGGTACGCCGCGGTGCGCCCGCTCAGGCACGGGATGCCCCCGTCGATGTGCGTGCTCGCTGCGATCTCGACGTTGCGGATGGACAGCCGGAACGCGGCGAGGACCTCCCAGACGGTCATGCGCGTACCGACGGGCTGCACACGTTGGCCCGTGCCGACGCCTCCGACGCGCTGGTCCTCGAAGCACGCGAGGACGTAGGGGAGCAACGTCGGTGGCCAGATTGCGTCGTCGTCTGCGAATACGATGATGTCCGTGCGCGTGTGCCGGATACCATGTGCCATCTGGAGCCGCTTGTTGGCGTATGGCACCGTGAGGACGCGGATGCGCGTCGGGTCGACGGAGTCGGCGAGGGCCTGGAGGGGCCCGAGCATCTTCTCCTCGGTGACGATGAGGATCTCCTTGGGCTTGCCGGAGAGCCAGCTGTGCGCGGCCTCCTTAAACTCCTCGCCGGCGTCGATGGTGGGCACAATAATCGTGACATCTTCCTCGGCGAGGTAGGTCGGGTTCTCGGGGAGAGGGATGGGACGGTAGGTGAAGGCTGCGGCTATGCGGATGAAGAACCATAGGTAGCGGTAGAAGCTAGAGAAGGTCAAGGGACGCGGTGTGTTGAGTAGCCGAAGATGACTTACCCTATGACTCCCAATGGAACGACTTGGCTAGGAATTAGCGCGAGAATGTGGAAGGACGAACATACGTTACTCACAGACTGGAAAATGGTCCGACGTGAGCCGTAGCATTGTTGCACGACCCGCGCGTCGTTAGGCAGCGCGTCCTCCACTCGTGCGTGTAAGGATGGGAAATGGAGGTGGTAAGTCCACGTAGAATAGTGCTGTCAGCCAGGAGGCGGACAGGGAGCTGAAACGAGGCGGTCAGCCAAGGGTCGGACTGAAACGAAATATGTCGTCCCTCATATTGAGCCTGCGTTTTGAACCAGACCATGCAGGCAAGAACGCAGCCAGGTGTTGTTAGGCGTTGCGCCTGCTGCACTGCTAAACCGTATGAAAAGGGACCACCGCATCGCGCCCATCTGCTGCAATCATATGCCGCGGGCAGTCTATCTCCGCAGTGCTTCCACTACCGGTGTCGCCATATGAGTCACCTGGAATACCACCTGTGCGAAGATCGAGAAACGCTACCTGGTGGATAAAAGGATTAGCGTTATGTTGTAAGGTCTCGTGTATATGAAGGGACGAAGTCGTAATCCTGAAATTCCAACAAGACAATTAGACGTGGTCAGTTTCGCTTCGTACGTCTCTATAAATCCCGCCCAATTGGGACTTGACTTGTGTACTCATATCTTACACATTGAGAAACAGGGTATTTTATTGGTCCAGTTTCGTTCGATGTCTTGCTCGGTGAGGGTTATGAAAGATCATACCGATAAGCTCCCGGCACAGAATCATGTCTTAGCATATCTGAAGTACGAGCTTAATCGGGATTCGTATAGATATATGACCCTGTGACGTACCCGTGAACCGACGTCCCAACTCCTCGCCCGTCAGTGCGCGCGCGAGGCTGCGCATCCGAAAAGCCCGACAAGTCCTATCTGGACCCTTAGAGCGCAATAGCTGCTCGAGCGCATCTTCCCAGCACATGAGGGGCACTCCTCGAGGCAGTGAGATGCGATAGCGGAGTCATTGGTTGGACAATCCTGAACCACGTATGTGCCACTTGTGGGTCCTCGTAGGTCCGCTGGGACGGGGATGGTACACAGTCGTGAAGTTGGATACACACATGTTTGTCACCCGGACCCATGGCATCTATATGGTTGAGTCTGGACATGGGCTTCGGCAGGTCTCATTCTGTCAAGTGTGTCAATGGTGGCTACAGTCAGGACCTACGCGAATCAGAACGCGATGCTGAGATGTTGGGATGCAAGTAGCTTCAAGGAAGTTCGGCGCCGTCACTTCGGACCGAGAGATGGATAGCCATGCCCAGTCTGAGTATCAGTGTATTGCTAAATCCTTGCGGTTGCCTTGTAGGCATGTCTATGCAAACAGCACCTGGCCATGGTGTATAAATAAACTATTCAAGCGGAAGATTACGAGACGATGCTGTGCTTACCGACATCGACTCATGTCTTGGCTGCCTTTCACGTATTGAGTCTGAGAAAGGGACAAGGAAAAAGCTGAGCTCCGACTCGAGCAATGTCACATACGTACCTTCAGTTCAAGTTGCTAGTGCCAGCGTGGAGTCATCATGACTGTGCATCTCTATCGCGAGTTGTCACACAGCTTGCGGACAGTGTATCCTGTGTTCGTCTATGCGAGAGGCTGTCAGTACCTGCATGGCAAGAGCAATGTTCGATTGTTCAGTACCTACTTAGGGCCGTACTAGTCAACGGTATATTCAATCCGACTCGGACTGCTGAGGCAGTGTCCTTCCCACGTTGTGCCAGCTTCGAGCGGGCACACACACCGCTTTGATGACTCGCATTTCACCGCTCTCAAAATCCCTGAGCAAGACTCTCTGTCTGACTGTGCGACGAGCCCCGTCCGACTGGCGACGCCGACGCTCACCGCCGCCAGCTGACAGACTCGAACATCGCTCCGCCGCTTCCATATGCGGCATGAGGACACGTGATGAGGTCTTGGAGAGGCGGCGCGCGGCGCAGCAGCGCCCCATCCCTCTCCGTAGAACCACCACCACTGTTTGTGCGTCTCCAGGCTCTCTCTGCTATAAATTCGCTCGTTCATTCACCAACTCACCCAGCTTTGCCTGCAAAGACCCCTAGACCCATATAGACGCATGCGATTGTCGGCCGTGCCCTTGGTCCTGGCTGGTGCCAGCCTGGGTAAGTGCTGCGCAGCCCTCTAGGACGGTTCGTACTGACGTGTTCGTCCACTTTCGACTCTATTGTAGCTATCCAGGCAGGTGCTGTGCCCCTCCGAGTCGTGGTCGTCTCTTCGCACCAGGAAGTGTCCGCGAACAATGCTCATGCCAACTCTGAAGCCAACATCGTCGCAGCCATGCCCGGCCCCGCGCTCGTCTCTGGTGGCGGAATGATGCGTGTATACCACAATTCTTCCGTCCAGCCTGGCGAGCGCATCCGCGCCCATCACTGCGGTGGCTCCGTCAGAGACACCATGAAGTCCTTCATCAACAAGGTCTTCGGGTTCTCGGGCGGCGAGCAGCCTCACCCTCACATCCCACCGCCCCATGAGCCTGGGCGAGTCGCCATCCTCCCCTGGTTCGGCACTCCAAACGACTTCGCCGATCACCCGGATGGCAAGGCTCCGGGCATGGCCAGCGAGGTCGAAAGTGATGGAAGAGGTCACCACCACAGTCACCCGCCGATGGGTGTCGCTCTGCCCCACTCCGAGGGCAACATGGCTGCGAAACACAGCCCGGAGGATGTCGGCCCTGTGCGCATCGTGCACATTAGCGAGCAGGAGGGCCCGCGCAGGCGCTTCCGCCACCGCCACGGACCCTTCCTCCGCCGCATGCACTTCGCCCTCATGGCTCTCGGACCCTGGGAGGGCCGTGCCGTCGCGTTCGTCCTCGGTGAGTCATAGTAGTCCAACGTACATCTCGTTTGAATGCTGACACAGTGTGTGCGTAGGTTGCGGAATAGGCGTCCTTCTGCGCATGGTGTGGGTCATCGGAGTCGTCCTCGCTCGTGCCGTCAGTGGACGCAGGAGCGAGGACAGCTCCGAGGACGTCTTCGATGCTGATGCGGAGGAGATCCTCGTCGCGCCGCCCCAGTACACTCAGTACCCCGACGAGAAAGTCGCCGTCGTCGCCGCCATCGAGGAGAAGCCCCAGGCGGCCTAGGCCTAGTAGGACCACCAAGCACGTCCAGCGACAATAGTTGCAGCAATGCGGCACCCTCATGCACTCCCTTTTGGCTCTCTCTCCTCGTGGTACCCCTTCAACTTCACAAACACCCATATTCAGCCTCCTACCAGAATCGAAATCTCCAGTCGTCCTAGTCTGCCTGCGTATCCCGATGCCTGTTGTACGATATTGTGCCATTTTCGTCTGACTTCGAAGTAAATCAGACGAAATTCGCTCGATGGACCGGATTATATCTATTCCCTAGTAATTTGTTGGCGCGTATTGTTCCTGTCCTCCTTGATCCTGATCTCGAGGGGGTGTGTTGACTTTCACTTTGTCCAACGGAATATATCTCGCGTGTCATCATACTAGCAAGATAGCAAGAAAGGTTGAGACGACACCGAGCAAAGCAAATACAAAGCATTCAACAAAACGAACATCTAGATCGCCGCGTTGCAGTTCGGGCAAATCACCGGCGGCTGGTACATCCACGTCTCGGTTTCCAGTTCCTTCTCGCGACGCTGCCAGTATGGCGGGTACGGTGTCGCATACCGGAAACTCACGCCAATTCTGTCGCAGCACTCCTGTGGATTTAGGGCTGACCAGTTGTCATTGATCGACTCATCGGGTTCAAAGGCAGCATAGACCAGCCGACGTGCAAGGACAACCTCCTTCACATTTCCGGCTGGTGTCCAACCATCTTGTGCTGGGCCCGGGCGGCGGACAATGGGGCACTGGGATATGCAGATAAGGGCTGGAGGGAGGTCCGCGATAACATCCGATCGGGACATCTCTGCAAGGACGAAGTCCAGTGGGTAAGGTGTTGATGGCTCTGGTGCAGAAATGGGTATGCCAGGCCCGGAGTTGGACTGATGGTCAGACTCAGAGCAGACATCAGGATGCTCATCATCATCAACCTGCATCTGTTTATGCCTCATAATCAGGACATCACAGGTCATACAAATGAACACACATACCATGTTGCTTTCACTGCCATCAGTGTAATAGGCAAGCAATGGGCAGCTTTGCCCATCATCAGGATCCACAGCCAGGAGCCGGACACCACGGTCAGCAAGGTGGGTCACAGCAGAGCTGTCAATCTTGTTCCAGTGCAGAAGACAGATCTGATGATACCATCTCCGGCATGTGATCCGAGGGCAGAAATGCATTATAGTGTCATCATGCTGGTGAGCAGAGAATGGATTATAGCCTCTTGGTGACCTGCATTTGCCTGGCAAGCACATCTCAAATGCTGCTTTTGGCTGCATACATACCAAGGTCCAATATTCAATGATTATCACAGAAAGTGGACATGTTTCAAACCTACATTAACAACCTTCCTGGCATAGGACAATGTAGATCTTGTAAACAGGGTGTCAAAGTCCAGTTCTGGGGGGTCCAAGGATTGTTCATCCCATTCATACATGTGCTTGACATCTGTGTATGGATGGCAAATGAACTGATAATAGTTGGTAAAGATGCTGAACATACCTAGCAATGTGCTTGCTGATTCAATTGTGGCATAGTTTGAAACAGCCCGTTCATAGGGAGCAAACTCTGATGCATCACTGAATGAATGTTCATATTCAGCATATGATCATTTACATGCATATAAGGAATATATAACATACAAAGACTGGATCAATGCCTGGAGATCTCTGCCAGACCAAGTCCAAAAGACCTTGACCCACACCTTGTCTATATCCAGAGATTCTGCACATATCTCTGTGATATAGCCAACCCATAAGTTTGGTGTTCCATCATAGTGAGATGCAAGTACAGCACTGAAGAACAACCAGTCAGACAGATGTCCCACAAGGGAGGGGGTTACACACCTGTCTCCAGTCCTGAATGTTACAACATTGGTCTGTAATGTGTCATCTTTCTGGGCTAGACTAGGGTTGGTCGAGTCTGAGCCCGATGATCCTGTGCTGTCCGATGATCCTGTGCTGTCCGATGATCCTGTATCAGATCCTGACTCCTCAGTATCGCTTTCGACAGATACAATGTTCTCCACTGAGTATGATGGGAACACCGGCATTGTATGAACACTTCATTGTTCAAGCACAGACAAGAACGACTTGCCTTCGCACTGTCCAAATCGCAGCATGCGTCCGAACTGCTCCGCTGACGGCGCGTCTTTGCTCGCAGGAAATACACCTCCTTGCGATTTTTGCCCCTTACGGCGGCAGCGGATTTTACCCTTCATCGAATCTGTATCAATCCTGCGAAGACGATCTTACTTTAAGAACCACAGTAAGGCTACCTCAGCACCTATGCAGAGCAAAGAGAGCCAGGATATAACACGCACATTGACAGTAGAATGTGTATAGGTCTCCGTTCTCGAGAGCTCGCGGTCGCCAGCACAGCCAGCAATGTGACAATTTTGCCCCAAGAGACGATTTCGGCAACAACACAGTTGGTTCAGAAGCGCGGCCTGAATGCGACGCTTGCTATTATCGTCTGCAAGGGAGACTACCAGAGACTACCTGAATGCAGGCTTTACGTTTCCGAGGAGTCGCGGCCGTTGAACGTTGAACTTTGCGCCACCGGCGCGTCCGTCAGGTGACGGGTCGGTCTCGCGTCGTCGGTCATTCTTCCTTGACGCTTTTACATACGTCGTATCTGTATGCTTGCAGCTTTATGTATGATAACATCCTTAGTCTCTGCTACGACGATGTCAGAAATACGATGTCAGAAACAGCGCGTAGAAGGCCCCGTGTCTCACTTGATGCCGACGCAGAGCAGAAGGTCCTACTACAAGATCATTCCGCGCTTTACTATCACGACGACGGACTATTATGCTCAGCTGCGGCAGCACGCTTTTCCACGCCCATCGCTCGATTCTATCGAAACGCTCGCCCGTCTTTCGCGACGTCCTTTAGAGGAAGGAAGACACTAAAACGGAGATACTACGAGGATGTTTGCATGTTGCCCTAGAGGACACAAAGGAGGAGGTCGAGGCGCTTGTCATATACGATGGGTCGACGCTGTACAGTAATTGTTGCATTGCGTGCAAGTGTGATAGCGTCGAAACTGATGTTATTGAGTGAGGGCCGCCACCTGTTGAGATGAAACGTTGAAGCTGGCGATGCGAGTTCTCTATATCTTACGTGACTTGAGTAAAAGCTAGAGGATATGAATCATCGCAAGGCCCATTTGCCATTTTCCCAGAGTAACGCTACAACATTCGTTCCTTTTTTCTATGACTACGTATACATACGCAATTGTTACTACCTTTACTTTCTTCTCAGTTTCCGCACCATTTCCGTGCAGTTTGGAACATCCTGAACCACGGCCCAACGCCCTTCCATGCGTCTTTGACATCGGGTGGGTACCAACTGTTGCTGACCAGCTGGGCCACTCGCTCGGGATGTGGCATCAGCGCGAGTACTCTGCCGTCCGGGGTCTGGACACCGGTGATACCAAGCGGGCTGCCATTCGCGTTGAGCGGATACACCTCTGTCGGGTCGCCCTTCGCGTCAACGTAGCGCACGGCCACTAGTCCGCCAGAGACCATCGTCTCTTGGTCCTGCTGCGCCCGGAACGACACACGGCCCTCACCATGCGCAACAGCAACAGGCAGCTTCGACCCAGCCATGTCACTCAGGAAGACCGAATTGCTCGTCACGGCTCCAGGGACGACCTCGACCATGCACACGCGTCCCTCAAAGCGCTCGCTGCGGTTCTGCTTGAAGTCGGGCCACGCCTGCGCGCCGGGGATGATCTCGCGGAGGTGACTCATGAACTGGCACCCGTTGCACACGCCCAACGCGAACGTGTCCTCGCGCGAAAAGAACGCCGCGAACTCCACGCGCGCGACCGCGTTCAGCAGCACGGAGTTCGCCCAGCCCTTGCCGGCGCCGAGGACGTCGCCGTACGAGAATCCGCCACAGGCGGCGAAGCCGCGGAAGGACTGCAGGGAGGTCGCCCCGCTGAGGATGTCGGACATGTGCACGTCGACGGCCTCGAAGCCTGCGGCGGTGAAGGCCCAGGCCATCTCGGTCTGCCCGTTGACGCCTTGCTCGCGGAGGATCGCGACTCGTGGGCGGTGCGAGAGGTGTTTGGACGGCTCCGGCGTGAAAGTGAGATCGTAGGAGAGGCCAGTGTGCGTGTCGGCGATGAGGTCGTACTCTTGTGTAGCGCCCTTGGGATCGTCACGGAGCGACTGCATCCTGAAGGACGTCTCAGCCCATGCTTGCTGGAGTGCGGGGCGACTGCTGGAATAGAGTGCTTCGTCGTTGTGGACGATCGTGAAGCTTTGGTCACCGAGGCTCTTGACTTGCCCAACCCGGCGGATATGCTTCGCAGGGAAGCCAGCTTCTGAGAATACGCCGACAAGGCGGTCGTGATCTGATGCACGTATTTGGACCACTGCGCCGAGCTCCTCATTGAAGAGCGCTGCAACAGGATCCGTACTTGATGAGAGGCCGTCTATAGTAAACTCTACGCCTACACGGCCTGCGAAGGACATCTCGGCGATAGTGGTGAAGAGGCCGCCGTCAGAGCGATCGTGGTACGCCAAGATGACTCCAGGAGCCTTCTCCCTGATGATCTGAGTTCCGACGAGGAACGCCTTGAGCATCGCAGGGTCCTCGACATCGGGAGCTTCAGAGCCAATCTCCTTGAAGACCTGCGCAAGTGCTGAACCACCCAACCTCTGCTTGCCCGCGGCGAGATCAAACAAGACCAAGACAGTAGGCTCGTTGGTGTCCGTGCGCAGCTGAGGTGTCCAGGTCGCCTCCACATCCTCGACACCAGTAAAGGCTGTGACGATCAGCGAGAGCGGGGAGCTGACCTCGCGCTGCTCGTCGCCCTGGCGCCACTTCATCGACATCGACATCGAGTCCTTCCCGACCGGGATGCCCACGCCCAACGCAGGGCAGAGCTCCATACCGACAGCATGAACGGCGGCGTACAGCGCAGCACCCTCTCCCGCCTTCGACGCCGCGCACATCCAGTTCGCGCTGAGCTTCACGCGGCCGAGGTCGCCGATGCGCGCAGCTGCAAGGTTTGTGAGGGACTCGGCGACGGCCATACGCGCGGACGCGGCGGCGCTCAGCAGCGCGACTGGTGTCCGCTCGCCCATGGCCATAGCCTCTCCGTAAGGCACGTCAAAGCCGTACGTGGTTTGAGTGACAGCGACGTCGGCCACGGGGACTTGCCAGGGCCCGACCATCTGGTCGCGAGCGACGAGCCCAGTGATGCTGCGATCGCCGATGGTGATGAGGAAGGATTTCGAGCCGACGGAGGGCAACCTGAGTACGCGATTCACGGCGTTGTCTATCCGGTCCTGGAGCGAGGACGCCGACGGGAGATAGCGGGAGAGCGTGGTGTCGAACGATATATGCTGGACGGTCTTCCTGTTATCCGTGCGGTGCATGCGCGGCGGCTTGCCAAAGAGAGTGAACATCTTCAGTCGGATGACGTCCGTTTTGAACAGCCTGTCAGTCACGACGAGTTCCTCCTCCGCGGTCGCGACGCCGACGATCGAGAACGGGCACCGCTCGCGATCCGCCAGCGCGCGGAACTCGCCCTCCTTCTCAGGCGAGATGGCAAGGACGTAGCGCTCCTGCGACTCGTTGCACCAGATCTCCATCGGGGACATGCTCGTGTCCGCGACGAGGACGTCCCGGATCTCGAAGGTGGCTCCCAGGTCGGAGTCGTGCACCAGCTCCGGGAGGGCGTTGGAGAGACCGCCCGCGCCGACGTCGTGGATGGACTGGATGGGGTTGCCGTCGGCCAGGTTAGTGCATGCATCGATGACCTGCTGGCACCGTCTCTGCATCTCCGCGTTGTCCCTCTGCACACTCGCGAAGTCCAGCTCTGCCGAGCCAGCGCCCGATACCTGGCTACTCGCAGCTCCTCCCCCGAGTCCGATGAGCAGACCGGGTCCGCCGAGGACGATGATCTTTGCACCAGGGGAGATCTTCGACTTCATGGCAAACGAAGGTCGGACGTTCCCCAGGCCACCCGCGATCATGATCGGCTTGTGGTATCCTCGCACCTCCGTCTCGCCCTCCTTCCCAGAGGGGACTCGCTCAGCGAACGTGCGGAAGTACCCCGCGAGCGCGGGGCGCCCGAACTCGTTGTTGAATGCGCTCGCGCCGAGGGGTCCCTCGATCATGATGTCCAGAGCGGAGGCGATGTGCGCGGGGCGCCCGAAGTCTGTCTCCCAAGGCTGCTCGTATCCCGGGATGAGCAGGTTGGAGACGGTGAAACCTGCGAGGCCGGCCTTGGGCTTCGACCCACGGCCAACGGCGCCTTCGTCACGGATTTCACCACCAGAACCGGTGGCGGCGCCAGGGTAGGGCGAGACGGCTGTGGGATGGTTGTGCGTCTCGACCTTGATTAGGATGTGCATGTCCTCTAGATGCGCCTCGTATGTTGGCGAGCCCGGCGACGCGAATGACATGCCGAACCGAGGGGCACGGTAACCTTCGAAGACCGCCGCGTTGTCAGAGTAAGCGGAGATAGTACCCTTTCCTGAGAGCTTCTCGGTATTCCTGATCATCTGGAAGAGCGAAGTGTCCTGAGGCTGGCCGTCGAGTGTCCACGATGCGTTGAAGATCTTATGCCTGCAGTGCTCTGAATTGACTTGAGCGAACATGAAGAGCTCTGCATCCGTTGGGTTACGGTTGATGGGGGTCGGTCCGGAAACGAAGGCCTCGACGAGGTAGTCAATCTCGTCGGAAGATAATGCCAGCCCGAGCTCCTTGTTGGCCGCAAGCAGCTTGTCGCGCGCGTGCTGCTTGTCCTCGCTGTTAGACACCAGGTCGACCGTCACAAGGGGAGCTGCGGGCCTATGCGCAAAGAGTAGCTCCGGGTGAGGTCGGCTCAGTTGTACGACTTGAGTCATGCGATCGTGAAGTAGGTCGCCGAAGAGGGAGAGGTCCTCGGGCGTAATGACCCCCTCCGATACTTGGAAGACGAACACGATCCCTCTTTCAAGACGTTTGACGTGTTCCCTAAGACCACAGAGAGCAGCAATATCCGTGGCCTTGCTTGACCAAGGCGAGATAGAACCTGGTCGGGGTAGAACGTACACTACGTTCTGCTGATCACGCAGGGCGTCCGCAGTTCCAGCCAGCGAGATGTAGTCGCCATAGTCCAGAAGTCGCTCGAGAGTCGCTCGTTCCTTTGCGTCGGTGGATTGTAAGTCCTCGCCCTGTTCCTCGACGAGATGGACATAGACGGCATCTACGAGAGTAACTTTCGGGCAGCGCTGCTGGATGCTCTTCAGCAGGAGCTTAAGTCTCGTGTCGGAGAGATACGACGATCCATGGAGTTCCAACATGGCTATATGACTATGTCAGCGGGGCTCAGACGTGAGAAGGACTGCAGACAGACCCGTTCACGCTGCTCCGGGTGCTCGCTCTTCGACTGGCAGATGGCCTCGAGCACTCTGTAACCGTGACACAGATCAGTATCGTCCTCTACCAGAGCAGACATAACATCTGTACACTGACCTGGGGGGACAGGCGGGTGGAGGATGAAGAGAGGATGCGAGTTCATGGTTCCGTTCAGAGTCATGCTCAATTTTGCGGGGAAAGTACCAGCATCTAATCTTATCTCTCCGAAGATCACAAATGGCAACCTCATCTTATCTGCCCAGTGACGCGCTGTTTGTCGAGGTCGTCCCAAGTCGACTCATGTCGACTCCGTCCGGTTATTGGCAGCAGTCTGCGGACGCGTCTCCTGTGCGTTCTTGCGCGCATACCCCACCTTACATGATCTTTCTACCCGCAGGTCTTATGCTCAGGCGTTGAGACCGAGACGTCCATCGACTCAAGGACTCCAAGCCTGACAAGCGCGGCAAGTTTTCCGAGGCCCGAAGGTAGTCTCAGAGGCTGCTCGTAGCAACATTGATTCGCCATGGTTGCACACAACGAGAAACGCTTACTATGGCATCCGACGCATCAGAACCGCTTTGTAGTAGGCGGGGGATCACAAATCACGCTGTATGAATGGATCTCCGAGTCCTCAGAAATCAAGCAAGTCACCGCACAGCAGGACCTCCCGCACATGAAGGTGAAGTACCATACGCTCCGAAATTCTGCAGCTGCTGAGCAAACTTGTACCCTCGCTAGTGCTTCGCATGGTCCCCGGATGCCGCTCTGGACGATCTCATTGCCGTAGGGCATAGTTCCGGTAAGGTGGACTTAATGCGACTGGAGGCGAGCAAACAGTCCAAGGAGCATGTCCTGTCCAGCGGTCCCACCGTACCCCTCCCTGTTCGCAACTCGCGTGCCTGTAACTCGCTGGCGTTCTCCACGGCAGATCCTAACTACCTCGCCGTCGGGTTGGACAAGGTTCGCGGTGATCATAGTCTGGTGGTATGGGATGTACATGCTGCTGTTCCTCTCCTCTCCCTCAAGGCCGAGTCTCCGAAGTCCCCGACATACCATGCTCCCTCGTCCAGCCGCTCGAATACTCAGTCTCAGCGCGATATTACGCCTAAGAATGGCCCTCGTATCTTTCAGGTACATGCTCCCGCCGAGACGGTCTCATCAGTCGCCTTTCTGCCCACATCGTCCAATCTGCTACTTGCTGGTATCTCGCATCGCTGGCTGCGACTGTTCGACCTGCGGTCACCTCAAGATTCCCCGCTCAGCGTAGCAAGTAAAGTCCATGCTGTCGTCACGGACCCCTTCGAGCCACATCGCATTGGGTGCTTTGGAGACAACGTCGCGACGATATGGGACGCTCGACGACTGTCTCAGCCACTTCTGACTTTCACGGAGAAAGACGCAGGAGCGGATGGAGTACGCACGAAGAACAGCACTGAATTCATGACGATGGAGTTCTCGAGCACGCGGAGAGGGGTCCTGGCCACCCTCGGCAAGGACGCGCATCACGTCAGATTTTGGGACCTGCAGCAAGCGGAGATCGTCGACGCCAATTCTCCTGATCGGGCGCGGTCCAGAGATTCGTCTCAGTCCAGCAAGATAACCCGGTCATGGACGAACCCTACCAGCATCTTGCCGTCTGCTTGGACTGGGAGTGGGACGTCGAATGCAGTGCCCATAACGGCGTCGAACGAGCGTCGCTCGCCATACCATCTAGTTCTCTCTGACACTAGGAAGAGTACGTACCCGGTCTCTAATCCTCAATCAAGAGAATGGCTGATATCTGTACAGCGAAGAACTTCCCGCGTCCGCTCGCGTCGTTCGCGCTGGTACCGAACAGCAAGAGCCACCCTTTGACTTCGGACGTAATGGTGGTCAACAAGGAGGGTGACCTCGAGCTGTACGCAGTCCACGACACGCCGAAACTTACTCCATGGAGCTCTCGCGGGGATCTCGGAGTCGGGCTCGCGCGCTCCTATAGGGTCTTCCCAGGTATCTGCGATCTCAGTCCACCGCCGGAGCCATGGGACATCCAGCTGCCTTCATCCGTGCCAGGCTCGAAGGCTCATTCCGTCGAAAGGCATGCTGCGAAGGAAGAGTCGATTGCGCGAGGCCGTACGGGGCACGCGGAGACGAGCCCTCCGCCGTTGTTTGGCCGCGGAGACGAGGATGGCTTCCCTGCGCTCCCGGTGAAGTTTCCAACCGCTGTATCGACGACGAGGCCGAGCAGGACGCGCACGTACAGCCCTGCGGCCCTCCGGAACCTGCGGTTTGAGCACTCAGCGTTGGCGCGCCAACCCCGACGCCATCATGCTGTTCCGGGCGCGACAGCACCTCCGCGGGATATGGCGGATACGTTATCGTTGAATGGCGGTTCTGTCTCCCACAGGCAGTCGCATCACACCCACCATGGAGGGAAGTTGACGACCGTGAAGGCGCTCCAGCATTTGGTGGAGGAGGATATCTCGATGTTGATGCGTCAGCGCGTCGTTCGTGGATATGGATTAGCAAGTGTACGTACGTCTGCATCTTTCGTTGTCCATATACCTGAGCTCGCCGTAGTGTCTCCACAACGCGATGATCGCTCGAGATACTCCGTCGGATCCTGCGCTCATTGAGGTTTGGCGATGGCTGCATCGTAGGTCTTCAGTCTACCCATACCTGTACCACCTGACACCCGTATAAGACTCGCAGCATCTGTTGTCCAAACCGACGCCGCGGGTGGAAGGGTTCAACTTTTCCTACCAGGGTCTGCTTGGTATATGGGAAGGCTTCCCTTCAAGCCACCCGCAAGCGTCGACATCGACGCATACAACGCCCCGCGTCATGGCGAGGAGAAGCGTCCTTCCGAACACGCCCATGCAATCTTTGTCGGCGCTGCCTCTCGATCTCAACCTCAAGTCGTCGTCTAGGCATAGCAGCCGCCGCCGACCACATGGCGGGCTGTCTGAAGAGTTCCTCGCGGCTATAATGGCCCTCGCGGATCGGAGTGACCTGGACACCACCTCTTGGAAGCCGGCCGTCGCGACGTCTAGGCTGGTGCAGCGACACCTTGCGCTGCAGTTGTGCGGATGGAGCTTGGCCGAGAACGATCTCATGCATGCCATCAAACGGTATGCCGAGTGGATTATCTGACGCATACCCAGCTCACTATATGCATAGGTGGGAGAAAGATGGCAGACATTCCCAGGCCGCGTGTTGGCTCGTGTTCACAGACAGATCGAAGGCCGCGGTCGAACTGCTGATGCGAAGCGAAGGTATGATAGTTTCGGACTGGGTGCAACGTGTGTCTTACCCTAGTCTAGACGAGTCGCTCCATATGATGTCTGGTATGCTAGCAGCACTAGCACCTACCTCTGGAGGGTCGGTAAAGAACCCTGACCTCGTCGAACACACCACCCGCCTAGTGATCCGCTTGCAGGATCCTTATCTGCGCGCCATGCTCACCTACCTCACGGTGATGGACTGGTCGGAAGTGTTGCAGGAAGAGGTACTGCCTCTCCGAGAGAGACTGGCTATTGCATTCCATTTCCTCGACGACCGAGACTTGGGCTCATACCTCCATCGCGTCGCTGATCGGAGTAGCCACGACGGTAGCATAGAAGGTCTCATCGTGACGGGCTTGACGTTTGCAGCACTGGACATATTGCAATCGTACGTCGACGTCACGGGCGACGTGCAGACGGCGGCGATCCTGTCGTCCATGACACCTACAGGCGCGCACGACACCCGGGCCAGCCACTGGCTGGACGCCTACCGCGATCTCCTCGACGGGTGGAAGCTCTTCCATCACCGATGCCAGTTTGACGTTGACCGCGGACGGATGCTGAAGGACGCGCAGCAGAACACCGAGCTAGATCAGGCCTACGAGTGGGCACCGCGCCAGATATTGCTTCGTTGCAACTATTGCAACAAGTCGATTGACTCGGCGCCCCTCGAAGTACGGAACCATACTCCTCGGGTGCGTTCACTTCGTATACGTTCGTTCTGGCAATGCTTAGATCTATTGCAGGCTACTGCTTGCCCTCATTGCGGTCGTCCCCTGCCGCGATGTTCCGTATGTCTCATGGCACTGAGCATCGTACAAGACTCGATGCGAAACGCAGCATTGATGCGCTCAGGCTCTGGGGGTACGTTCGCCGTGCATTGCCACCCAGATTTGTGTTGACATCGACCCAGACACTATTGACGACGCGCTCGTGTTCTGCCAGACGTGTCGCCACGGAGGGCACGCGTCACATATCTTGCAGTGGTTTTACGGTGAGGACCGGCGGCGCTCTCATGGGACATGTCCGGTTGCTGGATGTGATTGTAGATGCTCAGACGGTTTCTGACGCTAGACTGTTTCGTCCTTCTCATGACTTGCATCTATGTGGCTTCTCGCTCGAGGAACGAAATGCTCTAGCATGAGTTGCTTGTATAATGACTAGAATCCTCAGCGCTCCAGCATGTTCTTTTGTCATGTGCGAGCCATAGACGAACTGCATGTGCTGCAAGTTACTGGCTAGCAATGCAACGTTTTCCCTGGACGTCGTAAGTGCGCTGGTCGGTCCTGCATCCCGCGTGAAAAGGCAGTTGAAGACTCTATTCATCTCTAGGCTAATAGTACTCATACTCGTCGTACTCGCGTTCGAAGAGATCGAGCTCGTCAAGATCCTTTTTGTGCTTCTGTTGCTTCTTCTTCTTGTGGTGGTCACTAATTTAAGGATCAGTGAGCGTGCCGATTCAGAGGTTGTGCACACTTACACCAAGCTCTTGATGCCAGTGGCTGCGGCTTTAATAGAATGGGTGACGATACCGAAGAGACCACGTTCCTGGAGATCGCCATTCTCGATGGCGCGCACTATGAGGTCCTCCAGTTCCCCAGCGGGGGCCCTGGCGAGGAGGTTGTCGTAGTCTCGGGCGTAGACATAGCTGATGGGTAAACATAGTAAGCACCCCTACAGGATTCGACGATGTGCAGGACGACGCTTAGCATACCTCATAGGCCGAGACATGACGGGCAAAGCCGTTGTGGAGAGAGCAACGACGGCGAGAATAGCGGAGAAGCGCATGTTGGAAGTAAACGCAAGTGTAGGCAATTATGAAAAGCGATGATATAGAGCGTAAGAGTCGTCAACAGGAGGGCGCAAAAGGAATGTCGTTGAAGTGAGGCTAGGATCAGCATTGTGAGTAAGAATGTCTTCCATTGGTCAAAAGTAGGGAGCACGTACCAACCAGTGCCGACTTCAGTGGCTTGCACTTGGGGAAGAAGTGATGAGCGGAGGTTACCAATTTCGATTCCATCTCCCTTTATCTCATCCAAGTAGCGGCTCGACAGCGGCATCTCTGGAGGATCGGGCGGTTGATCGGATGATTCAGTTGTCAGCGTGGGCTTGGCGAACAGGTTGCGGTGCGCTGAAATTGGGTGTCGGCATGTACGGTGTTCTGGTTCCGTTTGAAACTTTGACGTCGTACATGCCTACAATTGGTAAAGCTCTTGCGGTTTACGGAGTCCGTCTACACTGCCCTTTGGTCGACCGGACAGAAAGCTGATATATGACCGACGTTGCAATCAAGCAACGTCGCTTGGCCCTGTCAGTGCCAGCTTGATCATACTACCCATTGGGCGTCAAAATGCCTACGTCCAGGTGGTTCAACCGGCGTGTTTGGAATGATAGCGCGTATACGGTATAGCTTTCGTACGGCAGTCATACGGCACCTCGCGATCGCACTTATGTTGTGTGCCGCCCAGGTGTCGCCGGTATGCCGAATCGAGTGAACTGTCCCATTCAACACGGCACGGGAATCTTCACGAAGACCAGAAGAAGACCGCCCTCACAGCCAGCGGGAGTTCCTGTCAAGTTGACGTACGTGTCAGTAGTAGAGCGTATCACATAAAAAGGGAGCACTGACTTGGACCTGCAGATCTGCTCAGTTATCGACTCCTCTCCCAACCGGCGACGTCCGAGGGTTACATTAAACATTATCCTGATGGCGCCGCGGACATTAGGTAGGCGTGGGCGCGAGAACAAGACGACGCCCACCCCTCGATCATTATGCATTGACATTGATGGGTCGTCGGACGATCTCGCCGCCGTCCTTGGCCAAGTACAAATCCAAGGCACAGTGCACCGCAAACAGGAGTTGTTTGCGGCATCAGTGGTGAGAACATAGCCTTGATTATAACTTGGCGTAGTATTCGCGTCTCAGAAATGCGCTCGTCGGGAGACTCAAGCCACTGGTACCTGACGCTCTCTGCACTGGCAGAGTCTCCTGTGCAGTACCATGCGTCTTGCCTCAGCTGAGTATGACTCTATGAGCACTGACGCGGACATTATCATACATACCTTAGACTGAACAGACAAATGATGACTCCGCCAGCCAGCATCGTTAGATGAGCCACGCAAGCCTGAGGCTGTACCAGGATCCCCAGGATCCCCAGCATTCATTGCACCTTTCCTGTCCTCGATTGCAATGTTGATAACACATTCGTGGTACGCAATACTTCTCGACGCATCACCATTATACGGCTAATGTTTTGGCATAGACGGTATGATGGCTACGTCCTTCTCATGTAGATCCATGCCGGCCAGTCGATGAACGGCGAAGCCATGTTGCGATAGCCCATCAGCTCGAAGCGTAGGTGGTTGTATATGGCGATCTGCCAGGTGCGTCAACATGATCGTCAGTCGTCCGCTGTTCAGTCCTCACTCACATTGCGAACGTGCGTAGTGGCCAAGGCCATGATCCATTTGTGAGGCTTTGCCTACACGAACATTCAGCGGGCGATAGATCCGCGCGTCGAGCTGTACATCACCTTCTGGTAGGCGAGCTCTGACATTGCTTTCGATATACCCCGCTGCTGATACTCGGCAACGACAAAGTTGAAGTTGCACCAGTATGCGTTCAATTCGCACTGACTTCGTTGAGTTACTTATTACTTCACGAATAGTCGTTACACTCACATTCTCGATGCCTGTACAGTCGTCAATCGCTTTCGGGAAATCGACCCCCATCTAGTATCCAGGTGGTCAGCAATCTTCCCGCCGTGACATTCAGTGACTCCACTCACCGCCTTCGGGAAGTATTCCTTGGCTTTGTCCGACAGTCGGACGTTGAAGTCTTCAAGCCGTTCTCTCTGTTCTTCACTAAGAATATACAGACGTCGGTGATCACGAGATCGCTGTCCCAGAAACAGACAAGGAGGCGTACGTCGAGAAGAGTAGCTTTCCCGGCGGTACCCAGCCTTGAAAGCCCACCATAGCACCATGCTCGTTGAATGCAGCATATATGTCGCCACACATGAATGCGATAGCGCCCACCATCGCCCGTATCAAGTAGGGAAGTATAAGCATATCTCCACCTGTGAGAGCGATGGCAAGAGGGTCTGTGGTCGACAATGAGTATGAACTCATGAGTAGCATTGGGCCGGTGCGAGGTGCGTTACCTTCCTGCATGAGCTTGCAAAAAATTTGAACCGCCTCTTCTACATGGCCCTCTGTGTGCACAATATCGTCGCCTCTGATGATAGACAACAAGTTAGGTGAGCCATTACACACCCGTCGGATTGTCGAGCTTCTTCACGGTTATGTCCAGGAGTCCCATGGCGAAGCAGAGGAGGTAGATGTACCAGTCACAGTGGTCGATATGCGACCTGCGATGGCTTTTCAGGTCGGAACACTTAAAGGACGCCGCAGAGCCCGGTATCATACGCACACGCGTACGAAGACGACAACATACATGATCCTCATTGGTATGCCGCTTGGGTCAGAAGCTAGGCCCACGCATCGCACGAGGCAAATGTCCGCATGCATCGATTGAGATTGTCAGCGATTCGCCATCCACAATGGGACTGTAAACTCGTACCTTCGTCACGGTCTTGCCGTCGGCGCCATCTTGCAAGGCGCGACTCGAGCAAGAGAACTGCAGCCAGCGCACATCACACATATGGCGTCGGGCGGCTTGATGTTCCGGCGTCCTCGACAGATGTGCGTGTATGTTGATAGCACACATACTAGCTTTCCTGCAGCCTTCGCGAAACACCTCACCATAGTGCTCGTCGGGGAGGGGGGTTCTCTGGCCGTCCGCATCTCATCGGCCCTAGGTGCGTGTGCATACAAGATACATGAGCGAGTCCGAGATGCCATGCCGGACCACATCGTTCAAGTCTGATGAAGAGTACCAGGATCAGTTTATACCATCAGAACACTGCAGGGGTCTTTTCCAGTTGCTGATACGTCGATGTGGGCCTATGTCAGTGTAAGAGGACAACCACCGTCAGACCCGACCCTCAACGTCACACCTTGACAACTTGGATCCACGCGACAGAAACTGACGCAAGTGCGTTATCATCCATACAACCGCTTCGAGCGCATACCAAGTGACGGTACGTATGCTGCCACCTCCCCTACGCCCGGGGCACATGGAGTATGTGATCTACTCGAAGTCCCAGTCATAGAACTCCCGCTCATATAGTTCCTCGAGGTCCTCGAGGTCCCGTTTTCCCTTCTTGTTCTTCTTCTTGCTGTCATGCGCACTGAACATGATTGACTTGTTAGACTCTGTCCATCTCTGCTGATAGTCAGACTGACCTCTTGAGAGCCTCGACACCCTGCGCACCGTCCTTGATGACGGAGAACCACCCACGAGCTTCGAGCTCGTCCTCGGGCAGTGAGCGATGGCTAGGAGACAGACACAAAATCCCCGGTCAGACAGATGTAGTTGGAAGGGTGTCTCATCGACTCACATCATGGACATGATGCTCGCAGGTATACTCGAGGCGACGGGTTCCTTCTGGTGTGTGGCCGCAGGCTCCCTTCCGATAATAGGCATGCGTCCGAAGTTGAACGGCCTGACAGGTCCCAGCCCTCGGTATAGTGGTTCTCTTGCCATGACATCCTCATATTCCCGCTCATACACCTGCCTGAGGGAACATAAGTTAACCTGTCAGTCAGCGGTTGACGGACTCACTCGATGGGTGCAGACATAACGGGGATAGCCGCAGTGGACAGCATAGCAGCGATGAGCATAGAGAAACGCATGTTGAAGAGATCGAGTCAGTAGATGGGCTAGCACGTAGGTTCGTGAGGCGTGAATTGGTCGTGAACGAAGGCGAAAGAATTCAGGCTACAGATAGGTAAGATCCATGGGTTGGCATAAAGACGCATGCGAAGTGCTTACCAGCCAGTACCGACTTCAGTGGCTCGAACTTGAAGGTAGGAGCTGAAGAATCATTCCCGGAGACCGAAGACTTATATGCGCTCCTCGCACGCTCGTTGCATCGCTTGCTCCACCTACAACTTTGGGGGCCGTTTCGAGTTGATGTTCTTCTCCACGGACTGTCACTGCGGTCGCGTAAGTATCATTGTTGAGTGAAGTGTGCAACGTACCAACAGACAGTGTGACATCATAGATAGCAATAAGGCGCGAAACAAGGCAGCCTGTGCAGTGATCGTGGAACGGTAAGTATAAAATGCTGACATACGCATTCAACGCGACCCTAATGGAGAAGACTGCATACACCGTCTGCGGTGCATATCATAAAGGTGCGTCTAGCCTAGGTCGAAAGGCCGGCGCAATCCGTTAGCACTACGACCGTACATCGATGCATCGTGTACACCGAGCCCAACTCGGAGTAAGAATACTAGTTGTCTGATGCTGCCGTCAGCTTAGCACCGACCATACCCACAGGGTGTGCGCTCCGAGTGTTCAGATCGACAGATGTCTGTCACAACTGTGCTGAACACTTGCTGTTGGTGGTCAGACAAAGTCGCCCCCGGATGACGGAGGTCTATTGAAGGCGGCTTCAATGAAGTCTCGGGGTTTTATTTTCATACCAATAGTGTACGAAAAACCTCAAGGTCAAATGAGGCGAGTGGAATGATTGCGCCATCAGTGTCGAGACGTAGAGCTAGCAGTGCAAGAGAAGTAAAGAACCGGGTTCGAGGCAGTGTGTTTTCCGTTGGTACAGTATAAGCGCCGGAGGTTAGTATGTGGCGTCGCAGCGCGTCGCACGTGACCTCGACGCGCACGACGCGGTGGCGGCGTGGTCCTTGATGAGTGGCGCAGTCCCGGTGGCGTTGCGGTTGTCCTTATCCTTCAGCCTGCCAATTGGTCTCTCTGTATCCACACTATGTCACCCTGCACCACTGCGCTTAGCACTTGAATGGCTCTTACGAACCAACGGGAGCATCTTTCATTTCTCCCCCCATGAACTGCTAGCCGACCGGCGGTAGTGACGACGTTGGCCAGCACACGGCCGACTATATGCGCGTGCATCTTAGACGATGCAACAGCTGACTGGAAGGAAACCCCTGCTAACTTATCGGGATTTGCAATTCAGCCCCATCCACAGTCTAGTCGCGGACACAGACAAATCGCTCACGGGCGCTGGAGCGATGTATCAAGCTCAAGTCGGTGGTCGGCTAATGATGATGGTGAGTGAGATAACTGTGCGTCATGATCGTCACGAAGACAACAGATTCGACAACATCGGGGTAGAAACGGTAGCACCAATGCAACACCAATGGGTCCAATAGTAGCGGAGATTGACATTGGTAAGTAGCCAGTATTGTAGCTTGGTGCCATGTTATGAAAGCTACGCCACAATTCCCAGGTGCATCGTTATGACCCGTCTTCGGTTGACCAGAACCTCGGTCTGTGAAGCTCTCGATTATCCACCGGTTGTCAATGGAGACATTAGAAACTACCCCAAGGAGCACAATGAGCGGTCACTCCGCAATGGCAGAACGACAGTGAAGGCCTTAGGCAACGGCACTACCTTTAGAAGCAGCCTTTCTGCGTTGCTCATAGTCGCGGTTCATGGCTTACAGCAGCTCGCTTATCATCTGCACAAGGCGCCAGAGCGAGAGGTGAACGACTTGCAACAATATGTGCCGGTGTATCACTGTCTGACGAAGCAATTAGGTGGTACGCCGCGACGGTATGACGCATGTCTCACTCACTGTGACTGCGACGTACTCACTGTGCCTATATACTAGACATCAGCGAACATACGCGTACCCGGTTTGTTATCGCGGCTCAGGTCCAAGGACGTCTGGTCGGGTCATACTCCCGTCCACTCTTATACTACTTGAGCGTTCATTTCGGTGAGCTGATGCGGCTTTCATCCTGCAACCCCGCTGCGCTGATCGAGCATACAATATGCATACGGCGTACAGGTATCTTTCATATCACATTGCAGGATGATACTTCGCAAGGACGACCCCTGCACATGGCCTAAATCGTGCTGTACAGCGGCGAGGAGCACGTGTGGAAGGTCATATAAGGCGCCTCATTTTCATTGCATGGGAGAAGGAGAAGGGACATCCATTGCTGACTGCGTTTCTCTGTGTACGCATGGTAGGTGTCTTCCTCTCCTTCCATGCCCTCGGTTCTTTCGACTTTGGTCCGTCATCAGTTTTGCGGCTCATTCCCGTTCCTAGCACAGCGGGTGCCCTGCACCCTAGATACTCCACTGATCGCAGGACAGGATTGAATTCGCACAGCACTCCACAACGAGTCGCCAAACGCGCGTCCTCGCTATTCTGGTAGACGTCTCGATGAGGTACGTATCACTGAATAGCTTGCTCTAAACCCGCTTCGCGATGACTCTCGACTGACCGGTCATGCATGTTCCACCTTCAAGGTGTGCTGCGCACGCACCAGGCTAGCGTGTCCACGCAAGGGATCTAGTCTTTCATCTCTGCCTGCTGGAATGCGCAAGAGGTATAGTGCTCACAGGCGTTCCTGCAGATATCCACGTTGGCGCTTTGCTTCCGCTGCATCTCGTCTTCCAACTTCGTCTGGCGCGTCTGATGGCCTCGAGGCGACCAGCCCCATTCAGTACGTCCACTTGGTGTGCCATTCCACTCGCACACTCGGTTCCGTCGGTGCCTGTACCGTGCGCACGACTGCGGATATGACATGAACCTCTTGTACATGGCAAATCAGCTGCCGCGGGCTGGACAGACTCTCGGACTCTGAGTCTATCACACCTGCTGCTCTTCTACACGCTTACTTCTTCGCCCTATCTCCTGCGCCCTGGTCGCCGGTCACTTGATTGAGCGGGCGTCTGCTACCTACTTCCGCGCGCGCTGTGTGGTGCACAATCACGACGAAGTCCATCGGAATTTTTGTGTGGGCAGTGTGGGTGAGTTCTTTCATTGTCTTCGATGGATTCAAGCGCGCTACATACCTTTGTGGCGTTACGAAGATTCACAATGTGGGTCTTCACGATGACAGTCATTCTTGTGGCGAATAGAGTGGGCTCCATGGAAGGTGGGTCAACTTGGGAGAAGGGGTATGCAAGGACGAGCTATTACCGTCCGGTACGTGTGTCCTTGCCAGTCTGCCGAGGTCCTCATTTTCACGCACAACGAGGCGACGTGGGTTGGTGTAGACTCCACAAGCTACTTGGCCTTTCCCAAGGATTGTCCGCTTCCCAGTCTCATGTCCACAACAGATCAAGACGATGCCGTCAATTGTATTGACTGCGGCGTCGTCATCCCGTCTCGTCGTATACCCATGTACGGAATTCAACTAACAGCTCAACGTCCACGCAGTCCACCTGCTCGCGACAAAACAGAAATCGGCGACTGGGCCGCGTTCACATGCCACGTCTACTCGGTGTCTGAACCATGAATCTTTGCCGCCCTCCCAGGCTCATTGACCAAGCGAACTCTATTCAGATGCGGACCGCCGCCGCTATAGCTCATCTGGGATGATCAGCGATGTATCCCCGGTGCGATATGGCATCGGCCCGTCCTCGCTGGGACTGTCCTACCTGGCCAGGAGTATGAGTGCCGCAAGCTGGTTCGTAACGCTAATCACACAACGTGCAGGGACGAGAGCATGCTTCCGCAATGTGGTCGAAGTCCAGTGGAAGTCGCAGCCACCGCGTCAACCCCGGATCGCGGAGCGCGCTAGAGTAGGCTTGACTCAATCGGCGGACCAGTGATCGTGTTTAGGGCCGGTGCGCGGGGGTTTGGTATGATTTCCATATTTGGCAAGTCGAGGCAACGTGGCGGCCATTGCGATGCGAAAGTTCTCGAGTAAGAGCGCGTCTCGCTCCTTCCGCCTCGTGTGCAGTGGACTTACCTCACACTGGCCAGCGTAACGGGGGCAGAATCCCTCCCTCTCTGCGACACCCATGGCGCCCCCTCCCCCGCCGCCTCCTCCGCCGCCGCCGCTATGCTTCCCTTTCACCCGGAACAAGAAGAACAACCGCCGCCTGACGTTCTCTGAGCAGTCCGCGCGCGAGTCATTCGATTCACAGCGATCGAGCATCAACCGACTCAACCGGGCCGAATCCTACTCCCCCACTGCAACACTTACATCGCACGCGGAGAAGCTCACGTTCTCGTCCGAGACGGAGTCGTACGAGTCGGCGCGCAACAAGCGGAATGAGGCGATCGAGGTCCGCGCTGGCGTCTTGCGCCGGAACACGACCAAGGGTAGGATTGAGGCCCCGCCGCCCCTGGCTGCGGATCCTCCGCAGAGGAAGAAGACCTTGCTTGGATATGGATGGGGCATCGGGAAGAGGGAGAAGGAGAGGCAGAGGTTGCAGGAGATGATGGAGGAGAAGGGAGAGTCGATACGGGAGGACTCGCTCGACCTCACGCGTAACGCGTCGCACGACAGCCGTCCACCCCTCTACCAGTCCCCGAGGCCGTCCAACGGCTCTGGCCGCGAGTCTGTCACGAGCTACATGAACCCTCTCCCCCCGCAAACGCCTCCCACCAACACGCGGTCGAACACCTACAAATCCAATATGACTCGCACGACCGCGCGTTCGGGAGGTTCTGGTGGTGCACGGAGTGGCGGAAGTGGAGGTGGAAGTGGAAGCGGGGGTGGAAGTCAGAGGAGACCGCGCTTTGCAGCTTCGGATTCCGTGGACACCCTGGTTGGCTCTGCGTACGAGCGCAAAGTCAACGATCTCGACACAATACCGGAACGAATCGACACGAAGGATCGTCTTGATGCATTGAGGACGTATATGGCTAAGGAGAATCTTGATTACTAGTAAGTCGATCTCAGCACGCGTTCGGGCGACGATCATGACTCCTGTCAGTGTCATTCCATCCGAGGATGCCCACGGATCAGAGTACGTTGCGATTAACGACAAGAGGAGGGAATGGATCTCTGGGTACGTCATGCGCCTGTGAGATAGCTGGCGTTGTATTCACTGCCCCCTCTAGATTTACTGGGTCGTCCGGACAAGCTATCATTTCGAGGACTAACGCATACATGCTAACCGACTCACGTTACTGGGGACAAGCCCAGCAACAACTTGACCATAACTGGATCCTCATCAAGGCGGGCTCTCCAGACGGACCCAAGGACTGGGCAGAGTGGCTAGTTGATCGCTCGCGGGACACGCGCATCGGTATCGATGCGCGTATGATCTCGCACGGGAAAGCGAGCACGCTCAACCCGCTCTTGCACACGCGTAATTCGAAGCTGGTCTACCCGCCGCAGAACCTGGTGGATCTCATCTGGGCAGAGAAGCCGTCGCGGTCGAAGGAGCCCGTCTATGTGCAGTCGTACGAACGCACAGGCCAGCATGCCAGTGCCAAGCTGGCAGAATTGAGAGAATGGATCCGTCAGCAGCCTCCGACGATACCTACGTTCTCCAAAATGGAGCCAAAGCCGTCGCAGATGCAGGTCGCAACTCTCCTTTCTTCGTTGCCGAATATCGGTGCGTGATGATCATATTCGTGATGCGCAAATACTGACACAAACTCCAGCTTGGCTGCTCAACCTGCGCGGAGATGATATTCCGTTCAACCCGGTCTTCCACTCGTACCTATTCGTCAGCTTGTCACAAGCTGTACTCTTCATCGAGCCCTCGAAGGTTTCCCCTGCCGTAGACGAATATCTGGAGTCCATCGGCGTCGAGAGGCAAGAATACAACGAGGTCTGGAGTTTCCTCCGCCTCAAGCCGTGGGGCGAAGGGAAGGTACGTCATTGCGTTCGGTGTTCACAGCATTTGGACTCAACATAGCATCGCTTGTATAGGTTATCATTACCCCTCAGACCTCGTACGCGATCTCGCTCATTTTGACGAGCATGCGCTACACCGTGCTCCCATCCTGGGTGGAACAAGCCAAAGCGGTGAAGAACAACGTCGAGATCCAGGGATTGCGCAACGCCTACTTGCGCGATGGCATCGCGTTCGTACGGTTCATCGCCTGGCTGGAGCAGAAGATCCAAGAAGGCTACGAAATCACTGAGTATGAAGCTGCGTGGCGATTGACCGAGTACAGGCGCATGTTGGAGAGATACCAGGGTTTGGCATATGAGAACATCTCAGCGAGCGGACCCAATGCCGGTTAGTCGCTTCGCGTCCCTGCGTAAGAATATACACTGATACCGCTTATCCGGTATCCAGCTCTCCCGCACTACTCGCCTCGCAAGGCGACTGCGCGGTTCATCGACCGCGAGACTCCCTACCTGAAGTATGTCGCAATTATGGTTTTGTGTATCGTATCCTGACAATGCCTCCAGTGACTCAGGTGGACAGTACCTGGATGGTACATGTGATACGACTAGGACTGTGCACTTCGGTCGTCCCTCGGATGCGCAGTGCGAGGCATATACTCGCGTCCTCCAGGGCCATGTACGTAGCGTTTGTAGTGTCGACCTTTTTGCACAACTGAACTATGCTCTGCGCCAGATTGCTATTGACAGTGCCATCTTCCCCGAGGGCACGAGCGGCCTGCAGCTTGACGTCCTTGCTCGGAAAGCGCTCTGGAAGGACGGTCTGAACTATCTGGTGAGTCAGCAGTCCCATATAATTTTGACTAGGCTCACGACCACTGTCTAGCACGGGACCGGCCATGGCGTAGGCTCGTTCCTGACGGTCCACGAAGGTCCGCAGGGTTTCTCATCGTCCGTCCCGCTCGTTCCGGGCCATGTCGTGACGAACGAGCCTGGCTTCTGTACGTGACACTGATCCGACCTGATGCCGGAGCAAAGTCTGACCTGGATGATAGACAAAGAAGGCCACTTTGGTATTAGACTCGAGTCATGTCTGGTTGTGCACCGCGTGAAGGTCGGAGATTCTCTTCTACGCATTATCCGGAGTCAGCTAACAGTCGATGTTATTAGACCAAGCACCAGTACAACGGCAATGTTTGGCTCGGTTTCGAGCGTCTGACTTGCGTGCCCATCCAGACCAAGATGGTGAAGGTCTCGGTGCTCACGAAGGAAGAGAAGGAATGGCTCAGGGTATGTTCGCATTAGTCTTTGGTCTACGACATGACACTCATGCCCACAACTTCAGGCGCACAACAGACGCTGCCTTGAGAGATTGGCGCCCTACCTGGAGAACGACCAACGCGCGCTGAAGTGGCTACGTCGGGAAGCCAACAAGGACATCGGCCTGGCGAACACTGGACCAGGCGGTATCAGCATAGACTGGGATTGATTCCCGCACCACAGTGGTTTGCTCCTATTCTCTCGATCTCTGACCGTGTTTGTGAACTATTTGTGTGTACTTCTACCTCGACCATTATACCTTATCATCAGCACATGGGCTGTCGTAGGGCATTACCGCTGATCTCCCTATATACTGACTGTACCTCCCTGACCCTCCACATCTTCCCTCTACAGCTGACGTACTAGGAACTTTGGATCACTTATTGCGCTCTGCCGTGCGTCATTTCCCTTCCTTGTATACAGTTGGTCCGCGTTCATGTACATAGTACCTCTTCGACAGTAGGTAGTGATTACGACTGGAGACGTCTCCGCAAATCGATGCACGTGAAGCAGTATATACGTACGGATGTCCTACGTCCGTACAGAATGTGGCGGGACCGTGACTAGCGATGTAACAGGCTTGGAACAGGGAACTCTGGAACTGCCTCGTTCGTTATGCCCATGAGCGATGCGATGGCGAAGGGCACAACAAAACTCAGGGCTTACCTCGTATCTTGTGGCTGTCATCGTGACGCCGAATCAAAACCAGATTGAGTCAACCCGGGGATTGGTGACGTCGTCATCTGTGCCATTCATTAGGAAGGTGAAAAGACTCGGAAGCAAGGATTATGTACGGTACGCACCAGTCGGTCTGACCAAGGACGATGCAGTTGACATGTCTAGGAAGGTACACAGGATGACTGTTGCGCACAGAATACGAGTGCGAGTGATGGTGACTCTTCGAAAGAGCATCGTAGATGACTACTGGCTCTCGGCGGTTGGGAGATGGTAGTAAGTTGCCAGCGTAAGAAGGGCCGCGAGGCTTCTGTGGATGCTCGCGTCTGCAGTCCTTATATCTCATATGGAGAGGCAGATAATCTTCATGGTTCGTCACAGAAGTCCCTGCCACAAGCGGCTAGCCGCTAGTAACAAGTTGAGAGGGGAATGTGACCAGGAATACAACAATGCTTGTATATTGATTCTTTTCCCGGTACGTACATCAGAAAGTGGATATATCATATAGTGACCCGATTATCGCGCGTGAGCAGTGGATGATCACCTTGATCATCATGATCTAGTCCACCGGGTGAGCGCCGAATATCATTCGGAGCAGGGGAATCTTTGTACTTGTACTCTGCGAAATCAGTCACGGTAGTACGGGGAACTAGGCTACGATTCAGAGGTGGAATATGTCGAGCTCGGACAGCATGAGCGGGGAATTACGGACGCAGTGTGCGATCGCTCGAATCAGTTCTCCGACTGTTATGTGGAACTAAATGTTGGCAAGGTCAGGTCTCCCAACAAGTCTTGGCAGGAAGACACGAACTGCCTAGTGCAGCTTGTACATGACTGAGACATGACCGGTTGACCGGCCTTGATTTATTCTACGATCACCGATGGGCATGCAGGTTACTTCTGATCTACATACATCATGGTATGTGTAGTATTTGGCCGTGGTGATCGCGTTAGCCGAACTTCAGTGTGTCCTCTTGGTGAACAACTCGAAGTTGGTGCCAGGATTGTTCATCAAACCGTCACAGTGCTCTACGAGCGGCGGCGTTGAGAAGCTTTGTCTGGGCGGTCTCACTCAGCGCGGAGAGCAATCAGCTGCCGTCATGCCAGAGGCTGTGAGCGTAGATGGGCCTGATTACCGCCGCCGTAGTCTCGGTAGACCTCTTGCAGCAGCGCAGAGCTCGAGCCAGCTGACGGGCGCTGATTAACGGCTTACCTATTACAGCTTCCTCTCGTGAAGGCGACCGACTTCATACCTTAAGTTGTACTGGCTCAGATTTGTGCAACAAATTGCCGTTTCGCGCGGCAGCGCATTTACCGTCATAACCATCGAACTATTTGACACAAATAAAGATCGACTGATGTGAGCCTCGTTTACATCCGGGACTTCTTATTCGCTACGCTGTGGGCCCGTTTTGATCTCCTTCTGCTGAGTTCTCCATAGCCGCGTCGATCGATGCGTGCTTGCCAAGTTTCCATGAACCTCCGCGCAAGAATGGTTTCTCGCCCGTGAACGTCATCATGGCGATGAGAGCAAGACCCAGCAGGCCTATGTGAATATAGCACAGGATGTCCCACCCTCTGTTACTGTGCCCATAGACCTGTCGCTCATCTTAGTGACTGAGCCGTGATGCCACAAATGACCGCATACCTGACCAGCGACAATGGAACCGACTGATATCGGTCAGATGGAGCATTGGACCTAACGGCATGGCGCGCTCGCACTCACCAGCATTCGCAGTACCCATTACAATGTTGAATGTCCCGTAGGTATGCGCATCTGGTGTCAAAGTCAGCTATCTGCAGGCTACACCGTCACGTACTACGGAACCTACAGCCGACTCCCTTCATAGTTCTAGTGATAGCAGCCAGCTCGGCAGTCATAGGCGGTGCGACGGCAGCAACAAAGAAGTCTGCATGACGCGCATTCAGCCTGACATCATAAGCTGACCCGATTGACTCACTCTCAATCCCATAGGAGAAGATAAAGAAGGGTAGAGAAAATGTCGTAGTCATAGCTCCCCACCACGGAGTGCCACATATGGTGAAGAGGATAGCAATCCACTGTGGACCGAACCGATCGGCAAGAACGCCAGCTAAGGGATTGGCTATAAACACGGCAGGATGCAATTGGGTCACCGAGAATGAAAATCATGAGCAAGACAAAAACGTACAAATTAATGTAGGTATAATAGCCGCTAGATAGGCTAATCCAACCCTTCTCGAGTCAAATCCCCACACGTTCTGTAGACACAGAGGTATTGTCACATCCGCGGCAGAGAAGACAAATCTGCAGGGAGCAGGTTCAGTGATATGATACATTGTCATGAGAACCACCTACGAGCATACGAACACAACAACTAAGGATGTCAGTAACCGGGGCGAAGACGCAAACTGCACGAGGATGTCGATAACTGGAAGCTTGTTCGCCGCTGTATCTTCGCGCACTGGCAGCACCGGCGCAGTAGCCACGACTTGCACTGTGGTAGATGGCTCCTTTGCCTCATTGAACAGGCCAGCAGACGGCTGGACAGGCTGTAGCCCTACTGCTTCCGTGCGCTTCGGCTCCTTCGGCAAGGAATGTCGTCCAAGACTCCTGTCTGACACCGGTTTCTCGATGACCAGAAGACGGCATGTGATGTCAACTACTGTGAACAGAATCGAGAAAATGAATGGTGCTTTATATCCCCACCGCTTATATAGCGCCCCTCCGACAGGCGGGCCAACGAGTGCGCTGAGCGAGGGTGAGTGATTATCGGGTATTGATCACCTGCGACTCACCCAAATGGCATGCCAATCATTGCCATCCCAAGTTGACCTTCATCATACATGTTCAATTCAAGTCAAGTCAGGACAAGAATCTCACCTCCTATGTCTTTGTCTGGCGTTGTATCGCATCTGTATACAAAAAGGGGTCAGCGATGACATTAGAATGACAACAAGAGGAAGAAAGGGTGTGCTTACATCAGAGCAAGTCCAGCCGTCATAATGACAGCCGAAGCGATGCCTTCCAAAAACCGCCCGATACACATTACCCAGAACATTGGCGCCATCATCAACAAGAGTTGCGACCCCAGTAGACTGAACTGTCCTGCTACCATAACGCCTCGTCGGGAGCCAAGACGTTCAGATGCCACAGCTATGACTGGCGTCGCTATGGAAGGTCACGCTTGAATCGGTCTAAGACTCCGACGTCGATATATGACTCACAGACGACGAGACCTATGGACTTGAGAACGTGAGATGTTAGTCAAACTCACTTATGTCGAGTTAAGAAACAGTCGGCCCACGTAGAGAAAGAGGAGCCAACCGACGAGCCCTGAAATTGAAATGTCGGGATAGTGCAATTCTTCCAATCTGAATGGGAAGACGGCGACAACTATATTGGCATTCAACGTATCGAGCGCAATGCCTACAGAGGAAATCAGTCCATTGGAAGTGACGCGTTAGGAGAGGCGGCCTACCGACTCCGACCACTATATGAGCGGTGTCAAGTTTCAACTGATTGTGTTCGTGGTACGTGGTATACTTGCACTTACCTGTGGTTACGAAGGCAACCGACGAGCGCCATGTCTTGGACTTTAGGAGGACCTGTCTAAGAAGACTATTGGATGCCGAAGAAGGCTCGATCGACTGATCAGGACAAGGGCCCTGAGACATGCTGCTGGCCATGGCTCTTGGATCGATTACAGGCTAATAAGCAGCTACGGGTTGAGGGCGACCGTCGACAGTGACTTGTCTCCCACTTAAGTTGACACAAGCACGAAGGTAGGACCCGGAGCCCGGTATTCGTGTACTGAAGGTGCCTTGACTGCACCAGCCTGAGGATACCCTGTGCCCTACGCTTCCGAACGTCTGCAAAAGATGTTGTCCACATATACCATCGCATTGGCACATGGATTGTACTCAGCCTCGGTGAGAGAAGCTTGTATGAGAATCAGAGAACTTGATGAGTCCTCCTGGAATGGACACGGCGAAGCTCAGGATGCCGCGTCTGGCAGTGCCAGTACTTACCTATTCCGATTCGCAAGGGTCACCGCATGGTACGAGACAACACCGCCGCCGATCTGCCCCGGCCGCCGCCGGCGCGCGTCCTCTGAGCGCTGTCCATGCACCGCGTTACCGTAGACCGCGCGTGCTGCGTGGCTAAATGGATCCTCCTTCTTCTTCCTCCTCCTCCTCCTCCAGCCTCCTACTCATCATCTTCCAAGCCTAACGTGACGCCCACGACTAGATCTGAGATCTGAGCGCTAAAGCGGCGCTGGCTGATGTCCAAGCAGATATCATAACATACTCAGGCTGTTCCGTCACTCCGTGAGACTGACAAATGTTGGATGCCGTCCACACGCCGTCACGGCGTACGCTATAGCGCAGCTCCGTGATATTGAGTGATCACTAGTGATACTAAGTAGTACGTGGGCTTCTACTAGTATTGTGACTTATGTTGCTGAGAATCAGTACCTAGTGATCCTTCACGCGCGCTGTTTTAGTTGCCTCACTGGGAGGCATCAACTCCTCTCAGACGTCGTCGCTGCATGCGCGAGGTGCGACAGGTGTGTAATACTAAGAAATTGTGTCTATTAGCACATGATATCTGCGGTATAGTGATATGCTTCCGAACCTTCCGTGTTGCCCACTAGGGACGGCCGGTTTCTACTCATTATGGTCCATTGAACTTGGCCGCTCCCTCTGGTTAGACTCTGCAGCTTCGTATACTGCATTCCAGTCCAGACATTTGCGCCCGACGAAAGGTTCAATCGTCGCAATGTGAGATGGATACTGATATGGGTCTAGGTATGTGTCTCCTCGACAGAGAACCATCTGTCGAACGTAGTTCAGGCAATGTTGTGCAAGCTGCATGTCACGATCCGCCGCGGGAATGATGATTTGCGATCGGATGAAGTCAAGGCAGCGCAGCTCGTGGAACATGGAGACCATGTACGGCTTGCGTTCGGCCCCAGCACCCATGTACACCAGCCCGTTTCCCGGTACAAGGGTGTTCCACTCGCGAACGGCATCCAGTCCGTATCTGACTCCGTTGTCGAACTCCAGTAGGACATGTCTGCGTTTTATGTTCCATGCGGAGACTTCTTGTGCATCGTACGACGCAAATATATAAATACCAAGGATTGAGAATCAGTCTAGGGGACTCACCAGCTGATTTGTGTGTGATAGGAGCAGTGTCCAGCTCGATACGTGCTCGCATACGGCTCAAAACCGCTACTTTCCACATGGCTGAGATGAGCATAAGCACCGATGCGACGGCGAGGACGGGTCTCTCTCGATAGAGGCGGAACTGCATAGCCTAGAAGCTCGGAGGGTGGGTTTAGGGAATTCAATAGCTAGTGTGTCGTTCTTAGTCCCCCTTTTATTCTGCTCGAGTCAAGACCTGAGGCCTGATGGGCTCATCCGATCAGCCTCACTTCGCGGGGATCGGACCAGACGTGCGCGCCGTGATGACTATACCGTCTTAGCCTACTACTGCATTATCTACTCGAGACCGTGCTCAGCGGGCATATTCATACTATGATCTCGGTACCGGGCCCTCGGTTCGTATGCCCTTCGAGCATAGGTAGCACCGTGACGGCAACGATTGCTCGTCCAATATGATCCCATAGTCACCATGAACATAGTTGAATTTGATTGCGGTACACTCTGCGACATCTGAAATCACCTCGAAATGACAAGCCTCGTACTTGGGAACCACTGCGTGTGTATCTGACTACGGGCTTACTGCGTAGCCTTGATCTGGGACCTCTTCACGAATATCCACACCGGCCAGTCGATGAACGGCGAGAGCATGCCACGATATCCCTGGAGCTCGAATCCGAGGTGGTGGTATATAGCAATCTGAGCATTTCTATGAGTGTATTGATTGTCTTGACCGCCGGTGTCACTCACATTGTGGACATTCGTGGTAGCCAATCCCATGGTCCAACCGTTGAGCTCAGCCTGAATTATCAGCGAATGCTCGTAGATATACATCGGGATCTTACCTTCTGATATGCGAGCTGTGACATGGCCGTTGAGATACCCTGCTGCTGATACTCCGCGGCGACAAAATTGAAGTTACACCAGAACATGTTCAACTCGGACTGCCAGTATGCGGTCAGTATAGTGCAACCATAGACGATGTAAAGCTCATATTACATTCTCTATACCAGACAACTCATCGATGACTTTCGGAAATTCAACCGCCATCTAGAGCAGCATCAGTGATGGACGGCATTCACGGCGTCAGCATGCATCGACTGACCATGCCAGGAACGTAGCTTCTGGCCTTCTCTGAGACCCGCGACATAAAGTCTGCCAGCAAGGCCCTTTGTTCTTCGCTAATTCGATGGTTCAACCATGAACGGTCCCGGATGCAAGGCGAATAACCTACGTTGAGAATAAAACGTCCCCAGGCGGAACCCAACCTTGGAAACCGACCATAACTCCGTTCTCATTGAATGCGGCATATATCTCGCCACACATGAACGCGACAGCGCTGACCATCGCACGAATCAGATAGGGAAGGTGGCGAACATCTCCACCCGTAAGTGCGATTGACAGAGGATCTGTATTGCAATGAGAATGTGCATATACATAGACTGTAGGTCCTACCTTCTGGCATGAGTTTGCAGAATATCTGAACAGCCTCGTCGACGTGGCCCTCTGTATTCTTGTTGTGAGCACCAAGCCGGACAAGAGAATATAAAGATACGGACCAGTGGGAGATTCAAGTTTCCGAACGGTGATGTTGGAAGGTACCATGGTGCACACTAGGATGAGGAGGTGCTACTGGCTCGCCCGATTGGAGGGCGTCCTTTTCAGCAAACAGGCATCCGCCAGAGTGTTCATCAGTGTCGTGACAAAGAGAGCCGTGACAGATCAATCATATCCCAGTTTGTACCTGTATGCAATACGTGCTTATTGTACGCACACGCTCCACGTTCCGTCGGAATCCCAACACCAGAAGCATCGCGGCGAGTGGTTCACGAATCACAGCACTGATGTACTTCCCACAGGAATTGTGGGTCATTTGTTCCGACTGCATTCGGATTTGACTGTGATGTGCTACGTTCTAGACATACATACGGCGATGCCGACAATATCAGACTGGTGACTCAGCTTGCATGTGCGCGGGTCTCTGTCGGACATGAATGTGAGGCATACGTGTTTTGGGCTTGCACCACAGCACCATGGGCCGATAGACACGCTCACCGTAGCTGTTGAGAGATCGTTCAAGTTCATATTCCCATTCGCCAAGCCTGGGAGAAGCTGCGATTCGGCGCTGAAATACCGCATGGCGTTCCAACTAGCGAGAAGGTGTCGACAATTCCCTTCCTGTTGATACCTGCGGGCTCTTCGGGTGCCGAGTCTTCGGGTTGCGGAGCTTTGGCTTCTGCACCTGCACTGCTTTCAAGCCCAAGTCTATGACTTGTATCTTAGTTGGTCCGCCGCAGTCCACCGCTATGAAGAATAGCACCAGCCCAATAAGTGTCAAAAGAACTCATGTACGTAAGAGGCCCTAATGCGGCTCCCGATCATCACATCACCGTTATGATAAGATAAATCATGGATAGATCTAAAGCAACAACAAGTGCTCTGGGGGCTTTGCCTCAAGCGGTACTCCTTAGAATGGCACTGTGAGACGGATTGACGTAACGCCAAACGGTATTCCAACTCAAAATCGGGCTGTCACATCCAAGTTTGACGGAGCAGATAATAATCTAGTACGGGGTCTTTGTAACAAACGGCTAACGGCGTAGTGCTACTAAAGACCACCGGAAGCCTTCCATATACAGTGGCATAATGAGACCCGATGATGTTACACCTTTGACAACAAGTCGATGGTCGACGGCGGCTTAGACATAGTCTGCAGCTGGATACTGAGCGCTGTAGTATGTGTGTCCGCGGCAGTAGAGCTATGATTGGGGTATTGCGTACTGATCGCCACCTCGTGAATGCCGTTATTACCCGGCGCGAACGTCATTGAATTAGTCAAAACCTCTGTCATATCCCGCCGTGATATTGCTCTTCCCTTGATAACGCGCATGATGATGAGCTGAGGTGCTAGACCCTATTCCGTTGCTGTCAATAACAACAGGACAGAATTCATACGGCACTGCACATACCGTCATCATCCCATACATCGCTGCAAACAAAACATTCGTATCGCTCCGCACTCCGTAGGTGATGAGGTTGGCGATGCCTATGAGAGTATATGGGAGCGCAGATTCGACGATAATGGCAATCACATTGACATATGTTTCCGACGTCGCGCGTCCAAGATTCTTGCGCATGTACCTGGCGACCCATAGCAGACGGCCAATAATCATGGTCGTGGTGAGGAAATTGAGAAATATGGTGGTCGTGTAATAGCCAAGTCCGCAGTTCTGAGCGAACCCTTCGAAGAAATCGCCATGGGGGTTTCCTGAGGCATACAAAAAGAGGACACCGGATGCTGCCAGTAGCAGAATGAGTATCCGGTCATGCACAGTGCGTGATATCATCGTACCGAATGAGCCAAGCCAAAGGAGCGAAGGGAACAGTATTATATAGATGGAGTTGTAGAGGACGTAGCAGCGGTAGATCTGTGAAGGCCGTTGAACCGTCAGATACTAGGTTTGTCCCACGCAACACCATACAACGAACCATCAAGGCATCCCCCAGCAGATTTGCTGCAGTCGGCGAGGTACTAGACAGTGTCTGGTACCACACATTGACATATGCAGCGAGGTATGCATCCATGCCTCCCGGATACTTGGCATGGACTATCCACATCTCTTCCCCGAACGCAGCGTTGGTCGAATATAGTATCGTCATGAGAATGAGAAGCGTAGTGCTGAATAAGATGAAGAATGTGTCCGCACGACCACGTTTGGGTTTCGTCCACAAAGCATGCACTGTGGTGCCATATACAACGAGTTCAACGCCTACAGGAGAATCAGTATATACCATGAGTGTACCCGCAATGAAGACAATCACTCACCATACAGGATCGCAGTAAGATTGATTCCGATGTAGTTCGAATTCTGAAACAGCGAAGACATGGCAAAGCGTACTAGTAGTAGGCGGGCGAATAGACTCTGCAGGCCGGCTGGCCAGCTATATGAGTATTATGTACCTAGCCTTCGAACGGCGATCGCATGCGGCTGTCGGCTTCAATCACAGAATAAGCCTTCTCCGCCTAGTATGCAAACAGTGAATAATAAATGTACTCACAAGCAACCAATGTAATTGCATATCATGACGCCGCAGCTGGCTCGGGTCACGGAACCCAAAGACCGCCGGTGGTGATTCATCCTGATTGTACGCGCTCAGTTGTCTATGCTTCCCAAGACAAACAGGCGAATGCCGTACTAGTATGGACGCTTGTGTACGGCGCTGATGACCTTTCGCTACTTGAACGATAAATGATTGGGCACCGTGATTGATGCCAGGATGAATCAACAGCGTACCCTGTCAGATTTTGTTAATAGTAGTGTGTCGTGCTTTATCATGATGTCCGACCGACCGCCGACACGCTGGGTGCAATACCTTCCTAATAACACGAGATTGACCGACAGCGACAAGGGCACCTTGCGTCATACGCGTGTGGTCAGACTGGCGACTCAATGAGGAAGCGAAATCGTACATTATATGAGCATACAACCTATACCAAGGTAACTTGAATTGATCTAGGTACGCGCCTCTATCAGACGGAGATTCACTGCGGATTGCCCGCGGTGAAAATGGCAAACTGACAAGTCAAATGGTTGCATGCGGTAGGGAGAACATTCTCATGATACCAGCAAAGTCCGTTACATTCACACCATGCTTCGATGGATAGAGACCGATGTGTTATCGTATATTTCAAGAACACGTGCAGATACCAAGTTGACGGGTCTATACGGTCTGATATTGACGCAAATACAGCCCTACAATGACAATATAGCTTCTGTGAACATCCGCAAAAATTATTCATGAGACGAAAAAGCTTACCCCATGTCTGATTTTGACTTGTCCAAACGTCAATCTTGCAAGCTTGAGAAGGGTCTGCGCAGGAAACTTCGAACGTATGATAAGAGGCCCGCGGACAAGTAAAACGGGTCGCCTGTATTTCTTTTCCGGCCTCAGCGACCACGGAGATAGATTTGTCTTCGATGCACGGGGGACGTGTCCGCCACGAGAGGGAGGCGGTATCCAACCGATGGTCAACGTCCAATGGACAGATACGTATGTTCGATGGTTGAGCACTGATCGCGAAGGGATGAGCCCCCTCAACCCTATCATTAGCATCCGGGAGCAGGAGCATGAGGGAACAGAGCTCTAGTCCGAAGTCAACAGTCCGGAATTGCACAATCGTATCCGTCTAACCGCTGGATCGTGAGGTGAAGACACCAAGTCGCAGGCACCAATATCCTCACCTGTGGGTCAATCTTGAAATGCTTCTCATGAGGCGACAAGGTTCCGAAGTACCCGTTGACGATGAGGTCCTCTTCCGGGGTGCGTTCAGTCGGTCGGTCAGCAAATATCGGCGCGACGATACGTGGCTTGTTGCGAATGTGATGGTCGCGAAGCTTGGTTGCGTTGACGGTCCTTGACGCATATAGTGCAGTCAACCCAATGTAAGGGTCTCCCAGTGGCAGACCGCTTGTGTCGTCGTCTGCGTACACGCTTTTGAGGATGTGTGATGCATAGAGCAGTGAGTAGACGTCGACAAGAGCGACGAAGAGGATGATTGCAGATGCAAGGGGCAGCATGCTATACGTCATGCAATCCCTTCGTTCTCTGGGGTCATACGCTTTCGAGTCTGTGAAACGGGACATCAGAACGTATACTAGCGAATCTGCTTCAACCCATGCCTTGTGCACCGATATGACTCGGACAGGCCTCGGTTCCCAAATCATAGGAGCCGCGGAGCATAGTGGCATGTTCCTCTGCGTCTTCACTGTAGCTTGGCATGGTAGGCATTGCGGGCTCTACAGTGCGCTCGAACCTGCAGTACAATATACGCAGTGCACCATGTGGTACATATCAGCAGGCGTCTGATTCAGCACCAACAGAGAACAACTACGTACTAGTCTTGCAATCTTGTATTCTGATCCTGGAATATCAATTGATGACCGGAGTTTACGAAAGGTCGTTGTGGTGGACAGCTTCGATAGCTGTTATAAGCGACTCAGACCGCCCAGGACCTCTTTCGAAGTCAGCCAAAACAACTCCGAGATTGTTGACATTTTCGCGAAGTTCTACAGCCTCTGTCAGTACTAGGCGGAGTTCCGCTGCAAGAAATTGACTTGCCAGGCGGTCCCTGGGCGCGTTGTTCCGACAACAACGTGAATTTCTGTGTCCAGAACGATTAGTAGGCTCTCCCTTTCGAGGCACTCCCAGCGGCTCTTGCCTATGGCCTTGCCTGCATCATGCTGCCAAACTGTGTCTCCTTCCTTCTCCTCACCGTTCTCGCGATCGTCAACGTCGGGCTTGATGTCGTGCTTCTCCGAGACTTGGAGGTCGTGGCGTCTGCCAGGTCAAAGCCTATATTTCATTACAGTAAGCATGTAGCACAGAACAAAAGGATATTGACATACCTTCTAAGACGTGCAGCGATGAAGGGCTCAGACTATCCGCCTCGCCTTCCTCTCAGAGCCGCGAAACGCCAAGTCATGATGCCTGTCGAAGAGACCATCCGATATTCTTTGAACAACACGGAGGCCGAAGTCGAATGGCTCTGGACCGCGACCGTGGGCGACGGCAACGTGCGCCTCGGCGACAATCATCGCTTTTTCTCCCTCGTTATGGTCCACGAGCAACATTGCACGCGCTGGATACGTATGGCGCTACAGGCTGCCCATCCTCACGAGCAGCAGAAGGGACACCTGGCGCATTGTCTCAATTACATGCGGCAGCTAGCTCTGTGCTCTGCTGACGCTACTCTGGAGCCCGCCGACATACTATCGCGCGACTATGCAAAGGAGAGGTGGAACGTAGACCATCAGTGTCACGACTGGTCTGCGATTTACGAGGCAATGCGGACGAACTATTTGGAATGGGAGGCGGCACGGCCTCACTGGCAGAAGGAAGTCGATAACGGGTTGCGAGCTGGAGAGTAGGCCTGGTCACAGATACCCATGTGTTCGCTCGTTGTATCATTGTCAAACGGTCGTGCACTGGTTCAAGTTGAACGTTATGCGTCACGGTTGACGTTGAATGTTTGAATTCGATTGGACGCTGCAGTTAACTTACGTAAAGTCGGGTTTTCTTTTTGAATAGTCAGTACCGCACCATCTACGGCTCTACCTTCTTTGTAGGCAGTTTGTCTACGTGCTCGTACCTTACATAGTAGTACCTCTTCGACAGTAGGTAACCTACTGGAGATGTCTCCTTAACAAATTGATGTATGAAATGGTATCAGCAACGGTACGCATGCTCTACGTCTGTACTATGTACCAGTCTAAGAACATAAGTGGAAGCCTTACATGAACGGTATAATTGCAATATGACCTAGTACTTGTCACACCTCCGACCCCAAGTCGATGGCCGACGTTGGCTTGGACATAGTCTGTAGCTAGATACTGAGCGCTGTAGTATGTGTATCCGCGGCGGGAGAGCTATGATTGGGGTGCTGTGTACTGATCGCCACCTGAAATGTCACTATTGCCCGCGAATATTACCGAATCAGTCAGAATTTCCGTCATATCCCGCCGCGACAATGCCCTGCCCTTGACAACACGCATTATAATGAGCTGTGGTGCTAGACCCTATCCCGTTGCTGTCAAAACCCACGGGGCTTAAGAATACGATACTGCACATACCGTCATCGCCCCATAGATCGCTGCAAACAGAACATTCGTATCATTCTGCACCCCATACGTGATTAGGTTGGCGATGCCAATGAGAGTATATGGGAGCGCAGATTCGACGATGATGGCAATCGCGTTGACATATCTTTTCGACGTGGTGCGCCCGAGATACTTACGCATGTACCTGGAAATCCATAGCAGACGGCCGAGAACGAGAGCAGTGGTAAGGATATTGAGAGCTATGGTCGTCGTATAATAGCCGAGTCCGCAGTTCTCAGCGAAACCCTCGAAGAAATCTCCATGAGGGTTTCCTGAGGCATACAAAAAGAGGACACCGGAACCTGCCAGTCGCAGCGTGAGCATCCGAGTCTGACCATGCACACAGCGTGACGATATCGTACCGAATGACCCTAGCCACAGGATCGAAGGCAAAACTATGACGTAGATGGAGTCGTAGAGGACGTAACAGCGGTATATCTGCGAGGACCGTAAATTCGTTAGATGATTGGATTCCTCTCATTCAAGACCATTCGACGAACCATTAAGGCATCCCCTAGCAAATTTGCTGTAGTCGGCGAGGCGCTGGACAATGTCTGGTACCATACATTGACATGCGCATCGAGGTATGCATCCATGCCTCCCGGATACTTGGCATTGACTATCCACATCTCTTCCCCAAAGGCAGCGTTGGTGGAGTATGATATGGTCATGAGGATGAGGAGCGTAGTACTGAAGAAGACGAAGAATATGTCTGCACGACCACGTGTGGGTTTTGTCCACAATGCGTGCACTGTGATGCCATATACGACAAGTTCGACACCTACAGAATAATCAGTACATGTCACGAGTGATACTGCAATAGTGATACCGCAATGAAGACTGCCACTTACCGTAAAGGATGGCAGTGAGATTAATCCCGACATAATTCGCATTCTGGAATGGCGACGACATGGCGAAGTGTCAGGTAGGTGAGTGGACTCTGGAGACCGGCTGATCAGCTACTTGGGTGTTACGTGCCCTACAAACGATGTCCACATGCAGCTGGGAGGTTGTCGGCTGCAATCACGGGATCCGTCTTCTAGGAAGCAAACCTGAGGGGATAATAGACATACACGCAAGCGGCCTCTGCGATTGCACATATAGGCGCCGCACTTAGCTCGAGTCGCAGAAGCCCAGGACCGCTGGTCGTGATTGATTTTGATTGTGTACACATTCGCTCGCCTATTTTCAATCTCAGGAGTAACTCACCACAGTGAGCCGCCGCGGCAGGCTAAGACCACGGCTTCAGTTCTACTGTTCAGCATACCCCACCCGAGTTAAGTCTCAGCGGGGGCGGGACATTTGGTATATGACGCACCATTACTTGGTCCACACATGTAATCAGAATGCTTGAGTCGGAGTGCAGCGGACGCGAGCGATCAGTTCGCTGATCAGCTGTGGAAGTACTTATCGCAGAGCGCAGAGCATGTGCGGCGAGTGACGTAACAGGGAGTGATGGGCCTCCTTGGTGATAATCTCCGTGCTTGTGTGGACGTTGCGTCCACGACCTGTTTGTGGCTACCTGTGAGCCTACGACAATTGTCAGGTTTTGATTGTGTAGTGGGTTCTATCATGATGCCTGTTCTGAGACGTGTGAGCGGCCGCCGACACAATGGGGTTCAAACGTACGGCAACCAGCGACAGTGCCTATCCCGGTGATCGCGAAGAAGACAGAACGGACCGTCGTTCGGATACGGTTCGAGAGGTATTTTGTACTGCAGAGACCACACTTCAAAGCAAGGGTAAATCTGCAAGTCGCGTCATAGTACAGCTTCTACGGCGATAAATTGAGCGCTGAACGTTTACGCACCCATGGGCCCAATTGATCAGCATACCACTCGATGTCGCTTTTCAGCATCTGTGCGCCCAGCGACCAGACTGACGGACTGAGACAACAAGCGAAATCGTTCGTCACATATGCATGAACCTGTGCCAAGCAACTGAAGTTGTTTCATGGATGATCGGTGTCAGACGAAGGAGACGGTAACTCACGCTACAACAGTCTACGAGCAACATTGTGTGCCCCGCTGCTATTGACACTCCCAATTGACCGTTCTGACAAGGGGCAGGAAAGATACCTGGCGCATTGCCTCAACTGCATGCGGCAGCTGGAGCCTGGAGCCTGTCGGTATCCTGTCGCGCGACTATGCGAAGGAGCCTGAGGATTGAAGCGTAGCCCATCAGTATCTATCACGACTGATCAGTTCTACGACTCACCAGACTTCGCGGGCGAACATAATGGTGTTGGAGGTGGCGTGGCCTTATTGACAGCAAGAGGTCGAGACCGAATTGTCTGTAGAGTAGACAAGCACCATACGTGAGGATCCTCTATAATTTGTCTACATCGCTGCAGGACTGTTCAACCTCAGCCTCTTTCCTAGACATCCAAAAGGTACTCACCTTGACGCATAACCCTTTTTCTAGCTCATGGTGACTGGTAAGTGGACTTCGAACGAAAGGACATAGGAGCGTTGAGGCCGCGGATGACGTTCTAGTCACCTAGTGAGTACCTGAGTCTCGACGCTTCGTTAATGCCTGATAGCTGTGAGATCCTATATAATTCACTTAGACGGACTCAATGCCACCGTAGAGACGACGATCAGATGTCTCGAGAGGCGATCGTTGAACAGTTTGACCTCCGCTGGACGCTCAGCACTGAGGATCCCGCAAGGTGCATGTCGAGTCTGGGGTAAGATATCCGGAGGTCCGTCCCCGGGCCCCCGCATGTCCAACAAGATGAATGTACAGTCGTTCGAGTCGTAGAGAATACAGAGCAGAACATGATCCACAACCAGATAGGAGAACAAGGAACGAAGCACGCAACACAATGCAAACAATGCTCATCGGCGGTTCGTCTTGCCCATTTTCCGCTTGCCAGAGTACAAGTGCTTGGGCTGACGACCTGCGTTAGCATCAAGTCTTTACACAGACTCGTTACGAGAGGACATACCATCTTGACCTTGATGGCACGGTCGGACTCGCCAGCCTTGGCAAGCATATTGGGTCTTCTCTGACCAAGATCCCGCAGCTTGATGGCTTTTGCTGCTTGCTACACCACGCAACGACGTCAGGATCTCGTTCAACGACAGAACACGCAAAAGGACATACCGCATGATCCCGCATACCAGCGAGCCGTCTGTCCGTTTGGGGCTCCCGCTTGCCCTTACCAACGGCCGCGCCCAAGTTGGACTTCGCACGCTTGTTCGGCGTCGGCTGGTCCTCGCCATCGACATCCATCCAGTCGCCCTCCGCCTCCTCGCCCTCGTCCACGTCCATCTGCGCCTCCTCTTCATCGCGCGCGCGCTTCCGCTTCGCACCCGCGACCTTCGCGAGCGTTACCGCGCGCTCCTCGATGCGCGACGGGTTGTACCCAGCCTTGGTGAGCTCGGAGGAGAGCTCGGAGAGCGTGCGAAGGCCCACGGTGCGCGGAAGCTTGGCTTGGTTCTTCATCGACTTCTTGGAGCTCTGCGAGATCAACTTCTTCTCCCGTGAGTCCTTTGCCTCGGCCTCTTCCAGCTCGTCTGCCGAGTCGAACTACATTACAGATGAGCAAGGGAGATATGGCTGAAGAGAAAGGGCGCTTACGATCTCCTCTTCGCTCTCGTAGAACCCTTCGGCTTGTAGCTTCTCCTCTTCCCGCTCGAGGGCGTCGAGCTTCTCGAGGATGTCCGGGTCGATGAAGTCGGCGATGTTCTTGCCGTTCATGATCTCCGGGATGATGTCCATCTTCCATTCCGGGTCCGCAAGCATGTAGTTCTCTGCAGCAATCACGGTCAGCAAGAGAAGAGCACTGCACATGGAAGGATACGCACTCTTGATATTGATGTTGTACACGCCGGCACCGCCATCCTCCGCCTCGAGGTCCCTTTCCAGCTGCCGCCTCTCCGGGTCGTTCCTGTCGTACTTCTTCCGGTTCTTCACCGTCTCCGGAATGAACGGCTCGCGGACAAGCTCGTCGCGTGCCTTGGGCTGCGCGACATGCAGCCGATTGAGGATCGAGTTGATCTTGTTGCCTTTGAGCTTCTGGTCGACACGGTGCTCCAAGAGCGCATCGCACGCCTTGTTCTTGAGCTCCATGACGCCCTCGTCCGTGTAGCACGACACCTGCACGTGCATGACGCCCTCGCTGTTGATGATCTCCTCAACCATCGCGCGGCTCTCAGGCGAGATGTCGTCCAGCCGGGTCACGTCGATCTTGTTTATGACGAGCATGGTCGGCTTGTTGGCGAAGAGGGGCTTGATCGAGTGGAAGAGCTTGCACTGCGCCTCGACGCTGTAGCCGCACTGCTCGCTGAGGTCCATGAAGTAGAGTACGCAGCTCTTGAGATGCGCGAGGGCGGTGATGCTCTGCATCTCGATAGTGTTCATGTCTTCGAGGGGGTGGTCCAGGATACCTGGCGTATCGATCACTTGCCACCGCATGTACCGGTAGTCGAGATGTCCGATGAAGAGTGACTTGGTCGTGAATGCGTATGGTTGGACGTCGACGTCCGCGCGAGTGACCTTGTTAATGAAGGATGACTTGCCGACGTTTGGGTAGCCACAGATGAGGAGCGTGCGTGCAGTAGCGTCGATAGCGGGCAGACGCGATATGTGTTGCCGGACCTGCTCAAGGTAGGCGAGGGGATCCTTTTGCCGCCGCATGATCGTAGCCATACGACCGAGTGCAGCCCGCTTGAGCTGCTTGCATCGGTAGAGGCTGTCGCCGAACTTCAGGAGACGAACATAGTCTTTTGCGACCTGGTCGATCAGATGCCTCGCCGTCCGGAGCTGTCCAAGGGCAAGCTTGTAGTGGTTCTTGTCGTAAAGGACGTTCATGAGAGACGCAAGGAATGGGTGTAGGTCCTGATCACACCGGAAGATCAGTATGAGCGATGATATTCCAGGACGATACAACGCACATCAAGCATGGGGAATTCAGTCAGGATCGCACTCAGTTTCTCGTCGAATGTGTCTTGCGTGAACTTGACCTTGCGCATGTAGAAGTTGCGTATCCGACTGATTTTGAAGTTTTTGTGGATGACCTTCCGCGATCCCTCAGTTCTCTCCTCCTCCCTCATTCATTGACAAGTGCTCACCGTCGGTGTCTTCCGCTGTGTCTTGGACAGTACGATGTCCAAAAAATCCGCCGCCGTCGGGACGGGCGAGATCTGCTTCAATCCGCTCGTAGACATTTTGAAGGTGGAGGCTCTTGCGGCCTATCAGACAAGATGGTGGTGGAAAGGAGAGCTCGCCGATGAACACGGTGCCGGCGTTGCAGAGGACGGCCGTGCGGAAAGCAGGAAATTTTGGATCAGGTAACTTTGCACGTGACTCCTCCTCCAGAGTGATCTCAGATTGGGTCCAGATCCCTGGCTTCCGAATCGCGATCGAGACGGCGGGCGGCTCTGCCACTGCCAGCCACCACCCACTGCAACCAGTGCGCTGCTTGCAACCTGCTCAGTACTCAGTAGTTGCGCCGGAGTATGAGTTTTTGTCAATTGCTGCCATGGATCTCTAGCAGCGACGGGTCAACACACAGTGACACACAAACGCTGCTCATCATAAAGTCGCCGTCGTTCGTCTTCTGTCCTAACGAGACTGCCACCCGGGGATTCCAGACTTCTAGCCAGTAACATGCGTACGTCAAGTACCAATGCCATCTATGTAATTGTGCCCGAAAACTTGGTCAACAGACAGCTGCTGCCACATCTGTCCTTCTCGAATGCCAGCATACGGGACAACAGTTCCATTCCGGATGTTGAGCCAGTGCTAGACGACCCAGACACTCGTTGGTGGGAAACCTCACGAACTTGAACTCGCTAGGACCCCAATAGCTCGTTAACGCACACCGACGAAGCCTCATAACCGTCATATTAGTATTAAACCACCTCTACCGCCCCAAACCCGCCACCCCAAAATACTTACTATCCTACAGCAGTCCGTCCGCCCACCCGCGCCAAGAAACCAGACAAGCCAGAGCACGCTACAATAGTCGGTAGGTTGATACAGCTAAATGACAACAAACAGCGCAAAGCAGAGTGCGAGGGTGGAGCACGGACGGACGTGGGGGTATCATGCGAGGCCGACCGTCGCCATGTGTCGTCTCATGATCGCCTCGTTGACTGGGTGAGTTTTCAGGGTGAGCGGAGCGTTGCGGGGGATGTGAGGTGAGACGCACCGTTGACGATGATACTCTGCGTCGTCTTGATGTCCAACATCGACGTGAAATGCTGTGGACCCCGCACGCACATCAGCTGCCGCTCCCGCGTTCGCCGCAATACAGCAAGCCTTACCGCGAATAGTGGCCGCCGGTTGACGTCCTTCCGCCGGTGCACCTGGATGAAGTGCGCGCGGAAGTACTCCGACACCTCTTCATACGTGTTTGGCCGGTCGCCGTACGACGAGATGCTGAATCGTCCCAGCACATTAACATCATCCATGCAACGCAGGATTGAATCCGGGGATGAGGACGTACTATTTCCGGACCTTGATCCCCGCATCGAGCTTCTGCCTCAACAGATCGGTCTGTCGAACACACCGCGCACCGACCAGAGAGGGACAGTCAATGCCAAATGCGCAATCAGGCAAATTCCAGCAAAGCAGTGGGCAGATGGGCGCCGCAATTCAAAGGGCGAGTCAATACCGTCGGAACCGTCAATATGCGTCCGCACAGAGTATATGAACGCGGCAGACGCACCTTGTTGAGCATGAGCACGAGCGCGGCCTTGTGCAGGAGCTTGTTCGTGCATACCGACGTGAACAGCTGGAGCGAGTCGTCGATGCGGTTCGTCCGCGGGTCTTCCTCCAAGTACTATGTATTTGGCATCCAAGTTCCCGAAGAGGATTGCATAGAACGGAGAAGCGCAGTCGTGCAGCAACCAACAGATGGTCGGCGACCGGAGGAGGTGAATGAGCGACGTCGAAGCACGGCGTGGGGAAATGATCAGCTCGGGGCGAACTTCGGGCAGGGACAGGAAGCACCGACCTGGTCGTAGGCACTGATGGGCGCGAGGAAAATAATCGCCGCCGCTGCAACACACAAACACGAACGAAGCACCGTCAGCGTCGGCGCCCTTGCACACACCGCAAGCTCCCACCCCGGCCGCTATGTCGCACCGCCCAAGCACGCTATCGCCCACGGCCATTGACAGATGTTCCCAACGCTGCCGATCCGGAGCACGCGGTGGGGCACGGGCGGGCACCACGCTCGCCGCGGCGTGGCGTTTTCAGGCACGCCAGACGCCTGAGACAACATGAACCCGGCACCTGAGCGTATCTGACAGGCAGGGCCGCGAGACGCCCAGGCGCGAAGGTTCGAGGGGAGCGAGACGTGTAGCCGCGCGAGAGCGGGGGTGGGTTGCCAGTCGAGCCAGAGATGTCACGCACCGTCTTCGAAATATGGGATCCAGGCTTGTCGCTGTGCGGTGGGGAGTCAATGGAAAAGCGGTCAGTGGATATGAAGCGAAGCGCCCCACGGGACAGGGGTGGTGCGGAATGAATGCCTACCTGGCCACGCTGGTGGTAGGGGGTGATCAGCCAGTCGACGGAGGACAGAAAGGCGACGGTGGACGTACTGCGCCGCCGACATCGTATAACAGCCAGTTGTAGGTGACACCACCCATATTGATGTCAAATGCGTGCTCCTTCACGCCGAGTGTTTGGAGGCGAACATGGAGGATGTCATCTGCGCATACAATGTTCGAGACAGAGCCGCGAAGACGGGCGCAGAAACCTCACCTGTTGAGGGCAGGTAGTCTGGTCTTGCAATGCGATGAATGTTGTCCAGGAAGCTATACAGCGAAGTGGATGAAGCCGAGAGTAACCGCAAATACGAACGGACGCACAATTCAGCATACTCCTCCAGCCTCAACTTGTTCGTCGCCAACAAGGATCGCACCCCCGGATGATGCCACAGGTCCTCGATCTCATTCTGGTTCGCATCCAGCGTCTTCGCGACAATGTCCGTCATAACCGGGGCCCTCGGCCCGCTGCCATTCCGGATGTCCGCCAGGGGCCACGACCGCGTCGCGGTGTTCAGTGCCTGCCAACCCGCCCTCACAAACACCCCTGACTTCCCGCCGGTGACCGTGATGCCCCCGCTGAGTTCGCTCGCGAGTGCCTCCTCGCTGGCGACGAGGGGGAGGAGCTTGTTCCGGAGCTGGCTGAGCTCCATGAGCCACGCGGGATCGACCGAGGGGCTGCCGGTCCCATAGCCGACGGAGATCTTGGAGCGCGCGACGGACGTGAGCGACGTGGTCGACGGGGAGGGCATGAGCGGGGAGGTGGGCGTATTGGAGAAGTACTCGTAGTCGACCTCGGAGAGGATCATGCGGATGGCCTTGAGGATGTTGAAGTAGACGATCGGCCGCCAGGACGGCCGTTCGCGGTCGAGGGTCTGGCAGGCGTAGTACAGCTGGAACTGCTTCTGGAGCGTCGACTTGCCCGACTCGGCCTGCCCGAGCAGCATCACTGGCGACCACGGCTGTCAGCGCATGCGAGGGAGCGAGCGGGCACAGCGCGACCGGTGGGTGGGACGTGCTGAACGCGTACCTTTGATCTCCCTTGGTCTCCTGCGCCTCAGGGTATCATGCTCGCGCTACGGTCCGCGAATCGTGCCATCAGGCGACCTGGTCGGGGAGGACGACGCGTCGGGGACTCACCCTGAGCTCCTCGTCGATCTGGTTGTTTATGCGGGTGGCCTCGGCCTGGTCGGCGAAACGGCGGGGAGGCATGGGGAGGCGGACGGGGGAAATGGCCATCACAGGGCCGGAGGAGGGAGAGTCATGCAGCGGGCGAGGGGCGGCAGCGAGAGCACTCATATCTGAGGAGAGCGGGAAGACCGGGCGTGCTGATGGGCGGACGCAAACATCGTGAATAAGCTGGCGCCTTGGCTGCCCTGTCCCACGGCTGGTCTGCGTTTTTGATCGCGAAGATGGCTCAACAAAGCCCATGTCACCGACGGCCTCCCCTCGTCCCTGCACCGCCTCCTCCCCCGCGATCACGTTCTCCCCCTCCATGCGACCAGCCCGCCCACAGCGCGCGCGGGGGCCCATCGTCCGCGAGCATCACCCCGGTGTCAGACACGTCCTGATCAAAAACACCATATCTGCAATGTTCGCATGCCATGGCCAACTCCGGACCACGAAGCCAACTTTGATATCCTTCCTCCCGCCTTGACGCCCCACAGCGTGATTCCGCCTGTCTTCCTCGCCCTCGGACGCCGTGCACGTCATGCGCACACGTCCCCTCCCCGCAGCTGCATTCATTCCGCGCGAGCCCGTGGGCCCGCCCGCGTGCTGGACGCGAGTAGACCTGAGTAGACATCTGTCCGCGACGGCACACCCACTGCCACACCGAGCCACGGAACGCGAGTACGATCGCACCGCCGGTAGTAGCACATGGTCTCGTCTGTCTCTGAACCCTCTGATCTTCGCAACGCCGGTGCGCTCTTCTGTTAGCAGTCCCGCGATGGTTCACTGAATTGCGCACATGCCCCGCGCTCGGCCACCCGTACCGTGTCAGTGCACGCTGCGCGATTGCAATACGTACTTACGTCCAGGATGCCGAACGTCGTCCAGATGCGTACTGGTCTCTGCAGCCAGGCATTCAACTGTCCCCCGACCGAAACACTCGGTCATTAAACTCCAAAGTAGACATTGACCTGTCAGCCTCAGGCCCGGGATCCCCAGGAACGACGTGCACTCCCATGCCTCCCCCTCGAGGAGGAATTTGTCTGCAACTCCCAGCCCTGCGTCCGTCGACGGTGAACGGATCAGGCGAGTGTCCATCCGATGGCCCGGAACGTTCCTACCCCTTCCCATGTCCTTCCTTGCATACGCAAACTCAACGCTTGTTCTCCGCTGGAATCCTATCGTGGTTCAATCAAGATGCCCCTTCCACCACCCAATGGGTCTGGCCCTGATCTTCCTGATGCGTTGATCTAAACTCGCGGTTGGTGGTACGTCTGTCTGATGATTCTACGCCTACGCATGCGTCTGCGTTCGATGCTGGCCTCCATCGGACGATACTGGCGTTCCGCGGAACCAGAAGACAGGCAGTACGTTCGTTTAGTTGACAGCGTGGTGACTGACTGTGCGTTAATGACAGACGTTCCTTATCTGACGGATGTTTTTTGCATTCTGCTCATGAGTGAGAGCGAACGGTTGTCCAAGCTCGGACTCGGGGGAAAGAGGTGCTGTTGTCAGTGCTTTCAGCGCCGGCCCATAGTGAGATTACCTCACTCACATGTTATGCAGGTTTACCGATGCTACTTCCTCGTGCTCCTTGAATCTTCGCGAGGCCTCAACTCATCAGTGGTTTCCGATCTCAGAGGTGGACTTCATATGGTCACTTGGGAGCCTGTTGACTGTGGCTAAGGAGAATTGTAGGAAGCAACGAGCACAAACGAGAGACTAAGGGGTCTGACGAATCAGGAAGGTCTCCTTCCTTATTGGAAAGCTCTGCGTCACGGTCACGTGGAAGCCCGACGTGAACAGTGAAGTGCTCTGCCCTCCACTGCTCCTCGAAGGCAAAGTTACGCTCATCTCCAGGGATCACTGCGCGTCAGCCTCGATTTTCAAGCCTAGATAGTTGTAGGATACGCGAGCTTTCCTGGGTATATCCGATAGCTTTCCAGCAGGAGCCTATCCTGATCTTTTCCGTTGCATATACCTCTTATGTAATGCACTCTGCCGCGAGCCCGTGACCAGTCGCGCACGCGTCGACGACTCGACGCGAGTCTGAGCGGACGTGGTAACTTGAATCGAGCGAGCGCGCGCCGCACGCATACACCCACTACATGTACGCCGCACTCGCCAGCTCTCAGCAATAAAAAAAACTTTCGAGACTTGGTGAGATGCCCAAGGGCGGGCCGACAGTCACCAACCCCGCGCCCTCGACCGTGCGGCTGCATCCTTACAAGAGGAAACCGGCTGGGATCGGCTTGCGAAAATGCCCTTGCAGCGTGTGCGCGGCGAATCCCCAGGCAAGACCTCTGGGAACGAGAGAGATCTGGATTCATCAACGGCGAGATGAACAGCGGGATCATGAGCTGCATATAGTCAATGCGAGAGGTCAGTGGTCTTGCTCGCAACTCTGGCGCTCGAATCGCGCCGCTGAGACTGTACGACAAGCCCGGCGTGGAGTCGAAAAACGTACTCCAGAGGTCTCGGTGTCGCCTTGCAAGTCGGTGGCCGGGGAGGAGGTCAACTACGTAAACCGAGCGACGCAAGTGAGTAGTAATCATCAGTACTGACTGTGATTTCCTCCCTATTGACCGCGGTATCCGTCCCAGGACCGCTATGCGGATTCGGAACCCAGCGGCGCGTACAAGGAAGGCACACCTACGATCAGCCACGCAGAGAGAAGCCTGAAGGCGATCATGCCCTCGACTCAGGTTGCCCCGGAAGTCAACGTTCCACATGCCTGGCAGCCTCAAGACCTACGAAGCTCAGGCTCTGGTGTCTCCTGTGACAGCAAGACAACGGGCACTGTACTGTCGCGCCGCAGCTCGCTGGAGTACATTGACTTCCGACAGGCCACTGCTTTGCTGGAGACTCCCCCGCCACCAGACCATCTTGACGCAAATTCTCGCCTGCAAACCCCTGTGTCTCTGCGCTCTCCGGCTTCTCTTCGTGCGGTTGATATTTGCGACACTCCAGACGACTCAGATTCCGATGAAGAGGACGCACCAGTACTCGAGGACGACCCCACCTATGCCTCGCGTGAGGAGCTCTTTGACTCGGAGGAGCTTCATGATAGCATCGTCGACACGGACTCTGACTCCTCAGGTGACCCTCCTGCATTCAGTGAAGACCCTGCGATCCGGAACGCCTACATCGAGGCGTTTCTTGCGGCGACCTTTCAGCATGCGACACACGATCTAGTGCAGTCGATGTTGGAGGGTCAGCATGCTGCGTTCCTCGACCTATCGCAACGTCTTGGCGGTGAAATCCCAGGACTAGATCGAATGGCGCACACTCTTCGTACAGCGGAACGACGGCTCGGTCTTGATCCCGACGAACATATTGTGTACTACTTTCTCTGCGACATCTGCTGGTTCCGTCACCATCCCTCGGAGCTCCACAAACTCGATGGCCCTGGCTGTACGCAAGACGGTTGTACTGGCACGCTGTATGTCACAAAGCAGATGAGCGGGGGACGCGTGAAGCGTGTACCGGTAAAGATCTTCCCCGTTGCCCCACTCATCAATTCGCTCCAGCAAATTCTCCTTCGTCCTGGGAAGTATGAGGTCTTCCAGCATTGGCGGAGAGCGGGCGACGAACCTGGTCCTGTGCCGCCAATGGGTTCATCTGGTCTGGACGCGTTCCCGGATCCTTCAGTCCGTATGACCGACGTGTACGACGGCTGGGGATGGCGTGCAATTCAAGCTGGATTAGCACGTCGTCGCGGTGGGAAGTGGGGTGTGCAAGATGTTGATGTCCACGAACTGAATCAACGCTTCGTATCCCTTCCGTGTGGGCTCGTTCTCATGTTCAATATTGATTGGTACGTGGGGATGCACCTGCATGCACTGACAAAATATTGCTCACGTTCCTCCCCTCGCTATCTAGGTTCTGCTCAATGAAGAAGTCTCGCCATTCAACGGGTGCTATTTACGTCACCATTTGCAACAATCCCCGCCATATTCGATTTCTGCGCCTTGAGACGATCCTCGTGTGCACGCTACCGGGCCCTCACGAACCATCTCTAGAACAGCTCAACCACGTCCTTGAACCACTTGTTGAGGAGGTGATTGAGCTTGGGAACGGTACGTACATGGCCTGCAAGAGACACATCCCGAGTAGTATTTGATTGCAGTGTAGGCGTTCTCTTCAAAGTTCATGGGTTTGATGATCGCCAACTGATACACGGGGGCTTGTACGCCAACGTTTCGGACCTCCCGGCAAGCAGGAAAGCCGCGGGTCTGCGTGGACCAACATCAAAAGAGTACACATGCACTTATTGCTACCTCAGCTTTGATGCCCTCACAGATCCGAAGTGCTTCTGTTCCGACAGTGGGCTTGTTACAGCTTGTTGCATTCTAGATATACCACTAACATTCGGAGTGTCTACAGGCTTACGACTACGAGACGATTGGCGCTACCTCAAGTATGCATTCAGAGCACGAGATGCGGATGCTGACGATCGCGAACAAATCGCAGAAGAACGCGGTGTCCGATGGTCAGCTCTAGACTTAATCCCGGGCTGGATGCCTGCTCGCTGTTCTCCGCCGGAATTCATGCATGCAGGCTACCTTAGTAAGCCTTGTTTCAGCTCTGCTTCGCATTTATATGACGGCGCTCACATCACATCCCGCAGTTCAAATCAAACACAGTTTTCAAGAGATCCTTGTGGGCAGCGGCCTATTCACAAGTCGAAGTCGGACAGACAAACCGCTCGCCAAGCTTGAGCAGTTCTTGGGCTCTATCTGGTGGCCGTCTTCCTCTGGCCGTGTACCCCACAAGGTCAGTGTTCAATACGTAGATCATCACACCCAGGGAGCTACCAGTGAACCTACAGATCGCCGAGGGGGGCTCTGTGAAAGCCGACCAATGGCGTAACCTTGTACATGTGCTCCCGGTCGCGCTGTACTACGCTTGGGAAGTCAGTGGTGTCATCCCTGATGGGCAGGCACCAAGGCCAAAACCGACCACGAACGCAGGCAAGGCTCTCGCAGCAAAGGAGAACCTGATCCGGTCTCGACGTCGCGCGCACTTGGCTTCACAACCTAACGTCACAAAGGCGATGCTTGACGCTGCTGACGCGCTTACAATCAGCCGAAGCTATAGGGAACATTTTAATAATGTTCTCGAGTTCTGCGCAGCCATCCGGATCTGGGGCTCGCGTTCAATCTCACCCGAAGAGGTGATGCGAGCACATGGCTGTCATGCTCGGGCGTGTCAGTCATGGGCGACGATGCACTGCCATCTGACACCGTATTTTCATCTAGCAACTCACAACCCCGAGTTCTTCCTGCGGCTCGGCCCTGCATACGCATGGTGGGCGTATCCATACGAGCGCAACAACGGCTTTCTAGGGCGCTTCAAAACGAACGGCCATACCGGCGGCGAGCTTGAAGCAACCATGATGCGGGGCTGGGTCAAGAGTCAGCTAGTCCATAACCTTGTATGTGTTTTGTGTCGTCATTTCACACGACTGGCATCTCATGAGAACATGATTTCCACAGATCTCTCGCCTTGAGAATCTGCAAGACAAGTCAGACGCAGATAGGCGGATCATTGTACGGCTGAAATCCTTGATTGCAAGCGAATCCCGCCCAAATCAACAGCGCGGCACACTCCTTAACCTCATAGGTCAGATGGCGGCGACAGAAAGCCCTGGTGCGTCTTGCGACGTACATCTTTATTGTGAATTGAGTCAATACAGAGCGAGTCCAACACCCGAAACACCCACGAAAGCTCAAGCTGCGCCAAGTCGGGATCTACGGCCTCATTCTGCAGTTCTTGAAGACAACCTGGGGTCATATTGTGCAACTCGCTCCCGACACGGCACCTGTTGATGCAGGCGAACCATTTGTTGCCTCTCATGTCCCATTTTATTCACACATTCTTGTTGACGGCATACGTTACGGCGTACATAACATGCGCAGCGGCCAGGGATATTGTTATGCGTACTTCGATGGACGCATCCCCGCACGTATCAGTCACTTACTCAGAGTTACCCACATCCGTCGCGACCCTGCACTACCGTCCTTGGAGACGACATGTGCCGTAGTCCAACGTTTTGTCAGCGACGATGACATTCCAGTGATGCCATGGGCGATGCGGTATGTGATACTTGAAGGCCCTGTTACGTCCCTCGCAGCTGACACCTCTTTCAGTGCAACAGATCTTGGCATTGCAACATGGTCTTCAGACGTATTGGCTGCGCCCGAGGTCATCGAAGTGTCCCGTTTCTCTGGGCAATTTGCTCTCGCTACGGTTCGTCATGGAGAGCACTCATACTGGGTGACAATGTCGCTCTGTCACGTACGTTTTCTTCATTTTAATCGGCAGTCCGGACTCCAGAGCATCACGTTGTCTCTGGCCCTGCTAGGACACTCAGGAGCCTGATCTGCTTGATGTGGACGATGTTGGAAATGAAGAGTTGAATGAACTAGCCAGGTACGGCTGTCCTTTGTATCGAAGGCTAGTATGCAGACTTACATTAACTCCAGAGCAGCTTCCTAGCCCAAGAGCTTCCTCAAGAACATCAACCTCCAAGGTACCGAAACAGTTATACATTCACGTCGAACTTGCCAACACTGCTGTAGACTACAACAAATTGCCATCCAGACGGTGGTCTACTCGTCTTCTGCTATCAACTCCTGGTTGACGCCAGTGCCCCAAGACGTATTGCCCTCATCCTCGCCATCATAACCTGCCACCTCAACCTCGATGTCTCCGTCTCCTTTGATCTCCCTGGTGCGTATCTCCTCGTCTGGGTGGTCTGCAAGCCATTCCGTGTTGACCAAATGACGTGGGATCAGCACGCCATTTTTGACGCGAGACAGAGTCGGCAAAGGTGTGTTCTTTGGCTCGCCGCGTGCACGCGGGAGATAGAGGTGCCCAGATGGTTTATCTTTGCGGTTCTTCAGCACTGCGTGATCCAATCGCTTGAGTAGACCCTCAAACTGATGGTACGTCCAATCAATGACTCCGAATGTGTGTCGCTCAGAGCGTCTGGATAAGATAGGCACGCACCGTGGAAATCCGATACTCTGGCGGCCGCGAGACAAGGCCTCGCGCACCACCCTCAGCCTTCCGCACAGCCTTACGCCCCGACTCATCCTCCGACGTATCTGGGTCAATTGGCTCGTCACTTTCCTCCTCTGTCCCGTCCCCAGACTCATCTGTGGACATGTACTTCCAGGTACTGAAGAAGTAGTCCCAATCTTCGTCGGCAAGCTCCGGAACTTGAGAACGAGCCGCAATGCGCTCAATCAATTTCTGATCACGCGGACAGCGGGTGAGTAGCCACAACGGGCTGTGCGCTGGGACTGCAACGATTACTTACGGTTCTCTTTCGCGCATTGTGGCGCTGCTGTCTTGTCTTCTCCGCCTGCTCCATTTGCGACTTCAGACTGTTATTCCAGCGTGTTCTTAGCGACGACCACGCGTTCTCAATCGCCCCCTCTATGTCTCGTACTGTGTAGCTCGCCAACTGCTCAGCTGTCATCTCTCCGGCAGTGCACCATCGCAGCCCGTCCGTCTGGATCTTCGACACAACATCCCAGGTCCAACCGGCCTTGTTCTCGTACCAGTGCTGCCATGTAGGACGAAGGAGGCGCTGTGATGCGCCTGTCGTTGCATCGGCAACGTCTACCCAGAAGGCGCCCTTGACGGGCTCGGGCAGCTCGCACTTGGGGTCAATGCCTATCATGCTGTACAGCACGTTACGTGTCATGACCTAACGATGTCGGTAAGTCTTGGCGCACTTGACATGATATACACTTACAACCAGGTCATGATGGCGCCTCGGATCATTTGTCTCAGGCTGTGCAGCACTGCCGTTTCCTTCGCCTACAGCAACACCAGCCTTCGAGTCTACGCCAGCGTTATCCACCATCATTGACAAGCTCGTCATATTGAACGTCAACTGTTCAAGACGTTGGTGGACCTCGCCTGCGTAGCCCTCCAGAAACTTCACGCGACTGCGAATCGTTCCGTTATTATCCCCGGTTACGTCCTCACAAAGGTCCCAGACCAAGCCCTCCACCTTCACCAAACGTTTCTCCATCTGGGCAGCGGTGCCTTCGATTTCCTTCAGGCGGTCTTGAATCTGTGACATCTCCGTTTTGATCTCGAAAAGTGCGTCTGACATCGCCTTGCTTATCTGCAGCTGCCCAGACTGTCGGCCACCACTGGCAGAACCAACATCAAGACGCGGAACCACCGGAGTACTGGCCGGCTGTACCACCGGAGGTGGCTGAGAGCCTACGTTCGGTGCCGTGCGATCGTTTGGGTAAGCAACATTGAATTCACGTCTAATTAACTGGGCACTCACGGAATCGTGGCACCGTCGTAGGTCCGCCGGGACTTGGGCCCCTCGAGGATTGGATGCCGACCCCAGGTGCCGCTACAAAAGGGTAACGGAACGTGCCTGATGATGAACCAAGAATCGGGCTACTCGCCACCATCGGCGTCGCAGCCCTGCTTGTGCGATCTAGCTCGAGCCGAGATCGCTTCAAATTGGAGTGTCCGGGAGGATGAGCACTGGGGGCATCAGGCTCGCGCCGGCCTAGCGGAGTCGGGTTTTGCGGGGCGTTGGGCATGGATGGCAAACTCGAACAGCTCGTGCAGGCGGCAGCATACAACCTCGACTTAAGTTTTGGTGAGTCAATCCTACGTCTACACGTCATATCCGGAAGCTGACCAGTGAGTTCCTTTTGTGTCAAGCGTTCCCTCAATAATCGCACGGCCCCTTGTGTGCGCTGTCAAGGGGTTGATGCAGAGCATGGATGACCGTCACGGTATGTCCCTAAACCAGGTACATGGATACCATCTTCTCAATCTCATGACGGAATTATCGCCGTAGGTGTCCTCCGTCGTTGATCTCTCACACATACGGCCATGCGCAAGGCTCCATAAATTTGATAGACCGTTCTGTAGTGTGGTACATGCTAAATTTATGTCAATTTCAGGGTATAGTGTGCCTCGTTGGCACGGCTGTACTCTGATGCGGTGCGCTGTGTGCTGAGGCTACCTCAAAAAGGCAGGTGACTATCCTTGGGGGTTAAGCTGGCGGAAAGTCAACGGAGAGGAGGCGTAAAGGCGCTGGAAATTCTTCATATCCCGGCACTTTTCTTCGTATATCGAGGCGGGATATCAGCAGGAAACCCCATGAGAATCTGTCCTATCCACGGAATATCCTAGATGAAAATCCGCGCTGACGCGCGGTGGATCTAGGTAACCACTGATTACACCGCTTTGCAACATCACAACACGGTTCGTACCGTCCGCGATCGCCTTCTATTATGCCATAATGCCAACGAATCCATTCGAATCTGCAACTGAGTCCGCGACTGTCGGCCTCTCACGTCACAGCATCCTTTCCTCTCGAGAGAACCTGATACGAAATGGGGGTGGAAATGATAATGCAACCTTTCCACATGCCTACATGAGCAAAAGCTCCAAGTCCAAATGCCTTTCCTCGCTGAGAAAAGGAAGGTTTCGTTGTGGTGGTGCACCTATCCATGCGCTTGCTAGCCTCATGGCCCGACCAACGACTCACCGGCGGCACCTATCTTCTTCGAGTCGAGTCCGTACATGAAGTCGAGCTTGGCAACATGATCCTACTCCTTGTAGGCGCCACTCCGACGCGCCGGCCGGGATCACGAATTCGACGACATCACACGACAATCAACGCGTACTCTACGCTGTGTCCTCGGGAAGGCCAGAAGCACACGCGCAGAACGCTCGAGCGATGGACGATCGTATCGTCACTGATCAGTCCGCCGGCCGCCGCTGGGTGTGCGAGCGTTCGCGGGACTCGGACACTGCGACGTCCGGGCGCATGCGCACGTCTGGGCGCATCATGATCCTGTCCGAATCTACATGCGCATTTGAATAGGATGGTCGACACGCCCGATGAGTCGCTGCGCTATCTCAGTCTGGAATAGCTGCGAGCTCCGGCGGAGTCGGGGCGCTATGTATCTGCGTGATTAAGCAGCAGCGCGGGGGCGAGGAATTCGAACTTGGGCGGAGGATGCGAGCGACTCGGACTGAGGTGCACTGCGTGGTTCATGCCAGTGGAATGGAAGTTCATTACGGTACGTGGGGCGGTCATGATATGATTCGTGAGGCTTGATCATTTCCGTAGCATGCGGTGGTGCGTGCAGTGCAGGCTTCGCTGTGCTGTCACTCTCAGGCAGTTCTGTATCTGCGGGGTTCGACAGAGTTCAGATACATGCGGTGCGGATGGCGCAGGTGCGCGGACTCGTCTGTAGCTCTATGAGGCGGTACGTGAGTGGATAGCTGGCTGACTAACACGTACGTAGAGCCTACTTAGACTGGCACGCATACATGCCGTACGTGGAGCAAAGCGAAGAGCGGATGCACTCCTTCACCGCTGTGAGACCTGCGTGGAGCTTTCACAGGGCGACGGTCTGGAAGATCGCTTCATGGGCCATTCGTCGAGTCCCAGTCGGAGGCGTCCCATCATTGTGGGTGTCTTCGACGCCGCCAATCGCGGACTACGACAGAATGCACCCAGTGCACGGCTAGAACGAGTAGAACGTAGGCACCCCACGGAATTTCGTACCTACGCGCAACGCACCCGCGACAAGTCCCATTCAATCTAGCACTACGCGGCCGCACGCGGAGAGACTCAGTGGCTCCGAGTCAGTGACAGCTCCGATCCATGCCCATGCGTAGTACTGCGCGACCGCAGAAGTGAATTTCGCTGTGATCGCCGATGTCAGTCGAGGACGCCAGTGCGGTTAGCAATCCAACGGGCGGAAGATGAAACGTCCGACTGCACCGGTGAGCTCGCCCATTGACGGTCACCGAAGGTGACCGGCAGGGGAGCACTCAGCTAGAGCAGAGTACGGCCCAGACGACTGTACGGTGTATTAGAGTGCCCCGGGGCCTGCTTGACAGCCCACGCTTGCTGACAGTAGGCCGCCAGTGGCGTTGATATGTTGCTGTTCCGAGGGGCGGAAATTATGGCCATGAGGCACCAGGAGAAGATTTCTGATATATCCATATGTCGAGATTCAAATACCTATACACCGACCTATAGTATGTGTCCTGTAAGTGGGAAGTATCTGTGCATTGCGATCCCAAATGAAGGCGGTCATGTCGTGACTCACCGGCACCTCCGATCGCGACACAGACATGTGCACGAAAGGCAACATGAATGCGCCGCAGACTTCCTCAGAGCTTAGAGGTTTCAAAGTCAACGAATTGATCGAGGCCGTATGTGACTTTGAATGCGCGGTCACTGACAAAGATCATGGTGACATGCTTCGAGCTGTCCCGCTGGCCCGTCTGGCCCGTCGACAGCCGTCGACGCGTCAACTGTAAAAGCCAGTCAGGCAGCTACATGACTCGTGCCTGTCTGACGACTGACAATGGGGAGAACGGCGCACTCCGCACTCTGCCATCACAAAGCGTTGCAAGACAAGAAACGTACATATTCATTCATATATCTTGATGCATGTGCATATATATACAAGACTGGCGCGATTCTGCAAAGCATACGACGCATACATTCGACTTCGACACAAGCAATTCAATAGATCAACGAAGATTGGTCCGTATATTTCATTCGTCAAGAGGCCTGCATAAACCTCTCGTCAGCGACGCTCGACCCAACAGACGTTCACATCAAACTCACCTCGTCATCGCGGCGGCATTGAGTAACGTCTCTCGTCCCGTCCAAACCTGTTATACGGAGGAGGCGAGCGTGACGGGGGTATCCGCATTGCCGGGTCCCGCCTATCAAACGACGAGTAGCCACCTACGTCCGGAGCCCTGTCCCTCTGGTTCGTGTAGTCCCTGTCTCGCGGAGGCGGCGGTGGGGGTCCCGACCTGTACGGCGGTCCACGAGGATCATCGTAGTACGCAGAGCCGCCAGCTGTAGGAGGCGTGCGGCCGCGAGGGGGGTAGTCTGCTGGAGGTCCGACGCGTGGGGTCGTATCAGCGGAAGGTGGCGGGTAGTATCCGGAATTATAGCCATCGTCGCGTGCTCTCTTGGCGGGCGGACGAAGGTCGTCTGTCACGCCTGGTCTCCTCAGCGGGCTTGGGCTGCGCGGTCTGACGCGCGAGAATGGTGGAGGGTCAGGCTCCGCAGGAGGGTACCTCGGGCGGTCCACATCCCTACCATAGCTGCGGTCCTCCTGCGTATACCCATCAGACAGTCGTGAGCTCAGGGGGCGCGACTCAAACGAACGGGGCGCAGGGGCAGGATCCACAGGGGGAGGGTAAGTTGAAGAGACTCTACGTTCGCGTTCTTCGCGGGTCTCCCAGTTCGGAGCTGGCGGCGCGTCAACGAACCTATCCCGTTCGTAGTCACGTGGAGGAGGCCGCTCCCAGTCGCGGCCACTGCGGCTATCCCAGTCGTCTGGATAGCCACGCTCGCCTTCGCGCCATTCGCGGTCGTACGGGCGGGCATCGGGCGGAGGACGGCGCGCAGAATCGTCAGGGTACGAGTCATTCGACGGGGGCCACGCGCGCCCACGAGGAGGGTAGGCGTCTAAGTTATCTGCAGCAGCAGGCGGGGGCGACGGTCGGCGATACGATGCATTGAACCGCGGAGTCGGAGGATCGACATCCATCATGTCGGGCCTGCGATCCGCACCATACCTACCAGGCTCAGGCCGATACGGCGGGCGGACGTCAGCGCGGTCCCTCGGCGGTGGCGGGTCGCCCGCGGGGCGCAGGATGTCTGAGCGTGTAGGCGACCGTGTTTGAGAGCGCAGCTCGAACTTGCGAGGGGGGTCGCGCACGACTGACTGAGCTCTGGGTGGGTATACACCGGGTCTCGGGCGATCATTAGGGGAAGAGCCAGGGCGAGCGAAGCGGTCCGAGACTGGTGGCCGGCCACGGTCTTCCGGGCGCGGACCACGATCAGGAGGGCCCGACAGTGGAGGACGAGCTGGCTCCGCTAGCAACATAGTACGATCGTCAGATGCTGCAGGACGGACAGTTCGATCGGGTGCAGCAGGCGGGGGCATAGGACGAGCAGCACGGTCTTCAGGGGCCGGAGGTCTTGCAGCCCTGTCATCCGTAGTGGGTGGAGCGCGAGAGAGTCGCTCTTCGAGCGAAGGCGCGGGGCGATTGATGCGTTCGTCGAGCCGCGGCGGGGGTTGTGCGCGGTCGAGTCTGTCATCCGGCCTAGAAGTGCTCGTGCTTATCCGCTCCTGCAGAGAAGGCGGAGGACGGCCGATACGCTCTTCCAAGGAGACAGGCGGACGAGAGCTCAAGTCTTCCTTACTAGGCTGAGGACGCAAGGTGCGCTCCTCAAGAGGCGGGCGAGCAGGAGGCGGGCCAGGACGAGCACTGCGATCTTCGGGAGTGGGAGGAGGCATCCGGCGTTCATCGTTCATTCTAGGAGTACGATCAAGACCAGGGGGTGGATAGGGACGCCTATCATCCAGAGGGGGTCGCACCGACCGGTCCGTACTTGAAGAGAGCGGAAGCGGGGCACGAGGCTCATCTTTAGGTCTTACCTGGCGTTCTGTATTCGACAGAGGTGGAGGTATCCTTCGGTCGTCTAGCGGCCTTGTCTGCCTGTCCACATATGAACCAGGGGGAGGAGGCCTACGGTCTTCCGGTGATCGTAAGAGCCTGTCGTTTGCAGGAGGCGGGGACGGCCGACGATCTTCTGTGGCTCTTATCGAGCGGTCCGACGACACTGGGGGTAGTGGACGGCGCTCTTCCATCTCCCTTGCAGGACGCTCGTTTGGAGCAGGAACAGGGCCACGACGGTCGTCTGCAGGCGGAGCAGCAGGTGGACGAGAATCATCGGGGAGCGCACGATTCGGAGTAGGATCAGCAGGTCCACGAATGATAGCTCTCTCTTCACCGAGATTGCGAAAAGGTGGACGCGTATCGGGATGATTCCTATCATCCGAAGGGTGCGTACGCAGAGGACCACCAGCGTCATCTCCAGGCCTACGTTCATACGGACGGTAAGTATCCGCAGTCCGAGTCTCGAATGGAGGTCTGCGGTTGTCAGCACCCCTGAACCGGTCATCATTACGCCTCTCATCCTTGAAGCGGGCAAAGTCAGGACGTCTATTTCTGTCGTCATGCTCCCAGTCCCTCTCTCTGTCACGCTCGCGTGAATGTTCTCGTCCCCTGTCTCTATCATAGTAGCGCGGAGGGAAGGCAGGGCCACGGTTGCTGAACCTCGAGTCTCCATTGTAACGGCCATTGCGGTCAGGATCGTACCTTGCCTTTTCATCAGAGCCATTGCGGTACGTCCAGTTATTGTCCCGGGAGAGCCGCTGATCATCCTTGCCGTCATACCCAGGCTTTGTGGGAGAAAATCCAGGACCTCTTGTTCCCAGCGGAGGTTCGTCCGCCAAAGACCTGTCGGATTGAGACCTGCCTAGCCCTTGCGGTTCTGACTTTGAAGCCGCGGGCGGCAGTCGCTCGTCGACCTCTTGCTTGACTTCAGGTACACGCTCCACATTGCTAGCAGGGACAGGCGGCGCAGGTGCGTTGCTTGTCGGAGGCTCTGGTCGCGCATCCTTCGCGCTAGGGGCCGGGGCCAGCGGAGGGGCTGGAGCTGGCGACCGCATGTGGACGTCCTGCAGACAGATATCATGGTGAGCGACCAGCAGGCGAACGTACACGAATAGACGGCACATTATCCACCCTTCGCGCATCCGGGGCCGCTGGCTTGGGCGCTGGCACTGCCTCAGCGCCCGCCGACGTGTCTGCGGGTCCACGACTAGGAGCAGGCTCAGCTGGGGCCTGAGAGACAACGGGGCCGTTGCGCTCAGAGGTCGTCGGCAGTTGCTCAGGATGAGGAGGCACTTGAGAGACGAGAGGAGGTTTCCGGGGACCCATGTAGAGATTGGCTAGGAACGCAGGGTTGGGGACCGCCTTGAATACTTCGTGTTGCCCATTCTTGATTTTCTGCTTGAGGTTCTCGAGTATCTCCAGGTCGCCGTCTCCCAGAGGCGAGTCTGGCGGTGGTTGCTGTCCAGGAAAAAACTGAGGGGGCGTAGGGTGTTGCGGTGCGAAGCTGGGCGGGCCCATGGGACCTATGTAGGGTGTGTTGACGTTGTAGGGGAAGTGGCCGAAGTCTCCGTGGCCGAAGTCTCCGTGGCCGAAGTCGCCGTGGCCAAAGTCGCCAGGGCCGAGCGGAAAGCCAGGCTGCATGTTGGGGGGCAGTGGGAAGGGAGCAGACATGAGGACGGCGGCAGGCTCCTCGGTTGGAGTTGGGACGAGGAACGCGCTCTCGGGGTCTTCAGTCAGCGTGGTGACGGTCCGTTCGCGGTTGATAACATTGCGGGCTTTCCTCTTCTTGTTATTTTGCCTTGCCGACATCCGATTTGTCTGCCGATCCTATATCCGAATATTCCGTCAATATTCGGCCCCGTTCCTGGCCAGCCACACACCCACAGTCAGCCCCGCCCTCGCACTCCGAGTCGACCAAGCACACAGTCAGAGGAGGGACAGGAATGTAATTCTTTCGTGAGATCTTGCAAGCGATAATCGCCCGTGTATCGTACCCACAGTCACAAGGTTCAAGGGAAGCCGTTCGGGCGCCCGTGGGTCTGTGTCCTCAGCGAGATGGAGGAAAGCAGAGCAGCCTCGTTCTGTGGATGGAGGACATGCACAAGATCATCAGTTCACACTGCACAACACTCACTGTCATGACGTCCGTGGGTCTGCGCGGCGCGGGCTATTTCCTACGGAGCATTGTTCAGGAATTTTGCGGAAAGGGACTTAGAGACGGAATTCCGAGCCGAGCACTCCCGAACCAAACCGATCTGGCGACAAGGCTAGTTCGCACGGTATTTGGTGCGTACTGGGTGGCGGTACATCGCAGTGACTTGGCTGCTATCCTCCACGACACACTCCCGCTATGACCACAGTCTCGCCGTTTGCGCGCAGCAGTGTCTTCGATGAACCCCGCCTCGGTGGTCGCGAGCAGACCGTAAGTGTCGCCAACCAGAAGTCCGCCCCCTAGACATAATTTGAGCAGGATATGCTTCGTCGTACTTGCAGATCGAGGAAATGTACAGCGTACCAGAGAGCTTCCTAGAGATTGAAGTGCGGAACCCCCAGACCCACGGTGCGTTAATCATTTCATATGAGTGTGAGCGATCTGCTCACAACTGCGGACAGGCTTCGGACGGAAGATGTACACCGATTATGAGATTGTGTGCAAGGTGCGTTCTTACATCCTGCGTGAACGACGGAGTGGTTCGATAGCTCTGTATGTGTCGTTACCAGACCAATATACCCGCCTTCAAGTTGCGCCACTCTGTCGTCCGCCGCCGGTACTCTGACTTCGAGGCGTTCCGTGACATCCTCGAGCATGAGTCCACTCGAGTGAACATTCCTCCGCTACCAGGCAAGGTCTTTACCAACCGTTTCTCCGACGAGGTGATCGAGGCCAGGAGAGAAGGACTGGAGCGCTTCCTCACTGTTGTTGCCGGCCATCCCCTTCTGCAGGTCCGTAAACACACCCTCTGCTGGCCTTCGTATCACTGACTGCGCTAACCCGCCCAGACTGGTAGCAAAGTCCTGTGTGCCTTCCTGCAGGATCCCGCCTGGGACAAGAACCAATGGGCATAATCATGAAGGCCTCAGTGCCCATGGTCTCCAGCTTGCCTGACTGCTACGGCGTCAAGGCCTACCGCGACAGTGGTCGCACGATGACGCCATCTGTGGCTTTCTGACTTTTGCTGTCTTGCCTTCTGTATTTGTATCCTACTTTCATGATGCGATTGACTCATCCGCATGTTTCGCCTCGCGACGTACGCACCCGCTGCAAGTCGGATGTCAATGTTTGCGCCACGACTCAAGTCGCAGTCATGCGGCTGTGGTGGAGGGATAATTTGGTAACTCTCAATAGCAGTGGCCTTCGCTTGTTACGACAACGCGTGCCAATGGCGAACAATCATTTCTAGCTCAATCTGATGAGTCCAACCCTCATTGTCCCTGCATTGTCCCGTGCATTGAAACACCAGTGTGTTGCGACAAGCCTCTGAGTTTTCCGTCACGTATGTACCCGGCTACATGCGTCAGCGGAAACAATTGGTTACTGCGAGTCACCCAATCATAGAGAGTCTACTATGTAGGTCTCGAAGGGAATTTCGGCGACGTTTCCTGTTCTTTATGTTTTAGTACGCCAAGCATGAATCAACCCATATGGATGCCGCTTTGCGACAACGATATATATGCCGTTAATTCAGATCCATCATATATAGCGTCGCTTGGAGCCGCAGGCACAAGATACCCAACAAATTGAGACAGTCTCATGCCATCCCCGCGATTAAACACTCCAAGCACGTGTCTCCTTCGTCTGTGAACCTGCCGTGTGTTTATCGAGCGTTCGCGAATCTATGAGAGTCGAGATGCACTAGAACTTGCGCGATGAAGTCTGCCCGAGCTGCACACGAAACTATGATACATAATCTGCTGGATTTTCTCGGCTCGGCACGGAAGGCGGATGACGGGATAGTACCAATGACATTGACTGACCCGCTCTAGGGTAAGCATCCGGCAATTAATTTGCCAAATTCGACACTGCCCGACGTTTCCCACCAGTCTGCGTCATTGCAGGGGTGTGCTCGTTCACCACACTGTAAATCATGGTGAACATCATTTACCATGAATTGGCCGTAGGGTATATACTTACTGGATCGTCAGCCTGGTGTGAGGTAACATGTAGAATTGCACTGCCCTCGTGCTTCTCGGTATCGATCATGTTCCCCTTGTCAGGAACCAACGGTTTCGCGATTTGCCCTGGCTGTTCTCTCGTCAGTAATAGTTTGAAGAGAACCGCTGCAATATGAGCGGCACCTCTTTGCCACAGTCCGCAGGGGAGCTTTGGTTTGATGCGAGAGATACACGGTCTACTAAGGCAGGGTCATCATTTTCTCCAAGGAAACCAACTACGAGTCGTTTAGCTCGGATAGGTAGAAAAAGCCAGGACCTAGACATACACTCGAGATTTGTGCACTTCGTCAGATGAATTCGGGGTTGACGCTCGCCGAGCCATTCTTTCACGGTCGATGAGGGCGCCCTACAGCGTATAGAGGTGATGAGCGTATAGTTGAATCATTGTTAGCCTCACATACCCGTCTTGAGATAATTTATAGTAGTCTGCAGTGCTGACCACAGCCATGGATGCATCGGTACTCTGTGAGGTCACGTTAACAACAATTTGAGAACGAAAGGTCACTACTCAACCTCGAACACGTAGTCTAGCAGTGGGTCCACTGGATCATACTTGTGGTTCCAGAGTCATTCTCGGGTATTGCGTGTGCACTAAATCGGAGCTACTCACCATCGCTTCGAGAGCCGGACTCTCAGACGTCCCCTCATCAGAGTCGTTCTCGAGGATCTCATCCACTTCCATCTCGGCTTCCATACTTTTCTGCGCGGCCCTCGCCGCCGCAGAGGCGTCAACCGAACATGGTATCGCGGGCGGTATGAAGTAGTCCATGGCGCTGATTTCTGCGACCCATCTAATCCAGCGATTACGACCCTTGTAGAAGTGAAGGAACAAGCATTGATTCTGGCATTCATCCGATGTTGCAGCAGGACCAGAGCAATGAAGCCATGATCCCGAGGCATTCCGTGTCCTGCTGATGGACACAGAGCCCCCGGCGACCGATGGGTGTCCACCACGGCCCAGCAGACCAAACATCTTCTGTCCCTTTTCGACGCGAACAGATACGGTCCACTGTGCGCTCTTGACCCAGCCAGTGACGAGTATGATGTCTGCTGTGATATTCGCCTGCTGTATCGCCCATCGATGCCAATTGGCGAGGTTGTCCACGAAGTAACGCGGGACCAGATTGTTGTGGCGGCTGATCTCGAGACCCGACGCCTTCTTTGTCGGAAGTTTAAGAGTAGCACGTTTGGTCACCGCGTTGCGATAAGCGAACGACACTTCCGCTACATTCGCACTGCGGCCAGTGTTCGATAGGTTGATCGTTTGATAGTATGAGTTGCAAACAAAACGGTCAGCCACCTGAGTCTGTCGGGGAATCCGTGAACACCCACATATTGGCACTAGCTTCGGTCTGGAATGCGGCATGATTTTCTTCACGCATGACAGTCTCTCCGGAAAACAAGAACTCGTTAGAGACGAGAAGGTGCTCAGGAATCTTGAGTGGATCGAATCCGTCTGGGACTCCGAGTTTCACCAAGAGTTTGTTCGCGTCGTTGTCCGCAGGAAGTGCCGCATTGAACAAGCGGATGAATTGGCCTTTCAACAGGTACCCGACGTCACCAATCTGCACCTCTCCGTCCCGAGGCGTGGGATTCCACAAAGGATAGCCATAGCCTACGTCCATGAGTTCATGGGCATATGTGTCCCAAGGAGGCGCCATACTGAGTAGCGAGCGCTGTACAAGAGAGGTTGAGATGTCAAGATTCAATAGGCCCACTCACTTATTCCCTACTTATACATAGTCTCGGTGAGTGTGACTATCGTTCGTGTGAGGTCGTACCCGCGTCAGGGCTGTGTGAACCCTAGTTATGCCAGGCTGTGGCACTGTATCAACGTTTAATGTTCGATGACCCTGATGGCCTCTATGAGGAATGGAAGGTGATTGCGTGGGGCGTTCAGCTCCAGTGTATACGGAACCTATGAACTCTCCTAGCACTGTGGATCTAGAATCACCCCGTCGTCTTTAGTAAAGGCACAGACGAGATGCGCCGTGATAGCTTCTGTATCACTGCTATCCTCTGAGAGGGTCGGTTACTGTATGAAAGAAAAGAGTTCGCCAAACAGTGCTTCCGGTCAACCTGTCAAGCAACCGGTCTATGCGTGCAAATGTTCAGCTCAGGGACTGAAGGGTATCATGACTGACAGCAGACGCAGAATCCTGACTCCCCGAGTGATAGGTCACAACAATAGACTGGCGCGCTTGTATTTGAGTTCATGGTTCACATACGACCACGTCCATGACAGATCTGTGAGGCATGAGCGCATGCACAAATTGTGACAAAGTCCGCAGTGACGTACCGTAGATGCATACTAAACCCGCTCTGAACATCCGTTAGTACCAGCTCATCGATGGGGTGGACACCTGGGGTGAGCGCCAAGAAGTCCATCCGCACGGACTGACAAGTCGACGGCAGTAGTGGCCTACAGCATTCTGCATCAGCGACACTCCCATCGTATATGAAAGACACATACCCGATGCGCACTCGATTCTCCAGGGGCATAATCCCCGGAGATCCTCCGTCAGCCTTCTTCCCGTCGCCCCTGCCCTTCCGCCTCCGCCGCCTCTCGTCGGGATGGCTCACCTCGAATCTCCGCGTCCACGAGCTCTGATTGAAGACGAAGATATCCAGAGTAAATTGATCCAGCGGGTATATGTCGCCCGACGACCTTCCCTTACCCTCGGCGCTACCCTCCTTGACTGCTGGGAACAGCCCAACACTGACGACGATCGGCTGTCCTCCCGCCTCCGCCTTGTTCTCCACCTCCGCGCTGACTTCTACGTTGCTGGGGAACCCAGGGATGGTAAGGCCCGGAGTCAGCACTGAACCTACACCGCCGCGATCACGCCGCATGTCAATGGTAGGCCCAACCGCACCAGCACCAGTCTGCTGCGCAAGCGGCGCCTGCCAGAATGGCGTCGGCGGTACTGGGGGTGGCGAGCCAGGATACGCCGGGTATGCCGGTGTGCGGGGCGTGCCAGGTTCCTCCGCCCCGGTGACGTCGAATTGCGACGCTCCTTGGCCCTGTCCCAGTGAGGCGAACGAGAAGTACGAGTCCTGCGGGCTTGCGTACGTCGTGGGTGAACGGGGGTATGATGATTGGAACGCAAGTGACGGTGGCAGGATAGAGCCGCGGTTGCCCGCCCCGGGAGATGTTCCTGTGATGATTGAGTTGAGGTTGCGTGGATCGGCAGTGAGGGGTATGGCGGCGCTCTGGGGCTGGTTGGCCGGGTTGAGCATGGCAGTAGGGCCCTGATAGTTTACGGGTGACTTCGCCTTGGCGCGCCTGTCTGGTGCGGGAGAGTCGAGGGCACTGTACGTGAACTTGCGACTGCCGGCTACGCTCGAGATCGGGAGGGACTGTGGGCGAGAGGACGATGCGGAGTTCGTGACGATAGTCGGTATGCGTGCTTGTATGTTAGGGAAAGGCGAGGCTGGTGTAGGCAACGCGGTCAGTTCCAAGCCATCTTCGCCCATGCGTCCCCCAGTAGTATTCGTCGCCGACGAGAAGTTGAGCTTGCAGCTCCAGTATGAGGCATACGTCCTGGTGGGGTACGACACTGGTCCTGTATCCACCGCCCCCGCATTACCGGGCGCACTGGGTTGATCGAACGGCCGCACGCTGATGTTAATCGACACTGAACGGCGCATCTCCTGCGCTGCTGCCGCCGCCGACGCGACGCTCGTCCTCTTTCCCGCTTGTCCGCCCGTCCCAGGGGCCATAGCCATCTCATCCACCTCCGGCGCACGCAAGAACGACACAGCGTACAGCAGGTTCACCTGCTCATTCGGGCCGATGCGCACGGGGAAGACGTCCGCGGCGTCGCCCCACGCGACGAGCACGGTCTTCGCGCCGGTCCCGCTGACCGTGACGTCCGCGCGCTGAACTTCGAAGCTGTAGTTCGGGACAGTGGGTACAGGGATGTCAGGGAATATGTTCTCGATCTCGACGGAGAGGACGACAGTGTGCTCTTCATTGCCTGCCTCACGCTGCTCGCGGCTCTCGACATCGTCTTCGTCTTCTTCATCGGTGGTCCCGATGGCTTTGCGTTTCTTTTGCCCGTTGCGTGGGAGCAGAAAGTATGGAACGAATACTGTGCGCATGCGCACGTGGAACCCGGAGACGACCTTCATAGTCTTGCGGAACGACTTGCGGAAGGTGGAGCTGGCGGGTGGAGGTGGCAGCTTTGTCTTCGCCGCCGCGGAGGCTGTCAATGACGCCCTAGACTGCTGTGAAGATGACGAGGAGCCCGATAATGGAGGGAGGGCGAATGCTGTACGGCGGGTCTTTGGCCCAAGACGAGTGGATGGCAGCTTGAGGGGTGCGTCTTCTGAGGCAGCGAATGTAGGGTCTGCGAATTTGTGAACATCAGGGTGTGTTAAATGGTAGAGCGAACAAAGCCATCGTGCCTGCTTGGAGACCCTCTAGAAGATTGATCTCTTCTAGCCCTGAAAGCAGGTCATCGTCATCGTTCTGCTCTCCGTTATTTGGAGCATCTCCGGCTGCAGACTTGATGGGCGACATCACGTCCAGCGGATTGCTGGACCCGCCGAATTCTTCCAAGAGCGCAGCAATGGATTGTCGTGGAGGAGTCACAGGGAGTGGCTTCTCGCGCAGGGTTGTTGAGACAGTCAAAGAAAGAAGGGGATCTTCGAACTTCGTTGCCATGTAACCTGCGGTAAGACGTTAGGTCGCACCCGCACATAGTTCGAAGTGACCACGTACGCACGAGTACCGACATGCGGTAAACGGCGACCCATTCATGTTCATCCTCTGCCCAAAGTAGCGAGAAGGCCTCAGATGTCTCTCTTGTCGGGCCCATATGATGCTCTCCCCATACGCCAGTCGTGAGTTGGGTTCCCTGAGACTGGACGTACTGTTGATCGGACTTGGCTGCGGAGGGGACAGGGTTCGGTGTGGCCGGAGGGAAAATGGTCGGGTGGGCAGCGGCGAGCAGGGAGACTGGTTTGTCCTTGTTGATGGAGGTCGTTCGAGGAGGCGGTCGGCCTATTTCGGGGACAGCACCGGAGGAGGTTGATGGGACAGAGGTAAAGGGAGATATATAGGAGGCCTCATACGAGATTTGGAGATGCGCGAGGAAGGAGAGAAGGCTGATTGGAGGCCTAGGCTCGGGCGTGGCTTCGGATTCGTCTTGCGCATAAGGGAAGCGGATAATGAGAAGGAAGTTGATGATCTCGTCTGTATGTACGAGTTCAGACCATTAAGTAGAGACGGGCTGTACATTTGGAAAGATGCACCTTACCGAAGAAAGCTACCTTCCGATCCGTAGGTTCTGCATACAAGCAAGAAAGCCAGTCTTTCGTCCGTTCACCAGACACTCCCTCCGGAAACTCGAGTGCACTTCCCGGTGCAAAGACCTGCAAGACACTGGAGTTGAACAAGTCTTCAAAGCTGGCCATGGCCTGGTATGACAGTGGCTTATGTTCGGAGTATGATCCAAGTGAGCCGAAGATGCCCTCCGAGTCGAGTTACCAAGATGGGATCTCCGGGGATCACCACAAGCCCTACGTATGGCAGATGAACCTCTTCAGTCAGCCAGAGTGATAGCGTAGCAAAAAGCGAGCAAGACAGAAAGACCGATTTGTGGTTGGTCGCGGCAAGGTTGCGTTCCGTTGCTCGTCCTAACTCGGTACGCGTACTATGGGCGCCTACGCGGTCATAGGATCTCGATCGTCAGTGTAAATATTTGCTGCCGGTGGCACCCGTCTGCTGTCGACCCGGCTTGCTCGTCTGCTCAGACTTGTCACTCTACATAGTCCTCTCCCTGCCCCTCTTCCACCTACGGTCGCCCGCAACCCGTCTCGCCTCTCATCCTTAGCGTCATGTCACCCACTCTTAACGTCAAGGGCAGCGACTCTGGTGCTGCGCGGATCCTCGGTTCTGGAACGTCAGGTATGCCAGCGTACGGTCTTCCGAAGAGTATCGGTGCAGAGCTGAGAGTCGTGAACCACACCAGGTATCGCGGAGCTCTTGGTATTCCACCCGGTGGACACCATTGCGAAGCGACTCATGAGTAACAAGTCGAAGGTGAGCGGACTGTCTCCTTGGTAGAAGGTGAGGTGACTGAGAGCTTGCACGACAGGTGTCTATGTCTACGCTCTCCCCGATCATCTTCAGGGAGCATGCCACGGCGCCGCTCGCGACGAAGCTGCTCTCGCTCTTCCCTGGTCTTGGCTATGCTGCAGGGTACAAGGTCACCCAGCGGATATACAAGTACGGCGGGCAGCCGTGGTTCAGCGACGTCATCTCGCGGAACTACAAGACGCAGTTCACGAACATCTTCGGCGAGCGCAAGGGCAAGATGATGATGCAGGCGACTGCTGGCAGGTGAGTCTACTCATAAGTTCAACTGGCACTCTTTGTAATGACGCCGAATGCGCAGCTTGACTGGTATCGGCGAGGTCGTCCTCCTTCCATTGGACGCCCTCAAGATCAAGCGTCAGGTGAACCCTGAGGCCTTCCGCGGGCGAGGCGTCGTCCGCATCTTCCTAGAGGAGGGCACCACGCTTTACCGTGGGTGGGGCTGGACCATGGCACGGAACGCACCTGGATCTTTCGCTGTACGTCCCCCACCTTCCCTTCCCGCTCTGCCTCGGCTGAATCATGTATCGTAGCTCTTCGGTGCATCCGCAGTGACGAAGGATTACCTCTTCGGGATCGAGGACTACCACAAGGCGACGTGGGGCCAGAACTTCGTCGCATCCATCGCGGGCGCGGTCGCGTCGATCACGGTCGCCGCGCCGCTCGACACGATCAAGACGCGCATCCAGAACGCGAACTTTGAGAGCAAGGTCAGCGGCATGACAGTCGTGAAGGAGCTTATCAGGAACGAGGGCCCGACCGCGCTCTTGAAGGGTCTTACGCCCAAGGTTGGTAGCATACATCCGTTTCAGCCCACTCTCGCTGACAGACGTGTGTAGATCCTCGTGGTCGGCCCGAAGCTCGTGTTCAGCTACACCCTGGCACAGTCGCTCATCCCCTGGTTCTCGAAATACGTCTGAGCGAAGTCTGTCAGCCCCACGACTGCACGCATTTACTAGATCTACGCTGCACGCCATGCTACGGCCGTCACGACTCCATTCGCTCATTCGAAAAGTACAGTATAAATTACTAGAGGGCTGCACACCTCATCTCATAGACGTCTCTGCATCTAATGTACGGGGCTCGGTCGTTAGTACCGGCATTTTTGTGCTCGTAATGGGAGACTCACCGCTCAGATCATTGCTCTGCTCTCTGTGGGCGTCCTGCTGGATTACACACTTCACTCATTTGCTATTGAACAGAGTGAGTCTGTGTGCGTGCCGGGTACTGATCTTTTGACCTGCAAGTGAGTTCTTCGCCGCTGATCGTCATTACTGTTTCATGCTGTTCTCCAGGCAAACTCGTGGCTCGACACTGTCCCTGTCTACGTCCGTCAAACCTCCGTCTCGGGTTCCACCCTCAACTATGGCAGAAGTCGAGTCTCACAGCCATGATTGACCACAGTCTTCCAGGTAAGATCACTCGGCATTTGTAGAAGCTACTTAGCGTGAGGGTGGTCGCCGGTCAAGCGCTGACCTTGTGAACCAGATAGAATGCTTCTCGGATGTTGTTTGGAGCGCTGTACTCGTCCTTGTACAACTGGTAGCTTGGACAGTACAGCATTCCGCGGGGAGGCTGAGGCATTCGTGTGCATGGACAGGCTTTGCCTTGGACGCCACGGACAGCAATGGACAGCACTGCTTATCACCGTTTTAAATCACAGAAATGCCTGTGCGCTGTCGTATCATGGGATACCTACGTGACAGATAGAAGCCTAGATAAAGTGAGAGGTCGGTGAGCAGGGAACGGAGTCCCTGCATACCTCCTTAACTTCCCCCATGGCGACTGCATGGGACGCTTACGCCAGAGAGCTCGTTGGCATGGGTTACGGGTTTCCACTGTGGGACCCAGAGCCGGAGCGGCACGGTGAGGTCCACATCGGCGACGTTGGCTTCCTTGTGAAAGGGCGCTTCCACCGACTGTTCAACCCAACGCTTCCCGCGGAGCATGAGGTGAACCAGGTCTGGGGTGTCCCCGACGTCTTCGAGGAGCTTAGGATCCCGAGTAGCCTGTACAGCTACAAAACGACGGCGATCTCAGCGGACACGGTCTGCAGCAAGAGCTTCGTGAAGCTCGATATCAATGCGAATATCAATGCGTGAGTGCAGCTTTGTGTGTGCAGATCGTGGGCTGACTCGTATGTCTGTTCGGCGGGTCAGCAAGTCTACGGTCAACTTGGGCTTACGCTTCCGATGTACGAATGAGCAAGGTGCCGTCCTTGTATTACCCACAAAGAAGGCTATCGGCGAGCAGCTGTTACCGAATTCGCTCATCCCGAAGTATATGGGTCGTAACCATGCGTACTGGTATGAGTTCGCAACGGAGAGGGCGCAGCTTGACCTGAAGCAAGAGGACATCATCCTCATCAGTGGCTGGATCAAGACGGCTCGATGGGCCGTCGCTGCATTCGTCGAGGGCGGTCGTGAGGTAGAGCTATCCTTCGGCGCCGGGCAGGCATCCCTGGCCGACGCCTCGTTCTCGGTCACGACCACCCAAGGCGTCTCGAGGTCATGGCACCAGCATTCTGGACCCGACACGGACGAGGAGACTACTGCAGGCTCGTCTTCGGTATCCCGTTCAGTCCAGGATCAGTGCGTGTTCCTGCACTTTTACAAGAGCAAGCGTCGTCTGGGAGGGATCTTGCCCAAGCTGTTGCCCATGAAAATTGCCGCGGCAGGTGAAGATGGTGCTCGGAGGTGGCCAAGTGGTGGAAACTGGGACCCACCAGAAGACGACGATGGGGCTTCAATGATACTTGCGGACAGCGTCAGTATCGACGAGGTACCCCAAAGAACAGAGGTGTGTCTCGGTTTAACTTTTGCGTCTATAATGACACCGAAGTCCGCAGAATTACGATCCTTTGGAACCCATCTTGGGCCACATAGTGCAGGTGCGAATGCGCGTCGGCCAATCCGCTAAGACCTCACTTACGCTCCGATAGACTTCCAATGCGTCAGTAGCAGTGGCAAGTACGATGGATCTACCGACGGTTACGGGCGATGAGTGCGCGTCGATTGAGAAGTCACTGATGTGTATCTGATTAACTCGTAGATTCTCTGGGTATGTGCAAGAATGGCTCAATAGCAATCACCCACGAGTATATGTCGCGGGAGCTGACGGTTGGCAAGGTATAACCCCGCTGCTCTGTGCTACGCACAACTCGCCTGAGACTGCGTATTGTAGTGGGTTCGTTACACAATCTGGACGACGAAATTGCTCCTTCAATCAACGATGCTGCTGTTATTGATGATGTAAGTTCTCATCATCGCTGTACTAATAGTGGGCCCCCGTCCCAATACGAGCGTCCACAGATTCTACTCGCGAACATAATACGTGAGGGTGCCGTATGTTTCTGCTCACTGCTCATTGTCCGCGAACTAACAGTAGTCTTTATTTCAAGTCCTCGTCAGTGATTAACCTGAGACCAGAATTCGCACGAAAGCAACATAGCCCTGAATCGCCCGAGGTACGTGTGCGTACCGTGATTCCGACTTGAAGATGCGATATATGGCCTCTAGGAATCCTCTTCGGCCAATGCCAATGATGTATCTACCTATCAGGTATGACGAACGCACTCCGCACATCGTCCGACTCATCGTGTTGTAATGTTCAGCTTAGCAAATCCTCCAGAAAGGGCGGCTGCTGGTGCGTATCAATCTTCCACTGAAATGATCGAACGCTTGTGACGTCTGTAATCTCAGGACATGTCGAATGCGCAAAACGGTGAGCAAGACTGTCATACTCTCGCCAGCAGCAAGCAGACCTTGCTTTCCAGAAATGCGATGAGCAGCAGGAAACCGAAGGCGGACCGTGCCAGACTTGCCGACGCCTTGGAGTCGAATGTCTGGGATGGGGTGTCAAACGGCCCGACTGGGCATCTGTAAGCTGATTCACCACCTGGATATCCACGTCGAGCACTGCGTTGACGAGTGACCAGGACAAGAACAGGGTGACTGCCTACAGAGCACAGTTGGGCCAGACCTTGAGAAAAACTCACACAGAATCCCGCGTGCTGAGCCCCAAAGGGGCCTCGCCGACACCACCACCATCGGTCGCCGCTGCAGCCAGCATCGCAGGCTCGTCGACCGTCACAGAGCAATCGACAGGAGAGCGAGGGGAAGACGTGCAAGGATGGTAACTAGCTATAGCTTGTGGACACATTGCGCATGTGCCGCATTGTATGCTATGCTGCTTGTTGCAGCAGACGATTGTTCGTGCGCGCGTTACATCTGTCGGTGCGCTATCGGCCGGTGGCTTAATGAAAGCTCCTCCAGTTGCAAGCAACGAAACCCCAGATGTCCCCACAGGTGCCGTTCGGGCGCGAGTAGTCGACTACATCGGTGAGATCTCACCAGCGCTAGTCACACCGGTACCGCCGCATGCCAGTGTACAACGTTCCCTTCCAGCTTGGGCCACACGGCAAGGGGCAAACACGTTACGCAGATGCAATAAAGATACAATATATACCGCAGTCCTCAAGCCGTCCGCGTCCCGCAAAGCCTCGGGCCCGCGGGGAGCTGTCACAGAGGATATTAAGAGTTTCTTCATGTTCACTAGTAGACTATGTAGGTGCTCGTGCTGCGCAAGCGTGGTGTGGTATCAGATTTAGAGAGCCAGAGCCAGAGCCAGAGGGAGGGAGTCAGAATACACGATACAGGGGTGAGTAACTTGGAGCGGCAGCGCGGAGCGTATAAGCCAAGCGCGACTGGGAGATCGTCTGGAGATGGTGAACGAAGGTAGTGTAGCTGAAGCGAGGTGGCAGTGCGTAGTACTCGATGGCGACCTGTCCGATGATCATCGACAAGCACGGACGCGTAACTCAGAATTTCAGATTTCAGATTAGAGTGGGCACGGGAAGGAAGTCTGGCTGGTCAGAGCAGGACCAGCGGGATAGCAGTATCCGAGTCATCATCGAGCGCGTACCAAGTACCGTGTGCCATGACGAATCACGATCCAAGCACGGATCCGCAGTTTCGCAGGTGCTCACCGCGCCTTCGCGGGGACCTCGTGCGTGACGAAGTGCCAGATGTAGTGTGTCCAGCCCTCGAGGACGCCCGCGCCGGTCATGATGTGCAGGCAGTCGCCCGCGGAGTGCTGCGCGGACACGCGGGTCAGCGACGCTCGACTTCAGGTAGGGGCTACGTACCGCGTCGGGCCTCAGCAGGGCCGGCTGGTCGATCGCGAGGTAGTGCACGTCTGGAAACTCGCCCGTATCCAGGATACCCTGCACAGACACAGACACAACCACCCATCAGCCGCGCACCAGAAACGCAGAGCGCGAGCGGGAGCCACGCACCTCGAAGATCCTGTTGAACTCCCAGATGCTCCCCCAGTTATACCAGTTCCACACAAACGGCCGCCACTCCCTCCACGGCGCGCGCTCATTATGGCAGTCCTCATGGCCGGGCAAATACGCCCTCACCACGACCTGCTTCCTTTCCCTCCTCCGCCCCAACCCCCAGCGCCGCCCCCGGCGCTCATAGTCGTCCAAGATCCCCTGCACGTCCTCCGCCCACCGCCGCATCGCCGCGTCAAAGAAGCCGAGCACGCCATCGATGCCCTCCCCGCGCGCGCCCTCGTCGCGGAACGCGCTCAGCAGCGTCGTCGTCCAGTGCCCGCCCGTGCTCGCGACGAGCGTCCCGTAGTGGCCCTCCAGGAACAGGTCCCTCACGTAGTACTCCGGGCTCAAGCTCCAGAACTGCTCCGCGCTGAACAGCGGTGGGGCGTCCGCGTGCCCGTCCGCGCGCGCGGCGTGCAGCCCCTCGAGCTCCGCGCGGTCGAGCAGCAGGTCCACGCGGCGGAACGTCACGAGCGGCGTGTCCGCGGCGGAGAAGCCTGGGGGCAGGCGGAGGTGCGGGAGGAGCGGCGAGTCTGGGGAGAGGTAGAGGTGCTGCGGCCAGGCGCGGTCGAAGTACGGGTTCTCGGTGTAGTTGGGCGTCGCGCGGACGTGCGGGTAGAGCACGCAGGAGAGCGAGAAGAAGTGGTTTTCCGTCACGGAGTCTGCGGGGGCGGGTGAGTACGGGAACGACGGCTGACCGGGAGAGTGTGGGGGATGCAGTGCGGAGTCGATGGACGCCACGCACGGTTGCGAACCGGGGCGTATCACCGCTCGAAGAACGGTCGGCGTGCCAATTCTGGCATGCCACAAAAGCGGACTCCGGCGTGTGCTGGGAGCACGAGTCAAGACGTGACATCCCGGCCTCTGTGCATCTCCTCGGGCTCGGGCGTATGGATATGGAAACGGCTGTGACTGCGTCGAGACCGAGGAAGACTCAGCACCTGCTTCCCCAACCTGTCAGACGGCCGCATCCACGCGCTCCTTGTCCGGAGGCGAGACCGTCGGACCCGAGGCCGACTCCATCCGTTTGGTGCACAGGCGGGCTGGGCCCCATGCGAGTGCACGAATTGACCACTGCACATCTGCGGACGCAGCGTGCACTCGCCGACTGCGACCCGCCAGGTCGGAGAGTATGGGATCGGGAGACGGCGTTCTGGACCGGGCGCGGCCCAGTGATCGGCAGGGGCATCACGTCGGTCGGGGCGTCCTCGCAGGCCGCCCCTTGCAGCTGTCACTCGCAGCATGGCTGCCAGGTCCCGCAAGCTCACGCGGGTGCGAGCGCGACGTGGAGAAACAACGTGCAGCGACGTCCGAAACGATGAGAGGGCAGACTCACCTCCAATGAGCAGCCAGCCGCCGTTCTCGACCATGTCCGCGACGATGGCAGCGCCGTCGAGGGGGCGCATCTCGCAGTCGCCGCCCGGGGTCCAGTCCCAGCTGGTCACGGCGGGGAAGCGGTCCCAGAGGCGTTCGTTGTCGGCGGCGAGGTGCCACCAGAACTCGCGGGAGCTGGCGCAGCCCTCGAGGCCCGCGAACACGAGCGCGTCCTCCTTCTGGTGCATGGCGATGTCGTCCGCTGGGCGGCCGGGCACGCGCGGCGGGTCGGGCGTGGGTGTCCAGGAGCCGTTGGCGTACGCGCGCGGCGGGCATGTGCTGCGGTAGCGCGGCTCGGTGAGGCGGGCGAAGGAGTCTGTGAGGGGCAGCCAGAGCGGCGAGGCGTACAGCGCATACAGCACGGTGCTGCTGACGAGCGCGGCGAGGAGCACGGTGCGGAGGCGTGGCGGGTGGGGGCGCGGGCCGAGGCCGAGCAGGCCCTTCATGGCGGGCAGAGCGAGTGGAGAGGGAGAGGCAGAGTCTCGCTGAGCGAGCGGACAAGCACACCACCTTCGCCGACTGCGCAGCTATTTCCGGCCGCTTGGCAATTAGAAGCCCGTCCGCAAAATGCGACATGACGTCGAGGGCCGATCTCGCGGCGCTCCACAGCCTTGGCACTTCCATTGCAGACCGCGGTCCAGACCCCCTCTGCCGCCCGCCCCGCCCCCGCAGCCAAGGGTCCTCGACGCCGCCGAGCTGCGCGCCGCCGTGCACCTATATATAGCCCTTCTGTGGCCTCTGCGCGGCTCTCTTCTCCTCCTCTTCGCCTCCGTGTGCTCAGTCGCTGTCCCTGCGATCCGCGTGTGCGCTTCTCATTCGTGATAGGGGTGCTTGTATACGCGATACATCTGCACCCGGACCCGCTGTCCCCGCCCGACCCGAGGCATCGCCGCCTCGCTCACTGAAAAATGGCCAGTCAGACGAATTTCTGCTGCGCATCACCTTAGTTCTCTGCGCGACCCCGTACGGACAGCACGCAGAGCCTGCATGGGGTGAGACGGTGACGAGCGGACGTGCGCGCGCGCCCCGCCCGCTTCCCGTCGTCCCCCATCACCATGGCAGTGTCTTGCGAACGCACCCTCGATGATGCTCCACCCCAGCGTGGCAGCAGCGCGCAGCCCGCGGGACACTTCCAGCTGAGTGTGCACCTGCGGAAGGCACGATAGCGACCGCGCTTGATAACTTCAAGAACACACTGGATGACTATCCGTAAGGTTTTAGAGGCGTCTGAAGGCCTCTAAACAGTTTGTAGCGGAGTTTAAATAGAGCTTAGAACGAGTTTCTAATCCGTAAGACGTGTTTGGATCGTCTACAGGTCGTTCTAAGACTCCCATGCGCTTCTTCGGTGCGAGTGACGACGAGTATGAATTCGAGGAGGAGGAGCGCCTCCGTCTCGGACTTGCTGCTACACTCATCCTAGGTGCCCTTGACTCTCGGCTCACCAGGCAGGTGCATCGCCACCGGGCCTACCTCACTCGCCCAGAGCTCATGCCTGATCCACGCATCGATACACCTTGGCAGCGGCTCTGGCAGAGCCAAAATGACCGTGCGTTCATCACGACAATGGGGATCGATGTCGGCACCTTCCGTTACCTCCTCGAGAGCGGGTTCACGAGGATTTGGACAACGACCGCAATACCGCGCACCGACACCGATCCGACCGGGCGACCTCGACTTGGTCGCCGCTCACTTGATGCTGCCGGTGCACTCGGCCTTTACCTACATTATCTCAACTCTACCATGTTTGAGAAGACCCTCCAGGAGGTTTTCGCGCTGGTCCCTGGGACGACCAATCGATATCTCAAGTTCGCCCGTCGCGCTTTGCTGACGACGCTGCGGAGCATCCCCGAGGGGAAAGTCAAGTTCCCGGAGGTTCATGAGTTTCATGAGTTATCAAAGCTCATACAGGTGTGTCGGCCAGTCAGCAATTCGGGTATAGGCTTGCTGAATTGCTCCGTAGAAGCGGCACCCACTCCTCAATGGCGCATTTGGTAGCATAGACGGGCTGAATATTGCGACGCAAACATCTGATGACCCGGCCATCGAGAACGCAACGTACAATGGATGGTTGCATGACCATTTCACAAGCTGCGTTATTGTCTTCTCGACCAGAGGTGAGTGGTGTTCAGTTTCGGGTGTCAGTTGTCGCTGAACATCGATGACAAGGGGTTGTCATTGCGTGTAGTCTCAACGCACCCGGTAGCTGGCATGATGCGAAGGTAGCCCGTCCGATCTACAAACAGCTCCGTGATAAGGCTCCCGACGGCTACTTCCTCGTGGCAGACTCTGCCTTCCCCCGAGGCGGTGCGGAGGTTCAAGACCATATTCACTCGCCGCGGCGGTCTGGGGAGCCGTTGCCTCAGGATCACCGAGAGCGAGCGGCTGCCATTGCCTACGACAATCAACTGTTGTCGTATCGGCAGACGGCAGAATGGGGCATGCGTCAACTTCAAGGATCGTTTGGCCGCCTCCGTGTCCCGCTTGATGTCAATGACAACGATGGGCGTGCGGACCTTCTCGAGAACTGTATCCGGATGAACAATGTACGTGCCATACGAGTCGGCATTAGTCAGATACAGCGGGTTTATGAACCTATTTGGCGAGCCTCAGAGGCAGCCCAACTCTGGGATTCATTCGAGCGGATGGTGATTCGAGATATTCGGCGCGGAGATAGGGTAGCACGATTTCACATTGTAGACTCAGATTGACTCGATACATATTAAAATGTGTGTATTATCTCTTGAACTATATACTGTCACTACGAAGTATGGTATCTATGTCGTGAGTACAAACCGCTAGACTAAAGGTGAGTAAGGTATAGTAGGCTGAGTGAGTAGGGAGGGCATATGTATATGTACACGACATCCGAGTCAGGAAATGAGTGTGTTATCATACGAGTAGTAGACAATGTGATTCTGAAGTGTATATACGGCAAATAATATGATAGGGAGATGGGTATACTGTCGCGATGTACCTCACTTCTCTGGGCCCTGGGGTGTGTTGCGTGCGATGCGGCGTCGACGGGGTGTGACGGTTACCTCATATGCGAGCTCTCCCGCTGGCTGTGAGTCCTCCACGCTTGCAGCCGCAGCCGCAGCGAGTACATGAAGACCTGGCTCTCCGACCGTGTTAGTCCGCTCAGAGAGCGACACCGCCGATGCGTGCGAGAACACACCAAGTGATGGTGTTCCAGCATTGTCGGGACCGGCCGCTGGCGCTTGAGGCACCGGCAACGGTCTGCGACCATCACCAATGGCAGACGGCGGCGCAGAGCTCGTCGTCGCAGCGCTCCGTGAATGCAGGGGGATGTACGCATCGCCCACCTCTTCGCGGGCAAACGCAGCCTGAGCGGCCATCTGCGCAAGGTCAGGCGGTGGCGAGTAATGCCGGTGGGTAGCCCAGTTTGACGGACCTGGCGATGGAGGTGGCGGTTCCGAGGCAAGGATGCTTGGTGACTCGTGGAGATAGCGCGCTGGGCTTGACTCGTAGGTAAACGGACGCGGAACAGCAGTCACAGAAGAGGGCGCGGGAGATGCTGGTAACCCGCGTGGCGCTCCCAGAACGCCGAAGCCTGAGGGGTGAAAATTTGCTGACTGCGCGCCCTGCGCCGCCTGTTCCCACCGGTCGCGACGACGGAGCTCTTCTTCAAGTCGTTCTGCCCGCCGCCTCTCTTCTGCAAGCTGACTGCGCGTGTCACGCATCTCATCAAAGAAGAGCTGCAGAACCATGCCATCGGCTTGTCGAGTAGCCCGAACGTCATCCCGGGCAGCTTGAGTAGCTGGGTCGAATGCAGTCGCGATGTTGCTGAGCAGATTGTTGGAGATTCCTGAGCGTGTCTGGCGGCTCGCCAGTGCGCCAGAGCCTGCGCTGGTATGGACGGTGGTAGATGCTGTGCTAGATCGTCGCAGTGGGATGGAAGGTGTGTTGTCACGGTGCGTACTACTCGAGGCAAGCGTCGTCTTGGCCTTCTTACGCGCGGGAGCTGACTGCACGGCGTCTGGATCAGGCTTGACCTTCGGAGGCACCTCTTCGTCTGAGTCGAAGATCTCGATGACATCGGGTTCGACATCGCCTTGCTGCCGCTCAGGCTGCTCAACGCCGTCAATCCCAGCGTCGTCGTCAAGTGTACGAAGGTGTGCGCGTTCATTGATGAGCTCCTCGATGGTCCATGCTTCTTCAACCCACCATGGCACCTCCGCTTTACCGGTCGGCTTCGGTGTGCGAGCAAGCTGCACAACATCAGGGTAAGGATCTTCGAAATTTGTATAATCTCACTGAATATTACCCACCGCCTCAAACTTCGACCTCAAGGGCTTGACTTGACGTTCAGGCCGACCCTCCGTCAGCGCCCACTTGTTGTAGATCGACTTGGCGTTCGACCACTCGTCTGGCCCGAGTGGCAAGAGCTTGCGGACAACGTCCATCAGCGTGCCCAAGTCTGCTTCAGTATAGGTTGCTGCACCGGGCTGGCGACCACCACGCCTTGGAGCTGCCGGCACCGCTGGTGCCCCGCCACCATGAGGAGAGCGTCCACGTTTGCGTGCGGTCGGTACGGCTGAGCTGCCACCCTTCGAAGCTGGCTTGGACGCGGCTGTCTTCGATGTTGCGGTAGGGTTTCGGACAGGAGCGGCCCGTGCTGGGACTTTCTGTGATCGGCTCGGGGGAGGCTTCACTGCACGGCCTGCGCCTGACCCAGGAGCATGCGCGTGAGTACGGAGGATCTCCGAGACTTCCGGCAGCTCATCGTCACTGCGTGGCTCCTCCTTCACCTTCACGGCGGGAGAACTCCCAGTCTGCGGCCAGTGAGTGCGGAGCGGTTGGCTTGGACTCGGAGCCGGCCGAAGGCTGGGCGGCTGGGGCTGCCATGCCCGGCGGGAGTCAGTCCCGGCCTGCACAGGTGGCGGTGGCGGTAGGTCCTCGCCATCGAACCCAGGGTCCAGTGGGCTACGATCTCGCGGTGAGAAGCTCCAACCGTACGGGTCACCGTAGGTAGACGGTTCATGCTCGGTAGGAGGCGGGAGGGAGTACGGATATGGATGCGCCACTGAGGCTTGGTTGGTGCGGTGGTGTATGGAGGTGGAGTGAGATGAGATGTCGAAAGGAGGGGACAGGCTGTACGGCGGGGACGGCCCTTGAGGAAAATAGGAAGGTGTATTATATGGTACATGCGTGTGGAATGGACGAGGCGTGCCAGCTTGAGTGGCTGCTGGCACAGGAGTGCGATCGTCATGGAATGTGGTGGCTGCACCGTGGGTATCAGGAGAGTCCTCTGTCATCCGAGTCCGTCCACCAGACCGGAAATCGGTAGTAGGCTATAATGAGGGTGCGTTCAGTCTCTGTATTCCTTTGCATGGCTGACACAAGACGTACCACAGTAGAACGGAACTCCATACTCAGACCGTGGATGCCTTCGGATGCCGGTGGGCCGGCGGCCTCGTCCTCTGAGAGTCGCCTTGCCTTTTGCTTCCCCGCGGCTTTGTCCGACATCGGTGGGTGGCGCTCCATTGGACTCGGAAAGTCGAAGGCTCGTAGTAAGCACTCGACAAGTCAGTTGAGGAGGAGCCAAGTAGGAAGATGATGAAAGACTCGGAGAACAATGAAGAAACAAGAATGCGGGATATGAGTAGAACAAGAGTAACTTGGGATGACAGGTGAAGGAGAGTGCGGTAGAACGAGTGGATACGCGTCAGAAGGTGAGCAACCGTTGTGTTTTCTCTAGAGATGGGTCACTGCTTGGACGTCTTGGATGACCACCGTTTATATACCGTTTTCTACAGCCCAATCTCGACTCGGGCCAAGTGTACCAGAGCATGACCCCGTCCAGGGCTGGAACTTGGCATTGTGCAAAGGTACGCTGTGTCTCAGAATAATCTGCACATTTGAGCTCACCGAAACGTCCGCGGCGAGTGAGCGATGGTTTATTCAGCAATGTTCATGTGGATGTGGTGCCGTAGACACAGCTTACGAAGAATCGAGCCTCTCCAGGTGCGCTCTATGCATGCTTTTGGACGTCCCCGCCATCGTAATATTCCCAAATGTATCCATTCCGAATATGCTCCCATGTGCTACAATCCGAACCACCATGCCTGTATTGTACAGCCTGCTGCGGCACAACCGCCTTGTTGCTCTCGCCATACATCGCTCACAGCAGCTATGCCAAATGAGGAAGCCGGCGGGTCAATTTTAGAATTTAGTGCCGTGATGACCGTTGATCTAGGTCGGGGGGCTCCCCCCCTCATTTCAAACTTGTGCGTTTAGGACCGGTCCAAACCCTTCAAAGCCTCTGAAACGCAGACAGGCTTGAGCAAATATGATTTTCCGATCTCAATGTGCTGCATGCCGCGCGGCCAACTTCCGACCTTCCCTGTTTGAGGTTCGGAGTGTAGAGAATTTCAAACTCCATGCCTTTACGGCGGCCAGTGCCCCCATTTGATGACCTTGATTTTGCATTTAGAGCTCGCAAAATGCATCTAAACCCTTACGGATAGTCATCCACTCACCGTCGTCAGTGACCGCGACGGGATGGGGGCGCGACTTTGGTCGAGCGCGTCCACGAGCGCTTATCGCCAACTGCCCGCAGGTGGATGCGGAAGGTCTCCTGCTAAATTAGGAAAGTATGGTGCCATGTAAGTACAACCGTCAGTGCGCGGGTCCTCAATCCATCGCCGTATTGCGTATGATTCCCAGCTCTATACCACAGAACAAAGGATCCTCACAATTCTGGCCGCTCGTCTAAGGCGTGTGCTACGGTATATACATTGTATGGCCCGGGCCCGTGTTTGCGTATGACAACGCGTCGTGCGTCTTTGTGTGTGTGCCCTTGAACGCGGACGTGGCGAGCCTACTTCCCGCGGTGTCAAGGTGAGTACCTACAGTACTTCCTCTCGACCCGGAGAAGTTACTGAAGGGGGAGCGCCAGGTGGTTCGGGCTGCGAAGGGGGTCCCTCCGAACATGCAATTTCACTGTCGCCGGCGGCCTACTGTGGGCCGACGCGAGCGCATGTCAGTACATCGCAAAGGTACCAGCGAAATTCAGGTGCGGATCACCCATCGAACGAATGTACTTGTCTCCAGGACCATCACCGGAGATGAGTCTTCAACCAACACAAAGTACGGGCTTTACGCATAGACTCCGAGCTGACGTGCTGCCCAGGATCCCCCGGGTTTCGGCACATTTACTCCTGTGCACGGCGTCCTCTTTGCCGAGCGCACTCCCTGTATCGGTGGTCACTAACGGTCTCTCCCGCCACAGCCTCACAACTATCCTCCCCTCGCACCTCTTCTTCGACCTCCGCGAGACTTCACCGACGCCAGGGACCGACTCCGTCCGAGTCAGCTCGACGCAGATATCCGACCTCCACATCTCGCGTGTGCTGGGTGTGTTGGGTGGTTCGCTGATGCCAATGGCCTCGGTGACGAGCTGGAAACGGAATGCGATGACACCGATGAGCAGTCCAGACTACTGTGACTGACTGTGCAGGTGTCTACGACAGCTGCCTCGGAGATCGGTTTGACGGCGCCTCCGAGTCAGGCATGATATGGGCCAAGACGCTGGATATGCCAATTTTTCCAAGTTGTCCTACTCCGTACGTCCATTTCAGAACCATAGCTCTCGCTGGAGACGCCAACCATACAATTCTCCGGATATGCAACTACGCAGTGCTCCCGGCGCCCGCCTCGGCCTCGATACAAAACGTATTGACTTACTGAGTACGTGTGAACGACACTGTGGCGCCCTGATATATCATACACGGGTGATGTACACCACCCAAAACTGATACGGAAAGCATATCAAACAAGACATTCGTCTCAGAAACGTCCATACAGCATAGAGTAGTGGTGAAAGAATCTGAAAGAATGCAAGCAGTCAACTCCGGGTGCCAGACCGGACTGCCGGCACAGACATCCTAGGCTCAGGCTCAACCTCACCCACAGACAGACATCACATGTACCCCCGGGAGGGCTCGACATCGTCGAGTCCTGTGCAGACCTTTCCGTGGTCCGGGGGATAAGTAACCTCGTCAGAGGCGAAACCAACTGCACTATAATAAAAACCCGGTAGAGCCTATGGCTCCCGATGAAGGAGACTTCATTTCTCGCGAGCCGGCCACCGCTCTTGCGGTCACCGGCGACGCCCCGCGCCGTTCGAACGCCCCCGAGGGCCATCGAGCGAAGCGAACATATGACGAGAATAACCCGCACGCCTTCATGCTGCGGCCAATGGGGATCACCTTGCCGTCCGAAAGGCCAAGCCCCCATCCTCGAAAGGGGCCCGGAGGAAACTCCACGCGCCGAAAGGCCCTAATGTCCCGCGCAGCCTCGGACATCACCATGTAGATGTACTTCATCCCACTTACGGTGGTCCTGCCCCACCCATCTCAATATCCCAGTCCATTACCCCTTCCCCCGCGCGCATTTTAGCAGGCATGGCGCTTATTTTAAGGTTCCAGCCACACGGACAGAACTGTAAAAGTCCGGAAGTTTCCGAGCTTGTCATTACTTTCCATATACGGACCACTGTCTGAAAATGGACGCCAACGCAAGCACACACACTGTGAAACCAACCCCCCGGAAAGAATCACAAGATGTGGCCCTGCCCCCCCCAATAATTGCCTAGTGTCTTCCTAGCCTTCAATGGCTTAATGATTGACGTAAGAGAACCTATATGTGAGGCGCGCACACCTAACGTAATTGATAAAAGAAAGCGCCTGCCCGTTAGTATTTACGTCCGACCGGTTCGCGACGCCCTACCTCCCAATCTTTCGCCCCAAACTCCTCCGGGAGTCACGCAGCAATGGCCCCTACGAGGAGCAAGAAACAGCCTCAGAAACGAGCTGCTATAACACCAAAGAAACGTACCAGTCGAGCTAAACCGCCGCCGCCACCCACCCCCGTCACCCTCCCGCCATTGCCACCCCTCTCCATCCCGCCAGAGGACCTGCCTGTCGTGGACGTTAAAGTCCTCCCATATCCCACGACTAGGTACGAACGAGGACCTACCTGGATAGCGGACGAGAGGCCGACGGCGCAGCTCCATAAGGGAAGTCGCATCACGCTGCGCACGGACGCCCAATCGTCGGGCATCGGGCGCCTGTCGGCGATCTCCGATCTACGCCGACACTGGGTCACGTTCTCGATAATTGGCGCCCAACAACAGTGCAACCTCCGAGTCCCCATACCATGGGTGATCCTGGACGGCTTAGAGAGCTTCACCCACCAGGAGCACTACCTCAGCCTCCCTAACGACCCCCCTCCACACCGCTCCTTCATCGACATCCCCGCATTTCGCAATAACGAGGATAACCCCTATGAATTCGATGTCAACGACGAAGACATCCCAGCTTTCTCAAAGCGGCTAGCGAATATCGCGAACAAATACTGGAGGAATCTCGAACTGGAGGGGCGAAGGGCTAGCCTGGACCACTAGGCACCGTATGTAACTCCCTCTCACACCTGCCAAGATAAGGCTATGTATCGACGCTTCCTGATGACATGTCGCGCCACGCATCACCGCCCACCGACTAAGAGCGACGGCCTCCCGCGCTGTCACAACCAAATTAAGTAAGGTACGTCACCCATACGCCCACTCAATGCCAGATCACCATCTCCCCAGGCCCGTGCCGAGGCACGGCCGAACGTAAGCGCCGGTTTCCTCCACTCCTCCGTCCCCTGTGAACGAGCAGGAAACAACAAAGTGCCGCCCCTACGCCCAACGATCCCAGCGTTTCGAAGAGCACAAGAAAACGGGCGACAGGCAGACACACCTCACCCCGCCGAGACCAAGAGAGAACGCCAAAAACGAGGTATCCTATCCCGCGCTTACAGCATGGCCCCTGCAAGAACGCGACGATATTGTCGTCCCGTAACACAGAGCACTACCGACCCGCTAGGCTACAACGACCCTGAACGCTCCCGCGTGGTGTCGAGAAGCCCGCAGGAATAAAATCAGATAAGCGCGAGAGCCTCTTCCTTCCCTCCTTTTGCATCTGCCCTACTCCAGTATCCTCTCTCGAAAATGCATCCCAGTGCTTTCCAGCGCAATCCGACGCCGAGAACGTTCGCGACGGTCCCGTCGACGCCTGTTCACTCCCCGGGAACGCGTCAGCCCGCCCTACCCGCCTTGCAGGCGTCGACGTCGCCTTCTCAGTCCACCGTCCAAGACCCATCCTTCGGAACGGGCGAAGCGGGTGCGCTCCCGGCCTCTTTCGCGGACGTCACTGCGGGGCGTCGCAGCGCCTCGCCGCGCCTCGCTGATGGTATGCCCCGAGCCCCGAGACTTACACCGTCCCCGCGAAACGATGATGTTCCTCCTCTAGACCTTGGTCCCAGCGCCGCCGCTCCCTCTGGCCCGCCGGCCCCGCCTGCCCCGCCTGCCCTTGGCGCACCTAGTGACGTGACCCGCCCCGCGACTGCCCCTGTGTCGGTCCTCTCCCCTGAGGAGACCGGCTGGGTTGAAGTGAAGCGAGGTGGCCGCAAAAAGAACACAACCCGCCCGACGACCCTCCAGTTGCGCCTAGGGACTCCCCCTCGCTCCTACACGCCATCCCCGGCGGCCCGGCCGCGGACGACCAGAGAGAGAGCTCTCAGCGATGGAAGAAAGAGACGGCGCACCTCCCGCGAGAACGTGGACGACGGCGGTGAGTCCTCGCAGACGCAGCCTTCAATCCGCCTCCAACCTTCCCCCGGTCCCGCCTTCGCGAGAACAATGCTGCCGGCCCCGGAAGAACACGCAGGCTCCCCGGAGGGGCACACGCCCTCCCCGGTCCAAGCCCTTCCTTCGCATCTCCACCCGTCTGTGACGGATGCTGTAGAACGTATCAAGGCAGCGTATACTAATGTCTATAGGACTACCTTTGAGAATCGCGACCCGCAAGCGTTCGTACCTCGACCCTAATTAATTAGTATATCTTTGTATTTTACTGTAATTACGTAGGCGCGCGCTCGCTGTTACCTCGCGCGCGCCCAGCAATTAGACGCGAAGCTTCTCCCTGTCCAACTCCACCATTCGCCCGTGTGCGATACCGCACCGTACGAACTAGGAGCTGAGTCCCTAAGTCGTGTGAGCTCCTCGCTCCTCGACGCACAGTGCGTGCTCCTCGCCGCACTGAAGGATAGGCTCCTCGCCTACTCCTGCCCCGAGCTCGGCTCCTCGTCGTCTCGTCACCTGAGCTCCTCGCTGCAGGCACGACTTACCCTCGCCGGCTACCCGCCTGCGAACGTCCACGAGTACGGTCGTCGGCTCCTCGCCTCGACTCAATAACTCGTGCATCACTGGCTCCTCGCCAGTGCACGTCCGCGTACGTGTCAGGCAGGCTCCCCGCCTAGGCCCGACACTCCGCTCCCGGCCGGCTCCTCGCCAGCCCACGACCTCCACGACCTTAAATACGACCCGGTCTCTGAGCGACCACCAACGTTCAAACCGACAGGTAGCCCGTTCCCTCTCAGTGCGAGTAGACGAAACCACCGTCTCTCACATTGGTGGACACTCAGGGGAACGGTCCACTACCCTATCGGTTTGTAAGTCTTGACCTCTACGTCAATCTCCCCTTCGACCAGCTGCTATGACCGCGCGCACTCCCGCGGCTGGTACTTCGTTTCTCGGCGACGCCTCACGGCTATCTCGCCCCTCGTCGGCTCTCCCTTCGGGATCAGCTTCGCCCTTCACGCAAATCTCAGCTTCGACCCCCGAACGGACGACGCGAGGAAGAGTCGCCTCTCTAGAGGACGTAGAGGACTTGGGGGAATCCAGTAAGTTGCCCACTACACTCCCCTTCTCCCTTCAAGACCGAGTGAGTGAAAACGCCCGCTCCTCGGTCTCCTCCCTGCCGGTCGCTCCTCCTACCTTACCGCGGACGATGCTCGTCCCAGCAAGTCTCGACGATGTTTCTTCCTCCGGAGTCCAACCCTCGCGCGACCTCCAACCGTCGACGTTCGTTGAGTCGCCTCGACCTCGACCGGCTGACAACAGCTCGCTGACGGCGCTACCGCCAGGGTGGAGTGTTCGGCGTTCGCCTCCTACTACCCCTTCCACCGCGGATTGGTTTTGCCCCGTGGAAGTCAGTAACTCCGGAATACCCGTCTTCGTCCCTCAGCCGGTTGCCACGTCTACTCCTGGGAGGTCGAACGGTCCGGCCGATAACGCGGTCCCGAACAACCCTTCAGTCTCGGCGGACGAAGTCATGCAAGCCGCCAAGGAGGCTGTCGACAAGGTCCATCTCAAGGATCTAGTGGACGAGACGGGTCGGTTCAAGATTCACCTCCGCAAACCGGCAGAGGCTCAAGCCATTTTCAACGACCTCAACGCGCAGGATGCTCTAGGGAACTTCAGCACGCTATTCGAGGAAACAAACGCCTTCATCGCTGAAGACCTCGATCCCCGCGACATCGTCGACGCCGCCGAATTCGAGCGAAAAGAATCTCGTTACCGTATCAAGGCTCGAGCCATGCTGCGCATCAATTACGTTGTGGAGGGACTTGAGTCCTTAGTCAACCAGATACTACGCCTGGAGAACGCCCACCGCAAATGGAAGACTGACCATGCCAATTCCCTCATGGGAGCCCTCCGAGGGTCTGCTTCGCGTGGGTTACTTTCAGATGCCTTCCGAGTTATTCAGTACAGAGCGGCCAAGGCGATCACTCTGATCCATCAGCGGCGCGCTCTGCACGACGGAGCGAATTACCCGGAGTCGGTCAAGTCTACCGCCTCGGACTTCAGTCAACATATCCGTTCTTCGAACTCCAAGCGCATGGTCCTCGACAAGTGGCTTGACCATCCAGACATCTTCTCGAATCTGACGCCCGAATACCAAGCAGTTGTATTGAGGCGTCTGGGAAACGCGGAAGGAATCGATTCGGAACTAACGAACTTGCAGATTCCGCCTGACCAACGGTTTAAATGGCCTCCGTCCTCTATGCTCGTCACTCCCGTAGTACATGGAGCTTCGGTGTCGATGGCAGAGAGTACGGCGCCCCCTTCCCGGACTTCTTCGGCCGCGCGCGTCGAATTGGACCTGACCCGCGCGCTCTCCTCTGTTCCTTCCGAACCTTCCTCTCCTGTCAAAGCTGGAGGAGGTGTTCGATTTCCTCCTACCGTGGATACGCGCCCACGCTACTCTCATCGGTCCAGTCACGCAAACCCCGATTTCTCACTTCCTCAAGCGGCTGAAGACGCGAGAAGAAGGGTTCAATTCCAAGAACCTCCTCATCCTCGAAGAGATTCGGCAGCTCATGATGCTGGACCTCCCGAACCCGAACCGCGTCCTGCGGAGCGAAGATCTTCCGCACCCTGGCCGCGAGGTCACTCGGTCGCTCTCCCGGAATCTGCGGCCGCCCAAACAGTACGCGACGCCGTCTTCCCGTCCTCTCGACTCTCGTCCGCTCTGCGCCCATCTTCAGTACCTCGAACCCCGACGTTCGTCTCTCGACAGAGCTCTCCACAACGAGACGCTCCACCCCATTTCGCTGGCCACTACTACGAGCAAACGCGTCAGTCAGCTGGCGCTGACGGCAAGAGGACGTTCGTTTACGAATCTCGTGCTTCCGGTCATTCGGCGCATGGAGGAAATGTCCCTCCTGCGGCGAGTTTTCCGAATCAACAAGACGAGAAGCGCGACTACTCCCGCCCTCCGAGTGTCTCACACTCAAGTCACTCCAGCCGGGGAAGAGAAGGTCCCCCCTTTGGCGGCCCTCCAGGACCAAGTGGTCCTCCCGGAGGCGGAGGAGATGGAGGAGATGGAGGCGGAGGCGGAGGAGGAAATAACGGAAACGACCGTTCCTCCCCGAGGGACCCTTATGGACGGCGACGCCCTGATGGGTTTTACGGCGGTCCGCCTGGAGGAGAGCCTCCTAGTGGAGGAGGTACTGCGTCGGAGTCCTCCCCGGACAACCGGCCCACCATTATCATTCACCAAATCCCCGCACCCAAGGAGGTCGGTCTCAGACTGGACCAGAAGATCTCGAGGAATTCAATCCCTGGATGGGATGGCAGTCACAAGACGGTCCTCATCTACCTGCATAAGATGAATAATCTGGCCAGGAAGAATGATTCTATAGCGCGAGATCTCGGAGCGGTGGCCCCGGATAAGTTCACAGGTCGTGCTGAGCGCTGGTGGCAACTCCTCGACTTTCCAACCCAGAAGCTATACTCGTCCGACTGGTGGAAACTTTACGAAGGCATCAAACTTCAATTCTTCACGCACAAGTTTGAAGTATCCCTGCGCACTCAGTACGATGGTCAACGCTTCCGCCAGCCTGGGCACGACAAGGAACTCCCTATGGACTTCGTGGATAGGAGGCTGCTATATCATCGTCACCTGACCAGTGCGTTGGAGAACCCAGCTTTCGAGATAGCAGCGGTGATGCAAAACGCCCCTCCTACCTGGTCCACCGTTCTATCACTGGATTCTATAGAGACCATTGCGGCTCTCATGTCCAAGGTGGCAGACAAATCAGACGAATTGATTGCCTTTGCATCAATGGCCCCCGCGCGAACTTCACAATACGAACAGTTGCTTCACCTCCCGGTGTCGAAACCCGATTCGCGAAACTTCTCCACGGCTCGACGCGCCTTCGCAGTGGATGGTCTACTTGGAGGCAGAGCCTCTGATCCCGACGATGAAGACGACGCTCCTATCGCCCTTTCGACTGTGAACGAGAATGCCGTTCCAGTTGTCGGGAATGCAGACACTTCGCGCGAAGCCCTTGCTCTCAACACTCAGTCTAGGACACCTGCGTCTCGTCCTGCGAGGGGAGGAAATCGTAGACCGCCACCGGCTGGTCACAAGTACCCTCGAGATGACTCCGTTAAGAGTAAACGCCCGCCGCCAGGAGACTGTCGAGTATGTGGTAGCCCCTTCCACTGGGACCGGGACTGCCCGCATTGGAACGAGTATGATGTCGGCCGGAGGGCTCTCTTGATCAACGCTGAGTACGATTGCGACGAACAGGAGAACGAGGAGTATGAAGAGGCGTTCGTCGCCTATATCTGTAGTAACATGAGTAATGCCAGACTGTCTAGCGCTTTGTGGGCGGATGTTCGCCGGGCCGAAGGAGAGCAGCTCGAAGCTGAAGTGAAGCTGAAACACTCCTTGAAAGTGACTTGCGAGGACGTCGACGAAATTCCGTCGCGTTCTACGCAATCACTACCCTCTGATCATCCGCACGTCCTTGAAGAGGTCGAGCCTCACGGGCGCGACTCTACCGACTCCCTGGCCAGCATGATAGCCGAAGCACTGTCGGTAGATGGCTCGTCACATTTCGTCAGTCATCCGGACCGTTTCGCGAGGACGGCCGCTGCAGTGGACGAGAACGTCCCTGCCGCTTACGCTCCTCCTAAACTAAGCGAACCCTTAATCGTCCCCCTGGCCAGAGTACGCGATCCGCCCGCCGGACACTCCACCGTTGGAGTGGCTGCCCTCTCCTTCCCGTTGCGCTTGGGAAGCCTGTCCCATCCCCCGGTAACTTGTAGGGCGGACTCCGGTGCCGACATATCGCTAATCTCTCAGGATTACCTCGAGTCTCTCCCCGTCGCATCGCGTCCGAAGATCAAACAAGGACTTCGCATGAACCTGTTTCAACTAACAGGAGGTTTCCGTATATCTGGGTATATCCAAACCCAGATATATGTCGAAACTGAGCAAGGGCACGTCCTCAAAATGACGGCCGAATGTTATGTGGTCCCAGGGATGTCCGCTCCGCTCCTCTTAGGGGAAGACTTCCATGTGAACTACGAACTCAGCGTCACCCGCAGCGTCGTAGAAGGATCCGCTATCCGCGTAGGAAACACCGGGTATTCAATTCCGGCGTCCTCGTCAATTCGTAAAGAAAGGCCCAGCCTCAAGGTCGTAGCCAGAGCCGCCGGTTCCAAGTTCGTACGCGCCAAGACACATAAGCGTCGACGAGCGGATCGGCATAGAGAATTAGTCAAGACCCAACGCCCTTCAGCATTAGCGGCGCAAGATGTGCGAATTGCCCCGCACTCTTGCCGCCCCGTGCCTGTTCGACTCCCATTGGGCGTCCAATCTCAATGGTTTATCGAGAAAACTGTGCTCGGGCAGTCGGATGGAACCTTCTTGTTGACAACTCCCACCCTGATCGACACTGACCATCTGTACGTTCCGGTGACCAATCCTACAGATCGACCGTACATGATCAGGGAAGGCGAGACGTTGGGCTTGCTCCATGCCCCCGAAGGGTACTTTGCCGATTCGACTCCGGAACTACTCGTGCACGCTCAATCAGCCCAAACATTCATACGAGGAGCTTCCGGCACTCTTCCTGCCGAGGTCAATGACAAGGGAGCAGCAGAAGACATTGACGACCAATGGGGACCTAAGACTGCTGAGCTCCCCGATCCGGAATCCTACCCGTCCAGCGAACTAGAGAAGCTATTAGACATCGGTCCTGAGTGGCCGGAAGAGCATCGCGAGCGACTCATTCGGATGCTACGCGCGAATCAAGCGGCCTTCGCTTTTGATGGGCGGTTGGGTCATAATCCGACCGAAGTAGAAATCAAGCTACAACCGGAAGCGAAACCCGTATCTCTACCTATGTACTCTGCGTCTCCGGCGAAACGAGAAGTCATTGACAAGCAGCACGAAGCCTGGCTGAATCTCGATGTTATCGAACCGTCGAACAGTCCATGGGGAGCTCCCGTGCTGATTGCCTACCGGAACGGGAAACCCCGACTGTGTGTGGATTATCGACGTCTCAACGCTGTCACCGTACCGGACGAATTCCCTATCCCGAGGCAGAACGAAATCCTTCAATCTCTGTCAGGAGCACAAGTACTCACCTCTCTTGATGCCTTGTCCGGATTCACGCAACTCACTGTTGCCGACAACGACCGGGAAAAGACTGCTTTTCGAACGCACCGCGGGCTGTTCCAGTTCAAACGTCTGCCTTTCGGACTGCGCAATGGACCCTCGGCCTTCCAACGAGTAATGCAAGGGGTTCTGGCTCCATACCTATGGTTGTTCGCTTTGGTCTACATCGACGATATCGTCGTGTATTCCCGATCCTGGAGCGAACACATTGAACATCTGGACAAAGTACTCAAGGCCATCATATCCTCGGGCATCACGCTATCTCTTCCTAAATGTCACTTTGGGTACACCTCGATTTTACTATTAGGACAGAAAGTGTCGCGACTGGGATTCTCCACCCATCACGAGAAAGTACGAGCCGTCCTCGAATTGGCGCGTCCTAAACGCGTACCCGACCTGCAGACGTTTCTGGGCATGACGGTCTACTTTTCCAGCTACATCCCTTATTATTCGTTTATCGTCTCACCCCTGTTCGAGCTGTTACGGAAGGACCATAAGTGGGATTGGACGGCCGAATGTGAAGTAGCATGGCAGCAAGCGAAGAGTGTTCTCCAATCCGCCCCGGTCCTAGCCCACGCGGCGGCCGGCAACCCCTATCGACTGTATACGGACGCGTCGGACATCGCACTAGGCGCCTGCCTACAGCAAGTTCAACCTATCCGAGTAGGCGACCTCAAAGGGACTCGGGCCTACGAGAGATTGAGTAAAGCGTTTGGGGAAGGATCCCCTGTACCCTGCCTCACCGCGCGGATATCCAACAAATTCGACGACTGCCCTCCAGCGGGTCAATGGGCCTCCTCATTGGACGAAACTACCGTCCATGTAGAGAGGGTCATCGCATACTGGAGTCGAACTTGCAAGCCGGCTGAACGTAACTACTCTGCCACTGAACGGGAAGCACTAGCCGCGAAGGACGGCCTCGTCCGATTCCAGCCTTTCATCGAAGGGGAACAAGTCACCTTGATTACCGACCACGCGGCACTCCAATGGGCCAGAACTTATGAGAATACTAATCGGAGACTAGCGGCCTGGGGGGCTGTGTTCGCGGCTTATCTCCCCAACTTGGACATCGTGCATCGGGCAGGCAGGGTGCACTCCAACGTCGATCCATTATCACGACTCCCAAGGGAGCCTCCAATTCACGACTCCCCACTGTCCGACCCGTCAATTCCGATCATCACTGACCAGGTCAAGCCTGCGGCAGCAGAGTCAGCAGCTGAACGATCCCCCGCAGTTAAGATGGCGGCCGCCGCTACTATCATCCGGACATGGGAAGATATACTCGACGCCTCCCCAGCATGGGGCCCATTCAACAGTAACCCCATTGACGACTCAGGCCTCGACGTGGGGGGCAGAGACCAGTCGACTGGTGAGGACACTCAGAGCATGATCGAAGCACCGATCTGCTCGAGCCGGGAGGATACTCAGGGCATGATCGATTCTCCGATCTGCGCGAGAGGTCCGAATTACGACGAGGCCAGAGACGACGCAGACATCGAAGAGAGACTAGCAGCCCCGGTCTCTACGAGATTCAAGGAACATCGGCGTCCTCCAATAGTAGCTACTAAGAGGAAACAGAATGACACTGCAGCCAGAGCGCTAGAGCCCAAACCACCGGCCACTACTACGAAGGACACGAGCGCTCTCTACGGACCACCCGAAGACGTCTCGCCGCCGACGGCTCTCATCGAGCTCAGTAACGAATACCGCGAGAAGTTCGTGAAGGGCTATTCCAAGGATGCCTTCTTCAAAACCAAGTGGGTAAAGGCGTCGGAACCGGGACTAGAGAAATTCGCGGGACAGTGTTTCTTCGTGGATGACTCGGGTCTGTTATACATGCGGACAGGCTCGGACCCAGTCAGACTCTGCGTACCGCGATCGGAGGTATTCCCCCTCATTGCCAGGATCCACGATTCTCCATACGAATCGGCGCATGAGGGTCCTGCCAAGCTGGCTACGCGCATCAACTCGAAGTTCTTCTGGCCGACCTTGCGTAAAGACGTCAAGGATTATGCTATGTCCTGTGATGTATGCCAGAAGATGAAAGCTGATCACAGAGCGAAAGCTGGATTCTTGAGGCCGAACCCGGTGCCTAACCGCCCCTTTGAATGGATTTCGTTCGACCTTATCACCGGCTTACCGTTCTCGGATGGATTCGACGCCATTTTCGTGGCGGTCGACCGATGTACGAAATATGCCCTGTTCATCCCCTGCCTAGGAACCATGAATACTGTGGAGTTCGCCCACCTGTTCGTGCTTCAAGTTATCTTCCGCTTCGGTATCCCCGACCACATCATTAGTGATCGAGACGGTCGATGGATTTCGGAATTCTGGAGATCAGTAGCTGAGGAACTGAACATACACCTCTCCCTCTCGTCTTCCCATCACCCTCAGCACGACGGTCAAACCGAAATCGTCAACCAGCGTTTAGAGACCATGCTGCGAGCTTATGTCCAAGGGGACCGACAAGGGTGGTCCCAATGGCTCCCCGCTCTGGCTCACGCTTACAACTCCTCCGTGCACTCAACGACCGGCTACTCTCCTTACTTCCTTCTCTATGGATTCGAACCGAAAGGGTCCACGGACTTCATAGGCAACACCAACCGCTACGAGCAGCGTCCGCTGCTTGTTAGCGAACGGGCCACGGACTTCGTCCTGAACATGGAACTTCATCGGCAGAGGGCTCGCGACGCCATCGCTATGGCCCAAGAACAAGCGGCCCGCTCGTTCAATGAGGGTCGTCGTACTGAAACATTCCCGGTCGGCTCCCGTGTATTGGTCAACCCTCACTCGCTTGAGCTGGTCGACGTCAAAGGCACGGGGAAGAAGCTGGTGCAAAGGATGTTGGGTCCTTTCCCAGTGCAGGAACAAGTCAACCCTCTCGTTTACAAGCTCGCCATGCCCAATACTTATCCTATGAATCCGGTCATCAATATCGAACATCTCCGTAGATACCGAGAACCCGAAGAGTCCATGATGGGAGTGGAGCGCCCTATCCTCCCGGATCCACGCAACTCGGAGATAATGGCCGCGGAGGAATATGAAGTCGAACGAATAGTCGCGTGGAGAAGAAACAAGTCGAAGAGCAATCGTCTCGAGTTCCTCGTCCGCTGGAAAGGCTACAGCCCTGTCTACGACACTTGGGAGCCTGCCTCGCACCTCTCAAACGCGTACGAGATCCTACGAGAATTCAAAGCGATCCACCGCTTGACTCGTTGACTCACTCGCCCCAACCATCCCGCTACCCAGTAAATAATTCCGACTGATAAAGTATGTAACGGTACATAGTAGCTACAGTAACCGTAAATAGCTTGAGTTGCACCTCTTCGCGGCACGCGTCGCGCGTAAGGATCCCCTCCACGTGACCGTGTCGCGGAGGTGGCTAGCTCAGCGCCCTTAGCGCGCGACCTCCCTCCTCGTCACCCACCACTTGCGAGTGTTCGAAAATCCCGATCCTCTGCATCTCATCCCGACGGGTGTTCGAAATACCGAACTTCGTTGTCCCGCCTACTCTCCTCATCGCCAATCCCCGAGAAGTGTTTGACATCAAACCTTCCCGACGTAGACATGGCTCCGCCTACGACGACTACGAACTTGCCTCGCTTCCGCTCCTCCCTCTGGTTCCCCATGGACTATCAGATCCTTCCCATGAGGCCCCAAGTGCGGGATGCTAATTGGCCGTTGTACTCGGCTCATCGCGCTGTCCGTGTCATGGCTGCGCTGGAGGACGGGTCCTACGCCGTCTCTCCTAATGCCCACTACATCCCCTCGCCTCCCCCGGGTCCGCGAGACCGTGAAGATATCCTCTCGGACGGAAGGCGGGGCATATTCGAGTCGGGATTCCACGCCCAATACTGGAGCAGTGCCAGAGGACACTTGCCTTTCATATACGAGGTCCCTCCGGGTGTAGAAGGGGTAGATCCGGCATACGTTCTGCTGGATTGCAAGAGGGGCGGGCGGAAGGGGACCTTCCGCATTTTCGATACTCAGAGCGGCAAGGGCAAGGCTGACCCGGTCTTCAGCATGGCCTTGACGGGCTTGTACGACGCTGAACTCAGACGGGCGGAAGAATTCCTGTCCAAGGATCGGGACCCGCCTAAATCCCTTGTTCTCCGACCCGCCGATGTCAAGGAGTCGCGGTACCAGTTCGAGTACATCGACTCCAACCTCGAGAAGGCTCGCAACCACGCAGCAACGATCCAGCGTCACTTACTGGAACTAAGAGCATACTCTTACCGCTCTTACCTCCAACGGGCGTTCGACGAAGGGCGTCTCGCGGCGCCATCCCCCAGCGTTTTTGGTATCGGTTGCTGGGTTCGGGGGGGCGACGACGAGCTCATCAAACGGCTGGTTTGGTTCGGAATCCCGGTGTGGTATACTCGTCGCGAAGGCCCCAGCGCAACCCAACTCCTCCTGCGGGTTCACTCCCTCGACAAACGACTGTCGCACGAGCCTTGGGACGACGAAGAACATGGCCCGCCTCCCGAGAAGAATAAGAAGTCTTCACGCCGCCAGAAGCAACGCGACGCTGACTTCTTGTCGGCGGATGAGGACTCCGATTTCGACTGGGAGAAATCGCATGGCCTCCGCCGACCTGCCCCGGTTGCTGGACCTTCTCTTCCCATGACGCTCCCTTCCGCCCCGCCGCCTATCGTCCAACCCGTCGCCGTCCGACCCGTCGCCACCAAGCCCGTCGTCGTCAAACCCGTTGTCGTCCTCCAGTCCGTCGCCGAAGAAGAGGGCTGGGTGAACCAGATCATACCCGACCCGGCTCCTCCATCTTCACCGCCTAGGATCTCCTCCCCTCAAGGGAGGAGCTTGATCATCACTCCTCCTCCTCGGATCGATTCCCCCATGGTCGTCGGTTCTCCCCCCCGGAGCTGGACCAGGACGCCTGCAAGCTCTCAACGGGTCCCTTCGTCCGCCGCCTCGAATCGACAGGATAAAGGTAAATGACGTGCTTCCCCGACTCCGCGTCGAACCACTCCGGAGCCTCCCGCTCCGCCTCGCCGAACGACTCCCCCTCGTCAACTCGTTCGTCCTCTTCGTCCTCGCTCTCCTCCTCCTCCTCGTCCATCTCCTCCTCTTCCTCCGCGCCGGGGACGCTCTCCCGCCCCGATCGAACGCGCCTCCCGCCGGCGTTCCCGCTCCCCTCCTCCTCGCCGCGACCGCCTCCGAGAGGACCGACCAACGCGGCAGCGATCTCCCGCAAGGCTGCGCCTCTCTCCGGTGCGTTACACGCCGCGCGGGATGAATCGTCCCCCTCCCGGGCAGAGGATTGACTTCGACGATCACCGTCGAGCCAATCGGAGGGAGGAGGTGACTCGTCTCCCTGCGCGAGAACGCGAACGGAGTCCGGTGTCGGGTAGGCGTTCGCGAAGTCCCGCGTCGTCTTCCAAGCCCCGGGCTCCTGAGAATCCAGCCATCCCTACTCCATCGTCGTCCTCGCTGCCCCTCGGACGGAGAATCGCGCCGCCGGACTCCGAGCGGCCTCGTCGATCTTTGCTGGATAGGCTAGAACCAACTAGCCTCCTCGCCCGATTGAACCCACCGAGTGGTAAGGATCGAGAGGACGGGGAGTTGCAGGAAGAGGAAGGGCGAGCAGGAACCTCCCTGTTCAGGCGGATGGGCGTACCCCTTGAAGAACGGATCTCCGGGACGACTCATCTTTTGCCTCCTGCTCCCCCGGCAACTACGCCCCCCGAGGAGCTACATACCGTCAACCTGCCCTCCGGAGTTCCTTTGAGAACTCGGCTTCCGCTGCACTCCGCTGCCGAGGTGGATGAATACCTTCACCATCCCTTCGAGCGTGACGGGAACGTACCAGTCATCCGACTCAAAGGAGAAGACGAGCTGGGTCCAGCGCCGGTCTTCCCCAAGGATGCGGGAGCCCCGGTGCCTTCCCCTCAACTCCTGTTAGCGGGGGGCGATGAAGGGTATCTCAGTACTATCACCTGGCTGCAAAATCGCGGACCATGTCTTCTGCGCTTGCAGAGGAAACCGGAGGACTGGGTCCTACGGAACCATCGTCAATGGAAGTCGAACCTCCGAGGCCCCCCCAACCTCGTGAAAGCAGCTCGGAACAATCCAAGACGTCCCTTGCCCGACGACGCCATCGACCCGCTCAGGAATCCTCTCCCGAACGAGAGGGAAAACGAGATTTGGAGCCTGCGAACGTTCCTGTTTCGGTACAACTTCGAACGTCTAGCAGCGAGGCGACTGCCGAGCCTTCAAGCGGCTACCACGGACGCAGCGCGGGGGGCTATCTGGGCAGGGGTGCGCGATCGCATCCGACGAGTATGGGGCCATGGGACGACGATATACCCTTCCGTCGATGAACCACGCTATTTCGACAGCGACGACGATGTAGTGCGCATGAGACATTGGTTCGCCATCGGACGTCTCATGCTCGAATGGGACCTAAGAGAGGATATCGCTCAAGACTTGCGACTCGCGATGGGGGGCACTGTGACGGATGCTGTAGAACGTATCAAGGCAGCGTATACTAATGTCTATAGGACTACCTTTGAGAATCGCGACCCGCAAGCGTTCGTACCTCGACCCTAATTAATTAGTATATCTTTGTATTTTACTGTAATTACGTAGGCGCGCGCTCGCTGTTACCTCGCGCGCGCCCAGCAATTAGACGCGAAGCTTCTCCCTGTCCAACTCCACCATTCGCCCGTGTGCGATACCGCACCGTACGAACTAGGAGCTGAGTCCCTAAGTCGTGTGAGCTCCTCGCTCCTCGACGCACAGTGCGTGCTCCTCGCCGCACTGAAGGATAGGCTCCTCGCCTACTCCTGCCCCGAGCTCGGCTCCTCGTCGTCTCGTCACCTGAGCTCCTCGCTGCAGGCACGACTTACCCTCGCCGGCTACCCGCCTGCGAACGTCCACGAGTACGGTCGTCGGCTCCTCGCCTCGACTCAATAACTCGTGCATCACTGGCTCCTCGCCAGTGCACGTCCGCGTACGTGTCAGGCAGGCTCCCCGCCTAGGCCCGACACTCCGCTCCCGGCCGGCTCCTCGCCAGCCCACGACCTCCACGACCTTAAATACGACCCGGTCTCTGAGCGACCACCAACGTTCAAACCGACAGGTAGCCCGTTCCCTCTCAGTGCGAGTAGACGAAACCACCGTCTCTCACACCGTCGGCGTCGTGGGACGCTGAGCTCATCATGCCACAGGAGGAAAATGTCTCATGGAACCAACAGCCCTTCCACACAGACCTAATCTGGGACCACAGTGTCGGACACCACGTCAGACGTCCCTCGGAAGGAGGCAGTTTCTCTGCGTCGTCTGTCGACGAGATGATCCGCAATCTCGTCTCTCCCCCTAACCCAGACCAGCTCCTCGACCCGCCCGCTGTTGTGATGGCGCGCATGACGGGGAACCCTCCCCACATCCACCCATCGTCGGCGCCAGACCCTCGTGTGACGCAGTCCCCGACGGCGAGGCCCAGGGATCCCGCGCCTCCCCTAGCGATGCCAGCGGAATCAAGCGCGTTCGTAGCCCCGTGGAACGACCACACGATGCCGCTCCATTTCGAACAACACAGTACCAGCTCCATCCACTCGTCGATGCGGCAGTCCGGGCCAGAGGTCTACGTTGATGTCACGACAAACATCCAGGCACCGGTAAGCAAGGATACGATGCTGAGAGCAACCGTCTAACATCCCTGTCGTTCCCATAGTCACCGCGCCGATCTTTCGCTGGGTACACAGGTGCCCAAGGCGTTGCGGGCCCCAGCAGCCGACGCGAGGAACCGCGTACACCTCGTCAGTCGAGCCAGCGAGGTGACCGTATCCCTTCACGCGCTTCCGTCCTATCCTACGTATCCATCCCTCGCGGTACGCGCCAGCACGAACCCCCGATCGACGTTGACGCGATCGACGCGATGGACGTCGACGAGGGCGGGGCCCCGGCGCCCGCCCCGCCGGTGTCCCATCCTCCTTTCTTCGTGGACCCTTTCGCTGCTGCGCCCCCTATGCACGCTCCCCCGATGCCCGCGCACCCGATGCCCGCCCATCCGATGCCCGCTCCTCCGAGGCCCGCTCCTCCGATGCCCGCTCCTCCGGCGCCCGCCCCCATGAGGCCAGCTCCTCCGACGCCTGCCCCACAGACGCCTGCTCCCCCGATGCATGCCCCACTGATGCAGGCTCCCCCGGTGCCCGCACCCCCGATGCCTGCGCCCCCTGCAGCGAACCCACGCCGCGCGCCAGTCAACCACCCGATCTTTAACGAGCAGCTCCTACGCGAAGGAACTCAGGTTGCGAGTGGCATCGATTGGCTAAATGCCGACTTCACCCGCGCACCGCCCAAGGGGTGGAAACGTGTACAATTTCGCTCCCTGCGCGACGTCCTGAAGGGACAAGACAAAGAACAGGCAAAGCGCTGGACGGAGATCGCGAAGCTTCGCAAGTGCCTCCTCATCCAGATCGCGGGGTGTGGCGGGTGCGATGATGATTTCGCGTCGTGGCAAAGCTACGAGCTCATGAAGGAGTTGGTCCTGATACTCTTCGGCGTCTCCCGGCGTCAGCTCCTCCCTCCCCAGCAGGAGGCGGGCGCTCCTGCAGGCTCGAACATCGCCCCCTACTACACCTTAGCGACGGACCTATCCGACCACCAAATCGCCGCGATGCTAGGGTGGACCTGGGTGTCGACCAAGTGGTTGTCAGTGAACTTCGTCGCTTTCCCCACGCCGCTTCCTACCTATGTCGCGACGTGGGAGAGCTCGACAGCCTTCGTGTCCTCCGCTCCTCAGGATGTCGAGGACATGCTAGCAGCAGGCTTCAACCGCGAGCCCCTCCTCTCAACCACGGCTCGCATCATCCGCAGCGACAAAGACGCCGGCGCGGCTGGCAGGTGGGGCGACACGTCGTTGATCAACGCCTTCAACGCGACTGTTAACTCGGTGAGGGTTGATATGCTACCGCGCCTTGTTGGCCCTCAGAACACCCCCGCCCCCTTGTACGCCATGTACTGCGACCCTCCCACGGCGAACGAGAAAGACTGGGAGGTCTTCCGCGACGCAATACAAGCCCACGCTTTCGGGGTAGACGGTGGCCGCAACCCTGACCTCTTCGTCAACTCTTCTGACTGCAGGATCTGTCACTCCGCGGATCACAGCGTTGGACTGTGCTACCTCGACTCCGTCGAAGGATGGAACGGCCCGCGCCGCGAGAACTACACGAACCAAGCTGCGCCCAGCACGCGTGGCGGAAGGAACAGACCGCGTGGCGGCAACCAGCAGCGTGGTGGTGGCAATCAACAGCGCGGAGGCGGCGACCAGCAACGCGGTCGCGGGCGCGGTGGACGAGGACGTGGTCGCGGCGGGAACGGGCGCCCTGCGGCCGGCCAAAGCCTCGACCAGAACGCGTCGGCGGCCCTCCTTCGTGCCGCGAGTGGAGGGTGGCCTCACCAGAGATAAGCTCTCGTTGTGTTACTTGACACCCCACTACTCCTAAAAGCACGTAGATCCCTCCATGTACTTCCAACAGTAGCCCTGCTTGGCGCGCGTCATCTGAAAGAGTTCTCTTAAAACGACCGCACCTATCTTCTAATCAATGATCTTGTTGTTCTCTGATGCGCCTCGGCGAACTATTGTGCGTTACCAAGAAGCCACAACTAGCTTCTTTTTTTGACTCCCGATCGTTACTATCCCTTGTCTAACTAATGCTCACGTCTTTGACCCACTAACTGGCAAACTCCGATCCACGAGCGGCCCACATATACTGACCGTCCGCGGGACAGGAAAGCCATCGTGCCGGAGCTTGCCCTTTTCCCCAGCGAGGGCACTTCTAAACTTGCCCGGCCTTAGTCTGGCGAAGTGCACCACCGCCTTGCGCGTCTGGTTGCACATGTTCCCTGATGACGCCCAGGAGCGGCTCACGGCGCCCGCGATCGTTGTGGCGGGCGTACAGACACTCAACGGCTCTACTACAAAACGAACACCCAAACTCGGTTGACTTTCCGGCAAACGGCCACTCTCCCCAGCAGCGGCGAGCCCCGCCCTCGCCTCCTACCAGGGGGCGGGGCGATGACCCGCTGATGGGTCTCGGTGGTAGGACGACCGCCCCGAACTCAGCAAATGAGCACGAGGGCGGCCGGGTAAATGATCCAGGGCTAGAGAGCGTAACCCGCGAACTCCCCGCGACCGCACATGCTCAGCCCGAGGTGCATGAGCAGCATAGAAGGAAACACGGGCGTAATACGAAAGCCTCGTTAATGATAGGTTCACTCAATGTGAGTGGTAGAGGAGCCCTATCTGGCAGGCACGGCCCCGGGAAATGGAATGAGATAAACCAAGTCCTTAGGGAGCAGCACATTGGCATCCTGGCGGTCCAAGAGTCTCATCTTGACGACCCCAGAGTTGCAGAGATCCATGACCTCTACGGAAGGCGCATCCGGCTCTTCAATAGCCCAGGCCCGAATGCCACTGGGGCCCTGGGAGTCAGCTTCGCTTTGAACCGCGAGCTCGTCGACATAAGCGACATTGTAACCAAAGAGATTGTGCCAGGACGAGCCCTCTTCTTGTCAATGAACTGGCACGGAGGCACGAGGCTAAACCTCCTGAATGTCTACGCCCCTAACCCAGCAGGCGAAAATGGCGCTTTCTGGCGCTCCCTCCTCCTCCAACTAGAGGACGGCTTGCTCCCCTTGCCCGACATTATCATGGGGGACTTCAACTTAGTTGAGGAAGCGATCGACCGCCTACCGACAAGGGAAGATCAAGCAGGCGCCGTCTGCGACTTACAAGCTTTCCTCAGAGCATCCCGCGTCGTGGACGGCTGGCGCCTTTCTGAACCAAACACGAAGGACTACACCTTCCCCCAACGTGGTGGTACATCGTGCTCACGCCTGGATAGAATATACATGAGCCGACCCTTTGTATCGAGGTCTGTTTTGTGGGAGATCCGGACAACGGGGGTACAAACAGACCACCGCCTTGCAGTGGCTAGCCTCACCGCTGCGGAGGCCCCCTTCATAGGGAAGGGCCGCTGGACCCTCCCGCTACAACTCCTCTCTGACGCGGTCTTCCTTGATGAAGCGATCCGCATCGGTGAGCCCAAATGGAAAGCGGCAAAGGAGGCCTTTGGCAACAAGCGCACTGCGGCTACCAACCCCCAGACCCTCTTCAAATCCTTCAAAACAGAACTACGTGAGGCGGCACGGAAACGCATGAGAACGAAAGTACCCAAGCTGCAGGCCGCCATCAACAAGGTGACGGAAGGAATACGCACGATAAGTACGGACCCGGACTTCACGTACGACATTGGGCGACAGCGCGAAGTTGGTATCTTGCGTGACCACCTACGCACGCTGGAGCGGGCCAGGCATGGGCAAGTTCAAGCATCTACCACAGCCAGATATATCCTGAATGCGGAATGCCCTAGTAAGTACTGGTCGGCTGTGAACAGAGACAAGAAGCCACGCGACCTGTTCTACAGCCTGCGCGAGCCTAGCTCGAACCCACCGCGCTTTGTATCCCGTTCTGACAAGATGGCAGAGTTGGCGCGTGACTACCACGACAGCCTGCAGCGAGACAGCGAAGCGCCTGCTGCAGACTCATCAGTACGTGACCTCGCCATAGAAAGTTCCCTAGACAGCATCTCTGCCCGCCTACCCTACGTGGACGCGGAAGGGCTCACTCATAGCTTCTCTAAACGGGAAATTGAGGACTCCATCCGGAAGGCTGGCCCGGGAAAGGCGTCAGGTCTGGACGGTCTCCCGTATGAACTCTGGCTCGCCTTAGACGAGCGCTGGGTGGGCAGCTCCTCCAAAGCGAAACACCGGCTTGACATCCTAGAATTTATGAGCTTGCTGTACAATGACATTGATAAGCATGGCATAAGTGGGCGCACGGGTTTCGCCGATGGCTGGATGTGCCCCCTGTACAAAAAGAAAGATAAGCGCGAAATCTCCAACTACAGGCCCATAACTCTCCTGAACTCGGACTACAAAGTCTACACAAGGATGCATGCGACTAGGATAGGCCGCTTGATACACAAGGTGGTTCACCCGGACCAAGCGGGCTTCATCCCTGGCCGACAGATCTCTGATCAGACCCAAATGTGTAGGGTAATGGTGGACTATGCGGAGGCTGCCGAGGAAAACGGCGCAATTGTGGCCCTTGATCAAGAAAAAGCCTACGATAAGATCAAACATGATTACCTTTGGAAAGTGCTGGAACGCCTCGGCTTCCCCAAGAAGCTCATCGACAGGCTTCGCAGCCTGTACGAATTTGCTTCGACAATAGTCATCCTAAACGGCGAAGCTAGCACGCCCTTCCGCATCGTTCGAGGTGTACGACAAGGAGACCCCCTGTCATGCCTCCTCTTCGACATGGCGATCGAACCGCTGGCCTGCGCCCTACGTCGATCGAACATACAAGGTTTTAACATCCCAGGGACAGTAGGGAATCTCGTGGCTAACCTATTCGCGGACGACACGTCCGCTTTCCTGTGCGCCGGCGATAGCTGGAGCGGGCTGTGGTCCGTGCTGGAAGGCTGGTGTCTGGCGTCGGGCGCAAGATTCAACGGCGGCAAGACCGAAGTGATCCCAGTTGGCTCGTGCGCGTACCGGCTGGCCCTACGAACGACGCGATGTATAGATCAATCGAACCTAAATGATAGGATTCCAGAGTCAGTCCATATTGCTACTGACGGCGAAGCAGTGCGGGTACTAGGCGCCTGGATTGGAAACAAAGTCGACCAGGTGGCTGTCTGGGCACCCGCGCTGGCGAAGGTGGATAGTTTCCTTGAGAGATGGAGCAAGTGTCGCCCCTCGCTCACAGGCAAGAAGCATATTGTTCAGATGGGCCCTGGGGGAATTACTCAATATCTGGCAACAGTACAGGGCATGCCAAAACAGGTGGAAGATGCGCTTACCTCCACGATCCGCTCCTTCATCTGGGACGGAGCAAAGACCGCCCCGGTCTCAATGGATTCGCTGACTAGACCGGTGGACGATGGTGGCATAGGCCTGCTGGACGTTAAAGTTCGGAACGAAGCCATCGACCTTATGTGGACCAAGAGGTACCTCACTCTATCGGAAGACCGCCCCAGGTGGGCCTTTGCGGTGGATATCCTCATTAACAAGGCCGTGTCCTCCAAAGATGGCGCCATACGGAAATCTGCGCAGTTAAACACCTTCTTACAAAGCTGGTCGCCGGCTGTGCACGCGGCTTCCAGTCTTCCGCCCTATGTGAAGAGGATGATTAAGACGGCCAAGAGATATAACGTAAGCTTCGCGGCAGTAAAGCTGAGCTCTGCCATGAAGAATGCGTTACCGATCTGGTATCACCTGGGCGCGAAGAGGCGTTTACGCCTACTGAACAATACACGTGTCAGCGATTGCCTGCGAGAGAGGCATGGGGTGACCTACGTAGCGGACCTCCTCGGGTTGGCACATCGGGCATGCTTCAGGGCGGCGAGATTGCTCTCGAATGACTTCATCCCCAGCTCATGCGAGTGCGCGGAATGCAGGACGGATGCGTCCCGGGGCTGCAGACACCCTCTGGGCTGCTGTAAGGCAGCCGCGCACCTCTTAGAACAAGTTCGTCCGAAATGGCACCCGGAGTTTGAGCCCATCCCCGACGGGCTGACCCTCACGTCGAAACGGATCGAGGCCAACGCTGTCGCCCTTGAATCGGAGGGCGAGACGATTTTCGACCCGACGCTCACGAGCAGAGGGCCTGTGATGGAAGCTGTACGGGTTTTCGTGGATCCGAGAGTCCACGACGAACCCCCAGCAATAAGAGCACGCTCGGGAAGAGTGGTGAACGATGAGGAGGTCACTGCTTACCTCGTCGGGCCTGTGAGTCGGAAAGTCCTACCGAAAGGGTCGGAGCCAATGTCCGTTGACATGGGTCTCGTTTTCTACCCTGGCAACAGGGACATGAGCGTACTAGTTCGACCGGCCCCAACTGGAAAGACACCTCTTGTGTCACAGGGCGAGACAGCGGCCGCCTTGCGCGCCGTCCAGGACACCCCAAGGGACGTCCCATTGCATCTCGTCCTCTCCTCCATGTCTCTGGCCAAGCAACTAGTTGCGAAGCTGCCAGTCTGGGAGGACCGTGGCTGGATAGGAGTGGAAGGCGCCCCCCTCACGCGTGCCCTGGTGAACCAACTCCGGCAGAGGTGTGCTCCGACAACCTTGCGTAAGGTAGCGTGCCTAAAGGAGTTCGAGATACGGAACGAGGCCTCGGAACTGGCAAAGACGCGCTTCCTCGCTGGACAGTTAGAGGAAGTCGCCCCCACGATAGACAGAAATTTCGACCTCTCCGGGGCGAAGCTGGCGTCCCTTACCCAGGCAATAGCGTACAGGGGCATCATGTCCATTCGCGACCCGCCAAATCGCCCGAGGACGGTCGGACAGGTTGGAAGGACGCTGAACGCCCTTGGAGGCCCGGCGTCTCCGCCTCCGCCTGCCCAGCTCCTCTGGCGCAGCATACGGGACAGAGACATCCATAGGCGGATTGTAGACTTTCTCTGGAAAGGGCTGCATGACGCACTTAAAATTGGGGCATTCTGGGCCCCCATCCGAGGCTTTGAAGACCGAGCGGACTGCCAGACGTGCGGTGCGCGTGAGTCTCTAGGACACATCTTAGCGGAGTGCCGAGTTCCGGGCCAGGACCTCGTATGGTCCCTCACGGGCGCGCTCTGGAAGAAGAAGGCGGGGGCTTGGAAGAAACCGTCAGTGGAGGAAGTCCTCGCGGTGGGCCTGGGTTGCTATCCCAAACCGAACAATGCTAAAACAAAACACGCCCTGGCGCGACTATGGCGAATTGTGATCTCCGAATCGGCCTACCTCATTTGGAAGCTACGATGTGAACGTGTAATCGAACATTCAGATGAACCTGGGTGGACTCACTCGAAGACGGAGATCACGAGAAGGTGGTATTCCTCTGTGAACAGGCGCCTACAGATTGATCTCATAGCGACTCGTAAGAGTTTCGGGAGGCTAGCAAAATCCAGGCTCCTCGTCCTGTCCACCTGGACGGGCACCATCAGTGACGAGCTTGGCCTCGTGGAGGACTGGACAAAATTACCAAGGTTTTTAGTGGGTATTGACCCGGACTTCTGTCGCACGGCGATAGACCCGGGATAGATCGAGTCCCACACTGGCCATCGGGCCGTGCGTAAATGCATTTTTTCCTGGAAGCAACGACGGGCAGTGCCCGTTCGCCGGCTGAGTTTTGTGGGGCCGTCCCATCGTCGGTTGCCTGAAACTCTTAATGCCATCCAAAAAAAAAAAAAAAAAAAAAGACATCACATGTACATATCTAGATCTCCCGTGGTTTCTTCCGAGTCTGTACAGGATGTGCATCTGCTTCGGTCGAGCGCTTTTCGGTGGTCGGGTTGGAGTCCTTGAGCGCCGCATCTGGCGTCGGCGGCGGTGGGGTACTCGATGTCCCCTTTCCCTTTGCCGGGATCTCAGACGAGGATGGGGAACTCTTGCTCGCATCAGAGCTACCCTCGGATGAGCTCTCATCTCCCGACTCCGCCTTTTTACTGGATGTCGTCTCCTACAAAGCGAGGATGAGCAACGACAGTGATTTTGCGTGAACGGATCATGCACGACCTCTGGGACTGTCTCCAACTTCACATCGACAGTCTTTACGTCAATCGCCTTGACATCGATGGCGCCGTTGCCTGCTGAGAGGGTTGCCCGCCGACAGCATTTCGGTCAGGCGGAACATATTGCTGACCAGACAGATTCGCGTACCATTTCTCTCTCTACAAGAGCGGCCAGCGGGGCCGCGACATGCTCTGACTCTAGTTTAGTGACCTGTTGTTCATGATACATCAGCGGGCTGATTCGCGACCATATCAAGTTCCCGTACCTTCTCTTCGAGTAACTTTGCTAGATCTTCGGTGTCCATCACAGCAATGTCGATCTTAGAACCGTTCTACTAGTGCCCACATGTCAGCCGGTAAAACAAATCCAAATGCGGAAGCTTCACACGGAAGATGCCTTCTGCAAACCGACCCTTGAGACGTAACAAGGTATTGCTGTCCTCGGATTCGCGCTATATAGGGTTTGTCAAAAAGACAGGTATTTGCGGACGAATGCCGAGAGATACCTTGGGTGCATCGATCCGTCGCTTCTTGTCTATGTGCTGGTCCTCCTCGTCCTCGTCACAATCGTGTGACCGTTGCTTCGGCGATTTCCCGATTATGTTCTCGAACGATGTTTTGTGCCTCAGGAGCCACTGTTTCTACTCAGGCACGCCACGGTCAATACCGCCATCACACACTCAAGAGACATAGACACTCACAAAGCCATCGCGAGTCGTGTACTGGTAGTGCTGCACGAAAATGCACTGGTCCATCTTCTCCGTCTTCCCATCCAACCCGACGTTCGTCCATCCTCCCAACGACTCCTTCATGGACAGGTCGATCGAGAATGACGTCTGCGCGGGGCCGTGCCCTCCTCCGATCTTCGCGCTCTCCTCCTTGCTCGTATTCTGGAACGCGCTGCCGGCCCACTTCGCCGTCTTGGTGTAGCCGTGGACAAAAACAAGATCCTTCTTCGAGAGCTTGAGCTTCTGCTGGTGGTGCAGGTAGTGATGCCATGCCTTGTAGTTCTTCAGAAGGTAGTCGTGCATGATGGTGGACTTGCGCGTGACCTGCCTTTCCAGCACGGTCCGGGTGGGGATGTACAGGAGTGCACCGGAGGACGCGGTCGCGGTCGTAATTCAGGGCTAGATCCGCCGCTGACTCCCTATAGGCGACATCGGTGAGTGCTCGATGGCTAGTTCTGGTAGTGACGAGTATCCAAGCCACTTACACTTCCACCTTCGCGTTGACCTCCGCATGCGTCACATGCCTGCAAGACAGGATATCATCGCCAAGTGTACGCTGCTCCTCCGTGATGAGGTTGCCGATCTCAAGCGGCCGGAAGTCCTTCGGGACGCCCCACGCGCAGTTTGCGGGGTCGTCCCGCGGGAGCGTCGGGTTGAAGAGGCGCCTGAAACGGCCGTCCTCGATGTACCCGACGTCGCCGATCTCGATCTCGCCTGCTGTCTCGTCGGGCCTCGGGTCCCAGAGAGGGTAGCCATGACCCAGAGGGAGAAGTTCTTGGGCATAGACGTCCCAGGCGTACGGCATGCTTGGTGCTTGAGCGTGTGTGGTGTAGGTGTCGCGTCGGGGTCCGTAAGGCGGGACGGTGCCTTGAGCTCGGCGTGCCCAGCAGCATGGATTATATGGGCCGACGAAGTCAAATTACCAGGGCTGTGAGTAGCCCGACCGTAAATGCTCAGGGTGTGGCATGCTATCTTGACGCGCAGCGCTATGGCGGTTCGGATTGGAACAGACCAGAGGACGGGGTGGACAACCATGTCATGCATTCGCATGCTTTGAGCTAGATATGGTTGACGACATCCGGGGTTCGCTTGTGTAGCCTCGGAGGTCCAGACGAAAGTGGGCTTGTTTGCTTGTTCGCGACATGCGATCTGATGAATGAGGATTAAACGGGACTGCGTTCGCTCGCCGCAGACGACGTGCGAACAACGTCGTGCTCTCATGACCATTTCGCAATTAAGTTTGAAGGCCATTGACAGACGGTGGATGCTATGCCGCCCGCGGGCACGTCTGTCAGTGGGTTTGGCTGACCACGCAAGATTCACTCACCGGAGCGACCCATTTGCCATAGCCTGTCTGTAGTCATGCAGCTGCGAAAATAAGAACATATTACATCGACTGCGAGCTGGAAGCAGCATGCGGCCAAGATCCAACGGGGAAAGCCACAACATGAACGTTGCCGCTGGCGTGGAAGCACTTCTGAGATCTCCAGAGATGTGATATTGACGCACGGCGCTACTGTGGTGCTTACTCGTGAATGCACAATGTACGTCTGCCGTGGCATATACACAGCAGAGATACCATTGTGTGCACATATGAAGGACACCGGCATGAGCGTTGGAGATCTGGCTATGTTCAAGGTCTAGCTATTGTGGGTCACAAGAGTGGGCGGGATGGGTCTCAGAGCCTGGTACAGCATACAAACATGTCGCGTCAGAATCAACCAATGAGGATTTGCATACACACAGACCGTTATATCACCGGATAGAGTACGAATCAGCATGAGGGACGGGATCACGGTGGTTATGGAGAGCAGCCGGGGATTTGCTTAGAGGGAAACGGCTGGCAGCTACGAACATGACGGCGATGTCCTCCGACGGCTACTTTGGCATGGGTCGGCAGGTAGGCATTCCAGGGAGGGTGTTTCAGGGGATTCATCACTCGAATACAACACAGAGCAGAAACACAGTTCACTAACGATACAGGCTGATGAGACGAATCTTTGATATGCTGAGTCGATTCGGCCACCGTCATATCATGAGGCGTGATGCGCCTTGGTGTCGGGCGCGCCAATTCAGGCAGGATACTAGAGAAGAAAATCCGATATAACTGAGGCTATCATGAACGGGCATAGTACTCACTGGCACCGTTGCACCGCTCGCTGGTGCCAAGTCGCCCAGTCTTCATGCACGTCTCTCCTCCGACTCTTGAGCAGAATCTTCTGGGTCCGCGGCCCGAGTAGCCTCCAGGTTATATTGGACATTCTTTCTGTACTTGGTCACCAGATCCGCTGCTGTTTTGACGTGAGCATTCGCCCGTATGATCTCTTCTAGACAGCGGTTTAGCTCCACGACCGTCTCAGTACACTTGTCCTATAAATCGTATGAGATCAGCACAAGATAAAGAGATGGCACTACAGACCGCATTCTTGATAATACGTTGTAGGAGGACATTCTGGCGTTCCGCGTGCGGGTTCTCCATTCTCGATGGTCCCTCCCTCTCCTTCAGCCCGTCAATTTAACGTGCTACCAAAATTCGATGGGAGACGTACGTGCCTTCTGCGCAACGGTGGTCGGAGGAGAATGCGTCGTTTGAGTGCAAAGCAGCACGCGCCCACTGGCAACACGCGTCTGCAAGTTCAAGTTGAACTGCAAACGCGTCGGTGGCGCATCGGCAAGCTCCGAGGTATCCGGACCGTGCCACCCGAGTGCCACCTGTGTACCGAGGTCGTCCGAGTCCTGGCCTGCCACAGTACTGCCACCTGGGATAGTGCCTTTCTCCTGCTTCATTGCTGCTGCTTGGCTAGGCTCTACTAAGGCATCTTTGGGCTATCCAGGTCTGAATGAAGAATCTGAGAGACGTTATCAGACAGCGCCGTGGAAGGATACTCGCGCTTCCGCGAGCTCGAGAGACAGATTCGGCCGTGACGAGGTACGTACCAATTTAGTCATCCGAGTCTGTACTGACTTGGTACTGACAGTAATCGGCCGGGCTGTATAGTTGTCGTCATGTGTAGCGCGTGACACTGATGGTGTACAGGCTCGAATGTCTAGTCGAGTGCATTATGTGCTGAATCGCATTTAAAGGAGTCCTCGACAACCTATTCGAAGACCGCAAACCGCTTCGAGCCTCCATCGGACGATAATCCATTTGATCTGCAAATGACTGGAATAAGGATCCTGCCATGCATATTGCGGCGGTAAAGATCTTGCCCTTTGCATCATCCGCCTTGCTGACGTCGAGTCATCGGGTAGCAATGTCCCTTCAGCCGGTAACTTCAATGTGTTATCAATGTGTGCACTCTAGTACTGCCCTTTGGGAAAAACGCTGAGTGCTTCCCTTTCTCGGCATGCTATGCATTGGTATACATGTCAGTTCACTCCAATGGTTATCCTGCTTGCCGTGTTATGCTTACTACCGTCGTCACACACGGTGCTACCTACGTATCACGGTGGTATGCATATACCGATGCAGTTTTGCCGCTGCCACCTGTTCGCAACGTAATCATCGACGGTGTCGTACATACATCTGGTTGCGGCCGCATCGCAGGCTGGTCAACACGCATCTTGCCAGTGCTGTACTCTACAATTGCTCCTCTTCTGGTGCCCCAATTGTGGCGATTCTCTGCGGAACTCCCACTCTTGATGCTTCGACGGGACCTGACGGGACTCGCAATCCAAAACATGACGCCGGGGTGCTCCTACCTGTCATCATTCGAAATCTTTCCTCGGTTGTTACTGAGCGAAGGCCATCGGGACGACCAACCGTCTGGTCAAGTGGATTCCCAGCATGCAGGCGTGCGCCGGGTTGGAATCTCCACGGCACAGTCACCATCAGCGGGCTCCTCGTGCTTCAAGTCGCGGGTGCTGCACACGTCGTAGCTTATGGCGAACGCGCGCCCCGCGGTACCAGCGTCCAGAATCATGTTGACCACAGAACTCTTGTTTCAGTTCTACGTCCCGTACGAACTGCCTTCGGATGGAAACACACGTCTTTGTGTTGTCCACTGAACGTACAGTGAGCGCGCCTCACTCATAATCTCTGTTACCGCATTCGCCGCGGCATTTATCTGTTCATCTGCACTTTCCTCCCATCGGAGATTTGCTCGGACAGTTTGAAGGCGGCCGCGACAGATGATCTCTAGATCTCAGAGTTCGCGCGTGCCTCAGAGGCCCGAGCCACCGTGCACAGGATCGAGCTGGCTGTGCAGCGCGTTCGCACCGATCATACACGGCCTTATCTGCTATACACGTTTGGTCGGGCCACGTCGGGCAGCTAGGCACGACCTAGATTGCGCTGGGAAGGCCAACACTTCGTTCAGTCGTAGACAACGACATCCACAAGGACGGTGCGATTTCTTGGGTGCTTTGGGCGATCGCGCCGGTCGAATTTGACTGTTCGAGAAGTATGAGAGTTCGATCAGTGGCCTAAAGTCGCGGGTCGCTACATCACGAACGAACCCAGAACGAACCTGTTGATGCTTGCTTAGGCATTCAAGGCTGTGGCTACAATGCCTTTGTACATCTGGTCCTTTGTACACTCCTGATGGTCATGTTTCTTCCCAGGCACACGGCTGCCGCGCGCGTGCGTTTCGACTGCTGATCTTTGAGCGTCGTTGAACTCGTCACGGACCACGGTTTCCACCGCTGATGTGCCACTGGGCGCTATAGGCCTTCGCATCCGTGCTACGATGCCTGCTTTGGCCGATTCCGATCGCGCACTGCATTGCGTCGGAGGTCGTCTGGCCCACGGCAAAAGGTGGTGGGGGGGGGGGTTGTAGAAGGCTTTAGCTACCTGTGTCCATGAGCGGGAGCGGTACAACTGTACATGTTGCCTGCGCGTCCACGACAGCCCACGACAGATCCGGTCGTCTCGAGGATCAAGCTTGCAGGGCGTGCCGTTTGCACATGCCGCGGCACAGCATTCTACGAAGCGCCGCGTTTGATCGGTCATCATCAACCCACTCGCTCGATACTTGGCAAACTATACTGCCGTACTTTGCCAGACTTTGCCTGACGCCGGCGTGCCTAGAGGGTTTAAAGGGGCCTACTTAGCATCATCGCTTCCTCCAGCTCCCCACCTTTTCATATTCGAGCACAGAAGACAGCACTGGTTGGTAAGTGTGCCATGAAATTGGTTATGCGTTTGCGTGCTCACGTACCTTCCTACGATTCAGCTTGACTTCTTTTGTCACTCACGCATTTCTTTGACGACTTCGACGTTCTACGACACACCTCTTCCTGTTCCTCAGTCACTTACAACCTTCATTAAACATGCGTGTCTCTACCGTTGCTGTTCTTGCCGCGTCAGCTGCTGTCCTCCCTGCTATGTCAATGCCGATCAGGTGAGTCTTACTATCGCCGCTTGGAATCAAAGGCCGGGATCTACCCATACTTTCATAGCAGCAGCGAGACATACGAGCTCTACGATCGTGAAGCACCCTCGCAGGGCAGTGGTGCTCTTGGCTTCGGTCTTATCAAGGACGTCTTCAAGGTTGGATCCCACCTGTTTCAGTAAGTGAGACGACGACTTACCACTGGAGCCCCGTGTATTGATATCATCTTCCTCTATACAGCCACAGCAGCAGCAGCAACAACAATAACAACAATAACAACAACGACAAGAAGCAGAAGAAGCAGAAGAAGCAGAAGCACCGTCGCGAACTCGAGGAGTTGTTATCTCGGTGCGTATCGTTATGGCGCTTGTATTCAGGCTGCTTATCTGGCAGCACAGTCGGGAATTCCTTGACCTCCTCGCGCGTGAGATAGAGGTGGAGGAGATGTATGCTCGTGAAGCTCCCGCCCAGGGTAGCGGTGCCCTTGGCTTCGGTCTGCTAAAGGACGTCTTCAAGGTTGGCTCTCACATCCTCAGGTATGCACCTACGTTCTCTGTATCCCAAGTTAATGCTCACTGCGTCTTCGAACCCCATCCAGCCACAGCAGCTCTAGCAACAATAACCAAGGTAACAAGAAGAACCAGAAGCACCGTCGTTCGGACGAATTCGAGGATCTCTTCGCTCGTGACTATGAGTACACCTACGAGTGGGAGTAAGCGAACGCACGCTGAAGGCTGAGATATGGGCTAGAGAGTACTGTCCTACTATGTAGGTATCCTCGACGTTGTCATGTTTCAATTTCAGAAATGTCATGAGTGGTGGGGAGTCCACCAGAAAACTATGTCCGAAGTGTGACCAGATACCGGATTTTAGAACTCTTTAGAGCGTTGCTGAGTTTTTCAGAGACGTCTGACCATTGGGATGGTCAAATAGGTGCGTGTATGGGGGAGCCGCCGTCATCGTGACCAAAATAATCGAGATCTACCAGTGACCTACGCCGCCGCCTGCTCAATGCGAGCGCCTTTTTGCGCCTGGCTCGAGCTCGTATCAACTCGACCTTGTCTATTCCTTCACGCTACACCGAAGAGAGGCGTCGACTACTACTGCAACTTGCCACATTACATCAAGACTCAGGACTCGGGGTCGCATCACTTCAATTCGGGGACACTCTCAGATCCTGAGCATCGCACGTGTTTGTGGCTACAAGCCATTTACTGTCATACTGCAGTCGCCAAACTCAAACATCACAGAGCCTCATTGCGACCTGTTCTAGTACCTAATTCTCTACGGAAAGGTAGAGGTCTGCGTCGCCGTGATCGTCGTCGAGCACTCTTGGCAGGGAATCGGGCATTCGAAAGGAGGCTTGCAAAGCGGCCTGTGGAGCATATCAAAAGCCGTGGCATTGAACATCAAGCGGTAAAACCGTACTCGGATGGACAGCATGGTAGGTTCGTGTTCTGCGGCTCCGGGACAGCTGCAACTGACATGCTCCTACACAGTACTTGTTAGATCGTGCCATCACGTATCAGACACGCAGACATGACGTACAATGAAATCGTGGCCAGTGCTGCGAAGAGGATGCTCTTGGAGAAGAACATCTTCAGGAAGAAATCGAACAGTAGTAGCCTGAGTTGCTGAACAACGGTAAGTCTGGTCGCCCGTTATATACCACGCTCAACCTCAGCTAGCCTGAGTAATGTCATGACAATTCATTATATTCGACAGGCTGACATCGACGACACTGGGCGGCCCTGAGGGACGTTCAACGTCAAAGTCGGCGAGACATGTTTCAGGTATCAGGAGGCCGACGTTAAGCCGCCGCGTACATCCTTATACCCCGATCAATACGTAGTTGCTGCGGACGCTGGACTCGTGCGCACGTTCTTAGAGGAGCGTTCGAATTCGAGCCTCGACACGCCCGTACGATGTGAGAAGTAACGTTCTCTGTTGTCTCACTCTATTTTCAGACAATGTATACCACGCATATGTCCCCGGACACGTCAATCGTGCAAGCCAACCGGCGCGGGGTCGCCTAGCCCTGTAGGGGAATCCATACCGGCCTTGCTGGCACGACTTTTGCACACCGAGACAGGTAAGTCACATACTCGCGACAAACAGCCTGAGTGTGTCTTACTAGCCTACCTCCGACGTCGCGGAATCAGGGACCAATGCAGCCGCTAAGCGACGGGGCGCGCAGGAAGAATGGGGAGGTATGCAAATATCAATATGTAGTGCTGTCGAACACCGCGCGCTCATAACGCCCCATGTACGCCACCAGACATAGGAGCTCAAGTTGGACGCTTGTGCCTTTTGTTATGATGGCTAACATTTAGTATCGTTCTGAGGCTGATGCCGGTTACTGTCTCGAGCTCATCGGATGTCAACACAGCTAGTGTGCACCGAATTAACTGTATGCTCTCAGCCGCATATTGAACCATGGAACGGCAAGTAATGACCTGGTTACATACGTTGGACATTCGAAATCTGAACCGTATCTTAGGTCTCGTGGGACGTATAGACGACCAGTGATTACCAATTGGCTGCCTCAGAACAATCTTCTGAACCCTCCGAGTTGAAGGGAAGAATCCTCCGCTGTCCAAAGGACAGACAATCCTCGTCTTCGCATGTCGGTGAGCGTAAGTCAATATCTTTCACCATGATCCTCGACGAGATGTTAACTCGTTCAATGTGCGAGGCGAGCATCCCAGCGTAGTCCCATTCATAGCCTACGACGACTGATTCCTCGTATGTTGTTGTACAGATCCCAGGATGTAGCTCCTGGAATCTACAACCTAGCATCCGGTATGGACACGCACTACGTATCGGGGGGCAACTATGTTGATGAAAATGTCCAGTTTAGCACAGACAGCAGGCCGAGAGTGATGCTCTGCAACCTCCTATGCTACATGAGGTGAGCATCCCATCCAGAGCATTAGGTTCCGGGGCGACGAGCGTTGTACCTTTCAAACCTCAGCAGGGCACCACCGACTGGGCAGTGTAGAATGCAACACGCCGTGTCGATATTCGATGCGTCGTGCATCCGAGTCTCGGGCAGGGCTCGGGAGTTGACGCCGTCAGTAAGTCACAGCCCAATATGATGATGATAGAGCGCACTTGGAGCGCACGGTGCATCTGTAGGGGGCCGGACCCTCGGCGCCAGTGAGTTTCGCGATGGTGCGTTGGCGGTTACAACCGCCTCAGTCCAATGTATCTGGGTCCAAAGATGAGCTCAGGGCTACCCTTGTGGATCACTTCTGCACTAGCGATGCATATCACCATCACCGTTATGCAGTGTAACGTCACAGGCGTTGCTTCCTCATCTCTTGACGAACAGTAGGGCCTCTTGGAACTCACCGAGTACACCGATGAGCGCCATGGCTGCAGGGCAGCGACCGTATAAGACCTCATGCACGGCTGTCACTTTCCTCAGCTCCTCACTCAAGCACAAGAGCCCGGAAGTTGGTACTGGTTGGTGCGTACTTTTAGATTCAATTGTCATCTTATGTGTCTCATGAATCATCCACCATACTAGCCCCCTTCCGTTTACGATCCTTACGCAATTCTTGTTAACGACTCCCACTTCGCATTCGTACTCTCGTATCTCATTAGCATCCCGATTCATCTCTTCTCGACACGATGCACACGTCCACTCTGCTCGCGTTTGTCCTCTCGGCAATGGCCCTCCCCGCGTTCTCGTCGCCCGTTCCTGTTTTCACGGAGTCCACGATGCAAGGCTACCACAAGCACTTGCACGAGTACGTTCACTTCCTTCTTTCAACGCCGTTCTAAAGACCTGACTTGTTTGACTATAAGTCACGCTCCCGGTCCTAATGCTGCCCAGGCTATGTTCCGCCCTTCTCACGAGACGGTCCACCATGCCAGAGTCGTCCCAGGGAAGACGCAACGCCCCTCCAAGTCAGACGCGCACGCAGCTTGGGCCTTCTACCGCCAGTCGCTGCACCACGACGGCGGCGATAACTATGGCAGGCCGACCGGCTCGCAGGGAGGAGCGCAAGGCGAGCACACTCAGTCGGGCAACCACCAGAAAGAACAACACGGTGGTAAGTCCTCGGGTCAGGCTGAACACACCGGAAGCTCGTATGTATCATCCCGGTGGGCACTCAATGATAAGCTGACTGACCACTGTGTATGAAGGAACGGGGCTAACGGGGCCACCCCTCGCGAGCTAATCGACATGATCGTTCGTGCCGATGCAGAAGGCCAGTCTGAAGCGCAGCCACTTGTAGCGCAGGAACCTGCACTTCAACCCGAGCAGCCGCACCAGTATGCGCACAAGACCGGCGTCGCCGGTGGGCGGCCTAAGGTCCCCCGTCCTCACCGTGGCCACGCCCACTACCTAGGCGAGCACACCTACGGTGGTGTCCAGCATAGGTATGGTTGATCTTGCTACCAGAGACGAGACGCACTCGAGCCTCCTTCCCCACAGCCGTCACAGCGCGCGGGAGGACGACGAGCTCATTGCACGCGAGCTTCTTTTGAGTGGCCTCCGTAGGACCGGTACCGGCAAGATTTCTGTAGTCAATAAGTTCCCGACGTGGCTGGCCGGCGGGAACTTGAACCTGAAGGCGCGTCCCGTCAGCAAGATTCCCGTCAACAGGCCCCTGCCAGGGGCGCGCCGGGGGAAGTCCTTTGGGTGTGTAGTCTTTCGCTGGGATGCTGACCCTGATACTCATCGATGTAACGATCGCTCAGAACGGCGCGGGGCTAGCGAAACGTTGTTTCCGGTGCCGCTCAGTGAAGGCTGTAGGGAATGTAGATTGAGAAGTATGTGTGGCCGCTTTGTCAGCATGATTCGTTCACCGTAGCGTAATGGAATCAATGAGACGTGCCTTGAGGAGCTCTTGCCAGTTGTGCATGAAGACGAACAGCCTTGAGGGGATCCACAAGTCTGGTATCGGTGATAAGCTAATCGAGAGTATGTGCCAGCAATGTTCAAAAGAAAGGACTCGGAGGCACGCGGTCTAGTACGCCGGGCGCTTCCAGCTGCTATGATATTACTACTACGGCGCCGGTTACGTACCGTCACGGCTCCTGCAGGCTGCTTCCACTCCGTCTCTCTTACTTCGTCTTGGATTCGATAGCCTGGATCATAGCTACTGTATACACTATCAACAAACATGCTGGTGACTGCTTTCAAGAGCAGCTATGGGAGGGCCCGCCGTAAAGAACGACGTCATCGGCCTACTAGCACGCTCCTCACACAGATGTTCTAGTGAGCTAAGTAGTCGCTGCATGTGTCCGTTCTTCCTCTTCTCCGGCCGCTGAAAATCTATATCATGCATCCCTACGTCAACTACACGCTTCTCGGTCTTGTTCTCCTGCTCACCGCGTTCTGGCACCGAGGATTGTTCATGTTGCCTGTGAAGTACAAGGAGAAGACTACTCTCGTCGCGGCGCATAACGCGTTCAAGGAGGACGAATACAAGCTGCCGAAGGGTCTTGCGCCGTATAGGCACAAGACAAATCTGCGACGACTGCTGAGCCTGTATGATGTCGAGCTACACCGCGATGCCCCGCAGAAGTTCAGCGAGTTACGGAGGATATGGGATGTGGACGAGGAGGACTACGTGAGAGAGGTGAGTCGAAGACTCGGAGCTCGCTCAGTTTGACGATGTGTTGACCTGCCTTTTTCCCCCGAAGTGCCTGGGTAGATGGGAGTCCTTCGGCACCGCGGGCCTGTCTGGCTCGATGTTCTTCCACTCTTCGAACAAACAATATATGCTGAAGTCACTCGGCCGGGCATTCGAAACCCGCTTTCTGCACGAGCACTTCCTCCCTCGATACTTTGAGTTCGTGAAGTCACATCCGGACTCGCTCATACACAAGATCTACGACGTGCTATACACGATGGACCGTCGCTTGGGAGAATGCCTGCGACTCAGTCCGAACCACTACATCATCATTGAGAACATCGCATACGGCAAACAAGATGACTGGGAGACATTCGACCTGAAACCGACGAACTACCTCGAGGTGCGACACCTCTTCTGTCCATGTATGCTCATCGTTGACATCTCTACAGCCAGTCCGCGACCTCCTACCCAATGGCATGCACATCTCGGGCGCGACCGACGTCCTCCCTCCCGACAAGGTCATCCTGGCCTCCGCGGAAGAACGCGCCTCCCTCCTCGCGCGGGCGCGCGCCGACGTTGCGTTCCTCGCGTCCATCAAAGCCATAGACTATTCCGTGCTGCTCGTGCGCGCGCCAGATGGCACCGCACGCTGGGGGATCATCGACACATTCTGGAGCCTCAAAACGCCGCGCGCGAAGGCTACGAAGAAGGCAAGCGACACGGCGGGTTTGCCGCAGCAGACGGTCACGGCGGACGCAGATGGGTACGCACGGGAGGTGCTGAAGCTGCTGGAGAAGTGTGTGAAAGTGAGGGAGGTAGTCAAGGAACAGGCGGAAGTGAAACAAGACGTGACGTTAGTGGATCTCTGACGAGTGCGAGTCGAGTTGGACTCGGAGAAGGTGAGAAGTTATACCCTGACTGTTGAATGAGATACCTATGCTGCCCTTGCGAAATCCAAACCCTCCACATGTCGTCTGTTCTCGAAGTCTCGACCAAGGAGGCTTCATAGTCAGGTTCGCAGACCCACTAGTAAACTGTATCAGCAGTAGCAGAAGCGGCGGTGAGCTCCGGCCGTCATGCACCAATCCTTCCTTCGTTTAGTGAGTCGAGGCGCTCATAGTGATTATAATTCCGTCCTCTTGTCTGGTCGTGTCTCCCTCATGTTACTGCGGGTGGTCTGAACTCTCTGAAATGAGTCAGGGGCTCTGTCTTCTCGATAGATATGGTATATCATTCCATTGGCATGTTCGCCATACCTCCGGTGCGACCCTTTTAATAGCCTGGCCTCATGATAGCATCACGTTCCGTTGTATTCGATGAACATGTATAGACGGTCAGTATTCGTATATATCCTATTCGTATCTATCCGTCCGTCTCTGATTCCGAGTTTGTATTAGGCACATCCGAGTGAGCTCGGGCTCCGCGCGAATGCGGTGATGCCTCGATGCCGCCTCATTCATCTCCTTCTTTGGGGTACACCTTACATGACGCCGAGCCATATGCCCATTGCCCCTGCAACTCTGGTGATTGCGCTCGCAGCAGCATAACTTATGGCAGGGACCTTGCGTGCTGTGTTCTCTGATGAATTTTGTGCGCTCGGTAGAATCTCACGGAAAGCATCGCGTCCGGGCGACTGCTTCATTTCCGAACCTCGTTGCTGGGGCATTGTCTGACTACTCACGCAATTCTTTATGAACCGGGTGATCAATCCTCCCGTCTTCATTCCCTCAGCCCTGCCTGTCAGGCACTGCAACGACACTTCGTACCCAACGAACCTCTCGCTATCCGACCACTTCATCGGCGGTTGTGAGGACCGGATATCCTGGCAGCATCGCTCGCTCATTACGCCTTATTGATATCAAATGCCGCGGAGGGCGCAATGCGCTAACTGCCAGGACCCTGGCCATCGAGCGCCACAGTGCCCACTGCCTCGAAGAGACACCAGGAAGTGCGTAGGTTGTGGGGGGACAGGTCACGGCCCGCATGAGTGCAAAAAGCGCAAAGTTGGTATACAGTCTCATCATTGAGATTCGACATCCATACTCACCAGTGTTTGCCTAGGGATGGGTTTGCAAGATATGCGCTGGGCGGGGACATGGTCACTGGGAGTGTGCAAGGCAAATGCAATGCTACCTTTGTGAAGCGACTGGTCATCCGAGCAGTTTTTCCAACATGGCGGTGCGTCGATGTGCACATTGGAATCTTCTGCGTGCTAAGGGCACATAATTGCGCAGGCATGGAAGTGCAAGATATGCGGTGGAACAGGTCATCAATCCGCAGGATGTCCACTGCGTGCACGTAAAGGTCGTGTTTGCTTTGGGTGTGGCGGGAGTGGCCATGTTCTACGACAGTGCATCATGTTGACCTGTTTTGTGAGTGGTGGGGGCGTAAGTCAATCTCCGTTACCTGTCTTACATTGAACAGAAATGCGGGACCGTCGGCCATATCGCGACTAATTGGACAAAGAACAAGCGAGGTGAGGGATTCCTATACTTTGACCTCAGGCTATGAGCAAGTCCACTGATCACATCACAGGTTGTCGACCTACCAGTGGGACTTGGGGTGCCACGGCCGAACAAGGGACTCCGTAAGACTCATTCTTGCTGATATACAGGAGGGACTCTCATATATATGTGGTTGTAGATTCAGGAAATGGCAGCAAAACGCGCCATCAGCGTCGTCTACGACGCCTGAGAGACAAACCTCCGAGTCGCCACCACCTCCTGAACGAGGCACACCAAATGCGCCAAAGCCGGAGCCAGATCCGATACCTGATATGACTGAAGATCCGACATCCACTGCTGAACATGAGGCCGACTGCCAGTGTATGCTCTGTAGTCTCGTCAAGAGGCTCAAGGGCCAAGAGCCTTCGTTGGCTACTTGGACGGCGGCACCGCCACCGCCACCGGAAGCCGCGCAAAACCATGACGAGAGTAGCACCAAGAAAGCCAAACCGCACGAGGCTTCCTGTATGTGCTCTATCTGCAGGTTGGTCAGGAAAACCTCCAGGTCGCCCAGCGGGCCTAGCTTTGAGCATGCACAGGAAAAGACTCATGTACCGCCGCACGGTGCTAATGGAAGCTCTCGGACATCCGCCAAAGCAGAGCCTAGGGCGACTTCTGACCATACGCCTACGTGCTCCTGCACGACGTGCACCGCGTCGCGGGCCCATGCAAGGCAGACGTCAGCCAAGTATTCACAAGATCAGATAGCGATGAACCTGTGGGCCCTAGGAAAATCAGCTCTGGCCTCAGGGCGGACAACGCAGGCAATACACTTCTTCGACCAATGCATCGGTAAGTCAGGTCCCTGGCATGCAGTCGCGTTTGGCTGCGCAATTTTGACGGGTATGCACAGCGAAGGATCCAAACGCTGCAGCGTTCTTCGTTAGCCGCGCAGATGCGTATGTGTCGCTAAGAAAGTACGCTGCGGCGCTGGGCGACTTCCAGTGCGCCCACGGGCTGCTAAAGACCGCTTCTCCCAAGACCGCCGCTGTGCCTGTCCTCGTCAAGCTTGCTTGCTGCCTACTATACTTAGGATCTCATGGCCCTGCCCTACTCGCCACACAGGAGGCACTGTCCGTCGAACCCGGCGACACGGCTGCCCTCGCGCTGAAGAAGCGCCTGTCGGCGATCGAGAACGGCGTAGCGGCGTACCAGACCGCGAAGGCATGCAGACAGTTGAAGACAGCAAAGGCTGCATACGATGCTTGTGCGAATGCTTATACCGAGGATGGTGGAGTCTTACCCGTGGTGGTGAGTTGTTGGGAGGTCGAATTGCAGATCGCAGAGGCGAAGTGGACGGAGGCGCTGGCCGTGTCGTCGTACGTTATTCTTCCTCGGATTCACTGTGTCTGCTACTGATGGCTCTGGATGACGGGACACAGCGTGATCCTTGCGACGCACCTCAAGTCTATTAAGGCCCTGCTCATGCGCGCCCTGGTTTTGTTCCTTACGGCTGACCTGGGAGAAGCGCTGAACAAGATCAATACCGCGCTGAGGCTCGATCCCGATCATGAAGAGGTGAAGGCGGCTCGCGCACGCTTCAAGAACGTTAGTGACCTCAAGGAAGATGGTAACTTTCGCTTCAAGACCGGCGACTTGAGTGGTGCAATTGAACAGTGGACGAGTGCCCTCAACGTCAGTTTGCGGGTTTCGCCGAACCACTGGCAGTCAGACTGGTGGCTTACCTGTCTCATCCATATACAGCTTGTTGCTGAAAAGGAAGCAGAAGGATCTGGTGGTCGGATCCGTGCATTATTGCTTCTGAACAGGTCCCGGGCCAGGCTGAAGGTGCGTGCCGTGATCTGTCTACATCATGATTTATACGTCTGACGATCGGAATACTGGTGTGCCGCGCAGATTGGACATCCCGACGCGCTGAAAGACGTGAATGCAGCGGGGAAGCTGGACCCGCACAACGTCAAGATCATCGTCACCCGCGGCCGCATATTCATCGGATTGAAGCTGTTTGAATCTGCTATTCAGGAATTCAAAGCCGCTCTGCAAGCGGATGCAACAAAGTTGAGTGCGGCGGATCGACTGACAGTGCAGAGCGAGTTGGGCGATGCCGAGCAGCACGCTGTACTAGAGAGAAACAAGATCAAGGACTGGTACGAAATATTGGGTGCGTCTGGCGGGTGATAGGGAAGGATGCTCTAGTCAGAACTGACCACTATCTTTCGCTATTCCTGCATGAAGACATTGAACGGGACTGCACGACTGAGGAAATCCGCAGGGCGTACCGGACACAATGCCTCAAACACCATCCGGACAAGGTTAGTGTGACTAAGCACTCAATCGACGCTCATATTCGCTGAAACCAAATTTTGCAAGGGAGGGGTCCCAGAGAAGTTCAGAATGATCACAGAAGCCTACGATACCTTGTCGGACCCTATCGAAAGGTACTTATATGACGCCTCAGCCTAGCGAGGCATGGTACGCGGCATAGTCAGTATGTCACGTCCTACCCACCACAGTGACCACTATTGCTGTCTGCGGCTCGCGCACTCACTACCGTGTAATGACTCGTACAAACCCATACCCTGTGCATCATGAGTGCTTTTGGGTCAACTTATGCTGAACAATCGGTTATGGCCGTCCTACATGGATCTCGCCAACGCCTACCGTTGTGCTGCCACTAGTACTACGCCCTAGGACAAGATGCTCACATCGAGAAGCCTCCCTCCTACGATGCACACGCCCGAGGTGACATAGTTCACCCAGAGGTATCGGGCGCCAAGGTCGATCATGTCAAACAGGGCGCCAAAGTCCCCGGCGGTTGCTACAATTCACCGATTAGGCAACTTTCTCTACATACGACACTCACCTACGAGCAGTAGTACGCCCACTGGTAATGCTCTACACTTCGTCGAGAACTACTTCTTCCTCCGCGTTTCCCTTTCAAAGCATGCCGTGGCCAAGCTCGTCGAAGCAAACGTCCCGGTTGCACTGTCGTCACACGGAACGTCGGTGATGGCCATCACCGTTTCAGCGATCATGCAGTGTTGCAGTGCAAACATTACCATCGATGGCTGCTGTCGCTCGGCACACACACGGCATCATGGAACTCTATAAGCCAGTGTCTCGCCCGTCGCGCGAGACGCAGCTCCTTCTTCTTCTTCGCCCGAGCCCCAAGAGTTGGCACTGGTTGGTACGTCCGCACGCAGAGCGGTTTCGAGGATTTGGGAAGCTGATGCGTTTTGTTGCAGCTTGACTTTTGTAACGACCTTTTGACGCATTTTCGTTGACGAACTTCTACAACCCTCGCTTTAATCAACCTTACTATCCACCTAACGCTTCTTTGATTCTTAATCACAATGCGCGTCACGGCTTTCATCGCTCTCGCGCTCGCTGCTGCTATGCCGGCGATGGCCTACTGGTGAGCTCCGATCGTTCGAACACCGCTTCTGCGTTTGCTGAACAAACTGGTCTGCAGGCGTGACTCCGATGGTGAACATCACGTCGGCCACCATCACCATCACCATCATCACGACCATGGGCACTATGGCTACTTGGTCGGCCACCGTCTCGGCCACCACCACGGACACCATCGCCATCACCACTACGGACACCATCGCCACCACCATCACCCCCACCACCACTACTACGGCGAAGACGACGGCCACAGTCATCGTCACCACCACCAACACCACCACCACGCGCACAAGCACCACCACCGCCCCTCGTCACACTTCGTGCAGGAGGGCCACGACCACCACCATGACCAGGAGGACGTGCAGAGCTTCGAGCACTTCCGGTGAGTCCTTGAGTTCTGCGGCGCGGCGCGCGTAGCCTGGCTATACTGACGCGTAGATGATGTCTCTTGGCAGCCCACACTACGTCCGTGAGGTCGCGCGCGATCATGGTGCTTGCGGTAGCCAGGCGGAGATCGCCAGATTGGGGCTTGACCCGAGCACGATAGTCACCTGCGTGTGATGCGCGTCTCGGTGCGAGCCGTGGACAGAAGGCGGAACGACGCGCCGTGGACAGGCGACGGGCAGCCCATGTCGTGGAAGTGATGAGGACGGCAGGAGGGGCAGACGCGCAATGGTCGAAGGAGCTTCGAGGGTGGACCTGAGCTATGATTGTACAGCCTGTTCGTTTTGCTCACGAAATTGCTAGGTTCATTGGAGGAGGTTAATGTGTCTTTCCGGCACGCTTCTGCCGTGACAGGCTCACACATACGACGGAGGCAGGACGCGCTCCTTTGCGTTTCTACAGTAAATTAATGGCACTCGGCGCGTGCGAAGAGAGGAACGGATGGAGAATGACCTTGTTTACTGTGTCACGACCGGTATACTTGACGAGTGCATGCAGCGCCTGCGCACATTCAAGCAGATGTCCCTGTCCATTCGGTCCACTCCGTATGTATCAGCAAGATAATTGGGTAAACACAGCTGAAACGAGTCTATCGTAGACAGGTGAGCGCGCGCGTCCTGATGTACTCTACTAACCGTAGAAGGTAGCGTAGAGATTCAGGCACGATCCTCTACGTAGGACACATAGTGGGGGTGCCAGTGTCCGATGTGATTTTAAAATTGACTAAGCTCCGCGCTACTTACTCCTTGAAGTTGCCTTGAAGCTTCCAGATTCAGAGCCACCCGGAGTATCTGAGTGATTTGGCAATGACTGTCAGTATGCTCTCCTTGGCGTCGCCCACGCAAATTTCTAGTAAGTACCCTTTCGAGTTCACTTTAGCTCGGCTAGCACCAGTACTACTCTTCGCTGTCGTCGACGTCGTGCCTAGCGAGTACGGGTACGGCCGCGAGTGTACCCGCTAGATATGGTATATCCCAGCGGGTATTACAGACGCGCCTCGATGAGCCGAACGGGGACCATCATGCGAGATTGTGTTCCCGATATCTTATGTATAGACTCGGAGCTGTAGACCGCTTATCGTAAGCACCGTGAGGATGTGTATCATAAGAAGGACCGAGTCTCAGTCCGTGTGAGTACAATTTCCCTCTCCTTCGCTCACGACCACTTCACCATGGCCGAAGCAAAGGAACCGTACGCGTCTGACGCGAAGGTCATAGACGCGGACTCGGAGGCGTATGTCCCCGAGCTCGCTGTCGGGCCCGGTCTGCAGCGGCGAATGAAGAACAGGCATATTGCCATGATTAGGTGCGGCAGTCGGGCAATTGTACGAACACTGTCTTGAGGACTAAAAAGTGTGCACCCGTCCTCAGCATTGGTGGTATGTTTACATGCCGATTCCCGAAAAGTATGGCTTTAACTCAGACTCTCATGTAGGTGTCATTGGCACGGGCCTGTTCTTGGGCACCGCGACGGGCTTGTCTGAGGGTGGGCCTGTCGGTCTGTTACTCGGATACATGACCATCGGGTCGCTGTGTTACTGTACGATGGTGCGCCTGTCATTCACACTCGGCGCCCGTTGTCATTGCTGACATATTGCAAAGATCTCGCTCGGCGAAATGGCGGCCTTCCTGCCAGTGCCTGGAGGTCATATTACTTACGCTGAGCGGTTTGTGGACCCAGCGTGGTCGTTCGCGCTAGGATGGCTGTACTGTAGGTTTCAGCCACCTTCGTAAGCCGCATGCGTCTGACACTGAACGCCCGACTTAGGGTACAACTGGACAATTGTACTGCCAGCGGAAATGAGCGCCGCAGCTGTACTCATTGGCTACTGGTGCGTTCCCTCGGGCTACCTGATAATGCTCATTTTGATCAATGCCTTAGGAATACGGCCGTAAATCCTGCAGCATGGATTACTATGTGTCTTGTGATCGTCATATTTCTGAACATGTTCGGAGCCGGTACGTCTCTCCATTCCGCTCCGCCGTTCACATTCATCGCGCCGTTGTCGACGCGTCAGCATTCCCACCGTATCACTGATCGTCCCCCCCCCCCTTGACGTCTGCTCCTGAGCTAACGTATCTCCTCTCCTGTGCATCCGTGCCGAATCCAGGCTTCTATGGCGAGGCCGAATTCATCTTCGCGTCCATCAAAGTCGTAACCATCACAGGTCTCATCATCCTCGGGATTGTCCTCGACCTGGGGGGTGGTCCTAACCATGACCGCATCGGTTTCCGGTACTGGAAGCACCCCGGCCCGTTCAACCAGTACCATGGCATTCAGGGTGCGAAGGGACGCTTCCTGGCGTGGTGGGCGGTTATGACCCAGGCCGCTTTCAGTTACATTGGAACTGAAGTCGTCGCGATTGCGGGCGCGGAGGCCAAAAACCCTCGGAGAAACATCCCAAAGGCGATCCGGAACGTCTATATCCGAATTCTGTTGTTCTACATGGGTGGTGTCATCGTGATCGGACTGCTGGTGCCATATACAGACGACCGACTGAACTTGCCGAATACGACGGCTGCGGCGTCTCCATTTGTGATCGCGATCCAGACAGCTGGGATCAGAGGGCTACCCTCGGTATGTAGTCTCGCTCATGTGTCAGACACCGACGGAAGATCGCTGACACGGAGTTGCGTCGTACGGATAGCTCATCAACGCATGTCTTCTGACGTCTGCGTGGTCTGCGGGCAACAGCGATTTGTACTGCAGCTCGCGTGCGCTATGTAAGGGACAATCCCGCTATGCATCCGAATTTGTTACAGCATGATCTCATCGTGCCTTCTTTCATTTAGATAGCCTTGCAATCAACGGGAACGCCCCGCAGATCTTCTCGAAGACGAACAAACGTGGTCTTCCATGGGTCGCACTCACAGTCAATGCGCTCCTGGGATGCCTAGCGTACATGGACGTTGGCAGTGGCAGCGCGAAGGTGTTCGGATGGTACGCCGGCGTTACTCTCTTTCTCCAACTCCGTTGCTTACCCGTAATGTTAGGTTGGCAAATATGTACGTGTCCGTCAGTCCTTCAGATAGCCTTCGGCTCATGATATTGTCAGGACTGCTATCGCTGGCTTGTCGAGTTGGTTTGCCATTGCCGTGACCTACCTACGCTTCCGCAAGGGCCTCAAAGCGCAGGGGATCGATAGGAGCACACTGCCTTACAGTCACTGGCTACAGCCATTCGCGGCATGGTATGCCGCCATCTTATGCTTCATCGTCTGCCTCGTACGTATTGACTCCGCCTCGGTACAAGCTACTCATCTTTATCTGGCTTGCAGTTCAGTGGCTGGTCGGTCTTCCTGAAGGATAACTGGAGCACTGCGACGTTCGTCACGAATTATTTGCCGATGATGATCTTCCCCGTGCTCTACATCATCAAGCGCTTCTGGTCGAGACACCACTTCGTCCGGCCAGAGGATATGGACTTCAAGACTGGGATGGACGAGGTTCTCGCGTCGTCGTACGACGAGCCTCCACCCCGTAACTGGGTAGAGAGGATCTGGAGTGTACTAGTGAGTTGCCACGCCTTGGGTACCGGTTCTTGGACAGGTAACTCATTGACATCACTACCCACAGATGTAACGAAGTATACTATGTATTGGCTGTTATGACGTAGAGTCTGGCAGTATAGATAGATTTATGATGCAGGAAACTAGCTGAACGCTCGATTCCTCGTCTATGGAAGTTGAATATGCGAGGCGGTTCAGGACGTTCAGGACGTCAAGGCCGGCGTGTCTACAGGTGTCATGTCTACTGAACTGGCTTTGGAGGCCTAGGAAACGAGTGTGCGACAATCATCACGTGATGTGTGGCGCGCCGTCGTTGGTGGCGTACGTCACACAGTGATCAAAGTCATTCAAGTTGTTGCTCGTGCTTTCCTTGTTCCCTCACCACCTGCGTCGATACCACTACCTCCGGCGAAGTTCGATGATTTGTCTTGCCAAGGCTCGAGCCTGATGGAACCTTGAAGCTGCGTGGCTACTGTTCACCTTTCCGGCATCTAGCCTGTCGACTACCAAGCGTTGTGCTCCTGGGCTGGAACAACAACGTAGTACTGACACGGAGGCCCCTGAGCCGGTGTAATCAAGCTCTGCCGCGATGGGCCTTTGTATGTCCTGTTGTCGTAGGCGGCCTTCGCCTGAACGCGATCCGCTGCTACCGAAGCATACCCCGAGAGAACCGCCGCATGCACGAGGACCTCTTCCGATGACGCAGCTCGCGCGAGCTGCGGACGTACTTGCCGCCGTCAAAGCCGGAAAGCTTCCTAGCGAGGAGCAGCTCGCTCATGCCCTACAACTCCTCCTGCGCTCTACTGTGTTAAATCCAGATTCCGAGGTTACAGACTACGGCGCGCTCAGCGACATCGGTCGGGAGGCTATCACGGACGTGAGGCGGGCCGTCGAAGCGATCATACAATTCGGTTTGGAAAAGAATGGTGCGTGTACTTGCTATTCCATGAGGCTCTGTTCACGAACATATCTGAAATTTCAGTCGACGACAAAATACAAGATTTTCTCTACCAGTGTCGTATCATGGATTCCGTTCCAGTTCGCGCCGACATCGCTGTCGACGCGGATAGGATGTCGGAAGAAGTGGAGCAAGTAGGTACATACTCAAGGATTTCCCTCCTTTGCAATGAACAGCACTGAATGTGCGAGCAGTCCAGGAGCTACCGTCTGCAGACGAAGCCAGACATGACGCAGAAGATATACTCAATTCGCTGCGATATTTACTTCGTGTTACCGTCACCTCCAGGGCATTCCGCGCACTTCTCTCAGATGTCTGGCTTACAGCGAAGGATATGCTTGCAGACGTAGCGCGGGACGTCAGTCAGATTGCGTCCCAAGTTCAAAGCACGGCCGACGAAGTAGAACACTCGATACGACCAACCGACTCGCTTGGCCGCACGAGGGGGAAGGCACGAGATGCTGGCGACGAAGATATCCAAGTCGCTAACCAAGACACCCTCACGGGAAATCTTGACCGCGTGCAAGAGACCGTCTTAGCTCGCGCGCGAGAGGTCATCTCAACACTTGCGTCTTCGTGACTACTTCTTACTTGCATACTAGATTATACGTCGTGCGCACAATGACCCAAGTCTCCATCGCGCTCTACAAACAATCCTAGTTCTACTGCGCAAGTACGCTTCTAAGGCTGGTAGAACGTCGGACGCTCTGTCTGACACGGAGCTGCCAACCGTGACTCCGGTCGTGTGGGCCGATCCGCCTCTGGCTGGTGCTCTCGATGATCTCAAAGTACTCCTTGAGCGAACAGCATCTGGGCACTCTCTGGATCTTGTCCTCCACTGCCTCTCCCTGGTTGCGACTGACGTCGCCCATCTTCCTGCTGATGTCATCCACGACGATGGAGGCCGACGCGAACTTGGGCAGTACTTCGGGCGTCTTTCGGCGTGGCTGGACAACGCCCTCAGCGACTCTCAGTACGCGTTCTCTTCAGAGGGCCAGCAAGACGCAAGTAGACTCTACGCATCTGGTAGAGAGCTCATCCAACGAGCCTCGGAAAGCCATGCAGAATGGCTCGATCATACCAGGAGTCTCATGGAGACGCTTGACGCCTTTGTGTCCGCCATACAATCAGATCGTACTACCCAACGGCTCATGCAATCGTTCGACGCCCTTTCTGCCGACTTCTCTCGCCTCATCTCCGTGACTGCGATAGAAGGTCCAGCACAAGTCCGAGAAACACGGCGGACATGGCGGCAGCAGCTACAGCGCGATGTCTTGGTTTGGCTGGTGCCTCGCGTCCTGCGTGTCGTCAAGGCCATACCGATGCCTAGGGTAGAGTATACCAGCCCGTCGCTGGACGCTGCAGTGGACGCTCTCCTCGTTAGTGCATCCGGGGCGGGCACTTCCGCGTCGGCATCTCTCGTCCCGGATCACATACGTGTCGCGAACTACAGCGAGATCCAGGTTCGAGTTGACGACGAAGGCCTGTCCGGGGCTCGCTCTCGAGTACCTGCAAGCGGAGGAGCATCAGCGTACACGCGTACTAGGATACACGCCGACGGCATACGCGTCGCGGCGCGAGACATCAGCTACTACGCCCACTACAAGGGCTGGCGCGATCTCATTGGGTATGAAGACCAGGGACTCTTCAGTATCGATGTCGGCGAGCGGCAGGCTCGAGGGCAAGGGCTCAGCTTCGATGTCGAGCTCGAGTTCGACGGTGTATTCGAAGATGGACGTGTGGCTTCTCATACCACTGTCCCAGAAACCGACACGACGTCCGAGTCCAAGGACAGCTTGTTCCGTGTCACAGATGTCAAGGTCGACGTTCCCGGCCTCCATTTCTCTATCGACAGGAGCAAACACTGGATTCTCAACAAAATGCTGCTGCAGCCGCTTGCTGGACCGGTCGTACGAACGGCGGCGAGCTACGTGCTCTCACAGCAGATCAGGACCGCGCTCGAAACCCTTGGGCGGCTTGGCGCGCGTGTCAAGCGTAAGGCAGACGAACTGAGCGATGCGCAAAGGTCTGGTGCTCGGGACACGTCGGCTCCGTCCCTCGAGAGCTACTGGCAGGCTATACTGCAGGAAGTCGGCGGACCCATGTCGAACGAAGACAGATCAAGTGGCGAAGAAGGGGGGAGCGAGCATGTGGAGACGCACACTACGGCGACGCTGAAGGGCGTAGTTCACACTACGGTCACCCATCCCCCACCGGGAGCGTCACGGTCGCAAATGCCGGATGAAACCGTCCTCGCTGTCGGCGTCGCACCTCAGATCCTACTGGGCAAAGGCGGGCCCGTTGAGGGCCCAAGCAAGGATGAGTACGGAACGAGAGACATGGCAAGAGAGGCACTCAGCGAGGTGCAGGGGCGTGCCGAGCATGTCGAGGGCAACCTACAGGAGGCCGTCGAAGCCACCGTTCAGGTACGGGAGCAAGTGAATGAAGCTGCATATAGCGCACAGATCACGGAGAGAGTGGAGAAAGGGACTATGGGCTGGAGAAGTCACGTATTTGATGTGTAGGAATGCAAACATAACCTTACCCCGACCCTTCTCATTGGCTGTATCGGTAGTGTGGGTTCTGCCATAAATTGCGAGATGGAGGCGTCGTGAAGGGCTTGTTAGACCACTCGGTGGCAGTCGTAAGTACACACCGACGTGCTACATTCCCGATACCCATCAAGCCGTATGTATTGGTCCATGTGTATGAGTGACGGGCATCACAGCTCAGACACCGGCTCTCTCGGTACTACTGTACGTTCCAGCCGCGCAAGCAGCTCATCTGCATGGAATGTCGGTTCAAGCGCATGCGGGACGCGTAGACAACAAACTCACCGTTGAACAGTGATGTTTCAGTGAACTCACTCGATTCCAAGTATGCGCGAATATGATCGCCTAAGTCCCGCGAGATGGGTACCATTCGCCGAGATCGCTTTGGTCCCAGTACCACGGTGAGTGTCTGGACAGAGTCTCCGTCTTGTTCTTCATCTTCCTCGCCCTCGCCCTCGCCTTCCTCTTCTCCCTCTCCCTCTCCATCTTTGGCATCCTTTCTGCCTTCAATACTATCCTCCTTGTCACCGTCCTCCGAGTCTTCAGGAAACCCAGGCTCGTCATTCGGGACGATCCGCCACCATACCTCTGTTCCACAAAAGCGGTATAGCGATCGCTCCGGACTGCGCACCAGGACACCCTGTCCTACCGAGATGACGCGCAACGAGGTGATAGACCCAGCGATTTCGGCTGCAAGTCTGCACATCACAGAGTGCCATGCAGTATGAGGGTAGAATGTAACAAGGGCTTCGTGCCCGGACGCATGAAACCCAGATGGTTCAACGCAAGGCAGACGCAGAGCTTCCAGAGGTAGCTGAGACAAGCTTTGAAGCGCAAGACACTATGGGATGGCATGCATTAGCTCAAAGGTAAATCAAAGTTCGACTCGCAAGTGACTGACCGTCCAGTTCCACTTCACTTCAGACAGAGTGTCCGACGACAGAGTGAGATCGAGATATCGAATGCGGGGAGCACTTCGCACAAAACGTCCCCAGAAAGATGTCCCCATCTGAATCATAGTCGGGAACCGCTCTAGGGAGAGGATAATGGGTGAAGTGCGCTGCAAGATCGCCGGTAATTGTTCAGCCTCCCGTTCGTACATCATGCTGAGCATGAGCCATCGCACTCTCAGTGCCGTTTGCCATCGGGCCAGACCTTGCCAATCCCCATAAACATAGTCAAGCTCTCCCCAGCATGGAGTCTCAGGGACCAGAAGGGTCTCGTCATCGTCGGCCGGCCCATTCCAGTCGCCTGGGACCACTGGAAGAGTCTCGTCATCGTTGGCCTGCTCATTCCAGTCGTCTAGGAGGGCCAGAAGGGCCTCGTGATTGTCGGCCGACCCATTCCAGTCGTCTGGGTCTCTCCGACGATGAACATGTGTCGCTTTAACGTTTGGGAATGCCTGAACTAGCGCAGCAGCAGAGACGTAGCTATTCTTCACCATCAGGCTGGTAACGTTCTGCCCTGATTGCATCGCGGTGTCTGGGACTTGACTGCCAGTGTGTTGCGGCGCAATGCGGAGGTTGCGCAGACGAAGGGAACGGACGTTCTGTAGGACAGGCGCAGATAGGAGTTGTGTCCCATCACAAGGCTCCGATCCGGATCCGTACGGAGGAGGATCGTGCCATGTGCCAGATAGGGAGAGTCGTCGGGGATTGCATAATAGCTGCCCTACGATGTTGAACGATGCGGAGGATAAGTCCTCCAGATTGAGGTTTATGAGGCGGTCCAAACGACATAACGCAGCCGCGATCCTCGGTTCTGCCTCGATGAGTCGGCCTATCGGACTAAGCTCCAGGGTCCTGAGGTGTCCCGCCCGCTCTAATACGTCCGCAACGAGGGGGGCAGCAGAAAAGTCTCCGGCATCGCTGCTAGACGACATGCTGAAACACCCCTTGGACACCTTCAACGTCCGCACGAACGCCAGACGATCTTCAACGTCGGCTAGGAGGTAGATGAGCACTTTTTTCAACGAGGGCGGCCGGGCCCTCGTAAGGTCGATCACCGACAGTGCATGGCGTTTTGCGAGCGGGTGGAACCTGCGCGATGTTAGGCAGAGACGTAAACTGTCGCGTAGAGTAAGGAAGGATACAACAGCGGACAGAGTGTCATTGTTCAGGCCGTCAAAGCTCATTCTGGATTCGAGGACGATGGGCGACGTTGATGGAGGTGAGCGGACAGAGGACAAAGCGGATTGTGGGAAATTCGAACATCGGCCTAACATAGGCAGAACGAGTATGTATATCATCTCGCGGCTAATTACGGAGACCTAACATAGCATGAAAAATTCATATGGTATTACTATGTTCGGGACCCTGACAATCGAGACCAACGATGGTATGTTCGGCGGCACAACATAGGTCACGTTTTCGCCGCGATGTTAGGAAACCGCACAAAGGTTGAGAGAACGTCGGATCGACAGGGCGAAACGTTGCGCAACGCGTTCCGGAAACGCACCAGCGGAACGCCTCTGCGAAACGCTTGTCACGGCCTGTGACGACAAAGCGTACTGGGTGTTTATGCACACGATGACGCGCCACAACGCGACGCGTCGCCTTTCTTGTCTTCAGTAGGTTTATGTAATACTCTTTGTCTACTTATATGTGACCGTTATCCGACGGCGCTTACCGAATTTTGGCTCAGAAATGAAATGCAGACCCCACAGTATGCCAATAACGTATCCAAAAGCCACAATCCACGTTGATACAGGAGAAATAGATTACATAGCACTCAGTAGAACATAAAATTAGTGAGAGAGGAATTACCAGCAGCCAGACTAGCTTACGTAAGTAGATTAGGCCTTGGCAACAGCCACATCTGCCGCCTGTCCAATCTAGGCAGGTGTGACCGTTCACGGAGTCGGTAACTTAGCAGCCGTGCATAGGACTGATTTTGAACCTTAGCCTTCCGGCCGACCTATACACAGAGCAGGTTGAAATCTTAGGATCGCCCGGAGCCCCCCATAGCTGGTCAAAGATGCCTGTGCCACGCGAGCGTCACTGGATAGTCACAGCTGCTTACGACATGTGACGTTCCACGTAACGTTCCGCGTTTCGCGTTGCGCGTTGCGCAACGTTTCGCCCCGTGGATCCGACTTTCTGAAGGTTGAGCATGCATGTTAGGCCAATGCTCGTGCGTTGTGAGGAACCCGACCATGCGTCATGGTGCTGAGTGCTTACACGGTCCGAACATAGCGAGAACGTGTATATCTTATCAGGTTCCAATATTTTGTAAGGTCCGAGCCTGAACATTATAAACCAGCCAATCAGGAGCCGTGCCTTCCAATGGTCGGTTACCGTCAATACTTAATGTTCGAGATTCTAAATGGTATACACGTTCTAACCATGTCCTGAGACATTCGCGGAGCCCATGGGCTGGCTCCTCACAACGCACGAGCATTGGCCTAACATGCGGCATGCTCAACCTTTGTGCGGTTTCCTAACATCGCGGCGAAAACGTGACCTATGTTGTGCCGCCGAACATACCATCGTTGGTCTCGATTGTCAGGGTCCCGAACATAGTAATACCATATGAATTTTTCATGCTATGTTAGGTCTCCGTAATTAGCCGCGAGATGATATACATACTCGTTCTGCCTATGTTAGGCCGATGTTCGAATTTCCCACAATCCGCTTTGTCCGCAGTGAACGCTGATAGTGGATGCCTTCCCGCAGGCTTTTCAGCGATTCTAAATGCATTCGCGGGCCCTGGATTTTATGGTTAAGAAATGTTTATCTGCAGTGCGCCTCCGTAGCTCCACTCAAAATCCATGGACAATACCTTGCGGAGCTCAAATAATGCCGCGTTGCCGTGGTGGCACAACGTTACCGTAAGACACAACTGCGAATGTGTCTGCATCATATTTTCAAGCATAGATATCTCACTGGCTCGCAGGCTCCATGGGCGAGGACTGCTTGTCTGCTGTCATTGTCGAGCTAGACCGCTACGAGACGCCTTCGTCGAGCGAACACGCTACGAGATAGCCTCGTCGCGTGGACATGCTCGTCGGCCTATGAAACGGCTTCGTCAAACGAGCACACCACAGGACGGTACCGATTTCGTCGAACGATAACTACGCTACAAGACGGTATCATCGCTCGAAGCGACTCATCGCATAGAAGGGGCATCGCTCGGAGGCGGCATTACATAGAAGTGGCATCGCGCAGATGCGTCATCGGGGCGGTAGATCCAGCTGGGTAGGTTGCACAGTTCGCATGTAGGTCCTGGCGGTGCACTTGGCGCGGCAACCCCAGAGCCCAGGACAGTACGGCAGTGTTATCGCGTAGTTTCGTTGAGCAGGCTCCTGTATTGTCGAGGGGCACTAACCAACGCCCCTCCTCTCGCCGACACCATCGACGGGTTAAGCGCCGTCAAGTTCTGACCATCCCGGCGCCCATCCACCCAATATCCCCAGAATTCCCGCTTGTTCCCGTGCCAATACGGCGCAGAGCACAGTCGGGGTGCGACGTGCGTGCGCGACGGTAAGATCCAAATCTCGTCGGAGGCTCAAACTCAACTTTACGGACGTGTTTTGTACCTAGAAGGGGGGGTCCTACCCCCCTTCCAAATGAGCTGTTTAGAAGAGGGGTGTACTGATCCGAAGCAACGGTACACACGAGATGCCGACTTGCCGCAGAGATTTACAGCGCGAATTTAGGATAGAGCGCGCTGTAAACCTCTGCGGGAAGGCATCCAGTGATCGCATACAGTCGCATACTGGCAACTGCACGGAGCCTCGAGCTCGTGTAAGTAGTACACACAGCTAGCTAGCCGAGGCCTAGCTTACGTGATGCAGGACTCTTTTTTTATTCTTTTTTTTAATTCACCGAGTTTAAAAGCCCATACGCCGAGGTACATGCAGGCACTAAGTACTAATAGATCACTACCGAACGCTAAGACCGTTCCTCCCGAGCCCCATTTCCCCTTGTGGGTCCCTGCGGGTTACTCTCCTTCGTGCCTTGTTGAGTCCGAGGACGGGCAGTACCGTTGAGTGCTGGCGTCGAGATGTCGGCGCCAGACGCGACCCCCCGTAGGTAAGCGCTCCAGTCTTCATGATAGCAAACCGCATGAGGCGCGACGTGATGCAGGACTCAAGGTCGCTCTCCCTTCACTGGCTCAGCATACGGTAAGGAACACTCAAACACACTGGGGCATCGGCAGGGATGGTCTGGTTATCAGTCTAGATTGAAGTCACATCAACTTGAAGGTCGTGAATAGCAGCGTCATAGGCTAAGGCTCGTCCTACGTTCCAACCTGGAGGAGGTATATTGGTGAGTTCAGAGTCGTTTGGGTTGCATTCTTGCATACATCGGTGAGTGCCTCTTGATCACTGACAGATGTAACTCATCTAGTACGGCTCAGCCACAGGCTCTCTCGGGACCGCTGTTCTTTCCAGCAAAGCGAACAGCTCATCTGCAACAGGGACGATCTCGGTAAGTCACTTGACACGCGACAGACGTGCAGGTATAACTCACCGTTGAATGGCGAAGTTTCCGTAAACTTGCTCGACTCCAAATACGCGCGGATATGTTCACCTAGGTCGCGGGAGATAGGCACCATCCGTCGAGAACGGTCTGGGCCCAGTATTACCGTCAATTTCTGCGTGGACGCATCCTCATCCTCGTCTGATTCATTCTCGCTGGCCTCGCCCTCGCTTCCCTTCCCCCCATAGTCATCGGAACCTTCTTCGTCAGAGCCATCTGCTTCCTCGTCGGAGTCCCCACCGTCGTCATTGTCCTCATCGTCGTCTTCGCCCTCCTCGTCTTCAGCGCCCTCTCCGTCGCTCTCGCGCTCGGAGGGAGCTGGTTCGTCATTCGGGACGATCCGCCACCATAGCGCAGGCCCGCAGAAGCGGTAACGGGACAACGCGTCATTTAGCACCAGCGCGCCCTCTCCGACGCAGAGAACGCTCAACGAGGTGACCGCTTTAGCGATGTCAGATGCCAGATCACGCATTGCAAGGCGCCACCCGGGGTAGACGATGACACGAGACTCGTCCATGTCGTGTACGTAGAGCGACGCCGGTTTCACGCGACAGAGACGTAGAGCGACCAGGGGAAGCTGGGACAGCGCTGGCAGTGCGTGTATCTACATGTACCGTGCGTCAGCTGCGAGCCCTGCTGGAATGCCGAGTGACTCACTCTGAAGACCAGTTTCGTTTCCAATAACATGTCCGACGCCAATGTCAGATCGAGATAGCGGATGCGGGGAGCACTAATGGCGAAGCCTTTCCAGAAGGAAGGCTTCTCCATTGTGGGGAGGCGCTGCAGGGAGAGGACGACGGGCGAAGTTCGCTCCATAATCGGCAGCAGCTTATTTGCGGCATTCTCGTTGTGCACCAAATCGAACATGAGCCATCGAACCCTACATGATATCGTCCACTGCGTGAAGTCTTCGCGGGTTCCGTAAGCACGGTCGATGTCCCGGGACCAACACGCAGTTTCCACCGTCAGGAACTTGTCGTCCTTGCTCTTGCCGGTGAGCCTCCGAGTCCCTGCGCGCAGCCTCTCTGCGCGCCATAGAACAACATCAATGTCGTCGCGTCTATTCCATTCCTCGATGTCCTTCCTGGAATCGAAGTGGATGGCCTCGACGTTTGGGAATGCATCGACGAGGGTGGCCGCAGAAACATAGGTGTTCTCGATCTTCAAGTCCCTGAGGTCTGGCCAATGTGTGGTCGGTCGTTGGACGTCGGCACCGGGAGGGAGGGCCTGCTGGTTCGCAATGCGGAGCATCGACAGGTGCAGGGAACGAACGTATCGCAGAACGGGTGCGGAGAGGAGCAGCGTTCCGTCACAACGCTCCGACTCGTTCGGACCATCGTCGTTGCGCCCCCATAGTCCGAGTTTGCGGGGAGTGCATGAGAGCCGTCCCACGAGCTCGAACGAGGCAGAGGTGAGCTCATGCAGATGGAGCTCCACGAGCTGGTCTAGACGGCACAACGCAGCCGCCACCCTTGGTTCCACCTTGACCACGTCGCCCACCACTTCGAGCGTCAGGGTCCGGAGGCGGGTGGCACCCTCCAGTACGTCTGCCAGGAGTGGTGCAGTAGAGTAGTCCTCGTTGGAGGGACCATCGAAGGCGCACTGAGACACTTTGAGGGTCCGCACACACCCCAGACGGTTCGGGGCGTCCTCCAGCAAGTAGCCGAAGATTCTCTTCAGCTGCTGAGCATTCTCGATCTCGATTGATGATAGGGCATGACGCTTCGCGAAGGGATGGAGCTTGCGCGACGTCAGAGAGAGGTTCAGACTGTCGCATTGAGAGAGGAGCGACACGATGGCGGAAAGGGAGTAGTCATCGAGGTCGAACAGGTGCATCCTGTAGCGAAACCCGATGGCTATCGATCAAGGTGGGGTGCAAGGGGACAGAGCAAAGGAAATAGGCAGAAAGGCGGGGGCATTCGAGACAGCCCTCGTGGTAAGGCTTACGTGATGGCGTTCCCTCTAAATTATGAGAACGTTTCGCTCGAATGGGGATGCGCGCAGTCAATAGCTCATGAGCCGTGTGTCCTGTGCTCATCTACCAGCTGTAACTCACTGGACCGGCTTGCATGTCACCTTTCATTAAGTGATTCATCATAACACGACACATCATACACACATCGATTATTCTTCTCCTCGTTTCTTCACTCATCTCCCGGTCCAAGGATGGTCCTCGGCGGGATGACCTCAATCCAGTACCTGCACCGAGTCGCGCAATCAGCCCGGCAGCCACGCTCAGCACCAAGGACAAAAGACAGACTCACCCATCGGGGTCCAGAATAAACGCGATGTCCTTCATCCGCCCGTCGGTCAGCTTCTTCTTGAACGTGACACCGAGCTTCTCGAAGCGCTCGCACGCGGCGGCGACGTCGGGGACGGTGATGGCGATGTGGCCAAAGCCCTTGCCGGGCTCGCTGTTGCCCGAGGCGTACCCGGAGAAGGAGGCGTCCGACTCGGTGCCGTGGTTGTGCGTCAGCTCGAGCACACCTGGCGTTCCGCGCGTGAGCAGCGGTTGCGAGGAATGTGGACTGTGAAGGGGAACATGGAGGACAATGGATGGCGGGGGACGTACCTTCACGGTTGAAACGCGAGTCCTTGAGCTCCTTCGCGGAGAGGGTGCCGCCGGAGTGGTCGTATGCCAGGAAGTAGAGAGTGAACGAGTCGAATTTGTAGTCTAGGGTCCGAAGTCTCCGTGAGCGACTGGTCTCATGCTGTTCGGGAATACCCTGTGAAGGGCGGCGTACGAGAGAGGAGTGTCAGGCCTAGCACCTACACAGATCGTGCCGCGAGGTCAGCATTCGCATGCACTGACATCGATTCATTGCGTACCTCGGTGTAGAACTTGACCGAGGCCTCCGGGTCTTTGACCCGGACCATCGTGTGGTTGAACTGCTATTCTTCAGCCAACCACGGCTGGGTATGCTACCGCCAAAATGCCGCACCTGGTATCCTGCAGTCTCTGCGTTGGGCATGGTGATGAACGACGAGGTGTGAGAGGTGCGAAGAGATTCAGCAGGACCATGGCTGGCTTATATTGGGGATTCTGGCGGCGGGGAGAGAGTATATCCTCGCAGATAACAGTAAGGACGGCAAATGACGCAATCCCCTTCCGAGATCGATTTACTCTACCCGATCGGGCAGTATCGCAGATCAGGGGATCGCAAGGGCTTGCACCGGAAGGTCGCCGAAACACGTCTGCAACGGACTCTGTCGAAACTTGGATCGCTGCCTTCTCAGAAGCCACAGCCACAACGCTGGTCGAATTCAAGTCGACCTCGTTACAAACCTCTCACAACGAATCAGCCTCGTTTGGCCCCGTTGTTGCAACGTGCGTTACAACGTTCGTGAACATGTCTGTGGTGTGTTACTGCTGACGAGAACCTAGCGGTTCACAACTTCGACCCGAGGCTGCTACAGACATTTGGCAACAACACACCGAGAATTTGCGGCATGTGTATCTCGCATCTCCCGTGAGAGGAGTATATTTATCCTCTGGTCTGCTCGAATAGCCCACAGGCAGTCTATGTCTTCAACGACGATTGAAGTGTACATGAATCCTCGGAAACGTCGATGACGTGGCCGTTGAAGATGAGTAAGTACGTACCCACTCGCCTTGCAGGTGACACTTACTTGACACTGACGGCAAGCTCGTTGCCGCGATGGTAGACGAGGAAGCAGAGCTTGATTTCTCTGGACAAGACACATTCCGAGGTGGGGCAATGGAAAAGCTTGATTCAAGCCGACATAACCTCGGCCAATAATGCTTGCCTCGGACCTAAATCGACGGTGATCTACGCTCATCGAGGACACTAGACTCCCTCAGGATCCAGCATGTCCCGCTGTAGAACTAGAGTGGTGGCTAAGTGCCGCGGGTCTCTCCACTAGTGCGCTGGCGTGGTGCGGGGTAAGGCCTAATCACTGCAAGCACAGCTGAGAACACGCCCCGTTGGGCTGACTGTGGGCGAGCATGGGAGAGGGAGTTCCGCCGCGGGATCATATGCAAGCCATGACGCGACGCGACGCGCGTGATCGCCAAACACGCGCATACAGACGCGCCTCAGGCGTGTTGAAGTGGACACGTGAGTGCCCTTATCACTTTCCCCTTCCACCATCTCCATCGTTTTCTTCTCTTCACCCGTCTCCTCACTCCATCCATCCGCCTCTGCTCGCCGTCCATGCCCCCGCCCTCGCCGCCGCTCTACGCGGCGAGCCCGTCTCCCCCGCGCCCGCGCGTCGTCCCCATCAAGTTCCGTCGCAAGAGTCTCAACGCGTCGGACGTCGACCCCGACGAGGCGCGCCTGTCCGTCTACCCGGCCCACTCCCCGCCGAGCGCGTATGCGTCCTCTCCACCCCTCAGCGTCTACACACCCTACGCATACCACTCATCCAACGAGTACTCTTCGGCCTCCTCGTCCCCCATCGCCTCGTCCCTCGCTCTCGGCAGCATGCCCAGCTCCCCCGTTGAGCGTCCGCGTATACGCTACGAGTCGAGCCCCATACGCGAGCCGAGCCACTACGCGATTAGGCATCCGTTCCTTGGTGAAGAGCCCCGACGGTATGCTTCCTCACACGAAAGCCTTCCCGGACTGGACGGCTATCAGTTTGGTATGACATCCGGCAAAGCGAAACAACCTGGCCCACTAGCGATGGATGGATATCAATCGCGTGCATATTCGTATGCTTATCCCTCGCCGAGCGAGTTTTCGGAGGACCCGCCATTCGCGTCCGACTTCGAGATGGGAGCTTCAGAACACGGTGAGTTTCTACAGCCTTTTTTCAGCTTTGATCAGTTTTTTCTCCCGCGGTGGGACAGGTTGGGTGGATGCCACGGGTCCACTCCTGGTTGAACGACGAGAAGGGGCTCGAGACACCTTGTGGCGGATCTGGCGTTTGCTCTGGCGTCTGTCGACCAAGATCCGTCTTTTCCCTTTCTCTCACGTTGACGGGAATTGGCCGATCGGACGTGTCTCGGAGTGGTCTCTTGGGATTAAACATCGCTCTCGCACTTGTGCTGCAGGAGAGCATGGGGCAACTGCATGGTGTGGGGACGACGAGCCGTCTTGCAGGCGACCATGCGTCAGCCATCGCGTCTGCTCTCGCACCGTCCATCACTTCACGTGGCCACACCCATCTCAAATCATCGTATGGCTGGCTTCTTCTCGCTATCGAGCCGATTATCGTGCATTGGAGCAATCGACGGTCTTTCGTGCGCGTGTGGCCCGCAGCTCATGTGAGTCGCGCGACGGAAGACAGGCATGGATGTTGCTATCTCTGCTGTGCACATCAGACCGCACAGCAGGGATGTGGCCTGCTGATGGGCGGTCCGGCCACTCGGTCTATCATTGGGTTCCGTCTTGCCCCGGGGCCTGCAGGCGTGCAGTGCAGAGATTCACGCCCACCCACTCAGACGATGAAATGAAGGGCTATTACTGTGTATATGCGCCCGGGCAGCAGGGAAGAAGCTTGCACGGCATAACCTTGTATCCGCGCCTTCAGCATTGGTGTGCTGCTCCCCAAGGAACTTATGAGACCATGCGTGCTACCCCGCGTCGCATCGTACGCTGCGGTCTCTCCTATCACATCTGTCTCACCTCCGCGTATGATGAACTCAACAGCTGACTGATCTCCGTCGCCTCAGCAGATCCAATCGACTCATCCGAGGAAGACGGCGACATGGACGTCGACCTCATGTCCCTCCCGCGACGCATCTCGTTCTCCACATCCTGCGAGCGCGATAAGCCGTTCGTCACACCACGCCCGATGCTTGCGACGCGGACGGCGCGGAGCTGCCCGCCTATCAACGACCTCTTGAACCCGGCTACGCTGCCTGTGGCGCGCCCTGTGACGGCGGAGGCGGAGACGGCGTCGTGTCTGTCGGTCCCGTCGTTGTCGTCTACGCCGTCGTGCGACCTGCATGAATCGTCTCCTGCATCGTCTTCGTTCTTCGCTGCGGTGTCTCCTTCGCCGTCTTCGAGTACAGGGGCGTCGTGCTACTCGCCGGAACCAGCCCCACCTACTCGAGTCAAACCTACCTCGTCGCTATATGCGTTGCTCAACCCTGTCGACGAGCCTGAACCCCCGTTCAGCTTTGCACCTAGTGTCTCGGCTGCAGAGAGCAGAGAGCAGTCCCTCGCCGCGGAGGTCTTGCCCAAGGAAGAGAGCAAGTACGAAGTTCTTGACGACGTTACCCTCACCATCAAATCATCGAGTGTGGAACATACCCTTGCAGTCACAGATGATGAGGTGCGTTCCCTCCGCTACGCTTCTTCAGAGCACTCGAAAAATCGACCTCAACAGATAACACTCCAGCTCCCTCAGCGCTCTTTGAGACCTTCCTCACCTCTCGTGCCCTTGACCCCAAGTCGACCTTCGACACCCATCAAGCGCCCGATTTCTCCTCTGGAACGTGCATCATCGCCACTCAGTCAGCCGTCTTCACCTGTATGCGCCGATTCCGAACTGCCTTGCCCGTCATCGCCTCTCAGTCGCCCTACGTCTCCGCTCGACGACCTCCCGCCATCATCTCCAGTCTCCTCGCCTATCACAGTCTACGCACGATTTGCGCGCTCACGATCGCTCAAGACCTCAATATCGTCTCCGCTTTCCTCGCCTCTGTCTTCTCCGCGCCTCGCCTCGCCCCTGTCAAGCCTGCCATCGTCGCCTGTGCTCCAGGGCCTAGACGCGAGCGACCCGATACCCATCGACGATCCTGTCACTGACGATGACTTGCCTCTGGAAGAGAGCGATGCTATGAGCGTCTCCGACTTTGAGTTGTCGATCGAGTCGGAAGGACCTAGCGCGCCTTCTCGCTCGCGCTCTGTGAGCACACGTCCTAAGGCCCGGAAAACTTCGAGAGCCCGGTCACTGTTCAGGCCTGCCGCCGACTTCGCGGATGCAGACGCAGAAGCGGAGCCGACGACCGCGGAAGAGGTACCTCCAGCAGAGCCCGTCGCGACGACCTCGACATCCAGGCAGTCCAGTGTACAGGTTCAAACAAAGTCAGACTCTGTGACAGAGGAGGTGGACACCAGACACGCGAGGGCCAAGTCTGCCAGGCCAGCACCGACTCAAAAACGGCGCAAGGAAGCCACGGGCGGGCCCATCAAGAAGCGCCCCAGGGTGATCCTCTCGGATGACGAGTCTGACGAGGAGGAAACGCCCGCTCCGGGACCCGTGCGCAATAACGTGAAGTCGCAGGCGCAGGCTGTGGCGCACACACAGGCGGAGAGTAGCGAGAAGGAGAACGAGCACCGCGCGACTAAGGCGGAGGGCAAAAAGTCGGCTCTGGTCAAGAAGAAACGGAGAGCGAAGGATGACGAGGAGGAGGCTAAAGCCGAAGTTGACAGCAAGACGACATCGCTTCCGTCGAAGGCTCGTAAAGCTTGCGCGTCCGAGGCAAAATCGTCTGCTCATCAACCGATCGCTGTACCCGCCCGCGAGATCGACCTGACATCGCTTCCGCTTCCCCTGCAGGAGATGCAGGGCATGCTCATCGAGTCCCTCGCTACTTCTCGCGCTTCGTCGCTACCCGCGTCCTCTCTGTATACAGCGCTGATGTCCAGTCGACCCGCGCTGAAGGAGTACCAGAGCTCCAAGCACGAGGGCCTGATGGACAAGAAAGAGTGGATGGGCATCATCGAGGACGTGCTCGAGGTTGGGTGGGCGTCCAGCGGTGTCTTCGATAAGGTGGAGAGTAGCGTCAAGGTATGCCCCTCGTCGCGATGTACCGTTGCAATGATTAACGATTCCTTTCTCCGTCTACTAGGACACCGACCATCAGCTGGAAGCTCAGTGGTTCTACGTGCCGGAGAAGGACGAGGACCAAGAGCGCGCGACCCTCATCCGGAGCATGATGCCGCGCCCCGGGAAGCGTAGCGAGACGAAGAAATCCAAGCAGTATTACTGGCGCCCTCTGGGCAAGATCTCGAAGTGGGATCCCGAGGACGATTTGTAGGCCCCCTACTTACGTACCACCCCTTAATTTCTTCCTGCACTTTAGACTGTTGACGTCGTACGGTACACACGCGTAAGTTATGGTCTTTCGTTCTTCGTGCTAATCGTAGTGTAGCCCTCGCGCTTTGTTTGTGTTGTCAGCAATGTGGTAGCAGATTCGTTATGTAGTTCCTTGTAGGGCATACAGTAAGCTCGCAATCAGTGTACGCATCATGTCATGCATATGTCGATGTTCCCTTGCCTGGGCGATAGCTTTTGATCTGCTCCGACGGGTGAAGTTGTAGACCTGGCCATCGGTTTACACAGGTGCGTATTTCTTGCAAATTCTACTCGCCAGTCGGATGTCAGACCCACACGTATGAATGTGTCCCCTGGATGATACATATGACGAGGACGTAGTACGGTGGTTTGTACGTCTACATAGGGCTTCGCCCTCAGTGACGCCAAATAGAACCAACAACAACAACAATACATACGGCATCGTGCGCACAGTATGCATAGAGGGACTAATCGCGCATGGAAGACATGTACCTTTCACCATGGACATGCGTCGTTGCCCAGGCACACCATGTATGGGCCCGTACATAGCAAGGTTCCCTGGTGAACGCGGAGCACGATGAGGAAGGCGTAACATGGTCAGTATTCGCCGAGGCAACAGTCAGAAATCAATACAAATCTATTAATCGACACTCAACTAAGTCTGTAAGTAACAGGGGTCGCACATAGCAATTTCAAAGCTCGAACACGAAGTCCTCATCGCCCAGCGCATCGTCAAAGCGGAGCACGTCCTCCGCGTGCGGCACAGCCGACGTCGAGCCCGCTGCCCCGACCGCCAACCGCGCTCCCGAAGCTGACGCACCAGGTGTCTGCGCCTGTTTCACCCCCGCTCTGAGCGTCGTCGCTCGCGTCGTGCTCGCATTGGGACGAGTGGAGCTGGCCGCCGGTCGTGTGGTGGATCGCGGAGTCACCCCGGTGGTCTTCGCCGTCCCAGCCAGTCTCGTAGACGTTGGTTTGCTCGCAGCCGTAGCAGCGCTAGAGCCTGTCGTTCTCGACACACCAGAAGTCGTCGCATACACCGAGGCCGCTGTCCCCGGCCGTGTTACACCCGCAGTCGCTTCCTTGGGCGCAGCGGTGGTGCGCACGCGGGCAGCCGCTTCCTGCCTGGTGGTAGCCGCGCTGACAGGTCGCGCGATCTGGGATGCTGTCTGGCTACGGGGACGGACCGTCGATGGCTGAGCGCTCGTAGAGGGCTTGTTCGGCGCAGCACCGCTGGCACCGGCTGCGGATCGAGAGGAGGTAGATGCAGCGGTTGTGGTCACGGATGGTGTCCTGGAAGGGACGCGACTCGCAGGCTGCGATGAACGGACGGGTGCCTTGGTGCTGGTTGGTGGGATAGAGCGTGTGCTAGATGTAGACCGAATGGTCGGAAGGCTAGATGTGTGCTTGTGTTGGGCAGTCGCAGGGGCTCGACCCTGAAGACGACCGGGTTCTGGCGCTATCCGTTTGTCTTGCATAAGTAGCTCATTCTCTGAATGTCGACTTGATGAGCTTAGAAGATACGTTGTTTGTGGAACACATTACCTAGCACCGGGAGGTGCGGTGTCTCCCATTGTGAGGAGCTGTCTGCAGAGACGAAGCCGCTCGCTCGCCAGAGGTCGTGCGAGCCGGTATCGACATCACTTTCTAGCGCGTGGTACAGATCGTCGGTGTCGTCATACTTGTATGAATGGGCTAGCTCGCGTATAGTAGCGCCAAGCTGTGTGTAGTCGGGCATCTCGAAGGGAGGCTCGTATGCAGGAACTGCGCACCGAACGTCATTCACCATCAGATAAACACTGGCGCGAAAGACGCACCTATCGCCGTCGGAGGCATGTACTCAATCTCATCGTCATCCTCCCCTCGTACGTCGACTGCCTCCTGGACATCCTCCTCGGCCTCCACAACGATCTCGCCATCGCTGACGTCCCAGTGGTTCCCCTGCGTCACCGGCGTCTTGAAGTCGAGCTGCGGGGCCCCGCCGCTGGTCCTCGGTGCCCTCAAGCTCTTCCTCGCTGACGATGGTCGAAGCAGAGTGTCAGGAAGTGCTTGCTGGGGTGCCTCAAGCAGCGCAAGCTTCGCCAACTTCGCGGTTTGCGGGGCGGGAGTGTCGAAGGGAACCGCATTGGCGACGCGGTTCGGGAATGGCGTCTTGTCGCCGAGAGGCTTCTGCACACGAACGGTAGGTTTGACACTATGGGACAAGGCCTTGTGCGACTCTGCGTAGAATGCATCTCAGTGGATCATGGACAGACCATACGGTACGATCACACGCACGGACGGTGAGAGGGCGTCGCGGTGTCTGCTGCAGTGTCTTGCCCTTAGCGTTGACGGTAAGAGGAGGACGATGCAGGTTCTCTTGAAGTAGGGTCCTATCGCGGACCGCTCTCGCAGGTGTCTTCGCGTGGTACGGCTCGCTATTCAGAGCTAGCGGTCGGGCACTCAACATGTTCGAATTGACGGTATTGATCAAGTTGCCTGGCAAAGATCCGCTTTGGTACGTCGGTTCACATAGCGAAATTGCAACGTACCTTTGGTAGAGGTGTCGCAGTAGTCGCTCGAAGAAGTGTGTCGCAGAGTAAGAAGTGAAGAGGCACTCCGCGACCGCCAACCAGCGGTGCCACACTTGAACCAATAACGCGGTCACGTGATATAGCCATCGCGTTCGCCGACGCGTTCACGCCACGAGTCCTGTTGTAACTCTAGTCTCCGTTGCAGACGATAACTTGTAACTCCGGATATATTCGACTGAGATCTACAGCACCGGAAAGTATTTCTCTCGACGCAACGAAAGATCTTCTTAGTGACTACTATCTTCCTGTGTTTACTCTAAGCGTTACTGATGATATGAACGATCTTCTCTCCCCTAACCTTACCATCCCGCATCCATTGCAGCGCGCTCTCCACGCCCTCCAATCCCTTTTCTCCTCCCGGGCCTTCCCAGACATTGACACGGCTAGGTTTGGTGCTCCCGGAAGAGACGAGGTCTGGAAGTTTGCGTAGAAACGCAGTCATGTGTGTGCGATCCGACACGGAGGCATCGTAACGTCCGAACGGGTGGCCAAGGGCCGTGTAAATCAAAGTGGCTGAGGATGTATTCTCTTGTTGAGTGGTCAAGGCGAGAAGGGAGACGGCATTCACACTTCACTTCTACACCTTCCTTCACAGCCTTCTTCAGCCCTTCCTGATCCTGACCAATAAGGCTGATGACCCGTCCGCCGGCCGGGCCCATGGTGGCGACTGTGAATTGTAGTGAGGCGCTATCAAAACCCCTCTCACTGACACAGTCGAGTGCATATCATATCTTTATTGCGTTGCGTGAGGCAGACCGATCACCAGGTAAGAAACAGTTCCCTACCTTGCCTCCTGTTGCCTCGCGGATCTGTTGGAGAGAATCGGGTGCATGGCGGTTGATCACGACGTCTGCTCCCAGTGATTTAACGAGGTCGAATTGATCCGCCGAGCAGACCGTCGCGGACTTGTAGCCCGACAGGCGCAAAAGCTGGATAGCATACAGCCCGACGGACGCTAGCAACGTTCCCGGGCTTGTCAGGGGCAAGAGCAGGCATTGGAAGGCGATGCTTACTGCTCTCGCCATATAAAAACACCCATTCATCTGACCCATCCTGTAGCTTTGACGGGATTTCGGCGAGTGCGAGGCGAGTGGGATGGTATAGCGCTTGGACGGCCGTCCAGAACCTGATCGCTGGAGTCAGCACAAGGGCTCTACTTCCAAATCCGACTCTCCTATGCACACGAAGCCAGAGTACTCACGCGCTGTCTGGCAGAGCGCCGCCCAAGACGAATCCGGCGACGCGGGTGCCTATTGTCAGGTCGGCTACGTTGCTACCAGCCGCGATGACGACCCCAGAGAAATCTACCCCTAGGATAGTCCCTGCTTTCTGCACAAAGTCGACGACTGCACGAAGTACTAAGCGACAAAGGGTGGGGATAACTGGAAAGGAACCGCTCACATTTCCAGTCGGTGGGGTTCTGCGCTGCTGCGACTACTTTGACCAGGACATCTTCGGGGCCAAGCTCAGGTACAGGATGATCCTTGACCGCAACTCGCTTCTCCTGTGCATATGCCTGAAGTTAGCGTAACGCAGAGGTCAAAGTGATGACTTGCATCGTACCGGCTGGACGATGACTGCCCTCATCGTCGCTGGAATAGGTTCATTCGCCAAAACATGCAAGTCTCTGATTGTGGAATGGTAGACGGTGAGTGCCAATCCCCCCTATGGAGGGCTTCAGGTATGAGTACTCATTGTGGTCCCGATGGAGCACAAGAAGACAGCTGTGCGACATGATGATCTGCCAAAGGATGCATACGTCGTAGCTTTGATTTGCGCGTTCATCTGGGTAGAACGCACGTACGTGGATTGATGAGCGCTGCACTGCGGCCACATACATACTCGTGCTAATCCAGAGTATGATCGAGACGGCGGACCGGTACTGTTCTGAAGCGTCTTGCCTAAAGCAACATTCAGATAGCTCACTAATTTGATGTGAGCTGCACCGCGAGAGTAGTCACCGGCTTGAGGGATCCAGTCATGTCATGTCTTGAGTTGCTGGCCCGGGGCATGAGTCGCTGTCTGGTTTGTTCAAGCGTCGAAGTCGGCTAACATTTGTCGCCATGTTGAATCAAACAAGTCACCAACCGTCTGGGAGAAAATATAGATGTGTACTTCGGGGCGATGGTTGTGAGCAGCGTCGGGAGGCGGAGGACACCCCGGCGGCGGATGTTCTCACGTTCCCGTGACCGGGCGAGGAACGCGTGCAAGCGCCCAATGATTGTCTGGACGCGTTCCTCACCAGCTCGAGAGGGAGGCTGTGGCGTCCTTCGGTCGGTGGCCCTTCCACATCCCATCTCTGCCTTTCCAGTAGCTTTGACGAACAACACCATCAAGCCAGAAAAAGACATATGTTCGTCGTTCCTGTCTGCGGGAGGGTGCCCTTTGACTTTGATACTGATCCGCTTGGCCTCATTGTCCTTGTAGACGTTCGCTTGGACCAAGCGCGACCCCAATCTCCGATCACAACTTTGACATAAAACCCGCATAGCTTCCTGCGCGAACGCTACTGCTGCAGCCCCGTCCCTAAAAGTCCTCCCCTTTCCTGCCTGTCGCCAGCAAGATGCCTCAAGACCACCCAGAAGACCCGATGCACACCGACGCAGTCGAGGAGACTCAGTCCACGCAGCAGGCCACGCAGGAGACGCAGCTCATGTCGCAGATAGACGGCAGCGTGGACGAACATCTCTGGGGTATGCTCATCCCATGCAACGCCAACCTCCACCGCATCGACTTTCAGAAGGTCAAGCGGGTTTACAGTGTTGGGCGTAATGATGACTCCTCGCGAGGAGGGAACGACATTGTATTCCCTGGCATGAAAATCAGTGAGCCTTTCTATTGCTATGGATGCGACTAGCGCGTATTCTGACGGGACGACGCGTCTGTGGCGCAGGTAATTACCACTGTCGGATTGAATGGGACGGCCAGAAGGGTCCCAAGTCAGCGGTGAAGGTGACGGACTTGTCAAGCAATGGCACATTTGTGAGTTAGGCTGCGGCTTACAACGTGTTATGTCTCACTGACGTTGTACCCGAAGATCAACCAGCAAAAGATCGGCAAGAACATGACGCGGCTGCTCTACGACGGAAATGAGCTATCATTCGGAACATGGCAGCCACAGTTCGGGGCCACGGCCACACAAGATTATCGTGCGTGTCGATTTATGGAGAGGTGAACATTACAGCTGACAGATAGCAGGTTTTGTCTTCCGACACTTGGCAGCGGCTGCGACCCTCCGGGGCATCTTCAAGTACTACCAGCTGCACGAGACGCTAGGCACGGGCTCCTTTGCTACCGTTACCAAAGCCATTCACCGCGAGACTGGAGTATGGTATGCCGTCAAGACCATGGAGCGCAAGCGCCTGCGTACGGCATCGAATGCACAGGCGCACAATGACGCTGCGTTCTCGAGAGAGATCAACATCCTCGAAGACCTTCAGCATCCTAGGATTTGTGGGCTGAAGGAGGTCTTCTACGAGGAGCACACTATCAGTGAGTGGATGAGTCGTGTAATCCAAATAATTGGCGTGCTGACTCAATTTAGATCTCATTCTGGAGTTGATTCAGGGGGGCGACCTCCTAGACTACATTCTCGACTCAGAAAACCAACGACTGAGTAAGCCAGTTCGTTTATCGAGACGCAGCGAGAAGGCTCACTTTGATCATGATACAGCGGAATCTTTGTCTCAACATATCACCTACCAGATTTGTGATGCCCTTCAGGTATGGAGCCGACAATGGACGGACATACGTGCTTTCCTTACTCATTGTGGTATTCACAGTACATCCATAGCAAGGGTATTGCTCATCGGGATCTGAAGCCTGAGAATGTTCTGCTGACGAGGGACAACCCGCCGTTGGTGAAGGTGGCTGACTTCGGTCTCGCGAAGGCCGTGGACAGCATGACCATGTTGAGAGTCAGTGCAAAAGTTATCTGCGTGCGATCTGTCTCTAATTGTCGTCGATGTTACAGACCATGTGTGGCACGCCTTCATACCTGGCCCCGGAGGTCGTTTTGCAGAAGAACTGCGACGGCTATGACCACCTGGTCGATAGCTGGAGTGTCGGCGTCATCGTCTTTTGCATGTGCGTTCTTATCGTTGACCCACGTATTCTGTCCTGATTGCCGTCTCCAGGCTCACTGGGAGCAATCCCTTCCCCGACGAAACTGGCGAACTCGCGGCCAGAGTCTTAAGCCGCGAAGTCGACTGGGATTGTTTCCAAACCACTTGTCCAAGCCGTACGTTTTCGATCCCCCCTTCCCCCCTCCTTGCACCACTGACCGTATGCCCCCCAATGTCCCAGACGCAGCTCGTGACTTCATCGAACGTCTCCTGGAATTCTCGCCTCAGACCCGCATGCCGCCTTCCTCTTCGCTGGAGCACCCCTGGCTCATCCCATACCGCTGGCTCGCGGCGAACGTACCCCTCGGAAACGCCATCCCGCCCGCCGACTCGCAGTACTCCCAGTCTGCCCACTTCGACGCCGCCGAAGACGACAACGCCAACGCGGACGCGGACGCCTCGATGGACTCGGGCCACGCAGAGACGAACGGCGGGGACTCGCAGATGCACGAGGAGCCGCCGGTGGGCTCGCAGCTGCCCGGGCTCCCCGGCGCCTACCCGCAGAGCCAGCAGCTGCAGCGCCGCTCGGTCGCCCTCCTCCAGCAGTTGCAGCAGGAGCGCGGCGAGGAGGAGGTCGTCGTCTCGGAGGATGAGGGCGTCGGCGAGGACGAGCCGGTCGGGCCGCTGGTGCGCGGGACGAAGCGCAAAGCGGCGCTCGTATTCGAGGGCTCGTTGACGCCGATGGAGGAAGAGGAGGAGGACCCGAATGCGATGCCGGTGTCCCCGCGCGCGGTGCGCACGGCACCTGCCCATGGGAGGAAGGCCCGTGGCGCTGCTGGGCCGTCGACGCAGCCTCCGCGTGCGAACACTACGCGTGGCGGACGGAATGCGGCGGGGACTACGCCGAACGGGACGAGGCGGTCGGAGAGGCTTGTGAATGGCCCGGCTGGGAGACACCGGAAGTAAGTGAGCAGTGCTGCACGGGGCGAGCTCCCCATGATCTAGAGGACTGCGCGTATATTCTCCCTTTGCTTTTTTCACGCACATCCATTTTCAACTATGTTTTGATTGTACCAATATTCCCGCTGTGTACATATACCTTCCATGACCCATCGTTGTTCCGGAATGTATCGCTGAGTAGCAATGCCCGCAGGCTGGTTGTGCCGAATAAAACCATCTCAAGCCCACCAATGCTCTGCACGCGCGAGGTCATTTCATGCAGTGTACGTGCTGCAAATTGTACTTCCATACATAACGCGGCTTCGAGTTACAGAGTCGCATATATAGTGGAAGCACATCGTGCGCCACTCGCCGGTGTGGGAGAGAAAGCGTGCGTCGACGACCAACACACACAAACTCGTCTCCGGGTGCAGGTGTTCAGTAGAGTCGACGATGGGTGTTCGGGCTGGTGAGAGGACGGCGGCGATGTTCTGTGTGGAGTAGTGTGGCCGCGCGGAAACAAATGAATACTTATCTAATCTTCTCGACTACTCGACTGACTTGACTTGAGGTGCACGCGCGACGTCGAGTCGCTCGTCCGTGCCGAACCTTGAAGTGCGCGTGAGCGAGAGGGGAGAAGCTGGGGGATACGATTAACCAGCGAGAACGGGCGACGCGGCCCTCTATAAGTACAAGCAGCGCAACGAGAGCGAGAAGGAACTAAGGAGCAAAGGATGACAGAAGGGGAGATGAGGTAAGTTCGAAAGGAAAGGCGATGAGTGACAGGCAAGCGATCGTTGACAGATCGGGAAGGAATATTACCGAATAAGGAAAGTACCGTATGGGACACCCGCCCGGGTGACGACGTCCGTTGGTTCCCCTTCCGGCTTCGGACGGCGGACCATAGTCTCGGCGCGGGGCTGACAGCGGCGGAGCGGTGCTACTGACGTTCGCGACCTGGGCCCCCGACAGGTGCGGCACTCTGCTCGACGTCGCCCGCCTTCGCCCTACGGTCGGTCCTCCGCCTCCGCCTTCCGGTTCCTCGCGAACGCGCCGGTAGAGTCGATGGTACAGTAGATTGATGTTTGTATCGTAGGTAACGTCTGCATGCGAAATGATATAAGCTAACACTGCCAAGAGAGAGAACAGCAGTAAAACCGTGACGCTACGCGTCGATCTAGACCTCGGCCGGATTTCTCCTCCACACCGGAACATTTGAATCGCCACAGTGCACATATGCTGTAAGAACAACTAATCTCGACGAATAAGTGTCACGACGATGTGAACCAAGGATACGCATCCGGTCTCACGCAGCTCAAACCCTTACCGGAGTATATGCCAGTGTGGATGTAGACACATATTTGTCAACGCATGCCGAGGCACGTAGTAACCGAACCAGAATCATTGAAGTGGATTGAAAGCAGAAAGTCGCAACGGCATTGCACTCAACATACAGGAGATGAGCTCGGCAGTAGGCCGCACTTCCGTTAAAGGGATGCTTTCCATGCGTCGTAGTAGATCTCCATGTAATCTACCACCCCCGCTTTGCGTGGTTGCCATCCAAGGAGGCTACGTGCCAGGTACAGGCGCAGACGCAATGAAGATGCAAAGACGCGCTCGAGCGCTGTGAAAGATATATGAGCACCGCCTTGGTAGAGACTGAGATGCAACGTACGCGTCTGTGCCTCGACATACTCATAGCCCTGTGCACCAGATACCTCGACGAGCCTCTGCAGTATGTCATCGACGCTCTCCGTGAAGTCGTTCGCCACATCGAAGCACAGTCCCCCTATGACGGCCGACTTCTCAGCTGCCAGGCGGTACATTTCACCGACATCGTCCTGATGCACGAGCGAGTACCTCACTCCGGGGCTGCCGTACCATTTGATAGTCCCGCCGGCGCGTGCAGCCTGGAACATGACCTTAAAGAAGGATGCCGACTTGCCATACATTATCGCCGGACGGATCACGATGCCGTTGAGCACAGAATGGGTAGCGACTTTCTGCTCGAATGCTGCCCGCCACTTGCTAAGCTCGATAGGCTGAGTAATGGGAGTAGTGTCGGTGAAGATGTCTTTTCGGTTGTCTCCGTGAACGTACGACCCAGAGGTATAGATGTAGGCGAGCTTCGGAGCGTGCGGAGGGCGGTGTTTCTTGACAGCCTCAGCAACGGCATCCAAGAGCTTCGGGGAGAGGGTCTCAACGTCCCAGCCGCCAATCGCCTCGATCACTACGTCGAGAGTGGCCGCCAGAGGGAGCCAGGGTGACGGGTTCGCAGTCTCAGCGACGATAGGTATTACTGTATTCAGGCGTTTCAGCACGAAGCTCACGATGACGAGAGGCTCACTGTATGTGCTCACTCTCTTCCGCTGCGAGCGTCTTTTTCTTGTCCTCTGAGCGCGTCACGCCATAGACAATGTGTCCAGCGCGCACTAGGGCCTGGGCAGCCCCGAAGCCGATGAAACCAGAGGCACTGCGACGACATCAGGATAGCGTATCTTACAGAACGATGGGGGTATCACGTACCCGACTACTAGGACTCGCATCGTATTTTGCTCTTGAGGGTTGTGTCGTGCGAAGGACGTTCTCTTATAGGTTTCCAAACAGTGCTCCTTACCAACCCCTTACGCGATCGCCGTGACAGCTCACAGAGTGGGGCGCTTCGCTCGAAGAAGATGCGTATCCCCGTTGAGTTTTCGAAAGCGCAGCCGAGGAACGTGTACATACCGCTTGAGCACAGCGAGTCGCTGTGCTCAGCGTGTATGGGATATCCCTAGGCTCTAGACTCATGTATCTCACCCCCTCCAACGAGACATTGCGACGAACGATAGTAGGATGAGCGGCCATTTGCACATACCGGCTAGCCATCCCATGTGCTTCAGCGCCCGAAGGCCGCCCGTTCTACGGCGGTAAGCTAGACGAGGGTGGAGAGATTCGGGGCCCGCGAGCACGTAAAAGGCCATACCTAAGACTTGGTCGAGCCATACATCCGAGTCGTTCTAGTGAGCATTGGCGATGTCGACGACCGGCGGATGTATGACAAGCCACCACATGGATGGGTTGTTCCCGTCTGGACCCATGAATGACCTAGCAGATTACATATCTTGCACACGAGATCAGCGAAGGTGATAAGGAATAATACTTTGCGGCGTGTTAGCTCTGATCACAAGTGACCAAAACATCGCGCTGACATCGTCGTCATCAATAAGACGACTGTTCATCCGACGACGACACTTACGTATCCGTGGGCGGCCTATCCGTTTGCTGTTTCAGGTTCCCATAGGATGTGACCAAGATACAAAGCTAGTTCTGGTCGCCCGCAAGAGTGCCAACAAATCGTTCGTTCCCAGGGCTAAGCTGTTGCGACGCTGAATGGGCCATATCGAGTCATGCATACATTGCACTTGTGCTAGGGCGGTCATCCTGTACCGTCGGTCAGCACACAAACCCGAAGCTACTGATGTACGCGCACGCTCACTCTGTTCTTAGCGTCTTCGGGGCTGCAGACTTCGCTATGTCACCCGGAACGCGGAATAGCTGTACCGTCGCAGCGTAGATTAAAGTCAGTACTGCAGGAGCAGACGTCTGCGTCATCGGCCTGTGCACAAGCTGCAAGTCACCGAGTAAGAATACTGAAGAGCAATCCTACATCAGTATCAGACGACGGAGGTGTACAACCTGACGAAAGAATACGCACACTACGAGGCGGCCCCAGGCTTCCGCCCAAGTAATTGACTATCCATCGTCTAGGTCTCTGAATCGAGATCGCATATCGGATATGCGTGCGTTCGGCGATGTCGTCCTCGCGTGACGGCTCGCTTTAGAGTCTACCTGCAGAAATCTTGCCCCTTGCCTTCCGGTGCTCGTATGAAGTATACAATCGTGAGTCGGTCCTCTGCATATTCGCCTGAAGAACGAGGAACTATCGACGTCTTGAGCATCGCGGCGAAGCATCTGTTATTCCCTGGAAAACCGCGCGAATTTCCTCGCTCGCGTTGCCGGACCTAACTATCGACCCACTGTGCTTACAAAACTGGTCGGGATGTTTGACGCTAGACGAGCGACGCGCCTTGTGAGATGACTTGAGCTGCGCCTGGACCGGGACATCATGGACGCTGCTAGTGCCAACCGAGAGTTCAGCGGAGGATGGGGAGAACGGAAGACGCTGGGCTGAGAGCCTTAGCAGCTACCGTTTGGCTACCGTCATGGACTTAACGCGCCGGCTCTATCATGGTGAGCTGGAATGCTATATAGTTCAGCAACGTTCATGGAGCTCTAATGTGGCCACTCACCAAGCTGCCTTCCGTCAGGGGAAGATTGTGTCCCATGGCTGTTATGTTAGAGGCATGCACGGACTTCTAGGAGATCGTAGCCCGCCGCGTTAGGCTGCATACTCAATTGCCGTCGTTCTTCCTTCATACCAGCCCAAACTTAGCAGGCATTGGTACGATATCGATGCGCACGGTTACGATGAGTCAAGACACGAGCGATGACAGAACACAACGATAGGTGTGGAAACATAGCAAACGCTGCAAATGGATTGCAGCTATTTTCAGAACGTTGGACAGTCGCAAACGCGCGCGACATACGCTGACCAAGAGCCCCGCTCTTCGAGAAGTTGGAGAAAGCGGCGCTCGCGCCATCGCGCCGCACCTCCGCACGTCTATGTTCGCTTGAGCCTGTTTTGCCACTGTGCGCGGGACATTGAGATGCGTCGCGATCACGTTTTCTCGTGGTAGTAGATAGTCTACCATATGCATGCCAACTAGGTACATACAGCACTCCCACAATTGAGCTTGCATCACGGCTCGCTGCCTCGGATATCCCGACGCCCGTCGCAAGCAAGGTCGGAAGGAGCCATAGACGCGTTTTGCGAGTTTATTGGCTCTGCATCTAAGGCGCACGGGATCGCGTTGCGCAGGCCGTATCATACACGCGAGGGCCGCATCGTCGTGCGCAGGTTCTGGCCTACTAGCTGTGCAGTGGGGAAGAAGAGCGGTGCGATGGGGCGAGTGCCGCTTTCTCCAACATCTCGAAGGGCGGAGTGCTTAGTCATCGTATGTCGCTCGCGTTTGCGACTGTCCAACGTTCTGAAAATAGCTGTGATACAGTAGGATCACTAGGCAAGCTGGATCACGGCGACGAACGGGAGCAGTGTACTGTACACGATCCGTCCGGAAGCCGCATGATGTCAATGAGCTTCTTTTCACCGGCGCAGCAGATGTGTTGTTCTTCGTGATGTCATGTCCGAGCGAAGGTGGTGAGCGTGTGTTCCCGTCAGCAGCCACACTGGCGGTGCATTGAGAGCTCCACTGCGACGAGTTTGAGGGTCTTGAGTTGCGTCCGAAGATCTTGAGATAAGTAGTACCTCCCGGGAGAAGTCCAGTAGTTGAGGGACTGTGGACTGTACATTCGACATGGCGTACAGTGGTCAAGACTCGGCGAGTACATAGGTCTGAGCCCTCCGTCGTCAGGTTAGACATGGGCGGGGTCCGGCTAAACGTAGATAACACAATGATATAGAAAGAGACCGGTTTCACGAGGGAACGAGGGTCCGTCGCTGCGGGGATGCGGTTCGAGGGTTGTGGAGCGACATTTGCCGAGGTGATTGGGAGGTGCAGTGCGACGGACCCTAAGCGGACCGCCTGCGCTGCGGCCAGCACAACACCTTCTCGCTTGCCATTCCTATATCCCCAGCTCGCCTTCAACAGGCCCTTTCGCTCCTTTGCCCGGACCTGACACCGCACACTCGCCCGCCATGGCCCCCGCAGCTTCCGCGAAACACTTCATCGCGCGCCACCCGCGCTACTCGACCCTCCTTGCGCTCGTCCTCGTCGGCCTCCTGTTCGTGTACGCCCAGGGCCCGCCGGACCCGCCCTACTTCAACAAGCACAACCCGCTCAAGACATGGATCTCCGAGGAGGACAGGCGGTACCAGCAGACGCTCCGAGAGCGAGAAGGGATGGTGCGGAAGTGGGGGCCGACGCCGGATCGTGTTCAGGCGTGCGTAGCATCCCCTTTCGGCGTGCAGGCGCCTCCCCACCCCGTTCTGACCACCCTCTTCTTCTCAGCTTCCCACCACAAGATGACTTCTACACGCTCTGTGCGTAGCCACTGCGGAACCGCCTAGTGAGACACGCTTACTGACCTAGTCTGACCGCAGGGGACTTCTACATCCCGTCCTTCCGCTGCCCGCACCGCGTCGAGCGAGTCGGCGCCCTCGGAGACGGCGGCAAGTGGGTCTGCGGCCTCGAGCGCATCGCGCAGCAAGACTCCTGCGTGATCTACTCCTTCGGCATCAACAACGAGTCGTCCTTCGAGGCCGCGCTCCTGCGCGCCGCCCCGCGCTGCCAGGTCTGGGGCTACGACTTCAGCGTGCCCAACTTCGGCCCCGAGATCACGGAGGACTACAGCCTGCGCTCGCGCTCGCACTTCAAGTCGTGGGGCCTTGGCTCGGCGGACAACTACGGGCCGGACGCGAACCCGCCCTTCTACACGCTGCAGACGCTGATGGCGATGAACGGGCACTCCTTCATTGACATCCTCAAGGTGAGTGTCTCCGTACCGATTTTCAGCGCCCCGTCTTGAGCGCGCACGCCCCGCAGGTCGACATCGAAGGCGCCGAGTTCGACGCGCTCGCGTCCTTCCTGACGCACCACATCGCCCAGGCCGCGAAGCGGCCCCCACCGCCCCCGCCCCCCTCCAACCCGCACGCGCCGCCGCCGCCCCCCTCGCCGATGCTGCCCCTGCTCCCGATCGGCCAGCTGCAGATCGAGCTGCACGCACGCTCCGGCTCGGGCCACGACACCTTCGCGGCTTTCAACAGCTGGTGGGAGTCCCTCGAGGCCGCGGGCCTGCGCCCGTTCTTCGCGGAGCCGAATCTCGTGTACGTGAACTTGGTGCGGGGCGTGCGGCCTGACCTTGTCGAGGTGAGTTTGAGGTGTCTGGGGGTGGGATGTATGCTGATGCTGTGCGTAGTACTCCCTGCTCAACATCCGCGGAGACCATGCATTGGTCTCGGACCGCTACATCGCTTTCTAGATGCATCCAGTGCTCTATACGCGTGCTATCCTATCCCTCGCCTGTAGCCGCCTGCGGGCTCAAGGATAATCCTCATTCTATCTGGAGCCTGCTTCTAGCCTCTGCGGCTCTTCCTTGCCAGGCGCAACGGACGCGGACACTACCGTAAAAACTAAGGTTCATAGCCGAGAAATACCCATGTATCGTATACTTACCCCCCAATGCTTTCGCATGCATTCGTAACCGTCCTTCGAATGCTCATTGTGATATGTGGTCAGTGGTCATGATCAATAGGTTGAGCTCGTCCGCGTAGATCCAGAGTCAGCTGTTCAAAACCATCCTTCGTGTCTAAGCAGCAGTAAACTTGCTTCGCGCCGCTCGAGGTCGACTCGGTGAGTGGTCTCATGAGAGGACCGTGAACGTTGATGGACGTATGCTATGACCAGGTCGATCAATATATGCGTACTAGCGCTTACAGTTCGTCCACTCACTTCGATAGACCCGTCCGCCGCCACGTCAACTGCGAAAGGCCTCATTCCACCAGCGCTCTCCCACTCTCCCCAGAAACGGCTGAAATCCCAGAAGGCCAGTGTCGACGACGTACCGTTGTGCGTGCCCTCGTCGAGGCGCAGCTTGAGTTGTCCCACACGGTGCATCAGCCGTCTGATGCTGTCGACCACCTCTCGGTGAAGACCCGCTGGGTACGCTACTGCATGGGCTTCGAGGAACATTGAGGCTTATTTATTTCGGTCATAGAGACGTGAACTGTCGCATAACACGATGGACAATGATGAGACAGTCGACACCAATGAAGTCACTCTCTTTATGACCACCGCCTGGTGGTGGCCACGACCCCTGCTAACTTACCCCCGAGCCTTTGATGACTTGTATGCGAGTTTGTCTTCGTAAGTTTTACGACCGAGGTCCGTACGCGTCCACTGCCAGCTGCAAGCCAACTGTTCAAGTTGCTGGAGGCGTTACGTGAAGCGCTCACGTCAACCTTCTTTACAGCCGGGCAGGAATCCCCGCATGGGCTGCATGGCCACTTCTTTTGCGCGGCCGGTCCGGCGGAGTCAGGCACGCATGCGTTCGTGGCGCATTCAATCGACAAACTGTCAAGATACGCAGCCATGCTTCTACGGCGTCCACCGGATGAAACTTTCGATCCTTTAAGTGAAAGATCGATAAAATTGACAAAATCTTTTTCACGATATTTCGTATGAAAGATTGTCAATAAAAGTCAGAAACAATCAATTAATCATTCAGACTCGAAGTATCAGGAACAGATCACAGAAGGATTCATTGACAAGTGTCTTTGATCTGTCTGTGATCCTCTAGGCAAATGATTGAGAACATGATATTCAAAAATTCTTGAACACTATGTGGCTCAATTGTTCTGAAAGGATTGAAAACAGATTGTCACATGGGGTGTTACAATCTTTTCTCAATCTTTCAGGCTGTCACAATCTGTTTCAAATCCTTCCAGCTGTTGATATCTTGGTGAGATTGGAAACAATTTGTATCCCAGGGGTTCAAAACAATTTGCCCAAAAGGATTGACAAGAGATTGTGACACTAGCTGTGACACTGTGCCACTTCCCTATGACAGAGCAGCAGTGAAGGCAATTATGCCAAACCTATGATAAGCTGCCTTCTGCTGGTATGCTCAGTCATTTTTGGTCCCTCTTTCATTGCATCTGGACATGCACAGGTCTGGGACATGTTCATTAGTCATACAATGAGATGCACATATCTAGGAATGTACAATCACAAGTACAACCCTGTACACTGAGTGCATCTAATGAGACTCATGTGATGGCAGGCAATGAATGAGGGACCAAAAATGACTGAGCATACCAGCAGAAGGCAGCTTATCATAGGTTTGGCATAATTGCCTTCACTGCTGCTCTGTCATAGGGAAGTGGCACAGTGTCACAGCTAGTGTCACAATCTCTTGTCAATCCTTTTGGGCAAATTGTTTTGAACCCCTGGGATACAAATTGTTTCCAATCTCACCAAGATATCAACAGCTGGAAGGATTTGAAACAGATTGTGACAGCCTGAAAGATTGAGAAAAGATTGTAACACCCCATGTGACAATCTGTTTTCAATCCTTTCAGAACAATTGAGCCACATAGTGTTCAAGAATTTTTGAATATCATGTTCTCTGTTACGCGAAGCGTGACACCTAGAGCACTAGCTCTCAACCTAACCCTAAACGTAGGGACCTTAGGTTCTAATCGTCCTTGGATGGGGAGGATGGTCGAAGACGCTGCTAAGTCCGTCTAGCAGGTCGAGCGGGGAGTTTCTGATATCCAAGGAGCTGGTGAAGCTTCAATAGATAACCAGGTCGAACTGAGGTTCGACCGCTACTGTACACTGGTCTTATATACATGGGGAGTTCAGGGCAGGTCCTGGACGAGTCACAACTACCTAGCCAATAGGAGCGCGGGGGAGTGAGTCATGACGAGTCAGGGACCGAGTCATAAACGATGAGTCAGGTATGAGTAAGAGACGAGTCACGACGAGTCATACTGAGTCAGAGATCACGTGAACTGCCCCGGGTTGGACCGGAGCGAACAGCGAAGGAGTCCGAAGACTAGAAGCGTAGCGTCATGGGGTTGGGCCCATGCTAAGGTAGTACAACGGTCAAGCGCAAAATAAAGGAAAACAAACGTTGACGTAACATAAGCCCCTTCCTAGAGTCGACGTCCTCGTCGACTTTTCTAAGCTTGATCAGGCGGGGGCAAGAATGTCGTACTCCCATCACGATGCCTGCGCAGTTGAGCAACCGCGATCCCCGAGTCGGTAGAGACGAGGTCCAATACCGTGGACTCCGGCGAAGGTTGGAAGGATGACGTGGGCGAAGTGGTCAGTTGGCGGAGAGGAATGCGGTCCATTCCTTCGACCGGTTCGTAGGCGGGGAGCGGGAGTGGGTTGGCATCGTCGGGAGGCTCGTTCTCGTCAACCTCCGAGGGGTTCGGGGTCTCGAGGTTCGATCGAGTAGAGACGGGAGAGGTAGGTACCGTCCCCAGGACAGGGTGTGGATGCGGGGTATCAGGGCGCCGACTCTCGTTATTCTCCCGGCGTTCACTAGGTGGAGGGCGGGCCCCATAGAGCTGAGTCTGGTCAATGTAGGGTTCCTCCTCGTAGTGGAGCTCGGTGAGGGCGTTACGAGCTTCGAGGCGACTCTCGTAGACACGGACAAGGGCGGTGGATATGTGCGAGGTCATGTCATGGGCCCTTGCCGGGTCGGCAAAGGCGCCATTGATACGGCCGTGGAGGACGACATACCACTGATGCGCGTTCTCGAGGGTGATTCGTTTTGCTCGGAGGTACGGGGGAAGGAAGTCCGTTGGTCGGGATGCGATGAGGGATCGGTTTCCGGCGTAGAGTCTGTCCGCGCACATCGTCCACATGGCTGCCACCGGTTGTGTGAACACTCCCCCTCTCAGGAGGTCGGTCAGAGAGCGGAGGTCCGGCGGGAAGGTGGGGGCCTCGGCTTCGTTGGCCGAGCAGAGGGACTCGACGTGTCCCGGCTGACGACGATTGCAGCGGGGGCAACGGTAGTGGGGGCAGTCGACGGTGCGGTGGTAGGAGATGTTGGTTCCATGACAAACGGTGCAGGGGGAGTAGTTGGTTACGATACGGGCGAAGTCTCGGGCATTGATGTCGGTGAAGGTAGGGGAGACCACGAAGTCGCGTGTGTACTGGATGTCGTTGACAGGGACAAGCGACCTGGCGACGGACTTCATCGCAGGGTGGTCCTCGAGATCCTTGAACCTGCGCATCAACCTCCGCGCCGATGCATTCCTCCTCTCGGCATAGAGGTGGACGGCATCCTCCATGAGGTCCTGCTGGACCCAGACGTCTGCTGCGGCGTCGTAGAGGTCGGCAAGGGAGTCCAGTGCATCGAGAGCGACACTGGGGTCGTTGGAGAGTGAACCGTTACGCTCGAGTGCGGCGACGAAGGCGTTCGGCGCCGAGAGCACCTGTGAGGCGAGGGGCCAATTGAGGTGGCCTCCCGGGAGTGGGCGGCAGCGAAGGAGGGAGTCGAAGAGGGAGGCTGGTGCTGCGGGGGTTGTCTGGTCGAAGAGGCCGGCCTCGGTGGAGGCCGAGATGTAGGTTTGCACCGGCCTTCGTGGCCTTCGGTCCTGACTAGGAAGTGGCATCGGTGGCACTTGTGGTAACGGGGGTCGAGTGGGAGACGTTGCTTGCGGTTCAGGCCGAGATAGGGGAGCTGGTTGATGGTCCACGCGTCGTAGTAAGCCTGGAGGGAGAGGTCGTCGTAGGCAGCGGTGGAGGGCATAGAGCTCAACTCAGCAGTCGCAAGCGTTGTCGTCTTGGGGTCCGAGTCTCACCACTCCAAGACGGCTCTTCTCTTTATACTCGTAGAGGAGTCGGAGATGGTGCGCGCGCTTGTACTCATCAAGGGTCTCTTCCCCTGTGCCCAGGAAGACGTCTTCGGGTTCCCACGAGTTCTCACTGGGAGGGTACCCTTTCCACTTCACGAGGTACCGGCGTCGGCTTGCCGTGCCCTTGTGACCAAGGATAGCTTCGAATTCCCAGGAGTTTTCTCCGTCTACTTCGTCCGGGGGAGGTTCTGTATAGGTCGGGCCGTGTTCCTCGGTCTCATTGTACGGGGATAGGAGACCGGCGTGGAATACAGGGTGGATTCGCCATTGCGGAGGCAGTTGGAGGCGATACGTCGCTCTTCCCATGACCTCGGTGATCTTGAAAGGACCTTCCTTCTTAGGAGCTAGTTTCCTTGTGGCGTAGGGGAGGCGGAGGTGCCGCGTGTCGAGCCATACCTGCTGATCCTTCTTGAAAGCAGGTGTGCGGTCCTTGATTCTCTTCTCAATGACTCGTTGCGCAGCTTCTAGTGCGAATGCGGCTTCTTCTCGGGCTTTCTGTAGCCGCTTGAGTCGTTCTTCCGTGGTCGGGGAGTCAGCAACTTCGGTGATGTGGGGGATTCCTCGGGGTTCATATCCCATCATTGCGTAGAATGGCGACATCTTGATGGCGGAATGGGGTCGGGAGTTGTGTGCGAACTCGGCATCGGGGAGCATCTCGTCCCATGTTTCAGGGTTGTTCGCGCAGAAGATTCGGAGGAATATCTCTAGTTCCTGGTTGGCTCGTTCCGTCTGGCCATCAGTCTGAGGGTGGTACGCTGTGGAGAGTGTGCGTTCGATTCCGGTCAGGCGGCAGAGTTCTCCCATGACCTTGGATGCAAACTGAGGGCCGCGATCGGAGATGAACTTGCGTGCGAGTCCGAAGCGTCGGTACACGTGGTCGTGGTTCATCTTGGCGGTTGTTTCGGCATCCACCTGGTCCGTGCA